TATATACGCTATGATAGATAGTGGTATAGAAGGGAAGAGGTTCGTCGATGAAGATTGGGCCCGAGACCAGAGCCTTATATTCGAAACCCTGAAAGAACCTATCCGCCTAGAGGCCTTCGACGGCCGAGAGCCCGAGAAGGGCCACATCACCTATTTCGTACGAATGAATATAAGGGTAGAGAACCACTACGAGAAGAAGGCCCTATTCCTTATCACGAAAATCGCTTACTACCTTGTTGTACTAGGCCTGCCTTGGCTTAAGATCCACGATCCTAGTATATATTTCGCGAACTATACCCTCGAGCTAAATAGCCTGTACTGCTAGAAGTTCTGTAACACCCCTAGTAGGGCCCCGAAGATCCGAGCCCTACATGATGTCCCGAAGAAAACCCGCCCTATAAACCTGCCTGATCGCCCCTCTGTCCTAGAAGGCCTAGATATATAGTCTATAAGCCTAAGGGCCTACGCCGCGTACGCCCGAAGCGAGAAGGGCTATCATTTGTTCTCCGCGTCTATAGAGACACTGGACGAGATACTACAACCGAAACCTGACCCTGCCCTACCTAACGAATTTAAAGACTTTAGAGATATGTTCTCCCCTAAGGAAGCCGAACAACTGCCCCTATACCGACCTTACGACCATGATATTCGACTAATAGAGGGGAAGGCCCTGCTATTTAGGCCCCTCTATGCTATGTCCCGCCCTAAGCTAGAAGCTCTGAAGGAATGGATCTCCGAGAACCTAAGGAAAGGGTTTATCCGCCTAAGCTCCTCGCCTACTGCCTCGCCTGTCCTATTTGTGAAGAAACCTAGAGGGGGTCTCCGATTTTATGTAGACTACTAAGCCCTTAACATAATCTCGGTCAAGGACTGCTATCCCCTGCCCCTAACTAAAGAAACCCTGAACCAGTTAAAGGGGATGAAATACTTTACTCGCCTAGATATCATCTCTACCTTTAATAACCTTCGGGTGAAGGAGGGGCAGGAGTACCTAATAGCGTTCCGTACGAGATTAGGTCTCTACGAGAGCCTGGTAATGCCGTTTGGTCTAATAGGCGCCCCTACTATATTCTAGAGATTTATCAACGATTCCCTACGAGATTACTTAGACCTGTTCTATACTATATACCTTGACGATATACTGATATATAGTCGTATAAGGGAGGAACATATCGGACATGTCTATAAGGTCCTCGCCCGCCTCCGCGAAGCAGGGCTATTCGTGAAACTAGCTAAATACGAGTTCTGTGTTTCTGAGACCAAATTCCTAGGCCTGATTATAGGAGGCGAAGGAATCCGTATAGACCCTAAGAAGGTCCGGACGATCATAGACTAGAAATCGCCGACGAACGTAACTGATGTCCGAGCATTCCTAGGATTTACTGGCTTCTACCAACGCTTTATAAGAGACTTCTCGAAACTGACTGCCTATATGAACGAACTCATAAAGAAGGATGTTGCCTTTAAATAGACTCCCGCCTACGAAGAAGCCTTTAAGACCCTAAAGATAGCCTTTATATCCGCCCCGATCCTGGCACCATTTGACTAGACTAAAGATGTGATCCTGGAAACCAATGTGTCTGATTATATATCTACAGGCGTTATTTCCTAGTACGACGAAAAAGGAATACTATATCCTATTGCATTCTTCTCTAAGAAGCACTTAGCAGCTGAGTGTAATTACGAAATCTATGATAAGGAACTTATGGCTATTATACGCTATTTCGAAGAATGGCGCCCTAAACTTAAGGGCACGACCTCCCTAATCAAGGTTATCATAGACCACCAAAACCTAGAATACTTCATAAGTACTAAGTTACTAAACCACCAATAAGCCCGCTGGTCTAAGTTCCTATCCTGTTTCAATTTTACGATTATCTACCGCCTAGGTAAATAGGGCGCGAAGCCTGATGCACTAACCAGGAGGTCAGAAGATCTACCTAAGGAAGGGGATGAACGACTAAAGCACTAGAGTCGTATAATCCTGAAGCGCGAAAACCTAGATAGCTAGATCTAAGGAGAACTAGGAATACTGACCCCGCCTGCCTCACCACCGCCTAACTCCCCTCTAACCCTGAAACTAGATACCCTGATAGGCCTAGAACCTAACCCGCCTCCACCTGATATAGAAACAGTAAGAAGTGTACGCTTCGTAGACAAACTATAGCTAGAACTACTAGTCGCTGTGAAGGAAGCATATAAGTCTACCCTATAAAGAGACCAGATATTATAGTTAATCCTAAGTGCCCTAGATAAAAAGAAAACCCGGCACCTAGATATCACGCTCGCGCACTATGTAAGAGATAGGAACAACCTGCTATACTAAGGATATATTTATGTCCTAGACAACGACGACCTTAAAGCTGAACTAGCCCGACTCTGCTATAACAACCTAGTAACAGGACACCCAGGTCGCATAAAGATGTATAAGCTTATATCTCGCGAGTACTACTAGCCGAACCTCTACTATTATGTTGAGCAATGGACCAAAAACTGTTATACCTGTCGCAGAATTACCCCGTCCCGAGAAGCCCATCAAGGAGTCTTACAACTACTCCCGATCCCTGCCCGCGCCTGGCTAGATCTATTAATAGACTTTATCATATACCTGCCCGAGAGCCAAGGATTTGACGCAATCTTGGTAGTAGTCTGCCGCTTGACTAAAATAAAACACTTCCTGGCCTACCATAGGACCTGTAACGCTGAAGACCTCGCCTGCCTATTCTTGAAACACATCTGGAAGCTACATGGACTCCCTTATATAATTGTATCTGATAGAGGCCCCTAGTTTATAAGCCAGTTCTGGAAACACCTAATAACCCGCCTAAAGACTAAGAGCCTGCTATCCACTGCCTTTCACCCGGAAACAGATGGATAGACCGAGCGAGCTAATGCTATCCTGGAATAGTACCTCCGAGCCTATACAAACTACCTATAGGACGACTAGGCTAACTGGCTTCTGCTAGCCGAATTCGCCTCTAACTCCGTATAAAGCGAGTCGACTGGCGTCACCCCGTTCTTTGCTAATTATAGCCAACACCCAGTCGTTGGATTCGAGCCTGTCCGCCTAAGTAATCACCCCGCCGCCCGCGATATAGAGAGGTTCGCGGCTCATATAGAGGAGATCACGAACTTTATACAAGCCTAGATCCTGGCCGCCTAAGCTCGCCACAAAGAATTCGCCAACCATCACCACCAGCCTGCCCGAACGTTCACTAAAGGATAGAAAGTCTGGTTAGACGCCCGGAACATCAAGACCCGTCGCCCCTAGAAGAAATTAGACTAGAAGAACTTAGGCCCCTTCGAAATCACCGAAGTTCTAAGCCTATACGCCTGCCGTTTACAGCTTCCCCCTAGAATAATGATCCACCCAGTATTTAACGTCTCCTTATTACGCCCTGCCGACGACAACCCGCTTCCCGCGCAGCAACAAGAACCTGCCCCACCTATCGAAGTCGACGGAATCGACGAGTGGGAGGTAGAGGAGATCCTAGACTCCCGCTGGGAGAAACGTGGTCGCCGGGGAACACCACATCTAAAATACATGGTTAAGTGGACCGGTTACGATGACCCAACTGAAGAGCCTGCTGCTCACCTAGAAAATTGTGGACAGTTAGTGAAGAACTTCCACCTCCGCTACCCGTCCAAGCCAGGTCCTGTCTACGCCTCTACAGAGCTCGGCTCTAAGGAGGGGGATACTGTCACGGTGCCAGCTCAGACGACTACTGATTGATTAGATAGCGCGGGCCACGTGACCCGCAACCTCATGTAAACTTAGAACCTTGTCTGAATGTAGCTCTTCAAGCTACGTCTTCGTCTTAGCCTGTCAGTCAATATAATACTGTCTGTCCAGTTCTAGTATAATTCTATTCACCTGCCCGCCCCGTGACACACCACCACCACCACCACCATCCCGGGGCTGCGACTCTAGCCAGAACTATACTCCAAAGACACCAATGTCACAGAAGGATATACGCCGCCAATATAAAGCTCTATTATGTACAGTGTCACGATCGCCATCTACACAAACAAAGCAGATCTTAGACCAGTTCTTGAAAGGCGCAGTAGCTATACACCAACATATGGCAATACAAGCTCAGGAAATCGCCGCTCTTCGCAAAGCCAACATAAAAGAGAAGAAAAAAAAGGCATGCCCTAACCGCCGAATGGCTATTGAAGGTGGTCTTGCGCTCCATGAAGCACAACAGCTTATCGACGCGTCAATTAATGGTGTAAACCAACACCAAACCCCGGCTTCTTCTCAACCAGGCCATCGGCCACGTAGGTGTGGGATATGTCGGGAAACCGGGCATAGGAGAGAGACGTGTCCACAGCGCCCGATTCAATAGTTTATTTACATAGTTTTATTGAATTTAATGGAGTTATGGGATAAATAATGCAAAAGATGAAATAAAAGTGGGTCTAATTCACGGGTCGTATGTAATCACGGGTCGTATGTGATTTACTTTAGTAAGGTTATTTAGTTTAGTTTACTATGTTTTTGTATTTAAATATGGAGTTGAATTTGATGCGTTTATTGAAATTATTGGTGTGCCCTACCGGCCGGGAATTACGTTAATGTTTCACTCGCTTCGCTCGCTCAATAATCAAGATATTGCGACCTGAGTTATTGCTTTAGTACATCATACACTCACTGCGTTGCAAATGGACAAGCATCGGGTTAATTAGACGCTTTTGACATTTCGCAATACATAAAACACAATATCACGCAGAGCTCATTATATGCAGGATCAATCAAAGTGAATAATAATTTTTGCCAGAAGTCTAGTGTTCAGATCAAGGGCTAAGTGGATAAAATGAATCTTATTCTCAAATGAGGAATAATAGCTGCTTGTATTGATGATTCTAGAGGATAGCTCACAGAGAGAGCCCTCCGTGAGGGGAGCCATGAAGCAACACATAAAGGAACAAAGATAAAAACCGCAAAAGGATATCGCTGGCGAAAGTAAAGTCTCACAATTCAATGAACCGAAAATCTCCTAGAACTCCGAAGAGATCATAGCTGCCCGACGATTCTCATTCACCTTAGCCTTAACCATGATTAGAAACTCGAAGCCGTCAGGAAGATCGCCAAATGGCCACACAATACCCTTTGCACGAATACTTGCTAATGTCTTCAAAGGTTCTTCATGATTTACCCAAAATTGGGTATCGGCACACGATATAGTTCCGTCGCGTGTATCGTCATCAAAAATCGAACCATGTAAACGAGCCGTACGGACATAACTGACGGGACAAGAGGCCATGATAGACCGGGCATGCTCTTGAGCCATAGTAAGGTCTACTTCTTCTGGGCCGCGTCCGAATGCCCGAAGGGCAGCAAGAATGGCTTCCTTTTTTTTTTTTTTCAGATCCGTTAACTTAAGAATGATCATCAAAATGCTATGGAATACATTTCATCTAATTAAACACGGAATTTAGTTACGAGAAACGGATAAATAAGTTCAAGATTCCGTTAGAAATTGTTTACTTTACCACTTTCATCACATCCGGGAAAAAAAACAACTTTCCAAACTTCTGCTCTAGAGCTGCACGGTAAGTGAACCTCTCCAGGAATAGCGTGCTTTCATTGGAATAATAGCCTAAAGATAAATGCTAATGATCTGTGTATGATTAGATTGAAACGTGCCCACGATGGTGACGGAAATCCAAGCCCGCAATATTGTCGCGAGTCCTCTACCCAATCTCAATGAAGGCCCTCATATGACCAAATTTTCTGCAATCCATGATCTGAAATATGTAGGGGCCTTGAGTAAATGGCCGCGTTTTGCTCATGTGGTGGAATTCGCTTTTTGCATGGTCTCTCGGAATCCTTCGGTGTCACCACCTAAGATAATGAAAACGGATATCGCCCTTGTCGGAGACAAGAATTATGTTCAAGGCCGATTCCTGTCAGCAATTGGTGATAGACTAGGGCTTGCTCTCCGGAGCATGATGGTGGATCTTGAATTTGGGGGATTTAAATGCTCGGGGATCAACTACAACCTGATACCTGATATAATAGAGCTGACTCAGGGGAGGATCGTTCTCGTCGGAAAGCTGAAGGTCCCTTGGGACAGCGCTGACGATATTACGGGCTCTATTTTCGAAGCTGACACCGATAATCATAACCTCAGAGTATTACTCGCTCAGCCGCTGCGGTATATGAAGGACCTCAATGCTGAATTTGGCTTTTTGAGCTCTTATCAGTATACTGTTTTTCTGAGGCAGTCCTTGAATCTTCAGGGTATCTGAGAGGCCCAATACTTTCAGCCAGTAATGTCAAAAAATATGAATTTAGAAATATTGGGATTGAAAATTAATAACTCGTGATCGTACTCAAGTAATTTGACCTGGTAGCACTTGGTCATCAGCCAGATCGCCTTCTAATATACATACTAGCAGTTTAAATAGTTAGCAAGAATTTAATAAAGAAGATATATAGAAGTTTACCTGGAAATATTGATTCTGGAGGTCGGTTTCATCGAGCAAGGCTTTTTCAGCCGCTAAGGCTCGAATATCTTTGTTCTCCATACTGGCATGCATCTCTCGGCGGGAGCAATTGCGCCGCCAGAGAAGTACCCAGATTGAAATGAGGCAAATGACTTGAATGCCGACACAGAAGAACATCATTCCAATGCCAAGATTATACCTTGGTGCCTGATTGGTTTTGAAGAAGAATGGGCCAACAAAATTGCCCAGGCAGTACCCGATAATGAGCATAGCATTTGTGATTATTTTCTTTGTATGACCTGCTGTATTCGCGGTTGCGACTGACATCGAAAGAGACCATGCGGCAGTGTATGCAAAAGAAATCCATAAGCATACAAGCCGCCCATACGGCTTTGACTGATCGATTGTCCAAAGACCGATAGTACCAGCGAGGAACGGTATAATGCAAAGGAGCATAATCATGATTCGGGTATTAGGATAACGAGAGGCGAAATAACTAGTTGTTCGAGTCATTTTAGCAATCAGGGTTCAATGTTCATTTATCTTTCGAGAAAATCTTCATTCAACGCATTTCTTACCATGCAGCACAGCAGAAGACAAGCTGGACGCCGCCAGAAGGCATCTGAATAAGCGTAGTGCTTAAAGTTGAAAATCCCATACCCTTGATGATCAATCCTTGGAACTGACGAAAACGTTAGTTCTTAGCAGCAAATTGATGGGTATCAGCGATAGTATGAAAAGTAGAGTTCCAAAGTTGACGGCGCACGAGTGTGTTCAGAACGTGGGATGCTCGATATCTCATGAATCAAGCAAGAAAAGGATAAAATGAAACATGCTAAAGGCCAGGAGAAACTTACTGTTGTCAAACCACCGTTTGGTGAGTTGCTAGTCACAGCAAAAAGAAAAAGCAGCCATGTTTTGAGGTCCATCATTGCCTCCCAGAACTGTGGCCACTTGAATTTTTTGTTCTCAATACCAGTTCCATTATCTTTCACTCTAGCAATAGCCAAAGTACGCTCAGTTTCACTCAGAAACTTTGCGTTAAGCGGTGATCCTGGCAACAATATAAGTAAAAGAAGTCCCCATGCTGTAGTGATTGCTCCCCATATGATATATAGGAGGCGCCAGCTAGCAATAGAACTTTGAATATGGCCAATACCAAAGCTAGCAATACCTGCTATCACGTAGCCGAGACCAGCAGAGCCAATCCATATACCCATGCGCAGAGGCTGCTCCGCACGCTTATAGTACATAGAAAAGAAGAGCATAGTACCAGGGTTAATTGAAGATTCGAAGACACCTAGAAACGTGCGTGCAGCCGCTTCTCCAGCGAAATTAAAGGCAGCTCCATGACACATCAGAACGATACCCCATATAATGACCTAGAAATGTTAATCGGGATCTGCCATAAAACTAATAAATACTTACTGTGGCGGACATAAAATAGTTAATAGGAAGCTTTTGTAGCATAACGCTCGTTGGAAGCTCCCAAACGAGATAGCCCAAGTAAAAAATTGATCCAAGCCAAGAGTATTCGGTGCCCTTTAGGTTTAGGTCTTTCTGGAGTCCAAAGACTGCCGCATAGCCCAGAGTTGTCTTGTCAATAGATTGCAGAGCGTAAGTGACGCATAGGAGGGGAAGAAGGTAGCAATCTAGCTTCCATCGAAGCTTGGTTGACATCGCATCGTCGAATTCTTCCAATTCACCGCTTGACTGGTCGATGATCTTTTCGGGGTGTTCATCTATAAGTCCGGAAGGCTTGAAGTCGTTGTCAAGGTCCTTGGTGTTGGACATATTGTTGAGTATAATATAGATCAATATGGAGTTGAGTTTCTGTGAGAGAAAATGTCCTACCCATCAAGGCTACGTGAGCTTATAAATGAATTGCCATTGTATTAAATGATCGAAACACCCTATAAGCGCACTAGATATGCAACTGGTAGATAAGATAAGCTAAAATTACTTTAGATAAATCTACTTTAATCTGAGGAAAACAGGGGCTATAATTTAGATTTATCAAGGTTATCCTCGGGGTTTTTTTTAAACACTTGTATCTAGCTTGAAAGCCATCCAATCATCGTGGAGTGAAAACGCCTATCTAAGTTCGTATCGCTTTCGCCGCGGCGATATCTCCGCGGAAAGAATAACGGGCCTCGGAATGATGGGCCGCAATGCCTAGGTACCTTATCAAGATGATTCCATCATATATAAGCCATGAACTTCCTTATCAGTAACACGAGCTGAGTTTCTTCTGTATCACCTTTATCCCAACCAACATCATGGCTCCTGGAATCATTGCCGACGACTCAGCTGTTATTACTTCGAAGAAAAGCGAATTCTCTCCTCTATATTCTGTTAATAACGAAGAACTTCAGGCGAAAGCAGAAAAGTTCTTGGGTTACTACGGCACTAAGTACAGCAAGGATGTGATTTGTGGTACTAAGGATCTCCACGTATATACGGCGTCAGGACGAAAGGTCCTCGACTTCACTTCTGGCCAAATGTCCTGTCTACTAGGCCACGGCCACCCTGAGATTGTGAAAGTCATTGCAGACCACGCAGCATCACTCGACCATCTCTTCTCCGGCATGATTTCTCCACCTGTAATCAGTTTGGCCGAAAGACTGTGTAACCTACTACCTCAAGGTCTTGATACAGCCTTCTTCCTCTCTACAGGAGGCGAGAGCAATGAAGCAGCAATCAAAATGGCCAAAATATTCACAGGAAAATTCGAGATTGTCGGCCTCGGAGCTAGCTGGCACGGTGTTACTGCACAGGCACTAGGAACGCAGTATCACTACGGTCGCAAAGGCCAGGGTCCTCTGATGCCAGGAATGCTCATGCTGCCACAGCCAAATGCGTATCGTTCCGTTTTCCGTCGAGCAGATGGCTCATATGACTGGGAAGCTGAGATGGAATACGGCTGGCGTCTGATCGACATGCAGTCTTGTGGCTCTCTAGCAGCTTGTATCGTCGAATGCATCCAGTCTTCAGCTGGTATGCACGTACTTCCACCGGGATATCTGGCTGCACTAAAGAAGCAGTGCGAGAAGCGTGGTATGCTTCTCATTGTGGACGAAGCACAGACTGGTGTTGGCCGTTGCGGCGATATCATGGCAATCGCCCACGAGGGCGTTACTCCCGATATTCTCACCCTGAGCAAGACGCTCGGAAATGGATTACCTCTCAGTGCAGTTGTCACTAGCACTGAAATCCGTGATGTCTGTGCGGAGAGGGATTACTGCTTCTTCACAACGCACGTGAATGACCCTCTACCTGCTGCTGTCGGCGATAAAGTCTTAGAGATAGTCGTTCGTGACGGTCTGGTCGAACACTCTCGGGCCATGGGAAAAGTGCTACATGAAGGACTTCTAAGCCTAAAGGAAAAGTACGGATGTATTGGAGATGTACGAGGACGAGGTCTTATGGCGGGAGTGGAGATCGTGGAGGATCGCGAGACAAAGACGCCAGCACTGCCCCTTGGAAAAGCCATTGGTGACCGTGCTTATGAGCTGGGTCTATGGGCCAACCTGAGCAGTCACCCCAGCTTTGGAGGTGCATTCCGTATTGCTCCTCCTATCACTATTACCAAGGAACAGCTGCTCTGCGGCTTGCAAATTCTGGAGGAGGCTTTTGCATCAACTCCTGGCACTATGCCGTTGTAGCCTCAAACAACTCAGCTCGAGATTCTAAAACTATCAGTATCTTTTAATAAGAAAAATTTCTCACATATCTATTGAACTTCATTTGATATCAAGGTTCCAGAACTAAAATTGGAAAACCTCGATTTCGTAAACAATAGTCAACCATTAGACTCTGAAATCTTCATTTGCTTTTGTGTATAGTCGAAGAGCTCAAATTGTCAAAATGTACCTTTAACACCATTATTTTCTTATTTGCTTTCATCACAGCTTCCATCACTTGCAGTCATGAATCTTGCATATGCTTTAAAATCTTTACATCATCTTCTTCTTTGGACTTACCATATAAAATCACATGGCGACGGATAGTGGAGACCAACTCCAGGAGAGAATCTAGGTAGGGAAAGTGAGGCTCTTTCGCTTTCCATCGGATCAGTATGACTTCTCGATTGACCGGCCGCTTTCATTGTTGTCAACCCGCACCCGCACTAACCCGTGGACACTTCAACACCCGTATTAACAGGACTCTCATTTCATGTACTTGGATAGTTCTTCGTGTTTGTTCGCCATTATTGCTTCGGAGATACAGACTGCCAGACAAAACCAATTCATCTCACCTTTACTACTTGATTGCCATTGTTTGATACTCTACCTTCGAAGATCACAAAAACCATATGAATAGGGGATTACTCCCACATCGACTTATTCAGCGCTCTTGATCCCAAGGGCCTTTGATCGACTACTCTACAGACTTCAGGTTGCGAGTTTATCTCATCAGTAAGGTACGTTATACTTACAGTTTAGGTCTACGGGTCCACAGTGCGTAACACCGCCTTATACCATCTAATACAGATACTTCAGAGTAATATTTAATGAGAATTGAATAGTTAGTTAGTTGGTTAACTAGGACCTTTCAACTATATTTATTATCATGTGTTTAGAGCGAATTCATTCTTGATACATGCTTTGTAAAGTATCCCAAATGCTCGGAAACATGGCGTCAATAAAAGCCATATCTGGAATGTATGGCTGATGTTGATGGAGACTCGTTGCATCACGAAACTTTTCAGCAGTCGGTGTTGATCTCAATAGCGTTTGAACAACTTCTGAATGTTGAGCCAGACACATATCGGCTAGATCCCACCCCATATTCTCTTTGTGGACTCTTAGGGATGTAAGAAATTCATCTGCCATCAGCAGAGATGGACTGTTTGAGAGTCCATCAGGGCTTTGCTCCATTTCAAGAGCAACTCGGATAAGAAATGTGACGGTGGAAACAAACGTGAAAGCTGCCACAGGAAGCCAAAAGTCGCCGAGCTGCGCTTCTTGAAGTTCCTGGACTAGAATTACAATTTCTTCTGTAGTCCTTCGAGCATTGATGCTCTGATTGGCTAATAGTTCTGGGCTCGAGTCAGAGCTTTGCCGCCCTCTATCGAGATTGATTCGCTGAATGAGTAGCTTCATGGATAAGTAGGCCAGGCGGAGATTTGATGCACCGGGAATATCTAGCTTGACACCGCGAATAATGATCTTACGGACGTCGCCTCTTAGAGTTTCGACCCACTTATTGAGCTTCAAATGGAGGTTCCACTCAGAACTCGGCACAGTAATATTGTAGACTTCTTCAAGGCAATAGTCGAGAATGCTAGTCAACTCTGCAAGCGCAATAAAAACTTCAAGAGCACCTGCACTTTCATATTGGCCAATAAAGTATTCGCTCTTTGGGGGCGGAACGTCATATTGGAATCGTCTTATATGCGGTGGAGTGCCATATGACAGACTTGACCTATATGATTCGAGTCATTAGAGAGCTAGGTCGTAAGGTGTTTGTGGACTTTATCTTACCAGCGATCATGAATCAGCACGGACCACCAGATCTTTATTCTGAAATGTTTTTCTGAATCTGGAATATCCCAAGGAATCGGATTGCGGTTCAGTCCTAGGGAATTGCAGAGAGCGACTGCTGCGCCAAACTGAACGCCATTTCCAATCATTGAAGTTGTTGGACGCCCATTGACATTGATGAGAATTGCAGTTATCGTAGATATTCCAGGCGATAGATGAAGTTCCGAGTAGAGAGCCTCGCATGCTAAATTCCAGATGAATCGGTCGTCTGGACGTCGCACCTGGGATAGCTTCGGGTCATATCTCCAGAAAGGGAGCATATGTCCATAAAGACACGCCAGAAGAGCTGGAGAAATACGGTCTTTAGCATTATGATATTGCGCTTGAAAGCTGCTTGCATCGAAAAGTGGAAAACATGGGTTTATCTTCTTCATGTATCTTTTTTCCTGGTTAGTCCAAGGTTAAAAAGGCATCGGAATTGCTCTGTTCACTCACAGTTCAACCAGATGCGATCCCCAAGGCTCGAGGAGCTTCTCAATTATCTGGAGCTTTTGGAATGCCGGATTTGAGTTGAGCAACATTCCAAGTGGTCTTTTCTCAACCTTTGTGAAAACTATAGGCGACGAGCCACTAGGCTGAGCACATCGGATGGAACGCATTCCTTGATTCCCAGGAGCAGAAGAGAGATAATCAACTAGCACGTGGCTATCGCGTACAATAGCTGGACCGATGATATGTGGATTATCATTCTCAGCGTCAAGAGCCAAGGGTGTATCTTGAGTCGCGCATGTATTTGGCCATTCTGATTGATTAATTTGGGGAGATGGAGCTAATTGAAATGTCGGCGTTGTACGGGGATGTTGAGACTGTGCAGTATTAAGATCAGGTTGGGGAGTTGCTGGAATCACCAAATCCTTCGTAGGCAACCGAGATTGATTGCGGCTATAGGGAACATGGTTTTTGTAGTTCTTGCGCCGTTTCTCTGGGTACAAGCACTCTGTACCGTGAGCACGACATGCTAGGCAAATGGTGAAGTTCGCCTCTTGCGTGCATCGTGATTTTCGACTTCGGCAGGATAAGCATGCTGGCCTGGAGTGGGACCTGTAAGGGCGCTCTCTTCCCTCACTTTGCGGCCTAGATTCAGAATTCTGGAGATCTGAGCGGAGATTTGACATAGCGCCGCGGAGTATCTTGCAATCGAGTACGGAGTACGGAGGGAATTGTTCTTTTTCTCAAACTAGAGATTACTAACTCGATGTACGTATAGGCTTATCAGGGGATGATAAGCTATCTATTCCTATCCAAGGCTAAAATCAGTCAAATATATACTTGAAAACACCAGAAAAACACCAGAAATATACATCTCATCTGTCTCTAAGATTCATACAGATAGAATACAAGCTTTTTTTTTCGCAAAAATTGAAATTAGAAAAGCTGCGAGTTGATTTTTTGAAGCGTGCAGTTATCGGGGTTATCCCGAAGGATTAGCTGGCTGATATGATATGCCGCGGAATACCCGATATCTCAACTTTCCCGCGGCCCGTGTTATCTATAGCCTCGCCACCATTTCAGATAAGTTATATCATGCGAACTTGACCCTTTTCCTCATCAAGCTACCTCGATGTTCTTAGTTCGTCTTTCAAATTTCTACACATAGATAGAACAGAAAATGGCATCTGTTCATCCCTACCAGAAGCTTAACATTGACGAGAGGGTGAAGAGAGTACTTTTGGAAACACCACTCATTGACGGACACAATGATTTACCCCAACAGCCCAGAGCTTGCTTCCATGGCAAAATTCACGATAATCCAAAATTTGATCTGGAGAAAGGGTTTGAGAGGGGAATGACTGATATCCCTAGACTACGTGAAGGTACGTTTAATATAACCTGGGATGTTGACATTGTTCTAAATCGAAGGCTAGGTGCTGTTGGTGGCCAGTTCTGGTCTGTCTGTGTTCCTTGTCTGAGATCTGCCGAGAACTTTTCAACGCCCGAATATTCAGATATGGCTCGAGATGCGATTGAGCAAATTGACCTAACTCTTCGTCTTGTTGAGTCTCATCCGGATGTCTTCCAGCTTGTCAATGGTCCAGATACAGTCAAAGAGGTGTATAAGTCCGGAAAAATCGCATGCTCTATTGGAATTGAAGGGTAATCGTCTTGACTCATCATAATCATCCGAACCATAGCTAATAACTAGTAAACAGGCTTCATATGGCTGGGAATAGCATCGGAATCATTCGAGCTTTCTACAGATTAGGTGTTCGATATGTAAGCTATGACTTTCACAAGCTTATCTACTTATGTAGAAAAGTCACCTGGGAGGTCACATTAATCACATCTCTTACAGTGCACTTTGACTCATGTCTGCAACAACGCCTTTGCGGATAGCTCGACATCTAAAGTCGGGCCAGTTCATGGCGGACTCTCAAAACTAGGACGATCTGCCGTTGTCGAAATGAACAGACTCGGTGAGTACAAGCTTTATCTTTAATCTTTTAGTCAGATACCTAATTAACAGAAGATATTTAGGAATGATCATTGACTGTTCGCATGTATCTGAAGACTGCGCAAAGCAAGTCCTCGCGCTGACTCGTGCGCCTGTCATGTTTTCTCATTCTAATGTTCAAGCAGTCTTCGACTGCCCACGTAACGTGCCAGATGATGTTATTGACCTGGTACGTGATAACGGTGGAGTTATCATGGTGACCTTTGTACCCGAGCATGTCACCACTCGCCGTGCAGATGCCACAATGGACATGGTACTAGATCACCTATTCTATATCGCAGACCGTATTGGCTGGGATCATGTTGGCCTGGGCTCTGACTTTGATGGAATTGCATCTGTCATTCCAGGCTTGGAAGACGTTAAATGCTATCCAAAGCTTCTGCAGAGAATTCTGGATCGCGGCGCAACTGAAAAACAGCTGGCTAAGGTTGCAGGCGAAAACCTGCTCAGAGTGTGGAGAGGTGTTGAGGCGACTCGCGATCAAATGGCAGCGGAGGGTGTTAAGCCTGTAGAGGATGTTTGGGAAGATCGGACTTGGTGGCGCTACGATGGTTATTACCAAATGCCAGACCCGGATCCGGAAGACAAACTGGGACTGGATTGGTATGGTGTACCACCTCCGAGTGAAGGATTATATCTCAAAGAAGGCGAAAAATGATCCATTATAGATCACCGGTGCTTTATGGAATATTTTTTACATCTGATATTGGGTACCTACTGTAGAAATGAGTAGAATCTTTTGCATTGGGTTGGGTCTTTCGGATGTAAGTGAGCTTCTTTTGAAAAAGCATTCGCCTGAAAGGGCATGGCAAATTCTGCGACAAGAGAACTGCTAAATGATTCCAGACATCAATTCAAATCCTTAAATTGGGTTTATGAGTTATTTCAGCGCTTATATTTGAATCACCTAACCCAAACTAGTGAAACTACGAGGTAAATGGCGAACTAGGTAGGTTATGTTTGGCGATTTTTGTGAAAAGGGCCTATGAGTGTCATAATGAGACCTCGCCTTTCTGACTTGTATAAATTGAATTCGGCTTCAATAAAGGTTGGGTCAACAAGGATATATGTCTCAGTAAAACCTACAGAAGGGCTTTTTTATCATACTAAATCCTTCCTTTGTAGCGTATGAAAACCTACTGTCTCATCCTAATTTCTCTATTCAATGATTATTAATGGTTTTCAGTGGAAAATATCCCATTGATGAAATATGAACAGCTACAGAACATGGTTCATTCATTAGATAACGAAAAGAAAATATAAAACCTGACCTCAGTCTGAGCCCGTAGGAACACGGATGCCCCAAGATGCCATGAGCTCTTGCATCTCCTGAATCGAGATCTGCTGGTCTCTTTCCTGCTCCAACCGCAGTGGCTCGTCCTCCGGTGTTCTCCGCGGTGTGAGTTGGCGAACGAGTTGCCACCTTGGTCATCATGTAGACCAATATTCTCAAGATCTTCTTGTATTACGAAGCTTCAGCATTCACGGGGTAAAAACAGCACTCCATGTCGTCATTTAACTTCAGGAAATGGAAGGCTGAAGAGCCTGTAGCCTCCCCGTACACAGATAAGTCATTCTTTCTAGCGGCACGGCGTTTGTTCGCCACCATGCCCATAGCCCAGGCACTGGCCGATTTCACTCTCAGCTTCCAGGATGTTCTTCGCTTCTACACGAACGATACCGGTAAAGGCGCCCTCAGAAACACCATACCAGATCGTATAGTCGGGCTTTCCCGTCAGCCGAAATTGTTGATTGTCGTAGGTAACCGGGCCATAGTCCCACAAAATCTCAACCCGAAGATTGATAAGCTGTGCGTTCTTGATTTTCTTGGCTGAGACTATCTTTTCTGCAAGCACGAGGAGATGGTTCAACGTAGATCGAACCGAAGCTTCATTCTTTGAGCTCAATCCAAATGCCGATTGGATATCTGCGGGCCATTCAACTACATAAGTTAACCCTCTATCTTTAACCCATTCGATTCTTTGAAGACGTAATGCGGGAGGGTCGAATTTCCACGCCTGGGATATCCAAAAACTCCCGTGATTTTGTCACGTTGACAGACAATCCCATTGCTTTGATGATCTCGTTGGTTGATAGCTTAGACATAGCAAGAGGGGGAACCTGAGATACTCTTTGCGCCTCCAACAGTTTTCCGACTGCATCGAAGAAGTCTTGGATGCTGGTCTTCTGGGCATTCGCCTTTCCCCACTCAGTACGGAAGTTGTGCCCGAGCCGGCATGCGGAGAGCTCTTTATTGGTTGGCATCCTTAGAATGAGTAATAAGATGAGAAATATTTCGCGAGGGTGAAGGTATCTATGCATGGGAAGTTTGTTTGCACTTTTCTGTGGTGTCGTTGATATGCCCCAAATGGGACTGGTCCCTTCCCGATGAAGAAACAAGAGTGCAATACGTCACAAACACTCGCTGATCGAACAAATAATAGGCCCTCCTTTTTCTCTGGAATCCCAACCTATCATGCCAAAGATGTCTGATTTTGAAGTACTCCAGAAACTTGCCGTTCAACGTGCTGCACTTGCCGCACATGGATTTATACCTGAGTACCACGATACCAAAGAACGCAAAAAGAAGAACACACTTCATAAATGTTAAATAAGGGCACAAAACTCTGTACACTTATGCGTTACAAAAGAACACAGGTATAGCTACAGTAATAGAACATAATGCCACGCTTGAACTTCCCCGGCGGCGGGCTTACCACATAGCAACGTGGCTCGCGAGATTTCTTATGCATGAGAGAAGTTGTTGGGCGTAAGAATCGCATTGGAAGTTAAGTGATGAGTGTTCTATAGTAATTGGGGGGGGATGAAGGGCATCGACTTACAGCTTTGAAAAGAGATATTGATGCGAAGAATGGGTAAATTATAGGTCTTATTTAGAAGTCCTACGTGCTAACTTTTCTGAAGAGAAGCTCCTGATTGGGTCTTTATGTATGATAGCCCTATTTGTAATACTCGTATTATTCGAGAGTGGTTAGTGGGAAATAGGATAAACGTGATGGATTGGTTACTCATCTGATTTGAAGCCTATTGACCATGTGTGGGCTAAGCGTAAGGAGATAACTGATAGGTAAAGTGTTATACAGGTCCTTCTATCCTACGAAGCGCAAAGTTAAAGCCTGTGGTCACCCAGCAGGAGTCATTAGACTGCCGTAGCACACAACGACACCCCGATTAGTGCCTTAAAAGCACCATATTTGAAGCTGATCTTCGAGTGGATCTTTATTCCGTGCCCACTAAATAAGTAAAATCTCAAAAGGTACGCATAGAAAGCCGTCATCTGCAGGTGTGGTCATATTTCAAATTCTATCCATATTATTTCGTACATAAGTCACGAACCCAGTTCCCCCGCCAACTTTTCAGCCAAATTCTCAATAAAAGCTGAAGAAAATTTTTGTTAAGTTGTAAAAGTGGCCTTCGTTGTGACTTAGGCACAACCGGTTGGAGCAGCACCTAGAGAAGCCGGATACACAGCAGTCTGCTTCGGGTTCTCACACTGACAATAACGAGTTTCAAGGGCAATCCCATCACAAGCAGTGCCAGTAGCAGTGGCACAGTACTCATTTGTACGTGTAGAAGTTGTCATTCCAGACGGGCAGGAAGTATAGGGCATGCAGAACACTTCAACACTGGAGTCACTATTGACAGCCGTCATACTATACCATTGATCAGAAGAACAAGTGCAAGAGACCACTACAATAGAAATGGTTATGTTAATAAAACTCTTTGTTCTCAGAAGAGAAATAAATGTGATGTCTCACCTGAAATGGTGGTGGATTTTCCACCGGCTAAAGTTCCCTCGAAAAGGGTCGAGGTCGAGTACGGTACAGCGCCATTTGAGCAATCTGTTGTAATCCAATCGGCGTCGACTGGGAAACAGGTTGACTGCTCTATGCAATGACCTGGATGATAGACTGAGGGGAAGTACCCACTCTGGCATTGAATGGGGGGTTCCGGGCTATGGCAATAAGAGATCGGTTTTCCCACTGTGCACTCGGTCGTGTAGAGAACGGTTGATCCAGCCGAACACGTAAGAGCTGGTGCTGTAGTCACGGCTGGTGTGGCAGTAGCTACAGACACGGAGACAGATGGCTGTACTGACTCGGCGACAGAGGTCTCGCGAGGGAATAACGATGCGGTAGCAAAGGAGACGAATGGAATAAACGTGATCAAGTAAGATGAACGCATTTTGACAGCCGACAAATGCATGAAAAATATGATAAGATGAAAGTTGGGAGGAATTGACCTTGAGTATAATATTTGTTTTCAAGTAGATTGAAGTATATTTAAGAATTGCGATAATTTTTGCCTTCGAGGATTGTCCGCATTTTATACCTCCAGCGGCCAAGCTTAGAATATTGGAAGATTGGAAAATTTATGTGCCACCGCATCACCTGGTACTGTACCTGAGTGCTTGGCGATCGTTTAATCCACTTTTACTTAGGTTTCTCGATCAACAGTCATCTCGTAAACAGCAGCTACATTGCTATTATCTTCCAAGGATAGACACGAAAGCTACCTCAATATCTCCACATAACCTTGAGATCCATCATCGAGGCTATATTTATCAAGGATGGATATCATGGCACAAAATTAATACGAAATGGATAAAAATAGGTAAATCAACACCAACAGGATCGGGCCCTGAAGTAAAAAAAGAGTGGGACTCAGTGGGCCGACTCAGCCGCACAGCTGCACAACTCCGAATAAACAAACCCTTCATCCGGACACACGTCATATCCTTACAACATGGTTAGGTTGTTGCCGATCTTGCCGATTCTGACCTCGTAAGATAGGTGGGTTTCTTCAGAATACGTTTCTTTATGGTGACCTGGACAGTGCTCGCCAAATTCCTCCAGAGATCCCCTGTCGACAATACGACGTGCTGATTGATAAATGGGCCTAGACTTTCCAAGGTTGAATTTAATTGATATTGATAGAGAACCTTGGATCAAACATAAACTTTTCCAAGGGATGTCGCTCCAAATCTTGGCAACGTGTTCCACGTTATGTACAATTTAGCTCGAAGATAGTTTTACTAGTTACCATGCAACGATCAACTACTGCTCTGCCCAGGTGGCTGAATACTCTTTTCCAATCTAAAGGGAACTGATTAGTTTTCAATAACTTGTCCTAGATTAACAATTTTCCGAGACCTGCTTATGTCTCATTCGTATTACCTTGGGTTTCATGGCAACAGTGCTCAGGTCCAGCTATCGCCCGTTGACTTATAATTTAGTCCGAGACACCGTTTAAGATATTCCGAGCTATTGTGTAAAAAAACGGCTTACTGTCTCACTCTGGACCCAGAAGGCGAAGTCTTCCGAAGTCTTAAACCCTGCCGATCTTACCGATAGAAGGTAAGGATGATTCTATCAGACCTCATTACAAGGTGGGTCCGTGGTCCACTATTATCTCTCACCCATTCATCCACCTTAGATCATTATTTCTTGAAATTTTGAACTTTGGTAATGTACCTCGTAACATCTTTAGCTTTATTTATTATCTGCGACGGAAATCTACACTCAAACTAAAAAATCATAGAAAATCCTTCTTTTAACCTACTATGCCCAAGTTAGATCTAACTCAGGAAAAACGGGTAAATAAGATATTCCTTTTTTGTATGAAAACAGCGATAAGCTTAATTTTATCCCCATGTCACCCTAGTCTCACCCCATTCATCTAATCTCACCCGATCTCACCTAAATCTCCCAGCTGTTTATTGTGCACTCATCTAGGCGACAACCACCCGATTATCGCTGATAATTTAGTAGTACAGTGGGCGAACACATGCAAATCTTTGCTGTTGTGTGTTTTTATTCTTTACTTTTTGGTATTTTTGACGTGTTTAGGGTGAGAAGTATTCCATATTCTGAATGAATTCAGAAGAATAGGGGGTGGGGGTGAGGATGGGAAGATATGGTCCTCCCCTAATGTCTTTACTCTATTTACTATGAGGAACTTTTCAAGTACACCCACTTCAAACGAGGGAATTAAATGCATCAGGTAGGTGGCAAATCTAACCTACAGGATCCGGGCTCTGCCGGGCGATCAATCGTTGATCCGCTAATTTGTCTTCGGCAAAGACCAGTAGTTAACCAACATTGGTTCTCTAACAAACAATATTTGGCTCGTTAACAACAAACTTGGTATTCGGCCACCCTTAGTACTGGGGTTGGAACTGTGTCTCTTCTGACACCATCCCACGCCGTTACATAGTTTTATTAAATCTCTCAGAAACGAAACTAGTGATGGAATGACATAAGCATTAAAACCTGCCTCAGGCTAACATCTTACCTGGGTCACCTGGTTTGCATAGATGGTTTGTTATAGGCGTTTTGGGTGAATTTTAGAATAGAACAAGTTAACACAATGATTCAATTCATCTAATTAGATATTTATTTCTTCTTTCTTTTTTGTGAGTACTAAGTAGTATCATGACTCGACGGGCTGCCCATGGCTAAGCCTTAACGAGTTCTGTCGATTGCCGTTAGTCAAATACTAATATTTTCTAAAATCCCTGTGTGTCTCCGAAGAGGGTGCCCGTGTCTCGACGACGGCCGGTCTAGAGTTCGCCCATGACTACGCCTTAACGAGGTCTCTAGCGAAAGGAGTCTTCAACTTCCTCTTCAACTTCTGAAACTCCTATACTTTCCAGTTTTAGACTTACTACTGGTCTTAAAATTCTCTAACTTTCGGATTTTACCACCATGAGTTCTTTAACTTCTGATTACCCAAGTTCTGAACCCCAGAAAGCTCAAATTTAAAGGAGAATGTACCACCCGGCAGTCCCTCCAAGCGCCCAAAGAAACACGAAGACCTCATCAATAACCCAGAAATCCAGGACGAAGAGAGCTCCCAAGGGTCCGGAAACAATAATTTCGCTGAAAAAATGTCTCTTTCGCCAAAAAAGTGCTAGAGCTTCTCCAAAAAACGAGAACTTTGAGATTGAGGAGTTCATTATGTTGACAGACGTTACATTGAAATTAGGCAATTCTCTTTGGAACCTGCTAGTTCCTGGTATCCAAAAATCCGGAAACCCCTTTTGCCTGAACAAAGCATTCTTGAAATCAAGATGCCAAAATGAAGACATGAAGTGATTCTTCCCTGGCTGGTGATTTGTGATCGGATATGGATTTGCGAGATGGGCCTTTATAATGCCGCTGAGTGCCGCGATCTCATGATATACGCAAACCCACAAGTCGGTTTTGTGAATCTTCTATATAAGGGCAAAAAGATAGAACCTAATGTTCTGACGATCTCCAATCGCGCTCCCTCTACATCTCCAGGAAAATCGCCACTGTCGAGTATCGTTATCGAGCCGGTTTTAGCCAGAGCTATAAAAGCCTCGAAGAATATGCCCACAAGATCCTTATTGGGGCGGCCCCCGCAGCATGTCTCGTGATACTGGGGAAGTTCTTTCGCCGAAAACTCGGAATTGTCGTTCGTTTAGAATTCTGGGGGCTAAATGCTGCGGGAATTCCCAACTGCTATGAGGAACGAAGCATTTTTCTAATTCTCCAAGAACTACCTCTTTCCCTTACCAGTGCTGAACTCTTTAGGTCAAGCCTGGTGTTCGAAGACCGAAATCCTGAATATCTCTTTCCCCTCGACTTTGACGAGCTGTGGAACAAGATTCGAACCACTTTAGTCCACCAAGGTATCCACCCACACCTATAATAAGGGGTTTTCTCAACATTGACCATATTTCATCTTGATTTCACCACCATCCTGGAAATCTATCAATTCACCGACCCGGTACCGAGACCATTTTTTGGTTTCAGATGTCCCCTTTACCGGTTCTCTGTAGTTCCCGATTTCCCTGAGCAGAGCTACCACTCAAGTCACTATCAGTGGAATCAGTGGCGATCAGGTTTGAGGCACCAAGCACATCCGCGGGTTCGAAATATTGTCCATCCTTGTTTCCAAGTTCCTGAAAATTCTAAAATCAGTATTCAAGATCTAAACTTGACTTTGAAAGAGCTATCATTTGAGATATTTAGAATAGAAATTATACATGGATGTTTTATCTCTAGGGCAGACTTTTCTACTTGAGCCGAGAACTGCGCCCGAATTGGTGAAAGATCCCGAAGCCCGGAATTCAGATTCTCTTCCTCTTGGCCTGTGAGTTGCTGTGGAGATATCCACTCCGATAAACGGCTGATAGCTACAGAAGACATCTACGGTGTAATACAAGTTCCGTCGGATTCTCGAATAGGACTAGCGACCGCTAGTCCGTACCCACTGCCTTATCCTGACCTCATGTAAACACCAGATTTCAGTTACGTCTTTGTCAAGTGGCTTGGTGAATAGAATCCCTGTGATGTTCTCCGCCCTCGGTATCAGAGCATTTACTGATGGAAAGCAAGGCTGTTTTAACTGTCACTGTGGTGGTAGTGGTACAGTCAGTAACTTGATTTACATATCAGTGATGTGTGTCGGGTTTGGCTCGGAGACATCGTGTTTGCAGTTCGTAGCATATGGACGAGAAGTCTAAGCACACTGCGCATAGTTGCTCGGTATAGTAGTGAGATTCCGAGAGCTTCACTATTCTGTGGCTAGAGAGCATTATTTAAACGAAAGCTTATGAGGTCACGTACCTGGGACTTGTTCTTGATCTTTGAGTATCGAAACGGAAATGATTGAATAGAGCTCTCTCCTGAGCTCTGCTATATGCAGATGATAAGGTAGCACCGTTTCAGGAGGGATAATTTGAACTAATAGTCTTTGAATATTCAAGTATGAGTGCCGCAGCCATGTATTGTCATATATTAGCTTAGTCTCACGATGTTACCCTTTTCATTGTGCACTCGCCTGAGCGACACCCGACTACTGACCGTGTTGAAGCCACACACTGGCCAGTTAGTACTACGGTGGGTGAACAAATGCGAATCCTGGCTGTTATATGAATTTTTATTTTTTTATTTTTTGATTTATTTAATTGGCTGGGTAAGCAACCCTGGAGTTTTTTTCAAACCAGGTCTCCATAAATTGAGTTTTATATATTTACTTGTGCATACAGTAAAGTTTTGACGCCATCTTCCACCGGCATGAGCTACCTGAACGACAACACCGAGGCCTACCGAGAGGCTAAGGACGAATACATCGACAACTTCAACGGACGACAAAAGAACTGAAACGAGGGGAGGAGGATTCTACGAAGGGGGAGATGGGAAACGAAGAAAGTGGGCTACTAAGGGAGATCTACGGACTATTATGCATGGAGGGCGTTCTGGTTTAAAGTGTGATTTTGTTTTATAATGGCATGACGCCATATTTCCTTTCTAACTATTGTCTACATTATGGCGTTCTAAATACTCTTGTTTCCGCCGGAGGAAACGCCTGCATAGCCATTCGCTACTAGTTAAGCTGCATTAATAGAGTATTGGTTGATTGATTGATTGATATTTCAATTTTCCGATCCACATTGTCAGCAACCTCCCATTAATAGTCACAAAACGCCCGAAGCATGGGAAATTTCTATCAAAAATTTGGATGATAAGGTCAATCACTAAATGTCCGGAAATCATAAATTAGCAGATAGCCTGGGTCAGTGAAGAGTTTGGACCATGATGAAAGCAGAAATGGATGGTATCAAAATGGTTTCCTTGAGGAAAAAAACAGCTATAGAGGAAGCGCAGCGATGAAGAGTGTGACTGGATCCGGAGGCAATCAAAATCAGAAGGATATAGTCACCAGGTTCGATACTATCCCTTGACTGACAGATAACGGCTTTTATCTTATGAGAAAGCTTCCAAGGCAGCAATAAATCTTGGAGATTGATCTGACAATTCCTGCCTGAAATTTGCCTGATGATGCCTTAAAATCCTTAGAAATCAAAACCTAACTAGTGAAATGGGGAACGCTCTAGGCAGCACGGTCGGAACGTGCAGGTCGATTCAGCTAGGAAAAACCAACCACAATCACAAGGGAAGGCTCAGTAAGCGTAGGGAGTCAAAAAGTGAAGAGGTGTGTAAAGGTGGACATTCTGTAAATATCACAACTTCTAGATGAATGGTATCAGATGGTTCTGCCGTCTCAGACCGCTTTTTCCTTCATACTGTTTAGGGCTCCCCACTACACTAGTTAGTTAGTTATTTATAACTATTTACTTTGTAATCCAATGCTAGATTATTCTGCCACAGGCGGGAAGCGAAAAACGCGAAAAAAAACTGACCAGACTGGGGCTCGATCCCAGGACCTTGTCGGTGTTAACGACACGTGATAACCAACTACACCATCCGGCCAATCACATAGCAGGATCCCATTTACTGAATTTATGTACATAAATGATGATTTATGGTTGCGTTTATTACTTGATAATTTCGATCTGAAAATTACCACTAAATGTCGACCCATGAAAAATGATACATCGTGTCGACTTGGATCAATATATCACCTAGAGAATTTGTCTTCAGATTGATTTCACCGCCAGTCTTGGCAAACCATCGATTTTCCAGATTATTGATAAAGCCTACAGGGTTCTGAGTAGAAGATGGGCTGTTTTAAATCACACGGCGATACACACCTGACTATACTGACTATAGTAGCTTTATAGCTCACTTTTGTGGTCATTCTACCACATACGACCACAGGGTATGGAAAACAGGGCTTCCCGTCCGCTCAGCCGTACTTAAGCCACACGCCGGCCAGTTAGTAGTATGGTGGGTGACCACATGCGAATCCTGGCTGTTGTATGTTTTTTGTTTTTTTTTTTCTATTCTCTCTGACGCTCCCGATCAGGATGACCTCGAATCACTTGAGCTGAGGTCTTTAAACTAACACCTAAAAACGCATTGAGGATAGTAAGCAGATACCATAAGGGCGGCAGTTCTTCGTGAGGGCATTCCAGCAACTTTTCTGGCTCGTACAAGACTGAAAATTGAAGGAGCTCTAAGTTATCACTGTTTTCATCTCGATATCAAAATTCAGGTAATTTGGAGTTAGATTGGTGGTGTGGTGGTCAGTTGAAATTCACGGTAAGGTTTGATGGGGGTTTGCTAGAATGACTCTATTGGTGACCTCACGCAGTCAAGTGGAGAAGGAAGAATGTAGTTTGGCCATAACGAGTCACCTGTCGCTGCGATTATAGACTGTAGCGTCAGATGGGGCCCGTCCGCGCTCCGATGCAGGAGGGAAGGTGGGAGGGACAAAATCGAGACTTGACTGCGTAAGAGATGACGAGTGTAACGGCGTACAAGGTGCGGCCAACAATGCTCAATTCAGTGTTCATCAGAGTATGGTATATATGGAGCTTGCGCATAATCTTCCGAACAGGAAGATTATAATGGTCTTTTGGCTCAAGTGAATGGTTTGCAAGCGCAAGTGTAGGTCGTTACAACGAGCTACCCGTAGAGGCAAGCAACTGACTCTCACGAGGCAGTTGTAGAGGGTAGAGGTCCTCAATAATGATGGTGTAGACATCACGTGAGGCTGCAGGCATTGTGAGGCAACCCCGATAAAAATACTCCCTCCATGACAGAACACACTATTGTAAGCGCTTACGAGGTACTTAGAGAGCACTTTGCAGTGCTCAGTGCTCACTTTGATTATTGATTGATGGGATTTAGGCTGTTCCAGACTTGGAGAAGGCAAATCAAACGTGGTGAGTGCCGAAAAGCGCTACCAGATTGTCAGGTTGTTCTGGTAGAGGGGCCGGGATGTAAATTAATCTGAAAGCCCTTTCTAAGCGCTTAAAGAGCATTCAACTAATAGATCCTTTCTAACGACCCATGAGGTGAGCCTCGCTATGTGTGCAGTGTGTTCATAGGGTAGTTGACCCTACTGGTCACCAAAATATTGGCCAGTTCGGAGTGATGGAACAATTGGTATTGATCTCTTACATGCCCTTTTTGATCAGGAAAACTACCTATGGCTGAGAGAAATGAAGAGTGTGGGATGATTCAGCGAACTTCATCTAGACTTCAATAGTGCGGTACGTTGAATACTTATAAAGCGCTTTCGATCTGCTCACTAAGCACTTGACTAATAATGTAAAGCGTTTCCACACTCAAAAGGTCCACAACGTCTTGAAAACCGGCCCTGTGAGTTATAATTCCATTATATCATACCTCAGGACTTGATGTCTTTTCCCTATTGTGTCATTCTCTCAGTTGGAGAGCATTTACATCCGCCGCCACCACCTGGGAAGCCGCCAGTAGAGATTTGGCAAGGCGTTCACCATCTCATTCAGTCTAGCAGAGATCCTAACCCATTTACAATTAAGTTCAAAAGCACTTTTGAATCACTTTTCTAGTACTAGCTTGATTTATAGTTTTGCTAATCTATAGCTGTTAGGCAAATATATTTTAAGCCCTCAGCTTCGAGAGATTTGTGCGCGCTATGATGCTCTGAGCCTTCCTGAAATCCAACAAAGCTTTTCAAATGAAGGGCATTTACGTTGCGTGACTCTCAATTAGAAGCTCCTACATTATCCGGCCGGGTTGCCCGACCGACCAGGAATTACGTTAATTCAGATGAAGCTCATTTTCTCTGTCCAACCAAATAACGCTCAATTTTTCTAAGTCCAACTACTGTAAGAATACCCCTAGTGGATGCTCATGTTTTTGCCAAGTCTTGGGCATCGTCCGCATATTACGAACGGTCTTAGCTTCATCAATTAGCTTCTGGGTCTGAGCCCTTTGGCCTTTGATATGCTGAAGCCACTTCTTCACAAACCTTTCTCCCTGATCATCAACCATTGTTATGGTGTCAAATTGGAATTGGCGCCAAGCTGCTAGCTGAACTTGAATATCCTCCTCGTCCTCCTCCTCATCCTCATCCTCTTCCTCTTCCTCACTATCTGATGCTGTCGATGCAATCGGCAGTCGAGACATCTGTTCTGATTGGACGGATGTCAGAGCTGCTCTGATTGGGTAGATGCAGCCTCAAGTGGGGCAGCGGAGTATTTCAGTTGGAGAAGTGACAGGGATTAGTTAACACACCTCTTACAACTTTGCACCATTACATTTACGAATCAGTAGATGCATATGCATTAGTAGGACGCGTCCAGTTTACCGACAGATGCTGAAGAGGTATCGCTCTCATTGTCCGGTAGTGGAGTAGGCTTACTGCTGTCAGCGGGTTGTTACCCGCAGAATAAGAAGAGCGGAGAGGAAGGCGGAGAGAGGAGATTGTTATGAGAAAGGACCCCACAGTGTATTCTTCAAGTATTTCAATGACATTCATCCGTACCAGTTGATCTGTACCGAGATCCCTGCAATACGCTTACATAAATTACTCTGAATCCTCTAAACCCACTGCTGCTCTAGCGTCGCTCTTTGGACCTGCTCCTTCAGCTACATCTGCCCTGGACTCGGCAGAAAACTGACCTGGACCGGTGAGCCTTTTCCTAATTAGGCTTAGTCCGGTCTCGGTATATCAAGCCGTCATTATTGCTTCTAAGGAAAGAGCAACTTACAAGTAACAAATCCGTAGGAAGGAGCTCACTGACATAGATAACTGCCCAGTCTGCTCTTTTCACTGTTCCGGTAAGTCTCTTTTCGCACCCTCTACATCTGCCAAGTCTTCAAGCTGATATCATGGCGCAGTGTATGCCCCCGCCTCGTCCCAAGTCAAGAACCCCGAAGAAGTCTGTCATGTCTGCCACCCGTTCAGAAAGCAACAATTCAGGTGTCTTCTCCAGTGCTGTTCAAAACGAGGTCAGAAACAAATCAGAATCTCGTTGCTGGGTCTGCAGGTCGTTGAACCCCGAGATCGCCCATGTCATTGGAAAGCAGGATCGACAGGTCCGTATTTCCGCGGCTGATTTCAATAGATTTAGACTAACTTGTTTGGACAGACTGGTCTCTGGACCGAGGTCGGGCTCATCACGTTTGAACTCACATCGATCTTCAATGGAATCGCTCTGTGCCCCCTCTGCCACGACCAGTTTGACTGTGATGGAGACCAAGGCCTAGTCATCGTACCGACAGATCTGGAGTTTTTGGTTGCTCATGAACACAAGGACCAAGAAAGACGCACCACCACCGAGATTGGCTCACCCCGCAAAGTACCTACCAACATCGTCTACTCTGACCAGGGTGGGCAGTTCAAGCCCATCTTCTTGAAGCAATACCTCGGCCCACACTTCAACTACAAAAATGCAATCTACTCAAGGATATGGCATGGCGCTCCAATAGCAATGCTAAGACGCTGCATGATGGCCCTGGGAAGCGCACGGGTATCTGTCATAAACAAGGATATCCGTCAACACCTGGTTGAACTCCAAACTCTTTACTTCGAAGAGCATACCGTGAACACCATTTCTATAAATAGGATCAACATTCAGGAAGCCGATCTCGGGCCATCCAATGAGGGAAACCCTAAAGAGGGAGAGCAACAGCCCTCGGGCGGCGAAGCTAACAACAAGAAGCGACCTACAAGCCACGAGGGTTCCCCATCAGAGAAGAGAATTAAGATCGGAAACGAGGACGGCCAAATCAATATGAATCCCTCAGAGAATATTGTTCTAAGCTGTAGCCAGGAGTACCAGGGCTGGGTCCTGGGACCGGGTTCGAGAGCTGTAGATGCCATTGAGAGATGGAGTTATATGTTTTAACGAGTTGTATTATTAGATCTTCGCTACTGATGAGAATATGCAAGTCTGGCTCATCCTGACCCAACCAAACCTGACTGTCGGTCGGTAATGAGTAGGGTTCTTCTAAAATGGGGGAGACAATGATTCGGATGCACTAGTTTACTGAGGGAAAACAAGTGGTTAGAAATATCATACCTAGGTAGAATTCTGTCTGAATCTAGGTATGCAGGTGGGTACGGCCCGGGCCGCCCCGGAAAGAATATAAAGCCTCTCCGGCCAATCAACCCGGCTAAACCCGGGGAAATAATAAAAGCGGAAAAAAACTTAGAGTCCTCACTCGATCCAAGAGTAAGTTGCTCTCTAGGGATCGAAAAAGGAAAAGGGAATAAAATAAAACGCATATGATGATGATGATGATGATGATATTCTATTAACCTGATGCTGCCTAGCTAGAATCGCAGTGGCAATGCAGGCGCTTCGTCTGGATAATGGGTTGCGACGATAGTGATGAATCTTATATAGAAGCACGAGATGACTTTAGTAGTGCTTCTAGTCATATCGATAGAAGGGAAGCCTGTCTACTAGAGCAAAACACAGATGACAATTCCCTTTCTACTATGCCAGGAAGTCAAATAATGGAGTGGATTGAGAAAAGTACCTAAAATACGTTGGCTTCGAAGTTGTGATCACAAATGAACAATTCATTTGCCCTCTTTTATCCTTTCTCCGGGGTCAATTTTGCACGAAAGTTTCATAGAATACAAGCCCAGTTTCCTAAAGTTTAAGTACAGCGTATCTCACCAGTGAGCTAGACTCGCAACTATGAAGTCCTATTAAGTAATCGATCGAAGTTCCTTGGTCGAGAGCGCCAAGTAGATCAAGTCACCTAATGAAGTCTCTTACTTGCTATAGATGTTCCCCTAAAGGACAAGGGTATTCTAACTGGTAGATTAACAAAGTAGTGACCATGTTACTTATTACGGTTGCGATGAACACGAAGAACTAAAGTAAGTACAGTGAATGAGTGTCCTTACATCCTTTGCGTCATATTCATGGCTAGTTGCCTTTTTTACAAAATGTGCAGTAATCATGCATTAGCTAGCTTTATTATGTGGCTATGTGCAGATGCGAAGGCAGCACTGTTTCAAGAGAAATTACTTTATCCAATAGCCTTTAAATATTCAAGGATTAGTAAAGTAGTCATATATTAGCTTAGTCTCACCCCAACCTCACCCTGGCTCACCCGATTCTCACCCTGTTTATTGTGCACTCACCTTGCTCACCCCCGGTCGCGCGACGATAAAGCAGCGCTCACCCATTGCTCACCCTGGCGACACCCACCCGACTATTTTCCGCGTTTAAGCCACACGCCGGTCAGTTAGTAGTATGGTGGGTGACCACATACGAATCCTGACTGTTGTATGTTTTTGTTTTTTTTTTTGCTATTTTAATTTCTAGGTTAAAGGCTTCGGGTATGACTAGATACTTGAAACGATCAAATATTGGAGCCTTCTAACGAGACCTTGCCAGTAGTAATTAAACAGGAAAGGGCGACACCACTTGATTAAAAAGCTGCTCTTAAAAAGGCATCTCTCGAGAAAGCGTACAATAGATGTGATAAAGGATTATAGAAGCATTATCGCATCTTGAAATTCTAGGTAAACTGTGTAGTATATTAAAAGAAAGGCCTAGGACAACGGACTTTAAGATGCGGTTATAATTAGTTTCGCCATTTCATTCTCTTTCATACTCTCCCGAACTAATACGCCTATCTTTGGTTTAACTGCGACGAATACTATCCCTCATCCCAGGGACATGAAATATGAAATTTCCAGTACCTTCACGTTCGAGCAGCATTACTCGCGATTCAATATTAGTTGTTGTCTGAGAGCAGCAGAAGCAATTTTTATTTGATTTCCTATCCGACAGTTCATTTCGAACAAAGATTATAATCTGTTAGAATGGCGGATTACAGGACCTCTGCTGGGAAATCCCAAGATCATCCAAACGTCAAAAATGAGTAGTGAAAGACACTCACGGTTTCGCCTTTTCTGTGGTGCAATCTTTTCACGCCATCACAATGATTGAACTGTGAAGATATTAATTTGGGTAAAATTCTTGGCAGCGGAGATGTACAAAAAGCAACAATATTGTTCGGGCCAATACGCGGGAAAATAACAATGATGAAACTTGGTGTATGCAACTTACAACCGTCGCTAAGAACAACATCCTACGGCACTGTCTGTACATATTACACATTGTTTCCTTCCTAGGCCTGGATCAGCGATAGAGTGACTACCATAGACACATATAGACATCCATGAGACAGATGATGCGTCGTAAGACTACGCCTGGATAAGAGAGCTACAGATACCCATCCTTCTGCCTTTTGACCGTAAGTGTTCAGCTATAATCCTCGGCTGCGAACCTAGAGATCAGGACGTGTCCAGACGAGCAACCAAATGCCAAGGCTAATCCAGACCATGCTACTGCCGAACGGTCTGAGCAATACATGGGAGGCAGCCGTAGAAAGTTATGTGAATGCCGTGTAATCAAAATTCTATCTGAACTGATACCGTAGCCTTGATTAGGGTGGACGTAGCTCAAACCATCTTGCTAAAGCTCCAACACCACTAAGGCTTCAGTTTCCAATCAGCTTCGATCTTATCCCACTTCTCGACCTCCTCTGAATAAAGCTTTCCAGGGAAAAAATCGTTACGCATGCTCACACCTACACCTCGGTAGTCTCTTTCGACTTCATATAGTGTTTCTATCACCTTCGTCTGACCAAAAACATTGACGTATTCTAGAGTAATGCCAAAGTTTTCAGGTTTCCGATCCCAGCCAGCGACAAATACATCTTGAACAATACCGATGCTGCTAACAGCGAGAAGAAACCAGGTATCTGACTGCAGACCTGCTGCAGTGATGAGAAGCATCCAGAGAGTCGAGAGTGCAAGGAGAGCAACTCGTGTAAGAAGATTGGTAGAAGCGTCAAAGCTGCTTTGCCATAGCGCTAAATCCTCAAGAGTCAAGCCATGCCTATTACCTAGAATAAGGATGGAATGTTGAGCTCCGTTTCCTCTAGTAAGAACAAAGTTGCCGGGAGACTTATCGCGGCAAGCCCACTTTTCTTTCTTCCACTGTGGAAGAAGCCCTGTTGCAAAAGCAAGCGCATTACCGATGGCCGTTATCATCAAGACACCCCAATCTCCAAAGAGCCCGCAAGGTATAACTGCAACTCCTAGCTGCACGATCAGAGTGAAGATGCCACTCCAGTAGATAAAATCGCGTTTAGCTACACGAACGTCACCTTTTTCACTCGTCTTATAGACCGTTACGACAAGACCAGCGCGTGTTGGCCTTTCTGCTAACTTGTCTTCTATTTTCTTGTCATCTAGTAGTGTTTTAATCTGCTCCTTTGTGGCAGGATCGCTCTATTTATCGAAGTCGCGCATGATTCTGCCTAGAATCCAGCTCGAGTTTTCTCTAATATACCCATTCTTGCAGTTGATGACTTTGCACTTGCAATCTGGATCCGATAGCATCAATTTGTTTTCGCCAATAGCGGAAACGAGGGCGGAGACAGAATAAACTACCCATCCTGATTGAAGTAGAATTAGAATACAAGTTATCTAAGCTCGAAATATGGAGGTTACCGAATGAGAAGATTACAGGTGCCAACCCTTGACCAGCGAGTTGTGCTAGTGCGCGGGCGACAACATCAAGGACGCTAAAGACATCGGCTGGATGGACCCACTGAGCCCTGAATTCATCCGACGTCAGAAGTGGATCAAACTTAAATATTAGCGTGACGAAGGGCGCCATGAAGTTTTACAAATCCTGGAAGAAAAGTGAGAATAATTATTGCGTCGTCACAATCTTAGATTTGAAGGTCGCATTCGCCGCTATAGAAGAACGGAATGGCGCACCACGAATTAATACTTACCAGCATTTCAAATTGATATCAAATTTTATGCGGAATTACCTGAAAATAAAACCAGAGCATCAAGAATTTTCGAATAATTTGATTTTGAGCTCTCTGTGAGTAGAACCGAGTGAGGTGGTGATAAAGCATCTTTAGTATTTATATATCTGTAAATCAAGAGTTTATTAAAGATAATCATAATTTAGATGTTTCAGCTCATGCAATAAGCGTACTAAGGCAAGATCTAGGCATTTGCTGTATTACTTCTCAACTCTATTCTCTCGAAACATCGAGACCTACCAGGCAGATTCTGCTGCTGACTTGATAAGGAATCGGGCCTTCAGTCGTAGTTCCCCACATTTAGTTCCCCACTTGATCATCATTTACTTCTGAGTCTTGCATGCTCTCATCTAATTCAATTTCAAGCTTTTTTCTTAGGCTTGCTTATCAATGTCAGCTAAGCGGCCTCTTCTGTATCACGAATTATCAGCAAAGTGGCCGAGATTACAGTCTCCGATTGAATACAATAAGCTGCCCATCCCGGAAACCGATCTCGATCTCTCTATCCCTTGGGACGTGGCATCATTTACTCGAGATATAAATCGTAAGATAAATCTCATTTTACCATCATGCTGCTGTGAGATATGAGTTGCTAACTTGTAACAGGAACGGATTCTCAAGAGTGGGGATCCCCCGAGTCAGCGCAGCTACGAGCCATCCACACCCTGGAGATCACCCCAGAGAATGAACGGCTGGTGCGGACCTTCCATCCCGCGTTACGAGATCAACATTCAGTTTTTGTGTCTCATACCAAGTACGGCCCTGAAGTCTGGCTAGTGAAGGGCATTTGCGATGACGTCCAAGCGGGGGGTCGACCATTGCACCCATATCCCGAAGATTGGATGAACCTCCACGCGTTTACAGGGATTATGACTCCCCGCTCACCTGGCAAAGAGGAATACATGTTTCAAGAAAGCATTAACCCAAGGAAGCTCCTATCAATGCAGCAGCTTGATTGCTTGCGAGAGCTTTTCCCCACAGCAATGGGGGACCGTATTCTAGTCAGTGGATTCCTCGTCATTCTCTTTAAATCACTTCAGGAGATCCAAGATATATATAGGAGGGACTGGATCCATGAGCTAGGTGGCTTGAATGTCAATTATGACGAGAATATGCTCACCGCTAGTGCTGACACCGTTATATTGGGTATGGGGGTATGCGAGAGACCAGAGGGTCTTTATGACCAAGGCTTCTTGGGCCTGAAAATCAGAACAACCGATGGTCAAGAGGCCATCACGACTGTCACTCATGGATTTGTTAGGCACCCGTCACCCTTCAGCCTGACCCTGTTATTTTCAGACTGGGTACTCAGAGCGAAGAGCGCTCTTCGTCACTTTCACCGACCACCAGGCTAAGCAGAGACTCCCGCGGTCGGAATGGCACAGGGTTCCAGCAGGAACGCCCCAGTTGGAAAAAAGGTCTGGTTGGCAACAGAGACCAGGAGGGTAGGTCTTCCCTATTATTTACTGTATTATTTACTATGAAAGACCCTTACTGATTTATTAGCTTGGTATCATCAAATATTCCTTCGATGACCCAAGCCAAACTCTACCCTACCCCGCCGGCTATCAGCACGACCTTTGTCTGATCACAGATAAAGACCTCCCTGAGATCATCAGCCCCCCTGGGTATCCCGTTATATCGGGATGGGCAACCTATTCCGCTGCGCTCTCTGGCTCTGAAGTATATGCCGCTCGCATGAATCCCGTCGTGAAGAAGTGGGTCCACCTTGAAGGCAAAGTTGATCCTCAGGCCATCCGAAACGCTACAGTTGTGGGTACTCAGTACCTATGGGACGCCGGTTCTAGTTTGCAGACTGCGTCTTTGTTATGGACAACCAAGGAGCCGTGGTCGATGGCAGATGGGTGGTCGGGATCTGTTTTGTGCCTCGGACGGCTGACCGATAAGTCGAGCAGGGCACTTGTGTTCCAAAACTATCAAGTGGAATGCACCACCAACATCACTATGAATGGCCGGCGAGACTGGATATTTGTCAAGGGAGGGTTCTTACTCCCAGATTCAGTACGGTCTTCAGAGATTATTATGGGCGATAATGAACAACACAGGCGGCGAGACCCGGGTACCTTTCCCCGCCGCAGTGCAGAAAGCGCCGTCTTGGAACGTCGGGTGTTCTCAGCCCTTTGAGAATGAGTTGCTTGTATTTTTAACGGCTCTTACTCGCCTTTAGCCCATACTATTCTTCCCATTGTCTGATCATGTGTCTGCTAAGTATACCCGATAAGAAAGAGTTTGCGACGCTAAACAGCCCGAAGGTTGCCCGTGAACGGCGTAGGAAGAACCGGCAGGTAGATAGTTGATCTAAGGTTTTATGCATATTTGATTGCTGACGTCAACTCCGTGCACGTTCAGTCTTATGCTTATGAATGATTAACTGTGTTTCAAGTCTCAGTCAAGTAGTTCTCTCGGGCAGTTTAAGTTGATTTAGATGCGACATTGTTACAAGCCCTACTTATTAGTAATCTGCTTTTACTTATCCGCAGAAGACTGCCTTTAAAAATATCATCTCTTTTCATTCACACATCTGATATTCAGAGTAGCCTCTACGTGTCTGTAGAGCTTTCTAGTCTAACAGTCTAGCAGTCTAACAGACATAGTCAATTAGGCAAAAATGGATCATAGCATTACGAGTCAAGTCGGATTTCCCTTTCTACACTAGCGACAGTTTAGGATCCAACTAAATAGCCTTGAGACTAGCATTGGTTAGTTTGTTTTTGTTAGAAATCATCGTAGCTCAGGTATCTAGATAGATCTCTCTGATATTTTCCGAGGTCCAAATACTCTATCCTAAAATATGGGGATGAGATTTGGTCCTTGGACGTATGTATCTAGTGGAAGGCCTTTAAAGGCACCATCAGCTACCCCGTGAGCGATTACCCAAAAAACGAAGCTCATCCCTAGAATATGGTGCTCTCTGAACCAGTTTTTAAACACCTCATATAATTAGCATCATAAAAATTCAAGATAGTTAAAACTCACGTGCTGACATCGTCGCGATAACGCGAACCCTTCAGGAACTCTGTATCGATTGTCACCCAGCGTTTCAGTTTATTATCTTTGCTCCATGCCACGTGAAGTTTTAGAGGCTATTATTTCTATCAGCCGAACTATAACTGAGTTATAGATAGTAAAGGGACTTTAGACTAACCCTATAGTATAGACACTCGTTCGAGGAGCGTTATGCGCTAGATTCAATGATAGCGCCTGCTCGGCAGCTCGGGCACCCGAACCAGCAAAGAGCGAAAGAGCGATTCCAGTCTGGACACGTGCCCTCTCATGTTTATAGTCATGGCTGTCATTGATAAAGAGGTGATAAAGAAGGAGTTCAATGTCTTTTGCTGTGACCATAAATCGCTCCCGAATCTTTGTTGAGAGATTTACTTCGCTGTAAGCGTATTTCTTATGAACTAGATATATTAGTTAGCTTTGCACCAAGTAAGAATTTCATGGACTTAATTACATTCAGAGCATCGTCCTTCACATCACCAGGAATAGATTTAGAAGTTTCTCGTTCCTAATTTGAGGTAAACCCGATGAGGTTACCACAAGCTGACCTCTGAGATGGGAGTCTTTTTGCTGATGCAATATAGTCCTCAGCGAAAAGCTTTAGTTGCTGCGGAGTTGGATCAGGCTCTCGAAATCAGACATCTTGGAACAGAAATTATGCCAGAGCGACAGGAGGGCCTAACTGGGGTTTATTCATCTTTGAGACTAAGGAGTCAAGATTATAAGCCAGAGGCCCGGGATCCCAAGCTCACCCGAGCTCACCCAAATCTCCTGCCCTCACCCTAAGAGAATTTCTCACGCTGCTCTAGGGTGAGCTGGGTGCTAAGGGCTTATGGACTGTTGGCCGCGTTCCATGGTGGCTTAAGTACGGCTGAGCGGACCTGTTCTCCGCACCCTGTGGTCGTATGTGATAGAATAATAATAAAATTGAGCTATAAAGCTACTATAGTCAGGTGCGTATCGCCCTGGTGGTGAGCGCTGCTTTAGCGTTGTGCGACCAGGGCACCGTCATAAAGGTCAAGTCGCAAATTTTCACAGTTAACAGTAATTTATAGTGAACTAGGCTCTAGCACGTTACAATTTACAAATATGGTGATCATTTATCCATGGATTATACTTGGCCTATAGTTACGCCGTCACCGGTCGGATATATTGTTTCTCCGAAAATTTCCATTCTCATCAATAACCCACGCGCTGTGAAGCTTGACCAAACTCCGCTCACCTCCACGCTTTAATTCGTCAACGTCTTCTGGGGTGTTACTTTTATCAATTCAATTCCTTGAAACCTGAAGTTTTCCGCCCCGAGATCCGACATCTCCGACGTCCCCTCCACTTTCTCATACTCAACTCATCCGGAAGAGCCAATTGCTAAAGTACATCAAAATGTCTCTCGTCAACCTTGCCTCCGTGTGCGCACACTTGAACAATGCAACCAAGGCTCGCCTCGGCCTCACCTCCATTCCAAACAGCAACCTCCACTTGAAGCTTTGCCAAGCACTGCAGAATTCGGGCTACATCTCCTCTGTTGTCCGCGGAGGCCCAACCCCCCCACCCGCACACCCTATTCTTGGCCACCCATCAGCCAACGATGAGATTGAAGGTGTTGAGCCAATCACACGGGACAATGTTGCTTCACGACGTCTGTGGATCGGTCTGAAGTACTGGCGCAATGAGCCGGTTCTAGGCAAGATGCAGCTGGTTAGTAAACCAAGACGACGAGTTCACATCGATGTTGAGGGCTTGCGACGGGTTGTCCGTGGAGAGGAAGCCAGTTACGTTGGTGGGCTGCGCTCGCCTGGTGAGAGTCTATACCTCTCGACAGACCAAGGAATCCTGGAGGCACGCGAATGTGTGGAGAGAAAAAAATCGGGGGCTTGGTTCTGTGTCGTGTACAATAAGCCTAATACTGTTTCTCACAACAAAGAAATATGCCTTTGGTGGGTGGAAGAACGGATACCAGGGCTCCCTTTTTGCATCTATCTGGAGTTTGTTGGTTAGTCGCAGCAGAGTCTCGTCTTGAGATTTGTTTGTTTTTTGCGACTTTTGAGTTAATTCACCTCTTTAGAGGACTTGTATATTAAACTTTTATGTGTTCGAATTCCTATGCTCTGCTGGAGGTGGTTGCGGGGCCCGTCACTTTAGGTTACTAAAACGACGTGTATAGACTATGACTTGAAACATATCCTGACCTTCTCCTTTCTTGCTCTGCTCTGTCTATGTATTCTCTATTGCAGTGCCTGATAGTGCGTAATTAGTACACTGACGGGTCATCATGCGTTTGGCTGACTGTTCCAAAGTTGGTTTTTGGTTTGTCGGCATTCATGGTCCACCGGCTCCATGGCTACCCAAACACCCCTTCTCCTGGCCCAACACGTCCCAGGCAATGATAAGTATATCAATATTTTCTGGGGCACGGGGCTCTTCGGCGCAGAATTCGTGCGAGTCCTAGCAGAAAAGTATCCGAAATGCGCCATCACTGTCGTTGATCGTATTCCCCGACGAATTTGGTTGTATTTCTGGTGGACATATCCTTCATGCAAGTCGATGTCATAGATGAATGCGGAGCCAGAAATACATTTGAAGTAGTTCAACGGAACATTTTATTCATACTGCCGATATCGCCCTACCTACCCTGGTCGATCTGTTCGGCCGAGGATTAGAGCGCGATGTGTGGAAGATCAGAAGGGACTCGGAATGTTTTAGATGCAGCGATAAAAAGCTATACCGAAGCATTCATCTACTACCTAAGTAGCTCTTACTGTGTGACCACCGAGGATATGAGAATACCCCGCCAAAACGTTGACCGGCGGTGGCCGATGTCACCAATTACCTTTCATATTTCATCAGAAGTTGAAAGATTGACAAACTTCATGCACCAACAGAGGCCCTGGTACTCAAGGCAACAAGCAGTAGGATGGCAACCTGCGCGCTCCGCCCTGCTGTGGTTTGCGGACTAGAAACTACTAGCTGGTGTCCGCCATACACGCATGCATTATCAAGTACAAGTTGCCCTTTTCATAGGCGAAGGTCTTAATCAGTGGCATGTTACGCATGTGAGCAAGGCGTCGCGGATGCCCGCTGTAGTGAACCCAGTAACTAACTTCCCGCACGGCTAGGGATCCTCATCCAGAACAATGAGCCGATCCATTTTGCTGATTTCTGTTTCGCAATCCGGGCGTATTTTGGGCATTATCCTCCCTTTCAAGGTACATGTGCCAGGATTACTGGCTTATCTAGTGGTATTTGTTTGTGATGTGGCAACTCGGGTGACCGGGACCGCCGCAGTTTTGAGCCGAAGTGTGCAAGATGCAACTGCTAGTCGATAAGCCAACGGTAATCAAGTCAAATCGTATTCTGGGGTACGAGGCTCGCATCAGGACTGAAGAAGCCATTCGCTTGATCTGTGCAAGAAAGCAGAGACTATGAACTCCCGCGCCAGTTGAGATTCCAATAGTCAGGACTCATTGAGTAATAACTCACGAGAATACGATGATATTCTCGGCGTATTGAGACAGAACTGATGATCTAAGCCAGAGCCTTTTAACATCTATATGCATGGACATCTGGAGTAACTTCGAATCCTAGTAATAGTTTGAAGATGGTAAAAGCCTGCAGTTGCGCCTGATGACCATGTATGCCATCCAATGGGGCGTATATTTGCTCCTTTTTAATTAATTGCCACTTGAATGAGCTAGAATGTGGAAAGACTCCTTTTCTATCTCTAAAAATGTGATACTTACAAAGTGAGATATCGGGCAGTTTCCTATTTTCCTCGGGCTGAAATCTCCGTGATATACTTAAATTGTGCACGGCCTATAGTAGAGAGATGTGCGCCAGCGAAAAGAGACTAATTCATGCGCTTGATTGGGCAACAAACATTCTGCCCAATTTATTACCAGAGATTGAAAAAACTCCAAAGTTGAGACTCTGAGAGAGCTTCGATGGAGAAGATCGATCATCTCGCGGGGGCGGTACATATGCGCTTTACCTCCACATCCACCTTCAGGCTCCCTTTTCCAACCTTCTGCAGATCTTCCTTGCAGCATACTAGATATGTACTCGAAAACTTTGAGCCAAACAGTAGGTACTTCGTAAACGAGGCCCAACATGGATTGATGCTCACATACCCAACTGCTGCCCAAAGCTTTCCCTCGACCCCGGAAATGCCAGGATGAAAGTGGCGTTATTCCAGATTTGCCTTTGGCCTTGATTGTATGGACTCAAGGCCAAATTAATGTATTTCAGACTATTTTGAAGTACATACGCTATAGATTACATCCCAGAGCCTCCCAAAAACGGTCTTTAGTCCATCAAATTAATGCGCGAGATGCTCCGGGCTCAACCACAATCGATCTAGATCTTCTGTTAATTAGATATCAATCTTTTATATTTTCTCCGGGGTTATTCCCTGTGGTTTGGCTTCCACAAAGAGCGTAACGCTCAGGCTATATCCGTGCTGATGCATCGCCTCTCATATCACAACTCACCTTCTCCACTCTGGTATTGGAGCTTCTAGCGCGGCTCTCCATCCACTTGAGGCACTGTCTTCGCACGGTCCATAAACACTCGTCAGGCACACCTACCAGAAATCTTCGGTCCGGGTTTTGTCCATATAATATTCCTGACTTGACCACGCTGCGCTTCACCGTGATTCGTACTGGTTCCAATGTCTCCATCCTTGAAACTACTTCCACCCTATTTCCCCTTTAATTTACAGAATATATTCCTTCATTTATACCCAGCTCTGCAATTGGGCTTCATTCTTTCTTTATGATTCCAGCTTCGCCTCATCCCCTCGCCGCTGTACCGGTAGCCTTTCAGCCAATCTCCACGATATCATACTCTCATTCCCGAGTAGGCCCAGTCAGCTATAAATTTGATTTCCTACCTCGTCCTAGGTCAGCACAGTCATATACTGCCCCTTCCCCTTTCATTGGCTTCCTCCCCCTCCAACTCAGTCCATCTTCTTTGGTTCAAATCTCATTAGATGGCATACTTGGCTCATACTTCATAGCACTACCATGGCTCAACATTTAATGTACCCAACCCCGGGAAATTCCACTATCCTTCATCGCCCAAGGTATATCTTTACCGTGTGATTCACGTCCCCCAAATGCGACAAGTTAGTCTATAATACTCTTACTAAGTGATAAAAGGGCACCCTCAGTACCTCGAGTGTATAGCAATCGCCAGCTCATGCTAGGCACATTAGATTTTGAACAATCTCGCCAACTCTACCATGGAATGCCAGCCCCTATGGATAGCCAAGGTCATATGATGAATCAGCCCATGGGACGGCTGTCCTATCCTCCCGCTTGCCAGTCTTTACCTTCGGTCCCCGTATACCAAGATTGGAACCACCCGGTTCCTGAATCACTACGCCATGATCCTGGATCGTATAATGCCCCGGATAGCCCAGAGTACATGGTAGAAAGGAACAGCCGCCGAGCTGCCGATCACTCCAGAGGAATTTCGCAATATATCTCCCAGAGGCGCTCCGCAGCCCGGGGGGATGAATTTGATGGCCCACATCAAATCCTGAATCTACCTTCCCCTCGAGGTCTTCCAGTGCGAGAGGATGAGCTGCCCCAGCTCCCTACTAATTTAGATGCCACAGAGCAAGACAGAATCTTGCATCAAGTCAATGACCGCCTGTCTCAATGCGCGTATGACTTCTTCGCCAAATATCAGTTTCCTATTCCACTGGAGCAAGACAAAAGGCCTGTCTCGCTTCCCTCAGATCGTGAATGGAATGAATGGGTTCATCTTCTGAAGAGACTTGCCACCCGGCGCCGTATCCCTCGGCACACTTTGCACAATGGCCAGATCAAGCAATTGATCACTGTGCTGGAAAACTCCCTGGAGATGCGTCACGCTGCTAAGCACAGTTCCCGACCAGTCAAGGATGATCGTAACGTGCTTCAGCTCATCTCTGCAGGAACCCAGGTTGCCAAGATCCTCAAAGATTCAAGCGCCATGCAGTTCTTTGACCGTCTCTATTTGGACACGGAGAAAATGATTAATGACCGCCGCCGTCGAGTTAGATTTGCAACGCCCTAGGCCTTTCTTCCGGAGTGATGATGATTGTCTTTTTTTTCTCCATGGATAATTAAGGCCCATGAATGACTCTTCCATTGAACGAATGTATCTCCCTTGGACGTCTAATGTCAGTTGTGCCGCTGTCATGATGGAGCTTAAAGTGAGATACCACCTACTGAGGAAACACCCATATTTGCTAGACCTGCTGGGGCCAGTACCTTATGTATCATCCCATGGCCAGCTGGATATATCATGCCGGACTAGAGTTCCACCTCTCAAGCAGATGAATAATTCCTTCTCGGAAATCTAACATACTATGTGCAAGTCACGCCTTTTTATTTTGACTTTATTCATGAATATTCACTCCAAGGTTTATATCTGGGGAAGCAGTTGATGAGAAGACCAATATTTAGTCTCATTTTTGTGCTTTAATGCGATGTTATCTCGTTGTGTGGACTTGAGTCTTGCTAATATCAAACTTGTGTTCGGGTCGGATTTTTGATTTGGTTGGCTGTGTTGAATACCTAAGTACCTTATGCTTGCTTCTTATTGGCGATGTATTATTTTTAATGGTTTTAAGAATGATTGTGATAGTGTCGTGTACCTTCATGTATTTATTTGGGAGGGCAGTTTGATAGTTTGATCCTTTAAAGCCCATAACATGCTTATCTTTCATCTCACTTTCATATCTGATAAACTAGCCCATTCTCAACATTTCGGATCTACTGATATCAGAGAAACAGAAGACTCGTAGTGCATGGATTCTTGCAAAAGGGGACAAATGGAGAGAAGCTCCAAGTTCTAAAGTTTGCAGACTCCGCTAACCCAACAACATCACTTTATCTTCTTCAATGAACAGGCTTCTGGGTCATCTTTCATTCCGAATCGATATTAATATTCGGACAGAATTGAGGCTATACCTACCTAATCCAGCAGTACCCAGGGGTGAAAGTTACCTGCGGCCTGATTACTCAACCCATCTGATGATTAACTGAGTCTCACCTTGCTTTCACCTGAATGTTAATTATTCTCCATAACTGGTACTGTTCGTTATTTGTTCGTGAATTCTCAATTCTTCTGCATAGAATCTTTTTTGGTGCTCTACTTGTAAGGTGCTACCACCATGTTATTGATCGCCCATCGTCCATTCAGTGCCATCTGAAGAACGTACCCATCCAGAGCTTTCATGATGACTGCAGACCTTTTCACCACTGGCGTCAGACATTTTTAGAGCATCTCTCATACCTGCGATTATATGCGGGTCCTATTTGAGCTGGTAGAAGCATGGCTGCCGACAGAGATCGAAAAGTTGTTGCCAGTTTTCGAAAGTATCTCCGGTTCCTCTTGAGAGTCCAGATGCTTTTTTCAACTGCCTTTCATCCCCAAACATGCGGCAATCGGAAAAATCAAGTCTGACACCTTAGGTCGCTCTGTTATACTGGGTTTAAATCCACTCGAGGACTTACGCAATCATTTATAAACACCCTCTCCGGCATGCTCGGCAGCGAGGAGGACATAAATTCCAATGGGGGGTAATTATGAGAAAGTAGAGTAGGAAGGAAGAGGACACATCATAAGGACTCGCATGCTATCTGATTACCTGATATTACGTCTAAGTAGCGGCAATCACTACATTGCCCAGGTTGTAGCATTTGATCCAACTACTATTCAGAATGCGTCGCTTGACCACTTTGACTGGTTCGACTGGTTCGAAAATCTTCTTTCTGCTATCATCTTCGCGAGTTTCAACTTCATGTCGGAGAAATATCATCTGGAGCACCCCCTTCTGGTTGTCATTGCTACAAACCTTCCAAGGTTGAAGGTAAAGACCAAGATTTATGTTGTTGTGTAGAGAAGAAGAAATAGAGATTGACAGAGGGTCTTTTTTCAAAAGGAATAAAGGTAAAAAATACTTATGCTTCGAACTATGGGAGTAACAGCTATTCATAGGAGAGGTGGCTAAGCTACTGGGAAGGAAGTGTAATGAGAAGGGTAGAATTGCCAATCCAAAAATGATATCGCTAAAATGCAGGGCTTATAAAAAAATAATCAGGATTTAACTCCTGGCGAAGCGCTGACAAAATGCTTAAACGCAGACGGGAAATGGGTATCTTTCGAGGTGTAGAGCAGAAATGGGTTAAACATGATGCTTTTTTGGGATGGGAAAGAGGAATGAGGTGAATAAGTGGGGAGAGAGTGAACCTTACAAAAAGTACAAGGCTGGATAAGTCCGAGCAAGAGCCCGCTGATCATGTTCAATGAGGTACCTAATCATCAAGTTCAATGACTATGCGCTTTTTGGGAGCATCTGACGGAAGCGACGTCGGCAAAGCGGGCTTAGGGCTGCGAACGGCATATTTCACATCGTGACTTCCGTCTGCTCTGATTTCGACAGACTGGGCCCCCTGTAATTTTCCGGTCTGGGCGAGGGTATCACGCAGTCTTTTGAGAAGTTCGTCCACGACCAAGCTCATAGGACGAGCATCTGCTTTACAGATTGGGCATCTCCAGCTGTCTTTCAACGGTTCCTTGCCGGACTCACATTTTTTTGTCAGGATATATGAGTCAAGATCGAAGCATTCTAGGTGTTGACAATGAATCGACCGCCCGGGCGTATTGAAGATCTTTTGAGTGAGGGGATCAATGAGGCCAATAGTGAGGCTGTCAGATACAACGGCCAAATCATCATCAATATTGTATTGACTCAGACGTCGTTGAATTTGTGCGGCCACCTTGCTCTGCGGGATAGCTTTCACTTGTCTACACACACCGTCCAAGTCAGAGACTATCATGCGTTCAACAATGAACGCATATTCACGATTTTCACATTCTTTCTGACCAAGAATCATTTTGATGGAGATCTTGTTTTCCCCCTGGCGTAGATGTTGAGTGATATCCAGTGGGAGATCCTTTCCATTATGAACATATCTTCGCACAAACATCTCGACGCCATTGACAATGACATAGAATACAGCAGGCCAACAGGTGGCCATGGTGGACCATGAATGGCGCAGGGAATCTTTTTCAGAAGGCCGCAGTGAGATGGATCGAAGACGGAATGCTTGAAAACCGGCCTGATATGTAGAAATCAACATGTCTCCCGCCATGGCCAGACGAGGAAATCTACAGGCGACCGAGGGCTCGATAGTGAAAGTCAAAGTATTATTAGTGTTCTCATTGTGAAAGAAAGCCGGTTCCATTTCAAGAGAATCAGGAAAACAATAGAGCGATGTGGGCTGTATTAGACCATCTTTTCCTACCTTCGACATATTCTTCATTGGCTCAGCAAGATCAAGCTGGTGAAGTGCGAGGCGTGTCGGATTTGGCTGCACAGTATGTGGAGCTCGCTGACCAGGAGGAGGCAGGAGGGGCGTGTTAGCTGAGAATTTACGAACTAAGACTGGCGGTAATCCTCGCGAGCGCGGTTGAGCTAGTTGTGGAGATTGAAGAACTGAGCCTTGCAGTGATCCTCGAGAGGATGGATGAGATAATTGTGGAGATTGACGAACTGAGGCCTTCGGTATTGTTGTAGAGGCCACTATTTCAGAGTGGGAATGAGGGCGCGCTTTGAGCTGCTCCGTCCCTAAGACAGTGCGCGCCTTTATACTATCTTCGTGGGTAACTCTACCATTCATATCGGCAGCCATCCCCGTAGCCGGAAGGGGTTGCGATGAAGAAACTGGCTGTAGAGATTGGTTCACTGAATTCTGCGGCAGAGCTGTGTAGGACGAAGAAACCGGATGTGGAGATTGGCCCACTGAAGTCTGCGGAGCTGTATGAGATGAAGGGGCTATATATGGAGTCTGGCTCACTGAGCCTTGAAGTAATCTCGGAGAGGGTGAAGGACCCAAATGTGGTGATTGGCTCTCCAAGCCAAGGCTCTGCGGTAGTGCTGAATGAAGCGAAGGAACCGTTCGTGGAGACTGGTTCACTGATCCTGGAAGTATTCCGGTAGATGGTGAGGGAACCAGCTGTGGAGATGTCTGCCTCAGCTCAAATTGGCCCGAAGGGCTCTTTTGATACGTAGCATTGCACCGATAAGATGTACCATCGTTCAATTGCAGTACTGAGCCCAATCGGGCTGCTTCGGCTGTTGCCCCATCTAAAGGTAGCAGCATATGGACACCAGGCTTGTCGGGATGAAGAAACATTGCCATTTGCGGGTGGGAAGAAGCGCTGACTGGATAACGTGGTTGGTCAGGCTGGGATTGAGTAGTTCTAATGTCTGTGGCTGGGAAATTCTGTGGTAGTTGAAGAGTTTTCATCCCGGGATGGTGAGATTGAATATGGGGCGATTGGAGAGTCCGTTCATATTGAGCTCTGTTGTACTGTATCTGCTGTTGTGCAGTTTGAGTAACAAGTCTCCCGGTTTGGCCCATTTGATTCGAAGACACAGTTGACGGGGTTCTCATGGGAATCTTGATATAAAGTTGTATGAGGGCTATGTACTGATTATCTCGATCCTGGGGCGAACTCCTTTCCAGAAGTAAATTTCGTTGAAAGAGGGCAAGGACTTGTCTATGGTACTTGACATCATAGAGATTTCGGCAAATAGACGCAAAGATCACATTCAATATTACCGGTGAATTCGTATTAAGCAACTTTCGCAGTTCGCGCACCAAGGGTGGGTAGCGACGCCTCATAGCGTCTTCGTAGACTGTGGACCTAACTGTAGCGAACTCCGTCGCGAGGGCTGGTAGAAAATGACAGAGCGCTAGCATCGTATCCCGATACCATGACGGCATCACCTGCACCGGCAGTAAATCATTTATCGCTTCTGGAATGAGGGTGAAATAATGTAACATTTTTGACCCAACCTTGGCGTTGCTTTCCAAGAGATTCTGTAATATTTGCAGGCCCTCACGACAACCTTCACGCGCCAGTAAGGGAAATTGTTCTATAATCTTGGCGTCAATTGTACCTGATGAGTCCGATAGGCAGAAGAGCTGGTGCAAGACCAGGTAGAAAATGTCATGATAAAGGCATGCATCATGCAAGAGCCGAACTCTGGAATTGGCAATGTAGTCGCATTCGTTGATGGTTGTAAAGTTCTTGAGAAAATCCACTCTTTGCAGCCATGGGGCCCATATTTCATCACCCACCGCCAATACGGCCGGTTCCATAAAAGGAAAGGGTCCAGTGACAGGTGAAGCCGTTGTTGGAGTCAACAGGCCAACCGAAGGCATGGTTGCCGTCGCGGTAGGATCACGAGTTGCCAACCGAGAATTTGCCGGCTGGCTCATCAACTGAGTGACATTTCCTCCGTGCTCCTGCTGGCCCTGTACTGCCGGCACATCAAATACCGACGTAGAAGGGGTAGGACAGTGAGGGCTGGGGCTCGGACGAGATGCCACACTTGGCACTGGAGAAGGAAGAGCGGTATTTATTGGAAGTAATGTACCAGGACCCTTTTTGAATTTGTCAGTCCTTTTGTGATTAGTTATTTAACCATTTCAGATGGAGTCAACAGTAGGAGTGATACAGTTGAGTCCTTGAACACTTACAAGACGGAGACATTTTGTTCTCTTCAAGGGAGGGGCTGAGAGATCATCTTGGGGAGGACCAGGATTGATGATATGAGTTGGAGCGTTCAGAGGAGGGGATACTAGTTGTAAAGCCTCTTCTGGAGGATCCATAAGCCTGGATTCGGAATTTTCACGGTTGACGAGGGTGTGTGGAGGAGAGGTTTGAGGAGCAGTAGATTGATTAGGACTACCCATCCACGCCCTCCGATGGCTGCCTAGGAAAAGGGAGGCAGTTGTGTTTGACTCAGTCATATCCTCGGGAGATGAATGAGGTCTCTTTGATGGCATCACGTGAACCGGTATCCGTACAGGCTCGGGACAAATCCCGACCTTGTACTCTGCACTCTGGATTATTTGGATGAAGGAATTGAGAATCAAAATATAAATATAAATTGAGAATAATTACAAAGACAGGTAAGAAGAGAAGTAGAATGGAAGAAGAAGTGAATAGTGAATTGGAACGGAGTAAATAAGAGTGAAAAATGAAGAGTAAAGAAAGAGCGCTTGTTGACGAGGGGCATTGATTGATATAACTGAACTAGTTACTCTTTCAATTGAATGATGTAAGCATAATATTAAGAGAAAAGAAAAGCAGACAAAGAGACAAACAGACAAAGAGACAAAGAGACAAAAATACAAAAAGACAAAGAACAATTTCTCTCTATGCCTCTACTTCTACTTCTACTCTGATCTCCATATTTACTCGTACTCCGTAATAATTAATAGAAATCAGAAATTAGAAATTCAATAGAAATCAGAAATATTAAATTACTAATCATGCATAATTCCATTTAATTTCAATTTAATATTTTATTCCTCTCTCATGCCAGGATCTACTATACAGATATGTATAATTATTGAAGATCATTGGAGGCCGGATTCGTCCAGACCGAACTCATCAAGTACTCTGTACTAGATAATTTAATATTAATCCTACAGCTAATAGACCTTATAACGTTTGTACCACCTTCGCTACAATTCCATTCTATTCTTCAAGAGATTCCGTGGATTTGAGATTGGACGTCTTACTCTTATCCGTCTACCATTTCTGTTTTTCTCATCTAATTCATATGTGGGTCTTTCATCTTTCTGCTCTATCGTTTTTCTTGTGTGGATCAACCCATCGACTCCATTCTCCATTCTCCATTCTCCATTCTCCATTCTCTATTCTCCATTCTCCAGATCCCCCTTCTCTCTTGCTATCAAATACCTCTTTCTTCTAATAGATCTCCACCTGCCACGTTCTGCAGAGAGATAGAGATCGAGAGATAGAGAGAAAGAGAGAGATATCTACCCGATTCTTTGAAGCTTCCCCTCACGCCTGAGCTTCTCTCGGACCCCGCGACCGCAAACTAATTATCTCCCACTAGTCCAAAGCCCTTGTTCAGGCTAGATCCCTTTCATCCTGAGCATTCTCTCCCCTTATCCAATTTACAAAATATTCTCTTCGATCTTGTTCCCTTCAAGGGCTATCGGTCCATATGTCCTGCGACTGATTGTCCCAACACTTGGCTTATTTCAATATCTGCGTCATCGCCGATTAGGGGAGTCCCCTGCAATACTCGTGGAAAATGGCCGATTCACAGATCTCTCCGTTACCACCGTCAAATGCTCGGCCTGGCGATTATCTCGTGGTGATCCGTAAGTATCAGTCGTTGCGATTGGCGCAACCTTTTTTTCACCCCCAGTTCTTACATCTCGCTCTCGGAATAATGCGCCTAATTTCTCATCAGATGACCACGAAGCACGAAGCGACGATGAAATACAAATGAAGCGCGGTGACTTAATTCGATTAATTGAACTGGATGAAGAATTTGGAGATGGATGGTGGCTTGGAGAACACCTCGCTACGGCTCAGAAGGGTCTCCTACCAGGAGGTAGGTGGTGCACACAAATCCGACCTTTTCCAGAGCTGATCGCATTCAATAGGTTTCACCAAGAAGGCAGAGGGGCGCGAATACCTGAGAGCTTTGCAAATTAACACCACCCTGCAGGGTATTCTCAATACGGGAACCACTGAATCGCCGTCCGAAATTGAACCGGTTGAGCCCTCAACCCCCGTCAACTCATCCTTCGTCACGATCGGTAGCGAACAATCTACTCCTCAGGCATCGCGGCCGACTACTTCTGACATGATGGAATCTCCTAAGCAGCAAAGGTCTGCATCGTCACCGCTCCCGCGCCTAAATCTCGCGGCCGATATCCAGCAAACTTTTCGTCAGTCCATTGATAGCCATCTCAACGGCGAGGATAGCCCCGTGATGAACGAGACCTTGAGCGTGATTGACGAACACATCACCGATATGAACACCCCCGCCACAGCGTGTCGACCCAGGATGTGAAAACTACGAACGACTCCGACAGTGAATACAGCAGCCATATCAGCCACCGAATTTCCTACATATATGGCGATGAAACGGATGAGGAAGAAGATCAGATGACGGAGAATAATGTGCGGAAGTGGAGTCAGGCTCAGACTGCCAAACATTTGCGCGGTCTTGGCGTCGATTCGAAGCATTGTGATATCTTCGAAGAGCAGGAGATTACAGGAGACGTTCTTCTTGATATGAACCAAGACTTCCTGTTCATGAAGGAGTTCGATTTCGGCGTCATGGGTAAGCGGCTCAAGACGTGGCATCAGGTCAAAACTTTCCAAGAAGAAGTGAAAGGTATCCAACCGCCACCGCAATCCGTGAGAGGCTCCATTTCCAGCTTCGGGGGACATGATGAGCGATCAATGTCAATGTCCCGTTCTGGGTATGGTGGAACCTTTTTGCCGCGCATCCCTACCGTATCGGAAAAGACTGGCGTGGGCTATACACCCCGAGTGTCTGCGGTTCCTGTTCAGCATCCACGGCTTACCAGCAATAACACCTCCCCAGTGACTCCACGCACGCCACCGTTCGGGCATGATTCACCACGAAGAGTATCCGCAGCCTCCATCCGTGAATTCAACCATTCGCGACGACACTCTTCCATTGATGCTACTACTAATAATCGTGGTTTCCCCGACATGGCTTCCAATGGCTACCACCAAAAGAAGCCTTCCTTTGATCGATCATGGACGCTCAATAATGGGCCCCAGCACCAGCCGTCGCGTCCTGGGACCTCGATGGGCTCGGATGGAATGCGCGCTTCCCGCGAGACTACCGAGATACAACCCAAAACTTCAGAGGATCTGGATCGGGGCTACTTCTCTAGTACAGAGGCAGAAGCGCGCCGAAGACGTGTTCTGCATAAACGCAAATCGACAAGAGGTAGCAGCGTCAGTCAATCCCGGAGGTCCAGCTTTGCAGAGGACTCGTTTCCAGTCCCAGGTCAGCGCCAGTCTCGGATCGGTAGTGTCGACTCCCTCCGTGATGCTAAGCATATGTCTACCGCTGCTGAGACCTACAGCGCTACGCCACCAAAGAACAGAATGCGAAGCATGAGCACGCGCGTTTCTTCCGAGCGAATCGGCAACGATTCCCAGTCCTCCAACGACCCCAAGTCTGGATTTTTTGCTAGTCTAGGCCTGATTAAGGGGAAAAATGTCGGCCCCAAGATGCGACGAGCGGTTGGCTTTCGTGCCATTTCGGATGTCATCGGCAAGAATGCTGACGGTTCTACCCCCGTCTCGCCCGTTGGATTTGACCCTGTGTCTGCTCGAACCGGCTCAACCACCCCGTCAGCAACCTCCAAGAGTTCAGAGCGGCATAGTACTGATGGTTCTGGTAAGGCTGGAGAAGCTCCAGGATTCATGGTCCGCCCTCGAACCGTCAAATCCAAGAAAGATACTAGTGCCTACACCCGAGGTCTGGAGAAGAAGACGCCGCTTGAACAGATCGAGGGTTGTGACTACAGTGGATGGATGAAGAAGAGATCTTCCAACCTGATGACTACGTGGAAGCCCCGACTTTTCGTTCTACGTGGCCGCCGCCTATCATACTACTACGCCGAAGATGACACCGAGGAAAGAGGCCTGATCGATATCACTGCCCATCGGGTGTTGCGAGCGGATACTGACCCCATAGTCACGCTGCATGCCACTGTGACTGGTTCGACTGCAGTGCCTGCCAATGCCAACAACGCCAATCCCTCGGAGGAGGTGGGAGACAAGCTCAAAAATGACGAAGGGAATAAACCATTCTTCTTCAAATTGGTCCCTCCAAAGATGAATAATCTGCGTACCGTGCAGTTCACCAAGCCTACCACCCACTACTTCCAAGTCGACAATGTCAAAGAAGGTCGCTTGTGGATGGCAGCTCTAATGAAGGCTACCATTGAACGTGACTTGACTCAGGCTGTGGAGACTACCAACAAACAAAAGACCATCAGTCTGAAACAGGCACGCTTGACAAACCAGCGGCCACCGGCACTAATGGCTGTCCCACCTAGCGTGGAGCCGAAACAATTCTTCGAGGGAGAAGAAGACGAACACGGTCTTCGGATTGAGGGGCTCAATATGCCGCAGCCATCTTCCGATGATGTCTCTTTTGTTGATGCGACAGATGAGCTGACCGACAGCGACCCATCATTGGAAAAACGTCCAGGCGAGATCGATACAGGCCATTCGACTCTTTTACCAAGTCCTTTGACCAAAAATTAATCCCTGCAATCCACTTTTTCTTCTTATTTTCTAATTCAATTCTTTTCGGAATTTGTACGAGGATGTGTCTACCTCCCTGTCATCTATCCTGTATTTTTCCCTCCCCTTTGGGAAACTTTTTATGTTCTGTTATTTCCCCCTTGGACCCTTTTTGACCTCCTTGGGCCTTTTTGGCGTTCTGATGTGATATACCCTCTGCAACTTCTCTTCCATTCGTTTTGGCTCCGGTCAATTTCCGTCTTACTTATGTGGATATGAAGGTTTCATGTGGGTAGTGAGTACGTTGTTCATGCCAAGGTGGGATGAAGGTTGTACCTTCATCCTACACTTATGAGCTATTATTTTTTCGTGGATTTACCGATCCTAATTCTAGTTAGATTCTTTAATATTTATTTTTTACTCAATTTTAAAACATCCTATGCTCAGAAATATGTAGGTAGCCCCGGAGGTCTCTACGCACTATGATTTCCTCTGCTAGTGGTGTTTCTTCTATTTGAACTGCGGCTTTTACGAGGACGCTTAGGGCAGTAAGATTAAATCCTGGGCTCAGACTCACTCAGCTGCGTAGAGCGTGGTAATGAGGAACGTAGTAGGCTACGCTCCAATCATACCAATCATACATCTGAATCTGATGTCTTGAGATATTATATGATCATATAACATGTCTTTTCCAGGATAATCTGGATAGAAAAAGAAAACCAAAAATGGAACATAAAATACAGCCTCAGCTGATGGATCCATACTTGCTTGGTCACTCTTGTCGTTCTCGACAACTCAATACCCGTCGCTATCGACGTACTTAATCTCAGGAGCCGGCGCCAAGTTGGTATGCAGTTACACGGCGAAGTACAGATCCATGTCATCGGAGTCCGAATCGGAACTTCATCCTTGTGCACGGTGCTCTCAGAGACATTGTCTCCAGCTGGTCCTAGCATATTGCAAGCGATATTCGACGAAATTAGAGATTGCATGTATAACGGACCTTTCTCTTTTTGTCTCTTGTTCTTTCAGCAATAATTCCAATGCTTCTACTATCTCTACCTAGGTAAGGATCAAGGCCATTCCAGTCTTGTGTGAAATGTCACCAAACCAGTCGAGATCACCATTTCCCTCGAAGCCCAACGACCCTGTGGATTTGTAATATCAGATACCACAATCAACCTTGGACAGATTGACTTGCCAATTTTGGAATTAGGTTCCTGATTTGTGGTGATGAAAGTGGTGCGAAAGCTGATGGTTGAAGAGGGTAGCCGAGTAGGCATTTTAGATGGAAGCTTTGATAGTAGCCCTGGAGCCTTACAAGGGAAAACAGTATATACCCTACTGACGACTATTCCAAGGTTATTTCGACACATTATCGTTTCAATTGGATTCACTCTTGCTCGACATTTAAAAGCAATCAAACATACCTAAGATAAAGCCGTTAAGGTGAAATTGGTGAATTTTGAAATCTACGGAGACTCTGGTGAAGTAAAATGAAGTAGTTATCTTACAAGACAAGCCAAATTCAAGGATTCGGCTCTGATAATCACCTCACGTAACTGATACTAGATCTACTCGCGCTAGTACTGATATGGAAAGGGCCAAGAAATCAGATAATTAAAGATACAGGAGACATGGGCCAACGTTCTATTTCACAGACTTCATAACTCCAGATCTACCCTTTTTGTCTTTCGTTATGCCGTGTATTCTTGTTCCATGGCATTTATGATTTTTTCCAATTAGCCCTCATGTCCCTTCGCCAACTACTAGCCCGCATTCTCGCGGTCCTCCTCCCACTCAGCATCACAACCACCGTTTACCTATATCTATACCCGGTCTTCAATAGCTGTGCATTCCCTTTACCACAAACTGCAATCAAAGCCTCAGAAGAAAACTCCTTCCTGGCGAAAATCCAACATAATGCCGTGGCCAATACTCTCCTCCAACACATCCGCGACTCGGACTCCACAGTACACAAACAACCCGCCATATTCAGGCTTCTAGTGCTCGCAGACCCGCAATTGGAGGGTGACACATCTCTACCGAGCCCCGATTACGAACTACTACCGCGCATGCGCTCGCATTGGCGCGCTGTCCAGGAAGCAGCGGGTAATTTGACGACCCCTGCACTCCTGAACGAAGACGTCCTCTCTAACGTGACGAGTGGCCTACAAATATTCATCAAGGAGGACGTCCCCCGCTCGCTGCGTGCAGTTCAGAAACGTGTCGACTTACTCGGCAACGACTACTACCTCGCGCACATCTACCGGACGCTGTTCTGGTGGACGCGGCCGACGCACACGACTGTTCTGGGCGATCTCCTAGGAAGCCAGTGGATCGACAATGACGAATTTGCGTGGCGTGGGGAGAGATATTGGACTCGAGTCCTCCGGGGTGGGCTACGTGTGGACGATGACATTACGCGAACGGGTGCCGTAGATAGTACGGTCGATACCAAGGAGCGTCTCGAGCCGCTGGGACCAGATACCGACCCGTCTTGGGCAAGGCGTATTATAAACGTCGCTGGAAATCATGACATCGGATATGCGGGCGACGTGAGCGAAGCGCGGATGGAACGCTTCGAGCGTGAATTCGGGCGCGCCAATTGGGATATTCGTTTCCAGCATCCCCCTGTCGTGATGGGCGTCAATACGTCTGAAGGGGAGGCGGAGTCGGGTAGCAGGACAGTGACACCCACTCTGCACCTGATCAACTTGAACACGCTCAATTTTGACACTCCTGCTTTATCGCCCGAGCTCCAATCTCACAGCTACGCCTATCTCAATGACTTGATCAGCCACCGGCTCTACCCTGTAGAGGACCGCTCTACTTTCACACTTCTGCTAACGCATTTGCCCTTACATAAAAAGGATGGCATTTGTACTGATGGTCCTTATTTCACCTTCCACGATGAAGACGATGACGATGATGTGCCACGCTGGTTATCTGGTGGTCTTCGAGAGCAGAACCACCTCAGTGATCATGTCAGTGCCTCTGGGATTCTGCAGGGGATATATGGAATGAGCGGGAACGAGAATGCTATTGCTGGCGGGCATGGGCGGAAAGGGCTTATTCTTACCGGTCACGACCACACCGGATGTGATGTCGTTCATTATATTGAAAAGGCTGCGACTCAAGAAGATGCAGCCGAGGAACAAGATCAAGCTCCTTCGCAAAGGTGGCAGTGGGCAGCGAGGCGCTACGATGAAGCAAATGGCCGAGAAGACAACCAAGCCACACCATCTATTCGGGAAGTGACCCTCCGCTCAATGATGGGCGATTTCGGCGGTAATGCTGGTCTTCTATCGATCTGGTTCAATGCTGAGTCTGGCGAATGGGATTATAAGATGATGATGTGTCCGGTTGGTGTGCAGCATATTTGGTGGGCTGTGCATGTGGTTGCTCTTGTGACTCTTATCATTGGCTTGGTTTGGGTGGTGGCTGGCTTGGTCAAAGTCGGTGAGTCTCAGCAGAAGAGGATTGTGCACTTGGATTCGAAGACATTCAGGTCCAAGGCAGGAGAGACAGACAAGAAGCCTCCAGTTGGACGAGAAGCATCAAAGACACGGAGGGATTGATATCCTACATAGCGATCTACTGGGGTTTAATTTTTATTGTACATTAGCGTTGACTGTACCACTATTTTTGCTATTATTTGGATATTGTACATGGAGAATGGCAACCTAGGAAGCCTTGACGAGATCTAGACCAATATAGAACTAATCAATTGATATCGAATTTCATATTACCCTAGTAGAGAATTAAGACTACGTCTTACAAGGTTTCATATGTTATTTCTACAGAAAAAAGAACCAATGCCAATGAGATGCCTAGAATCAAAGTGTAAAAAGACTTAGACCTGGTCTTTACCGATGAGATATTAAACTGGAAGGTTCCAAACTTGCCCAGGTGGTTGATAAATATCTAGGACATAATGATGGATATATTACCTATGTATCTAGCTATTCGACGCCTAGGTATCATAACATTCCCGAGGCCACCCATCGATATCTATGGATAGCTTGATCGCTGCTGGTATTGAATACTTCAGGATGTAGCTTAAGAAGGTGTCAGGTTTGAACCTTGGAATAACGGACAGGGGATCTCGGTGATATGGTTTTCTAACTGACGCAAAACTGCATTACAAACTATTGAGTAAACGATATTGGAGCTTTTTAAGAGGTTTTTGTCAAACGTAAAGACTTCTATAGTTGCATCAGACATCTCCATGGACGGTATATGACTATATATTAGAGGTTTAATAAGTATCTAGGTACTACCAGGGCTTAAACGTCCCCAGACTAAACATTGAAAATGTCCATTAGAAGTACGAATTCCAAAGATGGGATTCGTGGCGGATATTTGCCCTCCACACTTAGGCTTTGTCGAAGCCTAACTACTCGTTTGGGCAATAGCATATTCAGGAAAATGTCAAATCGATGCCATATCTAGAAAGAATTGCTAACTGTAAACCGTATTTAGTTACCTTCTTATGTATCCGACCATTAAAGTGGAATGAGTGCCCAAGTGATAATTGGTAAGTGCAACTATAATTGCACCTTGAGAGGCGGATGAGAAACACAAATCGAAAATCGATGACATGGGCAATCTGTGAATTGCATTCTCTATACCCATTAAACACCATTTGAACCTGTGAAGTATTCTATTTCGACCAACTCCGAAGAGCGGATTTATAAAGACCCTAATGACAACCATTTGAGGGATTAGTGTATATCTTCCCGCTTCCCAATATTAAATGCTACATAAGTTTTGGTATATATTCCTGTAAAATCACTTCCTCACCCGCCGCACATGACTGACAAGGTTCTCAATTACTCCTTCAAATGCTTCCTTCTCGCCAAGAAGGCCGTCCCGCCGCTTAAGCCAGTGCTCCAATACTGTACTAGCACGAAGAGCAGCCTGTTCTAATTCCCGTACATGCAATTTCAGCTCTTCATCAGTCCAGCCTCCTAATGCAGCATCTGTAGTTGCACACAAGCGGCGAACGGCCGAAAGATCCAGTTCCGGAGGCGGGAGTGCACCTCGGCGGGTGGATTTTGAACGAGAAGGGGCCTGCCCTGTGTTATCAACGGACACATCACCAGTTTTTTGAGCTTGGTTTTGTGAGGTGGTTGAGGCACTTGTTGAACTGTCGAGGTTAATGGAGGGTAAGATGAGCTTCTTCTGCTTCGATGCGGGGAGAATTTCGTCAAGGTCAACGGGTACACCAAGTGACACGAGGAAGAGCCTGCGAATACGGGACTTCACCCAGTTCTGGGGTTGGAGGGGTGGTGGTGCTACTAGCTGGGACCAGAGGGATAGAGAACGCTCTGTACTAAAGATTGCTGCGGAGTCTGGGATTAACTCCACAGGTGGAAGAGATTCAAAATCCCGAGAGGCAGGGAGAAGACTGTCTAGTGTGCCTTGAAGAGCACTAATTAGCTCAGAGGAGGACTTAAATGACTCAAAGTCGGTAAGTGGAGGCTATGAGGAGGTATAATGTTAGCAGGTGGTATAACTATATGGTTGATTTCGGTACTCACAGCTGAGATGGGCGCACAAGGCCGTGGAGAAACGGTGCCTCCACCCATGTAGACATCCCCAGTAATCTCTGAACTGGGTTCTTGAAAGCCGTCATCAAAATCTCCAAAATCATCATCGCCCATGTCGTCCTGCTCTTCAACAAATTCATCAAAGTCATCACCGCCAAAACCATCATCGTCATCGTCATCTTCAACTAGCTCGGGCTCGGGCTCGGGCTCGGGCTCAGCTGCGCCATCTAATGATAGTGTCTCTTTTGGAGAATGAGAGCTCTGTAGTAAGGGGGTGTCTTGGATTGTTTCCACGACGTCTGGCTCGGCATCGCTTGGTGACTTTCGATGAGCTCGCGGTCGGGATAGTAAGTCGTCTTCGGCAGGTAAAGTGTCCACTTTAGTGAGTATAGTCTCCGGGATTATCTGGTCGGAATTATTGGCACCAGGGGAAACTTGGCCAGGAGATGATGATGGTTCATTCTCGGGGGTTGACGCCTTTGTCACTACATCAGGAACAGCATCGGCCTGACGCTTCTCATATGCATCCGTTCCCGGCACCTCACCATAGCTGGGTGATTCAGGATCAACTTTTTCCACCATTGTTTGTGGGATTGGTGAGTCACCCGGTATCAAGGGTTGATCCTGCAACCCCGCCACAGAATGACTCCTGCTCCGCGTGCCTTCTGGTACAATTTCGATTTCATCGGGAACTGAATCTTGTTTTCTCTTTTCATAAGCTTCTGTCCCGGGCAATTCGCCGTGCTTGGGGTTGCTGTCCACCCGCTCTACTCGCGTGCGAGGGACAGGAGAAGTACTGCGGGAGTGTGGGCTTAATTGTGACGGCGCCTGGCCTTCGCTGGCATCTGAGAAATGTTCGTCTTCGGTGTCGCAAGCTGTAAAATAAAATATTAATTAGTTGATCCTTGAAATCAGACATTCCTGGGTTTTTTGAAGGGCATTTATACCATCTTCAGCTCCTGGGTCCTCTATCTCGGTAGTCTTGCTTGGAGGTTCTAAGTATGTAGGTTTATCGCGCGACACCTCCGACATGGTTGTGGGTGTTGTTAGACTTGGATCATGAGAAGAAAGTAGGGAGAAGGAAAGCAGAAGTTATTAGTTTGGGGGCATGTGTATTGGATAGAGTAACGATGTTGTTTCACTGCGATCCACCGGAGTCCAGAACACTGTAGCCTCAGGCATGAGTAATCAGCTGTTGGTGCCTAGTTTAGCAGGCACTAGTGTAAGGCACCAAGCGCGCTTGGAATCTCAAACTCCTGCGGATTATTACTTCCAACCCTCCCTCACCTCTATCACCTCCAATCTCCCCCCTCTTCCTTCCGGCTTGACTTTCCTTTTCCCCGACACGATCGCATTGCCAACTTGAGCCCTGTGATACATTCGGCAGGATCCCACAGTGTTCCTTCGCCATGTCGTTTTCCTTCGGCGCTCCAGCTTCTGGTACTCCGACTTCGAGTGGAGCACCAGCTGGTGGTTCTCTTTTTGGAACTGCAGGCAGTACCTTTGGCTCTAACCAGACTGCTTCGACAACCCCATCATCTACTGGTGGTGCACTATTTGGAAATGTAGGAGCTGCGTCTGGCACCGGAACCGCATCACCAATGTTTGGCGCTCAGCCAAATTCTCAGCCAAATGCCATGTTTGGAAGTACCGCGACCCCGGCCAAGCCTGCTACATCAACTACAACTGGCACTTCAGGTGGCACCAACTCCCTTTTTGGAGCTGGAGCTGGAGCTGGATCGGGAGGCAGTCTATTCGGAAATCCAGCAGCGTCAACAACTCCCGGTCCTTCTGGACCTGCGTTATTCGGAAACGCCTCGACCACACCATCTGCCCCTGCATTGTTTGGCAATGCCTCGGCCACACCCTCCGCGCCCGCCTTGTTTGGTAACAAATCCACTACACCCTCCGCGCCTTCGATGTTTGGCAATGCTTCGACTACACCCGCAGGTCCCCCACCAGGATCCAAGTTACCTAGTCTCTTTGGAAACGCAAATTCTGCTACTCCTGCCACTGCACCCCCGGCTACAACTGCTGCGAGTGCCCCGAAACCTCTGTTCGGTACGGCTGCTGGCGCTACGCAGAGCACCACGCCGTCTTTTTCGTTGCCCTCCTCCACTGGAGCCAACCCTGCCGCTGCAAAGCCTGCATTCCCGTCCCTTGGCGGTGCTTCTAACAATCCCACCGGAGCCAATTCTCCTGCTTCAAGTCCCGCCTTCCCTTCCCTGGGTACCCTTGGTGGTGGTTCTTCTACCACTCCCCTTGGAGCGGCTAAGCCTTCCTTCCCTTCCCTTGGTGGCGCTTCTATCGCGACTACTGGAGCTGCCGCATCGCCAGCTACAACTACACCAAGCGCCCCCAAATCGCTTTTTGGCTCTGCTGTCAGCAGCACTCCAAACGCTACGCCCTCTTTTTTAACTCCCTCCACCGGAGCCACCCCTGCAGCTGCAAAGCCTGCCTTCCCCTCCCTTGGTGGTGCTTCTATCGCGACCACTGGAGCCACCTCTCAGCCATCTCTGAAAACTCCATCAACAGCAACCACCGCAGCTACCCCTGCTGCTGCTGCCACCACTGCAGCCCCCACTACTTCTACTACTACCACTACTACTACCACCCAACCCCTCTCTCCTCTCACTTAAACCAGCTACTACCACTACTACTGCAAATGCTACCGCTCCAGCTACAACTACTACGGCTGGCGGTGCTACTACTACTACTGGCACAAATCCCTCTCTAGGACAGTCCACCACGGGACCTGCTCCTCCTGCTCAGTCGCGTTTGAAGAACAAGACTATGGACGAGATTATCACTCGATGGGCAACAGATCTTACCAAATACCAGAAGGATTTCCGTGAGCAGGCTGAAAAAGTTGCAGAATGGGACCGTCTGTTGGTTGAGAACGCAAGCAAGGTCCAGAAGCTGTATGGTAGCACTGTTGATGCAGAGAGAGCCACTCAGGAGGTTGAGCGTCAGCTAGCTTCTGTTGAGGGACAACAGGATGAGCTTAGCTCTTGGCTGGATCGGTATGAACGGGAAGTTGATGAGATGATGACGAAACAACAAGTCAGCCCTGGTGACGCTCTTCAAGGTCCAGACCAGGAGAGAGAGCGAACGTAAGATTTCAATACGCAGATTTGATGATTGATCTATGAACTAATTCGATTCCATAGTTACAAATTGGCTGAGAACCTGAATGAGCGTCTGGATGAGATGGGCAAGGATCTCACCAGCATGATTGAGGAGGTGAACGGTGCTTCGGCAACACTGAGCAAGACCAACCGGGCAGATGAGCCGGTAAGTAACTCTTCAATTGGGAAGATTGACCGCCATTCTTACAATATTTACAGATTTCACAAATTGTTCGAATCCTCAACTCGCATCTATCTCAACTGCAGGTAATTGACCAAGGCACCTCTGAGCTGCAAGTCAAGGTTGCCGCTGTCCAGAAGGCTGGTCAGTCGATCTCATCGCGCCTTGGTTATGGCTACACTAGCCCAGGAGTTGGTGGGGGCAATGCTGCAGACGACTTCTATCGATCCTACATGGGTCGGCGATAGATTGTTAGTTGAAATGAGGCTAGATTAGCTATGGATTTGACAACCTGGAAGATAAAGTACCTAGGAAGTGCTTCAAAAATATTCATTAACATGCCGTCTACTTCACTTTTACCGAACGTTTGCTTTAGCTCTCACTCTTATTGGCTTCTATTTCTAATATTCGTAAAATCAACAAGTGTAAACTTCAAAATTTTGGAATAAGCCATGAATGATTTATCTAGAAGTTCGACGGCTAGGTAGTGGACAGAACGTCTCCCAAGCCCTGTTCTCCAACGGTTCTGTCTTCCTTGGAATATCATTATTAACCTTGGAAAACCCAGCTCACGTCAAAAAAATGATATCAACAAATTCATTATGGAAATATCGGATTGATAGGCGTAATTGTAAAAAAACTGCAGAAACAAAAAGTAAATGCTCACAAGCGGATTTGAACCGCTGACCTCGTGATTACTAGTCACGCGCTCTACCAACTGAGCTATGCGAGCTAGTTGATGAAGAATTCCTACAATTATGCTTATATCAATGGATAGCTTAATTAAACTGTTCCTTGCAAGGATGTTCAGGTCACACAAACGAAATATTCTTAGATGTCATTCCTTACAAATTTATCAATAATTGATATAAGTTGTTATTTCACTTAAACTAGCTCCATTATAAGTCATTTCAAAAGTCTATTAATTACCAACTGACTACGGAGTAGATTCTCAAGCATCACATGTCTTTTTAATTAGCAACAGAATTAAATACAGTATCTTTTGGCTCTATGATATGTACTCCGTACTGCCTAAAAGAATATTGTATCTAGTATAAGTAACTAGTCATAAGCTCATGTAGAACTTCATCTTCAGGAAGATTTTCGTCATTTCTATTCCCATCATAAGTGTAACAGGCTGGTGCCTGCTTTAGCATTCATGCCTGTGCCACTCATGCTCGTCACGTGCCACCCGCACCCGCATCCCTTATATTGCCACATGTCCATAGCTAGTCTCTCTCTCTCTTCTCTTCAAGCTTAATAAAGACAGTTTGTCGGCATCACTAGTTCTGCATTCAAGATTAGTATTAGCCCTTCACAATAAGACCTCAAATCTAGAAGATAACTAAGAGTTTGATCACTCTTCGTAATCCATTCTAATTCAGCCGTTCTAATATCTTTAGAAGGATATGAAAAGGTTTTTACCACACTAAACCTAATTAAATGTTAGGTGACGCGAACTTTTTACGCTAAGTCACATGTTCGGTGATGCGACCTGTAGACACGCCTAATTAAATGTTAGGTGACACGAGCTTTCGCGCTAGGTCACATGATCGGTGACGCGACCTGTAGACACCTTCGCGTTCGGCAAGTAAATAATGATCAATCAATCTAATACAAAACTAACTACGCCACAACCATAAAAAATTAGCAATCATTATAGCTATCTATATAGAGAGGAGGAAAAGATCTTCACAGTATGTTTTCCACGTTTGTCATAAGTAGACAAAAATAAAAACAATGGGGTGAGCCGGGATCGAACCGGCGACCTTACGATTAAATGACTCAAGTGAACTTCAGTCGCACGTTCTCCCAACTGAACTATCGCCCCATTTGATGAAAAGACTGTAGATCTTTGGTATTATAATGAGACCCTTTTAATTTACGATGGAAGTTACAGACAATTAGCAATATCGTAATTATTTAGAAAATAACTAATTAACAATGATCTCCAACTACGTATTCCAAGGTAATTCATAACTTGGTAAAGACTAGCCAGCCTTACAATGGGAAGAGAGGATAATAGAATAAAGCACTTGAAAGAATAGAAAATCCATAAATTGACCATCCACTGGCTCTCTTCTCTTCTACTAAAGAGCGGGGCTTAAAAACAACTCCTATGAGGTTGTAGCTACAGACTTCTTGAATTCTCCTTTCCAGGTGGCACCAGGATACCTAGGTAGTTACATATCTCCAAAGTTGACTACATTGGCTGGTCGATCTCATAGAATCGATTCTATTCAAAACTGGAGGATGAGATTCCTGCCAAAGTTTGGCTCTTTCAAATCATTTAATCAAGTATTAATAACTCAACTTCAATACTTGGTATCCAAGCCTACAATCTTAGGTAACAGGATAGAGTGGAATTCAATTAGAAATTTGATGTCGTTGACACTAGTGTCAGCCTGAGGCAGGTTTGCATACTTATATCATTTTCTCCCTAGTCTAGTAGACTTACTGAAATCATTCTTAATAAGTTACACATTATAATTGGTCACCCAGCCCCCTAAGATTCGATACCTAGTTTAAATCACTTGACTTCACAACAAAAGAAGTGCATATCAATTCTTTGATTCCAAAGTCCCACCCTCCAATTATGGCTTGGTACGTGGAGAACGTGATCCATTATAGGGACGTGGGAATTCATAATCACTAATGTACCAAAGATTGCGCACTCAAAAACGCGTGCGCAAATATTGGAGAGAATGGGGATGTAAGCGTGGTAAATGACCATTTTGGTGTGCATAACTATTCGCTTTTGCTCGATGAATCTCTTTTCAAAATTCTTGATAATTCACTCAAACTTTTGATGTCGAAAACCAAGCCTGATATTCATGAGCCCAGGGATTGAATTTTACCTCAAAAGTATAGAAGTAGGTAATTCACATTTCTCTTCTAGTGTATGTTTAAAGTCTTTGCGACTATTAGTTCCTTAATAAATATAGATTAGTATAGAATATAGAATATAATTCAGAATAGAATTGAGTATGTGATAGAGTATAGAATAAAATATAGACTTATGTATTGAATAGAGCATAGAATAGAGCGAGGAACTGAGCATGAAATTAAGCATGGAATAGAAAATAAACTAAGCATGGAATCAAGTATAGTATTAAGCAGTTCTTGAAGTCTCTCTTGTTGTTTCTTGGTGCCCTTCTCTAATTAACTCCGCTTTTCATGCTTGTATTCAAACTTGGTAATCAGTCACTATGACGAGGCCAACTTGTAACCTATCATGATCAGGAACCTTAGGAGCCATCGAGAGTCCAATTGCCATTATGTGTATGTTCTTGACATTTTCTAGTGGATTTAATCCATCCTCTCCCTTCTTACACGGCTATCTAGGCATTGACCATGGCAGCTGACAGAAGAGAGCTCTATGGCTTAGGTGGGAATTTGAAGGCCTGCAAATCTCATTCCTTAGAATGTTTCAAGTGACTACTGTGGTGTTAATTAGACTTGAAGTGATCGAGCCTACTTATCACTAATTTCCCACCCACCTTCTTATACTCTCTGTCCGAGATGAACACACTAGTCATCCCCTGTTTACATCTATCACATTCCGCAAATGGAAGCCTCGTGAATTTTTGGCTTCTTACACCATGGTACTACCTGAAAAGCCGGGCTTTCAATTAGGCTGTGTTCCTGTGACAGGAGAAGGAGTTCGTACTATCTGAGATGTCGAAATGGCCGCACGGAATAACAAAAATAAGAAAAATAACAGCTCAATCGGAGCCTCACTCTGGCCAGCTCATCTTCAGCCCAATTTTGAGGTCGAGATTGAGTCTACTAAGAGACCATCGGATGGATAAGATGACGAAATCCGCTGCATGATCGCAATGCTTGTATATTCAAAGAACACCTACTTGCTGGTAAGGGAAGAATCCACAAACAATGCCATGGCATTGACGTAGTGGGCTCACTCCAGACCCTGAAGGGCTAGACAATGGCCCAGTAGGCGGAAGGGTATACCTAGGTACCCAGGTAAGAACTGATATCGCCCGACCATGAATGGTGCTACGACCTCGAATATACTAGGATTTGTATGAAGATAATGCTTGCCTGGTTGGATTATAGAATAGGCACCCACCTAGGTAGATAGGTAGATGGTTGGCGAATAAAGAAGATAAATTTTAGTAGAAGTTGAAAGTGACATGGGGAAATATATATAATATATATCTAGGTCTATCAGTTAGATAAGAGTGAGAGGAAAGTACCTGTGGGCTGTGGACCTAAGTCATTGAAGTATATACATCAATAATTAGACGTGACGATCCAGGATCCCAGTGATGAGTGACTTTCAGGTGTCAAGCGGGGAAAAATAATGTGGGAGCTTTATATACTCCATAGGTCGATATTTTCTTTGAAAATTTATAATATAACGGCATAAATGTCGACTGACTTCCATCAAATGGGGCGATAGTTCAGTTGGGAGAACGTGCGACTGAAGTTCACTTGAGTCATTTAATCGTAAGGTCGCCGGTTCGATCCCGGCTCACCCCATTTTTTGCCGCCAATATTCTTTTTATCTCTATAGCCTTGGATCCACCTGTACTGTAATTCCTTTTTATAACGATCCTGGTTAGGACAAACGATATATCCTGGATGCAACGATGAGACCACATTGCGAAAAATGAAAACCTCATCATCATATATAGAATGATAAGAAAAAACAACCTCAGCGCCAATCAAATTTTTTGAAATTTCTCAAGAACCAGACTAGTTGAAGACTAGCTCACAACGACAAGTTAAATCTAACTCCCTTTGATACATTTTGATCCCAGTTGCCATTATATATGGCCATGGTGTTGATGTTGCGCGCGTCTAAGGGAGTTGGGGTCGTCCCGACGGCCGCAGCGTATACCTTAGTGTAAACCTGCCCTCTCAATCGATAGAACTATCCTCCACTAGCTTGTAGGGAATACCGTAGGAGTTCAGCAGTGAAGACGACGGCTTAGGGAGTAGTGGCCCGGAGCCTTAGGACATAAGCCCTAGTAACAGGGGACCCAGGAAAAGCGTAACGAGAACTGTCACCAGTGTGGCAACTACTAAACGTGCAAGACGAAAGAGAGGGTTCACGCTGACTTAGACCATCTACTGATATTGACCACACTCGAAATCAACACACCAAAAATCCTAGAGACGCGAAGATGCTAATAGGAAAAGATGGATATAAGCATATTCACAAAATTCGTTTCCGAAAACCTTCGAAACAAGCTATAGATACACTCACCAGGACTGATCGACAAATCAATAGACCATCTGCTCGACACCATAAAAAGAGGCACTAAAGAATCGACACCATAGGCAAAGCAGTCAGAATATGCCTGCTAAGGGTGAACACAAGACTACACAGAAGCAACCAATGCAACAAGACAGGAGATAGAGGCGAACAGGCGACGACATCGATATACTATAAGGAACTCAGAAACTTGAAGGGGAGAGTGATAGGGAAGGCCCTAAGGAAGGGGTTTTGTACCTGGATATCCCAGACCGTCGCCGACGGCCCTAAAGGACTATGGAAAGTGTCTGAATAAGCCGGAAATAGGAATCAATCGACAAGCAGCAACATCCCAGCACTAAAGGATGACTCCAGAGGACTGGCCACCAGCAACCAGAAGAAGGCAGAATTGCTCCAAAAAGTCTTCTTCCCCGAGCTACCAGAGGCGGATCTCTCAGATCTCCCCAACACCCGGATTCCTGATCAGATCGAAACGCCAGCGATTAACAAAAAGAAAGTGATGAACGCAATCAACCGTGCACCACCAGACAAGGCACCAGGCAAAGATGGTATCCCTAATCGCGTGCGGAAGATACTGGCAGAGATTCCAGAGTTCCTAAGACCCTGACTAAGATCTTTGACTCATGTATGCGAAGGGGATACAGCCCACGCCACCTCCAGGCCTCGATCACAGGCTCTCTACCTTGGATCCTGGAGCCATATCTGTCCGTTCACAGGGCCGTATAGTCCCCTGGGAACTGTGGTTGCGCTTCCAGATGCACATGGGTCATGCGAGGGAACTCTACAGGGCAAGATATATATATATATATATATATATATATATATATCGTTATAATGTAGGGCAAAAGAATAACATAGAATAACCTTAAATGATCTATTCAAGTCAAAGTTCTGTATATAATATGCTGGAGAATAAGAAGAAAAAATTGGGAAAATGGAACAGAAAAAGAAAGAAAGAAAGAGAACAGGATACACGAGGGATGGTAATCAACAACCCTTTGCCCACAAGGCAGCCTCAATGATATGCCCTAAGTCAGAGAAGCCAGCGAGATCTAAGGTTTGACTGACTTTGATAGTCTCCCAGTCATCTAGGATACGTCCAATGTATTCGCTGGCACAAGAGTTGTGCCAAACCTCTGCAAGTCTCTAATGGCAATCAAGATATTTCCGACTGGGGAGTGGGATGTGCTCATAGCCAGAAGCGGGGCTGAAAGTGACAATGTAAGGAGCAGTGGCCCTTACTTTGAGGGAGATAATTTCTCCATATTTTGAAGTCATAGGAGTTTACGTCGCTCTCCCTAGGCTTGAAGGCATAAGCGAAATTACCGAAGGCTGTATAGACATTCTTATACAAGGCAAGCCTATTACTGATATTATTGATAGAGGCAGGTCCAAGTTTGATAATACCGGGGAAACATCTATGGATTGCGTTCCATCTGATTGATGCTTCGATTTTCGAGGCAACCTATTATCTATTAGCCGAAATCAATGAAATAGGAGGAGCGGAAGAAATACATCATTATCCTCAAATTTCCCAAAACTAAATGGAAGAATATGAGCACACTGTAGCGTTTCAACATGAGAATTAGGTGGTAGCGGTAGTAATTGCGAAATCTTTACTTGTTCCGCGGGTGAGAGCTCTGGAAGACGTGGACCTGCGCCCATGTTTGGCTGGAACATCTTGTTATCTTAGTAATTTGTGATCACACATTTGTGTCCGTCTCTATCGAAGCAATCGTTTGGTAAGTGGGTAATGCGATTTTGTGACTAATTCAAGTTATCCTTTTCAATTATTTCTTGACGCGAGTCGATTGCAGACGGCATTAGCCCAGTGGTCTTTCCCGCTGCTTTGACTTCCAAAAAATCAGCTTAGTACTAGTAGCTCTTCATATATCAAACTTACCCGGGAGTATCAGATAGGCGAGAAATCCTTGCCATCGTTCAAAGAGTTCTATATCTGATACTTCGTCCATTCTTGGGCTTTGTGAGTCTTTAAGGTTCATAGTTTGTATTGCTACCTATTCTCGTCCCCCAGAAAGAATTTTAGACACGCGAGAAATGTAGACACAACCTGGTCCTTCACATCTTGCTTTGAAGTATAAGTTTCTAAGTGGGCTTTGGCTAGGACTAGTTCCGTAGCCCAAGATGCATTGTCCATAGGTTCTATTTTATCCTCCCCCCTCCAGGTCAACCAGGCTACTTGATTGTTCATGGAGAAGAGGTCGAGTGACATCACGATTCAAGGATCTGGATGGCAGGGTTTTCGGAGGATTGGATCTCTGCAGCGGTGTTGTAGGATTTGAAGAACTCTTCTTTGGGCCTTTGCCTTTCTTTGCGGCTTTTTTGACTCTCGACATTTTGTGATGTGCCGAGGGGAGTGAAGGAAGTAGTCACCTTTTCTACAGCGGATAGGATCTGGAACGGTCTATTCGTTACAAAATGCCACCACCATCCCGTAACTATATGAAAGCTTGAATTCGGCTTGGCATCGATATGACCAGAGATAAGTGACAACTCAGCAGACTCCGATTGTTCTATTCCATATATGTACTAGTGTGTCTTGGCACTGCGGCTTAAGAAACATCGAAGAGTTTGTCGACTTAGGGCTACTCGCTGTGTGGGGCTTGAACTTTGTGGTACGGATACAGTGCTGTTAGCTAGTATTTACAGCTTTTGCAGTAGTGTACTAGGTAGAGATCTTGTTCTTTAACTTGTTAGAAGTAATCCTGTCTTATAAATATGAATAAGTAGATACAAAAATAAAATTCTTCGATAGACTCAAGGTGGAATGAAGTATGAATGGGACGTCAAAAGCAAAAATAATGGGGTGAGCCGGGATCGAACCGGCGACCTTACGATTAAATGACTCAAGTGAACTTCAGTCGCACGTTCTCCCAACTGAACTATCGCCCCATTTGATGAAAGAAAGTTGGGATTTATGTCATAATGAAGCCTAGGTGCAGCTTTGGAGTGTAATGACTAAACTAGTATTTAAATAGGTATTAACTAGCCGAGCTCAATTGTGATTTCAGGGAGTTTCTATGATTGATCAAATTCTCAGGATGGAGCTATAAATAAGGGGGAAATGCGTGTATTATTGACAATAAGAGAGATAGATGATGACGATGATGATGAACATACCTTAAGAATACAAGCATACTACCCACAAGAGCGCTTCATTTTTGAACAAAATAGCGACCTACCAATGAAAGATCAACCTAAAGATAAGTATGGTGAAAAGGTTCTGAACTGGATTATGGATATCATAAAGTACGGCATAGCTAAGAAAAGAGAGAGAGAAAAAAAAGGAAAAGCGACAAAAGAAGGTCAAGCACCATCGAAGACACAATCACCCCTCCTTCCTGAAGTCATCTTCATGCACTGGATCACAGATCCCCTGGTGACAGAAGAAGTTCCACATCTGATACCCCAGTGGCTTTCTTGATATCCCAGATCAGATCTTGGATATGGGTAAAATATGTCCAGTCTGTCGCATATTGCATGCCTCCCTAAAGAAGACCAACCACCTCAAAATCACTCGTGTAGATCAAGGATCCAGAATCACCCGGCTGAGAGAAGGTTGCTGATGACGACGACCCTAGAATCGAATGCTCTAGGGTCCCGCCATCTCGGGTAAAAGTTGCAACCATTAGTCCATTGTACTGACCGCGTGACTTGCCGGAACGGTATCCATCCAAAGCTCTTGGCCATGATCTAAAGTCGGAGTTTTTTTAATCATTATGGGCTCCTCGCCGTTTGGAAGCTAAACCCCTAAACGTTAACCATGTTCAGCGACAAGAATATTATCACGGCACTTACCTCGTTCGAGACTGCTCTCTCAGTAGGGAATTTGATCAGAGCTTAGTCAAAAGTGGTCGGAAGATGACCTTGAGGGATTGTGGGTACTCGCCATTTGGATTTGAAGCCAGATGCGGCCCACACAGATCCAAAACCAAGCTCGTCTTTTCCCCGTCCTAACTTGCTCCTGAACTCCTTCTGCTGGTTTAAATTTGCCGCGAAGTTTTTGAATTGCGCTTTTCTTTGTTTCGCCGAAAGTTCGAAGACTCCTTGGGCAATATCTTCCTGGCATTTTTGCCAGAAAGCATTTTGTTCGATTCCTTTGATCCGCTCATCACAAATTGCAATCTGCTCACTAATTGACTGGAGGCTAGGAGAGTTAGTTTGAAGCTCAGTGCGCGCGTATATGTCAGAGGGGTAGACTCCTTCGCTCTTCCATGTTCCGGTTCCTGGGTGTATAATTAGTCTGATGTAGAGAAGCGCGTCGAAATTGAACATGACTTACTGCTTTGAGCGGGCTGACTGTGTAAAACCTTAGGCAGAATGCAGTGGAAGCATGTTAAAGCGAACAAATCCCAGTTCTGGGCTTGAGACTTGAGACTTAAGAATCCACCTAGACTCCCAGAACCATTGTCAACTGATTCGGCCGACAAGCTCTGACCTGGTCTGCCTGGCCCTTCCAGAACCTGTTGACTTATGCCGGTTCTCTAGTTCTCCCCTCCGTACTGGACATCCACCCTTTCAGATAGCTTGTCCCTCATTATCTCAACAGCCATCATGACAAACCCTTTTTCGTCAAGAATTCTGATGATCGCTTCGCGAAACATTGGCCAATTTCTGTCGCTGTATCTAGCGACTGTGATTAATACGGTGGGATGGCTGTGGTGGCCTCGACGGAGGCATCCAATCGTCGTCACCCCACCGAGATCAACCGTTCCTAAGATGGTTTGGAGCAGAGGTTCCCAGTGACGAAAGAAAATGTGATCCTTAGGAATCAAAGAAGACTTTAGGCCATCGCTCAACCTGCAACGATCCATTATCTCAACAGAGACATTATCGAGGGACACGGATTGTAGATAGCTCCATACTGCTTTGGCGGCCGTAAGCTATTTTCCGTTGAGCTCTTTGCGCTCTGGAATCAGCGCGATTGTCGGAATTTTATGGGGATTGCCTTGGAACATAGACTTTCTTTCGACGAGTTCTACCCCACGTGTATCGATAGAGAGGTTTTCAGCTAGAATACCTTCGATTTTCGCGAGGAAATCCCAGTCTTTTGGAAGGCTGAAAAAGAATCCCAGGCGCAATGGGCTTCGACACAACTGGCAAGGAGCATAATGAGGGGCCGCCAACCCGAAAGTCCTCATTTGTGAAGCCGTCGGTGTCAAAAATAGGGACAGACACACTCGTGCCATAGTCACGTCTCTTTCGGTTGTCTGATAGGAAATTTCCGAGTCCGAAGGCATAGCTCTCAGCTTGTGCTGTGTCATGAACGCTGGGCGAGGCGTAGGCAACTTCAAAATCGGATCCACTTGGTTGGACACTCATGACTTGGCGGACGTGATTTTGCGTTGCGCCTGCTGTTTAGGTTAATAGGTTCTGTCAGTCGGGATGGGAATCCAATGACAATCCATAACGGTCTGGGGGTTTTCTGTGACGAGTCGATCGACGTAAATCCATGTTTAATATGCTTTGAATGCAGGTGAATCATAGACTATGATTGGTTAGAATCTACCAAGGTCGATTTCAAAAGTCATGCGTTGAAACTAATCCCAGTTTAGCTAATAGTATTTAAATTTCTGTATCAACTCTGTATTCAAAGGGCTGTTGTGTGTAAATTTAAACTGTATTGTCATTAAAACAGGAATAGCTAATCAATTATCTATCTCTCGTGAAATCTTTAGTAGGAGAGCCAAATACATCTTCTCATCTTTAATATAGCAAGATTAGCAACTTTCAATAATTCTGCTTTCCACAGATTTAATTGTATGATGTAAACCTGATTATCATCATCGAATGAATCGAGTTCTGTGAGCCAGTCATTGTGAGTGATCATCTTCGAGTCCTTCCTGTACCTTGTTATCGTTATCGGGTGAATCGAACGCTATGGGCCACTTGCCCAGAAGGCAATTCATCTCCGTCATTTGCATGGGCCAAAGGTAAGGGACACAGTGACCGCAACATACTTTTGGTTCCGGGCCACTATAGCGGCTTGTCAGATAAAGTATGATTGAATGAGACGAGGTCTACTCGGTCGTACTAGTCTCTCATAATCCGGACGACATTCACTTTCCCATCCAGTTCTGATCGCCTCATCTCGATCGCAGATTTTAATTGCAGACTTTGGGACATCATGTTTGATATGTATTGACCAAGTGGGGTGTATTCTAGCCTGATATATGGCCTTGGATACCACTCTGACTTCATACGATTCTTTTCGCTCAATTTCATCAAACGACCGAGCTAGAAGTATTTCGAAAAGCAGATCGACCCTTGCATCAAACTCAGATGTCATCAGGCGATCTTGATTCGACATGCTCGGATCGAGATCGAACACAAGTTAGTTTTACCAATCATAATCTTAATCCAAATGATATTTGCCATGCACGCCCGGTCATCAAAATGACGAAAAACTATGACGGCATTATTCCCTGTGATTTGTCGTATGTATCTTGACCGACTTGGCGCAATTATTGAAAATGTCACACACGTTCATCTTCTCGGTTACAACCGAACAGTGTTGATAAATTGCTCTTCCTCTGATCTAGGTACCTACGGGCACACTTATTGCAAACTTTTCATGAATGTTGGGGCCAGAGAAACTGAAATGTGTACTGCCACTTCACCCTGCCATGTTCCCGCCAGACAACTGGAAGCTACTAGGGCTTCTGAGGAGAACCCGATGAATGGATTCGACGAGAATCAAGTTATGCTGATGGATGAGGCTTGCATCGTTGTAGATGAGGAAGATTATCCAATTGGGACTGCAAGCAAGAAGGACTGTAAGTATCACATACCAAAACTTTGTGGTCAAGGAATGGTGCAACTCACGGTGCTGACATCTAGTACAATACAGGTCACCTGATGGCTAATATCGCCCAAGGTCTCCTCCACCGCGGTTTTGGTGTCTATATCTTTGACTCAAAAAACCGTTTACTGCTCCAACAGCGAGCGTCGCAAAAAATCACCTTTCCTAACGTATGGAGCAGCTCTTGCTGTTCCCATCCTCTTGACATTGCGGGCGAAAGAGGAACAGATCTCCACACTGCTGTTGAAGGTGTTCAGCGGGCAGCGCAGAGAAAGATGCTCCAGGAATTAGGCATAAGCGCGGAACAAATTCAATTAGAGAAAATTCAATTTCTGACGAGGGTTTACTACAAAGCTCCCATCACCGGGATTTGGGGCGAACATGAGAGCAAGTTTCCTTCCTTCTTTGCAACCTTCATATCTTTTTACCTCTGGTTTTTGTGATCCTCTCCAAAATATCTCACACCTTCCTATGCATCTTGAAAGAGAATATACTAACAAAATACTCAGTTGCTTATGCACTTTTAGTCCAAGCCGACGTCAATCTTGACATTAACCCCAACGAGGTTCAGGATACCCGATATGTCACCGAGGGAGAGCTGAAGCAGTTGTTAAATGACGAGCGGATTGAGTTCAGTCCTTGGTTCAGGATTATGTGTGATTCGTTGCTATTCGACTGGTGGAAACATATCGAAACTGGGGTTTTGGAACCTATTCTATACAATACTTCTATCCAAAAGATTTGAATACCGTCAAGTGATGATGTTATTCGTTTGGGTTATCAATGGGGCACTATATTATTTCCATAATTTCATATCGAATTGATCAAACGTACCAGATGTTCGATTTTTTCTGTATGATAAACCTGTTTCCTTTCTTACTAGTTATGCCGGGCTAGCCAATATGCAGCCACTTCTGCATGCATAATGGAAGCATGCCCTGAGCTGCACCTTGTCATCATCATCAGATGATGAATTGAGCGCTATAAGCCAATCACTGTGATCAGGAATCTTGGGGAAATCAATTTTTTTTGATGGGGAACGGGGGAATTTATAGGGCTCCCCACTATACCGGACTGGCCATTTGACATGACAACCGCTGGTGACATGAACTAAGCCTAATCGGTGAGTCCCAAAGTATTGATCGCGCTTTCGATTTTCTTTCTTTTTTCTTTCCAGAATTTTGCTTTCATCCACTTTTCGAGCTATTTTTCATCTCGGACTCGTACCCACTATGCCGCCTCTTGATAAAAAGGGAAAGGGCTGGCAATTGATGGTAGACAGCTGGGAAATGGTCAAGAAGGAAAAAATGACCATGAATGAATATGACAAACTGGTGTTGGATCTGAAGGATCAGCAGAAAAAGTTGCCTGGCCTGGCAATGAGCAGTCTCAAATGCCATGATATCTGCAAGATCCTGGATTTGATGCATGGTCTCCCCACTACTGAATTTGGTACTGTCGAGGATGTTGGAGTCCTCGACTGGCATGATAAGTCCTTGAGACTGGGCGGATAAGGAAACAAGAAAGGATGATATCTAACTAAACTGCTTAGCTGCCTGGCTGGTCGAGATTAGATGTTCATTTGGACACAGTGAGCTGAACGAAACTAACATTCGACTTACACTAGACTACCTGCTGGTACTGACTAAGAAACTGGTAACGGACGAGTTGCCACCGAAAGCACAGCCCATAAGCCTCCAAGTGGAGAGCATGTGGGAGCACGGCCCGGTCACGCACAAGGGAATGGACTACCGCCTCACAGGCAAGCCTGATTACACGGTCTGGTATGGTGAGACCGAGACGATGGCTGCAAGCCTCGTCGTTGTGGAGGCCAAGACAGAGATGCAGGCAGATTCTGGCATCGGCAAGTGTGTTGGCTATATGCGTATGTGCTTTATGATACTATACTATACTATAGAATACAGTACTGACTTCTAGCTAGGCATGGTTTAGAAGCTAAGGGAGGAGGTTGGTAAGCGAAAGTCTTCTGTTTACGGGATGGCGACTGAATGCTTCAAACTGCAATAGCTCCCATGAGTCGTCATTGATTTGACTGGGAAATTTTGGGAAGAGGTTTGCAGAGCTCAGAATGAAAGGATCCTCCAAGATAGGACCAGTGACAAGGGAGCTATCCGCAATGTCAAGGACAGAGACAAATGTGCCTGCCATTACGCGCTAAATAGCTTTTAGTGGTGTTTTCGAAGCTCGATTAGGTCAAAAGGTACACTAGAAGACTTGAAAAGCAGTTGAAGGTCGTATTATGAACTTAAGTATTACTGGATTAATAATAGGAAGTGAACATCGGAGCGTTTCGCCAATTTTTGATGCGCCGTTCCAAAATGAGGAGGACGATGAGTACGTGGATGCTGGAACCGTATGCATTAGGATGTCTCACATCTATTGCATCTGAATCCTGGGTCATTTTTTTCCTCTAGCACCTCTATCCCTTTGTTGATGAGTACTCTGCTTAAACGGAAAAAGAAGAAAAAGATGGAAAGTCTAGGGTATTGCCCAGGTTCGACAGTAAGATTTCAAATATTATGTTTTTGCGGAGCATTTACTACTATACTACTAGTCTAGTATTCCGCGTTGACAGCCTAGTAAAACTATATTCTACTATGTAGTGCTGCAAATGTTGAAATCTTCAAGTGATGTACTAGTAGTAAAAGCTAGCCTATAGCTGTCAAGGCTCAGAATTTGAGGGGGAATTTGGTCCTTAGTGTTTCTCCATACTTGTAAAAGACAAACGGAAGAGGAGTGAATGATAGGCCAATGAAAGCTAACAAGCTGTTTCCCCAACCAAGACCCAGAGAGTCATACATGGGTGTTCCTGCCAGGGGTAACAATGCACCGAACAGACTCCTCAGGATTGTATTTGCTGCTAAGGCGGATGCGGCTGTTTCGGATCCAAATGCATCAACCAGGTACAACTGGGCGGGCATGAGGATGAGGAATGCCCCGAGCCCGATAAAAATGGTACCCAGGATTGGAACAATCCAATGAGTAACTTTGTCCGCACTCCATCCGCACCAGAAGAAACCGATAGGAACGACAGGGAACGACCAAATCATAAGAATGAGACGTAGCTCCGGTCGTTCAAGAGTTCCCTCACGCGGCTGCTTGAGTAGTTTATCGCTGAGAATAGCAAAAAGCGCGATGCTGATTATCATACCAACTCCGAGACCTAGATACGCAAGACCAGAAATGTCGGTGGCGAAGCCGTATGTTACCTCGAATACATCTGGGAAAGTGGTGAAGAGCAGGTAGATAAGACCGAACATGAAGGCGCAGTAAAGGGAGAATGGGAGGACGATTGGAGACAGCAGCATTCTGAGAGGTCGTATTGTGGCGCGTGCAAAGATCTGAGACATTGTACGGTCTTCCTTAAAAGTTCGAGCCTGCAATTGATGGTTACCGGTTGCCTTGCGCATAGTAGCTGCCTTGCGCTCAAGGAGAACGGGCTCGAATGTTTCTCGCATTAGTATAAGGGCAAGGAGGGAGATGCAACCAGACTAGATGTTGCTAGTGTTAGATTGGGTCAAATTGTATGTCACATCGGGATCTCACTTACCAGGATCAATATTAACCAAAACGTCCACCGCCATCCGAGGTACTCGGTCACAAAACCGCCTATCACTGGGCCGATGACTGGGCCAAGAAGGGGACCAAGGCCGAATAGAGCCATCGCTTTGCCACGTTCACTCGCAGGATAAAGGTCTGCAATGGTCCCTCCTCCAACAACCATTGGAGCCGAGGCTGAGCAACCACAAATGAAGCGAAATACCAAAAACATAGCCGTGTCCCTGCTTAACGCGCAGCCAATTGTGAATGAGATATATCCGACATTACTAAAGTGGTAGATGAGCAAACGGCCGTAAATTTCCGACATGGAGGAAAGAAGAAGAGGGCCTAGGACGTATCCGAGAAGGTAGATGGACACGGTAAAAGAGGCGACAATAGTGCTAGTGACATGGAAGTCCTTGACGAGATCTGCAGCGCCCGGAGCAAACATGACTGCGGCAAGATTTCTATCTCGTCATGTGAGTTACTTGAAGCTCGAAGAGCTGATTATGGGAAAATGGGAACTTGCACTTACGAGTATAAGGTGAAGGCGCTGACAAAGAGTACATGCTGCAGCTTCAGTGACTTCTTCCAATTCTGAGGTTTATCAGGGTCATCAGGACCATCCCAGTCCACAATGTCAGTCTTCTCTAAATCCATCGAAGTATGGACCATGCCTGCTTCTGTATCCGTGGGCATCTGGTGGAACAAAGCTGTCTCGAGGGAATACTAAAAAAAAGCAGTTCACTGCGAAGGAAGTTGTGCTTTTCTCTGCGAAACCACAGCTCTGAGGGAAGAATTGGACAGTTGTATGGATTTTAATGCAAATAAATGACCGTCTAAAAACATCCGCGGACGGTCACCACACAGCACCCCGACGCCGCGGTGATCCCCACATCCTATTAAGAATTATTTGTAAACTAGCAGGGTTCGCCTTCAGAGTCACACAAGGGCTGTTCTTGATCTGAGTTTGTGAATAGACCCCTGACCCTCCGAAACTTTTGGGGATCGTAAGTCTCGCGGCCGAGATAAACAGCCTCAACGACCCATCGCCGATCTCCCGCTCTCACCCTCCGCTTTCTACTCTTATTTCTAAGCATCCAGAAGAGAGCACATGAACATCTATCATTGCTGAGCTACTGAAATAGATTCCGTCTCGAAGATGCCAGATTCTATACACCATGTAGATGGAATGACACAGCAACCAACTCCGTCAACCACTTCTTCATCGGGGAGACTGCAGCCCCCACGTTCACGGCGTCGGGACAAGCCTCAGCTTAGCTGCAGTTCCTGCCGCCGGCGGAAGTAAGTGGCGTCCAAACATCATCGTGCCTGGGAAGGCGTTGATTAGATCCCTGAGCCTTGGAAATGTCAATGTCCCGGAATCTGACACTGCTCGCCAGGGCCCGTTGTGATCGTCACCACCCATGTGCTAACTGCTCAAGTCGGGGGCTTGGCTCCTCATGTGTTTATACCAACATTTCAAATTCAGTCGTCTCTTTTCCTGCTGAATCAGGTTCGCCAAGCCATCCTCAGATCTCCGCCACCAACACGCAGGATCGCATAAACCAGCTGGAGAGTCTAGTTCTGGAACTCATGCACCAGACAGAATCAAATCGTCGTAAGTCAAATATACGTCTTTCTCAAGCTCCAAGGCTCCCACGAGCGTGGAATTTCAAGAGTCTCAAGACGTTCTTTGTTCGTGGAAAGTCTACTAAATTGGAGAAAGCTGATTTAGTCGTAGATGGATCACCATCAACGAATCCCCAACACCTTACACCTGATCAACGTGCACACGGCGACCGAGCCGATTCGCGCAAAGGTTCGAAGCGAGCAGCTGAGGTGGGATATGAAGCGCAGAATGATGCTTCACCATCCCCTTCAGAGTATGGTAGCTTCAGAACTCCAGAGATAGGTGCAAATTATGTTAGTAGCTCGCACTGGTCTGCCATTCTGGACAGCATTACCAATTTACGAAACTATATCGCCAGAGATGAAGAAATCCACCCTAGAGTGTTAGATCCTGTCCAACCATCGGCAGGCTTTCCGAAACCCCAGTTACTGTACAGCTCTGCAATGCATGAAACCTCTGCCTCCATCCTCAAAAATCTTCCTCCCCGCCTTACTGTTGACAGATTGGTGTCTCGCTATTTCAACTCCCTCGACATAGCCCCTGGTACTGAATCGCAATTTTCCACTCCTTCTAGCAATACATAAGAACTACAGCCAGACTGACTAGGAATTCAGGAATCGTCCACAGTGGTAAATTTCTCCGCGAGGTATGTGCGACCTGGCTTTCAATCCAACATTTCCACAGCATCATCTCCAGCCCCACAATTGTTTTATCATTGCCAGACAAACTAATTCTCTTAATAGTATGAAGTGTTCTGGAAGGCACCACATGACACTCCAATTCTGTGGGTTGGCATCTTGTTTAGCATAATGTGTCTGTCGACACAGCTTCAGCAGGCCTTTTCTAGTCTCGAAAACTCTACTCCTTCATACGGTCACCCAAGACAGACATCACAGGTTGGAGACAGTGAAGATTTGTCAACGATGTACAAAGTAAAGGCCATCCAGTGCCTGCTCCTTGGTCATTACACAAAAGGCGGACCTTACGTATTGGAAACTTATTCTCTATTTTCTGATCGAGAACTTTCACCTCAAGGACATGGAGATCGGTATATGGGTCCTAGTGGGCAACATAGTACAGATTGCGATACACATGGGCTACCACCGCGATGCAAAACATTTCGCATCTATTTCGCCCTTCGCTGGTGAGATGAGAAGGCGTATCTGGGCGATGATTGTGCAGTTAGATTTTAGCGTCTCAACACAGTTGGGGCTTCCCAGGCTGATTAAAGAGAGCGACACTGACACTGCCGAGCCGCGGAACCTAAACGATTCCGACTTTGACGAGCATACTTCTACACTACCAGCTTCAAAGCCAGAGACCGAGGTGACGCCAACCTTGTATGTCTTGGCTAAGCTACGGTTGCTCTCAGTAGGAGCAAATGTCGCCGATGTGGCCATGCAGCCCCAACCTCACCCATACGCCGAGATAATGGAGCTTGACCAACGAATTGAGGAGGCTAGGAAAAAAATCCCATCAAGTCTAAAATGGACTGGCCTTGGCTCATCCCTCAATGTTCCATCTCGGATTATAGTTCAAAGAATCTGGCTGGAAGTGATTATTCACCAACTGAAGATTGTTTTGCACCGAAAATTCCTTGAGCCCTCTCGCTTTGACCAGCAATATGATCGCTCACGCTCTGCATGCCTGGAAGCTGCTATGCAAATTTTGAATTTCCAGCGCCTGGTTGACGAGGAGACTTCACCAGATGGCTTACTTTACCAGAGCCGCTGGATGGTTTCTTCTGCTTTCACAAACGACTTTCTCCTCGCAACGAGTGTACTTTGCTTCTATCTTCAAGCACATAATAAAAAGGACAAAAGTCCTAACAACCTAATAGATTCTGATCTTGAGCTGGACATGGAAAAGATCAGAGAGCTCTTAAAAACCTCCCAGACCATCTGGAGGCGGCAATGTGCGACATCAAGAGAAGCTTTGAAAGCCATCACGGCTCTTGATTACGTTCTAGATGGTCCTCATGGAAGGCCTGAGCTCTCCATATCTGAAAACGCATCTCTATCTGCTGTTCCGGCCACAGCCGTTTCTTACTTTTCAGGTAAGGATATTCCTTCATTTCCAGCCGCTCGAATGAGTTACCAACAATTAACAGGCCACATGGACTTTACATCGAACTACGACCTGTCCAGTATGGCCCTAGCACCTGAAATGGAAGGAATAGCATGGCCAATGTTTACGACAAACATGAATAATGATGTCGAGCGGTGGATTGGCTCTCAGCAGATGGACATGGCATTGTGACCGACAATCGTGGGTGACTAAGCGGCCCTGAACCATAGTTAGCCCCGAGTATACAGGCGGCGGGGTGGTAGGGTGGCAGGGTCGACCCTGCCATCCCGCCGCCTATATACTCACGACGACGCAATACCACAAACCCGGAACGGAACAAACAGACCCCCGAGTCACGGGGGAACGACTATATTAGGAACTCAAGTAGCTACATGAATTGAACACACTTCACACCACTTTGCACACCATATATACTAAGAATCTAGGACGAACCATACCCTTTTCCAGTGTATATAGTGCAACGTGTGAACCCTGTCCTTTCAACGTAGTTGATCGACAGAGGGCTTGTAAAATGTGCAGTAATCAAGCATTAGCTAGTATTAATATGTGGCTATATGTAGATGCGAAGACAACACGATTTTAGGAGAAATTACTCTACCTAATAGTCTTTAACTATTCAAGGGCCAGTATAGTGGTCATGTATGAGCTTGGTCTCACCCGATTCTCACCCTATTTATTGTATACTTACCTTGCTCACCTGGGCGACACCCGACTGTTTTCTGCGTTTAAGCCTCACGCCGGCCAGTTAGTAGTATGATGGGTGACCACATGCGAATCCTGACTGTTGTATGTTTTTTTTCCTTTTTGTACTTTTTGGTCTTCTATACCTAGCAAGAGTGGCCTAAATATATACTTTTGTTTCATTCTGATATTACAAGAAGGGAGGTATGATCATAGTAAACGCTCCACCATTCGTGCGCAGACAATTAGTCGGAGATTAATCAACGGACGAAAAACTATATAATCGTTACCAGCATACAATTTTCCGGGGTCTGGATCGACCTAGTAGCTACATATATTCCTCCTATATTCAGGTATGCTGTATGGTGTACTATAATATATCTTGCAAGAATCTTGATTACTCCAAATTTTGACTGCTGCCATATTTTTGATTTGAAGCTTATCCCAGTGGGCCCCTCGGATGGACAAAAGGGCGAATACTCAAAGATTCTTGGGATCTTAGTTTATATGATCCGAAAAGCAGCGACAACCTATCCCACCCACTCCAAAGAGTCAACGGGCAATGATGATGCTGGGCCAATGTCGCTAGGCTGGAATGTTCAAGGAGCCTTCACTCCCCGACCTCTTCGAAATTGAGCAAAAAGCTGAGTAAAAACATCCTGCTTGAGTCCCTCACTTTCGTCAATGTTTGCAATCATTTCCTCGATGTTTGCTGTTTGTGTTTCCTCTAGATGCTCGTAAATCGTTTCGATTCCCAGCTCTTTGAAAACGTCTTTAGCCCTTGATACCAATTTCGTGTCATTTCTTCCGTATGTTTTTTGAAGTTCACAAAGTTGCTTATCACTGCATCGAATGATTGCTTCATTAATCACCCACGTGCATTTGTTGTCTTGGATATCGGTCCCAATTTTTTTGGTTATATGCGGGTCACCAAAGACGTCTAGGTAGTCGTCTTCGATTTGAAAGTACTCCCCAAGTGCAGTTGCTAGTTTTCGTGCTTGACCAAGGTTACTGGGGGATGACAACCGCAGATACACCAGTACAAGTGCAACAGGCATATACAAGCTGTAGTAAGAAGATTTGCGGTCCACAATAAACCTGTACTTGTCCATTGTAAAGCTGCCGAGCTCCTGATGACTTGCAAACATATCACTGAATTGGCCAAGCTCAGTTTCTAAGCTAGCTTTGAGGAAGAGATTAACAAAGCTAGTGTAGGCTGGATGGTCGGTAAAATGACTCTCCAAAAGGAGGAAAATCGCGGATTTCAACAAACAGGCGTCATTGACAGCCATCAAACCAACTCCGGGCTGGCGATACCAGCACGGTTGGCCACGACGTGTAGTAGAGTTATCCATGATGTCGTCCCAGATGAGGTATGCTGCTTGGAACAGCTCAATAAGCCACCCTAGTATGCTCAGTTGTCTAAACTCTTCATCGCTGAGCGGTCGATTTAAGATGTTGTTGGCGGTAACAAGGACAGTAAGTCCACGGTGAAGCTTGCCACTTGTGGTGTTCGTATTCAAGCACTGCATTATATTTGTTTAAAATCAAAAATCAAAAATAAGTATGATACATCTTACATGGCTAAATTGCTGAATAGCCTCAGCAGAGAATCCTCCACGAGACAGGTGGTTTTTCAGCTCTTGAACTAAGTCATCGAAGATACTGATGAATTTTTCGTGGCTCAGGGGATCCATGACTTTTTAGCTGTATATATTGAAGGTTTTAATATTACCCCGTGTTGTTGGACCTGAACAAGCTAATATACCCAAAACCGACAGGGGCATAACAATTAGGTACCCATAACCCCACTTGGGTAGAGACTCACTTTGAAATTTAAAGTGGTTATATGCGTTCTCCTTGACTAACATGCATTTATGAGCTGGCACTGCATAGTCCCCTATTACTTGATAAAGAAACGATTAGCGAAAAACAGTTTTTTTTTAACTTTAGCAACGACATACGCCATATCCAGTAGCCACTTCTAGTAAAAGTTTATTAGTAGAGATAAAGATGCTGGAGATGAGGGTTAATATAAAATAAAAATAAGGATCATATATTATTAGCGTCGTGGGTAGGAATAGATGAAAGGCCATGTTTTTACGAATGCCACGATTTTCAAACAAAACACCATGCATATCGTGGCCTTTCCACTACACACCATTGGTTGTCACGTATCGTTAACACCGATAAGGTCCTGGGATCGAGCCCCAGTCTGGTTAAATTTTTTTTTCTCCATGTGTGTCCCATGCGTGGTTCTATAGACTGATTTATCGATTATAGGAATAGTAATGTTATAACAGGACATCGTTAAGTGATTTTAGAATTTCAAAAGATTTAATTAGAACTTCTATATCGAATTTGAGGCAATAACCAGCGATACAAGCCATGGGCGCAATGTAGTAGTTGTTGCGCACTCTTATGGCGGCATGGTTAGCAATAGTGCTATCAAAGGCTTCACACGGCCATAAGAAAGCAATATAAGCCAATCTTCCACCAACGAATACGTTATTGGTCTTATTCTCATATCACCTGATTTCACCTTCTCAAGGCTATCCTTTATGGATCCGTTCTTCGGCTACCCACCTCCTACCTGGCGCACGAATAAGGAAACTGGCTTTTCTGAGTTTGTTACTCTTCCCAGTAAGCTATTTTATCACGGCTTGCCAGCAGAAGAGGCTAAGTTTTGGGTTTCTGTCGGAACGGTGACGTTCTTACGGTGCATATGCAGCTAATATTCTCGATGGAATAGATCTAGGTGCGTCGATGCGAAGTTGTAAGAGGTGTGTTATTCAATCTTGTCCTCGCTGTAACTAAATAGATAAAGCTCACTAGATTCGGTAAGTGCTTGGCTTAAGTCGAACAAGAAAATGATTCTTCGGAAGCTATTCAAGAGAGCTTCGTGCCCCTCACCGAGCAGATTGACGCGGCTCTAGGAACTCTGGATAACCGAGCCTGGAGGATCGAGACCGCTATTTTGTTTGGTGTCTGCGCTGGAAACATCTTCAAAGCCCTCAGATTAGTCTCCTGCTTTTCTCCTCCTGCTGCTTTTCTTCCTTCTGCTGCTTTTCCTCCTCCTGCTGCTTTTTCTCCTCCTTCTCTACCTTGTTAGATGACTTACCTTGGTGGTCTTTGCGCCACTTACCAGCTGGCACCCAGAGCTTGACAATCTCTGCTAACTCTTCGCTCGGCCAATCACGATTCCCATCTACCAATAGCTCATGAAGAGCTTTCGAAGACTTGTGAAGGGCATCGGCGTGATAGATCCGGTTTCGCTCGGCGTAAAGTTCAATAGAAACCTTGGCTGTGTTGCTGCCTATCTCCAACCCGCCTTTGACAAGCTCGCTCGCTCACGCTTGCTTCCAAGGTCTCCACAGTCTCACACTCTCCAGACTGCAGCCGTTGAGAAATAGTGCCAATAGACACGGACAAGGCGGTGGAATTTTCGGAGGAGGAAAAGCAGGAGGAAGAGGAAAAGGCGGGTTGGAGATAGGCAGCAACGCGGCCAAGGTTGCTATCGAACTTTACGCCGAGCGAAACCGGATCTGCCACGCCGATGCCCTTCACAAGTCTTCGAAATCTCTTCATGAGCTATTCGTAGATGGGAATCGTGATTGGCCGAGCGAAGAGTTAGCAGAGATTGTCAAGCTCTGGGTGCTAGCTAGTAAGTGGCGCAAAGACCACCAAGGTAAGTCATCTAACAAGGTAGAGAAGGAGGAGGAAAAGCAGCAGGAAGAGGAAAAGCAGCAGGAGGAAGAGCAGAAGACTGATTTGAGGGCTTTGAAGATGTTTCCAGCATAGTCACCAAACAAAATAGCGGTCTCGATCCTCCGGGCTCGGTTATCCAGAGTTCCTAGGGCCGTGTCAGAAGATAGAGTGGATAGTTTTGTAGGCTGATTGCGGGATTGGAAATTTCCTGCTCTCCTCGTTTCTGTCCAAGGTATGGCCGTACAAGGTATGGCTTATTCTCGGGGTCTTCCAGGGCGAAACGTTGCAGCTCTTTTGGAAAATAGAGGCGGATAAGAGCTTCCCGAGCGGACTTGGGGAAGGGTAAGATTCGTTGTATTTGGAACAGGTAGCCACTTTTGGCATCCTTAGTCGGAAATCTGGCGCTGTTCTTTTGCCACCATTCGCTAATCTGATTCTCACCAACCCATCCGGTCACAACAGGGACGCGAGGGATTGAAATTTCCGGGAAAACTTCCTGGAGAATATCCTTGGTTGCCATCACCGCGCGACATGCTGTGTTTGTCAGATTCACATCATTCCATAAAGATTCTTTAACGCTGCCTTTCTTGTAGGCAGTCTCAGTTCCTGGAATTTCGAAGATCGTTCCGCAAGTTCCACGGCCGATCACAACAAGTTGATTGCCCTTAAGAAGTTTGGCTGCTTCCATTCGCTCCGCAAAGCTTGAAGAGGTCAATACAACGGAGCGCACACTGAGAGTACGTTGAAGTATTTTGTAATGAATTTCTGCTAGTGACTCTTCCGCTAGTACTTTCTCTGCAGTTCTTTCTCTGCAGTTCTTTCTCTGCAGTTCTTGCTAGTCGGGCATCAGTGGAGAGGTCTGTATCATGAGAAGAATCAGAATCCTCCGAAATATCGTATAGGTGAGAAGACATCGTTGTAGATGAGAGATCACAGGTTGTAGAAACTGTGGTTGGAGCGAAGATGAGATCAATAGCTGTAAAGTACATGGGAAATGCCACTAGGTAGAAAGTGGTTAATGTGGGGTATATTTTAACACTAAACTTAATTAGGCTTCATACTCTATTTCGTAACTCTGAACCCTTTCACTTCAATGACACATCCATCCATACTGTTCAGAGCTTCTTTAATAAGAGACTGAAAGGGCCCTGGCTCAGAAAGCTGAGTAACTTTACCATCGATCAGAAAAGTGGTTTCTGGGAGGTAGTGGGTGGCCATTGTGGCAGCACGCTCAGCCGTGCTTCTGAAGTCAGGCGATATGATAGTAAAGGTATAGGAGATGATATGAGCCTCAGCAGCGGTACAGATGCTGGTTGTGTTTTGCTTAAGAGCCATGACGTTATAAACCTGGCGAGAAGACAAGGTTGTCTTTTGGGGATGAAGATGACTGTTGATTGGTATTTAGTCTGTCAGATTGATGAATAAATTAATTATCAAGTGGACTCCAAGATTCTTATAAGAAATAACACATTGACCGGGCAGTGGATATTGTATAGTAACATACCCGGTAGCTTTCCTTTCGCCGTTGCTCCGCCGATACTAAGTTTATATCACTGTGGGGCTGTTAAATTATATACTTCCGACCTCTTACTACGATCTAACACTCTTTATACGTCATGTCACAGTGCGTTCTATCTAGCCAGAGCAGAGAAACATCCAGTGATAGGATACATTTTACTATTCGCATGATCTGCCTGATATCTTGCGCTTACATGTTTGACAACTCTCTTCCGCCGGTGTTTGTCTGAAACAGAGGAGCCAGAAATATCGAGAAAACATTAGGGAAAAATTCGACCGAATCCGACCGTAATGTTTAAGGATCTACATCTCGCATAGCTATGTGTATGCACTAATGCCGAATCGATATATATGATTGGCCGGATGGTGTAGTTGGTTATCACGTATCGTTAACACCGATAAGGTCCTGGGATCGAGCCCCAGTCTGGTCATTTTTTTGCACCGCCCCAGCCCAGCCCTTAGCTGCCCTTGCGCCGCTGAGATTCCTCCAAACTCCGTTTCGTTTTCTTGTCGTCGTCACCAGACTGGTGAAATTTGAATTTTGTATCAGTACTGTTGATAGCTATTTAAAACTTGTAATTATTTCGAGCTCAAAAAGTACAGAAATTTAATAGTTATGGAGATAAAAAAGGTCGCTTCGTTAAGAGGTGCCCAAGGACGGCTAACCAACTATGGATTTGAGATGCAACGATAATGAAAAACAAAAGGAAAGCTATAATAGTGTGGAAAACAGGGCATTTGCCCCAGATTAGCTAGCCATTACAATCAATAAGTTCCTCCATCAGTGCCAAATCCTTACCCTAGAGCATATTGGTCAACGTCGATCCGTCCGCTGCAAAAGAAATATATGTACTCAAGGTCTTGGAAGATTTTGTCCACATATTGAGCAAGTGCGGGGATAGTAGATAGAATTAAGTTCTATGATTACTGAACCGGATAGTGGCAGCACTTCGAAGGTAATACAATATAGTGCGTGGTTTCCAAGATAGATCGTGTACTGATGATAATGCCCTCCTATTGAGAGTCATTGTCGATCAACTACGTTGAAATGACAGGGTTTACACGTTGTACTATATACACTGGAAAAGAGTATGATTCGTCCTAGGTTCTTGGTATATACAGTGTGTAAGGTGGTGTGAAATGTGTTCGATTCATCTAGCTACTCGAGTTCCTAATATAGTTATTCCCACCGTAACAAAGATTATATTTTACAAATTATTGAGGCTTTATGGAATATATAAGTCTTTTTACATTTCAAACAAAACAATTGGCCGGATGGTGTAGTTGGTTATCACGTATCGTTAACACCGATAAGGTCCTGGGATCGAGCCCCAGTCTGGTCACTTTTTTTTTACAGGTTTTTTTTCTACCTTCGAAAAATATTTCGTGCAGGGTTTCGCTCAGCGCAAACTGCAAGTTCTAAGTTCAGTATTTCTTCGAATGCAGTTCTGAATCTAAGATTAGCTTTAGCCCTTTATATTACATTTCTCTTCCACTATTCTCAATTACGCTAGGAAGAGGTTCAAATATTCTTCTGCTCATGGTCTCTGACCATTTCGTAACGTGATTCCAAATTGATTAGTTATCATTAACATAACTGAACCCCTGCTAGCGTGAGCTGCCGCTAGGTCCTTAAACTGTCCATAGCCTCATATATCATCCGCACTGACTCAGTATTTCCTCCTTCTACAGCCCCGAGAAATGGCCATACACTCTACCCCGGGCGTTGATATCGGCGTGAGCGTCGATTAGCATCCGCACTATCTCGGAACCTTCTATATTTCCTCTACCTGCAGCGGCCAGGAGGGCATAGCTATATGGTCTAACCTGGGCATTGACATCGGCGTGAGCATTAAGTAGTATCTGCACTGTCTCGGGATTTCCTCTAGCTGAAGCGGCCTGGAGGGCATTGCCATACTGTCCACCTTGGGCACTGACATCGGCGTGAGCATCGAGTAGCATCTGCACTATCTCGGCTCTTCCTCTACCTGCAGCGGCCTGGAGGGCATTGCCATACTGTCCACCTTGGGCATTGACATCGGCGTGAGCATCGAGTAGCATCTGCAATATCTCGGCTCTTCCTCTATATGCAACGGCCTGAAGGGTATTGCTATACTCTCCACCCCGAGCATTGACATCTGCTCCAGATCCAATCAATATTTTCACGAAGGTTTCATGCCCCGCTATCGCAGAATCTCGCAGAGCACCTCTTATATCATTCCTTAGGTTTTCAATGTTCACTTCCTCATCTAGGAGCCATTCGACAAATCCCACGTGCCCCCAGCTAGTTGCCTGACGTAATAGGGTTCCATGTCGATTTATTCCCTCGCGGTCTCCTTCTTTCTCAAGGAGTATTCTGCCAGCTGTTACATGACCCCACTGTGCTGCGAAATGAAATGCCGTTCTTCTCTCTTCATCTTCCTTCGCCACGTCCGCACCATTCGATACTAACGATTCTATAACATCAACAAGATTCCTAGCAGCAGCCATATGTAATAGTGTCGTACCTCTCGCTAGGCGTGGTAAGTTATACAGATGTAAGATATTGTAGACCTTGACCCATCGATCTATGACTTGATGTAGCATATCTAATTCATTCTGCACCGCATCCTGTCGAGACCCGCGGGGTTTTCCAGCATGAATGAAGAGGTTGGTGATTGCATAGGCAAGGAATGGGTGCTTTTGAACAAGTTCCTCCCTTCTCCATAAGCTATCATCTGATAAATCATGAGGGAAGTTTGCTGTGGCTAGATAAACTAGACATGATCGATAGAGGACTGCTTGAGATTCGAGGAGAGTCTTGTCACTATCAATAGATGATGTGCTGCTGGCGAAAAAAATGATATAGAAGCTGTAGTCCTTTTGCGCGCAAGAAGTCATTGACCGACTGGTGTACTACCTGTATATTATCATTGTCATCCCCGCTAGAGACCACTTCGGCTAATCCACCAGAAAGAGTCTTGATCTTTTGTTTCATGCGTTCATTGCTTTCGATGAACCCATGAGTCTTTGAAGGGAAAGGCGCTATTCTAGCCTTATTAGCCGCGAGGGCATACCGCATTTCTGTCACAATCAGGGGTCTCTCAGCGAGATACCCGTCACTCTTCCCGGAAATCTTCCCAACTTAACTCCACAATACCTCCTATCAAGTTCTAATCAATCTCTCATCAAGTTCTCATAACAGTATCCTGCATTAAAGGCCAGACTCGAACAAATAATTTTCCATAACTTCCCAACCCGAAATGGATGATTACACCGCCGATTGACCTCTTCCAGAGTTGATTGGAGAGGATCTCTATCACCTATCTAAATCTCTCGAAGAACAAAGCATCAGATACTGCATTTCTGGTGATCCTATTATCACGACTCTTGGCTATTCCTTCATAGTTTGCCAGTTTTTCTTGTGATCGCAGATGAACAACTTGAATACACTTTCACTCTTGCTCGTCGGGAAGGATTCTGGGTATCTGAGGACTAAAATCGATATCAGGATCAATATTCTACAGAAGTCCCTTTCGGATGACCAGGATATGTGTTATATAATGGAGACCCACACGCCATCCTCGTTTTTATTGTTCCATAGAGTTCCTGGCATATGAATCTCTCAGAATCGAGTTTATCGATCAACACATTCTTACACGCCGATAGGCGATGTCAATTTCCAAGGCAGTTGATTTACTTGGACTGAAAGTGTTTCTCTTTCTAATTCTTTGAAGTTGGTTATATGGTAGTCTTTACTTCATAGGTCTAATCAATCTGATTTATAATCATCCATCAAGTCGGCGAGGCAACGTACGCATCGCTGGATACATCACTGCAGATAGCTCCAAGCAATTCGGCTATTGGATTCTGAACGGAACTTTAGCCCATCCTTACCGTCTGATTATGACCGCAATAGGTGATTATGAGAAACTCTCGACTGGAGATGTGGTGCTCGCCTCATTCTGAATCTGGAGAAGAGACTGCTGAAGGTGGATCCAGGGGAAGAGAGCATTGGTCAGGATAATTGCTTGATTTGAGTTGATATTCATTATGACTTTGAAGGCTTCATACAACTTTTACTTCCATCTTGCATATATCTCCTTGGAAACTTCCCATAATTTGTTCGATTTCAGTCGATCTAATCAATGATTGGGAGAACTCTAATTAGGTACAAAAGAGCAATGAATACAATGAAGCTTATCAATATAGAAAGTGACCAAGTTCAATCTAATTAATACACCATATTTGAAGTGAAACCTCCAGGCGAAGGATATTGATTAGTTTTGTATGATAGCTACCCCAATCCGGACTAAAACTTATTTTTGTCACCAGAAGAATTTCCAGTTTCTCCTTTCAATTTTAAAGATGCTTCATTGAAGCTGTGAGTGCATCCATGACGCTCGGTGCTAGCCGAGGATCTTGAAAATCTGCCGCAAGAATCATGCCGGCTTGAACATCTTTTTCTGGGTCACTAGATTCGTCAAACGTCTGATTCCCAATCAGGTCATCAGGAATCTCGCATCCTGAGATGCATCGGGCAAGGGTCTGAAGCGTTGATTTTTGGAGATAAGAACCCCCCGAGGGCCAAAACTTTCGGGCATCTGTCTTTTCGGCCAATACATCCATCGAGTTGGCAGTTTGTCGTCGCTTCTGCCACATGTATGAGACAATAAATCGGAAGTATAGGTATCGGCGACGAGGGCGATTGTCATTGCGGAATATCAGGACCTTTCCATCAAGATCCCTAACACGGGTGATCTCTGGCTTTTCCCCGTCGCGTCTGTCTTTCTGCCACACTATATCACCATCAAGGGCCGAATTCAACACGACAACTCTCCATGCGGTCGGGTTCATCGCTTTGCCAAGCATTGGAATGATGACAATATCTCCCTTGTCCAGGAGGGATTCAACCTTGTGATGCAATGATAGGCCTGAGATTTTATCAGTTATTTGCCTGATTAGCCAGAGAATGGGGAAAGTTCTGGGTTCTTACCATTTTGGGGGAGGCTGGTGACGACATCGTTGTCGCCAAATATATGAGCCAACTCATCAGGTGACATGCTCTTCGGTATTAAGTGTGCCGCTTTAACTTGACTTTTATCGAGCCAGAGAGCCAAAACATGGCAATAGGTCTTTTGGCCGTCGCTCACATTGTAATACTCGTTGACGTTTTTTTTGAATTCCGACTGATCAAACTTCTGTGCCGTTTGTTTGCCAGTAGCATTCATCACTCGCTGGATAATCGTGTCACGGTATGCTCTTTCGAGCAGACCTTCATCTGGCGGTTCATCAATTCGCTGGCGTTTCTTTATCTCCACCGCCATAGTGTCACCGATTTCTTCAGCAAGAACGTTCCTTTGTCGTTTGAGAACCTTTAGAGTTGATGACTTTGACCTGAGCTTGCGGATCCAGGGTTTGATTTGTTGGGAGTATTCAATATTGTTGATAACTTCACTATTGTTTGCCTCATCCAATCCAGCCTTGACACTGGTGATGTAGGACATTTCGTCCTCTAGCTGAAGGATCTTGGCTGCCATGAAGTCCGATACCGTGATCTCGCATGATGATTGAGAGATATCTGAGACGTTAGAAGCCCTGCTCTCACAACGGGTTTGCAGAGTAGCGAGAGTGGCTCGGTGGTCTGGTGTCATAAGTGATGACACCCGCTCAAGGAGAGGTTTGCCGTCGATCATGATGGATGGGGGAGATTGATCGTCCATTGCGATGGATTTAGAGTGAGCAGTTAGTAAAGTTTGAGAAGGATGGAGAGAAAGAGGGATAGAAAATGAACAATAGGTAGATGTGATGTCACTCCTGTGTTATATACCTGACTAAACTAAATATGGAAGTAGCTGATGCGGAAGGAAATAACAAGGACCCATAATACTGAAAACAAAATACGTATTTCACACCCTGCAGAATGTTTAAATACCTGTATCATTCTATATTAAGTGTATTTCGTACGTAGCGGGAGTAACAGAGTTTGGAGTCCGAAGTACATGCCCTAAGCACGATCACTGAGTGAGGTCTTTCATGAGTCTATCGACCGTTTCTTGCTCCTCTCCCATTGTTCCTCGGAGACGGCTGATTCGGGCCTTCACGGAGGCCATCACTTGAATCGCTGCTGCTTTGGTCTCTAGTAGAACATCATTCACTGAGACTCTCCGGCTGTGCCGCTCGATCCAGCTTCTCATGCCATCCATCCTGGCCTGCAGTTCCTCGAGTACAGACGGTAATTGCTGCCCATCAACCGCTCTACCCCCAACTCAGTGAGTTTGACCGCCTCATTGTTCGCCTTTTCTAGATCATCTAGTCGGCTCATGCGATTTTCCAACTCTGTGATTTGGGTTCCGATAGACTAGGGGTCAGGTCGACTTTCCGCGTCGACATCCATAGGTTCCACGACGGGGTCAGTTTGCGGTAGGTCGGTCTGCTCAGAAATGGATAGATTCGTGATAGCTGAAGTCGATGAAGTCAATTAGAGTGGATGAGCGGAGAATATGGAGTAGGAAAGAAATAATTTTGAGAACTGAGGAATGGAAAGTGGTTATAAAGGAGTCTATCAATACGATAAGCCCCGTCAGATAATAACATGCAAGTGAACTGAAATAAGCGATAAAAATGAAATAAGTAACGATACTGACCTCTGCTTCATCTTCCTATCCCGATTCAGGAGACTCGTTGAGTCTCTAAGGATTCGTTTATACCAATTCATGCGAAGTGGTAGGTTGGAGTTGAGGTGTTGGATCTCATCACGACCCACACGAGTAGAGTTCAGCCTATCCGAAATAATGCTGGGGCTCAAACCTTGGGGTTAGAGCACGGCCATTATCGACAGAATTGGTGCGGGATTCGTTGATCACCGAAATAGGGGATGTCTAGACCTGGCAAACATCAGAAATTTCTCTCAGAAAAACCTTTACCAAATGATCCAGCGCTGGTGCGCTTCTGCACCCTGTCAAAGCTTGCTACCTAGACGAATTTTACCGATCAATCCATGAAATCCTCGGTTATTCGATGGACGCTATCAGCGAGTGGTATATCCCTTCTTTGGAGAAGAAGCGGTGTCTCTCGCAGCACCATATCTTCATCTAGAGGAAGTGTTGCCTGGCGAATCAGCTTTTCACAAGACGGAGTTAGATTAGGGCTTCGGATGAAAGCTTGAGGTCAAGTGGATTGGACCATTTTGAGTCCAGAGTGTTTTTAATCAAGGTGTCTCAGTGTTAGAAAGACCTGTCCCTCTATAAAAGTAAAAGAACACCGCTAATTTCCGAGTAGCTTGAGGACCGAAGGATGCAATATTTCGGGCAAATTATTTGTAGTTGATAGAGAAGATGATGAAATTCCCTGTTTTTATCCACTCTTATCAAATTACGGAACCTGAATCATCTGGAGTATAAGGCTTTGTCATTACAGGAATAATTGATTATTCAATATTCGTAGCGCTGAAAACCTCTTTGAATTGATTGTTTGAAGCTTTGATAAGCAGTTAATCAGAACTTTAGTGGGAATTCCATGAGCTGTTCGTTGTTGCTATCCATGATCTTTACAAATGAAAAGTCATCACAGAAGACAGCCCTCCAGAGATGTGCGTTCCGAATTGTCCGTGGGTTGGTTGTACGACAATCGATTATCAGCCAGTCTGTAATCAATCCTGCTTGCATCCAGCCATGATATTGGCCTCCAGGCAAGAATCTGTGGATGTGAGCATCCAATCTATCCCCCTCCTTCAAGATTTCGATTCCCCATTTGGTAGCCCCAAGTCTGAAATCAATTTTGCCGATTCCATCCCCAGACCACTCGCTGATCGCGTCCATCGATGGACCAAGAACTTCATGGATTGATCTGTAGAATTCATCTTGGTAACAAGTCTCGACAGGGCGCAGAAGCGCACCAACGCTGAATCGGTTCACGTTGCAGAGGTTTCGTCGAGAGAAATTTCTCAGGACAGCCTCAACAAGGGTTTCGATTTTGGGGAAACGGTCAAATGGGAAGGGAGACAGGTGCTCCAAGAAATAATGCTCAATGAACCGCGCATGCAGCTTTGATGGGAATACACAGATCATCTCCGGGGTCCACTCATTATTTATCGGTTCTCCGTGTAACCATCCCTTGCTGTAGCATTCATTGATTCCTGGGTCTGAAAGATCTCGAGGGATGCTACCGTTTATCAAAACGGCACGGAGTGTGTACACTGCTTGCCGGGATATCGTTTGGATGGGCGCAAAGGATCGCCTGACTGGACAAATGCCCAGGTACTTAAAGAGGTTTTGTGGATTTGTCATGATCAGTCTGATATCCTGTTCATCGATTGAGGGCTTTCCCTCATGGAACGCTTTCCGAAAAATTTCTTGTAGGAATCCCGAGAAACTATTGACCGCTCCAGGGTGGCCGTTGGTGATTTTGAAAATATGGTCTCTTGCGCTTTGGTCCAATACAAAATTGGAGTGACTAGGATAGGAGAGGGTGATAGCATCATCAAACTCGGCGCGAGTGTAGAATAAACCAATATTCGGAGGATTGAAGATTGGGAATTCATTGTCTGATTTCGCCGGACGAAGCGCCGCAAACCCACTGGATGGTGTTAACGATACTCTCTGAGCTGGAGAGAGGGTGATATGAGGGCTTCCGGGTATGTCGATCATTGGTCCTCCTGTGGGACTTCCATACGACGAGAATAAGGCGATCCGTGGGCCAAAGGCCCTCCCCCACACCTTTGATCAAACCTAGCCATAGGCCTGAATCAGCATATGTGAGTTGGGCTTCATCGATTATGATCACAATATCTGCCATAAACAGGGAAGCATCGGTGATGTCCGTATACCCGTTTTTGTGGGCAGCTTCCAAGATCCTGTAGTGCCCGTAATTATAAGCTTTGGGTTGAAATTCCAGGTGTGGAAAAGAACACAAGGGATATCGCGTTCTTTGTAATAACTGTAAAGAAGACATGCTAGGGTCGATTTTCCGGAGGCCGGGGTACCTCTCACACTCAACAAACGGTACCGGTCAAGGATGGCGCTCAACTCGGCCACAGTCTCACTTCGCTGACACAAACAAGGATCTGGAGAGCTTTGATTAATATAGAGAAACGGATATTTGGAGATTCGGAAGAAACATACCAGCCATGATATTGGAATAGTGAACTTGGGCATCGTTTGGCTGCGACCAAGAGAAGAAACTCCTCAGGAAATCCATAACTGAATATCTCTACGAGAATCGAAGAAAATGAGAAGGAGCGATGGAGAGGAAGAACGGAGTAGCGGTCATGATGAGGATATCAAATGTCCAAAGCCTTTGTATGAAATTCTCGGTTCTGATTGGTTGGATCTATGCAGGACTTCACTACTCTCAACTACTAAAAGGTAAACACCAAACAGCGTAAAATGAATCTTTCTATGTCGTGGAACACGAAGAGTAGAATCATAGATATATAAAATCTTCGAGATTACATATTATATACTACTGGATATTGAATGGAGGGCCATGGATCGGTCTGTGGCCTGGTACTCAAAGCCACAAATAAATACACTTCTTACTTTTTCTAGTTATCATCTATATTCGAGTCTACGGCTCTAGAGTGTCTGTATCCAGCTAATTCTGGGCAGCACTGGGATCCTCAGTCACCTGACCGAGGACTATCTCTACTCGAGTTGTAGATAGAAATACACACTTCATACAACTCCCGCATCACGTACCTACAAGCTTACTTACTGCATGCAACGAGCGAGTGTCACTCCCGACATAGAGTCTACGAGTTCGAGCAGTCTCGATGTTTCGGGTTTCCATAAGTCATTCCACCCGAAGGCCGGAGAGTGCGCTCTTGTGGAGGAGGCATTAGTGGTGGGCTGTAGTCTAACTTTAGTTAACTAGTCGCGAGAGTCGAGACGTTGCCGTTGATTAAATCTGCGCGTAACGTGTCTAATACTTGCCGGGATATCGTTTGGTATAACAGTCCAATCTTCGGAGGATCGAAGGCTAGGTTATCATGGCCGCCTGATTTTGCTGGGAGAAGCGTAGCAAACTGAATTAATATTGTTAAAGACACTGGCTGAGACAGGGATAGAATGGAAGGGGTATCGTGTTCTTAGCAGTAACAATAAAGTAGGCAGGCCAAGGCCAATTCTCCTGGGGCCGGGGTCTTATGCTCAACAAACAAGGTCAAGGATGAGGCTCAGCTCGGCTACAGTCCAAGTCCGTAGTCTCTAGTACCAACGCCATCACAACAAGCCCTGGTCCGTCAGCCTTCTAGGCCTTTTCGCGTTTCACTACCACAAAATCCAAGTCCAACTCAATTAGGTGTGTAACGACCGTGGCAAAGACTACCACCACATCTATAATTTTTGGTCGGACTCAGGACAACACTGGTGCTTCCCTGGGTATGGACGTTTGGCGCGATCATTGCAAGCCGGCAGAGGTGTGAAAGCCAACCAGTTTTAGGTATTTGCAAGCTTGCTGAAAAGAAGGTGAACGATGCCATGACAGAAGCTTACCAGCCATGATAGTAGAACAATAAACTTGTGCTTAATCCCATAACTGAATCTTAGCTGTAGCTATGAGGCTCATGAGAAAGTTCAGATGAAGAACTGAGTACATAAGAATTTATTCAGGTGCCCTATCCAGTTGAAATCATAAGAGATAGGAAAAAACCAAACACAAGGTGAAGGGGAAATGAAGGGGCTCAGTACAGCCATGAACGGGATAAAAAAATGACGCAAAAAATAATGACCAAACCGGGGCTCGATCCCCGGACCTTATAGGTATTAATGATAGGTGATAACCCATGGCGCACGATATGCGTGGTGTTTTGTTTGAAAATCGTGGCATTCGCAAAATCCCAAGAAACCAGAGAAGACCTTGAAGTGGGTATCAAGTGCAGAAAAAATATAAGTGGTGTATCATCAAGCTTCCCTTTAGCCAAATCGGATGCCTGATGAGATTTAGAATAAAGGACCACGGATAGAAGGCAGCAGATGAATGCAGGAATTTGTACGCTGTAAAGATCCGATTGGTAAACAAGAAGAATTAACTTGTTAACTAAGGGAGGGAAAGGGGTCCTGGGGACCGGATGCTCTTATGGCTCGTTAGGCTCCGCACAGATGCTAGGAGCGCAGTCTCTCCAGAGACTGAGCATTTAATCGGGTATCAACCCGTTACATAAATAATATGTTACAACAGTAACAATTTTGAATCTAGTCATTAGAATCAAATTTGATGGGGTGGGTGGCTGACATAAGCTTGGTTTTGTGGTGGCTCTATCAATTCCCTTTGCGGTGGCTGTAGCAATTCCCTTCCCCATAGGGAAGATGACTAATATCAACAACAACGCTAGACCCAATACGTTAGTTATACATTCAATTTCAAAGGTGACAGGTCTTATTTTTCTCTTTTCCCCCACTTCTCTAAACCTCTACACAAAATCCCTCATCATCCATCATGGATCTCAGAAATATCCCTCATGCCTGGAACGAGCTCATCGGCAGGGAGTGCCAAATTTGCCGAGAGAAAGCCCAACTTCTGACCTGCGGCGGCTGTAAAGTCGTCTTTTACTGTGGCACAGCACACCAGACTGCCGATCGTTCTAATCACAAAAAAGCATGTAATGCTATCAAGAAAAGTAGAGGCCATCTAGAGCGCGAGGAAGCAGCACTGAGGTCAGCTGATACTTTCAACTCCGGGAACGTCTTCAACGTAGGCCGTGGAAAATTTTGGGGCATCTTCGAAACTCGTGATTACATGAGAGCACGTCACGCTGCAGCCACAAACCTTCTTGGTATTCATACCGAACTGGCCGTCCAATGTGCCCTGGATCACTTCATCGACATGCTTCATCTCTCTCACAACGACAATATGGGTGTGCGTGATATTGTGCCAGACCTGTTTCTTCGTCTGGGGCAGGAACAAAAGTGTTATGACTTTATCAAGTGGTGGGCCACACATCATGATTATGATTTACCTCATGATCGGCGTATGGCAAACCCATTTGAAGGCATCGATGCAGTGTGTAATAAGGACACGAACTTGAGCCTCGGCCATCTCGTGTCCCTCACTCTGCTTAAGCTGCGCATGCATTTAGATGTGGAGCAATACAACCAATCCGATTACGAGCCTGGGAGCATGATTTATCGGCCTATCGGAAAGCTTGTACTTCACAAGATGAAGCAGCTCTCAGCTGGTGAAATATATTGCTTGGCCGACCTCCTGGACAACCAGTATCGCCTCCTTTGTCGCCAGGTACATAACCAGAACCCACAATTTTGGGACCTTTTGATTGATGAGTCTGACGAACCTCTCAATATGCCACAATATTACTCAGTAGGCTCCACAGAAGAAGCTATTATGACAGTGATCCAGTGTAAACGCGCTTGGGAGGAAAGCGAGGATACTATAAGGGCGATTGCATGCGTCACCATTGATCTACCCTCTCAACCAGTTCACACTAGAACTAGTGCCACTCCTGCTTCTGGTAATATGAGTCAGTCATCACCGGCTGTGCCAACAGCAACCGAACCATCCGGAATCGAAAAAAGGATCGGCACCGGAAAAGCATTTCCAGCAAAATTCAGGAATCTTTTACAAAAGTCTCCCGCTGAGCTCTTTCCAGTGCGTTCTGCTAGCACGGCATCATTTTCCCGCTATGTCCACATACAAAATCAAGAGCAGGTACTTGTATACACAGACGGCGCATGTTCCAATAATGGCCAGCCTGAGAAGAACGCCCAAGGTGGTTGGGCAGTTGTGTACGGTCCCTGTCACGACACAACTTCGCTCACTGTCTCCGGACGACTTGAAACTGCAGGACCAACGGGAGCCAAGTACGTTGCTACCAGCAATCGCGCTGAGCTGCGTGCTGTCATAGCCGCTTTACGCCTCGCAGACTGGCGCGCCGAAGGTTTCACTAGCATCGTCATCGCTACCGATTCAGCCTATGTCACGGACGGCGCTACTAATTGGGCCAAGTCCTGGGTACAAAACAGCTGGCGTAATAGTTCGGGTGAGCCTGTCATGAACAGAGACCTTTGGGAGTTGCTGTTGGGTGAGGTCGAGATACTAGATGAGAAGGGCCTTCGCGTGGAGATTTGGAAGATCCCAAGAGACCTTAATGCTGAAGCTGATGCAGCGGCCAAGAAAGCGAGCAATCTAACGATTAGTGAGCCCCATTTCAGAGACAATGTGATACCAACTATGGCAAAGAGCGATTCTACAGATACTGTACGCGTTCTTGTCATTTGCGTTGAAGAAAAGTCGATGTTCGAAAGTGTCCATTCGGACCTCATCCATAGCATCAGTACCGTCTCTCAGATGCAGGTGGCCGGAACTGAGAAGGCTGCTCTCACGCTTCTGGCTGCTGACCAGCAACAAGCTAAACCTTCCGTCATTCTTATCGCTGATGGCGCGATCACTCGGCGGAAGAAGCTTCGCGATGCTGTAATCGAGCGTCTGAACGCTGGTGCCACTGTCGTCTTGGCAGGTTGCTTTAGCAGTCTGATCAATGCTGAAGATATCAAGCGTTTCATGTCTGCTGCAGGGCTTCCCTGGGAGCGAGGCGTTTATGAACGAACGACAACAGTGCTGCGTGCCAACCTCCGCGGTCAAGCCCAATCTAGTCTCCGTACCTCATACAGTCAAAAGGCACTGCACCTCAAGAATGTGGACACAGATTCAGTTTGGTACGCACACGAGTATACCCGAGGTCAGGTTGCTGTGGCATTTGCTAAGTTGGCTGGCGGCAAAGGAAGGCTTGGGTATGTGGGGGATTGCAATGGGGAAGATGCCACAATAATAGTGGTTCTGGCTATGTGTGGTCTTATTGATTAGGATGCATTCTGATAAATGTTAGGAGTCACGAAATAGTGGGATGAAGCATCGTTTGAACAAATGAGACGGAAGGAATTGAGGAGCTGATCGAAGTGTTCAATTATGGCAACAGCAGCACTATGTGACCCTATGACCTAACTATGCAGACAACGAACTTTCTAATTTGAATACTTACTAAAATACTGTTCTTGTATAGTTTTCAAACTTTGCTCGTTTATAAGAACGGAACTCAACCGCATACTAGATATTTAGTAGTGTACAATTAATTACAAGGTTATATAGATTGTCATTAATGAAGATTGACTAAATAAGTAGTGTCTTTACTAGAGTGATGACAAATCAGGTGCCAAGAAGCGAGCTGCAAGATCCTAGGCCTGAAATTATTTGACCAGTTACTATCCTTGATTTCACACCGCTTTTAACATGCATATTTCCCATGAAATAACTCAAATGAAGCATGGTCATTTCTATCATCACTTTGTAGTAGTAAATAAGCCCAAACAAATATAACAATTGGCCGGATGGTGTAGTTGGTTATCACGTATCGTTAACACCGATAAGGTCCTGGGATCGAGCCCCAGTCTGGTCACTTTTTGGCGGTTTTTTTTTATATTCGAAAATGATTCCGTGCTCGGTTTCGCTCAGCGCAAACTACAAGTTCGAAGCTCCTTTTAGTATTGATATAAGGGTTTTATTGATATCATATGTCTCTGGTTTATTATTTCTTTGAATATACTTTCGGATTGGATTGGAGTTTTTGATTAGGAAGTAGCCGGCTTTTTGGTTAGAAAACGGGAAAATCCATTGTAGACCAAGGCCATATACTTCGTCTTTTTAGATGGATCTATACTAAAGGATTTACTTCCTTCTTAAGCTGTAAATTAAATTCGTTCTATGCTCGACGTGATGATCTATCAACTTCTTTCAATTATAATAGTTCGACGTTCTGTCTGCTAGCCTAGGGCTATGAAAGCTCTAAGGCTTATGATAGAAATTCTATAGCGCGAAATTAATTGATTCTATAGCTTCGAGAAATTAAAAAAACTGAACGGGTATAGAAAAACCACAAAAAAACCATGAAAAAGAAACAAGAAACAAGACCCCCTTATTGGTGTATAGATAAGGGAAAACTCCGTTAAGAAAAAACCTTGTCTAGAGTCAAGATATGCCAATCATAGACTTAAGTCAAGCAGACTTCTTTCGAGGATTTCCTGGAAATGATGTGCTTCTTCACAACGGTGGCTAACTTGCGGAGGTTCTGTCGCCATTCCAAGTAAGTCATCAACCTTGTATGCACTTATAAGGACGAGATCAAGGACTGTCGGAACATGGATATTGAAATCCCGCAATACCACAACTCGGAACGGAACAAACAGACGGGGGAAGGACTATATTAGGAACTCGAGTAGCTAGATGAATAATCGAACACGTTTCACACCACCTTGCATACCGTATATACCAAGAATCTTGGACGAAACATACCCTTTTCCAGTGTATATAGTGCAATGTGTGAACCGTGTCCTTTCAATGTAGTTGATCGACATATACACTTGTAAGCGATATCACTAGCATCAATTTAGGTAACAAGCTACATTCCTAGCTATAGAGCATCTTAGACTAAATAGTAATAATGCTAATTGTGACGATTGACGATCGACGGGATTGTGCCGGGGCACTTATTAGTGCGTGATATGATATAGTAAGTTTTCCTTTCTCTAACTTGAAATCCGAAAACGTGACACTGATTCATGCTATAATTAGTACATCATAGGTCCGTTACACTAATGATGATGACGAACTTCCCCTAATATATACACCATGTGTATTCTTATGAAGGGAACTTACTGCCATACCTAGCTATTCATCTATCACTCTTGGAAGCACCGGTAGGAATTAAATTATTCTATGTATAGATGAAGTAAGGAAGCCCAGCCACCGGTGGGCAAATCGGAGTTTAGTTTCCACTTAACCTCGCTTTAATACCCTAAGCCAAAATAGGCTTCGCTCCCACCTAGGCAGCACCCAGTCTTACTATCTTACTTCTCTTCTTCTCTCTTTATTCCTGCTCGATAGTACAAGGATCCTCCTTACACATCAAAATTCTCTCGTGGAAACCCTTAATTGAGTAAACGGCGCTTATTTACCTGATAGCTGGTATCCGGCCTCCTTCACATATCTCTGTTTTTCGGCGCTGAGAATGTTGAAGGTGCAAACTATAGCCTCGCTACTTGTGCTTATATGGCTAGGTTATCTGGCGTGTTCGCGCTACTACTCAACGACTCCAGAGCATTCCACAATGCTAACCCAAGAACGAGAACAGCCTCCTGTGGATATACAATATGAAATGAATTTCGATCATGTCACCCCCCAATGTCGTTTTAGTAAGTCTCCGCAGTACTGGGTTTACTATCACCGGCTTGGAGCTAGAGTTCGAGGGTGGCCATCTCAGGGAGGATTGTATGAACTGGATATCCCTAGTCGCGTCGAGCCAGAATTTCTCCAACTGGACCTCTTTAATAATATGCTTCGCCCGTCTCCTTCCGACCCTGAGTGGCAGGCTAAGGAGAATGCACATTGTGATCGGAGTAAGTTTTTTCTTATCTTTACAGGATCTATCTCTAATCTCTAGCAGTGCGCCGCCTTGGGGCTACATGGTGGAAAAACGACCATGAAGAGGATTATGATGAACTTTTTGGTCATTACGAGAAGAAATGGGAAAAAAAATACACCCGTATTGGCTGGCCTACTGGGGGTGGAGTCTGGGCTTGGCAGACAACGCAAATGGAAGCAGCTAAGCAAGGTGGAGGGAAACTTCTGAGCGCTCGGACGATGGACGAGCGGTGCAAATTGATTGAAATGTTGGGTGGAGTTTTTTTTGCTGACCCTAAAGATTGTCCGTATCTTGACCTCCATGATGGATAGATCTTAGAGGTTTGGATCATAAGGTCTAGGTTGATCAGGAAGAAGAGGCTCTTCGAGTGGCGTCTCATATAGAAAATTGGAGTTTCAGCCTAACCCATGGGACCCCGTGGGATGTAGTACATCCCGAATCATTAGGGAGTCAAAATACTGTAATTCCCCTTTAAAACGATTTATTATTGGTAAAGGGATTGTATCGCTACACTCAGGATATCGCTCTAAGAAATTTCATGTAGTTTACTAGCTAAAAAGCTCCTAATGTCCTTCTGCTGCCTGTTTTGAACCAATCCTGCCTGAATCTCTGCTTCCCGCCTGCGGAGAGCTCTAATTTGACTAGGATTCGCTGTCTCCTGCTGCTCTTCATATAAACAAAGCACCTGTAATGTAACAGGCTGATGCCTGCCAAATGGATCATGGTGCCTTAGTGGTTCAAGGCCAAGTTCTCTCATAAATCTGCATCATTTAGTTTATAATTGGACCAAGGACTTTTAGAGCGGTCGATACCTGTCGACAGACTACGTCTGAAGAACAGTGCCATACGTTCCACAAGTCCAGCTCGAAGGGAGTTTTACTCGACCAAGTCAGTATTAATACGTAGCGAAATAGGTGCATAGAAGTGTGTTCATTCAAGTCTAGCTATCAGAGGGTAAATACCCTTCCAGAGTGAAGCCCTTGACCTGCTTAGTCAATACGAGAATTCCAAGTTCCAACGTCAGACCAATGTAATTACGTACATATGTTCCGACAGTTATAGTTTCCTAGAAGTTCTCTTCCTTATGCTCGATAATATATTTGTCGGTACACCGGTGGGTATAGCAACTCGATAAAGTTGATAAGAGGTTAACGCCCACTTCTGACACCTATCACAGGTAACGCTTTATGCCCCTATGATATCTGTGTGTCTTCTTGAAGTGGTTGTAAAGTCTGTTTTTCATTCTTAGTTTGCTATCTATTATAAAGTAACAATTTGATCACATGACTGCTTTGTTCCATATTCCAACAATATTATATACCTTTGTGGATTAGAAGAGCTTGATAATGATGACTTTCCCAACTCACTTGCTTCATCCAGGAAGCCATGTCTTCCGAGCTTAGAAATATTTGGCGGGTTTCGTTCTCAACAGATCCCGTTGCCTCTTCAGAAGACTCAACGCCTGGCTCTATGTCTACCAAATCCACTATCTGGAGCGTCTGGCTGTGTAATCGCATGTCTTTTTGCAAACTTTTCATTTTCTAAATGAAAAGTCGCACGTAAACGATTTATTTTGCTCCGTTCTAAGAGCAGCAAATTCTTGACTGTTTTGCTCAAGAAGCTCGCGCAATTATTCTCGTCCCTTTGGCAATTCACGTTCAATGTGACTATCCAACAGATCTTGTAAGAACATTCGAAGATTTTCGATTCCAACGTGTGATGAATCCAGTCCGAGACTGTTCCATGGCTGAGTGGAAAAGAACTTCTGCTCAGCACATTTCCTCGCATCGATTGCCATGCCCTGAGCTAACTCAGCAGGATAAGGGTTCTTCAGAAGGAAAAATCTGAGGTTGAGCTTTGCGCGATCCAAATTGTTAGCCAGACGCGCAACTCGTGGCTCGGTCCCGGCATCAATGATATCTGGCTTCCACTGTTCTAACCCCATCACGAACCATGACCGCCTTGCCTATAGTTAACGCGCACAAGGTTAAAACCCCCAGAACCCATATTGTCCCAGGTTCAGTAGTTCAATTAAGAAAAGGGATAGCTCGCCCGGGTGGAGCATTCAGGCTCTGCTTAGGTTAATAGCGCTCGGTCTTAGCGCGCTCTTAGCAAGCTTATGCAACTGCGAAGTTTATGAAGTTCTAATTTTAGCTCAAGGGATTGAATTCGGTCTTCAACCAATTCTCCGTCCGTAACTTCATCAATGTCTCTGTTCTTGGATTCAAGTTCAGCGAGGGACTTTTATAAAACTACGCACGAGGAGCTATATAGACTCATAACGCTAAACCAGAACGGACAAGACTAAACTTGATTCATCAAACTACATCCTTTCAACGTGCCCGAATTCCTCTCACTTTGACTTTTCCCTCTCTATCTCATTCTCTTTGGTTGCTCCTAAACCCCATTTTCACGTACTACGTAGCCCTGTTCCCAGCCCTCTGTAGGACCCAGCGTATCTCATCAGCGACGCGTTCTGGCTCTGTGATCTGAATATTATAGCCACTTTGTGTCGTGGTGGAGAAATGTGCATTACTCGACAGATTCAAGAATTCGCGCTGAAAGGCCTCCTCACTAGCGTCCCAGCGCTCCAGGTAGTGAAGAAAGGTTGCTCGCTCGGCTTCAGTCCCCAACCCGTCTGCCACACCGCGATGGTACATCCGCTCCTGGTCCTGATGCTAATATCCCCTAAGCACACTAAGTGGCCGGCCACGGAGGAGGTCTCGCCCAGGGAGGAGTTGCTTTTTCTTGGCTAGGACGGCGCGACTAATCTGTAGATAGGGCAGCTCGCGGGTGGCCTGTTGTATATAGTGTAGGCTAGCCTCCTCTGCCATAAGCTCCGCCCATTCGACCTCTGTCCAGTCGATATTCGCGGGCCAGCCCAACAACTTCCATATAATCCAGCCCCGCTGTGGCGGCTGCGATACAAGGATCGGGCCATGCCTCGAAGAGCATCCGCTCCTGTACAGCATCCAGTAGCACCATACCACAGATCAACTTTGGCCCGTGGGTGGCAAGAAACTCCCGTGCGAGAATTCCGCCCCAGGAATGACCGACCACTAGATATGGGGGTGGCAGTGCTGCGGCAGCAAGTAGCCGAGACAGTTCATCCACAATTGTACATGAGTCCGGCTCAGCGGTAGGGCATGTTTCGCTGTGACCGTAGCCAGTCCGCTCATACAACAGTACGGTCGCCTCGTTCTCGAGATGTCGACACAGCGCGCTCCATTCTAGCGCGCTGCTGTTGATCCCGGTAAGAACCACCACTAGCGGAGCGCCAGGCTGCCGAGGAATACCTCGCAATGCGTAGCTCAAGGAGTGGGTTCCGATGTGGGCAGTATGTTGAAAGTGTTCCATGATAGCAAGAAAAAAGAAAACGTTAGAGAAGGGGGGGGGGGGGGGAAGGGGAGGCAAATGGTGCGTCCAAACACAGAGGAGAGCAGGAGGGGATGGGGTCTTATATAACGAAAGTTTCTCATTCATTAGTGAACTAGTTAGAGCCCTAATATAGATGAGTCATGCCATATAAAGCCCTAGAGTTCCCTAGCCTGAGTATGAGCACGAAAAATATTATTAAAAAACTATTATGTGGAAGCAGATCGAGTCAAGATGTGATTGCTGGGGCGGATCGCTCATCCCATACTCCCTTGCTCTTGCGAAAATCCAGTAAATTTGGCTCTAGGTATACGCACCGGCAGCACCACTTCCCTGAGTGTTCGGCCAATGATTGAATAGCGGTCACCCCGCAAGTCTTACTGTCTATTTTAATGACTTAGGTTGTGGCATAAAGCCGGCATGAGACAAGAAAATGGCAGAACAACGCCGTAGATCGTCGAGGTTGAGATTGGATCGATCTTGCAAGTTTCGATTTAGAAAATCGAAGCCTTTAGGTATTTCTTTGGGTGTTCCGTTTAACTGAAAAAATGCCCAGGCGTGGCTGGAGATATGAGCATGTATTCATTTCACTTTCAATTCAATTTCTTAATTCAATTTTTCATCATCTGGCGGGTAATTCTCGAGAACGTAGCACGGAATATTGAACAATTTCAAGAAAATATTACCGTAGTTGTAGAATATCTTTAGTCCCTCGATAAATCGAACTATGGGTCTAAAGTAAGTTCCCAGGCGCCGTAACTCCTCTACCATCTCCATTCATCAGGGTGATTCCACCAATCTTCCAGACAATCATCTATTTCTGCTAAGCCATACATAACGTAAATTCCTTTCTCCCATTTCTCAGGAAACGTGATACGCCATGCCACATGGTAACCGTTAAGATGCCTATAAGTTGTTCTGTAAGTTAAGATAATCTTAAATAGGAAATAGGTATCAGATACACATCACCAGAAATATCATCATAGATGATTTTTTTCTAAACCAGCTGATAGTATCTCGTAGCCACACACTCTTGCGTCTCTTTTATGTATTAGTATAGATAGGTATATAGAATTATAGCTTTAACTTACTTGAAAGCAATGCGAAATTTATCGCGGATTATACGGCGCTTAGCAGGATTCAAGCTCCAGAAATTTTCTTCATCAAGAGGGCCACCGGGGAATTTTTCCCAGACGAGGTGGATGATATAACCACTAGGGATAATACTATTTTGGTCTTGGATTCCTTCTTTAAAGCACTGAAGCTTTGGCACTCCACGGCATGCTAACTTATCCATTGTCTTAAAAGGCTGAAGGCTCGATATGTTCCCAAGACGGAGCAGCCTGTTGTGCTCTGATCTGGACACTCTGGAGCTCTGTACCAATATTCGGAACTTGAAGATATATTCTCATAAAACCTATCTTGGTGTTAGTTATCGTCCTTATGATGACAAAGAAATTTGGCGGCGGTATATGAAGGTCCATAATCATTAACTTGTTCTGTGGTCACTTAGCGTGGAGTCTCCTTAAGCTTCTCGATGATAACCCAGGTCTGGAGGAGAAAGTATCGCACTCTGTAAATAAAACCTCTGTACCTTGAGGGTAGTTTAGAAACCCATAGTTGCTTGGGTAAGACATGGCGAAGATAAAGGGGATCGAAGGCAGAAGGTTGCATGAAGAAAGTTCTAGAATTCAAAAGCTTCATATTAAATAATTAACATCAATGATGAGTTGCTGATGACATGGCCATCCTTTTTCTTTTATTTTGCTTGGATATCCACTACTTATGACGAACGAGAAAGGCTCATGTTTACACAGACTTCATCGATACATAGCATCGTAGAAAAAGGTATCATACAAGTTGCAAGAGGACAAATATTTAATAAACGAAATTCAGCATAAAGAGCAAATACAAGTATAGAAAAAACTCCCCGGGAGGTATTAACGAATGGGCTCCATATGATACAATGATATAACCAAAAGTCCACAAATTATACGCCTGCGTAAAATCCAGCAAGCAACGCCAAACATATATAGAATCAACTTATGTGATGCCCTGGGGCTCCATGGCGCCCATTGTCGAGTACGAGTAGGGTAAGTCGACTAGACCGTCGAGCAGCCAGTTCAATGGATCAAAAACTTCGTAGTTGGGCTCCATGAATCCACTTGTAAGTCCTCCAACACCATTGCTTGGTGAGACTTCAAGACTGGAGAGCATTGGGGCTGGCGCAAGGCTCGGATCACCGACAATGCCGGGCGTGGATGTTGAGCTACGCTGAGGGCCAACAGATGAGACAGCTGATGAGTCTGCTGCTGAATCTGGGTTGGTTGGGTTCTTGAGGTAGGATTCAATATTTCGTCCCTTAGTCCGTGCATCTTCCCGCCATCGCCATACTGAGTCAAAAAGTAAAGACATACTCATACGACAACGAACCTTCAATCTAAGAGAGTCATCAACATCGGCATTCGTCGCCAATGGTTGCTGAGGAGCTCCTCCAAGTCTCCACATCTGAGCCAGCACTTCGGCCAAGCGCTCAGGCAAATCGTTGCTCGACACAGACACGCCACGAATGGCCCAGATGGTTCTATTGAAGAGATGCCTGGCGTATTCTAAGTCAATATGAGCAGCGAAAAAGCTTTTGCCCAGTTTAAGGAGAGCGCATCCCGCTGCAACCATCATCTGGTAGATATAGTATGGTGTATAAGATATAACTGGGCCAACTTCAGTCTCTAGGTTCATGGCAGCTTCGAGGAATGAAGTAGTCGCAAGATATAAAGCTAAAAGACGCTCACGGTAATCTTTTGTAGAAGGATTGTCGAAAAATGCTGACAGATGAAGGTGAAGTTTCGCAGCACGGAGATATAAACCGGTGATAACTGATTCACCATGAATACCAGGCAAGCAAGGTCGATCTAGGAGATAAACTTACAATCATTTTGTATTTTGAGCTCCACTTCAAGCTCGTCAAAGTCTCGTGAGAAGAACGAAATCATGGCCTCCCTCTCTCGATCACTGGTCAACCCTACGGGGTCTCGTCGGTTAGTATAGAGCGCCCTGGTGATCTTGTCACAGAATTTCTCAATCTCCAGCCTAGGTTTAATGTCCTCAGGTAGCTTGAAGTTCTGGTCCAAGGAGTCGCTCGATGAAAGTGTCCAGTCGTAAAGAGTTGATGGAGGTTGGCCATAGCCAGTTGAAACCCTGAAGTGCAATGTTAGACAATAATTCCGTTTTTTCTTTTATCACCGATATACTTACCGCTGAGCAACGATATTGCAAATAGCCCAGGTTCGTACCTTGTCCCGCAGCTCTTCTTCAATAAGCTCCACGCGGAATTTGCTAAAGTCCTGACTGTGTGAAGGCCGATGGAGACCAAGCTGCATGGCGACCTGTACCATCATCCCACAAAGCATGAAAGTGGGATCTGTTGAGGTGCTACTTATGGGGAAGGGCCACGAACACAAAAGACAGAGAGCCTTGACGACATGATAACTTTGTGGAATATCTGCCAGAGTACTCCAGACCAAACGAGTGACAGGTCCCGAAAGGGAATTCAGTAAAGCTGGATCGCTTTGGTAACGTCGAGCGCCTACACTGATTATTGTCCAGAACAGCAGGGGCGAGGCGTTGAAATGCTCATCCGGGGTTTGTTGTCTGTTTAGGAAAGGAAGAAAGGGGTGGTAGTATGTGAAGAACCTGCGTTTAAGGTTAATTTGACAAGAAAATATCTTGGAGAGATTGCGGGGAAATACAAATTAAACAATTCTGTCACCTTTTCTGGGATGAGCATGACATCTTCAATACGTTTGAATTGGTGGTTCCCATTTCTCATATAGTTGGCACCATCAAATCCTGAGCGCAAGTCCAAAAGTGATGCGACCGCTTCCTGAGAGCCCAAAAATTGGTCTGAAGAGATGGCTGTCGGTGTCTGGTAGACGCCCGTTGGGCTAACCTGAGTCGATTCCCGTTTGGGTGTCAATTGCCCTGCTTCTAATGGTTGCTGTGGGTGTATTATTGCGCCAGAATTGGCCGAAGCGACTTGTTTTCGCAGTTGAATGATCTCTCGTTCCATTTCTGCATTGCGGCTCCTCTTTCCAACTCGTTTAAAATTCGACTCGATCTTACAGGCGAGATTCAGTCGGCGACACCTGGTACAGTCTACCCAGGGATCTTGAGAAACATCACATCGGAGCTAGGTCAAGCGATCACAGGTTAGCGATGTAAATTGATTAGGCCAAAGATACTATCGATGGCGCCACGGGCGCAGTGCGCATTGACAAGGCATTACTCACTTTTTGTTGGCGACATTCATTACAAGCGCGCTTTACAGGCTGTCGCCTTTTGTCATCGCGCGCATCGTTATCCTCCGCGTCCTCGATACTACCTGGGGAACTGTCTATTCCCGCAATGGTCACGTTGCGTTTGCGACCCTGGAAGCCATCCGAGGAGGCCGCTGAGAGGGGTCCATTAATCACACCCGCCATTACGGGACTTGTGACAGCTGAAGCATTATCAGCTGAAGCAGTTGAGGTCAATGCTAAGACTCGAGGCTGAGACCCTCCAATTCCGGTTGGTTGACGAGAAGCCAGGCTGATCTTGAGGCGAGTAGAAGCGGGAGTTCGGGGGGGAACAGTCGCCGTAAAAACAAAAAGAGCACTCGTTCCAATGGAATTAATTTTACGTCGTAGCTTATTTTGGATAAACACCTATTGCTATCCGAGAAAGTAGAAGGCAGAACTTCAGTTGCGCCAGCGAATGACTCAGCGCGGGGATGATCAGGTGACCATGAGGTTATGTCCAATTAGCCTATGCCTTGCGGGGTACTGCATAATTTTTGAGATTTTCATTCAGTTGCTAAGGGGGCAACCTGGTCAGGGTCTAGCCTCACGTTAAACTCGCTAACAATGCTTAAAGCATGAAATAGTGTTGAGTATTGGAATCTCTAAGGATATTCTATTATCAAGTATGATCTGGCTATTATATTGATACAATGTACATAAGAAAATCGTTATCCATGTCTCTCCGTGACTGTTATAGTCTCTTGAATATTCACATGGTTCAGGTGACTTGGAACAGGATTCAAATGCTCCTCACTGCTGTCGCCCTCCCCATGAACAAAAACCCGATGCTTTCGTGGTGTTGTCACAGTTGTCACGATGTTTTTGGCATCTTCAATATCTGGACGCCAGGTACCCGGGTGTGCACTATTCTCGTTTTTGATGCTGCTGAGGGGATAGCTCTGTGAGTCGTTTTTATATCGCTGTTTGGTGGATACTATCGATCGATCGAGGACCCAACGAAACAATGGACGAAGAGTAATAAGGCTGCCTGCAATGACTGCGGATGCGTTTTCAATAGTTGTACAGATGGTAATTCCAAAGAGCCCGTCTGCGATTATTAGGCATTAGTATATGCCAACAAATTGAGAGGAAGAATTTGCACGAACATAGGAAATCAGGGTTGCTGTATTCGTTCATAAATGGAATTCGAACTATAACTCCAATACTCGCCCTAAGAAATGTCAGTCATCTTTGAAGTTAGAGTAAATTACGCAGGAGGACCACTTACGCAGCACCTAGACTCAGGATTCCACCAACGGCAAACTTTGTCCGGGTGTTCATCTGTAGTTTCCAAACAAGGAAGACGGGTAGAATTCCCAGCGTTCCATCCGCGAGAATTGACATCACAGAGTAAATGTAGGCGACATTGATCGTAGTTGAAGTAGGTATGCAGTGTCCAGACGAGCCCGATAATGATCGCATCCAAAAGTAGGAGACAGGACTACAGTTGAAAAGTAGAATGAATCCGAACAAAAGACCAGAGGCAATTATGAGTGCGGTCACTACCCAGAGAATGTAGCGATGTAGCTTTATGACGGTTAATCGTAGAAGTGCCACGGCGATAGACAATTTGGCGAATGAAGCACTCCATATGAAGAAATTCTCGGCGAGCCAATACCACTTGATACGAAAAATTGTCAGTACTTTACATTCCATCAAAATTAATGGAAGAAGTCGAAAGGCTCACCAGCAAGGCGTCTTTATAGTATATCATGTCCGGTGGAAAATCCACCTGGGAATGACCAACGCCTGTCATCGTTCCACCGATAAGGCTTGTAGTCATACCAATAAAAAAATCTATCGATTGGGTTAAAAGATATACTGAGGGGTTATGATTAGGGTGGGCTATACCATTGCAATAAGCATCAACTTATCGTCCAAACCAAAGCCTCGAACGAGGTATATTCGCACAAAACATCTCAATGAGACCGTAATAACTGATAAGCACAGAACCACGATACTGAAGACAAAGATAACCAAACTGTGACCCACAAGTGGCATTCGCGAATGCATGTTGTGTGGCGTTGGTGTCCTCAGGACAATCTTCTCTGAAGAATCTCTCTATTAATGGTATTCAACCACTCACACTATCCATTGAGATGATCTTAAAGCAACCGATGATGAAGGATGTTGAATCAGGAGCGAAGTGTTTGGTATTATATCTGTGCCCGGTGGGATAACCCCACTAGTTATATTAATACCCCATAGAAGGATCCGAATTCCAAGTTTGGAAGGTACCTAGTACTATTAAATGACCAACCTCCTACGATCCTTTCATAATAACCTCTCCTTTGTAGGATCTGCTGCCTACCTTTTGCTTATATCTAGTACACACTAAATACTCCGCAAATATTCTAGCCCCTGGGGAGCTCTTCAGGGCTGTTTAATAGACGTCTGGTGTACATTGTAACATGCCACTGGCAAAATTTGGCTTCTGAAGGATCACCTCAAACACCAATAGGGAGAGAATTGAATTACGCGGCATAATGACATGATACAGTGCGTAAAGACAAAATAGAACCAAACCTCATTAGCATTAGAGTATGATAAATTTTATTTTATGTAAAGAGATTTAAAGTCCATTCCAAGGGCATTTTACGGAGTACTTCCGAAGTCCCTTCTCTACTACTCCAGGAATAGTACTCGCGATGGTCTTTCAGGGGCTCTGACTGGCTCGGATTAAATAAGGCATTGCAGGGAGACAATAGATGATTTTCAGAAGAAAAAGTCTTCTTTTAGTGTGCAATGTACTTCTGTACAAAATTTAGAATATGATAGTCTGGTCTGGACCCATTCCTCTCTCCGTAATTGTGGAAACAAGTAGAATCGCATGTCGGTCTAAAACACCATTGTAAGATCACTACCCTAGAAGTGGGCACCCCCCTAGAAATGAACCCGACAATAATAATGAACAATTTAGGAAACCCGAGGTTATTTTCACCAGACATGAGGTCTGGAATACAAACATCATCTTTTAGAAAACAATCCTTGATATGCGCTCTGACGCTTTTTAGCTTCTTTTCCTGATTTTTGAAAGTTGTCACGGCGTACATTGGAACAGGTATCTAGAAATGAGGCTTCCTCTGCAACGATGCGAGATCTCAAAAGATAATTGTGAGAGGGATTTGATAGTCCTAGATCATAAATCCCGCCATTAGTTACAGAGAACCCCTGGAGAACCATTGGGGTACCCAGGACCAGCCTTGAGAGCACTCACGGAGTCACAGACAGACTACCTTTCTTGATGTAACGAAATCTCGGGCTCCTGAATACTGATAGTGATCAGCGGTAAAATTGTCGGTCAGGTCAGTTGATCAGCAGGCATAATGGCCACTGAATGGGGGGGGGGGGGGGGGGGGAGAAATCACTATGTCAGTGAGCTGTTGGCCCGATAGATAGTTGGCGCATCGAGACCTTTCTCCTGCTACCCCGTCCAGGAGACCGGATTGTCTCCGCGGGTACAAATTTATGCTAGTTATTGAATCTTTGAACCTTGAAGAAGTCCTTCAAGGATCAATCGCTGTATTGACATGAATATACTGTTGATCTATCTTCAACCACACTTCTTTATATCCTCTCTGTATAAGGCCTTTTGTACAATTCCTTCCTTTGTTTACGGGTTCATACCGTATATTAGAACTCAAATCTTGCAAGTATAGCATTCCACGCACCGGATCTTCTTTTTTGGCACTATATAATCGATATGAAAGAGCTCATTGATCTGATTTCGATATTTTGATTTGTTAGACGAAAACGTGCCTAAATCAACTTCCAAGTGGCTGTAGGATATGATTGCTATTTATAGGTAGAATGACTAAATAGTTCTACTTTATTTTGCCTATAAATCTATCGGAAATTGATCCTCACATAGTTAGTTACCATGGGCCATGGCTATCTAGGATGAGGAGTCGACATTGATCTGGTGAGGCTGTTCAGGAAGACAGATGGTCTTCAATTACTCTAGACGGGTCCTATTGAATTCAAGGTCCAGCGATTCTCAGCGGCTGTATAGCCAATCAGAGACTAAAGTATCTTAAGCCACGAAGTCTAAGGAATCAGGATTTTTTTCCCTTCGAAAATGAGAAGGGGTCGAATGTCTTACCATGTGGACTAATCGTCTCAAAAATCGATACGTATTCATGATTCTCTGGCGATTCAATATATTTTTCTTTCTAGCTTTTATAAGAACTTGAGAGTTTATATGGACACCCAGGGAAATCCCATGCTCATCTGTATTCCGATTTTTAGTATCGTATTGCTCTTCAATGAGAAAAGAGAGATTATAGAATTCCTGGATAGTTACTAGCTATGTTCCATAAGTTCTAGACGCATCGATACGTCAAATAACTTGTACATGAATATGGGTAGTAACGCATAGATTCTGTTACCGCGCCATACGCAGTATATATCACTTGACCATTGCACATTAGTTTCCCACCTCACGAGTATATTCTGTAATTATTTCATTTCCCACAGTCATCTTGTTCATTAGCCTGTTTGCTAGAATACGCCTGCTGGACCAGCACCGTCACAGATTTCCATTAACTAATAAGCTTTGATAGCCACTTCACGCACACGTGTATAAGAGAGAAAATCCTTGGGAATCCTGTACGATAATCCATTCAACTAAAAATTCCCCTTAGTCTGGAGACAGCCGCTATTGATTGGCGTGGGTAGCGCGCTGATTTTGCATGCTTTTGATTCGACGCTGGCAGATAGATCTTGAGATACTATAGGCAATAGCAGCTGCCTTTACCGAAGATATTCGACCTGATTCTAGTTCAGATATGGTTAAAGAAATTTGATCCTCTTAAACAGGGATATCGGACGGTTTTTTTTGAAAAAGTGAAAAAAAAGGATACGCGAGGGCCCACTTATAGGGGTCAGAACGAAAATCTGTCCCGTTCTCGCCATTTTTGACCGGTTAGCGCTTCCATAACTCTATTTTGCCTAATCCTTGTTAATTTTGCCCTGTCCTAAATAGTCCTAATAACTAAGGAATTATTAGTAAGTCTAATACACGGAGCACTAGAAGGTGGGATAAAAAAAGGTCAAATATATACCGGGATAAAGTCTTATCCGAATATTCGGGTCGCACAAGTCTAATATTCAGGTAGTTATGAATATGATACGCAGTCCAAGTTGGGTCACAGTTTAACCGGCCCCACTCCACAACTCGTATTGACTTTTGATAGGTGAATCATGACTTCGGGAACGGTCGCAAATAAGAACTACACACAACAAATTAGCGCTCTGGCGAATTAGGAAACTTGAATTGAATATTATCTCTTACTAAGCTTTTGTTTTAAACGCACATACGCTTGCATCTCCACTTTGTCTGTTTTTCGTGTACCGCCATGTAATTTATATTTTGCCAAGGTGCTAATTTGTACGTAGTACAGTTACTCAGTACTACCGCCATGTAATTTATATTTTGCCAAGGTGCTAATTTGTACGGAGTACAGTTACTCAGTACTGCCAGACGCAGCCCACGATCACGCTATATCTGAAACAGATTCCCATTCATTTCACATAATTCCAAATTTCTGCTGTGACTAACCCATATCTCTGTTGATTGCGTGAATTGTATTGGCATCATTACCTTGGTAGAATTAGTAAGAATATTCCGTACTTCCCAGATATGGTGTCGAAATGGTAATTCGTCCGAAAGCGGATACATAAGGGGCTTTAGTGTTTAGAATTTGGATTCTATCCCGCGAAGGATTTCCACCCCCTGGGGCCCACTCTTCTTGTGGTAGTAGTGTAGGCCGGACATTTTAACTATAAACTAGGTAGAAATTGTGTGGATATCCTGGGGCCAAAACAATGCACAAAGTACCTAAGTACTAAGTATAATGGATCATAGGGAGTAGTATAAGTATCCCTAAGTAAAGTTGCAAGTACTGACTTGATACAAGCGAAGCATATCACTTGTACACTTCTCATCATATTTCATACAAAATGTCTTTCCCTAAGCCTCCCTTTGATCCCGAGCTGGCAGCCTTGATGGCTGCCAATCCTGGAATGAATGACCCCGATCTAACACCAGAGACACTTCCTTTCCTGAGAACGTTCTTTGAAAACATCAACCCATTGGAGACAATTCTCGCTGGAAAGTCGATCACACATGAACAGCACACTGTCGCTGTCCCAGGCGGTGAGATTATACTATCTGTCTTCAAGCCTGTTGGCGCAAAGGAACCGACTCCAGGTATCTACTTCATCCACGGTGGTGGCATGGCTATGGGAAATCGCTTCGCCGGGTTGCCCCAGATTGATAGCTGGGTTGAGAAATTCGGTGCCACAATTATTGCCGTCGAGTATCGACTGGCGCCCGAGCATCAGTATCCAATCCCCCTTGACGATTCCTATGCCGGCTTGAAGTGGGTGGGAGAGCACCTCACCGAGCTAGGAATTGACGGGTCGCGATTAATGACTGCTGGGCATTCTGCCGGTGGCAATCTTGCATTGGCGGTAGCTCTACGAGCTCGCGATGAGAACGGTCCTAAGATCTGCGGTCAATTATTGTTGTGCCCCATGCTCGACCATCGCAACGAATCTATTTCTGTTAAGCAGTTCTTCACTGAAGGATCATGGACCGGTAAAATCAACGAGGTAGCCTGGAACATGTATCTCGGTGATCATGGAAAGGGTGAGGGCGCCAAGGTAGACATTCTGGCTTCGCCAGGTCTTGCTGAAGTAGCCGACCTTGTGGGACTGCCTGCCACTTTTATTGATGTGGGCTCGGCTGAGCCCTTCCGTGATGAGGATATTGCGCTTGCTGGCAAACTTTCGCAGGCGGGCGTGTCGACAGAGCTCCATGTATGGCCCGGTGCTTTCCACGGATTCGATTCTTATTTCCTAGATGCTGCCCTGTCGAAGCGATCCGCCGCAGCCCGAACAGGTTGGGCTGGAAGCATTCTATCTAAAAAAGAATAGATCATGTCATATATTCAAATATCATATTCTTGATCTGGATAGGACATGATACAAGGATACTGTGAATAATATGAATTGTTGAACCCAATGTACAGTGACGTTTTTATCTAGATCCTGCGTAGGTGCTGGTATGAAGACTAGTAAATGCCTTCAGGTTGCTTCAATTTCCGGAGAAGTCACAGTAATACGTTCCAGGTATTAGTATGCAAACAGTTCCAAAGTTCTGTACCGAAACTACATTGGAGAGGGTTGTAGGACAGAAAGGGTGCGGTTGCGTTAGACCCCCTCATCGAGGGCTGGTCGATCATTAAAGAGGGTTTGTAAGCAGACTTACTTCCGCATAACTATTTGTTGGGAGATCTTTCTCTTCCAAAAAATTTTCCTCTCTTATCAACTGACAACCATTCTCAGGAATTGAATCGCTTCAATTGCTCCAGTTGGATCAAATTAGCGCTTTATATTCGGTAGTATAAGAGGAGTGATAAGCGATAAGAGAGATAAAGCCATCGCGAGTCATTGTCACAACTTCTCCAACTTTCCCACTTCGCACAATAATGACATCTCCGAGTAATAAGTGAGCATAGCCATAAGCAACCAGATTAAAAAAAAGCAGCATTTAAATTAGTAAACAGCACAGAACCCAAAAATGCCACCTCTCGCCCCCTCATAATCCCACATAAGCGCCCTCTCCTCCCACCCAGGACAAGAAATAACAGCAACCCCGATGGAAAACCAATCCTCAAAGTTCTAAATCCCAGCGCTGAGCCAACAGAGACAGTCATGTTTCAATCCATGCTGTACGTTGACGAAGGGTTCGAAGACGAGCCAGATGAGCCATACGAAGAAATACCTCGTTACGAAACCTCATTTTCAATGGGCCCTCAACCCTTCCTTGATCCGCCAGTGTGGAAGGCCATGCTGAAAAGGGCCCATGCTGCAGCAACTGCCTCTGAGGGTGGTCGGGGTGAGAAATCGGGGTCTTCGGAGTCTTTGGATGCACGCCGTCAGCGCCAAGAGAGAGAAGCAGAGTATGGAGCTACGGCGATCCGTGCTCGATCAAATATCAGTGGGAGGGGGAGGAGGTGGAAGGGAAAAGGGAGGGGAGGATTATATTCTAGTGGAAGGTCTTGATGGGATTATACAATTTTGTCTGTAACTTAAGATACTATTATGGTCTGGTCTGGTCTGGTCTCATGAAGCTATGGATACTTCTTCTTGTCCCGCTAAGTACAATGTGCAGTAAGATTGAGTAATGGGCCAACCTTGCATTTTTAGCACCTGGGCATAGTGCACAGGGCTTATGGTACATCTGGTAGCAGGAATAACGGGCATAAATCATGGAAATCGTGTTTCGTTAAGGTCGTAGGTCTCGTATCAAAAAGGGAAATTCAGCCCATAGAATAAAATCAGCGCATAACAATAAAGCAGAATGCATGGAAACAAGAGCAGGTAAAGAGGGCTCTAGGGTGCATCAGAACTATAACAGTCGGTATTCATTTTCTTCGTTCCAAGACACATCCAGCCAGTGTCTGGATTGAGGGGTATAATGCATCATAATCACCAGGATGATGTATTGAATGCTGGTCCAGATGCCACGTAGAAAGGGCTACTGATGCTTTGCTTAAGAGTCTCCCGTTGCATTCCTCTTTTCCTCTCCAGACGTTTGTAGCGTATGCGGCGCAAACGATTCCGCACATTACGCAGCGATATTGAGCGAAGGTAGGTTCTCCATCGAGAAATTGTTGGGTAGGAGGGGTGCTGGTATAGTGGGGAGGTAGTACTGAGGAAGCCTCGATCTATGAGACTGTTCTTGCTAGCAGCATTATAGTACCTTCTTCCATAAAAACCTCGCTGAATTGGAGAGTTGTGACGAGCCACTGATGGCAGGCCATCAAATACAAGCTGGCTTTGTGGAAGTACTAGGCGATTACTGACATCTGTTGAATCGCCAGGGCTGTTAAGGCTCTGTCGAGATGAGTCGCTCTTCTTTGGCGATCCGTTAGGAACGTCCTCCCAGAACCCTCGCGGGCGCCAGAATGGATAAAGCCGACTGTCCATCTCCATTCCTGCCGTGCGATTTCTCGCCGATTTCACCGATAAAGACTTGGCAACAGATTGGAACGAATCCGAACGGGTCCGTGCAGCCCAGGGGCGGCGAATCGAGCTCCACCGACGAGCTGGGAAACCGAGATTATCTTTACTGGCCGCTGCACTGACAGTCTCCATTGAAAATTGTGAGAGAGGTTGGGAGACTAGAGGGTTGGGTGGTGGTCGAGGGTTCTTCAGTGGAGACTCTACTACAGGTACGGTCGCACACTGAATAGGGTTATCTGGAGTATGAGCGTTGACTGGACGATCGCTGATCTCCGGCTCAACGAAAAAGGCCTGGAGCGTACGTGTCTCGGTTACAGGCATGCCTTGATCAACCAGGAGAAGCGATCGATTATTGTGAGTGGTCAGACTGACCGCAGTTGCTTCTCGAATTTCAATGAGACCAGGAGAAGATGACGGAATCGAACACTGTGGAAATGATGGTGGCCGTAGGTTTGACCCATTCCCACCATCGTGATTGATCAGGGCAGGCAAATTGGGAGGTCCCAACAGACCATGACCGTGTGGTTTGTTAGCGCGCACGGCATCGATGCGAAGCGGAGACACACGCTGCTGATCGTGGAGTTTCTGCATTTGCATATCCATGGCCAGTGTGTGACTTCGTAGACTCTCTGATGTGAGCGATGTTGCGCGAGAATTGTTTCGACTCGTCCGCGCAGAAAGCGATGAACTACGAGTTGGAATGGCAGGTCCGGTCGATGCACGTCCTCTGCTAGATTCCATTGATTCTCTGCCTTTAGGTGGTGCAGAAATAGATTCAGACACGGTTCTAATCCGATGTCTTGGAACTATTGATGTATCGGGAGGACGTCGAGAGGACCGCTTGGAACCAGATCGAGATGGTTCATTACTATCGGGTACCCCTTTGAGAGATGATCGTCTTTCAGGTATAACTACCACAGGTATAACATCAACCAAGGGGTGTGTCGCATTGGCAGCCGTCTCTGCAGCGAAGGCGACATCAGAAGAAATGCTTCGACGATCTTGTTCCGATATGCGACCAGCCTTGTGGGTCAGGCGACGCTGATAATCCGGATTGGATGTTGTGGATGTAGGCTCGGATCCAGTCATGGGAGAGCTAACAGATCGTAATGAGCTTCTCTTCTCTGTATGTCGCAGCAATCTCTGGGCGCGCTTCGGAGAGTCAATAATCATAGCCTCAATGGTCGATGTCGAGGAAATGACAGAATGACGCCGTGATACTGGTTTTTCTCCATGGACAGGACTATTGTCCGATGGCCAGCCAATGTCTTTGCGAAAGTGTTCCAGGGATGGACTGGCATGCAACTGGTGAGTGTTGTGGACCCGATCCCGAAGAGACTTTTCCTGTATTAACGAGGCCTCCAGTTTCCGCACGTCCAGCATGCTTCTGTCCTGGCCTACTGTTTGGTCTCTCGTCCCGCCCACCGAGGATTTTAGTTTTCCAGCAGGTGTCGGTGTCGCCGCCCACTCGCCGTCGAACGATTCAAATCCAGTTTCATAACCCGACTCGCTGCGCAGATTAGAGGCCGATAGATTCAAGTCTTTGGAATACGTGAGTTCGGCACCAACTGGGCTCTGATGACATGAAGACCCTCGTTGCCTAGTTTTATGCGACCCTTTCCCGCACGATCGCACCGGAGTATTCATATCGCCATCAGAGATGTTTTCGCATGCGGTCTGAAATGAGTCGGCTCGAGGCGATGAAGAGAGATTTAATAAGTGGTTTGCAGGCGGTTGTTTCAAGGAGGTCGTGCGGGGAGGTGTGACATCCGGCGTGGGGGGTATGGAGGGCCTTCGAGGCGTCAAAATCAACTCATTTATCTCGTATGTCAGTTTATCCGAGACTTCATCCCGCCTTGCGCCAGGTGGTGTTAACGGAGGAGCCGGGGCAGCGACATATCCATTTATATCCGGAGAGACCGGTTGGGCGACGTCGACGTTTGACACCATGATACCCCTCGGAAGTGGTTTGTGGGACCTGAGGAGCGTTTCAGGCGAACCCACAGATGAGCTCATCTCCTTGACACCCGGCATATCAGGTTAAAGAAAAACAGATCGAAATATTGGAAAGGTCAAATTTATGGGAGGAAAAAGCATGATAAGTTAAAGAGATTCAGAGGGTCAGAATACAATGGGTTGCATTGGTTGGCAAAGGTAATAGAAGCGACCCAGTAGGGAGTACGAAGTAAGAACTATAGAGAGCACTGGAGTATTTGTGAGATGCAAGATGCAAGGAAGTCGAGTGCCTCCAGGGCAATATAGCGGGATAACGGTGCAGACTTACCTTGCAGCCTCAAATGCCGTAGAAAAAGGAATGAGGGGGGCTGGGGGGCCAAAACATCCACCTTTCCAATATTTTCTGCAAAGAAAGAGCCGGAGTTTTCAAGGTGGTACTTTGTAAGAATGGCCACGGTTGGAAGAGATAAAGGGAAGGGTTTCTCCACGTCAGTGGAAGAACAAAAGAATGTGATCAGGTACGCGAGTACATCGGCTAAGGATCTCGATATCCACTCTATCACATGAGAGCGACAACTTGCATGATATTCGCCAGTTCCTAGTCATGTACAAGGTTTTATACCTATGTAGTAATTACAGTTCTGAGCTATCAAAAGTTACTCGATGATTCTATACTTAGGTATGTTTACTACTTCTTTTCTGCCTAAGTAACTAACCTATCTAGGTACCAGACACAGCTCCGGGGCTCGGGCAAGTTTGTCGGCTTTATTTCAGAGCCAATTATACCTAGGTAGAATATCGATTCTACAATATTATACGGAGTAGATTAAGTCGAGTCAAGTCGACGGTATGCGATAACATTGAAAAATGATAAGATCAGTTTCTTCGACATAGTACATATGAAAGAGGAGCTAAGCCTTTTCGGAAATGTAATACATCAGAACGTGGATCAATCATAAGTAGATACCTGGGTAGTATTTATAGATCCGTAAATAGTAAATAATATCCAATGTTGTCAAATGCCATGTGGGTTTGTTTATCAATACTTAATTTCTGCCTTTACGTAATAACCTAAATATGCAGTTAAATATCAACCTACTGAAAGGCTTCGGACCCGGACATTTATTTGAAACAATATAGCGGCAGAGAAATCATTTGGTAGACTCGGTAGAGGCCCACAGAGATCCATCCTGCCAGGCACAGACAGAGCTCCATAGAACAGCTTGGGCACAAGTACCTGTACCAAATACCTGTTATAGGTTATCTGTGTGGACGTCTGGGCCATCGAAACACGCGTTCCTAGATTTAAACCTCCTTTTAATCTTAAACATATGCACCTGAGCATGTGCTTTGGTACATTTAGTTTAGGTCGAGCATACTTAGGTCGGGCTTATAGCTGTTCGTGAGATCGACTTATCTATGTAGATCTATGCGGAGAATCGGAGATAGACTTAAGAACTTCACAACCTCAGGGCTCTGAGTTCTTACTTCGGGACTGTCAAGATCGGAATTTAAATAAAGAACAATTAAGCTTAGGGAAATATGTGGCGAGGATGACGACGTGAAACGAACAAGGATGAAACCCTGATTCGACTGTTTGTATACAAATCAAAATCAGTGTCGTCAATTCTACGAAATATCCATGGATCTATAATATTTGCAATTTGAAAACGAAAGTCAATGTAGGACAGTTTGTTAAGACCTATACCGTGATGAATAATTCAAATAAACAAGGATATGAGGCAAGTGGCGTCATTTAGGAGAGAGCCTGTCTTGGGAATCAGCGATGACATCGGAGATCGTCGTCATAGGTACCCTTTTTTTCCCTTTCCTCTTCTTTTTCTATTTCCCCCTCTATCAATTTCTGACCTCATCTCTTGTTCGCTTGCTCTCTCCCCTTCTTTACGTAGTCTATCTGGGTGGGGTTCAAGATCCTCTTTTTTCCATTTTCCATTTTCCATTTTCCATATCCCATTATCCATTTTCAATTTTCAATTTTCCATCTCCCACCTTTCCCACTTTCTCTACCCTTGTTCTTCTTATCTCTCTTCCCCCCACGCAACACTGATTTCTTACTCATCACTTCATTCTCAACTTCCTCTCTACTACTTTCCCCCATTTCGCCATGAGTACAATACAGAATATCAAGAATTTCATCCGACATGGGAAACAGGCCCGCCTGGTAACTCATTCGGAACCCACAACCAACGTCTCCACAATCCACGCCCAACAACAACCCCAACCTCAAGGTCAATTCGCCCCCGACCTGGGTGCTTTTGATACTGGTGATCGAGGAAATGCCTCAGGAGTTCACCAGCAGCCATCCGAGAAGGTGCGAAAAGAGCGCTCGGTAGAAATTGAAAGGTTGGTCGCAGAGGAAAATACAAACCGGTCCAAGATGCCAAAATACCCGGGTCTGGACCGATGGATTTTGATTGAAAAGATGGGCGATGGCGCTTTCAGCAACGTGTATCGCGCCAGGGATACTACGACTGAGTATGGAGAAGTCGCAATCAAAGTGGTGCGAAAATTCGAAATGAACAGCAATCAGGTAGGGTGACTATTAGGTCTCGATTTCTTTTATCTTTCTTTCCTTCCTTCTTTTCATTCATTACTTTTGTGATCTACCTCGACCCCACCTCAACCCCATTCAGAGGGGAACACATCGCCAATATTTGGTTTCTGTAGTCCGACCCTTCTCAACCAACCGTCAAAAAGGTCCCGCGGGCTGCGGAGGTGCGCAAAATCTCCCTTAGATCAGTTCTATTTTCCTGACAGTGGCTTCTTGGTCACTGCGACTCATCTCTTTCCTCTATCTATATATCCTTTATCGCCTTTTTTTATCGCTATCGCTTTTCGCGGCGTTGTTGCTGACTCCGATTTTGTACAGCGAGCGAACATCCTCAAAGAAGTTCAGATTATGCGCAACCTCGACCACCCCAACATCGTTGATCTGATCGATTTTACCGAATCACGCCAATATTACTACATCATCTTGGAGCTCTGCCCTGGAGGCGAGCTTTTCCACCAGATCGTCCGATTGACCTACTTTAGTGAAGACCTTAGCCGACATGTGATTGTACAAGTCGCAAAGGCGATTGAATATTTGCATGAGACCTCTGGTGTCGTTCATCGGTTCGTGCGCTTTATTCTAATGTGGATTGGTATGCGCTAACCATGCGCGCAGTGATATCAAACCTGAGAACTTGCTCTTCTATCCAACTGAATTTATCCCCAGTAAATCCGACAAACCAAAGCCAGTGGGCGATGAAGAAAAGGAGGATGAAGGAGGATTCATAGCAGGAGTCGGTGCCGGTGGTATCGGAAAAATAAAGCTCGCAGATTTTGGTCTTTCCAAGGTGATCTGGGACAGTCAAACAATGACACCCTGTGGAACTGTTGGGTACACTGCGCCTGAAATTGTGAAGGATGAGCGATACTCGAAGAGTGTAGATATGTGGGCCATGGGCTGTGTGCTCTACACACTCTTGTGTGGCTTTCCTCCATTTTACGACGAGAGTATTCAGGTTCTCACAGAGAAGGTCGCTCGGGGCCAGTACACCTTCCTCTCGCCCTGGTGGGACGACATTTCAAAATCCGCTCAAGATTTGATCTCGCATTTGTTGACCGTCGACCCCGAGAAGCGCTACAGCATCAAGGAATTCCTCGCACACCCCTGGATCCGGGAAACAGACGAAGAGACTACTGCTGCGGCTGATGCGCCCCCTCTGGCAACACCATTCGGTCCTCGCCAAAATGGAGACGCTCTCGACGCAGTGGGTGCCGAACAAGCCCTCGACACCTCTCGCCTCTTGGGCGTTCCATCAATAACCGCGGATCGCCGCATGGATTTCCGATCACCCGGTGCGTTCAACCTACGTGAAGTCTTCGATGTCGGTTACGCAGTCCATCGTCAAGAAGAGGAAGGCAAACGCCGTCGGAACGGACAGACCGGCATTGCTGGATTCCGGTCTGCACTTGACTCCCTTAATGAAGACTACGATGACGAATATGGCACTCGTCCGCAAGAAGAAGGAAAGGCTGGACAGCCCCCTGCCAAGGCCGCCAAGTCGATTCATACAAACGCTGCCGATATGGCTAACTTGGACGCAAAGCTCCGCTCCACTAACCTCGGGGCCCAAAGTAGCGCTGCGCAAGCACGGCAATCACACCGCCAACCTCGGCAGCAGGGGTATGGACAGCATGATGCCACTGTGGCCGCAGCAGCTAGGAGTAGCATTGCTCGCAAGGCCCACCAACCCTTCGAGCTTAGCCTGGACAATGCCACTCTTCTGGAGAAACGTGGCCGTCGCAACCAGCCGGTGGCTTGAACATGAGAAACCTTTTGCTGCATCAAAATCAACAAGGTCCCATTTAGTGACCGCGGTTCAACGATATTTTTCATGAGCCACCCCGCTTCTCTTCTTACCTGTCTCCCTTTTCTCTCTGCTTGCTCATGACTTCCCCCTCGTCTAGACATCCTTTCATCCTCGCAGCCTCATTCTCCCGTTTTCTCCATCTTTCCCTAGGCGTTGTCTACGCGAGTAGAGCGGATCAGCGAAGATCTCACATTTGACTGGTTTTGGTTCTGACACTGACGGAACATGGAATGGATTTTCACCGTTACTCGCCTTATCTTCTTGCTGTCCTCAACCTGGGTCGGAGTTTTATCTTTTTATCTATTATTTGCTTGACGCGTTACGGACAACATTTTCAGGGCTTCAAGATTCTTTCGATCGTATGGATTCTTTTTTTTTTGCGTTTACTCTTAACGGGACATTTCCCCAATTACATTTTCCATGTCCGGTCTCCAGCAAATCGCAGTGGACTCGGTAATTACCTTCCATTTTAGCTCTTAACAGATTCTGAGCATGTATATGCTGGGTTATAAGCATTTAGTTCATCTCAGCTAAAAGATTACCACGGGTCACTTGGAAACCTCATAAGATGTTGGGGGTATTTAGCATGTGATATAGATTTGCATGGCTTATATTTGAAAGGTCTACATGATCAGGTAAAGTGCTGCTGTCGTTAGTGGGGTCTACTACGTAATACATTTAACGACGGATGTCGAGGTCCAGGGGAAGTCTTACTGCTCGGGGTTGAGATTCGCCTTAAAGAGCTAGGCAGGGCCTATGGGTGTTGGTTTAGGTTTATCATCTTGGTAGCCGACGAAAGGTCAATCTGTTTGGATTTAGAAGTATTATTATGCAGTGTCAATGCAGGATGGAGTATTTAGCTATAGTAGATAAGCGTGGATATGTTAGGGGTAACTCTTGCGCTCGCTTCCTGCACGTAGTCCAAAAGACCATTATGTTATTCCTCTCAGGATAACATGCGCAAGCTCCACTTATATATTAATCCGATCTTACGGATATCGGTTTTTGTCCGGCGGTCAACCCGTTACAGGATATTCCATAGAGAAGATCCAAACCTTAATCCCAAGCTAAATTAGCGTGGAAGATCCACCAATCAGAAGGATAAAAGTGCTTAACTAATCGACGTTTATAAATCTACGAAAGCCCGATTTTACCATCACCATCATGAACAGCATCGCTGAAATTATGTTAGATAATCACGAGGCGGGACGAATATTTCCTACTCATTATTCTATGTATGCATGATTTAAACGTAAGTGACACTTGACCATGAATTCCCTACTTGTATAGTTGTACGTTAAATTGAGTGATACCTGGTCGAGATCCAAAAATAGTTGAAAACAACCTTGGGCTTTGAATAAACACCATTGTGCAACACCAGAACAGAGAAACTGACAAAGATACTTACAAGATACCTAGGTACTTGACGACCTCAAGTCCTACAGGGTTCGAGGACAACAGTATATAACGGCCTCGATATCGCCACCAACAAATGATTCACCAATCACGAAATATCCAAAACGCCATGCAATTAACAAAAAAAGAACAAACATGCTACCAAAAAAACGTTCCATGTCTTTACAATGGATTCGCGAACTCAGCAGGTCAATCGATTCCTTCAAACCCTGTAGGACTTCTACATATGCTGTATTAAATGGACCCAAACACAAAAATTAAAATCCAGACCAAAATTTGACATAAATCAAGGAGCAGTCACTTAGTTTTCCGACTGCGCAACCCTAATACAACCATTCCAACATTCGTGTTGCATTTCCTACATATCTAGCAGATAATCAGAGTTTCCAGAGGCTTATCTGATCTACTTCTACGATGAGCAGATAGTTCTCATGGTCCTTATCCAGCTATTAACCGATAAATTCAACCCCAATATCGATGGATCCGTTTGTTCAGATGAGGGTTACCTAGACAATTGTAAAAACTGCAATCGAGGTCTTGAGTCGGTGAAATGGTTCTTTGCCTTCCTGAAGGATGCCATTGGTTCCATACGGGGTGTTTCGAGAGGTGGGATACTTATGGCTATCATTCCAAGTAGCCTGGTTGTTGCTCTGGAGAAGAAGATTCAAAGTCTAGGCGAAGAAAAATGAGAATATATTAATTACCATTGAAATTCAGGGCACAGGCGAATTTGTTTTAGCTTTGTGCAGGATTCGTGGTATAACTAATTCGTAGTGTAGTTATTAGTCGTCACTCATTACAAGCTTGAATCGTTTTGAGACTGGAATACAAAAGCAAATCATATTTTCTATGGAATCACATAACTTGTATACTACAGATAAATAGATATCTCTCCACTCTCAAACCAGCCCTGGAGCCTTATATCTCCTGAGTGCGGTTCAAAAGCCATTGCAAATGGCGATAAGAAGAACGTGGCTGGTACTGAGGCTCCATATGCCCTGATTGATAGGTCTCAACCCACATGAGTCCACGCTCATAGTGTTGGATTCCCATGATACCCTGGGCACCATCGAGACTGGTGGCATCATTCTCCGCAAACACAGCCTTGTACTGAAGATCAGGCAACTGAATGTTAATGGGTTTCTCGGGCTTCGTCTGGAAACCAAGATGGCCATTCCAAGTCATGTTCTGAATGGCCAGCAGAGTGCCGTTTGTGATGATGACCATGTCAAAGTCACCATTGCCGATAAGAACACGGTTAGTGGCCTCAATCACCTGTGGAAGTACTTTTTCGATTGGGTTTGCAGAGGTGTCGCCCTCTTGTTCGGGGCCGGAATCGCCACCGACAAATACTGACTCGGTAGAGCATTCGGACCAGGTGACATTCTCAGGGGCGTGAAGCGCCTTCTTGACATCCTCACGATCAAAATAGACGGTTGCTCCCTCTGGTTGGTAGACAAGAGCGGTGGGAAATGCCAGAACATCCCACTGCAGGGGGCACATCAGGTTGATCTCATATAAGTCAAAGCAGGGGTTGCTGCTATACACTTCATTGGACACAATATCAAACAAATCGCAGTCGGCTTGACTAGTATAGTTGAAGAACAACGACGGCTGTACTTCGGGTGGAGGGAAGGTCAGGTACTTGTCAATGTACTCTTCGTATCCACAAGACTTGTGCTGCTGCTCGAGTTCGGCCATGAAGGAAGCATTGAAGTTGAAAAGGTTCGCATTAGCCTGAACCAATGGGAAAGTGGGAATCTCCTCCTGAACGTAGTCGAACTGGCCAATGCATGGGTCATATGCCAGAGCACCTTGGAAATTGTCAGAAAATTACCCGCTGTAGTGATCTTCCATATTACTCACCGTGCAGATCATAATATTTCTTGTCCTTTTCATCCAGCATAGCAGCCGAGACGTAAGGGATATAACGTCCGGCATAACTTTCACCGGTCACATAAATCTTGTAGTTCTTGATTCCGAAGATCTTTTGGAAGTTCTTGAAGAACTTGACAAAATCCTGAGCAGTCTCTTCCTGGCTGGTGGCAGTGGGGGTACCAATTGAAAATCCAGTGCCGACTGGCTGGTCGACCCTATTGACAAAAGTCAGTTCCACTCTACTTCTTTGCAATTGTTTTTAAATTACTCACCACAGCACATTAGTCAGGTTAACCCAGGAGTATAGGTTCTCCACGGGAGCAAAAGTACCTGGCTGCCACGTAAAGCGGCCAGTTTCCTGCAAAAAGCTCTCCAAAGATGAGCAGCCAGGGCCACCATTCAGCCAAATGGTCACCTCATCGACAGGCTCGCCGATCGTGGGCTGGAAGATATAAAATAACTGTCGCGAAAGATCATCCTCATCTATGGGCACTAAACCGGCGTAAATCTCACCAAGGTCAAAGTTAATCTCCGGCAAGCTCTCGACCAGAAAAGCTAGATTCCGGTTAGCTTTATGTTCAAACCAACCTATAGTCATGATATGCTACGCACGCTTGGTCTTGTGGTCAAGGTAGCGGAACTTTTTCTTATCAGATGTAGTGCGCTTGGTCATTGTCTCCTCAACAGCTCGCTTGGCCATTTCCAGAGGAGCTCGGGCAATTTTGCCAAAGCGCCCATGAGAACTTGCTATAACAGCATCAGATCCTAATGAAACGGCCAAGAGGGCCGACGTTAGGATCGAAGTAAACAACATTCTGGGCTATTAATTTTCCAGCTCAATTTCAAATAAAAGGAAAGAAAGAAAGATCTAAACTCTTGAAATTCCGGATGAAGTGGAGAGAGGGTTACATCTATTTAACTGTTTACAAATTGGAGATCTGCAGAATCAAGTTACCAGGGCTCGACCAACCAGATTTCGACCAGAAACTTGATCGGTCAATAAGGCGCGACATCAGATTCCTTCTAGGGTTCTTTACTCCGCTTAGGCTCTTCGTTGATATCGAATGGCTGCTGATATCAACTTGCATCTCATGGTGGGTCGACCGGGACCTTTGAAGTCCGCCTGATCCGGAAACGGGATTGTTAATAGTTTGCCCCGGCTTACACACTCTTGCCACTCTCTTGTTTTACATCTCAAGAATGAAGAAGGATCTCAAGTCACAAAGTCTAGTTTTCATTCCATACTCATAAGAAGCCTGTCAATTTCATCTTTGTCTATACTTTATTCTCATCAAGCCTAGATCCACTAAGCTACGTAAGTCATTTAAGGATTCCGGGTCAGCGACGGGATTCCGGTAGGTTATAACTATTTAGATACCTTCCAAGTCTTAGGAAGAGCTAACACACTTTCTCGCGGTGATTACAGTTCGTATCGCGTAAACTACTAGATAGGTAGATAGAAAAGTATCCTCAATGCAAGTTCTTTTTCTTTTTCCCCGCCTGTAGCCTGATACTTTTAATGCTATTTACAAAGCATCTAGACTTCATGAACAGGATGAAAAGCGGGGAGCATTACTAGAACATGCTGAGGAGGACTGTTCCTGGCTTTAGTGTCCAGAAGGAGATAAAGTAAGAAGCCAAGCCATGCCCCCAATGCTTGTCTGCTAATCTTCGAGGGGTGAAAAGGTGCAGCCTGCAAAGCGACGATCACAAAGACCGTACGTTGCAACGAGATAAGAGTAGAGTGGGTCCAAGTACACATAGTCTCGGAGTAGACCGATGTGATGTGACTGAGCCAATTCAAAAAGAAATACCAATAATAAATAATAAAAAGAGGGGGAATTGGTTATATCAATTGGGTTAATTCAGTTAATCCAAGGCAATATTTCCATAATCATATGGATGAGAAAATCCTACAAATTTAGGGCTTTCTTGACGTACTCGCCAGGTCAAAAACCAAAAAATGGACTCGCGGGGAATCGAACCCCGGACCACTCCCATGCTAAGGGAGTATTATACCACTAAACCACAAGCCCATTTGATGGAAGAATTTTCCATAATTGATTATATATTGCTGGTACAATGAGAAAGCCTCGATAGCAAATCAAAAATTCTACTTGGTGATAACGTAGGTAGTTCAGCCAATTCAGCCGGGTGAGATCTGATTTGCTTTTACACCAATTATTTCGTGGTGAATCTGATCTATGATTAGCCCTAAGCCCTAACTTTCCTTCAGTCTTTTATAAACATCTAACCCTCTGACTCAATTTGAGGCTGTTACTTTAACCTTACTGTGCGGGTGAACCAGCTCCACTCCTCCGCTATTGCTCAGTAATGGTTCCATTGAATTTTTTTCTTCTGAAAAGGGTCTAGCAGCACCACAGTTATTAGAGGCCAAAGACACAATTTTCTTGTAACCTCGGTCATCAATTTCTCTCCACACTTCCCCATACATTCTGTCTTAAGTGTTTTAATATATACAAGTTTACAACTACCCCCGCAATTAAGAAGCTTACAAAGTACTTCACTGCTAGATTTTGCCAGTGGAACGCCTGATCTATGAGACTCACAATCCGGACTCAGTGAACCAGACATAATTCACAGGTGCATTTTGCATATAATGTGCACTGAGACCAACCCTGCCAGATCAAATTCATCTGGCAATCTGAATGAGCATGGCATTGATAGCAACCCCTCTCAGATAAATACTTCTGATCTCGATGTGGAGAAAAATGATATTCAAGTACATAATTTCGAGCCACAAGCGGTCGAAGTCACTACCGATCTTTCGCCAAAAAATGATTTGTATCACACGGCATCTACGGTAACACCCTCTCACAGGTCGGGTCTTAGAGACCCCGTGAGCCGCATGACCACAGATGCAGATGGCAACACGTACCCTGAAGGTGGACGCGAGGCATGGCTGGTTGTGCTTGGTGCCACCCTAGGTCTAGTTGGATCGCTCGGGCTGACCAATACAGTGGGCACTTTCCAGACGTATGTCCAAGAGAACCAGTTGAAAGACTATAGCTCTGGTGATATCGGCTGGATCTTCGGCGTGTTTCCCTTCTTGACCTTTTTCTGTGGTGTACAAATTGGCCCCATATTTGACGCCCGGGGACCGCGGCTTTTGATCTTCGCTGGCTCAGTTATCCAAATGGCCATGCTCATTCTTCTTGGTTTCTGTACTCAGTACTGGCATTTCATGCTGGTAGTTGGCGTTCTTGGTGGAGTTGGAACCTCGCTCATTTTCACCCCTGCTATTTCAGTGGTTGGCCATTACTTCTACGTACGCCGGGGTCTCGCAACGGGTCTGGCTTCCACTGGAGGCTCGATCGGAGGCATTATGTTCCCACTTATTCTGCAAGCCCTCTTTCCGAAAGTCGGATGGGCATGGGCTACTCGGGTTATAGCGCTGATTTGTCTGATTGTGCTGATAGGAGCAAATCTCTTGATCAAATCGCGATTGCCGCAAAAGAAGTTTTCCAAGGAGAATGTCCTGCCAGATTTCCGTATCTTCAGAGATTCTCGGTTTGCACTGACCACGTTGAGTGTCTTCTTCATCGAGTGGGGTCTCTTTATTCCGATTGGTTACATTTCCTCTTATGCTTCTCATGAAGGATTCTCTAGTAAATTCTCATATCAGATCCTTGCTATCCTGAACGTGGGATCTGTTTTCGGGAGAGCACTTCCCGGCTTATTTGCCGACTACTTAGGTCGTTTCAACGCTCTGATTGCTACCGTGGCACTTTCTCTACTTTGCAGTGTGTGCTTTTGGCTTCCAGCTCATAGCAGTCTGGCCTTACTCGTAATATATGCTCTGTTCTTCGGATTTGCCAGCGGTAGCGGTATCAGCTTGACACCCGTCTGTGTCGGTCAACTCTGCAAGACTGAGCACTACGGCCGGTATTACGCCACTGCTTACACGATTGTCAGCTTTGGGTAAGTTTTTTTTCTCAGGAGTGATTCCATATGTAACACCCACTGACATATTATCATCAGAACTCTCACGGGGAATCCAATTGCCGGTGAAATCCTAACCCGTTGTGACGGTCAGTACTGGGGCCTTATCACGTTTACCATCGTCTGTTATGCGGCCGGTCTAGCCTGTTGTACAGCTGTGAAGGTCATTGAATGCGGCTGGCGTCATCCTTTCGCCATTTACTAGACCTAACGTCCGGCTAATTAACTTAAGCTAACCTGACGATTCTGATTCTGATCATGATTATGATGCATATTAACGATTCACTAAAAGTACTTGATAGCGAAGATGATCTTATCCTTCCTATCATACATACAATTTTGATATTGATTTTTGTTCAAGCGGTTCTCACTTTAATGACAGACTCTTGCATGGACTTTATCTTCAGTATTTATAATGCTTAATCAACGATCTATTTTGATTCATTTTGCAGATAAGTATTCTTCGGCAAAGGAGTCAGTCAGACCTCACATAGCATTGATGACTGAAATCGGAGTCCAATTCCGACTTGGAGCCCCGTCGAGTCGGTAAAATGTAGAATAGTTTGCCACTTCTTGGGTATCTAGGTAGATGAGGAGAGTTCCAGGTTTCCCTATTATGCCTAAATCTACCTGGGATGTCTCGCATAAAATATGCGCGATTAAGGTCACGATGACGGTTTTGGGATGTAAGATCCATGGATCCAAAGAAGGGGAAGATTTCCAATAGGGAGAGGCACGTCTAGAGCGAGGCTAGCCAATTTTCTGAAAGTTCCGAATACACGGATTAGATCGATGACATCTAGCGTCCATCACCGCCCATGCCCTACAAATTCTAGCGCCTTTCGCATATACTAAGCACTCTTTCAAAATCTCAATTCTTGTCTTCGATCAAGGCTCTTCATCATATTTCCATTCGCTTAGTCCTTCTTTGCAGCTCCTTCCACGGGGATTCTTGAGCCGAATATCTCTCGTTTCGGCCAATTACGAGAACTAAAAGACGTACGTTGATCCCGAGGTTCCCGATTCCTGAAGCCATGTATCATTCATTTCTTTTACTTAGGCAATCTTAGGCTATTTGCGCCATGTATACCGTAGCCTTACTGGCAGCAATGATATTCCTAGGAATGCCAGCGCACGCCAAACTCCCACTGGCAAAGTACAACAACGAAGCAAACAAGGAAATAGAAAACCGCGCAGTCATCGAAATGGCCACAGCAACTATACTACCCGACAGCCCGTCAGGAGTAGTGACATTCGGACCAATGGTAGTATTGTCCGTAGCCACAACAGTCAGCCTAGATCCAGTGGCAAGCGCACTCTGCTCAGCCTGTCCATCCAAGACAGTGACCGTGACCGTCTGCCCTACCCTTCCGCCCGCTTGTCCCAAGGTCGAAGCTTGTCCCAAGATCGAAGCTTATCCTAGTACGCCTTCATCTTTTTCTTCGGCTAGACCGTTCAGCTCAGCTACTTCGTCTAGTTCGGCTCGGTCTAGCTCTGCCACACCTTCCAGCTCTGCTAGGCTTAGTTCTACGCCGCTTAGTCGCGCTACGAGCTCGGCCGTGCCTTCTAGTAGCTCTGCTAAGGCGTCGCTTTCTCCGGGTATGCTTTGATGTCGGTTGAATCTATTGTGCTTTTTTTCTAATGTGAACTTTGGAATAGTGTTTCCCCGGATGCGACGAGTGCTTTTGATGAGATGAGCTGTTCGGTCACGTCGACTGCTCCGATGAAATTGGATCCTTTTGGAGATTGAGAGCGGTTTGGGTGGATGAAGTGATTTATTGATGTTTGAATTGAGGTAGTGTGGAGATTTGTTTTTTTTATAGACCGTTAGAATCAAAATTGCTTGTCTTCTTAGTTTTTGTACGCTACTCCTTATGGAAATCCGGTACTCTAGGACTCCGAAGGTAGGTCCTGATTCTAGTCTGTATCTTTGCAAGTAAAAATTTCGAGTGATAAGTATTGGAAAAAATATTTATGAGGAAACAAAAGCTGCATTTGAATCTCATATGGTTATCGGATCCGTTCAGCACAACACAAATTAATGCCTAGAGCATGTGAAGATACTCGACTAGAAAAAGGACACTGGGCGCTTTCACGCCAAATCTCTTCACCAAAAAGCTTGAAGTAAATCCTAAGTACAATAGAAAGAAGTGGAAGAGGCCTGAAGGCTGGCCTATATATAGCTAGAGAATAGATGGCAAAGACAACTGACCCCGGTAGGAGCGGAAACCGGAATTCCTCCCATCGGTTGCTAAACTCCCCTTCAGTCACCCCCCTTGACTGCCAAACAGACCATGCATGTGCCATGCTGATAATGTACGCCAGACGCCGCCTGATAAGATATAAAACAACAGGAGGTGTGAAAAAAGAACAAAAGAATGCAATGGTAAAAGGTGTGTAAGAACACAATGTGTGAGAAGAGAAATAGTAGTGAGGGTATTAGCCGGTAAAATATTGAGACCGGAAAAAAGCAGAAGCTTTTTTTTTGCCTCAACAGACTCTCGTATAGACAGGGTATAAGGGTCACATTGAAAACATCTGACAAGAATTCTGCGGAGAGAATTGAACAAATGTGCAGAGAATGCAAATGAAGCTCAAGTGCTGTTTGATCGTAGGAATGACTGAATGAAGAGGGTGAATATATTAGCCTTTGCGGTCTACGCTTTCGCCTAGAAATGAACCGTACATAATTAACATACCCGATCGTCAATCATTTCTTCGTCTCCATCGTCATCTGTTTTGACATTTGGGCGTACACTCGGGGTAGTGGTGGTAACTGTTCGAGCTGCAGGTTGAAATATCCGTGGGTCAGGCAAAGGCTGCTGATTTGTTGACCGTTGTTGTTGCTGCTGCTGCTGCTGTTGTTGCTGGTTCTGGTTCTGATCAGGGACAGAGGAGTGGATCGGATGCATTTCTCCACTGCTGGAAATCCGGGACTCCTTGCTCTTCTCCAGTAACGAACCGCCCAATGTAGCACATTTGAGGATGGTTTGCATCATCTGGTTCTGCTTCAACGGTTTGGACAGATACTCATCCATTTGAGCCTGGATACACTTCTCTCGATCACCCAACATGGCGTGGGCTGTGAGCGCGATGATGGGGGTTCGCTGGAGCGAGCTCTCTCGTTCATACTCACGAATCTTACCCGTGGATTCAAAGCCACCCATAATTGGCATTTGAACATCCATGAGGATAACATCATAACGACGCTTCTTGACGGCCTCCAGTGCTTCCAACCCATTGCCAACAACAAACACGTTGTGGTTGTGCTTTTGGAGAATCTTCATCGCCAGTTGCTGGTTCACATCGTTATCCTCGGCAAGGAGAATGTCGAAAGAACGAGAGTTGTCGGTTGTTATTGGCGTAGATCTACCTTCAAGTGCCGGAAGCATGCCGTTGCCGAGGTCAATTGGCTGACAAGGCGTAGTCATATATGAACTGATACCAAGATCCAACGCTGATTTCAAGCTCACGCAGACAACGGGGCAGACAAGAACAATCGGGATGTACTTGAACTCATCGAATGTTCGGAGAATACGCGCCGTATCTACGGAGTCAACGATGATGACATCGTAAGCGTGACCGGATTCCTTTCCAGATGGGTCTTGGATCTCAGGGGGCGGAACATGCTCCTCGTTCCGTACAACCAAAGGCTCCAGTTCGATTTGCTTCAGCATTTTCATGACATTGGCGGCTTGGATTCCGTTCTGACCCTTGTCAATGAAAAGCACCCGATGGTTCCTGTATGGTGCGAGTTGAGAGGCAATGACCTTAAGGGACTGGTCGGCAAGCTTGACGACGCAGGTGAAGTGGAAGTTACTACCATGTCCATATTCAGAGGTGACCCACACATCACCACCCATCAGGTTGACGAGGCGCTTGGAGATTGAGAGTCCAAGACCAGTACCGCCAAATCTCCGGGTGGTGGAGCCGTCAGCTTGTTGGAAGGTGTCGAAGATCAAATCTAGCTTGTCTTCCTCGATACCAATACCAGTGTCGGAAACGGAGAACTCGAAGGCATACTCGTTGGTTGTGCATTGTTCACGGTCGGATTTGCGGATAGTGAGTTTGACCTCTCCATGTTCGGTGAACTTGATGGCATTTCCAACCAAGTTAAGGATGATCTGTCTCAGACGGAAAGGATCACCGATCACATAATCTGGCACCGTGTTGTCCACCTGGTAAGTGAGGCTCAGGAATTTTTCATTCGCCTTGACAGCTAGTGTCTTGAGCGCATTGAAAACTGTACCACGGACGGTAAAAGGAATGCTTTCGATAACCATACGGTTCGCTTCGATCTTTGAAATATCGAGAATATCGTCAATGATCGTGAGCAGACTGTTCGCAAGGTTGTGCACCACATTCAGCATCTCACGCGTGTAAGGTTTCAAGTCGTCCGTATCCAACGTCAGCTGCGTCATTCCAATGATACCGTTCATAGGGGTTCGGATTTCGTGTGACATGTTGGCCAAAAATTCGGATTTCGTGCGGTTGGCAAGTTCGGCAGCCTCCCTTGCTGCCGTATTTCGTTGGATACTGTCTCGCAAGTTTGAAACCATCTTGTTGATTTTGCGTTTCAGTTCGTCCATCTCACCCGAGGCATTCACAGTAATAAGCTTGGTGAAATCGCCGTCCGTTGCAGCATCTGTAATTTCACCAAATGCACGGACTTGGGAAGTCAAATTCTCAGCCATAGTGTTGACGTCCTCGGTGATTTCTTTCCATGTTCCTGCAATACCCTCCACATTGGCTTGTCCACCCATCTTGCCGTCCACTCCGACGTCGCGAGCGACCTTCTTGAGTTCCATGGCAAACTTCGCCAAGCGACCCACCATGTGATTCATAGTAACCTTGAGAGTGAGTATCTCTCCTTGGGCGTGGACTTCAATCTTCTTGCTAAGATCACCCTTTGCAATAGCCTGAGTGACATCTGAGATACTTCGCACCTGGGATGTCAGGTTTTGGGCCATGGTGTTCACATTATCAGTGAGCTCTTTCCACTTTCCTTCAACGTTATCTACCTTGGCCTGGCCACCAAGGGTTCCATCGGTACCGACTTCACGAGCGACCTTGCTCACCTCAAAGGCAAAGGTGTTCAAACGGTCCACCATGCCGTTGATAGTAATTTTCAGATCTCGAATCTCACCTTGTGCATTGGCAGTGACCTTCTTGGTCAAATCTCCCTTGGCAACGGCTGTGGTGACATCTGCGATCTCGCGCACTTGGGTAGTCAAATTGTTGGCCATTCGGTTGACGTTCTCCGTTAGATCTTTCCATGTTCCTTCAACGTCGTTTACAGTGGCCTGTCCTCCGAGCACTCCATCAGTACCGACCTCCTTGGCAATCTTGGTGACTTCCTGGGCAAATTGTCGAAGCTGGTCCACCATGGAATTGATGATGTTTTTTAGGTCGGCAATTTCTCCTCGGCAGTTGGCTTGCACTTTCTGAGTCAAGTCACCCTTGGCAACAGCCTTAGTGACGGTAGCAATATCACGCACTTGAGTGGTAAGGTTATTGGCCATAGCGTTGACATTCACCGTGAGTTCGTCCCACATGCCCTGAACACCTTCTATCTGAGCTTGACCACCTAGTACACCTTCCGTGCCGACATCACGCGCGACTCGTGTTACCTCTGTTGCGAATGTTCGAAGTTGGTCCACCATGGTATTAATTGTTTGTTGCAATTCCAGAATTTCACCTTGAGCACGGCTCTCAATCTTCTGACTGAGATCACCGTGGGCGACTGCGGTCGTTACAGCGGCAATTTCTCGCACCTGGTCTGTTAAATTTGTTGCCATAATATTCACGTTTTCTGTGAGTTCTTTCCAGATACCATGGACTCCAGTTATTTGAGCCTGTCCACCTAATATACCCTCAGTTCCGACCTCGCGGGCGACTCGAGAAACTTCGCTACCGAATACTTGAAGTTGGTCCATCATGGTGTTTATCGTTCGTTTGAAGGTTGCAATTTCGGGGTCCATTTCTAGAGGGTGAATCTGGACCTTCATGGAGAGGTCACCGTTGGCTACTTGCGTGATAATGCCCCCGATTTCTCGTAGTGCTTTCTGGAAAGCCTCGTTGGCCTGTTGGTGCTTGCGTAGTTCGCGTTCCAGGAGAACGACATCCTCATTTTCGACCTTGGTGAGAGTACGGCGGGTGTTTTCTTCCTGTTTCTGGAGCTCGTCACGCACCTGCGCAATTATGTCCTTCTGGAAACTGATTTCTTCAGCTTGCTTCTGGACATGATTGCGCAGGATGCTGATATCATCCTCGCTAACGACACGGGTACGCGAACCAGGGTCTTCTTCGTCATCGGTTTCGTCGTCGACTAGGTCTCCAGGTGTCGGATTCTCACCGGAACCCGAAGGGGTACGCTGTCGCCGATCGGGTTGATTCAGATTTTGCTGCTGTGAAAGGCAATAAGAAGAGTCAGAACCTTGACCGGACGACAAGCGATCGAGCCCAAAGGTCCACAAGAAATCAGGGTTCTTCTCGTTGGATCCGAAAGCAGACGTGATCGACTGCTGGGGGTTGTCGGGGAACTTTTGATGACTGACAGCTTGGAATTCCAGGTGATGCACACGACGCACCAAGGCCTCCAACTCGGCTTCGAAGGCGGCCTTGGCGGCGGTGTGTTCTCCAGGTAACTTTGGTGATTTCGAGCCGTTCGTTGCAGGAAATTGGAAATCGAAGGGAGGGGAAGAAGAGCCGGGGGTTGGTTCATCTCTAGCCAGCGATTGCAGTACAGCAGTCGCAGCCGTGAGAGTCTCGTCCGCGCCAACCATTATGCCCTATAGTTGTTAGTCGAACGAATAACCTAGGAATCATGACAAAAGGAATCATAAGGTTTAAAAGGCGACAAAGAGTTTCCAATAAAGGCGATGGATTGGGGGCAAAAGGATGAGATTGTCCTTTTGTACGTCCGTACACGGCGCTTAATGGAGCCATTTGTTTTTTTAAGCAAAAAAAAAGGGAGGGAACGCGGTTGCCGAGGCGGGATGAGATTCTTAAAAGAGACTTACGGGGGTTCCAGACGACAAATTCGGAAAGTGTTATTTAGGGCGGCATGAGGTGGGATAAAGTCGAGGGATAATAGGAGAATAGGGTTCCGAAAGACTTGTTGATGAAAGAGAAGGTCGCTCAAAAGGCCAGGGGAGAAAAACCAGGTTATGTAAGCGGTACTTTGCGGGGATTAGAACGAAAGGAGCCCCAAGCTATATTAATGGGAAGATCAGACCAAAATTACAAATTAAACAGAGAGAGAGAGAGAGAGTAAAGGAGAAGGGGAAATCGAAGAAGAGGGGGAAGGATATTTCGAAAGGGGCCCGACTCTCTAATCTTCGTTCTTCCCTTTAAAATAACAAATATTAACCCTGTTCAAAAATCAAAAATCCAATTTACCCAATTATGTACACGCACGGATTTAATAAATTTAAGAATAAAAGGCATATTACTACTTAGTATACTTGTAAATCTAATGGGGTTAAGCATGACCAATGATCTACTGTGTTTCAGGTTCTTTAATATAAGTCTAAATGAGTTTTCTAATTCCCCGTGTTTTTCATGTTTCAACGGAGAACTGCTTGAGAACAGGGCTGGGTTTGTTGACTCCGTCGGCCTTGAACCAGTAAGAATCCAACCTGCTTATGTCTCGGACACGTTTTCTCATTCTCGTTCGCTAAGAGAAATGATCGTTTGTGGATAATTGGTTAGTCCCCTCGGACGCTGATTGGCCTCTCTATGGACACGGAAACATGGTTGAACGGTACCTGAGATTGAGGATATCTGGACATATTCTGAGTATCTGTGTAGATCTCAAATCCAATATTCGATATCCAATACTCAATACCCAATACTCAATATTCAGTATTCAACGTATTATAAGTCACGGAAAAGGGTTCAAATGGTCAAATGATCAAATGATCGTAGCTCAGATGTCCATATCAGGAAAAACGCCACTTCACATGTGTACATGTACACATATACATGTGGCATAAGCTGTAGGCTAACAGCTGACGGGAGTACTTGCCTCATTGGCCTAAGTACCCCGATATAGCCGCGACAAAAAGGGTCACGCGGATTCGCAGAGTCTGAGAGTCAAGGACTCAAACGATATATTGAGGATAAGGCGACCTATGTATGACCTATGATCATTCGTGGAAATGAAGCACCTGTAGCACAATTGAGATTATATCGGAAATAATTAATAGAAAGATGATCCTGGTCATCACTTGAGTGGAGCTATCTAGGCAACACAAATTGAGAAGACCGAAAAGACAATAATGTCTGAATGTTAGAGTGAGATACTTGAACGGGGTCGATAGCCAAGTGAAGAAGGCGGATGGCGGGGTGGACTGGCAGAAAATGTAGGATTGGTCGTTGTGCCCCGCCGGAAGATACTGAAGAGTCATCGTGATTTTTGGTCGCACCGCCCACGCTTCATAGACCACTTTTTAGTACATTTCTGCAGGAATTGACTGCAATAATGGCGTCTGATTTGACTGCCCCAATTTTGGACGCTCTGTCCGCGTCCGATGCGCCAATCCTCTCCAACGAAGCCTTCCCCTCCTTCCCATCATTGAACGTTAAAAGTGCGCTGGACCGCCTGGGTTCGCGACAGATGATCGAATATGAGACTACAGAGAAGGAAGTTATTCTACTCACCTCCGAAGGTGATGAGATCGTGGCCAATGGCAGTCACGAGGCCAAGGTTTTCGCCGCTGTCGTCGCCGCCTTGGACGGTCTGAAGATCACCGACTTGCCTGGGATTGTGGGGAAGGATAACGCCAAGGTCGGCCAGGGAAATGCTTTCAAGCGTGGCTGGATCAAGAAGGATAATGATGTCCTGCGGGCCACCAAGGATTCGATTGTCGATGAGACCCGCGAGCTACTGCTCACTGTTCAGAAGACCAAGAGCCTGGCCGATGCGAAGGCATTGACAGACCTCAAGCGAAGGAAGCTGGTCAGCCTTTCCAAGGAGATCACCTTCAAGATCACCAAGGGTCCCAAATATGCTCGAGAGTTCGTCAAAGAGGAGACTGATTTGACAGCCGAGATGCTCGCCAGCGGTGCATGGAAGACCGTCGAGCTGAAGCCTTACAACTTTAACGCCAAGGGTGCTCCCACTCCTTCTGGTGCACTGCACCCCCTAAACAAGGTTCGCTCGGAGTTCCGCAACATCTTCTTTGAAATGGGCTTCGAGGAAATGCCCACCAACCGCTACGTCGAGACTGGCTTCTGGAACTTCGATGCGCTCTTCGTGCCCCAGCAACACCCTGCCCGTGACCTTCAAGATACCTTCTACATTGCCGACCCCCTCACGGCTGATCCTCCGCGCGAGGATCCCGCCAACGACCCCCATCTCCCCAAGCCAACAGAAAAAGAAAAGTCGCTCGACTACAAGAAATACTGGGAAAACGTGCACGATGTCCACGAGAAAGGCAAATTCGGCTCCATTGGTTACCGCTATCCCTGGAGCGCCGACGAGTGCTTGCGTCTGGTTCTCCGCACGCACACCACCTCCGTCTCGGCGTACATGCTGCACAAGCTCGCTGCCAACCCGCGGCCGGCCCGCTACTTCAGTATCGATCGTGTCTTCCGAAACGAGGCCGTCGATGCCACTCACTTGGCAGAGTTCCATCAGATCGAGGGTGTCATTGCCGACTTCGGCTTGACGCTAGGCGGTCTGATTGGTTTCATGGAAGTCTTCTTCCACAAGATGGGTATTCACCAGCTCCGTTTTAAGCCCGCTTACAACCCGTACACTGAGCCCAGTATGGAGATCTTCGGTTATCACGAGGGCCTGGGTAAATGGGTTGAGATCGGTAACAGTGGTATGTTCCGGCCTGAGATGCTGGAATCCATGGGTATCCCCAAGGATATGAGAGTTTACGGTTGGGGACTGAGTCTGGAGAGACCTACTATGATCAAGTAAGCGGCTACCTATATATTAATTTTTGTTACGATACTAATGACTGCTTCTAGATATGGTGTCAGCAACATCCGTGAGCTACTCGGCCACAAGGTCGACCTTAACTTCATCGAGTCCAATCCTGCTGTGCGTCTGGAGAAATAAACAAAAGCGGAAATGATACATGCTGCGAAGCATGGGAGCCATGATTTGCCAATAGAAGAGTATCTTTGTTTTTAATTGTTACATACGTAGCATTCGTTGCGAAGTTGGAGACGAATAACATTTCAATGAGATGACTAGAATTATATGTAATGTCTCTGGAAATCTACTTGCATATCGGAACAGTCGACTGTCCGACTTTTTGGGGTTCGATTAAAGGCGAGGCGAAAGTCCAGCAAAACTAATACTGCGTAAAGTTCAAGTCTAAGAAGCGTGTACGGAACTGTAAAATGACATGTCGAAATTCAGTGACTACAAGCTATCTAAAAAGAACCTATGTAGCCTTGAATGGATGTCTCGCCCGTATCTGTGCCCCAGTGCATGAAACTCTGCAACGGTGGCTCATCAGAAGGCGAGGAGTTGATATCCGGCAAGGATAAGTTTACTTTCTACCTCCTCATTCATTGAGACGAAGATATCAAGAAACACGTAACCGCAAGTGATCAGGTTTCCTTCAGTCAACGAGAACGAGGAAGTCTTGACGTGCCGACTGGGTAATCCCAGAACATACAAAGATTTAGTGGAAAGAAAGGGATGGGTATTTGTTTTTAGGTGGGAAAAAAATGTGGAGAAAACCAGACCCGTCAAGTCATTCGATCGATTCCCTTCTCATTTCAATAGATAGGACAATAGGAAAACAGGATTTCTCCAGACGGGAGAAAGACTTATAGGTCGAAGGAGACTTCTAGTAGTACCCCTCCTCCATTTTTTTTTTAATTCGTAGTCCCTGAACCAAGGCGATCAAGCCATTGTTCATCTATTAAAAAATATCAGCCACCAATGTTCTGTGTTGTTTCTTTGTAGTGGCATTTAGGCCTACCGTCATATCAACCCGTCAACACCACACCATGCAAACCATACCGCAGCGAAGATATTTAGCGCTGGCGGGAAGCAGTCCACACGTTCTTGAGGTAACCGTCACGCTGGGCCAGGCGGTTCAGGGAGTCATCGGACTCGCCGCGGTTGCGGATGAAACCGCAAAGAGCGTAGGTCTCGTTCTCGCCAGTGTAGCGGCCGTTCTCGTCAACCTTGCCGACGGAGATCTGGACAGAGGCGTGGTCGTTGGCCTTGATGATGCGGTTGGTAGCGCTGCACTTGCGGGGCACGTAGCTGTCGGAGAGAAGAATAAGTTAGTCTTGAGGGAAATTTTCGATATCGAGATCCGCTTGTTTCTTTGCCTCGATCCACTTGTGTACTGGTCCTGACTGCTCGCAATAATTGTCGCATGAAGTTCGTAAGGTTTTCATTTTTCTGATCGGCTGATGGGAGATTTCATCTTGTTGTGCTAGGGAAATTGACGACGGATTGCGGAAGCAGGAAGTTGGACACAGGACAGCGGGAAGAGTGCAATGAGGGCGATTCGAAGGGCGAAAACACATACAGATCGACGATATCTCCCTTCTCGTTCTCCATTTTGGCGGATTTGATGTAGAGGAATTTGACGGGCGACGGTGAGGTTGGAGGTGGAGGAGTTTTGGTGACCCGTTAAAATCAAAGATCCAAATGGTTTGTGTGGGTCATGTGACCTTTTGTCGAGGGCTTCCTATTTGTGTGGGCGAAATAAGGTGGGGCGTGTCGATAGTGATTTTCTTATATTTGGCCGTGGCAATAGCAGTCAACCTCTTAGAAATGGGAAATGTTCCAGATTTATAATTTATCCAATGACTTTTGTGCAGACGCTGTACATGGTTACTCAATTTCCATATAGAGTTATCTCCAACATCTGGAGGAGGGCTTTGTACAAAGAGCAGAGAAAGTAGAGTAGAGCCCTGCATGTTGTAGCAAGCTGATCATATCAGATTATTGGTTGTACATTTTGTAACCTGTACATGTTATAGGTTACTTTGGGCTTTCCTCTGATCTTGAAGAATATTCCTTCTCCATGATACCGAAACATCTCTTGCGCTCCCCTTCTTGAACCTCACAAGTACAACTCGATCAGAGTCTCCTTCTCTACCAGACCCTCTAAGCTCAGGACCAGGCTCGTTAAGGGCCAAAATGACCCGCCCGTCGTCAGTCATCTTCAACATCTTTGGAGAAATACACTTTTGAGTCCAAGGCGGAGAACCTGACTGTACGAAGTCGACAAGCGCGGCTCGGCGTTTCTCAATCTCTTCCACTGAGATATCTGATCGGGGTTGCTTGTCGAGAAAGCCCGACACTAAATGTAAGAGGAGATATTGTGGTGGAAACAAGATTATTTCGCCGCTCTGTGCGCGACGAAGCCATTCTATAGCTGGGAGAAACTGCGCTTCGGTGACTTCTATACCACCATCACTAGTAGGGACTTGGATTTCTTCGCGCTCGCCTTCGACAGGGAGTTCACTTAGAAGATCTTCATCAGCATTTACTGCCAATGGCATAAAATAGAGGTACATCTGGGTGGTATATCGCCTTGTCACATTATTCGGGGTAATCCAACGTGAAAATGGAATCAAATGATCTACCAAGAGTTAAAACTGATGATGGTGTCTTTAATATGATATACTTGCCTATATCTGGCTGAGCAGAAGATTGCTTCTCTTTTAGCCAGTCGTCAAATGTGACCTTGCCCTGGTGAATTAGTTTCCGGCCAAGTTCTCTGGCCTCTTCTTTAACAACTAGCATTTTGCCGGTGTTACTGTCTTTTGCAAGAAGCATGCCACTCTCTTCGAAAAGCTCTCTGATTGCTGCACGCCGGTAAGAAGGGGAATCTTCGTGTCGTGAGAGGTCTTCGGGTGGTGGACACATTCCATCCTGGGTTGAAAGATTCCCACCAGGGAAGACATGGGCTGAGGCGAATGAACTTGATGTTTGGATACGATGAAGTAAAAGGATCTCGTTCTTTGGAGAAACGAGAATCACACTGCTTGTCTGTCAGAAGGCTGTTCAAGTTGGATTATATAATTCAGTGATCTCCGCAGTCTGGTTATAAATCCACGCAAGAACCTTCCAAGGTTGTGGACTGCTCACCTAGAACTCGGTCGGGGTATAGCTACTGGCTTTTTTTGGGTATTATCGCTCTTTGCCATCGCAGGGTTATTGGATATTGTTGATTCTTTGTATGAAGATTTCATCGAAAACTTCCGAATGGGGTGTTGAGCTGCTGGTTGAATTGGAAGTGACCACGATCTTGCGCAGGGGTGAATAATGTGTTTTTGGGTCAATCTTGTCAGCAAGTGACTGTGGACATGTTCAGAGACCAAGACAGACATTTCCCCTGTTGTGCTGGCTGTTGTGCTGGCTGTTGTGTTCAATAGTTATGGTGAAAGAACCGAGAGCCTAGGCTGGTATCCCTGTACCCCGCGCGCCCGGGTCGAATGACGTTAACCACTAACATGTGTTTCGGCCCTGAACTAGCATTTAGTCTATTTTTATTCCTACAGAGGACAGTCTTGAGATATACGATATCTTGTTCAGAACAAATATGCTCATTAAGTAAAAAGCTAACTCCAACCTTATCATACCCTTTTTTTTATTTCCAGTTCCGCGTATCATCGTGCGAAGATCCCATTCATATTCACAGTCGGGATAGTTTATTTTTTGTTCTTTGCAAGAAGCCTAGATCCTACGAGTAAAGCTTCTTGTCAAAGCTGTGCAGACCGTGGACGTTACCCTCAGTCATGGCGCTGGCGCTTCTCATTTCAAAGCGCACACTGCCATTGTTGACACCGTCGTGCAGAGCATCGAGGCTCTTCACACCAATGTCCTGCAGGGAGTGCTGGACACCGGCAATGAGGTAGGGAACGAACTTGGTGACGGAACCGCGGTCAAGAACGGAACCGGCAACACCTTGGGCGACCAGGACACCGTCCTTCTCAGAGAAGTAACGGGCGGTACCAGCGTTGCTGGCCTTGCTGTCACCGCCGCTGCCACCAGCCTTCTTATCCTCCATGGCGGCAATACTGCCCATACCACGGTAGGCCTTGACGAGCTGGCCGCCGCTGCTGACGAAGTACTCACCGGGAGACTCGGTGGTACCGGCAAGGAGACCACCCATCATGATAGTGCTGGCACCCATGGCCAGGCCCTTGACGATGTGGCCAACGTTCTGAATACCACCGTCGGCGATACAGGGGACACCGAAACGAGCGGCAAAAGAAGCGACGCTGCGGACGGAAGCGGCCTGGGGACGGCCGACAGCCATAACTTCCTGAGTGATGCAAGCGCTACCGCTGCCCATGCCAATTCTCAGGCCATCGACACCAGCAGCAATCAAAGCAGCAGCCTGTTCGCGGGTAACAACGTTACCACCGATAACATCAATCTCGGGCAGGTTCTTCTTGATGTACTTGATCATTTCAATTTGGTACATGCTGTTACCCTGACTACTGTCAAGGATAACAATATCAAGACCAGCCTCAACGAGGAGCTTAAGACGCTCCTTGTCCTGTTCACGGGTGCCAATGGCGGCAGCACAGATAAGCTGCTTAGATTGAGGCAGCTTAGAGGCCAATGGGTAGTGCAGGTTCTTCATCAAGTCCGATCGAGAAAGGAGAGAGACAATGTTTCCATTGTCATCAACGATGGGCAGCTTGCCCTTCTTTGAGCGACGCAGAACATCGTTGGCTTCAGCCAGAGTAGTTCCAGCGGGGGCAGTGACCAGGTCAGTGGCCATGATAGCAGTCACGGGGTCATTAAGGTTGGGGTGGAATTGGATGTCACGGGAAGTGACCATACCAATAAGCTTAGAGCGAAGGGTGCCGTTCTCTGTCAAGTCATTGTAGTTAGCACTCAGGTCTAATGAGTAATGATATGACTCAGATGAGATGTTTGAATGAGTAATGCGATCAGTCCAAATCGGTTCTCTACAATGCAGCTCTCGCTGCTGACAGTGGAACGAAAGTTATAATAAAAGATGTGAAGTCATCATGCAAGATGTGGGAGGTGAAGAAGCGGGAACACGGAAAAAAAAAATTAACTTACCAGTGACAGGGAAGCCACCGAAACCCCACTTGGCCTTCAAGTCGCGAGCCTCGCCAACAGTGGCCTTGGGGGAGAGAACAACGGGGTCGAGAATGAAACCGTTCTCATATCTCTTCACCTTGCGGACCATCTCGGCCTGGTCCTCTGGGGCACAGTTGTGGTGAATAACACCGAGACCACCGAGCAGAGCCATGTGAATGGCCATGTTGTGCTCAGTGACGGTATCCATAGGAGATGAGAGAAGGGGGGCCTTCAGCGAGATACGCTTGGTAACGGGGGTCTCCAGAGTGACATCAGAGGCAGGGAAGCCTGTTGTAAATGGTCAGTTTCATGACCATATCATATATGGAAAAAACTCTGGTCGACTTACCGATGTAACCAGGGAGGATCAGGAAATCATTGTAGGTAAGAGCTCCGTGCTTGTCGGAGTCCAGGAGAGTGTCGGCATCAAGACCGTCCTGGGTAGTATAGGTCTTCACGACCTCCAATGCCTTGGAGTAGTCCTCAATCTCAGCCTTCATGGCAGCACCGGGAGCGGCCTCCTGGTTGGTGATAGGCATTTTAATTGAGATGAGGGTAACTCTCGAGGTATAATATGTGATAATAAGATGATAAAATAATCAACAGAAATGAAATCTTCTGTTGATGGAGAGAGACCAGCTTTCCCAAAGAAAAGAAAGAAAAAGAAAAAGTTCGAGCGAAAAAGTCCTTCCTTTTCTTTTCTCCGTGCACGGTCTTATCTGGAGCCCTTGCCTTATCAGGTTTAGCGCATCATCCTTTTCACAATACATCCATATGATTGGTTGATAAACGAGTCTATCCGTTTATGCTGCTTATAAATACTTGGCGATCACAGCATAATACCGAGTACTTTGTCCGTATAGATCTCTGAAAACAAAATTAGAATGAATTGAGTTAGTTCATAATACTTAGATTCAGCACTTATTAGAATTTACGATTGTACCTGGCAATTTAGAGAAATATCACGTGACTATCATACTACTTTTCAAGGTCTAATCATATCCGTCTCACTGCCTCAACATCTTTTCATTTATGGAAGATCATGTGACTTAACATAGGTTGGTACTGAGAGAACGAGAGGGATAGTGAAAGAGGTCATATTTTCATAAAGGTACTTTATAATACCTTTCTATATTCATGGTTGATGACTGCCTTTACGAATCCTTTACTATCCAGTTATAATAGATCCAATCAATCTACCAATGTTGTTGAGGTTTCGAAAACGCCTTTCGCTTCTACATCTCGTCTTAAAAGTACAGTTCTTGTAAAGTGACCCCAGAGTTCTGAATTCACCATCTTTAAACGCTTCTTCTTGAATAGATCTGGTGGCTGAAAACTTTGACGTTGGGATCAGGATAATCGGCGAGGAAGTAGAAGCTAGGCTACATATAAGTTAAGTATTGGATAAGAGGGTTAGGCTGGTTAGCTAGCTGAATCATCTGTACAGATAGAATATTCATCTGGTGAATGTTATCCTTTCTTGGAATTTGGAGAGTCTTGAAATAGAGTCCGATCACTAGAATCAGCTTCATCATCACTTCCACCATTAAGGTTAAGATGGTTCCATTCTTGTCGTACCCGTTCAAGGTGTTGAATATCACTCAGCTTATAAATTGAAAGTAAGAGAAAAAAGGACAATACTTTTAGCTCAATGATAGGATGAAAATACTTTAACTGTTAGTATAATTAGGCGGTGGCAGAATTTATACTAATACGAATACGAATAACCTAAAAAAAAACTGTGATAATTATCTGTGCCGAGCTCTGGTTGTCGACCTCCAGCGCTCCTGCTTGATAATTCTGAATTATAATGTATTTTTGGTAGTTGTAATCTTTCTATAATATCAGCTTCCAACATTTGATGCGCATCATGGAGTGTAGGATACGAGGCTTAAAAAGAAAGAGCAAAAAAGATCAAGCTCAACAGGACAGGCACAACATCGGACCAAAACCCCAGTGTGAAGGGCTAAAGCTAATCTTAGATTCAGAACTAGCTAGGCACATGCTGTGTACAAAATCCTTAAAGAAACGTAAACAATTCGGGGTGGAATCGTGAGGTATGCGGTTGGTGGGTCACGTGGTACAACCACGTGATAGTTCACCAGGATTCAACCTGTTACACCCAGGGCCGTATTGTATCCATGGATGGTTCGATTTTGGCCTAGGTACATCTATCTCTGATCCTTTAGCTTGACCTCGGGATCTTCTCTATCTTGGAGCTATGGAGACGCCACACCCCCAAATTTCGTGTCATGGTACTTAGATAACACTGTTCTTACCGAAGAGATATGTTCTGGAGAGAGAAATACTCTGATAAAGATCCTGGCTCGTTTGATTGCATCTCAAATCGCATGCGAGAATCATGTACCATAACATTGGCTTCCCAAGACTTTAATCCTAAGGCTGTGGTGATCCTGATGAATTGTCCAGGGGCTACAGCCACCGCAAAACCAAGCTTATGTCAGCCAGCCACCCATCAAAAAAATAATAGCCCTTCAAGTAAATAAATCCCTCAACCCAATACACCATAGTAAACTCAAATAGCATATCTCAACAACCACAAGTTGAAATCATTTTAAATCTTGAATTTGGATTATTTCTAACTAAAGAAATATGTATATGGAAAGAAAGATTAGGAAATCATTAAGTGAAGTGCAGTTAAAGCTGAAATAGATAAATTACACCGTAACTTATGGTACCGCTATAATTTATCCATCTAATTTAGTTAAAATTAACTGATTCTTTATGAGGAACCTTATCGTTGTACATTACCGGATATTTGAATCTTATCGGGGTCATGATTTTTGAGATATGATATTCAATTTTTTCGAGTTTGCTATGGTGTGGTGATCCGTTCGTATGGGATTTAGTTACTTGAAGGGCTAGTGGCTATATCGATTCCCGGTAATCCTCTGGGTCTAAACCCGGCCCTCAATCCACCGGTTCATATGCATGCATTTATATATAATCTTGATCTTAACTCTCATACTTCAAGCTTCCAATATATACATGGATATTGCACCGGGCGGTGACCTTGGAACATTTTTGATCTTGTCTGCAATATGTATCCAGGGTATGGGGAGATAGCTTGAAAGTTTTGTGCGTAGTCGGGGATGCATTTGATTTTCTCGAGGAGCCTTGGTACGTCTTTTTGCTGAGATAGCTGAAGATTTTGTATCCGTACCTAGGTCGGCATAGACCTGGTAGGGCAGACCTCGGAACACGGTTAATAGACATCAGGGCTGGTAACATGGGAGCTTTGTAGATTCACAGTATAAATTAAGGACTCTGAAGGAATACAAAAGGACCGTCCAAAGTAAAAGCTTTTCGTGACAAGATGGATATTTGTAAAACGGAATTTTTTGATAAAGCGAGTTTATGGGATACATCCAGTTTTGTTTTATTGGCTTAGTAGACAACGGTCCATATGCAACATAGAGAGAGTCAACGAGGTTGCGGTTCAGTGACAAATAAATATGTCGCCGGAGTTGAGGTCGCAAGCCAGAGATAATACTGGCGAGAAAGTCTGGTAGAGAGGTCGATCCGCAACTTTTTACCCCAAGCGCTAACTTAGTACTTGTCAAGAAATGGGTTACCTAAAATTTCGTGAAAATCAGGGGAGAAAGCCACCAGGTAGCGGCTGCAAAAAGCCAGAAAACATGCATAAACGGGCGATAGGAAGCTGGATATCATTTCCACAAGCTCTGACGACTATGTTTAATTGAAATGATTCTCGGTATTTATGACACTTCCAAATTTGTATCGGCATTTTGATTATCTCGGGTAGCTTCAAATCAGCGCATCATAGTAACGCCACCTGAACACGATAATCGATTCCCATGAAGCAAATTAATCATCTTACTATTGAAATATTGGCAGCTTTCCAGTATTTAGAACTCGGCCTGACATATTCCGGCTGCAACTACCAAGGTCCGCCCAATTTGTTGATTATCCAAAGCTCGAATATACCAGAGGTTACAAGGTTCATTTGAATAACAAATATTATAGGCGCGTGCGCTGATAAACTATTCCCAGACTTTATTTGATAGCCCTAGGATCGGGATCAAAACGCCTCAGGATTAATGGACGGATATCTCCGTTATCACCTAAGTAAGCAAGTATGGGCCTCGTATTCATTAAACTTTTTGGTTAGATGCCGAGTCTTCGGGGAAAGTTCGGATCGTCACACTATTATCCAGAATAGGCAAGTATGGGTCCTCTTCGTATTCCTCAATAAACTTTGTGGCTAGATAGCGGCGTGGGGCCCTGCCAATCCCTGCAATCAGATCTTCCCGAGGTCTTTAGGAGAAGAATAGATCGTCATTACTATATAAACCTTCCAGAAGATACCGCCAAATCCAGATTCTCAAATAGATTCATAACTTCGGAAAATTGATAATTGAGCACAATGTGAAATCTTTTCAGGCTATTGATGTAATTGATTGCGCGAGCCTTTTGATACTTTCTAAATACTTAGCCGCTTTACCTCCCAGAGGTAAGAGTACGAAGTAATGGAATTTGTAATTAGGTTCATGTTGCTATAACTAATTCAAATTGCGTTCTTTAATTCCTCATTCTTCCGTCTTACCCGAGTTGATTGGCATGAGGTGGGTACATGAGGCGCCTAATGATATTCCTCGGTGATACTGCCTGGCCAGTGCGAGTCCCTTGGTAGACCCACACGACCACGAACTCTCAATGACAGAGGACGGATCTAGACAGCTGATTGATCAGTGGAGAATGCCACCCGATGGAGCCACTATTCTGGGCGTTTACAGGAGATTATTAGTTCTATTGCGGATTCTTCCTACATCCCATCCATGGGTGAATCAAATGAGTATTACTCCATAATGGAAACTTCGTTCCGGTGAAGAATCAAAGGTCGCGACACAAGCAATATTTCAGACGATGGCGATTTGCATCCATTCGAAGGCTCTAACGATAGGTACAGCTTCAATGCCTAGATACCATAATACTATTTTATGAGTCCCTTGTCAAATCGTGAGATTCCTTTTCGCACGGTGGATAGCCCCAAAATAATACGGCTGGATTTGAGTATACCGGTGGCATGGGCACGGATCGATAGTAGTCCTGGAGTGAAACGCTAATTTTCCTTTTTTTGAGTGTGGCGATTCGGACTCGCTCCGCTTGTGGACTGCCGTCGCTCTGATCTGAGGAAGTGGGTTCTCTATATACGGAGAAAATGGCCGTGCTTGATACTGTCGTTGCTTTAAAGAAGTTATATGATTGGAGATCCACTATTGACAAGTCTGTGGCACTTGTCGTGAACCTTGGAAAGTTCAAGGTTGTATGTAAATACAAATTTCAAACTTTGGAAGCCCCTGATGTCTGATATAGATTGACGTGTATAAAGGCATGTTCCTCCAAGATCGGGCCCGACCCGTTGAAAGGATTACGGCTTCTACACTCTTTTTATCTTTCCAACTTTGGAAGGTTCCTGGTCCGTTCTCTATACGACTTGGAACATCATGTCATCAAATGAAGAATACATCCTGCTTGGACTGTCCGTAGCCGTCGTTGTTCTTCGTCTGTTCGCTCGATGGTCTATGGTAGGCTTCAAAGGTCTCAAGCTCGATGACTATGTAATGCCCTTAGCTTGCGTGAGTATCTCTACACGAGTAGTCTTATGGGAACCGTGGCTAACGTATGGGACCGCAGGTAACTTTTGGCTTTGAAGCCCAGGCTGCTGCAAATGTTGGAAAATACAATGGTCTTTCGAATGCGGCCATGAGCGATGAGTATCGAGCAAATTTGTCACCTGATTCGCTTGAGTATGCTGAGCGAGTCGAAGGCTCCAAGATTCAGCTTACAGGATGGGGAACCTACGTGCTCACTGTATGGCTTCTCAAAGCATGTATGGCAATATTCTATTCTCGAATGACGTAAGTATCTTCGATCTTATACATCATGCTCAATGCTGACTATCACCAGGGAAGGACTCAAAACCATGCAACTCCGGGTCAAGATCTCTTACGTGGTACTTGCCATAACTTTCGTTGCTGTTATCTGTTCAATCTACCTAAGCTGCCAGCCTTTCCACAAGTTTTGGCAAATAAACCCAAACCCTGGTAGTATGTTATATCTTCATTCTCTTTCAAATAGCTCTCTTTGCTTACCATTGATGTCTCCATTCTAGATCAGTGCCTTCCGGCCATCTCTAACGTGTTTGTCTTAACTACTGTTGTGCTCAACATCCTCACCGATATCTTCCTCCTTACTATTCCCATTCCCGTGAGTTTGAAAAAATTTCCAAACCTTAGGATAAGACTATAGGTCCGGATTCTGACTCTTAGGTATCCAGGTTCTTGCAAAAGCACAGCTCAAATGGCGAGCAAAGCTCCGACTCCTCGTTCTTTTCAGTGGAGGTATCTTCGTCATGGTAGCCGCTCTCGTTCGCTGCATCCTAATTCTCACAGTAAGTTTGGCTCCCTTGACGCTCATTTCTAAACATGTGCTGACATTAAATCTAGGCCGGTGCCAATGGTCCCTCCGTGGGCGGTAGTTGGTCTATCCGTGAGACCTTTGTGGCGACTATCATTAACAATCTCCCCATGATATACCCTCTTGTCCGCCGTGTCCGCAGCAAGTTCGGCTGGTCTTCTACCAACAGTGGTACTAAGAGTCAAACAGGCTATACAATGTCCAGCAAGGCCAATACAGATCTCAAATCACAAAAGCGCTCGAAGTTCCGTAACCCACTGGGCACCTCGAAGGAACACGAATGGAACAATATTAGCGACGAGCAAGTTATTCTTGCAGGGCAACAGGATCCTGCTACATTCACCACTGTTGATGGTAACTGGGATAATAATAGCGCTATCAGCACGAATGAGCATGGCATCAAGGTGGTCCAAGAGACCATCGTTGAAAGATCTGGAGATCGCTGAAATGACTATACTATGGACTATAGGGCGCGATCTTTACCGCTACTATATACGCTCTTTCCCAATTTTTCTTCTTTACAATTTTCAGGGCTACCTGTTATTTAATACACTTGCCTACCTAGAAAATCGGTGTATACGCTCCTTCATCTCAATATAGTTTTCTTATTAAAGCCTCTCTCCCGAAGACATTTCCCTACATCTCTTCTCTTGTAAAATCCTGTTCCCTTTCAGCAAAAATACGATAACGCCGACTAAGATTTCACACAAAATGATCTGGGGTGCCTCCGAACACGTCTTGGTCGACATGATCTGTATCAACTTTTCCCTCCATCTCCTCCACACCCGTTGATATTCTTTCCAGTGGTCCTGGGTTCAGCCTGGCTGAAAGAAGTGCCTGTTCTGCGGCAAAGACAAGGATAAGGGCGAGGATCTGGAAACCGGCAAGCGAGAGCCCATTAACACTAATGCTGAATAGTTCGCAATCCTACCTTTCCATGTGCGACAAAAGCCCAAATAATCCGGTCCTCCAAGTACGCACAACTCACAACTCCTAACATGAGGCTCGAGATGCCGACGACAACAGCATTCAACTTGGGAACATGGAAGAGGAACTGAGTGGACTATCCCGGGGAGGTGGTGAGAGATGGGAGCCAGAGCATTGGGAGCGGGAGGATACAGGTGTGGAATGGGACCTGGTGCGAGGGAATTCTTGTCTCCTTTGTTATGCGGTTGGAGCATCGAGGTCCCGTAGTTAATTCTATAGGTATGTAGACGCCCACGACGAGCTGTCCTTCTACCCGGGGTCAGTGACTAGTAACCTTTTGGTGAAGCTAATTCGAGCTCCATTGAACCGAACGCTTCCGTGCCTTGTATTCTCTCGCAGGCCTTTCAGACCAATATAGTACATACACAGGGAAGGGAGGCGTTAACGGGGGTGAATGTCGTCGTCTACAGCTGACCCTGGTCAATGTGGTTAGATGTTGTTAATGCCCATTTAGTATATTGAATACTAGCCTTGAACAAGAAGTGTAACCTTAGAAAACACCGATCAACACCGTCACTGTGGGTAATTTAAATGAGATGACAGGCTTCATCTTTAGCCGACTCGGTCAGTCATTATCCTTATGCACGATGAAAGTGGAGATTCGCCTCCCAATCAGCAAGCTAGTACACTGGCCTATTATGGCAAGTTCCCATACGTTTTCTAGATCACAAACCTTGTTTAAACGGCTCCGTCAACCAAAATCGACTTACGAAGCTTTGCTAGTCTATGACGTGAATGTCCTTTGCACCTTTTTGAGTTGCAACTTATTCTACACATACCGGATGCGGTATAAACACGATTTTCTCAGTTTATGATGAGCTGATACTTGAACTCATTCCGTACTATGCTACGCAATTTTCATCCTTGTGGTATATTAACAGCCAACATCTTCCAAACTATACCATCAGAACTGATAGAAGTGATCTTTCCGTTTATTCCTGAATGTTTAGATCGGATCTGTTTATTCTTGAGCTGCGAATATACTTTTACTTGCTTCAATGATACCGTAAGCGATATAGCGCTCGTATGATCTATATCCTGGCAAAATCCAAAAAAACAACGAGGCTCCTGGCAGCGACTTCTGAATAGCAAATTCAGACACAGTTACTTCTTCGACTTCAAAATGAACACTGAAAGTATTGCGGTGAGTGTTTAAGACTCCACTGGCGCTCTATATGGTGTCTACAATATTACAGAGTCGATCAAAAGCCTTGCACTTATTTCTGTCGGTACCTTGCGAGGACAAACTTAAAGTCTCACCTTCCATGCATAGTTAAATCGAGATATACATCTGTGATGGTGTCATACTTCAAAAGAATGTCACCAAGCTTCGTTATACTGCTCTCGTGCCCGATGCTAGCGATCACATATTAACCCTTTTTCAAAAAAAATATTGGAAAGGAAAAATAGAGCGGATTCATATCCAAACAAAGGCATCAATTAACGAAAGCTACGAAAGTATACATATACATAGTAAGTTTACGCTTTTTGAATCTGTTTCGAAAAAAAAACACTTTTCTGATACATACGGATGACTTTATCATGCTATTTATCCTTGTTTCTGGGCTTCGTCTATGCTCAAAAGTTCCCCAGAATAGCTCAAAATATTCTGTCGTGATACTAATCCAAGTTTTTATAATGGTGTTCAGGGTTCGTGTCGATGCAGTCCCGGGTTGAACCAGCATACGATTGATGGATAGGATGCTTACAAGATAAATATGGAAAGGAATGATGGGTATGATAAGTAACCTGGTATTCTGTCCATGTGTCCGAAGTAAAAAATAATCCCTAAGAAAGACATAGAATAATGTGCAATTGAAGATTTCGTTAATACACAAGCCATCGGTTTGCGTCTTTCAGAGCTACTTCCCAGCCTTCGTCATTCTGCCAGATAGCGATACTCTCTACCTCGTTCCGGCCCAAATTCAGCCCGTTGTATAAGTGCTTTCGTGGATTCAGTATATATATTTGGGGTATTGGACATGGAAACTTACTGGAAACAGCCCATTTTCCGGCCCTTCAGCGATCCTTTTTCCATCTGGGGACTCCCAACGGATATATTCGAATATAACAGAATAGGCGATGCGTAGAACGTAGACAACTGGCTCCTCCGCAAAGAAGAGGTTCAACGTGTTGGGAACCTGGTCTGCTGTCGATAGATGGATAAATCCAGATTGTTCGTCAAGCTCACTAACTGGGAGTCTGTTAGGAAGTGGCTCCCGGATGGGCAAAGTGGATGGAAATATTTTGTAAATGTAGTGAGGCTGAGACTCGATTATATCATTGAGATCCATGATGAAGATTTGGAACCTGGGGTAAGGCAACTTGATGGTTGTGCATGGATAGAATGAGGAAGTTCCGTCAACTAAGGTATTATTGATAATTGACGGCGGGGCTCCGGAACCGGATCCCGCCCTCTTGGGCTGCTACCTTTTGTACCTTGAATATCGAAACATCAGAGAGACTGAGAACAACAATAGGCGTTTCTGGGGTCAGGCGTGAAATATCCAGAAAGAGAGCATTATGCTTAATGGATCTTTGCTGTCAGATATCTATCGACATCGAACTGTAACTAACTATTTAGTCGGCCATGATTAAATAACAAGTTTGTTGGGTCTAGATTGGGCAGAAAGCCACAAATAATTAGCAACTTGATGAAGATATCAATGGGTCCGGACAACTAAATAGGAAAGATCAACCGGCCGAGGATTCGCAGGAATACAAAGAGATCGGCGGAAAAGCCAGGAAAATAGAATGTTATGGTTGCACGGGAAACTGTCAATAACTGAATCGATATTAGCCACAATTGCCAAGACGGCATATCCTGCCTTTGGCTGATTCCTATACTGATTGTCAGTCCGAAAGCGTGCTCAAGAACTTAGTGGAATTACCCTGTGGCACAGATCAATGGATTGTCTTTCAGAAAAGCCAAAAATAGTCGTGACTGAATAAGTTGATGTGTTACTCTTCTTCATGGTGATCGACTGTGGCGCAAATTCAATGGCGCTAAACCATATCGGGATAATTCAAAACATTGGAGAATCCCGGTTCGCAGCTGCCCCACCGTCAACAATCTAGTCCAAGCCCTTGACATTTCGGTCCTCTTTTCACTTCTTCAGACCATCACGAGTCAAAGACTCAAAGCTTGTCGCCATCTTGTTGTTTAGCGCTTGACACCTTGCGACAAATATATCTCTTCTTCTCTTGGACATGCGACCAATCGAGCACCATCTTACCTCTACAGCTTTCACGTTCCATTCACACCAGTGGCAGTGATGTCAAGTCAGTTCGGGCAGTACTCATCGCTCAAGAGGGTCCAAACGGATATCCCGGCGCAGCAATCAAGTCCACTACGACAAGGGTCGACCGCGTCCACAAATTCGTCTGCCTACTCCGTCGCAAGCTCGTTTGCTCCAAGCCGAACAAGCACAATCTCTTCGGTTGGGTCCAGGCCGAGCACCTTAGGCCATCACCGAGGAAAAAGCGAAGTAATAATAGTGAATTCATCGAAGCCAGAGAATCATTCAAGTGCTGCATCGACATATGAAAATATTCGCCGGTCCCTACGGCCCCTTCAACAAGTGCCTAATAACGCTCCACCTACCACAAAACCATCCATTTATCAACACTCACGAAGCAAAACTCTTGACGAGAACCACAACTCTGCGGCACTCTCACCGAAGAGCCCGGAATCGTCTCGTGTCCATTTCAAAGAGAACGAATTGCCTCGTTACAAACCAGCTGCATTCGAGCCCCAAACACCTCAACGAGCGTCTTCGCCAAACCACTGGTCCCCCATCCCAGCTCCAGCTTCGCCGCGCAGTCCATCACCTCAGAAGACGCTACCAGACAGTCCTCATCGTCCCAAAATAGCGGCTGCCATATCTACCCCCGAGCTTGAAACATTCCAAAAATCGACAACGCGCCATCTCAGAAACCTCTCCCAGTTTGCACAGACGGGCGAAACCGATGAATTTCAACTAGGCTCGTCTTCAGTAGTAGGTTTGCAAGGGCGAAGACGGCTGAAGCGGGCAGATTCAGTTTCTGGGGGAAGTGGTGCGGTTTCTCCACAGAAGCCCAAGGTTTCATCATGGCAGGCCGCTAATTGGATGGATAAGCAGCGGCAGTTCATACAAGCTTATGAGTACCTCTGTCATATCGGTGAGGCGAAAGAATGGATCGAGGGAGTGATCCAGAAGCAGATTCCGCCAATTGTGCAGCTGGAAGAAGCTCTTCGAGATGGTGTAACACTTGCGGAGGTGGTTCAGGCTATGTACCCCGATCGGACCCTGCGCATCTTTCGGCATTCCAAGCTACAGTACCGCCATTCAGACAATATTGCTCTGTTTTTCCGCTTTCTGGACGATATCGAAGTGCCTGAGCTTTTCCGATTCGAACTCATAGACCTTTACGAGAAGAAGAACATTCCCAAAGTCATCCACTGCATTCATGCAGTTTCTTGGCTGCTCTTCAAAAATGGAATGTTGGATTTCCGCATGGACAATCTGGTCGGCCAGCTGGAGTTTGAGCACCATGAGCTTGAGAAAACCCAGAAGGGTCTCGATAAAGCAGGCGTTAGTATGCCGAGCTTTTCGGGTATGGCTGCGAACTTTGGCGCAGAGCCGGAGCCGGAAACAGAACCAGAGCCAGAGCCAGATGAGAGTTTCATAGTGGACTTTCAGGCTCAGATAAGAGGCGCCATGATGCGCTTGAAGCTTGGATACACGATGAACGATCTCTGGGACTTCGAGCCATTGCTTATCGACCTACAATCACGCTTGCGTGGTGACTGGGCGCGGCAGATAATCCGATACCGACTTGACATGCGCCAATTCGCCGTTCAACTACAGGCTATCAGCCGTGGGTTCCTTGTGCGCCATCGCCAGCAAGGAGATATGCAGTACCGTGAAGCCCAAGAATCTGACATTCTCCAATTGCAAAGTATTATACGTGCCGCCAAAGTTAGAGCCCAGACCAACACATTACAAACTCGCATACAGAGACAAGAATCCGGTATCAAGAATTTCCAAGCCGCCATCAGGGGTGCACTGCAGCGGAAGCTTGTCACAGCTCAATGTGAACGGATTCAATATGCCAAGAGCGATGTCACAGCCCTCCAAGCTGCTATTCGAGGTGCACTGCAACGAAACATTGTTTTAGCTCAGTATGAGCAGTCTAGATTTGCTGAGAACAGTGTCATCGCGTTTCAAGCTGCTATTCGGGGTTCACTGCAACGAAACATTGTCTTAGCTCAGTATGAGCAGACTAGATATGCTGAGAACAGTGTCATCGCGCTTCAAGCGGCCATTCGCGGTGCAAGGCAGCGCAAGATCGTCACAGCTCAGCATGAACAAACTCAGCATGTCGAAAATGATGTAACAAGTTTGCAAGCAACCATCCGGGGTGCTCTACAGCGAAAGCAATTGACAGCACTGTTGCAAGCTATGGAAGATACTAGTAGCCCTGTCATGTCATTGCAAGCAATATTCAGGGGAATGCTCGCACGTCAGCACGTGTCCAACATCCAACATTCTCTTCAGTGTGAGACAGCTACAATCACTTCCTTTCAGTCTGGGATCAGAGCTTTGGCATCTCGGAAACGTCACACACAACTTTTGAATTCTCTAAAACAGACCGAGGGTCAATGTGCCGAGCTGCAGGCTTTAGTCCGAGGGGCTGCAGTTAGATTAGACAAAGCAGCTATACGTGCTGAGCTCTCTCAACACGTTTTAGCCATGACCACATTACAAGGAGTTATAAGGGGCAAGGCCATGCGAGAGCTCCTAGACTCCCAGCGCGCATCACTATCGGAAGAAGAAAGTGTTGTGTTGGAGTTACAGTCTCGAGTGCGAGGTCTCATGCAGCGTAAGGAGCGAGATGCAGAGCACAGAGCTCTCAAGGATCAGGAGCATTTGATCGTGGATCTTCAGGCATTCTCCCGTGCGGCATTGCTTCGCATGAAAGTTGGCGATATACTCACAGAGCTTGAGGACTCGGAAGAGGAAGTGGTCCAACTACAGGCCTTGGCCAGAGCAATGCTCATTCGGGTAGAGGTTGGAACTATGCTGGCTGATTTAGAATCCGAGGAGGAATTCATCGTGGATCTTCAAGCCAATATCCGAGGTCTCCTTGTCCAAACCCGCTTTGAGGAGAGACGTCGTCATTACAATGAGAATATGGAGAAAGTCATCAAGGCGCAAAGCGTCATCAGGGGCCGAATTCAGGGACAGGCGTACAAGAGCTTGACAAGCGGAAAGAATCCACCTGTCGGAACAGTGAAAGGTTTCGTTCACCTTCTAAACGACAGTGATTTCGATTTTGACGAGGAGGTCGAGTTTGAGCGGCTGAGAAAGGTGGTTGTTCAACAAGTCCGACAGAACGAACTCGCAGAGCAGTACATCAGCCAACTGGACATCAAAATTGCTCTCCTAGTGAAGAACAAGATTACACTTGATGAAGTCGTCAAGCACCAGAAGCACTTTGGGGGTAATATCGGCAACCTTTTGTCTAATACCGAGATTTCCTCCAAAGATCCATACGACTTGAAGGCTCTGAATAAGACATCACGAAAGAAGCTGGACCAGTACCAAGTCTTCTTCTTCCTTCTCCAGACACAGTCGCAGTACCTGGCGAAACTATTCCGACGCCTTCGCGAGATCAATACTTCAGATAAGGAGTACGACCGAATCAGGCATTTGATGATGGGTCTCTTCGGATACTCACAGAAGAGACGTGAAGAGTACTATCTTGTCAAGCTTCTCGCAAGGTCTGCAAAGGAAGATATCGAAAGCTTCGCATCGCTCCCTGAGTACCTGCGGTGCACCTCTTTCTGGAACAAGCTCTTCGGCTCTTACGCGAAGTCTCCTCGAGACCGAAAATTCATGCACGATGTCTTGGGAGCGGTGGCAAAGGAGTCCATTGTCGACAATCCTGACCTTGACCTCGAAAGTGACCCTATACAAATCTATCGATCTACTATCAAACACGAGGAGCTTCGTACAGGCCAGCGCAGTAGACGACAGCCGGATCTCCCTCGTGAAGAAGCCATCAAAGATCCCGAAACCAGGAAAAACTTTATCCAGCACCTGCAAGAATTACGCGACATTGCTGATCACTTTTTCTTGACCTTTGAAGATTACCTGCACCGCATGCCATTCGGTATTCGATACCTATCCAAGCAGATGTACGAGAACCTCCTGGCCCGGTTCCCGAATGAAGATCCTGGATTTGTTCTCCAAGCTGTGGGTAACTGGGTGTGGAAGAGCTATTTCCAACCTGCCCTGCTAGAGCCAGAGAAGTACGGTGTGGTGGACCGGGGATTGACGCAGGAGCAAAAGAGGAACCTGGGTGAAATCTCCAAGGTTGTTGCACAGGTCGCCTCTGGCAGGCTGTTCGGTGCCGAAAATGTTTGCCTCCATCCTTTGAATCCCTACATTGGAGACTCAATACAAAGGTTGGGACGAATCTGGGGCGAAAGTAAGTTTTCAAATTCCTTATATTTCTTGCATCGATCATTACTAACTTCAAGCAGTGATCACGGTTCAAGATGCAGAGGCCTATTTCGACATTGACGAATTCAACGACCTTTATGCGAAGGCCAAGCCAACTCTATACATTAAGATGTCTGACATTTTCTCAATTCATCAGCTTGTGGCCTCACAGATAGAATTCATGTGTCCACATCCCGATGACTTCCTCAAACAACTTGTGCGAGATCTCGGCAACGTCAAAAGCAATGAGAATGAGTTGATGAGTGTCCGATCTACTGAAGTTAATCTCACCCTGAATCCCAAATTGGCTCAAGTTGAAGGTAAGAACCCTTGAAAGACCAGAAGAAAGCAAATGACTTACTTAATATAACAGATCCTGAAGCTGCAGTGAAAGCCTTGTTCATGGAGACCAAACGATGCATTCTTTACATTATCCGTGTCCAGAGTGGAACGAGCTTGATGGATATCATGCTTAAACCGCCAAGTGAGGAAGATGAAGCACGGTGGGAGACTTTGGTCGGAGAAGAATTAAACTCAAACAATCCTCACCGGAGCGCTTACTCTGAAGCTAGCACTTTGGTAGATATTGGTGCAATGAGCTATTCTGAGCTGAAGGGAAACGCCCTCCAAAACATTCTCCGTCTTGAGCAAGCTGGCAAAATAAATCGGCACAACCACTACCAAGACCTCCTGAATGCCATTGCTATTGATATTCGCACCAAACACCGTCGGAGAATCCAGCGTGAGCGTGAATTGGAGGGTGCACGGCTTACTTCTACTCGACTCAATGACCAAGCTCTCTACCTGGATCAACAACTCAAGACATACAACGATTACATCGAGCAGGCCATGGTTACCCTGCAGAACAAGAAAGGAAAGAAGCGATTCCTCATGCCATTCACCAAGCAGTGGGACCACCAGCGAGAGCTTCAGAAAACGGGCAAGGTGTTCAAATTTGGGTCTTTCAAATACTCAGCTCGCACCTTGGCCGACAGAGGTGTGCTAGTTGCATGGAAGGGCTATACCGATCGACAATACGACCGTGTGGACTTAACAATCTCCAGTAACGAAGTTGGAGTTTTCACCCTTGACGGTAGCAGCGGAAATATGATGGTTGCTGGTGGCAATGCGCAAATCCCCTTGGACGACTTGCTGCAGGCCCAATTCAACAACACACAATTCATGGACTTCTTTGACGGGCAGATGAGGGTCAATGTCAATCTCTTCTTGCACTTGATTATGAAGAAGTTCTATAACGAATAAGCTTCGTCCTGAAACTTGACGGACTTGATGAGCGATGACTATTCTGGGGGCATTCTTGGTAATATTATTTTTCTATGTTTTTTTTTGTGTTCTTTCTTTTCACTGTTTGATACCTAGGTATTTCTTTTGTATGGACTTTATGATAGCGATAGTCTCGGGTTTATACCACCCCGTGCGTGATCCGAACGAAATGTACACGATATGACAATATAGGTGTTTTGTAGATCTAGACGGAGTATACAAATCGTGGGTTGTTTTCGAAGTATCGTAAGCAATCATCAGATCCTGATAGGCCTTTAATATGGACTATGCTGTAGAATATTCATTCCGATTCACTCATGGTCCCAGGCTCAGAAGATCCAGTGTCCAATATCTATGAGATATCAATTTATAAGGGGCTGCCACGTGACTGTGGCGCGTGGAATCGGCCAGCTAGACCGGCCGTTCTCCTCAAACCACTTCACTTCCCTTGTAACTAATTGTGGCAGGCCCGGATCGTTTTTATCTCTCCGGACACAATCGCCTGGGCACTTTGTGTCACATCCCTGGTGAATCTATCGTTTCCACTTTACATCTTATCCTGACCGACAACACCCGCCCCTCGCCATGGACTTCAGCAACCTCAAGGACCAGGTTAGCAACCTGACCTTGTACGATCTCAAAGCAGGTGTACGCAAGGTACAGAATGGTATGTTGCGATAAATTGGTTGCCTGCGCTGCTCTACTGCTGGTTTTGGCATACCCACGAAACCAGGCTGACCGCTGTACTATAGCCGTCATGAACTATACCGAGATGGAGTCCAAGGTTCGGGAAGCAACAAACAATGAACCTTGGGGTGCCTCGACAACATTGATGCAGGAAATTGCCAATGGAACACATAATTAGTCAGTGAAACCTTTTCTCCTGACCGCCACTCTTATTTTGTACTGATCTTCAAGAACAGTCAATTACTCAATGAGATCATGCCTTTGATCTACAAGCGCTTTACCGACAAGGCTGCAGAAGAATGGCGGCAGATCTATAAGGTACGATAGCGATATACCTCGACAGATTGTTTATTATGCTGATCTTATCTTTCCCCCCGCAGAGTCTTCAACTTCTCGAATTTCTTATCAAAAATGGTTCGGAACGCGTCGTCGATGACGCTCGATCTCACACGTCTCTCCTACGGATGCTTCGGCAGTTCCACTACATTGACCAAAATGGCAAGGATCAGGGAATCAACGTGCGCAACCGTTCATCAGAATTGGTGAAGTTGCTGGGTGATGTCGACCAGATCCGCACCGAGCGCAAAAAGGCCAAGATCAATCGCAACAAGTTCGGTGGATTTGAGGGCGGTATGGGCGTTGGAATGTCCAGCGGTAGTGGCCGCTTTGGTGGCTTTGGAAGCGACAGTGGTGGCGGTAGTATCAATGGTGGTTATGGTGGTTACAGTGGAGGTGTCTACGGCGATGGCGGTGGCTTCGGAGGTCAAACCAATGATTTCCAAGACAATAGCAGCCGGGCAGACAACCGGTTCGATGAGTACGATGAATACGACGAGGGTGATGCCCCAGTGCGCCGCGAACCCGCTCCGAGCGCAAAGCGGGAAACGAAGAAACCAGAGCCGGCCCCAGCACCAGCCCCAGTGGTAGATCTGTTTGATTTCGGCGACGATGAACCCATTTCCTCCACTGCAGCTGGAAAACAGCCTGCCAGTGGTGGCCTGGCCATGCTCGACCCTACTCCCGCCGATGATGACGACTTTGACGACTTCCAGTCTGCCACTCCAGCTCCACAAACGTCAGCGCCGGCTTACAACAACTATTCGATCCAAGCCCCTGCCTCCACTGGCAGTACGACCGCCAACACTCAATTCGTAGCGCCAAAACCAGTCTCAGCCTCACAGGGAGCAAACATCAACGGCTTGGTCGGCTTCACATCGGCCACCCCCACTCCAACCAGTTCTATCGCCTCGCCAGTGTCACAGACTAATCCTATGGCTCCGAAGCCCACTGGGTTCCAGGCTGCAACTCCAAACTACTTCACCTCAGTTGTCACCAACACCGCCGCACAACCCTTCTCCTCGCATGTTGCCAAGCCATCCATCTCATCATCTACCGCCAGCCCCATCACCGCAAGCAAGCCCGCCGCCAAGGCATCCGGCGACGCCTTCGGTTCTCTCTGGTCGACTGCCAGTGCCAACGCTGGTATCGCCAAGGCTAACACCGCTGCAAAGGGCCCTAACCTTGCCAGCATGGCCAAAGAGAAGGCCAGCGCCGGCATCTGGGGCGCTCCCGCCTCCTCTGGTGCTGCTCAGTCGCAGCAAAAGTCGAGCGGCTCGGCATTCGATGACCTTCTAGGTTGATTTTCATTTAATACCTAGTTTGTTGCTGAAAACTTCCAGGATTCAGCACTCTATAATTTTAAATTCATTTCTTCTACACTTACCATTGGTTTTACACTCATATCTTTTGTTTCTACCTCTTGGTCTTATTGCTAGCTCAAAATCAGCTCTTAAATTCTTCTTGTCTCTTATATATTCTGGCCTCTAGCATTGGTAAAAGCTCTGATTTCTGTTAATATACCCAGGTAGCCTTTTGCACGATGCCTTGAACATCACATATATATCTCACCATTCAAACCCAAGTACTTCGAATCATCGGGTCCACACCAGCCGGTTGATAATTCAGGGATATCAAATTTGGCACTTCCCATGTGGGATATGCATGTGGACGTGGACTACAGTGCGCTGGCTATGTTGTTGCAAACCCTTCAAAACATCAAAACTTCAGGAACTTCTCTTCTCTACTGACAGCCAGCAAGGGCTATCACGCAATGAAAAAAAAGTATGAGAGTGATAAAATCACAATTTTGATATAAAAAATTACGTGGTCGCCTGTGAGGGCAGCCAGGTAGGAATAACTGATAGCTTTCAGTCAGCAATAGTAACCTCAGATTTATCCTCACTGGTGTACTAAAGACCCATGCATATGGATGTATGAAGAAGAAAGAAAGAAAGAGAGGGGAGGGGAAGTGGGAAACTTTCTGCACTTAAAGGTCTAGGGGGCACAGCGCAGAGGCTAATGCGGCGATGACCTCGCCGGCGACATCATGCGTTCGAGATTACACCTAGGTATATAGTGGAAGGCGTGTCACTCATCTGTGAAGCGAGACATTTGGAAGAACCGTGGAGGGCGTGCCATAGATATAGCTAATATCAATAAAGACTTTGAAATCAAAAGAGGCAGGCATTTGATGCTTGATATAGGTCTGATAGTGAATGAATGACCTTGAAATTACAATATAGCAAAAGTAGTTGAAAGGGTGAAAAAAAGTTACACTGAATGATAATGCTAGGACAACGCCTGCGCTGAAGAAAGCTATGTACACATACGCAAGGGGAGCAAGGTGGAGGTTATAAGGTGAGCACGTAACAAGATACTTGTAGGAAGTGTTAAGACAATAGTAGAATAAAAAATTTGGCGTTGTTTATCTTTCTCTTTTGGGATCTTAGTATATAGAACCTGCAGATGATAGGGCACAAACAGATGGCAAATTGTGAAATAATGATATTTATCGGATTTGAAAAAGTAAGAGGGGAATAATAGTCGTCATTCGGAGAAGAGGGTAGATTGCGAGATCAAAGTGGGTAAAGGGGGTGAACATAAAGATGATGGTGAAGGGTGAAGGGCTTGGAGGAGTTGAATGCGATGATACAATAGTTATTTGAGGTAGGGACTTCATCTCGCATGAAATGAACATATTTATTCATCTGCAGACAACTTTTTATATCACTTCAAAACCCGCGCTCTCAATCATTGATAAGTCGATCGATCAGATTGCCTAATTTACGGACAATCTGGAGATCTTATCAAGATCGAGCATGCGCTCTTGGCAATTTAGGGCATGAAAGCTCCACAAGTTGAAGCAGGGCTTCATTAGTGGGGGATCAAAATCCAATGATTTGGCCTGGTATGAACAAGGCTCTTGATAGGAACAGCCACGCAGATAGTGCCGAGCCAGTGCCTTCTTAGCTGAGGCTACTGATTGATATTAACTGGCTACTTCATGTGTTGGTCGTGGAACGACCAATAGAGCTGGTCTCATTACCACCCTTAACAGACATGGTTTCAGCTGTTTCACGATTGGCGTTTTGGCAGTTCTGGTCGTTCTGAGTATATTGAGTTGGTGTTGAAGCGTGGTCGTCTTCAGTTATATTGGTGGAGGAAGTAGCTTCCGGATTCGGCTCCCCATTCAATGAGGTCAGGCCCCCTTCAATATCTCGAAGAAGCCGCACAAACTCCTCTGGCACAAGTCCGTTCTCTCCAGTCTTGGGATCCTCGGCTACCAACCAGCCATGTCCATGTCGGTAAGAGATGTAGATCACCTGGCCCTCGGTGAGAGGGAGCTCGTTTTCGTGCTCTCGGGTGAAGTCGAATAATGCAACAGCCTTGCCATGCATTTCTTCGTCAGGACAGCCAACAGCGAATTGGTAGTCGTTTGCGTAGCGATCCCCACTTACATATTCATCCTCGGACTCCAGATCTCCATCAGGTGCGTATCCTGGCTGATTTCCTTGGTGCGAGAATTGTCCTTCATTTGGTGGATATGTGATGTATTCACCACCTGGGCCATCTTCAATTGCATCGCCACCATTCACATAGTATGTCTCACTGCCGTCCGGATTCAAGCCAACGAATGTGCCACGCTCTGTTAATCCAGGTCCTCCCATGTGTTCGTCTGCGATGCCATTCAAGTTGATGACAGTGGCCCTCTTGCGATGGCGCGCCGAGAGTACCACTGGGCTATGCAAATCTTCGTCTTCACTATATGGAGGACCATCTCCAAATGACATAGCGGGAAGTTGTTGAGTCCCATTACTGTTGCTTATACTGATGCTGTTGCTATCTGTGTTCCACGCCGGAGCGTCTGCCCATGGGCCCCGTGAGGTATCCCACGATGTCGGTGGGTCGGATAAGCGACGATATTCGCTCACTGGTGTGGAGACCCCGGAGACTGGGGGTGGCGGTCCATAGTGCAGAGGGTGAATCGGTGGGTAGGCAAAGTCTCGCACGAGGGCGTAGGGAAGACTTGAATGGAAGATGGGAAATACGTGGGAGCCTGGGCGCGAGAGATTCTGTGTAGTGAATGAGAGGTTCGAGTATGTGGAAAGTCGATCATTCGCTCGGGACGATTGATTCACTGTTGCATCTGTGAGGATGGGTGGGAGAACCGACAAGCTGTTGGTGGAGAGGCTGTTCGGCGAGGGCGCCGGAGATGACATCTTGGGAGAGAGAGGGATTTGAACGAGGAAAGAAGCGCTTCAAGGTCTCAGTCAAGGGGTGTAGGTTGAGTTCATCGATCACATTCGCTGGAACTCTATTGTTGCATTGCGATTGGCAGGCGCGCAGATGGGATCGTACTTGCGACTCCAATCGAAGCTTGAAAGGATTTGACAGGTTTGAAACACAGACAAAACTCGAACACAAAGAGTGGAATAGAATGTGACGCAGGTTGCCAAGCGCAATCCACACAAGGCCGACGTTGTTTTGACCACCCAGCACCAATAGGGTGTGGACGATGTCCCGGTGCGGTAATCGTAAAATCGGCAAAAGGTTGAAGAGGGGGGGTAGGATAGGACGTTTTAGGACGTGGGGACCTCCGAGTCACGAGTCACAAGTCCGAATGAGGAAATGCAAGAGCAGACCCCACGTTTGATTGGAGTTAAAAGACAAGAAAAGGTTTAGTATTGGGATGAAAGTGCACTTCTGGGGAACTCGGAACGATGGTTATTCCAGTGTCCCGCAAGTGTTTGAGGTTCGAATGCTAAATATAGACAGAAACTGTTCTGCGTCAGCTACAAATGCAACACAAGCACAGCGCTTATGCGGGACCATCAGAGTGATCAAGGAACAGACTGAATAGTAAACATCTTTGGTTCCTTTCTTCGAGGGAGTACTGCGTACCTTCTTACTTCGGATGGTCCACCCCTTCAGGGTTAATGATCAGCGCAAATGAAAGTGTGGAGACCGAAATTCCTCGGGCCGCTGTGCAGCAGAGTTTTGGAATCGGTGGTGAATACAATGAAGGCAGTACAATTCAAATAAACTCCCTATTTGAGCGATCGCAAGACAAGCCTCCTTGTGTGAAATGAAGCTTCGCGGGGCTTAGGTTCTCCATCACGTGATGGTGTGTTTCAGGCTTGTTGAGCTATTCCGCTTTGGGAAATTCGTACGAACTATATTAAGTACATTTTCACTCCTTTTGAGAGCACTAGTCTCTTACTATTGATTAGTTTGCCTCCGTCAATTTTAATATGATAAAATCAGATGATACTTCAGGTTGCTCACTATTCAGAATTCTAAGGAATTCCTAGTCTATTCTGAGAGATATTCATATTCAAGCGGTTATTAATTCAATGAGATCGTCTGATATCGATCAATGACAACAGTCACGGTCCTGAATACGGTCTCCCAGCTAGTCACAGTGACTGTAGGAAGAGAAGTTGAAGGCTGAATAGATGAAGTTACTGATTCTTTTTCAAGTGTTGAAGTACCCGTGGATATTTCCGGGTTTGGCGCAGTTATCGTGACCATGATGACAGAGAAAGTTTCAGTGGGAGAAGGACTGGAAGTAGCAGTGGGACTTGAAGTAGTCTCAGTTTCCTGAGCCTGTTCACTGAACACTTCAGCAAACTCTGACGGAATAGCAGCCTCATTAAGATCCTGCCCAAGGTCATAGTCATCACTCTCATCATCCACTCGCATCTGACTCTGGGATGCGGCCTGCACATCCACATCCATGCAGGTGGTGTAGATCTCTTTCTTGCCATTGGGATAATTGGGATCGACCCCCGCCGCAGTCGGCCAGTCCCACACCCAGTAAAGGGTGTACAGCTTTCCAGTCGGGGCGTTCGATGGCAGCTGGATGTCCTGTTGACACCAGAGGTTGGCACCCATTAACTGATTGGCCTGGTGTGGATATTCCTCCTGGCGAGACTGGGAGATGTTGCCAGAGTTGATCTGGTAGCAGCGGCCGTCGTCGAAATTTTGCTTGGATAAGAGCACACCTCGCTTGTCTCCGCCCGTTCCTTCCGCATTCCATTGTCCATGGACGTCCAGTAGTTTTTCTCCAACCTTGGGCTCTGTTGTCCCATAGACGTAGACTGAGCCCCGATTCTCTGGCTTTCCAGGTTGGTTCCATGGTAGAGTGACGTGGCCATTTTCCTGGTACCTGAGTGCAATCGCAGCGCCAGCGCTAGCTTGCAATCGAGGACTCCCACTTGTTTGATTCTGGATCTGTTGTGTGCTCTTGCACAACTTGGCGGTTGGATAAATTACTGTAACATTTGACTGGGTGTTTGGCGGTATCAAGTTGGTCATAGTCAAGTCGCTGAACCCAGATGTCGTCCGAAGGTAGTTTCCTCGTGCATACCCTGGAGATCCGATAAATGTCCCATTGGAGGCAATCACTGTGAGCTGTTCAACCCAGGAATGGGCGTTGGCATATGCGAGGAAAGCGAGGATTGATATTTGTCGGATAGACATGTTGTGCGATGTTTGTAAAGTGTATTTGGATAGAATGCAAGTAGACTTGGTTAGGCAGGAGAAAAAGAGCCGACCAGCGGTATGATTTTGAAAAAAAGAGTGTATGGAAGAAGGAAAGAAAAGGCAAGAAGAATTGAAGGGCCTCTACATTAAATAAAAGGATGGTGAATCAGCGGGTGAATGAGCGACTGCCTTTGTCTGCCTGAAGTGGAAGTAAATGAGAGGAACAATAAGCACAATAGACGATTAGAAGACCACTTTCTTTAGATTTGCCCAAAACATGTTGAGGCTTAAAGTGTTAAAGAAGAAATCATCAGGGTGCAATGATTCTACCCTCTTAAACCAGTGAGGCGCAAAGAGTGTAAAGATTATGTAAATATAGGGTTGTTAGAAGAGTCGGCGTTACGCCTCTGGAGTAACCCAAAACTATTAAGATTGAAATCAAGCCAGTGTCTCCTGGCTCCACGGTCCAGGGCTCTCAGGACCAAGATTGTGGAATAATTGACATTATGAAACGATCAAGACCTCTACAGTTGATCAAAATAGTCCGAAAAGCTTAGCTATGGAAAAGAACAATCAAGATGATTGGATATGGAGAGAAATAGGGATGTCTCACAGTTGCAGAAAGTGATAGAATGAAGATCTATTAAAGGTAATTTTTTATCTTTGAGACAAGCTGCAAGACATGACTCCTGGCGCTTAAAAGGGGATTCGATATGCAGTAGATCTGCAGCCTCATCCATTTTAGCCTGACTTTTGAGGCTGTCTTATACGTAACATCAATAATCCGATAGACCATATTTCAGCCACTTCTGCAGTGATCATTATTACTACTTGCAAGGTTTCTTCTATTCTGCTTGCCGTGTTCAATTCACCCCACCTTGCGACATGCAGGCAGCAGTAATGTCTATCATGTCCACAGTATCTTGCTTTTTCTGAGATGAAGACAAAGTACCAAAACCCTCGGCTCCGTCAACTTCCGTTTGACGGAGATCTTCTCGCGTATACCACTTCTATGTATACCTATTTACTCACTATTTCGGTAACTATTTCGGCGATTATTCCGGATCCAACCTGGAATTAAGTTATAACTGTCCAGATACCTGACCGGGGTGGATATAATTGACGGATCTTCCGGATCTGACTTGTAGATATGGAATTATCTGATTCTCCGGTTGCTCCACCCGGTGGGTTCCATGTTGGCTTGTGCACCGAGTCCTGTTTGACACGGGCAGCCGACTGATCATTGGCCTACTCTAGGGTTATTTCGATAGAAGAGTCAAGACCATGGTGGAAAAAGCAAGTACACAGTACTCTGTAAGGGAGTGGAAGTGGAGCTGACTGCATCTTACTGTCGACACGTCATTTATGGGTTATCGTCTTCCGAATGTTCCCCATGAAGCTAAAATAGTCGAATTGAAGGATTCTAACAGCGCAAACAAAGTCCACAGAAGTATGAATGAACCGTGGAAGCTTAACTCGGGTAAAAGGGGTCTTGTTGATAGAGCTTGATTTGGTTTGTTCAACACATTGTTATCGGGAACATAATTTCTTGGATTCAGGTGATTATATGACTGACAGATGACTTATTGAAATATGAATGATAATCGAGTATCCTTATAATGAAGATAAATAGCATGAAGAGGTACATTTGTAGCGGTGTGTGTGTTGTTCCTCGGCGATACTTAATTCCAGTGGCGCAGCGGGACACTAATTTATTTGGCTTCTCAGGGGGTCGTGCTCCTCTTCAGATCTCCATTTCAATAGCGTGCTTCTTTTTTCCTTATTTTTTCCTTATTTTTTCCTTTCCCCTGTCATTCTGGCATTCTGGTATGAAACATTACTACAACCTCTATTCAATTACTATACTAATTGATTGCAGTTGCGAAGAATCACCTCGTTTATACCACATGCGGTCCAAGATCTAAGACTTGGTTTCGAGACTCTTTCGCTTCGGTTTTGCTAGAAGGCAATTGTATCAGCGGTAGCTACTTATAGGTGTTTGATCCCGTAGACCGTCTGATCCTCCACTCTCTATCCTCGCACTCAACGTCTTCAACAGTCGCTTGCACTGCCTCAACGCAATGGCTTCCTCGCTCATCTCCAAGAGACTCGTCTCGTCCGATGTGGACAAGAATGTGGAGCCTAGTTGGATTCGGCGCCAGGTCACCAATGGGCTTGAATGTATCTCACGTCGTGCCTGTGTCCACCCGATTCATACAATTGTTATCATTGCTCTACTCGCTAGCACCACCTATGTCGGCCTGTTGGAAGGAAGCTTGTTGGATACTACGCTGAACCCCCGTAACGTTGCCGGCCAGGTGGATGTGAATACCCTGCTCCGAGGAAGTAGAAGTCTGCGATTGGGCGAGTCAACCGCCTGGAAGTGGCAGACTGGTGATAAGTGGGCCGAGATCACGGTGAGTACCCCAAGGTCTCCAATATTGAATTCTTAATTTATCTCTGACCGAAAAAACTACAGGAGGTTGAGGAGCCTTCGGTTGAACACCTCGCCTTGACTACCTTTATCTTCCCCGATTCTAACTCCAAGTCTGATCTGACTGCCCCGACCGCGGATGATGTACCAATCCCTGCCAATGTCTCTTCTTTCTCGGTTCCCTACACCCCCAACGTCTTCTCTCCATTCTCCCACGACTCCGCTCTCGCATACACCGTTCCATTTGATCAACTGCCTGAATTCCTCAAGGCTGCGCAAGAAATTCCCGACTCTTCCGCCGAGGAGCACGAGGAAGAGTCGAAAAAATGGATCATGAGAGCTGCTCGCGGTGCGGGGTCTCGAACTGCCATGAAGCTGTGGTTGGTAGATGCGTGGACCTCGTTCGTGGACCTGATCAAGCACGCGGAGACCATTGATATTGTCATCATGACTCTCGGTTATATCTCCATGCACTTGAGCTTTGTCTCCTTGTTCTTCTCCATGCGCCGATTGGGCTCGAACTTCTGGTTGGCCACCACCGTGCTGATCTCTGGATCCTTCGCTTTCCTGTTCGGTCTTTTGGTGACCTCCAAGCTCGGTGTCCCGATTAATCTTCTGTTGCTCTCTGAAGGTCTTCCTTTCCTAGTTGTGACCGTTGGTTTCGAGAAGCCCATAATGTTTACCCGTGCTGTTCTCAATGCTTCAGTGGAAGCCCGTTCTCGCCCCGGTGCGGCCCCAGGTACATCGGGTTCCATCCAAGAATCTATTGCCATTGCCATCAAGCAGCAGGGTTTCGAGATCGTCCAGCACTACTGCATTGAGCTTGGTCTCTTGGCCATGGGTGCTGCATCTGGCGTGCAGGGTGGTCTCCAGCAGTTCTGCTTCTTGGCCGCTTGGGTTCTCTTCTTCGACGGTGTGCTTCTCTTCACCTTCTACACCACCATTCTGTGCATCAAGCTGGAGATCACTCGTATCAAGCGCCATGTTGCCCTGCGCAAGGCCCTGGAAGAAGACGGCATCACTTACAATGTAGCGGAGAGTGTGGCTTCAAGCAATGACTGGCCTAGCTCCAGCTCCGGAAGCATTGATGACACCAGCATTTTTGGTCGTAAGATCAAGTCAAGTAGCGTTCGCCGGTTCAAGATCTTCATGGTCGGTGGTTTGATCTTGATCAACATTGTGAATTTGTCTGCAATCCCCTTCCGGAACACCGGCCATGGTGCTCTCATTACCCGTCTGTCTAATGTTATGTCTCCTACGCCTATTGATCCCTTCAAGGTCGCCGAAAATGGATTGGATGCTATCTACGTGGCTGCTAAGAGCCAGAAGCAAGAAACTATTGTCACCATTCTCCCCCCGATCAAGTACAAGCTTGAATATCCGTCTGTTCATTACTCAGATGACGTGAGCAGTTCATTCCACATTGAATACAGTGAACAGTTCCTCGACTCTGTTGGTGGCAAGGTTCTTGATAGTTTGCTCAAGAGCGTGGAGGACCCCTTGATCAGCAAATGGATCATTGCCGTGCTTACTCTCAGTATCATTCTTAACGGTTATCTTTTCAACGCTGCCCGCTGGAGTATCAAGGATCCTGAGACTGTCGTTGTCACCCCTACGGAGCCAGAGGCACCTAAGGTGTACCCCAAGTTTGAACCCAACGAGCAAGAGTCCACTCGTTCACCTGCGGATTGCGAACTTATGCTGAAGGAGAAGAAAGCTCCTCACTTGACCGATGAGGAGTTGATCGATCTCTCGCTGCGCGGCAAGCTTCCTGGATACGCCCTTGAGAAGTCCATGGAGGATGAGACCCTGATGAGCCGCGTGGATGCCTTCACTCGCGCGGTCAAGATCCGCCGTGCTGTCGTTTCTCGTACCCCCATTACTGATACCACCCGTTCTCTGGAGGTCTCTAAGTTGCCTTATCAGGATTACAACTATGGTCTCGTCCACGGTGCCTGCTGTGAAAATGTTATCGGATATCTCCCCCTTCCTCTCGGTGTTGCCGGCCCGTTGAAAATCGACGGTAAGCACTACTTCATCCCCATGGCTACCACTGAAGGTGTCTTGGTCGCCAGTACCAGCCGTGGCTCTAAGGCTATCAACGCGGGTGGTGGTGCCGTGACCGTCCTGACTGGTGATGGTATGACTCGTGGTCCCTGTGTGACTTTTCCCACCCTGGCTCGGGCTGCCGCTGCCAAGGTTTGGATTGATTCTGAAGAAGGCCGAAACATTATCACTGCTGCTTTCAACTCGACTAGTCGCTTCGCTCGTCTTCAGAGTTTGAAAACCGCGCTTGCCGGCACCTACCTCTACATTCGCTTCAAGACTACTACTGGTGACGCTATGGGTATGAACATGATTTCCAAGGGCTGTGAGAAGGCCCTCGATGTCATGTCCAAGGAGTGTGGGTTCGATGACATGGATATCATCTCGCTTTCCGGTAACTTCTGCACTGACAAGAAGTCCGCTGCTATCAACTGGACCGATGGCCGTGGTAAGTCTGTCGTGGCCGAGGCTATTATTCCTGGAGATATCGTCAAGAGTGTTTTGAAGAGTGACGTCGACGCCCTGGTCGAGCTGAATGTCAGCAAGAACTTGATCGGTAGTGCCATGGCGGGAAGTTTGGGTGGATTCAACGCCCACGCATCCAACATTGTCTCTGCCATCTTCCTTGCTACCGGACAGGATCCCGCTCAGAACGTGGAGAGCAGCAGCTGTATCACTACCATGAAGAAGTAAGTTTTTTTTTTTTTTTTTTTTTTTTTTTTTTCTCTCTCTCCGTGCGCGAACCTCTTTTACTACGTCAGCAATGCTAACATACAACCTAGTAACAATGGTAACCTCCAAATTGCTGTTTCCATGCCTTCTATTGAAGTTGGTACTATTGGTGGTGGTACCATTCTCGAGGCTCAATCTGCCATGCTAGACCTGCTTGGAGTTCGGGGAGCCCACCAAACCACCCCCGGAGAGAACGCCCGCCAGCTGTCCCGTATCATTGCGGCCTCTGTTCTCGCTGGTGAGCTTAGCTTGTGTGCTGCCCTCGCCGCCGGCCACCTTGTCAAGGCCCACATGGCCCACAACCGCAGTGCCGCTCCTACACGATCCACGACACCTGTGTCGGCTGCCGTGGGTGCCACTCGCGTTCTCTCGATGACTTCCAAATAAATGACTAGGCCAGTCCTTTCTGGTCGACGGTATGTGAGTTGATACATCGCTTCTCAGTACCCATGAATTTTCTTTTCTTTTTCCCCAAAATCATATTGGATGCAGACTGGTCTGGTGAGCATTTGCGCACCTCCCTCCTCTTCTGGCATCTGTCTCTCACACTTCCTCCTTCGATTTTGACTCCTCTGGCTTCACCTGATTTAAGAAATCTATACAGACTTCAATACAGGGTTTCCAGGGGGGATCATTTCATCGCCTGCTCCATGTGAGCATTTTTTCGGGATTTCCCTTAAACACCGCTGCGAGCGGGTACGAGTATACGCTTTCCCCCTACATTTTGTACGTAGTAATTCTCCCGGATAGATATGTCGGTCTATTAAGACCTATGACTTGTATTTTTTGTTGAATTTATTGTTGAAATCAGACTTTCTTGAGTAGTATAGTAATTGTGAGGACATCAATACCGTAATACCAGATACTGTATTCCTGCTCACATAAGCGGAGTCAGAGTCCAGGAAGGATCTAGACTTTCGACTCCTGAACTAATACCCCTGACTTTGCATTAAAAATAGGGAGAGTATTGCATTCTCATCTAATAACTGTTGTATAAAAGTACGAAGTTCGAATGTTATTTCACTGTGGCTTTGCAAAACCTAGTATTAAATAAGGGTTATTTACTATGAACTAAATAGAGACTAGTCTATTATTCATTCCTCCCTATTGACAGGTCACACTTTTTCTTGGCAACACAGTCACTTTAAGATAGTACTATGTACTAGTAGTATAGAAAATATAGAATTATAGACATTATACATATGACCCTCCAGTTCTTCTTCATCATAACTAATCGAGAAATTGATATCGGTCTAAACCTGTAGTCCTGGGCCAATCGTACTTGTAAAGTCGTTGACTGCACTACACGCAAGGAATTCGGCGGGTCCAGTCTAACGGACTTAAAACTTTCCCTCCTTCCCTTTTTTTTTTATCTGTATTTAACCCCTGGCGTGCCCTTCGGCGGTTCTTGTTTCAGACTTTAAGATCGGGGAAAACACAATAAACTGGGTCCTGTGCGGTGAAAGGCGATTGTACGGGTCTCGACCACTTCCCCTGTTGGACCTTTTACAAAACTCTAGACTTCTCTTCTGTCACGACCCACGATATGAATGGCCATTCGGGTGCCATGTCGCCCGTTTCAGTCAGTGGCAGTGACTGGTCCGGTATCAATCAATATCAAAAGCCAAACGAACCGCCCTTTTCGCCCACATTCCCTTCACGAGGAAACCTATCTACGCCTCCAAACGCCGGCGTACCAGTACCATTGAGTCCCAATAGCACTTCCCCTCTAGTCACCAGTAATCCATCTCCACCCAGTTCGGTAGCCGCAAGATCCAGTGTCGGAACGGCACCGGGGGATAAGGAACGAGATGGAGGCCGACGGCGTCGACAAATGGAGGAGATTCTAGGTCAGCACTACGTAGCGCTGAAGCGATTCCTCAGTGCGACCTACCGTGAGGACCGCGCAAACGGTCGTTCAAATAAGGCCCGCGATAAACTTCTTCGACTTTCACCAACTCAGTTCCACGAACTGAGTACTGATGTCTACGACGAGCTTGTCCGCCGACAGCAAGCCAATCCTCCTCCCGGAAGACCGCCTCGTCCTGATATCCCTTCTTTCCTCCCCGCACGCACCGATTTCCACGAGAAGCGGAACCATGCCCGTTCAAAGCTTGCCTCGCTCCAACACCAGCGCTTTCGCGATCTCGCCACGGACGTCTTCTGCGAGTTGGAGCGCCGCTTCCCGCACTTCACCCGTGGACGACCGCCGCCAAACATGCCACCCGGATCCCGGAGCTCACAGCGCGGTCCTGGCGCTCGCCCTCCTGGTTCTGCTGGATTCCCTCCGCGACAAGGGTCTCTCGGACCTCCGTCTCCTGGAATGAACGGGGATGGACCGCTTCCGCGATCATTTCAAAGCAATACTATGATCCCTAATAAGAGTACGATGGTGGAGGATAGCGATGATATGGGGGACGACGACGATGATGCCCGCAGTGACGCATTTGCGCTAGATGCGGTCTTGAGCCGGCGGGGCACTACTACGACTCTGGGTGATAGTGAGCGTAAATTGCTCCTAGAGAGCCAAACGCAGGTATCATCTTTGCTTGAACAAGTTGAAAAATTGGAGGAGTTGGTTCGCTCGAAGGATGAGGAGCTGGCTCGGTCTCGGGACTTGGATCAGTCTGGAGTCAGTCACAGCGAGCGCCAGGAATGGGATGATCTTCGTGCGGATCTGGAGAGTAAGGTCATTAAGGCTGAGGATCTTAACAGCTCGCTCCAGCTTGAATTGGAGAGAGTTCGTGCCGAGCATGAACACATGGAGCGTCAAGTTTCCGGCGGTTCTGAGGATGAAGAATTGACTTCCAGGTATGCCGACTTGGAGAGTAAGCATCAGAGCCTGCAGGAGGAACTGCAACAACAGCGCGAGGTCACTGCGCAGGTTCGCCAGGAGACTTCGAAGTTCCTTATGGAAATGAAGACTCTTACTGCACAGAGTCACTCTAATTACGAGCGAGAAGAGAAATTGGCTAATGATGTTCACCGGCTTGAGAACGAGCTTCATGATTGGAAGAATCGTTATGCAAAGGCTAAATCACAGTTGCGTCATCTTCGCACATCTTCTGGTGGAATCTCTGATAATCAACCTGACGCCAGCTTCGTTACCAAGGAACATGAACTGGTGCAGCACGACGGTGTAGTTAGTGACATTCATGTGACCAAGTTCCAGATGTCCATCGACGGGCTGCTCCGCGTTGCACGATTTGAAGATCCTAGCGAGGTCATGCAGCAGATCAAAGTTGTCATAATGGCTGTCCGCCATATTATCCAAGATGTGGACCAGGCTCCGCCTCCGGTTGACGGCACGGCAGTCTTGCGCACCAAGTCCAAGGGCCGTGTGTCTGCTACCGCCAACAACATTATTACCGCTTCTCGCAACTATGCCACTTCCGGAGGTCTCTCGCCCGTCTCGTTGCTGGATGCTGCCGCATCTCATCTCTGCACTGCTGTTGTAGAGCTAGTCCGAGTGGTAAAGATCCAGGCCTCGCCAGCAGACGATCTAGATGATGAAAACGTGGACGTGGAACTTTCCCAGGAGAAGTTCCCTGACTATCTCAGCACAACAGCCAGTCAAAGACCCTACAGCAACCACTCTGAGTACAGCGCCATGAGTGCTCCCGACCATCCTTCTATGCAAAATGGATTTACAAACGGGTTCGACTATGGCGCCCCGCAAGAGGACCACGAGATCCAAGAGCTAAAGGTCAGCCACGCGACATACACCCTTACTCAACCCACACATGATACTAACTTATAATTTCGCAGTTCTACGTGGAAGACCAGACAGACGGTATGGTCCAAAACATCCAGTCGCTGGTTGCTAGTATCCGGGCCGATCAAAGCCTAAGCATAGTCGAGACCCACCTTTCTGCCATCGACAACGTCGTAGCAAAGGTAGTCTCGGCTATAGAGCAGCTAGCCCACGAACGCAGCGGCGATGTCACGTTACGAGAACGGTGCGAGCCGATTATCCAGACCCTGGATGAATGCCGCAGTCGGTTGATGAACACTGCTGCTGAGGGCCATGAAACTGGTAGTCCTGAGCAACTACGTGAAGTGATTAACCATCTGCCTCCTATCGCATTCGAGATTGCCCGCCAGACTAAAGAACTTGTTTCTCGTCTTGAGTCCTTGGCCCTTGGAGAAGATGATGACTTCCGATGATTTTGATGTCTCTGCGTGAATCTACGAGGGCACTGCTGAACGCTTCTTTCCCCCTCACCTTGTGTGAGATATGCTCTTTTTTTTTTACTTTTTTTTTTTACTTTTTTTTTTTACTTTTTAAAAACTCCCTTTCAATCTGGCTTTTGAGCGACTATCATCTGTGGCAAAAAAAAAAGAGCCGACAATGTCGAAATGATGGCGTCGCATTCCGTTTTCCCCTGTTTTTCTTCCTATAATCATTTCTTTTCTTCATCTTCATCTTTTCTATCCTGTTCTCTTCTATACTTTTTACATCTACTTTACATTCACCCTTTTCCTTCTGATATATGGCACTTTCTTCTCCATATTCATTGTATTACTTTACTTCATTTCTCTTCTCTTTTTGGGTCTTTGATCTTTAGCTATTCTATTTTTTTGTCTGTTTCTTGTATCACCCTGCCTTTACTGGTGGCTAAATAGTTCTTAACTTTAACTTGAAATACATGTATACCTATTGGGAAGGATAGAAATTTAGAAGCCTTGATTAGCGTTTTCCCTTTCCTCTTCTTTCGATTATTATATAAGCTCTTGATAGACTGTGTACAGGTAGCGAACCATCTAGGTTGGAACATGTGAGTGAAACATGAAACAAATCCCCTACCCGACCTCTTTACCGCCTTCTTGACGGACATTTTGATGGTCTTCCAAGGACGCTTCAAAGATCCATTCTTCTTGGCGGCCTTCAACATAGAAACCACAACAAGTGAAGGCTGTCTCGGTGGGACAGGCTTTCGCTTTACCGGAGCCCCATCTTCGCCATGCGTCACAGTCAGAAAGACAGGGACCATGTGCCAGACTTAAATTCCCTGCTCTCAGCTCAACACATTGAGTCGTGAAAGAACAACCGTCCTTTAGAGTCCTGAACCATTTAGTTCATCGTGGTTGATGTTGACAGTGTCAGTGTCGACGCATGCACTTAATACAATTTGTTCTCTTGACAAAGCATGCAATTGCAAGGTTGCACTAGAACTGTCAACCAGTTCAGGTAATATCCGCCCCTTCTTTGTCACACCAAGTCCCCTCGATGGTGTTTATATCCTGTGTTCTGAAAGTTCGGTGCTCTAGAGACTAGTAGAGCCGATCTATTGACTGAGATGTGAAAACTTCGAGGGGAGGTGTCTTCCTCGTCAGACGATTGGCAAGTCGGTGCTCTCGAATAGATCAGAGGAGTGAAAGGCAGAACCGATATCAGGGGCTTTGCGCCTTCAGCACATCCATGAATTCGATATTTCCAATCTGGCAATGATTTCATACTCCACTTGGTTCCGTTTCTTCCAGGCTGCGAGTATTGTCTCCAGAAAAAAAATGTGGCTTCTTCTGCTATTCCTTTCTTTCGCAGAAACGAGTGTGTCCACTGTGGTTGAGGATAAGGAGCAGATCCTACCTCGAAAATATGGCATGATGAAGGTATCAGGAGGGAAGGGTGCGTCCATCGTAGAAAGTTGACGAGGTATTGGCATGAGCATCTTTTCCAAGACCATACCCACAATATATAATAATGATATATTGTAGTTGCTAGATCATTTTTACCATTGCTTTAATCCGACAAACAGATTTCAAGAAGAGTAGAGGTCTGAAGGTGTTGAAAAAGGAAAGATATGAGGAGGAGATTCTTGAAGATATAGTTTTAGGTGGTGAGAAAGGAAGTAATAGGAATGGATGATTGGCGTTTATATGTGGACAGACTGAGGTGGGATATCGGTGAAAGGAGCTGAAGTGAATAAGAGCATTAGAAGTGAGAGTGAAAGTGAGAGTGAAAGTGAGAGTGAAAGTGAGAGTGAAAGTGAGAGTGAAAGTGAGAGTGAAAGTGAGAGTGAGAGTGAGAGTGAAGAGGAATTTCAAATGAGAAAGGAGAAGAACTTACCTAGGTGGTGTTCAGATGATGTTGAGTTCGCTAACCACGCACTCTGATTAGTAGTCACAACATGCTCCCCAGCGTCAGTGACAGCGTGGTAGTTCAAAGTTCGTCGTTCCTGAGCAGGAGGTTAGGTTGTTGCAACATGGGAAAGATATAATTGTGCTTTTGGAAATTGGCAATTTGTTCCTCACATAGGTCCACGGGTGTGATATGGGTAGAATGAATTTGAGAATAAGAGGTTTTTGTCTGATTACACATTCACTTTACCTAGGTAATTGACATGAAATAAGCTGAACATCATTGGCATTGGCATTGGCGCTGTGGTAGGGGCCTCACACAATACCGAACAGTCCTTGTAACAACGCATTGCGTTTGCTGGAGACCTAGGTCTTGTTTGCTATTTGTCTAAGCAGTGAACAGGCGTAGAGAGGATTCCAAGGCTGGAAGTCTGAAAATGGTGAGAAAGGAAAGATGAGGGATAGATGTTTAGGCAGGGTCGTGGAAACTGGAGTACCTAGGTATGTATATGCATATAGGTAAGGCATCTAGCGAATGCAGAGAAAAACTTAGAAGGAATGAGAAACTCAAGAAAAACCCTGGAAGAGTATCTAGGCAAGAGTGAGAATGAGAGTGAAAAAGATAGTGAGATAACAAGTAAAAATAACTCAGTAGGTATAAAACGTCCTTGTCGGAATACCTACGTAACACTTTGATCGCTGCAATCTGTACTAGATCTTTACTTATACTCTACGGAATATAAACAATGGACATTATGAATCCTGCTTCAAGGAGTATGCATGACTAGCTCAGGAGACTGTCTAGATCATATCAAATATAAAGGAAAGCTACCGAAGGAAACCGCCAGTCCGCGGCACAAGTCGCAAATTTCAGCAGGAAGACTCACGCTCCAAAGAGACACAACCGCGAACTAAATCTTTACAAAGATCTAGCTTACAGCTCACCACAATCAACGATGGTGGGCTTGACGGCGGAGCGAATGGATCCAGAGGAAGAGCCGAGGGACTCAATCTCCTCAACAACCTTCAGAGAAGCATCATCAGCGACCTCGCCGAAGACGACGTGCTTGCCATCGAGCCACGAGGTGACAACGGTGGTGATGAAGAATTGGGAGCCGTTGCTGAAAAGAAAACATAATCAGCACAAATGTCTCACTAAAGTCAGTTGGACCATAAACTCACGTGTTGGGACCAGCGTTGGCCATGGAAAGCAGACCGGGGCGGGTGTGCTTGTACTTGAAGTTCTCATCGGGGAACTTCTCACCGTAGATGGAACGGCCACCGGTGCCCTAGATTGCAAAACGACCAAGTTAGTTAAGCTCTGGTGTCTGGGAACATAAGGTGCCGTGATTAAGGGGTTACTTACGTTTCCGCGGGTGAAGTCACCACCCTGGAGCATGAACTGGGGAATCACACGGTGGAAAGTAGATCCCTTGTAGCCCTGGCCCTCGGCGGCCTTGCAAAGCTCACGGAAGTTCTTGGCGGTCTTGGGAACATCAGCCTCGTAGAGGTTGAAGTTGATACGGCCAACCTTGGCTGGATACAGGATTAGAGCCAATTCAGATCATTGAGATGAGTGGTTATGAATCGAAAGGAGGGGGATCAAGTCATTTTTTTCAACCAAAAGGGAACAGGTTTTCTCACGACTACCCCTCCATCACAATTGAGGAGCTGTAAAAAAAGAAAAGTTAATACTTACGGGTGCTGGAGCCGACAGGGGCGTACTGGACGTCGAAGAAGACCTTAGTGTTGGACATGGCTGCTGATGATGCGAATGATCGATAGGCAACAGGGTGGAAAGAACAATTGAGAGAAGAGAAGAGGGAGGGTGGGGTTGACTTGAGGCGGCAAAACATGATGAGGGGCAGAACGGATCGGAATAACTCGGGGTGCCGAACTGTATTGGGATTAGCTTCTAGGGAACGCGGGATGGATCTTTAGTGCAGAATGAATTAGATGCCTCAGGCCTATATAGGAAACGAAGCACCAAGGGCAATAGCTCAGGTATAACTACCAGTTACCTTGAACCCCCAGATTGACCTTTATAATGAGATTGAGGGTGTTCGTTCAATGTGCACTTACAAATTTCAGTATTAGGTAATGGGGATTGTTGATACAAGGAGCTACAGGGGGGAAAAAAGTTCAAGCTTGACGTCGAGCTGCAAAAAAGAAGTTGTCCGGTTCCATGCTTAGTCACCCAAGCTTCCCCTTGCTTCCGAGAGTACGGAGTATTCCATGAGTAGTTCTTCTGGTCAAGAACGATCAATAATTATCATGACTACGTTATGGCTACTGAATAAGACAATTTGAATTTTGGGCTCAAATTAGTAAATTAGTAAATTAGTAAATTAGTAAATTAGGTAAAGAGACATCACAAGATGTGCGAACTCAGATAATGTCATAAACCCCATGTCGCTTAACCAATTGGACTATATACATCTGGATTTTAGACAAATGCGCTCATAGAGTATGTCGCGCGTTGCCAGTTCCGCAAGTCAACCCTCCTAGGCTAGCCACAGCACTTGGTCACAGCAGTAGCATCGTTCCTAGAATCGATATCAGCATTATGCTCTCTCGGAAAATGGGAAAGACAGTACCCATGGTTAGAAGTAACCGGCTCCCAAGAAAAGATGAAGGAGCCGAGGAATGCGCCGATGAAGATGCAGATGATAATGTACCCGTTGAAGTACATAGCTAACAGCATAACAATGTACGCGACGGCAAACTGCATTGTGTGAAGCAACGCGCGAATCAGTTGCTCAACGAGAGAAGGACGGTATGGTCCCAAGGTAGTAGTAGCCTTTCCATTTTCGCACTGGCTACTGCTAGCAGCTGCAACGACTGTGGCACTGTTGAGACCCAAGTCTTTTCCGTTCGAGTTACTATCTGGGATTGATGTGATGACACCGTCAGACGCATCGCCGTTGTCGCCTGTGATCTTCACTGTATGGCTGTTTTGGGTAGTCTGGCTGGTGAGGCCAGAGACAGAACCGGACAAGTACATTTCGCGCAGACGGGCCCGGCGTACGACGAAGGCATCGTACTCTCGGCCGAGGCGACGCAGGAACTCGAGACAAACGACGAGAAGGATTGCGCCGATGCAAGCGCCAGCGAAATTGCCAGTCGATCGGATGTGCCAGGAATTTGAAATGAAGCCTGGTTTGTTAATCGTTATATCATGATTTGTCTAAACTGATCAGTTGCATACATGCATCAATCGTATGCCAATTCCAAAGCATCTAGTAGGCTCAGATTAGCTATATTTAATCACGTAAAGAAGGCTGAATAAATCTACCGAAATCTTGCAGCTCGTTTCCATGTCGCTCATAGAATCCATGATGAAAAGGTTGTGAGGAGAGGAAGTGCTATGAGAAGAAGAGGAAAACAAATAAGATGTCAACGTCGGGTAACTTATGAGCACATTTCTTATCCTAGCGTCCGAAGTGAGCACAATTGAGCAGATTCTTGTAAAATACAATACGTGAAATTAAAACATGAAAAGTCCATTTCTCTCAGTTCAACGCCTGATAAATGCATAAATCGGTATCTTTCGTCTCATCACGTTCGGTTCGATGCTTTGATTACTCCTTGTAGTAACTCGCGGATCTGGCTGCATCCATCAATTCCCACCGCCAGCATCATCTCAGCATAAGTAGAGTGAACCTTAGAGTCCATATGCATTATCTCAACCTGAGTGTCCTCCTCGTCATCATCATCATCATCCATATTATCTTCTCCGGGAATTACAGTTGTGGTACCAATTGTCATCGAAGGCAATTCCTGCTCCTCGGGAAGAGATAGATCCAAGAGCGGGTCGAGTTCATCATGTCGAGGATCCTTTGGAGTAGACGCGGTGCCACTCATGCCTGTGGTACAGCCGCACAAGAGCCCGGGCATGGGAATACCAGCATCTACCAAGGCGAGTGTGCACGCGTTTATCGCTGTCGCGAGTAGAGACCCATCAGAAGAGAGCACGGAGACGTGGATGCTAATAGTGCTATGCGGGTAAAGATAGGTAAACAAATGCGACTGGAAAGCGGCGCGGAGGATAGTTGCAATGCGCGAAGATTGTCTGTAGAGATGGATTAGCTCGATTCGGAATGCATTCCGTGGGTCTGGAGTGTCTTTTTGGCATGTCATCATCCAACACTCAAATATAGTAACAATCTTACCTGTCGCTTCCTCCAGCTTGTCGTCGTCGATCGACACCAGCGAATCCGGCGACATTGACATCCACCTCGACGACCGCACCGGCACTTCCACCAGCGTCTGCTCGGCGGCCCTCTGCAGGTCCATGGACAGAGCACATGATTGCGGTGTTTCCCATTGCTAGGTATGATGATCCGGAGCTGGCAGGGTTCGTCGAGATCTGGGCTTGCATAAGGCGCAGTTCGTTCCATCGGCGGCCGTCCAGGCGTAGTCGGGTCAGAGGGTATGTGGTGGAGGTGTCAAGAGGCATATTTGCGAGTCAGATTCTCAGCAGAGTGATTCTTCCAGGATAGAATGAGTAATGGCCGTAAACAAGGTAGTCTGAATTAGATTATGCACGGAGAACGGAGTAGTGGGGATTGAAGATTAGGAGGGAAAAAAAGAGCAGCACAGGCGTTCAAAGAAAAAGAAAATACCAATCTTATCACATGCACAGTCCAAGCCCTGGAATGTGAGCGATTGAGCGATGTAGTTCGTGTGGGGGAGATAAGTGATCGGGAGCTTTTTTTTTTCTTGGGCGGATCTGGATGACATCGCCAACTGCCACCGCCTGGCGCGCCTTCCACTTAATCTACTCCATCAACTCCGTCAACACCCTATACTTCAAAGCTGCATAAACTATCATATCGGTTATGTAGCTAAAATGGACTGTCAAAATTACCATGAGGTTATCAGCCTCGACTCGGATGATGATGATTTGGAAGCAACGCCGTATCTTGGCTCATCTACTAGTATGCACGACGCGTCCATAGATACATTTGACGCAACTGATACTTTCCCAGCCAAAGCGCCTGCCAATGTGAAACCAAAGCAATTTCCCCTCAAATCTGAACATGATGATACTCCGTTGCATCCTTCGTCGGAGGTGCCAACCGTTATCGAGTCGACGGATGATGAGTCGGACGATTTCAACGATGGCGAGGAAGCGTACAAGAAGTTCAAAGGTCGTAAGTCTCTGAAGCGTAAGCAGACTGCGGCTGCAACCCGCAGGGCAATGGTGCCCAAGAAGAAGTCTAAAGACGACGTTATCGTCGGCCGAGTGAAACTAGAAAGTTCCAAGGAGAAATCAAAGCGGTTATTGAGGGAGTACGGTGATGCCTCTTCTGATGAGGACCTCTTGGAAAACTTGCCTAAATATCTCCAACAGCGACGAGATCGTTTTGACCTCCAAAAGGAGCACCTCAAGGAGCACGGGCTAAAGCTACCACCCTCCTACGATTGCATCGATTTCTCTGATAATGAGCGCCTGGAACACTTACAGGAGAAGCCATCATTTCCAGGTAGAGAGGCACCTCGGGAGTACAAGGATATCGAATTGCCCTGTTCCATGGGCTTGGTCCCCGCTCCAATTGCCCAGTGGCTGCGACAGTACCAGGTGGACGGAGCCGCCTTCCTTCACGAGCTATTTGTCTATCAAAAAGGCGGCATTCTAGGAGATGACATGGGTTTGGGCAAGACTATCCAAGTCATTTCATTTTTGACAGCTGCGTATGGCAAGACGGCGGACGAAAGAGACGCTAAAAGAATGCGTAAGATGCGGAGAGCCGATAATAATGCTTGGTACCCACGGACATTGATCATCTGTCCCGGCACTTTGATTTCAAACTGGATCGCAGAACTCCAGCGATGGGGGTGGTGGAACGTCGACGTTTATCACGGTCCGAGCAAGGATATTGCCCTCCATGCCGCAAAATCTGGACGAGTTGAAATAATGATCACGACCTACACAACCTATGCCAATAACAAGGATGAGGTAAATATGGTGGAATGGGACTGCGTGGTGGCGGATGAATGCCACAAAATCAAGGAACCAAAAGCAATTGTGACGCAAGCGATGAATGAGGTCAACGCTCTCTGCCGTATTGGCCTAACAGGCACTGCGATTCAAAACCGGTACGAGGAGCTATGGACACTCCTCAATTGGACAAATCCCGGCAAGATTGGGCCTCTGTCAGCATGGAAGGCACAGATAGCAGTACCGTTAAAGATTGGACAGTCCCACGATGCTACTGTGAATCAGCTCAGCAAGGCGCGGCGCGTTGCAAAAATGCTAGCCGAGAACTTGCTGCCGCATTTCTTTCTTCGCCGAATGAAGAGCCTTATTGCGGATCAGTTGCCCAAAAAAAGCGACCGAGTAGTTTTTTGTCCCTTGACTGAGACCCAGGCAGATGCCTACGAAAACTTCTTGGATAGTGTGTTTGTACAGATCATCCAGAAATCCACTGAAACATGCGACTGCGGATCCAAGAAGAAGGCCGGGTGGTGCTGCTATATGTTTATACCCGGAACCTCTATACGGTGGCAGTCCTACGTCTTCCCTGCCATTACGATTCTTCAAAAGATCAGCAATCACATCGCCATTATGATTCCACAAGGGAATGACCCCAGAGAAAAGCAGGAGAAAGAAAAGGAGATGCTTCAAGTTGCACTGCCAGACCAGTGGGAAGCGCTGTTCCGCTCCCGTGACTCAATTCTAAACTTTGCAAATCCAGAGTTCTGTGGCAAGTGGAAAGTCCTTCGCAAACTGCTAAAGTGGTGGCACTCCAATGGAGACAAAGTCCTTGTTTTCTCGCACAGCTTGCGGCTATTAAAGATGCTGCAAATGCTGTTCAACAACACCAGCTACACTGTGAGTTACTTGGATGGTTCCATGAAGTATGAGGACCGGACCAAGGCTGTGGACGAGTTTAATTCCGATCCGAATCAGTTCGTCTTCCTCATCTCCACGAAGGCTGGTGGTGTCGGATTAAACATTGTCTCGGCAAACAAAGTAGTCGTTGTGGACCCCAACTGGAATCCTTCATTTGATCTCCAAGCCCAAGACCGAGCCTATCGAATCGGTCAACTCCGGGATGTCGAAGTCTTCCGGCTTATTTCTGCTGGCACAATCGAAGAGATTGTTTATGCCCGGCAAATTTACAAGCAGCAGCAAGCGGAGATAGGCTATAACGCCAGCTCCGAACGACGCTACTTCAAGGGTGTACAGGACCAAAAGGACCAAAAGGGTGAGATATTCGGCATGAAGAATCTCTTCTCATATCAAAATGACAACATTGTCCTGCGTGATATAGTCAATAAGACCAATGTTGCAGAGAGTCGAGTGGGCGTTCAGGTGATGGACGTCGCCTTTGAATTTGATGCCGAGGAAGACTACACTCTAAAGTCGGAGGATGAAGCGATGAGCCAGCTAACAGCTGAGATCTGCGGCGAGAGCAAAGAAGAAGAATCGACCAAGAAAAAGGAACGGTCAGCACAAAAACATGACCCTGTCCAGGCAATTCTTGCGAGCGCGGGCGTTGAGTATACACATCTCAATAACGAAGTGATTGGCTCCTCCAAAGTGGAGGAGCAGCTCAGTCTTAACGCAAAGAGAATACACAACGATCCTGACGCCGATTTCCAGGTTTTTGACCGAACTTTCACCAAACCCCTGCCGACTGCAGCTCCTAACTCTCATTTCGATGTTTTGAATGGTGATGGCTTGAGATACAACCCGCCGGATGCTGTGAAACGCCGCCAATTCTGCAGCATGGCCCGTCACTTTGGATACCCGAATGCAACAGACTTTGCTCTTGTGGTAGAGAACATGACGCAGGCACAGCGGCGAGCCTGCCTTGAAAAATGGTACCGCGAGCGATGGGACATTGTTCAGCCCAAGGCCGAGATGGTCAAGGCTGAGGTGGTCAAAGGGGAGAGTATCAAGGACAAGAATCAAGGTTAACGGAGTCAGTATAGATAGCAGACTTCGCGACGTTTTGACGAATAGCTACGTGGCGCTTGCATTTTTCTCTCTCTTAGTACTGATACCCATACCCTTACGGATTGCTCTTGGAATGAAATCGATTATCGACCAACAAATTGTAGCGCCTGCAATTTACGCCGTAGGGAGAAAGTAGAGAATGAAAATGTTACTGTGAAGCCATATTTAGAGGTTTGAAAAAAACGACAGGTTTCTCGAGAGGGTATCATAGACGAGGTGTAACAATCAACATTACAACCAGGCCAGAGTCCATAATGCCGGCAAACTAGGATGCCTCTCCTGCCACTCGCCAAGAATTTCAGGAACTCTCTCATCAAATCCCTGGCGCGCCGCACCAGCACCATTCTCCCATCCATCAGGGCCATGCAGATTCCGTTGGGAAGCAGCAGCGTCATTAAGCCGATTAGCAAGATCGAGGATAGCCCTTCCACCAACGAGAGCCTCTTCATGATTATCCTTGATATCGACATTGAAGACGTGCACAGGGCGATTCAGCGGCGAGCCCTTGTTCATCAAGTCATCGACGACAGCATCCCAGCAACGCTCTTCGCAGGTGAAGATGACATCAACGACACCACCTTCCGTACCAATGGCGCCCTTGTCGCCCTTGGAAACGTGGTCGACACGCGGCATGCCCGGCACCCAGTCCTGGAAACGCTCGGGGCCCCACTTCAAGTTTCGGTTACGGTCCAGCATATTTAAGATACCATTCCCGCGGTATAGCCGGTCGTCTTTTTCGTGAAGCTCCTCATACATCTGGTTGTAGGAGGTAGTGTTAAAGCTGTACACGTTCGGCTGGGTGATGGAAGGGCCAGGGAGTCGAACTAGCGAACCCGTGCCAAATGAGATGACGGGGTATGGGGCGGCGGACAGTCGCAGGTGCGCTTCCATTGAACGGTTGTTGTTGGAAGCGCAGACCGTGCAGAACTTCAGTTTCCAGGAGTCTGTGGGGGTATCCTGGGATTCCATTTCGGGGATTGGCTCCGGTTGTGGAGGGGGAGGAGTGGTTGGTTGGGGAGTTGTGCTCCCCGTGTTTACACGACGTGGGTCATATGCCATGTTGGTTGAGAAAGAGTAAGAGACTAATAGAGGAAGAAAGACTAATACAGGAGGTTTTCTGGAGAAAATGTCTTGGATCAAGGAGGCTTGAAGATGGGTTTACAATATCCTGTTGGCTATCATTTGTATTAGCATGAGTCGGAAATTGAATGATTGCCAAATGATGATACGGGGGTTTGGGTGTTGTTCAGATAAAAAAGCGTATAATGAGATTGTCCGCATTGCGAAAGCTCAGACAGCTCCAATAAATAAGAATCATCATGTAGAGAAGGAGAAGAGAAAGAAATCAAGTTGGTTGAAGCTTACCTTGTAGCTATCACTCATTATCCTTGAGATTTAAGAAAGCCTGTATATTTCATTGGGGCCGCAGCCCTTAAGAAGAGAAGAGGAAGGGAAGATTTGCTTGTGTGGTTTTTTAGCGCTGATGATGACTCAGCATCTAGCTTACGAGCTCTCAACCATGAGACCACTACCTACGTCAGTGGGAGAGACTCGGCCTTGACTTGAAATTTACTTCTAAGCTACTTCTCGATGGCTTCAATAGTGGATAATGGGCCCTTTGTGCCTGCTCTGATTGTGGTTGACATGCAGGAAGACTTCTGTCCACCTGTGAGTCGCCAGTATGTATGACAATCTAGGGCTCATGCTGATATACAACATCTTTGATATATACAGAATGGATCACTGGCTGTCGAAGATGGCAGATCCATCGCTCCATTAATCAACTCTCTTCTCGCCCAACCTGGGTTTGTGATACGTATTGCAACCCAAGATTATCATCCCACAGACCATATCTCCTTCGCCAGCAACCACCCCGCACCTAACAACCGCCCTTTTAAGTCCTATATTGAAATGAAGAATCCCAATCCAGCGCCTGGTCAAGACCCCGAAACGAAGCCACAGCTTCTGTGGCCCGTTCACTGTGTAGCTGAGACTCAAGGAGCTGAGGTCATCCCCGAGATCGACGCCGGTCGCATCGACCTTGTGGTTCACAAAGGCAAGCATTCGCAGGTTGAGATGTACTCTGCATTTGCAGATGCTTTTGGCAACCTCGACCCGACTATCACTATGCAGTCCGTCAGTAAAGACATAACCTCTGAGCTCCAGGCCAAGGGTGTGACAGATGTCTTTGTTGTTGGGCTGGCCGGCGACTTCTGCGTCAAGTACACCGCCATCGACGCCATCAAGGCTGGGTTCCAGAGCTGGCTCATTGAAGAGGGGACCAAGTGTGTTTCTCCGGCTGGCTGGGATCAGGTCAAAGCGGAGCTTCGTAGTGCTGGAGTGTCGGTGATTCACGCAGACGATGCGGTTGTGAAGAAGCTGGCATGATAGTATTAGTGGTAGAAGTCAGTAGCAGTACTAGCGTACCCAATATGCTTTTTCCATAAGACGGATTCTATAATCTAGAAACGTCCTTCGAAAAGACAGCCTTATGTCTACCTTGCGTTTACCAATCAAGGGGTGTGGCATCAAGTGGATTCGCGGGGAGGTCCACCCGTCGGACAGAATAACGGTCTGAGTAATGAGATGACGGTGTTGATTTATTTAGCGTCGATCCTTCATCCATCAATTCCTATACCACATTCACCATGCTTCACTCTGGCGTATCAAAAGCTGCAGCAATCAATGCGCTTGACAAGAAACTGACCGAGCCTGATCCCACCGAGCCCGCCCAGTTTCTCCAGGACCATGGCCTCAACGCTGATAATCTGCCTTTCTGGCTGATGAATGTACCCCGATCACAATGGACGGCGGAATGTCCAGACTTTCTACGCGGTACATCAGCTAAGAACATCCAATGTCTGGCTATACCAGATGAAGCGTACCAACGCCAAAATTGGGAGGTGGTTCAAGAAATCATCAGTTGAGTCGTCTGTTGGGTGTATAGATTGAGGCATAGGCTGACGAAGATTTCCAGAGACGAACCGGATTGATCTATTCCAGAGGGTTCCGAGCGCCCTTCGCAGATACCTAGAATTTACGGCCCAAATCAAAGCTCAATATGGATCTGTGATGCGGTTCATTGTTCAAAAGCGACTTCAATGGGGCGAGGGCAGTCCAGACGACATGAAGCCTACGGGGCAGCCATTCGAGTTCGAAGGTATGTGCTGTGGATATGTGGCTCCAGACCAAGTGCTGACGGAGAGTAGAGGATATTCGGATTCTGTACAATGACTGGCCGTATGGTGTCAACACGGACATTGTCCATCTGGTCGTTTGGACCAAGTTTGAGTTGGAGGATGATCCAGCCACTGACGATCTGACCGCCGATGCACGCGAGGCGATCGAGCGGTTCGTGCAGCAAACTTTTTGCTCTCGAGTGGCGTCTGAAAAGGTAATTTGGTTCAAGAACTGGAAATCACTGAAATCAGTACACGCTGTCGAACACTTCCACGTCATGCTCCATCAGCCGGATATGGCATTTGTAAGGGAGATCACCCGAGGTGATATGCCGTTGATTGACCAAATTTGAGCTGTCAAGAATGCATATATAATTAATGGATCCGATTTCCCCGGTACTTGTTTCATGTATGATGCTTTCAGCCCCGGAGTATGCCATGACGAGATGTCAGCATTTTGCGCTAAGTAGGGAAGACAAGAAGAGAAGTTGAGATTGAGATTGAGAATGAGAATGAGAATGAGAATGAGGAAGACGATGAGAGAATGTTTAATGGTAGAAGTAGATGTGATCGTGAATTAAACCGAAAGATGAGTTTGCGACGTCATTTTCGTTTTCCTCTATTTCTGTCTTTTCTATGTTCTTCTCTTTCCTATACCTCGAACAACTCTCTTAACACCTAAGGAACCTAAAATTCCATAATTCCACACATTTGAAGTTCGTTTTGTCTCCTAAAACTTTTCAGTGTGAAAGTATCACAACATTCTACCCTTTCTGGTTGATTCCGAACGCAGCCAAAATGCCAGTCCCCAGTCTCCGCCGCTCTTCCTTGACAAGTACGGATTCTTACCTTTGACAACCCCGACCATGACTAACACCGCACTTCCAGGTCGCTCGTCTGTCGAGGATAACGTAAGTGGAGAGGAGGAGGTCGTTGAGCCTGATCAGGGAAATGGTATGTCTTTCTTTCGTCGCTGCTGCGCTTCTGCGCTGCTGCGGCTGTAGCTGGCTCAAAGTTGACGCTCTTCAGTCCTCTCGCACATCATTTCTCAGCTCCGACCGGGCGCTGACTTGAGTCGTGTCGTGCTGCCGACCTTCATTCTCGAGCCCCGGTCCATGTTAGAACGTATCACCAAGTATGTTGTGCCCCTCCCCCTCACTCACCGTGAAACCGAACTGACCCTCGCCCACGAATAGCTTCATGGCCCACCCCGAAACCCTCCTCCCCATGTCCACAATTGATGACCCTATCGAGCGTTTTGTTTCAGTTGTCAAGTTCTACTTGAGTGGTTGGCACATCAAACCCCCGTACGTTACCCCGCATACTTTTTTTTTTCTCTTTTTCTTTTTGCGACGCATCCTAATCACCGGACAGAGGGGTGAAGAAACCACTGAACCCTATCCTGGGGGAGACATTTACTTGCTACTGGGACTATCCGGATAACACACGCGGATACTACATCTCCGAACAGACTTCTCACCACCCCCCGAAGTCGAGCTACTTCTTTATGGCCCCGGAGCACAACATTCGCATCGATGGTACCCTCAAGCCCCGCAGCAAGTTCCTTGGTAACTCGGCAGCCAGTATGATGGAAGGTATTGCGATTTTGACTCTGTTGAACCACGGTCAAGACAAGGAGAAGGGGGAGCGCTAGTGAGTTGACAAGAATGATTTCTCTTACGTCATCGATACTAACGGATGAGTAGTATTCTGACGCAACCAAACATGTACGCGCGTGGTATCCTATTTGGGAAGATGAAGTATGAGCTCGGCGACCACAGCTATGTCCGATGCCCCGAAACCGGTCTCGTAGCGGATATCGAATTCAAGACGAAGGGCTACTTCTCTGGCACGTATAATGCCATTGGAGGCACCATCAAGAATGAAAAGACCGGCGAAGTGTTGTTCGATTTGTCAGGCATGTGGAATGGTGAGATGGATATCAAGGATGTCCATACTCACCACAAGAACGTGCTGTTCGATGCCACACATGCCAAGCACACGAAACCTTTGGCCCGTCCGACTGGAGAGCAAGACGAGCGGGAGTCTCAAAGACTATGGCTGCCTACAGTCAAGGAAATTATCGCCCGGAACCACGAAGCAGCTACGGATGAAAAGACCAAGATCGAAGATCGCCAACGAGAGGAGGCTGCCAAGCGCACCGCTGAAGGTGTCGAGTGGACACCCCGATTGTTCCGTGCCGTGCACGGTGGTCCTGGTGGCCCGGAGGAGGGCGAGGAAAGCTTAGATTGGATCATCAACGCTCACGTGTAAGTTCCCCGAACGACATTGTCTACATTACCTAACTTTTCAAATCCAGGGACTCGCACGATCCCGAGGCTGCAGTGAAGCAGATCCTAGCCATTGCGCCCATCGTTCCAGGTCAGAAACAGCCATCTCAGTTCGAGATCCCGCCATTCGCTGCACAAAATAGCCATCCGGTGGATCCAACCCAGGACGTCAAAGCTAATACCACCACAGGCGTAAACGTAGGAACTGACGTCCAAAAGCCGGCCGTTGTGGAGCGAAATGACACAGAAACGCACAAGGTGGAACAGTTCATGGATGCAGAAGAGAAGATATAGAGAAATGAAACCAAGACATTTTCGCCCATTCTCGCCCATTCTGTCTTCGCCGCTATTCCCTCCATGAATCTCGAACTACCTCGACATCCTCCCACCATTTGTTTCAGCGACTACCACCAATCGTCTGCCCCCATCTTCTATCATGTTCAACACAAGGGTTTCAACCTACTTCTGCACCCGCTGGACACCCGATTTAGTCCTGAGTCTGGCCAGGGAAAAAAAAAAAGAAAGAAAGGAAAGAAATAATAAAATAGAGAAAATCCTCTGTCTGCACACAATCCGTGGGTATAGCTGGCTCCAATCTTAAAAATAAGGAAGAATTGTGAGAACGCAAATGACCCAGTACTTACTTTTTTCACTATTTGTAACTTATTTATCGTTATGGAGCTATGTGATATAGAATTGCTTTGTTTAGATCCATGGATACTACTTGCTGTTAATCTAGTCCCAAAGACTGCTCTACTCTGTATAAGACGAAACTTGCAATTTGATCGATTGACTATGAATAGTGACCACTAGTAAGAATCGATTAAGATAGAAACCAAGCCGATGTCACTACTAGAAGATGAAAGATCTTCATTTTGCCATTTCATTATTGTAATTAGTGTACAGATGTCTTCGGGACATCATAGCGTAAATAGAACGACCAAACTCCCCTAAAAGAATTCACGATACAGAAGAACACCATAATTCCCCTTTTATCTTTCGAAAAGAACCTTGAAAGCTGACCCAAGATACCAAAGAAACCTGACTGAACCGACCAGCAACTCAGCCCAAGATCAGAATGCAGAATGCGGAATTTATGAATACAGCTCTCCTCTGTACCCAGAGCCCCGTTCTAAATCTCGTCGGCGATTTCGAGGAATACCCCCCGCCGAACCAGGAACACTTGTGTTTCCGCTCGCAGCAGCAGCAAGCGATCCACTACCCTCACGTTCCTCACGTTCCTCTTCCATCCTAGCCATCTCGTCTCTGATTTCATCCTCCGTGTCTTCCCGCAGACCCAAGATGTCCGGTGGAATAAAACTCATCGCCACACTCGGCGCACCCTTGATATACCGAAGCTGTTCGTGGACTGCCTCGCGCAAACTATCAAGGTAAGCGCGCGGATTCTTATTCTCTATCCGGCGAGCCGTATTAGACAGGGACGGGAAGAGGGAGTAATCGGGACCGAAATGGTTGCGGAATGTGACTGTCTCTGGAATTATCGGATCGATGTTCTTGTCGGCTTCGACTAGGATGGAAGTTTCGTGGGCCCAGGCGCGGGAAACGTTGCGCGGGGTGTAGCCGCCGCCCCCGACGACTATTAGTGGTTTTTTGAATTTCTTCGTTATGGCGACGCAGGCGCCGTGGGCTTGGACATTTAGATTGAAGACGCCGAGTCGGTCACAGCCTAGGCTGTCGGCACCGCATTGAAGCACGATAGCACTGGGGTTGTAATTGGTGTTACAGGCTGTGATGACTTCTTCGAAAAGCGCAATGTATGACTCGTCGTCGATACCGTCGTTGAGAGGGACGTTTATGGAATGATGAGCACCTGGATTGAGCGAGTGTGTGGGGCCAGTATCCTCGAGCGCACCGGTGGCGGGGAAGAAATGGCCGTCGTATTTGTGGAAGGAAACTGTCAACACACGATCCGTAGACCAAAAGGCCTGCTCGACGCCATCACCATGGTGCACATCTATGTCGATGTACATGACGCGCGGGTGGTGGCGCAGAAGCTGTAGGATGCCGAGGACGATGTCATTGACGTAGCAGAAGCCGCTGGCCTCGGCCTTTTTAGCGTGGTGTAGGCCTCCGGACCAGTTGATCGCGATCTCAGCTTGGTCGTTACAGAGCTTGCGCGCGGCATCGACAGTGCCGCCCGCGTACAGGGCGCAGTAGTTGTACAGGCCGTTGAAGATGGGACAGTCGTCGCCGAAGTTGAAGCGCTGCACATTATCGGTTTGCTCGGCGCGGTCCATGTCGCCTGGCATGACCTGCTTCAGAAAATCAAGGTAGTCTTCCTGGTGAAACTCCGCCATCTCCTCGTATGTCGCTGCCCGTGAGAGGTACAGGTCCATCGCGTGGTGCATCCCGTACGCCATCACCAATTGCTTCGTCAATGTGAGTCGCCATGGCTTCATAGGATGTTGCACACCGAAATGGTGCGGCTCCACTGCTGGGTTGGCATGCCATGATACTCGGTAGCCCTGTGGCCGCGGCACTTGGTAGGTTTGACGCTCGTCGGTGGACTTGTGGTCCAAGCTTAGCGTTGTCGACAATGTCGAGGATGGCGCATACTCTTGGACGATGGTGGAGCGAGCCATCGGTTTTGCGTGAATTGTTTTTATTTGAAGATGAGACTGAGGAAATACACTAGGCGAAAAGTGAACAGCGCATTTCAAAGTTGAATTCGAGATCGAAGGTTTCTGGTGGTTAAAGTTCGAGCGTTCTGGAAAGTCGATGGATGACTAAGGGGATCTGCACCGAGAGGTCTATATCACGCCTTACCGGACTAGGCAACGGGCGTTGAAAATGAACTGCGGAGTTAAGAGGGACATTTCCAGTTAAAGGTTCAATCAAATATGCATTTCTAAGTAATTTTTGGATCTAAACCGGCATACCACCAGATCTGGGTTGTTGACCCGCGAACTTGTGCTCCATCTGCATTTAGGTGACATTCAATCACCCAGGTAAGGAGTATAATGTGGACATAAAATGTATAAGCAGCGATATCCCGCCTCGGGATGAATTATCAGTCACCGACTCATTTTCCAATGTCAAGTGCGGGTTTCACAGTCCTCGCCTCACATTAGCGTAATAGCAACCCTCATTCGATAATAAAGCTTCGGCGGGTGCGAGAAATTGCCGATTGTATTTGATGACATAAAGCCCGGTATCGGCCGGAAACATGGAAAAGCGCATCATCGCATAGTAGTTTGTTGTGGTGGAGATGAGGCAAAAATGGTTTGTGACACACGTGGAAGATTAAGCTTATAAAACAAGGTTGTCCGAGAGCGGCATCTCGGGCCTTGTACGGCGAAGTAGTCCTTATTTAACCAAAGTTATTCGGGCTTGTAAATTGTTTAACTCTGACCACAAATAAACAAAATGAATACAAGCGCGAGAAATCTCCGGCGTATGCTCGAAGACCCAAATGGCTTCGTTATGGCACCAGGCGTCTATGACGGTCTGTCGGCGCGAATGGCCCTAGCTGCAGGATTCGAAGCATTGTACATGGTAAGTATTCTTAACATTGCAGTCTTAACTATGCATATAGAGGAGCCAAGACTAAATATTCGGATAGACAGGAGCAGGAACCGCAGCTTCCGTACACGGCCAAGCAGATTTAGGTATTTGCACACTGAACGACATGCGCAACAATGCCGAGATGCTAGCAAACCTCTCACCATCAACACCGCTGATAGCCGACGCGGATACTGGCTACGGAGGGCCCATCATGGTTGCCCGTACGACGGAGCAGTACGCAAGGTCCGGCGTTGCGGGATTCCACATTGAGGACCAAGTTCAAACCAAGCGGTGTGGCCACCTCTCTGGGAAGTTGCTAGTGGACACAGACACTTACACAAGCCGTATCCGGGCTGCAGTACAAGCCCGCCAGCGGATGGGTAGCGACATTGTGGTGATTGCCCGGACAGACTCGTTGCAGTCCCTCGGGTATGAAGAGAGTGTAGCCCGTTTGAAAGCAGCCAGAGACGCTGGTGCCGATGTGGGTTTCCTTGAAGGAATCTCATCTCGCGAGATGGCGCGACAGGCTGTGCAGGATCTTGCCCCATGGCCTTTGGTTTTGAATATGGTCGAGCATGGGTCCACGCCGTCCATTTCTGCTGCCGAGGCTCGAGAGATTGGATTCCGTATTATCATTTACCCTTTCGCCACAATTGGCCCCGCGCTGACAGCTATGCGAGAGGGACTGGAGAAGTTGAAGAAGTTGGGATTGCCTGACTTACCTAAGGAGTTGACTCCGCAGATGTTGTTCCGGGTTTGTGGGTTGGATGAGAGCGTTAAACTTGATGCAGAGGCTGGCGGCGTCTCATTTGATAGCGGCGTGGATCTGAAGAAGTGATGATATGAATTAAAATGGGAAAGCTTGTGTTTGAGTCGTGGTCGATCTCTAGATGTCTTTTGTTAAGCTTGGAAGCCTCCATAAACAGCGAAAATACGTATTATGGGGTATGGACGTCAAAATTGAGAATCAATTCTGATTAGTAAACTGTACACTGTAGGCTCTTATGTGCTGATTGAATTCTAAACAAGTCGCATATCATCCGCTTCCAGCCCAAGGACTCCGACTAATTACAGAGAACGGATGCCATCAATGTACACATTTGAAATGCCATCTAAGGTTTCAGGGCTAGACTGATATATGAGAATACAAAGACACGGTGAGTATCTCCTGGACTAATTCGTCGGCCAAATGATGATTGAGACCCCTTAAAGGCGGTTCCATCGAGCGCGTGGAACTTTCAAATATTCAAAGGCCAATGGCCATATTTTGGCGGCTGCTGAAACGGCCTTGAGCCTCTGATCCGCTCTTGAACATCATAGACCTATACACATAGTAACACACTATAATTCTGTATTGCTTTATTTGTGAAATTCCAAGATCAGTGAGGCCCCAAAGATCATCATACGAGGATTGATACATCAATTTATCTTCTACCAGTCCAAAGTACTAAAAGATCTAAAAATATCCAACTCCCCATAGCACTGTCTTACCTTATTGATAAATGGTATGTTGTATTATTCACGTAAACCTAAGAATTACCTAAGTATGCATTGATATTTCTAAACAGGTACTCCGTAAGGATGATGCTTTTGTTAAGCATGGACGTTTACCCCTGACATAACGGTCCGAGATGTTATACAGTAGCCAGCATTTGACATGCTTACTGATCTTACTATGTACCAGGCACCCGTGTAACATCATTGAGCGAAAATAATTAAATTTATGCACAAATCTTAGCTAACCTCAACTTTCCATGTTTAGCTCTTGCCTAATGGCCCAACTGTCAAAGGGCGGTCAGGTCCATTTATTCGACCTATAAAGTCCGCGTAAGGACTCCACTCCTAAATGAAGTCAGGGACCAAAATAAATAAACCAGATTCGGAGTAGAAATTAACCTCTGGACTAGCACGGATGAATTGTTTCAGCCAACGCTAATTGCCGTGGATCCAAGTGCCTTGAACCAAAAATCTGGCGCGATATATTTATGCAATATTTCTAACTACTAAGTATCAAGAAATGAATCCTGTAAGGAATCCAAGGGTTGACAGGGGCAGGGTTAGAATAGATTAATCTTCCAAGGTTTCAACCTTGGCAGGTTTAATATAGTCAGCTTTGGGCTGTGTATTCTAAGGTTACTATGTATAAGACTTTAAAACAAAGTTCTCGTATCGCTAGTCACTCAGTTAATGGGCTGGATCGATAATATTGAGGGTTTGAGGTATTAGAACTAAAATTTTAGTAAGGATTCTAGGCTGAAATGAAATCGAGCCTTGCAGTCACTGAAGTGGCCCAAGGATCGAGTAGGGGGAATGGAGCCACCTACGCAAATCATTACTTACCACGAGGTGGCGATCGACGCCCAGATCATTGCCTTTCAGAGCCCAATGAATCCGTAGACTCCGTAGACTCCATAACGCTATCAGCTGAGTAGCATGTACAATTGTGGGATAGTAACAGTTGAACAGCTTTGAAATTGTAAAACACGGAGCATGCCAAGGGCTAAAAATTGAAACTGAGCCATATGCTCTTTAAAGTCTGAGTACTCTTAAGGCTGTAAAAGAGCCGTTGCCGACAAGAGACGGGAAGTCAGGGCTAGTGGAGTCTATAATGATTGGTGAAACCGATAGGAGGCGAAAGGGAATAAGCCACATTCCGATTCACATTCCGATCAGAGCACGTTTTTGACTGACACTTCGACTTCGACTTGATAGAGAAAAAGAGAGAAAAGGGAAAAGGATCTGTACTGTGTAAGGTTAGGGATAAACAAAACACGTAAGGGACTTACAAGGTAAATTACCAAGGCCTTGTTTTGGGAAGGTCAACCAATCAAAGGAAAAACTCATCAGTAAGTTCAGGAACAGTTCAGGAACCACTTCCTCTGAGCCAATCATTCTCACGTAACCCCTGGAACCGGTAAATTGAATTTCAAGTATTGAAATCAAAGTTGTTTCTGTCTTCTGTTCGCCCCTAATAACTAGTCCAGCCCACTCTCCTTTTTTTCCCTTCCCTTCTTCACCCATTCAAATCCACACTCTTTTGAAATTGTTTCTTTTCCGAGCAGGTTTCTTATTCCCTTGCTCAGTCACTCATTTGCAAACATGCACATCAAAAACTCCATCCTTCTCGCCGCGGCCCTGACCGCTGGCTCGGTCGTTGCTCGTTCTCACGGTCATGAGCGTCGTCACGCTCACGCTAAAGTTAACATCGAGGAGCCTGCCCTTCCCGTTGTCACCGATGCTCCTGAGCTGAAGGAGCGTGCGGTTGGCGATGAGGTCTTTGCCACCATAAACGGCGTCCTCGAGTCGTGGATCAACGAGTGGGCCGGTGAGGCTGCCTCATCTTCCATCTCTTCCTCTACCTCCACCACCGTCGCTGCCGCCGTCGAGGCTACCTCCACCTCCAACTCTGTTTCTGTTGAAACTTCCGTTGCTGTTGAGTCTTCTGTCAGCGCCACCGCCGTCTCCAGCACCAGCTCCAGCAGTTCTTGGACCGATTACCCTTCGGACTTAGATTTCTCCAGTACTGGATTCGGTATCTCGAACTACATCGAGGAAGCTCTTGGAATCGACTGGAAGGGAAACACCGGTACCCCCTGGGGTAGCAACGTTATCGAAGTCGAGGAGAGCGCAGCCAGCGGGTACCGCAATGTCTTCCGCTTCGAGGGCAGCAGCTCCGCCGATTGGACCGTGATTTTCTGGAACAAGGTCGGTCCCCTTGGGGGCTTGAATGGCTTCTTCTCGCCCAACAAGGCTCTCACAATCAACGTCCCCGCCAATGGCGTCAAGTATGTTGCCATTGACGACCAATCCACCGGTGGTTGGGCTGCGTTCGAGGGTGATGATTGCCCTACCAGCGAGTTTGGCAGCTATGCTGCCACCTGGGGTGAATTCACTGTGCGTCCTGCTCCCGAAACCAGCTCTTGGGACGTTTCCGCCATCATTGCCGAGCAATACAACTTGCCCATCCAGGGTATGAAGATTTGCTCTGCTCTTACTGAGAAGGTCTGCTCCACCATCACCAAGGACCTCGGCTCCATTGAAAACGCCTACAACTATGCCTTGCGGTACGAAAACGGCATTGGAGGTAACACCGTGACCGAGGCTGTTCGTCTGGTTGTCAATCTCGACTATGCTTAAACTGTTGGGCTGGTTCCTCGTACCTTTTAATTTGTTTTTTTTCTTCACTCCAATTCTGCCAATGACCCTGGCTGGAAATGCTCCTTGTTTCGTCTTGCGCGTGTGCACAGCTACGTAATTTTGTGAACTTCAAAGGCCGATGACGACACCTATGTTAGCCTGCTCGGTCGCTCTTCCGCAGGCGACCTTTTTTCAGTCTGTTCCAAGGAATTGCATACATACCCTTGATCTCGATATGCCATTTTTGGATTTTTTTTTTTTTGTACATACCATTGAACTGCTAGTTCATATTGATATTTTCTCTTTTTCACAGAGAGCCCATTGACATGATGTTGTCTCCTTTCGGGAGCTTTTCACCTTTCTCTGAAGTCTCCATCCTTTGATGTGTTATCATTATACCATTTGGGCTATTGTAGTTAAGGCTTCCAAAGATCTGAGGTCATCATGATGCTCGCCATCCATAGATGGACCTTGTGTTTCTGAAACCATCGAGATCTCAAGGGTTGGCAAAGGCTTGATGTTGAAGTCAAAATCCCTCTCCTAATATCATTTCCAAGGTATATGTTAAAGAGACAAAGAGTCTAATCAACTGCCACGGTCATACTGACAAATATCAGGGAAAAATTAGTTGAAACAGATTTTCAAGTCTGAGTGGGCATGGTACTGGACTAAATATTAGTACCACCATGGAAGCCCTGGGCCGCCACTAAATAACAGTACTACTACAAGGGGCTACTGGGGAACATTTCCTTGTATGTGATGGAGACTTTCGAAGAGAAAAAGTACATCACTATACTAACATCGGGAGTCTGTAACACAGCGCTCTCTACCTATTGGTGCTTAGCTAAATAATCCTTCACCTTGCTCCATATAATTATTCAAGTGGGGGGCCAAAATGCAACTGTTGATACTTTAGGCGCTGTGAACCCTGCAACTGCTCCATCTACGGGGCGCTTGTACGATCACCTTTTATTGGATCAACACAAAGTACTATCTATGGTGAAATGACCATCGTCCCAAAGCCCCGCTTGCCCACAGGGCATCTCGGAAGGCAGAATATTATAAACAATATGCAGGTCCGGGACACTTTACTTTGAGGGTATAACCTTATACCTCGCCGTTGCGAATTACATATTAGAGCAGCCGTGGAAACATGGACCGATATGATAATGCAAAAGAGCGCAAAATACTCGCTAAAAGTGCTTCTTATTTCTCGTTTTTTATTCGGCCAAGCCGCTCTGGTTCTGAATGGAAGGGAATAAATGGCTCTAGTGCTGGCACTACAGTCACAGAGCTGGCTCAGCAAGTTGATGTCCATAGCCCTGAGAAGTCGGCGAACTGCACAGCGAACTGGATACCCTATACCTTTTCCCACACTTTCATGGGCGTTTTGAGCCTTGTGACATTTGGCCTTAGTTTGACCGTATTTTTGCTATGGTGGAGGTCCTCGACAACTTATGGACTAGGCTCTGACAATGGCTCTTCTGCCATGCTTTTTGGCTGGAGATACAGCCCGACAATGATCGCTGTTATATACGTTCAAATGACAGCTGTGCTGTTGAACGATATCAAGCGTACAGAGCCTTTTGCTCGGCTTGCACGACCAGAAGGTGCAAATGCAGAAGCATCGATCCTCCACTCCCCAGGACCTTGGTGGGTTGTTCTATACGATGGATTCGCGACGAAGAAGAATGGGAGGCGTAGCTGGGTGTTGATATGCTCAGTACTGCTCAATATTATTGGATTCCTGGCAATCTCATCGCTTTCTTCCGACTTCTTGGAATCACAGGAGATAACTGTTCCCAAATTAACGGACTTCCTGCGCCTATCACCACTGGCAGATTCGCCTCTACCTATCGATCAAGATCGTGCCACCTACTTCCGTACAATCGCAAACCTCCTGCAAAACGTGTCAACTTCCCCATGGATTACAGATGAATATACGATCTTGCCATTTTGGCCTGCGAGCTTGGAAACAGAGCCTATCAATACCCTTCCCACAAACTCATTACAGGTATGGCAGGGCGAGACAACAATATTTAAGAGCAAACTAAGCTGCACGGAAATGTCGGTGGATTCTGAAGCTTTTGAGCCGGCTTCAGTAGTTAACAAAACAGAAACCTTAGCTTCTGTCTCTGTCATGTGGTCCAGCACCGACGGCTGCAAGTACGGAGTTCGGGTAGTCGACACTATGTTTCTTATTGGAGGTGGCAGCTGGTCCAATACATCTACGTTTTTCTACGCGGGCACTGAAACAGCCTCCGGGAGTGTCGTCGATGAGATTACTGCGGTGGTTAATCACACGGCAGAATGTGATGGTCGTGAAGTCATTGTGGTCACCGAGCCATGGAAAAACGCCTCCTCCAAAGGTACCTACTCAGCTTATTTATGCGACACAAAGTTTTACATGGCCAATATCACGGCTAAAGCTGCACTGGATGGAGATGTACCAGATATATCATTCAATGAGAGCGAGTACGAACAGAACAAGGTTTCGATTCCGGAAACGCTTGTCAACACTACCCAGTTTCAAGACCTGTCGTTGAATGCTGATTGGGCAACTTATATGATATCGATCATTTGGGCAGAGACAGCAGAGATGGGAGGTGCTGCAGTCTTGCTTGGGGCTCCTTATAGCTACAATATGACAGAGCTAGTAAGAGACCCCGACCTCATAGCCACGGCGGCCAAGGTGAAACAGCGTCATTTTGGTGAAGTTATACAGTCAGCTTTGATCCAAAAAGGTGCCTCTCATCGAGTCTCTATGCAAGGCACAGTTGACATTGTTGAAACTCGAGTCGTCGTTCAGGATGGACCTGCAATTGCTCTGGGAATTTTATTGGCCATTTCACTCCTTCTTCTGCTTGCAGTTTGGTGGCTTTCACGTCTACAGAGAAGACCATTAAACTTGCACAAAGATCCTGCAACAGTTATAGGTATCGCTTATTTGATAGCTCAAAACATGAGAGCAAGATCTGGCTTTTTGCCACTTCGGCAACCCTCAAAAGTTGAACTACAGAAGAAGTTAGGTGGGGAAGTTTACTCTACAGACTTTCAGGGCTTGTGTCAAACCACCGCCATAAAGGCAGAGGACCAGAAAGAATCTCAATCGGAAAATGGGACTCCCATGATACTTCGTCTGCCAGCTCTTCTTGCACTTGTTCTTGTACTTGCGCTTGTGATAGTTGGTGTCGCTGTTCTCTATCACTACGCCGAGAACTCCAGACTCTACGGGGAAAGCTTTGTGTACCAGGTTCGGTTTTCATTCTTGAGCAGTAGTGTTTCTTCCTTAGCACCCTTCTCAATGATTCCAACGGTGATAGCAACACTTCTTGGTTTGTGGTGGGGCTCTATCGATGATAACTTCCGCCACTTACAGCCATATCTCTCGTTGTCCAAGAGCGATCAGCCTTTCAAAAAGGGTGTTGATATGTCATATCAGTCTTCTTTTTGGATATGGGCTGCTGTGAAAGCACTCTGTAATAAGCATTGGCTGCTTTTTTTGGTCTCCTTGGGATCAACACTATCCCCTATTTGTGAGTCTATGTGTTTATTATACCTTGCTGAAAATTATCAAAACTTACAATCAACTCTCCAAGATACGACTACAATGTCAGCTTTGTTCAATCGTGGATCGGGGAACATCATCAACCCCATTACAATTGAGCGGCAGTTGGAAGTTCGCGATATCCCATTTGTTTTCGAAACAGAGCAAGCGCTAGACCCCCTTACGTCCAACGACTATATCGTTCCAATTGTGACTCAGCTGTTCACGAACATCTCTTCCTATTGGATGTATACTGCTACAATCCAACTCACCCTGAATGGCTCAGAACCTGCTTGGAGTAAAGACGGCTGGAGCTTCGTGCCCATTGATCTAAGCAACATCACCAGTTCAGGGTCACTGGCAAAACTAGGTGCAAGCCAAGCAGATGACACAGATGGAGAATCACAAACCAACGTTACCTTCACGACACCTGCGATCCGGGGCCGTATCAGCTGCAGCGAGGTCCCACTGAAGGCGATGTTGAACATAACAAATTGGCTGACGCCCACAGATGTAACAAATCACACAATCTACAATCAGAGTACAATCCCGAAAGGTTTTTTGGGGGGCTATCGATTAGGGACTGCCTCAGACCTAGGAAGTTATCCCGCCCTTATAACACCGCTTCTCGAATCACAAAACTGGACGTCATGTCTTGGTTGCACTTCTGTTTTTGTGAATCCATCCGCCGTCATCTGCTGTGGAAATGAGACCAGTGATTCCCGGGAGGGCCCTGTGGGTATTGGATATTGGTCCCCGAATGCTAATCTTGAGGGTTGGTCGTCTCGAGATTGGCAGGGAAATTTCTCAGCCAAGTGGTTCCACGGCGATGCGATTACAGGTATCGAAGTCAACGACAACAAAGACACCAGCTCAATATCCAATCCTGAGCTCTTGTTTATTGAACCGCCATCCTTTAGTATGATCAACTGTTTGCCGATAATTGAACAAGCTGATGCAACAGTCACTGTGAATCCGCAGAATAGCGAGGTTTTGTCTTTCAATATAACAAGTACCCCCAAGACAATGTCCGAGCCATGGGCCGACAGCTTCGTCCCTCACAACATCTCAGGACCAATTGATTTAGCAGCTGATGGGGAAATGCATTATAACGTGACTTTGAGGTGAGTTGAGCCTTTTCACCTCCCTCATCGATTAATTAAATAGGCATGCTCTGACTTGGAAAATACAGCTTTGGCCGACTTTTCACAACAACCATGTTGACGGCAGCCGACACATTGAATCTTGCAGGAACAGATTCACAACTAGGTTATTCGACAGAAGACCTATCTGACAACAGCTTTAACATCCGCGACAAGATGAACGGTCTGAATATGGACTTCATGACCTACGCCATGTATACAATGGCCGGGAACAATGCATCATCCCTCTTAGATCCAGACATCTTCACTGAGCTCGCGGAGAAGACTTTCACAACATTCTTCCAACATTTCGTGAGCAAAAATCTGTCCATGGAAACAGGTGGCTGGGCATACCAGAAAATCAACGCCAGTCTCCCAGTCGACCTCGGACCCGCGGTTGAATTCAGCACATATTACGACGGACTCCCAGGACGAACACCTTCCAAATACCAAGACGTCACGCACCCGATCTCGCACACGAACAGAAAAGTAGCAGCACAAGTCTCCCAGCGCGTCGAGCTTCTTCAAATGAACGCCGTCGCCGTCTGGCTCAGCATCGGCATAATGTCCTGGCTAATCCTCACAGCAGCCGTTGTTGCCATTCTTCAAAAGCGGTACTTTGGAAAACTAGTCCGCAACGTGGAGTGTCTCGGCGACGTGTTAGTGCTGATAGCCGGAAGTGTGAACTTCCTAGAGGTGGTACGGGGCATTGAAGCTGGAAATCTTGCACCTGCTGACTATGAGCATCTTCTTACACGGCTGGGTTGGTTCTTGGACGAAGAGGGTGAGCTGAGATGGGGTATTGAGATGTTGAATTTTAGGGATGGGCCTGGTGAATGGGTTTCGAGACCGCAGTTCCGGAAGAAGGATAAGACTAATACGTGGACTGTTTCTGCAAAAAGTTTATAACCTTGGAAAGAGGGGATCCATGGATCTTGTCTTGAGTCTGTATATTAAGTGCTCTGACTCGAGCAAAAGAGCCACATTTGAACAGTGGATACAAGGTTGATGGGATGGCTGTATATATATGAGAAAACTTGTGCACTTGAAGTTTTCGGGTTCAAGTGATACTTTCTGAGGTCAAGATCCATCATTAAATACCTACGTAGCAATGTTCTAGGTCGTCTGTTACAGACCTGGGATGATTTCTGGCTAAGAAGTAGAGCACCGTAATCACTATCGGTTATTTATAGGCAAAATCCAAGTGTAGGTAAGAATCACAATAAGGAAACATTGTCTTTGTCGAAGCTCTGTTGTACCAGATATTATTTCCTGCAGCGATAAGAGATATGCCGTTATCTTTGTATCGCATTGTCACTGAGAAGACAGGACAGACTGCGAGACTGTAAGGCCTTGAATGACCGGGATGGCAGATCTTCAAGGCGAGGAGTCTGGAATAGATGCATTGCAGCTCAAGAGAGGTAGACAAGATATGTATGGATCCATAACGAGAGCAATGGAATCCGCGGGTGGTGGAATACAGTTATTTCCAGCATTGCCACAGTTCATCAAGTCCACTAATGTTTCACATAAGATACAAAATTTGATAATCCATGCTTCAAGATATGCTGTATAACAAAATATATCGCTGAGAAAAGGCCACCGGTTATGTCTATTTTGAGTTGTTATTTCATACACTTAGACTTCCTAGATTCAAATCGCCTAGGAAGTCGGTTGCTGAACCTGGATCAACAAGGGCATCATCTTCATCCTCCTTAAATTGCTCCTCTTGAGTCTCAAAGGTAATTAAACCAGTATATATCGTATATCCCACCAAGGCAACAACACTGCCTACCACAGCCGCAATAGAAAAGAACAGGTCCTTCTTGCGAGCATCAGCATAAGACGAGACAGCTGCTTGTTCCACGGCCGAGAGTTCTGCATCTGGTGACTCAACTGCCTGCTTCATTCTATTATGCATACGAACATCACGCAAAATTGGTGTGGAATCTGCCAATGTATTGAGAAGGGTGCTACCAATCCCAGCAACAGATATACGCCCGGGTGCCCGCCACGGCAGAGGTGACTTAGGGGCTGACTCTGGCACTAATGAATGTGCAAGTTCAACAGGGTTATCGCCGAAGCACCGAGTCCGCATTCGCTCTGTGTACTTGGAGAGGAGCGGGGCCTTGACACGCATCGCGTCTCTCAGCCAAGGGAAAGTGAGCTCGGGCACAAGAGCTAGAGAAAGGTATCCGAGCGTAATGCAATCCAAGCTAGAGGGGGACTTGCCACCTTCTTTTGCTAGTAGGTACTTCTTGTCGCCTAACATTGCCTCTAGAGGCTCAAAAAACTCGGCTGTCAGCGCCTCGAGTCGGAAGCTGTTCTGCTGCGCTGTCCGACCCAGTAAGCCGGATACGGATTCACGAGGTCGACTGATAAGATTTTTTGGAACTTTCCCCGCGGCAACGGCGGCCGAGTGCTCGCGCTGTCGGTGTTCCTCTAGGGCTTTCAGATCTAGAGATGATAGGTCTAGGTGCTCGGTACGGGCTTTGGCGGCTCCGTGCAGCTTTGGTGGGAGGATCCATTGGTTTGGCCATTGGAGAATATTGGCGTATGCGGGAGATGTGTTGCCATAATAGTTCTGGCTGGTGACGTACAGGTAGAGGTCGAGAAGAGACTGGCCACGGGATTCAACGAATGAGGAGAAGCTGCGCACCGTCGCAAGTCAATTAGCGTACTGGTATATCTATGAGGGAGTTATTATGAGGCATACGCAGTGTCATCGGCGCGGTCTGACTTGTCCAAGTCGCGATCCAAATCCCATTGCCCATTCGAGTACTGGCGGAGGTAGTCCACAATATTGCCGAAACGGCTTACCCAGACGGATCCATTCTGTAGAGCGGGTAGTTCACCTATTGAACTCAAATGACTTGTCAGCTAATTCCAAGTGTATTTTTGTATTGAGTCCGAGTGTCAAGCCGTGCGTCACTTACTAGTAGGGGACACGGAGGGATCGCTGGTTGCGATCAGCTCCCAGGAATCCTTGGGAAGCGCTAGCGAGCAGTAGGCAATTGCGGCGAGGCACTGTGCCTCGATTGAGGGCAGCTGAAAGGCAGGGCCCCACACATGTAATTGTAGCTTCATTGTGGTTTGCGCGTGGAGAGGAAGAACGGCCGCGGATGTTATTTTGGTGGACGAATCACGTGTGTTTGGTGTTTTGCGTCGATCGATGATCGGCATCGACTTGCAGACAACGCCTTCCAGGGCTAAACATCGGGATTGTCTATTCAACTATTTCTACTGGAGTATTATCATTGTATCTACGATTCTTTTTACACAACCGCTTTGTGAGGCTTTCCCGTTGAGTGCCAGCTTTAACGTGTAACTAGTAATTATTAACTAGTACTCAACTATAATCCGTACTACCCGCAATAGAACGAAGCTAGGTTCAGCTAGTAAATATAATCAAAATAGATCTCACATCAGAAGTCATAGCACCTCGGGCTGTTTCTCTCCGCAACGCTCGTATCCAAGGACCAACATAGCACCGAAGTAAGCCACAAACTCGATAGTTCGCCTGTTGCTTTGAACTTGGACAAATAGCGCAACATCTACTCCGGGCTGTATAAGGTCCTAAAAACCAATATCGACCAGGGTGATGATTCATGACCGTACAAAGCATGGAGTACTACACATCCCTGCATATTAGTACTCTGTACATGCATATATCCGTACGGAGTACACAAGGGGCTCTTATCGCGGCTGGCCATGACTGATCACGGCAAAAAGCCGTCAGATTGTGAGCATTGTCATCCAAACCGTCGGTAAACACGGAGTATCCAAGCATGAAACATGGCGGTCAAAGCAAGACTAAGCATGCAATATGGCTAACACCCCGAGAAATAATAGGAACGAGGCTAAAAAGGTAGAGCAGCGGGGCATAAGTTAGTAGTCACTAGTACACACACGCCGGTTGGAAGTCATTGAGTCATTGATATGCATACGAGTACTTTTCCGCCAATTATTGCATACTTCCATCTCTTTATGTACAGTTAGCTTTACCTCTACGTCGAATTCCAATAGATGACTTCACCTTGGAACCTTGGAAATCAGCTATGAAGGCCAATAGTACCAGGTCCTGTTTTCCTCTTCCCAGTTACGTGGACCACCGCACCCGAGCGCTCGGATACCATGATTCATGAAGTATCATATCTCTTTCCCAACCTGATTTCTCCACGCCCCTCTTTTCCCTTATGTGGGACCATCACGATTTTCCTATCTTGTGTACTCCGTACCTGGCACTGACCCAGGTTACAGCTATGCGCTGGCCCATGCATGACGATAGAAATGGTCGATCACTATCTGCGTGATTTCATAGATTATGGAACTAAGATAACGCCATATCGGTTGCAACCGGTCTTTTAATTCCCCATGTCTTTACCCTTGTACTTTGTAGTATCGATAAGAAAGTAGAAGCTTGTGCCAAATCAAGATTCTACTGACAAAATGTACGTAGTTCAGTAGTTCAATGGCCCCCCCCAAGTGGCCCGTGTTGATTGCCGCTTTCTAGTGTTCTCTCGAACCTTGGAAAGAGCCTATGTGGCGGCGGGATTGACGATGAAACAATCGGGCCGGATCGGACTGTTTCAATTCCATTTCTGGTACAATTAAAATTTTCAAGGTTCTCATGCACGTGGAGTTTTGTATGTGCGACATCCGTTAGGATAGAATATATGATAGTTTGCTCTTCTGGGGTATATTGACTCTATAGTACAAGCCGTTTCAGGATTCTGATACATGCGGCTAAAAAAAAAAAAAAAAAAAAAAGAGAAACATGAAGACCGAAAACATAAAGATCCAAATGATGGGATGACGAGGCCATATTAGGCAAATGCGGATACACCGATTGATGGAGGATGACGCAAAATATTTGCGTGCAAGGTAAAAAAAATAAACCCGGTAATGATTGACGGTGACAAGAGGGGGTAAGATTCATGTGGGTAAATGTAATCTGGTCCAATCGTCATAGACGCTAGTAGTGAAAAAGTATTGTTCGCCGTTATCTGTGCGTCAAAACCGCTAAGGGCGACGATCTTTGTCGAGTTCCAATCTCGCTAGAATGCGGGGATGCTGAAAGAGTGCGTCAAACTCGAAACGGTCGAGGCAAGGAGATAAGAATGAAAGAAAAATGTTGGGTATTGAGAATGCAGTGTCAGGGTATGCCATTGTAGCGCCGGCGCTCGGTCCCCATTGTTGATGATGTGATGCGATTAAAGTATGCAATGCAAAATGATGGTTTTTTTCCCCCTCAGCTCGTCAGTCAAGACGAGCTTGGTTGTTCCCTATCTCGTATGCGCAGGGTCCGGATACTGCGCGGTTCGGTTTCTAGGCAGTTACCGGTAGAAAAGGGTTGAGCTTTGTATCTGATCGTGAGATTGCGAGTCACTCTGGCGGAGATGCTTGTAGGGTTCGATAATTGGGAATGTTGAAGATATTAAAATTGATAGTTCCAAAACCGAGTAGAGAAGAGTCGTTCAGAGCTGAGACCGTCGAGATCGAGGTCATTCTTATGCCGAAGGGGGCTCCCAGGTCGTGAGCGCAGGTGTCGAGACCTGCGCCAGGTTCATTCACAGGTCATTGGGAAGGTGCTCAGTTACTTCGGCAGAGGAGGAAGAGGGCCCTTGGGAGGAGGACCAGGGCAGGGAGGGAATTGAGAGACGGCGATGGAAGGCATTATGAATTGGAGAGAGAAAAGCATTAAAGGCTTTTGAGTTGTGTGATGAGTGTGTATGTGTGTGAGATTGAAGTCGAAGTTGTTGAGAAGCTTAGGTATGATCAAGTGGGAAAGGAAAAAAAAAGAGGAAAGAAAGGATTCTTATAGCAGGAATGGAGATCCCGGTAGCGTTGGGCTAACTTAGTGTAGAGAATCCCTGCTATGAACAGTAGGATCCACTTAAATCTGACGTACCTAATTCGATTTGATTATTAATATCCTGAATGGGAAATAGTATAGAACGTGGTTTTTCTAGAAGCTCTCCACCTGGTTTTTTCTTAGTTCATCCCATTTTCGAACTAGCGGTATCCATAGTATGAAAAAAGAAAAGTAAGAAATATCTACACCTGGGCAGGAATATCTTGAATAATATGTAGAATCTAAGACTTCAATCCTACTTCTCAGTCTTTCTCAGCTCATAAGTATTTTACTCTGTTTATTTACAGCATCCTTGAAACCACGCGGTGACAAGGCCCCAATGGTAATCTCCCATGGACCCACCATGGCTCCATCAGGTTCCTGAATACGGTGAGGAAGAGGCTGAGTACATACTTATTTTATTTTTTCTGTTTTAGAAAAAATCTTATTTATGTTGAATTGTGAAACCCCCCTAAACCGATAAACTTCTAAGAAAATACCAGGTTGAAACCCAATGAATACTCCATACTCAGTACCGGGCTGTCTAAAAAAAGGGGTTCTAAAATTATACTGGGGTCCAGTTTCAAGGACTCTGATTACTGATGAGAAAGTGAATAGGTAACAAGAAAAAACTCAAGTACTTTCAAGGTGAGAGACGTCGTATTCACCTGGACAAAGGTTTAGTTCAAGTAATTCTTACCCGAAGTTCCGTGCTATCCTACGGACTTAAGAACCCTGTCAATACTAGTGTATTATGGTCGGGTTCCCTAGGATAAGATAAGCTGAGGTTGTGGCGTAGAATAATTCATCCTCTAGAGCTGCTGATTCGTTTAGACCCGGAGCTTTCATCATACCCCGGTTGATCACAGTTCTTTCTGTGTTGATCGTAATGTGACACGTCAACCTAACAGCTACTAGTATCCCAACGGGGTAAATAATGCGGAGTATTCCGTAGATTATAATTTGATTTACAATGTTGCCTGGCGCACTGTAGCACTGACTCAGGGGAACTTCTAAAAAACAAACAGTACATTCTTCAATACAATTAGAGTGCGGTTGATTCCATGTTAAGTAAGCCCCATTCTGAGGAAGATTGATCCTTATTTGAAAAAGGTTTCAATGTTTCTCCCCTTCCTATTCTATGCAGTACAGAGTACTTGCTTAGGTAGATTCTAATTGATGGCTGCAAAGAGACCCATAAGTTAGCCCTAATTTTGAGTCTTATTTACGCTACAGAGTACCCGCCTCGTGTGGCTGATCTACCTCTTGAATGCATGGCATAATCCTCATTTCTTCTTTCATCGGAGATTTCCTTAAAAAAAGAAAGAAAAAAAGAGAAAGTATGGTAGTTCAAGGCGTTTGATTGTATGACAAGGTTTGATTGCACCTCTTGACAGAACCTTGGAACAAACCTGTACGGAGTGCAATCTCATTTCCAATAGATGTTCGTGAAGGACTATCCACAATGCAGGTTGGTCATGTACATCATTGGGTGCCGGGGTCGCTTGTTTCAAGTTTTGAGATACAGTGCAGAGATCTAATCGATAGTGACAATGTGGCGTTAAATTGTACCAGTCCAATCAGCCGAGCTCAAAGGGAGTAAATGGAAGTCAAAGACGTGAATTGACATTAGGCTCCCCGCAGCTACAAAGTACTCCATGGAATTACTGAACCTTGTTTCATGAAAAGATAAAAAATAGGTAAAAAAATATCAAGCCCTAAGAGGAGACAACGAGATGAAAAATTTTCAATTTCCGCATGACCGCAGCCCTATATGGTAACACGGGCAGGAACTGTGTGGCCGGGATTTGTTTAAAAAATATTGGATCCAATTACACATCCTTTATTACGAAGTTCCAAGTTGGGATTCAAAAGAGGTATCGGTACCTGGCAGGAGTTCGTGGTTCCGAGCTCCACCTATTATAATTCCCCAACAAAGAATCTCCGAAGAGACAACTGGGAAAGTCCAAGTGGAGAAAATGGAGGAAATGAAATTGAAGCGGCAATTGTCAATTCTTGGAACGAAACACATGGCAGTCAACAAGCTAAGTAAAAAGTCAACCTTGACCGAGGGCTCCGTAGCCTAATTAGGTATAGCCAGGGGTATACCGCTCTTTATGGGTTGACCATCCGCTGTCCACGGGTTCCGCACCGTTGGAAAATTCATGTGGAGTTCTTTCGGAGAAAAAAAAAAGGAGACTTTGGACTTCAACTTTTCATTTATTCATAATTTTTTTTTAAATTTTATTTGATTTGAGGCTTTTCCATTTGGCTTACAAAGTAATGTAATAAAGGCCATCAATTCGAGACGCTTCAATCCACTTGCCGCTTTCGGCATTTGATATCCCTTTTTTTTTAAGCTCCGTACCTGGCGGCTCATGACAGAAAGTACGTGCCCGTTTTTGTCTAGGGTAAAGGATTGGGCTTTAGTGGCGGGACTAATGTAGGTTCCTCACACCGTTTCTCGCACCAGGATAGCTAGTCTGACGAAATATGTACTTAGGCGATGTAACTATGGCCCAAGTACGTACCTAGCTCTACTTCAGTCTACTCCGTACTTTCCCCATGTTAAACGGATATTGTGACTCTCGCATACAGAGTAGAGTTTTCAACTCATCAGGGTCGAAAAGTGGAGGACGTGGACATATGGACATGTTTCAAAATGAAGATCCACATACTTCAACCTTCTTCAATATTCTGGAAAACCTAATCCCGAGGACCCGAGGATTCCGTAGAGGGGTCGAGTTGGGTGGAACTGAAATCCATGATCAGGACTTTAGCACTCCTTACGCAGTTAGGAGTACAGCAGCGTCATCCTTCAGACTTCAAAATTATGAACTCGACCGAGACTATCAAGACATGACCGAGGCTATGACATGATCCGTCTTAGACTCCTGGTAGGATCATGCCGAGGAACCATGATATACTTTTCAGGCGTACCTAGACAAACTAAAACTTCTTCAGCAATTTTAATCTGGACCTGGAAGGAACTTGAAGGATGACGGTGTAATTGAATCATTCCATGCATGTCATGAAGACTAAAATTTGTCTGGATAGTAGACCCCAAACACCATGCATGCATCCAATTTGGGATGTCAATTGAATAAGCTAAAGCATCCCTATGTACCCCTGCAGAGGCCCGTTCGTCAGTAGCAGGGGTCAATATCGGCGCCATGAATCCTGAGCAAAAGCACTTGCGTGACATGCATGTAGAGGTGTGACGAAGAACAGCCTTCTTTTGGCCTAGAGCATAGTACGAAATCGCGCGCATCAACGGCATTTCACACAGCCTTCTTGCAAGAGCATGCAACTCTACAATTTAGACATGTGTTACAGAATAAGGTCTTGTGGACGATCAGGCCACCCACGGCTAGCGGTAGCCGTAGTATGCGGGGAAAACTCAGCTGTAAAGACTATCCGCCGGGGTTGAGAAGTTGTGTAAGGCTTTTAGAACACTCTTTGAATCAACTCAATCCTCGTCAATCCCAGTCTGTACTTGGGTAGAGATCCATTCCTCCATCAGAGGTTGCACCAGTGCCGCTGTCCCAACACTTGTTGCTCTTGGCTTGTCGCCCTTGCGGGAGATGATCAAACACAGCACCCAGCCCCAGATATTGAAGCTTTCATAGTGGGTTTCGAAGCCCATTTTCTTCTCATCGCCTGCCTCCTCGGCTGTGTTTGTCTTCACTAACTTCTTCCTCCTGGATAAGCTTTCTTCTGCCCCACTATCATCTTCGGCATGTGGAATGTCGCCCATATCAAAGTCGGGATCATTATCGCTATCGCTCCCTATGATAATATGCGCGTTATTGGGGTTGCCAGGCTCTATTCCCACATTGAGTTCTCCAGGGTCCTTTGATTTGTAAGACTTGTCGAATGATTTTTGACGCGTTAAGAGCGAATGACGAGTACGCGACTCCCGAAGGAAGATGCCGACTTCAAACTCATCTACAGCGATACGCGTTAATTAGGTTGTTGACGTTAACAAGCATAATAGCACACCTTCAACAATAACATCCTTGACTGCCTTGCTTTTTTTCTTTGCGAACATGCGCTCATTTTCCTCACGCAGCTTTGGCAGGACTAAAGGTCGAATCGCAGCGAACACCCGAGGGAGAATGGGATCACGAGGATCAAGAAGCCATCGTGTGTCCGATGGGTTTTCTAGATATATGCGACACTCGAGAACAGAATATTTACTAATTCGAAGGTAGCGACGGATGGGTGCCATGTTGACATGAACAAGTGTAGAGGTGTGCGAAGTCCAAGGTGAGCTAATCACATGTCATGCCAAGCTTCGTCAACTCATGATCTCTGATTGGATGACAGATACATTATTCATCATGATTTGAATAAAAACCATTAGGAATTTCCATCCTTCCTTCTTTCCTCGAAAAAGATTATGACACTTCTACATTATCACTTACTTCAACTACTAGTCCTCATACTCAACCGTTCCTTCATTAATAAAAACACGTGATCCATAGCCAACCACCGCAACCGAAATGGGAATTACGTCCCCAAGGTCCCCAGTGCCAACCCGCTTCTGAGTGGAGTTGTACCAGGTACCTATCATTATGTTAAGTAATGTATTCTCCCCGAAGTACCCGATACTTTCAAATTTGATGTTTCTACCAGCCAACAAGGTCCCCATTAGATTACGCATTCCTCTTCCCCCCACGTTGGATGGTCATGATATCCGAATGTTCTGTATCAAGTCAATATCTGTGCATTTAGCCAAACTCCTTGCTTCTGAAAAAAGTTCCCATTTTCCTCACTCGTTTATCGTTGCAGACCGTACTGTGAACCCTCCCAAGGTACTCGCAAACTCGAGACTTCCATCGTACTCCCAAAACCTTCACAATTTCATTTCCGATCTCTTAGACTTGATCGTATGCCCACCTTGCATCGCCAAGTCTCTTGGAAAGTTTCTGTTTGCGCTTTCGTGCGTTGAGTTCATCTGCCAGATCTGCCGGGTCTTCACCTTGGATCTCATCTTGCCAAACAAGCCCGGTTTTCTCACCGTGCTAGCAATTGGATTCTCAGTCGAGGACCTTGTGGGCTGATAGTTGCAGAAAAATACCCACATAGAGTCGTCAGTTAGAAATAACTCCCCCTCCACGTCAACTCGAAACTTTTCCCCCACTACTCTCGTTTGTCGTTTTGATCTGGTTGAATATTTTCTCGCAATCTATCAACGATCGTAAAATCTACTCGACAGATACGCAATATTCTCAATTACTGGCAATGGAGTCTTTCAACTCCTTGGTTCCACGCGAGGTTGATACATGTGCCACAGGTAATGGATACGATGGTCGACTTGGTCTGCGCATCTCTTCCATCTTTGTTATCCTGGTCGGCTCTACCCTCGGTGCAGTTTTTCCTGTGCTTACTCGGCGCTTCATTGATCGTGGAGGATTTTTCAAATGGGCATTCTTCGCTGCTAAATACTTTGGATCTGGAGTCATCGCTGCGACGGCGTTTATCCATCTGCTCGCTCCGGCCGAGTCAGCATTGAATAACTCCTGCTTGACTGGAATGATCACTGAGTACAGCTGGGTCGAGGGTATTGTCCTAATGGTCATTGTTGTTTTGTTTTTCGTGGAGCTAATGGTGATGCGATTTTCTAATTTCGACGGTGCTCACGTTCATGATGAAGAGGATAGCACTCAGAATGAGATCGAGAATACCTCACCTGTGTCGGAGGAAGAAAAAAGGAACATGCCTGGCGAAAACCACCTGGGTCACACCGTCACACACCACGATGTCGACGACGACTCAGAGGAAGACAGACCGGCGATCGAAGACTATGCCGCGCAGTTGACAGCTATCTTCATCCTTGAATTTGGAATCATATTTCACTCCATCTTCGTTGGTCTTACGTTAGCTGTATCTGGCTCAGAGTTTATCACTCTGTACATCGTCCTCACCTTTCACCAAACTTTTGAAGGACTGGGCCTGGGCGCGCGTTTAGCTCAAATTCCTTGGCCAGCGAACAAGCGCCGCACACCCTACTACTTAGCATTTGCTTTTGGACTAGCTGCACCCATTGCCATTGCTATTGGCTTGGGTGTCAGAAAGAGTTACCCGCCCACGGGACGAACAACTTTGATTGTCAACGGTATCTTCGACTCGATCTCCGCGGGTATTCTGATCTACACTGCGCTCATAGAGTTGTTTGCCCATGAGTTCATGTTTAGCGAAACCATGCGCAAAGCACCAATCCGCGATGTGCTGCTTGCCCTCTTCCTTCTCTGCCTTGGAGCTCTACTCATGGCCTTACTTGGCAAATGGGCATGATTTACGACTTTGTTCAATGATTTGCTTTGATCATATCATTTTCTTGATCGTTTGCGCGACAAAAAGAACTGGGAATTCAAGATTGTCTCTTGGTAGATGTATCCTTCCCATGTGCTTGTTATCATCGATACCCACTCTGACATATTTCGGCGTTTTGTCAATTTTTATTTCGGGATGAATTATGAGCCTGGGCATGGCGTTTGGGGTTGCTTGGACTAGTTAGATTTGAAATAGGATTGGATTCCGATCACTCGATCGAACAAATGAGATCTTTATTTCCCACGTGTTCTTGATGTAGATCATCACCTTTCCCACCAATCAAGGTTATTACGATGTATGTGGAATGTCAACATCCTAAACCGGCGCGAAAATAACTAGGTATTGTAGTACGGAATAGGCAGTTGTTCTCGGTCGCACTTCCAAGGTTTATGCGTTTGTACCAGATCTTCTACAACCTATGTGACCTAATAGCTCTTTCTCCACCTTGTATTCGCACCAATAGATAAAATCGAGTTGCTTCTATCAGCACGGATCAGATGTCATCCCTTCCCGGTCCAGATGTTATCGTGGAGTCTGCTATGAAGAGCGAGGACCCAGATACAGTGCTTACTGTCGGAGATGTCGACACCAATGTCTCGAAGCGACAGAGCCTCTCCGATTTGTTCACCATCGTGGGTTCATCTGAATTAACATTTCTGCGGACGTTTAAGCTAAACAGTTAATCAATACCTCCAGTTCTCGAGTGGATTTGCTCTTATTAGCGATGGATACCAGAACAATCTGATGTAAGTTCCAAGTCCATCAGAGTTATCAAGAATCATCCTCTCACTCCATTTGATAGGACTATGACCAATGTCCTTTTCAAAGCTGAGTATACCAAGCAGTACGTCTCGAATGTCAGCACAAGAGTATCCAATGCGCTGCTCATCGGTGAAATCATTGGCCAAGTCGTCATCGGGTAAGATCAAGGCACAGCTCCATATACGATCAAGTCTAATAGTCCTGGACCTAGTCTGACCTGCGACTATCTTGGCCGCAAATTTGCCATTGTCTTCACTACCTTGATGATCGTTATAGGTGGTGTCCTCGCTACCGCCTCTCATGGTGTCACCATCGAAGGCATGTTCTGGATGATGACTGTAGCCCGGGGTATCGTCGGCTTTGGTAGGATCTGAATACATCGAACCCCATAACTGCAGAATGCTAATCCTGGTCTTATAAAAGGTGCCGGTGGTGAATACCCAGCATCCTCAGCCTCCGCGTCAGAGTCTGCCAACGAACTGCTTCCCAAGCACCGTGGTCCAGCATTCATCATGGTGACCAACTTCCCATTGTCCTTTGGTGGTCCAATTGCAGTCTCTATCTTCTTGATTGTTCTTATGGCCTGTGGCCAAGCACATTATAGTACCGTGTGGCGCGTGTGCTTCGGTATCGGTTGCATCTTCCCACTGACTGTGTTCTACTTCCGCATTCGTATGCTGAACTCGGCACTCTACCGCCATGGTGCGATCAAGCGACGTGTTCCCTACAAATTGGTCATTCGATACTACTGGAGGACGCTGATTGGTACTTGTGGAACATGGTTTCTCTATGGTATGAACTATCTAAATATCATCTTATCATTCCGAAACACTAACATCTTGAACAGACTTTGTCACATTCCCAAATGGGGTTTTCTCAGGCACCATAATTTCATCCGTTGTCGGCAACGGTTCAATCAAGCGGACTGCAGAATGGCAACTCCTTCTCGGCGCCATCTCGCTCCCTGGAGTCTTCCTTGGCGCATGTCTGTGCGATAAAGTCGGCCGTAAGAATGTGATGATGATAGGATTTGCAGGCTATCTTGTCTTCGGTCTAATAATAGGATGCACCTACGATAAAATCAGCAAGGTAGTCCCCCTCTTTGTCGTCATTTACGGCTTGATGCAAAGCAGCGGAAATTTTGGCCCTGGAAATATGCTCGGTCTGCTTTCCTCGGAATCATATGCGACCGGTGTACGTGGTACATGCTATGGAGTCTCAGCTGCAATTGGCAAGGCAGGGGCTGCTATTGGAACGCAGGCATTTACGCCCATCAAGAATCATCTCGGCAATCGGTGGACTTTCATCATTGCTGCCATATGTGGCGTGGTCGGCATTCTGGTTACTTGGTTTTTTGTACCTGATCTGTCGGGTGAGGATTTGCAGGTGCGAGATGAGAAATTCCGTGCTTATCTGGTGTCTAGGGGCTGGGTTGGCTCTATGGGCGAGGATGATTTGATGGATGTAGCCGATTATGGCCTGCAAACCGTTGCAACTAAGGCAGTGATTTTGCCCAAGGAGGACCGTTCGTAGATTTCTCAGATTGAAGAAATAATGTTCAATCGATTCTTTAGATAGCTGAATACAAGTTCAAGGACTTAAGAAAAGTGCCGTTCTACCAATTCCAACCCTAAATGCCGACTCCGCTCGGCAGACCCACACCTCCGCAGCTCCACGTTGCATTCCTTGCTTTGACATCAACTCCCCCTTCTACACTCAATTAACCCCACAACCTCCAACATCATGCGTCTCGCCACCATCCTCCTCTCCCTCACTTCCCTCGCCTTAGCTGCCGAGGTTGGCATCGAGGTAACCCACAAAGTCGAATGCACCCGTAAGACCCAAAACGGCGACGGTGTCAAGATGCACTACCGCGGTGCACTAGAGACCATCGATGGCAAAGAATTTGACTCGAGCTTCAAGCGCAATGTGCCATTGAACTTCAAGCTTGGAACCGGTCGTGTGATCAAGGGGTAAGTTTGCCGAACTCACCTATAATTACAATAGGCCTGGCTATGAATCTAGCTAATCTAACGGTTGTCTTGTATCTAGATGGGACCAGGGTCTTCTTGACATGTGCGTTGGTGAGAAGCGCACACTTACTATTCCCCCCGAACTCGGATACGGCGATCGCAATATGGGGCCTATCCCTGCTGGCTCGACACTGGTCTTTGAGACTGAGCTTGTTGCTATTGATGGCGTTAAGAATGATGAGCTGTAAAACGGTTGACGACTTTGGGTTATGAAACTTATTTCTTAATTGTTTAATTCGTCCCTTCATTATGGTTGTGATTGAGAATATCTATCCTTGTAAATCAGATATCAACTTAGATAGGTGTATATTTCAACGTTATATTCTAAGGTTACTGGGCCTCATTTCCATCTCATCAAAGGCGCTAGCCCTGCCAACTGAAACCTTGGAATGAGATCAAAGGTGGTTGATAGCCTCTTCTTTAAGCCACTTTTTCTTTGATAGACCCCAAATATTGGAAGTTAATAGGGATGATGACCTAACTCGAGAACAAAGGGTAAGATATTGAATAAAATATACACGTTCCCTCCCTACCCAAGTGGAGGTCTGTTCATAACCGATCAATATCTACACTCCAAACACACATCTGTCCACCAAGCCATCTACAAACCACATTACCACCTTGACTAATATTCTCAACCCAAACTAAGACAACACAATACCACTATCCAAGATATTTCAACCAATGTATACAAACCACCTCAACGGAACCAGTGCCGGCCCCGGACTCTCAGAAGACGCCATAAAAGCTCTGCGCCGTATCAGAATTTGTAAAGAAATGCAAAAATCGAAACTTGGAGGATATCGTGAGGCTCTCTGTCCTTTCTGTAATCACCCAGCTGGATTAGGTGTGCAAGTTGTCAAGTTGCCGTGTGGGCATTGGCTTTGTCTTGACTGTGTAGAAGAGTGGCTTGAAAAGAACAGGCATTGTTATATGCGAGCGTGTCGTTGCAGTGTCGAGAATCCGTCTCTACCACCCGCTCCAAAGAGAGCTTACCCTCTTCAAAATCCTGTCTGGCCACTTATTCCTGGGAGAGGAGGTTAAGGTTGTCGAGGCTGAAGTATACTTTGGACTGACAGAGGCAAAACGCTTCTCTAAATATATGAAAGGTTTGCGTTGGTTGAATGGGGAATATGTACGAATTGTATCAAAATGGAAACCTAAAAAGGAGCCATGGCAGATGGATAAGACGGATAATATCGAATAGACTTCTTCCTATTCGGGTGCGGACATTTGATCTCATCTTCGAGGTAGCATCTGGGCAGGGCAAGAAGTGTATTTTTAGAGCTGGGAGTTCCAAGGTTTTTGTGGCCAGACGAGCTACTTCCAAGTTAACCAGAGAGAATTTGGGACATTAGGTGTTCAGATAGTATACCTGAGTAACTCTCCTATATGATATTTCCCAGCGTACTACTTATACAAACTAGGTAGTGATTTAATATAACGGTTTCAGAACATAGCGGATCTTAAGGATACTGCCTGTTGGGCCATAACTTCCAAAGCTGGACAACTTATTCGTCGCATGTTTCATTTGATAAGCAATACACGTTGAATGCCTGCCCCATTAAGAAGCACTTCAGTATCCCGAGAAAGTCTCGTCTCGACTCAATCTATCCGCTTTCGATGTAACAGTAGAATTAAAATAATTTTACAATCGATGAACCAATGTTTGAAGTGATAGAAACGCCCTCCAACTTTTCGCTCCCAAGTTTGAAGATGAATCTTTTGTATCGGTAGTCAAGGTTGAGGACTCCTTGATAGCTGTCGAAAATAGCCCCTAAGGGATGGGATGAAGCTGAGGATCAACTTTCCGGGATGTACTGCAAGTAGTCGTATTTTTTCATGTAGAAACTGCCCATGAAAACCCGAAGAATTTGTTGTAGGAAAGTCCATCCGCTTCTTATACTACGGGTTTGAACTACAGTCTGTAAGCCTACCTTTAGTTGATGGCTTCCGCAGGACGCACACTGGTGGTTTGAAACCTCTGGCCCTACTCAGCATGAGGTGGAATAGATGTTAAGGTCGATCATGTCTCCCGTCACCCATCCAGTTGATGAGTTTGTTTCTCGCTACTCGTTAATATTGGGCCGTGAAGCGCTTTGGGTCAAATGTCCAGAACTCGTCATCCGACGCTGGGGAGTCCAAGTTGCCATTCTGGAGGCTCAGCGGGGAGGCTTCCTCAAACGAGGAATAGTCGACTGCGTGTGCCATCGCAAAATGGCAACAGTAAGAGTGCGATGTAGAATCTGGTTGCGTAAAAGGCGGTTGAAACATAGAAGTGGAATGATAAATAAGAAGTGGTTGCAAAAGCGGTTGCTGGAGTTTGTGGCTTGTAAAGGTGGTTACTATACCTGAGCCAGCCAAATTCATAATGGAGCCATCAAAAAGAGTCCGCTGATCTGAATACTGCGGTATAACCTCATTCAGAGGTGTAATGACTTGGGAAAGTGGTTGTAGTTGAGTGGAGAATGTGACTACACAGTGAAATGATGGGAATAGCAGCGCATGTAACAGCGGCGTAGATGGAGGAGCGACATAAACAAGAGCTATTAACGTCTTTTCGCCGGCAGAGGGTGATTTTTGGTCGTAGTTGGTCAAACCCAAATCCTTGATATAGACTAGGAACAAGACTGATCACATATGGCCGCCATTGCTTTATTACTCGGGCTATAAGTGGGGTGAGAACGAGTGCGAAGGCGAAGCAGAAAAAGCTAAGTGAAGACAACCTTGGAAGAATTTGAGAAGATATTCCAGCGGCGATGAGGAAGACTCTTTGTGAAACTTCCAGTTAATTTGAGTGGATATTGCCCATGCCACATCTGACCCCGAAAACTTGAAGATTACGATTGAGAATTCGAACAAATCATCTTTGTTTTCGAAAGTTTGGCTCTGAAACTCAAGTCATATACTTGTCCTCGAGGTTGTTTGTTCTCAACGAGGTCTCCAGAGTAACCGCTATGTAGTACCCACAGGGAATAGATCTGGTGAGCAGCTTTCCTAATCACATTATTTATCATTTAGAGAAATAACATTATTCTTCAGAAGCTTTGAGTCGATAAAGCCATACTCAATACTCAAGTATATGAAAATTTCTTGTAGTCTGGCGTATATTGGGTATAGTAGGCCAAGTATATAAGGATGGCAGTGACAGATCAGTCGTAATCTACTCCGTAATCATATAAAATGGTAGCCCTTTAGTCCATCGCATCCAGGGTACCCTCATCCTGGGTATCATTCTCAGAAACCAAAATGCCAACTAAACACTCATTAAGAATGCCATCCCAATTGACCCATGGGTGAACCTCCAGGAACAATTTCCCAGAGTCCTTCCCCGCGCCGCGCAGGAGTTCCCCCTTTCCACCAGGATGGTATGGGATATAAGGGTTGATATTGTACACTTTGCCCAAGTACGATGTCCAAGCGTCGCGGCCCTTGCGTCCATTCTGTATTTTCAGCATAGATGGCGTCACGCGTAGTAGACCTTGCGGGACTCCTGCACCACGTAGTTGGCTATTAGGATTCGCTGCCAGTGCTGCCCAGTCGAGAGGGGAGTAGCCCGGGTCGAGGATCACTCTTTTGGAAGATGATGGTTTCTTCAAAGATAAGGATGTCGGCGCCAATGTACTACTGCTGAGACCGCTGCTTCCAGCGCCTGGGGGCACACGCAGTCCTGCGGCGGCGGACGGGGGCGGACGAGGAGAGCCACTGACACGGGGTGGTTGAAGCCCTCCACCTGGGGTCCGATTGGGTTGAGGTGTTGTGCAGAGGCGCGGGACTGGAGGCGGTGGCATCAAAGAAGTGTCTGTAATGGTCGACCGCTTTGGTGGGGGCATAGATGACGGTGCTGACGACTTTGCATATTGTTTTCGGGCATTGAGATCTGTCAGTACCGGTCCCTCTGCTGATTTATTGACTGCCACATTCTCTTTAGATTCCTCTAGATTCAGTGTAGGCACTGCTAGTACAGGCGATGTTGCATACGATGCTGATGCCTTTGGGGTTGATGCACTGTCATCGCCGGCCTCCGCCGACGAAGGGTTTGGGGCTACATCACTAGAGGGCTCGGCGATTGCAGCTGATTCGTGAGACGAGCGAGTCCAGCTACGTGGGAGGTAGTTGGAGATGAAATTTGCGCTCATGACAATACCACTGGACTCGATTAAAAGGCGTGAAGTGGCGTTTGGACGAGATCGGTGGTCCGTGCGGCCACCGAACATATGCTTTAAGCTTCAAGATCAATAAGCACTAGTTACCTAGGGAAATAATGATATTATGGATATACTAGGCAGATGCCTATTTCCCTGTTAAAATGCACGTAGCTCATTAAAACCCAATCGATCGTTCTTCTCATTATTTCGACCAGTATTTCTTTGGCCAACGTTTCTTAGCTCACGATAATATGGCATGTTTTCTGTGTTTCATCTAATCCTAATATCTATAGATCTACTTTCACATGGGGTACTATAGAACAGCCTAAATTGGTAGTTACAACAACCAGTGGACTTTAGACTGGAGTTCCATACCTAGAACCAAAGCGAGAGGGAAAAAAAAGCCGGCTAAATCAAAAAGCTTTCGTCGTGGGGCAAATTAGTCAGTAGATTGAGATAAGTCCATGGTTCTCATACACAAGATGGATCTAGATTGCATTCCTCGGGCAAAGGCGTTCATGATGTCAATCCACCATCACCCTATGCATCTAATATTGCAGCCCTGAGTGTCTTTATAATCAAAGGATTGTATTGTTTACTGCTTTTTCTGATATTTTCCAGGCAACTGTGAGAAACTTTCAGTAGGCTCCAGACTCGAATCATGACTACCGTCGACGCAGTTCGGATCTTCGATGTCGGAGCAGGTCAAGTATGCCTTATACCTAGCCCATTACAGCAATTACTGACATGCAGTACAGGTCCAGGGTGCTAGACCATATCAAGAGGATCGATACACAGTCCTCCAGCCGGAAGAATTCCCCGCGCAGACACATGACAAGATAGGATTCTTTGCTGTATACGACGGACAGTAAGTTCCAACAAACTCTGTTGAGAACAAATCTGACTGATCTAGTGGAACGGGGTCAGTTTCAGAACATGCCAGCAAAAACCTACATTTTCTGTTCGCTCAACGACCCGAGTTTAACAAGGGTGACTATGCCAGTGCAATCAAGGCCGCTATTTCGGACGAGGATCGTGTATTATTCAAGCAATTCATGAAAGAGAGTGAAGAATCCGGATCCACGGTAGCGGTATGTATAATCAACTTCACAGAGGGTGAGCTCATTGTCTCAAACCTGGGCGACTCGCATGTCATTTTGGCGGAGAGAGATCCCAAGACAGAGCAACCATTTCACATCGTGCGTAATGATCCTCCAATCACGAAGAGAAGAGGGGTTAATCAAGACGCTAGAGACGGGTGACAGAGGCACACAAGCCGGAGATTCCGAGTGAAAGGAAACGCATTGAAGAAGCAGGGGGTGAAGTTGTGGTACGCAGGGGGATTCCTCGAATCGGTGAGTGTACCCCTGTCTCTTGTCTCAATTATCTGAACAGGTCCCAGGCATCAGATGGCTGATAAGAGGATAGGATGTCTTAATATGTCGCGCGCTCTAGGGGACTTGCAATACAAGAACTTCAACATAGTGAGCACGTCAGAAGACGGACCCACAACAAGTTCGACATGGGGGAACTTCATATCAAATGAGCCATATACATCGAGACGAACACTTAAGAAAGATCGACGGTACATTCTCGTGATTGCCTCAGATGGTGTCACTGACCGCTTTGAGGAAACTGACATAATCCACCACGTGATAGAGCTGACCCAACAGGGAAAGCGGGCTAGTGACGTTGCTGAATGCCTCGTTAATAGATGTGGAAATCATATAAGAAGTGACAACGCCTCTTGTATAATAATGATGATAGACGGACAAGAGTCCTGACTCTTGACTCCTAAACAATCCCTATCTTCTGTTCGATCTATCGTATCCACCTCAACCACAAAAACTCCATAATTATATCCACAATTCGACAGCATAGAGTTCCTTTCTGTCCAGAACAAGAAGGTGGTTTTTGTACATCAAATGACAAATCGGTTCCATAATTTTCATAATTTTATAATTTTCAACGGGGCGCAACTCTTGGACGACGGGCGTTGGGAACATGCCAAAAATCCATACTCTTTATTATTATTATTATTATTTTTCCCCTACAAAGTACATCCTCCTTGACTAGTGTACGTCCTTTGATAAACTAGGTTAAAGTAGAATCGCCGCTGATTAGCTCCGATCGGTTCCAAGCTGAATAGATAGGAAGTACGGACTACAAAGCTGACTCTTTTTTATCTCCGAATTTATCGCAGCAAATAGTATTACTCCCCTCTTCTTATACCGAGGTTGTTTTGATTGCCATACATCCCAGGGCTTCCTAAAGAGGAAGCTCCGAAGCTTAATGATCGTGGTCACGGGGTGGAGTTGATTTCGATGAAGCACTAATCACCTTCCCTGACGGTCATAATGCTACCATCTCGCCATTTAAGCATTGGAATATTTTTACATTTGGTTTTTATTCATTTTTTGATTTTCCCCCTTTCTTTAATATTCTTCTATTCCATTATCTGAATTCTGGCCTGATTTTGTGCGGTTATTTTTCTTTTCTGAAAATGACATCGACTCAAGCTCGTCTCGGGCTCACTCCAAAATCCTGCAACATGGCTTCTGCCTCTTGGAATAACTTCCACATAGGAAAGGATTGCGGACACACAAAATGGTCTAGGAAAATTGCTCCTAAGATGACTGTCTCGTCCGGCCAGATCGTGACCTTTGACGCCGTTGATAGCAGCAATGGCCAACTTACAAGGACATCCGACGCCTCATCAATTACGACACTAGACCTCAGTAGCTGCAATCCTGTCTTTGGTCCAATCTATGTGCAAGATGCCCAGCCCAGTGACATGATCAAAGTCGACATCCTGAACCTGGAGGTAGCCGACTGGGGTTGGTCGGCCATCATCCCTGGCTTCGGATTGCTTGCCGATGAATTTCTAGAGCCCGAGATCAAGATCTGGTCCCTCGATCGGGAGAAGGGCTACGCTCAATTCAAGGATATTCGGGTTCCTCTTCGCCCTTTCCTAGGCTGTATGGGTCTGGCACCCGGTAACGACGAAGAACTATCGACTATCCCACCCACTCACGCCGGCGGAAACATGGATTGCCGAGAACTTAGCGTCGGCTCTTCGGTCTACCTCCCCGTTCAGACAGCTGGAGGCCTCTTCAGTTGTGGTGATGGCCACGCTGCCCAAGGCCACGGTGAGGTCTGCGGCACTGCCATCGAAACGCCCATCCGAGCTACTCTTCGCTTCGAGCTCTGCAAGAACCAACCCTGGGTCACTACACCGCAATACCAGACCCCTCCTCGATCACAAATACCCAACCCTCTTCCAGACCTTGGAACCTATGGTGTCTTGGGAATCGCTCCAGATCTATTCCAGGCTGCTAAGAGTGCTACCAGGAATCTCGTCCAATGGCTAGTCTCGGTCAAGGGACTTACTCGTAGCGAGGCTTATATCCTTGCTAGTGTTGTCGGCGACTTACAAATCGTTGAAATTGTCAACGTACCCAACTTTGAGGTGTCTATGAGTGTTCCACTGGGTATTTTTTAGCTAAGCTGAGATACCGGACGAGTTCTTTGGAAAAAGAGGGATATGAAATTTGGCGTGATACCCCCAGTGATGCATTTTGATGATTTGCTTGCGTAGTTCTGTTAATATTGTCGACTTCCAAGGTTCAGCCTTGATTGTTTTGCATACCTAGGCATACCTAGGCTTAAATAATTCTAGCACACAAAATTAAATAATGACTTAAAAATATCACCTCCATCGCAAATTCCACTTTTGTAACTACCTTTAGGGACTTTGTTCTGAAGAGTAATCTCGGTCAAGGTGGAATGGATAACCATGTCTACCTAGGGAACAATTTCGTCGGAACGATCACCAATTTTACTTTTTGATAATAGCTCGTCGCTCGCATTGGAATAAGTAAGAGCCAACTACTTCGTTCTTCGTAAATATCTATGTAGGTACTTTATTTCTAGTCACATGACAGCGCGTATCGGCACCTCTTGGCGTGACAAGCATCTCGAATCTCTACCTCTCGAGGACACGATGTCATGGATCCCATTGTTGATGGCTTAAATGCAGCTCAACGTGAAGCCGTCACGTCGCCAAATTCAATTTTACAAGTACTGGCACCACCAGGCTCCGGCAAGACCAAGACCTTAACAGCACGCGTCGCGTACTTACTCTCCCACCATGGATATCTACCTCAAGATGTCATTTGCTGCACGTTCACCATCAAGGCAAGCCGAGAGATGCGCGTGCGTCTAGCGGCTTTGATTGGGAAACAATTGGAGAGCAGACTTATCCTAGGGACTTTTCATTCGATTTGTCGGCGGTATCTGGTCAAATACGGCTATCTGATTGGGCTAAGGAAGGGATTCGGTATCGCAGATTCGGACGATAGTCGGGGTATTCTTCGTGTGAGTAGTCAATCAAGATGAACTTTCTTTTTCAATCCCTTTTTTGTTTACGGAGATTGCCAGCGAATTATCAAACGCCTGAATTCTGTCATCGAGGTGAAGGCTGCCCTAGGGCGGATATCACGCCATAAAGCTCATGGAATTTCTCCAGATGCCCTGGCTGAGACAGCCAAGGCTGAAGAAATGGAACTGGTAGATATCTACCGCCAATATGAAGCAGCACTCGCAGCATCGAATCTCGTGGATTACGATGATCTCTTACTTCGGTGTGGAGATCTTCTCAGAGCACACCCAGACTGTGTATCTAACGTTCAGGCTGTCCTGGTGGACGAGTTCCAAGATACGAACATCATCCAGTATGAGTTGATGAACCTCTTTGCTTCAAAGAACCGGCGCATCACAATCGTTGGTGATCCCGATCAGAGTATATACGGATTCCGCTCTGCGGAGATTCAAAATCTCAAGCGTATGCAGCGGCGATATACACACACGTCTGTTGTGCTCCTCGAATCAAATTATCGCTCTTCAGCATCTATTTTGAATTCAGCTCAGGAAGTAATTGAGCAGGATACCACGCGTCCCGCCAAAAAGTTACAGGCTACTCATACTTTTGGGACTATGCCTGTATTGAGAAAACTCCCCACAGTGACTGCAGAAGCAAACTGGATGGTCTTGGAAATCAAGCGCTGCATTGCAATGATGGGTGGTGTCTTGAAAATGTCCGATTTCGCAGTGCTACTGAGATCGACCTCGTTATCGACACGAATTGAAACGGCGTTCGGCCGAGCCGGTATCCCCTACAAAATGGTTGGCGGGCGAAAATTCTTTGATCGTACAGAGGTCAAGACCTTGGTCAACTATTTGAGGGTGGTCAGCCATGCTGAAAACACTGATGCTCTGCTCGCCATCATCAATGTTCCCCCACGACGGGTGGGCGATGAAACAATCAGACAGCTGACCAGCGGTGCGGAAAAGGCCAAGATTCCCCTGTGGGCGTACATCAAAGATGTAATACAAGGGCGCCGGTCTACAGAAAAGAAGTTACAGAAGGCTGCAGAGCAAGGGCTTTGTTCTTTAATGAAGCTGATTGAGGCGGCGAAGCTAAAATTACAAGAGTGCCAGGATGCCTCAGCGCCACGCATTCTCCTAGAGTATGTCACCGACAGTCTCTCGTTCCAAGAATACCTCATTAGAACCTATCCGCTGGATGAAGATGGTCGCTGGGCGAACGTCAAGGAACTGATGGGGCAAGCGAATGAAAGCGCACTCTCTGGTGAGGAGGCAGACCAAGAGAATGATCTGCCCGAGATTGAAGGCATCGAGCAGCAAGAGACGCATGCCGGTGAGGAATCTCTGTCTCGATTCCTGGCCAATGTTGCCCTAGCCACCGAGGCCACAACAAATGAAGAGGGTGAGCAGATAACTGAGAAAATCACAATCTCCACCATTCACGCAGCCAAAGGTCTGGAGTGGCCTGTAGTCTTCATCCCAGCCGTGTACAATGGAAGCATCCCTCACTCGCGAGCAGAGGTGGTTGACGAAGAAAGGCGATTACTGTATGTTGCGATGACCCGAGCGCAGGCCTTGTTGTATCTAAGCCTTCCTCTGCGCCAGCCAAGGATGGGCGAGGGCGAGGATTCGTCAACCACCTTGACTCCATTTCTTCCTTCAAAGCTAATCAAAACCCGTTTTCGCCCTGTGGGCCCTCAATTTCACGAAAATGTTGTCTACTCAATCTCTGATATCTTACGGCGGCCGCGGCCCTCTCCAGATGACATGTACAAATCACTTAGTTCTCTTCCATCAACCCTCGATGATCAATGGACACCCGAGGGTGAGGAGAAACGCGACCCGGAGTCTGAATGGAAAAGACCTGACAACCCGTCTGGTGAGCCATGGCCTAAGCGACGTCGATCTGATAATCATCAGCCAATGACGACGACCTATCTCGCAAGCGGTGCTCTTAGTACGGGCAACACGTCAAACTTCATAACGCCTACGACAATCTCCACAGGCTTTACATCTGCGCGCGATTTTGTAGCTACAGCAGCAAGCAACCAGCCTACGGTTATCGATCTAACCTCCAATGTAGCTAACGAACCAGCCCAAGCCCCAGCCACAAAGGCGAAAGGCTCCAATCACAAAGACGGGTTGACGCAGGCTAGCATTTCCAACTTCTTCAGTGGACCAGGAGCCTCCCAGAAGCGAACGCCCATGTCAACTATTGATCCTGCAAGTCAACTAGTGCGAACCAGCCATCTAACCCACCCCCCAAGACTACATTCAGGAGCGCAAGTGGTTTCACCAGCGCTAATCTCTCACCGTCTTCAACCTCGGCCACTTCGCCCATCACGACCAAACCTAGAGCCCACCGAGCCAAGCAATTACTCGTGGATGGCCGCGCCGTCGCAACCGGCCGTGAAACCCGCCCGTATGCTACAAGCAAAAGAAAACAGCTCAGAAGCACGGGCCGAGACGGAAGACGTGAAACATAACAGCTCCACCTATCTGCCATCTACGACGTTCCACAAGACCACTATGTCTATGGTCCAACAGCAACCGCCGGTGCGTCGGACGTTAGGGATTCGTCGGAGCATGAATGGATGGCAGGACCGGATGAAGCGGGAGGGAGATGGTCCAGCTCGCTGATGGAGAAAAGATTTCAGTCTCAGCTATATTTACATGTACACTCCACATACCATATCGTACTCCGTAATTAGGTACCTCAGTACCTTTGTGAGTCAGACGGAATGAGGAACAAACTTCATATTCATCCTCTATCTACCTCGTACCCAAATTGAAGAATTTAGGCCGATTATCAGCAGACATGAATACGCAAACTTGAGCAGCTCAGGACCATCTGGGGGAGTCGGTCTACCTAGGTAGCGTAAATTGACACATCCACTAGAGCCTTTGCCCCTAGCTGGAGAAACATAAGTTGTAGCGACGAAAAAGGTATATTTTGCATCATTGCTGAAGGACTAGTACGTACACGTATTCACACTAGACTCCGTATAATATCCAGTGGGTAAGGTAGATCAGGGGAAAATATAATGATGCTATTGGATGCAGAACTACGCCATAACCGCGACGATCAAGCTTCTCCGGGGAAAGGACTAAGCAGAGGTACCACGTAAAATGAACCTGGACCGAAGTGGAGTGAGTCGGTGAGAAACAAAGGGAGATGCATTACGCGAGGATGGAGCATTGAAATAGAGCGGTGAAGAGCTCAGGAATTCATTACAATATCAACGAAGAGAGTACGAAAGAGAAGAGTCCATATGTATCGATTTACTGCTAATCTATTATTGGATCCACTGTGGATCTATAGTACACGTATTGTAATCTGTATTTATTCTCACTGGCTGCCCTACTTTACAACTTAGCTTCTAACCCAATCATGCACTTCTCCTTTCCAATAATATCAATAATACTAATACCAATTACCATCCAGGTCGATCCATTCTGAAAGCTTTCTTTTCCCTGGATACTTCGCTTTCTCTTTCTCCGGGGTAGATCAGATGAACGCTCGATTGGGAATGGTCCGGGGTTATACATAAAGGCCCTGATTGAACATACGTCGTACTCTATTCTCTATCATCTTTTCAACTTCGTTGCTTTTCTTCCACTTCCAAGCTTACCTACTTTATAATATACCAAGTACCAAGTACCCGTCCTATACTTCATAGATCGATTCGATCTCGAAAAAGCAGTTCAACACTGCCAGGCATCAACCACCCCTCCATCTCACAAATCTGAATTGCTGTTTACTACTCTCCTCACAATCTCTATTCAATCCAAACAAAATGCCACACAAAGTCACCAACGACTCAAATTCCACTCTGTCCAGCAGAGGCAGTAGTGACCAAGATGTCATAGCAGAAGTCCAAGTCAGAGGTATGCCAGTCCAGAGCATCCACCCCCCTATCCACCAACATCTACCTATTCTCCCTTGTCGAATTCATTCAGATTCAGGCTAATGCAGATGCACTATGGTTCAGCCGCCCGTCCTATCCGCAAACCCCCGGTCATTATCCATAACAAGGGTGGCCAGACATATGACGAAACGAGACCGTCTGATTGGGACAAACAACGCTGGAAATAGTTTAGGACAGACGGCGGCAATTGCAACGTTCAGACCCAGACGCATGACCAGAGCGGAAACCATGTACTACCTCTAGGTAGTTCTGGGCTTCTTTCAACCTACGAAGTACGAAGAACTCATTTCGTCTTCATTGTTTGGCTTGCTTACCCGCGCGGCCTGGGGAAAAGTGACAGGGCTAGGAATGAAGGCTAAACCCGCCAAAAGCTAAGCGGTAATTGACAGGGTAATTTCCCGATTACCTTTTTTTCCCTTGTTTCCTCCCTATCTTGGATTTCGATATATGGATTGGATCTGTATGTCACATTTCCCTTCCCTCCTGACTCGAATTCCGGAGTCCGGCCTTTTGTTGCTCGTCGTCATTGCCCGTCGTCATTGCCAATGTGGCTGTCCTACAAACCCCAGTGTTACTATTGTGCTATTTCTGGGGATGGGAGATCCACTTCCATTTTCTTCTTCTCGAGGTCCCCTTGTATCATCATCAATATTTGCAGCGGTTTTTTTTTTTTCAAGTTTGGGGCTCTGTTTTCTTTACTGTCTCTCTCCTCTCTTCTCTTTCCCTTTTCTTCAACTACAAGGGTTCACGTGATTTTTATGTATTTTATTCAAGGTTCTGTGGATTGGGTGTCTTCACAAAGCATAGCGTGGAAATGGGAATCATAATTTGCCATACTGAATCTGGATCTGGGTCTACCTCAGTGGCTTAGTAGTTAAAATGGAGTAACCCTTTTTTTTCCGCTGCAAATTCCAAATAGTGAGGAAAATACGGTTTCAATTAATTAGATACTATGTAGATAGATCAAAGGTAAAGGTGCTTGTCTAGATGAAACGATGAACCCTCTGGTGTTTACATCCTACTCTTTACGGATAGCTCTAGGCCGCTTGTGACTGGTCACATGATTCACTTGGGTATTCCAGGGATCCACAACATATCTCCAGGGCTAGATCAAAAGCTTGAGTTGGCATACTTATCTACACTATGTGCTGTAGCCTGAGAATGGAATGTTAAGGAAGAGACCGGGAGAGAAGGAAGATATCGGAACATATTCTAGATGTCACGAGATAATTGGATCTCGGAAGATAGAATTCTGAGAGATAACGGGCGTAAGTATGAAAGTGGACTAGGTTGCACTACGTACGTAGGACGCCCGGTGTCTCGAGCGGGTCGCTAGCGATTTCCTGTATGGGTGGAATGTTCAATGTTCAATGTTCAATGTTGATAGTTGACAGCTGCCCAGTTGGACTTTGATGTTCTAATTCAAGGCCTGTTGGGACGATATTCCCTGCCTAACACATGCAGTGTTAGCTATCAATTTCACGAATGAGACTTTATATCTAGGTAGGTAATCTTGACTTACTGGGTTTGCCCTGGTGGTGATTGTATCAAATTTGGTTTCAAGAGGGTTTGAATGAATCCATTTTATCCGATGTCCCGTTGGTTATACCCTAGGTTATGAGGTACTTGAATAAGAACGTGAGTATATACTCACATGCGTTGAATGGAGCTGGAATGAATGATCAGTAGAACATTTGAGCACCTAATGTGTAGTAGTCACTTAGACAGTATGGGCGTGGAGTCAAGTTTCCACGGTGTTGAGAATCATCCATAAGTGACCAGGTGGTTGATGGGCTACATCGAGGGACAGGGAATCCCCCTAGATACATAGATAGAACACGACGTAAATCTAGAATCTACACCCGACTACGAAAATTTTACAATTACAGAATAAGCTCAGCTGAGTAGAAGAGTGGATATCATTAATTGGCATTCCACAAAAGAAACTAACGACCTTGCTCAAGCTTTTAGCCAGAGATCAAGGACATTTTCGAACTAAGTACAGAAAGATTGGGGGTTGGGTTTGGGGGATTGTCAAATTTTCAATCTCAGGTCTCTCACCCCAGGAGACCGCCATATTTTTTGCAGGTTTTCTCTCATTTTCTGCTTTTTTTGTGGCCCGTGTGATCTATCTCACGAAAACCTGTCTCGAAGAAATAAAATCGAGACATCAGACTTGCGAGATAGCTCATTCCTCTCTGAGCTCGGTGATCGAGGCCAGAAGCGAAAGGCTAGACACATTAAAGACTATTTTTTTTTTCGATAAGATGGGATGTTGGGAATGGGGATGGTGTTGGGGTAGGGGTAGGGGTAGGGGTAGGGGTAGTGATTCAAGGCAGATAGTAGAACTGCGAACGATCGTCTAGTGGTAAGTTGGGAAAGGCGCAGCGCCAACAGGCGCGCAGCAGAAGTAAAGTGGTCGAGGGAATCGTTTCCTTTTTCTCTCGACAAAAAGAAATGAAGTGCGTGGGGGATATGACAAAAAGATGCAAATCAAATCAGAATGGCTCGCTCGTGCAATGCTATGTTGGAAAAGATATCGAAAATGCAGACAATGACCCAGAAAAGAAAAAAAAAAAGAAAAAGAAAAATTGGGACAAAGGTAAAAGAAGGGTATGCAATTTTTTAGACAAGAAAAGAAGGGGCTGATCTCGGACTCTGGTCTTGAAGGACTGAAGCCGAATGCAAAGGCAAATCGAAGCAAGATGGAGGATGGAGAGGTCAAGTGTCGGGGATTATTAGCACTCAGACGCAGAAGTACAGGCAAAGATTAGGGTTGTAATGAACCGGGGGTCGAACAAGTGACTTCTGCAAATCAAATGCATGCTGGGCAAGGATAAAACAAATGAACCGAAAATTGAGATACAAGACGCCGAAAACAAACGCTTTTGAATAGCTGCTCTGACGTCGTCCCTTTTGGCTAAATGGTTTCTTAGATTGCGCCAGCGTACACAGGGTCAATGACCATTTGAGCCTGCGATTGGAACTGCAGGTGCTGTTGCTGTGACATGTACATTACCTCCTGTTGCGAGTAGGCCTCAGTGTTCATGTATTGCATATCTGAAGATGAAGCTGGCGAAGGAGAGCATGCGGCCGCAGTGGAGTGGGCAGCCATCTGGGTCTGTGCAAAGGCTACATTTTCGGGAGTGATCGGGGGAGTAAGGTAACCGTGGGGAACAGCGGTCAAGTGCGAAGACTTCTGAGGAGTGGCCAGGCCGATTTCACCATTGTAAGGTTTGGACTCCATGGGGGTCTCGACAGGAGGTGTGCAACGGGCGTAGTTGGTTAACGACGCCTGGCGATTAAGGAAGTTCTCCATAACCTTAGAAACTCGCGAGTATGTAGCTGAGGCGTACTTCCGGGCAACGACAGCCGAGGGCTGGTGAAGTTGCTGGGAGAGAGCGACGAGAGTCATCGAGTCGTATTGAGAAGCCCATTGCGTGTGGCGGGGTTGGGGCCGACTCAGAATGCACCGGGACAATGCGAGTGCGGCACGAGCGAGCTCCGACGACTGCTTGGAGACGAAGTCCCTGTGGAAAAGGGCAATCTCCAAGATGTAGAGGGCCATATTCTCGACTTCTGCGTCGTGGGCCTCGTCAAGCACAGCCATTTGCAAGAAGGCATCGACGGTTGGGTGACCAATAGTCCAACCGAGGGTCTGGAGCACGTGCCACTCCATCTGGATAAACATGTCATCGTCATAGAGGGAGCAGCACATTGATTTAAGCTCCTTGACAGTGGGGACCCGGTCTTTCTTGTCGTTGTACTTGGCTGCGATGAGGAGAGCCGCACAGCCCACCAATTGATAGTGACGTTTGTACACCACACGCTTAGAGCAGTAACGATCCAAGAGGTTGATAGCCAAGAACAGTGTCGATGGCAAGAGCTGGAATGCAGTGTGTGCCTCGATGAGGAAGTCAAGCAGATAGGGGCGCATGAACCATTGAATTTCGGTCTGAATATCTATGGACTCAACGTCGGGAAGCGTTTGGCTCTAGAAAAAAAGAGTGTCAACAAGGTGAAAGATGGTTAATGGACTGGAAGGGAACATACATCCATCTCAAGCATGTGGCTCAGGATATCATCTCGAAGCTCTCCGCTAGTGATCTTGGACAGCTGTGCAGCAATAGCATGTTGGCGTTCACGAGCAACGAGCTTGTCGTGCTCATCCTTAGCTTGCTTCTCGGCGCGCAGACGGTAGTCATCTTCGATGAAGAAAGTATCACATGGCTGGTAGCCGGAGCGAGGGCGAATATAGTCCATGATGGGTGCAGGGTTGTGTAAGAAGGATTCGATTTGTCAAGCTTCGCTGATAACCAAAAAGAATGAAGCCGGAAAGAGTTAATAGCTTTCAGGAAACGACGGAAATTAAGAGAATGACAGTCGGATTAAGTAGTTCAAATGAATGACAGTGTTGGAAGGTGATTAAAGAATGAACCAGCACAGAGACAATAGTCCGCAGTGCTGTTTAGACGAAGAGGGAAACCGAGAGGATGTCTTCAACGAATTGAAAGCTGTTGTGAGTTCTCGTATTAGCGTTTGACTTCGGTCGTCAAGAATTAGAATATTAAAATTAATGAAAGACGAGGTGAGGGAAGAATGACAGTGTGTGGGTGGGAAAAAATGATGGTAGCGAGGGAAGTGACATTAGATATCAAGTCCAAAAGAGGGGTACTGCTACTTCGAAAAAAAGCCTTCGACCTAGATCGACGGCCTTGGGAAGAGGGCAGCAAGGCGCCCTTACCGAGATGGCATCTAAGCTAGGCACGAACGCAGGAATGATCCGTTGAATTGAGATTCTGTTGGATACCAGTGCAAAAGATGAAGCACGAGTGAACGTCCTCACCCCTAGGCTAGTGTACTGCGGAATGTGGAGTGCAGGATACAGGACCACCCTAGGAAGGGGGTCAAGATCATCAGGGGAAAAAGGAACGTGCAGCAAAGAAATGAAAATGACAAGGAACGTACACTTCACGAGTGAACGTGTTCTGGATGAACCTCCGGAAGATTGAAAAGAAGGCTGAAGTATGAGGTCGTTCAACGACTTTGAGATTATCCACACTTTAGAGTGGAAAAATACCAAAAGTCAATGGAACCGGTCCTAAAATGAGGCAATGGCAGGTCAGTGAGCTTATTCAACAATATAATCAGTAGTTATCACTATCAGGTATGTGTTGCCCAGGTGTCATTGTCGACTCTCGGTATGTTGGACTCCAGTTGAGAAGATTTTCATGGCCCCTTAATTAGACCCTTCCAAAAGAGGAGATGACAGTTCAAGTTGAATAACGAGGTTGTCCCCGGGGATATTTGGACAGGGACCCTGTAGAAAAGCATTCCACACAGTCTTGCATATGAATATGATATCCCCCCCTGAGGCCAAAATTTCCCTTTTCGAGGACCACCCCCGCCATTCATAACCCTGGTGTCGACATCCCACTCCTGAGGCAACATGTTGAGCCATCAGCAAGCTTAAGATTATTCTCGTGTCCAACATTTAGCCCTAAGAGGGATGTCGTGTTCAGCAGACGGAGACTCGTCAGTCTGACCCGAGAACCGCGACTCCTTTTTTTTTTCGGATCAATTTTTCAGGCCAAAGCTAACAAGGCGTTGAGTCCACGCCATCTCCTTATTTGTCGACAATATCTCTCGCATTTGTGGCATGATTGAACAATTTTTCGGCTTAATTCTCGGAAGTATCGAAATCGGGCAACACATTCTTCCTGATTGATTTTTTTTTCTAACTTACTCAAACTTTAAGATTCTGCAATCTATGAATCGAAAACACAAAAGTCCTCGTATCATTCGAAGTATACAGAGATATTTCGAGATGAAGTCCCCACAACTGTCGCTCGTCTAACCGGCAGGAGCTGGAACAGGGAGGTTTTCGAGGGTCCGGGGGATCAGGAGGGCACCGCAGGACAGGACGAAAGAACAGGGATCGCCGTTTGAGCTAACAAGCGTCGAAGTAGGAGGAATTTCAAGATCGAGGAGGGGATTCGAACTCGACAGGAGGTCTGCAGGTTGAAACGATTTCAACTAGACTCCGTGAACTCCACAGATTGGCCAGGGGAAGGGGAGGGGGGGAGATAAAGGGAAGAAGTATAGAAGAAGAGAAAGGGGAGAGAGGGAGTACAAGGAGGAGGAATACAAATTTCTCTCTCCAGGCGGATGGTGGGAAAGAAAAGAAGAAGAAGAAGAGTTGAGACAGAAGACGGAGGTAGACCAGGCTAGCTTAGCTGTGCGGTACTAAAAAGTACGTATTGGTTATTACGTGGTTTCCGAGTGGAGGCTGAACTGGTCCAGTATTCTAGTATTACTGGAATACAGGTATAATGGGTAAGGGGTGGGTTGTTCAACCTCCCTGCAAGGATATAATGGTTTGAAACTGTTTTGAAGCAATGTTCCAGTCTTTACCAGTTGTTTTGCAGTAATACATATGATATTCTAGAGAGATAATTGCCAATCAAATCTGAGGTGTAGCGTTGTGTACTAGAACTTTGGAAGACGTTGCGTATTACGGATATATACACTCCACTTGGACAATACGTAGAAAGATCAGGAATAAATCCCTTCTGCCCTAAGTATTTTCTATATTACACTATACTTCATTCTATCTACGTATCTATTTGCGTACCTATATATACCAGGTATCATATTTAGAAGATACTCGGCCTCTAAAGTACCTAAGTACCTATACTATGTATTCCGTTTAGATAAACCCCTTAAGTATTATGTACGTCAAATCCAAGCACTTAATCGCGTTGCCGACCGTAAGCCGCGACCCAGTCATTTTGACTCCGCATAATCCACAAGTATTTCGATCTCCTGAAAATTACAAGGATTCGAGAGAAATCAATTATGCTAAGTTTCATTCTTTAGTCCGTTCCTCACCGTAATTCCTAATTCCCTAATTCCCTAATTCCCATAATATCATCATGATATACTCCTACTACATGTTATCTCATATGTTCCAACATCTGACTGGTCCTTGTCCATTTCTCCACCTTTCAGCTTATCCGTTAACACCAATAAAGCATCAGCCTCTGCAGGGATTTGATCCCGGATTTGATCCCGTCTTAAAATGGTAAAAACCGGTCACGAAATCAAGAGGTCCACGTTCCCCGGCCTTTCCATGGATTGTATACTGTACTTCGTTTCTCTCCTGAACGCGTTACCTGGAACCAATTTTACTTTCTTTGTTGCGTAGTACTTACTATCGACGTAGTATTACTCTCCACTAAATATGTCGTTATATAAGGTTTCGATTCCTTTCTTTTCATAACATCATCATCTCTCCTTTCCACATCCCCACATTTCGTTTCGACCTAAGCGGGGTCTTTCTTGCCCTTTTGCCTTCTTCTTAAAGCCACAGAGTTAAACTCTATCATTCTGAACTCCACTAGAAGTCGCGTTTCGCGTTTAATCTTCCCATTCCCTTTGTCTAGTAATACGAATCTCCCACTTTATTGATTCTGTGGGATCTGCAAATGCGCTACAATACGGACTACGGAGACACTATACTATACTAGACTGGGCATGCCGATCTATGCGTTGGTCTTTTGCCCCCTAGGCCATCCTTAGACTATGGCTCACATTTGATTACCTGGACTGCCTCGTGGTAGACAGGGGAAAATAAAATAGAAAAAAAAGGCCAAGGGACATCTAATACAGATGGCAGAACTATATCGCAAACATGTTCGAGTTCTCGCATCCACAATGTTGATGTCACATAAACCAATCCTCATACTAGGGCTAATGAAGTCGACTTGAATAAAGTTAATCCTCTGTCATTAGGCACTTCGTCTTAGTATACATATTAGTGTTCGCCTAGAGTTTCAAGAAGCTTCTTTCTAGACTCCATGTTTCAGTTGAAGCCTAAATCTCTACAATATTTGAATTCATTTGAATTGTCTATTCTATTTCCTCTTCCTTTTGTCATTTTCTGTATCTAGTTCTAGTTCTAGCCCTATAGCCTCGTGCTCTTTCACTTCCTACTCTTCTTAAAATCCGTGTCATCTCTAAATTAAGACCGGAGCGATGAGTATTCACCGCTCATTAATATCGATAGTACTCCGTAGCTAGCTCCCGCCAAGTTCTCTGTCCTACCAGCTGCCACCTCAAGACGCAAATTCCAGTTACGGAGTATACTTTGAAACAACTTAGCTCATCGCAATTTGATGTGAACCAGTAGTCATTGATCCTTTACATTTTATTGAATCAACATCTTAGATTTTATCCCGTAAAAAAGGGGAGGGGTTAATTGGGGGCCAAGGATGGATTAATTGGCAATGCATTGTTCTTGAAATGTTCATTCCGGTCGACGGAGGACGAAGGAAGCCATAGCGCGTCCGGATGGCTTGCAAACTAGTTCGCTGATGCGATGCGCCCACCCGCTTCTTCCACTTAGAAACCGCCTTTTGCTAAAAGGAGTTGACTGGACAGGTGGTCCGATAATACTGGTCGTGGCTGGAAATGATATTCAATTTGGGTTGACTACCGAGAGCAGTGGAGTATAACAGCCTTTAGAGTGCATCTCATATACCTAAGTATTTACCGCCTGGTCTGGAACGGCATTCTCTCCCGGGCCAGGATATAGTGATGGCTAAATTTATCCTAGCTTAGGGTAGCCATACTCCGACATTCATTCGAACTTTGGACTTTCCAAGGTTCTGATAATATGTGGTTCGCCAATTGCCCAGGGGCGTTAATCCTCAAAATTCTCGTGTCAACCTCGAAGCAAATATAGCCGGGGAGCTTAATCCCTCACCACGCCAGAATGCTGACCACAATCTCTCTGACCAAAGCCTTGATTCAGCTAATGGTCTGAGCCTGCAACTGCCAACAAGATAAACGCAAGTGCAGACCATGTCCCTTGCTTGAAGCACAAGTCAGGACCACAATTTGTCAACTTTCTTGCAAAGTGCCCACTGTGTTTACTCTGTTCCCACGTTTGTTTCCGCGGCACCTCAAATCACATTTCTGCACCCAAGTAAGGGAGAAAATATCCTGTGTCATCTCATTTGAGAACCATATGCTCGGTACAGAGCATCTCGACCATAGTCTCGCATTCCTGCGTTGGATCCACCACATGCAGGGTCTGTTTGCTATCCAGGTATGCAGTACGTAGTACCTGCATTTTGACGTACATTTGGACTCTGTGAAATGACTGTCTGCGTCCAAAGTCAATGCATTTACTCTTGGCATTTTGACCCGTCCATGCGGTACGCATACTGTTTGAAGTATAACCAAGTAAGGCTGGAGATTGGAACCAGTTGGCTAGGCCTAAATTATTTGGAGGTTAATCAATAAAAATTATCTTCTGCCGCCCGGGTGATACTCCAACCTGAGAAGAAATCTGCCGTGGGATATACCATAAACAATACAAAAATAACTTGTATCGGTAGCTTTCAACCGCAACCATGAATCGAAATCTCGTCTTTCCGTACATAGCCAGAACTCCACTTCCAATAACGGCAGGGCCGTGCCGACACGCTGTAACCATGGTAGAAACAGGGTTTCCTTTTTTTTCATCGTGTCCGACGCTCGGGACAACATATTCAAATCTGTTCTGCCCCACCTTGATCGGCTTACTACTTTGTATGGTTTTGATGTGACAACCAAGTTATCGGACCAAGCGGATATTGCATGAGTGACTTTAATTTGAGACTTCTGTTGGAATTCTGGCTAAAAATTGTCTATATAGAGAGGTATCGGGCACTAGTTGTAAGGATATTTATAGCGGTCCCGATCTATATTAAAGCACCCGTCCACGGCTCAATTTATATTGCCATAAGCGCACTCAACCTTGGAAGGTTCAGGATGAAAGCAGCCTAAATATCGCCCAGAAGACTTCGGGATCTATGTCATCATCTATGGGGTTTTTTTTATCAATATCGATACTGCCTCATGTTTCCTTAATGTAAGTAAAGTTACACGGTTTTCTAGCAGCGAATTTTTTTTCTTTTCTTTCTTGTACGTACCAATACACCTCTGCGGGGTGTAAACGTTGAAGTTTTTTTTTTTACGCGCCTAACATAGTGGACACAACTCCACCTTCAATATCTCTCCGAGAACTTGAACGCTCCTTAAGTTGAAAGCGGTTCCAGGGTCGTGGACAACACGCGTCAACCTTACGGAGGATTCGTTCATAGTATGTTTCAGTCGTATCGGATAAAACCATCTCGGGATGTGAACTATAGGAGATTTAAGTGTGACGTTGTGAGATATAGACATCTTAATCACGATCTGCGATCCTTCCAAGGTTAATATAAATTTCCAAGATTGGAACATTTCATTCTTAACGGAGTTTCAAATCCAGCAGCTGTCAAATCTCACTGGGTCCAGCAAAATCTTCGGGTGGAGCACCTTCAACGAATAAGGAGTGTTCAATTATCAAAGAGAAATCGGATGGTGACAATATGACCGACCCTTTTCGGCGAGACCATGACTGCTAACCGTGGTTATGGAAGATTTTTTCCCTCCGCGTTATAGGCCCCTTTTTCATCGGGAATCTCGTCTAAGCATAGAATGTGACTGCTATTTTGAATCCGAGATCTACTCGTATTTGTCAAGGACAATGCATGAACCAAAAAAGGCATTACATTGGCCCTGTTCCAGGTTCTTGGACAAGACGTATCTGATTTAAAGAAAGGTAAAAAAGGTAATCGGAGCTGGAAGGCTAATTAGTGCTTCACTAGACTTAATTAGGGCTAGTGTACGAAAACAAAGTGGGGATTACCCGTAATGAAAATATCCACTCTTGAGCTCCAACTTTACCTAATGGGGTATATTGGTTTTCAGTTTTCAGTATTCAGTATTCAGTATTCAGTATTCTGTACGGAGTTTAGAGTTAAACGTGTAAAAAGAGTCAAGACACAGAACCACTGGAAAGTTCAGTACATAATGTTGTAGTACTACAGCCTTACAGACTTGGGGACCCCTGCAGGTTTACGTAGTAATGGAGGTACGGGTAATAATACATCTGCCCCATAACTAACTCAATTAACCTTAGAAGCCTACTCACTTCGTCATCAGTCGCGTCCCATACTTTACTGTGCCATTGAACGAAAAGGCAGAAAGGCCTGGTATCATGGTATTTCGGAATTGAATCCACAGCGCTTTAGCTACAGAATTTCACAAACATCATCAATTGATATGCATTCGCGGCTCGGCCATTATCCATACTTGGACGGCTCATCCAATATCTTCATAGCGCATATCCCGGTAAAAACTAGGCAAAGACTTCTACGCGTGCTGATTTGGTGATCACGTCGGATTGACTCGTGTTTATATTAATGTCGATCTGCCTAGGGCTACTCTTCCCGTTTCCGATTCATACGATTGACTGTGATAGCCACTCATTTCATTAGACGTAACATGTCGGAATAATCGACACACAGCACGGATCCTCGCTGCATCCTAGTGGGCCTTGGAAGGTTCTAGTCCAGTCAAACCTGATCTTCGTACGCAATTAAGGCACTAAAACGCCCAATATTATCTATATATATATATATACATATGTAGATACCTAGGTAGATACCATTGACAAATGATATCAATCTTGGAAATCTATCCAGGTATCTGCTTCAGGTCTCCGAGGCTGTTTCGTTTGAACCATAAAGCTGTTTCCAAGGCTCATTTGAAATGGAGGTTGGGGGCCAGATCTAGAATCTGTCAAGTGGATCAAAGCAGTGTAACTTAGATCGTAACATACGAGGGAAATCTTGAATTGAGTTCGATCTGTACGTAGTGGTATATCCGTATATTCCATATTGCCGGCACATGGGAAGTGCAAATTAGGGACTAATCCTTACACCAAAATCCAGTGAGCTGTCGACTTCGGCCCAAGCACGTACTAAACCTTGGAAATGAATTAGGGGGCTGGGAGAACAAAGAGCCAACCCTCGATAGCCCCGATCTACCCCTCAGTTCAGCTTATCAATGCCAGCTGAATCACAACTTGGAACTATTTTATAGTCCATGTGAGATGGATTTTCCAAAGAGTCAAATCATAAGTGGAATCGGGGAAAAGATAGCTTGTGTGGACACAGGGGTCTGTTGTCCTTCCCCTCCTGCAGGTTTGCCGTAGAACAGTCCAATCATTCATCCTAGTCAGCTCTCAGCCACCTTTTTTCGTTGGCTACTGATCTTCAAAAACAATCAGAGATGAATAACATGCACAACATATCCTACCAGATGGGTCTTAGTGGGTGTCGTCTGATACATATGAAATGCATCGTGAACTCCTGACCGCGGCCTCTCATGTTAAGACTCATGGTCAAAGGTGGCTACACTTCTGACGTGGCACGCCTAACAACCAAGGAGAACCAACTAGTTACTGCACCATAATGTAACTAGCACTAGAAGCAATCCTCATCTGCAATCTTCAACCCGGTCGCAGACAGCCCGGATTGGCTGAGCAAGGGTCCCCATCATTTTATTCAGCTGAGCCCTGGTTTTTGGCGACATTTCCTTACTTTCAGGACGCCTTTCTCAACCACAATAGCCTTGTCAGGCTTTAGCCTTGGAGCCTTCAAGGCAGAGGAATCTCTCTGCCATTCGCCAAGATGTGTTGGGTACCCAACGTGCCACTGGCCTTACCCACTCTTTCCCCTTAATATGTACCGCAGCATGAACTGTTGCAGTGTTCTCTAGTCAGCAGCCGCTGGCTATATGGAACTGATACGAATACTGACCGCTCATTACCCCGTACCGATTGATTGATTTGAAATCCTGCTTCTGCGACTACTTGCGAGCGCTAGGAGAAACCCAGGACCTACCGTTCCGTCATATTGCGCGAGTATTGTCTTTTTTTGGAAATGAAAATGCAGAAGTTCTTTGATACCGTCACAAAACGTAGCTAGTACTATGGCCAATTTTGAAAGTGCTTCTGTAATCTCGGTCCAACATTTCAATTAGTTTCTCACCACTTTTCCAATATTAGTTTGGGTGCATGGTTTCAAGGTTTCAAGGTTTTAATCTGTGTTTTTTGAATTGTGGTTCTGAGCTATCCTCCAAGGCCTCTAGTTCATTCAGTTTAGGTCACTTTGTGGGTCTTATACGTGTGTACTCCTCAACAATCCGTTCAACGAGTGGAACAGGCCATTCAATTTCTGAGGTCATTGGAATTTGTGTAGATGATACATATGATTACAACGCCAATATCATAAACATCGGGTTTCAGTATAGTTAGAATCCAGCGTATCTTCGAGCACTATCTCGGGTCTGACCGTCTGTTGAGTACAAAGGACTTTTCCACTTGAATATCGTAATACACAATTCCCTATCTTCAACGCGGTAATCATATGTAAATCCATTGATTGTAGATGGCTATTGAGCAAAAGCCATCAAGGACAGAATACCGCCCATTGAGATTTTCGAAAAGAAGCTCATTGGCAGGAGATTTGCCAAGCAGCTTGATAATGCGTGATGATAGAGGTGCGCCTAGTGTGGAACAACTGCCTCGGATATTTTTGACTTCACCCAGGCATCTTCTTATTTTCGTAAAATAACGCGAAGGATCTATTCCTTATCTCAGACAGAATATTTGTAAGATCTTCTAAATCATTTTTGTGGTTTGGAAGCTGGATTTGCAATTTGACAGATAAGACCCTCGGGCAAATCTTTAGGCAAGAGAAGGATATCTCCAGACAGAGCCTGCAATATCAACTATTCGAACAAGCGTGCTGAACACTGTTTCGTCTTGTTCATCTTCGTATCAAAAGCTTTCTACGGTACCATATTCTGCTGCCCTACTTTTTCGGAAAGAACACTGTAGGCCAATTTGCCCAAAGAAGGACATAAATCAGAATGATTTCGAAGAGCGACATATCTTTCAAGTTGTTCACTAAAAGTTCTGCCTTACTAATATGGTATCAACACCGAACTTATATACACGTGACCTAGTCCGCCAAGATATTCCGGCCCGCTAAAATTTATCTAAAGAAAAAAAAGTTGAATCGCGCGAACGACAGCTTCAACACTACACGTTATTCCCACGCTTGTGCTGACACGATGAGAGTATAAGGGCTTATTTTGAAAGCCCCAGCTGAATTAGTCTTGAATTGATGCCCCGCGCCTCAATCCTCCGAATTAAAATTTTCTTTGCATCCATTCGTTGAACTCGATCAAAAGCGCTTTGGCTTCAAAAGCCCAACATCCTAGTCATGGATATTCACAGATGTCGATTTGTGTCCTATAATCCTCAGGCGATTAATGCCCTCGCTTTTTCACACCCAGCCTCTGCGAGTATTTCCGGCCGAGGTGTGCCTAACCTCCGCCTAGCGATCGGTCGAGCGAATGGCGATATCGAAATATGGAATCCCCTGCGCGGCGCATGGTTCCAGGAGTCTGTATTGCGCGGTGGAAAGGATAGAAGCATTGAAGGGCTGACTTGGACCATTGATCCGTGTGAGGATGACCCTAACAGCTCCCTCAAGGTGGCTGGTAAGCTGCGACTGTTCAGTATTGGCTACTCCACCGTTGTAACAGAGTGGGATGTCGCACAGGGACGTCCGCTGCGACACTCTAGCGGAAACTATGGAGAGATTTGGTGTCTAGCTGCTCAGCCACGCTGGGTATCTACCAAGAATGGCAAGGACGGAAAACTCTTGCCTGCCGCCGAGGGCGAGGATACGTCCCAGCACCTCGCAGCTGGTTGTGCCGACGGTTCAATCGTGATATTGTCTACTGCAGATGATGATTTGAAATTCGTCCGCCTGATGCGCCCTTCTACGAAGAGAGCCCGGGTTCTCAGTGTCACCTTCCAGAACCGTAACACCATTGTCGCCGGTTACGCTGACAGCTCTATCCGTCTATTCGACATTCGAAATGGCAAAATGTTGAGGACTATCTCACTTGGAAAGGGGGTTTCTGGTGGTCCGAAGGAGTTGCTTGTTTGGTCAGTCAAATGTCTGCCGGACGGAACTATCGTGTCTGGAGACTCAGCAGGTGAAATCAAATTTTGGGATGCCAAGAACTATTCCCTCACCCAACGGATACACGGTCATCTAGCAGATGTGCTTGATGTGGCCGTGAGTGCGGATGGAGAAACTGTGATCAGTGGAGGAGCAGATCAAAGAACTGTTGTCTATCGCAAGAAGGGAGGAGAGAAAGGTCAAAAGAAAGCTCGCTGGGCTGAGCTCATGCACCGACGATATCACTCTCATGACGTGAAGACATTGGCTGTCTACGAGACCAGGGACATCAGTTTTGTTGTTTCTGGAGGTATGTTTGACCCCCTGTCAAATCCTAGGATTATATATTCTAACTGATTATTCGCAGGCCCTGATGCCACCCCTGTCGTCCTCCCTCTGCGCGAGTTCGGAAAAGAACATCACCGAAAATTGTCTAGTCTACCGCAAACTCCCCAAATGACCTCATCATCTGCGTCTCGATTGGTCATGAGTTTCTGGGATAGAGAGGTTAGTATATGGCGGGTGGCTCCTGGCCCGACTTCTACGCAAGATAATATCGACGGCCAGAGACACAGACTCGTTGCTAAGGTCCTGGTTCAGGGTGAAGAAAATATCACCTCAGCTATGCTATCTTCGGATGGCAAGATCCTTGTCGTTGCGACAGTATCTGATATCAAGATGTTTACCGTTCGTCGACGAAAGGGTGATGAGAAGGGTGCTCTGCGGGTCCAGAAGATCGATATCCCCAAGGCACTATCAAGTGAAGGTGCACGCCTTGTGGCTATCTCTCCCGATGGCAGGTGGCTCTGCATCATTCGACCCAACAGTGATGTCTACGTAGCAAGAATTGACTCAGAGACCGACAAGCCTCAGGTATTACCGCACCTAGCCAAACTGACTCGTACCACACGGCGTGAGCGCCACGAATCACACGTTCACGGTACTTTGGGCGGCTACCAGCGGACAATCCGTTCTGTGGTCTTCTCCGAAGATAGCAAAATTCTGGCCACTGGTGATCTGTCTGGTTCCGTGGATACCTGGACTCTTCGCACAGACACTGCATCTATTCAAAACGGCCACACCAAGTTGAAGGATCAAGTATCTGGATCTGATGACGAATCCGACAGCGATGATGAGGACGTCGCGATTGAGGGCGAGCGATGGAATCTAGCTGTCACTGAATCTTCGGTACCTCAATTACAGTCTGGAATCATCCTGATGTCTTTCCGGCCTCAAGGATCCTCTAAGTTATTGACTAATGGCGACTCTTCAACTGGAGAAGGCCGACTTATGATTCTCACTAGCGAACATAATCTTGTTGAGATTGATGTTCGCAGTGGGAAGCTGTCGGAGTGGACCAAGCACAACCCCAAGGCGTTCCTCCCTGCTGATTTCCTCAGTGTGAAAGACCGTGCCATGGGCTGCTTGTGGGACACCTTTGAGGGCCGCGAACGCCTCTGGCTGTATGGAACTTCTTGGTTGTGGATGTTTGATCTCAAGCAAAACTTCCCACCGCCGGAAGATTCCAAATCTGGAAAGGCAGCAAAACGCAAGCGTGAAGCCCACGATGACGAAGATAACGACCACAAGAAGCCGAACACCGGTGCTGGTGATCGTGTTCCTCGGTCAAAGATGGACATCCACCTTGGAAGCAAGGTCCGCAAGATTGATGGAGCCGATGCGTCGCAAGGAGAGTGGATCTCGCTTAAGCAAGAACGTCCGCACGTTCCAGGCGAGGATGACGAAGCTTACGAGTACGACGAGGCATTTGCGGCCGCAAATGAGATCGCCCTAGCTCGTATTCGACGAGGAGAACCAACTCCCGAAGAGAAGCAGACGGGTACCCCGAAGAATCAATTGGCCAAATCCAAGCCCGCACGGAGATGGTGGTCCACTTACAAATACCGTGATATTCTTGGGATCGTTCCCCTTATCAACGAGACAAACGATGGCCTGGAAGTTGCAGTAGTCGAGCGGCCCATGTGGGATGTCGAGCTGCCTGGTCGGTATGTGAAGGACTACGAGTGAGGAAATGTCGAAACTGTCCGTACATAGTCCGCAGCTTATCACACTCATTAAATTTTTAATACCTGTGGCACCTTTTTTTTTTTTTTTTTATGGTTTGATCGCCTTACCCGATGCATGCTGGCTCATAACTGCATTCCTAAATGAACATTCATCCTCTGCACTTACTTAAAAGTCCCCGTATCTACGAAGTATTGCTCACTTTCGTTAGTCATTTTATCCAATGTACTATGTGCCATGGATGCTCCTACATCATACTTGATTGAACAAAGACATTACCATCAAATATTACCATATAATCATATTCATGATGACTATTATGGAAAGTTTCATCTGGACACTCTTCGGAAGTTCCGATAATATGACCCTTCCATGACAGTCTCCAGGCCGCTACCATGACAGGTCTCAGAGTCTCAGACTATGTCATCCGGGGTTTCACCAACTTCAAACCTCGCCAGGGATGTTCGAGATGTCTAGCAGGTGCTGCGTGTTGACTTATTGTCGGTTGCTGGTAAGGGGAGGAGGATCCATGCTAAGGCCTTCAATATCAAGATGCATGAGTGCAGGGGCATCGTGCGACACAAGTTGCCATGTCTCAAATTGTGTCTCGCTGTTCGTCATGCAAATTACAGAACGACGCGCATATCACAAGACTTTCCCAGAACCTGTAATCCTAGTTCTCTCGAGGCTTTTCCGAAGGACCGCGTGTTACCAGTCTCTGTGACAAAGCTGGGCCACTCCTGATTTCCTGTCTGTACCTGTCGTTGGCTAGGAGAGATAGGGGTTTAAACCCTGAGTCTGACTACTTACCCTTCGTCATTCCAGAGTGCTGAGTTGTATCAATCCATTCGTGTTCCTCAAGAAAGGGTACCTCACAACGAAGAAAATGATCATACATGAACGTTGATACACTACAGGTAAGTCGCTCATGGACTTCCAACACAGACGCCCAGAGTGCCAACAAAAACCGGTGGTTCTTCGTACTCCAACCATCAAAATACGTCCTCGCCAAGCTCCGAAGAGATAACCCCCCTAATATTGGCAACCTTTCTCAGTGGGATGAAACGACTGAGGTGATTCAGGTTGGCTTGTCTGAGGCTCCTTCACCATCCTGCTCAGTGTGGTGATGGACCGTGTTGCCGGACCTGGCGATATTAACCAAGAACTGATGTGGATTTGCCAGGACGTTGCATGACTTTCCCTATTATTATTTATTACTGTTTCCATTTGTCCGTTTGGTGCCTCTCCTTGCTAATATTTAATTTTTGCTTTATACTTTTTCCCTGTGCCTTTTTCGCTTTTTATGTTGTTGAGATTGGCCTTCATAGATCGTGGATCATGCCATTTCTATGCTATGATCCAAGTCGTGCATTAGTGTAGATTGTACGTAGTTAAACACCACTCCTGTTGATCCCTTCCGACCCGGTACCCCGCACTGCGCCTCATAGTTAACTCACTTAGTTGCCCATCTCCACTTTCATCTTCTCCAATCTTCGTTAAAAGGTTTTAAGGGCTGTAGGCTCGAGTATAAGCCCAAAACCCGAACTCTTCCAATTCCTTTATCGCGTTATCGTGCTATCGTGCTATCGTGCTATCTGGCTATCTAGCCATCTGCGGAGAACCCTTATCCCATCTCTCACCATCACAACCTCGGTTCTTGCTCTTACCAGGGTTACTTTGAAATCGACCACTCTGGATATGGTCAAAAGTAAACAATATCAACAATAAAGTACGAAGAGAGGGGGCAGAATACGACTGCGTGTCATATTCAAAGCAAGGCTATTTCCAGGCAAACAGGCAGTTACCTAAATACAAGCTACTGAATGACCAGCCTCAAAACGTGACTTCTGCCCAGTTACTCCGTGAAGCCACCGCTGTTTTAAAACCCACTCATCTCACAAAAATCTAAACTTCCCTCTTCCACCTCCCCCACTACCCCAGAATCCCAACCCCATCAGCCATCATGGGTCTGCGTTACAACACTTACCTCTCGGCCAACCGAGTCTTCGGTTGCAAGAAATGCAAGACTCATCTTGCTGACTACGACGATATCATTAGTCGGGTGAGTGGGTAAATAATCTTACCCCTAGCCGTTTCCTTCATCGCTGACGCAATATTTTACCCCACTATAGAGTTTCCGCGGCCAACACGGTAAAGCCTACCTCTTTAACTCCGTCGTTAACATCTCTGAGTCTGACGCTGTCGAGCGCCATATGACAACCGGTCGTCACCTTGTTCGCGACATCCACTGCTGCCAGTGTCAGACCACCGTTGGCTGGAAGTACGAGAAAGCCTACGAGCCCAACGAGAAATACAAGGAGGGAAAGTTCATTCTCGAGGAGGAGATCATCTGCGTCGTCGCATGATGAGTGAACTTGCCTTCAAGTTCAATATCGACTTGACTGCGGTCGATTCCCTTCATCTGACTGAACCTGCTTGATGCTTTATTTTGTTTAGATTAACATTGGTGGCAGAACAGTATTTTCTACCTCCTGGGGTGCCAGCAACCAACCAGCCTTTTATCTCTTTTATTGTTTTTTATCTCTGTATTTCTCAGCTTCGGAGTTCCTCAGGCGTTACAACTTGCTGATTTTTTTTTCTACCAAGACTTAAAGTCGGTCAGGTCAGGCTCTCTGCGCAATTGGGGTTTGATTTTATGCATCGGCACGATACTCTAGTTCCTTGAAATCAATTTTACTTATTCTGGACTCTTCTTATCATCCTAATTTGGATTCTTGTACATGAAATAGAGAAAGTATTGGAGTCTGAAGACTTGATCTATCGATAGACTGTTAGACCCACCAAAGCCCGCACAGAAACCTTGGAAATCGCAAGCCCCGCAAATTTATCACTTCGCTTTTTGACAGGCGTTTCGGGCTGACTGGTTTATTTTTCTCTTATTAACTTTTATAGCGCCTGTATTCTGCAGTCGACCCCGAGAGTCCACGAGTTACGAAGGAAATAGAAATGGCCACCACAATGCAGGCTGTGGTGTTTCACGAGCCGTACAAGGTAGCGGTGGAGCAGGTACCTATACCTACTGTGCAGCAGCCAGATGACATTGTCATCAAGGTGGCATATACCGCGCTATGTGGCAGGTAATCTTACGAGGCCTGGAGCCCTGGAGCCCTGGAGGCTACTAGATACCAATTGACTAACATAAGCTAGTGACCTACACACATTTCGCGGTGTTGAGCCTGCGTCCCCAGGATTCATCATGGGCCATGAATTCATGGGGGAAATTGTCGAGACCGGCAGCGCTGTGAAGAAGCTCGAGAAAGGAGATCGTGTAGTTAGTGCTTTTACTACATCTTGGTATGTACCTATTGCGAATTGATTTCTCAGCTGAAGGCATTTCTCATAAACCCAACCTAGTGGTCACTGCTTTTACTGCAAGAATGGATGGTCCTCACGCTGCGAGAAGAATACCCTCTTTGGATGTGAGGCCCTAAATGGCGGTCAAGCTCAATATGTATGTCAACTTTAGATTACAGACCTGTCAGGACAGCATGAAGCTAATTAAAGTCCAGGTCCGTGTTCCGGACGCAGAGGGCACAGTCATGAAGGCTCCCGAGGGTGTCGATGAGAAGTATCTAGTGCTGATGGGCGATATCTTCCCGACTGGATACTTTGCTGCTAGCAACGCATTTAAAAACTCCACCCCAGAACAGATTGCCGGGCAAACTGTGGTCTTGATCGGCTGTGGTCCTGTCGGCCTCTGTGCTTTGATCAATGCACTCGAGTACAAGCCCAAGCATCTAATTGCTGTGGACTCTGTTCCTTCGAGGTTGGAGTTGGCCAAGTCACTTGGTGCTGAGCCTTGGAACTTCATGACTGATCGGGAGGGACTTGATAAGCGGGTGCTAGAACTGACTGAGGGTCGAGGTGCTGATGCTGTCATTGAGGTGGTTGGACTGAGTCCTGCATTGCGTACTGCTTATGACCTGCTACGGCCTTTTGGAACCATTAGCAGTGTGGGAGTTCACAATGCTGAGGTATGTATTTGCGACAGAATAGAGTGGAAGTCATTACTGACTCTATCTTTGCTGATAGATTCCTTGGGATGGATGTGACGCTTATAATAAGAATTTGAGTGTTTATATGGGCAGATGTCCTGTTCGTTCAGTTACTCCGCGGGCACTGGAGGTTCTCAAAAAGAACCAGCATAAGCTTGGGTAGGTGCTGTCTTAAGATTACGAAGCCATTGCTGACTTGATGCTAGATTTATGACTGAGAATTTCATGCCTCTTTCAAAAGCTGTTGAGGCATATGAGCTATTCAATGCGATGAAAGTTCAAAAGGTCATCTTTTTGCCTGACCAGTAATGTGGAGCTGTTCTGTCGAAGCTGGTTTGACGTTAACAGAGTGCTTTGTAGTGAGATTTTTAGCTGCAACATATCATCTCAGCTTTCATAGATGAATAGTAAGATTTATAACAATAAACTGATCATATTTTATCCAGATTCATTGTCTGCAAGGAAACAGACAAGTTGCTCTTTTTGAGTCCATTCTAAAACGGAAGTGGGGAAATCAAAATTGAAATCAAAATTGAAACCTGAAATATCTGGCAACGGGTGTATCACCTCCGCTTACCTTGCAAAGCCAAGTCTTCTTTCACAAGACATCCCCTCCATCTCTTTCCCCCTACCTATCCCCCCTCCTTTTTCCTTACTCTTCTTCCCTCTTATCTTCCTGCCATCTTCCCTCCGCCTTCCCTTTCGCTTTGACCTTTGGTTTCTCCACAATCTTGCACCGCTTCCGTAAGTTAAATTACTAACACCCACCTCGTCTTGTTGAGTTGTTTCCCATGCGACTGTTCACACAGTCTGCGCAAATGACATCGCGACATGCGCAGTAATGATTTCAACATTGTTTAACCCCAAAAATAGTAAAACTTCTCTCTTTCGCATCACTGCGACCGTGAGAGCTCCGCAGAGCCCTTCAATCCAATCCTACGTTATCCACCCACATTTTCGTTGCGTACGCCATAAACAAAATGGATAGCTCCGAAGTCCACCAAACCACCGTCGTTGACGAGACCCTTCCCGACGCCCCCTACAACAACGATGCTGACCAGGATGAGATGGATATTACTCCCAAGACCGAAGAGGAGTATGCGCAGTCCCAGTTGACCCTGCGTGCTATCGTCTCCTCCAAAGAAGCTGGTGTCATCATTGGAAAGGCCGGCAAGAATGTCGCTGATTTGCGCGAAGAAACTGGTGTCAAGGCCGGTGTGAGCAAGGTCGTTCCTGGTGTTCATGACCGCGTCTTGACCGTCACCGGTCCTCTCTCAGGCACAGCTCGGGCCTACGCGATCGTGGCCAAGGGTCTGCTCGAGGGTGCCCCGCAGATGGGCATGGGAGGTGTTGCCTCTAACAATGGAACCCACCGTAAGGAATCTGACCCTCTCTCACCACATTAGACTACTGAAAGCTTTTCCGAAATGGGCAATGCTCCAGTCATTTTTTTTCCAATCTTTAATACTAACTCGAACTTCAAATACAGCTGTCCGACTTTTGATCTCCCACAACCAGATGGGTACCATCATCGGGCGCCAAGGCTTGAAGATCAAGCATATCCAGGATGCATCCGGCGTGCGCATGGTCGCCCAGAAGGAAATGCTCCCTCAATCCACAGAGCGAATTGTCGAAGTTCAGGGTACCCCAGAGGGTATTGAAAAGGCCGCATGGGAGATTGGAAAGTGCCTCATCGATGACTACCTGCGTGGTCAAGGTACTGTGCTCTACAACCCCGCCGTTCGCTCGTCCGTTGGCTCCCCACCAGCCACTACCACCAACAACAACTCGGTTGGAGGCAGCAATGGCTACCCTAGCCGCCAGTATAACCGTACTGGAAACGGCAATGACTTTAGCGACAACGGTGGTTACAACCGTCGTTCCAACTCGGACGCCGGCAGCCGCGGATACCCTCTCGTCACTGAGGATGGCGAAGAAATTCTGACTCAGAATATCAGCATTCCCGCAGACATGGTCGGTTGCATTATTGGCCGCGGTGGAGTGAAGATCACTGAGATCCGTCGGAGCTCTGGAGCCCGTATCTCGATCGCCAAGGTTCCTCATGATGAATCTGGCGAGCGCATGTTCACGATCATGGGCAGCTCTCAATCCAACGAGAAGGCCTTGTATCTTCTCTACGAGAACCTCGAGGCTGAGAAGACTCGTCGTGGAGTATCCAACGACGAGTAAAAAAAGATTCCTTCTATGGATCCTGCCAGGGAGTTCTTTCACGCTTCTTTGAACTTACGACTTCAAGAGACTGTCGGTCATGATCAGCGGCGGTCATGTGCAAGCGCTTTTTTTTTGTTCTCCTCCCATGTCTTATTTCTTCTGATTCCCTGGTTTTTTTCCTCCATCGTACTTCGCTTCCTACCAACCCGAGGCAAAAGCTTGATGCGATGTAGCTGGCGTGTGGTTCATCTGACCACCCTGCTCTGAGCTGATGAATTGCGACTTAATACGCCATAACTGATTCCTCCGCATATCTCCATATCTATGGTTTGCAACTCTTCTCTGTCTCTACCTCCCTTTTCAACCCCGTAACAAAAACACCCCCGTTCATCACACATCAAAGGGTCCATGAAATTTTGTCATCCCTTCTCTCTGATCCTCGCTTCATTTCTTTCCCACGCTATAATAGTCATCTCCATCTCGTCATTGACATTACTTCAACCCGATATCTCCTGAAACCCCGAAAAAAACGCCGTTTTCCCTCTTTCTCTGTTCTATCAATTCTCTTCCTTGAACCTCTCTCCATTTGATCTCTACCCTGTTGTTCCTATTGGGATATATTTTACGGCTCCTGAATGTGAGACCGGACCATGTCCTGCATACTCAATGTTCGTTCAATCACAAACAAATTATTCCACTATCTACTGCGCCTACCTAGGTATGATGATGGTCATGGACATATTTGTAGATCTTGCCCGATGTAGGAGTTAGTTCAATTTAGGTGTATAAGGACTTCCTTAGAACTTTTGTTCCTGCTCAAGAGGATTCAAGACACCTTTGACTTCAGAATACTATTCCAAGGTTTTGACAACCCCCTGCTACTACGGATCTCTCGTGTAGTACGGCAGGCATTTCCAAAGTTATCTAAGTAGCTCGGGGGAGGCAGAATGCCAGCTCTTGTTTATATTTCTCCTAGAAAAAGACATCAATTCTGACCTTGGAAGGTTCTAGATTTAGGATCCCAGATGAGTACTCCGTACATCTATTGCCTGAAGCTAATCATCCACGTTTTGATTTTGACATGCATTAAGAAATGAACATCTGGGTAAGTGAAATTGGAAATATCAAGTACGTAGGTAGAAAGAACGATTGGCAAGAGGCCTTGGATTTGGAAACGCATGGTATATAACTATTACGAAAACAAGACTATAAAGATACAGTATCCAAGTAGTACCTGCCCAAGCGAGCAAACCTGCTCATCCCGACGCTAAATCACAAAGTGTTTCCAGAGTTGACTCCTCTGGAATAAGATCTGCACTAAGCTCAGGGAAAAAGAGATCAACAGCTATTGTGAAAGCTTCAGCAATCTGCATAAGTGCGCAATCGAATTCAGATTCTTCAAGCTTAAAGCCGACCTGCACCTGGAACTGTTGCAGAACCATATTGGTGTCGAGACTCGAAAAGTAGCTTAGATCAATACCGGAAGGACCCTTGTGCTCGACAATCTTATTCTGAATCGAGCCGTGTTCTTCAAAGATCATATACTTGGCAAGGAATGTGTTCCCGGTTTGCATGGCGTTGCCGACTAGAGCGAATGATGTCAGGTTGATCCATTTGTCCAGGTCAGCCATGTCGTAGTGGGAGAAGGGAACTGTGACTGTGAGATCTGCATTGTCGGATTGGTCACCCTCGATGAACCGCACTTTTTCGGCTGTTTTGGTGGCGTCGGCGCACATGTACATGGTTGTAGTTGTGGGGATGAGGGACATCGTTTCTGCAGCGAAGTCGAAGGAGGTGGCAGTAACGCTTAGGACTGTGCTTGAGGCCGAGTCGTGGCAGAGAGTGGACAGAGCAGTCGAGAAGGCGCTGAAGAGTTTACTGGTTCTGGATGCGTCGGTGTCTTTATCCCAGTCCGAGGACTCGAAGTCGGACCAGTTTCCATAGTTGATAATGTTGTTCGGGCTGACGTTGATATGGGTCGAGTAAGCAATCGCAGTGCTCACCATGCTAGTGCTACCAGAGCAGTATGTGACAGAGTAGCCTGCCACTTCACCGACGGATGATCCTTCACAAGCAGTTACGGCGCCATTGAGGTCCCACTTTGTATATGGGTAGTAACCTGTCGGTTTGGCAGTGACTGTTATAGGGCCCGTGGCTGAGGTGGATGTTGCCGAGAGGGAGCTCAAGATACTCGCAGGAATAGTCTCCGGGCAAGTTTGGCTTGCTTTAGGTGTGAATGAGATGTAATCGCTGCTGTAGCTGCAGACACACCAGTCGCCGGAGCCAGAATCTGGATCAGCGGAGTTGTAGCATTGTGGAGCAGTGTGCGTCTTAGTTGCCGACTTGGACGATGACTTGAATCCACTGGATGATGATTTGCGTGCCTTGCAGGCTAGTCATAATGTAAGCCTATGTGTGTACGACGATGATCAAGATGATGATGACTTACCTGACTTGTGGTTGATGCCGGCATGAGTGGCTGTGGCAGTGGCAGCTACAGTGTCTATCGCTGTCAGTCTCTTCTCTTGAATATTTTATAGCGCGGGAGTGAACATACTAGTAGTAGTAGCAGTGACGGACCGAGCATGGATCCTTTGTCTAGCAGGGACAGGAAGGGCCCCATGAGGGGGAACTAAAGCATATGCAACCTCGACAGAGAGCCATAGCAGCAAAAGAAATTTGTTTCCAAACAGCATAGCGAATGGCTCGCTTACAAAATGAGTATGACGGATAACTGGAGTGGAAAATATGCTTCACTCCATCTAGAGGAACTTCCTCCCTTTAAGTACTGAGTGTCTCGTGTACACTGATTGGCCCTTCTAAATCCTCAAGTGCACTTTTCCAACTTGAGAAGGATGAAGCCTTCATCCCTGTCTCAAGCACACTCAGCCCGTCCTAATCCTCTAACGACTACTCCACCTGTAAAATTCAAGACAGAGGTTAATTTCCCGTCAGGCAAGCTCTCCGTGCCAATTGGAGCCAAAAACCCTTTATCTCATTCAATCTGACAGGACTGTGAGAAAGCCACTTTCAAAAGCTTGATTTCTACTTGTGGAATGAGGCACGGGGTGTAGTAAGCTTACATTCTCGAATAGTCGGGCTCTCCACGGAGTATGGAAAGTGATGAATATGTGATCTACAGAGTATAAAGTACGTATTTTATCCTATTCCCCGCACTATTATGACTCGAATGCTTACCTGAATATCCATGGAGAGTTCTAAGTTCGAAAATAAAATGTATATACGAAGATGGGGGCCGTTTCTACTTCATATAGAACATGCTTTTGACTTTCGAATACCTTTTAAATTTGACTCCAGGCTCTGCTCTACTGAGCATGCACCTATAAATTAAGCATTGTGTTCATCTTGGAACAAGCTCTAGAGGTCCAAACGAAATGCTTGTTCCTTCGTGTTTGGGTAACACCCATTTGATATTCCATCTCAGCCGCAGATATTTAATAAAACTCTATCTTGAACGTTTCGGCGTCCAGCCCTAAAAGCCTTGGAAGGGAGCTAACCAGAACGAGACTAGTATCCACTTAATTTGGATCACAGAGATAGCCCCCATCCATTTATTCCACGGTTCATTCGCAGATTCGTCTATTCTAAATCTGCAAGGCCCAGGGGCTCAAAGCCACGGCGTTTCAACCGTTCCAGAACCCACCCATTTTCTCACATTCTATGAAGATCAACGTAAGCACGAGTCCTAGCTCCAGGGCTTGCTGATGCTTGTATGGGCTCATATTATGCAGGTACCCAATCTTAGCTGTCATTACTAACATATCAATCTTGAGTACCTAGGCACCTAGGTAAGTATGCTGCAATTTTGAGTCCTGATGGACTAATATAATGCAGTCTCAGTAGACAGAAGATGATATCTCTTTGTGGTTATTCATCTCTAGGGCTTATCGATCTATCCATCTTAAAGTTGCTTTGAGACCCCCTTTTCATGCTTACAGGCTTATATATGGAGTGAACAGGACAATTGTTGAAGGTGTCAGCAGTAAATTACTTCCAGCCCTGGAGACTTTTGACTGCTGACTTCATTGCTCGGTTCACCCGGAAAAAGAGGTATCACACCACCTATGGACCTAGGTAGTGCCATTGCATAGCCCTGGAGCAAGATTACAAGGTTTCATCTCGATGGTACGTTACCTATGAGATGAAAGCAGGCAGTTTTCATGCTTTAATACTTTTATCTGTCTTTGATGTTCAATCAAACTTGAACTTTGGAAGAGTGCTTACATACCTCTTTGCCCATCTGCACAGTGCTCCTGGTTGAAGCATGGATGGGATAAGTACATATGTTTCTCTTTTTGTTTCTTGTCCGGTAACATCGATCTTATAGATTGGAAAGCTTACTTGCCTCCAGTGCTACTTCCAGCATGTCCAGAGCATCCATCCATTCCATATTTGTTGAAGGTCTACGGCCTCTGGCTATTTGACAAAGAAAGTCAATATCAATCTATACCTAAGCGAGATTTCAAGGGTTGGATCTTTCCTGCTTACAACCTGAGAACCTTGAATGACAATATACGGACAGCATGCCACCTAGGTAGTAGATATGGCTAATAGGCAATCGTAAAAGAAATTTACTAGTGCCAGCTTAGGTACTCAGCAACCTTGGAACTAGAGTCCACAGTATTATACGATAGAATGATAAACTTGTAAGTAGTACTAAGTTAGGTATTTCCAACTCAACATTTAGTACGGGGTAGATAGATAAATACCGAGGTATAGAAACAGACAAGATATCTGATAATCTTGAACCCACCGAGGGTAGGGCTGAATCAGAGTGGAGAAGCTTTAGCTTGGATTTAAGAATAGATGTTCTCGACGGATTTGATTCCAACATTCAATTCCAGGATCCTGATCATCCTCCAGGCACTTTCATGATTTGTCTTCACAGGATGGATCATCTTATAGTCAGTGTCAGTGCTCAGGTGGACGGAGAAGCTGATGAGACCTTTCATGTTACCTAGAATCGATCTATTTTCCCCGTGAATTTTAATTGCCTATCTGGATATCTAGGTATATAGTAGGCAACACTTTGAATCCCAACTTAGTCCATATATCGTAGCTCTGGAGTATTACCTAGGTAGTGTCTAATAAAGTCGGGTATATAACTATGGCCTTGAGTTATAGCTTCCAAATTTACTCTTGGGATGGTGAAACTATAAATGTAAACTCTCATTCATTCGTTAGAGAAATTCGTCCCATATGCGTAACAACGCTCAGAGTACAGATCAAAAGACAAGAAAACAGATAAAAAAAAAAGGCGACCAGGAATGACATCGAAGCAAGACACAAATTTGTACAGAGGCAAAACAATAGGAGGGTTGGATATAACCACAAGACGCCGGGGTTGATATGTTTTTGTACACGGACCGATGAAGAATGAAAAACCCCTTGATGAGGGGGTTCTCGCTGTCGAAAGATGATGTGACATCAAAATAAGGGCAAAAAAAGAGGATAAGAGAAAAAGGAAATGGACAAGTTTGTCCGGCACAGTCCATGACCTGTTTGGGTGAATGGCAGATTCTCATATCAAACACAGGAAATTCGTCACAAAGCACCAAATTCAGGTAAACCCTGTATTTAGTGAAGGGGGGTGGTGTAAAATGAAAAAAGGACTCCAGATTTGATTCAGAATGCATACGCAATTAAAGCGTGCGTGTATGTGGTAAGAAAAGAGAACGCCGGGCTTCCGAAATCGCGGAGGGGGTAACATGATCAGATGCGATGTCGCTGCGTGAGTATCAAAAAAAAAGACGTAAACCAGATTCTTAGTCGTTGGTGGGGATACATGCGAGGGTCAATGGAATGCAAACATCTAATCTGTAGAGCTAGTCAATGCTGTCTTCCATGTTGACGACACTCTCGCTGGGTGGAGCTGTGGAGCGGTATCGAAGACCAAATTTTCGCGCTCCAAGACTATTTGCACGAGGTCGTGGTTGTGAGATGGGAGTGTAGCTGGATACAGATTTGCCAGATGGCATGCTCAATCTAGTCTGTGATTGCTGTAACTGGGGTGTCCGAGGGCTTTCTTCGGCTCCAGAGCGTGGTGTGCCACTGGCGAGACTGGATGAGAACCCATATCGGCGAGATCCCGCTTGAATGTTGGAGCGGGATGTCATTGGGGTGTAAGTACCAGGAGTCATGTAGCTACTGCGACGAAGTGGAATGCCTGTGTGGGAAGGGGTGGTCGGGGTCTGAGGAGGCTGTGATGTCGGTGCTTGAGATGGTGATGGTTGGTATTGTGCGGACTGGGGGGAGATTCTTAGACCAAGTTCTTGTCGGCGAGATGCTGGGCCATGTTCTTGCTGGTTGTTTGAGATAGAACGAGATGCCAAGCGGCTATAGCCGTAAGATAACCGCTGTGCTGGTGACACAACCTGCCCAGGGTTCGGAGAGTCAATCTCTGACATCGTCGCTGATCTCGAAAGTGGGCGGTTATTCGGAGACTCTTCGTCGGCTAACCTGCGGGCTTGCAGAGATGTTGAATAGCGATTGAGACGAGTTGGTGGCAGAGATATGCTGGGTGACTGGTCTTGTGGGGATTCAACTGTATTGCCTGATCCCGAGCTAATGTTGATCATCGATTGCCGACGGTCTTGATAGCGATTTGTGATGCGGCTAGTGCTTTGGCGCATTTGGACTTCGGGTTCGAGACTAGCACCTCGCTGGGCTGTCGGCATTGATGGACTATCACTAACATTCGGCTGCGTGGTCTGCGCCTGATTTTTCCGTAGCTCATCATCCGTCAGGGCCAAGCAAAACTCAGTCAGGCTGCGGCACAAACTGTCGGCCTTGCGACGTGCCCGACGCTCGGATGAACTGTATCCATCCACAATAGAGGCTGCGCCTGAGGGAGCTCCACTAACGCCCAATAAATTAGACACCGTCAGTGCGTCTGTGACTGTCGCCTCCAGCGCCTTGTATACGCCATGACTCAGTACTGATTTTGCTTTTGCTAGCGCCGATTGAAGGACCGGCTGCAGTTGGTTTTTTGGGGCACTTTCAGTCTCGGTGAATGAAGAGCTGATTTTACGACGGTGTTTAGGAGATGTTGATAGAGCTGTCACTGTAGTTGCCGCAGTACGGGGCCTGTCGTTGGAACCAGTAATTGCTGCGTGTGATGACGGGGGTAATTTCCCAGTCAATTCCAGCTTGCGAATTCGCGATTTCAAGTCGTCCAGTTCATCCCAGACTGTAGAGGGCGCATTTGTTGAAAGGGTAGACTCTGACTCTTCAGCTCGCGTTTTGTCGGTTTCTTCATCGGCACGCTCTGTCGTATCCGATTCCGATGGCTGTCGATTACCGCGTAGAGAGGAGAGATTAGAATGACGTAGACGGGCTTCATGTAGCGAGACTCGCCGTTCGATATTGACTTCGGGTGCACGCGGGGAACTGTCGGGGCTTGTACGGCTGAATCGGCTCCGAGGTGCACCGACGGTTGAGCGAGAGCCAGAGTTGTAGCTGGAGTAGCGATGGCGAGCGGGTTCATCGAGGGGATGAGCCGAGATGGCCGAAGAATGGGGGTTTTTGGGACTGCTGTGGGGTTCCTGTAAAAGCAAGGGGCTATCGCCATTGCTAAAGCGCTGATCCGGGGTAGAAGGAGGTTGTTCTGAGTCGAAGCGGGCGGTCGGAGACCGTAGACTCTGAGTATATCCGAGGCGCGACTGATAATCCATCCGTTAGCGATCCAGGGTCTCAGGAGGGAAACAATTGGCACCCGCAGATGGACCATGGGCCCGTCTTTCCAGGAAGTAGGAGAAAAGAATGCTGGAAAAAACTCACCCGTCTAAATTCCGATCGTCCAGCCAGTGAGTCTCTCCGTCTACTGGTATCCGACCTTGCAATATTCAAGAAAACATCGTCGTTTTTCGGTCGCGACTCCATGTCGGAGATACTGGAGTCGGTCCCGATACGAAGGGCACCTAGCGCGCGACTCTGATCGTCCAGCAGGGTTCTTGTTTCGGAATAAGCCATACCTGATGGCATGGTGCTATTCACATCAGGGCGAATAGTGTGGGGTTCTGGAAGGTGAAGTTGCTCCTCGGCATTGCCCAACTGAGGCGGAATCGCGCCGATAGGTCTAGGATTGTTGAGTGATATCTTCTGGAGACTGGGAGGAGAAAAGCTTGCAGATTGACGGGACAGCAATAGGGAGCGGCTTGGGTTGTCAGGAGCAGGCGTTTCACAAGTGGTTGTTGTGGGGCTAGAGCAGGGCTTGGACCTGTGGGATTCTGGGCTTTCCATCGGAGAAGACTAAGAGCCTGTTCCTCCAATTTTGAGATCGGATCTCAAACACTTTACGCTGTTGCAGTTTCCAAAGGTTACCAGTGAATTGGGATGGTAAGCTGGGAAGCTGGGAAGCTGGGTTCCTGGCGGGGGAATCGGAAGGGAATCTGCATGGATCAAGCATGCAAGAGATTTTGCACGAGTCAAATACAAATATTTTTCTGATCAGTTCAGTTTACGGAGTATTTGAATTAGATGTATCAAAGTGGCTGATTTAGATCACGACGGGGTGCAGAACCAGCACGTTGTGACCAGTAGAGTAAGAACATGCAGTGGTCTACACCTCCCGGGGGGCCCTTGACCTACCTGGGTAGCGGGTACATGGTACCTGCCATAGTTAGGTGCTTACCATCTAAATTAAGTACCTAGATACATGGGTACTTAAGTAAATATAGTAGAGGTATTCTGTAGAAAATTACCCGTGGACATTGGAAGAGATTATACTATTATACTATTATACTAGCTATGTGACCATCTATATCATATGTAATTGGATTACCTACCTTTTAATGAACGATCTGACTTTCAGACCAGACAAAACCGTGGTTCCAGTCCCCCAATTACTCAGAGCCATGGGTTCTGTGTTCAGGTATACCTAGATAGACAGTGGAGTCAGCAATTATTATCTTGAAGAAGACTGGCTCCAGCTTATATTTAGTTTGTGGATATATCACGTGACCTGAGAGTTCTCGGTTGCCACTTTATAGAATTCAGCTGAAGGATACCAGTTGGTCTAGGCACAGCCTAAAGTCAATTGCCGGAATAAGTCCGGAATTTGGCGTGGAGTTTAAAGTTGCAGGTTACGACCTGCTGTAATTTGTAAACCTATAACTTGTAGTAACTGTAGAATCCCGTAAAGAATAAATCTGATCACATCACGTGTGTGATGAGATAAGACGCGAGCCGAAACAAAACAAGATGAAACACGAACTAACGTAAGCCGCGCGCAATGACCGGGGGTTCAGGGGAAGACTGTTTCTTTCAGTTCGTATTGGTTGTGAACTGCAATGTATCTGGAACATAGGCGGCATATTGTAAGATTATTATGAACGTGAATATTATGGAATATATTGAGTCTATTTCAAGTAAATATATATAATGAACTGTCATTATCATTATTATTATTATTATTATTATTGTCATGGTTATTGTTATTGTTGGATGAAATTGAAGATTGAAAGGATGTATGGAATGTATACAGAGTACAATACCAGAACCGGGCACTGGGCGGAGTTTCAGTTTCAATCCACGTGGCAGGAAGAACCGAGGATCAAAGTACTCCGTATTGAGTAGTAATATTTAAATTCCAAGGACTCTATGACCTCACTTTATCGAGAACTCAAACAGGAAGGTTTGTCCCATAAGACGATCATCTGAAAATGGCAGGTATCGCTGCTGTATGGCGTGGTGCGCCAAGACTGACTAAGTATTAGTGGATGCTTTGGCGTTTCAGATTTGGGCAGTTTCAGCTGTTACTCTTGTACACTATACACTATACAGTACCGAGTATGAGCTGTAAACAACTATAATTGAGAAGGGTTTGTCTCTTCTTTTATAACCCACGACTACCAGAACATCAAAACTGAATCATAATCCTAATTTTATCCTAATCCTAGTCCTAACTCTACCAGTTGTCCCAGCCTCCACCGTTCACCTAGCGTGCCGTGTTGACAGTAAGAACCGTGCACACTTTAGACGGGTCGGTAAGCACCGAATTTGGACACCAAGCTCCTCCTACTCCTACTCTACATCCCCTGACATGTTCTCCACAGTGTGCCGTCTTAATGCTTTCTGTTTCTGTTCCAAGGCTTCTTGCCACTGTATCCATATATATCGATCTATATATACTACCTAGGTAGATATCTCCAACAATATACATATATATATATATATATATACGCGTAAACTTGGATTGAATATTAATATATAGGAAGTATAAAAATATATTAATAAATAGTAGATACATTAAATACATAAATAGTACTCCGTATAATCCCGTACGAACGCGAATCCCAGTGGGACTGAAGTGGAACCCGGTTTTGTTCTCGTTCAAGAAATCCTCTGTTTCGTACAGGTTTCCAAGTATTCTATTTTCAAGGTTGAGAACTTGATGATGCATCAAACATCTCTGAAACTACTTGCTCTACTCTGTTGTAACCCAATAACTTTCAAGTAATTGACGCCGACTACAGAACGCCTCCAGCGGCTAAAGGCAGTACTGCAGACGGTATGATTGGTTTCAGGAAGTGCACTTCCTCTCATTGGAAGGATTTGGTAATAGAAAACCAAATTACAGTGGGCCTGAAATCGGAGATCTCTAACATGTACTAAGCATCAGACTTTGAATACAAATCTAAATAAAAACAGTGGAAGGGTCCATCGTCGTGTTTTTTTTTCTTTCTCTTCTCTTTTCTTCTCTACTGCTTCCTTTTCTCCCTTCACCCCTTTCTACCTCTCTCTCTCTCTCTCTCTCTCTCTCTCTCTCTCTCTCTCTCTCTCCTCTCTCTATAACCTCTTTCTTCATTTAGGGCTTTGCTTCTTTCTCTGCATTCCCCCGTTCCCCGGAGGAACGACTTTACCCCCCGCCCCCATTTCACCTCTTTCATACCTTGCCCTATCATTCCTTTATTTCATAGTCCCTCTTGACTTTGATCTTTCGATCTACTGGACTTTTTAAAAAGTCCCCTTTTTGAAACTAGTGGCCACTGATCTTCCGGGTGGCTTTTTATTTGGTATGTGAGCCACCAAATACAAACTATTGAAAATCATCTCGCTTTTTGTAACTTCGTGTCCACTTTCCTCTTCCTAATGGGATACGTGCATATCGATGTTTTATTTCTGTCTTTTCATGGTCGCAGATCATCAATTCAGCCCTTGCAGTTGTCAACCCTTGAGCCGCCAACTAACATCTATAGTCGAAGCCCACATTTGCTCAGGTAGCAAATATAGATCCCGAATGCCCTAGCTCTTTGGATACGTGCCTTCTCGAAATGCCTTTACAAACTATGCCGATACAAACAAGTCCACCGTCCTTCCCGGACTCGTTCCCTTCGTTCATGTCCGTATATGGCCAATACAAAGAGGAGGAAAGCTCGTTTCATTCTCTACTCCCATCCCACGTCGTCAACCCGCGACGTCTACTCCCTTCCCACCGCAAGAGTGTCTCATCAATGACATCAGTCTCTACTGAATCCTCACCCACCAACACCGTCTCTCCGTTCGACTCGCCCTTGACAAGTGAAATCACTCCCAGTTCTTCGCCGGAGTCTCCATCGGCCATGCCTCTGTCGTACCCCAAATTCCCCCCACCTTCTCGCGCTCTCGACATTACCCCGCGACCCATGATGCCACCAGATAACGCGCGACTCGTACCAACTCCCCTCGAAGCGCGCCCCACGTCGCCAGGATCTCGCGCACGGAATTTGAAAAATTTGTCGCTTCGAATGCCACCTTCGTCCCGCGGTCGCCCACCAATTGCGACAGCCTCTGTAGCGGAATCATCTAAAAAAACCCTTTCTTGCCCTCCTTCCCCCATCCAGATTCCCCAACAGTCTATCCGACGGCGTCCTGCCAATTTGAGCATTCGAACTCCCGGCATCAATAAGTCATTTACTACCAACGGCTCTGATATCGTTCCCCCAACACCCTTACTGAATCAACACCACTCTTTGCGACATTCCGAGTCAAGTCCCTCGCTGGCATCCATCTCCTCGCCTGCCTTTGGTCCCCCAGGTGGATTGCATTTTCCCCCAATAAGGTCAAGGCGTGGCACGCATAATTCAGTCTCTTCATCCGAGGAGACACATTCTCCTCTGACATCGATGCCTGAAGATGGAATCGTGGTATCGCATCGAATTATTCAGGAAAAAGACGAGAATGATGTCCACATGGACTCCCGAGAATCCACGCGCAAAGCCGATCGCGGATATCCCGATGGGCCCATACGGATACACGATTCGGGAGTGTTTCTGTATTTGGAGCCTACCGCTGAGGAAGCATCCAAGTTCGACGTGGTATTTAACGTTGCCAAAGAAGTCGCAAACCCATTCAGTACTGATCAGAAGGAGCAACCCGATACTGTCATGAGTACCTGGCGCAACGCTCCCAGGGCCTCCAATCCCTTCTCCAAAGACTCTCCCTTGACTGCCATGTCGGAACTCTCTTTCAAGTCGGCATTCGACTTCCAGCCAGAATCTGAATCCACCACTCCAGCCCCATCGACCCCAGAATACATCCATGTCAGCTGGGACCATAATTCGGAGATCCTGGACGATCTGCTTCCTTTGTGTGAGCTGATTGACGACCGCATTTCCCAGGGAAAAAGGGTTCTGGTGCATTGTCAACTTGGTGCTAGTCGCTCGGCATCGTTAGTCATCGCGTACGGTCTGTACAAGAACCGTCATTTGGACTTTAATGCGATGTATGAAATTGTCAAGGGACGCAGCCAGTGGGTGGGGCCCAACATGAGCCTCATCTACCAGCTGACCGACTTCCGCGGCCGGTTGCTGCGAGGCTCACCGTCAAGACCTGCCCCAGAGGAATGGTTCATGGATAGCCCGCGGCGCAGTTCTGAGCCTCAAACCAGCCTAGAGGAACGAGCAGCCAGGGAGGAGTCTGCGTATTCCACTGGTCTGCCACCAGTGTCATGTCTGGCCCCTCCTTCAATGCCAGGACGTCCTCGGACCAGTGGTACTGGGGCTAGATCTCCTAAACGTAGTCTGTCTCCACGTCCATTGCCATTCCGCCAAAAGTTCCCATCCTTGGAACCATCTTTGGAACCTACATCTGGTCGTCCACGAAAGCTGCCACGCAGTGTGAGCAGCACTTGTGCTCCGGTTGTCCAAACGCGCGTTGTAATGCGCAATTTTTCGGCAAATGCTGGTCTGTTCTCGCCGAGAACTGGTGGCTTCCTGACCCCAGCTCAACCTGTGACTTCCTCTCCTCCTCGTGCTCCAACTATTGAGAGTGTGGTAGAGGTCCCCAATGCTGTGCAATATGCCACTGAAACAGCTGATCCTCGTTCGCCTCCTGTGGGAGGAACTGAAAAACTCATGATGAGAAACATCTTTGATTTCCTTTAATCTGCCACTGTCAAAGCAGTGGGCATGAAACGATCTCATGACGCGACATTCTATGTTTGATTCCTTAAGAGAATCACCACTTTCTCACGGGCCTCTTTTATTTTCTATTTTCTTAACCTCAGTCCCAATACCCCCCCACGACTGGGTTGATGATTCCATGACCAAAGCAGGCTTTGCTGTCGCTCATCACTTACAACTTGTTCCGCCATCTCAATCGCTACTATTTCTCTATTATCTACCATGGAACAAGCGAACTCTTTTCATTTCATATCAAATCCATTCCTGAAAGATTGAATATCATTTCACGGACCCGGTAATTGTAATATTATTGCGGACATCTGGAGGGATGCGTTTTTTCTTTTTTTTTTTTTTCGTTTTCTTGCATTGGTTGGCAAGCACTACTACCTTTGCATTATTTGTTCCGTTTGGACAAGGCCTTCGTTTTTTATTTTTTTTTTTTTTGTTAGCTTAGTCTACCTAGGAGGTGGATTAAATAAAAGAAATGACAATACCCCTTGAGCGCTGGGCAGCCTCATAAATACTCAATAAACCTGGATTTTTCAGACATAAATATTTCCGTATGTTGTGATATACTGATCTGATCAGATCTGATAGCCGATAAGAACGTCATAAATTTTCTAGCGCACCAACACAGCCCTTAATCACCACTCAAAATGGCTGACGAGAATACCCCAACCTACCTATCACCTAGTGAGCTGGGCACAAAAGAATAGTAAGTATCTTGATACGCCCTTCCAAGGTTCCCACAAGCCCTAGAGATCGTGGAAACGCATTCTGCCCCTCCAACAAACTCGATATAGCCCGATAGCTCAACCAGCCAACACCCTGAATCAAGTCTAGAGCTATCCAGTTATGATATGAAATAAATAATACTTACAAGACCCCCTCTAGTTGGGAAACCTACTACGCCCGCACACGCGCCCATATCTCCAGCACGCACGATGAACCTCGAGAGTCAGCACAAGCCACTCAAGACTCAGACACAGATGCAGACGCAGACGCAGACTCAGATGTCAACGATGAAGATGACCCAGGCACATCATGGTTCTCAGAACACAACGCGCCCGAAAAAGTCCTCCGCTTCCTAACGCGCCGCTCGTTCCCGTTAGCACCACGCAATACAAAGCAACATCAAGTCCAACCTAGCATCTTAGACCTGGGAACGGGCAATGGGAGCATGCTTGCATTGCTACAGAAAAAGGGAGGCTTTCGTGGTGATTTGGTCGGAGTTGACTACTCGCTGCATAGCGTTGAGCTTGCGAGGGAGTTGCAGGTTTCAAGGGGGCATTCTGCTTATAGGACTGATTCTGAGGATGAAGACGAGTCTGAGTCTGAAGATGAATCTGATGCTTATTCTGAGAAGGGAGATGAGGGACGATTAGAAGTAGAGCATACTGCTACTGCTTCTACTCCCTCTACCATTCAATTCGAAGAATGGGACATTTTAAATTCAAAAGCGGCCCTCTCTCCATCCGGAACAAGCCTCACACCACCATCTACAGCAGAGACGTTATCCTGGTTCCCGTACTCAGCCGGCGGGTTCGACATAGTGCTTGACAAGGGCACTTTCGACGCGATCTCGTTGGCGGATGGTGCGAAGGAAACGGCTGTTTGTGAACGGTATCCTGATATTGCGAGGAGGCTTGTTAGGCGCGGTGGGTTTATGGTTGTTACTAGTTGCAATTGGACGGAGGATGAATTGATTAAATGGTTTACTGGTGCTTCTCCTGGCAAGGATACAGGTGATCGGTTTACTGTTTGGGGGTGTGTTGAGTATCCTCGGTTTAGATTTGGGGGGCAGGAGGGTCAGGGGTTTGCACTGTGTGTTTTCAGAGGGGGTCCTCTTAGGATGGTTGACTTGCATATGCATGGTTTTTGGGGATTTTTATTGACCTCGGGACTGGACGTTGGCGTATACCTTGGTAGATGCTTCCAAAGTTTCATCTTACCTCTATTCTATAATATTCCAAGGCTGATAGCCTAGAAGTTTCTATTTGGCACTAGTTGACTAGGCATTGCTTTAATACCCTAATCAATACTATAGGCAGCTAGATGTTAAAAAGTGTAACAGAATCCATGGATTGATATTTAGACTATTCAGTATGCAATTAATTGCAGAATCGGTGAATTTAATATTTGAGTACCAACCTAAGTACGTAGTATGGAATAGTATTCGCTTACTTGGGATCTTTATTTCATAATATTTTAATTTGATCATACGTAACTCAATTGCAAAATAGTCTCATCTATGGCGCGATGGCTCGCAAGTAACTGTGATAAGGCCAGTGGATTTCCCTAGATTCCAGAGCTTAGTTTGGTACTATAGACAATATCAATTTTCTTTTTGTTTTTGAGTCGAGGTATCATGCTTCTTAATGGCTTCTTATCATTGGATAGCTAAATGTCGTGCATTGAGGGGTGTGGACCTAGGTAGGTGATCACTCAGGTAGGTGGTATACACGAAGGAATACTGAGTTCGGCATAATATATATTCTTGTGGAATAAAACTTCATAGAAGCCTGGAGCGTACCAGAAGATTGAACTGTAACAACCTTTCAATATAGTTCCATTGATACCCTCACCGATCTCTGTTCTGGTCAGCCGAGGTCGCCTCAACGTGCCTAGATGTGACTGTGGCGCATGAGGTGGGGTAGAAGACCGAATCAGTATTCAATATTTAATATTTCAATATTCCAAGTCATTCAGCTGGACAACCAAAGCTTGAATGCAGAGGCAAATTGAGTGTGATTGTCAGTGTCGCTCGCTTGGCGATATTCGAATATCTTGTCTGAGAACGGTGAGCTCCAACGAACCACTACTCAACACCGTAGACAAACCACCAAGTGTAGTGGTCTCTACAGTACTGAATATTGTGGTTGTTGTGAAGTCTGCTTTTTCATTGATGAAAGAACTAGCTACTTATAGTATATGGGTGCCCCTCTGCTCTGGACGAATGTCAACATTCGTCCGAGACAGAAGAGACGGTGAAGACGGGACATTACTGTCGCGAATGCACATCGCTTAAGGGTGTCGTTTGCGATGAATGCATATCGTTCAAGGATGCCGTGATATACTAATCCAGTTCCGGAGTCGCTGTCTCGGCAGAAGCTTTTTCGGCCGAAATACTTTCCGTCTGTTGATGGCCTTGTTTCTCGGCCGTCGCAACACTGGAGCAACTCTAAATGTCATTAAAAATAGAGAAACAAGCTTCATCATTTCGTGCAGAACGCGATGCCAATTATACCAATTTAGGTGCATAAATATCATGTAGGCCGTAATTCGTAAAAGTTGTAGTAGGAAAAACTTAACGTTCGACCCAACTAAGGGTCTCTAAGTCGATCTGATTTATATCAATCAACTCCTTCAGTGCGTTTCCACACTTCTCCTTCGTCATCGCATCGGCAGGATTTGATCCTCCTGCGATCCACTTAAGCTCCATCTGGCGTCGTTCATATGTTTGACGTAGTGCCATGATGTCGATCATAAGTCGTTTTTCTTGTGTAGTCCCGAGACGTGTGACTGCATTATATACTGAGCGTGAGTCTATATAGAGTATCAGGGGAATTCTGGGTAAATGCTCCACCGCACGCAGGATTTTATTTAAGGTTTGGTTGACTGCGAAAGCGATATCCACTCCGTGTGATGTGGTATATAGCTCGGCGGCGAGCACACTCCTAGTGACTCTATGACATTTGATAGATGACCAGTGTAGGATATTGGTATTAATGACCTGGTTTTGTCTATATCCATCAGCCATAGTGATGATATATCCGATCTGGCTGCTTGAATCACGATTTCTTGCAAATGATGCGTCAACGAATGCGATAAGCTATAGCGTGTCTTCTTGAAGCTTAACAAAGTGAAGTCCTCTCGCTTGATTATCGATTTGCCATTGGATGCGCCTATTTAATCTCTCCGCATCTTCCTTTTTTTGGGTTGATGACTTAAGCTGAAAAGGATAAGTCATATATGGCTTCTGGTTGGTAAACTGATGCGATATAAGCTCCACGAGCGCGTTAAGAGATATATACATCCTTTAAAACGATTTTGGTGGCGATGGTCTTTAGGCGTCGGCATTGATCGATTTGCGAAATTGTAATCCTGTTTTTGCCTTTTCGGATGATGCTGCCGTTGAATTCAAGTGGATTGACCTCTGTAAGCTTTTGAAGTGGTTTCGATAGAAGCTGCGCCTTCTGTAGTTCGTCCTCTTCCTTCTTAATAAATATAGCATTCGCGAGGATCAAAGTGTCGTCTATCTGCATTCCGACAATTCCAAAGTGTTTCTTGCTGTAGAGGAGGCATATATCATAGGTGGATTGCTCTATTCCTAGCTTTTCAAGATGATGCTTATGGTATGTCTGAAACTAATGATTGCCTACTTCCGGGATTCCATAAAGGGGCTTTAAGACTTTTAGGACGGTGTCCTTTAGTAAACCAAATTCAGCAGGGGGTCGCATATAGAATTGTCGGTTCAAGTCTGATATCGACTACACATATACCTATGAGATATCACGAAGGTATAAATCTGAATCGTCTCGCATCGCAGCGATAGATAGAATTATTCTTTAGCTAACATATTGAATCGTAGGTGCTTAGGTCAGAACAAATTCTTTTCTATGGTCATTATATGCCTGCACCACGAGTCGTGACTTTTCTCTCGCTTGATCTGTTCCTGCGTTTTTGATCTTATCGACGAACCTGGAATTAAAGAGTCGAATTCCTTTAGGCATTTCTGTTCGAGGCACGAATTTGAAGACTCCTTTAGCTAGTAATCCATTGATTTCGCTTTATCGAGAGGCGCGAAAGTCTGGCGTCGGGGTGTTTAGGAAGATAGTATTGATTTCATCTTCCGAATCTTCTTTATCTATGTCTTCGTCTTCTTGGCGCTTTAGACGTTGTGTATGTCTTGGTTGTTGTAAATTCCTGCCTCTGTTGTCGATGATGACGCTAAATGGTGGATCCTTATACAGCTATATATTAGGCTGCGTATTAGGCTGTGCATCTGGACTATCATGTTATATACCATTATTCTATGCGTCTAGTGGCGTATTGGTTTACTAGTCTTCTTCTAGGAATGGCTTCACGATAGTTATCCGGAACGATCTTGGGCCTTTGACGCTGCTATCGACAACATATGTGTCTCCGTCGATTAAGAGTAGTGGGAATAGCCCTGTCCATTTTTCTTCTTTTCTCTCCAGACAAGAACAGGAGAATTTAGTGGCAATCCTCGTATAGCGGCTGTGATGGGTCCATTTCGCATGTTCATGGCGTCTTGAATTTGTCGTTTTGCTCGTAGTTTCTTGACTTCCTGCATCGCTCTTGTAATAGCTGCAGCGCGCTGTATGACTGTTGGCGATGGGGCGTCTAGCTCCGCGAGTCGCGGAAACGCTCCAAAAACGAGTAGTGTAGGGATAAGACCATTTGGTCCGACCGAGTCGTTGATCGCTTTCTATGTCATCTAGAGAGCTAGTTCCTTATCAACATTGGCTTCCCCTATTCCTATGGAGTCACTAAGCTCTCGTCTGATGATGTTATAGACTTATCGTACCATAGCATGGTATCGCTCGACTTTTCCTACAGAATTATGCGCTTCGACTGGAACTGTCTTTGCTATGGTTCCCATAGTTTTTGCAAGATATCTGAATTCTTTGCTGTCGAAATTGGTTCCTGCGTCGTTTATGATATTGTCTAGGGGTCCTTGGTAAACATCGATCTAACAGAGTTGTAATGCTTCCCACGCATGTTTAGCTGTCATGCCTTTTCCTTTTTATAACCATCTTCCACTTTAAAAGCTTATGGCTTTGTCGACAACATGAAGAACTGGATCTCCATCGATACTTATTACATCAATAATGATGCTATGATTGAAACATGCGTCGCCGTCCTTATCTTAAAGGGTAAATCGGAATCGTCCTAGTGATTTCCCGAACTTCTGGCAATGTTCGCAAAACTTGGTGATATGCTTAAGCGTATTCCTCTCTACCTCATGTCCTACTTTGCTCAGAATTGCTTTAAGGCGGGCGACGGCAGGATGCCCTAGTCGTCGGTGAATTCTGCGTAACTTAGTATCTGTTAATAGATATTCGGCAGATCCTTGAACAAATGCTATGATATATATAGGAGCTGCTTTCCAGAGAAGGAATGGATGCCTAAATTGTCGTTTTACTGGTATCCGAAGGCCTGTCTTCCCTATTAGGATATCTTGTAAATTGTTATAATAGATCCCTAGACGATCTAGATCAGCGAGGCATAATAGGAATGGCGTATCTGCGTTCACGACGTGGAATTAAACTATTCCTATAGGTGTTTTGATGTCTATTGATCCGATTGATCCACTAGTCCCGATACCAAATTAAACATTGATTTGTCCGGCGGTCGATTTGTCGAGTTGGATACTAGGTTCTAGTTTCTGTAAAGCTAGAAATTGACTATACCTAGTTGTTGAGTTTCGGGATGCGCCTATGTCGATCAGAATACTATAAAAGATGTCTGAATTATACCGCGATGTGGTAGTGGTGTATATAAATAGATCGCTCTTAGACTCTTAGACATAAGGGCTTATTCTATATAGATAAGCTTGATTCATAAGTTGATTGTGCCAGATCTATGTATCTGATATTGGCACCGGCCTAAATATTATTAGGAACGTCTCGGAGTTATCATCATTATCACTTAATTCATCGGATTCGGATTCTGATTTAGGTTCGGATTTAGAGTCTGAAATAGTAGTTTTAAAGGCTTCAATATCGAGTTCTTCACCTTCGCATATAACCATATATTGTCGAAACTATCGTTTAAAATCTCCAGATCCATTGTTTCTGGTGAATCGTTCACGATATCGTTTCCTGGCTACTACGCGTTCCTCTAGTAAATGGTCCTATGATCGGCATTCCGTCTTTCCGTCGACCCAGCATCTTCCTTCAGCTCGTGAAGATGAAGAGTCTCTTTTCCAGGTAACCTGCTTCCGTCGATCTGGTCTCCATTTCTTATGGAAGGTTCGATCGGTAATCCATGCTTTATCTGATGTGTCCTAGGTATATTGTTAAGTCCTTTGGCGCGCGTTTTCATAGGCCGCGATTGATGTCTTGAGACTCATAATCATCATGTTCGGATCAGACTATAGTATAGAAAGTACATTTTGATAAGCCGGGACGTTTTAGCAACAGATGCTAAGCTTTTACGCAAATCCTTCTTCGTTTTACATATATTGACTAAGTACTGGACGAATTCTAAGTAATTGTTCAGTCATTTGTTCAAAACACTATAGGATTGTCTGCGACGGATTTTCTTGGATTGTTTTCGAGAGTGAGATATTGTTCTATTGGACCATCTTCTGGGTCATATGAAGTAGACTCTTAAAGTATGCCTTGATTCGCCTACATGTTTCTGTAAAGGACTTTGAAGATAAGCTATAGGTGTAATAGAATTCGCTGGCTTGGCCGGTAAACATTGCTGAAAGCGCTTTTTCGTATGCCTCTAGTAGTAAACCAGAGTGTCGGCAGATATCTTCAAAGATAGCGAGTTTCAGGTTGAATGAGTCCTCTAAGCCACTATACTGTTGCTCTTTCTTGTATGTTTTTCGGACATTCATTGCTTCCTTCGAGTAATCTGTTCGTCGTGGGTCTGGTTGTGGTTCTAGGTATATGTTTTCAGGTCGTCGTTTATTCTGTGTTTCCCAATCTGGTTGAAAAGGTGGTGGACCTCTATTACCATGATCTTGGCTTAGTAGAAGTTTTACGTAATACTCCGCTCCTAGTGTGACTTCTCTAGGTCCTGGTAACAACGGATATCGGAGGTTTCCTTGCGCATATTCCTGGTGCCGGGCGTCTTGAGTAGAAAACGGGTTATCCATTCGAGTCGGTCGGACATAAATTGACGTGGTGTCCTCTTGTTCCATTTCCTGTTATAGTTGTCGTATTTCGTCATTTTCCGCTGATTGTTGCATTTCGTCCTTGATCCTTTTAAGTTCCGTATTAACTTGATTTAGGTTATTTGGAATAACTTCAGCAAGAGATTGTTCAATCTCATCCATCGTCCAGTTATACATTTCATGTGTTTGCGCGAGGTCGAAGAGTACTTGGCTTAGCTCGTCTAGGAGCGATGGCTTAACATATACTCCTTGCATAAGGTATTATCGAATGTGTGCTTTCAGTCGTACAGGAACTTTTTCCCATGTCTCCATAGGAAAGAATTTGAAGTCAGCGATGAAGTGGTACCATAGTCTTCGTCTGAAAAGTTTCTGTCGTATATAGAGGAACATCGCAGTCTCGATATACTCAGCAACTTCAAGGAGTGAGGCATTATTAGGATCTTCGTTCATTCTTTGGTCGAATTGTGCGACTCTCTCCTTCCATTCTTCCTCCATAGGTCTGAACAGTTCCTTGATCTCATCAAGAGGTGTAAGGCGTATAGGAGGTGTTAGGGAGACAGGGTATTGGCCGGGTGTTGGATGTTGTCGCATAGGAGTTCTTGGGTTTAGGTGTTCTATGTCGCGTTCTGAGTCGGGGGGCCTTCCTGGAGTAGCCATGGTGGAGGTTTCAAAAAGGGATGATGGAGGTGGTGGTCTTTGATCAAAGAAAAGGATGGGTTCTCAGTTCCCTGATCTGTAAACAAAATTGGGAGTGAGAAAAGGTTCTCTAAGAGTGAGAACTGATCAGTGTCGCTCGCTTGGCGATATTCGAATATCTTGTCTGAGAACGGTGAGCTCCAACGAACCACTACTCAACACCATAGACAAACCACCAAGTGTAGTGGTCTCTATAGTACTGAATATTGTGGTTGTTGTGAAGTCTGCTTTTTCATTGATGAAAGAACTAGCTACTTATAGTATATGGGTGCCCCTCTGCTCTGGACGAATGTCAACATTCGTCCGAGACAGAAGAGACGGTGAAGACGGGACATTACTGTCGCGAATGCACATCGCTCAAGGGTGTCGTTTGCGATGAATGCATATCGTTCAAGGATGCCGTGATATACTAATCCAGTTCCGGAGTCGCTGTCTCGGCAGAAGCTTTTTCGGCCGAAATACTTTCCGTCTGTTGATGGCCTTGTTTCTCGGCCGTCGCAACAGTCAGGATTTTGAATTCTACCTTGACCAACCCTTAACATGGGGATGTAGGATGGAGCCTATATTTAGATATGAGATTAAGGGTCATGAACTCAGTGGGGGTCTCACGTGATGAAACATTCAGATTTGGGATGGAGATAATGTGGTACGAATCTGACAGATCGGATAATCAGTGTACCTATTTAGGTGGGTAGGCACTTAGGTAGGCTGTATAGTTATGAATTCCAATTCACCTTATTACTCTGTGTTCTAAGCCTCTGAGAGATCTACATAGTAGGACGTCAGTAAAAATAGAATTAGGGGCTGAACTGAGATTTGGCCCAAGTAACTTCGAGTAATTAGGAGTAACTAACTAGCTAAATAAGGATTAAGGAGTACTTAGCACATGACTTTTGTACAATTAGTAAATAGATAACTAGATAAGGCTTGTCTTTTTTTTTTTTTTCTTGCTTTTTTTTTTTTTTAGTCCGGCTGATAAGGGTCTGTCTTTAAAAATAGTATTATAAATTATACCTAAGTATCAATTCCATATATGGATTATACAGCTAATTAGCAGAAATCACAACTAGGCACCTATGCCCGGATTGAGATGAGATTGACGGGGAAGAATGTACTGTGTAGAATGTGTTTCTAAGGGGTATCAACACGGAGTACTCCGTACTAGAATGATCCGCTTCGGGCGCTAGTGGTGATTAGGAGATCAGTAGGAGATCATTAGATGATTAGATCGAGAGAGTAATAGGGATAGATATTAACCTAGACAGGTACTAGTAGAGAATGAATATTGAGAAATAGAAGTAGGAATAGAAAGTATGTACAAAGTATGTAGCAAGTAATAATACCTAAAACAGTCTCATAATCGAGTCAGCTGAGTCCCGTGATTCCCCACTGCCCAGTTCTTGTCCAAATGACATCACTTCTTCTCCACTCAATAGTCCTAGACCGGTCTATGTTTGAGTATCTCAACAAGTATCCGTGTCAGATTCTATCTGCTGATACTATCAAGTTTATGTTAAATCACGGGTATTTATGGGTATTTATGTAGGTACCTAAGTAGTCCACTCCTATTAGGTACTCGTACTCCTATCCTAGACTCCTCCTTTGACGGGTGATCGTCAGGCAACTATCTATGTACTTTATATCATATAAAATGTTCCCTTTTAAGTCAAGTGCTATATTACCGAGTACAGAGTACGTATACTTTGTACTGCTCTTGGACCTTTCACGGGTGTTACAGCCTCCAAAACAGGAGAACCCTAACTTTACCCTGTACGGAACACCAACCGAGGAGAAAGTTAGGAACCATATATCCCCATATTCCATATTGATATGGTCAAAGAACATTACGTATTCTTATTAAGAATAGATCCATATTTGATCTCCTGTAGGGCCTCAGTCGATCCGGATCCCAGCGAAGTGGAGCCATGGTTATCACATCATCCAGGCTCTTTCAACAAAGAAGTAGAAAGAGATGAAGGGACATGGTAGTAATTAATAATTCTGAATAAATTGCTCTTAAACAGAAGAGCCTTTATAATTAAGTAATACAGATAATATCTTTTTTTTTTTTTTTTTTAATCCCCCCGCATGCTCAAAGTGAACAAGCCCCCGCAAAGGCAATGAGTGATTTTGGTGGGCCACTTTACCGGATGCCTACCACCTGGGCACTTTCTCCTCTTTCTCTCCCCTACCTATTTTTTTTTTTTTTTGTAAACCTGTCCTGTTCACCTTACTTCTCTCCCCTTTCTTCAACTTGAAACTTCTGCTCTTCTACTTCTACTCTACTCTTATTCTCTTCCATTTTTGTACACATTCAAACTGTATACTCCCCCCTCCTATCTACACAATCTACTTGACTCCGCGTCATTCCACCACCTTCTACCCGGAATTGAGCTTTACAAGGTCTTTCAAAAAGTCGATTGCCAGAAAGTCCTTCGCTATGGCTTCGTTCAAGGTATGCGAAAACTCATTGAGAATTTCCCCTGACTCTTTGCCGATCTCGCTTGTTGTTCTCCTGCTGATGTGGCCCTGGTCCACAATAGGAATTGTCCCTATCGCGCCCACTCCCCAACTCTAGCCAACGACAACACACCCACTCCATATCTTTGAGTGCTGTCAATGCCAACCACCGTGTCACGCGCCGAAAGAGTGTCACTACTGCCGCTGCCAATGCCGCCGCCGTTGTTGCCGCTTCCCTCAAGGACAGCGGGGAAGCCAGCTCTCTCCCCATGTCCGCACACCGCCGCAGTCTAGGAGGTCGCAAAGGCCTGGAATCCTCATCTGTGGGAGGTGCCTCGGGATTTAGCTCATACTTGTCCCGCAGCATGAACAGCCCTAGCCAGGAACCCGTCCCCCGCAAAGTCTCCCCAAGCATCTCCGAGGAGGATGATAGCAAGTCCAAAAGTCGGAACCGCCGATCCAGCGAGGCTGGTCAAATAAAGACTGAGGGGAAGCGAGTACCAGTCCGCTGTGAGCGCTGCGGGAAAGGGTATAAGCATGGCAGCTGCTTGTCCAAGCATATGTGTGTATCCCCCCATGCCGCCCCCGGTCGTCTTCCTCTTCCATCTTCGGGAACATGCGCCATGTCGGCTCTGTGCAGGTCGCCCTCGTGGTTCAACTCCCTTCTATTTCCCCTTCGCACCCTCATACTCCCATTTTGATTTCCGGTTGATTGACGTGTTTTGTTTTGTGGCATTGTAGGTGGGAACACGACCCAGCATGGTCCATTACTTCGAAATTACTCATCTCCAAGCACCAGCAAGTGCAACTACTGGAGGCCGCTACGGTGCTGGTCCACATGAACGTAGATGAAGACTCCGAACAGTCTCCGGAGGCTGAGTCGGAATTATCGTCCGCTTCGCCCGCCGCTTCCTCCGATATGCGCGACGGCCTCAGCTCTGCCGAGACCACCCCGCCGCCAATAGACGAGGAAGAGGACGATGACTTCGAGATGTCGGGTATGCCCGCCAACTGGATGAATCGCCCCAGCATAACCAACGCCTCCGCCTTCTCTCGCTCCTATCAATCAATTCCTTCCAGCTCGTATACCGAAAGCGCCCCTCTCCACTCTCCGTCCTTCTCTCATTTCCGCAAGTCAAGCATCGACACTCGTCCTTCAACCGCCGATGCCCAGCTGCTGGAAGAGGAGGAGGCTGATTTGGCTGCCGCTATCGGACTGTGCCACTTTGGCACCCCTCGCACTGGTCCGGTATCCATGACACCAGACATCCCGCCTGTGCCTCCACTCCCCGCTCGTTATCTTGAATCCAGCAGCCACCTGAGCAGCCACTTGAGCAACCAGAGCCCGAGAATGGCTCACTCAGGCCTGAACGAAGGTTTCCGTCGCGACTCCCTCAACACGGAACCCTTCCTTTCGCTCTCACTCAACCCCTCCTTATCATACAAGGTGTCAGATGAGCGAGAAGTACGAACTGGAAATTCCAAGGCCCAGGCCCAAGATATTCGACAAGTCCGTAACGCAGATGTGGACTTTGGTAGCAGTCGCGGTGCTCCTGCCGATGACGATGACGACGGTGTATTCGGCCGCATGGAAGAGTAATTATTTTGAATCTTTTTTTTTTTTCTTTTTTTTTTTTGTTTTGACAGCGGGCTCCCGCCACGGCCTCATTTCGAGCCGAGCGATGAACCCTCACGATGAAATGTACGAGCTTGAGCGTTTTTTGGGGGAAACCAATTTTTGTTTAAATGCTTGCGCTTTGCATATGGAAGGGCCACTCTTTGAGTTTGCCGGACTTCAAGACTTTGTCCTCTTCACTTATGTGCATTGAAGAACTTGATATAAATCACGTCTTCTCAGCCTGGTTATACTTCCCTTTTCGTTTTGTCTTGTTTCATTTTTCGTCATTGTATCTTCCCTTATTACGGAAATCCCCATAAATGGCCTTTGCTTGACTTGGCCGGCGCATATTCATCATTCCATTCTTATTCACATTCAGCCCATATCCCCCATACTCGCTTTTACTTCTTTTACTTCTTTTTTTCCCCCTAGCTTTTCTTTTGTTCCTCCTTTCTCCCTCTCTTCCTCTCTCTCTCTCCCGCTCGAACATATACTCCGATTTCTCCTCGAATTCCTCACCCGTGTTTCTTTTCTCTTCGGTTCCTCTACTCTATCTCTACTTGTACTCAACAGGCCGGACGGACCAAACACTCAATTGAATATACCTCATGAATCACGTTTCTCCTTGTACTGGTTTTTAGGACTTTGGCTATTTAGCTGATAGGGACAGTACATGTCAAGGCTAATGAATGCTATTTTGGTTCCTTCCAAGGTTTATAAAGATTCAATTTCAGATCATCCGCATACATTGGAAGGTTCCTATCTGATAAATAGAACTGATAACAAAGTCTAGATATGGTTAAAAGGAAGAGATGATACCTGGTATGAACCTTGAAAGGATGCACAAGATCCATGAATGTGCACTTAGGTAAATACCCTACCTAATCAGTGGATCAGTAGTAGATCACTGCTACAGGAAGCAGAAAGCCATCTGCCCAGTTTTGGACAGCCGTAGAAGTGCTCAGTGCATTTCATTTCTAATTCAGATTGAGGGAAGATCTCGCGAGATATTCCTAATTTCCCTGCCAGGGCTTCCAAGTTTTGATATCTATCAGTATCAATTGATGAAACTACCAACCGGATTTTCCATGCCAATTCTGGGCGATTCCTTCCATATTAGTGACCATTCCATCGCCGCTTTTACTGGGTAGAACTGAGCATGCCTCTGAGCGTAAGTATTATATAAGTTTACTGGTCTGCTCACTGAATAGTCCGATTCGCTCACTGAGCAAGCTTTGTACCTCAATAAAATGCAGCACGCCACTTCCCTTCTGCCGTAGGTTTGTGTGTTATCCTATCGATAAATGTTGGGTTTCACCAAAATGGTCGATCGTCCCAGGAGCCTGACTCCTGCTCCGGGAGCAGTTCTATTGCGCATTTTTGTTTCATTGATCTACCAATCATTATCTTAGGATATAAGCTCCTGTGAACACTTCGTTTAGCGACTTTCTGATAGGACATAGCTTGAAGGAGATACATACCATGCCTGCAGTCTCTGTGCAAATCAAAACTCGCAATCCGCATACTTTCCAAGGTTGTCTAGTACACATGAGAGAGAACTTTGCAAGAAGTCGATCATAGACAGTTCACACCATCTGGATAGCCTGTGGGAGTTACGAGTAACACCACTCGCAACATAAAACGATTATTGATATTGATATTGATATTGATTTTGACTTTTCAACATAGCTTCTTGATGATAGCTTCATTGTTGAGAATGTGATATATGTTGATATATTGCTTTCAGAGGTAAATTTGTGTGCTGGTTTGTGCGTATTTTTGGCGCGTTCGTATTGGCGAGGTTTCAATATTAGATGCAGTTCATCGAATCTGACTTTGAGAATAAGCCATCTACTTACTCAGCATGTTGTACATCATTCTGAAAGCCATGCATAAACAATTCCCACGACTCTCCGAGATAACTCGGAGGTCACGGAATAAACTACCCAAACAACAATGCATTAACAGTGCTGAGACCGTACAAAGATCAAGATCTACCTTATAAAGCTAGTCCGTGGGTTAATAAGTTGAATAGCAAATCCATGTTTGGATTAGTCGGGACGTGCTCCATGGAAATAATTTCCTTCTTACATCCTATTGACCTGAATCATCTGATTTCTTAGGATCTGCCACGTTTCCTATACCACAACTTGGTATTCATATTTCATTTGACATAAATTAATTATTTCTGCCATGTTTTTGAGTCGTAGTACATCATCTACGAAAAAAGCCATTATACTCCGTATAGCTCCTTTAAATAATATGAGCTGTTATTTATTTCTCAGCATGAATTTCCTCGCGCTCGGACAAACATCCTATCCTGGGGTGCATGCAACACCACTCCCATTCCTAGATGAAGCATATACCGAAATTTCAGTCGTGGTACCACTTTGACTGTGTCCAACAGTGCTCGTCCAACCAAAAACATTGACTAACCTGGACGGGTCTAACTCCAACCGATTGGACCCGCAGAAGATCTCCGGTGGAGTGATAATCATGCTCTGCTTTGCTCTTTATCTATCTCGCCTGCTAGATATCGAGCGAGAAAGTGAACTCAATTATGCAATTGGTACTGTGCTCCTAATCTGGTTAGTGCGGCTCTTTCTAAGTCACATGCCTCCACGAGTCGTCGCAATCGTCACACCAAGAGAGAGATTCCTTTCCTCATTTCGAGGATCCATTCAAGGGTCCAAGACAGATTTTCAATGGAATTGAGGGACGTTGGAGGAGTAAAGCCAAAGTTGCAAGACCTTGTGTTTGGCTAACATGAATTGGAAAAGGGAATGACTAGTCTAGGAGAGTGAGGATAGATAGAATTTGACCTGGACACTGACTGATATGTGCAAAGCCTTTTAGCTCTGTAGACACTATACCAATCTTTTGAAGATTCTTCTCATTTCGAATTCATCGATTTTCGGTGGTTGCAAGATGGCACTACCGCTACAGGAACTTATCTTACCGCCACAGGAAGAGACCCTAACAGCGCAGAAGGATACATCACCGCCGCAGAAAAGGCATCACTCAGCAAAGACGGGAGATCGCCACCCGATGGAAAGGAATTGGGGAGACAGCTTCATGCGCCTATCGTGAGTGTAGCTGCGAAAGCTCTGGCCGAGAAGAATATCCCTATAGTAGAGTATGGGGAGCAGATACAGTGGCGCTACGGAGACCCTGCGGTCCTTCTGGGAGGTATTAAATAGCTTTTGTTTTTTTGACCAGTTAACTTGCTACGTATTTCTGACGTCTTGAATTCCAGCGCGTGGAGTGGGCAGTCCCCGATAAACTGCTCTCGCTTGCGTCAGAAATTCTATCAGGCAAGGATTTCCCTTTTATATCCCAATTCTCAACAACATGCTGCTCACTACGGAGAATGGGATCGAGCTTGCACTACCCATATTTTAGGGTTATATTCAATATATCTCTACCCGCTATCATTTATCGGCCTTGAGCTTCACGATACCTTTAGTCACATCCACTTTTGACTGCACACTTAAGATCTTGACGCCTAAACCCAATAAATACATGGTCTCGTTGCTTCGTCATCTCCTCAATCACCCTCTTGACGATAATTTCAGACTTCGAGTATATGATGATCTAGTTTCTTCTATATGATTTTATATTTTACGTGATAAGCCACTGAATACAAAGGATGGGGAATGCGACGACGATGAGAGTGAAGAAGATTACCAAAAAAGAGTCGGAGAAGCATTAAAGGAAATGGAAACTTGGGATTGGGGCGCTGATGGAACAGACTACCTAAGCATTTCTGAATCTATACTTCGAGACTGTCGGACTATTAAACAGTTAACTAGTTGCTGCCGAGAAAATACCATCTCCGCATATCCAAATATGTTCTCCGAGACTATCGATCTATTGACCGGTCCTAAGGACCCAGGTATGTGCTGAAAGAATATATGTAGCAAGTCAATAGGATATTGATATTTCTATTGACTAGATGCACGCGAATGCCTATGATGCTCGAGTTATGTAAGTAAGTAAATACTCCACTCTCCGTGATCTAGAGTTCTGGACTCCCCGGAGGCGGAGATACGGGCCTGAAATTGGCCTCTTGAACCCTGGCTAAGTCAGAATGTACCAATACGATCTATCTAGGTACACTGTCCAAGTGGTTTTCTTCCATCTTTGAAGACCCATGTCAATCGTCAATTGACACATTCAACCCACAGGAAGCCAGAGATTAGTATAGACAGGTGGTAGGCAGATGGTATGATAAAGCAGATGATATATTGATTGCTTTTGGAGAATATAACTTTAAAACACCATAGTGACAATGAAAAATGCAAGCCCAACTCCGGAAATCATATCGTAGGTTGAAGCGTAACGAGAATCCCCCCAAAGAAGTGTCAAAACGAGCAAAGAAAAAAAGAGATGGAAAATTTAGTCGACATCCATTTCTTCGGTCGTTCCATCCACCAACATCCGAGTCTTCTTCTGTCGCAAGATCTCTGTACCGTGAACTCTGTTGGCAACCTTGGTTTGATCGAGAACCATAGGCTTGCCCTCTTCGCGCTCGCGCAGCTCCTTTCTGATAAGATGCTCGCCAGTAGCAACAACCTTGCGGTCTGACTCGCGTTGACGGTCGCGGGCAACCTTTCCAGCAAGACGACGCTTGGTAAACACACGCTCGCGCTTCTGGCGGATCTCCTCTACACGCTTCATGGCCTGGACGGTGGCGGCCACCAGGTTGCGGTCGTACTTGACGGGGACGTTGCGCTTCTTGGCGAACTGGGACAAGACGAGAGATGAGTCGACGATCATCTCCTTTCCGCGGGCGGCACGGTGGCTCTTTGTCCACTTCAATTTGCGAGGCTGACGCTTCATCTTGAAGTTCTTGTGGCACTTTGAGCGGCAGAATCTGAATTGTCGGGCGTCATTGCGGACGAATGTGATGCCCTTGCTCGGGAAGGCGGGGCGAGAGCAGAAATGGCAGGTTTCTACACTGGATGATTTAGAATGTAATGATTAGTATGATGAGGTTGAAGAGATTATGAATTTCTTGTATTGAAGTATTTCACTTACCGCATGGTTGCGGTGTAAATGGGTTGATTCTTTTTTTTTTGGTTGTTTGTCGCAGATTCTTTTTTTTTCTTGAAGCTTTGGGTCGGCGTGGAGGAGGGCGCTAAACCGAATTAGGAAAAGCGCGCTGACTTTTATTTCCCATCTTCTCATATCTGCCACCAAGTCATTACCGATAAGTATTTCAAGTACATCCCCCTCTTCGTCCACAAATATGGCCTCCGTTCTTGCTGTTGGTCTTGGTGTCGGTGTCGCTGCCTTCCTGGTAAGTTTATACGTGCTGAGATGTCTTCAAGGTCTGTACTGATCATCCACAGGGCCGCGCCGGACTGGTCGCCTACCGCCGCTCCAAGGGCGGTATGAACGCTGCTGGAAAGGCTTTCTACAAAGGGTGTGTTGGATTTTTGCTGACTGGTAAAGTGTATCACTTGCTAATATGCTGTTGTATAGTGGATTTGAGCCTCGCATGAATCGCCGCGAAGCTTCATTGATCCTCCAGCTTCCGTATGTACCTCCGAAATTTCCCACGACCGGTGCGCATTGATGGGAACTTGACTAACATTTAAAAAAAAAGTGAACGCACTCTAAACAAGGACAAGGTCCGCCAGAAGCACCGTCAGCTTATGCTGGCTAACCACCCCGATCGCGGTGGCAGCCCATACTTGGCCACCAAGATTAACGAGGCCAAGGAGTTCCTCGACAAGCACACTTAAGCTCTTCAAGATTCAATCTCCGATACGGGCTCCGTTACTCGATCAATGAGAATACCAGCCTCCGTACCTTTGGGCTAGAGGGACTGGATATACAAATTTGGGATGCATAGCGTGGCGTTTTACCAATTTGGGGAATGGACTGAGAGCCTATTCCTTATTCTTTTATTCAACTTGTACTTTACACCCTGTTTTATATACTCTCGACATCTCACCACTCTTCAATGTACTATCAGTTTTACATACTACTACCTAGGTGCTACATTTATAAAACTCCGTACTTTCGTGCTTTTTACCGCGAGAATGCCTCGGCTGTCAGGACCGATATATCATCAATCTCCAGTGTCGATCTATGCACGCTCATGTCCGGAATACAGCAAAAAGGCAGCACGTCGAAGGTGGGTTATATGCTGCCCCACTGTTCATCTGCACCTTCCCTTTCGAAAAAGCGGAGTATTCCGTTCGGACAACAGTACCATAGGTAATATCGACATCAGTTCTTAAACATATGTAGGTAATACGGGGTGCTGTGTAATGGTCACAAATTTGCGAAGGATGCAAAGTAACAACGGACGAAATTAACGGACTTAACCCGACATCTCGGGGCATCCCGGCGTTAAGATCTTTTCTTTCAAATAAGGCAGCAGCCTTTTAGCATATCTCATATTTTAGGGGGTCAAAAGGGGAGAATATCAACTCATTACTAGGTGATGAAAATAGTGGGCTGAGCACTGGTCTGACCTAAAACTTCTCTTCCCCACTAAAGCCGTTCTTTACCTCGAATCATCGAATGTTCCAAGTTCTTCTCTGACTGCGTCATCAACTCCTGGTCTATCTCCAACCTCAGCTCCGAAGCTCCGAATAATCTCACTTTACGGAGTAGACTTGGATAGCCCCGCAGTGTCGTCTTTTTGACGCCACCCTGTTCTGCTAGTTACTCCACTTGGCGATGATCTCGCGACTTTTACACGTGAGAAAATAATAGCTCAATATGGACGGTCTGACGGACGGAGACGGCATGGGCTTTGAAATGCCCATGATGATGAACCAACAGCCACCTCTCTTCGACGCCTACGATGGCAACCAGGTTCCGCTTTCAAGTTCAATTTACCCTGACGACTCGGCATTGGGCCCGGGAGACGAATCGAACGATGCGAAGAGACGAAGAATTGCAAGGGTTAGCCTTCTATATCTACCATTGTACAAGCCCTATAGAAGCTGACCTCATATTTCGGATAGGCATGCGACATGTGCAGGAAGAAAAAGATCAAGTGCGACGGCAAAATGCCCAAGTGCTCTCACTGTATCAACTATAAAACAGACTGCGTCTTTACGCAGGTGGAAAAGAAGCGAAACCCTCCTAAGGGGTAGGTTGGCCGATCCCATTCTAGAGCGCTTTGGTTTAACTGTTTTGACTGCAGAGCGAAATACATTGAGGGATTGGAGAATAGATTGGGCCGCATGGAGTCACTCCTGAGACTATCAGGGCTACTGTCCGAGGAAGACAATGGAAAGACAGATCTAGGCACGCTGGAAAAGCGACTTGCTGATCGAACAAGCGCCTTGGAATCTGCGAGAAATTCAAACAAGTTCCCTGCCTCGAATACAACCCAGCAAGCGCCGGCCTCTCTCACTAGCACCCCCCATATAGGCTCCCACTCCAGTCCCCGCACCGCTACCACATCCCCCGAGTCACAAAAGGATTCAGAGACAGAAGTGGAAGCTCTGTCTGACATGATGTGTTCGTTGGTAACGAATAATTGTGGCGAGACCCGGTACATCGGTAGGTTGAGATCAATTCCAAATGCGAGAAGCAGCTCTCATCATTCTATAGGTTCTTCGTCTGGATTCTCAATATTTTCTCCGAAGGGTATTCAATGGGTCAATGAGAAGACGGGAGATACTTCATTTCAAGATATGATCTCGTCGGCATACGTGGATGACAATAAATGGATGTACTGGAAGCCAGAGATTTTCAGTGATATTTTTGCCCGTCGCGTCTTCAAGCCGCTCCCTCCGAAGGAAGAGGCCCTTTCTCTGTTTAAGGATTTCTTCGAAAATTTCAATTGCATGTTTCCACTGTTCCACGAAGCAACTTTCATGCATCTAGTACAACAGCAGTACTCTCGCGACCCATACGAGGGTTCTGGGTGGTGGGCCAGCATCAACGTTGTGCTAGCTATTTCTCATCGCCTCCGCGTGATGAGTAACCTAGTGCCTCATGAAGAAGACAAGAAGGCGTGGCTCTATCTGAAGAATGCCATGGGCGTTCTGACCGAATTGACCATGCGTAACACTGATCTCTTGAGTGTACAGGCACTCTTAGGAATGGTGAGTAATTCTATCTTTATCACCGGATAGAAGTCTAATTTGTTTTCTCTAGTCACTTTTCCTCCAGGGAACCCCTAACCCCCAACCTGCTTTCTTCTTAGTGGCTGCAGCAATTCGTCTTTCTCATAGCATTGGTCTTCATAAGCGAGGCTCAAGCTTTGGTTTGAACCTCGTGGAAGTAGAGCAAAGGAAGCGAGTATTTTGGATTGCGTATTATCTCGACAAAGAGTTCGTCGCCCTAGCGTATGCCCCATGTCTATCCCATTAACAATTGATTAGTATATGCCTCCGATCTGGGCGGCCACCTGTACAAGATGATGATGATATGAACGTCCAACTACCGAGCGAAGATCCTCCAGACAACGTTGGAAACGTCCCACTAACGGATGGGAAGGGAAAATTCAACCTCTTTAGATCTCTCTGTGAATTCGCCACAATTGAGAGCAGAGTATACAAGCGACTTTACTCTGCAAAGGCATCCAGGCAATCTGACGGTGAATTGCTCAACACCATCGGAGAGCTTGACAAGGAGCTTGAAGATTGGAAAGACGCCATCCCCATTGATTTTCGACCTGAGCATGAAATCCAAGCCACGCATGGCCCTCTCCTTATCCACGTTGTTGTTCTTCATTTCGCATACTATAACTGTCTCACCACAATCCACCGCATGTCTGTCCACCACGGATACTGGACCAGCCGCTTGTCAAACTACGCAATCCAAGGCTTGAATGCACGACCATTAAATCCTAGGGTCTTCCTTTCGGCTGTTTTGTCCGTGACTGCTGCAAGAGCATCCATCAATCTGATCAAGTATATCCCTCAGGGAGACTTCGCTTGTGTTTGGTAAGGCTTTGAAGAAAAAGAATGACCATTTCATATACTTACTCTTTTCATTTCAGGTTAATTCTCTACTATCCAGTATCTGCTTTGGTTACGCTATTTGCCAATATCCTGCAGAATCCAAATGATGCCCGTGCTCGCTCTGACGTCAAGCTGATGAATGTGGTGGTCAATTTCCTATCTACCCTAGTCTCTGATGAATCCAACGGAAGCATCAAGCGGATGCTTGCCCTCTGTGGTGAATTTGAGAGAATTGCCAAGGTCGTTCTTGATAAGGCTGAGAGGGAGTCTCATGCCCGCAAGAAGCGGAAGACAGCACCAGAAGACTCAGAACCACGAGAAACGAATAACGGAAAGCCTGCCCCCTCATCATCCACAAATTCCTCTCGCCCAACCAACGCGCCAAATTCATTTTCGCCTTCCACATTCGCCAATGATCAAAGCAATTCACCTAGACTCAAACGCTTTGGCGGGGATCATATGCCCTCCGCCGATATCCACAACGATTTTCAACACAATATCCATGGCATGACTGGACAAGAATTCTCGAACATGCTGGGCTCCAGTCCTATGGCCAACGTCGGATACGTTGACCAGCCATATGCACCTACGAGCCCGAATCCATTGGGAACTCCGTTTCAACAGCCGTTTGTTCCACAGGATCTGTGGCAAATGCCCATGACAATTGAGTGGGATTGGGCAGATATGGCAACTAATTTTCCTATATTTAGTGGAGGGTACATGAATGGCATGCCTCCTCCGCAATAGCCATGATTCTACTCTTCATTTCTTGAGTGCCAAGGCGAGTCAACTCCATCCAGACCTATACTTAAGACTCTTTTACATGGCCGTCTTCCTTGCTAAAACGTAGGCATTCATCCTTCTTTTTGGATTGGATAATGCTGCCAGATGGCGCGTTTTGTCACTTCTAGGAAATATTCCTTCTGTACAATGACTACTCTATGTTTTGCAGCATATGCGGGGTGTTTCAAGGCCAAAATGAGCTTCACATACAAAGGAACCAATTAATATGCCAATGACAAATGTACTGTGCCAATGTCTCAAGGCTATTCACGAAATTCATGTAAATATTTATACTAAATACAAATCTTTCTACTCCGTACTCTATTTCCGTTAACACCGTCAAGCCTGTCCATTCCCTTCGACCGGGTTCGATGACTCAGCTTTCGGGATATCAAAATTCCGCGACATCGAAATGGCCGCAGCTCATTACCACCTTAATTCTCAAGCCGACATATTGCTTGCACCTAGCTGTCCATCCCCGCGATTCTCGATTGATCACCCCCCTCCCCGCCCTCAAAGCCCTCTGGGCTCCTCCTCCTTCCTCGAACATGGCCATGGCCAACATCCTCCGACGGCCAGGCAACCTTGCTCGATTCTCAAGAACCGCCACAGCATCCAGCTGCCGCGCAAGTTTCATATCTGTACGAACACCTCAATCGAGGCTTTCATCCCCTCTCACATACATCCGCGTCCGAAACTACGCCACCAATGGCCCCAGCGGCCCGACGCCTCCGAACAACAAGCCCAACAGCACCCAGAAGAAAGATGACGCTTCAACAGAGCCGAAGCCGACGTCGGCGTTGAACGAGCAGGACCAAAAGAGTGTGGATGTATTCATTAATCATCTGTTGAAACTCGCACCAGAGTCACAGCGAGACAGCGTCGAAACTCTACGTAAACAATTGAACCGGGATGGGATACCGGCAGACATGCGACCATTCATTGAGAATATTTCCACCCTGTCTGTGATGGATCATCTCCGTTTGATGCGAACTTTGTTTAACTATACCGCCAAGAATGACGCCGCTGAAATTGAAGAATCTACGAAGAAAATTGAAGAAGAGTACGAAGAAGGTCTAGCTCGTCTGAAGAAGACGACGGGGATACCGTCAGCTGAGGACAAACTGAATAAAGTTAATATCGAGGCTGAGAAAGCTAAGCTCGAAGCTGAAAAGCTCGAGAAGCTCAAGAACCTACACAAAAAGGTTGCTTTTGGCCAGAAAGAACAGGAACAAAATAGCGAAGGGGAAACTGGTCAGCAGAAGAAGGACCAGAAGCAGAAGCAGCAGATTCCCCCCAACGCCAAAGTATTCGAGTTTAAATTCGACCCCGCTTCCTTCCTCGTCACCTCAATCGTCACATACTACATCTACCGAAGCTTTTTCCCCGGCGATGGTAGCAGCAAAGAAATTACTTGGCAGGAGTTCCGCTCGAACTACCTTGACAAGGGTCTTGTGGAGAAGTTGACTGTTCTCAACCGAAGCAAAGTCCGGGCTGACCTCAACCGCGAGGCTTCATCCCAGGCTTACCCCGATTCCAACGGCCAGCCTGTAACACATGTGCAGTTTAGCATTGGATCCACTGATACCTTTGAAATGAGGCTAGAGAATGCACAAAACGAATTGGGCATCCCATCTCATGAGCGCATCCCGGTTGCCTATGTTGATGAAGTTCCTTGGGGTAATGCGCTCATGTCCTTGGCCCCTACTCTGCTTTTTATTGGTGGTATTTACTGGTTCTCGCGACGTGCTGGTGGCGGTGCTGGCGGCCAGAGTGGAATATTTGGCATGGGCAAGAGCCGCGCAAAGCGATTCAATCACGAAAGTGATATCAAGATCAAGTTCGCCGACGTTGCCGGTATGGATGAGGCTAAGGTTGAGATTATGGAATTTGTCAGCTTCCTTCAGCAGCCTGAGCGGTTCCAACGACTTGGTGCTAAGATTCCCCGTGGTGCTATTCTCTCTGGTCCACCCGGTACTGGTAAAACACTGCTTGCAAAGGCCACTGCCGGTGAATCTGGCGTGCCTTTCTTCAGTGTCAGCGGTTCCGAGTTCGTCGAAATGTTCGTCGGTGTCGGTCCGTCTCGTGTCCGTGACCTGTTCGCAAATGCCCGAAAGAACACTCCTTGCATTATCTTTATTGATGAGATCGATGCCATTGGCAAGTCTCGTTCAAAGTCGAATATGGGTGGCGGTAACGATGAGCGCGAAAGCACCCTGAACCAGATCCTTACCGAGATGGACGGTTTCAACACATCAGATCAGGTTGTTGTGCTCGCCGGTACCAACCGACCTGATATTCTTGACAAGGCCCTTATGCGCCCTGGCCGTTTCGATCGTCACATCAACATTGACCGTCCTACTATGGAAGGTCGTAAGCAGATCTTCCGCGTTTACCTGAAGAAGATTGTCTCCGACGAAAACATGGAGTACTTGGAAGGAAGACTTGCCGCTCTGACCCCTGGCTTTGCCGGCGCTGATATTGCCAACTGCGTGAACGAGGCTGCTCTTGTCGGTAAGTTGACATTTCTAGTGAATTTATATAATCTATACTAAGTATGATATAGCTGCCCGTGAGAATGCCGACAAGGTTGTCATGAAGCACTTCGAACAAGCTATCGAGCGTGTTATCGGTGGTCTGGAGAAGAAGTCCCTCGTGCTGTCGCCTGAAGAGAAGCGGACCGTTGCCTATCACGAGGCAGGCCACGCCATCTGTGGCTGGTACTTCAAATGGGCGGACCCCTTGCTTAAGGTGTCCATCATTCCTCGTGGACAAGGAGCATTGGGTTATGCCCAGTACCTCCCTGCTGGTGGTGATACCTATCTGATGAACGTCAACCAGATGATGGACCGTATGGCCATGACTCTGGGTGGCCGTGTCAGTGAGGAGCTCCACTTCGAGACTGTGACCAGCGGTGCCAGTGATGACTTCAACAAGGTCACTCGCATGGCTACCGCCATGGTCACCAAATTCGGTATGTCGAAGAAGCTTGGCTACATCTACTACGAAGAGGATGGACAACAGCAACTTCACAAGCCTTTCTCCGAAGATACCGCCCGCACCATTGATGAGGAGGTCCGCAACATTATCGCACAGGCCTACCAGCAATGCAACACCCTTTTGACAGCGAAGAAGAAGGAAATCGGCATCGTTGCCGAGGAGCTTCTGTCCAAGGAAGTTCTCGGCCGCGATGACCTGATTCGTCTCCTCGGCCCACGTGAGTGGCCCGAGACAGGAGAGTTCGCAAAGTACTTCGATGGCAAGGGCGGCGCCACCATCGCTCCTCCAGAACCAACTCTGGATCCCAAAGAACCCGCTGGCAAGGATCAGACCCCGTCGATTTGAAATTGACGAGTTGTTTTTTAACTGCGCCGATTGGACTTGCATTCTTGGGAAAGGTGTGTTTTAGTCAAATCTTTTGAGAGCGTGATATTCCCCTGCGGTTCTCCTTGAACTATTTCTGTATTCAGTGACTTGCATCTTTGTCTCCTCTTCTTTCTTCAATATGTTCTACTCTACCCCCCTCTCAGCTCTGTGCTCTTCTTTTCGCACCATCCCTCTATCTCTACCCTATGATTTTAACCTTTCACCACTCTGAAAACTAGACTGAGGAAGATGTATACTCGGTCGTTCTTTCTTATTTTTCTCGCCTCTATTGTAGGGGTCCATGTATTTATGTGGAGATTGTATACTACTTTGAGCTCTGTATTCAAACATACATAGGTAGATGATTTACTTTCCAGTTCTTGGCTCTCCCCTTTCGTATTAGTGCTCAATGCTTGTCGTTTTTCGCTCACTGAGTACCCGACGGAGATTCTACGTGCCTGTCTCAACCTAGGGCAGGAAGAACAGATGCTCTCCTATACTTTCGCCAGATTTCCGGTCAAATCGCACAAGTCGAAACTCTATCCAGTGCACAATTCTTGAAAGCGAACGCTGACATATAGAGGAACAAACTGCTAGCCTGAGTAGACATGGATAGAGGATCTGGACTAGTCCACTTGAAGGCTGACAGCTTGTCCTAAGTGGAGTGGAAAAGGCATTCGATCAAGGGAAACTCTGAAGTCTCTGAAGTCTCATATCCTGCAACCTCACTCTCATTCGAGGCAATTTGCCGAGGATTATCGGAGTCGGTATGCCAGAACACTCTTGCCAGATGGCGTGAAGGTCGAGATCCAAATCACAGTCTACCAATTTTAACACAAAGCAACCATTGAAACGACTGGTATAGACCGTTCTTGTTCGATTCGTGCTTTTTTTTTTTCCCAAGATTTGTTGTCGAAGACTGGTGGTAAAATACAGAAGTGTAGAAGGTAGCAATTTGACGAGGGTTGAGCAGGAATTTTGTTTATATTGATAACGCAAGTTCATGGCATATTAGTAGGACTTGATGGTCAGATGATAACTTCTCGAAAATAATGAAGCTGTCGCTGCTCATCCAAAGACTGTAACGGATAAATTTGCGGCTAGGGCTTATTTTCTGGCCCTTGAAATACCCGACTGTCTCTTGACTGGGCGATCAATTGAGAGAGTCGAAGTAAGATGATGCATTTTGGTCGTAAAATATTAGTTCAGACATCGTGCTGGAGAGCCATATAGACTCAGAAAAGCCACACCGAGCCTGCTAGCATATCCAATCATTGGCGAATAGACCGCACGTTTAAAACGCTGGTGAGAAATTCACTCAACTCTTGACGTCAGATCTCACCTGCTGCTCACCGCGAATTACTGGATTATATGCGGAGATGAACCTAAGCCTCGAAACAAAACGTTGCAGAAGCTATCTCATAATGGTAGCCCGCAAGTGTACTTCTGATGCGTTTCTCCCCCTAACTCAAGATTTCGAGGCCGATAGGGGAATTGCAACTTGATAGTCGGGTAGTCACTAAAAGCATACAAGAGATGAATTATGCGATAGAAGACACTACTAATAACTGATGATATTAAATCCAATTTGTACAATATTGCAAGACATGGCTAGAGAAAACCTTTGAGAAGAGGAGTGTGCAGTAAAGAAGTACCGTCTTTGATCCAAGGTGACAGTCGGTTTATGGCGAAGGCTCGGGCTTAACATTCACTCCAGCCTTTGCTTCCTCCTCAGTAGGCTTCCTTGCCCAGACTCGGCGACTACATTTGATTAGCAAGCGAAGCTTCTCAGATTGTTCATGTGAGGAACTCACGCATATTCATAAGCATGTGTGTGAGGGTTTCTCAACTCGGCCCGAACTTTGGCCAGATAGACCTGGACCTCTTCTTTGGTCCAAGGGGATGGCGCTCCAAACTTGGTGAGAAGCCACATAGCCCAGCCCTCCAGAGCCGCAGTCCAATGGAGGTATTGAAGCTGTCCAGTCTCCTTGAGACGTTTATCCTTTGGCCAAGGCCCCAAAGGTATCTTGTATATTTTTTCGTGCACGTCTACGAAACCGGCCTTCTCCATTGCACCTCGCATCGTTTCATGGGTTAGGAGGGAGCGGCCGCTTCTCTCGGAGCAGCCAATGAAATTGTTTCCCCATCCAGCCAGATGGCTGTCCTCTTTAAGGGTGCCGTCGTCGCTATACACTCGAACATCTAATTCAACCTGTTCAATCCAGCCGCCGGGAGTGAGAGCCCTGAATAGCACAAGCTTGTTAAATCCAGTTGTTTTGAGGGAATAAAGAGCACAGAGGAGGAAAATGGACTAACTTGTAACATTGCTCGTATAGTTGATTCCAACCCTCGGGTGTGAATGCTCCCAGCATTAGACGAAGATGAATAAAATCAAACGGCTCTCTCCAAGTCCACTCGCGGAGGATATCATCCACTTCAAACACGCAGTTAGGCGGCGTCCAGGTCACAGGAGGAGGGAATATGTCAACACCACGAACAGTCGCTAAAACTTGTCAGCTCAAAGGGACGTGAAGAAGAAAAGGGTGCAAATACCAGATGGATACATATCCGCAGCATCACTGGATGGATGTAAGCAATAGTTGATTCAAAAGGATGTATAGAAAACTTACATAGCCCAGGACCCTTTACCGGTCCCAATGTCCAAGATATTCTGAAAGCTAGACTCAGTAAGGTGTCAATTATCAGAGATCAAGATTGCTCTCACCTTGGGAGATTTGGCAATGGGAGCGCGGTGGAGAGGATTTTCTTGGTGGTAGTCTAGCATAAGGAATACCATATGGCTAGATATCAATAATGAGCTGCTGTTTGGACCACAAGGAAATATCAAGAAATAAAAAAGTATTTACCCAATCTCAAAAGCATCGAATTGCTGTTCATCAGAAGGGCTCCTATTCGACATGATTAGACTCGAGTCTCACGTTGGCACGTTGCCACCGACCAGTAGTCATCTTCCTTCATCGCCTGGTATCTGCTTTTGATATCAGCTAGGGCGCATATCACTTTATTACATCAATTGCCTGACCTTCTGCCATTTTCCAGCCGGCCCTTCGCGATGGACGAGGCAATGGAAGTGGTTTCCCTAGTCAAATAATGTGGTGAGAATGCGACCTGGACATGTCACTTTCGGTGGCGCTCACGACTGAAAGTCCTGGGGTTCCCAGTCTTTTGTCAGAACGTAAAAATCAGGGTCCTAGCAGCCAAGGTTAGATGAGTTCAGGTTTTCGAAGACTACAATAATCAGCTTACGACAACGATATTTTCCGCCATGGTAGTCGTGGGAATTGAAAGGTGAGAACCACGGTTGAAAGAAAGTTTGGGTGCGGGTGGGCGGGCGCATCCGGGCTCCGCTCAGACTACTCGTCCTTTTAAATCCATTCAGGTTAGACATGTTCATGGTTTAGGTTTTGGGTCCCAAATGGGGTTCTTTGGATACCTTGATGCCTGTCTTTTGCCTTGAGCTAATCCTAATCAGGATATTTAATGCCTTGGTGCCTGGCTTTTTGCCCCGTGCTAAACTTCATTAGGTAATATATATCACGTGACATGGTGGGGTTGGGGAAACCCATGAACATGTCTAACCTGAATGGATTTAAAAGGACAGCTTTTTACGCTAACTATATTTGGAAGGAGGGTTATAATACAATGAGTTTTCTGCCTGTACCATCCGAAGCGCGGTATGGATATAATTCTGAAAAGTTGCTGGTGCGTTTGTGAGTCCGAATGGCATTACCAGTGCGAAACGTAGTTTTCCATTCATCGCCCTCTTTGATTCGAATCTGATAGTAAGCTTCTCGGATGTCGATTTTTGTGAACAACTTTGCTCCCGATAGTAGATAATCTCCGAAATCAATAATGGGTAGCGATTCTTGATCGAAACGCGATTGAGTCACCGATAATCGACACAGAGCCTTAGTCCCCCGTCTTTCTTTGGAAAAAAAAAAGGTTGGGAGCTCCGGCGGGACTCTTTGAAGGGCGAATGCGACCGTGCTTGAGGTTCTCGTCGAGGTATTCGCGAACCGTGGACAATTCATTTCTCGATAGTGGGTAAATCGGGCTATAGGGGCCACTTTGAATACCTCGTAATGCCATTCGGACTCAAACGCACCAGCAACTTTTCAAAACTATATCCATACCGCGCTTCGCGGGCTTCTAGACGTCGTATGCATCACGTATCTCGACGACATCCTAATCTTTTCAAATACACGGGGCACAACAAACACGTGTCGGAAGGCTCGTGGGAATCCTTCAAGGAATGGACCCATAAACCTGTCGTAAGCCACGCAACACTGATCGACTACCGAATCAAGTTCGATTTGGCCCATCAACAACCCACACAGCGACCTACTGATTTCCACCAACACCTCCTGAGTTACGAAAAGTTCTTCGAAGAGCAGTCGGAAAAGCATCGATCCGAAGTCAATTTCTCCAAGTTACTACCCGAACTCCGAAATGCTATACTCTCAGAAAGAAGCGAGGAACCAAGCCCACGTCTTCGCCATCATCCAAGCAAACGAGGACGTTTGGCTACCAGATGAAGAGGATGAGGTTCAAGAACAAACGACCTACCTCCCGAATTGGAATCTTTCCGCGGCGTTTTCGACCACGATAACGCTAGACATCCTTACCTGTAATCTGAGCCTAACGCGGACTTGAGTAGGGTCATGTGATCTGCCCCACCTAGGATATGAGGTCATCAATACAAAGAGGTCGTAAAGCCTTGTTAGCTATGAATGAATCCATTAGTACTTAGAAGTCGCAAATATCCGACAAAAGTCAAACTATATAAAATTGTCTTCACATTTGAAAGAGTCGACTAAGTATCCCAAATACTGACCATTTCCATATCAAGTAAATCTCCATCGCCTATAGTTTGAGTCATTTTATTTATTTGCTCTTCTTCTCATCTGCCCTCTTGGAGACAGTCTTGGCCTTGACAGAATAGCGGGGTAGAAATCGGCCCACACGAGCTTGATACTCGCTATACTCCGGGTACTTGCTTGCACTGATAGACTCAGTGAGACGCGTGCTACCCTGGAAGATAGCTAAGTAGCCCACAACACCAAGTGCAGTCCACTGGAAGTAGTTTCCAGTGCTGAAAGCGGACCAGATGTACAAGGTCAACCAGACGGCCTGCTCAGCGACAAAGTTAGGGTGGCGCGACCATGACCAGAGTCCACTAATCACAAAACCGCGCTCAAGGTCCTCGGGGCTGTAGCGCTCCTTGTTGGGCGCAGAGATGCGAGCGTTCTGCTGGTACTCTTGCTTGGCGCCTTGGAAATCCCACTGTTGCTGATCGGCGAAGTATTCAATGATGATAAAGAAGAAAGCAGCACGAGAGAAAGCTAGATCGGGGAGACCGAAAGTGTCAGCACCTTGGCTGTGCGCCACAAGCACAAAGACGTAGGATGGGGCAGTGATGAGAAGTAGCAGCGCGGATTGCGCCAGAGCAATGAAACTGAAGTTGAAGATTGTGAAGAGGAAGTTGTTGTTCACCCTTGAGCGCACAATCTGCCAGCGGTAATCCTCGGAGCCGATAGTGTAGCCACCTTTACGCCAGTAATTGAAGGTCAAACGGATCTGTCAAGTCGCCCGAATTAGCTATGTCATTTCGAGCGCATTTTTTTGTCGAGTAGCAACACTTACGCTCCATAGCACGCTGATGGCGGCAATAGTATCCAAGGTCTGGGTGCGAATACCAGCCAGACGCGCCCACGCGGCGAAATGCACGTTGTACACTGCAGGTAGAATGCTCCAGAATCGATCCACTTGCGAATAGTTCCGATTGATCTCAGCAGCTAGGAAGAAGATCCCAGCTAGGACAGATCCAAATGCGATGGCGGAAACTAAAGGGTTGGTGGCGAGGTAAACCTCCTTCAAGCTACCGAGATCTAGGCCAGCTTCGCGTAAGCTGGCGGGGAGCCATTGCAGCTGCGAGAGATAGGGTAGAACGGTAAGTTGGAAGGAAGTGCAGTCGGCCAAGGACTCGACGCTAGGAAGTGGAAGATTCGCCATTTTCCGTAAACTCAAATCCAAGTCTGTGTGAAGAAGAAACAGGGTGGAATAGAGAATGGGGTTCTAGTTAACTTGGTTTCTGCAAGCTTAATGTTTGGATTACCTCATCGGGTTATATATATGCCTCAGGCATCCAAGACCCCTCAAGCGCGTCTTGTTTCCTCTGCGTCCAACCAGGAACATCAACTTAATTCTCCGTTAAGGAGGAAAATGCAGCTTCAATTTGCTGTGTGCTCAATAGGCTAATGGATTGTGGTGGTCTTGTGATGTCACGTTTTCTTTAAGTTTTTAGTTAGCTTCTGCTCCCCAGATATCAACTTCTTCATTCACAATCCTTGCTATCTCAAGGCTAGGCTCATGGATCGCAAGATTCTCTGTGTTGCAGAGAAGCCGGCAATTGCACGCGCCGTAGCTACTCACCTCTCAGGTGGTTCTTTCCAAGTTGTGAGTGCCTTGAAGAACCTTGGTGCATACTGTTGGCTAAAGCTCGACTTTTAGCACGCGATCAATGGCAATCGATATGTGAAGAACTTTGAGTTCAATTTCAACTTTGGAGGCGCCTGGGGAAACTGCTCTGTGACCATGACCAGTGTGCTTGGTCATCTCACAGGACTAGATTTCGAACAGCAGTACAAGGGCTGGATGTCATGTCCTCCTGGGGCTCTCTTTGAGGCTCCAGTGGTAGAATTTGTTGATAAGGTTGGAGATATTCCAGTCCAAACCTCAGCTCAGCTACTAATCTCGGGTACAGGAGAAACAAGGTATCGCAGATAATATTCGCAACCAGGCAAGATACAGCAAAGCCCTGTTTATCTGGACCGATTGCGATCGAGAAGGCGAACATATTGGCTCTGAAGTCCGGCGCCAGGCAGTCAATGGAAACTCTCGAATTGAGGTCAAAAGAGCCAAGTTCAGCAACACAGAAAGAGCGTAAGTCAACTTTTAGCTTGCTGCTGACCTCTTTTTGTCTAATTATTTCTCTTGAGCCTAATAGACATGTTCTACGTGCCGCTAGAGAACCAGTTGAACTTGACAATTTCCAAGCAAATGCTGTGGCTGCTAGAATTGAGCTTGATCTTCGGATTGGCGCCGCTTTTACTCGCCTGCAGACCCTTCAACTCCAAAATACAGTGGAAAATCTGAAAGACAAGATAATCAGTTACGGTAAGAATATTCTCAAGCTCAGGTCTGTGTTTGCATAAATATAATGTTGTTCAGGTTCATGCCAGTTTCCTACACTAGGGTTTGTGGTCGATCGATACCTGAGGGTCAAAAACTTTAAGCCTGAAACGTTCTGGGGCATCAAAGTCATACATACGCGCGAAAGAAAGAAGGTCAACTTTCTTTGGAAGCGCGTTCATCTCTTTGATCGCGCGGTTGTGACGATGATGATGGAACGATGTTTAACTGCAAAGAAGGCGAAGGTCATAAACGTTACCCAGAAGCCCAGGAGTAAATGGCGACCTCTGCCCTTGACAACTGTCGATCTTCAAATGATGGGAAGTCGATTTCTCCGTATCGATTCTCAAACCATCATGAAGGTGGCCGAGGCGCTTTACACCAAAGGATACATCAGCTATCCTAGAACAGAGACTGATCAGTTCGATAAGGGAATTGACCTAAAGAAATTGGTTGAAAAGCAGTTTCCAGATGAATCATGGGGCCAATACTCCCGAGAGTAAGTGGACTTCGCCCCATAATTCGCGCCTTAGCCACGGCTAATGATATTAGACTCATTGATGGAAAATTCAGAACTCCACGGTCTGGTCGTAACAACGATCAGGCACATCCACCGATCCATCCAGTCTGCTGGGTGAATCAAACCCAGCTAAATGGCAACGAGAAGAGAGTGTATGAATTTGTAGTTCGTCGATTCCTCGCCTGCTGCTCCGAGGACGCGAAAGGCGAGGGCAGCGACATCGAAATCCAATATGGAGAAGAATTATTCCATGCCAGCGGACTCATTGTCCTGGAAAAGAACTATCTAGATGTCTACGTCTACGAAAAATGGGAAAGCAGCCAACAACTACCAAAATTCGAGAGGGGAGAAGTTTTTGAACCTACCGAAGCCAACATATTTGAGGGCAAAACCTCGGCACCGAGCTACCTGACTGAACCGGAACTCATCGGTCTTATGGACGCCAACGGCATCGGCACCGACGCGACAATGGCAGAACATATTGCAAAAGTCAAAGAGCGTGAATACGTTATGACGCACAAGCGCGGTACAGGCCGAACTTCGGTTGAAGAGCTCATCCCAACCAGGTTGGGTGTTGCGCTTGTCGAGGGGTACGACAATGTTGTTGCAGGTCTACCAAATAGTATCTCGCTGAGCAAGCCGTTTCTTCGAAAGGAAATGGAATTGCGGATGCTTGAGATTTGCGCTGGGAGAAAGACACGGCAGGAGGTTGTTCAGCAGAGTCTGGACTTGTACCGAGAGGTCTTCATTCATACTCAAAGGCAGATTGTGAAACTAAAAGATGCATGCCGAAAATATATCATTTGAAGCATTATGATTGAAATGTTTTCTAGGGTTTTCTGTGACGTTGAACATCCCTTTTTGCAATATCTAAGAGTTTTTTGTGAGAAAATAATTCAAGTCCACGGGCCCAAGGCATCTTGTTCATTGAATATAGATGACTGATGGCCCGATAAGTATGAAATTATTGTTGCAGTATACGAACTAGTAGAGTGCGGATATAATTCTGAGTCTCCATCTAAGCATATTTCAAGTTGATATCTAGATAGGCATAACATCCATCCATTCTGATAGAGTGACTACGAACTAATTCGACACATGCGTCTCCCCTGATTTCTCACCCAGGACGCTCGATATCCGAAGGAAATTGTCGATGCTGTTTTGCCCGATCAATATCTTGGTAACATCGTCTTGTAGAAAGTTCAAGTGCTGACACAGCTCAGCAAGAACCACAGGAGGTGGGATACGATCCTGTAGATCCCCAAGCCTCCGGTTAAGGTCGTATTGATGCTGCCCGATCTCCGTAAGCAGATGGTGTACATACTGCGTCTGATGATGGATCTGCTGCGTCTGGTCTTGCTGTCTCATCAAAATTGTCACGATGAGCGAGACAATGATGACTGAGAGGACCCAGGTTGGAAACTCTTTCAACTCAAGAGATGAAGATGTAGACTTAGGGCTTGATTGGTTCAGACAAGATGGCATTTTTTTCATGACGTCCACCTGCAACGTCGCGCCGGTCGTGAACATTGCTTCATATTCATTGTTAGTGTGAGCTACATGCTGCGGAATAAATTCCAATGTGATATTCGCCATCTGCTGGAAGATATCTTGTTCTGTCGGGTAGGTTGAGTCGATGCTTTCGAGCCACGTAGTAATTGAATTTTCGGACCACGTCGTTTGGATCAACGGCTGCAGCGTGTACACAGTGCTTGCCAGCTGGAAGGAGCCAAGTGCGCGGTCAAAGAAGGAGCGAGTAGGTTGGATTGCGGTAAATGGGATTTCACCGAAAATACCCCAGATATTCGCAGCGAGGAAGACCAAAACGGGGATATCAAAAGGCATGGCTTCAGATTGAGTTTCACGGATTATTATATTAACCTTCTAATGTTGGAAGAGTGGAGATGAAAAGATATCTTGGTCTGGATTAGAGGATATATTTAAGAAAATAATCAATTTCTAGAGGGGCTGATGTTGCTTAGAAGCAATCTATGAGGGCCGTAGAGAATGACCTAAGAGCAAACATATAAAATGGTTGGCTGTGAGTCCTACAAAGGACGAGAGACACGCAGATGATAGATTGGCGCACCTGGCCGTTGAAGAACCTTGGAAGCTTCTTTCAAGTTATTTTCCTTTCAACAAGTTTTTGGCGGAATGAAGTGTAGAAAATCTTGATTTTGACTTTTTTACTATATAATGGCATAAATCGACTGCCTATCATATAAGCCCTGCCGGGCTAGCTCAATCGGTAGAGCGTGTGACTCTTAATCACAAGGTTGGGGGTTCGACCCCCCCGTTCGGCTATTCCTACTACGAACCTTCGAGTCTTCTTTTTTTATGTTTTAACTTCCACTCTATATGTAGGTATCAATGAGAAAAATCATCATTTGAACGTAGATAAATATTTTATCATTTTAGTTTGATCATTGGGCTCTGCTGTTTAATCTCCAAGGTCGAAGAGTGAGGTCTAATTAATGTAGTTTGTCCAGCCTCAAGCAGCAGCTTCATTATGGTCTCCCAGCTTAACTAATTCCAAGGTTGTAACTGAATTATTGCCCTTACCTAGATCAAAACCTTGGAATATTCACAAGGCTAGAGGAAAAGAAATACGGTTGCCATGATATTTTTATTCGCAGTGAGATACGGTCGAATTGAAGAGAAGAGAAGCCTAATCATGGTCTTCTAATCATGGTCTTGAGAGAGCCCGAGCTTATTGAAATCGACAGGAACATTACTATTAAATATCTCAGTTTTAGGAATTAATAGTTAGCTGGAGGTATATTTAGACGTCAATTGACGTTCACTCTCTAGACATGGAAGGTTATCTCCGATGTCCATTTCTTTGTCCATTTCTTTGTCCTTATCCAGCTCCCTCTCTCCATCTCTTTTTCTCTCCCTCTCATCAACTATCTTCCTCTAGCTCACCAAGTAAGACTTATTCCTATTTTGTCTCTTGGAGAAGTTTGAAACCTATCGCTAATATGACCGAGCCTTTTTGTTCTTTCCTTGAGACTTGGTGAGAAGATCCTCCCCAGTTTGAAGTATAATGATCTAATTTTAGCAGGAATGCCCCAGTAAAGACTATTGCACCACCAAATCGACTACCCATAAAGACATATGTCGGCCCAGATATGGTTATCCCACAGTTTGGTGAATGGGCAAGATATATCAAGAGTTTGAAATGGAGCGAATCAATGGAGAAAAAGTTTCACAAGTCTCAACTTCTCCAGGACCTGATTGATATGCCGAGCCTTCAGGAGCCAACTCTCCGCGTGGAAAAAGAACAAATCTGGACACCAGCTCTATTTTCAGAGTGTCTTGAGGGCAGCATGAAAAATATTGAAAGCGCATTGATACAGGTTGTTGGCAATTGCGAAGAAATGCCATGCAAGCACTGTATAAATGGCCATGGGCTATTTGCTCACTGCTTGCGGGTGCCAAATACCCCAGCGTGTGGAAATTGCCATTGGGCTGCAAATGGTGCCCGTTGCAGTTTCAATACCCAAACCACTTTTCTAAAAGGCCCCTTCCGCAAAATTCAGGCTCGGTATGACTTGATAGACTTCGATGAAGTTGATGATAATCAGGAGGCGCCAAAAAGCACTAGCCGCAAACGCAAAATCCGAGAAAAGACTTTCAACGTGAATGAAGTTGATGATGATAAGAAGGAGGTGAAAACTCTCCGTGAGGAGCTTGATCGGGTGGAGGAGCACCGCTACCTTCAGGGCCAGCATTTCAGAGCTTCCCGCCAGAATCTTTCTCTTCCAACTGATCAAGTCAATCTTATGGCTACGGAAAATTCTACTATTACGTCTGGAATTGCTACTTGTCATGAAAAAGCTCGGGCGTTCCGTGATGCCCATGAGAAGCTGGAAGCTCAGATTGCGATGATGGATACTACTATCTGCCGTATCACGGACCGAATGCTTGCTCCTGTGGATCGGGAGCTTCTCCCCTAAGAGGCTAGAGCCCAAAGAAGTCTGGACCAGAGAATGAAGGTAGATTGCAGCACTACAGAGGTTTTTTTATTTTTATTTTTATTGGCAAATTTTTGGGATGGACCTTTCGGGGCATTATGGAGAGACCACGATTTTTATTTTGACATGCAAGACTGTGCGTAGTCTTTTAGAAATTCAGGTTATTTTGCCAAAGTGAACTTTCACGACCTCCAGGGCTATGAAAAGCTCCGAGTTCCCAGTATCCAAATCATACGCACAAGTTATATCGAAATTGATACCTAGGTAGCTAATTACAGCCAATGTTCAAGGTCATTCACAAGTCTATCAACTTATAACAATCTCCTTCCTTCCATCCTGGAAGCTTTCTTCTCTCAATTACTCTAGTCTCTTGCTGAGAACAGCTCCATACCAGACAGTAGCAATTAGACTCACCAAATTGACCAAGCTAGAAATACCGTGAACACGCCCAAACCTCTTGTTCAGGGCCGCCATTTCCTTGGAATGGGGTTCGGGGTCGTAGCTTTTCTTTCCGTCACGGTTTTCTATACAAATCAGATCATGAATATAGCGAGGTATGTATAGAAATTCAAATAAATCATGTATACATACCCTGATGCTTACGCTCGCGCATAATCTTGATGGTCAGAGGGCGCAAGAAAACCTGGTTGATCAAGCCAGTAATGGCGACAGCGGCCATGGGAAGCAAGGTGGTGTATCGGTTCTCTGGAGCAATCAGGCCCGAGAAGCCCAGGGCATCACCGTGTCTGGTGGCAGTCAGGGCTACAATCACTGGGAGTGCAGCCTGTAGATTGAAGTAGATCGGGAAGATGGCAGCCTGCAGATTGGCGAACTGCGGGCGCGGCAAAGTGCGAAAAGCAACGATTCCGGCAACGAAGGACTAGGGCAGTGTCAAGGATTTGTTCTTTTACATTTTAAATATGTCTGGGATCTGGTTGTTGATACCCAGTATGACTTACCTGGAAGACCTGGGTACCCAGCAAGGTACCATAACTGGGAGGTGTCAGCTGTCCTGCTTTTCTCAAGAACAAGGTCATCGATTAATACTATGCTGAACTTACCTCAGGATATGAAATGGGCGAGGGTCAATCATGTTGCCGAAATTCTCGTGAACTGTTGGGCAATGGAGAAGGATTATGAATGTAGTCGTTGGATCAAGCAAAATAGCTCATAGTGGCTAGGTGGTATGACGGAATTAAAGCCACGTCCCTTCTTGTATTTTTATCCTATTTCCACCATTCACAGTGGGTTATTATTATAGACACGCACCTTCAAGTTAAATCCACTCGATCAGATGATGTCATGTGCGCGTATCCAAGGCTAACCAAAAGAGGAATCACGCGTCTGCCTGCCAAATAGGCTGCTTCACCTCAACTATATTTATCCTCCACGCGTGGAATTGAATTCAAACCCAGATTCAACCATGGCGGACAAGGAAGCAACAGTTTACATTGTGGATGTCTCGTGTTCTATGGGAGAACGACGACATGGCCGCGAAATTACGGACCTGGAATGGGCCATGCAGTATGTCTGGGACAAGATCACTACTACGGTATGTCTTCGCTGAAAAACTTTCAGAATCCAGGCACTGATGGAAACTCTCAGGTCTACACAGGTCGAAAGGGGGCTACACTCGCTACTGTCGCTTTGCGAACAGATGGTAGGCCATTTAATTCTGGGTGCATAGTAATGCAATCTTACCAAAGCGATCGATAGGTACTTCGAATGAGCTTGAAGATGATCCAGATTACTCCAATATCTCGGTTGTTAAGAATCTTGGACAGTATGTTACAATTTTCTCCTATTTTTGGTTACCCAGCTGATTCCTTGACAGGGCTCTTATGCCTGATATCCGAAAAATTCGAGATGTTATTAAGCCAAGTGGCACCGATGCCGGTGACGGTACATGAAAGAATCCATGTTAATTGAAAGGTTCACAATTCTAATAATTCTGAAGCTATTTCTGCGGTCGTCGTGGCCATTCAAATGATCCGGACCTTTTGCAAGAAGCTCAAATACAAGAGGGAGATTGTCCTTGTCACCAACGCCACTGGCGTGATGAACAGTGAGAATTTGGATCAAATAATAGCAAAGATCAAAGAGGACAATATCAAGCTGACTATACTGTGTGTCTCCATGGGTCTTGTTTCATTTCGAAATCTGACTAATTCCATTCAGTGGACCCGATTTCGACGATGCGGAATACGGAGTGAAAGAAGAAGACAAAGATAATCTGAAGGTAAATAAGGACCCATGACATTGATTCTAACATACTGATTGTTCATCTCAATTCAGAAAGAAAATGAGATACTTCTACGCGAATTTGCTGAAGGTTGTGATGGCAACTATGGAACCCTCGATGAGGCAGTCTCGTGGCTGGAAACTCCTCGTCTCAAAGTGACGAAGGGCCTGCCTTCCTTTAAGGGATTTCTTCAGCTAGGGGATGCGTCGAAATATGACACGGCAGTGCGCATCCCCGTTGAGCGCTATTTCCAAACCTACGTTGCCAAACCGCCATCAGCTAGCTCTTTCGTTATCAGTTCTGGCAATGCACCTGAGAAAGATGGAGCCCAACTCTCTGGAAGTCAGGCACCGAGTGAAGGAGAAAACCTCACATTGGTGAGACAATCTCGAGCATATCAAATCACAGACGAGTCCGCACCTGGCGGCAAAGTCGAAGTCGAGCGGGATGACCTTGCGAAGGGTTACGAATACGGCCGCACTGCTGTGCATATCAGTCAGACTGATGAGAACATTACCAAGCTAGAAACCTTCGCAGCCATGGATCTGATTGGGTTTGTTCCAAAGGAAAATGTAAGTTTTCTAACCAACGCGAGTTTTGTACGAAGCTAAAGCAGTTTACTTAGTATGATCGCTATCAACATATGTCAAATACCAATGTAATAATTGCCTCAAAGGGTAATGACAAAGCAGCTCTGGCTTTATCGTCTTTTATCCACGCACTGGATGAGTCGGAATCCTACGCCGTTGCTCGATTAGTGACGAAGGAGGGAAAGCCCCCTTGATCGTTTTGCTAGCACCAGAAATCGAAAAGAATTATGAATGCCTCATTGAGGTCCAGGTTCCATTCTCGGAGGATGTGCGATCATACAGGTTTCCTCCCTTAGATAAGGTCATTACCGTTTCAGGCAAGATTGTGACTGAGCACCGCAACCTTCCAACCGACAGCCTTCAGGAGGCGATGAGCAACTATGTCGATAGCATGGAGTTAGGTCTCGATGATGATGAAGAGTGAGTCGTCCCTTTGACTATTAGCGAAGTACAAAGAGCTTACCATATGCATCTTCAGAGCTGAAGTTGACGACTTGATCAATGACTCATACTCTCCATACCTACACCGGGTTGAGACAGCTGTGCGCAAACGAGCGGTGAATCCTAATGCTCCTGTCCTCGAGCCAGCTCACCAACTACTGAAATTTGCCAACCCTGACAAGAACGTGATCGAAAAGTCGAAAGTCTACCTCGAGAAATTGATTTCTGAAGCAGATGTCAAGAAAGGTATACCCTTCCTCTCATGAACCCCTCATTAGACACATCCCTTAACGAGAATATACAGTACCACCAAAGACTAAGGGCCGGAAACGCCAGCGCGAGACCGAAAAACCACTCTCTGGCCTTGACGTTGATGCTCTTCTTAACCTAGAACCAAAGCGGGCGAAGATCTCAGCTGAGAATGCCATCCCCGAATTCAAGCAACTTCTCCAGCGTGCTCAGAGTGTCGATGAAACCCTTGACGCTGTCAAGCAGCTGAACATTATTATCGAAACCCAGATCAAGCACAGTTTCGGCGAAGCCAACTACAACCGAGTTGTTGAGGAATTGGGCACAATGCGCGAAGAGCTGGTAGATTATGAGGTACCGGTTGCTTACAATGATGTATTGCGTAAACTCAAGGAGAAGATCCTGCGCGAGGAGCTGGGTGGGGATCGTCAAGAGCTGTGGTACCTTATTCGAACGAGCAAACTTGGTCTAATTGAGCACACTGAGTCAGAGCATTCCCAGGTCTCAGAGGAGGATGCAAAGCAGGTGAGATAAAACGTTTGATTTCTTGAAGCGTCTCGCACTAATATTCCATTTGTAGTTCCTCTCTGCCAAATGATGGGTCTGAAGGAGTCCTAGTTGGCTCTTTTTCTAGGTTTACTTTATCAAAAGTTGCTGTATGAGATTAGATTCTTACATGCCTTACTGTCGATATTTGCTCATGGGAATAATAAACATAGAAAGCGCTTTGAAAGTACTGGTAAATGAGAACTCTAATAGTAAATGTCGCCCATGCTGGGAATAAAAAGCACAAAAATGTAATGTTCCACTTCCCATGCGCCGAATCAACGATGAAATGAGAATGTGAAGACAAGGTAAAGGAAACCAATTATGTACTGGATGTGTATGTACTTTATCAACGCCCGAAGATTTAAGAAATCTTGTTGATGCGCTTTTTACCAATATCAAGCTTGGTCTGAAGTCTGAATTCGAAAAGTTAGAAATGTATAGCGTAAACAGATACTGGAGAAAGGGACATACCTATTAGTATCTTCATCAGTCATCTTCAGCAACTCATTCTGCACCTCCAGTTCCTCATGAATGGCGGTACCAAGTTCACGCTGTCGTATAATAATTTTCAACAACTCGTCAACACTAGCATCCTGTGCCTGCATCGTCTCTTGCTGCAACTGCAAAACGCCCTTATTATCCAGCTCGCGTGTGCGTTCCGTCTCCTTCCCAAGTACTCTACCCGATCTTGCAGGGGTGCGACGTCCGCCATTACTAGCCGCATCACCGTTCCCAGCACGGATCAGCGCCTCCTTATCCTGAATAGACGCCACAGCATGATCAAGTCGGCTCTTCGTCGCCATGGCATGCAACAGATCCTCCAACCCATCTTTCTCTTTGCGCGCGTTGATAAGCAGATCTTTACGACGGCGGATCTCGCCCTCGCCCAGCGTGACTCTAGACTGTGCGCCTCGGGTGCTGAGGTTCTTGAGTCCTTCTTCCAGGGTACTGATCATTGAGCTGGCGCGCACGAGACTGCTTTTGGCATGTGCAGAGCTCTCGTGCTGTCTCTGTGGTGTGGTTTCTTGATCGCGTTTCGAGAGTTGCAGTCTAGCGTCGTGGAGGTGGGATTTCATGTCGCGGTAGTAGTCTAGCCAGAGGGTTGGGTCTATGATTGAGGCATTTGTCGCGTTCCCGGGGTCTGTGATTGCGGCGTGTAGACGGGTCGACGTGGTGTTTGTACTTGTTGTAGCTGCTGTGGGGAGATTGAGGAATGCCCGCCATACTGGCGAGCTGCGCCAACGGCTGTCGGGTGCATCGTTGATTGCTCGGAGGTACTCTTCCAGGCCGCTACGGCGATCCTCGCGGAAGCTACTGTTGGAGACGGTATTTGAGAACCAGGCCTTTGCGGGTAGAGGCACTGGAGGTTCTGCGTTGGTTTGACTGAGTAAGGTCGTATGGAACGTAGAGAAGTCTGAGTAGCGCTTTGAGACGGTGAAGGAGCGGAGCGGGAGTCTGAGGGCTATGTGGTAGATTGTATGAGGGGGAGAGGTGGGTGAGAGAGAAGTTGTTGGAATGGTGATCTCGACCGGGGGCGCCATGGCTACTAGATTGGGGGTGAAGTTGAAGTTGAAATTGAAATTGAAGAAAAGGCGGGAAGCATGACGCATTAGTTAATAATAAACGCGGTTTAGCCCACATGATCTACGAACATAAACATCATTTTGTATTTTGTATTTTTTTTTTGCTTTTTTCAATATAATGGAATACATCTAAAATCAATACTCTTACTCTAACATTTGTTATAACATTTGTTAGACTTCATAAACACCATAACTGATGACTATAGATCTATTTGAACTATTTTAGCTTCCTACACTTATTATTTAGACGACCATGAAAAGCTGAGATTTACATAACCCAAATAGTGTATAGACATTCCAATATAATGTCCACGGGTCCATCTGCATGTATCCTGTAGTAGTCCTTGTGCTACCGCCAGCTGATCTGTAACCCCCGCATTATCTTTGAAGAAAGTAGTTTTGGATATACAGAGTTCCACGTCGATATCTAATTAGTAACCTTGGAAAGTATCATTCAGCCCAATTACCTTAAGCCGCTCTCATCTTCTTCACTATCCAAGGTTCCTTGGACTTATCCATTCTACGAAACGCTAGTATCGTGGCTATCCTACGTTCTCAAAAAACACCCTATTTGAGTAAGTGATATATTATTCCCTAGTTTCCCCCCCCCCCCCCCCAACCCAACGAGTAAAGAGTTAATCTTGGAAGTCAGCCTTAGAAGCAGTTGGTTAACGATGGCTGAAGACAGTGTACTTCACGTGCTCGCTATCTATCAAGCGAGATTTTAGTATGGAAACAGTCGCCAGAAGACTTCATCCAGATTGTTCTTCAAGTAATCAACAAAGAAAATCTACATGATACCAGACACTACGATGTCCGATTCCAAACTCTTGGCGATACAACGTTACTTTGTTCGTGGAATGATTGTGTTCGATATCTTAAACGAGGATTATGACCCTTTTCAGGGTCATTTATCAGAACAGAATCAACTTTCCGTCGTTCTTGTTCATCTGAATGATATATCAATCTCTTTTAAACCCCACCTGGAAGAATGTGCAAGGCTCAACGATACTGTTAAATATCTCCATAATGCAAATGGCTGGGGTCGTGTTTTGAATTGATGCAGAGTCAAAAGCTGAGTGAGTAGTCAACAGTTTTAAGAGTGGACATGATCGCGCCACAGTTCACTTTGGGGCACATAGTGAGATTTCGCAATGACAGGTCTAACCATCTAGATGAATGGAATTCGACAGAAAGGTGATTAAGAGCTATGGATGTTCCAAATTTCTTAGCATCTATTCATTCAACTTACATGGAAGGAGGGAGTTAATCGGTAGTAACTAACCTCTTTAAAAACATCCATCAACTGTTCTTTGAGTATGCCCTGATCTCGAGAGAGTCATACGTGATCTTGGAAGATTTGAAGGGAGGTAAAGACCTAGGGAATAGTAAACATCTACCTATGTATGTTGAATGCCTTGGAACCTTAGATACTAGGAAAACCCTTCTTTCAGTCAATGAGGATGATATTTAGAGAATATGAAGAATGAAAGGAACCTTGGAATCCCTAGATGACTACCTATCCAGGTAGAAAAGACGGTATCGTCACTGCGTGTGCAGATATGGAGCTTTGCTAAGTAGACGGTAAACCATTAGAATGGAGCACAGAACAGTCGTCTCATAAAGATAGACCGAGGGTATGATAATAACAAGGATGGGTGGTTTTTTGGTAACATAGCTACCTGACTACCATATCTCCCGCTGATCAAGAATATCCCGCTGGCTGAAGAACTTGCCAATGATAGTGATGATCATGTCAAGCATGCATCGAGTCTCCGATCCAGCAGAATCATGTCTACCCTTGATTTTTTCCTGCAACCTAGCTTTTGCAGCATCAAGCTCGACATCATGATCAGCATCTGGCATTTCTGAATCAGAATCGCGAGATAAAGTATCATCTTCCAGGTTCGACTTGACCTTATCGGCATTATTCAAGTCCTCCGCCTTCCGAAGTCTTGCTTTCTCATCCTCAAGAATCTTTGAGAGTATTGTTTGGGCACGTTGGGCGAGCTTACGAATATCTGCAATCTGGGAACCTGACAAAACTTCGACATCATCGAGCCGTCCCAGGATACCCCAAACCCAGGCGCTGTGACTTTTAATAGCATGTTCGTTCCCAGTTCGTATTACCTCCGACAAACGACGTGTTAACGCATCAATTAGCATGAAAACAGCGCGCGTGTCCATCATGGCCAGCTGAGCCAACTGCGGGTCCGTTGTCATCATGAAGCGCCGCCAGTGCTTGCGAGCAACGATGTATCCTCCATTAGGGGTGGTGGTGGGGTGATTGTCGTCGAGTGAAGCGACCACGGCGGCAGGTGGCTTGCACCTGAGAGTAGCACGAAGCAGGTTAAACCGGTGTTCTAGCATTTCGTAGTAGGATGATTGCGACTCGGGGATTTGATCAATCACAGCGGGCATGTTGAGCGCCGGAGCGATGAAGGCCTCATCTTGGTTGAAACCAAGTGGGAACTTACTATCGCCAAACACGGGTTGAGATGAAATGGTGCTAGGAATAGCATTCGCCTCGGATCTTAAAATTTCATTAGCAGGCGCACAGGAAGGACTGGGGATGAAGAAACTTACCGAACCATGCGCAGGTATGCTACAGCCTCTGCAGTGTCTTCATCATACATTTCATCGTAATCTGGAAGAGCAAGCATTTGATCAGATGGAGACTCCTCATACTCCTCATAATTTGCTGCTGTTCGCGACTCGTTCACCGCGTTAGAAGGTGGACGCGGAGGGGATTCATAATTATTGCCGAGAATGACACGGCGATTTCGACGTCTCTCTTCACGTCGGATTTCTGCACCAGTTAGACGACTCCCCCAAGCCCGAGAATATGCCTTTTGTGGCATCGTTGGATGTTATGACAAGAGAAGGTTACCCATGAAGCTTCCTTCCACTTTTGTCTTATCTTTATCGTTATCTTTATCAGTCTTATCGCTGTCGTCATTGTCAGCCCTTCATCAGCACTCCCGAGTCTGTACTATTACAATGCAGCCGAACTAAGTGAAGGTCTTGAAGTTGAAGGGTGCTGGAAGTACTCCAGCGAAAAATTATTGCTTAAGATACATTTCAAAGGTTATAGCAGCTAAAGCATAAAGGCAAGACCCTAGATATCCCCCAACGGCTTCAAAGGTTATGGATCTTAATTGCACTCCCACTCCAACTGCACCAGTGGCTTTCCAAAATCATCTTCTGGATCAATAATACTATAATCCAACAAGGGAAGGTCTGGAATTGTTGTCCTCCCCCATATAGCCTTGATGGCGCTTATATCCGCATCACTGGGCCCTGAGCTCCAGTCGCGACCCTTGATCTTTTTTCCTTTTGCCGTAGTGATAACCCTGTGGTATACCCCAAGCTTTCCCTTTCTAGAGAGAGGCAGGCCATTATTAAACATAATAGAATCGTAGTCTGCATCACTAGAAACAGTGTATCGAGTGTTGTTGATAGGATATGGCGCGTAATTCCATGGACCAGCTTCTCCCCAAGCTTCTGCAGATTTGATAGATTCACAGGCGTAATTGATAGCCCATTTTTCTCTGGCAAGCTGAGCGTCTACATAGTCTTGACTGGACATAGTGATTGAATAGTTAATAACTCTGTACTAAGGTATCACTCCGAATTTGGAAGGCATCAGGTTTCGAAATGGGCCCGAATTTTCAATGATATCACTTACAGATTTTCGCATTGCCATTGGAGTTCGTTCGTTAGGTCACCTCGCTGGTTTTCATTCAAAAGACACATAACACGTCCGAGTTCGTGGGCAATAGCTCCAACATATTTTGTGCTCTTCCTTAAGGTAGAAGTCTTGTAATGGGGGGTATAGTCAAGACCAATCTTTAGTTCTTGATATCTAATTCGACTACCAGACTTATCCCCATAGAGATAGCCATACGTAGACGCCATGTGATTCTCGGACTGCGTAGAAACCTTGAGCATTTTGCGGACTGTGTCTTCAGATGTTGGGCAATCTTGATGATTCTCAAAGGTGACTGGGATCCCTTTATCAGTCCATAATTTGACAGCTTTTTCAAATTGGGTCTGGTAGCTTGATGTTACCGATGAATCAAAACAGTATGGTATCACTTTGTTGGGCCAGATCTGACAATTGTTGTCATAGAATGAGGCAGAAGAAGCCGTAACCCATAGGGCTACGGCTGCAAGGCGCCCAAGGAATGGCATATTGACGGGACTTCAGATGCCAAAGCTGTAAAGCAAGAGCTTATTCTGCACATATCAGTGGGTTAAATTGATTTCCCGAGATCCTGCATTTTCTATTTGGCCCCCATTAACTCACACTTCTAGTGTTACAATCCTGATTCCAGTCCATTCCTTTAGCCCCTTAGGGGCAATTGTGCTTCGTACTAGAGTACGATCTTTGTTAGGTAGTGGGCAGAAAAATAGTCTTTCTTGCCGTATGCTTATCACCTGCCTAGGTAGTTATCTCTGGTTGAAATGAGTACAAGAAAGACTCCGAGTGAAAGCCCGTGGACTACTTGGGCAAAATGAGAGTTAAAAATGCGTCTTGCTACAAAAAAAAGGCTACATAGAAGCATACTTTAATCTTGGACCCTTGACTAGAAATGACTCGATGGGTATCAACGGCCTTGACCCACAAGAGTGTCACATCAGGTATAATATTTCAATCATTTACCAATTACAAACATCTAGATTCGACATGTTCGCCAAGTGCGTCGCAAATATTGATGAAAGTGACTAGAAGTGCTCCCGCATTGTGTTTCTCCAAGGATCCTCCATTAATGCCCCTCTCAGAGTTCTTCCCAATCCTTACATTTTCAATTCTTTCATCAGACTAGTCAATATGTGTGCCACTCTTGCCGTTCTGCTTTTCGCTCTGGGCTTCGCTGGCTCATTGGCGACGATATGAGACTGCTCACGCCCAGCCCCATAAGATATGGCTCCATCAAGATCTCAAACTTCACGGGCCACCTGACAGTCGATGTGTGGACCGCATGTGGGGTATAGATTCCTTGTAGGCCTGTCTATAAGCGAGATATGAATAAGACAATTGGAACTTTGAAACAACAAATTCAGAATTGTGGAGTGAAATGGGTACTGAGAAACGAAAGCGTAGGAGAACGAAGGGCACTGGTATGGAATTCAATAGTAGACCCTGTACCTTCTGGAGTACGATGACCTCATTCACCATTTTATCGTTATGGAAATCAAATAAAAAAAATCAGATCCTTCAAGCGACCGGACAAGCCGAAGCAGTTGATGGAAAGAGGATTCGTATCAACTAGGAGTAATGTAAGCCCAGTGACACAGAGCACTCAGCATGCGCAAGCACAGAGGCTGGTCGCTGCTATGAAAACTAAGATTAATCGATGTGTCTTCCAATGGAAGACTTTCAGAGATTATACTGAAAAGAACAGATACTACACTTGATCTAAGCCAATTGGCAAAGAGAGAGAAGAAAGAAAGGAAGAGGAATTGGAATGGCGAAGTATATTTTGATAGCGCGTAATTGCCCTTCATTACTAGCTTCGTAGGGAATTCATTGGTGGTCACCTGACGGTACATCTATTCAATTCTATAGAGTCAAATAGTATCGATCTTGGAAGCGAAAAGAAATTTCTCTAGTGTGGAATAGTCTCAATTTCCCAATCTCCATAATCCATCTCATCAACCCCCTTGAAGATGATAGATCGATCTTGGAGAGAGGAAAATGGAAAAAGAATGAAGTTATTCTTGGGATAGAAAAAGAGAATAAAAACTTGAAAAGTTTCATTCCTCCATTGGAGAAATTCCTAGCCAAGATAGTTAGATCATTCAGATTTAAATTGTATAGCAAAAAGTCGGTCACTAGTCATACCTCAGATCTGGGGCTGATCTTGGGAGGTGAGGCTTTGGACTAGTGACTTATAAAACTTTTATGACAGCTTTGTTTTACCGAGAGCCAGTCTCGAACCCTCACTAGTTGTTGACAGATTTTCTGGTCTTAACCACTAGACTATATGGTGTTGAGAACATAGGTGGAGCCAATTTTTATCCTAATAAGCTTGATTTATGCCGGAATAAATATCACGTGATAATCCCGATCTGTGGGATCTACCCGACTAGACCCACTTGATATTTACTTCTGAATAACTTCAAAAAAACTGACGCATTGCTATAATTCATCTAACAAGCTTCAAAGTGCTGAAAGACTAGAAAGAATGGGATTTGTAAATTTTAGCAAAACTCTCTCCTCCTATAATTTACCTAGTAGGTGATAGAAAGCTGATATTGTAGCTTTTAAAGATATATTACGGGAGCGTGCCTGGCCCCCGACCTTTGGTGGGTATCATATTACGTTAGCAGTTGCACTACGGAGGTCGCAGGATGGAGTACTGAGAATTCCAATTTTGAACATAACCCTGATCTACCCACTTATAGAAGCTCCACTGATCTACGCCCCACTTGTTTACTTCGTCCATGAATAAGTCGTAGATTGGAAGCTGGGGATCGAAGGGCCAAACTGATAAAAATGACGCATTACTCAATCATCTGACGAACTTGGGAATTGTTGGAAATAAGGGGGAAAAGAATAGTATCTAAACGATTTGACTTGAATCACTCCTACTATTCGCAGGAACTGGAAAACTTGCATGACAATTTTTTAGGGTATGGAGGAAGCACGCCTTGAACCTCCAACCACTGCATAATGAAGAGTAGAAAGGCAATTTTCTTCCCTAGGCAGGGTCGACAATATTCCTCCAATTTTGGTCTTATGACCCTGTTTGCCCTACTTATTTACTCCTAAGTAGCTTCATTAAATTTATCAGAATACTACCTGTCATCGGTAATATAGAACACAGTTGGAATGATTAGCTTTGAGGATATGAGAAGAGAGTTGGGTATAAATGTCATCGAATCCATTCTACATTTTATTTTATTTCTTATCATCAAATCTCTTGCACATTGGAGACTCTTACGGGCGTAGACGTTGCGGGTCACGAGGGAACAGCGATGCCAGGCGCACATTAGGCAGTCCCAAGAAGAACATCACAATACGGTTCAGACCTAGACCACCACCAGCATGAGGGGGGCATCCTTGACGGAAGGCGTTGAGATAATCCTCGAAGCCCTCCTGTGTCGGGTCGAGACCCTTGGAGCGCATCGAAGCCTCCAGCTCGTCAATGTTGTTAATACGCTGAGCGCCAGACATGATCTCCTCACCACGCATAAAGAAGTCGTAGGAGTTGGAGAAGCGGGCGTCCTTGGGGTCGGCCTTAGTGTAGAATGGACGGACAGCCATGGGGAACTTGTCCAGCACATAGAAGTCAGTATCGTACTTTTCGCGGATAATCAGACCCAGCTGTTTCTCCATCGCGGTGCTGAAGTCATTCTCGAAGCGCTCTTGCTCTGACATGTCAACACCGGCCTCCTTCAGCAATGCAACACCGTCCATGTAGTCAAGGCGCAAGGCCTTGCCGTCCTTGGGCAGCTTGAAGTCACCAGCCTTGGGGTAGGACTTTTGGATGGTAGCGATCTGGGAAGCATAGCGCTCCTTGACCTGGGTGAGAATGAAGACCAGCAGGTCCTCTGCGAACTCAAGAACTTCGTGGTAATGGCTCTGGAATGTCTTCTCAAAATCGAGACCGGCAAACTAGAAATAAAAAGCAAGTTAACAATCAAATTCCATCGCCTCTGGGTTTGTACTGGTGAATCTCATACCTCAGTCAAGTGACGGTGGGTATTGCTGTCCTCGGCACGGAATACGGGAGCAATCTCAAACACGCTCTCCATGTCACCGGCAATACACATCTGCTTGTACAACTGCGGGCTCTGGGCCAGGTAACCGTTGCGCTTGAAGTACTTGATCTCGAAGACATTGCTGCCACCTTCGGTAGCAGCACCAACAAGCTTGGGGGTGAAGATCCATCGAGCACCGCTCTTGATCATGTACTCGGCGAACAGCTCTGTAACACCGCTGGAGATCCAGGTGATGGCCTGACTGGTCTCAGTCTGTAGGTCAATGACACGGTTGTCAAGACGAGTCTTGAGGGTTACAATGGGAGCACCATCGGCATCAAGCTGACCCTCCTCGGAGGAATCCGGGGGTGGGCGTTCAGCATCCTTAACCTGCATGGGCAGCATCTGGGCGGCCTCGGAGATCATGTAGATTTTGCGGATGTGGATCTCGAGGTTTTGGATGGTAGCGGAGGAAATAGGGATCTCGGGCTTCTTGATAATACCAGTGACCCGCACAATAGAGTTGACGTTCAAACCACCAGTGTACTTGATCATTTGTCGCGAGATGGGCTCGTTGAGGGCGATCACAGCCTGAACCTTTTGTCCTTGCTGGCGCAGCATCAAGAAGGCCAGCTTGGCACTCTGTACACGTGCATTATCGACACGAGCAACCAAAGATACCTCAGCCTCGCCCTCGGCAAGCTGGTTGAATCGGATGGTGGGCACAGCGGCCTCGGTCTCAGGGAGCGCGCCATATAGTTCTTTGGCGGTGTCATTGGCTTCCTGTGCTGCAGCCTGGGCCTTCTCTTGCGCAGCGCGTGCGGCAGCCTTCTCAGCCTTAGCCTTATCCTTGGCCGCTTTCTTCAGCGCATTCTTGCTGGCGTTTTTGGTCTCGCCCTCGGCGGGGGCAGCCGCTGGGGTTTCCTCGGGCTTGGCACGGGTGGGCAATTCAGAATCCGCCATTATTCTATCAAGAACAGAGCGTTAGCTATATAAACACTAGGTGTTGCGGTTGTGTTGGACTTCTTACTTTATTTGATGCTCTGGAAGGCAAAGCTCTCGGCGGTGACTGACTCACCCCACCGCACCGGCTGCCCTAACCCTAAGAGGGGTGTCAGGTCACATGACCTATACATAGTTGTCTCTAGACTTTTTACATGAATTGGATTAATGCAAGAAGAATAGTATATGGAAATGATGAAATGAAAATGTTGAAGGCACTACAAAGTGAGAAATTCAAGTAAAATATATATAGAAAATATGTACAACTCATGCGGGCGCAGTTTATGTCTTATATACGGCAAGTCACTCAAACCACTGGAATACGACATTCGATATGGCCAGTGAGCATTGAATCAAGATGAAGGCCACTTTGATTCTTTGAGGGCCCACTGGACTGCTTTCTGAACATCATCTGCAATTGTGTGCGGGATCCATGCAGGCTCGCCACCACTATACACACCAGTCCTCACCAGAATCGACTGCCAGCTGCTCCCATATTCACTACGGTAAGAGTTTGCCCCTCTGATATCTGACTCTGGATTATCTCCAACCATATAAACCCGTTTCAGGGGAGGGAGACCAGCTGCATCGCCGAATCTCTTAGAACGATTCCGAAGAAGCTGGCGCTCAGCATACTCGTATGTGTATTGGTATGGTTTCCCAATCACGGTCTTTTTCAGCTCAATACCCTTGCTAGGACCACCAGTTGTCGCAGCCCAAACTCCTTCCAGTGCTTCCCGGAAGCCGCCTTGGCCGAGACGTGGCAAGGGGTAGGCGGCTGCCCAAAACAGATCTGGATTCGAGAAGTATAATGGAGGCTGACCATCCTGTTGGTAGCCGTGATTTGGGAGATCTGTACGACCATTCTTCTCTGATAATGTACCCAGATAACCCTGGCGCGAAAGCAGAATATCTAAGATGATCTGCGTGTCCAGGGCCCAATCCCGGGGATCGTTGAATACGAAGACAGCATCAATCTTGAGTCGCTTGGTCGGATCAGTAGGGTCAGCTGGATTGGGAATTGGTCGAGCAAAGGTCTTGTAGTAGTCTGCGAAGTTATTTGAGAATGGCCACACGGACTGGTTAGCCATGAAGATGTCCCCGGGAGTCACAACGTTCTTAAAGCCGTACCTGGAATATAGCCCTGTTAGTATACTGAGAGGAAGAAGAGAGTCTAGGATTCAGTCAACTCACGTTTCCGCTACTCTCCTGCAACGATCGCCGTCACCTCCTGCCACAAGCACCGTTTTGTTCTCCAATGCGCTGGCCTCATCTGGGCCCTTAACTAGCTCTGCGAAGGGAGAGTGGCTCTGGACAATATCACTGACATCCAGGGGCACATTCAATTTCTCGCTGATCTCTGCAACCCGCTCTGTCTCGTGTGTACCTCCACCATTGGTCAGAAGGATGAATGGAATACCTTGCTTCTTCAGCAGAGATAAAGACTCAGCAGCTCCAGGAATTGGCTTAGAAGACCGTAGAAGAACACCGTCAATACTAGGGTAAAACATTAGCAAAGGGAAAGGAGGTTCCAGTCATTTGCATACATCATAACCACTCACTCAAAGGCAAAGGCAAAGCTGGGGACCTGCGATGTGCTGGCTGTTTGAATATTTCTATTACCAGCATGGCAGCGGAGTGAATACCGCTGCAGCATATTGAGTGATCGCCAAGCAGTTTGGGGTCGCATTGTGTTGTGTTAGAAAAGGAAAGGGGAGTTGTTATGGGTGAAGGCCGAGGCCGGAAGATAAGTGATATCATTCCGCGTGTCGTAAATCTGCCGTACAATCATAGGGCGGTGAATAGGATACTTCACCGCCCTCATTATAAACGATTCCTATCATTGACCATTTGATCAACTTCAATGAAACTTAGACAACAGGACGTCTCATAGTGCGCACAATTGGATTAAATGTCACTGTCTTTCAAGCGCCGTAAGAAGATCAGCTGACCTCCAGGCTTTGTCCACGCGCTATGTTATGTCTCTACCCCTCAATCTCTCTCACTCCGACTTCTATGTCTCTTTCTACTCTCCCACGTCCCACCCCACAACTTCCTTCCTATTATATTGATGGAGGTTTCCCCTGCGATATCCTTTGAAGCGATGAGGGCGGAAATTGACGAGCTGAAAGCACAGCTTCAGAAAACCCAGCTTCAAACAGCTCAGCTTCAAACAGCGCCTGCAGATCAGGAGAAGGCAGAGCTTTCCATCAAGGTCAATGCTGAAGAAGTTCCAAAAACGTACCTCCCCACAGAGCTCATTTCCTACATAGGCGAGTATCTCTTCACGGAAAGGAACTTGGCTGAGTCTCATGGGTCAATTTCCAAAATCAGAAAGAAGCAACATGACCTTTACAACTTCTGTCTTGTCTCTCGGCAATGGAATTCAGTTGGTGTCGAGCTACTCTATCGACGTCCCGAGCTTTCTGATGGTGATAGCTTTGAAAAGTTTGTTGCAAGCATGAGGCAACCTGTGAACAAGGCACTCTTCGCGCCGCTGGTCGAAATCCTCGATTTGAAGAGACTGGTGCATCAAAGCTCAAATAGCCGGACAGCGCGAATCCTGAACATGACTAAATTCAACCTCAAGTCATTCATGTGTCCGCGAGTTGGATTTGGGTAAGTCTCCGAAAGACAATTGATCTGTTGACCGCAACTAATCCCTCGTCTTAGTATCAACTGTGTTTCAGCGCTGTCGAAATGCGAACAGCTTACCCATCTCGACCTCACATTACTTCGGACTGATCCATTGCAGTTTGATGCCTTGAAGAAGGCTATCAGCAATCTGAGCAACCTCCAGTCGGTGATCCTACCGACTGGATTGGAAATGAGGAAAGCTGATAACTGGGGGGCTTGGCCGCCTAAACTAAAGGAAATCTCCCTTTGGACCGGTAACATCTTTGACATGAGCGCGAATGAGTTTGTCTGGCCTGCTCATCTGAAGACTCTGACTATCAGATTACAGAGCCATTTTTCTATCCCACAAATGGCGAATATTCTTCAAAATCCCCAACTCTCAGGGGTGAGAAAGCTAACAATTGAAACGGATTCATTTGTGCATGCTGAGTTTGATATCAGCTTTTACGCTGAAGTCCTCGCTGAAATGCGCAGCCTTGAGCATCTGCAGATTCCGTATCAATTACTTCACTGGTTCCATCGCGCTAGTCCTGAATTTGACATTCGGGCTTTACCTGCTTTGCCAATTCGGTCATTGGTGCTTACTAAGGATACTTCTACTCCTTTGAATTCCACTTTTGTGAACAAAGAAGACTTCTCGCGAGAATTGCTTGATGCTCTGGATGGCCCATTCCGCAACGTCCTTTCACTTTGCTGTTATGGCTGGAAGATCACTGAGCATCCATGGCCTAAAGTCATCCACAAGCTTGTCATGAGTCACCTTGATGAACTGGGTGATGATCTGGACGATGAACTGGACGAGGATTTTCAGCTCGAAGGAGACTTGGGTTTTTACTATGAGTATGTGTGATTAGGATACCCCATGGGGTAGTGTGATGATGTATGATGAAGATGTACGATGATATTCGAGGACGAACTAGGAGGATGATGTACGATATAACAGCTCAAGAAAGCTGTGATAATGAATAAAACACAACTTTTAGCCGACTTGAAACAGCAATAGTCTTGCAGTTATTTTTTTTAATTGTTTTTTTTTTAGAAAACGAGCTTCATGGGACTCGTCATTACCAATAATAAATTCACCCTTGGAATCTTGACGACACAACATGGATACCTAGGTAACAGCCAATGGGAAAATAGTAGAGGGAGGGAAAAAGAAAATAAAGGACAAATCTCTTGTCTAAAACAATTTGCTATTATGGAAAGGAGGATAGGTTAAAAGACATTACGCGACAGATGAGATCACAGCTGCGGCAACACCCTCTTCTTCGGCGCGGACAGTGATCTTAGTTGTGACACCACTCTTAGACGAGTAGGCCATCTTGATGAGGGATGCCACTCTTCCGCCAGTCACAGTCTTGCCGAAGAGCTTGAGGGTATGAGTGCTGTTGTTGAGGGCTACATCTGTGCCCTCCAGCGGTTGCAGGGAGAGAGCTGAGATCAATTGTTCCGTAGCATCTGTGAATTTGTTAGTATTGCTTTGATACTGATAATGAAGATCTTTAGACCCACCGGCAATGCCCTTTATGTTGCTTAGTTGCAAAGTCTCGCTCTCCTCTTCGCCGTTGGCGCCAGTCTGTTCCCAGACGTGATCGAAGCTGCCAGCGAAAGTAGGGATAACATAGTCGCTTCCATTGAGGTCGAGGTCTTCAACCTGGTATTCGTCCTCGTATCCACTATCTTCCGCCTCGCCAGTTGAAGGATCGATCTCTTTGCTGGTAAACTTCAAGTTGTTGGTAAATGAGGTAACAGGAACGCTGTGCTCGCCACCCAATTTCTTGAAGGCAACGTAGACGACGCCCGGCTCGTTGGGAGATAGCTTTGGGGCCGGGATGATGAACTCATCCTCCAGGAGGTCATCCTCAGATGGTGTCGCGATAACGGTCACATCTTCAAGAACAGTATCTGGTAGAGTATTCTTGATATCATACTGGATGACAATGTTGTCTTTGAAGATGTGTTTGACAGCAGTGACGACGTATTCAGTTTCACTCTCAGAGAGTTCGACAGGTGCAGAGGATTTGAGCAAGGTGCCATACTCTTTGATATCGGGGTGCTGCATGAGTTCCTCGGCGTATTTCTGAGTAGCAGCGGCAGTAGCAGCTTCGGCCACGCCGCTCGCCTTGCTCTTGGTGGGGCCTAGCGACGGAGCCTTGAGTGTAGGGGTGGCCGTGGTGAGCTTCTTGGTCCTCTCCTCGGCCAAGGCCTGCTCGTGTGAGACAACTGGGACGGAAGAAACGTCAAAAGCAGCGGCGAAAGTCTGCTTATCATTCGACGTCACATACATGACGAGCTGGTGCTCAAAGGTAGAAAGGGAGAACATGGAATCTAGAATTGTCAACAAAAAGAACAAATTGGCCGTAAATTAACGCTCGCTTACCATTCTTGATGAACGTCTCAGCCATAGCATCTTCGGAGCTCATCAATCGTAGGTTAAGAGTTGCACGATCCCGCACCTCATCGTCAGTGTCATCGAGGCAGCGAGTAAGCAGGACCTGCACACTGGACTTGACTTCCGGATCCTTCTGACCAACGCCAAACTTGGCCAGTGCAGTGACTGCAGCGGCACGAACAATGGAATTCTCCAGCACGACACGGTTGTAGATGTAACGGATATACTTGGTGGGATTGGGGGTCTTAGGGCCCTCAACACCAATCAGATGCAAGACACGAACTGAGAGCTTAGTAAACTCGCAATCCTCGATAAACTCGCAAAGATGAGCCAGAGCTAGAGAGATTGTTAGTTCCATATATATAATATAAGGGGGTGAAACTAGATATACCATCTTCCTTGCTCTCTGGTACGAACTTGATCAAATCAAACATGCTCTCCACAACAGTACGCTTGAATTCGTAGCCACCCTCATCACGCAGAATACCACTCAAGAAGGTCAGCATGCCGGCCTGCTTGCTGGGGAACTTCAGACACAGCGTGCGGATGGCCTCGACGATAGTGATTTTGAATTCATCGGTGATATCGGCCATGAACCCGGAAATTTGCCTCATCAAACGATCGACACTGGCTTCGTTGCCGGTCTTCAATAGGGTAGTAATGGCAAATGTAGCAATGGATCGGTTGGAGTTGGAAATGAGAGCCTCGATATCAGGGTTGCACACGTTGACGACGTGGGGTTTGAAGGAGGCGAAGTTGTGGAGAATGCGAATGGCGGCAAATTTGGTGATTGATCGTGGAGAGGACAGGAACAGCTGGAGAACGTGAACGGCCTGCGATGCCTCGGCATCACTTACCTCACCCATGTCGCAAATGGCCTTGGCTGCCTCAAAGTTGACCATTTCGTGCTTGTGACGGAGCCAGCCATCCAGCATCTGCATCATGGGTTTCCGGAGACCAGAATCCTCTGCTGCTAACTTAGCCGCAAGGCGGACCAAGAGAACAAGAGCTGCCGGACTTTTCACAACACCTGCAGTGCCGTATTGCTGTACCATCTTAACCAACGCCATACGGTCATGTGAGCGCATCTGATACAAGAGACCAATCGCATGGTACTGGGTCATGAAGTTTGATTGAGAAATGGTATGGGCCTGTGAACTGGAGGAAAAGCCAAGGAAGCCACTCGATTGTTTTGAAGACGAGGCGGCTTCCTGAGTTTCGCTCTGCCATCTCCGAACGACGTCGCGTGCGATAGGGAGGAGGTGGTAGGATGAAACCAGGGCCGCAGAGGAGACGGAGGGAGTCTTATCGACAATAGCTGTTTTGATGAGTCGTTCGATACCCTGGACAGTAGACGCATCAATGATACGGCACAGAGCACGAATGGCGTTGGCCCGATATAGGACATCGCTTCCGACGGCGACATCCTTCATGATGATACTAGTCGACATGATAACATCCTCCGCAGTGTTCGCAAGCTCCTTCAAAATAAGATACACCATCTGTCGCAGCGAGGGGTCCTTGTTCTGGAACAACTTGGAGATACCGAAGAAAAGGGTGGTGGCTTCGTTCGTGGGGAATTGCTCCCCAGTGAAGAGGAGGACCGCGATCTTGGTTAGTAGTGTACGACATGTCCGCGGTGAAATTGGCGAGGAATTGAAAAGTCGAGCTAGAAGAGGGGAGTTGTCAGTAATGTCTAAGTGGATATAGTGTATAGCTGCATGGCCAGGGGGGCGTTGGCGCTGCCAGTGTCATTGCCATTGCCATAATGCATACCATCTTGGAACACAGAGGTTCGATCAAGTTTAATCATGACCTGGTCCGCATCTTCGTCTTTCTTCATGTAACTCATTTTGCCCAGGTGCTGGGAGTGCACCAACTGATTGTGTTCGCGATCGCTCTTCGGCGCGGGTGGGTTTCAATTTAGGGTGGAAGGACACGGTAGGGGCGGTGTAGGCGACTACTGCATTGGCATTCAATTCCCAATGAAAATAGAGAAAAAGCAAAGAGAAATAAAGAAGTGGAGAAGAGGTGGTGATGGGGCAACCTCAAGCTCCAGTGTACTTGTTTATGGAGTTAAGTTGAAGGTGGCCTTCTCCGTATACGTGTTTTGAAGGCGATTGGCTGAAATGCCCACCTGTTTGCAGTGTTTGATGAGTTTCTTAGTTGGAACTCCCCTCCTACCTTCGCCTTCCTACACTAAATCTTGCTCTTGATTATTTTTATAAGTGAATCTATTATTTTTCTACTTCCAAAATGGAGGTTGAAGTGAATCCCAACGAGGATACCGAATGGTAAGCTCGACTGCCACCTACCACCCGCCCGCATCCCCCGCCAGGAGCTATGTGGCTAATTCATTCGACTACTTCAGGAACGATATCCTTCGGCAACATGGCATTATTCCAGAGAAGCCTAAGGATCCCGAACCAATGATCCAAGAGGCCTTGATTGCTGCACACCAGAGGGCGCACGACAATCGGCTGGAGGACAAGGACTTGGATGAATTAGATGCTCTAGAGGACGAGGAGGATGAAGATTTTATACAGCAATACCGGTGAGTTGACTGACTTTGAATGCCAAAACGGTTGCTATCTGTCCCTGGAAATACCTCAAATGGGCAATATATGCTAACTAGGAACTAATAGACAGAAACGTCTTGCAGAGCTCTCGACCCTTCAGCAAACTAGTCTCTTTAACCAGGTCTACCCACTCCAGAAAGTCGACTACGCCCGTGAGGTGACAGAAGCCTCAAAGGAGGCTTTTGTTTTCGTCAACCTCACCTCACAGGGCGCCAATGTCGAGTCTCGTCTATTGACTGAGCTCTGGCGGCAACTGGCAACAAAGTTCGGCGACATTAAATTCTGCGAAATCCGTGCTGATATGTGCATTGAGGGTTACCCCGAGCGCAACACCCCAACTATTTTGGTATACAAGGATACCGAGATCAAGAGGCAGCTTGTTACTCTGCGAGAGTTGAAGGGCGTACGTACCAAGTTGGACGACCTGGAACGTCTGCTCATTGACCTTGGAGCCGTAAAAGAGAGTGATGTCCGTCTCAAGAAACGGTCTGATTCGGACGATGAAGGTGCCAATGACAACCACAATGGGGAAGATGATGATGACGACTGGGATTGATTTTTTTTTCGAAAGTAATGCGATCAACGAAAGTAAACTCATGATCTGGTGTTTGATGTGTACATTATAAAAGATCGATTGAGCCCGCACACTTTTTGGTCATATTGATAATAAGAAAGCACATAAGTACATGCTGCCCAGGTGCCATCGAAGTTCACAGGTATTTTTGTTGGCGCTCAACCTACTTAGGTGGTCAGCAATATCTTCAATGAAGTGGGCAGATGGTCAAGATAAAAAAGAGCATAATATATACTCTACTCCACAACACACTAACACAATAGATGTTATCAAAGTATAGAGAACTTTGGGAGTTCAAATGAACATCTAGGTAGGCAGACTTAAGCCAGAAAACATGAACGCCAAAGTGAATACAATATAAATTATGACATATTTCCAAGCCGATCACCAAGCTCCAAGCGCCATACATGTTCAGATATCGAAAGCCAAAATGAAAAGAGAGAAAGACCGGGGACATTTCAAAAAAAAAGACATTATCGGAAAGGGTTCAGATCAGATCAGATCAGATTAGATTAGATCAACTCATCGCGAACCGCCGAGCTCTCTGCCATAGCCCGAAGGATATCAGACTCCCTAAACGCAGGGCCTTGTCCATTACATTGAGCCATGCCCTTCAGTCGCTCAGTAACATCGGCCACATCAACAAGACCCTGCTTAAACATCTGGTGATTTTGAATCAGATCCCACGTAGCGCGGACATCTAGAAGCCGCTCGCCGGTAATCTGGCACATGGTGTTACGATGAGGCAAGTTCTGAGTGTCGCCGTGAGCAGAGGCTGAAGCTTCGCCTGGCGAGGCACTTGGATTTAAAGTCGTGTAGAAGTCTGTTGGAGAGTACTTCATCGGGCCGGTTACAGTGGGCTCGGTAGAGCCATTTGTAAAGTTGTTGTTATTGCCAGTCATAGAGTGGGATGTTGCTCGGAGAATCTCGTTCTCCGTCGAAAATTTGGATAGCTGACGCTGGAGTCGTTCGTTATCGGCTTGCATTTTGGATGATGCTGCTTCGAGGCTGGCAACCTTTTCTTCAAGGTCTTTCACGTGTCGCTCTTTTCGCTCGCGGAATGCTCGCTGGCTGTATAATTTATGTGTAAGTTGACTGCCAATCTTCTCCATTTGTAGATGCTGCTCTTCGAGATATCACATACGCTGCTCGGTTTTGCGCTTTGCGTTTGCTCTGCGCTGGTGTCATCGAGTCCTTCTCTTCGCTATCACTGCGCTCGACAGAGAGATCCATTAAATGATTTTCATCTCCATCAATCGAGCTAGGCTCCTGCTTCGCACTATGCGAGTCGGAGTGCTTGGTGAAGGAGTCGGGGGGTGAATGTGGTGGCGCACCGAAAGATGAGGGGTCGAGACGCGGATCGAAGCCGGGGAAGTATTGCTGATTATAGTTATTCTACGCTGAGTGTTAGAGGAAAGGACGATCACGGGTATCAGCTAGGCTGGGGCATGGTTAAGCCGTACCAACGAGAAGGAGTCACGGAGGACGGCATCGTCGTTGTGAGGCTGTTGGTCGGGGGTTGGAAGGCCGTAGAGGGAAAACGGTTGAGATTGGTGACCGGCGTAGTTTGAATAATCCATATCGTTGCGTGAGGCAAGAGTTGCGGGGGTATTTTCTAGAAGCTGAGTTGATACGACGTAGGAAGGTTGTGGCGAGGTCGTCCAGGCTGAGAAACTCGCCCGTGCTCCCCGGTTTTCAGTGCTTTTTTGACGGAATCTGGCCGATCTACCCTGTTGTTGGATAACGCCACCATAAAACTATAATGTATTTCTAGACTCTCAGGCTTTACTATTTTTTATTTATTTATTTGTTTTTTTTTTGCAGGATTTCAGAGTTCACTCCTTCACAACTTCTTTATTTTTTCACCGCCATATAAGTATTTTTCTTAACATGATGTTTGTGGTCTGGTCCGTGCATGAAACGGCTAGAACTAAGGGGGAGACACGTTGGAGGACCCTGAATATATATCCACCTAGATAGGAAAACTTCGTATTTCCAAGACTGACTACTTTGTTAGTTTGTAGAGTAGGTGGGCGTGAAAATATCAGAAATAGTATTGGAAACCTAACTATTATGGAGGTTAAAACCCTCGGACCGGAAAAATAGTCAGATACAAGCGTTCTTGCATGAGCAACCGTGCTCTTTGTGATGAGAAGGGGATATGCTGGGAAGTGAAAAGGCTAGACATAAAGACAGGACAGATGCAATCGACAAATAACCACCCCGGAAGCGACCCTACCCATATTCCGTCGCCAAGTCCCATTGAAACTGATTCTATCCGAGTGGGATTGTAGGTTGTATGAGTTCCTGCGTAACACGGTGCAAGAACTCAAGGCAGCCTGGGAATCGTCAAAACTCGAATAGGAACCGCTTCCATCCATCACTTTTGGCCAGATTTGATTGGCCTCTCCTCATCCCCGTCGTGTCGATTGCAAAAGAAGCCAAAAAAGAAAAAAGAAAAAAAAAATTCAGAGCAAATAAAAAAGCAAAGGGAAGGGGGTAAAACATTCTCGAATAATGGGGAAGGGCATAAGGTTCAAGGGGAAAGCATCAGAGTGAGCTTCAGGATGTCCAAGTGCGAGCTATCAAAAGCAACAGAAACGGTGACGCTCTGTTTCCAATTTGATGCCCTCATTTGCGTCATTCGGTCTTGGCTGATTATATTTGCGGCGGTGAAAAGAGGAAACCGCAAACATGAGTGAACCCAAGACGTAAGTAAAGATTGCCGCCATATCAATAGCGTTTCGAGACTGAAATCGGTTGTCCTGTGAAAACAGGTACAAGAAGTCCGATAATAAAGCGGTCAAAGTAGTTGTAGCTTGATGCGAGAATGTGACATACTCGAAAGTAGACAAAACACCTTTGACGCGTCGAAACAGCTAAAATCGAAGTTGGATCGAAATAATGATAGGAAGGCGGGCAAAGAGACTGCGAAATGAATAGAGATCCAAGGGAAAAAATAAAAATCCGAAATTGAAGCGCATGGTGTCGCGTTCAGAGCGATGTCGTAAGATGGAATCCCAGGATTCTGAGGTTGGACAGATTGTGAGCGAGCAGTAGACAGGAGTTGGGAAAGTAAAGCAATCCATCTCAAGTCTTGCTGCATGCCAATTAGTACCAAAGAGCCCCCGATCCATCATCCCGCTTCGAACGGCCACCAGTAGGTCCAGGACCTACAGCAGCACCTTTCGAGGCAGAACGCAGCCTAACGCCGAAGACTATGCGATTAGTCAGATTCAGAACTCAAAAATCCTCTACGCCAGCGTGAAAAAAATAAACACTCAACGTAAAAAAGGATTGAAAAAAGGGGATTTCCTACACGGAACCAGGTTTCAAAAGTACTCACATCCTATCACTTCCTCCGACAGCACGGTTAGCGTCCGCGGGGTTCTCGAGGGCGGCGCGGTCAATGACCTTGCGGCGCTGGCTTGAGATAGCGCCGGGCTTAGCAGCAGCGGCGGCAGCAGCGGGGCCGGTAGCAGGAGCACCACCAGCAGCGATGCGGCGCTGCTCTTCGTCCTTGTCCTTCTTGGTAGCGTCCACAATCATGGCAGCGTTCTTCTGGTACTTGTAGACGGTCCAGTCGAAAACGTAATCGTACTGGAAGGACTCGCGGACGAAGAGATCACGGAAGATCTTGCGAAGGTATGAGTAATCGGGCTTGTCGTCGAAGCGGAGCGAACGAGTATAGTTCAGGTAGATAGCGAATTCGTTGGGGAATCCACGGCAGAGAACCTCAGTGGGTGTGGTCATCTTCTTCTCCATGATGCGATCGTACTTCTGCTTTTTGGTAGCAGCCTTCAAACCCTGCCAGGGGAGAGAGCCACGGCAGAAGTAGAGCATCACGTAACCAAGAGATTCCATGTCATCGCGGCGAGACTGCTCGACACCCAGGTGGGTGTTGATACTGGCATAGCGGGCAGTACCAGTGAGGTTCTTGTTCTCACGGTAAGGGATGTGGAAGTGAGTCTTGGGGTCACGGTACTTCTTTGCAAGACCGAAATCAATCACATTCACCTGGTTACCACGCTTGCCAATACCCATCAGGAAGTTGTCGGGCTTGATATCACGGTGAATGAACGACTTGGCGTGAATGTATTCGATGCGGGAGATGAGCTGATCGGCGAGGAGCAGCACGGTCTTAAGAGAGAATTTGCGGTTGCAGAAGTTGAACAAGTCCTCGAGACTGGGACCGAGAAGGTCGATAACCATAGCATTGTAGTCACACTCGGTACCGAACCAGCGAACGAAGGGAATACCGACACCTCCGGCGAGGGACTTGTAGACGCGAGCTTCGTATTCAAGCTGGGGGTGCTTGGCCTTCACGCTCTCAAGCTTGATGGCAATCTCCTCACCAGAAATAATGTTGGTGCCTGTACTTGTGTTAAAACGAAAAAAGAACATTCAACAGACTCAAAATGTCGATCCAAGACCTACCGAGATAAATGTCGCCGAAACTTCCACTACCGATCTTACGTCCAATGCGGTACTTGTTACCGACACGCAAATCCTGTATATGATGTCAGTATCACAGAACATCCCAATATTGACTCCAAAAAGTCCAATCGTTCCAACGATTTTGTACTTGAACAGTGGGAGGATCGGCATTGGTACTGACCATTGTGGTCATCTTGAGTTGGATTACGTGGCACAAGGAGTTGCCGTGTATTTGGGAGAATTCTGTAGAAAATCAAGGTCAGGAAAGGAAAAAGGCAAAAATGGAATGAAGAACCAAAAGTGAGAAGATAGTTGAAGGAGAAAAAAGGTAGGGAATAGATGGGTAAATGACAAGAGTGGGTTGATTGAGAGGGTGGTGATATCAAGGCATCACTAGTGACCCTGGCATCATCCAATTAAGCAGCAACCAACATGACTTCCATATTCAGGCAAATGACAAATGACAGGTGCAGCAGCTTAAAAGATGAACACATTAAAACGAGAATATCCACATACCTATTAAATCCGATGATGGATTAAGAAGATATCCTAAGCCGACCGTTGAAAAACTAGATCGGAAAGGGGAGGGGAGAGATGGGGAGATGGAAGAAAGGTATTCAGTATCCGAAAGAAAGAAGAGCAGATAAACCAAGGACAAAGCCTTGGGATAGCAAGAAAGGAGTTTGGGGATGGGAAAGGAGAGAGGGGGTCGGGAAGTCGGTGAGGTATTTTATTAGCGAAGGGTGGCTGACGGTTGTTACATACTGAGTACAGGGCGCCGTAGGGATTTCCGTGTGACATCCGAGGTATTAAACCCGTCACTCTATGCGGGATTTGAGTGTATGGTAACACTGGTATCACTCATACAGAACAAGTATTGGGCTGCATTTTCTTTGATATATCTCTTCATTTTGTTTTGCATCTTTCTTTTAGTTTTTCATTTTCTTGATTACTTCTTGATACTATTCACCCTAAATCTGTAACATAGGTACCTAAATATTGATAGACATGAGCTAAACTTGTTTCGGGGACTTGTTGATTTCGACCTGTACGAGCTCACCTGTTTAGCGCTAGAGATGAAACATGGAGGTTGCCAGATTCTGCCCAACCATAGAATGATATAATTTCCCAGGTAACTAGTTTTTAGATGTACATAGGTAAACGCAATAGCCCTGACTTTTTTAACACCTTGGAATTTTTAATATCTCGTGATTGAGATCTACCTCGATCTACCTAAGTATGGATGTTCTAATGTATTTCGAGTACTTATTGCATGTCATGCATGCTGCCATGTCTACAGCACATGATTGCGGGGACCATCATACCTATCGCAATGAGTAATGGGCTAATCATGCCTTAATCCATCTAAATGCATACGACTACATAGGCTCGAACACATAGCAAAATATGAATCTTCATAGAAGGACAGGTAAGGATGACAATTGCTGACGACTGTAGGCAGCCAATTCCGGGGTTTGCTAATGGTACAGCCAGGTCCAATGAGAATCGGAAGACCGGGGTATAAAAAATGAAATGGGTACATGGAGCGAGGGTTGGCAGGGAAACAAGGTGAAAGAAGAAGGCAAAAAAAAAAGGAAGGGAATCCCGTCCCTTAAAGGCGATAAAACAGAGAGGTGTAACAGTGTTTGAGAACAATAGAGGACCTTTCATCATGCGATGGTTGTGCTTTGCGGGAGAATAATGGGCCATAATAATAAAATCAGTAGATGAGAGGGGGGAGAGAAAGGGAAGAAAGGAATAGAAAATTCTTTGAAAGAAACACAAGTATAAACCAATGATCAAAGGGTGGTGGATATATCTCAGAACACATTTTTGTAGAGGTGAAGGGGGACTGTAAGGGCTCAGATCACATTAGAAGTCTGACCACTGTCAGTACTCACGTGTTTAGACTGAACGACTCGTTCTTCCTCGTCCAATCTCCGACGCCACTCTGCTAGGCTACCAGTCATCATGGCAGGTCCATCGTTGGTATCCCTGGTTGGGGTGCGGTCCATGTCCAACTGGCTGCTCAGGCGATAGTTACGGTTGGTGCTCTCCCAGTGGGTACGTAGAGCCTCTAACTCATTTGCGAGTGAGTCAAGAGCCATAGAACCACGATTGTCGGGGTATGCGGAGGACTCTTGGGAAACATTGCTATCGGTTCGTGCCCGGCCCTGGATGGTGTTGCTGGAGGCATTGCTGTGCGTTCGTGCAATACCATTCAGACCCTGATGGCCATGTTGAGACTGGCGGCGGTATTGACCCACCGATGTCTCCACCTGCTGCAAAAGCATGTTAACTTTTTCCTCAGCATCTGAGGCACGAGTCTCAAGGTGACCATTTTCGAGCTGCAGTGCCTCTAGCTCAGTATGGCTTCTCTCGGCAGCGGCAAGAAGGTCTTGCTTGATCTGCTCATGTTCAGAATGGGCCTTCGCCTTCTCGGTCTCAGCAACGGCGAGTGACTCCTTTAGCTCCTTGATTTGGTTCTCAAGGTTCTCAATCGACGATGATGTGTGCTGCTCGAGGTCGGAGATCGACTTTTCAAGTCGAGATCGTTCAGTCTCCCATGCAGATGAATCCTCTTTCTGACCATCAGTACTCTCTGCGCTCTTAAGAGCGACGTCCAACTCAGATTGTATCTTGGCATTCTGAGCCTTGTAACGGCCCAGCTCGTCCTTCATGCGCTGGAGCATCTTTTCAGTGCCCTTGACATAGTGTACGGCAGATTGATAATCGTTCTCGAGTTGTTCCAGCTTCTCTCGGAAAGCACGATCAGCTTCCTGCTCACGGAACTCAAAGGTGGACTTCAGATCATCGTGGGTCCTGATGCTGGCCGACAGTTGCTGCTCGAGTTCGCGCAGGCGGGTCTGCTCGGGCGTTCCAAATCTCGAGCCCGGGGACTCAAGATGGGGAGAACGTCGACTATCGATGTTCAAGCCGCGCTCGCTGAGAAGATCCTTCAGAGCAGAATGCTGAATGGTCAAGGCGCTAGCATCGCGCTTATGGATTTCTAGCTGAGACTGGAGATCTCTACTTGCTGTGTGAGCCACCTGGGTATCCTTCGTGGCGATCTGAAGCTGTCTACGAAGCTGCAGACCTTCTCGGCTTGCCTGCTCTTGGTAGGCTTCCAAGCCCGCAATTCGTTCCTCGGCGCGTCGTAGCTTGTCTGATGCTGCATCAGCTGCAGCTTGGTTAGCCTTGGACAGGGTAGTAGATCGTTCAATTTGAGCTTGCAAAGCGGCCACTCGTTTGTCAGCATGGGATCGGACGGGTGAATCCAAATCGGCTGATCTAGCGCGATCGAGTCCTGAAATGAAAGCCAACCTATGAGTTTCAGCCTCTTTGGCATGGCTCTCCGCTAGCTCTTCCGCGTCCCGTAAACGACGTGTAATGTTAGCTAACTCAGTGGTCTGCTCCTCATGCTGTGATCGGAGTTGTAACAACTTTCGCTCCAGCCCTTCGCGACGCTCACGCTCCTCTTCCAATTTCTTCTCGATTAGAGCGGTTTTTGCTTCGGAAGCATTGACAGCTTCGTGGAAGTTGCCAAAGTTGGAACCATAATCCTTCAGGCGTGAAGAAGATTCTTTGACATGCAACAAAAGCTCCTCTTTGTCAAGAAGGAGTTGCTGCAAGGAAGCCTCGGCTTCAGCACGCAGCAAAGCCTCTTCTCTTGCAGAAGATTCTGCGCGATGAAGTTCAGCACGTAGATTGTCAGCCTCCAAGGCATTGTTTTGCATTTCGAGCTCTGCCAAGCGTTTGCGGGTAGCTTCGTTTGTGTCCTCGGCCAACTCCCTGTTTTGTTTTTCCTGTTGGAGTTCAACCGTCAAAACATCCAGCTTGGCCTTGTATTCTGACTGGGATGCCAAGGCCAACGCCAGGCGACGTCCCATATCAGTGGGACGTTCCCCGGCGCTATCCTCAAGATCGCGAGAGCCTTCCGGCTGTGGTGTGCCTCGTTGGCTACCACCGTGGGCTGCCAGCTTTGCACGAGAGTATGCGGCTTCACTGACAGCCACATCTCGCTGATGCTCAACCTCGGCAATGCGCTTGGAAGCAATGGCGGCTTGGCGGTCAACCGTAGCTTGCATCTTGGCGAGCTCTGCCCTCATGGCAAGGAATGCCTCAACAAGGGGGCGATCATCATCGTGAAGGATTTCGTTTGTACGCTCTCCTAGAACAGGGCTGCTTGAGACGTTGGGAACATAACCGGCTTTCTTTGCGAGCGACAATTCGGACCCAAACCAGGCATTTCGAGCCTTTAAAGCCTCCAACTCTTTGATCAAAGCCTCCTGATGAGGGGTCAATTTGGGTGACTGTGGCTCATTCGCTAGAATCCTAGAATTACGGTAGTTTGAACCGTCGATGCTAGTTTGGCGGCCAAGGATAGACTCCTCTGTACTATCCATTGAGCCACGCTGCCTATTCGAACGTCCCGAACGCTGACGGGAAGGGGTGGTAATCAAGGGAGCAGCCTCCCCAGCTTCCATAGCTTTAGCCGACATTCTCTGAGGTGGGGGAGTTCGTTGGCCGTTAGTAATTTGAGAATCCTGCGGGTCCTTGGCCATGGGTGGTTCATCCGAGTTTGCTGCGCGAACGTCCACAGTACCTGTATATCCACGATCAATTTTGGTGGGTGTTTTGCTGCGTGAATTCATGCTGCCGGTCTGAGGCCCATTGGCCCGAGGACCCGGCGATGGAGCCTGCCCCGGAGGAGGGGGCCCAGCAGGCGCTTGAGCAATTGAGGCTCGTGGGAGACGAGAACCTGGTCCAAGATTAGGATTGGGCCCATACTCTCCAGGTCTGCCGACTGCCGACTGGATTAAACTTTCTCGTGATGGGGTGGGACCTCGGCGTAGATATTGGTCGGGAGTTGCGCTATGGGTCTCTCGTGATGTGCGGCCAGAAACAGGTCCATGTTTCTCAACACTGGTTTTGCGGCCACCAAGAATGGCACCACGTTCCCCAGATTGAGTTTCGTTAGGATACCTTATCTTGGAAGTGTCCAGAATGTAGGCCATGCTGAGTTCGGCGGCATCTCTTGGTGCTGAGCTTGGCTCACCTGCCATCACGATGATTTGTTTGCCAAATGCCGTCATGCTGTGGCCAGAACGTGGAGAGGGCGCCGGGCCCATGTTCTGGAACGAATACCAACGTCGAGTGGAGATACGAAAGGCAGACAAGTCGCCCAGATCCTGTCCTTCATCGGTGCGACCTCCAAAGACATACATGACATCATTCACTAAAGCGGATGCGTGGCCCTCTCTGGGGGTCGGGATGAAACCAACACAGTCAATTTCAGACCATGTATTGAGACGAGGATCAAAACACCAGACATCGTTGAACCACCGCACACCGTTGGTTCCTCCAAACAAGAACAGTTTGTCGTTGTAGCCCACGATTGTGTGATTAGTTCTCGCTGGTGGGATTTGACCTTCCGGAGGACCGCCTTCGTGGCTGTTCTGTATCAACAACTCCCATTTGTTAGCAGGATTCTGGAGTTGGTTCAAGTCAAATGCAATCAAATCATTGAAGAAAAACCCGTCCACTTGACCTCCAAACACGTAGAGTTTCGAGCCAAGTATGTTTAATGTGTGTCCGTATCGGCCAGATGGGCGAGGGCCCGGTGGGATAGCGCGAGACCATTGCCGGGAAGCTATAACCACTCATTAGACCCCATACTAGGGGAAAGCAGCCACAAGGAAACATACATGTGTTCAAGAGATATAACGTCTCATCTAGAGCATCATTCTCATTAATCTTTGTGTCACCGCCGAACACAATGAACGCATTGCCGACCAGCAAACTTGCATGACCCACGCGAGGACCTGGACCATCGGAAACCGTGTTGACCTGCAAACAGGACAGGTTACCTGCGCCGCTTTCGATCATCCACAGGTCACCTTTGACGGTTGAACCATCAATCAAGCCACCCATCAGGTATATATCACCCTCTTTAGATGCCATGGAATTGACTGCGGCGCCATATCGGGGGAAAGGATTGGTTTCTGTCGAGGAAAAGCCTAGTTTGCGTTGCGACCATGGGTAGAGTGACGAATTTGAATTTGGTGATGGTACACCATTCGGGGGTTGCTGAGGCGCTTGTTGCGACTGCTGTGATGTCTGCTGCGGACGAAAAACCTGTAAAACAAAGGTCAAATCTGTCATGTAGAAGAAAAGGCCATATGAGCAATCATACCTGAGACTCCGATTCCGCTCTCTTTCGCAACCTAGTAGATTCCGGACTAGTCGGGCTGGCCGCGGAATGTAAGGAATTGTTATAGCTGCTACTTGGAGTAGGCGTTTGAGAGATCGCTCCTTCTGGCTTGACACCGTTTGTAGGAACAGCGACTCCGGCTGGAGCACCTTCGGTATTGTGGACATTTCGTGCTCCAGGAGGCAGTGGAGCCCCATGTTGATTTTTCTTCGATTTAAAGAGAAACGCCATCGTGAAACTATCGTATTCGGTCGTTCGGGGCGAGGGAAGTCGCCGCCCAATTCAGGGTGCGCGCCGATGCGATATCGGGTTACCGGGGGTGGAAAAGGTCCAGCAACAGTATCGTGGGAGTCGTGTCCTCGGATTGACGTACTTTAATCGGGAGATGATGAGTTATGACAAGAGAGAGAACGAGGAGAGGATAATTTTAGATGTGGAGTTCAGAACCAGGAACCCTCAAAGAACCGCAAATGGTGTCCCATGCACCGGGTCCAAAAAAATCTAGGCCAGGGGTGAAGAGAGTGGAACACCTACCAGTGCTCTGATTTAGCGCTGGATAAGGTTGTAAAGAAAAGAAGGCAAGAAAAGTAAACAAGAGAAAGGGGTGTAAAAAAAAAGAAGGTGCATTCATTTGTAAACTTCGGACTAGTGTATGGGTTTAAAGCATGCATACTCAGGGGCAGCCCACACATCAACGCACGCTCTCTTTGTGTATGCGCCATCATTCTTCCCCATTCTTTCCTCCCCAACCCCCGGTCGTCATGGGTGATGACACTGGCACTTGGACTTTCTTTCATATTTGATATCTGATATCAGAGAATGAACCAATTGCTCGGATAGCTACATAACTATAGCCTTTACTTCAAGGTCACATAGTACTTATTGATAGTACTTATGGTACGAGCTAGGAGGTATATGCTGACCTATATCTAATCTTACAACACACACAACAGTTTCTGAGGTCATTTTCTCACTGTTCGTGGCATTCCATCTTCAATTAGCCACCTTCGAGCTCTTTTTTTCTTCTCTCTCTCTCCTGATCGTTGGCAAAGGGTATCCAATGGATTCCAGATTCCACAAGGCGATCCACTCTCCCCACAACTTAGAACCCATCGAGTCCGATCAGCTCTCACGGAGAACAACAGATAATGATCATGAAGTGAACATAGTCAACACCTGTCAACAAAGAAAGGGGGAGCTGTTATGAATTGGGGCGGTGATCACTTCTGAGTGGTCCGTTCCTGAGGATCTCGGCTACGGCATTGCCGACTACGAAGGGGATTATGAAGTACACGGACACTCTTAATCTTACTATGATGAGACTTGGAAATCACAGAGAGATGGTACAAACCCATTCCCTGTCTCAGTGAGACTTTTGCTGTACCCTGTCTATCCTGATTTCCCACAATAACATGTCTGAGACAGCACAATTTAAGCGTACTGAGGACTACCTAGGCATCTTAAAAGACAATGTAGATGATATATAGGGAAGAATAACTCCATTTAACCCTTTTCTCTTGTGAGTTAATCGTAATATGGAGCACGCAGTACTACATTCCAGCAATCCCCATGGGTTAGAAACCAAGTGATCTAGCTATAGATTATCAGCCCACTCAAAACTCAAAACAATCGGGCTATAATCGCGGTAACTACCAATTTCCTACGAGGATATAGATTCTAGATTCCAGGGGTGATCAACGGCAACATCAGGTGGAAGGCATAGCTCAAACAGAAGGTGACTCGACAGTGAACTGCCTTGGTACAATCGGAAACACTGAACCAAGTATGCCTACGGGATTCGCCTACGGCCAATCCTCGCGATGATGAGATCACAACAACTCCAGTAATCGATTTTTGAATTCAGTGGGTACTTTGGATCCACTGCCAAGGTTATACTCCATCATATGGAGTCAATATGTCTAACTTTAATAAATTTATATCCTGTTTGATTTCATCAGTTATCAATAATCTGTATTAGTTATTTCTCTTATGGCTGAACACAATCAGAAAAACTGTCAAGATTGCCAATTACTGTAGATGTACGGAGTAGATGTAAATATCAGGTCATATATTTACTCCGCACTGACGAATTGAGCATGGGTCGGGATAACAATGATCCGTCCGGGTCGTTAATCAATCGAGCCTCACCGTTACCGTCCCCAGAATCTGGAATATTGTTCTGGCGCGCCTCACCAGTGTGAGCTCTGTCCTATCCGAGCTCAAACCATAGGCCCACTTCCTAAATCTTCACACCACCATATGGTATTGAGCTTTCTTACCCTAATCCTCTTAACCTCGGTGTTATCGAGTCCCTAGGAGGTAGATTTCTGATAGATCATTGCTCTTTTGGCTACCCCCGCGGTCGTCCTACACCTCACCCCCTCACGTAACACCATGACCAATCCTACAACATGAGGGACCCCACTGCAGACATGGAAGAAAATTCCCAGCCCACGACCAATGGGTCAACTGAACCCCGCCGCAACACCAAATCTGTGCGAGTCGCGTTTGGTGCTGACCTTGAAACTACTATCCCCGCACGCGAGCGGTCACCAGCTCCTTTACCTACTCATCATCGCTCTTTTACCACCGTTGAGCAAAAGCAAACCTCCTTTACACGGCCTTCTCGTCCTACAAGTTCTGGTGGAGAGAATGCTGCGGTGGGGGTAGAGTCCCCACCGCGACGCCTATCTCCTCGAAGGGTAGAGAGTAGTCGACCCGGCACATTGAAACGGACGAGGAGTGATTTTGGTCCGAATAATCGCGTTTCATTTGACAAATCAGCTGGAGACGAAGACGAAGATTTTGCCATGCGACACGGATGGCAGGAGGAATATACCTCCAGCGAATACCTGAAAATTTTACACTCGGTGAGATTTCCATCCTTTCTTTCCAGTTCTTTTTTCAGAGAATTAATGCTAACCAAAATCCAGAATTTCTACATGTATTTCACCGAGAAACGCCACGACACAAATGGTATTCCCAGAGATCCAGTCGGAAGTTGGCCCAGCCAGGATTGGCGCATGAAAGACCGTCTCAAGACCGTATCAGCTGCGCTGGCAATCTGCCTTAATATCGGTGTCGATCCTCCCGATGTGGTCAAAACAAATCCGTCAGCTAAGCTGGAATGCTGGGTCGATCCCACCTCAACCACGGGTGGAGGCCAGAACAAGATCATGGAGCAGATTGGAAAGAAGCTGCAGGAACAGTACGAGACTCTCAGCCTACGAACACGGTACAAGCAGTATCTAGACCCATCTGTTGACGAGACGAAGAAGTTCTGCATCTCTCTGCGCCGAAATGCCAAGGATGAGCGGGTCCTCCTGCATTACAACGGCCACGGGGTTCCATTGCCCACCCAATCAGGAGAGATCTGGGTCTTCAACAAGAACTATACTCAGTACATTCCTGTGCCCCTGTACGATCTGCAATCATGGCTGGCAGGGCCTAGCCTTTTTGTTTTTGATGTGTCACACGCAGGCAACATTGTCCAAAATTTCCATACCTTCGTCGAGAAGCATGAGAAAGAAAATATCGAGACGAAAAAGCGAGACCCTACTGCAATTGTTCAAAACTATGGCGATTGCATTCTTCTCGCTGCCTGCCAGAAAAACGAATCTCTCCCAACGAATCCTGACCTTCCTGCTGATCTATTCACGTGTTGCTTAACGACCCCGATTGAGATCGCCTTGCGATTCTTCATTCTACAAAACCCTCTCCGAACGGATATCTCGATTGATGATTTCAGGGTTCCGGGTAGACTTCAAGACAGGAGAAGTCCCCTCGGAGAATTGAACTGGATCTTCACAGCCATCACTGACACAATTGCATGGAATACTCTTCCTCGTACCTTGTTCAAGAAGCTTTTTCGACAAGATTTGATGGTCGCTGCTTTATTTCGCAACTTCCTGCTTAGTGAACGCATCATGCGTACGTACAAGTGTCATCCAATCTCCTCGCCTGATCTCCCTGAGACCCACCATCACCCTCTTTGGAAGAGCTGGGACCTTGCTGTCGAAACAGTTCTTGCCCAGCTACCTGCTTTAATCGATCATGAGGAAGGCCGTCGCCATTACGAGTACCAGAACTCATCGTTCTTCGCAGAACAGCTCACCGCGTTTGAGGTTTACCTTTCGTCTGGTCCTACGGAGAAGAATCCACCGGACCAACTCCCCATAGTGTTGCAAGTACTTCTTAGTCAAGCACACCGATTACGCGCATTAATCCTCCTCAGCAAATTTCTGGACCTTGGTCCATGGGCCGTCCACCTTGCGCTCAGCATTGGTATTTTCCCGTATGTTGTCAAGCTGTTGCAGTCAGCTGCTCAGGAATTGAAGCCTGTCATGGTTTTCATTTGGGCGCGGATCATGGCTGTAGACCACACCGTTCAGAATGACCTTTTGAAAGATAACGGCATCCATTATTTCATCTCAATCCTCGATCCCACTTCTCCCATTCCCGTGGGAAATGCCAGTGAGCACCGAGCTATGTGCGCATTCATTGTCTCTATCTTTTGCAAAAACTACCCACAAGGCCAGAATGTCTGTCTTTCTGCGGCGCTATTCGACTCGTGTCTGAAACATCTCGGTGACGTGGAAAACCCACTGTTGCGACAATGGTCATGTCTCTGCCTCAGCATGCTGTGGTGTGATTTCCCGGAAGCGAAATGGATGGGTATTCGAAGCGCAGCTCCTGCACGACTTTGTGAATTGAATTTCGATCCGGTTCCCGAGGTCCGCGCCGCAATGTTGCATGCCGTGACTACATTCGTCGGAATCCCCGACTTGACAGATCAAGTTGCGCAGATCGAGGAAACTTTAGCCCTGGCCGTTCTACCCATGTCGTCCGATGGTAGTGTGTTAGTCAGGAAGGAATTGATCGTTTTCTTCTCTACCTTTGTGCGGCGTCACCAGAACAAGTTTCTGGTGGCGGCATATGAAGAACTGCAGGATGAAAAACAATCTTTACTCAATCGACTCCAGAGTGAAACACATTCAGGGACTTCACCTGAAAGCTACAAAGGGCCTTCGGATAGCGATTCAAAATCACTTCAGTTGTCACGGAATACAACTTTCGGAACTCTTTGGAAGCAGGTTCTGATATTTGCCGTCGATCCCCATCCTGATATTGCTCAGGGTGCCGGTACTATCGTCGACTATATATATCTCGCCCTCCTAGAGTCACCCATGGCGACTCTCACTGACAGAATCAGAGTTGAAATATTGGAGCTGACAAATCGTCTTTCTCAACGATACCAGATTCAAGAGCGACCCGAAGCAAAGAAAACAGCGCCTCCCACGCCGACATCAACAACCCCGACATCCAGACAAGAAGGATATCTCTCCCTCGGCTTTAAACGTACCGCGAGTGTTGCCGCCTCTCTCAGAAACCTTGCATTATTTGGCAGCGCAGCATCAGGAGATCCAAACGACAGTCAAACACCTTCTTCGCCAACCATGAGTCGGATGCCAATGACACCCCGCGGCCGCGCCCCTGCTGAATGGACTCGACCCCCGGAAGTTAACGACCACGTCGCCCCTGCAACAGCTTATAACCAAGCTCCCACCCCTACATCACGTGGATTTGTTCCTAGAAGCCTGGATACGGCACCCATAATTCCCTTGAAAAGCAGATTCCTGGATTGGTCAACAGAGGTATTTCTATATTTCCTTGCCGACTTCGGCAAATCTCTCAACGAATCGCTTGATGAACCCTTACTCACCCCTGACAAGTATTTCCGAGAGCCCCAGATGAAACCCAACGAACCCGACGAGCCCGGTAGTTCGGATTACAACGAGCGTCTATGGAGACGCGGCCGAAACGAAAAGATCATTGCGGAAACCCAGCCTCTCAAAAGTAAGGCTGGGAACAGTTCATGGGACAACTCGGTTGCACTGTTGTCGAATAGCAGTCAACCGTTAAAGATGTGCTTCCATCAATTTGAAGATCACATCGCTGTCGCAGATGATCGTGACAATATTGCGTAAGCTCCAAATGTGACTGCCTTGTTTGGTTGGTGCTAACTATCATTTTTCTTTACACAGCGTCTGGGATTGGCAGAGTCAAAAGCGACTAAATCAATTCTCGAACGGCAACCCAGTTGGCTCCAAGATCAACGAAGTTCGGTACATCAACGAAGATGATCAAGCTCTTCTATTGACAGGGTCCTCCGACGGCGTGCTCAAGCTGTTCCGCCATTATGAGTCTGCAAAGAAGATTGAAGTGGTCACAGCTTTCAGAGCCTTGCCTGAACTCGTCCCTAGTAATCGAAATGCCGGTCTAGTACTTGATTGGCAGCAGGGTCAAGGAAAGGCTCTAGTTGCTGGTGATGTAAAAGTTATCCGGGTGTGGAACGCAGCTACTGAAGTCTGCACTAATGTGAGTTTGAAAGCCAAAAAAAAAAAAAAAAAAAAAAAAAACATCAGGAACTACGTAATACTAATGTCTCTCAACAGGACATCCCCGCACGATCTGGCTCGTGTATCACATCTCTGACCTCTGATCAAGTTGCCGGTAATATCTTCGTTGCTGGTTTTGGTGATGGTGCCGTCCGTGTGTTCGATCAACGATTAAAGCCTACAACTTCTATGGTCAAAGTCTGGCGAGAACACAATCAGTGGATTACCAATGTTCACATGCAGCGTGGTGGTTTGCGGGAACTCGTATCTGGTAGTCGGAATGGTGAGATTCGACTGTGGGATCTCCGAATGGACGACCCGCTCTCTACAATCCACGCCACTAAGGATACACTTCGAACACTGAGCGTACATGAGCATGCTCCTGTCTTCAGCATGTAAGTATAATCTTTCATCTCAGTATTGAGACTTGCCACTAATTTTCATTACAGGGGAACTAACCGCCACGAGGTCAAGACCTTCAACGTCGATGGCTCTTATCTTTCCACCTATGAGCCTTACTCAAGCTTCCTGCATCATAACCGCGCTTCTCCAATCGCCAGCACGGCCTTCCACCCTCACCGCACCATGTTAGCATGTGCTGCATTGCACGATAACCACATCAATATCGTATCTTGCTAAATTGCTGTGGTCTAATCATACATTCATTGATTAATATATCAGCCTATTCACTTTTGGCAATGCGCAGGCTTTCTTTTGCCTTTTTTTCTCTTGTAACATGCCCCATCTGAATCCTTTTGCAAACTTTAACGGCGTCCTGGCGAGAGTGATTTACTTACACTACGATACATTGCTCTTTCTATTATCTGCTTTTTCTCATTTCATCGAGTTTGTTAATGATCTTGTACTGATCTACGCTCTCGATGAAGGATTATGATGTCTTCTTGGATACCTTTCTGTTTCTCTTTTTCACGGTATCAATATCCTATGTTACTTTTCGTTCTCCGGCTTTCAGGTTGGTGGCAAGCCGTGATTCAGGATTATGATTGCTAAATTATTCGCTTGGCTGACTAGACTTTTTCCCTATTTCAATTGGAAACAGTCTTAATTTACACTTCCTTGTTTATCTTCTAGCCTGAGAATATCACAATGATTTGTCCGTATCACTGCTCCATGGCCCGGGTAAATATTGGAACATAGCCTTGTAAAGATGTTGCAATTTAGTCAGGGTACAGCCTCGTCACCTGACCAACCCAGTATAGCAACACCCCTCTGATCTTGATATCCATCTTATGACTCTCGGAAATTTCAGCAAACCTCATCAGTATTTTGAAGATCTACTGATACCCTACGTGCCTTATGTCTAATGCTAGAAGTTTGCCATCTAGTCACATATTCCGACAAGAAAGAGCATAATTGGATTGACAGGCATATGGCTACTTAGGTTAATGACAACTAGACCCACATGAGAAATATATCAGAGATGCGAGCACATGATTCAGGATTCGCCTAGATATCAATGAACGTGTTATATAGCCCATTGCATCTCTGGAGAGACGAAAGGATCCCACCTGGGCCCGCAGAATAGATCTTTTTTGTTACTTGAATCCATATCTTACTACGTGAATTGTTTTGAGAACCTTGGAAGAGAATAAGGTGCCAAGTAAGGCATTTAGCACTCAAGGCGGTATTGGTAACTATAACTTTAGAAGTACAAGGTACTGACTGACTGTTGGAATATGGAACAAAGCAGTCATGTGATCAAATTGTTACTTTATAATAGATAGCAAACTAAGAATGAAAACCAGACTTTACAACCACTTCAAGAGGACACAAAGATATCATAGGGGCGTAAAGCGTTACCTGTGATAGGTGTCAGAAGTGGGCGTTAGCCTCATCACCTTTATCGAATAGCTATTCCACACTTGGTACAGGTGTACCGACACTGACCTTCCAATTTCCACCGGAAGAATATTGATGAAAGGTATAAGGCACCATGTTGGTACCTTGGAAGAATGTAACCCCTCCAAAGCTGTTGGACTGAGCATCTGCGGCCCCTGTAATGATGACCGCCAGGTTTTCCTCTCTTGGGCTTTGAAAACAACCCTGGCAGCATCACAGCCATATTCCAATTGGGCTGTTCCCATGGACATATGATATTTCCATAGAGGCCTGTAAGGGAAGCGTGAACAGTAGCAGGAACAACATCGGGAGAGGGGTTGGGAGCCATGGAGGGGTTAGTTTGAGGAAGAAACGGCGTATGGAAGACACCCAATGCAGGAGTTTGAACTTTTTCAGAAAGATTCTTGCGAGAAGTTTTCCCCGTACGTGTGTATGAATCGTTTTTTCCACCTCGTTTTCCTGTTCCGGAGATGACGCTCATTTAGAATTGTCTGCGCGACCTTGACAGTGACCGAACACAGTATGTATATCTTCATAGAAGAGAAGAAGCAAACACGATAGCCAAACTTAATGGATAGTTGCATCGAGGGTGTGAACAGTGGATGGAAGAAGGTATGCAGAGAAGAAGAATAATATATAGGGAAAAGCCGACTATATTCTTAGGAAGTAAGCAACTAGGCAGTTAAATATTGCTCAATATTTTTCAAGGACAAACCATAGGATTTTACCATTTTGTATTCCAAGGCTATATCGCCTGGAACAAGGGGACCAGGTAGAAAAATTATAAATAGAAGGGAGAACTCAGTAGCGGACGGGTTTCTAAATGAATTGTCTAGAGCAACCATAGTAAATCCAGCAAAGAGAAATGAAGTTTCCCGACCCCAAAAGAGAAAGACAAGGATAGGCTAGAGAAGCCTATAGAGCAATATTACGGATTCAATCCGAAGAATATGTTGGAAAGATCGACCAGCGGTATATTCCAGTCGCTTGAATAGTGCTTATGCTTTGCAGCCACCCAGCACTCCGAAATGTAACCCGCTAAAACTTGGAACGCCGCATAAATTCAAAAGTCAAGGGAATAAAACAATCGCTAATACAGAATGCGCCAGGGAGTCAGGTCCTCGTATATTGAGAGATGAGGAGAAAATAAACAAGAAGTCAGAGGTTAGCGGTTGCGATCTGCACGAGCCTGGTGCCAGATCATGTCGCCGTTGAGGGCGGAGAAACTGAGAGAGGCCAGATTCCTCCAGTTTGATTGTGGAGCCGAACTCGCACGCAAATCAAGGCCAGCATTCTGCTCAGTGTCTGTATGATCTTCATTTACTACTGTAATTAAGAAGGGCACTGACGTATCATCATTTGAGTCCAGCTCAGGGCGGTAGTTTTCGGTCTCTTGGCGAGAACTCATATCATCGCCCTGGGGCTGTGTCATGGATCGAACGACGTCACCTTTGCAAATCGGACACGTTCTTCGGCGGGTTGTCAGCCAAGGAGTACTAGTACAAGGGTTAGTACACGAAACAAATAAAGCCAGTCATATTTCAGGTCACTTACATGCACTCTGCATGAAATTCGTGACCACAAGGGAGGCTCATAACTTGGCTTTGCCCGTCGACATATTCCTCGAGACAAACAACACACTCGACTTGTCTTCCAGTGTATTTACGTCTCCATAGAATCGAACCCGACTGCACTTTTGCTAGCTTCTCCCTTGGTGTTGATACGACCCCAGATATGGTTTGTGACCGGGACCGAGCTGGTCGGGCAGTGTTTGGCCGGATTTCATTTCCAAGAAGTGGAGACGTTTGTGATACAGGACCAGGGTTGGAGGTCCCGAGACTAGAGGATGAGGAACTGGTGGAGAGTGTGTGATATGTTCGAACTGGGAGTCGCTCGATGACAGACTTTGGAGCACGCCATCGCCGACGTCTAATGCGGGAGCGAAGCAGTAGAAGTGCATAAACTACCGTGAGTGTCAAAAGAGGGCTAATAACAAGCACCAGTAGGGTATCGAAAAATGGACTTGTAGACATGCTGGCAGGTGTCAAAGTAACCCAGAGTCCTTCATGCTCTGACACTTTGGAAACCGGAGGGCTCGATGGAGAAACTTTATCTTGTGTTTTGACGGTAGTCGCAATATTCTGGAGAGAAGGCAACAAGGATGGCTGAGTATCCAATGCCTTGTCATTATCACCCCATCCAAAGTGGCTGGCGAACCATCCCTTTTCGGGCAAATCTGATCCTTCTTTGCTTGAATGGCGGTCGTTTCCAGATACTTTCACATTTGTGGCAGTGGTCTTGCCATTTTGTTTGTCAATACTTTGGTATTCACCACTTCCAGGAGTGATGCTACCACCGCGCAGTAGATTGTTGGAGGATACGTCTGTCTCGATAACGGAGGTCTTCGAGTTATCTTTGCCAGTAACTGAGGAGCTTGGTACCGTAGACGTACTGCTTCGGGGTAGCATTAGATCGGCATCTCTCCAATCGTGAACTCCAATAACAAAATCATCTCCACCGTTAAGTTCATCAGATGATACCAGTCCATCGTTTTTGCTTTTCAGATCGTCATTCAGTTTGCCTCTATTGCGATCAGTAGAATCTGTTGCGCCCTTTGAATGGTCATTCTGAGTATCGGATTTATCCCAAGGGTTGGTCATCCAGTCAATATTTCCACTACTGGGAGGTCGGCGACTATCTTGTGAACTTTTCGAAGAACCGCTGTTACTGCAGAGTCCGAAGATTGATCCCAGTTTACGGAAGAATCCGCTGTTCGACTTCGAAGTAGAAACAGGCCGCTCTTTTGATTGATAATTGCTCGTTTGAGTGGGTGTAGCAGTGGACGCGCTAGTCGTTGTCGTGGTTACTTTTTGAGTGTCGACATTTTCGGTGCCAGTAGTTTTGCTCTGAGACGACTTAATTGCGTCGCCTAGGGCAGAATTCGCTCCGGAATGCCCCGGAATCAACGACGAAAGAAGGTGTGCAGTGGTATACGAGGTGAACAGAGACGGAATCGTGACATTCGACGTGTCGCCCCGCGCATACATGGTCACCAAGTTGCCGCCACGAGTATCATCACCAACAATCACAGCTATGGCTCCTCGACGTTGGGCCCATTTGACCTTCTCGAGGAATCCACATCCACCACGACTGAGTAGCACAACCTTACCCTGGATCTCGGCTGTCTCCTGGAGTGATTGGATGTCAGCATGCGTTGACTGCTTATTTTGAACGTAGTCTCCATATTTTTGAGTTGTGATAGCATCTGAGATACTGGACTCTGACAGCGGGTGGTGTAGATGATCGTCGGTACCGTCGCTCGAGGACGGGGAAACGATGGCATCACTTCGGCCATTTTGCCAGGCGACATCGGGCTGCGATGGCAAGCGAGCATAATTCTGTAACGCAATTCCGTCGTTTGTTGTACCACTTCTGGATTTACCGGACTTTGGATCCGTGCCCCGGGCAGTTGTATCTGGCTTCTTGCGGGGATTGTCTTCACCCCAACCGGGTATATCGGAGCATCCCAGTTCGCCTTCCGCTCCGGCAGCCAGTCCTCCTTCTCCAAATCCACTACCCACCCATAGCTGGCCACTCATGCCGTTCACTGGCAGCATAGATCCAAATGCCGCAGGGCGGGTCAAGAAGAAGGTTGAGTTATCATCTGTGAGACTAATAATAGCAGATGGAGGGAAGAGTGACGTCGGAATATTGAAAGAGAAGAGGGCATGCAGCCCGGGCGTCTGGCTAGAGAGCGTATCTGGACTCACTACATCGGATGAGAGCGCAGAGAGGATTGTGAGGAATATGGGAAAGAAGATTAGGCAGAAGAGAACGACGAGGAGTCGTGGCGGTCGCATATCTGGTAGATAGGCACAGCGAAGAGGGTACTATGTGTAGTATTTGGCTGAAGGGGTAGATAGTCGAAAAATTGGAACGGAGATGTCTAGACGTCTGTTGTATGACAACAATGGCCTACCAATCCAAGGGTTGGCAAAAGAACAGGCTGCCACTCATTGAGGATAATGAGCAGCACTGCAGGTCGAAAATGAACCGGCAGTCACAGCCTTGGGAGAACGGGGGTGGGAAGATGGGGAGATCGATGAAAGCTGTCAGGTGGAGAAGGGCATGGGGGATAGTGCAACTGACCCATTATGTAACCTGTGACATATGTCGTGTGAGCCCTGGAGACCTCAGGCAACTATTTTGATACTTCAGGCTAATAGCAATTAAATAAGTCTTATCATCTCTACTTCTCACATGGACTGTTAGGGATTTGATTTACTTTCATCTGTCTATTGAATCCGCTATGCGATTTTCATTCTTTCGTGGTCTTAGCTATCAGGCTACGCGTAAGCCTTAGTAGTGATAGACGCCCGACGTTTTCTCCTCAAGTAACCGCTGATCCAATATTAATATATTGCAAGGTTGCGAAAGATCGTAGACTGGTGAGATATCAGCCCTAAATACTCATAAAGTGGTACATAATCCAGCGTACCTACTACTTAAGCAGTACTCAACCCATGTACTCCGAACTAGCGATAAGGGTTTGTATCCACTTTCCCCAATGACGTAGAGGTTCTTCCCAAGCTTTGACATCAACTTCAGTCATCACCTATATAAGCAAATAAAGGAGATATGATTAAACTGAGCATCCTCAGTCAAGAGACACATCAGCATAGTCAAATAGAGTCAGTCTGCTCTTAGCGCTGGGGTCATAAGGGTTGCAGGTCAGCGTCTCTCATTGGTCAACTAGTACCGCCGTATAAATATATAACTATAAATGGTTCTCTTTAGTTAATGTGATGGGTTAGAAAGCACTGACCACGAACGCTTGAAACTACGGAAGCAATTCAAGTCTAAGAAAAATTTCATGTTTCACCTTCTTACAGTTATGAGGTTAAGATCCTAGCGAGACAATACATCGGGAATCCCGGCTCAGTGGCGCATTTGACGACCAATTATGAACGGTTTCCTGTCACTGCTTGCTCACCGTACGACTACAGACTTGGACCGTTGGACGACGAACGTCATGACCGTCTAGACGGGAGACTTCTAACCATGCCTAAGCGGTAGCTTAACGGCTCTGGACGGCTTTCATATTCCGTGTTATGGCGTCACAGTCTTGGTAACAACTATCCATGGATGGCAAAATATGGCAATGAGCTTGGCTTGGGATGACTGCTTAAAAACCTTCAAACTCTCAAGCTCGCTTTATTCCTTCGATCAAAATATCTTCTAGTACAAACCCATCGCATCTATCAATATGGACAAGTTCATGCACAAAGTCAAGGAAGCTATATCTAGTCACCATGACGAGAACAAAGAATCCTCTCAAGGATCTTCCAACATAGGGAAGCGAGATGGTCAGTTTCAGTTTCAGGTTTCATCCCTCTAACTAATCCATACAGCAACTTACCTATGATCTATAGACTATGACACCAAGAGCCCTTCAAACAATGCCCAGGGCTCACATAACATGGGGTCTGAACATCAACGATCCAGTGATTTTGATACAGATCAAATTACTCATGGAGGTTAGTTGATTGACTCACTTGCAGTTGAAATAGACTGACAGCTTAGTAGACACCGACAATGTTTACGGATCAAATAACCAATCCTTTGGCAACGATGGTTCTCTCGCCAACAAATTGGACAGTAAGGTAAGCATCGCCATATCATAACACAAAGTCTAATGTTCGTTAGATACTAGAGATACCTATGGATCAAACACTGTCGGTAAAGAAGGCTTCGTCTCTGGAGGCCTCGGAGCTGATAATGCCGGTACTACCAATATGATGAAAGGTCAAATACAAACACATCACTGTTCATTCTTGTGAAGTCTGACATCGATTAGATACCGGAGATACCTATGGCGACAACACGTACAGTCTGACTAACACAGGCATGAACTCTGGTCTGGGATCCGATACCAAGAAGTCTACTGGCCAGAATATGGGTGGTTATGGTGGCCTGGGCCCTGACCCCCACAAGGACCCTGACTACACCTCGTCGAACATGGGTGGATACGGCAGCGCTGTCAATGATGTTCGCGACTTAGACAAGAAAATTGGCATGGATACTACACAAGATCTAGGTAATAGAACAACGCCTGATATCAATCTATCGAGAATGAAAAGCTAACCCACATAGATGACCGCGGAGGTTTCGGAAACACAACAACCGTGACAGGCAACAGTGGCTTCAATTCACATGTCGGTCCTAACAGCAACACAATGTGTGGCTCTGGTAACACAGATTCTGTTGGTCAACATGACTTTGGTGGCACTGCTGGTGGTGGTAGTAGCTACAATTCGCCTGAGCCTGGCAAGAGACGATTGTCTGGACCTCATAAGTCCAAATTTTTGAATTCACTTGATCCCCGTGTGCATAAGTCTGACTACGTGCGTAATGCTGACATGAACGAAGGCAACATGGTGGGTAACCAGCGTGGATCCTAGTCTTTGATTTGAGGGTGTCATGAACTTGTGTATCTATCTCTATTCTATATCGTTTAACGAACCTGATCTACCTAGGCCATGGACTTGAAAATTGAATGAAAATGATTTTACTTTCTAAGATCGACCCTAGACATAGAATCTATATCGCGGGACAAAAAAGTGAAAGATGCGCACTGCCTACCTAGGTACGGTGCTCCCATCAAACCGACTTTAAGAAGAATGCTGAGAGCCTCTGCACAAGTGCATTTTCGTGTCGTTGGGATTGAAATCAAACTACTAATCAAGCAGTACATTAAGATCCAGAGTCATAGGCATATTCTGGGTAATTCCATAATGTACAGGAAAGTAAAGTAGCTGCTAAAGCTAAGGCCCCGTGGAATGAAACGAAAAGAAATATAAAGGAGAGGGCAGGGGATGGTAAAAAAAAAATGAGACTGCTGAAGATGAGACCTGGTATTAAGACAAGATGAATAAACCGAATGAAACCTAACCACATTTCAGAAGGACCTATCTGACGCCAAAGATCATTATTGACGGAAACTGTGGAAAAAAGGAGAGAAAAAAAAAAAAGAGAATGTTGGGTTTGGGTATGCAACGTGCAAGGTCATCGGATATGGAGAAAAGTATCATGCTAAGTAGTCCTGATTAAGGCGCTGAGTTTTGGGGGGGAAAGATCATTAATGTGTCAAGAGCGATGAAAGGTATGATGAAAGCTTTAGTCAATCACTTGTCCATCTTCTGCCACCCGTTGAGATATGCCATTAAGCCAACCCCAAGGAGAACAACGCCGAACATGGAAGCATAAGGGCTTGCCTCGTCAAGGAAGGGGCGTCGCTGCCACTGGGTAGTAGCGCGCACATCCAAGAGCCGACCTGATGAACCACCCATTTTATTATGCTCTGTTGCACCGTTTTCACCCAAATTATTTGTCATGTCATGGCCTTGAGATTTAGAAATGAGATCAGAGACCTTAGCGGAAGCCTGCTCCTCGCGTTGACGACGGAGGGTTGCAATCATTTCCGACAACGACTTCTGTGTCATGGCGTGCTCATCCTCAGCGGTCTCTGCACGCTTCTTGAATGATGCCAGTTCGGTTCTCATCGCTTCCATTTCTTCCATCATGTTTTCCAAGCGAAGCTGGATGTTGTTGGTATCTACTTCAGGGGAACTCTCTGAGCGGTCGATGTCAGAAGCAGTAGCCTCCAATGGCATGATGGAGCCATTGGGCTTTCCAGCACCCTCCAGGATAACATCTTCCTGCTTAGCCTCCAACTTATCTTTCAAGGCAGTCTCATCATCTTGGGATATTTCTACTTCACCAATCAAGGTGGAAGGGACCTCCATATTCTTGACTTTCTCCTCTGCAGATTCACGCGCAGTTCTCTCTAAGAGGAGTAGTTCCTCCAGTTCTTTAACACGAGCACCTTGGGTGTCAATTTCTCGTTTGGCGTTGGTCAATGCTTCGATCAATGAGAGTATTTGGCTCGATTCTCGCGAAACAGGAGAGTTCAAGGAAACTGATTTCGACTTGTCCGCTTCAATACGCTTCGAAGATGAGAAAGAGTCCGAGGCGCTCCGTGGATGAGCATCGGGTTTCTCTGGCAAAGGCTGCTGAGGAGGAGGAGCGGGTGGCTCCGAAAATCGGGAGAATGAGTCGACACGCGGCACCTTGGGGCGGCCATTCAATTGGCGAGAAAGGTTGTTTTCCAGGGGAGATGGTTTCATGGCTTTTTCCTTTTCAGCATATCCAGGCTTCATGATGGCTGTTAAGAATTCATCGGTCTGAGAGAGATCCTGGGATTGCTGTTTGGCTAGTTTTAATTCGCCCTAGATAGAGTGTTAGCAACCACTGCAAAGGCCAACATCGAATGAATCCATACTGTAAGTCTCTTGACGACTTGCTCGACAGAGAGAGGCGAATTCCAATAATTCATTTGTCTCTGTTGTTGCAAGGCACTGATTTGAGTACTAGCATTGCTTTGAATACTGCGGTTGCTCAAGTTACTGCTCGATCTTCCACGTTGATGAGAAAATTGTTGGGTGAGAGGAGATGGAAGAAGACCACCACCCGAAGCCGGGTCTAAGTCGCCAAAATTGAGATCAAGAATATTGGGAGTGTTTCCGATTGGGCCAGCATGCTCAACTTTAGCTGAGACCTTGTGGTGAACAATGGAGTTCTGATCCTCGGCAACGATATCGATTCCTAACTCAAGGGTATCATTTTCGCGTAATTCGTGCGGGTCTGACTCGCGGTTCTCAGGAGATAAACGATGGCCATTAACAAAGGTTCCGTTAGATGACTTCACATCGCGAATCCAAATTTTCCCACTCTTATCAGCCCAGATCTCAGCATGTTGTCGAGATAGGACTTTAGAATCGAAAAACCCATTGATGGGCGTGGGTTGTGTCTTGGCGTTAGTCTGGCGACCAATTCGGAGGACCTCTGGGACAAATGGCACATTGATCTGCTTCTTTTCAAATGTACCGTTCATGGGTACGAGAGCGAGAATAGCAGTGGGAGCATCAGACGACTGCCCGTTAGTCTGCCGAGTGCCATTCTGCTGGGAAGATTGAAGCATATGCTGCGACGGGACGATAGAAGGCTGGTGGATAGCGGACATTGTGGAAGCTGCACTTGATCCTGAAGTGAATGCAGGAACCGCTTGCAGCCGGGCGTTTGCCACTTCTGCTACTGGCTCGGACTTGGAGTTGGGCCAGGGGTTTCGCGGCTTCTTCTTGATCAGAGGACGTTTTTCAGGTTTCTGAGCAGCATGTGAGTCTTGTGGAGTGGTGGTTGCTGTAGAGGAGGTCGACCCTAGAGAGGATGATCGATAGTTTGGGGTTTTACGGGGTAAAAACCGGGTGATTTCGTCGGCAGCGTCTTGTGTTTCCTCCGCAGTATTGTACCATGCCAAGCGAGGCCCCGATTGCACACTAGGAGGAGAAGCCACGGCAGTCATGGAGAAGGTTAGAATCGATCAACAGAATGTGATGCGGTAGTTAAACCGATCTAGCGAACTTCTGAACAGGGTACTCGGGAGTGGAGAGAGGAGAAAGTAATGAGAATAGGAATGAAGTAAGTTTAACGTCGATCGTATAAGGTTATGAAGTGATTCTTTGTTGGGTGGGTTATTGGCTGGTTGACTAGATCAGAACGGTCGAGTTAGCGCTATCCGATCGATGTTCATTTAATGACCCCCAAGCTAATGTCTGGACTTGAAGGGGCTAAACTTCGAGAATATTGAAGCTTAAATAACAAACGTACCTGTTTGTTTTGATTTTAGTGGCTTTTTAGGGCGTGAGGCAGGGGAAGTCTAGAAGCAAGGAGAGAGGAGGTTGCCAAAAAGCAAATAGCGACCGTCTCACACCGAAAGCAATGGGCAAAACACGGAATACCGCCTTGCCAAAGGCTTAAGGCCAAACAGTGGATTAACGAGTAGAGATGTCAAAGATCGAGGATGGCCATATGGAAACAAACTTGTTCAAAGGGATTAAGGGTCAGTCGTCAGCGCACGGTTGAACATGTGCAGTCAGGTCACGTGACCATGGCAATAAGATCTGGTGGTCAAAAATGTCCGCCTCTTGTCATTCGATTGACTATAGCACATTTATGAGCTTTATCTTGCTGAAATTTTGGAGCTTTTCTTTGACAGCATATTTCTGAGGCTCTACTAAGCTCCATTATTCTTCCACAATGCCAGTTGTTGCCGGTCCTGCCCCGGGGGTCAGTCGACATTCGACAAGAGTACGTTCTGAATATGTCAATAACAGTCTTACTCCACATTTGATATAGTGTGGACCTGAGCCCGGAAAAGTGACAAGCTGACCTTCACCAGTGAAAATGGGTGCTCTGATGGGATCTAGTAAGCATCTACAGAATGATTTGGGCTCATACAGAACTCCTACTAATGCCTCGGTCTAGCTGTCGGTGGTATCATGGGCTTCATCGGTGGTGAGTAGCATGCAATATTGGATGGAAAATTTATATGAGTTGGATGAAGCTAACAGGTTGAAGGAACTGTCACCATCTTCCAGTACGGTGCCGGTCCTAACGGTGTCATGCGCACTTTGGGCAAGTACATGGTTGGTTCTGGCGCTACTTTCGGGTATGTTCTATCATCAACCCCCCGTCGCGCATTGAAATACGCAAGACCGACCTTCTAAACACTTCTGGTTCTTAGTCTTTTCATGTCCATTGGTAGTGTGATTCGCGCTGAAGGACCTCACAACGATGCTTGGCTCCGTGCTCGAGGACCCCCAATGATCCTACCCCGCCAAAAGCCCTTGCAGCAGATGCGCGAATAGATACCTTATCAACATCCGTGAAGGACGTCCAAGGGACATGCGATATGACCAACTTGGAGGATGCATTGTGTACGATACTAGCAGTATATTTCGATGGGCGTTTCGACAGATTGAGGAAGCTTAAGCTTGAAGCCGAAAAGGCGAATTTTTATTATTGTTGACAATATGCCTGCTGTTGTATGTACATTACGGATCTATGAACTCCGAATCATTGCAGGTAGCCATACAAATACTGTATTGCTTGATTTCTCAAAGGATCTATGTACGGAGAGGTACCTCTACGTATTTTCCATGACTTTCCTATAACAGGTGCCACCGCTCTAGTAAGGGCGCTCGGTCCTCAGTCTAAATATACAGGTAGTTACTCTAATACCAACTAACGTACTTGCAAGGTTCCTGCCCCCATAATATCATTATCAAAATCCGAAGGGACAAAAACGCAGAATTCCGAATGAAAGCCGGGCATTTGCAGTATGGAGAAGAAGAATATATCCGGGAAACTTATGTAAGGCTTTGAGCAAGCAAAAACAGCGAGTGAGTACTAATTCGGAAGGGGAACGCTACATAAGCAAGATATGTATTCAGCCCCGCACATGCATGAGTATTTTGATACACAGTCATGCCTCAGGAAAAGTGTACAAAAGTGTACAAAAGTCCCGAGATCTCAAAGTTGCTAGGTATTACTCAAGTGGACCTGATATTCCCTCGCATGCTAAGAGCAGCTGCCCGAGAGAAATAATGGCACATCGCTATAGACACTGAGCTAGCCTGGAGATAAATTGACATCATATCCGAGATTAGCTGTAACGTATGTAAGACCCAGTTAGGTAAATAAAGAGCTAAATGTCTAGTTATTTAGTCTGAATATTTAGTCAGCCCACATTGGCGATCTCATATCCCCAATTATGTCAATGCTTCAGCCAGAATAGGAAACAAGTGTGGTCTTTCACCATCCTATTTTTGCGGCATGGAGTAGGTATTAGTTACCCTGGTAACCTAGTGAGTTCAATTCTACTTGAAAGTAGCAGTGATCACAACTCTGGAGAGTTATTTTTTTCTTGTTCAGCCCGAAAATTCATCCCCATTGGGAGAATGAATTTAGATCAAGGACCCCATTAAGGCGACCAGTCTACTTCCTTCGGGGAGGATCCGTTCATTCCCTCGAACTCCTGATATTATTAGAGTCTATAACTAACTATTTTCGGAAGTGCTTCCATGCATTAAGGATGAGAGAACATTCCATGGATTATCAAGGTGGATCTCCTTCCATGGTCCCACTCGGCCTCACCATACCTAGAATGTACTCAGGATTAATTTCCCAGTTTCTAGGGTTCCAATTTTACAGTGGGAAAGGTGTCCACTCGTTAGGCTCTTCAGGCTTCAGCTGGGAAATGAGATGAACCTATTCCGCCGTTAGCCCTCGGCTAACATGGCCAATCCTAGTTTACCATCTCGGTGAGCATTCAGGCACACAAATACCCTAGAGGGATTGGCGCTCGTTCCTGCATGACGCCATTAAGTAACACACAGCCTTAACCTTTAGTGCTTCAGATCTCGTTTCCATTACAAGTGCTTAACATCTCCAGTTCCAAAGTTGGCCCTCAGGTCAGGGGGAATACTGGGAAACCTCTATCTCGAACAGCACACTTCTTTGTGTCTGATCTGTTCTTTCAAGATTGCCACGATTACCTGCACCGTAGCATATCCGACACTCTCCGTATGGGATGTCGTGTTTCGTCTCGGCGTTGGCGTTACAGAGTACAATTTTAGGGCTACGGTTGTGTGTTGGCTCCCATCCATTCGATATGGGCCCCCTCGAATCCTTCCATCCAATAAGATGTTAATGGATCTAGAAAAATTCACTTCAAAAATTGAAACAATACTCCACAGGCGTTCTAGAATATCAATGACTTTTTCCCCAGGTTCAGCCTTCGATGTGAGTATTTAGACTAGCCATATTCCTTCACTTTCTCTCACTTCAACTTCCACTTCCACATACCCACACTCCTTTAATACCCTACACTCCCTACACTCATCTTGAATTGAAAATTCAAATCACTATCCTTCATCAAACCTCATACAATCTTCAAATTCCGTGTGAACTCAAATCGACAAAATGCAGCTCACTACCTTTGCTACTATTCTCTGTCTGGCTGTGGCCGCTGTCGCAGAGACAACTACCTCAATTTCCACTGTCACTCTCACCAAAACTCTAGTGAGAGTCAATCGAGTCACTATGTCTGGCTCTACCTTTATTAGCACGTACACTAGTGTGCCGGCCTCAGTCACCCCAGCATCAACCTCGGCTACCTCAACTCCTCTTACTTCTGCGTCGTCCACATCGACATTTACCAATTCCGCAGCATCCGCCACCAAGACCGGCGGCGCAGTTAGTGTGGGCGCTGGCGTACCCGCAGCCATGGTTGCTGGATCTTTCGCACTAATTATGGGCTCTGTCCTGTAATCACAATCGCAACTGATCAAATATGGAGATCATCAACGCATATGCGGCTCTATCGCCAATACAGACAACCACCAAAGATGAATATGATCTGGTTGCGATCTACTGTTGCTGCTACTGCGTAGATGTTCTTCATTCCACTGTCTTTCTTCCGCAGAGCCGGAGCATCAATTCTTTTTTTTTTTTTTTTATACATATCCCTCACTTCTTCGACATTTTTTTCTTCTCATCTATCCTCTGGCTGGAGAACCCTTCTACCAGAGAAATGGCTTTACGGACTTCAAAATACCCCCTTTTACGAGACACGATTGAACTGTCTTCTTTTACACTCTTGTCTTATTCTTGTGTCCATATTTGAGTACAACTTCTGCAGGTTCCAGGAATGATCAATCGCATCTGGATTTGGTTCAGTTAGCATGAAACCACGACATGGAAAGCCTTCGAGTTGCTAAAGCCTGGACTCATATATTATACATTTAAATCAACACTTTTTTTTTTCCTAATACAAAAATGGATATAGACTCCCGAGTAACTTGTCACTGTTTATGATCCATAGAAGTGATAAACTTCCAAGGATAGATACAACAGTAAATAATATACCAAGCAACCTTGAAACCATGACGCCGATTAGAAAAGACCAAATGCCTAATGATAAGACCATCCAGGACACTTGCTACCTATCTACTACTGTACCTAGGTATACTACTATGTAGTGAACATCAGTGGATCTGTGGCCGTGCGCGCCACGAGATGGTCCGCTTCGGGCAGCCCGTTATTTGACCAGATCTTATCTTGATGAGATCAATCTTATTATCTAGATTTATGAGGTTAATTGATTTCATTTTTCCGTCTGAAGCTCGGGTAAGGTCACGGCTTTGTCGATAGTACGACTCCACAATACGCGTCGACTGCCCCTAACCATCCTCATCACTACTAGTCCACCAATCTCCCCTCCTGAATGCCCCTGAAAGAGCTGGGAGGATTCAAAGTGGCGTCTCGTCTGGTCCTGCGACCCCGTTGATCGCAATGGATAACGAGATTCCCCTCCCCCCTCCCCGGCGGGTCCGACACCGTTCCCCGGCGCGTGCTGCTGGGCACTCACCCGCAGGCTCGTTCGCGTCATCCTTCAAAACAAGTCGATTCTCGCGTTTCGACGACCGCTCTAGTCAGCCCTCTAGCGATCCGGCGCTGTTTTCAAGTGACGATATCCCTGCTTCGGGACTGGAGAACTATAACGCTTCTGGCGCCGGGCGCAAGCGACGATATCGAGGCACGTGGTGGGGAGAGCAGGTTGTTGATCCGAAGCGGAAAAGGGCCGATTTCAAGGATAAACGCCATGTTGATAGTGGTGTTTGGATGGGGAGCGATGAGTCTGGTGCCTCGCTGTTGCCTTCGGAGGATGCGTCAAACTGGGGCGAGGACCTCTTGAAATCTGTGCTTGACCCGAACGTGGCGGGCAAATTTCCTCTGCAAGGGACTTCTGCGTCTACTGCATCACCCGTGCCGCCTACTCCAGTTATGAAGGGTCTGCATGAGTCAGAGGAACATCGGTATGCTAGAGCTGTTGTGAATGAATGTCTCGAGAAGGGGAAGGAGAGCATCGATCTTGGGTGAGTTTGTATTCCTGCAAGAGTTGAAGATATGTACTAACTCCTTCCAAGAAACCTGAACCTGAACAGCATTCCATCTGGTCTACTCCAGCCCCTGCGACATTTCACCAAACTACCCTCTGTGCATGAGGCTCCGATATCTGATAATTTCTACACCTCGCTGCGACCTTTTCTCAGCATTTACCTTTCAGGGAACTCACTAACATCTCTTCATAACGAGCTCTTCGAGCTAGGTGACCTCAAGGTCCTCAGCGTACGAAATAACAAACTGAATGAGATTCCTGCCAACATTCGCAAATTGACAGGATTGGAGGTTCTCAATATCGCTGTCAATGATCTTTCTTTCCTCCCATATGAACTACTGGGTCTTCTCCATGCAGAATTGAAACATTTCACCGCGTACCCAAATCCATTTCCTTCGATCGAGGAGGCTCAGATTGCCCAATGGCATCGGAATCCTACGAAGAAAGAGGGCGAGGAGACACCCTTACATGATCTTCTCTACTTCGATGAATACGACGGAGAGCCTCCAGTCGATGCAGGAGCGGCAATCCACGTAGCAACAGGACCAACAGTCAAATTAGACGTGGAAGGCAGGAAAATGGAAGATAATCTTAGGTCACCTTCAACTATCATGGCTTCTAACGACTACCTCTCAAACGCCCCATCACTGCGCGAGCTCTCCCTCCGAGCCGTGTGCAAACTCCCAGATATTGAGCACGTCACAGACGAAGAACTGGCTGTCTTCCCCAAACCTGTGGCCACCTTGCTGCGCCAAGCGAAGAAGGTTCGCGCGGCTGGTGGTCAGCACTGCTCAGTTTGCCAGCAGGAGTATGTGATTCCTCGCGCAGAATGGCTGGAGTGGTGGGACTGTGCTCCTCATGAAAATGGGATGAGACCAAGAGTCTCTGGGGAAAAGCTTCGTCCTTTGCCTTTTAGACGGTTTTGTTGTAGCTGGGCTTGTGCGCCTGGCTCTTCGTGAACTTATTTGTAATGAGTTTATTCATGGTTGGTGTATATTCTAGACTGTATCTGTATTCGGGTGTTTACTCGCTGCTATGATGGAAATATCATTATTTATGGCTGTCGGTGGTGTATATCAAATGGCCGGGGAACAGTTGACTGTCGCCGTTTTTTATGAACCTTGGAAGTCTTCTACCTATTTACTCCGCATCGGAGTTCTTATACTCCTGGCGTTCCTTTTCTGTATTAGTGCACACATTTCGGCAGATTTCATATTCTGAATTCATTCACCTAGAAAAACGATATGTACTACATGATTTAATTTAAGAGGGTTCGAAGTCATGTCATAAATCTATTGAATATATAGACCTAGAGCATGGCCTATGTACCTGTACATATAAGCTTTCTCGCTCAGTGACGTTCACACAGGTATCTTGGGTTGGTGGATCGCCATCGGTAATATGGATTATGAGATCCTTGGCCAGTCAAGAGTGTGAGCATGCTGATGAAAACAAAAGATCATTGACTTGCATGTCTCGACCTGTCGCTAGGTAAGTCCTTAGGACTGTAGCTCACTAGAGCGTTGTAGTCTCAGTCAACTTCATTTGGTGACAATCAGCCTGATACTAGTCACAGTAGAAATGACCGAGGGAAAATCCAGACGTCTGAGTGCACGCTCAAAGCATCTTCGTAAAGCGTTCTGGAATAATCGGGCATGGTACCTTGTACCGACAAAAGTAATGTGAACACAGTCGCATGCGACACGCTCACTTGAGGCTAACGGCTACCTCAACAGTCCTAATCCATCGAGTTCTGGTCTCAGGGATCTCAATATCATCAGGCACACTATCCTCTATCTTGCGCTTCAAATGACCATCAGCAGAAGGCACTGCATGAGCAGAAGGTACTGATTCCCCATCTTTCCCAGAAGTCTCTTTCAACTTCTGTTCCTCCTTGCGCAGCTTCTTCTGCACCACCCGTTCCTTCTTCTCGGAGACCACATGAAGATCATCAACAACAATTTCACGCCCAGCCGTGACCCGCACGATATACTCAGTGCTCTTCTCCTCAAACCATTTGCCAAGATTAAGCGCCTTCTCAATCGCGCCCCCGCTGGCCTTCACAAATATCTCTTCCCGCTTCTCAGCAACCTTAGCCAGCTCAGCCAATTTCTGCGCCTCGGTTGTTCGCGTATCTTCGAGGTTGACTCCGGACGTAGCGCGCTTCTCTGCTTCGCTGAGTAGTTTCTTGACTCGTTTCACCGCGCTCATGAATGGTGTGCGCGATGAGATGTAGACAATTTTGGGTACATCTGCTCCGGCATAGGGGGAGGCTACGGGTGCGTGGGGAATTGGTCGCGTTTCAACGCTGACATCTGTCGTTCCTGTGTTAGTTTGTAGTGGTTATCAGCGGCTGTTGCTGTGAATTGCATACATGCTGGGACTTTTGTGAGGTCCTTGTTGTCCTTGGTGAACTTGAGTTTTTTCTCTAGTGGTCCCCGGCCCATTTTGAGAATTTAGGATGTTTCTGTTTTTGTTGGAAGCTGTTGTTTAAATGCTGTAGAGTTCAATCGCATCGTCTCTTTTTCTGCCGGCGGTGAAATCATTACTATTTTGTAGAGCCTGACAAACCAGGTGGCACATATATCTAAACAAATAAAAATCATAAAATCTTCAACTCATTACTTCCTTCAAGGTCTCCCACCTACTAAATTGAAAATAAAAATCTAGACAGTTGGATATTTACCTAGATACCTAACTAGGCCAGAGGTCACATGCCCCCGATGCATAATCTTCAAGGGCTAGGCTTCAGTCGGGCTGACTTCGGGCTGACTTCGGGCGTGAACCCATGGACCTGGATGCACCCCCTTCCAAGGTTCCTAAGATGTATACTTTTTTTTCTCTCCAGAGGCGAGAAGATCATCATCACGACCTCGGGGACGAATGAATCCCTAATCAAAATAACCATGGATAGAGGAAGTTTCCCGGAGATTAACCGTTGAACTATAGAAACCTTAGTAAGTCCAGTGGAATCTGGGGAGATTAAGGTTGGAAGGGCAAATATCTATTGGATTCTGGCTTAAATTTCAGCCCTGTAGGATTATGAGAGAGCGATTTCTGGTTCTGGACGCAGGATCTTGACCAGGTGGCACCGGCCCACAGCACACACACACACACACACACACACACACACACACGCACACACCAGGCTGTTCAATATTCCCGCTCGATACTCCATAGTGGCATATAGTTAAATCACTCATACTGATGCTAGCCAAGACGGACACCACTTTCTTTGTACGGCAGATATCCGATCAATAGACTATCGGGAGGCGACACGATATTTTGATCTTGATCGAGGCGACCTTCCGCGGCTACCATTTCACCGCTTAATGTTAGAAAGAACTATTGTTAGTCAATTGCAGCTAGCCGCCGATTTCATCCTAGGACTATACGACAAATAGGTGCTTGGTAGTTGGTGCTAGATGCAGCTCCAACTGCCCAGGTGCATACGGAGTACGGCGGAGTACCGTCGTCTAGTTCTAGGCCATTTCTTTGAAATCGTCATCCTACTGACTGCCTTGGAACTTGTTCAACCGATGTGATTCCTGGAATAGCTACGACGGCTTCCTTTGTCGGCTTCTCTGTTTCTATTTCAGAGGTAAGTAACAGCGGTCGACTGAGCCGTCCAGCAACGAAAGTAGTAACTTAAAGCCGAAGCGGGAATTGTCATCCACATACAGGTCCAAGCTTGCTTTGTTTTGTTTTCTAAAAAAAGGGTTTCAACCATTATTATCACATCTCTTATGACGCTCTCCGACGCGGACTTCTTGCGATTTGAGGTGATGACGTTCGAACCATGAAACAAGGGGACACGGAATATGATACCAAATAGGGGGAGAGCCTCAGATTCAGAATCCCGATCTTTGTACTCGGTACTTTCTATCTCTGTCTTTATCTATGATGGAAAAGATGGAAAAGATAGTTAGGTTTCTAGATCGAATGCATCTAATGGAAGACTGCCCCGAAGATCCGACTAGTTCAAAGTGGATGGAGGCAAAAGTACAGTACAAGCTGAACTGCCGAGTACCTAGTTCAGGTCTCTGCACGCATGCAATTACCCGAACCGCGCATGAGGGAATCCATGGATTCTCGATCTCTGGAAATTAAAGTAGGGTCCGATACACTTATGGTTTGAGGAGGGGGGGGATGAAAACAAGGGGATCAAAGCTGCGAACCTCCAACATCCGGGCAAAAGTACGGGCATTAAAATATATTGACCCACCGGTACTTTGGCACTTTTTAAGTATACGTACTCTATGACGGAGTAATACGGATAGGAGAGATATAGATGTTTTCGCCCCATACTGGATCCAAAGTACCTAATCTACCCCTTCACCATGGCTATAGATCCTGGGACCTTCCAGTAATCAGGTACAGATTAATCTACCCGAAAGTTTGGAATCACTTCCAGAGCTCCGGCTCAGGGGAAATGATTGTCATGATCGTCACCTAGTCATCTCCGTAACCCGTAACCCGTAACCCGTATCCTGTTGATGTATCTAGTCCAAGAGTCTGGACTCAGCCCCACCATTTGCCCAGGTGGTCTAGTACTGCGTACGTGGTACAGCACGGTATACCACGAAGTGGCACTATCTCGATCTCGCTGCCACCTATCAACTTTCGCCTACCATTATTCTGGGACAGTTTCTGATTCATTGTGCGAATTGATTTCTTTAAAAAGTGGAGTCAAAATCACATAGTAGGAAGTAGGCAGTATGCAGTATGCAGTATACAACTGGGCAGTGCAATAGGTTGAATACAGGTCATTCTATGCAAAGTGACGAATACGGAGTACATCAGGTCAGGTTCTAATGACAAATCCAACATGCATGGTATACATCAAATTCTCCTCTCAATTCGGGGAATCGGAAATAATTCGGTGGACTGGTCTATAAGTTTAGTCCTCAAACATAGAAGAAGGCTCTGATTCTGGTTTGTTTTGATCTGAAGCGGTGATGAAACATCTCGACTTTTTTGGATCTAGCCTCCTCGTGGGTCTTTGACACATCGAGAACCATGGACCCCATTCGCTTGTTTATTTAGTCGAACATGTTCACAGTGTAAGGTACTCCGGTAATACAGGTCATACGTTTCAAATGGAATTATAATGGTTGCTCCAATAGGGCTCGAGGCCTCGCCTCCGAATCCCCACACACAATGACTCAGTCCAGACGATGTTTGAGATGCTGAAGTTGAATTCACTCCTCCGTAGAGTAGTTTCTACAGTTCGTCGAGTATCTAATGTCGAAAGTATTGATATAGATAGGATATTAGAAAATAGATAGGGGGTTAAACTAGTATACTAGTGTAGTCCGATAATGCGGCGATACGATAAAATACGGGAGAGATACGGGACCAGCTACCGTGTATTGTGTATTGGTAATATTACCTCCCGAAGCCCCGGGCCTGGACTGAAGATGGACGAGTGGGTAATAGCGGAATTCCAACGTCTCTTTCCACATCCACTTTCTTTTCGACCCGGTTGGATGAAATGGAGTGGAGGGAAGTATGACAAGAAAAATAAAAATAATTTCCACTTATTACCCAGAGCCATCTTTATAATTGCTATTTCTTCCCTCTTCCTCCTCTTTCCTTTTTCCTCCAACCTCATTCATTCCTTCAAACAATTTCCTTTCTTTCGAGAGCAAGTCTCCGATCTTGAGCTTCGTCGCCAATACTCATTTGTTCGAAAGTTTGAAGAAGCACTTCTCAAACCTCAACCTAACCTTCCCCCTTCACCCCCACATTCACTCAAAGCATTAAGTGTGTGAATTTGTCTCGCATCTGAACCCTGAACCCTTTTGATCCATTCCATTGGTTTTTGGTCTCGCCTTCCCTTACTCCATCGCGTTCTTCCCCACCTTTTCGACGCGTTTTACAGTCCATCCTCAGACCTTGGAGAGATAAGTTTGATCCTTTTTAATCCACGTCGTGATCCCACTGTATTTCGACGAGATTATCTTTGGTATCAACTTTACAATGTCTCCCAAGACTCAAGACATGGTGAACCCCACCCCTGCTGGCGCGTGTCTGACATGGATCTTTGATCATTGCATGCGCTACCCCGGCTCATACGAGATCCCTCTCCGTACTATGTACGATATCAACTGTAACTCAGTAAAGACTGCCAACCGTGGCCCCGAGACCGCTTTCTCCGGACGCAGCTCCGGACGCAGCTCCGCTCGCAACTCCACAAACTCGGCTTCTACCAAATCTCCTCGTTCATCGGCTGGTGAAGACACTATCGACGCCGCTGCCGACTTTCGTTCGCATATGACTTATCAGATTTCTCGTCTGCCCTCGCAACCTTGCTCGCTACCTCCCACCTTCCTGACATCGTTCTTGCGTCGCTGCTTCACCCTCGAGCTGGAGTCTGTTGATTTCCCTCAGGCGCTGACTGCTTTGGACTACTTGAATGATCTGGAGTGTCGCTGGAAGAAAGAGATTTGCTCCGCCATGGAGCGACTGAAGGTCACGCGCGAGGATGCCGCCAACCCTGGCAAGTCAGAGCTTGCTACCGAGTTCCCTGGAGTCATGCTCTGGGTGGAGTCCATGGGTCAGAAGGCTCGCCGTCTTGAGGCATTTTACACGCAGATTTACATTGGCTTGCGTCGTTGGGTACGGGATCTTTTGTATATACACAATTGTGTACAACTCGCTAACATCATTCGATAGACTCTTATTAACGATATGCTTCTTGAGCCCCGTACCAAGGCCAACAACATTGTCATGCTCAATGTCCTCTTCCCTCCCATGTCGTCCGCTTCGGTCACTCCCACTCCTCAATTGACTCACCAGATCCTTCAGTCTCAGCGCGACGGTTTCTGGCAGTATATTGATGTGGTCGACACCCACGGTGGTGATAGACTGGACCCAGTCATCTCTCAGGGTGCTCCCGAAGGCCACGCCACCTCCTGGCCTCTGGTGCACGAAGCACTCGATAAGTACCTCGTTTTGGTTAACGAGGTTATTGACGAGTGCATCTTGATTAACGAGCCCTCCGTGCTTGTTAACAAGCGTGTCTCGATCCACCGGACTCTCCGCGGCAAGAAGGCCGACTCTGGCATTAGCTTCATTCCTCCCCAGATGCAAATTTCTGAGACCATTCCCGAGGAGATTGAGGAGAAGCCTCTTCCTTTCTTTCCTGTACTCAAGAAATCTCACTCGCCTCTGGAGCGTCTGGCTAATGAGCTTCAGCGCCTGCGCAAAAAGTCTAAGGGCATGAAGATAGTTCGCTCGTCGACTTCGATGTCTTCTCGCCCTGCGAGCCAGCAGAGCTATGCTGAGAGCTCTTTCTTTGAGATTGATGAGCAGAAGCGTCGTCGTCTCATTGGTGAGGCCACGACTCGCAAGAACGTGCAGTCTTCTTAGTTCATTACCGACTAAGCGTACTGAGCGGATACTTTGTATTATTGTCGAGTCTGGACTGGACAACATCTACTTTCTATTGCCTCGTCTTCTGCTTACATTGATGACAAGCCCCCATCCAACTAGGGATTCGTTCTTTCTTTTTTCCTTTTGCTTTTTTTGTTTTTGTTTTTTGGAATTCTTATTTTTCTGGAGCGCACGTTTGGAAGGACAGGAAAAGCATACGCGGCGCAGTTTGTGGCTTCTAACGACTTGATGAATGACGACCCCAAAACAGCTTTGAGTTGCTGAACTTAGCTTGAATTTAGCTACACATCAAAATTTTATTTCTTAACAACATTACATATATTAGTGAATTTTGTGCTAGTAAACTAAGAAGTAAGAGTAGTAATCAAGAGAGTAAGCACAGATGCCGCTCTCCATATCAGCAAGCTGCGATAAGATAACGTCAACCATCCAAGGTGTCCATATTGACTTATCTAGTTTGAAAAACCACTGGCTTTTTGAGCCCCAATGCTTGTATTTGCAATCAGTCTTCAATTGCAGAGAAGACACTCTGGCCTCTAATTATAGGAACCTTATGAGCTGACGGGGCCGTCCCCTCTCACATATACCTTTAACACTATTCGTTGCGACAGGATGAGAGTCTCATCACGTTCGCACCCCTCCTGGGGCTGGTGCACCGCTATCGGAGCTCTACTGCCAGGTCTACTAGTGCAAGCCAGTTCAGCAGTCAATGTGGCCCTCCAGGCTTCGTTCGACTCGTCTCCATATCTCGTGGAACTGCTGTACGTTACCAACCAGGCCGACAGCTGACAGCTGACATGAACGAAATGAACACAATTAACGCTTATTCTTGGAACCTAGAGAATCCGCCGCTGAAGAGAACGCTACCTCCTATTTTCCACTGCTCGACCGAATCGCCAGCGGCGCCTTTGAAGATGCTGCAACGGAGAAAGAGCTGTACGACCGCTTCTTGCAGGTCGTTCACGAGGATGAGCACCTTCGTACCCCTGAGAGTATCTCATCTTTTAAGCTTGCGCTTGCGGTTCGATCGTCTGCGCCTCGCATTCAGGCACATTATCAGTTTTATAATACCTCAGTCCAGCAGTCGTTGATGGGTGCTCAAGATGCGGCTTGTCCTGTTTGGGTTCATTCTGAGGGAAAGCAGTTCTGCTCATCGGAAATGGAGCGGGCTCAACAGGATGTTGAAGGGGAATTGTAGGTTACTGGTTATTTGACTTCGCATACTCGAAAATGGGATTCAATTGCTGACTTTAGGCGGTTTACTTGTCGCAGAGATCCTAGGGAATTGCCATTTGACCGAGTTCTCGGAGTTTCGTCGCTTCCACCGGCTGTACTTTATGCGGATATCTCTTCGCCGATGTTCAAGGACTTCCATGAAACATTGAGCGAACTGGCAAAACAAGGGCAGATTTCATACCGTGTGCGCTACCGTCCTCCACAGCATTGGGTCTCTCGCCCGTTGTTTGTGTCTGGATACGGTGTTGAACTTGCCCTGAAGCGTACCGATTATATCGTCATTGATGACCGGGACGCTGAGAAAAACACAAACCCGTCCATCGGCACCGAAGAGTTAAAGGAGGATGCGCCGGATGACTTGCGTCCCCTGTCTTCTTCCGAAGTCTCCAGGCTAGGCTGGAACTCTGTGGCTTATGTGATGGACAGCGAAGATCCCTTAGCCACTTTGATCAAGCTGGCTGAGAGCTTTCCAAAGTATTCGTCTACAATCGCTGCCCACAGTGCCTCAGTCGCGCTGAAGAAGCAAATTCGAGCCAATAGAGGGCGAATGATCCCGCCTGGCCATAACGGTATCTGGATCAACGGTGTTCAGCTTGATCCAAGACAGATCGATCCCTTCTCCCTCCTGGAAATTCTTCGTCGGGAGAGAAAGTTGATTGACAAGTTCCGTGGCCTGGGCCTCTCTGCCACCGATGTAGTGAAGCTTCTTTCGCACCCACTGCTGGCGCAGTCGCAATCAAATGAAGACCCTCAAAGATATGACTACCGTGATGAGATTGAAGGTGGAAATATCATCATCTGGATGAATAATCTCGAAGAGGACGATCAGTACTCCCGATGGCCGAGCGACATCCAATCGGTAGGAGCTTCTGTTCAAATGCAATTATTGTGATGCGCTAATCTTCTTCATAGATTCTCACTACTTCCTACCCAGGCTCTTTGCCACAGGTAGCCCGTGACTTTCAAAATGTTGTTGTGCCGGTTGATCTATCCAATCCTGAAGATATCCTCTTGATTGCCAGACAAGTCCATATGTTCATCCAGCGCAGTATCCCCGTGAGATTTGGCTTTGTCCCAAGTGCTTTGACTCCAGAGTCTACTGCCCAGTTGAAAGTGGCGCATTACCTTTGGGAGACCTACGGGATTGATGCTGTCATCATATACTTGCAGGAGGTGAGTGGATATATGCTGTCTGGCCTGATAAACGGATGAGACTTGCTAACCACTGATCCATGATAGGTTTCCAAGAAAGAAACGTCAGGCAAACCGGATAAACAGGCCTTCGCAACTGCAACGAAAAAGCAGACTCCCATTGATGAAAAGGAAACTCTGTCCATGGACCAGGTGCTGAAAAGCGAGTATTACAAGGACATCGCATCCCGAACAGCTGCTTACCAAAGCCGTCTCGACCTGTCTGATAAACCATCTACACTTTTAATTAACGGAATCCCTATGTCTCGGAATGGCAACTGGATGCAGGATATGAGTTTCGTGGTTGGCCGAGATGTCAAAATGGTCCAGCAGGCTATTGCAGAGGACATCTTTGAAGAAGATGCTTGGTTGCCAGACTTTTTCCTAGCATCGGCATTTGAAAGACGCAATACCTTCATCATGCCCGAAGACCCCAAAAATGTCCGCATCGTGGATCTTGTGGATATATTGGGATCGGAAGCTGGAGTGTTGGCTAGCGTCCCAATGATTAGATCTGAAAAGGGCGCATCGGACAGCGTCCTTGTTATTGTTGTGGGAAACTTTGAATCTGAGGAGGGACTCAGGCTACTGACTAACGCCCTCAAGTTCCGAAAGGAGCACGAAGAGGTTGAAATTCTCATGCTGCATAATGCTGCACAAGATGAAGAGAGCAGCTTGAATCTTGGTAAGCTACAGCACTCGCTTTCCAAGGGTGAGAGCATTGAGGAGATTCTGACCACCCTTGAGTCATCGGAAGACTTGAACGTCGAAGATTCTAAGTCGAAAAGTCAAGACATCATTGCCATCCACCGACGTCTGGCTGAGAAACTTGGCTTTGAGGCTGGGGTGGAAGGCGTGATTGTCAATGGAAGAGCTCTTGGTCCCATCGGAAAGAAGCATACTTTGAGCGTGAGTGAGCTGAACCAACTCATCACTTATGAGTGGACTCAACGTATAGCACCTGCCGCGAAGGCCGCCGAAGGACTTGGACTGGATACAAAGCTCACAAAGCCTCTTGATCTCGTCAAACTTACCTCCCTCGTCGCTCTCTCCTCGGTCTCGGATGTGCCCGATGGGGTTTTCGAAAACACGCCTGATCATAGAATAGATTTGTCCGAGAACTGGGAGACGGATCGCTCTGTGATCACAGTCTCTAACTCCGACGATCCTACTATCCACATCGTTACCATCCTGGACCCTGCATCTGAGAATGCTCAGGAATGGCTGCCAATTCTCAAGGTTCTTTCTGAGCTGGCTAGCGTTCAACTGAAGATTTTCCTGAACCCGAAAGACGAGATCAAGGAACTCCCCGTCAAGCGATTTTACCGATATGTTCTAGGCTCTGAGCCCTCCTTCACCAGTGAAGGATCTATCTCCCGCCCTCAAGCTTCTTTCACCGGTCTGCCAATCGAGGCACTGCTCACACTGAGCATGGATGTACCACCTTCGTGGCTTGTGGCACCCAAAGACTCCATCCATGATTTGGACAACATCAAGCTGAGCTCGCTCAAGCCTGGCACCACTGTTGATGCTATTTATGCCTTGGAGCACATTCTGATTGAAGGACATTCCCGTGATGCCACTACCAAGGTACCACCGCGAGGTGTGCAGCTTATTCTGGGCACAGAGGCGAACCCTCACTTTACCGACACCATCATCATGGCCAACCTGGGCTACTTCCAGTTCAAGGCACAGCCAGGCCTATGGCAAATAAACCTTAAACCAGGACGTAGCGAAAAGCTCTTCCACATCGACAGTGTCGGCGGTCTTGGCCATCGCCCTCAGCCCGGCGACGAGAGCAATGAAGTCACTTTAATGTCTTTCCAAGGCCGAACCCTCTTCCCCCGTCTCTCCCGCAAACCTGGCTACGAAGAAGATGACGTGCTAGAAACGGGCCATTCGACCATGGACTTCGTCTCCAAGGGCTTCAACTTCGCATCAGGAGTCCTCTCCAGCGTCGGCGTAGGCTCCAAAAGCGAAAAACACGCTGATATCAACATCTTCTCCGTGGCAAGTGGCCACCTCTACGAGCGCATGCTAAACATAATGATGGTCTCCGTGATGCGCCACACAAAGCACACCGTCAAATTCTGGTTCATAGAGCAATTCCTCTCTCCCTCCTTCCGCGCCTTCCTCCCGCACCTCGCCCAAGAATACGGCTTCGCCTACGAAATGGTAACCTACAAATGGCCACACTGGCTCCGCGGTCAACGCGAGAAACAGCGTGAAATTTGGGGTTACAAGATACTTTTCCTAGATGTGCTTTTCCCGCTCTCGCTCGACAAAGTTATCTTTGTTGACGCAGACCAAATCGTCAGAACGGACATGTACGACCTCGTAACCCACGACCTAGAAGATGCCCCATACGGCTTCACGCCCATGGGCGACTCACGCACAGAAATGGAAGGCTTCCGCTTCTGGAAACAGGGCTACTGGAGCAACTTTCTCCGCGGAAAACCCTATCACATCTCCGCGCTTTACGTCGTCGACCTCAAGCGCTTCCGCGCCCTCGCGGCTGGAGATAGGTTGCGCGGTCAGTACCAGATGCTTTCTGCTGATCCGAACTCTCTGAGTAATCTGGATCAGGACCTGCCTAATCATATGCAGCATCACATTCCTATTCATAGTCTGCCGCAGGAGTGGTTGTGGTGCGAAACGTGGTGTGCTGATGCAGATCTGGAGTCTGCGAAGACGATTGATCTTTGTAATAATCCGCTTACGAAGGAACCTAAGCTTGCTAGGGCTCGGAGACAGGTTCCTGAGTGGACGGTTTATGATGATGAGATTGCGACCTTGGCATTGAAGCTTGCTGGTGAGGATGAGAATGTTGGGTTTGTGCAAAGTGGTGATGATGTGCCTATTGTTGAGGCTGAGATTGAGAATGGAGACCAAGATGAAGATCAGGATCGTAAAGATGAGTTATAGATGGCCAAGACTATGGTATTTTTACTGTAGAAGATAGAAGCTTGGAACTTGTTCGTACAACCAGTGTACTTGTCATACTCCTTTTAAATTTTCATAGGCTAGGTAGATATAACTCACTCAATACTTTGGCTCATGTTAAGGTGCTTTTTGACTCTCATATCTCAATCGCTGCATTCAAGCTTTGGCGCTCTCGTCGACTTTCCCTCCGCTCAGCCCTCAATCGCTTCCTCTCCTTCTTGGCCTCTTTCCTCGCAACTTTATCATCGATGCTGGTGGGAGGGGGTGAAGCAGGTTCGGTCTTCACGAATTGCTCTTGTTCTAGTTCTTTTTCTTGTAGTTCCTTTTCATGTTGTTCTTTTTCCTGTCGACGACTTTCCCTTCTCTCAGCTCTCATTCGCTTCCTCTCCTTTTTGGCTTCCTTTCTAGCAGTTTCTTGTTCTGGATTGGAAGGAGGCAAGGGTGGAAGTTCATCCTCTGAAGGCTGCTCTTCTACAGGCTCTTCTTCCATAGCTTGCTCCCTTTTGTGACTGAAGAGACGCTTCTTTTCTTTGTTTCTCTGGTCACGCTTTTGATTATTCTTTGGAGTGACGGGATCCTCAGCCTCGGATTTTGCTTCGGCTTCCACTACTGGCTCTTCGTCCATTTCCATCTTTACAGGTGGAGTAGTGTTGTCGGGGGTTGGAGATGCCTCTGGAGATGCCTCTGGCGATGATTGAGGTGGTTGCATGATATCGATATCGGTAAGTTCGGTAGTGTCAATTGCGTCGTGGAATTCATCATCGCTAGAGTCCTGTACTACACTATTGCTTCGTGTTGCCGGTGTCTGAGACCCTCGTTTTCGATCGACAGTAGCAGGATCGTACACAGCGTCAGGATCACCGTTCATACGCCTCCTTCGCACAATCGCCAAGATCTTGCGCCACTTGTCGGCAGTTTGCTGACGGGACCGGGTATTTTTCATTTTGTTACTGATATTACCCCAGTTTATATCAGATAACCTCATTTCGTACACGTCTTTGCCAACATCGATGCCCAGCATCTTGTTCGTTTTCCAGACATCTTCCACAAGATTCATCAATGTACGAGCCTCCTTTTCGGTCCAGAATCCCCGCTTCTGAACATGACGATGTTGTAGTCGGTTCTTCCATCGCTGGACAACGTCGTCTTCGCTGCGGCCAATAAGTCTGGCAATATATGCGAACCTGGACCCAAATTTTTGATACAGAGCTATGAGCTCTTCCTCCTGCTCCTTTGACCACTCATGGGCCTTTTGTAATGAACCCTGGAAGTGTCTTCGCGCGAATCGTGAAAGGGAGCGGGTGTCGCGACGAGGGAGGACTTCATGAATGCGAGCCCAGAACTGCTGCTTCTTACCGAGATCGCTGGCGCACTCGAATCCTGGCCATCCACTACCATTGGGTGTAGAGTGTTGAATCGCGTCATCGAACATTGATGGGCTGAGGCCATGCTCGTTACAGAATGCTACTTTGAAGGCTTCTAGCCTTTGAACTTCTTCTGCGCCAAAGAATCCAATTGTGTTATTATTTTTTTCGCTCTGTCGGGATTTTCTGGGTTTTCGAGGTCTTCCTCTGCTGTCTAAGGCAAGGTCGTTGGTGTCTTCGGTAGTAGGTTGAGCGGAATTTTCTTCAGTCTCTTCAGTGTCTTCCGGAGTAGGTAGCCTGGAGTTAGAGGTTTGAATCTCCGCATCGTCTTGCGTGGATTTGTGAGATTTGAGAGATTTCCGGGCCTTCTTGGGAGCTGAATCTGACTCAGTGTCATCATCCTGCTTTCGCTTAGAATGACGCATTGTTTCTTCCTCTTGATGATTTTCAATATCTAAATCTTGAGAAGATTCATCTGCATTGGACTTGTGGGGCTTTCTTTTCGACTTTTTCTTTTCACTGGTAGTGGGCTGCATGTTCGAGGATCCGACAACTGATTGACGATTAGATTTTTGTAATATAGACTGACAAGCACTTTCACAGATTTTAAAAACTACCTTCACTTTCGATATCACCCCCTCTAACTGACTGGGCAGAAGATCGACGCGCCATTTTGATGTTACGTATAAAAGCGAACGGCGCGAAGATAATAAAATTTGATGGCGGCAGAATTCTCACCGTTGATTTCACCGTTGATTTCACCGTCTTGCCTGGCTTTCCAGGCTCTCTATTATCATGAATTCAGAAAATGACGACCAGTTTAATTTTGAATTTCTATAAAATAGAACCAAGCATAAGATTAATGTTCTGCATCAGTGAAATCGCGCCAAAACATTCACTAAGGATAATATTCTTTGGAATGTTTCACCCATACCATAAGTAAACATCATCGGGTTACATGCTTAAAGCATGAGTGTACCCAACCTGGAGGAGGGTTTGCTCGGTTATCATCAATCTGGGCGTGCTTAATCGTTGATTGGCCCTTTGCGGCCCAATTTGTGTCGCATAATTGTCCCGAAGTGACAGGAAAGCAGGTTTCTTCGATATCAGGGACTTAGTTACCTATGCCCACCTGACATTAGATTTGGTGAAATCATGAGTCCAACTTTAGCTCCCGCAGAACCTTAGACACCAGCTTCTTCTGATCCACTGTGTTCAGATTATTTTCATCAGTGCCCTGTAAGCATCGCCCGATAGCGATTGAGGCTAAAGTGGAACTCTCAGCAGCGTTTGCGCAATCCACCCAGACTTTCCCATTGCGCCCAACGGCGATCTCAAAGCCACCAATGCTCTCAAGCTTCTTGCCTAGTTCAGCAAGAATAACAAGTCCCTCAACAGCGTCATTTTGGTCAGAGGAAGAAGAGCTAGCCTGAAGTAACCGGGCCGCCATACCGGTGGAGATATCAAACACCATTCCGCCTTGAAGAGGGCCAAGACCTCCAGGCTCTGCTTTGCCCGTAGCTGGGTTGACACAAGTAAGCTCAACTTCCGCACCTGCACCAAGACCCATAGATAATACTCGGGCATAGACCAAGTCTCCACCTTTCAACATCGGTCTTGTTTTTTTTGTGGCACCTTCAAACGACAATTGACCCAGAGCTACATGTGGTGTGTTTGGTGTGATTATGCAGTAGAATACATCGACGCCGGAATGGTGAATCTGAGCAATGACGAGGTCGTTGGTTGTAGGGATGTATCGGCGGTTGGGGAAGGAAAGAATAGAAACTTGGTTCCGTCTGGCATCAGTCGTCAAAATACCAGCCTGAGTTGCTGCTACAATTTGCTGGGGCTTTGTGGATTTGGCAGAAGGCTGCGATAGTAGACGGAGACCAGGGCCAATCTTTAGAGGGTTGGTGTTGGTACGAGGAAGCTGATCTTTGGGTATCTCATCTCCAGGGAGAAGGATGAGAGGGGCTGACATGATTTGCCTTGGTGTTGTTGAGGCTTTGAAGGGGCAAGTCCAGGTAATCAGAGACTTAAATCACCACGCGGACTAAATTGTGGGTGAAATAGAGTCGACGACGCAGCAATCGCATTTTGTCGCAAAGAAAACCTGAGGTGGCTGATCTCTTATCACCACGTGATCTGACCAGTCAACGCGCAATGTTTGGTGTTGGTCTGAATGAAATTGGAATACATTCTAGAATGATGTATGCAAGTTGATTGCAGACTCTTAAATATTGATTAATATTATATCTTTGCTAATTCAATTTATATGATATGTTAGGGGGGAGATTATCCGGCCTATACTTCTAGCGCCACATTGGTATCGATAAGCACCAGCCACTAAGGTTTCCTGAAAATCTTCAAATTTTTCGATTTGATTTCCCCTCCATCGACGTCCTGCCCACTTCATCGGTCACTTCCCCTCCATTTATTCTTTCACGCATTTAGACGTGAAAAACATATTATATCTGTGATTTAGGACTTTACCCTCTTCACACTCGATCAAAATGGGTGACGCGACCAACACCGAGGCGGAGCGCTTCGCTATCGGTATCTCCTTTGGTAACACCTCCAGCTCAATTGCTCGTATTTCGCCTGTACGTTGAAATCACTTTATCAAGAATGAATAATAGGGGCTAACACTATCGACAGGAGGGCAAGGTTGAGGTTATCGCCAACGAGGAGGGAGGTATAGTTGCCCACGCTCAATTGCTCAAATCTCACACTGACACTTTTTTTCAGATCGTCAAATTCCCTCTATTCTTTCGTACATTGAGGGAGAGGAATACCACGGCACACAAGCCAAGGCTCAGCTCATCCGCAACTCCAAAAACACAGTAGCATACTTCCGGGATTTCCTGGGCAAGGAATTCAAGGCCATTGACCCAACTCCATGCCATGCGTCTGCCCACCCTGAGCAGAGCAGCTCGACTGTGGCCTTCACCATCCGTGATACCCCCAGCGAGAGCCCCAACACTATCACTGTCTCTGAGATCACCACCCGTCACATTCGCCGTCTCAAGCAGTCCGCTGCCGATTTCCTCGGCAAAGAGGTTAACGCCGCTGTCATCACCGTCCCCACCGACTTCACCGACGCTCAGCGCGAGGCCCTCGTTGCTGCCGCAAAGGCTGCCGGTGTCGAGGTTCTCCAGCTCATCCACGAGCCCGTTGCCGCTGTTATGGCCTACGATGCCCGCCCCGAGGCCCCTGCTGTCAGCGACAAGCTTGTCGTTGTCGCTGATCTTGGTGGCACTCGCTCGGATGTGGCTGTTGTCGCTTGCCGTGGCGGCATGTACACCATCCTGGCTACTGCCCACGACTACGAGCTGGGTGGAGCCTCCCTCGACCAGATCATTATTGACTTCTTCGCCAAGGAGTTTATCAAGAAGCACAAGACCGATCCCCGCGAGGATGCCCGCGGTCTGGCCAAGCTTAAGCTTGAGTGTGAGGGTACCCGCAAGGCTCTTAGCCTGAGCGCCAACGCCCAGCTGAGCATTGAGTCTCTTGCCGATGGCATTGACTTCAGCTCCACCATCAACCGCACTCGTTATGAGCTGCTTTCCAACAAGGTCTTCGGTCAGTTCATTGATCTGATCCAGCAGGTTATCAAGAAGGCTGAGCTCGACGTTCTCGATATCGACGAGGTCATCTTCTCCGGTGGTGTCTCTCACACTCCCAAGATTGCCCAATTGGCCAGCAACATCTTCCCCGAGAAGACCGTCATCCTTGCCCCCTCGACCTTGACTACCGCCATCAACCCCTCCGAGCTCTCTGCCCGCGGTGCCGCATTCCAGGCCTCCTTGGTGCAGGAGTTCGATGTCGAGGACATCGAGCAGTCAATTCACCCCATGGTGACTGTCATTCCCCACCTGACCAAGGCCATCGGTGTCGAGTTCTCTTCCGGCTCCGAGCTTGCCTTCACACCTCTGCTGAACGTTGCAACCGCCCTTCCCGCTCGCCGCATCGCCCAGTACTCCGCCCCCAAGGAGGGTGGTGATGTCCTGATCCGCGTGTGTGAGGGTGCCCACGAGATCAAGGTTACTAAGCCCGAGCCCAAGGCCAAGCAGGAGAAGCCTGCCGATGATGAGGACTCTGACTTCGATTCTGACGAGGAGGAGGAGGATATCCGCGAGATCATCTGGAAGACCGAGAAGCCCATTGCCGAGCTTGCCGTCAAGGGTATCAAGGCCGGTGGTAAGGTCGAGGTCATGGTCCACGTCAACCCTGACCTTGGTCTTCAGATCACCGCTCGCGAAGTCGGTGGCAGCACCGCTGTTCGTGGTGCTATCAACGGCTCCGCTTAAATTCCCTTTTCTTCCTCTCAAACCCCACCTGATCCCCTTAATGGTCTGATGATACATGCATGATTGATAGAGGTTATCTATTTTCCTTTCTGTGGCCGTCACTGACTTGTTGGAGTCACCTGTTTTCTCTATTTCTCGCGTACATCGAACCTCAACCCTCATAGACTCAATTACACAAAATGCTTGACCCAACATTAAATTATTCTGATGGAAGTAAAAAGTTGAGGCATTTCCACTGCAAACAAGACAGCAATAGGATAGCAAGTAAGAAGATGACGTTGGAGTTATAAAGAAAGTAGGCCTGAAAAGCCAGGCTAGTAATATATTCAGCAGAAAAAACAAAAATCTGATTAACTACAACGAATTAGATAAAAGTTGTAGGTTTATAAAACATCAGATAAATCCAGGTCCACCTGGACCAACCATAAAGTGAGATCGTTAATAATCATGGGCATCGGAAGACAAAATGGCCAATATTAATTCAGATGAGGCGTAGATCCGAGGGTACATTAACGATCGTGGAAAGGTCATAATGCCATGAAAGGAGTGATAGTACACAGTGAAACCACCGAGGCGTGTGAAGCGGGAAAACTTAGGACGTTGCAGGATTCAAACCTTGGAAGTCGCTAGTTTGTAGGGCCCTAGCTTGGGCTTTCTTCCGCCGAGTTTATAAAAATTAGTGGGCGGTCGTATAAAGTACATTTTAGACATAGGTTGCCCTAGTCTCATGGGTTCCAATGGGTTGAGTGGCTTCAATGGGTCCATGGGGTCCAACTGTTTCGTAGGTTTGCTGTGGCTCTGCATTCTTCTGGCTACGTACGCTGTTCGAGCGCGCTGAGAAGAAGCCGCGGCGGCGTTCTTTCCGTCCGCTGTATCCACCACCAGTATCTTTTCGACCGACAGCACCACCAAGGCAGTACATCAGAGAAGAAAGGAACAACAAAGCACATGCAGTCCACATGAATGCGAATGCGTAGACACCTAGCTTTGCAGATTGACCATTACTGAGGAAGGCGTGGCGTCCCTGGACATACACAGCACTAAATTTCGAAAGTCAGCAACTGGAAACGGAGTATATGAAAATGAGAGGCTCCATACGTCATGAGAGAGGTTGTGATGACCTGGAAGACCAGAGCAAGCCAAGAGAGGAAACCGGAGATGTAGCTGCCAATGCGGGTGCACATGGCTAGTAGGCCAGTGAAGAGTGCCAGAGCAGCGAAGAACAGACCGATGATCATGAAAGGAAACATGAACCGGGAAATCAAGTAGTAGTGATTAGTCCTGGAGCTTCTATTAGTCTAAAACTAGGTACTGAAACTGACAGGTTACTCTTGACTTACCCAATGAACTGCTTAGGGACATTGGTGGTGGTATCGAAGTTGCGGCTTCCCGGAGGATCAAAGGGGAAATCAGGGTGAGATTTTCCACAATCATTCAGGCCATTTTTGACTGCGCATACATTCCAGAACGTCCAGCGAGAGGTGGTTGGAGCACCTGGGATATTGCCTGTTCCCGCTTGCATGAAGTATATCTTGTTCAGCGGGAGATGGTTGCTTGTACCCGCCAAAATAGTAAGAAACATGAGCAAGAGGGCACTGGCCATGAAGAATAGGCCTAAAAAGCCCAAAGCTGCTCCTATAATGCCGAGCCTGGTTAGTATATGATGTTAATTTGAGTTGATCGTACACTCACTGCTAACACCCATAATGTTATGTAGTTCAGTTGAACTAGCTGAAGCCGCTCACTTGGATATACGAGAATATGGAAAAAGGAGAACGAATTCAATCTCCAATCTTGCCTTGAAGCCGGGGAGAATCTCGATTTGATGCACAAATGTGTGGAGCTGAGGACGGGCAAGCAAACTGAAAATTCGAGAGGAGATGGATTCAAGTAGGATTAGAGTAAGCTTGGTACCGGAGATATCCGGCCAATGAATATATTAGCATCATCGGTATCAGCATCACTTTGAGGTTCATAGGGTAGTAGATCAAAACGTCATGTTTGCCAGCCCTGAGTAGAGTTGCCTAGGGCTCCACTTTAATTACCCCACCATATGTCCTAATTCAGCTTAGCCTATATTAAAAATGACGTTACCTAAACTGCATCAACTCAACTTTCAACTCTTCCTCCACTTTGTGACGTGGTCCTCTCTCCCTAAACTTTACCCATTTGAGCTGGTTTTGTTGGTTTCTAAGTTGATTTTTCCTTGCTACGCCACACACTCAACACACGTCATGGCCACTTGGGCATACCCACCACTACCTACAGATCAGTTGAATCGTGAGGCCGATAATGCACTGGTACGTCCAATCATCAATGTGGCTTACCGCTAGATCGGACTCCTAGTGGCACCATGCCTTGCTATGGTGGCACAGGTATAATCTACAGGGATCATTGTGGATCTTGATGCCAACCCATTTCTTCAATTCTAGGCTCGCGAGCTTGAGTGGCTACTTAAGTCACTCCAACAGTCACTCGTTTCTCTGAAGGAAGGTTTACAAGAGTGCGCCGCACTGTTAGCACCTCAGGAACCAGGGTCAACCTTGGTTCTATCGTCGCTTCGGTCGGAAAATGTAAAGGGCTTCATCACGAGAGTTGGCACCAAAGTGGTCAAAGGGGTGAGTGTTGCTCTTGAATACGGTGTCGCGAAGCAGTGTTAACGTCTGATTCGTTAGGACATTCAACTCCGTCTAAACTCATTGCCGCCTCCAAGGGGTGCCCCTAGCACTCGATTGACGCTGTCGCAAACTGCTGCAGCTCCTGATTTGGTCCTGCCCCAGCTTGTGTCAGTGCGCAATCTGGTCAACGAAAGCTTGGATATCGTCGATGTGAGCACTTACACGGGTGACCCCCTCAATGCAGGCTTTATCTTTAGCCAGTTGCATCTCTTAAAAGAGGCGATCAGTGAGGCAAGGCAGATGCTGAAGGGGGAAGGGGGCCTGCGAGGTAATTGGTGGGAATCCAGTGCTGCTGACAACGTAAGGCCAAGGTTAATACTAACCTGTGAATCCGAAACTGATGAATACTTATACAGATGTTTGACCCCCCACCTCCCCCTTACCTCTCATTCCACCTTTCTATCGCAGACTCAGCGATTGTTTTGCTTCTTCGTACCTTGGAGGGTAACAACCAAACTCACGCACCTACGGCCTTTGCATCGGACATATCATTAACCGGCTTCTCCCTCCGCGATCGATTTTTTGGAACTCGGCAACGAGCGCATGACGAGGTTGGCGAGATCTTTACCTGGCACGGGGAGCCAGTACACGTAAAAGAAAAGGTTCGTGTAGAAAGCCAGGATCCCAGCTTGATGTCGGTTATGGCCAAGTTGTCTGCCCTAGAGCATGAGGTGATGCGATGTGTAGCTGCATTAGGAATGCTGATGGGCAATGAAGACACAGAGAGTGAGGCTTAGATATCACATTGATATGTAGATAACCATAGTATAAGTAACTCCTAGCCAGCAACAGCAACCAAATGGATATGTGGGGCCTTCAGGGCTTTCATAGAAAATCTAGACTTGTCATCATTCACTCTTTAGCCATGTAGATATTATTGGGGAAATCGATTGAGGACCTGTGGCTCACCTAATTTCATGGTAGCATCTGTTTACACAGAGTTCTCGTATGTAGATCCTCTTGTGGAGAATAAGAAGCTCTGCAGTCTATGTGGGTGGAGACTAAAGGACTGATAACGGATAAGGAAGCTCCAGAGCTTGACTGGCCAATCAGCAGTGCGCATTTACTGAACATCAAATTTCTGGACTTTTTTCCCTTCCCCAAGAATCGAAAGCGTGAATCGGTATGCTTTCCAACCCTTCAAATTCAAGGGTTTGTAGCCCATATGTGCGGAATATGCTGTGCCCACGGGTCTCTCGTCTTAAATCTCGGACCACGAGGTTGCTAGCATCGCGACAGAAAAGAAGCATTGCTCAACTGCGATCCACTACATTGACTTCTGAACTACAATCTCGCCAGAAAAACATTATACAAACATCCAATCCCCAACGGAATGTCGTACACCGATTCTCCACTGCAACTGAGGCGTCGGACGAGCCGGCACGAACTCCGACTGAGGCTATTAATACCTTGATCGAGCGTATCAATAAGAATGACGATGATATGGCAGTTTTAATGGAGGAGCTGGAACTGCTTGACGACCCAGATATTGTGAACGATTCTGCCGTTGAAGATGCTACTCAATTCGAGGACCTACTCAACGCCCGCGACAACTACACTTCGGAGGAGTGGGTGAAGATGGTCAGGCAAGGTTTCGGCGACACAATCCCAGAAGGAACCCTTGATGATGCCGATCTGCGACTTTATACTAGTCTCTATGGAGAGCCTGTTATTCGGGATATAGAAGATTTCGTCCTAGAGGGCATGGAGGCAGAAGAAGATGAGGATTCTCAACGCTTGTTCCGCGAAGACGGGCAGGGGGGTGGGAAGAAATTGAGCACCAGAAAGACGCAGAAATAGAAGAAGACATTCCTGTGGTCTACGACATGGAAGGTAATACGGAGGAAGAAACAATCGCCATGCGGCGTACTCGAGAAGTTGCCGAGCAACTGGGCGGCGAGATCATGCTGGAGCAGTTTGAGAATGAGGCTTTCCCAGACTCAGCCCCACGATCCCATCCCATCACCATGGAAGGGAAATTTCAGACAAATCCCAGCACCGTTAACTTGCCAAAGGATACTTTTACTGGCCCTATCTCGGTCATTCTATCGGAGTACTCCAATAAGCATATAGCGGAGACTGCTCATCGCCTGTTTGGTGGACCAGGACTTCCTCATTCTACTACGACTCCGCCTCCGCGTGCACAACTACCTCAGCTTCCGATTCCGCTCCATGCATCGCAACGTCACATGGGAGACATGGAGGCCAATGCCTACATTGCGGCCTTATACCCCGGGATGTATGCTTCCACTCTCAGTGTCCTCGCTGAAGTGCGGAAGCGTCTTGGGACAGACTGGCTTCGCCGCTTGATATATCAAGAAAAAGGACCTAATGTCCTCGATGCCAGTGCCGGCGGTGCTGGTATCTTGGCTTGGCGAGATGTCGTCAACGCTGAATATCAAGTCATGGTTCCTGATCATCCCGAAGGTGCACCGGTTCCATATGGTAGATCAACGGTAGTGACGGGTTCACACACACTTCAGCTGCGAGCGGCAGCAATTCTAGAGAACACGACGTTCCTTCCTCGTTTACCGGATTACGTTCATGTGCGTGACAAGGCAACCCTAGATGACGAGCGTGCCATTCAGCGCAAGCAATACGATGTCATCATTGCACCACACTCTCTACTCGGACTCACTGAAGATTATGAGCGCAAAGAGCACGTGGAGAAACTATGGGAGCTGCTCAACCCTGATGGCGGTGTTCTGATTCTGCTAGAGAAGGGTCGCCAGAAGGGGTTTGAGGCCATTGCCGGTGCTCGTGAAATGCTCCTGCGACGACATATTGCGAGTCCAGGCTCTACAGAATATGAAAGTTCCCTTGATTCCCCTGACGAAAGTTTGACTGTGCAGAAAGAGACGGGTATGATCATCGCCCCCTGCACAACTCACTCGACCTGTCCGATGCACAACTCAGCAGGCCCGATGAAAGGTCGCAAAGACTACTGCCACTTTGAGCAACGGTACATCCGGCCTCCCTTCCTCCAGCGTATTATGAATGCCAAAGACCGCAACCACGAGGACATCAAGTATAGCTACATTGCCGTCCAACGTGGTGTAGATCTGCGTCAGCAGCAGGGTATCCGCCAGGATACTGAAAGGACAGATGCTGCCTTCGAGGGATTTGAGCATCTTGAAGATGCCCAGCCAAGTGCTGAATTTAACCCGCTCTCCCTTCCTCGTGCCGTCTACGCGCCCATGAAACGCCGTGGTCACGTCATCTTTGACCTGTGCACGCCAGCGGGTAAGATTGAACGCTGGACGGTACCCCGATCTTTTAGTAAACAGGCCTACCGTGATGCTCGCAAGTCTAATTGGGGTGACTTGTGGGCACTGGGGGCCAAGACACGTATCCCTCGCAAGTTGAATTTGGGCTCCAGCGAAGGCAAGAAAGAGCGTCTTGCTCGACGAGCAGCTGACAAAGCCGCACGCGAAGAGGAAGATGAGTTTGATGATGAGTATGACGAAGAAGACGCTGGGTTGGATGATGGAGTAGAGGCTCCCGTACGGAAGCAAGGCCAGCGTATTCCTAGCTGGAAGAAGCATAATGACAAGAAGAAGCAGAGACAGGCGCAGAAAAAGCAGGATACATGCTGATATTCTTAAAAAGGAATGAGCATTGGTTTGCTAGCGTATGTATATGAAGGTTCTGGTTTATCATAAATGATTAACTGGCCCCGGAGCCACGGCATGGGCATGTCAAGATTAAGTTTTGTATATTTAGATATCACTCTCACATCAACCTAGGACAAATAAATCATAAATATATTCTCTTCTCAAAGGTTCATTTTTCAATCGTTTGAATTCATTGTTTTGGGTATATCATGATAGTTCAATGCTTCGTTGCACCATTTGCCAGGCGTGCTGTTGAAAAAGTATGCCGGCCTGGACTTACTGTCCGCTCTCGACCAAGAACCTCACTGCGTAGCCATACTCTTCCTAAGCTGCCGCTGCCTCTGGGTATTTTGCAATTCTAGCCGTTCCACAACATACTTCAGCCGCTCCTTCTTTTGTACCAATCTCCGCAACTCTGCAGACTTTGCTGCGGCATTGCTTGAAGGAACCCGAGCTGCACTACTGCTATGGGGTAGACCGCGACTCACTGGGGCCCTACCCTCTGGATTGGACGAGAGCCGACCTTCTTGAAGGTCACATTTGGCTTTCAGGCCCTGCTCACGACGTGCGAGCTTTTCGACATGGTTCGAAGCGAGAGATAGTAGGTGGGCGATGCTAGGGGTGATCTCATCTAGAAGGGATTTCTGCGCTTCGCGTAGTGTTGGCTCTGGCAGTAGTTCAAAGTGCTGTATTGTGGTGTTAGAAAACCATGACTATAAAATCTCCCGAGGGTCGTACCCGTGTTGTCTGGAGGACCTTGCAGAGGCGGGGGAAGTCATTGACGCCCTCATCTAGGGTAGAGATAGAGTTGTCGAGGAGCTGCAAAGAGGACTGTAGCGAATAAACTGATGACGATAATGAAGAAGCCATGATGGGGTTACTGTCGATAGATAGTCACTGTAAACAAGAACCGGCATGTTTATCGGGTCTGATCGGGTAAAGCGGCCATCAGCGCTAAAAGCGGCAAGGTTATCTCGGAACGGGCAAACTCCAAACCTCACTCCTCGACTTCCTCACCATCACCTCCCCGCAACCAACGAATCACCCTTTCGTACTCTCTACTCTCACCATGTCTCTCCTCGGAAAGAAGTTCCCCGGCGCTCTCGGTACGTTACGCTTGGAAATTGAAATGCGCCTCGTATGGAGGGCGCAGACAAGAGTTCAATTGACTAATGCATCTCTACAGCCAAGCCCATGACCCCCTTCTTCGCTGCCGGTACGCTCAATTGAAACCCCTATTCAACTCTGGTGTCCTGGAATATGAGGCAACAGTTAATCAACGAACCTGACCTCCCTGATTCGCGACCGAGTTATCCGCCATCAGACCCATGTTCTAACTTGTTCCCTTTCTAGGTCTTATCGTCTTGTACGGAGTCAACTCCCTCCAGAATGCTCTGATCAACAGTAAGTATTATTGGTCATACCCCATGGCCATATTTGATTTCCATGCAATCAAAGCCAGGGTCTATACTCGGTTGGATTGCATGGCGAGCCCAGGCTCGATTATGGATCATTGACTGACCTCAATTCTAGCTGCTGAGTTCAAGAACGACCCCCGCAACCCCAACGCTAAGGTCGGTGGTCACTAAATTCGCCCAATCGAGAAGACCTACGCGATTCCACCAATTGTGGCGTAAAGCCAGAGCGGATCGAGTCGTTAGACATGTTTGTTGATGGAACTTTTGCTGTGGACTATGATCACGGCTCGCAATTGTGTGTTTTACGTTCGCGGGCAGTTTGCCCACTGTCCAAGCATATAGAATATACCTGAAAGGTTACTTGGATCAATTCACAAGCTGTACAACTACTGGATTGCGATGTTGGGGACTTCCGATGCCCTTTGTAAAACGTACCTGATTTGAACTGGCCAATTAGGACGATTCCTCAGGCTTCCTCCCGGCCACTCCGAGGCAACTTGGAGGGAGTCCAAAGAGTCTCCAGTCATAGCTTGTCGGTGTAGTTCTAGGGCGAGTTATATATCGCCACCAACCAAAGAATTTGCGCCAATTCTTGTATCTCCTCTTTCTTCTAGTACTTCCAAGACCTTGAAATTCTACTCCAGACAATAAATAAAGACAGTCAATTTAGAGTATTGCGGATTTCCAGGTGCATTAAATCTTTAAGGCGACGCTAAACCCGATTTGGATTATCCGCATCTTTTCGCGATCCGCTTGCCGACGACGACGTTCCTCCCCAGCTTCAAATCCAACTCCACTCCCACATCAGAAGTTGTCAACATGTCAAAAGTAGCATCCTTGTTCCGCCCTAAGAAGCTGGATCTCTCCGGCTTCGTTAACATCCGTGTAATCCGAGACCACAACCGGCGCAATGCGTTCGAGAAGACCGAGCCTGAACGGTAAGCCTGCACCATGACTATGACTAAGATGGCATGAAGTGTGCTATTGAGTCTTAATCAATTGAATTCAATTGAACAAAATCTGACAATTCAACAGACAAGCACTCCGCTATGTGATTCGCAACACAAGTCTCCCAGGCCGAGTCCGTGCCCAGGCCCAGCTTCAGCTTTCTCAGATGGAGGCCTACACCCGTCCAACTCAGATCAAAAACCGATGTGTGGCATCAGGAACTTCTCGTAGTGTGTTCCGGGATTTCAGACTCAATCGGGTGAGTAAATGGACACCTGTGGTTGGCAGATTAGTTTTTGATCGATGTATGACTGACTGACATTTTATTTTGTTAATAGTACCAATTCCGTATGCAGGCTCTTTCTGGTGAATTACCTGGCGTCAAGAAGGCAAGCTGGTAGAAGGGAATATTTCAGTGATACGATAGTATGCAGGTGTGCACCGCGGCGTTATTCATTTCAAGCTTGTATAGTATGCAATACCATTCAATCAGTTTTTATATCAAGCTCTATTCTTTTCAGGCTCACTTCCAATTTGTATACTCTACTTGGTGCCTGGATTCCTTATTTGTTTATCAAACACATGGCTTTCTGTTCATTCACCTTCACCATGTTGATTTTCAACAACACCTTCTGGTTTCTGTTAATCTTTCTCGTCAACACTTTCCTCCTCTACCAATATCTATTCACCACGCATCTCTTCTTCCGCTGCCATATTCTTATCAATTTCCAACTCCTTTACCTGCTTCCACTCCTTTGCTCCTACTTGAAACAACTGTCTTCCAGTATGTTTATCTTCAAAGATGAGGACCTTCCGGCGGATTTCACCTTCCCTAAAGACCTGAAGAGTCTTGGGTAAGTTTCAAGTGACTTCAATCAATCTCATCTTACAGTTTTCTAATCGATCCCAGATTTTTCATCAATGAAAACGATCAGATTCGCAAAATTGACAACCCCGACGAAGGCTTTACCTATCGCATCAACCACAATGATCGCTACAACCAAAAGCATCGCGAGGCAGTCAATGGTAGATCAAAAAATCATTGAAAAGAAAAGTTAAGGCTGACTTCACAAAAATTACAGGGTGCACCCGCCAGATTGTCCTTGATCGTCTGCACAATCTTGGGTTGACCGAGTACCCCATCCCCGAGCCCGACATGATCTCTGACGATCTGCGTCAGAACGTGGATATCCCCGTGATTCCTATTCTAATGACAGATAACTGTTACTCTGCAAAGCGAATTGTGATTGTTTTGGGCGACCCTGGCCAGGACCTGGGTATCTGGAGTTACCGAGCAATTGGAGAAGATGGAATCAATGCCGGCTCCATGGTTGATTTTGCAAAGGCTGTTCTGGGCGTCGGCGAGAACAGGAGCACTGATATCGCTCTGGTTATTGCAAACACTGGCCAATTGCTTTATAGCTGGGCCGAGGGTAAAGCCATGACCCAGGAAAGCTGGGTCGCCGCTGATCGACCTTACGCCACTTGGGGACAGCCAACCCTGACCTTTCGCAACAAGGCACCAACCAGCCAGACTGTAGCCGAGCATGTGGCAGCAGTTTTCATTGAATACATCTCGAAAGTCATAAAAATTGACTCCCATTCACTCATTGATGTGATTGGTATGTCTGAGGGTGGGCTCGCCGCTATTGACTTTCTTAAGGAAAGATGTAATTCTCCCGAGATCAGGTTCCAGATCTTCCAACGCTATTATTGATGCTAACAGAAATTTACCAGGGTCTGATTGGCGCCCGTACATCAACGGAATTGCCCTTGGTGCTCCCCTACAGAGCGAGTACGGTGGTCAGTTTGACCCCAAGCTTGTCGATGACCTTACCACCTTCACATCTTTCCTTGCACGCCGTGGACGCTCATATGTCCTACACAAGAAGCGTATTGGCCGTTATATCCCAGGAGATTGGGAGGTCACTGGATGCAAGGTCTACTCTTCAGGAGAGGAGCTCAACCAGGAATGTATTCTCCGTCGGGCCTGGCCCGATATCATTGACTGGTTGAATCTCTTACATCAGGATCCCAAGTGGGAGGATGACCTAAGTGCAGACGCCCAGGTGGAGTCAGACTCGGAGGATTCGTCCTTCGAGTTCGACGACCACTGGGACGACGCCTGGGACTCTGATCTTGGTGAGCCTGCAGAGATTTCTGATTCGGAGGTCGTCCCCGAGCTGGACCCTGTCATTCAGACAGCGTAAGTTGGCCGGGAGGGAAGGTGGGTAAATGCCAGGGTGGGAGGAAGGGAGCATCACCAAAAATGTTGGCTAGTAAGTAGAGCGCCCCAGGGGGACAGAAAATACCCCGGATCAATGCGATTGTCTTTTCTCTCTCAACCCATACTTTCAGTGGTGTTCTCTGTAGCTTCCTAAACGTAAGCATTTTAGTACCTAAATCTGAAGATCTCGACATTGTAAGGATATCTAGGTACTTCCAGGGTTGGGGACGTTCATGTAAATAGTCCACGGGTATGCCCGTTGGACCCCTGGCAGTATATCCATGGGAATTTTCATTTAATACATCCAAAGACCTATTAAAGAGTCATATATAATCTTCGATATTAAAATTATCCCCATGAGAGGTCAGGGACCTTAAGAATAGCTGCGATATTACTACTATATAGACTGGATCGAATTGACAAACTGTAGTAATTAAGCTCGTCTTATATAGAATTAGCAGTAATGTAGATTGAGTACTAAAGCGAAGTCGGGGATGTTTTTATCGAGTAATAGAAAAGTAAATCGGAGGAAAGCGGACGTTGAGGTAGTTTTGATCGAGTAACAGCAGATAAAGCGGAGATAAGGAAGGCGAGGTCCGATTTAGCGTATCGGAGATTTCCGATAAGCAGACTATCACTCCCGATCTTTACCTACGAAATCTCTTCCTTTGCCAACCATAGTTCATATCCGTCTTCATTATCGAGTAGATCTTTGCCAACAATGGGTTTGCAATTCCAGGGCCAGAGCCCTCAGTGGCTCGGCTCCCAAGCAGTGAGACTGTTCGTCCCTAGGTACGGGACATCGTCTAGGTGGAACCCGAACTCAGTGGATATCGTGGGCCCCTAAATCGGAGGAGCCCTTCCCACGGGGTGAATTCGAGTGGCTTAGGTATTTATATACCAGTGAGCCCCCCTTATCTCTAACCCCTGTCTTTTCTGAAGATAAGCCTCATGTATAGTCCTATTGGTTGTCTATAGCCTTATCTTTGGTTCCATTCTGTCAGTTATTCTTTAATTGCAGCCATATTTGCACCCCGCATCATTTCTTTTATCTTGCCGCCACTATCGACTAGTCTACCGTTCATTTCAATCACTACTGGTGTCTGATAATCAGATCGAAGATCAATCGTCAATCATCGCTGTGAGCTATGACAAGAACGCATACCATCAACGTTGCTGTGGTGGCTTCGTCCCGTGCTGTGATATCGGGTCGTTTGACTGCAGCTACTATTGTGATCTCGCTCGATACTGGTAAGGTCACTGCTGTTTTTGACTCTGTAATACCAGCCAAAGACTTCCCTGCTGAGGTTTCTTATACCGACTACTCGCCTCATGTCCTCTTACCTGGGTTGGTCGATGCTCATGTTCACTTGAATGAGCCTGGCCGTACTGAATGGGAAGGCTTCTACACTGGCACCCAGGCTGCTGCCTTTGGCGGTGTTACCACTGTCGTCGATATGCCTCTTAATGCTATCCCACCTACTACCACTGTGGCTGGTTTGAAAGAGAAGATCAAGGCTGCCCACGGTAAGTGCTGGGTGGATGTTGGCTTCTACGGTGGCATCATTCCCGGCAATGCCGCTGAATTGAAGGGTCTTGTCAAAGAGGGTGTCCGTGGCTTCAAGGGCTTCCTGATTGATAGTGGTGTAAGTGATGAATAAGCATGGTATCTATTACAATCTTCATCAAATACTAATCAATACTTATAGGTGGAAGAGTTCCCTGCTGTGACTGCTGATGATATTCAGAAAGTTATGATCGAACTGGCAGACGAGCCCACAACGCTCATGTTCCATGCCGAGATGGTTCCACCCATCACCGCTTCTGTTGGTGATGAGGTTCAGAAGTCAGAAGCCCCGGCTGCACCTGCCGGTCCTCTAGAGTCCTACTCAACTTTCTTGGCCTCTCGACCATCAGAGTTTGAGATTTGTGCCATAGAGTGTATCATCTCCATGGCCCGTCTAGCCCCAAATCTTCCTTTGCACGTGGTCCACCTCTCAGCCATGGAGGCTATCCCAGTCCTGCGGGAAGCCCGTACCCGCGGTGTCAAAATCACTGCTGAAACCTGCTTCCATTATCTGTCCTTGGCTGCAGAGGAGGTACGTGACGGTGACACTCGACACAAGTGTTGTCCACCCATTCGGTCGCAGCTGAACCAGGATGGCTTGTGGGATGAGCTGGAGAAGTATGGCACAGATGGAGTAATCAAGACAGTCGTATCAGACCACTCTCCCTGCACTCCAGATCTGAAGATGCTACCTGCTCATGTCCCCGGCCACGCCGAGGCTAGCAAAACTCTTGCCGATGAGGAGACAGGCAACTTCTTCTCCGCCTGGGGTGGCATCTCATCCGTCGGTCTGGGCCTTCCAATTCTATGGACCGAGCTCAGTCGCCGTAAAGGCCTTATTTCCTCAAAGGACGAGAAGACCAGCGAAGCCCTGGAAGACATTGTTCAGCTGTGCTGTGTAAACACTGCCGCCCAGGTCGGCCTTCAGTCGAGCAAGGGTGACCTTCTTGTGGGCTTTGATGCTGACATTTGTGTCTTCGACGATAATGCCGAGTGGACCGTTGAGCCTAGCACAATGCTCTTCCGTAATAAGTGCTCTCCTTACCAGGGCCGCACTCTGCGCGGTATGGTCCGCGAGACTTGGCTGCGTGGTGAGCGCATCTTCAGCCGTGAGAAGAGCTTCGGCGGCAAGAAGCCGACTGGCAAGCTCCTTCTCGAGAAAAGGGTCTGATTTTATCTATCTTTCTCTTCGTCTAGGACGGTTGACTCTTTTTTTTTCTCTTCTTTTTCCTTTTTTCATCTCCTTCCCTCTGCATCTCGTTCTCGGTCTGTCGTGACGAGCATTAATGACTGAACTGCGTTTACCCCCTAGAGTAATGACACCATATAGCTACAGGCATAGCGATGAATATACCAATATCAACCGAAATGGGGGAGTATCATTAATAAATGTAAATACTGTTACAAACATCTTAATATTTTCACTCTAGATATCTAGAATCATTAGATATCCTTCAAATCTTTCTGCTTCTCCCACTTCTTTTTGACTCTCCTCCGAGCACCCCCATTAGCACCCTTTCCCCAGATCTCTTCCTTATTGGAAGTATTCACAGCATCAACACTATCATCATCATCCCCCACAGTCCCAATAAGCTCCTTCCGCTCCTTGAGTTTCCTTTCCTTAACCTTAGCCCGCACTGTCTTCCCAAGATAAGCTGCATACAAAAACGACTCCGCAACCGCAACGGACAGTGCAGCAAAGAATGCAATCAACACGCGCACCGCATCAGACGCTCCCTCAGCAGGCTGGAATTCAAACGGGTCCTCCACCCGCGGCCCTGTCCACGAAGTGAAGATTGTAGCCAACATAGAAGGTAATGTAAACTTTGTCAGAGCCCAATACACGCTTAGTCCAGTGATAATCACAGAAAGGAAGATATTTAAAACAAGGGATGGGGTAAGTGTGTCTTCTGTGAAAAGAGCGGCTTCGGCGTAGGGGTCTGCGTAGTCGGGTGCTTCTGTGTAGGTTGGATTCATTAGGCGTTGGTATTCTGCTTGTTCGGCTTTGGCTTGGAGGCGGGCTTTCGAAGCGAGGTATTCGGGGCTCTGTTTTACATTAGTTCCTCTCCTGTAGATAAAAAACAATAACGCCTTTAGATGTATGATGTGGTATCTGTCTAAAGGGCGATTATGGGAATCTGGGTTCATCGCGACATACAGGTTCCGGCTTTTTGGGTGGCGGTGGAACATAGACCGTGGTGCCATGAAGAAGGAAGCTGAGGATAGTAGGCTTGGGTGCATAGTTGAGCTCAATTGCGGCATTAATCTTGCCGCCAGGTTGCAAATGCTTTGCGAGACTGAGGAGCTGCTTATGTGTTATCGGGTCTTGTAGCTTCAACGAGGGGGGCAGATCAAGCTTTTCACGGCTTAATTCCGATACAGCCGTGTACGCTGTAAGAATGCGATCTGTTGTGACGAGCTGAACCATCCTAGCAAGGTGTGGATGGGGCAACGTTTGCGGTTGAAATGAGGCTGTTGATGGAGGAGTTAGCTCGGCGGAGATAAACGAGCGGAAGAGAAAGTCGCCCGAGTTGAAGCTCTCCCCACTTGCGCTTGTGTTTCTGTCACTCACAACTCCCGCAACCATGGCAGACTCTAAATCAAAGGCGTAAGTTCCTCAATTCCAATTCAAATTGACATTTTATCTTTCTATGTCCGCTTGCACACGGCCATTTCTCTTCTTAGCTTATGGTTGATGGTGGTGCTCCCCTCTTTTTAAAACTCCAACTAAACCCCTCCATAACAGACCGATAACAACACAAAGCAACCCGCGCGGAATTCCTGTTGCTCCCTTTATCGATAATGTCAGCGACTATGTCTCTTCCCGCGCGGAGGTCGAGCCTACCCTCCGCAATTTCCAGGAGATGATCTCCAAGTACCAGTTCATGGAAGTGAACACTCAACGCCGCGGCCAGGGACTAGCGGAGAAGATCCCAGATATCAAAAAGACACTGGAGATGGTGTTGTTTTTGACACTGCGCAAGGAGGTGCGTTGTTTCTTGGATATGCGAGAGTTATATAGATTTTGACTTAGAGACACGATAACTGACTTGTTCGTGAATATCTAGTCCAACCCGGATTCTGACCTCCAAACTAACTTTGAACTCAATGATACCCTCTATGCTCGTGCGTCTATCTCTCCTGCCGATACTGAGGAAGTCTACCTCTGGCTTGGCGCGAATGTCATGTTGGCATACCCATTGAACGAGGCTGAGACTATGCTGTCGGATAAGTTGTCTGCGGCTGAATCGAGTCTTGCTCATTGTGAAGAGGACCTGGAGTTCTTGCGCGAGCAGATCACTGTAGGTCTTGTTTAACCCCTGGCGATTTCGTTTTTACTAATGAGGTTCTTCTATAGACTCTAGAGGTTGCTACAGCACGTGTTTATAATTGGGATGTCGTGCAACGGCGCAAAGAGAAGGCCGATGGCAAAATTGATGAAGAGAAGAAATAGATCGGTTAGAGGGTAGGGATTGATTATCGGAGTTTCAAAACAAAATGACATACCCATCTGGTCCAGTTACCATATCCCGTCCTCATTACAATATTCCCCGGATGATAAGATAACTTCCAAGATTCTACAGTTCCAAAGTTTCCAAGGCTGCCTAGAGACGAAATGAGTGTACCGATGGAGCCTTGGACTAGGTAGCTTTACGTACCGTATTTCTTCAACGAGCGTGATTCGAGAGAAAGATTCAAGATAAAGACAAGAGGATCCCCAAGAATACAACTGACACGGTGCTAGCTACATACGTGTATAGATAGGGTTGACGTGCCCCTTATACGGATTTGGCCTTTCACATAGCTTTCAATATAGGTCTCAGTAGATTGATCTCTGCCATTTCGTCATTTTCATACATATGTCATAGCTCACGCTCACAGCTGCTATGAATTTCGGACCATCTTATCTCTTGCTTTTGACGTTATTTGGTGAAGCTTTTCACTAGTACATGGTTGGCCAAGGTTTTCTTCTGGCATTTCTAGTACCCGTTTATTTAATTGAATCATTTGTTCTTTGAACCCCTACAGCCCTTAGACCCTTTGGACCCCTAACAGAATTGATCACACACATGATGCTGAGATCCATTCAGCACTGGCCAGGGGGAATCCCCATTTGCATCCAACCACACCCAGAACCAGATTTATCTCTGGATGAGATCAAAGAGGAAGTCAGGTGCTGGCTACTATTGTACAGGTATGTCTTTATAGCACTCGTTCATTTTTTTTTTTTTTCGAACAACCACGCTTTCAGCGCTAATTTGCAGCCAGGAAAATTGGGTGTCTGCCGCAAACGCAGGTGTTTCCTCCGATGCGGAATATGAGCTAAAGCACCGGCGGCAACTGGTGGAAAAGTGGGCTTCGGCTACACAGGAATTTCGTGATGTGAATTCAACTCGGTCAAATCCGTCAAATCTCCGAAGTCCCTTGAACTAAATATTTTCTTTCCCCCTCATTCAGGCATACCAATCGCGTGCGCCTGTAGGTCTTCCAGACACAGAGGGGCCAAAATCGAATGCACCCATTGAAGGCCTTCGGTACCCAGCCGAAGCATTGAAACGTATCTATGACACTCTTCAGCCAGAACGTTCCCACGGCCTTATTTGTCTTGCCCCTGTTGACGAGGCCCATCCTGAAAATCGGGCACGACTGGTGAAATTCGCCATCCTGTCGTATAACTATGATATCGAGACTGGGCACATTTTAGGCGATAACTATATTCCATATGAGGCTATCCTCAACCCAGCAACCACGACCGATCCTTCGGTAGAGGATTATCTGCCCTGGCGAGATCTTGAGACTGCAAGCTTCCTATCCATTTATCTCACACATACTGGTACTGTACTCTATCTCGGTAATGAAGGCCCGTATATATTGGTTGATATCGGTATATATATTGGTCATCTTGAGTATCTAGGGACTGTACAACATGGTGGATATCAATAGGTAGTTATTTTGAACTCTCTGTTCTTAACGAGTAAGAGAACTTAGATCCTGAACCAAGAGAAATAATAATCTTGGAGACCGACGTTTACATATATATGCAAACAACACCAACCAGATTTTGATATCATAATGTTTCACGCTCTACTTGATTAATTCGCGTATTACAGCTGCGTCAGCCTCGCTTACCTCGCCAAGCTTTTCTATTGGCGAGCAACACCTTATCACGACTACAACAACATTGAACCTGCCATTTTTGCATAGGGTTAAGATTTTTACTCCACAGAAATTCATCAATTCATCTCCACTTCAGCCTTCCTGGCTTAATTTCGGCGAGTTTTTCTGCAGAATAAGCACCGGGAGGCCTTTTCGTATTAGAAATCATGCTTGAGCTAGTTCTTTTTTGCTTGAATAGATAATTTATCCCGGTACTCGGCTTCTATCACTGAGGTGTCTGAGAAGTGTTACCAATAATGACACCATTAGTTAAGGATATAAGTTCCGGTCCATATGCTGATGACTCTCAGAAGTCATCACTGATACAGAAAGTCGTGAAGATTGCCTACACCTGCTACATTTCGTCAACAGTGTTCAGGGCTTATTTCCGTTGTCTAAGAGAGCTGCTCCCGAGAAAGAACCTGCAACCATGACATTAAAAGTTGAAGAAAAGGGTGAGGAAACGGATCACAGTCCTCGGGATGGAGGGTTGAAAGGATGGGTACAAGTGTTAGGGGGATTCTTGGTATTTTTCAACTCTTGGTACGTCTACCTCTATTGCAAATAAATGTTCGATCTAATAAGTCTACTATCACAGGGGTATCACTAGCACATTCGGCGCCTACCAAGACTTCTACAAGCAAGTCCTTTTGAGTGATCTGGACAGCTCCAAAATCGCCTGGATCGGCACATTTCAAGGCTTTCTCCTTGTTTCAGGGAGCATTATAAGTGGTCCTATCTATGATAGAGGACATTTCCAGACGCTGCTTACAGTGGGCAGCTTCCTCATCGTCTTTGGACTGATGATGTCAAGCCTTGCAACAAAGTACTGGCAGATATTCCTCTCTCAGGGACTGTGCGTTGGCCTAGGAGGTGGGTGCATCTTTGCACCCAGCGTAGCAGTTGTGTCATCCTACTTCACTACCAAGCGTTCCTTTACCATCGGTGTCATGGCGGCCGGAGGAAGTGTCGAAAGCACCATATATCCTATTGTCTTCCGAAAACTTCAGCCACAGATCGGATATGAATGGACTACCCGCGTGATTAGATTCATGGCCTTGGGTCTTCTGTCTGTTAGCCTGGCGATAATGCGCAGTCAATCTTCAACCCCAAAAAAGCTCGTGCGCTGCTCGATACCAAAGCCTTTCGCAACACACCGTATGTCGTATTCTCATTTGGGTTGTTTCTGGTCTTCGTCGGCCTTTACATACCCATTTTCGATGAAGTTTTGTCTGCTCAGATGGGTGCACACTTGGATACTGATCTATCATTCTACCTGCTTTCTGTCCTTAACGCGGCTTCTACATTTGGCCGGGTGATTCCCGGATTTTTAGCTGACAGATATGGAAACTTGGAAACTATCATTGTTCTGACGATTATTTCTGCCGTTTTTGCCTACGCTTGGACTGGAATATCCTCATTGGGAGGGTTTGTTTGTTTCAGCATTATATATGGCTTCACTTCTGGCGCTGCTGCATCTCTACAGGCCAGCATGGTGGCATCGCTGGTTACTGATCCACGTTCTATTGGTACATGGCTGGGAATGACTCTCTTTCTTGCCGGAATTGGAATGCTCATTGGTACACTGATCGCCGGTGCTCTAATGGGAGAGGGAAGAAATTATTTGCTGGACCCATACATTTTCTCTGGAAGCTTCACAGGTGCTGGCGGTCTACTGTTCATTGTGACTTGGTTATTAAGATCAAGAGAAAAGAAAATTGTACAGTAGGCTCTTCTTCAAAAGCTGGATACAGGAGTGTGTATTTATATAAGTTAGTTGCCCTAATATCTCGCTAAGTGGGATCTTGCATTATAGACTAATCAACATGATCCAAGATTCCGTCTGTTATACTATTGCTGTTTAAACCCCTATACCAGAAGATGGAATTGTTCGCATCTCAGTATGTAGCGATGTATCACTTCCACTATTGTTATCAAGGCCACTCCATTCAATGTGGGAGATACGCTGTTGTCTTTTCATCCATGTGGAATTATAGGCCCTGTCCAAAAATGGCCTCGGTACGACGAGTGTGGATCCTGGATCTTCAGGTGAAGCAATGATCCTTTTCACGGATCCAGCCACCCATCTATAGATAAAAGGTAAATTCGCACAGAAAACCCCGCCAAGTGGTTCATAGAGCGAAAGAAGCCCCAATGGAACACCATTCCCTATTTGAGAGTCAATCATAAAAGGAATACCGGGGATAAGCAAATAGACGTACAGGTAAAATCGGATGAATCTTGACTAACAATAACTGTCAACTTAGCAATGCTAATAGCGCAAGTCCTGTGAAATTGATTTTTTTTAGCAAGTTACGAAAGAACTTTTGTCTCTTGAATAGAAAAAAACATACAGCAGCCCTATCGAAAAGATAGCAGCTAGTTCTAACCTCTTCCTCTGCGTCATATGCAGTCCGAAGATAGTTGGAATTGGAAGCAAAAATACCCACATATCAGTTAGAATATTTATAGCGCAGGTCGAATATGAGAAAGCAGCTGTATTTATACAGGAGCCGTTAAATTCCGCGTTCCAAAATTCGGAAATGGGTATGCAAAAAAGCCACAGGACAATTTCCATTGCACACATCCATGATAAGATGAAGACAGCACTCCCGATGATGATGTAACGGAAAGTGACAATGCTGAAAATTCGGTAGTATAGGGAAAGGATAGCAAGCTTGGTACTTGCTATAGCGAAGTTGTAGAAGTGCATGAAGACCAAGTCACCCTATTTTTCCGGTTTAATCAGCTCAGATTTGTCGTAGTAAACGAGAAGCTTGGCTTATCTCCTTACTATTCGGACATTTTTGAGGTCTAATGCAGATATGTCTGCTTCATGCTTGCCGAATCCCAAGGGCCCTATAGCCTCCAGTGTTAAATTGATGTGTAAAATTTCCCTTATTATAGTATTGCGAGTCTGGGTATTGATGAAACGTACCCATGACAATTGCAATGATGCATAGACTTATAGTCATAGCCTGTGGGAACAACATATAAGTCCTGGTTACACACATTATGTGGGTACTGCTAAAGTACCATCTATCAAATACTGACCGTCGCAATCACTATGACATAGTCGTCAAAAGCCATACTATTTCGAAACGATGGCTGAAGCTTGACGAAAAGCCTCAGCCCCGTGAATAGCATAAGGAACGGTATAGGGACCGCAGAGCAGACGACTAAAGCGGTGACTTTTGACTCATTTGGATTGATTTGGCTCATAATTATTGGACTTGGCTATAGCCACGAGCCCTGTGCAGGAATATTCTTCTATAATAAGTTGAAAAGTCTATGAGAGGAATCAAGGGATGCTTCCTAGTATAAGGACTCCGCAGCCACGTGCCCCTCACCGGACTATTTTTATAACAAGGACTCCCTCCCATCTGAATCAAGGGATGCTTTCCTGTAAGGCCTCCAAACAAAGTCAGCTCATATTCAATTCCATAATTAGGAAATGCATGTTGAATGTAATCCGTATGAGTCATTATGGTGTAGAATGGATGAGTCTAACTAATCAAATGGTGATCACTTGGCGGGGTTAACACCTTGCATAAGCCTGTTCAGCTTTTGGCCTATGGAATGGAGATGGTAGCCTTTTCTTATACTATCTACAATGAAGACATACCAGAAAAAATCAAATTTCTTCAGCTACGTCATGATGTCAGCTCGATCGGTACATACTTTGTGCTTGATCTCAGCCCATCGTTGAGCAAGTTGCTGGGATCTTGGTTCTTGCCATGTCAACTATTGATCTAAATATTAACAGAAATAGCGCGCTAGTCCTCTTGACTTTTCATGGCCAAACCAAAAATAAATTGTAATTTTGACAAGATCATTCAATGTTCCAATGTTACTTACTGCATAGTAGCAGCGCGATATAGATATATACTGCTTTAAGTATACTCAACTGACTATTCTGCCACCTGTCTTACGATTCGAGATGTTCGATTTTCATCGAGTCAGCTCAACCATTGGTAGTCGCCATCGGTAATAGCCATCAGTAATGAAAAGTGATTACCTAGGTATGATGAAGGATCCTGGTTATGCAGACTAAGGGAATTTTACAGCAGACAATGAGAGTCTTTGTCGAGACCAATAAGGGGCGTTCGGACGGATGATCTGAACGTTGCTATTGGCTTTGGTGTCAGAAAAAGTGGAGATCATAAACTATTCAGTTGATCCAACGAGATAGAAACACCTTTTACAACTTCATTAGACGCAATAATAGTAGACGTGTTAAAAGACTAGTGATGTCATTAATTCCGACAGAATTCGATGGCTTTTGCATAGCTATTTCATATATCCATATTTTTTGATAGTTTTTCTTAAGGAGTAATTGTTTGAATATCGATCATAGTGATTGAATCCAATTATTTCATGTCTTTATTCATCATGCTTATCCAAGGACCCTAATTATTCAAAGGTCATGCCCTTTGAATTCTCTCCACCGATAGACAAAGAGTAGCACCGAAAGCTCTCACTACTACCGAACTCGTCTAGAATAACTAGCCTTGCTTGAAGATCTGACCCTCTCTTAGTCTGGTATTAAACGTCAACTCCTTTCTGTTAGCTTCTCAGCAGACTTTTCAGGACAGGAAAAAATATTATTTGTGGGGCTCTTTACTATACTAGTATTTTGATATCCAAGTTCAGCATCATCTCCTATTACTTGACAACACTTAGAGATATGGGTGATGAATGAATTGACAGGAGTTGTAACCATGGTATTGGAGTATGTCTTCCTGCTTGTCAAAAGAAAGATCTAAACATTAAAGAAAATCTAGTTCGCGTTGTTGATAAATGGCTTTACAAAGAAAATACGACCACGGACCATGGGTTACATTTAAGAAATCTTGAAGCCATAGAGATCTAGAAAGCCCTACGAGGAGGCGATCAAAAATAGAACAAATTTCTAGACATGATAGTTCCTCTCCTTTCACGCATTCTTTCATTTTGATCTTCACGGCATCTCATTTTCTTTCAGTCACTTAGATTCCTTTGATATTTTGACCTTTTTTCTTTCAGTTTTCACGACTTGCAATGTTCTAAGTCTTTAGACTACGTAAAGAAAAATTACTTAAGAGTTCTGTAGTTAACCTCATTCCTAAAGACATTCATCACCTTCTTTAAGGCGTCTCTGTTCTCTTTACTACATACACTTCAAAGCAAACACCGGAAATCTCCAGCAAAACCTCCATCATGGGGAAAGTCTTGGGGAAAAGAAAGCCAAAGAATGATGGCAACAGACCAAATAAGAGGAAGACGACAGAACAGAATAGACGCCAAGTTACGATGCTTGAACCAAACGTTGATATAGTGGCTGAGCCGGCTGTTTCAATTGAATTAGGAGAATTGCCTACAGCTATGGATGAAGTTCGCCTAAAATAGTGATACAAAGTGGGTAATGCAAACCCTACAAACCAGGCCAAATCAGGCTAACTAGGCCCAATCGAGCCTAAACCACCACCCATTTGACATGTAGTGTCAAAGACCCGATTCCATTTACAGTTAGTCTTTTAGTCAGCATTGGAATCCCACCATGGGATTCCTACCATAGTTACACACATACACTTTTTCATACGTATACTGCACTCTCATTTGCCCACTAGAATCCACTATTCCTTTGGTAGTCAGACCTCCATTTGACATCAGGTGATGATCAGGTGACGGTCAGTGATGGCGGTCGCATGCTTATATAACGGTCACTGACTTGCTCTTGGCGTTCGTGGCGTGCTCAGCTCTACTCAGTGAGCAAAAAGCGGCAAGCACTGAGCACTAACGCGGAAGGGGAAAGCCAAGAACTGGGAAAGAAAATCATCTACATAGGTATTGTATAATCTCAGATCCCGAGTCATAGAGGATGTCGCTATCTTAATATGTTCTCCAGCTTCCAAGGTTCTTATTTTTTATTTTTTATTTTCTTCCAAGCTCCCGAATTTATTGAATTCCGAGGTCGTTGGTTGTAGCACCAAGGCCTTTGTGCTCTTATTAGTGAGGCAACTTCTAAGGTTGTTGTTCCTCTCGATGATACAATGGAGTCAGTCTGTCAACTTCCTAACCTTGAAACATTGGAACCTTGGAAGGTTAGGGCGTTAGGGCGTTAGGGCTTCAATTTCCTTCAAACAACTAATGGATAAATCGTGTAAATAATCCAACTACTTTGGAACTCTCTGGTCTTGTTTTGAATCTAATAAAAATTGAAACGAGCTTGAACAAAAGTACATCTATTAGATGTTATGCATATAAATCATGAACGGCATTCGACAAATCTGAAGTATGTAGACGCTAGTAGTCTTTTTCTTTACTCTATAATCCACCAGTTTTTATATTTACTCCATCTCAATGGTACCAGGAGGCTTGCTGGTGTAGTCATAGCAAACACGGCAGACACCATCCACCTCGTTCACAATGCGGGTGGAAACCTTGGACAGGAACTCGTGGCTGAAGGGGTATGGGGTGGCAGTCATGAAGTCCTTGGTAGAGATGGCGCGGAGGAGGATGATGTTAGCGTAGACGCGCTTGTCTCCCATTACACCGACGGCCCGCGACGGGTCAAGAGCAGCGTAGGCCTGGCCGATTTCGTCGTAAAGACCGGCTTCGCGGATCATACCGATGAAAATGTGATCGGCCTTGCGGGCCATGTCGACCTTCTCCTTGGTAACCTCACCCAGAACGCGGATAGCGAGACCGGGGCCGGGGAAGGGGTGGCGGCCGACAAGCTCGGCGGAAATATTCATCTGGCGACCGAGCTCACGGACTTCATCCTTGAACAGCTCACGCAGAGGCTCGATGAGCTTCAGACCGTGACCGGCCATGAGGCGCTCAGCGATACCACCGACGTTGTGGTGGGTCTTAATGGTCTGAGAGGGGCCCTTGAACGAGATACTCTCGATGACATCTAAGAAAATAGGCATTAGTTTGGACGGAGTTTCAGATGTATTGATAGGAAGACTGACCAGGGTAGAGGGTGCCCTGCAAGAACCACTCGACCTTGCCGGCACTCTTGGCCTCGATCTTTCGGGCCTCCTCCTCGAATACATCGATGAACTTGCCACCGATGAACTTGCGCTTCTTCTCAGGGTCGTGTTCTCCCTTGAGACCAGCCAGGAATTCCTCACTAGCATCAACGACGGTCAGGTTGATACCCAGCTGCTCCTGGAGAACTTCCTTGACCTTGGCACACTCGTCGAGGCGCATGCAGCCGTTGTCAACAAGGACGGCGTGGAAACGGTCACCAATGGCCTCGGTCATGAGCTTGGCAGCCACAGTGGAGTCGACACCACCGCTGACGGCACCGAGAACCTGGCCAACAGGGCCAACAAGGTTGCGGATACGGGTGATCTCCTGTCCAATGAACTCGGACATAGACCATGTTTGCTTAGCACCGCAAATGCCGACAGCAAAGTTCTTCAGGAGCTGACCACCCTGAGGGGTGTGGGTCACTTCGGGGTGGAACTGAATACCGTAGACAGGCTCAGTCTTGTGGGCAATAGCAGCATACTCTGAGTTCTTGGTTGTGCCAATGGTGTGGAATCCTTCGGGCAGGTTGCACAGCTTATCACCGTGGGACATCCACACGGTGATGGCATCCTCAAGACCCTCAAAAAGCTTGTCAACATGACCACCGAAGCGAGAAGCGACCAGATCAGCATGGCCATACTCGCGGGCAGTACCGGCGATAACATTCTCGGCATGCAGACGGTAGGCAATCTCCTGAAGACCGTAGCAGATACCCAGAATTGGAACACCAAGATCGAAGAAGGCGGGATCGATGTGAGGAGCATCCTTCTCATAGACAGAGTAAGGACCACCGGAAAGAATGATACCCTTGGGCTTCCAGGTCAGATCGGCAAGCTTCTGGGTGCAAGGCAGCATCTCAGAGTAAACATTGATCTCACGGAGACGACGAGTGATGAGATGAGTGCTATAGAGAGATTAAATTAGTACGAATAAGATATGATATAAGTGTGAGGAAACATACTATTGAGAGCCATTGTCAAGCACCAGGATGGTGTCGAAAGAATTGTGGGGGATCACCTCGGTAGAAGCCATTTCGATGATGCTGCAGAGTCACAGACAGTCCAGTGTAGTTATTGAGGGGATAATTCGTGAGACAAGTCTGTGAAAACCCAACAAATTGGCCCCAATATGAAATGACTCAAGAGATTTTCTGAGATCCGCGATAAGAAAAAAAAAGAGATCGATTACCCTCACCGCCTAAGCCTTTGCATGTGGAGGGGTAGCTTATCTCAGCCTTATCTATTTACGACGTAGTTGCTACCCGCGACTAAATATTTATTCATATTATTAGAAGTCTGAGAGTGAAGTAGAATATTAATTTTAGAAAATGCTTAGCTAGGCAGTTAATTCGACTACCATTGGCTATCTGTTTCGCTATCACTAGCCGGATAGGCCTTCTTTCTCAACTTCCACAAGGAGGTTTCGCGCCGAGCAGCATTTTCACGCTGACGCTTGCTATTGTCTTCCACCACTGTCATCCAAGGCACATTGCTTACCCGGCGGATTCTCTCCCGCAATAGAGAGATAGTCAGGTTTTGCTGGTCTTCCTTGGCAGTGTCTTTCGACTTGTTGCCTGGAAGAAGAGATTTCTGATATTTTCTCTCAGCAGATCTTGCAGCATAATACTCTTCGCTGACGGCCCAATTAGGGCTGTCCAGTTGACCACGTACAAGGACGATTTCATGCCCCTGCTCGATGGCCTCACGTAGACGGGGAGACGATATAGGAGTAGATAGCTCAATTTTGTGAGTTGACACATTAACCGAGCGGACCAGAGCCAGACCTAGACAATTGGACGCCTTGGGATCCAATGGATTGCAGCTCCCAGATCCGGTGAAGAGGTATGGAAGGTCCTCTTTTGAGGTTCTAATGATGCCATCATTTGAGAAAGCAGTTGTGCCCTCACTAGCTTTGTCTAGGCCCATATGGGTATCCTCGTCTGCATCAAGGTCATTTTCATTGACCTCCGACTTGTCCGATGTCGAACTTGAGCCCATAATTGCTTTTCGCGATTCAATGGCTACTACACCAACAGTTGCACCTTCTAGAACTTCCCGTAGCATATCGGGGTTGATTTGTGATCCCATGACCATAATGCCCAGAATTCCTTGTTTCTCACCAGCATAGTCCACAGCAATTGGCCTGGTGCGGGACAGAGGTCTTCCTTGCCAGATTGGGTTGCTGAGGTCGGTTGGATGAGACTGGTGGAAGTAAGATTGTATTTGCATTGACCGTAATTGGCCGCTCGACCGACTAACAAAGTCGGTAGGTTGGGATGGTAGAATGGTCAGAGGAACTTGAACTTCATTTGCGGCAAGTCTCAAAGGCTCCACAACTTCTCCTGGTCCCTTTTCACTCATGTAAACGACGTCAGAAAGCCCAAGAGTCTTGATCAACCATGTTGCCACCTCCAATCCTTGTCCAAAGATCCAGCCAGGGTAGTTAATGATTAGTGGACACTGGGGGTATTGGGCTAGCATTGATCGGTACTGCTCCATCAGATCCATTACAGCCAGAGCATAGTGATCAGGGTCCTCCTTGGGTGAAGTGGCCCCAATATGATGCGCTCGTACAATGCGACCATCACGCGAGCCGTCCAAAGACGGATGAGTGAAAGGTGGGCCGAAGAATGGAGAGTGTAGGTGGGCGAGGTATACTTGGCCCATAGGGGCAAACTCAGGCTGCCCTGGATCTAGATCCAGGAAAGCAACACCATCAGTGTTGACATATCCGGTTTCAGTATCGGGTGCAGGGCTGAGAACATGATTCAATAGGTAGCGACCAAAGGTAGATTTCCCGGATGCCTTTGGACCACAAATTAGAACACGAAGTCGTCCCTGTCTCTGTGAGAGTGCCTTCATCGACGCACTCCATTTTTTGTCAAGATGGAGAGGTCTCAGGTGTCTTTTCAAGGAATCGTCTGCGGAAGTGTAAAGCTGGGATAATAATTAGTCTCCAAGCTATAAAATAAGTAAAGCAGATAATCTTTAGATAACTCACCAGAGAGAAGGTCCGCCGAGAATCTTCAAGCGAGCCTTTCAAGGAAATTTTATCCGCAGCCGTGATTTCGCCATTCCAAATTTTTTGATACAAGGGAGAGATGTCCTTGAGACGAGAGAGGCCGCTATTACACGACTTGATCTCTACTTCTGCCTCACCGTCGACGCCCGCAACACACTTTATGACAGGTAGGGAGTGAGTTGACGGGGCATGGACCCTGTACAACCTTGGTGAGGGGTGCAATTTAGCACCCATGACACTAACAACTCCTCTCTTAACCCAAAGATCATATTGACCTAGCAGTGTCAGATTCTACAATCAAATCAGTATCATTCAAACCAACTGGCTGCACGATGCCATACCATTTTCTCTCGGAGGCGGATACACAAGGTACTGCCATCGCCATGGACGAGATTACTCCTGTTTAATCGAATCTTGGACAGAGGGAAGTTTTGCATCTCTACTGGAGTTTCCGTGGGTGATTCATATCCATCAGCGTCACTGGAAACTGATGCGAGTTCATCTTCTGTCCTTCCATCGGGACCGTCAGCTGGAGTTTCCTCGAGTTCCTCCTCATCAGATTCCTCGTCAGACTCTGAGGTATCACTCTGCTGCTCCAATTGAGTAGAAGCGGATTTCTTGGGCCGCTCAGGTATTGCCTCCGAAGTCAATGGCACCTCCTGTTTATTGGATGATCTTGTACGGTGATTGACAGCCTCCGTGGCATTTGACTTCGCGGGCTTATCTCCTTCGAGGGATCGTCGTGGTCTTTTAAGAGGTGGCTCAGATACTGGCTCAACTTCTACCGCAACTTTCGACACAGCTTGCGACTGCTGCTGTCGGGCTTTGCGCGCCGCGATAGCGCTGACCGGGCCTAGATAGGAGAAATTAGTACGAAACTGAGCCCTTCATTCTGTAGAAAATTGGCCTTACCAGCGCCTTGTTGCTTCTCGGCCTTTCGCTTCATCATATTACTGAAGGAATATTAATTTAACATTCAGTCTTGATGGGAAGTCGATAATGTGCCGATAAGCAAAAATTTAAAAATTCAAGTGGTCCGTGCGCCTGCGGAGCAAAAAAAAAAAGAATCTCCAACGTCCCTTCAATTCCATACTTGCTGAATTGTGATATTCTGCAATTAGTCGACTAGTCAACTCTTCGTCTTGTTTCTGGCTACCAAGGATCTTCATTCCATTTGGGCTCCTGATTTTGCGAAGTCACGTCGCGCAATTAGCACGCCGCATCAACTACAATCGCCGTTCTAGCCTTTCCTACACAATCGACATGGCTGCCGCCTCTTCTTCCGGTAGTGATACTAGCTCAGTCCTCTCGAGTTCGCCTGAGCCAGACAACAAACAGAAGCAGACTTTGAAAGCAAGCTCGAAGGCCAAGGATGACGCTGAATCGTCAAGCTCTTCGGGCTCTAGCGATTCAGAAAGCGATTCAAGCTCCAGTGAGATGGACACATCAGAGGATGAAGCCGAGACTCGACCACGGGGCAAGAAGTAAGAGATCTCTCCAATCGATGGTTTCGACTCTGCGTGCATCAGTACTTATATATTGGATTTTAAGGATTCCCGTCGCACAGCCGTACAAGCCTCCATCAGGCTTTAAGTCTGGAAAGACACAGGCTCCACCATCCTCAAGCTCGTCTTCTATCCTCTCGAACCTAGATGGTAAACAAGTCATCCATATCACGGCTCCATCCTTCCTTCCGTTGTCCAAGGTTAAAGAAATCTCGATGTCTAAGATCCTGAAGGGTGAACCTATCATGTCGTTTGATGGAACGAGCTACGGAATCCCAGCCGACTCTTTCAATACAAAACACCCACAGGGCAAATCTCTGCTCATCTTTGATCAGAACACCCAGTCATACCACAGCCAAGCCGACCACATCCAATCCTACCACATTCAAGAATTGATTGGCCGACCTGATTCCAATAACGCTGCCGTGGAAGCGTTGCGAGACACAGTCAAGCCTCCCCGACCTCAACCGAAGAATTTGAAGATGCGCTTCCGACCTGTCGGCAGTCTCCCCGCCCCTCCAGAAACTCTTGGGTCTGACTCTGAGTCAGAATCAGAGCCCTCTTTCAAGGTCCCGGGTGGAAAAGAGGAACGGAAGCGGAAGCATCACCAAAGCGATGGTGACGCTGTTCACACGACTACTTTGCCCAGCAGGAAGAAGTCGAAGAAGCACACACAAGACAACGAAGCAGAGGATGAAAGTAGCAAGAAGAAATCGAAAACCTCACACAAAGACCGAGAGGAAAAGAAGCGGAAAAAGTCTTCCAAGGCATGATGTGGTGGTTCAATTAAAAGATATTTTTTGTTTTTCATGACATGCACAGCAACTTCAATGTATGAATTCATCACTCAATGTTTTTTTTTTTTTTTTTCTGAATTGGCTACCTACCTCCCTTAATAACCAATTATGCCTTGGAAATAAATGTTTGCTATAGTACAAAAAAGAGTAGGGAAACACCTGGAAGTGTTGAAACTAACCACTGCACTTAACCATTATCTCACTATCTACCTAGGTAACTGTATGTAGCAAATTTTCTTCCCTCAGTCGGGCTATCCTAAATCAGCTACCGCCGCTTTAATGAGGGCACTCAGAGTTAGACTCAGTGTGTAAGATGAGCACCCTCTAAATGGCCACCCCTAGTTTTACCTACTTTAGTAAGGATAACCCTCTATGCTTGGGCCAGAGTCTGCTATCTCCGAAGAGCTATTTGATCTTTTGAAGATCATGGTGGCTTTGAGGGGTGGAGATTACGTCTCTAAATAACGGGGGTGTCTTAAGGCGAGTTAGTGAGACCCGTAGTTGGGATGAGCTAAGACCCTGAGAAGAGTCAAAAGGCATCTATACTTATAAAATCGCTTATTCATAAACTCCCTAGGAGTTCAAAGGCCATCATCTGTGGCGATTTTGTTTCCCAACCATGCCTTCTTTTTGGGAACTAAATCTTCAACCTTTTTGTTGATATCTTCCCACTATAATTTGACACTAGAACCAATGTCAAATGATGAATTGGCTTTGGCCAATATACTGGAAAAAGAAAAAGAAAATTATATTTACTTATCCTGACAAATGTTATCATGAAAAAAGTGGAGCATACGCCTTGGAAGTTGGCGTACTACTTAACACACAACTCAATACGCTCGCATTATTCGCTCTATTATTTACGATTCGCGTTCAGCTTTTGATCATGCATTTGACCAATCTTCCCAACGAGATTTTAGAGGCGATCGTCCTACACACTCTACCAGAAGGCTTCGATGGGTTCAAAGTGACATGTAAGCATATCCATGCAGTTTGTACTCCATTTTTCAAGATGGAGTAACTTCACATTCAAAAAGTTGTTCACAAAATCAACCGATTGTGGGGCCGATTACTAGTAAAACGATTCGCCCACTCATTATCTTTAAAGGCAAAAACCTACAGACTCCATGGCTTTAAACCGACATCCTAGACTAGTTTTATACTACAGTAGAGAATGGCTAATTGTCAAACTCAACTAGTATTGAATGGCTAAAGACAATCTTTTTGCCTGAAACAGCTATACTCGATCAGCATCAATTACTGATTCTCGACGGCCATGGTAGCTATATCAGTATCGATTTCTTATGGATTTATAAGCAAAACAACATCGAATTAGTGTTTTACCTGCTTATAGTAGCCATGTTCTATAGCCACTTGACCTAGGCACATTTTCGTCTATTAAGGCCAAGAGACCTAATACATTGTTAAGAGCAATAGTGTAATTAGAAGTAGAGCAGAAAAAATAAAGAAAATTTTATATCCACTAATAATATGGAAAACTGCAGAGGTCCTCGAACTGAGAAGCCCAGAAAATCGGAAAAGGGGAGATCTGAAACCAAAAGAATGGTCTCGGGGTCGGTATAAGTGAGCTAATAAGTTTCCAGCATGACGGTGGAATCAAGATGGAACGTGGTCGATGTTGAGAAAATCCTTGTCATGGGTGTGGGCGGAGACCTTGCCGGGCTAAAGTGGTTTGAATCTTGTTCCGCAGTTCGTTAAAGTCGAGGGGAAAGAGATCCCCGGGATTTCGGGTTTGGAACACCAGGCCTGATCCAAAAAGCTCAGCACGGGTAAGGTAAATAGGTGGCTCTTGTTGAATTGGAAAAATGCTTCGCTCCTCGTCGCAGTTGGGAATTCCCGCAGCATTTAGCCTCCAGACTTCTAAACGAACGGCAATTCCAAGTTTTCGACGAAAAAACTTCACTAGTATCACGAGCTGTGTTTTGGGGGACGCTCCAATAAGAATCCTTCGAGCATTTTCTTCGAGGCTTTCATAGCTCTGGCTAAAACCGGTCTCGACAACGATACTTGGGAGTGGCGATTTTCCCGGGGAGGTAAAGGGAGCACGATTTGAGATCAATAGGACGTCAGGTTCCTTCTTTTGGCCCTGATATGGAGGTATCACGAAGTCGACTTGTGGACTTGCGTATATCATAAGATCACGGCGCTCAGCGGCATTGTAAAGGCCCATATCGCATCCCATATCCGATCACAAATCACCAGCCAAGGAAGAATCACTTCGTGCGCCCATGTTGGCATCTTGATTTCAAGAATGCCTTGCTCGGGCAAAAAGGTTTTGCGGATTTTTGGGTACTGGGAACTCAGCAGGTTCCAAAGGGAATTACCTAATTTCAATGTGACATCTGTCAACACGATGAACTCCTCAATCTCAAGGTTTTCGGTTTGTTTGAGAAGCTCCAGCGCTTTTTTGGCGGAGCAGACGTTTTTCAGTGAAAGGTTTTTGTCTGGAGTCTCGGAGTTCTCAGGATCTTGGCTTTCTGGATTATTGATAGGATCTTCGTGTTTCTCTGGGTGCTTGGAGGGACTGCCAGGTGGGTAATTCTCCTTTGAACTTGAGCTCTCTGGGGGTCCAGAACTTGGGGAATCAGAAGTTGAAGGACTCATGATGGAAAATATGAAAGTTAAAGGATTTACAGATAGACAAGATGGTAATTCAAAAATTGGAAAGTGGAACTATAGAAGTTGAAGAGTACTGATCTGCCGGGCGCTAATCCATATACGGTTAGCGTTCCAAGCATATCCACATTAAGGAATCTAGAGCAGTGCACGGTGATCTTTGCGATGAATTCAAGGACTAGAGCCCTTAGTGTGCTATTATGCCACAGTGCAGTGGCGCAGCGCTCAGAATAGAAACTGAATAGCGCTAAATAGGATAATTGAGCGGTGCCTGAGGATGGACACCAATTGGCATTGAGGTCTACGCACCAAACACGAGTCATGACAGGGCTGTGTTCTCATCAGAACGTCATGTGGGACATTTGCTCTGTATCTCAATCGAATTATTGGCTGCTGATATCTATGGCTGTGGATGTTGAAGACAACTACCAGCTACTCAATGACTACCAGCTACTCAATGCTTCCCACCCACAACTGACCAATGGACTAAAGCACCCCTACCCTGATCATTCGGACCAAGGAGTCGCGGTCAATGCTTTCAGCCTCTGGCTACTGATGGATGATGATTGGTTGGAAAGTCAATGGATATATATTCTAACTATGTTGTGGCTACGGAACTATCCCACTTAACGTGCGTCACGGTTGACCGAGCGTCCCGGTTGGCCGAGCGACACCTCAAAATATTTACCCCGAAATCGACCCTCCTTTTTCTAACACCAACAATGCCTCCAATTCGCACTCAAAAATCGAAAGATTTGGAGCAGCAGGAGAGTAAAGTCTTATTAGCAATTCAGGCTATTAAAGATGAACGATACTCCTCTGCTGCTGCCGCTGCTCGCGCCTTTTCAGTTCCTGTCTCAACTTTGAAAGCGCGAATCCAAGGTCGCAAATCGAAGGCCATAACTCGCCATTCTCGCCATAAATTCTCTAAAGGTGAGGAGAAATCGATGGAAAAATGGCTCCTTGATATGGACGCTAGAGGATTCGCTTTTTCGCATGAAATGTGCCGAAATATGGCGAATCTGCTCCTCCGCGCCCGCGAAATTGTCCCCTCCGACACCCCCCCTAAAGTTGGCAAAAACTGGGTGACAGGATTCCTTCAACGCACCGAATCTCTTCATACGCGAAAATCTCGGGCGCTTGATATCCAGAGGGCGCAGACAGAAGATCCACAAGTCATCCAAGGGTGGTTTAATCTCGTCCAGAATATAGTCACAAAATATGGTATCCTTTCAGAGGATATCTATAACTTCGATGAGACTGGATTTGCGATGGGTGTTATATCTTCAGAGTATATTATATGCTCCTCAGATTACCATGGTAAACGAAGGCTTCTTCAAGCTGGAAATCGAGAGTGGGTTACTGTTATTGAGACTATCAACGCCCAAGGTGTTGCGCTTCCGCCCTATATCATCCTAAAAGGGAAACATTTTATGGAGCGTTGGTTTGACCATCTACCCCCTAAATGGTCACTAAACACTAGCCCAACTGGTTGGACTACAAATCCAATGGGTCTAGATTGGCTGAAAAGCCACTTTATACCTAATTTGGTCCAGAAAGGGAGATATATTCTGTTGGTTTTAGATGGTCATTCTTCGCATCGTACGCCAGAATTCGACCAACTATGCGCGGACAACGATATTATTTGTCTATGTATGCCAGCTCATTCATCCCATCTATTACAACCTCTTGATGTAGGATGTTTTTCGGTGCTTAAAAAGGTATATGGAGGCCTGATTAGTGCTGAAATACAGAATGGAGTGGATTCTATTGATAAGGATGATTTCCTCCAAATCTATCCTTATACACGCAAAGCAACATTTAAAGCATCTACTATAGTGAATAGCTTCAGGGGCGCTGGTTTAGTACCCCTGGATGCTAATCATGTTTTAGAAAAGCTGAATATCATGGTCGAAAACCACCCTCAAGACCCCCCTTAAGACCCCCCTCACGACCACCCTCAACGCCCTACTTCTTTAAGCAGCAGTGACTTAAATCGGCCTTGGAGCTACTCAAAAGTCCAAAAATCGAATTCTGCTATCAAGAAAGAACTCGAATCTTCCTCAGGAGCTTTAACTTCACCTCTAAAACGACAAATTTATCGGTCGCAAGATGCGCATACTCAGATGGCGATTCGGATGATGATGATGGAAGACCGTATTCAGCGATTGGAGAATACTGCGAAGAGAAAGATAAAAAAGAGAGCGGCTAGCAAGAAGCACAGAGGCCATGAAGGGAGTCTTCGGAGTTTGGAGGAATTGCAGCAAAGCGTGGTTGCTCAGGAGAATGGTAGAGTTGAATATATATCCCTAGAGGATGCTCCTGGACAACCTATAGAAGATGTTCCATTGCCTACTTTACCTACTATTAGGCGACTCGTCACCTGTTCAGGTTGTGGAACCAAAGGCCATATATATACCCAGTGTCCTACACGCGTTAAATAGATAATTAATTCATGTTTTGGTGTTAAAAGTTGATGTTGAAAATCTTAGATTTTTTAAGTTCCAAATGCGTCGCTCGATCAACCGGGACGCTCGGTCAACCGTGACGCACGTTAAGGGCCCACCTGCTGACTCATCCCCTCATCTCTCCTTCCCGATCCCTGCCTCCTCAATGTCTAAGCGGACCGTTCCGGGAGCCAGATTTATGGGCAAATTTGACGATTGATTCGATCCTAAGTCTAGTAGTGAAAATTGCAAGCCTCCCATTCATATCATGATATCATAACCCTAAGCCACTCATATCTTCTTCCGTTCACGCGTAATCGCCAAGACGATTATGAGCACGCCGAAGATACCGCCCACCACTCCATACGCGATAGTCCCTCCCGTTGAATTGGCAGCAAGCTGCAGTCCAAGACCTCCATTGATTATCCCCAGCAATATGAGCACTCGCCCATACCAGATATGAACAAAACTTCGACTCCCATTCTTTCGAAAGCGAAAGTGGTGTGCAAGTCCGATAAACGGTTGGAAAAACATGAGCACAACCACAATGATGCCGAGGACTGTGTGGGCGTTATGTCCGATCTGCAACAGCCTCATTAGATCCTCTCGATATGCGTCGAAAAATAGATGGCTTACCATGTGTAGTGTACGACCAACACGAACACCGTAAGCCAGACCAACGATCATTAGAGCCCAGCTGATGAGCTGCCATATCGCGTGTATCCAAATTGACCCTTGCACTTTGAGACCCCGAATGATCAACGCTCCAAGTGGCATCATGACAGCGAACGCAAGTGCCATCACGATGCCATGGATTTTGAGATATCTTGGTATAAGGGCGAAATCAGAGTAGCCGTCATCGCCATAGGGATCGGAACCGCCGCCTCTGAATGACATGATGATCACTCCTGTTTGAATTAATTGACAAGCTTTTATCAGAAATTCTGGCGAGACCTGCGAAGCTTATATACTTTATGAGTCCCAACCTCCATGCAATAAAGGCTGAGCCTGCATATGCACCCCTCGTATCCACGACAACAGTCCACGACGCCAGCCTACGACACCTGTACATGTCAGCAAGAACAGCTCAGATTGCCGAGCTCACCGAGTATCCTTTTGGCATTCTTGTCTCTGGTTAAAACTTAGATATGCAAAGGCACCTGATTCTATCACCGTTTTACCCATTGAGCATATTCTAAAACAACGGCATCGCTCTCGGACACATCAAGCCAAGGACCGGGAAGCCCCTGCAGAAAATGCAATCCGTGGTTGGTGGAAAGTATCCCTCAAGAATCACCACTGAAGGAATACGGTCGCAAAATGACAGAGTGATACATCTTGGAGGTCTGAGTGTATAATATTCTGTCGCTTTCCAAATACCGCTTGTCGTATTGAAACGTATCTTCTTGAAAATTTCATCCCTACGTCATTAAAAAGCACGAATCTTGGCGTTGTATCATATCTCGATTGAAATTTGGTGTATTGGGCTGGTATATATCAGGAGGCGGTGTCGATGACAGCAAGGGGTCAATTTAAAACGGACTTGCGTAATGCAGCTTTTCTAAACAAAGCTTCTTTCTAGGTTATATTTCGTCTTCACGGAGCCTTCAGTGGAATTGACTTCAAATTACACGAAATTGGACTAACTAGAAAGTGATTGAATAAGTTTTGTGCGCAACTCCCGAGAATGGTAAGACTACCAATACCATGGATATTGGCGGTACCATGCTTATGATCCCACTAGCAGAGCACCGGGATTTATCAGCCGTATTGCTCATGATCCGGTCGCGAGTCGTTACTTCAAAAAGATAGACTTATCAATGGACAGTCGAAAGCGCGATTTGATATCATTTTGGGAACCTGAAGAAAAAGCAATGAGATCTCTTTTCGCGCATTCTTCCTACTTAAGAGAAGCTGGTCTCAACTGGGAGGAATACTATAAAATGATTGAAACGGAAAGAGACTCAAAACTTGGCTACTCACAGTCTGCTGTTGTTTTTTTGCTGAGTTTACTACCCAACGTCACAGAACTGGTGCTCCCTCAACTCTGGCAGCCGTCGAATATCACTGATAGGCTTCTTTGAACCATTATCAAAAGGGCTAGAAGAAATAAGCATTCCGCTTCTAAGGCTAGTTTGGCACAAGTTTCTATTGTGGCGCACCATGCTCCATCGTGGACTCCTCCTACATCCTTCCCGACACCCTTACTTGCGCTTCCTAGACTCAATCATTTCCAATATGACAGGTGTGTGGGAAAGGACTATTGGTTCAACGTGACAACGAAATATCTGCCATCTGGTTTTGAATTTCTTGAAACCATAATTCTGGAAGAGAGCGTTCACAGTACTACAAGTGTCTCACAACTTCTCAAAAATACACCCAACCTGAAAGTCTTCCACTACAGGCACCAACCTGGCGAGTCAGACCGAGAGGAAAATGATCTCTGGCTATTTACCCAAATAGTAGGAGATTCGGTTGGAGCCAGTCTAGAGGAATCATCGATTTCTGTTTGCCCGAACCCTGACGGACGATATCCGAAGCCAATCAACTCAGCGAGATCACGACATCAATTGTATAATTTTAAAAAAACTCAAAAAGCTTGAATTGAGCCAAACAATGATGATCTACGATGACTGGAACAGTCTCCAAGATGAAGATATGGCTTGGCTGTTGAGTTTTCTTTTTTCCAACTTCAGGATTTGATAATTTTGAGATCTACCTTTCAATGTGATGACCTTCCATGTCTTCTGTCCAAATCAAAATGGTACCTATCCCTGCACTTAACCTGATTTTCTGAGCTGGTTGACTAAGAGATTGATCAGGTTTCAACGCAGCCCAACATGCAGATAGATACCTAGGTGGACTATTTATGTACATATACAGCATATGAATTAGGTCCTAGTGTTTTTGTAGATTCTCTCTGCCATAAAGTATATCCATACCTAAGTGTATACGAAAGAAATCAAGATAGGCATCGCCCGAAGTTTCGCAGAAGATATCGGGAAGTGGGCTGAGAAAATGAAAAAGGTGATACCTATTCTTGAGACTTGAGTCTGTATGAGTCTATATTAGGGTTTAATAGAGTTATTTAGTAGTACAATAAATAATTCTCCCACACCGTGAATCCATGATGTATAGTTGATGCCGGGTGGGAAATTGTGGCCAGATCCCAGATCCTAGATCCTGACTGTGTTATCAGAGCACCCTGATGCGAGTCAGACTGACTGGGACCATTTCTGTTCAATGCGGTCGAGAAGAGCGGTGGTGCCTTTGCCATAGTCTTCCTGCGTGTAGACCGTCTCATCAAAGTTATAAAGTTGCTGGATATAGTACTCCGGGTGTATTCATTGTCGGCGAATAGCAAGGCCGCATCGCTAGAATCGCATGGTAAATCTGCCTCGTCCTCAGGCTCTGTCAGATCAGTATCATATCGACAGTATTCGATTTCTTCGCTCTCTGAATAGTCGCTGTTGCTGGATGATTGGAATTTCGCCTTGCGAGAGAGCCGCGCTATGGTGAGAGGGATGTGGGGCGCGGCAGTATATATGACAAACTGTTGCAGAAAGTCCTAGTGCGAGCTTGTAGATTGAGAAGCAAGTTGTGGTTCAGAGCAAAGAGCCAGATGATTCTTGTCGCTGAGACTTGGGAGTGCCTGGAATTAGAGAGGAAATCGCTGCTACTTTAAGTGACACGATTCTCGAGGGGCCATTTTTGGTGTTTTTGGGAACTGGAAGCTTCAGGCAGGAGAAAAGGGCGGGCCACTGGGATGCGAATTAGACTGCTGCGGTGTCCTGAGGGCGCAGGGGAAGTGCATGGAACGGTTGCGATGAGTGGCAGCAAGGTTGGCAGATGTGCGGCCAAAAACAGCGACACTTTCGGCCATTTCTAGCTGTATCTTTGCCGTTATCCAGTTTAAAGTAGAGATATTTTGGCACTTTAACAAGGATATTCAGACGTAAACCACCTGCGGTGTATACTTCAATTCACATGAATGTTTCAAAGATAGCAAACAGCATAGCGATCATAGCAGCAGCTCCTGCTTCTGGCCTACCCTGACCGCCAGAGGTATAACCAACATTCATAGAGTTGTTCCCAAATCCAACTGTCCGGAGCCACGTCGGCACAGTTGTGCTTATATCTAGTACATCGGAATGATAATAATCCAAGTCTCCTTTAAAGGTGAACCGAATAGTACCCTGAACCGAATCTCCATCACTTATCTCACCGCCATCTGGAGTGCCAATATACCCTGTGTCATTCGCTCTCAGAAGCGGAGATGCCACGAATTTCCCCTCCAAAGTGAGGTTGGCAGATTTATCGTCGAACTTTGCGTTCATGGATGGTAACTTGAAGTCTGTCCAGCCTCGTGTGCTCCACCACGAGTCCCCTGGCTGTTATAAGATTGATAGCGTGTAATTTCCGTAGTAGTAGCTGGAGTTACATGTAGACATCCAGATAGGTTTGAAGCTCTGTGAAGCTAATCCAAGGGAGATGTTTTCATCTAAAGTTCCTGCAAGCGAGAAGGAATTTGGAGATTTAATTGTTGACATGTCGAAGTGGTCTTCCACAGTTGTGTTTTCGTTGTATTGCCGAGTCGGACTAAACAGTTTTAATCATCGTTAATTTATCTGCACAAGAGGCTCAACGGTGATCAGCGCTTACTCACTCTGAAGATTGCAACGCCCACCACAGGGGCCGGGGGTATTCATCTGGTGCTAGTAGGTTCAAGTTAGACTTGTTGTAATTCGGCGGTATTAAGGTCAACATTATGTTGACCGAGTTCGATCCCTTGTTGTATGCCCCCTCGGTCTAAAATGGCCAAGATCGAGTCCCACTGCATGGTTATAGTTTGGTTTAGCAGTGAAGCACATGGCGCCGTTGTCCCATTAAATCCTCTTTCAATAACCAAGTCCACATGTGCAGTTGCATTATAGTATCTGGCAAAGGTCAGCGATCTAAGGAAACAAGATTGAATGGGCTACTCACAATCCAACCCAGGCATATATTCCTCCTAGGCCTGTGATATTCTGCGGTCGAAAGTCTGTGTCAAGTTGTAATTTGAATCGTCTTTGGCCAGAGCAGGCACTAAAAGTCCTAGAAGATAAGAACTGACGACCAGTGCTCCAAAAAATCTTCGCATCTTGCTCACAATGTCTCTGTATGAAACTCAACCAGGCTGAAAAATTCTCCATATGGACTTAAAGACTCTTTGCGGGGATTTTTGGGGCCTTGGTCCTTTGGTCCCTTGATCCCTGGAGCTTACTTCTGTTGCCTGATACTTGTTAGTCCTGTTATCTGTAGGCGCGAAACAAGAGATGCGAATACTGATATTTCATTGGCTCCAGCCGATCAGGGTACCCGTCATTTGACTTAGCGCGAAATGTCGCATCACCTAACATCTAAATAGGATTAGCGTTGTAAAACCCCTTTCACTCCCTTTACATTCACCCATTTCATATTTATTATAGAATGGCAGACATTGGTTGGGACACGGGAAGTGACCCATCTATAAATCATCTTATTGATATCCAGAATCCTATTGAATCCATTGAGCCAGTATATATTGGCGAAGATGAGTATCTCGCTGAAGGTGATGATATTATACATCAACAAAATACAGCTACTGATGACCAAAATTTGCTGAGAGTTCAGAAAAATTAGTCTGTCGCTAGTAGCTAACTAGTTATATATGAGTTATAGGATTTAGTCCCATTTCCTCTTACTGATAGGGGAAATAATCCTCTCTCTGCGCTTCACTTTGAACATGTTACAGAGTTCCCTGAATACCCAAAGACTGATGATCTGGGCTACGCATATGTTGCTGATATAACACAGGTTGATCAGAAGATAATAGAATCAGTAAGGCATCAAACTAGTTTGATATTAATCGCTCACTAGTAGCTACCCCCTACAAATGTTAGGTGACGCCACCTGTTATCTGCCTACGAACAATTCTGAGGGCAGTTTTCGATACAACCTTCCAAGGTTGTCCATGACCTAGACACTACATATTTACCGTAGTACTCATATGAAGAGAACTTTTCAAGGTTGGAAGCACTCTGCAAAGAAATTCAATTCAAGATAAAAACCGAGTGATTTCAATCTGTTCCACATCATGATCTATGCTTCAGGTTGGTGTGGAAATTTTCATGAACATTGACAAGTTGTACCTTCTTTCCATCCTGTCCAAGCACACCCTTCTCTCCATCGGCCAAGATATCACGTTCAACCGTTTCCCATTCAGTACCAGCGGCAAGCTCCAGGTTTTTACCTCGTGTTTCTTTCACGAAGAACCAACAGAAGACAGCGGACACAACATCAAATCCCATGAATATGAGAAAAGTGTTGGCACCCACATTTTGGACCATGTAGGGGCTAGCGAATGAGAAGCAAAATGAAGTTGCCCAATGAGCAAGCATACTAACGGCTAGCCCAATAGCCCTGATGCGTGTCGGGAAAATCTCTGGGACGTAAGCCCAGGGCATCGGACCCCAAGAACAGTTGTAGATCTACAAGGCAATAAGTAAGACATATACGGAGATATAGTGGACAGCAAAAGAAACTTACCATGATGTCAAGGTAAATCATTGCAACAGTCGCCCTTCCAGCAGCTGTGACATTTGTACTGGACTGTGTGGGAACAAAGTCCACAATCAATGCCGTTATAAGCATGCAAATAGCCATAGTTATCGAGCCTCCAACCAGTGTTGTCCGACGAGTCAGCCTCTCAGCCAAGAAAAAGATAAAGATAGTACTAGCAACAACCTTAACGGCACCGAAAAGACCTGTCAAGAGCATGTCTCGGTCTGAGGCGCTACCGGCAATCAACTTGAAGTATTGTGGCGCGAATACTGCCAGGGCACTGCTTCCTGTTGCGTTTTGGAAGACGAAGAGTGAAGGACCAACGAGGAATCTTAGACGATTGGCTGGCTCGAGAAGCTCGCGGAGAGAGAAGCCCTCGCGCTCGGCACGTTCAGCCTGGAGGCCAACTTGAGTCTCAGTGAATTCATCGTGGGTTTTCTGGTTGTCTCCTCCTCGAATCCAGACGATCGATTTCCAGGCATCATCAGTACGGTTCTCGCTCAATAACCAACGGATAGACTCAGGTAGAGTCAAAGTACCTAGCAAAAGAATGCCACCGGAGACTAGCTGTAGACCCACGGGGATTTGCCATTCGCGTGAGTGACCAACGATTGAAGAATTTTTGCCAACGCCCTGCTCAGATGTTAATAACCCTTGTTATGCGATCTGCATGTTGAGTGAAATCTTAAACACAACGTACATAATCGACCCAGTAAGCGACGAATACTCCCCAGGCATAGAGCCACTGATAGAAAGAGCCACATCGACCACGAATCTCCTTCGGTGTCATTTCTGCGCTGTACATTGGAATGACAACACTTTGTCCTCCCATACCCAGACCAGCAACTATCCGGCCAACGTACCAGGCTCCAAGCGAGCGAGTGTTGATGACTTGAATGATAACACCGATAATGAAGAGTGCAGTTGAGCCGATGATCACATACTTCCGCCCATACTTGTTAGTTATTGGGTAGACTATAGCGGCACCGATGAATGACCCCAATTGCTCTAAGCCAACTGTGAGCGAAGACACTTTCGACTTATGGGCTGACGTAAAGCCGAAGTCTTTTTGAAATGAAGTCATGGTCAGAATGCCGCCAGAGATTCCACCATCATAACCAGATAGGAAGGAAGAGATACTAAATCAGAACATAGTTAGTCGATCTACTTCATATCCTTTCCCCAGTGCTGACTTACAAGACAATAGCCGCCAAATGATAGGCACGCCAAGTACCCAGGCGGGTGTTCAGCTCAGGAACGGTGAATATCCCCATGATGAATTGAGGTGGATCGTCTAGAACCCGAATTCCTAAGTCGGATTTCAAGCTGAGACTTGCTTGAAAAGCGAGCAAGACAGCTTACCTGAGGCTATCGGGGAGATAAAAAGTAGGAGTCGATTAAAATAGAGGTACTCAATGAGTATTCCAAGGCTGTATTATATGAATTTTCAATCGCAGTAATTAGAAAATGATGCGTTTTCTGCGGCGCTAGATAGAGATGTAAAACATTTGAATAATGCAAGGGCCATAGTCGTACTATATAAAGCTTTCTCTTTCCGAAGCTTTTCGACTTAGTATTGTTTTGTTTCGTCTAGCTAGATCTATGTCATAGTGGGCAAGTACTAGGGTAGATTTGCGTGCTCAGATAGTACACTAGCACGATGGAGCCCTGGGGTTGATGGGTTCTTCCTAACACCAAAGGACGCCAAAATCACGCCTTAGTACTTAGGGATGGCGTTGCTTAGCCGATAGGCGAGTTAGCGCATCCTGGTTCGAGTTCCATCAATGAATACTGCTATCATTTAAACTTTAAGAGGATTTATAATCTGTGTTAATAAATGTATCATTGGATATTACTACTGTAGAAGATATCGCTCGGTTGTCGGGATTCGGCTAGTATCTATCACCTCCGAAGCAGCGACGCAACCTTCAAACGTAGGAGGGTTGCGTCGCCGAATAAATGTATAATTCTCAAGTTGAATGAGGTAATCGTACCATCCTTAGAGCTCGGAGTTCTCTCAGGATTTCGTTTTGCGTCAAGAAACGTTATGTTTGGTTTTCAGGTGTTTTTGATATAAGGGGTCGAGGTGGATCTTCCCCGCAAAGAACCATTCACTTATCTAGGTGCAGAATAGGTATGTGTTACCCCGTAGTAGATACTTAGGTATAGCCTTGAAGTTCAGCAATTTCATAACAGAAGATTCAAGACTGCTTGACTTTTAAAAGGTCATATGAAATATGAAGGATGAACTGTGAAGTATAATTAATGCAAACAGAACAAACAGATCCATTCGATATGACGAGATCACATGTCCAGTACAGCTGATGTCAATCTAAGACGTGACCTCGGATCTCAGACCTTAAACGACCCTTAGTCTTGCAGATTTGGACTTTACAGTCTTTGATTAGTCCCTTTTCACAGAGGGTCCAAGTTTCGCATATTGCCTTAACTGGACTTTTACACTGACGTCTGACTTGCTTATCGATCCCGCAAGCTACCCTTATCGTTCTGGGGGAGGCGTTACTGTCCCTCCTTCCCTACCCACGGTACTCAGAGGATAATAGCAATCCAGCACCAGAACAATTGGCACTTGCTATGATCTCGATTATTGGTTTAGTGTACTGCCGCTAGGCCTTTCTTGATCGACGACGCCGCCTGACGTGGGCCACCAGCCAAGTGCTCGTCCTATCATTCCCGAGTTGTCACCTGCTAGCCTGACTCCGATCCCTACACCAGTGTGAACCGTTGCCGGTCTTTTCTTATCCCCTTGCCAACTTCATAAGTCCATTTTGCTATCACGACAGTCAAGATGAATCCTCTACTAGATGACACTAAACGGCGGGGAAATCAAAAAATGAGCGCGAGCACGAGTATAAGCATGAGGCCCAGCCCTGCCCATCGATTACTTTCCGATCAAATACCAGAGCGGTTTAGAGATGGGGACGATGCCCAAGTTGATTTCACAGCTCCTCCACGCGGTTCCCGAGATGGAAATGTGTACATGCAACAGTCCCTTTTTTCTGTGATCGCCGCAGTTGGCTCTCGATCTGACTTCCGTGCTCGATTTGACGACTCTAGTGATGACGAGGAAGAAACAAGCAGACTTCCACAAAGCGACCCTCGTCCAAATGTCTCAGATCAGAAAATCCCAAGTCGTGAAACTTCAACAGGCCCGTTTCAGGCTATCGTTCCCATCGACTCCATGCCCCGAAATGACACCGAAGACCGGGGACGTCGTCCTCGGCGGGCTATCTCGGAGAGCAAATTCATTCGGAAGATACCTGGGATAGAGTCCCAGGATAAAGAAAATGATTTTATGACCTCAAGCACATCAACTCTCAAAGTGCCTCCAAGACGAACACGTAGCGCCACACCGAGAGCAGCTCCAGTTCTTACTCAGATGGTGCAAGCCCAGAATCGGTTTGATACTACTGCTGCGCCGGAGTTTCCTCCGTCGAGACCGGAGACACCGAGTGAAGATAGACCGCAAACATCAGGGTCAGCCCTCTCCACGCGGCTGATGGAGATGTTTGACTTTGAAAGTCCTGAAAAAGTGTTGGTGGAGTATGCCTGTTCGTTACTCCAAAGTATGTTACTTCAGGGTTACATGTACGTCACTGAGGGGCATATCTGCTTTTATGCCTACCTTCCGAAAAAGGCCAGTGCGGCTATCAAATCTGGATATCTATCCAAAAGTGGCCGCAAAAACCCGAAGTATAATCGGTACTGGTTCGTTCTCAAGGGTGATGTCTTTTCATACTATGCAGACTCCTCGAACCTTTACTTCCCCAGTGGCCACGTGGATCTTCGATATGGAATTTCAGCATCTCTTGCGAAACCCAAGTTCAAAGATGCCGAAGTGAAGGACTTCCAGGTCACTACCGATCAACGAACCTACTACTTCAGGGCAGATAGCCCTACAAGCGCGAAGGAATGGGTGAAGGCACTTCAAAAGGTGATCTTCCGTACGCATAATGAGGGCGACAGCGTCAAAGTATCATTTCCAATTGAAAATATCATCGATATCGAAGAAAGTCCGATGTCTGAGTTTGCTGAAACTTTCAAGATTCGAGTTGTTGATAGCGGAGAGACTTTTGCAATCGATGAGGTAAGTAATGTCAAAACAAAAAACTGCAAGTCAAAATTAAGAGCAGTGAGTGAACTAATTGGATAATAGTATTTCTTCACTTTCTTCAACTCTGGTCAAGACGCCTTCAGCTACTTGAAGAGCTTGGTCAATCAATCTCCCGCAAGAAACATATCTGAAGATCACGGGTACCGCAAGGGTAAACTACGACCAGAAGCTGATGCGACTGAGAAAACATCACCGGATAGCAGTGATCTTCTTTCCTCTTTAAGGATAAGCGATATACCCTACAAGCGCAGTGCAAGTGCCGAGAACGGACCCCAAGATTCTACGGACTCCTTCGTCAACTCCATCGATCAAGGAACTGAGCCATCCATCATGCAGTCAGTTACGGAAACAAATGAGTCCGCCAGTCAAATACTCAATCGAAGCGATGTCTTCCAATCACCGACTATGCGGATATTGCCAAGACGTCCATCCGAAGTAAGGAACTATAGACGGAGATCAAACGATACAACTTTATCCGCTTCTCCGGGACTGGGCCTTTCAGTAGACGTCAATGTGGATAATAGAGAAAGCTCTATCGATGATTCTGCAGATCAGAAACACAATTACCCAAATGCAACCGGCTACCCATTTCAGCGTGCGGCCGGATTTGCCGAATATTTAAAAAGCAGGTCAAAGCAGATGAGCAGTCTACTGGCAACAGAATCAATGGGGTATATTGAAAAGGTGTCTGGCATGTGGTCCGGAAGCCAGAAACACTATGGAGAAACTGAGGGGGTGCTGACTGAGGACCAAGATATCTGCGCGGAGGATAAAGAAGGTGACTCCAACTACGGTGATCGATTCCGTGCTCATTTTGCACTTCCACCGACGGAAAAGCTACAGGCAACATATTATGCCTATTTGCACCGTGTCCTTCCACTTTACGGCAAGATCTATATCAGCGAGAGGAATCTCTGCTTCCGTAGTCTGATCCCAGGAACTCGAACCAAGATGATACTGCCATTCAAGGACGTTGAGAACGTTGAGAAAGAAAAGGGATTTCGATTCGGTTACCATGGATTGGTTGTTATCATCCGTGGTCACGAGGAGCTCTTCTTTGAATTCAATGCTTTTGAAGCGAGGGACGATTGCGCCGTGACTTTGCATCAAAATCTAGAAGCTGTCAAGTTCCTCAAAGAATCGGGGTTGTTGCCAGAAGAACAACGCGAAGAAGTTGAAGCAGCCAAGGTCGAACACCTCATGCTGCAAGAAGCTCGACTCGACGGCTCTGAAGTGGAAGAATCACACGCAACTTTGAATGAGAGTTCGTCAGAAATTCATCCGTTCTTTGATGACCCACGAGCTTCCATCATAAACTTCAAACCTACTGAATCCCTAAGAATTACTTGTCTAACCATTGGTTCCCGGGGCGATGTTCAGCCCTACATTGCCCTATGCAAAGGCCTTATGGCCGAGGGGCACCGGCCGAAAATTGCAACTCATGCAGAGTTTGAGCCATGGATTCGTAGCCATGGTATTGATTTTGCTCCTGTAGACGGAGACCCTGCAGAACTCATGCGGATCTGCGTGGAAAACGGGATGTTTACATATTCTTTCCTTCGAGAAGCATCGCTAAAATTCAGAGGGTGGATCGATGACTTGCTCTCATCTGCCTGGGCCAGTTGCCAAGACAGTGATCTTCTCATCGAGTCACCGAGTGCGATGGCTGGAATTCACATTGCTGAGGCTCTTCGCATTCCTTATTTCCGTGGCTTTACTATGCCCTGGAGCAGGACTCGTGCGTATCCACATGCCTTTGCAGTGCCAGAGAACCGGATGGGTGGAGCTTACAACTACATCACCTACGTTATGTTTGACAATATTTTCTGGAAAGCAATTGCGGGTCAAGTCAATCGTTGGAGAAATAGCGAATTGGGACTCAAAGCCACAAGCTTGGATAAGCTTCAGCAGAACAAGGTTCCATTCTTGTACAATTATTCGCCTTCAGTGGTGCCACCACCTCTTGACTATCCGGATTGGATTCGCATCACCGGCTACTGGTTCCTAAACGAGGGGCTGGATTGGACTCCACCGAAGGAGCTATCAGATTTCATTAGCTGTGCCCGGGCTGATGGCAAGAAGATTGTCTATATTGGCTTTGGATCTATCGTTGTATCAGATCCGGCCGCTTTAACCCGAACTGTCGTTGAATCCGTTCAAAAGGCTGGCGTTCGGTGCATCCTCTCAAAGGGCTGGTCAGATCGACTCGGTGACCCTACAAGCATAAAGGTTGAGATTCCATTGCCACCAGACATTTTGCAGATTCAGTCTGCCCCTCATGACTGGCTCTTCTCTCAAATCGATGCAGCCGCCCATCATGGAGGAGCAGGCACAACTGGTGCAAGTCTCCGAGCTGGTGTCCCAACTATTGTCAAGCCTTTCTTCGGCGACCAGTTCTTTTTCGGTGGCCGAGTTGAAGATTTAGGTGTTGGCATCTGTATGAAAAAGCTGAATGTCAGCATTTTTTCACGATCGCTCTGGGAGGCCACTCACAGCGAGCGAATGATCCTCAAGGCTCGCAATTTGGGCAAACAGATCCGAAGTGTGAGTTGATCTCCATATATACTAAAATTTACATTGCAGCTAATATATTCTCAATGTTTCTAGGAAGATGGTGTTGCCACTGCAATCCAGGCCCTATATCGTGATCTTGAATACGCTAAGACGCTTGCAAGACAGCGTTCTAATATCTCGTCCACCCCGTTCTCACCAACACCTTCAGCCCAGGCTATACCAGACCACGACGACGATATAGATGAACTCGACGAGTGGACCTTTGTTGGAGAGGAGACTGGCTTAAGCCTTTCTAAGAGAATGCGTGACCGCGCCGCCTCGGAAGCCGACAAGATGGCATCCAGCATGATTCTACCGTGATTTCCATTTCATCTTTTCAAATTGTTTGCGACTTGGTAGGTATCTTAATTCTTTTTTTCCCCTCTACTGTTTTCATGTTCTGATCTTAATTAATGACCCAACGATTGGGAGCTTATGATTCATGATTGCATGCTTCGTTTTTTATACTTTGTTATGTGGCGTTCATGAATCACATTCAGTAGCATATATATTTGCTTGTTTGGATTGTTTTCATCAATACACTATACATGCTAGCTCGTATAATTTTTAAATTTTTGTTCATATCCAGATGCCCAAGTATCTGAAACGGGTCGTCTCTTCTTCTTGAAAGGTTGTATTTAATCGTGAGTTCGAAGGACCAACTTAGAAGTCAAACATGCATTATGGAATATCATTCTGAGCGCTTATGAAAACGGCTCAGAGGGGTAATGCGTGACAGACATAGACTTGTAGTTAATATTCCAGATTTCAATCGAACAGCCCCGAATGCTCAATACATACCTAAGTATCAAGGTATGGATACGCGGCTGTGAACCGGAAACGTCTACCAAAGTGAACCTTGGAATATGATACAGATAACACTTGAATGGTGTTGAATTCAGGTTGGATATTTGAGATCAGTATATATGTCGTTGTCTATTTACTTTCTTCCCACTGCACACCAGCCCATTCCTCCCTCCAGCCAGTCTGCTTGAGAGTCTGCGGCGCACAATCCTGAGAACAGACACCAACAATGATAGTCCCCCACTCCATACCAGCATCATCTTTACCAAGCCCAACACCCTCGCGGCCATCTTCCAACACGCTTATAGCATGTGGGGCAAGCTGCAACTCAAACACACGCCCAGCACCACAATACTCACATCGAGGAATACTTCCAGTCGCAGTGGTAGTCACTTTGCCTCCGCCGAACTGACCAGGATGTAGTTGCTTACCCACCTGATCAGCGTACGAGTACAGTAGCGGTGTGCCACGGAACTCATATCGCAGAACTTGCTCTGGGTTATGCTCGAGACGGATAGAGAACTTCATAAAGGCCTTGTCAAGATCAGATTCAAAGGTATCTTTGAGTTCGACACCGCCGCCTTCATCTACATCCATTGCCTCAATAGTAACGTTTTCTGGCACAGTAGGTGTCGAGGGCCGAGACATAGTCTCATAATCAGCGTCTAGGTAGAATTTCTGGTATGGGGCCGGGAAGGCAGATTGTGCAGGCCATGGCGTTTGCGCACCAATAGACTCGGGAGTTTGCTTCGTGGCTGTCACAGCATTTGATGTAGCGGCTGGTGCCGACTCTGGGGATGAAATCCGGACCTTATCGGCAAATGATTCAGCGAGCGCATTTGTAGATTGTGCAGATTGAGCAGTTGGGCTAGTCGCTGTTTTGGGCATTGCGAATGGATTGTTTCCAGGCGATGAACCCTGGTTGGAAGAGAACGGGTTCACATTTGCAGACACACTGCTTGTGAGTGATGTCGCGCCGAACAGACTAGCGCCCAGGTCCTGCTGGGGCTTCGGGGCTACGCTTGGCTCGGCTTCGGCTTTCTTTTCTTCTGACTTTTGCTCTTGCTTTTTCTGTGGTGCGCTTTCCAGTGAGACTTTACGGACTGTGCGATAAGCCCGGATACTGCCTGGCTTTCGGTTGCATGGTTTTCTAGGGCATCCGAAGATATACAGGCGGCGCTCGTTATGGGGGAAATCATCGGGCAGGTCACCATGCAGCTCGAGGAGTAGCAGCATGGGCTGATTGCAGACCTTACAATTGGCAAAATCCCCTGGTGGTGGAGTTGTCTCATCAAGCCATGTCTAATTCAAGCATGATTGTTCAGCGCTGCCTGAAGGTTACGGAAAGATATATGAACATACCGGCCAGCCGCCAAGGTGGCTGATAGTATCTTCGACAACTTCCTCTGCAGCGTAGCCGAGAAGCACACCAGTCTCAGTGAAGTCCTCGTCGATACTAGAGTCGCTGTCGTAATCCATGGTGAATTGAATGTAAAAAGGGAGACAGAAGCAACGAAACCCCGCGGTTCAATATTTTTTTTGGGCGATAAGCGATAAGCTTGGGCCCCACCTAATATTACGCCATTGGCTCCCTGCTTCGACAACATCAGTCGACTTTCAACTTCCAAGCTTCAGTCTGTATTTATTTCTACGGCTGTTGATAATCATGTCTATAAGTAAAAGCCAGAACATGAAATGGCTCTCATGTATGCTGTTTGCTTTGCTTCTGCCAATCGGCAGTGCAACTCAGCAGCAACCATTAAGTATAGTTCCAGAGGGCCCGAAGCGGGTAGCTGTTATCGGTTAGTATAACTCAATTTCGCTGGAACCACTACTCCGTATACTAACTCAGCTATAGGAGCTGGAGCTGGGGGCTCATTTGCTGCGTATGAGCTACAAAAGCTAGCTGAGGGGTCGGGCATCCCTGTCAACATCACCGTGTTCGAGCGGACCTCGCACATTGGCGGACGAGCGACGACTGTCAACGTATTTGATGACCCTGCCTATCCGATCGAGCTAGGTGCCTCGATCTTTGTTCAAGTAAACCAAAATCTCGTGAATGCTTCCCGTGACCTGGGACTTTCGGTCCGGAGTGCGGATCATGCACGGCCAAAGGAAACAGCCGAATCCATTGGTATCTGGGACGGCACGCATTTTGTCTTCTCTATCAAGAACACCGATAGCTGGTGGAATATTGGCCGTCTTTTCTGGCGATATGGTCTGGCGCCACTGCGTACTCAGAACTTAATGAAGAGTACTGTTGGCAAGTTTCTCAGTCTGTACGAAGAGCCGCTCTTCCCGTTTCAGTCACTGTCTGAGGCTGCGATATCAGCAGGCCTGGTCGATGCTACTTCAAATCCAGGATGGAATTTCCTGGCTGCAAACAAGATTTCCGAACTATTCGCCCGGGAGATTGTCCAGGCCAGCACGCGTGTCAACTATGGCCAGAATCTGGGATTGATTCATGGACTGGAATCGATGGTTTGCATGGCCGCGGAGGGCGCAGTAGCTATCGATGGTGGAAACTGGAGAATTTTCGATGGCATTTTGAAAACTTCCAAGGCGCATGTCAGTCTAAACACGACCGTGACAGAGATTGTGCGGAACGATGACGGTACCTCGCGCATCAAATTCAAGCCAACTGAATACCACTGGATGCAATCAGAGCACGCTGATTTTGACGAGGTGATCATTGCGGGTCCATTACAGTACAGTGGCATTTCCGTCTCTCCACCGTTGCAACATGTCCCAGACGAGATCCCATACGTGAAGCTGCATGTTACACTTCTCGCCTCTCCGCATCAGATTTCACCTGGCTTCTTTGGTCTTGAAGGTGAGGACGTGCGCGCACCAGAAACAATTCTGACTACTCTGCCTGAGGGTCTTGATCTCGGCTCGGATGTCCATGGAGTAGGCCCCGCTGGGTTCTGGAGTATCAGCACTTTGCGCACAGTGACTCGATCAGTCATCAGAGACGGCGAGGAGAAGGAAGAGCAACATTATATATACAAAATCTTCTCGCCAGAGCGGCCAACTGCCGAGTTTGTTGCCCAAGTTTTCGGGATAAACTATTCCAATGATACTGGACCGGCTTCGACTATTGGTGATCTTCCTAAGAGTCATATTAGCTGGTTCTATGAGAAGATCTGGCACCCGTATCCGCTCATGTACCCCCGGGTCACCTTTGAGGAAACGGTATTGGCTCCAGGAGTTTGGTATACAAGCGGAATTGAGAGCTTTATCTCGACGATGGAGACTAGTGCATTGATGGGACGGAATGTGGCGGCGCTCGTGGTGAAGTCGTGGAAGAATGGTACAGGGCAGAAAGACGAGGTTGATTCCAGTGGGAAGACCGAGCTCTGAGTGTCCTGCAAGTTAGGCTCCTTTCTATGATGAGTTGCTCTAGGCGGCAAAGCAATTCGAGTAAGCATATCCGAGTCAGTCTACGCAGTGAATATAATTGCATATATCTCTGTTATGGTATGTTTTGTATTGCAACAAAGCCAACCTGGAAATATCCAGGTATAAATCAAGGCTCGTTTCTGGTATTGTATGAACATGGACATCACTCGCAATTCATCCTCATCCGCTCATTTCAGAGGCGTAAAACATAGGATTTCCAATACAAACAGGGGATAATCGAGAAAAGAAAACGCCGGATGCGCCAAATCCCGACTCATCTCCGAGCCTTATCCATGCGAAATCTATCACCATCGTCACGGATTGGGGGATTCATGAACTCATGTCTTATTTTTGAATGCTTCCCCTGCACTTTTTTTTGATTAAGGGAATGGGACGGAGTATGAAAAGGGAAAAATGAAAGCAAAAAGAGAGAGACGACCTTGAAATCGCTTATGCGGGCTGCTCGAAGCCGCGGCGGATGACACGGCCGAACATCTCAAAGCCGACATGTTCGCTCTTTACCTCACTCTTCACCTCGTTCTCCTTGTTGCTGGGGACGCGGACAACAGTGCCGTCGACCTTCCAGCCACAAACATCAGTAACAAACTTCTCAAGGGCCTCGCGGCTGCGCAGGTCAAGCCACTGCTCCAGGGCCTCAGCAGTAACGGAGCGGAAAGCCTTGCCGACCTCCACAGCGATACGGATGCGGACCAGCTCCTCGAAGCCGGCGACGTCGGCGGTCAAGTCGGCGTACAGGTCATCGGAATTAAGTGTGGACCAGAACTGGGCGTACTGGGCGGACTCAAGGAGGGTAGAGAGGAGGGATAGCTTTTGCACGGCCTCGACGAAGTCGGAAGTTTGAGAGGCAGCCTTGGCCTCAGCGCCGGTGCCGAAGGGTTGGGTGTGGGCTGGGAGCAAGGAGAGACAAAGAGAGAAGGCGGGGGAGGGGAACACTGTCAAGGCCTTGGCCAAGATGTTGGTGGCAGTGTCGGGCTGGAGGAGGTGAGGGTTGAACTGGAAGCTAGTTTTGGAAAGTGGTTCTTGTTAGCCAATAGTTCTCTCTTTCATGTACCATTTTCGAGAGAGCATGAAGTGGTTGATAAAAGTAGAAGTCCTTCGCCAAGAAGCCACAATGTGAATTGCATTGTTTGGGTGTCAGATTATAAAAAGTTCTCAACAGTCCCATAAGACGGGTTGTCAGGTAATAGGAAACGTGATTGAAAAAGATATATCATCACAAAAGGACGTGAAACTGTGGGACAAAAAGATGCCCAGTTTCAAAATGGAAGGTGTTCGGGGTGTGGACGAACTCACAGCTTCAACAGAGCCAAGTTGGCGTAGCAGTCGAATGTCCGGTCCTCGCACTGCTGCGCAACGTAATCTTGGAAAACGGTGGTGGTCTCGGGGTTGTACCGGTCGAGGCCATTGAGAATGGCGTCGATATGAGCCGGCCGGGTTTCACACTTGTCAAAGGCGACCATCTTGGCTGGAGGGGATGGAAGAGGTGATGAATGCGGGTCTTTGTCGTCTTGGGCCTTTTTGGTGGGATTTTTGATTGTGGCCCGGGTATGCGGAAGAATTGCCCGTATTCGGATAGTTTTCCCACAACATCCGAACTATACAATGTGCATAATTCAAGTAATTAAATGGTGCATCCAGATTCAACTTTTGAGGATAAGTTTGAAAATCACAGATGACTTGGAATTCGTGAGCTTCTAAGAAAACGTAAGGTCTTAATGATTGAAAATCGGTGCCACGCTTTTATTTCAATGTCATCGCTAATTGGCATCATTATGTAGGCTGGAAAACAACAGATTTTTGATAGGTAGGTAGGTAAAGATGATATAAGAGATTATTTCAAAGTTAGACTGTGAAAAATTGGAACTTGTACAGTTATCAAAGTGCTGGTTTAAGCAGCTCTGGAAAAAGAATTCCAAGGATAGAGAAAACTTCGGCAGAAAAGCTTCTCGCTGCTACGTGCTGGCTGAAGTTACCCATTTTATTGTTGTCTCTAAGGCCAGAGTGGTCATCGGGCCACCTAGATATCCTCGATGTCCGCTTTTCCACAGGGACCGGTAGACGCCGACTCATCTTCAGCCCGGGCAGCAACTCAAACATTGAGTGAAACCCTTCCAGGCTTTATTGAGCTAAGCCCAAAGTATTAAGCCAAGTACCGATATCCACATTGACATTCGGAAAATTACTCATTTAGTTATTTAATGAAAGTTTTTAACTTGTTGGCGGTTCGGTAACCAATGATGATGTGCTGAGTTGGTGTAGCTGTTGCAAATCCTATCATAACTACTAGAAGTAGTTGCTAAATCTGTAGTATTCCGTATATTCCTTCTATTTTCACTATACCTGACTGGGTAAGAAGAGGGTATCTGTGAATGCTCTAAGTCTTTATCGGGTACAATGGTACACCAATCAGTCATATTTGAATTCTAAGGATCCAATTCATATAAGTGGACTCTGGCCCAGGTAAAATGAAGTCTCCATGGCCGGGATGATCATATAGAGTTATAGGGCTGACTATTTAGAGGAACCTTTTGAAGGCTTATTCATACCCAGAGATTTTCAACTTTCATATGCATTCCAAGGCTGTGCTGTATTGATCACTGGATCAAAGCTACAAGGTATTATGGAGACCGATGTAAACAAGGTAGAGGCCGAAACATAATTGGGGCCAAACAGCCCTACAATCCTATCGAGGTCGTCAGCTTATGCAGTGGGTGTATTTAAGCTTATTTTTCTATAAAAAGAATACAAAGGTGGACCTCGGAAGTTAGTCCAAGTCTAGGACCAATCCATGATGGGGGCCATAACGGTAAGGCTGGAAGGTGAATTCGCACCACAAGCCTTGCCACAGCAACCTTAGAATTGATAGCTTTGGACTTACCCCAAGCTGACAAAGCAGTCTCGATCAGTGTGGTAGTGTACGGTAGTGAGACTCTGATAGAGAAAGCCAAGTTACTTTTCCATGAATAGGCACGGGCCTGGTAAGTTTGATCCAAATTTCACTTCAAGCGACGGTGTTCACTATTAACGAAGGAATAGATACTCTGCCTTGGAAACGTCGATCTAAGTGACTGTGAGACTAATGAATCTCTACTGAATGATGACGTCTTCTCACATCAAAATTACCTTCTCTCACTCGAGAGAGGGACTTTTATCACTGTTGATGGCAGAGTAGAAGGAAGACATCATGGGGCTCTTAAGTACCCATATCCACTACGATTTGACCGATCTGCTTGCCCTTCTCGTCAGCAATGGAAGGACCCAGCCGGTGCACCTGATAGATATTGAGGTTTTGAGATTGGAAGGTGTCTGGCAGCGGCGAGAAGTCAGACTTGGACGAAAACAAAAGTCTCAGGACGAGTCGAGGAGTATTTTGAAGAGATTATGGCGATAAAGAATGCTTATGTGGTCCTGGATGTTTGGTACCTCTCTGACTCCCTATATTCAGCAAATCAACACAAAACCTCCAACTTCTTAATAATGAATAACTTCATAATCAAAAGTTATCTTGATGATGTAAAAAAGAAGTTATCCAAACTTAGAACATGTTCCGTTCTAGTCCTACCAGACTTTCATATTTTCGATTCAGATATATCTCATAGTTTGACTATGATAGTGCTAACCATGGAACCTCTGTTTGGAATCGATGGCTGGTGGAGGCAAACCTTAGTCACGCTATACTTGGTACATTCCACGGACAAAACGATCCGGATAAAACTCGGAAGATGAAGGAATCAATTAAAAAGCCCGTAGGCATTGTTTCGTGCTCAAATAATACGTAATCTCTTGAATACTTCATAGTCGTTCGTCCCCAGTCGTCAACCAGGCCTGAAGCTTCAGGTTGGCATTCCTATCACAGGAAATTGTCGCAGGCATTCAAGAGATGAAAAGTAGAAAAATACCCCGGAAAAAGTAATATCAGTAAAAATGCTGAGAAACGCCGCTTCTTTGTCTGAAGACTCCGGTTTCTATGCCCGCCCATCTTACAAGTGCATGATAAGAAAAAACATGAAGTTGCTATGCTAAAAAAATATTAGACCCTAGATAGGAGCCATGTCGCTTTGAAAAGTGGAAGCGAAAAAAAAAAAAAAAAAAAAAAGAAAAAAGGCGGAAATTAGTGATAAAAAAGTGAAAACGGCCTGAGAAAATGGTACTCAGGCGGGGTATCTTAATGAGTAAAGCTGACGTTGATGTAAGTTTATGCCACAAGAGGTCGGCGGGTGGCAATGGGAATTGGTCTTGGGTCTGAGATGTCGAGTTTCGCCATATCGAGGGGATTGGCTTCAAATTTAGAGACGGATTCGTGTTTCTTGGCGTGTTCGGTCGAGACCCGGACAGGTTGAGTGGTCTGGGCACTCTCGTCGTCACCCACGGTACTGCAGACCAAGGATTCGTCCGATACCGGAACTCCTCCGAAGATGGAGCCGAGTTGTTGCAGCAGAGCAACAAAGTTTGCATGCAATTCTGTAAAGATGTACTCGTTTCCGACGATCTGAGCTAGGTTGCGCGCACGGATTGGTCCCATACGACGGGCTTGTCCAGCTGGGTCCATAGCACGGCCAGTGAGGAAAGATGAGACCGGGGTAAACTGGCGGCCGGACTTGCTAGTAGGGTTGATGGCTTCCTCGCGACGCTTTTCTTCTTCTTGGAAGCGTTCGGCAGCACTGGTCATGCTTGATGCGATGCGGCCAAATGCGCGCCAGATGATTGGGCATGCTCGGAACGCCCTTCCGGCATCCTTTCCGGCAAGTGCTACAAAGGCGTAGGCACGGCGTTTGCCGCGTGCCACCGGGTCTGGAAGACGAAAGACGTAGGCGATGGTGTAACCCGCGACGGCATCGCCAAAGCAAAGGGGACCCGAGGAAAGTCCACGAGGCAAGAGCTCACAGCTCAGAGTGCGAATTGAAGATCGGCGCAAAATGGCGTAGTCAGCGGGATTGGGTGGACCGCGAAGGGAGAGATAGGTGAAAATATGGGTGTGACATGAGGCATCCGACGCAATGGAAACCGAGGAGCGTAGAGAATCAGGTGGTGAGGCATGCGCATGCGAGTCTGAGATATCTTCAGAATCAGTGTGGCTAGTACCGCAAGAGTAGACAACCTCGCGCGATCGTAGCACCGGGCTGGTGGTTTTTCCTTTGGCGTCGCGACTGCCGGGGGCTCCGACTGGAAGCTGCTTGCTCACTCCTTCCGGGAGCGAGAGACTGCAGCTTGCGCAAGTATCTCCATCAGTACCCGCGCGACTGGATTGATCGGGGGAATTCGACTGTTGGCGCAAGAAGTAGGGATGGTCTTCGATCTTGGGTGACTTGGGTTCCTGAGAAGGAGAAGATTTGGGAGAAGATTTGGGAGAAGAGTTACGTGGAGAGTGAGCCGGAGTTGAGTCGTTGGAATGGTCATCCGGGTGGCATTGCGAACAAGAGAATGGTAGAACTTGCGAGCAGATGATGGAAGTAGGACCATGCACCTCGCAGAAGTGGGTAAGGGAGAGCTGAATGCAGTGTCAGTCGACGTTATGATGTCGAAGTTGACAGGAACTTACAATGAAATCCATGTTGTAGAAAGTTGTATCACGTTGATCAGTTTAGACGTTGACCATGACGGCGGTGCATGCCGTGATTGGCATGATATGCGGGATCCACCAAATTCAAGTTTGAGAAAGAGAAGAGTAAAAGGTAAGGGAGAGAATGGCGTTATTAAAGGGAGAGAAGGGGGGGGGGGGGGGGGAAACAGGGGAGATAAAGTGTTGGGTTGAAATGGAAGGGAAAATAGAAGGGAAAATGGAAGGGATAGTTCCTTTTGCCACGGCCCTAATATTATTTACCCTCTCGGCCTGCGACCGGGACTGTTTTGATGGAACGAATAGAAGCTCAGTCGAAGGAAAGAACCAAGTTCTCCACTCTTACGTTTTATTTTATTTTATCTTAATTTATTTTGCCTTATTTTATATTTATTTCCAACGTTTGTATTTCCTCATCGGTCTAGCTGCAGGAGATCTAGCATATTCCCCCACCCTTGGAATAACAGATGAGTGAAGCACATAGCTCCCCTTTCATTCTCAATATTTGCTTTTTTTCTTTTAATAATAACCGGAGACTTGATTTGGAATAATCCATGGCTGCAAACGGCATTTTAATACTGGTAGTACGGAGTAATACTGTAATATTTGATCTATCCAGCTTACATGGAACACGTCTTTGTACTTCTTTCTAGTTTATATTAATCCTAAATCCTAAATCCTACCTAGGCAAATCCTACTCATCCTCTTACTTCCTTCATCCTGATCTACCTACGTATCGGATTTCCTCTGTCAACTCTTAGCGTTCCCCTTCCGTATTAGTGCTCACCCCATCGCTGCTTTTGCTCACTGGGTAGAACTGAGCACGCCCTTGAGCATTATATAAGCACACTGATCTGTTCACTGGGTATCAGGTGACAGTGAGTTTTGATTTCCTTTTCTGCCTAAAGGCGGTGGGACATTTTTCAAACGGCACGTGACATGGCTTTTTTGACCTGGCTTCTGTGTGCTGGGCACTGCTGGCGTTGGGATGACTCGCATTTCCTCCGTTGGAAATGCAACGCCTTCATAGCCAAATGCCACTATTTATGCATTAGGTTAATAGAGTTATTGATTGATTCCTAATAAGGATAAGCTTATCGATTACGGATAATGTATTCAGATCACGTGATCTCCATGACTATTGAAGAAAACACAGCAGCGAATTCATCTGATTGGGAGAAAACCTAGTAAAAGGAGAAATCTAACCACTGTCGTAGTGCGTTGTCCTTGTCATGTCCAGGAAGATTGCTCTATCCTCGAAATAAGAGGGCACATCCTCACCGCAGGGGTGGATAGCCTCGAAGTCAATGAGGGTAACATCATGAGATGACGGATCATAAAGCACGTTGTGCTTGCCAGAATCGGAAAGCAAGATGTTGATTGAGCAAATCATGTTGATTGCCCGGAAGACCCGCGATCTAATATACTCTTTCATGGGATGTGGAGTACTTTGCCAGATCGCGATCGAGCTTCACTCCTATGACCCCGTACGTCTTATCGAAAATCCATTTCCTACAGTCTAATTGAATTAACTCTTTCCTAGTCGCTCCACATCTGCTATCAGATTATCGCAGCAGCTAGCGAAGCAGCGCCCAGCTGACCGACCCACTAAGCGATTCAAATTCACCGCGGTGCCAAAGGGTACCAAACTTGTGACTAGCTACCAAGATCGTGCGCAACTAAGAAATTCCTCGGAGGGAAAAAAACGATGATATCTAAAAGCGGATCTAAGCGCTAGAGGAGATGGTGAAGCTAGGCTAGATTTACCAAGCGACTTTTGAGAACCTTTGTTCGCAGCTCGGTGTTAGAGGAGCTCGGAAAGACTATAAAGTTGACCAAGAGCAAATGGGACACGAAACCATGAAAAAGATATTATCAGCCGACCGAAGGAGCGACAACATCATCAAAATCTTTGGCATACTAGACATCGGTCAAGGAGAGTATAGCTTGCTCATGCCTTTTGCCCTTTACGATCTGAAAGCGTACAAAGCATATGGAAGATCCACAGGCGCTCACTGAAGTGCTTATTGGACATCACTGATCTATCACGTAATTATCATGAGCTGAGCTGAGACTGAAGTTTACTCACTGAGCCTGAGCGCCCTCATAAAAGCGGCGGCACCTGAAATAGGAAAGCCGTCCCACCTGGCATTACTCTGTACGTCGAATACACGCGGGAGTATATGATTACTTAATCATATAGAATGTCTCAAATGGTTACTTTCCCTGACATTCCGATTTGTTCAATCTTATTCGAAGAATCTGCTTTTAATATTTCCAGGTACCGGTAGTTGTTTCACTAATTACGGAGAGTAATTTATGAGCTCCGATTGGCATTGTAGATTATTATGTATATGTAATGAAACCTACTACCTTCCTACCTTACTACCTTACTACCTTACTACCTTACTACCTTACTACCTTACTGTTCATTTAGTTATCTCCCGGTTTCGTCATTGACTTGCTATTTCCTTTGGTTATCTCTCATCTTACTTGTTACCTCTTATTTCTCATAGCCTCTATGATGTATATACTTTGAATATATATATATTACTTTGTACATGTAGTTTCTACTCCACTCACCTCGGTGGCGTCGAACTCGGCAAATACGATACCATCCATTACTATTACTGCTTCATGAAGTGGGACATCGCTCTTCCGCACTGGCCCGCTGAAGAAGTCCCTCACTTCAATACCCACTCCCCCATAATCATAGTAGGTAATTACCTTGTCATTCGAGCTTCCTAATCGAGTACTAAAGTGGATAGAAATACCCAAGCGTTGTCTCTTAGCACTAAAGAGAGCTAACGGGGGGATCCCGCGGTTTAATCGATAACGTAATGCTTAGAGCACGTATGGGGTGTCCACGAGGGTTCGATGCCCTACTCCGTACTCCACCTTCATTAGTAACGGCATCAACCTTGGAACTGTAATAGTTCACCGTCGATAGAGCAGGTGATCAATTGCCTAAATCTTATATTATTAATTTCTACTAATTCTAGGGACCATTTCCTGTCCAAGTGGGGATCTATAGGTAAAAATATAAAACATTAAATATAAAAATATAAAAATATGAAAATATGAAAATATGAAAATATGAAAATGTATACCTAGGAATATAAAAAGACTCTATACAGAGAATGAAAATTCCATTTTGTACTTGAAAGGTTCCCTACTTGGGCATCCCGTGCAGATATCATAGTTAATCGGTACATGTCTTTTCTACTCGAACTAGATCGATCGATTTTGTTTTATTCAGAGTAACTTTCGCGAAAAAAAAAAAAAAAAAAAAAAAGCGTTTCATTTATTTCCGCTCTATTGACGAGAGCACAGTCCACATTAAGGCGTTGTCATATGTTATTGCCCTCTGCCGCTGTACTACCCGACATCGGATCTACTAGGCGTTTGTAGTCATATTGAGTAATTTCCATTTGACCGACAAGGATCTCGTGCGAGAGTTTTCATTTCTCATTTCTCATTTCCAGCCAAAGTAGCCGAGCCCAATTGCCAAGCATTGGACCCACTATGCGTCTTCACTGGTCGTGTTTGGGCATCGGTAGGTTCATCATAGAGAGCATACTACCAGCCGGTCCCGCTGTACCTGCCTGTCCTTGAAGAGCCTCCAGTAGATTCTTGGCGAGGTTGATATTATCATTTCCATCCTCGCCTTCACCTACCTCGCCCCCTTTGCCATTTTTACCCTTCTTACCCTTTTTACCCTTTCCTGATTGCGACTTCTGATTCAGATCCAGTACTCCAGTTCCTTGAAGCTCGGCTCCCATTTGGCGCGATAGCTCCTGGATCTGTTCCGTGTCGTCTTCCTCATCTTCGTCTTCCCCATCCTCGTCCCCAACCTCCTTGATCCGATCGAGCATGGACGCGACCAGCTCGTTCGATTCTTGTTCAAATCCGGGCATTCCCATCATCTCTTTCATCATCCGAGTAAATTCTTCCTCGTCAAATGACCCGTCCTTATCCTCTCCATCACTACTGGACTCTTCGTCGTCCATGCTAACGTCAGAGTCCGTGTCGAAGTCGTCGTCCATGAAGTTGGCACCTTCTGGGCCGGCCGAGGTATCATTCAAGAATTCTTCAAAGCGCGCCACAATCCGTTGTAGGTTTTCTTGGGCACTCATATCGCCGAAGTCTCCGTCAGCCTCTCCCTCTGTGCCCTTGCCCTTTCCCTTGAGCTCCCGATCAAGGTCTTCAAAGCTGATATCCAGCCACTTTTCATCGTCTTCGCGCATATCCCACTTTTCGATCTCTGTATCTGTAGGTAACTCTTCATCCCCAGTATCTACGTCTTCCAAGAGTAATTTCATTTCTCGCACCGATGGCTTGTCTTGGTGTTGAGGGTCGTGTAGAAGCATTTCAAATCCACATGCGAGTTTCATCCCAGTTTCCGCACGGTTGTAAGCTGGCGAACCATCGGGTATAGGCACCTTGCCTGTCCAGGTGGTTGGCGCAGGGAAATCCTGACTCTTTAATTGCGCATAGCCTACTCGTGTAAACCGGACACTGACAGTGACCATGTCGTCTGGTTTGAAAATAAGTTTGGACGCATCCTTTGCCTTGAGAGGTCGCAAGGCGATCGGGTCGCGAATGTAGAGCGCTTCGACGGCGGGTGAGATGTATGCGGGCTTCTGACGAAGGAGGAATGCGACTTTGCGGGGAATGGTCACGATCGCGGAGTGAAGGTTTTCGGATATTTGCTTGGGGTAGTTTCGTAGTCGGTAGAAGGCCTCTTCTTGGATCATGGTGGAGTGAAAGAAGATAGTCGGCTCGTCTTGAATAATCTTGTGCGCATCGCTCAGGGAAAGCTTCTCGGTAACTCTCTTGATTTTCTTGGTTTTCTTTCCGTTGTCTTGCCTAGGCTTGATGATCTTGAGGTCACCCTGGTTGATCCAAACCTGTGAGAACAATAATGTTATTACGGAAAGTCTCCATACAATTGTTTCAGTTTTGATCTCACCCTGTTATCTGCGACCTCTGGCTCTAGCCATGCGGGGAGAGCGCCTGCGGCCTCGATGAGCAGAAACTCTCCATCAGTGTCCTTCACCTGGACCCAGATGTCCTTGTGTCGTTTTGTCAATTCGCGCAGGATGTAAACGATGACCCATTCGTCCTCAATTGAGTCGCCGTAGTTTGTACGGCCGTGGAGAGAGGCAATTCCTAAACTTGCGATCAGTATGGAGCCGTAGCATCGCATGTGCCAGTGATCGTACCATCATCCTTGGATATTTCCAGCTTGAAGCCATCACGCTGCCAGATGTAACCCTTCAACAGATCTTTACTTATCTCCGCAGCAGTTCGCTGAACTTCTGATAGCTTGGCTCGACTCTCGGATGCTGCATCAATAACAGCGGGTAGCGGGGAGGGCAGATAATAGATGAAATACTCGACAGAGTCGTCGGGGAGCTCGGGCTTTGGAATGTCATGGAAAGTAGACTTAAACCACGCAATATCCTCCTCAGTCGCCATGATCTGAGTCTTTGCGCAAAGATGAATGACCTCACAGCATTCCTAAGAAAAAAGAAAGGCGGCGGAATAATAGCCCCACATACAACGCTAAGCCGCATTTGCTCGACATCAACAGTCAATTCATCTTTGCCCGTAACAACCAACACACGCACTATTTACGTGTAAAAACGACCTAGTTTTGATTTGGTTTTTTTATGGCCGGGCTTGCGTGTTGAACGCTCCCGTCGCGTCTTATTATCTTGGATTTTCCGCCAAAATGGCCTACACACCGCGAACCGATTTCGATGGCAACGCGACTTACATGACCAATGGCTATCGCAGTGTTGGACGAACACACCTATCGGCTCTTGACTCGGTAGAAAACTCATTCCATACTCCAACCAAGGACAACGACGTGATTAGGGGATTTGGTCCGCGCAAACGCGTCTCTGATGGCTCCAAAGTCGGCACTCCACGTGCCAACATGACTTCCAAGTCCAGCAGAAGCGCTTTGAGAAACCTCCCCGCGACAATGGGGAAAGGAGAGTTCACGCCACTCATGAAAAGCGCGACTAAAAACAACTTTCTCAAGAATATGTCCACGCGGGGAGGTGACGGTCCGAAGACGCCGGGTTATCGAGAAAACAGTCGAGGCGGTGCCACCCCTGGGCTGACTCAAAACATGTCGGATATCTACGAGGAAGATGGTACTACCGAACATCAAACCCCACAACCTCAGGTTATGAGCAGCAGTGCGCCAAGCTCGCCTCTCCCCGGGGGCCTCATGGGACGAAATGGGGGAGGAATGCTTGGGGATGGAAATCCGACTTTGAAGGAGCAAGAAAAAGTGAGCATCTCAATACTTCACTCGACTGGCATTCACTAACTTCTGCAGATCATTGACCGGCTTGACAAAGACAACTGGAACTTGAAACTCAAATGCCATTTTTTCGAGGAGCAGCTTTCCAAGGCTGGTCCGGAAATAAACAGTCTGGCCATGAAAGAAAATACAGAGCTCAAAGTTACAAAAGTGACATTGCAGCGCGAGGTGGCCCGCTACAAAAAAGGTGTAATACTAGCAGAGCGCGAGTTGGAGGACTACCGTCAACAACTAGCGGACATGAGAGAACGATCTCGACGAAAACAAACTGACGAAGAAGTTCAGCGTGAGATGGATCTCATGCAAAGTGAAATCGACACAAGGGACAACGAACTCAGAGATCTACGAGAAGAACTGAGACAGGCCAAGAACGACAAGTCTCAGGAGTTGGAAAAGCTCCGCGATGAGGTGGAGGACCTGGAAGCTGAGTTGAGGGCAAAGGATCGGGCCATCGACGTACGCGACGAGGAGCTCGAGGAATTGAGACAGCAATCCTCACGAAAAGAATCCGACGAAGATATGCAGCGTGAAATAGACAGCTTGCGGGAGGACCTCGATTCAAAGGAGATTGAGGTCAATGAACTCCGAGATGAAGTGCGGCTGGTCGCGAATGGCAGGTCTCATGAGTTAGAGAAGCTCAGAGATGACATCCAGGACTTGGAAGCTACAATCAGGGAGAAGGAACGAGCCATCGATGAACGTGATGAACAACTGGAGAAGCTGAAAGCAAATGAAAAGTATCAACAGGACCTGAAGAGTGACGCCGGGATGTTAAGCAGGGATCTTGACTCTGCACGGCGAGAACGAGACTTAGCCCAACAAGAACAAGAAAGGATCTCCAGCCGCTTGAATGTAGCTCTCGATGACCTCCAGCGCCAAGCAGACGAAAAGGAGCTTCTGCAGAATCGACATCAAGCTCTCACAGACGAGTCAGGCGGCCTGCAAGTCGAACTTGCCCGAGCGCAGTCTAGAATCGAGGAACTCCAGCTACACATGAAGAGCAACTCTGGGCAATTAGGCGAAGAGCTTGAAAAAGTAAGGCGGGAACGGGACTTACTTCAGCGGGATAAGGAATTCCATCAGAAGGAGCATGACAAGATCTCCCTTCGCCTGACATCAGCTCTGGAAGACCTCAACCGCCAAGCATCCGAGAACAAGCGTCTTCAAGATCAAGAACACACTCTGAATGATAAATTGAGAGACTTACAAAACGAGTTTGCTAGGGCGGAGTCCAGAATCAACAGACTTCAGCAAGACTTCAAGAGCAACTCTGGCAAATTAGGCGGAGATCTTGACTCCGCCAGACGAGAACGAGACGCAGCTCAGCAGGAACATGACAATGTCTCCTCCCGCCTACAAGCAGCTCTCGATGACCTCAAGCACCAAGAAATCGAGAAAGAGCTTTTGCAGGATCGACAACAAGTCCTCACTGATGAAGTGGGAGACCTGCAAAGCGAGCTTGCCGGGGCGAAGTCTAGGATTGAAGACCTCCAACAGAGCCTGGCAGATGAGCAAGAATACGGCAAAGGTCAGCAACAGAAACGATCATCTGACAACATAGGCCAACTGCAAAAGGTAGTTGCCGAGAGGAACACGATACGAGAGGAGCTTGCTCAGGCCCACGTTGAATTGCACGACCTGCGAAGGTCGGCAACTGAGGTGGAAATTGAGCGCGATGAGCTCCAGGCTCAGCTTGAGCTGGAGGTTCTCCAACAACAACAACGCCCGGAAAATGAGCTGTCGCTTGGACACAGAGACCTATCCGCCCTTCGGCAGAGCCTAGAGGAAGCTCGAAAGCGGGAGAAGAACTTCCTGCTGAGAGAAAATGAGCAAAAGGCGGGGATACGAACTCTCAAGTCCCAAATCGTTGAACTTGAAAAGGATCTGCATGAGGCACACATCACAAAATTCAACTCCAACTCAGTCCACAACTCGCCCTATGAAAAGACCTATGAGGAGATTCGAAATCTACGAAAGCAGCTTTCAGATACACACCGGTCTCTCAAGGAAGTCCGGTCCAAGAATCGTGATTTGGAGCGTGCTGCTTTGAGAGAAGAAGATCAGAAAGACCTGCATGAGCTCCTCAAGTCTTCGACGCTTGAAGCCGAGTCTCTCGCACTCAAGGTCTCAGAGCGAGACACGCGTTTGAACGAGCTCAAGGTCCAGGTTCGTCGGATCCGCGAAGAGCGGGCTTACTGCGTACGAAAAGTCGAAACAGCAAACAAAGAACTAGAAGTATTGCAGCAGCGTTACGACGAAGCAATACAACAAGTCTCCCTGGGCAAATCGACGACAAGACACGAAAAGGAGATGCGAGGCCTTGGCAAAGAAATAATTTGGCTCCGAGCCCGCTTACAACGAGAACAGAAGTTCCGTCGTGACCTAGCCTGGAGTAAGGGCCTAATGGAACTTGGTGAACGAGTCCGCATAGCATGGTTCGTAAACCCCTTTCTACTCTCATATACAAAAAAAGAACATTAATTAACTTGATTCAACCCACAGCAACTCAGCCGACCTTCGTATGATTAACGAAATGGGAGTAGACGCCCAAGACCGCACTTCCACAGGATCACCTCGCCACAAATTCCGTTCTGCAATCTCCCTCGTCATGGCTACTGTCCGCATGAAACGGATGTGTCAGGACTGGCAACGGACCAGGAAGATAGGCGAGGGGCTGAAGCGAGCTAAATCTGAGATGCTTAAGCGTCGAGAAGCCTCAAATAAGAGTCTTCTTGGGCTGTAGATCTCTAGTGCTGATCTAAGTTGCCTCTCGATATTGATGATTGTGTTTGTTCTTTTTTCATGTCCCAGCGTGAGCCCTTCTAGAGATTCCCCAGAAATTGATTATTTATTTGAATTGGATTTATGTAGTCCTGTAGTAATGTAAGACACTTGGGTATCTAGGTAGCTACCGAGTCTATAATAGTGATCATACCTAACCTTGTAGATATAGATGTTCCTCAAATCTGAGTTAGGGTATCTAGGTACGACTAGGCAGATCTGTAAGCAACTCCAGCTCTATTCTATGCGCCTTGAAAGAAAAACAATGCTCTATCATCATTATGTCGTCCACGATGTCGCCGGTGCCATCTACGATCAGGTGATCATTACCGCACTGGTCTCTACGCTGTGTCCCGTGGACCTTTAAGTGCAGAGATTTTCCCGCTTTCATTCCTCTTTCTTTCTTTCTTTCTTCTTCATACATTCATATGCATGGGTCTTTGGTACACCAGTGAGGAGAAATCTGAGGTTACTATTGCTGACTGAAAGCTATCAGTTATATTCCTACCTGGCCGCCTTCGTGGGTGGTCACGTAATTTTTTCACCAAAACTGTGATTTATCACTCTTATTCTTTCTTCATTGCTTGATAGCCCTTGTTGGCTGCGGGTAGAGAAGAGAGGGTATTGAATCTTGGACGTTTGGTGTGGAATATATATTTTTGCAGCGGAGGAACCCTACTTATTTGGCGTGTTGTTACGTGTTCTGGATGTGAAACTCAATGGCATACATACTAAGTGTCCTACGCGTGTTAAATAGTGAAATTTGCTTCCTTGCTATTATAAATATAATATTTGAAATCTTGAGTTCTGATGATTTTTTGGTTACCGATGAATACTCTACCCCATGAGGGAAAACAGAGGACCCTGAGGCTGCCACTGCCAAGAAGTAACAACGTTATATGTCAGTGTAATGATGATGTATGTCCCGATATAGTAACATAGGTGCTACCTAGATACTTACCACTTCAGCCTTGCACGAGGCTACCTCAAGAACCGTTTACACTCTCAATATGCTACTACAAGTCCCTTGGCCATTTTTGGAGCGGATGTCCAGAAGCCAGCGTGAATCCCTGAGCCAGACCCCTGATACGGCTATGTCTGTGTCCTCCTCAGTGGCTGAGTTTTTGGAGGGTAAGGATCTCCAGTATCGCAACAACATCGAGTACATCAAGTCCGTACACAAGGGCCTAACTGAGGCACTCGATTCTCAACTACTATCGAAGAAGGAGTTTATCGAAGCTGTCAATCCATTCTTGGAGAGGATGCATGTAGTCCGTGAGGAGATGAAGGTTCTCTCTCGACAGCGGAAGTGTATCCAAGACGACCTTGAAGACCATGGTCCATTTAAGCGGAGACGGATTGGGGAGCTGAGAACAGAGATCCTCGAAAGAGCCTATTCTAGCAGCATCATCGCCCGTGTTATGGCCACTGCAGGGAAGCAACTTCGACTCACCAATTTTAATCAGTCTGCCTTCAAGAAGTTGGTCCTCAAGTACTATGCTATTCCTGAGGGGGGTTGGTGCCATTTAACCGGCCGGTGGGCCACCAAAGCGATCAAAGCGGCACATTTAGTGCCGAAGAGCCTCTCTACTGATGAGGTGGCGCACCTATTTGGGGTTGAGGAGCTTGTATTGGAGGATCCTTCGAATTCTCTACTACTCCACAACAGTGTTGAACGTGCCTTAGACACCGGCAAGATTGTTTTTGTTCCTATCCTAGAAGACAATGAGGTCGGGAATCCTTCGCGGTGGAGATGTGTCCTCGCGGATGAATCTGCCCGCAATAATTGCGCTATTGAGCACCCCAGCGGGGTCCTGAAGTGGGACGATCTTGACGGGAGAGAGCTGGTCTTTCATGGCGGCGCTAGACCAGCCAAGAGGTACATGTACTTCCGGTTCATCGTCACGTACCTATACCACAAGCAGCAGAAGGAGGTGTCCTCTGCTAGCCAGGGAGAGAAGGATAAAGCCTTCGCATCATTTACCGAAAGGGTAGAGACGAGCAAAAGGTTCTGGCCAACGCCTGGTCCGTACCTACGGCGCTCGATGCTCTGTACTCTCGCCCGAAATATCTCCGGCAGTGAAATTCCCCCTGAGTTGATCAAGGATACAACCTTTGAGGGGCAGACCCCCGACCATGACGACATGGAAGAGGGTCTGGTATCAGCGCGGGAGGTGTACAGTGCGATGATTGACTCTGTCAAGAAACACGAGATGGACTCGGAGCAAGAGGAGAGTTCAGAGGAAGAAGGGGCATGGGATTCTGGAGATAAGCCGATGTTTGACTATTAGGTATTCTTGCTCGGTATCAAATGCATTCTTAACCACATCTTTGTAGAGCTGATTGAGTACATGTAAGAATTGAATAATAATTCCAGGGTTAAATCGCTGAAGAAAAAACAAAAAATAGAAAAAACGACCTACTTCGAATCGCACTAGATCGTTATTTACGCAACAAAAAATTTGTTGCATACCTGGGGGCACAGCTCGGCGTGATCTCGTATTTGTATTCGGTGTTGGTGGTGACGGATTAACAAACTATCGGGCTCAGGACATGAGTATCCACAAAATTTTGAAGTATATACCGGCTAATAGTTAATCCGGGCCCATAGATAATCCAAACTACAGTATTGTTCACTTCAAAGCGATTATGATAAGTGAAAGAACCCAGAGCCATAAAGAGATAAGTGAATGTCACTATTTAGACAAGACAAATATCGCAATGGGAATTACATGAGTACTTGCACGATTATTGTTTGAACACGCCGTTACCAAGGTGCACGAGATAAAAGGACCAAATACAAACAAAATGAGAGCCAAACGCTTTCAGAACACCTTGAATACTCACCCAAAGCGACTATAACTGATTTGATGTGCCAAAAGCCAAGTGAAGATCTTGGAATTGAACATAACAGGAGTAGCAGCCGTCTATTCATGACCACTCCAGCCCATCAAGATGGAATAGTGAAAAACCAGATTTATGCTCCCTCGCTACCAAACTCTTTTGTCCATTCCGAGTTCCTTGTGAGATCTTCTTGGCTGACAGTAGACCGAGAGTTACGAACAGCTTTAATGAAGTCTTTGAGGACAAGTGGGGGCTCAAGGAGTTGATCTGCTTCGATGTCAAGCCAGGTCATCTCCGTTGCTCCAGCATCGCCAGGCGAGCAAGGTGTGAATTTCTCAACACCTTCATCATTAACCTAATGAGACAGAGTGAGTGAGCTAGTTTTTCTGACCAGTTGGGAATGCGCTTGCGAACCTTCTTATAATGTGTTGCTGTTTGGATCTTGCGGATAGGCTGCATCAGTGCATCCTGCACGGCAATGCTTATATCACTACCAGAGTAGCCATTGCTCATCTCAGCCAAAGTCTTGTAGTCCGTCTGGGTCATATGGCACGGCGTGGAGCCCACAGCCAGCATGAACATCTTCATCCGTGCATTGAAATCCGGCAGACTGATGTGGACTCTTCGTTGGAATCGACGACGAATAGCAGCATCCAGCTGCCAAGGAATATTGGTTGCTCCCAGGATCAGGACGCCCTTTGAATCGTTTCCAACACCGTCCATCTGAACGAGGAGCTCGGTCTTGATACGCCGAGATGCCTCAGACTCACCTTCACCACGAGGTCCACAGAGGGCATCGACCTCATCAATGAAGATGATCGCTGGCTTGTTTTCACGAGCCATAGTGAAGAGCTGCTTCACAAGTCTAGAGATTCGTGAGTAATACGTCCAAGAAAAACCCGGTAGCCTAGAGCCTGGAATATTTTCCTACCTTTCACTTTCACCCATCCATTTAGAAACCAGATCACTACTGCTGACACTGAAGAAAGTACTGTTCGCCTCAGTAGCAACGGCTTTGGCAAGATAAGACTTTCCGGTACCGGGTGGCCCATAGAGCAAGATTCCCTTCCAAGGTTGCCGTTTGCCTGTAAACAAATGTGGGAACTTGATAGGAAGGATGACAGCCTCTTTTAGAGCTTCCTTTGCATTCTCCAAGCCAGCAACATCCTCCCACTTGACATTCGGCTTGTCGGACAAGATAGCACCCTGGAGTGCGGACCGGAGCTTTTTCGAATCCGCGTCTTCGCCATTATCATCGTCTTCTTTTCTGTTTGGGAGATGTCATTTGTTAGCGCGGGAAATCCAAGAAAAGAACATCTCTTGCTTGAACGAATGAAGCTTGATTCCACGTTGTAATAGCTCGATATGTAAACAGGCCGTAGAGTCTTCAAACGTACCCTTTCCCGCTTCCTTGCGCGACCTTGCCATTCGCGCCTACGGCACTTGGTTTTTTCTTATCGTCCGACGAAGCCAAATGATTCTTCAACTTCTCTGCGCGATCCATATACTCTCCTGTTTTGGCGCGAATCATCTCCTTGGAGCGAGGGTTTTTCTCCCACTTCAGAGCGAGCATGAACAGCTCCAGTGAGGAGTAGTACAGCTGATAAGCCTTCTCATATTCGCCCTCATTGTCATTCTCGATTGCTTTCTTGACGGTATCAATCGCCCTTCCTAAGAAATCCGTGTTACTCATACTGGCAATCGGAGAGCTACCGTGTCGGGGAAGTGGCAAGCCGAGCGCGGAGGTGGTAAAGCGGGGTGTGTCGTGGGCCTCCTAGGCAGCGGCTCGAAGGAACAGGCGATGATTGAGTTAGAAGAAGATGTCAAGATTATAGAAATAAAAATTGAGAACCCAGAACACAGTGTTTATTGGCAGAGCTGGGATGTACGTGGAATTGGAGGGGGAGGAAGGGAGGTAGATTCATGTGCGGTGTTGACGGGCGGGCAGAAGTCGAGTGGTTTTCCCTCTTTCACTTCCCCCGCGACAAGCCATGGACGCTCAAAAACAGCTTCAGGCGCTTTCGGACGAGTTCCAGCAGCTCCAGACTGGTATGTTCATCCTATGAACAATATGTTTTACGCAGACCATGAGATCTAATTGTTTCATTACCCTAGAGCTTGAGGGTCTAGTTGATGCTCGCCAGAAGCTTGAGTCACAGCAACAGGAGAACCTGGGCGTACAAAGTGAATTCGCCCAACTAGATGACGAATCCAACATCTACAAACTTGTCGGACCTGTGCTGCTAAAGCAGGACAAGACCGAGGCCGTCATGGCTGTCAACGGCCGATTGGAATTCATCGAGAAAGAGATGTTCGTATCTTATACGTGTGATATAGGCGTAATATTTACTGACTTATGCTATACAGCAAGCGAATCGAAGGAGATATCACCGAGAAGCAAGAGCAGGGTGAGAAGAAGCGCGCCGAGGTCGTACAATTGCAAGGCCAGGCACAGCAAGCTGCTGCGTCGGCATGAACTTGATTTGAGCCACGCAGAAACAATATTGTCATCCAAGCTTGGCCTTGGTAGTAAGTGGACACATTGATCATGATATGACTCGATTGATACCGCATACGCCGGAACGATCTTGAGGTCATGCTGCTTTTTGCTATTTGAATGGGGTTGGAGCCTCGTCAAATGAGGAATGATTCCTTGATAAAGCATTCAATACAGGCAGATACACCTGGTGTATCGATCGAATAGCATTTGGATTATGTGTCTAGAGTGACTTTAGAAAATATTATACCCAATGAAATTTTTTGTCACAAAATTTACTGCTACGCTCTAAAAACTTCAAACCACAAGTTTACCATCGCTCTTATTAGGGTCAGTGCCCAGGTAACAATCTATACCGTCAAATTTCAAGGTTGAAATCTCCAAGGCTGGGACATGGCATGTATTTATATCATAAAAGTGTATTGTTCGTTCATTGATTAGTTTTCATGCCTAGATTTATATGTGCAAAGCAGTCTATCTATGCCTTGATCAGCAAGCTCTTGCCGGTCATCTCCTCGGGCTGCTCAATGCCCATAGCGGCAAGGATTGTAGGGGCGACATCACCCAGAACACCACCCTCCTTCTGGAGGCTCCAGCCCTCTGGGGCATTGGCCAGCACGAAGGGAACGTGATTGAGAGTGTGGGAAGTCTTGGGGGTGCCCTTCTCATTGAGCATCTCCTCGGCGTTACTATGGATATGTTAGCTAGAGAAACATTTTGATTGATGAGACCTTGTTTATAAACTTACCCGTGATCAGCGGTAATGAAAAGAGCGTAGTTGTTCTTCTTGCAAGCCTCGTAGACGGCACCAATGGCCTTGTCGGTGGCGGTAACACCCTGGATGGCAGCCTCGTACACACCAGTGTGGCCAACCATGTCAGGAGGGGCAAAGTTGTTCATGACAAAGTCGAAGTTGTTCTCGCCAATGCGCTCGGCCATCTTAACACCGACCTCTGCGGCGCTCATCTTGGGGTCAAGATCGTAGGTGGCCACACGGGGCGAGGGGATCATGTCGCGGACCTCACCGGGGAAGTCCTTCTCCACACCACCGTTGAAGAAGAAAGTAACGTGAGCGTATTTCTCGGTCTCAGCAACGTGGCATTGCTTGAGGTTCTTCTTACCCAGCCACTCGGCCAGAACGTTGCCCATCTTTTGGGGAGAGAAGGCAACGGGGAAATTGTAATCGCCCTTGTACTGGGTCATGGTGGTAATTTCAATGTTCTTGGGGTAGGCAAAGTCGGGACGCGGGGAGCGGTCCTGGTCACCCAGCAACTGGGTGATCTCACGAACACGGTCAGAGCGGTAGTTGAAGAAGAAGAGGGTATCATCATCTGTCAGAAGTTAGCTGTAATTCAAATCTTCATCTGTATAGTGCAAACATACCCTGCACACGGCGCTCCTTGCCACCAACAATAATAGGCTTGAGGAACTCGTCGTTCTCGCCCTTGGCGTAACGCTCCTTAATGGTGGCAAGTGGGTCAGAGCTGTCCTCGCCCTCGCCGGTGACCATACCAGCCAGACCGACCTCGACACGCTCCCAGCGCTTGTCGCGGTCCATGATGTAGTAACGGCCAACAACGGTGGCAATGTCACCAAGACCAGTCTCCTTGGTCTTGGCAAGCAGCTGCTCCATGTAAATGACCGAGCTCTTGGGGTCGGTATCACGGCCATCACCGAAGAAGTGGATGAAGACCTGGGGGATCTGCATCTCCTTGGCGACATCGAGCAAGCCGAACAGGTGGGTAATGTTGGAGTGGACACCACCGTCAGAGACCAGACCGCACAGGTGCAGACGGCCGTTACCCTCCTTGGCGCGAGTGAAGCTCTTGACAATGTTCTCGACCTTGTTCAGCTCGCCCTTCTTGAGAGATTGGTCGATGCGAACACTGTCCTGCCAGACCACACGTCCAGCACCGATGTTCAAGTGACCAACCTCACTGTTGCCCATGAGGCCCTCGGGAAGACCGACAGCTAGGGAAGAAGCCTCCAGAGTGGCGTATCCCTGTGCGGTCTTGGAGTTGGCCTCGGCAAATCCAGACATGTATGGGGTCTCGGCGGCAGCGATGGCATCGCCCTCGGGAGGGGAGTTAGGACCAGCAATACCCCAACCGTCAATGACGACTGTAGGAGAGAATCACATTAGAATGGAAACTGAGGACCTGGTGGAAAGCCAATCACATACTCAGAGCAACTTTTTGGTCGACCGTAGCCATGGTGTGGGTATGGTATATCTTGATCGTAGTCCTGAACACTTATCAACGCTGAACCAAGCAAGTAAAATACCCAATTCAAATGTAGAATAAATGTTTCTTACCTTTAAAAGGGATGACGAAGGAAAAAGAGAAAGAAAGAGAATTGGAAGATAAATAACTAGAGCAAAATGTGGCACGACGGAGGAGGGGCACTTTCCCGGTGACGCTTTTTGGTTTTTGGTTGCCAGGTCCCGACGTCACCTGGTGTTCCGACTCTTTCCTAATCAATTTTACCACTTAATTTTACCTTTATCATCAGCTCTATGCTGCCTTGAAATCTGCCAATGGTTTCCCTATCTCCAACCGCAGCTACGCCGCTGCCCAAGTCTTCGGTCGCTCCCGCGAGCCCTTCAAAGGATGTCGCAACCCCACAAACGGTCCCCTTCCCATCACCCCAGACTTTTGAGATAATTCCCCCGCTACATGGCATACTTCACCGATTGCTTTCTCAGAAGAATCCATCGGGGACGAGTGCGCCTGGCGATACCTCTGGCGCGCCAGGTACATCAGCAGAAGCGCAACCCCAAAGCCAACAAGGGCCCGATGTGACTGGCGGGAATAATAATCATACAGCTTCACAAGCTATACCAGGAGGTTCCAATCTTGATCCTAATTCCCAACCTCCACTGAATGTCAAAGGCCTACCCACAGAAGCCAGCTCCGTAAAAATTCGGATTCAAAAGGCTCGCACAACAGTCGAAGGGCTCCCCGATGTCCACCGCTCCGTCAAGGAACAGCAGAAAGAAATTGCCGAGCTTGAGAAACGTGTAGCACGTCTCAAATCTGTCATTTCAGACTTTGGAAGTCGTGCAGGACAAGCTCTATGAGCCACCGAATCTGGAGAAAAATGAGACAGATAACTATGACCAAAGAATTGGCCCATCTTACGGAGTACTGCGGCTTGCATATATCTCTTTCGAGAGTTTTACATGGTGTTACTGGAAATGAATACCCAATATCACTGAGTGACGTGATTTGTTTTTTACTGGGACTTTTGGAACCAGTGTATTCTTTTTGCAACGGGGATCAAAATTTAGTCCCCGGGGAAGATAAAATAGTGCAAGAGCCAGAGCCTTGTCATACGAGTCAATTCAGAGCACTTTTCAGCTTCTTTGAGCTGGCATTGTTTTCCCACTCACCTATAGTGTATTCTAGACAGACCACTGTAAGTTCGGCATCGGGATCACAGTCCAAATAGCCCTCAAGTCTTAAACCTGCGCCAACCACTAGATCCACACTTTTCGTCCTGAGTCATTGTAGATTTTGGCTTCTGGAGAAAGAGAGAAAGCGACGAGGAGTGGAATCGAGCATCCACTTTTCTATGACTGTTTTCTCCACCTAAACCTCATCCGGTTTGAAGTGTTTAGTCCGATGTCGTCCAAGATGGTTGATGGCCTGAGGCGCCAACTTCGATCCGCCCCAAACCCCACCAAAGTTAACTTGAAAATAATTTCTTCCTTCCTTACTCTCTTCAAACCTCTTCACCTATTTTCCCTTCCTCTAGGAAAATACCATTCACATCCGCCACAATGTCCTACGCTTTGTCCGAGGCCCACAAGGCTGTATGTCTTTTTACTGATGCCCCCAAACTAAGATCTGAAAAAGATCCAATGAGATCATTGACTCATACTTATACAGCAAATGCACAACACTCTCAAGGAGAGTGATCCTGAGATCGCTGCGATCATGGTAAGCCTCTATTCAATGAATTGATCTTGCTGTCAAGATCTATCCACAGAATAATTCAGAATCTTTGTTTGCTAACCTTCCTCGTCTCACAGGAGAAGGAAATCCAGCGTCAGCGCGAGTCCATCGTTCTGATTGCCTCGGAGAACTTCACCTCCCACGCTGTCTTCAACGCTCTGGGCTCTCCTATGTCCAACAAGTACTCTGAGGGTTACCCCGGTGCCCGCTACTATGGTGGTAACCAGCACATTGATGCCATTGAGATCACCTGCCAGCAGCGTGCTCTCAAGGCCTTCAACCTTGACTCCGATAAGTGGGGTGTCAATGTTCAGTGCCTAAGTGGTAGCCCTGCCAACCTGCAGGTCTACCAGGCCCTCATGCGTCCCCATGACCGTCTGATGGGTCTGGACCTTCCCCACGGTGGTCACTTGTCCCACGGCTACCAGACTGCCTCCCGCAAGATCTCTGCTGTCTCCACTTACTTCGAGACCCTCCCCTACCGTGTGAACCTCGAGACCGGAATCATTGACTATGATCGTCTTGAGGAGAACGCTGAGTTGTACCGCCCCAAGATCTTGGTTGCCGGTACCTCCGCCTACTGCCGTCTGATTGACTACAAGCGCATGCGCCAAATCGCTGACAAGGTCGGTGCCTACCTTGTTGTCGACATGGCCCACATCTCCGGTCTGATCGCCGCTGGCGTCATCCCCTCTCCCTTCGAGTATGCCGATATTGTCACCACTACCACCCACAAGTCTCTCCGCGGTCCCCGTGGTGCCATGATCTTCTTCCGCAAGGGTGTCCGCAGCACCGACAAGACCGGCAAGGAGATCTTGTACGATCTTGAGGGTCCCATCAACTTCTCCGTTTTCCCTGGTCACCAGGGTGGTCCCCACAACCACACCATCACTGCTCTGGCTGTTGCACTGAAGCAGGCTGCTTCCCCCGAATTCAAGCAGTACCAAGAGCAGGTCATCAAGAACGCCAAGGCCCTCGAGCTCGAGTTCAAGTCTCTCGGCCACAAGCTCGTCTCTGACGGCACTGACAGCCACATGATCCTCGTGGATCTGCGCCCCAAGGCCCTTGACGGTGCTCGCGTTGAGGCTGTTCTTGAGCAGATCAACATCGCCTGCAACAAAAACTCCATCCCCGGCGACAAGTCTGCCTTGACCCCCTGCGGTATTCGTATTGGTGCCCCCGCCATGACCACTCGTGGTATGGGTGAGGAGGACTTCAAGCGCATTGCTAGCTACATCGACCAGGCTATCGGCATTTGCAAGAAGGTCCAGGGTGAGCTTCCCAAAGAGGCTAACAAGCTCAAGGACTTCAAGGCCAAGGTTGCCTCCGAGAACGTTCCTGAGATCTTGTCTCTCCGCCAGGAGATTGCTGCCTGGGCCAGCGTCTACCCTCTGCCCATCTAAGTGGAATAATATTTCAACTTATGTACGGAGGTGGTGTGATTTGTTAGTATATGAAAGTTATGAGAGATCCTGTGTTCAACATCAACTATGAACACGCTGGAATATTAAAATACCACAAAATGGTGCGTTAAATGGGGTTTATACCGGTCTGCTTTTTCAACCTTAGGGACATTTGGGTTTAGGTTATCTGTTTTGTTTTTCCTTTCTTTTTCCTCATTTGATCATCTGAGCATGAGATGATCGTTTTAATCCTCGCCGCTTCTTCAACTGCTCGAGGATATGGTTTCCAGGAGACCAAAAGTTCAACATATCTTCAATCCTGCTGAATAACCTGTGAAAATTCAATACAACTTTATGGTCGTAAATACCACTTTTTTCTACGTACATCGGACTGACAGTTTCTCGGGTACCTAAGGGATACATCAATCTCCATACTAGATCCTCTATGTAAATATGTACCTGATAAGTACCAACCCCGCAGACCTCGGGACTCTCGCTCCACACGTGCCATGCTTATCCCCCGCCTCGACTTTGTATCATCAGCCCTTCTTTTGTTTCCCAAATTTATTTATCCTCTTGCTCAACTTATTCTATACAATCGGATTTTTTTGCCCGTTTTGTTGTCTGTTCCAGCCTTTCAACTCTCTTAATACCTAGTCACGGAAGCCTTTAAGTAGCCTACTCGAACAACAGAAAGAAAAAAGAAATTCAAACTCCATACAACAATGGCAAACAAAGCTCAATGCTTTTATTGTTTCGAAAGCCTCTGGGCGTCATTCGAGGATGATGAGCCAGCCAAGTTGGCAACTATTGAAGCTCTATGGGAACAGTATGAACAAACAAAGAAGCTGTCTGAAGCACAACAACAGAGGGATGATGGGAAAGTAGAGGACGACGAGTCAGGTATGACACCCTTTGAAAACTACTAGGATGATGATGATGCCAAACATCCATACCAGATGCCGGTCCAGTCTGCAGAGCCAAATGTCTGATTCCTCCGCAGCTACCACATCGTCTAGTCCTTCCAATAATTCATCAAATTCGCGCCTATCCAGCTCCACCGCAATGACGACACCAAACTCCCTGAGTTCCATAACCCAGAAGTATCCACTCTTCGTGACGTGGAACACAATATCCCGAAACAGACGCCCGTCTCTTCGAGGGTGCATAGGCACGTTCGAGGCACAAGACCTTGCAACTGGGTTGAAATCATATGCTCTAACCTCGTGAGTTCAATTGCCATAGCCCAGCCTGCTCCTCGTCCTTTTAGGCGGGTAATGAGTGCTAATATATTTCAATGGCAGAGCTTATGATGACACACGCTTTTCTCCAATTCCTAAATCTCTCATTCCCTCGCTATCATGCTCCCTCACTCTTCTAGGGTCCTTTGAGCCATGTACTAATGCAATGGACTGGGTGCTCGGCACTCACGGCCTGAGAATATCCTTTATTAACCGCGGCCGTCGGTATGGTGCCACTTATCTGCCTGATGTGGCAGTTGAGCAGGGCTGGACGAAAGAGGAGACCATCGAGAGTCTGATGCACAAAGCAGGCTGGGAAGGTAGTGTGAGGGATGGTGCGCGGAGACAGCGAGACACAGGAAATGACGGCCCTGGCGCTACTAGGCCTTGGGATCAGGTATCTGATTTTCGCACAGTTAGGTATCAGGGTCTCAAGGCTAAAGCAGACTATGCCGAGTGGCAGGAGTGGCGAAATTGGGTGCTCACTTTAGATGATGGCCGTGAGATTCTGGGCTCGGCTTAATTACATCGCCACAAGGCGTCGTCAGACCATGGATCTCATGGTTTTATTTGAATTATGGTGGTGAGCATTATACGTTGACATTCACCTTCACCTGTTTCCCAATCATAGGATAGCAGTGCACTTGGGTAGATACAAAATCTAGATATGGAATTTACAGCAACTTGAGCAATTCATGTTGCCAACAGTCAACTGTTACCTGTAGTCAGAACTGCGAGTCTAAATGCGCAAAACCCAAGTTCAGATTGTTAGATAAATTGGAGATTCGAGTACCCAGATCAGGAACGCTTAAGTTCACATATAATGGTCTTATTTATTTTGCATGAGCCCCACGACTCCATAGACCAGCCATAGTCTCCTTAACTCTCCGCTCCTGGTCGCGAATCTGTGACTCAGTCTGCCCACGCGCATTACCCCGGCTATCAATCTGCATCGGAGTCCCGGCACCATCACCATGAGCGGAATGTCCAGACTCGTCTGTGATCTCACTACCATTCACACGCTCTGGCTTAGGATCGATGCTCATAACGCCATCCATCATGAAGCCACCACCCTCGCGCAGCTTGTTGATAGCGCGCACAGTATCGATAGCACGATGCAGAGTGCGACGCGCGTTGAAGTTCCGTTTGACGGTCGGTAGCAGGTCCTCGCCGGAACCGGTCCGCGAGCTGTCATATGGTGGATTGATCCACGTGTGTTGCAGTGCTTGGTGGGCGGTCATGCGCTGGGCCGGGTCAATGGTTAGGCAGTTTTTGATGAAGTTGCGTGCCTCTTGCGATACACCGCGCCAGTACTCCAGTGGTGTGAATGAGTAGTCCGCTGCTAGAATTGCCTGCATTTCTTCAAGGTTGGAATCACGGTCGAATGGGGTGTATCCACAAAGGAGGAAGTAAGTGATAACGCCGATGGCCCAAATATCACTATATAATTGTTAGTAAAGATAAAAGCCAAACTGCGGTCAATAATCTTACACTGGCTTTCCATGTCCGCTCTTTTTGAAAATCTCTGGCGCCATGTAGCCTGGAGTTCCGCATGTTGTTGTCAGGACGTGGAACTGCTCCTCGTCCATGATCCTGGACAAGCCGAAGTCGGCTATCAAGAGATCTGCATTATCTTCTGGGGTACGGAACAGCAGATTCTCAGGCTTGAGGTCACGATGCACAATTCCATGGTCATGAAGATAAGCTACGGCAGAGAGTACGGCGCGGATGAGGCCTGCTGCATCGGTTTCGTAGTAGCTGCCCTTTCGGCAGATGCGATCGAAGAGCTCTCCACCCAAAGCGAGGTCTGTAACAAGGTACACTGAGCGATTATAAGTACTTTATTTGTAAGTAGGGGCTGGTTGCGATCGCGGCGGGGCGGGACGCACAGTTATTCATAGTCTCAAAGTAGTCGACCAGGGTGAGGATATTTTGGTGACCCATGGACACTTTCTTCAGTACGGCGATTTCATTTCGGACCTTATCATTTTTACAGTTGTCAGTAGATGTCTGACATAGTTGCAATCGTTGGTATATAGCTCAGTCGTACCATGTGTTCACGCCCCGCCATCAGGCGCTTGTTGATGACCTTTGCGGCATAGTAGCGACCGGTGTCAATATGTACGCATTCCTTGACAACAGAGTATGAGCCTGCACCTAGTGTCTTGCCTGTCTTGTAGCGACATGGCTGTACTTGGGGTTTCGCAGGTTGTGCCATCAGGACGGAGATGTGCGGGGTAGAATTAGAATTCAAGTTCACAGATACCAGTGATGGTAGATCTATGTAGAAGAGTCACAATGAAAGGACAAAAGCTGTTCCAAGGGTGACGAAATCAATATATCTCTAAAATGAAAGAGGAAGTCAGCTTTGTGTGCCACATCAGGTGGCAGTCCCACTCTATTAGCTAGCGCGGGGTTTGAAACACCAACAGGTGGAGTATTTATTACGGGATATTCGTCTGATTGATCAGATAGTATTTAACCCGAATACATAGTGCTTATTTTGATATGGGAATTTCTTAAGTGGATGGGGAAGAAGGATGATGAAGACAAGAGGTCAAAATAAAGGTGGATTAATCACCGAAGATCAACAAGGCTATGTACACACCCTGAACCAAAACTCCTTGAAATACTCCGCCATGCGCCTCCAAGATATTGAGACTCAAGATAGGGGAAAAAAAATTAACTAAGGGATGAACTTTATGCTCAATCGAGCTGTCGATGAGAAGCTGGAACAACTTGATATCGACTCGGTTTTTGCCGATACACAAGAGCGCATTCGAGCTTAGATGTGGGATAATATCTCTCCAGCTACATTCTCCAACAATTGTAAAGAATGAAACTTGGCAACACTTTGCAACATGCGTAGCCTTTTCTCAATCTCTTTGCGATCAACTGTGGGTGACCATGTACCACTGCATGAACAGTGTTCCATAAATTCGCTGATTTTAATCTGGTTGCACTTGGAACATTTCAGGTCCTGAGTGCACCATTCAGTACAAAGGCCATGAACCTGGCCGATGAGAACCTCTTCCAAAGCTAGCCGGTCGTATTCAGTTTGACAGAACGAACAACGCCAGGGTTTAGGGGTCTTGTTGTCAGCACCGGGATCAGGGAGCACATCCTCGTCACGACACAAATCCAAGTCCCGAATGAGACAGCAAGCGTTACAAGTGAGTTCCGGAAGCTTCAGGTTCACACTTGGATTTTCGAAGCGACCCTCTTTGCTGAACTCGCGCACTTCAAAAAGTGCCAGCAGTTCGCGACGCAACAGCCTGGTCTCGAGGGTAGTTGTTTTGGACAGGCTCAAAATTTGCATGAGCAACTTGACGAGCTCTAGCGCAGGGTTTCGTTTGTCTCCTTTGCGATCGATGAGGACACCAGGAAGGACGGGGAAGGCGTAATCAGATGCTAGCTCGGGATGGAGCATCTCATCACGTTGGCGACGGATCAGTCCGGAGATCTGCTTCTTTAGGGGCTTTGAGAATCGATCCGCAAGAATTGCGGTAATCTCTTCACTTTGTTTTTCGCTAGGTTCTCCGATCGGAATCTGTGTGAGACGAGGAGTCGAAGACATATCGCCATCCAGATCTGGCCGTTTCAAAGAGTGCATCAACTCGATATACTCGACGATCCAGTCGTGGAAGATGGTCTGCATAGGTGCTGGCAGGAACCGACTCAATTGCCAATGCATAATAGTTTCAAGTTCTTGGTTGTCGGCCTCGACTACCTCGCTGCAGCCCTTGCCTGCATAGTTGTACTCATCATACCACACTAGGTAATCCCAGTACTCCTTGATCTCGAGATCGACAAAATGGAAAGCCGGATTCGCCCGGATAGACTTCAACACGTACTGGCTGTAGGCATAAGCATTACCGACTTCTGTCTTTGTGGTCTGAAGCAGCAGGCGAGTAGAACTTGCAAAGATGATGTGGGATCCAACTCGTCTGAACTCACCCATCAGCCGCTGGAACGACTTGCGTGAGAGCAACCTGATATAGTTGTGCAGTGACCGATCATAGAGGCACGACACGGGGCTTTCCACCCATCGGATCAGATGCTGCACCATAATGTCGGCCATGCTATTCCCGGCACAGGCCTCCGTCCACCAACTCTTGACCATCCCGCGCAAGACAACAGCACCAGCAGAAGCAAAGGCTTTCTCGGAGTAAAGGACGCCTGTATCTTCGTCACCCGAAGGAGCTAGTAAGTTGTCGTTGCCATCCATGTCATTGATGAGAGAGGATGAGAGGATGGTGTTGATGGCGAGGTTTCGAACATCCAACTCGATGCAGACAGTCGAATAAGCATTAGGCATATTCACAGAAGGCATGCTGATCTTTTCGATCGGGCCCACTACGTCATCCTTTTCATAGCCAGCGTGGTCGGGTTTTGGCCCTGCTGACCACCATAGAACGACATTACTCTTCTGAAGTCTTCTGGCATACGATATGTCGATGAGGAACCGAGGGTCATCACTCTCCAAATTGCACAGAGGCAGATCCCCATAACGCGCGAGTAGGGTGAGATGCTGAACCCAAGCAGACAAGTATAGATAATGTGTAACGATGCGCCTGCTAATGAAAGATTGCCATCCAAGTGGTGGCATGTCCATGTCCGACACTTCAGGCTTAACGGATAAAATTGGATAATCTTTCAAGATAGGAATATCATGACACAGACGATCCTTTTGCTGGGATTGAATGATCATGACGGCTGGTTGAGTTTCGTCGTTGCGAAGTTTGCGGATCAAATCACCGACTTCAAGGTGTGCCTTTCGTCGGGTCATCACTTGGGTCGTCTTGAAGCGGATTTTGTCCTGGTACTGGAAGGCATTTAGCGACTCGTCAGCGGATGCATCTTGGAGTTTGCGAGCTAGCAATTCCAAATAGGTCTTGTCAACATTCGGTAAGCCCTGGCTGTCCCTCGAGCGATTCAAGATAACGATGTTTGCCTCATTCTTGGTCGTTGAGAACAAAGCAAAAATTTGACGCTCTCCAGAGGAGACATGGTACAGGTAGTGGTACACCAATGGCGAATCCATGAGATATGGCCGGTCAGATGTGGCGTGGAGTAATGTGGCAAGATCGAAGCCCTTTTCCAATCCATCACCAAGGACGCCTTGTTGTTCTTCGTCGAATGTGCAGTGACTTCCGAGCTTAAGCACTGCTCTGATACTGGGCGAAATGTTTCGCTCGTAGACACCCTCAATGCTAGGATGCTGGAAAAGAACTTCCATTTTGTCGGACTCCTCGAGGAATGTTTCCTCAGACATTGACAACTTGAAAAGATGAACAGAAGGATGGCCATTGGGAAGCGTGTGGTTGACTTTTTCAACTTCACAGTCTGGGACCTCGATATCAGGTAAAGATTCTCGCTTTAGGTTTACAAAGAACTGTCGTGGAACTCTGACACTGAGCGCATGGACCTTTTGATCGATCAACACAAAGGCTCGTACATATCCAGGACGACCCATTTCACAAAGCTGGAGAACCTGCCAGGTGCTGATGTACAACATCTGGGCCTGGTTGCGGAAAAATCCGCTCAAACTGTCCGAAGCAACATTAGTACGTTCGCCAAACAATTGGCGACGACGAAGTCGGGCCTGCTTCTGGATTTTCCATTTTTGCTTTTGGTATTTGATGAATCCCTGGTAGTCATCTGTGATAGACGGCATGACCGCAGGAAGGCTGGCTAAGGGGTCGAGGGCAGTTTTACCCTCAGGTTGCTTTCGTTTGTGTGACGTCTTCGTCTCAGGTGACGACTTTAGCTTTTGTGTCGAATTGGCAATCACTTCCTCTATATCACCAACATGTTGGACGCGGTGCTCCAGAATGTTGGCAGAGATTGATGAAAGAGGAGCTTTGTCTGATTTCTGGAAGAGATCAGTCATCTTCTTCTGCTTGAACTTATCATCAAGTTGATTGATGCGTCGCTGTAGCCACTCAGGATGAGCAACTCTTGGAACTGGGTTTCGAATCTTCTGGAGAGCAGCCGGAATTGTAATCAGCTTTTGAATCACCGAGCCCAGACGCTCGAGGTAATAGTTCCAATCAATGATACTACGAGGGTCCATATCTCCAGGGTCATCTTTCAGCCATTTCCGTAGGAAAAAGCGCTTGACACTCTCCTCGGCGGAGAAAATCGCAACTGGAATGGCTCTCTCGGTGACAGGCGTGTTTCTTGGCCTAGAAGATATAATGTACTTGCAGTTTAGACCCTTGTCTTTGATCATCTGCTCGCCCAGGAACTCTGCGAGACGCTTGGCAGTAGTGATTGACGTGGATTTTTGACTTCCATATTCTTCCAGCGTCTTACTCATGCTTCGATTCTCCGAGATTAGCTCGATCAGCTCCTCATCAGCCAATGTCGTACCATGTTCATAGAGGACATCAAGCCAACGATCAGCTACCCGAGCGACTGCAGCATACGTTTCACCGAGGTTAGCGCCGTCCAAGAAGAATTTGAAGATCTGAGTCTGGAAAATCTTGATGAGCTTCAGCTCTCCTCTTCGCTTAACTTCAAAACCCTTCAGTTCGGCCAATGAACCATCGTGATTGAAAACGGCGTATCGTTTTTTCAAGTTCTTGTCTTCCTCTTTTGACGTAGGAAGGATCATTGCTCTGTAAGGTCCGTCGACCTCGAAGAAAATGGAGTTTTCACTGAATGTTCGATACTTGTGCGTAGCTTGGTCTACAAGCTCCTGGTATTGTGGGTTTGTGTATTTTGCGTGGACGAGGTGATTAAGCATGACACAAGGATATGAAATGCCCAACTTTTTCCCATTCTTCAGTGTAAAAGAAAAGTTTTCGGGAAACGTCCCGGGAAGCATACACCAAATACCATCAGTGTCGAGCTCCAGTGGTCGACCAATACGTTCCACAAGCTCTCGTGCCATCTGGATAATATGAGCACCAGTGAGACAAGTGACACCGGCCATTTCCATAGAATACCATCGGGAACCCTTTCGCATGACATAACCATAGAAACTGTTCAGAATGACCTTGTGGGCAAGTTGCAAGGAATCGAAAAGAACGATCATTTTCTTAGCTTCGTCAATTTCAGCTGCCGATGCACCTGATGACACCAGGGAGTCTGTCTTGTTCTTCCAGACTTTCTGCTTGCCCTTGAAATCATACCGCCGATCACGGAAACTGCGAACAGTATCAACGTAGAAGGGATTTTCTCGCTGGCAGATGACAGCCTCTCGCACCATGGTTTTGCTATCGTGGATTTTGTGGTAAATTTTCTTGCTGTAGTCTGATAGTCGCTTTCTCACCACTGCAGCCTGTTCCTCGACACTGAGATCATTGAAAGATCTCATTGGAGAATTCTTATGCTTGCCAGGAAATTTTTCGTTGGCAGTAGCATGTCGAATCATGTTGTACTCGTCACGTTTGGCAGGCAAATATTCACCACGCCATGCCCATGGCATTCGTCTATCACAGGTTTTACCGGGTCGATTAAAATCACACGCTGCACAGTCCGATTCGTCGATCATAGAGTCGGGCTGCAGTCGGTTGGTGATCATGATGTTAGGGTACATGGATGCGACATCCAAATGATAGATGAAAGGCACCTCATTTCGGTGCGGGTTATTCTTCAGGTCAAGCAAGCGCTCGGCGATCTGTGCCTTGACATCGTCAAAGTTTGTTACATCATCCAAGGACTTCTTTTCTTCAACCTCGATACTAAATTTGAGAGCGTGGTCCAAGTCTGCAAGCAGCTCATCAATTGCAGAAGGGTGCACATTGAATGTCACAGGAATATCACTTCGGAACACACCAGCCTCAATACTCTCGACGTGACCACCCACGTAAGTTTCTGAGTCGAGCAGATGGCCATCATAAAAAGCCTCTACTGGGCTTTTGTGCTTGTTGGGTAGCACGATCTCGCCCTTGTAAGCCTCTACCATAAGAAGCATTTCACACAGTGTTCCCGTTCCTTTTCGAAGGGTGTCGTCTGGGTTGAGGGGAATGATGGTGCACAGAGAGAAAATGAAGGGGTGGACATATTTCATGTATAAGTAGTACGTAGCAACGGCGTCGGAAACGGAGTACTCGGCCAGAGTTTGAGGTCGCTCGCTCGCATATGGAGTCATCAACTCAGGGTCAAGTTCATCGGGATCGTAGCCAAGCTTGGCTACAGTCACTGCCTTCAGACCACGACTTCCCTGCGGAAGGTAACTGTCACGACTGACCCATGAAAAACAATCCATATGAACGCAGTGATTGGCTTGGTAGATGTCTTCACTGTTCTTTCTGAACCCAATCTCGGTGTACATATCGATTCCTTGAACACTTGCTCTTGCTTCCACAAACGGCCAATCGAAAAAGTCACCGTTGTATGTGGCGATAACAGTGGGTTTGGCGATCTTGATATGCTCGAAGAATCGCTCTATTACACCTCGTTCGTTGGGCTCATTGAAAATCACAAATGGTCCGTTGTACTCTGGTTTCGGTGTGTATTCGAAATCATTGATATCCTCGGACACAATCTCTCGGTTGGTGATAAGAAATCCCTGTCCATCGATCATATACGAAATCATCATGATCTGATCGAAAGCCGCATCGGGGAACTTCAAAGGCAGTTTTGTGGTCTCGATATCGTATGCCATCACAACAGGATCGGCACGCTGAAGTCGCTCTTCCAGGCAAGTTAGGTTAATTTCACCATGCTTTGCCTCCACATTATACCATTTTCCAATCCGAATGTCTAAAAAAATGTAAGCTAAGATTTTCTGCTCCAAGAAGAAAAATTTAATAACAAACCCTTGTCGATGGACACTCGGACATGGTATGGAACGTCATATTCTCGAATATCAACAATAAAATCACTCGCTTGCATGTTGCCATTAGGTCGTTGCTCATTACTTATTTCGTCATCAAAAAGGTCGAAGCCAGTCGCCGTACTAGTAGATTATCCATCAGCAACAGCTAAAATCCATATCAAGATTGAATCGCACAAACCTGGTCATTTCGACATATGCATCCATTGCACCCGCATTCTTCTTGTTTTTCTCTGCTAAAGGGAGAAGTGTTCGGCGAACCTCGAGAAGGTTACTAACATTAGTGAAGTTAAATCTTATAAGAGTTCTTCGGTGTCCAAGCAGGTGGTTCGGGAGGTCGAGGTCCTCCTTGTCAATTCGGTTGAAGCTCTTGATCAATCCTTCAAACGTTCGCCGACACCATTCTTCCACTTCCATCTCATGGCCTCTCTTCACTGCGATGAGAAAATACGGATCATATTCCACAGTCGCCTTGAAACTGCCCCCATCATCTTGTATGAAGTAGTAGTCGACACCAGCGCGGCCTCCTTGCACATTTGGATCTTGTATTGTCGTACTGTGCATGTTGATAAGCCATCCAGATCTTGTTTCGCCGGACTCAAAACGCGGAAACCCGAGGGATTCATCGATGCTGTTTGCCAAGCGAATTGACTCAAATTTCTCATCTGTAGAGGTGGCTTCGGTGGAACGTAGGGAGCCGAACTCAACGGTCTTGGTACGTCGAGGGTTCGAGGACGCAGCGCCGGATCGAAATTTATTGTTCCCATACTTGCTGGGCTTCCGCGAAGGCATTGCGACTGTGGCACTGACGCCCCGGTGGGCTTTTCTTAGTATGCTTTTTTGGGCAGGACGAGCGGTCTTTGGAACATGGAATAGAAATTTGGGTGATAAGATCGTAAGAATTCAAGAGCGTATGTAGGCGACGCAGGTGGCGTAATATAATTGTCTGTAATCAACCCGGCAAGAGAATCTCGTAGTGATGAGCAATTGGCGACTCCGGTGGAGTCAATCAATTCTCGCGACGCGCAACGCGTCTAAGTGGTTTGGATGAGTAATCTATGTAATCCACCAATAAGAGCACTTGGTTCGCCGCTTTTGCTACTAATTATCTCCTTTCTTTTTCAAAGTATTGAGAATTTTCCTGAATCAACTTAAATTATCCGTACATCTGACGGCAATTACAATGGACGCCCGAAATCTTTGAGAGTGTGTGTCCAGGTTATAGTACTCTACTTAGAACATCAGCTTCCAAGTGGAGAACTACACCAAATTTACAATAGCACGCGAAAACCTATTGATCACATGATGCAAAGCCTTAGTAAAGGTAGTATTTGAAGCAAGGATCCCCATCAGATTTCAATTATAGGTAAATACGATGTACTCTGTTTATTAAGAACAGAACTTTCAGATGCAGTAAGTAACTACTTCGGATTTTCTATGTTCCGTATATCCGTAGATATTTAGCGGCCCTTACGACTACCGCGCAATCAGTCGACAAGAGCCCAATTCGCCATACTCTACCATAATGGGGTCTGAAGATCCTCAAGACCTAAGCTCTACGCAGGAGCCTGGTAGCCACCTCCCAGCTAGCACTCCATCAGCAGACCCGAAGAAACCAAAGCATGAATTTCCCCAATCGCAAGTTGGAAAGTTATGGGATGCTTTCGGCAACCCCGAAAGCCAAGCGAACATATTGGCAGATGCCACATATAAGCCTCGAGGCAAAGCGGCCAAAGATGTGTCCTACTCAGAAGTCATTGGGGAAGTTTCCCTGGCCGAATTAGCCAAAGTCCACAAACAGCCATGCACGAGGGATGCATTATTAACTGGAATTGGTGCTGGGTTTGGCGTTGGAGGTATTCGAGCTGTTTTTGCAACTGGAGGTATACATCCCTTTCTCTTAGAAAGAGCAGTGAAATCAGTCGCTAAATCATCAACCTAGGAGCCCGTGTATTCTCTTCTGCCGCCAATTGGGCTGTCGTAGCAGGGGTTATCGCTGCCGCCGCAACTTTCGAACTCTGTCAAAAACACCGACGTGACGAATTAAATGGAATGAAAGAAGCAGTCGAATTGATGAAAGCATTGAAGGACAAAAAACAACGGGAAAAGGAAATGGCATCCCAGCGTATCGAGGAAGAGAAGCGCAAGAAGAGTTGGACAAACCCCGACAACTACAAGTTCTGGTAATATTGTTCATGCATAAGCCGGAGCCGCGGATGCTCTATACGATGAATCTCAAACTGTATATTCGGATCCTATGTGAGGGTTCGCGAGTGATTCACATCATTCATAAAGTAATGTCTGTATAATAGTCCCCCAATTCCAAATGAGATTATACCTACTAGTTTCCAACCCAAAGCAAAGGTCCAATCTATTCCAAGGCGCCAGTAATGATTTCCTGAAAAAAAAAAAAAAAAAAAAAAAAAAAAAAACCACCCAAATGCATATGATACCCTAGGTAGGTACCTAGGTAAAGCTAGAAGTCGAATTTCACTCGTTTCTGAATGGGGCTCTTGGTTATGCCGTCAATTCTGTGCCTTTCAAGACCGTCATTTCTGCGCTCTCGTCGTCTTTCACGAGCTTCTCGAGCTTCGCGAGTCTTCCATTCGGCAACTTGCTTCTGTCGTTTCTGAGCTCGTGCCCATGCAATAGCCGCTGTTGGCTTGAAGCCCACTCCATTTATTCCATATCCATCATCATTTGGATCTTTCGGATTGTGTCCTGTGATCTCGTGGTCATGCCAAGTGAACGGGTCTTCTGGCATTCGTTTCCCCGAAGGAGATAAGAGACGTTGTTTGCGGGATTTAGAAGGTGACGATGGTTCAGAACAGTCGCGTGGATATATTATAGATTTTGATTTCGGTTGAAAAGTGGCTGAGGACTGTAAATCATCATTCGTTCCATGCTGTGGGAACAGTTCTTGCGGTAGACGGTCTTGGGTCTCATGTGACCTGCCAGAAGCCGGCCAGGATCCAGGTATATTCTTGGACTCTGAGTAACTTTCTGAGACGTGACTACCAGAAATTGAAGAAGGAGCCGGTCCTGACTGGATGTTATGGCTCACAAGTCCTGTATCCATCAGATAATCCCCTCGAATCCGCAATTCCCCAAACCGCCCTGCTACCGTGGCTTGGGGACTTTGGCACTCTGGCTCCGCCTCCTCGCTGAATCGGGCTTCCTGGAAGCTCGAATTGGAAATGCTTGATGTTGGCGATGGCGATGGGCTATAGCAGTCAGACTCGGAGGGTTCCCGGTTGCGCTTAGGCGAGGAATATAGTGGGAGATCCATCGGCATCATTGTGGGGTTGAAAGTGTACTATGTAAAGAGGCTTTGCCGAGTGATCAACCCAAGTGATAGCATTTAATTATACAAAATTTAAACATAGAATGTACGCGCCATTCAGGAAGAATAAAGATTAATCACGGCGTCGGTCTGAAGATATTTAGCAAGGTTGAGGTGGGGGGCAAGTCTTTTGGTAAGTTTCAAGCCGGAACCAATCGAAGTAGGAATCGTCCCGACGTCTTCTAACCATATCAATTTCTTATAGAAAGTCGCACGAGGAAACAAGAGCATAATTTTATTGCTGCTAAGAAATTGAACTGAAAATCGACTAATTTACAGATCCCCGATCAAGTCAAGTCGTGAAGAAAACAGAAAAAGAAAAGAAACCCAACGCCATCAAAAAGACTCCAAGCCCAGGTCCAAGGCGTATCTAAGCCTTGACCTTCTTCTTTGTGGGCTCACCGTCAGCATCATGCTTGCGCTTCTTCTTCTTGTCGGAGTCAGCCTCGGCGCCTTCAGACTTGCGGCGCTTCTTCTTATCACTTTTCTCGGCCTTTTCGCTCTTGTCCTTCTTGTGCTTCTTTTCCTTCTTGGCGGGAGAAGCATCGACATCGACCATCTCGTCATCGCTGCCGTCAATGTCATTCACGTCAGCAAGGATGGCATCCATGGCATTTTTCTATAATCAATGCGTTAGCACGGGTTCACAAACAATAAGAAGGTCTACTGGGTCATACCATGGCCACTTCATTCTTGGTAGGAGCGGCACCGGAGTTGTAGAACTCCAAACGCTCCTCAACCTGGTTCTTAAGGGCTTCACCGAACTTGGTGGTAGGGTTCTCGGAGAAGTTATCGATACGAGACGCAATGGAGCACTTGTTTGCAAGGAAACGCGAAATACGACCCTTGTTCTTGGGACCAGCACGACCGATAAAGGAAGAGTGGTACAGCAGACCGTACTTGGGGGTGTTACCCTTGGTCTTCAGAGCGCGGAACAGAGCTTTCTCAGCTCCGAGAATCTGAACAGTGGACGCGGGGTACTTGGACAGATTGGTCAAGCTACCAGCGTGAGAAATCAGGCGTGCACCAACGACCTCTCCAATCAAGGTGGCAAGATTGGGCGCGACAACGGCCATCTTGTTCACAAGGTACTGGTAAAGTGCCTTCCGGTACTTAGACATGCTCACAACGCGGGCGCCGAAAGAAGTAACATTTTCCATGTCAGCCGTTGAAATGTCCTGACCCATACTATGCTTGGCAGCGTCAATGATGTTTTGAGCCACAGTCTTGTCATCCTCCACAAGAGCGGCAAGGTCATGCAGGCTCTCGTCAGTCAGGGACTTCTTGTCCTGCACAAAGAGTGCAACCTCCGAGTACCGCTGGTTATCGGGGACAATCCTGTACAGCTCAGGGAAGTGCCATGAGTACCACTCGCGCACGCGCATGGCGAAAGTGTTGATCGCCTTGTCGAGACCATCTAGGATGGCAATGGATTGGATGATGTGGTTATCATCGCGCTGGACAGAGAACTTAACCTTGGCACGCGAGTAAGCGTGACCCAGACCGAGGTGAGCAACATCCTCAGTGGCAGTCATGTCCAGGTCAGCGTTGGCGTCAACTTCCTGCAGCTTTCGCTTGACGATTTCCTTCACAAGTTTGGTAAAGTGCAGACGGACACCACGAAGAAGGTCCTGAACAACTTCACTGGTGTCACCAGTTTCGCACTCAACATAGGGGAAAGCTGACTTAACGCTTCCTGCAAGACCCTTGTCAGCCATACCCAAGACAACCTTGTTCTTTTTGCTGGGCTTAGGAAGGTTGAGATCGAGGAACGAGACCAGAGTCTCAGACGCGATACCCTCCGAAATGTTGTTGATTTCGCCGAGAGCCTGCACGTTGCCTCTGTGTTATTTTAGTGAATGGTTCCATGACGCAAATGTTTTTGTGGTAGGTAATGGTGATTTTGTATTGAAAAGAACGTACTCGAAAGGATAGAAACTCTGCGCTTCAACCATCTTGCCAAATTTGGCAAAGTCATTGACACCCTCCTGTACTTCCTTCAAGCGGTTGCCAACGGCATCACCTTTGATGTTCACCTTGCACAGTGCGTAGCCCATAGGGCTCTCGAAAAGAAGAAAATCCGCCATGGAGCAGATCTAGTTCAAAGTAATTGAACTTGGATCGATTGGTATTTATGGAAACAAACGCCCACAATTCTACTCGACAATTCGACCGAGTGGATTGTTAGATGGAGACGATTCAAAAGGCGGCAGTCTGAAGTCGAAGAAATCGAAAGCTCTTTTTTTCCACGCTAGTACCAATTTGGTAATTGTGTAAAATAATTGTGGTCCCGTGACTTACCGCCTTCCATCGCTCGCAACCCCTCCAACAAGCTGTCCCCTAACCATCGGCTTTTTTTTTTTTAGTTGAGTTTATTGTCGTTCATTTTATTCGCGGTAATGTCTGCTACTCAGCTACTCAATCCAAAGGCAGAGTCTCGGGTATGAACTTGTCACCCCAGATCAAGCCCCTCAGTTTCCCGCACTAACATCTCGTCTAGCGGAGAGGTGAGGCTCTGAAGGTCAACATCAGCGCCGGAGAGGGTCTCCAGGATGTCCTGAAGTCCAATTTGGGTCCCTCAGGTACCTTGAAGATGTAAGTTTGAATTATATCTACTGAGTGATGAAAAAAGCTGACCAAATTGTAGGCTTGTGGACGGTGCAGGCGGAGTATGCCATTCCCCCTTACCATTTCAAATGCCACTGATCAAGATATCTAACTTGGAATTAATACGATAGATCAAATTGACCAAGGATGGAAATGTTTTGCTCCGAGAAATGGTTCGTTCAACCCTCAGAATATCTCTGACACTGATGCTAACTCATGGCAGCAAATTCAAAACCCCACAGCCGTAAGACTTATATTTTGAAAGTCTCGATGAATACATGCTAATTGGATCAAAGGTTATGATTGCTCGCGCCGCAACTGCTCAAGATGATATTACCGGTGATGGAACAACCTCCGTTGTGCTTTTAGTGGGAGAGCTCCTGAAGCAGGCCAACCGTCATATCTCTGAGGGACTTCACCCTCGAGTTATTACCGATGGTTACGAAATCGCGAAGGATGAGTCACTGAAGGTTCGTCTGAATCATTGAATTCATTGGTGATTTTATCTAATATAGCATTGGCAGTTTCTCGATAATTTCAAGCGAACGCAGACAATTGACCGCGAGCTGCTCCTCTCTGTCGCCCGTACTTCCCTCACCACTAAGCTTAACAGTGCCCTCGCTGAGAAGCTCACCCCCGATATTGTCGATGCCGTGCTCGCTATTCACCATTCCCCCGACGAGAAGCCTGACTTGCACATGATCGAGATTATGACAATGCAGCACCGTACATCATCCGACACTCAGCTTATCCGTGGCCTTGCTTTGGATCACGGTGCTAGACACCCTGACATGCCCAAGCGGGTAGAGAATGCCTTTATCCTCACCCTGAATGTCAGCTTGGAATATGAAAAGTCTGAGATCAACTCCGGATTCTACTATTCCACCGCTGAACAGAGAGACAAGTTGGTAGAGAGCGAGCGCAAATTTGTTGACGCGAAGTTGCAGAAGATTGTGGAGCTCAAGAAGCTGGTTTGCGGTAACGACCCAAAGAAGGGATTTGTTATTATTAACCAGAAGGGCATTGATCCTCTCAGCTTGGATGTGCTTGTCAAGAACGGAATCATGGCCCTCCGACGTGCTAAGCGCAGAAACATGGAGCGTTTGCAGTTGGTGTGCGGCGGAATTGCCCAGAACAGTGTGGAAGAGATGACCCCCGATGTTCTTGGATGGGCCGGTCTGGTCTACGAGCATCAGCTTGGCGAGGAGAAGTTCACCTTTGTCGAGGAGGTGAAGGACCCCAAGTCTGTCACAATCCTGATCAAGGGTCCCAACCAGCATACCATTGCTCAAGTCAAGGATGCTGTTCGTGACGGTCTCCGGTCTGTTTACAACACCATCGTCGACAAGTGTGTCGTTCCAGGTGCTGGAGCTTTCCAGGTCGCATGTGCTGAGCATCTTCGATCCGAGAGCTTCAAGAAGACCGTCAAGGGCAAGGCCAAGTGGGGTGTCGAAGCTTTTGCCGATGCTCTCATGATTATTCCTAAGACTCTTGCTGCCAACTCCGGCCACGATATCCAGGATTCTTTGGCTGCTCTTGTCGATGAGTGCAGTAACGGCAACCTTGTTGGCTTGGACTTGAACACCGGTGAAGCAATGGACCCAATCCAGGAGGGTGTGTTTGATTCTTACCGTGTCTTGCGTAACAGCATCGCCTCCAGCACTGGCATTGCATCGAATCTGCTTCTTTGTGACGAGTTGTTGAAGGCCCGGCAAATGAGCAAGGCTTCTGGGCCTGGCCCGGAAGAGTAATGTTTTTTGACGGATGACACCCGATGAAATCATGTAATGATCAAGATAGGCAAGACTTATGTTTTTGATTCTCACAAAGTGAGTCTGCTTAAAAAAAATGCACACAATAATTGCAACGCAATGGCCAGATTTTGTCGTAAAAAATTAGATACTTACTGTCAAAACCATGTAACATCACATAGTTTAAGACCTTCTAGCCTAGGTTAAATTTTTCTTATTTACTAGGAGTTGTCAGCGAGTCCACGGGTTCGCTTTATTTAGACCCTAGAACTTACATGGATATTGGGTAGGCAAAAAGGAAAAGAATTGTCAAAATTGTTTTTAGGGCTGTGTATTAGTTGGAAAAAGATATGATATTTATTTTACATAGACAAATGAAAGCTCGTATTAACCCCCATCTAAGGAGCTTTGGTCATCGGATAAATCGACAGACGGCCATACTTTCAAAAATCCTTCATCTTTCACCGGATCCTCTAAAGAAAGGTGATGTGCATTCGCCCATTGCCATACATCCGACTTCGAAATGAGCATTTTCGGACCCTGCGGTGGTTCATGTTCTCCCGCCAGGCGAGGTGTTTTGCGCTTCTTTGGGGATGTATCGGGTGCAACAACCCCCATACTCTTGAGAGCAGTAATGACATCCTCAGTCAACATGCCAGTGGCAAGACCAATCTCTTCCACAGTCATCATTTCGCTCCGAGGTTTCTTGCGCGAAGCTTTTGAGGGAGTTGCAGGCTTCTGCTGGTCTGTCTCAATACTGGGGGACCCATTTCTACCGCAAAGCAAATATCTTGCAATCCGCTCAGCCCAAAAGCGGTTGTAGCTCTTTTGTCCCAAGTCGCTGAGAGGCTTCTCAGGACCACCAATATAGCCACCAGGGTACTCCCAACCGCTTAGCTTGTAGCTAACACCCATTAGTAGCTTTCCCAATTGCCTGTGTTGATATGGCGGGAAAACACAAATACATGCAAGATTGTTCGCATCCCAAGAGAGCTTTTCTTTGGAGAAGAAGCCGAGAACCCGGTAGCTGTCGGAGTCGATAGAGTCGGTAAAGGTGAGGATGTAATATAGGAAAGTGGCAACATCGAAGAAGACAGTCTTATGGTCTAAAAACAATTTGGCAAACAAAGACAAGTTCTGCCCGAAGAGTTTGTGTTCCTCTCCATCTACCTCCCATACTGCATATCCACCGTGTTCATAAATTTTAGTGCCAGGTGGGGTTGTTCGGTATGCACACGACTGGACATGAGGCGCAAATGAATCTGCGTCGCAGGAATATCGAAAACACCAGGAGCAGATGTAGAGACGATCGGCATCTTTGGCAACTAGATTCTCGGGGTATATGGACTGGTACCATGGTTTGAACAGAAGATCTCCTAGCACAACATTTTTCACATTGCGATCACTCAGGTTCTGCAATTGGGTTGCAGAATTGACAGCCATAGGAGCAGATGTTTCGGGGATGTTTCAACCGGTGATCATTCAAGGATTTGATTGAAGGGGTTGTCAAGTAGACCGGCCATTGGCATCACCGCGCGAGCCAAATTCGTGTTGGTTCAACTTGATTGGTAGAGACGACGTAGAAAAATTTGTTGCCGACATTAGAAGACTGTATGTAATTATTGAGGGGAGAAAACTACGTCTAGCCCTTGGAGGAATCAACGAATAGTTTATCAGGTGACCGATAGGGCGGTAACGTGTGGGGAACTACCTTATCCGCTTTTGCCACAAGGATCCAGGCATTTACATATCGGATTCAAGGCAGCAGCTAAACGCTCAACCCTTATGATAACTTGCTTGTGCATCTCAACTTTCAGCCCAGGCTGTTCTCAAAGCATATTTCCTATCTTGACGGCTCTAACGTGATCGTACTCAGCTTCTGCATCCATCTCACGGGTTATTCTCGGCTTAACAATGAAGCCTTTCCGGATCAGACACATTCACGTCTCTCCATCTTTGGGCCGTGAAGAGTCTGTCGACTCTTCCAGAGCTCATGGAGTATTTCAGATCTCAGCTTCTGACTATGACGATATCGCCTCCAACCATCCTCGGGCGAGGCTAACCTATATGGACGAGGACGATGGAGACCAGATCACGGTAAATACATTCTTCTCTTTCACTCAAAGTCTCTCTAACTTTTCTATCCACAGGTTGGATCATCTCTCGAACTTTCTCAAAGACTTGATGAACCCTTGGTGGATAGCACGCATGGCAATATCCTTCTTGAATCAGCCCATTATTCTGAAGATGGTTCGAGCCCGATGCACATTTTTGACATTCGTCGATCAAATTCTGTGACTGGACTGTGGAAACGGTTCGAAAATCAGACTGGTGACAGCTTCCAGATATACGAAAATGCCAGCGACGTGCATGCAGTTGTTGAACCTGAGGCAGGAGGTATCCTTGAACAAGCAAAGGCCTTGTCTTCCGATTCTTCCACCGCTACCTTGGATAATGAAAAGGACTCTCAACCTCTCATGGCAGCGTTTGAGGCTGAGTTAGCGCATCTCCTACAATCTTCGGAAAAGGCTTCTGAGACTAGATCTGCGCAGCCTGAACCTTCCCCTGCCGCTGCATCATCGGCGAATACTAACTCTCAACAATCCCCACATCCCGCGGAGGTCCTAGCTACGCAAATACTGAATCATTTGCTTAATGGAGCCTCCATGGTTCAGTCGGAACTCAGATCAAGACTGCCAGAGTTCCAGCGTCAGCTGCGTGATCTACGTGAGGCTCAGACCAATCTACCAGAGAATGTTGGAACAAGACTTCAGTCTCTTATCGCCACGATCGAGGCCCAAATGAAGATCGCTGAAGCCCATTTGAGGAACGCTTTCAATAACATACCAGACGACGGCAGACACCTGGCTGAAGAAGCAATCGGAAGGGGCATGCCCGTGGCTGAGACCGCTGCAGAAAGCCTGCGGGCCATGGCTAATAATTTGAATGACGTGGGACGAACTCTCTTTGAGGCGTTCGAGTATGAACTTGGGCGAGCGGGGTTCCTCAATCCGAGCACCGCCTTCAACAGATCGAGTACCATGCCTGGTGCGTTTCATAATGTCGCCAGCAATGAAACTACGTCTTCGAATCTCTATCCGCATGTCGCCGAGCCTCGTTCTATGAACCCGACATTCCATGAGAATCAATCGACGGGCATTCAGCCACCAGTGACAGATCCTGGAGCCAGTAAGGATACTACCATATCGGCTGCTGGTGATATTAGCAACAATATTGGAACAACATATAAAAACCTCGACCCTGAACTAGGAGCTCATATGCCCCCAACGCATCCTACCAACTGGGGTTCTTTTCCACCATGGCTGCAGTTTACACCTCCTCATCCATGCCCCCAGCGCTTTGGATATCCACCTCAGTTTGATTCGTCCTCCGTCCAAGCTTATGCCCCTGATCTTCAACAGGAACAGACGCCAAGTGAAATTCAAGTTCCTCCGAACAATTCTTCCGTCAAGACAGAGGTACAAGCTGATAATTCTGAAACACATACTTTGTTCATCGGAAATGTTGGATTCAATGTAACCGAACAAATGATTCGGGATGTCTTTGCTTCAAAGGGATTCATTGTCAGTGTGGATCTTCCATTGGATGCCGACTCTGGCAAACACGCCGGCTTTGGCTACTTGCATTTCCTTTCTATCCATTCGGCCACTGCTGCTATCGATGCGTTTCAAGGTAAACATATTGATGGCCACGCGATCAACCTTGAGTTTAGCGACTACACTCCTATTGAAAAAATAGTCTCTTCTGCGAATCCTATAATCAATGCCAACTCAAGTGTCCTTCGAAAGGGTTCAAAGTCTTCCAGCACAGAACAGGACCAGGAAGCACCTTCCAACTGCATAAAGTCTGTGACCTTTAAGGACCCGGGTGTTGATACCGACGAGGTTATTCCAGCTCCCCCACAAGATACAGATCCGAAAGCAGGAAAGAAAAAGATGAGTCGAGTCGAGTCTCCTCCACTCATTGACCTATCAACGGACCAAATTTCGATCAACCCAGAGCTAGAGATAACCCGATTTCCGCCTGTTTCCCAGTTGGAGGCCCAGATTTTTGCAAGCCAAACTCACAGTCAATCATCGGCGTCTGCTTCTGCTTCGGACGTAAAAGCAGCTTTTGCTGCAGACGAGGAAGATACTTTTTACGAAACATCTTCTGGTCCCAGTATTCCCTCACCTCCAACATTCAAGAATCTTCCCACAAGATCTCGCACATTCGCTCACCCCCGTCGGAATCTTCCAACGAACACCCCACCGACATCCTCGCTTGGCCAGGGACACTCTGGTGGACAAGTTGATTCTACTCTCCGTCGTGCAAACACCATGATGGCTAGCCCGAGTGTGAATAATTTCGATACTCACAATCCGATGTCCTCGGTAGATCGCCGTAGGCTTCACGCAAACGAGCGTCATTCTCGGCATGATCCACGAGCCCCCAACGACGCTTGGGAGACTTGGGCGCGATTGAATAGAAGAGAACGCCGACGCTCGAGACCTCATCCAGAGCGGGCTATTCCAGGCAGTTTCCCCGTTGAAGAAACTCAGCCCGTCCCTCCCATTTCCACTTTCGAGAGCACTAAAGAATCCGACTTGATGCGTTGTGTCTCCTCTCTTATGGAAATGGGCTACGGACCAGAGCACGGTGGGCCTCGTCGAATGGCTGTGTACGCTGCTGCAGCGAATGGTAATCTCTTTGATGCCATTGAAATGATTGAAGAAGAACGGAAAGCGTATGCAGGATATGGTGGACGCTAATATTGATATCGATAATTCTGGACCGAGGTTGCTTCCGTAGCTTTTACATTTTTCACTTCTTTTTACATTTTTCAGGCCTCTCACCCTTGATCGTCAAATTTCTGTCTCTGAGATACCTACCTACTATGCTATTTTATTTAGTCCATCTGAAATTGAACTCTAGGGCTTGCATTTTGCTCACTCCCAAGGTTCGATTAAATTATACCTAAGTACATAATGTGCCCCCAGAGGTTACATCATTATTGACCTCCAAGGTGAATCCCAAGATTCTAACCTTGGAAGATTTGTCCCTGAGGCTGATACATCTACATAGATAACAGCGTCATTTAGATACCCGCATGGATGTGGGTAGTGATGCCGGGTATGAATATCCTACATATTTCTATGTCTGTGTAATGATAGATGTAGTAGTAGTCATCCTAGCTTCAACGTTCCTCCCGTCATCACATGGGCATGCCTGGGTCATCGGACATTTTCAAGATTACCCCCGATTCGTATCACATAACGTCAAGTCTGACCATTCATCTTAGGGTCAGCCGCTAGTGGTAAACCGGACAAGGCTTAGGGGGCCAGCACCCATAAATTAAAATCCTCGAGCATAATTAATAAGGATTGCCCAGGTGTAAGCCCCTAAGCACTTTAGGTCCCAAGGGGTGTAGATCTAGAACCTTTGCATATCCATAGACCTAATGGATGTAGCCTCGAACACCCCTAGGCTGGGCAGGGTCGAGCATTGAACATTTTACTAACTTGGCAGGTGCCGAGGCACAGTTAGTTTCTCGGAAAGTTATACGTTGTCTGAGGGATTTAAAGCAAGGGGTTGGAAGGGAAATAAGGATGGGAGCCTTGCATATGGATTCGGAGATTGAGATCTATACAATCTTCAAGTCGATCACAGCTTCACAGCTTCACAGCTTGATGAAGGACTACCACACATCAAGGCTCAGACAATGGAGCGTTTCTTAAAAGGTGAAACCACAATTATAGATGCCCTAGAGGTAACCTTGGAAGTACCTAATAAATATGTCTAAGATACTGAAACAAGTACGGATACAAATCTGCAACTCTGTCCACCAAGTTATCTATTTAGACCATTATTTATTTATGATATGTAAACATTGTGTATGTATAAATGTAAATTGGACCAGTTTCAAGGCTAAAAGTGCGCATAATAAATGATGCAAAATGGCATGGGGAGAGGTCACAACGTATGCAACCGATGTAGGCCAGGCCTAAATTGAGTAGAGGTCTCCGTAAGCAGAAACGTGGTCCGTGGATCCCGTTTTATTCAGCCTTGGAACGTAATTTGATACATAACTTTATTAAATATCTTCTTTTTCTGCCTTTGATCCACTTAGACTAATATTTTATATCCGACAGGAGTCATAGGGCCGATACCTTTTTTTAATGTCTACTTTCGATCCCGGACTATGTCCCTCAGTACTTTCCTATGCTACACAGGATTTGAGTCACTTGAATGAAAGATTTAGATTTAAAATTAGCTCTTAGTTTCATGCTACATCCTGGTCAATAATCTCCGACTTTGTCCTGATGGACTTGACTGAAAATAGTGAAGGAGAAACTACGCTTTAATTCGTTCAGGTTATACTTACTATTATCTTACAAATATGCCCCCTCTCTTGAACTTTGGCTTCTTTCTAGCCTGATGACGTACACTTATGGAAACATAGTATTTATCCATTTACCCATTGTATATTTACCTATGCTTATCCCCACTTTGCTCCGTTTTACCCAAAACTCTACTTGAGATATGGTTTGGTATTGTAACATGTACGGAATTAAAGGTTGCCAAGATTTGATTTCGTGAAACGTCGCACGAGCTTATCTCCACTAATAAATTAAAGTAGTTTACTTTGTAAATTCGATGTCTTAGCGATCGGCTTTCTTGCTTATTAGGTTTTCCACTAATATATACTCATAAACAAGAGAAACCAAGAACTTGGAAGGAACGGAACCACCACTTGGAAGGGATCTCTTGCTTTTACCAAGCTATGCCCAGGCCTAGATCAATGCCCACGTGTTGATTATACGAGCGAGCTTTCACGAGCTCATATTTCCAAGGTTCCTGGGATTAGATCGTTACATCGACTTGGTTACCCACCTAGGTAATTCTACACGACATGTCCCAAGCTCCAGAGCTGGATATACTCCATAGTTACATTTTGTGGAGATAGAAAGAGGTTATTACTAGCCATGGAGCCTTGCCAAGATGATCAGACGCATAGCGGCCCCCCTTCAGCAGGTGGCAACTGTCATCAGTAAGCCTAAAAGCCAGCTTGGCTCTTGAGAACCATGGAATGTGTCCAGTGGGGCTATCGCCTAGCATTACTTCTTTCTATTTTAACCTTTCAATCTCTCAAGCCAAATGCCAAGAATCCAGAATAATCGAAACAGGCGCTATGGTCCGAGGGTCTTATATGGATCAGCACAAAGTTGTCTATGTGGCTCCAGGCGCCGCCCATCTTTTTGAACCTTATGTAGTTAGGTAGGGAGTCCATTCCGCCGGATACGAAGGGAAGTACGAAGTATGGAGTATGTAGGTCATAAAAGGAAAGAAGGACAGTGTGTAAAAAAAAGGTACGGGAAGGGGCTAATGATGATTACGTTCGGGGCTGGATCATTCCTGTCATACAACTTCATCAAGGATTTAATATAACTAAATGAAAGCTGAAGCTGAAGCTCATATCCGCTAGAAAAGGTACATTAAAAAGGAAATGATAATATGATAGGTCGAACAAGGATATTCCCTAACAAACTGCATGACTCATCTGGACAATGTCCATCCTTATGCTTAACCCTGGTAAGGTTAGGTCCCCTTAACCCGCCGATCATGGACATCTAATTGGTAAACCATCGTTCTCACGCTCGTATGGGCGAAGTGAAGTTTATTAGATGAAAGTCCAAAATTCCAAGTTTTCCGGGGCTGTGCGCAAGAGGCCCAGCCCCTCCTTCTCCGATAGACATTCTGATACGCTAATCCAACCCATTTGCCTTAGGGCTGACCACTCTACTCATTATGAAACTTGTAGCATATTAACGAAAAAAAAAAAAAAAACTAGGCAATAGATAATAGGTAATAGTTAATCTGAAAGGTAAGTGATATGAGTAAAATAATAATAAGGTAATAAAGATGCACTCATCCGACAACTCCACCCCGAACCACAGCCTGCTCGGTACCTAGCAACTTAGTATTAAGCGAGCCCCGTAGATCCACCACTTTATTTATTACTTATTCCCGGAGAAAACCCAAAATAAGATCCACTTCTAACCCGAAATCAGAAACCACGCGAGTTGGATGAACCATGGCATAAATATGTGTAGGCTTCCGCATCGTATTTTGCGAGGTGGATTCATGTGGAGTTTCCATGTCTCTCGGATACTGCTGTATTTCATTCTTACCCGAATTCTACTTCACTCTCCACAGTACAGTAGTCAGTAACTATAGCCAACTATCCATGATTTATTGAACCTTCACTAGATCGTCTAGTTAGTGCTCTAATCTATCCAGCTATTGTATTAGTTCTCTCTCGGCCGGTCGGTGATTGTCGATGAACTAGCCCACTTACTCCTTCTCCATACGGACAAGTAGAGAGTGGAATTTGGGATTGGGCATCCATGGATCGGAATGACAGGGTTCCATACAGCTGCGCACAGAGCACATGTTAGTACATGTAAGGAGTAAGGGTGCACCCTTGAGATATGCATATTTTATAGGGCGATGCTTAATTGCCTCGGAGCAGGATTTCAAAGCGGACTTCGCTAAGTCCTACTCCGTATTGCAGATAAGTTTTCTTCCAAGGTTCTACACACGAAGTTACGGTGTATGTAAATACTTAAACCGAGTGGGGTCAGCCTCCGTATTTGCCTGCTTCTAGGTGCATCCGGCTCCGATCTCGATCGGAATTCGTGGACTTCTGGACCCTGACTAGCCTCGTCTGATCGGAAACATCATTACCTAGGTATCTACGAGGAGACCGGGTATTGACGGGTGTCTTATAGCCGTACATGGTATTGACAACGCTAGAGCTAATTCAATAGTACTAGTATCTCTCTCTATATGCACTGTTGAGCTGAGATGCAATATTAGATATCTGCTGCTTGAAGTTATTACGGCAGTCCCTGTTGAAATAAATGATCTTATATCCTATATACGAATTAGTGCAACCTCACACACTCCACCTACCAGGTCGGTGGAAGTTGACCCTAAATTGAAGGTGTCAAGTTGCACTAATAGAGCGCCATGTGAGACATCCACCTGCAGGCCGAACGGCTGTGACAGATAACAAGTTCCAACCCCCTGAGTATTTCGTAACTGTTCTTGATTGAGAACCTTGGAACCTTTGAACACTTGTGACTTGGACCTTCAAAGTAAAAGACTCTGTATTCCGTAATATCGAAAAAACCAAATACTAAATACCATCCAGATCCAATGTCAATCACTTGCCAACCTTGGAACCTGGAAGATCGGCTCTTATTGTCTGTGTAACTGGTCTTTGTTGGCGATACGCTTTAACTGGGCCTCGGGGCCGGCCCGTGCATAAGCTTATCCTCGAATGGCGAGCTTTGCGCGAGTCAGGCAGCCCTTTGGTATCGCCCTTTCCAGCATAGCCTGGCTTCATCCGCTGACAATCTAAGTGCTTCCACTCGTACCGGACACTTCGGCTGCACAGATCCACCATTGGCTGATGTACCTATGTCGGAACAACTTTGGAAGAAAACAAGGCTGGCACTATTATCATAAATTGGTAATCAGCCACATGCAAGGCGATCGATAGTTACATAACTAGAGCTGATTTAGTATGTACCGTACAGCGCTTTCAATAGTACTAGTGGATTAAAATAGAATTTCATAGACCTCGGTATTGTGAGATTCAACCTTGGAAAGTAAAGGGTTGATCGTATATGGAGTACCTCACTGGGCACTGTAGATCATATGAGGTATACCAAATACAAAGAACATGACTAAGATCAATAATACGTGGCATCTTTATGGTGGCATGGATATCCATAGTATTTATTATTATTAACCTAGGGGGTAAGGGGGGAGAGGGGGGAACAGGGGTCCGATTTAAATGATCTTCCCGTTCTTAGTGAGTTGTAGTCCGAACATTTAACTGTTCTTTTGTTCTTTGCTCTAGAAGGGGATCTTGTGACTGCCACAGCGATAAAACAGTGGCCGCGTCACTAGATACGAGTTGTGATACGAAGTACTCTGTAGTACGAGTTGTAAGCTGTATGGCCACTGTGGCTTTTTTTTTTTCTCGTGTAGGGTACTGTAGACGTGTTCCCGAAAGAGGCTTAGCTCCCTTAGCTAGAACCACCGTTTAATTCCAGGAGGCTGAGATTCCGTCGGAACCGCACAACTTTGATTCCAGGATTATTCATTCGGACTTAGCTCCGAGTTTGTTTTAGTGGTGTACTAGAGGGTTCAGCTCCGTACTATTCTTCATTTTTGAGTTATTTAGTTATTTACTTCGGATTTTGGACCTTGTCCACTTATTTCCGTAATTATCTAAAAAGTGAAATATATAACAAAGAAAGTGCTCTGTACATTTTTGAAGGCCGATCTGATCCGAAATCTTCAGCCATGGTTCAGGGAACGGCGACTCCGTAAGAAAGAAAGAATAAAGATGAATAATCAAGGGTGGATATTGTCTTCATAAGCGAGCATAAAGTTCCTCGTGTCGGATTAAGCTTAAGCTTCAGAGTGCGCCCTAACCATCTGCGATCAAAGCGCCACTTTTAGAATGCGTCTGACACAGAACATATTAGGGGTGAACTCACCAGTCACATTCCTAGAATCGGCTTACTCCGTATTTATTTTAAAAACACCTAGGTATCTAACAGACTATTTCCGAGATTCCGAATTATCTCTCTAATGTTAGGACCTCGGGAATGAGGATGCCTTGAATGGGCCAAGGATCGTGAAATACTAGTAACCTTACTGGTCCTCTCCCCACTTGATCCTGGTCAACCAACGTAAGCATAGCCAACCTTGGAAGGTTGGAAACAAAGTAGGGGGGTAGCAGAAGTAGAAGTATGACTATGATTATACCATGTTATGAATCTAATCCTGATCTTTTAGTCCAGGATCCAGTTTGAGTTTGAGTTTTAGTTTAAGTGGTAGTGATTCCTATCAGGGGCCAATTAAAGCTTTGACATGATTTCCGGCGCTAGTATAACTATATTGAGATATTATTTATTTGAGGTTGAGTAGTCATGTCTGAGTAATCCACAACCTTGGATCGATAATTAGATATTCGACTTAAATGGAAGTTGGAATGTAGTTTTAACTTTATAAGGAAGGTTTCGATTTAATCTTTTAATTTGATTTTCTTAATTTCCTCTTGATTGCCATTGGTTCCAGTAACCAACCTTAATGTACTAGTTCCACTTTCCCATTAACTCTGTATTACTTTATTTTATTTTTATTTTTAATCTATTTAATCTTTTGCCATGTAACCTGTTCTTCCTTGGGATTCTCGGGCACGGCGTTGAATACTTCCGATTTTGAGTCCTTTGGGTTCCTTTGGGTCCTCTGGGTCCTCTGGGTCCTTTAGGTCTTTTGGGTCCTTTGGGTTCCATTCTTATTTAACCTTCTTTTTGATTGATATTCCTTTTTCCCTCTTTCTCTTTCCATTTTTCTTACAAAACAAGACCTTGTTTCAGGATCCCTTTCAACTTATTCCTGCTCCCTTCTCTTTAATTTCTATTTCTCCTGAGACATCTCCCTAATATTAAGCTCCTCTGAAGTACTCCACCTTCATGAATCTTTATGGGTTCCTGTCGGCATTCTTTACACTCTCCACCTTTCTTTTTTTTGACCCACAACAAATCTCTGCAGACTTTTCGGTTTTGAGGCTTTTCCCTATTGGAATTAATAAATAATAATAATAAAATAAAAAACAAATTTTCGAAAAAAAGCAAAAATTATATTAATAATTTACCAAACTAAAAATCTAAAACTAAAAAACGCCAAAAAATAAGCCCAAAACCCACTAACCCTGTTGGGTGACGTAAAAGCTCGGTCTTTACCACCCAGAAACGCCGGTCTCATACAGCCTTCGCTGCCTACCCCATATCCGATTATCACTCGGATTTTGGTTCCTCTTATATTTCTTGGACCTCCGCTTTCTACTAACTTCTTACACCTATTTCTCTTTGGGATTCAACGTTCAAATCACCACACCCCAACCATCCTTCCACTCAACATCAACATTCAAGATCTCCCAGATTCCAGATCTTATCTTGTTTGATCCACTCGACAACTCCTGTGCCCCCGAGAATCCGATCAAATCATTCAGCTTCAGTCACGTTTTCGTGTGACTCCTCATCCTCCAAAAGATCTATTTCAGTCCCATCGGTCAATCTGGCCGTCAAAGTTACTTACCCGCAGGGGTCGTCGGTTGATTCGCGAGGCTGGATGGAGACCTACTACGGCCACGTTCGCACACCTGCGGACGCCATTATCCTCTTTGAAGCTTGTCGCATGGGGCTTCTACCACGAGTACAAAGACGTCTTTCAGAAAAAGAACGCCAATCAATTCGATCAGGGTCAGTCTTTGTTTGGGATGAGCGGGAAGCAGGCATGCGTCGATGGACGGATGGCAAATCATGGAGCGCGAGTCGTGTATCAGGTAGCTTCCTGACTTATCGGGAGATGGAAGGCAAACGAGGCGGCAGTGTGTCGCAGGCTTCAGTACCAAGGGTTGGCAAGTCTCCAGAGAGTGGACGTGGTAGTGATGATGACCGTGAAGACGAAGGCCCGGATGGTTACCGATACAAACCGGATGGCTTGATGAAGCAGTCCTTCAGTATCACAACCTCCGCCGGTCAACACCTGCATCTGATCAGCTACTATGCTCGTGCCCACCCTTCTGCCGTCAACTTACAACAACCCACCACCGATCCAGCACTGCGACATGTTCGTCCTCAAAAAGGGTTATACCCAGAGTCCACAGTCAACGACCAGCAAAACCTCCCCGTGGTCACTCGGGGTCCAATGCCTGGAGCTGCGTACCCAATCACTCCCCCACCCAATTGGTGCATATCGCCAAGCACATGGGAATTCATACACACCCCCATATGCGACCTGGCCACCGACTCCTCTAGCAACTCCACCGACAGTTCCCGTTGGATATGGCGCTGCATATCTTCCTCCAGTTGCTTCCAATGGTCCTCCTCCCCCGTATGGCCCACCACATCACTCTATGCCCCATCATCAACCACCGCACCCTCACCAGCACCCTCATCCTCATGCTCATAGTCTTCCACCCCCTCCCCACGCGGGGCCATACGAGCGACAACCTTTCCCTGAAGCAGTACCCCCTGGTTCTTCTAATGGCGCACCACCTCCTTACCCCGGTCGCTCTCCACGCATGATGCAGGATCCACACCACGAGCAAAGGAGTCCGCGGGTTTACCCCTTAGCTGCTGACCACCGACTGGCTTCACCTCGCATATCAGCGTCCAACTCTCAGACCAACGGGGCTATCCGCAGTCCTCATATTTTAAAGCAAACCCCTCCAATGGCCTTGCAACAACTCGGCTCTATGGGCACACCGCCAAAGCCCGAAAACGCAAGCTTCAACGTCCCGGGTATTGGTGCTTTGATCAATGGTGCATCACTGGCCCCAATTGCTCCTCCTAGCTCTATCAACGCCGATAGCCCTGGCGCTCGCAACGGCTCAGTCGGCGAGGGGCCTCGGGATATAAACCTGAAGCTTGGATTTGCCGAGGACGTCAGTGCAAGAGCACTACGCCAGCTAGACCGAGCCTTTGTGGCGTAATTGCTCGAAGAAGAAAGAACGAGAGAGAGAGAGAGAGAGAGAGAGAGAGAGAGAGAGAGAGAGAGAGAGAGAGAGAGAGAGAGTATGAAAAACGACACTTTATGACCACTTTCCACCCCCGCTGGACTTTCTACCCTTACCACACATATTTCTTATATTCTCTTTTTTACTCTACCTAGGGAGCTGGGCGTCCTCTTTTTTTTTTAACTTTCACTATGATATCCTTTCTTATGGTTTTTTAATGCTGGTCATTATCTATTACATTCCGCTTGCATGGGGCCGAGGCTGGGATCGGTGTTATCTGCATTTTCTTATTACCCTTCTTTTCATGATTCACTTTCTATGCATTGGGATCGGTCTACACGGATGGGATGGTACAGGGGGTACTTGGATATTGCATACGATTAACTTGCTTCATTGCTATATCTTTCTGATCCTTTGTAGAATCGTAGTCTTGAAGTCTGCCGTGATCTGTCTCATATCCTACTTATGATTGCTTTTAGATCAATCGCTTTAAGGGATACAATCAATGTCTCCCTCTGTGATGTATCTCTCTACATTGAACTCTGTCTCGGTTAGGACATCACTTTTATATCACTCCCATCCTTTACGAAGTTAATACAGAAGCATGTTCGACTCGCTCTCACTTCACTCTCCGCGTCACTTCAGTCATCCTAATCATAAACTGATATCTTTTCACCTTCTACTCCTCTCATTCTTTTCATATCTTAATCAACTACAACTTCATCTCGGTAATCACCATTCAATCGAGCATCATGAATGCTTTTCATGACTTGCCTTTAGTCTGCTGTCGCTGCCTTCGGGATCTGCCCTGTCCTACTTATATTGCAGTGGTCAAGAGTACACCTCATTCATCAAATATTTTTGATCGCAGCTTTAAGTGGCTTCGGTCACAGCCCCATTGTTGATGTCTCAGGATCGCCAAGATACCCTTGAAGGCTGAGTACTCCCTACGCTCTCTTGGCTCCATCAAATCCTGGCTGATCCACTGCGGATGTTACTCCTGGACCAGTGTTGACCAACCCCACCGTGGATATCTTTTCTAGCTAAGAAATGAGGAGCATAACACCACCCGAGAGACAATCCAGTACTACAAGGACACCAATGAGGCCACAGCAGTGCGTTTCGCCTTGTAACTCCTCTTTTTCCAGGAAACTATCGTGATTTGAAATTTGGCCATGATGTTTTGTGGACAACCGAGTCTACCTCAAAGTACACATTTCCTTATCCACTTGTTACTTCCAATACCGATGCCTATTACGAGTTCTGTTGCGAGATAAAAGGTTTCCAAGGAAGGTCGAGACGTGGGTTTTAAACCACACCTAAAGCCCTACTGCTTGCAGATAGAGATAAACCTTTTCCCTTCAAAGAAACGAAGTCTGAAGCTTCTGGGTATGTTCTATAGTCATTTTCTCAAAGACCTTATCACTGAAATACCAATAATGGGGTGAGAAGGTAGTGATCATCAGAAAGAAGGATTAAACAGAAGTGATCGGAATTCTGGTGTAATTCTTGAACAAGATGGCATACATGTTACCGGGTCATTCACTACAGTCTAGCCACGCGAAACAAATCTCCGGAGACAGTGTCTCGTTCCAATGGACTCAGTTCCCACTTGACTTGATTGATACTATTCTAGAAGAGCTCTATTGGCTAAATCCCATCGAGCATTGGTCGCCTAAAAATCTCTCGTGCCAGAAATACAGGCTCTCACAGTTCTCATTCCTTTCGCCTTTCTTGCTTTTAACCCGGATCGCCAAACCCCTAATCAGCCTTATATCCCTAGCGCTCATCAGCTTCCTGTCAGCCTTTGATTGGGATGATTATCTGGCGTTATAGTTCTTTCTTTTCAAATGCCATATTGCCATACTCAATATTTCTTATTGTAGTTTCGTGACCGTCACATTTCCTTTCAGAAATAAGAAACTTCGATAAGCTATACCAGGACCCCTTAGCTTACATCTCTTAGGCAGAGAACTGTGTATACTTCCCTCTACTATACAGGCTCGTCATGTCGACTACATCTCTCCAGACTATCTTGTGTCTGCCCTACGTGGGCAGCATGCGATTGTATCAACAGTGAAGACGCTTGCACTTGATAAACAGAACCGATTTATCAACGTCGTCGCGACTGCTGGTGTCCGACGTTGTATCCCATCCGAGTTCGTCTTAGACACTATACAGCTTATGCATCATTGCCCGTATTTCAAAGGAAAATATCGACATAGTTTATATTAACAAAACGAGCTCATAGAAGAGAAACGTGCCAAAACTCATACTCGTCAGTATCGATTATTGTGGATGCAAGATCACTCCATTCTAGATCTATAGATCTGACGCTTGCCACCGTATGCTAAAATATTCCCATAGTTGGCTGAACCGTTTTTTCGTCACTTTATCAATTATAATGATGAACAATAATATCACATGTCATATATAGGTCCATAATACATAATGACAGATGAGGATCAGTCAAGATGCCGCGATTTGGCCCCCGACGTGATAAATTGGATGACAGCAGCACGGCACGAGCATTCAATGTACACCCTGAGGGAAATCTACCACACATAAAACACAATATTAGGAAGATTCAGGATCCTAGAATGCTTCGGAAAGCTAGCGCATCGACTAAATATTCCAGAAACCTGGAAGGTTCACCCGGTACTCAGTATCGCTCAGTTTTATATCCATGGATAACTAGGTAGCTCTGGAGATCATGGATGCACAAGGGTATTTAAACCATCCAAGATTCGAGGTTTCAAGGTTGTGATCATCTCTCTCTCTCTCTCTCTCTTTTGCGCGCGCTTGAACATAAATGTCGTATATATCAATTGAAGTAAAAGTGAGAGTGAAAATGAAAATGAGGGTACAACCTTGGTACCACATAAGATAATTCCCCTACCTAGGTCTAAAACCAAGGTTGGAATTGTTCTATAATGCTTCTGACTCACCAATTTATTGAGAACAAGATTCGCTTTTATAGATGTTTCCCTATTTATTTCGCTATGAATATATTCCCTCCCGGGGCGTACTCTTCTCTACTTGTTCTCTTCCTGAAACCTTTACTTTGACGAGTTTTAAGCACATCTGGAAATTGATGGATGATGCTTATTATTTCGAGACTGAATTCAAACGTACAACTCTCTCGGTGTTTAGAAGGAAGTTCGGGACTCAGACCCTGACGTTTGACCTAAGAGCTCAAAGAAGCTGAAGCTAAATATATGGACTTATAGGTTTTTCTCTGACTCCTATATTTCGGCCTTGATCACCTACTCTTTCTATAGATATATCATTCAATCTCTGTTCTTTGCAAACAATAATGAGCTAGAAACTACCTGGATTACCATGGAGAAAGGTAAAAGGCGTACCTGAGCGATGAAGATAGCGCTAGAAGCTGTCAGTCATGGGGTGCATGGTCAAGATAAATGGCAGTGATTGGAGACTTAGATTGGCTTCATAATTACTATATGATTAAGAAACCCTCTTTTATACTCGCACCTGAATACTCCAGTCCACATGTATGAAGATCAAGCAGCTTTGCGCAGAATTGAAAAAGAGAAACATCCCTACTCAGGGAGTGCGTCAAACGGCATTGAGAGTCTATTCACGTACTAAAAGATAATAATAAGTCCCGCTTCTATGGATTTTTCTCGATTTCATGGCCTACAAACTATGTGTACCTATTTTAACATTGATCTACATTCTAAAAACATAGATAAGCGTCAGTAATACGATTTGACTACTCACCTGAGGGCAGATGGCTGTGTGATGACTGCACCATCGTATGATTTACCTAGGTTCCTATATAGTCTTATCATGAGTCGGGATTCGGAGTCTCCAAGCCAACAGATGTCCATGGGTCCTTTTTCCCAGTCAAATACAAATAAACATCAAGAAGAGACTTTTGGGATACACACAAGCTGTACTTACTACGCTGATCACTTGCTGCCTCACTTTCTACCGATAAAAGTACTTGATGTAACACGGGATGTTTGTCAACTAGTATTTAGGTATCATCCATTCTTGCCACCTTGCACATAACGGATGAAGCCAAGTACATTTCAATCAGCAGGAAGTTCCGAAATAGCCGGATGAGCTGTCTAGGTAGATTGGGACTTTAAAGCTGTAAATCGTATCACACTCAACCCCGCTCCGCAATTGATATCCACGAATAGAGGCTCGAATTTGATATGGCGAACAATCTAGTGTCAATGATGGTCGATCTCTTATCATGTTTCAGTTTGAGAGTGTCTGGGATTATCTGTGATAAATGTCATGTCATTTTCGTTGCGTTTCAACGCAACCTTTTGATTTCTGAATTGTGATATGATCTCATAGTAGGTACGACTAGTTCAGGTTGTTGACACTGTGGAGTCCACGGGTTTCACAGAATCCGAAATCAAGTGAGACTGAATGGGTTCTGACCACTTGACTCTTCGAGGTTCTTATGACCAGGATCGACCTATACCTGTTCCTGTCAATGACTGAAATTCCGAATGCCTAGGCAGACCAGGAATTTTCCAAGGCAGAAGCTAGAAATTCAATATCTAAGTAGACAAAATATGGGAAAATACAGGACCGAGGATGTCCTTGATCTAAACTATTGAAAGTCATTGCCGAGAATGAGGACTTCAAGATACCGCAAAGAGCATCTGAAGCTTCTGAATCGGGAAATAGGCTTGAAATAGGCTTTCAATATGGAAGACGGGATAGGCCTGGAATGACAACAGCTGTTCAACTCTCAGGGCGTAGGATAAGCGAATGGGCTGACGAGTCATGAAAATATCCAAGTAAAATCGAGGGATCCCTGTTTCCAGGATTTATGTGCTGGTGGCTCTGTTTAAATTGATTCAGCCGGGGCGCGTCATTCCAGGCTTTGACCTCTCTCATGCATGAGTGGTACAAGGGCTCTTGAGCACTGGAAGGAACTGCAGGTGATAACTCAAAAGCCACCGATAACTAGTTATCCCCCGCGATCTCTGACAGCTTCCAAGTTGTGGAGTAAGTTTGGAACTCGAGGAGGATACATTAGGTTTATGCGTAAATTGTAAGGTGTAAGTTCTACTTAGACACTATATATTAGCTTTGAAATGAAGTCTCTGGAGAAAAGCAATTATAAATTTGGATTTTCAGGATAATCACCCAATTATCCTCTATCGTATTTTGTGTCCGAGTAAAAACCAATCGTTTCAAGGGGGAATTAGGTATTCAATCTATCAATTTTATCGGACCTTAGCCGCTCACATTCGCGTTTGAGAAGCAAACATTTCGAAGCCTCTCAGTAGCTAAAAGCTAGCGTCCCCGTGGCTTGCCTCTCAATGAGCAAGCTGCATTCCACATTCCCATTGAAAAGCTAGAATGGCCTCAACCCACAAGGACTGAGCTCTCTAGCTGCACCATTCCAAGGACTAGGACCCCGTTCCTTTCCCCAAAAAGGATTCGGAGTGCCAGGGTACTGTGACAGTGAAGAAGGAACCCATGAGCAAGGTTTTCTCGCTTTCTTTTTCCAAGCGAATAAGAGAAAAAGAATACGTTGTAGATCTTTCATCCATTGGCTCGGAAACAACACCTTCCGCAACGAAGTATAGTTACCTGTCTTAAATCAGCAGGATATCTACGATTTAGGCGATTTAGGCCAGTGCCTCCGTACTTTGTCACTGTCATCCTTCCATCCGATTCCACTCTCCTGAGTCTAGACCTCTAGATTTGTCCGAATGCTCCCCAAACTTATTTCTTCTCCCAGTCTTTAGTCCATGCTCCATAGAAGGAAATCGCACAATGTTGCCCGTTGGATCCAAGTAAGTTTCAGTTGAGTTCAAAAAAACTCCTCAAGAATGCGCTAAATGAAATGAAAATGGAAATGGAAATTTGAAAGTGGAGAACAGCTGTCATGCATGTCGCGAGCCAATGCCTAATTTGGACTTTAGGAGGCAGATTTGGAGGCGATTAGAACACAGTTTCTGGGCGGTGCTACGAGAGGTCGAACGGAGCCCTCCTCCGGAACCTTTTCACTAGAACTGGAACAATCTGGAAGGTAATTTCCAGACTAAAGTGCTGCATGGAATATGAGATGGTACAGAGGACGGAGGTATCCGTACTTTTTCTGGATTAGGTCCAATGGGAATGTGACGTTGAGAACCTCGGGACATTTTCGTCGAAGTTTGTACTTGTCCAACATTGGAATGATTTAACTGATTGATTCGCTTGAGTTAGTGTGATTTTCTTGGAGTGAATTACGAACTGGTGGCTTGATGATACTAATGCAGCTCATGTCTGTTATTGTATCCGGGAAGCGAGAGTACCTATAATTTTTAATTTTTAATTATTTATTTTTTTTGTAATTAGATCAGGTCCCACAGGCATCTTCTCTAACAATCATTATTGGTTAAGTCACTAGAGGTCAAAGGTCTCAGCAACTGGACCAATCCTAGTGATCAAAAACTCGGTCAACCTCCCTAACATGTACACGAGGTAGGCAGGTGGGTCAAGTTTCGGGGAGTTCCAAATCAAAATCCAAAGTCATCAAGCACGATGTGCCTGATCTTTGCTCCTTGCCCTTCATTTCTTTCTTCTCCACAATGAAAATGTGTCTGGCTATACTTCGGGACCAACCGTTCCCCACCCAGGACGTTAAAAACGTTCCTTTGCATTTTCTTTTCCTCTTTCTTGCATTTCTATGTAATATGCGAGGTGTCTAGTGTAATGTGTACTGCAGAATTCTCTCAACCTCATCTGATTAGTGTGTGATATAGTATGGGGATATGCATATTGTCTTCGCGACTATGTTATATGATTGGTCAACCCCAGATTCTCTATGTCTAGTTCCGAGTAGCCCAGTAAAAAATATGAGAAAATCAATTCGTGTAGATCCAAGAGTGATGCATTGTTGAAAATCCGGTACCTGGACCAATGCGACTAAGAGGCAACTAGCAAGGATGAATAAATGAAACTTGCGGCCTTTCCACTTTTGGCCGCGACTCAGCTGACAGCTTTTGGTTTAGGGCCGATCATATGAGGCCTTCCATAAGAAGAAAATAAAAAAACCCTAGAAAAGCCTATACCTAGTTGGTCTTCCGGCATATCCAGAGATGCCCTGTGTTGTGAAGTGCAATTGGCAGCCCACATTCCAGTAATTCCACCTTAGCCCCTTTTACTTCCCTTTCATCCGTCAGCTTCGAGCTAAGAAACTTGAAAAACCGCAGTCTGGGAAGTAGTAATATCCAGTTCTCTTTCTGCCCCATTCTCAGCCTTTCCCTCATGAGACCAAATCGTGCCACTGTGTTAGGAAGTACGTAGATTATTCGCAGCCATGTCATGATTCCTTGCAGCGGATGTCCGTGCTTTGGTTGTAGATGATCTGGCCCACTTCTTTTTACCCCAGATTGTCAACGTTGCAGGGAAATAAAATCAAAATTGTAGAATAGAAGGATTCTAATATCGCCGCGAAGGAGTCCCAGTTGAACGCTCAGTTCGTTCTCCGCACTGGGCCTTTACGGATTACACTGGAAGACATGCTTGGATTTTTGAACGTGTTTTAGCCCTGTGGAACCTTGGAATCTTTTTTGTCCAGGGGGCAGTCAAGGTACGAAATTGACCAAATCAAATCCATCTAAATTAAAGTGAACAGTTGTTTTATACCCTGCAAGTGAGATGTCAATCTGTTCAACATGATTGCTACTTGAGCAGACTTTTAGGGCTTGGTCGGATTTGATATATTCGGAACCTCGGAAATTCTTCAGGCGTATAATAAAATTAATTTTTTTATTCTTTATTTATCATAACTCTGGGGTAAGATTCTCGAGTCACTTGCCAAATCGTGCCTTAATTAATATTGCTTTTTTATTGCTTTGCTTTTTCCTTATACAATTTTCCTACTCGATCCAACTATGTTTGGCAGCCTCCCCCCGCATACAAAAGTCTAACAGTCTAATATGGGAAAAGGCATTTGCCCTTTTGCCATTTTTGCCCGTTTCTATGACACATTCTGTCCTGTCAGCGGCACTTGGTGCATTTAGTGCATTTACCCTTTATATCCCCACTTTCACCTTTTTTTATCTTAATTTTTCTACCTAAAATGATCCTCCCGATCTACTGTCCCACTTATTCTACTAAAGTAGAACCTGCAGTACCCTAACTAGTACAAATTTCTCTCCCCCCTCCCCCTCCACTCCCATCCACTTATACCCAGCTCGTTCCTCACCTTCTTTTCCCCTTCCACAAACCACCTACCTCCTCCCCCCCCCCCCCCCCCCCCCCCTTGGAGGATCTTTGCTCCCACCGCCTTCCATATCGTGAAACCCTCTATCACATGTTCAATGTTGTACATGCAGAATTCTATCGGTCAACTGGATATAAGTGGTCAAGGGGACGAATGCGAAAGTCCCACCGACCTACCTACTTTATCTACAGTCGACGGTACTATTCGAGCAAGCTCTAGTGTCAGCAACAGCAGCCCCGATGATTCAACAGAGTCTCCGGACTGGAACGACACAGAACAGTTTCCTCCAGAGCTCAACTTCCACCAACCACGCATGTCGTTCAACTTCCTTGTAGATACAGCCATGGATACACTTCCGAAAGTTGAGGAGTTGGAGGAGCATGATATACAGAGTATCAAATCAGCTGAAGTGGGGGCTCAACCAGACAATCTGGCGGGTGCTCCCGAGATGGTTCCACGGAAACGTGGTCGTCCTCGCAAACACCCGCTGCCTGCGTCTGGATGTCAAATCAAAGCTACAAAGGGTCGCTCTAAGACCGGCTGTATAACCTGTCGGCGTCGTAAGAAAAAATGCGATGAGACAAAACCGGCGTAAGTGAAAAATAAGACCTCTGGAAGCGGGTTTTACCGCATACCTAGATAATGTGGTTGCTAATTTGATATAGCTGTCTCAACTGTCAAAAAAATGCCGTTGTATGTGAGGGCTATCCTCCCAAGGAAATCTGGAAGAGTGGGCGACAGAAAATGGCTGATGGTATGAGAATAATGAAAATTTCCATCGGTACTTGGCTGGCAAACTTATCACTGACCTATCCTTTCAGCTGCCAGAACCCAGTCCCTTGCATCAGTACCTCGCAGCCTTCCGGTGCTCATCGACGGGATTGAAACAGAACTAGATCGACGCTTCCTCGACCACTTCGTATATGGGTTCAGTCGTGTTTTGACTCTGATCAATGACGACTCGAATCCATTCAAGGAAATCTTGCTACCCATGGCTACCCAGCACCGGGGCCTGATGCATTCACTGATGTGCCTATCAGGCTCACATTTATCCGGTCTGGATCCAGATGAAAAACTGAAGGACCGAAAATACTTCCACTTCCACCGCGCCATCCAGGACCTGAAGGATAACATCGTCCAGTCATCCTCGACAGCAGCGGCACGAGGGGGGCTAATAGATGATGAAGAGCAACTGCTGGTGGAAGACCCTATTATTGCATCAACGATAGCGCTCAGCTTGAACACCATCTGCGAGGGCGAAACAAACGGGGAGTATCGACCGCACATGGATGCTGCCCGATACCTCCTGATATCGCAGCAGCCTCGCAATGAAAAGTTCCGACAATTCATCGTCGAATTCTTCCAGTACCACGACGTTTCTAACGCTCTCACCTCTCTGGACCGACGACCCGCTCTTCTCCAAGAGGGCATGCGGTTGCCCGCCTTCATGCCCCTTGCACCGGCAGGCATGTTTGTCGGGGTCTTCGATGGACTCTTCAACTACATCTCCCAAATCACTCAGCTCCGTGACCGCATCCGCCAGCGACACGACCAGGGCTATGAGCCAGCTGTGGACTACCAGACCCTAAGTGAGTCAGTCCAGATCGACACTGCCATCCGAGCATGGAAAGCCTCTCATGAGCCAGATTCAGCGAACTGGTGCTTGGCTCAACTGTACCGACAGTCTACATGGGTATATCTATACCGTACCATTCGACCCTCTCGCCCCAGCGACAAGATTGCTATGGTCGTCGACGATGGCCTAGCATATCTAGACCGGCTACCGCAGGATGCTAGCGCATACAGTATTGTCCTGATGCCACTGTTTCTTTTAGGCTGTTCTTCCTTCCTACAAGAACAGCGGGATCGTGTTCGGCGAGGGTTTGAGTCCCTCAAAGCATACTCAAACCTGCGCAATATTGAGCCGGCCTTTAAGGTGGTTGCAAAAGTTTGGGAGACCATGGACACCAACTTAGAGGACAGTTGGGATTGGGAGAGGATTATTCAGGGTATGAAGATGGACTTCCTAATCACTTGACCCTTTTAATATTTCTTTCCTCGTTGATACCCCTTTTAATTTTCATTTTATTCTATTCTTCAACTGTCACACCTTCTTTCTTTGTACTGTTTATTTTGCATTGATGTCACCATCACGATCTATACTTTAAGGGAAGCTGTACTTTGTGGGCGTTTTCCCCCGACTTGATGATTTTCTGTTATGCCATGATATGTTCAAGCAGCTTTTGACCATGAATTATGGAAATGTAGGGGATAATGTGCTTGGATTTGCGTTTTCCCGCTATTTCCAATATACGAGGAAACAGGGACGAGGAGACTGAAAGGAGATATGCATGCCCATGTGGTTATTGGGTATTCAATATGTTTTGCTATCTCTGGCACTGACATGAGGTTCGCTTTGCACAAATTTTACAGCCAAGGGGTTTTGATTCTTTATTTGGCTTGTGAGGCTCATGTTTCTGGAGGCGTTTCTTCTGCTCCTTTCAAGGTTGCAGGATGTGCTACTGTATATATTTTTACAATATTATGGTCCGTATATGAAGTTAATGCAATGCAGACAGATGACTGGAAAGTTCGAGAGAGGGTTCTATCATAACTCAAGGTGAATTTTGGCTGATAGTACGTACATAGACAACATTGAACTTGAATCTGAAACTGAAACTAAGGCGAAATTAGACATTGCAAATGAAATTGGAGCGGAAGTAAGAAGATGCCGAACTTGTGATTCATCCCATGAGCCGCTGAGGCACTGACTCCCGCGGCGATTTGTACCTGATTATGAATATCAACTTCCCCGATGAGAAATGGAAGCCCAGCAGGAAGTGTTTGAGATAACTTTGCAAAAGTCGGTAGACCAGTTAAGTATCCATTCCTAAATCAACTCACACCCAGATAAAGAATTAGAAAATATGATGGCGACAAAAAGGAAACCCGTCACGAGAATAATTCTCAATCCACAGGTGAAGTTTATCATGGGCCATCTTCTGTAAAGAGATTGCCACTCCGCCCTCCAACCTATGCGATATAGGGTAAGTACTTTGAATCTCAATAGATACACAATGAGTGCTTGTCAGGTCTTCGGGATGAGTGGTTACAGTTGCTTCATGATCTGCAACTAGATGGTAGATTCTTCGGAGGAGGTCAAAGTCAGATAGGTGGCTGTCTCTGCATTGGAGATGAACATTGACCCAATAGGATGGCATATTGCGAGATTTCAATGTTAGGTATAAAATGAGTCTTAAAGGGTTTCACAAGGTCGTTACCTATGTAAGTCTATGAATCTGTATGCCCAGGTGGTTGATTGTGGATTGACTACGAGGTCGAGAATGAGGTTTAAATAGTTTGAATATTTGGATGGTTGCAGGGATTTTTCATATTTTTCATATTTATAGATTGCATTGATACTTAGGTAAATAGAGGCTTTCATTAAAGTCTATTGTTATTAGCGCAACAAAGAAAGAATGAATAGAAGTTGATTCATTTATCTTTGTCGTCTTTTCTTTGGGCTAAAATAGGACTTCTATTACCTAGACAAGGACCTCGGGAGTTGACAATCCACGGAGTAAAGGGATATTAATGGCTATTGATATCAATAATTAATCATGAATTTAATGATGCCGCTTGAATACACTACACGCCATAGAATTTTGTGACAAATTTCAATCTAGTAGCCCTCCCGAGGATCAGCTCTGATGTGCTCGCCATTTGCCGTCTTCAATTCATTCAGCATGGCAGTTCTAAGAACACCAACATCAGTATTGACAGAAATCATATCAAAGCCCTGTTCTGCTCGGGTATGAGCATCAGAGCCATCGGTGCCTAGAGATAGTGTCAGTAAAAGCAATCTCAGGGAAGAGATGGTCGAATATACATACAAAAAATGGCAGCTTTCTTTCCAGCAGCATGAGCTGCAGCTAAAATGCGCTGAATAGCAGCCTCATGCTCCACGCTACCTCGAGTAATACCAATCTGCTTGGCAAGATCGAACGGTCCAATAAAAAGAACATCGATTCCAGGAACTGCCGCGATCTTTTCCACATTATCAACACCAGATCTCGATTCAATCTGCACAGCTACAGTCAACCCGTCATTTGCGTTGTCGTCGTATTCGTGTCCAGGGTTCACGCCGGGGAAACTGTGAGGAGCAAACATCGGTCCATAGCCACGGGTTCCAACCGGTGGGTACTTGACGTACTTGACGACGTTTGCGGCGTCCACCTGAACGCCTGATGAGCATTTGTGCTTGTCAAATGTGAATAGGAGCTGAACATACCTCAGTGTGGCACATTGGAGTCATAATGCCATGGGCACCAGCATCAAGAGCACGCTTGATCATCCACTCCTCCGCACGTGGAACCCGAACAATTGGGCTGGCATCCTCAGAGCCAATGGCGTTATTGAGCTGCATGGTTGATCAGTACAATGATTTCCAACCCCACCAGGCTCAGACCTGGATCAATGCTGAAACCCTCACCTCATAGTAGTGATGATCTGAAATCAAGCCGTGCTCTGCATCAATTAGAACCCAGCTGAACTTGGTTGCGGAACCAGAAGCGCCGTGAAGAATTGTCTTTGCCACACCCGCACTAGGCAAACTGTATCAGAGTAGTAGTCAGTCACAGAGTCCCAAGAAAGTATGTGAGCGGGGAATTCTTCATTCATGCTAAAATACTATACATACGTGAGCCAGAATCCAAATGTGGTTGAAGGGCCCTCGAGGCTGGAACGAATGGCAGTGGTGATAGCCATTTTATTGAGGGATTAGGAGTATTGAATTAAGGTCGAGTAGGTAGACAAATGAATGTATTGATACAAGCCAATGCTGAAAATGTCAAAAAGAGGGGAGAACTTGGAAGGCTCGACCACGACCTCGGCTACCCGTGGGGGTTAAGCGTGGGGTACCGGGGTGAATGTTCGGGGTTACTCCGCGATTACATCATTAACCGGGTCTATGCACAAAGCACTTGGCTCGGTTAATTCCAAATTATGTTATTTTATGGATGGTGGGGCTATTGACAGCCAGACATCGGCATTGAGTTTGGCATTGGGCTTGGTACTTAAAAGTCAACCTAGGCCATCCCCTAAGATTCTATCAGGCAGAACTTTGCCGCCTGCCACGCGGTTGACCTCTATTTTTCTTCTTTTTTTTTTTGTTGCATTACGGCTTCTCTTTAGCCCCTAGATCTATGTAAGCTGTAAGCTGTACTAGTTTCCAGCTGCTCCGCTCTTTCCATGCCTCTCATCCTCTGGCCCTCAGCCTGCCAAATTCCAAGCTTCAAACCCGCAACCTAGTATTTATTTAAGCCTTTTCCGTCCCAACTTTTAATCACCACCAAAACTCTTCAAAATGCGAGTCCTAGTATTTCGTTTTCTTTTTATATTTAGCTTGGCCACCGTATCTCCCTATAAAAATATCATGGAGTCAACCACGCTAACCATTCTCGAACGAGATCAAAAAATGCCATACATAATCGTTCCCATAAATGGCACCGATCAAGCCGTTATTTCCCATCTTGAAGAGTTGATCAAATCTGTCACTGGTCTATCAGATATTTACTCGTGGACTACTGATGGAGAGTTAATGTGGTATCAAGTGGATTTAACAGAGGCGGAGGCTACATTATTGAAGGGAAGTGCGGATGTGGATCACCTTGCAGTGGACGAGCCGTTTGAGTGCCACGACGCCCCATATGAAGATTGGCCATTTCAAAGCTCTGCTTCGCATAATTCTTCCCGACTTCTGTCTGAAAGGGATCAAATATGGCTCGAGCAGGAAGAAGCCGCTAGAGAATTGCGTGTCATCAGCACTCCCCTAGGCAAGCAATGGACATACAGAAACTACTTCAAATATCCGCAAGAAGCCGGCGAAGATATATATTTTTATCATATCGAAGATGTAAGAGCTTTCCAACAACGAATGTTTTTGTTTACTATTAACTCAATATACTAATGTAGGGAATCCAAGCACAATATGAATCGGTTCGTCAGAGTTTCCCATTTCATTACAGAAAGGAAGCTGTCATTATCTTTGGGCTTGAAAGGAATTCACTGGTAGAGTAGAGATGGCATTGACAACAAGCTGGCAACAGCGATTCCCCTCTCCCCCAAGTCAGCATAGCAACTGTGTCGCTGAGAAAGCCCTAGGTACCAAGTACGGTGTTGCCAAGAAAGTGAAATATGTACCCGTTTTAAATGGACTACCAGTGGTACAACTATCGCCCAAGGACTCAAGGCAGTTATCGACAACCTTAAGGCAGACAAAAAGAATGCAGAAGATAAGAAGGTTGAGCCTACGCGATATTGTAAAAGTATTATCATCATGTCGAGCTCGACCAAAAAGACTTATAAGGAAGTGGCTCTTGACAAGCCGCCATTCACAAACATGAGATCGTGGTTGAGTCAGTTGACTAATATGGGGGTGCCCATCGTACTTGCGGCTGGTAATGGAGCCGATGAGGCAACTGGGGATGTAGGAGTGATACAACTTCCTATGTGGTATTCCTACGACGGCGTATTGCCTCTTATCAATGTCGGCAATGCTGACGCGGACGGAGTTATCGCACCAAAGTCTCGGAGAGGAGACAAGGTTGCTATCTTTGCCAATGGGAAAGATGTCACCTGCTCTGAATACACAGGCAGCGGAACTTCCTTTTCTGCACCACAAGTCGGCAGAGCAATCGCTGTGGGGATGTCTCAGAAAGCAGGTCCTTTCTATGAAGCAACAAAAGCAAAAGAAGCAAAGCCTTTGTGAGTGCTGTTCGAAACTTCATTATAAACGAGAGCAGTTGGAAGCGATCCGGAGGGACAAACATATACTGGAACATGGCTAGCTAAGTCAATATGCTAGGTGACAGTCTCAGATAACCAAGCGAGCCCTAGTTGTTGGTACAATGAGCTGAGGTATCCGTTCTGATTGGACGGATATCCTCACTCCTGATTGGACTGACTAGCCCAAAGTGGGGCAGAGGAATCCCTTTTAGTTCAGTAAGAGATAGACCTAACACACCTCTTACAACTCGCAACAATACATTTACACAATAGATGCATATGCACCAGTAAGACGCGTCAGTTTTCCTACAGTAGCGGATAGTCATAATTATTGATATCTATTTTTTTTATTGAAGTGCCACACAGTCTATAGGACCTTCGTGATTTTTGTGACTTCGTAAAATATCATTTTCTTGGAGATTTTGGTTGAACAAGAAGTAGGGAAATCTTCATAATATTCTGAATTCAGCCTCGTTTTATAAGATAACCTTTGAATTTGAGTTGGAATAGTAGGGATATGACGATACAGACGAAAAAGATGAAAAATACGAGCGTAAAGTCCTGATGTGTCATATATTTCTGCATCATCATTAGGCTTAGCTTAAGGCGTCAAGGTTGAAAGCTGCATATTTGGATATCCAAAGATCAATCCAATGCCTATGTCTAAGTTCAGCACGTGAATGACTAACTTCATTGGAAGGGCCTCATGTATGAGTACTTATTTCATGATGAGGACATGAGGAAATGAGACTATCTATTCAAATATTAACTCTCCAATAAACCTGCCGTAAGCTGTCCACGTTCAGACCTAGACTTTAGCCTTGACACGTACCTTAGTTAGTGGCTTGAATTAGCGTCTATAGTCTTCACACTAACCTCGTTTTGATAATTTGAGCCGGTCACTTAATCTAAAGGTTTCTGCCACCGTTTATATCTTGATAAATGCTGATTAGCAGTGGTTTTAGAGTTATAAAAGGTGATGAGACTGCCTATTATCTTCATGAATCAATAATTCCACATTCCAAGTTTCCTCTAGTCATGACGGCAATAGTCTATTTTTATTTCTTTCTCACAGTCGTTCATGGAGCGGCCACTAGTGGAGCGTTCACTGCATTGACCTTCAATGTTGCTGGTCTTCCTGAAATCCTCCAGGACAATGATGTCAATGGCACAAAGACAGAAAATGCCGAGGAAATTGGCACTTACTTTGCCGAATACGGCTATGATATCATCAATGTGCAGGAGGTAAGTTATTCATGCGAGAGAAATCGCACTTCTGAACGCGAGTCTTACTTTCTGCGATATCTAGGACTTTAACTATCATGCGTATATCTACGACACAGATGACCATTCATACAGAACAGCAACTTCTGGGGGCGCAGGGATTGGCAGTGGGCTAAATACTTTATCCAACTATGGCTGGGTTGATTTCACTCGAGTGAAGTGGGATACCTGCTCAGATGCATCCGAGTACGACTGTCTTACTCCCAAGGGATTTACGTTTATGCGCTGGAACCCTTCTAGCGGAGTTTATATTGATTTTTACAATCTCCATGCTGACGCTGGGTAAGTTTTTCCAAATTGATAATTCTGGATGAGAGTTGGCTAAACAACCACAATAGCTCTGAAGATGATGATGAGACAGCGAGAAATGCCAACCTGCAGCAAGTAGCAGATTACATCGATACATGGTCAACTGGTAATGCTGTGGTTGTTATGGGTGATACAAATAGTAGGTATACTCGTTCCGACGACACTGGCATCCGGCTATTCAAGTCGCAGAACAGTATGAGCGATGCTTGGGTCGAGCTGGAAAAGGATGGGGTCTATCCCACTGCTGGTGCTACTGCGGTTGTCTGTGATAACCCGTCTACTATCGAGACCTGCGAAGTTGTCGACAAAGTTCTCTACCGAGGATCTGATATTGTCACACTCACTGCATCCAGCTTCACTTACGATGGTGACGAGTTCCTGAACACCGACTCCGAATACCTAGGTGATGTCCTTTCCGATCATAACCCGGTCCTTATCAGCTTCACTTGGTCACTTTCAGAATCTTTCCGACAAAGTGAGTATTCTGGTGGACCTCATGGAACATGGTTCAACGACCTTGCCAATATACCATCATCCCCCGTGGCCTCCACCCTTACTTTCCGAGGTGGTGACCGTCTTGATGCCGTTGCGCTTGAATTAGAGGATGGCACTAGCTTCAGCCACGGTGGTACAGGTGGCACAGAGGTTTCCCTTACGCTTGGTTCCGATGAATACTGGACGGAGACCGAACTGTGTACGGGCAAATATGACAGTAAAACTCGCGTCTTTTACATCAAGGCCACAACCAGTACGGGAAATACCCTGGAAGCTGGAACTTCAACTAGCGACTGCAGTACATATACCGCTGACAGTGGCTATGCCGTGGTGGGATTCATGGGACAGGATGGTGATGAGATTGACCAAGTGGCCTTGATCTATGCCCCTTACTGAAAGTTTGAGTTTGTATTGACTGATGTTGATCAAAAATAACCTGATTAGACCATTTCTGATACAGTGGAGAGATTACTGTTTGCAGCCATCATTGTTATGACCAATTCCGGCTGATTCCTGCTTGCATCAAATGTTCCGTTTGCATCTTCTTCGCCTGATATTACTTACATTTGCGTTTTACATCCTATCATATATACATGACCCTGTGTCGGAACGGTGACGTTCTTACGGTGCATATGCAACTAGTACTCTCGATGGAATAGATCTAGGTGCGTCGATGCAAAGTTGTAAGAGGTGTGTTATTCAATCTTATCCTCGCTGTAACTAAATAGACAAAACTCGCTAGATTCACTTCATGTCGAACCAACAGCATCGGAACCATTCTCATTGGTCCTGTGCCCCACTTTGGTCTAGTGGTATCGACACCCTGAAATCCAGAGATCTAAGGGTCAAGCCAATCCAATTCACCTCATCTTCACCATACCTTTGGGACATTATTTGCCTTCCTTTGCTAGCAGTCTGGCATCGTATTACCCTTTTCCATGTCGGCCTAATTCAACCACCCTGACCCACTAATTCCCTAACCCGGAATTAGCTTTCCCCCATTGGATATTTTGTCCAACAACTGATGAGAACCTTGAAGGTGTGAGAGTGCCTGGTTGGGTTCTTGTATCCATACTCCGCCTTATTGTGCTGTGATCCAATATTTACTTGTTCTTGTACCTTCGCGCGTCACATCTATGCAAATGAATGGCAGTGATAAGAGAGTCGACTCATGGACCCACCTTTTCTCGCTTAGAGCGTCCGAGCCAATAATAGCATTAGAAACAAGGCCCCTTTTATAGTTCGGGGAAGCTTAGTTTCACCTTCCAAGGTTGGACCTCTGATAGACCTCAACCGAGGCTCACAAATGTTGATAACTTGATTATTGTCGTCATTCATAGCGATTTGGTTTTTTCTCCCTCAACCAAGATTCCAGAACGTGCCAGTTGCCACTTCGCAACTGGAGAATGACAAGATTCTCTCCGAGTTCGATGTCCAAAAGGAAGAGATGAATCCTGACGTATTACTTCGGGATGCTACCAATAATCTATCGCTGCGCGCAGTAAATCCAGTGAATGTGAGAGTAAGCAAATTATCGCTTGATATTGATACATCACCCCCGCTATGGGAGTCTCCTTTACAATTCTGGCATCACCTCCGCGGCCAGAAATTAGAAGGAGCCTCGAAGCGCGTTTTGGATCGCGTGAGTGCGACCATGTCAAGTGGCAGCTTGACAGCCATTATCGGTAGTAGCGGATCTGGAAAGACCTCTCTACTTAATTTGATGGCGTCTCGCATGTCACTGGCCCGAGCAAAGATGTGCGGGGGAACGACTTTCAACGGATACGCCGATACCAGGAATATGCGCAGTGCCTATGTCATGCAGGATGATGTCCTCATTCCAACTTTGACAGTTCGTGAAACACTTCAGTACTCAGCTGATCTCCGACTGCCACCACCGACAACGCAAGAAGAACGCCATCATATTGTTGAGCAGGTCATCTTAGAGCTCGGGCTTAAAGAGTGTGCTGATACAAGAATTGGAACAACTGCCCATAAGGGATGTAGTGGTGGAGAGAAACGACGTACCAGCATCGGTGTACAATTGTTGGCAAATCCGTCCGTCATCTATTGTGACGAAGTTACGACTGGATTAGATTCGACGACAGCTTTTCAAATAATCCGTACCCTGAAGAATCTTGCACGGGATGGCCGCACTGTCATTGTTTCAATTCATGCTCCACGGTCTGAGATCTGGACTCTTTTCGATAATGTGATTCTTCTCGCTCGGGGCTCTGCGCTGTATAGTGGCCCAGTGAACGACTGCTTGCCATATTTCGAAAAATTAGACCACATAATTCCGCCATTTGTGAATCCTGCAGAATTTCTGATTGATTTGGCTGCGATAGATAGTCGGACTGAAGCTTCGGAAGCTGCATCTCATGTCCGGGTTGAAATCCTTCGGCAGAAATGGCAATCGCGAGATACAAAAGCATTGACGGAAGCAAATGAAAAGGAAGAGAGGGAGGAGAAAGAAGGTACTTTGTCGCCTTTACCAAAGAGGGCCGAGACGGGCAGAATGAAAAAAGTTTCTTTTCGACGGCAATTCAGCGTCTTGACATCGCGAACCTTCAAGACGACCATACGAGACCCAATGGGTGTTGCTGGTAGCTTGATCGAGGCTATTGGCATGGCAGTGATCAACGGCTGGATCTTCTTGCAGCTCGATGAAAGCCTCTCGGGAATTCGTTCACGAGAAGGAAGTCTGTACACGGCCAGCAGTCTCAATGGTTACCTCATATTGCTCTTCGAAACATATCGATTAACCATCGACATCCAACTTTTTGATCGTGAGCGCAATGAAGGTGTAGTCGGTGTACCAGCATTCCTACTCAGTCGACGTGTCGCTCGTTTTCCCCTCGAAGATCTACCCGTGCCGCTGATATTTTCTATTATTTTCTATTTCATGGTTGGCTACCGTCTTGACGCAGCACAATTCTTCATTTTCTTCGCGCTCAACCTACTCACACATTATTGTGCTGTAACTTTCGCTGCAGTAGCAATCGGCGTGACAAGAAACTTTCCAGGAGCTAGTCTGGTTGGAAACTTATCATTTACACTGCAGTCTTTTGCATGTGGGTACTTTGTCCAGGCGAACCAGATACCAGTTTACATGCGATGGCTGAAATGGTGTGCCTACACCTTTTACATCTTTGGTGCCTTTTGTGCGAATGAGTTTATTGGGATCAATGTCAATGGCTCTGAACTCGGCCACTTCTATGCCTGTCCATATTCTGACAACCCGAATGATCCCGCGTGCAAGGAATACACTGGTAAGTACATTATGGAAAGTCTAGGTATGCCATCAGACTGGATTTGGCGACCAATTGTAGTGTTGATTGCCTTTGCAATTGTTCAGTATACGGCTGCTGCAATACTGCTACAGTATAATCGCTTTGCTATCAATGTTGCTCAAGCTAGAACATCAGAGGGCGCGCAACCTACAAATAAGGCTAAGATCGCCATTCGTCAGACTGAAGAAGCTCGGCTAGTGGCGGTCTCGCTGGATAAATATGCTCTAGAGGTGCGAAAACGAAGACTACCCTGGAGATCTTCCCGAAAGCTTCAAATTCTGCAGCCCATCACTGCAGAGTTCCACCCAAAACAGGTAAAAATAACGATAATCCTTCAGTCACTGAAATATCCTTACCTTTTTTCAGATGAATGTGATTATGGGGCCCTCCGGTTCTGGAAAGACGAGCCTTCTGAACTCACTTGCCCACCGATTCCAAGGATCTATGAACAGTCAATACCACGTGGAAGGTCAAATGCTATACAACGGGGCCGTGCCATCGGAAAATGTGATTCGCTCGGTGACTTCGTTTGTGACACAAGATGATGATGCTTTAATGCCATCTTTAACTGTTCGCGAGAGCTTGAGGTTCGCAGCAGGGCTACGGCTCCCGAATTGGATGTCGAAAGAGGATAAGAATCGACGGGCAGAAGAGATTCTTTTTAAAATGGGCTTGAAGGAGTGTGCTGACAACCTCATTGGCAGTGAATTGATTAAAGGGATTAGTGGCGGAGAAAAGCGGCGAGTCACAATTTCCATCCAGATCCTCACTGATCCTAAGATCTTATTACTTGACGAGCCAACTTCTGGATTAGATGCATTCACGGCCATGTCCATTATTGAGGTCCTACAAGGTCTTGCAGCTGAAGGCCGCACCTTAATTATGACTATTCACCAGTCACGCTCGGACTTATTCTGCCATTTCTCGCAGGTCCTGTTACTGGCCAGAGGTGGTTACCCTGTATATGCAGGACCAGGGCAAGAAATGCTCCCCCACTTCTCAAAATTAGGTAATGAGTGCCCACAAACAATGAATCCGGCAGACTTTGTGCTAGATTTGATCACTGTTGATCTGCAACAGGAAGATCGAGAAGCTACCACGCGCAAGCGTGTTCAGCACCTCATTTCCAGTTGGTCTGATATAACTCCTGAACTCAAACGTACCACCTCTCAGATCGCAACACCAGCCGAGCTGGGTAGTCTGCGACGCCACATGTTGCCCTTTCGTGTTACATTTCCGTTGGTGCTACACCGATCTCTAATCAACTTTTGGCGCCAACCACCGCTGGTCATGGCGAGGTCGATGCAGATATTAGGAATTGCTATCATTATGGCGTTATTCTTTGCGCCACTCAAGAATGATTATGCCGCTGTGCAATCACGTATGGGGTTCATTCAGGAATTTGCCGCACTATACTTCGTTGGTAGGTCTCAAACATCGCTCTTCCCCTGGCTTTATTAACCCTTATAGGCATGCTCCAAAATATCGCGATTTATCCAAATGAGCGTGACGTCTTCTATCGAGAGGATGCGGATAATTGCTATTCAGTGGAAACATTCATGCTATCGTACACAGCGATCGAGATTCCATTCGAGTTCCTTTCCGCACTGGTGTTTGGTGCACTCGCCGCATTCGCAGACAACCTCAAGCGCACAGTGCAGATGTTTCTCATCAGTGCATTCAATTGTTTCTGCATCATCAACTGCGGAGAATCCGTTGGAATCATGTTCTGTACTATTTTCTCTCATGTCGGGTTCGCCGTGAACGTGACTTCTATTCTGCTATCCATCTCGTCAATTCTCGGTGGTGTGATGAGCTTAGATGTAAATGATGTTCTACAGGGTCTAAACCATCTCTCGCCGGTCAAGTACGCTATTGCCAACCTGGCGCCTTATTCAATGTACGGTCAGCATTTCGACTGCACAGCTGTTGAGCGGCTGGCGAATGACAATTGTCCCATCAATTCTGGTGAAGAGGTGCTTGCGCTCTACAACCTCAACACGAACGGACCAATGAATGTTATGGCTTTGGGAGTTTGCACTATCATCTACCGAGCTGTTGCCTATGCGCTACTCAAATTGATGAAATCCAATAATTTGATGGAACGATGGCATGAATGGCGCCGTTCTCGCAATAGTACTTGATATGGATTCCAATCTCAATTTTTACATTTTATACTTTAGCCCTGGGGATACTGCAGATCTTTGATCGTTCACGCCTGGTGATTTTGTATATTAATGATATTTTTCAGCATATGGTAACCACGGTTCCTACTAGTCGCAACCTTGGAACGACGAATGAACAAACAATGAATCATTCACATTAAGCTTAGCAAAGAAGAAAATTGGTATTCTCGTCAGCCATATGATATATGATAAATAAGAAGTCGGGAAGTTCGAGTTCATCAAACCAGAATACAAAGAAAATGGAGTTCATATGTTAGTAGTTAGGGGCGAGCAGACACCGGAATGTAGTTTGCTATTGCTTCAAGGTTCATGCTTCATCAAGCTTCCAACCCATAAATGATCAACCATCATGGGACTATTTTGAGCGTATGCAAGAGAACAAAGTCTAGACCTTTCCGACAGAGCAGCCCTGTCAAAGCAATTACGATAAAGGCTACCTACCTAGGCACGTGGATTCTCAACTCAAGCGGCAATGAAAGTTACAGGAGGATTTCATTCGCTAGACAAAGAAAATTTTTCGGCACTTATTGTATACGATATACGTTAAAAAACCCATCCAGTCGTTCACGGGTGCCAAATCAGGATGCAAAGCCCGGTAAAAAGGATGCCTACTTCTTGGAATTATCCCAAAGTTGAATACGCCACAATTGGACTTCAAGAAAAAAGTTTGGTTCCGACGTTTTGCCCAAAAAATGCCATAGTTTATATCTGTGATTGGGCCTACCAATCGCGGGAGTGGCTGGCTCATTCCATACTTCTGGTCCCGATGTCCACTAAATTATGGCCAACCTTGGAATTTCACCTTCCCAATGATAAGATATCGGCATTCAAGGGGTTGTACCTTTCTCTGCGGGATTTGGTTTTGTGGTGCTCATATTTAGGTGTTTGGATATTGCGAAACTTTTAGGAAAGTTTTCAGTCACCAGTCATACCTCCAGGGCTGGAATATAAATATCGGACGGTGGGGCCAAGAATTAGAGCCGAGAGCCCCCGCAATGCCCGCTACCTAGTGGCCGAACTTAGCGTAATCGCTTCCTTTAGTATAGATCGATTCTGCAGATGACACATCGGCTCAGTAAAGTTTACAAAGTATGAGCTTTCAATCTGACTGGCGTAGGATTGACAGCCACAACCTTGGAAGTAGATAGATATGATCCACCTGTCTCCACGTCCCCGTCTATCAGTTGGTCTAGAACCCCATCGAGAATGAACGATTCTTTCGTTTTTTTTTTTTTTTTTTTTTACTTCCTTGGCCCTTTGGAAGGCCGTGCTCTGAGCGTTGAGAACTTGAGTGCTTGGGTACCTTCCCGAAATTCCAAGGTTGGGAGTCGATTCTCGGGGGAAAATTGAAGTTCGAACTTAAGATGTAATGTTGAGAAATTTGTAGAGAACTTGGCTGGAAACCGTGGAAGTTTTCTTGAAAAATTGTATAATTCTCATATACTATCTATATCTATCTCCCCTCACTCTTAGGAGACTCCACACATTTCCTCGGGCCCACATCTCATCTTGGGGGTATTCAACAAAGATATCAAAAAATCATGACTCGTAGCGACATTCTGTCCGTGCAGAGGAAAGACACGTCGAATCAACCGAACATGTAAATAAAATACTTTCAAAAAGGATCCAAAAATAATTCAAAAAGATTCAAAGAATGGTCAACCGACCAGGGCGACGGAAGAAAGAAAGAAATCACCAGTAATCAAACGGTGAGAAGATAAAAGTAAAGAAGCAGTGACCCTAATTAAAAAAAAGAGTGTATAATTTTTCAAAGGAGTGCGCGGGTCAACCGACAACGAAGAAAAGAATTGGTCGATTTACTGGCCGATTGCTAGAGCCAGACCAGTGTCAATTGGGCAGCCGTGGGTGGCCCAGTCGTCGTATGGCTTGATGTAAGCGGCAGAACAAGCAGAGTCACCAGCCTTGCAGATAGCAGAAGGGCAGGACGAAGCATTGTTGCCATCATTGGAGGGGATAACAGAGAAGCCGTATTTAGTGAACGCCTCATTGGCGGCCATGTCAACGCAGGACAGATCCCAGTAGATAGTGTTGGTATCAGAGGACTCTGTGTACTCAAACTGGAGAACATCCACCAGCTCCTGGGTGGTAGACAGCTTGATGGAGACACCACCGCCGTTGGGGTTGGTTTTCCAGTTTTCCTGGTAGGTACCACCGTTCGCAGTCAAGGTCTGCATGGAGCCAGTTTCTTCAACGACGGACCAGGCATAAATGTCCACGTTCAGGTTGTTAGTGATCGTGACACCGCCACTAGTGCTGGTGCCGGTACCGTTGGAACGATGCATGATCATGCCAGAGGGCAGAGCAGAGGCAAGAGTAGCAAAGGCGGCAGCCAGGCCGAAGGTCTTGGAGAACATTCTGAATGGATTGGAAAAGATTGAAAGTCTTGAAAGAATGGACTGATATCGTTTGTTTAGGAGGTTTTAGGAAGGAATGTCTCGAGAATCAATCTCGTAGAAAGGAAAGTGGTTTTCTGAAAAGAAAAGGAAGGACTTGGTCTGTAAAAGAGTGAGACTTGTTTGAAAGAAGAATCGGATTTAGGGATTGACAGGGGCCTCTTTATAATGATTGAAGGGTCCCTGTCTCATTACCCCGGACAGGTACCGATGGCGAAAAAAACGTGCTGCCGGAGCCACGCTGGCTATGAACCATGGTTTCACGATGGAGCCAGTGGAGGCATAAAAGCAAAGGCAAAAGACTCAAGTGGAGTACGAAGGCGAATCATAGGGAGCAAAGAGGTGAGTGAGTTCTGGGCATTTTGGCTTGATCTAGACCGAGAATACAGGCAGGCGAGAATGAGGTGCAGATTCAATGTTTGAGTACGTATGCATTTACGAGAGTACTATAGAGCATATTATACCTTGCTCTGAAGAGATACTTCGTACTATGTACCACGAAGAATCAAAATATTAGATTCTGGCATATCTTAGTTTTGAACGCATCACAACACAACCTGCAGTGTGATTCATAATAATTGATCCGTAGATGCAGCATAGAGAAAGATGGAGAGTTGTATGTCGTGGCAATACCCCAAGTCATTTTCTCTATCCAATCCGTAGTTGTGAGAGATTCTGGAAACCCCCAAGAAGGATTTGACATTCTAGAACATTTGTTCACTGCTAGTGAACCATGGAAACAAATTGAGGGGTTATTTTTTCGAATGCCGAGTTCATTCCCCGTGAATCCACATCATTGCCATTATGTCTAAAGCACGGACGTATACAGATATCGCACCTATCAGAACTTAATCTCCTCGGACATGTCGGGACCAGTGCCTGTCACCAATATTTATTGATCTCATATCTGACATCGTAGTGGGTCCTGTACCTGGAAATCAAGTGGCGAATTCGTGTTCTATGTTTCTCTGGCAATACTTACTACCTGTGTAGCTCTGAATAGTCGGGAACTTTTTTTGCTGTCGCCATTTTTATGAGGGTATTCAGCATTAGGCTCACTGAGTAAATTTCATTCAAGGATCACTGACGGTATCCCAGATGAATAAAACTGTCATACAACAGAACAAACGCAGCCGTGAGTTGAACTTATCATCACGTGATCTTTTATCAGTTACTTAGAATGCTATTTACACTATCGAATGTAGGGAAGAAAATTCACTGCTATGAAATAAACATCAAAAATAGATCAGATAAAAGGAAACAAAAATTTCAAGCCGCAAAGAATGTATAGGTACGTTAACGAAATAAATCAGACGAAGTGGCTAAAATCTATTTACTAAACACTGCCACCACTGAATCCGAATCCGACATTCGATTTCGGTAGCATTATTCGATTATTCGAAGAACATCAGGTGAATCTTGGGCAGGTCGTCATCGGCAGAAGTTGACAAACCAATTACCACATGGCCCTTACCAACATCTATTCCCCTTATTGCCACCACAAAACTTGCAACTGAAATCAGGAGCTTGCTAGACAGGATAACATGTCCACCACACTTCTTCCTGCAGAACTCATGAATCAGACCTTCAGTCATCTGGACTTATTAGACCTATATTATTGAGGATATACTGCAATGTACCATTCCTCAATTCTCAGGAAGCTTTCGGTGATCGCTTCTATAGAGAAATCCGAATAGCCTTATCGACTTCAAGAGATTGCCAACCACAGTTGTCTCTAAACTCGAGTTGAAGAGCTTTGGCCCTTACATACTTTATTAAAGAGTATGACGGGCAAGATAGTTTCGAGTGCTTTGTGAGGTCAGAGATCGGGAGAGAGTCATTACACTTCCATAATTAGGAGAACTCGAACCTTTAATCTCTATTTGAGAGCTACCAGGTCATAGTTCTTGATCATAGTGCCGCGCCTGATGGGTTGGGGGAGGGGGGGGTCCCAAAAATTGGATGCCATCGGCTATACTTCTATTATGCAATCCCTCCTTGGTGGTGACGATACTATAATTTCAGACTACCTAAGCTTAGGCCATTTCAGGGAACAGCTAAAATGACAATCGAGAATTAAAACACTGGGTCAGTCTATATAACGAAGGAAGAATTGGAAGAATTAGCTCCCTGGTTCTTTCATCGATGGTATCTACATTTATCACATCAAATCGAAATAGCTGCAAGCTACATATACATACCTAGGTAGTGTTGTACTTTTTGTTATGTCAAGCTTGATCAAGCCGTAATGGTAACGCACAAGATGGAAAACACCTTATCTAAAAACAAAATTTAGAGAATTGTGGGCCAACTGTTCATTTCTGTTCCATGCTTCTGATACTTCATGTGGTCTAGTATTTACGCCCAAAAGCCTTCGCTGAGTACATTATATGCGAAGATGGTATGTTTTCCGACGAATCCGACGAATCCGACAAATCCGAAAAATCCGACAAATCTCTCTCTTTTCGTGAACTCCACGGGAGCATGTTGCGTATCTTTTTGAAGAAGTTATTTCTCTTTGAAGAATTCCGGTCACCGGACATCAAGTAACTGAGTTGTTGAGTCATCTCATAAATCTGTTTTTGGTCCTGAGCTCGATCCTGCGCCATATTTTGCGAATCTTTCTGTTGCTATAGTATCTGGTACTGCAGCTTCTTGATATGGTCGTTCTGCATTCGTTGCATGCTTATTTTCAAGGCTTTCATATCTTGCTCTCTGCGTACAAGCTCTTTGACCTGCTTCTCCTGATCTTGACAGAGTCTTTCTACAACTTCTCTCTCTTGTAATTTCATAGCTTCTTTTATCTCGTGTTTGCTTTCTTCCATTTCTTGTTGCAGCTTTTCCCGCTGCTTTTTAAGCACACTATTAAGTTCCTGGCCTGCCGAGGTCTGATCCAGATCTTTTCTGGACTCGACCATTTCAGTTTGGATGGCCAGCTTCATTCCTTCCCCAGGCTGATTCCAATCAACTGGGATGAATTCCTCCAAGCAAGACAGGGCAGAATCACGATTATTCCGATGTCTCCGGACCTTGGCGCCCCTTCTGACAAGAAAGCCCCAAAATCAATCGGTAGTTTTTAACTCCAGTTCGCGTTTTTTGCCAACAGATTCATTAACATCCTCCCAAAATGCAGTGAGGGACATCACATTCTTCATCCCATCATGGCCGCACAGTTTCTTGAACATTGAGAGATTCCGATGGGCAGACCCGCCCATTCGGTTATCCGATATACGGTGAAGATAGATGACCCCTCGTAAAGTATATTGTTTTGGTAGGTTGTTGTGAGCCAGCTGGCTATTTATTTGAGGATGTCCGTATCTGTCCGATTGGTGTCGTCAAATCCTGGGGTGTCCACGAGGTAGACATTTGCATATGGTTTGAAATCTCGACATTCATGGACTTGTACTTTTTGGGTACCTGTCTCAAAAGTTAGTATACCTATTTGATAAGAAGATAAAGTACATTCAGGGCTGGCTTACAAGATTCGAGGGCACCTGGATCGCTTATACCAACTGTCTCGTGCGTACAATGCGATATGAAGGTGCTTTTACCAACACCCGTCATACCCATCACAGCAAAAAAAAAACATTAGATTCTCTAGGCGCGAATGTTTGCATTTTGTAGATCTGGAGCTCTCTATTCAGGTGCTGAGTTATTTTGTGAATAGGTCTGAATTTGATCTACTTAGATACTCGAGTTAAGTGCTCTTGGTCAAAGCCTTGGAGCAGAAGCTACTTCAATGCTCAATAAACCTGGAAAATTACACTCAGGAGAGAGGATGAATAATTTCAGAGCCTTCAAACGTTAAAAAAAAGGAAGGTCCTTTTAGCCTCACAGGTTAATTAGTCTTGAATCCCGGTGTTCTCTAGGGTTGGTAAATGCGTGGTCAGTCTCCAGGGCCATGTAACTAGGTGTATGCCACGTACCCCGGCACATATGTGCGTGATCAACCTACAGGGCTTTGGTAGACTAGTGCTTACTCCATATACTGCCTCGGAACAAGATTCTCGCTTCAAATATTTGAAGAATCTCGGGATAAGAGCGGGCGTCTCCTAGCTAAGTTAATGGTGAATTTTTTTTCAAATATTACCAACACTACAAAGTTATCATGTTGGTTCAATCTTGGAATCTTGACTTTTGTCCAAAGGGGCAATTTCAGAAGTAAATTGCGAAGGGTAGGGTAGACTATATGTGGCACGGCCCATTTCTGATCTAGAAAAAATCATTTGTAGGATACATGGATGACCATCTGCTGTGATTTTTCGTCGTAAGAATAGACTATCTATGGCACGGATCATTTCCGCCTCACATCCTTCGTCGTCTGATATCAAATCAACTTGGATTGAATAATGAAATATGACCATGGATTCATATCACGTTAGCAATCGAGTGAACAAGGCTATCTAGGCCTATTTATGTGTGCCGCCTTTTCCGCCTAATATGATACCACTGTTAAAGTCTTAGCTTATTCAGTAATGCGCTGCGTACTTTCGCCTCCATGTAGAGGCTCTGTTGCAGATTGATCAACAAACCCCGCTTCTCTGACTTGCGAGGAACCAGTCCTACTGCTCCCACGAACAAACAAATCAGATTATTCAGCCCCAATCATGGCCACTAAGCCATTGCTGCTGAGCCATTGCCGCTGACCGTAATGATAAACTGACAACATATAAGTACTGGGGGCGATTCTACCAATCTGGCAGTCAAACAAAACGATGGCTTGAGGAAAATCCATCTGCTTCTTTGATCATCGAATTAATTCAAGCCTTTTAGAACGTAATATCAATCTAGAATATACATGAACCCTGCTAGTCGGCTCGCAGAGCACAACAATGTTCTTGGTAAACTGGATATGACACGCAAATAGCTTATCCTTGTTAAGGTTCTCTATAAAACGTGCCCATTTAGAAAAAAAAACGTATTTCGGGGTAGGCAACTCGTTGTCTTCATTGTAAGAACCGTTTGTATCACATATTTCAATATCAGGCCTACCAAGAAGCTGTTTGATCTATCTGTCGACTTTGAGTATATATGCACTACGGAAATAGTATTTTCTGGCGGTTTCTCGAGTATCGGCTGCCAAAGTTTTGCGAAGTTTGGCCATTTCTTTTTGGCGGCTTTATGCCTTTAATGGAGATGCGGAAAGCGCTCGCGGGTATTCTTAATAGTTCTAGCGAGGGATCGCATCTCTACCATGAGCTCTCTTCTCTCGTTTGAGCTGTAGAAGTTCTAGATATTAGTAAACGGCACTTCTATGCGCATCAGTGAGGTCGGTCGATGCTAGCAGATCCCTTTTCTGAGCATGCTTCCAGCGACCCGTAAGAGGCCTTCCTAAGACCCAGCGCCAACATCAGCTCAGGAGGATGACTAAAAGCGCTTGGCGGGTGTAATGAGGGCGGTGAGCAGCCAAAACAGTTTCTTGCCGTCCAGAATTACGACTATTTAAAACATATGAAGAGATCATTGCTTTTATAATAGCCCTGGCCTACGATTGATTGATCTACATCCTAGCTGGAGTCTGTTCCCTGCTTTACAAATATGAAGTAGGGCTCAAGTTCTAAGTCCTTCCACAGTCTTTACTTACTAATTAGTGAACCTTTAAGGGTTTAACGCCATTGATTCAGGCCAATGTTCCAATTAAAAATGTAGATTCGAATTCGAGATGATAAGTTTCCCAATTCAAATGTTGTCCTGGTTGTTACTCTACAGGAAAAAAAAAGAAAAATTCTCCTCACCTGTGGTGGAACACAGTCATTTGGTCTCCCAGGGTTTTCGCATAGAGATGGTACTTGCGGTTCATCTCGTGGAGACCATGTAAGTCCCCGGATCAGATAGGATGGTGCCTGGCTGGATGGACGATGGCATGTGTAGTACTACCAATATGGCGCTCGCATAGCTGCCAAACCGGCTAATGTACTGTCACTCGTCGATTCATCCTTTTTTCGGTGACCAGCCAGCTCCAGACTGATCTGTCTGTGTGTGTGCACCAGCCAGTCTACGTAGCTTTGGGCCTCGTTGTTCCGGTCTTCCAGCAAGAGCCGGGCGAACTCGTACTCCGCTCCATCTAGTCCTTGACGGGCCAATTGGATGGTGACCGCTTTGGATCCACGCACTGTGGAGAGGTACTGCAGGATGTTACGCACTTGACAATTCAGGTGTGTCTCCAGTACGGGCAGAGATGAGTGGTTCGGATTTAGCTCCTGGAGCGTGTTGTGACCAGGACCGAACAGATCTTCCAGCAGATTTGGTGAGACCTGGGCATGAATCCACAGTATAACTATTTGGCCATTGTCCACTAGATAGGCGCCCCCTTCTTGGATTTTGGAGAAGCTGGCCCGGAGCGAGGGAGGCACTTGAAGCTGTCCCTCCTGGTTAGCAAACCCATCTTGAGGTTCCATGTTGTGAATAGGAATAATGCGTGGGTAGAGGTAGAGAGATAGTTCCGTGCAGCCAAATGATCGGATCATACGATGTTCATAGACACGACGGTCTGATGCTTCGTGACCACCTGCGTAAAGATTATGTGAGTCTGGGAAATCGTGATTTAAAATATGATAATCTACCTTTGAATGCCCTTGATTTGACCAAGCTCAGCATGTACATGGAAAACTCTTTCAAGTTCTCAGGCAAAACGAGCTGGCCAGGCGGGTGTGAGCCCGACAATATCTTGCGATATCCGCTGAGGATATCAACAGTCTTCTCGGAAATGCTAGCCCGAATGTCCTTAAGATTCTTGTCAAGTGTCTTGGAGGCAGCTACATTAAAGTGTGAGTAACGAGAAGCAATGTGACTAGTCCGATAATCCACTTAAACTTACCTTCCTTGGCGATAATCGCCACGACGGCATCTTGATCAACGAAACGCAAGGTTTCCATATTGCCTTCATTGACCGAGGCGACGATGTTTATACAACGAACACGTCGTTGTCCGTCAGCAGATGTGTACAGTAATGCAGCCTGGAAGTGCGCATCCAGCTTGGGAGCCAGCTTTCCATCGTAGCTGAAAATCACTCCAATGGCCTTATCTGCATCGATACCACCAAGTTCGAGGTCGGCACCAAGCGTGTGTTGTACAAAGTTGCCGTGGTAAGATGACACTTGAAGGCCATTAGAGCATCGTACCTTCATCAGTGCCTGGTATCCCGTCTCACGATTGACTGTGTGAGCAATCTCCTTTTTCACCTTCAAAACGTCACGCGGTGCAAGGAAATTAGGGTAGAAGAAAGTTTCACCGCCGGTGAGACCAGAAACATGCCCTACATATTAGATTAGCTTCCATTCCAACGCAGCTCGATCTTTTTCACATACCGATAGTCGCCACGTCCATGTAATGGCTACTTGGGGCTGCAATAAAGAAATCCACACCAACGCCGGCCTCCGCTAGCCTGCTAGCTGTCTTCTTCCAATCCGCATTTTCGGTGACGAAGAGCTTCCGTTCTGCATCGGTTCCATGAAGCTTTGGATCCTCTCGTACGGCTAAACTCCCAGGTCCAGAAGTTGGCAAGCTGGCGATGGAGCAGATGATCTTGCCTCCAGTCGCTTGAAGTGCGGCAAATGCTGCGTTAAGAGTGGGCAGCAGTACAGGTTCAGGATTCTTAACGTGCGTGAAAATACTGGGGATCCGGCGTAGTAGCGATGTGATCACAGCCCTGGTATAGATCGTCAGCTACCCGGAACAGGCTAAAATAGAAATATACATACTTTGATTCATATGGATCCACAAAGAGACCATCACTCAGAGGCACAAATGGCTCATCCAAGTCAGTCATAACCATCATTTGCGCCTGATCCAAGCCCATCTATGTTTCATGTAAGCGGTCACGCATAATAGCCATGTCGAATATGAGATGCACGTACCTTCAGGTTGTAGAAGTGAACTTCCGAGTCGAACGTGACAATTCCGATCTTCGATCCAACTGCCAACTTCCGCGCAGACTCGTCATCCTCGGCACTCTCTAAGGATGGGTCTTCGCCATATAGGGATTCTACAATACCCTCACACACAGCTTTGAGGTATCCCCGGCTGATCGACTCTCGGCTCACATCGATCAAGAATAATGTCCGGAGTCCAACCGGCTCCTTATTCCAGTATTCCTTCGGCACCAGGAACTCAACTGTGCCCATCATCAACTCCGGCCGCTGCATGCGATCTACACGAACACCGGAAGGATCCAAAGGCGCAAGATACTCCGGCGGTGTATCGTTTGCGAATGTACACATATTGCAAACAAACTTGGTACCCCCGGCACGGAAGGACATGAAGGGGTTGATGTATGTCCGACATCGACGACAACGCGGAGGACCCACATCCCCGAAATCTAGCACGGGAATAGGCTGTTCACCAGGATCGAGAGGTGCGAGCGGCTGCAGGATCATGCCCAATGGCAAGCCGGTGGAGGATAGGAAGTCGGAGGTAGAAGGAATGTTATTGATAGACAGACGGGCGTACTTGGGTGAAGAGTTGCCTTGGTCCTGCGCGACAAATGTAATCGATGCCGGTGGAGGTAAATGGCGGTCCATAGTCGGGTAAACGTTCTTAAAATAGAACTGTGCGGGGATGTCGCGCGATCGAGGGATGCTGGGAATCTGTTCAGGGTCAACTCGACCCTGGGTAGCCACTGAATCAGTTTCACCACCCATTCCAGGCTGTGAGGTGAATCCACGTTCATATTGTCCTGTATGAGGCACGTTTGTTGAGTTGTCAGGCTGTTGGACAGCTTGGTTCAGCCCTGTGTTGAGGAATTGAGGTGCCGGTGGAACACCGCCAGTCATTGCATGGTTCAAGTCTTGAGCAGGAGCTGCCAAACCAGTTCCGATATCATGGAAAGCATGGCGATGCTTCTTCTTATGTGTCCTAGCTCCGGTGTCTGCGACACCTAATCCGCCCATCTGGGAGGTCAATCCAGCTATGTTCGAATCGACCGCGCCCATTGGTTGGGGAGACCCATTGTATGCGACATTTGGGCTTTGGCCAGGGTATGATTGCTGAGGTGCGTAGGCAGACCATTGGTTTGGAGCAGCATTAGGATAGGCTGCACCAGGTTGTAGAGGTTGGGGAGCTGCGGCAGGAGGGTAACCGGCTTGTGGGTAAGGAGGTTGGGACTGGCGATTAGGGTCATTAGTGCCCTGGCCCATTGAATGATAGATGTTAGGGTCAGTCATGGTGGATCATGCCGGTAAAAAGGAGGATAATTATGAAAACATGACGTGAAATCAAACCCCGCGATGTTTACGACATGCTATCAAATGAACACCTTTACATTCACGGAATTACTTTATTCCGGAACCCTCGTGTGGAACCGTAACTATAGTACTTTTTGGAAGTTCAATTGCAGGTGTTTATAATCTTTGATTTTTAATCTTTAACCTTGAATCATTAATCTTTGATCTTTTAATCTTTAATGTTTAATTCTTAATCTTGAATCTTGAATCTTGAATCTTGCATCTTGCATCTTGAATCTGTAATCTTTAATCTTTACTCTTTACTCTTTAATCTTTAATCTTTAATCTTTAATCTTTAATCTTTAATCTTTAATTCTTAATCTTGAATCTTGAATCTTGAATCTTTAACCTTTAACCTTTAATCTTAAATCTTTAATCTTGAATGCTCTAATATTAAGATGTCTGTTTTTTGCCGTTTCTTATAGAGAGATTATCCGTGTCTACCATTATATTGACGCGAGTTGTGTGTTAGCTGACGCGACCTGCGGTCTCGTTATCCCACCAATTTTGAATCCCCCAACGTTTCCCATACGAAGCAACCCTGCTGAGGGCTAACTTGTGATAGTGTACATATAACCCCTGCATAGTTGCATCTTGTAAACTTTACCTTCCCTTTCTAAGACTGCCAACATATAGGCAAAATTACTAGTCTTTAGTCTTCGAATCAATCGATCCTCGCTTATCTCTGTGGTCTCCATTCCCTGCAAGAAGCTGCCGATGAGCGTCACACTAGTAAAGCGCCAATTTTAGGAATTTATGATGTGTTTACCGTCTGTTTGCTCTCATCTCTGCGGAGCTCAACCCCTCCCTTAAATCTCTCCCTTAGCGTCAATCTCAGCACCCTTGTGATACTTGGTATACCTTGTAAAAAGGCTGTAAGTCCCTTGCTTTTTCCATTACTTTTTCATCTGGTAGTTTACTATGATTTATTTCGGACTTTAATCTTAATATGGATCTAACTATAAACCCAGAGCTTGATCACAGACCGAAAGATCGGAAAGAGATCTCTGTACCTCCAAATTGTTTTCTAATGGCAACCATCCAGGATGATGACGAACTTCTCTTGGCTCGAATTGGCTATAAGCAGGTTAGTAATATGGTGATAAAAAATACAGACATGAAGTTTGATATCAACAAACGCCTTAATTTTTCTAGGAGTTGCGGCGAGAATTTTCTAAATGGTCTACTGTTTCCTATGCCATCTCTATCCTGGGAGTTTTGGGATCTGTCCCGGCCACATTTGGGTCACCACTATCAGCTGGAGGTCCAGCAACTGCCGTATGGTGCTGGTTTATCGGCTCCTGCATGGCCATGTGTATTGGCAGTTCCGTCGCAGAGTTAGTATCAGCATATCCCACAGCAGGTGGAATGTACTTTGTTACAAAACATGTTGTACCTGCCGATCAAGTCCCGATCTTCTCATGGGTTCAGGGCTGGTGCAACCTCTTGGGCCAGACGGCAGGTGTCTCAAGTGTGGCATACTCTGTTAGCCAGATGTTGTTGGCTTGCGTGAGTATGAACTCGGATTTGGTAGATGGCCAATATTCATATTCACCGTATGGCCACTTCTTTTCACTCATTCCTCTATCTTTGCTCATGATTTTTTAGTACTGCACTCCAGACGGTCCTGGTTTCCATTGGAATATTGTGCATTCTTGGTGTTATCTGCTCGTTGACTACAAAGAACTTGCATCGAATCATTATTTGTTTCGCCCCAATCAACAGTACGAATTTTCATATTGATGAGCATTAGAACCTTCAGCTGACATTTCAATAGTCGCTGCTACTATCGGTATTTGCATTTCCCTAATTTATCTCACTCCAGATAAGCAGCTAGCCTCGTGGGTGTTTACACACTTCACAGACGGGTCTGGGTGGAACTCGAAAGTATTCTCTTTTTTCTTGGGATTCATATCTGTTGCATGGACAATGACCGATTATGATGGCACAACTCAGTAAGTCGGAGCCTGTAGACATTCCGGCAGACTATCTCACATATGATTAGCATGTCGGAAGAGACCCATGATGCAGCTGTGCGAGGTCCTGTAGCTATCAAGACAGCTGTAATTGTTAGCGGTGCATTTGGATGGCTCCTAACAGTCTGCATGTGCTTCTGTCTAACTGACTTCGAAGCTATTCTCAACTCGCCGACAGGCCTCCCAGCAGCCCAGATCTTCCTCAATGCCGGTGGAAAGCGCGGCGGTACAGTCATGTGGTCTTTCGCCATTCTCGTCCAGTTCTTCACAGGCTGCTCAGCTATGCTGGCTGATACCAGAATGGCGTATGCTTTCGCCAGAGACAAGGCCCTCCCTTTCTCTGACTTTCTATCAAAGGTCAACTCGCATACCCGTACCCCTGTCAACGCCGTTTGGTTCGTGGTTTTCTTCAGCATTTGTCTAAACTGCATTGCTATCGGCTCTACCGAGACAGCATCTGCCATCTTCAATGTCACTGCACCAGCCCTTGATCTGTCCTATGTCTCTGTGATTCTGGCACATCAAATCTACAAGTCCAAGGTTAAGTTCATTGAGGGACCCTTTACTCTTGGCAGATGGCGAACTCCCATCAATTATATTTCTGTCACCTGGGTTATCTTTATAAGTATCATTCTCTTCTTCCCAGCACAACTACCCGTGACAGGAGCCAATATGTACACAACTTTCTACTAAATATTCCTTCGAATTGCTGACTTTTCATCAGGAACTATGCGATCTGCGTTGCTGCCTTCATCGGTGTGTTCTCCTTGTTCTGGTGGTGGGTTGATGCTCGAGGGTAAGAATGAACACTCGCCAGTCGATACTCGATATACTAAAGTTCTCTCTTTTCCCAGAAAATATACCGGTCCACAAACAGATGATACTATCCACGAAATTCCAGCGGATGATGCTTCCATTTAGTATTATGATACATACAGAGATAGGCTTAAGATTCCCAAGGTTGACGAATTGTACCTTGAATATAGATTGTTGATTCTTCATCCAGATCAAGCGCTTGGGGTTTTTACTAAATACCTATGTAGTTGATTTTCTTCCCTATTGCTTGGCTTTCCCCATCTGTTAGTTCTCAGTTCTTGCTGCTCTTTGCTCACCGAGTAGGATTAAACACAATATGGGCACCAATAGCAGAGCAGTGACCGTTATGTGTGCATTCTAGATCAAATATCGAAGGATTTACGACCTTGAAGTCCTTGGAATTTGAAACTGTCTGAATATGGGAGTCAACTCGTCCTTTCTTCTGATTGGACGAGCATGTCAACTACTCTCATTGGCGGACGCAGCCCCAAAGTGGGGCAGAGGTTTACTTCAGTTTCAGTTAGCAGTAATAGAACGAACACTTCACATCATCTCTACAACTGCAGTTCTTACGAATACACGTGTAAAGGAAGTCATCCATATCTTACGACAGAAATTATGGCTTGAAGCGTCAACCAATTAGGTTGAAAGGACTATCTAAACACACACAAACGCTTCGGAGGACCTTAAATTTTACATCAGACAATTTGCCACGGATTTTCCAAAAAAGAATAAACCTCTTCTGGCTTCACCCCACCTTCAATCCACCGGCCGCATACATCTACAACGCTTTTTGAATAAAGCAAAGATTATGTAAACCCTTTATCCTTTGATATGTCTTGAAACCAATAAGCAAAAAAATAGACATAAGATCAGAGCTATTGTTAGTGGTTTTGTTATACCGCTTTGGGGGATTGTCGGCCCTTGAGAGGATTCGATAGAGACAAATCCAAACCTTCCCGTCGTTCTAGGAGTTATCATATGGAATTCTGTTTCCCATTCTAAGAAATCTTCAGGACAGGATAGAGTGTCCAGATGATTCACACGAACCTCAGCTTGGGCACATTAGAAGATCCCGTCAAGGTCCATTCGGAAAAATTGCTTGTATACATTCTTGTACCATCTCACGATTCTAGAGGCCATCAAGCTACATTTGCATTTTAAAATATAGCTAAGCAAGCTATAAAAAATCTAGCTTACAGGATACGCTGTTAGGTTGATCGTGAATCGAAATGATTCATATTTTCAGATAGTAAAGTGTAGCCAGGATTAGATGATAATAGTCGAAGAGGCAGAAGCAAAAAAGATGATCACTTATAGTCATAGCTATATCTATTGAGCATCACTGAGGTGTTTCTTAAGAAATGGTAGGACTTTGTCGAGCGCAGCCTTAACAGCCTTCGGCTTGTCGTAAAGCTAGTAGTGCGACACGCCAGGAAGCACAAGGAGCTCCTTCTCCATGGAAGCGGAACGGCTATAAATCTCATTGCCGTTATGATAGGCACCAAAGCCGCCAGGAATGGCGCCAATAAGGGCGATGAATGGACGAGTCACGATGACCTCTGCGTGGCTAAAAGCATCCCATGCAAGGGCGGCGCTATTAAATGAGAAAAAGCCGATTATGGTGCCGCATGGTTTCTGGCCGCGGCTAGTCTAGTAGTATTCTGTCGCCTCGAAAATATAAGGATCTGAGGTCATCTTCTTAGCCTCATCGACTGTCAGAGGAAGGAATAGGACAATATTAGCGATCGGTACCCTGTGCTTCGAGGGTGCGCTGTTTAGCCATTTTCTCAAGAGAACCGACCAGATGAAAGCCACCAAGGGATTCTCGGACCAGCCGGCCAAAATTCGCCGGTATGATGCCGACACAGCACTTGAGGCGGTAGTCAGTCATGGTAGCGTTGAAGGCATAGCCACCGCCGCCGCAAACGCCTAGCACGCCGATACGCTCCGAGTCGACATATGGGAGCGTCTGGATGTAGTCGACCACGTAGTGGAAGTCAGAAACGCGAAATTCGGGGTTCTCTACGAATCGGGGCTTTCCACGGCGCCTTGGAAAGACGCGTCAAACGCGACAACCAAAAACCCGGCTTCAGCTATTTCCTTGCCATAAACATTGCCCGAGGTCTGCTCTTTACACAAGCCAATTGGATGGGCTGATAAGACTGCTGGGTATTTCTTTACCTCATCAAAGTTAGGTGGGAAGTGTATGTCGGCGGCGATATCTATAAGTCCTTAGGTTAAGGAGAGTTTTATATTGGTGGCAAAATACCGTTGACGTAGTAGACGACGCAAAAGAATTTTAAATCAGCCGAATATCTTCGGGGGTCTGTTAAGCGCGCAGCCAGCCTTAGGTATGCTTCGGCTATGGGGAGTTATCCATCTCGGGGATAAAGTAACTAACTCGGCCGCTCTTTTAAAGCATTAAGTCCGTTACGAGAATATCCGTTGCCTTGGTACGGCACAGTTCACATCCCGGACTTAAAGCAAGTGGAACCGCCATCTGTATCATTTCCAAGATGTTGGTATCAGCTTGAGGAGAATAAGATCGACTCAAAAAAGATACACAATACCAAGATATAGCTGCTTTCATCCTAGAGTCATGTTGGCAGATCGAATTTTGGTAACTGCATGCGTAGAATCAACGTTGGCACAAGATTATTATCGTAGTATACAAAAATCATGGCTTTTGATATAGGATATTAAGAATTGACTAATCAATTGGGTATGGTGAGTTATAACCATAAGTAGCCAGCGTATAGAGGTAGTAAGTCAATGATATAAGAATTAGAAAGCTGTTTGAACGAGCCATAATTATGGAAAATCATCAAGGTTATTTAGCTACCTGGGTATTGGATTTCCTTTCCCAGTTCATGGATTTCTTCTTCCAATTAAGTGCTTAGGGCTTGTCGCGTTTTTGTCTACATAAGTGACCGTGACGAATTGCCCGAGTAAGTGGTGCGGATGTACCATTCGAATTGATTCAATCAGGCGATAAGGCCATCTTCTTCATGGCGTGGTAAGAACTTTTCATCCAGGGCTGCTTTGGTTTATTGGGGGAGTGCTGAAGTCTTTCTAGCAGTCCTTTAGCTGTAGATATCCATTGTAGGAATCCATGATTCTCTGTGGCGTATTCTTGAAGTTTGAAGCTGGATACCATACAGGATACGGGTCATATCCTATCCAGGGTATCTGGAATTGTAAGGTCCTTTTTCGGAATAGACTTGATGGAATGCTTCAAGATTAAAAGCATCATCATGCCCAATATGACAACCTTACCAAAAAAATTTTTGAATCTGATACTTGATTCACTCGAAAATAAATCGAAATCCGCTTCGAAGCGCTTCATTCCAAGGTCACGCATTTCTGACAGGTAGTTATAGTAGAAGCTTATGACAAGCACAGGTAAGCTTACCTAGGTAGCAAACTGGATGTTGCTTAATTAGGAATAGTTTGATTCTATTCTATACTTCTGAGCTTAAATTCCGTTAAAAGCAGCGAATAGCCTATCTTCCCCTTTGGCGTAGTCTTTCTCTGCTCTTCTCTATCCAATCTTTAAATACTCCGTATAGAAGATAAATCATTTGATACTCTACTACGACATCTGAGAAAGATCAAGGTGTGATAAGATTTCTTTTTAAAGAGCGTGTTTGCCTGGCCAGGTAGAAAGAACGAGGTCGTTTCAAATGCAGTTCAACAGAAAAAGTCCATCCAGACAAAACAAGCCATCATAAAAACCATTGGAAGTTCTGCAAAAGCCTAGACAAGAAACGCACTCGGTCATGTTTCAGCATAGTCATTTTTCGAGGGCGACGGTCGGTTCACAGGTCGCTTTTGAAAACGTGCAAGCCAGGTAGAGAATATTGGTTGAAGGCCTAATATGGCTGCAAGAGCCATTGAGGCAGGTTGATGCAGTGTGATGTATACCATGGCAGATTCGGTAGATCATGCAGAGAATTCACAGGATAACGCACCCGCCGCCGGGGGAAGCTATCAACAAGGTCAGAGTTGTGTAAAAAGGGAGGTTGTGTCTGGTGATGATGCTTACCCTTGACAAGAGCAGGATTGGTGGTGGAAGGAGACATTGCGATGGTTTGATGATTGCTTGGGAAAACGTTAAGATTGAATTGAGTTGGAGTGAAGGGTTGGAGTGGATGGGAAGGGAATATTGGAGCGGGAGAAAAATAGGTTTTATATCTCGGATTTATGAATTGATGCCAGCTTAATAAAAGTTGGAAGTCAATACCACTTGAGTCAAGGCTGTTGAGATTGCTGTCCACCTGACCAATTTTAATGGTTCTATCTTGATATTGTTCTCTGGAAGTCAATAGATGAGGAAGCTGTCGCTTTGATGGAACATTGAAAATTAGCGGTTCAGCATTCTAGAGGAGCCTGGAGCAAAACTGTGCTCAAAGGAAAAATATATACCTTAAAATCATTACGGAATCAACAATAAAGAGCAATATTAAGCTCAATCTAGAAAATTCGAGGTTCACGAGTCAAAATTGGAGAAGGAGACAAAGACAACATGTAAACACTGAGCTTAGTATTGTTCTTCGACAACAATAACTTACCTTTTTGGGAATTTACATTACAATTCTTTTTACTGAAAAAAGTTTCTGAAAGAGATAAGAGAGAAAAGGCGAAAAAACAGTCGTATACAAAGTAGATAATCCTAGATAGCAATCTCTTTCATTCTATATGGCATCAAATTCTCACGATTCTGACTTGTAGTAGAGGTATCAATCATTCACAACTATCCCCTTAAGAGCTTGGCTTCAGGCATTTCGCGATCTCCTTAACTTGACTAGCTACATCGCTCGGTCGCGAGAGCAAGGGACTATGGCTGAATCACTCAAAAGCGCGAAGCACCCATTTTTCCTGGCCACCTGCACCTTGAAGCATGCTGTTCTGCCTTGTGACTGGAAGTACAGTATCGGCCGTGACCTAACTTCCTAGCATAAGAGTCTTCCTACCAAGCTTGAGACGGCACAACGCCCATAACAAAACTAGCCATGCTCCGAGGGCGAAGCTGCTGTACCGCCCACTCAAGTAGCTCTGCTGGAATATCGGAAGAAAAGAAAAGTCTGCCTAGTTTTTTTGATGACTAGGCCTTCGCTCGACGTGTCACATATCAGGTGGGGTAAATCGCAAATATCGCTAATGGATGCACTTGGGTTCACGCCTCCAGACAGGATAAAGCCAGCTAAAGCGATCAAACCCATGCCTCATTTTCTAGACAGCCCCTTGGTGGTAGCATTAGCAACAGGTTGTCCATATGAATACGCCAGAACAGCAACGCACTTGCCCATAGAAATCTGTGACTCCACAACTAACCGTATCTGAGCAGCATCAATGGTATCGTTCTCAACAGACTCGACTCTGTGTCCAAAAGTCTCGAGCAAGAATTTAGAGTTGAGAATAGAAGTGCCGGTGCTAAATCTTGTACTCAGCTGATTGACCCATTGGTCCTGACTGCTGAGATGATTTTGGAGTCTTCGAAGTGCTAATACAAATGCATCCATGTTTACCTTACTTCCTTCAGCAATATGACCGCAGAAACTGTAATGTCTTTCTTCTCTTTATTCCCTTTGTTTCACATTTTCCCTTTGTCCTCGTTTATTCATTGCTGTATTTGTTGAAGTATCTAATCATAGCTTCAACTTGTGAATACCATGTTACAAGGAACATCCAGCTTCAGGACAAAGCCTTTCTGAATTAGAGACAATAGACTCTTTGTTGAAGCAGGTCTATATTGATAAACTCAACTTCTCAATAGCAGACATATAAATACCCCTATGTCCACCTTCGAGTATTAGTTTTATCAAACACAAGACACAACAACCAGATACAAGCTACAAAAAGACAGAATAGGGCAGAACGCACAAGATAAAGGACACAAGACACAGCAGAGAAGTACAACTAACTCATTTATAAGACATTTTCCTGAATATCTCTCACTAACCAAGCTCGATAGAAATCTGATACTATGGCTCACAGCGACAAGCCCCGCCAGGATCTCACAGAGGACAGTGAGTACATTCTACCTGCTATCCCAACTATGGAATCCGAGTTTCTAAAATGGCCTCCAATTTGGATGGACCCTCACCAGAAAGAATTCTTACAAAAGATAAGTGAAATCCTAATTCTTCCAATGTCTACAACCAAACAGCGTTTCGAGATCTCGAAACAAATTGATGATTTACAATTTCTCATCGATAAGTTGGAAGAAACCATTGAAGAACCAGAGGGATCTCCAATTCTACTCAAAAATATCCTTGGCATTCGAAACGCTATCCCAATGCTAGCTGACATGCTCCGTGGATGTAATGCGCCAAATGAGACGGAATTTCACGATACGACAACCATCAAAAACGCCATTATCATTCTCCATGCTCATGTTGTCCGTCTCAGACAGCCAGAAGCCGAGGGCTATATTGATATGGACAAAGATCGTAACGAGAATCCAAACCATCCTACGCACTGTATTGCAGCTGGGTTGAAATTGTATACTAACGAGGCCGTAGCAAATAGTCTGGACGACTTCCCTGAACCTGACGAATTACTTGATACTGATCTTGAGATAATAATCGAAAAACATCAGCCGGCCCTGGTTAAACTTTGGCAAACTATTCACTGTCATTGTCCTGAATGTTTCCCGGAGCGTGATTCTGACGGCTCCTCGAAATCTAGCAAGGTAATTGGAGCTAGACTAGGCCGGCTTGCACTAAGCATGTTCAAGACTGCAATCGATGCTATAGGGAAGGGTGACGGGATGTATGATCGTCCAACTCCAGGAGCAAAGTCCACTCCTAGGTATCAGCCCTGACTGTGAAGAGCCCCACTGACATGAAGGATGAGGGAAACTACCAGAGATTAAACAATTACAAAAGATTTCTGATATTTTTGACATTTATACTTTTCGAATAGTATCGAGTATCTAGCTAATTGGAAATTTATCTACACGCGCAATTTCATTTGATCCCAGGCGCATACCCGTAGACTCAGTCTATATCATGCCTTTTAAAAGCACTGATTAAGCTGAATTCCACGCAGCCACGCTCAAGCTTCATGAGGCATAACGTTTATGCCTTAACTGGTATAGGAGGATGGGGTCAATCAGTGAATCGGCACAAAAACGCGATGGGTTTTTTGGCCTAAATTTATGCACACTTGACGTCTATCCAAGTATGTTTAATACCTTTTTGTCATATTGACAAAGATATGACTTTCAGGCTGGCTCGAAAGTCTAGGTCTAGGTGGTCTAAATACAGTAGGGTTGCTTTATAAACTTACCATAAATCCATATTCAAATATGGTACATTATTTTATTTTTCTCGTATTATTTTTAATATAGCTATATTTTTAGCAAATTGAGGTATTAATTTGCTAATAAAATTTGGGAGTCTGCAAGAAAAAAGAAAGAGAAAAGAAAGAAAAGAAAGGCAAAGGAAGAGAAAAGGAAGATAAAAAGAGAATCTAAGGACATTCACGATCATCCTCGTCCCAACGGGTCGATAAGCAGTTGAGAGGCAGTTGCCTCCATCTTGTCTGCGTTTGCATCAAACTTCTTATCTGCTGCAACAATGTCAGTCTCTATAGCTCAGACCTGCTGCATGATTTCGTCAATCTGGGCCTGTCGCACCACTGGATCCTCAACTCTCTTTCGGAGTTTAGTAAGGAGTTGATTAAGCGGAGTTTGTCTCGCAGGTCCTTACGCTCACCCTTGAGGGCTTTGTAGGGATGTGCATCTGTACGATAGGGGGTTTTTTATAAAACGAGCGGCGGGTCCGGTGGTTGTTCCAATGAAAGTTGCCACAAGCGTTCATTACGCCGTGGACCACGATTCATTGCGCAAGTGCTCCGTTGTCGTTCTGGCAGTCGTTGCAGCGCGCATCACCTTCTACCAGGCGCCCGACCAGCTGCATATATGAAGCTTCACAGTTTGCTTTCGACGAGTCAATGGAGTTGTGTAAGTGAGTAGTTAACCATTTGCTGGTGTTATAACGAAGGGACAACTCGCAGAGCAATGGTATGCCTTTGAGTGCCATGATCATCTTGGATTTAATAGTTGCATCATCCTTAATAACTTTCGACCAACGGAACGCGCGAATCCACTCGGCTCATTAGCCCGGTTCAGCCTCTTATGGTCCGAAGTCATTGTCTTAGGGAGTTCATCTAGGTGCTCGACGACGAAGTGAGCTAGACCAGGTGAAAAACTGTACTGATATTAGCATACAAATCAAATAAATTACTCAATTATCTTTATCACTTATAATGGTAGAGTTCCGCTAGTAAGAGGCGTAGTCGGCGGCGGAGTGAAGTCGGTCATCGCGCACGATCGTCTGAGAGAATAATGGAGATGAGGGATAGAGAGAGAGATAGATATGATAATGGTAATGAGAGATAGGGAAGAAGGATGAAGGTGAGATGGTGTGATAAGCGATTTAGCCTACTTTCTGCCTAAGGAAGGACTGACGCTGCTCACTCGTTCAATTTCAGGGTTCCTCTCACTTTACTTCCTCATACTCCATCATCCTATACAATTCAAACCGCTATGGCCTAGTTGTGGCCCACCAATTTCTAGGCCACAGGTGAGCTATAGCGGTTGGATTAGACGCAACTATACTACACTAGGATTAGGAGAATGCGGGTGCCATTTGAAGGTTTTATATAGTACGCATCCCGATTTAATTAGACCAGGTTCACCAATAATGACATAATGCTTCCACACCCGCACTTTCTCTTCCTCTCTCATTCCCTTCCATCTTTCACGAAATCCTATTTCTTTCTTCTACGCTTGAGCAAGATGGCGGAATTCTTCGTTGAATTCAGCCTTCATTCTCCAATGAAAAGAGGAATAGTCGCAAAGAAAGAAGGTTATGACATTGCCGTTGGCTTTTCGAGCACTTCTCTGACACAATTCGCTATATCGGTTCATCACCCTCTACCATCAAAAGAATCATCAACAGGGAAATGATGAAGTCAGTAATGACGAAATTTGTTCTTTTCACAAACTTCAACCCCAAATTCCTTGAAAACACGTCATCGAAGATCACGTACAGCCAAGATACTCACGAGATGATAGTCAAGTGTACTGGTAAAGCTCACGCTGCGATCGCTAATAGCTTTAATGACGAGATCATCAAACAAGTTGCAGCTATGTCGCTGCCCCTAGCAGATTCGCTCCTATCAACCGGCGATGGAAGATGTCGCGGAAACGTGATATCAAAGGATCCAGACTATTCAGTGCGACCAAAGAGCCAGTCGCTTCCTCCTAGCCGGTCCACGGACTGGCCCTCTATTGTTGTGGAAGTTGGAGTTTCCGAAAAGCTTCCCCAATCAATGAAGGATGCTACATTTTGGCTATCTAATTCTAATAACGATGTCAAGATGGTGATAGTTGTATCCATTGACCCTCTTGTGCCCAACATTCTATTCCGCTGTGTTATGATATCAGGCACATTGGTGGAACGAAATGGCCGCACAAAATATATATACGCAACCCGGCAAGAAATGCAGATCAAACGAAATGCCGCCAGGGCATGTGTTACCACTAATGGCCCATTGGTTATTCACTTTGAAGAGCTGTTTCTTCGTCAGCCTATGGCACCTGAGACAGACATCACTTTGCGCTTCGCCATTTTGGAAGGAGTGGCCCATGCTATTTGGGATGACTACCTTCATATTTAATTTCTTTTTTCTTGGTTTGAGAAATCGGTTTTCTTCTTGATTTCTCTTGATTTCTATTGGCCGTTGCTTTTCTTTTTCTGTATTACCTTTGTTTTCCTCTTCTTCATGTATTGATACCCTGAAGTCTTATCAAATCCAGGCTCGCTAATTCTTTTACCAACAAAAGATCAAGGAAATTCTCGAGTGAAGATCATGTAGGTCCGTGTGGCATGGCAAGTATCATAGCACTATCTAGCTTATCATTCCTCATCGGTCCTCTATCTTTATAGTGGGCTGGCAGGTATGAAGTAGGAGGTACTACCCTTTAAGACGATTGTTATGATCAATCATAAGAACTAAGAACTTTGGAGGGTATGATTGAACGGTCGAAACCTAAGGCGAGTGCTGCCAAGCGAGAGTCGGTGCTCGTGTAATTTCAAAAAGTGTTCATATATTTACCTGAAAATCGCCTAACAGCCGCAGGGCTACTAAAAGATAACTAAAAGATAAGGATTTTAATGCCCTTGTAAGTATATATGAAGCCCAAGGAAATGAAACTAGTTAGAAGTGGCCTTAAACCAGAGATAAATTCACCATACCTTTTCTGCTGAGCTCGCCTACCACTAAGTGACAAAACCATAGAACTACAAAAAAAAGCTTGCTCTTGAAACTGAATTTTCATGGGTAACTAGATTGGATATTTGGCTTAAGAGGAATCTGTAACTTTGACTGGAATTATTGGAGAAGGAAAGACAGCGACGAATAATGATTTTTAGTGAAGACAGGATGGAGTACTCATTCATACTACTAATTTGGAAACCCGTCCCCCTTAATTCTGACACGATGAGCAGCTACCCTAGGGTCATAAACAACCTGGGCTCCTAGGAGCATGGCTGACTAGGAAAAGATAAGAAAATGATAAAAAGGTTGCACGTCAGATGACTATTGCCGGTCTGGTAGGCTCCCAAGAGCTGAAAGTTCGGAACCCCACAAAGAGATACGGTCACCATAGAAGCATGAGCTTACCATTGCTAGAAGTAGCTTTATCGCCTAATCCTGTAAGCTTGGCCACCAGGGGCTATTGTCTCAGAATAGAATGCAAATATCTGAGCAAATCTATCTAATTGCCTTGGCACTATGCTAATATGGAAGGGTACGCCAAGAACTGGCAGAGAAAAAAATAGTACATAGGTAAATGGAAACCTTGAAATGTTTACGAGCTCTATGAATCAAAACATCTCACAAATTGCCATTGTTAGAGCCTAGTTACCCAAATATTAATACATAGAGAAAAGGTGAAAGTTGGTAAGAAAGGCCTGGAAATTCAAAACTCATTCATGCCCAGGTGGACAGTGTAATGGGGAACGGGGCCATCGTATTGCATTGGTCTGCGAATCCAGATACTCCCCAGATGGGCACAGGGATCGGAGGGGTAGTGGGAGACGAAGAAGTCTGTTGGTCTGATCTCTAAAACATATCACTTATATACACATCCCGCTTAGTCAAGTCACACTGCTACTTGTCTGCCTGCCTACTACACTAGGTAGAACAAGAGTGCTCAGGTGAGAATAAACTGCTTCCAACGTCCAAGGGTCGGAGTATGAAATTGATACATTGCCCTCGGGCCCCAGGATGTAACAACAGAAAGGATTTAATAATACTTGTGTGGATACTGTACGTAAAATGATACCACAATAATGTCCTATAGAATTTAATTTGATGCAATTGGCGCAGATTTTCAGACTTAAGACATGCGCTGGGGTTTGGAGACCAGCTAAGCTTTAGAGTTTCGGAAGCTCGGTTTTCTAGAATTAGGTACTTGTTTCAGATGCCACCCAATGGTATTAGAATGTTAAGAGTTCCGAGAGGGTCGATGCGGCAGCCTTTTGCCATGCTGTTTCTTGTACTACTACTTGTATTCCTTCTCTGTAATCTTGCAGCCTTGGAATATCTGGGCTCCTCAGTCTCTCAACTCTGCCAAATAATCACACAGCCACAGGCCCGTGGCCCATTACCGTGAGTCAGGGTCTTTTTTTCTTACCCCAATAGTCCAGTGCATAGCTTTCAAGGTCCCCCAGTTATCATCCCTGGAAATCCAAGGAGCCGTACTGACGGATCTATAACGACAACCTCCAAAATTTCTCTACTTTGTTACAAAGTAGTACGTACTTCATTTGACTCTGAAACATCACATCTTTTCCAGATTCCAAGGTCGCGAGACGCTATTTCAAGACTCATCCACGGCATCCATGTTCCATGTATATAGGTAGCAGCTTATGCAACAGTAAGCTCTGAGAAAGAATCGCAAAGTATGGATGGCTGCGTGCTCCGGGCTTCTCGGATCTAATTCCAAGGTTCTGCTCTAAGATTGAAGTATTATACTACCAATTCTGACTTTTTATTCTAGTTTATTTCTAGGTTTATTTTTTCTTTGCTGACTGACTCCATTTTTGGAATATGAAGTTCTAGTAGTCTATGACCTACATCTACTTGCTTAGGTTGGTGAAGAAGTCTCCAGGGCTTTATGACGCTCTATTTATAGCCCTGGAGACACCCCTGGGCCGTGGGCAATCCAGTGCTTATTCGTTGTTTCCTTTAAACTTTGTTTGTGTCCAAACAAATTTGCTGCACTTTTGGTTGGCGCTATCCAGTAGTATACCTCGGTACGCTGTGCTTGGCGTAGTCGAAGGTTGGTGCTACATGGTCGATTATCCGGCTTCACTCTCGAGGTTTGCCATGTCAGACTGCAAGGATGGAGTGTTTGCCTTAAGCAATTGATGGACATGGATCTAGATCTTCACCTGCCTGAGCAAGAGATATAAAATATTGCTTCTGGCGAGCGCTTTTAGAAAATTATTTTATCCTTCGAAGCAATTCAAAACTCACTTGAACTATTTTTCAACTTGCAATTTACCAGCATGCCTTTCTTCGGCCTTTTTACCGTTACTTTCGTGCTTCTTCCCATGGTTTTTGGACAAGATACATTGCCAAAAGTGCCCCGTATCCACAAGGGCGATCATCTTGATCAGAAATTTTTGGAGCTAGGAACTAGCGGCTCATGCCAAAGGCTTGATCATATCGATCAGACATTGTGAGTTGCCCATATAGCTCCATTTATGAAAGAATAGAGGATGAGCCTTTCTTCTAGGAGATGAAAACTAAAATTTACTAGCAATCGGAATGTAGGGTCGATTTATGTCCCCTGTGAATCATCTCAACCAGGCAAGAAGGTCATATGCACAGTTTACAGGTACATACCTTGGAACGAAGCCTTATCATTTCTGGTATATTAACTATCCAAATCAGTGATAAGCAGTGTGATAAAGAAATCGTTACATTGGATCGGCCTTATGGTGCAATGTCTGCTGCGTCAAATAAAAAAGTTGACAAGAACAACGTCGGAAGTCTTGTGGAGAGTATCAAATGTCAATTTGTTGACAATACTTTCCAAGTATCGAACACCAATGTTCATGACTTGAGCAAGTTCTCACCCAGCTGTCCCGGCGAGTCTTGTTCAGACTATACCGACTGTGTTTACTATTACTTGGAGAGTGTGAAATGTGTTTCAAGCAAATGTCGGTACTAGTCTATGTAATCCGGTTGACTTAGCCCTTCTCTAACACAGAGGTGTCTTTTGAATTTCGGTGGACCGATTTGGTCTCCAAAGGTACCCGTGGATCTAGGCTCAGCCATTTAGGAGAAAAAAATAATAAAATGCAGCAATTATGAGACTATTGACAACATTTGCCACTAGTCCATTTAAAACCTTAGAATGAACCTTTTATGAAAAATGTAGACATAACTGTTACGTGAATTAGTGGGCCACATGACCCCACTACCCGGCCGGATTAAACCTACAGGAAAAGTGTCGATTTGCCAAGCTTTACTAATCTATCTTAGACCTAGCTTGTTGTCATTGAAAATTCTCCCTCGTTTACCATCTCCATTACTCTATACACTTCATTGAATTCTATTTTACACTATGAATACGACTGCTGTTTTTTTCGCTCTGAATGCAAGAACCTCTACCCTACTGATGATTTCGATATTAATAAGCAAGGGAAGCGAGAAAGCCTTTGCAATCGTCATACAAAGAGGCGCTCTCTTCGCCACGATGATTGGGATGAATTTATTACGGCGTAAGCTTCTTTCTAAATTGAATAAACCAACAAATCAACAGCGTAATCAGAACTGTAATTGTTTTGATATGCCGAGCCCTCAATTCTCTAAAATTGTTTCCTGCAATGACACTTGTCCTTATTGGTGAGATGAGCGATTAGAACTTAAACCAGAGTTCAAATGCAAAGAGCCTGCTCCACTACCAGGCTATGAGAGCAATACCTCTTTAGCATGAGAGAAAGAACTATGAAGAAGACATCGGGAGTAAGAAAAAGAGGAAGTGGAGGAGGATAAGCTGAGTTAGCAGCGTGGCGCCAATTCTAATTTGGCACGATAGAAATGGTTGATGATCAAGCTTCAATGGGTTATAAATTTATAAAGAACTGGCTTCAGCATATCAAAAGCCAAAGGGCTCAGATCCAAACGCTCATTAATGAAGCTATTCTATATTACTCATTTGTAGTCAACCCTCAGTGGGGAAGGCTGTTCATCCACATTTATTTACTATCAAAGCCGAAGCAACCCTTCGGGTGGATCGAAAGTCCTTAGTATGGCCGCGTAAGTACTAAGTAATTCAGCTGCGCCACAGTGGTCAATTCCATGGTTCAAAAATCACAATCGCTTTTTCTCTTTCCTCTATAGGCTTCAATCTTATGTTTCTCTAAGTCAATTTTGTCAAGATGATTTTGAAATAAAGTGTTCAAAAAGCAATTATTCTTCACAATCTTATTTAGGTATCAAACGGCTTTCAGTGGTTAAGCTTTCGGGCCACATGGGTTCCTAACTTTGAAAACCATGTGTCGGAATACCGGCATTTCAGGTTCCATATTGTACCATCTAAAAGTAGTAGCCAAAGAATGTATTCAGGATATCGAACGATCAAGCTTGATACCAAAAATACGTAGAGTTAGAAGTGATGATAGTATCGAGGTTTGACAATCTCTCGAAAGAATCCATCTGCAGTCAATATTTAATCGACTACAGGTCCATAATAGTACAGAGCACATTCCAAGATTCTAACTGCTCCATAGTAGATTTGCACCAGATCACACGGCCGGACCAGAAGGAACCCCTTACCCCTTACAACTAGTCACAGATCTGTTTCTCGGATCCGGAGAAACGAACTACAGTAATAATTATAAAGCTTTAAGACAGGAATTGAGATAGGTACTTCAAATTTTCCTGATTGGTTCAATCTTACACGATTATTACTGTTTCAGTATCGCTTTTCCGTTGTAATCGGCTATTTTTGCCCTGAACTACAACTTTTTGACATTGAAGGATGGGGATGGTATAGATTCCCCTAGTCTCCGGATCAACTCCGTTTTAGTAGTGGAAAGCCGGCCTGACCCTTTTTACTGGTATTTGGGAATCTTTGTTCCAGGGTTCTTCTAGCATAGATATAAGATCATTGATGGCCCATTCCTTTTTGTGTTCTATCAAAAACATTCTTCTTCAACTCTTCCATTGCATATTATACAAATTTAATATTTATTGCCTTCATATTTTGCTCCACTTGCCTTTTACGGCTATTTAGGATGCAGCTTCTGTACCTTTTAGGTCTTATTGGCATTACGGGGGCTTCTAAGATCTCAAGTACCCTTACAACTACTTCAACGCTCAAGTCCACCTCTTTTACTTCTTCCCTTACATCTTCCAGTGCGTTTCATGTTGGAATTATTATTTTGGAAAGATCGTGCTAACTCTTCCTCAGCTTCTATAGCTGCTGTCACTGTCGCAATTGATGGCAGCGCTCACTTTACAGCGATTGGTGATGCTATTTCCTACGCCCAGAGCTCTGGAATTCCCACTGTCACAGTTCTTGCTGGCACATACACCGAAGCCATCACTATTTCAGCGACCCCAACAGTCACTGTCATTGGTCAAAGCAATACCCAAGATGACTACTCCGAGAATGAGGTGACCATCACCAATGCCGGAACTGTCTTGACCGTTGACAACAATATTCTACAAGTGAATTTTAAGAATATCAACTTTATCAATACTGGGTCTGCGTATGGTGCCATGATCTTGAAAGGAAACAAATACGCCTTTTATGACTGTCAGATTATATCAACGGGGACCTTAGGCATCACTGCTAGTGTTGGTCTTGGTGTCATCGCAAACTCATACATCGAGGCTCTTGACAAAGTTATCTACGGCGGAGCCAATCTCTATGTGTACAATACTAAGATCGTGCCAGTCGATAATTCTGCGATTTTAACTTACATGAAGGGCACTAAGTCGTCGTCGACAACACTATACAACTCAACAGTTGTCCTGGACCATGTCACAGTTGCTCAGAAATCAGGAGCATCCAATAAGAATGTCTTTTTGGCCGCTGCCAATGGTGCAGGAACCGTGGTACTCTACCGGAACTCTGTCCTGGGAAGCCTGATCGCTGCTACAGGAGCTCATGTTGACACCACCAGTCAAGATGGCGAGAATTTTTTCGCCGAATATTCCAACACGGGTGCCGGATGCTATTCTAGCAATTCTGCTACGCGGTCCCAATATGTCTCTCTTCTCGGCGCATCTGATTTGCCCCAATATAGTATTGATGCTGTATTTGCATCGGCCTACCCAAGCTATAGTTCCTCGAATACTGATTGGATTGATGCTTCCGTTTTGTCAGCTATTGAGAGTGCAGATGTGGTCCAGACATCAACAACCAGCACCAGCTCATTGTCGATCTCTGCTTCCACTACGACCGCAGCAACTGCCACGTCTACCTATGTTGTGAACCAGGTTTCAGGTCCTTACAAAAATGTTACCGCAGCTATTGCAGCACTTCCCAGTGATGGAGAAGAGTATACCATCTTCGTCATGAGCGGCACATACAACGAGCAAATCTCAATCACTCGTACCGGCAAGACCATTCTCCGCGGTGAAACCAACTTTGAGAATGACTATACTGGGAATACTGTGACGATTGAGTACTCGAATGGTGAACTGACGAGTGCCAACAAAGACGAAGATACCCCCACTGTCAATGCCAAGAATACTGACGGAAAGGGACTGGCGATCTATAATATCGACTTCAAAAACACCTATCCTCAGACGAGTAACACCGCGGCTCTTGCGGCGGACTTTTATGGCTACGTTCAATCATACGGCTGCTCTTTTATTGGCTATCAAGATACTCTCCTCGCAAACAAAGGAACTCAGGTCTTTTCAAACAGCTACATTGAAGGTTCTGTTGATTTCATTTGGGGGTTCTCGACAGCGTACTTCCATCAGTCAATCATTGCCTCTAATACTGCCGGCGCTTGTATCGCTGCTATGAGCCGTGCGTCGGATACATCAGAAGGTGGTTACGTCTTCAACAATTGTCTTGTGACCTACACGTCCGATTATGGAACCACTTTTGAGGATACTTGGCTCGGCAGGCCCTACTCATCGTACAGTCGTGTCATTTATATGAACTCATATCTTGACAAACATATCGATCCTGCTGGCTGGAAAATATGGTCGACGAGTGCTCCTCAGACTGACTATGTAACTTTTGGAGAGTTTAACAACACCGGACCTAGCAGCTGGTCTAGCAGTCGGGTTTCTTTTGCCACAAATCTTACCGAATGTGAGGCTGAGGCATACAGTTTGTCTAACTGGATTGGAGATACCTCTTGGCTCAACATGACTGCATATAGTCTCACTCCATCCTACGATCTGACTGGAGGGGCTAGTGCTGTGTCAACAAACACCAGCACTACTACATCTGCGACATGGGCTCACCCAACAAGCGGTACCACTCCTCCTTCGGGCGCCGTCCTTGTTAGCGTATCTGGATCTGTCGAAGGTTCCTATAGCAACATCACCGATGCTCTAGCTTCTCTTCCTGACGATACTTCGACTCAAATTGTTTTCATATATGCTGGTACCTACAATGAACAAGTTCCTTCAATTGACAGAGACGGTCCAGTCATGATCATTGGATATACTACCGGTAATCCCGGTGAGAGTTATGCTGACAACGAGGTGACAATCACTTTTTCCCGCGGACTCTCTGTGTCTCCTTTGCCGACTGGCCATTCTGATGCTGAAACGGCTACTCTTTCGACGGCATCAACCAAAATAGCGTTTTACAATCTCAACATCCTCAATACCGACAATCTTGATGGATTGGAGTCCTCTTATGTGACTTTGGCAGCATCTATTTATGGCGACCATATTGCCTTCTATGGTATGATTTGCGATCAACAACATTATTAATATGACTCTATGCTGACTATTATTCAACTAGGCGTCTATTTCCAAGGCTGGCAAGATACACTGCTGACTGGATCCAAGACCGGATACCAGTATTACGAGTCTTCATACATTGAGGGTGCCATTGATTTTATCTGGGGATACTCCAAAGCCTACTTCAAGGGCTGCACTATCGGAGCCAAGAGAGCAAAATCCGCAATTACAGCACAGAGTAGAGGGTCATCTTCGGCGATTGGAGGCTACATCTTTGATCAAACTCTTTTCACTGCTGCAGCTGATGCTACAGTTGATCTTACTGAGACTGTTTATCTAGGCCGGCCTTATTCCGAATATGCGCTGGTCGTTGTAAAGAACTCTTACATGACCGACATTATCAACCCGGTTGGCTGGAAAATCTGGTCAACTTCAGATCCACGCACTGATTATATCACATTTGCCGAATTCAATAACTCTGGACCAGGCAATTGGGAAAATAATGCCGATGCTCGTGAGACTTTTGGATATGCTACACTTCTGACCGAGGACGACTACTCCCTCGCAAGTGTAATGGATTCAACTGACTGGATTGATATGACCTACTGGGATTCAATTGATACTCCAACTTCAGTATCTGGAACCATAACAACAGCAACCCCGACTGCTACTTCGATCGCTTCCGCCACTGCGGCATATGACGGAACAACTCCACCCACTGGCGCCTATATTGTCTCGAAATCTAGTCTTGAAGCCAACACGACAACCTACGACACTATCCAGAGTGCTCTTGATGCTCTTCCAACCTCTTCCAAAGTTACCCCCACCGTGTTTATTTATCCAGGGACGTATGAGGAGCAGCTGATCATCAGCAAGTCCGGCTCCGTCATTTTCATGGGATACTCCGAGTCAACCTACGATTATTCCAGAAATGAGGTTACCATCCAGTACAACCATGGTATTGACACAGGCGCTGACGAGTCAAATTCTGATGGCGCCACTGTCTATACCACTGGTAATTACTTCAAGGTATGGAAAAATTGATTTACTCTGTAAGCTGGGACATACGTTGATTTTTGTGATAGGCAATCAACATCAATTTTGTGAACAACAATGGTACAGAACAAGATATTGCGACCCTAGGATTTGCCGTCAAGTCAAGCAAATATGCCAGTCTCTATGGTATTTCTTTTCCTCTCTGAGTAAGGTACATTATGCAGAAACTAACTTCAGATAGGCTGCCAGGTCAAAGGTAACCAGGATGCCTTGTTGATTAACGGCTATCTGTGGATGAGTAATGGGTATGTCGAGGGAAATATTGACATGATCTGGGGAAGTGGTGCCGGTTATTTCCTAAACACCACGATCTCTCCAAATGAGGATGGTATAAATCTCACAGCTGACAAACGAGCTTCAAGCAATACTGCTGGTGGCTTCGTCTTCGATCAGTGCATCATTGTTCCTTCGACTGGCACAGGAACCATGTCTCAGATCTCTCTGGGCAGACCATGGAACAGCTATGCTCGTGTTGCATATATCGACTCATACCTTGATTCATGCGTTGAGGCTACTGGATGGGAGGAATGGTCTAGCTCCAACCCGCTAACTTCTGGTGTTACATTTGCTGAATATGGAAATTATGGCTCTGGATCTAGCACTTCGGGCCGGGCTTCCTTTGCCACGCAGTTGAATGAAACGAGTGTCGCTCAATTTGAGCTTGCCAATTTCTTTAAAACCACATCTTGGATCGATTTTACCCACGTGGATGGAACGCCATTTGTTCCAGGTACAGCTACTATCTCGACAACCACCAGCTCGACTCCTACTTCAACAAATGCCTTTTCAACAGGTATCTTTTCATCTTCCACAGCTCTGCCTATCTTGACTTCAACCGATGCCGCTTCAACTGATATCTCTTCATTTGCCACATCTCTCTCTGTCTTGTCGTCAACCACGCTGGCCGATGTTATTGTTACCGAAACCATCTCTGCCATTGCCACAATTACTGCTTCTGATAAGACTTCCACTATCGAATCCACCCTGATTGTGACGCAGACGCCAAATTTGATTTCAGAAAGTATCACTGAGATCTTGACTACCACAACCACAGAAATTGTGTCTGCACAGGCAGTGACATCTACCGAGACGTCAACCTTGACTGTGGAAATTGACAGCACTATCACCCCATCTGCAGAAATTAAGACTTCATCTGATAAGTCTTCTACCACTACAATTCTAGTGACCAGAACTGGCAAAGGCAAGACCTCTACTGAGAAGAGCACCTTGACCGCAATTTCCACTATCACTGCAGCTCCATCAACTGTGACCAGCACAGAGACTGAGACAATAACCAGCATCAAGACAACCAGTAAGAAAGCCCAGAAAAAGGCCACTGTGACCGTGACCGTGACAGTTGAAGAACCGGAAACTATCACAAAAAAGGCTACTACCGAAGTGACTACATCTACTTCCACAAAGACAGCCCACAAAACCACCACGACAACTGTTAGCTGTGAGGCAGACTCCAAAAAGATCAGGCGTGATCTTCTGCCCCGCGCTATTGTTACATACTATACCACGGAAATCGATTACGTGACAGTGACCTCAACAACAACTCTCGCAGCTGCCACTGATTATATTACCGATATCATGACAAAGACAACCTCTCTCCAAGCCTCGACGACCACAGATACTATCACTTCCCTGATTACAAAGATCTCAAGCACCACAATCCCAGCTATTACAACAACTGTGATCGTCATAGACACGAAATCTATTGGCAAGACTACAACTCTCAAGGCATCGACTGTGACCACTACATTGTTAGCTGAGAAAACAAAAACCGTTACTATCCCAGGTGAAACTACCACAGCTTTGAGCGTCAAAACAAAAACTATCAAAAGCACACTCAGTGGTGATGTTTCGACTATCACCAAAACAAAGACGAAAACTGTCAAGAGCACTGTTACTCTTTCGGCCTCCGCTACCACTGTGACAAAGACTTCGACAGTGACAAAAGTGCCTTCAGTCACTATCACTGAGCAAAAAACTTCTACCTCCACCAAGGTCGTTAAAACTACTTCTACCAGCACCGCGACTGTGACCAAGACCAAAGGATGCAATTAAAATGTATATTGATGGAGTTGTGACATCGATGGCCATTTTCTTCGTCTTCTTTCACTTTCACTCCCACTTTTTTCCTTTTTATCCTCCTCTTTTCTTTTCAGCTCTCCTCTTTCACCCTATGTAATATAACAAATTTTATAATGTTTCCTTTATTTAATGCCATTCTCTCCAACATAAACTTGGACATACTACTAGGTGCATCAATTAATATTCACTATTTGCTATATCTAATGACACTGCCTTTGATGGGTTGGAAAAGCTCTTTATTCCAAATATCAGGGCTCCCAAGTAGACAACAAGTAGCAGCTGCCAGTGAAGAGGACCGAGTTTAGATAGAAAGAGACATGTCGAAATTTGTTGGTAGATTACTGTTAAGATGATTCCAAGACCTCGTGATCATTGAAGAAAGAGAAAACTTCCATGAGTAAGAGTTTCGTTAACGTAGGTATACGCATCATACTGACCAAATCACTTCCAGCCTAGGTAGCGGTTGAAATAGCCCGAAACGAATTCTTGGAATAGCTTTCTAGGTATAAACGGCATACCATGAGACTGACTCTGTATGCTCTGAAGATTAAGAAGTTTTATTAAAGCATGTGTAAACACATTATAAGTGGTATTGAAGTTTCTATCTACCAAGTTAGATACCTAGGTAGTCTCAAAAGTAAAAGTATATTTTTAAAAATAACCTCAACTTCCCGCCACAACGGCGAGTCCCTCGTATATCTTCCTCTTTACTGCGAGGAAGCTACCCGCACCACGCCCCAAGTTGCCTTGGTTGGTTGCTGATTGAGCCGAGGCTTCGATCTCAATCCTACCAGTCCCCGACTTGCGCACGGCAACACACTTATCAATGAGAAGTGTTCCCTCGCCCCGAAATTCTGCAGTGTGGCCGGCTGCTTGCATTATTTTGCGAAGATCTGCAAGTCTGAGATCGCCGACATGAAGGGGCCGAGTCACAGCTCTGGTTCCTGCAGCCATACTGGCGGGCAATGTGTCAAGAAGAGGAATGACATCGGATTTGTCGCCAGTTTTAACAACATTATCTATGATCGGCGTGACAGCAGATGAAGCGCTTTCATCTTGTATCTGCTTCATCTTCTTGCCTGCATCTTCGGCGTCCGTACCGTCAGTCTCATTAGTACCATCTGGGCCACGGAGCTGGGCGGTTAGGGCGACCACACCTAGGCTCCGGACGTGCTGCCACTTGAGACGCCGAACGAGGGAGTTGCTCAATTTGACCAGCCAGGCATTCGTATCGACGCTGGCGTCGATAAGCTCACCATTCACTGGAGTGAAAATGATGGCAGCCGCGTCTTCTGTAGAGGTGGCTAGGTGCTTCTTGCACGCCGCCGCTAACGCCGATGTCTCTTCCTCCATACCTCCGACTAGAATCAACTTCTGGGGTTGGATGAGAGGAATAAGCATCTCTAAGCTGCGCTTATCGTGCAATCCCATGAAATCAACAAAGGCAATACGAGCGTTGATTGTGATAGACTCCTTGGTATATACAGCCTTGGCAGGGCCTTCGAATACCTGGTCAACCGCTTCATCTTCCGAGGATACAGCAATATCGGCAGTGTCAGCAAGGCTGAGGTCATCGGCCACACTTGAATCCAGTCTTTGTCCATCCTGGGTTAATTGTTGGCGTTTTCGTCCGCTAGCGCCTCCTGATGACCGACCAGCTGGTCCAGTAGCCTCATCCCATCGTCGTTTTTGGCCAAGCTTTGTCTGTGCATCAGCGCGCCGTTGCTGCATATCGATCTCCTCCCGCTCCTCCGCTCTTAGGTACTCCTCTGGTCGTATGAACTCTCCATACTCATCGCCCTTCTTTCTCGGAGCCACATACGGGAACATCCTTTCGCGACCCTTTTTACCACGCACATCATAATCGTAGACATTCTTCCGCCGGAGAAGAATATTGACACCCAAATCTTCGTCGCTGAGAGCCAGTTTGTTGCGACTAGCGTGGGCAAGGGAAGTTGAGAAGTTGAGAATACGGCCTTGCTGCTCTGAATCTGAGTCCTCGGAGGAAGTTGAGCTGGATCCGTCGTCCAACGCATCAGCCGCGTTATCTAGGTGTTCTTGACCTCCCCGAACTTGGGAAGTGTCCTCGAGTTGGCGCTTGGTGGCAAGATATGTCTGATAAAGCAACTGTTCGCCTGGGTCTAGTGGTGCCCGCTGCACCTCTGTCCAGGTCAATTCTCGTCCACCGCTGTGGACTTGCTCAAGCAATTCCCCGTCTGAAGCAGTCTCCAATGCCACGCCATCTCTTCTTTCCTCATACCATTGCCAAAGGGTGTCTCCCAAGGTCGCACTGGTCGATAACTGATCTTGTCCATCGGGTGCCTTTTTGCGGAATGATTCCGTCAGCAACAACAAATTGTTGGGGCCTTCGGCGATTTGTCGTAATGACTCCTTCGCAAACCCCCAAGCCAGTGACGTGTCCGAAGCAAGAATGACTTTGGGCCCTTGGTCTGCTAGAATCTTTTCGAGTTGCCTTTTGCGCTCTACAGTTTTCAGATGCTTGAAGGTAAAGGGACCGACTCCTTTACTACCTTTCTCCAGTCCTTGGCCACCACCTCTCTGACCAGGTCCGCCATCCGCACCTTCAGCCGTTTCAAATTCACGAACAATATTCTCATCCATCCATTCGAGCATACTGCGGGCAAGACGCATAGTGGTGTTGACTTTTCTACCGGCCAAGTATAGACCTGCACCTTTGAGAACATCGTCCTTTTCACCAGTCGCTGCATCCCGCCAGGAGTGCTCTAAAGCGTATGCTAGCTCCAGAACACGGGCGCTGGTATCAGTGGGGATGAGAACGGTGCCCCCTTTCGCAAGGCTGCTTCTGATCATGTCGAGAAGGAGATCATCTCGCTTTTTCCGGCCACCAGAAATGGCAAACTTGTCACCTCCTGTCGTGCTACAGATCAAAGCAGAGGGTTTTCGCAATTGCTCAATGACCTCCGTTCCATTAGCACCGGAACCGCCAAACCACGCAGCTCCCGCTACAACGCTCTCACGTGCCTGGTTCCAGTCCATAGCATAAACAATTGATTCCATGCCATGCTGGATATGCCATATTGTTCCACCAACTGTATGTCCGGCGTTGTAAGCGGTTAAGGTGAGTCCGTTCAGAGGCGGCGAGAAGGGAGACGGAAGTGGTTGATGTGGCTGTGAGTATTTAAGGGGCTGAATGAGAGAAAAGAATCGGGAAATCTCCTCTGTAGTCGGTGGCTGAAGAAGAACACGTCCTGTGCTGCCAGCAGCTTCCGATGTTTCTCCTAAAGCGATCGCCGATGCTGTAGAGGATGCGCCGGGTTCTGAAACTGACGCCTTTGGCAGAAATGTAGCGGCCAGTGGTGCTGAGGCGTATAAGTCCTGGAGAGTGTTGCGACCAAGGGCAATAACGGGGCTTGTCGCATAGACGGGAATCTGAGTGAAGAGAGGATATGTTCTGCAGCAATGAACGTAGGCACCGATGTGCACGGGAGTCGCATGGGTCAATAAAATCAGTGAGAGAGTCGGAATATGCCTATTTTATAAAGTCAGCTCAAGTAGCGAAGAGAGACCGCAATCGCTTACTTTTCAAGCTCCACCAGATCACGGGTATCAAAGGTATCACTCCAGCCAACATCCACTAGAATCTTAATGCCCCCATCGAGCTCTAATATTGACTGTGATGCTCTGGATGAAGAGTACTGCGCGCCAAGCAGTGGTGTGAATGTGAACATGTTGATGTGCGTGCCATGAATGGCCGGCTTAGGTTGTGTAGCTTAGCTGGAGAAAGAGAACTAGCTAGTTATGCGCACTTTGTATGTTTAGTCATCATTCTGAATGACTAATCACAAGAACCTAAAATAGGTCACTAATCAACTATTTAAATATTTATTTACTTATGTACTGAGTGGCTATGCTTTCTTTTTCATAGCTTTCTCATGCCTTTCTCTCCCTAAAATCAGTAATTTGGAGTGAACTTTAGAACTTGTGAGATTGCAAAGGATATTTACATTACAGATGTGATTCTAGACTACCTGACTCCAGCGATTCTAAGTTTCTTATTTATCGGGAAAACACTCAGTATAAGGACAATTTAAACAACTAGTATCAAAATACCTAAAGGCTATCCATACTTCCATTCAGCTAACTTGAATCTCACTTTAGAATTATTAGATTCACTTTTGTCCTCCTTTTACTTCATCCCGCTCAGGGCCGCTCTGTCTATAAAAGTGAGGTGATCTTAAATCGAGAAGAACATCCATAGACTAGTACATCTAGACAGCTTCTGTTCCAATCCTCCTGTTATTTCCTAAGTCACAGCCATGAGAACAGGGTTCCTAAGCCGATATTAGTTTGAAACAATTTGATATTGATTCGATACTCCCAGGGTCCCAGAGCTGAGATCTGCTAGAGTAGAGCATTAGGTAGCTTCGCCTTTACTCTATTTGTCTGCATAGTCTAATCCTGAGGTGTCAGCTCCTAACCTGAGGATAATTTGATCATATTACTCGAAAACTCACCTTTCGTAATGCCGAGAACGGACGGCGAGAATTTGGATAATTTGGAATTCGACGGGGCAATTGCTTCTCGAGATCTTCGGGCAAGTGAGCGCCAGCCCACGACCTCATACGACGCACAGCTTCGGGTTCCGGTATGTGTTGCTGCAGCTTCTTTGGATCATCGCAGAGCTTTTTACATTTCTGGAAATATGAGGAGCTCTCATCGAGCTGCTGGGTCATCTTGTATAGTGACAATCTCTCCCGTTCTTTCTCTGTTTTACAAAGTGGCTTTTTGACTTTAGAATTCGTCTGTTAGCATTTGTATTATCATGAATGTAGCTGCTCTTAAGAGAATCAGTAGTAAACATGCACTATACTCACCATTAGTCCTAGTTCGCTTCTTCGCATTATCATTGCTTAAACCCGTAGCATTCTGGGGTTTAGGGACATCCACTACGGCTTCAGCAATGGCGTCAGCATAAAACTTCATATAAATCCAATCGAATTTGGGTCAAAGCAACGTTGACAGTATAAATTTGACAACATCAGCCAAAATGAATTGTACTAGATATGTGGATTGCATAGCGCCGCACGGAACTAGAACGTGAGAAAGTACGGACTTATTACTTACCATCAAGGGATCTGTTGTATGTAAGAATAGGTGCTGTTCCAAATTCTGATATTCTGTGGTGGCCCATAGGTGCTTGTGGACCGTTTTGAGCCGAACCAATTGGAAGGGCGCCATGGAGACCGGGGACATCATGTGGAATACAAGTTGGAGTAAGAAAAGGAGACTCAACTGAGGCCTTGCGAGAATCGCCTGGATCAACAGGATATGCCGACCAACTGATTTCATCCTCAGGACCTAGAGTTCCTTTCATATGCCTGAACATAGCGCGGGTTATCGGATGTCTCCTCGTCTGCTCATTGATAGCCAAAGACGGACGCTCGAGAGTGGGCCAAGTCCACTCCTCCTTATATTCAACTTTTGAAAGCGGTGCTCCGCATTTAGGCACGCCAATTGAATCTCCAAGTGGCGACTCCTTCGGCGCATCACACATACCTGGCACAGGGTGGTCCACATTGGCGACGTGATCTTTATACTCCCCTTGTCTGATTTCCGCCTTGAGCTTATCGACAGAACCTGACGACCAATCTAACAGCATCTGGCGCAAAGACCGGTACGCAAATTCATCGAGTTCAGCCTGATTCAGATTCTTCCACCCAGATTCCGGCCCTGGCTCAAATTTCCATTCCAGACCACCTAGCCCTATGCTCCCGTCATACCTCAGAACCTTGTCACCAGCATGTACCTCTGGGATCTGTGTAGTCCCATCATACATCACAATTAGGTCCTCAGAAAGATTTATCATCTCTTCTGGTAGTGGCACGTATGGGACAACCGTCCACCGCGGCGTCGGTGCGTCTCTTCCAAACGTGATAGTTGGCCATTCTTCCCGTTTAATCTTTGCTAGAATTCTTGGACGGGGAAACTCGACATAGGTTGGCTTAGAAGAGGGGCTTCTTAACACTGCCGCTGTTTGGGGAAGGATTTCGAGACCTCTGTGCACCAGCTTGAGCCTCGGTGGATTGATTGAAGCCTCACTGTCTGGAACTAGACCTGGAGGTGGCTGGGCTTGTTTGTCCAGAGCTGACACTTCGGCTTCCTGTGCTTTTGCCGGAACTTTGGCTTCCTGCACCTTAACCGGCTCTTTGGCTGGTACTTTAGCTGAAGCTTTGGCTTTCTTTACCTTGGTTGGTACCTTTGCTGGAGCCTTCGTCGGTACTTTAGCGGATCTTTTAGGTCTTACCATCCTTAGAGCCTTCGAATTTCGACTATTGTAAGCTTAGTATTGGATCTATGTACAGTTAGTGAACCTGTAGATATTTGCCATTCACATGAAGATATCATTTACTAACCTTATTGGACCTTGAAGGGCTTGCTACCTATATAGCACTCGGTGTAGTCGACTAGTGCGTTGCTGTGATCATAATTAAATGAAGCCTTATGCAGAATACCAGAGATCTTATAAAACCCCTGGAAGCGGTTCATGAATCCTTTGTAGACCCATTTGCCTAAAAATAACCGAATAAATCGAGACAAAGAGATTTGCAAAGCTCTTTCAAAATTCTTGATGTCCTTGGCTCGTTTCCTTTGTCAAAGTAATCCCCCACCCTGTAGACGTGAACTGTATGACCATTTTTATACAAACATTGGTATAGGATCAAACCATGGGTATTAGTATCCATGGTTGCTTCTTCAATTACTAAAAGAGTTGCAAACCCTAGAAATATTTGCGAGCAAGTGGAAAGATATTTCACTTTCAAAGTTATTCTATGGAGGTTTGGTATCAATTTCGATCCGCAACCTCGAGTTGACATGTAGTACGTGGGATTAAAAACAAAGAAAGTGAAGAATAACGATACCAATCATATTGAAAAAATGATGGTGTTTCTACAATACTTTCGGAAATACTCTTCCATTGTTTCTCAATCCCTAATGTGTTTAGAGTAGTCCTCAGACACCCATGGCTTTCTAGGCCCTGTATATTTCATTCAGTTTTTCACTAATTGTTAAAATCTGAGCCAGATAAAAAAGTATAAAATATTAAGAAATAAAAAATCTTCATCAATAACAATGAAAGCCGTTTTATGTCAGATATTCCAACTCCTCTTATATACGAGCTTGGCGAGATGTCTAGCTCACCGGTAGATCATCCCAGATAGCTGGGTCGTGGGCAGTCCTCACAGTTCTAACCCACTCACCAATATCATTAACAAAACGTCGAGCAATCCCAATCTTGATTCCTTCGCTAGTAAAAAAAGACGGGTTTTTGTCTTCATGAATCTGCTCCAAATCAAGTCCATTCGCCAGTGCAATTTCACAAGCATGGCGAAATTCAGCTTTAAGAACATCATTGGCGACATTAGTTTCTTGCCAGGCAGTATATTCTCGAACGGCGTCATCACGGGGCCCGAGAATAGTGAGTCGATTTGCATCTGCAGGTGTCGGTGAGGGCAACGGTGAGATGACAGGAATGACAGGGTGAGAATTGCCTGAAGCAAGAGAAGTCTGCAGGTCTTTTGTATTTTTCTTTAAATTTTGAAGATCTTCAACGACGATGTATGGAGATCTTGTTCCATTTCGGGCAGCTTCGTCTCGAAGTAAAGTGAGAATTGCTTGTGATTTCATGCCAACAGAGAAATAGGCGATGATTCGGTCCCGGTACTTGGAGATGTCACGCTGTCGATGGACTGGGAGGAGAATCGGCTTTTCGCCAGGATGATTATGTGTTGGTTGTTGGACAGAGAAGTCTAGACGATTGCCCTGTTCTTTCACTCTGAGAACTGCTCGGAATGGACAGTCACATCTTCCGGATGTTGTTTGACGGGTTCTTTTAACTCCTTCAACATGAACTTTTACTTGGCCACTCCGGGAGCAGTGTAGATACGAGCCCTTCTTATTCGATCGCTTGATAGTAATGGAATATCCTTGCCCTTTTGTAAAGTCGTTCAGCTGAGCTATGGCCTCGTCGCGAGGACAAAAGAAGGTCTGTTGAGGAGGGGGAAGTAGACCGAATGTCTCTTCCATGATGAAAAATTTAATAATAAGGTGGTCTGAGATGTTTTTGAATCAGGAGTGTCTGGAAGGGTCGGTAGTGTGAAAATCCTAGGGGTGGGTGAATACTAGATTTGTTGGGGCCCACAGTTCAAGTCACGTGCTTGTATTGAAAAGAATCGAACTAGCTCAATCATTTGAATTGGATCCTACGGACGAACGAAAAGTTGTTGTCGTTATTTTCTTCTTCTTAGTGTCTCGTCACGAAAGGTTATGTGAGCTCCGTTCATCCCAAGGGAGACACATGCCCACTTTATACTCCGTACAGTCACGGCAATTTTCTTGGAACGAGTGGATCTAATCAGTGTGCGGTAACTTGGAAGGGGTGTGAGGAATCAATCCAGGTATCTCGCATGTTCTATACTTCCAGTATTGGAACCAATTCAACTAGAGATGAAGGTGAGAACCCCGGAGGTTGGATAATCGTGGTATTTCCAGACTTCCTGTTAGACTACCTAGGTAGCATACACTATGGTCTAAATATCAAGCCTAAACCTACAGGCCATAGCTCGTGAGGGTCTTCACAGTACCTATTCCATCAAGTAAAAGTTGATGGAGTCTCGGATCCCCAACTGAGGTAAAGATTAATAGCATGCAAAAGAAAGCACACAAACCGAGGTCGATTTACGTAAATGTACAGCGGAGAGATGAATCTTGTTCATACATCGTATCAAGAATTAAAACAAATTCAGTATGAAAAATATGAGAAGAATCCTCCCAAGGTAATTATTTTACACAACGCGTACGAACTCCCAACATATGGAATGCTTACTGCCAGTATCGGGGTTCGTCGAAGACATGGTAGCGGTGTCCTCGCACACCTTCGCCACGGAAAAGGGCAGGGAATTGGCGGCCAACGGGGATCATTTCCTCGGGCATGCGCATCTCCTGCTCAGTGAGGACTGCAGGCTCGCCAACAACAAATTTACCAACCTAGAATGTTCGTTAGTCATTATTCAAAATACTTAGTAAAGGTTAAGGAGCATACCTGGATCTCAGTGTCGGTAATCGTGTCACGACTAATTCTAGCATAACCGGTACGGTGGATACCCTTGAATAGGATGTACTCGCACCATCTGTCCCAGTCGGTGGGATCGATATCACTCATTCCACTGACTTCGCTAACATAGGTGTTGTAGTTGCCCTCAAGTGGTTTGGTGACCAAGTAGCTCAACAAGATCAGCGGACGGGGAGACGAGCCCATCAATTGCGAAAGGTACTGGCTCTGTAGGCGGCGATCCTCGGGGTCTTCTTCCTGACCGGAGTGGAAGACGACGACGTCGACCATCTCCCCGTACATGTCAAGAGTGGCGTGAATAGCAGGAGCCAACTCGCCGACAGGCGAAGGCAGAAGATGGTGGGTTGAGTTGACGATGGGGAACTTGGAAAGGAGAGCAGAACCCCAGGTGTGCTTGTTAGGGCCGGGACCGAAATCGACGTAGTAACCCAAGTCCTCAGCAATGTATTGGGTAACGTCCTTGTTGCCCATGATGATACGTTGATTGTCCGACTCGAGGAAACCAATGACATCAAGCTCAAGCTCTCCAATGACATCACGCATACGGCGCTCTGCAGCCCACATGTTGTTGTCGAGACCGAAGTGAACAGTCCAGATACCAACAGTTGCAACCTTCTCCTCGGGATGGTGGGGCTTGAAGTCGTTAGTTGGGAAGCGCAGGTAAGCCACGGATACGGAGAGCAACTGAATCGCAGCAAGAACGTAGACGTAGTATGAGCGTTGTTTCTTGCTGTTGGGGTTGATAGGCTTCTTGCGAGATGTGCGCGAAGAGTTGGAGGTTGCCGCAGAGAACACACCAGCACCGATCATGAGAGTGGTGAGAATCATGAGCCAGTCAGTGTGCTCACGCACAAGAGGACCGCCAGGAACGAAGGCATAGGCCACGACCCAGACATGGAAGAGCAGAAGGAAGACGTAAATTACGAAGCCGACACCGAAAACGGATGCGGGAGAGTGGCGGACACCAGACTTGATCAAGACCGGAGCAACAGCCATGATGTAGAATGCAAAAGCAAGAGCTCCGTAATATCCGGTCCAGTGATGGTAGTAGGTAAGGAGGGCGGCACCAACGGAACCAAGGCCGTAGGCTGTCCAGCTTCCAGCCACCGTAGGGTAGAAGATACCAAACACGAGACCAGCACCCATGGCAAAGATTGTCACAGCACCGTGAGGTACTGCAATCGGTCCGCGAATAGGATATCCCTCCCAGACCCAAGCGATCATGGTGCTAGAGTCGGTCAGAAGAGAAACGATGGCAAAGAAGAGACCACCAAAACCAACGGCGGCCAAGAGGGACGAGCCCTTCTTGCCATTAGATGGGAGGTAATCGCCCCCACTGATGGTTGAGCCTTTTTGGGATCGAAGGACAGAGAAAATAGCGAGAGCAAGACCGATCTTGTTCCAGCCACCATTGTCACCGTGCATAATAGGCCACAGTGGGTTGTTGGTCGCGCATGCAAACTTGGAGACAGTAGATACAATCAAACCAATGCCCCATGCCATGATACGAGCCTCCAGACGTGGCGTGTTGGAACGTTCTGCAAAGAAGCTAGCCACCCAGGCGACGCATGTAACTGCCAAAGCAAATCCAGTAAGGAAGAGACGGTGAGCAGGGTCTTGGAGCTTGTAGGCCAGCAGGCCGACCAGTGAAGTTAGGTGAAGTAGTCGAAGGTTCTTCACAGCAGCATATCTCAATGAGGGAATGGCCAAGAAGAAGGGTGATGTACAGCAGACAATGGCAACTTCGTAGCCAGAGATGCCCATGTGCCACAGGGGGAAGTCTATTCGAGTTAGGACAATGATGTTCATATAAAACTCAGGAGATATCACTCACACCACACAAGAACGGGAAGACCGGTCACAATTGTCCAGAATACATACTATGACCTGAAGTTAGCGAAGGCAAATCGGTTCAATAATTGATATACATACCCCATTGTAGACGTCAGCAGCGGCATCGATGATCTCGGTCCAAAAGAAGGCCTCACCGAAGGTGTTGCTCACTGGCTTGTCCTTGCTAGAAATCTACGTGTTAACCTCCGGATATGCCGCGAGTAGATTATGGGATTGTACACACTTTTTCTCAAGAACAGAGTCCGCAGTTGTCTTCATTTGCCTGAGAGAAGCCAATTTTAGAAAAAAATCATGGAGCCCGCCAACTCTTATGCACTATACATTTTTGGTGGGTATCATTTTGGAAGCGACGGTACATACCCTCGACTGACTCCCTTGACATCGCGAACCACCAATTCAAGTCCTTCAAAGTCGAGCACGGTAATCGCATCAAAGCCAACATCGAACAGAACCAGGGACCACTCGAAGAAGGCATAGCGAGTGTAAGCTGGAAAGACAATCAGTTCATATAGTCTATTATGCAATTATACAACGACCTACCACCAGGAATCTTGTGCACCTTGTGCTGAATAAAGTAATAGATCAAAGGGACCAGTGTTCCGAAGAACAAGCTTGCCATGATTTTACGGTATTTGACAGCCCGGCGGTTGTTGGGGCTCAGCGCAAGACATCCCAGTGTCCACGGCAAAGTAGCCACAAGATAAGAGATCATAAAAATATCGTGCCAGTCATGGTCATCAGTGGAAGTGACATAAGTCCATCCACCACAGGTGAGAGTACGGAAGATACCCACACCTGCGACGAACTTCGGCAGACTTGAATTCGGACGCGCGGTGAGGATGTACCATAGGAAGACGAGAGCGAAACGAGATCCGGATGTAATGGCGATAAAAACCTGGAAGAATGATCGCTCGGGGTAGCGGTCACCAATTGTAGCGGATACGGAAGGGAACCATTCGTCAGGGTAGCCAAAGTACTCGTTCTGCACAATCTTATGGAAATGCAGAGCGACACCAACAACTAGAGCGCTGAAGAAGGCAGCATAGGCGAAGATTGTGTGAGTCCATGCAACCCATTTGCCATTGATCTGTGTTGCTTCATATTAATGCCGAGGTTCTTATCGATGTCTTACGATCAACTCACGGAGACTACAGCGTCACCATCCTTGAATCTGGGAGCCATGGCGGTGCAGAGGGAAAGGCTCCGCACCAGTATATAATAATGAAGAAATAAACAGAGGAAAGAGCGTCAAGAAAGAAAAAAGACAACGACAGTGTAGATATCAAGGGCCCCTGAGGATGGAAAGAGCAATATCCGTCTGTCTCCAAAGTGGCCTCTCTTTATGGTAATCTAACTGATTTGGGATTAGTGTCTGTGCACGGACCATATAATATACTAGAAGTTGGTGTTGTTTAATCATGAAGTTCACTTCACGTTATTCATAATTTTTCGTTTTATTACTTTCATAGTACGGTGTTAGAGACAATATCAGCCGACATGACGGTCATAAATAGAGCCACATGGCTCTTTGTAACTTCGAAAAAGCGTTTATTATCACTATATGATCTATATCTCACCTTCTTTACCTCTCTTCATTCTTACATCCATCAACTCGTCTTTCCATTATACCCACTTTCTCTCTTTCCAAACTACTATATCAGTCAGACATTTTCTGAAATTGTTCACCATAATCTCGGTAACTTCCACTCAGTCTCTTTCAACGAATCATTCCTGCAAAGCCGGCTTTTTTGCTCCTACGTTAACAGCCTAATGGAAAATTGCACGCTACATATGGGGGGCCTTTGCCCAAAAACCGAGCTACCTCAATTGCTTCAAGCATTTAGCCAGTATAATAGGATCGTGCGCTGTGAGCACCAACGTGGAAGCATGGCTTTATGGGGTATGCAAATGCCGCGGATACCGATAGAGCACGCTGTGAAACGAACAGCAAGGCTATCCCATAATGTACAGACTGAAAGTGAATCGGTAGAATTAATCGACTAATACTGCACCGTGGCAGTACGTAGAGCGCGATAAAGGAGGATGTCGGTGAGAGTACTCGCCTTCGTAGAGTGCCCAAGCCGCTCAAGTGCTACAAATGTGGGAGTGGCCATATCCTTCTGGATTGTCTCCATCATGATCGCTCCCAGTATTCTCGTCATGTGTTAGAGCGCAGATAACCATTTGCCTCTTCACCGTTACCACTCTTCTCCTCGTCCCAATCGTCTCAGTACTTGGGAAACAACAAACTCTTTAGCAGAATAGTTAGCGTTAGCTGTTTAGTCCCTTGTCATCACCCCTGCCAAATACACCAACAGTGCCAGGCATTACAATATTGTCTCGCTTCTCAGTCACTTCTCAATGCCCGCCCCTGGTACATCGGGGCCCAAGAAATGCCTTGAGTCTGTGATACCGTTCCTCAGGACAAAACCTACAACGAGTGTTCTCTAAATCGGCAAAACAAGAAATGTCGCTGGGAATGAAGGGCTGGAAGGCTCTCAAGGGCCTCGTGTGAGGCCAGTGTGGTCCTATGTTATCGATATTGCGAAACTGTAAGACTTGTTTTCTTGTGTACTTGGAGAAGGTTTTTATAAAGGCTTACGACTATTGATGATGGCCGATATTGTAATAATGAAATAATTAAGTAAAAAACTATCCATAGCATGGATAAAAACCAGCTTACTTGATGATTTGTTGCATTACGTACTATAATGAAGTTATAATACTGTATGCCTTGACTTCCAAGATTCCTGGACCACAATCGCGATCACTCAATCCATCACGTGATCGAATCCACTCTATACTGGATTAGCCGGATTTGGATTAGCGTCTCCAGTAATTTTTTAAGATATCATCAATTCATATCTTTACCACTTCGCTCCAACTCAGGGAGAACATCAGGAACAAATTTTACTTCTTTCTTTCTTTAAGTGAAAGATGTCATCTGCTACCGATAAGGCTCGGTTCTTTCTTGAGAAGTCAGTTCCTGAGCTGAAAGAGTATGAGAGCAAGAAGATTTTCACCAAGGTAAGTGCCGGTGATTGCAAAGAAGCAGAAGCTTGGACTAATATCCAACTCCAGGAAGAAATCACTGCCATCATTAAAAAACGATCCGATTTCGAGCACAAACTCAATGCGCGTGGCGCAAAGCCGGTGGACTTTGTTCGATATGTGGAATATGAGATCAATCTTGAGGCCCTGCGCAGAATGCGCGTGAAGAGAATGGGAATTCGTGCGCCAGGCCACAGTGGCACTCGTAGGATATTTTTCGTGTTAGAGAGAGCGACCCGCAGGTTCCAGGGCGACCTCAATCTATGGATCCAATACATTGAATATGCGCGAAAGCAAAAGTCCTACAAGAAGCTCTCGATGATCTTCACCGACGCCCTACGGTTACATCCGACCAGCGCAGAGCTATGGATTTATGCCGCAAAGTCTGTTCTGGATGACCAAGCCGATATGTCCCAGGCACGGAGTTATATGCAGAGAGGGTTGAGATTCTGCAAGAATCAACAAGAGCTCTGGTTGCAATATGCGAAATTGGAATTGATCTACATCACCAAGCTGGTTGCTCGCCAGCAGATATTGGGACTGACAGAGACCCGAGCCAAGGACAGCGATGAGGCATTGGACACCAATGCCGATATGATTGCGATACCGAAGATTACGGAGCAGGACATCAACCCAGATGGAAATGCAGAAGCGGCCGAGAATGCCATCGAGACCCTGAATTCCACCCCCGCCCTCAGCGGAGCTATCCCGATCGCTATCTTCGACGCCGCAATGAAAAACTTCCAGAATGACGATCGATTCGGAGCCGAGTTCTATGAGATGGCTTTGGAGTTTGAAAACTTGCCTTGTCTAGTCACAATCCTGGGCCACGTGGTAGACAACATGCAGACCCACCAAACTACCAGCTTCCGCACGCAAATTTGCTACATCAAATTCCCCACTGCTGGTGTGCGTGTCACATCACCAGAGTTCCCACGTGTCCTGGGAAGCTCATTTGCTCGCATCAAGGAGTGTCAGCCATTGAGTAACAGCCTTGCCAAAGAGTTGGTGAGCTGGTTGAAACCGCTGGCCGAAACAAAGGACTTGGATCCTTCGCTGAAAAAGGCCATCATTTCCACAGCGCGCAATGCGGAGCGAACATTGTCGGAGTAAGCATACCCAGGAATTATTCTGCACTTGCAAGGCGTTGGTCGGATATAAAATTCATTATGTTCTTATTATGTGAATCAATCATCGTATTTACTTCTCCGTCGATTGCTCTTTTTGCAGCTATATAATTTTCTAGCCTTGATTCTAGATTCATTTTGAGCCCGTTGTCTGCTGTCTGTTAGTATTGTAGCTTGACGTACCGTTTTTTCTGTGACGGGACTTTCATACTTCAGGTGCCGCCGCTTTTATACGAGCGCTTAGGTCATCATTGCCATCACGTGATATCAGTACGCTTATAGAATACTCACTGGTCGGATCAGGGCGCTCATAGTTCAACTCAGGGAGCAAAAGCAGCGAGGGGGTGAGCACTAATCTGGCATGGAAACGCCAAGAACTGGCATAGAAAAAACGGTACTAGATGGATATAGTAGTAACAAATTCTCCCCCGGGTATTACTCCATTCCCTGAGATTTCCAGCAATTGATGGAGCTTTTTAAAACACAAGTCCACATTGGTAGACTGAACTCTAGTCTCATCCGACTGTATAATCAAGGACTGGGAACGGTCGGCGGTATACCGAGAGGCCAGTATTTAAGAATGGAGTAGACCAGGAACCAACGAGAACAGCGAGGTGAATGATATTTTCAAAGTGGCCTTTGAATTGACCTTGTGACCAGGTCAGTGATCCATAAGCACAGCAACCGGTGAATCGGATTTGTACCGACTTATTCACGTTTTGACTTCCGGGGCCACTTGAACGGCTGAATGAAAGGGCAAAGGTGACGGGGAATCGTTTTGAAGTTTAGCTTCCGCAGCCATTTTCTCGCTAGTTCGATTTCAGAGTCACTTGACTCTTGTGAGGATGCAAACTGGCGTAAAAGAGGCGTTCTAGTCCACCATCGAACCATTTTATGAAAAGAGTTGTACACCAAGTGGACCTGGAGCTGGACTCGTGGTATTGTACAGAGTACTCGCGTACCTGTATTGAAAACAAAGTACCAAGAGGAGAATGGAAAAGGAAAGAATGAAAATTCCAACTTTCTTGAGTCTTCAGTGTTTGACCCTGAAATATACTGTGAGAGTTGATGAGACTAAGATATCCATGATTGGTGGGATCTGCCGCTTAATAAAGTACTTAATTCTAACATGCAAACTAGTGATAGTGATAGTGGATTTTATAATATCATAATGAAGTAGGATGATCCTATTATTTACCACTCCTTAGTTCTTACTTAATTCTTGATACTATCCCCAATTCAGTCTCTTCTCCTTCCTCTCCACTTCTAATACCATACTAGTATACTTACTACTATTACCCTCCCGTCGGCCAAATCTGCCCGAAACCGTTTACCGCCTCATTCAACTTCACGCCCCACCTGAGCTTCTTATTGCAAAAGGAAAATTCCCTCTTCCCCTTATACCTTCTATATATCCTCCCCGTAAATGAAACGACCTCCTCCTAGTCTACATGACGACCAGTCCCCCCGATGAAGCTCTTCACTTCCGCGGAAAGACTTTGACTCCGGAAAGCCCCCGCCCATTGCATATCTCCGAGCCATCAAATATCCCAGTCCTGGAGAACCAAATGGACCCCGTCTTTAACGATACTTCAACTTATACGAAATCGGATTACACTCATTACAACAATGTACGGGATGGATGGTCGAGAACCGAGGGCGAAGAGCAGGGGCTATATCGGGACTCGGGTAGTTTGCATGGCGCCAAAGTTCCTATGAATGATATGGCTGCTTTGACGCCAGGATTCCATCCTAACCCCTCGGGACCTTACTATCCTGCAAATGTGAACACGAAAGCTACTTTTCAAGATCCTTCTCCTACCCATACGGCTCCGGCTGTTCCGTTCACTCAAGGCTGCGGCGCTATGAATGAGATAGACAATGCTGGAAGTTCCGCCCATCTCGATGTGAAGGAAAATCTGAGACCAAGTGCGACAGGAGCTACCCTCCAAGCCTTATTGGATAACTTCTCCCAATCCTCGTCCGCAGCGCCTAACGGTGCAGCCCCCCATATAGAAGACTCGTCCATCCCGCAAGCACCCACGGGCGAGTCGCAATCCCAAACCCTTCCCGCCCGCCCACCGCTACACGATCCCGCTCTCCAGCCCACTTACCCCTCCCAAAATGATGTGTCTTATCATCAGTATCCTTCCGCCCCATCTACTGCCTCTTCAGCCTATGAAATCCATTCCAGTAACCCTGCTCTCCAACCCTATCAGCCATTCACACCTACAGCAGGCGCGCCGGGCACTTCGCCTGCAGCGCCGCCAGCTGCTAGCTCCAACCAACCCCAATCCTCGGGTGGTGACTCGCAAATGCCCCAGGAGGCCCCTACACAGGCTAAAAAAGGCCGTGCCGAAGCAATTCTAGGACGCTCGACCAAACTCTCGGATGACGATGCGCCTTGGGGCCCTGAAGTTCAGAAGAAATATGACGAATTTTTGCATGATGAGAGAGTTTATGTGACAGAGGGCCTTTGGGATCGATTTCCGAATGGCTCCAGGCTTTTTGTTGGTGGGTAACTTTTAAATCCTCTTCTACAGTCGAGGGGGCTAACTTGTCATAGGCAATTTACCCACGGAACGAGTCACAAAGCGAGACATGTTCCATCGCTTTCACAGATTTGGCAAACTTGCTCAAATTTCTATCAAGCAAGCTTACGGCTTCATACAGTTCCTGGAGGCAGGTTCCTGCCATGCTGCCCTCCAAGCTGAGCAGGGGGCGTTGGTGCGCGGCAGAAAAGTACACCTAGAGATATCAAAGCCACAGCGATCCACCAAACCTGGGCCTACAGAGACGGCTCGCGCACCTCCCTCTCGTCGCTCTCGCTCGCCCGAATTCAGTCGTTCTTCTGGACCATCCCGAGCGCCTGCACGGACATCAGGAGATCGGTTTGATCGGTCTTACGAGCCAAGTCGCCTGCCATTCAGTGACTACCGTGACGAACCCTCGCACCGCCGAAGAGACGATTACAGGCCACCACGCTCTCCACGTTCGCCTTCTCCACGGCCCTTTCGAGGCCGGGACGGTTATCGATCTCGGGATAGAACCCCAGATCGGTTTGAGCGTCGTGAACGACGACGATCCCGGTCGCGGTCGAGGTCTCGCTCCCCATACAGTCGAGACCGTCGATATCGTAGCCATAGTCCCAGACCACGTGGGATATACGAAGGGGAGGCGGATCTTCCTGTACCTCGACGCTCTCCGCGAGATGTTCCGGAAGTCCAAGTCCTCGTCCTTGAAGAGATCGATCGGTGAGTTCCCAATCTTCGTATATTACGCACAGTATTATTGACAGCGTCCCAGCAATTTCATCCTCCATGTGGAAAACGCCTTTCGTAACCGTGGCCTGAGGGTCGACGTCCTAGTGCTTGGTCCTCGAATTCCTCTTGGCGCGGCGGTCCATCGTCAGTTTGTAGAAGGTGTTCTTGCAGTTGTTCGACTGTCTAGATCCAACCAATTTTCCCGAAAAATTCCTCTACAGATATTTGATCGGAGCGCGGGATCTGGCAATATTCATTTTAGCGGTACGTTACCTTCCCTCTTCAATGGATTGCCCTTACTCATTTCTGTGTTAGACTACCCAGAGGTTGACGCCAACATCGCTGCTGAAGTTATGTTCCATCAAGCCCAGTCGATGATACAGCGTAGTGCACCCGCATCATACGTCCCAAACCCAGCTTTCCCAGTGCCCATCCCTGTGGTCCACCCAACGCTGGCCACTCTCACCCAACCCCCCAATATGGCAAACCTGATCAGCTCTCTGGACGGTCCCGGCCTCCAGTCTCTCCTATCTGCTCTCCAGCGTCAAGCTCCTCTCTCCCAACCTGTATCCGCAGTCCAGTCACCTTTTGCTTCTCCTAATCCTCCCCCGCCCGCTAATCTGGCATCTCTATTAACAAATGCGACACGCCCTCCTCATCTTCCAATGGCCCATACCCAGCACCTCCCTCCTCCTCCTCCCCCTCCCCCCTTCAATCTCCAGCCCTCGGGTCCCCCCGTTATAAATGACCCTCATCTGCTATCACTGCTAGCGAAGGGCATGGCTAGCCAGCAACCACAAAGCCAAGCCCCAATTGGCACCAACGTGCAAAACCTGATGAGTCAATTGTCCAAATGGAAACAATGACTTCACAAAACCCTCTCGTGATCAAGTCTCGGGTTCGGTCACAAGTTTCTTATTATTTTTATATCTTTTTTCCCTCATATCTACTTCATATTTGCTTCCTCACTTGGTCTGGAGTTTATCATCATTGGTTCTATGGGGGTAGATTTATGTCTTTATTCTTTCATCTTTCCACATGCTGGACTATAGTCAGCGAACTACAACATTCGGCGTTTGTTTGGTTTATTGGACAAGAAGGTTCTAGATACTTGGTTGTTTCGTTGGTGTCTAGGTTGGAGTCGGATTTCTTGTTTGACTTGGGTCTTTATCCTTGACTGTGGATACTTTTTTGCTTCTAGCTTTTCATTGGGAAGTTGCATATATTATTTTACCTACTCCTTTCCAAAATTTCCGAGGTTTGGAGTATGGCTTTCCCCTGGATTCTCCCATGTAACACTTCTATTCCCATATTCTATGTTCAACTGCCTACTTAGGGCTTCTAACGGTTGCAAATTGGACAGCCCAAGAGCATCCATACACAAGTCTTTAAGACCACAGAAACTTGGAAACTCATGGACATAGCCACGAGAGTCCCTAGGCAGGTTATGGTGCTAACTGTGTACATATTCAAAGTTATTCAAGGCTACCTAGGTGAATATATAGAAAAATAGATCTACCACTAGTCGGAAACAGAAGAGTGGAATATCGTTTTGTCAGAGTGGGATATATGATACATAATCTACAAAGAAAAGCCCTGGAGAGCTCGCAGTTCAAGACAAGAACTGCAACTAAGTCGGCCTCCAGCCCTCAGTCTTCTGTTTCTCAATCGTAGCGGCATCTTCCTTCTTGATCCGCTCAATTGTCATGTCCCGGTTGTGTTCCATCACACGCTTTTCCTTGAAGTATTTCACCTATGAACGGCGATGTCAGTCTCGGTAAAATGAACAGAAAAAGCAAGATAATTGCCCCGGCCAATAGAAACTCCAAAAATTGAGTACATACCCAAGTTGATGAGCAAGCTGCCTCGAACTCTTCGACCTCCTTCGCGCATTTCTTCCGAACAATTTTGTCATCTTTGATTCCGTCCAGAATATCGTTCCGGTCCAAGCAGGCGAAGAAGTGATCTCGTCCTTCCCAGCAACGCGCGCGACTTGTTCGGTCCGGGGCAATGCGGCCGCCATCAGAGGCTTTCTTGCTGTCGTCGGAAGACCAGGGTAACCAACCCATATCGGAGAGATTTTTTTTGTGTGACTTTCGTGGTAAGGAGGTATAGATTTGCGAAGTCTGTAGTGGTTTGAATTGCGGGAGAAAGAGCTTGGTCGCAGGTTCCTGGAATCTTCAAAGTGGATGATGCGGCGTGTGTCGTTCCCGCTCGACCGCCAAGACTGTTGAGTTGATCACTCGGCCTTACCAGTCTATCCTCACTACCAACCCACCTTTCTCCTTTTTACAAGCCCTATTTAATATCCTTTCAAACTATATTAGTCTGACGCTTAATAAAACCTCCCGCTGGAAGTCCTTTCACCCCTATTCCTTCTCGCAGTCGCATGATCCATTCACCCGCTCATCTCTCGTCCTGTCTCGAGCTTCGCTCAATTGCACGCTTTATAAAGATTAATCGCAAAGGGGAATCTCCCTTCCTTTCTAGTTGATGCCCCCGCGTCAACGTGTTCCAGCGGGGTCGCGAACCGACCTCCCGCCATTGAAAATAATCCGCAAGATCCTCTTACTCCAGGTTGCCTATTATGTTTGCGCGATTATACTCATCCTATTCACGACGGTCGTATATGGTTCCCCGTTCTCACTCGATCTCGTATTTGGCTGGGACTATTTGAGAGGAGATACGACTGTCGGTTGGATGCTTGGTCTGGTTTGGTTGTTGAATTGCTTTATTAGGTGAGTTAATGACCAGCAACGCTTAGACTAAGACATAATACCTGACTTCTGTCTACTGCAGCGTAATCTTTCTTCTTCTTTTTGTGTCGCGCTCCAAGCTGGTCCCGGACTTTGCTCTCACAATCCACTTCCTACACCTCATAATTACAATCCTTTATACCCACTCCCTCCCAGCCAACCTCCTCTGGTGGAGTCTTCAGTTCACAAGCGCTGGCATGATGACCTTTGGTGGAATGTGGGCTTGCCAGCACCGGGAACTAAAGCCGATAAGCTTCGGCGGCTGGGGAAACAATACAGCAGCCTCCTCATCCCAACAACCCGCCGCAGATGGACAGCAAGAGTCTAGTTTCGGTCGTGGCCGAGGCCGAGAGCGCAGTCTGCAGAGCGTTGCAGAATATGAAATGGATGATATGAAAGCAACTGGTGACCACGCTGTGTAAATGCCCTTGAACTGCTTTGCGGTATTATACATTCTTTTTGATACTGCGGTTCCTGCTGAGCTATGAATTTGTGGGTCATTTCCTTAGTTTTTTTTTTCTTTTCTATTCTCCTTGCATGGGCTATTATATGGGCCGGGGGTGTTTTTTGTATACTCTTCTAATTATTGCATCTATATAGATGGCGTCTCAGGATGATGAGAGGATCATTCTTCCATTTGTTAAATACTGCCTTTATCATAATGCCTACGAAATTCGAAATCGCTAGGTCATAACATACACTACGAAACAAGTTTAATCGAGGGGCCATGCTTCATTATGCTCGAAATCTTTCTCTCATCTTCGGAATGATGATATGTTCCGTATGAACCTGTTTTTCATCAACCTAAACAGCCCTGTCCCAGTCAATCTTGGGAGTCCAATTATGCCCTTCCTCGTAATACAACCTATCTGTCGATCATCTACGTTGAAAAGACAGGGTTCACATGTTGCACTATATACACTGGAGTAGGGAATGGGTCGTCCTAGATTCTTATTATATACGTTGTGCAAGGTGGTGTGAAATGTGTTAGATTTATCTAGCTACTCGAGTTACTAATATAGTGATTCCCCCGTGACTCGCGGATTTGCTTGTTTCGTTCTAGGCTGCGGTATTGTGGGATTGCAATATCCATGTTTCGACACTATCGACCTAGGCAAGTATGATATCGGCCCTTTGACTGTCAAGTGTAGCATCTACAAGATCCGCAAAACAAGATTCTTCATTGAGATTCGTCTATTGTCACGACCATGGATAGATATTCTTTGCTTGTAATTCTCAAAAAATAGAATTGGCCATTCGAAGTTGCAAAAAGCCTCATCGCTCATAGTCGATATCAAGTTTAATGAAGCAAAAAGTAGAAACATACGATCTACCGGCCCTAACTATTTGCCCACTAGGGTATTTATCTAGTTCGTTAATTTCTTAGATCTGTAGAGGATTACAAAATGACCTAGGGGGTATTGAACCGACAGCCTATACAGACAAGGCAGTTCGTTTTGCGTTGGGCAAAAGTATTTCGCCTAGGGGTTCAGCCAGTAATAAACACTCCGTAGTTAAAATACTATATATTAATGTTTGGTCTGGAATCAAATCGATCAGATGAACTCTCATGAAGGAGTCACATGGTTATATAACATCGGTATGTTGACAGTATCTTTGAAAATTGGAATTGAAATACCTAGAAAATAGATATTTATAGGCTAAATCTATACCTAGGTAGCCTAATCTAGTATCTTGAGCTTTCTTTCGTCATCTTTCGAAGTTGGATCTGATGAAGCTTCACTCCAAAGCAAAGCTCCAATGCAGCTCCGTACTCTATTAAATACACAGTGAATTGGCAGATTCCAGAGCTATTATCACTTCTGCTTATACCTGCAATCCCTCAAATGCTTATATTCAATTTTATTATGGCCGGCATCAAATTTCCCGATTAAGCGCCGGTCTTTAAGGCCCAATTAGGAAACCGGCAAGTATCATCTGGATCCTTAGGCTGGTGGTCTCAATTTTAGCATACAACCCGCTTCTTGGAATGCGGAAATAGCTTAATACTCATCTTTGTCGATGATATCAGCGGCAAAGAGTCTGTGTTGCATGACTTGTATGCTCACGCCTTCCAATGACAGCTTAGATCTAAGCGGGGTGGAGTGGGGTTTCCATAGATAAAGACATAAAAACCACCATTCTTATTCTTACTCGGTAAATATTCAAATTTTCAATTTTCCCTTGTTCAATTTAGAAGCCTCAATACATCATATTCAATCTCACTATGTCGACATCCACAATGACAACAACCCAACCCGAGAGCTCTGTTCTTTTGGCCGGCGAAGAAGACCTTCAGTCCGCTGTCAATGATACCAATTTCCAGTCCCTTGCCCGTGGCAGCCGGGATGGAACTCTGAAACTGCGTGGAATCCCCACCTTCTCCGACCCTCACGAGAAGCGAAAGTGGATGAAAGAGCATATGGCCGCTGCTTTTCGTTACTTCGGAAAGATGGGCTATGCGGAGGGCGTTTCTGGACATATTTCCATGCGAGGTATGTTGAAACCTCGATAGTGATTCAATTCAATCAAGACTAATGAAATAAAAGACCCTGTATTGGAGGATCACTTCTGGATGAACCCCTTTGCGAAGCACTTCTCCTCTATCAAAGCCTCGGATCTTGTCCTTGTTGACCACGAAGGATTTGTTACAGAAGGTGGTGCCCAGCTGCCAATCAATGAGGCTGGCTTCATGATCCATAGTGAGATTCACAAGGCCCGCCCTGACGTGATAGCCGCGGCTCACACACACGGTGTCTACGGCAAGACATGGAGTGTATTTGGCAAGCCCATTGAGATGCTGACTCAAGGTATGGCTGCCGATATTGAAAATTATTTTACAAATGCTGATTAGCTTGAATTCTAGATGCATGCAACTTCTATGGTCGTATTGGTGTATATGACGATCATGCCGGCATTGCGTTGTCTCAGGATGAAGGGAAACACATTGCGGCGGCCTTGGGCAAGGATAATATTGCTTGCATCTTGCAGAACCACGGGTGAGTAGCTGAACTCCCCCTTCCAATTGAGGGTCCAAGCTTAACAGATCGTCTTTATAGCCTCCTCACTGTTGGCCGAACAGTAGATGAAGCCGCCATCCTCTACTCCATGCTAGATAACTCTTGCCACTCCCAGCTTCTCGCTGAAGCAGCTGCAGCAAATGGTGTTCCTAAGAAAATCATCAGCGATGAAGTAGCTCAGTATACTGCTCAGTTTGCGCAAAACCCGGTATGTCACCGCGTCTTGTCCCTTAAGGTTGAGATTCATACTAATTTATGCAGCACAATTTTTATACTGAGTTCCAATCTGAATACGAGCTGATTGTCGAGGAGACAAATGGAAGGGTTCTTTTGTAAAGAATTTCCAGCATCATTTCGTCAATCTTAATAGTACCTACTACATAGCCTGGAGGATGAAATTAGGCAGATTAGAAATTTCTGGAGCTTTCAATGTTGCAAGAAAATTCATACTGTTTTATCGTGAAATAAACGAGATCTCTGTCAGCGATTTCCATTTTAATCTCTAGAATTTTATAGGATCAGCTTCAAAGGATTGTGTAATGCTCATCAATTTACATACTTCATGGCTTCAGGGGTCCAGGTGAGGTCCAATGTCCATCCATCCCATCCTGGAAAAGTTCCCCATAGCATTGGAACCTATATATACATAGAAAGGTAACCCACTCAATCCATTCAACCCTATTTTGAGTCCTCATAGCTTGCTGCTATTGAGTTGCTTCGATTGCGTCGAATAATCTCCGTTGGTGGATCTTCCCTCTCTCTCATGCTGCTTGTATACCTCATTAAATGTAGCCTCAACATCATGTTCCGACAACCACTCGGTACTCGCTCGATCCTTCACTCTAGCACGAAATGCGATATCCGCCTCTTCGGCAGATGCATATGTAGGGCCTTCGCTTTCAATCTGGTCATGCACAATATTTACCAATCGATTGGCGTGGGGCCGTCTAGTCCTGTTGTAGAGTTCCAAGGCGTTTTCAATCGGATCAGTAGCTTTTGGAACTCCTGATGACGGGTTGAATGCACCCTTGAAAGCGAGACCAAGGGCGAATGCATCATCCAGTGCCAATGATCCTCCAGCCGCGGCATAGCCTCCATGCGCATGGGCTGCATCTCCAACGAGGGTCACCCGTGAATTAAAGACCCAAGTTGGGAGAGCAGCTCCAGCGAAATTTGGGTAAAGATTCGTATAGGGAGTTAGCTCGGTTAGGGCCTTGACGGTAGGGTTCCAGTTCTAGAAATTTTAGTAAATGATTTATGATTCAAAAAGATGAATACGTATTCGGTACCTTGTATCGTTCCCTTAGAAATTCTACATTTCCAGGCTGATCCCATGAAATAGTTCGCTCGATTTCTTCCACTGGGCGTGGATCACGATATCCACCGACAGTAGTATACTGGCCCTTGCCTGGTCTTGTTAGAAATTGCTGAATATCAGGGACAGTGAAAATGGAGTTGTATAAATACCTAGTCGAGATGCAAAGAAGTTATCTTGTGGACCCAACTGTGAATGGTTAGCAAATGATTTCAATGTCAAGTTCGGTCGTTGATCCAAACCCAGTGCATAGAATCTGCAGGCAGATTAGGGATCTTCCCCTCTACCAGCGACGTATCAAAAGTAGATCTCATTAAGACCTTGCCACTGAAAATCAGCTTGTAGTCTGGGTTGAAGGACTGTCGAACTTTCTGGGTTTGACATTAGCTTTGCGCTAAAGCGACGCAGTATCCCAAAGCTGTGACTAACCGATCTGATCCCATCGGCTCCAATCAAAACATCACCTTGAGCGCTAGTTCCATCTTCGAAAAATACAGAAACTCCATTCTTACTAGCTTCTGCACGAACTAGCCTCTTGCCTAGGTGGATTGACTCTCTGGGGACATGTTCCAGGAGAGCAGCATGCAAGTGAGCTCGGTGGAATCGAGTGGTGTGATGGTCTCCGCCTAAAATATTATTAGTGCTTTGCTACGTTAAAATGTCCTCAAATGATGGCACTGACGATCAACTTTGTTATGAGTATCCACAGAAAGGACTTGATTGGTCTTCCAATGCCTTGAGACAAGAAGTCAGCACTTAGACAATACGAAGAATATATATGATTAGCTCTGGAGAATAATAGCCTTACCGGAAGATCTGGGGAATACCACTTGGGCCTCTATAGCCGACCTCACTATCGAGAGAGTTGTGAACTCCAAGTTTTTCTAATGTGCGCAGGCCCTGTTGCGGCCTTCGTTAGTTTCTATTCCACAAAGCAGACAGTTGCACCCCTACATTGGGACTAAGAGCAATGCTTGCTCCGATCTCCAAGAGCTCAGGAGCCTGTTCATATAGCTGGATGTCCAAGTTCTGCAAGGAAGAAATCCTCGCAAGAGAGATAGCTGTTGCTAAGCCAGCAATTCCGGCACCTGCGATTATGATCCGAATGCTCTTCTGTTCTTCGGACATTTTGCAAGTATGAACGGTATAAACTTTCAAATATTAATTGATACGACGAATATTGAGAAAATATCAACAGTAACTTCCCTTATCTGGGCGCTTTTATACTTAAGTACATACTTACCCCCCAATGATAAAGCACTAAACGGCCAGCACGTCAACAGTACAGCTTTGACGCAAACCCCGGCCCGCAATGGCGATATTATATGTATTATGACAACAATTATGAAGTGAAAACTATCAATTATAGATTAAAAAGGAGTAAAACAGGCGATAATAGCTACTTATATGTTCAGACGGGCAAGGCTGTGTATTCTCCATACTTATGGGGGACCTACTCCAATAACCCTGACAACCCCAACAACTCCAACTTCAAGTCACAATTAGCCCTATCGCAGGCTTCAGATAAGAGCAATCGGACGACAAGTATAGATAGGGGATGGCATATAGATAAGTCTTTGTGTAACTACCAAGTCACTATTAAATAGAACGAGATGATGCGGGGGTGCTTCCCCGAACATCTCATCCCCTCAATCAACTGTATAAGCAGATAACAACAGCACCAGTAACATAAGTCTATAGAGGCCAACTGTAATTATGAATAAATCATGGGAAGAAGTCGCTTCCAACAAAAGGGATCGCATCAATGAATCTATTTCCGAATGGACGATTCATAATCTACCAATCGAAAATTGTGTCCTGGATTTCCCCGCCAAATCAGAAATCCTTTCAACCCAAGAGCTTGATATCACCGAGTCTAGCGCATTAGATTTAGTGAATTGGCTAGCTAATGGTAAGCTGAAGGCTATTGATGTGACACTTGCTTTTTGTAAGAGGACAGCGATAGCCCATCAGTTGGTAGGTACCTTTGTCATGAATATTAGCAACTTGATGGATTAATCAAAACATTTAAGGTCAACTGCGTATTAGAATTCTTCCCAGAAACTGCTCTTGCCCAGGCTAGAGAGCTTGATGTCTACTTTGAGAAACACAAGAAGCCCGTGGGACCTCTTCATGGACTACCAATCTCCCTAAAGGACCAGCTACGTGTGAAGGTATGAAGCTGCCATATGTGATTGAACGCTCGGATACCAACATACATTCTATCAGGACCTTGAGACCTCTATGGGTTACGTCTCGTGGCTGGGAATATGCGAGAAGACTGAATCCGTCATGGTGACCCTCTTACGCGAAGCAGGGGCTGTCTTCTACATCAAGACTAGTGTTCCACAGACATTGATGGTCGGCGAGACTGTCAACAATGTCATCGGAAGGACAGTCAATCCACGTAACAAGCACTGGTCATGCGGTGGAAGTTCAGGTGGTGAGGGAGCTATCATTGCTCTTCGAGGCTCAGTCATTGGCGTCGGAACTGACATCGGCATGTATCTCAGATCAACATCGACAATTCATGGCTAAAACTGAAGCTAACTTCTTACAGGTGGCTCTATTCGTATACCATCCGCATACAACTTTTTGTATGGTATACGGCCAAGTCATGGCCGAATGCCATATGCCAACATGGCCAATAGCATGGAAGGACAGGAAACAGTTCATAGCGTTGTTGGGCCAATAGCACATTCTGCAGCTGGTCAGTAGACTCAAGATTTTGGGGATTGTGCGGTTAATGCTGACGAATCTAGATCTGAGATTATTTCTGACTTCCGTTCTGCAACAGGAACCATGGAAGTATGATTCTAAAGTGGTTCCTATGACTTGGAGAACTGCCGAGGAAGATGCTGTCAAGTTGAAGATACAGGCAGGTAGGCTGAACCTGGGATTTTACTCTTCTGATGGGGTGGTGAGTTATCCGAATCCTTGACGAATCACTCAAAGTACCAATCATCTCAACCAGGTCTTGCCTCATCCACCGATTCTAAGAGGAGTAGAGACTGTTGTTTCTGCTCTGAAACAGAAAGGACATACTCTTCTTCCGTGGAAGCCATACAAGCATGAATTCTCCAATGATCTTATTAACAAGGTCTTTTCGGCAGATGGGGGTGCTGTAAGTGCAGCATTTCCCCCCGGATACGTAACGTCTCAATTAACCTCTTTCTATAGGATATTTTCAAAGACGTCAATGCCTCGGGAGAGCCTCATATCCCTAACATCCAAGTTTTCATCAACACCGAAAAAAAGATCGATGTGAACCAGCTCTGGGACATTAACCTCCAGAAATGGAACTATCAGAATGAGTATCTGTGGAGATGGCGAGAGTTCGAAAACCAGCAGGGCAAGGAGTTGGATGCCATAATTGCACCCATTACTACCACGGCGGCCATCCGACATGATCAGTCCCGATACTATGGATATTCCTCTGTGATTAACCTACTTGACTTTACCAGTGTTGTTGTTCCTGTCGCATTTGCGCATAAGTATGTCGATCTGAAGATCGATGACTATAAGCCGCTGAGTCCCATCGATGAGGCTGTTCAGGCTGAGTATGACCCTGAAGCATATCACGGTGCTCCGATTGCAGTACAAATAATTGGGCGCAGACTGAGCGAAGAGAAGACTCTGGCTATCGCAGAGGAAGTTGGTAGATTGCTTGGTAATGTTTAGTCACATAATCACATAAAAGACCTGACCCTCTTGACCATTCTTCTCTCCCTTCTCCATCCATTTCCTCTACTCTACGCTCATCAAATATTCAAAATCTGACACACGTTCCTTGAGTCCTGAAATCTTCACCGCGTGATGGTGGTATTTCTGCCTTTCCGGATCCTCTCTAAGTCCGGGTCTGTAGTCAGATGGTTTTATTTTAAATAGTGTGAAATTAAGCAACACACCGATTCCAAAGTAAGAAAAGCCTAGAACCCTAAAGCATCTGCAGATACAATATGTGGCCCGTCGGAATGCCCACACATATATTTTGAACCGTATAATATTTACTTTTTGGCCACCACTTGACTTCCCACAATTTTCAGCTCTTGCTGAAGGATTTTTTCAAGCGAGAAAGACCGATAACAGGTTTCTCTTTTGATTCCATAATTTTAGGCTTATGATGCAGGATTTCATCAGAAATGAAGACGATGAATGACTAATATCACACGTGACTGCTTATCGCCATGTGGGGATTCGTCTCTAGCCACGCTTGACCTTGAACTACCATTGAGGATCAATTTGACTCAATCGATTCTATGCAAGTGTGACTGATAAATTAAAACTTGCTCGCTAAATTCCAGTGAAGCCCTCAGCTGGCATAGACTCCATAATCCAGACTACGGACGTCTTTCTAGACCACTGATAGCTTATTACGACTCCATGACCTCGAGATCCAGACCTTGAGCATCCAGTGATTGCAGGAAGTGATAAGAGTCCTTTGAAAATGGCGGAACTGGAGCCTTCCTACATTGACTATGAGGCCTTCCTAGACCCGGAATTCTCACCTACTGGATTCGCCAACTCTCTCGTGCTCAGCACAAACAATGCAACAGACACCCCCCTAGATCTCTCCACACCCCTCTCACGAGTTCTTTTTGATCTTCAGGAAATCGACACACATATTCACAGCCTAACAACTAAGTCCGCACTGCCACTCCTGGACTATACACAGGGTCAAACCGCTGCCGCAGAACATATCTTGAAAGAGACAGGGACTCAGATTGCCTCGGTCACACAGGGCTACGAGCGCTTGGAAAAGGAAGTGCTGCAGAAATGGCAAGCGGCTGAAGATACCAGGATAGCTGCTGAAAAGTCGCTGGCCACAGTTCGTCTTGCCAGGGCTGTTGCACGCTGCCTTACACTAGGTCGGCAGTTGGAAAGCCAAGTTGCGGAGATCACTGGGAGGAGTACAAATGGACATGCGCCGGCAGCAGGAACTGACGGAGCATCTACGGGGAAAGAAGGGCTTCGAGCTTTGGAAAGAGCTGCTTCTACAATCTTGAATCTACACCAAATGTTTTCTGCCAGCTCAGAAGAGGATGAGGGATGGGGACTGGAGCGAGTGAAGGTCGCCCGTACACTGCGTAACGAGTTCGTGATTCCGGCTGAGAATCTGATCAAGACAAAAGCGCAGCAGACTATCAATCGTTTCTCGATATCAAGTCCGGGTTCCAGTGGACAGCCCAGCTATAAACAAGCCCGTGATGCACGATCACGTCTGGCAAACGCCTCCACTACTCTATATCTTCTCTCGCCCATACCTAAAGCGAAAACGACCGTTTCCGACTACAAGCCTGAGCTTCTCCTCTCGACATTACAGGGCTATATGCAGACATCTATCCAAGCATCCGCGAACGCGCTCTCAAAAGCTCTCTCACAGCTCCCGATCATGGAACGCACCCTTGCCGAAGTTTCCGCACGTTGCCAGGATATTGTCGTATTTGAGTCCATCTTACGGAATCTCCGGCCACCATTGCACCCTCTGCTGATCTCTACCCATACACAACCTCCTACCGATGAGACATATCCAAACACGACGAATCTTCTTCAACCCCTCCTCCAAGCTCTTGACACGTCATCTCTGCCATCATACTTTTGGCGCTCGCTCGCTTCATCCCTCTCGTCTCGTGTGCAGGACATTATTAACCGCGGCGGTGTCTCCACACGCACTTTACGATCCAATCGAGACCGCCTCAAAGTCGAGATTAAAGGTTGCGTTATGCGAGCGTCGCGGGTATCAGCAAACAGTTTGCTGAGTGAGGGCCGATCAGGGTCAGATTCTGTAACAGTGGGCAACTGGGAACGAGAAGCGGCAGTAATGGTGAGCTCTATCGTTGGGCCATTGAGTCGATGACATCTCACATTAATCACCTACTCGATATATCAATCATAATTTCATTATCGATCCCACCCGATCTCACACCGGCAACCACAGATCAAACTACCCCAGGAATATAAGCCATGTTCCAGGTACCTGGCAGGAGGAACAAGGCAGTGCCCTGGTTGTAAAGCGAGTAACACAAGACCCAGGGAAATAACAAAGAGCCTCCTGGCTCGGAGAATTAAAATAGAATAGTCAGATGACTCTTGTTTCTTCGTGGACTGCTCACGTACAACCAGAACTAGGATTGGAAGGGGTCTGGGACCTGAAGGTGCGCACGGCAGGACCTGGGTTGCCTTGTCAGTGCAGTCCAATGGAAGGGAGACAGTAATTAGCCCTGGAGGTTCACATGTGGATGGAATGTAATGTATTAGGTCAAAATGTAAATGTAAGAGATCTACAGGTCAGACCGAGTATGGTACATAGCACAGCAGCCTCAAGTCCCAATAAGTGTAGGTGCTTAATGGCTTGGACCTCAAACTACGTGGCCCAGGTACGCCTTCTTACTACGACACTTTTAGAAACATGGATCCTCCTTGTAGTAGAAGTAATGATGGTAATTGGCTGGTTATTTAGGATCCAGTAAAGAAGACCTATCATCTGTAGTATACTATGTACCTAGACAAGTTGTGACCTTGACCGCTCCAAAGGCAAACTGAGTGGAGGCAAATAAACAGTTGTCATACTAATACTTAGTGGGAAATATTAGGCATTACGACGATATATATATTTTCACTTAGAGTAAGCCCACCTGGGCATATTCCGATCTATAGATCGACGTCACAAAATGTCCGAGTCTGAAACTGAACGATAAGGATAAGCCCTAAATGAAACCCTGCACGGTACCTGGCGCTACATGACTACTTGGCAGTCCTGCAGTTGTATCTATAGGTATATCTACAGGTACCCGTCTAGGCCCATACATCCAATCATTAGTAGCAGGTAAATTCTCCTAGGGAACCTTGGAACCCCTCTTTACCCCTCCTGGAGGCAAATCTGTACTTTTGTACTTTTCACAGGGGCTTAGCGTTGAGGATCGTCCATTACATTAGCCCTGGAGTATAGCCCTGAGTGGGGGTTGTCTCATCCGTCCTATATACTTCGTACATTTTTTCTGTAACTGTTGAGCTCGGTGGGGTTGGAGACCCCTCTTTTATTTCATTAGGTACGGAGTACGAAGTATGAAAAGTGAAAAGTGAAGCACATCATCTATCTTGACGTGGCCACAAAGATCAAACCTTTTATTTCCACTTCCCTGGATGACCTGACCTGACTAGGATGTCCGAGGTCCGAAGTACGAAGGGAATACCTATTCCAAGGTTCCGAGAACATGGAGAAGATCCGTACCGTGGATATCTATTCCGCATCCATATTGATGATATCTCCTTCCGCCTGGTGACCTGGGCTATGGTCCTGACCGTTTGCAGAACAAATGGATCCAAGAGGGGTTGAAACCTAGCGGAGGAAGGTTTACATGGTACTAAGTAGACGCAGGCACATCCTCAACGGGCAACTAAGAAGATTAGTGTGAACTTACCGAAGTGGGTATGATCTACTTCTACAATATTATACTATAGGGTAACGTGATAAATGTTGAATCCATGGATACCTAGGTATGAGTTGGATGGCTGGGAGAACCAAGGTTAGAGAGGTTGGATATGGAAGTCTAGATTTGACATCTAGACTTCCAGACTCCAGACTTCAGACTTCAGACTTCAGATTTCAGACTTTGGGCTCCTCATTAACCTCTTATCTAAATGATCAAGGTCAATGCCCCATGTACTCTTGTAGTACCCGCGCATGCCGAAGAGGCTCGAGCAGTGCCCCTTAGGCATATACTGGCGGACCATTCGGAATCGCCCCCTGCGTAACCAGGAAAAGGGAAAGAATGGAGGCTTCGGAGGGGTATAGAATGCAAGGGGGGAAATAAGAGTACTCCGTAAAAGGAGTATAAACGTCAAAGACTTGGAAGATAGTCCGAGTATAGTATAACCATGGTAGTAGTAGTAAAGAGGTCAAAGTCAGGCGCTATGATTCTTACATCTGAGAAGTTAAGGTGCCTGGTGCCTTTAGATGTGTCAAAACCAAAGAGTCCAGACTCTTTAGTATGAACGGTGGGATCTGGTGAAACGTTCTTTGATTCGCATCGGTAGCCCCGGAAAGGATGAAGTTCCTGGGATCTTCAATCTATCGTAAGCCTGACTTTGGCCCTCGCTTCTTGATAAGCTGTTCTAGTCGTCACCACTGTAACTCATACTTCTACTTCTTCTTCTCTTTCTTCTTTCTTCTTTCTTCTTCCTTCTTTCTTCATTCTTCATCTCTCTCCTTCACCTTTCTCTCTTTCCCCATTCTAGGTATCGGCTGGTCCACTTATATATCATAATCGGGTCTTTTTTTCCCCATCCTTCTTCCCTGAAACTCTTCCCGTGTCCCACCATCACCCTTCGTCGATCCCAGTTGATTCGCGTGGTCTAAAGAGATGCCAGCGATCGGCTAACCATCTCTTTTTTTTTTTTTCCTCTTCTTTTCCAAATTTCTCTCCCCCCGCCTTCTTCAACCCTTGCGTCGACGTTTTAGGAAAATACAGTGGATTCTGCATTTTCTAAATTTCAAACCTTGCCCCATCACTGCATCGGGAGGAAAAAAAAAAAAGAAGACTTGAAGAGCGAAAAGTGAAGAGAAAAGAGAAAAGAGAAAAGAGTGAAGAGTGAAGAGCGAAGAGTGAAGAGTGAAGAGCTCTTGTACGTGATACTTTTGCCTTTTTCCCTTTGGGTTCGGAAATCTCTTCTGTTGATCACCCGTAAAGAAGACCCGCTTACCTTGACGTGCAATGTTGACAGTTTCCTCTTTAAGACACTCCCTGATTCCTTCAGCTTAGCGCCCCAGCCTTGACCATATACAGACCTTGGGACTTTCATACTCGGAGCTCCCGGTGCCGCGGATCGTGTTGCCGGCCTTGCGACCGTGGGATAGGACTTCGTCCTGACATTTGACATCACCGGCCGAAAACCCTGTCTTACGTCAAAATCATGGCTTCGTTTCTCCCTGTCAATAACTCGAAAGATCACCCTATGGATGGTCCAAGCACCCCTCGTGCCAGCAACCCAGAGACTTCCGTCCAGGAACAACCTTCCATAGCAGAGCAATCGCCGGACTTAATGCCAGACAGGGAAGATATTTCGTCAAAGGTCATATCGGGACACGCTAGGACCTCGTCAATGTCCGACGAAACTATGCACGGGGACTCGGATGGAGAGCATGATGGATCGGACAATGAGGGCGAGCCGGGGAATGCCCCGCCATCGAAGAAGAAAAAAGGCCAACGCTTTTTTTGCACCGACTTTCCCCCTTGCAATCTGAGTTTCACCCGCAGTGAACACCTTGCCCGTCATATTCGGAAACATACTGGTGAACGACCATTCCAGTGTCATTGCTCCCGCCGCTTCTCGCGACTAGATAACCTACGGCAGCATGCGCAAACGGTACACGTCAACGAGGAAATTCCCGGTGATTCATTGGCGGCTACGGGCACTCGGTTCCAACGCCAGGTGCGTACGGATCGAGTGCGACCTCCGGGTCGCGCACGAGCAGGTACGGGGGGCAGCGTGGGTGGACACAGCCGGGGCCATAGCAGGAATCTATCGACCTCGAGTATTGCATCCACCGCATCGACATATAGCCAGCCCCCGGAACTGCGGCGAAGACCTCCGCCGCTCATCATGTCCAACGACCCGGCGGCTCGCTCTCGGTTAGGGCTGGATCCCATGGGGGAGCCTCCACGGACACCGCCAGGTCAGATTCGTGGCATGGCTGGTCCAAACGTGGCCGGATCTCCTTACACACCATCCAACATGTACACCGCGGGAATTAACGGCAGCCCGCAGTATGCCTCCCCGATGTCCGGTGCACATGGCTTCTGGGAGGGTAAGACAGCCGCTCGCCGACTCTCTGTGCCCACCAGCAGCAATCCCTTTCTCGCTCAGCATGCAAATATATATCCGTCATCATACGCCCCTTCTCCCGCCGGCCCACCATACCCTACCGCCGCAGGAGTTTTTGCCAGCCCTACCAACAGCAGCTATCCTTTGTCTAGAGACGAGGCTACGCTGAGTCAAGCAGAAGCTGAGATCCGAAGAAGAACTTGGCATCCCTCGACATATCCTGTATTTAATCGACCGTCAACTAGTGGCCTGAGCCATTACCACACTCCAGACACCGTCCAGCCATCCTTCGGTGCCAACAATTCATCCGAGCAACCGCCTCGCCTGCCGGGCATTGAGAGCTTCGACAAAGTTGTCAACCGACCGTTGACCCCTCCCACCCGAAAAGCCAGCCCCATGCAAATAGACAGCCACGGCCGTGCTCTCCCGCCAAACTACGGCTTTGGCTCTGGTTTCAACTACAACCAACCGCCAGTGCGCCCAGCACCCCCCATCTCCGGCCCAGGCCATCGTCGTGGCCATGTGTCGTGGGACATGTCATTGCACACGAACCTCACGGGCCTTGATATTCGAGACCGACGAGCTTCGCGGGATGCATCGCAATGGGGCCAACAAACCCTTGCAGATATCCAGAGCATTGGCTCTCGGCCCTCCTCATCCTACCAACCAACCTTCGGACCTACTGCCGAAAGAAGCCCTGAATACCACCGTGGCCATGCTCATAGCCTCTCGACTGGAAGCCGGGCGACGCATACATCTCCCGAAGACTCCAGCAGCAGCGAGGGCGTACATACCCCATCCACCGCATCGGTGGAATACCACCCGGCGATTGTACACAGCAGCGGGTATATTGAATCCCACGACTCTTCCATTCCCGATCATCATCCTCAACCGGTAGGGAACTCCCTTCGCTCACGGCTCTCGCCTCGGTTGCTAATGCCGTCATAGATCTGTGGTCGACAAGCCTCTCACGCCGATGGCTACCCGGGTCATATCGAGCAAGAGCCCCGCCATGATGTGTTTGCCGACTCCGCCGTACACAATTCCGGTATGGGCCGCCTTGAAGCACTGGTGGCTGTTGCAACCAGTGAAAACCGAGCACCTAAATTATACACGTAGTGCAGAGATATTGCACATCTACAAGCTTGAAAAAAGCTATCCATTTCCTTTCCTCCTTTCCCTCGACATTCATTCTTCATTCCACATTCTCCTCAACTCAGCCTCTACTTCCTGTGAATTTGCATCCCCGCTGGACATGCATGATGAAATGACGACTTGATGACTTACTTATACATGACCTGGAATTTCCTTTGATCTTTGTTTTGAACTTGTGTTGTCCGGGAGTGGTATTCGGTTGTCTTGTTTTTTCTTCTTCTTTTTCTGCTTGGAGTTGCCGGTTCTCTGCTGCATATGTGCTGGCGTTCTATTGGGAAGTATATGGATGGCATCGTGTGACGATATCCCCTTCCCAGCGATGAATCATTTCTGCCCTCTCTTGATATGGCTTTTTCATTTCTGTTTTCCGTTATCGTCTCTCGCTTGGTACTCCCCTTCATGACTTCTTCTTCTGACGTGTCTTATTATATATCCCTTTTTGGATTATGTCATGTTCGGGGCGACCTTTTACGTTCTTATGAATTATATAACGAATATGACCGAAATGCAGTATTACCCCGCATGAGATGTTTAGTTCCTGCATACATTATAGATCATAGATCAGTAGTAGGGTAGAAGAAATGCCGATCTGGTTCCATTGAAAAGTGACTTCCGGTGACGTCGACAGTCCAGGCCAACTTTGGTCATAGCTCTTCCCCATAGATCTAGATCTACACCTACTCTATAATTAAGCAGTAATAAATCACATCTTAAGTACACATACAGATAGTTTAATAGTGGTAGATATCAGCAATTGAATCATCAAATTACTCTGTAAGAAAACACAATAAGAATAAAAATAATATTAAAAAAAAACAGTTCCAGAAGCAGAACTGACGAAACCTTGGCCAAGTGCAACGTCATAGTCCGACAGTACTTTTCCCGGTTCCAACATCACAGAATGTAATAAAGGGATCCAACATCCCATCACCTCTTCTCCAATTTACAATCTACTTACTTCATCTACATCCAACATGTCACGCCGAACACCTCTTTACCTGGGCCTCGCCGTCGCCGGTGCAGGCGGTTACTACCTGTACCGCGCTGGCGGAGACGTCAAAAGCGCAAAGCATGAGTTGAAGAGTACGTCACTTGCTTTGATTCCACTGTTACTTAACAAGAAACTGACTGGAGTTCTAGTTGATGCCGAGAAGGCGCGCGAGAAGCTCCCTCACTCTGATAATCTCCAGCAGAAAGGTCAGGATATTGGCAAAGAGGCTGGAGGCCAGATTGACGATGCTGTACGTTGCAAGCCAAACCAGTTCTTTTCTTCCAAGTTTCCAAGCTTTCAAGCTTTCCCTCTCACCGCTCCTGCTAATCCATTCTTGTTGAATAGCTCAACAATGCCCGCTCCAAATTCAACCAACTGGACGAACGCACATCCGAGCTCGCACACGATGGCAAGTCCAAATTCAGCGAACTGAGCGAGGAAGCCCGTGCAAAGTTCAACGCCGGTGTTGATAAGGCTGATCGCACTGTTGAGAAGACTGCTGCTGATGCGAAGGGAACTGTCAATGGCTGGTTTGGCGGCAAGAAATAGACGGACTGCTCTTGATGCTTAATCAAGTCTGATTTCTGTTTGCCTATGTGTGAAGGACTCGGAGTTTCTTTGCCTCTCTTTCCATTTATTCAAAATTTCTTTTTCTGAAATCCAATGAGACATGAAGATTAATTTGTTCATCTGGTTGTAGTTCCAAGTTTGTTGGAGTTTTACGGGGTATTTTTGCGGAAGTGGATAGCTTCATTTTTTGAACGACTGTAAATCATTGGTCGAAGAGGTATAGCCGAGGGTAGTGATGCTCTTTTCTATCGCATCAAGTACTGCTGTAGCTGTGGATTGAGGCGTTACCGATGCAGTGTACTGTCAGGTCACAACATTCCATACCAGAATCACCCCTAGTGACGAGAATTTAAGAAATCTATTTACCCCGCTGTTCAAGATACGATTGTATCTCGGGGGTTTTCTTGATTTAATTAAATTTGTGTCACACTCATTGTGAAGTCAATTTTTTTTTCCCTTTTTTCCCTTTGTTCCACTTACGCGACTAACCGAATTTACGCGTTGAAAATTACGCGACGTGACTTTAACGCGAAAGTGGGTTCTCCTTGCTTATTTCACTGCATCAACCTCCTTCCTGCTTCTGCATTTTCTTGTTTTCTGTCCATTTGCTACTTCTGCATTATACATTTTGCTCGCAACTTCCACTTTTGACGAAGAATAGATAAAAGAAGAAAATTGCAACCACGATGCCTCGCATCACCAGACAGTCCACCGGCCTTGCCCTAAACCAACCAGGCATTCAGATATTCTCCAAGGCAACCAAGCCTGGTGTTGCACCGCAACTTCCTGCCAAAAAAGCTATCTCCCTTCCAGTCTCACCATCCAAGAAGCGAAAACTGCAGGAACTCGAGAATTTCGACAGTGCAACTGTGACCCCCGTCGAGGACGCCCAAACCCCTTCCAAGACTCTGAAGCTCAGCCAATTATTCGTGTCTTCCCCGCGGAGTGGTCACTATGCCACCCCGAAACGAACCCCCAGTCGACGCAATCATATTTCTGTCAATGTTGAATCCCCCCTGACGCCCAACACTCCCTCAAAGCAACGCACCTTGAATTTTGCCCCGATACCAAAAGAACCGAAACTTGCACCTCGCGCCCCCTGTGTCAATGATTTCTTGGATCTTCACTCTGCTTTTGTCCAGTCTCTCTCCGTTCACGCTGCACACAACGGCCCGTCGACTCCCCCGGATCTCCGTGAATTTCTACCCAGCATCACCCGGATATGGAAGAAGCGCAAGGTGCAGATCAAGGACCTGCAACGCCTCGTGTGGGTTTGGGACCACAGTTTGATGGCAAAGGACACGTCTTACCGTCTGGCGAACTACGGTCTTGGAAAAGTGTGCCTCGAGCGGACTGGGCAGATGGATCAACCTGCCGTCTTGCAGGACTCGTTCGAACAGGCATTGGACCTGATCTGGGAGAAATCCGAAGATACATTGAAGATTGCAACCGAGGAAGAACGTCCATCAATCTTTCTCGAGACTTTGGGTCTTGCAACCATCCATGAATCACTTACCCCTTTCACCGCATTCCACAAGGGCCAACAGAGACTCCAGGATCTACGAGGTGGTGTTATTCGCATGAAGAATGAGAAGATGCTATCGGGAAAGGAAAACATCGGTCCCAAGACAGTGGCCGCAACCACCAACCGCCGCCAGGGCCTACTGGACCGCATCAAGGGCAAGCAGCTGCGTCAGTCCAAGCTCCCGCCTCCACCGACCAAGACTGAAATCACTCGTATCTCCGCTGCCGACCGTGCGGAGGAAATTGCTGGTATTTTAGGCATGCTCCGCCCAGCAGGCTACGTGGGTACAGGCATAAAAGCCATGCTCGCCGTCCAACGCAAACCATACAAGCTCGAGACGATCGTGCAACACATTCGCGATTCCGTCCGACATCCCGTCCCCCAAGATGAAGTGGAGATGTGCATTGAGATCCTGGCAGATACCCGCGTCGCAGGTAGCTGGGTCAACCTCGTTACCATCAACGATATGAAATCCGTCGTTTTGAAGTCCTGCAAGGATATCGCCGCCAAGGACCTCGGGGCCAAGGTGGCTAAGTTGAAGGCTGACTGGGTCAAGCCTGCGTGTGTCCAGACTCCTGTTATAAACATTTGAAGGATCTCTCATCGTCTGGTCCATGGTGTTTTTTTTTTTTCTTTTCCTTTGGTTTATTTTTTGTTTCCATTCGTGACTTCCCGGCTTTTTCCAGCGTTTGATGATACCCTGTTTCTTACCGCATGTTGTTTTACTATTATCTACAAATTATGCCATAGATATTAGCGCCTCGAATACATTCATAATGATCAAGAACAAAAATTAGGAGCCTAGCAATCTCCTTAGTTACTGCGTATATGGTGGGAATTAATACACCCCAAGATCGAAATCATAATACTTGTATTATGTAATACAGCCCTGTGTGGGGTGTCAATTCTCAGTGGGGCTGGAGAGAGACAGAGAGCGGAGCCACTCAACGCGTCAACGCTTCACGTGACGCGTCGCGTCCTAGACCAGTCAATTTCACAGATAATACAATTTCGTCGGAGTTTTATCCCTTTGTACTATTCAAAATTTTATCACCGGCAGGATGTCTTCTCGACCTGATCTAAAGGTAGAGTTCTTATGCTTTGACCTTGAAAATTCCGCATAACTAACCCGATAATCTAGGTTGACGACGAAGTCGGTTTCATTCGCTTCTACCGCAACCTCCCCGATACAGAAAACAATGAAACAATCCGTGTCTTCGATCGAGGCGACTGGTACTCCTCCCACGGCGAAGATGCCGAGTTCATCGCCCGAACCGTCTACAAAACGACCTCCGTCCTCCGCAACCTAGGCCGCAGCGAGACAGGCGGCCTCCCCTCCGTAACAATGAGCGAGACAGTGTTCCGCAATTTTCTTCGTGAATCACTATTCCGCCTGAACAAGCGCATTGAGATCTGGGGCTCTGGCGGCGTCGGTAAAGGCAACTGGAAGCTGGTGAAACAGGCCAGTCCTGGTAATTTGCAGGACGTCGAAGACGAGCTTGGTGCCGTGGGTGCGTTGTCGATGGACTCTGCTCCTATTATTCTTGCAGTGAAGATCTCTGCCCGGGCGGCTGAGGCGAGGAATGTTGGTGTCTGCTTTGCAGATGCTAGTGTGCGAGAGCTTGGTGTGAGCGAGTTTCTTGATAATGACGTTTACTCTAACTTTGAGTCACTGGTAATTCAGCTTGGTGTGAAGGAGTGTCTCGTGCAGATGGATTCTAGTCGCAAGGATGTGGAGCTTGCCAAGATTAGGGCTATTGCTGATAGTTGTGGCATTGCTATTTCTGAACGGCCGGCTGCTGATTATGGTGTTCGGGATATCGAGCAGGATCTGTCGAGGCTGCTCCGAGATGAACGTTCCACTGCTACATTACCTCAGACAGATCTGAAGCTTGCTATGGGCTCGGCTTCGGCGTTGATTAAGTACCTTGGCGTCATGACTGATCCGACACACTTCGGTCAGTATCAGCTTTATCAACATGACTTGTCGCAGTACATGAAGCTCGATGCTGCTGCTCTTCGTGCATTGAACCTGATGCCTGGTCCCAGAGACGGTTCTAAGAGTATGAGCTTGTTTGGCTTGTTGAATCACTGCAAGACTCCTGTTGGTAGCCGGCTGCTGGCACAGTGGCTGAAGCAGCCGCTGATGGATCTTGCTGCGATTGAACAGCGACAGCAGCTGGTTGAGGCTTTCGTGTCGAACACCGAGTTGCGCCAGACCATGCAGGAAGAACACCTTCGGGCTATTCCAGACCTCTACCGGCTTTCAAAGCGTTTCCAGCGGCAGCAGGCTAACTTGGAAGATGTCGTTCGCGCATACCAGGTATCAATTCGGTTGCCTGGATTCGTCAGTGCACTTGAGGATGTTATGGATGAGCAATACCAGACACCACTGGAAGCTGAATACACCTCCAAACTTCGGGCCCACTCGGACAGCTTGGCCCGACTGGAGGAGATGGTAGAGACTACGGTTGATCTTGACGCCCTTGAGAACCATGAATTCATCATCAAGCCCGAATTCGATGAGAATCTGCGCATCATTCGGAAGAAACTTGATAAGCTTCGTTATGACATGGACCAGGAACACCGTCGCGTCGCCAAAGATCTGAATCAAGATATGGAGAAGAAACTGTTCCTTGAAAACCACAAAACTCACGGTTGGTGCTTCCGCCTCACTCGCACAGAAGCAGGCTGCATCCGCAACAAGCGTGAATACCAAGAATGCTCTACTCAAAAGAACGGTGTCTATTTCACGACTACCACTCTGCAATCTTATCGTCGAGACCACGACCAGCTTTCAACGACCTACAACAGAAACCAGTCCAGTCTTGTCCAAGAGGTTGTTAATGTCGCTGCCTCTTACTGTCCTGTATTGGAACAGCTCGCCGGCGTACTTGCTCACCTTGACGTTATCGTGGCATTTGCCCATGCCTCTGTCCATGCCCCTTCGGGATATGTGCGTCCAAAGATGCACGCCCGAGGCACGGGTAACACCGTTCTCAAGGAAGCCCGCCACCCATGTATGGAGATGCAAGACGACATCTCCTTCATCACTAACGACGTCTCCCTGATCCGTGATGAATCCTCCTTCCTCATCATTACCGGTCCTAATATGGGCGGAAAGTCCACCTACATTCGCCAGATCGGTGTTATCGCCCTCATGGCGCAGACCGGCTGCTTTGTGCCCTGCACTGAGGCAGAACTGACCATCTTTGACTGCATCCTTGCCCGAGTTGGTGCTAGCGACTCCCAGCTGAAGGGAGTGTCAACCTTCATGGCAGAGATGCTCGAGACCGCGAATATTCTCAAGTCTGCCACATCCGATTCTCTGATCATCGTCGACGAGCTTGGTCGTGGAACTAGCACATATGACGGCTTCGGTCTTGCCTGGGCTATCTCAGAGCACATTGTGACAGAAATCCGCTGCTTCGGTCTTTTTGCCACTCACTTCCATGAGTTGACGGCACTGTCCGATCGATTCCCTAAGTCTGTGAAAAACCTACACGTTGTCGCATTCATCGGTGATGGCACGGAAACTGCAGCTGAAGCTGACGATGAAGCCAAGAAGAAGCAACAAGTTACCCTGCTCTACCGTGTCGAGCCTGGAATCTGTGACCAATCTTTTGGTATCCACGTTGCTGAACTTGTTCGCTTTCCTACTAAGGTCGTCAACATGGCTCGTCAAAAAGCTGAGGAGCTCGAGGACTTTACATCTGCTACTTCGGATCAGCAGCAGCCTGCTCCTTCGCTTGATAAGTACTCCCAGGAGGAAGTGGAGGAGGGCAATGCCCTCTTGAAGGACATGTTGGTAAAATGGAAGGCTGAGATTGAAGGTAAAAACATATCCTCTGAGGAAAAGCGCCAGATAATGCGTGACTTGGTTAAAGGGGATGAGAAGTTGCAAGCGAACAAGATGTTCCAGGGCATCAAGGCTCTATAAAGGGCGAACCTCTGAAGCTTGGAGTTTAGGTGCTCGGAAAACAAATCGGGGATCATTATTAAGAAGATTATATACGTTACATTTGAATGAATACTTTCGGTCATTTCTTTATATTGCCATAAGACTAAACATGACTGAACATGAATGATGTAGTTTGTTGGTTCTTAGCTTTAATCCGGGGACAGTCACGTGGGCTATTCTCAACGTTCTAGACGCCGAGCGCGCCTTCAACAGCTAGAAAGGCTTAGACTAGGACCTCGAATTTCGTCCTTAACTCCTTCGCCCAACAAATTCAAATTCAACTCTTTTTGGCTATCCAATTTCCTCCGATAATAGTCCTACAAGCCTCATAACCCCCAGAAACCCCTTCGACCCTCATATAGCGATGCGCGCAAACTAAAACGCGGACCGCTCTAACCAGCCTGATTCATGCACCCCTTTTCCGTCCTCACCCTTGGGATCTTCGTCGCTGGCTATATTACCGCCAGGTGGGACCTTGTCACTCGTCTCTACGAATTGGCCATTTTTGCCTGGGACCACGGTGTCGTTGTAAGTGTCTCCGATCGTTGTTTCTGTGGGCCGTCAAACGCCTCTCCATGCGCTCTTCTATGGCCCAGTCACTCACAAAATTTCTTCTTCAAAGACTCGGACGCTGAAAGGATTTGTTTTTCTTTCATTCTTCTTCTTCCTCCTCGTTCTCCCGATCAACCATCTTGCCTCGAAAGAAGGTTCACTGGTGAGCTACCCTTACCCGCGATGGTCATTGCGCGAGCAAAGCGTTTTCTTGTGAAACTTTACTTAAAATTTACCATTTAATACAGCATCCACGCCACGTAAACCTTGGAGTCTCTGCGCGAGAACAATTGCGCCGGCGAGGCTCGTTTTAAGAGCTAGGTGGAGGATGACAACATGCTCATGAGCGATGAGCTGCTGCGGGTATTTTGGCCATATGACCTCCCGCGATCCTCATCACCGGGTGTGATTATCGGCTGGCGCAATTCGGAACTAGACCTATTCGTCCTTACGGTCCTTGACGATGTCGAGGCTCGCAACGTTGACAATGCGCTTCGGGCGGGAATCCTCTTTCGAAACAGCCCGCACCCTATTGTTCGCATCTTTGCCCTATGTGGTCGCTCTCAGATGCATGTTCTCGGTTCGACAAATTCGAGTCTGGACCTGACTTCGTTCAACCCTTCTCATCTGAATGTTACCACAAATCTGCCCTCGAAGAGCCAAGTGCCACGAGTATATTGTCCTACTGAGGCGAATCTATCCGTCCAGGTCATCATGTACCATCGGCCACATCCGACGCGAATGGAGTATGTTTCACTGGAACCGATCTCTCTTGCTTTGGGTGACAAAATTACGACATCGGAGACGGGTGCTCCATTGACCAGTACCGCTGGGTCCGAAGAAGAGGAAAACAAGACTCAACATAGAGTCCTAGTAGAGAAGCTGAAACTTCATACTGTTGTCAAACACATTCCTTCCCAAAAGGAACAGGCACTCCCCTTGATCATCAACCAGATCAACTGTGCCTACGAGTTGAGTCAGCTAATGAAGAAAAACAGTCATTTAATTGGTATACGCGCGAAGCGAAGCATGAGTGTCGGGGAGCGTGTGGTAGAATCTGCTACGACTTTGTGGGGACTGTTCGTTGTCTGCATTGCCCACATGTTCTGGGAGTGGATTTGGCCTGTTGTAACCCGGATCTTTGTCATTGGTCTAGTCGGACATCGATCTGTAGCGGAGATTGTGCTGAGAATTCTCGAGTGGCGGGCTAGACCGGACGCCGCTGCTATCAAAGATATTTCAGCAACCGCCCAACAGGTTGATATTCGACTACAGCAGTTCTGCTACTGGCCCATCCAGTATGTCAAACTGCGACAAAGAAAGGATAACTGGGAAAGTGTGACAACAAGCTATCCAGATTATATCCGGTTTTACAACAGTTTATGGCTCGTGGCCAATGATGTGATTATCGGAATTGCCCTGGGATCATATATAATTGATAACGCCAATTGGGTGGCTTCTCAAATCAACACCGTGTTGACCGGTTGGACAGTCGAAGGCTTGCAACGTACTATTTCATGGTTAATGGACTGGCCTGCGGGCTTGAAACTCAACAACGAACTCGCCGCTTTTCTGGGCGATCTATTCCTATGGGTCATCGAGAACTGGGCAGCCTGCATTGCCAACCTCCAACCTTACCTCCCACATGTCATCTACATCATCGGCTGTTCCAGCTTTGCAGGAGCTAGCCTGCCAATCGCCCTCTTCTCCGACCTCCTTTCCATCCTAACCGTTCATATCTACTCTTTCTACATCGCTTCTGCCAGGATATTCAACTGGCAGCTCACTATAATAATCTCACTCTTCCATCTATTTCGCGGGAAAAAGCGAAACGTCTTGCGCAACCGAATAGATTCGTGCGATTATGACCTCGACCAACTTCTCCTCGGCACTATCCTTTTCACCGTACTCTTCTTCCTTCTACCGACGGTTGTAGTCTTCTACTTCACATTTGCATCGGCCCGCATGTTGATCATCTCAATGAAAGCCAGTCTGGACACCTGCCTCGCATTCTTGAACCACTTCCCCCTGTTTGCATTAATGTTGCGTGTGAAAGACTCGATGCGACTACCAGGCGGCATTCGCTTCGAGATCAGAAAGGAATCATACACACAACTCTTCATCGAGTCGTCGACTGTTTCATACATTCATATGGAGGTTCGTCTATCTTCGTCTCTTGGAACATAATCTCTAAGCGACTCCTATGTCGAGCAACCTCACTAACTGCCTACTAGTCTATACCACTCCCCCTCCGCGCAATGTTTGACCAATACTTCCAACTCGGCCACCGACTCCGAAAGCACTACCTAGCTCCAAGCGTCATCTTCTGCCTCGTAACCGGCCGCTTTGTACCTCCCATCCACCGCCGCAACCTCTACGGTATGCAATATAGCATGTTGCCTGCTCACCGGGCTAACATGGGCGAGGTTTGGACTTTGCTCACTCAACCTAAAAAGAGGAGTGGTGGTAGCAGTGGTTCAGCCTCGATGAAGGGAAGTATTGCTGCCCTTAGTCATCCTGTGCCTAAAATTCCGTCTCATTTTGGACAGGGGGATGTTAGGAGACGGGGGCATCGGTAATGGGCTCTTTCTGTACTTAGTAGCTTTTTCTGTGATAAACCAAAGATTTCCATATTTATCTCATGGTCTTCCTGTACTATGCATGGACAGCAAATTTTGCTACGGCCTTTTCACGCCATATCATACGTCTAACTAGGTCTACAGATTAGAAAAAAAAAAAAGTAACGAAAGATAAAATAATATCATATCTAAGACATTGAGAATATATGGTGGAGAGAGATGCTACAGTAGGCGTGTGAGCAGCGTTTAAAATTACTGATATGCTTGAAGGGATCGGCCCGATGCGGGGTGCGGAAAGCGGGAAGCGGGAAGTTATCGATAAGCATGCGGGAGTGGCGGCGGGATATCATTACTCCGATATCCGAAGTATGTATGTCGTATGTAGAAGTGGAATTACGGAGTAAAAAACCACCAATAAGGTCAGAAAATAAAATAAGATTAACTCCCCTGTCCATTTTTCCCACATCCACCATACTATGCATCCAGGAAACGCTTCCCTAGCAGACACGGACCCCTCCAAAGTTGAGAGATTGCGCGTTCTGATGCGTCTTCATCATTTGATGTAGATCTAGATGGACAAAAGTCTGTATTGAAGCTTTTTCACGACAACGGCAACCCTATATCTCATGGGGTCGTGATATAAGCCGATTTCGATGCGAATTTGATGCATACGCAAAGCTCCTCGCGTCTGGTGCCTGCGAGAGCGGTTCAATTATAGAAATATACCTAGGTATATTTAATTGATCTATCTTCATTTTCTGTCTGTTTTATGAGTTTTCTAGTTGTCCTTGGTGTGTTCTAGTTTGACTTGACATGATTGAGACAGGTAAGAAATTACTGACTCGGGCAACTGAACTATGTACAAGAACCATGTACAAGAGAAATGATTCATCTGATCTGCTTCAACACCAAAAATTGATTGATTTTGAAATGATACTTCTCATATACAGAAAAAAAGATGATTCCCAGATCTACTTGCATGATAATAGCTATTATAAACTGGTGCTTCTGTGTGACGCCTTTCCATTAAGTTACCTAATTAGCAGGCTGTAAAGGTATGCATTACCTACTCTTAGACCCTGAGTTGGCTATATTTTACACCTGAGCATATCCTACTCTTCTAGGGTTTACAAGGCTTCCTACTTGAGATTGTTGATCTTCAATCTTCTCTCCGGGGCTGCTCAGGATTTCTTACTGCTCCTTGTGTTTCCAAGGTCTCGAATGTTCCAGCCAGTTCGGCTGACAGACCCTCGGGCTGTACCTAGGTGTAGGACCTCAGCACATCTGGGCAATGTATATACCTCGAGACTATTCAAAAAAGTATATGTGCCAATGCTAGTGCTAAGCACCTGGACATGCATGTCGGTGTGAATGGCTGACATTTGGAGTGACCTTAAAAGCTTCTATACAAACATCTACATGTAACCTGAACACTACTCAAGCGGTCTTGACCTGTTGAAAACTTCAGAACTGTTATTTCTAACCGATAGCTATTTAAAAGGTAATCTTTATTTATTCCAAGTGGCAGTGCTTCCAAGTTTTCTTCTGAAGCTGACTTCGGGAAACCCCTTCTCTTACTAGGCTACCAGCCTTGCGCACTGGTAACTGATTATCCACAAATTGACAAACCGACCAAGTCTGACGGATGAAATGAAACAACAAACTTTTCAATTCTCTCACAAAACTAGGTATATCCGCCGCTCCAGCTTTATGTTCCGCTCTACATCTATTCAACCATTGGGCCGATGTTATACTTTTCTCCCTCGGTTTCTACATATGTACTCCTACTTTCTTTGATCTTGAAAGGTAAAAGTTAGAACCCCAACTAATCCTTGAGAGATTATGCACACATCATTCCTTATTCTGTTGGGGCTTACAGGGTCAACTCTGGCGAGCTGCCCATATAGCTATGATAAAGTCATGAAGGACGAGGAACAGGCGAACCTGCGTGCTGATACCACTTTTAGTGTCCCCTCCGCCAATCCATGCGTGGATGTCCCAAGTACCGTTTCCAAAATCACCGGAAAGAAGGGTGTACTTCTCATGAACAGGCTTTCCCCTGGTACTTCAGAGTTATTTATTGCCAATGCGGACTTCTCTAATGAGCGTCCTCTTCTGGCCCACCCTGTGTATGAATATCATGCCAGCTTTTCTCCCGATGGGAGTTGGATATCATTTACCGGCGAGCGCAATGGTGATGGGAATTCTGATATCTACAGAGTACGTACCGATGGCTCTCAGCTTCAAGAACTGGTTGCTTCTCCCGCTGTGGAGGATTCGGTTGTTATTTCTCCCAATGGGACGTTGGCGGCCTACGTATCCACTGAAAACACTCATACGGCAAATATTTGGATACTTGATCTGAAAACTGGCGACAAATGGAACGTTACCGATATTCTAAGCATTCAGAGAGCGACAAACCTGTCTTTGATGCATGGATACTTCCGTCCAGCCTGGTCTCCAGATGGAGAATGGATTGCTTTCTCTTCTGATCGAAATACCCTCTGGGACGGTCATGGTAAGGAAGGCTACCTTGGCCATAATGGATGGGAGCACACGCAAGAGCTTTCTATCTATGCTATTCGCCCGGATGGAATGGAGTTTCGCCAAGTTGTCGCCAAGCCGTTTCACTGTCTCGGTTCCCCAAAGTGGTCACCGGATGGTAGGCGCATTATTTACTATGAGATGACTCGTGAAGCAACGTGGCATTCGCATCGGCCCGAATCGATTGCAACTGCGAATTCAACGATCGTATCTGTGGATTTTGCCACCGGTAAAGATCGTCATGTCGAAGTTGAAGGCTCTGGGATCAAGGTCTTCCCCCAATATATCAACAATAACACAATTGGATACTTGCTGAAGGGTGGTATCAAGCATGGAGTATATATGACTAACGGTACCTACGTTAGTAACATGGTGCGCTCGCCCGATTGGTCACCTGACGGCAAGTATGTCATCTACGAAAAGATCTCGTGGAGTGTTCGTCCTCTCTACAAGTCACTTTATAGCTGGGATCAGGACTGGGACTATCGCTTCACAGATGTCTTCCCCCAGCTCTCTTCAAAGAATCAAATTGCCATTACAGCAAACCAGCTAGCAAACTCAACCATCATCACTTACAATACCAGAGGGAAGAATTGGTCTGTAGTCTATGATGCAAGAGGTACGGGTCTAATTGACACTGCAATGGCAGCGATTGGTCTCTCTGGGGCTTTTCAGCCTAGCTGGTCTCCTGATGGAGAATGGCTAGTCTTTGGCGTCGGGACTTGGTTCGAGGCACGAGAGAAATTCGGTGGCTGGATTTTACGTTCCACCAAGAATGGAAGTCGCTTAGAAGCTCTCACACATAGCAGCTATAATATTCTCAACAGCAGCCTGCTGAACACTGGATATCCCAGTTACTCTCATGATGGCAAAATGATCGTGTATCGCGTTTGGGGCGCTACGACTTCAGAATCCGGCAACAAGGCTGAGCTCGGTCTCCGTGTGCTAGATCTTGAAACCAGGAAGATAACACAGATCACAGACAAATGGGACAATCTTCCGGCCTTCTCACCGACCGGCGAGCGTATTCTGTTCACTCGCAAGGTCAGCAAGACGAATTATGATATCTGCACTGTTCTTTCGGATGGAACTGATCTTCAGGTGCTGACGAGCAGCGGTGCCAACGATGCACATGGTGTTTGGACAGCTGATGGGCGGATTTTGTGGTCAACCGGCATGTTTGGGTTCCAATACGAATCTGCTCTTTATGATGATATTTTTCAGCCTTATGGACAAATTATGATTATGAATGCGGATGGATCCAACAAACAGGTCTTGACAAACTCGATATGGGAGGATTCAATGCCCCTGTTTCTACCAAACTCCATCCTTTGAGCTCTCCTGAACAGTTCAAGGTTCCAAAATTACAGATATCAAAACTACCCTGGTACACATGGAACCGCTCTGAATAGGCTGTATTTCAAAGTTCAAGGCCGATGAAAAAACATTCTAAAAGGTCTACTCAATTTTGCTGAAATGCCCCTAAATATAATATCGTTTGTTTGGAGTCCAACAATTCCAAAGTCTGTGGGATACTTTCTGTGAAGCAGATACGGGTTAAAAGTTGATTGATTCATTTAGAGCTATTCCAGATGGTGTAAGTGATACGTCTTACCCAAAGATCTCCCGCTTCAAGTGTAGAAGTGTTCGTTCCTGATGTCGCTCTTTTTCGATATTAACTCCTATGTGTTTATGTTGTCGGTAGCGCTGTGGCTATGTTTGCTAGCTAGAGTGGGCGCAGAAGAGGAAAAAGCCCAAGTTAGATCTCATTTCATTAATCGACTCTATTACGAAAGCGATATACCAGCCCTGAACTGTTGCATACAGTTCCGATACTAGGACGCTGCGAGTAAGTCTCTCGCACTTCACTGGAATTCAATGGATGATGTCGGCGACATTGGTATCACCGACAAGAGCGTTTCAGATAATTTTTTTTCTCTGCCATCCGCCAAACGATAACATATCCCAAGCTCAGATCTGCAATGACAAAGCCTTGTTGTTTGCGAAGGATTTATCCGTAAAAACTAGTATTCGGAGTAAATTCAGGCCTAGTTCGACGAATTTGAGACCCCTCGCTTCACCATTTGTACCAAATAGAACATGGTCGCTCTACTTCTCTCCTCCTGGGTAGGCGATTAACGGCTGGCGGTATGCCTCTTTTAGTAGACTCATGAGACGAGCTCCCCATTATGTAGCATAATATGCTCTAGGGTATGGAATAATGGGAGGAAAGACTAGCTATATAAAATTCCATCGAACAGTACGATTCCTCACACTACCCTATCGAGGTCTACTACATCCCATCTTGAATACGTTCACAGGTGTAGACGCCCTTATGTCTAGTGTTATAGAGATACACCCACCTATAAGGAAGTAGGTAAAACGCCACCAACGTTTTACCAAAATTGGCAAAGCCGTCGGATATAAGATGATAGCTAGAGACAATGACGAAGATCCAGATAACCAGCTGGTATATCGTCTTACTAAAGCAGGCTTGTACTTTAGTTACAGATGCAGTGGCTTTCGGATCACCAATCGCCGTTCAAATGAGCCAGCACTAAGTTAACGGTAATTAAGTACGACAGAGGTTAAGCGAGCACAATTAGATAAAGCCTGTATAGTTTCAATCGGAGAAGCTAAAGATTTAAGTAATGAATCACCAACTAGACATGTTCATTGGGTTGGGTAAACCCATACCCAACCCAACCCAACCCACAATGGGCTGGGTATGGGTCAGAAATTTTACCCAAAACCCATATGGGTTGGGTATGGGTTTGAAGTAAAACCCACACCCAGCCCATAAACCCATCTTTTTGCCAAGACTTTTATTTCACGTGATATTTGTCACCTAGTTAGTACTAGATTGAGGCAAAAATTAGGCACTAAGGCACTAATTACCCTAATTTAGTTTAGGTTGAGGCGAAAATCAGGCATTAAGGCATCAAAAATACCCATATGGGACCCATACCCAACCCATACCCACGTGGGTTGGGTTGGGTATGGGTATGGGTTTACCTTACCTCTGATGGGTTGGGTATGGGTATGAATTTTGACCCATACCCAACCCATGCACATGTCTAAAGATGCTTGACTTTCCCTGATTTCTTCACAACCCATTGCCTCTGAACTTGAGTCATCTTAAAGTATGACCAGCACCAGGAACTCGAAGTCTTTTTTGGGTTTAGGGTAAGAAATCCTGAGGTTTTTGGTGTCTGGGAAAGAGAGAAAGGGGTAGGAGATACTGATGGTATCGATTCAATAGAAGGATATAATGGAGAAGAGAGAGAAGGTAGAAAAGGCTCTTGAGAAAGGGATTCTTGGCTTTCAATAGGCGTTGTCAGTTCGTTTTGAGATGGATCTTCAAGAGCATCGAATCCATTTTCAAGAATATTATAGGAACCAGTTGGCGCAGTCCCATTACCACGAGTCACTCGTCTATTTGACTCCATATCCATGAAATATAATAAGAGAAGAATGATAGTTTTGTAAGGGTTAGAGTCCAATGCGGTTGGGCTACCGTAAACAAGAGAAGAACTATTATGAGAAGGCTACCAGAGGATGGAGGTGTGGGTGTGGTATCCCATAGGGCTCAATTCCACTAGGGTAAATTGGGGACAAGAACAACTCTTGAACTCCTTCAAGAGTCCAAAGACCTCAGAGAGTTAAATACATCAGGAAGTGGCAAATCTCTAACTAGCTTATCCGGGGAACCCCTGCTTCCCTGACAGCTGGTTCAGCCAGCTTATGTAGAGAGTCCATTGCCTCTCTCAGCCTTCTTGCAACCCACGCCGTTACAAGTTTATACTAGGGTAGAAGAAAATTGTCTAGCGATATTATAATCACATGATATCGTATGATAATTGGCAGATACATCTGCCATATCTGCCATATCTGCCGCTTGGCATGGCAGATGCAGATGGCGGAGATGACTAATATCTGCCATTTTATCTGCTATACCAAAAAGGGGTGGCAGAGTTGGCAGATGGCAGATACTATCTGCCATCTGCCTAAAATCCCTAACAATCTTGCACAGTGCATGTTCGGTATCATCTGCCTTGACCAGATGATGTATGTAGTGTCCTCAGCCTGCGTCCGGGATCGGGAATCTACTTACATGGCATCGACATTCTCTAGCTGAACCAAAGACAGGGGTAAAGTTTCAGGCTTAGTTTTGATTCTTAACATTGAATCGTATGTTCGAACACTCATAAGTCCATCCTATTCTGCCAGGTGAAATCGGGTCGTCCCTTAAATTAGGGTAAAATTAAGAAGTAATAGTAGTAGCAAACATATTTACAGTATAGCTAAGAATAGAAAAACTCTCCACCTGGGCAATCCACATATGGCTACCTATTGTGGAGAATCTTTTCAGATGTTTCGATTCAGATTGATACGCATGATGTGTACTCCAGGGCTTATCTTGTGCTGATCGTGTAATATTACGTAGCAAGATGAGATGTGATCGTTGTTTTTCCTAAAAAGGGACTTAATGGACTCGGATAAGTGAGCTCATTGGCTGAAACGTCTTGACTCCCATCCATGATATAATTAACAGGACTGCTAAAAACTCGGCGCTGCTGTGTTTGTGGAAGCCAGCTAGTAGATTCCAAGAAAGACATTGTCTCTAGACTGGGTGTGAGTGATTTCGGTACTAGGGGCTGCGGGTCTGGTGATACGGATTTCACAGTGTTGACTTCCGTTTGTACTTCAGAAAAGTTTTCTTCAACTCCAAATTGCCAAAGGTCTGGCTGTGTGTCATCGACCATATATGAAGAGTCAAAGGCAGAAGGCCCATGGCTTGATTGCATTTCCTGGTCATGGACAGGACTGTTCGATGATCGAGTTTAAAAGTTAGCCTGAGAAAGATAATGAGCGATGGCATTGGATTTCTCCGCAGAAGATGGTTGAGCTTGGTTTTTTAGTAGGTTTTGCAAGCTAAGTGGTGCACGAGTGTAATTTGATTGGTGTAATATTCTCTTTTTCAACCTTTAGTAGTCAATGGCGTTCTTATTGATTTTATTGATCTTGCACTCCTCGACCAAAACCATAAATTGGAAATATCAAGTAATTTTTGATCTCTTTGACTCACTTTGATTACTTTGGTAGATCTTTGCCATTACTGGCGAAATAATAGATATAAACTAACTCTCGGTGTAACTAAAACTGACAAGACTTATTGAGGTAGATCTCATGTAGTACATAGAATCCCTCCGAGATTCTCAATCATAAATTCCGATGGCATACACGATACTAGAGCAGTATTGCGTTGACTGAAATATGGATGATGATGGGGGGTACTAATCTAAGTAACTACTATTGAGTTAATCTCCGTGCTTATTCACACGTCCTGAATTATCTCCAAAGGCCAAGAATTATCAATCCACGTACTAGGATCCAACCACTGAGTATAATCAGGATCACAGGGACCAGTGAAAAACACTTTCCAATCAATATCCCAATCAGTTGATGGGTCCGATTTCGTTACAAACGATGCCATGGTAGGGGAAGCACGTGAAGTAGTGGAATTTATCAATGTTGAAGAATCGAGGACCTGATCCAGAATCTTCTGAAGTGTAGATGCCACTCGACGACAAGGTGTGTGATTTCCTTCCGTAGAGGGCATGCTTTTTAGGCAACTGATAAACACGCTCAGTTCCTGGATAATTTCCGAGCGTGGATGTGAATTGCCACTGTTTGGTGTTCCGGTGAGACTGTATTGTCTCAGAAGTAATTCAATAGCAAGGATAGCTGCTGCAGGTGTGCCGTAAAACATGACAGCCCAAGGGAAGAAAAGTGACATTTCCTCGAGGCGATGGCGGTGTGTGTAGAGCATTGTCATCACATTGATTGTGGCTTTTGCTGACGACAGTAAAGACTCGTTTTGACTAAGTGGGATGGAGCAAGATAACCTATACAAGAGGAAAATGCTCTTCTGTAAGTCAAGATAGATAAAAACAACGTTGAGAAAGTCGAATGATTTGAGATGAGCATGCTGACTTGGATTATATTGAAGTCGTTGGGGTAGGCTTATGTATGTTTCTTTGAGACGATTTACGATTTCACTAGTCATTCGTCAGCTAGCTAGTTTAGCAAGAGGGCACTGTATGTAATTACTTTTGCAAATTCTCCGGAGGCTCATCTTCGGAGCCCATAGTGAGCTCCAGGATCTCTCTTCGATGATTACCCATCATTGAAAGAGCTCGAAGATAGCTGACAGGATAGGAAGATTCACCGGGCGCCCATCCATTAGAGTCTAGTAGGCCAATGGCATTATCTAGCTCATCTATAGATAATAAAAGTTGCTCGTCACTCAGTTCGAGTGGTAGGGGGCATTCATCAAAGCGCCGAGTTAGCTGAGGTAGCCTTCCACAAGATGTAGAAACCGAATTGTCCAAAATAGTGGCACGATGGAAGGCCTTGCGCTCTAGTTCTGTTTGAATGAAGCATTTGAAAGTTGATCCAGGATTGATGCTCATATAGATGACATTTCGTACAAGATGGCCAACATTTGTATAGTTATGCTTTGCTATTAACAACTAGTCAGTTAAAAATGAAGTGTATTATGAATGATATTGGGCTACAAGCACTTACAATCATTGCTGTCATAAGACTGTTGAAGAAGAACCATATTTGCATGTGCGTTAACCACATTCACACTGGTTATATCCATTGTCTCACAGATGAAAAGACATGCCTTAACCCCTTTTCCAATGTCTCTACAAACCTGGCTTTTGTCGGAATGGGCTAAAAGAGGGTTAGAAGGGAGCATGCTGGCATAGGCGGAACCATAGGCTGATATAAGATGTGCTAGGGAGTCCCATGTCGTATTCGGTCCCACCCATGAGCTCAGCCACTCTACGGAGTCCGTCGAAAGTCGTTTGTTGACCCGACTGACAGTATTGGTCCAGAGCTGCTCGATAATTGGCTCTATTGAGCTCATCGACCAGAGGTTCACCTCCAAAAACCCTTCAAATTGATCCCACCAAGCATCATGCAGTAGACGCAAATAATAATCATGGCATCCAAAATCTGGATACTTGACGGCATGGTTTATGAGGCCTTCACAAAGCTCTTGTGAAGGTATTTGTGTAAGGGCGATAGTGGCATTTTCGAATAGCTTCTGGTCTTTCCATGGCGTGGACAAGACGTTTGACGGACTCGTTAGCATGTCCTCCGACTCAATATCTATGTTGAACTCGTCGAAGATCTTTCCCCAGCTTGTTGTTCTGTCGAGTGACTCCATTCGCTTGCTGGAGGAAGGCTCTAGAAGAATTCTTTCTGTATCTGTGGTGAACATCCCTTTTTGGGTCGATAATTCCCGAACAATAGGTGATTGGGCCATCGACATGACATTTTCCCGTCGATATTTTGACTTGGTCTGCCTCTTTTCCACGGCTGTACTCTTTGGGGAACATGCAGTCAATGGATTGGCCACGTAGATACATGTATCTGTCCGGTTCAGTCGCACACAGCGACCACAGTGTGGAACGGCATGGTCGCATGCCAGCTTTGATTTCCGACAAGTTTCACATGATGACTGCTGTCCATTTTTACGACGAAATTGAGATACAGGCATTATTTGCTGAGGCTCTTGCTACTGTAGATATGATAAGTATGCGAGAAAAACTTAGATTAATTGAAGAGACAGATCAACAATGGAAAATCTTGTACTGAGTAGATTTGGTCCATAGGGGTGGTCCCACCGGGTTCCGGTGGGATGTCCGGATCTGTCAGATAGACTAGAATCGGCTGGCCAATCATTTGAATTGCCACAAATGAATGAAACTGAATTACTAAATTAGGGATGAAGTTCGCCTAAATAGTAACACAAAGTGGGTAATGCAAGCCCTACAAACCAGGCCAAATCAGGCCAACTAGGCATAATCGAGCCTAAACCACCGCCCAAACCCACCACTCATTTGACAGGATCCCACATAAGATAACACTGCTAGTTTTCAGATTAGGAATACAAACATACATATATCCAGACTGGAATACTCCGTTCCCATTTGCCTGAACAAAATTGCTTATTTAGCTCAAAGTTGACAGATCCACATGCTAAAAATTGTTATTCATCGTTGTCTATCATGGTACATAGCTAGCTATTATCAAGGGACAAGAAGACCATCTCAGGCATTGATGTAAACAGGTGGGTATCAACCTTCGAACCGATTTTGCCTGATGGGTATGCCTAGTTTATTAAAGATTGTTCAACGAGGCGGACACTGCCGGACAATTAGTTTTATTATGGCTGCAAAGTCGTTCAGCAGACTCGATCGCCCTCGTTTTCTATCTTTTTTAGTAGGACTATCATGATGAGGGAGAGAAAAAATACTTGCCAGATTGACCAGTGATTTCTCCTTCAATAATTCGTAGAACCTTGGAAAGTAAAGCAGTGGTACTTGGCTTGCTATTGTGTTTTATTCAGCCAAAATGAAATGTTAAATTCAGTAACATAAGATCTAGAGATATCAACGAATATAAATATTTTTCTCTACCCAGTTATTACATTATGTTCATGCTAATACGTAAGCCCGAGCTCAAGCCCGATTCCAACCCCGACTCCGACGGACTCGCACTTACAAACCTTGGAAGCCGAACTAAAGTCAGCGTTGCAGGACTAGAAGATGAATTTGTACAAAACTCCATAGGTATGCAATAAGTATAAAAAAGGCTCAAGGGGTGTCGCTAATTCTTCATCATCAACAATTTTGGAATCACCTACACTATAAGAAAGTATGCATCACGAATAATCCCTGTGTTCCCATCCAGTTGAATCCTGAAACTTGAGGTCTGACATTCTGCAGACTCCAGAGACATATATCGCGTTCTCATCGTGACTTTAATTCGAAATTAAAACTCCGGAAGCCTTCACAATGAACATGCTTGCGCTTCCCGCCCACCGAAGCCCCCCTGCCGATGAGGGTTTGCGCTTCAAGAGCCAGAAGCCCCAGATTTCTCTATCTAATGCTATCTTAAAGGTCACCCAGCTGTTTCACCAAAGTTATAAGCGCAGTGTCAAGTCCTAGTACACCTGGACAGTTTCTTGAGGTCAGTTCATTTTATAAGCTGGTTTCCAATGACTAATATTTTCATGTTAGCTGAAGAAGCCATCCTATAATAGGAGATTGTCAAGTTCTATGGATACTTTGGAAGGATTTAAGATACTTGTATGGCATCTCTGCTCGCTTTTTTTTTTTTTTGTTAAGGGGATTAATTAGGACTGAATCCTCCTTGGAACTCTATATTGCAAGAAAAACATACGCTTATAAATTCATTTTTATACTTCAATTTCTAAGCATTTCGGCATTTGAATTCCCATTACCTAGATAAGCTGCACCCATCCAATTCCCTCAATCTCTTATCTGCTTTAATGTATAGCCCTCTACTGCAATAACTATCAAAGATCGTGAAGGAGCGCATGATTGTGGTTATCTATATCCTCGCCGGCGCTCTGTCTATTTTTATCTATCAGAATAGAGTATAGGTGTATCGGGAAAGTGAGTTTGACTAGTTTTACGATTCCAAATAGCATTAATCGAATGATAATGAATGTGGTGGGTTGCAAGAGGTGTAGTTATGGGGCCCACTGATTAGTCTCTGCTGTCAAAGGCCCGGTTCTGTATTTAGTTTAGTGCATTTTATTAGATAGTAAGCCTCTGGTGGTTTAGGCTCAATTGGCCCTAGTTGGTCTGAATTGGCCTGGTTGTAACGCTTGCACTACCCACTTTGTATTACTATTTTAGGCGAACTTCATCCCTAGTTTAGTAATTTTCATTCATTTGTGGCTTTGGAATGATTGGCCAGCCGATTCTAGTCTATCTGACAAAAAGATCTCGGCATCCCGGTCAGACTGTAAAGATCTCCTTTAATGGCAGGAACGAAATATCTATCAGAGTGAAAGAAGTGATATCCAAATATAGGACGTAGTAATTAACCAAGTTAATCGCTGGCTTTTAGAGACAGTCCAGTTTCTTTTTATATCCTCTTCTACGGTTGTTCTTTGATTCACTTCGAATTCCCCTCGTACTTCTGTTCTGGTAAGACACATCTGATTCTCTCCTTCTCCTTCTCCACTCGTCCCGTGTCAAACCTCAGAAGGATCGTATTTCATACGAACTTCCTACCGCGACACAGCTTCTGGAACTCGGCTTCTTCTTCAGTCATGAGTTCTAATTTCCAATCAGCCTCACTAGGGAGTTCGGTATTCGACTCTCAACTTCCTCCTCCGACCTTGAGCCGAAGTCGGATCCTTAGTAGAAGAAAATATCTATTACCTTGTGGAACCAATACCTCAGGCTGAGTCTAAGCAGCGATGTCCAGGCCCCTAAAGGAGATTTTTAGTCCTTCGATTCGGAGCTCTATAATGAAGCTCGAAGGAAGAAGAAGCTATTTTAGAACCCCGGACAGGCTCGTCCTTATCCAGTCGTGACACAGACCCGTCAGACCCGTCAGAAATTTTGCCATAATCCTAGTATTTTGGTCCATTTGAATGGGCCCTTCAACCATCTTCTGTTTTTCGATTCGTTCGAATATTATAGCCTGACAAATCACATTACTTCCATCCTCGGTAATTTGCTACGAGTTTTGACAGGACCCGGTGGAACTAGTGGGTACGGACTATCTAATTGCATTATCTGAAGAATTTAGACAGGTCTGCAGAAAAGCCCTGCTGATCTTGCTCTTTCCAGAATTTTGCCTAAGACTAACTAAAGGTTGGTGGTTGTGTAAGGATACAAATATGATGGCCCAACGGAGTCCTACGGAGTCCGTATGTAGGTTGAGGCTTATTGTGAGACTTACTGGTGTGATCGAGGAAGTCTTTGATTATGATCCATATGTTGAATTTTATTTGGCCATATTAAATCCTCCTAACTTTACCTAGGCTTTGGTATTGATAAGTTTGATTTATGAAGCCTAGAGTACAGGCTCAATGACTACACTCAAAAATGAAGAATCAAATATAGAATAAGTCTAAAGTCTCTTATTTCCATAAACTCGAATTTTTTGCATATGAGCCTTCCAAAGTTCATTTCATCTCTTCCTTTTCTCCAACCTCCTCATCTGACTTCGTAGGGCCCTTTTTGCTCTTTACCGAGCGCCACTCGACCCCGAACGAAACAACAAACGAGAGCACAGCAATCGCGATACCACATTCAAAAACGTTGGAAATAACAATTTGAAGGGCATCAATGGCTACATTCTTCTCGCTCTCTGGTAGTGAGCTGACCAAATCAGTAAGGCCTGTGCCTGCGGCCAGCGCCGCGCTCACATTTAATCCACTAGATGCCAGGAGAATCCTAGCTCGATTGTTGAGAATGCTGCTCCCCACGGCAACGAAAATGGCACCACCAAAGTTCATTAGAGTTGTGACTACTGTGAGAGCAATAGGAACATCTGTCTGTTCAAAGACAGTCTGGGCCGCTAGCTGTGGACCGTCCAGTGCAAGGCCAATACCTACACCACAGAGGATCTGGGATCCGATTGATCGGCCGAGGTCCGTGGATGCAGTAAGAGTGCTAAGAAGACCTAGACCAACCGATGCAATAGCACTACCGATATGCATGAACGGGGCGTATTTCCCTATCACCGATACAGCAATACCAGTAAATATAAGTGACAGGGTGTATGAAATCAGCAGTGGTAAAGTTGAAGTGCCAGAATGGAGGGCGGAATCTCCTTTGACTGTTTGGAAGAATATAGGCAACTGATAATAAACGTTAGTTCGCGGTACTTTGAGGTAAGGGAGGGAGCGTACAAAGTATTGAACAAGCTGACTCAGACCACCAATCAAAAACTCGTAGATAGAGCCCCAGATCATGCTACGTTGTTTCATTAAACGTGGAGGCACGGTGGCCTTCTCTCCGAGGCGGATTTGACTGTAGATAAATGAAAGAAGAAACACCACCGAGAGAATATATAGAGCGATAAGTTGTGGACTTTTCCATGTATATGTGACGCCACCAAATTGCAGAACAAGCAGAATGCAGACGGCGAATGGTACCCAAAGAAGTAGGCCAATCCAGTCAAATGAACGGAGCTTAGTGATCCATGATTCTTTCGATGAAACAGTGACCTGTTTAAGCGAGGCACCAAGTGCAATGAGAAGGCCGCAAACAACACCACATGGCAGATTAATGTAGAAGCACCAGCGCCAGCCCACTGTAGAAGTGAATGCACCCCCGATAACAGGTCCCAGGGCCCGAGTAGACCCCATGATTACAGCAAAGAGACTGTTCATGATGGGACGATACCGGAGAGGAATTGTATAGGAGGCAATGCTATCAAGACCTAGTCAGTCACCTCATCTAGTATGGTCAAAATGAAGGAAGGCATACATCATTGCCCCTGAGAACGTTCCCGCAATTCCCATACCCGCTACAGCACGACCAACAATGAAGACAGCTGAAGTATGCGCTACTCCACACAGCAGGGATCCAATCTCAAATGTTATGAGAGAGCTTAGGAACGTCCACTTGGCAGGGAAGGTCTTGTATAGGCGGCCCCAGGACAGTTGTAAACTGGAAAGCGCCAAGAGACTAGAGAAAGATGTTGGTTATAGTAATATATAAAAAGTAATTTTGATACTTACTATGCTGATCCATACCAACCAGAGTCATCAGATGAATGAAACTCATTCGTGATTGAGGGGACTGCCGTAGCCACGATGTTCATGTCTAGAGCACCCAGAAAAATAGCCAGGCCAATTCCTACGAAGACTGCGACCAGGCGTACAGAGATACCTGACTTAATAATCTCCGAACTATCCTTGAAAGGACTATCTTTTTCATCACAGGATGTATTGGGAGAACCTTTGGCCTTTGTCGTTATCTGTGCCATTTTGAATGTGTGTTTGGTGTGGAGAATCGATAATATAGATTTGCACAGTTGGATATTGTTTAATCGACTCTTGGATATTATTTGAAAATTGATTGAAGTATACTTGGATTAGTTGTATTATATACTCCATGAATTAATGAAAAAGTGGGGTTCAGACTACTAAAGAAAGTCCTAGCCCTATGCCGATGCCGACTCCGATCCAGTTCTGCAGATGCGGCCCTACCCACATCTTTGCACCTAAAGTTGTGTTTAATAGATTATGAAAGGATAAAAAGTTTCTTCTGACGTCATCTTACTTAGAGTAGAAGGAGAAAAGGGCTCCAGCAACCATGAATGATTCGGACATGGAGTTGGATTCGACCTAGGAAGGCTGCAGAAAACTCCATCCTCCATACCGTCCGACTGGCATGATACGAGGGGAATTTTCGATATTCAAGGCCGAATCAATTCTCATCATGGTTATTTCAGTATATAAATCAGATAATGAAGCTGTAGGATAGCACTGTACAGCCATCAATCAGAATCAAATCCACACAAGTCTCAAGACACTCGATACCTCAATACCAGAATGCCTTTTATTCAGGAACCTATTCAGACAAGCCCTCTTGTATCGAGACAGAATCTTGACCAATCCTTCGCCAAACCTTTCTTCATCCATGAAGCCGTTGGCGCAACTTTTCGACCTGAGTTGCTTGGATGCGAGACGGTTCGAGCAGCATGGTTCTTACTGCTAGCTCGATATTTCCAGGCAGATAGACTGAATATTGAAGCCTGGAAAATCAGTATGCCTCAGGCCAAATCTATCATCTCGAAGACCTTGTCCGTTTCAATGGAAACGCCGTTACGAGCCATTGTCCAAGAAGCAATGAATCTTTCTAACTTCGGCATTTGCCTTATAGAAGACAGTATTCATTCGTTCCCACTCGCTGAGCGCCATCTTAGTAGTCTTGGAACTACTAGCTTCCGGACCGCCTTGATCACAACTATGCAGCCGGTAGTCAACATGTCACGAGTACTGGCACAGCTTCAAGCGTGTCATATTATTGTGTGCCATGAACTTCAAAAGGTCTCCATCTGGGTTGACCCCAGGCTATGCTCAGCTGCTATCGATGCTGGACTTCCTTCTCGACTCCTGTCCCAGATGGAACTCATTGCTCATCAGTTGGTTCACTGTGATTGCAGCTCCGGGACTGTCAGAGACCTGGAGTATTTTAGTCATGCTGACAAGCTGAACGCGGAATCAAACGATCCAGCCCTTAAACCATCCGTGTCAATGCTTCTTCATGAGGTCATTGCCTCATTTGCCGACTCCAGACCTAATGCACCGGCTATTTGTGCGTGGGATGCAGATCTATCTTACTGGGAGCTGAACCATCTATCAACTCAGTTAGGTTCGCATTTGATGGATGCAGGTGTTCGGCCTGGTACATTGGTTCCCTTGCTCTTTGATAAATCAGCCTATACTCATGTGGCTCAACTCGCAGTCCTCAAGGCTGGAGGAGCATTTACTACTCTGCCATCCGACATGCCCCTGGCACGAATTGAGTCTATAGTGGCACAGCTCAGACCTGACACTGCTGATAGACCGATAGTCGGGCTATGTTCTCCTTTACTGAGCAACATTCTGGACCCCCTAGTTGCCCGCGTCATTGCTGTAGATGAGCAGTCTGTTGCAGAGATCAGAAAAAAACCCCAAGTAGATAATATAAGGCCCCAGCCTCATGATGCAGCCTATGTTATCTTTACCTCAGGCACTACTGGTGTTCCAAAAGGTGTAGTGGTTGAGCATCGCAATATTTGCAGCTCTTGTAAGTATTTTGGCGCAGAAATGATGGGACTGAATCAACCTGGAGTCCGACATTCGCAGTTTCTGTCGTATGCATTCGACGGCTCCATTCATGATATCTTTTACACTTTATCAAACGGTGGGTGTCTCTGTGTCTTGTCCGAAGATGAACGTATGAACGACATCTCCGGTGCCATGACTCGCATGGGAGTAACTCACGCCAAGTTCACCCCATCTATTGTTGATCAACTCTTCCCCGAAGATTTTCCGACAGTCCAGAAGCTCTTCCTCGGAGGTGAACCCCTAACTCAAGCCTGTGTTGACCGGTGGGAACCTCATGTGGAAGTGTGGAATAACTATGGCCCCGCTGAATGCACAGTTCAGTCTAGCGTTATCAGCTGTGCGGATCCTAATTGGACCTCTGGAGTCATCGGACACGCCGGAGCTAGCCGCTGTTTTATTGTTGATCCCAGCAATCCACATCGTCGAATGCCAATGGGAATGATTGGCGAGATTTTGATTGAAGGACCTAATGTCAGCCGTGGATACCTACGAAACGCAAATCAGACCGACCATTCGTTCCTTCAGGGGCTCACATGGGCTCCTTTACGGCGCTTCTATCGTACAGGCGATATGGCATTTACTGGCTCGCATGGACTGTTGACTTGCAAAGGTCGTGACGATGACCAGGTGAAAATAAATGGCCAGCGAATTGAGCTAGGTGAAGTAGAGACTCAACTTCAGTCGGTATTACCAGGTGCTTCTCGTGGCGTAGTTGACGCCGTGAATCCATCGGGACGAGGCAAGATCCTCATTGCTTTCATTCAACTAGATAGCCCACTCAAGAGCCAAATTTCGTTCGATCAGCTGAAGCGTGAGGTTCAGGATGGACTTTTCAACGTTTTACCACCAGCATTCATCCCCTCGCGCATTCTTCAGTTGGATGAGATTCCTATGGGCCCAACGGGAAAGACCGATCGCAAGGCTTTACGCAAACTCGCCATTGATATGTTTTTTAATTCATCCAAAATACAACAGCAAGCTCCACATCTAACCATCCAGGACCCTTCTGTTCTTCTTGAGTCTGCGGATTTGAAAGAAAGAGACTGCCTTCTGAGGAAGATGTGGGCAGAGACTCTTCAGCTGCCCACAGAAACATTCAATTCAACTTCTGACTTCTTTTTGCTCGGTGGAAACTCATTGTTAGCGATGCGTCTGGCTTCCTTTGCTCGCAAGGTATCCTGGAATTTGAACGTGAAAGACATTTTCAGATATCCTGTTCTGTCTGATATGTTACTTGCCATTTCATGTCTGGAATCAACTCCAAAGATAGCATTACAAACTTCATCCAAGTTGAAGTCTCTGGTCGCCAAAGATTGGAAGATTGATACGAATGCAATCGAGGCTATCTATCCAGCTAGCGCCATTCAAGAAAACTTCCTAGCACTCGCATCAACCAATCGCGGGGCTTACATTATGCAGTATACATTTTGTATTCCGAACGAAGTTAACCTTGAACGACTGGAAGAGTCTTGGAGACGGGTTGTGAAGACCCATCAAATTCTCCGAACTCGCTTCTATCATACCGCAACTGGACTTTCTCAAGTCGTTTTAAAGGAAGATTTCCACTGGAAAACGCAGAAGGTGGAATCAAAGGACGCTCGCCAAAAGATAAAATCAACTCTTCTTCTTCCAAACCAAGCTCTCTGTCAATTCCACATCTACATTTCAGATGAATCCAGCTCTCGAACTTTGATCTGGACAGTGAGTCATGCTTTAACTGATGGATGGACAAGTGCTCGACTATTTGCAGAAGTATTTGAAGTATACTCATGCGATGCTGCAGTGCCTATAGCCGAGCCATACACCAGCTTTGTGCAGTCTTTATCCGTCGCACCTGAAGGAATGGAAGGTTTCTGGAAAGAGGAGCTTGACCATGGCCCTGTTCTAGAATATCCAATCCTGCCTTATTCTCAGTTCCGACCCGACACAAACTCCAGACGATCTGGTCAAGTGAGCATCTCTTTAACCTCTACATCTCGATATGGCGTGCCTCTGATGATTCGCGCTGCATGGGCAATCACTATAAGTGAGGTAACTCAACAGGAAGATGTCCTATTTGGTGTCAATCTGAGTGGCCGTAATGAATGTCCTGATGTGGTGGGCCCAACTGTCACAACAGTGCCTATTCGAATTTGTGTCCGCCAGTCTTTCTCCGTGAAACATCTTCTAGAACTCATGCATATACAGTCAGTACGTATGATGTCCTATGAGCAGTCAGGCCTTCGTCGAATTGGAGACATTGAGAACGGTCTTCTCCGGCCATATTGCAAATTTCAGAATTCTCTAGTCGTTCAACTACCCCGAGAAAAGGTCGCAGGGTCCCTTGATAGGACTTTGAAGTGGATGGATCCAAGTAATCTTGACACTGTCTCTGCACACGGTTTGGTTGTCAACTGTCTCGTCAAAGCTTCCACCGTGGATGTGTGGATGAACTACGACAATCGAATCCTGGGTGAAGATAGAGTAGCTGAGTTGATGAGTCGATTTCTAACTATTCTGTCTCAGATTTTGAGTGATGGAAAGGATAAAACTATCGCCGAAATTTCTCCTCACAGCCAGTTCTTGATGTGTAAGAATCATTCTGCTCACAAAGGCCGATTGGTCGAATACCTTGGCCAAAGTGTCGATGTTGCAGAAATCGAAGATCAGATGGCAGCGAGTTCCTGGCATCATAACATTCAGTCCTATGTCTATCCTATTCGACCAGATGACAAAGCTACATATTCTGTCCTCGCTGCTTTCGTTGCCACGGATGATTTTAAGGTCTTCACACAGTATGTGGCAGAGATTCAATCACAGATTGGAAAGTATCTTCCCAACCACATGATCCCGGCTCTTTATATTCCTGTTTCCACAGATGAAGAGCCATTTGAAATTCCGGGGGACTTGGAAAGGATAGCCTGGAATTATGCATCTTCTTCCACACCTTCTCTTCAAGTTGACTCAAAACTTGACTGTTCATCCTTTGCACTCCTATCAGGACTCTCCCCCGTTGAAAAAATCCTCATGGAATGTTGGATGCAAGTCCTAGGCCGCACAGACATCACCGTCTCTGATAACTTCTTTCTGCTCGGCGGTGATTCCATCAAGGCCATGCGCCTAGTCGCTGCCGCACGAGCTGCCAATCTGCAAATTTCCGTCGCCTCTGCACTACAAAACCCTATCTTCCAACAGATGGCTGCGATCTCGGACATCATTGAATCTGAAACTATTCAGGATGTACACCCCTGGTCTCTGGTTGGAGGAAGGGAAGGCCTGCTTGGCGTCAATGAACAAGTCAAACAACAGTGCGGTTATGGCATCAATGACCTAGAAGACATATCCCCAGTAACCTCATACCAGGACTGGACTTTTTCGGCTTCATTGCGATCTCCAGGTTCTTCTATCCTGCAGACTCGGTATCAGATCGCAGCTGAGTTTGACACCTCAAAGTTCAAGCGAGCTTGGCAGCAAGTGTGCCTCTCTTTCCCAAATTTACGCACCAGATTTGTGCAGCCTGAGGGCTGGGGTTTGTTGCAAGCTATCTGTTTTAACGCTACGAGCCCTCGAACGATTCGTTTCGCGACCTTGGAAGATCTTCAAGTGTACATGAAGAGTGTCTTGCCTTCCATGACTCAACTTGGTGCCTCCATGAACGAAATTTTACTAGCTCAAGTTGGTTCTAAAGAGCAAAACGAGAGATACCTCGTTTGGTCGATTCACCATGTTATTTTCGATGGGGTAAACATGGCCCACATTCGACAGGCTCTTACTGAAGTCTACCATGGTGACAAAATCACACATCAGCCGGTTGCCTTGCGTGAGTATGTTGGCTTTCTAAACGGCCAGCAATCTTCTATGCAGGATGCATATTGGAGAAGATATCTGAAAGGAGCTGAGGCGAGTATCTTCCCCCACTATCCTTCTCCGGACTACATTCCCCGCCCGCAGCGGACACATAGTCTGGCCTTGAGTTTGAAGCGATCCGAAGCGCAGCCAATAACCATGGCAACCATGATTCATGCTGCTTGGGGAATCGCTTTAGCATCCTTCACCCGCACACGTGATGTGACCTACCGGAACCTCCTTAGCGGGCGCACCGCCGCCACACATAAGGTCGATCGCTTTGTGGGTCCAACAATCACTTTGGTTCCTGTACGCATCAGGATACGAGAGCGATTGCACTCAACTGTTCGCGGATTTTTGTCTGAAATTCAAGCTCAATTGGTAGAGATGATGCCACACACAGGAGCTGGGATAGATAAGATCTCCTCCTTGATACCTGAAAATCCCCAGCTCTTGGACTTCCATAATTTGCTGGTCATCCAGAGCGCCAGTGGACCAGAGGCCAAATCAGAAAGAGATATCCCGATGTATCCAATCGATAGCTCGATGGATTTGGATGGGTTGCATGCATTTGCGTTGCAAGGCTTTATCTCTCCAAATGGGGTGACTTTGCATCTGCGATGGGATGAATCGGTGATCTCAGACAGCCTCATACGTATTCTGCTTGTGAGAATGAGCTACTTGCTCCATGAGATGGTTGAGGGTAACCAATCTGTCACTATCGGGAGGCTTCGGAAAGCATGTTTTTCTTTGTAAAAAAAAAATCCGGTCTAATGTTGTATCTTTTTGTCTCAACTATCTATAGTAGAAGCCTAAAATCTCCATTCTTATCTCATTAAAGTACAGTGTAGATAATTCCCCGGTCTTTGGCCGTAATATCCTTCTCCCAACGCCTATTGATGTGGCTTTTTGATTCTTTATTTTTGATATTTAACTGCTGAAAGTGCAGTTTTAGCGCGCTATCAAAACTTTCGCGTAAGTCAAGTGTGATATTGTCTTTGACCCACTCAGCAGCTTTTCTAACAGCCATATCGGGGTCATTCTTGAGATTCAGGAGGAAGCTCTGGATTTCGGCTGCTGTCCACTGGCCCTCTAGGATCAGCTCGGCAAATTTGTTAAAAAGATAGGTCCCGGATTGTCTTGTTTGCCATGGCTCTAGCCGGCTGGTCCTCTAGATCTACAGTGAATGTGGAACATATTATGAAAGTCTGCAGAATTCTATTCATATCTAAATCATCCAGCATAACAGAATGCTGAGATCATATTCCTGCCTTAACCGGGAATGGCCATATGGATCTCGCTTCGTCTGCTGTTTTCTCCCCAGCAATTCCCGTGTAATTGGCATACATATTTGAACAATCAGAAACTGAAAGCAGCTGCCTTAACACCAAGACCCCTCCCTTTCTTACCTTGACATGTTATCAATAAAGACGATCCAGGTCTGCCATATCGATATTTCATAAACTTTCTGATCGCTGTTAGCATTTCGCGAGCAAGTTTGTGGTGAACCTGACTTCGATCCATCCTGTAGAGCATAAACCAATATAAGCCCGGAATGTCCAGTATCAACACGGTAGTATTTCGGCTTCACTGATACTTTTCATTACGAAACTGATTCCTTTTGGATAAATCGGTAATTCATTCCATACAATTCAACCAATGCCATCCGAAATCCCGCATTCACTTACTAGGAAAAACATCCCATCATACTTTCACCAAGTTAGGACTATAAATCAGCATTTCCTCAATATGTCTTACTTCCGTCGAGGAGTTCATACCAGCATCATCATTTGGGGCTGTGATTTCGAAGATTATGACAAGATATCTGCTCATATAAACGGAGGATACTAGATGATGTAAGCAATGTTATTTAATACGACTAGTTAACTAACAATAATTATACCTACGTACTCATGATATAGGAATCTTCTCTAATTTTTTCAATTTTAAAGAAATTGCGAACTAATATGTGGTGACGAAAAGTCGAAAAGGACACACCGTCATAATTGAAGGCAATACCGAAGAGCTACCATGGCGATTGAAGAATTTTCCTCAATTCTTAGACTGAATCCGTAAGGGTTAGAGTCCAATGCGGTTGGGCTACCGTAAACAAGAGAAGAACTATTATGAGAAGGCTACCAGAGGATGGAGGTGTGGGTGTGGTATCCCATAGGGCTCAATTCCACTAGGGTAAATTGGGGACAAGAACAACTCTTGAACTCCTTCAAGAGTCCAAAGACCTCAGAGAGTTAAATACATCAGGAAGTGGCAAATCTCTAACTAGCTTATCCGGGGAACCCCTGCTTCCCTGACAGCTGGTTCAGCCAGCTTATGTAGAGAGTCCATTGCCTCTCTCAGCCTTCTTGCAACCCACGCCGTTACAAATATACTCCGCCAAAGACGTTAACACAACTTGAAAGAAGCCAACAGAAGATTACTAAACATATTCCTCTACAAGATCTTACACCAAAGATTCAAAGAGGTTTCAAATATCTTACTCATCATGCTCAATTGATCCAAGAAAGATGTCGAGTTCTTGAACATATGGTTGAAAAAATGCAGGAGAAACGGGCGCCACTTTTACATACATAATATCACATGAGACTTGGCACGTCAACCTTGTAGGATGTCCTCTAGCACCGTGACAGCTGACATGTTTACATCAGCTACATGAACATAAGCCATGTATGGTAATATGGCAAAGAATATTGTGATGCATGATCCGACTTTAGGCCGAACTGAGCCAAATGGTGAACTTTATTCGCGGGGAAGCAATATCACGTGATATTACATATCTTAACCAATCATGACTCATTGGGTCATTCAAGAGGGGCAGAGTCGAGAAATTCCCATTGTCTTGAGTCAACCCCACGACAAAGTATGCTATAACTATTCTTGCCACTTGTTGATTTTTCTCCGTGACTGACCTCAATCCTAAACAGCTCTCGTACATCGCCTACCATGGCGGACCAATCAGCCCAACCCCCAGCGATCGACGCCCTCAGCCTTACTGAAAATGTTCCTGAGACAAAGGTCACTGGCCAGATTGTCACTCCTTTTGATGTTTCTGGTGGTGTGGATGAGACAGGCAAATTGCTGCCTGTAGACTACGACAAACTGGTCCGAGAATTTGGAGCCACTCCTCTCACATCCGATGTCCTCGAACGCTTCGAGAAAGTGACTGGCCACCGCCCACATCGTTTCATGCGCCGGAGCATTGTGTTCAGCCACCGTGAACTGAACAAGATCCTGGACCGGCATGAGAAGGGCCAACCGTTCTACCTCTACACTGGTCGTGGCCCGAGTAGTGATAGTATGCACGTGGGACACACAGTTCCATTCGAATTCACCAAGTATGTAAACATCAAAGCTCTACACGTCAATTGCAATGCTAACCGCATTTTTACCTGTAAAGATGGTTGCAGGATGTTTTTGATGTACCCCTGGTGATCATGATGACCGATGACGAGAAATACATGCACTCTGCGAAGATTGAGATCGACGACGTCAAGCGCTACACCAAACTTAATGCCAAGGATATCATTGCTGTTGGCTTTGACATGAAGAAGACGTTCATTTTCAGCGACTTCGACTTTGTTGGAGGTGCCTTCTACGAGAACATCTGCAGACTGGCCAAGCGTATCACCATCAACCAGGTTCGGGGTACATTTGGCTTCAATGACAGCAACAATATCGGCGAGTTCCACTTTTGCGCCACTCAATCTGCCACTGCATTTGCGACCAGTTTCCCCCAAATCTTCGGCACTGACAGGAAGAAGGTGTCCTCGATTCCTTGTTTGATCCCTTGTGCTATCGACCAAGATCCTTACTTCCGACAATGCCGTGAACACGCCGAGAAAATGAAGTATAAGAAGCCCTCACTCATTCACTCAATTTTCCTCCCTGCTCTCCAGGGACCCGGCTCCAAGATGTCCGCTAGTATCGATTCCTCTGCTATTTTCATGAGCGATACTCCCAACAAGATCAAGAACAAGATTAACAAGCACGCCTTCTCGGGTGGCCAAGAAACCGCCGAGCTTCAACGCGAGTTGGGTGGTAACCCCAAGGTCGACGTGCCCTTCCAGTACTTGACCTTCTTCCTTGAGGATGATGAAGAGCTTGAGCGTATCCGTGTTGCCTACACGAAGGGCGAAATGATGACCGGCGAGCTGAAGCAGCGTTGCATCGCTGAGCTGCAGGAATATGTCAAGGGTTTCCAGGAGCGTCGGGCTCAGGTCACTGACGAGATTGTGGCCGAGTACATGCGCCCACGTCCTCTCGAGTGGAAGGGAAACCCCAACCCAGCTGTGGCTGAGAAAGAAAAGAAATAGTAATCTTGGAAAATGAAAATTTCAATATTGACATTGTTCATAGCTTGCGTTCTTAATCACGAATTGATGGCATTGCACTTTTCTGTCTTATACGTGAATAGTGGTGCTAAAAAGATAGGAGATCGCGAAACCTCTGGTGTGAAGCTATGACTGTTTTGTATATGTTTCAGATCGTGGCCTGGGATTGGTCATGACTTTAAGATAATGATACCGCGAAAGAATCCACGGACGCCGTTGCTAAGCCAACACTCTTCGCCATCCACAAGCTCGGCCCTTGTAATGGCATTTTCCACACAGAATCCTTGAGTCAATGCATATCTTCTAGTTGTGCCTGCATTGCCGCCACATCTCAGTGGAGGCGTAATCCAACATTGTTCGGAATTAATTGTATGTTCGCCAGCGCGTGGTCGAAAATATGGAGTAGTGATACTCCCTTCGGCGATCTCTCCTTCGGGATTAACGATCAGAACTTCAGACGTTTCAGCCAGGGACATTATCCCCACGCGTAATCGAGCAGCTTTATAGTCATCCCGGGCAGTAGTTTTGTGTGTGGTGAAGCCAGAAGGTATAATGGACGTTGTATCAACGTACACCCGCCATGGCGGTGTTTCTATACTTGCACGAGTAGCGGGGATTAATAAATTCTTAGGATCAATTGCAGCAGTTGGGTTTACGTCGATTGAGCCCTTGCCGTTGGAGTCCACAGCAACTCTCAACCGCCACGGCTTATCTCTGTCCAGAATTGACCCATCAAGGAAGCGCTCGAAGCTGCTTGAATCCTGCTGTAGCCATTTTAATGCTTTATCCCATTGAAAGTAATGCGCAGCAGCTATGAGTCGATCACGATGGTGGGTCAAAAGGTAGTAGGGTGAGGACAGCGGTTCTGGGTAGCCACTGAAATAGACTGTGGCTACCCTCGGAAGGCCAGGATCGTAGCGTAGCGATGAAATAATCTCAAACGACTGCCGATCTTCCGATAATGGAACGGACATTATTAGGGACATTCAATGGCTCGTTACTCGTATCGTCACTTCAGTTGGGTAGCTTTGTCGCGCGCTTTGAAACCCAGACAGTGATGATGGAACAGATGATCAAAGTAGAAGCCTCAATTGGAATATCAGTTAATCTCGACCTCTTCTTTGACTTCCTTCAAGCATTCCAGATGTGTGTGTGTGTGTAATGGTAAAATTAAGGTGGAGACCTGCGGCAGAGTTAACTGACGCGTGCGTGATTGGCCGGTGCTGGATCATCGAACTCTTGACTTTTCCTCCTAAGCTTCCATCATTTCTCCCTATATTTCACTTACCGCTTCTGGCGTAAAGGACCGGTTGGTTCCCCCATCATACCTTCCTACGATTATATTGATTTTCTTCATCCGATACTGATTTTACAAGCTAGCGCAGAATCAGGACTGTAATATCATCGGCCACCTGCGTCCGATTTCATCATCATGTCGAGCGAGTCACCATTACGCACACCTATCCAGAATGTAGTTCTGGATACTACAAAACTTTCCACTTCATCGACAGCATCAGTCTGGGATCGCATTACCGGCTGGGCTTCTGAAAACAAGGCCCTCGTCTACACCATTGCCGGTGTCGCCGTTGTTGTGACCAGCGCCGGTGTTGTCTACTACCTGAACGATTCCAGCAAGCCTGCCTCTAGCAAGCCTTCTACACCCAAAAAGAGCAAGAGTCAGCGACGAAAAGAAAAGAAGAAGGCTGAGGAGGAAAAAAAGAAGGCCGCTTCAGTGCAGGATGGTTCGTGATCGTTAGCATCATATGATGACTGAGTCGTGACTAACGTTAATCCTACAGAGTCTACTCCTAAGAAGGCCGTAGAGGAGCCATCTGAGGATATCCCAGAGGTCGATGAGACAACTGTGCCACAGTTGTCTGAAGAAGTGTGTTCCCCAATGAAACAGTCTGTTCGTGGCGGAAGTTACTAACAACATCATATTAGACTCGCAAGGAGTATGCCTCCAAGCTAAAGTTGGCCGGTAACAAGGCTTACGGCTCCAAAGACTACAACAAGGCCATTGATCTGTATGGCAGGGCCATTATCTGCAAGCCCGACCCCGTTTTCTACTCGAATCGCGCCGCTTGCTATAACGTTTTGTCGGAATGGGAGAAGGTTGTTGAGGACACCACCGCCGCACTGGCAATGGACAGTGAATACGTCAAGGCTCTCAATCGCCGAGCTATCGCATACGAGCACCTCGGCAAATTCAGCGAGGCTCTTCTCGACTTCACTGCCAGCTGCATTATCGACGGTTTCTCCAACGACGTCAGCCGCACCTCCCTCGAGCGTCTCCTGAAGAAGATCGCCGAACTGAAGAGCAAAGCTATCCTGGAGTCCCGGAACAAGAAGCTACCCAGTGCTACCTTTGTTTCGAATTACCTGCAAAGCTTCCGTCCCCGTCCTTTGCCCGAGGGACTGGAGGAGTCTGTTGAGCTGAGCGAGGACTCAGGTAAAGGTCTTTTGCGCAAGGGTCTGATTGCTATGGATCTGAAGACTGGCGAAGGCTACGAAGAGGCTGCCGCTTCATTCGAGAAGTCTCTTGAAGCCGGTGACCTTGACGAGTTCGAGGCTCTGGCTCTGAACATGCGGGCCACCTTCACATACCTTGCTGGCAATGCCACTAGCGCGCTTGAGGACCTCAACAAGAGTATTGAGATCCAACCATCCCTTGTTCAGAGCTACATCAAGCGTGCTAGCTTGCATCTTGAGCTTGGTAAGACTCAAATTCAATCCCTTTCTTGACAATTTTATTGACTGTTTATCATTAGGCAACAAGGACGCCGCCGCTGATGACTTTGAGCTTGCCATTACCAATGACAAGGATGACCCTGATATTTACTACCACCGCGCACAGCTTCACTTCATCCTCGGCGAGTTCGCCGAGGCCGCCAAGGACTATCAAAAGTCCATCGATCTTGACCGATCATTCATCTTCTCTCACATTCAACTTGGTGTAACTCAGTACAAGATGGGATCAGTTGCGTCAGCAATGGCCACTTTCCGCCGATCAGTCAAGAACTTTGAGGATGTGCCCGATGTGTACAACTACTACGGTGAGCTTCTGCTCGACCAGCAGAACTATGCCGAGGCCATTGAGAAGTTTGACAAGGCTGTTGAGATGGAGAAGGCTAGCAAGCCCATGGGCATCAATGTCTTGCCGCTGATCAACAAAGCTCTTGCCCTGTTCCAGTTCAAGCATGACTTCCAAGAGGCCGAGAATTTGTGTCAGAAGGCTCTCATTAGTAAGTTTTTGTCTATAATATGTAAGCTGCAATTCATAAAACTAATTACCCTTCTCCAGTCGATCCCGAGTGTGATATTGCCGTCGGCACCATGGCTCAGCTGCTCTTGCAGCAAGGCAAGGTCTCACAGGCCTTGAAGTACTTTGAACGGGCAGCTGAGCTTGCTCGCACTGAGGCTGAGATAATCAACGCCATCTCCTACGCCGAGGCTACCCGCACCCAGTTAGAGGTTCAAGAGAAGTATCCCCAACTGGCTGCCCGTCTGAATGCCATGGGTGGTATGGCTCCTGGTGCACCCATGTAAAAGCCTTGTTGTTGCTTATTAGTTCCCCTTGTTCAATAATCCTACCCTCTCCCATGTTCCTTTTCATCTTCACTTCGATCTTCGTCTCCTGGAAAACGGAGTCGAGGTCATATGTCTTAACTATCCCCTTTCATTCCGGGACTTTCTTAGAACTCCTCTTGTCCAAGTGTTTAGGCTGTTTCTTTTCCTCTTCCTGTAATTAGTATCCCCGTCAAATATTCCCCTTTCCCCCACTTTTTGATGATCATGTTGAGCCTGGGGCTGAGGATAAGATATCCGGGTTGTTTGGGGCCAGATGCTGTAACCGATTACAGAGACAGCGATTAATCTGTGTACTATAGAGGTGAATATGAGAGTTCTTGATCAAGCAATATACCTCAAAAATAAATGTGAAAACATCGTGTTTAGTAGTTGTACATAATGTACATAATATAGTACGGCTTGTCACGGGGTATGGGGCACATGATCCCCGGATCGATAGGCTCCACTCAAACTTAAGTCCGCTTTGATAAGGAAGTGCCTGCCCCACTTTCTGCTTACTACAAGGACTATACCCTCCATCTCTACTTCTCTGCTTCTCTTTTTACTTCCTCCTTTATCATCTCCTTCCTAACCCTTTCTGTTCTTGACAAAGAACTTCATTTCCATTGCTTCCGAGCCTAGTTTCGTTGCTGATACACCCAGGTAGGTTTGACCCAAGGTTAGAAGTCTTACCTGCGTCTGATTCATCATCCTACCCCTCTTCCTTTCGTTCTACACCTTATTACCTTCCACTTACTTCACTTCACTTTTCTCACTTTCATCACCCCACTACTACTTCGGCTTTCTTTGATCTCTCTTATCTCTGACAAACTTCCAGGGGCTCCAGCTTCTCCGCCAATACACCCAGTTAGTCACTCATTAATCTGCATCTTTCTTTCACCCCCCTACTGTACTCCTGATTCCTGCCAACTTTCCAGTTCCCCATTCCACTCCAACTCATACTGACTCGAATATCACATCCAATAGGAACCTTTCTCTTTTAACATCCTCCGGCGTAAGCTTAAACTCAGATATGGAGGATCCTACCGACACGGAGGGTCGTCATGACAGTATGTTTTGTTTGAAGATTCGCCCCCTACAACTTGTTACCGATATCTGACATACTGTAAATATAGAGATTACCTTGACTCTTCATGAGATCAGCTCTGAATACTCTGGCTCTTTTGGCCCTCGCATCATCAACCTCTTCGGCATTGATAACGTGGCTATTGGACGAGCCTCAAAGCGTGGGGGCAAAGACCGTATGCCAGCTGCACACAATGCATGGTTCGATTGTCGAGTTATGTCCCGTGACCATGCGATGGTGGGCATACGTCAGGCCGGATTTAAGAGCCCAGTGAGATCCCCTTCCACCCGTTTAAGAGTTTAGTTTATATGCTGATTATGTTCCACAGGTTCCTGTGCTTTATGATACTGATTCTACCCATGGAACTTGGTTGAATGGCCGTAAGCTTGCCCCTGGCGAGATAGTGGAATTGTCAAACGATGATGTTGTCAAATTTGGCGTTGACATTCAACGCGGTGAAGGTATGCGTCCCTCTTTTCTAGGGTCTCATTTCTTCTTTTTTTCCGGACTTTTTGTCGGTTAATATAAGAACCAGATCAATTTTTCGCTCTCAGTGCTCGCTGTACAATCGAGGAGGGACGTAATGCCCCGGTTGTGAACGATGTTCCAATCATCCGAAGCACCTCCACCAACACATTCTGTGTCCCTGATGATAGCGATATCGAGGACGATCCAGATCAAACTATTAGCCTTCCTAACAGCCGGGCCATGGATATGTCGACCGACGGAGATTATCGCCTTCCTACTGGCTTGCTCGACACTATCGTTTCATTCGAGCAACTGGCACAGGGACCCATAGACAAGACAGAGGAGCGGTCTATCGGTTTAGATGAGTCTAATAATCACTCGATCAAGGATATATCTTCCTCGGAGGAAGACTCCGAAGAGGCCGAACTTTATCGCGAGGATTATTTGACCGAGGCGGTTCAACAGCACCTTGGCCTCGTTGATACTTTCGCGTCCGCGATTGGCAGCGAAGATGAAAGCGAAGACGACGCCTGGTCCCTCAGCTCTGGAGCCAGCTCTGATAACGACACTAATATCTCCCACTCCGACTGGGACTCTGATTCTGGCTCCGATGTCGTTGATGACACTGATGTCAATCCCGAGGAAGTTATTAAAATTTCTTCCATCGATCCGCGTTTGTTGATGAGCCAACACAATGGCCGTGCTCATGCGCATCACCAATCAGAGCCATTTGAAATTAATCACCCTGAAATTCCAAAGAACCAGATGACGTCTACCCCTGAGTTGGCCCCGATGACTGACCGTATGGTTCAGAAGGACTCTCCCGATTCTTCCTTGCCGTCTTCGGTGGCTGGCAGTATGGTTCTGGCTCAGAAGGTTTCTCCCGATTCTCACCTCCCGTCGCCCACAAAATCCGATCCTTACTATGATGGGCCCTTTTCACGCAAGGATCTGCCTCGCGATGCTGTCGTGGATTTCCATGATTTCTGTCTTTCTTTGCCGACACCACCTATGAGTGTCCAAAAGCGCAAGGCTTCTGAGATGGATTGTGCTGAGATGACCGAAACGCTGGATTTGACCTCTGAAGAAACAGGATCTTTGTCTCCTATCTTTTCAGAGCAGACCCAGTCTCAGTTGGTTGAGGTTGAACGTCCTGTGAAGCGAGCCAAATTTTCTCGTGTGGCATTTGATAGAATAGCTAAGGTTGCTATCGCCGGAACAGAGGCAGCCGCTACTGCTCGCCCCTATGCCATTGGTGCTGTGGTTGGTACTATTACCACCATTGCTACTCTTGCAGCTCTGCCTGCGGGGTTGTTTGAGTGAGGGAGCACATGTCTCTGACTTTGCTTTCGGGCGCCTTACGTTTTGGGTGAAAACGTTATTTCATTCCTTTCATTCAGTGTGCGAGCCACAACCTCCACAATATTCCACGTCAGATCCTCGCGGATGGTGGAACCCGACTCAGGAGTTATTGGATCTTGGAGTTATCCGGTGGCTAACATTTTACTATGCGTTACATTTTATTTATCTGTTCCTTTTCCTTGATTCCCTTGCCCTTGAGATTGTGGTTTATATCCATATTGCCATCAAGGAATATTCCCTTCAACATTTGCTTAAGACATCTCGACGAATTATGGCGTCTGAGAAAGCCCTGGAGGCTCTAGTAATCAACTAGAATGAAATCCATAATTTCACAAAATTTGTACAATTCAACCATGTTCACAGTCAGACTAACTTTCTAAGGTATAAAAAACCATGGTCGCCGCATGACTACAAATCCTCCTCAGGACTGAACTCTTTGCTGTCATGTACCGCTCTTTGTCAGCAGTCTCATTTCAAACTGTGCTTGATGTCATGACATCGGCTTCGGGGATCTATAGCCATCTGCTTTACTTTCAATTGGAGGTGGTCCCCGTTATTGCGAACATTCACCGAAATTCAATAGAAAAGGGTACATACCTAGGTACTTATGTACCATATTTCCTCTGCCAGGTGGGGCTTTCCTATTTCAGGTGCCGCCGCTTTTATGACGAACTACGGAGTAGTTTGAAATCACTTCCAAATCACTTCCAAAATTTTATTGATGACTTGTGGTATTTATTCATCTTTCATTTCTACGTCCTCTATAGAACTTGCTTGTATACGAAAGGAAATTCTTTTTTTTAAATATTACTGGATGTCATTCAGTCTTCTCCCAAGATCATTATTGATCGAGCTAGGTAATCAACAACACCGCCTGAATCAACCCTAAACCCATACACCACTTCCACTCTTTAATTCCTTATTATTTCTTCATTTCTAATTTTATAAGAGATACATGTATCAAAATTAAATTTATCTACCTAGGTACATGAGTACCACAATTAAATCTTTAAATATTCGATTCACAATCTTGAAAAAAATACCTCGGGAGGTATTTGACAAGATCTTATAAGATGAATATACCTGTTCAGATAATATACCTAGTATAAAGTTGATGTATTGAGTACGGCTGGTAATTTCTCACCTTTTCTTTAATAACTAAATTCTATACTATGTCATGAAGAGCCTGGATGATAATGAAAGGCTATAACCATGATATGTATTAGTTTGAGAATGATGTAGTAGGCGTGATCAAAATTGATGATTTTGGTGTGCCCGTAGCAATTTTCAAGGCTCAATCAGCCAATCGTCATTCAATTTTCTGCTTATTAATAAATGGAGCCTCTAAAATAATAGACTATACCGATTTCGGTTATTCAATACCTTCATGCTCTTCTCACAACAAATATTTTGAAAAAACTCATTTCAATGCCCCTCAACTCTTCCACCGGTTCCAGCTCTTTAAAGAAGATTGGCTTCAATGCTCAGACTCGTGTCGATGAGCGAAAGATCGGCTGGCAACTCGTTTTGAAGCGCGGCGTCCAATTGGGAGTCACCCAGTATCACCGGATCTCGAAGATGTTGACCAGATACATATGTATTTTATACTCCTGGCTCTTAAGCCTCGTCTCTAAGGCTTCTAGTATCTTCTGATCCACCATAAACTGGCAGACACAGCTCTACAAGAAAGCAGTTAAGCCACCCATCGCGTCCATTCTGATCTTTTCCCAGGATTCTTTCATCGGAGTCCCAATGATCGTCTTCTTGGTAGGCATTTTATGTTTACGGCTATAGCTGCCCTATTTTGGGCTATTCTGTGGGTTTCAACCCTTGCCCCATTAGTAACCTCTTACCAAAAGAAAGTAAGATACCCTCTCTTAAAACTTACTTTACGATTTACTAACGGTTCCTTTTAGAATTTGGAGAAGTTTCCCCTTGATGGCCTTGACATCTCCCTAGTTACAGATGAAACCTTGACCGAACTCTTTGATACAGCACCCGTTCTTCATGACTACCAGGGAACTCGGATTGTGCGCTTATCACAAACGTTGATTCTTAAAGGAGGGGACAATTCATCGCCTGGTGAAGCTAGAATTCTTGAGATCATCGCTCAGGCTGGCAAATCGATCGCAGTACCTAAAGTCCATCGCGTGTTAAAGTTCGAAAAATGCTTTTATGGGTATAAATGCCTCATTGTGATGAATTTTGTGAGTGGAAGCTCAGTTGAGGATTGCTGGGAAGACCTAAGTCAGAGTGAACGCAAGGATGTCATCTCTCAAATCGCTTCGAGCCTCGACAATTTACACTCTATCTCTCTACCAGAGCAGGTGCCAGAACCTATTATACCGGGCCCAATAGGTCCTTATTCATGTTTTGCCCGTGGTCCTTTCTTTATTGATGCAGGAAGCGGCCCATTTACCTCAACAGAGGAACTCGAGGCTTGGTTCAATCGACGACTTGAGATCACCCAGAATTTTAAACAAGCACCACTTGACTCCCAACCATTTCGTTTCAACAAACTAGTTCTTACACATTTGGATATTGTGCCTTGCAACTTGATTCGAGATTTAAATGGAAAAGTCTGGCTGATCGACTGGGGGTTTTCTGGGATATATCCAGAAGGATTCGAATTTGCGTCAATCCATTTACGGAGATATCGTGCACCATAGTTTACGGATATGCTTCTAGATCTGATTCCTGCATACAAAGACCTTTCGAAACAATTGCTAGGGATCCGATACGCGTTGACTACCGCCCAGTGGATCGATTATGATTGGGACAGGGAATAGTACTCCAAATGTATTGACCAAGCATACAATAGGCAGCCGATTTTGAATCTTACTGTAAAATTACTTACTTTCTCTGACAAATGTTAAAAATTAATCTTAGAGATTTGTAGACCGATCTAGGATCCTAGGACTCCAGGATAATAGGCCTACTAAAAGAGGTAAAACTCTACAAATTATCTCTAGTAAGTCAGAGCTAGCTTCTATGAATAATCTCGGCGGAAGCCAACGGTAGGACTCCTTGATAATTGGCTCACCAAAAGAAATTGAGCTCTCCGGGAAACTATCGTAGTAGGTCAGGGCTAGCTCCTAGGAACAAGCTCTGTGAAAGCCAATGGTTTCCACCTTATAGTATTTTCTAAGCACTAGCGTATATTCAATTGCTGATAGTAGCATTAAGGTCTTTTTGCTCTTATTGGCGAGGTAACTTGTTATTTGCGCTCCCTCATATCATGAAGAATAGTCCCTCTGATCTAGCACGAAGCAATATTGGAAATCGTGTGTAAATTCGTCTAATGCCCAGGCTAAATGAAGTGCTTCCTAGGAGCTTGGATCCCGAGATAAGAGTTGACAGATCAATCAAATAAAATGCGTAGTAAGATTACCCCCTGAACAGGAGTGTGGCTCCTAGGATGAATGTCCATTCTTGTGAAACCCGACATTTATTGATGGGATAATGTAAACAACCACTCACCGAGTGCTCCTTGAGTGTCATATGATACTCAGTGAGCAGATCAGTGTGCTTATATAATGCTCAGACACGTGCTTAGTTCTACTCAGTGAGCAAAGCAGCGAGGAGGTGAGCAGTAATACAGAAGAAGAACGCCAAGAACTGGCAGAGAGAAAACGGTACATAGGTAGGTACTTTGGTACTGGACTCTTCTCTGATAGTCAATTTCAATAGTCTATAGCTTGATGTTGATGTAGACCAACCCCTGTCAGAACTATTGGGATTCACCTCCAATACGTGGAGAATCCGAATCTCCGGTTTTTGTCTATACTAAAATGCCCGGGCATCAGAGGCCAAATCAGATTGATTATTCAACCCAATGTTTTAATTAAATCAAAAGATTCAAGAGTTACATTTGAATTTCGTGAATTGGACTGCATAGATCCTTGAAACCCCATGTCAGCTGACGAGTCAATTTTCCCATTGACATCTGGAACAACTAATCATCCATTGTCAAAGTGCACACCCGTCCAGCGTCGACCAGCGAACAGGAAAATTCCTAGCTTCATTTCCACCTTTGGGGCTTTCAAGTGAAGTACTAGATCGTCCATCACGCATGTTGCCGCCCAAGTACGAAAATATAATCACAGCCCGCGTTGAAATCCTGGGCTTTGGCGCATGATGCAGGCGACCGCTCTCTCCACTCCCAACTTCGAACAGGTTGAACAGATCCAAGGGCTTCATTTTTTCCCTCTTATCGAGTATTCACCTTGCTGCTTAATGCAGGACTCGCTTTACACTTCCGCCACTTCGGGCACATTTTCAAGTGCTGACTGACTAACGACTGGATGGCTGCACTTATACAAGACAATTTCACCTTTCAGTTGTGTTTATGAATGGCTTTTAACCTTAACGCGTGTTGGGGATCCCTTGTTTCCATCTTGACCAGGATGAGCCCTCGACATGGGTAGCACTTCCTTGCAGCCCTATCCTGGAGCGAGATGGTTCATTTGGACTCCCAAGGAAAATAAATGTGGTTGCTTGACGGCTACCTGCTTGTCGCATCACCCCGCGATACTTCACACAGTTTCATTAGGCGATTCTGTAAAGTTACGATTGGCTACGCAATCTACATTTTCGACGTGTCTCTCGCTTTCTCATTCGTTGATCATATTGGTATATTTTCTTTTTCTCAATATGCAAAGCCGCATGATAATCCACATTATGATATGAACCAGGGGAATCTTCTCTTGCAACCTTGGATCCGAACTAGCATGCACCAAGATAGCTCACTGTCACGTCCGTTTGTTCCGGACCTGGAATTGATATTAACACCATGATTTTCATCTTAAAGGTCATACTGCTGCTCTACATTAATCTTCAGTGTGACAGGAATGGTCCATTAGTCCAAACAAAGCTTGAAGTTGATATAGTTTCTGCTTCAATCTAATCTGCCTTGTCAACATGCATATGATTATGTATATATCAATGCGAATGCATGTAACCCCGCTCCATTCAGGCGGGATGCAAATACTGCCTTGTCCGAACCTGGAAGGTCTTTGCTCTATCTGAGCTCTCGACTATGAAAAACTGGCTAAGCCATTTACACCCCTCAGATAGATCATCCTCGCATGGTTCTATGCAGTCATCCGTGGATGGAATTCTCCATTCAGCTCGGCTCGGTACCTAGATACCAGGTCTGATGCCCATCTGATGCCCATTATTCCCCTCATATGTGTCCATTGAGCCCCTCTTTCTGCATTGATGAGGCAGTCTTTTCCGCATATTGGTACCTAATGACCCTAGTCATGATTGGTAACACAAACTTGAGGGTGGCTGCCATGCGACTCAGATTTATTTTCCGCGCAGGCAACACCAATTCCGGACTGGATGACGCCCCGTCCAGCATTTGGTCTGATTCTGATTCGTAGTCACTGAATTGATCCTGTTCAATGATCCTTGCGTATTCCTCGAGCTTTTTCTGCTTGAAACTACTTGTCGAACTGCCGCACGACCCGGGACAGCGTTACAATCCACTTCTATGGTATCAACTATAGAGCTCAATCGGCCCTGTTGTGAACGAGGGGAAAAGAAATTCACACAATACGACTAAATACGGCCCATCGACTAGTTTCTTTCCAATATGGTCTTTGTATCCTAGAAACACGGGCTCGTAGTCAGCTTAGTCCCCATCCTCATACATTGTTGCCCGCGTACTCCGATGCAACTTTGGGGGCACACATGCCAAGCTAGACCCAACATGGTGCATGCACAGTTCTTTCAATTTGCGATACTAGATCTACATCTTACCTTATTGGCAGATCGCTAGGAAATATGCCGCCTGGAGCCGAAATGACCGAACTTCCGCCATTGAACAGTACAATAGGTTCTCCTTTGCTGCACATAAATCTCGCCCGTTGAAAAATGTCTTATTGATCAAGATTAGCAGACTTGTGATTAAGATTTCTCCGGATCTATTTCTATTTTTCGTGGCGAAGGTAACATTTGACTTCAGTTGTCGTGTGCCACCAGACCTCTCTCGTGTATAAGACTCAACCCTCCTAGGCCACGCTTTCCCGGGCTCATTATACTTTGGTCTGGGCAGGATTCTGCTCTGGATATCGGGCTCCATACACTGCGTTCTGTCCTAGGTTCCCTTTGTTCCGATTTTGGCTCTACAAAGGGCCAGATTGATAAAGCGCCGTCTTTCCTGCAATTGAACATCGGGTTGATACAACAATACCACGGAAAAGCTACATTTCTGCCTACCAGTCTAGAACAGCCATCCTTGCAACATCTCCCAGGCCAGCACATTGCATACATAATCACCGCCACCCCCACTACAGCCCACAATGACCACCTCTAATCTGACCATTCTCAACCTGGACCCAGGTCATATATCATGCATTGGCGGCCGCACAGTCATGACATGCCGCAGCTGCGCCGGAAATGCCCCAAGGTCTGTTTGTCTCCTCCAGCCATACATATTTTACAGAAATTGATTAAGCCCTTTCACAGAAGCGCAGTTTGCTCAAGCTGCGATGGCCGAGGCTTCAACATCTTCATTTGCACACACTGCAATCCAGCCGTTGTGGCAGCTGCCGCTCGATCTAGTGCTAGTACCACTGCATCCTCGGCGTCAGATACAGCAAATAACACCCCGGGCTCTTCGGCCCCGTCTTCCCCTGGTTCATTGAGTAGGAGTCCTTCTGTCTCCTACGCCTCGTCTTCACATGCAGATCCTAGTTCAAGGGCATCTCGGTCTTGGAAACGGTATGGTGATGGGCGTGATGGGACGAGTTGTGGACAGGTTGAAATGAATACCCGCAATCTATGAAACTATTCTATCATTGTGACTGGCTTTGACACCTCTTTTGCATGCTTCTGTCGCCTGGTGTGGCCTATAGCTGTTTTTATACACTTTCTTTTCTTGTTATTTCATTTCTCATTTCTTTATTTTATTTTTGAGCCTTGTGGTTGCACTTGCTGCTTCTTCGCTTTTTGTACATGGATTTCTTTCTGCTTTTCTCCCGACTAGCTTGCGTCGATTATTCGTTTCATCTTCAATATCTATTTTATAAATGAGGTTTTGTTATTGGGAAACGACTCGGATGATACTTCGTGATACCTTGGAACCTTGGAATTGATACCAACAATTACGTCAGCTTCAAATGTCACCTTTGGAGGGCTGCTTTCTCCAAACAGAACCCAAGAATCGTTTCAATTGCAGTGAAAAATCGAAATGATAAATTATGCGGGCTTTGTAAAAAAAATAGTAGAGAAAAACAGCTGGAAAGTATTTTCGAGAGCAATTTTATATACCTCGGCTATTTCGAACCTGGTGACGTCTTCAAGGTTTTATACTATGTTCTTGAATCATTGTCGGAGCTGCCCAGGTGGTCTGATTTCAAACTCAGATTGCATATTCATTTCTCATTTCGACTTTGATGTACATTCTAGCGTTCTGTTTTACAGTAGAGAAATCTAACTCGCATACCTGAGTAGTATAAATTGGCGCGACCATCTTACTGCGCGAGTCCTGCCTTGACAATATCAAAGAGCTCCGCCGTCTGACCCAACAGTGGCACAAAATCATCGCCCTCGCAGATCTTGATAGCCTTTCGATAAGCCGGACGCTCACCAACGCGCTGCAAATAAGCCAGCAGATGCTTATGTTTCTCAGTATCATAATCAGGAGTAACAATGAAGCCGCGGATGGTGGTTAAAGAGAGAAAATATCATAATATCAGCCGCGGTCAGCTCTTTTCCGGCAATAAAAGCTCCCGTCTCTGCCAATCTGGCATCGATCATGGCGTAGATACTGTGCGCCCTCTGCTCAAGGTACTTCAGGATCGGGGAGTCGGGGTCGCACTTCGAGGCCCGGGTCATCATGATACTTATCCACAGTGGTTGAAATGAGCCATTGGCAAAATGGTACCATTCAATGAAATGCGGGTAGTCGGCGTCCTTGGGTGTAAGTGCTAAACGCCCGTTGCCGTGGACGGCAATGAGATAATCGATGATTGCGCCTGACTCGGTCAGAACTACTCTGGAATTGGTGACTGGGGATGGGTCATCTTCGATAACCGGTGCGGTGCCAGCAGGATGTAGGTCTTTAAGTGATTTCGGAGCGAATATGGGATCTCTTTTGTGATGGACAAAGTTGTAGTCCAGGCCGAGCTCTTCTGCGAGCCAAATGATGCGCTCAGATTGGGACAATCCCAAGTGATGAAGAGTCAATGGCATTATTACTGAGTAGGTAGTTGAGGGTAGATGACAATTGAAGGGGGAAATGTTATCAGAGATCCTCGTTTCAATTATAAGTATTTCCCCACTTTTACTTCCAGGGCTCGTTCGGCATAATTTTGTCCGAGCCGACGACCATCATAAGATATTGCCCCATTACTCGGAGTCCGGAGATGAACTGGCATGTCCACACCGAAAAATTCAGGATTTAAGGCCAAAAAGAAGCCTTTGAAAACTCCGAAGTGTCAGCAACAAGACCCACCCACCAGTCCCAAATAGGAATGTATTCTCCGCAATATTAAATTTATCCATCCAGCATTGGTAGCTCTCCAATATCGTTGAAAAGCCGGGCAATTCCCTCGAGAGAATAGTCTGGGAACCCGAACCCATAAGCCCACTCTGGGATTTCAACTGCAGTCCGTCCAGACCCTGGCTCGGCTGTGACCGCTTGACTGCCATCAGCTGGTTGCTGCGCACTTGCTGCCTTAAATTCTCGAAGGTATTGCCGAATGATTTCCATTGATTTACGAGCAACAACAGACTCATTCATCGCTTCTAGTACCTCAATACCCATTTCTACAGAGCGGAAAAGCGGCATTGTTTCTGAGCATATTCCGATTTTGGACATTGGAAGGAGAAGTGTTGACGTTGCAAACATCACGTATGTTGTGTTGTACCACCTATTAATTAGTGAGTAGATGTTTGAAGAATCTTTCAATGGCAACGTACCAGTATCTGAAAAATGTATGTACTCGAAATATATCATGAATTACTTGGATGGTATTTATGGCGGATTCCAAGCACCTATTTATGGCTTCCTGGAGCTCACTAGGAGGATGTCGAAGTTTCCGTGTGAAATGACTCAAGAATGGTCGAAAAAGGAGCATTTTCACGTTATAATATCCTGGAAGAAATTCATTAGCACTCATACCATGTAATCATGAACGTCGGGATGAGGCTCACTGATTCCCAGCACTAGACGTTGTCTTTTGGCCCATTTCGGGTCATGAAGTGCGCTGCGAGATGTTCTGTAACCACCTATGTCTGGTCTTATCTTCTCCGGAAGCCTTGCGAGCCATCTATCCATTTCTATCTCAATCTGAAGAGCCAGGTGCAGCTTCTCTTGTAGTGTGATGCGGAGATGGTAGATCTGCACCGACACACGACGGGTAATCTGTGCGAAGTCAATCATCCATGGAATGATGGCAAATTCCGAATCATCTCGAGCTGGGATTGCTCGGTTATGATATTCATCCATTCCCAGTGTGTCGGGTCGTCCGATTGAGAAGCTCATTTCTCTGCGTTGGGATCAGTGAATGCCAAGTCGTAAGATAAAGCAGAAATCCTTCTTGTTTAGAATAGAAAATAGCCTCATAATATGCTTACATTTCAAGTGAAAATAAGCCCCTAAAATGAATTGTTGAGAAAATGGCGTTCCAAAGTCGAGCCGGGATTTGACATACCACCACGTTTTCGAGATCCAGCTCGAGCGTTGGTCTTTTGGAGAGCGTACATCTCGGTTAAAGCCAGCAGAGAGGCAGGTACGCACTGCCAGGCCAAGATAAATATAGGCCACTAAAATATTGTCAGCATGGCCAAGCCTGGGTATATTTCAACCTTAGAATACTCACAATTCGGATTAAGTTCATTTTGACAAATCTTGGCCTATAATAAGAAGGGTTAGATTTTATTATGGATGTCAAAACTACCACATACCATTAAATAAAGACATTGAACTGTCTCAAGGTCATTCGAGAAGATCAGATGGTTCAAGCGAGCTTGGGCTTCACCGAACAGCTTTCGACCCCATTCAAATCGCCCGAGGCCAGCCAGTGTATCCTCATTCCATACGCTCACCAAAGATCCAACAGATAAAACACTCATATACAGGGCCACAAAGCTAATCTCTGGAGTGTGATCCCGATTGTACCATAGCTTATTAGCTTGCACATAAAACTCCTCTTTATCGATAAATGGATGAATAAAGTGAATATTTTCGAAATACCCATCAATAAAAACATGTGCCACATCAAAGTAGTAGTTTTTCTGGTCTTTCTCGGTCAAATGATTCTGGCCAGCGGCTGGTGAGAAGCTCGGATTATGTAACGTTGAGATCAAGGAAAAATCCCCCATATCAAGGATTCGCTCCTCGTGAATTTGCGACTGTCGCATTTTCTTCAGACGACCAAGAAACGCTGCTGATGAGGTGCTGCCATGAAACTCGATTCCATTAGTATGGCGGTTCAGCTCGTTTATTTCGTTGTCAACACTTTCAACCTCTTCTTGGTGACTACTGGGTAACTCTACTATCTCCCTGGGGGTTGAGTCTGGTCGTGGCATAGATCGTGGTGTAGTTGCAATCCCTAAAGAATCGGGGTGCCGCGCCACTGTCATCTTCTGTGACTGTGGAGATGCAGAAGCGTAAGCCTCGAATATGCGCAGCTTTGAACTTAATTCTTCAACCTTCTTCTCCAGTTCAGCAACATAGCTATTTTTTTCTGTCAGTTTAATTTCATGTGGAGTGCCATGATTGCTAGAAGTCTTTCCGTGGATGATTAGATAGTAGATACCTTGCAGATCGACCAATCTCGCGTTCTCGATAATTCCTCTGAAAGACGCAATCCAAATTGCTCTCTGGAAAAGCGTTAGTGAATTTGTCATTAGATTTAAAAGAAGGACCTTAATAGCAAGATAAATCTACTTTTGCAGTTTGAACATGGATATTTCTCGTCGCACTTGTACTTCTTCGCTCTACAGCGATCGCAAGCCTGCGCAGCACGTGGCCTCTTGGCTCGTTTTGCAGACGGATTCTGGTCATCTTCAAGGGTTGACCTCGATAACTTTTTCATTATGACGATGTCAAAAAGAAATCTGGGGAAGCGGAGAAGTCAGAAGACAGACAACGAGATCCGGGAAATTTCGGCTTCAACTTAAGGACGTTTGTTTCTCTGAAATCCCCACGTGATTGGCTTCCTTTGAGCTCCACAATTTTAGTTTAAAGAGTTTAATTTGCCATGTGGAAAAAAAATAATATCTATTATCAAAATTGAGTTTCAAGATTATAGACTCTAGTAGCAGCTATCGACGGTGGAGTCGTTCCAAAGACATCTCCACAACGCGCCGGTGGAATAATTCGACGTGTTCCACTCTGGAGCTTGGTCAGGCAGCACAACCCCTTCGAAAGGCTGACCTAACTTGTGAATGAGGGACTCGATACCATCGCCATCACGATTCACAAAATGAGTGGATCCTAAAATATCGACTCTCAAAGACAAGTGAGAATGCCTTCCCAGCAGGAACCACAACCGTCTCGCCCTCCCTCCAAGCTGACCTTGAGAATACCTTTCATAACGCAAAGCAGTGATCAACCTTCTCAAAAGTCATGTACTGAGCGAACAAATTCTCGCCATACTTGTTCGATGACTCGATACTAGATATTGCGCAAACACCGTTGCTTTGCTTGGTTGTCACAAAAGGTCTGGATAACACTCCACCCGCCATCCATCGGGGCCCGGTATTAGGGCGTAAGTAGCCCTCGTGGTCATCGGGCAACTTCTCGTCATCGCTATTCCAATACCCAACACCTGGGGGCTCGTAATGAGGTTGGAACACGACATCATGCTTGCCCTTTACCGCCATGACCTTCGGAGCAGTAAAGATGTTAAATCGCGGTCATCGTTCTCGGGAACCAAGATTCCTTTATATGGCTCTGCGATATAGCGGAAGACGTCCACCCAGTCGCCAGGGATTATGAGGCCTCGAATCTCGGTATGAGGCCCGATTATCTAAGGGTTGTGTATAAATTCCGCATACCTGGGTGGGCAAAGAGAATTGATACCTAGGTGAGGGTTGATATAGTTTCTCTGTAAAAATACAGAGAAGCCAATTTTGAATTTAAATATAGTCCAAAAGCTAAGACAGCTAGGTTGGAAATTTTCATACAAAAAGATTTTTTCTAGAAGCCTAGGCCAAGACATGCTATCCAATTGCAGCTAATAGGAAATTGGCGTGATAATTTCTCACGTCGCGAATGACAGTTGACCTAGTTTTGAGAATATAAAGATGATATAATGACAAATCAGAATTATACTACATATAAAACTGTCTATCCTTCACTCAAGATAGTCGCTGCTTTTTGAGCTTTATACTCCAGTACACCTGTATGGATCCGTATGACCTTTCTGGGAATTCTTCTGCAAATATATTAGTCACATCCGGGGCTGAGATCTTTTTTAACTTCACCAATAGATCATCTTCTTCTTTTGATCATGGTAAACCCGTGTCGAGTGTGTAAAGTGTGAAATCAATGCCGGTTAGCTCATCCGTATAGTTTCCCATATTGAATAGCGTAACATCAGACTAATTACTCAAAGACTGCGCAAGAGCACCCGGGAAGAATATTTTCAGCAGTACGAAGCACACACAGTCATAGTGATGAATCCGATGACTGATTTAATCACAAAAGCCTGAAATGCTCCACCTTGGTCACGGCACCTCGTGCCGCACTTCTCACACACGTTGGAGTCACTCATAACATGGTTGGCATTTGGTAGTTTTTCCTTTATTTTCTGATGAAAAGAGAGAAATAGAAAAATTTGGTTGGGTTAAACTTGGAATAGTGTACGATAGATACGCAAGGATCTGTGTTTATATTCAGATTCTTACCTAGGTAGTTGAAAAATGGAACAAAAGAAGAAAAGAGTGGATATCGAGAAAGAATCGGACATCGCGTCCCGCACTACGAAGTAGTCACTTATTGCTGCTGTGGCAGGCAGTCAGCCCATTTAATACTTACTGTCTTTAACCTGAATCGGCTCGCGAAGGACCTTAACGCCAGCAGATGGATGGTGAAGCCCAGTTCAGCTTCATTAATAAGTTAAAAATTAAAAAAAAAAAAAACAATAAATTTAGTGTTGTTTCACTGGAGCCGAAGCTCCCACCTATTCACGCTTAAGTACTTTTTATAGTAATAGAACGTGCATTTTCTGTAAAGTGCGAATACTATTAGGCCCACTTCAAAACTTCCGAAACTTCCGGATAATATGTATTTCGAAATGAAGTGGAGCAGTATTAGAACCTTTCAGAGCAGGACGGGCGTCACTGTGGCAGCTGCAGCAGTATTCACTACAGTAGAAATCGTATTGAAAATACCTCTTCATTAAAAATCATATTCACCGACAATAAATATCCACTCCTCGGGGATGACTTGATATAGACTAGTCAACGCGATTGAAGCGGGTATCAGAATAGCCTAATAATACACAAGTACTAATCCAAAATATATCAATTGATGTAATTATCGCGTAATAATTAGAGGTTCCATCTTAAGGGAAGAAAGAAAAAGAAGAGAAAAAAACATATAAGGATTGGTCTCTATTAATTAGTAAACCTGCCGAGAAACAATGTATTGGTTTAACACTGTTGGAAAATATGGAGCATCTCTATAACGTGGAGAAGCTTCATTATTTAGCCAATAATATCCCACTGATGTGGCCATTCATTCCAATTCGCATTCATTATTATCAAACATATCGTCCTACCTCTCGGCGAGACTCCTGTTCGTTTCGGTCAGTTTATTTGGCCGAATAACGAAAATCCAAGTGCTTAAGAAAACAAGTCTCTATCATACAAGTTTATAAGTTACATTACTTTATTATTGATATTGTTCTTCTTCTTTTACATTAGAGTCTTAAAGAGAAGCTTTGTATCGTACGCCATACCCCTAGAGATACTTTGTGACTTCAAACCTTCAGTGCCGCGGTGCTAGTCAGGGCTATTATAGAGCGTGGTCAAAATGATCAGGCCTTTGGCACCGAATAATTAACAGCCATTTATAAACTGGCAGATTTTTTTCTTAAGAACATTATTCTCCCACCTGTGAAATAATGTCCTCATCAGCAGCAACTATCTAGGTAGACTTAAATACTGGAAGACCTACCAAAACTTCCCACCTGGCTATGATCAATCTTAGAAACAGTCCTCATTTGTATCTTTTCAATTCATACATACAATTATATAATGATATTCAATATAATGCAGGCATTCCTATTCTACCAACCCATTTCCTTCCCATTCAAACATCTCAGTAATAGCCGGAATTTGTGCCTTAAGTGCTTGACCATAGTCACCAGCATTAGGAGTTCGAAGAAGAGTATGAATATGAAACTTCTTTGACTCTTCGTTATTCAAGAAGACACCCGAGTGGTGATCAAACTCAACAAGGATAACTGGGCTTTGGATGCGATAGTAAAAAGGGTCCTCATCCCCGTAGCCACCAATCCAGCAAAAGAACGTCTCACCCTCCCAGAGGCGTATCTGCTCAATCTTCATGGCACGCGACTTAGCAGGTAGATAAAGCAGGTACTGTTCGAGGATGCTGTACATCAGTCTTTTCTGCTCTTCGTCAAAGTTTGATGCCAGGATTCCCTCATATGGCACCTTGCGATTATCACGGTAGGCACCGCACAAATGGCGTTGATCATCTTTATTCCAGCGGCCAGGTGGCATGGTCGGATCATGCATCTGAGCGTATACGCGGGCTTGGGATTGCAGCTCTGAAGAGAGTGACTGCATCAGCTCCAACCCGAGTTTCTCCTCGACCTGCATGATTCGAGTTCCGGCCCAGGGGCCACTATCGATCTCATTTGGCTCAGCACCTGTGAACCATGGCGATGCAATGATTTGACCCTTGTACAAAAATATGTTCATACACAGGTGATGGCCGTAGAATGACCAGCCCCAGGGCCGAGTAGCGGACGGTTTGCCGAAGAGTACGAAGTTGTAAGAGAATTCGTTCATGACTCGGGACGACTTAACTAGTTCTCCAAGGAAATGGTTGATACGCATGGCGCTGACGGCTTTTTCGTAGCCCTCCGGAGAAAGCGTAGTTTTAATAATATTCATGACTTCATCGCGAACCTTGCTATTGACTTCATCTAGTCGAATACCCTTGGGGCTTAAAAGGAACTCTGGATTTGACCATGTGCGCCACTCGGGCGAATCAATGTGGTAGCATATAGCGTCTTTCTGCTTGGAGTCCAGCAAAGAAAGCAATGTCTGCGTTGCGTACACAATCTCCTCAATTGGCACGTCTTCGTCTTGCAATTTAAATAGGTCACGGCGTACATTGCCTGAATGGATAGTCATGAGCATAGATATAATGAATATTCAGGAAACCCTTACCGTCACTGGTGACGCCCTTGAAGGGTTCCTGCACAAGATCTAGCCAATGCATATATAGCGCATGCAGCCATGGTGGCTGCTTCATTTTCTTAAATGCATGAGCATATTCATGCGCATCCTGTGTACTCATAACTTGAAACCGTTCTAGATTGAGATCAGGCAGATACTGGCGATACTTGCCAGTCGGCGCATCGAGCTGTGACATGGTGAATTGAATATGGTGTATAGAAAAAGAGTACTTTGAGTAATTGATTCCTCTTCAAGTCACAACAAACTCATACTGAATAGAAAGCAGGTCTTGGAGAGGAATTATATATAGTCCCGAGGTCTAATGTCGAGTCTTAATCCCCACAAAGCTTCCCCACGTGGAGAGGGCGGGTGAGTTATTATCCGTCTCCAGTGGCAATTTCCTGTTTTAACCTAACCTATCAGGAGATTTTATCTCATGTAAAGAATCAAGATTCAAAAGGATGAATTGAGAAAGAGATGGTTGTCACGCAACTTGGGATAGCGAAGTCTGAGAAGAACCTTGGAAGTCGGAGATTTGACCTTGGGAAAGATACTCCAAGGTTTCTTACACTGGGGTGCCTATGAACATGTAGGTAGAATTTCTTAATACCTAGGTAGTTGATATCAATATTGAAAAGAGCGCCGTATAGATTTCTCAAAAGACCACCACCATTCACGGATCATCCACATTAGTCATTCGTAAGCATCATGGTCCAGAGGTCTTAAGGAAATGAAAATAGGTATATAATGCCGGAAAATATCACTATAACAAATGGAGAAGGTACCGCCAGAAGATTGGAGTTGTAATAGAAAGCCGACGTGCATCTAGGTATGCACTAAACATGCAAGTGTAAATGATCCCATAGTGCAAATATCATAGGAAGATGGGGGTTGAAAAACATGTGATACCCTGATCATTGTGAATCAAGAATTTGCAGTGATCGCATCATGGATTCCGTCAGGAATCAGTTCATAGCCACCTTCAGAGGGCAAGACCTGGGCGGCGACAATGATAGCGCCAGCGCAGACAAGGCTGATGCACCAGCTGACAGTACAGAAAGCCCAGGAATTATCGAGGCGCCAACCGATGAAGAAGCGATCTTCATTATCGAAGAGGTATGCCTGAAGAGGGAGGAAATTCCGATTAATTCGTCTTCTTTGCCCAGGGCCATTGACGGCACTTACCACTATCGACATGCTGGCAGCTAGGATAATAGCTGACAATATAATTAGGATACTAAGAATGCGCCACCCATTTTCCCGAAGCCTCTTGCCACCAGAGAGAATAATGAGGTATGAAACGATGCTCATGCCTTGTAAGACAACGGCGAATGACATCAGAAACCCAACTGATCGCCACATGGAACAGAAATAGCGGTCTTCCCCATGGCAATCTTCGCGCTGAGGAAAACTCTCACATTTGTCGGTAAGGGAGGAGCAACGGTGGTGGAGGCCGTAGGAGTAATGGTAGGAGGGCTTCAAAACGTAGTATGACGTTAGTATTTTTGCGGTCGCGGTACTTTGAAGATAAATCATCTGGATTACCTTTTCGCTATGGTAGCTGACCCATTTTGGTATAATAATCGCACATAGAGTCAGGGCAAAGGCTATTGTAGGAGGATCATGTCAGCAAGAAATATGAAGTTTAGCTGCTGCCTCATATTAATAGTGTCCTATTCTTAGTGACCACGTACAAGCTAGAAAAAGGACAAGAGTGCCGGTATAGACGATCGTTTTTGTCAGGAATCCTGTGTAATTTCGGTCTGTACTTCTAGATGCCAGATGGAAATCCATGGCGGATGTGGGAAGAAGAGAAGTGAGGGTCTATTGCGAAGGCGTTCAGGACGAGGATTGGATTGGCCCGTGCGAGAGGTCAACTGACGGTACATCGGATGTTCCAAGGTGGACAAGAAACAAGGTGAAGACCGTGAAGTTACACCAGACCAATAACTGAAGAGTATTCCAAAGTTAACGGGGGTGAATTGAATAGGTAATCAAGAGCACCCAAGGGCGAAGAATCAAGAATCAAGATGGGGGGAGTGTTTAGGTAAGTGTCATTTAACCCCGGATTCAGGACCCACCTTCCGTACCCCACTTACAACCCTGTTTTATATCTCATCTACAGGGCTGGATCTCTACCTAGATACCTAGGTAAATAGGACCCCGGGATAAATATTAAGTCGTACCTAGTTCTTCTCGTATTAATGCGGCTTAAATGTGACCTAGATATCCCGTATTCTACAGGTTTATTCTTGTTGATACAAAGGATCAGTTTACTCATATCTCTCTCCATTAGGCATTATGGCCAGCTGCAGCCAAGGCAGCTGGCGGCTCCACTAAAAATACATAAGAGAGCATATGGTAGTACCCTCATACTCACTAAGCAAGGGGATATCGGCCTTGGCCTCTCACATAATGCCGAGTCTGTGGCCCCGGGTCCGGCCACGGCCACCACCCCGACCACCACCTCGGCCACGGCTACCCTCAGCTCCACTCGGTCCTTGGCGTTTCATTTCCTTCACGGTGCCGAATTGAAGCGTCACACCGGAAAAGTTGGTACCGGAAAGCGCCAATCTCGCCTTGCCAGAATCAGCGACATTAGAGAACACGACGAAGGCACCTCCGTGCTGGAAATGTCTCTCGACTTTCACGAGTTCTCCATATGGTTCGAACAAAGCGGCAATTCGTTCACGGTTGACAGTGTCGGGCAAATTCAACACAGCGATAGTCCGATTCTCTTCATCGGGGGAGATTTCCTTGCGAAGCTTGTCCCCATCTCCACCCCGTTCCTTAACGAGTTCACAATGGATGCGTCGTGGTCCGACCTCTACACCGTCTAGTGCGAGGCCAGAAGTGGCTTCCTCCTTCGTAGCAAAACGCACTTTACCCCAACCCTTATTTCTACCATTGTGGTCTTTTGCAACCCATGCCGTCTCAACTGTGCCGAATTTGGCAAAGGCATCAATGAGGTCTTGGTCAGTCCAGCTGTAGGCAAGGTTGTTGCAGTACAGCTCACGACTGCCAATATCTTTCTTCAGCGCACGAGCCTCAATATCTTGGACTTTCTTGGTATTTTTATCCAACGGCGGGGCAGATATTTTCACAATTAATAATTTTCCGTCAATCATCATTCCGTTCAATTCCAAAGCAGCCGTCGCTTCCTTCAGTGTAAGGAGTTGCACGTAGCAGAATTTTCGATGAATATGCTTGGCTAAAGAAGGGAAGCGCACATCAACAATTTTACCGTACTGAAAAAGGAAGTCAGTCAAATATCAAACAGAGAATATAGACAATTAACATACCTTCTTGAACAGATTGCGCATGTATTGTTCGTCCGCGGCGTCAACGAAATTAGACACCCAGAGGAGTCCAGTATCTTGGTAAACGCGAACGATATCCCTCTGTTTGTGCCGGGGATTGAATGGCTTCATATCACGGGTGGCAGCGCTCACAGCCGCGCTTTTGTTACAAAACTCCACGACCGCAGTCGCTCTCGTTTCATTCTCGTCCTCATCCGGCGGAAAGATTTTGACATCGCGGCACTCATCCCAACTCTAGAAAGATGTTAGTAGATGAGTAGCATGTTGGAGTTAGAGACCTACAACAAGGTGGAAAAATTCTGAGATTTTCGTCTCAGTAACATCTGGAGGCAGATTTGTCATTAGGATGGTGGAGCCCTCACGGTCACGGACGGGCTCAACTGAAGCAGGGGCGACAGGCTCGATTTCGACCGCTGAAACTGGCTCATCACTCCGTGCCTTCTTGCCATCGGGCTCGCCGTTATTGTCTTCGGTGAGGCGTTTCCTCTTGTCCGCTGGGGGAGCGAATTGAGCAGCCGAGGCCGCAGCCGCGACTGCAGCTTCATGGGCCTGAGCCCTCTGTGCATTCACAGCCTTCATTGTTCGTCGGGTTAAGATACAAGCGATTTGCAGCTCCTCTGTATCTTCGTAGTCCTGACAGTGAGCAATGTAGGCTTGCATAATCTTTTCGGGCCAGTCTAGGTCCTTCCGCTTGCTTGCCTGTTTCAAAACTGCAGTTGCATAGCTCGGATTAGAAGTGCGACGTGAAACATCCGCAGTCGCTTCTACTTGAATGAACTTGGACCACGCAGAGATCTCCCATTGGTAGTAGGTGAGCCAAAATTCATAACTGGTACCGCGATGCGCGATAAGACTCTTGAAGATCTCCCGAGCACTGTCCCAGCTACCACTTTCACTGAGGAAGCGGATATGGATTCGTTCCAGACGAAATAAAGGGTCACCTTGATATGCTGCCCCGTAAATTTTTGTACCTAATTCAGTCAAGCTCTCTTTTGCCGAGACAATTCCGACAGACGCGACGTCCATATCCTCATCGAGGGAGTCTGGGAGGAAGGCGCGTCGGCGGAGATAGCCGCACCATGCAGCTTGGACCTTCAGTACCTCCTCGATTCCACCGACATCAAGGAGGCCTGTGCTTGTGGCCTTGTGTTTAATCCCCGCAATCTCTGTAAAGGACCGCTCTTCTCGCTCAAAACTGAGCAGGTACTGGGACCAGAGATCACCAGACCAAGGACAATGGCGTGTTGCGCGATCAAGGGTCGCAAGGATTGGGCGATTGGCATGGTGCAATGACTGGTCGACAAGAAACATCACAAGGTCTTCCCATAGAGATACATCCACAGGGAAACGAAGAAGTGCTCGCTGGTAGAGACTGTTCAAAAGCGCGAATGCAGTTTCCAGTTCGAGCTTAGAGCGCTTTTGGCGCGCCTCCATCAAAAGATATTCGGACCATACTTCCCGCTCCAGAGTCTTGTCCTGACATGCCTGTGCGTAGCTCAGTCGTGATTCAAAAGGAGCGCGCGAAGCGTAACAGTTCCTGACTCTTTGATCATGAAGAATTGATGACACCAGACGCTTGCAATTGCGCTGATAATTAACATCGATGAATTCTTCGAATTTGATAAATGTCTCCTCCCATGTTGCGTGCGGAATTTGCAAGCGGGCTTGGTAGAACTTGAGTAGCTGATCATTTTCCCTTGGCGAAGGTGAAGGGCCAAAGTGGCGGATGTAGAGGTCAAGTAAACGATCCCACACAAGGTGACTATCATTAATTCTCCATTTGGTAGCCTCTGCAGCGGCCTGCCACACTTGTAACACAGTCTGAATGTTGAAAACCTCACGTGCCTTCGTGCGCTCTGCTTCAGTCCACTTTTCAGGGCCAGCTTCGTAAATATGCAGAACCCACTCGCCATAGACGATCCAGAGCTTTGTACTGCCATACTCTTCTTCGACCGAGCGCTTGCACAGGTCCATCACAGCAATGCACTCATCTAACGAATGGGCTAGCATGCTCTCATCCTGAAGCCATTCGGCCCAGAGATCCTCACCCATTGCGAAGAGCTTGTCCATCTCCTCACGTGCCGTGCGCATGTCCTTGAGCAGATCATAAAGTCTTGGGTCTCCGTGCATATCAGGGTCGTTCGGAGGGTACACGTGATTCATAAAACCAGCATGCAACACGCCGATAAATTGGACGTGTGCGTCGTAAGAATGGGGGTTCTTCTGGATTTCGGTAAAAAGAATAGTTGCCTTTTGCTGAGCTTCTGGTTCTAATGACGTCTGCACGTAGTTGCGCTGGGCGCTTTCCTGTGGAACGTCTGACATCGCAATATCGAATGATGTACGAGGTGTTGGCGTGTTGTGGTTGACAGCCTGGTTGCTGTGGGGGTTTATCGGAGACGGCGATAGTTGATGTTCGTACGACTCAGTGCTACGAAGCAAGCTCGGGGCGTTGGGACGATGCGGCTGATGATGCTGCATGGCAGCAAGATCTGCCAGCGTATCCATCCCGGGGTTCGTAGGATTTTGAGTCGCGGGTGGATTCGAATCCGGGGAAAGTAAAGAATTAATATCCATGTTGTGTGGGTGTCGCACAAATCATGAAGGAAGGTGGGGGGCGGTTGGAGAGATAGAAGGGTTGTGGGAAAGAGGAGATGAAAAAGAGAAAAAAAAATGAGAAAAAGAAAGAAGGTGTGAAAGAGAAAAGAAGGTGGGAAACAGGATGGGGGAGAGGAAGAAGTGAGAGAGTAAGGAAAACACCGAAGACCTTGGAGGGATGTTGAGGGTGGATCTTCAATGTGGAGAGAGGGTAAAGCAAAGATAAAACTGATTTTGGAAAATAAACAACAAAACGATCATCAAAGTCCAGGAGGTACTTGAGGTTTCTTGTAAACCTTTCGTATTCTTTCTTTCACTCGTCCTTTTGAATGGTCTGGATGCGCCTTTACTTCATACCTAACTGAATTGTATGGACTTTCTGCCTAAGGCTACCAAGGTACACTACAGGCACCATTTACGCAGAGGCTAAGATTGACCTTGGATCTTTTTTAACCCCAAACCCGCATATTCCGACAAAGTTCCCTACATCTTATCCCCACACAATGGGCGCTGTCTATCCATATGGGCAGCTGGTCCGTTCTGGTAAGCTATCAATTGAACTATGACTGACATATCTAGTGTTCATTTACTGACTCTTCAATCAGCGGCCCGAACTCATGTCTCGTGTGTTCCCCGGCGAACAATGACCTCAACAGCCATTCGCTACGAAAACTCAACTGGGAAAAATAATGAGGGTATCCTATCATCTGTTAAAAACTGGGTTTTTGGAGGTGAAAAGAAGCCCAAGGTCGTCCGCGTACCTACCGCTCCCAAGCGCGTGGAGGCTGGGTTGGGTGAGAACTCCATCTTCTCGGAACATGGTGGCAATTCATCTGGTCCCAAACCCGTTCGCAAGGACAATGGCGATGAGGATCTAGAATCGGTACCGTTAGAGAAACGCGAGAAGGAGCGTCTACAAATGGCCCTGAACCCCAACCCTATCGCCCAACTACGATGGGAGAAGAAGATGGTCCTCCGCGAAATCCGTAAACGTGGCCGTGTTCCTAAAGCTGTAGAAATCAAGCGCACAGAACGTGAGTCGCTCTCAAAATCTCACTGGTTCAAGACATCGGTGAAGAAGCTAGGACCATTGGCCCGACAGATCGCGGGCAAGAACATCGATGAGGCTATCTTGCAGATGCGCTTCAGCAAGAAGAAGGCAGCCATAGATGTTCTCGGTCACTTGGAGCATGCGAAGAACGTCGCCACAGTCCGTGCCGGCATGGGCCTCGGTGCTGAGGACGACAAGCCGGCCAAACCTATCACTGTCACCTTCAAGTCTGGTGAACGCCATAAGATCGACAACCCAACCTCCATTTATGTCGAACAAGCATGGGTGAATCGTGGCCCTTACGGATTTGGTATGGATCACCGTGCCCGCGGTCAGATCTACAAGCTGCGTCCCCCGTCCACTGGTCTCTCAGTTGTGTTGAAGGAAGAGAAGACCCGTATTCGTGAGTGGGAGGATCGCGAGGCCAAGGCACTGCGGAAGCGGAAAACTCAGCTTTGGACTCAGCTTCCAGACCGAAAGATTTCGGCTCAAAACCAATACTACAGCTGGTGATTGTATAACCTTCGGCGTCACATTGTATTATTTTACACTGGTATTCCATGCTTTCAGTGATAAAGACACTGGCCGGATTCGTTTTCCTTTTCTTTTTTTCTTTTTCTTCACTATTCTCACTATTCTCGTCGGCCGTCTTGAATACGCGGACTTTGCATTTTGCAATGAGGGCTAGTAGCGTAGCCTATGTACAATATACCATTTTCAAGCCAAAACCTGCTCATACTGAACGTCAAGACATCATTTTCAAAAGGGATCTGAGTCCGCACACCAGAATCTTGGAACCCTGCAACTCCTTAGTCAAAGATGAATTGCCTGCCCAAATCAAATTGGGCACGGCGATTCTTGGATGGAAGCAATAGACTCAACTAAACAAAACAGTCTTGGAGTAAACCCTACCACTTAATTATGAGATCCATGGATATCTAAGTAGGCCCGCAACATCATGCACTGGTTCTTCACCTAAGGAGCAAGGAGATTACTCTAGAGATCTTAATCATCCATAACAGCAAATAGAAACGGATAATTATAAATCAAGATTCTCGTGTGATATCCTGTGTACACATATTATGGCCAGCCCTAAACAGAGGACTTTAATCATTACATACTGCAAATCACACCCGTGGAAGGACATATTCAAGTAGTGTTTGAATTCCCACCTTCTCTGACTATATTTCTTTCTCACGCACACTCAATATGGTTACCCAAGATTGTGAAAAGAATATCCAGTCCATAATTGGCATCACTCCATCCAGATCATCGTTCCCCTATCCCCATTTCAAGTGCTTACTTTCTCAGCTCGTATAACGACCGGTATCACACCCCCAGTCTGCAACTGAAATTTCCGATGACCAATAACCTCAAGAATACTCGTAATAGCACCCGAATGGGCTGTCAACGAGAGAAAAATGTTATCATCATTCGCAAAGATATCACCCAGCAATCTGGAAAGCCGCTTATTGCGGTCCTCGTTCGATTCTCGATGTATCGGGTCCCATAATAGATCTTTCTCTTCAAAACCGGCCTCAAATCCATATTCAGGAAATTCACATGCAATTTCAGATGCTTTGGACCGGCGGTCACAGGTATGTTGGCCTATTGTTTCCCGGAGTAACTGGGTCGTTTTGGTCAGTGTGGATGCCCTGAATTTGAGGTGGCTTATTGTGACGTGTACGCATGTATTGACTGCAGGTGGGTATGACATAACTTACTTCCTTGATTGTAGGGCGGAACGGCTTGGTCAATGGAATGTCTAGCCCGTCGAAGGTGATTTGCGCCGTAGTGCAACACCGGTTCAACGGACTCACATAGTAGGACTGCGGAGCAGGGATCCCATGCTCGATCTGTTTTTTCCAGGCAGAGTGTGCAGTCTCCGCTTGGGATTTACCCAAATCAGTAAGACGGGCATCGTCCCATCTACCATATTCGTCTCCATCAAGGAAAGACCAGTATTCCTAGGATGATTAATGTCAACTTGACATCCTTGTATCAAAGACGGGTATTGAGGGAGCCATACATCCCATGCTTTCGTTCCATAGCGTGCCTCGGCAACATTATGCACTCCTTCACCGTGTCTCCCAAGGAAGAGAACTTTATACCTCACCAATTCCCCGCCAAGCTCGTTTAGGTGCTGTATTTCTCGGCTGAATCTTTGCCAGGTGCTTAATTCTTGTTTGCTTTCTTTTTGGGAATCATAGTCCCGATCTATAAGCCCGAAATTTGAATTCGCCTGGATTTGTAAGTAGGGGTCGAACGTCGTTTTGTTCGCTTCTTGTGGGAGACATACATAGTCAAAGGAATCCGGATCGGTGGAGGATTCATCCTGCAGAAAGTAGCCAGGAACTGTTGAGAAACTGAAAGTACCTGGTTCTGGCATAATGGAGGATAAATGTTTGTTTGGCATTGAGAGGACAGGGTAGTTGATGTGGCATCTGGACTTTAGCTTCAGACTTTCTTGGCGGGGCTGTGGAGCCCCAACCTAACTTAGAACATTACATCTATAGTAGATATTACAAGAGGAATCTTCAATTATAGATTGAAATCTACGTGTATCAACACGGTATTATAATCAAGATAGTGTATTTCTAAACACAAACAGCTAATGCTCGTTCAGGTATCATTCAAATCATTCATTCCATCAACTCCAAGCTCTTCCCGAGATCCAAAGTAATAACAAAAGTAAGACAGGCCGTTCTGGCTAGCTTGTAAGGGCCGAGTCGACTGGTGAGATATTCTCCCACTATGCTTTGCAATTGATTGCAATAGCTCATTGTTGGATCATGAAAGCCCCACAGTCCACATGTGAAAGTGTTTCTTGACAGACATGAGTTTTCTACCAGTAAAGGAAAGGCACTTATAAATTGTGTCCTGTGAAAAATTGTTCAAGGACAGCAGTGAATGCCAAGCCCCGATGATAGCCAAGGTACCTTGAGCCAACAGTCCGCTGGTGCTTTGGACTAAGGAAGAAGCCAGGTGATCTGCTCCGGAAAGTTTTCTGGTGCAGAGGGTGCGGCAATCCTTGATCGAAAGTTCCGGGGCAGACGGTAGTGTCACTCGCGAGCGTTGAGAGTTCGAGGACAAAAGAGTTGATGCTTGGTTCAGATCGGAGAATACCGAGGTCGAGCTTCGGACTGTTGCTGTACTGGATAGTCCGCTGCGGACCTTCAGTGAGGCTTCGGCCAGGCTGAAGACGGCTGTTGTAGAGATCTTCAGACGAGCAGGGGCCAGAACTGATGCTGTTCTTAGGCTTCCAGATTGTATATCTGGCGTTCTCAGGACGACAGTGTTTGTAGCGCCTGGGGAATGCTTCTTGCTGTCCAGAGCAGCTACACTGCGTTGAAGAGCATCAGCTTGGCTGTTGGAAGGCTCTTTCAGAGAGCGCCAGCGTAAGCTTGAAAGTCCGGTGGACTTTCTTGCGGGTTTTGCAGCTTGAGAAAGCTGAACAGAGGACTGGATTTCCTTGACAGGAGAGTTGAATATGTTCTTGCCAACATTTATGCTGGCATTCTTGACCGGAGAATTGACAGCAGTCGTACTGGGAACTTTTTGTTGCCCAGTATTGTCTTGGGTCGTTTGAGTAGTTTCCCTCAGTGGTTGTCGCTTCATGCCCGCTGAGTGGGATACAACGCTTGCCTCTAATGAGCTGCTGACGACCTTTTTAACAACGTTCACTGATCGATCCAGTGGTGACTTCAGAGGTCGTGCCAACGGTGACTTCAGTGATGAGTCAAGGCCAGGAACAGCAGTGGAGCGTGCATCTGAAGAGATTGGCATGTGGATGGATGGATGTTTCGACCTCTCCTTGAGTCCTCCGGTAATTCCAACGTTGGTCGGTAGTTGGGTAGTCTCTGCACGAGTGGCAGCCATCTCCAAGCAATTACACTGGTGTCAAATTAGCATCTACTCTGAGTAGGAGATCCGATAGTGGAACGAAGCTTACTCTTTTATGTTGTTTCTTGTGCTTCTCACAGGCACCATATTTCCGCGCCTTGATGTAATTCTCCTTCTGTGCCTGAGAACGAGGCTTTTGCTTCTTCGGCACGTTAGTAGTCGCATTCATATTCAAGTCAAGAACCATCTCCATGGCTCCGGCACCGGCTCCGTTTCCAGAGGTAGAAGGTGATGTCGGCCTGGGTTCCGGGCTCGCACTTGTGGAGTGCGAAGAGATGCTCTCTTGCATGTAATCGGACCAGCTCGGGGATGAGAAGCTGGTGTTGGAGTCCGACGACATATCCAAGTCCAATGCAGTGGCATCACATAATCGCTGCAAGTGGAGAGCAATCGCCGCCTCTCGTCGCTTCTCCTTGAGAGATGCATTTCCAGGAGTTGTGACAGCCTGCGCCTCCACCATTTGACGGAAGTCGAATTGCATATCGTATGGTTGGTAATTTTGGTACGCGACCTGGTCAAAGGCCGACGCAGGGTCCGGCATCAGGCCCACAATCGGGGATCCATCAGCCAGTAAATTGGCTTGTGGAAGATCGTAGTTGATCATATCCGAGAACGCAGACTGAAGATCTGGCAAGTCATTCACCATCTCAGCATCGTAGGGGAGTGAAAGCTCTGGGGAAACCGAGTTAGCTGAGGCAAGATGGTCATCGCCACAGTCAGTTTGAAAGTTGAGTAATCGGTCAAAGTCAAGCCAGTCATTAGACTGACTCGTGACATCCGAGTAGAAGTATTGATCGGAAATAAACGCCATTGCTCTGTAGTACTTTAGGGGTATCTCTGAGTAGGAAAGATCAACCAATAGACCAAAAGGGTCTCACAAACTTTTGGTCTTAGGTCTTAAATGATGGAAATGATGGAAATGACAAAGTCCGAGCAAGGACGGAGTGAACGAAAGAAAAAAAGAACCTGAAGGATGAGGCCGGAGATCGATTATAAGAACAACCAATCTGGAGTTACATCCTTTCCTGTTTGGGGTCCCCGACTTACGCTAAACCACATTAGGAGCCCGACACTGCCTACATTTGAGTCACACCTGAGGCTTAGACCCTCTTATGTCATCATCTTTGGATAATCTAGTGAGATTTAATTGAGGCTCTAAGAATATTCTGAATATGATCTCCATATTTATTACAGACTTATACTACAATCTAATACAGAATACCGTACCAGTACACAGTAGCCGTAGTAAATAAAACCCCAAGACGGTTAGCCCCACCATATGGATCTACTTCATTCAGAGAAACTTTTCTTTTCCTTCGACATTAGCACATAATAAACTCACATCAGCCAATTATGGATCCAATCGAAGAATACAAGCCTCCACCGCTTCCTTCCCCTTTCTTTAATACAAATCCGGCGCCTAGCCTTATCACTCAGGGTGCCGAGGCCCACCTCTACAAAACAGTCTCTCTCAACCCCTCCATCCCGGCCGCCTTGAAGATCCGCCCCTCCAAACCATATCGACACCCAATCCTTGATCGCCGTCTGACACGTCAACGAATAATTCAAGAGGCACGATGTCTAGTGAAGCTAGTGCGGGAAGGTGTCAATGTCCCTGCAGTCCTAGCGCTAGACTGGGAGGGTCAGGGCGGCGAGAGTGGGTGGGGAGGGGCATGGTTACTGATGGAATGGATTGAAGGGCCGGTGATCCGCGTTGTACTTGAGCAATGGGAGGCATGGATGAAGGAGAATAAGGCATCCTTGGATCAAACACAGCTTGAGCAGGAGGAAGCGCGCGTGCGGGATCTGCTTAAGCGCATTGGATTTACTCTCGGTGGGCTACACAAAGCTGGTGTGGTTCATGGAGATCTGACGACAAGTAATCTCATGCTACGGCCCCCGGCTCAACCTCTGGAGGGAAATGAGATACAAAATGGTGCTTCGATGGAAGGAGAAATTGTCTTGATTGATTTTGGATTGGCGTCGCAAAGTTTGCAGGACGAGGATCGCGCTGTTGACTTGTATGTGCTGGAGCGAGCAATTGGCAGCACGCACCCGCGGTCTGAGCCTCTCTTTGACGAACTACTTCAGGGATATAGAGAAAGCCATAAGGGCGCTAAAGCTACGCTTAGGAGGCTCGAGGATGTACGAATGAGAGGCCGAAAGCGAAGCATGCTTGGGTAATGGATATTTCATTTCATACGTTCTAAACGGGATGATATGAGTCTGAAAATATGATTTCATCAAGAAAAAATCAAGCGCCGGGCTGATTCATGAAATGGAAAAAAAAAAAAAAAAAAAAAAGAATTATTCGATCAAATTCTCCGGCTGACTTCATGGTTGGGGCTTGAAGCGTGTGTCCAGTTCTGCCAGAGCGATATATCCCTTGTTCTCGACCACTCCGCGATCCTTGATGACAGCAGTATACTTAACCACCCACTGTGGCTCGAGGTCTCCCTGAATTCCATCATTGGCTTCTGGAGCTGATGCCAGGATGCCTGCACCGCCCTCCCCAGGCCCTAGGAGCTCCCGCGTGGTACCGCATGGGAGAATATCATTGCAGTCATTATGGGTGAGAAGCTGGATCTGTTCCTGTTTGGCGTAGAGGATCAACGACTTAGGAACTACACAGCAGTCCTTGAGGTTGATCTGGTCGACGCAGGGCTTGATCTTGGTATGGGGGAGGAAGCGCGCCAACCGCTCACTGCCAAACTCAGCCACACCCAGCTGCGCGATCATTCCTTGCTCATGCACTGACTCCAGTACTCGCCATGTCTGGACCATACTGTCAAATTCGTCCGGTTCTCCACTGCTCTGCTCAGCATCCTCCTCGTCGCTGTCATCGTCGGCATCGAATAGAATGCTGGGGAATGACACGATAAGCAGATCGATAGATTTTACATGCAGTTCCTTCAATACCAAGTCAATGGCCTCGCGGGTATGTGCACATCGTCGGGACGCCGGAATCCCTGGTAGATAGAAAAGTTTCACCGTAATATCGTATTGACTCTGCTCCTCTACCAGCCCTGGCTGGGAGAAGTCGACCTCAGGAATATAAAGAGCCCCTTCGTGTTCGGAGGTCCAAGTGCGATAGTCTGGTTTTGAGGAGAGAGTTCCATTTGTATGGCCATTTGTATGACAGTTGGTGTGCTCCGTAGGTGTAATGTGCTGCGACGCAAGGAAGTTGTAGCGCAGGGAGTCTATCAGCTCGACGTTGGACTTTTGAGTTAATGGCTGGCGAATAACTGATTGCCGCCCTCCTTGCATGATATTCCTGTCGGAACTGTCAGTACGGTTTTTTGAGGGTCGCAATGCAACATAACTTACGAGGTGGAGAGAATCAACTTCATGACGGCGGTTGAAATTAGAAAGAGTATGAAATGATCGTGAAGTTAGAAAGAAGCCGCTGAAGGTAGCGCAAGAAGACAAAGAAATCGCATGATAGCAAACCCCGCGATCCATTTTGCAGATGAACGGAACCCTGACAAATCCACGGCTCCACTCAATCTTCCATTCTATTCCCACTCAACGTACGAAGAACGTAGTACTGACCAATTTGATTTGACGTCTTGGACTTCGGTGCTGGAGTGGATCTATATATTACGAATTACATGAAGACCACCGTCATTGGATAAAAACATGCATTACGCGTCTTGCAGTTCTAATGGATCATTCCTCCTAACTATACAATAGATGATAGCCTTTCTTTCTATTTGCAGGCTAATAGCTAAACCTGTCGCTTCTTCTCTCGCTCAGCCTCGGCCTCAGCCTGCTCCTTAGCCTTGCGCTCGACCTCGCGCTTCAGTTGATCAGGACGACGAACAGCGATGTCCTTGGGACGGAAATCACTGAACAGGTGCTTCAGCACGTTTTCGATAAGCCAGCAACCACCGTAGTCAAAGATCATCAGCACAGTGAGGGTGAGCTTGAATTCAGTGCTGAAAGGCACCAATCGCAGCTTTTCATTGACCTCGGGGATGAACTCGGTTGCGCAGGAGAATGCGACACCAGCTGCGGCAACCAGACCCCAGTACATAGCCCTGTTTTCGCGAATAGATTCCCGGAAAGGACGACCCTGGTAGTTGATCGAGAAGGTCGAGATCTGCTGAATCAGCTGAAGGAGATAGATGGCGCTGTTCAGGAGAGAAGGCTCAAACTCGCCCTCCAGATCAATGTCATTTGAACGACTGTAATACGTTAGCAAAGATCAATTTCTTAGGCTTGAACACTTGTAGACTTACGGCTCAATCTTGTAAACGTATCTAGTGATATAAATCAAGGTCACGATGTGAATGGCGAACTGTCCAAGAACAGATCCAATGATATAGACATTGAAGATATTGGGCTGAGGTCGCTCCTTCGACAGGCCCTCGACAGACTGTAGAGTATGTTAGTAAACGAAAAAGCAGCGGTATTGTAAAGGAAATCGTACCTTGGCGCGGGAGATGGAGAGGAAGCAAACACTCATCAGCATACCACTGATGGTGACCTGACCATCACCGAACTTGATTCCATCCAGATAGATAACACTCAAACTGTAGGCACTAATCAAACAGTTCAAAGCAAGAATTTTGTACATTTGAATGGTTGCAACCAAAGTGCAGCGACCTTGGCGGATGATGTTGGGAATAGCAATAACGTTGGCCAGCTTGCTGGTAAATGGCGCAGCAACGGAGGCGTCACCAAGCTTGATAGTGGGTGGCTCGCTATCGTCTAGCTCTTGCTCCAACATAGACGAGGTAATCTTGTCAGCAAAGCCCGCAGCGGCGTTGGAAGCCTTCTGAGCCTTCAGTTGCTGAGGAGTCATATTTTGTTGCAAGGCTTGCGCGCCAGGGGAGGTGATGGTCTGAATTTCTTCGCCTGAGTTGCTGGCGGCAGCGGCAGCGGCAGCGGCAGCACCCTTCTTCTCTGCCTCTCTTTCCATGGCTTTCTGGTAGTGAGGGTTGGAGGGACCAGGTGGGTAGAGGTGTGCGATGAGCACAGGAACAGGCGGGGGAGGCTGGTTGAAGCGCTGCATCATACCAACTTGCTTTTCGTACAGCTCCTTCATCTTGGTAGTGCGATAGTGGTCGGCGATCTTCGTGAGGTCATCAGCGGAGCCATTCAGAAGAGCGACACCAACATGAGCCTGCTTCAAAGCGCCAACGTCGTTGGTACCGTCACCACACATGAGGGTGGTGTAACCTGCATCTTTGAGACCGAGCAGAATATCCTCCTTCTGTTTAGGAGACACACGGGCATAGACCCAAGTGTGGCGCAAAAGATCGGGAAGGGCCTGTTGGTCCTTGAACTTAGCCAGAGCATAACCAGTGATACAAATGTCCTTGCTGTTGAGAATTTCCGGGTCCAAGGGCTTGGTGGGATCAACATCGGTGTTGAGCTTGTCATCAATAGTGCGCCAAACGAGTCTGGTTCCAGAAGTGTCATTTTCAGGGGCATCAAGGATAAGGACCTCTCGGTCCACAATCTCGACCTTGCGAGCAACGTGAACGGCAGTCAAGGGGTTGTCACCGGTAATCATGACAACTCGGTGGCTGCTTTCATTTAGCATTTGAACGGCCTTAATCGCATCATCCTTCAGGGGGCATTGCAGAACCAGGAAACCAGCAAAAATCAAATTGCTCTCAATTTCTTCACGCACATAGTTGTTCACACGGCTCTGAGAAATCTCAGTCTCGGTTGAAAGGAACTTGTATGCGAGAGCCAGAACACGTGCACCGTTACGCGTGAAGTGCTTGAAAGTCTCTTCATAGTGGGGAGGAGTGTTGACAAGCATGGTTCGGATGGTCTCAGGAGCACCCTTGACACCAACAAATGTAGACTTTATCTTCTTCGAAGTGATGGTGGCAATAGTGCTCTGGCGCTTCAAGGCAGAAGAGAATTGGAACCTTCTCTTAATCTGGACTGAGTCCACAGGACGAGAGGAAAGCACGGGCGAATTTCCTTTGCAGGTCAGAGTGTCATTTTTACCAAGGGTCCAGCCAAGCCATTCCAATGTAGCTTTCTCCATAGGGTCGCCAACGACTTCGCCCTCATCCAGTTTGACCATGGCATGGGCACTAGCAAGAACGAGAGTAGTTTCGGGTCCAACAGCGGAAGCCTTGGCCAACTCGGTGTGAGCGCCATCGGCCTCAACCTTGGCACCAGCCTGACCCAGGGTAAGTCCAGCGATACCATCAACGACAAGATCCTCACCAGTCAAGGTACCAGTCTTATCGAAACAGGCGATATCGACACGACCAGCGAAAGGAATGCGGAAGGGTTCAGTGCAGAAGATTGCATATTTGCTCAGGGCAGCAAGACTAGTGTTGACAGCCAAGCTCAGTTCCATGGGAAGCTCGGGTGGAACGACACTCGTAACGATGAGAACACAGTCCAACAGAAGTTTGGATCGTTTGCGGTCCTTAGCCACACCCTCCTGCCACACATACCACGAAGCGGCAATTGCGAAAATGAGGAGAAACAAGATGAACAGCAATGCCTCCACATTGTTGGCAGAGACACGCTCGGTAGAATAGATCATAGTGCGTACCAAGCTACCCTGGCTGGTCTCAAATCCAGTCTTGACAACCACGCCCAAAGCGCCGTTATCGGGAGCCGCTGGGACACCGCTAGCAATGTTTTTCAACCCTTCGTCATTCGTATTTGGATGAGTGATTTGAAGAACCTTGGTTCCACCGTGAACGAACGAGTTCTTGTCTAAGCCTTCTGGCTCAATCAAGTCGTCGCCGGGACGAAGTTGGACGGAATCCTTGAGAAGAGGTGTACTCTCACCGGAGAGCATTGCCTCGTTCACAATAGCACTTCCCTCGACTAAAAGAATATCACAGGCAACACCGCCATCCTCCTTGGTGCGGTTTACAGACATCAGATCACCCGGAAGAAGCTTGTCGCTGGTAATTTCCTCCCATCTTTCTTGACGGTAAACCCAAACATCATAAGGTTTGATACTCATTCCACGGAACTCAGTCAAAGTTCGCTGGCGTTGCCAAACCACAGTGCTTTCAAAGGTAACGAGCATGAAGAGGGTGAACAGCGAGTAGTACCAATATTCGTCCAGCATCCATAGTCCAACACAGAATACCTGAAACACAAAAAATGGTGCCACAGCATGCTCCTGGAACAGTTCGGTGAAAGTAGGGACTGGGATATCGAAAGTGTTATCACCGTAATGGTTTTGGATGCGCTCGATCTCAGATTTGGTGGTCAAACCCTTGCTGAGCTGGAAACTCTTAAGAGCGGGCTTGGGCTCTTCATCAAGAACGTAAGACAGCGGGGCAAAAGTTTGGGTTTCGGGAGAGAACAAGAAACGACGCTTCTGAAACAGGAACGAAGTGTTCTTCTTCCCACCCTTATTGTCGCGAATTAAAGGGCAGATTTCCGCAGTTCCGGCATTGGTGATAGGAATCACCTTGACCAGGCTGGCAGAATCGACAGATTTGGCGGATGTGGTAGTAAAAAGAGTGTTAATGTTGATATTCCATTTGGTCATCAGCCACAAGAGTGACTGGGCTGTGATGATGGAGCCCGAAAAGACGAAGGTCCATTCCTGTCCTTGAATGTAGGTATCATAGCGATCAGCCGAGAGGTAGAAGGAAAAGAAGATAGGCCAGATAATCAAGAACGGCCATGCATATGTATGGAACTGTATTGGGAGGGGATTATGTAGCGAAGCACGTTGGATCTGGGGATCCTCTGTGAGTTTAGCCCTGGATGTGGATGTGGCAGGTTAGCTGACATATGGAGCGGAGGGGATAGAATTAGAAGACTCACATGGCAATGGATAGACCACAATCAGGGTCGGGAAGGGAAGAGGAATTACAAACACATTAAAGAGCTCACAGATGAAATTGAAATTGAGTGCCCAGAAGATGCCACCTTCGAGATAGAGACCCGAATTTCTAGAGGATTCGCCCCCGGAAGACGCGCTAGTTAGGTGCTTATGTAAACCCGGCCTCCATCTGGTAAGCGCTCGCTTATAGACGCACAAATTGACAAGCCATTATACAAGCCCTGCCGGGCTAGCTCAATCGGTAGAGCGTGTGACTCTTAATCACAAGGTTGGGGGTTCGACCCCCCCGTTCGGCTATTCCTACTACGAACCTTCGAGTCCTCTTTTTTTTTGATTTTTCCACGTCGAAATGTTTTACAAGTTTTCAAAGCCAACTAACTAACTGCATGGAACTCATGGATTAGACATCTATTTACATGACAAGCTCCCGGCCCTGTCGGCTTCTTTTCTTGGTTTTTAGCAGAGACACCTCCATGATCCGCACGTTGTATGGTCAAGTAATAATGTTGTTGCAGTCGCAAACACAATTCGAAGCGTTTCTTTTTGCTGAGTGCTGAGTTCAAAGCCTCGAACCTCTCGCAGCACATGCACTCCACGGTATAATAGCCAACAGTAAACCCCTGTTTGTGTTGGTTGTTGATCTCAATACGCCCGTCAGCCAAAGCTCTTATTCTCTCAACTTGGACCCTACGCTGTTTCCAGATCCCCATGTTTTCCGGCCGGATCATTGGATCGGGAAGATAGTATACTTCTGCTGTCTTTCGCAAAGGTGTCCTTGTATTGGTCTGGGTTATGCTGAGCTGTATATTAGTATTGCCCATTTGGCGTGGCGTTTTGACTTGCAGTTGCATGAAACGAGCGAGGAAAAAATCAAAGCTGTATGCGATCTTGGGATTGAGTTTCCTACTGTTAGTAGGTAGGAAAATATCTTGCAAAGTACACGTCAATGTTTCAGGATTGGCATCATATTGAGCTATCCTGGCGTGGAAGCCAAAGAAAGCGCAGGATATCTAAAACAGCAGGGTAGACTTTTCAAATTTAGACAAATACATCATCATCGGCTGTCAATGCAAGCATTGAACACCTGGGCAAGACAAGCTATAGTACCTATTTTCGTGCGAAGGAGTTGTCAGTTGGGACTTGGCTTCATTCATTCACCACGGCCTTTTCTTCACTAAGCCGTCTGACCATCTCCGTTAAGATCTCAATTTGCTCCTTAAGGTGTCTGATCTCGATAGTGGCACCGTCAACCCTGATATCAGGTGTAGTCTGCTTGACCTCTTCTTTCCAGGAAGAATCAAGGTCGAAATCCACACCCTCGGCCACACATTCCCACTCCTGTCTACAATCTTCGTCTTCTTCTCCATGACGACGATTCCAGCGAATTCGGTCTGCCTGGCGAGTCTCAACCCAGGCCGTCACCAGAAGAAGAGGCGCGTAGATCACAAGCATGACGATATCATTGAGCTTTGCGTAATTTTTCCGCGAAAGCCACCACTCAAATGGTGCACTCAAAAAGATAATCTCAATTAGGTTAAAAGCTATTAGCGTGTAAATTAGTTCAGTTCATCGTCAGTGGATTGGTTGAAAACTTACGTGGAATAAACACATTCTCATCGGGAGCACGAACGAATTGCATAGTCTTCTGGGCAAAGGTCGACAAATACTCGTCAGTGGAGTTACTTGAAACGTCCTCATATGCGCTGTTGTACAGAGCAATGAGGATATTCAGCAGCACTGTCATAACAACAAAGTTGAAGATATAGTAGAGGATAATTCCAAACGGAAATGCAAATTCTTGGAAAGTGTCAAAATCAGGGCTTTGCATGACGGAGTTGACCATTCCTTGGACTATGGACCCAACTATCGGGACATCGTCGTCAACCTGGGCCATTCCTAGGAAGGCCTGGAAGAAACCGGCCAGGACCACGAAAAGGAGAGCAAAGAAAATGATACTCTCTTTCATCATAACCCGGAGGATCACAAACATGGCACCGAAGAAACGGAACGAGTCCAAGTATAGCATCATGCGCATCCAAAACATGGGGCCGGCAAATGCCAGGAAGTTGTAGCTTAGTTCGTTAAAATACTGTCGTTCGTGATCGTGCACCAGAGTTGGGTGGGCCAATGCAACCACACGCAAGATGAACGAGGTAGCCAGAAGTGTGTATAGCGTAGAATTGAAGGTATTCCAGAACGAAATATAATTCCATCCAACTTTCCAAAACTTCATCCCTTCATCACAGATAAATGCCAGTGTCATTGTGTACAGAATACCCTCGGCAAAGTCCAGGTCACCAGTAGGGTTGACAGTGTTTATGACAGCCGTGTATATCGCAAGGTATATCAGTGAGAACATAACTTGCACGATATTCTGGTATAGAGGAGTTCGCATCCGATCAGGGTGGAAGTGAACCCAATAATCCGTGTTAGCTTTCTGTTCGTACTCAACGAAATTGGTAGGGTTGCCATCTTCCTGGCAGATCCAGCCACGCCAAAGATACTGAATGCATTTTTGGTAGCCAGAGGAGCTGATAACTCTTAGCGCATGGAGATCTACCGAGCGTTCGATCACGTTAGCAGGATCGGTCTCGAATCCATCGACAAAAATGGAATAGCGCTTAAGCAGAATTTGCTTGAGGAGATAGCTCTGATCTTCTTCACTTTCGATACTATATGAGTTATCAGTATTGGCTCTTTATTGTTTTTTGTTTTTTTGTTTTATTTTGGCTCATACATGCGCTTGGCAATGACCTCACAAGCCACAGCTCGCATCGCGTGGAGATCAGCATCCCAGGGCTCGACAAAGGCCTGAATCTTGAACCATCGTAGACACACGAGAAGGCAATAAACTACACAGGCTTTATTCTCTTCGCCACCGGCCTGCCTAGCTGTCTGGGTTACAGCATTTGTGATAATGCGACTGTTTGGGTCGGTCAAGGTATCCTCCCCCACCTCACAGCTTACCACCTGCTCAATTTGATACTTCAATCTCAAAGCAACCTTGGTGATCTCCTTTGAGTGTGTTGGAGGGTGTGGCTCATCATCATCGTACGAAGGAAGAACTGAGGTCTGGTTAACGAATGTAACAGGGATTCCATGAGTATGACGTACGACGGCGATGTTCTGCTGCCAAATGCTGATAAGCATCACTGCGACTGAACGAGAAAATATCCGTCCAACTGCCCATGGTGAATATTTTTTGGATTTTCATGCAGTACAACAGTGGAGACTCAAGGAAGGAAGAAATTGAAAATGAAATGTAGAGGCTAGCGGGAATGATCCAAGCGCGATCCAAATTCCCCGCTAACTATAAAGCCACTCGGTTCCTTGGAACGCGCTATGGGTCTCTCATATATTACAAAGAATTTAACCAGGCTAGTCCTACCTGGTATATCCATGGATAGTCAACTAGATGGAAAATATCCACTACGGCCATTTGACATTGAACGTCTCGATTGCATTACATATGTACATCAAAACTAGTATCTCGCGAAATGAGCAACCCCCGGGAGAAAAAGGGTGAATCGCAAAGGACTCTGCCCATTCTCTCGCGTTTATAGTGACGTCTTCTCGTGAATAGAATCAAGCAGGACTCGAGGTGCGTACAGGCGACTGACCTTGATGGAAAGGAAATGGCTTGATTGCAATCGTGCCACAGCACATGGAGCTATCAAGCCTATTTTTCATTGATCGCATAATTTTCTCTATCCAATTTTTTGCCAAAATTCCCTCCTCTTATGCCTTGCAGTTAATGGATGCTGGGCTGTGACTTGAGAAATTTGATTCTTCCTTTAAGCAGGAACACCTTCGTCGCTCTCAGACTCGCTCTCATCACCGCTAACCTCTTGGTTCTCCCGCTCACGCTTCTCCATGAGCTCCTGGAGAATAGCATCGTCGTGCTCGGTAACGGCCTTGGGTGCCATCTTGACGGTGCAGTTACCGTTGGCCTGTGTAATGTTCGCGCTGATTTTCTCGATCGCGATCTCGAGCATCTTAATACCCAGGTTCTTGTCCAGGCATTGGCTGGTCAGGACGTAGAGAGGGGGAGCCACCAGACGGACCTTGATCTGGTTCTCTGGGGTGTTGTCGGCCTCGGCGGTGCGCAGAGCAGTCTTGACGGCATCGATACCATCGTAGCCGAAACAGCTAACCTCAATATCGGCACGAACCTTTGTAGGGTGAGGAGTAAGTTTCTTGCTGATGTACTGTGTGATCTCACTCTTGACGGGGTCGCTGGGGAAAACAATGTCGTTCCAAACGTCAGGGTTACTAGAAAAATTTTAGTTGGCGGGACGGGTCATTTCTTCCTCCAAAAGTATAAACATACGTGATAGAGATCTTGAAGGCATCGTGAGAGTGACCGTATTTCTTGTCAAGCGGCCATGCGATCTCCTGGTATAGGGTCTCGATGGGAGTCTGAGTTGCCTCGGCGACGTGGCGCATGATAGAGTGTACTGCCTTGCTCTTGTTGTAGCGCTCCTCACACTTAATCACATCTTCGGGAGAGACACGACGCTTCGACAAATCAATATAACCTAGGAGAAGTATAGGTAAGCCTCCATGTCTCGTATATAGACTTGTTTATTCTTACCCTTCTCCTTGTCAACACGGAGCACAATAACGACCTCGTTACGTCCGATACGGATGAGCTTTTGAATACTGCGAATACGTCTTCGCGAAAGTTCGGAAAGCAGAATCATGCCGTCGATGTTGTCGTATTCGAGCAGCTTCACGTATGCGCCCATCTCGGCGATCTATGGCGATAATCCCCGTGTGAGTCGGTATTTTGGTAGAAAGACATCTCTGATGTTTCTTACCTGCTTGACATTGACCATGACATAGCTATCCACCTCAGGGAACTTGTCCTCGTAGAATCGGCAATTTGTTAAAGACATCTTGGCGGGGTTGCGCTCTAATTTTCAGACGGAACTTTTTGGGAGAAAAAGAAACTGATCAGACAGCACAAAGAGAGTAATGAGCTGGAGCCTGGAAAAGAAAGGTTCCGAGCGAATGGGAATCGATCGGGGCCGAAGAAAAAGGGACGTTGGGCGGAAGCACAATCGATTCAAATCACTATTGTGGCGGGCTCAAAACCCACATTGAACAATGTCACGTGATGAATGCTCATGTGACTCACCGCTAGTTTGGAATATGGCAGAATTATACACCGCCTTTTCGATGGAACCGAGATAGCTTAACCTTCGGTCGGTCCAGAGACGAATCAAAAACGCTGGATATATCACGCTTACACAGAATCTAGATCCTACTCAAGCATACATCTGAGTCCTCATAGATTTTTTTATTGTTACTGAGCTTGAAAAGTAGTTTCAACGTCGCGAGAATCTACTTGGTCAATGGCAGGTACCGATTAACTAGCTCCGCTTTACCTCCGCTTATCAGTCTCTAGCGGATGCTCCCATCTTTGCGGTAGTTGTGATTATTTGGATCTATTTTCCTCTGCTCCTATTCTTATTTTCCCTTCTTTTTTTCTCTTTACATCTGATAAATGGAGGTTCTTGTCGATATCGAACGTTATTAGATTTTGATCCTTTCTATATCTATACTTCATCCAAGGAGAAAGCACCATGCCGGACTCCACACCGCCGCTTCACGATGAGCCAGAAGAAGGCCGCTCCTTACACGACCGAATTGCAGACGTTTTCCGCCCTCGAAGCTCAAGACCTAACACAGGTATCAATCCCAACAATAACGGAGCAAAAAGCCCATCTACGGAGCCAGATGTGAGAACTCGCCTTCTGGATTCATATAATCACTCGAATCCTGTTTGTGGTGAACGTCGCTGTAGTCATGGCACATTCTCCCCAAGATTAGTGAGTGACAGAGTTTCCTCTTTTGAAGCGTTTGGGGGCGTTGGAATTGGCGAAGCAAGCAGCACATCGGCTTGCCAGTTTCGTGGTGGAAGAGGAGACGGAGACGGAGACGGAGATGGAGACGATCCCTCAGGGTCACGTCCGGACTCTGGATACACTTCTCAACTAAAATCTTCTTTGTCAATGAACGATAGTAAGAAGCAGTGCGTGATAAAGCCCTAATAAATCGGCACTGAAAGCTAACAAACATCACTTCAGGTACCTATCTTATTACATTCCCTTCTTCAACTGGATAAGTCAATATAAACGGTCTTTCGTCCGTGGAGACTTGATGGCCGCATTGACCGTTTCTTCAATTTATATTCCCATGTCCCTGTCGCTGGCATCCAATCTCGCCCATGCACCCCCAGTCAATGGCCTTTATTCTTTTGTGATACATCCACTAGTGTACGCATTATTAGGAAGCTGTCCTCTTTTGGTTGTTGGGCCTGAGGCGGCTGGCTCACTACTTGTGGGAGCGATTGTCAAATCCAGCATCAACGAAGGCAATTCTGGCGAAGGTAATAGTTATGAGAGTGCAATGGTGGTCGGAATAGCCACAGCTATGACAGGTGCAATGATTCTTATTGCCGGAATCTCCCGGTTAGGGTTCTTGGATAACATGCTCAGCCGTCCCTTTTTTAGGGGATTCATTACAGCTATTGGTTTTGTGATCTTTGTGGACCAGCTCATCCCTGAATTGGGCCTTGGAACTCAAGCGAGGGAATCTGGAGCCAGTCATGGCACTACGGTTGCTAAGCTTTCATTCATTGCTCGCAATGCTCAGAATTCTCATTTACTGACTGCTATGGTTTCCTTGATCAGCTTTTCTATCATCATGTTCTTCCGGTCCGTCTTTCTTCTATCACGAATGGACCTTTCATATGCTTATTTCTCAATAGAACACTCAAAAAATGGTTGATGCCACGTTTTCCCCAGGTCATCTACTTTCCAGATCGCTTCCTTGTTGTCGTTTTTTCGGCCATTTTGGCCTGGAAGCTCAACTGGGAAGACAAAGGACTCGAGCTTCTTGGACATACCGAGATTAGCTCAAGCCAATTGTTTGCCTTTGAGTGGCCATTCAAGTATATTAACATGGCCCACATTCGCACGGCCTTGAGTAAGGCATTTATTATTACCCTCCTAGGCTTCTTTGAGTCCTCAGTTGCCGCGAAGGGTCTGGGAGATGGTGCAACCAATGGTATTAAGGGCATTCATATGAGTGCTAACCGAGAAATGGTTGCACTGGGTACGGCTAATTTAATTGGAGGCTGCTTCATGGCCCTCCCAGCCTTTGGAGGCTACGGCCGAAGCAAAGTCAACATACAGACTGGCGCTCGCTCTCCAATGAGCAGTATCTTTCTCAGCATGATTACCCTTGTGTGTATCCTAGTGCTTCTACCTTATCTCTACTACATTCCGGTTCGTATACACCCTTTCCCTTGAAGAAAACAAGTACCATTCACATGAAGCTCAATGACTGACTTTATATTATAGAAAGCTGTTCTTTGTTCTATGATATCAGTCGTAGCGTACTCTCTTGTTGAAGAGTGCCCCCACGATTTGATATTTTTCTTCCGCCTCCGCGCGTGGACTGAGTTAGCTCTGATGTTTCTCATTTTCGTTTCAACAATCTTCTACTCGCTTGAGCTTGGTATGACCCTTGGTATTGGCCTCTCAGTCATCATTCTGATCCGCCATGCCACCAAACCACGTATCCAAATTCTGGGCAAAGTATCCGGCAACTCGAATCGTTTCGAAAATGCTGAATTGCAGCCTGGAAATATTGAATTGATTGAAGGAGCCTTGATTGTCAAGATCCCAGAACCTCTCACCTTCGCCAATACTGGTGACCTGAAAAACCGTCTGCGCCGTCTGGAGCTTTATGGATCCAGTCGGGCTCATCCATCGCTTCCTCCTATGCGCGCACCAGAGCATAATAGGAACGTCATATTCGATGTGCATGGTGTTACCAGTATCGATGGCTCTGGGACACAGGTTCTTGGTGAGATTGTGCACGCTTATGTCGAGCAAGGGACTAGAGTTTTCTTTTGCCGATTACCTCACACCAGTGTATTCCGCATGTTTGAACGAAGTGGGATTGTTAAAGAATGTGGTGGTATCACCCATTTCGTCACCAGCGTTGATGAGGCGCTGCGCTTGGCAGAAACCGAGGAATCTTTGGACGAGATCCAATGCGCATGACAGCCGCTGTGATACAGATTTGGCAGGTCGGGCATCTTGTCTCCGCTATGTTTTTAGCTTGCTCCCCTTGTAAATACCGATACTAGGAACTTATGATTCTTGTTTACTATATTTAAAAAAGCTCAGATATATTTGGCTTGATTAGATAGATACCACTCATGGCTTGTCTCTGATTGGAATAAAGATTCGTTTTCATTCCAGAATATCGCGAAGGGTTGGGTTTGCATGCAGCTAGAGAGTTTCTCTTACGCTAGAAACGTCCAACTTGTTCTAGTCGTTTCACTCATGGATGTAATAGATGTTTCTTCGGTTGGGCAAACCGGCCATTCCCTTGTGCGCTAGTGTCTTTCAAGGTATTGTAGCTGGTGAAAGTTCGGTGGTTGTCCTTCATCGGGAATAGTTGCCCATTGTAAAGTTATAACGAAGTCTTGACGTTCTGAGTAGTCGAAAAAGGTGCAGCGTAGTCGTCGCGTGTCACAAAAATCCAAAGCTAGCTCATGTGGCTTCATCTTCGCCGATTACAGCTCTTCGTATCACTTTCAGAAGTAACATTTCACTTGCATAGAGAATCGACTGGGATCGCGCAAATAGCTCATCATCGTCAGATAGATCAATATCCACAACCAACTTCATACGGCCCTCATTTCCTAGCACAAAAGGAGCGCATGAGATCTTGGACAGACGAATATGTTGTCTTAAAATTTTGTCCTGCGACGAGCCATCCAGATCTAATTTCATCGCCAAATGCGTCTCAATGTATGAGGTCAGGTTACCAATCAAGGGGTTTCGCAGCTTCTCCTTAAGAGTGCGCGATTTTGACGAGCTTGAATTGTCACGTAGGAAATCCGTTAGTGACGATCGAGAGATATTGATATTGAGAGATCGCAGTGCTGGCGCGATCGATGATGAGAACGCCAGCGTAAGATGTAGTTCCTTGATCGCATCTTCCGCGGTAGGACCGCTTTGTTCACGAACACTGTGGAACTCATCGATAAAAGTTTCTAACCCCATGCAGAGGAATTTAGAGGGAAGGCGCAAAGCCGAACAGTAGCTATCAAAGTTGGCAGACAGAAATGATATGAAACCCTGTCGTACCGGGTTGGAGCATTTAGTCAACAATAACGGTAGAGATGTAGATTTTGGGCTTTGGCCATCAGGTCCAGAAGTTGAGCTTATTTCTGAGAGAAGAGCTGCTTTATAGCTAATTTTTTCATAGTTCAATATCACCAAAATTCCCTTGATAGAGGCGATGGCAGCGCGTTCGTCGCGCGATGATCTCGTTATGGGCTGCCAAAGGCATTCCCTCAGCGGGCCTGTTTTCGAAAATGAGTTGTCCTCTGCTGCACTAGGGCCAGTTTCAAGACCAGCGAAGACATCGCCTGTCAAATAGTCGCGTAATCGCGTCGCATACAGTTTCAAGGAAGCCGGGTCTATGAGGGTTTCACAATCTTTCCCATGATGAAGTGGTGAGATTCGGTGTAAGTTCCATGATGTGTTAAACAGCTGTGAAAACTCTGACTCCATGGCATATACTAGACTTTGTTTGTTCCAAAGTCTTTCTGGTCACAAATATCCCATCGAGTCGTTTATTCTTGACCGCTTTAGAATTCTGCCAACTACCAGTATGTTCATTAAAATGTGCATCGAAATCTATCAAACTACGCTATTTTGCGAGAGAATATATATGAGTTTCGCTAATATATCATATCCAACGCCAACAATGCTCAAAACTGCCCTGTCATGCTCTCCATCCCGCCCCATGGTGACAATCTGGGCAACCAAACAGTAATGGAATGCCACCCCAAGACCATACCTTCTCCATTTCATGAGGAATTGCATTCCTAGATTCCAATTCAGCCCTTGCGACGTCAAACCAGAGGTCTTGGACGGAGCTGTGCATATTTTGCTCGGAACTTTGACCAAATAGCACAGAGTTCAAATGCTCACGCGCGTGTTTTGTATCAGCGTAAAAGTTGTACATGAATTCCTTGCGCTGCACTCTCTGGCTACCTCCATCTCCGATCTCAGCGGAAAAGAATTCAACGATCCGTTCGAACGGCGATAGAGTGAGAAGCGAAGTAATCCAGGAATCGTCCGGTTCTCCTTCTGGGGCCATTGTATGTCGGATATAAGTAACCAACAGATATATACAGTGATGGGTCGCAAGCAGGGCCGGAGTATTGGTAAACGGGGGTTGGCGAAGAATCGCAGTCTGCAATTCTCCATACATCCGTTTTCGTACATCCAGGGGAACTGGTACTCGTAGGCGACCAGCTTCGTATTCCCGGAGGAGCATATTCGTGTGCTCACATCTTGCTGAGTTGAACGACTCTAGGAAGTAGAGCGTGTAGTACCTAGCATGTCGGTCAGCTTGGAACTATGTCGACTGGGACTGACCAGACTCACATCAGCGGTGCCAGGTGAAACCATATTTGAATCCTACCCCGCCTCACCAGCGAAGATCTGTCGGCCTTCTTTATAGGAAATGATGTTCTACGAAACATTGGTTCCGTCTGGATGAACCGATCCATGATTCGGTCTGCGAGGTAGAAGCATAGTCTTGAGCATAGCATCTGCCGTTGCCGTAATCCAAGCAAATATCTGAATGTGTACAAATGGCCGCCCCTGGCACTTTTTGATGGCGGGAAAAGGTCCGATAGGAGAACAACGTCGTCCTCTGGGTTCCGGGTATAGGTTCGTTCGCTGTCAATTGGGGAAGGAAGGGTACCATGCCGGCGCTCACGGAGGTATTGTCGGACAATTTCGTGCTCATGGGTTTGGAGAAGCTCGTTGAACGCCTTGCAAACTAGCTTGAGAGGGAGAAAGTCGCTTGTTCCACAGTGGGCAAAGATCAAGATTTGGATCTCAATTGGCAGGTTCCACGGATAAGGAGGGAAATTGTCCTCGGTATCTAGACTGCAGCAAGTTAGAATTGATCAAAGGTCTATGATCCCCAAAGAGCTCACCCTGGTGAATTTGAAGAGCCATGAGCATGCTTATCCCTGGAGCTAGACTTCCGCCCCTTATTAATCGCAGCTCGAATCTTATGCACTGCTGGCAGGATTTTGGAAAAACCACTCATGCTTGGGTTCCCACATAGATTGACTAGCTCCGGTGAGTCCACACCTTGGAGAGGCGAAGGGCGAATAAGGAAGGGAATCTCTCAAAAAAACCGGTGAGCCTACACTTTCAGGTCCTTCATATCTGACTAAGCGCTGCAAGCCCCTGAGTATGAGGAATCGCTAAAATTTCGATTGCCAGCAAGGGCTTAAATTTTGAAAGAGGGAGTTGTTTGAGAGATTAAGGGTATGATGCAGAACCTTGTTATAGCCACGACGCGTAGAGATAAGATCTGCAACACATCTATCTTATCACGGGGAACTCTAGTTCTACTCTTACTCACCTTATTCTTACCTCCACTCCTGATATCTCTTGACTCTTACACTTCCACACTAACCATGTGCAGCTTACATTCAAGCACAGTACTGGAGTGCTTTTAAATTTTCGGACACTCAGTAATCATGGCCCTTCTTTACACAATTTAATATACAAATGACAAACATAACTGCCAAAACTAAAAGAATCAAGAGCTAACTTCCAGTGATCCGCTGTTCTCGAGTCTTGAATCTGAAGAAAATCAACTAAAACAGCTACTTTGTACTGTTGATGAGCAGAACAACGAGGAAGATGTCTTTTAGACCTACCGTCTGGCATATAGATGTAAGGATAGCCCGCTAAGCCCGTACGTCTATATGCAACAGGTACTGAAAAGAAGAAAAACAGGGAGGAGAAAGGAAGGAAAACGGAGATCGTCTGCTTCATCACATGAAGGTGGCTGCTCAGGAACTCTGTGTGCAGATGGCCTTTGGAGTCGAAAGTCTTTACCCACTGGCTGTGCGTACCTGGATTGTACACTTGGTGAGGACTTCCCCATCCAAATCCGTACAATTTGCCACAATATTGGACTCTGTCAAACTCGTATTTGCTCGATCTGCTACACTTGCTAAGTGCCGCAGGAGCGCTTGATATGAAGTTCAATGATACTGTTTATGAGTGACAATCGCAATACCTAAAATGTGTGAATGACATGACCGAAAAAGTCGAGACCAACTGAATTCAGTGGTAAAACTACCTTGTCTACCCAGGTGATTTTCATGCCTCTCAGCTTCAAAAAGAAAAGAGACAAAAGAAGCGAGGCAGAGCAAAACAGAGATTAACTGGAGCAAGGAGCTAGCAGAACCAATTGCACAAAATGTCCTGGACCCGCCCGTTGCCGATGACCGCCTCCTGCTCCTGGCAGGCCTTGCTGGGTAGTCGCCCGACAAGGGCTTCAAAGTTCAGGATTAACTCCCCTGACACTGCGAGCTGGGTTCCAATACCACTCACCAAGTGTGGACTTCCTACGAGCAAAATGGACTTGTAATATAAAGTAACTATATATTGATGCCTGGCTAATACTCTTTCGGGGCTAGCCAGTTGCCACTTTATCATAGAGTGTAGATTTGTCACATCTATGACATGATTTCAACCTATGTAATGTCGCTCGATAACTATTTCTTGCACAAATCATTGTCGAAGTAGAAGAGTTAGTTAGCGGTGGATCTTAACCATCTTACGGGTGGAGAATATATTAAGAACTTAGACTCTTACATATCTCTTTGGTTCGGAAAGACCACTGGGTCTGGAGAGACCAACTAGTCCGAATTCCCAACCCCTATCAGATAATCATACCTTTCTACGTCCAGGAGCTGTGGTAAGATTGAAGAAAGGGCCTTCTTAGGATTTATTTATCTTTGAGCTCTATAGAGTCAAGACTCTATAACAAGGGGCCGGGGTGCTCAGTCCACCCCGGGAGCTTATCATGGTCTCTGGAATCTTTTAAGAAATATATATATGTCTGGATCAGAGGACAGCCTTTGTTTGTCAATGCTATATTGGATATAGCTAGGTTTTTAGTTGAGTGACTACCAGTTGACTATGAAGGATAAAGACTGTCTACCATTACCATGGCAATTGTAAAGGCGTGGGCAGGTTTTCACCGAGGACGCTTTCTGCAGTTCCAATATCTCTGTATGATACCCATATTAGTCTTGGTCTTTTATAAATAATGGAAACATACCTAGCTCCTCTTGGTGCCCAGTACTGGCCAGTTTTTTCAATGTCGAATGTGTCAATGAATGACGCTAGTGATTGAGCTGCTTCATCAGGTGTAACAGCTATTCAAAGATTAGAAATTGAGCAAGATAAACCTGTTGTAGAAAATAAAATGTCATACCTCCTCCCTCGTCCCAATACTTATCAAATCCAACGCCCTTCGTCATCTCCGTTCGCATAAATCCCGGGTGTACCAAACCAACCGCAATTCTCTTCTCCAAGAGATCAAGACTTAACAGTTTCCCCACCATGTTCAGTGCAGCTTTACTGGCATGATGGCCGTAGTTTCCACCACCTTCTTTCTCATGGCGAAGGGTAATACTGCCACTCTCACTCGATACGAGGATCACTTTACTTCCTTCACCCAGAAGATTCGCTTTGACAAGATGGTGCACCACAAAGACGGGAGCAATAGACGAGGTCGTGTACATTTGAACTTCTTTCTCCCAGTCTGGAGAATCAAAGCTCTCAGAGCCAAAGTAGCCAGCAGTGATAATCACAGTCGAGAGCTTGGTAGATGTCGGGAGCTGTGATACCAGCTTCTGACCAACGTCTGGCTTGGAGAGATCAATACCAGCCAGCCAAGAAATTTGTGAATATTTTTGCTCTGGAGCTGAATTAGATCTAGAGGTTGCAAATATGTGTTTGGAGGGGTATTTGGAGTATAGCTCCTTGAGAGAGGCGCCAAGGCCCCGTGTTGCGCCCACAATGAGGATATTGTTGCTCATGATAGTTTAAATGTCAATTTTAGCCACTTAGTTTTGTAAAGAAAGTGAAGTTTGAGAGATGGAAGATGGATCTTTAAATGCTAAGAGATCAGGAATCTGACGCAAGATGGTGGGCAGTGACGTAATTGCATTTACTCTGTGCACCCCCTGCACAGTACATATAAGCCTACCTAGGATTCACCGTCTCCATACTCTTTGCTCCTCTAAAAACATACTTATTTTAGTGTTGCTTGGGAATGTCTCGTCTCTTTTAGCTATCTAAGCTACTAGCTTACATAACAAAAACCATTGTCGAACGACGGGCATATAAAGAATGAAGAATAAAGAATAAATCGATAGCCACTCGATAATGGATCATCCCAGAAACGTACGCAAAAAAAAAACAAGCAAAGAACCCAGCACCCGCAAGTTGCCATGTCTCGTATCTTGCGGTTCGTCTCATAGATTAGTAGAACAAGGCGAACATCACCAAGAATTTCTCAGGACCAGTGATCTTTGTTCTTTCCAAGTTTGGCGAGAAACTTTACCAGTATCCACGACAGAGCTGGGCCACTCCACGATAGCCTCAGCCAATTCAACGGGCGGTGGCGAATTTGTGCTAGCTGATGGGAACTTGTTCTAACCTGCTGAAAAGGTTCCGTCTGTACTGATCCATCTCGTATGCGGCGGGACTGTTTATTAAAATTGATATCTGCAAACTTGAGCATCGGCCAATCATGAGCTTCCCGTGGCTCTTTGAGCAAGATAAGGCCGGATATACTGTGCTAGTTGGATCGATTCAGGAGCTTTTTTATGATTGGGTGCGAGAAGCCCTAGGTAGTTCAATACAGAGGATAAGGCGTCCTGATCTGTCGACTCAATATTAATAGCGGTCTCGAAGCTGCGGTTCAAATTCAAGCGCTTCTCATCTTCTCAACTAGCTTTGGAATGGTCAAAAAGAGTGCCAAAAGTAGTTATGACGATGTCTTATCTTTTGAACTCATCCCATGCTGTATTCTGTGTTTTCTTATGGGAGATGAACACGCTGAACTTATACCCCGTTTTTGTATCCCTGGCGAGCTCAAGACGCCACTGATCTATGAGCAATAATCATGTTCAAGATGCATGATTGAACCAAGGTTCTCAATTTCTGATGTTTAGAATAATGATAATATGAGTAGTGGGAGTGAGAGTTATTAGAATGTCAAAAAATCCTATCATAATTCAGCACCTGGTCTCGCACACATAAAGACCAAGTCTTTCCCCATATCCGGCCGCTCCTCATGCCCAACAACCTTCACTCCAAATGCATTGGTATAAAATTCTTGTGTTTTTTTCTCACTAGTCAACAGCATAATTCTCCGTAGATAGGGCATGTTCTCAGCCGAGAAGACCTCCGTGACGCAATTGAAAAGCCACTTTCCAAGTCCATGACCTTGATACTCAGGAAGAACATATGTATCTGATAGATAACCAAAAGTAGTACTGTCTGTTATCATTCGCGCGAGACCAACCTGCTCGGTTCTTTCTTTGCCAGACTCTGAAGGTGGAAGTCGTTTGTAGACTCCAAAGCTCATAGAGCCTGCAAGTATTTGGCGAAGAACATCTTCTGGGAGGGGTTTAGCCCAATATATGAAGTCCATTCCGAAAGCATGGTTCACTTCCTTTACGGAGATGTATGCGGGGTCATTGGAGATGAAGAATTCACTGTCCTTGCGAGTCCATGTTCTTGGGGCAACTAGTGCTGCAGGTGTAGAAAAGGACATTTTCGGTGTATAAAGTTGCACTAAATATGGCAGTGTAGGCAAAATGTCAGGGTAATAATAGATTCAAAAGGTCAAGAGAGTTGTGCAGTTGGTTTGTAGCTTTTTATTTCATAAGTTACGAAGTCGGAGCTAGAATCGGAGTGGGGTTCGATATTACGGAGTAAAATACTCCGAGGGCTATATAAGCCCTTAGCCTACTGAATACATTGTAAATAACTGAGATGCCTAGAACAAACGGATAATACAATAGTCAACTTCATTTCTTATAAGTTATAAATGAATTGAAGAGGATGTAGTAGTAGTGGTACATCCACATTGTGGGGTAGTTGGAGATACAAGATCTTCGGCGGGGTACAAAGCACTGTATCAGCCTATCATGATCGCTAACAATATCTAATAGCCCTGGAATGTTAGCTGATGTTCACAAATGGATTCAATCTAAATTATACAAAGTATGATCTCTTCCAAGTGCACACTATCAGTCGGCCGAGAACATAAGAATTTACCCACCCATATTCAAAGGATAACTACGAATCAGATTAACGATCGCTTATCATTATACTCCGTACTATAGGACAGAGCCAGGATCAGGTAGATGCTCGATTGATTTTAACTCCACAATGGCGTTTAGAGTGGGGTTGATGATGTTGTATAGGTAAGCATATAGATACTTCCTCGCGTCATCGCCATCCACGATGGTGTTAGTTATGCCAAATCAGTTAATATTTCGGAATACTACCGATCACAGACGCCTTAATAACCCTGCTTAACGTGACCTGCGCTGTCACGTTTTACATGATCAACATGGCGCGAAGAGGGGTCTCACCTTACCTAAGTACATTAAAGAGGCCATCCCATTTCAATTATACTACAATTACAGCGCAAAGCTGAGGCATTTCCCCATTTGAATACTGATTAATTTTATACTATTCTCACTATGGCTCTTGTCGAACCTTCGGGCGTCGCTACTCTTCCCTCATTCTCTAAGATCACTGAGACACTCAAGGGCTCGGATTCGACTGGAGCGCCTTCTATAACAGTTAAAAGCACAATCGATGAGCTTGATCCAGCAGCTGTGAAGACGCAATTCACTATTGAAGAGCATTCTATTGACACTGTGAGACCCATTACCGTGGGCGTCATCGGTGCTGGTCTATCCGGTATAACGGCTGGTATTTTGCTACCAGCTAAATTGCCAGGAATTGATCTGCGGATCTATGACAAGAACGCCGATGTGGTAGGTTTCAACACATGGTCTACTGATACTTTTTTTTCCTAACGCTGTGAAATAGGGAGGTACATGGTTTGAAAACACTTATCCCGGCGTTAGATGCGACATTCCGGCGCATGCCTATCAATCTACCTTTGAGCCCAATACCCAATGGACGGAAGAATTCGCACAGGGTCATGAGATTAGAGACTACTGGCAGGGTGTAGCTCGAAAACACAATGTCTATCAGTACATCAGATCGAAACAGCAGGTACAGAAGGCAGAGTGGCTCGCCGATGAGGCCAAGTGGAAGGTGACCATCGAACACCTGGATGGTTCTAATAAGGTAAGCATACAGGTACTACTATATTTATGTGCAGATTATTGACTCGTCCTCTCAGATCTATGAAGAGAAGCTGGATATCCTAATCAACGCTATAGGCCATTTCAATGCTTGGAAGCTACCCAACTATGAAGGAATTGAACAATACAAGGGCACCCTCTTCCATTCTTCCCACTGGAATCACGATATTGACTTGAAGGGAAAACGCATTGCTCTGATTGGTAACGGCGCATCAGGCTTGCAGGTCTTGCCTTCCATCCAGCCAATTGCCAGTCACGTTGATCACTATGCCCGTAATCCCACCTGGATCGCAGACTCCTTCAGCAGCGGTAAGAACGGTGTTCGTCGACTAGAGCCGAATCTTTTCTCCGAGGAGCAGTTGGAATCTTTCAAAGATCCAGACGAATATCTGAAGTATCGCACGGAAGTTGAGCGAGGATACTTCCAGCGATTCGCAGCAGTATTCAACGACTCACCTGAAAACCAGGAGCTGCGTGAAAAGTGGACTAAGTTGATGATCGAGCGTGTCGCGGACAAGCCAGAGCTAGCAGACCAGATTCTTCCCGACTTCCCACCAAACTGTCGTCGTCCCACCCCAGGGCCCGGCTACCTTGAAGCTCTGACAAAGGACAACGTTGACTATATACGCACACATATCAAGCGCTTCACTGAAAAGAGCATCATCACCGAAGATGGCGTGGAGAGAGACGTAGACGTTGTCATCTGCTCCACAGGCGCGAACACAGACCACGCACCCTCATTCTCTATCATCGCCAACGGCATCGATCTAAAGTCTGCCTGGAAGAAAGACGGCCAATTCGGATTCCCATACTCCTATCTCGGATTTGCAACACCCGGATTTCCAAACCTCCTCTGGCTCGGCGGCCCCTATGCTTCCGGACACAGCGGCACAGTGCCCAACAGCATGGAAAACCAAATCGTCTACATCGCAAAGGTGATACGAAAAGTCCGCAGTCAGGGAATCAAGACCATTGTGCCCTCGAAGGCAGCGACGGATGAATTTGTTGAATATTGCGACCAGTTCTATCCTCGCACAGTCTGGAGCGCCAACTGCAGCTCGTGGTATAATGGAGGTAAGCCTGGATCTCGCATTCATGGCCTTTTCCCTGGAAGTGCATCGGCAGTAAATTATCTTCGGAGAGATCCGAGGTGGGAGGATTGGGAGTACACTCATGTCAATCCTGCGAATCGATTCGCTTACTTCGGAAATGGGTGGACTTCGAGGGAATCTGTCCCTGGTGCGAACTTGACGCCTTATCTTAAACGTCCTGATGAGATTGACTTGAAGTCCTATTTAGAAGGCTGGTATGATGTCTAGATTTGATTTTATTATAGACGCTGTCCAAGCATTTCATCCATTCCATATAATATAACTTATTATAAACTCGCAAATGAATGCCATATCTCCGTACACCTAGTAATCCTTTCGGAGTCATAGAATTCCTAGATACTTTGAAGTATTTAGACTTATATCGCCTTAGTTGTTGATTTGTTTTATGTCTCATGTTAGCAAGTCCACGACCGCAAATAGGGCAAGCGCCACAATTCAAGCAAACCACCGGATGATAGGGACTTGTGAGGATCTTCTCTAGATTACGGCTGTTTTCTTTCGAAAAGACAAAGTAGTACTAGCCCCACTATAATAAAGACATTGTAAACCATGGCTATAATAATAAAGATGCGGAAGGAAGAGGCTTCTAGTGAATCTTGCACACATTGGAGGAAGATGTCAAGATAAAATGCCATGTTTCCGATAGTTTTGACATAGTAATTCAGAGAATAATTGCTGCAAACAACCCTGGAAAATTGATCAGGCTTAAACTACTGACTCTCTTTTACTATTTTTGTTTGAATATAGTGCCTCCATTCAGATCTATAGCCAAATGCTTCAACAATTAATATATGCTTGCTAATTCTATCCACCCTCATTGCGATTCGGTCAATGAGTAGGATGGAACCTCTTCTCCCGCTCGCCAGCGATATCTCGCAGCTGGATGACTATCAGGAGCACGATTTTGGCCCTTCTTGCCATAGAAGTTCTCGCGCCAGGTACCTCCCTTCACAGCATAATCATCCCAGAACAGCCCACGCCGTCGCAGCTCCGGAAGCAATAGATTGATAATGTCATCAAATGTATCGGGAATGGTAGCATATGACAGATTAAAGCCATCCACATCGCCGACATTCACCCATCGCTCTAATTCATCAGCTACCGTCTGGACACTGCCAATGATTTTCACACCGTTACCACCCAGCGTCAAGTAGTCAGCAATAGTCCGCTTGTCCCACTTCTTACCCTCGCTGCCAGGCACTGTGCTGGCCCAGTGATTAACCATACTTCGCACGGCAGGCTGTCCCACAAACCGGAAGTCTTGGTCGTCCGTGTAAGTCGACAAGTCATACCCAGTCCAACCACCAAAGAGCGCAAGAGCACCTTCCTCATCGCCATATTTCTTGAATTCATCAAACTTGGACTTGGCCGCTTCGTCTGTCTCTGCAACAATGACAAGTGCTCCTGCAATCACCTTGATATCTTGCGGGTTGCGTCCTAGCGCAGCAGCTTGTTCGCGGATACTATCCACAGACGGGCGGACCAGCTCTGGTTTCTGTGCATGTAAGAAGATCGCCTCGGCGTGCTTAGCAGCGAACGCTTTCCCCGCTGTCGAGGTTCCGGCTTGCAGGATAAACGGCGTCCGCTGCGGACTTGGCTCGCACAGATGTGGTCCAGGGACCTGGAAGTACTTTCCCTTGTGATTAATCTGGCGCACGGCACGTGGATTTGCGTACCGTTGACCAGGAGCAGGGCCATTGGTTGTTGCATCTTCTTGCCTCCATGTCACGGCATCATCTCTCCACGACGCCTCCCAGAGCTTATATGTAACGTCCAGGTATTCATCAGCAATGCGGTAGCGCTCGTCGTGCTCGACCTGGGTGTCGAGACCGAAGTTCCTCGCGGCGGAATCAAGGTAAGAAGTAACAATATTCCACCCGACACGGCCATTGGTGAGGTGGTCGACTGTCGAGAATCGTCGGGCGAGTGCGTAGGGTGCTTCATAGGTAGTCGATGCAGTTACACCGAAGCCGATACTTTCAGTCGCAGCTGCCATGGCGGGAATGCTGTACAGGGGGTCGTTGATGGGAAATTGGGCGCCAGCAGGAATGGTTGGGTCTAGATTTTCAGGTCCCTTGTAGACATCATAACCGCCCAGAACGTCGGCGAAGAAAATGCCATGAAACTTGGCATCTTCTAGTTTCTGCGCAAGGGAGATCCAATGCTTGATGTTTTTGTACTCGCCACCCTTGTCAGTTGGATGTCGGAATAGGCCTGGATTCAGGTGGGATGGTGTTTGCATTGTAAAGGCATTGATGATTAATTGTTTCTTCTCTGATGAAGTCATGTTGATGAATTGAACCGTGTAAGATAATTGATATTAAACAAACCAAGTGGGAACTCTGCATCTCTCAGCGAGGGGCTTTCCCTGGTTTATCTGTGTTTATCTCATGGTGCGACCCCCACTGTAGCTACCTGGTTATGTAACTATGGCGTGCGTGTTGATCAAACGTGAAATTGAAGGCTGATGGCGTCAGCATCGGGGATTATTGCGGCGTAGTGCTGCGATTGTTGTTTCTCGACCGAGAAGCTCTCAAGGTGCCGTACAATGTCCATGATATTCTAGACCTGGGGATTTGTTTGTTCCAATTATCTGGTTACTTGGGTTCCAAGGTTGTTGAAGCTTCCATTATTTGCATCCCGAACTCCGCTGAATAAACCTTTTCGTCCCTAACCAAACTACCCAAGTAGCGGATAATTGACTGTATAAAAAGTGACTAGATTTGAAGCTACGTATCGATATTATCCTAAGATTTCATGGGGTAACGGTTATCGGTAGAATTCTCGGAAATATCTTTATCTTACCATGAAACATAGTCCATCTGTATATATCATTGATGTCAATGTTGGAGCTTTCTATGCAGCAACCTCGAAAACTAAAAATTGCTTATTGTATGTAACATTTATCTTATATTTATATATATATATATATAAAAAAAAAGGATCTATGGGTACCTTTCTAATAGCGAAAAAATAAATAGACCAAGCCATCCATATATGGTATAAGTTTGAAAAAAAACTCCAAAAAAAAGAAAGTGCATCATCCGTGAATCGAACACGGGCCTCGTCGATGGCAACGACGAATTCTACCACTAGACCAATGATGCTAGTTTGATGAAATGCTAGCTCTTAATGTAAATATAAAGCAGCATTAAGTTCGTCTTCATTTATTTCGTATTATCTATCGATCAAGACTTTAAACAATATCACCTCAAAACAAGTATGTATTATTGACCAAGACTTGAAACTCTCATCTCTATAACCTTGGAAGTATCAAAGTCCCAAGACTATTTCCAACGACTACCCTCTTCTACCATCTCCCAACATCAATATGCCGTTTAGCCGAACACGAGAACTTGAATATGTTTATAACTAACACAGCCCCGAAGCCAACTCGTAAGTTCGTCATGATCATCGGCCAAGATTGGGGGCACAGGGAACCCACGAATGGTATTGTTTTTACAGAGCGAAGAGCTAACCGCTAGTGGTTAGTTATTTATTATCTGCCTCTATGCGCGGAATATTCTCTGCAGGGACCTCGGATCAGCCTTGTCAATCAATCTGGAATAGTGTGGGGCCTTTTTATGGTATGTCGATCCAGACATGCGTGATGTTTGTGGCGAGATCCTTGCATACCTTAGCAAAGAAGAGAAGGATTACATCGAGGCATAGCAGTCTTTGGATCTTCGATGTAGCAAAATAAGGCAAGTCTACCGGGTACATACTTCCATACTTCGGTCTGGCCGAGTCTATTCCACCCCTTCTTAATGTTCCTAGCTATCTAACCGGACGTAGGAGAGGTAGACAGCCTCGTTATTGTATATTCAATGGGGTATTAAATTAATAATAACAAAGGGATATAGTTCAGAGGTGGAGAATATGGAGGCTGAGGGTTAGAACTGGGGCACATGAGCCGCTCTACCAGTAAGTATCGAGAATGGGAGCCCGATGGAAGGGTTAACCTTGAGACTCAGGCAGTACCCACTTACTCACTGCGGAGAAGCTCAAGCTCAAGGCTGACTGGTTCCTTCCTTTAGATCGTATTTAAACATGGTAACACCCCCAGTCACCCAGATTTACTCACATCTTCCATCCAATTTCCTCATCTCTCCTATCATCCAACTTGATCATGTCCGTCAACGGCAGTAACAGTAAAGCAGTCCTGACTGATGACCTTGGTCCACCACATCTGCAAAGACTCCATCCAGACCATGGCCTAGTCAACGTTCAGCCTGCTAGATTAGATGATCTTCAACCGAGATATGCTGCCAACATCCAACACGATACCGATAATCCAGATGCCCACGGCTGGTACTCGAGTATGAGTAAGTAAATGGAAGAACATGAGCTTTGTGTTTCAAATCTAACTAATGTATGAAACAGTGCATAGTCTCGGCCAGTGCATCGGTTTCTGGGGTGCTGTTCCATGCTGCATCTGTAGCAACCCATTCAAAGAGGTACAACAGGGCCAGGTTGGTCTCGTATCTCGATTTGGACGGTTAGTCACTTCCCCCGCACTTATAATATACTCGTTCTGACATCAGTCATTCAGTTTCGAACGATCGGTCGATCCAGGTCTGGTCAAGGTGAACCCTCTCAGTGAGAAACTCATCACAGTCGATGTCAAGATCCAAATCGTCGAAGTGCCGCGCCAGGTCTGCATGACCAAGGACAATGTCACTCTCAATCTGACCTCTGTAATCTACTACCAAGTTGTTTCTCCGCACAAGGCTGTCTTTGGTATTTCCAACGTCAGACAGGCACTCGTCGAGCGAACTCAGACTACTCTGCGCCATGTGATTGGAGCCCGCGTTCTGCAGGATGTCATTGAGCGCCGTGAGGAAATCGCCCAATCGACCTCCGAGATCATCGAGGAAGTTGCCTCTGGATGGGGTGTTCAGGTGGAGTCTATGCTCATCAAGGATATCATCTTTAGTGATGATCTGCAAGACTCACTTTCCATGGCTGCTCAGTCCAAGCGTATTGGTGAGAGCAAGGTTATCGCCGCCCGTGCGGAGGTTGAGTCGGCCAAGTTGATGCGCCAGGCCGCCGATATCCTTTCGTCTGCCCCCGCCATGCAGATCCGATACCTCGAGGCCATGCAAGCAATGGCTAAGAGTGCAAATAGCAAGGTCATCTTTTTGCCTGGCATGAGCCACAACATGGGGCAGCAGTTGACTGCCGGTGACAATGCCGGCGAGGGTCCAAGCAATGGTGGAGATGACGATGGGTTCCAGAAGGCCATCAATGCTCGAATCATCGAGAACATTTAGATACCAGAATTCAGACACAGGCTGTCTTGATATGACTCGGCTTTCGTTCCATGAAGATATGACTTTTACTCCCGATGTACATTTGCCAGATTTCTTGGTTTTTTGATCTTGATGGCTGGACGCGCTTATACCCACGCTCTTTTTTCTTGCCTCACTGTCCTGTCTTCCTCGGTCATTTAATCACCATAATATGAATTATCTAGCTACTTAGTCTAATTTGAATCAATTCTGGAATTAACTGCTTCTTGTAACATTAGTATATGATTAAGGCGGTGAGCTCCGCAGCATCAAAGATGGAGGAATGATCCAAAGACAGGGGCCTAGACCTTTCCGCTCTTGCATCTTTGTCCCATTTAAAGACCTTAGCAATGGCATCTACTCAAAGTTATAGCTCAACTGCACGCACCAAAGCTTCACACCCAACACCCAACTTCTCCGACTCGAACTTCGACCCCGCTGATTACCTCAATGATGCCCTCTCTCCATTGACCGTCGCATCACTTCAACTCAATGCTTCTCGAGCTCCAGGCTCTATACCCCTGACTGAACTCTCAAGTCAGGTTCAGTCACTGCTATCACAAATCAGCGCTCAAAATGTACGCCTGTCAAGTACACTCTCCCAGCTCAGCGACGAGATTCTTCGAAGCGGCGGACGGTTAGCCTACGAGGTGGAAGTGCTACGAGGAGAGACGATTGGGCTTTCTGAAACCCTGACCGAAGTTCTACGGGAGGATATTGCAAAGTTCGTCCCGAATGTCTCTGCAACAGCTATTCCCACCAGTCGCAAGACAGAGCCTTCGGTCGAGGAGGAATCCACGACTGACGAGGAAGAGACGATAGAGGAAAAGCAGCCAACAGCCACGGACCCGGAGTATATCACCAATTTACGCACGCTGAACCAAGTTCGATCGCGACTGGAGGATGTTGTGCAGACCTTTGGAGATGCGATGGAATGGCCCCTGCCCCCATCGGAAATATCCTTCTCCTCAACGTTTATATCCGTCTCTGGTCCTGAAAATGCAGTCGAAGGTGGCGAACAAGAAGAAAAGGGCCAGGAAATCATGAAGAAGCTGCGGGTTGAGATATCTGAGCTGCTGAACAGTGACGGTGGGGGTCGGGCTGGGTTGGATGCAGCCAGTCGTCGAGTAGAAGCTCTACGGACTCTGGCAACTGTATGGAAGGGGTCAGCTGAAGAGAAAGCTCGTCTTAGAGTTGTGGAGAATCTGCAGCGACTTGTTGAAGAGCGGAGGCGAGCTCAGAATCAGACTGATCGGAATCGGTCTAGATCGAGGCCACGCAACACTGACAGTGAAGCACCAGCACCAGCACCAGCGGGAGGACTATTTCGCAATCTGCAGAGATTAAAGGAAGAGATATATCTAGATTAGATAATCTAAAATTGAATAGTGTTATTCTACTATTATACTTGATGGAACGGTACCTAATACCGGATATACTAGCTGCGGGAACGTTAGATCGGACTTTTCCGTTTCCATCGCTACATATCCGTACAATGCGCGCGCAGGATTCTAATCTGAAACGCCCCAACCTGCTTGTATTAGGCCGTGCGACATGTACTGTATCTTGAACTCCTAGAGTTCTCTTGTTTTCGTTTCTTGAGTATGGCGTCCTCCAGGAGCCCGCTGCCTTTTGAAGAGGCCAAATCGGTTATGTCTACAGTTATGCCAATGATATCGCATGTCTACCACCGACCTCGAACCCAAAGAGCAAAGACCATTGCCTACTCAGCCATCTTCTTCTTCGTTGTTATTGTCATTTACATGACAGCTCCCAAGGTCAGTGAAGCTCGTCCCTTAAAGTGGAGATGTCTCGCCGAGTTGCGGGACAAGGAGAGACCGCATGCTGACTCCTTTCGATCTGATCTAGAGCATTGAACCTGATTACTGGTCTACCTTCCCCTCTCAACATCCATTCCCCGAGCGGCCGGAAGATGCGCAGGTCGTTCTTCCTCAAAGACCAGACATCACCCTAAACGACTCTCTCCCGCACGACCTGGAGAAAAAAAATCCCTACCTACATGTCCTCCTACCGGTGCAGAGAAGCTCTCGCGGCCTCTGTCGCACTATCGCATCGGGCTCGATTCTCCATTACCCACCTCCAACGCTCATCGGATATGGAATAGAAAGCCATGGAACGGAGTTCAGCCGCATGGTGACACAGCTCACGCGCGTCCGAGACTACCTAAACGAAAGCAAGGGGGTGAAGGATGGAGATTTCATCCTGCTTGTTGATGCCGATGACGTATTCTTCCAGCTTCCCCCGCAGATTCTTGTGAATCGTTTCCAAAACATCATCCGATCAAACAATGCGAGACTACTCCAGAAGTATGGATACGCAACAGTGCCCGGGCCAGACCCAGGCTCCCCACCGGTGAAAGTTCAAAAGTACACTCAGCGAGTTTTGTTTGGCGCCAGTAAACTCTGCCACAGCTTGTCGGGCGACCCAGGTTGTACAGCCGTGCCGGAATCGTCCCTGCCTCCTGATGTTTATGGCTGGAAGACTGATTCCCAATCAGACGGAATCAAGAATCGGCCTCGGTGGTTGAATTCCGGTGCAGTGATGGGCCAAGCTGCCGATCTGCGTCTCATCTTCAACGAGGTCTTGCATCAGATTGAAAAGCACACGAAGGAAGACCCCGAATACCACATATTGACACACATATTTGGACGACAGGAGGTTGTGAGGGAGATAGAGCGACTTCGGACAGTGAACGGAGCTAAAGAATGGTTCTATCAATTATTAGGGATCTCAGATAAGACCAACCTTGCTGGTCTTAAAGTTCGACTCGAGACAGGACGCCGCTATGAGTATGGAATTGGCGTAGACTACGAGTCGCAAATGTTCTTCAACCAATTCCTCTCTCGCAAGGACGTGGATTGGCTCGATTACAGCAACATCTCAAAGTCTTCATCTCTCCAAGGCCAGTTCGGTGTTCCGCGCGAGAGGCGACTTTTGCTACCAAGTGATATCGCAGCCTTGCCGAGCCCTTTCAACCAATCACTTTTGGCGAGGGAAGAGACTGCATCGCCAGAGTGGAATTCCACTCTTGATAAGTTCCCCAACCCGGATAACCACACCTGGAATCACATACCCCTCATGATGAATCCATACTCGGCCTCTGTCCCAGTACTAGCTCATTTGAATGGAGACCCCAAACTTCGCAACGCATGGTGGGAAGAGATGTGGTTCTTCCCATGGGCACGCGCCTTGATGCGACGAAATGTTCGCGACGCCCAGGGATTTGATGCGGCGCAGTCAGCTCTCCTAGGCGGCCAGGACTGGTGGGATATGCGCGGTGGGCGTGGTGGACTGTGGACGGATGATAAGAACTGGATAACCTTCTCAGAAGCCTGCGAGGGCCATGAACGAGATCTTTTCGATGACGACCTTGGTCCCTGGAACAAGGAGAACGGTGACCCAGATGCACCAGTCTATAACCGCTGGGGACATCTGGTTTATGGAAAAGAGGAGATAAAAAATGAGTAGTTTATCTCCTGGACTGATTTACTTTCTGATACCACTTTGTTCCTTGTCTATGGAGTCCTGTTCTGTTTTCTATCATCTTCGTGTTTGTATAATACCCTGGCTCTTGATGATCATAGCTGCCATTCTTTATCTACAATAGCGCATCATTGACTGCTGCCGTTAAATCATACCTCGAAAGTTTTTCAACCTACACATTCTCAAAACATTGGAACAATAGAAAAAAATCTATATCATTCTATGGAACTGGGGATCCTATGGTCCCGGATATCAAAAGGCGAGAGACTTGGCCAAGTCTCAAAGCAAAAAAATAGAGAAAAAAAAAAAGAAAATTTTGACCACCTAAGCCGAGCACAATTCACCAAAACTCCAAAGTAATGCGAAATCATCTAAAATCACTCTCGATCGCTTCGCTCGGTCCATATAGATAGCTTCAACAGTCATCTTTAAAAGCACCTCCATTTACTTAGAGACACTGGACTTGAGATAGTCCTTGTCAAGGAAATAGCGGATGTAAGTCAATATATGCTTCACCTCCTCATCGGAGAACCGCTCATCGCGATCCTCAACAATGGCCTCGAAAAGAGCGAGAGTACCACTTTCTTCATTGGCCAAAGGACCCTCGTCCTCCTCCTCGCCGCCCTCAACATCCATGGCCTCGCCATTGGTAGTAGCCTCGGGGGCAGGATGGTGGAGACCAACACCTAGGTTGAGGATCATCAGGACCTCGGATTTGGACAGACCGAATGGACGCAGTCTGGTGATCAGTCCACGCAAAGCCTGACTCATAGCTGAACGCTGTCGGGAAGCTGGCTTGGCCTCGTCCAAGTGAGCGTCGGATTCGGAGATTTCCTCGACAGCATCATTGCCAGCTTCGAAGGCTTCGAGAGCTGCATCTGCTTCAGCGTCGGAGAAGAGTGGGCTGCCGCTGTGGGGGTACTTTAGGAGGTGAGGGGAGATGCGATTGACATAGGAATGGAACTGTATAAAGTATGACTATTAGTACGTAGCACAGGGTGATTTCCTTGTTCTGAAACAGGAGGAAAGAATTGATCAATGTGAGTACACTCACTTCATTGACAACGGTGTTGTGATCGCGCAGATCGGGACGGGGCACCCAATACTGCAGGTTGGCGTTCACTGGAGGGGCGGGCACGGCGTGGGGAGGGTGTGAATTGAGATGCTGCAGAACCTCAATGATAGGCTTATCAGCCTTTTTCTTGTCAATAATCTTGAGGAGATGTTAGTTGCTGCTTCAATGTTTTAAATCCTGTTATATATGAACTTACGCGCATCTTGCTAAAGTATTCTGGTTGTTTAGCCACCTGGGACACGACCGCGGGGAGAAAATTAAACTTCTGCCGGACTTAATTGGCGGTCTGAGGGGCGGGGTGGATGGGAAGAAGAAAAATTAAATTCTGCTAGAATTAATGAGCGGCCTGTAAGGCGGTGAATGTGAAAGGTCAGCCCTAGTATCAAGATTCAATAGCACCTTCTCATACTCTGTAGTGGTGATCAATGCCTTAGAGTCTACATTACAAAATAAATATGTATTACAGTGGAAGAGATTGAAATGAGAACAGTTTATTGTTCTAACAGCTGAGCTGTATTGCCGGTAGTACCAGAGCACCTCTGCGCCTGTGAGAAAAGACAAAAAAGAAACAAGAAATAAACACAAGAAACCTTGCGAATCCCCATGCAAGCAAGTCGTGACCAGAAAAAGAAATGGAATCAGAAACAGAAGAGATATTCTACAGCAGAGCGTTGCATGAAACTTTTAGAAAAAAGCAGAGCATAAATCGCTTAGTCGCTGTCGCTGCCCTTGCTCTTGCTCTTCTTAGACTTCTTCTTCGACTCGCCCTCGTCAGAGCGCTTTCGCTTCTTTCCATCCTCCTTTTCAGCCTTTTTCTCGGCCTTCTTGGACTTCTTAACATCCTTCTTGCTCACAGCAGAGGGGTTACCGTTGGAGTCAAAGGTGATTTCACCACGTTCCAACTTGCGCTCGTAACGCTTGACACTGAGACCGCACTTGGCAGCCATCTTCTCCAGTTCTGAGGAGGTTTGCACTTCTGATTCTTCGGAAGAGCTGGCATCATCCATCTCTTCATCTTCGTCAACCTCCTGCACGAGCTTGGACTTCTTGGACTTCTTGGCAGGGGAGGGCTCATCCTCATCGACGGCATCAGCATCGGCATTGTATTTGCGGGCCTCACGAATAGCGAACTGCTTGGGCTGGCTGACTTCTCCGTTGGGTGCAATGGTGACACCGCGAGTCTGCATGGGCTTGCCTTCCATACCGGCAAGCTTGCGCTCTAGGTTGAAACGGGCTTCAGTACCCATAGCAGCCTTTTGTTCCTCGGAGACCTCGTCACTCCACTCGCTTAGGGCATCAACACGGATACCGAGAGAGGCCTTGGCAGCCAGAATACGGGCCATCTTGCCCTTGTTGCGGCCGGTGGCCTGACCAATCAAAGACGCATGGTAGATGAGACCATACTTGGGAGTGTCGTGCTTAGTCTTAAGGGCGCGGAAGAGGGCCTTCTCAGCACCGAGAATCTGCAGAGTACTAGCGGGGCTCTTGGCAAGGCTGTTCAAGCTGCCAGCGTGGGCAATGAGGCGGGCACCAACAAGGTCACCGACAAGAGCAGTCAGGTTGGGGGCAATGGCTTGCATACGAGCAGTCAGGTACTCGCCAAGCTGGCGGCGATAGTCATGCAGGTTGATGACTTCGTCAGCGAGAGCCTGGATGGTCTCCAGATCCTCATTTTGGATCTCTGTACCCATGGAGTGGGCGGCAGCCTCCTTCACGACATTCGAAAGCTCATCGGGAAGGATGTCGGACAGATCAGCATCCTTGGTGATGCTGGAACGCAAGCCCTTCTGCACAACGAGCCGGGAGTAGGCAATGTTGTCATTAAGAATCTTGGCGAGCTCGGGGAAGTGCCATCCGTACCACTCCTTCACACGCATAGCATAGATATTGAGTTCCTTGTCAAGGTCGTCCAACAGGCCAATGGCCTGAACAACCATGGTATCGATCTTATCAGTTGAGAACTTGAGCTTGTGGCGGGCAAGCGAGTGAGAAAGACCCAGGGCCATGGTGGACAGGCCATTAGGGCCCAGAGTGGGGATGAGAGCAGTCAAGTTCTCACGAATGGCACGGAAGGCATCGGCCGTGGTGGTGTCAGCAATCAGTTGGAGAGAAAGACCGGGCAGCTTGCCAATGGCGTTTGCTAGAGGGTATCAATGTAAGTGACTGATGTATTTTCCATCTGACAGATGAACATACCAAGCTTAGGATCGGCAACGGCAAGCGAAGCCTTCTTTTCGTCCTTGAGCACATCCAAGAGAGAGGCAAGGCGAGGAGTGACCTTGCTCTCAACCAAAGAAGTAGCTTCCTCGACAGCAGCGGCGGCACTATCGAACTTGGTGAATTTCTTCAGCTTGAAGCTGCGCGAAGCATTAGCATTTGCAACAAATTTTTGCGCCCGCATATCAAATTGTTTCCCCTCCCACAAGACTTTTTTTTTTTTCACTCGATCTCGCAGTAGAAATGACGGGAGACCTACAGATCCAAGACTCCCTCGGCAGTGTTGGCATTCTCAGGGAGTTGTTCACGCTTGAAAAGCTTCTTATCTTTCGCCTTCAGCAGAGCGTAACCGGCGCTGGTCTCAGTAAGGATGAACAAAGACATTGTGGGCGACGGTCAGAAAAAAATGTGGATGAAACAATTGGATTGAAGAACGAGAGGGTCCCAGTCTTGCCGCAAAGAAAAGAAAGGTAGAAAAGGTGTGGACCGACGACTCATGCACCGTTGAGGAAAATCTAGAAATTTTGCACGGAAAAGAAAAAGTGGAAAACCGAAGTGCCACATGTGGCTAGTGCATTATATAAGCATCGCGCATGGTGCTGAACGGCGAAGCTACAGCATTGGCATTGACTTTACGAAGAGTTGCGACTGTTCCCTCATTCCTCTTTCTCAAACCGTACACAATGGAGGGTCTCTTTTTCAATGTTAATGCTGGGTAATTATCTCTGATTCTAGTTGTTATACGACTTCTAACTCCTTCAAGATATGTCGAGGGCGTTGTTCGTGGTTATCGGAACAGCCTTCTGACTGGCCAGAACTACTCCAACTTGACACAATGCGAGAGTATTGATGGTACGCACCTTCCAATAATCCGGTAATACTTAACCAGCTCTAACCATATACTTCGTAGATGTGAAGCTCCAGCTGGGCCCATCCTATGGCGACTTTCTCGCATCTCTTCCCCCGAACCCCTCTACCTCCGCTCTCGCAGGCAAGATGACCGACAAGCTGGTCTCTGAATTCCGATATCTAGTTGCGCAGTCGACCGGGTCGACTGCTAAGTTCCTTGAATATCTCACCTATGGGTACATGATCGACAATATCGCCCTTCTGATCACTGGTACTCTGCATGAGCGCGATACTCGGGAACTCCTGGAGCGATGCCACCCACTGGGCTGGTTCGAAACCTTGCCCGTTTTGTGTGTTGCAACCAATATTGAGGAGCTTTATAATTCGGTCCTGGTCGAGACCTCCCTGGCCCCGTACTTCAAGGAGAGCCTCAGCCACCAGGATCTGGACGAGTTGAACATCGAGATCATTCGCAACACTCTGTACAAGAACTACTTGGAAGATTTCAATAACTTTATCAACACCCACTCTGATTTCACCGGTCCTACTCGAGATATCATGTCGGAAATTTTACAGTTCGAGGCTGATCGCCGCTCCATCAACATCACCCTTAACTCATTTGGAACCGAGCTCTCGAAACAAGAGCGGAGAAAGCTGTATCCAGAATTCGGCAAGCTCTACCCAGAGGGTAGCTTGATGCTCTCTCGTGCTGAGGATGTCGAGGGAGTGGCTCTGGCTGTCAGCGCAGTCGCAGACTACAAGGCATTCTTCGATTCCGTTGGTTTGAGCCAGGGTGGTGGTCTTGGAGGCATGGGTGGTGGCCCGGCCGACGGAAAAAGCTTGGAGGATCTCTTCTACCAGAAGGAGATGGAGATGTCTAAGCTAATCTTCACCCGTCAATTTACTCCGGCGGTGGTTTACGGGTGGATGAAGCTGAAGGAACAGGTAAGACCACCAATTATAGAAACCATTATACGATCTGAAGCTTACAACTACCAGGAAATCCGCAATGTCACCTGGATCTCGGAGTGTATTGCACAGAACCAGAAGGAGAGAATAGGAAACTTCATCTCCGTTTTCTAAGCTCGTCCAACACCTCACGACTTCCTTTTCTTCCATCATTTCCTTCTGTACTTACCATGGCTGTTACTATTCTCTTGCAAGCTGCCAATTTCGTTGTATCGAGTACCCTGTTCGTTTCTTGTTTCTCAGTATTGAAGTGAGCGATATCGCCTTCCTGACCGGGACGAATGGTCACATATGTTTTCGGTTTTCTTGGCTTTCCCCCCTTTATCCAGCTCCGGCGTTTGGCAGTTTCGTGTTCCAAGCTTCTCTTTTGTGACATAGAAGAGCAAAATTTATCGAGTAGCTGGAGATATAATTGGTACCTGCATGTTTCTACTCATAATCCTCCCCAACCATGTGTATGCAACAAGGTTCAGCTTCATACTGCCCAGGTGGAGCGAATGACCGATTGGAGACAAAAATAGTAGGAAAAGAAGTCGAAGATTTGTAACTTTGAGTTCTGTTCAGGTGAGCTCAAGCTCATTTATGCAAAGACATGGGCAAATATAGCAAGATAAAGCACAAGATCCGGCGAGGAGCGACATGAAATCAACAGTACGAGGAGCTTTCCGCCATCCAAGCTACTGTGGCCATGGTTTCTATAGTGCAGTATAAAGAGGGAAGTTACTGAGAAATAATCAAACACGAGGTCTTTAGGACGTCAACATGAACAACGCCAGATAAATCCAAGGAGATTCATGTATATAATGCCAGATTCGGGAAGGGAAAGGCTGTCATTTTTTTGGGTATGTTAATTAGGTGAAGATACAATCAATCGTACTGGAACAGCACACTGATACTTTCACCGTGATGGACGCGACGAATGGCCTGGGGCAGAGTGGTTAGAAGAGCGGCGCAATATGATATATGGATAGACATACCTCGGCAAATACATGGCCAACTTCTAGGACTTCCAACTTAGGGCATAGGCGCAGGTGCTCGGCCTGGACCACGCTGTTGGTCACCACGACCTTATCCAGGGCGCTGGCGTTGATACGTTCAATCGCATCCCCGCTCAGGATGCCGTGGGTAACCAAAGCGTACACCTTGGAAGCACCTTCCTTCTTCAAAAGTTTCGCAGCCCGTGTGATCGTGTTGGAGGTGTCCGCGAGATCATCAATCAGAATTGTTGTTCGGTCCTTGACGTCTCCGACTAGCATCATAGTGGCATTCTGGCGGTCTGTGATCTTTGTGGGGCGGCGCTCCTGCATGAATTGTTAGTTGGGCTGCCAAGAAAATTATCTCCGATCTTAATAAAAAAGACAAACTGACCTTGTGGATCAGAGCAAACTCCATGCCCATCTGGTCAGCAATTGCAGTGGCGCGCTTAGCACCACCAGCATCGGGACTGACAATGACGGCCTGTTTATAGTTGGGGATATTGCGCTGAATATAGCTCTTCAATAGAGGGCGCCCGTAAAGATTGTCAACGGGGATATCGAAGTAACCCTGGTACTGAGGATCGTGCAGATCCATGGTGATGATGTGATCCGCACCAGCGCATGTGAGCAGATCAGCGACCAGGGTACCTGCCTGCGCAACCCACTGCTTGTAACCAGGACGCGGTTGGAATCCATTGATCTTGGAGACAGACAAAGCCGTGTTGGCGTCATCCATGCCATTGGACGCCGCCGACTTGAGTGATTCGGTAGTCTCGCTTCGGAGCATTCCATGGCCTCGCTTGACAGGGCTGCCAGTACTATCTTCAAGCTGAGCTTTAGCGAGACTCTTCTGGAGACTGTCGATGCCGTTTATCAGACCGAGGCCTTCGGGTTTGCCACCGCCGGGGGTGGGGGGCGTGCTCTCGAAAGTGTAGCCAGTATTGGACCGAGATGTCACGGAAGACTTGACAAGAGGAGCGCCAGCCTTGTCGTATGGAATATCACTTTGACGAGAGTAAGGGAAAAGAGGGAGAACAGCAGTGACTCGTCGGGCCGAGGCTGTCTTGCAGGCAGAGATGGTAATGAGGAGCTCCATGAGGTGGTCATTGACCTTACCACCACCAGATTGGATGATATATACGTCTTTCTCACGGACAGATTCTTGGATCTCAACTCGGGTCTCTCCAACAGCAAACTTGGACAGCAAAACCTCGGCTTGAGGAATTCCAAGCACAGCGCAGATTGTCTCCGTCAACTGAGGGTGGGATGTACCACCAATGACGACTAGATTGCGAACCATGATGTCTGATTCTTGTGAACTAGACTTTGGAACGGAATATTGAAAGGGGAGGATGTGGGAAAGACGTGGGATCGGAGTTATGGAGCGAGGGATTTTTTGGCAGTGTGTCAGAAAATCTGGAACGAGAAATGTCGGGTAAGAGAAACCGAGGAGTCAAGATCTGTCAGGAGTTGAAGAGAGTAGAGCGACTACCTCATAGTGTAGTGAGGAAGTCGGAGGAGTAATCCACAGAAAAGGGAAAAAAGCGTTCAAGCTTGTGTAAGTCCCGCGATCGAAAAAAAGCCCTCTATGGGAGTGGAACGAAATCGTTGGCTCCGGGTTGGTTGAAAGTGGAAACCTCAGGTGTCAATATACCGTATCAGGGAAAGTGCATGTCGTGACCACGCAAGGCCCCGCAGAATAACGGGAGCGGTAAAATGCAGGGAGTTTGGAGTAGAAGAGAAAGAGAAAAGGGAAAATGCACAGAAACGGTAGGCCTGTAAAATAGCTTCGATTACTCTGTCCAAAGGGACAAAGCGCAAAACCAATTTAAAGCTTTCTCCGTAAGATACAAATGTAAGAATCAGACCACATCCCACAAGTAATAGAAGAAAATAAATGAAGAAACAAAAGCGATAACGCTCTCCCAGACTCCGGATCCGTTGATATCATCAATGACCAAGCTTTCCCGAATCACTTGGAATCCATTATTCGCCAGTTCCGACCTCCCTAGTATTTAGTTAGTATCAATGATCGTCATGTTTAAGCATGAAGGGTGTATTGAAGCTCACAAATCAAGCTGGACTCCGTTGCTAATTCCATAGTCCTCGAGTGTCAACTGATCCTTGAAGGGTCGTTCGCCTTGGCGTTTCAAGAGGATTTCATGAGGTTCACGGCCAATGCGAGCTGCGACTTGAGCCTTGAATAGTCCTAGAATAGAAGTTAGTAAAGCCAAGACCACCAGGTTGCTAAAAAAAGGGTGGGGTGAAATACTGATGGGATCTGAAGCCAGACAGGGAATCGCAGCCTTTGTGCCGAGACGATCGTTGACATGGACAACAATCATGGGCTCAGAGGATTGCACTGTCTTCTTCACTTTATTTTCCTTCTTCATTGTATTCTTCTCACGGTTTTCTCGGGGTGCATCGCGATCGTTCGGGCCATTAGCTCGTCGTTGGTCGCCACGGTCACGGTTATGGTCTCGGTTGCGGCCTCCATACCGGTCACTGTCGCGATCTCGTCGCGGTGAGCGCGGTCGTTCACGATCCCGGTAGCCCCGATCAAGTCTACGCTCATCATTGCGGCTATCATCGTCGCGCCTCTTCTCCTTCCAACGAAAACCTCCAGAGGTTTTTCCTCGGCTCCGGCCACCATCATCCCGCCGACTGGGAGACCTGCTTCGATCTCTGTCACTCATGATGGAATGTCATGAAATGATGAAGAAGAGTTGGTGCCCAACAGGGAAAGTACTGATGTCGACTGAGATGCAGAGCTGAGGCACACGTGACCTGGACCTCTATTGAGCTAAACGTTAAAGGACTAGCGTATATCTATTGGCTTCATAGCTTCTTTACCCCGTCATTCCAACTGGTCCATGTCTACCCTGTAACGTGCAATCGTCCTTCGTCGTATTACTGCCGCCCAAACCCATAATGCCTGGTCATCTCCGGGTTGTTAGACCTTCTCCTACCACTGTTAGCTTCACTGTCTCGAATGCTCCTAATCGCTCTAGCTCCCCCGCGAAGATCCTCTTCACCTTTCAGATCCTCTTACGCGCCGTTTTATTCTGCTGTGTGATAATTGTCGGTGTCGCGCGGCTTCGTCTCGTCTTTTTCGTAAGAGAGGGCCGATTTATCGACTGGCAGAATGTGTGGTCAAGTCCCCTGGGGTCTTATGTTTGCCAACACGTCGATCCATACAATCCGTACGTGCTTATGGTGGTAGGCGCATTAGTGATCTATGGGGTTTTCAGGAGAAACTACACTGGTATGAGTGATATATTTGCTTGGATATTATGATAATTTTATGGTCTAATCGCTGCTATTCAGAGGAATCACTACTTGTGATTCGTGGTTTCGGAATCCAAACTTCGACCTCGTCCTCTACCTATCTTTCTACGGCTTCAACAAGGTTCATACCTACCACACAAATTCAAGATATTGTCATCCATGAAGCTTTCAAAGGCTTCGAGGTGCGTTTCTACCTCGCGGTCATTGTAGAAGGCGAGCCGAACGTTTTGGTGGTGTTTCCTGTTTGTTTCCCTATCGCTATGGACCATATTGGAGTTTGACCGGCTGATAATTTCCAGACACTGTTACCTAATCGAGAAATTCTTGAAGAGATATGGAGAGGCTCCCGACGCTGCCTGTATGATGTGAAGTCATGATATACTAATGCTGGCTAATGTTACATTCGTATTTCACTCTGCCGCATTCTTGGCTGCTTCTTGCTCCCTAACCAACTTGCGCTGTCTCGATACCAGCCACTTGGCATTCTGGTCCTCTACAGATTGCATTTTTGACTTGTGAGAGACGGGTACATATTGGCCACCAACTCGCGCATCATTGGCTCCAAGCCAGACCTTGGCACCTCTGCTCTGTTTCTTGGATGTACCCTGTTTTCCATCCATATTTTGCACCAGGCTCTGGTCGCCCTGGCTCGCAGCCAAATCCAACAGGGCGCCAGCCAAGATTTCATCAATTTTGCGCTGTCTCCATACCGACCACAGGCCGTCAATGACACCTCTCATGCCATACTTGCTGTCAGTCTTGGCACTCTGGGTCTTGTTAAGACGTGGGTCACCAGCATAAACCCAGTTCATGGCATCTTCTCGGCTATCAGAGTTCTCATCAGGAAATATCGTATCCCAGAGCACCAGTGGTGCATCCGAAGCCATCTCATATGTTGGCTTTCGCGGATTCTTTTTGACATCTAACAATTCGGCAACAATAGACGGAGATTCGAGGCCTTGTCCTACTAAGAAGAGAACAGCTACCATGTGCCTAACCTGGTGCCACAGGAAAGCAGAGCCGTTGAGGGTGAATGTATAAACTTGTGGGATAGACTCTGATGGGGGCTCTGAGTTTGACATGTCCACATCTGGAGTTCGGTCTTCATGCATCTGAAATCCCGGTCGACCTATGTAACCGACAGGGTTGGTCTTGCGGTCGACAAGTTCGATATCAGAGCGAAATATTATGCGTTCAAAGTTCTCAATTTGCTTGCTGGTGTCCAACTTGCAGAAGTTGCGGAAATCATGAGTTCCTTCAAAGTGTTTAGCGGCCTCGCGCATAGCTTCAATGTCTAGCCATCCCTCACGCACTTTGGCACGCGGTCCTTTGCCTCCTTGAATGCGGTCCTCAAACCCAAATGGCCCAGGAGTTGGAGAGAATGCAGGCTGAGTGAAGAAGTAGCGATACCTTCGCTCGCGGCAGGAGAAACGGGCATTAAAGCCAGGAGGAGGGTTTGGACACCAAGCTAGTACTCTGATGTCCTCAGGAAGAACCCTGTTAAGGATCTGTATATAGGGTAGCTCATCAGAAATATCATCCCAGTCCTGATTGACAGGTTCCTCAATCTGCATCGCAATGCCATCTTCAAGATCCGCCGCTTCATCTATGGGAGCCTTGGTTTTCGGCATCGGTCGTGCACTGCGAACTCGCACACCGATAACCTGACCAAAAGCGCTGACGCCACGATCCGTGCGCCCGGCCTTGGAGTAGTCACACCCATCCCAGTGAAGGGAGTACGGCCGCAGCGCTCTCGGCTGATCATCTGGTTCGTCTGCAGAAGTGACCTCCGGCGAGAGCAAACGAGTCCGACGCATTGCCTTCCATATCATTTCCTCGATAGTAGGAAGAGGCGTTACATTTCCATTGGTATGTTCGAGCCCATTGTACCGCTGACCAAGGTAGGCGAACTTGAGCGCAATAAACCGTGTAGAATATTTCGACGCATCAAATCCGCGATCTTCCTTCAATTGGCGAGAAGCTCCAGGCGTTTGCGTGATATTGGTCTGAGGCGAATACGCCCGCTTCTTGGAGGGATTGAGTGAGGCCTCTGGCAGCGGAATCGCCGGTTCATGCACATCTGTAGAAATGGGTGCCAAAGGTGTGTTTGATGATTCTGCCGGCGCTGCGGGCGCTGGGGAAGCAAATTTCGTAGTATGAGAGTAAAGTTGGCGCTCCAACTCGGTAATTCGATCGATCAGGCTGGAATTACTCCATTTTGTGTAGTCGGTGTTCCCCTCGTCGTTGAGATCCGCCATTTTTTGCGGCGCAAGTGGACTAGTTTGTAGAAAATTCACTTGTAACCTGGGAGTATATTGCTGGAGCCAACTTTGTAAGGATGGTCTTGTTAATTGCCTCCACATACCACTGTAGCCAATTTATTAGAGATTGGCTCACCTAGGTGTCGTGGAGAAAATTGATGCGGAGCCATATGGTATTTAATGTAATTTTTATGGTATTGTATTGTAACTATACTATAGATCTGTGAGTTTTGATAAAGTCCTACTCCATAAATATCGTATTTCAGACGAAGTGGTACTGAAATTGGCAGGAGTATTACCATAGCCTTATTGAACATGACTCACACTCCATAAAATCCGTGAATACTTGAAACTAATTGCTCTATAGTCGGGCTGCAATCACGTGTCGGAAACCGAGATCTTTAAACACGGCGAAATAGAAAATCCGTTATACCTCGAGATGTACGTAATTGATATGCACGTACAGAGTACAGAACTGGAACAACAGTATGACCGAGGTGGCCAGTCGTGAAGAGGCGAACGTAACTCTGCTACTCCTTGGAGACCCGGAATGTGGGAAATCCACGTTTCTATCGTGAGCTTGCACCTCTTCTTTTCCTTCAACCCCAACATATTGGAGAATTTAGGATCATAAAACCCAAATTATGAGATATTCCTTTTTGAATTCGGCTAATCATCATACAGGCGTCTACAGAGTGGCAAAAAACCAACGGTGCCCCAGCCAGATGCTGGGAACAATATTGACATCCTTAAGGATAGTGATCAGCCATTCCTATACGATATCCGATTCTCTAAAAAGAGTTTCACTCTGGAGATTTACGACACATCCAGTCCGAGCAAGCACTGGTCAACTCTATGTCCCGATATTGTCATTCTAGCATTCGACATCTCTAATCGAGAGACACTTACAGGACTCAAAGCCGTAAGTTCACGTCGAATAAGTGCTGTGTTTCGCATGGCTAAAGACATGTACCATTAGTGGAGAAACGACATTACTCGGTATTTCCAACAGGGCCAGGGCGAGCGTATTCCTGTTATGATGCTTGGCCTGAAGAGAGACCTGAGAAAAGAAGGCGAGGGTATCATCTACCCCCAAGAGGTACGTGATATATACACTGGTGCTAGTATGAAGACGATTAGTTGACAGCTTTATCAAGACCTATCGCATCGCGCAAGAGCTTCGCTGTGACAGATATGCGGAGTGCTCAGCTGTAACAGGTGAGTTGCTTGCAGAGACCTTCGAAGATCTTGCAAGACTGGCGGGGATGACGACAACAGATAATGGTGGTCAAACAGCAGGGGGCTGTCAGATCTTATGAATAGTATATTTATGCACTATTTTTTCTATGAGATTGCTAGACAGACCCCCTTGGCTAGAAAGACCCTCTGCCTGATTTTTGCCTAAAATCCCGGAGTAATAATTACTCCAACCGCTTTATTTACCGCTTGACCGCCTTTTATCATTATAACTCTTTCATCAGTGTCGGTACACCAGTACCAAGTGTAGAATAGCTATTCTATGACAGGGGAGGCTAACACCCACTTCTGACACCTATCACAGGTAACGCTTCACGTCCCTATGATATATATGTGTCACTTCTGAAGTGGTTGTAAAGTTTGAGTTTCATTCTTAGTTTGCCAGCTATTATAAAGTAACGATTTAATCACATGACTGCTTTGTTCCATATTCCAACATATATGAATGAGCGAAGCGCTTATAATAGTAGCAATAGTATATAGCATTGATTTAGTGACTACTATTAGTTTATTACACTAGCGTATATTCTTTATAAGATTCCAAATGTCTTCCTAATTATAGGCGGTCAGAAGGTCGAATATCTACACGATAACATCAAGGCACTAAGCATCTAGCTTTCGGATATCGGAATCACTTTCTGTCGGAACATGGATATTGCAATCGTGCAATACCATAAACCCGGAACGGAACAAACAGACCCCCGAGTCACGGGGGAACAACTATATTAGGAACTCAAGTAGCTACATGAATGGAACACATTTCACACCACTTTGCACAACGTATATACTAAGAATCTAGGACGAACCATACCCTTTTCCAGTGTATATAGTGCAACGTGTGAACCCTGTCCTTTCAACGTAGTTGATCGACACTTTCCTAGAGAATACCAAGTAGCATGGCCCTGGCGCCATTAGGACAGTTGGCATTTATGCGCTATCCTAAGCCTATTGAATATGAATGAGATATGAACTATCGATTTGAAACCTTAAGCTCTCTGGGAGTAAAGTGATATTTGATTGTGGATTATGGATAGCTAAGAATAAACCTGTAAGAGGTAAAAGCTTTAAGCTGGGGTTCCGGTCATAATGGCGAGTCGGTCGACTGCGAGACCACGCAATTGATCAAGGAGGAGGTCAAACGACGTATCCGGGAAGCTTCCAGGGAAGATGTCCGGTCCGAAAATCTCAGCACGAGTAAGAATTACCTGCTGGTTCTGTCCATTTGCTGGACGAGGGGAAATGGTCTACAAGGTTTTGATCATAAGTATCTTCAATAAAGTCGAGAGGTCTGGGTGACTCGAGCATACCTCGGTTTGCGTACAAACCTTTTGCCTATTGATTAATTTCCAGACCTGCAAGCTACGGCCAGCACATTCGTTAGTGAGTCTCGTCCAATTAATTAGTATCACCACACTGCAAACTCCTTGTGCCCCGTCTATAATCATATCACGATCTTTGAGAAGATCAGTGATGGACTCAGACCAACCCACTTCTATGGCCACAGTGGGGAGCTGCGGCCCATTTTGAATCATGAAAAAAAAGATCGGGCTCCTTGATTGATCCGTTGGCGAACTTGAGTGTCGTCCCGGTTTCGAAACTCAGGCGATCACTCTCGGCGATGGTCAGCAGATTGTTCCGCTCCCAACGCGAGTTGGACATCTTGATCCAACTCTGATATGTATTGTGGACAAAGCTTGGCATCGTTTTGATACTCAAAACGAAAGCGCTCGGATTGAAGGCTTGACTGATATATTCATTAACACTTATTTTTAATGGCATTATTTTTACATACCAGACTCTAAAAGTCTCATCGTCTACCGCATTAAAAACGCGGCGCCCCCAAGTGTGAGGAACTTCTGTAAAAACAAAACGGTAGGGCTGGTTGTTACCAGAAAGCGAGCTGAAAAAGTGTTGCTCAAAAGCTTCGACTGTGTCGAAATCATTTACTGATTTAATGACAGTCCAGTCGGAAGAGCTAGGCGTAGGGGAGATGTTTGAGTTAGAGGGAGCCTGGACCGACGTGCTCGGTGTGGGGGATACCTTCAAATAAGAGGATGAACTCATGGTGAGAAAAAAAAATCGAAACGTGTCATAGAACGTAGAATGAAAGAAGAAACTACGATGGGTAACTAGATGTCAAGCGGTCACATGATCTCTGATTGTTTTCTAGAATCATCAGAAAAGCCTATTCTTTTTGCCCCATATTTGGTTAATGCTACTCTGGGAACTATCACACTGAAGAAATCAGTTTCTCATGTTCGTGATGAATATCACTTTTGACTTGGAGTGCTGACACCACTCAGAGTGCTTCTCAAATACCTGTTGAGTCGGCGACGAGTTCAAGACCCTGACATGGAGTATTATATGTGAATAAGTCAATAAAAGTGCTCCAAATACTTCAGAATAAATATGTAGCATAATACTGTAAGATATAACCTTAAGTATGTATATCAGAATGCAAAACAAACTGAATAGAGGAATAAATATAGAGATAGAAAACTAAAGTTGAAATTGTGATGTGGTCTAGAATCCCGGATTAGTAGTTATTCCGAGTAGAAATAAATAAGTCTGGCAGAATTTTGGAGTAACTATTGATGCGAATTTTAGGCAAAAATCAGGGTCTGTCTAGCAATCTCCTTTTTCTATGCCACTTCTTAACGTCCCCTTCCGTATTAGTGCTCAGACCTTGTCGCTCCTTGCTCATTGGGCAGATATGAGCACGCCCCTGAGCTATCTGATATGCTCACTGATTCGCTCACTGAGCAGAACCTGAGCGTCGAGTAGTTGTCACGGTGCGACTGTGGACGTCGTATAATATGAGTTGAGATCGTTTTGACTAGGCCTATTCTGCGTTTCTGAAAAAGCCAACCTTGGAAGTGATAGTTCGAAACTATGGTCTGCTACAAGGAGAAATCTTTCTACACGACCAGGATAAAACCACCCGGCAAATATAACCTCTTTTTTTCTTTCTTCGTGGTTACTAGAAAACATACAGGGAGAAACCAAGATAACGATTAAGTCCACCTTGTTGATTGACAGCACAGGGCTTTCCCCCAGTCACAATCAAGTAACTGGATATCTTTCCCTCATAAGCGCCAGACAATAATTGGCATCGCTATTCCTCCCCGATGCGAAAACAAGAAATTCAAAAAAAGGTGCCGGTAAAGGTAGATCACTGACGCAAAAGGAACTGAAAGGTTATCGGTGAATGCTCTTTTTTTCTTCTGCGGTTTTTCAGTTTCTTTCTTTTTGCTTTTTGAGAACACGGGACAGCGACTAGGATAAACATGTCAAGGGAAAATTTGCGCAAGATGGTATATTCCATTCATCAAAATGGATTCCATAGTTGAAAAAAAAACAAATAAACAAGAGCTTTTCCTCGTTTCTGATGACTTGGGGGGCCTCGGGAATTCTCCCAATTCTCCCATACGGCCATGGCGTTAGGGGGGTGCTGACCACACAAACCCCTATTCCCTTTTCACGGCTATCTTCGTAACTATCGAGTGAATTTACCACTTGGCCTCAGTAGCAGGGGCAGTGGTGGCAGGCTGAGCGTCAGCCCACTCTCCCTGGGGAGCGGAGCTGGCAGCCCAGTCGGCACCATCGGCCTCCCAGCTGGTGGCACCAACGGCAGCGCTGGCGGCAGCGAAGGCAGCACCAGGGTTACCGGCACCGGGGGCGTTGGCATCCCAGTTCTCACCAGCGAAGCCGGACTCGACGGCACCGGCACCAACCTCCTCAACGCCGGCAACCTTGGCCTCGTCAGCAATCTCCTTGTTCTCCTCGGCCTCAGGGTCGCGGTAGAAGTAAAGGTCAACAACGCTGTCCCACTCAGTCTCGCGGGTAGCGAGAGTACCACGGAGACGCAGGATCTCACGGGCGAGCAACCACCAGACAAGACCAATGGAGTGACGACCCTTGTTGTTGGTGGGGATGGCAACGTCAACGAACTCAGTGGGGGAATCAGTGTCGCAAAGGGCAATGACGGGGATGTTGACGTAGCTGGCCTCCTTAATAGCCTGAGCATCGGTGCGAGGATCGGTGACGATGATGAGGCGGGGCTCCTTGAAAGAACGGGTGATGTAGTTGGTGAAGTTACCAGGGGTGAAGCGACCGGCAATGGCGGTAGCACCGGTGTGGGAGGCGAACTTCAGGACGGCACGCTGACCGTAAGGACGAGCAGAGATGACACAGACATCGGCGGGGTTGTCGATGGCGGCGATGATACGGGCAGCCAGAACAATCTTCTCCCTGTTTGTTTGCGCGACAAATTAGACATCTATTGCACTTTATACAAATCCCACTAATTTTGTTTTCACTGCATACCAGGTCTTGCCAATGTTGATGATGTTGACACCATCGGGACGGGTCTTCCAGAGGTAGGGCTCCATGTGCACCTGGAGGTTCTTGGAACCGAGGTGGCACTGAGCAGCAAGGAGCATCTCAATGTCCTGCGAGGTGGGGTTGAAAACCGGGGGAAGCTGGGAGGGGGCCATGGTGAGCGATTGATGGATTGATGAGGTTGAGAAATCAATCGTCTGGCTCTTGTCGAGGTGATGGATGGAGTTCAAAGATCAATCGCGAAATCTTCCCGCAGCAATCTCGGAAAAATTTCGTCTGTGGAGTTAGGGCTAGGGCAGAATGAGATTACATAACTCAATATCTTTTAATTAGATGCCTGAGGCATGAAATATTATTCCTTCCATAAAAAGACTAGTGTAATTTGACCGGGCCGCAGGATATCCCGACCAAAAAACGCCCTGGTAAATGAGAGAAGAACATCATTCGTGGTTGGCGGTCATTGATTATCGCATTCGATCAACATGCCTCCTCGTATTTCAATTCAGCCTTCTTTGAAAGCCTTGACACGTATGTTACTCGCGACTTCCAATGTTTGGTTAATCCCAGCCCCCAAGCTCCAATGCTAATGGAGACCGATTGTAGGCACGATATCCGGACAAAGTCCGGCCCTGTTGTCAAAGGCAAACTCACCTACCCTGAGAGCGGCATCAACCCAGGCCAAGTCGCCGAGAAAGGCAGATTTTTTCATGATTGCACAAGCTCGCCAACGAAAAGCTGCCAATATCTCCCGTCAAACAGCACTCCAGGCCGAACGGGAAGCCTCGCTCGGCAACCCCGTGGAAAACAAGCCCACATCATTCATCCAAAATATCCAGGCAGTTCAAAATGGGTCACAGCTCTCTTCAGCCTCTGGTCTCAACTACTATCTCAAATCAAATGAACTCGGCAGCGCATTGGAATTCTCCAGGGACCTGACAGAGCCCCTGCAGAACCCAGATCCCAACACAGCTGACCCACAGCATGAGAAGGAGGCTGCGGATCACCATCAACAATCGCACATAAACGCCAAGGATGCAATTCAACGTATCGTCAATCTCAACAACGGAAATACCAAAGATCGTCTGCGGTTGAACGTGCAGAAATGTATCGAGGAATTCGGGCGTCATAGCACTGATTCATACCTTCCACCAAAACCAGCTAGCGTCAATCAAATTTCCGGCCTTGCTCACCCCGAAAAGGCACCACGCGTTGGCCGTGATACTGGCTCTCCAGAAGTCCAGGTTGCTATCTTGACTGTTAAGATTATGAATCTATCTCGACACCTGGAGACAGCCAATAAGGATAAACACAACAAGCGCAACTTGCAGCTCCTTGTTCACAAGCGCCAGAAGCTGCTCCAGTATGTCCGCAGAAAGGAACGAGGTGGGCCTCGCTGGCAAAACCTGATGGATACTCTGGGTCTTTCTGAGGCCGCATGGAAGGGGGAGATTGCGCTATAAAAGCTTCTCAAACAATTTGACCATCTTATGGTGTATTTGTTGGAGTATACGCATATTTGAACCTCAATATTCAAAGCTCCCAGGGCTGAGACCCCAAGTCTCCTGTTCTGAAGAATACCTATGTACTGATAAGACTTGTATAAATATCATTATTTCTTTCATTTTACTTTGAGATACTCAGGAGATTTGGCATGAAATCCTTAGAACTTGCATGCTGCCAATAAGTCAATAGATAAGGTCTTCACTCTATATATGGGTAAACTATCTCCGTACTTCTTTTGTTCGCTGCATATAAACAAAGATTTGTGATATATATACAGTCAAAATATGTTAAGGAAATGTAGGAGGTTTGTAGTTCCAAGCCAAGGTTCCAAGGTTATTTACTAGTCACCCGTAATTACTCTGTATGGAGTAGATAGTGTCTGACCGCCCGCAAGCGCGAAAGTATTCTGCCCAAAACCTTTTGGCGTCCAAATGCTTTCCCAAGTTGGCGAACAATACTACGAGCAAATTTTCAATTCACTTCGACTTTTTCTTTTGTCCCATTTAAGCAGCGTTTTATGACATCATCCCCCACCAAATTTCCAAACAAAACAGCTCTCATCTGCCCCTCTTCCATTTCTTCTCTTTCTTCAATCACTGCTTCGTAACCACTTCGCTTTCAAAAAGTTTGAACGATTCAGTCTTCTTACCTTTCTTTTTGCATTTTTCTTTAGAAAAATGCACTACACCCGGTCTCAGCGCCCCCCTCCTGGGGGGTTGATCTCACTCGACATGTCTCGTCGGCCTCGTGCCAAAAAGAATCCAGTCTTGCCTACTACTGCCTCCGATACGGCTACTACTTCCAGCACCGCTCTTTCTGGAGCTGCTTCCACCTTTGTTCCGGCTATCACTGACACTGCTGTGATCGACACCCCAAGCACCCCTCTTTCTGGAACTGTTCCTGTTTCCCTTCCGGCTCTCAATGGCTCTGGTATAATCCCTACTTCTAGCACCGTTCCTGCTCCTAGCTCTACCCCGGTTGCCACTGTCTCCGATAAGATCGACACTCCCAGCACCCCCCTCTCTGCAACAGCTTCCACCTTTTTTCCAACCAGCACTGGCTCTGCTACGATCGAGAATCCCATTACTCCTCTTTCTGCAACCGCTTCCAATTTTGTTCCAACAACCACTGGCTCTGCTGTGATTGATACCCCCACCGCTTCTCTCTCTGGAACTGCTCCTGGCTCTACTCGGGCTACTCCTGGCTCTACTCGGGCTACTCCTGGCTCTACCCGGGCTACTCCTAGCCATACCCCGGCTGCCACTGACTGTGCTACGATCAATACTTCCAGCACCCCTCTCTCTGGAATTGCTCCCGGCTCCGGTATGGTGTCTACTTCTAGCACCACCCCCTCGGGAAATGCTTCTAGCTCTACCCCAGCTGCCACTGGCTCTGCTATGATCGACACTTCCAGCATCCCTCTCTCTGGAATTGCTCCTGGCTCTACTACGGCTGCCACTGGCTGTGCTACGATCGACACTTTCAGTCCTCCTCTCTTAGGAACTGCCCCCGGCTCCGGTATGGTGTCTATTTCTAGCACCGTCTCATCGGCAAATGCTTCTAGCTCCCTCCCGGCTGCCAATGACACCGATATGATCTCTATTGTTAGCGCCGTTCCATCTGGAACTACTACTGGCTCTATCACCATGACCCACAGTGAGGACGCGGAAGACCTCCGTTTCGTAAGTGCCCCAAATTAGATTTGACTTGATAGACCCATTGCTAATACGATTGAACAGTTCTACTATGACTACATGCGCAGCATCGTAAACTCGCCGGTCCCACCGCCCGCCGCATCTGACAGTGTGCTGCGGGCCGTATCGCCCACCCCTTGCCGCCGTAGAGCACCCCGTGGGCTTGGTCTGGGAGGCAGTGCCCGCCCAGTGGCTGGTGACGGTCGTGGGAAGGGGGAGACCTCTGGAAGACGGTACCTTACTCGCAAATCCCGTACGGATAGCGGCAAGGCTACCCTCTTTCAGCTTGCTACTCTTATCCCTGGCCTCGCTGAAAGTGTTGAGGTTCCATTGCCAGCAACGGACGTCCAGCGAACTCCTGAGAGCCCTGTGGTCTCAGTGAGCCACAAGCGGAAGCGCCTCTCTCCGGACCGGATCCCGAATCCTCCAGGCTGCTCTTACGGGATGTGGGATAAGTACTTCGAGGTGGACGACGAAGATGAGGAACCCGTTGTCAAGAAACAGTGCGTCTCGGAGTCCGCCCGAGACGCACCGTCACCTACTGCCACTCGAGTGCCACAAAAGCACCAACCAAAGACCCCGAGTCGGTTGCGGGTTGCCCGCCGGCTGTCAAGTGCGGGTAAATCGTCGAGCCCAAAGATTCGGCAAGCTGCTCGTATGCCCGCTCCGACCCGCAAGAAAAATCAATCCCTTGGTACTACCCTTGGGCATGAGTTTATGCGGCGGGCATGCGAGAAAGAGATGATTGAGAAGGATACAATTGAGAAGGATACAATTGAGAAGGATACAATTGAGAAGGAGGCAAATGAAAAGGAGGCAATTGAGAAGGAGGCGGTCGAGTGGTTGGCGGAAGTCTGCCCTACTGGGGACTTCCGTCAGATGGAGTGGCCAATGCCTATGCGTGTTATGGCTTATCAAGACATCGATGCTATGGATATCGATGTCATGGGTCAGAATTCCGAGGGAATCACTCGGGATGCTGAGCTCTGGGCGCTGGCCTTTGCAGGCTTGAGTGGAGGAGTACCAAAAGCTTGAGCTGGAGTCTGCAGCGAGGACAGAGATTAAGTCCAGGAAGACCTTTGACCGGTTCAAGTCCTGTACGATACTATTTACGTTTCCTTTTACTTGGGAGTTTGGGTCAAAAAGGTATGGGGTCAAAAGGGAATTGGTTTGAACTTGTGAAAGGTGTTTGAGCTGTGGGCCTGTAATTTTACTGCACTTTTTGATATGATTTTTTTCCTCTTCTTTAGCGATTATATCCATTGTTAATAGGTTTTTCAATTTACTATTTGTACTTAGAAGTCCCAAATTTTCAAGGGGATTTGTTTTGAATTTCATATTTCAAATTTGGTCTTATTAATTCTGATCAAGATAGAACCTTGGAAATTTAGTATTTGCTAGGCACATAGGCGTTGCATGCATAGTAGGCCAAATAAAGAAAGTTAGCCCTTGAAATAATGACAACTGATACCCGTGGACTTCGTAAAATCTTGTGGTTTTTCAGTGAGGCGAATGCTAAAAACACGCTATAATACCGTCGGACGAAAGATGAGAGAGAGAGAGAGAGAGAGAGCGAAAACCTTTATATGACAGGAAGTTGGATGAAGATTCTATGTTTATTACAACGCTTTAAATCGAGTGTTCAGGAATTTTAATATCAACATCGAACATACGCGTATGCACGTACATGACCTGAAATCTAATGAAAGCCCTCGAAATCATCGTCACCAGCTGTATGCCCCGAAGAATCCGTCTTGAGTGAGGCCTGTTTTAATAACCGTTCCTGTTCATTCTTCATACGGATTTCCTCGACCATCCGTTTCGTTTCCAGAGCCTTTTGCTTCTCGTCTTCCGGTAGTTGATCCCATCGCTCCTTTTCTTTTCGTGCTTGTTTAGATTCCTTCCGCCTGAATTTCTTATCGCGTGATTCTAGATTCTGGCTCCATGCCACACTCTCTCCTGCAGGTCGTTTGCGTGAATCATGCCCAGGCTTGCCCTCTCCTTGGGCAATCTCTTCCAAAACTTCCTTCCGCCGTTTTTCTCGCTGTTTGTCTTTGTATGCGTAGTTGTCCCAGTCGATCCTTACTCCTAATGCTTTGTCACCGGTAAAGCTGCGCAGCTCAGGCATCTTGGGTAGTCTGAGAAGCCCCCACGCTTTGCCCAGGGCTTCCCAGTCGAGATCTGGGACACGGAAGATGCTGCTAGCTTGATGTTTGCTATAAGCTCGGAACCAGCTGACGAAAGCCAGCTGGGCCTTATCGTAAAAAGCGCGGTCTTGCTGAATCAACGAACGAACCGCCTGCGTCGCGGTGGCTGCATTTGCATCAGAGATGGGATTTGGGAGATTGAAAGGTGCCACGGGCGTTTTGCGCACTTCCAAAAAGGATACATACTCTTCTTCACGCCCAGGATGAAGAAGAACAATGCTTAGACCTCTGCGGCCCGCACGACCCGCTCGGCCGCATCGGTGAATGAAAGTCTTAGGATCGGATGGCGGGTCAATCTGCACGACTAGATCAACGGATGGGATATCGAGTCCGCGAGATGCAACGTCGGTAGTCAAGAGGATTGAGGGAGTTGTAGAGGTGGTGAAACGAATGAAATTCTTTTGACGAGCCTTGGCAGGGTGCTTTCCATGGAGAGGTACTAGGAGGAACTCGTCTCCTATGATGAGAGGTAGTATCATTGTCAGGTAATCAACACTGGAGCACGTTGACACAAAAAAGATGGTTTTCTGCGGAGTGGGCTGTATGGAGGACAGTATTTGTTTCAACACAGAGAACTTGCATGCTGGGGGCGTTGTCAGATAGGTCATTTGTAGACTATAAAATATATTAGAATTGATATCGTCATATATCAAGCATATTAAAAATATACCTTGCAGGTGTGCGCTTGTCTTCGGCCCCCGAACCGCCCTTGACCTTGACAGCAACCTTGACAGGATTGCGTAGACCAACACGCACGATCTGATCAACGGCTTCGCTGATACTGGCACTAAATAGACCAGTTCTGCGCTGTTTAGGTAGATGACGCAGAATTCTTTGTAGGTCCTCCTTAAAACCCAGATCCAGGAGTCTATCGGCTTCGTCCAGGACAAGCATTTCGAATGTAGACTGCGGGCAGTGGACATGGGGCGACGAAAGTAGTTCAAGTAATCTGCCAGGCGTACAGACTAACACGTTCGGCGATTCTTTGAGAAAAGACCTGAGATCCTCAGCAGGAGATGTTGTTCCTCCCAATAGCAGTTGGGGGACGACTCTCAGGACTGCTGAGGATTTGGGGCGCGGCGTATCGTCTTCGGGTGGATGGATAGCAGCAGCCGAAGGAGGGTGAAATTCTAACAATGAAAGAAGAACTTGATATATTTGTGTCGCCAACTCCCTAAATTGAAAGTCAATAATAGTATAATAGAAGGGAGAAGTATTCCAACATACCTTGTCGGGGATATGATGATGGCACCAATATGATGCTTTTTGATAGGCACCTCAAGTCGCAAAAGCTTTTCAACGACTGGAATCAAGAATGAAAGGGTCTTTCCACTACCAGTGACTGCTTCCACAACTACATCCTTGTGGGCCATAAATAAAGGAATTGTGGAGGCTTGTACTGGAGTCATGCGCGCGAAGCCCATTGAGGACATAGCCTCGAGGGTCCATTCTGATAGCGATGGCTTAAGACTATCCCATGCTCGAGATGATGAAGTTGGCTTTGGTGCCATCCTTAAGGGAGCTTGAAAAGACCAGAAATCTGTAGAAAAGCTTCTTGATCGCGAGTCCAAAGAAGCAAGAAAAAAAAGATAAATTCATTATCGATAAGATACGGCACACGTGACCCAACGGCATTAGACGGAAAACTGGGTGATCGCGATGGTGATTGTTCCCTCTTGCTTGCGCATCTGCTTCTCTTTTTTTTGTGTGAGATACTTGATTAGAAAGATATCCACGGTGCATATTTCAATTGAAGTGTTCATACTGTGCCCTTGAAGGCTATATATCTAGCCAAATAACGTGACACTTCTGAAGAGTCGCCCATCATTGAGTTGCTGAACAGGCCACTCAAACCCGGCAGTCTTGCCTACGAGAGTGCAAATATATGTGTGAGGCCACTGATTGGAGTCAACTGGGCCTCAGTACTCCCACCATTTTCTATCAGAGCGTCCAATATGTCCTCCGATCCTGTCCCGGAGACTCCCCGAGTCACTTCTCCATCGCCTTCCCTTTCCGATAGATCAGACGTACGTGATGGATATTCTGCGCCGACAACACGGTCAGCATCGCGCCGACAACATCTTCCTCAAGTTTCCGAGGAAGTATCATCTACAGCAACACCTTCAAGGGAATCTACGCGCCAACGACGACCGGCTCGTCGGTCAAATCCGAAAATCCCTGCCTCTCCACCAACCGCCAACGGCAATAGTTCCGACGGTCTTTTATCACCAACGAAGATAAATGATGCATTACAGGATATCTCAAGATCGCCATCCCCACTTGGATTGATTCCTCTACATTCTCGCTATCGCAACTTTATTCATCGCCATGAGATTCCTCGCAAGGCCCTGCATGTGTCGATAGGGTTTGTGACACTTCAACTCTATATCCAAGGTATACAGCCGCTTCAGATCACACCAGTCCTTTTCTCAGCATTGGTTCCTATTGCCGCCACAGATATTTTACGCCACCGCTCAGAAAAGATTAACAAGCTATATATACGCTGCGTAGGTGCGCTTATGCGTGAGACCGAGGTGTCCGGCTACAATGGGGTGATATGGTATCTCCTTGGTGCGTATGTCGTCCTTAGATTCTTCCCCAAGGATGTTGGTGTCATGGGAGTACTTCTTCTTAGCTGGTGTGACACTGCCGCATCTACGTTCGGTCGTCTCTATGGCTGTTATACCCCGCGTCTTCGAAAGGGGAAGAGCTTGGCGGGAACCATGGCCGCTTGGTTTGTTGGTGTCGTCACTGCTGCAACCTTCTGGGGTTGGTTTGTACCATACATTGGTACCTTTCCAAATGACCCTGAAGGTGCGTTCATGTTCACAGGTCGTCTTAACCTGCTGCCGAACTTCATCCGTGGTCTTTTGGGCTGGCAGATTAGCGACAGCTCATCTACGACTATTACTGGACCACTGGCCCTGGGCGTCTTGAGCGTTGTCTCAGGTGTTGTCGCCGCCGGCAGCGAGTTCATCGATTTGTGGGGCTGGGATGACAACCTGACGATCCCAATTCTAAGTGGATTCGGACTGTGGGGATTCTTGAAGGTCTTCGGTTAAAGATAATGAACATTTGCTTTCCCTGCCTTTTTCCCTTCCTTTCTTCTCTTAATATTTTCATTTTGGCACAGCAGACATACTTTATATCAAGTGTTGTTGTCTAATGTTTCGATACCTCGCGTGTTGCATCAGCTTCGGTTTCTGGCTTAGAAAAACTCATGCTCAAAGACTCCTTGCTGATACAGACAGTTTTCTGTCTTGATTGATTTGGCTGTTTTGAGCGTTTAATATAATTAATTACCTGTTATATTGGCATCTCGTATGCCATCGTATACCCAAACGCTAAGTATCAGATTTATCAGCAACATTTCAACTTTGAGTAGACTATATCTAGGTCGAATATGTAGAATCAATCAATTTTGGCGAACCTATACCGAATGCTTGATTAAAATGTCCAAGTTTGCTATACAGCGCCTTGATAAATATAGGATCAAAGTCAGCGCTTATGTACCATTTTACACCAACTGGATCCCTCGAGTGGATAACGTGGAGCTATTCATGCAAGATCTCACATTTATAAACAAGAAAACCCAACAACTTTGGACGGGTATAAAAAACAATCCATTCATTATATCATATCGAGGAAGCTCACTCGCGGAATTCGTTTCTTCTTTTCTTTGCCTTTCTCGCAATAACCTGTTGTCTCGGTCTTGGAATCAACTGTAGCTTCATCAGATGCATCAACGGTCCAGAAGCCATTGCATGTCGTTATGTTTTCAATATGATCTTTCGCTGGTATTGATTCAGGAGTGGATGTTTGAGATGAACAAGACCTGGCTTTTGGTTTTTTGAGATCTTTCTGCAATGGTTGGTTTGATGGATGGATTAGCTCATCACGATGTTGCAGAGGATCCGCTGAAATCGTATCATCCATCGAAGATAGCGTTTCAGATGATAGCAAAGACTTTGATTTCGGTGTCCTAGACGAGTATTTGTAGACACCTGATTCTGATTCTGATTCTGTAGAAGACGTAGGTTGCTGTAGGGCTCGGGCTGATGGGATTACATGGTAATCATCATCATCAAATGACAATGATAATGCAGTGATCGCTTTCTCTAGTTCTTCAACATCATGTAGCCTGTCTGTAGTGTGCTTAGTCTCAGGCGACTTTTTAGAGTTGCAGATGTTATGCTTCTTTAGCGTGGATGATGGAGCTGCTTGACGTCTTCGTAAAGAATCAGATTCGATCACTGGAGTGACATGTTTTGAGACCGAGTAGCTTAACAAGATCCCATCAGATTCTTTTGTGGCCAAAACTTCAGCTCCGACTATGGGATGCCGCTTGACCCTCGATGGTGAAGGTCCAGTACTCAGTGAAGAAAATGTACCAACTAGCTCATCAACTTCTCGAGAAGTATGGTGAAATGGCATGGAATCACGGGATTGAGAGTACATGCTCGGGGAGTTAACATTATCCTCAAGATCAATGTACTCTGGATTTGATGATGATGTTCGAGGCAACTTTTCATTCGGGGCTGAAGGAGCGGCAGCTTCTAGCATGTGCGTTTTGTTCGAAGAAGACAACCCATATTTTTGCTTTGTTAGGGTTCCATACTTCAAGATACTTCCGTGTTTCATTCCCGAGTCGATGGGGCCCTTCTTTTTAAGCCCCGTACGCCGGCTGGCCGTCTTCTTGGGAGCTTTCTTCGCCTCTGCCTTTGCGGCTTCTTCATCATCCCACTTCTTTACAATATTCGGAACGCCCATTTTAGCAACAGACTTGAAGACCCAGACTTTTTCAATACCAAAAACGTCGTATCCTTTTGTCACTCGAGATTTTGACGGCGATGAGGGTATTGCCTCAGCACCGACCTCAGGATCCTCTTCTTCATCTTCTTCCAGCAAGTTGCTTTGCGAGGGCACAATCTCTGGGGTTTTATCTTCAGCCAGCATATCAATGCCGACAACATCAATGGGGAGCATATCTAGCTGAATTTCGGTCGTCCCATCAGTGTCAAAACTTTCACGACTTCGGTATACTTTCTGTAGCCATGGTGTATCACAACTAGGTGCTAGTGACTGTGACAGGCAGGATAGAGACCTTACAGGCATTTGGAGACGAAGTCTGTAGCAAAAGAGAGGTTCGGCTAGGTGCTTAATTACCGTTCTGGCGCCTGACTGATAATTCCACCCGAATTTGTCCGCAGCGAACCTTCGAATTGCCATAGGATCGATCTCACGATCCCAGGAAGATATTAGACGACTTCTCAAAGCGGCCATCTCATCTTCGTTAGAGACCTTTGGATTTGCATAATACTCAAAGATTGTGCGGTCCGGAAACGTGTCTGGAATGCGAACAGCCTTATGTTTTGTCGAAAAGTGGCCGTTTATATTTTCTTCCAATTCATACTGCAGCCTTTCCCGCCATTCATTAACTGCTGTATCTGGATCTGAAGAGCGTGACAGATCTGCGAGCAAGTCATCACCAAACTGAGCTTTGGCAATTTCTGCTGCCAGCTTATGACCACACTTAGGAACACCATTTGGTAGATAATCGCCACCACTGAGCATGGCAAATAAAATCATGCCTGGTCGGCTGAGAGATACATTTGAGTCCTGGCCTTCATTGCCGACGCGATAACACGTAACATGCGTTTTAGCTTTAGACTTGCTACCTGGTTCCTTTGAAAATTCCATGAGAGTCATCTTTGACCCAAACATCAAGGTATCAACGTCGTCACTCATAACTGCATCGACAATACCTACCTGTTGCAGTCGTGCGCATTCCGCTTCAGCCTCACCAGGGGCTTCATGCCATGGAAACTGAAAGCACTCAATAAGATCTTTGGAGTGCCGGATGATTGGTGCATTACCAGAACTTCGTGGGGACACAGCTTTTCCTCTCTTAAACGGTGGCTTCTGTCGGCCATCATATACAAAAAGAGGATGGACGGGCAAGGCTAATAATTTAACAAGTCGACGATATAATGTGCGTAGCTCAGGGTTCTTTCCACCGCGGCCAGCTTGAAGTTGGAAGAGCCATATTGAAATGTCGACCGCAACACGAATAGGCTTTGCTGTTCGCTCCAAGTGACTTACGGCCAATTTCGACAAGGAAATTCGCTCTCCTTTGCCAATGGCATTTTTGAGACTGTCTTTAATTAGCGAAACTGCTCAAATCTGTGCGAGATAATGCCCAGCGCGCGTCGGTTTTATCTGTATCGTCGCGGACAGAGTGCAGAAGTAGAGAAGCCTGACACTTACCCTGGAATACCCATTTGATCTATATTCCAGTTTAAATTTGAAAATTAATTAACCTGCAGCAGACCATGTGGTGCTACCAAAAGTGACTGAGGGGATAGCGAGGTTGTTTGAAAAGTAAATAAACCAACGGCCCGATGTAGATCCGCACCTCCCTAGCATATCTCGACACGTCACAACACTATTAAACAATACAGTCCATTGATATACCTCATCACTCAAATTCGGGATTCCTCATCTAGTTGAAGATCACTTTTGATGGCACAGACAGGACTCGCATATCCCTGAAGCGGGTCTTTTTTTTGTTTTGTTCGCGCGCTTCAATTGCTGAGGGGCAACCTAACCAACTCGAGGACGAACACAACACAAAATAGCTCTACATTGCCTCTGTTACAGGAATGAAAAATGTCTTCATCATCCACTTTACGAAATGCTCAATCAGCTAAATCAACCTCTCCTCCTCATACGCCAAAACAGCAACTTCGTTCGGGTCATAACTCCTTCAACAGCACAACATCACCAGGCTCCTCTTTTCGGAACGAAGATGATGCGATAATATTTGAAATTGGAGCGCGATGGCTCCGAGCTGGATTTGAAGGCAATAGCGCACCTATATGCGTTGTGGGATTCGGACCAGAAGAGTCGAGGAGAGCAGGAGATTACCGGGGTTTGATCGAAGGCGATTCTGGTATGGGACCCTTGGCTGAGCCCATTGACGCGGAGGAATGGTCGAGGGAGTATGAATTATGGGGACCTGACATGAGACAAATCGATCTGGGATTAGTGGAGGACAAGATTGAACGCATTTTTCGAGACACATACAACCAATATCTGTTGACTGACGCCGGGCCGTCTCGTCTGGTCCTGGCGCTCCCCTCTCTACTGCCGCATCCTCTATTATCGGCACTCCTTTCCACGTTATTCAGCCGTTGGCGGTTCCCCAGCATCACACTTCTACCAAGCGCAACCATGTCGGCGACAGCTGCGGGGTTGCGGTCTGCTCTTGTGGTGGACCTTGGATGGGCAGAGACAACCGTGACCTGCATCTACGAGTACCGAGAAATAGTGACAAAAAGAAGTACAAGGGCTATGAAGACAGTGCTTCAAGATATGGGACGACTGCTCACTGGTCTGGCTTCCAGCAAAAACAACGAAGCAAATACCAATAATAAGATCTCAGTGGGATTCAAATACTGCGAGGAAATTACTACTCGGCTTGCTTGGTGTAGTCCGAGTGCAGAGCCTGATAATAAAGAGGAATCAACTCGTACCCTCTCTATTCCTTCACCAATCAATCCAAACCAGGCATTTATCGATGTGCCGATTTCCCTCCTGGCAGAGCCGGTGGAACGTGTGCTTTTGGCAACAAACACCCCAGAAAGTGAATTGGATGATGAAGAAAAATCAATTCCATTACTGCTGTACAACGCCCTATTAGCTTTGCCACCTGATGCACGCGGGACGTGCATGTCCCGCATCGTCTTTGTGGGTGGTGGAGCTCGAATCCCCGGTTTGCGGCAGCGTATCCTTCATGAAATTTCTCGGTTAATTGACCGATACGGATGGAGTCCTATTCGAGGCAAAGCCGTTGAGCGACAGCGACAGCGACTGGAAGAACTTAAACTTTCATCCCAAGCCAACGGAGAGAAACCGCCATCAGGAACAATAGTAGAAAGGCCAGAGCCCTCTCAGGAAGAACCGGAATTGGACTTTGTGGAGCAGAAGCTGCGCCGTCAAAACAAAGACACTCGAGCTCCTGTTCAGGGTTTATTACGCGAGATTGAATCTCTCGGACCCTGGGCCGGTGCGAGCCTAGTAACTAGCCTCAAGATCCGGGGAATGGTAGAGATCGAGCGAGAGAAGTTTCTGCAGCACGGAATTGCTGGCGGTATTCGAGACTCGGAGTATGCGGTCCCTGATCGTCGATCAGGTCTAAGGGCTGGTGATCGATCGAGCTGGACTCTGGCAGGCTGGGCCTGATGCTGTACATTTACTATTTAACATTTGGCACATAATAGATACCCGGCCGCTTTGGCTCGAATTGTATCCATCAGGATATATCTGTAAGATCTGGCAGAGGCAATCCCGGTCTTTTCTGGAAATTATGTAACTCGGCGGCATGGACTAAAAACAAAGGTTGTACACCACATCGAGCCGGGGTACGTCAGGTATTAATGAGAGAATTCAATTGCAGAGACATACGGACATCTGAGGGTTTCTATTTAACCACAAAAGGTATCCGTAGAGGCATTGAAGCTGTTGAAAAAAAGACAAGGGATTTGAATTTATATTGTGCTAAGCTTCCTTAAAAGTGGGTCCTTGCGCATGCTCCACTTTTTACCCCGGAAAATCTAACGTGGTTCCTGTTATTACTAATATGATATGGTTTGAAACTTGATGCATTTTTGATCACCATTCCAATGTTTGTTTGTTAGTGATTGACTAGGTACTGTATGAGATATATGTAACGAGTCAGAGTGTTTACTTTTTACATAGTAGTCTGGAACATTGGAATAGTCTGCCAACCTCGAGGGTTCATGTCCGAATTCGTGCAGACTGCACATATGAGTAGCTCTTTGCTTCAGCTAATACATTCGATATGAACTAAATTCATTGATGATACATGTGCTAGAAATGAAGCTCTTTCCAGAGTTCAATAATAACTAAGTAGGTATGTAGATAATGGTTTCACATAAGGTTCATCATTGTTAAAACACTGAATCTCACCTAAGTATCACTTTTGAGTCGAATATATGGTCAACTTTTCAATATCAAGTTCCGCGAGTCCTCGCCGTTTTTATATGCAGCTTGGTAGAGTTGATTTCATTAAAGCTCTGAATTATATAGATGCCGCTTGATCAGCTGTAGCAATAAATTGAGAAAGAATCACGCTATCGCAGAAACTTCTCCTTAGAAAGTTCCGAACTGGTAGGTGGCCCAGTTAAAAGCAGGACCATCGTCGGGACCAAAAATCTGGTAATCCGATCGGCCCCACTGGGGCTGATTGATACCATCAATCCAGTCCTCGGTTTCAATGACGATGCAGCCATATTTGTTCACGTGAGTCGCACCGGAGCTGCCATCTTGAGCTAAGTTGCGCTTGGCCTGTGACTCCTTGGTTGCAATAGTGCCGTTCTGACCACCACATGTGTAGATCTGCAGGGCTGCTTGGTTAGTGGCAACATCTAAGGTGATGCCGGTGGTATTAGAGGCCAGGTGCAAGGAGGGAACGATCGAGTTGGAAGCTGCATATGAAGCCGGGCGGTCTACAAGCCAGCAGGTATCATAGCCAGTGCAATCCGCACCACACAGACCAGAAGTCTTCCCAATGTCCTTGCCAATCAGCTTGGATGCAGTGAAGTCCAGCGCACCATCATAAGCTGAATTAACGTCCTGAATTTGGCCAGTCGGGACCTCGAGGGTATCTCCGGTTAGGAATCGCTTTGAAAGGGGCAATTGCAACCAGGTATTGTTCAAGATATTGGGCTCCTTAAATGCGTTTAAGTTCCAGTAGATATGATTGGCAAGCATGATAGGAGTTTTTTGGGTCAAAGCCAGCGATACAAGCTTGGTAGTCAGCTGGGGTAGACCCTTAGGGTTTTCAGATGTCTTTTCAGTGGAGACACTGAACGTGGCATGAGAGAGAACATCGCCAGGAAAGTTCTCAAAGCCTTCATCCAGTAAAGTGAAAGTAACGGAGGATGAAGAATTCGCAGTGACGGTCCAATTGCGCATATCATAGCCTACGGGGCCACCGTGAAGGACATCAAGGCCACCGTGTTCATTTTCCGGAATGTGGTAAGACGTTCCATCGATAGAGAAAGTCCCGTTTTTGATTCGGTTGGCATAGCGGCCCACAGTCGCACCGAAGAAGGTGCGGTTAGTCTCGCTGTCGTGAAGGTATTCCTTGGGGTCGTCATAACCAACGATGACATCTTGGACATCGCCATTGCGATCCGGGACCAAGAGGGAGGTAAGACGCGCTCCGTGAGGAATGAGCTTGGCGGTGATATTACCTGCCTGAATTGTGTATTCCCTGAAGGGACTATCGCTTGAGACTGAGGAAGTCGACGTGTCTGAGGATGAAGGGGATGGAGCAGCCTGTGCCATGACAGGCAGCCCATAGATGGTAGCTGCTACGTACGACTTGATATGCATTCTGACGCCAAAGCAAGACGTGACGATGAGAAAGAAGAAGCAGTAAACAAAAAGAAGTCGAACAGTGATCCTCGGAGGGTAGAAGAATGAGCGGAAACAGCGGGAATGATCACGCATTTTATCTGCAATATCAACCAGGACCAGTCTTTTTCACCTCCGCATCTACCCCCTTAGAACGGAGTGGAGAAACCGGGGTAAAAGTCTACTAAAAAATGGATTTTATCCGAAAGTAGGAAAGTAAAAGTGATTTAAGATCAATTATTGGATGTACCAACAATAGACGATGAGGGGGGAAGATCCGAGCCCCTGGAAGGCAAGAGTCCTCTACGTAGGTAAGCTCAACTGGTGGGAACTGATTCAGTAAAACTCCGGAAAGTGGATTCAAGCTGTAGATCTTATTTCCCCATTGGTTTCATTTATAATAGTACCTTGCTAGGTTCCAAGGTTATATGGTGATGACTCGATAACTTATATGTTATGCCTTCAAAGATCAGGTTTTCTCTCCGAGGTTGGAAAGGTGATGTTCTGACCTTGCGAGTAGAGCTCATTTCGATCGAGTCTGGTATCGTGACACTAGGTAGCTATGGATATATCAGATGTCGAGCTGAATTGAGACATTGGGTATTCTAAAAGAAGCTACCAAATATCTCAGTAGATGTGTGGAGCAGAAGAAAAGGTGAATATTTACGACGAAGTACAGTATTGCCTCTCCGGGCAATCTTACATAAGCCATACAACTGCCCAGTGGCAGACTTGTTTATGCTTTGCCCCGCGGTGTTTTGATTATCGATGCGCCACTTGTACAGTTTCTCTAGACTATTATTGCCTTGCTTGTACACTACTTTACATTCCAAGGGGTGCGCTCTCCTCCAAGCCCCCCCCCTAGTGACACGCGTGCCGAGATTCCATAGTACAACTGCGCCATGTCAATTACATCGCGCAGCCAGAGCTCCTCTCCCGACATTCTCGGTCCTCCAGGTGATGCCGACTATTTAATATCGTCGCCTATTAAGCCGTTTGCTGGTCGCCAAAGTTGGCTATCCCCGGCAATCATCAGACGTCAACAAACACCGGCCAAGCGACCGCGCCTGAGCTTCAGTCCTACGAAGAGCGCGCAATCGATCCGATTCGACGATGTCATACTCCCTGGTTCTCCTACAATGAAACTCAATGGTCGCCAGAGGTCCCTCTCACCAGAAAAGATTCTTCAGCCTGACGGCGATGTAAGCCCGTGGCGCATTCGTGTCACTTTAGAGGCGACGCAAGATGAAGAGAACCATGGTACCCCGTCGCGCAAACGCCTACGACCCTCCACCATGACTACGATGGTCCCGTTAAAAGATGAACCGAGCCCATTGATAGAAAAGACGCCTGCGAAACGACGTGGACGTCCTCGAAAGTCTGGTATGCCGGCACAGAATGGATCACCGTGGCCGGGTAGCCCAGGGAATACTCCTGGCTTACGCGAAACCCCATTACGAAAACGAGGACGCCCAAGGAAGGGAACACCAAAACTGCAGATGACGGACATCACCATGGCTGAAGATGAGCCGACGCCAGCACCCCAGACTGATTTCAGTCCAATGGACTTGACAATCGACAACGATAATGTTGGCCGCCAATGGAGTCCGATAAACTTTGCTGCCGATGGAGGATCTGATAGTGATTCTATTGGAGCGGATGATCTACCTCTCACAAACTTGCGACCAACACCAGCGCGTGTTGAGACTTGGACCCATACCTCCGGCCATGAGTATGGAAGAACTAACTATGACACTCCTGTGATCAATCACTTTGAAGACGTTGATGAGCGCATTAACTCCACTCCATCAAAAATGCCGTCGCCCATGCGAGAGAGGCAAGCCCTATCTAGCAGATCTTCACGCCTTGCTAGCAACACTTCTTCACCACATACATACCCGACCCCAACCCCGACTTCTTCGCCCATTGAGGAAGAAATTCAAGCAATAGAGGACCGTGAAGATGACAATTCAGCTCCCAACGATCATAACTTTGAACACGATCCAACGGACGATCACGAGGAGTTCGATTCTATCATGGAAAGTGAGGGGTTTACGATGATTTCTTTGGACACACTCCCATCAGCAAGACATCATGGACTTGGCTCAGGTTCTAGGACAGCTACGGACAATCCTACCAAGATATTACAGGACAGGCACAATGGGCGTATCGGCGAGCGCCTGAAACGCAAGCTTCCTGGGATTGATGACCTTAAAATTGATAGTCACAGTTCGGCAAGACCGAGTCCAGTGGCTGATGGACCTTCTCCTACACAGCCAGCTATATCTGATACGCCACAAGGATCGGACAGGCACAACAGGCAAATCCCAACCCCCGCTCTTTTCTATCCTGAAATTTTTGCAACCGATTCACCAAAGCCAGCTTCGGCAAAGGAGCAAAGCAGGACAAAATTACTCCAAAATTTTGAAGAAGTCTCCGATGAGGAGGAAGAGAAGGCACTGGAAGAAGAGCAGAAAGTGGAAGAGGTTGTTCAAACAATATCGCACAAATCTGAGCAAGAAAACTCACCACAGCCCAGCCCTATGGCTTCCATACGAGCCAGACAAGAGGCAGAATGGGAACTGGAGCGAGAAACGGTTAGCCGACATGCGGAGGCTTCCATGAGTGCAGGGCGTGCCGTATACATTGACAGCGACGAGAATGATCCGCAAGAGGAAGATAAAAATCTTCACGATAATTTTGATGATCACGTGGACTACGACTCCGAGATTGAGGTTGTTGAGGAAGTCATCCCAGAAGAACTGGCCTTTCCATATGATTCCGAATATGACGATTATGTCGATGGAGAGCCGGAGGGCTTCGAACCAGGACTCCTGTCGAAACCGAAACTGGAGCAAGCTGAGGTAGTGGAGATTGATGATGATGTTTCTGATGATATCTGGCGACAAGAGGTTCGTCCAGAACCGCGACCAGAACGTCGAATATGGGAACCAGAACCTGTTCCAGAACAGGAATTTGAGGCAGAACAAGAGTCTGAACCGGAACCAGGATCCGAGCTTGAGCCCGAGGCAATCTCAATCGCACAAGAAGAAGGAAGGAATGAAGAAATCTTGGCTGACGGTGAGGGGGATGACTACGGTGATATCTGGCAACAAGAGGCTCTGGATAACAGTGACATCTCTCCAAATTCGATCGATCATCCAGAAGCGTCACCTGGGAAAACCAGTCCTTGGAGGCAGATTGATATTTCCGCCAACCAAAATCACCAGAGCTCATCTCCAGTCTACGTGACAATGGAGTATGACAATGAACCCTGGCTGGAACCGACACATATCCGTAAACTGCGTGACCAAGAGGTCGATTTATCTGCGCTCCTAGCCCAAGATGATACACCGAATCGCGCTCGTTACTTCAGTGGAACAAGCACCCCGCGCAGTATTCTGGATCGCCGATACGGCTCCCAAAACACATCGATCAATGGCTCTCTCAACCTTGCCTCGAATAATGCAGATAGGCGAGCTCGTCTGCAACCTATCTCTCAGTCTCCAGAGAGGGATTCCCCTGCGGTAGCTCAACATCTACCTACGCAAAGTGACGATGATAAGGTTTCTGTTTCTAATTCTGGTCTTCCAGAGATGGAGATGGTACGCGAAAACTCCTCTGCCGCCACACCAGAACCCCATGCGTCAAAGGACGGCACTGCAGCATCATCCTGGTTCAGTAAAATCACGAGCCTTACCCCACGGTGGCTGAAAGCCCCCGCCCAGTCTAGATACGATAACCACAGTGTTATCCCCGACGAAGAACAGGTGGGGAGTCATCAGAGCGATAAGGAGGAGCTTGGCGACATCGATTCGGCTGGAGAAATTCACGATAATGCTCAGCATGAGCTACTCCCGGACCCTTCCATCCAATCACCTGAAATGTACCCTATCCTTCCTCGGATTGATGAAGAATACCCTGAACCTTCGGTGGATGCACCTTCAGATGGTGAATCACCTTTAGAGCATGATATACATTCCGCCAAAGATGCATATTCGGTGGAAAACTCACCCCCTCGAGAAGAGATAGGGGAACTCTCCATTGAGAAAAGTGTTTCTGAAGATGCAGTGGCAGATGATGATCACGATCACGCTGTCAGTCTGCTCGACGACAGTCACAATAAACCAGAGCGGCCAAGACCCCTCGCGGTCTTCGGGTACTTTTCTGACGCCCACTACGTGGCTCTTCGGCGCATCTACCAAATGGCAAAGCGGCATCCAGAGCGCGTCAAATACTTTGATACACCGAGTCGTGATGAGATCATCGGTGACTGGATCTGGGCATCAGATGGCCGCCACGGGGTACCTATCACCGAAGTACAATTTGCAATTATTGATCGCTTTACATATGAGCTTTCTCGTGCCAATATGCAGAATGGGGGATCCGGAAATATTGGCTGGACAGAGGCTGATCTGCATCGGAGGTTGATCAGCATTATCATTGGCGAGCAAATACGAGAGGAGCAGAAAGTAAAGGCAGTTCGAGGAACTTCAGTTGATACATTGCGATAAGTACGCCTTTAAATGACTTATGTATTTTTTGATGAGTGTTTTGTATGGAGTATTTTGATATAGCGTGGTTTGTTTCTATGATTCCCTGGGTCTTGGATTTGGATATGGATTTGGATATGGAAAGGGTGTTTGTTTTTCGGAAGTTATACAGTTGCAAGGATCTACTACCTTTATTCTTCTTGGTTCTTTTTTGAAGCGAGTGTCTTGTGCATATCAAAGTCCTGTATCTGCCATGTATTCGACAAGGATATCTTTTCTTCTCCCAACCTGCAATAGACAATTCGATTGTGCACAACTGGCAGTGCCCAGGTGGATACCTTGGGCTTCACTTTCAACCACTGTCAACCTAGGAGAATGCATTCCTACCAGATGGCTCCAGCCCAACCACAATCTCAAGCTCGGAATTGAGGATATTTTGACTTCAACTACCAACAGAGATGGACGAATTGTCAGGCACACGAGCGCTACACTTTGGATAGCCCGAAGTTGAAGTCTCGACCGGTACTGCAGCAATCAATCGGGCCGGACCAACCAGGGGAACCAGGTTCGCCAACTAGGAGATGTATCTGACGTACACCAAGGCTTGCATGGTACATACCCCCACTCTCGTGCAAGTGAGTCTGTGCTGCAAGTCTGCGTTTGTTGATTTGTACTTCCAGTCTAGACAAGAACGAAAGTACGACCGTTAGGGATGAAAGTCGAAGGGGCCATATAAAAAGCCAGGAGGACAACCCGAGAGTGTATAATATTTAAAAAAAAAATTAAAAACATTCTCTTTCCTTCTGTGTACATCTACTTTCTTCTTCCTACTTTCATTTCAAAAAGGTCTCTATACTACGGCCTCCATGCCAAGCCGAAGTATCCATGTCGGTCTTCACATTAGTCCAACGTGCCCTTCCTTTCACCCTTTCCTTCAAGCGAAGGAACTCGGCATCCAGCAAAGGAAAAGAGAAAGAGGATGAGGCCAAAGAAGTCCCAGATGAATCGCGCGACATAGAATTGGAACTCAACCTGGGTGGCCGCTCCCCCTGCACATCCCTGCACCGTGACGTCTCCACAAGCAACGTCCATGTAGCGGTGAAGCAGCCCCTAGACGCAAAAGCCGACAACTCCACGTTAAGCGAGACCAAGTTGGATCTAAGGAATTCGATGGATTATCAATCCCAGCCAAGTGCATCCGACGATGAACCCCTGTGCCCGCAGCTCGCCCGCGTCATCAGCTGGGCCAATGTCGTCACTGAGCGGAGTCACTGGACAAATGAACAGGAGGAGGAGCTAGTCAGTGCTCGAAAGCAACTAGCAAGATGCCAGAAGGCGTGGAGCTCAGAGCAAGAACTATGGCTAGATCATGTACGTTGACGTTTTTCTGTTTCACCCCGTCTTTGAATTGATTAGCCGTCTTATCTACAGCTAAGGAAACCCTCTTTTGAGTCTATTCTGACAAATCTTTTTTCCTAATTAGATTCAGATCTTGAATGCCGAGAAAGAAGCCCGCGAGGGCTTTTTGCTCCTGCGGACGAAGCAGCAGGATGAAGAACGGAGCCAGTTTCGCAAGGCATGGAGAAGGCGTCGATCAGTGGAGAATGCGATAAATCAGAAACTGATGCAGAAGGAGGAGCAGAAACCTAAACCAACACAGAAGGGGAAGCAGAACGGGCTTGATAAATTGGGTCGGCTGCAGCGGTATGGATCTTTATCTCTGGCTCCTAGTTTAACCCCTAGGACCATGACTACTGTGGCATGTTGATGGAATTGGACCATGTACGTAATGATTGACTGCATATCTAAGACGAACAAAATGTGAAAAAAGGCATTTTACCATTCGCTTCTCTTGATACTTAGGTATGATCTACTCGTTATCGACTATACCTACGGTCGTTGATGATAAATATTTACAACCCTAACCCAGTTCTAAAATAGACAAACGTCAGATAATTCCTCAAGATTGGAAGCTGATTCGTGTATTGAGGTGTACCTACTCTATTTTGTCCATCTCGACTATTTACTCACCCTTGACAACCGGCAGGCAACCGGAACCAACTCGGGGTCTTAGGATGGTGTTTTTGCGCAATTCGGGTGACTGCAGGTGACAGCGCGTCTTGGAAAAACTCCGAAGAGCACTATTTCTTTGAAAGGTTGCGCATCTTGATCGCACTTGAAGTACTTCTCGCACATGTCGTACGAACACCCCGGAGGATTCAGGATCTGATCCGAGGAGAAGCGCTTCCGCTTGCTGCTTCTCTCCCGCTCCATGCCCTGAGATTGGAACATCTCGAAGTCAATCGAAGGCCACGCTGTTAGCAATTACATGTCCATAGGGCTGGGGAAATCGGGATGTAATGAGCTGAACAGCTCTGATTTTAGCATGCGTTCATCGACAGGCTTAGGAAGGCAGTGACACTGTTACGATTTCAATCAGGCCGGAATTGATCTAAATCTGTGGCCAATCCTGGGAGGGGAAAGGCTGGAGTATTTGTAGAAGCGGATAGTTGTAGAAGAAGGGGGTGGCTTTACCAGAAACCTGTTTTGATACCTAGTTAATCTCCGGAAGAGGGAGTAAAACTTCGAAGTAAAGTGAGAGTGAAAGAGGAACAATAGCTGCTAAAGCTCGTAGGTGAGTGGCTTTAGAGAATTGAAGCAGGACTTCAGTGAAGCGAAAAAGAGTATAAAGATAAAGGGAGCACACATGCTGGACCCCAGAACCAACTAATGACGTTGTGTGTTTGCTGCTTCGCTCAGAATGTATTCTCTGAGATTGGAATATTTCGAAACCAGTCGAAGTCCGAGCTGGAAGAAGCTACATCCCTATAGGGGCAAGCAAACCAGGGCGCAAAGAGCTAAACAAGTCCGGATTCGGTGCGTGGCCATCAGAACATCGAGACTCAGACGGCAGCGGCGCCGTCACAATTTCGATCAGGCCAGAGTCAATTCACTAACCAGGGCTGTTGCCGACCCCCGGAACAGGGAGACCGGAGTGGTTGTAGAAGAGACGGTGGTATTAACCAGGAACCCATGATGACCTAGATAGCCGAGGCGGATTATCTAGGGAAGTGAAGGTAAAACCTTAGAAGTAAAAAGAAGGTGGAACTGAGAGTGAAAGATGTACAATAGTTGTTAAAGCTCGCAGACTAACCTTAGGGCTGGAGTGTTGAAGACGAGAGCATTGAAGTAAGAATTGAACTATTCCAGTGAATATTAGACTAGTGAACAAGCGAACAAGTGAAGACTGCGAATTTCTTGGGCGCTGATCTATACTTACCTAAGTAGCCTTCCTCATGAGCGGAGGATTCTGTGGTTATCATGGTGCAACGGAGCGGCATGCATTGAAATGACTGCCTATCATCATCCGGACATATTGATATTATCTAGTTATCTCAAATCTTTGCAGGTGAGCAAGATGGAAGCAAGATCCGCAGTTAGAATCAAAATGAGGAGATGATAGAGACAAGAACCTTAGTGGGTTAAGTGAGAAGGGAACGATTCGAAGGAGAAACTTGGTCGAAATCTATCATTATGCAAATCGCCACTAGCCTCTAAACAAGAAGGCCAAAAGAGCGAAAAGTGAAATTAAAAGAAGAAAAAAGTGAAAAAAAGTAATCAATAACCGCCACTCAACGCCCCTCCCTATCCAAAATTGGAAGAATCTCAAGAGAAAAAAAAAGGCAGAAAAAGAAAGAAAAGGGAACAAAATACGAAGAGGCATCCGCGCAGCAGATATATCCCAATCCCAATCAGTGGTGTCGTGTCCGCTTGCTACTTCGCTCCCGCTCCATCCCTTGAGATTGGAACATCTCAAAGCCTGTGGATGGCCGGGCCGGAAGCAGCTGCATCCCCATAGGGGCAGGGAAATCAGGATGGAGGGAACTAAAAACATCCGGGTTCGGCGCATGGCCATCAACGGGCTCGGACGGCAGCGAAGCTGTCACGATTTCGATCAAGCCGGAGTCGATCCACCCGGAAGATTTATCACCTAGCCGGTCCAGCCGGGCACAGTCATCATCTACTTCGTCGTTAAGGAGCGAGGTAAGAGGCGGCGCATTGCCATTGGGGCGCGCATGGTAGTTAGCCAGTGCGTGGTAAGGAAGGGCCGGACGGGTGGCTGGCTTATCCGCCAGCTCGGCAAGAGCGCTGAGAGCACTATGCGCCGCGGTAGTGCGGGTAGAGCGAGTCTGGTGGAAGTTGTGACTGGCAGTACGGATCATATCAGTCGCGGGAGTTCCATTATCCTCGTGACCAGTTCCCTCGGGCGTATCCTCAGCGTCGGTGTTATTGCCATTGGTGATAGCACCGGATTGGTCTGCACGCTTGGAAGTTGAGAAGAAGTGGAGTGCAGCGATGTGTGCCTGGTTGGCATGTGCGCTGAGCTCTTTGTCGGTGAACAGAGAGTGGATGGAGTAGGTGGGCGCAGTTTGCTTTTCCAGGTACGCCTTGGACCGCTCGGCAGGAGTCGTGCCACCTGTATCACGTACAGGTGATCCCAGATCCTCTTCCGGGGCTTTGCGCTTGCGCTTGTTGAGTTCTGATCCGATGCCGTTTCCAAATTCATCAAGGTCAACTCGGTGGCGGGTGTGTCGTGTTTTGCGATTGCTATGAATGCCGCCAGGACTGGCGGGGTTTGTGATGCTGAATTGGTTGGGGTGTAGCAAGAGCGCATTTGTATCGGCAATGTCAAGATGTTCCTTTTCACGCATCAGACGAGTTCGTTTACCCGAAACGCCTTGCATCAAACGCTCGCGGAGGGTAACGGCAAGCTGCTTAAATTCCTCTCGCGCAAAATGCATACGGAAATCCCAATCACGCTTGTAGCGGTCGATGTGGTTGCCATGGCGAGACTTAGAAAATGGGTTAGGGCAAAGTATTTTTTGGGCAAAATTTGGGGCATGTACCATAAGCTTAGCCAAATCGGCATCACGCTGCTCCTTCACTCTGTTCACTTCTTGAACGAATTTCGAGTACCATGTTCCGGATAGGCTTGCCATTTCTTTGGCAAATTTACCACCGCCGCCAACAGTTTCTTCAATAATCTGAGCAATTTCATCTGCGGAGTCGGGAAGGGGGCCAGGTTGGAGGGGCTCGGCGTTGTTAATCAAAGTCATGTCGCATTGCAGGGAATGTAGTTGTTGGCGAAACTGAGCATCACGGTTGACACTGAAGGTCGAAGTCAAGTCTTGCAAGCGATCTTGCAGTGCGGAACGACGCTTGTCACGCTTTGAAACTGGGCCAGAGCCAGAAATGCCTCCAGTAGGACTTGCGGAGCGACGAGGATGTTGGTTGTAGGCGAAACCAGTCCCGGGAGACGGGGGTGCTGGGGAATACGCCATAACTTTGAAGTTTGTAGCAGTAGAGGTATATTGGGGTTCAGAAAGCTCAGTAGCAGTGAGGATCTCAGAAAAAGTATGGTAGAGGGAGAGGATTCAAATGCGAGTGGTGAGCTCTTGAAAAGCGAGTACTTCTAGATAAGCAGTGGTTTTGGACCGGATTAAAATTCTTCCGCACCGAGGCATAAAGTACAACTCGAAGTGGAAGTGGAATTAAAACCAAAGTGAAATAATAGAGAGGCAGAGTGGTTTGAAAACTATTCATATTCAATAATTAACTTCCTTGGAAGATATAGAGCCCTTGATAGAACCTTTAAGAATCAGGATATTAATTCCACGTCAAAATCATGCATGATGTCTTTAATAGTCACCTTGGTTCTATACAGACTCGGTGCATGCATGACACCCCTATTATGACTCCATGCGATAATTAGATCGCAAAAAGTCCCAGAACTAGAGTCCCGTAACCCAGATTAACTATGTATAAACCCCCCAATCAAACGAGAGCTAAACAGTCGGTGAAGCAGTGGTGCCTGACGATGCCTGAATAAGGAGCCTGGAGCCTCAGGAGGTGAAAATGTCGCACATTTTACGTTTTTATTCCGTACTTCGGTCATGAGGGGAAAAAAGGAGGTTCAACCCAAGATTCATACAATGAATATACGACTTGAGTCGCATATTATCAGAATGGAATGGAAGAGAAAGGTATACGAGATGAGAAAACAATCATAAAATTCTTCGCCAAACGATGAGAACCAAAATGAGAACCGACAATCATGGGTATTTCAAGTTCATTTCAATCCTGCCAAAGCCCAAAGATGCAGGAGAGGCAATCAAGGCCGAAAAAGTGGACAAAAAAAGTGGACAAAAAAGAGACATAAGTATGGAACTCCAGGACTCCCGGGGTCCAATATGATAATCGTTGCAGCTGATAGACAGCGGTACACAAAGTTAAAAGGTAATAATGGCGTGATAAGAGGGGTTATATGAGAAGAAGAAAATATAGAAAGAGATGTCGGAGATGGGAAAGAGATATTATTGGGTGCGTCGGATCACAAACACGCCCAGCTCGACTCCATCGTGAGGCTCACTGTCCTCACCATATGGCCTCTTACGAATGCCCTCGAATATTTCACTGAGAAGCATAGCCGATGTGACATCCTTATTATCGGCCATGAGACCGCTAGGTCCACTAGCATTCTTCAACGGGGGACGTCGGCCGTTCTGCCAGTATAAGCTGAGAACTTCCTTCATGCGAGCTTTTTCTTGGTGGATGAACCATTCCACCCAAAGATTGCGATCCAACTTGGCACTCGCCTTGCCTGCATCAGCCACTTCGAAGCGAGAAGACGTTGAGCTTAGTGACTCGCACAAAGCAACAATGTTCGCCTTCATGGTGGCGAAATCATCCATTTGGGAGACTGTGGACAGCTTGCCTAAGTAACGGCCCACGTCGGCTGACAAGCCGTTTACAACAACTAGTTGTCGGAGGAGTGGATCGAGAATAGGACCCAGATATTGGGATTTGAATGTGGATGCACCCCTCTTGGTCGGGTAGATGAAAAGAAGCGAGCCGCCGTTCGGGGCTAGCTCGCACAGGCGATCCACGAGGAAGGAGGGACGGGTGGGACAAAACACGTCTCGGTACTCTTGTGCAGATGGCGGGGGAAGATATCGCTCCAAAACCGAGAGATGAACACTGTGGGGAGGAACAATGGGCATGGGGGCGTGGGAGATATTTCGTTGGAGTGGGCCACGAAAGTCGTGGTACGCCCCGACCACGGCGGCGCTGGAAAAGACGGTCGCGTTGAAGTAGTCATCGGCGGCAGTAAAGGAGCGAGGTGTGCTAGGAGGAGAATGAGGTAGGTTGGACAGGCTGAATTGTTCCGGGACGGCGTGAGTGACATTAATATAGGGAGACTGGCCCGGCTGCAAGTGATTGTGTACGGCCTGGACGACAGATGTGAAGATGGTGTTATTTTTGGGACCAGACATCGACTGGTCGGATGTCCGCGGATATGGTAGTGTCTGGGAAACGATCTTGACAGCATCACCTCGAGGATTTGAGATTGCCAAAGACGAGACTGTTATTATTCCCTTTTGTCAGCATTGATTATGGTGCTGAGACGATTGGCGCGATGGGAATGGGCGCGGGAGGTTAACTAACCAGTCACATTGATTCCATGATCTAACCAGAACCCCACATCCTGTTGGCAGTCCATCTCGTCTTGAACACCGGGGCTTCCTCTGGAGCTAGAAGTTGAATCATGAGACAAGCCATCGGATGTGCCATTAAGGATATCTGGGCCGGTCGGCGAGGTATTCATTCTGGGGTCCGACCGCATCATAACTGACGAACCCGGATACTGTGGCGGTTGTGCATCAAAGAGCAGCATATCTGATTTTCCGCCCCACACAATATGACTATCGTCTTCTGGTGGAGTTGGTGGGAGATTGGCAGGGTAGTCTTCCTGGGAGGAAAGAGGAGAGTTCCAGGGCGACAAATTAGACGAATGCGTCACCACCTGTCTCGACCCGCAAGAGATATTGGTGGAGAGACGAAGACGAGACTCGTTGGATCGGATACGCGATTCCGAGCGAAGCGGGGAGGAGCTGCGTTGGTCCCAGGAAGGAAAGTGCACGGGGACGCTGCCTTTAGACAAGAAGCGGGATACCGGGGAAGGTCTTGTACGGAGAGAACCTTGGGAGGCTCTTCTCCGAAGTTTGGCTGGACTAGGGCCGTCGTGGGTGTCCGGTAGGGAGTGATGAGAAAGTCTTCGTTCGTGGTCGATTCTGAGCACTGATTGGGTAGTTTGCATGATTCAAATGGAATGACAGTAGTTGTTATCAACACTGTCCATTGGTGATAATGTGATACTGGGTAAGTCGTATATATCGGGTACTTCGAGATAGGGATAGGGATGGAGGATGATGATAGTAAGGGGGGGGGGGATGATAGTAGGAAGAGGGGGAGGAAGAGGAAATGAAGCAGAGAATCGAAGCGAAACCCGTGAGGAGAAGAAAAGAAGATGGAAACGGAGTCAGGAGTAACTAATGGGAAGTGGGTAAGTCACAGGTACAAAAATTAGATATGGTAGACATACGATGAAAGCAGGTACCGAGTACGGGGTTGGGAAAAGAGGCGAAGGCCCAGACCGAGATGTTCTAGACCACAGAGCCCCGATCGTCGAGTCATCTACTCCGTACAGAGTACTTGAGCCCTAATTATTGAGTAGTATATTTTATATTTTATACCTAGTTGCTTTCATATTTTATCCCGTTGCATTTTTTCCACTAATTTTATTCTTTATTTCCTGCATGAAGACAAAGATGTGCAGTAGAAGGGTTTCAGTGCTAAAAAATGTAGGCGATAGTCTAGGCGGGTCTTAGGCCTCGCTACTTGGCCTTAAGGACCCACGCAGCTGGGGCGATCATTCTCAGTTATTGCATCGAGTTAATGAATTCCAGTGTTTTCTAGATTAAATAGTAAGCACCTGTCATTACAAATAGAGCTGGAAAGTATACTTTTACTACTAGAATTTTCAATTAATCAATTAATATTAACTTTTTGTTCTTATATACTTAAGTACTGGATACTCACAAACGATGCCGTCAGAACGGATAAGTGCAAGTACCTAGTACTTCGGTACAAAATCAAGATTACATTACGACGTCGAATCCGTAAGGCCCACAATTTCAGGGATCAGGGAAATCTATCCAAGTCCTAGAAGACTTACTCCATCCTCGATCCCCGATTCCCGATTTCCCCAAATCCATTCGATCGTGCTTTTAGGATTGGCCGTTGAACCGTTTAGTTCAGATTCATCTCCCCTTCTCCACTGTTAAGTCTCACGTAAATAGGTATTTGCCACTGACACAGAACGTTTCCATGGTTTTTAGAAATTACTAATTTTTTTTTTTTTTGGCCTGGGTAATTAAGTACACTGAAAAGAAGCCAAGAGGATCTAGAGAGTCTAGACTACATAGACTGTCCAGATTTCCGCATCTACCTGCACGTCTGTTGTGGTGTAACCCGGATATGTGCCGAAGTCGCTCAAAGGCCGATCTTGATATAAATCAGATCGAGAAATCTCCAAGGTTCTCGGTCGAGATCCGTAAGGGATGCGGGGGTTGCCATGTGGGAGCATGTAGCCGCTGCAAAGTCCCGTTTCATATGGAAGGATTTGACTTTAGTCACGTTGACTTCACGTTGAAACATCGATCGATGCAGCCAAGAGTCTCAGCATTTTAGACCTTGGCAAGGTTATATAATAAGGGAGACCCAAAGATCAAATGATCAAAAGATCAGACTTTTTCAGACTCTTCATGAAGTTAGAGACCGTCGACGGGCCTGGTTGGGAGCAGAGCCCAAGGGCTGTATCTCACGAGAACAGTTCCAAGCCTTCCAGACAAGTGAGGAGCGGTATCGCTGCTCCTCACGACTGAGCCGCAACTGTTTCTGGGCGAAACTCGATGGCTTGATAGCGATCGTACATGTGGAAGTTGAGCGGGCCAAGATAGGAATCGAAGGTAACTTTGCGACCGCAGGGGTAACACCGGTATCAAGCGTGGCGCACAACTCATGACACTGACGGACCAGCTGCTGCACGCCCTCTGTCAGACGAGAAGCGCGATCCTCAATGTCAGGCCAGAAGGCGTCACCCCAGAATGGATCTTCTCGAACAGCCGTCTCCAATGCTGACAGCCAGCAGTCAAAGCCGGAGTGGGGACCCGCCAATAGGGCAGCCACTGTGACGAAGCGGATCGTCGGTTCCGAGTGGAGGACGTGAAGAACGATACAGGCAGGACATCTTGCGGTGAGATACCAGTCGTGCTCCTCGATCAAAATACAGTGAAGCCAGGCAAAAGCACTGCGGGCCTCGCCTCTAAAAGCCCTTTCTGGTTCTGCCCCTTTGTGGCTGGAGAGCGCCCGCGCTGCGATCCGCTCTGCTTGATGGTTAATCAGGAACAAGGGTACTAGGAGGGTGTGGATGATGTCGCGGTGGAGACGAAACGCCTCCTGGTCTGTTGTGTCGTATGCGAGGTGGTGGGTTGAACAGAAGGCTGGTCCTTCCATGCCACAATCCTGTCGGTGTAATTGTTCTCGCACAGCGCGAAAAGTCTCATTGGAATCCAAGTTCATCTGATCGCGAAGTGAAATGCGAAACGGACAAGGGGTCTCGGCGGTCGACATTGTGGCGTATATTAATGGTAATACAGAAAAGAGGGAATTTTGGTATGTGTATATTTTCGTATTTTCGTATTTTCGTACTTCGGTGTTTTCGTATTATCAAGGTATTAGAAGAGCATTATAGTAGCATGTCGAAGAATGTACAATCATAGAGAGTTGATAGTCGAAGATCGAATATAAAGAAGACTGAAACCGGATGCGGGCTTTAATATGAAAGAAACCCCCCTTTATGAAACGAACGTCATGAGAACGCAAACCAGCAGAGATGATCGAAATGGAACAACTCCACAGCTGACGAACGCAGAATGAATGTAAGATTAGGATTGGCGGAATATGTCGGAATGGTGGAGAGTAGTGGAGATAAGGGGAGTCTGGACTCTTGCTCACATTGGACACTCAATTTCTATACATAGGATAATAGACCCGAATATTTTAATACGAATGTAATATTAGTATCTAGTATGTAGCTATGTATACCTAATGTGATAGATGTGATTGTGGCGATGCAGATGTGATATAGGAATATTTCGGCACAAGCTACTTAAGACAAATACGCCCCAAACCCACTTACGGTCTAGTTGGGAAATTAGCTTCCATCTTCTAGTTATCTGACCGCTAAATGTTAAGGAAAATTAAGGGTCTAGATTGAGAGACTAGTGATTTGCCTAACTACTATTAGCTGCAAATGTAAATTTGTTGTGTAGATTGGTTCGACTACCACTACTACTCCTCCGTACTACTATGACGCGTGGTATTTCACCGGTAATCCAACCTCGGACTACCATGTCTCAACAGTAGATAATTTTAGAGACTTGAAACGAGTGAAGACCCTAAATAGCCGCTTTTTTCCGTTGAAAAGGCCAGATGGTCGTGTGCCAATCGATTGAGCTGTGGGGTTCACCCGCTTCTAGTGTACTAAATAGTAGGTAGTAGTACTGAGTTAAATAGGCCTGCTAGCGTAGATAAAAGAGGCCCAGTTTTGCGGTGAGGTTAGATCTAGACCCTCGAATAGAAGTATCGGTGCTGGCACAGAACAGTTGGCAAGTGCAGAGTAGGTGTGTCTTTTTTATGCCCGTAGTGGAGGATAGGATCCCTGAGACCGAGGTTCTCCAGGGTTAGAGATGGTTAAGAATTTATCTCACTAGTATGCAAGGCAATCCCGCCAGTCATAGAGAAACACCTCAATGAACGGCCACAGGGTTCTACGAGGCCTTGCAGTGATAGGGCTCTGAGGGTGAGAGTGGAGTGGAGTATAGGGGAAAGGGAAGGTCCCGAAATTTAATTCAAACTAATTGTGGATAGTTAGCTAAATAGCGTTAACCTATTATCTTATTAATATTCTCCACAAGGATATCTATATCATGTGTACACAGTACCTCAAAGCTTCATATCTTCAATCTCCATCTTTAAATGTTCGTCGTAGGAATGTGTACGCTAAAAGATAAAATACATAAATACGCCAAGAATTTGAAATCTCGTTCTAATCGTGTATCTTTTGTATTTTTCGTCGTCCTTTTGCTTCTTTTGCTTCTTTTGCTTGCCTGTTCTGTTTCTTTCCATCTTCTTTGTGCAATCGCGTCGCTCTTTCTTGATTTGAGGTTCTTTATTCATAATCAGTTCCTATTTCAGTTTCAGTACACATCTCTCTAGTTTATTTTGTTTCTGGTCATCTTACATTGTACGATTACAGCGCCATGTTCTCCTCATTGGCGTCCTTGGCTTCGCTGGCCCTGTTGGTCTTGCAGCCGAGCGCCGTGGGCGCAATTCAAACCATTTCCGCGGTCGGGTCCAAGTTCTTCTACGAGAATGGTACCCAGTATTACCTCAAAGGTACAATCTTCCTTTGACGCGGCCTGCCCTGGTAATTAATTTCAATTATAGGCATCGCCTATCAGCTGACTCCTGATGATCCCCTGGTCGACGAGGCCCAATGCAAGCGCGATATCGTTCGCATGGCCCAGTTGGGAGCCAACAGTATCCGTGTGTACCATGTGGATCCAAAATTAGATCACAAGGCTTGCATGTCAGCGTTCGCTGATGCGGGCATTTATCTGTTCGTCGATCTCGACACTTTCACCACGCAGATTGAGCAGGTTTGTTTTTGAGTTTCTTTTCTCTTTGCTGTCACCTACTAACAATGTCAAGACTAGCCCTCACTGGAATCAGACCCAGTTCGACCGCTTCAAGGAAGTCGCCGATGAGTTCGTCCAGTTCGATAACACCGCCGGTCTGTTCGTCGGCAACGAAGTCGTCACTACATCCAATGGTTCAGTGGCTGCGCCATACGTTCTGGCTGCAGCCCGTGATATCAAGGCATACATCCGAGACAAGGCCGACTACCGAAAGGTCCCAGTCGGCTACTCAGCCGCAGACATCTCTTCCCTCCGCCCCATGCTCCAGAATTACTTCGCCTGCAGCAGCAATGCCTCCGAGCGCCTGGACTTCTACTCGCTGAACGCCTACGAGTGGTGCGGCTCTTCGAGCTACACCACATCCGGCTACGACATGCTTCAGAAGAACGCGACAGACTACCCCATTCCCATCTTCTTCTCCGAAACAGGTTGCAACACCCCATCGCCCCGCACCTTCGCGGACCAGGCTGCTATTTTTGGCTCCGAAATGAGCGATACTTGGTCTGGTGCTATCATATACGAGTGGATCGAGGAGACAAATGACTATGGGCTTATTAGCTACGGCCCTGCTAACACTAATGCCGCTGCTACAAACACCCTTGTCGAGGGAGGTTATACTCGTGGCGGAACTCCTACTCCTGTCTCACCCGACTTTGGTAATCTCCAGTCGCAGTGGGCTACCCTAAACCCGACTGGTGTTGCCCTTGCCTCTTACAAGAAGTCTACCGCTACCATCAGTGCTATCGAGTGTCCTGCCTCGACCTCGGGTGTCTGGGACGTTGACCCGAGCTCTTCGCTCCCTACTATCGGCCAGACATACGGCAAGAGCTCCGGTTCCACCAAGACCGCTGGTGGACAGGATAGCACTGCGACTACCTCTGGCGCGACTGCCTCGGCTACAAAAGGTGCTGCTAGTGCCTTGCAGGTCAGTAGCCCTGTGACAGAGCGCTTGCTCATAATTTCCCTGTTCCTGTCTGCTGTCTTGGGAGTCTTTTCTTTCTGGCTGTAGAATGATTTTAGATAGACGATGACTGTATGAAAATGTTACGGTTCTAAGAATAGAACTGTATGAAAATGTTACCGTTCTAAGAATAGATACTTACCTCTTCCGAGGTTCACAAAGCAAAATTGTTAAGTCTCTGTAATTTAGAAAAATTTAGAAAAATTTAGAACTATTTAGAACTACATGTGTTCATCCCTAATTTTTTTTTGTTCGTAACTTCGTGATGAATGATCTCTCAACCCATGAAACCATTCGGTTCTTCGTGAAAAGCCAATTTCCAAGTCAAAAGTCCACGCTTAACGTGCACAGTTAGTCCTCAAAAACAAACTCCACCTGCCAAGTCCATATCCATACTATCATTGAAACATAACCAATGCTCAGTATCGAAAATTTCAGACATGATCTTAGTTGTCCCTTCAAGCCTTGACCTGGACAGCCTTCTTCCGCCGACCAGTGCGCCCACCAGAAGGAAGGATAATTTTAGGCTCAACCCGTGGCGTGACAGGGGCATATACAGCCGGGGGTCTGAAACCAGGGGGAAGAAGCGAGTCTAGCATCTCCAACTTCGTAATAGCAGGAGTATGAGTATGTGTACCCTCTAGCTCACCGAGAGAATCGTCGTCACTGGGAGATTCCGATAAGCCGAAATCGAAGTCCGAGACGGACGAGGATTCACAGGGGTCTATATCCTCGGTTTGCTTCTGTGTTTTGGGGAGGGGTGCAGGCAGGGCAGGTTCTTCGTAGATTTTGACGATGTTTTGCATGCTCGAATTCAAGTTCAAATTCAAGCTCAAGTTTGGGTTTGAGGATGATTCTTTGAGTTCTTTTCTCTTTTCGGTCTTTGATTTCAGTTTCTCTTTCTCGTTCTCGGGCGGTGGGCAGTGGCTTTTTACGGCTGACCCGTCACGATTTGAGGTTGGGATGTCTTTGAATGCAGACAAGAAATACTTCTGTACTCTGCGCGCGCTGGGCCGTTTCTCCGGCTCAGCGGATAGCATTGCGCGGATCATGAGGAGCATGCGAGGCACGGCGTGGAAGACGCGGTCGCTGCCGCGGTTTCGGCGGCAGCGTTTTAGCGCGTCGCCTTCTAGCAGGGCGATCCATGATTGCACTTGGATCGTATTGCGGGCGAGGTGGTAGGAGGCGTCGGCCATGCCGCCGCCTCGGCCGGCCATTTTGTTACGCGCTGCGCGGTGCGAGGTGAATGAGGATAAGGAGCGTTTGCAGAGGTGGGTCAGGATTTCGAGGATGACAGCTGCGAGGGAGAACATGTCTGCTGGTAACTGGATCGGGGAGGGTTTGTTAATGTTTAGAGATGGGCATGAGGTACTGGTTGATAGGATTGAACCTCTGGATGGGGGTGGGTGTGGAGAGAAAATAGATGTGTTTGAGCCGGCGGTTGAGGCGGAGGAGGTTAGGACTGGCGAGAAGATGGAGTCGGCGGTCGATGCGCTTGATGAAGATGTGAGAGATGGCGCTGTAGGTATTTTAGACTTTCGGTGGAAGCTCGAGAGGAATGAATGCTTCAGTGACGATGTGGCTTTGTCTACGACGCTTCCGTTAGAGGAAGATGACGAGTATGCATATGCGAAGGAGAATCGAGTTGGGGAATCGATTTGGCCGTTGTTCTGGCCAATTCGAATCACTGTTCCCCTGGATGAGGTCGAGTCTGGCGACAACCGTTGGTTCTCGCTGATACCGGCCAGCGGGGGTGGCTTCTTGCGACGTCCTGTACGACCACCAGACGGAAGACTGACTTGGCTCTCGGCGCGGGGCATGACAGTAGCTTGGATAGGCACGGCTCCGGGAACCCAGCGTTCTGGGGCTGCATACTGATATGCCTCGAGGTCGTTGACTTTGGGCGGGACCATGAGGGAGTCTTGCGCTTGGAACTGTCCCAGGAAGATGTTGAAGTTGGGATCCACTAGAACGTTAGATGGTCGGATCGAGCCATGGGCGTGACCGTGCGCATGCAGCCAAGACAGCGCCGACATCAAGCAATGGGGCCAGACGATGAGCGTTTCCCGACGTTGTTCCTTGGCGAGGCGCTTGAAGGCTATGGGCTCGTCGGTTAGGAAGCTGTGCAAAGTGCGATCTGTCTCTCCGCCGGTCAAGAGCACACACATGCTATCATCAGCGAAGTATGAGGCGAAAACTGAGACGATGTGCTCATGCGCCAGCTTGCGCAAGGATTTAATCTCCGAGAGCACTTCTGCCGGAGTGAAGAAGTGTGGTGGTCCGCCAGCTTTAACCTGACTTCGCAGGTAGACTCGACATACATGTCCAGCTAGAATGACCCTGTCGACAGAGGAATCGCGACTCTGGACACTGTTGTTGGTCATGGTGCGCACCAGCTCAATCGGGACACCTTCGTTTTCGGTGTATGTGACATGTTCGCCAGCTCCAATTCCCCGAACCAGGAATCGCCATTGTGCGCGAAAGAACTTAGCATCGAGAGCTGGATCGTTACCGTGAGGTGACAGGCGCAGTTGATCAATACAGTGTTCCGCAAATGGCATGTCGTCATCATCGCAGGATTCGTCTACCAGGGCAAATATGTGATCTGGGATACCGATTGAATCGAGCGTCAGGAAGAGCCGACCCGCTTTAAGAAGGATCCATTCCTTGTACGTCTTGCTCGTCAGACCCTCTCCATAACCAGGCAGATCGAAGAGACGAGCCACATTCTCGGGTTGGAGCCGACTGATGATGTATTTGATATCTAGTGTTGCTTTAATTCTATCTTCGGGCCACCAAAGCGATGTGAGTTCTTGAGACTGAGCCATAATGAGTGCATAGCTCAGCGAATGACAGAAAGGGAAGGAAAGAGAAGAGAAGAAGAGGTGGGGTTGGGGGCGAAAGTGATCGCGTGGGCGACGTTCCAGGTATTTATTAACCTGCTAAAAGATCAAGTGAATTGACTGATGATACAATTTGGTCATCAAGCGATACAAGACTAAGAATGGTGGATATGCTTATCTCGACCCCGCAAGGGTTGACTTGAGTCGTCGATAGTGCGCGGATCAATTAATTAGCCCGTCACAGACCAAACCATTGACGGCAGTTATTTGGTGCTACTTTTATCAAAACAGGCATTCGGCCCCAAGAATCGATAGATTCCCCGGGGTTTTAACGATGTTGTTCTAATTCGGCCAATCGGATATCTTTAACTTATCTGGAAAGTTACTGATATAAGCGGGTCATCGCTTTGAGGTTCACTGACATAGCAAACTAGTAGTATATCATATTGATCTGATCCTTTCCGTAGTAAGGAGCATCTATATAATTGCTTCATTGAAGTTCACTCTACATACAGCAAGGTAATATTTACTCTAATAGCCTACTAGTATTGTTCTGATTTGACTTCTCACTCCCTACCTCCGATGTTTGACATTCTAACTTTCCAAGAGATGATCCTGAAATTGAGTACATAACTAGTAAGACTGTAAAACACATTTTTCTTCCATAATTCCAGTCTTCTATATTGGGTCCGTTTCCGTCCGAGTTCATACCACATACTACGGAGTGTTGCCCCGCAATATGATTGGTAATTTTACCAGCCCGGTATAGTTCATGGCCTCCCCTACTTCATACTCCTTATACTAAGCACAATATATTGATATTTGCTTCTTTATACTTCCGATTTATCTGCACACTATCATCATACATGTCTCATCGGGATATTACCATGGTCATGGGTTGGAATAGATAACATTAGTTGACCTCACGAGGTAACCTAGGCATTGTTTACTGGCGCAGTCAGTGATCTAAGAATCTCTTTGTACATCGTACCATTCCAGTGGCGTCCCAATAGTCCAAGGGTGCTATCTAGCAGAGGGACCCTGCGTAGATATGTGCCGTACCTGCAGATGCTATGCAACTGGTGGCGTAAATTAGTATTGGTCAATTGGAGTTTAATCTCGGACTCCGTACTTCGTGCCGGACTGCTATATTAACATACTTATGTCGCAGCGCTGGAACCATATCTCACACCTACACATCGTCAAGATACTCTATCTTTTGTACATGTCGTGATCACGACAGGCCCAGTGAATTTCACGGCTATCATATACCTACCCAAAAAGCTAAAATCCTTCAGTGGGTACCGAACCAATAAACTAATTCTAACCGCGACCATCAGTGGGATTGAAACTTGGACTTAGCCGCGATGGTCTTGGCGGGTTTTGTGAGGATACGTTTTCCCCTCAGAGAATCTAGACTGACTGATTTTTGAGATGGTAAATTAAGGGGCTCACAGGACTAAACGAGATCCACAAAATGAGGCTTGATTCATTGTTGTTCCAATCAGAATCAATATACTGAGTCGGAAAGACCTCGGGAGTACCTTCTTCCACTTGGCATGACGTCCTTTTCTACTCTGGAGATTGATTTAAATAGCTCTCCAACTTGAAACTATGCCACTGAAACTGGTGATGACAAGAGGAAGCAACCTTGGAAGCTGTAGAGATAATCTTTGCCGAGTTTCTCTATCATCGTGAATTTGATCATCTATCTGACCTGATATTGTCGGAACGGTGACGTTCTTACCGTGCATATGCAACTAGTATTCTCGATGGAATAGATCTAGGTGCGTCGATGCGAAGTTGTAAGAGGTGTAATATTCAATCTTGTCCTCGCTGTAACTAAATAGATAAAACTCGCTAGATTCACTTCATATCGGACCAACAGCATCGTAACCATTCTCATTGGTCCTGTGCCCCACTTTGGTCTAGTGGTATCGACAGATATACATATAAACGACAGCAGGATCATGGAGATTGCCATATAAGTGAGAACGAGAGAGACAAAATTTAGCAGAGGGGTATATGGAACTATTGTAGGTAGGATTTTAGGTAACTGCATGTAAATACATAGTTATTCAAGTACAGGATGGATCGAAACCAGTTTCACCATTTCCTCTCAGAGATTCTTTCTCGGACTCTTTCGAAACACAGCAGTATCCCAGTACAGTTGTAAATTACAGCTTTAAATAGCTTCTGTGTTACACTCGTAATGTTTCCAGGCCTTCAAGAACGTTGATCATGTAAGCAATTCAGTGCGAGTCGCCCAGACAAAGCACAAGTCTTCCCTACACACGCTGCCTTCTTCCACACTCATTTCATACAGAGTAGAGAACCATGACGATTTCTGACTAAACCAATCGATCCTCGCCCCTCGAAAAACCCATACACGCTCGAGGCCTGCAGGCTGTGCCGCGATGCTGCTCTAGAGTACTATATCAGGCGGGATTGAGGGTTGGAAAGAATTATGGCGGAATGCAAATCATTCGGACCGGAACAAAGGGGCCATACTTCACGCCCTTGCAATCCGCCGGCGTCACCGGGAAACTGGACTCACCATTTGGAAGAAGGATAATAACAGCTATAGTCTGTATGGCAAGGGGAATACTATTGGCTTTGCCGGTCAATGGGAGCAGCGGAATCAAAAGGGACAATGCATTAATCTGATAAAAAAAAGAGTGTTGATTCTGATCCCCTCAACTCTAGGGGTCCATGGGTGTTGAAATACCCATGAGAATACCAGCAACTCGGTAGTTACAAATCCGAGGGTTCCACGAGAAATAGCCGCGTTAGCTAAAGAGGGTATCGTAATATTGTACATGGTGAGTTAGTATAGTGCCAATGTTAATTTTCCTAACAGATAGCCACTCATTATTCCAAAGTCCCAAAGAACTGTTGGTACTATTGACTCTAATGTTATCCTATAGCTGCAAACTGTTTGGCGCTATAGTTTGCTGATGGGCCACTGAGAGCCAACCGAATTCCCAGGAAGTGCACACTTGCCCATTCGCGTGCCCCACGTAAAACCCGGCATGCGCTCATCCCTAAGGAGGAGTTTGGCACGACATGTCTCAGCGAAGAAATCTCAGAACATAGGTGGCATAGTCTCCTCTACGAGATAAGTACTGCGAGTTGTTGAGCCTAGTACAATCGCACATAGATTATCCAATTCTGTAAATATTTGGTGGCTCAATTCTTTTTGGTGAAAGCGATATAGTAGGTCGCAAGAGCGTGAAAACGCTAACGACACCTCTCATTACTGCATAAATGAGGCAAGCCACTATGTCTTTAGGGAAGCTCCAAGCCAATGATCGTGTTTAATATGCGCGAGTGTTTGAGTGACACGTAATGACGCATTGCATGGAATGTAATGATTGGATGCTAAGGTATCGGATCAGATTGAGGCTTTGGTCATGAGTTGTCATTGCAGAGAAACCAAGTAGGAAGGGGGCCCGATCTCCGCCCACTATGTTATTATTTTTAATCCTGTCTTGAAGAAATTGCTCGCGCAATCTTTTCAACCTTTTCTAAGTAACAAAGGAAATTATGGATGTCGGAGCCCTAAAGTCACTATTCTCTGAGTTATGTACGTTTGAAGAAAAGAAGAAGGTCTTGGTCGAGGTAGGTGGTTCACACCGAAGAAGCCTGGATCTACCATAGTGCCAGGCAATTGCGCTATTCTCTTACAAAATTCTATTCAAAGGACGCTTTTCGAATCATTGAATCGCAGGAGGAGCGAATCAAACACCTTGAGTTTGAACTTGAGAGCGAGAAGAGTTCTCGACGCACATTCCAGGTGGAAAACGTCGAAGCTAAAGCAGAAGTTAGGAGATTAAACGATACCAATGTGGGCGTTTTTCTAAATTCTAAGTCACCGAATTTAAGCTCACTTTTCTTAGAATAGAAATCCCTTCATAGTTGTGCTAGTTGATGGCGATGGCGCCAAGTTCCTGGACACTTTGCTACAGAGTCCAGAAGGCGCTGTTGAAGCCTCCAAGAGGCTTACAAAGGCAGTAAGAGATTTTTTGCGGGACAGTCCATATAGCAGCGAGGACGTACCCATCCTTGTTCGAATATATGCAAATCTGAATGATCTGGCGAGGGCATTGCATAAGAATAAAGTAATATCGTCCGAAAAGGATTTGCATCGATTTGCAGAACTATTCACCAACAGTCGTGCTGAGTTTGAATTTATCAATGTTGGTCCGGGCAAAGAGAACGCAGATTCTAAAATGAACAGTAAGACTTTATTACCTGTTTTTGTGCTCTACTTACAATCTAGCAGGGATGCTAAACCACTTCCATCGAAATTTCCAGTGCAAAAAAATATTTTTTGCTGCTTGTCATGATAAAGGCTACATACACCAGCTCCGTGATTTTATCGGAGATAGTGAGGGTGAAAAGCGGATTATTCTCGTCGAGACGACCCCTGCAGGGGCACAGTTTAAGACCCTAGGATTTGAAATCACCTGTTTTAATGACGTGTTCCGTTGTGAGCATCTTCCAAGTGAACAGGAACCCAGTCGTCTTGGCTTCCAAAGACCTTCGGTGACTACCGCCGATGAAACAAACGGCACATCCTCGTTGTTTCGGGATTCACGTGCAAATTCCAATGGAGAATTATCTCAAGCGACAACGCTCAATAGCCCTGCACTTGCTACGCCCTTGATCCAGGGATCAGTGATAGATCCTGATGTTGATATCTCGGGAAATGGTGGAATTTCTGTGAGGTATCCTTCGACATATGCGACAATTGGAGTATCCAGTCATCATCAAAATATCACAATCAAAAGAAGCGAGACCAAAGAAACGAAAATAATCGAATACAATAGATACAAACAACGATTAGATATACCGATTCGGCCCCCCTCAGATACCGCTGCTAAAGACTCCTATTACAAGAAACTACACCAGATAGCACCTAGAGGATTCTGCAATGAATATTATCTTCTGGGACGCTGCGACCGGTTCAGGTGTAAAATGGTTCATAATGAAAAGTTAAGTGCTAGGGAGATCGTCATACAAAAGTACAAAGCAAGACAGGGTCAATGTCCCAATGCCCCTGATTGCACGGATTATGACTGCTACCTAAGCCACCATTGTCCCTTCGGCAAAAAGTGTGATTACTCTCCTTGCAAGTTTTCGGTGCATATATCTGATAGTGACCTCAAGGTAGTGTGAGTAGCTGCCCAAGTGTTCTGCTGCTAAGGGCAATGTACTGATATATCATAGAGAACGATGGATCGAAGGCGAAAGTGGACCGAAGTTTTTGGAGACCTGAAAGACATAATATTTGCTCAAGGATTTTCTATAGTGAAGTTTGGTGTATTCAACATTCATCACGCCTTTTGCCTCTGTTCAGTTTCGCTTGAACTATCTCATCAACTATAGGTACAATTCCATCCCAGATAAAGTGCTCAACGGTATCATTTATTCTTTAGCAAATCCACTCATTATGCGCTTAAGTGTATCTACAAGGTCACAGTAGCCTGACTGATCTTTCGTAGTTTACAAGGGAGAGAAGAAGTAGAAGTAGGTAGGTACTTTAACCCTCCCCCCGGACAAACAAAACCATCTACAGCGGAGTTGCTTTCTCTCATGAGCTTTTTCGATCGATACCAGAGAACCTTATTCAGTATCGCCCTGGGGTGAACTACACATCAATTTCGGAGCTCCTGAACAGCTCTAGTGATGGAGAAACGTCCGATTCTGATGTAGGCCCCGATTTTGAAGATGATATTACGACGCTATGGAATTTTATTTCATATATATATTAGTGAGAATAACAGTTTTTTCACGATGTATCGGCTAGTGCAGCTGGCTATTTGTGCGTGACTGAAATCTTACAGGCAAGTAAGTCACTGGCGGGAGAAATTTATTAGCGGTCTATGCAAAGAGTTTCCCACAGGCTAATATGTGAACTAGAAGAGGTGCCGGGCGCTATTTCCTCACATGAAATCCGCAATGTCCCAACGATCAACATCACTTGAGTCTACAACCATGGACCACGTTGCTCTATAGAGGTGCGCGGTATGCGTGGCAAAGCGGCAATATCGCAGATACAAGAGAAATGGCAGTAAAGTCAAGAAATCAAAAATTGATCTTACTAGATGAAGAGCATAAAGAGGTCCTCGATAGCACAGGCATGTTGGCAACGGTATACTGGCTTGGCGGCCGATGGCGGGAGGTGGAGCAACTCGACATGCAGGTGATGGAGACTCGCAAGACAAAGCTCAGCGAGATTCATCCTGACACACTAATGAGTATGGCTAGTCTGGCAGCAACGTATATGAAGCAGGGCCGGTTGGGGGACGCTGAGCAGTTACAGATGCAGGTGATAGAGACGAGCAGACGAAACTCAGCGACGACCATCCTGACACACTGTTGAGTATAGCGAATCTTGCTTTCACTTGGAAATCTTCAGCCCACAATGCCGAAGCCATCAATCTGCTACGAGAGTGCCTGAAGGGGAATAGGAAACGGATGAGGAGTGGGAATTCGATAGGGAATAGTTAAGAAGGCGCTGGATATGGATGCGTAGATAATCTACGCTCAGAGTCTGTATTCACATTGCATTTTCTGCTTCATGCTACTTCCCAAAACGATGCCCCATCACGAATTGACCTAATGCGCACTTCTAGATAGGTATTGGCCTCATCGCGCTGTCAAGCTCCGTTACAAAAATATTAGACAAATACAAGGACTGTCGCCAGCAAGTTTAAGAAGCTGCAAGGTGCTAGACTCCGTGCAAGGATAGTCAAACACCCATGGATGTTTATAACAAGTTAATACAGACAGGCAAAATCGCTCGTTATATGCTCCGTAGGTAGAGTTCCCATGTTGACCAACTTGTGTCATGTGACAAGATAATTTTAGTACTCCGTAAGGGGTCAATATACAAGATGGATCGAAATCAGTTTCACCACTTTGCTCACATAGATTCTATCTCGAACCCTAGTCCTAAATGCGCTAGTCCATTTTTGACCTAGCTCGCTTTCAAGTGTTGTCGTATTGAAAGGTATTATCACGTGCTAAATGTTCACTAATTTACCTTACTTGTATTACCCTTACCAAGAATACTTAGAGCAGTTAGCCTTAGTCAGAAGCGGAAGGATTCCCTCGTATTCTCTCGGCTGAGACTACTATACATGGCAGGTGACTAGGTGTTTATATCTAGGCAGCTGTAGTCCATACACTGTCTAAACCAATGCCTACTACCAGAATATATAGACCTTTCACTCTACAGGCCACAAAGTCTGAATGTGGCGTGCTTCCGACGTTACCTCGAGCGGGGTCATAACGGCTAGAAGCACCTATCAGAAGGCTGCTAAGCTTTATAATTGGGTCTGTGAGAGCAAAAGTCCCACTCGAGATCTCGGACTTCCCACACTAGAATCGGACTCATCGATTTCCCTCAGCGCTGTTGGTCAGTTATGTTTTTATCTCTCACTTCACATCATGGGGGGTGAGTCGCGTGCGAAAGGGTTTAATCGCCAGTTACGGTCCTGCAAAGTCTGTCGGCTCCGCAAAGTCAAGGTACGCGTTATCAGCTCAGATCATCAGATCTTGCGGGACGATCCTCCCGTCCTCCGTCCACGGAGCTAATATCCCCTACAGTGTGACCGCGTCAGACCTTGCCACGCATGCTGTGCGCATGGCTACCCTTCCAAGTGTGTATATGATCTACCGGATGGAGAAGCACGACCTATCAGCCAAGCAGATGAGATTCGGAATCTGAGATCGGAGATCCGCGAATTACGCGCTAGAATTGAGAAGAAAGATGGTATGTGTGTACTCACTGTGTCTTCCCTTCACAATAAACTAAAATATACTTCAGGGTCCCAAGGTCAAGATTTTCAACGGTTGGACCGGCTTGAGTTCTTATTTGACTCCATTCGATCCGCCCCACAGAGCATAGCTGACGATATCGTGCGTGATATTCGAACGACACATGAATCGAACAAGCAACTGGTGAAAGTGGGACCGTGGGAAGGTCATGAAGGTAAGGGTACCTATGCGAGAAGCGTCAATTTTCACACTCTGATTGCGAAAATTCAACAGCGTATGAAGGCTATGATTCTTCACGAAATTCCCCCGTTTCCATCATCCCGATCCGTAAGCGTATTGAAGTTGGCAGTTCGGCCAATAGCGAGCTCAACGATAGCGATAGCGATATTGGAGAGTACATATTTAGTTCATCCGACTCATCGTCATTGGCTAGCACTTTATCCATTATCAGTCCACAGGCACCAGTTACCGATGCATTTATACAGCGGTTTGTAGATGCATTTAGCCCGGAGGTGGACATAAAGTCAGGTCGAGCAGGTGCATTGAGAGCTGCGGCGGGCATTCGCATGTTCTCGCCACTGATATCAGATGCGTTTGAGGCTGTATCGGTGGCTTTCTTTGGTCGATCTATTCAGGACAAGGAGATTGAATCGTCCGGGTTTCGGTTATATCCACGTGTTCTCCGTGGCTTGCAGGACGCTTTGAATGATCCAGAGCGATGCAAGTCGGAATCGACCCTGGTGACGGTTATTCTTTTGCTTGCCTTTGAGGTTCGTCAACGTCGCTACTTATCATGTAACTTATCGTCTGTCATTACTGACTTGCACAGAGTGTAGAGCGTACCACTCAACGTGGTGTTCCGTCTCATCTTGCTGGCGCAGTGCGCCTGATGGAACATCGAGGACCAGAGAACCACATGTATGGAGTTGAGCATCTCTTGTTCACGGAGCTAAGACCGTACTGGGTATGTCCATTCTAATGATATATATCAGAAATATACCCATGCTGACATTTTCCAGATTGGCGGCGCAATCGCACTCCGAAAACCTACTTACCTAGCTCGTGAAGAGTGGAAGACGATTCCATGGTCAGCTGATACGACCAGGAAGGACATCCTGCACCATATGCTCGATCTAGCCGCCGATATTCCCGGTCTGCTGGCCCGGTCTGACGAGTTTAAAGAGGCTAGAAATTTTCCTATAACGGGCACACAGGAGATGGTTGTCAAGCAGGCCTCGCTATGGAACGATATTTCCAAACTCACTACCGCCTTCGAGAAATGGCACCTAGACTGGGTGGAGTGTTACCCAGACGGACCCATTCGAGAAGTCGAGCAAACAGAGGATCAAGGTTTTCCCATCTTCAAACGGCGCGATCTTCGTACCGGTGCTATTTACACATCGACCAAGTTATCATACCCCAACCTCCTTCTTGCCCAGACCATCTGTGTATATTACGCCATGCGTCTGATTTTGTCATCCATTGATACTCGTCCAGAGGATCGAGTCACCCCGATGGAGCAGTATGAATTTGGATGTGGCATCTGTCGGACCTATGAATGGTATATCCTTACTGCACCAGGCAACATGATCAATCGTCTCGCGTTCCCTACCCGAGTCGCATGGGAGGCATTCTCAGACCATAGCCCTGAACGTGCCTTTTTAGTCGAGGTGTTGCAGCTAGTTGAGAGACGCCATTCTCTTGGACTCTGGGGTGGGAATATGGCTGAGATATCCACCCACAAATATTCACCTCTTAATGTAAGCTGAAATGCTTGCTTATTTCCATTTGGCTACCGTAAAGCCCTATTAGTATTATCGATATGTCACGAGCGATAGATATCCCCAGGAGTAAGTAGATACATAGCGAAGTCAGTTCTTTTCTTGATGAATGTATTATTTTCTTTCAGTGATAACTTGTATCTGTATTAAAGCATCTTCAATGCTTGATGCTGGAACATATTCTTGGTATCACGGTCCCGAATTTAGACCAATATATATAACTACCTAGCTCTATCATTATTGTAGATATAGCCTCATAATTTATATATTCAAATAGGTAGGTGCCGCAGGCTTCCAAAACTTCTTCTCAATACTGACCAAGATAATTGGCTACAGTAACATTATCTATCTGCTCCTGGAAATGCCGCCGCCGTATGTCTTCATGTTCTTCTATGGCCTGGCCCACTCATGGATCTCAGATAAACGAGGCATGCGCTTCTGGTTCCTGATTTTCTCCGTTCTAATCACCATTATCGGGTTCACAGCCACAAATGGGTTCGCGTCGCGTTACTTTGCCATGTTCCTGATGGTGTTTATCAACGTCCAGGCAGGCCCGCTCTATTCCTAGATTGCAAATTGTCTTCCTCGTCCCTCAGCTGAGCGTGCTGCTGCATACGCCTTTATCATCTCAGTTGGTAGCTTGGCAAGTGTCTGGACCCCATACATCTATCTGGAAAAGGAAGCACATTACTTCTATATGGTCCTGGGTGCCCTGAAAATTGTTGGTGCTTTGGTTGCGATTTTCCTTTACTTCAACCTAAGCTCGCTTAACAAGCCACAGAGCTGGTTGGAGAATAGGAAAGTTCAGCTGACCGAGAATGAGCTTTCTTGTCTGCAGGTCACAGTGGACACTCAGGGAATTGACTTTGTTACTGCGCGGCGATTGCATCAGGGCTTCCATTACGTGTTGTAGGCGGGAAAACAGGGAGCTCTACCTGAATTGGAGGTGATGCAGAGGTGAGCTTGTGATATCTCAGATATGATTTGAATTAACAGGTTAATGAAATTGGCTCTGAAATTTTTTACAGTAAACAGAAAGTAGGGCAGAACGTGGCCCCATCAAATGCGGAGAAAATCGTGGCGACAACGTCACAGTAAGGAAATGGCCGGAATTAGAATGATCACCCGATTACCGGTAAGCGATTCATATTCACCTTATAAGAGTATAACCTACCACGGAAAACAGACCTGTTCTTATCCAACATTCAGCATTCCACACACACGCAGATCTAGATTTAGATCTCCGTCTCCACCTTACCTCCACAACTCACTCCACAATGCCACTTACACGACCCATTCTACGTATCACTACCACTTCAGCCTCTGTTCTATCTCGTTCCTTCTGTGCTACACCATTGACTATGGCTGCCGGCGATACTGGTGCCCCCAAGGCTCGGGGATTTTTGGCCGAGTATGTCTATGTCGGAGAATGTGTGACGTCATCACTAATTTGGGTGTAGGAAGGACCAGTTTGCGCGCCGTGAGGCTGCGCAGGAGGGGTTGTATATCAGGAAAGCAGAGCTTGAAAAGTGAGTTAGTCCTTATTCTTCATAGATTTGATACGTTGTGGCTGTTGTTGACGGGTCGTACCTAGGATTGAGCGTTTGAGGGCTAAGTTGAAGGAGCAGCGAAAACATATGGATGAACTTGACAAGCATCTGTAAGGGCATACATATATGTTCCTTGAACTTTGATCTTGTGCTAATTGATTCTAGTGAGGAGTTTGCTAAGAGTCAGGGAGGCGAACAGAACTAGTACAATGTACCTCTCGACGATCTGGTCAAAAACTATGAGATATTACCCAGATACGGAGTATCAGTTGCCAGGTTATCTACTTTTATTCTACTTGCCTACTATTTGAGCACACAACATCTAAAACACGAACTTCGTTTTATTTCTACGCCTTCCTTCCTATTTGCCCTTGAACGATCCTACTATGAATAAGCACTTGAACAAGCGGGATTATATCATCTGGATAGGATTTCCCTAGCCAGCTATTGGAATTCCCCTTCTGTATTAAGATGTTCCCGTTATCGTTGCTAGGGAATCTATAACAAGAGTCAGGTCGTTTACCCTGTATTCAGCCGTGTATCACTATGGCGCTCCTACATTGCATGGTTTATATTACAACAGACATTGACCCCTCCTCCATCTTCTCCATATCTCCTCACCAAGTCAAAAATGCCTATTCATCCCATCATTACACTTGCTTTACTTTACTAGTTACTATCATTATGGCTAATTCCAGTCAAATATCCGGTATTGTAGTCCACGACACTGGTATCGCATTACTCAACAATCCAGCCTAAGCAGATACAGAGCAAATCCTAATTAAGGCATACCACTACTTGAGCATACTAACTCAATATCAGTATCCTTTTCATCCATGGCATCCAAAACCCCTCAAACACCTTCTGGCCACTCGATTTGCTACCAACCGATTGCCCAAATGCACGTATCATGACACTCCGTGCCGTAACTCCATAGAGGTACTTCCAATCCTTCTAGAAAGAGGTGCGCGTGTTGACTTTGCGGACTGGGACACTAGCAAAACAGCATTCAATGAAGTTTGCTCATCGATTCTCTGGTACCCACTCATCTTTAGATCTCTCATCGAGACACTGAATGCCACTATGACTATAAATTCAAAATCTTTGGTAACTGGTGAGACGTCGCTGCATCTTGCTGCTGCGATTGCGGTTGAATCTTCAGCGACACTATTCAGGGAACGCTATAGAAGAGCACATGATCCCAACTATCCGCAATCAAACGCAAAATTGGGTATGCCAGTCCGTGAATTTTTTTTTTCAGCGTAGAGATTCCAGGCATTGCAAGTGACTCTATGATCTGATATAGTAAAACGGAAAATAATATATTTATAGCCCGGAGACCTTCGCCTCAGCCTTTTGATTATTCCGCTGGCGACGTAAGTCCCTCGAAACAAACGACCGAAGACCCTCCTGCATCCAAAAAGGCATAGCCCGCAAAAAGCTAGTAGAAGATACACTCTTAGGCAAAAAAACTTGTCCACTACTTTGAGTGATAATTTGTCTACAAATAGCCTCCGAAACAACCTGGGGGTCCATAATTGGCTGACGGGAGTGGGCCTCCCGATCAGTTATGCTCTGAATCATCGGAGTGCGGACCAAATTGGGGTGTATGATACTGGTGCGCACCTTTGGCGCGTCATACCAGTAGCGCAGTTCCTGATGTAAACCCTCGTGGAATGCGAGTGCACTGGCCTTTGTGCATGCGTAATCGACTATCGTACCAAGTGCTAAGAAGGAGGTGACACTGGCGACGGTTATGATATGACCGTGGTTGACCTTTATCATAGCCGGAAGAAATTCCTTGACTGTAAGGAAATGCGAGAGAGTGTTGACCTCAAACGTATGTCGGATATGTGCCTCTGGCTCTTCGAGTATTGTGCCGCCGTGGCCGACGCCAGCGTTGTTGATCAACACTGTTGGCTCGCCGTGCTCACTGCGAATGGATTCTGCGACCTCAGCAATGTTCTTAGAGGAAGTTACATCTGCGCGGTAAAATGCCACGTTTGAGGGTAGGGGGAAGTCAGGTTCATTTGTGTCGAGGATTATGACGCGCACTCCAGTATTCGCCAGGTCGTTCACAACTTGTTTCCCGATGCCACTGCAGCCACCCGTTATGAGGACCAACTCGCGGGAGGGGACCCATTTACCGATGCGGATCCAGTTATTATGCGCCCGTTCAGTCAAGTAGCGATTAAGGGAGCACACTACACTCAGAGTGACGAGAATGGCTAAAGATTTTTGGGTGTAGGGACTGCGCAAGAGCTGCTGAGCAGGGCCTGGTAGCTGCGAGAGGGCAGTCTGGAAATATTGGTGGATGAGATCGAGAAACATGACGGGAAACAAAGCGAGAGACTTGGTGCGAGGAGAACGAGTAGAGGCTCTTTCAGCGCACTGCGATTCTCTCTGAAATGCTCTTCCAACTGTTCAACTTGGGGAAATTTAGCAGCAAGTGCTCGTCTCCTGACTCTATAACGGTCGGACTCCAATATGATGGGATAGCTTTATTAGATTGTAATAAATGTGCGCACTTTGTGAGGTCCTTACAGCGGCGTAGCGGTGTAAAGAAGGCGTACTCACTTTCCCTAGCGAAACAAGGAGAAAATGGCTATCCCTACTTTCGGTTGATCACTTCCAACTTAACCCCTTTATAGAAGCTCTTACTTACTGCATGTAACAACTCAGAAACTCCATGCATGTAATATTGTTTAGTTCAAATGTTTAACTCGTGAGTTTTCTTCAACTCAGCCTAGAATGAATATTTCCTGTGCCTAAATATTTAACAATACTTATTGAGTCTGTTGCCTGCTGCTTTCAACCATTCGCCTTAGTAAAAAAACTATACATTTACTTTTATTCTATTTACACCACCATTGAAGCCATAACTAGGGTATCCAGGAGCGTAAGTTTTATCCTTCGCATACACTGCTGATACTCTCTACTTCCAGCATAGGCCAATGTATTCCCGAAGCCTTAAGCTCATATTCAAGAGCGTAGAAATCCGAATCATCATACCAATGCATAGGTGATCTTCCTGCCTGGATGTTTTGCATACGGAAGATCAGTGGAGTGTATCGGGCAAGACGAAGTCGGCTCAAGATGTAGAAGCGACTCAAGAGAATATCACGTCAATTCATCATCATATCTTCTTTTATTAGATTGCATCTTCTTTCAACCCAGACGGGAAGACCCAGGTCAGTTCTCTCTGCTTAGTTTTGAATGACATCCATATCTTTCACACCAGAAGACATTTTATTTTTGATTTTTATTTGTAATTGAATCGTAAATAATATCTTCTTGAAGCGCCCTTCTGATTCCTTTGAGAAATACAGCTTTCAGATGTATCAGCTCTTTGTCGATGCTAAATCATCACCGTTCCAGCTACGCTAGTCTTTGAACAAATGTAAATCCTTTTGGCCTTCGAAGGGTTCTGTGTCTTCTATTTCTAGATATTTGCATGCCACCTCCATCGATAGCTCAAACATGCCCATCGAGCCATAGTGAACATACCCAGAGCAGCGAGGAGAACACCACCTAAATACGCTACCATGGCTCTTGTACCGATCTTTTCAAGCATCTCACCACCAATAGGAACAGATATGAGGGTTCTGCAAGATATCTTTAGCTCTCAATCTCATGAAAACGAGGACTGATACATACGCAAAGCTGACAATAGAATAGCAGATGCCAAACCTCCCGCCCACTTCACTGGCCTGGGAAATCTGACCGATGCACGCCGGCGCTAGGCTTAAAAAGGAGCCCGACGCCAGTCCAAACACACAACTGAATACGTAGAGACCTGCTAGGATGTTGCCAAAGGGAAGCCAGATCGCAAATACAGCGATGGCACCCAGTAAAATCAGGACTGTTAACGTATTGATTCGCCCATACTTGTCTGCAACACGCCCGGCAATCAGTCGACCAAGTGTAGAACAACTAAGATTTTGTATTAGTCGCTGGAGAAAAGGAGTACAAAGGAATGATCATACGCGTTCCAGATGGAGAGAAGGATCACACTGGTGGTAGTGCTGAACCCTTGCGCGACAACGTAAGTAGGGTAGAGACCGAGGCCTGCAAACACCATAAGCTCCAAAGCTAGAAGAAAGAAGAAAGAGACGGTCAGCGTAGATCTTTGACTTCCTCTCTAATTGTCACTGCCACTTACTGAATGTTCCAAGAGTTAACCAGGTGAATCTGGTATCCTTAAAGGCCCGTATGTTAATAGTAGACTTACTTCTACCCTTCGGCAGACGAGATTTAACAAGTAGAGTTCCTACTCCACACAAAACCGCCAAAATCAAACCAAGAAGCCGAATAGTCCACTGATACCCAAAACGAGCGAACCCAGCCCTAAGCACTAGGGGAAAAGTGACACCTCCAAATCCAGCACCGGCCATTGCAGTGCCCATGGCCATGCCGACCCGACGATCAAACCAATGCGGCACAGCAGCCATAGCAGCCGTACTGAGCAGCGCGGCCCCCGTTCCAGTGAGAACACCCAGAGTAAGAAAAAAGTGCCAATACAGCCGACATTCGGCTAGAAGCAAGATACCAGAGACGTAACAGCCCGTGCCGGCGACCAGGATACCCGTCGGGCCGTATCTATCGAAGAGAGAGCCAATCTGAGCGCTCAGCACGAGACCGAAGAAGGTAAATGTACCCGGAATCCAGCCAACTGCACTGGTGGAATATCCCGATAGCTGATGCGTTAGGAAATAGCTCTGCAGGACACCAGTCGAGTTCATCATTCCGTAGCTGCTCATGAGCAGGAAGAAAGATCCCATGATCACTAGCCAGGATCTAGTGCCACCATCTGGGAAGGTGTCTGCGGGACCGGACTCGAGAATATGAGTTGTGACAATTGATAATGGAGCTGGTGGTTCAATTATTGAGAATGTCGAGTGTGGGGACTCGCGGAGAGGGGTAGCACTTCGACTTGGCTCTGTCAAATACATTGTTCTGCAGTGGGGGTAGATCTACTCATGTATATAGCGTGGTATTTACTGTGTGATCTGTGATGTCTGACGTGAAAACTTCATCTCCTTTAAAGATCTTCGATATCAGGATTGTAACCGATGAAAAATTCAACGGGAATCTGTAGTCATCCCGATATCCCACTGAGTCATTTTGGACCAATCTTGAGTCTTCAATTCTTTGTATTGTATTCAAGTTGATAATTGATAGTTCCATATGAACAAGTCTTGCAAATTTCCAAATCTCAATTTTAGGGGGAAAATAGAAGTGCCGAGAAATCCTTCCATAGTACTCAGCGGGTCGTAATTATGTAGCGATGGAGATCGATTGGCAATATTCAGAGAGTCGCAGACTCCATAAGGGGACAAATCACAAGACCTGTCCTACTACCTTAATGGAGCTCTCCGTAGCATGCCATGTCGGAAGTCGAAAATGCGGAGAGGCCCGAAACCAACATTTAGCCTAGATGGAAGGCAGGTCATGGGGCTTGAACTAAGTCATCGTAGTCGTTTAGAAAGTGCAATTAGCAGTTATATAATTGGACACGTTTATCTTCATTTTGAATAGTGACGCCGGGTAGTGTGTAGTGCGATCGGAGTGGCATGATGAAGTGGCGATATCCCGCAAATTGATTCTACCGGATTTCCCCATCTCATCCCTATTTGCTCCATCAACAATCTCTAAAGTGGTCTGACCCGGGATTACTTTACTACTCCTTGATTCAGTCCCTTTATATATAGGATTCCATACATAGGTAGCCTAATGTAGTTCATCATCATTCCAACTCCAAGCTACTTTACTGCATCCAAAAACTGTGATCGTTGATCATCCCCACTCCACTCTATACTCTGCTCTGCTCTACATCTACAACCATGCAAGCTAGCAGAATCCTCACCCGAAATCTCTCTCCAAGTCTAAATAGACGCAAAAATCGAAGTCTCCACGTCATCAACATCCCTGCACCTCCACCTCTCATCGAAAAGGGCAATCCATCCATAGACTCAGACCAACTGGCCTACCGACTCTGTGAACTTTCTCTTCAAAAAATACAAAAAGAGGCTCGAGCCTCAGAGCCTGATTTACGACATGTCTTGGCTTGTAGTTCAATGCAGCGCCTCACACATCAAGATCTTCGACATCGACTTGATTCCCTCCAAAGTACCATCCACGTCCAATCAATGCCCCTATTCCCAGGCTGTGACGAATATCCAGATGATGATGAGATGGATATGAGGTCTTTAGAAATAGCAGTTTCTGAACTGGAAACTGTTAGTAGGAGGGGGAATTTGCAAGGTATATCTGCTTTCAGCAAATACGGGACATGTAACGATTTATGAAAAACAACCTATCATGATTATACGAAAGCACTTGCCTAGGCAGTACACAGCATCAAAAATGGCGTTCAAGGACGGGGTTCACAATGGAATTTTCAATCTTCTCTTTTATATAATATTCGAACCTGCAATCTTTCAGCTCAGTGACGCTATCCAAATCTAATCTTGTATCCCTCAAGAGTCAAGTAACATTGAAAGTTAGCTACTTGAGAAAGTATGGGGTTAACCTCAATCAAATATGGTCTCTGGTAGTGGCTGTTTCATTCTGAGATCCCAACATTGACTTGTATCCTTGAAGGTAAGCAAGGCCAGCCGCTTTAGATCAGGGTTATAATCTTAGAAGGGGAAAATGGGTATTTATTTCACCTCCGAGACAACATAGTGCGGTGGTCAAGATGCCCGCACCAGTTTGTGGGCTCATTTTGAGAGACGTGCTGTCTCTGTAAACCCTCAAGGTTCTCATATAAGTCTCCTATCTCCTACTAAGACTAAGAGTTCATTGAAGATAAAAAAAGTCTCAAATAGGTCCTGAAGTTTGAACGGTAGAAAATTCAGACTGGATGTTGATCATGACTTCTCAAGCCCAGCCAACCATTTGCCTTGGCTACAAACAAAATATTATTCCTAAACTCATCCACACTGTCACCTCCACTGTTCTCTTCTGCCTCTAAACCCAATTTACGATCCATCACCATTTTCATCAACACGTTCCTAGAAAGACGGTCGACTCGAATTTCCACAAGCCCTAACTCACAAAGCCCATAATCAAAAACCATCCGCAGTGCTTCATAGGCATACCCTTTGCTTCGGAAATGGGCTTGTCGAATACTGAATTTGCCTTTTTTGAAGAATATCTAAAATTACTGAGATATACTCATTCCTTTGTAGGCAAAGTGACAGGCCTGTTGATATGGATTGAAACTTGAATTCTGATTCACCTAGATAACGACTGTTTGGTATAATAGGGGATAGAGGACATGAGGCAGAGTTCATGTTCTCTTGTTGTAGGAAGTCAGAAGTTGAGTCGTGTCGGTTCACAGGGATCTCGATGCACTATTACTACTACGTTGTACGTGTAATAAGTTATGCGGTAAGATGTGTGTTCATTCTAAGTTCCCGCGATGGAATCGGGTATGCCCCAATTCCACTAGTTTCATTCACTTCCCGAGTTCATTCACTTCAGCAAACCAGATTCCATTGGTTCCAACAAGTCGCGACATCATAAGCCACCATGAAGGCTGTTCTTATTATACTGAGGTATTGAAAGGGAGAAGAATATTGAATAGTGAGAGAGTTGATGTGAAGACAAAACTTACTCTGCTTTTACTTCATTTTCCAATAATTTCCAAGTTTATCGTATAATTTTGGAAAGCACGTCATTAAATCAGCTTGATTTTTTTTTCCCTCTGACGCTCTTCAATTAATACACCTACTTTCTTGAATTTTATTCAGTATTATACCAAGATCTAAGGGTTCTTCGAGTGACAATTAAACAAGATTGTCAAACGTGGGCCACTTATAACTAACCAGTTATTATAAGCTCCACGTTCTTAAGATGATAAGTCATATTGCTATGAAACAAACAAGGGCTCATAATTACTATGACATTCCCATAAAAGGATATTCCCATCCATCTTCCTTAGCTGTAGAAAGAAGAAGATCACGTGTAAATCATAATGGATAAAAACAACCGAAAATGATACCGCAGCAGGAAAGGATGCATGCCAAAACTGAGGGAAAGAACAAGTGCACCCAGATGAGGCAGATTGTCCCTGGCCTCTTTCTCGGAAATATGAAAGCATCACATCAGCGGGCAAAACTTCAAGAAAATAGTATCAACATAATAGTCTCTTTGACAAATGGTCCGTAGGTACTATGGACTACTATAATCAGAGAGGCAGGCATTCCAAAGCATCATCATAAGAAGGTTCAGTGTGCAGACTCGTCAATGCAAGACTTCATTACTCATATGAACGATTTTCGCGACTTTACTGACCAAATGGCATCTCCTGCCATAAACTTATGATCTTCTTTACCCGTTGAAGTTTACAATGGTATGAATGATGAAGAGACTATCAATTCACTGTGACCTTTTCATATCACGCTCGCCAACAATCATTATTACCTGTTACCTTCGAGTATCACCAGAACTCATGATGTTTTCGATGATTTTCAGGGAACGTGGAGGCTCTGAAGTGCTGGAAAAGATCACACCGAACCTTGAGCGGTATGGATAGGCGGTCTGTTAGAGACTGTCTAGCATGAGGACTAGAAATCGAGACTCGAACAGCAAATGCCTAAATCGGATCCACCGACCAAAGTTACCTATTAAGGTTTGATATATGCATGACATCGGTGTACTCCGTACCGAGTATCAAGAAACAATCGATGTTCTGATGGACGGAGATAAACTGAAATCCATATTGTATCCATGGATCTGCTCAATCTTCGTCGAGAGAATGCAGAACCTATCGTCAAGCGGCTCGATTAGACGTAGCTCCCATCTCCTATAGATCAATCTTAACTCTTCTCTAGGAAACATCCATGCCCACGGATATCAACCTTGCTTTTAATCGACCGCAACAGACTTTTAGGTTTTGAACTTGTTGAATGTTTGATGTCGTCTTAATCATGTACAAAGCAATAGCTTCAAAGCAAGGGATATCTTTTATCCTACCGAACCTTAATGTTTCCTCGTCAACTTGTTGCCAAGATTCAAAATTAGTAAATTGCAATAGGGGGTGGCATCGGGGAGATTGATGGCCCGACGCCACATGGAATACACTGATGCAGTGCTCCGAACCAATCACAATGAAATGTATCGTCCCCGCTTCCGAACGTTCTCCCGCTGAGTCATTGATTCCATCCAATTATTTGACCTGGATTTTTAGGCTGAGCCGCTGAGTAATCGGCTCTTTTCCTAAATCCGATGTTCTTTGCTGATTTGCTCGGTTCAATAGCGACTGCGAAAGCCGAAACCCACTTTATGCTTCTATCAGATAATCTTTCCCCCGGAATTTAACGCATTTTGTTTAGTTATTTAGGCGGCATTTGACCAAATACTACCAATTTATAGTTTTGATTATGAATACATCACTCCGGTCAACTAGGTAAATACTAAGATATAGTGGTGACTATTGACACCGGATCCATAAAAACTTTTAACTCACTTAAAGCCCGTCGGCCTTTTCGAATATAACCACCGAGCTCCTGTGGGGGAAGTTTTACATCTTTTTACATAAGACGAGGGCCTCGCTGTTTCTGACAGCGAACGTCCGAATTACCTACTAATCTCTTTTACTTTTCATTCCCGCTTTAATTTGATTTCTCTAATTCTTACATCGTCACACTCCTATTACCCCCTTTCTCTCCTCTCTGCAGGACTTGTTCCTGTATGAGCCTTTCCACCATGGACGATTCTATTCAACCCAATAAGGGGAATCAAGATGACACAATTGACGGCGCAAGTGTCCAAAGCTCCGCAACAATTGTCAATGATAACCCCACTAGCAAGAAAGCACCAAACAACAACAATGAGTGGGGGTTGCTGTCTCGCGTCCAGGAGCAACATCAACGAGATCTTACTTCCGGTTTTAAGCCCCAAGAGCTTGGTGTCACCTGGAAGGATCTGAACGTGAATGTTATCAGCGCCGATGACGCAGTTGTCGAGAATGTGTTCTCGCAGTTCAATATTCCCACGCATATCAAGGAGTCGCGTAATAAGCCTCCACTACGCACAATTCTGAAAAACAGTCATGGCTGTGTTAAGCCTGGCGAAATGCTTCTTGTCTTGGGTCGTCCGGGCTCGGGCTGCACCACATTGTTGAAGATGCTTGCCAACCGCCGAGGTGGCTTCAAGTCTATCGACGGTGATGTTAGATTCGGTTCTTTGACTTCCGATGAGGCCCACGACTACCGCGGTCAGATCGTTATGAATACTGAGGAGGAGCTGTTCTTCCCTAGTCTGACTGTCGGCCAGACCATGGATTTTGCCTGCAGGCTTAAGGTCCCCTTCAAGCTGCCGAACGGCGTGGAGTCTTCCGAAGCCTATACCCAAGAATCGAAGGAATTCCTCATGGAGTCTATGGGCATCTCGCATACCGTCGATACCAAGGTTGGTAACGAGTTCGTTCGCGGAGTCTCGGGTGGTGAGCGTAAACGTGTCTCTATCATCGAGTGCATGGCCACTCGTGGATCCGTGTTTTGTTGGGACAACAGTACCCGTGGTTTAGATGCTAGCACCGCTCTGGAGTGGACAAAGGCCATCCGTGCTATGACTGATACCCTGGGTCTTTCAACAATCGTAACCCTCTATCAAGCAGGAAACGGAATTTACGAGCAGTTCGACAAAGTTTTGGTCCTCGATGAGGGCGAGCAGGTTTACTACGGTCCCCGTGCTGACGCACGCCCCTTTATGGAAGAAGCTGGCTTCGTCTGCCGCGAGGGCTCTAACGTTGCTGACTTCTTGACCGGTGTGACTGTCCCGACAGAGCGCCGTATTCGTGAAGGCTTCGAGAACCAATTCCCTAGAAATAAGGAGACTCTCCGCGAAGCCTACAAAAAATCCACCATCTTTGCCGAAATGACCACCGAATACGATTACCCCGACTCTGATATTGCTCGTGAACGGACAAAGGATTTCAAGGAAGGTGTCTCTTTTGAAACATCGAAGCAACTCGCCAAGAATAGTCCTTTTACTGTCGGCTTCATCGATCAAGTTAAGGCTTGTGTTTCGCGCCAGTATCAGATTCTTTGGGGAGACAAGGCGACTTTCATCATCAAACAAGTTGCAACTCTACTTCAAGCTCTGATCGCCGGTTCTCTCTTCTATAATGCTCCCGACAACTCCAGTGGACTCTTCGTCAAATCTGGTGCTCTTTTCTTCTCTCTTCTGTATAACAGTTTGCTTGCTATGTCTGAGGTCACCGACTCCTTCAGCGGTCGTCCTGTTCTTGTCAAGCACAAAGAATTCGCTTATTTCCACCCTGCAGCTTTCTGCATCGCCCAGATCACTGCTGATATCCCAGTTCTCTTGTTCCAAATCAGCATGTTCTCCCTCGTGGTTTACTTTATGGTCGGTCTGACCATGAGCGCTGGTACATTCTTTACCTACTGGGTTATGGTTTTCTGTACTACCATGGTAAGTTTAACCCTTGATCAATTTCTTATATACATATATACTAACTATCTTAACAGTGTATGACTGCCCTGTTCCGAGCTATTGGTGCCGCATTCACCACTTTCGATGGTGCTTCCAAAGTTTCCGGTTTCCTCATCTCTGCTCTCATCATGTACAATGGTTACATGATTAGCAAGCCTGAGATGCACCCCTGGTTCGGTTGGATCTTCTGGCTCGATCCCTTGGCCTATGGTTTCGAGGCCCTGCTTTCCAATGAGTTCCATGGCACGCAAATCCCCTGCGTCAACAGCAATCTTGTTCCAAACGGCGTAGGCTATAACGACTCAGCTCACCAGGCTTGCACTGGTGTTGGCGGAGCGGAGCCGGGTGCCACCTTCGTGACTGGAGATCAATACCTTAGTTCACTTTCCTATAGCCACTCCCATCTCTGGCGCAACTTCGGCATAAACTGGGCCTGGTGGGTTCTGTTTGTCGCCATTACAATCTATTCTACAACTAAATGGAAGTCTCCTTCCGAGAGCGGCAGCTGTCTCGTCATTCCCCGTGAGCGACTTGCCCAGCATCAGAAGAACTCTCACAACAAGTACGATGAGGAGGCTGCCATCTCTGAGAAAGCTAGCAAGCCTTCCGAGGGCGATGCTCATGATGAGTCAAACAACATCGATGGTCAGCTGGTCAGGAACACCTCTGTCTTTACCTGGAAGAATCTATGCTACACTGTGAAGACCCCAACTGGCGACCGTCTCCTTCTTGATAACGTTTTTGGATGGGTCAAGCCTGGTATGTTGGGTGCTCTGATGGGCTCATCTGGTGCGGGTAAAACCACTCTCCTTGATGTCTTGGCCCAACGCAAGACTGACGGCACTATTAATGGCTCTATCTTGGTTGATGGCCGAGAGTTACCTGTTTCATTCCAGCGTTCTGCCGGTTACTGTGAACAACTTGACGTCCTCGAACCTTTTGCCACTGTCCGCGAGTCCCTTGAATTTTCCGCCTTGCTTCGACAGGATCGAAATATTCCGGACGAAGAGAAGCTTCAATATGTAGACACGATTATTGACCTGCTCGAATTGCACGACCTCGCCGATACTCTAGTTGGACGTATCGGTGCTGGTCTAAGCGTTGAGCAGCGTAAGCGTGTCACTATTGGTGTTGAGCTAGTCTCCAAACCAAGTATCTTGATCTTCCTTGACGAACCTACCTCTGGTCTTGATGGACAGTCCGCATACAACACAGTTCGCTTCCTCCGTAAGTTGGCTGATGTTGGTCAGGCTGTCCTGGTTACCATTCACCAGCCTTCGGCCCAATTGTTCGCAGAGTTCGACACCCTGCTTTTGCTTGCAAAGGGTGGTAAGACTGTGTACTTTGGAGACATCGGAGACAACGGATCGGTTGTTAAGGAATATTTCAGCCGTTACGGTGCCCCATGTCCCACCGAAGCCAACCCTGCCGAACATATGATCGACGTCGTCTCTGGTACTCTCAGCCAGGGAAGAGATTGGAACAAGGTCTGGCTGGAATCGCCAGACTACACAAAAGCTGTCCAGGAACTTGACCAAATTATCGAAACTGCTGCATCTAAACCACCTGGTACCACTGATGACGGCGAAGAGTTTGCTACTACGCTTTGGACCCAGATAAAAATGTGCACAGCGCGCATGAGCACAGCCTTGTACCGCAACTGCGACTACGTTAATAATAAAATGGCCCTCCACATTGGATCTGCTCTCTTCAACGGATTCTCCTTCTGGATGATCAAAGACAGCGTTTCTAGCCTGCAACTCCGTCTCTTCACCATTTTCAACTTCATTTTCGTCGCACCCGGTGTCATTGCCCAGCTTCAGCCTCTCTTCATTGAGCGGAGATCAATTTACGAGCAGCGCGAGAAGAAATCCAAGATGTATTCCTGGATTGCTTTCGTCACAGCACTTGTCGTATCTGAGATCCCATACCTGATTATCTGTGGTGTCTTGTACTTCGTTTGCTGGTAAGTTTATCCGACCCATCCACTACTTTCATCTGCTAATCCACTTATAGGTACTACACTGTCGGATTCTCCCACGCCTCAGACAGAGCCGGCGGTACCTTCCTGGTCATGTTCTTCTACGAATTCGTCTACACAGGTATTGGTCAGTTCATCGCCGCCTACGCCCCCAACGCCACATTCGCTAGCCTAGTGAACCCCCTCGTCATCGGAACCCTCGTCTCCTTCTGCGGTGTCCTGGTTCCATATGCCCAGATCCAAGAGTTCTGGCGCTACTGGATCTACTGGATGAACCCTTTCAACTACCTGATGGGTGGCATGCTAGTCTTCAGTCTATGGGACGAGCCCGTAAACTGCAAGGAAAGCGAATTTGCCATATTTGATCCTCTAAACGGCTCCACCTGCGCCGAATACCTGAAGAACTTCTTGGAAACAACTGGCAGCTCCATGAACCTGGTCAACCCCGATGCCACCGAGAGCTGCCGTGTCTGCGAGTACAAGAGCGGAAGTGACTACCTGTACTCGATCAACCTGAAGGAGTATTACTACGGATGGCGGGACATGGCCCTCACCGCCCTCTTCGCTGTTAGCTCGTACTGTCTTGTTTTCTTGCTGATGAAATTGCGCACGAAGGCTTCTAAAAAGGCTGAGTGAAGAGTGTGAATGGCACGTTGCTTAATGAAAAGAACATAGACTACATTTGTTTCTCTTTCTTGTTTTTTTTTACAATCTAGCGTACGGATGAGTTTTTGCTATGTGATTTTCATAGCTATCAATCACTGATACACGACAATCCATACATAATGTATATTTTTTTTTTCGAACTGTCTATGACTAAGCCCATCTAGATATGACTGTAGTAAGCAAACGGATGATTCCACACAAACCCTGTGCAAATCACACCCGAAAACACGGAAATCCACGATGAACTAGCCAACGTACTTGTCAAAAGTCCCACAAAATATTAGCTTTTCGTTTTAACGAAAGTAAGAACTAGTCTACGTGGATTTTCCCGTGGCAGAATCCTTCGAGTAGAGCAAAAGTACGAACTAAGGCTTTGATTACGCCAGCTACCCCACTTGCTAAGTGTCTGACTTTTGTTTTTGTTTCGATACGGATTCGAGGATCCATACAGTGGCTTTTCTGGATCCTCCGATGAGGCAAAATGTACAATCACTCGCGTGATGGCACCGCTTGAGTCTTGGAGTTTTGAAAGAGCCTTGGAAGTAGGTATCTAGGAAGTCCACATTGGCCAGGTGTGGTCATGGCTCGCGACCGTATATCTTTGGTAGAGCCATATAGTAGAGAAGTACCTAGGTAGTAACCTCTAGGGTTCTGTGGCGGGGTTTTATACCCATTATCTAGCTCTGAAGGTCTACGGGTATATAGTTGTCAACATAATCTGTCCTCCCGGGGTCTCAAGTACTGGTACTTACCTACTAACATATTTCCATGCTGTAAGTTCGTCTTATGGAAAATAGTGGATTGAAAATCCATTGAACGAAGAAATATCATCTTCCAATTTCAACCATAAATATACCAGTCCACGGGTATACAGTATCGCAGATGATCGGAAACCCGCTGGTGTGGGATTCCTCACCGTAGCATGGTTTGGATTAAGTATGACCGACTCTCAGGGATGAATTCACATGTTTCTGGTCACAGTCAAGAGAATATCATGTGCGATACCTAGGTAGATTGATGACGCTTGTCGCATCGTATCTAACACGATCGACATGAAGAGATCAGCGGTGAGAATTGCCACATCTGCAACAGCCTCAGATCGTATCTTCAACTCGGAAGGAAAGTGGCCCGAACTACATCTTGCCGATCGTTAGGGACTGGCGGCTTCGACTGTGACTGGCATATCGGCAAAGTTAGACATGAAACGCCGAAGATACCGGTGAGCAACGATGCATCTGAAAACTTTACACTGCATGCATGGTGGCGGCTTATCATTTTTGCGACCTTGCAGGGACAAAGGACATCTCAGTGTATTTTCGGCATCATGTTCTCGTTGGAAGTGAATCTTGCCGATGAGAGGCTTTAGTAGAGCTTGGTGCGAGGTGATGCAGTTCCTGCGATAATTCATTGCTATAATGCACTCAGAAAAAGCAATAATACTGTCAATTTTTATTAGATCCATCATCCAAACTCCTTGGTTCTTGGACACATTCTACCCTATCCACAAGTGGATACGTAGGGTTTACGAATCGCAGGAAATATCATTGCCACGTTCTTGCGGTCAATCGGGACTATCATGATCTCCATGCACTTTCCAATGCACGACCACACTTAAAATCACAGATCTAGTAGCCAATGGGTCATCGAACAAAGAATCCATTCAGCCTGTTCGTTCAAAGAGGTATATCGATTCAAGCGCTCCAACCCAGGGTCAATTACCGGCTGCAGTTCAGTCCAGGTTCCAGGGTCCATGAGACCCACAGGGGATTGACAAAATTAGAGCATGTGAACAAAGGTGCGTTAAATTTGACATGAATCAAAGTTGAAACTCGGCGGCTAAACTTCCTGGAACCAACGCACCGTCGGAGTATTGATAGCAATTGTCTCATCTAGTACCTCGCAGGCATCTAGAATGTTTGTCCGACTCATGCTGTTATCAACCCTAGAAGGGAAAGGGCGAAACTGTAATAGTTAGTACCTAGGTAGCAGCAATGTTAGGCTCTAAAATGGGTCCATTTTACGCTCCACAATGTGAAACGTAGTAATATTTTGTTCAAGGCCATCACTGGGTAACCTATAGGCAGTCATACATGAGCATTATTGGCTTTGAATGTAAGATATACTCATGAGTTAGAGCAGGCATCGTCACAATCTTGCAGTGTGCTAATAATCACTCGTTCATGTTCATTGATAGAACACCCAATGGGAAACTGCGGAAATAACAACGGCTTGCTCGATATAGTTATGTCATGGCTGCGTGTCTTTCGGAGTAGTGCGTATGTCATAAATAATTGAACAGGCTCAATGGCTATTGACTAATCATAGAATAGGATGCGCCATTTGTGGCAAGGGCTTTCTCACCACCACACGTTCCTGAATCCCCGGAGTTAGTAATTGCCCGAGGTTTGCCAAGTGGAAAAAGCAACCCTATATGTATTCGGTGGCCGACTGGCGCATGGTTCGAATGTAGATCTGATATGCACGACCAACGGATAAAGATGTAGATAAGTAAGATAAGAATGATGAAGATAAAGACTGCGATTGCCAAGAAATGCAGAGATGACGTAGAAGGAGAGAAAATGATCGGGATCGGTTACGTAGCAATTTCGCGCATCTTCCCCCTTCCCCCTCTTGATCAACAAGATCAACAAATCCAATTCATCATGGCTTGGTCCTTTGTACTACCACAGTCAGTGTTTACATCGCCGCTTCTCGCGGTAGCCACGCCAGTCGCTGGCGGCATGATAGTAGCGCTGTTGACGAACCGTGAGTTGTCATGCAGAGTACAATTTTATAATCTTAAAATACTGAGCTTTGAACCTATAGGGAGCAAGAATCAGCAAACCTACCGCACTCTCCGTCAGCCTCCGTTCAGCCCACCGGGCTGGTTGTTTGCCCCCGCGTGGACACTCTTGTACAGTATGATGGGATATGCCGCGCATCACGCAACCTTGACCGCCTCCCAGTCATTATCACTGGCAGTTCATGAGGCCAATGGCACCGCCCAGACCCTCTATACGACCCAGTTGGCATTGAATTTCCTCTGGATGCCGCTATTCTTTGGAGTGGGGCGGCCGGTCGCAGCCCTGGGAGACTTGGGTCTGCTCCTTGGAAACGTGACGCTTTTGTTGGCCAATTGGTGGTCGGCGGACCGCACGGCCTTCTGGATGATGACCCCGTACTACGTCTGGCTGGGATACGCGACATATCTGAATATTGGCTGTGGAGTGTTGAATGGGTGGACCCTACCGGAGAAAAAGCAGGAGTAGTAGCAGAGAGGGAAAGAGAAGAAGCAAGCACAGATAGATGTGATATGGATTTGATGCAGGGAAAGAGGGTCCTCAGAAGGAATCTGCATTCGAGAAGATATACAGCAGTAAGAATGAAAAAAGATCAGGTGGTGTGTAGAACATAAGAAAAGATCCACTGTCCGTGCAGAGGATGCCACCAAGGATGTTCTATATACAAACTACAAATGTATCAATCGTGTTTCGTTTTGGTCTGTAACAAGTCATGTTTATTTAGGCCTATCTCCCCTGTTGGTGCCTGATAGTGGAGTCAAAGTTATGTATCAAGAGTAAACCCAGCGACTACACAGTAGATGTCTTTTGTAGCTATCAGCCGTTGATCAGAGTGGATATATCTCCACAAGAGCTTTAGGAGGTGGCTATACTATTAACTCACAGGCCAAGGGGAAGAGAATCCGTATTCCGGACATTCGGGATCTTCCACCAATTCGGGCGTTTTTTTTTTCGGCTCGAGTAGAAAAGTCTGCCCTACAGATAAAACATCCATGTATATTTTTTATTTTAATTATCTCAGGTTATAGCTGTTTCAATTCCAAATCTAGATCTTGGTTCCTGATTTTAGAATTTTCAGGAACCTGGAAGCAAGATGGGACAATGGTTCGAACCCGCTGTGCTGCCGCAAACCTGATCGCCACCGACTCCACTGACAGTGACTTAAAAAGTGGTACGTGTTCAAATCTAGAATTCTTGGATTAGCTCAATTATCCTGTAACATGGCGAATCGCCGGGTGGATAAAAGCATGATGAAAAACGAGAAGTGAATGGCCTAAAGAGGGAATCAGTTAGGGTTTGGTCGAAGAAAAGGGCAAAAAAAGAGAAAAATAAATAATTAAAAAAAGGGCTAAAAAAGTGGACAAATAGTAATACGCTATCTTCAGCACGATGATTTCATGTGAAAAAGATAGATCTAGAACTCCTTTAGAAAAGAGAAAAAGGGAAAAAAGAAGGAAAAATTAAGAGAAAAAAAGACTATCGTACTCAATCCGTGGTTCGATTTCTACTCCTCGAAACTCCCCAAACACTGAATCTCTAATCTTCAATTATTTAGTGATCTTGCTCTTGTTCTTATTCTTACTCGTGCTTTTACTCTTATCTCATTCTTTTGCTTTTATCTCGTTCTTTTGTCCCCTAGCTTTCGCTCCTTCCGTTTTACTTCATCCCCCATATATCTATATAGTTCCTGGCCCTTCACTCCCCTTACTTCCGACATATTTCCGACATTCCACGGGGGATCCAAGGGGAGGACTTGGATATGTCCGAATTCTTCAGTCCTCGCCCTACTCCTGATGAAGATTATGCCGAATATCCCTTTCCTGCTATAACCTCAAGCCGGCAAAGTTTGGAAGAGGACGCCACTGCGGCCTACCAATACGAGCTGCACGAGGCCGTCCCTGCGCCCGAGCCCGAGCCCGAGCCGCCTGTCACGCCTGAGGAGCCACCAGTTGTTGAGCCTCCAGTTGCTGAGCCTCCAACAATCCGCTCTCCAAGAGTCCGTTTTCGCTCTCTCAGTCGTTCTCATAATCTCCATCCAGAAGACTCCCATAAAATATTTTCAGATAAAGTCGTCGCTGCTCAGAAGCGAGCTTTATTACCTACCGAGAAAGATGTTGCCCTAACTGATTCCATCACGCCACCTGCGCCCGCGCTTTCTCGTCGCGGCCCTCTTGTCACAGAACAGGCTGGAGCCGAGACTGCTGATGAATTAGATTCCGAAAAACATGTGACTTTGGAGGAAGTTCATTCGGCGCGCGAGAAATTTCGTCATGCTGGTGAGCTTCTGCGGGCCAAAACTGTTCGTCTAGGTGAGAAACTCGGTCGCCCCATTGACGATGGTGAGCCACTGAATGCCTCCATCTTCCCGGATGACTTTAACGGTGGTATCCCTGTGGAGCATCTCCAAGCGCAACGTGCGCGTCGGGATGCTGACCTCACGCGCTCCTTGGAGACCGGCGGGGAGTTCCATGAGCCTCCACCGAGCGCTGAAGCTCATCGTCTCGTGCGCAACATGACTATGGCGCAGGAGCATGCGCGCAAGCGTAAGCCTCGACGCCCATATCAGCGCTCTGGCCAGACCACTCCGGAGAGCACGCTGCGAGATCTTGCGTTCACCTCGCGTCGGCGTTCGAGTGGCCTGGCTGGCGGTAGCGGCATTCTGTCTCAGCTATTGAAGCTTCATGCCAACCAGATGGGTGGCTCTCGTCCTGAGAGTGTCATCACCGATGACTCTGATAGCGATAATACACAAGTCTCATCGGGCTTCACAACCCCTAAGAAAGGCTCGTCGCTTTCGCCGACATTACCCCCTACGTCCATGCCCCCATCTGGCTCTGCCACCCCGCGTAAGGAGAAGCTCAAGTGGTACAAGAAGCCGGCTCACCGTTCGACGTCCTCCCTCATCAATGCGTCGATGAATCTCAGCAGCGCGACCCTGCCGGCTGCTGCTGAGCTCACACCGGGGAGACGCCCGCGGAAGAGTCGCCGCAAGACACGTCTGGAAGACGAGATCCGAGTCACCGTGCATATTGCAGAGATTATCTCTCGACAGCGCTACATTATGCAGCTCTGTCGAGCACTCATGCGGTACGGTGCCCCTACTCACCGTTTGGAAGAATACATGACCATGACGGCGCGCGTCCTAGAAGTTCAGGGGCAGTTCCTATACCTTCCAGGGTGTATGTTGATGTCCTTTGATGATCCGACAACGCGTACCGCCGAGGTCAAGCTTGTGCGTATAGTGCAAGGTGTCGACCTCGGCCGGCTTGCCGACACCCACAATGTCTATAAGAACGTTGTCCACGATTTGATTGGAGTGGAGGAAGCAACTCAGGAACTGGATGAGATCATGCAGCGCAAGCCCCGGTTCAACAAGTGGATCGTGGTGTTGATGTATGGCCTGGCCAGTACCGCCGTGGGACCCTTTGCCTTTGAAGCGCGACCGATCGATATGCCGATTATCTTCCTTCTCGGCTGTTTGGTAGGCCTAATGCAGCACGTCCTGGCGCCCCGCTCAGTCCTCTACTCCAACGTCTTTGAAGTGACCGCCGCTATTATAACCTCATTCTTGGCTCGCGCCCTGGGCAGCATTGAGATCACTCGCCACGGCGAGAAAGAACGTCTTTTCTGCTTCTCTGCTCTGGCTCAGGCCCCCATCGCACTAATTCTCCCTGGTTTCATGGTTCTATGTAGCAGTCTCGAGCTGCAATCCCACCAGATGATCGCCGGGTCCATACGAATGGTTTACGCTATCATCTACTCCCTCTTCCTCGGCTATGGTATCACCGTAGGTACCACCATCTATGGTCTTATGGACTCCAATGCTACCTCCCAGTCAACATGCTCCGGTCTTTCTGTCTACGGCTCCGTTTACCTCCGTGAATTCCCCTTCGTCGCCATATACGCTGTGTTCCTCGCCGTTGTCAACCAGGGCAAGTGGAAGCAGATGCCTGTGATGGTTTTCATCGCGGTGTCTGGTTATATCAGCAACTATTGGAGCGGAACGAAGCTCGGCTCCAGCTCTGAAGTCGCCAACACGGTCGGTGCATTCACAATCGGCATATTAGGCAATTTATACAGTCGTGTCTGGCACGGTCACGCCGCTACCGCCATTCTTCCGGGCATCTTTGTGCTCGTTCCCTCCGGTCTTGCTTCCAGTGGCTCCCTAATCTCTGGTTTAGACTACGCCAATTCTGTCAGGGAAAATCTGGCGAAAAATGGCACCAGCTCCTCCACTAGCAGTCTCACTGATACATCCGTTGCCAGTCTTGGTTTCGGAATGATTCAAGTGGCTATCGGCATTACGGTCGGCCTCTTCATCGCCGCCCTCGTCGTCTACCCTCTCGGCAAGAAGCGCACTGGATTGTTCAGCTTCTAGTGCCTTTTAAACCCCTTTCTTCTCTTCTTATGAACATATTTACCATCTATTCCCCTTTCATCATTACCCTTTCATCATTACCCTTTCATCATTACCCTTTCATCATTACCCTTTCTTGTTACATTTACCATTTATCTTATTTTTCGGGTTTATCATAGCGTGTCAGCGCATTTGAATATTGTTTTTTAGCGTCTGATTTGGAGGGATTTTGGGGGAATTCATATTTTCAAAAGGTCTTTCTGCTTTTTATATATTCACACGACTTGGAAATGTCTATATTATCACTTTATTATCAGGGGTTCAATGATGCTGTTTCACATTGATTATACTGTTACAAATCATGCCTAAAAATGTTCTCGTCTATAGATCTCGGCATCCGGAAGTAAGCAGTGCCGAAACATGACGTAAACCCTGATCTCATTTAAAATATACAAACCTTACTTGCCTCGAAACCCCCTCGCGTAGACATCCATTATCACCTCCAGGGACCAGGGCCAGGTACCTAGTATAGACGTAATGACTCGACAATCATTGAAGCCATATCTAGCCGAATTCCTCGGTGTAGCCCTCTTGATCGTCATAGGAGATGGCGTCGTCGCTCAATGCCTACTATCCGACTACACATACGGTACCTGGCTATCCATAAATTTCGCATGGGCCGCAGCAGTCTGTCTAGCAAACTACTTGTCAGACCCAAGCCCAAGCATCAACCCAGCCGTAGCGATCACCCACGCCCTCCTCCGCCCCAGAACCGGCCAATGGAAGAAACTACCCTACACGCTCGCCGCGCAGTTCTTCGGCGGATTTGTCGGCGCTGCAGTCGTTTATATCAACTACCGCTCTGCTATTAAAGCCTGGGATCCAGATTATACGATTCCTGGTGGCTCGATCCTTAGTCCGAAAGGCCACCATTCTGCCGGTATCTTCGCTACGTACCCGTCTGCGTTGTTCGAGTCGAATTGGGAGGCTGTTTTCTCTGAAACTCTTGGGAGCGCTGTGCTTATGTTTGGGTGTTTGAGTATTTTTGATCCCGGTAATGCGCATCGCTTCCCAGCGCCGCAGCTTTCGCTGTTTTTGTTATTACTTGGCATTGGGGCTGCGTTGGGATGGCAGACTGGTTATGTATGTGAATTTCCTTCTGCTCAACATTTTCCAGGCTGGATGAAACATTTATTAATTCTGTGGATTTTAGGCTATTAATCCCGCTAGAGATTTTGGTCCTAGACTCTTCTCTGCTATCATTTATGGCCGCGAAGTCTTCACGTCCGCTGACTACTACTTCCTCGTTCCACTTTTCGCTCCTATCTTTGGCTGTCTAGTTGGCGCGGCTACTTACGATCTTATGCTCTTTGATGGAGATGGATCGCGTATTGCTGATGCGCTGGATAGAATGGAGTCTCGTGGATCTTTGAGATTGCAGGATGATTGAGGTCTTTCTAAGTGCTACGATTCCATTATACATTTTATGATATACTCGCTATAATAGAATTAGAAGAGGTTCATGTCTTTGTTGGACAGGGACATGGTTGAACGCCTGAGCTTTCGGGTTGTGTTGAGGATTATCTAGGGTTATTTACGTTGGCATTTTGATATACTGTTCATACTGGAATGAGTTACGCTAATCAGCGTTGGCGCAGTTATCTCTAGGCTTTGAATCTATTTTTTTCTTCGGGTGTTCTTGTATGCCATGGCTTTCATGTAAAAATTCTCGCTCTGTACTTAACTGTCAAATAAATGGCAGGAATGACACCTTTCTGCTAAGAGTTGACGTGCCAATTTCATAAAAATCAATTTACCCAAGCTTGCCAATGAGTCTTTGCCAGGTACCCTTGGACGTTGAAAGTTTTACTAAATTTACCATCCAGGAATTCAGAGGTTGAGAATGTATTAATTGATGTAGTTATATGTGCTGATTTAACGCAATTGCTTCAAGTCTTGCATAAAATGAACGATTTATTAATGGGTATGAATCCACATCCATCGGAGAAATCTCCGCTTTCGTGATCTAACCACACCATGAAGCGGGGTTTAGAAAGGAAAGAAATGATTAGCACCTCTAAGTCTTAACTATTTTATCTAACGGTCCTATTCGACTTTGAGAGTCCGGCATTCCTTTTTTGGTGCAATTATCCTGAGTGCCCTACGTAGTATAGCCATTCGCCAATTCAAGCAACATGAAACCATCTTTGCCCGCTCCATCATCAACCTTGTCTATCTGGCATCGTACAACTCGCTCATTTCCACATCTTCATGCAAACCGCCTAACCACCGTCCCAACCTCTGCTAAATACGTCATCATAGGCTCTGGTATCTCCGGCGCCCTAACAGCCTGGAAACTCATTGAAAGCGGAGTCAAAGGTGAGGATATCTTGATACTGGAATCGAGAGAGGCTGTATCAGGCGCAAGTGGGAGAAACGCAGGCCATATCCGACCTAGTAAGGAAGACTATCCCTTCATTTTGCCCTTTTGTCTAAAATGTAATTCCAGATGCATTTGGCTCGTTTCCAGGCTATGCAGCAACCCATGGACCCGAACAAGCCGTCAAAGTTCTTGAAAATGAGAAATCTGTTCTCGAGAATATCCGCAAATTCGTGGAAGAGCATGATGTTGACTGTGACTTCCGATACACAAACACCTTCGACGTAGCCACTTCCGAAGAGCAAAAGAAGAGCTTGGCTGACGCTTTTGTATCATTTAAAGCTGCTGGTGGTGATACATCACATATCACAGTCTACGAAGGTGATGAAGCAAAGATTAAGACGAGAGCCTATAATGCCCTCGTTGCCTACGAGTCACCCGCTGCATCGAACCATCCTGGTAAACTCGTCCAATGGATCCTGAACGACTTTATCAGCAAGGGTGGAAAACTATGGACTCACTGTGCCGCGACAAAGGTTGTCTCGTCTGGCTCTAGCTCAAGCTGGGACGTTTACACAGTCCGGGGTACCGTTACAGCAGCGACGGTAGTCCACTGCACGAATGCCTATGCAGCATATTTACTACCAGACCTAAGCCAATTCATAACTCCGCGTCGATCACAAGTGCACGCATTTATCCCACGCCTATCCCTCTCAGGCGAATACGCAATGAAACACACAATGGCACTTCGGTACGGCAATGAAAACTTCTTCTCAGTGAACCCTCTCAACAACGGCACTATTCTCCTCGGTGGATCAGGAACAAGGACAAGCTCCGATGGCCATTCAGCACAAGAGCTGATTTCCTTCGATGACTCGTTATTCAGCGAGCGAATTGCCAAAAGCAGTACAAGAGAGTTCACAGGACTATGTGAGGAGTCGGCACAGACTCCACTGCGACATGGTGAAGGACTTGATCATGCTTGGACTGGGATTATTGGTACGACAAAGGATAAACTACCTCTTGTTGGACCTGTTGAAGGGAGAAAGGGTCAGTGGATATGCGCTGGTTTTAATGGTCATGGTGAGTTTAGATCGTGCTTGTTCTTCCATTTTCGGTGTGGAGCTAATCAGGTTTGACTTTTAGGTATGGCTCATATTTTCAATTGTGCGCCTGGGTTGGTGAAATTGATATCTGGGCTGTCTTGGGAGGAAACCGGTCTTCCGGAATGCTTTCAGTTTAGTGAGGATAGGATACGCAGGTTCGACAAACAAGCTGAGAGCTCTTTATAGATGGGTTCTCTTGATCTTTGATGGTAATTTGACAGAATCTTACGCAATCTCTCTGACATAAGAATGACGAGTTGAACCTGAGGTCAAACCCTAGACAAAGTGGCTAAAATTCATGATTACCAGAGCTTTGAATCTCAAAGGACATTCATGTGGTATATTAGTTCCACTGGTGGACCCAGATCACTGTTTCTCTGGCTATAGTTGTTTGCCGCAGGCTGTAGATTGTCAACATTCATGTCATTTTTACTGTTGAGTCCTGTTACTTGAAGGAAACCCTATCCCTTTAACCAGCGTCTCTGATTTAGTTTAGCTCCTAGGGCTGGTAGGTGGTGTATGTATGTTTACGATAAAAAATTAAATGTCATGAGTTATTTCACTCTTCCAGTGTCAAATCCTACAGTAGCTGTGCCACTTCAAATCTTCATTATTCTGGGTACTGTTACAATGCTCATATTTATACGTGTCGTAAGCATATCAAATTCTCAGCATAATGACTAAACTGCAAACATAACTCATTACGAGAAAAATCATGCTTGAAACAGCTATCAAATCATTACAAAAAAACCTTTTTTCAATACTTGTTTCGACCCCAAAATTAAGGAAGATCCTCCGGAGCGTAGCTCTGATCTGGACTGACAATTATTCCAGCCTGAAGCTGTTTATCAGTATAGGCAGGATAGATAATAAGATCAGCGTTATTATTGACGACAGCCAAGGTGGTAAACCCGTTACCCTCGCCAAACTGTCCGCTCCAGCCCGTTGTAATGGTATAAACGCCGCATTCAGCAGGGCCACCTGTCGTTACAGAGGCATCACCGGTCACATCGGCGTCGGTGGTGGCGCTCACGTTAAATGTGCAGACAGTTGTATCGTTTTCTCCATTGAAGATAGCGAAGTTCCAGGTGCACAAAGTGTCATCGGTACTACAGACTCGCTGCATATTCTGGATCGTCCACTCAGAGCCAGTGACCATCATTGACTTGGCTGAGGTGGGGGCAGCCATTATTGAGGAAGAAAAGACCCCCAGATGGGTCAGGAGAAGATGGATCATCTGCATATCCGCGTAGATGGATTTTTATTAGGAGGATGGAATATTGTCTGTCCAAGTGGAGATGATTTTGCTCTGGGGTCCCGGCCTTTATGTACTGGCTCAGAGCACGAAGAGGGTGCTTTAAAGCTTCCCTGCACCCCCGGAGCCCTCTGTTTCGTTGTCTGGTGAAACCCTGTCAGCTCCCCCGCAATGCTTCACAGAAAAGGTGCTATATTGGGATACAGTATGTAACGGTGAACGAGCTTGACGTAAAATAAGATAGTTACTAGATCCCTGCTTATCAAGTTTCGCTGCTGTACTAATTAGTCTATTGGACCCTTAGCTAGTTAAACAAAGTGCATTTAGGTCATCACAACCCAGCTTCCGATGAGTTCATATAGTCTAAGACACATATGTGCCAAGACCACTCCTGGCATCCTAACCACGCTTCTATACCCGGCTTTAAAGTTTATCCAGAATATGCTTCTTTGGACAGTAACTAAGATATATGAGATGTTGAAATATTAGAGACAGGAAGGTTGGAGTGTTGTGTGACTAGACGAAGCTCCAAATACCGGAAATGACTGGAAATGACTGTAACCAGGCAAGCAGCTTGCCCTGTCACCCGTGTGCTCTCCTGCTGGTCCGAGTGATAGAAAATCTTCCTATTAGTTTCCCCGTGTTGCATCTTACTTTCATAATCAGCCAAGTACCATTACGGTAGGAAAGGGATATCACCTGACAATTGCATTGGTATAATTGAGACTCTTTCTATATCGATAGATGCCTACGGCGGAACGTCTTTCAATTCGGCTTGAAATATCTTCATTCAAATAGAGTACATTGGAGACATAGCAGATCTTCAGGTTCCAACGTTGCACCACGCGTAATTCAATTCCAGAAAGACAATTTTTATCAAATTTGACGCTTGATGAGTCTGTGGTGCTTGTGTGAGAGGCTTACAAGAATTCAGGGTTTATTCCTAGTCAAAGATTAAACCTTGGAATTATCAATTGATCGGAATACCTAGAACTTTCGGAACTTCTCTTGCATTGGCTGGTGTCTATGCCCTTGTTAGAAGTGATGCACGTAGTGAATGAACATAATGGGATCTTGAATGTGCCTAAGAGCAATTATAAAAAGCATATATTTGTGTTACAAAATTATTCCCGTATGTATATGTATGATTAAGGAACATAACGAGACAGTTCTAGACTGACAGCCATCCCAATGACTAGATTTAGTGAGTTCCGTTCACATCCTCGGAAACTTTGCTCAGGTCACCAAAACTCTGCTGGCGGTTAAGCTGCAGCCATCGGAGGAGGTAGTCGGGCTTCTTATCCTTGGCGACCTCAGTCTCTGTGCCCATGTGGGCAAACTCCCACGAAGCAGGCGCAACAAATAGGCCAGTGGTGTCATGCGCAGGCGGGGCCTTAGGGCTCCACTTGGAAGAATCGGCGATGGATCCGAAAGCCGCAACATCAAGATCAGCGAACTCTTCAGCTACGCGAGACACGAGAGATGAAAGATCGTCGGCCGGGTCTTCGCCCCATCCTCCCTGACGGGAGTAGATACGCTTGATGAGATCAAGCTGCTGGAGGGCTACTTGAGCGGCGGCTTCGTCGGTAAGGGGCTGGTCGTCAACGTCCAGGTCGTCGGCAAGTTCTGCACGAAGAATCTCCGCGTGCAGAATTAGAGCGTCATTGTAACGATTGGCTGCAATGTATAGGGAGGAGAGAAGGTTGTGCACGTCGATGCTGACAGGATCAAGCAGACCCCAAGTACGGCTCAAGTTGTAGCACATGCTCTCGGCGAGGGCGATGGATTGGTCCTGCTTGTTGCGGACAAAGAGAACTTCCACCAGGCGGCATCCGACACTGATGACGGTGGTGGCGGACCAGGAAGCTTGGATAATGCGCGAGTTCCAAAGCTGGGTGAGGAGCCACTGTAGAGAAATTAGCGAAAATTCGTTCAAATAACAATACATGAGCCGTCTGGGTCAGCCCCGACAGCCTCAGCATTTCCAGGGTCGAAAGGAGCGGCAAGTAGGTGCGATGCATCAGTAATGAGTCCATTGAGACTTACCTCGAGATCTTCGTAGTTCTTTTGCTCGCCCATCAACCGGACAAGGTTGTTGAGCTCGCTGGCCTGCAGCTGGACGATGTCGATGTCCAGCGTCTTGCATGCGCGAAGGGTCTCACGCAAGATGGTCTTGCTCAGCTCAACCATGCGAGCCTGTAGCTTGAGGTCGCTGCTCTTCTTGACGCCCAGACCTGAAAGGTACAGAGACAGCTTGAAAGCAAACGGAATAATTCTGGGGTGCTTGAAGCCATCCTTGAACAATGTGAAGTTATAGACAACTGTAGCGACTTCGAGAGCCTGGGCGTACTGGTCAGCCAGGAGAAGAGCGTAGACCTTAGCGATACCGGATGAGCAGCCAACAATGGCAAGATCATCGGAGTGGCGAAGGCGACCTAGCTCCACGAGAAGTGCGACAAAGAAGGTTCTAGTGGCAGGACCAGAAAGGTCCTTAAGAGCGGTGCCATAAGACTCCGTGAAAATCTTGTAAAGGGCATCTTCAGTAGCAAGAGACTGCTCGGCGTGAAGCTGGCTGGTTGCGAGGAATGCATAAAGGCGGGCGCCGTCGAATAGCTTCTGGTCGATGGAGAGCTCCTTGGATTGGATTGAAATAGTGTAGCGGTCGTACAGAATACCCTCAGTCAGCATATCGGTCATAATATCGGAGAAAGTGGCCTTCTTTGCAGCATCAGTTGTGTCAGCCTTGCGCAGAGTCTCCTCAAAAGCGGCAAGGAAGACGATGGAGCGGCGGTCGACCGTTACTGGAAGCTTGATTCCCACAGCCTTGGTGCTACGGGCCCCCTTGTTGATAATCTGTAAGCGCAAGTCTTTCAGGAGAGCCCATGCCTGAGCTGAGTAGTTGCATGAGAGGTAGATATTGGCCAGAGAAACGGCAGACTCGTGAAGCTTGGTCGAGTCAGTAGCGATAGGAGCAGACAAAATTTCGACTACGCTGGTGGAAAGTTGCTGTTGTGCCTGTTTCTGTACCTCTGGCTTATCTGACTTAGCCCATGCGATGACGAGAGATGAGAGTGAGGCGAGTGTGGATGTGTGCATGACACCGTGCTCCTTCTTATTGATCTCAAGCTGCTCCTTCCACAGGGTTTCAGCTTTCTGGGCCTGCTCAGGTGCGTTTTCAGTGGATGCCTGGCTGGCGTACAAAGCCGCAAGCTGACGCTTGGCCTTGGCTAGGATGCTGAGCTGAGCAGGAGTCTGGGGCTTATCAGCCGGTGCTTCAGCAGCCTTCTGGACAACTTCCTCGCATATTTTGACTGCTTCCGCGTGATACTTTGAACTCTTGATAGATATTTCAGCAAGAGAGAGGTTGGCGGTTGTAGCAATATGCGATTCAGCCCCATAGATGGAAACAGTGGCGTTGCGGTACTCGACGGCCAACTTGTGGATGACTTCAATGTCGACCTTCAGGTGGGTCTCAAGGACTGCGGTATAACGCGTGTAGATGGCTTGAACAAGGTCACTAGTCAATTTGTACTCTCTAGCACGGGTGGTAAAGGTGACCCAGATAGTGGCGTAGATGGAGCGGGCCTCCTGCCAGCGCTTTTGCTCGAAGTAGATCTTTGATAGCGCAAGAGCAGCGCGCATTGATTCCTTGCTCAGAATACCATCACTGCTCTTCTCAGCCTTGGTAACCTCAAGGTAGTAGTGGTCGGCTCCCTTGACGCGATATTTCACACAAAGGTCACCCATGATGTACAAGGTCTGAATGGTGAGCGGGTTACGTGCACCGAGGGTGGTGCGGTAGCTCTCCAAAAGCTGCTGGTATACAACAAGGGCTTTTTGGTACTGCTGGGTGCTGATGTGGAACTTAATCAGGTCGTTGGAAGTCTCGACAACAAGTTCATCTTGGATGCGCAGGCCGGAGCGAGCAGACTGGAAAACGTGCACGTAAATCTTCTCAGCCTGTTCCGTCTGGTTGCTCTTGGAGTAGCACAAGGCGAGACGGCGCGCAAATTTTATAGACTCCGTAGTGTAGATCTTTGGGAATCCGTACTTGCCCTCAACGCTGAGTGTAGGCCATATTTGCACAAGGAGTTTCTGGCAGAGATCGGCGGCCTCGGTCCAGCGCTCCTTGCTAGTGTAAAAATTGCATAGCGTCTCGTAGGTCTTAATTGTGGACTCGATGCTAACTTCTTGCTTCTCAACCACGTTCTTTGTATCGGCCGACTTGGGAGTGGAGACTATGGCAGCCTCGAGAACCTCATCCATGATGGCGTCGGCCTCATCATCACCCTCATCATCCTCCAGATCGGTAGCCTCAGTACCGGAAGCCTTTGCATCGGCCTTCTTGCTGTCCACCTTCGCTTGGGCGGCGTCCATGAGAGAGACGGCAGTTGACACGGCAGCGGCAGATGTCTGTTGACCAGACTTCTTGAAGTAGCCCCAGACGGACTTCAACACTTCAATAGCGCTTTCAAAGGCACCCATGGCCTTCAAGTCATCACCCACATTGCTGAGCTGCTTGGTGACGGCTTCGGAGTTGTCGCGATGCTGATACTCAACCCAGACGCCATGCAAAATGTTCAAGGCCTCAGCTTCGCGCTTCTGGCGCCTGAGGAAGCGAGCGTATGATACGCTGATCTGAATCTTACGTTCTTGAGCGACATCAGAGGCTCCAACAGTACGGCAGTACTCTGTCAAGTCACGCCATAGAGAGATGTATAGCTCTTCAGCGTGAGTGAAATCCTTCTTCTCTTCGTAAGTGTCAGCCATGCGCAGGGTGATTTCAACGCGACTGATGTCAAAGATTTCGAGATTCTGTTCGGCAAACTCGAAGATGGGCTGAGTATACTGGACGACTTCATTGTGCTTGCCTTGCTGGTACAAAACTGTCTTGAGCTTCTCGGCGGCAAGCTTGGCCTCTTCAGAGAACTCGCCACTCTCGGCAGTGGTGGCTTTGTACACCTCACGGTAGACCTGTTCAGCCTTGTCATTCTCCTTTATTTCTGTGTAGAGCTGGGCGAGCTGGTTGTTGTATTTGGCGACGAGCGTGCTGTTGGAGCCTTTCTGCTGCTTCTCGGTCTCGACAACATACTTGAGCATCTCCTCCTTGCGTGTGACGTCTTCATTGCGCTCTGTGATCTTGACGTTCTCAGAGCTGTCAATTGAGGCGGTCGCGCAGGAAATGGCAAGCTCGTTGGTCTTTCCGAGGACGGCTTGGCCGATCTTAGCTGCTTGATAGAAGAATTTGCTGGCCTCTGCAGGAGCAGAGAGCTTTATATAAGATTGAGCGACGTTTATGGATCCTTGAAGAGTGCACTGAGCATTTTCACCCAAAGCCTGCTGACGGACATTCAGAGCTAGGGTGTGGAAACCATTGGCCTTGATTGCTGGCATCTGCTTTCCCCAGCAACTGCGCTCGAGAAGAGCAAGGAGAGTAGAATTGGGGAACACGGACTTGAGTTCGGGATTGATGGGCTGAAGCTTGCCATCAGCGAAGTATGGAGAGCGTTGGAAGTGGTTGAGCCAGTTGCGAGAAGCGTACTCAAGAAGAGCATTAGTGCGGAAGAGACTGTCAACCTCCTTGGAAGAGAGATCCTCGAGCGAAGGCTCGGTGTTGACATGAATGCAGGCCTTGATGTAAAGCAGTAGTCTAGTAGCCAGACTCTTCTGTGCTTCGGCTGGGGGCAGCAAGTTCTTGTTCCCCTTGCTAAGTTCTAGCAGGTGGAACCTGACGGTCTCGTTGCGGAAGCGGACAGTCTTGTCCTGGACAATGACGAGAGAACTGCAAGATTTGTAAAGATCCTCGAGTACGCTTGACGATCTCGGCTGGTGTGAGCCCTTCTGAACATTCAACTCAAGCAGTGTTTGGATTTCGGCGGTTGTCAGAGACCTCTCAGCAACCAGCAACCAGGCAAAGATGAAGCGTGCGTCATCTTTGAGTGATATATTGCTGATTTGCAAATCAATAATTTCCTTTGTGGTGCCGGGAAGAGTTTTCAAGACTTCTTGGGCTTCTGTAACGTTCTTAGCCTTCTGGAACAGCTGCAAGGCCATTTGAGCCCATGTCAGAGAGCCCTTGCTGCGTTGAGCGATTTGCTCAACCAGTACATCAATCTCCTTCTTGCTACCAATGCCATGGGATATCATATATTCGCGAGCGATGTGCTTAACGTCGATAATGGTGCGCTCAGGGCCCATAGTGACTTGTCGAGTAGGCTTGGACCACGGTTTCGAGAGTGGCCTGGACAGAATAACGACGCGAATCTGGCTGTTTTTGGTGGCAATATCGTGAAGATGCTCGAATACCTCGACCTTCTCAGTTTCATTGCCCTCTAGAGCATCGAGGCCGTCGATGACGAGAACAACATCTTTGCACGACTTCAGTCCAGTATTGAGAGTGTACCAGAGAGCATCTTCAGCATCCTTGATGCTGTCAGTGTTGTCATCGAGCTCGCGAACATTGGCGAGACACCTATACAGAGCCACATTTCCAACGTTCAGATCCAGGAGCTGCAATATCAAGGCCTTAACCAGGGCAGTCTGAGTCGCTTGCGCAGGAATCTGGCTGTCAATGGTGGCCGTGACAGCCTGGAAAGTGTGCCTGCCAACGGGTCTCTGTAACCTCTCGACAATCCAGCTGGAGAGCATGCTCTTGCCAGCGCCAGTCTCAGCTGTGACTGTCAGAACCGGGTCTTTACTACGAGCAAAGTGGACCAGAGATCTTTCAAACCACTCGCACGTAAACTCAGCGCGCAGAGTGCGACTGGCGCGGCGACCAGTCACAATAGCCTGCAAGGTCCGGTCTTGGGGCAACAGCCATTGACGAATGCTATCAATAGAAACATGGATATCTGAGAACGTTAGTAAGGAATATCGGCCTCGAGTGGACTACTAACCTGAAATTTCAGAAGTGCTTTTCAGCTGGTATGTCCACATAACGCTGGTAATTCGGTCCTTGCGCTGCATGAATGAATCCATGAGCTTGCCAAAGGTGACGTTGAATTCTAGAGTCACGCTGGACGTCGACATTGTTTTCGAACTCTTTCGGTAATAAACGGTAATCTCAACGGACAGCCCAAGAATGTCCGCTAGGGCCAAGCTGAGCTCCTGCCTAGCTTCCGGAATGGACCGCAAGAGACTGTAGTTGCGGAGGTAGAAATCAAATATAAGGCCGTACTCGTGGAAAATGGCGAAGACTGTTTCCAGAGCTTCGCCCTGGGTAGGACCCATCTACAATCGTGAGCATATGATAAGCGTAATAAATGACACAACACTTACTTGGAGAAGGATTTGAAAGCATTCAAAAATAAGCTCGACAGTTTCCTTGCTTGAAGCGACAAAGGTGTCGACAGCCTCCTCAAAAACAGAAAGAGAAGTGGCAAAGTATTCAGCCCATTTCAATATCTTATCCCACCTGCTACCCTCAGCAGGCATCCTTCTCAGCCGCTCCTGGCCAATGAAGCCCAAGAAGCTCTCTATAGAGATACCGTTGGAGATGTACTCCTCCTTGGAAGCCTTGAGCTCGGCCTGAAGCCTAGCGCGCAACTCTTGTAGAGGACCGTCGACATTTTTGATCTGGGTCGGTTCCCGGTGGGTAGGCAGGGGAGAACTCGCCCTGCTGATAGCAGACTTTGCCTTTTTCAAGGGCACTACGCTGTGGTCCTCCTGGGCGAGGGTAGAATCGGAAACCACAGTAGGAGCGATGGAATTGACCGAAATACCGTCAACCTCACGCTTGGAGATACGAGGCAGCAGAAGTGTTTTCGAAGGGGTAGACGTCGGCTTGGCGGCAGTTCTGCTGCTGCTAGCCGTTGGGGCGGGTGATGAGCCACGTGGAGCAGGCGAGGAGCCACGTTTGTGGTGATCCTTTTTAAGGCTGCTGAATATAGACATTCTGGGTTCAGAAGAGTGATTTGATAATGTTTCGGAGCTTGAATGTGGTTTTATAATAGAGTTCAGAGTGATGGAGGGCTTGTTGGTCAGGTTTTCTGTCAAAACGAGCAGAGAAATGACCCAGGATCAGCAGGTGTATACGTGGCAATGCGGTGGGATGTAAGTCAAAAGCTCGTTCTCACTTACCTTCGTCTTCTGCCTTTAATCCGAGAACTCCCAATGCTTCAGAGAGACCTTTTCGGACACGATGTTTCTTGTGACTGTGAGGGAAGTTGAAGAACTTCGCTTCTTTTGATTTGGAACTCATTGATGGCTGCCTGAAGAGTTCACCGCTAGTGTGACTTGGGATTGTGGGACGGATACTAGGTAGCAACGAAGGTGTTATGGAGTGGGGCTCCTTTGGAGTCCGCAAATTCCTGACTTCTAAGTTATATGTATAGCCAGGCTCTTGAGAACGAACAGAAACGTCATGTGAAGCTCACTGATATTACTGTGGCCATTGCGGCATAAAATAGGAGTTCTCGATGCGATATTTAGGCAGACCACTCAAAGGAACTGGAAGTTGTTTGACAGACTGGGAATGAGTCCAACAAGACTCCAAGTGCCAGGAGGTAGGATCGACAGGGGTGAGGGCTTTAGCCATATTGTGGATCATTTAGGAGACAGTCGGCGGTGAAGTTATCGAGAGCAGGGAGTGTGATAGGCTTGAAGCCTTCGAGAAAGCTCTAGCCTTCTTTTTCTTCAGTCGTGAACAGCTGTTCGAGGTTAGTTGTTTGCCAAGGGTGTACTCCGTATGGGGCCGGCCCGTAATAACCATGAACTCGGAATCGGCCCCACTTACCGCTGTCATGCCTCTAAACCCTAAGTGTCTAGTATTGTGCTCGCTGACCGCTGCTTTGCGTCTAAGCTAGTCAACTGAAGCTAGTCAACAGAATAGGCTGCCCAAGAACACGCCTACTCATATGATTGGTCGATCTCCATATATCGTACCACAATCCCTGGATTCAAAAAAAAGCCAAAGGAGCCCTAGAAGAAACGCAGGAAGCGAACCCCAGAAAATAATTCATCTCTTTTGGAGGCCAAACCATAGTTTCAACGTTACTACAGTGTCCAAAATTCTCATGCAAGACACCTATCCACATTAGGGACGCTACAGAGTTACCCGGAACTAGTTTGTTGTTGGTTAAAAGTGGGTAAGGTAAGCGATGTAAATAAGATAGGAGAAGAGGGCAGTTGGCAAGCTCCACATGTCGCTGTGACCGAGGGTGGCAAGGGTGAAAGTAGCCGACAGTCTCGTATTTTGCGGTTGACAGTGATAATTATCATGTAATATACTTGGCATTCGTCATCCTTTATCGAAAATCCATGAGCCAAATTCAGTATCGATGTGTTTTTTGTCCAATTTTGTTGTTGAATCATAGCTACCCAGCCAAAAAGGATTCCAAATTCGTTTCCACGCTAAAATAGCTCCATCGGGGGGTCAATTTAGGTCAAAGGTTGTTGGGTCGTAACGCTTTACTGTTCAAAATGGAAATCATAAAGATTGCCACGAGGCATATGAAATGCGCACAAAGGAAGCTTTTTCTTAAATCAGCTGGGAAATAATAGAACAGAGCCTGCGCCCAGGTGGCTCTATTTTTGGCTTTTAAAGGACCAATTACCGCGAAAGCATTCGCTGATAACGTAGAAAGTATAGGAGATCTGCAGGTTGTGATGACGCCGATCATTAACAATCTGACAGACTCTGCAGAATCGATCTTTCAGAGTAGAGCGGCTTTAATGAAAGATAGCATACGCTCTGCGCTTGGATGATGGGACATGATGTTTCTGCACTCGAGTGCCAAGGTTCGTGGTCCCTACTTCTGCAGGTGGTCGCAGAAAATTAAAGAATATCCAGTGCCTCCACATGAATAGGGCTTAGCATGCTCACTTGTGAGCACCAAATCCAGGGAATGAGCATCGAGATAACTGCAAACCCACCCATTACACGACTTTATCGTAAGCTGACAGACAGAACAGAAGCGACTGGTAAGTGATCAGACCGGGCTGAACAGCTGCATCTAACAAATAGCGTTGGAATGATGAGCAGATCCAATAACGATATGAATTCCTCATTGCTTTACCAGTAGTTGGGAAGGATGAGCATGTTCCTTTAAAGGATATTGGTGGGAAGCTAGATTAATATACTGAAATTCTCGGTTGAAACAGCAACCTCGGAGATATGAACGATTTCAGAGAACCCAGCAAGCTTTGAGAACGCCGCGTGTGCTTTGAAAACCAGCAATCATCGAGTTTTCTGGGGATATTATATCAATCACGATGGCGTAGTTCAATGTGTCATATTCTGGATTATATGAACACTATTGTACGCTAAGCTGATTCAATGGCCCGCCATCAATGTGTGGCCCTGTCCGGTCTCGAACCAACTTTTATTATCGACAGGTTATGCAGCGAACGAAGGATGATAGTTCCTATTATATGCAAAAAAGGAAGAGCAACCCGACGATGAGGTTCGTTTAAGAAGGCGTCCATGCTCTCTCTTATATTTGTTCGCAGAGTTCGATCTACAGGGAAGAGAAGGCAGAAATTTGACTCAAGTATTTGGTGTGAGCTCGAGCGGTCCCTTAGGAACTATCGGTCTCTGGATATTTGGAGCTGCAATGATATATAACGCCGTTGTCGAGTGCTATCAGAAACCTTTGTCCTCTTCCTCCTTCGGTTCATGACAGCAGTGCATGATGAAGGATCTGGTCACTCCAGTGTTTCTTGAGCCAATTCTTCATCGGTATTTCAGGTCAAGAGCTTCATCTTGCGGGTGCGACCGCCTTTCCGCAATTGGCCCCAATGACAAATGTCCCGACGTGCTATTGAGACGAGCTTCAATAGCACCGGATTCCTCGTTGCAGGTTCACCCTCATCGCCAGCTTCCGTGATCAAGATGTAATATCAAAATCTCCTGAGCAGCTTTTCGAGGTCTCAAATGATTTTGCTCGCGGTAAGGAGGGCGTTGGCAGATGGATCATAAGATCAGAGAAAAGAAGCGTTGCAAGATAAGGAGAGATACGAGTAATGTTTCCAAATATGGTCTCTCATATCGATCCGTAGAGTAGGAGAGAGAAGAAGGGGGGAAAATGAAGGGAATGGAGTATTTTTGATCCTCAGAATACTTTGTATCAGCAGCCTGACTTGCAGGTCTCAGATTTGGATTGTTCATGTTGTAAGTTTAGACATCATAGGATCAAAGCTACCCAGGATGGATAGATGTGAGAGACCATACTTGATAACATCACTCGTGTATTCAGGAGTGCTGTTAGACACAACGTAGGGCGAAAGCGTAAGGTGAGCCTTGAGAGGGGTCTGGTTAAATACCAATGTAGATTTCATCATATATCTATTTACAGGTTAAATGCGTCATCACTGTCCTTCCAGGAAGATTGAAAAGGGTAGGAAACGGAGAGTCCATAATTCTGTGTAAAATTGGAAATGGGTGTGGGAGAGGAAGAAAAGAAATTGTGGAATGTGGACAGTTCTTATCTGTGATGATATCGGCTATCGCATAATGCTTACATAGCGACGGAATGGCATTAAAGGGCGGTAAGGTATTCAACTATCTGTTTGCTATGTTTGTACTAAAACCCCCTTTTCAGTTTAGTGTCAGGGAGCTCCCACTTTGGAAATTTAGAACGCGGGTAACTTGAACGAGGATCTGAGTTGGCTTTCTATTCAGTGTTCATCGCCAATTATTTGTGGCATATACTTGAGCCATCTTCACTTCTCCCTTCAATTCCACTCAGACCTTCACCAAAATGCAGGCTCCGGTGGTGGTGATGAGTATGTTGCCCCTCCTACCCCCCGTTTCTCCCGTGTATCTGGCCGCAAGTGTTAACCACTCGATTAGACACCAATGCTGGCGACCGCCAGGTTGGCCGCCGTGCGCAACTTTCCAATATTACTGCTGCTAAGACGTACGATATCTACATCCCGTGCGTTTTCCGTGGGCTCAACGCTAACGAATCATATTATCAGTGTGGCCGACATTATTCGGTCATGTCTTGGTCCCAAGGCTATGTTGAAGATGCTCCTCGACCCAATGGGTGGTATTGTTCTAACCAACGACGGCCATGCCATTCTGCGAGAAATTGAGGTGTCACACCCTGCCGCAAAGAGCATGATCGAACTCAGCCGTACTCAGGATGAGGAGGTCGGAGACGGAACCACAACGGTTATTATCTTGGGTATGGGATTTTCTATATTTTCGTCTTGAATAATTTCTGACCTAATTTCTAGCCGGTGAGATGCTCGCTCAGGCCCTTCCCCAGCTCGAACGTAATATCCACCCCGTCGTCATCATCTCCGCCTTCAAGCGCGCTCTTGCCGATGCCCTTCAGATCGTTGAAGACGTTTCGCTACCCGTCGATATTCACGATGACAAGGCTATGTTCACTCTTATCCAATCTTCCATTGGTACCAAGTTCGTTTCGCGTTGGTCCGACCTTATGTGTGGCTTGGCATTGAACGCTGTGCGCACAGTCTCTTTCGAGGTTGGTGGCGGTAAGCAGGAAGTCGATATCAAGCGCTATGCGCGTATTGAGAAGATCCCCGGTGGTCAGATCGAAGATTCCGAAGTCATCGATGGTGTTATGGTAAACAAGGATATCACTCACCCTAAGATGCGGAGAAAGATAGAGAACCCCCGTATTCTGCTTCTCGATTGCCCCCTGGAGTACAAGAAGGGCGAGTCTCAGACCAACATTGAAGTCTCCAAGGAAGACGACTGGAACCGGATTTTGCAGATTGAGGAGGAGCAGGTGAAGCACATGTGCGAGGCCATTCTGGCATTCAAGCCCGACGTTGTTATCACTGAGAAGGGCGTCTCAGGTAAGCAACTCCCAAGCTCACTCTACTAGAGAAAATGGGCATTCTAACAATCAATCTTTAGATCTTGCACAGCATTACTTAATGAAGGGCAACATCACTGCTCTCCGCCGGGTGCGAAAGACTGACAACAACCGTATCGCCCGTGCCACCGGTGCTACTATTGTCAACCGCGTTGATGATATCCAGGAGTCAGACATTGGTACTCGCTGTGGTCTGTTTGAGATTGAGAAGATTGGTGATGAGTACTTCACATTCATGCGAAAGTGCACGTCCCCGAAGGCCTGCACCATTCTGCTGCGCGGTCCCTCCAAGGATATCCTGAACGAGATTGAGCGCAATCTCCAGGATGCCATGGCTGTTGCCCGCAACGTCATCTTCCACCCTCGCCTGTCCCCTGGTGGTGGTGCCGTTGAGATGGCAGTTTCCGTGAAGCTGAGCCAGCTGGCCCGTTCCATCGAGGGTGTTCAGCAATGGCCCTACAAGGCTGTCGCTGACGCTATGGAGGTCATCCCTCGCACATTGGCACAGAACGCCGGTGCCAGTCCCATCCGTGTACTGACCCAGTTGCGTGCTAAGCACGTCGAGGGCCACACCACCTGGGGTCTGGACGGCGAGTCTGGCAAGTTGGTTGATATGAAGGAGTATGGCGTTTGGGAGCCCGAGGCTGTCAAGCTCCAGAGCATCAAGACCGCAGTCGAGGTAAGTCCCTTAATCATCCCTGTTTTATCTCGTCTTGTAACCTTACTAACTTGTTCTAGTCCGCATGCCTGCTGCTCCGTGTCGACGATATTTGCAGCGGAAAGTCAGCAGCACAGGTCAGCAGCGGTGGTGGTGGTGAGGAGTAAAAGAGAAAGAACCAAAAAATGATCTAGGACCTGAAGGCCGTACATAATGTTACACGACTGTGATTCCTTTCTGTATGAATATCCTAGACCAAAATGAACTGTCAAATGGGTATCTTCGTGTGAATATTTAAACTATTAGTCACTTGGCAACCCCCTAGTCGTCATGGATAATCACTCCAGGAACTTCCTCCACATAGTTCCCAGAATTATCACCATTGGAAGTAGACGTATCCATGAGCTGACCAGGAGCCATTGGTCCCTTGACCGGCGCAGAACTATCAACGTCCATCACTCCATCCGTACCATTTTTTCCTCGGGTATTACGCTTCTTCTGCCTTCTCCGGCGATTTTTCTCTGTTTTCTCTTCATCCTTCCGCTTCGTCTCCTGTCGCTGTCTCTCCCACTCCGATTGATCTTTCTCCTGGTCAATCTCGGCCTGCATCAGTCGTAGTCGTTCTTGCTCTCGTCGCCGACTAGCCTTGTAGACATGGAACTCGCCCGAGCCCGCACCTGCTGATGAACCCTGAACATTTGTGACAATCTCCGGTGGTGCAGAGAGAGCGGCGACTGCGCGATTTTTTGCTGTTTCCGGTAACTTGATCTCTTTTGACGGGTCCTTGAAGAGAGACTCGACTTGGGATGCATGTTCAGAGCGAGGTGTCATCGCTCGTCGCTTGGTGGGCCGTTTGCTGCGCGGATCGGCGCTTGTAGGAATTGATTCAGGGCCTGGTTCAGACATTGCGTGGTATGTTGGAATGGAAAATAAGGTCTTGGGAGGTCGTGTACAGAGGTGGTAATGGGCCCCTAAATCGTTTCCTCTATGCGCAAATTTTCCAGGAAACCAGGTGGATAGTTGGACTGGAATGTAACGAGTCGCGGAGGTATTAGATAAACTTTCTTGTTTGACCAGTCTCTCAAGTCTCGGGACACTCCAGATAATAATCAGAGTTGATAATGTAGCTAGTACCCGCGATAAGGTTAGTCCGCTTTTATCCGCTAGCCAGCATTTATCCGAAGTATAAGTCATGCAGACAGCTAGTCCGGTATTTTCGATGGACTATCTCTCACATAGTAAGTGTAGAGCCACGGATGTCAGATATGAAATTTGCCATATTTTTCAATCATCCTTTATATTTCAGTCTCTGCTTTACTTCTTCAAGTTATGAGTACTAAAATCTTTAATCTAATCAATCAACAACAGTCTGTTTTTTTTCCTCATGCTACTTTCGAAATATAAGTTAGATCTCCGAACACGAATGTACCATTTGTACGGGTTACAGTCCAGGGAGCCTCAAAGTAGTTCTACTATAAGTAGTTGAGTATCAGTCGTCGTCAAATATGCTCGGCGTAGTGAAGCAGGCAGGCCCCGTAAAGAAACTTGGGATTTCAACATTTAAGCTGAATATGAACTGCTTATCTAGGTAGCCATGGGGGTAACTCTTTATGATACCCAGGTTATGGAAAATCCGAGAAGACACGCATAGAGGCTAGCGGGTTCAAAACAGCCTATGCGCGTTGGACCAGACACAAGTGAAGAGCGGAGCTGGGCGGAACGACCTGGGCAGTCCCGCCCATCTCCGCCAGACAAACCCACGCGGGGCTAAAGCTCTACAATAAAATCATTTATAGTATATATAATTATTTATTTATTTTGACTGGTACGATACTAGGATTAAACAGGAGTGGGCGATGTAATATATGAACTTTTTAAATACAAACACTCTAAACAAACGATAGAGGCTTGGAAAAACATACAACGCGAGCGGGTTTTCAATTAGAGTGCTAAATAGATATAGAAAAAGAAATCCGAATGGATAGTTCGGCCCTATCCTCAAATCTAAAGCCATGCAGCTATTAGAGAGTGAAAAATCGAGATCAATCTAAGTTCTGCGCACTTGTGATAAAATAATGAAACGAAATGAAATTAGGGGAGCAATGTCACATGGGGATTAAGAGCTCGTAGCAAAGAGTGAATCAAGCCCCTTAGAGCATCAGTGCCATGAAGGTAGCAACTGATCCGAACAGGAGGCTGGAAGCAATTGACAGGCTTGAGGCCGAGTTGAACACGGGCACAGATGAGGAAGATGCGCTCGCGCCGGAGCCAGTGCTAGCACTGGGAGTGGCGCCGGGGGTGTAAGAGACGCGCAGGCTAGATGAAGAGCCTGAGCCGCTGCCAACGGGGGAAACTCCGCTAGGATAGGATCCGACGGGGCCACTAGGGGCAGCGGCTCCACTGAGAGCGGCGGCTCCGCTGGGGGCGGCAGCGAAGGTGGTCACGGCTCCAGCGGCGGTGCTGGTCACAACGCTGGGTAGGGGAATGGTGACGATCTGGGTGCCGTAGGTGACGGTGGTGTAAGCACCAGCAGCACCAGAGACAGTGACAGTCTCACCGGCGCTAGCACCAGCAGCTCCAGAGGCAGTGACAATGGCACCAGAACCAGTAACAGTGACGGTCTCACCGCTAGCTCCAATGTAGGTGGAAGCGGAAGCACCAGAAGAGCCGGTGGCAGCAACGACGGGGATAGTCGAGGTGGCAGTCACAGTCTGGGTGGAAACAGTGCTAGTGGTCTGGACGAAGGTGGCACCGTTAGAGGTGGCAGTCTGGGTCACGGGGCAGATGGTGGTGGTCTCGTAAGTGACAACAGTGGTGGTATACTCCTGGGGAGCGCTGGATGTGGCGATAACACCGGCGGGGCCAGAAGGAGCAGAGCCACTGGCAGTCACGGCGGGGATAGTCGAGGTGGCAGTCACAGTCTGGGTGGAAACAGTGCTAGTGGTCTGGACGAAAGTAGAGCTGCCGGAGGTGATGGTCTGGGTCACAGGGCAGATAGTGGTGGTCTCGTAAGTAACAACGGTGGTCACGGACTCTCCGGGGGAAGAGCCATTGGGAGACGAGCCAGTAGGGGTACCAGAGACAGCAGGGGCAGTGACGGATCCGGAGGGCGAAGAGCCGGAAGGAACAGTGCCAGAGGGGCTAGAGCCACTGGCAGTCACGGCGGGGATAGTCGAGGTGGCAGTCACAGTCTGGGTGGAAACAGTGCTAGTGGTCTGGACGAAAGTAGAGCTACCGGAGGTGATGGTCTGGGTCACAGGGCAGATAGTGGTGGTCTCGTAAGTAACAACGGTGGTCACGGACTCTCCAGGGGAAGAGCCATTGGGAGACGAGCCAGTAGGGGTACCAGAGACAGCAGGGGCAGTGACGGATCCGGAGGGCGAAGAGCCGGAGGGAACAGTGCCAGAGGGGCTAGAGCCGCCGGGGGCGGTGCCAGTGGGAGTAGCAATGACAGAGGTCGAAGTCAAGGTCTGGGTAGAGACAGTGCTAGTGGTCTGGACGAAAGTAGAGCTACCGGAGGTGATGGTCTGGGTCACGGGGCAGATAGTGGTGGTCTCGTAAGTAACAACGGTGGTCACGGACTCTCCAGGGGAAGAGCCATTGGGAGACGAGCCAGTAGGGGTACCAGAGACAGCAGGGGCAGTGACGGATCCGGAGGGCGAAGAGCCGGAAGGAACAGTGCCAGAGGGGCTAGAGCCACTGGCAGTCACGGCGGGGATAGTCGAGGTGGCAGTCACAGTCTGGGTGGAAACAGTGCTAGTGGTCTGAACGAAGGTTGAGCTACCGGAGGTGATGGTCTGGGTCACGGGGCAGATAGTGGTGGTCTCGTAAGTAACAACGGTGGTCACGGACTCTCCAGGGGAAGAGCCATTGGGAGACGAGCCAGTAGGGGTGCCAGAGACAGCAGGGGCAGTGACGGATCCGGAGGGCGAAGAGCCGGAAGGAACAGTGCCAGAGGGGCTAGAGCCACTGGCAGTCACGGCGGGGATAGTCGAGGTGGCAGTCACAGTCTGGGTGGAAACAGTGCTAGTGGTCTGAACGAAGGTTGAGCTACCGGAGGTGATGGTCTGGGTCACGGGGCAGATAGTGGTGGTCTCGTAAGTAACAACGGTGGTCACGGACTCTCCAGGGGAAGAGCCATTGGGAGACGAGCCAGTAGGGGTGCCAGAGACAGCAGGGGCAGTGACGGATCCGGAGGGCGAAGAGCCGGAAGGAACAGTGCCAGAGGGGCTAGAGCCACTGGCAGTCACGGCGGGGATAGTCGAGGTGGCAGTCACAGTCTGGGTGGAAACAGTGCTAGTGGTCTGAACGAAGGTTGAGCTACCGGAGGTGATGGTCTGGGTCACGGGGCAGATAGTGGTGGTCTCGTAAGTAACAACGGTGGTCACGGACTCTCCAGGGGAAGAGCCATTGGGAGACGAGCCAGTAGGGGTACCAGAGACAGCAGGGGCAGTGACGGATCCGGAGGGCGAAGAGCCGGAGGGAACAGTGCCAGAGGGGCTAGAGCCACCGGGGAAGGAAGAAGCTCCAGCAGAGCATGCGGTGCAGACGGTGGCAGTGGAGGTGATCCGGACAGTGGAACCGCTGCCAGCAGGGGCGCTTTCTGAGGGAGCTGAGCCAGAGGGAACTGAGCCAGAGGGGACTGAGCCAGAGGGAACTGAGCCAGAGGGAACTGAGCCAGAGGGAACTGAGCCAGAGGGAACTGAGCCAGAGGGGACTGAGCCAGAGGGAACTGAGCCAGAGGGAACTGAGCCAGAGGGGACTGAGCCAGAGGGGACTGAGCCAGAGGGAACTGAGCCAGAGGGAACTGAGCCAGAGGGAACTGAGCCAGAGGGAACTGAGCCAGAGGGAACTGAGCCAGAGGGAACTGAGCCAGAAGGAGCTGAGCCAGTAGGGCTAGTCTCAGCAGGAGAAGTAGGCGAGGTGCTCTGGTCAGGGGCACCGGGGGTACCAGAAGCACCAGCAGAGCAAGCAGTGCAGACAGTAGCAGTGGAAGTGACACGAACAGTCGAGCCACTGTCAACAGGGGAGCCACCAGCAGGGGACGAGCCAACTGGGGAGACACCGGTAGGCGATCCCGAGGGAGCTGCACCACTAGGAGTCTGAGAAACTGGAACAATAGTAGTCAAGATAGGGACCGAAGACAGACGAGTAGAGCGGTAAGGGCAGTCAGTGACACTCTCAGCACAGCTGTAGTCAGTGATAGTGCGGGTAGAGTAGACAACGGAGGTGGTCAACTCAGGAGTAGTAGCAGCCTCAGGAGTGGTAGCAGGGGCTGGGCTGCCGATGGCATCAGCTCCGGAAGGAACGACAGTGGTGGAGGCGATCAGGGAAGCAGTTGAGCTAGAATCAGCGCCACAGTCGAAGGCAACGTTGTAGATACCGAATTCGCAGGACTCTTCCGAAGAGGACGAGGGGAGCTCGAATTGGACGGAAGTAGCACCGGCACACTGGTCGTTAGAGATGGTGGTGCCAGACTTGGAGCAAGACTTCGTGGTCTGACAGGTTGAGCCATCACCAAGGTGGTAGATGATGTTGATATCAGTATCCTTGTCAGTAGCGATCTTGAAGTTGGAGATCGAGAAGCCGGAATCCTCGGAACCACAAGAGAAAGTAGGAGTAGACGAGCTGCTACCGCTGCTGCTGCTGCTGCCCTTGCTGACGGTACCAGTGATGCATTTCTGCTGTGGGATTTATCAGTATCAATAGAAAGACAAGAATATGAAACATTGAAACTTACGCCACGCTTGGAGATGCTGCTGCCGAAGCTGTTGCTGCACTTGAAGCCGGAGAAGTTAAAGCCACCATAAGATTTGAACGAGCCAACAGACAGGTCCGACCAGTCGAAACCGCTCTTCTGATGCTCGTTACAGGTGTTGGCGGAATTGTGCTAGTCAATTCATTAGTATCTGTTGTCGTTGTGGGCGATATCAAAAAAGGTAAACATAAGGCATAACATACAGTTGCGGCTTCACCCGCGGCCAACAAGGCCGCAAAGGCGATAGCAGTGAAGGTCTTCATCTTGAATGTTTGATTTCCTATTGAAACCAGAGTTCAAGACCAAGTTAAATAAGGAGAGTGATGTGTTGTATTTCAGATATGAACGAAGGAACAGGATCGAGTGGTCGAGTGACAGTGAGAAGATTGATGAAACCAAGTTTGATCAGCGAAAGTATTCTAGTAGATAGAGATATAGCGAGAGAGAGTCGAAGATAACGAGAGAATTGGAAGTCAAAGTGATGAAAAAGGAAAACAATAAGAAAGATAAATTGTTGGACCCTGTCCTAAACAATAGAATGAATGAACCCTACAAAAGTGGAAGTACTTTGGGGCTTGAGGGATACCTTCGCTCTTAAAGTACAAGAACAACCCCAGAAATTAGTCTGTTTATTTCTGATTATTTGATTTTTCCTCCTTCCGTATTTCCAGTTGGTACCTGCGCTAACTTGGACTTTCTAAGACATCTCGTCACGGTGGGTAAATATGGTCTTCCAATCAGCAGGGCGCTAGAGTAGAAGATGAAACTTGGACTGACCATATGGAAGTCAGGAGATCCAGTCATAGTGAGTGGAACCTATAGTTAGGGTCCATCCTTCCATAGCGGCTATCAAAATCACCCACATTAAGATAGTCGCGGCTAGGACCAATAATGGGCAGAAGTGAAAGTAAATTTAAAAATAAATCAACGTTGTGATCGACCTGAAGAGAAGCATCAATCGAATGCTTAGGAGGGTCAGCACATGCATATATGCAGTTCCCTGTCTAATGTACATATGTACTCAGGTACTATCTAGATAGGTACTTCGTCATAGCAATTTACTACGGATACATGGAGGCCCGGATCTCATGAGGCCATGAGGCGGCCGAGATCCAACCTGATAGAATACAAAAGAAAGGGTCTGAGTGGGGGCTCAAACAAGGAAGTAGTTCGGAGCAATGAACACAAAGAGTTAGTTACTCTGTAAGTAGTACTTAGGTAAGCCAGCGGGGTGAATAGAGAGGGGCGTCTCGCTTTGAGTAACTACAGGCTTTGTTTTCCCCACAGATCTTCATTATTCATCCCCCTTTACAAATTTCTTTTCTTTTCTTTTTGTGATTCAGCATTCTTAATCACTTTATTTTTGCAGTGGCGGGTATAATATGAAGTATGAAGTATGAAATATGAGGTCAGAGTACATGATTTCCCTTATGGATGTGTACCATAGATATCGAAGTATCTATTCAGGGGTACAGCAACAACATCGTCAATGTCAGGAGTTTCCCCCCCTAATTATTGGGCCCATGCCTAGTTATGGAGTAAACAATGGGCTCAATGGAGCCATCGCTCACTTGTTCCTGAATCCAGTTCTGTTCTAGGACGATTTACTTCCGATCCTTTGGAGTGACTCCACCGCCAGGCATCATCTACCAGTGAAGAGGGGCAAAAAATAGGGACAAATAGGGAAAAATAGGAAAAATAGGGAAAGTGGATTACTAAACGGGTACTCCGGCAACCTTTCAAACCGAACTGATCCCAAAAATGTGAAAGCGTTTGAATTGTGACAAGCTCCGACTGGATTTGGAGGAACCCTTGTTTCAGGAAATGAGTATCTCAAAATTGAATTGGTGAGTTTACCGCTCAAGTTACTACCGTACCTTTTGTTTCATCGTGTGACACGGTAAACGGCGGCTATAAATAGTATTGACTGAGTGGCCCCAAGTAGTCCGTACTCCAAGGCCTTGGATCAATACTATACTCTGTTACTAAGTGGTCAGTAGTATTCTCTTTTCTCTGATGATGGCGTATTGTTGCATTTACTTTCCAGAGCTCCTGTTCCTCTCAATCCTGCAACAGACATGGTGGCTGGCGGCTTTGAACTTGAAATTGAGTTTCTAATCCACCACTAACCTGATCAAGCAAGTCCTTCAGTCCCTGAGCTAACAGCTCAGTCAATAGCCAAGATTGTGACATGTTCCCTTAGACCCTGTGATGATAGTCTAGACCTTTCAAATTTCACCAAATGACCTCAGGAATCCTCAGGTACACATTACAACGAAATTAAAAATTCGTGACAGGTAAACGGCATGGAGGAGTCGGGGCCTCGATATATATATGTCAGATTTAATCTACCTATGAGGCTGATTGATTAATCTGCTACATGTCGGACGTCTTTGGACATCTGCAAGGGATCGGAACCTCGCTACAGTCAAAATTCACAATGTTGATTTGTTGAATGAATACTCTGCGGGTACCTGCCCAGGTCCGTGACGAATGCAATATATTTTGGAACTTTTTTTGATATTGGCTAATCTTCAATACCTAAAGCAGACATCCGGGTCTCATAAGAAAAAATAAAATAAAAAATAAAATAGAAGAAAAGAAATTGCAAACATTGTAAACATCTCCGCTTTCTTTAGGAATACGGAAAAGATACTAAACATTTAAAATAGAATAAAAGCATGGACCAAAGTATTAGCATACCCAAATGCAATCAATCAAAACTAGATCAGGGCATCTGATCGTCCTTTTGAACACAACAGGAGAAAGAAGCAAGATGACATGGTCATATGCCATATCAAGAAAGCAATGGAATCTTGAAGACACAAAATATTCTTTTTTTGCTGTCTTCCGAGAGCATAAGTCTGCCAGCGACTCGAAACATAATATTTCCATGGAACGTGCGATGTAAAAGAAATCCAAACTTCGTGGAATCGTAAAAGGTTCGGCTTGTTCGAGGCCAAACCTTGCAATACGTCTATTTGAGAGAGCATGCTGCTTAAAAGGGAAGTTGACTGCGATGTTGGGCATCCATCAGCTTGCGTCGCACAGCCTCACCGCCAGGGTAGGCACTGGCCTTGCGCTTCCGAGTGGGTGTACGCTGGTCAGCATGTTTGGTGTGTCGGAACACGCTGGCAGGTCTTGAGGGGGAGTTGGCAGGCATGAACTCGCGGTGCTGGGGAAGACGGAGCAGCGCCTGGTAACGGTTGTTGTTGCGGCGGAAAGCTGTGACTATGCCCTTGTCAAGGTGGTTCAGGAAGCGCTCTGCATTGCTATCCGGTTGCGCCTCAGAGTTGCGGCTAGGAGTGGGTGTGCCACTGTTCTTGCGAGTTTTTCCACCAGTCCTGGGGGAGAGGGCCTCATCGTTGGAGTTTACCTCATCCTCGTCGGAAGAGCCATTGCCGAAATCGATAAAGTCATCTACATTGAGAGAAGCCTCCGGATCATCCTCATCATCGTCTTCATATGAGCTGTCAATGGCAAAATCGCGGGATGGATAAAACGCTTCTGGTGGGCCCATGACTTGGCCACCTGGAGTGAGGTCATTTCCCAGAGCGGTCATCATCAGATTGGCACTTGAAGCGAGCATGGGACTGAAATCGGCGTGATTTGGTGACGCAAGGGCATCGGTGTCACTTTCATCAACCAACTGCAGTGTAGTCTGGCGGGGACTGTTGGCGGCTGTACCAGGCATGCTATTGGCAGCAGAGTCTAACCAGTCGTGTCGGGAAGAGGCATATGCTGGGATGATGACGAGATGCTTTCCAGTGACATCGACCAGGGCCACGGGTTTGTTCGGATCAGCCTTGAATGTGCCCATGATGGGGCCTCGACGGCGCGGAGGGACATCGGTCTTGTCATCAGTCGGGGCAAGAGAGTCGGTAGAGTCTCTACGGAGGAGAGAGCGAGGGTGGGTTATAGTAGCAGGTGGTGGAAGATCTTCATCAGTGGTGTCACCATCATCGGACTCATAACCACTGAGACTGCCCTCGGATGAACCGTCGGACTCGACATGGTAAATATTCGAATGACCATAGTCAGCATCACCGTACAGCTCTTCAGATTGTCGGCGATGACTGCGGTGGTGATCATTGTCGCTCTCAATCATGCGGCGCAACTGAGGATCTAAAGAATCCTGTTGCAGGAAATCACCAGGGATCTCATCATCCGTATGGGATTCGCTATCGGAAGATGAGTCCGAGCGCTCCTCAAAATGAACACGTCGGGCCGCAGGTGTCTCCACTGCCTCGCTGACAAGATCAGTCTCTCCGAAAGGGTCCATGGCACTGTAGAGGTGCTCGTCATCAAAGAATGAAGCAGCAGGCAGAAACATGGAGTCACCGAAAACCTCCGCACTTTGCCAGTCCACAGTTTCTGACGTCGGCAAGATACGAGATGAACGTTCTGACTCCATGATCACCCTCTCTTCCATCTTTTCGAGATCTTGTTCTTCATCCTCATCTGTGATGTAGTCCACGGCGGCATATACATCGTCTGAGCCCTCCTCCGAGTCACTGGCATCGCTACCAAACTGCCCATCGGAGTCTTCATTCTTGGTAAAACGTCTTTTCTTGCTTTTCACGGGCTTACGGGACTTGGTTTGACGACGGTTGCAAGCCAGGACATGAGCTAATGGTCTGTCTTCTTCGTCATCCGCATCATCTTCCGATGCATCCGCTTCGTCACTCAGGTCCTCCAATGATGAAACGGATGATACACTTGAGACGGAAGACGATGATGCCCTCCGTTTTCTGTCAAACGGATTGGTCTTACTCGACTTTTTTGATTGTCCACCATTATTTAGCGAAACTTCTAGGGGGGTTTTAGCAGAGCCTTTGGGGGCACGCTTGGAGCCATAGTGATTTGATTGCGGCATTTTGAGGATTGCGGTGGTTGAGTAGAAACTTAAAACTTTTTTTGGTAGTTCGGGAAGTAGAATGTTTTGGTAGTGTTTTCACAGACGGGATGGATGTCCGTAGGAATGAAGTTCGATGGAGAGGGGAATGTGATTCGTCGGAGTTCAGAAGATCGGATGATTGTAGGGGAGGATTGTAGATTAGGTGGTGAGTATGAGGGTGGGGAGTAGGGTAGTAGTTGACTTCGGGGGTGGCAGTTTAAATTTGGAAGTGCCTCATAGTCCGAAAAGGACGTTCAGGTACTCTTTCTGGGACTGTACTTGGGGGCAATTTCGGCGTTAAGCAACGTCGAAAGAGGTAAAAAGATATCGTCAAGTCAGAAAAGTCGGAGCTACTGGACTGGGAAGCTGGCAGGATCAGGCTTCCCAGCGAGAAGTTTACAGCTCAACGAAAGCCATTTTGGCAGTTATTCTTGACGGGTATCTTTGAGGGGGGCTAGACAGTGCAGATATGCAGTGTAAAGAGGAAGAGTATAGTCTCTGGAAGTCTGTTGGAATAGAAGAAAAAGAGTAGAGGCGGAGGAGGCAGAAGGGGGATAAACTATCGTTTTTTTCCCGGTCATAACGTAAGTGGGGAATGACGGCCTGATTGGTTGAACTACTCGGACTCTCCATTCGCTGGCCTCCAACTTCACCGCATCTTTCTTCATCTTTACTGCAATTGGCTTGGAGTAGTTCAATCTATTCTAGAATAGTAGTTCTTTTAAGATATCGTCTACGATCTACTGCATTCCTACCAATCAAGTCTTTACAGAATGGAGGGGCAGAAGCCTTTGCAAAGCAGATCAAGCACAGTGATAATCCTGCGGGTCCCGAAGCCACTCCTTTAATAGGACCAGGGATTAGGTATCAGGACTTTGATCTTCTTTGCTTTTGACCTGCAGAGTCGGGCGCTAAGCAGGAGCTGACTTGATCTATCCTCACGGCGATGAATCATTTTATGACTCAACCAGGTAAAGTACCAAAGTTCTATATCAAGTTTATTGGCTATTGAGGGTATTTACCTACTTCGGTCACTCAGATATAATTTTCATGGTGGCAAGATTAGGAGTCATCTTGGCTCCGACCTGGTCTTCGGGAACCTGCAGAACCACCGTTGCACTCGTTGGAGGCGGTAAGCATGGACAACGTGACCGAGGCTTGCGATAGATCAGATCTATGATCTGTATAGTTACGTAGTAGTATTTTTTACTCTACTTTCTACTTTCCAACTTTTTCCCACGTACTTCCGAGTAAACTACAGAATACGGAGTACTCCGTCCTGTAACGCAAGTGTTTCCCCTCATCTCGATTCTAAGCCCCGCCGTGTGGATAGAAATTTCGGCCAATCAGACTCTATTATATTAGGGAAAATAGCACAGTTTATCTTTCGTCTACCATAATTTAATTTATTATCATGCTGACAGTTGAGATTGTTGAGAGACATCCACTACCAGTGGTCGAATGTTTGGATGAACGTACTACTTGGTACGAGATCAGAAGTCATCCTATCTACTACAACTACTGTGGCATGATGTTGTGGTTCCTTTCATTAGTCATTACGTAGTAGAAATTAATTATTTAGTTAATAAATAAATAGAAAAATTTGAAACTTTTAAAAAGATTAGTCATTCGTTTTATAACGTGAACTGTAAATAAGAGCAGAAAACGTGGAGCTCAATGTCGACGATCAACAAACCGAACAAACGTATATCAGATTACCTAACAGAAACTACTTTGGGTCCATAAATCATCATCCAAGTTGCCACTCTATATCGCCACTTCCTAGGCTACCGTTGAACCTCATAATATGGAGTACGGAGTATTCCATCCGGCATCACGTCTTTTGATCAAGTTCCCGGGTAAGGGGAAATACTTTCAGGAATCGGCTCGTTCTTGGACCGGGTCCAATATGCGAGGCGAGACTTTGATCGAGTCGGGATGCCGGGGCGAACATTTTCTTGGTTCGGGCTCTGGGCCGGCTCCGAGACATCTATTTCCGTTCCCGACGATGCCCGAGCCTGCTCTACCTTCTTCACACCCTCTCGAATCTCATCGGTTGAGGCTCCCTGGGGTGCTGTCGTAACAAGTGTCTCCGTGGGACGGATCTTGCCTTCTGATGTCTCCGCATTCAGCTTCTGTATCTCCTCCTCAGTCACGATGCGTTCGTTTTCAAGACGGACTTCACGTCCGCGTTTATGACAGTACCACAGAACGAATAGAAGTACTAATGTGGTGTTAGCATAATATCGAGGTAAAATTCATCAATCCGCTTACTGAACAACGCCAGTGACCACAGAATGTTCAATCCCATGACTGCCGGGAACCGAGCACGCAAAAATGCCATAATCGACCGCAACATGCCAACCATCGCAGCTGGTTTAGAGACAAGCTCTTTCAAGCTGGGCATACCAATCTTCTCTGCAGCCGATGCTGCCTTGCCAACATGCTCCATGTTGACACCACTGCTGCTAGCTTTTGAGGCTGCCACAGCGAGCATCTCCGGAGCCAGGGTTTCTGTCCATTTCGCAGGAAGCTTCTCAATCAGATTTTGCAGGAAGCTCGGCAGCTTGGTATATGTATCTTGCAGCTGGCGGTTTCCGTTTGTCAGAAGCATTTCTAGGTCGTGGTATGCAGTGGGAACACCATTTATTAGGTCCTTGAAGATCAACTTGAACTTTCGCAGCAGCTCTTGCGTCTCGGCGCTTATGGAGAATACCCGATTGTTGTCCGCTGCCAGATTCAATCGCTCAAGGACATCCGTAATGTCCTCCAGATCCTTTTTGTCTTCCTGTTCATTGCTAACTGGCGTTTCCGTCGTTGCCAGGGTTGGGGATCGCTTTTTGCTCTTGTCTGCCGACGAATCTTTGCCCTATACAGATAAAAGGCATTAGCATGTGTAGATTCGTAAGTGATTGATTAGTGAAAGGTTGCATACCTTGATTACAGAGTTCTTTCTCCCAAATATGCTCCATCTCTTCTTCTTCTCAGGGGCTGAGAAAGTTGGTGATTTTGACGCCTCCAGTGTTGACCCAGCTGAGTCTCCTTTGTGACCTGCTCTCCTTCCTGCCTCGCCTAGTGTTTTTCCGAAGTCCTCAGCTGGGGAAGCAGGGAGTGGAATATCTTGGGCGCCTTCGTCCAAAACAACCGACTTAGAGTGTTCGACAGGAGTCTTAACCACATCATTCTCAGAAGACTGATCCGTGAGATGCTGCAAGTAGACCGCGTCCTCATCGGTTAGAACAGGGTCATACGACCTCGTAATCTGCGAAGAGCGTCGCCGGTTCCTGAGCTGGTTGATATACTGTGACATGATAGAGAGTGCGAAACAGTTATCGTGGATCTCTCAGTTCTCAGTGCTGAAAGCAGGTGAGGTTGCCAAAGATGATGCGGCCAGCCGCAGCAGGGGTTCGAGCTTCGGGCACGCGCCGGTTGATAGATCACCTTATTAGGCAGCTAGGGGTGCAGAAATATCAGAAATATTAGATTTTACTGAAACATGTCTTCCTAAATGTAGCGACCCAGACTCTTCCAAGAAAAAGATAGATGAGGACGCTTCAATAGGGTTTGCGTTGTTTCTACTTACAGATGGATGATATCATCGTGGCTGATGCGGGGGATCGATTTCCCCACGATTTGCACCGCCACATCGATTTATGCAAGTGAAAGCGAGATACCATGGACGTAAAACTGTCATTACAGTTTTCAAAAAAGTAGTGTGACTGAGTGTTAATTAGTTCCCAAATGCACCACAGAGGTCAAGAGATGAAATAGTTCTCTAATTTTGATTTTGTAACCTGGAAAGTTCGATCTACCTATTTATGTAAGCTGTATTTGAACAAATCTAAAATGATGAGGTCTACAAGACCTCGGAAATGGGGAGCCCCAGGAAGATAAAGCCACGGTCATATCTCCCAGATGCCAGTCCTCCTCTTGATCATCCTCGGGAGTTTCCACTCATCAAACTTGGAATTTCCTATTTGGATGAGAATCAATAAAATTCCAAATATGAGACTCATCCCGATGTCTTCTTTTATCCGACTTTCCGGATCGTAGACACCCACGTGCTCAGATAGTATCCTAACGAGCGATCTTAACTACTCATTTACCTAAGTAGGTATACTACCAACCATGCTGAGATCTAGAGCTCAAGGGCACGTCCACGTATATTACTCCCCAGGGCTCTAGGTGGATTTACGAAGTATAGAGGTCCCAAATACCAACGTAGCTTTTGGATTTCAGACTTATCAGTCTATCCATGTATATATTCACATGTTAGTCAAAATGACTCCTGTGGACCCTGCCCCGGACCTCGGGCTTCAGGAACCAAGTGGACTTTTAGATCTATGGGAGATTCCAACCTCATGTGGAAAGTTCCAAGGCTCAAAATGGTGCAATTCCTCGACATTAGTAGCAACTGAGCGCCCTCTAGGTATACGCCAAGGACTGGCAAGGTTGATACTAAGTTTCATCTTCATCCGGCAGATAAATAGATAACATTTTCAGTGTCGATCACCATGTTGACCAGAAGTGGGGCATAAAGACTGGCCAAGCCCGCGGCCACTACCTAAAATGACAAACCACCGAGCTAAATACTGGAGCTGAAACGAGAGACTCATTTTTGAGATGGTTTGTGTTCTCTATCTATCCGAGCCGTTCAAGAGATATTCACTCTTTTGTGGAAATCTAGACTGATATGGATTCATCCGAAGGGACTTACAAGGTTTCCGGCCCCAGGGGTTGGCTGAATATTGTGAATGGGCGGATTCTCGAATTTCAGTAGTAAGAATCACCCCAGCAAAATCAACAACTATACATATGCAAATCCTTCAAAATTAGGCTTACATCAAATTATTGTCGGTTGACAATATTACCGGACAGGCAGTCTACTATAGTAGAGGTATGCGAGTGGGAAACCATGTGTCTACCAAATGATAGCTACTTGGTCTATATAGTCTGTTTACTAAGTCATGTTTCCGCCAAGTTTTAGCATCATCCGCATATTGCAAATGGCGTTGGCTTCATCAATTAGCTTAGAGATTGATTCATCTGTTGATTCCAATCAGAAAGAGGCGTAGTAAAAATCCCCCAGTAGGACGGTTTACGGCATTTTATGCAAAAAGGTAGTCGCATTTATGGGGGTAAAATTCATTGTAGCGGAATATTTTCAACGCCGATACGCGAAGCCTGATATAGAGATCACATTGCAAGCTTTCATCGGCTTATTTCTCCGATCTGTTTGCCCCATCGGTCACATGACCTAAGTCATATGTCAAAGGTCCGATACGGGATAACGCCCTCCCCGTTTTCGTCTTTTTGCTGTTCGTCGAAGTTGTCGATGTATTCTTCCACGGCTTCTCGGTGAGACCCGGTTTTCGTAGTTCCTGATACCCAGCGTCTTCACTACGCTGCGCCATTCGTAGCAAGTTTTCGTAGTCTCCTCTAGCCCGGGTCTCCATCTGAATCTGCGTCAGAGTCAGATCCAGCGTCTATATGCCTAAACTGCTCAAGGCCAAAAGACATTAAGAAGCTTCGACAGGCCTACTTACATAGACCACTATCCTAGTTTTCCACCTAGTAAATTCAAGGCTTCAAGTTTAATGTGCGCCAGGCCTCTCCCCATACGTGTCTCTTAGTTTACTCCTTAGGTTTATGCTGTACGTAAGCAGGATCCATAATGTGTGTATTTAAGCGGGATTTCATCCCTAGATAGACAATCCAGTTTCGTTAACCAATCTGGTTGGACGGTCAAAAATCTCATTTAACATCATATGTTGAACTTACAAAACCGAATAATCTAATAGGAGTAAAATCGTGTCTAGATTCTCAAAGTGGATTCTAGATATTCAAAGTGGATCCTTGCAAACTATGCAAACATACCACGGTTTGACATCATATGACATCCGAATAGTAGTACAACAGTCATTGACCTCAAATTGACAGCCTAGCAACAACATTTCTACTCTATAATCTTAATCTAGAGATAGCATGCACCCAATTCTCCAGCTGCTATCCCACGTGCCCAACCGGGCACCGGGGAAGTTCCAATGTTGTTCACCGGAGCACTGCCAAAGTACCCCGGTTCGCGGTATCTTTGCACATGTAGAAGCTGTTTGAGCTAGCGTCAATAATTTAGCACTGAGATTCTGGTTCTACTCAATAGGGGGCTTCTCCTGGTAGGATAAATATCAGTAAAAAATCTTCTCTACTATCAGTATCTGTCATATCTCAATCATGCTCTTCAAAAGCTTCTTCGCAGCCGCACTCGCCTCTCAGGCAATTGCTACCCCTATCTTGGAATCACGGGCGACCTCTGGTTTGTTTATTTCATCTAGATTAACGACGGACAGTTGACTAACGTTCAATCAAAGATTCATCCGCTTTTGCCGCCCTCCAACGCGCCGCTAATCTCTCATCCGCTGCCTATACAGGATGTTCTGGCTCTGCATTCGATATCACAATTACCAAGCAGATTAATGATAACGCGTCTGATACTCAGGTTCGAACTACATCATCAACAATTATCGTCGGTCGATCATAATTAATCTTCGTAGGGCTATATTGGATACTCTAAATCAGAGAAGAAGATCTCGGTCGTGATGCGAGGCTCCACAACCCGTAATTTTGCCCCGCAGTTTGATCACAGTAGCTTTTCTGCTAACGTTCTTTAGTAATTGATATTGAAAACGATATCGACCTTGTAATGGTCACTCCAACCCTTTCAGGAGTCTCTTTCCCCACTGGGGTAAAGATCATGCACGGCATTTATAGCCCCTGGTCCGCCGTGCATCAAACTGTGATTTCGGAGGTCAAGTCTTTGATCGAGAAGTACCCCAGCTACTCTTTGGAGTCAACTGGTCACTCGCTTGGTGGATCCCTCACATATATCTCCTATATCGCTCTGGTACAGAACTTCCCTAGTAAGAATGTTACTAGCAATGCAATGGCTGCTTTCCCCATTGGCAACTCGGTCTTTGCCAAGTGGGCTGGCTCGCTCAACGGAACTCTGAACCGTGGTAACAACGCTGATGACGGTGTTCCTGTAAGCTTATCAATCGGATTTCTGGATACAACTTTACTGACCATGTCTCAGAACCTATGGACCAGTGCTCCATTCTCCCTCGTTCACTATGGAACTGTAAGTTCTCATCTCAATTCCCGAAGTCAGATCTGATCATATTGCTCACATTCAATACTTTTCGCAGGAGTATTATAGCTCAGGTACTGCTGCTAGCACTATTAAGTGCTCTGGTGAACGTGACTCGCAATGCTCTGCTGGTAATGGTCTTCTTAGTGTGAGTGCTGGCCATTTCTACAGCTTTGGAGTCGAGTTGGGCTTTGTTGGATGCAAATAAGTCATTTAAAGTGACTTGAAGCAACTCGTAGATCTCGAAGATCTTTCAAAAGTTGGAAGTCAAAATTCCAAGGTCCAACCTGTTATTAAGATTTTATCGGAAACGCCTATCAAGGTTTTGTCCGACTAGCACACTAACTATCTACATTCTGTTTGTTATTTACTTGACTTTAATGTATGTAGTAGCCATCTTACCCCCATAGTCGATCAAATCTGCGAAGAAAACGATATTATCGCTCTTTATATACCACGTATTGCTTCGTATCTTTTATAACCTTTAGATATAGGCTGTTCTTCGCCTTTAAAGAAGCTTTATAGTGCTATAGTATCAAATTAGATGCAATTTCGTGTTAGTTTTTGTAATGGCGTACGGAGATGCGGCCGGCATTATGCTCAATTCAGTGTTCTACAAGGTTGATATATATATAGAACTTGCGCATAATCTTCCTGTCGGTACACCTGTATCAAGTGTAGAATAGCTATTCGATAGGCTAACGCCCACTTCTGACACCTATCACAGGTAACGCTTTACGCCCCTATGATATCTGTGTGTCCTTTGAAGTGGTTGTAAAGTCTGGTTTTTCATTCATGGTGAGGACTAGCTATTTATCCTACAAGTTGCTCTTCTGTCTGAGACGAATGTGTTCCATCGTTTAAGACAGAATAGCTGTTAAAGACGGGACATCATAGTTATATGCATACTGTTCAAGGCTGTCGTTTGCGATGCACTCTGAACAGGGATTCGTGATGTGTCGTTTATCTGATATTCCAACTGTTGGAACCAATGGAATCTGGTTTACTGCAGTGAATGGACTCGGGAAGTGAATAGAACTAGTGGAATCGGGGGATATCCTATTCTATCGCGGGAACTGAGAATGAACACACATCTTACCGCACACTTATTACACGTACAACGTAGTAGTAATAGTGCATCGAGATCCCTGTGAACCGACACCAACACTTCCGCTCGGAAGATTATTATAGCCTTTTTGGCCCAGTGGAATAGCCTACAAGCGCAAGTGTAGATCTTTACAGTTTTATCGATAAAGATGATTTGCTTCTCATCTTCCCAAATATATGTTATAGAGCTTTTAAAGTGAATACTATAATCAATAGTTTTAAACTAAAGACTAGTTTAGATTCAAATCAGGTGTTAGATAAGTCGAATATTCGACTTGAATCTTTACCTCCACTCCCTTTAATATCAGATCCTTTAATATCAGATCGACCATTATCATTAGGAAGTGATAGTGATCCTCGCTCTATTTACACGCTCAGAAAGCTAGCGAAGTCGAAATATTATATTAATTTAGGTCTAGAATCGTCACTTAATTTGATTCTATTACCTACGAAAGGGGTGATTCAAAAATATTACGATCGCATAATTCGAACAGCTCATCATCATATGTTCTTATATGATCGCTATAGTCATTTAGAAGAGATGAACAGGAAATAAGTGAAAAAGGGGCTCTAGTAAGAAGCAGACTATTTATAAAGGTAGTTTAGGAGGCTTAGAAGAGATTAAGAATGATATTGGTGGGAATAACGATGAAGTGATGTATATCTGATGGTGAAGCTGCTTAGAATGTGTCTACTGAAACTGATTTGCCTATAATGCCTAAAACTAGGCGCCAGCTATCCTGCTCTGGGTGTGGTAAAGTATGGCATAGGGTCAATCAGTGTCAGAATTGTGCTATTTAGTTAATTTTATGGTGTTTTGGTTCTCAAATATGGGTTTAAAATTATATATTTTTTGAAATCTTGATGGGATGTTTCGAACAAGCGGGATCTATGTAAATCACCTGACAACTAAATAGCTGGGACTAATAACTATCACCACGGCCAATACCAAGCCCATGATTAGCCAAGGCGGCAGGAGAAAATAAATTAACAACTTTGAAAGTCACGACTGTCTACACTCACACTATGACTGCAGCCTGCATGTGATGTCGACTGACTCAGCCCTGATGACAACCGGCTGAGATATCACCTGACCCAGTTGTCTTACATTTTAAATACCGCGTGAACGAACCCCTCTCTTATTCTTCCTCCACGCTTGCCAGAGTTTAAAACTACAGAGTCCCAGGACTCACAAATGCCCAAAGCTATCGCCTGAAAATAGGTTTGTCCATTTTTTGATGGACAGAGCTTTTTTTTGGAGAAAAGCTTCCCTAACTCTTTCACATGATCTTGTGAACCGCAGCGTCACCGTTCCTATCGACCAACTCGTATCGCTCTTTTTGATTTCTTGATTGATGGTTTCATGATTCCAGTATTCCAACCATTCCTCTGCTAGGCTCTCTCTATAAGCCTTTGAATTATATTCTATTTCAAATCCAAGTCCTAGTCCAAGTCCAAATCCCCTCGTTCATACCTTCTCTCATCATGTTTAAGCGATCATTTAACTCAAAGGGCTTCATATCGAAGGGCCGAGCCGGCAAAGCCGGCAAAGCATCGAAGAAGAAGTTCGATGAACAGGTGAAGGATAAGATGCAGAAAGATATGGAGAAGGAGGACAAGGAGGATAATAAGTCCTTCATAGGAAGGTGATACACTGCCGAATGACTCATCTAGTTCTATGGACGAAATGAGAAGGAAGTACCTATACTAACCTGAATTCGTAGTTCACTGACCAGCCCTATCATTACGATTACGGTTGGAGAGGAGCAGCGCCTTTTCGCAGCCCATGAGGATATCCTATCCATGTCTCCATGGTTTTGTACCGCCATGAATGATATTATCCCGGAAGATGGTGCGAAGCAGCTGGCTTTGCCTGATGAGTAAGTATTTTCCTTCCACCTTAATAACTCATCATCTAATACATAGAACAGAGAGCCGGAGGTTTTGTCGTGTATTCTCGAGTTTCTGTACAAGGGAGACTACTACCCGCGCCTTCTGGCTGGCAAACGTAGCAACTCATGGCACCTCGAGAATACGAAGGATGTCCAGACCAATGATAGTACCAGTGGAACATCGAGTGAGGCGACCATCTTCCACTCAGCAGTGGGAGAGCTCATCCTCCGAGATACAGTGATATACTGCGCAGCCGAGAAGTATGGCCTGGAAGAGTTGAAGCGTATTGCATTTCGCAAGCAAGGGCTTCAGTTTGGGATTCCGGCCGACTTGATCCTCCGATCTGCTCGGTATGCGTATGACAATACCCCTGACTCGGACTCTCATCTCCGTGCACACTACCTGGCTCTGATAATCCGAAACCGCAAGACCTTTAAGAGAAGTGGAACCATGCAGATGGAAGTGGAGAATGGAGGCCAGTTATTCTTTGATCTGTTTGTGGCCATGTGCAACCACATGGATGATCTTGCGGAAATCCGGTAGGATCATTCTGTTTATTTTAGTTTCTGTACCTTTTTCATCCTGAATTGCTGAGGTCGCTACGGCTAACAGAATCTTCCTTTAATTAAGCATGGATAAATGAATTACTTACATTATAATTCTCTAGTCTCACGCGAACCCCGCGGTTATTGTTCTAACCAGTCGTCTAATTGTCATATTGCGCTTGTCTGCGTTCTAAGAATGAGATACGTCCTATTATCGTGTAGGTTCCATCTAATCCCTCTAAAAGTCTTCTGATGGCATGTAGCTGATTCTGCTAGTCTTCCATTCCATCTTATTCAGCTGCAATCACCCCCATCCATTCGAGTCACTCTTTTGGGGAAGAATTATCAGGAACTGATTGTACTTAATAATAGCCTGAGCCAGTTACTAGCTCATTAAATTGTCAAGTAGTACAGTCCCAGCAATCCAAGAATTCAATTGAATCTTCTCACAACACCTGGTCACTGGCGTAAATGAGTGTGTGACCGTCAATATAGAACTTGCTTATCCAATCACTTCTCTATGAATCACGAGAAAGAAGACTTCCTGACTAGTTCCTCGGGGATATCTACTGGATGGGATATTGCGACGCGTGATCCATTCTGAGTATAGAGATCCCTGACTGGGATTAATATCAAAGTGCGAGTGAGGAGAGCTCGGTATGAACCTTGAGAGAAGAATGATGCCACTGGCGAGACATCATATATTTTACACTCATATTGCGAAAGCGGATAGAATTCACAAAGATAACGGCCGCAAAAGGTACTTGTGCCGCTGCTGGATGATAAGTTTACTTTGGAAGTAGTGGGCGTCCCTGATAATGGTACGGCTTTAACGACTCACCCAGAGGAAGGGAGGGGGGGGGGTGCATAGTTGAAGAATCCAAAATCTGAGGTCTGAGTCCAGATTTAGTCTTTAATGTTGTGACTACACTGGCATCATATACGGGATCGACCAGATTGTTTAAGTTTGAGTCAGAGTGAACCTTCTTCTGGGTGCTCAATGAGCTATCCGCTGTAGAAATTCTTTGTAAGTTCCTATTAGATGTATATGCATCCGGCAAACAGCATCATATGTTTCATCCTGTGATTTCATCGTCTCAAGTTCCCGAGTGACTTTAGTTGTTGCGTTGTTGTGTTGTGTTAAATGGAGGAAAGAACTTGGGGATCACTCTGAGCGCACGTTCACGACCATACAGAACTTGGAATGTATTAGCCCAGCGTCATAAACATCCGAAGATGGCTATAGTGGAAGGTGGAGGAGATGATTAGATATCTGGAGGTGGCGAGGAAGGAAGAAGAAGCAGAGGAAGATTAGGATTTATAATGAAGATAATAAGATAGAAAGGCATCAAATACCAAGGAAGTGAATAAGAAGCTCTCAAGTGAGAGTTAGGGTGAGGTAAGACTAGGGTGAGTGTAAAGTGAACGTTCTCATAAAAAGGCATTATGCGGTGACTAGCTGGTATGTATTAGAAAACTTCCCATAATTAGCAGCTTTAGAAGAGTAAGCAGAACGATCAATGTAGCCTCTTGGTTGTGTAGATAATGGTATAATAAAATCATCAAATTACCCAGACGACTTTAGGTCGCTTCTTTCTGATGATTCTCCAACCTAGATGTTTTGGTGCGAATTGACAGTTCAGAAGATCTGAACTGATCGCGATCGAGAATTGTGAGGATAAAGGGCACTAAGCATAAAATGGCAAACAAGATCGTTATACAAAGGAATTGGTAAGGAATTGATGGTTAACTATGTACTGCTTTTGGAAGACCAAAACTCCATTTCAACTTCAATAATTGGATTTTACACAGTACATGTCCTTCGAGTATGCCCGGCCTTGATGACACCTTCTGCTTCTTCTTAGTAATCTTCTCAGGGTCTTCTAACTATTATCAACCTTGCAAGCCGGTCTTTGATAGGCCCCCCCCCCTCCCCCAAAAAAAAAAGGAAGCCTGCTATATTATATAAGCATAAAAGTTCAAAATCACTACTACTGTACCTATTGATACCCTGCCAGGCCACACTTCACCTAAGTATGAAAAGAACAAATTTAAAGCTTGAACACCCACACGGATAAAGTGCATATTGCATCACACCTTGTCAATGTGTTACTGCCAGCATGGGCCTCTCAGCCACCATGATAACAGTTGCAGATGACCATTAAAATGAGCCAAAATTCAGGGCGCAGGTATAATGTGACCAGTGTTATCTTACGCAACAGCTCCAAAAGCTCAGTCCTGAGAATATGTTAAATAGTTGATTCCCCGACCGCTATTACTTGGTCAAATGACGGCCCATGATAGGCTTCGCATGAGCCCGCTCCCCACTTGTCTATCGAGAAGCCACGGTTCATTTGTTGTTCTTATCTGAGCTCAACATTTGGTTCACTCTTCTTATGGGAACTCAGGAGATAGAAATATTTCCTATCAGCCACTATATTGAAAGCTCTTCTGGCTTTAAGGTGAGCTGCAAGGCCTTTTTTCCGAAGTCACATGAGACATGGAGGGTTGGAAGTCTGCTGGACTAAATCCCCTTCCTTATCCCCACTCCTATAAGCGGCAACATGCTACTAGCTGGGGTCTTGTTTTTTTAACAACGGTTTTTTTTGTTCTGTTATGGAAGGGTCAGTTGCCTCATGTGAATAATACGTTTAGGCAGCCCGTCACTTTAACTAGGCCTTTTAGCTGGGATCAAATTGAGCCATCTAAGTCCTTGAAATATAGTGACTGTGATGACTTTGAGTGCGCTCGGCTCGAGGTCCCAATGAACTACAACAGTACTGATTGCAAAGGGCGGAAATTCACTTTGGCTATTGTGCGAGTCCCAGCAAAGGTGCCGGTAAGTGATCCTCGATATGGGGGTGCAGTCTTGATCAACCCTGGTAGGTTCACCCGAGCCCTTTTTCATTATTATAAGATTGGAACATCTCTGATCTGTATAGGCGGCCCTGGTGGCTCTGGGACATTGCAAGCGTTCATATCAGGCCGAAACCTCCAAACAATCATTGATGCAGAAGATCACCCAGATGATGGGCCAGTCAAGAAAGAAGATAAGTATTTCGATATCATTGGCTTTGATCCTCGTGGTGTGGGCTCTACTACGCCTGCAGTAGCATGCTTCCCTGATCCAAACTCTCAGCGAAATTGGGAGCTACAGGTGGAAGCTGAGGGCATGCTGGGAAGCCGTCCTGACTCACTGTGGAGAAATTGGCAATATACCCAGGCCTTGAACTCGGGATGTTCGGTTTGGGAAATGACTGCCACCCATGAGAATGAGACTATGATGTCATATTTGAACACGCCGCTAGTTGCGCAAGATATGATCACCATTATTGAACGCCATGGAGAGTGGCGAGAGGCAGAGGGAAAAAAAGCACAGGCGACTCATGATAAATGTCATGGTGCTGACAAGACTCAATCGATTATTAAAAGAACCCGATGGCATCGAAACGAAGAGCCCCTATTTTTCTGGGGAAGATCATACGGTACTCTCTTAGGTGCGACATTTGCCGCCCTCTTTCCAGACCGGGTTGCGCGCGCTGTTCTAGATGGTGTTGTCAATATGGACAAGTACTATAGAGACACCGGCCCGAACGTGGTCATGGACGCTGACGCCATATTCGATCGCTTTGGCTTCTACTGCGATGCCGCTGGCCGCGATGCATGTCCATTCTACATCGAGGGAGGCCCGGAAGCCATTAAGAACACATACTGGACAATTGAAGAGCAAGTATTAAACATGTCGAACCCAGTCATGGCCTCATTCACCAGAGGACCTGAAGTTGTTACGTGGACTGACCTGAAAGCTCTTCTTCGTGCTGCTATCTACCAGCCACTGCTCTCGTTTCGACTATTTGCCGACACGATGGGTGCTCTGGCAGAGGGTAACTTTATTCCCATGGCAGACTTCAAGCATCGCAGCCACTTTAGCGCTTGCGCTTCTAGTGCATGTAGTATTGCGGGTCCTTGGTCACCTGCGTGTGTTGATACCCAGGATAACTCACTGTATGCCAGCTCTGCTATTATGTGCACCGATGCAGAATACCTGACTGAGCATACTGTCGAGACTTTTCAAAAGAACTGGGATGGACTGAAGGCTGACAGTGCTACACTTGGAGATTACTGGTCTCAACTACAACTAGCGTGTGTGGGATGGAAAGCTAAGGCGAAGTACAGATTCGACGGTATGAACCTGCGGGAATGTTCGCTCTCGTCATACAAGTTCACTGACCTTGACCTTGTATTCTAGGGCCATGGGGTAGTGTGACTGCTCACCCTATGTTATTAGTCTCAAATATCCTTGACCCAGTAACACCTCTATGGAGGTATGTTTGCCTTATACAAGCGCCCACTTGCCTTACTAAGAATCATTCTTAGTGCAAAGCATATGTCGAAACTATTCCCTGGATCTTCTGTCCTTCAGCAGGACTCAGAAGGGGTATGTCTAATCAACACACTCGTTAGAAAATAGCTAACCTTGAAACTCAGCATACTACAATTGCAGCACCTTCCATCTGTGTCGCAAAGGAAATCCGTAAATACTTCCAGACTGGTATTTTACCCCAGAGCGGCACTCTCTGTGCGGCCGATGTGAAGCCGCTTATAGGTCACGATCAAGCAAAGCTTCAAGGTCTCAGTCCTTCCGACCAAAGTCTTCTAGATGTGCTGATAGCAGAGGTCGAACATGGATTTCGGCCTCATCAATTTCTATGAGATGAACTCCTGGTTTCATTTCCTCTCCAGCACCTGGTCATTTAAGTGGCATTTACGGATAATTTGACGAGCAATGACGCATGTCACTACAAGGCTGACTCAGCATATCCATTGTGGCAGTTTCGATCATTTCAGTTTCATTATATTCGGCCTTTTGACACATATTTTAGTTTGATAGCGCAATGCATATTCAACTGCTCAGGTGATCAATTAAGTCACTGGGGCCTGGGCACTTGATACGAAGACTCATCACTACCTCCCTAAATATAAACCAACATCCCCAGAGTCATAAATTCAAATCCCGACTAAACAGATGAGCCAGTTAGTCACGTACCTCAACACCAATTAAGTAAATTGATCAAGTCAATCATTCACACCCATTTCATGCAACACCGTTTCCGTAAGTTTATCCTTTTGATCATCCATTTTCTCCTGCGCAGTATTCCAGCTGACAGTAACAGGATCATGCGTCTCCCCACGAATTCTCCCACCATTCATATTCCACAGTTCGAATCCCAGGTCCGTAGGGCCAACAACTACCTTGAGGTTGATGTGAGCAACGTAATATTTTGGTCTGAAATCATACCAGTGGTCGTTCTTCGGTTTCCGATCCACGCTGCTCATGTCTACCCGTATGTTGCAGATGAGTCGCGCCCCTGGACGGGACATGCTTTGTGGAAGTTGGTGTAAGGGTAATGTTGACATGACTATTTGGGCCATCCAGGGTTTGTTGAGGGTATTTGGGAGAATCTTTCGGCGGAATACCTGGGTTACCCCGGCCCGGGGTACTAGCTGACCCTATAGAAGAACCAAAGTCAGTCGGAGCACGGCTAGCCACGGAGCAGATCAGAACGGAAACGTACCTGCTTTACTATCCAGTCTATCTGCTGAGTAGCGTATATCTTCTTATCCCATTTGTCATGTCGGACTGTCTCCCCTGTGTGTCGACTCGGATCGTATAATTGATCACAGATAACACCGTAGCTGACGCGGCTGAATAGCGAGTGGATGGTGTGAGAACCTTGCTGGAGTTGCTGTTTCCTGTTCAGGACCAAGCCTTGGACTACGGCTAGCTGTCTGCAGTGATTTGATAATTAGCCAAGTTTCAGTCTTTTGAAGTTAGAGATATTTGGCTTACGGTTCATCCACAGTCAAAACCTCGATGGGATTTGACATAATACGTCGATCCTCGTATCTGTCCTTGAGCTTTCGTCTCATATAAGGTGAACCTCCAAAACCACCTGATAGAACGATGAAAGACTAATTCTTCTGGTTAGCGATGCATTTTTCGTAGAGCACGCGACATCCATTGGAAGAGGGCTATACTGACTATTTTTTCTAATGGGTGAGTCCGATGTAGCCGATCAATCTGATCATCCAGTAAACAGTGCATCTCCTTAGCTCTGAGATCAAAAAGTTCTCTTAGTTCTTCCTGAGTTATTTGAAGACAGCCTTTGACAATCTTAGCTTCGGGGAAGTTTGCCTCCTCGCCGAGGCCAGGAATCGAAAGCTCTAACGGACCTGCTTCCACAGTCCCTGTGGACCCAAATGAACACTTGAACTGCTCAAATCCATGATTCTGCATCATCTCACGGGCAACTTCGCGGGAGGGACGTGGAAGTAAATGTTGGACCTTGTTCAGTTTGTTACATAGGATTTCGTGAGCTCCGATATCGATCATGACAGATCCACTTGCTTCTCCTATGTGAAGATTAAGTTTCAAATACTATCTTAAAAGAGATAGAGTCCCATCCATACCTTCAACTAAGCCGAGAGGTGCGAACTTCGTGGGTTCGCCCGGGGCAGACAGGAACTTGAGGATGTTGACATCCATAGTACCACCACCAGCATCACAAACGAGGATAACATCATCTCTTTGATAGTTGTGACCACTAGCGTAGACTGCAGCAGCTTCGGCTTCCGTAAGACCGATAGTCGCTCTATGCATCGGAGAGCTCAGAGTAATATAATCCTTAAGTCTTGCTACCATTCGAGGATCCTTCCATGTTGTCGGAACACTGAAGATAAACTCTACTCGCCTTGAGTTAAATCGTGGAAAGCCCTCAGCCAAATGAGAAATTGTGTAGCGATAAATAACAAGAATGTAATCCTGGAACCACCGCATTGCATCCTCGCAGGATGGGGCATCTGGCCGGACATCTTTGAAGTGCGGATCGAGATTGAGCTTAAAGTCTTCTTTGATATCGATAGCTGGGTCATCACGTTCCACGTTGCATTGGAAGCCCCAGCTTTTCACCACGCCTGAATTGGGGTGATATATTAGTTGTGAGGGCACTTTGTTGGCGAGGTCCGGCCTCGCCAAGCCTGGCCAGTATTGGAGAGGTTTGGGAGTTGGCCATTCGGGGGCATATGAGTAGGCGACACCTATAGAAATAGAGCAAGTTAGCTCAAAAGACCGATACGAGAGCGAGTAGGTCAACTCAAGACTTCGAGTAAACTGAGAGATCTTTACCAGTGCATGTCATGCCAAAATCTACCCCTACCACAAAAATCGGAACCCAATCCGCCATCTCGGCTAAACGGTAGAGAGCCTTAGAAGTTCGGATTATAAGATAGCAGCTTGAGCTCTGGAACTGTGCACACCATCATGGAGTTCTCAAACAGGGTTGAATCTCAATGATACAGAAAACAAAAAGTCGAATTGAAATTCATCGGACCAGGATTCATGGCCCCCAGCCAGTACGAAGCTGTATATCAAACCACTTCCCGTTCCGAAATGATGCGAGCTAATCCTCCTCTATCATTGGCACTTGGGGGCTAGAACTTGACATCTGAAACATGGATTGGAACTAGGCGCTCAATAGGATTATGACCCACTCTGGGAACATTGAAATATTAAATATTAATTGATAAGTCTACCTAGAAAATCTATTTCGAGACAAAGCTGACGAAAAATGGACCTTGGAATGAATAGTGACCACCCAGAGCCGTATGTATATAATTCAGCACAAAACGCAACACCCGTACTCCGTACATGAAATTATGAAAAGATATTGCAAAAAAGTAATTACTCCAGTTCAACGGGGGTTTTCTTTCGTATCTGATGTTGGGTGCTACTGGCTTTCCAGGAGCGTCTCCATGTCAAAACTTGGCTGAGAGCATAACTTGGGGGTAATGTTTGAGATTGAGCTGTGCTCAGCCCTAATTGATGCGTTGGCTCAATTCTAGAAGTCGCCACGGGGATCAATGCGTTCCGGTTTTGCAGGAAGGCGATAGTAGTGGTCAGAGACTGGTGACATATGGTCATGTGCGCATATTGATCTCGGGCTCTTTGGCCATCTCCAAGTGCCCACCGTAGACGAGTTGTCATATTGAGCCTCCCCGCTCGACTCTCACGCTCAATGCGGTATGGCTCTAGTAGTTGAGCCAAAGTGTGGGCAGCCTTTTCAGCTTCTGTGATCACTCCATCGATCCAGGATAGATCCTCCACGCTCAGTAGTGATAACTTTAGATCTCGTAGCCGCTGAGCTTCGCGAATTTCTGTTCCAATATACTTGATTGTAGAGAAGATGGTCTCATCGCCGACCGAATCACGTTGGATTGAGACACTCATGGCCAGGGGCCGGAGTAATGAAAAGGAGTTTGCAGTAACAGGTGCAGTGTGAGAATGTTGAAGACTGAATCTTCTTCTCTCGCTACTGATTGACATAGTCATTGCGTCTTGTGCCATTGGATCTTTTCGTATTCCCACATCGGACCTCGTCAAGGCAGTTCCAACTTCCAAGGTTGGTACTGCCCAGGTGTCCACGTGCAAGGACCGTGATGCTGCATGGTTATATCGAGGAATCGTACAATTTATGGCCCCACTTGTATGCCGAGATACTGTTTCATACTTCAATGTTGATACTTCCAACCAAATTGGTTGGTACAGGCTACAGGATAAGAATTGTACTTTGCAGTCTCGATCCTCCAAGTTCATCTTATGATTGGTGGTGGATAAATGTATTTACCCACTAAGTCCACTTTGTTGCAATAATTCTTAGGGTTAGGTCTTTAAAGGATCAATAACTTTCAAGACAGTACATTAGTGCTTACTTTGTACTTGAATACTCTCATCTAGACGACGTAGACTTAAGTGGGGCGTAGGTTAGAATGGTTGGGTAGACATTAGGGCTCCGATCATATCCCCGATCATATCGCAAAGCTCCTGATGCACTGAATATGGATACATCTAAATCAGATCAGCATCATTTTCTCCTTCAACCATGCTTGGAAAGTACAAAACAAGTAGACCAAGCCATCATGTGAAAGGTTGGGAAGGCAGATTTTAAGAAATCCCTTGAGATGGTCGCCTTCCCTTTCAAGAGGGACAACGCCACAGTCAAACTGCTAATATTAAATACTATATAGCCTTGCAAGGCCAAAAATCTGTAGGGACCGTCCCAGTAAGGATCCTCATCGTCATCCCCGCGGCCCCCACCTTAGAGGGACGTGCATGCAGATAGACCCCAAATTTGCTTATTTAGTGTCATGTCGCTAATAATTTCAGTGTCTTCAGTAACAAAAAACAGCCCGCGGTAAATTAAAGTGGATTACTAGTAAGATCCGCATTTTTAAACGGTACACTCCATCTATGCCATGGCTTTGTGCAGCTCTGTCTATGTAGGACTGGTACATTTAATTTCCGCTGTTTGAATCAGCTAACGGTTCTTCGTTTTCAAGGTTGAATCCGTCGGCTAGTATTTCCCGAGGCCTTGTAAAGTCTTGGTTGGACCTATCAAGTGCAGTTCTTCCTTGATATCAATTGGCTACGTTGACTATAACTAACGAGGTCGCCGAAGGATTCAGCCGTCAGCTGGAAACAAAATCCATGAACTGCTTACTGTGAAAAGACATCCAACCCCTAGTTCGCCTATCACTTCAGTGTCCAACTCAAATTATCTTCCTGCTCATCTAGTAAACATTGGAAGAGATGACGACGGCAACGCCCACTGTCAATATCTCAAAATCCACCATCACATTCTCGTCCGCGACTGATGTTGCGTTCAAGGGCTGGTATAGCACGGATGGCGGCAGTAAGTTGCTCAGTTCTTACTCAACTTTGTCTCTCACTAAAAGATCTACCTAGTCACTGCAACATTCTGCCCATCCAATCTCAAAACTCTAGTTGCTGGCGGTACTAACGATGCTTTCGTTGACTGCTGCCCCACGTCTGGGTGTTCTTTCCCAGCATCCTGTGCCTCATGCGGTGTCCCAACAACTTGTCTGTCCGGAAGTATCCAGGTTTACAATGCGAAGACCACCGATGCAGCGGGAAATACTGGCTACTATACCTATGATTGGTAAGAGATATTCTCCGGTCATACCTTGATCAAGGGCTGACGATAGCACAGCTGGGATGGCATAACACAAACCTGCAATTCTGTGACAATCTACGAACAACATGAAAAATCAACAGATGGATGGTCAAAAACTGCATTTTGGTGCATGGGAAATCAAGACCCTACTGCCATTTACCGGAACTATGTAATGAGTGAGTCTTTTATTCTTAAGATCATTTTTGGTACTGCCACTAAACACTGATGATATTTAGCCGATACGATAACTTTGACCTCAGCTACTGCAGGCATCACGACTGCGCCAACCTCAAGCTTCTCGACCAGCTCTACTACAAGCGCAACTCCAACAAGCACACCAATCAATAAAGGCTCCTCAAGTCATGCCGGCCCCATTGCTGGAGGTGTGATTGGAGGTGTTGTCGGTCTATCCCTGATCGTTGGAGCTGTCTTCTACTTCTTCAAAAAACACAATACCCCAAAGCCAGAGGCAGAAATAAGTGAATTTGGAACCGAGTATGTTTCTCTCCCTGCGAGGTAACTAGGCAGAAGAAGAATTGGGGCTCTCTTTCATTTCATTTTTCCCTGTATTTATGGGGTTTCACCTTTCAATATACCCTGTTTAAATTCCAGACCTAGCTCCTGGGGTCTTGTTTCTTATGAATTCATATAAGCTCTGTATCTGTCCAGTTTTGATCTTCACATTAACTATTTCCTTAATACAAAGCAATCAGAAATTCTCTAAGTCAATTCTTATTTGAACAATATGTAGCACGGGCAAATTCCCAGATCTTCTGGAGTTTGATAGCTGCCATCTTCTGACTGCCCTAACTACCTGGGCATCTGTTCAGAAATAATTGCTCAGGTGGCTGGAACTGACTTAACGTCGGTTGGAGGATGAGGGCTTTCTGATTTAGAGCAATTCAAACCGCACGGACCCAAGGGGTTTGGCTTTAACTCAGTCACATAATTAGCAGAACTGCATATATGCGTCGCCTCAAGATTTTTTCAGATTTGTATATACAGCCAATCAAGCCTTAAAGAAAGTCCCAAGACGCCCGCTTCTTACAGCTATCTAAGACTAAGAGTTCATTTATCAGGCACCTGAGCACAGCATTCAAATGTTTATTCACATCCATTTCATCTCATGTACATTGCACCTTCATGCAGTGGACTGGTCTAGAATCTCAATTTACATTCATCTGGCGCTGAGTTGCTGGCGCTCAATCTTAGTACAAATTAATACTAGGTATAGTTAGTAAACGTTATGTCAAAGTGAGCGCTACGTCAAAATGAACGCTAGGTAAAATTGAACGCTAGGTAAAATAGGTGCTAGGTGGAAGTGAGCACCATTCTCCTGCTAGAACCCATCTTTGTTAGTGTTTGCTGAGACCGCCCTTTTCACGCTTGAGCGAGCTCGTTCAGGGCTACTCAAGTTGTTTTTTAGCTAGAGGATAACTACCCAATCAAAATCTAGACTGCAAAGCTGTTGAACTGTTGAAAAATTGGAGGAAGAGCTAAGTACTGAGCATCAATCGGTATCTCTCTCTATCACTCTCTCAAATTACACTATTTTACTATGTGGATTGGACGAAATAATCATCGTTATGAAGAGTATATTGAAATTGTGAAGATCCATCATAGAATACTGAGACTCGGTTTATGCGGGTTTATACGCAAATTCCCATCGATACGAGAGTTGGAAGATAAAGAACAGGCTACAGGCTACCACTGATTTCTATCCTGTGGAGTTAGTAAAATTGCTAGATAATAAGAGCTTGGTTATAAGATTATTCCAGAATTGCTTGGCCTTCGGATAATTCCACAAATGACGACGATGCCTAGTGTGGCTGGGGCTTTGTTTGCTATCATGTATGGAAAATTGTTGCTAGAGAGTTCTTCTCGAAATATGGGTTCTGGAGATTGTCTTGGGAGGAGTGAGGTGCTATCAAGACAAAGTTTCAAACGTTTTATCAGTATGTTGCGCTATAAGTCTTACTAGTAGTGATTAGGGAGACTTTGAAGGCTGGATACCATACTTTTCCAAAACCTCTGGAATTATCTCCGGTCATGATGCCGGTGAATTGTTCTTGAGAGACCAAGAAAGGCTATCTTATGGCTTCTGCATATTAAAAGACTATTATACTAGTTATCGGGTTTTCTTATAGGAATCGGATCAAAATCAAAGTTAAAGTGAAGTTGCTTTTCGTCATTAAATTGGTATAAACATGAAGTACTACTCTTGATAGTCAAGCTGAGCCACCAATCGAACTGGACCAGGAGAAGAAGCGCCCCCAATCCCATCTTCGTGACGTTGTGACTCCGTATAAGCATTGACCACATTCTTAGCTTGAGGCGTTATAATCGAACAACCCATCCCATCAGCCTGACAGATGCGCATCCCTTGTACATCCTGATGTGCAATCTGTGCCTGGATTGCAGAAACATCCCAGCCCGACCAGCCTTTATTCTCCTTGTCACCAAACGAAAACTCGCCCCAAGTAGAGGTGTATCCACCAAACTGATCAATAGGAATACTGTTCCCAGGTGCTGCACCCCATCCACCTATTGAATCCTCGTCAAAGGCAACGTACTCAGTCTCACCGGGTGCCAGAACGAACTCCAAGGCAGAATGCCCATACCACCCATCTATCTTGTCGTCAGGGCCAATTTTGTTCCAAAGAAGCACTGTCCAGGGCTCGAATTTGGGACCAGAGAATTGGACCACGTATTTGTACCGGTGTGCTTCAGTCGGGCTGACGGCGATTATGTTGCTGCCCCATGGTATGCCGACGTTGCCTTTGTATCCGATCTCTGTGCCTTTTGGCAAGGTGCGTCCTCCAAATCCATCTGTAGAGAATGCTCCGTCTTTTGGAATCGATGTCCACTGCATGTCATCTGGGAGAGGCGAGTTCTGTGGATCAAGGGCTTCGCCTATCTCCGATGGAATTTCAAGTACTGCTGTTGCAGGAAGTATGTCTGGCAGACGGGGGAGACCTAGGAGGCCAGGTTCGGGCTTCGTGTGAGTTGTTTCGGATACAGGTCGGTCTTCAAAATGGTGAATTGGTGGTATAAATGAGGCAGTTCCCATTTCTGTAGGGCGGCTTGTGATACTGGTATGTGTCTTCGCAGAATTCGGCTCGATACCAGATGCAGGCTCACGGTTTGTGGTGGTTGGTACAGGTCGCTCAATACCGTGCTTCGTTGGATGGCCTGGTATTTTAGTGCCAGTGATTGATTTGCCACCGGTGGCACCAGTTTTGCTGTGAGGTGAAGACTCTGTTCTGGTTTTGTTAGAGACAGGTCGCTGAGCATCATGCTTTATGGACCCGATGGTCGTGTGAGAACCCGTTTTTATAGCAGTTCTACTGGTGCTGGACCGTGTTTTTGTAGGACTGAGATGGGTAGCAGATGCAGAAGTATGAGTTGAGGTGATTGCTGTAGGTTGTGCAATGCCATGATTGATGGAATGACTTAGTCTTCTAGTACTAGTACTCGCTGTACCACCATTGACACTGGCTAAGTGACTAGGTGACTCTGTTCTGTTTGTGTTTGACGTAGGTCGTGCAGTTCCGTGCATAATCAAAGGCTTTGGAACTCGTGTGCCAGTGCTCGCAGTATTACTTTCGAGGGTGGGAAATGATGTTGACTGAGATTTTCTTGTGCTAATGCCCGCCTCAGTCACAACATCTATCTCAGTGATAGTCGTGAGGACATTCGGAGTCGGCTCAAATGCAGAAGACTTAGACCAATGAGCCATGACTTGAGAATATTCTGACTTGGCTTGTGTTGGCTCCCGTACAGGCACATCTAGAATCTTACGGAGGAAAGCCGATGTGGTAGCAAGTTCCACACAATCTGCATATACAGTCGTAGTGAGGGTTCGAAATTCGATTGACGGATCAGTGGGCATGTGGATAGCGTCAAATTGGTTCAAGTCTCTGGGCTCTAGCACGTCTGCAGGTAGATTGTACCCATTCGATCGATGTATGTGCCTATGGCCATAGATGTGTGCTGAGGCGTAATCGACGCCAACAAACACGAGTGCTATGAACGCACTCCACATGCTGAAAGTGCGCGAGGGGAAAGCGGTTGTTTATTTCAAGGAAACAACTATGTCCAAGGTTGTTGCGAATTAAATGGGGTATATCGTGCTCATGTCTATAGAGCTTGGTCGGCTGGTGTCAAATGTCGAGATTGGATTGCGAGAACAGGGTGTGTGGAAGGTTAGAGACGCGACTTGGTTTTATAATCTTGAAGGTCTGGCCCTTTCGATGAGGAATGTTCAGTCGCGTCAGATCTAGAAAGGGAGATCGAGAAAGGGAGATCTGATCTGGGGCTGTGAAAACCTACCCTTTCTTGACATTATAGAAACCGAACATCCGCTTTCTCTCTCTTTGTCAATGAGAGAAGAAACAGTTGATCCTTGAATGAATATATCAATTTTGCCATCAAGTCGTTCAATATGAGAATCCATTGTTGTTGACACTTATCCCAGAAGCCTTGGATCGGCCCCTGTGTAGCGCATTCCAGCCCTGGATGACGCATACGGCTTGCACTTGTACCTGCACCTTAATAGAATCTGGCTAGGCATCCAGTTCATTATTGACTTGCTGGAAAAAGACGCAAGCGACTTCGGTGAGATGTTTTGTATGAATAAATTTTGAAGACATAATCAGATTCTTCGATCGAAGAAACTCACTGTCTGCAGAGTTTACTGTTGAATAACAGTAGGGGGAACATTACAATTTATAAGCACGGCCGTTAATAAATAAGATATCAATACCCCCCGAAGTCCATCTCATAAGTGTGGATGAAGGCGTATAGACCGATATTTGGATGGAACCAGCCGGATATGATAAAAGTTGTGGCCAATAGTAAAACGACGGCTATCAGCTAGATTACACGCTAAATCGTAAAGAGATAAACATACGCCTGGTGGATTAAACTTGACCAATCATATCTCTCTATCCCCGCGACTTGTCGGTAGATTTACCTAATCAGGAATTGAGCTTGGCATCAACTGAGTACATAAAAGGTCCAACGTTCCTCTCTCTTGTTCCAAGATCCAAGGTTGACTAGGCTATCATATTCATTAATCATGACCTCACTTCACCCCTTCGATCCTATCACTCCTGAGGAGATCCAACTGGCCGTGAATATCTTGGAATCTGCTTTCCCGGGCGTCAAGTTGCGGTACAAGCGTATCGATCTTCAGGAACCAGCCAAGCATGAGACAGTCCCGTACATTGAAGCCGAACGGCTAGGCAAGCCACTCCCAGCTAAGCCTGTGCGTATCTTGATGTCTTATTTCCACCGTTTGGACAATGGATCATTCTATAAGGCCATGTTGAACGCAGATACCAAGTCTATTGTGTCGGCGAAGGAACTTCCCAAAGAAGTTCAGGTACGTCATTATCAAAATCTAAAAATATATGCGATGATTTAATCTGAAACTATCCAGGGCCCCGTCGATATCGATGAGATGATAGAGTTGGAAGAGCTCTGTCTAAGCCACCCTGTTGTCCAGGCAGAGATTGAGAAATTGAAGCTTCCAGCTGGAATGACAGTCGCCGTAGATCCTTGGATCTATGGTACTGATGATCCTAAAGAAACCCGTCGGTTAGTCCAGTGCTACATGTACATTGTGGCCACAGATCATGCCCAGAGTAACCAATACTCTCTGCCATGTAAATTTTCACCAGTCTTTGATGGTATTGCTCGCGATCTGGTTCGTGTGGACTATCTTCCTGGTGGTATAGACTCCCAGACTATTGAGACACAGCCCTGGAAGCCAGTTGCTGCCGTTCAGTATGCACACGACCTTCTAGATGTGCCGTTGCGCACCGACCTTAAGCCTTATATTGTGCAGCAACCCGAGGGAGCATCTTTCTCGGTCACTGGAAATGCAGTCTCATGGCAGAAGTGGCGCTTCCGCGTTGGTTTCAACAACCGCGAAGGCTTGGTCCTCCACAATATTACATATGACGGTCGCAACACATTCTACCGTCTTTCGGTTTCTGAGATGACCGTTCCATATGGAGGTTTGTCAACTTGTTTTCTCCCAATATTTATAGCACAGGACTGAAAAATAATAGACCCCCGTGCTCCCTACCACCGGAAGCAGGCATTCGACGTCGGTGATGTTGGTTTCGGTATCACAGCCAATCAACTCTCGCTTGGCTGTGACTGTCTCGGCCATATTAAGTATTTCGATGGATATCGTACTGATGCCAAGGGGACACCCGTCAAACTCGAGAATGTGATCTGCATGCACGAGCAAGACAACGGCCTCCAGCACAAGCACACCAACTACCGCAGCGGTGCTGCAACGGTTGTTCGTAACCGCCAGCTCGTAATTCAGATGATCTGCACCGTCGCAAACTACGAATACATTTTCGCGTTCATCTTCGACCAAGCAGCTAATATCGAACTCGAAGTCCGCGCAACCGGTATCCTGTCTACCGTTCCCTTCGACCACGAAAACGGCGAGACCGTACCATGGGGTACAAATGTTGGCCCGGGAGTGATGGCTCCATTCCACCAGCATCTGTTCTCCGTGCGCATTGACCCGGCACTAGATGGATTCAAGAACACCATTTATTATGAAGATAGCGTCGCTATGCCTGAGGATGAATCGAACTCATGGCTCGTCGGCTATACTTCCCAGAAGAACACTATCAAAAAGAGCGGCAGTGCATTCACAAGCGTGGAGAAGCACCGCGTGTTCAAGATCCGAAACGATAGCATCATTAACCCCATTACGCACCACCCCATCGCCTATAAATTGATGACTTCACCCGCCCAGATGATACTCTCTTCCCCCAAGTCCTTCGGACTGAAGCGAGCGCAGTTTGCAACCCGCCCAATCTGGGTCACGAAGTACCAAGAAGATGAGCTCTTCGCAGCCGGCGAGTTCACAAATCAGAGCAAGAGCTCTGATGGCGTCGAAGTATGGGCTGGTCGAGATGATATTGTGGAGAATGAGGACCTTGTTCTATGGCATAGTAAGTCATCTCTGCCAAGTGTGATTGATGTTTTGGCACTTGCTAACTGTGGCTTATAGCTTTCGGTCTCACTCATAACCCTCGCATTGAGGATTTCCCCGTCATGCCCATGGAGCGAGTCAGTATTATGCTAAAGCCTGATGGGTTTTTCACTAAGAACCCGGCACTGGATGTCCCACAATCCGCACAAACCTTTAACCAGTCCACTTTGCACCCGGAGCCATCGTGCTGCGCTGCGCCGAAGGTGAAGCTATGACGGAATATCTAAAGAATTTACAAATTACCACTTAGAATCTTGATTATCAGATGCTCATCTTGTATTTATCCAAGTCGAGCTAGCGAGATCCATGGAGTGGATAATTTATACAATTTGAAAATCACCTTGTGGACACGGAATGGATCACCTCGGGAGGCTCGGCCCGGGCCCATCTCCATTTGGACAACTGTAAAATACTAGGTAGGTACGAATAATACCATAAAACACCCGGCCAGACAAACTACATGGTGGCCTGAACATTTACTTCTCAGGTTAAACACCGCGAGCACTGCCTTACATCTTTTGTATTCAAACAAAGCTATAGCGGTATCAAAGAATATCCAAGTGTCCAAAGAAGGTGAAGTATCTAGGATAAACAACATTGGAAAAAAACCTTGGAGAGCGGATCGATTGATGTTCTCCTTCGCTCACTAAGAGTGCAGCCCCGTCCATAGATGAGGTAACTGGTAGGTGTAATGGGACATGTGAGGGCGGAAAAACAAACATATTTCGACGACGGTGCCCATGAGGATGGAGAAGTAATTGGAACGAAGTGAGGTTGCGACGATTGATGCTTGATATTCTTCTTTGCCGGAGTCTTAAGGGATGGCTTCAAATGTGTGGAGAGTCAAAAATTTGACTTCGTGATCTCGGAGGCTCGATCTGGGGTCATCTGTTTAACAGACAACTATACCTAAGATAACAACAACCTTCAAACGCACCATAGTAATGAAACATTTGGACCACAAACAAATCATAAAATGGCCTGAATATTAGCACGTACCTACGTTAGTGAATCATTACAAAAATGGTGTCGTACCTACCTTGCGATTTGTTATTCAAGCAAGCGTGGCGATATCAAGAACAGTCCAAGCGTCCTCGATAGAGAAATTGAAGTAACTAGAATCAATAGGAAAAAAGCGTACGTATTACGCACGGCATCTCCTACTGTGAGCGTACATATCGTGGCAAGATAGGTTACAAGTACAAGGAATATGGAAAAAGAGCAAGATGTCAAATTGATCAAAAGTGATCAACGCAGACAAGTCATATGGGGAATAAAAGCAAAGAATCGCAATCGTCCGTAGGACGAGACTTGTCACTCAATCGTAACGGGCGTAAAAAATCGACATTCCATGGCATCAGAATGAAAACTCTAAGTCTTCTTCCAGTAGCGGCGGTCGAAGGTGTTGGTGATCCAATCTTTCATCTTGATAACCTCGGTGTGGCGGGGGAACAGATTATCCATCAGGAAATCATGCATCTCCATGTTTTGATCCATGCACACGTCGCGCAGGAGAACAACCTTGTAATCGCTATCGGTAGCAAATCGAACAGTCGATAGAACGGCACCACTGGTCACGAGGCCACCGATGACGATTTTGGTGGTGTTGGATGAACGAAGAAGGGTGTCCAGGTCAGTGCCAAAGAATGCCGAGACACGGCGCTTGGTAACAGTAGCCTCAGTGAGAAGGGGCTCAACAGCAGAATGGAATTGAACAGAAGGGTCCCCATCTTGATAAGCTGGAGCGGAAAAGACAGCTTGCATTGTGGCATTGTTAATGTGTGCCTCGGGGTAATTAGGGCGAAAACTAGTATTGACGTGGATGACGTTAATACCATGGATGCGGGCAAGCTGTAGGGCCTGTCCGGCGCGAGTGAGAAACTCTTCGTTGTTGAGAATTTTATTGACTAATCCAATTTGAATGTCCACAAACAGGAGAGTGAGTCCGTCCTGGCTTGGCATGCTCTTGTTGAAGATAGGCCTCTTATTGCGAACGGAAATTTTGTTGAGGTCACTCCTGTTGAGAATAAGATTCTTGTTGATTATGGGACCATTCACTTGAGAAGACGGTTCACCGGGAGCAGGTACAAGGACAAGGGCCTTCTGGCGAGTAGGAGTCTGACTAGTAGCAGTTTGGTTTGGGGCAAGCTCACGGGGTTCCTGCTTAATAGGTGCAGCCAAAGCACTACCAAGATCGGCAGCCTGGTCTCGAAAAGCAGGCATAGCAACAGAAGGCCAAAACTGCGAGGGCTGCGAGGGCTGCGAGGGCTGCGAGGGCTGCGAGGCAGCAGAAAGGCTAGAAAGGCTAGAAAGGCTTGCCTTCCTGCTTTCTCGGTCTCTCCAGCCACCAGGCTTGACAGAGATAGGACCCTGGCTCGCAAAGTCAACGTACTTATCCTTGATTTCTTTTTTTTCTTCCTCCATGATGAAGTTTGAAATACAAAATCTTTGAAAAGGGTTGGGAAGGGAATGTTGATGAGAAAGTTGGATGGAAGCTGGAGATGAAGGTGTTTGAATTATAGAAATGCACTAGCGCCATTGCTTTCTGCGCGATAAGCGATTAGAATTAAATGAAAAGTGACTTGAAGCTCGGGATATATTTGTTGAGATATAGGATACTATGAGGATGTGAGTATTGAAGTATGGTTCAACCCCCGGTACCGGGATTACATACAGCTTGGTGCCTTACGTCATTAACCTTGAATCATCAACGTATTTATTCAGAATCTAGATAGGTATTTTTATTTTTTCAATGCAGCATAAGTGTTCATGTATCAAGCTGCATAAACTTTGCATGCTAATCAGTGTAAATCAGGTCGTCGTCCTGCCTATATAGCACTTTGCATCTACATCTACATAACTAGGTACGCATTTACTCTTTCTCGGTATGAGACTGTGCTATATTCTGAATCAGACATTTTAGATTTCAATAACTTTATAGCCTGAATCTCTCAAATCTGAGGAGTTTGCTTTGGAGCTGAGGTTTTGGCATCCTTCCCTTCACGGTTTCCCTTAGAAAATAAAGCCAGCTTATATAACAATTTGCTTACGTTGTTAGACTTAGTTACATTAGTTATTTATCTTAACCTTACACTCTACTTCCACTCCTCAATAATGATCATCTTGTGGCGCCAGACTATAAATTCCTTACCCAAGTGGATTGGTGTTTCTGAAATCATCATCATTACCCACAATCATGGCCCAGGCACTAATCCCCCTCAAACATGGCAAGAATGGTGAGTCGACTGGAACATATATTTACAAAGAATGTTGACAATTATCTAGAGATGCTGAGTCTAGTCGCTCGTTTGAATGGACATGTCTTTGATACCGACCCTGTAATCACCTACATGCTGCTGGAGATGCCGAGGGAACAACGTTTGGCATATCTGCCGACCTATTGGACTATCCTGGTTAGATCTGCGTTACTAAACGGTGCAGTGATCACCGAAGCCGACAATTGGAAGGCTGCCTCGGTGATTTTACCACCTGGGAAATATATTGACAATCTTTGGACTCTTCTCTCTGCAGGGTTTCTCTGTGTCCTGTGGAGAATGGGGTTCGCTGGCTTCTGGGTATGTTCAGGATTTGAGCAGTCGTATAGACTGGAATGTGATTGACTAAAGAACTTATTCCCAGAGACTCTGGACTGAATTCTCAGGAATGACAGACCGCGCCAAAAAGATCGGACTTCACGGTCAGAAGCGGTACTATTACATTTTTAGCATTGGCACGAAACATGAACACCGGGGGAAAGGTAAGTATGACCTTGAAATCCCTTCATTGTATGGCTTTCACATTATTGACCTCTAATACAGGTCTTGCTAAAGCGATTATGATCGACCATCAGAAGACAGTAGAGTCCAAAAACCTTCCCATCTGGCTCGAAGCTACGAGCAAAGGTTCTCGAAACCTCTATCTATCTCTAGGGTTCAAAGAAATCGAGGAAATTCTCCTGGGCAAATACAAGGTTGCTGCCGATGCAAGTCTACAACCAGGCGGTCCCGGGATTTCCATTTATGCAATGGTCTGGTGGCCGGAGTCATCTTCTGCTAGGCCCTAGTTGTCACGTTCACGCTCTTATCCTTATGGATCATAGCACCTGTCTCCTTTCTTTATCGATATAGTTCGCCGGAATACCGAAGACAATGAACTTCTGTGCTTGCAAATCTTCCATAAACCTTTCGGGATTCAGAAACCTGGATCTGATTTAGCTCATATTTTCGTTGAGTAGGTGGACGAGAAATTAAATGAGGAATATTTCAGGATAAAGCCGTCCCAGAGGCATATTTACTATAGTATTATCATGCTGCTTCAGGGCGCACTATGCCACGTTGTGATGATTAAGTGAGTCTCGTAACAAGCCCTGGAGTGAATGACTTTGGAAATATCGACCTGACCTTGAAAACCCTTGGAAGGTAATTGGGATCGTCGTAGATTGACACGTCAAATATATTCCATAGATTCCAGCACCTATTCCTTACCTACCCCACTAGACATGTCTAATCCACACTCTTTCCAGACCCCTTTCCTTCTCTCCTTCGCCCAGTCCGATTTTACCCCACGACAAACATACATATTTCTTCAGAACTCACGAGCAACAGAATAATCCGGCGTGTTATTCTTGAGCAGTTCTTTCCAATCAACATCATCATCTGAAAAGCCCAATTCCGCACTTTACAACTCCCACCAAACAGGGAGATACCCCGAGCTCTCCCAATGAATAATACCCGTCAAAGTGCACGTCTCCGGGTCAACATCATGCTACAAAGTGTCAAATCACCATGAGTGAACGTCTACGGATAAGTAGATGGCATTTCCAGACGAAGGTGCGAGAGAATCACTGGGGCACATCATGACCCAGGCCCTGGGCCATGTCGACCCATAGTTCATTATCTATTGAAAGCAGGCCATGCGAGTTGTCAGACATGCCGAAAAGGAAGCCGTCATATAGTGGCTTTCCATGCACATTTTGCATCTTTGGCGAGTAGAATTGACGGAGTTGGTTGATTAATCGGCTGTTTGTTTTTCTAGTCTTTCTCAATCTGCTTACGGCATCGATGGCCATGTTTCTTCGAGCGTCTTCCCTGGTATGCGTTCTACCATTGTGAAGTGTCGTCCGTTATCTTCTGCCCAGTCTTGGACGACGGATGGGATCGGGATTGTGCTGTTCTCTTGGATGAATCTAGTTTTGGTGGCTTTGTAGGTTGGTTTCACTGGACTTAAGCCTCGGTCTTTGAGAACGAACTTAGTACCTACCATGCACCTCGATCACCGGTTCCATAGAACCATTGTAGGTTACTGTGCTAGCTGATATGGTTTTGGCGCTTGGGGGTACAACCAGAACACGGCACCTCTTCGGATTCGGTCATTATCAAAGACGCTAGAGATGACAAACTTAATATGACTTCATTGTCAATTGATACTTGGGTGTTAGGTGTGAGGTTGGGCCCCATGTTTTCGGCAAGGGGCGTAGAGTAAAAGTCCAGATGAACGGCCACAGAGCCTCACAATCTCCCCAAATAGCGGTGAAGCTCAATGAAAAGGATTTGGACCAGTGTAGAATTTGATATGAGAGAACGCAAAATGCAGACAGCCTCAATAGAACCCTGAATGTTCATTCGTTATCCCCATGCAGCATCCCGGCTCCTAACGGGGCAGACAGGGTATACCTTGGTGATTTAGCCCAAATATTTAGTTCTGGAATCAGTGCTGGATGCAGGTCGAAATTGGATATGAGCTGTTATCTTTGGGACTTCAACGGTGAACAGATACTTGTCAACCCTGAGACTTCAAAGGTTGAGGGTGAAATAACGACTACCAGAGTCAATCTCATTTTTGACATCGCTAACACCGGACAGGTTTCATAGTTCTCTTCATCACGGAGTAGTTTTATAAAATTTAATGTGGTTTTAGTATAAAATAGAACGTCCAAAAATTCAAAAAGGGTTGAATTACCTGTAGAGTATGTATTTTATGTTATAGACTTCCTACTAAGGTATACTCGTGTCCTCCGCTACCTTAGTGATGCCTTAGTACGATCAGCAATCTTCAGAATAGCGTATCGAATACGTCCGAGTCTAGCCGCAAGACAGGTCTCAAAATGAGGGCGAAACGTCCTCACTAGTATAAAGTAGCGTAATCTGCCTACCGAACCAAGCTGCAACTGTCATATGCGGAACGGTAGACTCGTACCCACAGTGGAGACCGTGTAAGCTTTATATTAAAATAATGATAGGCTCAGTTGAGTAGGATCGAGGGCCTATTCAGTTAGCTAGATGGGCCCAGTGAGAGAAAACAGTAATGAGGAAAGTCGATCAGATGACCTCTAACGGGCGGCGGGAATTTCTCGGCCGGCCGAACGTTTCCTCTTTTACTAGTAAGTAAATTACCCCCAATAAATACATAAATCCAGATACAAGTACTAGAACCTCGGGAACCTCTCTGATCCGTTTTTCTAGAAGAATTAAAGGAGGACGGGACCTTCCGGATTGGTTATGGGACTGCAAGACTACGTATCTGAGGATATTTGTTTGCCAAAATCAGAATCAGATCCCGATCTTGTTGATGTCCATCATATCATTATATTGCACGGTGTAGGGTATGTGCGCTGTTCAGAATCTCCACCCGCTTCATCAGCTAACCAGTGACTATGTAGGTCATATCTATAAGTTGTCAGAGTTCAGATTTCCGGTACTGTTGGGCTACTCCCGTTCATGTTTGGGAAAAGCATGACATCCGATACTTGATCCAAGATGTTCTGCATGTGGTAAATCTCAGATCGAGGCGCAGAGCCTGGAGATGCGGCGAGGTTTGGCAGCGTCTGCGGAGCATAATTCCTGGATGCCGATGAAGACATATTGGATAATTGTAATGCTTCTTCTTGGCCGGGTATCGAAGAGACGAATACACCTCGGCGCGCAGAGAACGCCCCGCGGATCTCACGCAGAGCACGGAGTGACGAAGACAGGTGCTTGGCGGAGTCGGTGTGAGTGTTATGGTCTGCATCTCCATTTTCATATACATGATCGGCCAGAACTTTCTCCAGTCGGTCAATAAGCTCCCACGTTCGCACACCGTCATCGTTGGTCACCAACAAGAAAGCCGATGCAATCGATCGTTGGAGGCTGATCCATGACCGAGAGCAGTGAGAGTTGATCTCATGCAAGTCAACAAATGCATCGATGGTGTTGATGAGACTGTCGATGCAGTCTTCTCGGATTACCGCTCGTCGTTGTTCTTCTAAATGCGATCGTTTGTCTAATGATATGCGACACAAAACGGAAAGGAGATACGAGGAATGGAGGCGCAACTCGGTGCGCTCAATATGCTCAGCTAGGGTCCGACAGAGATCGCGACGACGAAGGTGCGGGCTAGCTTCGGCGAGGATGCGCTGCATCCGCTGTTTGTATTCGCGGATCTCATTAAATCGTGGCTGCTGCGAACCCGGATACATTCGAGATCGCAAAACTTCTAGAGAGAGTGATACCACTCGACAGAGGGTTTCGAAGTAGTTTCGATGTCCGGGCATGGATTTGGGATCATACGGGATTTCCGGTTGACTGACCATGGTGATGGATGGTCTGTCATACGCAAGTGAGAAATGACTGTTCTGAAAGGCCATTGTCCACCTAGCTAACGTGAGTAATACGAAACCAGCCAGCCAGAAATTATGCGACTTACCATACGCGCCGTCGCACCGCTTGCTCCACAAAAGAGAAGCCTGTGGACTCAACATGAAGTCCAAGCGAGAGACACATTCGCTCCGTCATGCCTAACCAGGATTAGTTGTAAGTCCACTTCGCCAAATCCATTGAACCATACCAAGCAAGGTGTATGATGCGCCAGCGTTCATGTTATACGACAAGACATTGATGATTATAAGAAGAATTTGAATGATTTCCACTGTGGGTTGGGAGACATAATTCAACATGCGCAGACATTGATATGCACAAGAGACTGTAGACTGTCAGTCATCGCTGATCAACGCGGGTTTTCACAAGGTTTACGAACCGTATACCCATGATGTCAGTTCACGGTCTCGCGCAGGCAGATCTGATAGTTGACAGCCTGAGGCGAGCACCGCAAAGAACAAGCTGAGAAATACCAAATCCATTCCATATGGTTTAACTAATCCATTGGCATCTGGCTTATATTCACCCCCGGCCTTTCGTCTTCCCTCGAGTAACTGGTATGATTTTTGCTCAAGGTTGTCGTGTTCTGTAAGTACGGGGTATAATACCGAGCCAATATCTTTATAAAATGAGATGAATCTAGGTCGATTGTTAGCATCGTTTCACACCTGTCTCTACCAATACTGCGAAACTGCGACATACCGCCGACATTGCTCATCATCAGGCAGGACAGCGCACACCCCAGCGATGTTGAAAGTGTATGGATCGGAAGACCACAGATCCACGAACGGATACGCGACCGAGTCGTTCCCCAATGCCAGGTCCGCCAGTAGGTCTTCCTGGCGTAATGCCTGCGCCGTGTCCTCATCGACCCTTGAATTGTTCAGGATATCCACCAATGCCGACCGAGATCCCAGATGGACAGCACCCGTGCTCAATGAGTTCGAACCATAGACACCCTCTGACCGGTCAAAATCTTTCCTCTTCGACGAAGATTCCTCTATTGGCTTGCGCGACGAATGAGATTGGAAAAGAGAATGAAGGCTTCCGATGATCTGTTCCATGGCAACCATCTTGGTGTTAATCTCATTCCACTCGGCCTGCGATATGTCGATAACCTCTGGTAAATCTGGATCCGGATCCTCGCTAGATACGGACGGTTGATCGGCAGGATAAGAAGCATCGGGAGGAGGAACGGCATAGGTAGATGCGGGGGCAATTGCCGGCGCGAAGGAAGACTGTAGAGATGAAGAGGCCATATCGATCGATGAAGGGTCTGGTAGCTTCGCCGCTGGGCGACCGTAGGAACAAGAAAAATTGCGCTTCACGCAATTGCCACAGGGCACATTGCGGTCGCAGCGAACTTTACTGGCGCGACATGGCATACACGTCTTGCACTCGCGCGGTCGACGCCGGATAGGGTAGGTTGGCATTGCTATGTCAGAACCGCGCGTTAAAAGATCGCGTCGAAGGAAGGAATGGAAGCAAGGTAGTGAGCAGCATAAGCAGGATTGATGGATCGAGAGAGGATCGGACGGTTCAGTACTTTCACAGGCGGAGCCGCCTATCGATTAGGGTCAGGTCCGTGACCGTGAACTGGTCGATCTGGGTTCTGGGGAACGAGAGAGATTGAAGATCGGGGGTCCACAGGAATGGGATGGGATCATCCGAATAGCCGAGATGGCTATAGTAGTATTTAAGCACTGTACGAAGTACTTCGGGAGAGTGAGAGAGATGGATGGTCGGCGCTAAGGTTAGATTTGGAAGTTTATCTTGAATACGTCCAACAGTATTTGATTGATTTCATAATGTTACATGCCTTGTTGCCTTCCGACTTTGTGTGTGTGTAAGCGGGAATTGACCTTTTATCTCTTATTTTTTTCTTGTTTTGGCCATTGAAAAAAAGAAAAAAAAAAAAAAAAATACAAATACAAATCCTACTCAATACTACTCCACCTGAGGGTTTACTCCATAATCATTACCATAACTAAAGTTACTCAGATGTATCGACGAGTTTATGGTATTAATAACCAAACCCTAAAATAACCTCCCAATCTAATTTCAACTTTATCTCATATACAAATCTTCATGAATCGGCCTTTTTTTGAGAAATTTGAGGAGTGATCCACCAGTCATGCCATCGACTTTTAGACCCAATCTGAGGGATCTCCACCTGTAAATTAGCCACATTGCCTGATGATTCGTTTGTGAGAGTTTTCTGGACCATGCCGATCGCAATACTAGTCCCAATACAGGCGCGCATGGAATCCTTCACGTCAGCCTTCCAATACCCTCCAATGGCCACAGCTGGTGTTTTTGGTGGAGTGGAGTACTCAAAGGCTCCATCTGTAAGCATCATGTCCAAGGCTCGGCGTGCTTCAACGATAGCCTTGGAGGATCGTTCAATAATCATAATGTCAGAGTCTCCTTCTAAAGTGGACTCATGTAGGAAATCTTCATAAGGGATCACTTCAGGTAGAGAGATAGGGATGAAAGGTTTCATTCGAATATCATATCGCAGTTTTCCCGTCGAGTATGCGCCAGGACCGGCGGCATATGGCAATGCTCTGTGTCGATCCAACACGACATACAGTCCGTGGAGGGCGATTGCAAATGCGTCGATCGCGATAAGATTAGTAGTCAACCTTTCAAGGTGACGGAAGGACTTGCGGAATGCAGCGGACTTTCGTGTTGCCCAGTCTGTAGGCTTGTCGCCTGTCATCTGAAGGTCTCGCTTGCTAGCGGCCATCATGAATGTTCGAATTCGATCAAGATGGCCGAGGTGTGTGGTGCAAAGGTGGGACAAATACCAGTACATCCCTGCTAGCTCTTCGGGTGCGTAGAGAGAAAGTTCAAATCCCATCTGGACGATGAGCCGAAGCTGCACGAGTTTTTGATGATAAGACCAGCTGCTGAGGGGATATGAAAAGCTGGCCTCTCCATCTGCCGCTTTTAATGGGACCTCTCTACTTAAAGCCTGGAGTTTTAGATCTAATTCCTCAGCCTGTTTTTATTTGTCAGTAGGCCATAATCGCAAGGTAGGCACTAAAGTGACTTTTCGTACCTCTACTTGTAGATTGTCCCAATCTATAGCACTGTGACAAAGAGCTCGGCGTGTTCGACATCGGTTCACACATGTGTATCTTATTGTATCCACAAATGGCTACCAAAATTAGCATCACATCTGCAACAGTTTAAATATCGTGACATACCGGAGCAAATTTCTTGACGAAGCCTTCCATCAATTGGGCAATTTGGAACCGAGGATCTGACGGCACTTCCGTTTCATCCTTGCTTGCTTCAAGAATGATGCTGGATGGTAGTACCAACTCCGCAATATCCTCATATATCAACTGTTTGGCAGGGATGGCTGCCATAATCGTCATCATATCACTCACGATCAATGCCTGGAGAACACAGCGGATATAAACCGAGGGCTGCGGCTTCCTTGAAAGAAGAGTAGATACGGCCATCTGGAAATAAAGTCAGTAAAAATAAAGAAAGGCCGGCGGGATTGAAGGAGCATACCTTGAAATTGCCTGGGCCACTGTAGTCCACTATCTCTAGCAAATCAATGGCGTCCTGGCACAGTCTCTTCAAGTGTGCAAGCGCATCTTCATTACTGATTTGCACTATTGGGCGAGGAGGAACCGTGCTGGCAAGCTTTCGCTGAATCTTCAAACTGAAGGCTTCTGGTACTTGTTTCCCCAGGGACACAGAGCTAGCTAAAGACTCCATAATTGCGAGGGATTCCACAAACTTATCCACCGATCTTGTCTCGAGAATCTCCAGATCTGAGTCTAAAGCCGCCAGAAACTCGTACCTTAACTTGAGTCTGCACACTATGGCATCACGGAGGCTTTTGTCGATACTATGCTGGGCCTCTACCCACACAATAGCCTCTTCAAGCAGGCGGTAAAAGTGAGATCCATCAAATGAGGACAGTAGATTTCGATTATACAGCTGGGAAACAAAGTCTTCTTCCTGTTGACAGTTTAAAACGATTAGTAGCAGTCAAAGGGATCCGTAACTTTTTCAGCTCGAACTCACTTCAAAATAGAATTCAACTACGACCCGAGAGTGGACGTAGTCGCATGCTTTTACCAATGCGAGGCAGTATGATCGGAGTACAAGGCTGACAAGGGGTGATTCACTGGGTACGCGGTCGAACCTGGCATCTTCCATGGTCCTGGGAACAGGCCAAAGCAGCCTGTCAATATAAATCGACGTGAACAGAGTTTGGGAAAGTGGATGACCCATATGCCAGGCCATCTATTCAACCGTATCAGCTCAGTCCCCCTCCAAAATTGTAAGGATATATCCGTACCTCGTGGCAAAGAAGCTGGTCCATCAACCCCACAATTTCCTCTGGTGTCAATTCGCGCCGCACATCGTAATCGTCCTCCAGCGCCTGAACTTGATTTTCGCCTGGAGATATGTAGCCGCTATCCATTTTGGAATCCATGATCTGTCATGTAGTTTCAAATCATATCAGCATACGGTAAATTCTGAATTTTGCTCTTGATGGGACGATTGCGCACCTCTAGAGCGCCCACGCCATCGAAGAGCGTAAACGTTTCATCTTTGATGAGCTGGCCAAGGGCAAGCTCTGAGAAGATACAATGTCAGCTATAAGTCCCATATCGAAAAGAAAAACGGGCTTCTCACGTGAAGCTGCCTGAGTGAACTCAGCTGTAATGTCACGCGGGACTGCCGCCCGCGGAGGGGGAACGCGGACATGGTTATTCGGCAGCATCGCACAGAGGATCGAGTCTCTGCAGTCCGCTGCCGGTTCTGGTCATGGAATAATAACTCAGAGCCGAAGCTTTGCAGACGAAGTTGAGGAAAAGAAAGCGGACGGGTGGTGGGGGACGCTGGAAAGAGCGCTACCAGCGCCACGGGCAAGTAAGACTTGAGCTGAGCCTCTTTGCGGCCGAACGTCGTTTATCCGCATCCTTTTGATTTTACTCTCTACGGCCACTCAGAACAACATGTTTTACGGCCACGATAATAGAAAAAAGAACGTAAAAAATGACCAGTGCGATTTCTTGACTCGGTCTAATCCAGCTGGGCCGGTATTGCTACACATGTACAAGTTGAATGCTCTCCTCGAGGTAACATTCGCTCGAGTCATCACTGCTTCAAAATGACAATTGCTCCCTATTTTGAACCTTTTCTTCCAAGGGCGTCGGGAATCTATTTCTCAGCAGCCTGGGCAGCCTGGCTGTCGTTGGCTTGAGCGAGAGGACGGACCTCACCCTGCTTGCCGTTCTGTACTCACACGAAATATCGTCAGTTATTCGATCCAACACCAAGGAAAATTGCGGTATCAACAAACCTCCCACTTGGCGAAACGAAGGTCCATGGTGTTACGGCGCTCAGCGGCGATGCGGGCCTCTTCGTTGAGGGACCGGCGCACCGTACGGGCGGCAATCGCCAGGTACCGGTTGTAGCTAAGATGGGGTAAGCAGATTGTCAAGTTGGCGGGGTCAGAAGATCGTACGTCAAGCCAGCAGTTTTCCAAGCAGCAGTCATGGTGAAGGATTGGTTTGGAGGAGAGTGGAGTTCAATTGAAGGGGTGTGAAGGCGGTTCGGGTGAGTTGGAAGCCTTCAACTTCGGAGATTCGGGAGCGCTTTGTCACGTGAGCTCAGATCTATAATTCACGTGACCGATAACGTACAAAACCTATCAACACACTTCATAACAAGATTCAAACCGTGATTAAATGAAATTAGATGAAATGAGTGAGGCCTTTTATATTGGACAATATCATTTTATATTGATTTGTCTCATATTGAAAAGCTTGAGATCATTTATGGATACAATGCCTTGAAATCTCATCGTCCACAGAATTGAGATGTCCGTCTCATAGAAACCCACAAACCCAACGAAACCCACGGGGACCCAGTCGCATGTCTGGCCTCGATTGTACTAATGATTGGGGAATAATGAGTTAGCGGAACTGAACGGAGAGAGCTGAGACTGGCAATTTCCGTCAAGAAGTTGACGAGGAAACTTAAAACTCGCACGACGAACTTTTGATAATAACCCGTCGCCGTCTTGTCCTGGCAGTTTGTAACAATGGATTGAAGCAGCTTTCTGCTGAATCAAGCTCAAAAACGGGCACTATATTCAATAAAAATTAGCGCAATATATGACTTGCAAGAGACACGGCAGAAAAACCTAGGCTATGAATTTACCACTGCATAGTGTGGGTTTCTCTATGAGCTGCGTCAGCACCAACCACAGATCTGTTCGTTTGAATCATCCTCCATCGTGTCCCCTGTAGAAATTTAGTCTCCTTCATTATCATGTGGCCCGGGGAAATGGTCAGATATCCGATGACTGGTGAAAAGTCGTGATACTGGGGCTGAAGCGGTCATAGATCCACGTTATCGGGAACCAACACCCAGCTTCAGTGCTGGCTTCAGGGGAATTAGCGGGTAGATATGAATGTGTGCACTCCTGGCTCTCGTAAAGATGCACTGGTTTGACCATTGGCAAAGGGATTTCCAATAATAGAAGGACTTGCACAATTGACGAATCGGTTGAGTTGGAAGCGATGGATGGAAGGATTGGAGATGGAAGGATTGAAGATGGAATCAGGTGAACCACAATGTAAACGCAGGTGAATAATACGGAAAGGTTGAATATTATGAGCTCTTAATCGAGTTCATACTCTTCAGAGGCCAGAGGTTCGGATTTGACAAGACGAGCGATTTTTCTCTTAAGCATCGTTTTCCCTGCCTGGTATAGCAATGGCATATTTTTGGAGTAAATGCGGTTGCGCGTAGTTGAGTAAGTTGAAAGTGAATGTCCGATGTAATTCCAGATGAGCATTCACTCTCACTTCCAGTGTAGCGCCTACCTGAGGAAAATTTCATCATCCCAGGCGTCACCCCAGGTGTCCCCCAGATGTCTCCCAAAAAAGGGAATATCTACCAATCTCAACTTCTTCTTCCCTTCATTTCTCTCTTTCTATTAAAATCTCACTTTGGTTTCCAATCTTCAGCTTCACCGAAGGCACTTCACTCTTGATTATAAAATCAATCACAACCTTATTGATTCGGTATGTTGCTGATTGAATTCCATTGATCCCAGTCCTATTTCCGATTTGAAAAGGAAAGACACCATCTATCACGTGAATAGTTTCATCGAGAATATTCCTGTAGGGTGAATGCTTCATCTAGCTCTCCTCACATGTTGCTGTCCAGATTTGGCAGGGTTCACATCTTTTGGCACCTTGAAGCTGTTCACTGACTTCATCTCTGAACACAGCATCTCTGAACACAGCAGAAAACTTTCAGTTACATCGCCATTCTCATCATGGTTCCTCGCAAGCAAAGCCCCAAAGGCTCGCGCAAGCTTATTCGCTGGTCCCGTAAGTGAAACTCTTTTGATTGAGATCATTGCATATGCTAATTTGAATAGTCGACATCGATACGCAGCTCCTGCTCGCAATCCATTACGCTTGCAACCAGATGGGCATGAAGCTTCCATGGGTAGAAATCGCCGCGATCATGGGTGCAATGGGAGAGGACCTTTTCACCGAGGGTTCGATCACTCAGCACCTTGCAAAGCTCTATAAGATTCGCGAGTCCAAGGGGCTGCCAGTGCCACCCCCCATTCGTCGTTCGCGAAAGCGGAGCGGCCAGCCCAAGATCCATGATGCGAACCAGATTATACCAGGTAATGATTATGACAGCGCCGACAGTGAAATGAACGACTCGGATCATGCCCACAAGAAGCGCAAGGTCGCACTCAAGGAACGAAAGGTTGTTAAGCGCACTAAGCGCCCCAATCGTCATGGTAATCAACGTCAATTACAAGGTCGTCGTGCCTCAAAGTACAACGTCGATGAGAACGCAGATGGCACCGCTGATGAAGTCACGTCGGAAGACGATTCGCGTTTTGATGGATCTGAGGACGAGTCGGTGTATGAAGAGGAGGTTTCGAATGAAGAGCCCGAGGCTGAAGAGTCCAAGCCCAAGCCTAGCAAGATCATTGTCCTCCGTTACCGTTCTGCATATGCTGCCAAGACTAGCTGCTCCACTTCCTTCGATCAGGGAACCTCTGTCGCTGACGCTGGATACCGTTCCGTGGACCCTGAATACTGCAGCGTTGATGCTCGAAACCTTCCTTTGAATGTTCGCAACGAAGTCTCAAATGAACCGCATCCTTTCATCGATGGCCTCAATCCTTTTGCCAATGGTAACAATTCGTGGTCTGCTGATGAAGTTGGAGGCAATCCTAATGTCGCCGAGAGTCAAGGCTTTATCGCCTTCTTTGAACGTCCCATTTCCGCTCCTACTCCCGTTATTTTCGCCCCCGAAGCCAGCACCGTAGCTGGTATGTGGGTGCCCGATAACGTGGACCCACGGCTGTTTCAGCCCGAATATAACGGCTTCTCACCAGCCAGGGGAGATCTTACCATTTCCCCGGGTGATTTGGTGCTGAAGTCGGACATTCCTGAAGGGGGCACGGTGGAGAACGGTGCAAATGAACAGCACCGCAGTAGTCTCCCCGATTTGCCTGAATCCAACGTTCTTGAATCCAACATCTTCGATGAGGCACTCTATAGATATGAAATTCAGTACCCCGATCCTCCCGAGTGGATCTGGCCCTGTGAGAAACGTTAGCTGAAATTCAACATACCAAATGGGATGGGAATTGAAAAGGAGTGTCCATGAGAAAGGTGCCTGGTGTGGTGAGGCGTGATGACATGGCGACGAATGCGTGATGAATTTGCTTTTTTGCTTTTTTTATGCGGGCCCAGAGACTGAGCAGTGAAGCATACAGTCCCTGGCAAATCCAATATTCATTCAACATGAATATGAGATTGGCAGTTGTTCTGTGCTTACCTCAATTCAACAGTCGAACGGCAAGATACTTTTTGAATTTAGCGAGTTAGCAATCATGAATATTATATTAGGTTCCAAAAATCATAAATGGAGTTGGATTCCAAAGTAAACTGATCCCATTAGCATATTTCATCAAAACTCATCTCAGTGTATAGCAGGCATCTTCAACTATACATGACGTGAGAGCGGTAGATAGGGCGGTGAAAAGGTGGGCAGATGGAAACTCGGAGTTAAGTTATTCCGTTCCATTGTTCACAAAAGTGAGGGCGGTAGAGAAAGCGGTATGAAGGGAAGGAGGTGTAGAAAGAAGAAAGTGGCAGATGAAAACTCGGACTTAAAATGTTCCGATTGGTCACATGACCTGACCCGAACAGCAATCAACAAGCCCTATTGTTATTTATTTCGAACTCGTACTTGGAATCTGGGAATATCTTTTTAGAAAAAAGATTATTCAAGTCAAAGTAACATTTGTCATTGTATTCTTCTTTATCTTATCTTGAATACTACTTAAATTATTTTCCTTTTGTGGATTTAGTTAAGCTTGTTTCTCAAAGATAACTTATACTTCGGCAGTTAGAAAGAAAATTCTCAGGCTGATTTGACATTATATGATATTTTTCCTAAATGGAGATATCAAGGTCTAGATCCATTAATGCTCGTCAGTTCTTTAAACCTTTCCTCTCCCACACACCTCTCTTAAATTTCTCTATTAACTAATTCCCTTTGCCTCATAATATCTGACATCTAACCCTTCATCACATCTCCCTTCATTCCTTTTCCTCTCTCATAGTCATAAATCATGAATCCCCCTCATACCTTCTCATTTCAATCCTTCGTATAAAGCTACTTTGGCAACTCCTTACTCTCAACTTTCATATCTTACATATCTCTCAACTTCCTTCATAATACTTCATATCTTTTCTATCCCACGTCTCTTACTTAAATTTTTTTCCCTTTTCCTGTCTTTGTCTTACCCTCATAACCCACCCTAACCCTCAGCATTTCACTCTCACACATTATATCTCATAATTTACCCTTAATCCTTGAAATCTCTTCCTTCATTTACCCTCCCACCTCTTTCTCTTTTCTGAACACATTATAACTCTCTCCAATACCTTATTTATACTCATGCCTCAAAATCCATCTACATTCTCACACCTTACCATCAAAACTCACTTTTATATCTCACATCTTATCCATAACTCTCTATATTTGACTTTTTATCATCTACACTCCTTAAATCTTTTTTCTTCATCCCCCTTTTAGCTTTCATATTACATTCCTTACACCTTCTCACTTACACTATAATCTCTCCCACTTCCCTCATCCTTTCGCATTCTTTCTCTTCTCTCCATTTTCTCTTCTTCTCTACCTTTTTATCTCCTCATTTGTATTTCCTTACCCAGGTATCCTTCCTCTCTTCCCTCTCCCTTACTTTATCCCTCATCTTTTCTTTATACTTCTCTTACCATTATTCTTCTTATAGTTCTCTATCCATTTCTTAAATCTCCCTCCCACACCCTTACACTTATAATTCCCACTTCTCCTCTATCTCTTCTTAATATCTACCTCCCTCACTTCTTTATATCCTCTCTTTCTGATTTTACCCACTTTACATGGCACCACAACCACTTTTAATCCCCACTAATATATGCGGGTAACATGAAATGTTTTTGCCGCCGCTAGTGGGCATAATGGCTAAGACTAGGCTAGCGACACTATGGACGGCTTGCATGGCAGCTCCCTGGAAACCACGGAATTCAAAGTCGGGAGGGTGTATCATCCACTAAAATGAACTGGTAATATTGGCTGTGCTGAGCTTATATCGGTGTATCATTCACTGCTGCATAACTTCCTCGAATCGATACTTGTGTTAACCCTCTACTGATCAAGCCCGGATTTTACATCGAGAACCCCTAAAAATCGATTCCAATATGTGTTAAATAATCGAAAGGGCCTTCTGGGTATTTTCCTGGTACGCATTCTATGGGAATACACTTGATACGCGTAAAAGCCGGCTAAGTCTGATGGTGATATTGTCATAGACGGGAATATTGAATAGCCTTCCATGTAATCCGACGCCGGTCTCACACTTTATTATATGTCGAAACTGGTTTGATGTCCAAATTAACCTACTACTGGGATCGGTGAGCCATAAATATAAATAACTAGTTAGTCAGTTACACGGATAGGTGGCATGGCTGACGAATCCACTGGGTTGGTCGTATTATATCGAATCATCTAATGTCCATAGATGGCATTGCTAGCCATAAATACCACACAACGAGCTAGCCGACCTCCCGCGGTAAATATCAGTGGATAAAAGCCTTCATGATAACTAGTGAGTTAACCAAATGCTTGCTGATCATGACTAAGATGCCAAGTAGTTATCCCTCGAGATATACTCACGTGACCTTCTAGCTGTTTCTGCCGCCAAGCTTCTGGGGATGGGGAAGAAACGCTTGGAAAATTTTCGAGACTTTGGCTTCATTTCCCAGCTTTTCTACCTTCTCCATCTTTTCCATCCTCCTCCTGTGTGTTCAATTCCAAGTTCTCTCTTGGAGTGCACTTTTTTTAACACTCCATCAATTGAGTTTATTTCATTACAGTGCTTTGTTTTCTTGAGCCATGCAGCGCGCGCTCTCTTCCCGGACATCTGTCCTGTCGGCCGCTTCCAAGCGTGCCCCTTTCTCTCGCTCCAGCTTGAACCTTCAACAGCAGCGGTTTGCCCACAAGGTGCGTGATATGAAAGAACTATGTCCATTCGCATCTGGCTCTCGTCGGCTCTACTTCCCGTCCATTCCGGCGTTGATCTTGTGAATACTGACTGAGCGTCAACAGGAAATCAAGTTCGGTGTTGAGGCTCGTGCCAGCCTCCTCAAGGGTGTTGACACTCTGGCCAAGGCTGTTACCTCTACTCTGGGTCCCAAGGGTCGCAATGTCCTGATCGAGTCCTCCTACGGCTCCCCTAAGATCACCAAAGGTATGTTCTGACCATGATGTGTTTCTAGGCTAAAATAGCTAACATGCCGAAGATGGTGTTACCGTCGCCAAGGCTATCCAGCTACAGGACAAGTTTGAGAACCTCGGTGCCCGCCTCCTCCAGGACGTCGCCTCCAAAACCAACGAGCTCGCCGGTGACGGTACCACTACCGCTACCGTTCTGGCCCGTGCCATCTTCTCCGAGACTGTCAAGAACGTTGCTGCTGGCTGCAACCCCATGGATCTACGCCGCGGTATCCAGGCTGCTGTTGATGCCGTTTTGATCTATCTGCAGGAGAACAAGCGCCCTATCACCACCGGCGAGGAAATTGCTCAGGTCGCTACCATCTCCGCCAACGGAGACACCCACGTCGGCAAGCTTATCTCCACCGCCATGGAGCGTGTTGGCAAGGAGGGTGTTATTACTGTTAAGGAGGGTAAGACTCTGGAGGACGAGCTCGAGGTTACTGAGGGTATGCGATTCGACCGTGGCTACACCTCCCCCTACTTCATTACCGACCCCAAGTCCCAGAAGGTCGAGTTCGAGAAGCCCTTGATCCTGCTCTCTGAGAAGAAGATCTCTGCTGTTCAGGACATTATCCCTGCCCTTGAGGCCTCTACCACTCTCCGCCGCCCATTGGTTATCATTGCCGAGGACATTGAGGGTGAGGCTCTCGCCGTCTGCATCTTGAACAAGCTGCGTGGCCAGCTCCAAGTTGCCGCCGTCAAGGCTCCCGGCTTCGGTGACAACCGCAAGAGCATCCTTGGTGATCTTGCCGTGCTCACCAACGGTACAGTCTTCACCGATGAGCTCGACATCAAGCTCGAGAAGCTTACTCCTGATATGCTCGGCACTACTGGTTCTATCACCATCACCAAGGAGGATACCATCATCCTCAACGGTGAGGGAAGCAAGGACTCTATTGCTCAGCGTTGCGAGCAGATCCGCGGTGTCATGGCTGACCCCGGTACCTCCGAATACGAGAAGGAGAAGTTGCAGGAGCGCCTGGCCAAGCTCTCCGGTGGTGTTGCCGTCATCAAGGTCGGCGGTGCCTCCGAGGTTGAGGTCGGCGAGAAGAAGGACCGTGTTGTCGATGCCTTGAACGCCACCCGCGCTGCCGTTGAGCAGGGTATTCTGCCCGGTGGTGGTACTGCTCTGCTCAAGGCATCTGCCAACGCCTTGGGTGATGTCAAGCCCTCCAACTTCGACCAGCAGCTCGGTGTCAGCATCATCAAGAGCGCTATCACCCGACCCGCTCGCACTATTGTCGAGAACGCCGGTCTTGAGGGCAGCGTGATTGTCGGCAAGCTCACCGACGAATTCGCCAAGGACTTCAACCGTGGCTTTGACAGCTCCAAGGGTGAGTTCGTCGACATGATCGATGCCGGTATTGTCGACCCTCTCAAGGTTGTCCACACTGCTTTGATTGACGCCAGCGGTGTTGCCTCCTTGCTCGGTACCACTGAGGTCGCCATTGTCGATGCCCCTGAGGAGAAGGGCCCCGCCGGTCCCCCCGGTGGCATGGGTGGCATGGGTGGTATGGGCGGTATGGGTGGTGGCATGTTCTAAGCACCATATCCCACTCCACACTCATCCAAACCCCTTTCTCTCCCTTGATGACTGACTTCCTTGCGCATCTCTTGCGTCGCCGTATGTTCCCTTACGGTCCTGAGATCTTGTAATGTCTTGATTCTATTTTTCACTTCCCATACCTGTATTCTTTTTTGTTATTTCCCTCTCCACTCCTCCTCGAAAAGGTTCCGGCGCAACTCTGTATCATATGTCATTTTCATCGACTATAGTTCTAAGATTTTTTGATTCCATATGGCTTCTATGGCTACCGAGGTACAAAGTAGTAGACAAAATGAGCTTCTTTCAGAGTTACTATTGGACGGGGATATTGATGCGGGATATGAGTGGGTCAGCTAGGTCGATCCGTGCGTTCTGCAGCTACTTAGATACTTGGATACTTGGATACTTGTACTTTGTATACTTGTATACTTATATATATCCTGCGGCCTTATGAGTGGTCTCCTTCTTATGCCATGAGGAAGGTCATGAGATATATATCACTCTGGATTTAGATTAGAGGGACCAGATCAGGTGTCAGTATGTGAAGTGAAAAATGATCGGCTTACCTAGAAAGTAGTAAGTACAGGAATTCTGCAAATCGACAGTTTAACGCCTTGGCCTCGAGGTGGAGCCAGATGATCAGGATCATTGACAGGAAGTAAACAGATGAAATAACCAACATTCACATACCAGATACGTTGAAATTATTCTCAAATTCTTGAAATTCTTTAAATCCTCTAAATATTCTAAATTCCTTAAATATTGAAGTCGAACTAATTAAACAAAAACTGAGGCATTCCAAAGGATTCGTAATGTGGCTTTTGGTTGGTCAAAACCGTCGGCCAATTAACCTGGCTGGACTGGGCCGCGTCGGGTGTCGGTTGACATGTCGACCTGTCTAGATTTACTCTTGTAGTTCTTATCCGTAGTCCAACTTTTTTCCCTCTTTTTAGCCTCCCCTCTCCCGTCACTGTGCCCAACTACTCCCCTTGAAAGTGGACACCTTTAGAACCTTTTGTGGAACTCCATGTATACGGGCACACATCTTAAGGTTACTGCACCTGTCATCAACAACCAGGGGCGAAGATCTTTCAACACGGTAAGATCCTCTCAGATCCTACCAAAGTACCATTTCCCCCACACCGGACCATCTCTAACTAAATATTTAGTGTGATTGACATTTTCACGTTTCTACAAACGCATTATAACTCTTAAACCCCCATGCCGCCCGTCATGGCTGTGGAGATGAGTCGGGCCGCCGATGTGGACCTATTCCAGGCACGGGCGGCACTTCAACATCAACAGAGCCCAGAGGTTTCAGTTCCTCGAGAATTCATCACCCAGATTGTCGAAGAGCTCATTCAGTGTCGCGAAGCTCATTCATCTATTGCCGAGATCGAACGAGAATGTGGTCATCTCCGCAAAGAACTGCGCAAGCACACCCACATCAACGAGGCTTTTCAAAAGGAACTTCGTGAGATTGGCGAGATTATTACTCAAGTCGCCCGTGGAGACCTTTCTCAGCGTGCACGCATGCACCCACTGGAGATGTCACCGGATATTGCGACGTTCAAACAGACTATCAACACCATGATGGATCAGCTGCAGGAATTCAGTCAAGAAGTTTCCAAAGTTGCTCGAGAGGTCGGTACTGAAGGTGTCCTCGGCGGTCAGGCCAAGATTGAGGGTATTCGAGGTATCTGGGAGGAGCTGACTGTCAATGTCAACGCCATGGCAAACAACTTGACTACGCAGGTTCGCGACATCACTACTGTTACTACGGCCGTCGCCAAGGGAGACTTGACCCGCAAAGTTCAAGCAGACTGCAAAGGAGAGATCCTGTTGTTGAAAAATATCATCAACTCTATGGTCGACCAACTACGTGAATTTGCCTTTGAAGTGAGTAGGGTGGCGCGAGAGGTTGGCTCAGACGGTACTCTCGGTGGCCAAGCGGTTGTTCATGGTGTGGAGGGCACCTGGAAGAACCTGACTGATAACGTCAACCGAATGGCTTCCAATCTTACACAACAAGTCCGTGAAATCGCCAAGGTGACGACCGCCGTTGCCCGTGGCGATCTAACTATGAAAGTGACTGCGGATGTGAAGGGCGAAATCTTGGACCTGAAGCTCACGATTAATTCCATGGTCGACCGACTTAATCAATTCGCGTTCGAGGTTAGTAGGGTAGCACGCGAAGTTGGAACAGACGGCACCTTGGGCGGGCAAGCGCAAGTCGAGAATGTCGAGGGTCAATGGCGGAACCTCACAGACAACGTCAATACAATGGCTCAAAATCTCACAATGCAAGTTCGGGGCATTTCCAACGTCACTCAGGCAATCGCTCGTGGAGACCTGAGTACCAAGATCGAGGTGCATGCGCAAGGTGAGATGTTGACATTGAAAGAAACGATCAATAGCATGGTTGATGGCCTTGGTCAATTTGCATCAGAATTGAAGATTGTGGCAAGAGATGTAGGCGTGCGTGGTAAGCTCGGCGGTCAGGCAAATACATCAGGATCTCACGGCATATGGCGATCCATCAGCGAAGATGTCAATACCATGGCAGACAACCTCACCTCGCAAGTTCGAGCCTTCGGGGAGATTTCGGAGGCAGCAGTGAGCGGCGACTTTACATCCTTGATTACCATCTCAGCATCAGGAGAGATGGATGACTTGAAACAAAAGATCAATAAAATGATCTCTAGTTTGCGAGAGAGCATTCAGCGTAATACTGCCGCTCGTGAAGCTGCAGAACTAGCTAACCGCAGCAAATCCGAGTTCCTCGCCAATACAAGGTACGCAGCTAACCCCAACCGGCCTAGAGAAGATTTTTGCTTACAAGTCCCAGTCATGAAATTAGAACCCCTATGAATGGTATCATTGGGCTTTCAGCCCTTGCTCTGGACACAGATGAACTGCCTGCATCTGTTCGAGAGACCCTAAGTATGGTCCATAACCTTGCGATCAGTCTCTTGACCATCATCGACGACATTCTAGACATATCGAAGATCGAGGCCAACCACATGATCATTGAAAAGACACCATTCAGTCTTAGCAACACCGTGTTCAGTGTACTGAAAGCCCTAGATGCCCAAACGAGCGAAAAGGCAATTGGACTGGTTTATACAGTTGATGGAAACGTGCCAGATTTCCTGATTGGAGATGCATATCGACTACGCCAAGTTATTTTCAATCTCGTGGGAAATGCAATCAAGTTTACTGACAGAGGCGACGTTCATGTCACGATCAAAAGCATTGAAGACGGTTCTGGCGCAGCAGACGAAACGAAGTTCGAATTTTCAGTGTCAGACCCAGGAATCGGCATCGAAGAAAGTAAATTAGGGCTCATCTTCGACAAGTTCCAGCAGGCAGATGGGTCGATGACCCGTCGATTCGGAGGAACGGGCCTGGGACTTGCAATTTCCAAGCGCCTTGTTTCCCTCATGGGGGGTGATATCTGGGTCACATCGAGCATGGGCCAAGGCAGCAAGTTCACTTTCACTTGCCGACTCAAAGTTAGTGAACCCCCACCAGGGGTCTCAGAGGCAGTTATTCCTTACAGAGTACGCCAAATTCTGCTCATTGATGATAAACATGCGGGCGAGCTCCCTATCGTGCCTATGTTACGAGAACTCGGTCTGAAAGTGACGGTCATGACCGATGAGGAACTCACACTGAACCATTGCAAGCCGGAACTTTGTTTTGCATTTGCTGCAATCCTCGTTATGAGTATGGGTACTGCGGTGAAACTCCGTTCCTATAGTGGATTCTCAACCATTCCGTTAGTAATGGTGGTATCGGAACTGTCCCTATCAATGAAGACGGCTGGAGCTCTGGGAATTACATCATACATCACGACTCCCTGTCGAACCATCGATCTCTGGAATGGTATTTTCCCCGCCTTAGGGAGCCGAACGATTCACACCCAATCAGGAAATGATCGCCCGTTATCTATCCTGCTAGCGGAAGACAACGATGTCAACGTCAAGGTAGCCGTGCGTATTCTTGAAAAAGGCAAACATGCGGTGACTGTCGTGGGCAATGGTCTGCAAGCCTTGAAAGAGGTCAAGCGTCACCGGTACGACGTCATCCTCATGGATATTCAGATGCCTGTGATGGGTGGATTTGAGGCAACGACCAACATCCGCCAGTACGAGAAGGCTCAGGGTCTACCACGAACACCTATTGTGGCCCTCACTGCGCACGCGATGCTCGGAGACCGAGAGAAATGCATTGAATGTGGAATGGATGATTATGTGTCGAAGCCATTGAACCCGAATCTGATGATGGAAACCATATTGAAGTACGCTGCCTTGAACAGCTCACCACTGGCCGTCGTCGCACCTTGAAACGAACCGAGACCAGAGACCATTTATCTCATGCCACACCATTTATTCCATCTATCCCAATAATCGATCATCGATTACCGACTTTCGATCCCAACCATGATCCCTCGAGCTCAGTAGCTGTCCCAATTTCTTTATGACGGAGTCCCTTTTCAAATCAACGCAAACAAGTTTGCTGTAGGAGTTCTGTCCCTTATATTCTTCAGTCCCAGCCTTTTGCTCCTGCTGCACCTACATCATTGCTTTCATTCACAGGCGGAGTTTTCAAGGGTTTGCATTTCATAAATGTAGTTATGTCAAGCCACTCACAAATACATGGCAGGTGTTTTTGGCTTTCTTTATCTATTTCTCCTTTGCTACAGAATACGAAGCAGCATACATATGGAGTATTCATCATCTATTTATCTAAACGAATCAATTCATGTTACCCTTCATCAAAGATATATCCATGGACGTATGGTTTTCACGTGATATTATAGTCCTGATAGGTATATTTACTATTCATACAATACTCATTTTTTATTTAGAGCCTTGGAAGCTGCCTAGGTGGGTTCTAATAAAGACTACGGATAAAATTCTAGACGCTGAAAAGTGACTTGTATAAATTACTACAGACATTATCTATTAAGGTAACTAGATATGGAAAATAGAACAATAACCTAAACAGAGAGAAAAGACCTGTTAGACACACTCCTCCTCCTTGGTCTTCCTTCAGAAAACCTCCCAGCTTCAGCACCTTGAACTCTTCTGTCTTGATTTCTCCTCTCAGTTTCAAAAAGAAGACCCTTCCCATGCCTCCTCTGCCAGAAATCCTCCTTCTCAAACTTTGTCTCATTTTCCAAGTAGCCGAGCCAATGATCTAACTTCTGGCGCATGGCCGAGTCTTCTGGTACATCCAAAGTAGGTAATCTTTCCTTGAAAGAATCCCAGTGTAAAATTCTTCCAATGGGCTTGAATATGAACTCTTTCATGAATCCTGATCCGATCTTGTGGGATTTTGTTACTGCTTCGCGGAGGGTTTCACTGAAGGCTATCAGGAGGGCGAAGAAGATTATAGCGAAGGAGGCAGGGGCTGATAGTATGTTAGTATCGAAGTTTTTGAAGGGGGTGATGTGACGAGCAGTTTTTCCTTACCTGCTATCGCGAATATCGTTCGCAGTGATAGATTTGGCGGTTCGCCGCTCCATTCTCGGGCGTTCATGCCGAAAAGTGATGTGAAGAATGATAAGGGGAGGAAGCTTTGGAAGTTAGTCAATGTGGGAATACGCAGCCACGCCAATCTGGGGGCTTACATTACGGTGAAGATGGTGAAGACCATCACTGAGCGTGATTGGTTTTGGGTAACCTCTGCTTGCCATCGAGCCATCTTTGCTTCATCAACATTTGCTTGTTTCTGCTTCAGATCAAGTATTGTTTCCACCTGATCCCGAGATATTAATTAAAAAGGGTCCAGTGATGGTAGATTGAAAGGAGAAGGAAAAAAACTTACAGCTTTCTGAGCAGTGTGACTATTATCTTTCATTTCCCCAATCTGAGTTCGATACTTGTTGATACTTTCTTGAGCCTTGTCTAAAAATACCTTGCCACATCCTGGTCCCTCGAAATACCTCATCATCTCTTCGACGACAGTGTTTTGCTGATCGAGAAGCCTAAGTATGGTGGACAGCTCATCTTCGATATCACGGAGCTCAAGTAGAACGGAGAGGTCATCCCGGTTTCTCCGGGCTATCTGGTGCTCCCGATAATCGCGTTGTTCACTGTTCATGGTCTTGCCATTTGCTGTGCGATTTTGATTGACTGGGCGAATTGAGAAGCCGCGGTTACGGAATCGTTTGAATGATTTGGTTAGGGATTCAGTCTTCAAAGGTGAGTTAGTCAATATTCCACTTCGGAAGGTTTTATCTTGTGAGATATAGTGTTGGGATGAAGCTTACCAGAATACTTATAGATTCTTCAAAGATACGAAGAACTTGCAAATCATGATTCAATGTCTTATCGAGGAGGACCGTGACGGCATGTAGCATAATAAGAGCCGCAAGATCTCCAGCTGTCTCAAATCTCCGAGCAAGGTCACCGTTCAGCTCGTTATATATGCTACTATGCAAATTAGACTGTTCGAAAAGCACACCCTCAGATGTCGTAGCTTCCTGCTTCGGGAAAAAGGTAACAATGGTCTTTTGGTCAACGATCCACAGCCAGAGTTGATCGACCATGAGCACATTACCATCCATGAACTCAGGTGGGTCTGAATAGTCCGGGTCATCGCCTTTTGCATCGAGATATTCCTTTAGTTGGGTGTCGAGAAATGCTGGCCTGCGCGTACGCTTCCATAACATCTGATCATCATCTCGAGCGACTGTTGAACGGAGATTCGGGTATCCATATTGATCTAGGGTGCGCCTGAAGTGAACGGGAGGCTCACAACCTAGATATTGCCAGATTAACTTGGCTTCCACAAAACTTGAGTTAAAGATGCGATTTGGAACTGGATGGGACCGGCCCTGGCGTAGTCGGTCTTCAATTACTTTGCGACGTTGAATTAGATTCCGGTAAGTATCCCAATGAAGCTAAATGACTGGTTAATTGATCCTCCTTCAGTTGCTTAATTTGATAATAACATACGTATGGGACCTATTTGAAAGATAAGCAATATTTCTTGTTTCACAAGAACTCAGAATATACTCACATAAAGGGCGAGTTGAGGATCTTCCGCAGAGCCGAGTTTTGTAAACGAGTTATCATTTCGACGGGAGTGAATACACCCAGGCTTTACAAACCGAGCGTGTGGCTCTAGATGCCGAGCCCTATTGAGATTAAGATACCAATTCTCATCGTTGATAAATCTCCTCATGCTAGATAATCACTTCAGTTTCTATTATTCAAATAGCCCCAAAGATGCTCACAAGTTTGTATCGTTTCGGTCTTGACACGCTCTTCGAATCACTCGTGAGACCCAGCCAGTATGATTATAAGGAACGTGGATCCATAATAATTTTTGGGTATCAGGCTCTGGTCGACTAAGGCCCGGGACAGCCCGTGGAGTTTCTGATGCACTTCCGTTTTGATAGGCACGATCTCGTGTAAATACAGGAATCGTCAGATGATCGGAGTTTCGAGGTGAAGATGGGGTATCACTGTCACGATGGTGAGCATATTTTCTATTGAATAACTATAGCCAGTATTCCTTACGATACTGCGGGTGAGCTCGGCCTTCGAAAAGCTCTTTCTGGGGCGTTACCATTATGAGCTCCCAGCGAAGTTAGTCCAATATCTTTCGGGTTATATGCACCCCTTCTCCGGCCCACTGGAGGAGGGGGACTCTCGCTAGGTACCCTACCAAAATATCCATCACCGGTTGCCTCTGTGATATGGATAGTTGGCGATTGATAATCTGGATCTGTGAAGCTTTGGTTATGCTGCAGGGATAGCTGTGAAGGTTCTTGGTTTTCATCAATACGATGATGATGATGATGATGATGATGATGATGATGATGATGATGATGAGGGTCGCTTTTGTCATGGTTGTTAACGTCAGGTCGCCCTGTTCGTGGAATTGAATGTTGTAAGGGGCGCGGACTGTCAAAACTACTGATAGAAGAATCATCGACTTCACCAGAAAAGTCTCGCTTCAGCCGATCTCGAAGACACGCTGCTGGGCCTCGAGAGAGGTACTCTTCGAGAGATACATTTGTTGACCACATTTTCAGCGGACTTTCGTCACTGACGCCTAGAGAGGGATCTTCGAAGAAGCCGTTGATTTGCACCTTAACTTCCCTTTCCACATTTAATTCTGTATGGCTGTGCGCAGACAAATCAACAGCATTACTGACAGCATCTTTCAACTCCTCCAAGAAGCGTTTCAGGGGTAAATTCAGGCCTTGAAAGCGAGCCGTTCCCATGTGGTCTGTAGCCATTGGGATTTCCTTTTCATGTTCAATATCCAGTAATCCGGAGCGTATTGAAGTGAGGGGAGCGCGGAACTCTATCTTATTGTTTGTCTCTGGATCAACGATATGGAATATCGAGTCAATGGTCTCAAGGTAGGACCATACTTTCATATCCGACGACAGCCACTTAAACTGATTAGAGAGATTCCACAGATACTGCTGTCGGGGCCGCAATTGTTCACGGAGTGTAGCCGGTATATCGTGCTCAAGTTTGAATAGATCACGAATACTTAGCATATATTCATCGGCTGACAAGTAGCTGGAGCCTTGGTGGGGTGTCGCAAAAAAGGCGATACCATAACAGTTGCTCAAAAGTTGGTTCGGCTCGGTCCGCGATGCGAAGGCCAAACACGCCTTGGCCACGAGGCCACCTGTGCTATGGCAAATAAAGAAGACAGGACGCCGACTTCTTTTTTCCGGCTTTGTTAGCCGTTCAAAAAGCTGTCGACCCAGCTTTTCAATGGTGTCCGCTTCATACAGTGTACCGTAGTTGTACAAATGTATTTGCGCTGCCGGTATATTCCTTAGTAGCCCATGCTCCAGCCAAGAGGACCCTGGCCGTCCTATCGCCCAGACCGTCCGAGGGTTTGTACCTATGGGGGGTATAGCAACAATGCTGCAGTGGAGTTCGTTGTCAACTCTAACTTCTCTTTATGGCTATCAGACCCACTTACTCCACGGTTGTATGTTTCACTGGATTCACGAGTTTATCAAACCAAGACCGGGTGGGCTCACTGTTCGAGGGCAACGGCGGTGGCTGCATATTTTATTGTAAACATTATATTTTTCTGTAGTTGAAGGTTCTGAAATGACAAACTCAGACTGAAGAGCAAGGTTATAAGGTAGTACCTACTTTCTTAAGTTGGGGAAATTCAGCCTCACCCCATACATACGAGGCACCGGGCGCACTCATCGCCCCGCTCGACGCCACCAACTGTGAGTCAAAGCACCTTCACCTGGGTGAATAATGGGTGAATAATGTTGTAAAGAGCGGAAGAAGCCGCGTTTTTATGCAGATTATTCATAGAGTCGTATTCTACAGAGACGTGGGTCATCTAGGTACTTTTGATCCAAACAATCCACTCCAAACAGGTCCCACAGGAGATCACTATTATACAAAGATCTATAGATCGGTGGATGCGGAATCATCAAACAAGGAAGCCAGCAAGAAAGAGATAATCAGAGGAGAGAGAGAGAGAGAGAGAGAGAGAGAGAGAGAGAGAGAGAGAGAGAGAGAAAGAAAGAGGGGTGATCGGAGAACGATCGCATGCATTATAAGTACAGAGAGAGAAGGTAGGGAAGAGAGGTCAAGAGTTTTCTGTGTGTCGTCGCTCGTTAACCTCTCTTGCCATGCGCTTTCCGAGTTCGTAAGTTGAGATCATAATGGCACAGGCCGGTGCTACCTTGAGACAGCGTGCTGACCAGCCACTGAAAAGACCCGCAGTTCCTTCCTCGCGGAAGATATGCAGGAGGAATTTGGGAAGAGAGAGTTTCTCGGGAACTATTTTGTTGAACGGGAGTGATGGTTGTGGCTTGCCGGCCGGTATGTGATCATCAATATGCCGGAAGACTTGTTGTCTGGTCTTGCCGACATCAAAGGGTGTTGTGACAAATGCTGCCACTGCTCCAGAGGATGCACCGGCGATGAAGCTATCGAGGAAAGCTGTGGCGGATGAGGAGTGATCGGGGTCGGTATGGGAGAGATGGGGCGCTTTCTGACGTGCTGTCTCAAGGCCATGCTTCACCTTTTCATATCCCCACCAGTATAGACCTGAAAATGGCACGTCGCGCCACATCGTAAGTGACAGACCACGCCAAAGGGAGGTGTATCCTTTCGCCTGCGTCATTTTGTACAATTCCTGGAGAGTGGCCTTGAAATGACCCGCTCCGGTGCCAGGAGTGGCCTGGAGACGAGTCCGAAACATCTCAACTGGACTCGTCGCTGCCGCTGCCGCAGTTCGCGCGATGGCACCAGCTATGAACGGTGCATATGCATCGGGAACATGGTGTTTCACCAGACTCCGATCATCGGTACGCATCCAGTCGTAGCCGGCGAAATATATAATATTGGCCGGCACACCCATCATCAAAGTCGGACTGAGACCTCGCCACAGCGTCCGGAATCCTTCATTTCGAGCAATCTTCCTTAGCCCGTCAATGGTCGATGTGAAGGTCCGTCGCTGTGATTCTTCGACGGCACAGTCTATCGCTGGGCGTGCCTGTGCCCCAATTGCTTCGGATTGGGGGCCCATCATACACATTTGTACATTATCTCCCACCCAAAATACCTCACGACAACACGCCGTGATTCCTAGGTTCGGCGGGAGGTTCTTCAGGGTATGGGTGGTGTGAGAGGTATATTGCGAAGCATTGAGAGTGTTCTGAGATTGGAGGCGAACTCGAACAACATCTAGGGGAGTAACTGCTGAGAATGAGCGTATATTCTGATCCTTGATGTCATCATACTTACCAAGCAACCCGGTGAAGATGTTGCCAGCTGTCGCAGATATCATTCGTTGTCCGATGGAGATATCACTGGTAGCAGGAGTAGAGCTAGCCGTGGAGGGTGTGTCCGTTCCAGCTTGCGCCATTATTGTAGAATTGTCAAAAAGTGATGTCCATTTCGCCTCCAGTGAGGAGTCGATGTCGGTCGCGAATTCAGATCCAGGCGATTCTGGATGGATCGAAGTCGCAGGGAAATGTAGAGTAAATGGCATTCAACTGATAAACCACAGCCTTTTATGGTTTGGCGAAGCTGGTTGTTGAAGGTCAGTTCGGAGAACTAAAGAAAAGATGCGTCACTAGATTATTTGATTCGGGGTTTTGCGGGCCGTGGCGCGTTGGTCGGAGATAAGGCGGTCTTCTTTTTTCACTCTTCAAGAACCTCGGAGATTCAACCACCGACAATCAATGGCACTCTTTCTCCTGCTTGTATAGCTTTTATTTTTTTTCCCTCTTTACCGGTCTGAGCTTGAAGTAAACCAGTGGATCCTCGGCATTCTTATCAATCTATTTGATCTCCGAGACCGGACATTCATCTCCCCCCGCCATGGAAGACAACGCCGATTTAGAAAAGTTCCGCCGCGAGTGGAGAGAGGAGGTTGCTCACAGATCTACTCACAGAGCTCCTCCTCAACAAAGGACCACAGCTCCACGGCCCTCTCAATTTACACCAACCCACCACGAGGCGTCCAGCCGAAAAGATCACGAAGCGGAGGGGCCCTCCCCGGCGTTGTTTGACAATGAGGCGCCACTTGCCCGAAAGGAGCTATCGCAGCAGGTTGGGGAGCTACCGCAGCTGCTTGAACATCTTCAGATTGAATCAGAGCATGGGCATGAAGAGGATGGGTTTACTCGGCGGGCACACCATGAACCCAACTCGGCTTTGGAACACTTTGAACGGGCTGTTGAGAAAGAAGCTGCAGGAAACTTGGGGGACAGTCTACAACACTACCGCAAGGCTTACAGGGTGAGTGTAGATCGCCAGTGCGTAAGATATTCTCTAACACTGGCTTGAAGCTGGACGCGAGTGTAGACAAAACCTATCGCGACAAACACTTTGCCCATGTATGGGGTAATAAGCCCGCTCAGCCTAAGCCCAGCGCACTTGAGCCCGAGTCGACCGCTGCTCCAGCACCTGATGCTGAGCCGGTGACCCTATTAACCTCGGAGCTGATCGAATCCTTCGTCAATCTGCCGATTCCACAGGCCGAGCCGGTGATCGAGAATACACCACCCCCACCATGCCCCATTGCGAAGGTCCCCTCAGAAGTATTAGTGGAGATTTTGCGCCATGTTGCACTACGAGATCCTGCGAATTTTGGTCGAATGGCTTTAGTGTGTAAGAAACTAGCCTATCATTTTGCACATGAACAACACATCTGGCGACGAATATGCCAAACACGAGAATTTGGATTCCAGGGAATGCATTACGAATTTGCGTGCGACAACCTTGGACAGACGGTTTATACACTCAGTGGTAAACGCTACACCCCGTTTCCGATTGATGCTCCGGTGGAAATCCCCAAGCCCTTGTTATCATGGAGCCAGGTCTTTCAGTCTTATCCTCGAATTCGCTTTACTGGTATCTATATTAGCACTGTTAACTACACTCGACCTGGTGCTGTTTCCGCCTTTCAAAGCGTATCGTGGAACAACCCGATCCACATTGTGACCTACTATCGCTTTCTACGATTTTACCCGGATGGCTCTGTGGTCTCTTTATTGACTACTACCGAGCCAGTCGATGTCGTACCGTATATCAGTAAGGAAAACATTATGGCTGCGCGGGCCACCAAGAAACATCGTTCGGCCCACGATCACGGTGAATCATCAGTTGGGACAGCTGGAACTACTGAATATGTGCCAACCATCGCCATGCAGTCTCTGAAATACGGCCTTCGTGGGCACTGGCATCTCACTTCACCCGTTCCCCCAGAGACTTCCGACAACGAACAGATTACCGAATTGACCTCAACGCAGCAACATTCCGTTGACCCACGAGACCTCGTCGTGGAGACAGAAGGTGTGGACTCTAGGTACACCAACTTAATGCATCTTTCCCTGCGCTCTCCGAGTGCTTCCAAGTCGCTTGCGAACCCGTCCAGAAACACGAAATTGGTCTGGAAAGGCTTTTGGAGCTACAACAAGCTCACTGATGACTGGGGTGCGTTCCCACTTCGCAATGAACGGGCTTATGTTTTCCGTCGTGTTCGAGGCTGGGGTCTCGACCCAATTGATGACTGATGATCTGAATACTATTTTCAAATTTTCATACGAACTTTTCTTGTATAGACTTGACAAGACTATCTTTTCATCCATTTGATACTGCTTATGTATGGGAATCCATACATATACAGAGAGTTGCAGTACTCAAGTACACCACGCGCAGTTTGTCAGCCATCTCTCTAGAAGCCTTGTCTCTTTGAAAGTAGTCTGCTTGGAGAAGCACAAAGCTAAGAAGTTAGAGAGCATAGAAAGTTAATCTGATGGCGATTGAAGAGGCAGGACTAGTGTGACAAATATGGCGACTCCCTCCCACATTGAAGGCAAAGGTTGAAAGAGCTGAAGCTGTGTCCATGGAGTGATTTGGACCGAAAAGCATGGCTAAGCCTGTCCTTGCGTAATCGATTGCCGCTGTCGCTACTATGATTGACCCTATCACAGAATATACTTGGATAGGATGCTCGTTGGACTATCGCAAGGATTAGCTAGGCTATTTTTCCATTCAAAAGGAGCTTTATAGAGCCTTCGAGCGACATGTCATCTCTTCCAGGATTGCTTCTATTGCTTGGAGGACTGGAAGGTTGTTATTGATCAGTTCTAGCTCAAGATTTCCAAGGTTGACGTATTTCCTCACCGATCACCCCTCAGCTTTTTACGCGCGTCACGTAGGTACTTGTTCTGAAACCTCTGGTCGGTATATAGCCAGGTATTGATTTTTCAACTATAGCTACTTACGTGCCGCAGAACATTGCAAGAACTTGGAATGGTACATCATGATTAGGTTGCTGGGCTTTTGTATAACTATGTTCTATGTTGAAAGACGTCGAATTCACATATGCATCTATCCATCATGCATTCAAATGCTCTTCAAAGGTTAGCTTCTCCAGTGAATTATCTGCTCCTCTTCGTCGTCATCGACGACTAGCACCATCCATACACCTACTTGCCCATTCGAGGCATAGAGAGGTGTACAGTGAATCCAGCGGTTTCGACCTTCAGAATTGGTGCGTGTGACCCATTTGATACGTGCCGTAACACTACGGCCTTGCTGGATCGCCTCTACCAGTTCATCAACGACCGAAGGGGGACTTCCGATCCGTGAAAGGAAAGAAGACTGGAGCATACCCGGAATCTGGAGCGACGGAGACGTAAACAGGATGCGAAGAGATGGGTAGGGCCTAATGAGAAGATACTGTGGCTATGGATCAGCTCTGGAGATCAACCGTAACCGTCAAATATTGGAACAGAACTTACATTCTCATAAACTCCTATCAGTGACCCACGCAAGTAGGGTGATTTCATATCACGTAGTCGAATGGCTTCCTTCTCACTATCCATTGAGCCCCGTACCCACGTTCGGTGGCGCATGCTGGCTTTGTTTTTCGCATTCGTGGGCTTGTACAGATCACCGCCATGTTCTTGGACGGAAACCAATTCTCGTGGACTAAATAGTTCGCACAGTTCTTGGAATGCATCTTTTTCGTCTGGCTCAGGTTTTTCAGATACGCTTTCTTCCTCCGGATCACGATAGCGGAATTTAAGTTCAATCAACGACTCCATTTGTGCTCCCTCTAATACTAAGCCGGAGACGTCAATTTGTGCGCCGATGAAATATTTCACACGACCCTGGCTGTCGCAGAGGGGTGCACATTGAAGTAAGTTCATGAATGGAGAGCCGTCTCGGCGACTGTATCAATGTAAGTAAGGTGGTCGAGCTTGCTGTAGATGAGGGTGATATACTAGTTCAGAAACAACTCAGAATGATGTCTACATTCTTTGATAGCGTCTCGAAGACGCCGTGTACTGTTTGGGTTTGTCTTTGGTCCCTGAAGGAAGCGGCAGTTTCTTCCAAGAACATAGTCCATGCCGTACTGGGTTGTGCGATGAAATTCTGATACTGTCAACGTCCATAGCAAGCAAGAACATCGGTTGGGATACATACCTTCTGAAGCGAAGATAATGGGGTTATCAGGCCGAGATGGGTCCGTCAGACAAAAAACTTCAGCCAAAGCATTAGATGTATCTCGAAACTTCAATGGCAGCGTGCCGCGAACACGCTCTTCGACGATCTTGCTGGTGATAGTAATACATCGCGACGTAATGAAAGCCGGCAATTCTTCCGCTGTCAATGCCTTGAGTCCATCACGAACCCTTTGCTCTAGGAGTTTATTGATTGTGACTCCGACACGGTCATTTCCATCCTGGATTAACTGGACAGCAGGTGGTGGAACATCGACTGCCATGCGAACTAGCGCATTGGCGTACTCGATTGATTTGAGCGCTTTCACCGCAGTCAGATAATATGACAGTGTAGAGATCGAGCGCGGGCGTTCCTCGATCAGAAACTCTCGAAACCGAGTCAAATACTGAGGGTTTTCGAGTATAGAAAGCATGTGTTCAGCGCCAAACATCACATCTGATAAGCGCTCCAGTTTATGGAGCGGTGTATCGAAACCATCGTAAGGCGCAATTAGATCATAGGATGCGCCTTCCTCGCTGACAGGATGGAACTCTTCGGCCCCATCGTACGGATTAAGTTCTTGCAGAAGGGGAAGATTATTGGTCGTGAAATTTCGGCGCATGTTTTTGATAGAGGCATCGGGAGTATAGATTCCATCCTCGTCTATGGCATCGAGGTTTTTGATGTGGACCGGCGGTTGAGGAAATTCATCGAGTAAAACATCAGTTCTTATATTTTCTTAGCTTTTATATCCCAATTGAATTGCATTTTGGTTGTTGCGCTTACCGAGATGTTCTACCAGACTCCAAGGCCCATTCATGGTACTCATCAGGAAGGGTATCTGTGAACGAGCGCACCGACTCATTGTCAGGACTACTCAAACCAGTGGGAAAATCTCTGACCGACATGGCTCAGAGATTTCTGTTGGTTTCTTCCTTCTACTATCGCTTCAGAATATCTTCAAAATGTGGGCTGAATAGCATTTAATAAATCAACATTGGAAACTATCTCCACCAATTGGATAGAACCCGTCAATTGAATACTGATCGGCAAGCTCACCGTTCTCGTCCTGCCAAGTGAGAATGCGATGCAACTGTCTCAGGGGGGTTGCAGGATTTATGTGAGTGCGCAATGTGAGAAGTCATATTTTGACGAGTAAAAGATCGATCGATGGCGGCTGAAGTTGATGAGAGTGGAATTGATCTACCAAGCTAAATGCAAATGATGCAATAGTGCAGGATAGGGTTCTGTCAAGTATCGTTTAACGTAAACAACATTCGAAGATCGTCGATGTGCCCGCGACTATTGATTTTTGCCTTTGCGAACAACGGGCGACGGAGAACAATGGACTCGGAAAATAAAGATAAGCTTCTCCATTTTACATGTCACAAGTACGCTCCATTGAAGAACATATGGGGTAACTACTGTAGCATAGTCTCATTGATCGTTTAGTCTCTGGGGTATATCGGCAAAATGAAGGTCTGAGCGTTGAGCTAGAGCACAATGGGAGGCCTAAACTTGAGTCTGTCGAACAGGTTCACTTCGGAAGACGGCTAGTTCTAGCAGCCTTGGAATACCCTTGTTCTATTTGTAGAGATTTCGAATGTATCCTTTCGATTCAGGAGTGTCGACCCTCTACTCGGGTTCAGGCTCGTATTCTCAAGCCTCCAGACACAGGATCAATTAGGATCGAGTAAAAGTGACCTATGGGTAGTGACTCTAAAAAGCAAGTGAAGTCAACCCACTATGGAAATAACTTGGGATATCGTGTGCATAAAGTGCATTAGCGAAGATTAGCAATGTTTATATAGTAGGAGTCCCCTTGACTGATCAATAGCGCGATAAGCTGATAAGAGAAAATTTCTGGAGATCAAATCGCGGAGATGCACAACTCCCTTGGCCTCGACAATCATGCCGGAGAAGGTGTTCACAAAGTTTGATGACCTGGAAAGGGATCCAGTCTCTCAGAAAGTCGAAAAAAACGTACTTGAATCTATCCCGGTAGAGGATGGGAAGAGAAAGAACCGGGTGAAGAAGCGGAAGCGCGACGAGCCAACCGATGAAGCAGAGTCCTTATCCCGTCGCAAAGATGAATCAGATCAGAACGAGAGACCTGTTACAACACCTGAAGAATATAAAATTGTCGTAGCACCCCAGCCGTCAAACAACAACAAATCTGAAAAGCCCAAGTCGAGCTACAAGTCCAAGTCGAAACCCAAAACCCTCACCGACACAAAGACCAATTTCTCCTCTCTACAAAAAAGGGCCAGTGCGCTGTATGAACAGCGAAAAAATCTGCCCATCTTCGGAAATGCCGACGAGATTCGAAAGAAGCTACGTGAGCAAGATGTCATGCTCTTGGTCGGTGAAACCGGTAGCGGAAAGAGTACTCAGATCCCACAGTTCCTGGTGAACGAGTTCTGGTGCCGACCGACACCCGCGAAAATAATACAAGAGGATGGCTTAGAAAAGGCCATTACAGTTGGTGGATGTATTGCGATCACGCAGCCTCGTCGTGTTGCAGCCATTTCACTGGCTCGACGTGTGGCGGAGGAGATGGGAACCCCCCTGGGATCCTCTTCGCCTGCTAGCAAGGTCGGCTACTCTGTGCGGTTCGACTCGTCTACGTCCCCGAGCACTCGAGTGAAGTTCTTGACGGAGGGAATGTTACTGCAAGAGATGTTGCATGATCCGTGGCTAACACGGTACAGCGCCATTGTGGTCGACGAAGTCCACGAGCGCGGTGTGAATGTTGATCTGGTCGTCGGGTTTTTGCGCAACTTGGTCTCTGGAAAGCGGGATGGCCGTGGAGGTGTTCCTCTGAAAGTTGTTGTTATGAGTGCTACGGCAGATATGGAAAGTCTCATGGGATTCTTCCAGGAGGGATTCAAGCTCCAAGAGAAAGAACCAAGGCTCAAAATCAAAGATGTGGCGCATGAACTAACACAAGCCGAGGAGAGCAAAGGCATCTCGGTCTGTCATATCAAGGGTCGGCAGTTCCCTGTCAAGACTATCTACTCGCCAGAGCCAGTGCACGATTTTGTGGACGCTGCTCTCAAGATCATTTTTCAGATTCATTACAAAGAGCCCATGCCAGGTGATATTCTGGTATTTTTGACTGGTCAGGAGACAGTTGAAGCTTTGCAGCATTTGGTAAATGAATACGCCACTGGGATGGATCCTGCCCTACCCAAAATCCAAGTGCTACCGCTATTTGCAGCTCTTCCCCAGGCCGCCCAGCAGCGCGTCTTTATGCCTGCACCACCTCGCACTCGCAAGGTTGTATTGTCAACCAATATTGCTGAAACCTCAGTCACTGTATCTGGAGTGCGCTATGTTGTTGATTGTGGCAAAGCCAAGGTCAAGCAGTTTCGTACGCGACTCGGTTTGGACTCTTTGCTAGTGAAGCCCATCTCTAAATCTGCTGCCATTCAACGAAAGGGTCGAGCAGGCCGTGAGGCTCCAGGACAGTGCTTCCGTCTATATACAGAAAAGGATTACCTAGCTCTCGATGAGACGAATACCCCGGAGATTCTGCGGTGCGACCTGAGCCAAGCACTTTTGAACATGAAAGCGCGTGGTGTGAATGACATTGTCCAGTTTCCCTTCTTGACGAGGCCACCGCGAGAGTCTCTCGAGAAAGCATTACTTCAGTTATTAAACATTGATGCTCTTGATGAGTTTGGAGGCATTAGTAAAACTGGCCAGAAAATCGCCAAGCTACCTCTAACCCCCACACTGGGACGAGTGTTATTAGCCGCCTCAGATAACGGCAGCGAGTGTTTAACAGATGTGATCGACATTATCTCCTGTCTCAGTGTCGAGAACATTTTCCAAAACACCACCTCCGAAGAAAAGAAGGAAGCCGCAGAAGCCGCTCGTCGGGATCTGTACCGGCGCGAAGGTGATCATCTGACCATGTTGGCAACAGTACGGGCCTACGCAGCCGAACATGTTGACCGAAAGGCGTGGGCTGAGCGACACCTGGTCTCGCATCGGGCTATGCAATCAGTAATGGTAAATTGTCTCATTCCCCGATCTATCCCGAAGAACCCGTGAGGCTCTAATGCAACTAAACAGGATGTTCGAAAACAACTCCGCACTCAATGTCGTCAGGCCAAAGCCCTACCGCGTGACGAGGAACTGGATCAGAATCGAGATGCAAATCCTGTCTTGATCTTACAGAGTTTCCTCAGCGGTTTCGCGACTAGCACTGCTCGGCTCGTCCCCGATGGTAGTTATCGCTCGATTGTTGGCAATCAGACCGTTGCTATTCATCCTTCGAGTGTGCTGTTCGGAAAAAAGGTAGAGGCCATTATGTATAACGAGTTTGTGTTTACAAATCGCAGTTATGCTCGTGGTGTGAGTGCTGTGCAGATGGACTGGGTTGGTGAGGCCTTGGCTGGTTCATCTTAGATACCCCTCAGCCATACACCAACAGTGAAAAACATATTTTACGGAAGTAAATAAGATCATGAAATAAAAGCTACATATGTAACTGTATGTAGAAGATTTCCTTCCCCCAGTAGGGCTTTCCTAAGCTAGCTACCGCCTCTTTAACAGGCTCAGTAAGCTGCTTTGGTTTCACCACGTGACAGGCCAGGTCCGTTCTGAGGCAATACAAAGTAAGCCCTCAGCGACTGATCAGTGAGCATGATTGGCTGCTCCCTGCTTACTCAGAGATCGACCAGATCTAACTTAACAATTAGTTAATGGACCAGGGTCGGAAACGTACGGGAGTACCGTATGTGATGAGTTATCCCCTAAGTCTGTTGGGCAAGTCACGCATGTTGGCTGAGTTATCGCCTGATTATTGCCTAAGCCGGGATACTTGTCAACAGACAACACCACTCTAGAAATTCTTAATATATTAATTCATACTCCTTGATCTTCACCGTCATTGAAAATCCTGTATGAACCCATAAAATTGCCGATACCGCCACTTTGTGTTATCCGATCTCCACCGCTCTATCACGCCTTATCACTATCAACGCATCATCGGTGGACCCTTTATTTCAATATACTTGAGGGCTCCTCCTCCTTTTAATAGACTCCTTTTAGTTCTTTCTTCCTGCTCTATAATTCTCCTGGCCGCTCCTGCGGTCTCCGGAGAACTTTCGCAGTATACAACGGGACAGCACATTCCATTATGGCCTTTCGAGTACCCACACAGGCTCCACACCGGAAAACCTCATACTCAGCCCCCCAACCTCCTCCACTGGATATACCTTCCACTGCAAGCGATCAACAATCTGATGATACCACACAATGGGTGCTCTTCTCCCCAACGGCCCAAAGTCATACCACGTCGACGGGCCGTACACGCACCGCCGGCGCTTCACGCCTGAGCGACTTTGGCTCATTTGGCACTGTAACTAGATCCGCAGCTGGTGCTGAGGGCGAAACGATAGTAGAAGATGCTTTAGATGACCCACTGGATGAAGATGGAACGGAACTTGATAGCTTGGACGATGGCTTGAATGCGTTCCGTGCCCCTTCAGCGGACCCTACATCCTCCGAACAAGTCGATCAAGGGCCACTGGCTATGCTTCCGGCCCATGATGGCTTAGGAAGCTTCCAGGCATCGAGCCAAATGGTCCAAGACCAAATCTGGCGATATGAACAGTATAACCCACGGAGGCAAAATGCCTACGGGCCCCATCAGCGTCGTCGGTCGAGTGTACAACGATATCTAGACACTGTGAATGAGACAGGTGTGGATGTGGAGAGAGATCGCTGGCAAAGGATCGAACAGTGGCGGATGGACCAAAATAGGGCGTTGCTTCAGGAGATCGAGAGAGAGACTCGTCAACGCCGGAACAGTCGTACCAGCCAATCAAGTGTACCGCGGTCTGTTGATTATACATCTGCGTCTCGGATGACTTCAGAGGCAGTGACTCCAACAAAAGGAGATACAGAAATAGAGGAGTCCTTCTTGCAGAGAATCACTCGCAAGGTGATCCGAGATCTGATCGGAATTGATGATTCATTATTATCTGTCATCTTTGGAGAGTCACTGCCGCAGGACGAGCAAACTCTCTTGGATGACCCCGAGAAGCTAGACATGGAGACTGTACTGGCTCGTGAAGCCGATCCAGAACACCCAGATGCGCCAATGTGGCAGAGCCATGTCCTCCAGCGCATCGCTCGTGAGCTTGGAATTTTAGTACACCAACTCTGCGAGCACCCTGGTGCTTTCACCACATATCACCAAATGATTAAGGACATCCCATACGAATATAAAACAATGCCTCACAATAACTTTGCAGAGAGCGGAGTCTCCCAAAGACAATCCGAGCCCGCAGACACAACATCGGCTGATACGAATACCGAGTCAATGTTCTCCCCCGATTTCATCCCCACCCTCCAAGATGCAAATAAAGAGCACGAGGCAGGATGGGGAATTGAAGATGAGGAACCCGCCCACCAGCAACAAGAACAGGAATACTGGGAACACGGCTTGGATGTCATGATGGTATTCCGCTATCTCCGTACCCGCTTCAGTCGCCGGGGCTATATGGCCTCTGAGAAATACTCTCCATCTTCCCCACGTCTCACACAAGATCCCTCCCGCCGTGCAGCAGTCATACGCCATCACCACCCCCTGGTGGCGCGATCCCATTCTCGCTCCCAACCACAGAGCCGTCTCGCATCAGGACCTGTAGGCGTCTCGTCACCCCTGATACGTCCGCATCTCCGTCGGTCAAGCTCCAGCTGTGCCAGCCAAAGTGCCAAATTGTCGGCTATTTCTAGTCGGCGTACAGTGACAAGCTCTAGCAGAAACTACTGGGACATTGGTGGTAGTGTCGAGAGTAGCAGTGCCATTGGTGTCGGAGCTGGACTCGGTGCCTGGGGTGAAGTGTGATTGTATCTTTTAGAAGTGGAGATTGATTCTCCGTAAATGACTACTATGGACTACGTAAGAAAGCGCATATTTATCTGCCTGTGGCTCATCTCAGGCAGTGTTTACAGGTATTTGGACTACGGCGTATAGCGTTTTTGAGGCTTTTTCGATCATCTCGGGATTTCTTGTTACATTTTTTGCACTATTTTCTGGCTACGCCTGCTGCATATAACTAACTGTATATGGACATTATTTATACAGTACCGTAACTGTTGTCACCAGTTGCATTCTTCTCGAACCCTCATTGCTAAGAGGTGCATATATTATGAGCAGTATACCTGTCAGTGGGAGCTGTATTGTGTATCAATTCGAAACATAGCAGTGCTACTCTGTCTTTTGTCACCCCAAGGTTTGATACCAATATGTTTCGCCAAGCATCCAGTAGCGTGATTCAATCCTTGAGTTCGCCATACGATCTCGCATATCGTGCGTCTCCTGCAATGAGTGCAGGGTGAGAGCTGCAAGTTCCACAATGCGACGCATTGGTTCTTCCCTATCCAGTGGAGCCGATGATTTAGATTTCAACAATTCAAAAATTGAGAAGCTCCAGTATGAGACTCTCGACTGCGTTGGCGGCTAATGTGTAGAAAGTGGTCGTTCACGGTATTTCGATGGGTAATTAGGCAATAAATGTCATCGCTGAGTAGGATTGACTTTCCCCTCGCCTGGTAAAGAATCGGGCCGGTGAAGAAATATAATTATTAGGGTACCACTACTGCTATCTACCTATCGTGGACGTTATGAGCAAGCAAGCTTATACGAGGAATACATTAGGTACCTAGGTACTCTGCTTAATATACTAATCATCGATGGGAACTCAAGACCTCGCGACAAAATCAAACGGATACCTACGTACCGTTTTTTCTATGCCAGCTCTTGGCATTCCCCTTCCGTATTAGTGCTCACCCCTTCGCTGCTTTTGCTCCCTGAGTAGAACTGAGCACGTGCCTGAGCATTACATAAGCTCCTTGATTTGCTCACTGAGTGAAATCTGAGCGCCCTGATTAGCTCACTGAGCGAGCTGAGTAAATACCTTAATAAAATGCAACACGCTAGTCCCGTCCCTTTCCATGTAGGTTGTTTACATTATCCCATCAATAAATGTCGGGTTTCACTAGAATGGTCGCTTATCCTAGGAGCTACACTCCTGTTTAGGGGATAATCTTACTGCGTATTTTATTTAATTGGTCTATCAACTCTTATGTCGGGATGTAAGCTCCTAGGAAGCGCATTCGTTTCCTGTGCACTAAGGATGGTAGAGTTCTTGATGTTGGCAGGAAGAACAAAGCCTGCCTTGATCATTGCATCAACCCTTTCGTTCCCATCCTGTGGAAGCGTACATGGTATTTGGAAGTTTTGGAATACCGCTGCTTTGGCGATTGGATCAGATGGCCGCCCTACGCATAGGGGAGCCCCTGACCACCCATTAGCAGGAGTGAGGGCTGGCTCGGTATGCCAGAGCAAGAAGACGGCTTGGGTATGATCTCTCTGATTCCATCTATACCCTGTTCCTAGAATAACTGCCCTACTGAAGAGGGTAGAGTCCGACTTGCCCTCGATAACCCGCCATCGCCCAACATTTGCATGGTGGCAGACAGTGTATACGTCTTGCCCATCAAGGGCAGTGGAGTAATCCGCCCACTCAGTGACTACTGGGTAGCCGGGCGGGTTGGACACATCTGGAAGTGCTGAATCGGAGATAAGGCAGAGATCATGATCATACCCGTGCGGATAGGGCTTGGTTTTGCTTGGTCGGTCGTAGGAGTATGAGATGTTTCCAATCTATTAGAGTTCAGTAAATATACATAATCTGGATTCACAAGCGTACCTTCATGTGAGATGAGGCAATCAAGACTTCTCTTCCAACGGGATTGTTGGTAAGTGCCCCAGAGTGCATGATAAATGTAGTGTCCATTCGAATTCGGGTTGGGAGATACCGTACTAACAGCCCCTTTACCCTGTCAAGAGTAGTTTGAATGAGGTTCATCACATTCGCCGCAACAGAAGATCCTGGACAATACACAAACCCGTGTGTTACAGTTGTTATCGCCTCAGAGCCATCCTGAAGCCGGACCTTTAGGCCGATGCATCCTGCGCTGTTATTTTCTTCCCCAATGCGCGCACCAATGCCTAGACCGTACTGAAAAGGCACTGTCGTTAAGTCACCGCGGGCAATATCAAAGTGCACAAGCAGACCAGCCAGCTCTAGTGGGTAAATCTCACTATACGCATCGTGCACATGCTGTATATCGTCGAAAAGGATAATCAAGAAGCCAGCAATAAGCACCGTAGCACCCACAGCACCTGGAAAGAGCTGTCGAAGGCTATCGAGATCCGTGGATCTCAAAAACCGTCGAGGATTGATGTATCGGGAGAAGTGCTGGTCATAGACTCCCGGTGATCGTGGCGTGATGAGTCCGGGGATATACTCGCTATGATGTCCGGGCAGGTAGTGGATCGGTCGGCCGCCCGCATAGATAACCTCTGGTGAGGTGATTGGCGATAGGATGAGCCAGACAGGCTCACCAAAACTGGACTCTGAAACCATCACTGTCGCCCTCGAGGACAGAGTAGGGTGGCAGCTTCGGACCAGCTGCTCATTTTCTTTATCTACTCGAGTGATAGATTCAGCACAGAAGCTGTCGGACTTGAGAATATTTTTGGGGAGGAGACCTATAGCGAATATGCATTAATCAGTGCTAAGGAAGCTGGCAAGAAATATTGTAGCAGATGGACTACTCACGCGGTACAGTTCGAATGAATATGGGATGATTCGCTGTTTCATGGTGCCCATAGTCCTGGTCAGCATACGGGATATAGGGGTATGGGATTCCATTGCACTTTCGGCGTTTGTATCCAGAGGACTCCATGAATCAGTCAAAAGAGAATGATATGGGTGGAAAAAAAACGAGGGTGGGAACTAATCTGGAAAAATATGACGCTTCCATTTACGGAAAGCCTATATAGAAGGCAGCTACACCTTACATTGAACCACGTCGCATAATACACAAACGCCTGCTTGGACGTTACTATATAGTAATTGAATATAAACTTTTTCGAATGGCTTAGATCTAACTACTAAGCCCTTTTATATCCTAACATCCCCATTTCGCCTTTCATCATCTTCCTATGCTCTATATATTCCCAAAATTGAGAGAATTAGCTAGATCCAAAAATGCCTTTGACTATTTAAGAGTAATTTTATAATATTATCTATTTCATGAGTTCAGTAAATGCTCCCTAAGGATCTGGAATTGATATTTTATATTCGCATCGGGATTTACAATAACTTTAGAACTTGATGATGGCCTTACGCACATTATCTCCTCAGATATAATCTCAAAAATAAACACCATGAAAAGCATGCTTGTCTCGAAAACATCCATACTTTTTGTCTTTTGGTGCTTCCTATTTAAAACTTCATCATTTCAACGAATCCGGAAAAACTGACCATTCTTATCACTGCTCCCTCTGGCTTGGACATTCCTTTACGAGTTACGAAACACCTTGTAAATATAGGACTGGAATCATGTAATTGCCCTCCAGTCCCAGGTCCAGTTGGTGGTGAAGAAGATCGGGATATTAGTTCCGCCAAAACATAAATATAACTTGCTCGAATAGACGCCTCGCGTCTTTGTCTCATTGTTTGTTATTTAAAATTTCTACAAAACTATCCCAGAAATATTGATGGAATATGGGCTTAATATCAATGAAAACAAGGTCGACCATCCGTCACTTTACTCCAACTCAATCTATCGATTGATTCATCCATCGGATTCCATCCTCCCAATCCTGGCAATGCATTGATACTATGAGAGGGTCCCACTTTAATCCAACTCAATCGATCGATCGATTCATCCATCTTCCAAGTCCTCGCAATTCATTGCTACTATGAGAGTGTCCCTCAATCGATCCAATGATTTATCCATCACTGGGAAGGGTAAGATGGCTAATAACAAGTTCAACCAAAGCAGGTCTAGCTTATACACGTGGACCCACAAAATTGGATCTCAATTTGTCATAGTTCATATCTACATCTAACTATCCTCCAGGGGTTTCGCAGATCATTAGGCATGGTGGCCAGTCATTTGTTGGTCTTCTCGACGATTCCACAGTTTTGAAATACCCTACTATTTTAAACCTAGCAATCTTGAAGATATTCAGGTTGAGGCGAAGTTTCTCGAAGTCCTTGGAAGCCACCCTCGGATTATTGAGTCAAGAGGCTTGACTGAACATGGCCTTGCTCTACAACGCGCATCTAGCGGATCATTAGATAACTAGATTGCTTCTCAATCCTCTATCTTGCCTCAAAGACAGCTTTGTTGGTGCAAATAAGCTTCATAAACTATAGGTTTTATCCATTCCAAAAATTTTATTCACTGTGACATAAGCCCCAGAAACTTCCTACTAGATAAAAACTTCGATCTTCAACTTTGCGACCTTTAGGGCATGCTTAAGTCCCTTGACAACAAAACTCTCCTAGATGGACATGATCTGGAGTTATGTAAGGCATATTTACCCCGTGAAGATGACATCCCATGCGTGAAAACTGATATAATCGCGCTTGGTTCATTTATCTATCTTTTAATAACAGGGCATGAAGTTTTTCTAGAGCTTGGGCGTTTTACTATAAAGACGGTGACAAAATTGAATCTCTCTTCCGAGATAGGCTATTTCCCACAGACAGCCACCTTTGCTCTGATATTACACAAAAATGTTGGAATTAGCAGTACCCTTCAGTGGATGATGTTTCTCATGATCTCTCCCTTTTAGAAGTTATCGTGAGCACTGTTAAATTAAAAAAAAGTCGTTATTCTTGTCAGCAGTTATACCCGCGGAGTTAGAGTGAAGAGAGAAGGGTAAAGGTAAACTTTGAAGCTTCATCTTGTGTCAAATAGCTTCTTCCTCGAGCGTGAAATTCTGCATAATCAGTTTACAGAATATGTTGGTATCGCCAGCTAGGTATTTTTTTTAAATAGCTAAGTAGACAGTGTTTTGCTATGAAGCTTTTCTAGATTGATGTATGTCTCCCCCTTGAATCCGGATAGGGAGTGGGAGTAGATATCATGACCAGCAAAACTAGAAACGGTCACCCCATGTGTATTATAAAGTTCCGTTGAAAATTTCCGTTGAATTCCGTGTAAAAGTCTATGGAAAAAGCCATCCGTTTCACTTGATATAAGCAGTGTGAAGTAGACCAAGCGTTGAACTATAGTTAGATCAGTTTGTAGAAATTAGAAAAATTAAAACTTCTAGAGCATTTAAAGAATGGCTGGTTCTTTTTCACCACATGAGCTATGCAAATACTGAGCTTTGTCTGAACGTACCTCTATAAGCTACGTCTTCGTTAACAGCGTATCACTTAGAACTAAACCTGTTTAACTTTCTGCCTGTCAACTCCTCGAAGAAAAAACCTGCTAGTCTGCCCCCTGATAAGTCTCCAGTGAGTCCTTCTTGTTCAAGGATCCCCGAGTTATAATTCGGTACGTTGCAAAATCGGCTTGCGCCTTTTATTGTTCACGTCCCAAAAAAAACCCTACTTAGATAATTTAAATAGTACATAGGTATTATCTACAAGTTAACGCAAAGACCACCTAAGTACTTGGATATCAATAGAATTTACTTGCTTGTTGATCGGGTATTCATCAAGAGGTTCCAAACCAAGAAACCTTGGAAATATGCAATCTCAACTAATTGGGCTCTCGGACATAGCTCCTAGGTAGACATGCAGATTAAGATACTACTAAATACAAAGTCACCAGGACCGAGAGCTGAAAAAGTCAATTGAGAGAAACTTGACGAGGAATTAAAAAATAAAAACTGTAAGCTTAAAATTCTCATAAAAAGCCGAATAGCAAAGGCGCAAAGATACGGAAAGGCTTTGACTCACCGAATGAAATTGGAAATCCACATTTGAAACCAGATGTGGATCCAATATCTAGTCAATATGAGAGCGACAGATAGGGCAAGTTTTGTTCCTTTCAACCCAAGGGAGGATGCACTCGGTATGGAACCAGTGTCCGCACCAGAGACCTGTTACATAGCTGTCTAGCTCGGCGACGTCTGAACAGATAACACAAAGTCCATCGCCATCAAATAGCATATCTCGGGTTACTTGCCGCTCAAATAGATTGTTTGAGACACTTTGATGACCGTGGACTTCGCAGTCATGGTTATTACGATGGTCGTGGTCATGGTCGTGGTGATGATGATGGTCACGGTGGCTATCATGGTGGCGATCGTGTCCATGGTCATGTCCACATTTACATTGATTACTGGGACCTGGTTGAGTGCGGGCATGATGGCCGCGACCAGTATGACCCCGATCATTGTTAGAATCACGACGACTGGGTCGACGACTTCGGCGAGCCTGTTGCCTAGGAGTTGAGCGCGAAGAGTGCTCATAATCACCCGAGCAATCTGGGTGGTGAGATTCAATGTTCTGTCGCCATTGCTGGACTCGTTCCTGAGCCCCATTCTCAGCGTAGCAGTTTTCACACATAATGTTAGATTTTGATTGATACGGTTCGGATTAAAGTGTATGATTTGAAGGCTTTTTTGTCACTTGTTTTGCTTGATGAAGAAGAAAAGGACATCGGGATTTTGAGGCCTTTTATACTAATCTTGGGAGACTCTGAAAGGCTTCTTCCTTTGTTCGAAGAACAATGGCGAGTCTTTGTTGTTTTGTGTATCTATGAGACAATTCTTCGAGGATAAAGACCTAAGCTTGGATGTACTATAGTTAGTATTCGAGGTGAAACCTTGGAGGTGATGTTTTGTGCGTCTAAAATGAGATATTTTCCATCTGAGACACTTTCTCAGGAACAAAGACGTAAGTCCTATAGATGGTACTCGAGATGAAGGCCATAAAGACGAAATTCCTTACTGGCGACTATATAAAGCTAACTCCAAGGCTAGACAAAGGACTTTGTTCACTCCTATGCGAAACAATTTCGTACATTAGTTTAATGAAGACGTAGATAAAGACTCAAGCAAAGACTCGAGCAAAGACTCGAGCAAAGCCTCATGCTAGGAATAAAAAATAGAAATAAGTCTCATTTGTACTCGGAAGGCTACATCAGCTTGGAAGTCTTGAAAGACCATGTTCTCTTCGCTGCCTATAAAAGCTCTCGTCATTCCCAGCAAAAATGGCACTTAGAAAGTCCCAAGCTCATAGAAATCAAGCTATAAGCTCAGATTAAAACATACCTTCTATCAAACGCTTCAATTCAACAATTCTGTCCAACACTTCAACTCTAACTTTAAGTCCGAGTGCGCTCACTTTCCTCATTGGCAAATTAGCGGAGTTCATTTCTTTCAACCGCCGTAAGAAACTAAGATGGCCCCAAATGGGTGGTTTCGTCCGTCTCAGAAAAAGTCAAAGTCGAAGTGGTCGCCCGCCATGATGGGGAAAAGGCCAGATGGGATGACGCAAGAGGAGATGGAAGCCGAAATGGCCAAAATGATCGAAAAGTATAGAAACACAGATGAACGTGGCAGTCACAAGAAATCCCGGATGGAGAAAAAACGAGAGGAGCAGCTGGAGGAAGAGGAGGACATGCGAAATGGAATATATAAAGTCCCAGACCGCAATCCATTCACAGGCGAGCCGCTACATTGCTCGAAGGAGGAAGCGCAAGCTGAGATGGCCAAGGTGGTTGAAAAGTATAGAAATAAAGATGAACATGGCAATCCTAAGAAGACCTGGATGCAAATCAAACGGGAGGAAGAGCTGCAGGAAATGCGAAGAAGACGAAATGCAGGTCTTTGAAGATGAAGTGGAAAGAAAGTCACCACTCTAGATCAATAAAACAAAATTGAATGGAATTATTTTCTTAGTAAGCTAATAAAAAAAATTTGGATCACGTATAAGTAGGTCCACGAATATGCCGATATAGATTGAGGTCTTCCAAGGTTCTCTCCGCTGTAATTGAGTAATATAAGTACTTAGCTACCATTTACCGGTATAGGTACTACCTAGACTGTCACGTCTCATAAGATCCTGTCCATGGGTCGCAGACCTCCAGGGCTCTATTGGTAAAACATAACAAGCCAGTTTAGTGCAGCTGATCCACGAAGGTGTGCGGCTGTCATTATATAACGGATTCGCAATAGTAAAGATCTCAATTAAATTAATCAGACATGAATTGAATGGATAACACGGTGGAATATTATATGTATAAAACTTGACCCATGGATCTATTTAAGCAAAAATTGCAGCTAGGATTGGCATCGCCACACCGATGATCTGCATCATAGACCAATGTGAAATTGTAGATGCAGCTCCGGTGTACGTAGCGTACGCTGCACTGCTGGTACTAGAGGCAGACGCAGATGTGCGAGCTCCACCATACTTAGTACTCTGGGGCAGCACGTGTACTGAGGAGATAGAAGCAAAAGCAGAAGCAGTACGATTGCCTGCAGCACCGGAGCCGTAGATAGTGGGTTGAGCGACGCCAGTCTGAGTTACCAGAATGGTGCTGACATACTCGGCACAGGTCTTACTGGCACATGACGAGACAGTATAGAGAGCAGTGTATACTTCCTCTGCACCTGAGGCAGGGCCCTGGCCACCCTTCTTGTCGGAAGAGCCAGAGCCAGATGATACTTCGGTAGTGACGGTCGCAGGTAAATCCGTGACTGCGGATAGTGCATATACAGTCGTTCCAACGGCGACGGTCTCGGTAGTCACATAGGTCGTCTGAGAACGCAGTGGGCAGTTGGTCACAGATGACGGGCAAGCAGTGACAGTCGAAGTCCGGGTGCTCCAGATAGTTGAGATAGTTGACTCTGGGACACCACTTCCATGTTCACCAGAACCTTGAGTAGAAGCAGAAGCAGTCTGGGTAGCGGCAGCCTCAGTGATCGGACAGATTGTAGTGGAGAGTACAATTGTCTCTGTTGTAACGAAAGTCGTCTTTGATCTCGCAGGGCAATCAGTGACGGAGGTAGGGCAGGCAGTGATAGTAGCTGTGCGGGTAGTGAACACTGTAGAGGTAATAGATCCGAGCTCACCAGACTTGGTAGGAGCTTGGCCGGCTGCAAGGGTAGATGTGGTCTGAGCCTCTGTCACCGGGCAGACTGTCGTCGAAACAACCACAGTTTCGGTGGTTGTGAAAGTAGTCTTGGATGCCACTGGGCAGTTAGGGATCGATGACGGGCAAGCTGTGATAGTAGCTGTACGAGTAGAGAGAACGGTTGATGTAGTCAACTGTACTGAGGTTCCAGAGGCAACTGTAGTGCTTGGCAAAGAACCCGACTGATCAGAGCTTGACTCAGATGGGGCACCCGCGGTGGGAACAGAAGATGAAGGGGCCAAATCGCTTGATTGAGCAGGAAGTCCGGGTTCAGTTGCTGTAGTTTGAAGTGGGCTAGACACAGAAGTCACAACTGACGTCTGGTGAAGAGGCGTTGAAGTAGGGGCTGAGGCTGAGAAAGCCACAGAAGAAGAAGCCGAGCAATAGCTACTGCGATGAGGCAGCGATCTGGAGCTATAGCTCCATGGATGATGGTGAGAATGCGAATGCGAATGAGAAGTGTGAATCGGTCTTCTCGACAAAGGAGTGGAAGAGGCAATTGGGGGCGTCGTCAGAGCAGGCAGTGAATACGGTGTACTAGATGACGACACAGTTATAGCTGACGACGATGGAGTGGCCCTAGAATAAGGAACAGATGATGAAGGACGAGCGCTGCAAGATTTGCGACTGGGCAATGGCCTTGAACTGTACGTCCAGTGGTGGTGGTGGTGGTGGTGGTGGTGAGCGTGTGCTGAAGGAGTGGCAGAGCTAATGGGTGAAGTCACTGAACTAGACGACGATACGACAATAGCAGATGGCGTGGTGGTTGCGCTGGAAGCGGCAACAGATGATGATACGCGAGCGCTGCAAGGCTTGCGACTCGGTAATGGCCTTGAACTATAAGTCCAATGATGGTGATGATGATGTCCATGGGGTGTCACAGAAGGAGTGGGCGACACAACTGGCTCAGCAAGACTTGTTTGCACAAGCAATGCGGCGAGGATCCATCCTCGAAGAAGGAAGTGACCCATTCTAACAAAATAGAAACTAGGCCTTAGATAAAAGAGTGACAAGAGACAAGAATAAAAAAAGACGAGAGCATATGTTCTCAAAAACTACAGCAACGACAAAAGAGTGTGATGATCGGATGTGGTAAAGAGTGGAAGTACTCTAGGACTGTATATAGATCAGAGCAAATCCATGTGGACACACAGACACGGCCACGCCGATGAATAGGAGATACGGCTCGTGTAGCCGAAATTAAACAAAGATGTTTTGAATTTTTAATTCAAAATTTACACATTCAATCGCGCTATTGACGCCTCAACGTACCTCAATGGGGCAAACTCACAGAACTCTGTAAGTAGAGGTGAGATTGGGTGCAATTAGCCGACAGTCATATTCCCCTAACACAACTAGAAAGTATTTAACTTGACAAGTCTTGTAGACATCAATTGGGCATAATTTAATTTCTTACTCTCCTTTGGAAAATGTCTTTTTCACGCTTTGCCCTCGCGGGCCTCCTGCTCAGTGTAGCAAATGCTGTCAGCGTATCCCCGGTCTCCAGTCAAGCCCAAGTACAGCCTTCGGCGACCTGTCGTACTATTTTGGGAGATGAGTCCCTCTCTTCTGTACCTACGATAACTAAGACCCGCCGTGTCCATGACCCTACTCCTGTTGTGGTCTTCACCACGGTTCAGGATACTGTCACCTATACTCCCTCGCTTTCAACTATACTGGCGACGGACTATGAGACCGCTACGATCACTTCTACGGCAACACCGGCCACTGATGTTTTCTCAACTACTTCGACTGAGTTTGAATATACGACTTCGTGGGTCACTCCAAGTGATGTCACCGCAACTCTGTGGTCAACCTCGTCAATCACCCAAACCAGCACCGCAACTATTGCCAGCTCACCTGGTTTCACTCCTATTGTGGACACTCTTCCCACTGCTACCGTCGCCAAAAGATCACTGGCTGAAGACCAAGAGGAATGCGTTCCTTGGCTAGATGATTACCAGTATCCCAAAGAAGTGATCTGCCACGAGAAGTACATCATCAAGACCACAACAGTCTCAACTGTCACTGAGACCCCCATCACTGCCACTGCTGCTGCACCTTCCACGACCGTGACAGTGACCAGTACCATCACTTCCAACACTGTAGTTGTTCCCTCCGACGTGTCCACCACATTGAGCTTCAGCACTACCTCGTACATTACCGTTGTCACTGATGCACCTGCTGTGACCGATACTGTCACTTCTACTGCCACCGAGATAGTCGCTATCAGCACTACATCTTCGTATGCCGCGTGTGCCACCAACAACATCGCATCCAGTCCTCTTTCATCGGACTACGGCAGCTTCGCCGGTCAATACATTAACGCTGTTGCCTTCACCAAAGTTCCTGGTATGCGTATATCCGTGGGCGACACCTCGTCCCAGACGGCCTGCTGTGAGAGCTGCCAGCAGAGCTCGGATTGCGCCTTCTCCTACTACGCTGGTATATCATCATCCCTCAGATACTGTTATTTGGTTCACACGACTACATGCTCGGTTGCTGATACTTACTCCACGGCTTGGATTGAGCACACTGTGAGTTCTCTGTCAATCTCCAATGGAAACTGTGGCCACTACGTCGGCTCTCAGCATTAGATAGAATCTTTATCAGTTCAACTTATCATATTTGCTCCATATACACCTACTTAATAATACAATTTGTATAAATATGTGTCTTTTATTGCTTATTTTGTATGGTTTTAAATCGTATGTACGTAAATTCCGAAACTTAGCCAATTAATTTGCCTCAAAATGTATTTGAAATCACCGTCACTAATTCTACGTATATGCCAAATATCGGCCAATGGAACACCTTTTGAGTCGAGGCTTTAGGCTTTCAGAAGTAAGATTTTAAAATAGCCAAGTTTAGTCTAAAGTGTAATTACTCCTGTCAAATGGAAAGATAGGTCATATTAGTTAAAGCGTTAAAGTTAGCTAGTGCCAGGTCTCGGCCAAAGCCGAATGAAAAACTAGTGCAGGTACCTTGACTCTGACCAATCATATGCCCAAGGTAACTATCACCTTATATATTCTACTCCACTTTTGTATACGCTGAAACGACCCCTTCCGGAATAAGTCCGCATTTCCTCGATACACAAGAGAAAGTTCAATCCTTTGTACTAAAACTGAAAAATGAGAGCTGGCAGGATTGAGTTTTGACTCGTAACAGCAAAGTCAATCAATACCATTTCAAATTTGAAATGATTGATATCAGGTAGCGAGTTGAACTAGCTAAAGCCCCAAAGTAAGCAGCAATAGGAGTAGCAAGTGAAAGCTTCAAGAGGCCATTGGCATGACTATTTAGACATCTATTCCTGAGGCTGAGACAAAGCGCGTCAATAAAAGATAAAAATATAAATGGGAACTACAGATTAAAAAACGCTCTTTCAATAATTCTAAATTAATACCTTACATGTACGTCGTAGTCAGGGACTCCCATGTGGTCAGGGACTCCCATGTGGTCAGGGACTCCCATGTGGTCAGGGACTCCCATGTGGTCAGGGACTCCCATGTGGTCAGGGACTCCCATGTGGTCAGGGACTCCCATGTGGTTAGGGACTCCCATGTGGAGTTTTTTTCCAGCTGGGACCAACTAAGCGATAACCCGCATAGCCCATCCTTAGCAATTCTCCGTAACTGATTATTGGTTGACCGCTTCAGGTAAGACTCTGTCTCTGCAATCTACCGTATAATAACTTGTTGCTCGGTCACATTAGCCAGTTGATAGATATCCAGGAAATAATCATATTACATCATATCGGCCCCATCCGAGGGCTAGTATGTCATATACTCTGCATCTCCTGTGACTATGTAGACATTGCCTTTTTCGTTTTCGTGGGCAATGGAAAGTAACCAATGAGGCGACTCTCCTGGGATTTGAATTTGCTGGAAGAGAGAAAGATATAGCGATGGGATGGAGGAGGTGGCTGAGAATTGTCTGGGTCAGATTCCTCCGTGCCCTATTTCCGGGAAAGTGCGACCTCAGGACCTTAGACATCGCACTCCTCTCTAATAACAATGGTCCCGATGAAAGTGGTGGAAGGTGAATGGTCGCTCGTGATCAGTTTATCGTGATGGATGCCAGTGTAATGTTAGAGCACTACCTGGGTAATCAACAGGTACTGGATTAAGCCTATGGAAGTAGAATGAGGCACAGGAATATCAAACAAACATTAATTATTGGCAGACAAGCATATTCCCCGAAGAAAGTAGGAGCTACGTCATGCAGCCACGGCAAAGAGCTTCTATCTAGGAAATATTCAACTGAGTGGCAATAACCGACTAAATTCGCGCACATCAGACAGTAAACTTTGAAATGATTACCAGTGTAGCTAAAACTTAGGAGACAATCTTTTGAACATAAATGCCATATGTAACTACATTGTACCAAGGTAGAGCTAGTTAACATCGATAATCAACCCTTCGAAGCGTCTACAAGCGTCGGTTTCATCCATCTAGACCCACCAATCAGTAGATGATAGTGGGTCCTACAAGATGTACAGCAGTCCTTATTGGCAGAGGTAAATTACAAGCAAAATTATGGGGCTCTGGGACTATCAGCTGAATTCGAGAATTGATATCAGTCTACTCTACATAAAGACTATGGACTTGCCATTGTTCAGCTTATTTCTCGTAGCTACATGTCTCACATTCACTCGAAGAAGCTCCGCTACATTTTTTTCAAGGATGTTGAGAGCACGAAATTTTGACTTATGCAGCCTGCACGTACGTCGTACAGTGTCGGATAGGCACGGTTTCAACTCGAACCCGAGCCTTGCTAGGTACAATAAATGTGGATCATATTTGAAGCCAGCACATTCACTTGAGAGTTTGAATAGTGTCTAGTCGTGTGTAAAGAACGGCGAGCTGAACAGACAGCGACACCTTCCCAACTAGGATGTTCGTTCTATCCCATCACGCCCGACACTGCTCGTCGAGGATTGGTATATACCCTTATAACCCTCAACCATTTCCCCCAACTCCTCAAAAACAATCTGAGCAAGCTTGGCATCTCGATAAAGAACAACTCCATGATGATTTTTTACTTCCATCAACGCACCCATAGCACCTTCATATCCAGCATCAACCACGCCAGCATTAATTCCAACCCCAGAACGCCAAAGCGACGATCTAGGAAATATACTTCCCATGCAATTCCGTGGAATATGAACTGTTTCGTTGAAATCAATCAGATAAGCTTCTGGTTTCAGCGTGATTGCGTGGCTGGCGTCGAAGGAAAGAATGGAAGTTCTAGCCGCCTCGCGTTTCGTATTGTCAAAGTCAATGCTGGCTGCTGATGACCATTTAGACACCTGGCGTAAAGTTAGGTCGACGCCGCATGGCTGTTGCTGCTGGGTAATTTGTCGTAGGCTGCGTACTAGGTTGCGGGTGACGACTTCGAGTCCGCTGAGGATCATGGTGTGGCCTTTTACTTTGGCCGATACTCCTAAATGCTGAGACGATTGAGGAGCTTCGGTAACAATGAGGGCTAATACGCAACCTTGGAAGGAATTCGTAAGAAATACACCGAGGGGAGTACGGAGTGCTGAATGAAATGACTAATTGCTAGGACGTATTAGGTAGTGTTTTATTATAGTAATTTGTAGTGCTGTTAGAACAAAGATCAGCGGACATACCAAGATCATGTGATCTTGGCATGGTGTCAAATGAGAAATTGACCGTCCAACCAGAAATGGTTGACGAAACTGGATTGTCTATCTAGGGATGAAACCCGCTTAAATACACACATTATGGGTCCTGCTGACATACGCAGCACACCCCTTAATATCGGCCCTTTGACACATGGCAGCTACTAACTATATCTTCATTCATCTGAGCATTTTAGAATGACACTTCACTTTTACCCAATATGCATACACCTATTATATACGTACAGAAACGATATCAATAGCTGTCTGCTTCGGTAATAACCTAGTAAACCGACAAGTGCCTTTAATATTCTGCACATGCAGTTTTGGAATAATCTCAAGCAATATCCAAAGTTTTCGCTATCTGCTTCAGCTTCAAAATCGAGTTTTCATGAAGATGATGAGATGGTGAGAAACTGAATAATGAAAAAATTGAAACCGAAGTCCGCTTCCATTTCGTTCCTACATTGAGTATGGAGTAAAAGTGTGTAAAAGTAGAGGCCAGGAAAATAATAGGTTAAGTAGGAGATGCTCGGTCAAATAAGCAAAATTAGGTGAACATGGTATCCAAACTCCCCGATGGCCGAGTTGGTGAGTGAATATTCCTCTAGTCGATTGTATACTATGAGTATTTAACAAGAACGCCCAACTTCGAAAAAAGGGCCCTCACCGTTGACGCAACACCGAGGGGTTCACTAGTACTTAGAAATGATGTAAGACACGAAAAAGTGCCCATCAGACTAGAACGAAACATGTTCTGAGTTTGGATTTCTTTTTTTTACTTCTTTAATACACGATTGCTCACTGGGATTATCATAATTGCTTATGATTTGATGAAATTACTTATATTATAAGTTCGATACTTGATTTGTCGAGTTGCCGAAGAAGTGAGGTTACTTGCAGAGGTCTAGGTAAAGGGCAGGTATCATCCATGATGCTGTATTTTTGATGAATTTATTTCCCTTTCTACTCCTGGTCTTATTTTACAAGGTCAGGGGATCGATTCCGAACGTCGTAAACATTTGCTCCTACTTACTTCCATTTGATTGTTTCTCTCAATTTATCTCTTGTTTTTTATGTATGGCAGGAATTGATTTTTATCCAAGTGGATTGATCTACTAGAAGCATGAGACTATTGAGGTTTTTTTACAAGAGCTTTCCACCTGTGGAACCCGAGTTCAAGAACTCTACATGGCTAAGAGTGTGAAAGAAGAAAAGTGGCTTTTGGCATGCCAGTATGATCATGAGAAAGACCATGCCATATCAGATCCATATGTACATTCATAACATAATTCGTGTCGCCGTGATTCATTCTACAAGAACATAAAAGCAGCCGTGGATATCGCTGCAATCAACGCCATAAGGCTATGCGCGCCGACAGACTCATTTGAAGAAAGTGCGCTTGCAGCTCCGGTGTGATTTGCTGACCCGTTGACTTCGGCGGTAGATCCTAGTCCAAGGGGCAGTCCCTGGTAGCTGAAGGTCAAATTCTGGGCAATAGACGTGTTATAGCACTGTCCCTTTGCAATGTCCAAGTTGGCCAGGTCATCTGAGTTTTTAAAGAACATGTACTGGGACTGGTTCAGGCTTTTGAATCCAGATGTGTCGTAGGGGAACTTGTCCCCTGAATCAGTCGAAGAAGTGTTGCGTAGGAAGATGCATTGGACTTGGCCCGGGAAGTCTGTGGCCATCTCTGGGTAGTCGCGCATGACATCGCTGTTGCTGGTGTCTGCAACGAGGATGAACTTTCGCTCGGGGAAAGTTTCGAAGATCTTTTGTAGCAGGAACTTTCGAATTGAGAGGGTGGCTGAGACGTCACTGAAGTTCAGGGGACGGGTGTCAAAGGAGCCGCCGGGGTAGTTTGTGTAGATGAACTGCATGTAGTTCCTTGTGACTTGCTCGGGGGTAGTAGTGAGGTAGTGGAAGTGCAAGTCGGGCAGGCTGGTGGACCAGTTGCGGTAAATATCTGGCATGTTCTCCCAGGGTGTGAATGCACGTGCGAAAGAATTGAGTAGTCCCTGCGTCGGCTCGTAGATCTTGGTCACACGCAGAATATCGTCAACGTCTGAAATGACTGTGAGGCCGGTTGGTGGCACAAGATAGGCAGTGCTATTTCCGATACTTGCACCTTCAATGTGGGTGTCAAGTCGCTGGATGGCGGAGGTTTCATTTCCAGCGGTGAGGCCATTGCTTTTGATCTGTACAAAGGTGTCGAAATCGCCTTCAATTGTCGTGTTGTATGGCAGAGTAACATCTTGCGTGCCACCTGTTGTATTGGATGAACCACCACCACCTGCCTGTCCGCTGGAACCCTGACCTGCTCCAGGTTCAAGGTGGATCGTGTTCACGGCAACATGCCCCTGCTGGACAACAAAAATCTCAGCAGTCAGGTTGCGTGCCTGGTCTGCCTCGGATTCAGGAAGGTCCTTGATACTAGTATCGACGAGGAATACATCGGCAAGCTTGTTCAAATCCGAGACGGAAGTGTTTGGCTGCTTGTAGACGTTTCCATGGAAACGAACGTTCCAGCCTGAGCTGGTCCAATTGGCATACGGATCGATGTTCAATACATTGGTTGGTACTGCTGCCAGTTCTGAACTTTCCAAGCCGAGAGAGCTCACAACTGCATCTCCAGTTGGGAAACCTTGAAAATAGTTGGGTACTCCAGAAGCGACCCACGTGGGCACGTCAGTCCCAAGCCCCGAGAGGACACTATCGATGTCTTGTTCAACGTCACTCAAGATTCCTCGATTCACTACACGAGAAGGAGAAAGCTTGGTCGGGGAAGCTGTAATGACAGGGTTTGGCGGAGAAACATTATCGACCTCGACGAAAGGGGTTCCAGTTGGAGCAGGAGCTGTATGGGCAATTGAGAGAAGAGAGGCCTGTACAAGGGCAAGAGTAGTTGTCTTCATAGTTCGAAGTCAATACAGCTGTCGCTGGGCAAAATAAACCGAATGGAGCTATCCAGAGATGAAAAAGATCGGGAGAAAATGGTTCGCATAGGGACTATTTCAAGAAAAAAAAAGCGATAACGTCACAAGGCGCAGGCACAAATGATAGTCGATTATTTCCAAGTTTGTGATGAGATCAATTTGATTGAAAGGATATGACTAAGTCCAAGAGGGTCCTCATACGTCATTACGTTTAGGCCCTGAAACCAATTTGTGGATTTTGATTGGCTCATCCATTCTACATATATACATGTCGCTGTGTACGTAGATTTTAACACTGGAAAGTGCTCCATACATTTGGGCGTATTTTCCCGATGTCTTCCGAAAAGGAAAAAAAAAACAGAGGATTGTGAAAATATGATTGTCTTTGTTTTCAGGCTCTCAACTGTACATTAGTATAGTTCTCGCTTTCGACTACAATCAACTTATACCAATACTCCCATTCCTGATCATCACTAGGAAACTCCTCTATTTTGTGGTAGAAACAAAGATAAACATATGACATGTCTACTCTGTAGCCTGGCTGATAGTGATAACAATCCGAAAGAGTCTGCTACGCCACATCGTCCATAAGCGTCAGGCCCACACGCGAGTAAAGAGCCAATAATTATGGCATAATTATAAAGTACTGCATCATGAGGTAGCTATATCCTTGACCCCTCATCAAGGCTTACCTTGAGTTCAACCAATATGAACTCAACTAAGCTTGTCAGTTTCACCACCGCAAGGCTTAAATTCCGACCACCAATTCGACCTATAACTACAAAACGATCAATATCAACAAGACTTCTACCCCAATTTGGTGGGATATCCTTATTCACCACCTTCAATCGAACCAAATCCCACTTGACCAAGGCAGCCATGAGCAGTCAAGTCACGTCTCAGCGTGTAGACGCCCCCCTCACTCAATCCGCGACATTTCTCGTAGTGAAGGTGACTACGACATCAGACTCAATCAAAACAGTTCGATCGGTCCTTGCCAGTCTAGACGACCTGGCCAAAAATGTCTCTATCCGTGATCTCAACGCCCAGCTTAATTGCACTGTCGGTATTGGCAGCGATGTCTGGGACATTCTGACCGGTCTTCCGCGGCCTGCAGAGCTCCATCCCTTCCGAGAAATCAAGGGTGCGAAACATACAGCTGTCTCTACGCCAGGCGACTTACTTTTCCATATTCGTTCCGAGCGCCGGGATATCTGCTTTGAGTTTGAGCGCCAACTGGTGGACCAGCTGGGTGATGCGGTCTCTCTTGTGGATGAAACAGTTGGTTTCAGGTACTTTGATGCTAGAGACCTTCTTGGCTTCGTCGATGGTACTGCGAACCCTGTTGGCCCCGCCCTCCCACCCGCTCTTCTCATTGCTGAGGAGGATACGGCTGCGCAAGGGGGTAGCTATATCGTAGTACAGAAGTACACTCATGCGATGGAGGCATGGAAAAAACTGTCAGCTGAACAGCAGGAGAAAATTATCGGACGGACTAAGTTGGATAATGTCGAACTTGACGATGCCGAGTCAGGTCAGCTGTCGCACAAGACATTGAATACTATCGAGGATGAGGATGGCAACGAGCATGATATTCTACGTGATAATATGCCTTTTGGATCACCTGGTTCTGGTGAATTCGGCACCTACTTTATCGGGTATACGCGTCGCCTATGGGTTATTGAGAAGATGTTGGAACGTATGTTTGTTGGACATCCTCCTGGTTTACATGATCAGATACTGGATTTCTCGACTCCGCTGACTGGTACAACTTTCTTTGCGCCATCGGCGACTCTGTTGGCTAGCCTGGATGAGGATTGATGATTTAAGGATATGGAAAGGAGACGGAGAGGAAGATGATAGACTAATCTAAACCGTTTAATTTGAAGCCTGAACTATCCAGTGAAAGAATTTGTCCATAATATGTGGAGCATCTGAGCAGGCTCTGAGTTTCGAGATAGAAATCTACCTAGTCTCTTGCCACCTGCTTAGATGAGACATTCCAACATTGGCTCTTGAATTCAAGCGTTCCTTTGGAAATCAAGCAACAGCCACTGTGGAATATGCCTCCTAATGAGTATTATTCTGAGTTTGCTATTGCTATAAACCATGGAAGTACAAATTTCTCAGTCAAAGAATGAATCTTCAAAAAGCATATTGAGGCTGATGTTCTAGAATACAGAAAATCTTTAGAATTCTTTATCTCTTCTACTTCCAAGGTTATCAAAATTCTTTGGATTGCGATCCCGAAGTTTATTGTACCTTTTATTAGCAACATTTCTCTCCCTTGTTCCGAAGTTTGCCCAGGTGGCTTTCGTGAATCATGACAACATCAGATATTCACGAAAATTCTGCAGTACTGAAACTCTGCTAGTCAAATTATCCATTTCTCCGGCCTGATAAAGATCTTGTTAGACTTCTAGGAATCGTATAGATGAGTCCCAATATGGGTTTAATTCTTAAGTCCGGCATATCAACTCAAGAGACCGAACTAAGTAACTCTCAGCTCTCTAGGAATTGAGTATGAGTCCAATATCAATGTAACAGTCTACATTGTTTCAAATACTCTCTGCAATCCTCCAAACTAAGATTTTTGCTTTCGCTCTAGAAATCAAGATTTTATGCGTTGAAGTTTACATACTTGACATCTAAATGGAGTCCCCATACCGCAAATCACCCCGGCATCTACAATTTGTTTACTCCCCGACTGAACTATCTCAAGAATGTACCTACAGCAGCCACCGACCTCAGTCTTCGAAGGTTGGCACATAAGTGGCACATAAGAAGAACGTCGATCTCAAGACACTGGCAATGTCGAAACTCCTTATAACCCTCTGTGCCCAAGTCCCTCATATTCTGTTAAAACCAAATTTGTTAAACATCTTTTCAACCCTCTAGATCTATCTCTTTCTATTTATATAATGAAGCTCTCTATTTTCGTCCCTCTGGCTGCTTTCCTCGCTTTTACGGTGGCCGAGTTGAATGAAGTTGACCCAAGCCCATGTCTGGTTCGTATCTCACCGTCTCACGTCACTTCAGTCCTTCATGAGACTAACTCTTTTTCGTTTTCCAGAACCGATGCTTGACTGAGGCTGCTGCTGTGGCTGGGTGCATCTCACAATATGACACAAAATGTACTTGCCCAAGTGCAGCATTCAAGGATACACTCGGTGACTGTATTAACACTTCATGTACACCGGCTGATTTGCAAGGTAAGGGTCTCTTGCTTCAAGTGAACCATTTATATCAATTGACTTGTTTGACTAACCGCTGACCTTGCTTTGCTTTGATAGATGCTCTCACTTTACATACGCAACGGTGTGATACTCCACAGACTGACTCCTTTGGAGTCAAGGCCAAGGCTACTTGAGTATTGGGGCTAATTATTACATATTTTTAATTACTTGAGCTTTTTCTTCACTGATATCACTCTTTTGTCAACTATACGGTCCTTCTCGAATTTAATAAGTACTTGGATATGCATAATCTTGGATATGCATAATATTTGATTCCCCTTGACCGAAACAGACATGGTTGAACGAGTTCAATGTGCTAGCGATAATGCTGGTGTAGGCTATTGTCAACTGGACAATTGGCGTAGAGAGACCGTGAAGAGTGATGAATAAGTTTTTTTTTTGGGTCTGTAACTTGAGATATACCCGGTGATTCTGCAAGACTGTCTATGAGTATAATAGGAAGGTTCTGGCAATAAGCGCTCTCATAACTACAGCCCGGGTCCTTACCCCTTCAAGTGACGTCTATTTGGCCTAATATACGAACTACTTGCCACCAGACCCCATGAATACGGCCAAATAGCAGCTATGACTTATGGAACCGTTTTGACCCATGGAAAACTCCATTGCGATTTGCACTCTGAAAGATATCAAACTAGATAAGATAGGGAGAACATAAGAACATCGAGTAATTTTTTTTCGTTCAGGAAATTCATGTCTTATTCAACCTAACCATCTAAGCCTGGGACACGTTCTCGAAAGCATCGGGGAAACGCTTCATGTTCTCGGCGATGGTACCGTGACCACGGAGGAACTGAACGTAGGCACCGTCCTGCTTGAGCTTGCCCTCCTGGCGCAGCTGGACGTAGTCCTCGCGGCGGACAGGGGTGAAGCCCCAGTTCTTGGAGACAATGATCTTTTGGCGACCGGGGAACTTGTACATGGAGCGACGGAGAGCCTCGATAGCAGTAGCACGGTTGACGTCACGGGTGCGGACGGACAGGATGATCTGACCAATGTTCACACGGGCGACGGAACCCTGGGGCTTACCGAAAGCACCACGCATACCAGTCTGCAGTCTATCGGCACCGGCACAAGACAGCATCTTGTTGATACGGATGACGTGGAAGGGGTGCACACGGACACGGAGGTGGAAACCTTCCTTACCGGCGATCTTCACAAGGTACCTGGTTATACGATGTTAGATTTGGAGATTTCTTTGGTTATCGGTAGGATTCTCTGTGGGAAAAACGTACTTGTTGGCGCAAATACGGGCGGCCTCGAGAGCCTCAGAAGAAAGCTGCTCATACTCGTTGGAGACGAGGTGGACGCAAGTGGGGAAGTCGTCAACGTTGGCCTTCTTGCGGCCAAGATCGAAGATCTTGATCTTGGGGTCGGGGACACCACGGTTGAAACGAGACTTGGGGTAAGGCTGGATGACGCAGATTGATGTCAGTTATTCCGTTTTGCCAAGTTGATTTCTCAAAAGCGCAAAAAAAAATTCCCCCAAAATATGGGAAATCAGAAAGGGGGAGCAGTGAGAACTTGTCGCTTAATGAAAAAAAAACTTCTCATCGGCGCGATCGCAGGTGGTTGCCAGCGCCTCAAGTTTCACGCGTTCCTCCATAACCGAGATCTCGCACACAAAAACTCTCGAAATATCCAAATCGCTAACGCACCTTGTTCTTGCAGTAGCGGTAGCAGCGGGCGGGACGGCGGGCCATTTTGAGTGCTGGAGGTGGGCGAAATGCACTTCCTGCGAACTAGGTGATGGATGTCGGTTGCTGTCGAGGGATCGAAGAGAAGAAAAGAATAGGGTGGGGTCACGGGATCGTTTGATTTCCAAGCAGCGAGTGGCAAAAAGCCCTAAGCCCTAATCAGTGGGCCAATCAGAGCTCGTTCTGAACAGACCGCATTTGTCACCCATCATTAGAAATCACTGGGATATTTGATATCAAAGTGCATTATTAAGGTAAGTTGGAGAGTTTAGTACTAGTTTATTTACAGTCTAGGATTGAGTAATCAAGGATAAATATTTTGTGGATCAAGCAGAAACTTGGTTTTTTTTTGGTAGGTTCCTAGTCCATCGACAGTGACTCCTTAGTCAAAAGGCAATCACTATATTTAAAAATACCCCCAACCCAGCATCTGCTATAACCGATTGCTCACAGCAACCCATTTACTGGGTGCCAGTGAGGATGTCGGAGTCACCAGCGTCAAGGACGGCCATGGTGGCGCAACGGAAGAGCTTACCGCAGGCGGTACCGAGCTCAATCTATTTAATTCAATTAGCAGTAGTCCTTGCTATCTCACTGGATGCGAGATGAAACTAACGTTGTTTCCGGAGAAGTGGTGGACGGGAGTCTTGGCCAGCATGGCGTAGTACTCAAGCTCACTCTTGCGGAGAGGGGGAGTGTTGGCAGCGATGATGACCAGCTTGGCCTTACCGGAGCGCAGAGTCTTCATGACAGACTTAGCACCCAGAGTGACCTTACCGGACTTCATCACCAGAGCGAGTCTGGAGTTGATCTAGATCACATATATTTTAGATGACGTTCTTTTTTGAAATCTCTTTTTTCGATCGATAGAGTTCATTTAGGGGGTTGAAACTCACGTTGTCGGAACCCTTCTTAGACTTCTTGGGGGCCATCGTTGCGCTGTAAAGTTCTATTGAACTGATATAGATGAAAAGATGTAAAGGATGCGCTCCGGCTTGAATAGTGGATGGAGAGAGTCAATACGAAGCGAGACTGGAAATGTGTGGGCTGAACGGGTGAAGTTGATCCGATCCGGTTTAGTAATCGATCACATGACCTAAAACTGGTGGAGCTCATGAAACACGATTCATTTCCGCCCCAGAAGGCTTCAGATGTAATGTCCTTTCGCCCCAGTTATTTATTGCCGCTATCTCAAGATTTGAGTGGTTCATTTCCTTTGTATGACTATCGGGTACCAAGATTGCCCCCATCGATCCCTTTCATCTGTTTTTCTTGGGTTAGCCACTCTTAGGCCGGTATTGTCATGATTTCATTACTAGTAACGGTACTTTAATCTTTAGACTCCCTCGCATTCTTCATATAGTTTAAGTGCGATCGACAATCATGCAAACAGCTTTGATCTCCCGTTCTTCTTAGTCTTTGTTCTCGGTAAATACTCTTCGATCGAGAATGCCTTTTCCTTTCAACCATGTGGCACACAACTAATCTCTGACAAACACATTCTTGGGATTTCAGACCCGTACTTGAAGACCTCCACCAGAGTATCCACTTTTTGACCGCTCCTGATCCCTAAACACCTTCGCCCTCCAACCCTCTCTCTCATCCATCTATTTTTGGCTATCGTTTCTGCGGGAAACCCAGATTTCTGAGTTGCTAGCATAAAATTGCCACGACATCCAACCTCGGGTTCTGACACCATGTCAGCGACGTCAGCTTCTCCCCGCAAGGTGACCCCCGTCGCCAACAAGTCAACTGCAGACCCGCCAGCAAACGGTTCCAATACTGCCTCGCGAGGACATGTACGCTCGCCCAGCACTTCAAGTAACGGTCCCACCAGATCTCCTTCTCTGAGAGGATCCACGCCACTCTCCGCACGCGCTTCTGTTCGAAAGCCTGGACGATCTAATCTCAGCATGTCGAATGTTCCCCGAGTCTCCAACGATCCTTCCGAGGAGGAGGCCCGCGCACAGAATGCCTCTCTGATTGAGGAGTTGAGACAACAACTCCAGAAAGCCGAAACCGCTTCCGAACAATACCAGAAACAACTAGGAGTGGTGCAGATGCGCCTCGACGAAGCGATCAGCGAACAAGGAAAATTGGAAGATCAGGCTCACGAGCGTGACGCTCGAACTGAGGAACTTGACTCTGAGATCCGGGACCAGGCTCGCCAGATCCGTGATCTAGAGCAGATTCACGAACAGGAACGAAATGCTATGCTCCAGGAGAAGGAGCAGCAGACTAGCCGGGAAGAAGAGTTGCAAGCAACTATCCAACGTCTGAAGGAGTCTGTCGCCCAGAAAGACATACGCATCAATGCAGAGGGCGATCGCCAAGTTTCTCGGTCCTGTAGGGTTCTTACACAAAAGTCTCATTTGGTTTATCTGGAAAGCTAACGTTGTAAAATAGCGAGTTTCCGCAATCGTGCATCTCCCGACTTGGATGGCCAATTCGCCCCATCTTCTCAGCTCGAGCGCAGTCCCTCCCGCAATAACTCTAACCTTTTACTTCAAAAAGATAAATTGATTGAATCTTTGCGCTTGGAACTGGCTGAATCTCAGATCAAGCTGGTTGAGATGGAGAACCAAGGCGGCGGCCGACAGCGCGAGTTAGAGAAAGACCTGCTGGAGGCTCGCATGGCGAATGCCCGTCTCATGGAAGACAATGAAAGCTACCAGCTGCTTCTTGGCGAGAAGACTCTCACCGGCGACTTTACCAAGGGAGAATTCATGCGCGAAATTTACCCTGGAAAGGAATCGAACAGCGGTATGAGCTCTCTAGCTGATGAACTCGAGTCTGTGGATGAAGAGGCGGCGGACTCAGACCCTAACCGCAAACTGGACGGAGAGATCAAGTCTCTGAAAGATCAGAACAAAGCCCTAACACTTTACATCGAGCGAATCATTAGCCGTGTCCTCCAGCACGATGGATTCGAGCATGTGCTCCGCAGCGACGACGAGGCTAAAAAGACCAAGAGTGCTAACAAAGACCTACCTCCTACTCCCACAGAAAAGGAGGAAGGTTCACCCCAGTCTTTGATGCAGCGGGCGAAGTCGTCGATCTCAGGTCCCCCTCGTTCTCAGTCAGCTCAACCCCAGATTGGCATGCCTCCTCCCCCTCGTCCTCACGAGAACCCGGATACCGCGCCAAGCATCCCAATTCGTACCCAGTCAATCAGAGCTAGTCACCGTCGGGCGCGCTCCGAGCAGGTAGACCCCAACGCGGCCTCCGTTGTTGGACAGATGTATCGTGGTCGCAACTCCGCCGGTCCCATCAGCCCTACTACCGTGGGCCCCGGAGCACGCCAGAGTATGTTTTCTGGAAGCGCCAGCTACGTGTCTGGTATGACTTCGAGTCGCCGACCTTCCATGTCTAGCCAAGCCGACCGCACTGGTCGCAGTGCCCGTAGCAGCCGCAGCAGCATCACGAGTGGCGACGCTGGCTCTACTGCAACTTCCAGCCCTCCTCGCTCCAGCGGTAGCATGAACAACTACACTGCAGGTGTCATGACACAGAGCAAGCTGCGACCCCTGCGCCTCGTCAGCGAAACGGCCAGACTCGATGAAGAAGAGGCTGCCCGCCGCAAGGCCAACCGTGGGAGCTGGATTCCTTGGTTCAACCGTGCCAACCCGGATGAACAGCCACAGTCTTAACTTTTCAATGCCTTCGGGCTGGATGATTTAATGTGACGTCGAAACTGTCTTTACCATATTATCATACCCTTTGTTTGTTTTTTTTTGTTTTTTTTTGGTTTCTTAATGTGCTCACGTCATTGATCGAACGGCTCAGGTTTGAGCGACAATACCGCCTTGGTATCCTCTTGCACGATTTGAACTTCACTATCATTACCTTTTGGTCCCTTCTATCTTACCCAGCTATGTGTCCCTCTCTCTACTATCCTGATTCTTAACCCTATCTCTGTCACCCTGTTTTTTTTATTTTCACTCCATTACTCAGCCTATTGTTTCTGCCGGAATTATCAGAGCAATGGCCAGGGCCTGCCGCGTAACGTCTTTTGTCCTTGCCTTTTCTCCAACCAAACCTCATTCTGTACGGAGTATTCTCTATTTTATGTGTTTGATTAGTTGATCTTGATATCGATATGTAACATAGATAGAGGTCAATTACTATTACCAATGTATTATTAATGAAATAATACCGACAGAAAGTACATTGCTATATATTTGTACTAGAACCATGAAGCGAATAATATACTACCCCGCGGCACATCGTTAATCCGGCTCCGTCTGCGGCCAGATTGGCAGCATTAGCCGTCAACAATCGTTCAAACGCTCCAACAAATCATAAAAAAAATAAAGCCACAATGTCTGACCCCTTGTCTCTCTTCTCTGTGAATGCGATCCTCATCATGTCGACTGACGACGGATCCCGCATCTTCACAAAGTACTACTCAGCACCGCATGCCCCCGTCGGTGCTGCACCCAACTCCAATTTCCCCGGAGCCAACCCCTACCCAACCGTCAAGGAGCAGCGGGCATTTGAGAAGGGTCTGTTCGAGAAGACAAACAAGTCAACCAGCGATGTCATCCTGTACGACAACCGCATTGTCGTGTTCAAGATGGAGAGCGACGTGATGATCTACGTGGTGGGCAGCGCCCACGAGAACGAAGTGCTACTGTTCAATGTAGTGCTATCGCTGCGAGATGCTCTCGGGATCTTATTCAAGTAAGTTTTCTATTTCCAATCCGTGAATTCGGGGTGTTGAGAAGCTGACATGTGTCCACTAAAAACAGGGGTGCCACCGACAAGCGTACTATCGTCGAGAACTACGATCTCGTCTGCCTCACCATTGACGAGACCATTGACGACGGAATCATCCTCGAGACAGATCCCGTTATGATCGCCTCACGGGTCAGCCGTGCCCCTGCTGCTGACGCGCCAAACATGAAGAATATCGACCTCTCTGAACAGGGCCTAATGAATGCATGGGAGTTTGGCAAGCGGCGTTTGGCCGAGGGTCTGCGACACATGTAAACTGGACCGACGCTATTCTTGTTTTTGGTTGTTTTTTTTTTTGTTAATTCCCGGCTGGTCCTGGCGTAATGTGGTTTCTATTTTACATTGGTCCTAGTTGGCTGTTCTTGGGGTTGAGGACTCCATAGATCTTTGCATGCTCCCTCTTTACCTATGCATCCTGCAAAAGCATGACGTTGTGCTTTGGTCGCGATTGTGGCTATCTTGATAATATACCAACGCTGAAAATGATGATAATTACAATAAACCTTGGGACATTCCGAGGACCTAGATATCGGGATACTTACAGTTAGATCGACGAGGGACAAGCCTGGGGTTACCCGAAAACCGCAATATATTTGGGTATATATACATATCCATGCAGACAACCAGGGCATAGAGTACATATACGCCATAATTCTATGTTTTAACCTTGGACCCTTAGAAGTATCAAATGACATCTATTGATGAATGTTATGAGATCAGCTTCTTGATTTCAAATGGTTAGTTATTTATTGGAACGTGTTTGACTGTTCAGATTTGAACCTCAGGCAGGATGTTTCCTAAAAGAGAGCCCGAGATAGATTTATGGCCCCGCATGCGCGCATACGTCACGCCGAAAATTCCATTCTTCTTACAACGTCCCAACCACGATGAAGCAAAGGTTCTCGTCAATTGACGTTAAGGTACCGATTGAACTAACTTTTCGGGTTAATTTCATATTGACTTTTCACAGGTCATCACCCAGGAGCTGGCCGCGGAGCTGGTCAGTCTCCGGGTATCGAACGTCTACGACCTATCTTCGGTACTTTACCCTTTCCATCAGGAATCGGAGGCCAATTACTTATTGATACCTCTAGCGAATCTTCCTATTCAAACTTGCTAAGCCAGACCATCGCCGCCAACTCATCGTCGACTCCGGTTTCCGCACTCATATCACTCAATACTCCCGCACAACCGCGACTGCTCCCTCACCCTTCGTGGCTCGAGTACGAAAGTGCCTGAAATCGCGTCGCATCACTGCAGTCTCCCAAATTGGAACTGATCGCATTATCGACATTACTTTCAGCGATGGTGCCTACCACATGTTTCTCGAATTCTTCGCCGGCGGCAACATTATCGTCACAGATCGCGAGAATACAATCATTGCGCTGTTTCGACAGGTGAATGCGAGCGAAGGTGACGAGGCTAAGCTGGGAATCAAATACGTTGTTACCAACAAACAAAACTATGACGGCGTTCCCGACATCACCCCCCAGCGCATAATGGAGACGCTAGAGAAGGCGCAGGCATTATTCTCCCAAGATAGCAATACGAGTAAGAAGAAAAAGAAGAACACTGATGTATTGCGCAAGGCTCTGTCGCAGGGCTTCCCCGAATACCCTCCACTTCTGCTAGATCACGCTTTTGCTGTTAAGGACCTTGATCCAGCCCTTCCACTTGATCAAGTTTTGGGTAATGAACCTGTTTTGCAGGATGTACAGGGTGTGTTGGAGGAGGCCCAGCGAGTATCCGACAGCTTTGCTGTAGGCGACAAACATTCAGGATACATCGTTGCAAAGGAGGACAAACGAGCTCCCTTGGAGGGGGACAGTGCCTCGAAGACTCCTCGTCTTGTTTATGAGGACTTCCATCCATTCAAACCTCGGCAGTTCGAGAATAAACCGGAGCTCAAGATCCTGGAGTTCGAAGGATTCAATGCAACCGTTGACCAGTATTTCTCGTCCCTGGAGTCTCAACGACTTGAATCACGGTTGACGGATCGAGAGGAGGCTGCCAAACGTAAACTGGAGGCCGTCCGCGAAGAGCACAGGAAGCGAATCGATGCGCTCAGCGATGTACAAGAGATTCATATTCGGAAGGCTGCTGCCATTGAGGACAACATGTACCGAGTCCAGGAAGCGATAGACTCCGTCAATGGTCTAATCGCACAAGGAATGGACTGGGGAGAAATTGCGCGCCTCATCGAGATCGAAAAGACTCGGGGCAATCCAGTGGCTGGGATTATAAAGTTTCCTCTCAAGCTCTACGAGAACACAGTTACTCTGCTTCTCGGTGAATCCGGCGACAACGAGGCTGAGGATGAGGATCCTGAATCGAGTGATGATTCTGACGAGTCTGATTCTGATAGCGAGGAGAGAGAGCAGAAAACAAAAGAATCTACAGAAAAGATGCTTCCCATTGACGTTGATCTCGGTCTTTCACCTTGGGCAAATGCAAGCAAATACTATAATCAAAAGAAGCAGGCATCGGAAAAGCAACAAAGAACTGTGCAGTCCTCCACCAAGGCTCTTAAAAGTCATGAGAAGAAGGTGACAGCCGATCTAAAGCGAGGCCTGAAGCAGGAGAAAAAAGTCCTGCATCAAGCTCGCGTTCCCTTTTGGTTTGAGAAATTTATCTTCTTCATCTCGTCCGAAGGCTACTTGGTTCTTGGGTTCGTATCTCATCAGAACTTACTGGGATCATATCGCTAACAAGTAAACTAGGGCCCGTGATGCTATGCAGAGCGAAACGCTCTACCATCGGTACTTGAAGAAGGGAGACATCTTCATCCACGCAGATCTGGAGGGTGCTTTGCCTTTTGTGGTCAAAAACCGAGCCGGAAGTACTGATTCACCCATTCCTCCAAGTACTCTCTCGCAAGCAGGAAACCTTTGCGTTGCAACTTCAATCGCATGGGACTCTAAGGCTGTCATGGCGGCATGGTGGGTACAGGCGCACCAGGTATCTAAGACTTCCATTGGTGGGGTTTTGCCACCAGGCCAGTTCCAGACTGAGGGAGAAAAGAACTTTTTGGCACCATCGCAGTTAGTTCTTGGGTTTTCTATCTTGTTCCAAGTTAGCAAAGAGAGTGTTCGAAACCACAAGCAGCACTTTGGCATTTCTGGTGTTGATGGAGAAACTCTCGCCATAGAGCCCCAAGAAGAAAATTCTGCTAAGAAAGAGTCCTCAGTGCAGCCTGTTCCTGTTGTGAATGTTACAGAGAATATACAAGAGGCGGAAGAAGTCTCAGAGGATGCCCGGGAAGAAGACAAATCTGTAGATGACGAGGCGGAAGACGACAGGGATGAACAGGCTACCCACACAAACCCTCTCCAGCAGGGCAATCCAAAGAGACAAGCTCGACAAGGAACTGGAGTCGAGTCTTCTGAATCTGACGAAGAGAATGAGCCACAACTAGAGAATGTGAAAGGTGATGAAGATGACGAAACAACCACAACAAGCCAGGCTGCAGCTACTCCACGGGATCAGCAGAATGCCTCAGCTCCTGACCAACATTCGCGTCAAGAGAAAACCCCAGCGCGTACTCCCAAACCCCGTGGCAAGAAAAAGCGTGCGGCTGCAAAGTACGCTGATCAAGATGAAGAAGATCGAGAGCTTGCTATCCAACTTCACGGAATAGGCAACCAAACAGCCAAGGCCGCCCTGGCTGCTGAAGCCAAGCTTCAACGAGAACAAGAAGCCGAAGCACAAAAGCAGCGTCGTCGGGCACAACACGAGCGTGCCGCCGCAGCCGAGAAAAAGCGACAGGCTCTATTTGCTGAGAATGGAGGCGATGATTATAACGAAGAAACTGCCGCCGCCGAAGCCGCAGATCTCAGCTGGATCCCAGCCCTAATTGGAACGCCAACCCCGGACGATGAGATCCTTGCTGCCATCCCTGTCTGTGCCCCATGGGGAGCTCTTGGCCGATACAAGTACAAAGTCAAGCTGCAACCAGGTGCTGTCAAGAAGGGCAAGGCTGTTAAGGAGATTATTGGTCGTTGGGTGTCTGAAACTACTGCAGGCAAGGTCAAGAAGGATCATGCTGAGGATGTCGGAATCTCTCGCATCGATGCGGAACGAATCCGTGCTCGCGAGGGTGAACTGATCAAGGAGTGGAAAGATACTGAGATCATTAACACTATGCCCGTCGGTAAGGTTCGCATCATGACCGCTGGTGGTGGTGATGGAGGCGATAAAGGCAAGGGCAAGGGAGGTGGTGGTAAAGGTGGCACAAAAGGAGGCAAAGGTGGAAAGAAGAAATAAGCAGATCGTAGTTACATGACAAGAGGTGTAAGAATCGTCGAGAGAAGCCAGTAGAATGGGGTTTCTTACTGCATATTCTAGAAATAGACAAGCCATCAATGTATCCCAAGAGATCTCTCATCTTTTCCTTTCCAAAATAAATAGAATTGCCATAATTATAGAGACTAGCAATTTTAAAAATTAAGCTACATTTAACTGGCACTAACTGAAAGTAAGAAGAAAATAGTAGACAATACCTTGAGTAATAGTTGAAGTAAATATAAGAATTTTTGCAACTAGTTGGTGATACGAGTGCTGAGTCATTCCACGTCATCTTGATTAACGGTTTCTATTTTTTTCCTGCGTTTTCAGATAGGTCACTATCCACAGATATCTTATGAAATGATCGACAAGCCGCTATCTTAGAGAGGTTCCGGAAGGACAAGTCATTTAAATCCACCCAATTCGCCGTGTGATTTGGGCCCGAGCCTCTATTCGCCCCTCATTGTGTGTGCCCGGATACTGCGTCATTCATCCCGTTGGGCTCATATCAATCTGCTATTTCCTCGCGTTTTCGCTGGCACTGGTCGGCGCAGACTTTCCAGATTAATAATGCCTGACTCTACAACACGGGTTGTCTCTGTCCAGCGCCTCAACCAGGGCCCGGGTGACCGGTCTCTGGCGGAGTGGTGGGCAGATGAGTGCAAGAATGAAACGCCTGAGTCTAAGATTATCGAAGAGGCCGCCAACCTTCTCCGAACTAGTGATACCCCCGTTGCATTCCCCAGCGAGACCGTGTATGGCCTAGGTGCTGATGCTACCCGTAGCTCCGCCGTTCAGGGCATCTACAAGGCAAAGCAGCGTCCTTCCGACAATCCATTGATCGTTCATGTTGATTCTGTGGATATGCTGGATCGTCTCCTCAACCCCACGCTGGGAAGCCCGCGCTCATGTGCGACGCCTCGTATCTCCATTCCTCCTATCTACCAACCTCTCATTGATCGATTCTGGCCGGGTCCCTTGACTATCATCATTCCCAACCCATCCGGGTCTAATTTGGCGCCAGAGGTGACTTCTAAGTTGACGACGTTTGGAGTACGCCTGCCCTCTTCTCCCCTGGCGCGTCTTCTCATTCACGTCGCTGACCGCCCTATTGCCGCCCCATCCGCAAACGCTTCGACTAAGCCCTCGCCCACTACGGCGCAGCATGTGTATCACGACCTCCACGATCGAATTAGCTTGATTCTGGATGGTGGACCGTCTGGTGTTGGCCTTGAGAGCACAGTTGTAGATGGTATTTCCAACCCACCGGCCATTCTGCGCCCTGGTGGCATCGGTATTGAAGCTTTGCGCGAGTGCGCCGGTTGGGAGAACGTCACATTAGGTTACAACGATGGCAACTTGGACATGAAGGAAATTCCCCGCGCACCGGGTATGAAGTATCGACACTACTCACCGAAAGCGCGAGTTGTATTGTTCGAATCATCCTCAAAGGCCGCAGGAGTCGAGCGCCATGTTCAAAAGGACCTTCAGGACTCCGCCATTGGCGCACACAATATTGGTATTGTGCGCACCCGGAACTGGAAGCAAGGATTGAACCTTGCCCCCGATGAAGACTTGGCTAGCACCCTCAAGCCCGTTCCGAACTCTCTTGAAAACCTGGTCAGCTTTCCCATTCCAGTGCAGGAAACTGGTAGTCCGAGCAGCCGCACTAAGACGGCATATGACTATCACCTTGGCACGGACACAGAGACCATCGCGCATGGTCTGTTTGCGGCTTTACGCGCTCTTGATGAGCTGGATGTCGATGTGATTTACGTGGAAGGGATATCTGCCCTCGACGGTGTCTTGGCTGCAGCAGTAATGAACAGGTTACGAAAGGCTGCGGGTACGGAGATGAAGGTGTAGATGATTGACGATTATGTATTCCCCTACTTTTGAATAGCAGCCGTCCATGAAATAGATGTTACCTTCTCTTGATGTATCAGTAAGCAACTTGGTCTTACCACTTTTGGTCTGATGCGCTGTCCATTTTAGGCCAAGCTGTGCTTATGACCCCCTCTCGGTCTTCCCGTCACACGAGAAAGTCCTGCACTTTCCAATACTTCATTTGGACTAAAGTCGGTAAATGTCCCATATCGTTGTCAGCCCCTGGATAACAGCCAGACCAACACTACGACGGCAAATAGCCTCCCATTTATCATACTGCACCATGTCGTCAAGTTCCAACCTCCCCGACCGCTACAAGCTGATCTTCTTCGTTCCGCCCTCTGACTTGGAGGCATGCAAAAAAGCCATTTTCTTGACGGGTGCCGGCACCTTCCCCGGGGGCAAATACACCGACTGTTGTTTCCAAACACTTGGAACGGGTCAGTTTTTTCCTAATGGTGGAGCGAATCCAGCAATTGGTGCGGTCGGTGTGTTGGAACAGTTGCCGGAGATGAAGGCCGAGATCATGTGTATTGGGCGTGAGACTATGCTGAATGCTGTGAAGGCATTGATTAAGGCGCATCCTTATGAGGAGGTTGCGTATGAAGTTTATAAGATGGAAAATGTGTAGCTGGTGACGAAGGGTCTTGATGTACTCTGTACGGAGTGTAATCGTATCCTTCGTTCGTTATACGACATGCGTTTCTTTTCAAGTATCAGTAATCACCAAACACTGCTCAGTCACCAGTATCCATAATTATTCACTGATAATTGAAAGGAGAAAGAAGAGAATCAAATGTTGTATAGCGGGTATGTGGGAGTAATCTGTTACCGCTGATTGGTCAACAGCCCGCAAAACGACTTGCCAACTTGATCCGTTAAACTCCTCTTCAACCTCATCACCTCCAATTGATCTCGCTCCCCTCTCTACCAATGGCGTCAAAACTCTTCCCCGTTTCGCGGGTCGGCCGCCTGTTTCGCCAGTCCCCCTTCGTCCAATATAGATCCTTCTCCGTCGCCCCGCAACGATGCAGCGACTCCCTCCCCGTGGTGAGTATCTCCATCCTTAGGGCCTCTCAGGCTGTTGGCCCGGCGCGCTCCGTCGGGGATAACCATAAAACAAGGCCAATGCGTTGACGATGTTCTCTCTTTGCAGCACCGGAACTCCTCTCACAACAATGTCAACATTCCTTTCAAGTTCACCGACTCTAACCTCAAGGTCATTGATGAGATCCTCAAGCGCTACCCGTCGCAGTACAAGAAGGCTGCTGTCATGCCCTTGCTGGACCTCGGCCAGCGCCAGCACGGCTTCACCAGCATCAGTGTTATGAACGAGGTTGCCCGCATGCTTGAGATGCCCCCAATGCGTGTCTACGAGGTTGCGACCTTCTATACCATGTACAATCGCGAGCCAGTCGGCAAGTACTTTGTCCAGATTTGCACTACCGTAAGGAAACTACCTCTATAGTTGCGAACCCAGTTGACTGACGCCGGTGTATTCAGACCCCCTGCCAGCTTGGCGGCTGCGGTAGCACTGCTATTGTTGATGCTATCACTGAACACCTCGGTGTCACCCCCGGCCACACCACCGAAGACGGTCTTTTCACCGTTCTCGAGGTCGAGTGCCTGGGTGCTTGCGTTAACGCCCCCATGGTCCAGATCAACGACGACTACTACGAGGACCTGACCCCCGAGTCGATTAAATCCCTCCTCACTGCATTTAAGGCTGCTGCCACATCCACTGATGCTAAGATCCCTACTCCTGGCCCATTGAGCGGTCGCAACACCTGCGAGAACAGCGCCGGGTTGACCAGCCTTCAAGAACCTCCTGTCTGGAACCCGGAAACCATGATGCGCAAGGATGGAGCTCTGGATGCCCAGTCATAAACGAATACCGGAAGAAAGAGGCTTTTCACTAACCAAATGCTTGATACCGGATTGGAAGGAATTTATAATGAGGTTATCAGGGGGGAGATGGACCCTGTCGATTTGATGCCACAGTGCGCAAAATTAAAAGGTGCCTAGGCGCCCTGCACTATGATCCCCTAGGGCGTCTTTGTTTTTCATTTTCTACTATGTACAGTACAGTATAGTACGTCCTTGGTTTTTGTTTGGCTTGAGAGCCATAAGAAGATCAAGTCAAGTCGATTAACTATCGGCAAATTTCATATTTTTATCAGTTATTTTCTGTTCTTCTATCCTCTCAAATTTATTGATTTTGCTGACACGAATTGAACCGCCCAAGACGGGAACTGAACAAACACCGTAGAGCTTATTTGTTTTCAATACCTGCTGAAGATGTTGATGCTGACAGCAGTAAGGCAGGTACCTGACTTTGGGCTGAATAGCTTGTCATTATTTAATGAAATAGATGGCTAGTTGTGATACGGTCAGCCATCTTGGAAGGGGCCTCGAGGTCTGGAAGGTTATTTAAATACGAATTGAAAAAGCCGAAAAAATTAGTTGAGTTATGTATGTCACATGATGACACTATCTAATACAAAACATCAGAAGTCCATATCTGAGACTAAACAGACGACTTGGCCTTGAGGGATAACTGCTGGTTCACAACATCGTCAATGATGCTCTGATACGATCGCCACTTCAGCCCAAGAATCTTATCAGCAGTCGGAGTTTCAACGTCCCAACCTCCCTCAAATGGAGGCTGCAACTTGCAACCGAGAGAGGGGTATTTCTCTTTTACATAGGAAGCCACATCACCCCACGGCGCAGATGTCGAGAGGAGAATCTCAGTTCCACTCTTAAGATCGGCGGTCAAAGCCTTAATATGGGCTTCGGCCACATCGTGAACATCGACCCATGCGTTTCCAATGGCTGGCTTTTCTGAAAAGAGAGACAGCCACAACATTGCATTCATACCACCGATGTCCTTATCAGTATCCTGGATCAAACTGTGACCCATGACAAAGACTGGGTGAATTGTAATGAGCTTATATTGTGGATTGTTGTTTTTCAGGAAGTCTCGAGTGGCTTGGTGAGCCAAGATTTTGGAGGCTGTATACTTGACTGCACCTCCGATGAAGCCATCTGGGAAGTTCGCTGATAGATCAACTGGGAAAACCTCTCCATTATTTTCTATATTATATGTCAGCATATTAAATTCAATGGCTCTATAATAAAGGAATAACAAACCTTTCACTGTGATGAAATCCTTTCTAATTAAGGAATCAACCGGGCTAAGCGCTAGGGCTGACGACACAACGGAAACCTTCTTGATCTTCTCGAAAGCCAAAGCGGATTTCAGGATAGATAGAGTGGCTTGAACAGCAGGCTCGACATAATCAAGATGGATGTCACCTCCATCTTTTGGCATGGGAGAGGCGATGTGAAAAACATAGTCAACATCCTTTAGAGCGGTATTGAAAGACTCGGGCTTTGACAAGTCGGCAATCACAATTGTCTCAATGTGATCCTGGAATTCTGGATAGCGGCTTCTAACGACGGCTTCTTGCTCAGCTTTCCGAACGCTGAGTCGGACGCGATATCCAGCCTTCAGCGCATTCTCCACAGTCTGGGCCCCAATGAAGCCAGTAGCTCCAGTGATGAAAATAAGTTCAGACATGTCGGAATAGGGTGATAGATAAGACTTTGGTCAAGGTAGTTGATGCTGAAGTTCGATGTTTCGAAGTAGTTGCTTCTTTCTGGTGAATTCAACGGCATTATATGAATGCAAGATCCAGTAGAAGCTTCCATGGCTCTAATGAATGATTTATAATCGATTGCTTTGAAATTAACAACATGATATTGATGTATATCCCACTATCACGATTAGTTTACGGGCTGATGAAATGATTTTGGAATGTTGAATAATCTTAGATTCCACTGCAGTTGATTTTAGAATGTTGAATAATCTTAAATTCCACGACGTACACGACAACAAATCAAATTAAGGTTGTAACTAAATTAGCTAACCTTAAAATGTTCGCCCCACAAATCGGCCCGATTCGATTATTCATCGTTTCAACATAACTAATTGGCTAGCTAGCTAGTTAACTAAATGTTTTAATGTTGACTAAACTATCTAGACAGTTTTGGTTCTTGTATATGTCTTAGTTAACAGGTCACCGAACCGATTCAAGCTTGCCATAATAGTCGTTCCGAAGGATGAGAAATCAAACATCTTCCGTCACCAAGAAATTGTGTGTATCTAGGTCGCGATCAAGGATCATGATCATTAAGATGCTATAAAGATGACGATCTCACCTCTGTAATTCGGGATAATTATCCTACAAATCCATTGAGCCTTGAGATCCACATATACCTACCAAAATTTCAAACAATTCCCCGAAAAACTCCGAATTTTTCAAACATCAGCTTGATCCACCATGCCTCTCTGGCAAATCTATCACCCAGCAACCGCATTCAAAGATGCTGCTTCCAAACAAGCATTTGCAAATGATATTACGAATATGTACCTCAAACTAGGCCTCCCAGCCTTCTATGTCGTGACCCAGTTCCACAAAATGGATATCGACAACGTCTTTGTTGGTGGAAAACAAAATGCCGATATAGATACTCCATTTATTCGAGTGGTCATAAATCACATCGCTATTCATGTGCCAGACGTGGATGCCATGTATCTCGATACAACTTCGCGCTTGGATGGAGTTATGAAGCCCCATATCACGGACAAGGGATATGATTTCGAATATCATGTCGACGAGACCGAGAGAAGGCTCTGGAAAATCAATGGTCTTATTCCTCCGCCGTTCAAAAGTGCCGAGGAGCAAATCTGGGTGCGAGAGAATCGTGCTGTGCCTTATTAAGGCGCGTTCCTGAAGCCGGGCCGAGGAGGCCGGAGATACCTATATAAGGACTCTGTTACGATTTTTGTCGAAAGATCAGTCATTAGTTACGGTTAGAATTCATTTTTGGCAGCGTTCGCCATTAAATACAGCTATATTCGAAAACAGATTCCCCCTCGGACAGACACACGTTAAATGGAATATATTTTTAGAAAAGAATTATTTACAGCCTAGCCAAATAAAAATTTGAGTGGTTTCGGGTACGGGCCGAGAAACAACATGTGTCTATCAGAGGGGGAATCTGTTTTCGAATATAGCTGTATCGCTTGAAATCAAAATCTTTTTCCATAATACAGGTGTTTTCAAAATCGAAGTAACTCCACTCCCTCCAGGGTTCTATGTATTCATTAGCCTTGGGATGGCAAATTATCTCCACTTAATTCGGAAGGTGATGGAGTTCGTGGAATTGAAAATCCCAAAGAATGGGAGCAAGAAATTGTCAATTTCTACCTCTAGGCGGCCCTGTGAGACGAACTAATGCGCAAATTTTGAGGCCTGTACTCGTGAAGCTACATGATTTTACAGTGAAAGATAAACCCTGGGAAAAGTTGGAAATCAAATAGCAGGCTCATGCGAGGACAAATTGTACATCCTAGATCTAGAAAGCAATAGTAATACATTTCAAGGCCACCCACCCTTTGTCTTTTCTTCTTTATTTAGTCAAACTTTTGGGTTAACACGGAATTCATTAAGCCAAATTTAGGCCCCTTACGCTACTTCACTCAGACCTGTCGTCAAGTTGGCGATAGAAATCTGTCGATGGACCGCGGATCGGCAAATGCCCAGCGGAGAGTTCCTGACGTACCGGCACGTGGAGAGCCATCACCAAATTGTCAATAGAATTAAGATACACACGAACGTTGTTCATATCCTCGAACACGTTAACGTCGGCTGTGTGCGCGGTCATCATGAGGTGACAGTGAACAGTCTTCTTCTGTCCATAGCGGCGAACCCGTCCAATCGCCTGTGTCATTCCTGATCCATACTCATGAATCTCGGAAACGACAAGCGGAGAAATGAAGATGACGTGGTTGGCGCACTGTAAGTTTCTATCAAACGTAACAAGTCAGTTTAGATCAAAAAGAAAGAAATTAATAGTAAATGGATAAGGAGAATACTTACAGGCCAGCTGCCATAACGTTACCGAGTGGTAGGATGAGGACCTTGACAAACGGCGAGCTTTTGCCACTGGAGCTGTCGATGAACTCGGTGGTACTCGCAAGGCGACTCAGTTTGGCTGCCCGGTTTTCAATTCCAGCTTTTGTCAGAGAACTCGAGACGGAATCAATCAGGTCCATGAACTGGACGAAAACGATCACCTGGTCCTCTTTCGGAGTGCTCTTAATAATCTTCACAATGCTGTCCAACTTGGAGCTCGACCGGAGGCCATGGCATGGAGTTAATCCAAATTGAACTAAAGCCTCTATCGGAGACTTTGAAGATTTGATGCGTGTATTAATCTCAAGAATGGTACGGTTGTTCGTGAAGCCTTGGACTCGGGTTTTAATTCCATCGTTGTTGGCAAAATGGCTATGCAGCAAGCCATAGATATATTTCTCTCGATCGTTCATCACAGCCACACCGTAGTGAGATTTGAACGGTATTTCACCAGTATCGGCTTTATTTTGTCGTGCGAATTGATCGAGGAACTTTTGCGCGTGCTCATGGCGAGCCTCATACCACGGATCACTGCACGCGCGCTTGTACAAAAGAAAACTCTCAACGGCAGTCATCTGCTTTCTGATGGCCTTCAGACGGGAATTATTGGTAGCAACGTTGGAGTCATCGTCAATTCCCAAATGAACTCCGAGCTGTCGGGCAATGCTCTTAATATCAGCAAACTCGCACGGTGAAGGCGTACCAGATAGGATCCACTTTGATCGTCCTGACAATTCCACCAGAGGGAGTTGTCGAACTTCTCCAGCGTAAGTGTATTCATCAACAACAATTCGGTTGAAGTGGAAGCTGTGGAGCAAGGGGAATATCATAGAAGAGGCTTCTGGACCCACATTGAACTTCTTTCGGTATTCAGTCGAAGTCAATGGTTTCCTATCCTCTTTTTTCTGCTTTCCACCCTTCTTGTTGACTTTCTCATCTTTCTCAGGGATTACTGAGAGATTCTCCTTCTCCTGAGCTGCTGCAAACTTTGCGCCCCTGAGCCGAAAAGAGGGGGTGTATCTAGAGTTTGCTTGATCTTCGTCAAGCCGCTGCTGTCTTTCCTCCACATCCTTCGGGAGTGACTCGGGCCCATACTCATTCAAGTTGTGGATCAGTTCTCGCAGAGAACGCTTGCTTTCATCGAACCACTGATCAAACTGTCTTCCACTTTTCGGGGCCCGCGGAGAAGCAGTGAAATGTTGCATGGCCTCGTAGTATCGGTCAGACTCTAGAACAGCCCAGGAAAGGAAAACGATATCAGCTTCCTGAATATCTGAGACAGAGCAAGTCTGAAGCTGCTTGACGTTCTTGATTTCCAAAGTCTTGTACTTCTTTCTGAGGAACTTGAACGTCTCCTCCGTCCACTGTTTGAACACATTAGAAGGGATGACGATGAGAGTAGCCTTGCTTTGAATGAAATGGGAATCTGTGATTTCTTCCTTCATTCTCTTCTGATCAGCATCGAACTGCGTATCGACCAGACCGAGGATGGTGACCGTTTTTCCATATCCAACTTCGTCGGCACAAAGACCGCCTCGAATTTTCCTGGGCATGGTGACTTTAACTTCAGCCTGCCATGACACTTCAGGGAATCTAGCTTCCTCAACCTCCATTTCAAGGAATGACTCAATGTCTTCTCTTTCTTGAGAGACCATCCAACTCAAGGATCGGAGCTGTTCAGGTCGCATATCAAGATGGAAGCCTGGAGGCTGCTCCGACATGACGTCTTTGGAATTGTCGAAGATAATGAACGTGTTGCGTGGCTTTGGTCCCGAATCAAAGGTGTTTGTAAGTAGACGCCACTGGAATCGCACGTCTGTATTATAGCCGGTGTTGACCAAATGTCCATAAGCACGATGTGCCATCGACTGTACGTTCAATGCGAACTCCACTTTATGTCCTATGAAGACCAAGAAGGGTGGGGTCCTTGTTTTGATGGAACGCTCGAACTTTGCTGCACCCTCCGGGTCTTCATAGGGAGTTACAGCATTTGCCGCGTTCCGACCCCAAAGCATTTTAGGTGGTAATGGGTCACAAGATTGGCAGATAGATCCATTTATAGGCAGATCCATCGCAAGATCAAGATCCTTCCAAGCTGAGAGGTGCATCATTTCTGAATTTTTCTGCATTGCCCATTTAAGACCCCACTCCTCCAATGCCTGCGTAGACTTTGCAGGGTCGATATACTCAGACCCATCAGGTGCAAGTCCAGTGAAATTCATGCAAAGTAGTGGAATGTATGAAGCTTTACAGTCGCTGGCTCTAACAGAAATTTTAACGTTGCCAGGCAGAGTAGCATATGTGTGTTGTTCTTCTGGAGGCACCACACAGGGTGCAATCTTGGCATCTCGGCACGTTTTGAAGCGTCGAAAATATCCAGCAAACGTTTTATGGCTGTTTGCAGTTTTGTGGACAAGATAGTGTGGTTTGAACTCATCGGTCAACGCTGCAATTGCTTTTCGCTGTTCATGTCCAGTCAGGGGATGATGCTCGAACGAAAAAGAAAAGTGATCATTTAGGCTGTTACCTATCTTCTGTGGATCGAAGAATAGATAAACCCAATCCATTGACTTGGACAGCGGGTACTTTTCCTCGAACGCATGGACACGTTCTTGTGTGGAGAGCGTCATGCCGTGGCATCCCCAAGGAGCGAACTCTCGTTTCTTGGCCGCAAGATCCATTTTATAGAGTGACGCGAGGGCCATTCCACAATTAGGTATACGAGTGTATGTGCCACGAATATCCACATCAAGATCATTCATTACACTGCTGTAAGGCCCCCAAAACCCGCACACGGGGTTGTGATTCGAGTGTGAGGAGGAGCCAACAATAATTTCTGACCAAATCTTTTCACTGACTCCTTCCGATTCAGGCAATCCGCATTCTGCCTCATAGGATGTTACTGCATGTCCAGATCCAGCGATTGTCAGGTAGAAACCAATGCTGAGTGGAGAACTGGTCTGCCAGTCACCTTCGTAAATGCAAGACTTGGGAACCATTCTTGCAATCGGCTTTGCGAATATCACGCGTAACATGTCACTTCCAGTGATCGATTTGGGAATCTTGGGATACAGTGTCCATTGGAGCTTATCAAATCCGATTTCAAGATGAAGATGAGAAAATTCACCCTCATAAAAGACTGTCCAAACTTTGGTGCGTCGGACCTTCTGGAAACAAAACTCATCGAAGAAAGCCTTGTGTGCAATGTTTACAGCTTGTTCTTGTGTTGTCCTGGGGATCGTCCGGTGAACCCCATTATCGGCAGTGAGTTGGTCAATGAAGGTGTTAACCAGGAAATTGATACCTGGAGTCAAGACACCCGGATGCGCAAGATCACTGAGTCTCAATTTCATAGGAAAGTTTTGCTTCAAAGAGCAGATGAATTCATGAGGGGATTGTCGCTCCTGGATCCTCAACGGCTTGTAGGCATGAGTGGGATTGCCTGCGCAGGTAGAACAAGCCAAAAAATCGCAAATAGTACACTGAAGCAAGCGGGTTTGTGAGCCGAGCTGGTGTTCACATGCGCAAAATTGGGCACTCAGACGAGCACGCAAAATGAGGGATTTCATTTGAGCGGCCGCAACAGCTTTTTCAACCAAAGAAGCGCTGCTGTCGACATCAAGGAAACAGTATGCTTCATTGGGTTCGCAGCTGGCTAGTTTATATGTATTGTCAACAGAATAGATCAATGGAGGGCTCGGCTGGTAAACTGGCGGGGCGCTTCGTTCAGCATCTCTCGGGTCACCAAAAACCTCAACGCCGGCGATCAGTCCGCAGATGATGATTGAGGCAACAACAGGGGATGTCATCGCGTTGCCGGCTAGGTCTTGTATTTCCTTCTGAGTCTCTCTGGTTAAAAGCACGGTGTTGGGAATTCCTTGTAAAGCGAGGGCTTCGGTTCCAAAAATTGGGCTTGCACGAGAAGTGAGAAATGGAAGACCGTGGGGGGTAAGGCAGCCCACAACGCCAAAAACGAAAGATTCTGGCGAACGATCAACCCCTTGTGATAAATCAATGAACTTCCTATTAATAATTAGTCAGTATTCTCTTTCCCTTCCTTCTTCTTCAACTATTTTACTTACTCTTTGTAGAAAATATCCACATATACATGCTTCCTGGAATACAACCATTTAAGATCGATCGTCTCCCTGACTCTCTCTGGTTGTCCCGCAGCCCATATGTTGAACCAATCCGGAAATTGAGAGCTCAAACATCCTGGCCTTGAGCGGCTTATTGGGCGTTCGTTTCCCAGCTCATTCGCCTCTCGATATTCAACATGTCGCTTCTGGTATGCTGTCCAAAGAACATCACTTGAATTCGGCGACGCTCCGGATCGTGCCATGGTCGTTCTCACAAGTTCCTCATATTCTGTGCTATGTTCGTCTAGCATGAAGGAACTCGCTGGTGAGCTCGCTGGACGGTGGAATTGAAGCACTAATTCTTGGAATTTAGTCTTGAAGCGATCACTCGCATCAATCGCACCAGAATCCCCAGTCCTCTCAAGTCTCTCTTGGTCGACACAAACCATGTAACCTCTTACACGGGTGTGTGGTATGTAAAATTGCTTGCTGTCGACCCTGACCCAACTCGAGACATAGCTGATCGTTAACCAAGCCATCTCAAATTGACTCCAAGGAGCTCCAGCAACATTCTCCAAGACAACGATGCGAGGACGGTAGTTCTTGGAGTAATCAAGCACACCTTGGAAAGTTGCTCCCGATTCACCACGTTGGTCCAAGGTCTTCTTATTGTTGTTTAGACAAGAAAAGTCAACACAAGCTGTGCCGCCAATTATCACATCAACATCTTTGGGAACGACTTCAAATGCTCCATATGCCGTTTGCCTATATTGAAGGTTATTATCTCTCATATTTGGGGAAGGAATGCTTGATAACATACGCTTGGTCGCCGCCCAACTCTCGAACATCGCGAAATATCAGAGGAGGTGAAAAGTTTCTCTCGATGTATGCTTGCTTCAGAGGAACAATCTCGCAGCTGAATACATGCTCGATTGGGAACTGCATGCCAATGGCAGTGAGACCTGTTAGATATTAGCTGATTGACTCCACTACAACCTCAAGTTTGAATATAACTGACCTTTCTTGAACATGCTCAAAGCGAGCAAAGGGCTCTCTGTTCCCGAACATACGGTTGCCACACGAAGCCTGCGACCTCCAATTGCATTGATTACTGTCCCAAAACCACGTACCATTGACCTTTCGGCGATGTCCTGGAATATATCAAGAAGCTTGTGCATGGGGGGAAGATCCGCGTTGAGATTCCGTGTGCTCTCTCTCGGAAAATCACATGCGCCATGGCTGCCGCCTTTGGCCTCTTCATTTTCAGCATCTGAAGAGAGAGGGTCGCTGGCATTGATCGGCAAATGAGACGGCTCATCGGTACTTAGCAGGCACTCGGTCTTGATACCGCCTGACAAGGGTTTCAAATCCATCTCTTCACCACCAGACAAGGGCTCAACAGGAGAATCGTCCACTTCTTTCCGCTTAATCCTCGGATTAGTCAAGCCTGGTGAACCTGCCCGCTTCATACCAGTCTCCTGGGAAGACTCATCAGGGATTTCATCCAGCTCTTGATGCTCAACACTTGGGCATATGAGCCCTGGTGACTCTGCCCGCTTCATATCAGTGTTTGACATGTTCGATACTGGGATGAACTTTGTCAGATATTTTTCTCAACAAACAAAATGTTTATGCCTTCCACGTCAAGGAAGACTTACTTCGATCCAAAATGGTTGTCTTTGGATGTAAAGGTATTTTTCAAAACATTCAAGAAGTCAGAACAATGCTGTTCCCAAAATACAAGTTGGAATTGTTATTCAAGGAGTGAAAAATCAAAGGTTGTTCTCTAATGATTTTTGGAAGAGGTGACGAGGAAGAATTACAAACTGAGATTGAATCAGAATTTATACAGTGGGTGGGGCATGGTTAACTTGAACGCTCTGAGTCGTCGAAGACGACTCATTGGAGTGTTTCATGCCTTGACTGGCACTGCAACGCAGCTATGACAGGATATGCTTCTTCCAACGATTTTGCGAGAACAGCTCTTGGCTTTTAATTCATTGTATGAGAAGTTGCTCATAACTCCGAAAAATAATTGTCATTCATTAGACCTTGGAAATGATGGGTAGTTCTCTTTTAGTGAGCTTTCACACGACGAATTAGTCGGAATTACTACAATATTCATTTGAGCGTGAAACCAAGTCATTTCTTTCCAGGCATTTGATCAAGAAAAATGAGATTGCAAGAAACTTCAATCTGATCTATTATACATGATGTGGGTCGTGGTTTATGATGTGCACTGCGAAAGGGATTCTGGAGTTAATGAATGTATGGAATGAACTATCCATTTCCAAGGTTGTCTGGGGCCATAATCGCTTTTTTTTTTAAAGCGGTAGATAGATCTTCGGCTTTCAAATATAAAATGTTTTAGTGACGTTAACAGCGAGGTACATGAGTAGAGAGATTTAGTTTTTCTAAAATATTTACTTGTAGTGATTTGTGTAATGTCATAAATATCTATTCAAATGCGCCACAGCCGGCGCTAACGCGCGCTAGTGAATACGCCAATCGGCTTCGGACTGAATGCTCTACTATCGCATTATGTTCATCATTATTTTCACAACACCACCAGCATACTGTGCCTCATCAATTTATTCTCGTCTTTCTATATGCTTTTGTTTCTAGTTATTCCCAAGATGGTTTACTTCAATAGAATGTGACCATGGAGGCTACGAGCCGTGTTGACTCATTTCAAATACTTGCTACGCATTGACGTTCGCGTGCTCACGTGTTTATAGGGCTGGACTCTTGGTTTCAATCGAAGGCAATGCCAACGTAATGATTTAAACCTTCAGATTTACGTCTAGATAGATGAAAATTGGAGTCAAAATTATAGAGGTTTGTATGAAGAACAAAATAGTGAGTGCATTGCTGCTAGACGTGAAAATGATAGTTAAGAACTTGAAGAAACTTCAAAAAACACTCCCAATGCGCCAGCCTCGCGTTGAATATGTAGCTGTGTCGCCGCACTTGCGCTTTCTCATAAAGAAAAACCCATTCAAACCAGAGAGCATCCGAATTGTAAATCCCGCTGCTAAATGAAAAAAAAAAAAACGACATTGAAGCCCTTCTACCGCATGCCGCCCTGCATCAACTGTTGGCGGAGCAAGATGATTTGACTGCGCTCCATTGGCGGAAGGGCGTCAATTGCAGACTGTGGCATGCTAAGGACTTGTTGAAGAAGATCATCCTGACTTGGGAGTTGCTGTGGAGCAGGTGCTTGAGGAGGTGGGGGAGCAAAAGCAGAAGCGGCAACCGGAGGCGTGGAAATTTGATTTGGAATAGCGCCATATTGTTGATACTGAGGGGTAGGCACAGGCTGAGCAGCGGCTTGCTCAACAATGGATCCCAGAAGTTGGTACTCAACCAGGTTCATCAAAAGTAATGCCTGGAAGATGGCGTAGGCGAGCTGAGGAGCTTGGCGCATGAGCTCGGTTGCACGAGCTGGATCTGCAACAGCGAGAGATTTCATCTGACTGAGAACTTCAAGAAGCTGATTTGGGGGAAGGGAGGCAAGTGTATGGGATATGGCGTTCGGGCAGTCGAGGTGAGGTGGAAGCTCGATCCCGGGAGGAAGAGGAGGCAGAGGGGCAGCGCCTGGGATTTGGGGAAGCTGTGGAGTAGTATCTTGATTCGTGGGTCCAGATTGTTGCGAATAATCAGGAGGAATAGCGTCTTTTTCATTGTTGTGAGGCCAGTCGACACGGATCTTTCTTCCCATGATTTCATAATCGTTGAGATTTCGCACTGCAGAAGCTGCAGCATCTGCATCTGAAAAGTCTGCAAACCCATATCCCTTCGGTTTTCCAGTCTCTGGGTTCATCATCAGGCGGAATTTAGTCACAGTGCCAGCGGTGCTGAGGATGTCTTTGACTTGCTCCTCCGTCAGATCTGCGGGGGTAGGTCAGATGTGAATAGAAGCTTTTTATTCAGAAGCCGATGGAGTACTTACTATAGGGGATGTTCCCCAGAAATACGCTCTTTCCCGAGCGATCAGGAGCCATAATCGCGATGTTGTTAGATGAGAAAGTGAATTTATGGCAAAGCTGTTGCGCAAAAGAGATGAGCGATCATTCTGCCTGACTTGCTTCACCGCCCGGAACAGCACCTTCTTAGAACTTCCCGTCCCAACGAGACCCATCTAGATTTCCGCTACATCAATCTCTACATCATGTCTCAAAATCAACGAGAGGCTTGGGAGCGACTGCAGCTCATGCTGAACAAGCGCAAGCCTGGCTTTGGTGGATTCCCTAGCGGTGGCAGTGGTGGCGGTCGCGGCGGTTTTGGGTTGGTCGGCTCCCTCGTCTTGCTCGGTGTGGGCAGCTGGGCAGTTTCAAACTCGCTTTTCAACGGTAAGCATGTTCGCTGACATTTAAAGTTGGTCCAGTGATATTAATTTATCTAGTCGATGGTGGTCACCGCGCTATCAAATACTCCAGGTTTAGTGGTGTGCGGAAGGAAATCTACAACGAAGGTATGACCTTGGAACCCGTAAAGCAGGCTGGAATTAATCTCTTTGAATTAATGCAGGAACCCATCTCTGCATTCCCTGGTTTGAGACTCCTATCATCTATGATGTCCGCGCCAAGCCGCGCAACATCCCTTCCTTGACTGGAACCAAGGACTTGCAAATGGTCAACATCACCTGCCGTGTGCTTTCCAAACCCCGAATCGATGCATTGCCACAGATCTACCGAACCCTCGGCCAAGACTTTGACGAACGAGTCCTGCCTTCCATCGTCAATGAGGTGCTGAAGAGTGTCGTTGCCCAATTCAACGCGAGCCAGTTGATCACCCAGCGCGAGAATGTTGCTCGACTGGTGCGGGAGAACCTAGCCCGCCGCGCGGCACGATTCAACATTGCTCTGGACGATGTCTCACTCACCGTAAGTTTATTTATCTGTGCCCTAGTGTGATGTGCAATTTTCTAACATCTATTCTCCATAGCACTTGACCTTCTCCCCGGAGTTCACTGCCGCAGTTGAGGCGAAGCAGGTAGCCCAGCAAGATGCACAACGTGCTGCCTTCCTAGTCGATAAGGCTCGTCAAGAAAAGCAGGCCTTCATTGTTCGTGCGCAAGGTGAGGCCCGCTCGGCCGAACTTATTGGCGATGCAATCAAGAAGAGCAAGAGCTACATCGAGCTTCGCAAGATCGAGAACGCCCGTCAAATCGCTACAATTCTCCAAGAGAACGGTGGCAAGAACAAGCTTTACCTTGACACTCAGGGCTTGGGATTGAATGTCAATGCCTCGACCGAGGATAGCAAGTAAATTACACTTAATTGAGCGCCCGGATTGTGTAGTTGTGTACAAATAGTTTATTTTAACGAGCAACAAAAAATGTTCTCTTCTCTCTTCAACTCGTGAAAATATTTGAAAGGTTAATTTGCTGCTACGTATATTCAGCTACAAGTAAACCTCGAGAATAATTTCTATCGCAACGCCAAGATATAATTTTCGACGCGGGGGAGGCGGCGAGTAGAAATACCGTTTTTTTCTGCCGTCATTTCTTCAAACTTAGACTTACATTCGAGATATCTTTAATTAAGGTAAGAAGGATGATGAATTGAAGAATATCTTATTTCAGCATGCCCAGTAGCTGTATTATTAGTGGCAATAACTAACATCCCATTCAAATCTCAGAGAATTCGCCATAATGGCAGAAGGTTCCCAGATCCAGATCACTCAAATCGACGTGGACCTAGACGTGCAAGAGATTCTACTCGCATCGTCGCAACATGACATCCCCAAGCTCCGCCGTCTGGTGCGCACCCAATCAGTCCTCCCTGACGCAGCAAACGTCAAAGATCCAGAGACAGGCTACACGCCTCTCCACGCCGCTATCGCAGCCTGCGAACCGGATTCAGAAGACGAAGCCAATGGCGTGAACGGCGCAGAGACTAACGGAGCGAAGGACGACACCAGCTCTGTTGATCCTGAACTAACGAAGTCTGGAGTCGAGACTGTTCGATTCTTGCTGCAGGAGGGCGCTATCTGGAATGATCTTGATAACAGCAACGAGACACCCGGCTGTCTGGCACGACGCATTAAAGCGTTGGAGCTTTACGAGCTTATTGTCGATGCTGGTGTTCGGGCTGAAATGCTTTTGAGTCGGCTGGACGGGTACGAAGAGCTATCTGACGACGATGACGAGGAAGAGGACACAGAGGAGAAAGACGATGTCGATGAGGTCGCGCCTGAACTTGTCGATGCCTCTGCAGACCAAAAACCCGAATCCGAACCCGCTTCTACAGAAACGGATACGCCTGACAACCCGGGTGTGTCGAACAGGGGGTACCTCGATTCCTCGCTCAACATCTCAAACGATCGTATCTTGGACTCAGACCAGAATGGCGTCATGATGCGCTGGGAGAGCGATATCATGCGCAAATCCGCACAAGCGCTGCTCCCTCGTCCTGGGCTCAAGGTTCTGAATGTTGGGCATGGAATGGGCATTGTTGATGGATTCTTGCAGGAGCAGAGTCCTGCAGCGCATCATATCATCGAGGCGCATCCGGATGTTGTTGCGGAGATGAAGCGTCGTGGATGGGATACTAAGCCTGGTGTTGTCATTCATGAGGGGCGATGGCAGGATATCTTGCCTGGCCTTGTCGGTGCTGGAGAAACGTTTGATGCTATCTACTATGATACATTCGCAGAGTCGTATTCTGATTTCCGGGATTTCTTTTCCGAGGAGGTTATTGGGTTGTTAGAGCAGACTGGCAAATGGGGCTTCTTTAATGGAATGGGGGCTGATCGGCAGATTTCGTATGATGTTTATCAGAAAGTTGCTGAGATGGATCTGTTTGAGGCTGGATTTGACGTTGATTGGGAGGATATCCCTGTCCCCAAGTTGGAGGGCGAGTGGGAAGGCGTGCGACGGGCTTACTGGGTAGTGGATAACTATCGGTTGCCACTCTGCCGTTTTATGGATTAGATTATCTGAAGATAGAATATACGATGTGAAATGCACTCTTATGGAAAGAAATGATCGGCTTCTATGTATGAACAAATGTGACGCTCGAAAATTATTACACACGAAACGCTCATGATATGCATGAATCACAACTGGATCAGGTCAACCTGTGAGAAGTCTGGTGGACTGCGACTGAAGATTGTTCGTCCTTTTCCATCCAGCGCTTGGTACTCATTACTGACCCAGATGTGTTTACTGAACCGTTGAGTACGGTAAATCTCATCATCACTGACACCCATCTCATCTCTTGGGATCCAGATGACAGGTCGTTTGGCTCGAAGGGCCTCGTGCTGGAATGCACGTTGTACCAATTGGTCGCGCTCATCGGGTGTGAGATCCTCCAATTCGTCGTTAAGGCCCGCAAAGAGGGAATGGCCCATCGTTTTAGTGGGTGGTCCTTGGTTTTCGGCATCATTCGCCATTCGATCTCGCAAGGTATTGATTGTTGGGCTGTTGGTGGCGGAATTGATTCCGAAAAACTTGGACCGCCGATTTGGCGATCGAGTGGCCCAGGAAGATTGATTGCGGGTCGATTTGGTTTTGTGCAGTCGGTCACTTGATTGGTGTTGCAACTTTTGATCACCTGGCTCCAAACTTTTTAATTCGATGTTTTGGTCTTGGTGGCCCTCATCTTGATCTTGTTCAGCAAGGTGCTGTTCCATGTGATCAATTTCTTCGGCTTCATCATCGACTGTGAGACCGAGCCGGGCGTGTTGGGCACGAGCAAATTCCTCATCACGACGCACCGCTTCATTCTCCAAAGTAATGGGCAAGTACCGGATCAGAGGGCCAAATGCATTGTCGAGTAGCAGTTGATAGCCAACAGTTAGGACAAGCACGATAATCATGCAAATTCCTTGACCTTTGCATGCGACTCCATTATTTTGGTCTCGAACCAGGAAGAATAAACCGACCAGACACAGCTCCATGATGTAAAGGCCAGTGAAAAGCTGGTGAATGGCTTGAGGGAACAAGAGACCGCCGGTGTCAAAACGGAACTTGGTCACATACAACGTGTTGTAACGATAGACAAACCAGAAGAGCCCAAACGTGATGACGTTGAAAATCAGAATGAGAGGCGCAACCACGCAGTAGATTAATCCTAGTATTCAATGTTAGTTTTCATGATAAATAGTCTTTTTTCCAAATTGATCAAACATACCAATTGAGGCGAGGGTTGTATAAACTGGGAAGAAAGACCCCCACTGCATTTGATTCAAGTTAGTAGTACGAGCCCACTTCTTTCTGGCTGTGGAATCCAAGATGGGAGCAAGAATAAACCAGCTGACCAAACCAACAATCTGGACCAAGGCACCCGCACTGACAGACATTGCCTGCAGAATCATGTAGGAGAAAAAGTAGTTGCTAGATTTGGGGATGTTCTGGGCCAAGAGCTCCGGCCAGCTGGTCACATTCGTGGCTTTTTCAATGACAGTTGAAAAACTGGATGCGATAGTAACAACGAGGAAAAGCTGCACAAACAAGAATGCAAAGTAATATTTCTGAACCGTAAGTTCAATTGCCATGCCGGTTGCAAGGCCTTGTGTTCGACTCAGGAATCGAAGAGTCAAAGGCAAGATTGCCATTAATATGGCCAAGAAAAGTGCAGGTAGAATACCCTGGACAGCCGAAATAAACCACTCTGGCAATTTATTGATCCAGGCGAGCCACGAAAAGGTTCCCTCTAGGTAGGACAATTGGGAGAGCAGGCCTGTGAAAGCAACGGGGAATGCCCACCCTACAACCATTCCACATACCAGTGCAATGATTCCGAAAGTCCGAAGGTAGCGCTCCCACCATTTCATGGACATATTGTCCCAAATAACATCATCGGGGGAGATCTCGACAACTCGTGGGGCCATCTGCTTAGGAAGATGATGACTGACAGCTTGACAAGCCATGTGTGCAGCAAGCTGATGATTGAATTGAATGAATGCTGAATTCATCAAAGGGAAGCGCTCGGGATGTTGTTGGTCGACTTCAATTTCCAGATTCAATCGAGCGAGTTCCTTCCGACAGTACTCAATAGTATCAACCTTTTTGCCGAGGAGCCAAATTGATGGCATCCAGCTCCATCCGAAAATGGGAAGGCGCATCGTGCCACGATCCTTTGGCCTGATGTACTTTTTCCACACTGGCTCTCCATGATCTTCGTTCTCGAAAGCCTCGTTGTATGCGACTGGGTACTGTTCTCCTTCCGCTTCAGCACCCTCTTTGTGACCGTGCTTACGCTTCTTCTCCTGGTTGGAATCCACCTTAGTTGAAGTGCCATTATGCGTATCAGTGACAGGGGAATCGGGCGCAGTGAGGGGATATTCATCAGGTTCCGGGTCGGAGTTTTTTGAGTGCTTAGAAAGGATTGAAAGATTTGAGCCTGGACTTTTCCAAAACGGCCGCTTAGGCGGCGACGTCTTGGTATCACGGCACATGCTATCACCTTGAGCTGGCTCGGGTGTCTGTGGCCTGGAATTTGACAAGGAGACTTCGTTGTAGGCGTCTTGGTCTAAGTCGTTCTCATAGTCTTCATCCCCTGGAGTGGGACCACGAGGGGGCAATCCATAGTCGGCCGACTCAACGTAACCGCCAGTCCGAGTCAATGTGCTATCAAGTCCATTTTCGACCTTTTTGAGACCACCAAGCACCGTTTTGCCTAACTTTCCGACGCCTTGTCCTACTGCCATAGCTGGGTCAATTACTATATGTCGCGCTCGGCGAGAGGGCTGTCTTGCAGGTCTGTCTGAATCATGAAGAGCCTCACGCACCGTATGAGCCTGGTGGGGATTACCCGAGCTCACACCAGGGCCCATTGCCATTTGGGACGCACTTTGATCAGCAACAGCTTTCTCGCGGTTCTGATCGGCGCTCTTTATTTTCCCAGCCTTCTTCGCATCTGCCTTGAGTTTCTTCAAATGCATCTTTTTGCATTTGGCAATCAGATCCGTCTCTGCGGCCTCAAGTTTGAGCGCAAGGCCGTTCCTTGCCTTAACCTTTTCGTTTAAGTCATCAAAATTGCGATTGATCCAAATATTCCGCACACCACCCGGAAATATATCAAAGAGATTATCAAGAGAATCGATATTAAGCCAATTAGATGGGATAGAAGTTACTAGCACGGTGGTCGCAGAGGCTCGAAGCCGATGTTGAGGGGAGGTCAAATAGGCCTGACGTAGGCGAATATAACCTCTCAGTTCATCGAAGAATACAGCGCACACGTATATCACGACAATGAGTGCCATAATAAAATGGGCCCAGTATCGGTCTGTATTCGTTGGTTTGATATTACCCCAAGCCAGCTGATCCAAGCCGGACACATTCCATTGGGTATGGGTTGAAGTGGAGTTGTCCCATGTCGTACCCTTCCCACCCACTTTATTCAGAGGGATCAGGACCGGTAAGATCAAGCAGCCAAGAGGGATAAAGATCTTCAGCAGCATGCGCAGATAACGAAGAAAGAAATAGGCATCGAGTCCACATTTCTGGATGAACTCAGAGCTAGATGTGCGAAAGACTGGACCAATCCAGCGAAAGAGACCTGGTGGTGATGGCTTAGTTCGCTCTCGATCCGGCACCAGATAGGTTCGTGGTTGACTGTGAAGGCGCATGAGTCAGTTTAGGTCTTAAATACTCGCTCGTTAAGGTAAACTTACTAGATGCGGGTTAGTTTGCCCTTGAGCAATAGGAAGAGCAGAAATTCGACAGCGAAGACGACAATAGCCGTCGCCAGCGAGGCTAAGAAAGTTTTGATTGAAACACCCTGGGACGAGGTACCATGCCCACCGGCATTCTCGAGAGCCTCTTCTAGGGCGTTTGCCATGGTGATCAATGATGCGTATCAACGCGTTGATCAGAAATAGAGAAGTGATAGCGAGACTTTAATGCTGTGGAGAGCAAGATTGGAGTGGACAATTGAGAGGTCATCTAGATCCCTTGCAGTCTTTTTTTTTGTCTACCTCACTTCAAGTACTGTCAGCGTAAGAAAAAGAAGCATGATCCAGAGTTGTTTGAAGTAGTATGAGAGAGGAAGAAAGGTAGATCAAACCCTTGTAAAGTAGGCCCAAAGGCGCCTACACTAGTGACACAATGAGGGTAGTGGCTGACTTTTGAATTGCCGCCGAAGTAACGGCCCTGGAGCTCCCCGCCAAATCAGGGAAGGACAGGGGGATGATTGGTTCCTCGCCGATCGTCTGTATAATGACATCAGCCTTATTATACTATGTAGAGTCAAGGCGTCTAGTGAAACAAAGCCTAGATAGCCCAAAATACTCACTTGAAACATAGAAATGTGACTGTTGCTTGTTTTGGTCATTTAATTTTATATTCCTTTACCGTCCCAACAAAGAAAAATGCGTGTGGAAAAAAACCCCTAAACAGCTCTCAGGCCCTAATCTAACCAAGTGTGCAACTAACAAAGATAGTCTCCACTTGGGCCAAGGGTAAATTTACGCAAAGAGTTGTAATTGGCTCGAGGTCAAGGAGTGGCGCAGTTGAACGTTCGCAGCCCAAACCCTGCTTATATAATCATGAAATACACACGTGATTATAAAGCTAGTCCAAAACAGGAGAGAAAGGAGTTAAAGTGATTTCCATTTATGGTTAGCGTATAAACGCGTGGAAAAAACGCGGTCGCGTCCCGGAAAAAAGAACTTCAAGGTTGGCCTCCCTGCTTTTCCCTCCTATCTATTACCACCACCATACCTCAAAATACCCCATCACACAAAATGTCTTCACCGGCATCCAACAGAAGAAGTCAACCTTCAAGGAAATCGACTACATCACCAACGTCATCTAGGGCTCAAGAGCCCCCTAGTAGCCCAACAAACCAAGCTACTCCCCGCGTCACCCGACGTCTGGCCGCAGATAGAAATGTCCCATCATCATCTCCAATGTTCTTTCAGTCCTCGCCAACACGAGGCAGTCAAGGCGCAGAGACTCCCGATGTCCGTATGGAGGAGGCCAGCTCAGTGGTAGATGACGGAGAGAGGACACCCCGGGCGAGGGGAGGAATCCGAGGTATGTTAATCAAATCTTCACGATAGGATAATGATAAATTTGAAATTGGATTCAACTGACTGTGATTGAAACAGACTCATCGCCCATCAACTATATTCCCAGCTCTAGCCCTACCAGAGGCTTCAATCGCAGAGATATCCGCTCTGATATTAGGTCCGATATCCGCTCTGATATTCGCTCCGACGCTCTTAGCGTAGGCAGCGGGCTATTTGTATCGCCTGGTGGACCTCGTGGCTCTCGTCGCAGTGATATCCACTCTGGTGGGTTCGGGGCGACTCCCTCACGCAGAAACCGAATCTTTGTGGGCGCCAATGGAATTCCCTCGGGTGATAATGTCGCCCGCTCTGACGCTACCTTTTCGAACGTTAACCCGGGTACCTCTGAAGCGGATCTTATGGCTGGCAACTCTTCGCGTGTTATCTGGGGAACCAACATCTCCATCCAGGATTCTATGTCCGCTTTCAAGAACTTCTTGTACAATTTCACTTTAAAATATCGCCTCTGGGCTGATGGTGCTACGGAGAATGAGACTCGAGTTATGGGTGCTGTCGCTGACAAGCGCGAGTACATACAGATGTTGAACGATATGCGACGCCTCGGTATGACGACTTTCAACTTGGATGCTAAGAACCTGAAGGCATACCCCTTGACCAAGAAGTTATGGCACCAACTGCAGGCATACCCTCAAGAAATTATTCCCTTGATGGATCAGACTGTAAAGGATGTCATGGTAGATCTGGCCCTCAAAGAGATGGATGTCTTGCGTTCGGAGAACCAGCGTGGTGCTCAGGCCCGGGACCGTCGCGGTCAATCCATCCTCACATCCGATAACATCATGCCTCAAGTGGATGTCCCTGATCTGGTCGGTGAGGTTGAAGCAATGTCTTACAAAGTGCTTCCCTTTGGCCTTGATAAAACGGTCAATATGAGAGATCTTGACCCAGCTGGTATGCTGCTTGCCCAGTAGACTATATATTTAATTTGCTAACAAAATTCGCAGATATGGACAAGCTGGTCAGCATCAAGGGTTTGGTCATTCGTACCACTCCCGTTATTCCAGATATGAAGGAAGGCAAGTTGATGTGTTTGGATACTCATGGCTGAATCACTCTAACTGTATCATAGCCTTCTTCCGATGCAACGTTTGCAACTCTGGTGTTCAGGTCGATATTGACCGAGGCCGCATCCAGGAACCCACTATCTGCACTCGAGACTCGTGTAAATCGAAGAACTCGATGCAGCTTCTCCACAATCGCTGCTCGTTCTCAGATAAGCAGGTCATCAAGCTCCAAGAGACTCCCGACAACGTTCCAGATGGTCAGACTCCTCACTCTGTGTCGCTTTGTGTCTACGATGAGTTAGTCGATATTTGCAAGGCTGGTGATCGTATCGAAGTGACCGGTATCTTCCGGTCCAACCCTATGCGTGTCAACCCACGTCAGCGCTCGCAGAAGGCCCTGTTCAAGACATACATTGATGTGCTTCATGTTCAAAAGGTCGACCGCAAGAAGATGGGCATTGACGTGTCAACGGTGGAGCAAGATATGTCTGAGCAAGCGGCCGACGCAGATCAGACTCGGAAGATTTCAGCTGAAGAAGAGGAAAAGATCAAGCTGACTGCCTCTCGACCGGATATCTATGAACTGCTCTCCCGATCACTGGCCCCTAGTATCTACGAACTGGACGACGTCAAGAAAGGTATCTTGCTTCAAATGTTTGGAGGTACGAACAAGACCTTCCAAAAGGGTGGAAACCCTCGTTACCGTGGAGACATCAATATTCTCCTTTGTGGTGACCCCTCAACTGCCAAGTCGCAAATGCTACGTTACGTCCACAAGATTGCCCCCCGTGGTGTTTATACCAGTGGTAAGGGATCATCTGCTGTCGGTCTGACAGCCTACGTGACTCGTGACCCCGAAACCCGCCAGATGGTTCTGGAGTCTGGCGCTTTGGTCCTTTCCGATGGCGGTACTTGCTGTATTGATGAGTTTGACAAGATGAACGAAGCCACTCGTTCTGTCCTTCACGAAGTGATGGAGCAGCAGACTGTCTCAATTGCAAAGGCTGGTATCATTACTACCCTCAACGCCCGAACATCTATTCTGGCATCCGCCAATCCCATCGGAAGTCGATACAACCCCAAGCTCCCCGTTCCTCAGAACATTGATCTTCCCCCAACCCTTCTCTCTCGTTTTGACCTTGTGTACCTGGTTCTTGATCGTGCAGATGAGACTGAGGATCGTCGCATGGCCAAACACTTGGTCGGCATGTATCTGGAGGATAACCCAGAGAACGCTAGCTCTGAAGAGATCTTGGTAAGACAGTCTACCCCCGAAAAACACTCTTCTCACAGGAACAAAAGTTTGCTAACAATGCTGTTTATTAGCCTATTGAGTTCTTGACTGCGTACATCACGTATGCCAAGACCCGCATCCACCCTGTCCTGACACCAGCAGCTGGCGAGGCACTCACCGAGGCCTACGTGGCCATGCGTAAATTGGGTGATGACATCCGAGCCTCAGAACGCCGTATCACTGCAACCACTCGACAACTGGAGTCTATGATCCGTTTGTCAGAGGCACACGCCCGAATGCGCCTCTCCTCGGAAGTGACAGCTGATGACGTCGAAGAAGCCGTGCGTTTGATTCGCTCGGCCATCAAGCAAGCTGCAACAGATGCGCGCACCGGATTGATTGACATGGGTCTTCTCACAGAAGGCACCAGTGCTAGCGAGCGTCGTCTCCGTGAAGACCTGAAGCGTGCCATTCTTGCCCGAGTGGAGGATCTTGGCGGTGCTAATGGAGCAGCGGTAAAATGGGCTGATCTCTATCGCCAATTGAGCGAGCAGAGCGATCAGCTGGACCACCACCAGTTTTCAGATGCTATGCGCGCTCTGGAGGGCGAGGGTGCTCTCCATGTGCTAGGCGAGGGACCACGGCGCACTGTCCGTCGGGCAGCGATCGGTATGTCCTGATCAAAGATGATTCCTACGATGCTATGATCGACTGGGCTGCATATTTTCTTTTCTATCGCAAGTTTCTTACACTGGTGTTCTCGTTTCTTGGTCCGGGGGGGGGGGGGGGGGGGGGGGTTTCATGGATTGCATGTTTTATTAAGAATAAATGAAGTGGGTTATGATCCATATGTCTGTCTCGATCATCCTTATTATGGTCTTCTATTTCCCTAATTTCACACTATTCAACTCAAGAAATCTCCGAGGCTGGGAGTATTTCAATTTCCCTGTTGTTCCCACTCCGAGTCTCTTACTGCCTAGCGTATGTTTCTAAAGTAGCATCACCGAGAGCCATTTTGCGATTCCTTACTTGGCATGCAAGCAGTATATTTATTTAGTCCGCATCTTTTGGGTATTCTGCAAGTGAAAACCTAGACGGGCAACCCTAAGCAACCTCCAGACATACAGAGTATAATAAAGTTAACCATATGTACTCAGCCAGTACTTGATTCAGTTTCCTTTTAGCCTTAGAGATCGTTTATTTCTACATTGGTCGATAAAATTTAACATACTAATCGTTTTAATCGTGAAGTCAACAAGAAAGTCAGCGGCATAATGAGAATAACGAGCAGTGAAAATGCAGTCAAAACTTGACTTCGAGTAACCAATCTAGAGCCAGCAAAGAAAAAGGCGGTACAATTTTGTATCAACAGCGTCTTCTGTGTAGAAGAAAGACATAAATTTGATAGAGAGCGAGTAAAGATATAGTACACTATAGGATCTTGGGATACAATATTCCTCCAATTTTGGCTCTATAACATTGATGTATCCATTTGTCTACGCTCTAATTATTTATTTCTGAATAACTTCATGAAATTCATCAGAATACCATACATTAGAAAAAGATAGTGCAGCCAGACTTTGACAGGCTGAAATAAACTTGGAACTGTGTAGGTACATTAACATTCTTTATTGACAGGCAGGCCTATACCCAAGTAGTAACCTACCTATCAACATTGGAAAGTCACTGAATTTGTACTTTATATCGAATGCGGCCCGGGGAAAACCAGTACATGACAACTGACGATATCTAAATATCTAAATATCTATGACTTTTACTTTGGCTCGGCCACTGAGCCAACTGTCATCGCCATTAGTCGCCGCCATGCGGATAGCATATAGTTCGTCAATAAATGCTGGCACAAAACTGCCAGGTCCACGAACATAATCCTTTGCCGCTGCATTCTCAGCTGCAATTTCATACATGAGGAGACCGGCTAACACAGCAAGCAGTTTGTCAGAGCGGTAGGCGGCCAGGAAACCAGCTGCGATACTTCCGACGGCGCAACCAGTCTTGTGACATGTTAGTTCAATTGCTAAATAGAAGGAAAATCATCTTGTAGAAATTTGGGATACTCACTCCTGTCACCTCTCCTAGTAATGAGTGGCCGTTCTCAACGGAGATCACTCTCTCTCCATCGCTGATGTAATCGGTGACTCCAGTCAATAGCACGATATTACCTAAAGACTATGTTAGCGAAAATGCACCTAGTTTGCTTAGAAAGTGGTTAACTAACGATCACGTCGAGCCACATCGCGGACTAGAGTTGCCTTTTGCAGGCCATCCAAAGTGCTTGGTCCGCTGTCAACTCCGCGCTGCTGCACCTTATTACTTCCACGGACTTGCCGGATCTCACCCTCGTTACCCTTTATGAGATCAAAGTAGCCACCTGCCATTAGCTCCGTAACAGCGCTTCGGCGAATTTCTGTTGCAGAAGCACCAACAGGGTCGTAGATAACTGGATTACCACGAGCATTGTATGCTTTTATGGCCTTGAGGAAATTGGTAACACTTTCACCAATTAAGGTTCCCATATTGATCAGAAGAGATCCGTCGAAGTTGGCAAGGTCTGTTGCCTCATCCCCGTTGGGAGCCATGATGGGTGATGTACCACTGTGAATTTCATCAGCAAATTCATATCTTATAAGGAGATGAGCCACTTACATCGCGAGATTGACGTTAGCAACGAAGTTGACGACCACAGAGTTAATCATGTTATGGACCAGCGGGTGCTTCTCTACCAATTTTTGGACGAGTTGGGGCACTTCACTCACCAATGCTTCGGCTTCATTGGTGCGTGCAACTTGCGGAACCATTGCAAAAAGAGGTTCAGAGTTGATGAGCTGGCTGAGCTTCTCCGTCGCAGCCTTCGGATCATCATCTGCCATGATGGCACTAACAATAGCTACACCATCCAATCCCTTCTTAGGGGACTTGGTTTGATAAATGACCCGCTGTACATTGGAATGGTTGATGCCTCCAATTGCGACAGTTCCCACCGAAGAATCACTAATGGCATGAAGAATGGCCTGAGTTCCTGCAGTTCCAAGGATTTTCTTCGTGTTTTTTTTTCTAGACAAGCCTGTTAGTGCCTAGCACAGTGCCCATATAATAGTTAGACGATGACTCACGTTTGAGTGGAAAACAAAGTCCCAATTCCAATGTAGTCAGCTCCATCGGCAATGGCCTTCCGGGCCTCCTCAACTGTAGCAGTACTAATACCAATGATGGCATTCTTAGGGAGAAGCCTTTTGGCATCTTCATATTCTGCAATTGCATGTTAGATTCAGTCGGGAACACTGCGGAACAGGCAACACCAACTCATATCATCTTGACCCAGATGTACACCTTCTACCCCGGCAGCAACGGCAACATCCACTCGATCATTAATCACCAGTGGAACTCCATAGCGCTGGGTAATCTGGTGCAGCTTTTTTGCCGTCTCAATCAAGACCCCGGTATCGTTAGTCTTGTCCCGGTATTGCACTATTGTAGCGCCTTTCGGACCAGTCAGCAGTCAGTCTCAAGAGCCTTAACAGTCAAGTGATCATGATTACCTCCTTTAACAGCCTCTTCAACAACGGTGCATAAGTCCCGACCCTTGAGAATAGCCGGGGTCGAGTCTGTGACTAGATATACTGATAGATCGAGAGGTGGCATTGTTGTTTATTGTCTTCCTTCCCCGCCTTGTTAGTTTAGGGTAATATGTGGGGCCGGTTATAGTTGTGACACTGTGTAGCGACCCGAGGTATCACGCACGCACAATAAAATGGCAGCTTCTAAAGTTCTGGAATTGGAAGTCTTGAGTCCTGGCATTCCCGGTTGGGGTTAAGTGGGTCAATTTTCACTTCTACTATTTTTATTCTACGCACTTCTAACGATAAAGCAACGCCAAAATCACGCCTTACTGATGGGAAAATGACGGAGAAGTGAGGGTAAAAGCGCATGGACCCAGTTCCTAATAAGACCTAGACTCTCTTAATTATTCCTTGTTAGTTTTAGTCTATGAATGAGTGTCAAAGAAGTACAGAGTAAAATTATATCCGTGAGCACGTGCCTGATGACATAAGCAAGACCCGCTTTTAAAATCCTCTCCTTCCTTCTCCCACTTTGCCCCAATTTCTACCTCTCATCCGAATTTTTGGTTTCGACAACTGCGACGCCTACTCCATTATCCCTGCGTTTGCTGTTATACACAGTCTACGTTTTGAAATATACTCCTGGTTAGTAAGGTAACGCCACCATCACTTTCTTCAACCTTTCGCCACAGGGTATCCGATCTCTGACTCGGATTCCCTCAAGAACAACAGTCGTTCTCGTATCAAAGAGAATTCCACGAAGGCTCTTGACTGCGAATTTGTCTATGTATTCGTCCTCCGTGCAAAATTACGAACACCATCTGCCGCTCAAGCTGCAAACGTTTCGCGCGTTGAAACCTTGCAGTACCCACCTCAGATCTTGCGGTTGAATCCCTTGATCATTTTGTCTTCGCTGTAAAGTACTCGTGAGAAGTTACGCGACCCAAGTAGATTCTACCGCCTACAAACCTCATCTTTCAAAACCCCACGAACGCATGTCTTGTTCCGTCTTCAACTCTCCGGTCAAGATCTTCCCCCGTTTCCTTTTCACCACATCCCATCCTAAAAGCGCTTAAACAATCCAAATCGCAACCATGGCTACCGTCAACATTCGTCGCGATGTCGCCGATCCCTTCTACCGTTACAAGATGGAGCGTTTGCAGTCCAAGATTGAAGGAAAGGGCAACGGAATTAAGACCGTCATCGTCAATCTGAACTCGGTCGCTCAGTCCCTCAGCCGTCCTCCCGCCTACTTGATTAAATATTTCGGCTTCGAACTCGGTGCTCAGGCCAACGCCAAGCCCACTGACGAGCGTTGGATCGTCAACGGTGCCCATGACGCCGCTAAGCTCCAGGATTACCTCGATGGATTCATTTCCAAGTTTGTGCTTTGCAAGAAGTGCAAGAATCCCGAGACTGACGTTATTATTGGCGACGAGAAAATTACTCTGGACTGCAAGGCCTGTGGTCAGCGCTGTGACGTCGACCCCCGCCTGAAGCTGAGCACCTTCATCGTTCGCAACAACCCCAAGGGCGGAAAAAACAAGAAGGACAAGAAGGCCCGCCGCGAAGCCAAGAACGCTAAGGCCAACGGAGACAACGAGGCCAGCCCCGGCGATAGCAATGTGTCTGAGAACGGTGAAAACGGTGATGAGGATGATGCGCCCGATGCCGGCAGCGACGATGAATTGACTCGCCGCATTAAGGCCGAAGCCAAGGCTATTGCTGTTGAAAAGGAGATCAAGGATGATGAATGGGCTGTGGACGTTTCCGAGGAGGCCGTGAAGGCTCGTGCCAAGGATCTCCCCACCGACCTCCAGCGTTCTCTCGTTCTGGAGGATGCCGAGGAGGACGGCGCCCAGCCTCTCGAGCAGCTCGGGAGCTGGATTGTGGACACCGCTTCCAAGAAGGGCGGTGTGACGAACGTCACCGACGTTGAAATCTACAAGAAGGCCAAGGAACTCGGTATTGAGGGCAAGTCTAAGACTGTTGCAGTTCTCGCTCAGAGCATCTTCGACGAGAAAATTGTCAAGCAGATCGAGGACCGTGCCCCTCTGCTCAAGAAGATGATTTCCTCTGACCGCCACGAGAAGGCATTCCTTGGTGGTTTCGAGCGTTTCGTCGGCCAGGACCACCCGGCCCTCATCACCCAGGTCCCTGCCATTCTGCTGGCTTACTACCAGAATGAGGTTCTGTCTGAGGAGGCCCTCAAGACATGGGGTGCTAAGGCCAGCAAGCGTTATGTTGACATCTCCATCAGCAAGAAGGTCCACAAGGCCGCTCAGCCCTTCCTGGAGTGGCTTGAGAATGCGGAGAGCGAGGACGAGTCTGAGGAGGAAAGCGACTAGATGTCGAACACTCTTCGCATTCATTATGGACACTCTCAACTCATTTGCTTATTCTCATGGACTTTAAATATTCTGATTTGCATGGATTACTTGCGTCAGCTTCAGTTCGCTTAGCTCTAGCTTATTTTACCAATCGCCTCTCATTTTTTACTCTTGAAAACTACAATCATTTGAAGGTTACCTCGTAAAGTAGTAGTCATAAATAGTAGTACAAAGTAGTCATTGAACCCAGCTCAACTCTACCTAAAATGCTAAATTGGCGAACTTGAGACGTTCGCCCGAGACGTCCAAGGTCATAGGTGAAGTCGTAGCTTTGGGAATAGAGGTGTCCATCTTGGATCTCTCGCGTGCAAAGATGAACCAGGTCAGGTCAGCATTCCACGTCTCCATCGCTTGAATAGCCTTTTCAACAGAATCAATCACATCCTTTTGTGCCTCGTCAGTCTTCAAAGTAGATCCACTTCGTCGAGAATCCTGTGAATAATACGAATAATACGCTGGACCAATGAACTGTGATATCCAAGCACCGAGCATCTCGCAGATACAGTCGCCGACGTCTTGCGACACACGAACACGCGTGAGGACTGTGAGGAAGAGGGAGACTAAAGCACGCCATAGAGCATGCTCTGGTGTGAAAGCTCGGGATCCGGCTTGTATAGGAGATAGAGCGAGAGAAGAGGTGATTGAAAAATTTAGTTCATCCTCTGGCTCCAGATCCTTGGGTTCGGGCTCAAGTGCAATTTCTCGGATCAGAGATACTGGTCCGACTTTGGCCTTCTGAGTACGACGCTTGTTTGCTGCTTCGGCATCTTGGGATACCTTTGTCCAAACTCGTTTGTACAGACGTTCCCAGCGTGAGAACTCCGTTTCAATGCGCGTGGACATGAAGTCACCTGCACCTTTACACATCGCTTCGATGACCTGGCAAGCAGTTATCATCACGAATGTTTCTTCCTGGAAGGTGTTGGTGGGTTGGCTAGAGGCAAGACTGGGCCTGGTAGAGGGTTGAGTCACAAGGCTGGTTGAGGATGGTCCATTTCCGAGTGTTGAAGGGAAGTTTATTCTGGAGGCCACCGATGGCCAGAGATCGTTTATGAGAGGGAGGAAACTGTTTTCGTTCTGCGATAGTGTCGGGAGCGTATTAATGAGGATGGATAGTAGGAAGCGTCGGAGATTTGGTGATGGTGAGGAGAGGTGGGGTGGAATTGATTTGACAATGTGCACGAGGAGCGAATGAGTCTTGCTCAATGGCTTCTCACTGTCCTCTGGTTCTGTAGGTTCTGGGAGTGGCTCATCGGATTCAGCTTGGTCCAACAGTTCCTCAATGGATTTAGGCTCGGGTGTTGGCTTGCCATAGGTTTCGGACCATGGCTTCTTCGGATGGGTAGAACTTCCTCCAGTCTCAATCTCTTCTCGGTCATGTTCATCCCGCTTCGCTCTGCGCTTTGCAATATCGGCGGCTACGGCAGCCATTGACAGCGGCTGGTACTGAGTTTTGCGGAAGTCTTGCGGACCACTCTCCCGACCTTCGTCGATTGTCAGGACCGATTGCTTCTTGGAGCCTTCTTCAACAATGGCTCCAAGTGCCTTGAAAAGCATCTCTGTTAACTTCGGATAGCCGTGGTGTAAATCCACAATACCAAATATGGCATCAATCACATCGTCTAAATATGGAATAAGACGTGCCCCACAGAGCTTGGTCATCATGAAGAGGACGCTGGGTGGGTAAGGTGACACATCAAAGGTAAGCAGTTTCATTGAAACTGAGTTTACCAGGTAATCGACGTTTTCAATAATCATAGTGCTGGTATCAGGGTACTTACAAGCTCTAGTCAGGATGTTCAGACAGGTCATGGCATGTCGTTGGAGGACAGGATTGTTGGACGCGAGAAGCTGTAGGGTGGGGTAGAGAGCCTCCATGAGCTCAGGCCGAAAAGCTTCACCAAGTTGTTGACCCTGGAGAGCGAAAGCCTCCAAAGCCAGTGCTGATATCCGCCAATCGCCAGATTCTTCAGTTGCTGGGTCCGTCAGGATCATCAAAGAGGTGTAGTAAAGCTCATCAATCAGCTTAGCTCGACTTAAGCCAGAAAATCCCTCTTCTATATGATCGGCTTCAATAAAATCATCGAAATCAGCGGTGGATTGTGCCTGTGCGCGCAGAGATGTTACAGCTAGCCAGAAGGGGCCAATAGCAGATTCATCTGGCTTCGGATGCACACGATCGACAACATGACGGGTAACAGCATTTCCAGACTCAGACGAGTTCAGCTTAACGATCATGGATTGTAAGTCTCTCAAAGTTTGCTGGTCGCTCCGGTGATCCAGAAGAATGGGTGCGAAGTTGAGGGATGGATTTGACTGAGACCCGAATACTTCGATATCTAAATGTGCCAACCCTGTGGAACTGAGTGGCTGGAGTGCGTTGGCTTTGAGCTTCACCACAGCACTAACACTATCACATAGACTAGAAGCCAACTCATTTGTGAGCAGCCCTGGGTGCGATTGGACCGTAGATATTACTTGGTAAGCGGTTGAAATTTGTCTAATTCCCCTTTGCTTGAGAGTTTCATCGTTGCTTTGCATGTATCGTGGGAAGGAGACAAGCCATGAGTGTAGCGATTCACCGAGATGATACACAACTTCGGGATATGTAGTTGCGAGATACAGAAGGATCTGGTAAGATTCCTTAGATCTTTCGTCTTCCATATCAGCATCAACTAGGACCACCACTGTTTCCACCATGAATCGAACAGAGTCCTTGAGTGTGACTGGACAATGCTGAATAATCATCATACAGAGTTCCATCAGTGCAGCCTGAACTTCACGACGCTGATGGCGCCGGATTTGGATGATATTAGCCAATGCAAGCTTAATTTGTGTCGTAGTGGCCTTCAGCCATGATTCGTCTAGGACGAGCGAATTAGGGTTTGATGAGGTCGGGGCGTTTTTCTCAGTAACAACACTATCACTGAGTACATTCTTCAGTAGATATGTCAAAGCTTGGAGGCAAGACTCTAGTAGCTTGTATGGGCGCCGAGTCTGGGTAGTAGGTTTGACAACTTTGGCCAATGCAGAGATCGTTCGCGGCATGACACTTGCTAGTACCACACGATCCTGGACTCGGTTAAGAAGAGCAAGTAGAGCTTTGCCAGCTGCAATGGACACTTCCTGCGATCTATCGTCCATTATCCCTTCCAGCAAAAGATAAACTATCTGGTCGACAACTGTAGCTGTGCCGATCTCATGGAAGATGGTCCGTGCCGATAGTGGGCTATCCAAAACGTTGAATACGACACACAGACAATCAAATCCCGCAATGGAGAGTTCTTCCGGTGCTTGGGTCTTGGTTTGGGACTTCTCAGTCACTTGGGGTCCACCGACGATCAACGTGAGCAGTATAATCAACTGCTTGCCCAATTCTGGTGACAACCTCTGTCGCCATCCGTGAAGAACCAATGTCTTCAAACACTGTATCGCTAGCTCCACACACCGTGCCGGAAGTTTTTGTGTCTGATTGAAGATATGCGTGAGTGGGAAGAACGCATATTCTGCAAGTTTCTCGTCGAGCGCATTGTTCTCTGAAAGCTTCTGTAAGGCATCATGTAGGGGATTGAGGGCTCGTAGAACTTCTGAAGCTGATGCCTGATTCGCACGGAAAGCAAGCCCTTTTGAGCTAAGCTCAACACACGGTGTTCGTAGCTATAGAGTGTGTCAGCACCTTGACTTAGTATCCAAGAGGGGCACCCTACTAGCTTGAACGATTCTTGCTGCTGGTTCTCCATTGCGGTAGGTATTTTCAGCAAGGCATGAGTTTTTGACGTCCATATGATACAATCAGTTTGGCAGTCGGGTGGATGCAATGATCTTAACTACAAGACCGTATTGATAGAATTGAAGCGGGCATAACACTCCCCGCCCTGTTTCTGCCAGTGAAAATAAGCGGTGAGGATAAGATTTCTCGATAAGGTAAGATAAAGAGTCACCTGACTTTGCGCGTCACGTCGCGTCAGATCTGGAAGCTGCCTGGATCGACGTTCTGGCAGCCTAGGATTTTTGGTAATGGAAGTATTTTAAGGTCGCAAATTACCGCTAATTCACCACCTGTCTATGTACCCATTTCACTTATCAGGCGTATCATCACTTTCGCCATCCCAATTCAAAGTTCGCGTGAGAGTTGTACAATATCTCAGATCCCAGTGCGCAACCAGCTCCAAATTCAGCCGAGGCTTCTATTGGACCTCTAATCTATCTCTCTCGCGCGGTATTATACATCCAATTACATCCAGCATCATGGCGGATGATAAGAGCAGGAAACAGGCTACACTGGGGTATGTTCGCGATTCTCAAATGACAATTGGGTGCGTCGGCATTACGACCTATGCGGTTGTAGGGTCCATCGATAGGTTGATTATAGCTAACGTGTATAATTTACATTAGGAGATTTTTCGGATCTAATGCAGCAAACCAAGCCCCAAAGAAGCAAACAACCTTGGCATTTGGTAACAAGAAGGCGAAGACTGATGCTGCAGTAGAAGCGGCGGATGAAGCCACTCAGGATGAGAAACATGACTCATATTTTAAGATAGAGAATGGAGTTGAAGCTACAACCGACACTAACTTGGATGAATCGGAACCAATTAAAGGCTTGAAACGCGAAAAGACCGATGAAGCGGAAGAGAGTGATGTGTCTGATGTCCAGCCAGTTTCCAAGCGCCAACGCAAATCGAAGCAAACTCCCCCTCCTCCAAATAAGGAGTCATCTCCTAAGAAATCAACTCCCAAGAAATCATCTCCCAAGAAAGAATCACCTGCCAAGAAATCCAACCAAGCAAAGCCCAGTTACGTGAAAGACAAATCGCCATTAACAAACCTCGCTGAGAAAGCAATTGACTCCGAAGAAGTCGCCAAGAAAGAAAGTGAATCCGAGAAAGATGAAGAAGAGCTGTCAGAAAGCGAAGAAGAGGTCGAAGCTAAGCCTCTTGCCAAAAAGAAGACAATGGCGAAGGTACAGGCTACAGTGACGGCCAGCGGCCAAGACCCATACCCAGACTGGACTCCTGGCAAGCCGGTGCCGTACGCTGCACTTTGCACCACCTTTTCTCTCGTTGAGATGACAACAAAGCGCCTAATAATCATGGCCTATTGCTCTCGTTTCCTGCAGCAAGTGCTCCGTCTCACTCCCAATGACCTGCTTCCAACGGTTCAATTGATGATCAACAAACTGGCAGCAGATTATTCAGGAATCGAACTGGGTATAGGAGAGTCTTTGATAATGAAAGCCATCGGTGAAAGTACTGGCCGAAGTCTGGCTGTCATTAAGAGTGACCAACACGAGATCGGTGATTTAGGATTGGTGGCTGCTAAAAGTCGATCCAACCAACCCACCATGTTTCCCCCTCCCCCCTTGACCGTCCGAGGCGTGCATGAGCGTTTGCTAGAAATTGCCAAGCTACAGGGACATGGTTCCCAGGACAAGAAGATTGCGGGAATTAAAAAACTCCTCTCATCGGCCGATGCCGCATCTTTAGGCAAAGGTAACAAGGGTGTTGATATCACCAAGGATAAGGGAGGACCCAGTGAGACGAAGTTTATCATCCGTTTTCTGGAGGGAAAGCTCCGACTAGGTCTTGCAGAAAGGACCGTGCTTGTTTCATTGGCACAGGCACTTGTCTCTCATGAGGCCGCAGTTGCAGATAAGAAGGCTCCATCTCCAGAGCAGATGGCCGAAGGAGAAGCCATCTTGAAAACTGTGTACAGTGAACTTCCCTCTTATGAAATAATCATACCGGCTATCCTCGAGAACGGTCTTTTCAAAGTTCGAGATGTTTGCAAGCTGCAGCCGGGTATTCCACTGAAGCCCATGCTGGCCAAACCTACGAAGTCTATTACTGAAGTTCTTGACCGTTTTGAGGGTAAGGAGTTTACATGCGAGTACAAGTACGACGGAGAGAGAGCCCAAATTCATTATGTCGCACCATCAGCCATTCACAAATATCCTGTGACAACAGCGACTCTGCAGAAGGATAACAAGGGATTTTCCGCAATCTTCTCACGAAACTCAGAGGATTTGTCGAAGAAATACCCCGATGTGCTGGGCAAGCTATATAGCTGGGTTAATGATGATGTGGACAGCTTCGTGTTGGACTGTGAGACTGTTGCTTGGGATACAGTCACCAAGAAAGTTCTTCCTTTCCAGCAACTTATGACTCGTAAAAGAAAGGATGTCAAAGCAGAGGATGTCAAGGTCAAAGTTTGCGTATACGCTTTTGATCTACTTTTCTTTAATGGAGAGGTAAGCAATTCCTATCGTCCATATATCATTTATTTGTGCCAACAAACTTTACAGCCTTGTGTTAAGAAGTCTCTTCGGGAGCGTCGGGAGCTGCTGCATAAATGCTTCCAGCCCGTGGAAGGGGAGTTTCAGTTTGCTCAATTCGGCAACACCAACGTTCTAGATGAGATCCAAATTATGCTGGAAGACAGTGTCAAGGCCTCGTGCGAGGGTCTCATGGTGAAGATGCTGGACACCGCAGAGAGCGGATACGAGCCTAGCAAGCGGAGTCGCAATTGGTTAAAGGTATGGATTCTGCAAATTTATCAATATTTTTCATGTACTGATTTATTCGCCAGGTTAAGAAGGATTACCTTGCCGGCGTGGGCGACTCACTTGATCTAGTCGTCCTCGGTGCATACCACGGCCGCGGAAAGCGTGCTTCATGGTATGGTGCTTTCCTTCTGGCTGCCTACAACCCCAACACAGACACATACGAGACCATTTGCAATATCGGAACTGGATTCTCTGAGGCTCTCCTTGAAGAGTTACACACAGAACTCTCTGATCTGGTCATTGACCGGCCGAAACCCTTCTACACTCACTCCACTATTCCCAAAGACCAACCTGATGTATGGTTCGAGCCACGATTAGTGTGGGAGGTCAAGACGGCCGACTTAACGCTCAGCCCCCGGTACAAGGCAGCTGCAGATGAATTTGATAGAACCACGGGAGGTGGAAAGGGAGTTTCCCTGCGTTTCCCTCGATTTATCAAATCCCGTGATGACAAAAAGCCCGAGCAATCAACAACTACTCGAGCTGTTGCTGAGATGTACCGTAAACAAGAATCAGTGGCCAAGGAGACCTCGAACAAGAAAGGCGTGGATGATGATTTCGAGTATTAAGTACTTGATGACCCTTTTCATTGTCATTGTTCCAGTTATTACTAGTACTCTAGCAAATATCTAGGTAACAATTAAATCATTGCATAATTACTTCGTCTTTATCTATTACAGGTTCACAACAATTACAGTAACACCCTTCCAAGGTCAAGAGTTGGCTCTATGCGTTGAGAAGACGACATTATAGAGCTGATATATCTCTTCAGCCATGCTAGTGGACCTACAGGTATTAACCACACATACTATGTCGGTTTCATGCGAAGCCAGAGACCTCGGGCATCCTCAACCTATACTTTGTACTGCCCAGGTACATTTTAAGCGGTGGGAGCCCCGGAGATTAGATAACTCACTGCGGCAGAACGAGAAGAGGGTATATAATTCATAAATTTGAGTTCACTTATGTCCCTTCGGGGAAATAGTCAGATGAGAAAATACAGAGAAGATTAGCATGGCCCCTGCACAAAGGATGACACGCTCAATCAAAGAGAAGCTACCAATTTTTTTTTTTACTAAACGGCCTTAATTAGGGCGTTATGAGGTTATTTCTATTTTGACAAAAAATGGAGGTTAGGCGTTCGAAACTGACTGCGCGCAACCTTTTTTATTATTAATCTATCAACAGGTAACTAAAGACGCTGCTTAGACGCAGTCGCACTACCGCAAACGCTCGTGTTTATTATACAGTGCCAAAGCGTCACAAGAACTTCAAACTTCAGTGCACTCTCTTCTCTACCCACAGCCAACAAGGGCTGTCAAGCAATGAAAAAAGTATGAGAGTGATAAATCACAATTCTGATCATCAAAAATTACCTAGCCAAGCTAGGTGATAAACTGACTGATAGTTTTCAGTCACAAAGGAATCTCAGAATGCTCTTCACTGATTACTTCCAACCGGGAATGGTAGCGGAGGAAATTAGCATAGATAAAACCCAATTGGGGATTATCACCGCCCCTTGCACCAAGATGGAGAAGAAAGAAAGAGGAATGAAAGTGGGAAATCTCTGCACTTAAAGGTCCCCGGGGCAGGCCGTAGAGATCAATGCGGCGATGACCTCGCCGACGACATCATGGACGACATCATGGACGACATCATGGGCGACATCATGCGTTCGAGGTTATAGATGGTTGAGGGTGCAATCCAGAGCTGTGAAGAACCGTGGAGGGCTATGGCATTTATCAAGTCGATGCCAACTAATCATTTTCTTTGCTTCATCCGAAATCTAGCCCAATATTGGAACCAGCAGTCACTTCCCCATCCTCGTAACCAGTGGAGTGGATAAAGAAATGTTATGTTTTCTCTTTGAGCAAGAGTACTCCAGTGAAGAGAAGCTCTCGTATCAACAGTCAGATGCGCTGATACACAGCCGAAGACGAATATGCAAGTCCCCAAATGCACCAACCAGTTCACTGGGGTGAGCTCATTCAGAAGACATGGACATCGGGGGTGGCAGTTTCCTCGGGCTTGCAGGTAGCTCGCTGATTGCTTCTACTGCCGCAATAACGGCTGAGTACAATAGCTTTCAATGCTGTCTTCTCGGGAACTATCACGAAAGGGACAAGAAGTGGCCAAGGACAGAATTCCCAATACTAATCTACTAATCTGATGGATTCCTCCATTATCTGTCGCCGGAGTCAAGAATTTCGAGTCACCTTATCCTCCCCACAGTGATATATCAGACTATACGATTTCTCCAGATGGCAAATGGATTGCGTTCCTGAGACCAAGAGCAAAGCCACAGAATTGCCGAAAGTGAATAACGCGGCCTCGTATATCTATCTCGTTCCTGGCTCCAACGAACCTAAGGCAATAAATGTTCCGTTTAGCCCAGGCACAGCTTACGGTGTTAGAAGAGACTCTGCCACTCTGGTAACCTGCTTTTTCGCCGGATAGTAAGTTTTCAGCCTGCGCACATTCAGATGACAGACGTTGCGTGCTAGGCGGACCGTCGCATAAGGGAGGATTACCGGCGCTGGAACCCATCTGCTCCGAGAATATTTTGCGGTTCGAGACGATATCCTGGCGTCGAGGCCCAGCACCTGAATGCTGTAAGTTTGTGTCAAACTACCGTGCTTACAGTTAGTTAACTTTAAGCCATGATTATCAAGAAAAACATGTTCTGAAGGGAAGAGGGAAGCCATTGTATGATATAACCAAAATGAATAAGATTTCACTCCAAGCATTTCTTCCATTTGAAAATTCAGTCTACAAGTACACAGATGTACATTCCAACGCCACGGGGTAAACGCCAAAGATTCACAAAGGACGAACTCAAAGTGCACCGCTATGGAGAAGATGGTACGAACAAGAAGGGCACATCACAGGGGGAAAAAATCCAGGCGGGGTGAAATCTATAGCTCATGGTGGCCACGATTGCGGCTCGGGTCATCCTTAGACATGAACCCGCCAGCACGAATCCGAAGAATGAAGTTGATTAGAACGACCGCTACGAGACCAATGCTGACGAAGGTAGGTCCCCACTTCTCATAGTAGACGTGCTTGACGTCACGACGCTTGCGGATTTTGTCCACACGCCACATGTACAGCATCAAGCTATAGACTAGGGCCATGGCAGCGAGGATGGTGAAAGACCATGCGGAAATTAGGGTGGTAAGGTCAACTCCGAAGTTCAGGAGGGCGGCGGCAATACCGCCCAGGATGATGGAGAACTCGAGCCAGGAGAGGAAGGTTCGCTCGGCGGCAAAGTAAACCTTAGGCTCGACACGGACGGGGACGAAGATACCTGTGAGAAATTAGTGCCAGCTCGAAATAGAATTTATGGATAAAGGGGAAAACTTACGCTTGCCTGGAGGCGCATGGAAGCGCTTTAAAGAGCGCTTGGTACCGGGCATTACGGCGATACCACGCTGCTCTGGGGCGGGGAGTGAAGTGGGTCGTGGGCGAGGGATCACGGCGAACAGGCCCTGCGCGGCAAAAGAACCAGCTTTACACACGTAGTGCTTAACCAACTGCTCGACGTAGTAGGCACCTCCAACACGACGGGCTTCCTCAAGCTCATCGTCGTCGTATTCATCGTCAGAATCATAGATAGGGTAATCTTCTTCACCCGCTAGAGGCTCAACTGCAATGCGTTCCTCGATGTCCAGCTCGTTTCCATTGGTCCCTGGGAAGAAAAGACGATGGGTGGTGGGTTCTCCATTGAAAACGGTTACTGAGCCGTCATCTAGAGGAGTCTCATCGTCGTCCGAGTCATCATCGTTGGCAGATATCGATGTGCTGGTCGCTGGCCGCTGAATACCATAGTGTCGGCTGGCCGGCTTTCTAATATCCACGTCCATCTGAGGGTACCAGAAGGGAAGCAAGCTGATACGAATTGGGAACAGGGTAGCCGTTCCGTGGATGAATTTACTGAACTTGGGCACTGCTTCCACCAGATGACTAGAGGTCAGGTCGCGAATCCACTGAGGCGGCGCCTGGCCAGCCTGAGTCTGCAGCTTCACTTCCAGCACCGCATAGGGAAATCGATCAATATCTTCGGGAGGCAGCTGAGAGAAGGGGAAATCGACTCCAATATCCATACGACGCCAGTTATCTCCGGAGCGGCGTTGGCCGTCCAAGTTGTCCTCGCGAACCATGGTAAGTTCCGTATCGAGAGAGATACGCACACGGGCATCACCGGGAAGCTGAAATGCCGTACGGTGGTAGAAAGTACGAGTGACTGGCTCCAGACGACGGGTGAGGACCCGGTACTGGATCTCACGGGCCAATTGCTCAAGATCATCGATCTCTGCCTCACTCTTCTTGCCCTCCTTACGCATCTTCTCAAAGATCTGCTCCACGGTCATGCGACCTTCCAGGTACGCATTGACGTTCTTCTCCTTGAGAACAAAGCGCGCCTTGACGGACTTCTCGCCAGTCCAATCTTCGCGATGCGTTTTGCGTTCCACAAAGATCTGGTCGCTCTCCATGCCGCCATACCAGCGAAGTCGGATTGCTTCTGCGCCCTCAGTTTTCTTCAATCGACCCTGGTACAGCTCCCAAGTCTTAGTGTTATCGAAGTAGATAGACGAAATGGCCGTATCCTTCTCCTCAAACTCCTTGCTGGCATTGAACACTAGCACTGGCAGGTGCTTGAGGACCACCAGCTTCAGCTCCGTGATGTTATCGCGATGGACCCAGTACTTTGTGGTCTGTCGTACGAAGTTTTGCTGGGATCCACCGGCAGAGGAGTCACCCTTGACTGGGTTACCCTTCGTGCGGACCAGATCATAGAGTTTGGAGAGCTTGATCACGAAAGCATCGTAGTTATCTTTGAAGAAAGGCTTCGCATTAAGACGGGCTGCAAACACAGGTTTTAGATGCCATTGGGTTTCTTTCTGCGATACATGTTAGCGAGTGTGTTTGGAGTGAACTACGCGGGAAACGCTAATATCAACATACGTCATGTTTCTTGATGATTTTCTGGAAGCCAGTATAGTTCAGCTGGGTAAACTTGGCCAGATCGTGTACATCAGCGATGATGTCACTGAGGATTTGCTCTAATCGCAGGAAATCGTCGTCTGTGGGCGGCGGCGCAGGGTGGCGGCGGGCGCCAGTCTGGTTATCGAGGAGAGAGACAACTTCGTTAACATCAACCTCGCTGGCCTTGATGCGCTCTACAATTTCTTCACTCTTCTGCTTCTGGAAAATGAAGACCTTCTCGAGCTCGCTTTCGAGGAGAGTGACAAAATGCGTCTCGTCGTCCTCGGTCCAATCTCGACGGGCGGGTTTTAAATTGTCGGGGGTTGGCTGGGTGACGAAATCGGTTTTGAGGGCCTTCTTGAGCTCATCGTAGGCGATATAGTAGGGATGATACTCCCGGATCATGGAAGATTGAAGGTGCTCGCCGAACCTGGTCGTGAGAGAAGTCAGTCATTATGCGGGGAAGCATTCCTGAAGCTTGGGAATGGCTGGCGGAAGCTTCTCTCAGAGATCTAAAAGTCTGCTGGTTGAATGGGATGAAATATAGCAGCAACTTACCGCATGATGGGCAATGCTTGAGAAAGGTCAATGGTTCAGAGCAAGAAGAGAACTTCGGGGGCGGAGCGAGAGAAATTGAATGCTCGCCGGAAGCGGTCTAGCCTCAATACAACACTCGATATCTTGTTCTCTTTACGACGTACCTCAAAAGTTGCACAGTTTGATTGAATTTATGGAGTACATAAAAAATGTAAAGTCCTAAAGCCAATGGATTGTCCACCCTTGGCCATTGTCGACCCCCGATTGGTTCTCGCTGAATTAGTTACGTCCGCAACTGGATGAGTCAGCTTTGTTATGAACCACTTGTCGGAGCTGGTTGATGCACGTGCTCTACTACACGTCGCGCTAAATTTGTATAAAACTATCACTCAAGACTGTGGTTGGACTGAATTTACGATATCATACTCAACCTAGGAGATACTGACTTTGTCAAGCTCTTACTATATTCTGCTCTTCTATTTATCTAGCCAATACGGAGCAATCCGTAATTGATGATGCCTGTGATCCTTCAAAGATCTTCCCACTAAATTGGTGGATCTTAGCCGCAGCAAAGTGGAGTTCACTAACGGGCATAGTGGCGGAAAAGTACATGTTTCGTACATGTTTCCCGGGTAAATCCCTATTACACGCTAAACAAAGCACACGACACATTTCCTCATTGATGCAAATCTTGACCTTTTTAATGGCCTCAGTCATGTCCTTTGTTGGCCAAAACAGCCGAAGGAATATAGCCAAGATATCTAAAAAAAAAAAAAGAGATTATTGTTCTTTGGTTTTTATACCACGCTTATTCCAAATTTAGGAGATATACACGGGTGTACACAGTAAGATAGAAAGTTTTATCATAGTCAGATTGGTATAGGGGTTAATTGTGATCTTATTTAGCCCCAGAACGCACAAAACCAGAATAAATTAACGTATTTTTATTTTTATTCTTATTTTATTTTTAAATAGTAAGGAGGATATTTACTTCAAGACCAGTGCCAAGATGGCTTATTCGAACTCCGACTTTTGAAATAAGCTTATCTAGTGTTAGAGCGAATAAGATCAAAAGTATCCAAGATTTCCCATACGGTTACCAGTGGTCGAAGGTAATGGCTAAGCAGCTTCTTGCCGTCTAGAATTACGGGTGGAAAGGAAGCTGTAATTTTCGGTGTCATTTTCACAGGTCCTTATATCTTATATGTAAATATTTCGATCTAGATGGTTCATGAATACCTCATTTACACCAAGTATCTAGTGACGGACAACGTGGACCATTGTAGTGAAGATTTAGTTGACACAAACAAGGCTGAACAACGAATTATAAATCTATACCAAGGCTGCTACCTCGGCGGCGTCGCTCTTTCCACTCCTTATCACTTGGCTTGTGGGTCAGAATGCAGTTGTTTGAGTGTAACATTGCGAAGCTCCTAGAAAACGGGACGAGCTCAACGGCATGATCATCATCTTGGGAACCACATTCCTCCCTGGAGCCTACAATGAGCTCAACGGCATGAACATCATTTTGGGGCCGCACCCCTTGGTCCCCACATCCGATAAAAATTAAAATAGTTTGATGAAAAAGAAACGTGGTATTGTGCGTGCGCACAGGACAAGGAAACCCCAAATGGGATCAGCAGCGTCTTTCAAAGCGTTATCTGCACTGTCGTCCGAATAGGTATCGATGCTGGGAAAGATGTTGGGATCCATACTTGTCGTTTGAGGTGCCATTGAGCTTTCTGACGATGACATCCCTGAACCACATCTGTGGCTACATGCCATGCAGCTAAGTCAATGGTCGAGACATAGTTCCTTAGGTACGTTGACTAATTCGCTTGATCGAGGCAGACATTGTATCGCTCTGAATGAGCTCAACAACGTGAGCATTAACATCCGCGCGTGCGCTCGAATCGCATTTTAATCCAATGGAAAATCCAATGGAAGATTCATCAAGCAACTGTTGAAAAGATAGGAAAAAATTGGAAATTTTGTGTAACTTCCAGCTGTAAGCTGCGACCCTGCCTTGTAAAGTACATCGCAGATTTCTGACTTCAGAGGATTGGAAGTCTGACGATGGTTAGAAATGAAGGTAGAGGTGGTGATGAAAGTAGAAGGAAAAAATGATTTGATGGGTTTATAAGCGGAAGAGAGGATGAGGGCCTTGGGCAATGAATATATAGAATGTAAAATGGAAGTGAAGTGAAATCTCAGGATAAGAGGGAAACGACATGTAAAAGGTACGAGATATTGCGAGTGATGTGCAACCTGGGACTATTGCTTTTTGGAAACCCAGATGAACAGGACACTTTGGGAAAACTCACCATTCGATCAGCTAACCTCGGAGGGTTCTGAGGTCAAGCATTCTCAATGACAAGAGAAAAATATAGTATCTAGGTGGTAACAGGATCTTCTGTGTCTGGGCTGGACGGTTGAAGTTGAGTGTGTTAGATGAGAAAGTAAAGAAGATGATAGGATGATATAGATATATATATATGGAAGATCAGATTGGAAGGCATGGAGTGCAGATACCATTGGGAAAGTGAACCTAGAATACAAGAGAGGAAGAATGAGATCATAGCAATAAAATAGTGTTTCTAAACATTTATACAATTCGTATAACTACAATGGAATTGGAAATATGCATTGGACACATTTGTATTGCCATGGTCAAAAGGGGATTCGGTTTCCTTCCAAAAACAACCCAGCTAAAAATTGACACCATTCCGGTATTATCATATCAATAGAGATACAGCCTTTACCAGAATAACCTTGGAAATCACTTACTTTACAGTGACTTGTTTGGCTTGGTAGGACGTAGCACTTTCATCGCACGTGCAGGTGCGAGCTTAACGGCCTTCGGGTCAGGCTTCGGGGGATGGTTCCAGGCATCCCACAGGGCAGCAGTTCCGGATAGGCCCTTATTGATAAAATCAGGACCCACTAGCGGAGGCGAAACAGCCGTGTTGATTGGGGCTAATTCAACAGTACCCTTCAGATGCTGCTTTGGCACCTTTATAGCCTCATCAATTGGCGCCTGAGCAGACTCAGGAACTGCTGAAGACTTTGAAGGAGCACTGAGTGGACTCTCTACTCCTTCCGTCTTGCCTTCACGCTCCACGCCAGGTGTGGAGGGAAAGTCAGGGTGGGTCACATCAACTCCAGTAGAAAGAAACTTGAATGTGTCCTCTTTTTCAGGGCGCACAAGAGGGACAGTGATGCGCTGATGGTCATCATCCAACATCAAAAGCTTGTCCTGGGAAAAGAGCAGGTCGGCACTGTGAGCGCGGAGCACATCACTTCCAATGATTATCTGAATGCAGTCGTGCTCGGCGTTCTCTTCGCGAATCCAAAATTTGATTGTAACCGATGGGATTTGAGGGCCCTCCATATGCACTGAGGGATTGTGAACACGGGCCTCTGGGAGATATAGAGGGATTTTGATGAAGCCTTCGTCCTCCACCAAGCCCTTCAAGCCAAGTTTACGAAGTGTAACAGTCCCGATGGACGACGAGTAGGAACCCGAGCAGACAGCAGCATATAGCAGTGTGTCACTCGAATAATTGGTTGTCAGCCAGCAACGGATGATGGAGGGAACGGGGCCCATCACAAAAAATCCCGGGGGAGGGGTTATAGGCGACCAACTGTCAAAATAATGTGCCCAGAGTGGATTGGTGTCCAGACCCAAGCTGTTGGTTCGCGCGAGGAAGGAGTTTCCACCATCCGATCGATGCGATAGAGAGCGGTCGGTCAGGGCCACGCCTCCCATGCTACTACCAGGACGAAGCGGGGTGTCATAGTTCGACCGGGAAGTGTGTCCATAATGACCGCTATTGGCAGTCTTATCAAATCGTACGCTGTTTGCACGCGACGCACCACGTCGAGGTTGCTCTTCACCGTCGAGACCTCGGGCAGAACTAGCCGTTCCATGTTCGAATCCCTTGAATGCGTCGGATGGCGCGTGCAAGGTCGAATCTAATACAAATTAAGGATCGGTCAGAATGGTTCCAACAGACTCAAGGCAATAAGATTGAAGATCTTACCCGTCTCAAGAGAACCCCCTACCACGGTAGGGCACTGGGATAAAGGTTCCCATATGCTTTTCACCTTCACAATCTCGTCAAGGTGTTGCTCGATACCGTCCATCCGATGATCCATGCGCCGAGCATTCTCAAAGTCGGCGATTTGAAGCCGCTTCACTTCCTCAAGGATACGCCAGATTTCGGATCGGGAGACATAGTTGTGGTGAGGATCCATGGGTATCGCTTGTGAGTAAGGGTCCCAACAAATCAAACCTTCTGTCCCTTGAGACAAAAGCTCAAAGACTGGTAACTTTCATCAATGATAACTGACCAATTCTTCCAACGACTGAGTATCTGCTATTATCCCCCTCACCTTCAAGAGTGCGACGACCCACGGCCCACGGCCGTCCACCTAACTTGGATTGCAAGGGTTTGGATATTCAGTGCACAGGATGTACTAATAGGGTACTGGATATTATACCATGGAATATGAGTGAATCAAATGGGAAGGTTATATCGTTGGTAGTTGGTCAAGATAGGAAAGAGCGTTGACAATAACGTAGGAGGAGCGGGGGTGGAGAGAGAAGGTGTATCGAAGAGGAAGGTCGTGTCTTAAACCTAAAAGGTAGTCAGACGATATCGACTCATGCAAACTTCAAGCAAATAAACAGGAATAAAGTAAGAAGAAATCAAAGGTTGTGTAAATATTTGAAGTGTTTAGATGAGATCATAAACAGTACAGAAACGGGCGTCATGCGGGCAGTTGATCTAGACCGCCTATGCTCCACTAACGGCGGACTTTTATACTTACGGAGTACAGAACCTCCACCTGCAACATCTTTTAAATAGTAATGCAAAATTTTACATCTATAAGCTTCAAATGATGCTACTGCTGAAATAAACATTGAGACTCTTTTATTCATGCCCGTTTTCTCTTCTCCTTTTTTTCTTCTTCATCCTTATGTATGTGTACGTACTACCCGTGAGGCCATATATGAGGCTGTACCATTGCAGCAGAACTAAAGTTTCGTCTTCATAAAATATTGGCCTACAGACAGGAAGAAGTTTAGGAACCAAATTCTCATTCTGCTTCTTTTCATTATTTGCCAAGGCAACCTTCAAAAATTCAAACAGCTTTATTTAGGGGCTTCATCCCAAGCAGGAAATACCATTGGAATATTCTCCGGCAACTGATCAGGCCATTTAGATCCGATAGTCCTCATAACTTCATCATAAACAATTTGATATCCAGCGGGAGTCAGGTGTAGTCCTATACCAGTCAGTGTCAGGTCAGATAAGCCAAGGTCAATAACCTACCATCTGTGAAAAGACTGGCAAGCTCTTTATTACTGGGCAAGTCACGCGATCCAACTAGAAGTTGACCTTCCTTCCAGCTAACCTTGTTCATAAAAGCAGTCCAAATATCTGCTACTGCAACATCTAGCAATGCTCCGACCTCTTTAGCTGCTGTGGCATAGGTCTTGGCTAGTAGAGCCGTTCGGCTAGGATGGGGAGTATTCTTCGCGTCGTCGAATGCCTCCAGCTGATACTCGTTGATCGGTGGTGGAGTCAGTATGATAATGTGTGGGTTTTGGGCGCGAGTTGCAGGGTGTTGGATAATCTCCTTCAAGTTGGCCGTGAACTGCTCCAATGAAACATGCTGTTCATGACCTGGAACACATGCGTCATTAGCACCAAAGAATATGGTCTAGGTGTTATGTTAGTGGTCTAGTATTCGAGGTTAGAGCGAAGGTCAAGGTCTTACCATGAAGCGTACGTTGGCTATTTCTGGTGACGGGAAGAACTTGGGGAACACCTGGATAGCATGAGCAGTGCTATAGCCGCTATTTTGGTCCTTCATTAGCTGGAACTGGAATGATATCGTTGATACCAGCTACTTACCTGAATCCCCGGTTTATCACGTCTAGCTTGCGACTATAGGCTGGTAAGTTGTTTAGCTAGATGGACTTGGAATACAGCTGTGTCAGAGTATAGATACCCTCTTGCAATTGCGCATTGAAAGCGAAGCCTAGATCCTGATTACAGGAAAATTGGGTGATCGAGTCTCCGAAGAGAATGAATTGATCAAGGGGTTTTCCCATATCCTCGGCAGTTCTCAATGTGGTTCTCATACTGATGGAGGAGTCAGTATTGAATATCGATGATTATTATTGCGCCGCTGTAAACTCGGAAATTGAAGCAGAATAATCAAGTTGTGTCTGAGCGTAAGGACAAATAGCGGGGGATGAAGATGTGGATATGTTTATCGTAGATTTTCTTATCGGAAGTAAACAGAGTATTCCACACCGTATTCTTCCACCAATTGGGGTTTATATTTAATCCGTACATGAATACTCCGTACTCTGTATACAAGCAATGTGTGCATCATAGAAATGAAATGATTGGGGCCTCAAAGCCTGAAGGCATAGATTGAAGATCCTTGATTCGCTGAGTAGGACAGATCGGCCAAAGCAGATCGACATATTAGGCGCAAAAGGCGATGATCATACACTAAAATATGTCTCGGCGAGGAAAGCCACTAGCCATATTGAGCAGGACTGGCGCCGCTTGATTTCCTATACTGAAGCCAGATGTGGTGGATGGATCATGAATGTAGATGGATGAGGCGCAGTCATTTGATGGGACTCCGGTCATACTCGATGGTCATGGGAATTGTATTGTAAGCTGATCAAAATCCCCACATCTTGTAAGCTTCTTATCTGAGCCTGAGCCTGTTAGACTGAATTCTCGGTGAAAATATGACCCACTGTGAAGTGGTGGAATTGGAAATCCACTTAGTAGCGGTTATCTGAAGTCGGTATACTTATGAAAGGGGTTCTTGAAAGATCACGAGAAGAGAAGCCTTGGAGGGACAAATGACATGAAAAGAAGGATAATACATAAACTAAGTAAATTTAAACAATAAAAGAATAAAAGAAATAAAAGAAATAGGAGAAATGAAAAAAATAAAGAGGGAAAAGGAAAAAGGGAAAGAAATCCAAATGACTTTGATTTGTCGATCCTCACCTGACACGTACTTGACCCGCTTCTCTCAGATCGTTTCATATCACCTCATCATATGTGTTGGCCCTTTTAGATCAGGTATTCCCGGTAAGTCGCCTCTTTCCTCTTCTTTACTCCCTTCATCCAGGTTCAAGTGTAGCTTGATTCTGTTTGTTATGCCGTGGGGCCCCTGTACTAGGCTAAACTCCCAACAGGTCGGGTAAACAGCACCATGCCTCCCTCCATTCCACCAATCCGCTCAATTTCATATGCTGAGGATGATGCCGATTCCGAGCATACCTCAATCTCCCATACTGCCCCTCCATCACCAACGGAATACCGACGCCGATACTACCTGTCCGATGAACACACGAATTATGAATCCCTCGACACCCGTATGGAGGTCAATGAAACAACCAGCTTATTAGGCCCTCCACCTGGCCAGTCCGACTTTACTCAACGACGAGCACCACGTCGCTCATACACAAGTACTTCGGGAATCTCTGGAAACGTGTTACCGGATATAGTGAAGAAACTGCGAAAGTCAGGAAGTCAGCGACTCCCTCGTAATCACAGTCGAGCAAACTCCCAAGCCAAGCAGTTTAGCCGTCGTGGCAGTTTCACCGATGCTGACCGACAGACCAGCAGGCCTCCATCTGCAAAGGACGGTCTCACCGCTTCTCAGTTTCTGGACGAGCGGTCATGGTACGATCAATTTACTTCGACCGATTGGGTGCATGATAGCATTGCCGACGGAGCACGACTTCGCCAGTTGCGGAGCCGAAAGGATCTTCGAGGTCGATTGTTGGCCTCCTTTGACGGTGCACAAGGATGGATTCTAGTGGCCGTGATTGGATGTATCACTGCGTCCATTGCCTACTTCGTGGATGTGACCGAGACAATAGTCTTCGATGCCAAGATGGGCTTCTGCTCTACGCGTTGGTTCGCCAGTAAAGAAAAATGTTGTAAAGATATTCCGAACTGCGACCGATGGCATTCTTGGTCGCGCATCTTCAGTTCGGACAGTCAGTGGATAGATTTTGGCATGTTCGTCACTTGGGTAGTTGTTCTCGCCATGATATCCTGCGGCTTGACTATGCTCACTAGGACCGAAGTGCCCTCCTCTATTTCATTTACCACTCTCGATGAAAACCTGGCTGCAAATCCCTCGCGCTCCCGAAGTTCCAAACCCAACGGAGCCGACAACAAACCTTCAGGGGGGGCTCCTGTCCCCTGCTTCGCTGACGAGCCCTTCTAGCCATCATGGCTCACTTCCAAACGTCCCCAATCGCCCGGCTAAAGTCTATTATCCTGCTGCTGGTAGTGGAGTTGCCGAGGTCAAGGTCATCAACAGTGGATTTGTGCTCCACGGATATCTAGGTCTCAAGACTCTAGTTGTCAAGACCATTGGTTTGATCTTCAGTATTTCCTCCGGTCTCAGTCTGGGTAAGGAGGGCCCATACGTTCACATCGCTACCTGTGTGGGTAACATCTCCTGTCGACTGTTTGCCAAGTACCAACATAATGATGGCAAGAGACGAGAGGTTCTCAGTGCAGCTGCTGCTAGTGGTGTGGCTGTTGCCTTCGGTGCCCCAATTGGTGGTGTACTATTCAGCTTAGAGGAAGTCAGCTATTACTTTCCTCCGAAGACACTTTTCCGAACATTCTTCTGCTGCATTGTGGCGGCCATGTCTTTGAAGTTCCTCAACCCGTATGGAACAGGAAAGATTGTCCTGTTTGAAGTTCGCTACCTTAGCGACTGGGAAATTTTTGAGCTTTTCATATTCATCGGCCTCGGCGTTCTTGGGGGCGCGATTGGTGCGGGTTTTATAAAAGCGTCCAACCTCTGGGCGTGCTCATTCCGACGAATTCCAATCATCAAGCGTTTCCCGATGCTGGAAGTTTTCCTCGTTGCCCTCTTGACTGGCGTAGTCAGCTTCTGGAATCGATATACTAAGATACCTGTCAGTGAGCTCTTGTTAGAGCTCGCCAGTCCCTGTGACCGAACCTCCGAGACTCCCACAGGACTGTGCCCGCTTGAGGAGAATATCCCAGAAATTATTCATTACCTTCTCGCTGCATTCATCATCAAGAGCTTCCTGACTATTGTCACCTTTGGAATCAAAGTGCCAGCCGGTATCTATGTTCCATCCATGGTGGTGGGTGGTCTCATGGGTCGAATTGTGGGACATGTGGTTCAGTACTGGGTGGCCAAGAATCCTACATTCTTCCTCTTCAATTCGTGCCCGAATGCTGCCGGCCTGGAGTCCTGCGTAACACCAGGAGTCTATGCACTAGCCGCCGCAGGAGCCACTATGTGTGGTGTCACACGGTTGTCGGTGACCTTGCCCGTTATCTTATTCGAGCTCACGGGAAGTCTCAACTATGTGCTCCCTTTCTCTCTCGCAGTGCTTTGTGCCAAGTGGACCGCTGATGCGATTGAGCCCCGTAGCATCTATGTAAGTCTCACCTTGAATTTACATGACGTTTCTAATTTGAATATAGGATCTTTTGACCGATATGAACTCCTACCCATTCCTGGACAACAAGCTCAAACCACTTTCCGACGCTGAGCTCGGTGACATCTATCGTCCGTTCCGTAAGGACCGCGTCATCGACATTTCTAACTCACCCCTCATCGCTGCAACCGAACTTCGTGTGAAATTGGAAGCACTGCTGATGGCAGGAGAGCTTGACGGCGGTCTTCCAATTTTACGGAATGGTTCTCTGGCCGGATTGATTCCAGTCCCAGATCTGGAATTTGGCCTAGATAACCTTCTTAGTAATGAAGACAACACACTTTGTCTCATGTCGATGAGTGCCTCGATTGCCATTTACGACAGTGATCACGAAGATCTAATTCATCAAGATTTTACCACCTATATTGACCCTGTACATCTATCGCCCTCTTCTATCTAACTCCGATACTGATATTCGTCTCTAGTCTCCGGTCTCCCTGGATGTCCATTCCCCTATTGATCTTGTTTACCAATGCTTCGCCAAGCTTGGTCTTCGATATATATGTGTATTGCGGGATGGGCAATACGCTGGTCTTCTCCACAAGAAGAATTTTGTCAAATATATGAAAGAGCTTGAGTAAGTTAGATTGATTCTGACCACCGATCTAGTGAGTGCATTTTGATCGTTTGGCTCTGTATTGTATAAAGTGTTCTTCCTCGGCCTTGACGGCCCTTTTCTTTGCATATACCGAGGTATACTGTTCAGCATAGCATCGCATATTTGTCTCGTTTTCTTTTGATGTGTCCTGTACAATGATTCATTCGAATTTCACATTCGATTCAACATTTGAATGTTCTTCATAGTCATTAACCAAACCCAATATACAAATTGATATCGACGTCCATAGAGGATATTGAATTACCAGTAAACTCATCCAGGCCCTGAATATAAGAATCTAGTTCAAGCGTTCATACCCAACCATTTGAACCTCAACCTCTCCATCCTGATTCCACTCCCCACTAACCTCCTCCCCAACCCACTCCGTCAACTCCGTTGGACTGACACTCCTCCACCCACCCTCTTCCACAAACTCATCTAAGGGGAAAAACGTATCACATTCAAACGGCACAGCGGCACCACCCTCAGCCTTCCGCACAACATTCGTCATGACAAGCCGAACAGGCCTAGACAGGCTCATCCTTAACGCAGCACCATAGATCTCCGCACCACCAATAATAAAGATCTTCCCCAGTCTCTCCGGGCCATACGCATCAAGCGCCGCAAGTGCTTTATCCAGACTCTCCGCAACAATCGCATCAGTAGTATCCGGCTCGATGGGCGAGTCTGCGTCGCTGCCTTTCGCAGCCGCGGCCTGGGCCTTAGCAGCCAACTTCTCCTTCCGAGCAGCTAAGTCTGATGCAACACATTCCTTAACAGAACCTGTCGTATCACGTGTGATAACAAGACTAATCCGCTTCGCGAGCGGGCGGAGGTGTGAAGGCACAGAATCGTAAGTCTTACGTCCCATTATTATGGCATTGACTTTTCCCGTTATTGGAGGGCGCGTGGTTACGCGTGCGAAAAACGACATGTCGCTTTTTATACGCTGCCAGGGGAGTGTGCCTTTTAGACCTATGCCTAGGCGGGTTTCCGTGGACGTGACGCGGATTGGGGTTGTTGCGACGATTAGTGTTAGGGGGCGTGAGGGGTTCATTGGATCGGTTGGTGATGGTGACATTTTTTTGGGAGTTTGACTTCTTTTTCGAAGAAGGTTGAGAGGTTGTAAAGGTCGGAGGTGGATGGGTTTGAGCTTTAAGTTGAAAAGTTGTCGCGTCTCTTATCGCGCCCCGCTATCTAGATAGAGCTTATCCTTGGTCGGAGAGCTATGAGAAACTCATATCTCCAGGAATAGAGCATTTGGAATCGAATTTGTGGATTTCAATCATATTCGATGAAAATCTTTCAGCCAATTCGAAGTCGAGTCGAAAATTCCAATGACGGATCAATTAAAACGAGGTATGCCCTGAATGTAGTACTTCCCAACACCAAGCTCACCAAAGATAAGCCGCCCATAAACGCCTGGAATTCAACTGTTCGAGCACTCAATGCAAATGAAGATAGATATATATGGGATAACCTCAGTTCTTATCCTTAGGACACAACTTTGAGAGCACACCACCCTCCACACTCTTCTCAACGGCGACAAGATCTTTCTCAAGCTTCTCGCGGCGTTCAACGTCGCGCTCATCTTCTCCGAGTGTGTCAAGCTTGCCGAAGAGCCATGTTTCCTTCATTATTCTCGTTAGAGAGAGGAGATCCTCAGCAGCACGGATCTATGTTGGCAAATAGTGTTAGTGGTTCGTATTCCGAAAGGAGCCAAAGAAAATCAAAGCAAAAGTCGAGGATTGAAATCAAAAGCGGTAATTATGAATTGATCTAATTTGAGTCTCAATTCCACGTACCAGGGCTGATGACTCGACATCCAATTGGTATGTTTCCACGGCAGTAGAAGTATAGCTGGAGTTTTCAACCTGCGATGAAACAAATTAAAATCGAAGTGACATGAAGTTTTAAAAATATCCAGAGCTACTCACTGTTGCTGTGGCCATGATATTCTCAAACCGCTGCAGCAATTGCGAGATATCAGTGTTGATGCGGTCTGGAGACAAGGACGATGTTAGCTGAAGTTCCTCGGGTGTCAAATGTATACGCAGCCAGAAACCATGAAGCAGTTTCAGATATTTAGACGTACAATGTAGCGCTTTTGCTGTCTGTTGGGAATCCATCTTGAATGAGTGTAGAATCTTGGAGCTAGATCAAATCGATAAGCTAGATGCAATTACAGTCACGTGACTATTGGTTGTACAAATTGCAACTGACCAATCATTCAAATGCTACAGATGAATGAAACTGAATTTCGTGACTACGCACAAAACGTAGAAAATGGGTCATGCAAGTGTCATTGCAAACCTTGCCTAATTTGACAGTTGTACATGGTTCATTTTTGAATATTGCCGAGGATACAGCTGACCAGCCATGAGAGACTCAGGCCCTGAACGATCTTGATATTGATGTTGGTTGATAAGACAGTTCCTAAGCCTGAAAAGTGCTTTTTTCGATGCCCTCCATGCAATGCCAACTATCTGTCTGTGTGTGGGCGAGCACTCCAATAATTCGGGGAACTTGAGGACTTGAAAACCCTCCGCACTGCGCAGTGACATCTGTCCAGTGTTGAGAATTGGCTTTGCGCAAAATTTTGACCTTATGGTCGTGGACATCTCTCACTTAAGCATTAACTCTTCGTAAGATGCGCCATCCGTCCTCATGATTGATTCCAGGGAAACTGTCTGTTGCAAAATGCCTCCAAGTTCAATGCAATCTAAGTTGGCACTTTGGGCCCTTGGCCTCAATCCACCACCTCGCATCAGTCCAGCTGGGTGAATGGCTTTCGGACGTTGCTGTGCATTCAAGAGCCACACTTGTCTTGAACACGCGGACTCTGAAAATCTCATTGAAGCATAGGCCGAGATATGACTTAACGGAGATGGATTGGAACTTTCTGGCTGGACACAACCAGATCATGTCAAACTAATAATCTCCATCATAGTCACCAATCTGCTTGGCCTATCGGGGATTCGGATCCCCGAATAACTGCCCACAAACCAGGCCCAGCTTCTCTTTTTCAAGCCGAGCATCCCGGGTTGACGGGCCAGTTATGGCCAAAACAGCCTTGTTACCTTTTTATCTCCTTGCGATGTCTCTTTATCCCTTTTTATCACTTTATTTACCGCTTTCTCGACTGGAACGGTCTGTCGTTCAATTAACCCGTGCTCATGCCCTATCCTACGGCTAATTCAGATCTTGTACACCCATGGATTAACATGAGCCACTTGCCCCTTCGAATAATACGACTGCATGCATATCCCACCTGGGTATCCTGCATAGCTTCATGTCGAAAACACCCAGAGGATTGGCGGCGTGTTCAGATAGTTGAGAGTTGAGAGGTGTGAATATGTATAAATATGGATACTTAAGTAATGTTTAAGAGGTGGTCCCAGGGTAAATATGTACTTAGAGGGAACCACAGGGCATAGAGGGGAGTTTATAGCATTAGAGCCCAAATACTGAGCACGAAGCAACGCTTCCGAGATTAAACCATTTAGTAGAAGCCTTGGAAGTAGATGTATTTCCAATAAGAAGGCAGAATGACTTCCAAGGTTTTCCTTGCAAGTTACTTCTTTATTTTACTCTTAATATTACTCTTCTTATCACTTTTACTTCAGATTTAGTTGGGTGATAAAATCCACGGAAGTACAAAAATCGGGAGACAATGTGATATCACGGATTGCTGAAGAAACCTCGACACGCAAGCCGAAACAGTAAAAAACCCAAAACTCCATCTTTAGCGATTTGTTAAAGAGATCTTGAAACGCATGATAATGATTGTGGGAAAAAATGAAATTGTTCAGCGACAATATTTCGACTGGGAAAAGTTAGCGTATAATTTTGGAATTCATGATGGGAACATAGTATACCATAAACTTCTTGTGGAAATCAGAGCGCAGCATGTCCTATTAAGTTTGTTAGTATATATATCAATTGTCGGGTGAAGATGGCATACGTTGATAAACTCATTGTCCTTCTTCTCTGTTCCTCGAGCCTGGTTCTTGAAGACCACATCGTCATCCCAGCGGCGATTGTGGCTGAAGTCGTTGCCGTTGAGTAAAGGATTGCCGCGGGCGATATCAACTTCTCGTTGCTCCTGCTCCTTGACCACTTTTTCTTGTTCCTGCATAGATTTAATATGTTGTTATTGAGTCCATTCAGATTAGGACATACCTCCTGATCCTTCTTTGCCTGTCGCTCTTTCTTGATCTTCTCCAGTTCGCGCATTAACTCAGCTCCTTCGTCCTCATCACTATCACTATCACTATCGCTGCTATCTTCTTCTTCTGAGGATCCATCGGAGTCTGCATCTATTTCAATAAACTGTTGTAGAGCACGTTGACGTTTTGCGGCTGGGTCCTCTTCAATTAAAGCATTTTCATCTCTATCAGATTCGAGTTGTCGTTTTGGGGTAGAAGCAGCCGCTGGTTCATCGATTGTAACACCGTTCTTCTTGGCGAAGTGTGCAGCCTCGGCCTGGAGAAGCTCTGCGCGCAAGTCTCGGTATTCGTGATCGGCGTCACCTCCTTGTCCGGGTTGACTGAGTTTATATTAGCTTCAGCGGCTGACTTTCACTTCGAATATTCTCATACATACCGAACTTTCAGGAATGTATGAGCAGGAAGAAGTCTCTGATGATAAGCAGGACCACGTTGGGCCTCTTTTCCTTGCGCCTGTTCAATTATTAGTAAAGCTGATATTTGGGAGGAGTGATTGATCTACCGGATCAAATGTCGGTCTGTGAGCTAATATAAGTTAGTGTTTGATAATGATTCCTAGTTGATAAAGAAGCATACCTGTAGTCATATTGAGAGGTGAAAGTGGGAAGTTGTGGAAGGAGTAAAAGTTGTGAATTTGTAAGTTGCGATGCGCAAGGTAAGAAACAGCTTCCTCTGCCTGCACCTTTTCTCACCGCCTTTTAAATTCCCCACTCGTCTTTCACCGCCCATTCCTATCGTTAATTGATTGGATTAAAATCCAGGCAAAATCAGTCATAATGCGGCCAGTGACGGCAAAATATCCCAAGAAAAGCCTCTACAAAGAATCTCTCTTGCCTTCGTCTACTCCAAGTTCCAAGGCTGCCCCAGCCATGTCAAAAGAAGTCCCCCTCTCCAATTTGGAGAATGACTTCATTCTGAAAGCACTTAGTGAGGGACACCGCCTTGATGGTCGTGCCATGGACGAGATCCGACCGATCAACCTCTCGTTCGGCGATGAGTATGGACATGTGAAGCTTCAGCTTGGAAAAACTAGGTATATTCTAATGACTATATCATTATGTCTGTGAATAAAAGGCTTACTCTAAGCTCTAGTATCGTTGTTCGAATTTCAGCAGAGGTTACCAAGCCCCGCGAGGACCGTCCTTTCGATGGTCTCTTTTCAATTAATATGGAGCTGACTGCGATGGGTTCGCCGGCATGGGAGAATGGAAAGTGAGTTTTATCTGAGACAGTGGCTTTTCCCTCGTGAATACCGATGCTGATTAGTTGTTTGCTGCATCTAGGACCAGCGACCTCGAAACTTATGTCAATCATGTTCTCGACCGCGTCGTTCGTCACTCGAATGCTTTAGATACCGAGTCGCTCTGTCTTGTGAAGGGCGTCAGCTGCTGGAGTATCCGTGCAGATGTTCATGTGCTCGGATTTGACGGCAACCTGATTGACGCGTCTTGTATGGCGATTATGGTCGGATTGCAACACTTCCGTCGGCCTGATGCGGTCGTTCGCGATGGCAAAGTCATCGTCTACGATGTGAATGACCGAGTGCCAGTTGAGCTTAACATTACCCACAAGCCTCTTGCAGTCACCTTCCATACATTCCACAAGGGTAAAACCATTATCATTGACGCCAATCTTAAGGAGGAACAGGCGGCCGAGGGAGATCTCATCTTTGCAGTGAACAATGCAGGTGAACTGTGCTACATGTCCAAATTCTCAGGTCATCCTATCAAACCCATGGAAATCGTCAAGAATACCCAGGTGGCATGGGATAAGGTCAAAGAGATGAATGCGGTTCTCGACAAGGTTCTCCAAGCTGATCTGGCCAAGCGGGCCAAGTTTGGTATGGCAGACTTGTCTCGGTCTAATAACGACCGTTAAGATGCCAACCTACCGAAGTTTTCCGGTGTCGGATATATCTTTTATTCCAAAGGCTTGAGAGAAGGGTTCTATCACGAAAAGGTGTGCAAGCTGGCCTAGCTCGACGAAGCTGGGTGTGACAGACTTGTCTTGGTCCAAAAATGACCATCATAATGTTTTAACGAGGTATCAATTATATTCATTTTTATTTTTGGAATAGACGAGGATCAACATACTTGTAAATAGGGGGTTAGCTTTCGACCTTTTCATAATAGATTGCTATAGTAGGCCGTAGTAGATGGCGTTGAGGTATGCCGGGATGCGCTTCCATTTCAAATTTCAATTATTTCCGACAATATCATTCAATTCTACAGGCACCATCCTTTTTACTAGAATACGCTTAATCCATAGTGCTTCACTATGATCCATTTTCCGATAGCAGCGCGAATAAGTGGGTTTTAGTTACCGCCCGTCGATCAAAGAAACCAAACAGTTTACTTGTTCGCATCCGCTAATTAAGCCACCCATTCTTCCTCGATCCCAACTTTTTTTCCTAGTTCATTCATCCACCCCCTTCCAATTCACAACTTGTATCAATACCTTGGAAGTTTCCCTGCCAATACATAATCGCGATTTTTCGACCCTCCCGCGTTTCGATCTATGCTTCAGGGGCATCACTGCTCTCGGTGAGGGTGTCAGCTTTCCCCGCGGCATCATGACCAGCGGTAGGCCTCCTGGATCACATCGACTTGTGGACCATGATGACGACCTCCTGCTGGACTCCGGTCCAACATACAACTCTGGTCAGCGCCCTCCAGTAAACGACGACCATCTCCTAGAACAGTTCAACATCGATGATTCCGAAGTACCTAATGCGCAGTCGCGCCCTTCCATATCTTACGATAATTTTGTCGGTAGCCAGGCGCAACGGTCTGGAGCTCATTATGATGCAGCTTCTGGCGCTGGGAATACCGGCTACTCCGGCGCGTATATCCATGATCCTTACCCCGGCTCTCCCCTCAATCGTTCCTACTCGCAGACCTCTGAGCTTAGCAACTATCAGCGATATTCCTTCGATGGAGACGACAACTATGATTACAATGATGCGGATTTTCAGAGTGGTAATCAGACCGTTCACCATTTCGGGACTGATTCAAAGCCAAGGAATAGCACGTTGTTGAATAAACTCGGGTTTGGTAGAGGGGATGGTCAGAATGATGATGATATGAACCTCCCATTGACACAGCCTGGAGTAAGAAGTGATGCGGCCGATAGTACGGCCGAATATACAGCCGCAGTTTCCAGGAAAAAGAAAACCTCTGCGTTCGACTGGAAGTCTATCTTTGGCCGACGAAAGGTCGATCCTGCCAGCTTGGGTCCTCGCATGATCCAGATCAATAACGCCCCCGCAAACGCTACACACAGATATCTCACCAATCACGTTTCGACTGCAAAGTACAACGTTATCACATTCATCCCCAAATTCCTATTCGAACAATTTTCCAAGTACGCCAACTTGTTCTTCTTGTTCACCGCGGTGCTCCAACAGATCCCCAATGTTTCTACCAATCGATATACGACCATCGTCCCCTTGTGTATCGTGCTGGGTGCATCTGCAATCAAGGAATTGGCTGAGGACTACAAGCGAAGATCGTCGGATAAGGGATTGAATTATTCGAAAACGAAGGTGCTCAAGGGTGGTTCTTTTGTGGACTCAACATGGGTTGATGTTGTAGTTGGAGACGTTGTCCGAGTGGAATCAGAAGAAGCATTTCCTGCGGATTTGGTTCTCTTGGCATCTTCCGAACCCGAGGGTTTATGCTACATCGAGACGGCAAATTTGGACGGCGAGACCAACTTGAAGATTAAGCAGGCTATCCCTGAGACATCAACTCTCGTTAGCCCCGATCAATTGGCCCGTTTGACTGGGCGTGTTCGATCGGAGCAACCCAACAGCAGCCTTTATACCTACGAGGCTACTATGACTATGAATGGCGGAGTTGGAGAAAAAGAATTGTCTCTGGCACCTGATCAGCTGCTCCTCCGAGGCGCAACTCTGCGAAATACTCCTTGGATTCATGGAGTTGTTGTCTTCACAGGTCACGAGACCAAATTGATGCGCAATGCGACGGCAACGCCGATCAAGCGCACTGCTGTCGAGAGGATGGTCAACGTGCAGATTATGATGCTTGTGGGCATACTGGTTGCCCTCAGTGTCGTTAGTTCTGTTGGAGACTTGGTCATTCGCCAAACCTCTAGCGCCAAACTCTCGTATCTCGACTACGGAAAACTGAACGCCGCAAAACAGTTTTTCATGGACATCTTCACCTACTGGGTCCTCTATTCTAATCTGGTTCCAATCTCTCTCTTCGTCACTATCGAAATGGTCAAGTATTTCCAGGCGTATCTCATCAATTCAGATCTGGACATGTACTACGAGAAGAATGACACGCCCGCTACTTGTCGCACCTCTTCCTTGGTTGAGGAGCTTGGTCAGATTGAGTACATATTTTCCGACAAAACTGGTACACTGACCTGCAATCAAATGGAGTTCAAGCAATGCACAATTGCCGGTATTCAATATGGAGACGATGTTCCCGAAGACCGACGTGCCGCTGCCGACGATGGCGACGGTGAATTTGGCATTTACGATTTCAAGACCCTTAGACACAACTTGAATTCTCACCCGACCCAGGGCGCCATTCGAGAGTTTCTTACCCTTCTGGCCACCTGTCACACGGTCATTCCCGAGTGGAATGGCACTGATCCTACTCAGATCAAGTACCAGGCAGCTTCACCTGACGAGGGCGCTTTGGTGGATGGAGCCGCTTCCTTGGGATATCGATTTACAAACCGAAAACCTAGATCTGTCATCTTCACAGCCGAGGGATCGGGACAGGAACTGGAGTATGAATTGCTGGCCGTGTGCGAGTTCAATTCCACTCGAAAACGAATGTCCACAGTCTTCCGGTGCCCTGATGGAAAAATCAGAATTTACTGCAAGGGAGCCGATACGGTCATTCTCGAGCGTCTTCATCAAGACAACCCAACTGTGGAAACAACACTTCAGCACCTTGAGGAGTACGCTTCGGACGGATTGCGAACTCTATGTTTAGCTATGCGTGAAATTCCAGCAGATGAGTACCAGCGATGGGCCCAGATCTTCGAAACAGCTAATACCACTGTGAGTGGTAACCGTGCTGACGAGCTTGACAAAGCCGCCGAGTTGATTGAGAAAGATTTCTATCTTCTTGGTGCTACCGCCATTGAGGATCGTCTGCAAGATGGCGTTCCAGACACTATTCACACGCTTCAGACTGCAGGAATCAAGATATGGGTCTTGACTGGTGACCGACAAGAAACAGCCATCAATATTGGAATGTCCTGTAAGCTGATCTCTGAAGATATGACACTCCTAATTATCAATGAAGAGTCAGCCCAGGCGACACGTAGCAACTTGCAGAAGAAGCTAGACGCTGTAAAGAGCCAGGCGACATCTGGCGATATTGAGGCCCTTGCCTTAATCATCGATGGCAAGTCTTTGACGTATGCATTGGAAAAGGACATGGAGAAAATGTTCCTGGACCTTGCCGTAATGTGCAAGGCTGTGGTTTGTTGTCGTGTCTCTCCACTTCAAAAAGCCTTGGTCGTCAAACTGGTCAAGCGTCACCTGAAATCGTTGCTTCTGGCTATCGGCGATGGAGCAAATGATGTATCAATGATTCAAGCTGCTCATGTTGGTGTTGGAATCAGCGGAGAAGAAGGTCTCCAGGCTGCAAGATCCGCTGATGTGGCCATTGCTCAGTTTCGTTTCCTCCGAAAGCTTCTTTTGGTCCATGGGGCGTGGAGTTATTCTCGCATTAGTCGAGTCATCCTGTATTCCTTCTACAAGAACATCACCTTGTATATGACACAGTTCTGGGTAAGACTTGATAATATCTGGTTCAAAGTAACTTAGCTGACCTCAACAGTATTCATTCCAAAATGCCTTTTCTGGAGAAGTTATCTACGAAACTTGGACCCTGTCCTACTACAACGTGCTCTTTACGGTGTTGCCTCCATTCGCCATGGGTATTTTCGACCAGTTCATTAACGCTCGCCTGTTGGACCGCTACCCTCAGCTGTATCAGATGGGTCAGAAAGGTCTTTTCTTCCGAACGCATAGTTTCTGGGCCTGGGTCTTGAATGGATTTTTCCACTCCCTTCTTCTCTACATTGCCTCTCAGTTGATATTCCTCTGGGATCTCCCTATGGCCAACGGCAAAATTGCTGGTCATTGGGTCTGGGGTGAAGTGCTGTATACTGCAGTCCTCGGTACTGTTCTTGGAAAGGCTGCTCTGGTAACCAACATCTGGACCAAATACACCTTCATAGCCATCCCCGGATCCATGCTTCTATGGCTCATTTTCCTGCCGGCATACGGTTATGCTGCTCCCGCCCTAAATTTCTCCCGAGAATACTACGGTACCATCCCTGTTGTTTTCAGTTCTCCCATCTTCTACCTGATGGCCATTGGATTACCCTGTCTTTGCCTTCTACGTGATTATGCCTGGAAGTACGCCAAGCGCATGTATTATCCACAGCACTATCACCACGTTCAAGAGATCCAAAAGTACAACGTCCAAGACTACCGTCCCCGCATGGAACAATTCCAAAAAGCCATTCGAAAGGTCCGTCAAGTCCAACGCATGCGCAAGCAGCGTGGTTACGCCTTCTCACAGGCCGACGACGGTGGTCAAATGCGTGTCTTGAATGCGTACGATACCACCCAAGGTCGTGGACGCTATGGTGAAATGACTAGTTCCAGAACGCCCGCGTTATGATTGACCTTATGATCGGCATTTTGCTGCATTTCTTGCCATATGGTTGTTTTGCATGAAAATCAAGAGAATGACAGCATTGAAAATTTTGTACTTTACTACTCTTTCTATTTGGTAGCCGTGCTACAATGGAGAAGACTTTGTGACATACTATGATTTTTGACGCGTTTCTCAAACTCTGGGATAGCTCTTGGAAATATCTGACATTTCATTCGTTTTAAATACTCGCTTTTCATTAGGTCGTAATGTCGTGTTACGCATGAGGTTCGTGAATTCTGTTGCCCCCATGGGCAGCTGCATGGCTTGTGGACATGCGCAGAGAGCGCTCCCTGTCCCGTAGGATAGTGGTTATGAGCGGCACCGTGAATTTCTCGTCAATGGAAGTGAAGTCTCTTCTCATTTGTCTTGACAGCCGTGACGATTCGGATCCATCCAATCAGCATGGAGAAAGTACCAAGGCTCGACATCGGTAGCTGATCTCTTTCACGGTTGAATTCTTCCAGATAGAGTGATATTTAAGCCCAAGGCTTCAGGATGACTATTCAATCCCGTTAAAGTTCAAGCGACAGCAAAGACAGTGGGCGAAGGAGTCCACTTCGTAACAGCCGGCTTGATCTCACGAATGTCATGACTAAGAAGCATGTTCCACTCATTCCTGGTGATAGGAGTCACGTCCGACGCCGAAAGGGGAGTTTTAGGCCCCCGTTTATGAGGGAGCCCTGATCTAGACACGGGAGGCTGTCGCTTCGCCCGCACAGGCCTCGGACGAACAGGCGACTTCTTCGTCGACTGCTCAGCTTTCGCATGGGTCACAGCTTTCACAGGCGGGGGCAAGATGATAGCTTCCTGCTCATGGCTACTCTTATAAGCAGCCGCGACAGCAGTGAGGAGATCATCCTTGACATCCAGCTGCTCATATATACGGTGGAAGAAAGCCTTTGTGAACTGCCGACCCTGAAAATCAGCCATGAGGCGATGCAGGAGCTGCACACAGGAATTCAAAGACTGTTCATCCGTCCGCGAAAACGGTTTGTTGGAGAGGACGCATAGTCTGCGCTTGAATGTGTAGATGCGGTCCATGTTGAGAAGAGTCAGTCCCTCTTGACTGAAGACGACTTCGTTCTGCTCGATGGACTGCTTGATGAGGTATTCGTTTGCGTGGCGCTCGAACTGGCTGCGGTTTAGGGCTTCGCTCCAGCTCTGGCCGAGAGAGAACTTCTTTGATGCCTTTGCAATTGCTCGCTCTAGGACTCGCCATGACGCTGTATCTAGGCGTGTTGTTGGGATTATCATTAGGTCGGAGGCCTCGCCTGTTGGGAATGGCTTTCCGCGGCCGACTAGGAGGCTGATGTGCATCATTCTTTGTTGTAGTTTAGAGGATATGTATTCTAGGGCGGGTAGAATTGATGGGATTAGGATCTCTGCGTCGAAGTTGAAGTCGGATGGGAGTGGTGGTGAGATCATTTCGTTGGTGAGATGGTTGGGTGAACTGGGGACATAGATGCCCACCGGGCGAGTAATACGCATCACAGCCATGCTATAAAGTGTAGGATTATAAATGAATTGCCCTGTCTGTTCCAAGGTTGTCGTGAGAGTCAGAAGAACAGTTCGAGCAACGAGCGGGCCCTCCGATTATAAGCTGCAAGCTCTCCTAAGTACGAACCAACACGAAAACCAACCTTGGAACAATTTATTTCCCCTTTTCCCCGCAACAAATATAACATCCCAAATTAACCATTTTTAGTTGCATATATCGTTGCTAATGATAGTAAAATCACTCATGGAATTCACCAATCAGCATCGTTAATCGGCGTGATAAAAATACTTGTAACCGCTGAGGCGTTCTTTCCATTTCCTAGTTTGGCCACTTGCTTTTCCACTTCCACATTCATTTCCACTGAGCTCTTAACGATAGGCTGTCAAGGCTACTTTCGTAAAGCCTTGTTAGCTGTCTTTCAACACGAATCGAAGGCCCACTTGTGGTCAGAACCATGGTCCTATCACGCCAATTATATATCGTTGATATCAAAGTTGGAGAAATTCGCCATCGGTACACAACTATACACCTGTTGTCAACATAAGTAATGTAGTACTTGCATTAATTATGATACCTCGTGTTTTTCCTCGTCTAGTTTTTGGCTTTCGCCTAGGCACCTTCCATTTTGGTGCTCAGTACTTGCCGCTTTTTGCTGGGTAGAGCTGAGCAGTGAGCATTATGAGCGCAGTGATCTACTCACGGAGAATCAACCTGAGAATATTTGCATATATCTCGCTTGTCTAGTAAATGGTGGCAGGTGAAGGATGGCAACAATTGAATCCACACTGCGTGCCTAGGTGGGTTTCCATCCAGTTATTGGTACCTATAAAAGTAGAAGATCGCTATACCATCGGAATATGAAGAAGCTTGGAAGTCAAGATACCAGCTGACCTAGGTAGTCGAATAACGGCGCGGACTGAAAGGTTGGTCGTACCACAGTCTGGACAATAGCCTTAGAACAGGCGTACATAGCTAGTAGGTCACAATAAAGGAAGAACGATACAGGTGACAACAAGAGCCCCAGAAGATTGGAAACCTCTTAGCGAATGGGGCCGGAGAAGTAATCTGGATTGATTTGTGACATGTTGATCGGGATGTGCTCCTTGGTCATGCGAACGATGCGATTTCGGATCGAATCTACGGGCCACTACCTAATATGTAGGAATCTCCGGACCTTTTCCTTGAACCTTGAAATTCCTCGAGAGCTGGGTAGGCAGGATGGAAGCCCGGTAGTTTGTGTGAGATGATGTCTGGTCGCACGTTGGAGACGACTTTTGATATTCACCAGGTTGGCCATACTGGTCAGCGTGTCGGGATGGTCCTCGCCGAGCTTCGTCTTGCTCGTCTCCATCACCTGCACGTCGAGCCGCTCGGCCTCCTCCCACCGGCCCTGGTTCCTGTACGTCGATGCCAGGTTGGCCATACTGGTCAGCGTAGAGGGATGGTCCTCGCCGAGCTTCGTCTTGCTCGTCTCCATCACCTGCACCTCGAGCCGCTCGGCCTCCTCCCACCGGCCCTGGTTCCAAAACGTCGATGCCAGGTTGGCCATACTGGTCAGCGTGTCGGGATGGTCCTCGCCGAGCTTCGTCTTGCTCGTCTCCATCACCTGCACCTCGAGCCGCTCGGCCTCCTCCCACCGGCCCTGGTTCCTGTACGTCGATGCCAGGTTGGCCATACTGGTCAGCGTGTCGGGATGGTCCTCGCCGAGCTTCGTCTTGCTCGTCTCCATCACCTGCACGTCGAGCCGCTCGGCCTCCTCCCACCGGCCCTGGTTCCTGTACGTCGATGCCAGGTTGGCCATACTGGTCAGCGTAGAGGGATGGTCCTCGCCGAGCTTCGTCTTGCTCGTCTCCATCACCTGCACCTCGAGCCGCTCGGCCTCCTCCCACCGGCCCTGGTTCCAAAACGTCGATGCCAGGTTGGCCATACTGGTCAGCGTAGAGGGATGGTCCTCGCCGAGCTTCGTCTTGCTCGTCTCCATCACCTGCACAAAGAGCCGCTCGGCCTCCTCCCACCGGCCCTGGTTCCTGTACGTCGATGCCAGGTTGGCCATACTGGTCAGCGTGTCGGGATGGTCCTCGCCGAGCTTCGTCTTGCTCGTCTCCATCACCTGCACGTCGAGCCGCTCGGCCTCCTCCCACCGGCCCTGGTTCCTGTACGTCGATGCCAGGTTGGCCATACTGGTCAGCGTGTCGGGATGGTCCTCGCCGAGCTTCGTCTTGCTCGTCTCCATCACCTGCACGTCGAGCCGCTCGGCCTCCTCCCACCGGCCCTGGTTCCAAAACGTCGATGCCAGGTTGGCCATACTGGTCAGCGTAGAGGGATGGTCCTCGCCGAGCTTCGTCTTGCTCGTCTCCATCACCTGCACCTCGAGCCGCTCGGCCTCCTCCCACCGGCCCTGGTTCCAAAACGTCGATGCCAGGTTGGCCATACTGGTCAGCGTAGAGGGATGGTCCTCGCCGAGCTTCGTCTTGCTCGTCTCCATCACCTGCACTTCGAGCCGCTCCGCCTCTTTCCATCGGCCCTCAAGCCTGAATGCTATTGCCAGCATACTTACACTTGCAAGAACATCTTCATTCTCAGCATCAAATAATCCCAGTCTTTGATCTCTTGATTTTATTGCCATTTCTCTTGTATCCATAATATTACCCATTTCCGATGCATACCATGCGCCTCTATAAAGCAATGCAGCCCATCTTTCTTGATAGATAGCTGATTCTGGTCGCTGAGATATTGCGGATTTAACATGAGGAAATAGTGCCCTACACCTCTCCCAGTTCTCATATTTACCAGTCGGAAACTCTTCATCAAGGGTGATAATGAATTTATCTCTCCATTGGTCTCTTTGTCCATGAGATTTCAACCATGCGCGTGTAGTCAGCTGTACTAAGCGATGCATTGTAAAGAAAGTGCTGTTCGTACTAGAGGATATCAATGAATAATCCCTTAGTGTCGTTATATCATCCTCAAAATCGGGTTCTGTATCAGAATCAGATGTCTCTCCATCAGAAGAGTTATTTGAAAGTTCTGAGTTTAGAATATAGTCGGCCTGAGATTGATGTCGGATAAGATCTTCTGGTATTCCTTGCCGGTCGAAAAAGCTCATAAAAGAAAGCAGCTCCGCTGCAGATGGCTTTATTTGGCGTATATAGTCGAATGAAATTTGCCACGTCAACAGAATTGAATTCTTTGCTTCCCGGTCCCGGTGGAGGTAGCTCGCCTCTTTCTTTAGAAGCTTCATCGCTTCATGGTCACTACCTTTGAAATCTCTTAGGTATTGTGATACTGAATAGCGAGGCGCTCGATTCCGAATAAAACAAGCTGCCTGTACGATCGCCAGAGGCATATACTCTAGTGCTTCCACTAACTGTTGATTCTCTTGGCTTTGACTGTCTTGGCTCTGACTGTCTTGACTTTCTCCTGGGTCATCAAGCTTTCTCTGGAGAAGATCTAGCGCTTCAGACCTTTCCATAGGTTGAACCGTGATGAGGTCCTTGTGATGAACCATCTTTAACGCAATTTCTTTTGCCCGGCTTGTGATAATAATAGACCCATTTCGACTTCTTGGAACATAATCTAACAGTGGCTTCGTCAAGGACTTTGTTAGGCCTTCTGTTGGATCTCTCTTGCATGCCACTGGAATCGAGCAAAGGAACTTATCGTCGTCGACATTATCAAGAATGCAAACCCATTTCCCTCTCCTCTCATCTCGGAGCCAGTTCTCGACCAATTTGAAGATGTTATTTTTGGGATCCTGGCGACCTGGGATTTTGACCTGGTCCGCAATGTCCCGGAAACTTTGCTCGAACCGGACTTCGTTGCTCGCATGCACCCAGAAGACCCATGTTGCCGGCGAATCAGATCGGACTTGATAGGAGTATTCGATTACAAGTTGCGATTTTCTTTTATAATTTATAAGTAATAGATCGCACAAGAGCTGATCAGCACTTACCCAGCACCGCCGAGACCAATCAGCGCTATCCTCGACGCCGGAACTGAGCTTTTCTCACGGATCTGATTAAGGATAGCATCGCGGCTAACAAAATCTGGATCGCGCGGGAATGGGACTGTCGATAACGGGCTTGGTGGAGTTTCCGGTCGCTCTAGACAGTCATTATTAGTCAAGTCACCTTAACCTTGTTCCTCTAACGTACCTGGAGGCATGTTGATCGGGCCATTGCTTACTCCAACTTGGAACCCATGATTACTGCCCGAGAACGATATTGACGCCATGGTCAAATTAACCGTGTATCGCTTGTAGTTCTCATGAGAAGGACTATTTACCTGTCAGCTGAAAGAGGGGTCAGCTTGACCATCAGGTGACTGGCGCTAATCCAATAGCATAACTAATAAAAGTAACAATCTCGTTACTACTACAGTCACTTTTTGAGATCCGCAGTTTTGATATGGGCGACTAAGCTCCCTTCTATTTGCCTTGTTTGCAGAATCAGGGTTCAAAATGGCTTCAAAACAATACAAGTTCAATACAGAAGAACTTTTTATTGTGTAATTGATAATCGTACTGGAATACAGTCGAGGGCATAAAAGCGGCGACAGGATCTCATTTCCGAGCGTCAGTAAACGCAGTATTGATGGGATAGACAAATCGTATCCCCTTCCAGAAACAACAATTCAAATGTTGGATTGAGGCTCTGTACCAGGTTCTAGAACAGCAGAAATATGCCGCTCAGATATAATCCCTGTTGGTAGAATCAGCATTAGCCAACCCTTTCTAGTGCTTTAGCATCTATGTTGCCTGTTCGTCGGATTGGGGGCTGAAAGAGGGCGCTAAAGTGCGGAGATAACATCTCTATCCATATTCAGATATGTGTTCTTAATCATAATTCTTTTTGGAATAATTAATGGAATTTTAAGAACTTCCTGCCTGTGACTTCATTTTTGCATCGAGATATACTGCACCACCTGGTAAAAAAAGAGTTTGTTGTCGTTCTCCGAATTCATTGATAAGGTTGTACTAGCTTGTGCGTGGTACTCCGTACAACCTATCCTTATTTATAGCTATGAAAGGTCAATTTGTGTCAATTTCAACCTTGAAGCTTTCGACTTTCTCACGATGCTGGATCCAGTATACTAGTCCATTGGCCAATACTATTTGGCCTCGTCTTTGTTTTTAGTTTTCCATTCCTTCTTAACTACGCTCGGGCACAAGAAGCCAGAACTATCAAAAAGTTCGATTCTAGCACAGGATGTCAACGATTTAGAATGCTACCCTCATTTGGTTTAGAATAAATACGGAATATAATCAAGATAGATCATGACATTTGTTAATCACCCCGGTTCCCTGACTTTAACCTCAGTAAAAGCGGGCTCAGAGGAACTTCACAACCATACATCGAATGCCACTTAGATAGAACAAGATAAGAGATGAAACCCGAGAAAATATGGGAAATGGAAATATGGGAAATAGAAATATGAGAAGGTGGGAAGATTGAACGATGAGGGCTAATGGTATAAGCACCTAAAGAAGACACCAATATGCTTATCATAGATAACACAAACCGAAACCCCACGAAAACCGTGATCGACCAGGCCAAGCCGTCAATGCAAAGGTCCAAAGGAAAAAAGGCCACAAGAGTTGAAAATGGGGTATAAAGTCGTAAAGCAACAGATCAAAGACATTCGAACTATACAGTGGTCGATCGAGAGTAAAAGAAGATGTGGTGGGTATGGGGGGAAAGAAGAAAATGATTAAGAGATCAAGCACCCACAGCTTGCTCTCGTATGTTGTCAGAGGAAGGTGCGTCCACGGCTAGTTCGGTCAGCGGGATGCTTGTTGACGAGGTGGATCGATCGTCACTTGATGCTTTCAGGTGAGAAGTATGGACCAGACCTTCAGAAGTTGAGCGCGGGAAAACGAAATTCTCCATGACCGCATCGTCAGCCGGGTCTCTGGGTTCAGTGACTCGTCGTGCAGAAGAACTAACCGGAAGATTTTCAAGTGCTGGCCCGAAGAAATCAGCTGACTCATCGTCGCTGAGGACACTGAATGCCGTCATAGTGCTTCCAGATGAGTGAGGTCGCTCAGATGGAATATTGTCCGAGGCTATGCAACCGTCACTGCCAACGAGGGCAGGTTCCGAGGTCCGTGGCTCTTCGTGCGGAGTAGGTTTTCGTAGCTTCAGACGCTCCTCGGTAGGCAGGTTTTGCCATTCAGAGCCAAAGGTCACGATTGAAGCCTTTTTGCCGTGAACGGTAAAGCTAGGTGTCTTGCGGGATAGACCCTCACTGTCGTGCGGGACCGTATCGTCGTCGAGTTGGCCGATACTTGATATCGAGTCTCGGTTCTTCTTACTCCGTGAATGATGCCGAGGTACGTGAGCAACATGAGGAACATCTCGAAGTGAGCGATGAAGACTACGACGGACTCGGCTAGGCTTATGCTCACTCGGAGAAACTTCTGAGGACTCATCCTGTTTTTCTTCGACATCTCCATCCGTCAGCTTGCGTGGCGGAGGCGAGCTGTTGAGGTCTATCAGACCAGCTTCTCTCAGCAAACGTTCTTCGCCCTCGTCAAACGCAGACGATGCGAGCTTAGACGCGTGCGAACTGAGACTGGCGGCGTCAAACTTGCTGTTGCGGCTTAGTATGGAGGGCTCGCGCTCAACTTTGCCGGCATTATCAAATAGATTTCCCTGCTCAGAAATGACGGAGATGGACGGAGGGCGGCCGACATGGGCATCCGAAGATGAAATAGAGGATGGAATACTTGGCCGGCGCATCTCACTAGTGGAGGCTTGCTTAAGAAGGGTTGGTTGAGCAGGTTGGCTAACAGATGGAGCTGCGTAATCGTTTGTATCACGACTAGAGACTGTGCGAACAATGCTAGGAGCCCGAGGCGGCCCACCCAGATCGGAAGTGATTGACGGCCCAGAGATCGAGGCTACTCGTGCCGTATCCGCATCCGATGACGTCATTTTAGCCACGGATCCAGCACGACCTTCGATATTCTCTCCCATATCCCGAAGAAGCACATCTCGATAGCACGTATTACGTGAGATATCTTGGCGAACCCATTTGATTTTTGCTGCAATTCGGCCCGCTGCCAAAATGACTCCGTCGCGAGCCCGCGAATTCACTGGGGTGAGAACTTGCAGATGGCGTGCGTTTCGCAAAAGCTCATCCAGCTGTTTCTCATTCTCAACAAGCTTCTCATTCGTTTCAAGTATTTTCTGGCTCATCAGTCGTCGCCGGGCGGCAACAAACTCGGCGACAACGTCTGTGTCAATGTCGATACCTGCTGAGTGAGGACGCGGCTTCTCTGTCGAGTTATGAGAACCAATGGAAGTTGTTGAGTTCATTCGTTGGCTCTTACGGTAGCGCTGACCTTCGTAGTTGGTAGCAATCATGCCATTCGTGCGTACTCCAGTAGTTCTGAACGCCGCTGCATAATTGAGTTTGGCAAGCCAATCATTCATCTCCGCTTCAGACGTAGAAAGGAAGACCTCCTCGACAGAATTGTGACGGACGAACATGAATGCGTGCTTGTGCTTTTTGTAGCTATTGTCCAGCAAAGCAACGGCGTCATGCGTAGACATAATACCATCAGGTTTAAATTCTGCAAGAGGCGGCCGGAAGACTAAGGTGTCAGGTCGTCCGTCCTTAACATATGTGTCATATTGGGTCATCAAAGCTCGAACCCAAGTGACGTTACGGAAGAAGTAGAGTTGAGAGAAGGTGAGAATGGCGCCCCATTCTTGCCATGGCGAACGAGCTCTCTTCTTCTTCGGATCCTTCCGCCAGAGTAAGCCAACCTTGGCTACCTTGATATCAACCAGACCAGGATTTGACTCGGCTGGATCAAGGGTTCCTTGCATGAACGCATCAGGACGAGAACGTAAAGATACAATCTGCAAAATTCCTGACTTGGTGAAGGCTTGATGGAGATCATTAATGTCTGGCGGGCCCGTGGTTCCGACGTGGTCGTAAGTATTTTCAAGATCCATGACATCCTTCAAACTGGGCCGGAGAGTTTCGAGTTTGTTATCCAGAATGAGCGCATATGGATCAACAGGCTCTCGCGTAACTCGGCCCAAATGCTCAGAGCTAGTGCTTTTGAACAAAGCACGGCGAGGTTTCGCCAAGGCCAAGTGACGGTTATTGTTTGCATCTTTTGCATCTTCGACATCTTCCACGTGAATGAAGGGGGTATAGGAGATGTTCTCATAGAAACACCCAAGGATGTCGTCTGAGATGCCCTCTCCTCGAGTGTTCTTGACATAATCAAGCTTCTGCATTTTCCGCTTATTGTTCTTGTTGAACACATCCGTATGGAGAATTAGGATCGAGAATGCAATAAAGTATGCTTGGTCTGTGGTTGCAAAGATGCCTGGGTTGCACTCAAAGTATCGGTCTGCAAATGACTGGATAAATCGGTCGATTTGTTGTGTTTCCTTGGGCAGTTCCACCTCCATCAAAAGTTTACGAATGGACATGTCAATAGGATCACCGAAGTAAGCGAACGATCTCATGTACTTTCGCAGCGCAACCTTGAAAAATTCGTCGTCCGACTGGCATAAAACACTGGCAATCATGCCCCGAGGAATAGCTTCCTCTAGTTTGGTCAAGTAAGAGGCCGGTGTGTCATCTTCCCCCCGAGGGGGACAATTTGGTTCGGGTTTTGGAGTAGGCGTTAAGAAACCACCGACGCCAGGAGAAGCAGTCCGGGGGAATGGCGGTTCTGAGTTCTGCCTCAGTCTCTGGGTGATACCGAAAAGATCACCAAAGCTCTTCCGGCCCGTTGTCGAAGTTGACGTACGACCAGAGGAAATCATGTGCGGCACTGGAGATGGAAGATCTTGGTTCTCGGCCACGGATCCCATTGTAGACGACCTACCTCGGCCCTTGTGAGACGGATTGGATCGCACCGAGTGAGCAGAATTGGTTGAATCATGGCGAAGTAGAGGTGGCACAGCCGCACTAGATAAGCCTACTGATGAGCGGGATGGTGATGGTAGCGGCGAGATCTGGTCTAGATCACCAGAGCCTGAAGTTTTCGGACGTTCCGTCGAGAACTTGGATGCATGATCTTGAGCATAACTTGTTGTCGGTTTCGGAGGCAGAGGAAACATGGGGCTTCGCTTCAGGCGAGGAAGGCGGAAACGTTTCGCATTGGACGTTAATGCGTGGCTAGGTGAATTCGTTCGGAATGTCGGGCCTTCCCCATAGCTCTGATCGGAGCGAGAAGATTCAGAAAACCGTGGATCGATGACAGAGGAGCGGTGCGAGTCAGTCAGTTGATCCCGACTTCCATTTCGTAATAAAGTTATCGACAGACGTCCAGAATTGTCAGTAGTATGTTGAGATGCTGAAAGAGCGGAGTCGCTAATTTGGGAATCAATAGAACCTTGCTCCTTTTGTTCCTGTCTTGGCTCGGGAATTTCCGTTGAGCGTCGAGGTAAGTGCTCCATGGAATGTTTGCGCGACGAAGGTAAGAGCCTGAGCTTGTGTTGTTGTTGTTGTTGTTGCTCCTTTTGTTGTTTGAGAGGTTTGTCTAAGTCATGGCTAGTTGGGGCTGTAGTGATGATTTTGGGTGCTATAATGGAAGGGGCTGTCAGCATGTCGTCCAATGCACGTCTGTTTGAAATCCCTCGCCCTGGACTTACGTGGAAGAGAAGGTACAGGAGGAATGTCCTCTCCGTCCTTGGCGTAGGTTTTGGAAAGCTGAGGATCCGATGCCCGACGGATTCGCATAAAACTGAACCGATTTCTTCGTAAATTGGGTTGGGGTTCTCCATGTGAGGAGGAAGCAAGGTCCGTCTGAGTTACCCCGGGGTTTGGCTCGGTCTCAGGTACCTCCAGCCCCCGTGGTGGTTCCATTACTCCATGTTCCGGTGCCAAGTTCAAAGCACGATGAGTTGCTTCGGAAAGTCTAGGCTCGATAGCCGGCGGAGAAGGACGTGGCAGATGTTCACTGCGGCGGGCCTGTGCCTGAGTTTCATTGGCGCTTTGACGTTTTGGACCATCGGCGACAAGCCGTAGGCCTTTCCAATGCATGGCTGCGAGATACCGAGACGGTCCAACCCATACGTGCAGGTAAATTGAGGATCGAGAATATCCTAAAGCATAACGACGTGGAGTGTTCCAGAACGCGGTGGGAATCGGTGAGTGGAGAGTCTGTCGTCAGCTTCGCAGAAAAGGGGAACGCGGGAAGAGAAGGGGGGTTGTGGGCGTGGCTTGTTCTAGATGCGCCACTTTGGCTATGTTTTTTTTTTTTTTTTCAGTGTTTGAAAAACACAGCAACAAGTGAGAAGAAAGGAATAGAAGGAATAGAACGAAGGCAAGGTCTTGGAGAAGAGAACAAGATGGGTACGGAGCACGAGGTGAAACGAGGTGAGTCTAGATTTCCTGAGAAATGCGACATTCTAAGCCGTTAAACCGGTTTAAGGGCTTAAGGGCTTTCTATATTTACTTTTTTGTCTCTCTATTTTTACCATTTACTATTTAATGCTAGTATTACTTTGCAGGGCTAAATTAAGCTATGACTCTCTATAATCAAGTACAACAGCAGTACGCTACATTCCGAGGTTGAATTTGAGGAACGGCATTAAAATCTACCCAGATGCCTGGATATAGAGAATTTAATGAATTAAGAGAGAGATATTTAAGAGTATCTATAGATATAGATACATAGGACTATTTAATATACGTAGTTACCTATTGTGTACTACTGTCTATCGGCTTATCGTCTATCTCCCCTCTTCTCCACATCTTTCTCTTTCCATTCTCTCACTTAACACACTCTCATCATGCATATCTTGCCGGCTCTTTTAGTCCTGTCGGCCATTCCTTTTACATATGCTGTTCCTGCAGGCTCTAGCATAACTCCTCCACCGCCCCTGCAACCCGCTCAATGTGGTCTTCGCTCCGATTCCCGCCGACCGTGGACTCGAGTCCGCGATTGGGTCATTGAATCAGTCTGGGGACTCAGCCATGACCGTTCTTTTCATCGACACGTAACAACTCCATCTCCAAATGTATGGGACCGATATGAGACAGATGTCGTTCTTCGATTTACCTTGAGTGATTCTGGCGACGCAGCAGCCTTGGCAGAGGCTGCTCAAGCACTGGTGTTGGATGTATGGGCTGTTACTGCAGAGTTTGTAGATATCCGGTTAGCAGGTGATATGGTGCGTATGGCTCATAATCGCCTTGGAAAACCCATTCCCATCTAATTGCGCTTTGAACAGATCCCCTCTCTGCTCCAGCTTCTTCCACCATCGCTCCACATGGCCCACCACCCCCTCATGGATGACTTAATCGAGATGATTTACGCCACTTACCCTAAACATCATACCACAGACCTCAGGACCGAGTCTGGGCTTTTGTCCAGAGGGAGTCAGACTGTAACGAACGGCGACGTCTTCTTCCGTGAGTTCCAGCCGCTCTCTGTGATTGTACAATGGATGCGGCTGATGGCGTCCATGTTCCCTACACACGCTCGTTTTACCAGTATCGGATTATCGTATGAGGGCCGTGAAATTCCAGCCCTGCGCTTGGGGAACCACGAGTCGAAACTTGCGGGCCCTCGCAAAACAATTGTCATCGCTGGTGGCCTCCATGCGCGGGAATGGATCGGTACCTCAACTGTCACATACGTAGCCTATAATCTCATCACTCGATATGGTAGTCTCAGACCTGTCACGCGCTTGTTAGATGAGTATGATGTGGTCCTGATCCCGACTCTGAACCCAGATGGGTATGCCTACTCATGGGAGCATGACCGACTATGGCGCAAGAACCGGCAACCAACAGGCTTGCCATTGTGCCCGGGAATCGACCTCGACCGGTCCTGGGACTTTGAATGGGACGGCGAGTCCACTCGCTCGACCCCATGCTCTGAGAACTACGCGGGTAGTGAACCATTCGATGCGATTGAATCACGTCGCCTTGCCCAGTGGGCGTTGAACGAGACCGCTGGTGGCCATGCAGAGATTGTCAGCTTCCTGGATTTGCACTCATACTCTCAGCAGATCTTATACCCTTATTCTTTCAGCTGCTCTTTCACGCCACCGACTCTCGAAACTCTCGAAGAGCTGGGTCTTGGTCTCGCCAAGACAATCCGGCATTCATCCCAAGAGCCATATGATGTGACTTCAGCTTGTGAAGGTGTCTTGCGTAGTTCCTCCACCTTTACTGCTGGCGGTAGTGCATTGGACTGGTTTTACCACAATTTGCATGCAACCACCTCCTTCCAAATCAAATTGCGTGATCGTGGTAGCTATGGATTCCTCTTGCCAGCGGAACACATTATTCCCACAGGCGAGGAAATCTTCCAGGCTGTCTTGACACTAAGTGATTTTGTCCAAGATGAGAGTCTGACTCCAAGCTTTGAGACCGAAGCTTCAAGTGATCAACAACTTCTGGTTTGATAATCAGCTATTTCAATTCTCCTGTCCTTACATAATTCATGATAGCCTGGGTTTTAAAAGCGTTTGGAGTTTTTCATGGGGTTTTGAAACTATGTATGAAACGTCGAATAATTTGTGTTACTATAGTCATACCTAGTCAGTTCGAAGAAAAAAAGATGACAAATTAAAAAAAAGATTCTATATTCTATTTCATTATAAAATCGAGACAGCTATGTTGAAGTGCTGCGCGTAAACTCGATATCTACCTAGGTATGTTGAACTAGGCATATTAATTTAAGTCGTAAAGTTGGCAGGACCAGACCAAGCTCTTAGTCTCCTGCCCCAAATTTGTATACCAACCACAAGCAGGAACGCTGCAACAACAGCTCCAGCCATACTGGAAAACTGCCGAATAGCGCCCTGCTTCTCATACCAATCAACCATGAAGTAAGACACGATGAATCCACCGATCACACGGCCGAAATTCACCCAAGCAGAGACCTCGCCACTGGCTTCGGGGTAGGCGTCCAGTAGATACGAGGCCACTGCGACGGTGACGATCATAATTCCGTATACGAAGCAGCCCCAGCCTAGAGCTGTGAGCATATAATGGTAATGACGCTCCAGAGAGAAACCCATTAGAATGGCACCACCAACCATGAAGGGCAGTGTGATCCAGATCGCGATGAGACGGGCCTCGGGATCGAGACGGCCGTTGTGGCGTTTTGCGTATTCTTTGGCGATGATGTCGTAGAGCCAATGGCCGGATATTTCACCGAGAATTGCGGCCACGATGGGGGTGAAGTAGAAAAAGCCAATCGCCTTTGCTTGGAAGTCATATAGGGGGGTGAGGAGGATGCTGAGCGTGGTGTTGATACCGACGATCCAGGCGAATGTAAGTAAATAATAAATAGTCATGATGAACACAACAGGCTTGCAGATCATAGTGAGAGGGCGCATGCATGCGTTCTTGAATGAGATCTGAGTGTAATTTGTGCGGTATTGTTGAATACCGATCATGCGCTGCCAGCGAGGACCGCTGGTGACGAGCTCTGGCTGCCCAGTCTTGCGGTCATAATAGGTCTCATCCATGAAGAGGATGATAGCGATCAGACAAAGACCGGTCTCGATAGCGTAGACACCAAAAGCCCACTGCCAGATCTGTGTGTCGGTAATGAAGGCTGCGAGGAGGGGACCCATGTATGGGGAGATGACGATGAGACCGGACCAAATATTAATTTTGCGGGCGTGCTCATGGAAGAAGAACATATCTTTGATGAACATGAGACCACCCTATTTGGAATTAATACTTGATATTGAGAGAAGTTATATATTGATTGTACTCACTCCTTGTGCGACAGTAGAGAAGAAACCGTTCAGAATTCGAGCAGCCTGTAGAGATCGAGTTAGTTACCGACAATCCACTGAAACAAGCGATAAGAAAAACTGACCATGAACGAGTCAAAACTTTTGGCTGCAGCACACCAGACGGCAGTACCGACAGCCAGCAAAGTCCACCAGAAAAGAAGAGGGAAGCGTCCGAAATACGCAGCCAATGCGACGATGATAGGACCAGCAGCACCGACCATAAATACGTTTCCAACCTGCGAGTGGTTGACAACATTGGGATCCATATTCCACTCACTGTCATCGAAGAATAAGTCAGTTCAAGTTCAAATTGCGCAAAATGAAAGCAAAGTCCCAACATACACTCCCTGTGGCTGCAAGGCCAAAGCTCCAGTTGCGCTACCATAATCAGGCAAGAAAGCCGTTAACGAGATAATAATCAAGAATAAATGCTTGCGGAAGGGCGACCAATTCAAAGGATCATTAGGCGAGCTACTCGGTTGAGGAATTAGGATAGTGCCATCAGGCGCCGTCTTGAGACCATTTTTTTGAGCAAGAACAGCATCGTTCAAGACATAACCTTCGCGCTCGCCAATTTCCTCCAAGTCAATACCCACGACTTTATTGGGGTTTGAAGCTTCGATTTGCTTTTCAGCATCTGTGATGGAACTCATCGGAGTATATCAGATGGCCAAAGAGGCCAAGAGGAGTTATATAAGACAATGAAGAAAGCGATAATATTTGAACAGGAGAAGAGAGAGAAGAAAGAGAGAAGAAAACCCTGAAGTCTTAGATTTTAAGGTACACGTGGGGTAAAATAACTGATAGAAAATTTAAACTTTGGGTCGATCCTTTCTTTGCTTCCAATTTGTTCTTAGGGCTAATTTTTATTTATTTCGCGCCTGGCATCCATTCGGAATCCTGGGCAAAAGACCAGGAATATCTCCACTCTGGCAACAGTACTAGTCATTTCATCAAGTTAGCTTCAATCAATGAAATGAAAATGATCAGAATTGGGCCGTGTTGGTTCCTTTGGCCTCGTATTGCTTCTTTTTTGTCCGGGCTCTAACGTTAGTGCCTGGCTATTTTAGCTGGTTTGGCGTAGTGGGGCATGAGGAAGCTTTTTACGTCTTTTATTGGCTTAATCTCAAGGTTTAATGGGGCTCAAAACCGCCGGGACGGCGCATGACCTCCCCGCCAATAAAAATCATATCAAAGCCTTTCGGCCGGGGTTTAGAACTGGTGGTAGACTCTAGAGCTTTGGACTCACCGGCTCAGATTGAGTTTGCACCATTAGAGGTAGTCTATTGGTTCTCATATGTAAGGGTCTGGGATTAAGATTTTGCACGAGGTTGCAAAGATAAGGTTCGCCCCCGAACCACGACCTTGGGATATCTCTGTATAACCAGGTATCCTAGGTATACTTAGAACCGGTACCTCCTAAATGAGTCATAACCATGGATGTTACTGTGTAAAATCATCCCCTAGCTAGTTGCTTTGACACATTTTTTTTTCTTCCAATATAGTCTCCACAATGACACCCAATAAAGGAATAGATTAATGCCTAGTCGAGCCAATTAAACCCCTTGATATTCTTTCAAACATTTATGCATTTTATGGTCATCTCTACATAAGGGCACTTGTCATAGCTAACATGCCCGCCAAACCTTTATATAGTATAGTTGTTAAATCAGTAACAACATAATTATCTTGCGGCTTGCCACATAAACCATAATGGCCTTATCAATTGGCGCGACATAGAGCTTATTTCACATTATTTTCGTAGCCTTATCACTGATGCCCTTGATTTTTTGGAGCGCTTTTAGGAAACGCGCTTTCAATATATTTGGTCATAATGTTTCGACTACGCTAATACATTGATCCCGAAGGTGCTTGAAAACTGAACATACATGAAAAGGTATCAAGAAAAATTGTATATGAAAGTTCCCAGGAACTACATAGGGTGTTCAGGAAGCTGCTGTCCACAGCTGGTACCACTCAATCAATAAATGCCCATCAAGCGGTTCCATCACCGCAATAGGTCTGGCTGGCAGCCTTACTCTTGCTGGCTGTACACTCCCCAAAATCTCTCCGCACAAGAGACTTTTTTTATCTGCCTATTTGCTTAACTTGTTTGGAAGAAGGCTGGAAACTGAATTACTCCTACGAGCATTTATATATTTGCAACATTTTTACAGAAATAGCCCTGGAGACCAATTAAGCGGCTATGGATGGACCATATCATATAGTTACACATTGGGTATGTTAGATAGATAGTTGTGCTTTCCTTGCAGTGATAATGCCTCAATGACTCAAGATGATTGGTCTTTATACATCCAGTCCAAGGGATCGTCATGCAAAGGGTTAAGGCAACGTATCTTAGAAAAAAGCGATCAGATGAATCTAATCCTGGCCTACCTACTTGGCTCTTTCCACCATCTTAGAAGGTTCGGCAATCTGGCCGAGTCGAATGATGGTTATTAGGACTTAGATCTTAGTGCCTGCCTACCTAATAGTAGCGAGCAGTCTCTGCGACGTGCTTTGATTAGGAATAACCATTTCACTTTGCAGCAGCTGCACAGTTGACCACCTCTTCTGGCATCGGCACGTTGGCAGCCACTGCCTCAGACCATAAATCAGCCGTACCGACGCTTGATATAAAAACATGGGGCAGCTAAGACAGGGCGTAGATCATGATACCGATGACTGACAGTAGTGATTATTAACTAGCACTCACTTCCACTGATCTTATCAGTATTCGGGAAGATTCAAGGGTTAAATGCATGCAGTTACAATCCTCAACTTCGAAGGTAGACCTTTGCCGATTCCCCCCAGACCACAGCCCGCTTGTCGATATAAAACTCAGGTGCATTTTCCAGCTTGGTTCTTTCGATTGCCTCCGCAAGAACCTCACCAAGTCCCTCCTTGATTTCTGGAAGAGTATATAGCATTGTCATAAATGAAAACAGCAAGTTATGGGGTTGAGGTAGCCGGTGTAGCACTTGTCGCTCAACACGAACGCATGCATAGATGGCATTGGCTACTGGTCATAGTCATAGTCATTACCCAGGTGGAAAGACGTACAATGTTGATATCCAATTCCTCCTCAGGTATCGACTCTCCTTCATAGAGGCGATTACCGGATGGTATAAAAAGCTGATCCGTTGTTTGGATTGTCCAGTTAGTTCGTTCCACAAACCTGCCCATGTTAAGCTTATTGAAAAAGTAATATATGCTCTTTTCGAGCTTTTCATTCTACTTCGGTGCCGGTTTGTGAATCTCTCTTAGCTTGAAATTCATGATTTTTATAGGGTCAAAGCTATCGGGAAAATAGTTCACAAATCCTCTAAGCGTTACACTGTCTTTATCTTCAAAGTATACTATGAAGAGAGAATCATGTTCGACTAAACTTCCAATCAGCCGAAGGGTTTCTAAAGTCTTATCATTCGGAGTCAGAGGAAAGATCTCGCCGGTGACTAGGCTATGCAATACCGACTCAGAGCTATCTAAAGATCATCGCTTCTCAAACATACTTGGGAAGCGCGTAGGGACATAAGTTCCCACGGGCCAGGTATAGAATTCGTCGACGGCTGGCTTCACGCAGTCTACAGCAGCAAGTACCATTTCTGGATACTTGGCCATCATCTTTTTGCGTAAGGTGATATGGTCGAGATAATTATTAATTCTTGTCCCTTAGATCAGCTCGCTGACAGTTGCATCTTCTAGTCCTGGATATCTTTTTCAGGGCTGTTTAGTTGACCTGCTTTACTTCGGGGTAACTTTTCATGGTGATATTGTATTTGGGCTTGAACGGATAGACTTTGGCATGCTCTGTCTTTTTCAAATCGAAGGGTGGAAGACTTCAACTGGGAGCTCTCTCTCACTTACTTAGCAATTTGTTGTTTAAACTAAATAACTAACTTATCCCTCTCAAACAAGCTTACTAAGAATCTCAAAATTGGCGGTGACGAAGTCGGTCATCAAACTAGTGGAATCTGCCCGCAATTCCAACCCTAACCTTAGACCAACCATCTCCAAACACTCATCAACTCACATAAATTCGCCATGGCGCACTCAAAGCGCAACACATCACTCCCTCACTTCACCTCATATGAGCGCAACCTCCTCCGCGACCAATGGGGCTCAAAACGAAGCAATATAGGCCGAGACTCATTCCTTCAATTCGGCTCATGCCGCCTCTGTCTCCAATCAGCCCGCGCGCCCGTAGTAGCTTGCGCAACAAACGGCGACATATTATGTCGTGAATGCGCAATAAATGACTTGTTAGCCCAAAGGCAAGAGATCAAACGCCTAGAGCGCGAGCGCGAAGGAGCTATAAAGCGCATTGCAGACGACGACGAGCGCACGCTTGAAGAAGCGCGCAGGAAGGATCTACATGATTTTGAACTCGTTTCTATGGGGTTAGAAGCTGGGCTTAAGCCTGGACAGAAAAGGAAGGCTGAAACTGATGAGGCGATTGCTGCGTTTAAGGCGCGCGAGGTTGAGGTTGATGGGAAGAAGAAGAAGGTTTTTGAGCTTGATGAGAAGGTTATGGCGCGTGTTGCTCGTGAGGAGGGGGAGCGATTGAAAAACGAGCTGAAGAAGGAGAAGGTTTGTTTCTTTTGTTGTGATTGGGATTGGGATTTGTTTGGACTAACGCCTTGATTCTCAAGACTGAATCTAGTAAATCAGCCCTGCCATCCTTTTGGATTCCGGCTTTGACGCCTTCGACGGATGCGGACGAGATTGCCGCTCAGAAAGTCGTCAAATTGACACCTATCTGCCCTGCGTCGTCAGATAAGAATCAGCATAGCTACTCGCTCAAATCGCTTGTCGATGTCCATTTCACAGAGGAGAAAGGTGCCGATGGCTCTACCGCACGTGTGTGTCCTAGTTGCAAGAAAGATCTATCGAACGGACTCAAGGCTATGCGTATGTTGCTGATTCTGACACGTGTCTTGGCCAATCTTTTCTAATCCTTTCTTTGTAGTTACGAAACCGTGCGGCCATGTTATTTGTTCTCCGTGCGTCACTAAGTTCATGAGTCCTCATGGCGTTATAGATCCCCATGCCTCGAAGGAAGAGCAGGCGCTCCATGGAAAGGTACTGTGTTATGTCTGTGAGACAGACGTTACACCGTATGGTACAGAGAAACCTACAGATGTGGACGGAAGCAAGAAAAAGAAGAAGAAAGATAAGGATGGGATCCGGCCGGGTCTTGTCGAGATCAGTTCTGAAGGAACGGGTTTTGCGGGAGGAGGTGCAACCGTCGCTACAAAAAGTGGCGTAGCATTTCAATGTTAAGATAAAAAGCCATTCAATTATCAGATTAAAAGACCGAACAATGTCACCCAAGGGGCTATAGAACGCCAAATCATGCAAAAAACCAAGTCTTCCAATATATATATACAGAGCCAACCGGTTAAAGTATCGTAATCATGACCGCTCTATGATATTCTCCTAGGCCTTTTTCTTGGCGTTGTTAAACTCACGTACTGTAATCGAGCAACTGACCTCCTGGCACAGACGACGGCGGCGGCTAGGGTCGAGCTTAGCCGCAAACTCCAGACCAGACGCACGCTCAACGTCCTCGAGGCGGACCTCAAAGTCCGACAATGGCTTAGAATTTGGAATGCGGGCATTGGGCAAAACGAAAGCGCCGAGCGCGACCTTGCTCTGAGGCAGGTTGGAGCCGTCCTCGGCGTAGATAACTTTGTAGAAGTGGGTTGGGACAGCGACGTTGGGAGGGTTGCCGATAACTTCGTAGTTGACGCGCCATTTGCCGTCTGGATCGCGGTGAGGCAAGTATAGAGGTCCAGTGACTATGCGAACAGAAGGGTAACGGTTGGCTAAATTGCGGCAGAAATCTTCAAAATGCGCCCAGTAGTCGCGGTTGAAGCCTTCGCCAACCTGCGGGCACATATTGGACAGGGCAAATGTGCCGTTCATCGCTTCTTGAGACCATTTAGCATCGGCGGCAGGAACTTGGTGGCCGCGGTCGTAACCAGAGCGGAAGTAGTCGGACAGCAAGGCGCGGAACTGGGTTGGGATCGTGGAATCCTCGTGGAATGTGCTATGGCGCCGGTCTCCATTCTTGATAGCCAGCGATTGTGGGGTTATGTGTTCCGCAACCCAGGCAGGGTTACGGGTTCGTCGATCGTAAGCGCCGTGAAGAGGGAGTGAGGAAAGCTCGTCGGCCACAGGTCCAGGGAAGCCATATTCGAGAACGCCAGCCGGGTTCACTGGACCAACTGCAAGTTTGGAGGCAAGGTTTGGGGTTGGGACCGAGGAAGGAACCTTCACGGCAGTAGAGATCGAAGGAGAGGGCGCCTTTTCTTGTTCTTGACGAGCGGGAGAGGGCTTGGAGTAAAACAAAGCAGTGACACCGGCGCCAGTGGCGGCACTGGCAGCTGCGATCACAGCCAAGGTTGCCTTAGACATATTCGCAATAGCCAGGACTTTCAACGAGGAGAAAGTTGGTGGTTCTAGAAAAGCAAAAGTCGGGGAAACAAAATCAGAAAAAGGAAACTAAAAAGGGACGTCACGGGCCAATCAGGTGATCACATGGTCCAAATTGGTCTGTGAAACAGATCGGCTGCTATTTTGTTAAGTCTTGTTGCTCAAGATAAGGTCGGACCCAGGTATATACGCCGTCGGTCTCATCTGATCAACTAGAATCAAATCCGAGCGAATCATCACATGGTAAGGGACCTTGCAGTGACGCTTGTCGATTTTATTGTCAATCAGGATCTTATGTTAGTAGTTGGTCGTACGGACTTGTTAGTATATTTTGGTAACACCATAATTAGTTGTATGAATTGCTGTAACCTGCCATAGTCTAATAGACATATCTCTGTCTCTTTCCCCTCTGATCTTGTGTTGACCTTGTCAGTCGCCGCTGGGATATGCTAGCAGGAATGCGGGCAATGCGGGCAATGCGGGCAATGCGGGCAAGTGGGAACCTTGGAGGAAAGTGCGTCATGTCTCAATCCACTATATGCTATAGGAGGGGGTTAGTACTAAGTGAAGTAGACTAGGAAGAGAAAACTTGGGGAAAAGAGGGATCGCTCTCTTTTTCAAATGAAGGTCGAAGGGTTGGAAAAAATAGGTAGAGCTCTTGACCGCCAACAGCTCTTCACTTACATCACCAGTGCCGTTTCTGTTCTTCATCTCCACCCAACACCCACCATGGCTGCCAACGATCTCCGTGGCTGGGTGATGAGCGCCGTCTCAGGCATTGGTGAGACCTTTCTTATACTGGACCATTGACCTCTGCTGATCAGTCTTTCTTCTAGCCTGCGTCTTTGGTGCATCCTTGATATGTGTCGACGTGATTTTGCGACAGACTGCCATGTTTAAAGGCTTCCAGATCACTAACAGCAACAGCTTCCTGTCAGCCTCTCTTTGTTTGAGTGCTGGAGTAATGGTGAATTGTCAATTGGACTAAAAGAGGCTTTGTCTCCAAATTCAAGATACTAACTAGTTGATAGCTCTTCACGTCCCTCTATAGCATGCTTCCAAAGTCGCAAGAATACTTAACGCGCGGCGGATTCTCCCCTTCTGTATCTGCCTATATTTTGATTGGCTTCTTTCTAGGAGGAGTTATTGTCATCCGAGTCACATCCGGCTTCCTCCATCGCTTCATCCCGTCGCATGTTGTTGATTGTGATCATAGTCATGATGGGCCGGAAACCGATCCTGAACGGGCCGAGGGTCAAATTGGAGACAACACTCATGGTTCCCTCAACGGATGGCATGAGCAATCACCTCTTTTACGACCTGGCAGACTTCAACCTTCCAGGTCTGAGACAATATTAGAGCACGTGAAGCGCCCATCTCTCAGATCGAAAGTGTCACGGCGCATTAGCTCCCTGGTGGGAGGTGTCAAGCACATGTGCGACGAGGACGGACCATGCTATGGATTTTCTCAAACTTGTGGTCACGAATGCACCAAAGTTCTTCCCATTACCAGCTCTCCACCAACCAAAAGCACGCACGATACCACCGCACACGACGCACCAACGCCGAACGGAAATAGTGCGTTGCACTATGATTCTACATCCACGCAGACTCGTATGCCCGGTAGAAATGCTTCTGATGTGAGCATCAATGGGATTCCGGTTTCGCACCAAGATGATCACCACCACCGCCACCACCACCATGAATATGACGAACACCACGGTCCGGCGTTGTCCAAGCCGCCTGGTGACAGCAATCACCATCACCATGTCCCACAAAATGCCTTCCTTTCAATAGGTCTCCAGACATCGTTGGCTATTGCTCTCCATAAACTCCCTGAGGGCTTCATTACATATGCTACGAACCACGCCAGCCCCACTTTGGGTCTTACCGTCTTTGTAGCTCTGTTCATTCACAATATCGTGGAAGGATACGCCATGGCTCTGCCATTGTATCTCGCTCTGCATTCTCGCTGGAAGGCCATGTTCTGGTCTAGTCTCCTGGGTGGGATTAGCCAACCTGCTGGTGCTGGTCTGGCGGCGTTGTGGCTCTGGACCTCTGAGCGCCATCGAGGCCATAACGACGAAGGGTCTTCTTGGGGTGTATACGGTGGTATGTTCGCCGTTACCGCTGGAGTGATGACCTCTGTTGCCCTCTCGCTCTTCAGTGAGGGTCTAGGCCTGACCCACCATCGAAACCTTGGAATAGGATTCGCAGTTGCTGGTATGGGATTGATGGGCGTCAGCTTTGCCTTGACGGCTTAGTGAAACTTACTTCCCACTGATCATAATCTGATCACATTCCTATAATCTTCCTTTTCTGTGGTAAACTGCAGTGTGCGCACTGATCTTATCAGGCAGTTTGCCGTGTATTATTTTCGAGTTCGTATCCATATTTTACTTCGCTGGAGGTGATCCGTTAGCTGCAGGATAATTCAATAAACAATTCACGAACATACTACCTGATCAAAGACGTTGTAAATGTATTCAGTCTTTTAAATTGATAAAAGGGGAAAAGTTCAAACATTTGAAGCTTCAACATCAGCCTCACTTGGACAACTCAAACTTCAACTTCAAGGCCCTCAAGCAAAATTCACAACCAAAAATCAATGACTGTTGACCTGCTAGGCTTCTGCCTGAGGGAATCAGGTGTGATACCTACCGAGCTATCAAATACTTTGTACAGATACTGTACTTGGCGTAGATCGGTTATAGTAACTTCCGGACGAAATACTCTTGTCCGAAGCCATGTGGCCCAATAGTAAAATAAGATGCCCTGTCCATGGAGATTGTAAGTTTGATGCTTAACAAAGTCATCGGTAAAGGAACAAGTATTTAAGTCCTGAGTTCACTATTTAGCTTCTTTACTTCTGAGTTCTGATAAAGTGCGTAGCTACGGTACTACCAACTGGTCGTTTGGAGGTCCAAGAGATTAGCGGATAAATAAGTCTACTGGTGGGGTACAGGGTAGAGTTTTGTAAGATTTAGCAAAAACTCCTACTATGGCAAGAGTTTTTAAAACTGGTGATTTTAGTACACAAGAGGCCAAGGTATGTGATTATTAACCCCAATTTTGTTCGTTATATAGGATATACCCACTTATAAGCTCCACTGATCTACGCCCCCACTTATTCCGAGTTATTTACTTCTGAACAGTACGTAGTAGTAGTCAGACCCTTCACTACCTGGACACTCACAGTTATTAACGTGATGACAAGTACATATTAAGTAGTGAGTAATCACCGTCAGTTTTGAGAACGGGATTATATGGCCTAAAGATTTAGGCAATATTTTTTCCCCAACCAGTCTTACTAGCCATATATTTCAAAATATTTCTTTTGTATTTTATATATATAATTTATAACTATTGACTGAACTAAAAACCCAGGGAGATATTTTCAATTTAGGTCTCCAATCCCAAGACGCCAACAAAAACCAGATAACTGTATTTTAAAGTGCCTGTACCGAGATTCTTCTCGGTGCACCATTTCCATTTGACAAACCAGGTCCACTGGACTCCCGCAGGTGGTTGTGATGCAGTTGGCCCTGGTCATCCAAATCCTCAACATCAATACTGAAGCGTCTCGGTCTAGACCAAACACCAAATTGTTCTCCCCCATTGGCATCTCCCACGCCGCTAATCTGCTCAGACTGCAGTCCGAATCGCTCAGTTACCAGAGCAATAATATCAGGGTGTGCCGAAGGGCGCGAGCTCTTGCCTGAGCCGAGACGAGACTTGGCACGACGATATAGCTCCATGTGCTGCGAGACTATGTCTGCTATCTTCGGGTGTTCTTTTGCGTCAGAGTCGCTCAGCATATCGAATAGAATGCCTTCGTGGAGAGTGACTGCTGACTGGTGGTCACCGGATGCAGTGAATAGACCTGAGAGCAACTTTGTCATGTCTAGCGTCACACTGTCGCAGCTGCCCCATACCTGTCGCAGGTTGTAGCAGATGTCTCGGCATAGCTGGATTGCTGAATCGACTGAGCCACGGCAGAAGCGGGTTTCCACTAGTCGGCGACCGATCCAGACGACCACGTCTGGGGTCCAGGTGCGCTGGACAATACGCGAGGTCCACAGCTGGGTGAGAATAGCTTCAAGGTCGTCGAACATCTCGTATTCCCCTAGTAAGGTGATGATGTCGTTCAGTTCTGTGAATGGGAGATCGACAATCTCAATGCCGATGGCCTTGGAGGATGCCATGATCTCCTGGAGAAGGAGCTTGGATTTTATCGACATTTCATTAAATAGCTTCTCACTGTGACACTTCTTCGCTGAATGGCCGCTCAGGTATAGGCCTAGCTTTGTGGCTGTGATGATGTTGTCGTAGTTGTTCAAACCGTCTGTCAAGTGCAAGAACGAGTGTAGAACACCCGTAATATCGCTAGCTTCCTGGAACTGAGACGAGTTGCATAAATCACGAACGAGACTGGTTGTTGTGTTGAGAATGATCGTGTTGTGGTTCTCGTTATGAACTTCGCGCAGACAGATCAAATAGAATTGGTGTACGATGTCTCTGTTGGCAATATCGATCGCGGACAAAGTAGCGCAGAAGTAGTCGTACAGCTTGTCCTGAGACTCCTTTGCAGCACGAGTGCGCTTTTGTTCGGTCTGAAGGCGAGATAGGCGATCACCAGCGACGAGGGTTGGAATGAAGTCATGGCCAGACAGGTTCTTGGTGAACGTCTGGTGGACATGCATCTCGCGAGTCATCTCAGTGATAATCTGCTCGTGAGTGGCACGTCTACCGAAGGTCTCCTCAAAGGCTGCTACAAATACTGCATCGCGACGGTCACCAAGTGCCATTGCAGATGTGTCAGATCCGTAAACCACACGCCGGCGTAGCTCATCTAGAACGCCGTTGCCACCGTCAATGAATCCACACTCTAGGTATATTGACGCAATCTTGCGTGCCCAGTCTGCCATCATGCCTGAATCACCGCCTGCGTGGAGGACATCCGTGGTGTAAGTGTGGAGAAGGGCATTTCCTTGCTGCACAGATGCGGGGGTACCCTGGCGAGAGTGGGCAAGCGCAAGCTCGCGCAGCCAAGACAGAGTCGTGGTGGAGAAGTATCCCTGATGCTTCTTAGCCAGCTGATACTCCTCAGTGTATAGAGTGCGCGCTTCATTAGTTGAGTCACGCTTGCGGACAAAGAGCTGTGCCAGCTTGTGCTTGAGCGTGATCGGCAACGGTTGGGTCATTTGATCAAGGCCCTTGGATGATTGGGAGGCCGGAATCCACTCATTGGTCTGCAGAGGAATCTTGTACAGAGAGATAGCCTGATCAGTGTAAGAATCGCTTGACTCGCAGAGTTCCGCAAAGAGCAGAGTAGCGTTCAGTGTCTTCTGGTGCGTGGGACCATACACGTTGCGGCAAGTCGTCACGTAGTCAGAAGCAACCTTGTAACGCTCTGCAAAGCTGGAACTCTTGGGATGGTTAGAGAGGATTGATGTGTAGCCCATATAAGTCTTCTCCAGCATCCGCTCGATTTGAATACGTTCTTTACTGCTATGCTCAGTGCTCTCTTCCACAACGAGCGTTGGCCACAAGTGTCGGTAGACTTCGAGGGCAGAATCCCATTGAAGTCCCTTCTCGTACAAGGTTATAAGTGCAAGGGAGGCTTCAACTCCTTCTGGTGCAACCTTGTTGTCACGCATGGTACACTTGTAGATGCGTTGGTACGTGTTCTTGGCCTCATGGCTCATCTCCAAGCGGTTTGCCAAATTAGCCTCCAGATACAAGTTCTCGATGGTGTTTCTGTGGGTCTCTCCTATCCTAGACGTCAGGAAGTTGCTCACTGAGTGCAGGAGGACAAGGGCCTTGTTGAACTGGAAGGTAGTCTCGTAAAACTCAACCACTGCCTTAGCGACAGCCAGGACAGAGGCCACTGGAACCTTTTCAGATACGAGAAGGGTTCCAAATGCGTTCTCATAGACAATCGTAGCGTGCTCGAGACGCAGTCTACGGAAGTGGCAGTATGCCAAAATCAGAGCAATATCAGCAATTGGTGGTGCGAGATCTGTGCCGAATTTCTTGTGTGATCCAGCTTGCTCAACGGTGGGCCAAATATGCTGCAGAACGGCCTTGGAGCAGTCACTAGCCCCAGCCCAGTCTTCTTCACGCACGTAAATACTTGCAAGGTTGTGACACAGTATCAACGTGGACACAGAGAGGTTATTTGTCGATGATGTAATGGAGTCCAGAAGCTGAATCATCAACTTGCGGTCTCCTCCAGACATGGACATGGTGTCCTCGATGGTGTTTGTATTCGCCATACTTCTAGCAAGCGACATTGCCAGCTTTGTTCCATCGGCAGAGTATTCCTGGTTAGTTTCCTTGTAATAATGCCACATGAGAATAGACAGGGAACGATCGAGACTGTACATGTGAATTTCACGAGTCTCTGCGCGAAGCAACTGCACACGCTGCATCATCTCAGGAGAATGGATGCCAGTGACTTCGAGGTCTGCTACAAGCTCGCGGATGATAACCTCTGCTTCATCGTTGCGACCCTGTCGACGCAGGAATTGGTAGTAAGCCAAGGCGGCGCTACCCTTCTTATCCATAACATCAACCGAATCGATGTCGCGAGAGTTAAGGCCTGCCCACATGCTTGAGAGAACACTCTGAGCCTGTGCATGCTCTCCCTGTTGCTCGTACAGCTGAGCCATTGCAAAGGTATGTGTAATACGACGCTCGTCGGTGACTTCCATGGTGCGAATCACATTGTCATACTTGGTACGTGCAATGTCTCGGCTCATCTCATCACTGCCAGTGGTCGAGAACTGACCAGTCAAGAAGTCAGCAGCCGAGGAGGATTGCCTCGAGTTAGTACCATACTTCAGAAGAATCTGCTGGTAGAACTGCTTTGAGATGAGAAGTGCAGAGGTATTATCGCTATGAGACTTGTTCATGCTGACAACCATTCCGAGATACTTCAGTCGCTGATTGAAGTCAACGCCAGTGATATCGGAGTCGGTCAGGATCCAATACTTCATGATGTCTTCTTGCTGAGAACTCATGGTTCCTCGTTCACCAAATGACTTCGTCATCATCTCGGCACAAGACAACGTAATCTTGTCAGATTGTCCCAGAAGCTCCTGGCTGAGCTTCCATGCCTCGTAGCTTTGCTCATCGGCAAGGCTAGCGTGAGCCATATTTGAGACACGCGCACTGAGAAGCAGACTTTGCAGAAGAGCCATGGACTTCTCACCCAATACAACGCGGCGGATATCCGTGGCTAAACGGTAGAGCTCAATCACACTTGAGCGGGTGAACTGCGACTCTCGGCAAGTCAGCTCGAGACGGGCGAAGAGAACAGTCACAGGAACCAGCTTCTTGAAACTCGCGGTGAATTGAAATTCACCATCATCTGTAATCATTTTCGAGAACAAAAGGTGAGAGAGCCAGTATCGTGCCGTATACTCCAGCATCACATACTTGTCGAAGAGACGGTTGCGTTCTTCCATGCCCAGCTTGTCTGTAGAAACTTCAGTTTCCTCTCGCACGCTCAATTGAACCCAGGCAAGGCATCTCATGAGGATATCAAGGTGAGCACCTTTATAGTTGAGAGTAGCCTTTGCATTGTCGGATTTTGCGAGGTTGATAACATGCTCACGAATGGAAGTGTGTGCAAATGATACCACGCCGTCGCGGGTCAATATCACGGGACTCAGAGACTTGGACCAGCCACTATCTGCACGAGAAAGACGGGAAATAAAGCTTGGAGTATTGAAATCAACAGCCATGAGCTGTTCAATCTCTTGAACCAACAGGGGTCTCTCTGCCGCAGCTAGCCATTGCATAACACACCGCGTCTCAGTCTGATTGAGATCCAGATTCTTCATATGAACGTCAAGGAGCTCGGACGCTGACTGCGGCAAGCTTTGTACAGATTGAACAGCCTGGTCCAAAGTCCTCTGCTGGCGGGCATTCGCAACTGCCATCTCAGCCCAGCTGAATGAACCTTGAGAGCGATTGACAATGGCAATCACAGCAGATTCCATCTGCTTGCTCTTAATGTTTTCAGAGCTGAATCCTGACGAAAGTGCCTTCTGGATATAGGTAGTCAGATCTTTCTGTGTCTGGGAAGTTTGCATCTTGAACTGCACAGTGTTCTTGGCGTAAATGTGTGAGCTCAGTGGTCGAGTGAAGGTGATCATCTTGGATCCAGTATCCTGTTCATCCAAAATGGTGCTGAACTTATCAAGGAATGTGGTAGCATCAACATCACCACCCTTGATCTGATCAAGACCGTCAACCACAAACATGTATTTAATTTCCGTGGCAAGTCCGGTATGGATACCTTTCCATAGATACTCTTCAACTTGGGCTTCTCCCTCTCCATCGAGCGCGCCTTGAGCTGCCTTTGCAACATAGAACAAAATATCTTCCTGGGTACTCTTTTCGCTGACACAGTGGTCTAGCATCTGGTGCAATATACCTTTAAGAATGCGCAGTGGAAGGGTCGCAACCGGGATATCAGCGCCTGACTATGTCAATATGGAGTAGGCAAGGTTTGAGGTTTGGGGAAGATCGTTAAACTCACGGATCGTATATGGGATGACGTGCCATTCTTCATGCTCGGCTGATTCCTGCATCCGCTCAACGGTCCACTGTGCAAGAGCACTCTTACCAGCACCGGGGCCACCTGTAACCATCATCACAGGATGATCCCCAACGCTGAACTCATACAGAGAATTGTTGAACCACTCGAATGAGCCCTCCGCGAGGGAGTGAGCGCGGGAATCGAGAATGAACTGAAGTGGACGATCCTGCACACTTAGGAATTGGCGTAGGCTGCCTAGCTCAGGGCTTGGGAAGATCAATGAGCTCTGTTCTACAGCTTTGAAAGTGGCAGACTCGACGATAGCATTCCAATGAGTCGAGTATCGGAGAGCATAAGACACGAATGCTGCGTCGACATTATGTTCAATGATCTTGGGGGACTCCTTGCTCTTTGAGCCTTCAATGCAGCTGCCAGTGGTACTACAAATCATCTCGAGAAGATCTGAATAGACGGCAGCTGCCTCTGGCTGAAGTTCTGGAGAGTTTATGAAAGCGCTTTCATACTGGAGAAGCAGACGAATTCCAACTGCGACGCGGCCGTATCTGCCGAAGACTCTCTCAAAAACATCAGTGTTATCCAGGTCAGACTGATTAATCAGTTAGTTTCCAGTGATTTAAGGAATTTGATGGAGTTTGGAGTTCACTTGCCTCCAACAACATGATAGAGTAGCCCCATATAAGCTTTGCGGCTTCGTTGGCTCCAGGGGCAAACGCACCGACCGACTCACGAAGAGCATCAACTGTATAAGCCAGTCGAGATGCCCATCTGAGGCAGCAATCCAGTCTACTTCCATCACGCGGCATCCAGCGAAGACGTTCAGCTGCTACAGCATCAAAGAAAGCATCCACAGTAGGACTGCGTTGGCTTATCTCGTTGGCTGACAAGCCTAACTGAGTCTTGCATTTTTGAGAAACTGCCTGGACCTTCTCTTGCAAGATAGTTAACTTGTAACTACTGCCACCCAAGTTTTTCACAGTCCTAGTGGTGCCAATACCACCGCTTGTATCGGTAGTACCTTTAGTCGCGAGTTGAGCATTCTCTGCACGGCTATAACTGCCTGGGCTGATTTCTCCCTCGTTAAAATCCTGTTTGAGTCCTCCACCAGCGATTCCCCTCATTGCGAGGCCACTCTGGTCGGACATTCCCTTTCCTGTCTGGCCAGACATAGCGGGTTGCCCGCCCATGCCGGGAATTTCTGAGTCGCTTTTGCTCGTATGACGGGAGGTACTGCTTTTCTGATCCATACTGGAAACTTCCTTTCTTGTCTTGCCAGACGTCATGGTTTGGTCACCAAGACCAGAGTAGGTATTGCCGGTCTGTCGAGCGATTGTATTCTTCTGGTCCACACTTGAGATCTCTTTGCGAGGAATTTCGATAGTCGTATTTTGTTTGCCTTGGCCAATGAATTCATTGCTGGGCTGTCCAGTGGTAGTGGATCGCTGACCAAGGCCGGTTTTATTCAAACCGGCAGCACCCAGGCCAGCAGCACCCATACCTACAGTACCAACTCCCCGGCCGAGTTCTCCTTGCTGAGTAGTCGTCGACTTCTTGTTTGCCTTTACATTGCCAGAGCTACTTCCACTGCTTGCTTTCTCTTTCTGGCTTGATTTTTTACTGAAGAAACCGAGACCAGCTCCTCCTTTAGACTTTGATTTTCCAGTGTTTCCATCGTCAAAGACATCTGAGCTAATATGCGAGTGTTCAGCGAGTTCTTGGTTGATCAAGCCCCGTGGAGAGTTTTCAGTTGGATTTTGCCCACTGGCGATGTTGTTTTTGGCAGAATTTTCCTGATTCGTTCCAGTTCGACCATGGTTTGCTGATCCCACTACACCAGCTACTGCTGCAGTACCAGCACCAACACCAGCTGCTGTTCCAGATGATGTTATTTTGGATCTATTGGGTTCAGATCCAGTAGGTCCAGAGTCAGTTGTTTCTTTAGATTCTTTGACTCCAGATCCACTGCTGACCTTGGATCCGTTAGGTCCAAATCCAGCTGTTTCTTTGGATTCATTACCGCCAGTTCCACCGATTATCTTGGATCCCTTGGGTTTGGATCCTGATATATCCTTAGGTCCAATGGCAGATTCATGCTCAGTGGCTCTCGTAGATCCAATGATTGCTCCAGTTTCTGGTCCTGTCGATGACAAGGGTCGTGCATTGTATCCGCTGGGTGACATCCCGGTGATATCTCTGAACCCAGTTGCTGATCCTGACCCCGTAGCACCATAGAGTCCTTGGCCCGTGTGAACTGAGTCTCGCTGGTCACCTGCCGTTATAGGCCCCTTTTTGATATCATCATTGGGAAGAATAGGTCCGCTTCTGCTCCCAAAAAGTCGCTTGCCAACGTCGTCAAAGTTTTTTTTGTTGATTTCATCTCTGTTAGTTTCACTTGCAGCTCCAGAAACATCTCCCTTCTGGGTAGCAGTTTTCGTATTTTCTCCTTTTCCGGCAACGTCCTTGACAGCGCCCTTGAAGTCTCCCTTCGAGATATCCTGCTTGACTTCATCGGCCTTGTCGTGCACTTGCTGGCCAATACCATGTTGGCCGGTGGTGGTCTCCTTCTTTGTCGTTTCTTTGGAAGTATCACCACCAAAAGAGAGTCTCCGGCCCAATCTTTTGGCAAAGCTCTCAGATTCCTGCTGGGGGTTCGATGGGGCTGACATTGTGGGGTTTGGTTTTTATTTTAAGTTTATATTATATAGAAGAATATGTTATAAGTTGAAAGAAATATCGGAATAAGTTCGACTCAAGAGAATCGAATGGGAATTATTGCAGTCGTTGATTGTCATTTGTCACAGTTGATGAAGGGAAGAGGAAAAAAGAGTAGATTCCAACATTAAGTACTCAATTCGAGCCTTTTCTCATGTAATTGCATCATGAGAGCACTTCGGAGTCGCCGAAGGAGATCTGGGCTGTTTGATAGGTCCGGTAGAATCAACAGATTAGAGCTCTCGCGGAGCATCAACTTGAATTGTTCGGTACCAGCCCAAAAACTAGAGTCAATGATGCTCGACAAAGAGGAAATGTGGCGAGTGGGGCTTCAGGCCCAGCGAAATCTACAGGACTGAAGTCATCGTCATTGCTTTGTACATACGATAGCTGAAGGTGTTAATTGAAAGAGTCACGAATCGATACGTCCGAAACTGTTCTTGTTCCTAGCTTCTGAGCTGGGATCCAGTTGTTCGTTTTTATTTTGCTTTGGTCAATTGGAACCAGTTGTTGCACTAGATAATGCAAATTATTCGAGGAATCTGCGGCGACAATATCCGAGGACTTGGCTTCGACCATGAAAACAGTGGTCGTGTGGGGTATCACCATTGAGCTGAGGACAATGTGAGAACGAGTGAACTCATCTGCTTGCTATGGACCGAGCTTTCCGAGTGACGTAAACACTTTTCTCCTCGTTCCCCTCATTATAGATCTGGGTTCGTGGGTTGTCGTCGAAGGTGTAGCCTTAGTCATCATAATGCTTGGGTTTAAACTTTAACCCAACCTCAAGAGCCATGGATGCAGCAGATTCTGAGATCATCGCTTTTATACCTATCATGACATCGACAAGTTAGGAAATTTGGGGTGATTTGAGTATTCCAGTTTTGTCGGACTTAAAACGTTCTAAGTCACGACTCAATAAGTGGCGACTCTGAATCGTCAACCATGGTCTGTGTGATATATGGGTTCTGGAACACGAATCATACCAATTGACAATCAGATCCAAGTCATTCCCCATATCTATGTATTCCGAAGTTGACAAGATGATCCCCCATGAACAACAAGTTATTGATAAGATGGCCACACTAATCTTTTAGGTCCAGTATTTGCATGATGGGTCGGGGAATTCATCCCGAGGTCGATCCTTTCCGCCAACAGATATTGTTCCAGAACGCTGAAACCATACGGATACCTACCCAGGTGATCGAACAGGGTCTCCAAACGGCCCTATAAATGGAACACTTGAATTCAGGTCCATGTAAGGAATAACTTTGAAAATTTTGAGGCTTCTTTTCATGCATGTGAAACCTAATTTTTTTATACCCAGGCTTAGACATCAAAGTGGAAATTCCAAGATAATCTTCAGAATCTATTGAGACTCTTCCGACCTTGAAAGGTTGCCGAGGTAACCCACCTGAGCATGGATAGTCCACGGGTGTAGCCCTGGAGGTAGCTAGTTACTACGTGTTGAGATGAAGCCCTATTGAATATACAGACCCCGGGAGATATTGAGGCTCTCTGCAAGAGGGAATCATATCATATGCACCTTGGTAATGATCACGCTGTAGTTTCATAATTCAAAGCTCTTGTGTATCGTCAATACCACATAGTGAAAATATTCAATGGATGTCAAGTGCATATTGAAAGAAGCAAAGTGATGTATTCCCAGGTTCATCTATTGTCTACGCTTTATGTAGAATATCTACAAGTTAAGCGTCACTCAAAAGACTCAAAGACCTAGAACAAAATCCATGGCTCATTGAAGTGCTTTGCGAAAGCAGAAGAAACACGGAAAGTAGAAGTAAAAGCGAGAATTAATAAGTCGACCTCATAGTCTAACTACATAGGCACTTTTCTCAGGCTAGCGACGTAGCTTGCATGACTTTCGTCGGACATGAACTCGCGAACTCGCGAAATGTTTTCAACATCAAAAAAAACTCGTTTCCTCCTCGGTTCGGTTCGGGAATTTTCTTTATTGACATGCGTCAATTTAAGCGGCACCGGGGTTGGGGTTCATCTGTGTATTGAAAAATTTGTTAGTATTTCCTGATTGCTGGTTTCTTGGCGTGTGTATTCATATGAAAGTGATGATCGGAGTGGATTTGAGGGTCTTTGGGGGTTTTCAGTCTGGTGGAGGGTTGTGATCGGTATGTACCTTGCGCTTGCCACCGGTCATGGTAACGTTCACGAAACGGCGGGTGTACAAGATACGCTTGTAGGCGCGACCCTTGGGGTTCTTCTTCTTCTCTTGGGGCTCGACCTGGATTCAAAGTGTCGTTGTCAGAATGGCGATTCTGATGAAGATGCTCCTGGCGGTGTAGGAGGCTCGGCGGAAGCGCTGGGGGTTCGATTTTACTGACCTTAGGAGTGGCAGACTTGACCTTACCGGCACGGGCGAGAGATCCGTGAACCTTACCCATGTTGTATGATTTTTGGCGATGAACTGGATGGGAAAAGCGAGTTGTTGAAGGGGGTTCACTTTCGAGGCACGATAGGGTTGCAAAATTGGAAGTGGGTGTGTGGGGCAGGCTTAGCGAGTGTCCCAAAGAGGGTTGTGCTTATGTCATCGAGTATTAAAGCGGCAAGGGCGACTCACTCTTTTAGGTCCCCGATCCCATCAATTAGGTCTTGCCAGAAGGTATCTAGATAAATATTTAGGATCTATCTACAAACTACAAAATGAGGTATTAATCATTCAAGCGGCTTCCCAACTTTACCACTTTGTTCAACCGATAAGTAGTTATGTAAGCCCAATCATAGCACCTTTTATACAATCCAAAAGCCCCAGTTCCGTAGATGCAATAACGCTCCCGTTTTCATTTAGCCGCCTTTTCTTTTGCAGCAGCTTCCTCACGTTCTCTTTTTCTTGCCATGTATCGCTCCTTGGCACTGGAAACATCTGTAGCTGACTTTTGGCTGCGACTCCGCTCTGCAATCTCCTTCTGTTTGGCGGCTTCGGCCTCCTCTTCCTGTCGGGTACGCTCCTCTAACTGTTGAGCGATAATCTCAGTCTGGCGAGCGCGCTGTGCACCACGACCAGACTGTCCTGTAGTAGGCCTAGACCGCCCAGCCAAAGGTCGAGATGGTGCAGCAGTAGAAGGTGTGGCTTTCGGTTTTGGAGCCACGTTCAGGCCTGCAGTAAGTAGTTGTCTCTTGTCAACAACTTGACCCTCGTCATTAACAGCAATACGAGCCCCGCGCGAGTTGAGTTCTGCGGCCTTCTTGGCTTCTGTGTTTTCGTCCGATTCCTTCGCTGTATCATCCGTAGCCTCGGCTGTGTTGACTTTGCGAGCAGCCTCTTCGGAAGCTTTGACAATCTGTTCGTGTCGTTCTTCACCTCGCGAAAGCATGTCTCGGTAAAATCCAACCATACCAGCGTTACCATTCTGTTTCCTTCGCTCTTCCTCCTCCTTCTCCCGACGTGCCTCCTCTTCTTCTACTTTTCGTAGCTCTGCTTGCTGCTCCTTGTATGCACCAGTAACAAAGACCTCCTTCTCTGCGAACTCATCACCCTCAGCTTCGCGTTCCTTCATCAATTGACGATCACGTGCCCGCAGTTGATCGCGCTTCCTAATCTCTGCGCTTCGCAGTAATGATGTCATATATTTCGGTACTTCAGCCTTCTCCGCGTTTGTGGGCTTTTCTGGCTTCGCGTGCAGACTATCGTAAACATCATCATACGAGTAAATCAGCGGGTCGAGTTGTTCAGCTTCTTTAGCATGCTTTTTGCTGCTGTATAATGAGGAGAGGTTGGTGTAATCCGGTGTAGGGCCTGCCGCCTGGTTCGACTTGGCCTTGTTCAACCCAAATTTCGTCTCTCCTTGGCGCTTTTTTTCATTGTCTTCGTCCTCATCATCCTCGTGGGCAAAGATCGAGGTCTTGCTCAGAGGCTTAGCGTTGGGCTTCGGTCCACCGCCCAAGTGTATCTTCCGTTTTGGTGGAGGTCCTGCGATCTTTGGCAATGCCGGCTTTGATACTGACACGTCTAGGCCACCTATTGTGGATATCTCCACAGCTCCTTTCCCTCGCTGCTGGTCCTCATCGTCGGAATCATCATCGAAAACGTTATTTTTGCGCTTTTGTCCGAGAGGATTGCTTGGCTTTGGACCGAGGGTTTTATTGATGGGTAATTTCAGACCAGTCGATAAATTGGGTGCCATATTCTGATATATTCGTCTCAATTTTCGACAGGAATTTGATGTGGTGATCTCGAGATCTAACTTGCTAATCAAGCGGAGTCAAGTTGCGACTTCGTACGATAAAGACATTTTGCTTATCGGTCACGTGGTATTTTGGTTTGCGGGGAAATATGTCTTGACTATTATCCATTTTATCTTGTACCACAACCAATGTTAATGGAATATCTAAATGGCTCGGGGTTATATTTGAGGACTCGGAATGGCTTGGTTTGCTGTTAGTTATAAATTGAGGAGAGCTACTGTCAATACTAATGTTTATTAAGTGGTTTAAATGGAAACATATATGAGGACCGTCGACCTGTTGATATTAAAAGAAATTCCAAGATTTATGTCCATGGGGCTTGGACGCCGGCTCATTGCCGATATTTTCACTAGACCTATATTTAACCTTAGGAAACCTCGAAAGATATCAAACCCAATCTTTTCCAACTTTTTCCAAGGACTAGGAAAACATCAAATATCCTTATCAGTCACGTGATTGATAGTCAGCGACTCAGATAACTATCGCCCCTCAATATATCCGAGCTTTATCCTCCAGCTCACCCTTTCCACAAAATGTCGTACTACTTCACCATCCTCTCACCCTCAGACACGCCGGTGTTCAACATTGCATTTGGCACCTGCAAAAGCGGTGGTGATGGCATTGCCCGTTTTCGGTTCCCAGATACAGCCCAGTACATGAACCAATTCATCATCCACTCCAGCCTAGATATTGTGGAAGAAGCTCAGTGGACCAATGGCGCAATGTAAGTGAATAATCCGATGAGCAAGGTCTACTTCAGTTCACAGCAAGAATCACCTGTGAACCCAACCCCATGAATTTTTTAACTGACATTATCTTGGAACCATAGGTACCTCAAGCATATTGACACCTACCCTCCCAATGCAGCCTACATTTCTGCTTTCCTGACGCCCAGTGGTGTGCGATTTATGCTGCTCCACCAGCCCCCGAACACTCCCCATCCCGGCACCAGCGGTATCGCGGGCTCATCGATCCTTGGCTCCTCTTCATCCACCCGCGCCTCGTCGAGTTCAATTGCTGCGAACCCCACCTCCCCTCAAACTGAAGAGGCTGTGCGCCAGTTCATGAATGAGATCTACGAGAACTATGTCAAAACTGCTATGAACCCGTTCTACAAGCAGGGTATGGAGATCAAGAGCCCTGTATTTCGTGCTAAGGTTACAGCTGCTGGACGCAAGTGGCTGTGATTCTGAGTGATACGTTTTGTTCTGGGCCTGGTTTGCCAGCGGTACTTTTGTTTTTGCTGATACAGCGAGGCGTTTCAAGGGTTTATTTTATTGGGTTGCGTTCATTATGATACATACTTAATCGGTATAAATTTTATTGGGATACATGGTTGTTATGATGTCTTTCAATTGGCGCTTTTTGTACTGGGTTTCATGATTATCATGAGACATCCTTAAATGGACATACTTGGCTTATTATTGTATTTTTATCATTTTGTTGGGTTGGACGGTTACTATGGTACATCCTTCAATATGCATGGTTAATTCCATCGTTCAGATTCCTTTTCCAAACGAAGATGTTTACCAGTGGTGTCTAAGAATGAAAGCAATACTATTCAATATTGGATAGAGCAACCTCCAGTCCGCATTGGACAAAATTATATTTGAAAAATAGCCTTGTATTATACACTCAAAGTGCATTAGAATGGTTTTGAAACCGTGACCTGTTTTGAAGAACAGGCAACCCGAAAGACTCGATAGATTTTTCTTTAAAGACAATCGAGATCTGGAAAGAAGTATAGGTACTCTTGAATACCAAAATCAAAGAAAAGAAAGCTAAACGCCAGCTAGATCTCCATCCAGCCCTAAAAACGTAATCAATCGCTAAAAATAAACTCAAGAAGAGGTCCGAAGGAGATCAGAAATAAATGGAAAGATACCAAACTGGAATCTAAGGCGCATGCTGGGGCGCATGCTTCTTCGACTTGCAAGCGTCCACAGCAATGATCACATCTTGGATCTTTGAGACGGCGCCAAAGATGCCACCCTCCATCTTGATGGATGAAATTGTGCTGTCACGGAGAGATTGCTCGCTAGCAGCCGTGCCATCTTCCAAGACAACGCAATCGAAGCCACGATCATTGGCTTCACGCATGGTTGTAGAGACACATACATCGGTGGTCACGCCGACAAGGACAAGATTCTTCATGCCTTTATTACGGAGGATGAGTTCAAACTCGGTGTGTGCGAAGGCACCGCGGCCGGGTTTATCTATGACTGGCTCCCCAAGAATGGGGTAGAGCTCATCAATGGTATCATGGCCCAACTCTCCACGAATTAGCAAACGACCCAATGGCCCCTGCGAGCCAATGCCCAGGCCGTTGGCGTTGTTGCGCGAGCGAAATGACTCCCGGCTAGAGAGGGTCGACAAGTCTGGTCGGTGGCCTAAGATAAGGTTAATAGATTGTTCAAGTCCAATACATGGAAAAGTATGTATATTACCTTCACGGGTATGGTAGATAGGAAAGCCCCCTGCGCGAAAAACTTGCAGCAATTGCTGTATCTTCGGAATAAGCGCCTGCGCAGCAGAAATGTCGTAACCCTGGTAGTGCATATATCCACCCGGGGCACAAACTGGCATGAATGCATTAGTCGCAAGTTAGTATGAGAGTAGTTATGAAGTGGCCTACAGTCTTTCTGCATATCAATTATCACCAAAGCAGTTGTGAAAGGACTGAAAGTTGCGTCATGAGGCCAATCATAAGGAGCAGCTGGGATTTGACCCTTTCGGACTTTGTGCTGACTTGATCGAGGCTTTTCAACAACGGGACCATGGTTGTGAGTTGCATTCAGGACGCTCAAGGTCCAAATACCTGGAGAACCTACTGCCTGGAGCATAAAGGGACAATCTACCAATCTTGATGTACGTCGACGCTTGCGAGTTTCCTCGGTCAGCCCATTACGGGGTCGATACTGTCCTCCACGATCACAGCGCAGCCAGATTTTGGCAGTACGGCCGGGTTTCTTCTCTGTGGGGGTACTGGATGATTTAACAACCACATTGTATCCGTGTAATTTCGCGTGGGCCTGTACTGCGGTAAGAAGGGTTTCTCTATGCGGGGAAGGAGGCTTGGTTAGCGACAAGTATTTGTCCGTGCACGAGGAGCACCCTACCTGTCAGGATAAGTCCCTTCGGCAGGGGGAATCAATTGCATATTCAGAGCGAGGTCAGGAATGTCTTGCATATCGGACGGCGCGTCCATGTTATCTGTCATGATGGACGAAAGTGGTCAACCACTCTGTCACGGGTGATCTGTTTGTAGACGGTGTAAGTCTTGTTGTTCCATCATAATTTTCAGGCATAAAGTTTGTGGATACAATTAAGGAAATTGTAGAGGGGAAAAGGTAAATAAGTGCGTGGAAGCAATGACAGGAGTCATGTCTCCAGTGCGTGGGCATTGTAGATTGTGGGTATGGAAGGAGAAAAGAAGCTGGATGCCACCCCATAGAAGGGATGCCGAAGGGGGTAATGTGGGGAGAGATGGGGAAAAGGAAATGAGACCAAAACTCACGGAACTTTGCGATTTTACCCCAGAGACCCAAACCTGGATGAATCCAGATCGTCGCGGCTGATCGAGGTCGAGTTTACTTAGCTATTTGCGTGTTAGCCTTACCGCCTAATATTCAAGGCCACAAATATCGTTGCCTTAAATTAACCCAACGAAGCCTAGCGTCTGTCTGACCCAGAGTAGAGGGATGTTCTGGACCGAGTATTTCCCTGCGCGTATGTATCACCTGTACCTTGAGCTCTTCGGCTTCATTCCATCGTCCCTGAATTTGGAAGGTCTAGGCTAGATTATGGATAATGGCTAAAGTATTATGATGCTCTGATCTAAAAGCAAGCCTGCGCGAGTGCATCACTTGCACCGGAAGCTCTTCGGCTTCCTTCTATCATCCTTAACTTTAGATAGTCAAGGCTATATTGTGCATACAGGCTAAAGTGTGATGATGCTCCGGCTATAGGAAATCCAAAATCTCTAGTTGAACTGAGGCTGAATTCCATTACTCTTGCCTCGGTGATTTCGGGAGGGATAATGTACTCATCATAGAAGTTCATGAAGTAACGGATAGGATCTACGCCCGCATCGCTAGGACCTTAGGCATTTGGGCAAGTTTCTCTATTTATAAACATGTCTACGAACATCTGGTGTACATGGTCAAGGCCGCCGAGTACGACCGAAGTTGGTATAATAGCTTATGGTGGGTATAGATCGGAACTATACTAGGCTGTAGTTAGTTTAGACACTAAATAAGGAGAAGGTGAAGATGCTGGAGATGTAGGTCAGGCCACTACAGGAAAAGATGGTAATGTTGTTGTGCTCGAGGGTCCGATCCAGCAACCATCGTATAAACTATAGCTGCCATTCCACTCAGCAAATTCGGAGAAACCGCCAAAGCTCCATTAGGGCACGTGGTTTTGGGCAGACCTGGTGACAGAGGCTCGAACTGTAATGTCGACTTCTTCGTACGGAATGCGGATGAGTGGTCCTGGCTGTAAAGTCTCCTAAGCACGGAGAATTTCATTAAGCTCATAGGAAAATACTATAAGGGCCAGAAGATCGATCGTATGGAGTTCTCTTCTGCTTCACAATCATCTCAATCAGGGAGTATGTGCAAATTCTACCTATGACACGCTTAGTAAGTTTTTGTGTGAATAAATATATCAGGGCTCTGTTAATTTGCACCCAGCGCTAAACTATATTAGGCCATCACATGACAGCCAGATGTACCCTGTATTTTAAATGGTAATCCTGCGTTCCAATTTCTTAGTAATCTCCATAGTAATGAGAACATTTTGTTACCAATTCCACATTCCACCACCAATTCCCTATATCTGCCCTCCATATTCATTATGTCTATCATTTTCAATGCCCTCCCCTCCCACCGCCTATCTCTGAATTCGGCGAGTCTTTTTACCGCTCAGTTGAGCAGGCTATCTCTCAGCGCTCAACCCAGCGCTCACCATCTCAATTTGAGATCATCGAGCAGCAGATGCTAGCTGAGAACCAGGAAGTTGAGGTATCACGGGCGACTTCGCAGGCATCTCAGGCATCTCAGGCATCGGCGGCATCGGCGGCACGGGGGGCAGGGTGGGAAGCTTCGGAGGATGAAGGGCCAAGAAGATCAGGCCGGGCGCCTAGGCCAAAGAGGAGAAGAACGGATGAGACAACTCAGGGTGAAACCACAGAAACAGATCATTAAAAGGCATGTAAATAGCTTTAAAAATGAAGATTTAATTCAGAGGGGCGGGTGTGTTCTCATTACTATGGAGATTACTAAGAAATTGGAACGCAGGATTACCATTTAAAATACAGGGTACATCTGGCTGTCATGTGATGGCCTAATATAGTTTAGCGCTGGATGCAAATTAACAGAGCCAAAAGTAAAAGGAGCAAAACGACAAGATTAATGGGCTTTCTTTTGGCGAGGAATTTTCATCGCGAGAGGAAAGATTGCCTAATTTCTGGCGTCGATGGACCTGTCATAGACTTAACCCATTTTCCCCCATGGTCACTATAAAAAGTATTGTGTGGTTTGATAGGCACTTCACCTCGTACCAGGCTCTCAAATAACTTCTTGTATGGTTTCAGTCTCGCCTTTGATGATCATCTTCGCTATTATGTGTAGCTGTGGGGAACAGCAGAGGATCGTACTAGCCATGTTGACTCCACGATTGTTCCAGGTGAATGCCTCCTTTGATCGTTGTTTTTCTTCCGGCTCATATCGATTTGATGACCTTTGAACTCTGTAAAGTCTTTTCTCGTCGCCCGAATCTTTTATCCGGGTTCATCAAATAAGGTGAAAGGTAGACCCTCGATATTAATCATAGTTCTATCAATTCCGATATGAATGATTACTAGTAAAGGATCATACCTACACTAAAGTGAAAGGAGTCTTCAAATATTTCAAGATTGGAAAGCCACCACCTTGGAACCAATTAGGCTGGGCATGAAATTGCTGCAGCAAAATATGTATCACACTACCAAAGATTCCCCTACTCCAGGCCCGGGCTGGGATTCATGTCTCCTCCGCCTCTCTCTCCTCGATGGCTTTCATCAGCCGGGCCACCTCGCCTCAGAGTCAAAGACTCAAAGGAAACCAGAAATAGGGTCAAGTTACGGGTCAGGGCCTCTTCTTGAGTGGGGGCCATCGGCCATCTCTGCTACAACCACGCATCAGTAATTTCCAATGTTGCACATAACTACTGCAATTGTGGCCGAGAACAGCTCAAGATAACATTGGCAGAGTCCGATGACTCTTTTGTAGGGCCTTTTTGGATTGGTTTCTGAAAAGATGACCAGTTCTATCGGACTCTTAAACTGGATGGGGACCAAAGCTGCGCTGGAGCTGTATGCAGCAGATGCGCCTGGTTGGGAGATATATTAGCGGAAACTCTTTAGTGTATATATAGAAAAAATTGGATCAAGCCCTGGAGATATGATTTTATTGGTACTAGGTAGACTATTCCTCCTCATCGACCAAGCTCTCTGCCTCTGCATACCTTTTCTCAATTAACAAACTGACAATCAGAATCCGTTTTTGTCGTCTTCGGGCAAAAGCTTTACCCGATTCTTGTCAAGTAGTATTGTAGCCATCCGATTCAAAAAAGCGATCGATTTCGGACTCATTACGTCTTTAAGCTCTTGCGCCTGCTCTAGTGTCATCCCGTATAAAGTCGGGAAGTGAAGGCGCTCAAAACTTGTAGGCACGAAACGCTTTGCAGCAAGGCAGTCCATGAGGATATCTCCTCCATGAATATAGTTGTTCACGACACGAATACCGTCGGTCCGTTTTTTGTTATTTGCAGTGATTGCGTCCTGTATCCATACTGATAACGTCCGTCTCCGGACTTTATATAAGTTCTCCGACACCACACCGAGCTTCTTCGACATGCTTTCGTTGGAGTCCTCCATCTTGCTCATCCTGGATTTCATCTCTTATTTCATGCATGAGATCCCGGCCCTTCTCGTTAGCGACGAGTTCTTTCTCCGCGTGGAAATCGATATCGCTGATGCTGGACATCATTTTGAGACGGGCATCAAGAGTTGGATTTATGTTTTTTGAAACGACTGAATCGTACCAAATAACAGGATGCTGTGACTAATCAGAGAAAAGAGTTCGTTAGGAATCATGCATTAGGAAAAGTGGGACCAGGAAAGGAAATACAGTTGAAACTCTTTTCCTCGCAGACCCAGGCGGGCTCGGCTCGAACGATCTCTTCTGAGGTACTTCCGTCATAACCATGACGTCACAGAGTTATGTTAGGAAAATAGCAAGCACACAGTGCTATGCTAACTGGAGGGAAGTCAGCAACAGAAGGTAGAGCAGAAGGTAGAGATGGTACTCACAATTCCAGTTGTCAAGGCCTCACACAGTAGTGGAGGTGAGAGAAGACGGGAAGGCAGATTTTGTGGCGAGGACAATAGCAAGCACATAGTGCTATGCTAACTGGAGGGAAGTCAGCAACAGAAGGCAGAGCAGAAGGTAGAGATGGTACTCACAAGTCCAGTTGTCAAGTTGTCAAGGCCTCACACAGTGGTGGAGGTGAGAGAAGACGGAAGACAGAAGATGGGAAAGTCAGGTTTTGGGACGAGGGAAGAAGCAAGCACACTGTGCTATGCTGACTAGAGGGAAGTTAGAAAAAGATAGGAAAGAGCATATTGAGAAAAAGAGGAAAGTGAAAGACCAGGGAAAGCACGAAGAAGGTACCGACCAACCGAAACATGATATACAGGGAGCCCTACAAATATATCGAGAGCTGTAGCATCCTCTTCATCACTATCCTCTTCGTCCCATTCTATGAAGTCGTGTGGTTCAAGACTGACGTGGTCAAGATCTGGCGAGGATCTTAAGTAGTACTCGTATGAATGCTCTGTATCATGGGAAGATATCATATATTTTTCCCATTCAGCTGGTGCGTCTGCTAATGAGACTTTTTTGGGCATAACATCACGCAGATGTAGATTCTGAGCAATGGCTAAACATGACGGTGGAGACTGACAGACTCGGCAAAGTTCTTTTACATCTCGAATTTCAGGTAATGAAAATGGCTTTGAAAAGCTTTTCCATGGCTTATCGCTCGAAATTTTATCCATGAATTCAAGTATCGTAAAACTGAGCCGCTTTATCCCCGCTGTAGAATGATTTGACCAATCCCAATTTAGGTGATAAGTAGAATTGGTGTCGCCAGGTACCCTATTTGAGAAATCGTGATAGAACATTTGGAACAAGATATGCCAAAATCCGAAGATGACTCGCTGCTCCTCAGTCCATGTTGAGATACGGAAGTCCTGAGGATATTGTAGCTCTCCTGGATAGCGCGTTACGCAGTTTTCAAGGCAGTATTCAATGCAAAAATGAGTCAAGACATGAACATGATGCACCAGACCAATAAAATTCATCATCTCTCTAGGAGTTCCAAAAATGTTCTGAACTGGTGCGATTCTCCCCTGGAGGAAATGAGGTGCTGCGAAGCGACTAATAAATATTTCTAGGTTCTGTTGAAGCAATAAGACAATTTGCATGAGGGTTCTCGTAACAATCATTTGATTAATATCCCTCGTCAAATAGGGTGCTTGTACGAATCAAGGTGTCACTGTTCCCAAGAGCACCATACATCTGGTCAGAAATATATAGTAACAGAATTAAATTTGAAGTTAAAATAATTTATACCTAGTACCTAGTTACCCGGGCAGCCATATGGTTGCCCAGGTCTTATTGTTTACTTGGATTATGAAGAAGATACCTAGGTACCTAGTGAAACGAGGAACGCTCTAGGCAGCACGGTCGGGACGTGCAGGTCGAGTCGGCTAAGAAAAACCAGCCATAACCATAAAAGAAAGCCCAATGAAAGTAGAGAGTCAAGAAAGGGAAGACGTGTGTAAAAGTCCATTCTGTAACTAAATACATATCATCTAGATAGATGATAACTCGGCTCTGCCGCAGACCGCTTTCCTGTTCCATTCCGTAAGTGAGGGTCCTGTTTTTGGGTTTAAAAAAGTGGGGCCGGTTACTAGGTAAGTCATTAAGTGGGGTTCTGTAATCTGTAGTACCAGCAACACCCGATCTAATCATAAGAAACCTTCACCTTCCATCGTGAGAGTCCCTACTAATCTAACCCGCAAAAACAGAGTTAAGTTTACCGGCTTCTGGATCTTCCAGTCTCTCCGCTTTTCTTCATCTTTATTTTTTTGGTGCAGATCGACCCGTCAGGATCCCGATCCAGGTCTGTAAATTTCTTCCCTGGAGTGACTTACCTATAGAGTCCCAAACATCCAATGCCTGTGTAAAGTGAACCCTTAGTCTGATATCACAGTCTAAATAGCGCTTGAATCTGGTTTTCTATAGTTTTACTATCAAAGTGTATAAATCACATGTGTTCTTTATCGCTGAAAATATGTAAAAAAGACCAACTGCACTGGTCAGGGCGGATCCTGGTGAAATCGATTATTTTCATTATGGTGGAATACTTATAAGCATGAGTACCCAAGAATGACAGCAGCTTCCAAGGACTATCTTGCGATTCCAGTAGCTGAGTATCAGTGGCGAGGCTTTTTAGTCAATGTCAATACCTACTTGGCGTTATTCGGCACTCTATGACTGCAGAGACAATGAGTAGGCCATTCTCAAAGATACATATAAGTAGAGGTAATGGTATGAGATTTACATATAAAATTACTAAGTAGATAGTAAATTTTATTAATTATGTATGGAAATTTGAAAACATTAAATGTCATACGTTATGTGATACTCAGGATGGGTGCCTCAACTACGTCATATAATGGGATCTATCCTTATCTCTATCCCCCTTTCCCAAAATCTAAAATTATCTCCATCCCCCTATTCCAGGTCTGCCAGATTTGTTTTTAGCTCTCAAAGCCTAGCTCTTCAAGAAAGATCTTCATGGAATTATCCGCATCATTAGGCTTAGAACTAGTGCGTTGATAGTTTGTAGCTTCATTCGTATTGCTTTCTGGACCGTGGTCAAAATTGAACGTGTCGAGATAGATACGAAGTCATGCTGCTGGCTAGACTCCATAATGAGATCTTGAGCTGCAGGAATTCGTATTCTGCATTTATATCATGGATGATGTGAAAAGAAGAGTGCGACACTTGGAGTAAATTCAGTACAAGTCCAAAAGAGTACAAGCCCCACCTGTCACGTGGAGACTACCCATCTAACGCGATCCACGTGATAAGATGAGTCAGCTATCGTTAGTCATTTCCGTCTCGGAGTCTCACTTATCAACAACGTATCAATAAGGCACCGGTCTTGTGTCCGATCGCCCATAGCCACATGAACATTTGAGATACTTCTCTGGGTGACTGAGAGCGCTCAGGGAGGCCTTTCATAATTTCTACCCGCGAGGAATTTTTACGATTGCGGATCTTGTGGACGTCTTCTCTGCGGCCCATCGACCGGTGCCCAACGTGGGAAGATGCCAGCCGCAGATGAAGTGCCTTCTGAGCGAAAGCACACCAGCAGTTCCTATCGAGATGAGCTTGCACACTACAAGGCTCAGTACGAGCAACTAGAATCCGAACTCTCGGACTTTCAAACATCCAGTCGAGAGCTGGAGGCGGAGCTGGAGAAGGATATTGAAGCCTCAGAGAAACGGGAGCGTAAGTTGAAAGAAAAGGTCGATTCTCTGCGTTATGAAGCAGAGGAATGGAAGGTGATATTTATCCAGATCATTCGTTGTCGTGGTGCACTAAAAACTAACTATCACCGCAGACGAAATACAAGCAATCTAAAGCCGAAGCCAACTCTGCGCAAACCACTCTACAAAAGGAGATCACCTCTCTACGTGACACAAACCGCACTTTACAGTTGAAATTGCGTGATATTGAGGTTGCCAACGATGACTATGAACGACAAGCCCGGAACACTACCTCGTCCTTGGAAGACATGGAATCCAAGTTCAACATGGCTATTGAACGAGAAGTGCTGCTGGAGGATGAGATGAGGAGTGGAGAACAGGAGCGTGAAGGGCTACGGATTGAGAATCAGCGTCTTCGCGATGAGCTGTCTGATCTCAAGGTTGAAGCCGACATCGTTCAAGACAAGTTGCGGCAAGCCGAGGGTGGCCACGGGTTCCGTCGCCGGAAGCCAGTCCCCCTATATGGCAGCCCATCGACCCCTCATACGATAGAAATCTTTGACCGGTCCCCTAGCACTGTTACCTCTTCGCCAGTCTTCTCAACTCCTCCTCCCAAGCCATCACTGTCTTCTTCTACTGCCACTCCTCCTTCGCCGCCCATCTCGGAGGCTTCCTCCAACTTGCGTAGGTCGATCAATGCTACTCCGAGTTTCCCTCGCTCGAGAGCAGGAGGTTCCGAGGTGCCTTCCAGGACCCTTCGCGATGCCAGACTTCCACATCGCCCCTCACAAGCTTCTCACCCCCATCCCCATCCCATCCACTCACGAGCCTCATCGCTCGCCCACCCTAACAGTCGGTCACCCTCCATTTCGTCTCGCACTAGCGTTACGAGGGCGGCTACCACAAATGCCCCACCACGCATGTCAGGACTTGGACTCGGGCTACCCAAATCTGGGTCCTTGTATCAGATCCGCGGTTTAATTGGAAAGATGCAGAGGCTTGAAGAACGAGTGCAATCTGCAAAGTCTCGCCTTCCAGCACCTTCAGATACTTCCTCTCGTGGATCACGTAGTGGATCCATCGCCGGAGACAGCCCCGCTGCGGCCACCATCACGGCCCGGACACACTCACGGAAGCGTCTGAGTGGCAGCAGCTTTGGGTCTTCAGTGCAAAACAGCGAAGGTGGTACTCCGTCATACCTCGCGCAGAGTCGCACAACATATGGGGCTCGTGATAGTCGCCCAAGTAGCCGAACGAGCTACTCTAGTCGCAGTTCGTTCAGCCAGAGTGTACACTCCGGAGTGCCTGTACGACCGGAGAGTCGCTCGAGTCGCCCCGGGGCGAAGACTCCCCTGGGTCACTACTCCATTAATCCCGTCACTGAGAGTCGACGACCTCGGTCTTCTCTCAGTAACAATGCTGGACAAGCCTCTTCAAATGGAAGCATGCCGCACATTGAAGAAGATCACGACCAATCTCCTCCACCTACATCTCGCATTCCTTTGGACTTCCGGCGGCCATCTATTTCGACGACGCCGGGGCTGAAGAAGCGTACACCTAGCGGGTTCTCCGCCATTCCCACACCCCGGAGCTTCAAGACAAGTATCGGCCCGGGGCACATACCACCACCCGAACGAAACACGCAGACCGACCTAGGAGAGACCTTCTAGAGAATCATCTCCTTTTACTTTTTCGGGCATCAACAAATTATTTTTCATCGGGCGTGGATATGCGGTGGGTTTCTTTTCTTTTTTTTTTCTTTCCAAATCATCCCTGGATTTTGTTTAATTCTCAACTGCCATATTGCGGAATTATATACTGGAATGATGGGGCATGGCTAGACCTGCACATCAACTCCAACCCAAATTTACGCATGATCCTGTATAGTTTCAGATGAAGTTTTTCCCATATTTTTTATTTGCGATCATTTGGTTCAGTCCGGATAGATTCCGAGGCGTCCTAAGCTGTGTCTCAGCGTCCGATTATTTATTTATTTTGTTTTGGGCCTCGCGATGAGGCGTTCAAAGTTTTTCATAATACCCACGAATGTTATTTTCATTGGATCAGTTCTTATCTTAGTACTTCTACCCCGTATGTATGTAAGCCCCGAATGAGCCTTGACCCCCGGGAGATCGGGGGACAAGGATGAACCCCACGTTTCAAATAGCTTCAATTGGCTCAAGTACCGTAAACGTCTGCACAGACCTGGATGGAAGATAGATTGGTTGGGTTGGAGCTTGGGACACTTCATCTTTTCATCAGATCCAATTTTACGAGCTAATTATAGGGTTTGGAGGTCCGAATAGTCCGGAGTGATATTAGCCCTAAACGCATATGCCAGGTCACAGTACATATGATATAAAGTATACGAAAAGGGTAGGTTCTAGCCTTGGAAGATTAAAAGCTATCTACTTTTAAATTCGGAGATATTATTGGATCAAAATAGAAGAAATGGATCTAACATTAAGAAATGGTGGGACATTAAGGAAGTAGGGAAGCTGTAGCTGTGAGAGGGACGGTGGAACCCGGCCCAACAAAGTCCAGAGAGTTGGGGAAACTGAGGTACTTTACCATACTGTTGACTATGTATCGGTACCTGTCCCGGTTGGGAATTCTCCACTCCGGTGGGACCTCGGAATTTCATTTTCTCATCATTTTTATTTGAGAAAAAAGAAAATATACTAATACCCTCTTAGTGGATTTGGCCTCTACACCTATTTTTTTTCTTACTTTTCAATTCTCATAGATTCTACGGGTTATTGGTGGTTTCCCGGTGAGTTATTCAATTACTATTGCAACCGTGTTATCCTTGGTATCCGTTTGCGATTACATTCCCTCGCCTCTTATTTTGCTTTTCCCCCTCCGTCGATTTTATGTGACCGAGCACCGTTTCACTCTCTGATCGTTTTTCACACTGCAGATAAAGACCTTCTTGACATTTCCATCCTTTTCTCCTACCTCAACCTCCTCCCTCACAACTCCTCACAACTCAATCCCAAACTCGCCAATTCTTCCCGGGGTTCCTCGCCACTCCCTGTACATTACTCTATCTCACTTCTCCAGCTGTGCTGTTTAATCCCCGAATTTGAACCCTGCATGGGAAGCTAAAAATCGAATTTGATCTATATACCTACATCATGGGTATCACAAATGGCCACGGTAGCTCTAACGCTGCTAAGCACAATCTCCCTTCACATTTTATCGGTGGCAACCACTTGGAAGCTGCTGCCCCTAGTGATGTGAAGGACTTTGTGGCCAAGAATGGCGGTCACTCCGTCATTTCCTCGGTGAGTAGCAGTTGAAAAAGAGGCGATGAGAGATGAGCTAATGATTGTCATCTACAGGTCCTCATCGCCAACAACGGTATTGCTGCCGTCAAGGAGATTCGTTCCGTGCGGAAATGGGCCTATGAGGTCTTCGGAAATGAGCGTGCTATTCAATTCACCGTGATGGCTACTCCGGAGGATCTGCAAGCCAATGCTGACTACATCCGTATGGCTGATCAATACGTCGAAGTTCCCGGTGGAACAAATAATAATAATTACGCCAACGTCGAGCTCATTGTCGATGTTGCCGAGCGAATGGATGTCCACGCCGTTTGGGCTGGTTGGGGTCACGCTTCCGAAAACCCTCGGTTACCCGAGTCCCTGGCTGCTTCGCCTAAGAAGATCATTTTCATTGGACCCCCTGCCTCTGCCATGCGCTCGCTAGGTGACAAGATCTCTTCCACTATTGTTGCACAGCATGCTGGTGTGCCCTGTATCCCGTGGTCTGGAACTGGTGTCGATGAGGTCGTGGTTGATGATCAAGGTATCGTGACCGTGCCTGATCATGTCTACACTCTCGGCTGTACCGCTTCTCCCGAAGAGGGTTTGATCAAGGCCAGGGAAATTGGTTACCCTGTCATGATCAAGGCCTCTGAAGGTGGTGGTGGTAAGGGTATTCGTAAGGTCGAGAAGGAGGAGGACTTCATCACCTTGTACAATGCCGCCGCCAACGAGATCCCCGGTTCTCCCATTTTCGTCATGAAGCTCGCTGGAAACGCCCGCCACTTGGAGGTCCAGCTGCTGGCTGATCAGTACGGAAACAACATTTCCCTGTTTGGTCGTGACTGCTCTGTCCAGCGTCGTCACCAGAAGATTATTGAGGAGGCTCCCGTCACTATTGCCAAGCCCATCACTTTTAACGCCATGGAGAAGGCTGCTGTTAGCCTGGGTCGTCTGGTCGGCTACGTATCCGCTGGTACCGTGGAGTACCTGTACTCGCACGCTGACGACAAGTTCTATTTCCTCGAGCTGAACCCTCGTCTCCAGGTCGAGCATCCTACCACTGAGATGGTCTCTGGTGTCAACTTGCCCGCCGCCCAGCTCCAGATTGCCATGGGTATTCCCCTGCACCAGATTCGCGATATCCGTCTTCTGTATGGTGTTGACCCCAACACTTCTTCGGAGATCGACTTTGACTTCTCCCACGAGGAGAGCCTGCAGACTCAGCGTCGCCCCCAGCCCAAGGGCCACACTACTGCCTGCCGTATTACCTCCGAAGATCCTGGCGAGGGATTCAAACCCTCTGGTGGTACCATGCACGAATTGAACTTCCGTAGTTCGTCCAACGTCTGGGGTTACTTCTCCGTCGGTTCTTCTGGTGGTATCCACAGTTTCTCAGACAGTCAGTTTGGTCACATTTTCGCTTATGGCGAGAACCGTTCTGCTTCTCGTAAGCACATGGTTGTTGCCTTGAAGGAACTGAGCATTCGTGGTGATTTCCGCACCACCGTTGAGTACCTGATTAAGCTGTTGGAGACTCCCGCTTTCGAGGATAACACCATCACCACTGGTTGGCTCGATGAGCTCATTTCTAAGAAGCTGACTGCCGAGCGCCCCGACCCCATCATTGCCGTCATTTGCGGTGCCGTCACTAAGGCCCACCTCGCTTGCGAGGAAGGCATTGAGGAGTACCGTAAGAGTCTAGAGAAGGGTCAGGTGCCTGGAAAGGACATCCTGAAGACTGTCTTCCCTATCGACTTCATCTACGAGGGTAACCGTTACAAGTTCACTGCCACCCGCGCCGGTCATGACAGCTACCACCTGTTCATCAACGGCTCCAAGTGCTCCGTTGGCGTCCGTGCCCTGGCTGACGGTGGCCTGCTGGTGTTGCTTAGTGGTCGTAGTCACAACGTCTACTGGAAGGAGGAGGCTGCTGCCACCCGTCTTAGTGTCGATGGCAAGACCTGTCTTCTCGAGCAGGAGAACGACCCCACCCAGCTCCGTACCCCTTCTCCCGGTAAGCTGGTCAAGTTCACCGTCGAGAGCGGCGAGCACGTTGCTGCTGGTCAACCCTTCGCTGAGGTTGAGGTCATGAAGATGTACATGCCCCTCATTTCCCAGGAGGCTGGTATCGTGCAATTGATCAAGCAGCCCGGAGCTACCCTTGAGGCTGGTGATATCCTCGGTATCATTTCTCTGGATGACCCCTCTCGTGTGAAGCACGCCCAGACCTTCACAGGTCAACTTCCAGATCTCGGCTCTCCCACCGTTGTCGGTAACAAGCCTCCCCAGCGCTTCAGCCTGCTTCACACCATCCTGGAGAACATTCTTCGCGGTTTCGACAACCAGGTGATCATGGGTGCCACCCTGAAAGAGCTTGTTGATGTCCTGCGCAACCCTGACCTTCCTTACGGTGAATGGAATGCCCAGTCATCGGCCCTGCACTCCCGTATGCCTCAGAAGCTGGATACCCAGCTCCAGACAATCGTCGACAAGGCCAAGTCTCGCCAGGCTGAGTTCCCTGCCAAGCAGCTCCAGAAGACCCTTTCCCGATTCATCGAGGAGAATGTCAACCCTGCTGATGCCGATATCCTTCGAACCACTCTCCTGCCTTTGACTACTGTCATCGAAAAGTTCAAGGAGGGTCTGAAGATCAACGAATACAACGTTTTCATCGGTCTGCTGGAGCAGTACTACGAAGTTGAGAAGCTCTTCTCTACTGGTACCAAGCGTGATGAGGATGTTATCCTCAAGCTCCGTGAAGAGAACAAGGAAGACCTTGCCAAGGTCGTTCACACTGTCCTCTCCCATAGCCGCATTGGATCCAAGAACAACCTGGTCCTCGCTATTCTGGACATGTACCGCCCCAACCAGCCCCAGCTTGGCGATGTTGGCAAGTACTTCAAGCCTACCTTGAAGAAGCTTACTGATCTTGAAGCTCGTGCTGCCGCCAAGGTCACCCTCAAGGCTCGTGAGCTCCTGATTCAGTGTGCCATGCCATCGCTCGAGGAGCGCCTGTCCCAGATGGAGCACATTCTGCGCTCTTCTGTCATAGAGTCCCGCTACGGTGAGACTGGCTGGGAGCACCGTGAGCCCGATTCTCGAGTCCTGAAGGAGGTTGTTGATTCCAAGTACACCGTCTTCGATGTGCTCCCTCGATTCTTCATCCACCAGGACCCCTGGGTTACTCTCGCTGCTCTTGAGGTCTACGTGCGCCGCTCTTACCGTGCCTACACCCTGAAGGGCATTGACTACAATGCTCAGAACGAATCACCATTTTTGTCTTGGGACTTCTGTCTCGGCAAGCTCGGTCAGCCTGAGTTTGGTTCCACCACTACTCACCCCTCCGCACCTGCCACTCCCACCGCTGAGTCCAACCCCTTCAAGCGGATCAACTCCATGGGTGACCTGACTCTGGATGTGGACAACGACCCCATCCGCAAGGGTGCTATTCTTCCCGTTCAGTACCTGGACGATGTTGAAGAGCATCTCCCCAAGGTTCTGGAGGCTTTCCCTCACGCTTCGGCCCCCGTCAAGGGTTTGATGGCCAACCTCGAAGGCAAGCGTCGTCCTTCCACCAAGGTCGACAATGAGGAGCTCACCGGTGTCCTGAACATCGCTATTCGCGACATCGAGGAACAGGACGATAACCAGATCGTTGCTCAGATGCAGAGCCTCCTTGCCGAGAATCGTGAAGAGCTTGTCTCCCGTCGCATTCGCCGTGTTACTTTCATCTGCGGAAAAGAGGGTGTCTACCCTGGTTACTTCACTTTCCGTGGACCTCTCTTCGAGGAGGATGAGAGTATCCGTCACAGCGAACCCGCTCTGGCCTTCCAGCTGGAACTTGGCCGTCTCAGCAAATTCAAGATCAACCCCGTATTCACTGAGAACCGCAACATCCACGTTTACAGTGCTATTGGCAAGGGTCCTGAGAATGACAAGGCCGTTGACAAGCGCTACTTCATCCGTGCAGTGGTCCGCCCTGGTCGCCTCCGTGACGACATTCCTACTGCTGAGTACTTGATTTCTGAGGCTGATCGCTTGATGAATGATATTCTGGATGCTCTCGAGATTATTGGTAACAACAATTCTGATCTTAATCACATCTTCATCAACTTCTCTCCTGTCTTTAACCTGCAGCCCACCGATGTTGAGCAGGCTCTGGCTGGTTTCCTGGACCGCTTCGGTCGCCGCCTGTGGCGCCTGCGTGTTACCGGCGCTGAAATCCGTATTCTCTGCACTGATCCCACAACTGGCATACCTTACCCTCTGCGTGTCATCATCAGCAACACCTATGGATTCATCATCCAGGTTGAGCTGTACATTGAGCGCAAGTCCGAGAAGGGCGAGTGGATCTTCCAGAGCATTGGTGGCACCACCAAGATGGGCTCCATGCACATGCGTCCTGTCTCCACCCCTTACCCGACCAAGGAGTGGCTCCAGCCCAAGCGTTACAAGGCTCACCTTATGGGAACTCAGTACGTGTACGATTTCCCTGAGCTGTTCCGCCAGGCCTTCCAGAACAGCTGGACCAAGATCGGTGACAATATCCCCTCCCTGGCCTCCCAGCGTCCTGCCGTTGGGGAATGCATTGACTACAATGAGCTGGTGCTTGACGACACCGATGAGCTTGTTGAGGTTAACCGCGAGCCTGGTACCAACACCCACGGTATGGTGGGTTGGCTGGTCACTGCCCGTACCCCTGAGTATCCTCGTGGCCGTCGCTTCATCGTTGTTGCCAACGACATCACCTTCCAGATTGGTTCATTCGGTCCCCAGGAAGACAAGTTCTTCCACAAGTGCACAGAGCTCGCTCGCAAGCTTGGCATTCCCCGTATCTACCTGTCTGCCAACTCCGGTGCTCGTATCGGTGTTGCCGATGAGCTGATTCCCCACTTCTCTGTTGCCTGGAATGACCCTGCCCGACCCGAGGCTGGCTTCAAGTACCTCTACCTCACCCCCGAGACCAAGGCCAAGTTCGACGCCAGCAAGAAGAAGGAGGTTGAGACTGAACTCATCACCGACGATGGTGAAGAGCGTCACAAGATCACCACCATCATTGGTGCCAAGGACGGCTTGGGTGTCGAGTGTCTGAAGGGCTCTGGTCTGATTGCTGGCGCCACTTCCAAGGCATATGAGGACATCTTCACCATCACCCTAGTTACTTGCCGTTCCGTTGGTATCGGTGCCTACCTGGTCCGTCTCGGCCAGCGTGCTATCCAGGTCGAGGGTCAACCCATCATCCTGACTGGTGCCCCTGCCATCAACAAGCTGCTTGGTCGCGAGGTCTACACCTCCAACCTGCAGCTTGGTGGCACTCAGATCATGTACAACAACGGTGTTTCGCACATGACTGCCAATGATGACTTTGAAGGTGTGCAAAAGATTGTCGAGTGGATGTCCTACGTTCCCGACAAGAAGAATGCCCCGATCCCCATCCGCCCCTGGACCGATGACTGGGACCGTGACATTGCCTACTACCCCCCTGCCAAGCAGACCTACGATGTCCGTTGGCTCATCAACGGTAAGCAGGACGAGGAGGGATTCCTCCCCGGTCTGTTCGACAAGGACTCCTTCGAGGAAGCTCTCGGTGGCTGGGCCCGCACCGTTGTCGTCGGTCGTGCCCGCCTCGGCGGCATCCCAATGGGTGTTATCGCTGTTGAGACCCGTGCTGTGGAGAATATCACCCCGGCTGACCCTGCCAACCCCGACTCCATGGAGATGATCTCCCAAGAGGCCGGTGGTGTGTGGTACCCCAACTCGGCCTTCAAGACCGCCCAGGCTCTGCGTGACTTCAACAATGGTGAGCAGCTGCCTGTCATGATCCTTGCCAACTGGCGTGGTTTCTCTGGTGGCCAGCGCGACATGTACAACGAGGTGCTCAAGTACGGTTCGTACATTGTCGACGCTCTCACTAAGTACGAGCAGCCCGTCTTCGTCTACATTCCCCCCTTCGGAGAGCTTCGTGGTGGATCCTGGGTCGTCGTCGACCCCACCATCAACCCCGAGCAGATGGAGATGTACGCCGACGAGGATTCCCGTGGTGGTGTCCTTGAGCCCGAGGGTATGGTAAACATCAAGTACCGTCGCGAGAAGCAACTCGACACCATGGCCCGCCTGGACGCCACCTACGGCGAGCTCCGCCGCTCCCTGGAGGACAAGTCCCTCAGCAAGGAGCAGCTGTCGGAGATCAAGACCAAGATGGCCCAGCGCGAGGAAACCCTCCTCCCCGTCTACCTGCAGATCGCCCTCCAATTCGCTGACCTGCACGACCGTGCCGGCCGCATGGTAGCCAAGGGTGTCATCCGAAAGCCTCTGCGCTGGCAGAACGCCCGTCGCTTCTTCTACTGGCGCCTGCGTCGCCGTTTGAGCGAGCAAATGATCGTGAAGCGCATGCTAACCGCCAACGCAAACCCAGCGCCCCGCACGGCTGCCCAAGGTGCAATCCCCACCTCAGCCCCTGCCCCTACAGTCGTCGAATCTCCGAACACAATCCACCTCAAGAACCTGCGCGCCTGGACGGGCCTGCTGGACGACGATGTCGAGAACGACGACCGAAAGGTTGCAACCTGGTACGAGGAGAACAAGAAGCTGGTCCACAGCAAGGTCGAGTCTCTCCGCACCGACGGCATCGCTGCCGAAGTCGCCTCCCTGCTCATTGGAAACAAGGAGGGTGGTCTGCGCGGTGTGCAGCAGGTTTTGTCCATGTTGCCTGTTGAGGAGCGCGAGTCTGTCCTCAAGTACCTGGGTTCCGCTTAATATGAATGCAAGCGGCAAAAATACTGCTTTTTATGACTTTTATGTGTTTAATTTCTATCTTTCTATATTTCATTCGATATTTCTCTTGAGACTTTGACTTATTGGTTTGGTTCCAAGGTGTTGAGTGCTTTTTTATGGTGGTGAACGAGTTTACTTAGAATTTTATTTATTATTCATCACTTCTTTCCAAGGTTCGTCGGATGTACTCCGTAGAATTGCAACTACTGTATATTAAGATATTGAAATGAGACGTCTGTCATATATCGGTCATGTATCAATCAATTAGCTTGATCTTTTATCATTCCGGTTACAGATCTCGGATTCAAGTACAGTTTTCAAATAGAAAGTCCATAAACGCCTTGCCAGCTGTATCTGTGTCATGTGCACACCCGACTCGTTTTTTACGAGTCGGGTGTGCTTCACCGGTTCTGCCAATTTTTTTTTTTTCACCGGTTCTTCCAATTCCACATTCCATTCTATTTTACCCAATATCTCCCACCCACCATGCCTAAAACCTTTGAATCGACTAAGGCCCATCTCTCTAAGGCCTTTGATGCGCCAAACGCGAAAAAAACCCAAATATCTCTAAGATTGCGCGCGAATTTGGTGTCAATCGACGTACTCTCCATAACCGCGTTAAAACCAATGCGACCGCGAAAACTCAACAAAAACCAGTCAATAAGGTTTTTACCGATATCCAGGAGGAGATTTTAGTACGCTGAATTACCCAGCTAACTGATTGGCGTATGCCACCAACACCAAAACAGGTTGAGATGTGGGCAAATCGCCTACTTCAAGATTCTAGTTCTGAAGATACTAAGGATACTAGAACTGTTGGGCCAAATTGGGTATATCGCTTTACTAAGCGTCTTCCTAAAGGTCTAAAACTAGGTCCTTAGAAGCAGAAAGTCAAGGATTCTAAGCGAATGATGGCTAAAAATCCAGCTAAGATAGGTCATTGGTATGATCTGCTTCGTGGTATGCCTTCGCGGTTAATCTATAACTTTGATGAGTGTGGTTTTCAACCTAGTGAGGTGTCATAGGTTAAGAACACCTGACAAATGATGTTTAGTGTAGGATCAAGAGTGGCACTATACAAGTAGAGCCTAAGTATGATTTCGTGAGAGCGAAATCATTATAGTCTTTTAGCTCAGTAGAATGGACGTGAACGTAGGCACGATCCCATAACAATATGGTTTATAGGTCCTCTTCGTCAACACAATGATGAACGCACACCATCTCTACCACTCTCTTCCTCTAGTATTGAATATACTCCGCCAAAAACCTTAGTACGACTTCAGATGAACCAAGAGAAGATTATCAAGCATATTGATATAGACCTCCTCAAACTAAGGGTTTAAAGGGGTCTTAAATATCTTACTCGCCATTCCCAATTGATCCAAGAAGAGTATCGAAATCTTAAGATTACGGTTGAGAATATTAGGGTTGCGCAAGAACCAATTCGGCGCTCTAAAACCAAACGACAGCTTAACCAACCACCCCTCCAGCAGACTGGTGTATTAAACCTACACCATATAAAACGCTTTGTGAAAATCAGGAAAACCAAGGAGGAGTTACAACTAGAAAAAAAATTACAAAAACAGGCCCAAGAAGCTCTAAAAGCTCAAAAACAGGCCGAGGAGCAGGTTCAAGAGCAGGTTCAGGAGCAGGTTCAGGAGCAGGTTCAGGAGCAGGTTCAGGAGCAGATTCAGGAGCCAATTCAGGGGGAAATGGCCAAATATTGGAGGCGATGGAAAGGGATGTACTATATTTTAAACAGATGCAGCAGAATTGTATTTAAAGCAGAATTAATAGAGAGAGTAAAATAATATTTTAAATTGGCAGAACCGGTGAAATTGGCAGAACCGGTGAAGCACACCCGACTCGTTTTTTACGAGTCGGGTGTGCACATGACACAGATACTGAGCCACTTTTCTGCGGCTGTGGCGCCAGATATTAGGATTAGTCATCATTCTAATTGGTGATGGAAGTTCATCGAATGGAATGACAGGCATCATTTTGGATACACATTGCTCTTTTTGAATTCTGGAATGACTGCTTGCTCTTGCCAGCTCGGCGCTATCCTTGTATACTATTTTCAGAAGCCACCGGCAGCTCAAGTTTGATGGATGACAATGATTATAACCTTGTCACGACCTGTCTGAACAGGTTCACCTCTTCTCCAACCTCGAATCACTGACTCAAGTATTGGTGAAAAAAAGAACCCCATAAAATGGAATTATATGTGCCAAAGAATCCGCCTGCCAAAGACCCGAAAGCCGTTGGACGACCTGATCATCCACGTAGTGCAATGTGGAGACCGAGTCGTGGTTAAGCTGCATACATGAGCGCAGCCACCCAAACAAGGTAAGTATGAAGAAGAAAGAAAAGAGAGGAAGGGAAAATGGGCCGGGAGGTTTAAATAGGGGAGGTGCTAGCTAAGCGAGGATTCTTCACCGCTTTGGTTTGATTACTTACTGCAAGGGATGAAGTGAATTATGTAGGTTGCAACATTTATGTAGTATGTAATTGGCTATCTGAATTAAAGTTATGCTCTGCTGTAACTCTTGAGGCCTAGTATCTACTAGTACATCGAATCCCTACATACCTAGATACTAGTTAAGTAAGGGCTAATACTCCTCAATGGATCAATCAGCTCAACTACTCCATCAGTCATACCCAGAACCATAACGAATGTAGGCTCGTCTACGATCGAAGTGCCGAAGAAACTGGGTGATGAAATTCTTGAACATACAAAGTAGTTATATCTATTGAATCGCTAAAGGCATGCGAGTGATTCCTTCTTGGGCATACGCAGTATGCAGTATCTGATATCGTTGTTGAGGTGATATGTGATACTTCAATGGATTTCAGTTTGCGGACCAAACAGGTCTATTTAAGTCTTTCGGTCAAATGTTGGTGAGCAGTATCCTCCTTATGTGTTAGTATGAAATTGAAGTCCAAATCAACCAGGACATGCATCTTATCGTCATCCGCACCTAACTTTGTTATTATCACCCCGTGATCTGATGACTATTCACCTAATACGGACTAGCGGATTCGCTACTAAGACCTATATCTTCTCCCAAGTCGCTCTTTCGAGTCTCCTTTCTTCTTCAAACATCCTAGTGCAAGGGTATTACATATATCAGTGAGGAGGAATCCGAGATTATGTTTTTGCTGGTTGAAAATTTTTAACCTGACTGCTCCTGGCTCACGTGGCCAGGGAATTTTTTACCCCAAAATTTTGATTTCATCGCTCTCATGCTTTTTTTTCATTGCTTGGTGACCCTTGTGGTCGCGGGTAGAGAAGAGAGGTTGTGGATTTGAGGCCTTGAGTATATCAAAACATAACGTCATCACAACAAAACACGTCATTCAATCGATGTTGATCAAGAGTCAAGATCTTTTTACTACGGTTTCCCATACAACAACCCATATTGGCTGTCTATAAGAAACCTGGGAATAAAAATTTAGGCCATAGGTTTACTGAAGGTGCTATGATGACTGAATACGATTTTGAGAAATCATTTTTGTCTTGTGCAAGAGAAATTCAAGCAAGAACAACAACCACATCCCCAGTCCTTTTGGCCTACATACTGGCCTTTACAGAAGGATTTTTTGAGTTTTGAATCTAGCATAGCGATCAAATGTTTTTACTGTCGTGAAAGACATCCTACAGGTAAATGTGTCCCAACCTCGTGAGGTCGCGTTAAAGAACTCTGCAGGCAAACCAAGTGCAACTCTACCTACAACGGTCCATTTCGACCAGAATACGGACCTACCCAGTGCTTATGTATAGATAAAAATTGGAAAGAAACTTGGAACCTTGTAGTGAAAATGAATAGCAAGCTGCGACAAAAAACATTTGAAATGGGGACTATATGCATGTGCATCTAAGGTATCAATTGCAAAATGAACGCTTGAAATAACAATAAATGAAGTTCAAACTTCAAAAACCCATTATTTCAACTCGAGGGAAGGTTGGAACTTCGGCAGATGATATTCCACATCATTCGGCAACAGCCAGCCAGGGTGGAAGATGTTGAACACTCCAACCGCAATGACCATCATAGCACCATCCATAGCAACAAGGTACACCTCATGAGTGATCAAGAATCCCGACCATCCTTGAACAAGCTCGATTGCACGGTAAATACTCCGAACATAGATGACAGCAACAGACAGCACTATGGCACCGGTAAGGGGCAAGATTGTACCCGATGTGAGTTTCTTCAACTGGCCCATGCGTGAGACACGTCGGATAAAGTCTGCAGCAAAGCCAATGAAGATGGTGATGGAGACTAGCTGGAATATAATTCCTGCTACCATGGTGTCTGTTCCAGGCTTGGTGTTACCGCCTTCCACGCCAGACTCTGATGAAGCCAGACCACCACCGGCGGCTTGTACGACTAGTGAGATGATGTCGCATGTGCAAAAGATCCATAGGTACAGCTTTGGGGTGAGGATAGAGGATTCTGGGCCAAAAAGTCGGATCAATCGACCGAGAAGAACGTAGATTCCTGCAGTGAAGAAGGTTGGGGCTGTTTGAAATAGAGGTCGTCAGTGTGAACTCATGATATTGGTAGGTTTTCAAGGGTTGAACTGACCAATGATCAATGTACAGATTTGAATCATGAATGCAGTGCTGTTATAAGGGCATTCAGCAGCCCAAAGGCGACCAGCCCAGCCGAGTAGTTCCACTGGTAACGAGTTAGATTGGTCCCGGATTGGAATGTTGAGTAGATACTTACCCATTGCTCCAATGGCAAAGAGACTGCACCACCATGTCCGCTTCCAGCAAAATTGAACGATGTGAGCGGCCATCGTCAAAGCAAAGAGAACACAGAATGCAATTCCTGCGCCTTGTGATGGGACATAGCCATATTGAGTCGTAAGGCCATATTTAGTCTCGTACAACTCGTTATAGGCTAAACAGCCAGCATTTAGGTCGATCTCGGTAGTCATGTTGAAGTACAAAAGAAGAGGATTCTAATGTTGTCTGATCGAGAAGTAGGCAGATACCTGGATGGTTCAGGGCTAGATCGCAATGATTGATGATCTATGGAAGAAAGTCCAGAAGGAAAGGGTGCTTTATATGTCAAAGATGGTCCAGCTCTGGAGGCCCCATAAAATCAGCCCTCACTTACAAGGATCCAAAGCTCCTCAGATCGACATCGAGGCTCCAAGATTTCCATACCAATGTAAGTGAGATTGAGCGGACGGACGGGCCTCATTGCGATGTACAGGGGTCCACTATAGTGTCGTTGCGGCTGGTCGAGTTTATTTTTGAAACATGGCTGCCATGGATTGGTTTGAGTGGGCGGTGCTGCGTTGTTTATTCTATAGCTCTAGACCTTAGATTTAAATCTTGCGATGGTTCACCTGAACAGTCGCCCATAATCTACTTCACTCCTTCAACCTCGAAATGGACGCTCCGCTAGCCATGAGACTATATACATTCTTATAGTAATTGCAAGCTTCATGGCCATAGACAATGGCAAAATTCCAATGAGAATTGTCGTATTAAGGAGTCCATCATACAATAAGCTGAATCCTTCATAGAGCAGAGCACAGCGGCACCTGCAGAGCACTAAAAGAAGGGGCTTAGCTTAAAATTTCTGATTTATCTCAATGATGGAAAGATCAAACGCCAATGGTTAATTTTGACAATTTGGAATTAGGAATCGGGACTCGGATGAATTAAGGCTCAGAGTAATACAGGTAGTTTCTCACTTCTGATAGGCGCCAAGGTTCGACCCTTCATTTTAGTATATGAGCGTTGATGGGTCTGCATGACTTCTGACATCAGATGTGATTCCCGTTTGGGATAGCGTATAGTGCCACTATATGACTTTTGTAGCTGCATCTTAAGCGTACTAGTAGGTATTTAGAAGTGTTTCATGAAATTAGTTCTGTCCTAAAATTTATGTATCAAACTAGCCTCGGAAGATCTTTTAGCTGAGACTTCTAAGGGAACAGCTTCTAGTTACTTATTTGGTTTCCTGTGGTGATTTTTAGTATTCATATTGTAGTCTCCGAGGCCTTAGATGTCATGCATGGGTATGATGTGGTCGGTGGAGAATATAAGAGTAGCCTTAGAAGTTGGTAAATTTTAGGAGCAGATAATACAAACATGCCGAGCTGAATCCACAGCTCGCAAGGCTAACCGAAAGCGGAGATTTTTGACGCCGGGCCGTGATAAGATTTAACACTGCCACAAGGGCTAATCCACATAAGGTTAGTCTTGCGAGGGGTCAATAAGTGGAGTAAGCTGCACCAAGAAACCAATGAAAGAAGACTCACCGTCAGACTAATCAGAAGTATGGAACGCCGTACAATAGGCACCTGGCATCCAAATAATGAGATCCCCAATTCCGATTCCAATGTTGTTTGGGACGTCCCGAAGGCTTCAGCGTAAATTGCGTTAGAAGAGGTTTCCTTCCAAAGCTCTAGATTGCCCACATTTTTTCAACTTCCAGCCTTTACCTGCAGGTGGGCAGTGCTTCAAAGTTCAAGACTGTTAATGCATCAAATTGTCAATAGCCCAGGATTTTGTGAGCTCCCAAGGCTGCTCGAAGTACCAGTGGAAAACCTCCAAGGGTTGGGAAATTCATGACTGGCAGCTTCGGAGGCTTACCTAGGTAGGACATATAGGGCATTTCTGTTCGAGGCCACAGGATTTTAGCAACTTCCAATATGAAATGAACCCCAAGCCTTTCAATTTTGGGACCCAGATAACTAATGCCCAGATGGGGTCATTTCGAGCAACAGAATTCTCCATCAGGGCATCATCATATTGTGACCATGAGTTGGGAGATTGCGATTGAGTCGAGTATTTACTCACATTTGTTAATCTACTATTATCTCCCCAAAACCCATCATAGGTTTGAAGGCGTGGGCAGGTGGCTGATCTGCCTTCACTATCCATAGACGATTGGCCCTTCAGAGCTAGAGGTCGGCTCTATAATGGCTTTAACCCAGGATATACTACTACTTAGGCAACTGGAGAGACTGATTTCCAAAGTTCTGCACTCAAATATACTTCAACACACGTTACGTTCACTCCATTGCCTCCTTTTTTTTGAATACCCAAATAATGAACTTTTTTATGCTCGGCGTGTTTGTTGGCAAATATAGGAATTTTTCATCCCCATCAGGGTTTTGATTCTTGTTCCTCCACCTTCCACATTTTCTTCTTTCACTCCTGCAACTCTTTGTTGACGTGTTGAATACCCTGGAATATGTCGTTGTCCAGCTACCGCTATGGCTTAATCGAAGCAGTCACTCGGTAAGTAGGTTGACTAATTTGAACCCTCTCACCTTACACTGACGGTATTTCTTAGGTGTGCTGTATTTTATTTGATGGTCGTCTGTCTCCTCTTTATCTGTATCTGGTATTTCCCTCTGATAAAACATTTGATCTGACCGGTTTACTGACTTTTTGGCAGACATTCACTATGTGCGTTCCCATCCCACATATACTTTCGACGCCCCAATCTAACATCTGAATGTGGTTTTCTTTTAGTGCCCCCGAAACCGTGTCTTAACTATCCTATTCGGAATAACCGTCGAAGTTACCTTTACACTTTTCACGGTCTACTTCAACTCCGCAGCCCTGTAAGTTGTCGCACTTGACACAAAGCTACCTTTACTTGGACTGATACTAGAACCAGGGCCAACCTCCTCAGCCGCGTTGCCATAGCCAGCTCAATCTTCTGGGCGATTCTAGTCGATTACCGAACGCACGAGATAAGATGGGAAAGATTGCATGATTTTCGGACAAATTACACTTATCTGTTGAAGTTCTCTTTGCTCTGCTGTCTTATTCCCAGCGAATTTCATCCCGATGGGCTTATGGAGATTCTGGTGGAGATCTTGGAAGATCTCCAGCTCCTGAAGATATTTCCCGTGGAATTTCAGTCTTTTAATTGGGTAACTGATGTGCAGTTTCTTTTTGATCAATGGGAGACCTATTGCCAGTGAGCATCTTCTTTATGATTCATTGGAATTAACTGAGCTCTAGTAGCTTCCATCACTCTGTATGCTAATATCACTATCAAAAAGCTGAAAAACTTCTCTGCATCTCCAGAATTGATGATTATGAGGTCTCTTTACTATCATGTTCTTCCGAGATTTGTCAAATGGCTGTAATAAGGGCAATGGGTACATGAACATGTGGTTCTTCAAAAGTTTGACCATGACACTCCACAGCTAAAGCCTAGCAATGGTTTTGATGGATAACATAAACACTCTTTGAACTCATTAAAAGCATGACAAATGCTCAAGAATTTCGCCTTTCCTTTTTCATCTTTATATAATTGAATTTACTATTCCAAAGTTCCATTCCCGTCAATTATCTCTAATTCATGGCAATTATTTTTGTCGTAATGACAACGACAACCGTATCCGCCAGGGGCTTCACAACCTACACCTATTTCCCCCAGGACTTAGACTTATGACCCATATTTATACAGCATGGGGGGGGGGGTATAATTTCCTGGGATGGCATATTGGAGGAACTTACTGAGTAAGTCTTTATTCCTGGAAGAACTGAGGTTGACATGAAGACAAAGCCAACTAGCCGAGGCAATTACCTCTGGAGTATCGTCGAGCTTTACTATCAGCTCCAAATATAGACAGTGACATAGCTCAAGGGATTACTTTGCTATAATTTGTATTGTAAACACTCTTTTGATCTCTAGCAGCAAGATGTTTGACTGGTACGTGCAGACACTTTCAACTGCCTTGAGTACCTAGGCATAAAAAGAGAACAACGACTAACCATACTTCCTAGCGTCGTGCATTCATATCCGTCATGTGCGAATGCGCTATTCTTTGCAACTGAACGTGGTACGCATGCTTCAATGGCCTGGTTGAAAACTCCAATCTTACATCCACGCCAAGCCCTGTAAGCTTTCCCCGGATTTCATACCCGCAATACCAATCTTATTTCTGACCTTATTCCCGAAATAAAGCCGGCACCGCCCCACCCGGTCCGCAAGTTTAATTAGAGCCCTGAAGCTCTAGGTTTTCGATATCCATTACAATGAATGAAATATCATAGATTCATCACTATCAGTTATTACAGAAAGCAGTTTATCCTCTTGGTAAGACTTCGTGTTTTCCCAAATGACCATACTCCTATGCAAATCGTCGTACCAAACCGTCCATGCGTGATGCCAATTAATGAAGCTCCTAAATTGATACAAAGGCCAAGCCAGATATATAGCTAGTAAAAAAAAACATATTATTCCATAGACTCTCTTACATCGTCAATCGCAGCTCCCGTGCCAGGCGTCGACTAGAACGGGTGCCCCGACGAGATTCAACGACTTCAGTTGCTGTCTCAGTGCGCGCATCCGAGAGTTCGGGGGTGGAACTGACACCAAAGCTGATACCGCGATCTCGGCGGGAGATGCGCGCCTCTGACTCCGGGGAGATGAATCGGTGGATAATACGGTGATCCATGATGCGGTCTTCACCATCACTACCTTTTTCCGTCTGGGGCCACTGGAATCCGTAGATCTTGGAGTGTCTTTCGCAACGGGGACATTCTCGGCGTGTCTGGTAGGAATTTGACTGGACGAACCACGAATCGCATGTTTGGCAATCGACCCAGCGATCATACTTTTGGGCAAGTAGTCGCGATGTCTTGGTATAGTCGCCGGGAGCCCGTACGATAGGCGCCTGGTCTTCGACGGAGGAGATGATGTGCCATTTACCTCGCCGTCGCCGAGCTTTGGGGGTCTTTTCGGTCTCCTCTGAGACATCGTCTGATTCGAGCGATTCTGATATTTCCGGCTGCACATCTTGCGTAGCGGCGTAAGTCACAACATCTAACTTTGTTGTGGAAACACTGGATGTACACTCTATTGTGGTGACTTTCAGGATAGGCTGTTCTGTCTCTGAGGTCTCTTTCTTCTTCTCGTTGGACCCAGTTCCATCCACAGATGTGGGAGTACTTGAAGTTGACGACCGGTGAGATTCGCCTGCAACAGAGCTGGGAGATTCACAGTCGTTGGGGGCACTTGTTTGAGAATTATTATCGTTAAAGCTGGGAGTGACTGGCTCTGTTTTCATATCCAGGATTAAAGTCTCTTTTGACTCTGGTTGGTTGGATCCCACAACTGAAAACACTGTCGCGACCAGCGGCGTCTCCGCATTAGATTCCACTCTTTCGCTTACTATTATTTCCTGTCTTAGCTTAGACAGGTGTTGGTCGTCTGCGGCTAGAGCAGCGGCGGCTGCGGAGTCGGCTTCGGACTCAGAGGTGGTGCAAAGTTCGGTGTCAGGGGACGGTTCATTGAGGAGTTCGGACAAAGAAATATGTTGACGCAGCTTGGAAGTCCGACTCTGGAGCTTGGTCCGCTTATGCGGGGTTGAACATATTGAAGTTGAGTCTTCAGGGTCCAAGTCCTCCGAATCGCGCCTGCGCTTCCTCCCCCGCGCAGTGGGTTCGGTAAGCGTGGCCTCGTCTGTTGAGGCCGATGTGGTTTCATCTGAATCCGAGTCCACTTGAGGTAGCCATCCGTTCCTTCCCGCTTGTTCGCATGTTGAGCATAGACATTCACAGTTGTCAATACCAAAGTAATCCTCTCCGTAGGACACGGTGATTTCTTCTCCTTCATATATGTTACGCGTAGCCATAACAGACATACCCTCCGTACCCCGTGTAACAAGGCGGCCATTGGCATCGCAGTCGTGATTTGCAAATCGAGCGGGGCCCAGGAAGAAAGAAGGGGTTTTCCGGCGGCTAGACATTACCACACTGAAATCTTTCCGAGTCAAGCCGAGATCTAACTCTTCCTCCTTGGTCATTGCAACCAGTGTTCCGCTGAGGAACTTGATCTCCTGATTCGCTTTGATAAACTTTCGAGCACAGATGGCAGCTTCGTGTTCTGTGATGATGTATCGGTTGGTGGTGGTCACCTCATAGGGGCAGTCCGGGTGATACATCTGGATATATTTATGGAGGTGTCGGCGAAACCATTCCTTTTCACGAGGGCTTCGTAGGTTAGACACGTATTTCCTCAAACCAGATAGTTCCAATAGTTTCTTCTCGGCTTGCGGGATGTCCTTTGCGACGACGACGTCGTGGAGGAGGATGTGACCAACCTCATCGTCGTGAATTCCGCGGGCTGGGCTGTACTTTGTGCGATTCTTTCGAGTCGTGGTCCAAAAGTATGCCTAGTAGTGAAGAATATTAGGATAAGGGCCCACAAGCTCAAAATGGGGAGGACACTAATACATGATCGACTAGCGCATCTGTTGCGACATCGTCATAGCTGGCCAGTTTATCCAGTGTCAAACGTTCTCGGCGCTCTGTCGCAGGAGAGGCTGAGCGCAATTTCTTCGGTGGCATTTTCAAGTTTGATAAATGGTGGGACCACTGGAAAGAGAGAAATCAAGGCGTGGCATAAATGTAGGGCAGTTTGCGCAGGTGGTAGAGCAGGCCAACGCGGCGTTCCGAGGACAGCAGCACTGCAATAAAATCCGATTGACATATAAAGGAGTGGAATAGAGTAAAGTGACAATCACAGTCCCTGCATAATGACTATGAGATTCACCAATACCCCAATTGGTGGACATTCGCAAGTCCAAGGGGAAGTTAAGGTGGAAGCGCTACTTTCCGCGTTCCAGGAACCGGATCTTATCCTTGCCGCTTTTACTCCCGCTCAGCCCCAATGCAAATCCTACTTATGGAGTAGAGCAGAGATGTTTCTATAGTTAGCATGAATTCTGTAAATATTTGATATTTAGGCCCATGATGGGACTATTTGCCTAGGTACTTACAGGTTACCCACCCAGCTGTTTTAAGTGTTTACTCACTGGCTTTTTCTATATCACGATGACAGCATTCTGCATTTTAATCACTTATATTTGAGCCGGGATTGAAGAAGCCAGTAGCTAGGAGTTAACAATATATCATTGTAATTTGTAGATACTTACTTCCTTCCGAATCCTCCGTAGCCCTGGAGGTAGAGTTGTCTAGATTCGTCGCTCATGGCCGGCCTTGCATCTATACTACCGAATGTAAGCAGCCTGCCTTACCAACCAACCTTGGGAGGATCCATAAACCACACTTGCCCGAATCTAGATCTACAGGTAGTTAAGATCACTTTATATTCATTATTTGCCTCTTCACTTCTAGGTTTCCCTTCTTACCAATCGCTGGTTTTCTCTTAAATCACTCTTTCCGTCCTGCCCAGATGGAGTCTGCTTATCCTGATATCTTCCAAGGTCCAGTACTTGTCCACCGAATATTATTTAAGGCGGCCATGCATTTGCAACAATAGTTTCCCTGGTGTAAAGTGGCTCCAGGGGAGACCACGTAGTCACAATATTCATGAAGTTCACATTGGGATCGTTGTCAAATTCTCACACCCAAATTCTAAGACAATCAGGTCTAAACAAGAGGTGAAGGTATATGAAATCACTTCACAACACCCTGTCCTTCCATAGTACAAATGGACAGTGTTTTCTCGTCAATAATAATGGTATTTACCCCCGAGCATATAATATGTACAACCCCCTTTTGATTCCCATGTAGTTGATCCAGTGATGTATATTGACTATATTTTCAGATGATAATATTATTGCTCGAATCCTTAGCAATCAAAATGTTTCATGAACGATAGAGGTGATTGTGTTGTTTCTAGCGTGGAACTGGAACCTCTGTCCCTGCGAAGAGAATATATGAACAGCCTCTCCCAGGCCACGGCTTTCCTTGAAACTTTTACCTCGTCCATGGTAGCCGACCCCTATGAAAACCCTCCTTGATCTAGAGGTCTTGATATAGTGAAAGCGGTCGATTTCGATTTCATGGCGGAATTCGGGACAAAGTTCGAAACTTGCTATAGAGGCTAGTAATGAAGACTACTCAGTAGGAACGAGCCGGAGCATAGACAATTTGGGACTGGTGAGTTCCTGGGTCCTCACACAGAGCAATTTGCTTTCGGATCCTTGTTTTACATGATCAACTAAGGCATTTCGGTTCATCACAATCAAGCCTATAAGCAGACTGTCAACTTAATGCAGGATATGGAATTTCCGAAACTGGATGTCAGCCCACTTGGTGACGATATTATCGACAAGTGTTGGCGTAACAAGTATCCCACCACTGCAGAGTTGGCTGCATACATAGAGGCACTTGTCCCTAAGAAAAAAAAACAAGGTTATGGCATGGATCAGGATCGCACAGCAGACGAGTTCTATTCGGAACAGGTAATCTGTCAGAACTGAGAGAAATGCGGACTTCTTCAGATAATCAGATTCTTTCATCAAAAGAGCCAATGGAGCTTGGATTTGATTAAGCGGATTGGTCCAGGCTGATTCAACCAGACATGAACTGGGATGAGATAAATGACTTTGATTCTGACTCTGGTTTTGACAGCCTGCAGTAATCGTAGAAATACCGCTACTAGCTAGTGAAATTGTAGAACATTAAAACTTAAGTTCTATCCAGACTTGGCTGCTGAAAAGTATAATAACGAAGTACTCCGTACTACGCAAATGCTTTCACTTGATATAATATCGGATAAACTTGCCATTCGGGGAAACAAACTTCCGAACCCGTAGTAAATTGTCGTCGCAGCTTGCCGCCGCGGTGTTGACTGTCCTCCAAAACACCCAAAATGATCCAACTAAAGGTGAGTATCACTGAATTAGATGCTTGCTCTCAAATATACTGAATTGTTCCGTTCAGACATTATTAAATTGCATTGACAACTCTGGCGCCTCGGTCGTCGAGTGCGTCAACGTCTTGAAGAAGAAGCGGCCCGCGACAATCGGTCAGTCCTGAACCATAAGAGACAAATTGGTCTACCCGGACGAAAGAGAGGCAAGAAGCTAATACTGGATGTTTGTTTAGGTGATCGAATCGTCGTTGTCGTCCAGAAACAGAGAGCCGCTGGGTCCGAAGGTACCGGTACTGCTCTTGCGAACAAAGTCCGCCGTGGTGACATCCGACATGCTGTTGTCGTCCGCGTTAAGAAGGAGCTGCAGCGGGCTGATGGCACTGTTGTTAGATTTGGTGACAATGCCTGTGTGTTGGTGAACAAGTCAGGAGATCCGATCGGTACCAGAATGAACGGTACGTTCTTGGGCATCTCATCCTTGAAGTCGGTCCATGAATACTGACAAATTCTGTAGGAGTTGTGGGACAGGAACTACGAGCTAAGCAGTGGTCTAAGATCTTGTCATTGGCGCCAATTAATGTGTAAAGTCCACGTCCACTATTGTTTCTCTTTGGGGTTTGGGAAAGCGTGTTATTTTTTCCATTTTGTATCAATAAAAAATCCCCTGCCAAGTCAATACCAATTTTTTTAGAGATGTGCCATATCACATCTCTGTTAAAATCTGTCAAACTCCGAAGTATGCAGAAATCGCAGGGATATCGCCGAAGATTGCAGGATTAAAAGGTAGCACAAAAGTGCAGCATAAGGGTTAAAGCCTAAGAGTTGTAGCATAAGAGTTGGAGCATAAGCCTGTAACATAAGAGGAAATTCAAATAATCATAGGGTATAAAGAAAAAACTGGAGTTAAGGAAGTGGTCTCGAGGAGTTCGGGTCGTGGAATCGGAAAATCGTGTCACATGAAAACAGTTCCACATGCGCAGCAGACGTAGTAGAGCTTCTAAAAGAAGGCAAAGATTATGAGCAGGAAATCAGGGAACAGTCCACAGCAGAGGGTCTTACCATTCCAGTTTCAGCAGAACGCTGTTGAGACTGAAAGAAGACAGCCTCGAACTCGCCGCAACTCGGGCAAAGCTTGTGTGCGCGCGGAAGCTAGATTGAACTATCAGCCACTGCTTCAATGGCATCGCTAATTTTGCAACCCTCGCTTGGATTCGTGCTATTGTATTCATCCTCCTCTTCAAAGAAAGCGGCAAGTCCAAAGGTGGACTCGCCACAAACAGCGCAGGCGGTTTCCTCGCCGCAGAGGGTGCAAAATCCAGCAAGGGAGAGAAAGTCGGGGACACAAACCGTCGGGTCAGATCCAACATCTTGGGTCACACCGGCAGTATCGCCAACGACATTGTTAAGCTTGTTCTGGTAAACACAGTGGGAGGTTGCGGGCTCGCCAACATGGCAGGTGCGGCAAGTGAACATTAGAGTGTTGGTCTGGCGGTCCTCCTTGGGGTAGAGCAAGTTGGAGCTAGGATGAGAGATTTTAATTAGTGATCAGGATTGGACAAAAGGTTTTGTGAATGGACTTGGAAAAGATCTACCACTCGCGGCAAAATTTGAAATGAATCTGATCAGACTGCTTGGTGACTTCTGCGCCATCAGCGCCATCGGAGGAGGGAGCGGGGCTCGCAGACATTGCGTTGGATTTGAATGCGGGAGTTGAGATATATTGGAATTTCTTTTGACGATTGACGTGCAAAAGAGATAAGAGACGAGAGTTGTTGAAAGAAGAAGTTGGAAAATGGAAAAGAAATCGCGAGGTGATTGATTTAGGCGTTCCTGAGATTGGTTTGCAGTGTTTGCACTTGGATTCCCCGCAATTTCATATGTCGCGGGTTCAATCCCGTGTTGAACGAAGATTCAACAAACAACGAAGAGACACATTCACCTATTAAATATGGTGAGTACTAATTATAGTATGAACCTTTCACTTTCTAACAGTACTATTAAAGTCTGACTCAGGGTTGCCCGCTGGCTGGGAGGTTCGACACTCGAACTCCAAGAACCTTCCTTACTACTTCAACCCGTCTACGAAAGAATCGCGTTGGGAGCCACCGAACACCACCGATACTGAGAAACTTAAAGTCTACATGGCTCAGCACCACACCTCATCAGCTAGTGCTGATGCCTCTAGCCAGGATGATGGCAAGATTCGTTGCAGCCATTTGCTGGTGAAGCATAATGGTAGCCGTCGCCCCAGCAGCTGGCGCGAGAATGAAATCACCCGCAGCAAGGAGGAAGCGATCGAAATTCTCAAAGGCTATGAGTCTCGCATTCGATCGGGTGATGCTACCCTAGGAGAAATTGCTGTCTCCGAGTCGGACTGCAGCAGTGCTCGCAAGAAGGGTGACCTGTAAGTTTTTACACTTGTGTTGAGTTTTGAGTTTATGATGACGATGCTTACTGTCTACAGTGGATTCTTCGGCCATGGAGACATGCAGAAGGAATTCGAGGATGCTGCCTTTGCCCTTCAGCCTGGACAGGTCAGCAACATTGTCGAGACTGCCTCTGGCGTTCACCTCATTGAACGGTAGGACCGAAATGAACTTCATGGGTATTTTCCCTTGCTAACCCCAAACAGTGTCCAGTAACTTCATCTTAACTTGGATAATCTCCTCAGTTGCACGCAATTTGTCCCACTCTTGCATCATCCAATATGGTCATGCACTTGAGTTTGGGTATTTGGTTTTAAGGTAGAGAGTTACATAGCCGAACGCACCGGTGGCTTCATAAAAGGTTCGCAAGTATTGTCTCTTTGATATCGAGATCTAATGAATTTCACCCACGTTATTACTTCAAAACAAGAAATTTTCCGCTCCATAGACCAACCTGAATGAAATTCAACTTTTTAATCCCATTAGCTGAGCTACCTATGAAGAAATAGAAGTAGTGAATTTTGATTCTTGTTTCAATTTCTCTTCTTACTTTTCACCTCTCGCTGATTCTGTCAATTCCGCAGTCGACCTTCCAAGGTTGCTACAACTTAAGAGCTACCTACCTAGGAGTACTCTCTTATACCTACCTAGGCAAGTATTGCCTCATGGTACACGATGAATCCTTCATCTAGGCTCATCTGATAACCTTTCTTGGGTAAATACATCATGATCTAATACTCCCATGAATTTCTAGGTATGGATACGAAACCTTGGAAGAATGTGGATCACATTCAACATCAAAGCCGATTCATTAATTGCTCCTTGGAATATTGGAATATTGCCCCTTTGTTATAATTATAGCTTTAGACAGAATGATCTATTAATACAACTAATGGATTGGATAAATGCCTGAAATTCACGTAGGCAATTGATGGATTCTTTTCATCCTAGCATTCATCCAACCTAAGATCCTGATTTAAAACTTCCCTCCATCAGAGCATCTTGAAGAAGCTAAAGCTGACGACCTAGGTACCTAACTAGGTAATCCAATTATGTGTCTTTCTTGGACACGCAACTACGAATGTGGTTGTATCTGGGATCTGGATACCGACTACTGCCCAGAAGACGACTACTGCTGGGGTCGAAGAATGATCATGCTAAAGTATAACAAGAAATGCCGAGATTGCCGAAGAAGCTGGAGTGAGCGTCTTAGCGATAATGCTCAGCGAACAGAGAGATGTTCAGTGGAAAGGCAGCAACATCGTGAAAATGAAAACTGCACGACAGCAGATACAGGCTCTAGAATGGCAGAATCAGATGGAGATTCCGAGACAGATAGTAGTGACGAAGACGACTCTGGAGACAATGACGAAGACGGGGAGGAGGATGAGGAAGAAGCAGTTCACAACCCCGCAATGTATTTTGATGCCGATGATAACTGTGATCTAACGAGAGCTTGTGATCCAGTGGAATTCTCTTCCATGTGGAAAGATTATCGGGCTGATCGGAAACGGATGGATTGGTACATGTTGGAAGGTAATTAATTATATTGCTTCAAACTTGTTTCTCAACATGGGAAGTGATTGCTCACTACGAGTTTGATCTAGATGTTTTTTGGGGGATCTCTTGGCCCATCTGGTAGATGTTATCAGGGTCTTTTACTTGAGCTTGGAGAGATTTTGAAAAACGAACATAACCTTGGGATCAGGGAGTAGGTAGTAGTAGGCAGTGAAGCATAGTCGATCATAGCAAGGGTTTGTTCATAGTGAAATTTCTTAACATTTAATGTCATTTCTGGAGTTCCAAAGAGCTAGAATACACTAAATTGGGTTGCTGAGATGCTCCATAACTTGATATTCTGTATACTATGAACCTAGGAGAAGTTCATATTGAGACGTTCCAATCGCGATGTGATTGCGTCGATGACAGCAGATCTAGTTTGGTCAGTAACTGTATAGAAATCAAGTTTCATCGGCAAACTCACTCTCTTTCAACCATTCTCATCGCATCTGAAACCTTGGCCCTCTGAAGACGGTGTGGAACGTGGGGTTGAGATGAGCTCGAAGGCTCAGAAGGCGCCGATAGCTTGTTGGCAATCGACTTCGATTCGGCTATGAGGTCGAGTGCAAGACGTTTGACCTAAATAAATTAATAAATCAAATCTCAAGATATGCGAGGGGGAACCTACCGTCTCCAGTCGTCCCGTAATCTGGCTGTTGTCTTGGTCCTTGTTCACGCTCTGCTCGCCCAAAGATTCGGATAGGATACGAACTTCAGCTATCCATTCCTTCTCCTTCTCACTCAGAGGACGGCCGCCTGAATTGAGAAGCTTCTTGCGGATCACATCATAGCGGTTGGTGAGCTCGCTTTGCCTGTCCTTTGCGGCTTGCAGTCTCTTATCCAAGATTTCTCCATTCCGGACACCCTCCTTGCTAGTACCGTCCTCATCAAGTTCACTTGTCACGCCCTTGATGCGCTCTGCCACATCTGAAAGCTGTCGCAACTGATCCTTCATTTCACCCTGCAAGCGTTCGCAGCGTCGAAAGAGATCCGATGCGGCTCTTTCGAGGGCATTTGTGTGGGCCGATAGCACACGATGGGCTGTGGTAACCAAGTCCAGGGTTGCCGGGGACAAACGCACCTGCTCTTTAAGAGTGTGGCGCTGGCGATGAGGAATATATTTCTCAACGAAGGAATCCAGTGGAGAGTTAGCGTAAAGGACAGCAGGAACCTGGTATGGGGCCCTGTGTGGAATGAAATCAGCTGAGCCTGAAACAGTCAACTTCTGCGCGAATAAACTGTCAAGTCCGGCAGTGAGGGCGTCCTCCGGAGCATCCATCACAGCCGCATACGGGGCTGATGGCTGGAATGTGAGTAGTAGATATCCGACATCGTAATCGTAAAAGATAACCGGAGTGGCAAGATGTTCTTGATGGATGGGGGCATCAATATCCGATACCTCCAAGATCTGTTCTCTCTGGGCTACATTTCCGCTGCAGATGACCTGCAATCGGAAAGCTGAGCCCGATGGGTCTTCCGCTTGTAGCTCTGCTTCGAGTCTCTCTACCCAGGGACCCATAGAGAAATATACGACATTTGTCGCGGTTGTAACGAAGAATGAGTATCGGGAGTGGACATCCTTGGTAAAAGTGGGCCAAGCGACCGACTTCGATCCGTCCGTCTTCACGGTATCCAGCGATTCCACCAAGAGAAGATCAGAGGGGTCCGGCATGGGCGTTTGGAATGAATTCTTTCTTGCCTTGGGTAGCCACTGGCCTTCCACGCCATCAAGCTCCAAGCAGATATGAACACGACCATTACTACTAGACAGACAGATGACAGTGGCCGAGAGTTTATCCTGCTTGCTGATTTGAACTGCAAGTTCCTCATCCTCCCCCATCATGAGATCTTCGACGTTAAGGCTGGAGGCGATCACAAGGATTTCGCATAGATCCAAATCATCAGTGTCATCATCAGCGTCGAAACGGAATGGTCCCTGTAAACGGGGTATGGGGCTTGGAGAAGCCGGACGGGTAAAAACATCAGCACCTTCAATTGTATCTGTTCGGGAAGGTTGATCGAGAGGCTCTTGACCGTCAATTTCTCGCAGCCACTCATATTGTTGACGACAAACCACCAACTCTTCTTCCAAGTCCTCTGGGGCTTCTTCAAGCGCTGCGAGTTTAGGAACAATGGCCGAAGAGAGAGAGGGGATTGTTGCCGAGGGAGCCTGCCACTTAGATGGCAGCAGGGGGCAAAGGGCGTAAAGGTCGCCGGGCTTCATGGCCACCCAGAGAGTCATGGGGGCCCAAGCGTCCTCTCTTTCAATGCCACTGCCGCCGAAGCAAGCGGAGGCCACTTCCATGTCAATGACATCTGCCGAGAATCCCTTATTCTTTCCAAATCCAGTGGGTGCGAAATCCTGATCGCAGGAAGTTCCATCAACCAACTTTCGGAGGTCCACTGCGAGTGTAGGCTGGTCGAAAGACCAATGATTGTTTCGATGCAATTCCCATACTCGCACAGCGGCATCTGCGGTAACCGTGACAATGCATCCACCTAGGTTGGTGTGCAGTCCCAAAGGATGCCATAGCGCTGACACTACTGGTGCTTGTGGAATAACATGGGTAGTTGGGCCGAGCTGGTAGGTCTTCAGCCGGATTGCAGAGGAGTCTCTCGATGAAAGATGTGATGAGTCTGGGAGAACAGCGATATGGATAGTGTGCTCGCCGACAATCGCAAGGAAAGCGCCATTGGGAGACGGCACGATTTGTTTGACAGGTCCGTACACAGGTACAGTCAAAACCTGCAAGGCACCAATTTGATAAGTATAGATGTCATCGAAGAGGCGTTCGTGATAGAACTTACCCTGTAAGGAGGAATGTCACAGCCATTTAATTGCTCCTTTGACTGAGCAACGCCCTTCTTCTGTCTAGCCTGCTGCTGCCATTGATCCTTCAGTCGTGGAAGATGGGACCAACGGATCTCATTGTCGATGACGGCAAAGATCTCTGATCCGCGCTTGGCGATTGTGCGCGATGCGCCATTCAAAGCAGCCAATTTCGATTCATTCAGAAGAGTCTGCGCTGGACTTTTGCTTTCGAAGAGGCTGGCGCCAGGCGAGGGTCGGCATAGCCATGCAGGCGCGTAGCTATTGACTTTCGGCATCGAGTTGAATAGTAAGTCGGAAGAAATATGATTGTAGTTGAATGTAGAAAATTGGAGTTAGACCATCCTTATCCAACCGATAGTGGAGGGGAAAGTGAGAGAGTTGGAGTGTTGATGCGGCGGTTGGTTTTCTGGGGCGCCAAGATTCTTTCAACAAGCTCCGAGCTCCCTTGTCTGCTTTCTGACACCAAACCATCGTTACAGTCTTGACTTAGTCAAATATTCCACACCACCATGAGTTTGCTCGCAATTAACACGGTTGACCGACTGGACCGTCCCAGCGCTTACTATGCTGGAAAAGTGAGATCAACTGAATTCTCCACGCAGAAAATTGGCGCTAATCGGCAACCCAGAATAAACGACGCAGATACGAGGACGAAGAGAAAAAGGACGACCCCGTGGACAAGCTGGCAGATGCTACCACCCTCTACGTCGGAAATCTGTATGTTGCGTCTTCAAATTTAGTTTCTAACAAGGCGCCACTAACTGATCCTAGATCATTCTACACAACCGAAGAACAGATCCATGAACTTTTCTCCAAGTCAGTTGCACGATGCCTTGAGTACAAGATTCCTCACTAACAACAATGTTCAGGTGCGGTGAGATCAAGCGATTGGTCATGGGACTCGATCGGTTCAACAAGACACCCTGCGGATTCTGCTTCGTTGAATACTACACCCACCAGGCTGCTTTGGATTGCCTGAAATATGTTGGAGGCACGAAGCTTGATGAGCGAATCATCCGAACTGATCTGGACCCTGGCTTTGAAGAGGGTCGCCAATACGGGTAAATCTCCTCCCTGACTATTTCTAAATGCACAAGCTAATCATAACAGACGCGGTAAATCTGGCGGACAAGTTCGCGATGAGTACCGCGACGAATACGACCCGGGCCGTGGCGGATATGGCCGCGCTTATGACGAGCAGCGTGCACGAGAGGAAGAGGAATACGGACAAGGAAAGTAGGTAGGTGTTCGACTGGAAAAGAACATCCTGCGAGGCAGGAAAAACGGCGTTATTACGATGGCGCAGATTCAATTAGCTGAGATCATAACTCGGATATTTCAATTTTCAACTTGATACCCTTAAATTTTATTCAACTGTCTTCTGATGCGATATGATGCCCCAGTTTATTTCTTTTATTAACAGCTGCCTCCACTTGCAGCAGCCACCAGGAGTGAATTCTCGCATCTCCTGTCAACTCCGGATGGAAGCTGGTACCGAATACATTTCCCTGTCGGACTGCCACAACGTCACCCACTTCTTGGTCCGGACTGGAGTCTCGTCCCTGTGTGGCAATATGTGAAGCTGGCCTTGATAAAGTGGCTAGCACCTCGACCTGATCAGCTGTGGCAGCTTCCGCCGCTGCGTCCTTGGCTTTCCTAGAGGGGGCCACCACCGTGTTCTCCCGTTTGTCTTCTCCTGTCTGGACACCATCCTGGTGCGGCAGGATACACTCCACAATTGGCGCTCTAATAAACACCGCGGGGAACGGTGTGGCACCTTCGCCCAGGAACGGCAGTTGTAACGGGGCTTGGAAACTCTCTGTTTGACGGCCAAAGTGATTCCGGTTGACTCGAACATCAAGACCACCTATGAGCTCCTGGCCACCTTTTTTAGTTCGATTGGCTGACTCGGCCAACAATATCAACCCGGCACAGGTGCCCCAAACCGGTTTACGGTGCACCCTATACAGTCAGATTGCATTCCTAATTGTGTGAAAACAGCCCACCTTACTTGACGAAATCTCTCAAAGGTTCCAACATATTGGACCTTGCTGCCACCAGAGACATCGTGGTGCTTTCTCCACCCGGCAAAACGAGTGCATCGCACCTGTCAAGTACTTGAGACGTTCGTACCTCGATAAATTCCCATTGCGATGGAGCCTGTGTGGTTGCCTTCTTCAAGAGGTTTATGTGCTCAATGAATGCACCCTGCAAGGCAAGCACTCCCACTGTAAACGTCATTTCTGGACAGAGTAGTCCAGGAAGTTGCGCCATTCCTCATTCCTCGAGAACTATGACTCGGTATCACGTGATCGTTGATTCCGCGGGGGAGAAATTGTTTGGAGTGTTTGCAATCGCTTGTATTGGTACTTCTCCTCTGACCGACCGCTTATTCAACTCAAGTACCAAGGTTTAGAGATATACTGATAGGAAGTTCCGGGTATGGATTTTGGCATCTGATTGTGAAAGGATTGTCTGAGATTACGAATGGCCAACTAATAATATCCGCGAATGTCGTATACAACGTATATATTCCGTACTCAAGAATATGCTTTAACCGGTAGTAAAAAGGTGGATCCCCGAGTGGATACTTCTTGTACGCTAGAACATCTTAGTGTTGTCGGTGCGTATGTCTATACGCCCGATACGATGATGGGGCAATATTATTATAGTAAATAGAATGATCCACCTGAACCTGAAACCTTTCTGTCAACACAAACTCTCTTCAAAAAATTGTTACAGATATCCTTAAATGGTGCTCACATTCCTTCTTAACCTGGCTTACACTGACAATCGCACCTCTTGTGGATTAACCTACTACATACATATACACCTATCCGGAGGTCCCCCCTCCCCCTTGAAATATTAAATGGCCTGGGAGAAAGAAATCAGTTTAGCAGACGCTTTACATAGCAATGCACACGCCGAAGGTCTGAATCTGTACCTGGCCAAATTTCCGACCCTGGCACGATGGTACATTGACTCCCGGGAGTGGGAGGCCCATGGCTTGGATCTTCCCCTGCTGGAAGCACTACGTCCCGCCGAGCAAGAGGCCGTGAAGAGGTTTCATTTCGCTGCAGATAGACGCATGTCTCTATCCTCACACCTACTCAAGTATCTCTACATTCACCATGCCTGCGGGGTGCCATGGAAAGACATTGTCCTCAGCCGCACGCCGATGCCCGAGAACCGCCCTATCTATAATTCATCCCCCAACATCAAAATCGACTTCAATGTCAGCCATCAAGCAGGTCTTACCACCTTGGCTGGAGTGGAAGCCCCGGATCACAAGCAGTATGAAGGTCAATCAGAGGCCGAGTCTTCACCGCTTCCTCGCGTAGGTATCGATGTTACATGCGTCAACGAGCATCGTCGCAAAAAGGTCAGCACTTTGAAAGAATTTATCGATCATGTTTCAATGTTCACAGAGGTGTTTTCGGACGCTGAGCTTGAAACTATGAAAGACCCTGTATCGACCCTTCGCCGAGCTCGGAAGCTCGGCATGGCAAATGCATTTTCCTTAGTGGGCGAGGATGAAGCCAACTCGAAAGTCTATTCTGACGAGACAATTGTTCGGTATGGAATGCGTATGTTCTATTCATATTGGGCCCTCAAGGAAGCGTATCTTAAAATGACGGGTGACGCCCTCCTGGCGCCGTGGGTGCGGACATTAGAATTCACAGATGTCATCCCACCTGATCCCGTGGAGCCGCTGGTTGCACCAAAACCTTACGCAATTCCACAAAGTCCATCGGACATCCTGCAATCACCGAAGAACTGGGGTGCCCCGTACAGCGGGGTAACGGTCACCAAGGCGGGAGAGCAGATCATCGATGTTCGTCTGCAACTTGTCGCCCTCGAGTCAGACTACATTGTGGCTACAGCTGGACTCGGACCACCCGTTGGTGTGGTTCCTCGTTTCAGCCTGAATAGTGGCAAGCACCATCTACCAGGCCTGATCAGGGTTCGCTCGGGGGAAACTGTGGAGGACCACCCTATTGCCATCAGTACCAAAAAGGTAGTTGGGGATATGGACCCTTGGAATGTCCCGTTTCCCATCATCGATCCATGGCTTCCATTCCAAGAGGTTGATGTCAATATTGATATCCGACCCTGTGCGGAAGGCCGCTGCATTCACCCAGAGGACCCTAGTCTGGTTTTGGCACGTGTATCCGCTGCATAATAAAAGACTACGGACCGTGATTTCGAGTGGGAGACTGAAAAAAAAAACCATTTTAATTCGTTCTTAGCCACATATTGATGTAGTATAGTCTTATCTTGTTTCCTGGCAGTAGCATGAGCTTACGTGTGTTTCCACTTCATCGCATAGCATCTTTGAGTTACTGATGAATTTCAAATTTGGGGCTGACTTTTTCAATCAATTCAATTGAGCACCACACCTTTAACATTTAATTGGATTCCAGCTTTTCAATATTAAAAGGCCTAGGTAGCAGGGACCTCGGTTCCAAGATTCCGATGTTGATTTTATACATCCCGAGTTTCGCATTAGGTCAATTTATGAGTTAAGAATATGTACAGATAGTAAAACTAAGGTGTGAGTAAGATGAAAAACCAACTATAATTATCTTCGCTAAAGACGTAATTAGAAAGTATAGGCCCGCGACGAGGAATCTCTGAAGCCCGGCGAATCTTAGAAGAATTGAAGGTATGTACATCAGCAGGATTTGAGGGTAAGCTGGGAGAATTTGAGCTTGATTTGAATGATTGCAAGCATAAGACGTTGAGCAGTGAACTCAACTATTGCTCGGAAGTTAATGTGTAATTTTTTAAAGGTATTGGTAACGGTTCTCCCTCAAAGCTCGACAGCGGTCGAGACACTCTCGCTGCTCTCTTCGACGCCCGCCATTTCCATAATAGTCCTGAGCATGGCATCGCGTGTTGATGTGGTGAGACTATCAACGTCTGCAGCAGTCAGCTGCTTGGTCTCAATAGGAGGCAGAACTATATTTCAAAAATAAAATGTCAGTGATAGATCAGTATATACTGAGGGCATTGAAACTCACCCCTGATCTTGATTGTGCCTGCATTGAATCGCCAAGCCTTGGGGTACAAAATGTGTGCGTAGTTCTCAGCAATAATCGGCACAATCGGCACACCTGCTTTAACGGCGAGATGGAAAGCCCCCTTCTTGAAGGGAAGGAGAGTAGGCTTATCAGAGTAGCTGCGGGTACCCTCAGGGAAGATGAAAACACTCTGGCGGTGGACATGCATCTCTTCGACTGCACTGTCGAAGGCTTTCACAGCAGTCTCCCGATTGGCACGGTCAATGAAGACAGTGCGAGACAAAGTCATAAACCAGCCCAAAAATGGAACGTTGCGGAGAGACTTTTTGGCAGTAACGCTGCAGTAAGGTGGGAAAACAGCACCCAGCATCAGAACATCCAGCTCTGTCTGGTGGTTCGCGAGGAAGACGGCAGGTCGGGTGGTGAGGTACTCCTGCCCCTCGATGATTTCAAATTTGACACCGGTGGTCAATAGCATTACCCACTTGAAACAGCGAGCAGTAGCCCATTGTGAGATACGACCGAAGCCAACGAGACGGAGGACTATAGAAGCGAACACGCCGTAAGCTGCGGAAAAGAGCAAGCAACCATAGGCGGCGATGCAGCGAGCTGCAAACGCTGCCCGAGGAAACTTGGTTCCTATAGCAAATAGAGAGCCTGTCACAAGGACAAGTGAGCTGATCCCAGACATAAGACACGAAGCCCAAGACATAGTGGCGGGGATTATACTGCAACTGTTGAGAGATAGTGGCTGGTTACTACTTTGACCGAGGTATGGTTGGGTGTTTGTCTTACCAATAACTTCGGTATTTGTTGACGAAAGAACTTGGGACCAGCCTGCTGGAAGCGTGGGGAATCTGGCTGGCTGGAGAAGCTTAATGAGCTCTTCACATGTTGAGATGGTCTTCGGCCTCCACCTTTTTCTGCCGATCGAATTTGACCGCCCGATACCCCAACAGGAACAGATGACGGCATTATGCTAGTGCACGTGGGAATAACGCCGAGGTTTAGACTGAAGAAACTTCGACGACTCAGCGGATCTGGATTAAAGATGTATTTTATTTTATTTTTCTTTTCATGTGTTAGTCATCACGCTGAAAAGTGGTTTTACACTAATGTACAATATAAATCAAAACACCGTCCCTTCCTCATGCTCAATGCATAGTGAACAAAACTCCCCTTGGATGCAATGTTAAACAACGCTGAAGAACGCCGAGCTCGCAAGGTTGGACCGCCCCATATCTGACAGAAACACAAATACACAAATACACGAGACAAAAAGTACTGAAACTCTAACTCATCTCGTGGTCACCATCAACCTCATTCGTCATAGCAGCCTTGATGAACTCCGAAGCCTATAGACATATGACAATAAATGTTAGCAAAAAGACATAGCAGATGGAGGTAGAGAGTGTGGGAAAATAGATTGCCTACCCGAGGATCTAAGTGCATGGCGGCAGTAAAGTGTCTCATAGCGTCAGACTTGTGGTTCAGCGCTTTGTACACCTTTCCCAAACTGAAATGGACATTGGGCTCATCAGGAGCCAGATCCTTGAGTTTTATCAACTCGTGCAGAGCCCCTTCATAATCATGAACCATCTCAAGAATGCGGGCTTTGCGAAACCGAGCCAAGATCGACATAGGTGCCACCACGCAGGCCCGCTTGTAGTATCCCAAAGCGTTCATAAGCTCACCACACCTCTCTTGAATGTGTCCAATACAGCAAATAAGCACGGAGTTGGACGGGTTAATGAAGCTAGCATGGCGGAAGTGTTGTTCGGCTTCCTCCAATTTACCCAACTTTTCGTACACTTGTCCCAGTCCGTACCAAGCATTGTAATGTCGCACATCGGCCTTGAGAGCATTGCGATAGGCGTCGAGTGCGTTGTCAAATTCCTCGTTGGCAAGATACTCGTGTCCCTGGAGTGTGAACCCATAGGCAAAATCAGGATCCAGCTGAGTAGCGCGCTTGAAACACTTCACCGATTGTTCTTGATTGCGTTGGTGAGAGAATGAGTTACCGACAGCACACCAAGCCTGAGGCGAAAAGCGGTCCACGTCCATCAATTCACGCGCGAGGTGAGTGAGTTTGTTATCATCCTTCAAATGCCAGAGAACGGTGGAATAGATTTCCATATCCTCAAGGTGATAGGGCGACAACTCTCGAACATGGTTGAAGTAGATGGCAGCATCCGCATACATTGCTTGCTCAAAGTACGCTCGGCCAATCTGAGCGAAGACCCAAGGTGTGTCATATTGAGCAGAATCAAGCGATTTGAAGTGCTTGATAGCATCCGAGCAGTTGTAACGGCTCAATTCATAATATCCAGAAGCGAGCTTTTTAAATTCTCCCAAAAGCCATTTTAATGCGTCAATCTCGCATTTTTTCTCTGAGGCTCTGGGCATTGGGCCAGGTCGGAAGCGAGAGGCAGTGGATTCACTGATGGGCGCTTCCACAGGTGTTTGGTTGCCACTCACAATACGACCAACAGTCGAAATCGATGCGTTCGTAGGACGTCCCAGAGCCGTCGCCCTCGGTTCACGAGGGCCGCCATTGAGCATGCTCATGAAGGAGACGGAGGTAGGATGGGATTGATTAAACAGTCTTCTGCTGCGACGTTGGGGAGGAATTGGCTCCACCGGTGGAGAAGAGGGATGGGCGACTTGACCGGTAACAGTGCGTTTGCGATCACCAACTCGAGTTGTTCGAAGAGGCTCATCGTCGGCTGACGAATCCGATCTATTGCGAACTGTAGGTTGATGGCGGCTACGCATCCTGGGAGGTGGCTGGACTCTAGTCTCAACGTTCAGCTTCCGACTTGAGGGATCACGCTTCTTTCTGGCCGGAGCCATTGGCGGATCCCACATGGGATCAGTCACACCGTTTGCAATAGGAAACTCTTCCGACACGCTGCCTTGTGTCCCTGGGGTCTCCATGCCTTCCGGAGCCCGTGCAGCAGCTGCCGCCTTGGCTGAATGCTTGTCGAAGAGACCTGAGCCTCCGAAAATATCATTGCCCATAAAAGGATCAGGCATGGGGTCTGGGGCACGATCCGGATTGAAGAATTCATCCGACGTTTCCATTTTTGCCATGCCTGCCAAATTAGCATTTATTGTGGCGCGGAGTTCGGGGGTGAGTTGATAGATGTTATCAACTCGAATGGCGGTGCCTGTCGCACAAAGGCCCTTTAGTGCGTCCCAGTTAAATGGGTTGAGTCTGAGTGAGTCCACATAGCAGTCCACCGCCTTTTGTGACTCCTTATGAGCATCATAGAGTTTGGCTTGCAACAGAAAGGCGGCACTGGCATCAGGTGAGGGTTGTCGATTAAGTTTGTTGTGTGCGTTCCACTGGACTCTGGACACCCAGATACTTTTGCTGCATTCCAGGGCCTCTAAACCCTCCACATAGTTTCCCATATCGAGACACGCCTGAGCAAAAACATAGGAGCAGCCAGCATGCACGCCTTGCAAGCCCGTGTCTCTAATCACTTCGTAAGCTGTTTTCACTTCGCCGTTGAGCAAATGACAATTTGCCAGGTAGTACTGAGATTCGTAGGAGTTCGGTTCAAATGCGCTCAGACGATGGGCTAGAAATAGGGCATTTCGGATAAGGTTGTTGTCAAGATTGTACCAAATGAGGTGCTCCAGCTGACCAGCGATATGGCCAGTAGAGAGAGTCATGATGGCGAGTGAAGATTAAACACGGGGTGAGTGTTTGAGTAGTATTGGAAAAGATAAAGGACGAAGGATAAGCTGATGGGTGAGGTTTTAGGACAAGAGTAGGATTTGTTCCTCAGACCTTCAAGTCGCGCCGGCGGCAAAGACGCGGGGAACAGTGCGAAGGTGATGGAGAAGCTGAAGAACAACAAAATATCAGCAAATTACCAGATTTGAGAGTCTAGTTTTCGGCAGAACCTGGGCAACCGGGCGACCTCTGGAAGGAAGGATCTTTCCAGTGGTCGCGGTACCAACAAAAGAATGTACTGATCCAGAAACAGTCAAGGAAAGATACACAGATGCGAGATAATCACATATTCTGTGAACTTCAAAGGGATATCACAGAACTTGCGACTGTTATGCCAGCGAAAGTTAGGTTCTTATGGGGTGTTGACCTCGGGATGAGGGTGGGCGAGTTGATTGTAATGCCTTATTTTGGTTGCATCACTAAACAACTTCTTGCCGGGCGGTGGAGATCAGTATTTGGTCCATTTTTGCTGGACCGTGCAATATACCGGCAATATAAGGCGGTCTGTGGGCGGTCAGCCAAGGAGGGCATTAATTGAGGACATCAGATCAGAAGAGCATCGTCTGTCCATGCTTAAATGCCTGTCGTTCAGTCTCATTTGAACGTTTAAACAGGATTTTATACTTTCAGGCTGCTTGAATCAAAGTTTCTAAAATTTCAGTCCGACATTCCAAATTTGAGGTTCCAAATTTCCGTGGGTTTCCGCAGTCCATTTCAACCTCACTATGGCGAAGGTAAATTAACCATCAAGTCACATCAATTGAGTAAGCTTTTTGAACCTTGATAATTCTAACAGTAAATTAGAAAGCAGCAAAAACTCTGGCCACCCGCAACGGCGCAGTTCTTAACCGGACTCATCTGATCACTGTATCATTACACATACTCTACCTCCTCCTACACTTTATATTCCAGCGTCCTCGTTCATTGAAACCTTATTTTTTCCTGGCTGTTCCTACTCTGGCCATTGAGTTCTATTTGGACCGTGTTGGCCGCCCAACATTCAATGAGGATGGTTCCCTGCGCTCCGCCGGTGAAGATCTCAGCGCTACTGGTCTTACTGAATACATGTGGGATGTCCTGTACTGGACCGAGGGCTGTATTGCTGCTGTGTGTATCTTTAACGACAGAGCTTGGTGGCTTTGGGTTGTTGTTCCGTTATACTCGGTCTATCTGGTATACACCACTGTTATGGGAGTGAAGAAGGGATTCTCTGGCATGGGTGGTGCTGGCGCTGGTGGTGATGGAGAAGACTATGAAGGGCCTAAGAGCAAGACCCAGTTGAAGAAGGAGAAGCGGGGTGATAAGCCACGACCAAAGATGATGCGCTGAGCTTGAAATTTTGGCTGAAGTTGAGATATAATGATTCCATGAAGCCTTGCCATTACTCTGGCGAACTGGCAGGCGGGATTGGTTCTAAACAGTACGAGTTTACCGGCGCTTATAGAGAAATATGCATAGGCTCAACTGAGGGTTGGTCTCAATGGACAGGCCACAATGCAGAATTACATGATTTTGACCATGGTCACTAAGTAACATTTAGCCGTTATGCCTGGGATATTGGCTTTAATAGCGCCTAGTTGTATTGGTCTTAAATTTTCAAGTGAGGATAGCCGAAATCGCAATTCATTATGTACTAAATTACATTCCCGTTGCAAAAAAAGAAGGGAAAAAAATCGTGAAAGATAGATAAATCAAGAAGTAGAGCAGCATAAAAACCAAAGAATGAAGATCATTGAGAATGGTGCCAGTCGTTAGAACAGTGCCGTCATGACAAACTTTATGGGGAATAATGCATCGACAATCGAGCATGTCATGTCACTGGCAGGGAGATAAATACCTGGGTGACATGGTTTTAAAAGAGGGGCAAAGTGCAGGAAGAAACGGTGAAACCGAAATAAAAGATAGATTGAAAAAGAAGCAAATAGATCATTCCGTGCGTACTCATTACAATTCATCCTGTTCCACCGAAACTGCAGCCTTGATACTGCTCGTCGCATCTTCCACGTAGGAAACAGCGGTTTCAGCAGCCTCGGACACGACGCTGGTTGCGCTGGAGGCAAGATCCGCCAATCGAGATTGGGCGTTCTCAACAGCGACAGCAAGGCGGCCAGTGGCACTTTCAATCGCCCCTGGTTCTTCACCATAGATAGCAGCGCTGGCCTTGGCCTGAATGTCCTCGATAGCCTCCTTAGCGATGTCAATATAGCTAGATTCCTTTCCGTACATGGCAATGCTAACATGAGCCGAGGCAGTGGCATAAGACCTGGAAACGGCTTCTGTAGCCTTCTCATAAGATCCTTTCTGAGTGCCATATATTCCGATACTGGCTGCCTCAACAGCGGCGTTGAGTTGGTCATTTGCATTTTTAATGATATCATCTGAGCTGGGGATACTTGGAGCGTAGGAATTAGCGACGGAGGATGCAGTCTCATATGCTTCATGCACCAGGCTAGATACAGAAGACACAGCTGAAGCGGGGTATGGGGTTTCATAAGCGGCACGAAGCTTGCTGATCACACTCTCAGTGTAAGAGGGCTGTTTGCCAACTAGCAACTCGGAGATGATGTCGTGGACGGCCTCAAATTTGGGGTATTGGTAGTCAACGATCTGCTGTAAATATGGCTCCGGGGTGCCATAGATCTGTTCACTAGCTTTTGAAACAAGGTTTTCCCAGTTTTCGGATGCTTGGCTAGAAAGAGCCTCCAAAGGTCCAGGTGTTGTGCCATATATAGCCGAACTAGCCGAGGCAGATGCCAGGGAGAGAGACGAAGAGGCCGCAGAGAGAGCAGCATGATACCTAGATGAAGCATCATCGATGATACTCTGAGCCTTCCCATCATCAGCGGACGAGACAGCAGAGCTGGCAGAGGCGATGACTGCAGCTAGACTGGCAGAGGCCTGAGAGGAAACCCAATTATATTGAGACCCGGCTTCACGTAACAAGTTATGGGCATTGGTAGCAAATGGGGTAGGTGTTGGGGTGCCGTAGACCGCCTTAGATGCCGTGGACACAAAGGCGGTATAGTGCTCGTGGGCGAGACCGACTGCCTCGTAGTAGCGCCTCTGTGCATCGAGCACGAACGGCTGCTGGCCAAAGGAGCTCGGTTCAGTAGCAATTGGCTGGATATGCGCTAGCTTCTCAGAAGCTAGACTGAGACCTTCACTCAATCGTGAGGAGGCAATCGACGAAATCTGGGCTAAAGGCGCGGTGGGAGTAGGCGTAGCTGTGATAGCATCAATTTGCGAGCTGAGCTCATCGGTTACATACTGAACGGCACCAGAGTAGACTGACTCGATGGAAGAGAGAACAGCGTGATCTTCATCATCGATAATAGGTTCTTGTAGAATGTTTGCATCGGCAGCTGAAACACCCCAAGCATAACTCGTGGCAGGCTTGTGATGCTCAATTTCATCAACCTCATCAGATAAGATAGATTCATCGTCTTCAATAGAAACTACATGACGTCGCGTCAAAATGACATCTTCAATATTTAATTCAGGCGTCTCATGAATCTCGTCCGGAGTTGGATCGCTCGGCTCAGAGGACTCATCAGAATGAGCGTTGTCATGAGCATTGGAAGAATCATCGAGTTCGATATCCTCGTCACTCTCAAACTCAACCTGCAGCTTCCGTCGAGGTGGGGGAGCTTCGGTCCTGGTGTCGAAATTATCGCTCAATTCGCGGGCGGCAAACTTCCAGGAGCCAACGTCCCTCAGACGCATGATCTCCTTTGCAGTGTCTTCGGCTATCTCCATACCATTGTCTAGAATCTCCGTTGCAACAGCTCTAGCCTCAGCAACCGACTTCTGGTTCAAGGCCACCTCTCGGATTTCGTTGCGCCAGTCATCGAGCTGGGCTTTCAAAGCGTGGTATTTTGTCCAGTCTTTATAGGTGACCCCATCCATCCACGCCCATCGTGCACCGATTTCCTGCAAGCCTAGATCTCGGATGCTATCGAGAACATCAAGAGTTGAGTTGACAGCTGCAGAAACCCGACGTGATAGTTCGTCCTCAAATGATAAAGACCACTCACGAAGGGCGTGGGTGCGGTCTCTGACTGCGATGGCGGAGCTTCGAATGACATCCACCAACTCACTACGGGCAGATTCCTCGGCCTCAAGCGCTTCTTCCTCTGGCAAAGTTTGCACAAGGTCATGGATACGACTCTTGATGACTGAAACCTGTTCTGCTGCCACTGTTTCAAGTGCCGTCGAGAGACTTCGACCATGACTCTTTGCGCTATTTGCGACCAAGGCACCGACAAGCTCTTCGATACGAGCTTCAAGATCCTCAACTCCTTTGTCAGCTGCAGCAGCAAACTTGCTCTGCCATCTTTGAAGATCGGAATCGATCCGTTTACGTTCCTGCTCTGCCTTTTCAGCGGGGGATAGAGTAGGCTCAACCGAAGGGATTCCAACGACAGATGTCTTTGTTGTCGTTGTCACGCTGGAAATCAGGATGCTTTTCTCGGAGCTGGAGCTTGCTGTCGAAGACTGCTCTGATAAGGTACTAGTTGTGAAAGTCAGCCAGGCATGCTTTGTATTAAAATACGATTGTCTTCTTACCTATCAATGTCTTCGACAACACCTCGAAGTCGTCTTCCCTCTCTATAACTAGCCAATCGCTGTCCAATCTTGACCAGCTGAGGTTCAACCTGCTCCGAGTAGAGTCCCGTCACATGCGGCCATAGAGAGCTATTGGCAAAGTAGATAACAGACGACCACGTATAATGGGCACTAGGCAAGACATGAGTAGTCAAAACTTTGTGTCCTGTACTGTATGTTTTCCCAATGAATGGCTGGGATCGAGTGTAGAAGGGAACCAGGTGGTCCCAGTACACAGTGATGGCAGTTTTCTGGGCTAGTTGATAGTAAGGCTCAACGATCGCAACACCATTCTTGATATATGGATCTACTTTCACCAGGTAGAGCTGATACGCTTTATCCTGCACAATCTGCATACGGGGCGAAACCTGAGCGTTCCATTGAAATGCACCATATTCCTGTGCTTGTTGCAATACCGAGGCTCCGTACTTTTCATAGCTTGTCCGACTAGTCTTCAACACGGGTTGATAAACTTTCTGGTTGAAAACCTCGACATACGGACGGGCTTGGTTAACGTAAGGAGCAGCGTATGTATCATAATAGGGCGTGACGTAGGGATCAACGTGCGATCGAGCAATGAGGTAAGGCTTGCAGACTCTCGGTGAGGCATCATGCAAGTTTGAGAGGTTCGATGGGCACCGTAGAAATGGCGTCAGGAGTGTGTACCAGATGCATAGACTAAATAGAGCAGATTTCAGTTTTAACATGCCCGGCACGAGAGATCACAACTTATCCTTACCGTACGATCAAACCTATGGACCATCGGACTGAACTTTTTCTTTCTTTCGTCTTCAGAGTCTCTTTTTGGTCACTTGGCTTCACAGTACCCTCTGAAGCCTGTCCATTCTGCGATCTTGCTGACATGGCTGTTGTTGGCCAGTCGAGGTCGCGCGACCCAAGTGAAAAGTTGTATGAACGGAAAGTGGAGTTATGCAAAGAGTGGGTCGTAAGAGACTTAAATCAATTGATCAGACCGTTATGATCCTCATTGGACGAAGTATTAAGCACAGGCTTTTGCACAGTTGAGAGAGTTGCGGACGATGGCTTCGAAGTCCCTAGGTGAAATAGCAAAGTCGCGTCGGCCTTGGCAATAACTGGAACTGTCGGTGGTGCGCTGTAAGGAGCTATGGTTCCACCTGGGAGAAATGTGCGAATATACTCTGAGTAGCACTCACTTTGATCTTATTCTGGGGAAGCTTAAGTTTTCTCATACGATAAATGTTTACGGGGAATCTCCCTGAAGACAACTTCTGTGATCAGCGAGGACGTCATCGCCTTACATTAATTACTGGGAAATACAAAATTACATGGACTGGTATCAAAAACCCCGCAATTGTGCTGTTCATGTACTGTAATAAATGAAACACCATAACTTGCTGGCTGAGTCAGCTCAATGCAATTGTCCAGGTGGAATCACCATCAGTCCATTTAGAAAGGCCAGACTCGGTAAACCAATTGGGTTAACTGTTAAAGACCTTGCAGCTGCAAAGTTAGGCCCCACATTCTGATGGGAATTGCCCGAGCTGACACACCTCTTCTCTTACTCCAGTCGCAGCTTCCCCTCTCTTCATAACCTCCAACTGCACAGAGTACGGAATAAAGGTTCAACGACCTCCAGCAACTTCATCGGTGATACAACCGAGGGTGAGATGACGACTTTGGTTACAATTTCAAGACCGTCGACTTGACGCGATCATACACAATGGATACTTCAAACGACTCACTTCACAATTCCCCAAAGATGTCTTCCTTCCCCGACCTGATGAATGATCCCGCCTTTGACGGCAGAGAGAAAGGCTTTGATGATATGGATACCTGCCGTATATGCCACGGAGAAGCTACTGATGAAGAGCCTCTGTTCTATCCCTGCAAATGTAGTGGCAGTATCAAGTTCGTTCATCAAAGCTGCTTGGTGGAGTGGCTGTCACACTCACAGAAGAAACATTGCGAGCTCTGCAAGACGGCTTTCCGATTCACCAAGCTATACGATCCACATATGCCAGAAACCCTTCCAACACCTGTGTTCCTTAAACAAGCCCTGATTCGATGCTTCAGAACTTTAGTAACATGGTTACGCTTCTTCCTCGTTGGTTTTGTTTGGCTAGGATGGTTGCCTTGGTCGATGCGCGCAATTTGGAGGGCTCTCTTCTGGCTCGCTGACGGCCGCTGGTCCGCCAGTGCACGGGTTGCTCAGTCTGTAGCGAATGGCACATCATCTGGACTTACTGACATGACCTCGACGGCTTCGTCTACCGCCAATACTATGCCATCAGCGCAGTCTTCGACCAGTGGCTTTCCTCCCGGGGATCCATTGATACTCGCCCTGATCAAGAAGGTAATCCCAAGCTTGTTTCTTCCGGCTTTGACTTCAACTGTCGGCCAGGACGGTTCAGGCTCAACCCGTGCTGCCAGTACACCAAAACCGCGGCATCCATCGTGGCTGTCGGACGTGAAATGTCTCAATAATTTCTCGTCTCCAACAATTAATAACATGATTATCGACACCCTAGAAGGACTTATCATCACACTTGTGGTTGTGGTTGTCTTCATACTTCTTTTTTGATTCGGGAATGGGTCGTCCAACAGCAGCCCATGGCCAACATTGCAGAAGGAGAGCGTGAAGCAGCGCTGCAACTGATTGCCAATGCCAATAACCGTGTCATTGAACAAGCACAAGCACAAGCGGAAGCGGAAGCGGAACGAGCTGAACCTGAGAGAATCGGACGACGTGACGAGCCAATTCAGCTTGGACATGAAATTCGTTCTGACACTGCTTCCCCCGCACCGTCCTGGTCCGACTCTGATGATGGACTTCCTGTTCTCGAGCGAGTTCCTGAGTCTTTACATGACACTTTCGCTGCTGGTAATATAGTAGATCCTGATCGCCCTGTACCTCAAGATCCTCGAACTATCGCTGCCTTGAGAGTCATGGATGTTACTACTAGGTCGAATGGCGACCGTGCAGAATTGCATCGGATTATACACGAGGAAGGTCTACAAGAAGAGATGGCCTGGCTTTTGGATATAGTCAATCGGGAAGAACCCACCGCTGAGGCTGCTGAAGATACGAGAATTGCAGAAAACTTGCAGGATGCACTTCTTGATGTGGATAACGATACAACTACTGTCTACGAGCGACCAGTTGATGAGACAAATGCTTTTGACGATCCTCAACAAGTGGAGGAATCATCCATCATTCCACAATCGAATATTCAAGCTCCCAAAGGAGCTGTGGAAAGACTCACCGATTGGTTCTGGGGTGACATCCCCAATGAGAATGGCTTCAATGAGGAATTACCAGAGCATGATAATGAGCATATTGTACCAAATGCAGATCCATTTCCTCCAGTGCCAGACCGACTGGAGGATCCGGCAGCCAATCAAGTCATGGCAGCTGATGCTGGATTGGACGGAAATGACATAGATGCAATCGAAGGTGATGATTTTGACGGCATCATGGATCTCATTGGTATGCAAGGTCCCATCTTTGGGCTCTTACAAAACGGCGTCTTTTGTGCACTTCTGATCGCCTTCACGGTAGCCATTGGTATTTGGCTGCCTTACTTGTGGGGAAAAATCGCCCTGGTTCTTCTGGCCAATCCTGTAGAGCTTATCGTCGGTGTTCCCATGACCGCCGTCACCGTTGTCGCCGATATTGCCCTTGACACCTTAATAGGTGCTTTAGGCTACATTATGTATACGATGACCTCTGTTTTCAGGTTACTGTCCAGTCCATTCAGTAGTCTTCTTCCTGCTGTTGAATGGATCCCACGAGGAAAATTCGTTGCCACTGCCTCGCTATCCCTCATTGATTCCAGTGCTCACCGTCTAAACAAAGTCGGCAGGGCGTTCCTTGTTTTCCACGAATCAGATATTCCTATGTTCTCAGTACTCTCGCACCAGGCTCTGAAGCTTCACCAGGCACGTCTCCTCGTATTTTTCCAATCGACGTTTGCTGTGTTCAAATTTGTTTTACATGACTTTCCCCTGCGCCTGGTCACTCTAGGGGTCCCAGGGGCACTGACGTTCGATCTTGATGCTGTTCAACTAAAAAGCTATGCGATACATATTCAGGAGCAGCTTGTCAACTTCACCAAGATATCGCTCTTCTCCAGTCCTAGAGCCAAATTGATGATGGATGCAAGTGCTGCCAAAGCAGCCTCGGCAACACTTCCAGTTGATTATGATCTTGTCACATGGGATACTAAGGACCGTGCCATCGCAATCTCAATGGGATATCTTCTCGCAACAGTCATGGGATTCCTTTACCTCCGCATTACTGGGCTCTTAGCTGGCCCCAACCGCGGTCAAAGAGTCGACGGCATCGTTGGCGAGGTGCTTCTTCAGGCTGCAGGAGTGATGAAGGTCATACTTATCATTGGAATTGAGATGATCGTTTTCCCTCTCTACTGTGGCTCGTTGCTAGACCTTGCCCTGCTTCCTTTATTCTCTGATACAACTGTCGCATCCCGTATCGCATTTACGGCGTCATCTCCGCTTACATCGCTCTTTATACACTGGTTCGTGGGAACTTGCTACATGTTCCATTTTGCCCTTTTTGTTTCCATGTGTCGCAAGATTTTGAGAAATGGCGTACTTTGTAAGTTTCATAGAAGACATCATCTAACGACGTTCTAACAATTTAAACAGATTTCATCCGTGATCCCGACGATCCAACTTTTCACCCAATACGCGATGTCCTCGAGCGCAGCATTACGACACAGCTTCGCAAAATTGGATTTAGCGCGCTTGTATACGGCGCACTAGTCATCATCTTTCTTGGTGGAGTCGTATGGGGTCTTCACTTTTCGTCTCCTGGTATCCTCCCAATACATTGGTCTGCAAGCGCTCCTATGCTGGAATTCCCTGTTGATCTCTTGTTCTATAATTTCGTGATGCCATTGGCCATTCAATCCGTTAACCCTTCAGATGGGTTACATGAAATGTATGACTGGTGGTTCCACAAATGTGCTCATTTCCTTCGCCTCAGCAATTTCTTTTTTGAAGAGAGACATCCTGAAGAAGAGGGATGCCATGTTCGACGAAGTTGGTGGAGTCTGCTATCAGGGGCTCAAGGTGACTGGAAGCATCCCATCATCGGGCCGGAGGAACGGGCAAATGCAGACCGAGAAGCCCGTGACGTCTATTTCCTTCGAGATGGCAGATATGTTCGAGCCCCTGCCTCCGACCAAGTCCGCATTCCAAAAGGGACTCTCGTTTTCCTCGAGGTCACTGAAGGTAACGAGCGTGTTGATGGCAAACCTGATCTGGATGATGGACTTCACGGTCGTTCAAGTACCATGTTCGCCAAAGTTTACGTCCCGCCTAAGTTCTGGACCCGTATCAGCGCCTTCATTATTCTCATCTGGTTCTTCACTGCCATATCAGGTGTAGGCATCACTGTGATACCACTGGTTGTTGGCCGGAAGTTGATCTCTTCCTGTTTCCCCAACCCGGCACCAGTCAACGACATTTACGCATTTTCCAGTGGGCTGTTCCTTGTTAGTAGCTTTTTCTACACTGCCTGCTACTGCCGTACCGCAATCTCCTCAATAAGAGAACAACCGGAAGCCTGTCTTCTTTCTCCGCAACAGCTGGCTCGATTTTTTGTGGACCTTGCACTTGTTGCTGTCCGCCTAATCTACATCTCCATCACCCTGGTTGTCTTACTTCCATGTCTTTTCGCACTTCTTACTGAGCTTTACATACTTATTCCAGCCCATACTTTGATTGGCGACGGACAATCTCATGTTGTCCACGTAGTTCAGGATTGGACACTGGGCGTCCTGTACGTCCAGATGGCGATAAAGCTGACTTTATGGCACCCCGATTCTTGGCCTGCCGCTGTTCTCAATGGCATTTTCCGTGATGGCTGGCTCAAGCCGAATGTGAAACTCGCCACGCGGGCCTTGATTGTGCCCATATCACTATTAACGGCCGTGGCAACCATCGTACCCCTCTTGCTGGGAGGGATTTTCCGATGTTCCGTTTTCTATTCACATGAATCAGCACAGCCGAACGTCTATCGGTATGCGTATCCGGCTACGTTGCTCTTTGTCCTAGTCTCGTGGACAATTTACCTGCTGCATCGGCGGGTGGCAATTTGGCGAATCAACCTCCGTGATGAAGTCTATCTCATTGGAGAGAGACTTCACAACTTGAGCGAGAAGCGGAGGGCACCGGATGTTGGCGTCTCCAGTCGGGTCATCACAGGATGATGACATGTTTCATGCTTTCTATCCTAATCCCTTGCGGATCCTTTTTGTTTTACGCTTTTGTACATTTAGAATTTCGTTTCATATTTCTTTTGGTATTACTTAGCCTAACCTAGGTATGAAACTTCTTACATGGCCATCAAAGACGATGGCATAGTTACCCAAAACACTTCAGCTTAATTGTACGTAGTTCGATGACCCCACATGGAGGCTTACTTAGTAGTTAGACCCACTACTTTTCTGCCCTGCAGAAACCTACTCTAGAATAACTTTAATATTATCCACACATTACGTTGTACAATTCATCGCTCCATCAGGTATGGACTACGGTAGAGCCTCTTGATAGTGCTGGATTTGGCATCCTCAAAGCTCCTTGCTCATCTTAATCCTTGAGTTTTGAGATAAGTATGGACTACTAGACGTACAATATAAAGGGCGGTCAGATACTAAAGTGGCGCTAGCACTGTGCTAATACCACCTCGGTATGAGTACTCCACTTCAACCTACTACTGTGTAGGCTTCCGACATTGAAAGGCACCAATGACATTAGTCTTTTTCTACAGCATATGCTGCTGCCTCAGCCTGCCATGTGATGTATCTATAGAACCAAAATTACCTGATAGATGTGTTTAGTAATTTGCATGTGGTAATATAATACAGTAATTTAACCGAAAATACTGTGGATAGCTAATGTAGATGCCTACCACGTGATCCACTGGCGCTTCTCTTCACAAGCGTTGATTGGTTAGGCAACAGGATTGATAGATTATGATTGTCGCCAGGCACCCATGAGGGATGCGATTCTTCTCCTGTTCCTTCCCATGGCTTCTTCTCTCACATACAACTCTCTCAACGATGGAATGACCTGACTCGCATCTTACCTTTTGATCTGAATAATCTTATTCTAGTCAAATCGTTACCAATATGTCTGTTCTGCGCCATGGAGGAAGTAGTTTCCTCCAGCGCCGCCTCACGAAGATCTATACCGATGCGAAGACTTCTTGCGAGAGTGTCACTACGGCATCGAAAGCGGTGGATGACCCTGAGCTTATCGCCCTGCACCAGAGCTTCCAAAAACAGCGAGATCGCTTACTCGCGTGGGGTCTAGATTGGAGCGATGATAACGCCGCCCAACCGAACGACATCGACGAATCACTGACGGCGGCAGGGATTAGCGACGTAGTCGAGAGTGTGATGTCCTCTATTCAAGAACTCCTCAATGATGCCGAACGAATCCAACGTATCGATGTCCCTATTCCCTCCAAAGAGCGCAAGGTCGACCTACCCACGAAAGTTGCACTTGAAAGCCGACCACTCAAGACTCAATGGACAGAGGACGATGTCACCCAGTCCAAAACTATCCTCAACGAATTAACAGGGTGCATTGACACGCTGTATGATCTATCCCGCTCACGACGAACAATGGCCTCCATGTCTTCTGGCAAGTACAGCACTGGCCGCCGACCACAACTTTCCCAGACCACAACCTATGACTCCTCCCACGGTTCCTTTTCCGAGTCCAAAGAAAGGATTCAAAGCCCGAAACAATTCTCTGAACAATCCAATTACTCCCCTTCAACCTCCAAACTCGATTTTGGCACTTCAATCTCGACATCCGACCATCTTGTCATTAAACGATCAGCTTTACAATTATCCGGGGCAACACATGAGAATTGTCCCCCACCGTATGAACCAGTTGCAGCAACCTCGAACTCTAGGGCCATTGGTCGACTGAATGCCTCGGCTGTCCCATCTCTTCTGGGCTCCGTCAGGGAATCCCATGTCTCTGTACTGATCGAATTTATGCCCATGATGGGGGTCTCTCAAGAGAGCTCAAAAAATCTCCGACTTGAAAAGCTCCAGAAGTCGATAGACCAGCTGCTACAGAATGCTAGGATAAGTCACCTGGGACTCTTAAGATTCCTTGGGTACTGCATCGATGAGCCGAACACCCGCTACGCCTTCCTTTATCAGATGCCTATTGATTATTTCCCATTTCTACGTAATCCAAGCGACCTATTAAAAGAGCTCAAGCCAGTGCCACTAGTAGCTCTGCTTCCGTCTGCCGAGGACTACAGGGAGAAACGGATGCCGAATCTTGAGACTCGGTTTCGACTGGCCTACGATCTGTTAATGTCGGCTTTGCACTTACGAAGTCAGAATGCTGTCCATGGTAACATCAACAGCAGCAATATTATATTCTTCCCCGGTCGAACTGATACGAGCAATGACGAGAGTGGTCTTGCTCCTGATCTGAGGCGTCCTTATTTTACCTCACCGGCCCGCTTCTCCGGCGATGGTCCCACCCCAGAACTCTTGTCTTCGGCGATGTATCGCCACCCCGAAGACAAGAGATCTGTCGAAGACGACGGTGCTTGGGCATACGATCTTTACTCCCTTGGCTTAATCCTGTTGGAGATTGGTCTATGGGCTCCTGTCGGGCGGTTATGGAAGATGAAGTATGACCGTTCCTGGTTCAAGCATCGCATTGAAGATCTCTATGTGAAAAAACTTGGCCCAAAATGCGGAAACGCATACCTTCAGGCTGTTCAACTCTGCCTTGATGCACCCAACTTCCATCTTTCGACGCAACCTATGACCGATCTTTCATTCCGAGTACCTCAAATTTACCATTACCCCGTTTTGGACTTGTCCGATCCAGATGGTACCTTCTCGTTCTCAATGAACTTCCTTTATACTATTTCCAAAATTCTGTGGTCATGCTGCCGTATTGATATCTTCTCAGCACCGCCTGCAGAAGAACTGGATGACTGTCTGCCACTAGCGCTAGTTCCCACCCCAGAAGCCACTCCCGTGCATGAGAACGCGGCGCCGTTCCCACCTATCCATGATATACCTGTGGATCATCAATCAACAGAAAATTGGGACACAGTCATGAGGGAAATTAGACCTGCCAAGAAGCGTACTCTTAAGAGGCTCCCAAATATTGAGATCCCTGACGATCACCTCAGCGAGTGGAATTTCCAGATGATGCCCCGATTGAGCCGACTTCTTCAGAAGGTCTTGAAGGAAACTCCTGAGTCTTGCGCCGCAAACCTCATTATGACTGGAGATTCACCTGAGACGGCAAGGACTACGATATGCGTAACCTGTGCTAGTGTGAAGAAAGTTCGCTCTGCCTTGAAGAAAAATTTCCAGCTAGGCAGAGATGATTGGGATCTGATCGTGATACGCGGTGATATTGAGAGGTCTAAAGTTCCTCGCAACAAGCGTCAAAGTCCGGCGAAGACAAGACCCAATGTCACTAATGAAACACCCTTTCGCCAGCGAGAATTAAACCCATGTTATCAGCAGCGACCCCTCTGTGGTGCTTCAATTGGTGCTTTCCAAAATGAAGAACATTTGCCGCCTGTTTCCTACGGCGGTGCCATTCTCGTTGACGGCCTACCATATGGGTTGACAGTCCACCATATGCTGGAAACTCCTGACGATGTTGATGAAATCCCCAGAGAGGAAGAAGACGCGCCATCCCGGTCTATGGCTAACTGGTCCCACAGTACATCGATAGCTTCCGAGCCGACCTGGGTGGAAGATGACCAGTTAGAAAACTCCCTGGAGTATGAGATTTCGGACCTCGAAGATGGCGACGATGCGTCAACAATGCACGGTGGTGCAGATGACGAATACTGGCTCTCGGACGATGACTCATCCGACGATGATTCCATTGATCCTGGTGATGATGACGACGACGACGCCGCATCGATCGGTGACACTGCTGGTTATGAACCGGGCGAAGAGCCGCGCCTGTTCGTCACTCAACCAGCTATCGACGATGTTCACGATGATTTTTTCCCTCCCAGGAAGATCGCGACGATGAGCATCTAGCCTCCCACTCTCTTGGCTATATTCATGCTTCATCTGGTATGCGGCGTTGGATGAGGAAGGGCATGAAACACGAGATTGATTGGGCTCTGATCAAAGTAGATGAATCCCGCATGGACCCTCGAAACCTCATCATTGATACCACAGTATCAGTCCCTACCAACCTTATCGCAGGACGAACCTGCCAACCCCCATCTATATTTCTCAATCAAGTCGCCCGAATGGAGGAGCTGGGCGGTTTACACGTTCACTGCTGTGGCCGAACCAGCGGGCTTCAAACGGGCCAAATATCGAAGGCTATGACGATGGTCAAGTTCCAGGGCCGACATTCATTTTCAACAAGCTTCTGTGTCCACGGCAATTTTGGAGGTAAGCGGTGCAGTTTAGCAGTTTCTTTATTATGTCTTCACGATCCTTCAATCTAGATACCCTTGGTTTGATTTTGTTTACACTCTCCTCTCTTTCTTTTATACTCATAAGCCCGATATAATTCATATCTAATCTCCCCTGGATCACCCACCCGTTAGATTGAGAACAAAGATCATCGAGCTAACACATTCTTCCTTGACAGCCCCCGGCGATTCAGGTGCATGGGTTTTTGACAAGTCGACCGGCCGTGTCTGTGGCCACGTCCTGGCTTGGTCCGCTAGAAGCAATACCACCTACATCTCTCCTATGGAAGTGATCCTCGAAGACATTTCTCGCTCCCTGAACGCATCTCGCGTTACCCTCCCCGGTGACCCTACTATATCCTTAGGCTATGCAGGTCCTACTCCGCCTCCCCAGGCCCACTATCGCTATCAAGCTCAGCAGCTTCCGGGTGATTTAAATCGCCTGACGGTCGGAGGACAATTCCCACCCCCAATACCCCCACATCCTTTCTCTCATCCGCATCATCCAGGGTACGGCCACCCTGCACCATCTCCATCTTCTCGGCCCTCTCGTCCCGGTTCTCGGGACGCTCACGTCTTCCGTGGTCCCGTGCCTCCAATTCCCCCGCCTCTCCTGGCAGGACCGTGCAATATTGAACGCCCTCTGGCATAATGGTATCGGTTTATAATTATTTTGCAAGTTTGCTACGCCTTTTGGAGGTTACGCCGTTGTTTTATGATAAGCGGTCTTATTTATGATATGATTCTTTCAATACCCTTGCTAGCGTTGGATTATTGCTCTTATACTTATGGCCACAAATATCACCTCAGTGCAATGACTATGAATTTCCCCCCTCAAAACTTCCATGAAGTATGAACATTCAATGATATGGTTCACTGCTCAATACATTCTTCTAAGATAGAAATCATATCGATCACAGGAAATCTTGATACCTATTTGTAGATCATGATACTTCGACACCCTGCTGATATTGGGGAATCTTTTCGCCTTTCCGCCATTTGTATTGACTCCCTGGATGATCTTCAGGTAGACGCGGTGTTCCTAGGAAAACCTCTCTTGCTGTGACACCATCGCCAACCTCGGAACGGAAGAGCTTCCTGCGTCTTAGTTCAGGTAAGAGGAACTCGATGATATCCTCGAAGCTGCCTGGGTTCGTGATATGGGCGAGATTGAATCCATCCACACCACTGACATTAACCCAGTTTTCCAGTTGGTCTGCAGCAGTCGTAGGACTGCCAACTATTTTAGCTTGCAGACCTCCTAGAGTGATGTATTCCACGATTCTGCTCTTCGTCCAGGGAAGGTTTTCAGTGCCCGGTACAGTAGCGGACCATCTTCGCACAATGGACTGTACTCGCGGCGATTGACTAAATCGGAAGTCTTCGTCGTCTGAAAAGCTTGCTAGATCGACTCCGGTCCATCCACCGAATAAAGCCAATGCTCCTTCAGTATCCGCGTACTGAAGATACTCTTCTCTCTTCTCTTTAGCCTCCTCGTCTGTCGCTGCGACAATCACGCTGATCCCCACAATCACTTTGATATGGTTAGGATCACGACCCTCACTAGCAGCAATCTTGCGAATATTGTCCACAATCGGACGAGCACCCTCAGGAGTCTGGCCGCCAATAAAAATGGCCTCGCCATGTTTGCCTCCAAACCCATTTCCGGCCTCTGAAACACCAGCCTGGAACAAAAAGGGTGTTCGCTGAGGCGAGGGCTCACAGAAGTGAGGACCGGGAACGTCGAAATATTTGCCTTTGTGGTTTATTTCTCGCACTGCATCGCTAGCGATGTATACTCCACTCTCCCGATCGGCGAGTACCGCATCATCACGGAAACTGCCTTCCCAAAGTTTATACAGAACTTCCATATACTCATGGGCGATCGCATACCGCTCGTCATGCGGGATCTGTTCTTTCAAGCCGTGATTCCGAGCTGCACTGTCAAGATAAGAAGTGACTATATTCCACGCCACGCGGCCCTGGCTGAGATGGTCGACGGTTGAGAGTCTACGCGCTAACGCGTAGGGTTTTTCGTACGTTGTACTGGCTGTCACTCCGAATATCAGGTTTTTTGTCACTGCTGCCATGGCGGGAACTAAGTACAGCGGATCATTGACTGGGAATTGGGCTCCTGATGAAAGAGCCGGTACAACATTGGCAGGGCCCTTGTACACATCGTAAGGGCCTAGGGTGTCGGCAATAAAAATGGCGTGGAAACCGGCCTTGTCTAGCAATTGAGCCAGATCGGTCCAGAATGACAGGTTTTTGTATTGGTCTGTCTTGTTTCGAGGGTGCTTCCATAGTCCTGGGGCCAGGTGGCCAGGTGTGTTCATGACAAATGCATTCAGAATGATTTGCTTCTTTGGGGTAGATGGTTGTGTATCTTCAAGTGGTTCAGTCATTTTGATCGGATGAAAGTATTCCCAGGTGCTCAAGGTTGAATAATGGAATTATATCGTGGAATTTCAGTCTTTCTAGCCCCTAATATAGTAACCTTGCCAGTCATGCCTATTATAATCACGCTATTGATCGTCACTGGTATTATCTCGTCATTTCTTCGAACAATTTCAAATAAATTTTTTCTCGGTCGATAGCTGAGCTGCGGCCTGAGCTGTTGTTGGTTCGATAGTAGATGCGCTTCTCGCCATCGCGGCATAATGGCACGTCATCTAGATACGATACCCCTCATCTTCGCACCCCACAGAAGCTATGTATATCTCAAGCAAACTGACTGAATATCATCTTTAAATGTTAAGAACTATTCCGTTGAGAAGGTACAAATACGACTTCTTCGCGATGAATCAGGCTTTTAGTAACGAGATTCCAGTGAATTCCAGCTTCAGAAGTTCCTGATACTTTTCAAGGTTTGATAATGCAACAATCTTTGAATTACTTAGGTAGTTATAGAATCTCACCTAGGTATAAGTCCTGTGTTTTCAGCTAGATTTAGTCTTTCTTTCAAGGTTGTTTTATCTCTAGCCCTATCCACCTTCCGACGTTTCTAATTTCCAAGATAGCCAACGTGACAGGACTAGGAACTTTTCTTCTCGCGGTGCTTACAGCTTATGCTTCACCGGTCAGTATGCCTGAGATGCCAGAAGAGATGACTCCAAATATGATGATTAAAGGAGTAAGTCTTTACAGTTCCTAGGTCCTATTCTGCTGCCCTTTTGGTGAATAAATTGGAAGAAATAGATTCTAATTCAATATTTAATGTCTTATTCAGGCTTGCCTCAGGAGTAACCAACTCTGCTACTATAGCTCGAAGGCTAAGCAATAACCATAGGTGTATATACCAATTCATCTACGCCTAATCTCTGTAATGCGATACTGGGATATGACCAAAGCCTAAACATTCCTTTATCAGCGCTAAATACCGACCATAATAGATAATTCAAATTGTATTCAAATGTTGCAAGTTTTAAACCAGTAATCACAAACAGAAAATAGTACATTACCTTGAGTCTTAGAAGAGGTTAGATTCCGGCGTCTGTTACGTACAATTGACGATGCTGTTCTAGGTTCTTAACTCTAGGTAGGACATGAATATTTCAATTTGACATCAGCTTACTTATGTACATAGTCGAGCATGATAGGCATTCATAGCGTCAAGTTGTATTCCTAGGTTCATTACCTCCACAATCAATCAAAGATTTCAAAATTATATAGTTATTTAGTTATTTACTATTTACAGCCTCTGTGACTCATGACCTTATCTCACGTGACCCACCGTAATTCTGCCAACCCCGCGGTGCTTCCCTCGACAATTCCCCTCCGATCACGGATTCTAGGCAAAGTACCACAAATCTGCAAATTATACTCACAATGGCCTCCCAGAAGTGAGATTAAACCCCAATTTAATCAATTATATCCCTACTAATCTCCATTCTTAGAGTGTTGATGCTCGGCGCTGGGTTCGTCACTCGACCCACGCTCGATATTCTCTCCGATTCCGGCATTGCTGTGACTGTCGCCTGCAGAACTCTTGAATCCGCCAAGTCCCTCTCTGCTGGTGTCAAGAATGCCACTCCCATCTCTCTAGATGTTACCGATGAAAAGGCTCTGGATGCTGAGCTCTCCAAGCATGAACTTGTCATTAGCTTGATCCCTTACACTTACCATGCTGTGGTTATCAAGTCGGCCATCCGCACCAAGACCCACGTTGTCACCACTTCCTATGTCTCCCCTGCCATGAAGGAGTTGGACGAGGAGTGCAAGAAGGCCGGCATTGTTGTTATGAACGAGATTGGTCTTGGTAAGCTTATTTCTCTCAACTTATCCATCTCTCATCGCATACTGACGTAATTTTCGTGTAGACCCCGGCATTGACCACCTTTGTAAGCATTTAATCGTAACACGAACAGAGCTTTCAGTACTAATGTAATCAGACGCTGTCAAGACCATTGAGGAAGTTCACCAGGCTGGTGGAAAGATCACCTCTTTCCTGTCATACTGTGGAGGTCTCCCGGCACCGGAGAGCTCTGGTAACCCTCTGGGATACAAATTTTCTTGGTAAGAACCCCAATTTTCTGCTCCCGGTCTGTCGTAATTACGACACCCGGATTATAAAAGCATTGGCTAACATACATACCTTATGTAAGGTCTCCCCGCGGAGTTTTGCTTGCATTGAGGAACGCTGCTAGCTTCTACAAGGATGGCAAGGTTGTCAACGTTGCTGGCCCAGGTAAGAAGCTAGAAATACGATGTTCAACCTCAAACGGATTGTGACTGATTTCAATGCAGACCTCATGGCTACCGCCAAGCCCTACCACATCTACCCTGGTGAGTAAACATGTGCTCTTGAAGTGCCTAGAGATATAGCTTCTGGCTATGAAATACGCAACATAGATGCTAATATCGGGACTCAAGGATTCGCCCTTGTTGCCTACCCCAACAGAGACTCTACCCCCTACAAGGAGCGCTACAACATCCCCGAGGCACAGACTATCATCAGGTACAATTACCAGGCTAATTTTGTTTGATTGTATCCAGTTTTCTAACAATCCTTGCAGAGGTACTCTGAGATACGGTGGTTTCCCCGAGTTCGTCAAGGTTCTTGTCGACATCGGCTTCCTCCAAGATGCTGAGCAGGAGGTCTGCAAGTCCCCTGTCGCATGGAAAGAGGTCACCCAGAAGGTTCTCGGTGCTTCCTCTTCCGACGAAGAGACTCTTGTCAAGGCTATCTCTGCCAAGGCCACTTTCAAGGATGACGAGCAGAAGAAGCACATCTTGGCCGGTCTTAAGTGGGTCGGTTTGTTCTCTGATGAGAAGGTAAGTACTCCTGATCCTATTACTTGTCTGTTGAGTATTGTGCGGGCTTTGCTTACTCTTGGGATTAAAGATCACCCCTCGTGGAAACCCCCCTTGATACTATCTGCGCCACTCTTGAGCAGAAGATGCAGTTCGGTGAAGGCGAACGCGATATTGTCATGTAAGTCCATTATATCTCAAATTTCGGGCATTGATACTAATTTTTTTCCAAGTCTGCAACACAAGTTCGAGGTTGAGTTGAAGGATGGCACAAAGCAGACCCGTCTCTCCACTCTTGTTGAGTACGGCAGCTCCGAGCCCGGTGGCTACTCTGCCATGGCTAAGACTGGTAAGTATCCAAACTTCAATATTGAATGATACATGAACTAACTGTGTCCAGTCGGTGTCCCTTGTGCCGTCGCTGTCAAGCAAGTTTTGAACGGAACTATCTCTGAGACTGGTGTTCTTGCTCCTATCAACGGCAAGATCAACGGACCCCTCATCAAGGAGCTCAAAGTGAGTTCATCTTACATATTCTGGTGTTTTCATACTAACCCATTTTATAGGAGAAGTACGGCATTGAGTGCAAGGAGGAGATCGTCGCATAGATTACTCAAAATTAGGTATTTCAAAAAATTGTAGTAAGAAATAGACAATTGTGAAGTATGAACCACAAATGAAGTATGAAAGTCACATTGACAATTTTGTACACCGAGGGACATTAATTCGTATCATTATTTCGTTATATTTCACATTAAAAACATTCAGATTTCCTTGGTAGATGGCACACCGAGCCATGTCCCCATGGCCACCCCTGTCAGTACACTCACTGCACCAAGTGACCAAGTCAAGGCTGTCCACCCAAATTTCTCCCGCATGAATCCAGCCCAGATTGGCCCGACGGCAGTTCCAGCTGCAAAGGATGTACACGAGAGACCGAATGCCTGTGCATAAGCACTTCCATATCCGAAAATCTCCGGATGTTCCTGCTCCATGTTATCGACAACGAAACATATTTCTGCCATAGTCGGGGGCAAGACCGCTTGCAAAGAGATTCCCACGAGAAGCAATAGAACAGCCAGAATGACTTTGCATATGAGAGTGTCTTCTGCGACAGTTTGAAGTACAATAAGACATGGAGCGGCCAATAAGAAGCCAGCAGATCCAATGTACCGCGGTCCCCACTGGTCAGTCAGTGTCCCGAGTAAAGGACCCAGGAGACATGGCAAGGCAATCGGTAGAAAGATCAAACCAGCTGCCATGGCATCCCAGCCGAATGTTTCCCAGACGAAGAGAGGGAGGACAGAGTAAAAGCCGCATATAAGAACCGATTGCATAAATGTTCCCCAGAGTGCGACCAAAAGTCGACGAGAACGCAACAGATGAATAACGACTGGTCGAGTAGTCGTATTCTGTACCAAATTATGTGATAGTAGAGGCGAAGATTCGAGTGAGCTAGGTTGGCCAGGGTAGCTGTACACCGACCCGTTCGCTTCTGGGTCAAAAAATGACAGTCTCGCCGGTTTATCCGGAAGACAGAAGCGAAATATTATGTCCAATGTGACTAAGGCAAGGCACATTGCAAAAACGGCATAATATCCTGCTTGTCGCATGACTATGCCTCCAAACACGGGTCCCATCAGTGTACCAGCATTCACAGCGATACCTATATAGCCCATTGTATATCCGATATGGTCTGGTCCAACTTGATCAACTAATATAGCTAGCCCAACGGTCCATACTACGCCGGATGAAACACCCTGAAGGACACGCCCAAGTGCGATCAGGCCGATAGTTCGTCCGAGACATAATAATAGGGTCGATCCAGCGAGGGCGCATAGGCCAATAAGGTAGGGAAGACGGCGAGATACATGATCAGCGATGTATCCAGAGAGTGCTGAAAGATAAGTAAATAACACGTTATTGATAACACTATGACTATAAATTGATTTTAGACTCACTTCCAGACACTAGGAGACCCGCACTGTGGACAGCTAGAAGGCACGAAGTCCAAAATTGAACTAAGTATAGTATTTGGTATTAGCCTTCAAATCAGAGACGTTCATTGATGCTTGGCGCCATACCATCTTCTGGACGGACTCCGACTCTTTCAGTAATAGACCATGGGATCACTGGTACAACGACAAGATAGAGAAAGTTATCCTATCAGAGTAAGTGTGATGTAAAGCCCCTGTACTCTTGACATCTCACAGTGAATATTGCCACACTGATTACAAGTATCGCAAAGCTTTGGGACCATCGTCCCTGTAGAAGAGGCTCTCTGGGGTGCTTTTGACGAATAGACATGGGAATTTGTCACGAGAGGGGAAGTTAGGAGATGAAGAGGTGTACTGTACCTATCAGAGAGAACTTTGGAAGAATTTGTCAACCGTTTTCGATCTATTTATTTGTATCTTTTACAATGTAGTTAATGTGCTTAGCTGCATTCACTTAGCGCTAGTATTTTTTTTCCTTGATTATGTACCTAACACTCCTCGTACGTATTTTAAAGGACTACCAAATCTAATTCCTGAGGATATGTCCCTGGCAGTATTATTCAATCCCATTCTCTGGGTTCTTTACCTATGAAATCAATTTTTCATGAGAAATATAGATGAACAACTTGATCTGGCCTAATATTGTCACGGTCAGGTACAGGTGTCGATCCATGCAGGTTACCCTTGCATCAATGATTTATATTTGCTAGATAGTGCACTCCTACATATAATACGTGCGATAAGGATGGAGTGTTCATGCAGGTACCATATCCTATCCAGAAAGTAAGGATAGCCGGGATAAAAATCAAGATCAAATAAAGCAATATTGTTATAAACGAAATTTGTAATTTATGGCTAGGCAAGACGTTGAAACTTGACAAAGGATGATAGATATGGTATCGTTGAGGTGTCAACATTGTGGAAAGTATCCCCAATTTGATTGATGTTTTGCGAGAATTTGGTTCAGAAGCTTGAGTTGAACCCGTTTCATCGCCGACTTTAAAAATAAATATCGTCCGGTAACATCTCCTGCTCCCTTCTCTTTTCGAAACCGCAAGGTTATCACTTCGACCGTCATATTTTATGATAGAATTCCTATCATTCTCTCTCGCCACTCTCATGATTTCCTTGATCAATATAATAAATCTCAAAAGGTCATAAGCATGGCCTTGTTCCTATTCCGTAATCTCACGAGTGACATCTTTAACTTCCGGCGGTTTAGATATACCTGTTGCGACAGCCGAGAAACAAGGCCATCAACAGACGGAAAGTATTTCGGCCGAAAAAGCTTCTGCCGAGACAGCGACTCCGGAACTGGATTAGTATATCACGGCATCCTTGAACGATATGCATTCATCGCAAACGACACCCTTGAGCGATGCGCATTCGCGACAGTAATGTCCCGTCTTCACCGTCTCTTCTGTCTCGGACGAATGTTGACATTCGTCCAGAGCAGAGGGGCGCCCATGTACTATAAGTAGCTAGTTCTTTCATCAATGAAAAAGCAGACTTCACAACAACCACAATATTCAGTACTGTAGAGACCACTACACTTGGTGGTTTGTCTACGGTGTTGAGTAGTGGTTCGTTGGAGCTCACCGTTCTCAGTAACGAGCGATTAGCTAGCTACGCTCGCTAAGCGAGCGACAAGAGTCACCTTCGACGCGACCAAGGTCATCGAATGAACCGTCGGAGTGACGAAGGGATATGATCCTGTAATGTTTTCGTAAGTGCGATTATATTTCCACCAAGATAGGTAGCACCATACCCATATGAAGCCGTGAGAGAAATGCCTATTGATGTTTTCGATAACGTCATTCGATCCATTTCGTATGGTACGCTCGAAGGCCAAAAGTAGTAGATGAAAATAAATATCAGTCCTGTGATGAGGTATTTTGAAAGCATCTTTGTGCTCGGCCGAGTTGGTGTAATCGATCGATTGCGGTGTTGTTTTTGAAACATCGGACGTTGTAAACAGCAAGATGAACCTCTGCAAAGGGGGCAAATATGGTGATAGTTCTAAGGAATAAGCAGACTGTGATAGGGAAAACTACTCTGTGCATTCCGACTGCACTGCCTAGAGTATTCTCCCCACTTCAATAGGTAGCTTTATGTAGGCAATCGATTGATTGAAAGAGACGTAATGGGAAAAGTGATATTATGGTGCTACCGCCATATCGGTTAAAGCTTCTGATTGGTTAGGTTTCCCTTTCTGCCGGCAATACAAAAGGGAAACCTTATTCAGACCACTCTCATTTGGTGACGCAGGGAACGAACCTGCAATTCTGGCCCGTGAATTCTCGCCAGCAGACGTATTTCTAAGGTTCTAGTCGCGGGATTTAGGACACTTGAATAAAAATGATATTGGGCTTCTAAACTTTCTTTTGATGGGTACCAATGTAAGAGACAAGGGAAAAGGGAGACCGGACCTCGGAGAGGCCGAAAAAAATAAGGGGAAAAACTGCACACATATTGATGCTGACAGAAGGTGGGAGAAGCAAGAAATGAGTTAACAGATTCTCAAGAGTCAAAGCTAGACTGCCGGCTGGAGGTTCATTTCCTGTAGACATTCAGAGGCAAACTCTCGCAGAAGATTGATTTCGAGGTCAATTGTCGCAGGAGGGGGTCCATTACAAGCTGGATCTTGCAGGAATGTTGGCCCAAATACCTCCTCATGACTAAATATCAAGCGTTGCGGACCCCCAGTCGGAAGAGGTGGAGAAGGCGGAGGAGGTCGCAGGTTAGGGGCAGGTAGAGGAGCCGGAGGACGCGTGCTGCTGCGCGTGGCCATTCGATGAGTTGGCCCTGTAGCCACGATAGGGGTGGGAACAAGCAGAACAGGTAAATTGAGCACAGGAATAGAGAGAACAAGCGAAGCAGGGAAAATGACCTCGTGCTGTCGTAGTACAGGAATGCCGAATACGTCTCGCACATATACGTCCGCAAATCCGTGCACTCGCTGACTGAGCCTGTGCTTTTTCCATTTCACCACCACGACGACATTAATGGAGCCGTCCCCACCCGTGAGAAGCAAATCCACGTCTGCCTTCAGTTTCTTGTGAGACTCTGACCATCCGACTTCAAAGGCCACGCTTGGCAAACTGTCTACAGCCAGCTTAGGAATCACAAACAGATCGGGCTCTTTTCGGGAGTTCATATACGGGCCAGACTGGAATTCTAGGGCTATAATAAGTTAGTGATAGGCGAATCATGATGAGTCAAGCATGGCTTACTAGTCCCCATGAACGTCCTAATCTGACGGCGCTCTATGCTCGTCATGAGTCCAGTGATACTCATCTGAGTCACAGTTTCTACCCACCATGGCTGGATGCAATCGTGGATCCAACTCGGCATGATTTTTATCGTCAAATTTTCAGTCACCACGTTCCATGTTGATCTATACATTTCAGTATTCAGATATGACATCAAAGATCGGGTTTGTTCTTACCGTGTGCGATGGTCCTTCAACGAATCAAAGATGTCTCGTCCCCACGAAGGCTTCACACCGTCTATTATGAGAACTGTGGCCTCAGTAGAATCTTCAATTTGGGAGAAGATATATTTCTTGAGCTTACGGCGAGAGAATTCGCCGGCAGAAATTGCGATCACCACTGCGAGTTCTTCATATTCAGCACTAGGTGAACTTTGGGATGATAGCGCCTGAGTATCTTCCACAGTGATATTCTTCGTTGGAACCGAGCGATCGGTTAAGGTGGTATGTTGTTCAATATCCGTCATTGTGCGTTGAAGAGGAAAGTGCCACCAGACGTCAGCAACTAAAAAGTGGGTATGATTATAGTTATAATCTCAAGCTAATAGTAAATAACTAACTCACCACTGCTTTGTCATCCCACCCACCCCAATTCTAATAACTAACTAGATTTTAAATTTGAAGATCTCGATTTTGAAGCTAAGGCTACTACTCCCATCGTAATTTTGGTTTTCAGAGATTGACTTCATGACTATTATCACTTCCTTTCTGTGGGTATTCGGGATAGGGTCGGGGTGGACCTAGTAACTACTGTTTTGTCCCGAAGGAGCTGGCGTGTCACATTTTATTGAGGTATTTACTTCGCTCAGTGAGCGAATCAGGGTACTCAGGTTTTACTTACTGAGTGAATCAGACTGCCCACTGAGTGCTCACTGAGTGCTCCCTGAGTGTCACCTGATGCTCATTGATCGGATCAGGACGCTCAGAGGCGTGCTCAGTTCTATTCAATGAGCAAAAGCTACGGAAGAGGACGCCAAGAACTGACACAGGATGTTCTAGCATTTATTTACATAAATCTATATACGTCCACGTTCCAAAGTTATATCACTTCACAGATATCCATGGGCAAACTAGTCATCCCCCTGAAACTAGTCACTACCGCTGAAGAATATCGATAAGCTGAGATGAAACAGCCCAAACTCGCTGTCGTAGGTCTTCCCCTAATCGAGTCATCCCCGAAAGACCTTGTGACCCACCCTGCAGTTCCGCCAGTCGTGTAACCAATCTATCGATCACCGCCTGTGCACGATGTAGTTCGCTCAGAATTAGTTGAGCGACGATACATCGCTGGTCCTCCCCACTGAGATAGTAAAGACCTACGCCAGTAGGTAAGTGAAGGGCACTCTCGTTCGAAAACGTGATTTTGTGCTCATATAGTGTCGCTGCTCCTGCCGCAGAATACCAAGAAAGCACCTTGCAACTGATGAGCGTGATGATAGAGACGATATACTCGTCCTGTGAGCATGCACAGGCTAGAGTCTCTTGAACTATCTCCATTGCCCGTCTATTTCCCGCAATAAGCTTGTCGATGGGAGGCGTAGGCATAAATGTACTCATTCCACCACAATCCCTCGCTTCCGATAGACGACAACATCCATCGGAGGCATCGGATAATAGAGTTGTCAACGTCTGTAAGGCAACACCCAAGCAACAGCAGCGTGGAGGATCTAAAAAGCCCCATTGGTTAAAGCTCGGTGTAAGCTGAAGGTTGATGGGTGTAGAGGGCAGTCCAGTGCCCGGTAAGCTTGCCGGATCTACTCCCACCTGTGGTGTCCCCCAGTTGGTTGTTCTGTCATTGGCTACCTGGTCTGGTACCTTGGGAAATGTCGAAAAAATTCATCAAAGTCATCGTAGGAGCCGATCTGAGGGGAAGAAATGCCCATCTCAGTCGAGAGACCAGGGCAGAAATCGCTCCAGACATTTGTGGCCACAGCTTGGGTATCACTAGAAACCGCCATAGCTGTAGTGAAGTTGTTCGTCAAGATTTCTCCCGCCTCCAGACTGATTGAAGAAGGTACACTCTCACTGCCGCTATGTGTGTGCAACTGCGAGTGGGGACGTTCATGCTGGCTTGGATATTTCCTTACATATCCAGCACTGTTTGGTTTCTTGTTGTGACTTCCATGATGCCCATATCTCTGATTGAAACCGATGGTTCCTATAGTATTAGGGCTAGGCAACCTAGGGTTACGTCCCATACGCTTCGACTCTGTGTAGTGACATGGAAGATCGCGCTCGGCACAACGAGCACAAATTGGCTTCTCCTTGGTACAGCGAATCTTGGAGTGAGCACAGCTAGTACAGCTTTCCCGCAACTTGCGTACCTGCTGTTGTCGCGATGATCGGGGATTATGAGATCCAGTCATTATGGCTGTGTATAGATCTTGGAGAGGGAGTAACCTAGAAGTCTGGAAAAGAGCACGAGGGACTTAGTATGAAAGAACCATATACCATCTCCACTTTCCCTCGTTTCTATGATGAAGTAGTCACTTTCTTCATTGATTCATTTACGCCACAAAAAGCTAGAAACAGAGGGATGTGATTGGTCGCCACTTGTTTTTGCACATGATGCAAATGATCAGCTACTGTAGACCAACCAATGTTCTTCGATGTAATGTATGCGATCAACAAATACACACCTGGCATCGATAGATTCTCCATAATATGATATCAGGAAGATTTGTCACTCGGCCATTATTATTTGATGCCTTACTGCTCTTATCATAGATGTCGCATGAGTCCAGCCTGGCAATACGATAGTAAGCCTCCGAATGTCTTGGACATGCAGCCTTGAGACTAGCGGCTATTAGTAGATAACGCCTCCTGCATTTTGACAATGAAAGAGACTCTGAGTAGTTTCAAGACTCAATTATTCAGAAAGCTGATCGCTCGCTATGAGGTTTTTCAGGGAGAATTAGTGAATTTTTTTTGGCGCGCTGCTAGGCATGGTTAGACGGGTTTCCAAACCACATAGTCCATGTACGTATGGATCCTTTTCAAATTTTAAACTTGACTTGAGTCCGCATTTTCATCGTTTAATGTCTGAGTTGTTCATTCAATAACCTTGGAAGGTTGGTGCCCCCTCGCCAAATCTTTTAATTCCATTTGCTGAAGTTCCCATCCTTCCAATTCGTGGTACAAATGAAGCCATACCATCATCTCGTTACATTGCACCATAATTTTTGTATGGCGATCATTCTTCCTGAACTCTGAATGTGTCACCAGACACTGATCTCTACGTATCTTCTACATTTACCCTTTCTAATACCCAAAGGCACCTCAGCCAGCGCGCTTTTGACGCTATCAGTGCAGTTTTGGCTGCATACTGTACTAGATCGTTTTAACTAGATGACCAGTTTCTAAGGTTTGGTTATACACCTACTTCCAATAAAATCTTGAAAGCACCGCTGGTAGTTTGAATCTCAATAAATGTAAGTGTGTCTAGCTCAGTAGACTGTAGTGGCACTTGGGCAAGGCTCAACGTGACTCGTATCTACAAATAAAAAAATATAATTGAAGTCTCTTTTTACGGATGCTTAAGGTGCGAGAAAATTCGATTATTACCAATATGATCTAATGGATTACCGGTGTATCCTCTGCTCTTATCACCCCAGGTCGTTGGAAGCGCACTATCGATTGTTTGGAAGAATTTGAAGAACAAAATACTGTTACTGTTATAAATGAATTTTAGTGTTTGTTCACCAGGTAAATAGCCTATTACCAAAATTACTGAATGTTGAAATAGCTCTCAAGGACCTTGGAAGACAGCCATCGTGCTGCCATCAACTACGTCTACCAGTTTGAAAAACACGATGATCTAGTAGACTGCCTTTCCAATTACTATGTTACCTGTGGTTTGATTTGTAGCTTCGAGGTCGAGATATGCGTATCTAATGAGTCATGAAAGAAGGATATTTATGAGTCCAGTAAGTCTAAAACAACATTTTGTTTGATCCTGTTATAAAGTAGTTTCCACAACGTTTCATGATTCGGAACTTGATATGTTTAAGCTACAAGTCTTTGTTGCTTAATAGAACTGACCTTCTTCAGATGATCAATTAAGGTTCAGTGGCCTTATTTTGAAGTCCACCGTTCTTATTAGCAACTCAACCTCTTTAAATGATCACGCACTCATCCCATCTGCACATGCCTAGGTAGAATCAGACAATCCCTGTCCATGAAGGTAGAGGCTTTTTGACGTTTGCTCCACTACCTAATGAGCTGTCAAAGACCTATAGGGATCAGAAACCAGGTGAAATTTTTAGTGAAGTCAATATAGGGCAAGACCACTGGTGACTCGTGGGTTCAGCAAAATTACTTCACATGGGTGAACAGATAGGATAGATACTTGTCGGTTGACTAGGTTATTACCGAAGCAGACAGCTATTGATATCGTTTCTGTACGTATATAATAGGTGTATGCATATTGGGTAAAAGTGAAGTGTCATTCTAAAATGCTCAGATGAAAGAAGATATAGTAGCTGCCATGCCAAGATCACATGATCTTGGTATGTCAGCTGATATTCGTTCCAACACTGGGCAAACTTAAAGAAGGGATGAAAAACGCGGTCAGAGCACAAAAGTCAAGAAAGAAACATAAACTCGTACAGCAGTCACAAAATCCAGTCTTCTGCTTTTGAAAACAAAGTCTCTCTGTCCCGCTCAGTCAGAACGTTCAACCCAACCGATAGCTTGTAAATTAATGCGGTTGGTGTCAATCAATTGCTTTAACGCGTCGCAGGGTTTGTCCTTGGTCATCGCGTCTGCAGGATTCGAGTTCCCATCGATCCATTTGATCTCAGTGATCTGGCGACGTTCGTATGCTTGTCTAAGGCACATCACGTCGATCATTAGTCGTTTCTCTTGTGTGGAGTTCAGTGTCACAAGACAGTCATATAGCGACTTTGAGTCAGTGCAGAGAACTATTGGGACATTGGCCTGTAGCATTTGGTCTAGAGTCGACTTTATTGCGAAAGCGATGTCTGAGCCATGAGCCATAGCGTATAGCTCTGATGCTAGGACGCTGCGGGTGACTCGTTTGCATTTGGTCGAGCTCCAGTGGATGGTATTGGCGTTTACCGTGGTGTCATTGTCTTTTGGAGCGTCTCTCTTATCGGCTAGCGCGATGACATAGCCGATCTGGGATGAGAGGTCTTTATTGTTCGCAAATGATGCGTCTGTGAAGACCACTAGCTGTAGGGAGTCTAAGTCTAGGTTGACAAAGCTAAGTCCTCTAGCGGAATTCTCTTTTTGCCAATGCAGTCGTTTGTTCAATAACCTATAATCGTCTTTGCTCAAGTCGGTCGCTTGAGCAGCGAATGCTAAGTCGAAAGCAGCTTCAGGTTGACATACTGAAGCTATATAGGCGCCTCTCGCGCGTTCGGCAATGTATTCATCTTTGGTGTTAGCAAGGGAGATCTTATCGCATTGGCCCTTCTGCTCAAGGGTGATGCTTCCATCTGTTACCAATTCGATGACTCCACCATTGAATTTCAGTGGATTTTCAATGGTTAGTTGCTCGCGCTCTTTTGCCGCGAAATTTGCCTTTTGTAGCTCCTGTTTTTCTGCTTCTGCAAATTCGTTATCTGCAAGGATAAGAGTATCATCTGTTTGAAGTCCGACGATACCGAATCCTTTCGAATCTGTTGTATGTAGAAGGCATGGGTCAAATGTCGACTGGTCCATTTTCAGGTTTATCGAATGGTGGGAGTGATATGTCCTGAACCAGTGGTTTCCTGCTTCGGGGATGCCATAGAGTGGCTTGATGACCTTCAGAAGTGTGTTTTTCCCGAGGTGGCCTATCAGTTCCTTCGGCGGGCGTGCGTAAAATTCACGGTTTAGTGTGGTCTTTGACTGGACGTACGCCTGGGAGATATCGCGGAGGAATAGCTTGGATTCAGCGGTAATGCCTTAGCGACTTGCAGCGATGCAAAGGATTAGTCTCTGACTGACACGTTGAATCGTTGGCGATTGAGTCAAAACCAGGTCTTTCTCTTGGTCGTTATATGCTTGAATGACCAGTCTTGATTTTTCGAAAGCCCGCTCTATGCCTTTATTCTTGATATCGTCAACGAATCTTGAATTAAATAGTCGCACACCGGGTGGGGCTTCTGTGACAAGCTCAAAGACTCCCTTTTCAAGTAACCCATTGATTTCTTTTTGTCTTGAATCTCGGAACTGAGTATTGGTGCTGCTCTCTTGCAAAAAGATAGTTATGGGCGGAAAGTGTTTACGCGGGCGACCTGGGCCACGTTTTTGCGCTTCTTTAGGGACAGGGGCAGTTATAGGTATCGGGTGCTTACGTGGACGGCCTGGGCCACGCTTCTGTGGCTGCGTGGGCTGCGAGGGAGTAGGGGCAAGTTCTTGTTCTTGATTATCTATCCGTGTTCGGCCAGAGCGTCTAGGTTCTGGCTGTGATCCAGCGTGTTCAGAGAGGGTTTCAGTTTTGGCTTCTGGTGCCATCAGGTCGATTTGGTCTATTCCCTATGGTTCTGGGTTTAGAGTCGGCGATTCTGTGTAAAATGGTTTGACCGCTGTCGATCGAAATGCTGTTGGTCCACTTGGCAGTTTGACTATGCAGTTTTCGTCTTCAATCGATAGCAGTATATATGGCCCAGTCCAATTGCCTGTTTTTCCTATGTTTCCTTCTCTCCAGACAAGAACTGGTGAATTCAGTGGCAAATCATAGATTGCGGTCGTGTTTGGGCCGTTTCTCATGTTTAATGCATCAGCGATTTGGCGTTCTGCTAGGAGCTTCTGTATCTCGGCCATCGCCTTTCTGACTGCTGTAGCACGCTGTGTGATTGATGGAGAGGGTGGATCTAAGTCGATCATTCGGGGGTATGCACCGAAGACAAGTAGTGTAGGAACTAAACCTCCTGGTCCAGCTGTGTCGTTGATTGCTTTAAAAGCCATTTGAAGGGCGATTTCTCGATCGATTCCAGGGATTTCAGCAATGATAATCTGATAGGCGCGGCGTAGGGGGCCGTGGTACCGTTCAACCATGCCAATTGAGTTGTGCGCCTCAATAGGCACACTTCTTGTGTTTGTGCCTATAGCTTTTGCATAAGTCTTGAATTCCTTGCTGATGAAGTCTTTTCCGGCGTCGTGGGTGATCCAGTCTGGAGGGCCTAAATAGGTGTCAATCCAGCATAATCGTAGCTTATCCCAGGTGTTTTTGGCGCTGATGTCGTCTAGCCATCGGCCTGATTGAAAGCGGGTTGCTTCGTCAACGACGTGTAGGAGGGGCTGGTTGGCAATATACATGATGTCGACGATGATGTTATAGTTGAATCTGATGTCCTCTGGGTCTTTAAGGGTGAACCTGAATCGACCTGGAGATTTCCCAAACTTCTGGCAGAATGCGCAAAACTTGGTTAGATGCTCTAATATTGATGTATTGGGGTCATGTCCTGCGCTTTGGAGCAGCTTTTGAAGTCTGGGGACTAAAGGATGGCCGAAACGACGATGTAGTCGTCGTAATTCGATATCTGTGAGGTAACATGGGTTCATGTCGAGTAAAGAAATAAAGTATGATGATAGCGTTGAGTTCCAAAGTAGAAATAGGTGTCCAAATCTTCGAATCACTGGTACTTCAACTGACTTAGAGGTGATCAACATGTTTTTGATGTTGTTATAATATACCCCGAGGTTATCCATGTCTGCAAGACATAGCAGGAATGGTGTGTCTGCGTTAACAATATGGAATTGAATCTTGCTAATGGGAGTGGTGATTTTTGCTGATCCGATTGAAGAAGTTGTTCCAATTCCGAATTGGACGTTAACTTCGCCAGCTGTGGAGGGATCCAATTTGACGTTCTCAATCCTCTGAAGCGCTTGGAACTGACCAACTCCGGCTGTAGATTTTCTTGAGGCGCCGGTATCGATCATGATTCCCATAAACGTTTAGGAATTATATCGGCTGGTGGGCGTGGTGGTGTAGCTGAATGGGTCAATGTCTTGTGGCGGAGTGTCTCCTTGTATAGGCGATGGTTTCTCTGACAACCAGTGTAAGAGTGCTTTATTAGAGAGCTCTGAGCTTATTTCCGTACCCTGTTCAGCATTAATTTGGCCAAATAAAGTGAAGAAGCTGTCGATTAGATCATATTCGTCTTCATTGGAGTCTGTTTCGTTGGTCTGGAGGCTAATTGTTTGAGCGTCAGCCAAGAGAGCTTCGAAAGCTTCAACTTGTTCGGTTTCGTCATTTCCTTCGCAATAGAGCATGTATTGCCTATATCTCCTGTTGAAATCGCCGTTTTTCTCCTTATTCTGGTTGAATCCTTGAAGGAAATTTTGTTTTGATTGCTTTTGTTCTTCTTCGGTGTGTCTCCAGGATCGACATGTTGGTTTTTGGCAGACATAGCATTTTCCCTATGGGTTTCTTTTGGTCTGATTCCTGGTGAGTCCTCTTCCTTGATTGCCGTCTCTATAGTATCGTCTATCGGTGTAGAATATTTCTTCCGAGGCGAATGCTGCTTACCTCTCGGGGTTTTCTTTCTCCCAGGTGGTGATTGATGACTGTAGTTTATTGATCAATAGTGCGAGATCTTCTGGCGGGTCAGCTAGTGCGTTACTACATGCAGGGATTCCTCTATATGCAGTAATTAGCTTATTGATCAACATCATGTTGCTACGGAGTTCTAGATGAAGGCCGTGTCGTTTTTTGAGTAGGTCGTTGAGCATAGTTTGAAAGTTCTGGTAGATGGAGTTTGATTTGTCATGGTTATCGTTTATCACTCTTTATAGTGTGATATCGTTCCATTTGGTCAAGTTCTGGCGGTAGAACTCAGGACCTTCAAAGAATTGGCGTAAATGGTTACATGCTTCTTGAAAAGTTCGCGAAGGCAAATCACTACTATAGTAATGATCTTCGGCAATTCCAGTGAGCATCGTTGGCAGTGCTGCGTTGTATCCGTCTAGTGTTATCCCAACTCTTTTGCAGATGGTGTAAAAAATGTTGAGTTTCCAATCAAAGCTGCTATTATCTGTCCCACTGTATCTCTGTTTCTCAGTGTAAATCTTTGACATAGAGTTGATCTCTTTGGTGAAATCAGTCTTCAACTTCTTGGTTTCAAAGATAAACGGGCTAGTCTCTGGAGAAAACTGATTGGGAACGCCTAGAGTGTCCTCTGGCAAGGATTTGTCGCTTCCTTGGTCAGGATGACTACTTCTAGGGGCGGATGTATTGATTTTTGGTGTAATCAGGCGGTCCGCTTATGGGGGCAGAGTGCCTTGTAAAGGCTGCTTCAATCCAGTGCAGGTCGGGTTAAGGCGGTGTCTTAGTGCTCCAGTGATCATTGGCATCTTAAATTCCGTGAAGAAGCTTTCAATATCTTCGTCTGTCCATTCATGGAACTCCTCTTGTTGGGCTACTATGGATAGTAGGGTGTAAATTGCTATTCCTCGACCAAATCGTGGAACAAATACTCCATGCTGAAGTAGATTCGTCCGTAATGCTGTTCGTCTTAGAGGTGCGACTTGCTTAAAGTGTTCTGGTTCCCAGTTTTCGAAAAGGTCGCAGTATGTTGCCCATAGGTTGTAATCTGATGTTCTGTCATCGAAATGCATGTTCTTTTCAACGTAGTCATTTATCTCTCGCTTTGTGGCTGTCGCTAAATCGATTTCCCAATCATAGTCATCGTTGATTGATTGAGCTGATTCAGCGGCTGAAGGTGGTGCAGACATAGTGTAAAGCAGTGTGGGTTTTTCAGAAATGTTAAGATGGTGTAGTAGTATATGAGATAGGTCACTTTTGGGTTTCCTGGATTTTGAATGCAGGGATATGCAAGGTTGGAGGGCGAGGATGAGGGGATTTGAGCGGTCAAGGATATGCAAGTAAGAGAAATAGGATGAGGGGATTTGGGCGGTCAGGGATATGCAAGTATGAGAAAAATGAAGGGATTTGAAAGGAATGGAGGAAAATGAGAGGGAAGTGTGGTAGTGTTTTTCAGTGTTTTTCAGTGTTTTTGGACGTTCTTCATAGACCTTGGGGCTTCTATGAAGTGGGTTCTTAGCAAGATGGTGTAATTCTCGGCGATCGTTCAAGCCTCAAATTATCACGATCTTCTCCTTCGACTGAGATATGGCAAGGACTTAGCGAATCTGGAAAAACAGCTTTTGAAGACTGTTCAACGCGCTCGAGCTTCGTAGATGCGTATTTCCTGATCTGTACGTCTACTGATCAGTGTCGGTTGACTAGGTTATTACCGAAGCAGACAGCTATTGATATCGTTTCTGTACATATATAATAGGTGTATGCATATTGGGTAAAAGTGAAGTGTCATTCTAAAATGCTCAGATGAAAGAAGATATAGTAGCTGCCATGCCAAGATCACATGATCTTGGTATGTCAGCTGATATTCGTTCCAACAATACTATCTAGTGTGAACATAAAAGTATCCTTTATTTATAAAGAAAATGACTTCGGAGGGCAGTAAGATAGATGATATTCTTATAAAAGCTTTCACATTATACTACCTAGACAACTCATTCCACTTCGGACCCGTGGGCCCTATCAAGATTTATTGTACCAATTTCAGAGTTTGATGAGACGAGTCCCAGGATTTACTAATTCAAGAGTGAGCCTCGAGGTATACAGAACTACTTCTGGTCATTTTCAACTCACTCGCAAGAAAAAACTTCATCAACAACGGTGTACACTTGTATTCCCCAAGAGGATGGTACATTTTCAAAAACGTAAGTGCGTTGCCGGGGGTCATTGAATGATTCTCTTAATAGTCCGAAAACATGATCCTGGAATTGTTGAACACTGGGAAACCGATTCTCAAAAGTAACCGATTCGATTTCCCTGTCATCCTCTGACATATTGCGTGCTCAAAGGACAGAATCGTAGAAGGTTCTTGTCGAATATTTGCTTTGAGAGATATAGAAAGAGAAAAGAAGGGTTCAAATTCCGGGGATCAAAACATCACTATGACGGAAGTCCGACTTTGTACCACATCCTAGTTCCAAGGTTGGATTGAAATATTCGGCACACAATTCAATAAATCAGATTGGGTTATTTAAGCTGATATAGAGGATCATGATATATTCCAGTCATCTGCTCATTATTCCAAAGCTCATTTATTCCGTACCGCTCAATTGATGACATAAATCACATCCACAAGATTACTCCTAGATTCTAGGCAACATCCTCGGTTTTCATCACTAGGGCGGTTACTGAAGTCGCTTCATTTCTAATCATAATATCTCCGGGCATGTGTTAAATTAGGAAAATTCATTAAGTATAGGCGATCAAGAATGAAAAGGGATATACTAAGAAGGAAACTGCTGTATTCGCTAGGTAGCAGTGACTTTTACTTGCTCATGCCTAAACAGCGAATCATAATGGCCCATCAGCTTCCTCCGGTTGGCGGGTGTCAAAAAACTTCCAAGTCATGTGTTTAAGAAATAAACTACAAATCAAATTTCAAAATTACTTATATGCCTAGATCTGCCCATGGAGACAATATGTTCTAATCTACAGAGGGCTTCTCTGTTAAATATCGAGGTTGAAACTGTAAACAGTTAATTACGGAAATTGGTACACAACAATATCATTATGTCAGCCGCCCACTGCATCAAATTTATATTATTTTGGTATATTCTAATAGTTACTATAGCAACCTATTATTTACTCTAAATAAGATCTAATTATTATTACTGAACCTGCTTCTCTTCAGAATCGATTACTATATGCGCTAGTCTTTATTGGGCGTTCAGCCACACTAGCCACACCGTACTAGCCATACCAGCCACCAAGTTCTTTCCTGACATCATGTCAATCTTGCCTGCGCACGGTCTTCTTTGTTAGATTCAACCCGATAGTTTGTTGGGATTCATGATCCAACGATCAAGCTTATCCACATTTATTATAATAATATTATGAAATTGAGACTCGATATCTCTTCTAATTTACCCATCCCAAGTTCGATTTCATGTGATAGCTACACCACTTAAAATCACGATGATTGGAACATCAACTGCTGAGTACTTCTTCATACGGATCTGCATCATATGTCTTCACAACATTGCACCATTAAGCATTTTGTATGGTATCCACTTACTCTTTGTCCAATTTCTTCATCTGCCAAGTTATCTTGAAAGCATACCTTACTTGATCCAGATCTGGCTGATAGCAGAATCAATATTCTTCACCACCGTCTACATACCACTCAAGTACGCTCTCAGCTATTCTACTACCTTACATACACCTTTGTCTGCAGAGGAAAGAGAGAAATTGTTTAGTAGCTGCAATGCAACTGTACCGAACATGGAGAGTTATCTCCGCCAGTGGCTTCTGGTCCCAGAAACCAAGCCCATCAAGCGAGGCGATGTTAAAAACTTCATCAGGTGGTCATTGTTTGGCCCCGGATCTACCGGTAAGCAGGTTCAGGAGCATGAGGAAGAAATTGAGATGTATACAACGGAAATTGAGAAGCATATTGGACGAGAACTTCCACCGGGAAGAATGGATGTGAAAGGCGGCAAATGCCTAGGACAGCTTCTAAATGAATCAAGCGGCTCTCACCGAAGTCTGTTATGGTACACTGTTAGTCCTCTCTCTCTCCCTCTCTCCCTCATTCTCTCGCGCACACACCATATGTCAAAACCCCATGCTAACATTCAAAAACCTAGTGTGTCTTTGTGGTCGATGCAATAACTTATTACAAGATGTTGCGTAGTGGATTTCAATTTTACCGCAACACGCTCTGGAGATTCTTCGCCATCTTTCCATGTCGCCCTCTTACAGTACTAACAGCCCACAAATCACCAGCGCGGCATCTTACATACTGGCATCGACAGCATACATCTAAGAAGCAACTACCAATACTGTTTATACATGGCATCGGAGTTGGCCTGTACCCTTACACGAATTTCTTCCAGGAGCTCAGCATGGAGCTAGAGACAGGAGCGACTGGCGATGGTCAGGTTGGCATCATCGCACTTGAGATCATGTCGATCAGCTCTCGCATAACTTATCCGGCCCTGCAGAAAGATATTATGATAAATGAGATCATGGAGATTATGCGATATCATGGATGGACGCGGTTTGTGCTTGTGTCTCATTCGTATGGTTCCATAATTGCTGCGCACCTTCTAAAATCCAAACGATTTGCTGCACTTGTCGGACCTACTGTCTTCATTGATCCAGTCGCATTCCTCCTTCATCTACCCGATGTGACATATAACTTCATAGTCCGTCAGCCCGCGCGGGCTAATGAGTATCAGCTTTGGTATTTTGGAAGTAAGGACATAGGAGTTGCGCATACGTTGGCGAAGAGATTCTCGTGGAGCGACAACATCATTTGGAAAGAGGATCTCGGGGTAAACGGTGAAAATTTTCGGAAGATTGGGCGAAACGTTACTGTCGTTTTGAGTGGTAAGGATTTGATTGTGGATACTGAAGCAGTAGGGCGGTACTTGGTAGCTTCATCAGAAGTAAATGCTCAGAAAGAAGCCACACAAGCATGGAAACACAAGCCCTGGACTGGCTATGGACTTGAGCTACTGTGGTATGAACAGTTGGATCATGCACAGGTTTTTGAGTCTAAGGATACCAGGCTGCCAGTCATTAAGGCCATCTCTTCATATTCAAATATAGATTAAAACTGGCTCAACAACTCGTCTATTGTCAAAAAACCTTGAAACTCGGAACTACAAAAAAGCAAAAATAGAAGAATTCTAATCTTCATCCAGTTTTGATTGATATAGCTTACATTTGCACGTTCTGTAAGGGAGCGAGGATCCATGCAAGGTTGACCGGAGTCAAATACCGAATGTGATTAATCCGAGCTTTGAATGCATATGTACGAAATAAGCGAAATCAAGTTTTAGTGCACATGTATGTGACTGCTCATATTTTCCGGGACTCCTTCCTTTCATGGGATTTCGACGTCCCGACGTCCTCCATTCACTTTTGCTAGCGCCGTATCAACCGCTACATCATGGGTAGCGAAACAGATCCTCTCGTAGGATCACATGGCCCAACTGATTCTGATTCTGACCTTATAAATGAGATTTACCAAAGTCCTGAGATTTCCGAAAGTTCCAAGACCCCCGGCGTGGGCACTGGATTCTTTCTTGTTGCGATGCTGGGTACTTAATAAATACTAATTCTATGAGATTTTGTTGACCATTAGTTGTAAATAGGGGCATTTATTGCATATGCAGACGACTCTTTCATGATATCAACACATGGAGAGATAGCATCACAATTTGGTCAATTATCATTAGGCCCATGGCTTATAGCGGCATACAACGTGGGATATGTGGTTACGCTCCCAATGGTTTGTTGGACCTTTCTATATCAAGCTCTATTTTCTAATAATCAGAGTAGTATGGGAGAATTTGCGACATTCATGGCTATAAGAGGCCGCTTTTATCGGCATATGCAGTGTTCGCACTGGGATGCTTGATCGCGTGAGTCTAGGCTGGAAATGACTTACCGGTCTATATATTGACAATAACAGTGGTACAGCAGACTCGATTTGGATGGTTTTCGCAGGACGATTTCTATCTGGTGCTGGGGGAGCCGGCATGGTGGACTTGATAAGTGTCATTTTAAATGGTATTCAAGCAGACTTCCTTTGAAAACTCGGATATGACTAAGATTAACTAAATTTATTTTAGACATAGAGACTCTCAGAGAAGTACAGATTCTGAGAAGCTATTTGGGGATGGTTACAACGGCTGGAGTCAGTGCTGGTGGGCCGCTAGGTGGACTTATCGTTGATAAGTTAAGCTGGAGATGGTAAGTGGGCTTCAATCAATTTACGGATGTGATCACTGAAATTTTAGGTCATTCCTTATTCAAATACCTTTTGGGCTCCTTTGCTTTGGTTCCACTTTTTGGGCCTTTTGTCCGGGCTCACGCCTGCAAGAGCTAGAAGAGAACGAGGGATCAAAATCTTATTCACGACGAAGAATAAACATTACAGGCATGTCCCTATTGACCGCCACGCTGGGTGGTATACTGGCACTCTATCAAATTCTCGGTGATGATATCTCCGCAAAGGTTGTCGCAATGTTCATATCAACAATTACCCTCGCCACTCTTTTTGGAATGAATGAAAAGTTCTTAACAAGTGATCCACTCATCCCGTTGCGACTTTTCAAGTCAAATGGGATTGGTGTCGTATATCTTATCCAGTTCTTGATTCATTTTGCCTTCTATGGGGTATGTCACTCCCAGGCCTCTTTACATCTTCAAGTTCCATAGTTAACACCGCGAAATAATCAGATGATATCTAATATTGGTGACTTTTGGGTTCGGACCCAGAATCTCAGTAATGGTCTCGCTGGTACTTTCACTATTCTAGTGGCTGTGGGGGCTTTGGTTGGAGCAACGATCCAAGGAAAAGTTATTCGACGGTATTTCTCCCGTATTCTAGTCTTCAATAAGACAGATATGAAGGCTTTAATACTAATACAACCCTAGTATGAGAAGGTACAAGCTGATATCACTGACTAGCTGGTTTATCGGAGCCGTGGGATACTCATTGATCCTGATTCGATGGCCTTTAGGCCCAAGTAGATGGGAATCCCTTTATGCATTCGTGGTTTCGGTGGGAATATACGGCTTTCTCGTTGGCCAGTATGTAGGCCTATCTGCAGTTGTTCCCCAAGACATGAAAGCGATGACCATGACCGGCTACTTTATGGCTCAACAACTTGGTATCATGTTTGGCGTCATTGTGGACTCTACCTCCAGTCAAAAAATTCTCCAAAATTGTCTTCTTCGCGAGCTTGACGGAACTCCGAGCTTCCGTGAGGTGAGCTTCCCAAAGTTCTTTATTCTGCATTTATAGTTTTTCTAACTTATGAATTGGGAATAGGTTATCAACTACGTTTTGAGTGATAATAGATATGCGTTCTTATTATCTGAGGCATATCAAAATACCATCCGAGGCTGTTATTTTCAAGGCTTCCGAGTAGTCCCTAGTAAGTCATTCAACTAGGTGTTCTCTAATAATATCTTCAAAACTAACCGTGAGCAACCTTTAGTCCTAGGATTGTCTACTCTCGCGTTATTATTTCCAATTCTCTATTTTCTTCCGGAGCACTCGCTGGACTAAAAGGTTGCTGTCCACGTATACATCTCTTTAGAAAGTTCACCTCCTGTGACTGTTCTGGTTGCAGAATGTTTTTTCAGAAAATTTTGCTGAGTTGCTTGTTATTTTCTATACCCATTTTATCTGATTTAAAAATACAAAAATCGGTGAATATGCTATTTAATGGTTGAAATTATCATTCCATGGATTCATAGATTGGTAGCGGATGATGGGTCAGCATCTAATAATTGTTAACGAAAGAGAAACAGATCAATCGCGTTGGCTGACCAGATTGAATAATGGACACAGGACAGTGGAGAGTTGATATGTCTGGCTGTCGTAACCGAGCAAAATGAGTATGGATTTGTCTTAGTTTCCTATCCCTTTTCGACACCCGTCAGTCGCGTGTGAAAGTATGAATCAGCCTCCTTTAATCCTTGGGCATAAGGTATTAATTTCTTGGAATATTCAAAACATGGAGTGTCCTAAGTTTCAATAGCTAGAGCGGGTTGAACTGTTCGTGGCGAAGATTATTGCTTCTAAATGAAGCATTTGGCTATATTGTTCCTAATGCCGAGTCAAGTATAGATCTGCCTTTGTGGCGCAGTGGTAACGCGTTTGCCTTGTAAGCAAAAGATCCGCGGTTCAAACCCGCGCGGAGGCATTCTCTCTTTTCTTTTTTCGATTTTTGTGAACAATTTGAGTTATTCTTGTTAATAGACTCAATGGTTGCATGATTTGATACTCTACTGAACAAAAATAGCAGTGTGTTAGGCTCAATTTATACAATTATACTCCTCCAGTACTGAAGTTTTCAAATAAAAAGCCATGATATATGTCATTAGACTGCTGTTATGGCATTTGAAAACTTGGAAGTTTCCACCACCTGCAGCCAACTTTGGAATGACCTCTCAAAGTCTCAAAGAAATACCAGATATAGAGTCGCAAAGATTGCCAAGGTTCATGTCTGATGTCAGACTACAGTTGTTTTTATTCCCATGATCTAATTGTGGAAAGATCACAAATATCATTGCTCTCGATTTCTAGTGGCTTGTTGGAAAAGCCTTTATACTTAAACATAATTTCGGAAGTTCTAATATATCTACTAGCTCGCATAGCTCAGTTGGTAGAGCGCGTGACTAGTAATCACGAGGTCAGCGGTTCAAATCCGCTTGTGAGCAATTTATTTTCTCTTTTGTTTTTTTTTTAGGTACCATTTTCGTATCCAATAAGCCATTAATTGATTTAATTTAATCAATTAGCAAATTTAGGTTATAATTTTTCCAATATTATTTATTTATTAGTTTTCCCCTTCACAATTGAAATTACGCTCGCAATTGATGTGAATCCAAATGTATATTTTTACCTGCCAGGTGGTCACTAAGCCTCGGCTACGTACATCTTCGACTCGGCATACATACATTGGATCAGTTGTACAAAACTGGCAATCAAGAGTCGGGCAAGCCTAGGTAGACATCTCAAGATTGGGAATCCTAATTTGGGATGATACCGGATGAATAGATTAAGTAGGTAGCATATAAATTGATGAATCTCTTGGCATCGAGGACGTGAGTCAAGCAAAACAAGCTTCAACAACAGATTCCAAGGTTATTTGTTACAATGTTTATTGTTGAGAACCTTGGAATCCACTCTTGGGATTTGCATCATAACTACTCCGTAAACCTGGGAACTGGGCAGAGACGGCATGGTCTCCCGGTCAACTTTCATGTGCGCTGAACTCCATGGATATCAATCACATCAACATTGGACATCAGGATATTGTGTTTTGAAACACGACAAAAGTGCGATCCACTTTGACAGCTGTCACTAGGTTACGAGTATTTAGTAGCAGATGTATCATATTCTGACCTCGGGCCAGTTCTATATTTGGATTCAGCCGCACGTTCACATGTGGGTATTATTGTTTGTTTTGATGACAACATCAAGTTCTCAAGGGTTCCAGAGTCCAAGGTTATCCAGAGGTCCGTCTTTAAAATTGAAAACATTGGCATAATAAAAATCTCTTCCAAAGCTGGAAGCGTTCACAAAGCCCACCTGGGCATAGCTAGGTATGGAGTAGAGAGCAGAGACAGCCTTCTTCTTAGGAAGGTCGTTATATAATTCCATTATTATACATCCCAATGAAGGCAATCGAGCCGGGTATTTGTCGTTTGCTTGCTTGAAAACACAACCCAAGCCCAATGAAAACGCCAGATATAGTACATAATCTATAAATTTTCTTTTTTGATGTGGCATAATCCATCTAGATCAGAGCTTGTCCGCGGAACATGCCCTCGCGAACCTCACGGACAACATCCTTGCGGTCCTTTTTGCCAACCAAAACAACACCACGGCCACGCTTGCCCATACGACCAAGACGGCCAAGACGATGGATGAAATCGACTGTAGTGTGCGGAACATGGTACAGCACAACTGTCTTCACAGCCAGGGTATCGATACCCCGAGAAGTGATATCCGTAGTCACAAGTACCCTGGTGTTGGGCAGGCGACGATTAAGTTCGGGCTTCTTCTCCGGGAGCACAAAGGGAATGGACTTCTCCTTACGACCTTCCTTCTGGGCCAGCAAAATCTGATCTGAGGTCGGGGGGAGGTCAACCTGAGTGAACTCAGCAAGGATCTCTTCCTGCTTTCTTGAACCCGAATCGCGAGACATTGCGACGGCATCAATTCCCTTGGAGTAGAGGAACTGGGCAACCTCCTCCGCCTCTTCACGCTCATTGACAAATACAAGGATCTTCTTAACCTTGGGACCCATGTATTGGGCCAACGGACCGCCAAATCCATCGCCGTCACTTGAATCACCGGCTTTGCCAATAGACCAAATCACATCAGCGCAGGCAAGGCTCCGGTTTCCACGGTACGGCTCCTTTTCGATGTCCACCACTCCCAACTGCACACGTCGGGGAATAGCATGCAGATTCGGGGTTGTCAATCGCTTGACGTCGGGGTAAAGTTTACGAAGCTGGGTATCAAGGCTGCGGGGGATGGTGGCGGAACAGAAAATTAGTTTTTTGAGGGACGCTGACGCTTTATTAACCACTTCCATGGTTGTGGGCAGGAACGAACGATCCATTAGGGAGTCAGCCTCATCGAGAACTATGTGACTGACGCGACTGAGAATATAAGGGTTGGTCTTCGCGATGGAAGCCAAGAGATGTGGTGTCGACACAAGGATATCGATACCATCCGGGTGGAAAAGAGTGCTCTTGATCCGGCGAGGTGTCAGGTTGGACGAGATCATTCCCGAGCGGTACTTAACAGAGTGTGCGAGGGCCTTCACCTTCACAGCGACCTGGGAGACAAGTTCTGAAGTCGGAACAAGAATTATGGCGCTGGGGCGGCCTGCGTTGGTCATCGGGGCCTCCTCCGGCTCAATGTCAAATGTGCGATTTTTTATCTTTTCCTCCTGCTCCTTTGCCTTTTTTTCCTCCAATGCTTTATTCTCTTCCTTCTCTCGTATCTCAGCACGCTTGACAGCATCTACAAGGGGGAGCAGATATGCTAGGGTCTTTCCTGAGCCTGTCTCGGCTGCAAGTAGGAATTGGTCGTACTGGGGGTCGTCCGCAGTCTTCGGCGGTTGGTTTTTTCTTGCCAAACCGTCGCCAAGAAGCTGTGGGATCGCAAGTCGTTGAATGGGTGTTGGGGTGACGTCAGCAAGATTTGGCAAGGCCTGAGAAAAAATAGACTGTCGCACCGCGGGCAACAAAGGAAAATGATCGAAGCTAGTGAGAGGGGAGATTTTGGATTTTATGGCCGTGCGACGACCATAGGTTACTGGTGACAAAGTAGTCTGCATTTTCAAAGCTTTGTATAATGGGGCATCGGGCTTTTGGTCTTTGGAGCGGTCGCCGGAACGCTTGAGGGCCGCCTGGGATCTAGGACGTGTGTCATCTCGAATGCGTGCCTGTGTTTGATTCATAGAAGCAAAGGGACCAGCGGGACCTTTGCGAGAGCGTGGTTTATTAAGTGTCGGCTTGGCGACATCGGGAGATAGTGCCATTCGCGCGGCCTTTCGGCGTAAACGCAAGGTGGCCATGTTTCGTGTAGCCTGCCATGTTGAAAGAATTTTGGGAGACTGAAATATGGTCGCTCTAGTTTGACAAAGGAAGCATATCGAGGGTCGAGCGGGCAGAGGCATACTGATGAACAAGATAGTAAATCAAGCCGTGATCGCGTGAAGGAAGAAAAACCCAGATATGATAATGCTTTCCAAGCTATCCCTCTTTAGGCCTAGCTCCGATCATGTGTATTTCCTGAGCCTGACGTTTCAGGAGTGGGGTCATGTGATGTGTTTCATGCCTGAGTCAGCTGTCCACTCCCGCGGTTGCTATGGATACTCCCGTACTGTCAACATCGATAACTTGCTTCTGGGTAACAATCCACTCTTGGATCCATGGAATAGATATCAAGATCTCTAATCACCTTTCCCTCATCCTTCCCTCATACTTTCTTTGTTCCATTCTTTTCCTGATCTTCCACTCCTAGTGGCTTTTGGTGGTTTTGTCTTGCTTGGTGGCACATTCTACATTCCAATTCCTCCCCTTCGATCGACGCGACTTTTGCACTTCTCGGCATAAGTACCAAGACTCGTTAGTAAACACTTGCCACGCCACTTGTCTGTCGTTATCAACAAAGGTATTTTCACTGTGACGTCTTACTCTTAATCCCCATTGAGACCTGAAGTCGGTCTCAAGGATAACACAGGATGAACACGGCTGACAGACTACAGTCATCTCGTTATTAAGGGTTTTTTTTTCTTTCTTTTTACAACAATCACATCACACACCTACTTGCAATCAAGCGGAATGGGAGGACTAGGTCAACGACCACTCTCTGAAGTGAGCCCCATGGCTCAGCGGCGCAATTCTCCCATCTGGAACACCCAGAACCAAACCACAAAGGTATTGTTATCGTTGTCATGGTTGCGGAACTTTAATCAACGTTAACTCTAATTAACTGATTTTGATAGACACAAAATGGTGACCCACCTTCCTACGATGTCTCATCTCTGAATAGTACTACTGCATCTCAGCGTCGCTTCTGGAAAGGCCGTGAATCTCCATCTCCTTTCTCCAAGGGCGGAGAGAACCAGCTGCCGTACAACCCAGACAGTTGTTACAAACCAACACGCCGTCCGTCTCTTGAAGATTTGAAGCGTGTATCGCGAGTGAAGAATAACAACATGTTTCGCGGAAGCCAACAAGAATATGACCCTGCACACGTCTCAGTACCCCAACGACCTCTTGCGGCTAATCGTGCGCCGAACCTTGAAAGCCAGATGAACCTTGCCAAGTCACAATTTGCCGAAGATGACGATTCGATCAACATCCCAAGACCCCATTCCCCGAGTAAAGAGCAACCATCTCCGAGCAAGTCCTCACTGTCGAAAGGCAGTCGTTTTGGCAAGAGTTTTGACCCTCAGAGTGATATTTGGTACGACAGCGCTGGTCACAGGCATACAAAGAGCGTAACATTCGATGCTGCACCACCTCAAGTGAATGAATACGAGATGAGAACACCAGACCCATCTTCTCTCGCTTCCGAATCTCGCGAGGCTAGTTATGATTCTGAGCAAGAGGAGGAGGCCAGTTTTGAGGAATACGAGTCTTCAATCGAGCGCGATGATAGCTTTGATGCGTCTCTAGAAGATATTGAGAAGACACCAGTGGTCTTGCCGGATGATTGGCGCTTCATGAGTCCAGGTGATGAGAACGACGATGAAGAGTCTTTTGTCGAACATGCTGGAAACCAGACGACTGAAGACCGCCCAGTATCACGCGACGAGGATTCAGCCCACCATGAATCCCTCGATGCCAATGACGAGCGTCGTCCCCTGCCGCCTTTGCCCTCAGTCTCGCGTTTGTCTAGCTCACGTTCCTTGTCACCCGAGAAATTGGCTGGTGTATTTGAACTTGGCAGTGGGAGTCTACGTGGGCTACCATCCCCTCTTGTATCTGCTGCCAAGAAATCTGACCCTCGTGCTTCCATGTGCTTGGAGGATCGATTGCGTCTTTTGATGCTTGAAGAAAAGACTAAGGGATTTGAACATAACGAAGAAGAGCTTGATGTGAAAGATCTGGAACCTTCAACGGAAGATATAACCATTAAGGAGGAGGAAAAAGAAACGTCGATGGATGATTTCTTCTCACCTCCTCGAATCTCCCGAGATTCCATTTTGAAAGGTATCCGCAAGGGAGACAGCTACGAGGATGATGGATTTGATGACGAATCACACATTGCATCAAGCCCCAATCCTTATGCGAATCACGATCCCGATGTTCCCATCCCGTCATTAGAGATGGACGACGATGACAACGACAGTATGGTTTTCAAAGAGGAAGCCGATGATGATGACCTCTACAAGATCCCCGACTACAAGCAAAGTCACTCAGATAGAAGCCTATCATCTCTGGATCAGAGAGCGAAGTATGACGAAGAAAGCAACTATTCCCTGCGATCGGCGTTGGAGGCTGCTGGAAACGATGCCACAGACAAGAGCACTAGCCAGACCACTCCCATAGCAGATGTATGCGAGGATGCTCCTTCCCCTAAACCTAATGAAAGCGATGAAGCGCCTGCCTCCGAAGTCCAGCCATTGGACATGGCCTTGATCCGACGATCCCTGCAAAGCCCTGTCCTGCAACGTCCTGTTACTCCCGAGCTTCAAGAGGAAGCAATGTCTGAGCCATCCACCCCCGGTTCTGTCATTCGTCACCCAGTTGCGGACTCTGAGGAGGATTATTCAGAAGAAGAAGAGGAAGAAGTTGAGGAAAGCTGCTCAGACGAGGCTGTCCCTGAGCCTGTTGCCACTATCAGGGCACCTGGTGCTACATTGAAAACCCGTCCATCTCTCACCCCAGCAGATATCGAATCCATGGCTGCGACTCGTCGTCGCATCAGCGGCCAGCACCCACCTTCCATTTCGCAGCCTGTACCGCAGTTGACCAAGCAGTTGTCTAACGAGTCCACTCAGTCCGATAACTCACAAACAGAGGCAAAATCTGCCGATGACGCGTCTCAGTTGACGGTTCCGAGCAGCCTTGCTCAGCGAAAGTCTAGCTTGATGCAGCTCGACATTCCATTTAGCATTCAAGAGGAAAGCCTTGGTTTTGGTCTCACCAAGGAATTCGATCGCGTCATTGAGTCCCAAAAGGTTGCTTTCCACCTCGCCCTTTCCAAAATTAATTCACGTCCCGTGACGGCTCCCCAGGAACAGACGACTTTTCGAAAACAAGCTAACTTATATCCTACCAAACAGAGAGGCTATCTCATGCGCCAAAACACCAAAGTCGTCATCGCCAGCAATCGCCACGAGGAAGAACCTGCTCTTCCAAATGAGCAATCATCTGAGGATCCGCGGGGCACAAAATCCGCGGGTTCTTCTCCTCGCAAGGCTAGCCAACAAACTTGGACAACTGTTCCCTGGAACGGATCCCCCCGACGCCCAAGTGTGAAAGTTCCAACGAATATTCCAAAGAAGAAGCCCGTTTCGGGAGTAGTTCCTCCTCTTCCAGGTCAAGAGAGCGCTGTTCAGGAGGCTCCCTCAAAGACTGAAGAGAGCGAGCCTCTCGTTCAAGATACTTATGAAGAGGGTGAAGAGCGGGGTCGTCTTTTCGTCAAGGTGGTCGGTATAAAATACATGGATCTTCCCCTTCCTCGTGGTATGTCAAAGTGTGAAAATTCAAATAAAGTGGCATAACTGACTTTCTATAGCTGAGCGCTCCTACTTTGCACTTACTCTTGATAACGGTCTCCACTGCGTCACCACTTCATGGCTCGAGCTCGGCAAATCAGCTCCCATTGGACAGGAGTTTGAGCTTGTTGTGCAGAATGAGCTTGAGTTTCAACTAACGCTCCAAATGAAGGTTGATGAGAATAGACTTTATCCACAGGAGTTGGTTGAATCGCCCGCACGCCAGAAGCCCTCGGCGTTTGGCCGTATGTTTGCATCCCCTCGACGCCGCAAGGAGATTGAATTGCAGCAACAAATGAAGACCCAACAGCCAAAGGATGTTAACGCACCCGTCTGGGAAAAATTGAGAAACACTGTTGCTCGCGATGGCAGCTTTGCTCGTGCCTATGTGTCTCTCACTGACCATGAAGAGCAAGCATTCGGCCGTCCTTATACTGTTGACATTGCCTGTTTCAACGAATGGGCTACCGATGAACAGCCCAGCAGTGTGAAGAGCAAGAAAAGTGCAATCAGTGTAACCGCACAGCGTCGCCCCCCTTACAAGATTGGCAAGCTCGAGCTGCAATTACTGTTTGTCCCTAAGCCCAAGGGCAGCAAGGAGGAAGAAATGCCTAAGAGTATTAATGCGTGCATCCGTGAGATGCGCGAGGCTGAGAGTGTGTCTACTCGCACCTACGAAGGTTTCCTTTCTCAGCAGGGTGGAGATTGTCCGTTCTGGCGTCGCCGTTTCTTCAAGCTCCAGGGTTCCAAGTTGACAGCTTACCATGAGTCAACTCGTCAGCCACGAGCGACCATCAATTTGGCGAAGGCCGCTAAGCTCATTGATGATAGACCCTCGCTCACGAAAGAGACAAATACCAAGACTGGCGGCCGGCGAAAGTCTGCCTTTGCTGAAGAAGAAGACGGCTACATGTTCGTTGAGGAAGGATTCCGTATTCGCTTCGCTAACGGCGAAGTGATCGATTTCTACGCCGACAGCGCCAAAGCTAAGGATGGCTGGCTACGGGTCATGTCCGAGGCTGTTGGCAAAGGCGGCTCTTCTTCCAGCAGTGGCTCTCTCAAGCCCTGGGCAGATCTTGTGCTCAAGCGCGAACGTAGCATGAAGAATCGTCCCCCAACTGCGGAGCGTCCTCCCAGCGGTTTACCTGCACCTCCAAGATCCCCTGTCAGACAGAGCACCGCTATGGCACCGCCTCCACCTTCATCTCAATCGGCAGCGCCGTCCCAGTCCCATCGTCCCCGACACAAGCATGCTAACTCTCAGCCTGAGCTGCCCACCGCTGAAGCCCGCCGACAAAAGACTCGCTCTCTTATCTACTAAGTCAGTCTTGTAACCTTGCCCGACCAGAAATCTCTTTCCCTTCTCGTCCATGATGTTAGGTTGTCACAATAATTCTCTCCTATCCCTTTCACGAGAAATACTTTTCCTTATTCCCCTTTCTTACCTTATTTGTGTTTTTCTTTTCTTTGTCTTTCCTATGCTTGGTGTTGGTGTACTATTTTGATTTTTGTGTTTGATGCAATTGACCGAGGCTTCATAAGTGCAGCGAGGGTAATGACAATCATGACTTCCCACTGCAGGACACCTCTGGATGCTCTACTCTAAGATCCTGCTGTACGTTAATGACACTGGTTTATTTCTTTATTTATTTATTTTCTTGGTTCATAGTTTTACCACGTACAATTTGGATTTTCCTACGAGATCAAGTAAAATTCGCCCCTCGAACACTTATTGAGTCTGACTGTATCTATAAAGAACCTATAACATTTCCACGACGTTACGCAATCTGTAAACCTTAAAAGATCTCGAAATTATTAATACAAACGTCACATGGTCGACTGTTTGACTGTATTTATCAGCATTATCTCAATGTCGGACGAATATTGCGTGCTGCCCTGACAAATGCGAGTATACACAGCACCTCACCCCCGCAAAATCCAACTACTATAAAATTAGCACTTTTTACCTCCAGATCTGCAACTATTTAGTTATTCAATTCAGACTCAACCCAAGAATATCAAAAATTTCCAATTTACATCATGGCTTCGGCAACCGTTCAGGTCCCTAGAGATCACAGCTCCCTGTTAGCACAGAAGCAGCAAACAGCACCTGCCTCCTACGAGCCCCAACACGTTCAAACCACCCTGAACTTCTACAAAGAAAACGAGGACGGTTCACCTCCAGCTCCAAGTTATGTCGGAAAGCCCGAAACCTTTGAGCGGCCAATTGCGTCTCTTCCCGTCACTATCCACGACATTAGCGGACATGAGCTCGACTATACCCTTGACAAGCAAGGTTTCCAGCTCTACTACCACGAGAGCATAGAGAAGGACTTTTTGGACGAGGAGAAGATCAAGCGTGATTATTACGCAGAGACAGAGCAGCTACTGAAAGATGCGTAAGTAGTTTCATTTCATTTCTTTCTATTTGATATTTGAACCAACAAGCTGATCATATAACAGAACCGGCGCATCTCGCATCTTCATCTTTGATCACACTATTCGCCGCGCCCCTGAAGATTTCCCTACAGCCGATCAGCGCAGAGGTCCGGTGCAACGCGTACACATTGACCAGACTTACGAAGCGGCCAAGAGCCGTGTCAACTACCACCTCCCCGATGACGCCCCCGAGCTTCTGAAAGGAAGATACCAGCTCATTAACGTCTGGCGTCCTATCCGGACTATCCTCAAAGATCCGCTCGCTGTTGCGGATGCCCACACTGTTGATGACAGCTCTCTTGTGCCGGTGAAGTTAATCTATTCCGATCGAGAGGGTGAAACTTATACCGTGAAGCCGGATCCGAATATCAAGTGGTACTATCGCTATGGACAGACGCCTGATCTGGTTACTTTGATTAAATGTTTTGATTCTAAGACTGATGGAAGGGCGAGGCGCATTCCTCATACTGCGTTTGTGAATCCGGCGACGGAGAACGAGCCTGGTAGACAGAGTATTGAAGTGCGGGCTTTGGTTTTCCACCCTGATGATCGAGAGTAAGGTGGTCTCCCGAGTGTTATTCGTTAGATTGAAATATACGAGAATTATGAACTAAATTGAATGAAATTGTTTCGTGACTGAATTTGACAAGGGACATTACGGAATGATTTTTCTCATTCCTCGTTCATGAGCATTGATAATTTTAGATACATTTACTTTCCTGCAACTTCCTTGACGGCTGCGATGATCTCGTCGGGAGAAAGGCCTTGGAAATTAACTTGTTCGTACAGACCTCCACAACCCTCCTTGACGGCACCAATTGCCTTGAACTTGGGGGTCAGCTTGCGCTCTAGTAGGTGAGTACCGATGCGAGAACCTAGACCAGTCTTCTGAGCAATGGACTCTACAACGAGCACGAAGGGAGTAGAGCCATAGTCACGAATGGCTTCCTCGTCGACAACGTTCAGAGTAGGCTTGTTGATCAGACCGACATCAAGACCCTCCTTACGAAGATTCTCGACGGCGTCAAGAGACCGGTAGAGCATATCGCCGTACGAGACAATGTAGCCAGCAGTGCCCTTGCGGATGACCTCATCCTTACCAGGAACGAACTTGTAGCCTTCGCCAAAGAGCTTCTGATCAGTGCCCTCCTTCAGGATATAAGGTACCTTGGCGCGAGTAGAGAAGATGAAACGCAAGCCAGTATCCCAAAATACCTTGCTCACAACAGCCTTCATCTGCTCGCCATCGGCAGGGAAGTACAAAGACGTAGTATCAGCATCCATTAGACCGTTATCGGCGAAGAAGTGGTTTAGGCCGAAGTGGCATGTGTTATCAGCCATCTCATCAACACCACTGTGCGAGAAATGAGAGAGAACACAGCAATTGTTCAGACGCGCCATAGTGATTTCCGAGATGCACATTTCTAGGAATGCGGAGAAGGTGGAGAACACACCTTGGCGCTCACCATTGCTGCCAAACCCGAAGCCCGCCGCCGCGGAGAAGTTGCCACGCTCCATGACTCCCGACGGAACAAAGGACTCTGGGTGCTCAGCGCCAATGGCTTTAAGACCGGTAGATCCCGCAAGATCAGAGTCGATAACCATAACGCGGCGCGCAGCCTCCTTCTTACCCAGGCCGTCGAGAAGGGTGTTCACTGCCTCACCGAAGATGACACGGCATGCACCCTTGTCTTTGGTCGATCCAAGGTATGTGTGAGGGTTGGAGCGAGCTTTGATGTCATCGTAGAATGCAAGCTGCTCTTTGCTGTATCCACGCTTGGTAAGATACTTGCGAGCGATATCGACGCTAACGACGTCATGAGCATGAGTCTGGCCCTCGTTACCCTCAATACCTGGGGCCATCTTGCGGTCGACGATGACAGCTGCTGGGCCCTTGTGGTTGATAACCTCGCGAACGGCTCCATAGAGAGAATCTACATCCTCTCCCTGGGCGCGAACTACGTGGAGGCCGTGGCCTGCCAGGGTCTTTCCAATCTCATAACCTTTCAGGTATTCAGATGGATGACCGGCGATAGTAACATCGTTGTTGTCAATGAAGAGCTTGACGTTGAGATTACGAGCCACAGCAATACGCGCCGCCTCGGCATCATTTCCCTCCTGCTGGGATCCGTCCGAGCCAAGCAATATAACATTTTTATCCTGGTTGGCCATGGAAATACCATTGACCATTCCCCACATGTGACCCAGACGACCGGAGCTGAACTTGATTCCAGGAGTCAGACCAAGCTCAGGGTGGCCGGGTAACTTTGAGTTGGCATCACGGTAGTTCAGGAGGTGGTCGGGATCAATCTTGCCGTCTAGTGCAGCCAGCAAGTACTGGGTAGCGACACGGTGGCCGGCTTCATCAAATAAAGTGTTGACAAAGTCATTGGGGTTACCATTGATCAAAGCAAGCAGGATGCATACTTCTGGGGCAGTGTCGAAGGGACCGCCAGTGTGACCGGCGACACCACGAGCGGCACCAGTTGCAGTGAAGGCAATTATGGCATCGCGGAAGATGTCGATGTTGTATAAAAGATCTTTCTTCTGCTCAGCTGTAAGAGTGGGATTCTTTGAATCAAGCTTCAATTGTTTGAAGAGCTTGAGATCAACTGGAAATGTATGTGCAGGTGCCATATTGAAGGATGAGATCGATGAGTTTGAAAGAAGAAGACAAGAGGAAAATTGAATTGAAATAGCGAAGAGATATCTGACGTCAATTGATTGCAGGTTTGATTCTGGTTTGATGACGTCAGGATATGGTACATAACAGGTGGAAAAACCCCTCCTGTACGTACTACACTGTAGCAGATATAACAGCTGTGTTTAGTTTATTTCCTTACGAGAAAAAGATTCATATTAGAAATTTATTTTCAACTGGCTGGACAAAAGAGTGAGTGAAGGAAAATTCAGAACATTGCAAGTAAAAAGGTTAGGCAGTCAACTCAAGCTACCATCTCAAACCACGTTACTAATTTAAGTTGTATAACTGGAGTATGTCTTCTTTTCATACCTAGCTTCCATCTGCTAGTACCATAGTCCTCTCTATATGAGCTTGATAGCCCAGTATGATTCATTGAATTGTGTGCCGAGTATTTCCATCCAACATGTAGTAGCGGTGTACAGGTATTTTCTTTATCTAAATTTGGAGCTTTTAGCACAGTATTAATACATCCTTCATATAGACAGACTATATATATGATTATGTGCAGGTTTTCATCTGGCCTTAAAAGAACTATCAATATGGCATAAATATCATAGTGCCTTGAATTATAGGGATCAACAGTTCACTTTCGGCTTAGTTCAAGAGGTTTAATATTGCTATGAGATATAGCCGTAGCATATTTTCTAACTGATCATGCGTTGGCAATTGATTCTTATCAGTGCCTGCCGAGGCAGGTATGGCTATCTCCAGAGCTGGATTGAAACTTGATTGAACAAGAAGGATGATCGTCTTAGACATTCCCCGCATCATTATCAATTCTGTACAGTAAAAATGCATGATTTACTACGGAGTATGTGAATAACAAATGTCAATTTTCAATCAATTGACGTCACATTGAATGCTTTACCTATAGTTAATAATTCCATTTAGCCTAATAAAGTGTCCTGATGTATGGCCAAAGTATGTACCTTCTTCTTTCATAATAAGCTATTCATTGAGTTACATAGGGAAATACTTAAACACCATCAAAACACGAAAATTAAAACCAGCCCCATAACAGAAGCCTTAGAGGTTAAGCCTTATGAGTTGCTTGCCTACTGTCGGTACCCCAGTACTGAGTGTAGAATAGCTATCCGATAGGCTAGCGCCCCTATAATATCTATGTGTTCTCTTAAAGTGGTTGTAAAGTCTGTGTTTTCATTTATGGTGAGGACTAGCCATTCATCGTCCAAGTTGCTCTTCTGTCTGAGATGAATGTGTTCTATCGTCTAAGACAGAAGAGTCGTAAAGACGGGACATCACTGTTGTAAATGCATACTGTTCAAGGTTGTCGTTTGCGATGCACTTTGAACAGGGATTTCGTGATATAGTCTCAAACCGGGATGTCGTTTGTCCGATATTCCAACACCTACTAATAGAAATAAAGCATCTGAAACAAAGTTAAATAATAAATATAATAAATATTGCCGATATTATGAACTTGAAATCTGGAACTATTTCAGATTAGACTGTTTTCCAATATAATGGCATAAATGGAAAGTCCATCATACAAGCCCTGCCGGGCTAGCTCAATCGGTAGAGCGTGTGACTCTTAATCACAAGGTTGGGGGTTCGACCCCCCCGTTCGGCTATTCCTACTACGAACCTTCGAGCCTTCTTTTTCTTTTTGCTTTTTCTACGTCTAAATGTTTTATAAAATTTTCAATTTTTAATTTTTCCTTCATTCCACATACTAACTAACCCCCTGCATACTAAAACCTTGGGAGGCGGCTCAGACAAGTCGCGAGGCCTTTGTTTTTTTCCGAATTAATTCAGCTCTGCACCTATGTGAATTGAACCTTGGAAATGTATCGGTTCCTCAACGGCGAATTGCTCAAGTAAGGGAACGCGGTGGTTCCAGTCTGCCTCTTACGTTGTCTGCATCATTATTTATTGGTTAATTTCCAAGACATTTCAATTGAGAATTGATCACGATCGAGCCATATATTTATGAACATCCAGATCTGGCATATCAGGAGGCTGGTAGAGACTGGTAGAGGCTGGTAGAAGGTGGTAAAAGACTGGTAGAAGAGAGCAAAAGATGAATAAAAATTCCAAATTTTAATGATGATGTGATACATCAGAATTGAAGAAAAGAAAAATGCAAAATTATATACATGGAAAAAATGGTAATAAATCCAACTCCGGAAATCGCTTTCGTTTCACCTCGACAGCTTCAAATGCAAAGACCACCGAAGAACATGTATGTATGGACATAGAAAAAAAGAAGGACCGGAAATCCCTATGAAAGAAGCGGAAAGCTCAAATTTAAACAGTAGACATAGGCAAAGTGGTCAGAGGAAGAGCTTCAGGAGACTTTTCGTCCTCCTCAAACACCAACTTCTCCAATTTATGCGTCATTCGAGCACAGAATGGGTCGACGTACGTTGTCCACGCCACAGCGCAGGCGTACACGATTGCGATCCAGGTTGGGATGGAAATTCCAACGACCCATGGTGCGCGGATGGGCAGCCAGTGTGGGTGGAGTGGTTCGCCGTTATCGTCTAGCAGTGGCGCGCCGTTGCCATCGACAGGCTCGCCATCCCATGGTTGACCGGTGATACCGTAGAGCATCCAGCACAAGACTGTACGGAGGAGAGTGCCGTGCACGAGATAGACGGCGAAACTCTGCTTGCCTAGCCAGAGGAGGAGGCGGTTTGAGAGGAAGTCCTTCGTTGAGGGAGAGATGAAGATAGCGAAAATGATTAGGTCGACTCCGATGGCCGAGTAGCGCTTGCCGATGTTTACTTCTGGGGGGAAGATGTAGTGGGCTGCTTTGAACATGTAGTCTGACCAGACGGCCCACTCGGGGTGTTCGCCTGGGTATGAGCAGATGAAGAGGCCGACGATGACAAATGTTGCCGAGATGGTTCTGCGGAACCATTTGTGGTTCTCGATGAACTCTTTGAACGCTACCTCGTAGGAAAGATCGCTGAGGAACATGCCGTAGATAGCTTGCATTTGCATTGTTTCTATTTTAGGTTAGCTTATTTATTGTTATCAGATTGTCAGTGCGGGAAATGTAAATTACCTGTGTTAGGGGCCGTGTCCTGGTGGAAGTACAGGGTCATTCCCAGGTAGATGGCCAAGCGCCAACGAAACTTGACGAACATAGTTGCGCAGAGCAGGATGTAAATCAGCATTGATGACTGCAGGAGTGGTAGCAGAGCCCATTGGTGATCGTCGTATGCCATATAGCCTGTAGTCCAAACACCAAGGAAATTCTGGAACAAGCGACAGAACTCCTCCCAGAAAGTGGGTGCAAGATCGGGCGCAGCATATCGGCACCACCAGCAGTCAGAGCGGTTAGCTACGACGAAAGCGCCAAACTGGGCCATAGCCCATGAGATGATCAGGGCAATGGTGGCTGGGAAGATAAGACGCGGTGGGCGACGGAATGCACTTTTTGCGACGGAGGTGAAAGAGCCTAGAAGATCTCCATTTCGGCGCTGTTTGATGGGCTTTAGGGCACAAACGTAACCTGTCAGGAAAGCGAAGATTGTGACTCCGAGACGGCCTTGCCAGGGGATTCGGAAGACAGGCCACTGGAGAATGCGGGGAGGGGTATCGACATCGTCGCGAGGGGAGAACAAATCGTAATCCCAGGCTCGCGCAAGATGTGTTAGAACGACGAGGAATGAAGCAATTCCTCTCAGGCCCTATATAAGTAAAACGCATTAGATATGTCCATTTTGTCGTTTGTTGATATTGAACCCACATCAATCCATTTGACACTTTTCCTCGGATCACCCTTGACACTCGGATCGCCAGACTTCCAAGGCACATTTTCCAGTATACGGGTATAAAGATGGGTTGGTTGGAGGTACTCCATGTCGAAAGGGGTTATAAACGAAGGTATAGCGAAGATCGAATCAATAACCGAATCAAAAATCAAATCAAAAAGGGTTCATTCGGGTAGTATAGCTCTTGCAAGGTTGCCCTGAAGAGAATCCACAAAGGGGTGTTCGATGGTCGATAATGACAGTTGAAATACAGATCAAATGAGTGAGATTTGAAAGAGCGCGATCCTTCGAAGGATTAGTGTGAGAGTAAGAACGTACTCCAGGTGCAAGGTCTAAAACTGGAGAAGAAGGGATGGAAAGTGGGGGCTATGAGTACTATGTAGTAGTGGCTGCGGCTCATAGGGTTAAAGATGAGTTTCTACGGAGTTAAAAGGGAGAAGTGGAGTATCTCATACGTATGCCAACGTATGCACGAAGTCCGGACGGAGCGGCTTGTTTCACAACTTAAGCAGGAAAATGCCGAAGAAGATCATTTCATCCCGAGTATGATTGCTTAGTGCTCCGTGTCCGGATGAACTAGATGAAACAGATACAGAATCAAGTGGGAGGATCATTTCACTGTGCTATTTTCTTTCTCCTGGGCTGAATAACCGGAAGGGATCCGAGGTTCTAGACTGAGGGCAACTGTCAAAATGAACCGAACCATGAGGAGTCGCGGCAGGTCGCGTGGGTTTATTGGATGTGGCGCCGAGGTAGGAAATTTCCACTCGTATCTATATACTCTTACGGATCCTATGCGGAGATAAGTCCAGTGGAAAACCAAAAAGAGATTACGACGCCTTGTTAGTGAGATTCCGCTCGGCCAATCAAAATGTTGATAGTCGCTAGACTAGTCTACTTTGTACAGGACATATCTTGGCGGTTGATCCTCCTAAACAAATCACACTGCACGTCGTATAGCGCATCACACAAAAGAAGAGGCCAAAGTACATGGATTCTGGGAGAACCCGAGTTCTTCTTGACTAATTCCAAGGTTGACTTCTTGAGTTATTGAGTTATAGAGTTAGACTTATTGACTTATCGACTTGTTGACTTCTTGGCTCGGGGGTTCGATCTATGATCAATGGGGTTATCTTGCACAATCTACTACGTAAGTACTTTGTATTATCCAGGTTCAGCCTTGCAGAACGTGATGTGTTTAGTCGATCCCTTTCAAGTTTAGCTGAAACTTGCCCTGCATTCCAGATTGAATTGGATAGAAAGTATGGAGTACGCACTAGCTTGCCCCCCCTCTTGCCAAGAGAGCCCCATATAACTAACTTGAATCCAAATTGTAGTTAGCGCAGTGTCATTCAAAACATAGTCCACCATGTCCACTGCCAAGAGTATCCATTTCTTGGCAGAGAAAACAGGGTAAAACAAATTCAGGGGTAATGTTGACTATAATAGGTAAATTTGGGTTAAATATTCCAAGCATCGGAGTTACCTACTCTATCCAAATAATTCATAGGCCTTTCCATGGTCATTCTCCTACGTAACTCATTTCGGACCCAAAATATAACAAAAATATCCTCTACACGTATGTCCCGTGCACATCGGGTCCAAAACACTTATAGATCTGGATTTGGCCCTGGGGCCTAAACAGAGATGGATCTACAGAGTAGAAGTGGAATATGTTTAAGTCGAAGGAATAATAGGTACAAAGTAGTACACAAGCATAAATCCTGGATGGATGTAGTTTTACTTGGGTCGGTACCAAACACCTTGTAAAAGAATCCAGCTTAAAATGGATAGAAGTATTTTCGAAGGTTGGAAGGTTACCTTTCGTAGTGAGTCTTGGCACTACCCACAAGTCTATGATTCGCACTCTCGGCAATTTTGAGTCTCAGTCAGAAATTAGAGTAAAAAATTCCCAGAGATTCGGGCCAAAGTTTCTCGTGGGGGTACTTTGTAACGTTTCAATAAAAAAGGGGAAAAAAGGAAAACAAGAAAAAGGAAAAAGGAAAAAGAAAAAAGGAAAACCGGCAATTAATGGGCAGATCCCGCCTCAAGAGCACGCCATCATTAGCCTTCTGAACACACCGGCAATTTGTACTTTTTCAGAACAGCCATACTCACCCCATACAGGGAGACCCGAAGCAAGGTGGAAGTACTCTATTACTCCCAGTACCCATTTCAAGCATTTTGGTGTCCCCGTTATCTGCCCACATTGATTCCGACCATGCGAATCACCCATATTGCCCTAAGCTTAAGCTGTCTTTTATGGTCTGCTGCAGCCACTATTTTACAGAATGGTCAGGTGAGGGAAGATCCTTACCCCGGACAAGTATCCCAGGTTTCAATCGACGATTCTTGGAATACCTACGGGCCCGACGCTCCCGAGATTTCCTATAAGGGACGATGGGATAGCAGTCATATCTCTTGTACGTCTATTAACCCATTAACCCATTAACCCCTATAATCTGATTAACGTAAAGCTTTTCTTCTGACAAATTACATTCCTAGGGTGGTCGTGAGTCTTTTTAGCCCCCCCATTTTTTTTCTTTTCTTTTTTTTGTTGATACAGAGTTCTATACTATAGAGCACCAGGCATCAAGCTACAATTCTCTGGCGATAAGGTAAGACTCTACTTATTTATTTGAATCTACTATTTCTCACATTATCCTAGCTCGCAATAAGCTTCGGCTCAAGTACTACTGATGGTGTCTTAGTAGCCTACCGGTGGGTACTCTCTTATGGATCCGATTTCATCATTCCATCTTTATTTTAACCAACTCTCTTCCAGAATTGGCTCCCTGGACTGGCAGTTTTCAAATGTGACCGCTGATTCAACCTATCAATTTATTGGACCGACATCATTAGAGGAGGACCAAAAGGACGAAAATAAGACTTTTGAACTGAGAGGTACAGTAACTGACACTTCGAAGTATTGAATAATTAATTAACTCCACATTTAGTCACAAACTGGGGTTATGGATAAGTCCCACTCTCTTCATATACACTTCTTTTTTCTTACATACCCAAACAGTTCAAATCGCAGGCGTATCAACTGCCAGTGACGCCCAACTCACCAAACCTGCCACCTTCGCAAGAAAGGTCGAAGTAATCGGCGGATCGTATGTAAACACATTCTGTGGTTGATTGAAGCTGCACTGACACATCTTCAGTATCGTTTCTGGCCAATATGCAACCTATGAAACCCTTTCAGCATGGGGATATCTTTTTGCGGCTGGGCTTGGCAATGTTGAGCATACTATCACCGCGTACCCAGGTGCTTGTCTTGCAGATCTGAAGTGTTATGGTGGCGGGGTCCATGGCATGGTTAGTTGCATCCATGGTCATATCTATTGGATGATCTCCATTACTAACATGTTTGATAGGGCTGGTATTGGCACCATGCTTCTGATCCTGGTAGTCGCGCTTCTAGAACCTATGGAGACGACCCCGAGATCTGGGATGTCAAGACTAAGCAACCGGCTGATCTGGTTGTAATCCAGATGGGTGGAAACGATTTCCGCCACCCTAACGATGTTTCCGGGAGAGACTTCTACCACGCCTATGTTGAGTTCATTGAAGATCTTCACAGCACTTGGCCAAATGCAGTGGTGCTACTAGTGGTACGTTACTATACTTTCTTCATAGACTGAGCCGTGAGACTTACTTATTGCAGTCTCAATGGGGCACATGGGAGAAAAAAGGATACTCCTACATCCCGTCTACTGTATACGAAGAAGAAACAAGACAAGTCCACGAGCACTTCAGGGACCGGGGATTCGTCTACTATTTTGACACTTCCGGCATCTTGCAGCACAATGATATCGGTCCGAAGAACCACCCGACTGATATTGGACATATCAAGATTGCTAGCCACTTATTACAGTGGGTTCGGGTTGTATTGCGATGGAATATTGAGCCGATGGGTGAGGTCCAGCATGGAACTGAATATTGGAATAACCAGCAGGAGTATTAAGCTGGTTCCAAGTTTGTTGTTCTTTCGGGGTGTCTGCTTCTATTGTGATTTTCTGGTGGCACCCTTGTAACATAGGCCCTTGTAATATATATATAGGCTTAGACATACAATCATATCTGTGCACATTTAAATACGGGGGTTTTCAAGACTGAGAACTTGCGAGCAAGAGTCAAGGTGAACGATTTCTAGGTAACCAAGTCAAGAAGATAGCTAGGATTTTTGAAAGATACAAGATGTATCATCTAGCCAGCCACATACCTATATTGTTATCAAACCGACCTTGAAACTTCCGAGGTCCTCAAAGATGGTATCATACTGTAGGAAACTAAACATCAGAAATTCTGCAATTAATGCATCGCAGTTTCCCCAAGAAAAGGAATTGTGAAGATTATAGAACAAGGGTCTAGGGGTCCGTGTTAAGTGGGGAATGAAGTACCATTCCGAAAGGGATGTAATATATGTGGGGATTCCGGAGTTAAATTTAAGCCTTATTGCGCCTAATTAGCCCTAACTCAGACTTCAGGATTTGAGTAACGATGGACATTTCAGATACTCTTCCATATATACTGACCCTGAAAGTATTCAGTAAAAATTGCAATACAGCCTTGGAAGCTACCAGGATAGATGTTGGGACACCTGATAAAAAGGGGTCTTCTGTACAATAAGCAATTTTCCAGAGTAAGCATATTGTATGTTCCCTCAGATATTTGGACAAAATCATGGAATTCGGATATATACGTACCTCAAATGTCCATTTTGAGAGGGAATATCCTCAAAAATTTACTTTCCCTAGTCTATCATGTCAAATGTCGACTGATAGCGTGAGTTCGCCCGTCAAAAGTGGGAAAATGGTATCGAGAATGAGACTTTGAAGAGCATGAATTTAGTTTTCCCGAGGAAAATCATGGATGAGAGCTCGAAGACACGGCCATAGCTGAGTTGCTGCAGGTTATCACGAAAAAGAAAAGCAATGAGACTGACCGAGAACCACTCATCATAACTAGCCTGATCTGCTGCCAGAGACTACAATCCGATAGAACTTTTTCGGATCAATACCAGTGGTGTCGAAACAATGGACTGCAGCACACACTCGAGTCAAAAGCACGATAAATGTCAATGAAGACTTGAGGTTCTCGGTGAGAAAATTAAGAGTTGCCGACTGTAAAATCAACAGGAAGGATTATTTGCATACTGGTAGCTGGTCGGCATTCTGTTGTCACTGCTACAGTAAATGAGGGAAGCCTTGTGCGGCGAGTCAGTCCTGAGTTATGAAGAATTTCCGGACATTCTTGTGGTAGATAATTGAAGGTCTGCTATGATATGAATATATAGAGGAGAGGGTATCTTTCCCAGATATTGCTGTCTTGTGGTCGGAATCTGGAGGAACTGTTACCTAGATCGTGAAGTCAAGATGATGGCTTCAGGCTCTACACATGTGGCGAGCACCTATATTTGCAATAAGTTGTGGAGGTAACATCATTTCGTTGGAAGTTATCAATGATACATGAATAACTAGCACTGATAGAACCAGGTGCAACTTCCTTGCGACTTTATTGAATTACACGAATCCAAAACGTGCAGTGAAAACAAAAAAGAGAAGGGGAAATTGGGGGTGCGATTCTCATTGGCTCTCCAAGTTCTATTAAATAGACTGAAGGTTCGTGACCGGCGCCACGGACAGGCTGAGAATTCGACTTTGCCAGTCGTCTACAGAAAAAGATGTCAGCATAATAAAAGGGAGGGATACTTACCGAGACACAGCTTCCAGCCCATTTCCACGGAGTTCTGCAAAAAAAGTCAGCATCAAAAGGGCAAGGGATACTTACCCAGACAAAGCTCCCAGTTCACAGCTCACAGTGGAGTCGATAATCGCCCATCCGTCGGCCATCCCCCGTCTCAACAACTCACAGCTCGCAACTCACAGCTTCCCATACTCGTGCCTCTCCTTAAAATACGGGGTAGGTGACGCAGCAGACCGCTACACGTTCGTTCTCAAAGGCCGGAATCGTCGACGTTCATATCCGTATTATGAAGAGGCGGACCCATGACCTATTTTGCGTGGAGAACGTGTGTGAAGACGGTTAGCACTTACCAGATCCCATTCTTCCACCATCCAATAGCGCTCCACAACAAGCTGATGCCTGCACTAACCAGCAAAGCCGTGTTAGAGGGCAGCTCAAGATTGGACTCGCGAACTTTCTTGGCATTGGCAGGGCGATCCTTGACGGGAATCTCGACACAAGGCACGACGCGGTTGCGAAGCACCTTGAAGACGGAATGGCGTGGCGATTTGGGCGGGAAATCTGGGATCACGAATCTTTCCGTGAAGAGGCCTGTCAGCATGTAACATGATCGGTCCTCGTTCTTGATATCCCAGTCGAAGACGGTGTCATCGGTGAAAGAGACCTTGCGACCCTTTGCACGACCATCACCGGCAGACTTAAGGATACCTCGAATGGGAGTGGCTGTCACTTTAACGCGGGTGGGGAGGACAGCAGAAACAGAAGAAGTGGAGGAAACAGCAACAGGAGAGGAACACAGGACCGGAGAAACAGGCTGGCAGACAGAGACAGAAGGGCCCTGCGTGCGGAAGCCGGGAGAGATGATATGCTTAGGACAGGGCACAGAAGGAGTAAAAGAGGATCTAGTGTATGCAGACTCAATACGTTCACTGCGGAAATAAGACCGCTCACGTGCTTGCCTGCGAACAAGGAAGGCGGGGCGGACAAAAGAGGAGGTAGAGACAAGATGGGGTTCAATAGAACGAGCTTGAATAGACGAAACCGCCTGAGAACGAAAAAGAGAAGAAGAAGCAGTTGGATTGGGAGAGCGAGAGACCGGAGCCGCGAGAATAGTCTGGGCAGTGCGAAACTGCGCCATTCTGGCCTCACGACCCGGGTTGGGGATCTTGCGGAGAGTGCGCTGCATCACAACGACTATCTGAAAGAGGGAAATGAAATGGTAAAGAAGATAGTATCAAGCAAGAAAAGTGGTCTCAGAAGAGGAAGTACAGAACAAATAACTCGTGAGAGGAATGTGGCCAGTGACAGATATCCAAAATCTTGGGTATGAGGAGGGGAAGAGGAAAGAGAGGAGAAGAGGAAAGAGAGGAGAAGAGGGAAAGAGGTAAACATAGGGTGCGTGCACAGTGAACCTACGGTAGTGTTTCCATAACTACGAGCGTATACTCGTCACTATTACCCTTGGTATTATCAACTGTATTAACTGTGTGTGGTTGTTTACTGTCTATTGTTGTTGCTTACCGGCTGTTGTTGACTGTTCGGTCCCAGTCAGCCCATTCTACTCCACTTGAGCTTAGATGGACACTTGAACTGGTGATATATAGCCTAGGATGACCTTGATTGATTCATCGTAACATTATATCAGAGTAGTCGTAAAGCTTCTCTTTGCTTCCATTCTGCTTTGTTCAAATAAAAGTTCTCGTCATGCTTTCTTTCCATACTTACGTATCAGACAGCTGGTTAGCTTGTCCCAAGCTAGCTTTGTACCCGTATCTATCTCTTTCAGTCATGATGCAAACGAGTAAGTTGCTTGTCCACAGCAAGATCTTGAAATTGGATTTAGTAAAGGCTACAGTACGTCTAGGATATCCAACCACTCCAATTTAAGAAGCATCCCGAGGTTTCTAGATCTATGGTTTGTCTAAACCACTCCTCAACACTATTTTCAATAGCGGACAACTATGTTTTGCAACTCCAGAAACAATTCGTACCTTCCCAAATTTTCACTCAAATGGTCAGAAATAGTTAACCGACCCTGGAAAGTGCTAAATCACAACGCACTGGGCTTGCAGCATCCAATATTACTCAAGACATATGTTGACATTCACTAATACTTACTTACGCTTTATAATTTGTAAGTTTATAATTCTTTTTGTCGTTAGCGCTGGTGGAGAACATCATACTTTTTATTTCCTGATTTGGACTAGTTAAGCACGCCACGTTTTGGTTACATAATATTTGATATCTTATCTGATCTCTGTCTCCTCACCTGAACCAGCCCCTCCTTTCGGTTCGTCTTTTACTGCTCTTATCACTCTTGAGCTTGTTAATACCTCAGATTTCAACCTTGGAACCTGATCTCATGATGGTTGATAATGGCCTTCCCAAGGACCAGGATGTCCTTGACCCTGAGACGCAACCTCTACTACAAGGGCGGGAGCAAGGGCATGGTGACTCCAATCCAAAATTCCAACGCCTTGGCTGGAAACGTCTTACTATCATATCTATTGTCGAGGCTATTGCCCTAGGAAGTCTTGGCTTGCCATCCGCATTTGCTGCCTTGGGAATGGTCGCAGGTGTACTTCTGACCGTGTGGATCGGCGTGGCTGCGATGTATGCAGGCTATATCGTCGGGCAAGTTAAATTAAGATATCCACAAATCGGTCATTACGCAGACATAGGTCAGCTTATGTTCGGAGAATTTGGATCCATGGTGTTTATTCTCGTTTTTGTTGCCCTGCTGGTGTTCGTTGTTGGTTCACACTGCTTGACTGGCGCAATTGCATTTCGGAACATTTTTCAGAGTGATCAATGTTCGATAGTTCTGAGCATCATATCTGCTGCCATTTTGATGATACTTGCGATCCCTCCGGCATTTGCGGAGATTGCGATTTTGGGTTATATCGATTTTGCCTCGATCATCTTGGCCATCGGGGTCACTATGGTTGCAACGGGGATCCAAAGTGCCAGTGATGTCGATGCCCTTTCTGCAGTTCATACACCATGGTCATTATGGCCGAAGCCTGATATTAGCTTCTCGGCAGTCGTCGTCGCTGCCAACACCATTGTATTTGCCTATTCCTTCGCTGGCTGTCTGCCAACATTCATGGAAGATATGCACACACCAGAGGACTATGTCAAAACTCTATGGTGGCTGGGAGGTACCCAGATTGTTATATATACCCTGACAGGGTCTATCATATATGCATTTGTGGGACAGGAAGTGCAGTCACCTGCTTTACTATCTGCAGGACCAGTCATCTCTCGTGTAGTTTTCGGCATCGCACTACCAGTGATTTTCATTTCCGGGTCAATCAATACTACGGTTGTCTCTCGATACATCCATTCCAAATTATACGAAGGCTCCGCCATTCGCTTTATAAACACCCCTAAAGGCTGGAGCACATGGCTTGGCCTGGTGTTTTGCATTACTGTCAGCGCTTGGGTGGTTTCCGAGGCCATTCCGTTTTTCTCAGAGCTTCTGTCTATTATCTCATCCCTATTTGTTTCTGGCCTGTCATTTTACCTTCCACCAGTCATGTGGTATATGCTTATAAGAGATGGAGCATGGTATGATAAACAAAACTTGAAAGCTGCCGTCTTTAATGGGCTTGTTTTCATTCTTGGAATCATAATTTTGGTTTGCGGCAGCTACTCCAGCATCGCCCAATTGGTGAGTTCTTTCTTCTTGATTTCCACAACGATAATCTGCTTACTTTAAAATTCTCAGGTGCATAAATTCCAGTCAGGATCGATAGGCAAGCCTTTTACATGCTCTTAGCTGACTTGTGCCGGAAAGTCTATAAAACCCCCATATTGCGGGGTGTTATTTTGTTTTCTCATATTTTTGGCATTTGCGATAAATTTCCTAAATTAAACCGTTTTTCTTGTTAGCTTTTGTTAGATTTCCTTACATGATCTGTGTTTCTTGTTCCAGCTGTTCCTACTTTGCCACATATTGCTTAAGTGCTTTTTGAACTCTAGATCTTCGACGAACTCTGTGGAGCCAATTTTCGTATCACTCCTTACCTACTATGAGAGGTACCTACCTAGATAGCGCTAGGGTATTTTTCACCTTAGAATAGACGATTCAATTGAGAGACTTTGTATAAAAATTTTCAAACTTAATTGATCAATTTATGCAGCATCTTCAATACCTAGATATCGTAGTATAAATCAGAGACATCGATAGCTAGGTCAATGTGAATGTCTAGCTAATACAATGAATGCCATATTAGATAGTGTGGGAGCTAGCCTTGGAAACTTAATAGGTAACTGCACTCAATCGAATTTGCGCAAGAATTAACTAATAGTTCAGTTGTGTCAGTTACCCTTCTGCCTGAGGCAGAAATGCGGCTCTGCTTTGAAACCGTGTTTGAAACGCCCCGAAACTCTTCTGCCTCGTGGAATTGTTTGCCTCCGTAGATTACTCATTTCCTCTCATCGTTCATCTGATCTTTGTAATTTTCTGGTTTTTGCCTCAAGTCTCGAGAAATGGGCCGTCGACAGGATTCTGCGGGGTCATCGTTAGTCTCGCTCCACACAATCGACAACGAGGACTTACCCCCTCCTTACGAGGAAGCTGACAACATTCCAACGTCCTCGTCTGTCACCCCTTCTTCGCATCAATCCCTCCAAATAATCGACTCCGCATATGCTCTTCCTGGTCCATCCCTCTTTAGCCCACAAGATAAGCGTGCTATCTCGTTGGCGACGACCCTGTCCCGTAACAGCGATGAGCTCTTCCGGGTCATCTGTCGCCAGATAAAGCTCCCTCCACGACCCCTACTTTGGATTCGTGGCTCGCATACAGAATCAGCCAGTAGTAACGACAAGAATAAGAAGAACACTGTTGACGACTTCCGCTTCACATTGGATCTAGCAGAAACTCTCTTGCGCGGATGGGAAGGCACTCAATCATCTGTACAGTGGAGGAACATAAATGTGACTTCTGATGCAGATCATACGCCTCAATTTCGAGGTGATAGGGTCCGTTCAAGTGTATACAAAGCCCCTACGTCGCGTCAGGCAATAAGCCTCTTGCCTGATGACAGTGATGCGGCGCTTCTGGGGTCCGACCCCGATTTTGGAATTCCCGATGATTCAGAGGATATTTCCGGCCCTTCGGGTAATCAGTATCTGGCTGATTTGAAGTTGTGGTGTGAGCGGTTCTGCAACGACCCCTCACCCGTGAAATCGTACTATTACTTTCATCTCTTTCTTTAGTCTCCAAAATTTGCTAACCTGACATGATTGCAGATTTACTATCCACCGTTACGCTGACGGCACTGACTTCCAAGCTATGGAGCGTATCTTTGAGTCACATATTCGCCGCCTCAATTACCGGGGCTGTATCCAATTCGGGATCACTAAGGCCCAGTCCTCCGTCATCATCTATTCTCCGCATTGGATAAATAGAGTGCGCACCAATAATTTTGTTTGGTGGGTTTGTGTTATCCTCCAGCTCTGGATCATTACTTGGCCCATAATCTGGCTGCTTGAAAGGCGATATGAGGTGGTGGACACGCGGTGGTACTCTTCAGTTGAATCAGACCCCACAACTGGTTTGACTAGATGCTACGCTCGTGGCCGTAGTGAGACCGCACTGGCGGAGTATTGGGCACCAGCTGTGAGGCAAGCAGCATGGAGCAGGCGACAGGGGAATACCGTTCTGACAAAGTTGGATGTCGAACGCCTGATCGGTCTAAGTGAGGAAGATGTTCTTGGTATACGAAATAATATTTCAGATGCGGAACGAATCCGACTCGAGCGCGTCAGGAGGGGTGAAGCTGGCTTTGTTGATAACGTATTGGGAATTGTTCGAGGAATCAACGAAGTGAGACAAGCAACAGAAGCGAGTCGTGGATGGGGCGGTAATACTTGACATATCCTTCCAAGGGTTTCACCACGTTCACAGACCGTTCGCTACTATGAAAGATGCCTAATCAGTGTTATTATTCTCCAGTTCCTTTCCAGCTCTATGTTCTCAACTCGATAATCCTATTCCTTACAAGAGCAGTATAAAAATATAAAATAGAGTGATACTTAGGTGACAAAAGGGATAACTATAATATTCAACTTATATCAATAGCTGTTGTAACCTTGAAAGTTAAGTCAATCCAGTGAAATTTCGCCAAGTTTTCAATCGAAATCAATGGATGGTAGTACAAAGTAGGTTCCTTCAGATTGAATTTTGGAAAATCCCTGTTACTCATTTTTGGAAGGTGGCTTATTTGCCTTGAGCTCGCCAACGATGAGCGAAGGGTTTGGCTCATGGGAGGCACTTAGCGTATTTTTTCTTTCTTTCGAAGAATGGCCGCAAAGAGCTCAGTGAGGCCATTCCAATATCAAAATCGGCAGTTCAAGAGGACAGGGGTTGAGGAAGATCATACTTTCTTGGCCCATGGCTCGCTGAAGGAACCTCGTGGCACTATGCTTTTCAGAAGTATTTCTCCGGCATTCGCAAGTAGATTTCTGAAGGAGTAGATCAGCGTATACCCAACCTTTTTTCGGAAAGCTAGGAGATTTGAACCAATAGGGTCTTCGCCGAGACATGCCTATGTTCCGTCCGCAACAGCATTCCATCCTTTCCCCAGCCACACGTTGAAATCCATCTGGGCTCAGCAGCAGAAACATCCTTCGCTTGTTCTCATATGATTATGACTGGGACTAATCACGGATTCGCTGGATCTAGAGGTATGTTGTCTTTGATAGTGTTTTTGTATGAACCCATACATCATTTGAAGGGGTGTCTTTGCGACTTCGTATTTTGTAGTTCAATTGTGATGTGTAGGTAGCTAGATATCGTATCTTGATGGGTCTTCCAACCTTGGAAGGCTGTACTTGATATCTAATGAGGGTTTACTATCTAGTTCTAGTTACATATCTACATACCCTGCTCTCATGGCGTCTATATTGCCAAAAATCAATGAATATTGTTAACACTTCTTGACAGCTATGATACGCTCATCCGTTACGAAATTTTAGTCCACGGATTTCGCTATTTAATTCCCTCCCTAGTAGGTATAAGGTAGGTAGTAGGTACGAGGCCCATCTGTAGCTAGGATCCTAGCTAGCTCCAGAGGTCCTGTATCCCTTTCTTCTTTCTCCATTCCATGATGGTCTATTCTAGATACAGAATTCGTCTAGGTCCAACTCGGTCCAACGACGATCCCTTCAAGGATTCGACGAAGGCGGAAAGTCATGAACTTCAAATAATCCATGTCAGTAGAATGTATTGCTGCGAACAGTATTTCTCAAAACCTATATGACTAGCTTGTAATCCGCAGTAATTTAGCGATCATACTCCCATCTCCACACTATTGAATCAATTACTATCAATTCCAAAGTTGATACCTATCAAACGCTCCAATCTCATTGCCAATTGATCTGCAATACATACCTCCACAATGCAGTTCTCAAACCTTGCTACGATTACTTGCGTCCTCCTCTCCTCTTCAGGCTCCGCCGCTCCCCAGGCCCCATGGGCAACTACTGCCACTGTTCAACTCTCCAATGACAAAACTGGCGCAAGTGTCGATGTCGTCGTCCCTGTTGATGGACAGAAATACGCCGTCCAGGAACTTTGGGGTAACACCGCTGTCGCCTCTGAAGGAATTGTTTCCGCCTCAAGCACCCAGCTTGTTACATTCGAGCAAACCACTGTCTGCACTTTGACCGAAGAGCCGCTTTTGCAAGTAACATTGGACGCTAAGACTACCTGGGCTTCGTTGGGCCCTGTGGTGGATTTGTGTGCCGCCTATGTGTCATGTCAATGTGACCTAGAGTGGTAAGGATTCGGTTGTGTGAAGAGTACCTAGGTATGGATTATGATGGTAGTTTGGGGCTTGTATATCTACATCATTTCAAACGGTTGGAAGTCGGATGGGAATCCCGTCATTTGTATTTTTTAGCTACAATAATGCACTAATTTCAAATTGAAAAGTAGCTTTTCTTCCAACGAGGTACCTAGGTTTATAATTTATAAGGATGCAAAATGCTTCACAAAGCATGATCTACTGATGGTAACTTTTCTTATGCGCGTCTTAACGTCAAAACCTGTAATTGTTTTCTTTTTTTTTTTTTTTCCAAGAATCAACTGTCTTCAATAGTGATCTTGCCATCATCCTCCCCCTCGGACTCAACCGCAGCAAGGGCATCTTTCTGGGACTTTCCGGGTTTTCCACCAGATGATGACTTGGACGTGATAGGATCGGCAGAGGGCGCAGTGACTAGCTGGGCAGCTTTGATCCCACCAGATGTGACATAAAGGAAATATCCCAGCTGGAAATGGTCGATGTGATTGAAGAAGGACCCGAACCTATAAGTGATATTGTTAATACGCAGCTAGTCCCAATATTGGGAGTAATCCAGGCACTTACGCTGAGCTTTGTTCCTCCTCGCGGAAGATCCGATCGTATATCTCTCGCTGTTTAAATTCTTCCATCTCCTTGGTAAACTTGTCAAAGGCGACGGGCTCGCGACTCAGGCTACTGGCTTTAGAGTTGTAACTGTCAAAGATTGGCCTCTCAAGCAATAGTCCCAGACCAGGAGCTTTAGGGATTGCAATGCGCTCGGGTCCATATGATTCTGTGATTCGGTCTGGGGAGCAGCCAGAACGGACGAGCAGAGTGGCCATGGCGACCATCTTACGAATCTGGTGCATCATGAAACTTTGGCCGTGAACCTTCATGCTTAGCCATTCAGTGCCGTTGATCACAATAGGAGTCGTGTTCACATTGAATGACTTAATGTGACGTTTAGCAGATGCGTCCTTGAAGGTTTTTTGAATAGTGTAATTGTGGAAGTTGACAGTTCCAACATATTTGTTCAGACACTCTTGAATACGAGCAATGCGTTTTTCAGGCACACGGTAAGCTCGTCTGGCAGTAATATACGCTGCCTTGACAGCCTTGATGGTGTCCAGAATAAGGCGTTGGCGAGGGTCCATCTCAAAGGGCTTAGGCTCAGTTTCTGCACCCTCTCCTTCAGCCGGTTCCACGGCAAGAGGTTCTGGTTCAGCGGCCGCAGGGGCCGCCTCATCCTCGTTGTCTGGTGACTCCTGCTCGTCAAGATAAAGAGACTTCTCAACGATTTTGCGGATGTCCTCTGGCACACCCTCCAAAATGGGCTTGATGTATTTTTCGTCCACTTCTTCCCAGTAACCTGCAACTTCCTCTTGTCTGGCATTGACAGCATCGAGATCACCTGCCTTCTCGGCGAGCTCGATTGTCTTCCTGGCCAAAAATGTGCTGGGGTGTGGCGGTAGAAGACAGTGACTGGGCATCAAGTATTCATACACCCGAGAGTCACACAGCTGATAGCAGCTAAAGCTACCAGTGGTAACTTCATATCCCCAGACACGAATCTGCGGGCTGAGCTTCTCGTTGATCTTTTGGATAATATCGGGATCCTCCACGATCATCTTCAGAGATACAACATTTCCTGCGGCGTGAACACCCTTATCCGTACGAGCACAGCGGATGAAAGAGGACTTTTTTGGGTCCTGCGCGTTGGCCTTGGAGATTGCGCCGGCTGCGACCATAGCTGTAAATAGTTCACCTTCGATGGTTTTTTGTTTCTCGTTGCTGTATAGAGGTAGGTTAGTACTAGTTTGCACCGAAATTCAGAATGATGCTTGATCCAAACGAACAATTGCATGCCGGAGTAACCAGTTCCAGAGTATCCCATCATGATCGCGACCTTCTTTTTCGGGCGGCGCTCTTCATTGGCAATCTCCTCTTTGGTGAATTCTGTAGCATAGATCGGGGTTTCAATCTTTTCTCCATTCTCAATCTTGCGACGCTTAGCCTCTGCCTGTTGCTCCTGACGCTGTCGTTTGTCTATGGCTTGTCGGCTTCCTTGGTTAGCTAGACCAATTACGCGGATAGGAAATACGGGCGCCGATACCTCCATTCTGACCTTCCCATATCTCTATTCTTACGGCGTTTACCACCTCCCTCTCCTGCTCCTTTGTTGTCGGCCATGGTATGCGACTGAAAACCTCTGAAAGTCGGGGCTGAGAATCGGGTCTAATGTATCGAAGTTGTGCGAGGGGACGAAGGGCAGTTGATTGTAACTTCAAGAAAGAAGATCGGTTACTGAGAGGAGAAAGAACTCCAACCAAGCTATGCTTGCAAAGAACCGAGGCGCGCATGAACTCGAGACTCGGCAGAATTTCCTTGGCTTTCGCGACATCAAGACGCCGGACTTTTTATTTGGATGTTGCACTAGGCCTAATATAGACTAGCTGGATGGATGGATGACACCTCAGGCTGAAACAATGCATGTGACTTTGAGCTCTCTTCGACTTTGTTTGACTCCGACTCCATCAGACTTGGCGCCTGCTCTGCTCTGCTCTGTAAATGTGCCTCTAGCTCCATTCAATTCTAGACCCTGCATCGACACAGCTTTGCGAACGATGCTGGTCTTTTCCTTTCCTTAAATCCAGAGTCGATAAGCTCTTTCAGTGTCATCACACCAACAAGTCGCAAAGATGGATCTCGCAAACACACTCATTCGGAGCGTGGTCCGCGCTTTCTATGAGACTCGCCATATTCTGGTCATAGATGCGCTGTTCCTACACTCCGTGTATGCTATCGATGATGAACGCATTACCAGGATAGTTTAGCTGATTCAACACAGACTCCACGCCGAGGATCTAGCTTTCTTAATGGGCATGCAGCAGAAAGATCTGCGCAAACTCTGCGCCCGACTGCGGGAGGATCGCATGCTTGCAGTGTATGTCATCTTTTCGTCCTAAGGTGAAATTCATGAAGCTAATCTTGGTGAATTACCTGCTATGCAGAAGCACACGTGCTGAAATCCGTGATGGATCTACTCGTCCGGTCAACCGTGAATATTACTACATCCCTCTTCACCCTGTCATTGACGCCATTAAGTACAAAGTCTCGAAACTCACATCGACAATTAAACTGCAGTACACCCCAAGCGAGGACCGAAAGGAATACATCTGTCTGCGATGCGACACTGAGTGGACAGAGCTGGATGTCCTCAGCCTGGTCTGCGAGGAAGGCTTCGAGTGCCAGAACTGCGGTGCAGTCCTAGAACGAACGGAAGATGTCAAGGGTGTAGAGGGAATTGACCGCACTGGTCACGAGAAGAACAGCAAGCTCATGGCACAACTGGATAACATGTTGAAGCTGTTGAAGCAGATTGATACAGTGGAAATTCCACCCAACGAGTTTGATACTGCATGGGATCACAAGGTCGAAGTCGCCCGCAACCAGCAGACTCACCCTGTTCGTGCCGCTATTCCTGTGGCCGTCAAGCAGCAAGATATCACCCGCGGCACAGCCAAGACAGATGCCTCAGCTCTGGAAATCTCGCTTACATCAAGCGAAGAGAAGAGTGCTGCCGATCAAGCTGAGGAGGCCGCTCGCAAAGCTGCCGTGGAGAAGCAGAATGCACTACCCGTGTGGCACACGCACTCTACCGTCAACTCTGCAGCAACTGGCGATGCCTCGGTCAAAAATGAGGTTGGTATCCCAGTCAAGGCCGAGATTGGTGACGAAGAAAAGAAGCCTACCGATGCATTGGACGACAAGGTGGCCGCATACTACGCAGAAATGGAGAGAGAGAAAGCCATCCAGGCCGAACAAGATGCCAGCAGTGCTGAAGAGGATTCTGATGATTTCGATGAGTTCGAAGACGTTGGTCTTTCTGGGCCAAGTGGCCCCGGTACCCCTGCCACCGGAACTGGGCCGACCAGTGCTCCTGTGTCTTCTACTGCACTTACGGGTATGAAGCGAGATATTGACGCGACATCGAGTGCAGCACCATCTTCTGTTGGCACACCCCTCACCCCATCCGACGATGGCCCTGCCTCTAAGAAGATTAAGGCTGAACCTGGTCTTCCTATCGAGTCAGTCATCAAATCTGACCCCGATGCTAAGGCCGAAGCCGAAGTAAAGAATGAGGAAGAGTCAGATGAGGACGAAGAGGATTTTATTGATGTTTAACTACAAAGCCCCAGGTTTCTCCGGCAGGCTACAATTTGCAGTCAATGAAATCCTCACAATTCATTTGAACTATAACTAATAACAATAGGGATTAACTAAATAGATGTTGTGTTATTTAACTAGCTACAGTAGCATCACAAAATAGGTTAGCGGGAGCCCTCCACCTCGTGTACCTGCAGATCCCATCAGTAAACATTGAATCTTCTAGAGAACTAGGGATAAGTTTGCAAACAATTGGCTAAGCAAAATGTCATATTTTGTATACAAAGTACAAATAAAATCATGCCACGGCCTTTTCTCGGTGAATCATCATGCAGGCAAATCGCGTGCTATGCGCTTAGTATGCGAAGTGCTTATTGTTTACCCTGACGAATGAGGGAAGACTATGGCCGACTGATGCTATCAATGGCATCATAATATTTAGAGGGAGCAAAATACCTCTGGTGCCACACTGAAAGTACGTGTTGAACATTCCAAACTTGCCACAAACAACATGGCCGAACCCAAGATGGCCACGATTATCGCTCAACAGATCTCTGACGAGTCGCAGTCTACTTCATTCAACAATGAAAAGATGAGTGAAGAGCCAAAGTCCTTCAAGACCATTGCTGAAAAGTATGCGGATGCGACATTGCGATTTGTGGAGGAAAATGAACACTGTGCCCCCTTGACTCTAGAGGAGGAGAAGAAGGTGCAGAGGAAGCTTTATCTGCATGTTGTGTTTCTTGTCTTCGTCATCAACTTGGTGCTGTTTGTAAGTGGTGTACAGTGAGATTGATATTGGCCTTAATGCTTATACACTCACCAGATTGATAAATCAACGTTGTCTTATGCCTCCATATTGGGATTATATGAAGGGACTCATATCGATGACACGAAGTACAATAACCTTAACACAATTTTCTATGTTGGTATGATTGTTTACTCTGGCTAGATTGGTTTTTTTCGCTGCAATTTCTAACAGAACCAAGGATACACTGTCAGCCAATGGCCTGGAAACTACCTGTTACAGCGACTCCCATTCGGAAAGTTCATCGCAACTACAATTTTGACCTGGTCTATCTTGATTTTTCTGCACTGCGCCGCATCAAGCTATGGGGGACTTATCGTACTGCGCTTCTTCCTGGGTGCCGTCGAGTCAGTCGTGGTTCCCGCGTTGGAAATGACTTTGGGAATGTTCTTCACCCGCAAGGAGCAATCGACCATCCAGCCCATCTTCTGGATCGCCTGTATGGGGGCAAATATCCCTGCCGGTTTCATAGGCTATGGCCTCCTATTCACTCACAGTACAGTGTTGCCCTGGAAGTTCTTCATGATCATCACGGGTGGCCTCACTTTGATACTGTCAGTGTACAGCTGGTTCTTCTACCCCAATAACCCAGCCGAAGCTTGGTTTTTGACATTACCAGAAAAGTTCTACGCTGTCAAGCGCGTCCACGACTCGACTCAGAGCTCTATTGAGCAAAAACAGTTCAAAAAGTCTCAGTTCATAGAGACCCTTCGTGATCCTGTTTCTTGGCTTTTTGGCCTCCAGACTTTTACACTGATGCTCTCCAACAATCTCGCCTACCAGCAAAATCTGCTATTTGTCTCATTAGGTGTCTCGAATCTGGGTAGTACCCTTGTCAGCGTAGCGTCGGGTGGCTTCTCAGTCATCTGCTGTATCATCGCCGCCGTCCTACTAAAGTTATTCCCTGGAAAGATCGCCTACTGGGGTACATTCTGGTGCATACCTGCAGTCGCTGGTGGAATTGGCATGGTCGCTCTGCCCTGGTCCAATAAACTAGGTCTACTCGCTTGTCTCATCCTCGCGGGCGGGACTTTTGGCATCACGTACATCCTCTCGCTGGGCTGGACCTCATCGTCAGCATCTGGGTATACGAAGAAACTCACCCGCAACGTCATTTTCATGATTGCGTACGGTATCGCAAACATTGTGTCGCCGCAGATTTGGACCGCGAATGCAGCGCCGAGGTATTATGCTGCTTGGATCGCGCAGATTGTCATTTCTTGGGTTGGCACGCCTGCCATCTTGCTCTTGATTCGCTTCATTCTTGTTCGGAGGAATAGGGAGCGTGCTATTTGGGTGGAAGATCAACATAAACTTGGCTTCCAGGGCGAGGGCTATGTTGAGAGAATTGATGGTGGGAATGATGGACATGGCGTCGTCAAGGCTAAGGTTGACCAAGCTTTGTTGGATCTTACAGACATGGAGAATAAATACTTTGTCTACCCATTGTGATTTGTCGATAAGAAGAGGAGGCCATTTCGCCTATGTGTTGGACAGGGCATCGATCTATAGAAATAGTAGTCAACGACCCTGATCTGGGCTTGGTTGATTTGATTACCAATGTTGAAGCTCACTTAATTATAATATCATCTCACTCTGTGAAAAAAAAAAAAAACTTTGTCAGAAGGTAATATGATCTATCCCCCGATCAGATGCACATTCTTAGACTCCTCGAAAAGATTGTGTTTGACGATCCCGAAGATCTCGTTAGGTAGATCTACTTCTTAATCCGTTTTCTCTGACACCTCTGACCATTCTGACTGCACAGGGTCTAAGCTTCCATCCCACGGCGAATAGGATCCAAGGTTTCGAGTATTTTGTTGAGGTTGCTGTTGTATGTCCATGGCGAGAAGTTCCAATCCGGGTATTGCAAGAACTCCTTAAATCTCTCGTTATCTCAGGAGCGAATTGAAGAGCTTATTGGTAAGATTGCTTACCAGCATCAAGTGCTTCTTTCAGACCTCGGGAAAGTTGAATCGCTCTATGCTCGCGAGAAAAGGAAAAGAAAGAAAGACGCTCCGGGCTTTGTAGCCAAAGGATCAAAACCCGTGCTTCTTGACCCTGGGCAGCATTCCACGTAGGTTCTACGAAAGCCATATCATACTAGTCTATGGAACTAGAGGGGTTGAAGCAAAATAAAATTGCAATTCCTGGTCGTGAATTCATAAGATGGATCTAGATCCGTCTCTGTCGCTTAATCGTTGAGGTTGCCTCTGAAGAAAACAGGCATAAAAAATAGAATGGAAAGGGTGATAGGATATGCTGGGCATAGAAAGCTGGGGATCAAAATTGGAACATAAAGGGTGATAGGACAGGGGGGGGGGGGCTGAGCTGGACGGCGGTAACAAGAGATTTAAGGGGTTCTTGCAATACCCAAATCGGAGTCGCTCGCCATGGACATGGCTTCCCATTCGTCGGGGGATGGAAGTTCAGACTCTGTGCAGTCAGAATGGTCAGAGGTGTCAGAGAAAACGGATTAAGAAGTAGATGGGGAAGTAGATCTACCTGAGACGAGATCTTCGGGATCGTCAAACACAATCTTTTCGAGGAGTCCAAGAATGTCTGTGTATATACAAGTTAGTCACACTAAATGTATACAGTGCGTGTCGTAGATTAAGGAAGGGTACATACCTTGTGCGGATTGCTTAGCTTGTTGATCGTCCTCGTCATCGGTCAGGTAATCCAAGCAACGTGTAGTGGCTGAAGTGATTGCGGAAACGAGGTTTGTCTCAAGGCGACGTACAGGAATCTGAAGGCATGAGGCTCTGATCTGTTCCAGGCAGCTTGCCAACAGTTCACGACTGATACGCGAACGCCGAACTTCCCAATCATCGGGATCATTCTCATTGGTGTATTCAAAGAGAAGACCGGTGATAAGCTCAAGAGTCTTTCTACGTACACCTGCATCATCTGCATAAAGAAGCAGCGTCGGGGCGAAATCTGGGATCACATCTTGAACGACAGATGTGAACCAGTCAGGACTCAGATTTAATTCCTCATTAGCCACCCCACAGATGAGGCGGAATAGTTGAGCATGTTCTTTACCGGCGTGATTGTCGATTGACTCAACGCCCTTGGCGGCATAGGCAATCATCTGACTGATATCATGTTTCGACGGACCAATTTCACAGAACTCAAGTGTCGCTGCGAGAAAGGGTATACATGCATCAGCCGGAGAGAAGCGTAGCCCATTTTCCAATGTCTTGATGATTTGCTTTAGAGCCCCTTCCATTGGGAGTGTCGCCGTAACAAACGCTCCGAAGACTTTGCGGATGTATGAATGAGCGCCGATGGTCTCGTTTTGGAGCATCCGCATAAGGAAGATATTCGTACAATCTTTCGGATCACAAGGACAGATCAATGCGCATTCGCTGACACTCGGTGGATATTTGCCATCGTCAGACAGACGGCGGATGTCGCGAGCAGAAACCGACGGCAACATGAAATCAACACTCTTGAAGAAGAGCACACAAAGGACCATCATTTGTGTATAGATGAACTTTCTGCCTCTTTCCAGCGACCGACAGTAGTTCAGACAAAAATCTCCGAGAGTCCTGAGGTCATCAGGATCAAGGAACATGATTTGTAGAATCCTGAAGAAGAAATTTTGCTCGAGTAGCAAACCTGCAATTTCAAACCTGCAATCAACAAGCTGCACTATCAAGTCAAAGTAATCATCCCAAGCGCGAGGTGTGAGTTGGACTGCAGTCCACAAAGCCGAAATAATTTTAACGAGTTGTTCAACTGCGGCGTCAACTTTGCTCCGAAGATCCACTTTGGAATTGGGATCTCTGAGTCGGATTTGAAGATGTGTTAGAGATCTCACGACAAGCGTGATACCTTGCTGCCGGGCCTCTGAGCTGTTTGGTTTGAGAATCAAGTTGCGAAGCGAGGAAGGTCGGTCACCAGCCCACTTCAGCACTTGCAATGCCGCCAGTGGGTTCCGCGAAAGCAATTTATAGAGGCTTGCATAGATATCCTCGTGGCTCACGTAGTCTCTGTTTTGAGCGGTGAGTTGCTCAAAGGTGTCAAGGCCAACATCTGTGGCCGATATTTCGAGAACCTCTCGATGGGGATAATCGTAGGCAATTCTTGGCAGATGTTCAAGCAAATGCTGCACCAAGTCTGCATACCACGGATCAAGAAGACAGTATCTTCTAATGAAAATCTCGTTTTCCAATGATATGAATTTCGCCAGGCGGCTCGGCACAGGAACCTGCACTGGGAATCCATGTGGCGGATTGTAGACCTCCTTCAAGGTCTCAATTTCGGACTTTCGCTGGTAGAACAGCATGTATGCATTCCAGGATTTATTCATCTGATTGCCGATAGACGATCCACCGAAGCACTGATCGGGGATTCTAGTCTGGTCAAACTTGGAGACATCAGAGTCATTGAACTCTACCCATGACGCGGTAGAGTCAGCGACAGGACGTTCCCGAGTGTACGAGTAATAATGGCCAGATTCAGCTGTACCAGTATGAACCAGAACTCCTACCAGTTCAAAGATATCGGGGTCGATGTTGGCACTCGGGTCGGAAAGATATTCCACCTTGTAGGGGGTCATATCAATCATACCAGGGAATTGGAATTCATCATTGATCTTGCTGCGCAGCATGTTGACCATGTCGAAGTCAAATCGCTTCAAGTGGAATATCAGGTTATTCGGTACCTCCTTCAAGCAGGCGCGCTTGACAGCATCGACATGGCGATCACAGCCCGTGCAGGAGTATTTGTTGTCACCTTGCATTATCTCACCCTCAACATAGGCCTTCAGACTCTCGTTCAGGGTAGCCTTGCCTTTGATGTCGCATTGGATGGCCGAGAATGGCTCAAGTCGCTCCGAAATATGGGAACACTCCATGGATTTAATCTGTTGAACCAACTGACCACCATAAAACGACCGAAATTTTCTCTTGTCGCTTCCATCAACAATTTGAGACTCCCAGCGATCAAAGAGCAGATTGTAAAATTCGTCCACATCCATCTGGATAGTCACATCGATTGCTTCATTATCGTAGGTCCTGATACTCTCCACGAACGATTGAGGGTCGTAGCTTTTCCTCCAAGTGCCTTGCATCCAGGCAAAGAGCTTCTGAGTCTCATCTAGGAGTTTCTGCGATGAGTCAGGATCCACTAGGTGGAGCCTGAGCATGAAATCCCGGAACTCAACGTTCATGAACAGCTGTGTCATCAGCGAGTTGAGGTAGCAGGTGTTCGACAGGTTTTGTAGACCAGCATAACCTTCGGGCGCTCTGATAGTCAAAGGTATGTCGAAGTCCATATTCATGTCGTCGAGTGAAAAGTCTGTTGAAGAGGGTGAGTTCGGTCCATCCGCATCAGCGGAGCTGGAGTACACACCTCGGGGAACAAGCTCTTGCAGCTGGTTGACTACTTTGTGAAAAGTGTCATCACTCCTTTTGCACAAAAGGCTAATGATTTTGAGGAGCTTCTGGCGGGTCATCGAAGGCATGATAGGGACCAGAGGAGTAACCGGGCCATGGTCTGACGAGAGATTTGGGAACAGGTATCGACTGACAATCTCCTCAGCGAGCGCACTGTAAAACATTGTGTTAGATTTCAATTTCGGATACAATCTTCTGAGGGGAATTTACGAGTATTCCAAGTTAATGTTTGCAGCCTCGGCTTGCTCAAGGCATAGCTCTAACAAAAAAGTAAATCCCAGGACCAATTGATCGTTTGATGGGCGTCCAACGAACTAAATTCAATCAGCAAAGTTGAGGGATAGAAATTCAGTTTGGTTGAACCTACCTCATCGGTCTGGTGGCGAAGCATAACTTGAGTCCATTCTTTGAAATACCGACCGAATACAACGTCGCGCGGAGAATTTTCGACAACCGTAGTGAATACCCGATACGCAACATTGAAGAACTCTGCAGTCTGACCGGCATATTCAGGTGTGTTGGGAATAATGCGGACCAGATAGCTCCAGATAGTTGCAATCATGTCGATGCGAACAGGAGTCTCAACATCAGAAACGGGATGGGTGTCTTCTACCATCGATGCTCTGCGTTTTTGCATCTTAGACCGATTGCAGATGCTCAGGGTGATTGTCTCCGCAATATCAATGCGAATGGCCTGTCGGGTTTCCTGCAGAAGCAATGTCTGAACCAGTAATCCAAAGCTGAGCTCCTGCTTGACGAGGTTCCAGAAATTGTAGTCGCGCAGCGAGCCTTCCATAAGGACTGCAAAGATACGACATGTTAGACTATGAGTGATAGCAGGATCAAGTGACACTGCTTCAGGAGAACGAGAAATTTCGATCAAATCTAGGAGGCGCTTGATGAAACGAGTTCCATCTGGGATCACCGCAGATTCATCACTGGATTGACAGATGGAAATGGCCGAGAAAAAGGAATTGACGGCTGAGAAAGTTAGATGAAGTCTTTCTCGATTGCAGATCAAGAGCTCATCTGACAGCAAAAATCTCATTAAGATGCCAATACTATGCGACAAAAAATCTTGGTTCGGTATAGTCTGTAACGATTCTTCGCGGAGACAAATAGCCAGTGTTTTGAACGAGTAGAGGGCGATAAAAGGAGACTGAAGAGGAAACAAGTCGTCTTCATTGCTCTCTGATGACCTCACGAGCTGTGAGATCCGCTCTTGTGCATCAAAAGCAGCGAGGAACACATATGCCTCTCGGGCCAGATCTTCTTTGAGGGTAAGAAGGTCATAAATCTCATCGAAATGCTTGAGCACCTCCGAGTCAACCGAGGATAGAGGTGGGCCTCTACTGGCGCGAACTAGTTCCTGAGCATCGGGAGCTCTGCGCACAATAAGCAGACCTTGAAGAAGGATTTCCTTCACGAAAGCGTCTGGGTTCTCAAGTAGATCAATTCGATGACCACCCCAAATGGATGTGAGTTTCGAAAAGCCAGCAAGCTGTGTAAGCCTCTCCACAAGCTCTGCAGCCGTTGATTCGCTGCCAATGCACAAGGTGTTGACTTTTGAACTGTTTGTACCATTGAACGCCTGCCATGAAATCGAGATTGGGTCACCTTTCTGTTCTCGCAAAGGAAGCTGTGGTGGAGTCGCCTGTGCAGGGCTGTAATGTGGACGAATTCTGAGCCCATACAAAAACTGACGAAGGAAAAGAATGGAGCGTCTAAACTCGAGTTCCAATCCTGACTTCTCATTATCACTGTTTGGAGTTTTTTCTAAAGCCTTCAGAGATGTAGCCGCAGAGTTAAGCTGGTCAATGCATCGGTTGACAAGCGCAATGTGAGTGGCTTCAACGGCAGAAGGTGGCGAAGTGCGGATTATTTGGTTGTCCAAGTAGACCTCGATCGCAAACTTTATAGCATCTTCCTCAACTGATCCAGTTGGAGCAGTCAAAATGAAATTCCAGATGAGATCCATCCGAGGGATGGTAACCACCTCATTTTCATTGGCGCGTGGAAAACTCGCAGGATTGGCGCGAACTTCGTATCCAATTGCCTGTTTGGCAAACGCTAGAAGCTCATGGGACAAGTTACTGGGCTCCAGCTGTGGGAAATACTCGTTGAGACAACGATCCAAAAACAAGTTTGGCTGGGTGCAGCGGCTCAAAGCTTGGTTCATCCCACTCCAGACAGATCTATGTCCGTCTACGCCAAGTTTGTCAGATATCAGTACTTCGTTCCATAGCGCGTTGCCGAGTTCGGAGGTGATTGTTTCCGGAGCCACGTCAATGAGGCGAAACATGATCGCAACTCGCGAGGTGAGACCGTGCTGTGAGAACGCATCCTTGAAGTCGAAATGGCTCTCTTTCACTGTGTGAAGGAGATCATTGATGACCAGACGAGTCAAATCGAATTCTGTAGCCAACCGCCAGATCTCCTGAGCCTGATGTGAAGGAATCAGTGCATTCAGCACTTGGATACTTCCCACGGTAAACTGGTTCATCTCGGCAATGTCCTGAATGCAACGCTCGTACATTTCCATTCGATCCAAGTCGGTGATTCCGTACCTAATAAAACCCTGCAGTTGATTGCTACCAAAGGCTTGCAGTTGTCTCTTTTGCTCAAAAGAAATGCCAGGTGCTGCTGTGCTCTCTCTAATCAGACGCACACACAGTCGCAACGGGGTAGCTTCACAATAATGGATTGCGCCATCTTGGTTATCAGTGAGCCGATAAAAGAGGCTTTCACACAGCTTAAGCATGCGCGAATCGAATCGCTCTAGTGGGAGTTCAAGAGCTTTTTGACAGATGTACTGCAATTCTGGAGAGCACGCAGTGTGCATGTAAAATGTGTCAATTAGCATCGTCAAGCGCACAGAGACATTTCGACTGTCTTGGCTCTCAATGACGTTTTTCCAAATGATGTCTGTTTCAGCATTGGTGTAACATCTCGCGACAATAAAGAAACCAAAAATGTTGACTGCGCGACTGATCAACTGAGGGTGTGAGTCGACACCCACGAGGTAATCCAGAATCATATTCTCTCTAATGAACCGGATCAGGGCTTGAGTTAAAGCAGGTGAGCCCCTACTCTCAAAGTCTTGGAACATCCAGACCAAATCTGTCTGCATCGTTTCAACTCCCTGAACACGGAGTTCCATGCGACCTTCCATGATATGTTTTTTGAGAACATTGAACTTCCATATCCATTGAGCAATATTGCCTTTTTCATTCTCTGGAAGCTCGACTGAAAGCTCCTCTGAGATCTGTTGCGCATACTTCGGGTCCCGGTCGCATAGTATGGAGTAGTTTTTGCCAAAATAGCGCACGAACTCAAGGCTCAGTTCACTTGAGAGCCATGGTACCTTTTTCGCAATCCATTCTTGGTATTCGGAGTTGATCGACCGCACCATCTCGTAAATGATGTGAACATAGCTTGGGGCATCGGACGATTCTTCGGACTCCAGGTCTGGTTTCCACATTTTATCAAGGAAAGTGCTAGCGAGTGACAGAGCCATGGGCAAAATATGGACTAGATGTGGGTGCTGAGGGGTGCTGATATTGAGAATCAGAGCGACAAAGCCAGCCACCTCAGTTACGAGATTGAATGGAGATGCGAGGAGCTTTGTTTGCACCCGTTTCACAAAGTTGCTATAGTGAGGACTGCTGAGGGAGTGATTGAGGTTCCAGATAAGGATTTGCAACCAATCTTGAGAAAAGCTATCGGGCATTTCTGGCTCATCGGAGTCAAGCACCATCATGTCCATACGCACTAGACGAAGTGTTATTGTGGCAAAAGCCAGGAAAATATCCTCTCGTGCCTCCCAGTAGGAGTAGGATTGTCCATCTTGTAGTGGAAGTGATCGACTAGATTCTGAGTTAGCCTTAGACGGGTAGTAGGGTCGAAGAGACTTCATACAATCGCAGAAAAGACGTGATACGCTTAGGAATATCATCCCAGAAATCACGATTATTAGCAATGACTTCTGGGGTAATAGCCGTTTCGCAAGCGTCCGCGAGATCTTCAAACCACCTCATTACACTCAAGAGATATTTGTCACCACGCGCATCGCCTGTGCAAAGATCAGCATTATGACTCCAGATAGTAAAAGGATTTAGTATACCTTGGTCAATGACATCAACCACAGCCAGAAGATTTTCCATTGGGTTAAGAGTTGTGCGGAGTCTAGGGAAGGAGTCCACGGGAGACAAAGAGGTCTGAGAGGTTCGAGTCCTGGCCATCTTCTCCTGATGCTCACGCAAAGCATCCTCCAGCGGTCTCCAGTTTGAAGGGTTGGGGCTTTGGTCCAAATCCTCCAGATCAGCAACTTGTATCTGTGGACTAGAAGTTGGAGACGACGAGATTGAGATCACATTGGGTGGGTTGGTGGAGTGGTGGGACTCAGATTCGGCGAGGGAGCTTCGTGGAGAGGAGGAAGGTTTGTTATGACTGTTAGAGGAGGGAGATTTCACATTAATTGTGACTTTGCTGGGGTGACCGCCGGAGCCAGGTTCAATATCCATATCGGCGGCATTCGCGCTAGGGTCAAAAGGACCATCCACGGGCATCAGATCACAGGCACCATCAGCTCCATTATCAAGGCGCGGACGTTTGCGAGTCCCATGAGAGTTAGTGTCCTCCATAGATTCGCTAGTCGTGGTGTTTTTGACCGAAGCTACTGGCGGGGTGCAGAGCTCTGGCGGGGACGATTCTGCCATAACATGTTTTGAGTCAGTGTAGAAAGAGTGACGCGACAATGAGCGAGTCGCCAGCTAGACACAAGTGAGAGAAGGATGTTCTTTTGGGCAGCTTCAATGATTTTGAAGGAAAGAAATTGAAAGAACAAAGAAAAGTAATGGAGATGGGAAAGTGTGGAGGAGTGGAAGAGCTGAGGGCGGTAGGCAGCTTTTTTTAGGAACGACCGGTGACGTTTTGCTGTGGAGATAGACTGAACAACAACTCTAGGATTTACTATTTTCCGCTCTCACCTATGATACCAGAGCTTCATTTGTTTGCTAGCAAACTTCGGTAACTCTTTATATAGCTCTCTATATAACCAGCTGCATATTAAAGGAGTTTAAGTAATTGGCGTTAAAGTCAAAATTCCAAGGTTGAAGCATTATCTACTTGAGCCTCATCTTAGTTCAAGTACTACAACACACGTGACTTCTATCATATTCGATTCCTATGCTCCTTGAGTCCTCGAAGGTCATTTTATCTGAAGAATTCCAAACCAAATGATAAGGACTCCTGTGCTCAATTATAGTGGACAAAGCTTATGTAACTGTATGGAATATTATTGTGGACTGCAGTCCTGGTATATAGCATGTAGCATCTGACAAACGCTCAAGACAAAAGACGCACCTTAGGTTCATCACAATTTACTCTCAGGTGCCACTCTTCCCACGGCACCACTCATGTAAGGTTCACTTTCATCAGCAGTCTGAAGAGGGCCAGAAGCAGACTCAGCTCCATAAATGATGAGCTCACGTCCACCCCAAGTGCTCCACCACTCTACACAGAAATGCGCTCGATCCACATCCATCTCCCCATTACTTAACACTTCCCAAAACCTATCAGCGCAGGTTTGGCGCAAGCTAGAATCAGATATGATATTGATGAGGTTTGCAGTCAGAGGAAGCCATTCTTTGAGGTCATCCACTCCAAGGAAAGAGAGGGAATCAATGAGGGCGAGGATGAAGACAACTTGCTCAGAAAGAGCTGGTTGTGTATCCAAATTACTAGAAGACACATTTTGAGAATTTTGAGTAATAATTATAGAGGATGCGTGGAGCGCACGATCTCTAACCACTTCGAATAAGGTAGAGGGCAGCAGTGGTTGGATGTTGGCTAGTGGTGAAGGAGGAGCAGTGACTTGGATGATAGTCTTGAAGGCGAGACGGAACTGCCTGGCGGAAAGGTTGTGGGGGAATACAGCGAAGAGGTTTTCAATGTAGAACGGTAGATGTTTGGAAGCCAACTCTGCGTTGTGAGAAATGGCAAAAACCACCAGAACCAGGCTGTGGGCAGCCTCGAAGATCTCCAAAAGTAGGGGATTGGCACCAGCTGCGAGATATGGAAATGCGGCAGATAGAAATAGTTCCTCATTTGCCTTTGGGGACAAGGCCATAGGGAAATGTTCTGCAACGTTCAAAAAGAAAAGATCTAGACATCGTTCGACAGGGTGAGAGGGAATCTGGCCCAGATCGCTGGGTTTGATGCTGCGCATGAAATTCTCAGCCAAGTCAGGATATTGGGAAAGAATGTCCACAGCAACCAAAAACACGAATTTCTGTTGTGACGACGCATTCTGGCCTATACGGGAGGAGACGAAATACATATTGCGAAGAATATGGAGGGCTTGCATGGACAGATATGGGGCACCTAAATTTGAAAAAAATGAATACACAAGACCAAAGAGCAATAGTCCATCCAACTTACTAGTATTGGTAGCAAGAGCTGGGTCATTGATGGTCCTCCCGAGAACAGCACGTAGAATGATAACCACCGAGTAGAGGCAGTTTCGAAGGAGCTTCCATAGAGCCGGAAAGGTAGTCTCCAAGGATTCAGCATCCAAGAACTCAGCCTCTTCAGCAACATCGACCTCAGACAACTTATTTTGCCGCCATTGAACCATGAGCGTCCGAACAAAATCCGCCAAATAGTCAACTGTTTGTGCAACCAGCTTCGGATCACGCACATTTTCCACAGCATGTGATACCAAGCGAGATAAAGGACCGAGTCCAGATACAAGAGGCCGCGAAGATATGATAGAAACAACACCGAATGTCGTAGAGTTGGGTGCCCAGCGGAACTGCTTCCCAGATGTTTCCACAATGTCCTTATCAATAGCCCCTAGGAAATACCCACCTTCAAGGCCTTCAGGCGACAGGAAAGCCGAGTGGACCATTACGGGCAGAAGGCGATCATAATCAAGCTTGCTTCGCTCTAAATCAGACAGGAGCTCAAATGTATAGTTCAGCACCATGGTAATGCAATGTCCATCTACCCCATTTTCCTGTGTGAGCTCCTCCAAAGATAGTTGTGCTGCTGTCACCAAAGCCGACTCAAGTTTCATTCGAATACGTGGGGGAAGACCCTGTCTGTTTTGTCCTTCAAATCCTAAGAGAATACCGCCAAGTAAAAGCATATGTCTCCAGCGGGGGGACTTCTCATCCGCGCCTTCTACCACTGCCTTGACCCATGTCTCGCGTTCAATCTTACGATTACGGCCGTAAGTCACTCGAGGCTCATCCGCCATGTCATTTTGCAAGACTGCAGTAGCTGCAGTGTTAAAAACGCTCAGGATCTTCCGACATATCTGCAAGTCCACCGGGTGGTTCCAAAGCGCAGGCGCCGAAAGGAGCTGTGATGCCAGGAGGCTCAAATTGAGGGGATTTCCAAGTACATAGAGGAAGCTTGTAGCTGTGGGAAGGAGACTATGGATAATTGTTAGCCCAAGGTAAGTTACGGTGGCGCGTTGAGATAAGCGTTACATACCCAGAGGCGTCTTCAAAGCTAGATCTAGTCTGTAGCGATCGCAGAAGTGCGGCCAGGGAACGCTCTGTCGCCATGAAGAACTATGAATATACCACTGAGACAGTAATACCGGATAGTTCTACATTGCCCGGAAGGAATATGAATACGATAAGCGTGGAGAAAGTCCCCGGTCCCAGACCCAATGGAGCCGAGGTTGACTATTTAGACAAACAATGCAAACATCGTCATTTTAAGATTGAAGCTCCTTCCCCTGCTCCCTAAAACTACATTCAAACCCACAAGAACAATGCCTTGACACGTTCCGACTCTTCATGAGCTTTGTTGGCTCTGCTGTACCTACAGTGTCAATACTCACTTTCTTGTCGCGAAAATGGCCAACAATCGGGTCCCTATCAACTACCAAATTCCTGGGTTCCCGTCGCTCTACAATCCAATACCAGGCCACGATCGCGAGGCCTTTTATCTATATTACACGACCGACATCTGGCGATTCACTGTCTACTGGACTTTCATATTCTATGCATTGACGCATCTTGCAGTCGCTTCTTGGGTAGTGCTGACACATTTCCGTAATTGGAGTGTCATCTGGCTCGTGCCCTTACTGTACAGCGTTGTGGCTGGTATAGAGGGTCTTTTTGCAGGAAGTATTATCGGGGTCGTGTAAGTGGTTATTTCTTTCGTTTTTGATACCGCTTTGGATTCAATTATGGCTCATGTCTCGAAAAGTCTCGGTGCAGTCTATGAGGCAGGTAATTTTAGGATGTCAACATGGGTACCAGCGCTTTGGGGCGGCATCAATGTGATGGTTCTCATCTTGACAAGCTTCCCTATGCAAGGCGGCCTTTGAAGACATATCTACTACAGCATTAGAATGATTACTTCAAACATGAACATAGAAGGCATTGGATATTTGATCCTAAAATATGCCCGAGTTAATATCGCGAGCGCCAATGCTCTGAGCCATGGCCAAAGTGGCCACCACGTGCATATGTCCCCTTACGCCAATCCCGCAATCCAAATTGCTCCGCACCTAAATGCATCCCAGAATTGTTCATGACTATTGGCAGACTATCGGCGTCCACCGTCCATACCGCTCCCCTGAAGACCAGGCAACCCGCCCTGTCCAGCGAAACTGAAGTTGGGAGGCATTTGAATGCCCTGGGCAGCGAGCTGCTTCTGTATTTGTGCCAGATCCATATTCATCATAGGAAGAGGAGCTCCAGTCATACCTGGGAGCATGGGCATGGGGAAACCAGGCATCATTCCTTGCATATTTTGTGGTGGTCCTTGTGGTGGTCCTTGCGGTAGTCCTGGTGGGGGTGGAGGTTGAGAAGACATAATTGCAGCTAGACGACCTGGATCCATTCCGCCCATAGTGCCTGGCGGCGGAGGCTGCGCAGAACCGATTCCCGGGAGCATTCCTGCACCATCATGTTGGTAACCAGGAGCACTTTGGATACCAGGTAGAGTCGGTGGACCTGGTCGTCGCTGATCCACCAGACTCTCGTCTTCATCTTGCATTTCCTGTTCCTCCTCCTCGCGCATCTGTTTGCGGCCAAAGCCCCGATTCCACGTTCCTTGGGCCTCAGCGGCCTCTTCGCCGATATGGAATCGGTCTTTCATGTAACTAGTCTCTCCGGGTCGAGCCCGGGACCAGAATCGAGTGAAATTATCTTTAGAACCAGAAGCCAGAATGTGTCCCAGAGGATGCCAGTCAAGGGACCAAATTGTAGCACCATGTGCATACTGAATGCGATGCGCTGGGTAGATCACCTGTGGCGGGGTGTTGGCCGGGTCAGGGCTGTCGTAGGGAGCCACGGTAGGCATCTGACCACTGGGCAAGTTGGGCTCGTCTAGCAAGTAGTGATACAGCGAACCATCCTCCGCACCAGTAGAAATCAGATTACAATGAATTGGGTGCCAGGTCAGAGAAGAAACCGGCTTCTCGTGTCCGCGCAGAATACAAATATCCCGCATCATCCGAAGATCGAATACTCGCGCGGTCTGATCCCGTGAGGACGTAGCAAGCAGATTGCTGTTGACGGGTGAAAATCGGGTCGATGTAACTGTGTTCTTGTGGCTGTGGAGTGTAGTCAGGCATTGACCTGTGCGTGGATCCCAGAACTTGACCTGGTGATCTTTAGAGCCCGAGACAATCAATCCCTTCGTCGGATGCCAGTCACAGGACTTGACATCCCAATTGTGTCCGGTGAAAATAGTATCGCAGGTTCGAGAGGTAAAGTCGAAAATCTTGAGCGTGGTATCGTCAGATGCAGAAAGGAACTTGGTATCACTGGGAGCCCAAGCTAAGTCTCGAACGGCGTCATGGTGAGCATCGTCGATGGTCTCCACGTTGTTGAAGTTCGGGCGCCAGTATTTGATATCGCCTCTTTGTCCGCCCGAGATGAGCCAGTCATGACTATTTGACCATGCCAGAGAGGTCACACCGGCTTGGATTTGATCGTAATGCGCCTAGATAACAAGTAAGCATAAGCGCACGCATTTCATCGGCAATTACTTATCACGCACATCCATTACTGTTTCAAAATTGAAAGCAGTGCCGTTCCAGAGCATGAACTCGCCAGTATGACCGCCGGTCAACAGCCGTCTTCCTTCCGGAGTCCATCGCACCACCACAATGGGTTTCTTTGACTTTCCAATCGACTGATGTAGCTGCCGGACAGGGATCGAGTCTGCGGGAGAATTGATTCGCGCCATAGGGGGCATGACCTATTGCGCAAGAGGAGATAAAGTCAGTATCCGCACCCATATCACCAACTCATGCGCACTCACATCTACTGCGAAACTCGGACTCGGGCGCTCAACTTCCATCCGATTCCCTCCTCTGTATTGAGGTCGCCGATTACGCATCCACTGTACCATCGACGAGCCATAATCTGTCACTAATCCTGTGTGTACGAGTATGGTTGTTAGTGGGCCCTGTTCGAAACGGCTGGGAGCAGAAGACGCGCAGGGTATGCTTACTTGGTCGTCGGGGTCCAACAGGACCCTCAAAGTTCTTGTTAAACCGCCCAGTGCCGGAGTCACCTCCATGTTCCTCATAATAAGCCATCGCGGCCGCCCTCGTGAGGGGGAAAAAATCAAGGCGTCAAAGAATTGGATATGTTGCAAGTAATCAAAAGAAAAAGTAATAAAAGGGGATCCACAGCTTTCATCAAGGTCGTTAAATGAGATAACGGTCGTAAGCGAGAATCGTTGGAATTGAAAGTGAAAAGTCGAAGAGGTGAGAAGAAGAGCTGCAAGAATGAAGCGCGACTTTTGAGGAAGCTCTCTCTACCCGTTGATTGGTTGCGGGGATATTATCTGGCTGCTTGCGTTATGATGCTTCCCCTCGCTCATCCAACCAGTTCAACTCAACAAGTCCTACTTTTTGTTTATATCTTCATTTATCTTCTTCTTCTTCTTCTCATGCTGAAAAATATTTAAACAACTACACTATCACATGACCCGTCTCTTCCGCATTGCGTTCTTCATCTATCAAAATTGTCTTCCGAGGCTTTGGATAGTACGATTCATCGTTCCTGTTGAAAATGGGCTCACAGGTTGAACAAATTGCCGCCCATGAGGATTCAAATTCCTATATCCCAGAAAATGGCTCTTCCAAAGGCATAGCTGGCGATAAAGTTGATGCTGCTCCGTTAACTCGCCCAAAACGCAGCCAATATCGTCATGTAGCTGCTTATCACTCGCGGCTGCGTCACTCAAGCTTCAGCCGTGAGACTGATGTTGTCCCCAGCTTTCTTGGATTCCGCAACTTGATGGTTTTGGTACTCAGTATGCTCTCGTTAAGCTATATAGATGATTTTGAAGTTCCGTGGACTGATTTTTTTAACTCCAGTTGCAATGAATCTCCGCCTAATTATCGAGAACTACATGAAAGTCAGTAATCCTCAGTATTTCTCTGTGATTAAGGACTAACGAGTTCTGTAGTATGGTGTGCTTATATGTATTAGATGTCATGACTATCGCAAGCAGGATGTCATTCTGGGATCAATCCTCTTTGCTCTAGTACCATGTCATCTCATTGTTGCATACATTCTCGAGCTCTCTGCTGCGAGCGCCGCAAAGCGGGCAGTTGGATTTCAGAAGAAGACAGCAGAAGAGAAGGAACGCGACCAACAGGCCTTTCGATCTACCTGGCCTTATACGGCCTTTCTCCATACCTTAAACGCAACGCTGTGCTTGGCCCTGACCAGTTTCGCGGTTTATTTCTATGTTCATCACCCTGGCATTGGAACTATTTGCGAGCTTCATGCCATCATCGTATGGCTAAAGATTTGCTCGTATGCCTTCACTAACCGCGACCTCCGTCTTGCCTTTGTCCATCCCGAGGCGGATCCGAATTTACCGGATATCTACTCTACGTGCCCATACCCTCGAAATATTACTCTTAATAACTTGATATATTTCTGGCTTGCTCCTACACTTGTCTACCAACCCGTCTACCCTCGCACGGCATCCATTCGTTGGTCCTTTGTGGCGAAACGCCTTGCTGAATTTGTATCTCTAACGATGGTCATCTGGCTGCTCTCTGCCCAATACGCAACACCAGTCCTGTTGAACTCTATTGAAAAGATCGCCGTCATGGACATTGCCTCTATTCTGGAACGTGTGATGAAGCTGTCCACCATATCTCTCATCATTTGGCTTGCGGGATTCTTTGCCCTGTTCCAGGCTCTGCTCAATGCTCTCGCTGAAGTGATGCGGTTTGGTGATCGGGAGTTCTATACTGATTGGTGGAACAGCTCTAGTCTAGGTGCGTATTGGCGGTCTTGGAATCGGCCTGTTTATCTTTTTATGAAGAGGCACGTTTACAGTCCGTTGGTCGGCCGAGGATGGAGTCCACTGGCGGCTAGTTGGATGGTCTTTACGCTCTCTGCTATTCTTCACGAGATGCTAGTGGGAATTCCCACGCATAATTTTATTGGTACGTCTTTCCTCACGGGGCTTCTGGAACTTCACTTACGAATCTTAGGTGTCGCATTTTTCGGCATGATGTTTCAAATGCCCTTGATTGCCTTGACCACACCTTTGGAGAGAATGAGCGATCCACTGGGCAAAATTGTTGGCAATTGTATCTTCTGGGTCAGCTTCTGCTTGGTCGGACAGCCCCTCGGAGCTCTACTGTACTTTTTCGCATGGCAGGCCAAGTATGGTAGTGTGAGCCGTATGCGGGCCTGAATAGTCAAGATCTTGACAACCTCGACGTTTGTACTCTATTTATCATGACTTGCTTCCCAATTCCATTTAATCTATGATACTAATTTCAAGTGTCTTTTCCTCTGATGAATCTAGAATTGTATGTAGTACCAACGCCACCATTTTCAAAAGCACTCATCATGTTTGATTGGAGGAACAAGATCTGTGCTCGATAGCCCGCTACAATAACTCAGTAGAATTAAATGTTGTACTAATTCAACACACATACAATTCACTCTACACAACACAGTTAAGTCAAGCTTACCTATAGGGCTTACTCTACGAGCAGAATTCAAATAATATTCCAGAGAGATAAGAGGGAGTTGCAGGTTCCTATTGGAGTACTTTCCTTACATAAGGATATTATTGTTAAGAGGTTTATATCGCTGAGCCCAGGTGATCGTTACTGAGAGAACTTGTTAAATTGCCCTATGTGACTCTGATTTCCTAATTGGTTAAGCATATCTCTCCGCTATCTGCTTCTAGTTATCATTTCCTTGATCGTTCTCTGATACTATCAGCATTAAATGTTTCCAGTCGTGTATTACAAGAAGTGAGAGCTTTAATTGACTTGGACTTGGATTGCTTATAGGATTGCCCCCTCAACCGAATTAAAATCATTTTGAACAATTTCTTCTGAGTTCAAGAAATGGTGTATATCCATAGTCTCCTGAAAAGCTGAATATCGACGCTGTACCCTATAAATATCTTGAATAGCCTCAGATTCAACCCAATAGCTTATATCGAAGTAGATGTTGCCACCAAAGCTAATACTCTACAAGGCTAAGTCTAAACGAGGACAGGCGTTAGTTACAAAACAGGCGAAACAGTTTAATTGACAAGCATCTAAAAGAAAAGCCAATTCTTGAAAAAAAGGAAGCCACGCTAAGATTTAGATTTAGAATTAGAATTAGAATTAGAATTAGAATTAGAATTAAAATTTAGCTCGAGATGGAGATTAGAAAGTAAAGGCGGAATCAATATAAAACGAGGAAATATTCAAATATCCACGCTATACTCTCCACACCTCAAATTATCCTTAGTTTTTTTTTAGGGAGCCCATCCTAGATCTACCCATCTTCTTTGATCCCACCTGACTACAATCTCTAGACGGCAGAAGGGCACAATTAGTGTCACCATCCTCGACTTCGATCCACAATTCAATACAATGCGGATTAAAAAATGACCACACGGTAGCGTAACAACGACATCGCCGATATTGAATAATTCCATGCAAATACCACCTCACTGTCCTCAAAGGTCTCAAGTACATGGCCAGGAAGTGAATTAAGCATCATCTGACCATGCAAGAACCGGAACCAGTTTAGCGTGATACCTTAGTGTTATCTCAGCCAAGTCCCTAAAGATAACGTTATGTGTCTGGGAGAGGGGCGGATGAAATTGATGTCGCATACTATTTATTTTTTTTGTTGAATAAGTCAGCAGTGGTAGTTGTTTGATTCGCACCAGAGTATTCACTTAAGCAGCAGAGTACGATTGCCATCCCCATAGCATTGAGAAAGCTCGTAAAGCAGGCGCAAATTGCATAAAAACGTAGGCGAACATACCTGAGTAAGTGAACATGAGTCTTTAATTGCCCAAACAGTACCTTCCACTTTTCTCTCTGGTCGTGAACTGCCTCAACACATATTAAAGTTAGTTCATTGCTGTAATCTTCAGGGAGATCGGCCCTAAGCTGAATGTTCAATGGTTGATAGAGAGCAGGCTTTTTGTGACCGAAATTAGACCCGAAACTCAACTTGGTCCCGATATCGCCAAAGACCAGACTAACCAAAGATAGAACTCCTCTGAACTTTAGCAGAATCAGGCGAGAAGATGCAAGTATTGGGCCACAGCTGCATAGGTGAATCAGAATAAGCCAGGTAGAAAACTAGCAATGACCCTAGCCTTGACGTGCTCATCCCTGCCCTATCTAGTTACTGCGCATTATCCAACCACTAAGCAGTAAATACTGTGTACTAATTACGGGCAACAATTTTGAAACCTTGGACTTACCACTTAAGCGCTTGACATGCATCCTTTTATTTTTTTTTTATTTTTTTCCCGCCAATGAATTTACATTTGGCTGTGCTGTAACGCGGGATAGTTACTAGTTAGGCAGCTAGCTATTTAGCTCGGCTTTTATCTATTTAGTACGACTTTTTTTATCGATGGAAGTCAGATCCTTCAAAAAATTACCCCTCATTTCTATTATCTAATTAACACTAAATAAATGGAAAACCAGGAAGGGTAAAGGTAAAAATATTCGGATAGTAATATTTTGGGTATTCTAGTCCAGTGCTTGTGCACTCTCAATAATCAGTTGGGTATCTCAGCCTTGGGCAATGATAGAAGTAGGAGTATAGGAAAAAGGAAAAGGAAAAATGAAAAAGGAAAAAGACTAGGTATTTCAACGCCACCAGAGCGTGGAAGAATAGAGCAAGAGACTCATCGAGAGTCAGGTAAAACAGGTAAATAGAGGTTGGGTATGGAATCAAGTAAGCCGCTCGCATGTGATGCAATGTAATTGCAAAATTCAGGTCGTCAGACAGAGTGTCAGTAAACAATATGAAGAGCACGCAGCACGGCTGGCATGCCAAAATGAAGGCAGAGGACAAAAACAATCAAAGGCAAGTTTTGGATCGACGGCCTTTCCAGAGGCGTCGAGAGCATGAATCATGGTGAGAGAGGCGGGAGGGGCGAAAGTGTTGTGATCTGTCTTCCGGGACAGAATCAGGGAGATCCATTCTGAATCGACGAACACTGCCCTCTCGACTCGTACTCGTCTTTCCTTCTTCAAAGAAAGGGATGCGCGAATCCCGGTGGCACCAGCGAGGTGCGACACGGCGCCAGAGACCACGGACGCCGCGACTAGCACGGTCGATCTTTTCGTATTCCTGACGTCGGGTTGAGGGGGATGTCCATTCCATCACTGTCGCCGGAACGTGAATGGATGACGAAGTCGAGGGGCTGTGGACGTGGCCCTGACTGCCTGGGTCGGTGTTTGATCGATCCCTGATTTGATGCATGTTTGATGCGTGCGTGGCACTGAGAGAGTGCCGATGAAAAGGTAGTGGTGAGATGGGGGATGGCGGAGTTGAAGCTCCCGTCTCTGACGAGGTGCGGCCATCTCGCCGCGACTTGTATGTAGATGCAGTTCGATGTGCTGATCTGGTCAGACTTAGATCATCTGTGGGCCAAGTCGACGACTCTGGTTCATTGAACAGACGGCATGATTCGCGATGCAGTGCTAATAACGACTCTCTTCTCTCATGCGGAGAGGGGCGAGGGAGAGATACTGGTACGATATTGGCGGGCTTTCTCGATGAACGGAAAGAGCTATGGGGACTTGTTGGTCTTGACGGTGCGGTGCTGCGAGAATTTGACCGCGAGTGATGATGCATGGAGTTATTTGAAGAAGTCGGGCGAGATGTCCGAGGTTGGACTATCTGTGTTGTCTTCCCCCTGGTATCCATGTCCACGGGAGAAGATGGCTCAGATGTCAAAATGGAGCATTTCTCAGTGATTTCGATGATAGCTTTATCATACTCAGCCATCTCCATGTGAACGTCGCCACATATGACGGGGGCCATCGTGTCAAGGACCCTAATAGAGTCTAGATAGACTAGGGTGGACGATCGAATACCTCAAGTAACTCAGTACCCAAGTACGGGGTACTATGGGATTATATTAGGGCAAGAGGGGTAAATTCCATGGGGAAGGCAAAACCAAAAGAAGAAGTATAAAGGAAACCACATGGTAATACTTGAATTAGTAGTTCGATTTATTTAGCTATGATTTAATTTTTAACTCCCACACCGCTAGTACTACTTGAATTTACACTGTTATCGAAGTGGGGGTCACCAGGGCACTAAAGACTCCGCTCAGGGGTGAATGGTCTGGATCTTCGTTGCTATGCAGGAGATCTTTATTTTGTTTAGTAATGCGCTTACTGTTTCGCTGTGTTGAGGGAAGGTTACAGTAGGCGCTCAGTTCCGTCTCGGCTAAGTTGGTTAAAGGCAGATAATTAAATGAACCTTGGAAATCAGAAAGTAAGTTATGACACCCCGCTTTAACTACTAGACTAGAACTAACTAGTTAAGTAGAAAGTCTAGGGATTTAGTCATTTACTACGAGATCTACGCCAGGGGATTCAGAATAAGCAGTTACGTGCTACGTATTCTACTTGGTAGTTACCAAAAAAAAAAACACCTACAACTAAGACATCGTAATTAATATAAAGTAAACTTTCTCACACCGCATCTATATTCCTGCGATCGGGAGGTCACCCTATAAAGCGGGTCAGCTGGTTCAATCTTCTCTGCGATCCTGCTGAGAAGGCTCGTGCTCAAGCCACAAGGAATGAGTAAAGTAAACATGACATCCAATACATTGCCACATGTTCTGTTGTACTAGCCCGAACATGTGGCCAAAAGAGCCACTTTTCTAGAAGCTTCGGGCTGCCATATCGCCAATTTTAAGGTTGCCTCTGGAGTATATCTATATACAAAGTAACGTCATTACATCATGATCTGCTATTGACAAGTCTCAACGGAATTAAATTTTGTCGTATGATGGATCTTCTAAATCCCTTACCTAAGTTTTCAAAACTAGTTTTCAAATATCCAGGTCAGCTGACCCTGAGTAGTCATCACTTATTCTATTTCTCTCTTCAACCACAAACTACTAATACACATTCTCATCTTTTCATTCTTTAAAAAGAAAGGAGTTCCCGAGCAACACCAAAGACACTCAGTCCCCACAATCCAGCCTGCGCGAACCAAAAGAAGATACCAATATAACGGCCCTTACCATTAGGCTTTCCCGAATACACATATCCGTACAAGAACAACGATCGAAGCACAACCCAAGCTAAACCAAGGCCAGTAGCAAGCTGAGGATACTTCACTCCAGCAACAAGGGTGAAAAGCATAGTCTGGGCGGCATTCTCAGTAAAGTTGGCGTGAGCACGCTGGGCGCAGTTGAATTTCTCGGCAGAAGGCTGCAAGGATTAGTTCGTAGCCGCAGACAAGAACCAGGAGTTGGATTTGGATCTTACATTTTCCTTGCATTGCTGAACTGTTGCGTATGTGTGTGGGTAGGGGACATTGGCAACCTTGCGCAATGAACCGGTGATGTTGCCATGAATAAAGCCAAGAACGGGGATGAAACCGAGAGCGACGGCGATCACGGCTCTGGGGTTATCTTAGCGCCGGACACTCAGATCTGATAGGACACTTACCCATAGTTGCTAGGGATAATGATTGAGACCATTTTGAAAGAGTTCAATGAGTTCAATGAGCTGTGTGAATGTTGGATGGCAGCCAGGGGTATGGTTCCAAGGTTTCTTTATATCTATCTAATGGATCCTCTCGGAATTGTATCTGACCGACCGGCTTAATCAATCCCCCCGGGCCCACAAACTGATTACATCTACATAGTACCAGAATACTATATTTGTTTCTACCTGTTACAAATCTTATTGATCCCCCAAGCTCCCATTGGTTAATGGCTGTCCAGGCGTACTGTGTTGCGGCTGGATTATTGCGGAGGAGTGAACTTCGGACGGACGAATTGCTCGGCCGATATTCAATGACTAAGAACATAGATGGAATTTGTGGATCCATCATTGCTGGTGCTTTCAAGGGGGGTTCAAGGGGATCCTAAAGAATGTCATTACTAATTTTATATGTAATACCCCGTATGATACCACTGAAAGAATTCCGTAGATTCTCTGCTGGACTGAAATTCGAGATTGACGTCGAGGTAAGGGTGTTCGACCTTCACAACCTCTAGGACCTCGTCCATCACCACAAAAGTCGTCTTCACATCCAGTGCTTTGTTAGACGAGCAGCCTGGGATTTGGAGGTGGAGATCGCCATAATGAGCAAGTCTGGAATGGCCAATATATGAGAAGACAAAAAGCCCTTTCTGTGGATGCGCGGGACCATGGTTCTTGCCGATCAATTGTATTAGAAGTCCTTGGATGGTCCATAAAGGAGTGATATCTGATTTCTTAAGCATATGGATAATCGGATTTATGTCAAACACATCAATCAGAGTGCCCTTCAGGCTCTGCGTATCCTTTGCTACACTATTATCATCTACTTCCCAGCGGAATTTTGGATATAATAGCCACTTCAGGAGCTGACAACTTTCTGAAAATCAAATTTAAGTTGAGGGAGGGTAATCTTCTTCTTTCCAGCTTTCAGCATTGAATAAATTGAGGATGTTAGAGTAGGCGAGGTGGGAGCTCAGTGAGTTTGGTGAAATCCAGTCGAGATAGGAAGCATGCTTGGGCGCAACGGGGGAGAAGGCACGGTTGGAAATTCAGAATTTTCAAGGACAAAGCAGTTGAGTTGTGATTCCTGAGTAAAATACGAAGGGAAATGAAAATAAGACACAAATATTTCTTATTATAAGCAGAACAACGTCCCGGAACTATTGTTGGCGTAAATTTGTAATTAGCCCTAAAACAGGGATTGAAGAAGACCCGCTTTGACATAATGGAACTACGGCTCCGACCCTGGCTTTCTCTACATCATTCTAGTCACGCTCTTACAGTCATTCTCGAAATCGGCTTGACCAGATAGCTGTTAAGTATTCTTACCACGTGCGAAATTCAAACCGGATATATAGGTTTTTTGGATTCACGCTACTAATAAGGCGCGGTTAGAACAGGGCTATCAGAAGATTGCTATAAAGAATACTCCCAATCATGGGAAACAGGGAAGAATAAATAGAAGTTTTAATAAGCTAGACTCATGATCCAAAGTCTCTAGAGTAATCGATTAAAGCTCTCTGTCGACAGACTACGTCTGAAGGACAGTACCATGCGATCCACAAGTCCAGCCTGAAGGGAGTTTTACTCGACCAAGTCAGTATGAATACGTAGTGGAATAGGTGCATAGAAGTGGGTCTATTCAAGTCTAGCTATCAGAGTGTAGATATACCCTTCCAGAGTGAAGCCCTCGTGACATGCTTACTCAAGCTCGTACGAGAACTCCAAGTTCCAATGTAGTTACGTACATATGTTCCGACAGTCTCATAGGACTAAAAGCAACCAGTTCATAACCGCCTCGCCACATCTCGCACGATGCGATCCCAGGCCGTATACAAGCTCAGGGGTATCCTGTCTTCTTTTTATGGCGACACCACGAGAAGGTATGAACCCATTGTCCCAGCAACCTGGCGAGGACTGCTGCCCAGTGCGAGCTCACTGGGGGCATCGCAGGGAACCTCAGCTTTAGTATTTGGTAACAAAGCCGGTTCATAAGTTAAGCGGTGTAAGTTCAAATGAATAATAAGAAGGGCTTCTTTAAATATGAACTATGATAGATGCTGAAGGCATAAGAATGAAATGCTCGAGCATTTACTGGTGCAGACGATCGTCTCCTACTCTGGCCTACTATACCAAAGATCTCAACATATGAAATACCACACCCGAGTACCTAGTTGATATATTAAAAGTCGAAGAAATGACGATCTTAGTGGGCTTCGAAGTTTTTACCGTGATCTTGCAGCTTCTAGGATAAATCATCGAAGAGCAGAGTCCGGTTCTCTCCATCTCGAGAATCAACGTCGGCATTCCTCTCTAGTAGTAGCTTCACCACTTCATCGTGCCCATTCATGGCCGCCCGTAAGAGCAGAGTCCGGTTCTCTCTATCTCGAGAATCAACGTCGGCATTCCTCTCTAGTAGTAGCTTCACCACTTCATCGTGCCCGTTCATGGCTGCCCGTAAGAGCGGAGTCTGGCCATCTTCATCTCGAGAATCGACGTCGGCATTCCTCTCTAGTAGTAGCTTCACCACTTCATTGTGTCCCTCTTCGGTCGCCCATAAGAGCGGAGTCTGGCCATATTTATCTCGAGAATCGACGTCGGCATTCCTCTCTAGTAGTAGCTTCACCACTTCATCGTGCCCATTCATGGCCGCCCGTAAGAGCAGAGTCCGGTTCTCTCTATCTCGAGAATCAACGTCGGCATTCCTCTCTAGTAGTAGCTTCACCACTTCATCGTGCCCATTCATGGCAGCCCATAGGAGCGGAGTCCGACCATATCCATCTTGAGAATCGACGTCGGCATTCCCCTCCAGTAGTAGCTTCACCACTTCATCGTGCCCATTCATGGCCGCCCGTAAGAGCGGAGTCTGGCCATCTTCATCTCGAGAATCAACGTCGGCATTCCTCTCTAATAGTAGCTTCACCACTTCATCGTGCCCATTCATGGCAGCCTGTAGGAGCGGAGTCCGACCATATCCATCTTGAGAATTGACGTCGGCATTCCCCTCTAGTAGTAGCTTCCCCACTTCATCGTACCCATTCATGGCTGCCCGTAAGAGCGGAGTCTGGCCATCTTCATCTCGAGAATCGACGTCGGCATTCCTCTCCAGTAGTAGCTTCACCACTTCATCGTGTCCCTCTTCGACCGCCCGTAAGAGCGAAGTCTGGCCATCTTCATCTCGAGAATCGACGTCGGCGTTTCTTTCCAGTAGTAGCTTCACCACTTCATCGTACCCATTCATGGCCGCCCGTAAGAGCGGAGTCTGGCCATATTCAGTATCTTTAGAATTGACGTTGGCATTCCCCTCTAGTAGTAGCTTCACCACTTCATCGTGCCCATTCATGGCTGCCCATAAGAGCGGAGTCTGGCCATCTTCATCTCGAGAATCGACGTCGGCATTCCTCTCTAGTAGTAGCTTCACCATTTCATTGTGCCCACTCATGGCAGCCCGTAGGAGCGGAGTCCGACCATATCCATCTTGGGAATTGACGTCGGCATTCCTCTCCAGTAGTAGCTTCACCACTTCATCGTGCCCGTTCATGGCAGCCCATAAGAGCAGAGTCTGGCCATCTTCATCTCGAGAATCGACGTCGGCATTCCTCTCTAGTAGTAGCTTCACCACTTCATCGTGCCCATTCATGGCCGCCCGTAAGAGCGGAGTCTGGCCATATTCAGTATCTTTAGAATCGACGTCGGCATTCCTCTCTAGTAGTAGCTTCACCACTTCATCGTGTCCCTCTTCGGCCGCCCATGAGAGCGGAGTCCGGCCATATTCAGTATCTTTAGAATCGACGTCGGCATTCCTCTCTAATAGTAGCTTCACCACTTCATCGTGCCCATTCATGGCAGCCCATAAGAGCGGAGTCTGGCCATCTTCATCTCGAGAATCGACGTCGGCATTCCTCTCTAGTAGTAGCTTCACCACTTCATCGTGTCCCTCTTCGGCCGCCCATGAGAGCGGAGTCCGGCCATATTCAGTATCTTTAGAATCGACGTCGGCATTCCTCTCTAATAGTAGCTTCACCACTTCATCGTGCCCATTCATGGCAGCCCATAAGAGCGGAGTCTGGCCATCTTCATCTCGAGAATCGACGTCGGCATTCCTCTCTAGTAGTAGCTTCACCACTTCATCGTGTCCCTCTTCGGCCGCCCATGAGAGCGGAGTCTGGCCATATTCAGTATCTTTAGAATCGACGTCGGCATTCCCCTCCAGTAGTAGCTTCACCACTTCATCGTGCCCATTCATGGCCGCCCGTAAGAGCGGAGTCTGGCCATCTTCATCTCGAGAATCGACGTCGGCATTCCTCTCTAATAGTAGCTTCACCATTTCATTGTGCCCACTCATGGCAGCCCATAAGAGCGGAGTCCGGCCATCTTCATTTCGAGAATCGACGTCGGCATTCCTCTCTAGTAGTAGCTTCACCACTTCATCGTGCTCATTCATGGCAGCCCATAAGAGCGGAGTCTGGCCATCTTCATCTCGAGAATCGACGTCGGCATTCCTCTCTAGTAGTAGCTTCACCATTTCATTGTGCCCACTCATGGCAGCCCGTAGGAGCGGAGTCCGACCATATCCATCTTGGGAATTGACGTCGGCATTCCTCTCCAGTAGTAGCTTCACCACTTCATCGTGCCCGTTCATGGCAGCCCATAAGAGCAGAGTCTGGCCATCTTCATCTCGAGAATCGACGTCGGCATTCCTCTCTAGTAGTAGCTTCACCACTTCATCGTGCCCATTCATGGCCGCCCGTAAGAGCGGAGTCTGGCCATATTCAGTATCTTTAGAATCGACGTCGGCATTCCTCTCTAGTAGTAGCTTCACCACTTCATCGTGTCCCTCTTCGGCCGCCCATGAGAGCGGAGTCCGGCCATATTCAGTATCTTTAGAATCGACGTCGGCATTCCTCTCTAATAGTAGCTTCACCACTTCATCGTGCCCATTCATGGCAGCCCATAAGAGCGGAGTCTGGCCATCTTCATCTCGAGAATCGACGTCGGCATTCCTCTCTAGTAGTAGCTTCACCACTTCATCGTGCCCATTCATGGCCGCCAGTAAGAGCGGAGTCTTGCCATCTTCATCTAGAGAATCGACGTCGGCATTCCGCTTAATCATCTTCGTTGTAGACGTCCCAAGGCCAAAGCACGATGTAAGGTGTAAACCTGTCATCTTCGTCTGGGGTTTGAAGCTATCCCACCCCATCGACTGGCTACAGGCAGATACTTTAGAAGTGTTCTGCAGAAGATCCAAAATCAACCTATCGCCTTCAATCAAGGAATATCTGGCATGGAATCCCCAATTTTCCGCAGCGTACTTATAGAGAACAGTGGTCTTGAATCTCTCACTTAAGCCTTCATACGTTGAACAGCATCCAGTATCAAAAACGTCAAATGACAAGCAGGTGACACAGGATTTCGTAAGTTCTGTGTGGGCACTAGAAAACCAGTCCTCCCGGGTCCGCGTAAAGTACTCCTGCGTGGTATAGTGCACCAAACGTGCGATGTTACTTTCATCATCGATAGTGATTAATCCTAAACAGACTGACACCACATCTTCGATGTGTGGTAGGTCTCCATCGTCAAAATGAGAATTGCCCTCCTTTATTGCTAGGGCATACTGAAGCTCCGGTATGCTGAGTGGTCGATTCGCATATGTGATCCATGATAAAACCTTCACTGCCAGCTGTTTCAAACCCGGACGCTGTTGATCAATTCTCTCCATCACTTGATCGTAGGCATGGCTCAAGATCTTAGTCTTCTCTTCTTCACTCGATCCTCGATCTTGCTTCTGGAAGTTCTTTAAAGATCCCCGGATCTCATTGATCGTAAATTTGTCATCAAGGAAGCGAAGATAAATTTGGGCTAATAGAAACATTCCATCGACTGCATCGGAGATGGCAGTTTTTATTTCCTCTTGTAGCTGGCGATTTTCCCGAACAACCCTTTGTAGTTGCTTTATATGACTTTCCAGGTATAGCCTCACATCCTTGTTGGTCGCACGGATCTCTAACAATAACGCGTCTTTAAACTGATCCTCAATCTCTGGAATAAATCGCGATGTTGCAAAAATATTCACGTTATGCCGTGTCTGAAGGTTGAAAAGCTCTGGTAGAAAATGTACCCGGCTAGATGCCTGGCATTCATCAAGTGCATCAACGATAATAAAGATTTTTGAAAATGTTGCTATAGTAACGTGGAGAGCTTTAGAAAGTTCTTCGACTGATGGTCGCGTTCGTTTGCCTTTATGGAATTCATAGAGCTCTTTGACACTATCTGGCAGAGCCTGGCACCGCTCAGCTAGCTGTTTGAGTAAACTTGCTAGTAAATCGTTGATTTTTTCAGTATCCTGCCGTTTGAAGTTAAAGTAGATATAAGCGACAACGATGGCTGGGTCTGCTCGAAACTCCTGGTCGAGATGGTCGATCACAATCGAGCTAATGATAGTTTTGCCAGCTCCGGGCATACCGGGACAAAACATTGTCTGGTTCTTAGCCGCCTTCCATGTCTCGAACTGTGTCGACTCCAGAAACCACTGACCAGTTCCATGTTGTCTTCTTCCCAAGAAATCGCTTTGCTGAGGGCCATAGTCGATTGGAGTAATCCAGCTAAGCATCTCAAGGTCATCTCTTTTCTCTAGGCGGTGATTTATCTTTTCAACGTTTACCCCAGTCTGGGATATAGCATCAAAAACTAAATTTATATTATTAGAAGGCTATAAAGACTCGGCAAACCGCCTAAGGTTCACTAACCCTGTCCAAGTATTTCTTTCACTGGCTGCTCTCTCTCGATATCAGTTGGTTCCAAGAATCCTAGATATTCTTTTGCAAATGCTGCAGCAACAGCCGCAGCGTATTCCTGCCAGTCTTTGTTCTTGTGTGAGTCCGCGTAGTCGCATATTCCTCGGATAATAATACACGGGAAGTTGTTCATCAGCCCCGCTGCTTCCATTTCGATGCAAAGGAGATGACCACCAAGATCTTTGTTGAGTTTATTTCGGAAAGCAGCATCCTTAATGACCTGGTTTCCCGATGCAATCAGACCGAAGTGCACAGACATATCCCTCGGCTTTCTCCTCACGACCTGTGTTTTATCACAGAATCGACAGCTCTCTTCCTCATCCTCATCCTCATCCTCATCCTCATCTATATGGTCATCACTGAAAGTATCATCGGGATCCGTGGTACGCCTGTTTATGTGTCCGTAATTTGCTCTAAACAATATATCCTGTAAATCAGACCGCAGGTACTTCGGGATAAGTTTAGGCCACTTCTTCTTCAGTTCTTCCAGGTACTCTGGTATTTTAGAGCCAACTAAGTCGTGCTCCGTTTCTAGTGCTGTCAAAGCTGTGAGAAGGGACGTGGGCGGATTGTTCAGTGACCCGGTCCGTTCGAAGCTGCCTTCTTTCGCCTTGCCAAAGTCCCATTGGACCACACCAGGAAACTGGCCTACTGGTGTGCTGACCACCACATCACCGAGTCTCACTTTTGGCGGAACGCCGCCGCCAATACCCACCATCAGGCCAAATCTGATTGACGGAAAAGTCGAGACCATCCAGGTGGTAACGTTCGCTGCCGAGTTGTTGCCAATCTGGCCTTTAGGGAGGCAAGCTATCACAACATTGTGCCTACCAACAGATCCAAGGGTATAAGTATTAGGGTCATTTGGTGGCTTCGAGAGCCCGGTGTGCTTTTGATCCAGCATGGCCGTCGCTGCGGTTTGTTCTTTTGGCAGAGCACATACCCATCCCACAGTATATTCCTCGTGGGTTCTGGGTTCGGTATCCGTCTGTGCAGCCATTGTGAGAAGACTTGGTTACGCTCTTTAGCGCCCAAAAGTCAAGATATCTATTAATCACCCGCGTTCGGGTCAATCGTAGGGCTCTGGTTCAATCCTCTGAAAGGCACAGAAAAAGTCGCTTGCATAGAGGGAAATCTGTAACAAAAAATGAAAGGAGTAGAGAATTCTCCTCCATAAAATTCACTTTCATCACTAGGTCGTAAGCTGAATGTGTTCAGCCTCATGGAGTTTTGCCACGTCAGATCTGTACGCGGGACTTGAGTTCACACGCTAGTCTGCAGCTCCCATCACATGTCACACGCCCAACTGATACCCGAACCCGAAATCTGCTACTTTATCAACTCCAGATATAAATATAAAAAATGGGATTGTGGAACCATTTAAGTGAACGTAGAACCGAGATACTGAGGGTCTTATGGAAGATCAAACCAAGCTAGAGAAAGAAGAAAGTGCCAAAGGTGCCTCGAAGCCTTTCACTGCTATCTTAAATATTTTGAATCGTCCTTATTAAGTGCTGCTAGACTCTAATACTGAAGTTATGAGAATTTGTATATGTCGATGCCAAGTTTGCAAGATTATTCTCATAGAAGATAAATTATAGCAGAGCCTTTCGAATCAGTTGTAAGCTGAGCGGCTTCCATTTAGGGCATACGCGCTGAGAGTTACAAATGGGGCAATTTGTGCAGCATTAAGGTCTTTATGTGCTTATAAGTGAAGTGACTTATCATTCTTCCTCCCTTATACGGCGCGCCTCTAAAAGAGTTATTCTGTGTGTATTAGTCAAGCTGATTTCGAGAATGACTTTATCACTTCAAATGTCTTTGTATTTGCCATAGCCCATTAGTGACTTTTTACACTTTTCAATCCAATCAGAAACACCACTCTCCCTAACTTCTTCATTAAATATCACTCCTTCATCTTACAGCCTCTTTCATCGACAACATGGATGGAACATACGATACTAGAGATTACCGTTGTTGATTTGAAAGTGACATTCCCCTCGCTTCACTTTCGCTTTCCTCTAGGGCTCTCACTTTGTCGTCAAAGAACGCATGTCACATCTGGACCAAACTGCAGGGTATATGAAGGAACTTCTTCTTTCCTATCATCTTCTTCTTTACTTATAACCCTTCATCTCGCTTTTTCTTCTCCCCGGGAATATGAAATAACACCCTCAGATATTGCATGAGTTGATTTTGAACGAGACCAAGTCCGAGGCTGTCGCTCGTTACTGAGAACAGTGAGCTCCAACAAACCGCTACTCAACACCGTAGAAAATCCACCGATCTGGCAGCGGATTCCTACTAGTTGAATATTGCGATTGTTGTGAAGTCTGCTTTTTCATTGATGAAAGAACTAGCTACTTATAGTATATGGGTGCCCCTCTGCCCTGGACGAATGTCAACATTCGTCCGAGACAGAAGAGACGGTGAAGACGGGACATTACTGTCGCGAATGCACATCGCTCAAGGGTGTCGTTTGCGATGAATGCATATCGTTCAAGGATGCCGTGATATACTAATCTAGTTCCAGAGTCACTGTCTTGGCAGAAGCTTTTTCGGCCGAAATACTTTCCGTCTGTTGATGGCCTTGTTTCTCGGCTGTCGCAACAGAGGCCCCTTGATTTGGTCGAAGAAGCCAAGATCACCATGTTAACCATCTATCATTGACCCATCAGAAATCGCTACTCCTGGAAGCGGCAACATGTATAAGGGACAAATAATCACAGAGATTGCCATTGTTTCTTTGAAAATGATGCACGTTCACTTCACTTCACTTTACTTCACTTTACTTCACTTTGTCGAAGAATAAGTGCACGTGATATCTGAACAAAGTCTCGGGGTATATGAAGGAACTTCTTCTCTTCGTATATTCTTCTTCCTTACATGTCGCTCATTCATACTGATGCTCAAGAAAATGATGACAGAATCTAAAGGTATATGAGGGGGCTTCTTCTCTTTCTATTTTTCTCTTCCTCACATCTCCCTCGTCCAGCAGACTCTTTACATCGACAATGGTTATACAGCCCTCAGACACTGGATTGGACTGTGGATGAGATATAGTCCCAGGCCCTTTACTAGCCTAACAATCCAAGATTGATTGTTGGTTCATCAAAATCACGACTCTTGAGTGCGCGCTGCCATAGATAAGGGGCATATGAGTACAGACCTCGGGAGTTGTTGGCTTGAAAGTGACACACTTTCACTTCACTTTCAACTTCACCTTACTTCACCTTATCGAAGAAGGATGCATGTGACATCTAGAAATCTCAAGTTATATGAAGGAGCTTCTTCTTTGCTAATCCTTGCACATCATCACTTCATCCTGAAGATGTATGACGAAACCTAAGAGTATATGAGGGGGTTTCTTCTCCTTCAATCTTATTATTCTTGCACATCACTCATTCACTAGAGTCAGGAATCAAAGAGCGCACGCACAAACTCGACAAGTTTAGCCATATTATGTCGAAACTCCCTGACCAGAGCGGAAAAAAGTCCAGCCTCTAAATCAGCAAGACGAGGCCGAGCGCCTTGGCAAAGCTGCATCAAATTTATGTTGTTGCCGCTTTCTCTTCTGATATTGTAGCTCCAACTTATTTGACGGTTCTTCGTCTTCGTGCTGTCCTGGGTGAACCTGATGTGCTCAAAATTCAGGAACCGCCTCCTCCGCTCCCAAATCCATGATGTGCTTTTGATGTTGTATTGGTTCTCATAGTGGTGTCCCGGTCCAACATCCACAACTTCCAAGTCATCACCGCAATTACGGATCTGCACATGACCACGGTTTCTACGGTTTCCTGGTGGCTGGATAGGAGGCCCTTAAGCATAGTTGTGACAAAGAGACTGCTTCCCATGTACCAACAGAAGCTCCGCAAGTCCTTTTTGGATGTGACTGGTGGCAGTGTCCAGGAAACTGAAAGCGACGATGAACAATACACGAATGGGCACATACTATGACCTTTGATGGTCAACATGTTTGATTTGGCTGTGCAAAACATATGGAACGCATTGAGCTTCACAAGCCTCGTGCTCTTCAAAGCTATCAGTGTCAGATTCAAGACCTAGAGGCACTATCAGTTCCTTCTAAATACACCACACAGATTCACCATTGACGGCTAAGTGTCGTGCTATCATCAAAAATGCTCGCTCTCTGAAAGAAAAGGTGACACACATCCAATTGATTTTTCTTCTCCTGGTTTTCCTTCACTTCAAATGAGGGCTTCCTTGCCAAAGAAAGGTCAATTTCGGGTCCTCCAATCTCAGTCTGAAGCCATTTAATCACGGTTGGTTTATTATCTCCCGCCGAAATCTCGACCCCTTTGCTCCAGCAGAAGCAATGATCACTGAATTGAAGCACATGGCTTCATACAACTGGATCAATTCTTGCGCTATCTGGCGATGCTCCTCTCATCTCCTCCTTGTCTCTGACCGATAAGCGCTCATGCCCAAGACCTGTCCCACAATGGGACTTTCTAAACGGCTTCAAAATCAGCCAAGACAGTGTTGTGCTCAGTGATAAGAATCATCATATCGATGACAATTCTCTGGTTGCGATAATAAGTTCCTCGCCTAGTCTCAGGTTCGGGGAATGTTGTTAGCTAGTGTCAACAATATCGACCATGTCGATGTACTAGGCATCATAGGCTGCTGCTATACCGGCAACGTTAATAGAGGCTTATCGACCATATTGCTCTAGGTCCTTAGAAGGCCCCACGCGCTCAGCTCGATGTTCTCGGGGGTCTTAAGCCTATTCCCCTCCCTCTTGTACTGCCTCACCTACACCGCAGATTTCGCGCCCCGTCAGATTCCTCATAGAGGAGAAGAACGTCCTGGTTAAGCTTACCCTGGATGGCCCACACCAGGCTGTAGCGGACGAGTTCATAAAGATGATAAAAGGCTTAGCTGGTAACATGCGAGTCTTTATCGTGGATGTATACCGATCCGGGCATTCCGCCGCCATGTTCCTCAGAGTGTCATGAGGTACGTGGCCTAGAATTTCTACCACCATCGATCCACCAATTATCGGTGTTATAATTAGGTCTTCGTTCTTGCGGTCTTAGCTTATGAGCGGCCTTACGGAGATAGTGGAGGTTCGCCAGGCGGGCGAGGACGTTCGTCCACAGTGTGGTAACACTGGCAAGAAATACTAAGGTGTCTGGGATATTTTTTTACTGAGGGATTTCCGTTGGGTCGGTGAATGCTAGGGAACAGAAGGTTTTAGTATGCCCGGGGCCAGATAATATAATACCCTTTATTTTTGAAAAAATCATACTTTCATCAATAAACTAGCAATGGTTGCCTTTTCAAAAGAACCCTTTTTTTAATAACATTAGCAATGGATTATGCAGAGCAGAAGTGGCACCTCAGTCTCCCAATCTGTATTCCGAATAGCAGTGCCAATCGATCACATGACTCTTAGGTTGCCACTTCGTGAAGAACTTCTTTGTTCATTTTGGTAAAATGAACACTTTCAAATCAACATGTCGTTACAGACACAGATATCAAACCTTTTCCTGTACCCTTTGGAGGTGCTGGAAACAATTTCAGGGTTTCCGGTACTATACCATTATCAGCCCGTGCTTATCCTAGATTCAAGTAAGGAGCCCAAGCCATTGATTGTGTGCATCCCAGGTGCAATGCACCTGGCACGCATATTCTACGGGGGTCATCATGAACACAAACCAAGCGACTTTCTGGCCTATTGGCTCGGCAAAATGGGCTTTGGGGTTCTGTCTATATCCTATCCGGTTGAAACTGACCCTCCGATAATGCCATCTTCGGTGAAATACCGAGTCTCCGATTGGGGCCAACAAGCTGCGATCATCACAAAAAAGATCATAGACCAATACTCGCTGGCTAGTCGAGCGGTAGTTCTTATCGCCTGGAGCATGGGTGGGAGAATGGTTGTGCCGTTCACTTCTTCAGCCAAGGAACTTGGTTTGGACGTTCGACAGTTTATCAGCTTTGCGGCCACACCAGGAATTTCCATCACTCAACAATCAGGGCCGTTGTCTACCACCACAGGCTACCTCCATCCATCAAATCATATACAAGGCTTCTGTAAGCAGTTGCAAGAAGTGGATGAGGTTAATGGCTTTAGCACTATACCTCGAGAAATATACATCCGAGAGTACACCGGAGGCACGCCTATCAATCTGCCCGGCTTAAGACTCAAGTACAACGGACAAAATGCTTTCGTAATAGATGAAGTTACTCATGAAGAGGACTCCCGTGTTTTTGATGTGGCAAACCTACCACTGATATCTGCCATCTACCCGACAGATATCCTTGACGCTCGTCATGCCCTCACCGATCGTGCAACATGGGGCTTTATATTGACGCTAAAGCTACAGAACCTAATCGGAAAGCGGGCACTTTTGAATGTAGAGAGTAAGGGTAAATGGCCTCAATTGATGGACCTTGTACATTCGGCACCAGAAAGGCTATCGGTACCCATCACAGGGAACCACTTTTTCTTTATCAGCGAGAGAGGTGCCCGAGAAACTGCGAATAAGGTAGTTCATCTTTTGATGGAAGGTTCCATGCTGCAAAATGAATTATCTGTATTGCTAGACTAGCCAGGACAAACACCTCGGAAGTCATTTTATAATAAGAACGCGGAATTTCCTCCCGAGGGTACTGAGATGTTGATGCTCATGACTCGAGAGTATCATTCACGATGCCGTGAACTTGGTGTTCATATTGGCATCCAGATTGGCGTTTCAGTTCTCGTAGCATGGCGGCTATCGAACGTCAAGATGATCCATACCAAGCTTACCAAGGAATAATAGCGGTTCGAGGCCTATTTTTGGTCCATGCACCAACCTCTGCTATTTCTGGCTATATAAAGTAGTTAACTAGATCCACGGGTTGACTAGGATGATACGGAGCGAATATCTCCACTGGCGCCGTTTTTTCTTATTATAAAAGACAAAAAGTAACGAGTATTGTAATACTAGTCCCTAACCATCGTAAAGAGCTTAGTTGATTCTCACTCTCTCTGTTATAGCCCTCAGTAGGAGAGAACCAAGATTTGAAGAATGAAATATCAGCTATAATGTAGTTTATTGAATAGTAGAATAACTCACAGGATGAATTTAGCAATTACAGAAGGGTGAAGCATCTGACTAACCATAGTTCTCACAATAGCCCTGATCTCATGGGTAGTCAGGCGCTGGTTAGTATTTGTTGGAGGAACATGTGCGAGGGTCTAGAGATCATTAAAAAAGGAAAGTCGAGCTCAAAGTTTGGGCCTGATCAGTCAGAGAGAAAAATAAATTCATGACTCGCGGTATTATTTATTATATCAAATCATAGTAGACTGTATGTAGATAGGAATGAATAGCAATGCGGTGAAAACTTCAACTGCCGCATCTGGACTCTTTCTATTATTTTTGCCTCTACCTGTATGTAAGTAAAAAATCAACTCAGGAATATTCGTAGAAAAGAAGTCTGTAGGTGTGTGTGTATAAAGTACAAAGAGCTAAGGAAAGACGGCAAGGTCAGCCAGGACAAAAAACAGCGAACTTCCAAGAATACATAGGGCTTCACTATCAAGATAAGGTAGAACATGAGTGTAATCCTACATCCAGGAGTCAGGGGGTCATATCTGGAAGAGAATTTCTGTACAGAGGGAGGGGAAAGAATTGGGAGTGAAAGTGAAATCAAAGACTGGGCTGCGCCGCGTATACCAGACGCTGTTACAGCAGAGCAAATAATCATATAATAGTGACAATTGGAATATGGGGTATAAGCAAAAACAGATGGACATAGGGTATGTCGAGGGAATGGCAATCAGATAGGTAAGGGGGAGCCGGGATAAGAGTGAATTTTTTTCACTTCTTTTCGCATCTCGTTACTGTAGGAAAAAAAAAAAAAAAAAAAAAAAAAACAGCATAGGAAAGGGATGGAAAAGATATATATATATAGCCTCCTAGAGGTTTTGTCGTAAGTAGTGAACATCAATCTATCGCTAAGGAATCCAGTTTTCAGGCCGTAAATTGTCGTTTAAATGTTCCCATTGGGAGGGGTGTCAGAGTCCGCTGTCTCGGAGTCCACGGTGAAGGGAATTGAGGTGCTCGTGGTAAATGAGACGTGGGCGGTTTCATTGCTTGGAGGCGCAGTGTCGCTATCATCATCATCATCATTGGGGACCACTTTGATACTGGAGCTTATAGGGGCGGAAAGGTAGCGGGAGTTGAAGGGAAGTTGATACTTGATTACTCCACGGACAATCAGCTCAAACGGATGCTGTAGAACTTGCTCCCAGCGTTCAATGCCATGTTGGTCAGTCGTATTCCCAGGATGGGGCAACTGAATTTGTCCCTTGGAAGTGGACAGCCTGTGGCTCCATGGAGATGCCTCAAAGGAGAGTGGGGAGTCAAATGCTAATACACGACCGAGCAGCATGGTCTGAGAGTCACCCTCTGGGTCAGAGATTGGATCAGTGCCATGGTCGACGCCGCCGTTCGACTTTTGATTCGGCTTTTTATTCTCCGCCTCTATGCAATCGGCGTTCCCAAGACATCGTACAAACTGTGCAAGTTTCCATTTGCGCCGACTGTCTTGCACTCGCGGTGGGGTTTCCATTAGTTCAACATCGTGATGCTCGCGCCAGAATTTGTCCGAGCCAACGTATCGACTCTTGGCAAAAATATTAATATCGGTGTCGTCGATGGTCACCGGGAAGATATTCGGATTAACCGCGTGTACTTTGAGATCAAGCATGATCTCCTGCTCCGAAGCAAGCACATTTTCGATAGCAACAACTTCGACATCAACAAGGGTCTTCGTTGCGGCAATAAAGAATGATGTCACAAAACCGGTAACCATGAGCACCAACAGAATGAGCATGAAACAAGAACCGAATCGCGATAGGCAACCGCGTTCACGTTGCGCCATGTATTCCATTTGTCGCAGACTGGCGCTATTCGGGCGACGCCCATGGCGACTGCGAGGTACTCGTGGATTGCCCACCAGTGGCGTGCGCTCATCATCGGCCCCTTCTGCGTCAAAATCGTATACCTCACCCGCCTTCTTGGAGCCGCTGACGGATCTGTAGTTGGGCGAAGAACGCGTATTACTATTGCGCGAGGTTCTATATCCACTGCCAATGAAATGCCGCGGTGATTTCAGCGGCTGTTGCGTCTGAGATGAAGGGAAAGGCGAGTCGTTGTCGAAGAGAGACGGGTAAATGCTACGCCCATGGCGTCCAATGTGATGGTGCCGCGGGGTGATTGTACCACTCCCATCGCCTCTCGACCCATTTCGGTTCCCGTCAGCCTCCGCAGCCTCGCCATCCAAGCTACTGGTGTACGTGTTGTTAGTGAATTTCATGCTGCGCTTCCCAGTGACACTGTGAACACCATCTCGAAGGCCACCGCGTGAACGGCCACCCAGATTAGACAGACCAGCCAGCTGATCCACTTGGCTTGCCATGGAGGTGGCACTAGGTGTCCGAGAATGGTATCGTGATTGCCGAGGAGGGAATGGATCGGGAGGATTAGATTCGTAGACAAATGTCTCGTCGGAGTCAGAAACATCAGCTTCGTCCACCGCACTCGCGACTTTAGCCTCAAAGATATCAGCCTTGCTTGAGGCGGGACCCGTGAGATTATTTTGCCGGCGATTCTTTTTCTTTTCTTTGCGAGGCCGGATTGTTTCGGTGGATCGCTTCATGCGTAGAGTACCCGGTTCAGCGCGGCCTGTAGTGCCTCGTTCACCGGCGCCAACACCTAAAGACACTTGCGGTATGGAGCTGACAGTCTCTGTTTCTACCGTCATGTTGCGGACCGAGACATCAGCAGGCTTCCCCCGGGCACCAGCACTGAGAGACGTTGAAGACCGCTGTGGCATTATACCAGGGGGCCTGGTTGAACTACTAGTTGCACGAGAGCGGCTTTCCTCCCTCATCTCCGAGCTCCTGTTTCCCCCACTGTCACTCCCGCTCTCTGTATTATGTCTTGAGGCTCGCGGTGTTGGGTCTTCGTCAATAGTATGTAGTCGAGAATCGTCGGGAGTCACTGGTGTGGCCGGTAGAAGAATGGTCTCACTCGACGTCGATGGATCACTTGCCATCTCTTGGACCGTCTCCAGAGAGAGGCCTTGCCCACTGGCACCCCTCGCGACAGTACGAGGACTGCTTCGTTCCGTCTTTCCATATTCGTCATACTGAGGGAATGATCGCTTCTGCGAGGTATTCGGTAGAGTGGACTCTGGTTCCGCGCGACGATTCTCTGCCCGTGATGGCATATTGGGATTTTCTGGACTGAGAACATTTGCTGGACGATCCGGAGTACTGGGTTGGGCCCCTGCGAGTTGAGCAGGAGGCGTAGAAGATCGTATAGGAATAGTTGACAGGTGACCGTTGCTAAGTGATCTGGCGTGTCCAAGTCGGTCCTTGCTGCTTCTACGCGAGTGGGAATGGGATTGTACTCGGTCGGTTAATGATGTATTGTTAGTGCGTGAGGAGTTTCGGAGAGGGGAGGAGTCGCGGGAGGAGACGGCGGAGGCGGAAGAAGATGCCGGGATGGAAGATATTTGAAGATTGTGGATGAGCTTAGGCATCTGGGACATGGGCTGGGGAGATTTAACGCTTGGACGCGGAATCTCCGTCATGTCCCCATCACTGGACGAACGAGTCAGGGTATCTGATGCAACCTCTGCATCCTGGGTAGCTTTGGTTCGGTCAGAGGAGCCATCAAGGCAAGGCAACCTCTCAGATTCCGATGCCATGATTCTTCTATGAGCTGACACGCAGACCAGTCAGATTTACCAGGGATAATCCCTAGGAAAGTTGGGCAGGAACCGAGTCCCCGAAGAGGAAATCGGGAAAAGCAAGGTGCAACGCCCCACAAGGAGGCTCGACGGTGAGTAAGCGAGTTGTTGGCAGGGCGTGCTCGGTAGCGAATGAGGATTTGCAGTTGAAGTGAGCGAAGGATATTGTGCAGAAGTACTGGTTCTGTTACACAAGAGATAGAGAGAAAGCAGTCAAGTGAATGACCACATGCTGTTCGATTGTTGATTACCGAGTTTGCGGTCCTGGGGCCCAAGAACGATTCCAGAAATGATTGCTGCAGCAGGTTGCAGGGGTCAGGTAGGGTTGTCTTTTTCGAAAAGATTGGAGGTGTGTTTAGTGACAAACGGCAGACATGGAAAGCCGGTGAATTTAATTCCCGGATTCAAGACGAGAAAACAAGAACGTCTAGAACACGATAGCGCAAGGACGGAAGACGTTGGTTGGTGGAATTAAGGGGGGAAACGGATATGCCGATCCGGCTCAACGTTTCTTGTTATTTTATTGTTTTTATTTCTCACATGAGAATTGAGCAAGTGTGGCGTTTGAAGCCGATACTGCAAAGATATGGAAGAAAAAGTGGCTGACAAGTGTGGAAGCGTCAGAGCCAATGATCGTGGCCCACGTCAGGATAGAGAAGGTGTGGGCCTTGCACTGGGAGCACACGGATAGTCTAGCCCTGTAGTCTGATGTAGTAGGACTTGGAATGTGCTGGATATGGTGGAACAAGGAAGAGTGGAATAAAACAGGGTCAGGAAGAAGTAGGGAAGTTGAGAAAAGAAGCAAAGAAGTTGGAAGTTCAAGTATCAGAATCCGGGGTTCTTGGAAACACATGACGCAGGTAATTTAATCCACAAAACCATTTAATTATAAAAAACAAGGCTGGCAGTAAGTATAATTTTAATTACATAGTAATAACAATACCACTAATGGCCATAACAAAACAATTTACCGGAAGTAGTTAAAGGGCGATTAAATTGCAGTACTCCATATTATTACTTAATTTAGTGTACGCCGTAATTAGCAGCTCCATAAATAGGTACTTTCACAATAATGGACTTCTCTAGAAGCTATTTATTCTATATAAACTCGTCCGGATCAAATTTGGGGTATATCCAAGCTCTAAGAAGAGAGGGTCGACTCTTTTGAATCCAAAAATGAGATAAAGAAAAGTCAAAAATGCCACATACAAAACCAATAAATTTGTCAGCTCCGTATAGTTACTGTATCACTTGAAGCACATCATACCATAGCAAAAGACCAGATAATTACAGAGAGAAAGGTGGGTATCGTATGGGACTAGATCCGGGTTGGGATGTACATGCAAATACACTACACAATATTGTACACTCGCTTGGCGATTAAGAAGGAAAGCAAGGCAAAGAAAACCAAGCCAGCAGTGACTGTAGAATGGTGAGGTTAGAAAAATATCAAATGGAAGTTCCAAGGGAATACATACTCGACCAGAACCAATTAAGGCTGTCAATATCCTGACCGGGAACTTTGACGTTCATACCCCACATGCCACATATAATGTTCATGGGGAGGACAATAGTACCCAAAACGGTAAGTTTGCCCAAAACATCCGCAGTCTGCTCTTGACGCTCGTTCATCAGAATATTTATCTGCGCCAGGTAATTGGAATGTGCGCGTGAGAGCATCCTAAGCCGAATCAGTTAACAAAGACTCAATTTAACATGAAAGGAACAGTACTCACGTCTCATAATGTGTCAAATTTCCAGTCATAGTCATGATGTGATCCTGAATATCTCCCAGATACAGACCAATCTCGGATTTTGGTGCTACCTCCCACTGCTCATTACAGCGCTTGGCAAACCCCTTGACCACATCGGCCTTGTTGCTCAGTAGCCGGTATAGGCCCATGACTTTCTTGCGGCATTCTCCCACTCGTCGTAGCATATCTCCGGGCGAGAACGAGGCCATGACTGAAGCGCCTTCTTTACTTGATGAGTGCATCTGCATGATCAATTCATCTATATCGTCGACTTCATCTTCGATAGCTTGAATCAGTGGGCCGAAGACATCAGTGATATCGTCGATCAATGCATATGAGATCCAGTCGGAGCTCAAAATCAGATAATCCATGAGTTGACGGATTCTTCGCCGCACGTTGGCGGAGTGGGGAGTCTGAGAGAAGTGGAATGAAACCACTCCCTCCCGAAAAACGACCACATACATATTAATAGGTTCGAGGTAATTCTCACTGTTGACGTCTTGTTCAAAGGTGCGATAGTTGACAAAGTAGTAGCTGCGGAAAAGTTCCACCTTCTCTCGAGCTTCTTGCATCATGATATCCTCCGCGGTCAGAGCGTGGATACCAAATGCCTTAGCGATGGTACGCATCTCTGCATCGGTTGGGGAGAGCACATCCAACCAAAACGTTGGCCGAGGACCGTACTTTTTGGGCTTCGCGGTAGGGTTTGGCTTCGACGGTGAAATTTCGCGGGAGCTTAACTTGGACTCGCTAGTGACAGACAAGTTTCGCAGGAGCTCTTTGTTTCCATCGATAGCTGCCTGCGCAGGATCGCGCTCACTCGATTTGAGGTCCATGTTCGATGCTGGTCTTCGTATACCGCTAACGGGGGTGTTGTTCCAGTGTGCGGCACCACTCTCAGCAACAGAATTGTCGCCTTCAAAGTCTTCCTCGTCCGATGAATCTTCCAATTCCGGTGGGTCAGGAATAAAAAGCTCCCTAAAATCACCTCCTGGCCGTACTAGCTCAGAGATGGTCTGTGCATGAATCGTACTCTGCAGCTCTTCATTAAAGTAAGTGAACCGATAGGGTGCTTCCTCCTCCTCGCGGCGCCAGAGTTTATATTGAGGGCGTAATCGGCCCTCGATGAACATTGGCTCGCTGATCTGCTTCACACGCTGATCTCCACTGCGATCTTCTTTCTCCTCACGACTCCACTCTTCCAGCACTGAGAGATCTGGCCATGGCCGATGTCTGCGCCGTCGCCGTTCATTGGTCTCATCTCGTGCCACTTGAGGTTCTTCATCTCCCATGTCTGATATGGCGGGGAAGCAAACATCTTCTTCCACCGGTAGAGCCACAGTTCGGCGCCGCCGTAGCTCCTGCGGAGAATATTGACCCGAGCGAATTGACGAAGGGGCGGAGTGATGTGCTCCCTCCATATGAATCACGGTGTCATTCGTCCTATTCGACGAATCCCTGCGAGTCTCCATAGACCGTGCCATTGTAAAATCAAACTCGGCCCCCGTCACCATAGCATCGTCATAGTTCATGTCGGGAGTGATCTTGGGCGTGCCAGGAATCGAAGGCGGGTTGTTAACGTCATAGTCGCGCTCTGAGTAGATACTATGATTTGGCGAGCATTGCGATGATGATACCGTCCGAACGGATGCCCGTCGTGGAATCTGCGGCAAGTCGCGCGACTCCGTTCCATAATGAGAAAATACAGGTGTATGTCCAGGCTGATGGCGCATCAATGGCGTCCGGTCGTTAGTATCAGACCCACCACTATCTCCTTGGTATTGTTGGGTCCGTCTGAAGACCGTGGTGTTGGTAGCACGAGAATCGTTAGATCGAAAGGCAGTGGCAACCAGCGAGCTGGGTCGGTACGATGAGGCGGGGCGACTGTCTCGACGAGGACGCATCATGGGCTGATCCCTAAGATTTACAACAAACCAAATTAGGAGACTGAAGTTGTTGCCGGTACAGAAATTAAGACAGGGACATACCGATGGTCCAGTAGGGCATCGCTCTCGAGGCTGCTTTCACTCAACTTCCTGCCCAATTTGAAAAACGACGGTACCTCCTTTGGCGTGGGATGATCACCCTCCATCAACTCTCTGGCAGCACCAGTCCCCGATGAGATTGCCTGTGGGTCATGAGAATCTTGTGTGGTGGGTGTGAGGAAGGACTCCTGTCGGTTTTGACGCTTTCGTTGACGATTCTTCTTGCGCTTTGACTTTGAGGTTTTCCCAGCACCGCTAGCAACGCTATCAGTCGCCGGGGGCTCTAGGCGGGTCCCGGAGGTTGTGGCCGATGCATCAATTCTTCCCGGGCCTCTAATTGGGCTATTTCCGGATCTGCTGGCAGTGGGGAATGGATAATCATTTCGAGAAGGGTCTCTTTCGACGGTTGATGCTGGCAGGGAAGATAGCTGCGCACGTGAGTTATCAGAGCCAGGGGCCGGGATTGTTGGATCCATCACGACTTGCTGTATATCACTGTAATAATGATCATGATCGTGAGTATCTTATCAGCGAGGAATTGGAAGATGCGCTAGAGTCAACCAATTGAGGCCTGGCCTGCAACTTTGAAAGAGCAATATAAGCGCTGAGAGATGTTCTCGATGATCTCAAATCATGGAAATACAGCCTGCATGTTCCAGACAGCAAGGATCAGCACATACATGGGACTCGTCTAGAATGACGCGTGTGGCGACAGAATGTGGAACATTAGGCGATTTTCACCGCACAGATCTAAAGGGTCCAGCCGCAATGAGTGGAGAATAAATAGATGAGGAGGAAATACAAGCAAGGAATCGGTTCCAAATATTGAGGTGAAGTTGAAAGCTTTCTAAGCCTAACAACAAGTACTCAGCTCAGGTGACTTCAATGGTTGGTAGAGAAAGCTCATTGGCTCAGATGGAGCGATGAGGTCAGATATCAAATAAAAAGCTTTACCTATTTATTTACTAAGTACTCGTAGATTATCACCCAAGTCATGTAAGAAAAGCCACATTAGAGGCTATTTTTCTCATTCAAGAGAGAGAGATGTGGGGAGAAGTAATTGAAAAAAAAAATATTGCAAAAAGTAATGAGCGACGCAGGGATCGAACCTGCAATCTCTTGTGCCGAAAACAAGCGCCTTGCCATTAGGCCAGCCGCCCTATTATGACATAATTCACAGATCTTAGTATATATAACCTAAATTTTTGATATAAGTTTTACCTATTCAAGACCAATATGATTACTATCCACTGAATTAAAACCTGCCCACCTGGCCAGGTTATACTTTTCCAAAGTCCTAGGTACATGCCTAATAGGTACTGCTCATAAATTTACTGACTACCCAGGTGGTTTCTAACATAACCTTGAAATGTTGATTGGTTTTAATCACCCGCTGCATATATAAATATATATGGCATCAGGACCTCGGGAGGGTTGTATCGGATCCATTCTACTTGGTAGGTAATATCAACTCTAAGGTTGCCGGATTTTTTAGTTAAGAGGAATAATACCCTAGCCCTAGTGCACTGGAGGTAGTAATTACTAGGTACCCTGGAAGAGGACATACGAGCTATGGAGAGATCCATTGATGCTGGCGAAATGTGTAAGATTTCTATTACATCGCCAGAAAGTAGTCATAAATCATGAGACATAAAACGTAATAGATACATAACAGGCGTCTTCTGAACAAATAAAAAAAAAACCTAGAAAAAGAACCAAAAAAAACTCCAAATATTGAAGACACAAGACCCAAGACTAACGGCCCTAGATGATAGCCAGAGTCCACAGATAAAAGGAATAAGAAAATAAAACATCTATATGGGAGCAGTCGAGATTACGAGTGTGATGCCTCAAATCATGTTGCTCATGTCCATCATAGATGACGAGGGCGCAATGGACGGTGCGATCGAAGGCGCGAGGCTGTGGACCGACTTACTGGCGTCTAGAGACATATCATCTCCACCTGTCATATGTGAGAGTCTCTTGTCTTTGCTAGGGCGGGCGATCAAGACCTGTGCTGGACAGACGACGACTTCTTCTTCGCCCTCTCCGAAGTCGTTGCCCTTCTTCACGACTAGTGGGAAAAGCACAATGCGCACGACAGCTTGTTGCGTCTGGAGCTCGTCATTAGAGTTGGTTTCGCCGCTGCGCTCGTTCATGAGCGATGCATTGAAGAATACCTGGCGAGCTAAATCTCCATTGGTGTCGTATTCAGGCTGCAGTGGCGGCAGCATGATATACTCTGCCATTTGAGTGCGCATTTCAAGGGAGAGAATGACAGCGACACGCATAACCTTACGGAGAGACTCAAGCAACTGAGCCTCCACCGCGGAAGGAGGAGGGAGGATGCGCGACAAGGTACCGAAGATTTCAAGAGTCACGGCCTCGGTGTCACTCTGGCGCTGGGACGCGAAAGCCGGCCGTCGGGATAGTAGAGTTAAGGTGGTCGCTCGCCAACGTTGTACAGCGCGACGAGCACCGACCTCGCCCAAGTGTTTCTCAAGGGACTTGAGTTTTTGGCGCTGTTCTCTGTCCATGCCGAATAGATAGCGGGTGAAGATGTACTCCCAAACCATGGTCATAACCACCGACATGAACACATCTCGGCGACGGACGCGGTCAGACAGGTACGAATCAGCGTCTGAACCATCAAGAAGAGCATTTTCAAAGCGGTCGGCGATCTTCTCATCACGCAGTTCACTCAGAAGACGGCAGCGACGGTGGTCAGAGTGTTTGGAAAAGCGCAGCACCCATTGTTGGACATGACCGCAGAGCTTTTGGCAAGCGGCATCGAAATAGTCCTCGTCGCGGAAGACAAGCGCATTGTCATTAACCGATGCCGATATCTGCTGTTGCAATTCCTTGACTTTGTCCCGAGCCTGCTCCAACTCGACACGAAGGCGTTGCAGCTCCGCATCCTTGAGAGTCAGAGCTGACTCGATCTCTTGCCGGACACGTTCCTCTATTTTTGTTGATAGCTCTCCATGCTGCAATCGCAAGTCGTCGAGCTCGCGAGTGGATGATTCGCGCACGTGGGTCACTTCTGAGGCGTGGGCGGCAGCAAGAGCCGCATTAGAAGCTGTGAGGCCCTCATTTTCTTGCGTCAGGCGACCCATTTCTCTTTGCAGCCAATCTACGGAGCTCTTCAGCTGTTCCACTTCGGCTTCTTTGTCCCGCAAGTCGTGGTCGCTAATGTTGAGAGCTTGGTCGCTCCTCCGGCGAGCGACGCTGTTCTTGCGCATTCGTTCCTCAGCTTCATCGCGAGCAGCTACAAGCAGACGATTCTCGGAGATGAGCTGATCGAGTCGAGTCTCGAGATCTTGGAGGTGTTGTACACTCTGACGACGACGGACACTAGGCGGTCGGCTGGGCGACCGTGGGGAACTGGAAGTTTCACCCCATCCCTCCTGAGAAAAATAATTAGTAAACAATTAAACAAAGAAAACAAATAAAACAGATAAAACAAATTCAACTTACATAAACATCCGACATGTTTCTTAGGGCACGCTTGCCCTTGTCAGTGACGGGGTCGTAAGAGGAGGAAGAGGGAAGCTGATCGAGATCGAGTAATGGGGGAGGCTGGGAGTCCGAGACCCGACTAGCCGCCCGCATATCACTACTAGTCCTCCTATTCGCGCGTCGAAGTTTGCCTTTACTTCCAGCGGGTTTCAAGACTGGCATACCATGTTCAGGTGTTTTTGATGGAGATCTTGTTGAATGAGTTTCGTCAATATCTGGTGTTGGCCATGCCTCACTTGCCATCGAGTTGTCCGTGAATTTGCGCACGGGAGTTTGAGGTCGAGGTAAAACGTGTTCAGGTTTGATCTCCAGACGGGGCGAGCCGTAATGCGCCATGATATCCTTGTTGATACCCGCTGTTTCCTGTTCTGCAATCGGGTCGAGTGGAGTTCGAGGACGAGTTGCATCGTCGAATGGCCCAAAGATAGATCGAGGTGGAGATGGAGTTCGCACAGCTGCGATTGCTGATTCTTCCAAGTTCCATGTCCGGGGTGTATGTTGGTGTTGGCCATGGATGATTGATGGGGTTCGGTGTAGACCAATTGCAGTATTCTTGCCAGACTCCAGCTGGGAAGGTAAAGGAGGCACGGGTGAAGACTGCTCCTCATTTCGAGTAGATGGAGATGAACTGAAGAGTATTGAGGATCGCTCTTTGGAAGAGGACTTCGGGGGTGGAGAGGAGAATCTCTGTAGATGGTCGCGAGGCTTTGGGAGCTCAGGTTCGGGTTCATGGGATTCTTCCGTATAAGTGAATAGATCCTCCAAGGGATCATGCTGCTGAGCTACTTCAGGTAGAACATCGTCCGTAGCCTCGACGAGCTCATGGCTGGTTTCAGTAATCTCTCTGGATTCAGTGGTCACTAGAGGTGCTTCCGAGACGGGGATCGCAATTTCGCGATTCGCTTCTAAGTCCGCTACAGTCTCTTCCTCAGCACTATCTTTTAGCGACGGTGTTTGCTGTTCTAGAGTAGATCGTCGAAACCCTCTGCGCTCCAAGTCGGGAAAAAGATTGGCAATATTGGGCCCTCCAGGAGTTGTAGATCTCATGGGCGGGATGGACTCGATCTCCATGGGCAGTTTCGACTGCATGTCTGAGTCTAGTTCAACCTTCTTGTGTGACGGCTCTTGCAAAGTTTCATCAGACTCCACAAGGCCAATCTGCTCAGATTTCCGCTTGTTTTTCTTGGCCTTTTTTTGTCCTTCTTGCTCAAGGGTGCAGACCACTTTTCTTCCTCAGCCTCTCCGGCCTCCTTTGTGGCCACTTGTAAGGCTGAGGGAATGGCGGACTCGTCAAACTCATCTATAGCCTCCGTGGCAGGTATTGGTACAGGCTCGGCTTCGGGGATTTGATCTTGTAATTCGGCAGAGTTTCTAGAGTTTCCAGATTTTCTGGGGTCCCAATCAATCGTTGGGAACTCCTCATCTGGCTTTGAATCTTGCAGCGCAAGGTCAAAATCCCTGTCTGTTGGTACACCCTTTTCAAGAGGAATTGCAGACTCTGATTGACCGATCTCATTGTCGAGGGGTTGCTGAACTTCTTTGGCCTTTTTCGCCTTCTTTTTGGACGCCTTTCGAGAGAGAGTCGGCTCAGGTTCTGTATATTCAGTAGCTAGTTCAGGAATTACTAGCAGCGGGTCCTCAATTGATTTTGGCTCATGGTCAGGTTGAGCATCAGAGAAAGGATTGGCTTCCCGTTCGAGCTCAAATTCCTTCTCGTTCTCCACGGTAGGATAAACTTCGATATTTCCCGCCTCATGCTCGAATATTGAATCTGCAGGCGTGTCGTGAACGGCAAGCTCGGACTTAGGAACAAGTTCCTGGGCCATGTCCATGTCCGTCACAGCAACGGCTGTAGGGTCAAGCTGTTTGGTCTCTGGAAGTTTTACATCCTTCTCCGGAATCTCTTTGGGTAGATCCACAGGCTCTTCTTCCGCCTGTTTCTTTGCCTTCCTTTTTTCTTTCTTAGAAAGCTTGCGACTGACAGCTGGGGTTGAAGTCGGCTTCTCTGTCACTTCTTCGGGCGTGGCTTCGTGGTCGAAGCTTCCGGGTGTAGGTGAGGATTCCACAGGCTTCTCAGAAACATTCTCGGAGGCGGCAGAAACTGCGGGGAGTGGTTCCTCAACTAGGTCCCTTGTGTTATGTTCGGCCTGCAACTCTGGCTGAGTCTGCTCATTAGAACTGTCTGCTAACGCATCAACAGGAACAGATTGCTCATCAACAGGAACAGATTGCTCATCAACAGGAACATATTGCTCATCAACAGGAACAGATTGCTCATCAACAGGAACAGATTGCTCATCAACAGGAACAGATGGCTCATCAACAGGAACAGATGGCTCATCAACAGGAACAGATGGCTCATCAACAGGAACAGATGGCTCATCAACAGGAACAGATGGCTCATCAACAGGAACAGATGGCTCATCAACAGGAACAGATGGCTCATCAACAGGAACAGATGGCTCATCAACAGGAACAGATGGCTCATCAACAGGAACAGATGGCTCATCAACAGGAACAGATGGCTCATCAACAGGAACATATGGCTCATCAATAGGAACAGATGGCTCATCAACAGGAGCAGATGGCTCATCAATAGGAACAGATTGCTCATCAATAGGAACAGATGGCTCATCAATAAGAACAGATGGCTCATCAACAGGAGCAGATGGCTCAGTAATCTTGTCCTCTTGAGCAGCGACAGCCGCGGCAGCAGCAGCTGCGGCGGCGGCCTTCTTCTTTTCCTTCTTACTCATTTTCCGCAATACCGTAGGCCGCTCATTCTCGGGTTTGACAAGAGTTTCATCCGGCTGTTTAAGAGATGTCTCAACAGGTAGCGTGTCAGGGTGAGTGTCTGAAAAAGAAGCCTGGATTTCCTCCACTGTGGTGCTGATCTCAGTCAAAGGCTCAATCGCAGGTTCAGCTGGGTTGGGACCGCTGGCGATTTGTAGTTCCTCTTCAGTAATATCTCGAGGGAGGTCAGGGTTCGGTTCATCGGCAACCTGCACGGTGGTTTCAGTCTGATCTTTGAATTGATTATTTTCTTGCTGATCTGAGACAAGTACAGCGGGGTCAAGCTCTTCAGGGATAGAAGTGGAAAGCTCAACTGCCTCGGAAACTGGCTGCTTTTCAATCTTGGCTTCGGCTTCAGCTTCAGCTGCGGCTTGTTTGGCAAGAAGGGCTTCACGCTGCTGCTGCTTCTTTCTTTCCTTCTTGCTCAGCTTTCTGGATAGTGAAGGGGCTTCTCCTTGCTCGACCTCGGAAACAGTCGGTGCTTCCTCCGAGGGCTTGATGTCCTCGGGTAATTCAGCCTGCTCCACAACTTGGGGCGTAGGGGCATCTTCAGCTTCATTGATCTGTTTTACTGAAGGGTGTTCAGTAACTGGTACCGTCTCAGGCTCTGCAGTTTGATCAGATTCCGCGACTGGTGTGGAATCAGCTTCCTGAGGAAGAGATTCCGGAGAATCATTGTCCTCTAGCTGTAGTGACTCCAGCTCAGGAGCAGGGACGTCTTTCTCAATGCTGGCTTCTTGCTGTTGCTGCTTTTTTTTCTTTTTGTCTTTTTTTTCTGGCTCTTGGACGGTGGTTGAATGGACTCTTTCACACCTAATTCTTCTCCAACAGCAGTCTCATCCTCAATTTTGTCAACGGGCAACTCTGAAGCTGGCTCCTCAGTAGAAACCTCGTCCTTCAAATCCGACTGCAACTCCTTGTCAATAACATCTTCTGTCTTAGTACCTTCCTTCGCAGTGCCCTCCAAAACATCATCCACTGCATTTTCGACGTCATACTTCAAGTCTTCCTCCATACCAACCTCCTTTTCTGTAGCTGTCAATTCTTTAGCTTCCAAAGCAGCTGATGCAACATCCTCCTCTTTTTGTTCATTAGACTGGCTAAATTCAAGATTTCGATCAAGTACGTGAGAATCCATAGAACGGCTCTCTGACTGTGGCTGTTCTACCTGCGAAGACACGAACTCATCAGTCGAAGCTAAATCATTCGCCTGGACGTCTGGCGTTTCTATGTCGTGGGTCAGGTATTCTTTACCATCTTCTTTCGCAAGCAACGGAGCCGTCACGGATTCAGGGAGATCTGTGGTGTTTGTCTCTGTAACAATAGTTTTTTCTGCTTCCTGGGCGACAGCTTCGGTAATTGCAGAGTCGGACTCGGTGGTATGGGCGAGATCGAGATCTAAGTTCTTCGATTGGCGTTTCTTGTTCTTCTTAGCTTTACGTCGCTCCTTGGCTGAAAGTGCAGTATCGGCTTCTGGCTCTGCAGGCTGTTCAGTCTCCTCACCACCACCCTCAGGAGATAGAATAGGTTCGGCTGTAGTTGACGATGTATCCAAATCCTGAACGTCAGTATGATCTTGAACAGCGATCTGATCGATTTCATTGCTTGGCGTTGTTGAGTCGGTGGGTTGTACAGTCTCGTTAGGCTCGTTGCTGTCGGACTGAACTATCTCGACACTCTTCTCAGTAGATTCCTCGGCTACGGCATCTTTTGCCTTAGAGAGTTCTTGCTCGATGGCCGCATCGGTAGTTTCTGGTAGCTGGGTGATTTGAGTATCCTGGGCCTCAGAGATGTCAACTGGAGACTGAGCTGAAGAGTCAGGCTTTTGAAACTCTTCCATTGGGTTAGAAGGCTCCGATATCTCTTCTACAGACTTAGATTTCCTTTTCTCCTTTTTCTTGAGCTTGCGGCGCTCCTTGGCTGATAATCCGGCGTCCGTATTCTCTTCCGTATTCTCTTCCACAGGCTCAGCACCTTGGAAGGAGGATTCCTCAGCAGCCGGCACTATCTCCTCAGAGGGAGCAGGAATGGACACTTCAGGTTCAGGTTTTTCCAATTCTTTGTCTACTGGAGCCTCGGGCTCAGTGGTCTCGACATTGGAAGCCGATTGAAGGGCGTCTTCATCGGGGAAGGCTTCGGCTGTTTTAGTGTTATCTAGAAAAACATCCTCTGCACTTTTCGTTGCATCCACGACAGAAATCTGTGGCTCAATAGCATCGTTTTCTTTAACAGCGGGGACATATTCTTTAACGCCGAGAGGAGTTTCGGTTAACTCCTCAGTTGGAATGACTCCAATAGCGGCCGCATCCCGCGAGCCCACATCTTTCACTGATTCGGAAGCTTCTTGCTCAGGGTGATCATCATCATTTTGAGTCAAAGGTGTCTCTCCCACGTCCCAAGAGACGGACTTGCGCTTCTTCTTGTCTTTCTTAGCCTTTTTCTTTGAGACGAACTGAGAGTCATCTTCAGTGGCGCCACTACTTGGCAAATCGGCAGTAGGCTCTTCTTTGGGACTTTCCTCTTGTACAGGCTCATCGGATATCTGGGGCGCTTCAACAAAAGCAGTTGTCTCAGAAATCTCGGTGGAAGCGGGTGCTTCACTGTTGTCAGGTGAAGAGGGTCCGATTGGCGCTTCCTTGACGGGTTCAGATTGCGACTCGGGCTGCGATTCTTCAAGGCCAAGAGACTGGCGCTTCTTCTGTTTTTTCCTCTCTTTCTTTGACATCGCAGGGGCTGGTTCGAATTCAGCGAGCTGCTCTACCTCAGCAGATACTGGCTCGCCGGGCGTGGCAGTGTCTAATGGCATATCTGCAGCGACGGTTGGCTCATCATCAGCTTTTTCCAATCCACGCCTGGTCTCCGCAGGTGCACTTTCCTCCTTGGAATCTTGGTATATTTCTGACATAGGAGCAGTATCCGCAAGTGGAGAGTCAGAGGGAATTTCCTGAGGCAATGAAGCTTCAATTGTCTCAGTAGGCAAATCAGACTCTAACGTAGATAGAAAATCTTTATCGACAGGGTCCATAGCAGACACCTCGTCAATAACGGGAGTATCTTGGATGTTCCCATCGATCTCTTTGGATTCGGCCTCAACCTCAGGATCGATATTAGCTTCAGACGGAGGAATCTCTGCAGGGACAGCCTTTTCAATCATAGAATCGGCGGCACTATCAGGGGGGAGGTCCACAGCAGTGATTGGCTGGGAACCCACTAGTTTTCCTTCAGCTTGTCTTGCATCTTGCTGCTCTAACGAATCAACAAAAGTGGGCTGTTCCAAAGACTGCATGGTCTGCTGTTTCTCCTGCTTCTTCTTGTCTTTCTTGGCTTTTTTCTTTTGAGCAGCAGTCATTGGAACCTCAGGCTCAGCTGGCACAGGCACTGGTCCCTCTTCAGGGAGCTTAATTACTTCAGTGGGAACTTCAGGTTCATCAGTAGCAACAGGGTCTGCGTTGACTTCCTCGGGCTTTTCACTCTCAATGGCATCATTCTTTTCTTGCTCTGAAAGATTGGCTGAGGGGGTAATGTCTTCGGAGGAAAAAGGAACATCAGTGCTAGGTTCCGTTGATGTCTCAACGGCGAGCGTATTGGCGTCCCGTGCATTCTGGACAGCAGTAGAATCAACAATGTCAAGATCTGCAAGCAGAACAGGTGTATCTTCAGCCATGATATTTTCAGTTTCAAGAGAAGGCTGAATATCTTTGACAGGTTCCAAAACCTCGGGCTCGGGCGTTAGAGAAGTCTCAGTAGCTCGTACTTCATCAGCGGAACCTGTGCTCTTTTCCTGCTCCTGTTGCTGCTGCTCCTGTTTCTTCTTCAGCTTCTTGGCCTTCTTCTTTTGTGCAGCAGTCATAGGAGCATCGGGTTCAACAGCCTGGGTCTCTTCTAATTCGGGCTGTGCCTGAGAAATCATGTCGTCCTGGGTTGAAGGCTCTTCTTCCTTGTGTTCAGTATCATCGGAATTGATAGGTAAATCTGAGACAGCCTCGGTGACAGTGGGGGTCAAGATGGGCTCAACCTCCTTCGCCTGCTCAGTCTCAATGTCCAGCTCCTTCGTTTGTTCGAAAGGAGCGACATCAGTCATCAAATTCTCAGTATCGGGGACTGTTTGAACTGCTTCATCAGGAAGTATCTCAACAGCTGGAGTGACTACCGGCTCAATATTCTCAATAGGTTGAGCTTCTGGAAGTTGTGATTCAGCCAGCTGGGGGTCGATAGACTTGTCCGCAGAAATCGAGGGCGCACTTTCCTGCTTGGACTTCCTCTTCTTGTCCTTCTTAGCCTTTTTCTTCTGCGCCGCGGTCAGTGGGATTTCCACCTCTGGTTCAACTTTGGAAGTGGCCTGGTCAGGTATTTCCGCAGGAGGCTCAACCGGCTCGGTGGAAGATATTGGCTCTACATCGCCAGATAAGGCTAGCAGTGATTCATCTGTAGGGGCAATTGTAGGGGCAATTTCTTCGAAAGCCGGCTCCAACACATCTGTGACCTGTCTAGAGCCGTATTCTGGCTGAGTTTCGTAAGTGTCGGAGTATTCGCCGGATGGGGAACCTGTCTCGCCCGAAGGTGGCAATGTAGGTTCTTCAGTCTTGTCAGCCTCGGCAGGTTGTGTCTCAACCGTTTCTTGGAAGACGTCCTCCGGTGCTTCTGTCTTTGAGATGGTATCAGCCTCTTTGGTGACAGTGACAGGCTCTTTGACCTCCTCTGAAGGTTCTACGGCGTCTTGGGAAAGTTCAGACTGCTCAATGACTTTCGCAGAAGGCTGGGATAAGTTGACCTCACGAGTTACAGAGACTGGAGCATCAAGAGATGTAGATTCATAAGCTGGTGTGATGTCTTGTGCAGGCGAGTGACTGATTGTTTCGGTTGGAACTGGCGCTGCGGCTTCAATCGTTTCAAGGGAATCCTGAAATCCAAGAGCTCCGTCAGCAGACACAGAATCACTAGCGACATTTCCTTCCTGGAGTGTCTCCATATCAACAGGCTTTGCTGGAACAGGAGATTCCTCCGGTTTTTGAACAGGGGCGGAAACATTCTCATTGCGCTGGCTTTGATCCTCGGAAAGTGTATCTGATGGTTGAGCATCCGCAACATCGTCCACGGCGGATATGCTCTTTGCCTTCTTCTGTTTTTTCTTGTCGCGCTTGGCCTTTTTGGATAGATTTTCAGTAGGCTCAAGCTGCTCAGACTCAGCAGGTATCTCGGAAGGTATCTCGGACTCTGGCTGAGCCACTGAAATAGTCATAGCTTCCACTGGTTCGTTTTCTGCAGCTACAGCGGGAGCAGATTCAGGCTCACGGACTACCTCCAGCTGAGAGTCACCGGTCAAATTCGCCTCTGCAGATTGATAAACCTGAGTAGACAAAACTTCAGGCTCAAGCTCTGCGGAAGCCTCAATATATTCAGCCTCAGACGAAGCAGTGATGCCTCGGTCAGCAGCGTTTTCAAACTCAATGGAGCGAGGTTCTTCGGCACTCTCCACAACAGGAGTCTTCTCTTCTGAAGCAGTTGGCTCAGGGGTCAAGTCAACACTTTGACTTGCCTTGCCCTTTTTCCCCTTTTTCTTCTTTTTACTCTTGGAGGAAAAGGGAGTCATCACTTCCTCGGCGACTGGCTCATCTTTTGGCTGTGGCTCCTCGGTCTTGGGTTCCGTGGGAGGTTCAAGTATCAGTTCTTTCGTTCCTTCCTCGGCCGACTCGGCGTCGAGAATCTCGAAAGGTTCTTCACCTGCTAAGGCAGAGAACTCGCTCTTTACCTCGTCCGTCGTAGGTTTGTCGTGGGAAGAGGTCTCTGCCACGACAGCAGCATTGACGACATTGGCGAAGCCCGGGAAGAAAGTGGGCACATGAGTGTGTTCTGCAGTAGGTTCTGGAACACTTGGAATGACTTCAACCCTAGGGGAGGAAGTAATCTCAGTGAGCTTTTCATCGCCAGAACTCGCTTGCTTTGAGCTCTCTTTCACAGCATTAATGACAGCGGCATCAACAAGACCTGCAAACCCAAATCCGAGAGCAGGAATACCACTAGATGAGGAATTCTCTTGAGTGGGAGTAGTAATATCAGGCTGCACATCAATGGCACGCTCGTTGTCCTGAGAGTCCATTACCCCAATAACCGAGCCCACCGGCGAAGGAAGGCTCTCGATAGTAGGCGAGGGAGGCAATTCAGGATAAGTCTCAGAATCACGAAGAAGTTCCGAAGGAGAGTGGAATTCATACTTCGGCTTATCCTTCTTCGCTGAGCCGAAAGGAGCTGTACCAAACATTTCGGCGGTGGGTGTAGCCTGCTGCGAATCGAGAAGATCCGCATCTCCATCGCTCGCGTTAGTTCTCTCGGTAGAGATGGCCAGAGCACTCGATCTGCGTCTTTCTATGGCAGAGGGAGTTAGATCGAATGGCTCCCAGCTTCGCACGGCATCTTCGTCACGGACGGCTTGGAGGTCTTCGACGGATTGTACCCGTGAGGACGTTTTGCTTGACGGAAGCGATGGTAGTAATTCAACGAGTTGTGATTCTGCTAATGAGCTGTGACGCTCAACCAGCCATAACGGACGGATTTCGCGAGAGTTTACGAACTCTACTGAGTTGGGTCGACGGTGGCGAGGTTGTGTGGGAGTATCAAATGCCTCCACAGATTGCTGCTCGATTGGAGACACACGGTGTAGACTTGGGGATGTGGGTGGTCGGCGGAAGTGCAATGGTACAGCTGTTGGCGAATCACCGACTGAACGGACCAGGGACTGGCTTCGTGGGTCGAATTGTCTATCGTGCTCAAGGACTGGCTCTGGAGATGATGGTCTACTCCGGGATTTCGGGGATAGATCGAGCTCCTTTTCTGCAACAGGGACTGAGGCAGAAACACTGCGAGGACGCTTCTGCCAGAGCTCCTCGCCCAATCCTAGGCCTATGGTTGCGAGGGCTGCTCCCTCCACCCAACCTTCAAGCCCCGAAGCACCCTGTGAATCACGCTTAGCCGCGGTTGGTATTTCGGGGCGATCGGCTAAAAAAGTCTTGTCGTCGTCGTTCTTATATTCCGATGATCTTTCGCTCTGCACATGAAATAACATCAATATATTTAGTACATATCTCGGGGAATTTGTGCAACTGGATAAGTAGGGGTGTTTCAAAAAGGCAAACTATATGGCACATAAATGTGTACAGTGAAGATCATCAAGACATAATGACAAGAAAATAAAAGGAAAATTTCAAATGCTATACCTTTTCGGAGTCCCGGTGTTTCCCTGACTCGACAATCTCTTCATACTTGTGTCGGCGTCGTTCTTCCTTCTCCAACCTATGGGATCTGTAATCCTCCAAGTTTGCGTCCTGAATGTCCAAATCGACGCCCAACTCGTATTTGTCCAGCTTTTCGCCTCGACTGGAGCTGCGACTGGAAGAATGTTTCTTGCGTCGACGTCTTTCCTCGTCAATGCCAGCTTCAGAGATCGCCTCCCGGGACGAGCGCTTGTCTAATGAAGAAGACCGGCTATGTTCATCAGGTAGCGAGACCTTTGAGCCAAAGATGTTACGCAGTAAGCCACCAGAGCCCTTGTCCTTGCTGTGACGCTTCTCCCGCGACTCATCAATCCGAGCTGGAGAGGAATTGATAGAAGCGGTATCACTATCGCGTGAGCGGTGACGATGCTTACGGTGTTTAGATTTCTCCTGGTCCACGCAATCAGTGGCAATGGACCTGGCATCATCATCCACAGAGACGCTATCACGCTTAGAGTGATGACGGTGGTGCTTGCGACGCCCTGACCTATCTTCGTCGGCAAAGTCAGTAGCAGTCGACTTAGCATCGTCATACAATGAATTCGAGTCACTATCCCTAGAACGGTGACGGCGATGATGTTTGCGGCGCTCTGACTTCTCGTCCGCATAATCAGTGACAGCGGACTTAGAATCGTCGTTCAAAGAGAAGGTATCGCTATCACGCTTAGAGTGGTGACGATGGTGCTTACGACGCCCTGATTTATCTTCATCGGCAAAGTCAGTAGCGGTCGACTTGGTATCTTCATGTAAGGAGATCTCGCTATCAATCTTGGAATGATGACGATCTTTGCGGCGCTCGGACTTCTCCTCATCGGAGTAATCGGTAACAAACGATTTAGCTTCATCGTGAATTGGAGAAATGTCACTATCACGCTTTGAGCGATATTTCCACCGTCTGCTCGTCTCTTCATCGGCCCCAAGTTCGACAGGGGGAATTCAGAATCACGAATAATTTCAAAGTCATCATTATTGCGAGATTCCTTATGCTTGGCCTCGTCTGGCTTGAAAGATTCATATTCCTTCATGAGGGGGGCGGAGACTGCAGACCGAGAGTCATCACGGGACTGCGAGAGCTCACGGGAGTTGACACCGGTATCGAAACCACCGGGCATAGAGTAAGCATCGTGCTCGGGAGAGTCAACTCGCGATTGCTTAGCGTTCAGTTGCTCAATGACCTCCTGAGCAATTGAACCACGAGGTTGGCGTTGAGACGAATATTCTCTTTCTATGGTAACGATAGGTTCTGGTTCGGTGAAGAAAGGCTTATCTTGAATAACATGTTCAGGAGTTGGTTCAACTTCGCTCGGAACATAGCTTCCAATCTCACCCTCGACGAATCCCCTTGGTATGTCATGGGCAATTTTTGGGGCCCACCCCGAATGAGGAGAAAAAGATTCTTCATCTCCTGACCCAGGTGGAGAAGCCCTTGTGTGGTAAGTGGGATTATTGATTACAACAGAAGGATCAAACCCAGCCGCTGCAGTTCCTGCGGCAATAGTGGCAGCGAATTCGATATCGGATCCGAAATCAGGCTTTCTGTTGACATCTTTGGGCCTGTCACCTTCGAAAGGAGATACGGAAAATTCCCTCTGGTCTTCGAGTGGAGACATGTTGTCTTCTTGCTCGGAAGAAGAGGGAACGTCATATTCATGGGTTTTGTTCCCGCCCCAGGATACCCGGGAGCCAGTCGTGGATCGTACGGACTGCTTAGACTCATTTCCAGCTTGAGGCTTCTCTTTCCGCTTCTTCTCGGGTGTGCCCGCAAGTATGGTAGGCGGAATGGAGGGAGAATAGCCGAGGGCTGATCCATTCACGCTGTGAGGAGGAGTAGGCTCAATTAAATTAAGTTGTGGAACCGGCCACGGGAGGTGATCATAGTTTTCATAAGGCTCTGGACCAAATTGGGAAAGGTCCTCAGGCAGTTCTTTAGATAGGTCACGCTCCAGGCGTTCGCTAGCAGGTACCACCTCAATGATCGTGGGCTTATCATTGGAATTGTGATCATGTTTGTGCTCGTCCACACTATGCCGCAACTCCGCTGGGGCATAGAATTCGGCGTAATCATCATGAACAGGCGCTGGGAGGGGAGTTCGACGAGACGAACGCTTGTCTTTATTGGCCCTGGGTTCAATCTCTACCATATATACATCATCGCGACGTTTGAGAACATCGGACTCAGAGATAATAGAAGATTCGAACCCTTGTTCACCTTGGCGGCGTCGTTCAGCGCGACGCTTTTCGCGGCGTTCATTACGTCGTAAATTAGCTTCCGCAGCGTCATCATCGGCTTTGTGAGAGGACATAAGAGTGCTGGTAGCAGCAGCCCCTATGGCACCAATAGTAGCAGCCTCGATCCACGGAGGTGACGAATCTTTATCTCTCTTCTCCTCGCGGATGCGCTTTTCGTTGTCTTCCTCCTCGTGACGACGGAGTTCACGACGATCGGATTCGCGTCGAGCCCGCTCTTCTTCTTCTCGATCAATTAATTGCACGTGGTCTTCGTGGCAAAGATCTCGATGCTTGGAATCTCGTCGAGCCTGGTCATCTTCCGTTTGCAGAACCAACTGAATAGCTTCTTCCTTGGCATCAATGCTATCGCGTTGTCTATTAATGCGCTCTCGTCGGGCTTGTTCCTCGGTCAGGTCAAACGATACGGACGCTTGCGACACGTTGCGCTGCTTCAGACTCGATACATAGCTATCCCGAGTTGGCAGAATAGGAGATGAGTTGCTTCGTCGATTGGGTTTTGGACGATCAACATACGTTGTGCCATCGTGAACCCACGTTTCATCTCTGGCATGTGATGAGGAAACATTGTATTGGTTGAATTCATTGACGAACATTGGTGGAACAACAGGGGTGCTGTATGCAGGGATTGACCCCGGCATGGTTCCTTGTGTGCTGTAGACTGCCTGGGAGACAGGAGTGAATGGCTGAGGCTGCTGCAGGGGAATAGGTCCAGGGCGAACAAGAGGTGGTTGGTCTCCAGACATGACAGACGGAGACATCTTGATAGCGTCAAAGCGAGAAGGATCAGATGTGGGAGCAGGATAAACTTGCTGAAGGCTTCCAGAGCTGCTGGAAACCCGGCTGTCCCGTCGAGTGTCCCGATGACGAGCAACAGATGCAAGCGCAGCAGCCCCAAGAGCGCCAGCACCAACAGCCAGAGCATTGTCTGTGGCAGAAGACTTCCTTTTCTTCTCCTTTTGCTTTACGCCTCCCCATCCCCAGCTCCAGCCACCATGATCAGAGTCAGACGTAGAGTCTCCGCTACTTCCTCCACCAAATGCTAGGGCCGAACTAGCACTAGAGGATAATTGGTCTTCGGAATCGGCATCCACCCACTCCTCGTCCTCCTTGGTCCATGGAGAATCTTGAGTGGTACGATGAGATCTAGAGTCTCTGGCCGTCATGAGCTCACCAGCGCGACGGCTGCGACCATGTGACGATGCTGCAAGTGCAGTGGCAGTTGCACCGAGGCCCAAAAGCGCTGCATCAATATCCTCTCCCTTCTTACCCTTCTTCTTTTTAGATTTGGAGGAAGCCTTCGAGATTGTGCTTCCAAAAGCAAGATCTGCATCAAGAGATGAAGATGATGACGAGCTAAAGGAGAAAAACCCTCTACGCTTCTTGGTTTTCTGCTTCTTGCGATTCGCCGACGACGAGGTGAAAAACGAGGTAAAGCCACCGCTAGACTTGGTAGCGGATCGAGAGGTATCGACGAAGGAAGAACTAGATGAAGAACCTTTTCTATGCTCTTTTCGAGAACTGGAACGGCTGCGTGATCGTTCTCTTAGCTTTGGAACTATAAGAGCGCCGGCGCCAGCTGCTGCCGCCCCCAAGGCTGCCTCTTTCACAAAGGAACGACCACCTGGTCGAGATGTAGATCGTGAACGCGAGCGTGTCCGTCGAGAATACTTCGAGTCCGAGTCTCTTCGAGAGCTGCGCTCAGACCGGCGGATGACACCACGAGACGTGTAGCTTTTATGATCCGAGTCGGAAAGATGTTCAACATCGTGAGTAGACATTCGGTCATTGGCAACTCGACCAGATCGAACACTATATGAGTCATGGAATTCCTTGCCCGCAAATAGAGTTCCGCCCAGCATACCCGGAAGCCAAGAAGAAGACCGCTTGGATGAACTCTTTCGTCGGCGGCTTTCATCTTCAGAGGAATGGTATCGATTAAGCTTGTTCACTCTGGAGGTACTGTGGTTGCTAATGCGATCGGATGAGCGACGGCGTCTATGATAATGGTGTTTACGGGGTGCGTTAATTGAACTTGTACCGGGTTCAAAACACTCCTTACAAACACCGATTGTTTCCGTATAGTCCTCAAATCGACCGACGCCTTCTGGGTCGCGCCAAAAGTCGACAAATCTTGAAAGTGGACCTTTATGTCGATGTCCCATGGCAAGGGCTCCACCAGGTGGTCGAGGGTAATAACCAGGGCTGTGGGCAGCGTAAGCCGCAGTACCTGCTGCACCTGCCGCCATTGTGGCATTGCTGATACGAGGATCATATGGAGGTAAGCTGGCTTGGGATGATCCCTCGTAATTTTGATAAGCATAATGTGACGAATCCTCAGGATTGGAAGAATGATGCTGATGACCGAGCATATACCCTGCTGCTGCACCTGCAGCAGTCATACCAATACCAGCCCCGACTCCATGCGATTGGGAAGGTTTATTAGCACTTGCAGCACCCGGTGTGGAGTATGAGTGGGAATGCTGGGCAGCTGTATGGGAATAGTGCGACTCTTCGAAAGACGACATGCCACTGCTAATTCCATACGCAGATGCACCAGCTGCCGCTGCGGGGAGAATATTCGAGGACGAAGTTTTGCCGGGCTTGGTCGGCTTTATTGGCTTGAGAGGCTTTGGGGGTTTGGAGACTGACCCCGTCGGAGGTCTGGCCTCGGGTGGGGGAACTTGGAAGTTTTCGTCGAAGTAGGAAGCTGCCGCGCCAACTTGGCCCATGCTACTCGGTTCAGGCGGGGGATTGGCCGATGGAGAAGCAGCCATTAAATGGGCCTGACTGCTGGGAATCACGGCTGGCTTATGTGGACGCACGCCTGGCTGGTCCGCGACTGATTGCCCTTGATCGCCATAGTAGTCTGCAGCAGCCCCAGAGGGATTAGGAGGGTAGTAAGGCTCTGCGCTCATGGCTGGGAATTGGCCAGGGAATTGTTGTTGTATGTGAGGGTCGTATTGTGACGAAGAGCCAGGGATACTCGAGTCCCCAGCGGCATGGGAGGGAACATCGGCGGCAAAAGAAACGCCTGGAGGCCTGGAAGTTGAAGAGGGTCGCACTTGGTAATCCCCAGACTGCGTGCGCCGGCGCTCGCGACGATCAGGGTCACGATCAGGGTCACGATCAGGGTCACGGTCACGGTCGCGATCTTGTTCCCCTTCATTCAATCCATCCATAGTATTTCGACGGCTCCTCTTCTCGCGATCTCGACTCTCCGATCGGTCACGGTCGCGCCGATGAGAACTCTTGCTTTCGCGGTCGCTAGACCGGTGCTTAGGTATTCGCTCAATTATCATTGGGGTATCAAAATTATCGGGTTCGGCTGTAACGTAGGTCGATGCGACTGAATCGCCGGCGATGCTAGGCGGGCTGCGCCTGCTACCGGAGGCGGAGGGGGGTAGGGCGACGAGTCATCCAAGGCGCGGTCACGGTCATCACCCCGTGAAGATTTGCGACTATGCGATGACTTTAAATCTGATTTGCGACGGACAAGGCCCTTAGAACTACTGCTAGTCGTGCTCCGGATATCAGAGGACGATCGGTTCCCGCCGATAAGGGCTTTGAACATGGTGGGCAATTATTCCGAGGAATAAACAGCTACCATGTGGAAGATTAAAGAATGTGTAGAGGGGAAAAAGAAAGGACGAGATTGCAATGCTGAAGTGAAGTCTTGAGAATAGAGGAGGCCGGGGAAACTAGTGTGTTTGTTTTGAGCGGGATAAACAACGGAGCTGAACCGTGGATCTTCTGGATCTCGAGCGGGTTGCTCCAGGCGATCGAGAGCTAGAGATCGGGCCCGAGATTAAGAGATTAAGAGATCCGGTTTTCGTGTTCTCTGTTCCCCTTTGAATTCTGTTCTTTGACCGTGTGTGATTGTAAGGATGAAGGTGAAATGAAAGAAGAAAAAAAGAAGTGAGAGTGAGTGAGGCTTTTCTGATGTGGCACTTTTCGATGAAGACTGGAGCGAATCAAAATCGCGGTGGGGGTCAGTGCACGTGCCCGTGGAGGCTGGGGATTTCGTCAGGTTCGAGTATTTAGAGCTTTGAACATACGTTCAGAGCAAATGAGGTGATTTTTAGTTGATAGTTAATTGGACTTGATAGCTAGTTGAATGATAATTTAATAAATCCTGTGAATTTACACTCCAAGTTTATACCTAGTCTTATTATAGGGCTTAGAAGGTAAGGCTGATCTAAAGGCATCGATGTAAATCTGGGGCTACATGGGTAGATAGCTAGGTTGTCAATAGTAAGAACCTTGGACTTTGAAACATTTCAGCCTCAAAGCCATTCAATTTAAAAGAACCTTCCAAGGCTCTGCGTCACCTACTAGACGGTGCTTATATGTATATTATTATACAGTATAAGATAGGACCTAGGAAGTCGTCTTGCGAGTCAACTCTGGGGCTATGAGCCCCGAACTAGAGCGTCAAAGATCTTCTCAGCAAGCATATCTAACGAACAAGTTAGCAAATACCAGCAGAAAAAACAAAGCTCCAAAAAAGCACACAAACAGTAGATTGTGGATGTCCAGGAGGAAGGAAAGGGAAAGCGCTGGCATCGACCACATGCAGCCCATGTACATTATACACTCGACAAAACGCATCAACCACAGCCATCTCATCATACAGCATTCCTATTTTGTCAGTAAAGCCAGCATGCCATAGAATCATCAGATTGTTTTTGATAAACTCCAGAAAGTCACTGTCGGATTGGACATGAGGCCCCAGGAAATACTCTTCGCCAATGATGACCGGTACCATGGCCTTGCTTTGAAAAGCCTGTCGCATTCTCTTGAAAATTGCGACCGTGACTTCTTGGTCCGCAGGGTCACTCAGCCAGTTGGGGTTGATAATTAGGAGGTCAGAAGTATCTGTGGACTTGATTGTTACGTTGCCTCGGGATAGAGGTGTAATGAGCACACCGAGCATCGAAGTGTATTGGAGTCCCTCTTTGGGTTGAACTCTGAAGAGGTTAGGTGCGCTACCAATACAGGTTGCTCCAGATATATACTAATACAATATAAGCAAACTGTTCCAAGGTTACCATGAGTGCTGGCCGTCGATCTTCCATACCTCAGCCTCGGGCCAGTCGCTTGGAAACTCTGCCAATAAATTTGTGTCTTATTGCTGAAACGAGAGCGTAGGAACTGCAGTTTCTTATTGTGCTCCCATCAGGGTTCCAACGCTAAAGTCCTTGGTTGATATGATTCCAATATCCTGCATTCTAAGATTCATCCAAGTCGAAAATGGCTCTACATGATTATAGAAGGATACTTGCAGCGGACCACTGTTCAAGTCATAGGCACTGCTGTCATACCCAGGTGCAGCATTTGCAGCTCTTGCCCTCATGGACGGCTCTGTGAAATGGACGCTTTTCTTGAAGAATGGCAGTATTGCGTCAAAGGTATAGCTACTGTCATTCACTGTATCGGCCCATTGCTGCATAGAGTCGACGGTTGGTCTATATACCAGATTAGTCGGAGTATTGATAGTAGATTTCTGTGTATATTACCTCTGATAAATTGTAAAATTCAATGCCGAGCTGATTCAGACTAAGCCTCAATTACGACTGAAGATGAGAGAATCACTCACGATCCGCCAAGATTCCCCCGAGCATAATGTATTGACCATTCATTAGCTCCAGCTTGTCCATGTGCGACGAAGCCCCAATCGACTGCCGAATCTTTCTTGTAAGAGCCGCTTCCCTTGTAAAACCGACCCGGTGCAGATTAAATGATAAAAATCCCTCGGATCGGACATTGGAGTTTTTCGTGATGAAATGTGAACATTGGAAAGTTGGCAGTTCCACATGTGGAAATGTGGAGCCTTATGGCCAAGGGTTCGCCAATGAGAAATGTAGATCATCCAGAATTATCTAGATCTAAGCTTTCAAGATCAAGATCTAGTTTGATGGCCAGATAAGTTCAAGTCTCAACAATCAATGGCAATCATCGGGTAAAGACCTATAAAATAGCAAAATTCCGTTTACCCATCTCTCTACTAGCCAAGCCCATCGTATTTCTCACAGTTATGTCAATAGAAACCTAAACGCCGCTAGCTTCCCCCGCAAACAAAGCTAATCTTCGCACTCCACATCTTTTCGACTTCATATATGCGGGGATACTAACCATGGCTTCACTTTATCCTCTCCACCATTATCGTGTTGACCCTGAAGCTGGATTTGAGACGCTAGTATCGAAGAGCTCTGAGCTGTGTAGGCGGAGTACGATTATTGAGATCGAGAATGAGTAGAATGATATTGCATATCTAAGGAAAGTGTATGGAAGGGAAAATTCTCTCCATCGGAAATCTCTGCTAAATAGTTTCTCAGTTGCGTTGAAACCTCCACTAACTAATTCACTCTATTCCTTCACTCAATGCTCGTAAGTTCTGAGTCCTGTAATTCTGCCATCCATCGAGAAGGCGGTAGGATCGGTTGGCATGCTTCGCCTCGCTCTTTTTCGGAGTGGTTGTATGATCTTCAGCCTGTTTAAATATGCTTAGTTATTTTGGGGCTAGTTAGTTATGTGTCCTATCAAATAACGCGCGATATTTGACTAGACCTATCCTACTAGGCTCCCTAGGGTCCGAGAGTTGTGTTGTAACTTACGTCCTGGAAGATATAGACAAAAACTAAGAGACCTGTAAATAAGTAGTTATTTAGCAGAACAGATATATTTAAATTCGAGGATATACACTGAAAAGAAATTGCTCAATTCAAACATTATGCCCAACAGCAACAGAGCCTCGTAACTTTTATGTTGTAGATGCCAAGGCAGCACTGTTGCAGAAGGGATGACATTATTCAATAATAGTCTTTTAATATTCAAGCGCCAGTGCAGTAATTATGCATTAGCTAGCTTTACTATGTGGCTGTAGATGCACTGTTCCGGGAGGGATAACACTTTTTACTCGTCTTTTAATAATTATTCAAATATTAGTGCAGTAGTCATGCATTAGCTTAGTCTCACCCTAATCTCACCCTAATTTCTCGCTATCTTCACTTGATCTTCACCTGTTTATTGTGCACTCGCCCTGCTCACCCCTAGTCGCGTAACACTAAAGCGGCGCTCACCCACCAAAGTTTCTCACCAAGCCTATATGTTTTCCCACTGTATCATGCTCTAAAGTGTATATAGGGCCTCTTGTCTTCAGATTCAACCCCATACGGCCATATGGTATGGAGAACAGGGTTCCCCGTCCGCTCAGCCACTCTTAATCCGAGCGAGTGTGTAGCGCGGGCAATACCTCGATCGGTCCGCAACACCTATTTACCCGTAAGCAGCAACAGAAACTTCCTTAGGGTGACTTGAGTGAGAATTATTGAGAATAGAGTGAGATAGATCATTGATGAGGACAGGGTGAGGACGAGGTGAGCCGGGTGAGATATTTAGTACCTAGGTGTTTGTTAGCACCAGCTCTTTTAAGTATATCGATATCGCTCTCTACGTGCCAACTCTTTAATTTCGTTACATCAATTATTGTATGAATTGATCGAATTCAGGAGCAGATGTGGTAAATACTCGAAAACCGCACTATTGGACAAGCTCTTGTCTGACTAGCATAAGGCCTAATATTGATTAGCTCCACCAAGACCTGACATATGGGTCTCTTGGCAAGCGCAAACTGCAATTGGACTTTGTTTGCTATCGGACTGATCGTCAATGAATTCCCCAGACGAAGCCGGAAGTGGCGACTAAGATGCCAAGAATCGTCGAGCGCTTTGATAGCTCCGCTCAATGCCAAGACTTATCAGAAGTAAACGGAGCAAATTAGCGAGCGTATTCAAGAGTTCGTCGGTCCGGGTGATTAGAAAATACCCGTGGCGGTGCAATATATCTAGTATTTAGGGTTACCCCCTTTTCCGATGTGGAGTTGTTCCCTGGACCCTTTCGAAAGTTTGCCTTGGCGTCCGCCAGGTGTGGCTAGATCGATGGAAAGGACTTCTTCTGATCGGTTAAGTTTACCATTTCCAGGGTGTTTAGAATTCCACCTCGTACTCGTACTATCACAATCTACCGAATCTATGAACAAAACTCTCATAGGGAGATAAACATGTGCTCTAAGACGCCGCCACTATTTGGCGCCTTTCCAATTCATGTCATGTATTTAATGTCGCCCATCGCGCATGTTCAAAGTTTGGGCATTTCTGGTACAAAAGCAATCCAAGCCTTATAACAATCAGATCAACCTGGGAATCATGGCAATCATAAAATCACTTATCTTGGCACAGGCTGTGCTCTGGTCCTTAGCCTCCGCCGATGCGTCAAATGTGAACCCCACGGGTGATGGATGTGTCGATCCAAGTGGTTATCTTCAGTGCTATGAAGACAATGGGAATACACTTACAGACTGTCTGAGCCAAGCGAGGGTAGATTGCGCTGGGGATGATGACTATGAAACGTGCTTAGAAGCTTGTTTATATACTCAGCTGGCTGCGAATATTGGCTGTTGGTTGACCAGTTGCTGGAATCAGGTGAGAAATCAACTTCCCTTCTCAGCAATAATTACTCATACGAGATGGCCTTTACTAGGTATATTCATGCGACTACCAAATAACCGCGCTACAATACCTTCAAGGTACAGACCGAAGCCAAGGCACTAAAGGCGCAATTATCCCTTACTATCCTGCACCAGAGAATGCCCCCGATGGATGCGGTAGGTCATGATAGCTCCAGTCGACCAACGCCCACGTACTAACGAACGACCCTGAGCGCAGTGTGCAATTTAGGTTATATATGGGGAAATTTCACCCAAACTTATGCTCTGAATGCGCCCTGTTCGGATTACGTCTCAGACGGTCTAGCCGCCCTGGGTAGCTGCCAGTGCTGCTGGGATTCATCCTTTTTGTCCCAGTGCGTAATGATTTCATCAGTCTAGGTATGTCAACTAATCAGGTTAACAGGTTTATCGAGATATGCCCTAAAAACGACCTCTCTGATATATCTTACGACTCAATGCTAGACACCTTCAAGATTGGTTATAATGAGCCGGAATCTGACGAATGCTCTATCCTCTCTGACGGTAGCCAATGTGTTACTTCTTTCTCCTTAGATACTTCCGCGTCTACCTGGTACAATCCAGGAGACCTTCCATCGGGCTATCCTGGAACTGCTCCTCTCTCCGAAACTACTGAGGCCGGAAGCATTACAAGTGCTCCAGATCCGTACACATTCTCGATATTCCCGAGCTATGTCACTGTCATTACCCCGGCTCCATATAACAAGAAGAACGTCGAGGCAACAAATACGGCAACTACTGCTGGAACTGCTACCGGCACAGATGCTACCGATACAGATACTACAGGAAAGAGTACTTCTTCACCCAGCAAGGGAGCTGCGAGTCATCTGGTATCTCCTATGAGCCCTGAAATTGGTGTCTGGGGGCTAGCCCTGTACACAGTTGCTTGTGCTCTCTTTGGTGCGGCATTGCTCAGATAGAGAGGGCTTTAGGTAACATTCACTGTCTGGTTAACATCGAGCTCTTACTTTTATTTCAAATGCTACCAAAGATACTTAAATTCCAAGTTTCCAAGATGTCTTCTCATGTAAAACTATCATTACCTGCTAATAATCTTTATTTCAAAGTAATCTTCTGTCCAGTTTGACTGGTACTGATGAAATTCCTGAGTATATTGACATTGGAATGTTGGAATCGTGGACATTTTATAAGTTGAACTCTTTGCTAGAGCCGCCGTCCTGGGACTGCTGCCCTGCACCATACCAATGTCTTTTGGGTTCTACCTCGGGGCTGTTGATTTGATGACATCACTGATACTGCGAGCAGTGTAATCGATATTGAAATGATTTAGTCCACTAGGAGATATGTCAGTAAAAATGTCCACTTCAACGCTTCCAAGATTGCAAAAACTTTTTTGTAGGTATAATCAAAGAACTTACGCGATGGATATTCTCCCAGAATCCTGAAGGTAAACATGATGCTTGTTCCTGAGCAGATTGACTTGTTCTAGGGAGAAGTCAACATATCTAAGAAAGGTCAGCATTGAACCCTATACCAGTCATACTCAATCTCAAAAGCTGGAAGTATCTTACGAGAACATTCCATTCTGGTCAGTGATATACTGCCAGTCACCCGGAGTTTCCAACTTCTCCAAAGCCGCTCTTAGCGTAGACCGGCGACTCTTAAGTCCAATCGCCATACCACGTACTTCCTGTCTCCAATTGCGTTCCAGACTCTCATCTGATAGAACTGTTTCGACAATTTTGGGTCCAAAATCAGGTGGTGAGCCATTTTCAGCCCGTGCCAGCAGTCTTAATTGGGTTTCAATCTTCTTCCCCACTTCAACATCTGGAACAACAATAGATAAAACTCCCACACGCTCGCTGTAAAGCCCAAAGCATTTACCGTAGGTTGATACAAGTACAAGAGGGATTTCCTGCTCGGCAAACAAACGGACACCTGCAAGATCGGCATCGATGTCCCCCGACGCAAAGCCGGGATATGCCGCGTCAAAGAATGCCAAATGGCCGCGTTGAGAGAAGATCTTGGCCAGTTCACTCCATTGTTCCGGTGAAGGATCACATCCAGTGGGATTCTGGGCACTGGACTGTAGGAGAACGACAGATTGAGCTGGCAATGCTTTGATGGCGGCCGTAAAAGACTCAAAGTCGAATTTGTTCGTCTTTTTGCTGAAGTAGGGAATAAAAGTAGGCTTGATCCCCGCAGCCTGGAATACGTGAGGGTGATTCAACCAGGTTTCATTTGGTAGGAAAATCTCGGCATTTCCAGTCTTTTTCCAAGGTCCGTAGTGATTTTTCAATGTCACAGCTCCAACATGGCACCCACCAGACGCGCCAAGTGTTTGCGTAGTAATGATCCTTGATGACTTGATTTAGCATATATATCTTCAATCCCGCGAGCATTCTTTTACCTCTTCTCTTTCACAAGACGATGATCGGTCCCAAAAAGCAACTTGGTGCTCAAGTTCCTGTAGTTTTCTGAACCTAGGGCCGACATCCGATATTCATGATGCCAATTCGGATCACTAAATATTATCTCTTTTGCCTAAAAGTACCAAATAATCAGATAATTGGTATGCCAATCGTCACTAGAGAGCCTGTACCTTTTTCACAGTAGGCTGAATGTAGGCCTTCCCTTCGTCCGTCTTGAATACACCCACGAGAAGGTCAGTTCTGTTGGTGTCAGTGTCGGCTATGAATTGATAAATCGCTCCAGCGAGGTGGTCTGATAGTATATTTCATAATTAGTTAGGGATTGTGGCCAGGACAATCTTATAATTCACCTAATCCACCCGCTGGGAAATTTTCAAATGTATTTGTTGCTATACTACCCATTGCGAAAGAGGTGGCCCGGGTGTCTGATTTCAATAACTTTGAGAGTATGTCTGAATAGTTCCAATGTTGTGAAGAAAATGACATACGAATGCCACGTTGGATTTATTTATACTAAAGCTGCTACCTATGTGGGTACTATACTGCGTGCGGGGAGATGGTTCCATGCTTTTGGTGATATAGACGTTATAGCACGCAATAGAGAAACCCACATTGTAGTACAGACTAGTAGCTGGAAGATACCAGTAGGCATGCATAGCTCAAGGTTGAGCTGATTGAATGCGCATAGATTTATAACCTACAGCTGATTGGATTAACTAGTGAGAGAATCACGTCAATTATCTACACCATTGGTACAGTTTTTAGCTTGTCTGTGTGACTCCGACGCCATTTTTAATTGCTAAATACATGCTGTAATGGATTCAACTGTAGTGCCTTGTGGAGAGTGTTACTATGTCCAAGACTTCGTGGGTTTGAAAAGGTGAGTCCCCGAAGTGTGAGGATGGTCTCTCCAGAAGTCCCATCTTTCATCTTCACGCCATGCAAGTTCACTCTGCTTTAAACATCCGCTGAATGTTATTAAGGCACAAGCTTACGGAATTTCTCTAGGCCATTATGAGTAGTCTATACTAAAAAATAAATTGTATTGGTCCATTTTCCTAGTTCTCCTCGTCATAGCAAGAGCCCTGAGATAACTATGTGTCTTTCTGGTTAGCCCATCATATATAATATTTAACATGGTAGAAACATCTGGACCTGGGATTACCAGTCTCTCATTAATGAACTAGCTGTAATGATCAACAAGAGTGGATAGATGGTAGGCCTTACTCAAAGGTACAGCAATATTCCTTGCGAATAGAATCGCGGATTTGAAGGTCTTGCTCCCAAAAGTACTCCCTAGGTATATAGAGGATGCATGTGAATGATATCATTGATATGCGTAAGTAGCAGGTGAAGCAAGTTCTGATGAGGTTGAGCTCAAAAGCAGATTGAGGAGGTTACCTAACTTTGATGACACCCGCTGGTAAGGTCTTTCTATCAAAACCTTTCATATCCGGTCCATCATAATGTCTTGCCTTGGTGATTTTAAATTTGGACAGGGTATACATAGCTAAAGAATCACTCATTGGCGTATATTGACATAACTATACTACTGCTTGGGAGCGGATGATAATCATCAGGGCTTAGGAGATTACCTACACTAGGTTGGTATCTTTCTAGCATGAAATATTATTCAATTTCTCCATACTACAGAGTACGAAGTATTTTCCCTGCAAACTACTACTATCGAAGTAACAAGTCTGAAGAAGTCATGAGTCATAGTCGTTATCATTGAGAGCAGGCATAAGTCATAGATAAATCACGAATTAAAAAAAAAAAAAACAGAAGACGTAGGAGAAAGAGATAAAGATTCGAGTCTAGGGAGAACCACAGTCCAGGCTAGCTGAAGAGTGCTGAGCTGAGACTGTTCACGAAGTCCTCGATTTTGCCAGGGGTGGAATGTTCTCTCTCTTCAATGAGATGACCATTCTTGTCGAAGCGGTCTGGCAGAATCTCTACTGTCGAGTCAGATTCAGGCTCGTTTTCTGTAATTTTCGATCGATGTTGATGCTGTGAATGAGACGAGGAAGAACGATGGGTGGATGGGTGATTAGGTGTTGCAGAATAAGGCACAGATGAGGAACGGTGATGGCGGCGTTGGTGACGAGGTGGATGAGGGCGAGTGCGGTGTTCATGAGGATGGATGGTAGTATCACTATCATCGGTTTCGTATCCTGGATCCTGAAGACTCGCGGAAGAGTTCCGCGAAAAGTCAAATTTAACGCCTTTGGACGAATCATGGTGACGCTGAATACCAGATCGCGGTAGGGATCTAGTCCTTAAGCCTGTGAATTGAGATGATAGTCAGTCTACTGCTTTTCAAAAGGTTACGAACTCGGTTCATTGAACCCACCATGTAAGTGGTGCTGATCCGTAGAGTAGAATCTCTGTCTAGCACTCACATTCTCATAAACCCCCCGTGGCCGTGCATATGCCTCAGCATACCCCTGAGCCCCTGAGCTGTATGGCTGGGGCGGCGGACCTGCACCCGGCGGAGGAGGATAATCCGCAGGGTTGTAGTGGAGGTTAGGGGTCGAGCCAGTTGAAGGGGGAGGGGGTGGGAAGTAGTTGCTGTTGGGATAGTAGTTATGCGTGGAAGCTGGTCGGTACGGCTGGTAGGTATTCGGCGAGGGATTCGAAAAAGGAGCAGGGTTATAGGACTCCTCATAGGGGTCACTTCTGTGACCATCATCTGTCTGATCGATGAGTTTAAAGCCTTCTGAATCAAGGAAGAGTAACTTACGGAAATGGTCCCTTTCGGCCAGGCCACGATCCCGCGAATATCTGCGAGTATGGCCTAGGCCAGCACCGAAACTTGCCTCAGAAGGTGCGCGCGAGCGGCTGCGGCTACGGTGCATGCTTCGAGAGCGGCGTTCTTCGCCGGAAGAGCTGCTGTATCGAACACGGCTGCGGCTACGGCTGCGACGGCTCTCGCGTCGGTCGAACCCATCCGAGTAGTAAGCGCCGTCAGGACTGGCAGGAGCACCATAGTAGTGTTCAGCTGGGATGCTTCCAGTCACAGGATCCCTGCCATACTCGATCAAGTTTGTAGATTCGCGAGAAGTCTCGGTGTATCTCTCAGGCGAGCCACGGCGGCTACGAGATCTAGACTGGCGTCGGTCAATCCTCACCTCCTTCTCTGCCTTTTTCTTTTCGTAAAGACCCGTGGCCGCGGCAGTACCAAGACCAGCCGCAATTACTGGCAGAGCCTTTCTGACACGACTCTTGGAACGAGATCTACCGTGGCGAGATCGGGAGCGGTTTCTTGCGTGCTCAATCAGACCAACCACTGCAGCGCCAGCCAGACCGGCGCCCGCTATGTGCTTTCGACGCTGTGACTCGCTGCGACCAGTTTCGGTGGTCTCCTCCGTCCGGGTGGTGCTCACACCGCCAGAATTGCGAGACCAAGAGCGAGTGCGTGAGCGACTGCGACGCTCGTCGTTGTTATTCTTGTTACTCTTTCGAAGGGCAGCAACACCCGCAGCCACGGCGGCAGCGCCGAGGCCCAGCTCCAATAGGGTCTTCGCATGAGGGCGTGAGTGTGAGCGGCTGCGGCCGCGACTGGTGTGATAGCTGCGGCCGCGACTGGTGTGATAGCTGCGATGATAGTCATCACCAAATGAGTGCGAGCGGTGTCTGCTGCGGCTCTTGCTTCGATAATATTTGCGGAGCTGCCCAGCAGCGTTGATGGCGACAGCGCCCAAAGCACCGGCACCGGCAGTCCTTACGGCATGGCTCACCCCGTGGCTCACTTCTTCACCTTCACGCTTACGATGGTGACGAACTAACTCTGCGGCACCAGCGCCCAGAAGAGCACCTTCAGCCAAGTGGCGCTTGTGGTGATCCTCTTTAATTTTGCGGGTCTCCTTGCGAACGTAAACCATGCTATCGTCGCTGCTATAATCTCGGTCGTGGTCTCTGCGGCGAGTAGAGATCGTTTCACCGGGGCTAAAGTCCCGACGTGAGCGACGCTCGTCATATTGGGTGTGGCGACGGTGATAGTAGTAGGGATCTTCGTCCACTTCTGAGCGGCGAATCATATCATATTCGGAGTCGCGGGGACTAAATGAAGTTCGAACTTTATCAAGGGTTATTGATTGTTCGCGCATAACGGCTGCTGGTTGCGCTTGCGGTCTCTCCAAGTCGAGACTATGGAAGGAGTACTCACGATCATAATCATATCGACGTGGAATGTCGTATTCGATATCTCGTTCATATCGGCGAATTGTTATGGGTTCATCAGACTCTCTGCGATGAATAACCATCTCGCGATTAGATTCGAATTCCCGGCGTTCTTCCCGCTCTTCGGAGGGAATGACGTAACGCTTGATAGTGACGGGACGATCATCCCAGTGCTCTCCTCTGTAGCTGTACGATGACATTGTGGGCAAGAGTGAGATGGAAATATGGAAAAGTGGAAAAGGTGAAGAAGCTGAGAGATGTGATTCGGAGGGGAAATGGAGGGGCTCAAATAAAGTGACCTTGCAGTTGGGCAGGGAATTGGAGGGGGCCGCAGACAAGTGGGGTACGAGAAGCAGAAGCAAGTATGACAAGCAGGTTATGGAGAGGATATGCCGGACGCGGCACCTTTCATCCGATTGGGGAACTTCCAGAAAGTAATAGAAAATGAATAAAGGATCTGCCTCGGAGGGAAATTGTAGGAGATTGTAAGACAGCGAATAATAAAATCGAGATGAGATCCTCTTCAGGACCCCACTTTTAGATCCGAGTAACAAGTAGAGAGTTTCCGAGCTTCACTTAGATCAAAGATGAGAATGAGAAGAGAAAGTTGAATGGAAGGAAGTTGAGGGGACAGAGGAAGATAAATGAATGAGAAAGATGAGATAAAAAGTACGCTATCTCAATACTCGATAGTCGCTACTGCTGACTGTTTACTTCTTTGTCTACTTCCCGTCTCGAATCCATGGAACATCATTAACTCGACTGGTTATGCTTCACACTTACCAAGGTTCGCATATGGATCGCCCCAATACGAGCTATCTTTAATACTTCCTGGGCGCTAGATGATGCAAGTCAGCCAAGTGGTCAGACTTGGGTTATCTCGATGACTCCTCACCGCATCCATGCACAATGAGCAACGCGCAATACACACCTATGTTGAAATAACCCGGGCGCTAGGCAGATTGAAACGAGCCCCCTCATCCTTTCAACTCCAGGTTGCCTGATATACTACTATTCGCTATACCCAGGTACTCCGTACTCCGTAAGATGTTTGATAAATCAGCCCTGGCCGATGACGTCAACGGCTCCTCCAAAAGCCCCCATCATACATTATCGTAACTAGGTGGACCTATGTCATCTGAATGACCGACTTTGATTGAACTTCCCTTTTTAAACTTGAAACTTGCTTGGGATTGGGGAAAGGTGAGACCAAAGCGCTATTCCCGTTAATCCTATGCTTAATTCATTCTTTTGCCACATCTATACTAACGGTCCATGGATGGTATAGGTTGAAAACACTACCTGCATCCTTGCAACTTCTAGCTTTTCTCTTCTTATCAGGGTTTTGTGTGACGAGGACTGAACTCACTCGGTATAAACTTATTGATATCTACGTGTCCTCCGCATGATATGCCGTTATATTACTCTCGAGTATCTGATGCCGTCTCGGGTAGGAGCGTTGCAGATGTCGTGTCACAGATCGTGCATAGAGGCGAATACCAATATCAGATGTATCGATACGTATATGCGCATATAAAATCATGATAATCAAAGACGCCTCTCTCTTGAAACAGAATGAAACAGCTGCGGATGAAATCCCAAATGCGTATATGCGGAGTGAAAGGTAACTAAACTTATTGGCTAGGAATTGGTTAGTATATGACCAAGTAGATGTTGCCTGTCAAAGGACTGCTAGGGGGCTGTACGGGGGAGTAGCATGGCCCCTTTCTCTGCTGGATATAATTGGACCATGTTAGTCTCGCGTTTCTAATGACCGCCAGGAGGGGTAAAGGTTGGGGCTGAGAATGCAGCACTTTATTTCAGTCAACAATATTCATGTGAATGTGACTTCTCATTTCGCAGGATCTATCACTTGCAAAGAGTGTTTTAGATTTCATAAATCACTAATTCTTGGCAAATGGTGTGACGTGAAATAAATAAAGCGAAAGTCAAACTGCCTAGGCGTCTTATACTGCAGCCTCAGGCCGTTCAAAACAAGAAACGCTGATATAAAAACGCCGAACGGGGGGCTCGAACCCCCAACTTTGAGAATTAGGGAACTCATGCTCTGCCAATTGACATAGTCCGGCATATTTAATAATAGGTGCTCGATTGATGGAAATACAAGTGGAAGACAATTACAAAAGTGAACTTTCATATCAAATTACATAATCAGGCCCACTTCATTGCTTGGGCCAATAACATCACAAAGTTAACCTTAATTTTTAAGCTCGCGAATTTTCCATGAATATCTCGTCCTTTTCCACGGTTCTGAATGTAACAGAAGGACTCATAGTATTCTGATCCAAGGTGATCAAGCTTGAAAATGAGCAGCTAGGCAATTATATAATCTCTGACAAAGTCTGTTTTACGACACCACTGCTTTTCTATTATGATATCCAGCAACCCACATAGCCCTGTAGACGTCGCCTTCGACCTCGAATAATTACATTAAAAAAGAAATTGAAATAGACATCTATATGAAAATTACATTTTCCCCGTTATTATAATGGAAGCCGAAAAAAAAAAAAAAAAAAAAAAATAGAATGCTCTATAAGGTTCGTAGTAGGAATAGCCGAACGGGGGGGTCGAACCCCCAACCTTGTGATTAAGAGTCACACGCTCTACCGATTGAGCTAGCCCGGCAGGGCTTATGATGGTCCGGATGATGATATGAATTCATTCCTCATAGTCTTTTCATGGAGACTAAACACTGGAAAAAATACGGAATCTCCCGAAATGTCCCATCTAACCCGGATTTCAAGCCCTCTGAAACCTTGGGATAACATATATAGAGAAGAAAAATAGTAACACTGAGAGAATCTTCAATAACTCTCAACTTAGGCTCGCAGATCCCTGCATTCGCTCAAATCCGTATTGAGTCGCTATCGTGGACCCTATTGTATCCCACGGAACCGAATTTGGGACCAGCCAATTCTGAGGATTGAGTTGCATGCCGAAACTTGAAGATAGTGATGGGCCGCCTATGTCGCTTGCTGAAGATGAGGCTGTTGGTACAGGTGATAGCGATTGATGCGATAGGGAGTAGCCATCTGGTACAGAACCGGTGATGGGTATTGCTGCAGCGAACGAGGTACGGGATTGACTTTGCATTGGTAAATTTTGTTCTTGTTGTGCTTGCTGATATTGGCTGGATGTGACCTCGCTGATTGTCCAGGATTGATTAGTAAACTAGCGCAGGATACGAGTTTGGGGAGTTCAGTGACATACATGATTTGTCGCACTACGGGGACGGCCTTGCTACAAAACATACTGCGGACAGAGAGTGCAGCGAATAGTTCCAGTGAGTGATTTAGGATATCTTTGGACCGGTCGAATTCTGCTTGACTGTCTGGGTTCAGCAGGCCGATAGCGAGCACTACTGCTGCGTGAAAGGCACGAAATGAAGCGAGGCCGCTTGCGTACCATCTGTAATGTGCGAACTCTGGAGAGTCGTTGAGGGTTTGGAAGGCTTTGAGGGACACCTTCGCTGATTCCATACATTTCGATCGTATCGAGCATGTTTCCGGGGTGATCTCTCCTTGTAGAAAGCGGCATAGAGTAGGACGGTAGAGAAGGAGAAGGAGCTGGTGGATTTGGCCGTAGAGGATCTGAAAGTTGGCCCGGTGGTACATAGGTAGGGGTTCGTTGTTACTGGATTGATATCGTGTGTCGCAATTATCGCGAAATGCTATGATCTCCGCTTCCAGTTGTATCACGGAGGTTCGGGCGGGATGATTATGGTTGAAGATGTTTTCACAGACTTTGCTGGCGAGTTTGTAGAGGGTGATGTTCAACAGGATGAAAGTCGTCTGGGTGGGTCGCGCCGTCGTTGGTGAACATGAGGAAAGATAGTCGGATGCATAGGGTAGAGAGGGAGTAGTAAGAAGGTCGATGTCATCCACGTCAGCTGGCATTCGCACCTGTTGTGCGAACATTTGCTGGTTGAGACTACCAAATGCGGTATTTTGAATACTGAAAAGAATCATTAAGCAAGCCCAGGCTCTGCGGCGCTCCTCTCGCTCGATCAATCCGAGTGTGAATCTATCAGGATCAATATGACAGCCCATGGATATGGCAATATGGTGCGTGAGCCCGAGTAAAGTCCAAGTTGTCAAGCCTCGATGTAGCCGTGCGTAGCTCACAAGGATTAACGTTTGGAAGGAGTTGATAGAGTGTCGAGTCATCACACTATCAGCTGCAAGGCAGCGGAGCGAAGCTGATCGATAACGTGCAGATAGCACCTTGATATTGCGACTGACCGTCCTCTCTCTTCCCAGATCCTGGAGGAGGGGATCGTCATCGTCAAGCGCACTCACCCCGATGGCGAGGATGGCAAATAGTAAAGCCAACCATGCCAATGACACACTACCCGGATCATGGTAAAATTGTTGATACTCTGCGTCAAAGGTCATTTCATGCAGCAGATGAAAGACGGGCGAGAAGACCCGGAAGTATACATCCTTAAGGGCATCACATTGCGAACTGGGTGGAAGAAGTGCTAAGAGATCCACACGTGAGATAGTCGCATCTCGCAGTAGGGGAATATGTAGGTCGTCATCGTCCGTAACATCTGAGTCTGAGTTTCGCAAGCACTCCGCAGCGGGGCTCGTTGCAACCACGGATTCCCATAGGGAGGCAATGGGCACATAGCGAACATGGCCTGATGGTGACGTCTGTAGATTACCAATACTACCCATCGTTGCATTGCTCGCACTCCAGTTCATCCCGTCAAACCCAGAGTCCGAGAAGCTGCCAGAGAAGGGTGATATTTCGTCACTTGCACTTGTACTATCCTGTGTGTTCATCTGCTTCTGCAACATCCCTTCCAGATTTCGAATTCGAGCGAGAAGCTCATTCTGGACTGCTGTATCCCCAGTTACAGTATGATCTGCTGATAGTCTGGGCTGGCCAAGGTAGACGCAATCTTCAGCCCCTAGGCCACGTCGTACACATGTTTGACATGGGCGACCATCTCGTGAGCAGCGGATCTTTCTAGTTCGACATGCTTGACAGCTGATAGGGAGACGTTTTCCGGATGAGCGGGATGAAGACATGATGAGAGTTATTGGTCGGGTTGGCTTCCAATTCTCGGTGGAGCAGAGTAAGGCAGTCCAAGCTTGGAGAGATGGAAATGGAATGGAGATGTGGGCCGTTTCCCCGTTATTAAGATCAACTTAGAATTTTGGGAAGACCCATGAAGTCTGGGACAAACAAGTCATAAGTTAAAGGTCTAGAGGGGAAGAGGCCATGCTTTTAAGTTTATCAAATAATTGAAAGCACGATGCGGTCATGCTAGACTTGGAAGAACTCACCGGTTAAGTTGCGATATAAACAGAAAACAACATATCCATTATTCTCTTTTTTTTTTCTTTCTTTTTTTTGGGGGTTTTTTTTTGTTTTTTGAGGCAACAGCTGTATGCCCCTTTCTTCTACAGACGATTGGGTCAACTGGATTCCAAGAGAGTTGACAGGAGGCATACGGGGCACCGGGTGTATGCTAAGTGGAGAACATCTAGAATATCCAACGTTTCCATAAGAAGGGATCAACGAATCAAGGGTTGTTAAACGGGAGCCGAGCAACCGATCCATTAGATCAGAGATTGCAAGCTCCTATCTTGGAAGGACAAAAAAGCTAGTATGATTTTCGGGACATATGCAGGGATCTCATTGCGCGCGAGAGGGTCCTGGAAGAGCTTGGGAAGTCGGATTCGGCTTTAGAAAACGGCAGCAGCTTCGCATTGAGCATTGAGCATTAGATAGAAGGGATTAGATCTAGATATATGTATCCTGAGAGGAGTTGACGGCGAAAGAGAGTCAGTTGGATCCTACGTAGTCCAATGGAAGTTGGAATCTGTAATGCTTTGACCTCAGCCCGGGATTCCCACTAAGGAAAATCGGATCGTGGCCCTGATTTTTTGAATCGAAAAAGTGCGTGAACCCCCTTGCCACCACTTGCTGTGAGAGGACAAAGCGGAATGCAGATCGCAGTGAGGAGCAAATCCCGAGATCCCGGATGTATTTTCCCACCATTTTAGATTTCAAGTTTTATCTTTTGTATGAGATAACGGAGTTTGCTTATGTAAATGCATAATATCTGGCTACTATTGGCTGTTGGAGGTGGGCGGTCAACTACCTTGCATCAAAAATCTCCAGTTCCAGTCAAAGTCCACTCTTTCAGTAATTACTTTTTGACCAGAGCTCTTGTCAGTCTAGTATATCTGTGAATTGTATTCTAGGCTGTCATATCCTATAAATTTCAATTTAAAGTGTACATCTCTTAAGATGCGGTGGTAGTAGTGGTTTGAAATTCTGAGGTGCGAATGGAATGGTGTTGACATTCTTGACAGGCAGAGTGGCTACCATCCATTGGCTGATATCTGGGCGGTCAGTCTATCAGTCACATCGACTTCAAATTTTGACCAGTTACCATATACGGTGATATACCATGTTAAATCTTTATATACAATTGAGTATTTCGAGAGTATATGTATATATAAGGGTTAGTTATGACATACCGTATATAAATTTACCTAGGTATATCTCTGTCCCTTCCTGGGTAACATAATCAAGGGACATCTATATCTTTATCCTCAAGGATAAATGGCTAAATACCTTATTCAAAAGTGTCATTTAAAGGAAGAGTTAAGAAGAAGACATGGAGGAGAACTAGGCCAAATTAGACATGACATTATTAAAAGTTAATATTGGAACTGCTGAATCTATACTGACAGAGTAAGACCCAGACTGCTTTCTTATTCTGTTTTCCTAGTCAACAAAAGAAGCCCTGATTTGCTGGCTTGGTGCTGCACTTCAGCCACAGCTCCGCATTCCGTGTTTCCCCACTCCTGGGACTACTGTGGTGATTTTCCTCTGCCGCAGTATTTTTGTTGTGGCGGGAACCCCTGTGGCCCTAGGAACATTCTACTGTTTAAGGGACCTACTGTTTTGGGGAATTCAATGCTCGGAGACATTCTAATGTCAGAATCGGGATTTAAGAATCATTGGGAGCCCCGACAATATGGTAAACGGAGAATGTAGTGTGCGGAGAAACGAGTGGTGGGCTGAGGGCTAGAGTTGATGTATCATTTCTACCTCCCGTTGTATATCTACGTCGTACTATTTTAATTTATTAACTCATTTGAGTGAGATTTAATTTGCTACATGGGCCTCTTCCGTTCCCCAGAGTGTACCCAATTTTGCGTATTTATGTATTTGGCGAGGAGGCTCCTGCAAGCTAGGGTTAATCTAGCCGCGGACATCAGTGCCGGCCATTCACACAATTTTGACGTATACCGAATAGTGCGAGGACTGACCAAAGTATTACAAGTGATGACTAGTGTGAACGCCCATCTTCAATCTGTCTTTAATCACTACTGGTAATATTCCCGACGATCGTCATAGGGATCGTATCTCGTACAATTGAGTTTTGTGGATGTTTGTGGCTGTTCGTGTTCTGAACTTCCATTTGGTTCTCAGCTTCTAGCTCATCATGGGAATATTGCAATAGCCCCATTGTTTTGAATTTAGGTTAAATAGAATGCTCGGACTTAGAATTAATATTTAAGTGGAGTGGGAAGTTCTGACACCATGCGTTCTAGCGATCCGTAACGGCTGATTCAGGATGAACTCTGAGTGTCCCATTCAATGACTAATTAAATGCAATATTTATCTTTCTACCGCTGTTTCAAATTGAGTTGACTTATTGGTAGCTGATACTGCAAATGCACATGTCTGACCTTCCAAGGTAATAATTTCAAGCTTGTGTACCCGACCTTTCGATATGCTCTGTCTGCCAATCCATTGACCCACGCTTAGGTCCTGCATCTGCCAATATGACCTTATCTCCAAATGCAGCTGCAACTTCTTCGAGCGTCTTTTGCTTGGTTTCCCTAGACAGTGTTAGTGGCGGTGTATCTCTATGTACGTGGTTCGTCACATACGGGAAGTATAGATAGGCCACACAGAAGAAAAAGGCGGAGCATGCCACGAAGACATAATAGTAATTTTCATGGATGGTTGAGAAGGCGACTGGGCCAGCTTCAGTTACTGTTCATCGTATTAGCAGCGTGTATGCGGTTCGTATTTATTTGACCTTACTTGCGACGTTGACAATAAAGTGCGATGCAGCCGCAAGCCCCATGACTTTGCTTCGTAGAGCGATAGGTAGTACCTCTGCACCGTAGAGCCATGTAGTACTATTGAGCATACCATCTAAATAGTGGTGAGTGACAAATTCTCGGCAAATGAGTGTAAACTCACAGTAACAAACAACAAAGAGATAAATTCCTAGAATCGCAAATCCCTTTCCAATACGATTGTCTGTATTTTGGAATTCTCGCTGCATTACTGCTGCATAGATCTCGATGAGAACGATTCCTGCTAAACCAGTGAGTATCATCCTATGCAACGTTATTTGTTAGTGGCGCCTTGATCGATCTATTTGTTATACGCCACGTACTTTCGACGGCCCCATTGGTCTGTCAAATATCTTGTCGTGATGGAATTTGAAATGAAAGCTATTGTTCCATATACTGCTGCGAGAGCGAGGATGCTGTGAGATCCGATTCCCAGAGACTTATACAAAATAGCTAGAAAGAGATAAGCATCTGCCAACGGCCAAAACGAAGTGAGTGTAGCGCACTTTGATAGTATTGGATCACATTTACTCCAGTGAGAGATGTCATGGTCTGCACAGCAATAGACCTATAATCACAGTTAGTACCAGATATCACCATTCATAGACGGGAATAGATCGTACACCAAAACCCGAGACCGGAACATTATAAAGATCTCCCGGTACGATTTAATCTCCCTCTCCATCTCATACTCGATTTGCCCCCGCATGAGAGAAAATTCCTGTTCCATCTCATGCGTGAGCAGCCCACGACGGATTCGGGCGAACTCATTCATGGCCTGTTCAGTCTTTCCATTGCGGATCAGCTGTCGAGGTGAATTTGGCATAAACGTCGCTAGACCAATGAACATGATGATGCCCCAGGGTATCTGAATCCCAAGTGGGAGACGCCACTGAACGGGTCCATATGGGGCATAGCTGCAGGCATATCCAACCCAGTTAGATGCCATTGTACCGAAGGAGATACCGCAACCTGAAATCCCGCCTATAAGCCCGCGGTAACGAGGGTCGGATATTTCGCTAAGATAGATGGGGACTGTGGCAACCAATCCTCTGGAGCGAGTCAGCATGAAGGTTTTGTTTGGCGCTTTCTGTTTCACTTTTTTGACATACCCCACTGCGTATCCGGCTAGTACGCGGCCGGCCAGGAACATTCCTATGTTTATCGAGGCTGTTTGGATGACTGTGCCAATCGTTACAATAACACACATCATCTGCATAAATCGGATTCGTCCTAGTTTGTCGCCGACTGCCGTTTGGGTTAGGGCTCCGAGTGCCTCACCGGCTATATAGACTGAAACAACCTGGGATATCTTTAAGCTTTCCAAGTTTCTTTGGTTGTGGAAAGATTACACTAGCATATTTTAAGACTAGATACGTACGGCTCCTGTGAGTCCATTTGAGGGCTTGTTCATATAGTTAATCCAGCTTTGGTGGGCGATGGCTGTCAGGTTTTTTAGTTGAAGCTCTATAACTTGAGCTCATGACTCATTGAGGGCTCACTTGTTGTAGCAATGCCTGTATCAAACCCCTACATTGTATAGTCAGTCAAGTAACACAACACAACCATGCCTACATCGAATGCATACAAACAGAAATGTGCCGATAGCAGCAAAAAAGGCAATTCCTAGGGAGTACCACAGCGCCATGGTGTATTTTGTAGGACAGTAATACTGAAGAATAGTGTGCTAAAGAACAGACATCGAGGGACAAGAGCCGGTATTTGAAGCGCATCCTTTCATGCAGGAGAACCATCTTGATAAACCTGATTATCTGCGTCTGCAGCACGGTCTTTGTCCGATTAACCGAGGGAGCGTTACATGTCTAGTGTGGCCCCTTCACAGGTGACCCAGCTGCTGATTAAAGAAGCCGAGGTGGAAAGAATCTGGGGAATGCGGGGACAATACGGGGTATGATGTTGGCATTTCAGGAAAGGCCAATGAAAGGCACTCTAGCAATGGAAATGGCTATGCCATAAGATCGAGTCTTTCCTGCTGATTGGGTCATTTGGGGGTTGTTCGTGGGGGTTGCGGGGGTGGCTTTTCCCTTTACAACAGTTCGTGAGGTATTCCCCCGAGGTGGCAGGTAGCAGGTCTTGGCTGTCAAACTTAGGGTCTTATGTTTATTTCAGATCCAATTGTCAGTCGTTAAGGTATTTTTGATTGAGGCAGCAGTGCATAAAGTCGATCCTAAGATCTTAGATCGTAGGTCTCCACTCATGCTAGCTCTAGTCCAGTAACTCTACAGTCCAAACACAGATTCTCGTCAGGTATTCATAGAGTTATTTTTTGGAGGTATGAATTGCTATTTCATTTTTCCATTGCCCATATCATATGTCCTCCGCAAAGGCAGCGGAGTATCTCGTGCAATGCAGGAAACCCAGGAGCCGAACAAAGAAATAGAACATCTAGAAAACAAGGGCAGCACCCTTGGTCTTCTTGTCACCACTGTGAAAGAAATCGATGTTAGCGTCATGTCACATGTTTCAAATCCGCTCAGCGTTTTGCATGAGACTGAGTCAACGTACCCAAGCTCGAAGTGCTTGCAGCGCTTGAGGGCAAGCTGCTTCTTGGCCTTGCAGGCAGTGCACTCGAGACGCAGGACAACCTTCTTGGTGGTCTTAGCCTTCTTGTGGAAGACAGGCTTGGTCTGACCACCGTAACCGCTCTGCTTTCGGTCGTAACGGCGCTTACCCTGGGCAAACAGGGAGGCCTATATCCATTGAAATCACGCATCAGTAGTTGTCCGATTGGGTTGGGTTTCCGAGGTGAAGTCTCACCTTTCCAGCCTTGTACTGGGTGACCTTGTGAGTCTGGTGCTTGTGGCAGTCCTTGGACTTGCAGTAGGTCCGGCGGGTTTTCGGGATGTTGACCTGTACGCGAAGAAAAAATATTATAAGCGGTCTGCCGTGGTAATAAAAAACGGAAAAAATCCGGCTGCTGGTTCCCCGACCGTCCAATTTCGAAAATTCGCGATCTTAAAAAGGTGTTGTGTGGTCGTATGGAAGGGAGAATTTGTTGAGGGGCGGAATGTTTCATGAGAAACGTTCAGTTTGCCTTGTCGCATCAATCTAGTTTTATGTCGTATGCTCCTCACACTGTAGAGCTTGATTGCCACGCGGTTCACACTCATATTCAATGCTCGATTATGGTGAATGTCGAGAATGATGGGGGTAACTGAATCGCAGTCGTATGGCAGCGTTCGGTGGATGATATATTGACGACATTTCCTTGCTCACGGTCTCTAGTTCGGCACAGATATTCAAACCCTCCATATCGCACACAATACCTCGAATTCGGAGCGGGATTTTCGAATGGACGGTACTTCAAGGGAACAGCAGCTTAGATCATCGAATTGGTCTTACCATTTTGACTGACTTGCCGGATAGCGCGGTGGTGGTCGTTAGATTGTCGCTTGTCGAAGAGATCAAGCGGACGGTTGGGTTGTGGGATTTCGTTCGCTTAGGCCCTATTCGGGTATGCACTAAACCACTTTAGACAGATTTACTGAGTCATCATGTGCATGGACCATCCACCCCAATTAGGAATGATTTTGTCTTCAATATTTTGTGGAATGAAAATGCACTTCGCTGTAAATGACTAGATATTTGTATCAGAATCCCTTTCCAATAACGTGGGCTACTCCTTTTCCATACCAGGATGAGCCCTTGTTGAGCTCAAGTCCTGTTTCCTGACCAATTATCCATTCACCTCGCGATGAATTCCCAAATCTCTTCCACTCGTCCGATTGCAACTCCTGGTTGATTTTCTCGATTTTATCAACTATTGCAGAGGCTCTTTTGCAAAGACCATCTAGCTCGACTGACTTGTCGTAGCCAGGGGGCACGGCAAACCGAGCAATAGTTACATGCGCCGAAGGCACGAGATACCGGGACTCAAACTGTCGACCAGTTGAAGAAACAATATCGTAAAGATCACTTCGCAGATGATGGTAAGTGTAATTGTCTTTACCTGTATATCCTGGCCTACTGGCTGGCTCTCCTGAAGCCGGAACAAAACTCAGGGCCATGGCAGCAGCATCGTAGCTAATGATCGGACGAACGAGCCTCGGACTGTGTGTGTGTGTATATTCCACGACCTCCTCCAATGGCAAACTCCCTTTGAGAAAACTGATTGTATCATCTATCATTGGTGGTGTAACTGACGACATCATTTCAACAGTTGTCATATGGAGATGGTCTGAGGGCACGAGCCAGAGGCCTGGATCTGTCAGTCTTGTCATGAGTAAGAGGCAATAAATTCACATACATGGGCCTGCCACGGCTGCGATCTCCTTTTGGATCTCATGGACTAACTCCCGGATATGTTTTGGTGGTCTTGCCCAGAAGGAAAGATTATTTCTTGGGTCGTTTCCAACCCCCGCAAGCAATTGCTCCAACACCTCATCGAACGCCCATTCTCTAAAACTAGGGTCTGAGAGCTTTTTTCGGAACTTTTCATTCCGGAGAGATCGATGCTTTTGGTAAACTTCTTGGATTGCTTTCTGTTGATGTATCAGCAGCGAACAATTAGCTGAATTGATGAAGCTTACTGAGTCATTCCCACATGCATTGATCAACTGTTGATAGGGATTGAGAGGAGCTTCTTGAGATTTTGCCATGATGGAATTTTTCAAAAAAGTGCCTAGGTATCTAGGTAAACACCTTGGAATGATCTCGGGATGAATACTCAGTTGCACCGTTGCGTTGAGCTAGAATTTCGACCTCCGGAAGATCCCAAGGCTTAAAAGAGGAAATGGACTTGAATATATACCCCGTCCCCAGTTGTGGCTGGTAAAACTTGAAACAGCAACGAAATCTCAACTGCGAATCTTTCTTTCATGTAAGATTCAAACTTTGGAAGGTGGTTAGGACAAGTGTTTAATAAATGTATAAAAGGTTATAAATAGCCTTGGACGTGATCAATATGAATCTACGAAGTACTAAAAAGAAATACACCGACTGAATTAAAGACCCCATTATCTCACATTTTACGGCTGCTGATTCGTTGCTCTCTCTTACCGCTTCATCTTATTCTGCCGACATATCGGAAAATTGTCTGCGGAGAGGAAAATAGCATGGGCAATATAAATATAAATATAGAGAAGCTCTATATTAGAAAAATATTCAAGGGAACAAGTTATCCACCCTGGAAGTATAGAGAAAGCTGAGACCTCTTTGAGTTGCTTCACTGCCTAGTACTATCAGGCAATAAGGCCGCTGCCCCACTACACACCCCACCGACTCGGCTTTCTTGACCCTTTCCTACCGCTGCACCATCAATACTTCTTCGCGCCTGCCGAATCTATCTCAGATTTCCTACTTTCAAACAAAATAAAAAGAGATCCAGTCAAAATGCTTATTAAGTATGCAGCTCTACCTTATCGGAACTGCGCGAAAACACCTCGAATCATAGCTGACGTCTCATTTCCTGATAGAGTCCGCACCCTCACCGGCAAGGAGATCGAGCTTGATATTGAGCCAGACTGCAAGGTGAGATCTTTACTGTCCGCGCGGGAGGCTGTCGTGTTTATGGATAGCGCGCAAGCCGTGGACTGGCCTTTTTGCCAAAATGGTTACCTTCTGAAACGGCTTCCGCTGACAAATATATTGATATAGGTTCATCGCATCAAGGAGCGCGTCGAAGAGCAAGAGGGAATCCCTCCCATTCAACAGCGTCTTATTTTCGGTGGTAAACAAATGTAAGTCTTGAAAGTACCAAGTGCCCAGGGCTCGCAACTACCAAATCAATTTAGCTGACAATAGCTATCATCCGATTAGGGCCGACGACAAGCCTGCCACCGAATACGGCCTTGAGGGTGGTGCTACTCTTCACCTTGTTCTCGCCCTGCGTGGTGGATGTGAATCCTCCTAATAATTATGACCTTAAGATACCACGTTTTTTCCAGCGATGTGATCTGGGGGGTTACGAAGTAACTCACCAGACTGTTTTAATCAAATTATAATTTGATTCGAGTCTGCGATTGATTCGGTCAGGCGCGGTGCGAGTTGACTTGGTAGACTCCAAGCTTAGTCAACTAGGCTATTTGCATTGCTGGTGTATCGGGGGTTGACCTCTGCTAGGGTTTATGTTTTAACTACCTAGGTAGTATCGTCATTTAGCTTCCAATTCTGACCTGCGCATTTGCATGACACCAAAATGAATGCATATGAAGACACCACCGTAATTGGAATCAATATTCTTAGGTTCCACCAAACTTTGGAAGGTCTAGCTAGGACCTTTTGTACATCAATATCCTTGATTCATGCATATTGAACTGATTCTATCAGTATTTTCTAAATATCAGCTCAAGATATCCATAAATGCGTCTTATTTCGAATCATGAGTGAAAGCAAGGCGAGAGTGAGGGAAACGAACCTTAAAGCACATGGGCAGTGAATTAGGCTACAGCCCTGTTACTTTAAAGAGGCCCTTACTATTTCCCACATTCTTCTTTCTTCATCAACTTTTCTCCATCAGCCTTCCTACCGACTTGCTTCCTACACCGGACCCACGAATCGTATCACTGACAGGATCTGGTATCTGAGTTACTACGGCATCAAGATGGAGGAATATGAGTATTATCAACCCTCAACCGTGGTCTATCGGACCACCATCACAACTACTTTCAGCCTTCTCCCCTTTCACGCTGCAGTTAAGTGAATGATGATATCCACTTAAAGCCCTGCTACTTTGAAAAGCCTATATTATTCTCAATACTTTTCCTTCATCAAGTTTCCTACGGAATCCGAATGCACTCATTTGGATGAACCCTCTTAGCTTCTCATTATCGAACTATAGAACTATTAAATATCAAAATATTGGGCTGTTATTTAGTCATTATATTTACCTTGTTTACATTTGAAAAAAAGGTTCTAGAGAATTCCATTTTTGTGAAAGTACCTATTTATGGAGCTGCATTATTTAATCCATCCATAGTTCTAATATTTCTTATCCGCTTAACTCGAGGGCTGACGATTGCGCTTCACATAGCCTTCGACTTTCGCAATAGATTTTCTTCTTCCCCCATTAAGTAACCGATATTATTATGGAGCCTATAAGCTTACAAAAAATATGTCCTTGTTCTACAATGGTGTTTTAATATGTACTTATTTTGATATTATGTAAATACGCGGGTCAGGTAAATTGAAGCGGAAGCTAAAGATTAGCAAGAAGTGATCTTGGAACGAGATCAACGATATGGGGTAATGATATTGATAATAAGAATATAGGATATTAACCATGTGAGGTAATATACTGATAGTAGGATTATTAAGATTAATATGTAATAATAGATGAAATCGCTCAAAAAATCAGGCTAAATTGAAAGAAAAAAAAGATTAGCCAAAGAACTTGGTCTGCTTGCGGGCAGCCTCCCCCCACCTAGCCTGAGCTGGGCGTTTTATACCCCGACCCCGGGCGTCATCCTTATCCCGCTCAGCCTTGTCCCGAGATATAAGTGCCGCTGGACCCAGTCGAACTAGGTCCTCCTTGGTACGCATCGGGTCCTTTTCCGAGACTGCGTCGGCATGCTTAACTGGGGGACGCTTCAACAGCTTAGGGGCCTTGGGGATAGGCTTTCCCTCGGCAATCGCACTCAGGTGCGCCGCCCGTTCTGCTTGAGTAACTCGTTGTGTAGTGGGAGCCGGAGTGTTCTTTGCAATGGGTGGTAAAGATGGCAAGGTCTTCGTAGGCATAGCCCTGATATAGTTGCACGTTGACCCGTGTCTGATCGGTTGCGGGGTTCGTGCAGCTGGAATACCTGCAGAGGTGGTGGGTTGCACAAAGCGCGATCGTTTCGGCTCTGATTTGTGTGCAAAATTGAAAGGTTTGCCGATAATATTACGGCCATTGGGCACAAGCTTGGACCTATCCACGCGCTTCGTCTTCTTGATCCCATCAACAATCTTAACGTTTTGGAGTTCCCGGGTGCTCTTAATTGCGTCAAATGCCTTTGACATCTTTTGAGCATCGGCTTCGATCTCTTTCTCCGTTTCCTTGAGCATGTAGCAGTAGATCTCATACCATCGGGTCGTATTTTCCGGAAGAGGCCATTGAGCCCACTGAGGGACTTTGCGCTTGATTATCTCCAACCAAAGTTCCTTGCTTGATTTAGCGATTTGCGGGGATGCTCGTTCAATGGCGGCCTGTAAAGGGAAAAAAGGAAATTAGTAGATATTTTCAAGTGAGGTGAAAGTGAAGGCATCTAAGAAAGGTTATAGCATACCAGTTGTTTAGGGTCGGTGATTTTTATAAGAATGGGGCGGACGAGATAATAGGGCAGTTTACCAACATCCGTGATTACTATCAGACAAGAAATATTAGTATAGGATCAAAGGTAACACTCAAATTATGAAGACACTTACATTTCGAATGTTTGACTGCCATGGCCAAGGACAACTCGACAAGAGTTTTTGAAGAAGGAGACTCCATAACCAGTGAAGAAGAGAAAGACTCCATAATTATCAGATTGACGGTAACAAGACTTGTAGAAAGTGTAGGATTTTGGTAGGTGTCATTGGAGCACGGGAGGGGTGAAGAAGAAGAGAAGTAAAGAAGTGAAGTGAAGAAGTGAAGAAGAGAAGAGAGGATGAGAGGAAGAGAAGACTTAGATTGGAAGAATAGAATTTATGATATGATATGACGGCAGTACTTCCAAATTCTAAAGTTCAAATTGGGATGAGAGATGTAGAAGTCGAAGTCGACGTTCGGATAAGAGATTGCGACTATGAGACCGCCTCGGGCCCTTATTGGCCGGATTTTGTAAAACAGGCCGACGCTGGTATGAGATAAGATGATTCGCGAGTATTTAAGTGTGTTTCTCTGTATGAATATTCAAAAAGACTCAAATTTCAATCTATTGCTTGGTGTGCACTTGAGGCTTAGCTTAAGATGAGCTTGAAGTCTTTGCTCAATAAACCTTGATGACGTATCTGGCACTGTTTGAGATTCTGCCACTATGAATAATAAGTCTATCTTTAGAACAATGCAGTTCAATAGGTATTGCTTGGCTTTCGAAAGAATTGAAAAAGAGGATTATGCAGTATTTCAAGAGAAGATACCGTAAATCTCGAGTCATGGAAAAGATGACCTTGAAACCTTTGTTCCTCTAGAGTCAAAGCGGAGGAATTCGCTATCACCACGTGATATAATGCAAACATTCCAAACTTGATATCAGGAGGGGCTCGATTTCTCGATATCTCCAACACCCTGCTTATATTCAAGAAAATCCATCCAAGTAAGTTTAAAGTGATTCTGTTAGTGTGAGGTTGATATGGATTATAGCATGTTTAAGCAGTTTGAACAAAGTGCTTGCACATGCACGCAAATGGATCAATTTTTGCATTGCATCTCAGCTGCAGCATGGGCTGACTTGATCTTGATAACCCTTGATCTATGCATCTTCAAATCTCTCATTTTGTCTCGGATTTCTGATTTTGTTACCCTCATCTAATATCTCGATAGACCAAAATCATAATGGCCCCTCGCTCCCAGATTGAGATCACCACTTCTTCAGTCCTTCGTCTGGTGAGGGAGGAAGCCTCATACCACCGTGAGCTAGAGCAGCAAGCCGAGCGCATCAAGAAGCTCGAGGATCAGAAGGATGGTGATGATGAGAACAAGGAGTACCTTGTGAAGCAAGAGGTATCGTCTTAACCTCTTCCTCAATTTGCCTTGGTACACTACTAACCTACTTAGAACCGGGCTTTCGAGGAGACTAAGCAGTTACTCCCTATCCTGCAGGGCAAGATACTTGATGCAGTGGCGGACTTGAAAAATCTCATAGTGAGTAGTTGTTGCTACTGATGCTCACTCTTTCTTTTCTGACCATGTATACAGACCGAGGAAAACTTGAAGCCTGAGCCTAATAATGAGCTCATCGCCGCTGCTAATGAGGCCATCAATACGGCCTCGTAAGCACCAAGCGTGATAGAATCCAATGCAAACCGAAAATACCCAGTCGCATTGGAAAGAGTTCCTAGCGTCTCAAATGCATGTAATTTAGAACTTCCATCCAAAAAGTCCCTCTACCTGCAATCATATAACCTATGCTCTATTTTCGTAATAAACAAAGTGAGCACGACTTTGTGTGCGTTGCCTGAGATTTGCTTATACAGAAGATTCGAAGTAGCCAGCTATTGAAGTATTGAGATGTATATCGGTTTATGAAAAATACTCAAGCAGGAGGCATTTCAAGGTTATAGGGTATGTTCTTTCTAGGAGGCGAGCTCAAAGAAGAGAAATCAAACGCTGGAAATGGGAATAGAAATGTAAGAAGAAACGGAATAGGTGACGTAATGAAAAATAGAGAAGAAGAGGACGATACTGTAGAGTGATTCATGATACCTAGTAGGCTGGCATAAGTTTACATTGCTTCACTGGGAATATTAATTGAAATGTAATTGGTATGGTTGTGTTTGGTTTTGGGTGCAAGATGTGTAAACCTCTTTGATTTTCCGGATTTTCTTTTGTTGAGAAGGCACACTCCCTTATTCGTACATTTGATAACTCATGAGCAGAGGTCTAAGTCACTTCTTCACCCTCCTCGAGCTCATCTTCGATTTCACCCTCATCTGCCATATTAATGTCCCGGTCGACAGCGAGCTTGCTTTCTGTAGCACCTTCATCAAGCATGTTGATATCTTCATCGAATTGGGTGTTCTTGTTTGTGTTTGTCACCTGGCGTAAAGGTGAACCAGCTCCGGAAGCTCCAGAAACTCCAGACGCCTTTTCAACCTCCAAATTGCCACCGTCATCTTGACTTTGAGGCGTCATGCTTTCAGCCTCTGGAAGAGGACTATTAGCATTGCTGATCTTATCTTTCACTTCGCTTTCATCACCGTTACTCTCTTGCATGCCCTCTCGCCGGTCAACCTCCTCTTTTTCGTCTCGGATCAGGCGTCGCAGCTGTGTGCCCTCGTCCACAATGCGACCAAATTGCGCGCGTCGCTCCGCCCAGGTCTTAGCATAATCCTTGCTTTGTTTTTCAAGTTCGGTAATCTCGACTTGTAGTTTTTGAAGGTTAGCATGCTGATCCTCTCTTGGTTTCAACAAACGGTTACTCGTGATCTTCTCAGCCAAGTCGTCGTAAACTTTTCGCAGGGCTAGAAGTCTCTGTGCCGAATCGAGCTGGGCGCGTAGATCAGACGTATTCTCCCGGACAGACTGCATCGTTGACAAAATGCGTAGCTTCTCTGTCGCATAGCGCTTGCGCTCTTCTTCGTTGCTGGTCAACAAGAATTGCATGCGGGCGATGCTGCCTTCAAAGGCAGCAAAGTCAAGTGTCACATCTTCGCGGAAATGGCGCCATTCCTCGATTTTTTTCTGTTTCTCGGCGTCGGTGGCTGCGATCGCATCTGCGTTGTCGCAGTCTTCGGGGAGAGGGGTGAGTGGGAGGGAAGGGGGCTGAGTAATGAAGGATCCAAGGATGCGCTTTGTAATGCGCTTATAGGGCTTCTCTTCGACGTTGAGTAGACGTAACTTGTGGAGTTTATCTGTGAAAGTGTCAGTATGGGGAGCTGCGAGGGCTGTGACGAAGCAAGATTCTACCTTCCTCAGCCTGGCTCAAAAGGCCGAAGTGCTCCATGAGTTCGGTTGATGATAAGTGTAGAATGTGATAAAGAACTCAGTGTGAAAAATCAAAACCTGAGGGAATTTAGGCGGTGATCACTGGAGATGTCAAAGTGTTGCCAGAGCGATTGAGAAAAGTGGGCGGTCAGATTGCAGAATGAATTGCTTCCCCAGAGATGTTCACTCCCAGAGATCCACCTTGATCTATTCCTACGATCTATCAGCATTCCCCTCGAGATTTTGGTGTCAATCACACCAAAGTGAAATCCACTTCCAAAGATGTCCAGCTAAGACAATATTGCGCTCTGTAATCAACGTGTCCGCTCATCCAAGCCCATAAAAACTACAGTTTGCGACCTGCGGAGTACATGCTCGATGGAATTCAATCCTCAACACTTATAACTCTCCAACTGCAGACTTCTGGCTGGATCTGTTGAAATGACTGAAAATTCCTCGGGTCTGCAGGTAGGCCAGCGGTTCTCATCCCTAGAGGATTTCAAAACTGCAATACGGAGTATATCTGTCAGGCAACATTGGGAGCTTCGTGTGATTCGGAGCAACAAGAAAAGTGTGGTAATCGGCTGCAGATCTACTGGCAATTGCTTCTTTCGTGTTGTCTGCCGCTCCAACAAGAATGCGACCTATATCACTAGCCTTCAAGACAACCATCTTTGTCAGAGAAGTGTAAACTCTCCAACCCGAACACCGGTTCGCTCCGAAGCGTCGCATGTGCGTTTTCTACTGAGTGAGATTCCCAAGCTTTTTGATATGAAGGCCAGGATCAAGGCTCAGGATGTCGTGCATGCCGTCAAGCGTTATCATGGATACGATATCTCCATGAGACAGGCCCAGCGTGCCTTAATAAAATTGCAGTCACAAGATAGTTTGAATGATGATGAACAAGCCATGTTAGATATGAATACAAATGACCAGGACTCGCCGACTCAATCCCAATCTGAATCACAAGGAGACGCTGGTCCTGCATATCAGGATCTTTCCGAGAATCGCTGGATGACAGATCCTTTACAGTCTAGCTTGATGGTCGATGATGACACTGTGAACTCCAGCGAGTCTCCAAGCGTTCATACTCACGCTCAAGCTCATGTTCACGCTCAAGCCCATGCTCACGCTCATGCTCATGCTCATGTATCAACAGCTTCAGCCGCTCAAGCTGGCCAACCCATGCAGGACTCTCAAATACAGCAGCCTCCAATTCGAACAGCTGTCCAATCCAATATCAATACGGACCCACGCCCCATTGGAATGTCACAACAGAGTGGTGGATATGACACTGGTGCTTCTTTCCCACTAGACCCAGAGCACCCCAAACCTCCCAATTACCAACCCCGCAATGACCATTCTGGTGCCTCCCAGATAGTTCTCACCAACTTCAAGATCGAATTCACATGTACTACATGTGGAGCTATGAACCAAAGCTTTTTTCCAAACCAAGGAAATGTTACAGGTGGTGGATACATGTCTCATCACTCAGCTCCGAACCCAGGCAGTATCGTACGACATGCAGATCTTTCTTCCCATGGCGTGCCAATTACTAGCAATGGTGTTACTGAAGATGGTGGTTATTCTGTGAACGCTCTCAATGCTCGTGTCATGCAGAGTGCATGGGCTGGTGGCCTTGGCGTCCCCATTGGCCCAAATAACCCTTAGTACGTTCACAGAATCTGAGAATACCCTTATTTCAGTTCTGTATCTAACTCGACCAACAAAGAACCCGAGTTTCCTATTTTAGGTATGGTGTTTTCTCCAGAAATTGATTTCACGGCCTGTCCACTATGATGATCTTTACTTATCAGATGCCTCTTGAGGAGTTGACAAAAAACCATCGTTTCGTTCGTACCGATGTTAATGATACATGAGAGACGGATGCTTTTTTCTTTCTTTTCTCGTTTGATACCAATTTGAATTTCTGTTTACTTTTCTCCAGGTTATTATCTGACGTCGCAAGATTCTACTTCACGATTCAATGTCAAAAGAACATCTAAAAGCTTACTAATACTCTCGGATCCAATGTACCAGTGACCCCAATAAGAGAGCGTTCAGGCCTTTTACCCCACATCTTGCTAGGAGACTACAAGCCGATCTCTACCTCCTCTCTCTGGGGACACTGAAATTCTCAGTTATGCCACGGGATTACTGGAAAGCCATTTGAAAGTTGAAATAGTGACAGTCTGGCTATATAAATATACAGAAGTTTTATTTCCTGTCAACTTGAAAGCAAATAAATAAACCCATGAAGGGCGTAATCTATCCAATACTTGGGGTTATATATGAATAAACAACCAGCTGCTTACTTTCAGAGGAATGTGATATGACACAAGCAGTAAATCGATCTCCATTAACACATGTAAACGCCTTTCGGTAATGACAGACCATTTTACTCCCGAAGATCAACATTACCTATCTCCTGGCTCGCAAGATGTTGCCGATGGGATTCCATCTATCCAATTGCACCGATGATCGAAGGAACAAAGTATCCTGCCTCGGGACAGGAAAATGCTCTTCCCCACGCGGCCCCGCATATAGAAGCCGGGGAAAGGCAGCGGTTGCGCTAAAATCCGTAGACTGATATAGAGTAGTTTCCCCAGCTTTCGATTTACAACCCTGAGATTACTACTCTGATTTTGGATAGCTTATTCAGACTGATATATCAATAACAATGGGCGAGAAAGAAAAGAACGGCCTTAGGCTTCATTGGAAGGCACTAGTAGCATGTTCGCTGATATCCATGTCGCCGTTTCAGTATGGTGTTGATTTGACCATGATTGGAGGATTTCAAGCAATGGTTGGGTTCTTAAAGGCAATAGCCCTCTCCCATTAAATCGGTGCTGATAATGGAGATTATATCACTAACACTCGACTTTTCCTGCAGATATTTGGCACCAGAGACCCATCCACTTCCATCGGATGGAACATCGATTATGAAACGCAACAACTTATATCATCGCTGATGACCCTCGGTGCTTTTGTGGGATCATGCTCTGCCGGTATGGCGTTCTACATTTTAGCGGTTGATAAGAGAATTGACAACTTTAGGACCCATTGCCACTTACGTTGGCCGAAAGACAAGCCTATACATCGCTGTTCTGCTGATCTATATTGCCAACATAGTCATGATGGCAACCGATACTATTGGTGGTCTCTATGCGGGGCGTCTGATTATTGGACTAGGAAATGGGTTCTTGATGACCTTTTCGCAGTTATACCTCCAGGTAAAAACTACCCAAGTACCCGAAATGTGATTTTCAGAGCTATGAGAAGCTGAGAAAATTATAGGAATGCTCTCCAGCACGATACAGAGCTCTCGTGATTGGCGGATTTCAATTTTGGACTTCATTCGGCTCCCTTCTCGGCTCTATCATCGACAACGCTACGGCTAAAATCGACGGCAAGAACAGTTATATAATCCCTCTTGGTATTGTATTTATCATCCCGGCAGTTCTGGCCATTGGAATGCTCTTTATTCCAGAGTCACCACGTTGGTTGCTTCAGCATAAGAGAGCTGACGAGGCCCGCAAGGCTTTGGCTTGGCTAAGGCCCGATGAAGACTCTGTTAACGAGGAAATGGATGAAATTTCAAGTGCTATTGAGCTGGAGCAGGATATGGCTAGTACCACTTCTGTGTGGGACATGTTCACCAATCCCGTTGATCGTCGTCGGACCATCCTGTCTGTCGCTGCAGTGAGCACGCAAGCAGCATCTGGAGCCATGTACATGATTGGTGAGTGTCCACTACCCAAAAATCAAAATTGCTACAACAGTCGTAACGAAAATATAACTAGCTTATGGAACCTATTTCTTCGAGATGGCCAATGTGGGTAGCGCCTTTGAGAACACCTGCATTGTTAGCGCTATGAGTGTTATAGCTATCTTGATAAACAATGTCGTTGTCACCCGAATTGGTCGCCGGCGGGTGTTCCTAGTTGTTGGTCTGACTGTTTGTGCGTTCAGTCAGCTTATCACTGCTGTAATATACACAGTCAATCCCGGGACCCAAAAAACAGGCAAGGGGATAGTTGGATTGTCTATTATCTTTGTTATTTGCTACACGGTAAGTAGCTCCTCGGTACTGTTATTTGACATGAATCGCACGCAAGTTAACATTTTATATAGGGAATGGTGGCACCATATGCCTGGGTATCAGGCGGCGAGCTACCATCCCAGCGGCTAAGATCCTACACATTTGGGCTCTCAGCAGCGATTGGCTTCTTGGGTGCGGTTAGTTCTTTCCCCTCCCGAGCTCGACTTATTTCGGCTCAGAAATACTTATATGTGTATGATATTATTAGTGGCTTACTACCTTCACGGCACCTTACTTTATCAATCCCGATTCACTGGGCTGGGGGTGAGTATTTCTGGATCTGGGCGTATGATCTATGCTAATATTTGGACTCAAAGACCAAAATATGGGTACATATGGTTCCCGTCCGGGCTTCTGGCAGCGGTTTACATCTATTTCTTCCTGCCTGAAGTGAAAGGTCGTACACTGGAAGAGATTGACGAAATGGTATGTTATTAGTCTGGTCAACTACAAGTTTAATGTGCTAATGATCCTCGCTAGTTTGAGCAACAGCTGCCAGCACGGAAGTTCCGTGGCTATAAATGCGTTGGCACGGTCGCCCTCGAAGCAGAACTCAAAAATTCGGGACATGTGAGCGAGAATATGGATATAAGGACCTCTATTGATTCGAAGGGGCCAACTACTGAATTCATTGAGAGGAGTGAATAAGGTGTTTGAGGAGAGAAACAAGGAACCGTCAAATTGTGCAAAGAAGATTGAGAAAGGCCCGGGTGAGGAACATTTTCATATACCATAGGCTTTCTGGGTCTCTAGGGACCTAGACATAATTCTACAAATGGACAATCATAATAAAGAGAAATGGAGTATAGCCTCCAAGGCTTCAGTTCACTAATTGCGCTTTCTTAACTACATTATCAAATGTCTCGGCGGCATTCTTCTCAGCATCAAAGGCAAAAATCCAATCTTCACGAGGGAGCGCAATTTTAGTCGGATCCTTGGCAACCTGATCCCAATCTGCCTTGTGCCACATATCCCGGGTAGTCTCACCAGTCTTCTGGACAGCCTTCACTCGATCATATCTGTCAATAGAACATTAGCATCTGATCTTGGAAATGAAACTGTCACACGCACCTGATATCCTGATAAGCCCGCACAGCAGCTGGTACATTGTTCTTGCCACCTTCTTTTAGGCAAACAGCGAGAACGACACCGTCCTCCATCGCTTGTGTTGCTCCTTGAATGGAGGTGGGCAGGAAGGGGTGTGCTGCGTCTCCAACTAGTGCAATACGTCCATGGTCACTTACCCACCGAGACAGTGGGTCTCGGTATACAAGCTTCCAGTCGACCAGGGCGGCAGTTGGGGTCTTCTCGACAATAGTCTTGACGAGAGGATCCCATCCTTCGATAACTTTGTACACGTCTTCGAGTTTGCCGGGGAAAGACCACGACTCGTCAATATCAGCATCATCCTAGTTCGGTTGTCAGAATTGATCTACCCAAGTATTTAAAATTTGAGTTGGGAGGGTGAACAGACCTTGTGTGTCAAAACCCAGCAGCAGTCTTCTCCATTCTTGATTGTAGAGAAGAGGAAATGCACGTCAGGACCAATCCAGCCGTTGAAGGTGTCTCCATTGTCGCAGAAGTGCTTTGTCCGTGGATCCTTGATCATATCCTTATTTGAGAACCTGGTGAATGTCATCAGTCCGAATTCAATGCATCAAAGCAGGGTTTATGGCTTGTTAAAGCTTACCAGGCTCGGAAGATCGCGTAGCCACTTGGCTTGGGCTTATCAACATAGCCCAGTACCAATTTTCGCGCTTTGGAGCGCACTCCGTCCGAGCCAATGACCATATCCGCAGTGATCTGCATTCTAATTAGATAAATTGTTGAATTTGAATACGCCAAGTAGCTTTTACCTTCTCTCCAGTTTTCAGGATTATACCAGCCTCATTCTCATCTTCAAAGTACTCTTCAACCCTCTGGCCAAGATGAATCGGGATACCGAGGTCATCCTTAGCATAGTTGAAGATCACAGTGTGAAATTCACCTCGGTGACCATTGAATACTGGGGCATCCGGATCATGCTCATGAGAAGGCTGGTTGTGCATCAATTCGCCGGACCACTTGTGAATATTAAATCCGCGATCATGCAGGTCCAGACTGAGTGGCTTCAAGCGATCTGCAACAAGACCATCGGACCAGCGGCGGAAGATTCGACCTGCATTAGGACCGAAAGAAATGATATCTCCGAGCGCTTTGAGCTCTAACCATATAAGATACGTTAGAAATGCTATGCTATAATCTCAAGTGCTTTGAACTAACCAGGGAACGATTCATAGATCTCGACGTGGTGTCCTTGACGATGGCATTCAATTGCAGCTGTCAGTCCAGCAAAGCCTGTCTCTTGTTAGAATGCCACTTAAGAATGACCATGCTGACACCTACCTGCTCCGACAATTACGACCTTAACCCCCGTCGGCTTGGGAGCCGTTGCCGAGTTTGAAGCCATGGTTTTATTCACTACTAGATGTACAGATAAGTTTGCAGATGATCAGGGATGAGAGATGTAACGTTCCAGCGCGGCTCTTTGAATTATAATTATAGGAATGTCAGCATCATCCCGGCGGGCTCTGGAAAAACCCCCAAACTTCACGGCTAAGTCAGGACTACTATTTGCCGATAACTAGACAATTCTCATCCCTTAATAAGGGCTCGGTTTGTTCTTGCCGAGTTGTATCACCAATCAAATCATCTGAAATACAGTCAGTGCACATAATGTGGGGAGAAACCTTGCGGGCCCCAGAAATTGATGCCCCGCCCCCGCACTTTCGAACCCCTTTAGCATCATAGATAGCTATTGTACCTAGGTAAATTATGTTACAGCTCTAGTTGAGTTCTACTTGCGCATGCTGGTGTGGCACCTCATATATCGAAATGTGGGGCTAACAGCAAGGACTATCTGTCGCCGAAAGAGGAGTATGGGGAGGTATAACTAATGCCTAATTGCCTGATTGAAAAGAGGCATAACAGATATTAAGTTCGCTGTGAACAGCCAAATAAGCCACAATGCCTACTTCTTATCCCGAGTTCAACGACAAGACGACGGCCACTGAGGTCGCGAATGAATTTGCCGGCCAAATAAAAGACAAGATTGGTGCGTTGCGCAGCTGTAAGACAATTGAACTTAATGCTGACTTCTAATTAGTGGTCATTACTGGCGTTGGCCCTGATAGCTTGGGTGAAGCTCTTGCCCTGTCTATAGGCAGTCAAGGCCCCGCGAAATTGATTCTAGCTTCGCGTACCGAGTCCAAAGTCCAGCAAGTTGCTGTTAAAGTGCTACAGCTCTCACCTGACTTGCCTATTGAAGTGGTCAAGTTGGACCTTGCCTCGCAGAATTCTATTCGTGCTGCAGCTTCGAAAGTTCAGAGTCTTGTTGACCATATTGATATTTTGATCAACAATGCTGGTATCATGACCCAGGAGAGAGAGTTCACAGAGGAGGGGATCGAGCTTCAATTTGGAACAAATCACATTGGATCCTTCCTGTTTACCCACCTGCTCGTGCCACAACTGAAAGCTGCGGCTAAATCCTCGACACCTGGATCTACTCGAGTCATCAATGTTTCCAGTGCTGGCCATCGGTTGTCACCTATCCGCTTCCACGACTATAACTTTGACGGAAATGATATTCCGGATGATGAGAAACCCCCAGAGAACTTGCCTCCCATGTTCAATGCTAAGGCTGAAGGGTACAACCCATGGCTGGCATATGGACAGTCCAAGGGAGCGAACGTGCTGTTCACTGTATACTTGACTCGGCACCTGGCATCTGATGGCATTGTCTCATACGCTGTCCACCCTGGCTGTAAGTCTTGTTGATATTTGGACAAAGCGCTCCTTCGATACTAATTGCAAACTTAGCCATCCATACGGGACTAAGTCGAAAGCTGAATGAATATGACTCTGTGGTGATGGACAAGACCAGTAAAGTTTGGCGATCAGCCGACCAGGGAGCATCTACTATGCTCGTAGCTGCTTTTGACCCGGCATTGACAGGTACGATTCATGCAAGATAGTTCGTTCTCATGATGTTGCTAACAGACATAATGCTATAGTTGTCTTTGACCCTACAGCTGTGTATCTCAGCGACTGCCAGCTCGCTATCGCAGCACCACCTGCTGTCAACCTCGATACCGCCGAGAAATTGCACAAATTGAGCGAAGAGCTGGTTGGACAGCAGTTCCAGCTGTGATATCATTGAGGCCCACTTAGAGTTATCGGAGGTTCCGATGGCCTAGATGCCCATTATCGGCTAGAACATCCTGGGGCGACAGTCAATAGATCTTATGTTGCAGCTGCAGCCTACTAGAATCTGAACCACTTTGCTTAATCACACCGCTTCATTACTTGACCTAGTTATACCACCGTATCTTTGTACTCATCTAGATTTTAGCTTATCATGACTAATTGAGTATTTCGGATATCCGATCGGATGTCCGAAGTGGTCCGCCAACCACAAACAGCGAAATTCAGAAATTCTCTGAATCGAAGCCCACCGGTTGTGGATAAAGATGTGATGAAAGCATTTTATGGCTTTTTCGGAGAACCATCCGACTCAATTCTTTATTTTGCGGCGAACTTCTCCAATGAAGGCTTAGAATAAATAGCCGATTCATGGACGGCACTAGAACTGTAGCATGAACTAATTCCTTCACAGTCTCTCCTCGCCTTTATCTGGACAAATTCCCCTTTATTGGCGTTTGAAAGATTTACCATCCTACAGCCTCAAAACATTGAATCTTTAATACACGGAGAGTTCTATTCACATCGTCTTTCCAAGGTCCTTTCAAGGTATTTTATAATCGGGGTCTCAGCTTTGACTCGCGAATGGATACCGTCAACAAATTTTCAAAAAGATAAAACAATATAAATCGGAGAGCTATTGATTGATTTTCTCAAAAGCATCAAAAATGAACAAACAAAAAGCGGCCGAGAAGGCTCTGCATGATCAGACGAACATTCTCCCGTTGGGGCAACTGATGATCGTCTTCTCGAGCATGGCCACCTCCTTATTGATCTGCTTTATAGACCAGAATGGTATCAGCGTGACATTACCCACAATTGCGCGCGATCTTGGAGCTGAGAATACCATTTCCTGGGCTGGAACTTCGTCTTTAATCGCCAACACCGTGTTTACGGTGCTCTATGGGCGATTATCGGATATTTTCGGTCGGAAAGTTATTTATATCTCTGCTCTGGTTACCCTTTGCCTTGCAGATTTGTGCTGTGGACTGGCTGTTAATCCTACCATGTTTTATATATTTCGAGGCCTTGCTGGAATGTCTGGTGGTGGCGTCACGTCTCTAACTATGATCATTGTGTCTGATGTGGTCACATTAGAGCAGCGCGGAAAATACCAAGGCTTTTTAGGCGCTGCTATCGGCCTTGGAAATGTGATCGGTCCTTTTATTGCCGCTGCTTTCATTGAGAAGTCAACATGGCGCGGGTATTTCTGGCTTATTTCTCCTCTGGCTGCTGTCTCTGCTGTCATTGGATTTATCCTTATACCCAATAATGCGCGCAAAGATGGTCTCATGGAGAACCTCGGCCGTATTGACTGGTGGGGAGTGCTTTCTTCTTCGATTGGAGTGATCTTCTTATTGATTCCTATTTCTGGAGGAGGATCTTATTTTGAATGGAACTCCCCGATGGTTATCAGTATGCTCGCTATTGGAGGGTTTGCGATGGTTTCGTTCATATTTATTGAATGGAAAGTGGCTAAATTGCCAATGCTGCCCAGTAAGTTATGCAATTACCTATTTCTGCCAGCTATATTGATTGAAGTCTTAGTTGCTTTCTTCAAGGACAAGGCGAAAGTTGCTATTTTTTGCCAGAGCTTCTTTCTTGGAGCTGTGTATCAAGCCTACCTCTACTATTTGCCCCTTTATTACCAAAATGCGCGCGGCTGGTCTCCTATCGTGTCAGCAGCATTGACAGCTCCGATGGTGGCATGCCAGTCTATCTCTTCTATTTGCTCCGGACAGTACATTTCTCGACTTCGTCGATATATCGAAATCATCTGGATGGGGTTTGGACTCTGGACCTTGTAAGTATTTGTCGAGCCACTGAGTAGTGGGAAAAGTGCTAATTTTTATATAGGGGCGCTGGGCTCATGCTGCTTTTCGGTCCTCATACTCATCCAGCTGCAATCGCTGTCATTGTCGGTATCGTCGGAGTGGGTGTCGGTTTCACATTCCAGCCTACACTTGTTGCGCTACAGGCACACTGCACTAAATCTCAGCGGGCCGTATCGATCTCGAACCGCAACTTCTTCCGCTGCATGGGAGGTGCTGTTGGCCTTTCTGTTTCCGCTGCCCTCCTTCAAGCGTCTCTCCGCTCAAACCTGCCTAGCAGTCTTTCTTATCTGGCGAAATCCACATACTCACTTCCCGATAAGTCGAGTGTTTCTGCTGTTGAGTGGACGCAAATTCTCCTTTCTTATAGCAAGGCGTCACACTCGGTTTTTATCCTGCAGGTTCCTCTTATAGGTGTGTGCTTTCTCGCATCTATATTCATCGAGGATCATGGTCTTGAACGACCAAAAGAGCCCGAAGAGATTGAAGAGGAGAGAAAGGCGGAGAAAGCTAAGTTGGATGCTGAAACTGGGCTTCCTGAATATGAGAATGGACAGTCTGATGAGACTGCTGAAACACATCTCTCAACGTCCACACTTGCAGACTCATCTTCTTCGCCATCTCGTGCTAGATCAGAGCACTCGGCTGTCTGAACTTAAAAAATAATGATTATATGGAAGTGAAGAGAAGTAGCGCAACGATTTTTTTTATCTCTCTTGCATAGCGTTTGATACTAGAAAGTACTTCAATATCAACAATTCAATCCGATATCGTTCAAGATATAAATCATATACGAGACCAGTATTCAGCCATTCACGAGCCTAAAGAGATCCATCAGTTCATAGATCTACAAGATAAAGAGTTATAGATGGGATTGATTCAATTGAAGAGATGATCTTATCCCAAATCCAAAGGCCCAAACCAGGATGATGATGTGGAAGAAGATGATATTGGACATATTATTGAAGAGTAGACACGATTTACATAAGCACAGTTGCTAGAGGTGTTAAGCACCCTACTCATATGAAGAGTAGCATGAGATAGCGAATCGTAACCAAATTAAGGCTTTTCATAGGAAGCAGAAGTAGAATTAGCTCAAGATAGACAGTAGAGAGATATTAGGAGCTTTTTTGGAGTTTAGGTAGTAAATTACAAATAATTACAAATTTCTGGCTTTACCGATACCCTGTGTATAGATATACAGACCTCTTGCCAATAATACATCCTTAGGTAAAGTGTTTACAGTAAGTAGAAAATAATGTTCCTCGTTCATCTGTGGCATTTGGATGATTAGTCAGTTGGATCAGAAAAGTCGACAATAAGGTCGTCTAGTGAGTGAAGCTCTTATTGCAGTCTTGAAATTCCGAATAGCTACCTAGATGGCGATCGTCGATATCACATATTTCTTCGTCCTTTTTCGTCTTTAGAGGACTCTGAGTAGTAATATATATCGCCCTTGTCTTTTTCGGTTACATTAAAACATTGAAAAAGGAAGTGAACTAATGTCTTGGCGCCCGCCTCAACGACAGCTCACCGAGTATGTTTCCTTGGGTTCCCACCTCTACTTACCAAGGTCCTCTGTGATGAGACGAAATGTATACATCTTTAAAGGGTACTGGAAGTAGCCCAAACCCGTCTAGACAGACAAGTCCCGCCTCCAGGGACGGCTACATTTACAACTCCCGGAAGCGCGGCAGGACTGCGTGTTCACGGTGCAAGAGACGTAAACAGCGAGTGAGTCAGTCTCGAGGTCTAGGAATCATATCCGACATGATAAATTCAACCGTTCTGGTTCCACTTATGACTTTGCTGACCAGATACAGTGCGACAATGAGTATCCAACTTGCTCTAACTGTCAAAATGCAGGGGTCACGTGTGACAAGTCCGACATACAAGAGGAACGACTAGACGCATACCGTATGAATAAGTAAGTCTGCGAAGTCGACATCTATGTGAAAATTGTATTCATTTTGCATATTAGCTATACACGTGTTTTGGAAGACAAAGTGGCGTTCCTTGAAGGAAGAATAGGCCAAGCTGAACATGCTAGCCAAAGTACCCATGTTCCGCAAACTACGGCTTCTGGACTGGACAACAACCCGGTAGGAGAGATCGTAGGACTTCTTGCCCTGAGCTCATCTGAGGCGCCTGCCTATGTGGGTTCAAGCTCTGGCCTCTCGCTAGCCTCCGACTTGGGAGAAATGGTCCAGTCTAGCGTGTGGAACCAATTCATCTCAAGCATGCACCAGCAGCCAAGTTCAACTACTAATGATGCTCCTCAAAGAGCAACAGGCTCTGGCGTTAGAGAATCACAGCAGAACAAAGATAAGTCCTGGGATAGATCTATGAATTTTGAACCACCAAATGATGAGATGGGCACGAAGATCTTGGAGGTTTACTTCAAAAGGCTCCATTCTCGGTATCCATTTCTTGATCGAACGAAAATATGGCGCCTTCATGATCATAGGTGGCAATTAGCGAAATTCAAGCGCGAAGACCTTACAAAACCTGACCAGTATGCTATTTTTAAGCTCAACATGGTCTACGCTATTGGATCCACAATGTTGCAGATTACCGATGCCAAGAGATATACATACACAGCACCCGAGGTACGAAAAATGGAACATTGACTTGAAGACATTTTGCTCACATCATACTAGCGATACTATGCAACAGCGCTACAAAACGTCTCCAATATGTGCGAGGCGCGCTCTATTGAAAATATCGAGGCCATGGTTCTTCTAGTAGTCTACCACCTTCGTACAGCTTCCAGTCATGGTATGTGGTATATGATCGGACTCGCAATGCGCACTGCCATCGATCTTGGAATGCATCGACGAGCGAATGAAATCAATATGGACCCATTCACCACCCAGATGCGACGCAGACTCTTTTGGACCGTGTACTACCTAGAACGAGTTGTCTCAATGTCACTCGGACGGCCGTTCAGTATTTCCGATCGCCATATTGATCTCGACCTACCGATTGAAATAGACGACCATGTGGAAGATCCCGCATTGCTCACTGCACATCAGGTCCCTACGCAAAACACATCACTGACGTTTGCCATGCACCTTTTCAAGCTCCGACGCATCGACTCCCGAATTCAACATAAAATTTATCGTGCCGACCGAGCTCTATCTTCTCTACGGCCAAAGATGGACCCTTTGTACCTGGAACTTGAACAATGGAAGGACTCTGCCTTTCTACGAGCCAGTGCTTCAGACCTCGACTATCTTATGCTTCACTATAATCGGACTGTCCGGCTTTTGATCCAGCCGTTTTTACCTCTTCTCCCCATTACAGATCCGTACTATCATATCTGTTTACGTGCCGCAGGGGAGATTTGCCAATCGCACAAACGTCTCCACCAGACTTTGGAGTACGGCCATTCATTTTTAGCTGTGCAAACGGTTTTCATGGCTGGAATAACAATGCTCTACGCATTATGGACACACACTGATCAGGTGTGGTCAATCAGCATGAGCAACGACGTCCGTGCCTGCTCAACCGTGCTATTCGTCATGGGCGAAAGAGCCGCATGGGTAAAGAAATACCGCGACGCATTTGAAATCCTGGTCAATGCGGCTATGGAAAAGCTGCAAGGAAATGAAATGGCTCGAAGTGCAGGCATGGCTGAGCTGATGGCTGCCCGGCACGGCGTGGCCTCGATGAATAATCCGGAAACTGATATGCTAAATGCGGAGAGATATCTTCCTGCAAACCCGATAGGCTTCGCACCTGATGCAGCTAGCTCATATTCTGACAACGGTCATGCGGTGAGAATGGCGCTGCAGCTTGCACCTTGGATTGATCAGGCTGAAAGTGATCCTTTGTGGATTCCGGATTTTGAGATTTTGGAGAATGTCGCGGGGACATTTTGGAGTCATGCCGATACGACTACCATATTTGATGCTTTATGAAAGAGTCAACTACTAATATTAACCCCATAGCTTTCTTATCCCATTGAAAACTTTGGAGTCAGACCTTGGAATTGAGACGCCCGGGCGGCAAAATTTCTTATTAATTCGAGCACATATACAATGTTCTGTACCTACTCTATATACGATCCACGATACAAAATTAAAATTATGTCGAGGGCTCTCCGGGGCTACTTCTGACAGACTTCAAAAATAAATCTAACATTGAATCACTTAGACACCGGGTGCATTAGTGTCCAACCCCTTCGCCATGCGTTGAATCTGCCCAGCATAAAAAGCCTACATAGAAGTCAGTATCAACTCGGTCACATCAAGTGTTAGGTTAAACTTACACTCTCAACACCAGCACCAACCAAATTTTTCGGTAACCATTTCGCAAGGAAAGGAGTAGGCACCAATCCCAACGGCAGCCTCGCCTCCTCATCAGGAACGCTTTCATCAAGCAACAGATGCGGGAAACCAGGGTTCACAGCCGCAGGCCGCGCAAGACCAACAAGATCACAAGCACCATCCTGAATAGCCGACACAGCACCAGCTCGCGACCGGAATCCACCAGTCAACATAAGCACAAGACCAGGATGACGCTCGCGCACCTCCTTCGCAAATTCGAGGAAGAAAGCCTCGCGCGCTACTGTTCGTGCGGACTTCTCTTTGACTGAGTAGCCCATCATCTGCGGGTCTTCGTATGAGCCGCCGCTGATTTCTAGGAAGTCGATTCCAGCTGAGACAAGGATTGCGATTTGCGACATTGTTTCTTCAAATGTCTCTGAGCTGTGGTCTGCTGAATTTAGTTTGATTCCTATGCAGAAGGTTGCGGGCACTACTGCGCGTGTTTGGTGGAAGATGTCTATGATGAATTTTACTCGCTTTTCCGGTGTGCCGCCGTATGCGTCTGTTCGTAGGTTTGTCTGTGAAGGTTAGTTTTTTGTTCTGTTCTTATCGAACTGATATTATATAGATATTACCTTGCTGCTCAAAAATTGATCTGCCAAATAGCTCGTCAGCACTGGCAAAGGGAAGAGAACATTTGAACTCAATATTTGAGCGGTAGCGACATACCCATCAGGAACCCATGCGCAGCATGAAATTCCACACCCGAAAACCCAGCATCAGCCATAAGGCGCGCAGTATCAACAAATTGACGAATGACGCGGTCGATATCAGTCAAAGACATTTCCTCGGGATTCGACCAGGCAAGGGTAGCAATAGCTCGTTCGATTAGACCGTCACCAAGATAGATAGGCACGGCACTAGGCGCCAACGTCGGCGCAAAGAGACCGCGACGTCCAGCGAACCGTATAGACTGACGACCTGGATGGTTGATCTGAACAATCGCCGGAGTACCGTGCTTTTGGCAGGTGTCGGCGTATTTCTTCCATTGCGCTAAGATGGTTGTATCGCCTGTGTACTCGCCATGTAGGGCTGGGTCTTTGGGGCCGCCCATGTGGTTAACGTCTACTTGGACGTTACCTGTTATGATGCTGCCCCAGCCGCCTTTGGCCCATGACTCGTATGCAGCGGTGAGATTTTCGTCTGCATCGTTGTTCACGGCTATTTGCTCGGCCATTGCTGCCTATATAATGTTGGTTTTGATTTTATTTTTAATTATTTTTTGGTCTTTTTTGAGAGATTTACCTTGGATAACCGGTTTTGCAGGACTAGGCCGCAGGGCAGCTTGACTGAGTCTGCTAACGGCGAAGGCATATTGCTATCTAGATTCGATATGTTGAAATAGAAACTAGATATGGTGATTGTTCTAAATTAGCCCGGTTCACAACATGCACAAATTTCACAATAAACACCAGAAAGAACACGAAGACAATTTATTCTCTCACTTACCTGGAATATTCAATAAATAATCAGTTGCTGTAAAAATTAGATATGAGATTATCAAGATTTTATATGAAAATTAAAGGGGAAAAAATTGGACTAAAGGATTCCAGGATTAATTCTAGTAATCGGACAAGGAAAGATTGATCTCCCGCTCGGCCATGAATTATAATCACTCCGATTGAAGGGAGTATCCAGCTTATGTTGCCAAGACTGGCATTGAGAAAATCCCAAAGCTGTTTTATTTATGAGCGATTTGCAGATGATCATAGTTATCAAAGGGGAACGTCAAAGGGGAATGTTTATAGATGCTTATAAGGGTTGAATATATCATGATCGCTAAAAACTGATCTGGTTGGCTGTTTATCTATCCGATCATGAATGCCTGTCAAGCTAGAGAAAGGGGGTGTTTTTTTACTGTTTGCAGGATCCATAACGGGTGTATATTTATTTAGTTAGTACTCCGTACTTTGTAGCTTTTCACTAGATATAGAATTTAGTTTCGTCAACCTATGACAATTGGCCGGTCAAAATTCAGGTTGACAATGCCCAAGAGTCACATCATACATGACTTAGGAGTATGTTCCAACACGGTCGTGGATTATAAGTATAGAAATTTATTTGCTGAAAAATGATAAAGTCATAAAGGGAAGGTCTAAGTATAACTGCCTATCTTCCAAGATTACGTAGAATAGTTCGAAGATTACGTCTTTGAATCCTGATGCTTAGTTAGGTATGAAATTGAGTGGATATCTGGGGGACCACGAGAGTTGGAAAATATCCATTGGTGGAGAGCAAAAATTTCAAAAATTTATAGATCAAAAGAACATAGCATCATCGTCATCATCATCATCATCATCATCATCATCATCACCATTAGAGTCCGGACCATCTTCTTCATACTCCTGCATTCTCGCTCGATATTCTTCCAAGGAACATCCCCCAAATATGCTCCTTTCTGAAATCCTTCGACCACCAGCTACCCTCACAGGTAGGAGATTGACAATGTAATGAGAGCATATTGTACCGGGGCTTTCAATAAACCCCGAATTTGAAAACTGAGTCGTAAGAAGTAACTTGAATGTAGGGTTCAAAAACTCATTCAGGACAATCTGATTCAAGATGAATAGCACATCGATCAAATCTTTCTTCCAGGTCTCTGACTCAAACCAGGTAACATCGTCAATGATACAGATGATCCTAGCTTCTCTTGGGAGCTGCTCAATGAGCTGACGAAATATACTGCAGAGACCTTGCAGATCATGTGACTTGATCTGTTCCGCAAAGGAGCGAGTATTGATGAAGTTGAGATTGAATGTGATACCAGTGAGCAGTAACTGAACGATAAGACTTCGAATCAACCAGTTTGGACCAATATTGGGATGACACTGGGCTCCGTGGAGACCACAGAAAGTGTTCAAGACAATGTAATTGGTGTTTTTGGAGAGATTGAGAGAAAGAGTCGCACACAATACTGATAGTGCAGAAATGCGACTAGAACCGGCCTTTTGAAAATTACCCTTCACAAAGAGTGTTTCGGCTGTGAGGTTATTGATCCATTTCATGAAATACTCCGATGAGAGAAGCTGTTGAGCCTGGGTTTGAGTGGCGATATCAAATTGGTCCAACCGTTTAATTACTTGCTCAACGTCTTCAATTGGCTCCTTCAGTTGAACTCGCAGTGCATGGAATAATTCGGTATCAGAAAGGAAGGACTGTGGTTGGAATGGTTGAGCAGTATGAAAGGCGGGAAGAAATTGAGAGGCTGCGACTGACATTATTAGTCACCTAGTTAATACAAAGAGCGGAGTATCAAATCGTACCAGGAAGATCAGACAAAAAGAACAGATGAAGATAGTTTTTAGAATCAACTTGTTCCTTGTGCCTAGCTTGTTGCTCTATACGACTCTCCTCAAACTGCTTTGATAAAGTACTGAGGCCAGCAAGGACTTTGTTGCTATTGTCGTATGTCCTCACTAGATATCCATCTCGTACCTGCTGCAAGAATACGTTGAATTCGCCAACTGCAGTACCCATGTTACCGAGAATTTGGTCGATTTCTGCTGCCGTATGGTATGGGTTGAGCTTTTTGCCTAATCGCTTGGCCTGGTATCTGAATTTATCTTCCGATTTACTGAGGTTGAGTGTTGCAATGAGGTATGCTAGCGAGTGTGCAAGAACTTTGTATAGAACTATAGCCTCATCCCTCAGCTTGGGAATGGCAGAAAAGACATGTTGTTGTTTTTGAGTCTGGAACATCACACTAGGGATCTCGTGTAGGGCCTGGAGGATTTTCTCACGATTATCGGCGTTTTTCTTCGCAATCTGTAACCAGTTCAAGCGTTAGCTTTCATAGATGATAATATGCTTGACGATCATACATTGAGAATGACTTTAAGCCCAGCGCTCAATATGCCCAGTCCATGATCGGAAGGGATCAAGTCCACCCACAGACCGATGGCATCTGCGTAGTTTCCTGCAGACCTTTCTATCTGTCGAGGATTGCTGACAATTCCCTTCCCCTTTTGATTATACTTTTCTTCTGCTTCAATGATCTCGAGCAGAATATCATTGAGTTTGTAAGATGTGATGTTTAGTCTATATTTCTCCTCCGTTGTTGTATTATATTCTTCAAGAGCGATTCTTAAATCATCGCAAGGCGGAGTATCTTCAACATCTGGCGGCTCAAACCAAGTCGTCTGCCTGTTGTAAGATGCTTTTTCCCCTAGGGCTTTATGGTATTGATATCCATGTTTGTTGATAAATTCGGCGCTGATGGCAGCTTCTTTATCGGTGAATTTATGCTTGAAAGACTGGAAAGAGTACATTTTTACAATTCCACGAGTGTCTGCGGTATCTGTACATAAATATCCAACTTTGGAAGCTGTTAGGTAGAGGGGTGAGTTGCATTTTCGATAGAACGACCTCGAGGTCGGGACATTCCTTTCCCGTTAGATCGTCAGCCGCAGCTGTTTGCAAGTAAGCATTCAAGGTATGTATTTCCGGTATTTCCGTTCGTGCATGGAGGCGTCAGTCCTCTGGTTCTGATTTGATGCGTTGTGATCTTGCTAGCCACTCACTATCCTTAACTTGATATACCCCACTGGTAAACGCGGCAGATGAAAACTTATGCACAGAGAATTACACGTGGCGTGAGGACGTTTGTCAATATTATTTATAGATATGTGATATTCTTGACGTGCTCCACATATGTAAGGTCGTGAGGGGCGACCTGCGCGATAAAGTGAGACCTGAGAGGTGGAAAACAATTGGATTTACCCAGTTGAGCCGCCTCGATACTGATACTTTGAAAGTGCTAAATACTGCGTCTTAGCTCCTCCTAATTGTCTATTTTGAAATAATCACTCATTTTACTATCATGACTGTGGAGCTTTCAGATGGCAACAGGGACGGAAATTCCCTGAACGTCCCTGAGGATGGCCAATCCACCTACATCCGGAGGCTGGAGGAGCGCCTTATCGCCCTTGAACAAAGATTACTCGATATAGAGGGCACTAAGCAAGAGCATAACGATGACAAGGTAGACCATGAAGACAAGGAAAAGAACAAACTAAGCCATCCATCCTTCCCACCAATGGTCCCAGAGGTTCGAAGTGTCAATTACCTCCAAGCCTTCCATCATACCTTCACAGAACGAAGTATTCCTGCGATTGAATTAATGTCACTGTCAGCAAGTTGGAACGATGAATCTGCTAAGGCGGAAGCCTTTAGAAGGTCCCTGAAGGAGTTTCGTCCAGTGAAAGCAATAGAGACGGTCAACGACGCCAACGCCAACAGTACGGAGTCGAGAGATTTTGGGAGAGATTATGAGACCTCACAAATCAGAGTCCTCTCGCTACCTCTTTGTGAGCTGTTGTGGCCGATCATCTGCGGCGAAAGGATCAAACCGAACGAAATAGCCGTATTCTACTCTCCTTGGAGGGCGAATATCCATTATCATAAAGACGTGAAAGCAAAACTCGTTGATATGGAAAGAGAGCAAATGTTGCTTTTAGAAGATGGAGAGAAATCCAAGGCCAGAAAGCTACTGGAAGAGTTGCGAGCATATGTGCGGCTGATAGATAACGCAATAATGCCGTTCTTTTCTAGCTTCAAAACAATGACTGTCACCGACAGCTTCAAAGTTAGCTGGGAGGAACTTTGGCATTTGTTCATCCCGGGAGAAACTATTTACTATTCGGAAGCCAAGAGTAATCCTTCCAAAATGGATTACGACAGGCTCAAGAGAAGCGCAAGGCCAGACCAGAGACTATGGAGGGTCTACACAAGATACCAGAGCGATAGTGATAATGTTTTTTGGGTCAAGGCATACTGCATTGATTACAATGGTGAATCATACGTCTGCGTGAAAGAGTGGTTTTCTATCGAGCTTTACCACGGAAGGGTCAGCGTGAATTCTCTCGAAGTATATCCCATTCGATTTGCAAATGAAGAGAAGAAAATTATGGAAGATGCCATCGAAATTGGACGAGGCTTCATGAAAACCCGTGATTCAAAGCTAATGGCCCATACTGGATGGTCGTTCATTCCAGGGCAAGACGAAATTTTTGTGTCTGGCGATGTGGTGGTCAATTTTGAAGAAACATTCAAAGCTCATCCGGACTGGAAGCCTCTGAGCAAGCTGCCCTCGACAGGATTTATCGGGCGTCGCGGGGCTGGAGAAAGTGTGGAAAGCGAAGCTGTTTGGTATTGGACAGATGGACAGGCGCTCAAGGAGTTTCACCCTATGTGTATCAGTTGGGAGGAGCATCAGATTCCACGGTCTACCAAGATCGAATATTGTCGCAACCAAGATCTATTTCTATCTGCTTTGATCAAGAACGACTCGATCAAGTACACGCCGCGGGAAGAAGACCTTCATCTGCTGCCTAGTAGACTCTTTGGATATTCACTACAGGATAGAAGATTTGTCACATTGGATCTTTCAAATCTTCGGCAGATTGAAGAGAGCAGAGACAAGTTCAAGGATCTAATTATCAATAGGGATCATGAGGGCATGCTTCGTGCGCTAGTTGAATCCCATTTCAGAAGAAAAAGGGTCAATGAAGCCACAGGCATCTCAACTACTAATCAGGATATTGTTCAGAATAAAGGCAGGGGTCTAGTTATTCTACTCCATGGAGTTCCTGGTGTTGGCAAAACATCGACAGCGGAAACGATCGCTAGTGACTTCCAGAAACCCTTGCTCCCTATCACTTGTGGTGATCTAGGATTAGATCCTGCGACAGTGGAAAAGTCCTTGAAACGAATTTTTCGAGTGGCGCAGCTGTGGGATTGTATTCTGTTGCTTGATGAGGCAGACGTATTCCTTTCCGAAAGAGTATTATCTGATTTGAGTCGTAATGCGCTGGTATCAGGTTTGTGTATCATGCTTTTGTCACCTTTTTGAATCATGCTGACCTCTCTGCAGTCTTCCTCCGCGTCCTGGATTATTATTCCGGAATTCTGTTTCTCACCACAAACCGTGTGGGCACCATCGACGAAGCATTCAAATCTCGAATCCACATCAGCCTGTACTACCCGTACCTTGAGCTAGAGCAAACTGAGAAAATCTGGGAAGTCAACCTTAATCGGCTGGCGGCCATAGAGGCGGAGCAAAGTGGTGAACAGACACCCTTGTCAATTGACCGTCACGATATTCTCGCCTTTGCAAGAAAGCATTTCAAAAAAAGCAATACCGGCAAAGGCAGGTGGAATGGCCGACAAATTCGGAATGCGTTCCTCATCGCCTCAGCTCTTGCTCACTACGAGAAAACTCATGGCATTCAAAATGACACAAACCCACACGACCTCAATGCCCGACATTTCAAAACTGTAGTTACAGCTGGTACAGGGTTTGAAAAGTACCTTCTTGCAACCAGGGGCATGACAGATCAAGAGGCAGCTTATCTCAACAATACCCGGGCTGACCACATTCAGTCACCAGAATCTAGAGCCAATGCTCAAGGATCACCACAGCCATCCGCAGCTAAGCCCCCAACGTATCCAGGATGGGCCAATCAGTATCCTTCTCACCCATCTTTTACGCCTTCACAAGCCCAGCCAGTGTATAATGCGGCTACTCGCTCACCTTCTGCCAATAACTTCTATCCTCGGCAACCGCACCAGCCGCATTATGTTGTTCAGGTTCCAACCTCACAGGATCAATTTGGGCAGCCACCAATGGCTACAGGATACCCTCAACCACGGATGCTGACACCAGTGCCCCAGGATCAGTCTTATGAACAGGGCTGGAACACGCACCACGGAATCGATGATGACTCGGAAATTTAACTGTGGAAGAGGCTGAGCTCAGTGGGCTGTTCCAAGATTTTATTGCACTCACGATTTATGGTCAACTTTTGTTCTTGAGCAGGCATCTCACAATGGTCATTAATGTATTTGATTGAATTCCTTTTCGAGTATTTTGAAGTTCTATTTAAATAAGACTAATAACTATTTCTCGTATTCACAACTACCTACCGGGTACTATCGGTCTGATTTGATCAACGCTGGACTCTAGAGCATGGGCCTGTCCATACATAACGTATCTATTGTAATGGGGAGCGGACTGGCGGCGTGATCTGACTATTACCTTGTAGCAGTGTCTTATCAAAAGTTTCCAGAGATGTTCTCGCAGAACGTGCCCAGATGAGTGTCCGATACGGCATCCCGAATCGGGCCGAGTGGGCCCGTCTACATCCTTATCCAAAAGTTCCAGTTGATTCTTAACAGTCTTTGTTTGTGTTTTAACCTTGTATAGTATTTCTAGATGCTACAAATTGCTTTTCCTAATCCAAATGCAAGGGTACTCGTTCGCGGCGAGAAAGTAGGGGGGGTATCCCAATGAGAAGACCGAAAAATTGTGATCCGAAAAACGAGAAAAGAAAATGAACAAACCGATCAAAAGCACGCTCGAAACCAGAAATAGGTGAAATGATGATGTGTATATGGGATCATGATATGTGCAAGAGGCCTGGGGGTGTCTTCATATCAATCACTAGAAGTGTGGAAGGCCACTAAACGGGGATATTAGAAACGAGAATTCAAAAAGGCAGAAGAAAATGACATGAGATCGGATCATGCCACGGAACATGAGATGAAAAACCAAAACTTTTTTATCAAATGGGGGCAGAATGAAGAAGACTCGGTGAGATCTTACAGCTTAGCGTTCTTTTCCTCGGTGGGGGAACCGTTCGTAGACAGGACGAAGGGGGTTTGTGTGCCCAAGCTGGAAAGCAGGTGGCCGACTTCACGTTCCAGGGAGCGGACCTCAGTGTGAGGGTCGTACATACGGCTCTTGATCCAGTTGTCAAGATCAGAGTCGCTCATCTGGCGCAGGGTGACCTCGCGGTCGACCTTGTCGTCCTGGGCGGCGCGGATCACCTTGCGAGTAACGACGACGCTGACCTCGCGAATACGGGTGATGTCGGGGTACAACAGGCCACGCTGGAGCTCCTCGGCTGTAAGGGCCTGGGAGATAGCGGCACCGGAAGCGTAAATCATGTTCTCGGTGACACGGACGGACTTGGACAGAATGCTGCCGAGACCAATACCGGGGAAGACGTACATGTTGTTACCCTGGCCGGGGTAGTAGGTCTTTGTCTCGCCCTTGGAGTTGGTGAAGGTGTAGTTGGGGAAGGGAGAGCCAGAGGCGAAGAGACAGCGGCCGTCGGTGTGCTTGACGGCGGCCTCGAAGTCGCACTCGGACTTAGAGGAGGGGTTAGAGAGGGGGAAGATGATGGGGGACTCGTTCCAGTCGGCCATCTTGTTCAGGATCTGGGGGGTGAAGACACCGCCCAGAGTCGAGAGACCCATCAGGATGGTGGGCTGCACATGGTCGATGACCTCCTCGAGGGTCTTCCACTGCTGGCCCTTGTTGTCAGTGCGGGCAAAGTAGACCTTGTGGTCAGCGAGCTTGTCACCACGGTCAGCGGTGACGAGACCCTTGGTATCGACGAGGTAGAAGCAGCTACGGGCCTCCTCCTCACTCATGCCTTCGCGCATGAAGAACTCGGCAATTCCCCTGGCGACACCGACACCGGCGCTACCAGCACCGATGAACACAGCGCGGTGGTCCTTGCATGGTAGGCCGGAGCGCTTGACAGCGTTCATGACGCCACCAAGAATAACGGCGCCAGTACCCTGGATGTCGTCATTGAAACATGTGTAGACATCCTTGTAGCGCTCGAGAGCGGGGAAGGGGTTCTTGAAGTCCTCGAATTGGATGACAATACTATAATTTAGCGTTATGTTAGTCACACCACCTCATACCGAAAAGGGTTGGTATCGGAGAAACTCCGTGATCTTTGGATTTTTGAAACATACCCAGGGAAGCGCTCGGTGAGAGCAATCATCAGCTCATCCAAGAACTCGCGTTCCTCCTCCGGGCTAACCTTGTCACGACGGCTGCCCATGTACAAGGGGTCCTCACGAAGAGCCTTGTTGCTGGTACCGAGATCCAGAGTCAGAGGTAGAGTGGCCTCAGGACGGATACCAGCACATGCGGTGTACAGAGAGAGCTTGCCAATGGGAATACCCATACCGTTGATACCCAAGTCTCCGAGTCCGAGGATTCGGGAACCATCGGTGATAACGGTGATTTCCACATTTGACTGAGGCCAATTGGCAATGACGGAAGCGAGGTTTCCGCGATCCTCCCAGCTGAGGTACATGCCCTCGGGCTGTTGGTAGATCTCAGACCACCGTTGGCAAGCTTCACCGACGACCGGTGTATAGATGAGGGGAGTCAATTCCTGTGGTAAGTTCCGTTAGTGTCTATTTTTTAGATTGTTTTTTTTTTTCTCTTTTCTCTCTCTTGTTCCACAATCATGAGATGTGAAATGTGAGATGAGGGTTTTTGTGACATACCCGCAAGTGATCGGTCACAAGACGATAATAGAGGTGGACATTGTTCTTGCGCAGAGATTGGAGGTAGAGGAATTTGTCGATGGGAGTGTTCTTCAGGCCCAACTGTGCGAGACACCGAGTCTTTTGGGTTTCGTAGCTTTCGGAGCGAGGAGGAGTGAGACCGTAAGTGCGCAAGTACTTGCGAATGTAAGAGGGGTTGGCAGTATCATAGTTGGGTTCTCTAGAGAGCAATTGAAGTTAGTTGAGGGTCAGACAGAGCCAGGGATGATATTTCTCTCACGTACGTAGAATTTGTGCCATGCAAAGAGCGGCTTTGTTGGGGGGTAAATTGAACCATTGTGATGGATGAGCGAATCTTCAAGTTAGATGAAGAGTAGAAAGAGAGGGGACGAGGAGTGGTTATATGGCTACGAGGTAGGCTAAATTTCCCCTGGGCCGTTCGAGCCGTTCTGACACACGACATTCCGATGTAAAACAGAAAAAGATCCGGGAGTCTAGGAAATTCATGCTTCGTAAAAGTGACCTGGTCTGGAGACAAAGTCGGGAAGATTCGGGGATATGATGAAGGGGTCACGACAGCGGAGGCGCAGGATGTGGATAATTCGGTGAAGGCAGCGAACCGTTGTGCTTGAATCAGTGAGGATTTAACTGGAATTGGATCCAACGTAAAGCTTCTTTCCTTCTTCGGGAAACAGATTTGAGTGGAGTCTACAAGTATAAGAAGTACATGGTTGTAGTTAGTACGGAGTTGCCTCCGGTGAGATGGATTAGGGCTATTTCGGGATATTGTTTTACAAGACCTGAAGCTACAGTGTACACTCAACATTCCTACTGTGGTATGACGAACTAAAAGTAGAAGGAAAACTACAGTGCAGAATGACGAACTGTTTGGAATTTTGAAATTTTCATTTTGTTGATGTTTTCATGTATTAATCGCGGACTTCAACAGTTGAATATTATTGGAGGACCAGGCCGGCAGTAAAGGTGTTTGATGGGTCACGCCAAATGAGGTCCACTTGCCTCCACTACATCCACTTCAGCAAGCTACCAGAGCCTCAGTTAGTGCCGAAGTGGAGTCCTCGGCGATGGCTAAATCTTCGCTTTGTTCTAGAATAAAAAGTACGTCCCACCCTCACCCAGCCCCTCTACTTTCACTTACAAATAGTCCTAGAGCACGGAATAAGTGGTTTTAATTTAGTACGTGCTATGGAGTATTATGGAGTACTTCCTATTGCTGATAGGAGATATGGAATAGGGTCGGATGCCCCGTTTCAAGCCGGTGATTGTTTGGTTGGATTGCTAATGCCTCACCTGGTTTCTGAATGGCTTTTGGCGCCGAATGAAATGACTTTTATATACGTGACAGCCCCAACAGGGCTTTTGGGCATTGGGCACAGGGCGTGATCCCTTTCATCTTCCTATTTCTTTTCGTTATGGGTCCCCCTTGCTAAGGGGTTAATCCACTTGACATTATTAGAGACATACCTAAACTGATTAGGAACTCCATGTCGGAACTGGAGTTTGATCTGCATCTTCCCAACGGTAATTATTTCTGAAAAAATACTATGTCGTATGTATACGAAGTACGCTTGAGAACGAGTCTAGATCGAGGGATTTATAATGTATTCTATTCTTATTCACGGTTGGGCCCCTAATAGCCCTGCAAATATTAACTAGTCGCTTTTAACTAGTCGTTTGGACTTTCCATGTTTATACTACTCATACTTCCTAGGTTGCTTCTTCGCTCTTGACATCTGATATGTCGATACATATACATATATATTTTTATTATTATTTACGGATTCCTTGGGCATCTACTGCCTATTTTGTTAAATGTCGCGAGAAACCTCCAAGCTTAGGCTTGTTGTGTTCTACAATATTGACAAGGGTTCCTTACCCAGGACAGATCGCCGAAGCTTTCCAAGGTTCCTCAGATCGAATCGATCAAGCTTGGAAATTACCTAAGTACTGCATATCGAGCTACATGCATCTACCTAAGTACCTATTGATTTTTGAATAAGTCACATGAAGTTATCTGTCGTCTAAATAGTCCCACGATAAGTCTACTTACTGCTCTGTATAAATATGTAGAAGTGGCGTGTGTTACACGTACTTTTGTATGTCGTCATAACCAATGAAGCAGGTTCGCGCCTGCGACATACCTGTGCACCTGTAGCTCTCATCACCTACCCAGATACCTAGGTAGAGCTTTCTGAGCTTCCTGAGCTTCATTTTACTATCTTCCCTCAGCTATTTTCAGACACACTTCTAACCTAGCTGTAACCCATCATGCCCGATGAGACTGAGCCTCTTCTCCCTCGCTACGAGGATGACACTCCTCGCCAGCGCCAGCTGCACCAGAAGCTGCATTCCTATCAGATGATCCGTGCCATGTCCGAAGGCTACATGCCGTCCACCGAGCAAACCATAGCCAATCTACGTACTCTGCTCGCTTCGGACGTCCTCAACTTTCGGAACCAGGATATCGGAAGTGTCGGTCGCCAACTAGCTCGTGATGCTCGCCTGTGGGTCGAGGCCCTTATCAATTTTCTCTATCACAAAAACAACCAAGACCAGCTGCAGGAGTTTCTGTGGCGCCTATCTCAGTCACGGGCCTCACTCGATGGGTCCCGCGTGTCGCAACACGCCGCCCACGTGAAATCCCGCGCTGATACTAAAGCTGGTGGGTCTATATTTCCGCTTCCTTGGTAGGTTAAACACTAGGCTAATGTGGCGTTTTCTATTCAGCGTATGAAAGCTTTCGTACTGTGGGGAGCTTGCTTTTGACAAATGCCGACTTTCGTTTATTCGTCGACGATGTTGCTACTGTGGGCCGCCAGATCTTTGCCGACACTGCGACGTCCCTCTCCGAAATATCTAAGAACGTTGCCGAAGAGGTGAAGCCTTCGGAATTCGAGGCAGAGGCTCTGAATGGTGCTGGCGCTGACGAGGGCCATGATCTGTCGAGGGAGGAGGTCCAGGAGGAGATTGCCCACGCGGTTGCCGTCACCGGGAAGGGTGCAGCAGACACTGGACTGGCGGCTGTGAAAAGTGCCAAGGAGCACCTAGCAGGCCAAGAGAGAGAGACATTATTGTATCGTCTGAAGAAAGTGGTGACTAGACTACGTGAGCGATCTGATTACTCGGACTCTGTCTCTACTCTCACGCAGCTGGTGCAGCGCTATGCTCTCATCTACGCGAACGCGGCTGAAGATGCTACGACCGCTGCACAGGAAGATATCCATGTCAATGATGACCTGAAGCAGGCCGTTGAAAACTTCTGGCAGTTAGTGCGGTCTTTTGGACACGCGGAAGAGTGGGACCGACTGCAGGAGAAATTCCACAACGTGTTGCGCCATGCAAACAAAGATCCTGAATTTGAACGACTGATGGGGGAGGTCGGGGGCTCGTTAAAAGACATGCTCACCGACCCTGAGTTTTTTGATTCGGCGCCGAAGAAGCTCGAAGAACTTCAGCAACAGTCAGAGAAAATCGGATCAGAGACTAGTCTTCGCCAGGACTTGGATGAATTTCTCGCCCAAGCCAAGAGATCCTTGCAATCTGTACCCGAGGATCCGTTGGTTGTAACACTGATCAATGCCACCAAGAAATTCTATCACGACGCATATACTGCCTATAATGAAAGCTCGTCAGATCTTCCAGCAAATATTGCGAATGTTCTCTTCCCTGTTCTCCTGCGCACTATCCAATATGTGCCTATCCCTCGATTGGAGGTGTCGGCTCCAGAGATGGATCTGCTGCTGGAAAATCTGATACTAGAACCGGGCCATACGGTCAATTTCTCCTCGTTTTTGCCGTACAGGCTGCACCTTCAGACACGTAATGATATCGAAGTGATGAAGAAGCACTCGAAGCGTACCGATACATCTATCAGAACCATCTTCCAGGTGACCATCCAAGGCCTTAATGTCAGCGCCAAAGACTTCGGATACTGGTTCAAGACCCACGCCAGCTTCTTCCGCCTCCGAGATGAAGGAATTGCTAGCTTCTACCTCGACCGCCGAGGTGTCGACATCTCTCTAGATGTCGAAGTTGGTCGTGGCCGAGTTGAAGAGATCTTCACTCTACGCAGCGTTCGAGTCCGCATCCACAAGCTTGATTATACTGTCGATAAGAGTAAATGGAAGTTCCTGCTATGGCTCACAAGGCCGTTCTTGAAACCTCTCATTCGACGTGTTTTGGAGAAGAAGATCGCCGAGGAAATCGTCAACGTTGCACATGCTCTGAATCGGGAATTGGTCTTTGCTCGAGAACGCCTGCGCGCCACTCGCATTGCCAACCCTCAGGATTTGGCTACATTTATACGAGCTGTGCTTGCACGACTTAAGCCTGCTGACAACCTGGATGTCGAGGCTCGTATTGGTCTCGATACTCTGGACAGTGGTGTTTTCAAGGGTGTTTATGCTCCTGGCAGTATTGTCAAAACATGGCATGAGGAGGCTACCCGTGCTCAGGAGGCCATAGAAGAAGGAGATGAGAATAATGGACTGGGACATACTTGGAGAAATGATATTTTTGATGTGGCTGGAACTCGCTGAAAGCTCTCAGCTCAATGTTTAATGATTTGGTCCGTTTTTTAGGGAAATTGATCGTGGCGCACTCAAGGACTTCACCAGCCCTCATCCTGTGATTACCAGATGGTGAAAAGTAATGCAATTATGTTTTTTTTTTTAGGATTAGGAGGAATAAGAACAATGAATACCTTTGTATGGAGTCTCAATGTAGATTTGTTTCAATATATCTCATAGCTTCACGTGACCTGCCTTCATGATAAGGATTACCTGGCCCGTTCGATCGCGACTTACTTGACAACTGCGCCATATCTTGATTTCATTTAATTCCATTCTTTCTCTCTTCTACCCTGAAAAAACAATAGGGCCTTGTAAGCAATCCTCCATGACTGCCGCCTAATCCTCTTTCTCGACCCACCTTCGCCAGATCCAAGCTTTAGCTTCTGGGCAACATCGCAGCTCCGTCGCAACAAATATAAACCACGCGAAATATCGTCGATCAACAAATCTATAAGCTGACGGCGCAGCTGATCATAGCAATTCCACATACAAAATGCAAATTCTTCGCTTTTGGGCTGTTTTGGCCGTGCTGTTGTTCTCAGTTGTCGTTATTGCGGCTGAGGATTACTATAAAATCCTAGGCATTGACAAATCGGCTTCAGAGAGGGATATCAAGCGGGCGTACCGGACTCTTAGCAAGAAATATCACCCAGACAAGAACCCGTAAGTGTTCTCTCGCGCCAATGCAATATGATACTTGCGTAGTCCACTTCCTAACAATATATACAGTGGAGATGATACAGCGCGAGAGAAGTTCGTCGAACTCGCAGACGCATATGACGTCCTATCCACATCTTCTTTACGCAAAATCTACGACCAACACGGCCACAACGGTGTTGAGCAGCACCGTAAAGGCGGCGGCCGACCTAACGACCCCTTCGATCTATTCTCCCGATTCTTCGGCGGCGGCGGCCACTCTGGTCATGCTGGTTCTCGACGCGGTCCGGACATGGAAGTGAAAGCAGCTATTCCACTACGAGACTTCTACAACGGGCGCGAGATCAACTTCTTAGTTGAAAAGCAGCAGATTTGCGATTCTTGCGAGGGAACCGGGTCTAAGGATCGTCAAGTGGAGACTTGTGACCAGTGCAATGGACATGGTCGCGTTATTCAGAAACACATGCTTGCTCCGGGCATGTTTCAGCAGGTACAGATGCCTTGTGATAAGTGTGGTGGTCAGGGCAAGAAGATCAAGAATCCGTGTCCCGTATGTCATGGTCAGCGCGTTGTTAAGAAGTCTGTCGAGACTTCTGCTAGTATTGAGCCTGGCATGGATCGGGGCACGCGGTTGGTGTTTGAGAACGAGGCCGATGAGAGCCCTGATTATGTTGCTGGTGATCTTATTGTCATTTTGGAAGAGAAGGAGCCTGAGCTTGGCGAGGATGACGATGAACGTACTGATGGTACATTCTTCCGGAGAAAGGGCAAGGATCTTTTCTGGAAGGAGACTTTGTCGCTTCGTGAGGCCTGGATGGGCGGTTGGTCGCGCAACTTGACACATCTCGATGGACATATTGTGCGACTGGGTCGCAAGCGCGGCGAGGTTGTTCAGCCTTTTGCTGTGGAATCTGTAAAGGGTGAGGGTATGCCTCATTACTCTGAAGGTCATCTACATGACCACCACGATGACGGTGAGGCTGAGCCTGGCAATATTTATGTGGAGTATCATGTTGTTTTGCCAGACCAGATGGAAAGCGGTATGGAGAAGGAATTCTTTGCGCTATGGGAGAAGTGGCATAAGCAGACCGGTGTCGATCTGGCTGCTGATAGCGGTCGACCGATCCCTCCTCTTGATGACATGAATGATGAATTGTGAGGACTTTAAATTGTATATTCTATCAAGCGTCTTCATTTCCACTGTTGGTATTATGGCATTGTGCTAAACTAGATTTACTGCATCCTAGCAATATAGAACTTTGCTTTTTAATCTACGACTCTGCATATGATAATAGGTTTCACGCTGGTTATGTGGGAGGAACATACCAAGGGCCTGAATTCATTCCAGAGCAGGGCGATCGTTGCTGTTACGAGATGCTGAAGAAGCAATTATTCGGTAGTCAAGGGTCTCAGACCTTTGCATTGAAGATCTCGACCTCAATAAGACATTATAATATTCAGCTGAGAAAAGAACATCATTAAACTAGCTGGAATATTTCATAAATTATACACGCTCCGATAATTTCTTCAGTATTCTCTGTGATCAACTTCATGGAGCGCCATTCCTTTGATCAATAGATATCAGTCGCTCATATAACATTCGTTATGTGGTTTCTTGGCCTTTACCTAGCCATACTGAGTGCCACTACAGCAGCCGCCATCCAGCTAACCGGATATGAATATGTCGTCGTGGGATCTGGAGCAGGTGGAGGACCTCTAGCTGCACGACTTGCTCTAGCCGGTCATAAAACGCTACTAATCGAAGCTGGAGATGACCAAGGCCTCAATGTCAACTATACTGTTCCAGCATACTCCACCAGAGCTTCTGAAGACGGCGCCATCGCCTGGAACTTCTTTGTTCGGCACTATGAAGATGAAGAGCGCCAAGCTCTCGATTATAAAACAACCTATGAAACGCCTGATGGTGGTGAATATACTGGTCTTAATCCGCCAGAAGGATCAACTATGAAGGGCACATTGTATCCTCGTACTGGGACGCTGGGAGGATGTACTGCGCACAATGCTTTGATCACTGTCTATCCGCATGAGTCTGATTTTGAGTATATCTCAACTGTTACAGGCGATGCGTCGTGGGCTCCGGATAATATGCGCAAGCACTTCGAGCGACTTGAGAATAACGGTTATCTGCTCCCGGGAGCTGCTGGGCATGGGTATGATGGCTGGTTACACGATGAGACTGCTCCAATCAGTCTTGTGCTAGAAGACGACCAGCTACTGAGCATGCTACTTGGTGGTGCATTCGCTTTGGGCAACCAGACAAACTCGATTGTCAATCTGGCAACTCTAGTTGCTGGAGATGTCAACCAGGATTCTAAGTCGCGGGATACTAGCCCTGGTTACTATCAGATCCCAATCGCTAGCCACGGCGGTCAGCGGAACGGACCACGCGATTTCCTCGTTGCTGTTCGTGATGCGAGGAATCTGGATGGCTCGAAAAAGTATCCCCTTGATATCCGCACAAACTGCCACGCTACAAAAGTCACATTTGAAAATTCGACTGGTACTCCGCGGGCAACGGGTGTTGAGTTTCTTGACGGCCAATACCTTTACCGCGCTAGTCCACGCTCTAGTACTGCTGGAAATGGTATACCTGGGAATGTAACGGCATCGCGAGAGGTCATTGTTGCCGGTGGGACCTATAACTCTCCACAGCTACTAAAGCTGAGTGGTATCGGTCCTGCAGATGAGCTCCAAAGTTTCGGCATTGACGTCGTGTCTGATCTGCCAGGTGTGGGAACCAATCTACAAGACCATTACGAAACAGTGGTGCAGGGCCAGGTACCTGCGAACTTCAGCATACTGAACGGCTGTACTTTCAGCGTCGGTGGCCAGGCCGACCCGTGTTTAGAACGCTGGGAGAATTCAATCTTGGGTAATCGTGGCTCCTACGCATCTGCGGGATTTGCAACTACCATGCTATACAAGAGTTCCGTGGCAGCAGACGACGACTTTGATGCGTTTATATTCGGCGGCCCGGTTAACTTTCGTGGCTATTTTCCTGGCTATAGTGTCAATATCACTGAGCGCCACGACTTATTCTCATGGGCCATTCTCAAAGCTCATCCCCGCAATACAGCCGGTTCGGTGAGACTTCGCTCTGCCGATCCACTTGATATGCCCGAGATCATTTTCAACTACTTCGATACTGGCAGTGGTGACTACAAAGTTGATCTACAAGCTATAACTGAAAGTATTGAGTTGGCCCGCGACGCTTTTGCTCGCCAGCTTGTTGATGTGACGGAGGTTTTGCCTGGAGTGGGTATCACGTCGACCGTGGACATCCATGACTATATTATGGATACCGCTTGGGGACATCATGCTTCTTGTACATGCCCGATTGGCCGAGACGATGACCCGATGGCAGTTTTGGATTCTAAATTCCGGGTTCGCGGCGTGAGCGGGCTGCGGGTGGTGGATGCTTCTGTTTATCCTCGCATTCCGGGCACTTTCACTGCTGTTTCTACCTATATAGTTGCTGAGAAGGCGGCGGGTGATATTCTATCCTGATGATGTGACCAGTAAATCACCTTGGAAGTCGCTGGTGGCCTTATTTTGTTGTAAAAAGTTGAATCTCATGTCATCTGCACGTCTCTCTGTCGTACTTTTTGTACTTTTGTACTCCGCACTTAGTCCATTGATACTACATACATTGACCGCTCCCTTCGAGCCAACGTCTGCTGTTGGTTCCTTCAAGACAATGCTGATAAGCTTCGTGCTCAAACTGAGGGAGGGGTAGGATCAAGGGCGTGTTCATCGTTTACTCGCTGAATCTCTATTTAAAAACATGGGAAGGTGGAGAAGTAGCAGGGAATCTTGACCATTTTCAGATATGAATAGTCTCATCTCATCTAAGCACTGATCAAAACAGGGTTGAGAGCTTTTAAGGCCGAAGAAAATCCTCTAGGAAGAAAGGGGATTCTTCTATCATTGGATGAAATATGAATCTGGCCAAGTTGGATGTTCTCCGCTAAAGCCAACTTGCAGCATCGCACCTCGTATACAAGGGTGAATGAATTTCTAGTGCTTGTTGAATGAACAGGCTGATATACCCCTCTTCTCAGTATGCAAAGTGATAATTTAGGTTAGTCCTTATTCCAAGGTTGCATTTCTGGGTAGATAGCGCTATCTCCATAAGTCTTCCAGTTCACGGAGTAGTTCTGGGTAAATTTTTCATCTCCCAAAATTCCTTGTCTTCTATCCATTATAATTTCAAGGTATCATCAGCAGAACAACGGAGCTTCGCCCAGTTACGATCGCAATGGAGACCAGGAGAACGGGGTACCTTACCCAAAAAGAGCCACATCCTACAGAATTGGTAGATGGAGGGGTAAGTTTTCTCCTGTAATCAAGCATTGTTGGCGACGGCCCTAATTGGAAGCTCAATGATTAGAAAATCAATGACGAGATCAGTGTTCAAGAACTTCGAAATGCCATTCCGGATTACTGTTTCCAGCCGTCGTTATTCTGGTCCTTCTTCTATCTTGCTCGAGACTTGACATACTCAGCAATTTTGCTCGGGACCCTTCATTACCTCCTGCATATCCCATCTGTCAGCAAGTCGACTCTCGCTTACTATACTGTCGTCAACGTCTATGGATTCTGTCAAGGTGTGGTATGGACCGGGCTATGGGTCATTGCCCATGACTGTGGACACAGCGGCTTCTCGACGTCAGGTCTTCTCAATGATGTTGTCGGATTCGTTCTTCACTCCAGCCTTCTTGCGCCATACTTTTCTTGGAAGTCGACTCACCGTCGGCATCACATTTATGCTAATAACATAGTGAAGGATCTCAACTATGTCCCACCAAGCCGGGGAGAGTATGCACAGAAGATTGGACAGGCAGCCGAATTCCTGGAAGAAGCAGGTCAGGACGCACCACTTATGCTCTTCTTGCGTATCATCATCCAGCAAGCTATAGGTTGGAACTGGTATATTCTGACCAACATCACTTGTCCTCCTTCGGCCGTGATCAAGCAAGGAATGTCAGCCTGGCGTCACAGCCATTTTGATCCGTGGGGCGCACTTTTCCGTGATTCGGAAACCTCTGCTATCATTTTATCAGATCTGGGCTGTTTGACAACAATGGTGGCGCTGTGTCACCTATACCATGTGCTTGGATCCTTCGAGACCCTTTTCTGGGTTTACATCGTGCCTTGGGCATGGGTGAATCACTGGATTGGTAGGTTCTTCTGGAATTACAGCAATACATTTCGGTCTAAAGAATTGAATAGTGATGATCACATACCTTCACCACACCCATCCTTCCGTACCAAAGTACACGTCAGATTCATGGACGTTTCTTCGTGGTGCCACTGCAACAATTGATCGAGATATCGGCATCATTGGCACGCATTTTATGCACCACATATCCTCCGACCATGTTACTCATCACCTCTTCTCCCGAATCCCGCACTATTATAGTCCGATTGCCAGTAAGGCGATTATTCCACTCCTTGGGAAACATTATCACGGTCGAGCACAACTTGATTGGGAAGGTCTCAAAGCAGCGTTCAGAGATTGTCAGTGGGTGGAGCCAGATACCAAAAAAGATCAATCTTTTGGTTTAGTGAAAGAGGGGGATGTTGCTAAGCCTCAAGATAAGGCTTTATGGTATCGGGGTGGGGTAAGTCCGTCGCCGGAGTATAAAATGCGGTCTGTGTTTGTATCGAAAAAGGCGGCCTGAACTTTCAGGTGGGGAGAAGTATTGTAGTCATAGATGGTAGGGTGACTAGCCGAGTGGGTAAATAGGTAGTTTGAAAGATAAAATTACGCATTTTTTTGGGCTTAAAACAGCGAAATATTGAGCATTTGTAATTATTGTCCTAATGTTGTCTAAAGCTCATGTTTGCGTATAGCTAATTCACGTGCATGTCAGCCCAGCCTTATCCTTGGAATGCTGCTGGTTCCCTCTTACCACTCCCCCTCTTCAAGGTCCTTCTTATCCTGATGTCCTTTCCAAGGCCGTACTTCTAACTTTAATCACATATCACTATGGTCAGCTCCAACAAAGTCGCCCCTCTTGAGGTTGATTTCCCCTTTGAAATTCTTTCGTACCTCATCCCAGTGATACCCTACCGCGAATATCCACACGCGATCATCGATGAGGAAAAAGGCGTAAAATTATCTGTGAAGCAGTATATTCCTCATCGTACAACTGACTCCTCTAATGAAGAAGCACCCCTTACCATTATCGCAGCTGGCGGTCTAGGGTTTCCCAAAGAGCTATACGAGCCGCTATTTGAGGAGTTACTACATCGGGCACGCAGTTGTGGAGTCACAATCCGATCGATATGGATCGCCGACATGTTTAATTTAGGAGAGAGCGGAGTAGTGAACCAAGACAATCTAGGCTGTGATGCAGCATGGATCGACCACTCTCGCGACTTGTGGAGCATGATCAATCATTTTTCTGAGTTAATGCCCAAACCGATTATTGGTCTTGGGCATTCAATGGGATGCAACCAGCTGCTATGCCTCGCCTCTTGGCACCCAACTCTGTTCCACTCCTTCGCTTTCATCGAGCCGGGCATTGATCTTCATTATGGAAGAGGCATTGAAATTCCGTGGCTTCTTCGCGTTCTGAAGCAAAATGAGACCTGGAAAACGAGACAGGAAGCTGAAGAAGGCGTGGTCAATGTCCAGGGCGCTCAGTTTTGGAATGAGAAGGCCATTATCAGGCTAAAACGCTATGGTGTTTTCTGGAAGCGGACACCACAGGAAGATTGCTGGATTCCGACTTCACCGAAAAATCAAACTGCCGTCTTGGTCAGTCGCCATAACCCAGGAAATATTGGGTTTGGTCCAAGTGGTCTCGACGAAGTCACATTATCACAACGGGAAGCTGTGCCTGATAGTGATCCATCAATATCCACCGTGGGCCCATTCTATCGACGTGAGTTGAAGCTCGGGTGGGATATGCTTCCTAGTATGCGGCCCTGGGTGTTATACATCAATGGAGGTAACTCGCCATTTTTTGGCCACCCAGACACCCAGAAGGAAAGAGCGCGTTTGACTGGCATAGGTCCAGGGGGAAATGGGGGAATGAGACTCGGTGCAGTCAAACAAATTGTGATTGAGAATGGAGAACACACTATTCCATTTGACAAAAACTTGACTAAAGTGGCACATCACGTAGCGGACTGGCTGGCTACCGAGTCCCGGCGATGGGTCGATGGTCCTATGAAACGTCGGCAAGTTTGGCAAAATCAGAGCATCGAGGAGAAGCAATCAGTAGGGAAAGATTATATTTCTGCTCTTGTTGATATGAAAAAGGGGAATAGAGCAACAAAACTGTAGTTCAGACGGTATATGAATGGTACCTCTAGCACTACAGGGTTATGTTTATTATAGAGGCCCCATGTGGTTCAAATTCGTGTTAATTGCTGAAATCTGATGCAATTACCCATGTGTTTCACCGTAGACCTGCATCAAGCTTATGTAGGTAAAAAGCATGCAGCTGGTGGTTCTAGAGAGCTCAACGAGTTGATGTAGCTATAGAATAGCTCGTTTGAACTAGAGCTAGCTTGAGAAGTTTGGAAATTTTGTTGATTCAGCGACTAAAGTGAGAGTCAAGTGAGAGTCAAGTGAGAGTCAAGTGAGAGAAATCCAACACAATTCAAAACATTGTCCTGGAATTTCACTCATTATTTAGGGTGGGGGTAAAGTCACTAGTGTTTCTGTCGTAATTCTTGTTACTGTTTGGATCTTAACCTTCTTCACATCATCTCTTCACATCATCTCTTCACATCATCTCTTCATCTATTCGTGGGAAAAACACCCTTTTGAATTTCAAAGGCTGAGACTTCTGTTTTTCACTCGATTCTATCTCCCAAGATGAAACCCCCAGTCGTTGATGGCATCGGTGTGCCGTGGGATGGCCCAGAGCCCATTGCTGTTGTCGGCATTGCGACCCGTTTCTCACAGGAGGCTACATCAACGGAAAAATTATGGGAAATCATGCAGCAAGAGAAATCTACCTGGTCCCCAGTCCCCAAAGAAAGATTCAACGCTGAGGCATTTTACCATCCAGATCCCGAACATGGAGGCACAGTGGGTCGTTCTGATAGTCTCTGCAGCTGACATTACTGACAATTCAATTTCCGAACAGTTTTCAGTTCAAGGAGGCCACTTCTTTGCTGAGGACCCAGCTTATTTTGACAGCTCATTCTTCAATGTTACCAAGACCGAACTGATGACCCTCGATCCCCAGCAGCGACTCGTGATGGAAAACGTCTACCATGCCCTTGAAAATGCCGGAATTACCTTAAGTACTGCCTATGGATCCAATACAGCAGTCTTTGTGAGTGGTTTCAATCGCAACTACCTAGAGATTCTCAGTGCGGATCCCGAGACATCTATCAAGTATAAGCCCACGGGGCCTCACAATTCAATCCTGTCCAACAGAGTCAGTTGGTTTTTTGACTTCAAGGGTCCCAGCATGACCATTGATACAGCATGCTCCAGCAGCTTGGTAGCCATTCATCTGGCTGTTCAGAGTTTACGCGCTCGAGATACTAGCATGGTATGTTCAATACAATTGCCTTTGATGCAACCAACCTCTAATTTGTTCTTTTCATCAGGCCGTTGTCAGTGGTGTAAGCATCTTAGAAAACCCGATAGAAATAGTCGGCATGAGCCACCATGGACTGCTAGGTCCCCAAGGCCGATCCTTCAGCTTTGATTCCCGTGCAGAAGGGTATGCACGTGGAGAGGGCGTTGGCACAGTTATCTTGAAGCCGTTATCCATTGCTGTCAAAGACGGTGACACTATTCGTGCAGTGATTCGTGAGATCGGTGTCAATCAAGATGGACGAACATCTGGGATGACAGTCCCAAGTGCCAATGCCCAGGAAACCTTGATCCGCGAAGTCTACCGCAGAGCTGGCTTGGACGTTAAGCATACTATGTTCGTCGAGGCCCATGGGACTGGGACTAGTACGGGGGACCCGATTGAAGCTAGTGCCATCGCACACACATTTATGTGCCAGCGTGAGACACCACTTTACATTGGGACGATCAAATCTAGCATTGGACACCTTGAAGGAGGCTCTGGGGTGGCGAGCATCATCAAGTCGATTCTCATTCTTGAATCTGGAATCATACCGCCAAACTTTGACATTCAGCAGGTGAATCCAAAGATCTTAGCAAGCGATTGGAACATTGCCTTCCCGACTAAGAATACACCATGGCCGACGGCCGGACTACGTCGAGTTTCAGTCAATTCGTTTGGAATTGGAGGTACCAACTCTCACTGTATACTTGACGACGCCTACCATTACCTCTCCAACCGTAATATCACTGCTTCGCATCAGACCGAATCCTTTCTTGTAGATACCCATGTGTCGAAATCAAGTAGGAACTCAGTCAGCAGCATCTTGGACTCATCAGATGATACCAGTCACATATCGGCGACGGGAGAGCTTTCTTGCTCAGTTTACCTCAACGATCGTTTTGAGGTTCAAGGTGTTTCTGACAACCCGAGAGTCTTCATGCTATCGGCCTTTGATGAAGATGGAGTGAATCGAAATGCTTCGGCTTATTCCCACTACTTCAGTCGCGAAAGTGTCTTGGCCGGTGCAAATCGAACCCTTCTCGATGATTTTGCCTTCACTCTCTTGAAGAAACGCTCTGTATTTCCATGGAGAAGTTTCGTTTTGGCATCTACGGCGGAACAACTCGCGTTCAATCTTTCAGAGTCCCGATTTGACAAGCCAGTGAGAGCCACATTTCCCCCGGAGGTTTCCTTCGTCTTCACCGGTCAGGGTGCTCAGTATAAAGATATGGGAAGAGCCCTTCTGGCATATCCTGTCTTCAAACAGTCATTGGAACGGGCGTCTGAATACATTCGACATCTCGGCAGTCCATATTCACTGATCGGTAAATCCATTTATCCATACTTCTCGTGGCAGGCATCAGATATGATATAGCTAACGTTGTTTAGATGAGCTCTTAACCACCAAGGACCCACTTCGTATTCATCTCCCGGATATTTCTCAGCCGTTATGCACAATCTTGCAGGTTGCAATCGTGGACCTCTTGGCTAGCTGGCACATATTTCCGACGCGGGTAATCGGTCACTCCTCCGGCGAAATCGCTGCTGCGTACTGTGCTGGAAAGATATCTCGAGAGGCGGCCTGGAAGGTTGCTGAATATCGCGGATATGTTTCCTCTAAGCAACTGTCAGCCTATGGAGCTATGCTGGCTGTGGGTTTGAGTGTATCTGAACTTGAGCCACATTTGAAAGCAGTCCAGGAAATCTACTCCGGGGAGCTCATCATTGCGTGCTACAACAGTCCCAGAAGCAACACCGTTTCTGGAGATGAAGCCTTGGTCGGGGTTCTCAGAAGGCGCTTGATCGCCGATGGCGTGTTTTCGCGGCAGCTTAACGTCAAAAATGCCTATCACTCAGCTCATATGCAAGCTATTTCAGATGACTACCTGCATCTGATGGGTGACATCTCGTCCGGAACACGCCTAGTCACGCCTTATCCTGTACGCATGTTTTCGACAGTGACGGGCAAAGAAGTCACGGAGGATCTCCCTAGCCAGTATTGGGTAGACAACATGGTATCACCTGTTCGGTTTACCAGTGTTCTTTCATCAATGCACTCAGACACAGCGGCCTTGCTTGACTATCACTCGCCAGAAGTTCTACCTCACATTATAGAGATAGGGCCTCATTCTACTTTGCAAAGCGCGATTAAAGACACTCTGGCTGCAAAAAATCCGCAAACAGATTTCAAGTACCTTGCAGTCTTGAAGCGTACTGATCCTAGCCTTAACGTCTTACTTGGTACAGTGGGTACTCTTGCTGCTAGTGGCTATGAGCTCGACCTGCATGCAGTCAATCTTGAATGTCGGTCTGCCAAGAAACTACCTAAGCTTTTGGTTAATTTGCCACCATATTGCTTCAAACATGCGGAAAAGGTTTTGTATGAGAGTAGACTGAGCAAGAATCTGCGCGCCCGAAAATATCCACGCCATGATCTCTTCGGGGCCCCTGTCCCAGATTGGAATTCTAATGCCCCGAGGTGGAGACATTTTGTGAGATTGAATGAGAATCCTTGGTTGAGAGATCATCAGGTATGTCAATCTCTGAGTCCTGCAAAATTATTTGTCAGATCTTTCTAACTAAATGACAGGTGACCGGCAATTTCGTCTATCCTGGAGTTGGTTATCTTGTCATGGCCATTGAAGCGGCACGACAACTATCCGCAGACAAGTCCATCACAGGATTCCAGCTCCACCGTATCTCTATTCGAAGAGCCTTAATCATTCCAGACACAAAGGATGGCATTGAAGTCTGTCTGTCAATGACAATCGCGGAAGGAACATCGGATTCAAGACTTTGGCACCGTTTCCAAATCAGCTCCTACAATGAATCAAGCAACGAATGGACTGAACACTGCATTGGGAATATTGCTGTTGAATATAAGGAAGTCCCCGATCCCATTGACAATGGCCGTGAAGCGGACGAGGAAGTTCGATCCTGGAAGGAAGATCTTGAGACCGCCCGGGCAGTCTGCGGATATGCCTTAGATTCCAAGAAACTTTATGACGATCTCCAGGCCGCAGGACTCAATTTCGGTCCACTTTTCCGAAACCTTAGGGAGGTTAAAGTTAGTGGTTCCCGACTAGGATCTATGATTGGCGTTGTGACTATCCCCGACATTGCTCAGTCAATGCCAAAGCGGTACATGCACTCCCATTTGATTCACCCAGCCACAATGGACAGCATGATCCATATGATGATTGCCACGGTACTTGACATGACTGGTAGGACCTCGCTCGATTGTATCAGGTTGCCAACCTACATTCACGACGTGTGGGTGTCAGCCGATTTGAGCTCTATACCGACCCACAGGTTTACCGGACATGCTTCTGGAGGCATTGCCACTTCGGGAAAATTCGAAGGCTGGATTCGAATGTTGAATGATGTTGGCAAGCCCCAGATCAGAATAGATGGGATTGAGCTCACTCCGCTTGAAACGACGAAGTCTGACATCGACCGAAAACTTTGCACGGCCATTGAATGGAAGCCCGATGTGCATTTCCTTGACTCCCAAACAGCCTGTGATCTAAGCTATTCGGACGAAATGGTCGACCAGGATCGTCGGAACTGGATTAAATCTCTTCAGCTTACCAGTATGCTGCTTATCACTGATGCTCTGGTTGAGTTAAAGGATCTTGATCCAATGAAGCTTGATTCACATATGCGGCGATTCTACGACTGGATGATGCACGTGTTTAAGCTTCTTGAAAATGACAAGATTATCCATTTAGCATTTAAGGACTTTCAAGAAGTATCACAAAGTCAAGAGCTAAAGGAGTCTCTATTCAAAACGGTAGAACAGCACAATGCCGAAGGAATCATCACAGTTCGGATGGGCCGCAAGATTGCATCCATTGTTCGCAAGGAGGCTGATCCTCTTCACCTGATGTTTGGACAAGATAACATCATGGAAAGTTACTACAAGGATGGCATACGACTTTACAATCTACCAAGCCATCTGAAACGCCACCTATCCCTTCTTCGTCATCAGCATTGTGAGCTGAAGATTCTGGAAATTGGCAGCGGTACAGGTAGCTTCACCGCAGAGGTCCTCAATGTGCTTGCCCCAGATGGAGCTAGAGGAAGTATTGCGAGCTATACGTTCACTGATATTTCTTCCGGTTTTTTCGAAAAAGCAAAGCAGCGTTTTCAGCCATGGAACAAAATCATGACCTTCCAGCCACTGAATCTTGAGGATCATCCTATTGACCAAGGACTTGAATACGGTGTTTACGATTTGATATTCGCTGGGAATGTTATTCATGCTACCGCCAACCTTCAAGCCACACTGGCCAACCTACAGTTGCTTCTTAAGCCAGGTGGTCAACTGGTGATGCAAGAGGGTATCAGACAGGACTTCTTAGCTCTTACGGTAGTCTTCGGTCAGCTTCCTGGATGGTGGCTTGGTGATGAGCCCATTCGACAGTGGTGTCCTTACATTCCAGTCTCCGAGTGGAACAACCTACTCATCAAATCTGGGTTTTCTGGAGTCGATATTGAATATCCCAGCTCGAACAATGAGGATTTGAGTCTACAAAGCATCCTCATTTCTACGGCCCTTCCTGCCCTAGACAAACCACTGAAAGATGTTTTTGTTCTGACTACTAATGCAACTCAGTCAAAGGATTACATTGCTAGCATACGTTCAGCATTCGAGGCGAGCGGCCTGGCCATTCATGTGGTGAAGCTGTCGGAGCTGAATTATATAGCTGATGCGGCCTGCATCTCTATAGTCGATATGGAGAAGCCGTTCCTCTATGAAATCTGCGAGGAGGAGTATCTCGCCCTCAGAAAGGTTCTGATGACCTTCCCAAAAATCCTCTGGGTAACCGCAGATTTCAAAGAACACCCGTTCTCTGCCATGAGCATGGGTCTTCTTCGAACTGTTCGCTGGGAACGTGACGCGGACGACTCCAGCATTGCAACGGTGGCCATTGCCGATGTCACTACGGTGTCAGAGAAGGACGTGGCAGCTTGTATCTATAAGATCTTTTCTCGTCAATTCAAGGAGATGCACGAAAACGAACGAAACAGCGAATACCTCCTGAAGGACGGTATAATCCACATCGGGCATCTGCGTGAGTGGGAAGAGGCAGACACCTTCCTTGCTATGCAAGCGTCAAAATTGACTACCAAACTGCAAAACTTTGAAGAGTTGGACAGTCCTATTGAGCTGAGTCCTACCGCTTTGAAGAGAAACGAGGTCTATTGGGTCCCAGACTCTCATCATCTTAAGCCCCTCGGCGAGTCTGAAGTCGAAGTGAAAATCCAGGCTATGGGTCTAAACTCAGACATTCACGCTTTGAACCCATCAACCGAGGCGTCAGGTGTTGTGAAGACTGTCGGCTCAGCAGTGAAATGCTTTATTCCTGGTAACAGAGTTATTGTTTTGACTGGTGACCAACATAGAAGTTGTCTCAGAACGCTTGTACGGCTCGACGAGTCTCTGGTCGTTGATCTTCCTACTCGAATCTCATTTTCAGAGGGAGCCGCACTTCCGTTCATCTTCGCTACAGCAATTCATGGACTCGCACATACTGCCAGACTATCTGAGAAAGACATTGTTCTCATTCCTAACGGCGCCTCTGCTCTTGGGCAAGCTGCCATTCAATACGCGAATATTGTCAAAGCAAAGATTTTTACCACGGTTAAAACACCAGAAGATAAAGCATTTCTCGCCGACGCTTTCGAAATTCCTGAGGACAACATTTTCTCGAGCAATGACCTCAGCTTCATCAAAGGTGTCATGAGATGCACGAAAGGCACTGGAGTCGATGTTATCTTCAATACACTCGCTAGTGAGGCTCAGCTGGAGATGTTTGTAGTTCTTGCGCCTTTTGGTCGCTTCATTGACGCCGCTGGCAAAGGAACTCGAGCTACTGCGCAAGTAGATCTGTCTTCTCTCCAGCGGAATGTGACATTTGCCAATATTGACATCTATCTGATGGCTCAACACCGTCCAGTGAGCGTTCGTCGATTGGTCACATATGCATTGAAATTGTACCTTGATGGAAAGATCCGCCAAGCTCAACCTTTCCGTATTATGGACCTTGCCCGCATCAAAGACGGACTCCAGCTGCTACATGGTGATGAAAGAGTTGGGCAGATCGTGCTCGTACCTAACCGTTTGACTGCTATTCCCCTCGTACAGGAACTGCTTCCGCCTTTCCAGTTCGATGAGACAGGCTCTTATGTTCTTGCCGGTGGCCTGGGAGGCCTGGGACGTAACTTGGCTCGGTGGATGGCATCGCGTAGTGCCAAGACTCTTATCATTCTCTCACGCGCAGTCCAGATAAATGCAGAAGGGCAGAAGATGGTTTCCGACCTGAGGATGCTTGGGTGCAGTGTCCATATTTTCCCTTGCGATGTTTCTGATGCAAAGCGGCTGAAGGCTGTTGTTGATAAGTGCTCTGAAACACTTCCACCGATCAAAGGATGCATTCAGGGCTCCATGGTATTGCGAGTAAGTTGAAATTTTGATCTCATCAGCCCACTGATTACGAAGTCTCTAATTATGTTTATAGGATGGTACCTTCGCTGGCATGTCCTTTGACGACTGGCAAATTGCTACTCGACCAAAGGTTCAGGGCTCGTGGAACTTGCATACGATTCTTCCATCTAAGCTAGACTTCTTTGTCATGCTTTCTTCTGTCGCTGGTATTATTGGCAATCGCGGCCAGGCCAACTATGCAGCTGGAAATTCTTTCCAGGATGCACTGGCTACCTTCCGTACCTCACATGGAATGAATGCATCCAGCATCAACCTCGGAAGTGTTTCTGATGTTGGCTGGGTCGCCGAGAACCGTGATAGAGTCAACAAAAACTCAGCACCTCTGTTTGAATTCTTGAGTGACAAGGAGGTCCAAGGAGCTCTCGAGTTCTTGATGGATCCACGATACGAGAAACATGTTGAGCTCAATGCCTGCCCGAGGTCGCAACTAGTCCTTGGTCTTCCAACTGCGGAAATGTGTCGTCAGAACGACATTCCAGCTCCGTCGTACCTAAACTACTCGCTCTTCAAGCACTTCCAGACTTCAATCACTGTCAACAGCTCGGAAACCAACAAACAAATTACGGTCAGCACTGCCGCTCTCCTTAGTACTACATCATCTCCTGAGGAAGCCATAATCGTGGTGTCAAATGGTATTGTAGAGAGACTTGCCTCTCTACTTGCTATCCCAGCTTCAGAGATCGATGCTAAGCGGTTCTCTTTTGGTTCCATTGACTCACTTGTCTCCATGGAGTTCCACTCTTGGATCTCCAAAGAGTTGAAGGCTGAAGTGTCCTTGCTGGAAATCATTGGTGCACAAAACATACGTGCACTGAGTGAGAAGATCGTCCAAATTAGCCGGCTGAGCAAGTTGTGATGAGATGGAGTCTTAAACTGCAGCATATTTTATCGGACTTCGCATTGATTAGTTTTCGGAGTAGGAATTACTTCAAATTTTTCTTATATTACGATGTAGTTTAAGGGAAGTTTGTAAGCCTTACACCCAGCTAACTCTTAGATTTGATCTCGTGATGTTTAATCGGTATCAAGTAAATAGAGCCCGTATAAATAACCAGTCAGGCAAGTGTTTAATACCACGCATGTCACCCTAAATCCTGCCTACTTTAACGTTTTATTCTAAATCTTCACCCTCTGGTCTTCTTCCTCTTACAACTCCCATTTTTTTTTCCTTTTCTTTCTTCTTCTACCCTTCAACTGTTCAAAGGCATAGGATATTCCTGACTGGCGTGGGAATTTTGCTAGATCATATCAGCTCTTATTGATGGCTAAGACTTTCCTTGCACGTCACATAGGCATGATACATCTAAAGCCAAGTGGGAGCTATCACTCTCCATCGATATTCATTGATCTGCTGTCACTGATTTACTGGGTAGACAGAATTCCAAGGCTTGGACATAAAACATGACATCTTCAAAGGGATTTAGGAACATGACTTACCTAGAGCATGCATAATAGATTCCCAAATTCAGAAATATATCAAAAATAAGTGTTTTTGCGTTCTGGCAGTGGCTGTTGGCATCTGAGGAGCTTAGTAGCCCTTCTAACATGCCTGCGAACAGGATAGGATTATTTACTTCATATTTAGTCGATGCCTAGGTAGGTAGTTAGTACAGAATATGAAGTATGCAGTTTACAAATGAAAGTGATTTCAAGGATGTATTCCCGCGGGTATGATGCCGATGTTAATAGTAATGGGTATGGGTATAAAATACGAACTCAAATAACGTCGAGGTTGTTAGGATATATTGGCCAGCCAAGACTTTCCTTGGTATAAAACATGAACATCACAACACCCAATTGCCAAGACAATGTCAATATCTCAGTTTCAAAATGCAGCCCAGAAAATAAGATGAAAAAGAAATTCAGATGGTATCGAATCAAATCGAGGAAAACCTACCACCCCCTACCCTACTGCTCCTTCCTGTCATAAAGCCAGTTTATCATGCTATGAATGTGACAAACACCAGAATGCTGAATGCAAGACACGTCCATCATTTGCCCTGGATGTAGACGTGACCAAAAGAGAGAAAAGAAAAAAAAAGTTGAGAAGTTAGATGTCCAACCGGCGTGGCGTGAACTTTCCCCCGATGTGATTGAATCATTATTCAATCAACGTAAGATTGGATCGATCAATGGTTGTTCTTTAAAGATCCTCAGGTAAATTTGAGTAAGGATCTTGGCATCGGCCCGGAGAGTGGGAGAGATATTCTTGTTGCGCAACAAGAAGTTGATTGTCCGATTGAGGAGTGCTTGAAGGTCTGCTGGGTCCACGAGAGATTTCAAGCTGGACATAAACGTTGCGGAGAGAACGAGCATATTTCCAAATTGTCTAATGGAAATCAAGTCAATAACGGGGTCTTGGATCCTTATCAGGAACGGAATATAACTTACGCATGAGCCGTGCCGAAAATGTTAGTCACAACAAGTCGCTCGGGGGTTATATTATCGAATGCCACAGTACTCAGTCGTGCGGAATTTACGCAAGTCTGGCAGGCGACGCGGAATTTCTTGTTGAATTTTCGTGGGTGAACGGTTGGTGGTGTCCAGCCATTGGGAAATGAGGAAGAATTGTCGGTTGGCGTGCTCATGTCACTCAATCCCCGTGTCATATTCGTGGCGCGGTGGTTGGTGTGTGGTATTGAGGGAGAGACGTTCTGTGGCTGGGAGGCTGTTGCTGAGCTCGATGGCGAGACTGCGGAAGGCTGCTTAACTATTTCAGCGCCGCCTTGGCCATAGTGCAGCGCGTAGTATAGCAGCGGTCGATGAATGATGTACCGAGCACCGTAGTATTTGGCTCGCATGCGGGCCGCGTTAATATCAGTAGAGGGTGGGTCATTGTCGGACCATTGCATGGTGTCGGGGAGGCTTTTGCGCCATGCCTCCAAGTTCAAGCTCAAGGCTTCCTGTACACTAGACGACCATCGCGCTTCTCCTTGCTTCTCGACTTTGTACAAATCGGTATGGACACGGTTGAGAACCTTCCGAAGGTGGATTTGAGCTGAGTAGAACATCATCATCATCGTGTTGGGTTCTTGGAGGTCGTCCGGCAGACTGATCGTCCACAATCCCTTGGGAATTTCCATTCGGACCTCTGATCGTGAAATTCCACTAGCTGGGATATCAAGCTCGGCCAGAAGGTCACTCTCTAGTTGAAGACAGGTCCAATAGGCAAAGTGGTAAAGATCCAAAGGAAATTCATCTGCCATTCGCTCGTACAGCTTCTGTCGAACAAGCACTGCACATGCCCGTGCCGCTTGACAGATCCAACTATGGCTCTGGAAAGGGTGTGCCAATTGGCCGGCATACAATCCGGCAAGCAAGCCTGCCTGTACATTGTGCAAGGTGACACCTCCCTGAAGCTCGCCCAGAATCCGTGTGGCATAACCATAGAGCGCTAGGCCTGGAATAGCTTCAAGGTTTTTGGTACCGCCCCACGTTCGGCGCCTTGCCAACGCTTCTTGGGCTTTGGCCAAATCTTGCCTTCGAAGGGCCTGGCCAGGAGTCTCTGCTGGGGGTATTGCCGTAAAAGACGGGATTGGGGTTCGAGTGTTGTTATAGAATGATCTCGGACCTGAGTCGGAATTGGCTGGGGAGAGCACCCCGTTTGCAGAAGTGACATTAGTTGGCGTTTTTCTAGGCGGTAAAGGTTCAAAAGGTCGAGGAATATATTGGTTCATGTAGTCAAGTGCCTCTGGCTGCATGAGAGGGCCTGGGAGTGGAGACGGGGTCTGGCAGATTGCACCCACTGCAAGAACTAGAAGAACTATAGCGGACTCGATATTATGTCCAACTGGCTCTCGAAAGACCTCATCCTCCACCACCTCTTCGCTGAAATTCAACCTTTCTTCGAAACTTGAAGTCTGTGTCATCCTTGGGTTCAGTGGTTGGCGGGGCGGCTTTTCAAATGAGGCGCACGCAGAATCCACATATCCAGGTTGGTGACCCTGGTAATCGTTGGAGCGCTTGCGCTTCGTAGGTCGCATGTCTTCACGACATAAAGTTGGTGATGATTCCGATGAAGGTTTCAAGCAATGCTTCCTCATGAACATCTTCATCCACCCCATTAATTCGATCTGGTTGAGGAACGGGTGGAGCTTATGCATGAAGGCAATGTAACTATTATAGTATTGGGAGACTTTTGTTTTATCCAGAGCGACCCAGCCATCATTGTCGATCTGAAGACCAGCGTCTGGTGATGGGTTCAATAATGATGACTCGGGCTCTGCCTTATAATTAGCAGTTCCATTCATTCTTTTCGCCCCAAGAGGCATAGGCGGAGACATCAGTTGAGAGCCATCGGCGCTCTCTGAAACTTCTCCCTGTCCAAATGGATTAATAAGGCCACGTTCTTCCTCCAGTCGCATGACGTAATCTTCATCATATTCATCGACCAAGAGCTTTTTGATCGAGGGCCACATCAAAAGCTTGTGCGCGGCGGTGGTATGTTCCACAGGGATCGAAAGTTCTCCTTCGTTCTCATTCTTGGGGTCGTCAAAATTGGGATCGATCGTGGCTGCTGGGTTCGGAGCCTGTCCATAATATGGACTTTTCTGATCTGCCAGAGGGGCTTCGCGTATGGCGGGAGACTTTGACTCGGCAAGCGGCACATGCGAGATTGGTGCGGCGACAGGCGATTGGTAGTTCAACTTGGACTGAATCTGCGATTGAGATTGCGACTGAGGCTGTGGTTCGGATTTAGACTTCGGTTTCGTTTCTAGATCCTCCTCAGATGTCAAGCGTTGAAGGACTTCGCTATGCTTGTCTAGACGTTCCATCAATTTCTCTTCCAACTCCAATATTCGCTCCATGATCAGCTGAGCCGTCTTTTCTTGCCTGCGCAACTTTTTTTTAGCAAATTTTCAACTTGTGGTCCCAAATCTCCAGTGAATACGAACTTATGAGGCGGCACTTCTTTGTACACGCAGATCAGGTTATTTTCCTTGCAGTGGCTGCAAGCTGGTCGTCCTTCATCACACTTGGCTTTCCTCGCTCGACATTGATCACATGCCTATGCGTGTCTAAGGGTCAGTAAAACTGACTCCACTTTATCTTTAATTTTTCCAAACTGACTTGTTGTGCTCTTGCTGCCTTGCGCTGACGCGCTCCAAAGGCAGGATTCTGATAGTAGCCTGCATCATAGGCCGGTGCGCCATTCGTCATAGCGGGGGTAGGGGTCATAAATTGGGTCGTTTGCGGAAGAGAGACAGGCGGTGGGATAGATTCGCTAACAGTCGGTTGTTCGGCTGGGGGATATGACAAACGAGATCGGTAGACTTCTGGGGGAGCAGAGTGCGGAGAAGCATCGTGAGGTGATCCGTTGATAGACGGCCGGAAGCCGGGATGTTGGCTGTGTTGGTTGTGCTCTGGAGGCCCCGGTAGACTACCTTGGCGGGCAAAGTGGCCATCCAGAGGAAGTTGCGGAAGCTCACGATTAATGGGATATCCCGGGGCCAAAGAAGTCTGGGTGGTGGGTTGCCGACGCGTATCTTGCAGATGGCTATCGAAGGGCGGGTGTTGGGGGTATGATGAACCGCGCCATCCATGGTCATAGACACCATGCACACTCGTTGGCACATGGGGCCCATCGGGAGGGGGCATTCGGTTCATCGGAGACGTTTGTTTAATTTAGAATGATCTATAACGGGTTGTCAGGCGCATTCAATCTCCTTGTGTACAGCTCAGCTGGGTTGGACGGCGGGGTCGGAGCTGTATGTTTTTTTTTGAAAACAATAAAAAAAAAAAAAATGATGATATATATGTACCCTTTATTTCAAAGCAATATAGCTTGATAATTGACCGCTTAAATGGACATTATGAGACGGTGAGAATGATAATAGGAAGGATCGAAGAAAGCGTGGATAAAAAGTTCGATCTTGCGCGTTGGCCTTCGTGGTCGAGGCCAGGCTTCCAGTTCCAGATCGACAGGATCAAGGTTCAAGTCGAGGTCAAGGTTGAGGTAGCTTTGAGCTATGAATAAAGAAAACAACCGTGCCAGGAGCCGTTTGTTATTCAAAGACGGGGTCAATAAGTTTGGACAAAAGTCGCAAAAATGGGCACGGCGAATCCGTCTTGCCCGCTCTCTAGCAAGTGGGCAGAGTGGAGCGACTAGGACAAAGAAAATAGTCAGATACAACGAAGATCGGAAGCTCAGCAAAAGAACAAGATCTTTTTTCGGTCAACAGAATATGGGAGAAGAGAATAGAGGATAAAAGCGGTTTAAGGTAAAAGTGATGGAAAATGGAAAGTGATGTATACTCTGGAGGTATACTACAAGTAGAATGAAGGAGAGTTACGGTACTTGTGTATTGTACACTCCCGTATTCAATACGTTCTGTATCAACTTACCTGTAACTTCATACGTCAAGTGGAGTATTTGTTTTCTTTTTCTTTTTCTTTTTCTTATTTTTCTTATTTTTCTTATTTTTCTTTAATGTTCTGTGGGGGTTCAGATCGATGTCATGAATAAAGGGCGAAAGCGAGGGGAGAAGTAGAAGTAGAAATAGAAATGGAAATGAAATAGCAATAGAAATAGGAATAGAACCAGAAATAGGAAAATAATAATAAAATAAAATGTAAAAAAGGAGGGGGGGGGGAATAAGTTAGAATTACACCTGTAGGGATCGACACCACACTGGGCAGGCTTACACTAACTGTGTTTGCCCCTCGCTAGATTGCTATATCTTAGAATTCCTTAGATGACAGGTCGTCTTCTTTTCTTTTTCTTTTTCTTTCTATTTTTTAATTATTTACAAGAGCAGCGGGGTCAGTAATGATAATTGTATACTCCGTAATGCAAGTAATCCGGGCTTTTCTGATATTCAAAGATCCCCTTCTATTTTTGATTTACGTAGTTCATTGCTATACTAGGCTGATCGGGATCGAGGGATAATTAGGGTTTATTTAGCTCCCCGTTAATCTAAAGACTGTATGTTTCTCAACATTGCAAGGGGCATAAAGTTAGGTCTAAGTATAATAATTAGGTAGAAAGCTTATGCCCCGGGACAATGGTAAGCGGAACAGATCAACCCGAATTCTTGGTTTAATCCATTAGCTAAAAAAGACTGACATCGATATGTCAACCTAGATTGTATTGTAATGTATTCCTTGACCATCGATTGAAGAACCTTGGAACCTTGGAACGTTAGAATTATGCATTAGTTATCTATCAACAATCTTAACCAGGTCTACAAGGTTCATTGGTGCGACCTACTTTATGATCCGGAGTTTCCATACTTCCTCATTCCAGATTCCACATCCACCTAGACGTCAAGTAGAAGCATCCACATTTGTATTCAGGGGAGATCCACACTGGTATTGATGACTTCATATAGAATTTGAATCCATTGGATGGATGTCAATAATCATATGCCAAAAACTTTAACCTTTTAATATCAAACGTCAATCTAATTCTCCGTACTGTCTTGTCTTCGCCGTTTACCAACCTATGGTACAGAGTACACACCGCTACAATAGAAAATAAAATAAAAATAAAAAACATAGATTGGACATCTGCAAATCAACCGTACTCTCTAACATCCTCCTTCGGCACATTGGATAGTCACACAGGATCCTGCCTTCTTGCTTCTTCTGACCGTTACTCCTTATGTAGTCACCCGTTGTCCGATTCCTTCATTACGGAGTATACATTTCACCTGGCCACCTCCATTCTCTTGAATTCCGTTCAAACTTTGGAGACTTCGGAACCCTGAAGGAAGCAAAGTTGAACAACCGTGGACCTCGTGGTGGAGTCCATTGATCCGCTTTCATACCCGCAGGAACGGATGGATGGATACAGTCCAGTTTGTTCTAGTCGTTCTCATTTGTTCTGACTCAGGGCTCCTTTTTTCCATTTACCCCACGGGATTTGTGTGGAGATTGTTCGACTTCCTTTTGGAAAATTCCATACGGAGTACCTAGTCCGTATTTCATTTCACCGAGTCCGATCAGGGAATCGGTCCGATACTTCCAAGCTGTCACGGAATACGGATATACACGCTAACTACTATGAAGTCTCTTTTATCTCATCTGATTATCAGTGGTTATAGGTACTTAGGTATTGGGGTCCGGTTGGGCACATGCTGCCTGATCCAACAACTCGGAACTAATACGACAATACGACTTGACTATCCACATTTACCAAGAAAAACTAATAACTTCACTTTGTTAGGTCGGAGTTCTTTACCGAGCCGCTCATGATTGACTCGAAGACTCTACTTTTACAGTATCAGAAGCATGTCGCTAACTTATGGTAGAGGTTGAAATCAAGATATACGTCGTACTTAATCCATGCAAGGGATGACTCTGCTTTTTCTAATGTCATGAGCAATCAAAGAACCTTGAAATTCAATACGTTCTTGCCGAGAACTGCATTTGGTTAGCCTTGGAGGGTATCCATTTTAAGCCAGTCGATATGAAGACCCTGCCAGTTGAGAGAATAAAGCTCATCGACCAGGTTCAGACTTAACTAGGTACCTAGGTACTTGTCAACTGGCTCAGTCTGTCATATGCTTTCAGTTTTGACCATATATCACATTTTTCCCCTCTCCATGCATGCAGTGCCCCAGATATGCAAGTGATGTCTCCACTGCGTGGCTAATGGCTCGCAGCTTCCAAGGTTGGAATGTGTCCTTTAGGGCTGGACTTGATGATCTCGATCTGACAGAAATTTCCCCGCCATCGACTCGTATGAGCACACATATCCATGAAGTTGGTCTGATGCGGGGGGCTGATCACGGACAATTGTGGCAGGTCTCAAATCCTAGCGTCATCCAAGACATGCTCCTGTTAAGTGCTCTCTGGAGTCTAAACAAAGACATGCCGCTGTATGTACGCTGTAGTTAATTGATGCCGATTATTTCCCTTATCTTGGCCGTGGCTGGACAGGGGTAATACTACTAACCTCTTTGATTTTAGAATGACAAATTCTAGTCTCGGCAGGAATCGAGCTCTAACTTAGACTGGACTTGAATTGGAATGCTCAGGTCTAAGCTATGCGGATAGATACAGGAAATTCTACGCTGAAGTTGTACCTAGATAGTTACTAGTTTCAAATCAGGGAACATTGAGCACTGATTGAATCTGGATTCCAAGTTTGATTTTTTCGGAATTTTTGAGGCCTAAGCCACTGAGACTTAGCTTTGCGTTATCGTGGAATGCTGGGGCAACGATGCATTGTTGCAGGGAAATAACGGAGTAATGCGCAAAAAATGCGAGTCATGCCTCCTCCCCCTTGTGATCAGTGGTTTCTAAGACGTTCACCAACTGGCATGATTTGCTCCAAATTGGGATAATATATTTGATGCTGACACAAAGGGGTTGGAGGCTCAGCCCCGACTCATGACGATAGAAGAATGGAAACGGCGGTACGTGCGGTTGGTTGCAGACATTTTGGTAACTGCCAGTTACAGACGTTGGGGTATCTTCTGTTCCGTCCGCAGGTGCTAAGTACTGTCCAATCTGTACTATCAAGTATGAAGAAGATCTAATTAGTCGAGCTGCAGTCAAAGATGTCATCTCCACACTTCCAAATGTGATGTATCATTGGCACATCACAAGAGCTGACTCGGTCGCAGACAATCGGGCTCTGAGTCAAGTTCGACTTCTGCTTTACTTGACGCTCTTTGTTCCCTTCAGCTTTTCTTTTTCCCTTCTCTTCGAGTTCTAGATGTCAGCTTAAACCCGACACGTCGCACAAATTAAAAGTCCTCCGCACCCCCAGATGTATTTTCCACGTGGTTTTCGTCTTTGAGCCCTAAAAATCGAATTTCTAGAAATCCTACGCAATTTCCCACGACGTCTTTTACAGGCGGCTCGAGAGCAGTTTCAGTCTAGGAAGTTGAAACTCCTCTTGTAAGGAGTTGTCATATACGAAGTGATACATTGTTATGTTGATCTAAACTGAAAGGGATTTTCCAATGGTTCCAGGTACGATCGCTAACTATGATCGGGGCTTGAATTAGCCTTTTTCGCTCTCGCTTTCTCGTTATGTGTTCTAATAGCAAACAAATGATATTTAGGCTCGCAGGAACTGCTGGTCTGTTCGCATGCAAGGGAAATCAAAGTTAGCTAGAGTAAACTTCGAGAGCTAGGATTGGGCTAGGGATTAATTTGTTTGCTATATCCTTTCGTTTTCTGTTCCTTATGATTCCAAAATTGTCCAGGTGCATATAGTCTATAAATGTGGTCATCCGTGCTCAGGTGCTAACTGCCTAGGTGGAGCTTTCCAAGGCTTCAAGGTGGTGTGGAGGAATATCAAAAGTCCCTAGGTATGAACTAGACTTTATCCTGATATAGCTCTCCGAATGCTTCCGGCCTCTTGTTTCTGCATCATAAGTTCGAGTTCCAAGGTTGAACTTTGCAGAATGATGCGTACTCTGTCGAGACTCAGTATTTTCAGGGTTCCTATGGTCAACTCTAAGCCTCTGGATTTTATCTAGTTTCGACCTCCAGATTTGAAAGGATCATTGGCTGGTTAGCGAAATGGCAGTTCAATGCGATGGACACGCATAGCCATCATGTGTAGGTTTCCGAAAAGCAAACGAGCTCTGATTTTGGTTCCGGCTCTAAGCTAAAAAGCCGTAAGATAATTGATATCCCGGCATTTGCCAGGGCTAGGCACATTTCTGGTCTTTTTCAACGCAGACGCATCTAAAGATGAAAGATCTTCGAGGTCTCAAGATACAACGGGACTTAGGTCGAGAGCTTCATATATTTGGTAGAATGATTCCTCCGGTAAATACCAAATCCCTACCTCCTACACATCCATGGAATCTGCAGCCTCATCCAATTCAGACTCAGATCTTCCAGCACAACTCAATCAACTGCCGATGTATTGTGGAAACCTGCTTCCACTGCCAGTTGATATCATAATACCTACTTAGATGCTAGGGCCCAGCCCAGGTGACTGCTGCGATCCAAGGCTCGATCGCGAATAAACCGATCCGATCGACCATACATACATGAACCCACCCCTGCGCCTACAAACAAGGCATTCTGTCAAAGATTGGAGGTCGAGCGAGAAGCGAGAATGTAACCCCGCAAATTTTATACGACAGCTGCCCCACAGAGCTGTGCAGGATTGAAAATATCTCGTTTCAGAGGCTTAGAAAGAACCGATAGATAGTACTGCGAAGGTGGTTCATAATAAAGACGCTTTAACCCTGGGAAAGAATATCTACCTAGGTAAATAGTAGTCAGTATCTATAGTCCCGAAGTCGTGTTCAATAATCGGCATAGTGAAACAATCGGAAAATAAACCCCGGCAAAGGGTGGCGGGCCTAGACACGCGAATAGACCTCTTTCAACCTCCATTTCCCATCTAGTGGCGTCAGATTTATCCATCACATTTACCACACTTCGTGACATTTGTCTACATCGGTTTCTCGTTGGCTGAAACTATTCACACTACTTTATGAAAGTTTCGCTGTGCCGTGCGTCTCCGTTTGGTCTGTCATAATTTGCCTTTTCTGGATGCCTCGAGCTGACCACTTAAGGGCTTGGATGTGGTTATTGTGAGACTTAGATGGCTTGTGCTAGAGCACTGAGCTGGGATCTGAGCTGGGATCAGAGCTGATAGAACGTGTCTTGGTTTCATGATGATTAGGTTCTTTTGTGGTAAGATCTGAAATACGTAAACGGTGTATACTTACGTACCGAAGTTACCGAAGTACATTCAGATTCGAGAGTGGTCACTTCATTTCAGTTTCATTTCCAAGAGCCCATCTATCAATAGTTCCTCCTCACTATCATCTAGGTAATACTTTCAGCTCCTTAATGTCCGCTCAGACTTGCAACGTCGGAAATGACAAGGCTCAAACGGCGTGCCTCGTAGCTTCTTTATGAAACTTTGTTATCATTGACTTGGAAACAGCTATGATGGAACGTCTAGCTTTCAATAACGTGTTAAATCAATCACTTGTGTTTTCTGTGATCTGAGGAAACATCAAAAAGGAACCATAATTTGATTATTGAATCTCCCATGAAATCCCCTAACTTTAGAGCTCTTACAAATCCATGCCCAGGTGCATATATAAGAGATAAAATGTGAAGCCTACCAGGTAGTACATAAGCTACTTTAACCATCTATCCAAAAAACAAAATCGATGAAGGCTCGGATCGGTCACTCAGCTTTCGATTCACGCTTTTTCTCACTCCCTGAAAGTGATGTGGAAAAATTACATGTGATATGAAGCTCGTGATTGTCTCTAAATGCTCGAATAGAAAGGAGGGCAGTTCTTTTTATACCTCATCGAGATGAAGCTTAGTTTAATAAAAACAAAATTTGCTTGTTGACTCATCTACAAAGGTGTCATTCATTTAGTGGATTTTTGTCACTGTGGTCGTAGAGTAATAAACCATGGATATTTTCGACGATAAAACATTCTAGTGATATCTCTATCAAGCTTTATACACAGGGGAATCATCAGTATGACGACCCAGCCCTTACAGACATAATCCAGTCAGTATTTCGAGAATGTACCACTTGAATCACACCCAAGGATTCAGGTTCATTGGATGAATTTGGAAGACGGGTCATTTTTTCATTTTTTTTGTTCTTCAATCACATCCTAATGTCAGATTCATGAAGCTATTCAAATGTAGATAAGTGGGGCCTAGCAAGTGGGTAGATCAGAGTTATAAGTTCAAAGTTGGAGAGGGATCTCATCCCCACCCTCTGTATTATAATTGAGAACTCATAATAATATATATTGGCGGTCGGGGTTGATCCTCAGACGCGTCATTTTTTCGTCAGTTTATTGCGTCCTTTGATCCCAATGTCGCCTCGTACTGACACAAACATATGCCCTCCTCGAGATTTACTACCTAGGCAGCAATATTTTTTGTGGAGGCTGTAATGAAACTTCGAAACGATATCTCTGAGATATGGTTATGCAGAACTCAGAGAACGTGGACAGTAAAAACGAGATTGATTTTATAATATTGGATTCATTCCCACCACAAAGAGGCTAAACAAACGTATGAATATCGTTGTATTAGTTCTCCTCGGGTTTTTTGGCAAAGGAAAATATAATATTTCAAGACCATGATAATGGTTTCAACGATTTACAACAAAATCTCAATGGCTAATGATCTATGCCGTTCTCAACAGCGGAACCAAGGACTCATGTCCATTTCCCATCGCCAAAGAAATTGGAGTTTCTTCACTAGAATCTTTGTGGCTGGGATTGGCACCACTGCAAGCAGTAGCTTAACCACAGCCTTGTGCCCAAATTCTGCTGCACAAGACAAGGGAGTTTGGCCATCTGAATTTCCAGAATCTGGATGTACTCCCATTTCCAGGAGCAGCTTAACTCCTCTTTCATGTCCGTTCCGTGCTTCCCACCAAAGAGGTGTCTCTCCTCTAGAGTCCACAAAATCAGGATTTACCCTCTTAGTCGCAAGAAGTAGTTCAACAACCGTCCCGTGTCCATTGTGTGCTGCTACTATTAATGGAGTCTCATCCGAACCCTGAGATTCAGGATCGATTCCTCTTTGAAGAAGAAGCTTGATAACTGTGACGTGACCGTTCTTCGCTGCCCGTAACAGTGGGGTCTCTCCTATAGAGTTCCTAGATTCAGGATTAACGCCTTCTGCAAGGAGCAGCTTGACTACTACCTCGTGCCCGTTGCGTGCAGCCCACCATAGCGGCGTCTCTCTATTCGAATTCTGGTGTTCAGGATTCACTTTCCCTGTGAAGAGTAAAAGCTTAACTAAAGCCTCATTTCCATGTTTTGCTGCGAAGAGTAAGGGTGCCTGTCCGTCAGAGCTTAAAGAATCAGGATCAACATCATCTGTTGCAAGGAGTAGTTGCACAATTTCTTCATGCTCATTCCGTACTGCACAATTTAATGGTGTCTCCCTATCTGAATTCATAGAATTCGGGCGTATATTCTCCGCTGCAAGTAGTGCTTTGAATGAAGCCGTATTTCCATTCTTTGCAGCCCACCATATCGGCGTGCATCCTTTTAAATCGGAAGAATTCATATCAATTCCTTTTTAAGTGAGCAGGACCTTGATCACCGCTTTATGGCCAGCCTCTGCTACAATAGAGAGAGATGTGCGTCCATTCGAGTCTCTGACATCCAGGCTTACGCCACTCGTTTCAAGCAACGCACTAACTATTTCATGATGACCATTCCGTGAAGCCCAAGATAGGAGTGTGGATCCATCAGCACCTCTAGAATCTGGATTGACGTTGCTTATAGCTAATAGTAGCCTCGCTATCGCACTATGGCCATTCCGTGCCGCCCAGGATAGGGGCGTATATCCACCAGCACTCTTAGCATCGAGATCAACGTTTCCAATGGTCAATAATCGCTTGAATACCATAGTATGACCATTTCGTGCTGCTACATAAAGGGGTGCAAATCCATCAAAGTCCTTAGTGCTAGGGTCTATAGCAGCGGCGATCAAAAGATCGACTATTGTCTCATGGCCGAGCTCGGCGGCCACAGATAAGGCAGTCTCACCTTTCGAGTTTTGGATTTCCGGGCGGATGCTCTCCGCATTCAGCAGAAGCTTAGTGACCCATTCGTGGTCGAGTTCTGCCGCTACGATCAGAGCTGTCTCTCCCCAATAATTCTGAAAGTTTGGATCGACTCCTGCCGAAAGTAGCAGCTTAGCAACAGCATCATGTCCATTTCGAGAAGCGAGTAACAGTGGCGTCTGGTAATCCCAGTCTTCGACTTCTGTTTCCACGCCAGGCGCGGCAAGTAATAGCTTAACGACTGATTCGTGCCCCTTTTAAGCGGCTAATAGCAATGCTGTCTGACCATTCCAACCTTCTTCGCGGTAATTAGGGTCAACTCCCTTGCTAAGCATAATTTGAACAATTTCCTCGTGTCCACTTCGTGCTGCTAGCGACAATGGATGCGGGACATCTAGATCGCAGGTCTGGGCTCCTATTGTGGAAAGTAGCAGTCTAACTACAGCTACATAACCATGATCAGAAGCAAAAAGAAGTGGCTCTGTTCCAGAAGTAAAACTTTTAATGAAGCTTCGCAAAGTCTTGTTGAGTTTATCAATTTATTCCGGCTTCCATGAAGCAGCAGATTGAAGGTGAGATCCATCTATCTTTCCTCCGAAGTCGGTACCTATAGAAGCAAATATGTTGTCAAGAAGTCTAAATATACAAGAATCTAAACGTTCATTTGAAGGTGCCGTGTTATCGAGAAAAGCAAGAATCAGCTTTGCAGCTTCGGCGCACTCCCACGGGGATGTTTCAAGGTTTCTCAAAACTTCCCTTGCTAAGTCGAATGTTTCTAGGGCAAGATGGTAGTGGTTTTCATGACTAGCCATATCTGTAATATTGTGGCTTGTTGAAAAAAGATAGATAGAGGTGGAAGGAGTAGAAAAATGGGAGACAGTGCGTTAATGGTGACTATTCATCTTATATTAAATGAGTCAAAAGCGGGAGGGGCTAACTAACGCTTTGGTAAAAGACGCGTGGCTCAAGTGGCGGCGTGGTTGAAAAGTGGGCTCGCTTGAATCATACTCAAATGATTAGACGAGTCCACCATTCTGATCGATTCGATAATTTACTTAGAAGAAAATTGTGTTTAAAACCCAAATATCAAAGCACTATTTTGGAAAAAAGTGGTTTCATATCTACGCAATTTCCTATATGACTATTCATTATCTAAGTACCTAAGTATGACATTCGGTATCTAGATAGCAACTAGCTAGAACCAGTCAGCCACGACAGCGCCGTGCTTTTGCCCTTAAACCGTCCACAGAAAGAATAAGTTTTCCTGGTGATGCACGGGCTCTCCTCAAGTGGGTATACAACAATCTTCCTTAAATTTCCCTTGTCACATGAATGATGCGGCCATATCTCCATCTCTAACCACCAGATTCCCGATGGGTTTTCAAACTGCACACTCGCAAACGCTTGGCTATAGCTTTGACACGTCCCAGCGTACTTTACTTGGAAATCATCACTAGCACATGCGCTATAGTCAGATAGGTATGCCCAGTAGTGAGAAAAAGATGTCACAAAAGCGTGTTGCACATTTGCTATGTATCTCTCTTTTATCTACATAACAAACTCAATAAAGAGTACTATTTACTTCTCACATATTCTAGTATTGCAGCTATAAAAATCTTCATGAAATGGACCTTTCCTATCACCAGGAACGTAGTCTGTTCTTCCAACTACCGCAAGAGCTGCGAGATCTGATTTACAGCTACATCTTTTTCAACGCCAGAATCTCGCATGGTTCAAAAGAAAAGAGAAGAAAGAAAGTTTTAACAATCATTCTCTCCGAATGCCCTCTCATTGTTGAGAATCTGTCGTTCAAGAGCCGGAATTGGAGAGAGCTCGCTTAGCCAAGTCCTGTTCAGTTTTGAAGACATCAAAACCATGATTGAAAAACTGACTGCAATTCCTCTGGCAACAGTATCAAGAATTCGCCATTTACAAACTAGAGGGGGAGATTTTGATGCTTTTCTGGCCTGATGAGGATGTCTTTTACCGCTTAGTCAACGCTCTAAAGTTTTTGCCGAGTTTCCAACTTGACCCCCTAATAGTTCTTAATTTAGATGATAAAGCAGTCGGCTATATTAACCTGGGCTCTCTCATAAAGTATGGTGATGAGTGGAAGGAGCTGCGATATATCTCACACGGTTCAGCACTACTTGGCTTCTTGAAACAACGTTTTGTTTTCCGCGACGAGAATTTCCACGCTGCGAGTTCAAATAAGTGGTATCAGCGCAAGCTACAGCCAGCCTATTAGGGTATTACTATGAACATTTGATATGGGATTGATAGTCAACCATCGGTTACTATCTATCGATCTACTCTAGCAGGAAAGGCTTCTGGTTAATAAAGCAACACGTGTGCGCTTTAGGCAGAAAATACCAAGAGAAAGTGAATAAGTAATCTTTGGAACATAGGTATATGCTTCCATCATGTCCCCTTAGGGTGACAAATAAGGAAGGAGTTTCTGGTCATGGTGAAACGTGGAAAATGTGTTAACTATCGAGAGAAGCAATACTCACCCTATCTACCTATAGATATTGGTGACATCCGCCAAGAAGACTGTCTTGGCATGATCTGGACAGAAATTAAAAAGGAGCTCATTGATATTAAGGATGAGGATTCTGGTTATGACCTTGACACCAACTATTATTATCCAAATGAGGTGGACAGTTACCAGCACGTTGATGAGTATGAATGGATGCCATTGAACTTTGATAGCAGAATCTGAGAATATGAGAAATAGGATATTGTTGAACACATGATTGAAACCATGGTTCATAGAGTAGCTGCCTAGGTGCTATCATCGCTAATGACGGTTGGCAAACTGAGTACTAGTTAAAATAAAATTGATCTTCGGATTCCCCTGGTTTCTCACTGAATGCTAATAATTTAGTACTCAAAAATCTGATCATAACTCCATCTGGTTTTACTAATTACGAATATACACATATCGAAGTTATCTCGCCATTTGCTACATTCTGCCTAGTTTATCACGTGAGGGAAATAAGCTGTCACCTTTAGAAGAGAGAGGAACCAAATCTCATAGAAATCAATGAATGAATTATAACTATGTGTATATGTGTGTAGGTAATTACTAAAGGAGCAGGTCAACTCCCACAATCGGAATGCTGACTAACTAACTGAAACTAAATCAAGTACGGAACCAATTGTGGTCTATTCTTTGACTGAAATTTCTCAGTGAGCCTGACCCTAAGCACCCTCAATAAAGCGCCGGCACCTGAAATATGAAGCCCCACCCTTGATAGAAGAAACTGTACGTAAAGCTTTCTAGGTATGTAAGGTGGTATTTTGGGTATCATATCATGTAAATAGATCAAGAGAATGAGGCGAGTGGGGTGTCTAGATGCTAGAGAGCATAGGAGCCCTAAAGGGTCCACATCAGCCTGCTGCCGTTACTAATATCATGTAGGAATATTATGTGATTTGTAAAAAGAAAGAGACAGAGAAATCTCTCAAACTCCAAGTTTTCATTGGGGGCAGGAGAAAGGCTCAGGAACGACGCTCTAGGGTTTGGAAAGGCCCTCTACTCGAGTGACAGGAGTCTTGAAAGTAAAGCAGGCAGCTGATCCAAATCCGCCTGCCACTGATTGGGAGTCCCAACGTATCTTGGTCCTTAACCATATGTATAACTGCCTATGAGATCCTAGACCCCAAATGGTGAAGCGTGAGTGGGGACTGATACAGTCTGGATCAACCACTAAACCCTACAAGATCAAATTATTATCTACAAGGCTACAATTTGAAAAAGATCTGGGCCAAAAGGACTGAAGAATATGATAAGAAAGACTACTCCGTAGTATCGGTATCCATGGAACCCCGATCCCGATCCCCCACAATGTGGTGATCAATCCATGGATAAGTCATGCACAGAACAATGAATGAAATGCTGCAGAACTTCTTACCTTGTTCAGACTGGTCCTTTTTACTTGTATTGTGTTCTGCAACTGATCACATTTCTTGATTTTGATCTCTCATATACTGCCTTCTTATTGGTCAGGTGACTTTCTAAGCGCTGGTCTTTCTTCACACAATGGAAGCGCCAACTTCTCTTGAAACATAAAGGCCCCTGTGGATGCACCGGAGAAACAGAAAAGGATCAGAAGGGCTATAAATCATAACTAATCCACTTCTGACCAACTGACGTGATGTTTCTATATTTTTCCACTTTCGGCCCCTTCAAATCTTGCGATACCACCGCCACCGTGTGGATGACCTGCCTGGCTTATTGGGGCGGAAACATGGCATCTCGGTCAGCCTGCAATTCCAATGCGGGGAGATTCTGAGAGAAAATCTCTTTGTTAAGAACTGCTTTCTTTGCTGTGTTTCATCTTTTCATGGACTTCTTCAGACCTCCCGGCATAATACCCGGCAACTCTGCACGGACGAGGGTTTGATCTAATCCTCAACCTCGACATGTTGGAAGACTCGAGTGAATCTGATTCCCCATTCATGGCTGGCTTTGGGGTGCCGCCTTGGACAGAAAATTCACCGCATATCGAAGCTGTCACTTCAATCATCACCGAAACAGCCCGTCCGATTGTGTTGTCTACTGAGATTGTTAGCTTAATAGGCTCGACTGTGACTCTTTCAGAGACAGAACAGTCCCAAACGCAGGCCAAGACTACGACGAAATCTGTTCAGTCAGTTCAATCTGCTCAGCCAGTTCAATCTCAGCCAGTTCAATCTCCTCCGCTAGTTCAATCTCAGCCAGCTCAATCAGGGACTACTCAGTCATCAGCGGCTTCATTGCAGGCATCTTCATCACGTTCATCGAATGTTCGCACATCTCAGAGTGTTAAATCACGGACTACTCAACAATGGAGCTCTACTGCAACACCTCATGTATCCACTACATTTCAGACTACATTTCAGCCCACGAAAGTCCTAACTACCCCTCCATATTCATCGTCTTACCTGGATATTACGAGAGAATCTATCGTTCCGGTACTTCTAAATTCAATGAGCTTCCTACTACCTGGAGCGTCACAAATCACATCAAGTATACCGGACAATTTCAAAAGCTCAAGTATTCGACAAACCACAGCATCTCCGACTTCATCGTCCTCAGCCTCCTCATTTGCTCCAACTACTACATCGTCAATTGCCACGCCCATCGGCACTATTGCAGGCGATTCAACATCTGCAAAATCAAAAACCGGATCTACACATATAGGTGCGATTGTGGGTGGCTCTGTCAGCGGTGCAGCATGCATAGCTTTCTTCCTCTTACTATGCCTCATGTTCATTCGTCGTAGGCGGCGAACGCCCGATCATAAACGACACAACAGTCTACAAAGACTGATGCGTAAGGAATCAATAAGCTCCATTCCGAGTTTCCTTGACCACAGCTCCCATGATCGCAAACCATCACTCCCAATAAGGAGTTTATCTGAAGAGATTCCATCTGCACCCTTCTTCTCCACTCAGAGAAGATACCCTCATCCAGCCAATATCCACATGCATCCGGCTCTGTCACCCTCGGTCTCTCTCGATAGAATATCCCCCACCCGCAACGACATGTATGGTTTCTCTACAAATCCTTCTGTGGATGCAGTACATGATCCCCCCTCTCCGATCATCCACATTTCCCCGCCGTCAAGATCTGCTTCTATCCACTCTTATTCATCATGGGAGGATGCGATTCTAGATCATTACGAAACCCCCTCGCCGAGCATACTCTCAATTCCGCATCACCCAAGTCAGAGTACATTGAATCTCCCAGGCTACAGCTTTGAGGGATCTCAGTATCTTGGCACGCCACCAATTGAAGATAGCCGGCATAGCAATCCTTTCGACTTAGAACCGCCACCTCATGCTTTGCATAAAGGAGAACCATTACCTCCTCATCCGCTGGCGCAGGGTCTTTCATTTTAAATATTTCTTCCTTTAGATCTTCCTTCCTTTCTTGACTGTTCTTTGTCTTACTTCTTTTTACTCCTTCTTTATTCTGTCATTCAATACCCTTGGAGTTTTTGGGTTTTCGAATGACTTCGGGTACACGTCCCCGTTGTATGAGAGAAATAATTTTATCAACGACTGTATATGATTGATGTTTTGAGACTTGAATAAGGAATTCAAATGCTTACAGAGAAATGCTATCGCCTTTACTGGTTCTCGATCCTTTTTACAAGCTATGATAAATCTTATCATCCTAGGATGTTTACTAGAATCAAATTGCAAGATTATTCAAGCTAAATTGAGGTTACTTCCCAAGATACGCTGCCTCGAAATAATTGAAGACACGCAATTTCGCCACCAAATTCGTTTCAAGGGTAAAAACTGAAGCTAGAAATAGAGGAGATCAAAAAAATCTCAGGAAAAATTCAGTTTCTAGTGTACCTCAGATCTGGGGCTGATCCTTGGGGGTGAGGCTTTATTGACTAGAGACCTATAAAACTTGTATGACAGTTTTGTTTTACCGAGAGTCAGTCTCGAACCCAAGTCAGCGGTTGGCAGCTTTATTGGCATTAACCACTAGACTATAGTGTGTTGTGGATATAGTGGTAGCCAGTTTTTATCATTATAACCCTGCACCTGCGACCACTTATGTACTTCGGAAAAGCCGCGGTCAGGAGTCACAAATTGAGTTGTTCGCGTCATCAACTGAAGTATCAATATATTGCCTAATTGGGACGAGTGATTTGGAAGTATGATCTAGACAAACACTACGTAAGTGATGGGCATCTGAGCTAATTATTTGGTCATCTCGCTTGCCCAACAATCCTTTAAATACCTTCTCTTCCCACATTTTTCTTTCCTTCTCTTTCTTTTTTCAACTTTTTCTTTATTTTGTCCTATCGTCACCCCTTGGGACCGGGTCTTTTTCATTATATTTCGTCCTTCTAAGTCCCTACACCGGGCAGGAGAGTTAGCTCCTCGAGACAAATATGATGAGAACCAGTATATGCTGGACAGGTTGGGAGCAAGCCTCCGTACCTAAGCTAGAACTGATCAATACTGCGCTGATGTCTCAGAATTGCTTCTCTTTCCTGCCACCATTACCCATGTGACGAAGTGAGATGGATGATATCGCCTCTCTTCTGATGGTATCTCTATTTCTTGTTCCCCATTACCCTTGTCTGTTTATTCTGAATCCTTGAGCTTTTATTTTTTGCTTTCTGCCTATGAGCTGTATCATTAGTGCAGCTCTGTGTGTCGTAATTTGTCATTTTGTATCGTTTGGTATAAGATGACTCTAGTCAGTACCACATCAATCTTTCCTCCAATTCACTCTTCTCCAAGTTTCCCCATTTTCTTCCAATTCCAATTTTGAGATCAAATTTCATTTTTATTTATCACTCTCCATCATATTAGGAACCTGGTTATGGATCATCCACTCCACCTTCCATCTGTCTTCATCCCCTTCTAAGTCCCTGACTCACGGGCATTAACCCTCATATATGTGACTTACCATCAAACCACTCCATTCTCTTTCAAGTCCCTGACTCCATGTGCTTATCTTTACCTTACGTAATGTAATTTATTATGTGGTCGATCCAGATAAGACAAGAACTGGCGAGACTTCAAAATCCAACAACATAAGGAACTGGATGCCGCCATTATTTTTTCCTTGCACGGCTACAATCCGATATTCAGCAGTCACTGGCTTCACTGAACAATGCTTCATTATAAACAAGGTATACAACTTACTCATTTATCTAACATAACAAGTCGTTTAGGTCAAATCAAGCAATTTCTCTCCTCTTTTTGCTCCTATTGCTCCTCCTTCTCCTCTCACTCTCATCTGATCAATGATAGATAAGTCAAACAAATGACGAGGTAATTGTGATGCATCATTCTACTCTTCTTCCAGCATTTCAAAATTATTGCGGCTATACCCATCCTTGACATTGACTCGGTTATTTATTACGGCGGTACCTCTCTTATATGATATGACTCGTTTATCATTTCACCTTGTCACACTTGGAAGGAATGACAACCTTTCCTCATCCTCTTTATTCGCATCTATGTCAACAGTTTCAAATGTTATCTCTGCCAGGAACTGAGACTGATACTTCATGAGACCTGACGTCGTAATGGTGTACATGAGCTTTTACAAGTTTATTCAAACGATACCGATTACATTTATTTCGAAATCGGCTTGATCAATACATATAGTAACTCTGTTTTAGGCCCACCGCCAAAGCCCCAGCGCAGAGAAAGGCAGATCAAAGAATACGGTGAGTGGCTTGCATCAAATTGATCAGATGATATTTCCCTTGAAGCTGCATTTCGACAATGGTGTGATATAACGCTTTTAGATAGGCTTCGAACTTCAGCACATCTAGATCACAACCTAGAATTCTTCATTGATACGGGAAATAAGCCCAGAATTGCTCGAAGTTTTGTAGAGAATATCTACGACTGGTTTGACTAGGTTGAAAGTGTGTAGAAAGGGATGTCTGTTCTTGAAATATCGTAGAAGAACGTCCAACAGGTTTGTTTCTCGAAAATGCCTCTTTCATCTCCCGTCGTGTCCAGGAAAGATTTACGATGTGTGTATTGGTCAAGCTGATTTCGAGCTTGACTGTCCAAGTATCTTGCCACTCTATGGAGGAATATTCCAAATTCTACAGGTTCGACAATCCGGCTCATCACCCTTCTCCATAATAGAGTCGAAACACCAAAAAAGCGTATTTACTCGGTTTGGTGATTTCTGCCAAGGTTCCTGCTTTGTTCCTCAATCATATTTGCCATATGTCTAGTTTATTTTTGCATGCTTACAATTTATAGCGTTCAGGATGGCGTTGTTATTGGAAAGGCAGGGACCAGTTGCGGAGAGCGATTCACTGAAGATTACTGTAGTCAGTAGCTGGGCTCTGTCTATATCCAGGGCTGTACCTAGGTATAACTCAAAATCGGAACTGTGGCGAGCTACTACTTGGGCAGTAATCCCTTAGTTCCTTACATAAAACTGAATGTACCTAGGTAGATGTCAAGTCAAAAGAATGATATAACTTTTAACATGAAGAGTCAACTCTAGGTACCATAGGTACCCGTGGACATCCATGATGGCACTTGAAACTGAATGGACCGCGATCTCGTTGTCTAGGTGGTACAGTTGAGATGGCCTTGTAACTGTGCAAGTCATGTTATGCTCTCCTTGGCACAGGGATGCTGTTGTAGCATATCCAGGTAGTATGGGTTCCATGCACCGTGCAACCATGAGAAGGTATCAAGGAAAACTTAGATACCGGCTCAAAGTTATACGGCAGTCCAGGTAATTAGATGCTTGGGAGGTTACAGTCGAATCCAAGAATGAAAGGGTGGTGAGAAACATGCTACTGGCAGGAAAGAGAAGCCGGATATTGATTCATTATGGTGACGTTATCTCAGTTTCAAGTTGAATCTTTTTTATTTTCCACGAGGAAACCGCTTTCCAAGCTCCGCACCGCCGAACGAGAAAAACCTTAAACAACGAAATTGGTTTTTAGAAGAATTTACTCCTCAGTCTCGCCGACCAGAGCGTTGCGCTTGGCCTCAACACGCTCTGCCCGACGCTCACGGAGAGCCTTGTTCTTGGCACGCTTAGCGTCCATCTCCTCCTTGAGGATGCGCTCACGTTGGCGCTCAGCCTTAGCCTTCTGGATCTGTATGAAAGAAAATATAAAGTCAGTTGATTGTTTCGTAGTCTCGAGATCGTAAAGGAAATGGATATGTTGCATATGCTGATCATGTAGGGATGTATTGGAGATTTCCATCAGAGGATTGACTTACGTGCTCAACCAGAGCACGCTTGTGCTTGAAGGTGTTACCCTTGCTCAGGTGGTAGAGCTCGTGGTAAAGGTGCTTGTCGATCTTGCCGGCGGCACGGTAGCGGACGAGCAAACGACGGAGCACACGCATGCGGCGCATCCAGAGAATCTGGCTGGGCATACGGGCGTTGGCTGTACCCTTGCGCTTACCCAGACCGCGGTGACGACCGATCCGGCGGGCCTCGTTGAGCTCACGAGCACGGGCACGGGAGTGCATGGTAACAGGCTTGCGGATGATGAGGCCATCGCTGACGAGCTTGCGGATAGTCTGACGGGAGTTGGCGTTGGAGATCTCGCTCATCTCATTGGGGTCGAGCCAAATCTTGCGCTTGCCGCAGCCGACCACGGAGGCGGCGAGGCGCTTCTGGGTGCGAAGGTTGACCCTGATGCGTTAAAAAACCAAACGTCAGCCTCTATTGCACACAAATTCATGTTTTCGAGATCATGTCGCCCCCTCCTCCACTGCGTTCTCTCTCCACACAAAGTAATCGGATTTCGAGGACAATCAAATTGATGGTGTATAAATTCTCTCGGTATGTAAATTGCAGGTAGCACTCACATCTTGATGTCGGCGTATCGACGGTCGTTGGCGGATGCAGGTGTTCGTTGCGTCTCGACGGGAAATCAGACAGTGAGAAGTTGGGCGGGCCGATTAGCTAATGTGCCGTAAGCGAGTTGTCCACTTAGGGCTGCACCCCAAGCCCTAATCTCTTTTGGGAAATTTTACTGGCTAGCGCCGGAATCTGGGGAATTATGATTTGGTGAGCTTGACCTGGAGTCTCCACTCTAATCTAATCCTTTTGTTATCGTCAAAGTCTCGAAATATCGAATTTGAAGCATGATCATGTGACCTTGAGTCTTTCGATGGTCACATGATAAATATGTACTACCCATTTAGGCAAGTCATCTATAAAGAAAAATCTTTCCGCTCAAAATGTAATATTGATTACGAATATTTAACCCTTATAAACTTTTTTCAGAATTAAACAGAAAATATAACAACATAAGCCCAAGGGATTATCTATTGGTAGACTGCCATCTTGGGATGCAATAATCTATCTCTTCACTAATCCTCAGCGAATGCGTCACTTCCCAGGTCCACCTTACCAATACTCCACACCTCCTTCTCATCCTCTATCTCATCGTTAGACAAGCCCAGACCACCTTCGCCACCTTCAGCAGTGCGGCGCTCACGGGCCTGGTTAGCAAGACGCATGGCCACACGCTTGAAGTAGTCGCCCATGCTGCGTTTCGGGAGAGGCGGCAGGGATGCACCGGGACCGGCCATGTACTTGTCGAAAACTTCGCTGTCACAGTCAACCACCGAGAAGATGGAGAGGAAAGCAGCCTCTGCAGCCAGCTTCACGGGGATGACCACGTCACGTACGCTAGCAAATATTGGCGGTGCCAACAGAGCCAGGTGAGCGCGAGTCATCTCGGGGTGGAGACGGCTGATAGTTCTGATGACCACCAGCGTCAATCGGCGAACATCAACCGGGTTACCGAGTGGGATGACAAGCGCCAGTGCCTCGAAAATGGCTTTGAGTGTCTCGAAGCTGTGGTTGCCATCTTCAGACAAAAGGAACTTTCCAGCGGCGAGAACGCTGTTCTCGGCGACGAAAGGCTATCGATGTTGTTAGCAGGTGCCTAATACAAAAAATTAGAGAAATTCAACATACATCACTGTCTGCAATGCCTTGGCAGATGACTGAAGGTGTCTCAGTAGAGAAGTGCTCCAGCAGCGTGTCGGGTGATTCGACCAAGAGAGCGTTCAAGCCGAGAACAGAAGAGTGCGCCAGTTTTCCGGTAAGAATGCGGTTCCTGGGTGAAGTGTGTTAGTACTTATTAACGAGAACTGACTTAAGAGGAAAAAAAAAACACACTTGATAAGAGGAATGGCAGATTCAGCGGGAAGAACCTTGACGAGTACACCAAGTAAGCGGGCATTGGTGATTGCAACAGAGTCTGAATTTCTCTTCATTAGTTTGGTATCATCAAATAATGGGCAGCTCACTTACCGGTCTGATCACTGGCATCATCATCTATCAAAGCCAGTAGAGCTGTCCGAGATGCCTCGCTCATGTTAGCACCAGCCTTACCAACCACCTCCTGGAGAGCCTTCATCATGGCATTTCTAACACCGAGATCAGGGGTCTTTGATCCGGCAATAAGTTCTATGTTAATATGTTAGCAAGCTGCTCGAGTTGTAACATGTTCAATATGCGTAACTGACCTGCAACAAGAGGATCGACTCTGGGGGTCAACGTAATCAAGATACCAAGACCCTTGGCTGCACGGTTGCGCAGAGTCTCACTAGTCGTATCAGCCAAACCACGGGCAAATGTCCGCTGAAGCTGGGGCAGGAAGGGCTTGACAGCCAAAGGAATCTTCTCCAGCAGTTTGTTAAGAGTGTAGAAGATAGCACCTAGATATGTAGCGTCAGCATCTGAAATATCGACATGGGTAGAGATAAAGCTTACATTTGATGTCAACTGACCGCTCGGACACAACACGGATCAGTGGACCAGTGATCTGTGTGACAAAAGGCTTGAGCGAGTTTGCATTTGTACGGTCGATAATGTCGGAAATGGCAAGAGCCGACTGGGTACGCTGCTCAGCGGTACCATTGAGCAAACCTTGCAAGAAAATTGGCAAAATAGACATGATACCCTTTGGCAGGCTGAAACCAGGGAGGTCTGCGCCCGGCACACCAACTTGCCGCAGCATCTGGCGCGCCGGGACGGCCAGAACCTCCATCTCCTCCTTGCGCATGTGGGATGTGAGACCGCTGAGGGCGGTCCACACTGCCTTGACGACTTGTGGGTCGCGGTCATCGAAAGAAACCAGCAGAACACGAATCAAGTCTGGGTAGTAACGCGAGAAGTCAAGATCGGCATCCGAGAAGAACTTGTTGAGATGGAGAGCGGCCTTAGCCCGGCGATGATGATCATCGTGCTTGACAAGCCCGATCATCACGTTCATTGCGACGTTCAAACCATCATACTCATCGACAGAGACCAATACGGTATCGAAGGCATTGGCGAGCTCTTCCTGGAGTCCCTCATCGGTGGTCTCAATCATACCATCCATAAGAGTGTTAAGGATGTTAGGCAATCTCCTTGTCATTGCTCCACCCGCAACCTCGGCCAAAGAGGCCAAAGCCCTAGCATTGAAAGCAGAAACAGGCGGGGTAAGTAGTGTTGGGATGAGGTTCGGCAGGATAATGTTAGCACGAGTCTGCTCCGTTAGGAGGGTCAGCAGGGCAGACAACGCCTGTTCAGCCTCATCATCGTTTCTCAGCAAGTGAAGAAGGTAAGGCAGAACTTGATCGACAGCCTTCTTGCCCAGAATCTGTTGTAGAGAATCAAAGGCTTCGGCGGCTGCTTCTCGCACATCCTCATCTGCATCGACCAAAGCGACGCGAACTGTAGAGATAAGGACCTTTTCATAATCCTCCACAGCATCTTCAGTGGCAGAACTGATAAGCTCGCGGAGAGCGATACAGATACCCTGCTTGACATCCACATCAGGCGAGGTCTGGAGACCCTCCTCAAGCAAGGGCAACAAGGTGGCAAGCACCGACTCTCCAGCCTTCTTGATGAGGTCGCCAAGGGCGTTGCTGGCAATAACCTTCTGCTCCATGTTGGAGGATCCGAGGCGACGGATGATGAGCTGAGAAAGGGTCGGCAACATGTCCTTGAGGGTTCGGGGAGAGGCGACCAAAGCCTTCCACACGCCCAAGGCAGCAGTTCTGACCAAGCCCGAAGTATCGCAGCGACAGATGAACAGGGCCGAAAGGACCTTGTCTCTCCGTTCTTCTCCAAGCACTTCGAGCAGAGATTGGCCAGCCTGTGTGGCTTCTTCCTCCTCTTCGTCGGCCTCCGACTTGCCGGAAATACCAGTAAGACTGAAGAGGAGATCTCCAACCAGTTCAACGGAGCTGAGACGGATACGGTAACTGTCGTCGGCAAGACCACGCTCCAATTCGGGAAGCAGGAGATCAATGGCTTTGGTAGCAAAGTTCTTGACCAGGAGACGACCAGCCCGGAGGGAAGTTTCACGGATTGACTCAATATCATCAGCCAAGCCAGCCAGGATAGGCGGAATAATCTTGCTGAGATAATTGGCGAAGCTGTTACCAAAGCAAGCGGGCAAGTAAATGAAGAGGGTCATGAAGCCTTCACGAACAGCAGGCTTCGAGCTGGAAACGTTTTGAAGAATGGTAGGCAGTGTCTCCTCGAGTCTGGTGGTACCCAGACCCGCAAGGACCTCCGCGAGAGCTTGAGCCGATCCCAGTCTGTCGCCAGCACCAGTGTCTGACTTAAGGGTTGCCATGAGGTTGGGAATAAGGTCTGGTAGAGCGTCCTCTCCAAGCTTCTCGATAAGCGAACCCAGAGCCTTCGAAGCGGTAGCACGTGTAGTGGGAACTGGATCGACAATCGCCATATTCAAACCAGCGATAATGATAGGCAAGTGTGAAATAAGGTCCTTGCGCTCTGTAAGATGGGCCAAGCTGCCGATAATCTGTGCAGACTTGCGCTTTGTAGCTGAACGGTCACCAAGACCACGCTCGAGAATACGAACAACCAGTGCCAGAGATGGGGCATCCAGATAGTGAACAAACGAAACCTTGATGAGAGAATCTAGGGCTTCATCCGTGTACTTGGTCGGGTCACTGAGGGCCTTCAGAAGAACGTTAACCAGGCTCTTGACTTCAGGGTTGCTAATGACCTCTCCGAATCTTTGGAGACTACGGTTTGCAGCGTTGCGGACTTCCTTGTGCGTGTCATTAAGGACCTCTGTAAGCGGGGGAATAATTTCGGTCAGACTAGCCGCAAGCTGTTGAGGGTCAAGGTAAGCCATGGCACCCAGCAACTCGCAAGCTCCCTTTTGACTGCGCCATTGTGTATCGTCCAAACCGTCAAGAAGGGTAGGAAGAATCTTTTTCACGCCATATGAGCTGAGGTTCTGGAAGCAAGCCTTTGATGCATCCAAGCATGCATCACGAACATCAATGCTGGGATCGCCGAAGCCTCCAAGCAGTTGAGGAACAATTTGAATGACGTATGGCTCAAAGGTACGTCCAAGAACAAAAGCAAACAATTCGTAAGCCAGGAAAGTACCTTGTCGGTGATGAGACTCCTTCTTGTTCTCGGTAGCCTCCTTGAGTAAACTCATGATGCGGAATTCACGGAGAGTCGAAATACCCTTTCCTTTCACAATTCCGGCCAGACCATAGGCAGCACCGCGCTGGGTGGCATAGTTCTTGACGTTAAGCAACTGGTCGAGCATCTCTTGCACATAGTCAGCCGTACTCGGACCAGAGAGTCTGATCAATGGCGGCAGACACTCTGAAACAGCGGATTGCACCGATTCAGAGGGAGTAGGAAGTGTAGCAAGGAGCTTCTTGACAACGACCTGCAGCCGAGGATCATCGGCCTTCAAGTGTCTTGCTAGAGATCCGTAAAGCACGACAACGGCCTCGTTCAGCAGATCGGAGCTCTGAGTAGCTTTGTCAGAGGTTTCCAGGGTTGTTTCAAGCAGCTTCATAAGCTCCTCGACCTTCAACTGGCCTCGTTGAGCGATTACAGACTTTCCACTTTCTGCCATTTGAGATCGGACAGCAGAGCTCTTGTCAACCAGGGGGCCACGTTCAATGAGGAATCGCAAGAAAGAGATAATCTGTTCCCCATCAAACAGGCCAGTGATAGCATTGAAGGCCAGTGCGACACCGCTGCGACTTTCCCAGTTGTCGGTGTTTTCCACTTTCTTGGGCATGCCGTAGGCATCCTTTTCGGGTGCCTTCGGCTTGACATCCTCTGCATACTTCGCTTGAAGTTGAGATAGAATGTCAGCGAATTTGCCTTTGTCAAGCTCAACTGCGTGGGCCAAAGCACGAGCGGCAGCACCTCGAAGTTGGGTGTCCTTGGAGTCAAGATACTTCATGATTTTTGTAAATGCAGAGTCATCGACTTCGAGTGCATTCACTTCCCAGATGGTTTCTGCGATCTCTACATTTTCCTCGACATTGTCGTGGCAGCCCAGCCAGATGTATTCCGAGAAGTCAAGGTCAGTCAAATCAATCTCATCTTCAATGACCTGAAGTACAGAGGTCCGAACAGATGAATCGGGAACGATGGAACCTTGCAAGAGGGTCTCCAGCTCCGCGGGGCTGATGTTGGGTGATATGCATCGGCAGAAATCGAACATAGTGTCTTTGATCAGCTTGTAGTGGGTAGTATATCTTTGCATGGCAGAAAGAAGTTGCTGAATAACTTCAATACGAGGAAGGCGGGTATCGGAGAAGGAGCTAGAATGGAAGGACAAGAACTCGAGGGCAAGCAGAACCTGCTCGCCTTCTTGTTCTCCCTTGACCTCTTCAATACCGTTACGTGACAGGATGATGGAAATCAATGGGAAGATATAGGCCAGAGATGGAATATCAAGGGGCCGTTGTTCCGATGCGAATCGCAAGCGGTACAAAATTCTTGTCACAAGCTCTCCAAGATGCTCCAACTCCATGGACGCTGGCAAATTAGTATTACCAATAGCTCGCAGAGTTGCCACACCTATGAAGGGCCTAATACCTCCGAGACGCGAAGATAATTCGTTCGCACAGACGACATACGCTTGGGATACGACATCACCAACGAACAGTCCAGCACCAGCCCGGGCAAGAGAGAGCAAACAACTGACAGCGGTGTTGATCCAGCCCTCAGGATCGTTAGCAGGTCCAGTTGCGAGGCCTCGAATAAGGCCAGCACCTCGCTCGATCCGCTTCACTTCTTGCAGAACATCTGCTCTAATCTTGGCTTCTTTCGCAAGTTGTGCGCTGACCTTGGATTGTTCTTCGCCAGTCAGTTTCTTCGCCTTCTGTCCCTTCTTCTCTGCCAATTGCGCTCTGAGTTCTTCCTCCCACTTCAGAGTATCATAATCCTTAGTGCTCTTGTTGAAGGTAGGCTGCTTCGACTTACTACTGAGCACATCAACGAAGGCAGTACCCTCAGGTGTTCGAGAAATGGCAGCATCAGTAGCAGTAAACTTTGAAAGACGAGCACCGTCTAGATCTTCTTTGATCTGATCGACAAGGCATGGAATCATAACATCGGGAGCCACAAAGGCCAGATCACCTGCAGCAGTCCACACGGCAGAATTGACATCCGGTACAGTGGATTGGATGGGGTCTTCATTGACACCTACTAATTGCTTGATACAATCAGCAGGATGGGCGCGAACAAGATTTCCAGGATCAGTCCCTGTTCTCAGACACAAGTCAATCCATGAAGCATTCGGAACCAACTCTTGTCGGCTAAGAACAATAATTTTGATTAGCAAATTTTCCAAGTTTTCAGATGCTTCCTTGGGGACTGAAGAGGGGCAGATCGCTTTCAGTACCAGATGAAGAAGACGCTCGCTTCCTGGCGCAGAGGCAGCGGCCGATTCTTTCTCGCCGGTACGGGATGCATGAATCCAAGCCCAGATGGCATTGACGATAACGCGTCCGAAAGATGCGACATCCTTCAAGTAAACTACACATAGTGTTTCGGCAGCACTTTCTCGGAATTTTGACGGCAGATTAGGTCCGGTGATCGCATAGATGAAGGCTTGGGCCCAGGCAATCTTAGCTGCGTCTTCAGCGCCAGCAAACTTCGGCCCAGAGGTCACAGCTGCGAGGGCTCTAACAAGCCACTGAATCTCTGCTTGGGAGCTCATTTTTGAGTAGGCCTTAGGGTTCAGAAGGAAAGATGGTTTAGCGCCTAAAGTCAAGGACTGAGAGACCTTTTCTTCCCAAGTGGCCCTGTCTGGCCCTTCGATGTTAGAGACCCGTTCAAACAGAGCCAAAAATACGTATGCAGATGACAATGCACCGCTCTGGGCTGAGGGAAGAGGGTTGGAGGCAACTTCAGTAAACATATCTTTCATCTTGGCGAGGAATTTGGTGACAAATGGTTCGATTTCGGCACTGTTCAGAGCCGCAATATCAGATTTCCAGAGCACTTCTCCAATATTGAGTTGCCAGACCTTTCGGAATGGGACTCGTTTGTCGGAAATGCCCTTGACGACGGTGTTAATAACGTCATCACTAACTTTGACATTGGACTGGACGAGGAAAGCGAGGTGCTTGCCAAAAGACCTGAGCTCCTCCTCCAAGGCAGGCTCATTTGACTCCCGAGAGAAGACAGGGCCGAACCCTTGTACGATCTCTTTCGAGGCTTCCACAGATGACGGAACAGCTGCAATCGCTTGTGCGTAAGCAACACGATGCTCAGGAGTTGTGATCTTATTTGTCTTCAGCGGACTCATGATTTCACTAGTAATCTTCAGAACCAAGGCCTCAGACTTGCAACGAGAGAGCAGAGATCTAAATGAAACAGCAGCACCCTGGCGAATAGCCGGGTTATTTGACTTCATGCTAGACAATAAATGCTTCGAAAGACGAGACTGTACCAACTCGGAGATGTCAATGTCTTCGGGCAAGGCTGCACAGAATGGTGGAATCACGCCTGTTAGAATCACCTCTGGTGCTCTCAGCATAGATTTCTCCATCGGAGGCACCAATTCAGTGCTCAACTCCTCCATTGTCACAAATGAACTGAAGAAGTCAGACAGTCCATCTGCCACGTGGGCAGGGACCGCAGACTTTGAGCTCACTATTTCCTTGATGTAAAAAGCAATTATGGATTTCTTAGACTCCTCGAGAATAGACTTCCTATCGGGCAATCGTGCGCAAACACCACAAATGACACCGAGCATCACCGCATTCTTAAATCCTGCCGCCGCATCTGTTGTCAACTGGCTGACTGACTGACGCACAGCGTCCTCACCCCATTTCTGGTTTGAGAATACTGCGCGCAGGGCACGCCTAGTCACCCGAACTGCAGATTGTCTCACTGGTATCTTTGGGCTATGAGCAAAGCAGTTCTCTAATGCCTTGGCATCTACAGCAATCAGATCGAGCACAATGGCTAAGGGCGTAGCCTTGTCTTCGCTGGCGTGCTGCAAAAGAACGCAGCACCACTCCACCAACACGAACCCATTGGTTGGGGCAAGACCAGGCTTGGCCGCCTCAATTTTGAGATTCTCAGTCAGGTATTTTAAGTGTTCGGTGGCGGATGGTGTCTGGAGGAGGGAGGTCAGACATTTTTGGACAGCATGTCGGGATGATCGGTCGACATAGAGAGGATATGTGTGGAAAAGGAGCGCTAGGATATCATGGTGAGTTTCCAAAGATAGGTCAGAGGCTAGAATAAGTATCAGTATGGTTATTTCTTTCCTAATAGGGCTGTGAGATACTTACCAATCTTGTCGCGAAGTTCTTGCAGGGCCCGGAGCCGGCGCGAGGTCGAACTCGAGAAGAGAGCGACCCGCAAGGCATCCAGATCCCCAGCCTTGACCTGTTCCCATGGAATACCTTCCATGATCGGTCAATACGGGGAAATGGGGGTGAAAGAAATGGGGTGAATCGGGTGAGAGAGAGAGATGAACCTCGGAATTTGATGGTGGGCTGTTTCGATGTCATTAATTGGTTTTTGTGTGGGTCCCGGTCTCCAGGCATCTCAAAAGCTCAGTACACAGTAGCTCAGCCAACTTTCCGCCAACCCACCTGGCTTTTTGATAAACTATTTTTAAACTTTGCGCTTCTTCTTGGTTTGATTACTGTGTGCAATTGAAACATATTGCCGGTTTTCCGGTCTCTCGTCTGCTTTTGCAGCCTTCCTGTCTTTACAATGCCGCCGAATAACAAGAAGAAGAAGAAGCCAGCTTCCAACCCCGCTCGTGGCTTTGCAACTGTCTCTATTCCATCTAAACCGAAGTCAGAGGTTATTGAAACACCTCCATCAACTGTTACAGAAGCCCTATCCACCCCGCAGAACGAATCGCTGCCCGAGCGCACAGAAGATCTCCCACCAGCTGCGGGCACGTCACAAGCTGATACCTCATCACAAAACTACACCCCGGAGGAAATTGAAAAGCACTTGGAAGAGGCGGAGCTACAAATCTTTGTTGAAAAGTACGCCGCCAAATGCAAGGGCGATGCTGCGCGTCAAGCTACAAAGCTGGATACCGAGCGGCGGGTCCTTCGACAACAGTCAAACACATTGAATCTCACTGAATGGCTGCCGGCAGAGATTCAAGACAGAATCTTTGAATTGTCTGGTGCGGAAGAATACGAATACATCACGTCGAATACTCGAAGCGCCAATCTCAAACAGGCAATCTCAGAGGAAGAACTTTGCATAAAGCTCTGGACATTGAAAGAGACGCTCCTCAAGCTCGGCTTCTCGGGAGACCAGGTTGAGGGCGCGTTGAAACACATCCTTTTGTACTTTGTAGGTAACCCTACGGTAGTCAGTCGAGAGGTTGTATGGAACCTCGATGAGTCGCTGGAATGGTTGGCGATGCATAGTGATAAGAAGGATCTTCCTTCTTATACCGAAACAAATTCCCGCCCTCAGAAAGATGAAGATTTAGTAACATCCTGGATGACCGGTAAGCATGGTTCTGAAGTTTCTGTTAGCACAAAGCGCTAACCCTCATTAGAATCGGAGCCATCGAATAAAACACAGAATGGTAACAACCAGCAAAAGCCAAAAGCTGACTGGAAAGCGTCCAAGGCCGCACCTCCACTAGTCTATGACTCGGACAGTTCAATTGATCCAGACACCATGGTTCCGGAATGGTTAGAGCTGCAAACCCGACTCTACGCCCTTAATCCGGATCTGTTTGATCGTCCAGTAAAGGGCAAAAAAGGCCGTGGAGTAGTCACTGTCCAAACTGATGCCAATGATCTGGAGATCGCCAAGCTGCAACACAAAATTTCAAAGATTGAACGCGATGTCATTTTCGAGCGTCAAGAAGCGGAATTTCTTTGGCAGGAAAAGCTTATCGATCTGAGAAAAGACGCAAATTTTCTGCGACGGAATGCGCTACCAAAGAAAGAAATTAAACCCGTGCCAGATCCAGAGGTTGATAATCCAGAATGGACAGTTCCATCAGTAGGAGAAATGGACGACCTTCTTGGTGACATGTTCAACAGTGAGGCGGACAACTACAAATCTCTTCCAACCTCTGCACCGGAGGCTAAATACACAATTCGTGATTTTGGAAAATGGACAGGTCTGACTCCACGGAGAGTGCTGGAAGAGGCCTGCAAGGCAAGAGACTCCGGATCCAAGGTTGTCTACAAAGACATATCCTCCTCGAGTCACCAAAACAGGAAGGCTGTTGAGGTGCGCTGGTCCAAGCATCAGGATCCCCCTCTCCAGCTTGTGGTGCAAGACATCACCCACAAGTCTAATGCTCTAGCCACTTTCGTTTCGATGGATACACTCGCGACGCCAAATCCCCAGCAGGCTGAGGGATACGTGTCGACTCTTGCTTTAGTCATTCTATTTCCCCAGAATTCTAAGGAAGGTAAAGCCTATCTGCGACTGCCTCCTGTGTGGAGAGATCTGTGGACAGAGCTTTCAAATTTGAAGAAGGCCCAGGAAGACGAGGTGGACATTGCCACCTCCAAGGAACTGAAGCGTCTGGTACAAGAAAACCAAGGCAGTCTTGAGGATGACATTGTCCTGTCTGATAACTTCAGGAAGAGAAACGGAGTTAGCAAGCCAGGAAGTCCCTCTAAAGGACCTACTCGTGATCAGCCCGCTGAGTATGATGAACGGCTGAGAGAAGCTTGGATAGAGAAGGCATCAACTCCATCTTACCAGCGCATGATGGAAGGCAGAATGAGCCTCCCAATCTGGAATTTCAAGGACGACATTCTGTCTACCCTGGATACCCATCGCGCCGTGATCATTTGCAGTGAAACGGGTAGTGGAAAGAGTACACAGATTCCATCCTACATCCTCGAGCACGAGATGCTTCATGGCCGGCCTTGTAAAGTCTATGTGACGGAGCCGCGTCGAATCTCAGCCATCTCGCTGGCTCGACGAGTCAGCGAAGAGATGGGTGAGAACAAAAACGATGTAGGAACCGTACGTTCTCTTGTCGGTTTTGCCGTTCGGCTGGAAAGCAAAACCAGCTTGTCGACCCGACTTTTCTATGCAACCACCGGTGTGGTAGTTCGCATGCTGGAGCGGCCTGATGACTTCCAGGACATCACCCACGTTGTCCTGGACGAGGTCCACGAGCGGACCATTGATAGCGATTTCCTGCTAGTTGTGCTTCGACGTTTGATGCAAAAGCGTCCCGACCTGAAACTCATCCTGATGTCGGCAACTCTTGATGCACAGCGCTTTTCCAATTATCTCGACGGGGTACCGATCTTGAACATCCCTGGCCGGACGTTCCCTGTTGAGATGAAGTACCTGGAAGATGCCGTAGAGATGACGAATTATCGGTTGTCAGAAGACAATTCATACTCCGTGCGGGAACGGGAAAATGACGACGAGACCGATGATGCTCCCGAAGACACTGTTGGACTTCAGGCTAGTCTTAAGGGGTACTCCAAGCAGACTCGTGAGACCATTGCCAAGTTGGACGAATACCGAATGGATTACCAGCTTATCAAAAGGCTGCTTCTTAAAATTGCTACCGCTCCAGAGATGGAACACTACAGCAAAGCCATCCTTGTCTTCATGCCTGGTCTGGCGGAAATCCGTCGTCTGAATGACGAGCTTCTTGCAGAGCCCACGTTCCAAAGGGACTGGATCGTCCATGCCCTTCACTCTTCGATTGCGAGTGAAGACCAAGAGAGGGCATTCAACGTACCTCCTGAAGGCGTGAGAAAGATCGTTATTGCCACAAACATCGCAGAGACAGGTTCGTAATTCGTTAGTTATTTTGGTGGTCTGGGACTAACTCCTCGAAAGGTATCACGATTCCAGATATCACCGCTGTCATTGATACAGGAAAGGAGAAGACGATGCGGTATGTTTTCGCAACTGTTCTTCACTCGGATGAGATATACTAACTAATTATGTTCAGGTTCGATGAAAGACGACAGCTTTCTCGACTGGTCGAGTCATTCATATCTCGAGCAAACGCTAAGCAGAGACGTGGTCGAGCCGGTCGAGTACAGAATGGAATTTGCTTCCATCTTTTCACCAAGCATCGACATGACAGCCTGGTAAGTTAAGCGTTTCTCCAAGATATCGACAGCCGCTAATATGAAACACAGCTCGCCGAGCAGCAGACGCCTGAAATCCTTCGACTCTCTCTCCAGGACTTAGTCCTCAGAGTCAAAATCTGCAAACTAGGCGAGGTAGAACCAACACTCCTCGAAGCACTAGACCCGCCATCGTCTAAGAACATTCGGCGCGCCATTGACGCTTTGAAGGAAGTGAAAGCACTCACAAGCAATGAGAGCATGACACCTCTGGGAATGCAGCTAGCGAAATTGCCTCTGGATGTCTTCCTAGGCAAACTGATTATTCACGGCGCCTTCTTCAAATGCTTAGACGCGGCCGTTAGCATCGCTGCAATCCTTTCGTCAAAGTCCCCTTTCGTCAGCGCCATGGGCTCCAACTCACAGCGTGATGCTGCCCGAAACTCCTTTCAAAGAGGTACGTACTGATAATCTTCCTCGCTATTCATCTCTCTAACCCTCTCAGGTGACTCCGATCTACTGACGGTCTATAATGCATACTGCGGCTGGAAGCGCGCACGAACAACCCCAGGAACGAACGAGTTCAACTTCTGCCGCAAAAACTGCCTAAGCATCCAATCCCTAACAAGCATCGAAGACGTAAAAATTCAGCTAATCGTCTCAATCGCCGATGCAGGCTTAATAAGCCTAGACCCAGCTCAAAAGTCAGCACTGAACCGGTAAGCTACTACAGTGTACCCTCTTCTCTCATACGACAAAGACTAATACTATAATTCCCTGTAGTGCACGCTCTGGCGGTCGAAACCGACAGTTCTTCGTAATCCCAGAAGAACACGATCTAAACAGCGCAAACGACATCGTCGTCAACTCGGTCGTCTCTTGGAGCTTCTACCCTAAACTCATCACGCGCGATGGAAAGGGATGGCGCAATGTCGCTAACAATCAATCTGTTACGCTGCATCCTACTTCAGTCAATAAGCGTGCTGACTGGGCAGTTAAGTGGCTGTCATATTATCATATCATGGTTGCGAGGAATAGGCTCTTGAACGCTCATGAGACGAGTGCTGCGGATGATTTTGCCATTGCTTTACTTTGCGGTGATGCTGAATTCAAGGTATGATACTAGAGATTCCATCTCATTTCATCTGTTATGCTGTTAAATTGATGCTAATTCTGGTTGCTGGTAGATGTACTCCGGCGTCGTTTCAATAGATGCAAACAGAATTCGCTTCGCAGTCCGAGACTGGAAATCAATGCTTGCACTCAAAGTCCTCAACACGCGTCTTCGTGATCTGCTTGCGTCTACATTCCGGAACCCGCAACGCCCGCTTTCCTATAAGCAGCGGCAATGGCTCGAAATTTGGCAGTTGATTTTCACTCAGGCTGGTAAGCGGAATGGAAGCTAGGCTTGGAAAGCTTTTCTGTACTTTTTTTTTTCCTTTAAGTTTTCATATGCAATTGCATGTTGATGCTGGGGTGGAACGGGTTGGAGTCTGGTCTGGTCTGGTCTGGGATTTTGATTCATAGACTTGGGGGTTGGATAGATTCCTTGCTACGGAGTTTACAAGTGTGAATGGTCGTTTATCAGAACTAGTTCATGGCCATGGCTCAGTTCGATTCAATCAAGTTTATAGTTTACTCGCCAACTATGCACCGTAGGACTTGCTCAAGATTCAGATAGATTCAGATTCTCAGATTCAGTTCATGATCATTCATTACCATCATATCGTCTCTCTAAAACATAACCAACAAGGGGGGGGTAAATTAATTGAAAAAAAGAAACCCCCAAATGCCAGTAAAGACCCGTTTTCTGCCCCCGTAAAAAATAGGAAAAAAGTGGAGAAAAAGAATATGAGAAGCCCAAAGCAAAGCGAGAAATAATCAAAAATAAAAAACCAGAAAGCGACGTCTTAGAAATCGCACACATAAAAAATTCGTTCATAAGGAATTTCGTCATAATCGTAGTTCGTTAGGGTATTTGGGATGAACCGTATTTTTTGGTTTTTGGTTTCTGGTTTCATCCCTTTTTTTTTTCTCATCTCCCGGTGTCCTTTCTTGCTGAAAACACTCAACATCGTAACCACTTCGGCTTGGATGGAATGGTCAATTCCAGACAAAAACAAAAATGAGAGAATAGTAGGCATAAGAATGCTATGCCTGAAAAATAAAATCCCGAAGTCTGCGGTTAACCCCTGAACCACAGTCTATCAAAAAAAAAAAATAAACCAAAACCAAAACTCCTATAGTTGAGATGAAAGATGAGGCATGCGACGGAATTTTTTATCGGCGCCGGCTCATGGGGATAACGGTCTTCATAGGCTGAAGGGCAGGGCCGGGACCGATTGAACCATCGGTGACGGTCTTGCGGCGCTTGCTCTCATACTCACCACCGCTTTCAGGTCGAGACACCTCGTCATCGTCGCGGCCACGCTTGTTGCCAGATCCTCCTAGCGAGCTTGACATGGTCGTGGAGTACACTGGGGTGGCCGTGGACGCCATGGTGTATGGGTCGGAAGCACCGTTGGCTGGAGTACCGCGGGTGTCGCTGACTGCGTTGTACAGGGTGCTTGCAGCTGCGGGACGGGGAGGAGTGTTATATCCCGAGGTCCAATGGGGTGGAGGACCGCTGGATCGCGGGGTCATACGGCCTGAGCCGTTCTGCTGCGGCGAACCAGTCATCTCCGGTGTCAGCTGCGAGTGCTCCCCGGTCAGGGATCCCACGGACTGGTTGGTGGTGTAAGTATATGAGCTGCGGTTGGCGTTGTAGGCGGCGGCGCCCTGGTCCTGCAGGTACTCGGGCTCCTGCTCCGTAGCCTCGCCGGGACCATCGCTCTGCGAGTAGCGGGCCGACTTTAGCTCGGGCGGTTCGCCGCCCTCTGGGGCTCCTGGAGCCCGACCTGTGGGAGGTGCCATGTCGTTCTTCATATAGTTCACGACGGCAGGAAGCGGTTGTCCGTATGTTGAGAGGGTCATCGGTGTGTGCGGCGCATACTGTGAATGAGACTGCGGCGGCGCAGAGTAGTACGGCTTCGAGCTATCATAACCTCCCGGCTGTCCCTGGTACGACGGCATGGCCTGCATGTTGTTGCCAGGCGGAGTCGTGGCAGGGGTGGTCGGCATGGAACGTTGGTTATTCAACGACGTGTTGCTCAATTGCGTGTCTATAGACAGTGGCTGCGCTGGGGGCAGTCCCTGGCCGATTCCTTGGCCGCCCCATTCGTATGAGCTGCCCTGGCTCGTCACACCCATCAAGCTAGATGCACTGGCTGGGGGTGTTGGGAAGGTGTTGGAGCGGTCCAACGAATGACGGGGCCCACCACTGATCGACGACGGCTGGGACATGTGCGAAGACATGGGGGTCTGCATTGCATGGTGGTGCAAGCTAGAGGACTGAGGAGCAGTCGGCGTACGGTGCGGCCCTGTTGGGGGTCCCTCCAGACGCCGTTGCTGCGACTCCTGCACGACCATGTTGGTTCGCGTCTGGTTGGCTGGGTGGTACAGCAGACCACCGATGTTGTGCACAAAGAGCGGGTATAAAAGATCAGTGATCTTCTCTTTGTTGGCGAACTCCAGCGCGCGCTCAAAGGGAATCCAGACTCCCTTGAGATGCATCGGTCCAATCTTCACTACGTGACGAAGCTTCTCGCTCTTGAGGATTCCATCTCGTCGTCCACGAGTCATGCCAGCCACATTGAGCAATTTGGTACCATTGATCATGTGATTATCTATTCACAGTTAGACGGCGGCTCCATTGGAACAATTTCGCTCAACTCACCTTCTCGGCGTGCCACACAGACTCCCTTGGCTTCAACTTGATAACAGAGACTCCCTTCATCTTCCCATAAGGTAGCTGTGACGCGTGGTTTGGCGCCTGGAGGTGCTACTTGACCTGTGGGATCATACACAAAGCCTTGCAACGGAGCTCCAGAGTTGTTTCCATAACCAGGTGGTGCAACGGAGTGGTTTGTCACTAATTCAGTAAGCTTCTTGAATCATGTCCGTGTGATATTTCCAACTAACCTGGTAATGGGAGCAGCTGGGTGTTCATCTGTCCGCCCATGGAAGGCGGTGGGGGAGGATGATGTCCTGTCGGAGGCGAAGTCACACCATTGGAATAACCATACTGTTGATACGACGGGGGATAGCTCGAAGCTGGAGGCAACGGCGGTTGGTGGTAAGGATAGTGGGACATTGGACCTGCAGTTGCGCCCTGCGAAGAGTATTGTTGTGCAGAGGACATATGGGAATGGACGTCCATGTACGGCTGGCCTTGGTTCATACTCCCGAGAGAGTTTGGGCTAGGATAGTACCCCTCGCTGGGAGCCAGACTATACTCCGAATCTAGCGACAGGCGGCCCTGGGTCCCAATATCTGTGGGACTCCTGGGCTGCTCCTGTACGGCCGAAGCACCCGACAGACTGGTTCGCGCACTAGAACTTGCTGAATTGATGTCTTGATAGACGGTGCGGGGTGGAGCCTGGGTTGCGGTAGGTAGACTCAACGCGGGAAGCTTGTCGCCCGATAATATCGGACGTTCGGCCGCGTGATGGTTGTACCAGGGGATATCAGCAGGACCGCGGGTGTGGACCTGCGAGATCGATGGCAGCTCCAGCTTTTCGGTTTCACGGGGGTGATGTGCTAGAAAAGGGAGGAATAATTGGGGGAGATGGGAAGAGAGATGAGAGGCTCTCTAGGTATGTTGTGTCCAACACGGCCTGTCAATGAAGTGGGAAGAGGAGGAAAGTGGTAAACAAGATGGGATCAAAGAAGTTGGTGTTGCACGACTTCTGAAGCACTCAATTTCCCAATTTCCCAATGCACAAGAAACAGTCTCTTTCGCAATAAGGATATCTTTAGTATCTTTTTTTTTCCCTTTTGGAGAGCACAAGCAATCCAGAAATATCAGGTATACTTTTTGTCGTAAATGGCAGTAAGATCAAACGGTCTCATCAATCTCATGAATCGTGACAAACATCAAACAGAAGTATAGGGAGGAAAAAATTAAGAAAAAACAAAAAAAAAAAAAAGAAAAAACAAAAACTGGCCCAAGGAAGATGCAAGAGAAGATGCAGTAAAGATGCAGATGTAGATAGTAAATATAAAGGATTATAAAAGGGATGAGCTACAAACGCATCCCTCTGCAGGTGGATTGAGAGAAGGGGAAGCAGAAACACATCAACGCTGAGCCGCAGGACGGGAAGATCAGTGGAGGGAGACAGAGATGACTAAGAAGAATGTGGGGGAAAGTCAGAAGAGGCTGGTTAGCTGGGGGAATGGTGGAAGCTTGAAAGGAGAAGAAGAGAAAGTGTGCAGAAATGCCGGCAGCCTTTTGAGGTTTCTTTCTCATATCGAATTAGTGGATCCCATCGAGTCAACCGCCACCAAGCAAGGACTAAAGAAGAAAAAAAAAATGCAGGGACGTAAAGTGAGAAAAGAGGGGGAAAAAGATCCACCGAGCTGATGGATCCTGGTCTGTGTGACAAGCAAAACGCTGATCGGCCGGGATATGCCCGCGATATAGAGCCACGCACTGTATTTGGTATTTACGATCGTGCATGATCTGTGGAAGAAAGTATGGAGTATGAGTATGAAATTCTCTATACTCTAGAGTTATACTCAATTTCTTCTATCTAGGTAATAATATATTGGGAGCTAAGGTATTCTATACTATACTATACTTATTATACATTACTGTACATACTATAAATACTATAAATACTGTACATAATATACTACTATACGTACTATACATACTATACATACTACCTAGCTAAATACAATCTTGCCCGATCTATTAACCCGGCCGTGGAAGTCACATCCTAGACCCACTACAGATAATAATGATAATAATGATAATAATAATAATAACAAAATAATATTAGTAGGCCAGTGAGTAACGGTGGAGTTGAGAGTGTCACCAAGGGATGCAGAGGTAAATCACTGGTCCAGAAGGCACCACGAAACACGGGTGGCTTGAGTCGATCAAGGGTCTGTTCTCTGGATCCTGGTCCAGTACAAGGATTGGCCGTTTACCCAGTTGAAAGTACAATGATACCATCTATCTTATCTACAGTAAGGAGGAAAGGAGAGGTAAAAGGCATACACCGCTGTCTCGCCCTTGCATTTAGGTTATGACAGATGTCAAATCAGTGGGAATGAATTAATTAATATTTCCTACCGCAATAGCAGACAAAATACAAAAATACCGGGAATTCACGGAGTATAAGCGCTAACTCAAACAGAACCAGCTTGGGGCCACTTCTAGATCCCTGCGCAGCTATCGACGGCCCGATACCCGCTGCACATACAGCCTGTCCAGGTGGAGGGGATCGAGAACAGACAATGTTAATGTTCATCTTCTATTCTAGGCATACCTAGATAGATTAGAGATGTAATAGACTGATCCCCGGGAGTTTCATCTTTTTTTTTTTCTTTTTTCTTTTTCCTACGTCTTTTCCACCCTCTTCTTTTCTTTTTTTTTTTACCAGCCCCTCTTCAACATATTGAAAACGCTTGGGCCAAGAATTTCCGAAGTTGACTCCACATTATGTAAAGCATCACTAGGGCTATTCCCCACAGCCAGAAAGAAGTGGACGTATCAACTTTCTAGAGCTGTAGAATAGACGTTAAACTAAAGCAGGTAAGGAGAAGAGAACTGATTTGAAATTAGATTTCAAATCTCAAATCAATCTTCCGATATAAGTACCTATGTATGAGTGGAATGATGTTTTTTTTTTCCTATTTATCTTAGTATAGATACACTTATACACAGTACAGATTATACCAAAACGGACTTCTTTCCGAACGCCCTAAGTATCTCCACTTCCAACTTTTAAATTATTCCCATTGATTATTGATTATTCCTTTTGATTCCCTTGAAGAATAATAGTCTCGACCCAAAGTAATCCTTCCAATCTATCATCGATCTACGGGTTCGTCCGTACCTTGCAGATGCAGAGTCCGTGCAGGAAATGTTTCACGGCCATGCCTTTCCCACGCACTTTTGATCGGCCCCGAACTTCGAACGGTCTTCTGATCCATACTTCATTTCATTTTAGACTAATAGGAATGGGAATAGGATTAGGACTAAGGGAGTGGAAAGTGGAAAGTGGGACAGAGTGTGGTCGGACAAGGAATTTAGTGTCGGGCAGAGAGAGCGCTTACAGGGGTCTTCCTAGTGATTATTTATCGAGATAAATATACCTACTCTACCTAGGTATACATAAGTACCTTTACCTAGGTGATAAAAGTACTTTTTGTACTGGACTGTACTCGTGGTTATAAGGGTACTAGTACAGTCTGGTATCCGTCGCCTAGACGCGATGGGCCGTGCGACTTCTGATTTAACCTCGCATTGCATTTGTACGAGAGATCGACTGCACGTTCATCTGCTACTATTCCAGCTCGAGTGTTTCCTCCGGTCTCATAGAAGGGAAGTAGGTAAGAGAGGGGGGTTGGAAAAGAGGGGACAATACAATAGTGGGGGACTTATCTCCTCGCTCTCCGGGGCTAAATCCCAAATTTCTATTTATTTTTCTTTTTTTTTTTTCCTCTCTCTCTCTTTTATTATTTTTTTTTCTTTTGCCAATACTAACTAATACATTACATACTCACGGTCCAGACCAAGTGTAACGATACTCAAAAAGGCTAGTGTTCACATCGACGATCCGGTTTAAATTGAATGGTGTCTACTATCACCACGTAGTCGTAGTTGCGCCGGGATTTCACCGCCAGTTAAACCCCTTGCAGACGTGGCATAGTATATAGTAATAACCGTTCTTTACAATTCTGAAACGACGATAAGACCTAACGAATAAATGGATCGGTTCATGATGTACGACATTTTCTGGCTCTGTGCTCCCCCGATCTCCTAATGCACCCCTCATCTTGTAAAATCTCCACAGGCTATGTCATGAACTCATATATTCCACTATTCCACTATTCCACTATTCCACTATTCTACTATTGTACTATTCAACTATTCAGCTATTCAACTTTTCTAATTCAAGTAGATTCTTACATTATTGTTCAGTCCTAAATCCATGTCTCGGGTGTGTCGGAGCACAGATCATTCCCGCATTCTCTCTCCAAGAATCGGGCGTCTAGTTGGGCCGAGATTGGCGTTCTCTACGGTTCTAGCCGATGTATTTTTCATATTTTTTTTTTCCATTTTTTAATTTCTCTTTTCGTTTATTTCTCACCGCTGGTTTCAGGTCTTGTTTCTACTGCTTGTCGCGGCTCCCATAATTCAAGTTCAACTTGAGGTACTTCGTTGACGTGGCTTGACTTCCATGGATTATTTCAGACCTAGGTAATGATAGCGCCCATCTTTTATTTTTACTTGCGGGGTTGTGCTGGTCAGTGGTCATGCAGTGATGATTATCATCAGTGCAGATGGGAATCGTGGTCGTAATTATCTCTCATAGACCGATCTTCCGAGATCTGCCTGGGTCTTTTCACCTTCGCTCTTTCCTCGTCGTTTTGCCTGTTCTTTTTTTTCTTTGATATTACTGTGCTCTGTAGAGCCATTATCGATCTACCCACGGCGGGTAGGTGGTGCAATGTGCAGACTACCAACACTTTACCTGCACGTATCGCAGCTAACTCAATACTTGAATTCAACCTTGGAATACTTGACATATTGCTATTGTTTATCACGCACCATGTACTATCATGCTAGGTACGATCCGGGGATCTGCTGGATGCACTAGGTCAAGAGCTGGTATTCCAATAGTAGCTAGTAGCTAGCTACCTATACGCACTGTCACCCTGCGACCTCGGGTGTGTGCCCGTCGGAAGCTTCTAAGGTTCCAAGGTTGTTAATATTAAACCCCTGCAATCTGCCTACATCCCGATACATATGCAGTGGCACCTGTATGATTGAGATTAAAGTCATTTGGCTCCAGGGCTATTGAGATGCTTACTTTATGTTCCGCTCTATCAGTTTCTACTCTTTAAATCTAATCTAGTTCACGCCCGTATTGCCCGGTTGCCCTACTTCCAACCTTTTGAGGGTTGATGTACTATTTGATCCTCGGTAGACATCCATGGATTCTCTACCTATGTAAGTGATTAAGTATCCATATTCTTTGGAATCTTCCACGGCTGGAGCCTCTTAAGTGCCCCGGGCAGACATTTTGTGGGGTAATGTAAGGTCCTACTCCGCATATATATATTGCACTGTTTATACATATGAATATCGGAAATTTATGGCGCCCGAAAAACGGTACACCCAGGACATATTTACCCCAAATGCATAAATTTGAAATACTTTTGGCCAAAGGAACCTTTAACTACTAAAATGAACTATATAGAATGCCGTTGCTGTCAACAACAGAATCATGGATACAACATTCCACCACGTGACATATTAACCCTATCCCAAAACGGCAAAACCAAAACAGTGGGCTGCGAACCCATGGTTCAAGGTCACCGAACTAATGTCAAACATCTATCCGTGTACAGGTGGACCCCCTAAAACCTTACCTCAACCTGGAGCCTACCTGGGGCAGAACCTCCAAACAAAATAACCTCATCAATCACTCCATCAACCACCCCGCCACCGCCCTTCGCTCATCGTTACCTAAAACCAGGAGATTAACCATGCCCCGAATAAACCCCCCACCCGAACCCCAGAACCAGAAATTCTTCGATCCCTGGAACTCAGCTGCAACAGGTCACCAGCGCCATGCATCCGTGTACGCAGGATCAGCCAGTTGGAAAGACACGCGCGCCCTAAAACTTGCACGGCAGATGCGGAGCGGGGATTGTTTGCTTGAAGGGGATGCTGATGGGGATAAGACGGCGCGGGCGTTTGATGGGGTATGTACTCCAGACATCGGACTTGAATCGCCATCGGAGTCGAAATTGGAAACAAATGGGGGTGACTCCGTTCGGCATACTGTTAATGGGAGTGGAGAGTGGAGGTGGGTTAAGGATGATGAGGCTAGAAGGAGTCGGCTGGGTGTTAGGGATATTAGAAGTTTTATGGGTGTTGGGAAGAGGAAGGCTGATGATATCTCGAAGCTGCCGCTCGAGAAGAAAGCCAAACTTGTAGATGATGGACGTGAACGTGAAAGGGCTGTTCTCCCGCTACCGTTAAAAGCAAAATCGACCTCTATCTCTAATTCTACGCCTACCTCTACTTCGAGCTCGTCTAAATTCGCATCTACGTCTACGGAGAAATCGCCGCAAAAATCAAAAATCTTCACCGGAACAACAATTTACATAAATGGCTCAACGCTCCCAAAGATTAGTGACCACAAGCTGAAACACCTATTAGTCCATAACGGCGCCAAGATCTCGATATCCATGACCCGCAAATCTGTAACGCACGTCGTTGTCGGGGCGCCGAATGCTGTCGGCGTTGGCGCTGGTGCGGGCGGTGGATTGTCTGCTAGGAAGATGCAGCTGGAGATTGGTAGAGGTGGGTGGAAGGGGGTGAGGGTTGTTGGGGTTGATTGGTATATACTCTTCTTTTCTTGAGTTGGATTTGGTTGGACTTTTTGCTGATGTTGTCTAGGGCTCTCGAGAGTGTTGAGGCTGGGAGGAGACTTGCTGAGTCGAGATTTGAAGTTCTTCATGTTGCGGAGAAGGGGCAGAGGAGTATTGCTGGGATGTTTAGTCGATAGACTTTTAATTTCTCAGCGACTGCGCTGAGCTGGTGCGTGCTTTGCATATTATGGCGTTTTCTTGCATTTTGGAGCGAGGGCATCTTACCTTGATGACGGAGTTGATATTGATATTGATACCCTTGACTACGCGCTAAATATTTCTGAATCTCTCTACATATACCTATATGTTTGGATGTATTGAATCATAATGCATTACTATCGTTATCATATCCATATAATATCTGATCAAGAACAATAATCAACTCAGAGAAACGCCAAATTAAAGTTAGTATCTATGCAATGCGAAAGCTTCATACGGTCATAGTTTGATATCTAGAGGAATGCACCGCTTCGGCCATGGCTCTGGCTCTTTCGATGACCCTGAACCGGATCTTGACTCGGGGAAGACTCATCGGTAAAGTCGCGGCGCCAGCCAGCACTCCAACGGGAGGGATAAGTAGGATGAGCTAGAGTCGGAGCTTGACCTTGACGGTTATCGTCGTCGTGGGCCTCTGTAGAGGAAACGGAGGCGACACCGAGATTGGAAGAGTCGGATGAAACGGATCTCATACCGAGAACGGCGTCATCTTCCTGCGGGAGTGGGGGGAGCGGGTTTGGGTGGCGGTGGGTTGAGTAAGAGGATTGGGCGGGAGGTGGTGCGCGATGAGATGAGGAGTCTGTGCGGGTGCGGGTGTGGCCGTGGCTCTGGTTGTGGTTGCTGCTGGGAGGAATCTGCCAGTTTTCGTAGGGTCCTGGAGAGGCTGTGGCCTGGCGTGATTGTGGGAAGTAGTATGGGTTGGACACGGATGCTGATGCTCCATGCGACGAATAGAAGGCCTGGTGGTCCTCGTATGGTGGGAACGCCGATATGGACGAGGCGGAGTTGCTGTGCAGGCGAGCTGGTTGCATTGGTTGAGTTTCGTCGAGCTCTGACTCGTTACTATTGAGACGGTCTAATTGTGGCTCCTCTTCTGGCTGGCTGGTGCGGGAATCACCGTGGACCAAGCCAAGTCGTTCTTCTTCAGTTGCTCCATCTGGAGTGTGGTGCGATGACCGGCGCAGGATACCACGTCGCGGATTGGACATACCCTGGGGTGATGGTGAGCGGATGGGTTTGATACGGTTGAACATTTTATTAAAGGAGAATTGGCGCTGTGCTGTCGGGTCAACTGCTAGGTTGTCGGGAGTTCTAGGAGGATGTTCATGGGCTTTCTCGTCGACCCCCGAGACAGAGCGCAGAGTGTCGCTGCGCTCATGACCTCTCAAGGCCCTGGCACCATGGTACGCGGTGTCATCAGAGCCATCAGTCTGAAGCTTCATCTCTGTCATTCTCATGCTGTTTTTTGAGCCTGTGACTTCCTCTGCCTCTTCGTCTTCGTGCAGAGGAATCCATTTACCATGGTGAAGCACGTTAGAAGCACGGGCTTGGAAATCACTCATGAATGAGCGGCTGCTTTGGTGGGAGGGGGGTCGTGGTTCGTACTCGTCATGTTCGTGTTCTTCATTTTCAGGATCTGGGAATCGTGACATTCCAAGAGGTGGTAGAGGCGGTAGAGGCGGTAGAGTCGGCATTGGCTGTCTTGTTGAGGATGCTCGAGATATCCTGGGCCCGTCACCGATAACAGTCTTACGCCGGCGGAGACCATCCCATTCGATGATCTCGTTCTCATTGGGCGGCTCGAGAGAATCTTGATGCTTCTCATGATAAAGCCGTCGTGCTTCCTCATTCTCATGCGTACGGCGAGCGGATGAAACGTGGCGGAGAATAGACGCAGTACCACGAATGGAGTCCGCCTTTGGTTCATACTCGGGCTCCTCCTGTCCGACAACCTCGCGGATCTGGTCCAAATCACCCTTGAAAACCGCAGCGTCGGGGACATCTTTCGCAGACTTTGACAGCTGCAGGAGGACCACACCGGAGCAGATTTGCAAGAAGCCCATTATAACAGTTGTAATTTCGATAGCGGTACCCTTGAACCCTCGAAAGAGAATGGCAGATGTTATAATCGTGGCACTAGTGAACAAGACGTAGTAAGTTGGGGTGACGAGGGCGGCATTGAAGATATTCAGAGCTTTCTATACGGATGTTAGAGAAGTCCCTTGCGCAGAAGTAGGGGCAATCATACATTGAGATATATAATCTCTGTCAACAGCGTGCAGACGACAAAGACGAGCAAGACCCAGAAAAACCAGTGTTTGAACTGCGACTCTCCGTTAATCTGCGCCAGAATTGCCGAGCCCAAGCCCTGAGTCGCAACAACACTCAATCCACCGACCATACTGCAGATGCTGATATAGACGAACATGCTCTTCTTTCCATAGCGCGGACCAACCCAAAAGGCAGTGATGGCGGCGCCGACGATAATGACACCAGCATAGGACAAAAAGCCCGGGGCAATCACGTATTTCTGCATTTCTTGGATATCATCGACAGAAGATTGTTGAGGGGCGTTCATGGCGATGACGACTGAGCCGATAATGCACATGAAGCAGCCAACCTTGCCGACGAAACTTAACCTTTCCTTCAAGAAGATGGCTGATAAGATCGTGGTGATCACCACAGATAACGCACCGAGAGGTGTAACCAGGATTGCGTCGACAAAAGCGTACGCGACAAAATTGCAGATCTCGCCGATGATCATCAGGCTCATACCACTCCACCAGTAGAAGTTCTTCAGATATCCATATCCCTCACCTGCCTCTTCATTATACTTCACGTTTGCCTTGAGGAGACCGATTTTCTTCAGTACGAACGAGACGCCGATGAAGAGGCCAGATGCGACTGCTAGCGATATTCCGACCGCTTTGTAGACGGCTGGACGGCCTGTTGTTGTGGAGCGGACGGCGAGTTCGGATGCATGCGATAGGATGGAGTTGAGATCCATGGTGGACTCCATTGTTGAGGTGGGAATTACACTGTCCGGCAGTGGGAGAGGTCGCGGGTAAGGTGAGTTGTCCGAAGACGAGACTCCGGCGACTATCTGAGACACTTCTTTACGCCAGTTTGCAAGGGTCGGCGGCTTGCTGTGACAGTTGATGTCGGGGATTTAGTCGTCACCACGGTGGATCTTTGATAAGAGGAATGCTTCTGGAAGTGCCAAGCTGAATAATGAGGAATGCCACGAGGTTAAGGAGGACTTTAGGCTAAATAAAGTGCAGGCGACCGAGTGATTTCGTATTCGGAATGACAAGGATGTAAAGGAGAGAATTGAAGACAAGAAAAGTGAATGGCATGGAATAGTTTGAACAGGAGGAATAGGAGAAGGGAAAACAAAGAGGCTGGGGCTATGTAAACAGTGGAGAAGACGATCGTATTAAATGGTGTATGAAATGGATTTTAAATGGAGCAAATGAAGTGTCTTGTTCTCAATCTAAATTTAATCATTGACTTCGACTGCGCCACCCAGTTTATCAGGTATCCATATTATGCTGTGCGAGTTCAGTTTTCACTGGCTATAGATATCAGATATCTTATATCTTGGCAACTTACCACCACTGCTACACTACCTTTGCTCGTCAACATCGTCAACATCGTCAATTCATTATTTACCTCCTAAGAAGGTTGAATATGTCTGAAAATAAAGAAATAAATGGTTCCGTGGCCCATCGCCATTTTTTGAAAAAAAAAAAAAGGGAAAAGGGTATGGAGTTGAGAAAAGAAATGCAAGGTTAAGGGAAATCATGAAATCAGGAAGTCAGAAAATCAAGGCACAAAAAGGATATCAAGAATATCAAGAATATCACCGCACATTGTAACTAGGCTTTCGTTGCCAATTAACAGCGGGCGGTGGCTCATCATCTGGGTATGGAGGGCGCATCCCGTTATTTAAGGTAATATGAGGTTGAGAGAACAATGGCGATGGAACATAAACGTTACTATTGTTCGCTGGGTAGGAGAAAGGTGTCTTGGGAGGGACTGGCGGTGGGATGCCATTGTGAGCGATATGATCGCTGCTGTGGTGAGGTGAGCCGTAGTATTGAGATGTCGGCCTGAACTCATGAGCTGGTCGGAAACCAGTGATATCGGCACTGGAGTGTCGCGTTGGCGCCACATGTGTCGGCGATATGGATTCTTGAGGTGTTGGGTGAAGGGGAAGCGAGTCAGGTGGTACAACCCCAGCTTCAGGACTAAACTCCACAGGTTCGGCAGGGAGTTCCACGGCGAATGCATTGGAAGGCGGAGGTACGGAGTAGAAAGACTGCGGCCGAGGTTGAGATAGAGGCTGATTGGAAGAGTCGAGGTCTGACACAATAAGCTCTTCCTGCTCGAGGTCAAATGATAGATCATCCCGCTCTCCGCCAGCTGCCGCATGATCGGCCAAACGCTTGTTCATGCGGTCGATCTTGGCCATCCTGACGCCCGCATCTAGAATCATCTTCTTGACTTCGGGCTTGGAGAGATATCGTCGTGTGTTGGTACTGATATCCGCCAGTCGGTTCCATTCGTTCATGCCGAACTCGCCGACACCGACCTCAACATTGAGGCGCACGTAATTGTCTTTGCTGACATTGCGCTTGGCAAGATGATCGCGCAGCATTTGCAGGTGGATGTCCTCGCAGCCCTCGATCTTAGCAATGAGTCGTCGCCGAGCCTCGGCGAATGTGCCCAGTGAATCTCCAAAGAATCCTTCCCACCACTCGTGCTGCTGGGCATTGGTGCCAGAAGGCCGACGGCCAGTGCCGATACTGACAAAGACACCGACCTCCCGGCCGGGCCACTCATTCACCACAGCTTCATCAAGAACTTGAGGTGCCGGATTGTACGTACCTGGACCCTCGTCGATGAAAACATGCTGTCCAATCTGAATTGGCTTGAAAGCAAGGCCAGTAGCCGCAGTCGCGCGACCAGCTTGCCAGATAGTGCAGTCAAATTCAGGTGGAGGTTCTCGACGAGAGTCATAAGAGCGCAAGAAAATAGCTGGACCATTCTTTTGCGTGCCTTTGTAAAGCGCAGTCACAGCACTGGTAAAGTTAGCAATTTGAATATTATGTCTGACCTCGAGCAAGATCTACACTTACGTCTTGGTCCGATTATCTCGTTGGTCATAGAGTGAGGCCTCTGGATTACCCCAGCGGAGTCCGTTAAGAAAAAGCGAGTTTCTTTGGCTCATCGGGCCCGGAGACATGGCCGCGGGCGAATGACTGAAACTTCCACGGCTGACAGACCGCTGTGGTGCAGACACCGGGCTGTAGGGAGCATTCGAGACGGAGGAGTGAGGCTTGGCATTGGGCAAGTCATTCCCCTCCGCCTCGAAAACCGTATGCTCGCGAACGCATTCCCGAATGGCCTCCTCCAGCTTCGAGGCCTTGAACAGAGTCGATCTGAAGGGAATACCAGCGATGGTTTTGTCGGTCTCGAAAACTTTCCGGGTCATGCGAACGTAGACTTCCTTGCATGTCTCGAGATCGAGGCGAAGACGCCCAAGCATGATGGCGATCAAGCCGCCGGTACCGGTGCCGCAAATGAGGTCGAAATGATCGCATGGTTTAGGAATCTGATCGCGACGTGGTGGTTTGCCTTCACATTCAACATAGGTTCGATACATCAACTCCTGTAGTATAATGAGCATGGAATAGCCGCGGACACCGCCTCCATCTGTTGTACATGGTGAGTGACGTATCCAAGTGGGGGAGCGGGGGAATCGATCAATCGCTACACATACCAAGGGAGAGGATCCTCAGCGGAGGACCCTTTGTGGTATCTTTACGACGCAGGTTTACTTGATCCATGGCGTGTTGTAAATAGAGCGATAGGGATCGCCCTGGTATTTTGTTTTCTGCAGCGGCAGCTAATCCCGCGGCGGGGCTCGGCGCCTTATGCACGTAGATTGCGGGACGAGCGCCTGACCGGTTGGGTAGAGAGGAAGTGAGATCAGAGGTGACGTGAAACAAGTGAAATGAAGATCAAAGGGGTCGAGTTGATGTGTGACTGTACTGCGAATACGGAGTGATAGGCAGCGGCGTTTAGAGGGTGATTCAAGCCACAGGAGACAAGGATGGTCTTGTGGCTTTATTTCCTCTTTCTCTTTGAATCTACCGAATAAATCAAGGAAAATTCAAGAATCAAGGACTGAAGATCAATGCAAACTGTAAGTTCGTGAAAGAAACAACAGGTTATTCTTAGAAACTCCATCCAAAGGTACGGATTCTTTCCATGGATCCCAGGTCACGTGGTGAAGTGGCGGTGCTTACATCTGACGTAATTATGGCTATGTAAACCAATCATAAGAAATGGAAGAATACACAATTACTCCTTCTAGAAGAGAAAAGGAATAGGAAAGTGGAGTTGTTTACAGTTTAACTTGTTTTCAAATTAGGCAGTCAAGTAATTATCCGAGATTGGGGATTTACTTCCGTGATACCCAACCCTGCAGGCTAGCCAATCGACTAGGTGCTAAGGCCAGGCCAATCTATATAACGTTAGCACCTGGGCAACCTGATATGGCAAAAAAGCACTGGAGACAGTCGCCTTGGAATACTCACCAGAGACCGAGTATTTCGTACTCCGCGCCATGACCTCAACTTCATCACCAACCCGAATAACCTGTCCATCACTAGCCCGATCCAAGAAAGTATACCGTCCAAAAACAGGACTAAACCTAGCACCTTTATCTATACGTCTATCCTTCATTAGTTTCTTGAGCACAGTTCCCTGTTCACCATTGGCAAATTGCCCCGTTGAATAATCTACATTCAGGCTTACACACCGCGTACAGTTTCCCGTCAGCAGCAGTCTCGCCCGCGAGCCAATAGATAGCTCAGTCCAGAAGTCTTCCTCATATGCCTCCTCAGAGCCCGAAACGACAATGTTCGGCCGAAACTTGCTGCGGTCCATATCTTCACCTTCTGCTAACCGGGCCGAAACATCCTCAACAGAGGTCTCGGAGATAATCATATAAGGTGCACAGTCCGCGAAACTGATTTGGGATTTGTGCTTCCGGAGTAGGGCGATATGCGTGCCGAGTATCAGAGTAATGCCGACTATCACTGCAAGCGTGATGGCATGTGTGAAATTCATTCCATAATCCTCTATTAATCGGCGGGGTAAATTGAGGATTTGGAAGAGGACGAAGGCCCACAGAAGGGGAGGGAAGATTTTTCTCTTCAGAAAGACGCCGTTCCATTCTTGCTTCCAGACTTGCCAATTTCCTTTGCTTTCCGGTGCTAATGTGCCCAGGACGCTGCGGGAGAGCGGACCTAAATAAGCCAGGATTACCGGGAAGCCGAAGCATTCGCTGAACCAATCATTGTATTTGGTGTCGATATCAAAAGCGCTCGTGCGACTCGAGTGCATCATGATAGGTATTTTTTTGACCTGCGTCGCGTCTCTTCCTAGAAGTGGCAGTAGTTGGATCTCAATTCGTTTCGTGTCACGCGGCCTGGTGTCTGATGCTTCTTGCGATGACGGAGGGTGGTACGTGATGGTGATGTTTCCACGATCATCATCGGTCTTCGGCATCTCGACGGCTACTTCAAAAAGTGCCATAGCTGGATAACGCGCTACATGCATATTTTCTAGCTTGATCTCGCCATCTTTGCCGGATTCAACTTTGAGGAGCATAAATCGTCGGTCGTATTGTAAGCCCTGCATCGTGAGGATGCCTGATTCGACAGGCGTTGGCCGTAGGGACTTGATCGGGTAGAGATAGAGCTGATCATAGATGAGACTTGACTGTGATGGGACATGATGCATTATAAACCTGATAGTCTTCTTACCTGGCTTACTTTCATTGTGGCGTGCAATGTCAATTGATTGTCAAGAGAAGAAGACTTCGGGATGTTGTAAGTATTGCTTCTCCACACTCTTGTCAGCTATCTAGATGTTAGATAACGCTATCTCCTTCCAATGGTAAAACGCTTAGAATTACCTTTTTAAATGAGTAGATAAGGGTTATGCCCGCTTGGTTATGATGGAATCTGACTAAGTCTTAAAATACCCGTAGCAATCTGCACCTGTCATATGTAGCTCTATCATAAACCTGGTATTTAATGTTGGGATAGTTTTCTTGGGAAAGAGACAATTGTATGATATTCGTACGAACAGGGGAATTTACATTATAAACGTTAAAGAGAAAGGAAAATCTACTGGTCCTTAGCCCAGGGCAAGCTAAACGTGCCAACCCAGTCCTCAACCTCTTGCCGCAACGTTACAATCTCAGAGATCTCTTCACCCTCACCCAAGTACTCGAAGAATGCCTTTAAAGTACCAGGATTCTTGGCACCGCGAGTCTGGGCTTGTTCACGTGCAGCCTTGTCTAGCCTTTGCGTCAGTATCACCACGCGGTCGACAATCTCGGCCACGCGACGGAAATCTTCGGGTTGGAAGCCACGCGATGTCATGGCGGGTGTGCCAAGGCGCAGACCGCCGGGCTTTAGGGCAGACTTGTCACCTGGCACGGTGTTCTTGTTGCTGGCTACACCGCACAGTTCTAGTACACGCTCGACGCGGGCGCCGTCCACGCCGCGGTTCTTAAGATCTACCAGCACCAGGTGATTGTCTGTGCCGCCAGAAACGATGTTGTAGCCGAGGCCGCCGTTACTGGTGGACTCGCCTAGACGCTCGGAGAGCGCTTGGCAGTTGGCTAGTACTGTCTTTTGGTACTCGTGGAACTCTGGAGACTGCGCTTGTTTGAGTGCCACGGCTAGCGCGGTGATAGTGTGGTTGTGCGGGCCACCCTGGTGGCCGGGGAAGACAGAGGCATTGATTGGGTTCTCCAAGTCGTACATCTCCTTGTTGCCCTTCTTATCGGTGCGACGCAAGCCTTTGCGGTAGAAGATCATGGCTCCACGAGGGCCACGCAGAGACTTGTGGGTGGTAGTAGTCACAATATCGGAATAAGGGAAGGGGGAGGGCATGACATCGGCAGCGACCAAACCTGAAATGTGAGCCATATCGGTCAACAGATAGGCGCCAATAGAGTCAGCAATGGCACGCATGCGCGGATAGTCAATCAGGCGACTATAGGCAGAGGCTCCAGCCACGATCAACTTGGGGCGGTATGTGTTAGCCATCTTCTCCAGTCCATCATAGTCGATCAGGCCGGTCGACTCATCCAGACGGTAGGGCAGAGTTTCGAAGTACTTCGAGATTGCGGAGATCTTCTTGGTCGGGGACTGGTATCCGTGCGACAAGTGGCCGCCGTGGGGTAGATCAAGGCCCATGAGGCGGTCATGAGTGTTGAGGACAGCGGAGTAGGCGCAGAGATTAGCGGGTGAGCCAGACAGAGCTGTGAAAAGTCAGCGCTGATCATAAACTCTAAGTAGAAGTGACGCCTACTCTGTACATTAACACCCCACTCCTCGGGGTTCAAACGGAAAGTCTCTAGGGCGCGCTGTTGGCATAAGCGCTCTGAGGCATCAATGTGCTCGTTGCCACCATAGTAACGGGCTCCTGGGTATCCCTCGGAGTATTTATCTGCGCAAGTTAGGATCTGAAGCCTACCAGGAGGTTGTTGGTTTACATACTTTGCATCACACTGCCGAGAGCATCGAGGACCGCTTGCGAGGTGAAGTTCTCTGAGGGAATCAAGTTGATAAAGTGCTTTTGGCGGCTTTTTTCCTGTCTTCATTGTTAGCGATTGCTTATCGCATAGCTCGAGCCATATGACGTTGACGTACCTTCTCCAAGATATTAAAGATCGTAGGGTCAGATTCCTCAAGGGATGATGACAGAAGCTGGGTGAAGTGTTAGCAATATAATTGCGAGCTTCAGTTCAACCATTGGAGTTGAAATTTACCTTCTGTTGCGCATCTCGACTTACAGTAGATAGTCCCCGCACGAGAGGAGCTGACCTGGCAACGAACGCACGAGAGGAGGCGGTGACAATGGGAGAACAAACACTCCTCAGGGAGAGACGCGCAAGGCGCCCAGAACGGGAGAAAGACATTGTGAATAGAAAAAAAGAACACAATAGCAGTCTCAGTCTGATAGGAAGGGCTGTATCTTTTATGTATCGGAGAGCCGTCCGTTACTTCCCCGCGGAAAGCGGAAAGCGGAAAGGCCTGTTTATATCATGTGACCTCGAAGTCTATAGGTCACATGACTATATTATAGTGGAGACCAAATCATTCACCGCCTAGGCCACTTTTAATCGTCCGATCCCTCCTTTCCTCTCCTTTCTTCTTTTTCCTTTTCACACAACTAAATCCAAGATGAAGAGATGACGTCCTATCTGGTTCAGCACTCGTCGGTGTTGGTCTTAACTTATGTTTAGACCGATGTTGGACGGGCGCTGCTGAGAGGTCCTGCGTCCCATCACCATCCTTTAAGGGCCAAAAACTGTCGGATTGGACACATGTTGTGTAGAATCTTGAACAAGATTCCTGGGTACGGAGTGCTTATATTTGAGCACAAACTGGTCTATTCTATTCACAGCTGGATAGTCGCTGTTAGAATTGACGGTTATTATCCAATGCTCCTTTACAACTAGAAATGAAGATGACGAGTCTAATATTGAAACCTTGCCCTGAACCCACAAATAGCCCTAACCAGCCACCGATTACTCTCCATATCCGTAGACCGTACTCCGTACATCCTTATCTAAGGATCAACGTTGCTGATGTCACTATGGAACTGTTTGGATTGTCGCCGAGATAGTAAGAAACAAGTAAGAAGCACTAAACTAAAATATCCCTTACTCTGTCTCATATAATTCCTGCATGACTCCGATGATCCTGTTTTCAGATCAGCAGAAGATCCATACTAGCGACCCATACTGACGATGCCCTAATGCTGTTCTTCGATTCCTACTTAGGGATCCTAATCTAATAATCTACTATTAAATATGGCCTCGGATAATTATAGGTCGTACGCATTTATGTGCTATGGTCCGTGTGATAAGGTATGACGAACTAGTTCCTACGTAAATACCCAGGTAACGAGCGTGTTCTATCACAGTCTAGACTACAATTCGTTAAGATTACATGATGATATTCAGATCTACTTTTGTAATTTCCCAATTGCCACGCGGCCCCCTTTTATTCTAAGCTACGATGTAAGCCAAGTCCTGGTTCCTGAGTCAAAGCAATATTCCTATAAACATATCCATCTCACCCCCAATCCTTCTCCCTAACCACATTCCCTTACGCAAATCCCGGTTCTTAACCGAGTACATTCTTTTCAAGTCTTCTCATCATTCTAGAATCGGACCCTGAATACCTACATAATACCCTCCCATTCTTCAAATCTTATCTGACATCTCAAATCTACATTATGCATTTCTCTCTCGCTGTCCCAGTCCTGGCTCTCACCACTGGTGCCGTCGCCAATGTCGTCACTGAGACTGTTACTGCCTATACTACCTACTGCCCCGAGGCTACCAGCTTCTCGCACGGCAGCCAAACCTACACTGTCTCCAGCGTACGTCTATACTCTAAACCTTTCAGCACAGACCCTGTGTCAATTAACTTTATTTCTAGGCTGGCTACCTCACCATGACAAACGGTCCTTACACCGTCACTCGCCCACTGCTCACTGAGACCGTCACCCAGTGTAACAAGTGCTCATCCACCCCCGTCATCTCAGCCTCATCCACCCCCGTCATTTCAGTCTCATCCACCCCCGTCATCTCAGCCTCAGTTTCCTCAATTCCCCTCATCTCCACCCGTGTCGCAGCTGCTTCTACCCCTCTCGTTGTCGCCAGTGGTTCTAGTGGCTCTGGTTCCGATGATTCTGGTTCTGGTGGTTCCGGTGCCTCTTCTACCGGCACCTCTGGCGCTGGTGCTACAGGTGCTTCTGCTACTCCCGTTTTCAACGCCGGTGCTATGAATGCTGCTACTGGTGCTGGTGCTGCTTTGTCTGCTGTCTTCGGTGTTGTCGCTCTCCTGCTGTAAAGCGAATGAGGCTTCTTGGATGGCTTTGCTTTGTTGATATCGAGGTTTTAGATCGTGTCAACGGTTGGCGTTGACGGTTCGTGTATTTGATGGTTTTGGGTGTATATGCTTTTTTTCTCCTCGGTTCTTAATAGATAATACGCGAGGGTTCCTCAGAGCCTTACTGTCATCTATACTTTTTTTTTACTTTGAGATTGCTCTGGATATGTCCAAATGAATACCTTTTCTGACTGCCTTTGAGTTATCGTAAAGTAGTTTGTACACTTGGGTTGTTGAGTTTGAACTTGATATTTAGCTTTATCTTCTATTATACTTTGGAAATACTCGCTCACTTTACCAACCTTGAAACATTCACTCCTGCATCGTCCACTATCAGAAAAACGATAATTGTATCATACAGTCTATAAGCAGGATGTTCCGCCGACATCTGCTTTAGCATCTTTCCACATAGCATCCTCGGAGTTATTCTACAGCTCTAAATTAGACTTCCAACTAAAGCGAATCAGGCTATTGCTCTGATGCAATCATTATAATTGCGTTGATTTCTTTGAAAAGTTGTGTATGCGTTGCTGTCGTCTCGATACTGCTGTCTGTTACTACAAACTTGAAAGAGAAAGCTTGTCAACGCTATCGACCTAAGCGGTGACACCATCATGGATGTTCACCGTGATATTCAAAATTAATTATCTAGATATAACAACATCCTGATTCCCGATATCATTCCGAACATGTCGACGCAGTTATACGAAGTAGCTTGCTAAGATCTCGCCATCAATAATCAAAGCCCTTCAACCAAGACCAATGCTTATACTCACATGCTACATGTTACTCCGATAAGCAGTGTCTTGAAATGTCGCTCTGCAGCTCTTCATCACTTTCAATGCAAGTGGAGTCGGCTAGTTCGGACCAGACAGAGTGAGAAGCGCCACTTGGGTGGGGCACATCATGTCTTACATACTTTGTATCTCCAAATCTGCCATCTGTAGTGCTCAACACGCCGTTCATAACCCTTGAATATGTTACCCAAGAGTTTGGAGCTTAGCCCGTGGGTTTGATTGGAGGTGGACTTACGGGCTTATGCACCTAGGCATGCATGTTCGATCTTGGTAGTATATTCAAAGACTTAGATTTAAAGATATGGAATCCATGTGTTCACGGAGGTAAACTTCCCGAGGTCCAAGGTTCATCTTCATGGTATTCCAAAATGTAGTGTGCAAGTGTGGAAATCAGGTACGAGAGCAATCTCAGATGTAGTCAGTCACTTCCAAAGAGGGATAAGAATGGCAGATGAAGATAGGTAGCCGACTCGGACTGATGATTTCGAATATAGCTCTAGAGTGTTTATGGTGCTGAAAAAAAGAAAGAAAAATATTGACTGATGTTATGTGTTGAGGGGTACGCTACGAGGCGGGTAGTTGAAGGAATTGGAAAATTACGGATTGGGAATTGTGTAAGGTGTTTAAAGAGTAAATTATGAGCGTTAATGTCTGTCAGCTGATTATATTCGCTAGCAGCTGACCTGTACCTGTAGCCATATGGGAATAATAATGTTGCAAGGATTGATCTGTATTGTCTATATACTTGCAGAAATGGCTGGAACAATAAAACAACAAACTCTGTCGTAGGGTATCATATGCGATCTTCTGGCGTGGTTGCCTGGGAGATTTTTTTTTTCCTGTGGGGTCGGTTGTTCCATATTCTCAATCAGACTAGGTCTTCGTCGAAGTCCAGGAAATACCCAGTCGCGGCCCCGTCGGTTCCAAAGAGAAATCTGCAAATCGGAATGGGGTGGAATGAAAACGAGCATCCCAAGCTGAAGCTCTGTGATGACAGAACAAGCGTTGAAAATAAAGTGTGTGAGAGAGAGAGAGAGAGAGAGAGAGATGTTCGAGAGAAGCGATAGGCCGCCAACGCCGAACAAGGTTGTAACCAAAAAAAAAACAAAACCACCCTCCAAATGCACCCGAGAGACCAAGGAACAGAAAAGAAAAAGAAAGAAAAAAAGAAACATAAGGAAAGAGGTGAAAGATAAATATTATAGCCATCAAATAGTACGCCCCAATGCCGTTTGGAACCCAATCACAGCACGATACACTGTCGACTGCGATGCCGCGACCGATCGGGGCGGAAAGACTTGGGATATTCAGGACCAGAGTCTCGGTCGCGGTGACTAGAACCGAAACCAGGCTGACGACGATCTTGACCACGGCCCTGTAGAGCTTGTCGCTGTTGACGTAGCATGCGGACGACGTCGTAAAAGGCCTTTTCGACATTGATGCAATTTTTGGCGGAAGCTTCAGTAAATTCACATCCCAGCTCCTTTGCGAGAGCCTGACCTTCCTGTGCGGAGACGGCGCGCTCAACGGCCTTATCGCTCTTGTTGCCAACGAGCATTACGGGAACGGGTAGTGGCGACCCACTAGCCATAGGAGAGTTGAGGTAGCTGGGGCCAGAGGGAGAACCCGAGCTAGAGGATTCCTTAACCATCTTGATTTGGTTATAGAATTTGGTGATACGTGAGAAAGAGGCGCGTGATGTGATGCTGTAGACTAGGACAAATCCTTCGCCATCTCGGATCCACTGGTCGCGCAATGCGGTGTATTCTTCCTGACCGGCTGTGTCGAGAACCTCGAGCATGCAAGACTGTTGATCGATTACGACTTGTTTGCGGTAGGAGTCCTCGATGGTGGGATCATATGTTTCGACGAAATGATTCAAACATAGCTAAGGTATGTTAGTTGAGATTGAAGTGGAAGTGAATGATTAATGATTACAAACCTGAATTGTCAGAGCAGTTTTCCCAACACCTCCATCACCTAGCACCACCAGTTTGTACAATGTCATTTTCCCCGACATGATGAGTAAGATATATGTGATGTAAGGGGTAAGAGCGGGCGAATTAAAGATTGGGGTGTGAGAGCGAGACAGAGTGAGAGTGAGAGAAGAGTGAGCTTTCCCTCAAATGACGAAGGGGAGGGGGAGAAAAGAGGGGGAAAAAGGACCCAGTGTGCGAAATCTGGTACGGGCAGTGGCTGGAACTGAGTGGAGTTTTGGGTAGTCTTGGGTAGTTAACTTAGTAACGAACTTAGTAAGAGTCAAAATGTAAGAAAATATTAAAGAAGGGGGATTGAAATATTAATGTGAAGAACACTGGAGGGTTTTAATTCTCCCGAGACGGTCTCGGTTATAGCTAGAACTAGTACTAAGAGTAAAAGGAATCATAAATAAAATAGTCATTTAAATAGACTAATCTTCCTGCTAGTCAGTTGACAGCTGCAACTAATAAATAAGATAAATAAGATAAATAAGATGGATAGATCTCATACGGAGAATAACGGACTACCGATGATTGCTTACTAACCTTTAGAGTCTATTATTACTGTGTATATAGATAACATCCTCTCATCCTCATCTTCATCTATCTTCATCTTCATCTCTCATTCTCACTTCATTTCTGATTTAATTTAGTGTGATCCCGTTCTATATTTAATCCTCATCCTCGTTCTATTCTCTCGATCATCGATAAAATTCTAAGCACAGGGCAACTGTGGGTAATCAGATTCGCGGGTCCAAAGGGGGGCTAAAATGTACTTCGTACACACAATTGCAAGGGAAACTACTTTGCTCCGGTGGAGTACTGGAGCCGTTTCTTTTTATTTTTTATTTTTTATTTTTTCTATTTAGTCTCTTTAGTCTAAAAAGCACTGTTCTCGGAGCACGTGGAAAAAAGGCTTTGATTTTACCCACTTGAAGCTATACATCCTCACCCTTCAACCCCCCCCCCTTTTACCACGAACTCTACAACTGAGCAGTAAGAATTGGTGAGTTCATTCCTTTCTGGATTCCCAAGGTTCCCAAGGTTCCGAATTCTAAATTTCCAACTCGCTTCTTAGTTCCTATTCCGAGTGGACAGGCATCCACCCGCGGAACGGCGCGTGGTGTTCCGATAGATCATCCTAAGGCTTTCCTGGAATGACAGGTGGATCTTTTCTATTCATTTCTTGACCAACTACTGAGTAACCTACACACTAATCAATCTAACTAGTTGATGTACGGTCAATTGCCTCTATTGCTAACTCCATTTTGATTACCGGCATATCACTACCGCAGCCCACGACCGCAGACTTGGGTCAACCTTCCTACTATAGAAGTTGAGGGAAGTGCCCTAACCTGATCGATATGCTTCTGGTATTTTCTAGGGTGCTTTTTCAATAAAAGAAAAAAAGGTAGATCTGCCAATTGTCAGAAGGCTATTTACATACCCATACCCCCTTTCAGATATTTCACTCTTCCTTTGACCTAGTCATGAACTATGCGCTCCTTTCTCACAGCGGCTGCCAACGGAAATATCCGAGGCCAGATCTAAAATGGGGCCAAAGGGCCAGAGGGCCGAAGGAACCATATTGACGCCTTCCTTATTGGGATTTGGGGTTGACAGGGGTGACCCCGTTCATGCGCCGTTGACAATGGAGAACGTCATGAACATCCATTGGTCAACGATCGAAAAGACGAAAAGCCTGGACCGGTTCTTTTCTTTTTCTTTTTCTTTCTTTTACCCTCGCGTACGCCCCTATCATCCTTCGCCCGTTTCACCGAGCGATCGGTCATACACCAGGGGGTTCCGATGGGTTGGATCTTGGGTGAACAACGGCGGAATCGGTCAATGTATGGAATTTATGGTTCATTCGGGTACCCTGGGCCATTCCTTCTCGGGGATCAACCGTTTCGCTAGCACGAACCAACTCGCTTCGAGAGAAAAGCTTTATTGGAGTGGGGGAGCTTACAAAGTATGAATAAGTCTGTTGCTGTGGGGTCGACGAACATTCTACTCCTTTGCGTATTTAGAGTACGTAAATACTAATGTCACCGATGGGTGAATGGATATAGCTATACCACTAATTAGAAATGGCCAATGGGTATCTTCAGTGCCGCGCCACTTCTTTAGGTAATTATCTGTGTGGCTGGACAATGGAGTTCTAGTCTGACTTTTCTTTTTTTCTATAGTTTAAGTACCGCAAGTCACCACGGTACAAGTCATGATGATTTAAGGTCATAGGTGACTACATAACTTGTAATTATACCGAATGAATCTTAGGATAAGGGATGTGGTTCCGAAACCTTGCTATAGTCTCCCCGTCTCCAATGGACTACGTGTAATCCCTACTTCTGAATATCCTTCAAGAACCCCGTAACTCTGTCCACCAAAATGCGCCGCGGCTCAGCCTGATCCGGATCACTTAGCGCGTGCGACGCACCTGGAATGACCATACTGCGCGGATCCCAAAACTGATGTCCACCGGCATCAATAGCCCTCTGCCATCGCCTCAGCAACCCCTCCTTATTCACCCAAGGAGGTACAGACTGGTCGCGACCAGAATACAAAACCAAAAGTTTTTGTTTTAATAGACCCCGAGCCCCAACCATACCAAACGTCTCTGCAAGCCGCGCATCACTCAGATCAGAACTGAAGTAATCATCTTCAGCCGGCTTCGCAGGACTATCCGGGCTGACAAGACTAAGGAACCGCCGACTACTCAACGCAGTAGACCCATATCCGATCCGCGACGTTAGTGAGAGAGGCACAAGTGTATCAACGCCATCCTCAAACGTCTTGCGCGCACCCTGAACAGCGCGGTCGTAGATATCCCGCATCTCAGCAGGGCTATTCCGCTCCGTCCCGACCTGTACTTCCCAAAGTATACCCTCACGATCAGAGACAGACGCCTGCATAATGACGCCGTCAACGGGCGGGCGCGTAACAGGCACACAATTCTGATCTAAAATCGGGTGTGCAGGCCGCGGGTTCGGCGCATTGATGTAGTGCATTACATCCTGGCTACCAGTCGAATGGCCCATAAGAGCTACCTTCCCAGCCCCGAAGTGAGGCTCCTTGTAATCCCGGATATAATTCACGCATGCGGCTAGCTCGTCGGTGTCTTGGCCTAGTCGGCCCATTCCCCATCCACCGTATGAGCATGAGAGGATCAGAGTGAAGACTGTCCAGTCGGTGCCTTCTACTGCGCGGATAATGTCATTTGTGTAATCGACTGTGCCGAGGCCGTCGCCTAGTCCGCCGACGAAGATGAGCGTGTTGGTTCGAGATGATCCTTTGGTATATTCGAATGCTAGAAGGCTGGAACTCTAAGAATGGGTTAGATTCGTGCTGGCTTTTTTTAGGCTTGAATGGTGGCTTTATTTACTATGTTATGGAGGATTCCGGGCTGCCCCTTCGTCAATGAGGTCAGATGTTTGAGCTGCATGGTGTTGTGTAGTTGTGCAGTTGTTTGCGGGGAGGAAGATCTGATAAGATAGTGCGCCGATAACCGGAGCTGGTCATTTCCGCTTTGGGATTTAGGGCATCTAGATAAATTCATGAGGTCTACAGACTAGCTGCAACTCTCGGATATTTCCTTCTAAAACTACAGGCAAATATGTGGGTAGAAACGTTCTCCTATTTGGAGCCTTATGACCCCAGTCCTCTACATTGCTGTCACAATGGTAGAAAGACTAGAGTCAACTTTGGAAAGACTATAATTCCTAGACGGAGAAAGTAGCGAAGATGAAGTTTCTTTTCTTGATTCTCCAATTATTTGGGCACTCAATTCAACCCAATTGATCTTTCATCTTCAATCCGGCTTGAAGTCGTAAAAGTGGGTCATATATTTGATATCCTGAATAGTTTCATAGACTAGGTGACCTTGGGATTTAAGAATCGCAAAAACAAAAAAATGACAAGTTTTCCATATAAATCACCTAAAGAACTTAAAAATGATTGGAAAATGAGGTGGACACAGATGGGATTTATAAAACTCGGAAACAAATACTTTGCCCAATAGTAGGAGTTAATAAGGCTTGTAATCTGGTTGTATCCAGATGCTTTTAATATGCATCACCGAAGCATGCCTTCAACCTCTGGTGAGTATTATCTCAGGCTACCATATGAGCCGCAGAATCAGGAGATAAATATTACTCAACTTTTGAACTTATTACTATGACTTAACTAAATACCCAATTCCAAAGGTCACATCTGAAAGCTCTACTGATCTACACCTTAACGTATCTACTTCTAAATAGCTTCACAAAATAGATATTAGGAAGTGATCGAAGGGCGCAAAAATGACAAAATGACGTGTCCGAAAATATGCATCCACCTCGGACCTGAGACCTCGAAGGCACCCTTCCTTAGTAGCACTGTACCGATCTTGACTCCCAATTCACCGATTTAGCAATCGCATGTGTATGCAATTGATTCAAGGCGAGGAGAGATTGAATAAATGTTGACAGCCATGAGTTGGAAATGCTTCCACCGCGTATCACTCATGCTGATAGTGTTGTCCATGGATATTATGATATTCTACAAGGATTTTACATTCTGTGCCTAGATTATGTCCAAAACCTATTACAGGGACTCAAGGCTGCAGAGGTCTCATTACCATCAATATCTGTGTACATTGATCTTCAAAGCTGCAGAACCTTGGAATTACCTGAAGGTTCCCTTCTAACTATGACTTTCTCTTGCCTTATCTTTTACCATCTTCTCACAACGTCGCTGCAATATTCTTTCCCAGATTCACCTCACTACAGGCGACCTCAAGAGTGCATCCAACAGTATGGCGCCCATGATCAGCGAGAAACGGATCAATCAATAACAGTAATTCATGCAGTTTTATATGATTTCTTAAGTCGATCAACTGTTCAAGGTACGTTATATGCGTTACTATGGATCTGGTTTCAATCCTGAATACAGGAAGCGAAAATTTCTCGAGATAGTTCACTGGCCAAGTTAGTACAGATAATAGAAAGCGTTGATACTTAGGTAGTTCTCTCTTAGAAAAAAGGATCTACAACTCCCCCAATACAGGTTCGCTTTTGCGAAGCAAAGTCTCTTTCTTATGACCCTTGGTATTGACCTCAAAGGAATTCGGGCATTTCTAAGCCTTTCTTATTATCTCACCTCAGATTATACCAGCCTCAAATGATAAGCTAGGCATCGGGTATGTCGAGCTTCGGGCGCTTGAAAGTTATAGGCACGCTTTGTGGATCAAGTTTCTCGTCAATATTATCCTGCAGGCTTCAATTTCTCTTGTCTGTATAGTATCTCCTGTTTTTATGGACTCATACTCACCTAATAGCCCAGAAATCAATGATCTTGGATGTTGGTCAATCCAAAGACCACTTGACTCTCCGCTTCATTTTCCATTTACTCTTCCGCCGAGAAAGCCATTTCTCCCGAGGAGTTCAGAAACGAGAACCGGGAGTACGTTCTTGGTGTGGCATAAGCACTATGATGCATTGCTGCGAGGAAGCACCTGGGTAGCGAGGCACTGCGTGTGTGTTGGTGAGGCAGGGCTTATAGCCAACCTTCCAGATATCCCCCACCAAACCCTTGAAATGAGCTAAACTATTATAAAATAGGATGAATTGCTCTTTATTCCTACTCACTTTGAGTCATCAGCATGCCAAAATCTGTGTCTAAGGCACGAGGCTGGTTGATGGATGATTGTTAATCACAACTTCCGAAGTTGTGGCTTCTAGATCCTCACCCTTTTGAGTGCCACGCAGCACAACCTAAGATTCTTCAATGTTCCTATAGGCAGTTGACTGCAAGGCTATTTGAATTCTAATGTGAATTAGGCCAAGATACCTTTACTGGAGATTGATCAAAATGTACCTCGGCATTAAAAATGGCCACTAATTGCTTCTGTCCTTGCAGCCTTGATATTTGCCATCAGTGGCTACTTCAATGATATGATCCCAAGTTTACAACTACCTCAAAGGATAACTTAGAATCTTCCGTTCTTAAGGTCAAGTGCTCAAAGTCGGATGTTATCGTATCCAGAAATCAAAGTTATGGCTGATATTAAACAATAAAGTTAAATCAAAAAAAGAATATATTTCTTCTCTCGCTGTTTTTCTAGTTCTGTAGTGGATAAAGCCTTCGGAAATTGCTTGTTCAGTTGGCTTGGGAGGCCACGCAAGGCCGTCTCAATTTGAAGGTGAATTAATGTGGATATTTCAAGTGTTTCCGAGTTATAACAATCTTCCACGATTCTTTTGGAAATCAAATTATTCTAAAGCTGATATGGCTAGAATATCTATTCGATTCCCAATAGCCGAGCTACCTCGTTAAAGCCCCCTGTATTCAGTTCAATCCAGATATCAACGAATCCATCCTCCCTAGCCTGCGCAATCTGCTCAGCATTCCATGTATCCTCTGCTTCCCGCTCAACATAGATCGTGTGGAATCCACAGTCCTTCGCAGCTTTCAAATCATGAAGATGAGCCGCCACCAAAGCACATTGACTGGGTTCAACCCCCAGCAATTTCGCTGCACCAAGATACACCTTAGGTGAAGGTTTGTAGGCCTGGAAGTTTTCAGCACTTACAAGATGCTGAAAAGGAAGAGACCCAAACTCTTTGAGATCTTCCAGCAGAGAAATATTCCCGTTAGACAGTGTGGCCGTGATAAATGCAGTATTAAGCCGTGCCAATCCAGAGACGCTATCTGGCCAAGGATTGAGCCGATGCCAAGCAAAAGTCAGATCCCGTAGCTCGTCATCAGAGAACAAATCTCGGAGTCCCCGCGCAGAGAGGAGATCTTGTAGAGCTGTGTAGTGGTGCTGATCTACCGATACGAATTTTTTGGAGGGATCAAAATCTCTCGTAAATACTGCATATGACATCCGCCATTCTTCGACTAGGCTGACCCAATCTGAGGTGGTCAATTGTGATGCGCGCACTCGGGCTTCGGTAGAGATTTCCTTGGAAGGATCTGTCAGAGCTTGTTGGGTTGCACTGCTCAAGGCGGTTGTGACACAAGATCGCCATTCGACGACTGTGCCAAAAGTATCGAAAAGTAGGGCCTTGGGCTGCATGGTGCGGGGTTGGCGGTTGAAACGGCTAGTTTCTCGACTAGGGTAGGATATTACTGGAATGTTATTTAGTATTTTAGGAATCAAGATCAGAATATGATATTTGATATGTCGAATGGATAGATCTGGCCGTTAGAAGTTAAAGGGTAAGACGTGGCAGCTGAGTCAGTCTGGGGTCCGGGGTCCGGGGGAACCGAGGTCATCTCAACTGCATCTCACGGAACGGTTCCGTGGATATACTTATCTAAGTAATATTTATACCCAGATGATCACGATCCAAAGTTGGATCGTGTACTCGAGGGGTTGACACCTTTACTCTTGCAAATCATTCCTTTCATATGATTGAACATCAAGACTGCCCTATCATTTTAAGGACCTCGAGGACTTTGACTCGAGAAACATTTATTCGCTGGCCCGAATCATTGTACGATGATTTGACTTTCAAAAGCAGCTGGGCTCTGGACGGACTTGGGCTATGGGAAAGGATCCCATCCTGCCCAGTTGAATTGAAACAAAGCACTGGAGGCTGACCTGCAAGCTACCCAATTTCTCCGAGAATGGCGTAACTGCTGTGAACTCAAGATAGTTATCACGTTTACATGGCGTGCTCTATCTATATGGGCTAATCTAGAAGCCAATATAACCGGAATTGAGGTTTTGAATGTTGTGCTTTGGCAACTTAGTGATGTGATGCGGGGGACTATCGAATGAAGCTTCGATTAAAGATAAGTCACCGTAAGAATTGTCGCAGTGACATGAGTCGATAAGCCAAAACTAATCTGCCGATATCTGAAGCTACAGATTGATTCGTTGTATGCATTAAAAGCATGGATCTGACGGCATTTGTAGTGAAAGACGCCATTGACCCCCACATTTTGCTCATGGTGAAGCAACCAACGCAACAAAGACGCACCATATACCATCCACCAGCTTAGAAATCCATGAGAGGACTAACTCGTCATATGATAAGATTGAGTTATAATGGCGAAGATGTAAACTTACTTATAATGAGACAACTCCGGCGAGTCTCTACGGAATCACCACTCGATATCAGATTTTATATCACCATTTGCAACTATGGCCCCATCAGCAACACCAGTCGCTCTTCCAATCCATCCTGGCATCAAGGATGTGAGAATTCAGAAGAAGGATACCCTACCACTCCCTGACGCTGCCCGAGAACGCCTTGAGAAAGCGGGCATCGATCTCTCCAACGGTTACCCATCACGCCCAGCAGCTCCTCTATATCTCGACGATGCCATTGCAATTCGCAATACCCCTCGAGAGCATATTGAGGCTGGTGCCAGGGCAGACAAGTCCAAATCTTCTTTGTTTTCAGCAGCCAAGGAAGTGAAGAATCTTACCAACCACATCGGTACCGAGATTGTCGGTCTGCAATTGAAGGATTTGACAGATCAGCAGAAGGATGAACTGGCATTGCTGATTGCTGAACGGAGTGTCGTGTTTTTCCGTGATCAGGACCTTTCTCCCCAGCAGCAGAAAGCTTTAGGTGAATATTATGGAGAGGTCGAGGTTCACGTGAGTTCATATCTTCTTTTGATGATGTTTCTCTTGCTAATTTCCTGCAGCCACAAGTCCCACAGGTACCTGGTGTGCCCGGTGCTTCCGTGATCTGGCCTGCGTTGTGGGCAACTGAACGAGGGGTATCATTCAGGAAGCCAGGAGGTGCATCGAGCTGGCACACTGATCTCGTTCATGAGCTGCACCCAGCGGGAATTACCCATCTCCATAACGATGCTGTTCCCTCCATCGGAGGAGACACTCTATGGGCAAGTGGTTATGCCGCATATTCCAAACTATCTCCGGAATTCCGCAAGTTTCTGGATGGCAAGGAAGCTGTGTATATTAGCGCACACTCCTACCTGCCTCGTGATGACCCAACTCTTGGACCTCAGCGCATCGAGCGTGTTCATCCCCTAATCCGAGTTCATCCTGCTACTGGCTGGAAAGCTTTGTGGGTCAACCGCTCTATGACCAAGTCTATTGTCGGTTTGGATAAGGCTGAGAGTGACTTGATTCTCAACTATCTTTACGATGTGTATGAGAAGAACGTTGATATCCAGGTCCGGTTCAAGTGGACTCCAAGAACCTCGGCTCTTTGGGATAACCGAATCACCATTCACAATGCTTCTTGGGATTATGAGGGAGGCGAGCCAAGACACGGAACTAGAGTGACGACTTTGGCGGAGAAGCCTTACTTTGTGGCTGATGCTCCAACAAGACGTGAAGCTCTTGGACTCAATGACGAGTAAGCTAGTCAACTACTGCATATTGTGCATATTTAGGTACATCGGCTAGAAATGCAGAACCCACTTGGGCACTGTCAATGTATTCGTATTCCGTAGTATTGCCGAGAATAATATCGAGTAATATATGATCTTCATTCGATTGGAATGTGATGAATTACTAGTGGAATGGCCAATTAGGTTAATTCAGTCCTTTCCATTTCTCTATTTTTTTTTCCTTCCTCAACAACGTCATCTCATCTCTCTTGATCCCCCTTTCAACTTCAAGTGTTCTCCACTTCTCAAGAATGAGTCGCATTAGTGCCTGTCAGATAATAGCCCAGATTAAAACTGAATTCCAGACCTGTCCCGCCTGTCAACGGCCCGCGTTCACCTCTCACAGTGGGTCTGAATCGATTGAGTTCGTTTCGAGATTGAATCTCATCTCTCTCATTATGAAGAAGGAGATACGATTTAGATGATCCTTTCCAACCTTGATTGGCTGACTTTGTACTTGTTCAGGTACAAAGTTCAACAACACGAGATTTTACACACAAAGAGGTTAGACTTTTCACTAGACCCTTACTAGGGCAATGCTACGAGCTGCCACATCAACAAAGGAACCACGGTTCTCACTCGGAAAAGGCCGCCGTTGAAAGCTTCGGTGGAGACACTCGGATTGACCTAAATACCCGAAGCTCCGGACCCCCTATTTTGCTTATGCACTCCATCTTTCCGCCATTTCGTCCAATTTCCTACTCGAATATATACATGGCTGTTGCAGGACCTTGAGCTCTTGGACTTTTGGATCTCAAAATTGGGTGGCGTTTGTGATGCAGCATGAAACCAGCAACACGGGCCATAGGCTTATTCAAGTCTATCCAACGAAATTGGACGTCGATCATTACTTGAGCAAATCTCACGCTAGGACGAACAGGACCAACGGTACGCAGCTATTCCTAAACACGCTAAGTCAACCTTCGTCATGTCCACTGTCCCTCTTCTTACTAGCCGCGAAAAAAAGGGGCAAACCAGTTCCTTGTTCAAAACGAGTAAACGCTAGGACTGATACGTTCTTGTGGAGCTCACAGGATTCAACTTCCCCAGGCTAATGAGTCTAGGGGAGTCTAGGGAGATTCCTTTCTTACTCAAGGACTCATCCAAGCTCCATTTCTCTCTTCCATCGAATTCCTCGCCTTCCAGAACTTCAAGGCGTTCTGACTGCATCCTACATCCCTGGTTATCGGCACATCAGACCCAAAATCTTGCTGCTGCTTTTGGGATGTTTCGGATTCTGTACATGCATGCATGTCTAGTGTCTTTACAGGTGGGTTCTAGCCTTTCCCACCCCTATCGAACGCCCCCCTGCCCTGCGTTCTCCGCACTTGCTTCTTCCTACCTCACAATGGCACGATTCCGACTATGGGCAAGGCTGATCTAACTATAACTCAAGCTAGCGGGTTAACTAGGTTGTGTCTGATCATTTCCTCCTTTGTAAAAATGTCCGTCGTGTTCAGTGGTCCACACATTAGCAAAAGTATCCGCATGGTCGAGAGCGATCGGTTTTGAAAGTGCATTAATTACTACTTTGCACATCGCCAGGGGTTTTGATTTGATCTTCCTCTTCTCCACATCCCCGTAAGTAAGTAAATTCAATTAAAACATTTCAGACTCCCTCGCGCCGTGCGATCCGCATTTGTAAATCAAAAAGTGGCTGACCGTTGCAGTTGCACAGCATTTCTACCTCTTTCCCCCCCTCCTTTTGATCTATACTAGAATAGCCATCTGAAAGATATCACGATTCCTTATAACATCGACACAAATGATTGAATGACTGAATTACGGTAAAACTTTGATGGGACCCTGCCGTGTAGTGCTCTGGTTAGCACGGGGAAACCTACAGATCTCCAACACGAGCAGTGATGGCCACGGATTTGCAATCCCTGGTGATGGCCGAACCGTCTCCCGCCCTATCCAAAACTTCTAGCTCGAAGGCGAGATCAAGATCTCGCCCAGCACGGCGCCGCCGAGACTCCTCCCCCTCTACAACTGGTCTACCAACTCCCGCCTTCTCTCCAGACGGACCAAGTGATATTGATCTGGATGACGACATCATCGAAGGGAATACTCTCTCCCCGTTTGATGCTCGACGAATTACCCCCACCCTCCATGCATCGCTCGTCTCGGAAATCCTTTCCCTTCGTCGCGATATCGAAGATAGGGACAAGACGATTGATTCATTAGAGCTAAGCCTCGATGAATCTCGGAATGAAAATGAGGCGCTCAGCGAGGACCTGTCTCAATCCACTCGCGAGGCGCGGTCTTTGACAAATCAGCTGCGGCTATTAGAGGGTGGTTCGTCGTCTGCAATAACAGAGCTTGCTCGTGAGCGGGACGAAGCCGTTTCGAACATCACCGATGTCCGGAAGAGACTAGAATCTGCACAGAAGAAAGTGCGGAATCGCGAGGAGGAAATTGATCGAACTCAGATGCTGTGGGATGGTGATCGTGAGGCATGGGAAAACGAGCGACGCAATTGGGAGCGGAAAGTTCATGTGGTGGAAGGCCGCCTCAAGGCCGTGCTGAACCAAGTGGCCGCCGCTCAGGAAGCCAAATCGCTCAACTCACAGCATAGTGGTGAAAATAAAGACACCTACAAGTATAAGAGCAAAGGAAGTGATAGCGCCAGCATAGCTTCCAGCAGCCAGGATCGCCGACGTACAAGTATAACCAGTTTAACTTTGGATGATGGTGACACTGAAGCCAAATTCGATAATGTCCGATATTCGGTGATCAGCGTGGCAGCTGGCAAAGCTGACTCGGGCTTGAATCTGGCCCAAGAATTAGCATTCGACGAGGAAGAGGAAGAAGATGAGGAAGATGAATTTGACGATGAGGATACCCCCCTTTCACCAGAGATGCCGATGTCACCAGAGATGTCGATTTCACCAGAGAGGCCGATTTCACCAGAGATGCCGATTTCACCAGAGATGTCGATGTCCCCAGAGAGGCCGATTTCACCAGGGGCTCTTCCGGAGGAACGACCGATTTCTATGATTTCTCAAATATCATTTGCTCCTTCCTTGAAGGCCAGAAAAATCCTGGGTCTTTCTTTCGAGCAGATTGAGCCACCTATAGCAGACTTCTCCAAGCTAGCGCAGTCTTCTGTTGTATATCGAGATGCTGGAATTCAGTACTCCCCTCCCTCGTCACCCGAATTGCCAGCTGTGAGGGAAGTTATCAACCTCGGTAATCTGGACGAGATGCCCAAGATGATGGACAGTTCAACGCTCACTTTAGGCGTCCAGATGGTGTCCTCTTCTTGTCAGACTCTTGGTGGGCTTCCTATTCCCCCTTGGATACCAATCCATCATCCTGTGGAAGAGTTTGCAAAGCCCGTTCAAATGTCATCCGTCTCGACCCAAACCGAACCTATTCCGGTTCCAGAACCCGAAGAGGAGAGTGTCATGACACCTGTTGATATTCCAATGATTGCAATCCATCCACCAGGTTCGGAGCCGTCCTCACCCAGAACCAGTATCGTTCTTCCTCCACAAACGAAAAGCGTATCAGTTCAAGCCAATATCACAACGGTTGTGGAGGGCCGGTCAATTGCCATTCAGACCGAGGAGATTCACGTTGATCGACGCCCCGTCAAACTCCCCGCCAGCCTTCTTCCTTCTGCAATTCAAGATCTACCGTTCAACACGGAACCCAAGGTTGAGAATACCAACTTCCAGCCATACCCGTCATATCCTCAGCCTGTACCGCCGCCACGCTCGGCAAAGAGAGACCGTCAACGAACTCTAGCAAGAACAGTAACAGCGACTGTCGAGTCTCCACGCACTCAACCGAAGAATATACAGGTATACCCTGGCAATAATGATAATGGTCCACTCTCGGATAATATCAAGTCTGGAATCAGGCGACCACCTCGGTCTAGTAGTCTCTTTGCAGGATTCAGCGATGACGAGAGCCCCAAAGTTCAGGCGCAAGAGCGCGAAATCTTCACAGATGACGATCTCCTCAATCGACCTTTCGCATCGTATACCCTCCGTCGTGGCAAGATGGTGAACATCGAGTCGAATCTCAAGCCCAATTTCGATGAGATGCATCTTCCCGAAATTAACGAGCAGTCCGACACTGGTCATGTCTCGTCTAATGGGATCAGACGATCTCTCACAACTTCCCATAGCGACCGACAAGCTGGAATACGCAAGATGACCATGATATCCAGTGATGCACAAGAGATTCGTGTCCGGAGTCCAAGCGATCCCAGCATGAAAAGCAACAGTTCTGTCTCAACAAAGCCTCCATACCCAGTTCCGACCCGTCTCAGCTCGCGTAATATCCCACTCAGTGGTAGTGACGAGCCTCTGACTCCAACGCGCCCATCAATCCGAAATTTCACGGACCGAGGCGCTGTTACTCTGGTACGGAGACCGACTCTGCGTCGCGTGCAATCAGCAGCTGCAATGTCCCAGTCTGACATCCCCGAGCGTCCGGATACCCTCTCATCTCCAGGATCTTCGTTGTTGTTTGATAGTCCTCTTATCCTCCCACCCCATATCCCATCTGACGAGATCACTGCTCCTCGCGCCAACCTACCGAGACAGAAGTTACAGAAACGTCCATCTCAGCGTCGACCGTCCACTAATGTGGAGCGTGAGGAGCGTGAGCGGCAGGATTCGATGGGTGGCTTGCAGCCCACTAGCGTTGTTGACGCCATTGCTCAAACAATGGTGGGAGAGTGGATGTTCAAGTACGTCCGCCGCCGCAAGTCCTTCGGTATGGGTGAGTCGAAGGACAACTGGGAGGGTCGAAACCCAGATGAGGTGTCGGCCAGCATTACCAACAGTGGTGCGCGACACAAGCGATGGGTCTGGCTCGCGCCATATGAGGGCTCAATCATGTGGAGTAGCAAGCAACCCACCAGTGGACCTGCTTTGCTAGGGAAGAGTGGTCGGAAATGTAAGTTATACCTTTCTTCTGTGCTTAGTATTCCTACTCACATATCGATTTCTAGTTACTATCCAATCAGTCTTGGATGTCAAGGACGATAACCCGATGCCTAAAGGCTCCGGCTCTCCAGCCCCATTCAACCGTTCCATCCTAGTGCTCACGCCACAGCGTGCGCTCAAATTCACAGCCATGACGGTCGAACGACACTACGTCTGGTTGACGGCCCTATCCTTCCTCAGTCATTCGACCGTGGGTCTGCATGAATTAGCCTCAATCCCACCAGCTCCGCAGGAAGAAGCCAAAACACCCACACCACCAAGAGCTGCTCTCCGCCGCAACCCTATCCGCGACTCTATCCGTGTGGCTAAATATCGACCCAAACCTCTACCCGGAGGCCGGATGATCGCACACAAGCCCGTCCCCGAGCTACCAACTAAGGAGCGGGAAAGTCTTGACATGGCCGCAGTTGCACCACACGTCCCTCGCTTTTCAAATCACACCCGCAAGCGCAGTCACACCTCACCGCGCCCACCTCTCCGCACCCTCCGCAGCTTTTCCAGCCAAGGCACAGTGCTCTCCTCGAACAGCGGTACGACGGTGGGCTCTGATCCATACTTCTCCTCTGCAATTCCCCCAATTATACCAACCGGATACGGCAGTGCCCCTAGTAGCATCAGTCGCACCTCAGAAGCAAGCGCACGTACCTACAATACAACCGGTACTAGTCGCACCTTCGATATAGGCACTGTGCGCATGGAGGCCTTCATTGATCCCCATACTGACACGAGTCGGCCGCGTCCAAGGCCAAGACATAAACACAAGGCTTCTAGTCAGTGGAGTCAGCCTCGTTACGAGTATGACGCACCTTCTGTCGTTGACAGTGAAAATTCCTTTCGACCTGACGATCCATTCCGCGGCTTCTAAGCTCGGTGTTATCTTTGCCAGTAACTCTCTTCATTCCTTTCCTTCCACTCCTTCACTTCCTCTGTCCTATACTGCATAACCTGCCTTTTCGTTGCACTCTCTCTCTCTCTCTCTCTCTCTCTCTCTCTCTCTCTCTCTCTCTCTCTCTCTCTCTCTCTCTCTCTCTCTCTCTCTCTCTCTCTCTCACACACACACACACACACACATATATATCCTTTTTGTCATGTTTCACCATGTTGATACCATTGTGCGATAATATACCAAATTTGAACCAGCGAGAATCGGGGCGTTCTGGAAACGAAATATCGATTTGATTCGAAATACAAAATGAAATAAATACCTTGAAAGATAATAATAATGCCTGCTCGTACATGACAAAATTGAATGATGTAAATGTATTGGAAGTCGGAAACAAATCACCCTCAAGTCTTTGTCTTTCTCTAGCCGGCAGAAACGACTTTCTATCCGATGGCCTGATCAATAGAGCAGAGCAATAACAATAGCCATAGCCATAGCCATAGCAACAGTTTCCCGAAGTTGCCTTCAAGTGTTTCCCACTATTATAGATCACAACTTCGCAGCTTCCTTCACCTCTCCGATTTTCAACTTGGGCGAATACTTCGTCAAGACTGAGTCGTTGTGGTACTGCAGGATTAGAGTAGTTAGCACAGGTCCCATTAACCAAAACCAAGACCTTCCCCTTCATAGCTGATTGTAGCTCAAAGAAGGTGCGATAGATCAGTATTGTGAATACCTTCCAGAACTGCTTCGACGCATCCTTTCCTGCAACGCGCTTCAGAATTTTTGCGCCGCCGGGGTGTTCATCGATGAACTTGGTCACGTCATAGACGTTGTTATCGATTATTATGTATAGGCCGTTCTCGGCGTTGTTATGTGACGCAACGTCTGCTGGAGAGAAATTTTGCGACATTATTGATTTGATTTGGTCTTTATTCTGGAAAGGGAGAGGTAGATGTGTGTTGTTCTGGTTTGCTTGTTGATGTTGTAAAGTTGAAAATGCGGGGGGCCGAGGTTCATTAGTTGCCGCGGTCAGAAATATGAAATACATCATGTGTGATTGGACTAGAATTAATTCTTTTTTTTTTACTGATTCATCAGATTCATGATTCACGCTGTTAGTTATTTGATACAATGTTTATAGTAAACAGCCCATGTGCTAGCTCTTCTCATCACATTCGACTTTTCTCGCCGGCTGCTCCAGCTCCCTTCGTCTCTTTCCGATCTAACCCTAATGACTCCAGATCTTTCTTCTTATAATAGTGCGGCGCTACCTCGACTAGCCACTCCGCCTGTAATGGCATGTTACTGCGCATGTACTCTTTACTAGTAAGCACCAGCTCAAAGTAGATCACCCACCGTGGGTTCACCTCGAATAGCGTGCTAGTCGGATGCAAGTAGACAGACTGGCCGGTCTTAATGGTGCGGTAACTGTCACCACCACGCTGCAGTCGTGCTGCGTTCGGGAAGAACCCGGCTGTGATGGCTTTCTGGATCGGGATGTAGTTGTTGGCGCCGCAGGTACTGATTGAGACCTCGACGCGGTCGCAGAGCTTGGCTAGTTGGTCGCGGACATCGCGGGCTCGGGTTAGACTACGTTGTTGGAGGAAGTTCTCTTTCGACCAGACGACGCTGAAGTCTGCGTCTACCCATTGGTTCCATATGTTTAGGAGGGTAAGGTGGTCGCCGCCGTCTTTGACAGTGAAGCGGTTGCGGGCACTGTCAGCGTGGATCTTCTTGTCTTTTGGACGGAAGAATAGCGCGCTTGCTTCGCTCAGCATTGATACGATTGACAGAACTTCTTCTACACATCCATACTTGTCTGCTCCGAGGATTGCCTTTGCTAGCATTGGATCTGTGGGGAACTCGGCCATCTGTCGGCCGACCTTGGTCAGATCTCCGCGGTCGTTGAGGGCACCAAGTGCGTACAGTTGCTCCAAAGCTCGAATGATGGTCTCCGCGGGCGGTGGGTCCATAAAGTCAAAGTCAAGCAGTTGGTCAATACCCAGTGATTTTAACATTAGAATCACTCCGTTCAAGTTTGTGCGCTGGATCTCAGGAGTAGTGTTCTCCTCCAGCTCGTTATGGTACGCCCACTTCGTGTACAGCCGGAAACACTTACCGGGACCAACTCGCCCGGCACGTCCAGCTCTTTGGTTCGCCGAGGCCCGCGAGCAGGGAGTCACGACCAGGCTTTCCATACCAGTGCGCGGGTTGAACACGTTCTCTTTGACGAAGCCGGGGTCGATCACGTAGACAATACCGTCGATAGTCAGACTTGTCTCGGCGATGTTGGTCGCCAGAACCACCTTGCGCGCCTTGGGAGGAGTAGGCTCGAAGATTTTGCTCTGCAGTTCAGACGGCAAATTTGCATAAATAGGACAGATTATCATCTCGGGTATCTTACTCCCCAGTTTTTGGGCTGTTTCCGCTAGACTTTGCTCGCAGGCCTCAATCTCTTCTTGGCCGGTTAAGAACACCAGGATATCACCAGGACCTTGGGAAACGTGGATCTGGAAGACTGTGGTAATGGCAGCTGCTAGATAGTTGGCTTCAGGCTGAGAAGTGTAGTGTACGTCGACTGGGTATCGTCGACCAGGAATGTTAAATATGGGCGCATCGTCAAAATACTTCTGGAACTTCTGCGCGTCCATGGTCGCGGAGGAGATTAGTAGTTTGAGATCCGGGCGCGCCTTCGCGATATCCTTGAGAAGACCACAGGCAATGTCTGTCGGCACCGTCCGCTCGTGAGCTTCGTCAATCATCAGTGCCGAGTACTGGGCCAGGTCCGGCTCGGTCAGCAGCTCCCTGAGAAGCATGCCGTCCGTCATATACTTGAGAACCGTCTTGTCGCTCGTGTTGTCCTCGAACCGGATTGCATAACCAACCTCATTCCCGATCTTCACGCCCATTTCATCTGCTACACGGGCTGCGACACTCATGGCGGCGACTCGACGTGGTTGGGTGCAGCCGATCTTCAATCCACCCTTTGTGTATCCAGCCTCGTGGAGGTATTGCGGAATCTGCGTTGTCTTTCCCGATCCCGTTTCACCGACTATAATAAGAACCTGATGATCATGCACAGCCTGGATAATCTGTTCACGGAACTGGTAAATGGGCAGACTCCTGCGAGTCTCCTCCATTGACATAGCCTTCTTCTCGGCTGCATCAACTTGTTCCTTGAAGCGTCGTTGTTCTTGGGTCAACATCTTCTCCGTTCCCTCCAGCTTGGCATCCACCACAAAATTGATCTGTTGTGAATCATCGAAGACGTACTCATAATCGCCTTCGTCGACAAACTCGGCCTTCTTGATCTGTGCATTGGCTTTGGCAGTCTGCTCCAATTCCCACTCTTCATGCTCCGTAATGAATTTCTCCTGGCCCATTTCATCACGCTCAACATAGCGTTTATAGAGCGCGTCTTCTTTCTTCTTACGATCAATCTTTCCCTTCTCTGTAATATAATCTTCTGGTATCACGTAGCCATCCCGGTGGTCATCGATTCGAAGGCGCTCTTCGGCGAGACGAAGAACTTCGCGATTACGAGCAAATTCATCCTTTTCTCGACGGGTGAGATTCGGGTTCTCGCGCAGCTCGGTAGCCTCCTCCGCAACCTGTCGTCGTAATAGCGCCAGTCGCTCGGTTTCACGCTTCTTGAGGTATTCCTGACGAGAACGCAATCTAATGTCAGGCATGACAGCAGCCCGCGCATCTGCATCGTCAGCCAGTTGACGGCGTCGCGCAGCTTCCCCCGTATGGGTGCGGTCTTCCACGATCTTCTTAGATTTTCGGTCATCTTTATTGGCCAATCGCTTCGCAAATTCGTCTCTCTCGCGAAGGTCCTTCTGTCGATCAATCTCTAACTTGGTCTGTGGATCGAGATCGTCGCTGGGTGATGCAGCTCGTGGAGAAGCAGACCCATCTTCGAGTCTCGTGCGTTTCGAAGGCGGCTCGACAAATTCGTCTTGGTTGGCATCGGAATGATTCTCTTCTTCCAAGAATTCCTCGTCACCCCATCTTTCATCAAAGTCCTGGGTTCCCTTCCTTCTTAGCTTTTTCGACTTATGACGATCTCGCGTCTCTGTGTCACGACTTCGGTCTCGTTTGCGGTTTTCATCTCTCTCTGAGCGAGTGCGAGTTTCGTCGCGCTTGCTCCGTACTCGGTCCCGATCACCATCTCTCTCGCGTTCTCGGCGTCTCCTTCTTTCGCGCTCTGCTTCGACGTTCAGGGGCTCTAGTGCTGATGCGGAATCGGGCTGCTCTTCCATCTCTACCATGCGGTATTTCTTTGTTGTGGAGGAAGTCGCATTAGATTTGGTAGCACTGGGCTGTGAAGGGCCCACGCGGGAAAAAAGTTGGCGGGAGAATGCGCCAATTTCATCTGGGCTGCCATCGAGGAAGGATAGGAGTTTGTCTTTTAGGGAGGCGGCAGATTTGGCTGAGCTGGCTTCTGCAAGGACGAAGTCAACGGCGATGGAGTCGGATGCACCCGTTAGGCGAATGAGGGAGTCTGATACAAAAGTGTTGTTGTCCATGTTGAGGGCGGTTGAGAGGGATCCCAATTCTTGGTGTTAGATGGTGAGAAGTTAGGTATCACGTCGCATTGGTCGCGGTGGATTGTAGTGGACACAGGGGTATATGGTTAAAATGAGAAGACGAAGAGGGAAGCTGGAGTTGCGATTGAGATTGGAAGCTTCGTAGTGCCAAGACCAGTGGCGCAAAAACCACTAATATAATATTGACTAATATTTCAAGACTCGAAATGACAACGAATATTTAAATAATTGATAACTTGAACAGAGAGATCAGTTGGTTTCTATTTTGCTGTTTCCTTTCAGTCCCTGTAAGTTACTAGAAATTGATACCTAGGTATCTAGGTATCATAAATGCAATGTGAATGTGTACTGAGTATTTTGGTGTCGACAACTTTAAGAGAACGTTCCAAGTTTATATTCTCCGGAGCTGATGGTTATGATGGTAACCTTAGAAATTAGAACGGACATCTAGATATTTGGAGGTATATATTCGCCAATGATCTATGTAAACATTGTATAAGCCACGGATCTCAACATCTGTTTGTCCTGGAGGACATCCTTAGCTATCTCTCTATATTCATTGTTCATACCTCTACCTCTACGTACACACTAAACTTAGAAGCATCCACCCATAATAAAAGCCCTTTATGATGGAGTTCCCATTTATCTGACTTGGTAGTGTAAAAATAATATAGGTCACGTTCATAGTGACCGCCCGGCAGAATAAACAACAGGCACAATTTGGACATGGATGCATGTTTGTATAACACTCTTTGTAACGAAATACAATTATACAGGCCCAGTGGCCTAGTGGTAAGATGTCTGACTTCTAATCAGAAGATTGGGTATTCAAGTTCCTCCTGGGTCTTCTACTTTGTGATTTCTTTTTTTGGGGGGTTTTTGTCATGTATGCAGAAAATATATATATATATCCATGGATATCAATGTAAAATTAACTGCTTGGGTAGTACTTCGAAGGTTGTATGGGCATCTCGACATCAAAATTGCTGAGGGTACCAGGATATTACCCTTAAGGCGCTAAAGTCTATATATACATGGATTCTAAGGTTTACGTAGGCAGAAAAGTAAAAACTGTTCATATCATATCATTCGTACTCAGTTCTATTCACAAAAAGAATTCAACTGGCCATTCAAACACAAAACGTGAGCAGATCTCGCTAACAGACCATACCAGCTATCATTTTATCATCAGATGTCGCACGGGGACAGAAAAACAACAGGAAACAGTAAAAAACGAGTCAGACGGTGTCGGAACTCCCAATAACAGTCAACAATCCCATGATGCAAAAGCAAAGGCGTTGTCAAATTGCCGCTCGGGCCGTCAAAAAACATGACAAAAAGAATCCATAAAACTCCATGGAAGATCTGGTCCAATAGATACAATACAAGGGACCCGTTAGCTTGGTCTGTTGTTGTGGCCGCATTCAGTCGTAAGGGATATTGGTGGGTACATTCATGGTATCGATAACGCTAGAAAAGGAGTACAAAGGAAGGAATCGAAAGAAAAAGGGACGAAGAAGCAAGAAACGAGAGAAGAACGCCACGCTGAGCACCAGGGCTCTTGACTCTTATCATACTTCATTGGGTCATGGCAAGAGATAAATAACCAGTTCGGGCACCAATGGTGCCATTTCAAGGCCTGAGGGGGATGGTCGAGAAACACAGAATGGCTCGATTTGAAGGTTAGACGAACTTCGTCGGAAAGAAAACAAAGTAAGAGTAGTCGTAATCGGAAACGTGACATGAGATAGTTAGGCGTAATGATATCGTCGAATTGTGCCGACGCTGGGAATCAGATGACAAAGGAAAATTTGACCATAAAAGTGGAAAAAAAGCAAGGAACACCTTCCATATGCACATAAGGTCGAAAAAAGGGGAACATAGATTACAATATTGATAACATCGATCAAACATCGATCATTTCGGCATCCTCTGCCAAGATCTCATCGGCAGGGCCCCAGTTGCCCTCAAACACAGTAGCACCGGCACGGCGGCGACGGTTGACAAATTGTACTCCATAAGTTGCCAAGATCTGATCAGCCGTGGGTCGATCAGACGGCTCTGGGGAGATCATCCAGCGGACAATGTTATCTAATGCCTGGTCATGGTGAGAATCGACCATGAAGTCTGGTGGATCTAGTAGTTCACCAGTGCGAGCTAGACGAGTTGACTCTTGATGATTCGTCTGGCGACTGTGCATGAAATCGTCGCCAAAGTCGTCATCACCCAGGTCGGATGCGCAGAGCTCCTCAAAGGAAGAGCTGCCTCCTCCTTCGACGACGGGGTTTCCAGATGCATCGCGGAAAACACTGGTCTCTGAGCTCCAGGTCAGACTGGGAACGTCGCTCATATCACCATTGCGAAGCTTCTGCCAAGATACTCCATTATCGGGTAACTCGACATTACCAGCGATTTCGAAGATAATCAAACCCAAGGAGAAGATATCGGCCGGCTTATCAAATTGGCCCATGAGAATCTCCGGTCCAATATATTCACGATCACCCTCACCGTCAATGCCACTCGCCGCTGGCCAGCGAGTGGCCATGCCGAAGTCTCCAATCTTGAGAACACCCTCAAATGTGACTAGGATATTGGCGGGCTTAAGGTCAAGGTGGATAAAGCCTGCATCATGGACGTGCTTCAGCCCCAAGGACAGTTCCAAAAGAATCTTCCAGATTCGGAAGTCATCTAATCGAGCCTTGAGGCCAGCCTGGGCCAGAAAGACATCCAGGCTACCCTCCTCACAGAACTCTGTTTGAATGTAGAGATGAGCGTTATCTTCCCAGCTATCAGCGAAGGAGACAACGTGCTCTGTGTTGACTAGGGTTTTCAGAATTTCCACTTCACGAATCCGACGTTCACGGTCCTTGATGCCCAAATAGGCCTGCTTGCTTTTCTTGACGGCCCAAACCTGATGTGTCAAAGTAGTGGGTGATCTAGGTTCACTAGATGGGAGAGGGAAGACGGAAGAGACTGGAGCATTGTGAGGCTGTGAAACTCGGTAGACCTTGGAGAACTCTCCAGTTCCAATAAGCTCAGCCCTATCAAAGCGGGTTGAGATACTCGAGTCAACATCGGGAGTGTGGAAACCGCTGAGCTGGAGGCTCTGGCCGTGGTTTGACAGGAGTGATTCACGGGGCCCGGTTGGAGTCGCAGGCATGGCATAGTGGCTATGATCAGGCTGGAATAGCGATTCGCTAGGGACTGAGATTGACAAGCTGCTTGGATCCGGGAAGAGATTGTCTCGCGGAGTGCGAGGTGAGGCCTGAAGGAACCTATCATGAATCGGAGTCTGGTTACCAGAAGACCGTGTTTCTGACAGGCGTTCCAAAGAGGCGATCTGGGAAGTAGTGGGAGGATAAGTGCGAGAAGGGAGGAAGCTTTGTTTGGTAGGAGTAGGGGGGAAGTCAGAATCGGTCATGGACTGACTGTCGCGTGAAGATGGTGACTGGGAAGGGAACAGGTCATCACCATCGACACTAGCATAGCTGCCGCGACGGGATGGCTCCTGTCGAGGGAATGTGCCAAAGATTCCCATGCCTCGAGCGAAACCTTGCTTCGGACGCACAGTGGAAGCGGGAGGGTTGAAGGGTGAGCCAGACCCGGCGGGTTTGTCGAAAGTAGCATTCAAGCTGGCTGCAAACAGATTGATGGGTCGCTTGCAGGGGGTATCGGGCATATTCTTGCTGAAGCCCAAAGGTTCCTCCGCGTTGCGATTCTTCTTGGAGATTAGTCCAGTTGACATAAAGGCTGCAGGCAGCGGCTTGACCAGCTTGAAGTTATCCGGGGTTGCGAATGAGTCTGAAGAGTTCGACTCTTCACGGGTCACCCGGCGCACTGGCGCAGGGCGCGATGCGCCAGCGGGAAGAGATTTAGAGAAGTTGAATGCCGGCCGCCGCGACTCCATTACTTTATGAGTGGGTTCATGAGTAGGGGAGTCATCCAAACTTGATCCAGAGGAAGATTGGGTGATGGTGCGAGAAAGAGGGTGAGCAGCATGTCGCGTGGGCTGGGCGTTGGCGTTCGCGGGCTGGGAGAAGAGAGGACCGGAAGGGGTAGGGCGCTGAGAGAAGAGATTGTTGTCTTGACTGGTCTGGAACAGGCCACTGTCAAAGGAAATGCGTGGGCGCACAGGCAACGGAGTACTCGGCAAAGCTTCAGCATCACCAGTAGGCTTGGAACGTCCAAAGAGAGGGCGTTCGCTCTGGCGTTGTTGCAGAGTGGACCGGCGGAGAGAGGACGAACGCTTGGGAATGGTGTTGAATCCAGTGAATGGCTGAATCGGAGTAAAGCTAGAAGGTGCCTCATTTGATGTTGGGCTGGAAGGTGCGCTCTCGGAGTCGTTGTCAAAGATGCTGAAGTCAGAGGTGAAGATGGGAGTGTGGTTGCTGCGTCGCTTCGCAGTGGGACTGCCTCGGGAGGCTTGATCGAGATTCATGATCCCGTCACTTCGCTTCAACGGGCTGACAGTCGCAAATGATCCAAAGTTACCACCGCTTCTGCGCTTTTCAATGCGTGTTAGGCCCGAGCGAGGCGCAAAAGTAGATTCCTGAGTAGATGACGCGTTCACAGCACAAGGACTATCTGGAGTTGTGCTCAGGGTTGGACCAGCCAAGTCATCGAGCGTTAGCTCATTCTCTTCTCCAGTAGACATGTTAATGGGTGGTGTGGGGGTCGCGTTTCCGCCGTCTGTTGACACGTTCAACACGCGCTTAACTGGGCTACGGGGAGAAGTCCGTCGACGCATTACCGGTCGGGTAATTTTTGCAGTAGGAGAATAAGAGAGAGGGGATGGTTGAACGGTAGATGGAAAAAGGACAAAATTATTTTGAGATGATCGCCGCGAAGGCGACAGAGGTGAGCAAACGTATGGGGCGGTAGTTTTGGATGGGGAAACAGAGCGGGTGTGAAGGAAAAAGTTCGAACTTTTAGATGGAGAACGCGATAGAGAGCGTCTGAGTTGGCGGATAGCAGAACTGGCATCCACTTGATGGATCCCAGCGTGCGTTGAGAGATGGAGCGTACCACCGGAGTCCCGGTGTGGTGAGAAGGTCGCAACCATGATATGATCGGGTAATGTTTCCCAGAATCAAGAGCCAATGAGCTTGTATATGGCGATTGCAACAAGCTCCTACTCTCTGATGAGTTGCTCAAGTTCCGAGATCTCCTTTAGAATTTGACGTGGCTGGAAGTTTGGAAATATTCAAGAGTAAATGTTGGTAAGATGCCCTTCAACGCTTTGCGTGGGGCTCGTGACGCGACAACAAAGCGGGCCCTTTCAAAAAGCCACAGGGGTGAGTCAAGGCGTGAATAGAGAAGATGTATCACCTGGTCTGGCACGCAGGCTGGAATGCTAGGTGCAGTGGCGAAAGAACAAGAAGACTTGTGAGATACGGAAAAAGAGAAAAGTGCCAATCATCCACTCATAGCTAGGCTGTAGATGTTCCGTTGAAGTCGAATTCTTGGTGTTTGAAACAGTTCGCGACCACGCGAGTGGCTCCAAACAAGGCGCGCGCGTAGTGTTTTGGGTGGACCAGGGTTGGTTGTTTCGAGAAGGGACGCGCCGGAATGTTTCAGACTTCGATAAAGCGTCGCGTCAATGACGATAGATACTGGAATTGAAGGGCGAAGCAGAAACTTTCTTTAATACAGATTGTTTCAAGCAAGAACGGAGGCGTAAGGGGTAGATCCCCCTCTCTCTTTAAAGAATCTTTGCGCGGAGTATCAGGGACCCACACGGGGATAGTTAGGATATGAGCTGGAAAAATGTGCGTCGGAGAATGCTGCGAATATTCCCGGAATGGAAGTAGGAAAAAGGGAGCGAATGGGTTGGAATGTCGAGAATGACCGAGGGGTTGGGGGGAGGGGGGAAATTGAGAGAGTGCAAGGACCTTTCTGAAGGTTGGTCTGGTTTCCTTGAGAACGCGCCTTGTCGCGTTGTTGATCTTAGAGCCGATTATATAAGCAGAAAAAAGTTATGTGATTGGCTGATGAGATTTAGCGGAAGAGACGCGTCGTGAACATAAACAAATAAATCATAATAATAGACCTTCACATCCGATCTCTAACATAGAATATCACTTCCGAGGTAGCTGGTTGTTTCAAATCTGAATGAAATGGATTTTTCATTTGGGCTTAAACAGGTCTTCTTTTATAAAGTATCATGTAAGAGGGCCAGAATAGAAGATGACGCCTAATTAGGTCGATATCAAAATAAATAAATAAAGATATCATGCAGGAAAACTCTAGCATAGTACTTAATAATACTTAATACTTGATACCGATCTTACCGATAGGCTCCACGAGATTTCCCCTTGCATTTTTTTTTGTTTATTCTGATCTTACGACACTGTTCTTTTCATCTGATCCATCATATGGTACTGTTCACCATACGAAATACTACGGGGTACACACCACTTTGGGTACTATACAGTCAACAGTGGCAAATATCCCCATAGCAATCAAATGATTTCCATTTTCCCGCTTGATATTCAATTAGGACAACTTTGTCTTCAATTGCCCAACTGACAAAATTTGCCCCTTTTGCTGCCTGATATTCAACCATTCTGGTGGAGAATGTCAGGATCCGCCCGTGCCGTCCCGTTCGATGTACGAGTACGGAGTGCGGAAGTACCCCTCTCGTTCTATGTATGCAATACTTACTCGCATTACCCCCTAAGACTCGACAACGAAATGGAACACATCCGAACTTCAAAAGTACTGGAAAAGAAATATATGCATGGAAAAGGGGACACTTCACTTTTGGTCTCCAATTCCTATAGTTGACTGGATCAAAACAAGAAAAAAGAAACGAGAATTGAATCAAAACAATGGATCTTCATGCAGTCTGAGCAAAGAAGAACGAGCCGCCCCTCCAGACCCATGAATTAAAGATTCTTATGCTATGTCCTTATATGTCAAGGACATCATTTCCTCCTTCACAGCCTCGATGATCTTCTCGGAGATTTCGCCGTCAAGTAGACTCTCTGGAGCAAAAAGTCCGAAATCCAACCCCTCCTCTCGGATAGCTGCCTCAACGTCGATCGTAGGCTATAGAAATTAAGTTAGTACCTGATACTAGTGCCTTATACTGACAAGGGGTAGAGACTAGATTTGCAGGATTTGCAGGATTGACAGGATTTGCGGGTCCGGAATAGTTCGCTTACCCAAAAGACTCCCTCAATAGCCGCCGTTGAAGCGGCAACCTGGCTCACTTGCGTGGAAGTGGATTGACCTGCACTGTCACCGTTACGCATAAACCCAGTGGCGTCGTTTTTCGGACTGAATTGATTGAAATTTGCAACCTCCTCGCGCGGAATTGACTTCAATGTCACTTGCTCACTATCCGCACTACTACCTGTCGCTTTTTCTAATTCTGGCAGTCGCAGGAAGTTGATACAGGTGCTGATGTGTACGCCTGTCCAGAGTGCAATCTCTGCAAGGGACACGCTAGAGTGCGCGGCCATGCTGATTTCGTTGATCTCGTCTTGGATCTTATGGGCCATGGCGAAGAGTCCGTATGGGTCTTGGCTGTTTTTATTGTCGAGGCGCAGTGGGACAATGTTCACTGTCGGAGCAACCATCTCAGACAATTCTTCCATCACGTGAGATCGATTGGCGAGGTACAAGCCCACGACAAGAGGCTGTGTATCTACGACGATCTGGGCATGGACTCGAGCATATACCGCTAAGAAAATGGACTGGATACTAAGGCCCTGTGCTTTGGCGGCTATGTTCACTTGAGACATATTTGAAACTAAGCTCGGTCGGTAGTATTGTTGAATGGCACCAAAGACACCCGTACCTTGTTGCTCTTTGTGACGTGTTGAGATTTGGCCCAGGTAATTTTTCCAGAATTGTGATCGCATTTCCTCGGGCGATTGGATATGTTGGACTGCTACGAGCTGGGAGATATCATACACTCCGTATTTTGTTTTGGGCTGCGTGGGGCTGCAAAGCTGCGCAAGCCTCTGCATCATGGACGGAAGGCTGACGGCGTCATAGAGTGCATGGTGAATCTTCAAGGTAATCGCCGTTCCCTCTTCAGTTTGGCAGGCATGCAGTGCAACCGGCACTGTACCCATGTTTTGTCTGACACTCGTTGCGACAGCTTGGCTCTGGAGATATTCATGCCAATGGACAGGATTCTGGACAGATTTCATCACAAATTGGATATATGGCAGAGATGATCTAACCTGGGTAGGAATAAAAGCTGTTCGGAGGATTGGTGTTTGATCCTGAAGAAGTAACCATGCGTTATCAAGGACCTCCTGGCTCAATTGAGTTGAGGCCAAGAAGGAGAATTTCGAATAGAATACTTCTGGATTCAAGGTATGCATGGCCAAAAAGTATATCTGTCCGGCAGTAGCAGGAAAGACACTTTGAACGTTTTCCAAGTTGACACCATGGGCTTGAAGCAGTGAAGTGGCATCGATTGTTTTGGGCATCGAGTCTTCCAGGGCTTTGGAAATCTCGGTCTGTGTCAATTCTTCAGGGGTCATGTTTGCTGCGTTGGCCATCTTCTCGATTGTTCCTGCTCTAAGCATATCGCTGACGGCCAACTTGACAGATTGTTTCTTCAGGAGAGCAGCAACCTTGATGGCACTGATGCTATCTAATCCAAGCTGGAATATTGTGGCGTCTTTGCTGATTAAATCCTCTGGTACTCCGGAGACAATGGAAAGAATATTCCGGATCGTCAACTCGATAGATGACCACTCTTCAGTACTACTCGTGACTGGCGCGCCAGTGACATCTTGCACTGTGTTATTTTGAAGAACCAAGTACCCAGAAACATTCATGGAGTCCCCGATAACGTCGACAGTTTGTTGAGTTGGCTCATTAACGATCGATGCCAAAACTAGTGCCATGTGCTCCAACAACTCAAGAGTGCCTTCTTCTCCAAGAACACTTGCACGACAAGCTACCCTTCCCACGAGATTTTCACCAGCACCTTCAACCTCAGCACAGACTGGATAATCAACATCGGATGCTCCCCCAGTAGACTTATACAAGCATGGCACTGTATCAGCTACCAGCTGGCTCTTCTGGTAAATGAAAAGAGTATCAAATAATTTCCCAGATACCGCGTCAGGTCGAGCTCGACGTAGCGGGAAATGCTGATGCTCTGAAATTCCCAACAATGTCTCTTGAACGTATTTCACAAGCTCCAATCGAGTACCGTGAAGAATGACACGCATGGCTACAGTGTTCATAGTCGGAAACATCACATGCTCGGAATCCACCATATTTCGACCAGAAAGAACAAGGCCGAAAACAACATCCAACTTGTTGACATACGATGCTAGGATGAGAGACCAGCAGGTGACTAGCAGTGCCTGTATAGTGATACCGTGGCGCTTGCAGAAAGACTCGGCCTTCACAAACGATATTGAAAGAGTTCTTTCTGCGCGGTAAACTACCGTGGACTTGGCATCTAAATGAGTTCTTGCTGGGAAAGTTGCAGGTGTACAATGGGATAGCGTAGCGCGCCAGAATTTGAGCGCTCGTTCGCCAGACGATGCAAGTATTTGCTCTAAAATTGCGTCGGGGGCCGGACGAGTACAGTGTTCTCCCATGTAAGATTTTGCCACATCGCCATGAAGTAAATTGATTGACCAGCCATCGTAAAGAGAATGTGCAATTGATAGGACGAGATAGCGAACATTTTCATCCAGCACTGTCGTGATAGTCAGTAGAGGGCAATTCTTCAGATCTGAAGCGGCTCTTTTGCGCTGTAGCTCGATGACAGAATCAACAGGAGATCCATGCAAGTGTACAGTCTGAAGATCAAATGTGTCCTCGCTATGAATAACCTGGGCGTAAGAGGTTGGGATGGCCGGATCCCAAACTTCAACAAATGATGTGCGAAGGATCGGATGGGCTGTGACAACAGTTTTCCATGCTTCTTGAAGCTTGAGCAGATCCACATGAGGTTCTAGCTCCAGAATCTCGTGATTATAGTAATTTATATACCCAGAAGAGGTCATTTCTGCCACCATCGCTTCCTGAATTGGAGTAGCGGGGATAACACGAGTGGTTGATGGAGGGGAAAGTCCTTCCCGTTCAAGGAAACTTGTCAAGGCTGTCTCCATCTGATTAAGCAGCGGGTATGCCTCATTCTGTTCGGATTGGGTGGATTCCACTGGCTCACTGGCCTTGGACATTGCCTGTACATTGCGGCAACGCATGATTTTGCTTACTGGAAGCTTGACCCCCAGCTTGCTGAGTCTTGAAGACAATTTGATAGCATCGATACTGTCAAGTCCAACTTCGAAAATGGATGTGTTTTCACCGATCGACTGCGCATCTACCCCTGCAATGTTTGCAATGACATCTCGAATTTTGCAGACCAACGGAGTCCACTCGAATCCAGGCTCGCTCTTGGGAGGAGGGGCATTCGTGATATTTTTATTTTCGGCCAAATCGGTGTAAGACAGCTCATGATCCGGGTTCTGAGAGAAATCATAGAGGATCTGCTGGAAATTGGAAAGCATGCTCTTGGCATCTTTGGGAGGGATCACGCCTTCTTTGGTAGCAAGAGTTGCACAAAGAGAGGTATTGCCATTTCGTACAATCTCAAAAGCCAAAGGGTACTCGTGTTGTGCGTAAGAGTCCACTGAAGTCCATAACTTGCCTGCCGACGACTCACTATCCGTACTTTCACGTTGGAACACAAATAGAGACTCAACTAGCTCATTCGGACTCTTTTTCAGCCACTTTGCGATATCTCGTAAAGCAGTGTACTGGAAAGGCAGTGTGGATACGTGATACTCATGGCATCTCCTTGCAACTTCTGACCATGACTTGAGGCCTCGAAGCTGTACATCGCTTGGGATAGTGTTGAACAAAGGACCAACTATGTTGGCAATACCAGGAACATCAAGAGATCGACCAGAAGCAATTATTCCGATTGGTGGTACAAACTTGAAATATTCATGGAGGGTGAGTAGCCAGCATGTATGAAGGATGGCCTGGTCGGTAACATTGAGTGATTTCCGCAATTTGTCTAGGTGTTCAGTTGTATCAATGCGAATTTCGTGAACGGCCGACAAGCCGTAATTTTCCGGGTCCAGATTAGAGAGAGGTCGACTCTGACTGTTGGCAAGATGGTCTTTCCAAAATACTTCTGCTGCAGGGTCTTTGCAGAGAGGCCCCAGATGTAAAACGTCGAGGAAATTCGGTGCCTCTTCAGATGTGCTTTTCTGGTCAAAATAGGCGTCCGATACGAGATTGAGAAGAAGGTTCGAGCTGTTTCCATCGTAAAGAGCATGGAAAATGTTGAGGAACATTACATGCTTACATTCGAAATCATGGTTTTCGTCATACGTGATGATACCAACTTCCCATAACCGTGTAGATAGATCGCCGATCTGGGAAGCCCAGGCCTCGGCTTGCCTTGAATGCATGTCAAGTAATCCATCGTATCCGTTGACTCTGTACTGAAACCAAGGAATTTTGTCATTACTGAGTACGACTTGTGCGTAGCCATCAGGGGAAGGAGCGAAACGCGCTCGCAGCATTTGAACTTGATTCTGAACTTTCTGCCATGCTGCTTTCAATTTCCACAGATCGACGGATGAGGTTAGAGGAAACCTGAAAGTTGAGCAGTACAATGGTGTGTTGCTTGACAGGAAATGATATATGATACCTTCCTGGAGAGGCGTGCATGGTGCGATTTGCTCAATATTACTATCCGAAATGCCGAGACTTTCAATGACTGAGTGTGAATTCTTCTGTACAAACGCTTGGATAGCTTGCTTTGTATTTCGGTGCAGATCATCCTGTAAGTTCGATGGACCTGTGGATGTTTGCAACGCAGAGGCCATCCCCGCGATAGTAGGATCTTCACTGGTGTTAGTCACTATAATTGAGGCTAGATCAGTTTTTACTCACTTTTCATGACTAAAGATGGCTGAGCTTGGGTAAAGCCAGCTTCTCTGAGACTCCGGGAGAATGCAATGACTGAGATAGAGTCAAGACCCAGCTCATAAATGCTCGACCAGGAAGAAATGGACGAATCAGCGGACCCAACAAATTTGGCAAGAACTGATATAATTTCATTTTCTCGCACGTTTTTGACGCCTCGACGAGCACCTATAGATGTCAATTTTTGAATGTCCTCGATAGAAATCTCTTCATAGAGACTTTTCAGAACTTTCATATCAGCTTTGTTGTTCGCAGACAGTGGGAAACGGGTCATTGGTATGATGTGTGTTGGTACCATATAACCAGGAAGATGCGTATAGCAAGCAGCTTTGATTGTTGACAGCAACTCATGATCCTTTTCAGAGGCGGAAACCTCAAAAGGGGCCTTTTTGTCTGCATCTACACTGGTGATGAACGAGACGAGCTGGTCTTTGGATTGCTTGGGGTGTTTGATGACTAGTGTGGCAACTTCGTTCAGCTCAGGTGTTGATTGCTTGATTACTTCATTAATCTCGCCAATCTCAAGTCGCTGGCCACGCAGCTTGACTTGATCATCAATTCGGCCGAGAAACTGGAAACTGCCGTCATACAAAATTCTGACCAAGTCACCGGTCCGGTAGACGCGATCTCCATATTCAGACAGGTCTTGGAATCGTTCCCTTGTCAGCTCTGCTCGATTTAAATATCCCTTTCCAACAAGAGGGCCAGATACGCAAAGCTCGCCTAGACCACCACGTAAGACGGGAGTTGAAGTTCCAGGCCGGAAAACATACGAGCCCACGTTATCAAATTGAGGTCCGATGTTAGTTGGCTTGTCATTGGCGCGCATTCGAGGAAGCATGGTACATCCGATAGTGACTTCTGTTGGCCCATACCCGTTGTAGATAACTCCGTGCCTTCCCCAGTCGTCAAGAATCTCTTGCTTGAGCTGCTCTCCCCCAGTGATGAATACTCCGCGACACAATGAAGGAACTTCATCAGGGTGAACCAATTTTGCCAAGCTGGGCGTCAAGTCAATGTGTGTGATTTGAAGCTTTTGAATAGTACCAGGCAAATCTTCAAATAAAAGGTCTCTTGGACAGGATGTGACACAGATACCGACACTCCAACTCCAATACTGCTCGAGGACACTGACGTCGAAATGGAATGATGCAAATTGCAGCCATCGAGAATCTTCATCCCAATTCGGCGAGAAAAGTTTTTGGAATGCTAGCATTGCCTGTACCGCATTATTATGAGTGATCTCGCAGCCCTTTGGTGTTCCTGTAGTCCCTGATGTGTACAAGCAGTAACATGAGTCATCGGGACTGATCTCTCGTGGAAGTAAAGGCTGAGCAGACGAAAAATCACTGTAAAGACCAGCTTCATCAACAGCTTGTACTTCAACGCCGGATAGGCTGCTGAGCTCTTCTGTTCTCGATTGATTGCAAAACAGAATCGTAGAACCGGAATCCTCAATGATAAACTTCTTGCGCGAGATAGGGGCCATGGGATCGATGGCTAAGTATGAGCAGCCTGCTTTGAGTATACCTAGGATTGCAATGGAGGCTTCAGGACACTTGTCCAGACAAATGGCGACCATTCCACCTGGCCTGACGCCCTTATTTTGTAGATAGTGTGCAACTCGGTTGCCATCCTCGTTGAGTTCCCGATAGGACCAGGCCTTCTTTTCCACGCCCTTTGCAGAGATACTTGAAGCGAACTCAAATGCAAGTTTGTTTGGGATATTTTGGGCGTTATTTTCAACGAATTGATGTAATAGAGTAAAAGGACTGGAGATGACCTTCTCTTTTGCAGGTGTGACAGACAGCAACTGATCCCCAAGGAATAGGTAATTGTCTGAGTTGGAGTCTGGTGAGAGAACAGTCTGTTCAAGCAGCTTGTTGTACTGATTTAAGATTGTGGTGGCTTGAATCTCAGGGACAAGGTCACTTCTATAACTGAGACGGATTTCCAGATCCGACAAATGTGGAATCAACTCGATAGAAACGGGATACTGTAAAATATTAGCATTCAAAACACTAGAAGCCATGGGAATATCCTACATCAATTCTTGTGTCTTCTTCCACAACATCCCATGATGCAGAGCCCTTGTGTTGAGACGAGAACTTTTGGTAGACAAACAGAGTATCAAAGAGTGGCTCCTCACTTCCTAACCATTTTTGAATCTGTCCCAGAGAAGTGAATTGATTTTTAACCAGGGACGCATTTCTCGTCACTGCTCTGCTTAACAGTTCACGGTTCGTTTCCTCAATGTGGTGGGGTGATGGCATGGTAACCAGGCAAGGAAAAACAGCATCCTGGGCTGCTAAAGACAAACTTCTACCAGAAAGAACCACTCCAAATGTGACATTCTGTTCTCCGGTATATGCGGAAAGCAGTCTAGCCCATGCAACCTGGCCGGCTGCTTGGAGCGTCACTCCTATTTCTCTGCAGCGACTTTCCAGTGTTTCAAGAGACTGCGAGCATCGGATAGAGGATCCTAGCAGTTCTTTATTCTCTGTGCGAATAGGATTCAAATCTGGAAATTTGGATGGCTGAACTTCCGGAGCCAGTCCCTTCCAAAAACCATGCGTGGTCTCGCTTTGTTTGCGACTTTCAACCAAAATTGGTCCTAAGATTGCTGGAATGGAAACAGGCTTCGTGAGTGTTTTCCCCAGGTATGATTTTTCGACATCCGAAAAGATAAGTGCAAGAGATTGAGCATCGTAGAGCGCATGAAGGGCAGAGAAATGCATCATGGAGACTGTATCAGAAGTTCCGATGGTGATTTGCCAAGGAGGCCTGTGAATATTCTCGAAGATTTTCCGCTGTTGAGCTTTGATATCATCTGTGGTGGTATTATCGGTCTCGTGCCATGGTAGACCAATGGGTTCTTGATAGGTTATCATAGCGAACGGGTATTGCTTGTCCTGTAATTGAGCAAACCCAGTCCGTAGCATCTCATGTTGAGCCATGACTTTTGACCATGCTTCCTTGAGCAAAATTTTGTCCAGTGGCGCTGAAAAATTCAAGGCCATGCGGTTGAAGTAGAAGTCGCCCTGGGAGCGTGTATAGAGGGCCAGCATGCCATTCTGGACGGAAGTGCAAGGCCGTAAAGACTGTACGTTCTGCAAGGATATATTCAATTGCGCACACACGTTTGGCAAGTGCCGCTTCTCGAATGCATTGAAGTTGAATTCATCTTCTTTGACTCCCTGGGCGCTAGATTCAAGAAGAGATGCAATCTTCTCAATTGAAGCGGCCTAATCTCATTAGTTGCGAATAGCAGTAAAAGGGGTTGAGAGAACATACTTCAAGAATATCACCAGCGGGGATCTTGTAGCCCATCGAACGTAGCTTGCCGGAGATTTGAACGGCATTGATACTGTCCAAGCCTAGCTGGAAGAGAGTTGTATGCAGGGAAACAGTGTTTGGGTTGATTCCCGAAAAGTTACAGATAATTCCTCGGAGAAACTCTTCTTGGTCAGATAAAGCTCGTAAGTTCTGCTGAACGGTAGAGATTTGACGACCATTAGGTTTGGGAGTCTGGTTTTTTGCAAAAATGTGCGGAATATCTGCTTCAATTGACCTTCTGTCAGAAGCCTGTGCGGAAGGATATTGAAGGGTGTGTTCAACGAGATCAACAAAGCTTCGCGCAAGCCTCTTTACCACATCGCGAGACAGATAAGATGTCTGGAAGTGAATACAGAGATTGTATGTGTTATTAGCTTCATCAGGAAGTATTTCGCAGATGAGAGGAAAGCCCATGTTCCCTTCATCTTCAATAATCTCCCAATATTGTGAGTCAACTTCAGTGGTGCTCTGAAGAATGACCAACGTATCAAAGAGTTGAGAGCCTCCACGGAGAGCACGTCTCTGAATCTGACGAAGAGTGCTTAACTGGTGAGGTAAGATGTCGCTATTGTTTTTCTGCGATATCTTCATTATATCCGCGTTGGTTGAAGTGGGAGTAAGCTTGACACGGATCGGAAGCGTATTGAAGCAAGGCCCGACTATCTTGTCTGCACCCTTCAGAGGAATGGTTCGGCAGCTAAAAACATTACCGAAGCAGACATCTGACGAATCAGCATACAGGGACAGGAGCCTCGCCCATGCTGCGTGAAAGACGTTCAGTGGTGTCACAGAAAGATCCTTGCATTGTTGTTTGAATGTAGTCAGGGAGCTTTTCACTGTTGCTTGGGTTTTCTGAGAGGCAGACTGGTCAGCTATGCCATTGATATTCTCCGGGACTGAGAACAGGGTTGGCGAGACACCAGACAAGTATCGGTCCCAAAATTTGTCCGAAATAGTTGAGCTGGAGGAGACCATGTACTCGATGAATTTGTGGAAGGGTGTGACTTCGGGCAGTGCTTGAGCTGAAAGAGAAAGCTGAAGCTCATAGAGTAACTGCGATATTCCTTGGCCATCATACAGAGCATGGTGGATTGATAGCAGGAGATACGCGCTATGAGTGATATGATCGGTAAAAACGGTCAAAGAATACGGAAGCGTTCCACTGATTGGTGACTGATGCTCAAATTCTGACTTTCTCATCTGGACATCGTGGCTAAGGCCACTTGGAGATATTTCAACGGAGGACCACGGTAGTGTTGCACTCTCTAGAACAAACTGTGCATAGGTGAATCTTACATCATCGGTTGCTCTGAAGCAGGTTCTGAGGATGTCATGCCTCTGCAACATGTGGACCCATGCATTCTTCAACTCCCCAGCATCTGTATTCAATCGAAGCAGAATATGGTTGAAATAGGTTGAATGAAGGTCTGATTCTGCTGCCAGCATTGCTTCCTGTAACGGCGTACAGGCATAGACGCCTTGGACAGAAAGATTTTCAGAGTTTAACTCTGCCTCCATTCCAAGAAGCCATTCCTTATCAAAGACAGATGCGGGTGCCTCTTCGAGTATAGGTTCAGGCTTTTGAGACTGTTTGTTGTGTAAAGCAGCAGAAACAGAAGCTGCTAGCTGGGCAACAGAGCTTTGGCGCAGGATTGTCGATACGGGAAGTCTTCCACATCCAGATTCCTGCAGTTTTCGTGAGAAGGAAATGGCGGATAAGGAGTCAAGTCCTAGTTTATAGAACGAAGTGTGTCGCCGAATGATTTTCTCTTCGGCTCCAGTCACCGCTGAAAGGGCAGTTGCAATGATCTTCTCAACGTCTGTGAGAGTGCCATCGGAGTTTTCAGTCCCAATATTGCCAGAGAAAAGTTGCAATGTCTCAGGACTCAACTTTTTGATGTATCGCTGAATGGCTTCATAATCAGTTTTGTAGAAATCGGTCATGGGTATGTTGACAATCGGAACCAGGTGAGATGGGAGCTTAGAATGCGAGAACTTCGTGCCGAGTTCTTCAAAAAGCTCTGTGACTACTGAACTAAGGTTTTCATAGTCTTCAAGGTCTTGAACTTGTTTTGAAGGGACCCAGACTGTTACCAATTTGGGTTGGTTCGTGATCTCGTCGCTCAGAACTAGACTTAATGAGTCTTGAACCAGCTTAGACGAGACAAGAACAAGTTCAATCTCTTCCAAGTCCATAAACTTGGACATATTTTCTTGATGAGACCCTGAGAGTAGCACAATGGTATCATCTGAGAGGAATCGACCGTAGTCACCAGTCCTATAGACCCGACCAAATTGTGGATGATCTATGAATCCCGTTGTGGGTATCTTCAAGCCACGATTGTTATGGCCCTGTAACGAGAATAAGTTTGTTTCCAATAATATTCATGATTGCCCAAAAAACTGCTTACCTCTTGTTTTACACCAAAGCACAACTCTCCAACTGCGCCATGAGGTTGCAGAATGAACTCACTAGAGTCCCTGACAATCATGGCAGACGTATTCACAAGTGGCATGCCAATTCCTGCAAGGGAGGTTGATTCCTCGTAGTTTGAACGTAACATCCGGATACCAGCTAAGCCATGTGTTTTGTAGCCTATATCCAAGTTAGCTCCGAAGTTTCGATATCAGATTAAATTCTTTCAGTACCGTAGCAAAGGCCGTTGTTGGACCAGTCACGAAGGACTTTCGCATTCAAAGGTTCCCCAGATGTGAATAGGAACTGAACACTGGGAACACTCTTCGGGGTCAAAAGGGAAGCTAGTCTGAGTGGTAGACTCAGATGCGTTATCTCCATTTTATTGACGGTTTGCTGAAGGTTCTTTACAAATGACTCCTCTGATACAGAGCAAAGGGTTGAGCTAGTATGCCACGCGAGGAAAGTGTCAATGAAATAGTCTGCCTGAATGTTAGAATGGCATATACTCAGAGATATAGGGAGCTACTGACCGGCAGATACTCGTGGGAATGAATGGAGTATTTTAGACCCTAGGCCGCAAGAGAAAGAACTTGCAAGCACATGAACCTGGCTTTGCAGTTCCTGAGAGGAATAGTAAGCAGAATTCTCAGCACACACAATATGAAAATGGTCGTCATTCGTGATAAAATTGCTGTCGTGATAGTTGTCTAGATACTCGGGAAGATGAATTTGTTGAATTGATCCCAGAGCGGTCGATAGGTCTTCCTGGAATGCGGATGATGGGATAATGCAAAATTGTGCATCTGCAGAAGTCAACGCTATATGAATATTCTGTGCTGAAGTTTGAGAATTTAAAGGCAAGAGACCAGCCCCTATCTTGGCAACTGCCAGAATGGAAACATAGCAATCAATAGACTCGTCCAGAAGAATGGCAATCAAGTCGCCCGTTTTCGCACCTCTGTGTAGTAGGTGGTGTGCAAAGCAATTGGCTCTGGAGTTTAATCGGCCATAGGAGATGGTTTGGATCTCTGAGGTAGTAAAGTTCGAATCCTTTGGGGTGAGTACTTCAACAGCAGTGCGACTAGGTGCAGCGGAGGCAGCTTTTTCAACACCAGCTACAAGACCGGAAATATTTTGGTTTAGATTACTTGAATGGGAGACTGAAAGGATGGAAGGAGCGAGGTGACGACCGATCTCATCAATTGCCAGGTTGGGGCTCTCAATGAGAATACCTGCAACACAGTCGATCTGCTCGAGGAGCATCAAAGCCTGCTCATGAGGCAAAATAGCCTCTTGATAAGTCACCTTGGCAAGTATTTTGCCATTCCGAGGCTCAAAGTCTACCAAGAGTGCGAAATCCAAAAATTCCGCAGAGTCAACCTCGTGGAATGAAGTACTTTGAGGTCGATCAGACCAGATACTCTCTTGCCACACCAGGGCAGCATCGAAAAGGTTCTGATGTAGGTCGATGCCAGATATTTTCTTGATATCTTGGAGGGGTAGGCTACCGTGTTCAAGAGACTTGCGGTTCATGTTCTGAATCGCCAACAAAAGATCAGTAATATTTTGCATCCTGTCAAGATTCATACGCGTTGGGAGAGTTCGGATACAAGGACCTAGAACTGATTCTATCCCTTTGACTGGTATTGTCCGGCCTGAAAATACAGTTCCAAAAACAACGTCATCAGAACCAAGGTATGTTGAGAGAATATAGCAGAAAGCCGCTTGGAAGATGGTCTGCCGGCTGACTCTGAGACTTTGCGATACATTATTGAGCTTTTCGATGGGGACATCTAACACCCTAAGGGTCTCTCGTGTACCTTGGACCACGTCTGTCTTCCCATGGAACTTAGGGAAAGATGTAGCAGAGATTCCTTGAAGCTGATCACGCCAGAACAAGGAAGATTCGTCGGATAATTCACTCAACTTGTATTCAATGAAATATTTCGTCACTGCGTTGTATGCTGGTTTTGGCTGAACATTCTCCCCAGCCAGAAGATGATGGAGGTCTTCCAAGATCATTTGCCACGACCATCCATCATAGATGGAGTGGTGAATCTGGACAAGTGCTCGAAGACACTGGTCTGTCTCTTTCAACTGCACCTGGAGAGGATAAAGAAGGTCATTCTCAGCAATCATGGAGGAGTTATAGTCGAAAACATCGCGTGTTTGAATTAGCCGTTCGTCAACCTCCTTCCACGTAAAGCGGGCATAAGAATGATCTTTCAGACCGATCTCCACAAATCCAGATCTGAGCAAGGAATTTTGTTTCACAAGTTGGAAAAATGCATTCTGCAAAGCAGTAGACTTGATTGAAGACTCAAACTCCAGTTCGATCCAATTGCAGTATGCTTTTTGGTTCTTGACTGTTTCCAGAATCATGGCTTGTTGTATATGGCTACTTGGTTCAATCTCAGTAACCTGTGAGCCGATCCCCAAAGACTCTATTCTTGTAGCACCAGCATCTGTGACTAGCTGGTAAATCATCTGAAGCTCTGTTTCCGGGTCTTCGGTGGGCTGTGTGGCCTCCAATTCTTTGGCTAGTAGCCATATTTGCTCCACACAATCTGCATCCAGAACCTGAGCCACATCCAAACGAATTCCGGCCTCTAGAATATGGGAGGTTAGTCGAATAGCAGCAAGAGAGTCTAGGCCAGCTGCTGCTAGGCTCTCTGTCGAGTGAAGCTGACGATCAAGGACATCAGCCACACACAACGTAATTGTTTCTTCAAGCTCGTCCCTAAAGGGCTGCTGATCATCGGTCTGTGCAGAATCGTGGTGGCGAATAAATTCCGCCTCCAACGCTTTGCGATCAACTTTCCCAGAGGGCAGTTGAGGAAATTGAGTCACAAGGATAAATTCTCCCGGGACCATGAATCGAGGTAACCACTGGCGGCAGACATCTCGAAGTTCGCGATCGGTGGTCCCTTTGTCGCTGACCAGAACGAAAGCTGCCAAACTGCCACCTCCTACTATTGTGACAGAGCTCCGAACGCCGGGTGCTCGGCAGATGGCATGCTCGATTTCTCCAAGCTCTATCCGCTGACCACGAAGCTTCACTTGGCCACTAGAAATGCGGCCAAAGCATTCGATTTCGCCGGAGGGTAACATTAGAGCCTTGTCGCCTGTTCGATAAAGTCGACCGTATACAGGGTGCTCGATGAACGCCTTGGCGTTTTCATCAGGTCGATTAATGTATCCATCTGCTAGCTGTGAGCCACCGATGACAAGCTCGCCAATTTGACCTAGTGGAAGGACATCAAGCAGCTGTGTTGTAGAGCCATCATCGGATTCTAACGACATGATAAAGGCAGAAACAGTCTCGAAAGGCCTTCCGATCAAGTTGACTCGAGAGCTGGCTTGGAATTTTGTGGCCGCTGTACAGTGGATTGCTGCCTCTGTCGGGCCGTACATGCCATGAAGAATACCATCAGAGCTCTTTGACTGACCAAATTCATCTACAACGTGTTTGGTGAGCATTTCGCCGATAGTAAGCAGAACCCGTAAGCTGGGTGCTGCGGCACGGGTACGCAGTAACTCTCCCGCTACAGTTGGCGTTAGCTCAGCGGCATCAACCTTCATTGTAGTCATGACGTGGGAAATATCGAGAAGCATTTGCTCCCTGTCAGAACCAATCAGGGTCGCTCCACGCATTAGTGGAAAGAAGACCTCAAAAACAGAAACGTCAAAGGTTGGCGAGGCAAATTGCAGAAATCGAGTGAATGGGGGTATCAGGTCGTTGTGCGCCAGTAATGATTGGGTTGCAGCGAGATGAGAAATCCCGACGCCCTTTGGACGGCCGGTAGACCCAGATGTATACATTACATAGGCTAAGTTGGAGGAAGATATGTTCAAGGCTGGTGACGGGACTTCATCTGTCTCAATGTCCGTCACCAAACCGTCTGTATTGATCACAGCAATGTTATCATTCTGGGGGACTCTCGTCATCAATGCACCTTGAGTGATAACAACAGAGGCAGCCACGTCCTGCAGAATGAATTCTATCCGCTCTGGGGGTGCATCGATGTTCAAAGGACAGAATGCACCTCCTGCCATGAGGATTGCTACCCAGGTGATATATAACTCCAATGATTGAGGTAAGAGTACAGGAACAACGAAGTTTTCCGTCTTCTGTGAAGCATGGACAATCTGTGCTGCTAGCTTCGAAGATATCCGGCTCAAAGAATGATATGACAATGAGATAATGTCTCCATCCGCAGTCAAGAATTCAATAGCACTATAGGCATCATGTGATCCACTCAAGGCCAGCTCGTGAAGCAGCTGTGGTCCAGGCAATATAGAAGGTGATGGGTTCCAGACTGACATTACAGAATCAGACGATTTTACCTGTTCGTCCACCCGTGCCTCTTCCTGCTGGCTATGACGTTGAAAAGCGGTGTTCATCGTGAAGGATGCAGAGTACTCTTCTATGCGAGATTGGCAGGCCCAGGAAATGAAGATGAATCAGTCTGGCGAGTCGTAAATGAGCATAGCAAGTTTCAATACATCGAGTATCAGAAGCTAAATCTGCTAAGCAAGATGGTGACTGGAGAGTTTTCACTAGTCAGGCAACTCAGGTAACTCTCAGTGCATATACTGAGAGTTCTTATTTGGCAGTAACGTGAATAGCTCAGTCTTTAAGCAGGCTAGTTAGTAGTTAGTCACCTTGGGCAACATAAATATGAATATAAAGAGGGGCAAGTGAAAATATAGTGGATTTATAGATGATCTTAGTGCTGACCGAGACAAGCGCGAAAAACATGAAATCGGTGGATTATGTGGATTGCTTAGAGGCTTTTTCCCGTGTCAAGGTGTGGGTATAAGACTTTTGATCTCAGCAGCTTGGGCCCTAACTAGGCATAAAAATTAATGGAAATTAGTCTGCTGCTCGTCTTATTTCCTGTGGGTCTTTCAAACTGTATAGTTAGTGTGTTTTTAAATGGCTTAAAATTTCTGTTTTCTTCGAATGACGTATTCGTAAAAGTTCCAAAGTTGAACTATATTTCATACTTTTGGAAGTATAAGATATTTGACACCTATTTAGTTGCCTACCTAGTTACCTTCACGCCTGCCTATGCATAATTATCTGCTTTTCCCATTATTTAGCATTATGCGGAATCCATACGCTGCATGCAGGTGATCTCGATCCACTTGATAACCCCTCATTTTGAATTTTGTCTCAACCCCTCCAAGTAGTCAGTCCACCACCTGCGAATCTGGGCTCATCAAGACTTTTTTTTTTAATGGCTTGGGCATTGGCATTTAGTACCCAATCTTCAACTTAATTTCCCCGAGGTCGGCAGGCAGTTTACAGATCGAACTTCCATCTAGCCTATGATACCTAGGTAGATCTTGGTGTTGAACAACTCCAGGGCTGCGCAGAGGCCTCGATTAAATGGCACCATAGCTAGCAGGAGACTGCATGACAGGCATGTTCATTTCAAAGTTCATGCATGTCACCATATCACTAGTCAAATGAGTATATCATAGGCGAGGATGTCAGGGCTTTGCAGTGGGGTTCATCAGATAAACAACTTCTTCTGATTGAAACATCCGATCCCGGCTTTAATTTCAAGGTTAAATTCAATCCCCGTCGCCCGGGGCCGAGGTCGGTAGTGAAGGGTACATAGGTAGCGTTTGATATACAGCTCTAAATACTTGACAACGACTAAAAAAAATAAACAACGCAATGCACCTCGCTGCCATAAAAAGGAAAGCAAAAGGTTAAAATTACGGTTGAACCGGTCATTAATAACATATATCTTTGAACTTCCCAAATTGTTACCACAGCTTAGGCCAGCCGTTCGGGATCTTCATCGGCAACGCTGCGGTAGCCATCGCCGGTCCTGCCAGTGTGCATGCGCATCGGGGTTTCGTACATTTCGTTATAGTTCACTAGCTCCCCGCTAAGCATGGCACTGCCGGGCTGACGCTTGCCGAAGATCGGAGCGGAATCACACCAGAAATCACGGCAGTTTGTCACCACGCCACGAGAGAAGGGGTTGCGGGGCCCGGCGTTGGGCCCATCGCGTAGTCCGTCCTTGGCTGTAGCGAAGAATGTGTCAAAGCCTAGTAGGGAAGACCACTGAGCACAGAATCCACGGTGTCTTCGGGGAGGAGGACGTGACAGAGCTGGGTTGGGGCCCTGTCCTGTGGCTGAGAGACCAGCGCCATCTAGTGAGGTGGCACCGGCTGTCATGGCTGAGGCGAAGGCTTGGGTGCTGGGGAAGGATCGGTCGATCGAGTGGCCTCTCATGTTCTCATATGTGGTCTGGTTGCGAGATACCTGGAGGAGCTGGACAGCGCATAGCATGGTGACCCAGACCAGCTGAAGAACAACCCAGACATCAAGAACCAAGGTAAAGATGTCGCGAGAGACATATTCACACAGGGTGTCATTGATGACGTTGCACTTGGCACCGACCGGAGAAGGAAGAGAGTTGATATCTGTGATCTTTTAGCTGATATGCTCTGTCCACACTTGGAAATCTACTTACAGCCAATGGACAACTGCACAAAAAAGATGATTCCAACCTCGAGGCAGACGATGTAAAGAACAAAATGGCGCAGGTTGTTTGCTCCGACACAGTTGTCGATCCACGGACAGTGGCTTAGAAGTGTTAGTAAAGGTTCCAATGGGTAAATAGCATAGGGGAACATACTGATCATGCTTGGCAACACAGCGACCACAGCGCCGACAGTGTCTGCTGCGAAGAGGCTTTCTCGACATACATGGGATACAGAAATTCTCTTCGTCAAACTTCCACAACTCGAACAGCTGCTTAACCACTTCTCGTTGTTGGTTGCGGCTAGAAATCTTGGGAACATATCCTGGGTCTTCCAGCATGGCCATGGTATAGAAGAAGGTGGTCAGGCAAAAGAAGACAGTAAACAATATGTTCAATATCGGAGTAGAGGAATAGGTGGCTATATATGTCAGTCACACTCTAAAATCCCATTTGAAGGCCGAGGCTCACCTGGCAAAATTTGGAAGAAATAACGGAAACCAGTCCAAAACAGGGTTCCTGCAAAAACACCAGCAAGATATGGCTTGACTAATGTTAGCTCTAGTCACGAAAAAAGGGTCAAAATCAAAACATACGGTTTTTTGTAGAATCCGATACTCAGAAGGCCCGCGGTTCGCCAGCTGCTGCGCAATCCACTGCATGCCAAACACAATCAGTGCTGTAGCGGGGACACTAATGAAGACCACCACATTGCTCAAGATCCAGAGTGCGATGAAGATGGTCAAGAATGGCCAGAGGAAGAAGAACTTGGACATGATGCTCTTGTTCCGAATATAATTCGTCAGACCAAGGGGCGCGAGTTTCTGACTGCCATCAGCCTCATAACCTTGCTCAGCAAGAGCACGGTTCCAGACTCGTATCGTGTTCATTTCCTGGGCCACTGTCATAGGTGACTTGCCATCTCTGGTCTTCGCAAATCGATCTGCGCCGTATTCTAGCAGCTTGAGAACACAAGGCAACGAACCCTTGACCAATGCCCAGTGGAGGGGTGTGAGGCCTCCTTCGTCCACAGAATTGGCATTGGCACCCCATCGCAGGAATAGATCGACACATGCTGGATATCCCTTGTACGCAGCCCACATCAACCCAGTATGACCCTGCTGATCGACCACATCCACCGGGATCTCTTGGTGAAGGAGGAGGACGACGAGGAACGCGTTGCCGTCAATGGTTGCCAGATGGAGAATATTGTATCCTTGCACATCGGTCAGAAGTGGATCGGCGCCGTGGGAAAGCAGCAGGTTGACTATATAGTAGTTACATCGTTGCGCCGCCCACATGGCCGGGGTGGCCACCGACTCTCCACCCTTTGCATTTACGTCGGCGCCGTTGTCGAGGAGGAACTTGCACATCGCATATTGGTTATTAATTGCGGCCCACTATTGAGTACATTTTCTAGTCAGAAATCAAACGGTTCTATGCATCGTCTCTTCGCTCTCGTGCGACGGCCACAGCTGGGGGTGAAACAAACATGTAGTGGAGTGATTCCTTCTTCGTCCTGGTGATTAGCGGAAAGATTCTTTGTCGCAAGCAGATTCTTCATTGCGCCAATCTCTCCAATCCGCGCCAGCTGCATAATATCCTCTCCTAGTGGAATTGAACCCTTGGGTTTGGACTTCGGCTTGACCTTTTCGGACTGAATGCTCTTCAGCTCGACGTCGGCATTTGTATTATTGTCATTCGTAGATATTGAACCGGGAGTCTGCGAGGGATTACCCCCTTGGGACTGTGGGGAGGAGGACATGGCGGAGGAGTGGTCGTGACTTCTCTGTATGGGCGCAGAGAAAGGGTGAGGGACACGGGAGCGGAAGGAGATGATACCAGGAACTTGTCTCAAGAATAGAGTCTAAAAGAACATCGCATACACCGTCCATGAAATACTTGAAATGACAGGCCAAGTTAAGGGAACCTTGGAAAGGCGTGAACTGGTGAAGCGGAAGACTTGAATTTGGGTCGGGGAAGTCGGACCACGCGTTCAATGATGTGCAGCTGGCAGCGAGTTCTGTACACCGTTTCAAATCAATAGATTATCCGAATATGATCCCAATAATTGCTCAGACTCCAAGTTCTACAATTAGCGTGGATAAAGATCTTGATCTTTTATGTCTAAAAATATTCCGTACATCAATTACTCAGCCTCCTTAGGCTGCCGTATTTCCGAGTCCGCATTGAAAAAAGTTCCTGACTAGATTCCTAGTACATGTCGAATAATTAAATATGATGCGGCTTTGTGGGCTCATATGAAAACAGAATTACAAAAGATGGCTGAGATATCGAGTCAAAAACTCGGGAAGATCAACGGGGAATTCGGGTCCCTTGTGACCTCAATTGTAGCATCGCTTCGAGAATCAACTTCTCCTCGGTCATATAGAGGTCGAAATCCAACAAGAAACAGAAACTGATCTCCAACTTGGACAGCTCCAGCTCGCTGACCCCACCAACTTTGGCGACTCGACTATGCGGGTAGCCGAGGTCTTCGAGGGCCTTGGTGGCCACAAGAGCGGCTGCAAGGGCAAGTCGGTGCATGTTCTTGGGCGTGACGGAGAGTGACTTTTCCACCAACACCATCCGGGTGATATAGTAGCTGGCGGCAAGGATCACGGCGGTAGACATGGGACAAAACCGGTGTAGTCGTTCCAGGTAATCGGTGATCGCGATTGGGGGCACGCTCTTTGAGAGGAATCTACGTGCTAGAACAGCCAGCTGAAAGGCCTCTCCTTTGCTTCGGCCACCCGCACCATCAGTATGCCCGAAATGTAGGTCCATACTGCTCATATTATCTTGATCTGTTGAGGGCGACTGAACGCCTGAAGAGTTTGGCTCCAGGGCACTAAGATTGTCGAGATTGTTACATAGTAGCTGCAGGACGAACTCTGGTGCAAGATCATCTAAGATCATACCGGACATTTGTGGGAGCGCATTTTCTTCTGTGCCGGGTGAGTCCAATTCCAAAGCGCGCGTCGCCGGTGAGGCGTTTTCGGTTTGTGTCATAGCCGCCATTGATTTATCCGGCGTGGGAATATGTCAAGTCCGAACAAAGAGCAGACCCTTCACAGGTTAATGGCTCTCCAACTAAATTTCTCATTTTAAGACCGCACCACTTCCGATGCTTTGATGCGCGATTCAAGGAATCGTGATGGAAGGGCAATGCGACAGGGAAGTGAAATGGGTGATCGATCGTGGATCTGTGTAACTTGCGACGATTAGCGCCTGAGTCCGAGCGGAAGACATGATTACGTGCATTGATCCGATAAGTTAAATCAGCAAACTTAATGCAGGAAAGTAAAGGATGGAACAGGAACAGGGAAGACTTGGGTAAGGGGAAGAGGTGGGTAATGAGGGAGGCAAAATAATAAGGTCTGGATTCACCGCACGGTCCGCCTTTATAAACGCTTCGTCATGTTAATTACTCCGTACTCAACTCATCTCCAGCAAATCAAATTATCCTTCAAATTCACTGCTAAAATTGCTAAAATTAACTCAAATCACAGCTCGCTAACTAGGAAATCTCACTTGTCCTTCTCCATCGAAACATCCAAATAAACACCCAGCAAAATGTTACAACTCACGACGATAACGCCCACAGGAACCTTGGATTGCATAAGAAAACAAAGACAAGGAAGGTCAAGACTTCAAGTCCACCAAAATGATCGCTGAACATAAATGATCTTCACATTCCGAGGGGCTCGATATTCATATGAGCCCGAGCCAGGTCGCCTCACAAGTCTTTCCCTCTCCTCGTGACGTAATTTAGGTTCAATAATTCGCACCTTCTGAGGCCGTCCATCTGAACAACCCGGTTCAACAGGCCTCACCACCCGTCTACTAGACGTAATGTCGTCAAAGAGGGCACCCCTACGAAGTCCTCTGCGCGGGCTTCTTTCAAGACTGGGAGGGTATCTGGGTTTTGTTGCTGGTGCTGGACTGACACTAATAATCCGTCTTCCCCTCGGCGGGGGAGATAGGCTTCGAGGAGAGCTGAGAATTTCAAAGCGGATCTTTCGCTCCTCTCGGGTTCGAGAGCGTGAGCGTGAGCGTGAGCGTTCCCTGCGCCTGCTTTCGTGCCTGGACTCGAGGGTTGTGGTCTGCCGGCGCTCTTCTCTTGTTGCCCGGGTGAATCGGACGGCAGGAACCTCCCAGTCTGAGTGACGGCGTTGTCCTGGGTGAAGAGGGACTGGTGAATTTGACAGTGACCTTGGCCGTGTAGGTCGGGGACCGCGAGTTCGTACTGGTGGTCTCTCAGGATTCCGACCTCTTGAGAAAGAACGGGCCCGGGGTCTAGATACGAATTCAACGACATCATCCTCACCCGGTGGATCGACTATGAATATCCGAGACCTTGGTGTAGATTGCTCTGATTCTCTGTGCAGGTGTCGACTTGGACGTTCGTCATCGCGGCTCTCGTTCAGAGGGAAGATTGGTGCTCTGCTTTGTCTAGGCCTGGTGGCTCGTTTTTTCTGGCCGGGTACTTCATACCGACGCCGTCCGAACTTCAGGTCCAGTTCGGAATAATATGCGTGGCTTCTAACCTGCCTTCGAAGTCTTTCCGAGACTCCTGGGCTGTATCCAAACCAAGGGCAATAGGGCATATTTCGTTTCGCTTATGCGATGCGTCAAGATAACAATGTATAAATGAAGATCAGACAAAGCCAAAGCAGAAAATATTTCGAAGAATCACTTGGTCGATAAGGATGTCGAGATACAAACTTCGGATCTTTGAAAAAGGTAAAGGTATCATTCGAGTATGAAAGGCAAGAAGGTAACTCCCAGTCGACAAACTACCTAGCTAGCAGAAGCTATGGAGTTGACGTGTATCAAGAATACCTAGTCATGGGCTTTTATTCAGGTGATTTATTTTCGTCCTCTTTGTTAATTCCTTTTTTCTTCGAAGAATGAATGTAGGGTTTAGTGTACACGTGGAAAAGGGTCACGTAGATGGAGGCTCTTCTCTCAACATAAGATCGAGGTCATTCGCGGTGATCAGGTCCATTTTGTAATAAAATAGCACAAATCCCTGTCCTGAGTTAATGGGAATTAAACACAGGGTTAATTGATGACCTCGACACCTGCATCTGGATCTATGAATGTACCAGGTGTGGCTGATACGGTTACGGGTCACAGGGAACGGCGCGGCGCGCAAGTCACCCGCGAACCACGAGTGACAAGTGTATAGAGCCTTCACCACATAATACAACAGTTCAAGAACAATTTAATTTGTTGAATCCTCGGAATCAGCCTCGCTCAGGAAAAGATACGGGGTATTTCGGGCGATAATATCGTGTTCTATGGCGAGTCACATGAGAGGCGCTGCTTGTTGCCTAGTTTTGGGGTTTATTGAAGCCAAACACAATGCCATTTTCATAATCTTTTTGGTCATTACATCAGTCGGGGAATATGTTTGAACTAGTCTGGTAACTATGGTTTCTGCTGATTACCGCATACTTGGGCTCCGTCATCTTCTTCTTATTCACTAGCCGTTGCACCGCCACAGGGGTTGTCGAATCAGATTTTCGGATGGATGTTGGTCGTTGTGATATTCAAGTATCTACCCCTGACCACAGGACGAGTGGATACGGCATAGATGGAGTCTGATACATACTTGAGAGGGGCACCTATCTATCCTTGCCTACTTCACAGTATCAAAGCTTTAGGCAGCATATCATGTAGATGCCACACTTAGCGCCATTGCCCAAGGAACTGGTCCTGCATTTTATCTCGTCGGTGCAGAACATCGAGGTTCAATCCCTGAATCCCCTTCTGAATTAACTCAAGTTCGCGCTCTAAGCCCAATATAGCTTCTTCTTGACTGGCGTTGCGCAAAGACTTGGCATAAGGCGAGCTGGCATGCAAAGAGGATGAAAGAAGCTGCAATGCACTATCCGAAGATATCAGGTGGGCCACGAGGGGAGCTTCCGTCCCGATCCCGAGATTTTGTAGCAGGTCGCGCATGTGGATTCTCTTCTCGTACATGGCTGAATCGCCAGTATTCTCTGCGCTCGGTCGGAGCACAGAGTCGGGCGTGACCCCATTGCGCCGCAGGATGTTCTCCAGGGCAGGCTGATCAGGCACTGGATTTTCAGTTCGTGTGGCTGTGTGTAGAACTGACTGGGTCGAGCGGCGTCTCAATGAGTCACGTCGGGAAGATGACTGCATCAGTTGGCTAGCTGCCTCTGTTTGATAGAGCGTTGCTAGTTTTTCCAGAAGTTCACAGGAAGATTCTCGTCCTACGAGCTCTTTTACCCATGTTTGTTTGGAACGGGTCATGTCAATCAAGGCATCATGAACCTGTAAGTTTTACGAGGTCAATATACGTACGGAGGAGAGAAAATAGGTGACAAGATATGGGGATGAAGATGGTGCGTAGGAATTAAGAGAATATAACGTACCTGTTCCAACTTCTGCTGCGAGTTTGCGCCAAGTATGCTGTGTTCATTATATATTTCACGAAGGACAGGATCATGGAATTCTTGTTCAGTCGACATCTGAGCCAAGATCTCAATCTCCGGGTACAAAGACTCCAATTCCTGCTCCAAAATGTCAACAGACTCATCTGTAGATGGCTGAATAGAGGAGCCTCCAAAGTGAAGCGCCTCCAGGTATAGCCGATCAAGACGACAGTGGATTTCTGATGCACTGTAGTTTGCCAGGAGGCTACTGAGATGAGCTGCTCGTTTGACAGTAGATGCATCGCCCCTGTTTGACTTCACCCCAGACATTATAGTCTCCAATCTAGCAAGAACCTGATCATCTTGCTTAAGTTGAGTCGATAATGTCGACAAAATCCTTTTGTTTTCCGTGCCCGTCTTCTCCATCTCGCTTCTAAATATGGTCTCGAGCTCATTGGAAAGGTCGATTGCCTAAACCCGTTTAGCCATTACTCCTCTCGGTCCATTCTAAATAGAATCCTTACCGCGACTGTCGTGTTCTGTCTTCCAGCTTCATGCTTCTTCCGCAAACGTGCAATCTCCTGACTTCGATTTTGATCCAAGCCATCTTGTCGACGCATTGTCTTTCTCAGCGATTCACATTGTATAGACAATAGCTTAGTCTGCTTGTTGATTGCAGCAGTCGATGCTTGGAGGGATTCAATTGCGACTCGAATGTCGCCTTCCAGAAAGGGTCGCGTTGCATTGAGATCGGGGTCCCTAAGAATGGATTGAAGAGTACCGGTACTCTCAAGCCTCGAGTATCTATGGTAACGGGTAAGCCAAAAAGCATTTTGAATATCGCAACATTGTAGACTAACAATATCAGCTCTTCTTTAGAGAGCAAGGTCTCCGGACGCAAGTGCTTCGATATCCATTCCGCATTATTGGGTGCCGTGACCGAATCCTCTAATGCTGATGCTATCACATCGCGTTGAACCAGAATATCTCGTTCCTTGAGCGTCGAAATGAGTTCGTCGGTAAGAATGGAGGGTTCCATATTTCAGAGGGGCGTGGTCCGTGGGTTGGAGCTCCGGAGATGTCCAACTTGAAACTGACGTTAGGTAATTATTGTAGGGACCAGAGGCTCTGGTATGAATTTTCAAAATGGAATTGGTTCACTATCTGTGATGAAGTATCGCACTTAAATGTTGCGGATCGGCAGCTCACAGGAGACTAGGATCGATCATCGTCCACGTCGCAGTCGCTCTTCTGTCACGTGAGTGTATACAAATCTGCCAATTGAGCACCAGTAATCAAGCCCCAGGTAGCCGGTAAACTGAAGAGATAAATTTATATTGAAGATAAGCAAATCAGATTATTTCCAAGGTCTAATTGAATGGTCCGGCCAGGAGATTGGCAATTTGCAACTTTTCAAATTAGTTAGAGAAGACTTAATTTGTACAAAATGATAAAATATCTAAACCCATATCCATATCAGGATTAGTTTGTTGAAGTCACTTCGACACTGGGATAGAACCAGGTTGTGACAGCGATGATGAAATAGACAAACACACAAAGTGCACCCTCCAAGTAATTACTTTTTCCATCTCTAAGGAAGTTTCCTACCACCAGGATCGATAAGACCAGAAGGACAACCATGAAGATCTCAAAGTTCAAGCTCATTTCTTTGCCCAAGCCCCAGCCCACAAGAACTGCAAGTGGGGCATTCAGAAGTGCAGTGTGGATAGATGGGGCCAGGCAATGGAAGAGTGCAAAGTTGATCTGGTTATCCCAAGCCTCGTCGACAGCCGTGAGATGTTCTGCGGCCTTTTCAACCAGCGGGACCAGGATTAGACCCAGGAAATTGTCGGAGACACCACGGGCTACGATGTATTTGATCTCCTGCACCAAGAATACGGCAGACATGCTGACACATGCCAGAGAGATCACAATGGCGACCAGGCATTCTACAAAGGTGAGCTTTTTTCTCTGCATCTCTTCATGATGGTCCGCATCCATTGCCTCATCCATTTCCAGGATATCGTCGAAGATTGAGCTGTGACTGTGCAGATTGAAAACAAGGTATCTATCATAAAGTTAGCGAATCGAGCCACTCGAAAGTTATATTGGTCAAAACTCACGTCACGAAGGCCAGCAGAAGAATGACGGCGGTGGCACGACTGATCTTCAGCGCAAAATCGTCCAACATAACCAGGGTGAATTCCTCATTCACTGATGATTTAAGAGCAGAGTAGAAAGCACTTGGGATCAACAGGCCAAAGCCTGCCACCAGTAGCAGACCCGATCCAACTTCACTAACCGCCTCATGAAAGACTTGCTCGTTTCGTGTTAGACCGCCAACAAAGAAACACGTGCCCAGACAAAGTAGCAAGTTAGCCAGGATCGAGCCCAGAATAGCGGCCTGGATGACAGGAATCAGGTCACCCTGACCGCTTTCTCCATCTCTGTGTAACAAAACCATAAACAGCACAAGCTCGACTGACGAGCCTAGAGCAGTTTCTAGCAAGACACCCATTGTCTTTGGTAGTTTCTTTGCCAATTCACCGCCAGCAAATCCAAGGACATTTGCCGATGGGACCATGGCTATGTAGTTGAGGGCGAAGACCCAAACATGGAGATCAGGCCGGGCAAAGTGAATTGCAATAGCGGCGGGGACAAAGGGCCAGAGTATATTGACCATCATCGACATTGAACAGACGCTTTGGAAAATCACTCGGCAGAAATGGATGAAGTGGAACCCTGTCCGTCCACTCTCTCCAGCACTGTTGACGCGGAATAATCCAAGTACATATCGACTTGGGTGATCTTTTGGTTGTAGAGGTAGATTTGTATCCTGTGTTGGTTTCTCATGAAAAGCTTCATGTTGGTAGCCGTTGATATCTCGTGTCGCAGATGCGACTGATCTGACCGAGCCCATATTGGAGCTAGCCAAGGTCGAAAGATGTAGATGAAGATTTTCGGAGAAAATAGATGTTCAAGTTTAAATGTTGCTCCAAATCCTATGGAGTTTTCCAGTAAAGTGAGAAACTTCAAAGCAAATGATTATACATGGAGGAAGACAAGGGGGACAAGCAAGTTTATGAGAAGGGGGAGTTTACAGCTGGCATCAGAAGCTGCAGCCAAACAGCACACTTGAAATTAAGCCAAGAGATCTTGGCGTACTTGGCATTGGCGATTGGAGAATCGAGATCGAATTTCATATTTCGTATTTAACGATTTTACTGGTAATAAATTGACGACAAGTATTGATCTACTCTATAGATAGCACAGCACTCAGAATGCTTCAATTTGTGACGAATCAGAGCCATCGTCTCATACCTAAGTAAGGTAAGCTAGGTACTTTAAACCGTGGAGAAGCCAGTTAGGGGTAGCCTACAGTAGGTGGAGAAATCCGAGGAATACAACCACCAAGCCACATTGTCTCAGCCACATTAATAATTTATTTACTGATACGGAGTACGGTCTTGCGTTTAAAGTGGAGATATTGAAGAGTTTTCATTAAATTAGAAACGATAAGCAAAAAATAATCCGTACAGTCAAAATCAGCAGATTTTGAACCTTTCAGACCTCCTCGACACCCACCAGGACCGACCGACCGAAATCAGATATCGAGACCAGGTTAAGATCATCACCACTTCCTAGATCAAAACACGCACACTGCAAGCAGTAGGTATATTAGTCGAGGCGGAAGTAAAAAGGCTTCACTTTAGGGCATCGAGGACATATAGTCATCAGCAAGGGTGGAGATTCTGTGGCTCTTATAAAGAGTTTAGAAAGGAGACGTCTACTCTAAAGAGATTCTTTGAACTGTAGGGGGGATAAAGTTAGTAAGGATTCAAGAGTGTTGAAGACCTTAAGGGGGGATTGAACGTACGTAGAGTCGCTTGAAGAAGAGGAAATCCGTGGAAGTGATCGAAGTGTTTTATACCAGGGCCTTCACCGCCCCACCTCCCGGTCCCACTTTTTAACTTTTTTGCCGGACTAAGTCAATACCTATGTCAATGGTTACGTCTGTGGATGAGGTTTGTGAATTCTTGCTCACGCCCAGTAAGATAATTATGCACCATCTGTGCTGGCTGAGCGTCGACGGTCGGTTACAGTATCGATAAGAGAAGTAGGAGCAATTAACTTCCTACTTAAGAGTACTGAAGCCCGCGATATCACAACTTTATGCCAATCAAGGTTGTAATGACATCCACAGTGATCTCTAGCTTCTGACGCACATATGAGGCTAAATACATTTGAAACAAGACATACCAAAGTAATATTGACCAGATTTAGTAACACGAGGTTTGTTAGGTGCACCATATTTGCTTCATTATGCAGTTCTATGTGTCCGCTCAAGCCGTGTCTTGGGCCCGGAATCTATAAAACCGTCAACCAGACAAAAGTTTTGGAAATTTGGATGAAGGGCCGAATATTTCTTCCTGCGTGACGTTAAGGACATATGCACACCGAGCTCTGTTCAGGGTGTCAGCGCCGGTATCCCCAAGCTAGTAGGGAATATTGCAAAGGTTAAAATTTTATAATTGCCGACGCGCACACTCATTTAGTGAAAGCGGAGCAAAAGGTGGAAGTGAGGTAAAATCGACCTTGGGAGATTGAAGTGCAATTCAATATTCAACTGGCAAAACACGGTTTAGAGCTCAGTGAAGAACTCAGCTCAGACCCGGGGATTAACCTTCCAAAGTTGAAAGGACGCCTCGTCGGTAAGTCGAGTATTTTACCCATCGAGGTCGATAGCCATATCTATTGTTATCCTCGAGAGTACCTAGGTAGATATTGTTTACATTTATACTCTGGACTCCCATAGTTCCGCTGAAAAATCCTTTTAATTCGGCCCATCACTGACTTTTTCCTCTCTCTCTCCTTAGTTATTTCCAGTAACTGAAGAGACTCGAGAGTATCAGCGTGATTTATACCGAGAATCATTTTTCGTCTTTCAAAGACCTCTTGAAAGGCTGCTTCGGCCTCAGAATACTTTTCTTGACGATGGAGGGCAAGGCCTATCCAACAGAGAGAGAAAAGTGTGTCGGCGTGGTCTAAGCCAAGGGTATTCTTTCTTCTCGTAAAGGCTTCTCGAATGGTTCCTTCAGCTTCAACATAGTTTTCTTGACTAAAGAGAGCAAGACCCAGATACTGGAGAGAATTGAGTGTATTAGGGTGATCTGCACCGAGGGTCTTCATCCGTCTCTCAACGACCAATTGAAAGGTTTCTTCAGCCTCATCATACTTTTGTAGATCAAAGAGTACGATGCCAGTCCAATGAAGAGAATGGAGTGTATCAACGTGATCTGCACCGAGGGTCTTAATCTTGCCCTCATAGGCCTGTCGAAAAGTATCTTCGGCCTTGTAATACTTTATTTGGCCATGGAGGGCAAGTCCAATCCAATGTAGAGAATAAAGAGTGTCAGCATGATATGCGCCAAGGGTCTTCTTCCTTCTCTCATAGGCTTGTCGAAAGGCTGCTTCGGCCTCAGATAACCCTTTCATATCATAGAGAACTCGGCCTATCCAATGGATAGAATGAAGTGTATCAGCGTGATATGGACCGAGGGTCTCCTTTCGTCTCTCAGCTGCCCGTTGAAATGTCGCCTCGGCCTCATCATACTTTTGTTGACCGTGGAGGGTAAGACCTGTCCAATGGAGAGAATCGAGTGTATCAGCGTGATCTGCACCAAGGGTCTCCTTCTTTCTCTCATAGACTTGTCGAAAAACTCCTTCGGCTTCGGAATATTTTTCTTGAACATAGATAACCCGGCCTATCCAATAGAAACAACAAAGTGTTTCGGCATGATCAATACCATGTGTCACTTTTTTCCCCTCAAAGGACACTCGAAACGACGTTTCAGCTTCTACATAATGTCCTGTCCTGTAAAAAGACTCCCCTCTGGCGAACCAATCAAGGGAAGCATTGTTGTTAATTGGGGTCCGACTTTGGTCGCCTTCTATCGGGATTGAGAGTTGCAGATTTGGAAGATTAAGTTCTGATATAGTCACATCTGAGGATTCACTCAGAGCATTCCAAGATTTTGAAGCTTCTGTTGAATTTGAAGTTTCAGACAAGCCTGAGATCATTCTTTGCTCTATGCTGGAGGGAAAAGCCAACGGATCTTCTTTCAGCCACGGGCTTTCAAAGGCCTCTTCGGCAGACATCCTCTTTGACGGATCAGCCACTAGTAGACCCTTTAAAAAGCTATAAGCTTCCCTGCTGATAGAAGATAGCGATGAACTTTCTGGAAAGTCTGAAGTTTGGACATATGACAACAGGTCTTGAAGTTTCGGGAATGGATAGAAGTGGGTGAGCATAAAGAACGACATCACACCTAACGACCATATATCGACGCTATAGGTGGAGCGATGATTGATGTTCTGGCCATTTAGCTCCGGAGGGTAAAGTTGAAGCACTTCAGGGGCAATAAAACGCGGGGTGCCGACCTGTGTTGCTGTGATATTCGTTTCATCGAAACGTTTGCTGAACCCGAAGTCGCCAATTTTGATCCACCAATTAGGACCTGTTGCTATGACAAAGACGTTCTGATGAAAGTTAGTAAAAAGACTTTTTAGACATTCACTCTGTTGGTGATAATCAATTCACTTACCTCGGGCTTGAGATCTCGATGAATAAAGCGGTTGTTATGAAGGTGCTGAAGACCCCTTAGGATCTGAATAGAAATCTGTCGAACTTCGGCTTCAGGCAATGGACCTGTCAACTTACTTTGGAGGTCGCCATGTTCAATATGTTCCATTGCAATGAAAATAGAGTCATCGTTCTCGAACCACCCAAGAGATCTCACAAATAAGCCACGGTACTTAAAAACAAATATCAGCATCTATTTCTGAAATCCAGTAGCGTAGGGCTGACCTTTATCTGAGAAAACTTTGCAATAGCTTCTAGTTCCTGATCGCAGTATTTACGATATGAAGGATTTGTTGGCTTAGTAATGACCTTCACAGCCCGTAGCTTAATAGTATTTTCGCTCATACATTTTTCAAGCCAAACGCTTCCATACCCCCCTTGACCAAGTAGTCTCTGCTTTTTCTAAACCTCCGTCTTTTGCCATCTAGCTCTGTCTTGGCTATAGTCCGGTTGATAAAGATAGTGGTGGGTCGCATCTGGATAAAATTTGGTGGACAATTTCATGTCCTCCACTAGCTCACTTCTCACCATGGTGGAATAGCTTCAGTAGCAAATGCCAGAGGGGAAAACAGTAATGTGGAAGTAAGCCAGCCCTTAGCCCTGAGTCCTCAGCCCCTCAATCCTTTCAGCTATATCACGTGCATCTGATCCCTGTATTTCATCTCATCTCGTTGATTCGTTGCTTCGACCAACCATATAGATCTAGATTTTTGTCTTCCCACCGATCTATTATTTAGATTGAGCTTCACTTGAATGGCGGCGAATTTGTTATCATTCTAGGCTTGAGGGCTTCTATAGCCTCTAAGTTATCCTTAACATCAGGACACGGGGTAATAATAATGTATACCCCTCCTAAGTAACCACATTTTCAGTGAGCGAAAGTGACGAGGGAGTGAGCAAGATCCGGTAAAATTGAAAGTAATCATTGTATTGTCGTCCGTAGGCGTTGAGGATCCGTTTTAGAGGGGTTGATCTTAGCAGTGCCTTCGATATTTAAGTCACGGGATAAGTCAGATGGTTGCGGATGTTAAGATCTTGGCACTACTAATAAGTCCGGGGGCGGGAGTCGGTTATAATCGGGGTGGGCCCAAAGCATTCCATGTCGCAAGATCGTACTATCTGGCGACATATTCTCTCTTCTCTTCATCTTATAATTCGGTTGAGATCACATCTAAGTCTCACTGTCCATCATTCATAACCATGGCTACTAAACCTGCCGGTTCAGCAAACACGCTGGATAACATAACACAACAAATCGGCAATACTCCCCTCGTGCGATTGAACCGCCTTCCCCACAGTCTAGGAATCGATGCCACCGTCTACGCCAAGTTGGAGTACTTCAATGCTGGTGGCAGTGTTAAGGACCGCATTGCCCTTCGTATGATTGAAGCGGCAGAGCGCTCTGGTAGAATCAAGCCCGGCGATACCTTGATCGAGCCAACCAGTGGTAACACGTAGGTCTTACTAATAGATAGACTGAACAGATCTGGCTCACATATATCTACAGTGGTATTGGTTTGGCGCTGGTTGCTGCTGTCAAGGGTTAGTTTAATCTGCCAGCAAATGGTTATAGAGGCTAATTCCTTCCTGCTTCAGGCTATAAGACCATCATCACTCTTCCCGAAAAGATGTCGGCTGAGAAAGTGTCTGTTCTGCGTGCCCTGAATGCAACTATTATTAGAACCCCCAACGAAGCTGCATTCGATTCACCTGAATCCCATATTGGAGTCGCCAGGCGTCTGGAGAAGGAGCTACCCAACGCTCACATCCTTGATCAATACGGCAACGATGACAATCCTAATGCCCATGAGTATGGAACTGCCCAAGAAATCTGGAGCCAGACCAATGGTCAAATTAAGGCGATTGTGGCTGGTGCAGGAACTGGAGGTACTATCACTGGTCTCTCTCGCGGTCTCAAGGGACACAACCCCGACGTCGAGGTGATCGCTGCTGATCCTTTCGGATCTATTCTTGCTCTACCAACCTCCCTGAATGACTCCCATGCCAATGAACCCTACAAGGTAGAGGGTATTGGTTACGACTTTATCCCCGACGTTCTGGACCAGAATGCTGTCGACCGGTGGTATAAGACCGAAGATAAGGAGTCTTTCTTGTACTCACGTCGTCTTATCGCTGAGGAGGGTCTCCTTGTCGGGGGTAGCAGTGGAAGTGCTATTGCCGCTTTGGTGAAGGCCAACCAGGAGAAGAAATGGGCCAAGGGTGATGTCGTGGTTGTTATTCTTCCCGACAGTATTCGAAGCTACCTCTCCAAGGTGATTCAAATCGTATCCCCTATTTAAATCACTTTTGATGCTAACTAAATCAGTTCGCGGATGATGACTGGCTGGCCGCCAACGACCTTCTATCGGCCCCTCCTCCCAAAGAATCCAATAATTCTCCGTTTTCGCCAGACCCTCTGGCCGGTGCAAAGGTCAGTGCTCTCCGTTTGAAACCAATCACCGCGGTGACTTCCACCTTCTCGTGTGAAGCCGCTATCGAGATCATGCGCGACAAAGGATTCGACCAGCTTCCCGTGCTCGCATCCTCTGGACGCAGGCTTGTAGGCCTTGTAACTCTGGGTAACATCCTCAGCCGATTGACCCATGGTCGGGCCACTGGAAAGAGCCTTGTCACTGAGGTGATGTTCGATTTCTCCAAGATTCCCGAGGTCGTCACCGACCCTCGTGACATGGGCGTTGGTGAGCTCAAAGGCCCAAAACGTCGCCAGTTCATAGAGATCACATTGGACACTCCTCTCAATGTCCTCAACCGATTCCTTGAGTGGAATAGTGCCGCTGTAGTTACTGAGAAGGACGAGAGTGGCGCATTGAAACCGCTGGCTATTGTCACAAAGGTAGATCTGCTTGGCTGGTTGCTCCACCATGATAAGGCCAGCGCGTAAATCATCACTTTAGCTTCCTGCATGTTAAGAAGCGTCTTTGTCGAAGCTTGAACATTTCATGCCTTTTTTATGTCCAGCTCTTAGTTTATTGGGATCGGCGTTGCTTGGAGGGTCTCGACACCTAGAAACATAGATATACAGCGCGGAATACCGTTAAAGATATCGAAATATCTAGGTAGAATCAACAACCTCTTTGTTTTCAAAGTTGGCTATCACTTTGTTTTGGTGTCGTGGGGACGGCAATGACGTAGTCAACTGCATCTACATATCTAGCCCCTTCTACTCTCCTCAACCTCTCAATGCACAAAGCTGGTAAAATCAGTTCCTCGCTATAAAATGACTGGAATATTCACCTACAGAAACTTTTCACTGCATGATACGCCGGCCTTGGATGGAAAAGTGGCAGTGGTAACGGTACGGACCCTGGTCTCTTTCCAACAGCGCGAGTACTAATTAGTACCAGGGAGGGCAAGCTGGCATCGGAAAAGGTACTTCAAATCTCTTTTATATCATCCATGGGGGCCTCATTCATCGTTCCAACGCAAACCGTCCCTATACATAGATATGACCTGACCGATATAGAAATTACTACGCAACTTCTACTACACGGGATCGCAAAAGCAATAATCCTCGCAAGAAGTGCAGAAACCTTTCACTCCACACGGCAAGAATGGAAACACAGAAACGGAATCTATCTCGGAGAACATGACTCCCGAGTGGAATTTGTGCAATGTGACTTGGGCGATATTCACAACGTCCACGCCGCCACTGAACATATCAAGCAAAAAAACAGACAAGGTCGATATCCTAATCTGCAATGCAGGACTGGGAGTTCCATATCAATTCAAACGTTCTCCGCATAACATTGACCGCATCTTCGCAACTAACTGTATCGGACATTTCGTTCTCGTCACTCGTCTCCTCCCTCTTTTGCGGAATGCTGCTTCTTCAACTTCAAGCAAGGTTGGCAGTCGGGTCATCTTTACAAGTTCTAGTCTGCATATGCTCTGTCGTGAAATTGATTTTGAGCTGTTGGCTTCCCCTTCACGTGTCAAATGGCCCGTCCTTTTCGATGGGATGTGGCGATATGGGCGCTCACAGCTGGGGAACATTCTTCTTGCTAAGGAATTTAGCCGTCGACTGCAGGATGAATCAGAGCATTCACATCCATCTAGTGAGAATATCTACGTTAACTCGTATTTCCCTGGTAATATTGTCACTAATCAGTGGAATGACTGGAGCTCTTATTTTGGGTCCTTTATCGGCTCATGTATGCGGGTTGTGGGCAGGCTGTGCGGTCAGACTGTGGATGATGGCGCTGCTACTGCCATTTATCTTGCCACAAGTGACCAAGTTCGGGACAGAAATCTTCGTGGTCGGTACTTTTTACCTGTTGCTACTCCTGGTGATCCAAGTCCGATGGCCCAAGATCCGAATTTAGGGTCTAGTCTATGGGTATGCGTACACATTCCCCTGATGGACCTAGGTGAGCTTGCTGACTTTGAATATTTAGGACTGGATCGAGACCCATGTGGCTCAGACTCTAGGAAGTAAAGAGAAATAGCGTCACTATCAAGATAACGAGATTGCATTTAAGTGCTGGATCTTTAATAATCATGGTCGGAATGGGCCCAGGGTATAAAAAGCAGTACTCAAAAATTTGACCAGTACGTGACCAGTACTATGACAAGCGAGTCATTTTATCGAAATGACGGGTTCCTTCAGATCCTCTGGGGCAAGAGCATAGCCCATGTATGTACAACCAGATGAATCATAGCAAATCCGCTCATGTCAGGTAGGGGTAGATTGAAGCAAAAAGGGCCATGTATCACAGACACGTACCCACCCATTCTTCCCAGCGACGAACTCCGGATCCAGTTTCCTCCTGCTGGTCGCCCTTGACGGCACCACCAACAACCTCCACCTTAACACCGGTGTCTTCTTCAAGCATCTTGAAATTGAAGACACCCTGCGCATAGTCGTTACCCAGGATATCCTCTTCAGTGTCCAACCCAGCATCCATACTGGCATCCAATAGGCCCTTGGTCCTGGATTTGCGGATCCGATCGATCTCAGCCTCAAGCTTCTCTCGTACCGAGCCAGGAGGCAAGGAAGTGAAAAGGTCTTGCTTGTTCGCGGCCACTAGAACGGGGATCTCGCTGAGCTTTTTGCTCGACGAGTTCAACTCTCGCTTCTGTAGGACTAGAAGCACATCATGCAGATAGGCTGCAGTATCGCGCAGGATGATCTCATCTACCAGGGCTGCGGTATCAACCATGAAAACCACTCCGCGGAGCTTATTCTTGGCGTCCTTTGACATAGCCATTGTTTGGAGTTCGGCGATGCCCTGAGCGGCGCGGAGCTTGCCATGGCCTGGTGTGTCCTTCACGCAATAATTGGTTCCGTTCGCGGCATCTTTTAATGAGGAGTCATTAACAGATCGATATTGATTTGACGCTATTGGGACGGTCGGTGGTAGTTTAACGGTTACAAGTGTCGATGTCTGAGAGGTGTGGGTGAGATGCGCCTTCTGGGAAGCTAAAGAGGACTTGGATTCAAGCTGTATGATAGATGGGTAAGTATATAAAAATGTATGGAGATTAATTTTCTGAACCTACTAGAGTAGCAAAAGCTGTTTTACCAGCTCCACTTGGGCCCAAAAGCAAAAAATTACAGGAGGGCGGCGACGCTCTCTTGCGGAACAATACAATGTGATAAATAATGGGCAAACTAAGAGTGACCAGTAAGGCAATCAAGATTGAGATTGGAGTTCCATCGAAAAGGAACGTTATAACGGTCTTCGCAAAAGACCAAACACCTTCTTGACTCGACATGATGTTGGTGGAAGAAGCGGTTGGTGAAAGAAACAGTTGGCGTGAGGCCAAAATGGTAGTGGCGGCCGATAGCACGGACCATGACTTATCGTGATGTATATCATTTCCCTTTTCTACTAAAGGGGAACAACACAACTTGTTCAAGGATATCGAGGAATGTCACATACCATGGACCAAAGGGTTGAAGGAAGAGGACTTGCTCCTCGCTTTCGTCATGTTGTCTCTTCAATGTGCTCTTCTCTCACCAATCCAGCATGAAGCTTCATCGATTGTGGTCGGCTCTTTCTGTTTTAACTGTGGTTTCGGCCCAGACTACAAGTGGCCTGTCCTTTGATAGTCGAGATGATGTGCGTCTTGTTTGGGGATTCGAGGGTACAGTCACTACGCGCTATGACTTCTGGCTTTGCGCTGGTGACGAGACTACGGGTGAATATGTAGTTTATCCATTCTATAGATTCTGTCGACTTTGGCTAATTACTATGAATTGAACAGGAGCCTCTCGAGAAAGTCATTGAATATGGCATCTACGCACCTGGTGACTGGGTGTCATTCCGAGTCGATCAGGGTGTCGGAGGAAATGGCCTGAATGCATAGTATGCGCCATACCAACATGATATAGGAGGACCTTTTTGCTAACCAATATCAGCTTCTTGAAGATCGTCCCTTCAACAAAAGATAACTCACTATCCGGATTCACATCTCATTTCACCCTGACCAACATGAAGGGTTCATTCTCCTCCAAAGTGGTAGATGCTATTCAGTCGATGCAGCCCTCGGCCTTGACATGGTCTAGAGCGGGTGATTCAAACCTCATAGAGGCAGAGAGGGTACCTCACTGCAATGACTCAACTTTGAACATCGAGGATCCGATTGAGCCTTTCAAATCCCCTACACCAACCATTGCCAATGATATCGAACATGAATTGCGGAAACGACTCGACCCACACATTGTTCCATATGGCGAGCAGACGGGCTTAACCAGGTATGCCCCCGCGCCCAAGCGAGCAGGTACCACTATTCCACCAGCGAACAAGACGCCCACACCTCAGTTTCCGCCTTTCCCTTTCACAATCGCTACTACGTATCTCCCGGCCCCAACGGTCCAGTATACGGATAATGCGGCCTCAACTTGGACTGACCTAAGCATTGAAAATACGGTATGTATATCACTCAATAGTCTATTATTCATAGTCTAATTTGTTCCAGGCTGCTCCCGCTGCTGCTCCAACCTTGAACAAGAGAATGCAAGATTGGATGGAGCGTGTGAAGCATTAATTGCGCCGGACTATGTACCTTTATCATCGCTACTTGACTATGTTTCAACATGTTTCTTCATATTACTCCATCCAGTTTCCCAAAAATATAAAAATATAAAAATAACTGGCCTGCCTCGATTGGTATCATTTGGAAAATAGATAGGGATGAACTTTTGAAAATCATGACCGAGCCGAGCTGTATTCTTAATAATATGCTGAAATTCTTCTTCCTCTATGCATTGCCTCATCCATCTTCGTAACGATTCGTGTACTCATCAAGACTTCCATTCCTCCAATGCGGGTGTTATGGGAGTTGCCGGGTGACTGTGTCGGTCCTCGGGATGGAAAGAGATGTTGTCACGCAGCGCAACATAGTCGCTATCTGCATATCCAAGAAGTGCTGCAATCTGGTTGCTTCGATGACCCTTGATATGGGCAATTTCAATGCTGCCGTAGTTTACAATAGCCCGGCCAACCTCCTTCGGCTCCTGGGCGTGATGAGCAAAATCTCCATCCAGAGCATCTGAAGAAGGTCGTTCCACAACAACTAAGCGCACTGCGTCCTGTTGCCCAAAGTGGCCTTCAACAGCAACGACACCTGCCGGAAGGAGACTGGCTTTGTTGAGAAGTGCATTATACGCCCCATGGTCAATATATATGGTACCGTGGGGCGTGAGCCCATGGAGCAACCAAAATGTTCGCGAATGAATTGGGGTATCGGATGGAAGGAATCGAGTGTGGAGGGGAGGGAGAGGGATATCGCCAGCGATTGTACTGTCCTGGGTTTGTTGCAAGTAGCTCACAATCTCGTGGACGTTACCGGGTTTGGAGCTCTTGGTGATGATTGTGGTCACGCCGGCACTGGTTCCTAGCTTTGCTGCTGAGATCTTTGTGCTCATGCCGCCGGTTCCTAAGGATGACCCTGCGGACGAGACATCAGCCTCGAGAGTTGATATGTCAGAGACAACCTCGATGGGCTTGGCATTTGGGTCGTTGCGTGGGTTGGTGGTATAAAGGCAGTCGACGTCGGTCATCAAAAACAGATAGTCGGCTTTGACTGCGGCTGCAGTGATAGCCGAGAGAGTATCATTGTCGCCGAATTTGATTTCCTAAAGAGCATATTAGTGTTGAGCTTCCAATTGTGTCAAAAATTGTGGGAAAATTTGTCTTACAGAAACTGCTAGGGTATCATTCTCGTTCACAATGGGCACCACTCCCATGTCGAACAGCTGCTCGAATGTATTTTGGGCGTTGACATATTGGGTATTCTGTATTGGGTCAGATCTAGTTCGAATTGATCTATTTAGATCCTTACATCTGCAATGTCATTTCTTGTCAAGAGAATTTGCGCCACAGGAACTCGTAGGTGTGAGAAGAGATTATCCCAAAGACTCATCAGCCGACATTGGCCAACGGCAGCAAGTGCCTAGAATTCAAGCGTCAGAGCTGTTCAAGCTTAAGTCATGTGTAATGTCCAGATCAAGTCTCATGATCCATCAGACAAGGGTTCCTACCTGTATCCGGGGCAGATATGTTGGTCTTTTGTCGACGTCCATCCTCCGCAGCCCTACTCCCACCGCGCCAGATGAGACGAGAACAACTCGGTGTCCATCCTTGCGCAATTTTGCTACCGTTTCGACAATCAAAGTCAATATCGAGAGAATAGGTTCGTGGCTCTTCTCGTCAACGATTGAACTCGTTCCTGGAGAAAGAAAAAAAAGTCAATATGGGCCGTCGAGTCATAGAAAAGAATGTATCACCGCACCGAGTTTTATCACAATCGTCAACCCTGAAGTCGTCATTGTCCTATGAGCCAGTCAAATGGAAAGTAGAGCGAGCTTCGTCTTCGCTCGAAAACAACAAAAAGATTGAACAGTCTATATTCCCCGCACTGTTTTGAGGATCAAGATTTAGATGCACTTACATTGAAGATCTCCGCTTTCTGCCAGGGCCTTCCGCCTTGCGGAGCGGATATTTGGTTTGCGAAAGCCGGAGCTTTTAACAAATCTACAATCACAAAATGTCAAACTCACAATCATCAGGTGCTGCTGCGCCAGTGAATGTAAAGCCCGAGACGGGCTATATTCCTGGAGATGATACGTGGTCGCAATTCAGCAATATCTATAGAATCCTGACGGGCAAGATGACCTCCGAAGGAATTAACGAGTTCCGCGTTGCTCGAGACATTCGAAACGAAGCTTCTGATATCAAGCGAGTTGAAGGCCAGCGTGATTACCTCCTCCAGTACAGTGAGTCGATCTCGTTTTAATCCTCCTACTATCAAAGAGTCTAACAAGCTTCCTCCGAAGGCCCCGTCATCCGCTTCCTCAGCGATAATATTCGACAACTAGGAGGCGATCTCCACAGTCACAACATTCACTGCCGTCGATGCACGGACCGAAAGGGTGGTGGCTTCGATCCTGAATTCGGTATCTTAATCTGTGCCAATGAAATGAAGGACCAAGGACACTTGGAAGATACACTAGCTCACGAAATGGTTCATGCCTATGATCACTTGCGGTTTAAGGTCAACTGGACAGACAATCTGCGACATGCAGCTTGTGCAGAGGTATGGTTTATTTCTGTTAGGACCTCGGGATGTTACTGACTAACTCGTTACAGATCCGGGCAAGTTCGCTTAGTGGCGAATGCAGATGGTCAAGAGAATTTTTCCGTCGAGGACAATGGAAGTTAACTCAACAGCATCAAGAATGTGTTCGGCGAAGAGCTGTCCTGTCGGTTATGGCTCGACCTACCTGTAAAGATCAGGCTCATGCGCAACAGGTCGTGAATGAAGTCTGGGACAGCTGCTTTCGAGATACAAGGCCATTCGATGAGATCTATCGATAGATTGGATAAAAATGATCAATATAATAGTCACCCACTTTGGGAGTTAATCCGACGAGGAACTGTTCGATTGGCAGTGAAGAGCAAATTCTTCAATTCGAACAATATGTTTCCATCAAGCAAAGGTTCTCAAACCAACTACATATGGATCTCCAGTACTGCATTTTCATGGAAAGCATGCTCCTCCATCCATATTCTGGTAACGATCAACATGTACCCAATCCTAATTTTGATCTAGGATCCTCTCCTGACTGGAGGAGTCCGTCGGCAAGGAGTTTACTACAAAGCGCGTAAAGATGTTGGTGGGAGTCGAAACGGCAATTGCGTTCAATGTTGCTGGAAGAACCTTGGCAGTAGAAGAAGGGTTCTTTTGCATGGATTGTAATGACCTGAGGAATTGTAAGCGGCAGAAATATCAGTGATTCAGATACTTTGAAAGTTGTTAGGGCAGGTGTTTTGACCATGGATAAGGCAAGGTTGATTGATGAACACGATATAAGGGCTGTTCGGGGTTTGTAGATCGAGTTGCACGTAATAGTGCTGCCCAGTGCCCAGTGCCCGGGGCTATTAGTAAGGAAAGAAGGAGAAAGAAAGATATCAGAAGACTTGAATAAGGTATCAAAAACCTCAGGACAGGTGATAGGGCTACTCTATACTTCTTTACTTTCGCTTCACTTTCACTTTACCTACCTAGGTAGGAACTTTTTATTCACTCTTATGGGCTTCTCGAGGTCGCTGCATATTCCAGACGTGCTCTTATTCAACCATTTGTTTCCAAGGATATCAAGTTCATCTTGATGCTGTGGTGTGAAGTCAAGATCGCCAGAAAGACTTTCCCACATAAAGCCCAAGGTTGTGGGTATCAAGCCCATAATACTCGTGGTCACCTTGGCATGCAAAGCGCACACCTTTTCCATAGCCAGGTCCGAGGTCCTTGGTTCTCGACATCATTCCCTTACTCTTCTCGGTGAAAAGATACCATACCGAGCCCCTTCAATTGCTTCCTTTACAAATTTACGATACTGCTCGACTTCTATACCATGTCTCCTCTGCACTGTAAAGTTCGAGAATGTAACCATATTTGATTGGCCTTGGATGAAAATGAAGATTAAAACCGGAACATATCCCAAAACGCCTCCTTACTCCAGGGGATTTGAAACTCCAAACAATGCACTAAACTCCATCAACCCAAAAAAGAAAAAGAGAAGAAAAGAACGCCAATATGTCATGCTTCATGCTTTGCTGTCCTTGGAGGAATTGAGGATCGTTTTACATCCTTGACACAATGCTTGACAATCCAGGGATGACGTTGGATCTCATCAAGTGGTATGCGCTTTTCGGGATCAAGGACCAAGAGCTATCATTCAGTTAGGGATTGTGGTATTATGATGAGTCATAGATTATAACTTACTCTTTTAATCAGGTCCTTTGCCTCTGGGCTAACGAATGATGGCACCGACATGTCTGCCCTGGTAATTCGTCGTTGGGTCATCACAGGTGTATCCTCGAAAGGAGCCTCTCCAACAAGGAATTCATAAGTCAAAACACCGAGACTCCACAGATCAACCTTTTCGCTGTAAAACTTTTCTTGCGAGGGACCCTGCTTCAACATCTCTGGAGGCAAGTAGTCGAGAGTTCCACACATCGTTTGGCGTCGGTTGTTAGGAGCATGCACACTCCAACCGAAATCACTGATTTTGATTTCTCCGTGGATACCAACCAAGATGTTCTCGGGCTTGATATCCCGGTGCATGACATGCTTTTTATGCAGATACTTCAAAGCTGCGGCCATCTGGGCAATGTACTGGGCGGCCTTCCATTCCGGGAACCGATGCTCTTTGCGCAGGTGTTTGTACAATTCACCCTTTCCGGCGAATTCAAGAATCAAGAAGATGCGCTTGCTGTCGTGGAAATGACCAAAGAGTCTCAGGACATTAGGGTGACGCAGATTACTTTGGATCTCGATTTCACGTCGGACCTGTTTTTGAACACCGCCCTGTTGCAGTTCAGACTTGTGCAGCACCTTGAGAGCGCAAACAAAGCCCGAAGACCGTTCCTTGGCAAGGTAAACGCGTCCGAACTTGCCCTTACCCAGAGGTTTGCCAATCTCGAACATTCCGAGGTGCAGCTCCCTAGGAGCAGAGGGCTGTTCATACAATGGGATCGAGAGACGAGGCTCTCCATTCTCGTCGGTGTTCCGAGCTACCAATGTTCCCTGTGAGCCTTTAGGCGATGCGACATTCATGGAGTTAACCTTGTTATCATTGGTATTTTGAAGTGCGAGCTTCAGTAGATGGGCTCGGCTGGAGGCGCCTTGACTCTTGGGGACCGTTTGGCTTGACCCAAGTCCGGAGGGGATGGACAAGGCTGTTGAGGTGCCCTTGAATACAGCGTCAGTATGCTGTGACTTCTTTTTAGGACAATGCAAGGATGTACCTTTGGTTTTCCATAGGTACGTTCATTAGTGTTTTCCTTGTCCTCTTTCATGGACAAGTGCTTGAACTGGGCCTCAAGCGTCTTGGTCGCCATTATGAGAGATTCGTAGAGTGCTTGAGGAGGGAAAAGTATTGAAAGATGAATGAGCAACCAGTTTTTATGGAATAATACAAGCCAAATTGGACTTTTAGATCAAGCAATCATGGTTTGGTTGGAGTGCTTGCAGTTGTTGATTGGAGATGTGAAGATGGAGAAAATGGAGACGGTGGGAACTGATGTTTTGGGTACCATAGCTCAGCCGTTTCCCCAGCAACATATCGGCCCGCCTCTTTCTCCGCCCGCGGGGCTTAGACTACTCATAACTAAAACCATTATCGACGAGATAACGATTTTCCCTTCATGACGAAATGATCTAATGCTATCATGACTTCTAAACCTCCCACGGCGGCGCCCCAGGGCTTTGCGGCCGTCTATCCTACCAAAAGGCCGCAGCAGACAGTTATCAAAGGGTTTCGGATCTCGACACAGAAGCTCCCAATTCTGAAGGCAGACCCTATCGATGAGATGACACAAAAGCTGGGAATTGCGCCACCAGAGATGATTTTTGGTGATAACTACGTGATGATCGAGCATGAGAAGAGCGGCTGGGGAATCAACTTCAACGCATTTGATGCCTTAGATTTAGTAGACAAGACCGGACAGTCCATGTTGCAGGTTGCGTACTCCAAAGAGTGGCAGAAGAGCAGGTGAGATCTTATTTTGTCGACACCCATTTTACTCAAAATCGCTAATTTATCTGAACCGAATAGGGAGAAGACCCACGAGGGCATCAAAGAAATCGTGAAACCATTCGACTGGTCCTACAGCACCGATTACAAGGGCACCCTAAGCCCCAATGCGAAAGCATTCGAAGAAACCACAAATGAAATTCCCATCGAGTTACTGAAACGTCCAGATCCTATCCTCTTCTTCGACGAAGTTGATCTCTACGAAGACGAACTCGCTGACAACGGCATTGCTCTTCTCAGCTGCAAGATCCGTGTCATGCCAGAACGCTTGCTTCTACTGCAACGGTTTTTTATGAGACTTGATAATGTACTGATTCGGGTTCGAGAGACTCGAGTGTATGTTGATTTTGAAAGCCGTGAAGTGATCCGGGACTATCAATCGAAGGAGTGTTCCTATGAGGAAGCCAGGAAGGTAGATCACCCAGACGTCAATCTTGGAATATCAATTTACTGACTGATCACAGACCTTGGCGACTGCTCGAGATGATATCCCAGCTTTGATGCGAGATGCCAATAAGTTGTCGGAGCTGCTTCCTGTTGTCGAGAAACGAACAGAACGAGTCGTTCTTGATGGATAAACTAAACCGTCAATCGATCCTTTTTTCCAATCTTTAATCTTCAAACTCCAAGTGCAGCTCTCGGTGAGATATCGAATTAACAGATACATCAAATAAAAAGAAAGAATCATATTTTATGAAACGACCTATTAAGTCTCATTATCAGGCTACGTTTGATTATATATCACCCCAGCCAACTGGGCATCTTCCCTATAATTAAATCAAGTAATATCATCTCTGGATCGTGAATTATGAATCGTTTCTTTACTACCGTTTTAAAGACTTCTAAGGTTATATTCTAGATTATATTCCATGATATGCTGGTATGTACTAATTCAGTGCCCGATGATTGGCCAGCAGAGCTCAATAAAGCAAACAAGACAAACACCGCTTGAATCCAAAAAGATCTGGCCGACGATGAAATCAGTGCTTCAGCAACAAATGAACATGTCGAGCACTCGAATGATAACAAGATGCGCGCGGGAAGCGCGCAGGTCCCATACCTCATCTCTTAAAGTAAGTGGCATTGTGACCCATATGCTTAATTCCTTAGCACTAAAACCACAGCAGCCGTCCACCCGGTCTCTTTCGTCGTCTACAGGAAGCATTTGCCTCAAAACTGCTCTAAGGACATCCACCAATTCGGCCTCTACCCTTCACGTAGCCGGCCGTGATTCCGCATTTCGTTTGTCTCTCCCCGCACGATCACACGGTCTTATCCGGAATGCCTCGACTATACCAGGAGCCGCTGAAACCTACGTCGCATATGGAATGACTCAGAAGCTTTTCGATGCGTGCTCGAGTCAGGCAGACTACAAGGTTCCTCAGGCGACGCAGAAGGGCGTTGAGGTTCCTTTGACCGAGTCGGGTGAGCACCTGGGCACCAGTGATAGTTGGTGGTATCAAGGTTAGTGACTCGTGATAATTTCCGACATTGATTTCCCTTCTGGTAAGAGGCAGCAGCATTGACATGACTTTCAAAAACAGAGCTGGGTCTTACACCTACCTTCTCTACTTGGTCGCAAATCACCTTCCTACACATGTATCTCTTGACCGTTCGGCTTCGCGCCCTTCCCACCCGCGACAGCGTCCAGACCTACTCCCGCCATTTGATTGATCACTTCTCACACAATGCCGAGCATCGCATGGATGTCTTGCATGATATTGGAAGCCGATCTATCCGCAACAAATACCTCAAGGATCTGTTTATCCAATGGCGCGGCATTATTGCTGCGTACGACGAAGGCTTGGTCAAGGGCGATGCGGTGCTGGGCGCTGCTGTGTGGAGGAATCTGTGGAAGGCGAGCCCTACAAGTCCTGATGGTAAAGACATTGATTGGACCAAGGTCGCGTGGGTTGTAGCGTATATGCGCCGAGTCCTGGCCGAAATCTCGAAGATGTCAGAGGCTGATATGGTTATGGCTTTGAGTAAGGCAAGCAGCACTGACAGTCCTATCTTTGGCTTTTCTGCTGTTGACAAGAGGATGGCTGGAGGCAACTGAGTCTTTTGACCTCTATATGCACCTATCGTCTTCCTTCTGTTTCTCATCTTACTATTATCTTTGCGGCGTGAGCTTAATGGGTCCTGTACAGTATTGAATCTGGTCCAACCCTCCAGATTCTGACATTCTATAAATCCAAGTCTTAAAATAAGAGTTCTCATTCTATTTTCCTCTATCCATTGATTGTTTTTTAAGACTTTAAAGAAGCGAGTTGTAGCAAGTTAGTTGTCCTTCTTGCCGAAAAGGTCTTTCTCAACCATACCGCGGCAGATAGGGTGGTAAAAGTCCTTGTACTTTTCAAAGGTCTCAAGCGCGACAGGGCGGTTGATCTTCTGCAGATTACGGTACCTAAGATTCCAATGTTAGTTCGACGTCTTTCGCTTTTACGTTTGAATGAGCAACTTACAGCGGGCGAACAAACTTCATTCTTCCAATGTGACCCAGCAGCTCTGTAGTCGGCTTGATGACACTTTCATCACCGGCCTTCATGCCAACCTGGAGGTATAGGTTGGAGACTTCAATGTTGTTGCTCTTGGTCAGACCGTAAACCTCACCCATAGTCTTCGAGAGCTCAGGGCTTAGGGGCTGCTCCCAGCGCAAAATCTGCTCCAAAAAGACAACTATCTGGTTGGCTGTCAGACCATCAAGGTCACTTGCCTGAGGCTTGAAAGAGGAACCTGCGGTCTCCCATTTCTTAGCAAGCTTGTATACAACATCCACTAGGGATGTATCAAACTGGGGCTTAGGAGGCAATCCGGGTGCGTAGAACCATGTGTCCCAATCCAACTCATTCAAGAGCTTAGAGGCCTCAGCATCGGATTTGAAGAAGTCCAGGATAGTTGCCTTGAACTCGAATGAGTCAAGAGACTTGAACTTGAAAACAGTGAAGTACTAGGGAACAGTTAGTTCAGAGATACAAAGCGGCGTAGGTAGCATGGCATACGTGAGGAATGAACTTGTCAAACTTGGGTTTGCCCACGAGGTTCTCCAGGTGGAACAGGAAATTAAATCCTTTCTCGTAAGGTATGCTTGAGAATGAATCATCGGGGTCCTTGCCGTCTAGGTCGAGTACCAACTTGGTGAACTCATGATCGTGGCCAAAGTGCTCCACAGAGTCACTAAGAGCCTTCCAGCCGATGATGGCAGAGAAATGACGGTACGCCTCGCCATGACTAGAAGAAGTTAGTTACCTTGAACATCAACGTTTTTTTCTTTGTTTCTAATAGACCTACATTGCAGCCAGAATCTGTTTTCAAGTCAGTCAATGTAGTTCAATGTCATAATGTCAGGATTCATACCCGTCGTTCCAAATACACAGTCCATCCCTCGTTCAGCCAGAAGTGCTCCCACGAGGCATTGGTGACCAGGTTGCCACTCCAGCTGTGAGCCAGCTCGTGCGCAATTACATCGATGTTTTCACGGTCCTGGCATTAAGTCAGTATTTTCATTTGCTTAATAAGAGATTTTGTTGATACCTTTGAGATAATGCTGGGCGTGGCAAAAGTGAAGATGGGATTCTCCATTCCACCATATGGGAAGCTGGGAGGCAGAATCAATACATTGTACTTTCCCCATACATAAGGATAGACGATTTTCTGCCAAAATAATTTAGTCAGGGTTCAGGACTTAAAGTGTAAAAGTTTACATACCTCAATTGTGGTAATGAAAGTCTCAGTATCAGCTTTAAGCTCCCATTGGCATTCATCTAGCTTATCAGGGCTGGTGGCCACCACACTCCGTGGACCGATAGGAGCCTCCGCAACATCTCTTTAAATCAGGTTAGCGCACTATTTCATGTATATACATATCTTGGAACGGAAGACCTTCTTACCCGCTTGCAATGGCAAATAGATAGCTGGGGATTGGAACCGACTGGTTGAATCGGTAGATCTGAGTACCGGACTGAGAAATTTCTCCCTTAATGGGCAATCCACTGGTCATCACCGGTAGGGGAGAGGTGATGTTGAAGTCTATGGTGCTCTTGACGTCGGGTGTATCTTGGCATGGGAAGATGGAGCGAGCGTGGATGGCCTGACATTGCGAGACTGCCACACATTAGACCAGTATCCATGAAAATGGTAAAGGAATCATCACATACACATATACGGATGTCTCTTGTTTGATGTTTGGGCAGGAGTCAACCACTGCAAGGCGGTACACTTTTCAGTGGTATTCACCTCGATCTATAAAATATCAGCTTTCATCTGAATTAATTTCTCTATCAGCACCATACATCCACCTCTACAGTGCCATCGAGCTTGATACCCTGATCCAAACTGATCTTGAGTGGAGTGCCGAAGGGAGCGATGGAGGGTAGCAGCTCCCACTTGGTTGGCTGGCCATCCACCTTCACTCCGCTAATATCAAGATAGCTGGTGTCCAGGATAATCTCCCGAGACTCGGCATTGGTGAGCGACTTGAAGCGGTGAACAACACTACCAGCCAACTTCTTTTGATCAAACAAGATGCCGAAGTTGGCCGTTATGTGGGTCGAGCGCCAAACATTGTAGTTACTCAATGTGTTCGGGTCACGAGTAGCTGTGGCCATTTTGCGGATGTTAGAATTGAAGATTGATCGAGTGCACGAAAATATGCGTCTAGGAAGAGAGGTTCGATTCATCTGGTTGCTGTATTTATCCCCCGAAGCGATTGTTACGGAATGGTATTTTAAGTCCGTTGGTACTCCGTGTTTCCTCCGTACACCACGTGAGGTTCTATAAAAAAGAAAAGAGAATTCGGAATTTGCTCTACACTGATCCTAAGAGTATATGGAAGTGACAGACTAAGAAGTAATACTATTTACTACTGATATTTACTACTGATATTACTATATCTGATACTATTAAAGTTCTCCCTTGTTCTAGTATAGCTGGATTTCTTGGTTACGCTAGGGACGAAGATTTCGCGAGATCCCCTTTTCTTTCTCTCTTATCTTTTGATTTGACTTCCAATATTACTCTCTTTATTCATCGAGAGAATATGGTGTGACAATTCATCTGATCTCTCTCATACTCCATTGAAACTCCCCGCAATTCACCGCCCACGAGCCCCCCTGAAGAATCCCGGACCCCCTGAACAGTGAACACTTCTCTTGGCCTTCGTGAGTTTCGAAATTGCGCCAATTAGTGCCCCCTTCAAAGCTCTAATTGTGTGCATAATGTCTCTTCAGTCTACTTAATATCTATCTCCACAAAGGAGAATAACCCCCCAAGATTCCAAGAAGGATTGGAATAACTGGGCCGCAAACAGATAACCTTCCATCCGACAAAGTCGAAGAATGAAGATATCAGAACAGTTTTACGGCCAATCTACTTCCTCTACCCGATATACGAACTGAATTTCGGGTCAATTCTCCCCATTCCTCAATGCCAGACCTCCCGAGGTCCCTTCGAATCTTGAATCGTTCATAATCATAATCTAATTGCGCCACACAATGCTACACCGCTCCGCCTTGGAAGATGATGCAGGCCCATTTCACTCCAGAAGTCCTTCGGGGTCAAAGCCTTCTCCTCGAGCAGATTCTCGCTCGTCTCGATCAGCTTCACGTGTACGAATAGGTGGATTCGATACCCCGGGGTTTGGTGTGTCGCAGACTGTGAATCTAGTACCGGATGGCCTGCGGAGCTCCAGTCCTATCAAGGAAGGCCTTGGTAGTTTAAACCGCTGGTCACAGTCTACCACATCAAGTAGGAGTCCATCGGAATCTGCAGATCATCACCAACATCAGCGGGCCACTTCGAAGGCAACGATAGGCCATAGCCCACGGAACACAGGAACGGAACTAAACGAACTTCCAGAACTTAACGTGCCAGAGTTGCGGGCCTCGGAAATGTTCTCCCAGGATTCAAGTCACCTTGATCTCTCATTTACAGCCTCGAGTCACGTATTCCAGAATTCTGCGCAAAATGATCCGTACGACTATGAAGCTACGCACACTTATTCCCATGATTTCAATGCTGCGCGTGCTAGTGAAGGTGCCTCTTCCACAGAAGGTGATATGGATATTGATAGTCAACAACATGGCCTCACTCAGAAAACAATGTTATCGAAAGCGCTTCAAAAGGCAAACACGGCTGTTCTGCTGGATAATGCAGCCAACTTTGAAGGTGCCATGGAAGCCTACACAGATGCTTGTCAACTGTTACAACTGGTCATGCTCCGTAGCAATGGAGGTGATGAAGAGAAGCTCAAGCTTCAAGAAATTGTAAGTTTCCTTTTTCTTTGTCAAATAAAAGACAGAAAGAACAAAGCAACCCAAAACAGAGCAAACTCCAAAACTATAGGCCAGGATTTAGTCAAACTAACTGTCGTAGCGTGACACATATATGATCCGAATCACAGAACTGGAGCGTATGGAATATCCTCTGGTGCAAGACGAGGGCAAGGCGCTTCCAGAACGTCCTTTGAGCCAAGAATCATATGACGATTTATTTCATCTATCTCATGACGACCCTGATCGAGACAGTCAATACAGTTCGACCCATTCTAGCGTCGGTCTCCACACAACAATCGAAGACGCAAAAGTTCTTGCGCCAGCGGCAATCCCACCTCGTCGTCAATCTTTGCGCCCCTCTTCATTTGAGGATCAAACGCGAGCTGCTTTGGGTTTACCAAGAACCATCCAGTCTGACAGATCTACTCCTGTTAATGATATCAACCACAGAAAGCAATCCCTTGATACTACCGTGGAAGATAATAACGAAACAACGTCCTGGTTAGACACTATTGACGAGTCCGGTGCTTCTTCTCCCTCGTCCGCCAATTCAAAGGGATCGTCGGTCTATATGCGTCGACGACTGAGCCGTCAACTCAACGTTGATATAGAATCTAAGACCGATGCCGCTCCTAACGCTGCATATGATGATGATCTCGCGCCTGTCCACGAATACAGAGAAGAAGACGAAGACGACGATGTCGTAGCGAACGCTCACAGGAATATTGAGCTGGCAAAACGGCGGGTGCGCGAGGCAGAATTGGAGGCAGAGGTTGCCATGAACCGGGGTCGTCAAATGCGACGCTTGCAGGCTCAGAACATGTTAGAGTATTCCGAACATCATCCAGATCCAGACTATCTCGATGAAGAGGCCGAGGAGGAGGAACGTATCCTGGAAGAAATGACTCAGGGCTTCGTCATGGACGATTTTGAATTTGACATTCAGTCCAAGTCGGCCCTCCCTCGTGAATCCGATTCAAGCAATATATCGGGACGAACGTGGGAAAGCTCAGGCACAGGTGCAGGAACTACCCTTTCCACGCTGACAGAGGATGAGGATATTTTGCCCCCTGATCAAAGAATCGAGCGGAATACTCTAATACCCTCTTCACCACCATCGGCCGCATTGCCCCCTCTTCCCGCTTCATCGGATTTCCCTGGTTTGCCCGCCAAACGGATCTCTGTGACAACTTTCCCCCCTCCTGCATCGGACCCACCTCCTGTTCCCAGCGTGCGAGAGCGAAGAATCTCGACGAAACTCTCTAGGCAGACAACCCAGGAGCTGAAAATCGAGACTAACACTTCGCATCCGCGAGCAGACTCCAATATCTCAGACCCCGAGTCCTTCACCATTCCGCCAACAAGCCGGCTACCGCCACCACTTCCAAAGTATGAGGCTCCGAGCTCTCCAGAAGCAGCCCGAGCCTCCGCGCCAGGCTTACGACCACAATTGTCTCTATCTCCTTCTCAGCGCAATTTATCTATTGGGTCTATATCGGAGCAAATATTGGCTAAAGCTCCCACCAACGAAGATGACGAAGCCGGGGGTCCCCCTTTACCGCGGGTCATGAGCAAGGTCCTCTCAGCCCCAGATGGGTTGAATAAGTCTGGCACGAAGCCGTTCCGAAGCCGTAACGTTTCTGTTCCTAACCCTGAGATGCCGCCTGTCTCTCCCATCACTCCGTGGAGTACTTTGTTCCCCACCATGGATGCCGCCATGGCTTCCATGACTGGCATCCCGCCACTGCCCACCCCAACTGTCGCCTCCTTTTCACAGAATGGTTTGCCTACTAGCGGCTTGAATCTATTTGACTGTAACATTCATTCCCCTACTGACCTAGGAAGTGGGAACGCGTCGGTGGCTAACGCGCCAAATCCCCTGGAGCCATGCCCAGAGTCCTTCCTCCTTCGACCCTTCTGGTTGATGCGATGTCTGTATCAAACAGTGGCCCATCCTCATGGTGGCTATCTCTCTGCTAAACTCTTCATTCCCCGCGATGTTTGGCGCGTGAAAAATGTTAAACTGAAGGCTGTGGAAGATAAAGTGTCCAATTGCGACCTTTTGACCGCAGCCTTACTTAAGCTGGCCCAAGTCGATACATACGACGCGGATGCAGTTCTGGAGGAAATGCAGTCACTTGAGGGTGTCCTTGATCAGGTCCAGACCACGCTTTCGAAGAAGCTGGGCAGCGATGTTGGTGTACAAACTGCCATGCCTCTATTCCGACCAAACAATCCACCAGATGATCCCTCTCACCCTGAACCTCCCCCTTCTCGTGTTTCGGGTAGCTCCAACAAGTTCACCTCCTGGAAAAGACTCCGGAACAAGACCTCTGGAATTAGTACCCCTACCCCGACTTCCAGTGTGCGCGAAAGCAACAAAGACATGCTCACGCTTAGCTCTCTCCCCATGACATCGGTCCATATCCCCCAGACCAAGCGAGCGGTCACTCAGATTGAATTCTCAGGTCCAAATGCCCATTATATGGGAGCTTTGGCGCGTCTGTTTGATGCTGCTCAAGTGATAGGTACGTGACTATACTTTGGATTTTCCTATTTGTTTTTATTAAAATACTGACTGACCTAGATCAAATTGCCCAACAAGTTGAGGATCCCGGACTCAGACTTTCCTCCCAGACACATGTCGGCCTCGAGCTCAGCACACGACATGCGGCTGAATTCTTCGGTTTCTACGTGTGTCGCTTCGCGCTGGCCGATATTACCTTGATGCTTGACAAGTTTATCAAGAGGGGCAGCGAATGGGTTTTAGTTTAAACCCCATTCGATTTCCCCAAGCCTCTCCACCCTATCTAAAGACGTGCAGTCATCACGTCTACGATTGTGACCCTATTTTCTCCACGTTCATATTGACCTTTTCCCATGTTTTCAAGATACCACGATTTGCCTTGGACACGATCTGAAGAACTACCACGAGATGGGAATTCTACCTTATCTTGGTCCCCTCGTCTCAATTCTTGTAACAACTGCCTATGTGATTCTCTCTGCCCTTTTTTATCTTCTTCTTCTTCTTTTTTATTTCTGAAATACCCATGTGATGACTCCAGCAAGAGAGACACAATATCAAATGTTTTATACACTACGTTAACACTGAATATTCCTTTAGTTCGATGGGATACCAACCATGGACTATGTCATTGAAGATAATAAGAATCGTTATTTATCGGATGAAATTTATACATAGTAAGAATCGACCCCTCGAACATACAAGTACTGCTGCCTGGAACTCCATACACCGTCCGCGACGACTGGTTAGATCATAATGGCCACCGAACCTTGAAACCTTGGAAGGTAAGTATCAAGAAGTTTGGATACATGGCTCTTTGAGATACCTCCTGTGCCTGCGTCTGCAGCCCCGTGGGGGCATTATATAACCAATTTTCATACATCTTAACTGTTTCCAGAATCCAGGGGTCCCTTTCCTGTAAGAAGTTAATGAAAAAGTAGAAGAAGGTTGGAAGTAAAGTGTAGTTCTTGATATACTCCATGATAGCCTTATCGCACGTGGTTCGCGTCGCCAAAACAAAACGCGCTTCCGCTTCTCGAATTTAATTCTGATCGTTCGCATCCACCTACTCCACCATCCCACTATGCCTCGCCCAGCGCCTAAAAGAACCCGAACAGCCAAGGCTTCAAAGCCTGGCAATTTTCCCGAGTCACAAACTGATAATGAGTCTAACCCCGTACCTTCAGTGGAACAGGGGTCTGTCGATCCTCGACGAGCCCTACGCAATCAGACACCCTTAAAAAACAATGAACAGGCGATCGGATCATCACCCACTGGTGACCGTCCAGATATTGGTAGCCAGCCTGGAACCGGTAGCCGACCCCCAACACGGTCTCGTGGCTATTCATCTACCCTGTATTTTGCAAACCGCCAAGGCGATATAGGCTCACGCATCCCCGGTACACCTGGCTTCGACAGCTCAGTTCTCAGCAATTTCCGCCGACGCCCACGCCAACAGAGTATCTTGCATAATCTGCAAGGCGAAGATGGCTCCTCGGAGTTGGACGACGACGATTTTTTGGGAGGGCTGAGTCCTGAGGATGAATCCACGCCATTGAATCTCCCTGGAAGGAAATCATTGTTGAAGAGACAAACAGATGAATCGCCATTATCATCACCGTCCAAATCAGTCTCAACTCCGTCTACAGGGAGTTCGCGTAAACGCAAACATAGCGAGGCGGTTCAAGTGCCTGCATCATCTTTTGAGCCAGGCCAGGATATGGTGGAGGGTTCCCCGAGCAGGACATCAGTCGCACGCGATTCACCAAGCAGGACACCAGTTGCCCATGATTCCCCATCGCATCAATCCCATATATCGGCATCACCTCAAACCACTCAACTCTCTGAGCTTCTCAGTCAAACCATGGCACTCCCGGCCAGCAGCCCATTCAGTACGCAAACTCCCTCCACGGCGCCTGCACAATCGCCAATTGCTGCTTCACGACGAACACTTGCAGGTAAAAAATCCAAGCAGCCATCTCACCTTTCGACTGCGACGCTACAAGACCAGCTTCTGCCTCGGCGACGATCGCGTCGCACTAAGCGTCCATCTGGTGATGAGTTCGATTTTCCCAGCGACGACGACGGCATGCACAATGCTGCACCGGGGGATGAAGACGAGCTGAGCTATCTTCCCTCAAGAAGATCGAAACCGAAGCCATTGAGCAATACACGAGAGAAATCCAAGTTGAACAATAAGAACCAAAAATCCAAAGTCAAGGCCAAGGCCAAACCAGTTAAAGCACCAGAGTCCCAACCGGTCACATATTCGCGCACCCGTCCAAGAGGAGATATCGATAAGGAGAATGAAATACATCTGTCGTCGCCTTCTTCATCTCCGCTGTCTACTCCCCCTAGCTCGGAAGTATCTGATGCTGAAACAGAAACAACAGAAACGCCAGGATCAGGATCGAAGCGCCGCTACGTGAGCGCAGAGTTACGCGCAGCAGCGCAAAAGTTTGCCGAGGTTGATAAGTGGCAGATGGAATTTGAGGAACTGAATTCCTCTGAAGTATCTGCCGCTGAAATTTAAACGATTATATTCACGAATTATTGATTATTGATTATTGATTATTGAAGAGCTCAATTTTATATTTTGATATATCAGTTCGGAATTGCCCGATTGTAGCCGCGAATCAACATTAGTTCTGTTTGAGCCCCGCCGCGATAACAAGCGAGGGGAAGGTCCGAGGTCATACAAACGACTCTGTACTTCGCCTATTCAACCTCCACTCATATCTAATAATTTCTTCTCTTTTGCCATTCATCCCCAAATCGTAAATTGTCATGACGTCAGTAGACTCTATCCTCGCGGGCAAATACCCAGCCAAGGCCCATGCGCGTCGAGTCGCTGAGTCCCTCCAAACTCAACATGGCGAAACAGGTGCCATTTACCTAGAGGCGCAAAAAAGCCGGCTAATTGAAGACAGTGACGAGGACATGCCATTCCGGTATAAGCCCTAAAAGAAACAACAATTGCGCAATTGCAACTAATCCAATCGCAGACAGCGTCGTCCATTCTTCTACTTGACCGGTTGTCTCACGCCCAATGCATCAGTCGTCTACGACGTGAAGAAGGACGAGCTAACCCTGTTCATCCCGCCCATCGACCCCGACTCGGTCATCTGGTCTGGCCTCCCTCTATCAATTGACGAAGCAAAGAAACTTTACGACGTTGACCACGTCAAGTATACCACTGACGTCAATGCCACCCTGGCCGCGATCGCGACAATCCAAGCTGGAAAGAATCCTCTGTTCGTTATTGAAGGTCAAGTTTCGCAGGACGTGAAGTTACCCAGCGGGTTCTCCGCTACTAACTTCTCCTCTTTGAAGGACGTTATTGGTGATGCCCGTGTCGTCAAGGATGCATACGAAGTCGCGCTGCTGCGGAAAGCGAATGACATTTCGGCTCAGGCTCACATTGCCGTGATCAAAGCATCCAAGATCGCGACTAACGAACGTGAACTCGAGGGTATTTTCATTAGTACTTGCATTTCTCTCGGCTGCCGCGAACAGTCCTATCACCCTATTTTTGCGAGTGGTGGGAACGGCGCTACGCTCCACTATGTCAAGAATGATGAGGCTTTGATCGATCCTGTGACAAAGCAACGGAAGAATAATCTGCTTATTGACGCTGGTGGTGAATACCAGACTTACTGTGCTGATATCACTCGTGTTATTCCGTTGCATGGCAAGTTCTCGACTGAGACGCGCCAGATCTATGATATTGTTCTGCAGATGCAGAGTGAGTCTATCGATGTGCTGAAGGAGGGTGTGCTGTGGGACGATGTTCATGCTTTGGCGCACCGTGTTGCTATCAGGGGTTTGCTGAAGCTTGGTATTCTTCGTGGAACTGAGGAGGAACTGTTCGAGAAAAGGGTTAGTGTGGCTTTCTTCCCTCATGGCCTTGGCCATTATCTTGGAATGGATACCCATGATACTGGTGGTAACCCCAACTACGAGGATGAGGACAAGATGTTCCGGTATCTCCGTGTCAGGGGCAAGCTGCCTGCTGGCTCTGTGATTACTGTTGAACCTGGAGTAAGAAATACGCCTCTTTCTTCTAATAATGATTGGGATTTGACTAACGCTTACTAGATTTACTTTTGTCACTTCATCATTGATCCGGTCTTGAAGGATGCGTCATTGAGCAAGTACATTAATGCTGATGTGCTGGAGCGGTACTGGAGCGTTGGAGGTGTGCGCATTGAGGACAATGTCCACATCCTAAAGGACGGTCATGACAACCTGACATCGGCTCCTAAGGCTCTTGAAGTGGTGGAAAGCTTGGTTGTTCAATAAGTTCCAAGAGCAGGGCCATACAGAGGTTGAATATGAATAAGAGTTGAATTTAAAAGCAGTTATTATCTACATGTAGTGTCACGATTGCCACCAATGCAAGCCCTAGAAAATTGCGAAACCAGACAAGCATAGCTAAGGAAAACCAGTATATACACTAGTTCCCCGTCTAAATAATCAAATACAAACTGCACAGCAGACTTGGGCCCGTGAAAATACCCAGCCAAAAAAAGATATTGCCTACGAGTTTGCGGCCTCGCATCAAACGAGTCCGGCTCAGTGAGACGAGTGGCAGCTGGAACATTTGGAGAATCAACAAATAACCGCGAAGACGCCGGAAAATGCACAGCATGATGAGTTCATGAACACATGCAGATAGGAAGAAAGTCATCAAGCTAGCTGAGTTGCGTGACAGGGAAAATGAGCTGATCGCGCTGTGATACACATGCCGTAGCAGAAAGCTGTGTACGGGGCGGTTCCAGTCGCGCGCAAACTGGTCCCATGAAACGGTGTTCCACCAGTCTGCGTAGAATCCACGATCTGCAAACTTCGTGACCTCGGCGATGGCATTGAGCTGTAGCAGTCAGTACAATACCGGTTTGAGTCATTGAGTAGTTACTCACCACACACTCCCAGATCACGTAGAAGGCCAAAATGTACTCCATCATGAAGGGGAAAATCAAATCGCTAAGAACCCAGGGAAATTCCTGCAGTCTCTCGTATAGTGTTAGTTCCTCCTTCATGCGTAAGGTTTTCATAACCACCGGGTAGATCCAGTACTGGGAGACGACAATCATGACCAGGATGGTGCCAAAGGTAGCGGCCGTCTTTTCGGCGACATAGAGCCAGTCAATTCGCTCAGTTCGTGGATATTCAAGCTCATACACAAGCGTGGGCAGAGTTACAAAATCACAGAAGTTGCCCACAGTCAAGTTTTGAGGATAGTGGCTGGAATAATTAGCGGGAGAAGACTGGCCTCGAAGCCCTTCGGTCAAAAGTTCCACCTCTTGTTCCAGCAAGGTTTTGAGAGATACGATCTGGGCAGGTTCCAGTGGGGTCCGCTTCTCGATAGATTCAGCAAGCGATAGAAGCTGGTCCGGGCCACGGGAATCTTGGAAGCCCTGCGTGTCGATGGAGCGCCGACGGTAATTTTGAGAGACTTCTAGATTGGTGATTTCAGAATTGAAACCTGTTTGTAAAGCAGAAGTCTGGCCAGTAGATACAGAGTTCTTGCTGCTATGTTTTTCCAGTTGTTTCAGCCGAATGTTCAACAGCTCTCGTTTTCGGTACAATTCCGACACTGCACTTGTTAGTAAGAAGTTAATCAATGATAATGTAAAGATCACCCACAGTAGCCGTTGTAGAAGGCATAGCTATGTTGCTTCATCAACATCGTCAATGCATGGATTACTATAAAGACAGTATGTGTCCATGGCCAGTCGCGATGGTATGTCCACCAAATAGCGACCGCAAGATATGCTGTCTGCCAAACCTATCGGGTAGATTAGCCACAGATTGAAAGGAATGAGGAATGATGGTATGGCGCACATTTTGAATGACCCACCCCATTCCACTCCATCGCACGTAGCCTTGGAGAATCACGTTCTGGAGCGCGAGACAAAAGAACGTCGACCAGCAAAGAACGAAATCGGTCAAGCCAAGGACCAAAACGTCTTTATGGAGCATCAACTTGACAATCTCATTCTTACCAAAGATGGTGCCGTGAGTTCTCCAGTTGTTAGCAGCGACTTTCACCAACAGCATAGCCACGCCGAGCCAGAACAGAGTGAATAATCCATGGAACTCTGATGAGCTGATCTTCGGATTCTGACGGTCGAAAGTACTTCTTTGCCGCGTGTACTTGAGATCTCGAAAGCGAAAACGGCGCTTCTCTGAGCCAGTTTTGCCCTTTTCAATACTGTGGAACAGTATTTCTCGCAGTAACTCAGTATCCTCGGCAGTGATGAGGTACTGGCCTGCTTGGCCAGTCCGTTGAAGCTTCACCGGTATACTTCGGCCTGAGTTCTCCAGCTCGTCCGAGGAGCTTAGTGGTGTAGTGGCAAGCTGAGCCTGTAGAATATCAACCCCGTCACTCATGGCTGGAGACTGGGAATAGGCTAACAATACATGAAATACAGAAAGTAGAATCAGGATCTAACGGGAGCTTTTAAAGGAGTGGAGATCGGGAGTCTCGGCTTTTAATAGTGGCGACCCATGAGTGAGACTGTCAATACGGGCTTTGAAGTAAGCTAAACAGACGTTTGCAAGACGAGTAAACAAATATTGTCTATACACGTGTTAACTATACACTCAAGTGAATTTATAGAAATTTCATAGATTTTCTGTATTTGTCAAGAATTGTTTCTTTTCTGCTTACTCATGAAACTAATACGAACTAGAGCTGTCAGAGCTCGGCCATATTCACTTTCTCCACACGACCGATTGCGACGCGATGGATTCACCTCAAGTTCAACATTCAGGTTCAGAGAACTCTGAAAATACCGAGACCCCCAATGGAAACCTTGTTCTGGATGAGCTCGCTGCGAAAGTGATTGAAGTCGTGGACGGTGAAATGGTTGGCGCAAACACAGAGCCAAAGTTCAAGCCAACAGAAGATGCTGTCTTACTCCAGACACAACCATCTCTCGAGGCTCCCACAAAGATGAACATCAGGTATTAATAGCCGCAACATACCTTCTTCCTAACTTGCTCTCCATCATCACCCTCGTCACGAAAATAACTATGTTTTTCACTCACACGCTCCTTCGTCCTACTTCCCAGTTACCTCACATCGCCCATGGTCGAACTCCTAGTAGGTGAAGGAGAAAATAAAACTGTCCTAGCAGCGCATCAGAACCTCCTCGCGCAATCGCCGCTCCTGGCCGACCACATTAACAAATTCAACGCATCAGGCCCGGTGAGTTTCAACTTCTAAACGTGGAAGCAAACATTTGTGTACTAACCCTTCTTTTTTTCCAACAGCGTCGCATCGAGCTCCCAGGAGAAGATGTCGAAGCGTTCACCTGCTTCCTCGAATTCCAATACTCTCATGAATACTCTCTAGGCGAAGAGAAAGAACCTCACGCTGAGTCCAAGACTACAGTGTATGGCACAGATGACAGCGGAGAACAGCTTCTCCGCCATGCGCGCGTCTACACTCTCGCCGAGAAGTTGAAATTGCCTGCGCTGAAGCGTCTCGCACACGCGAAAATCCATCGCATCAAGAGCACTCCTAGCGGCGAGATGGCCTACGCGCGCTATATATACACTCACACCGCCGAAAATGATTCAATTCGGAAGCCGGTTGCTGCGCACTGGGCTACTAATGGCCATGCTATGCGCCATGACTTAGAAGATGCTTTTAAGGAGCTCTGTATTGAAGTTCCGGCTTTTACCTTCGATGTTTTGGATATTGTTATGGGCCGTACAGCCCATAAGCCAGGCCCAGGCAAGAAGCGTCGTCGTGATAATTAAAAAAGAAGGATTTTCTCTAAAAGCGTCGAGGAAACACTTAGCTGAATACGTATGATTTTTTACAGCGCCAGAGATATCCAAAGTATGAAACTATTTAATAGGTGATTACCAATAAGACTGAAAACAAAATCAACAAAATCTTCAACATGTAGATAACCTCCATAATATATTGCATTATTCCTCGTCCTTCACCTTAAAGTTGGAACCAGGACATTGCTAATACGTTGGATAAATCGTAGAGCCTCAGCCTCGTTTTGAAGTCTTTATTTACCCATAATCGGAGTATGTAATCCTCCTTTATAGGAGGGGACAAACTCCGAAGGAAAGAAGTGGAAAGCTGTGACAAATTATATAGGAAGTATACCCGGGCGGTAAGAAGGGCAGATTGTATGTGATCCATGAATTGCTACGAGCATTTCCATATCCTGAGCACAACATTCTAAAGATAACTTGCTCAGAATGGCTCCTCATGCAAGAATGCAGAGTGGTTATATGAAAGAACGGTGATAATGCGCACATTACATCGGAAGTGTACTGGCATGAAAGATAATACTATTTGCAGGGCATAACTTAACGACACCCGTCTGGGAATGTAGATATGTAAAGACGCAGAAAAAGCAAAGCTGTTTTTGAAGATTTCCGCTTTTTTTTTTTACATCTTCTCAGCCGTAGCCATAAGAGAACCTGTGAGAATAGTAAGTAGCTGGAAAATGTATTAAAAGGTGACTTGAACATACCAATGAAAGTAGTAACCAGGCGGGACCGCACTTGGCAAATATCCTCTGGCACCAGCCAGATAGTGGCTCCCATCTTTCTGGCAATACTGATACTCAACTTAGCGTTGGCGTAAGCATCCTCGTCGGTCTGACCAGGGGTGACCAGGTCGTAGTCGACATAGTTGCTCTTCATGCCATTAAGCACATCCAACAAGAATAGACCAGAACCAATGGACTTGTCCTTGAAGCTGCGGATGGCAGAGTTGCGACCGCCGCTCTTGGACTTTTCGTTGGCCCATTTGACCATCTCCGCGTCGGTGATCTCGCGCTTGCCCAGACGCTGGGCCAGGGCAGACAATGTGTTGGTGATATCACGACGCATCAACTGCCACGTCAATCCGAGGGTGAGGGTTCGCTGACCATCAGTGATATCGGCACCCTGCACTGCTACCAACGAGAAACCGTGGTGCTTTCCAAGCTCGATGGCATAGTTTGTGTTTTCCACAGCCTTGAATCGCATCATTTCGCCGCCGGACGCAGGTGGCTTGTTCACGTGCTTCCAGTTAACACTTCCAGGAATAACCTTGTCATAAGCCTGCAGCAGAATTGTGCCGTCACGCAAGTCATCAAAGAGCGAGTTGACCGCTGGCTTCACGTCCAAAGAGTTCAACCAAAGGGTGAAGACGCGGGCCTCACGCTCGCCCTCAGCATCAAAGTCTTCCACCTCCAGCTTCTCCTCTTCGGTGATCGGGTCCAGTCCTGGGTGGGTATTGAACAGGTTGGCAACAAACGCAAGGTTCAGTTTAGGGTTTCCGGCAACCAAAGATGTAGGTGTCAGGAACTTCCGGCAGTCCAGCTTCTCGGCATTGTCGAGAACCTGCTCAGCACGATGGAGTAGGTCCTGGGTCTGGAGAGGGCCACGGGAGCAGATCTCTGGGGCCAATTGATTCAGAAGGACGGTGTAGTTCTCTCCGTCCTTTACGTCAGTGGAGAAGTTGTTAACCCTAGATTGATATCGTTAGTTATGGAAGGTTTGTATGAAAGTGCAGATTGGTTCTTACCGTCGCTCCCACTTGGCATTCTTCAGATGGTAGTTGAACCAGCGGAGAAGGATCTGCTCTGGGGGCAAGCGCAAGAACTGCTCCAGTGTCTCATCCTCGTCCAAAAGACGGTATAGCTCAGGGTGGAGCTTAATATCAATTTTGCCGAGCAAACCACGGCGAATAACCTGCCAGATCAGGCCCAGGATAAGATGTTCCCGAACTTCAATGATATCTCCACTTCCAATGTTCACAACCGAGCATCCAATAGCCTTGGCGGAGTTGATGACGATATTGTTGTTTTCTGTCATGTGAAAAGCATTCAGCACCTTGATCTTCTTGCCTGCCTTGTTAAGAACACGGTCATCAATGGTATCCGGCACACTGTCGTTGATCAACTTGGCCAAAACAAGACCGTCCTTGCACTTGTCGAACATCTCGAACGTATCGGTGGGGAAGGGCAAAAGGTTGCCAATATCGGGATCACCAGCCAAAACGGCATTAATGTGTCGCGTAAATTCAGTTCGCTCGTCCTCGTTGATTGTATGGGTGACATTTGCTGAAGAGCCCTGTACGTGGATCTGACCACCAACGCTGCCCTTGGAAATATGCCGTGATCCGCCGCCAGCGCCGGCACCGGCTCCAGCGCCTTTGATCAAAGCAGCAGGACTAGGTGCTGCCTGAGCAGCTGAGGCAGGTCCGGAACGAAGTCTTGCAATCAGCTGTAATTGACTTTGTTAGACTCGCCTCCATCTAAACCCCCTGGGACTGGCCACCTACATCAATGTAATCCTCGAGCTCAACGCGCCGGGAGCTGTCAAGCTCCACGCCCTTCAATGTCTGACGCACAACATCGTATGGCTGTCTCTCGGATTGTTGGGTAGCCTTGATCACAGATGCTTCATCTAGGTAGCCTTGATCGTCGACGTCCAGTTTGCGGAATGCATCCTGTAGGGAGAAGATATCGCCTTGGTCCAGCTGAGGGAAGCGCCTTTAAATCAAAGTAATCAGTAAGTACTTCTCTCATCTCGAAATGATTGGAATTTACGCACTTCTGTAGCTTGAGGACGTTCATAGTGGAAAGCCAAAGCGCGGTGGGTGATCGCAATGGAGATCGCGAGACTCGAGAGGGTTAAAGAAGAAGACTCCCAGTAAGCAGAGTACTGTAGGATCAGTATATGAGGGCAGAAAAATTAGGCGACCACGTATGAATTGAGCACCAGGTGGGCAGTGCAGGCAACTATGTTACAAGCGGAAGGGGAGGAATAGAAGGAGGGGGATTATGTAATATTTCAAAGGAGTTGGGTTAGCTGATGACGTCGGCTGCCCTCCTTTACAACCCAAGGCCTCCATCAAATATGACTACCTTTTGGATATACCTATACTCATAACTTCCGATGTTATAGGCAGCAGTCTATTGCTTCTTCTAATCGAGCCTGACAGCCCTGAATTTCCTATTCCCAGTAATCTGTCCTAGTGCTTGCATTGGCCGAGCGACAAGATATAGCTGACTGCGATCTCTTTGTGCTATAGTTTGTGTATTGATAGCAGGAGATCTGGAGCCATAGGTAGTTGAGATAGAGAGCTACTACCTCTATTATTTGGTATGGACTCTAGAGATGCACAACATAGGCATATTTACATATCGCAGTGTTTGTAGATGAGATCCATTGTTGATCTTCACGGAGGATTACATCATGCTCGATGCAGTTAACAGATCCACTCGCTACCTACACTGCTTTCCTTCTACCCATATGAAATTATTGAACTCCTGAGATCCAAAGTACCTATCTCATATCTCAAAACTTCAATTTCCTATATTCAAATCTACCGAGATTGCCATATTGCAGATTAAAATATCCACGTTGGTCCGCTTTGCAGGCTTGCGACGGGCGCGCCCGACAGTCATGACAGGCGCTGACCAGAAATCCTTCCTAGGGAATATATCTTCATGGAGTACTACCTCTAGCAGTTCTACACCGCAGCCTGATCCATTGAGACCAGATGTCCTACAACGGTCGCAGGGAGAAGACCATACGGTGACCCATCGGCATCGGCTGAGCTGGCGTCATTACCCATCCGATTGCCCCCCATTGAAAGTCAGATGGTATTATGCCGTGGATTCGCCGAAGCGTAAGCCTTCTCTCCTGGAGCAGAACAAGGCCGAAAAACCACTGCCTCCGCCCAAGAAGTTTATTCGCTTCTCAATGAAGGACTCGCAGTCCATTGAAACAACATTCCAGAAATTGTCAGAAATCGAGGACTCTCAGGAAGAGCCCCACAATCAACATACTGTATCGAAGAAGGTCCCGGTCAATGAAGACTATTTGTTTGACGTGGACGTGGAACATCGAGAGCTCAGCCCGGCTTATTGGATTGGCCCTGTTTATGAAGTCCGTCGTGGAACCTGGTTCTTCCAGGATAGTTCTGGGATGAAGCCATGTGAAGAGAATCTTGCGACTCAGTTGGAAGAGGGGTACCTCAAGCTAAGACCGTGGAGGGCGGACGAACGTGAATCGGAAGCTTCCATGGATGAACATGATCTGCCTCGCGGGAAACCAGATTCTCAGCGTAGCGCCAAAGCCAAAGCCAAAGCCAAAGCCACAATAGCAGCCAAACCCCGTTCTCAGGGTGCAGGGAGCGAGGCTCCCGCACCTGCTCCAGAGCCTCAACAGTATCGTCTTTTTGGAGCCTATATGAATCGTATTGTTTTATACCAAGATGCATCGACTGCATGGATCAATACCGACGATTTCATGTCGCGTTTCAGCACCACCGTATATCAAACGCTGGGCGGGGTCGCTGGCACAAAATTAGTCCGGGGCTTCATGGAGCCCAGACGACCTAAAGACTTTGATCCGGAGCGAAAGCCCACAGACAGGACACCCGAGAAGAAAACTCAAGAGGCAGCCAAGGACCTTCTACAGAAAATTGCGGAGACAGCCAGAGAAGATGAGTCCGATATAGGCAGACAGCAAAGATCCACGCTAGAACGACAGATGTCGTCTCTTGCTGGTGAGCCACAAAATACAGCTGAGCTAGAGGAAGAGGCCCGGTTACAGGAAGAACAGGAGATGGAAGATTTGAGGGAAGATGACAACGAGGACCAGGCTCGAGAGGTCGACCACATAGTCTTGGTAACACACGGTATCGGCCAGCGACTTGGACTACGTTTGGAGAGTATCAACTTCATCCATGATGTGAATGTGCTTCGCAAGACGTGTAAAAATGTCTACAAAGCTTCGCCTGACCTCCAAGCGTTAAATTCCAGCTTTGAAGACAATGGTGGCAACTGTCGTGTCCAAGTGCTCCCTGTGTAAGTGAATGCTTCAGCATTTGTTCCTTTTATCTATTTTCAACATGTGTACACTGTACAACTTGAATTCTGAAGATTCCGTCTAATTAATATCCAGATGCTGGCGCCATCTTTTGGACTTTCCTTACCGTGAGGTCCGACAAAACCGAAAGGAACTGGACCTGGCTGACGCGGACACGCTTGAAGATGATGCCTACCCGAGCTTGGCTGATATCACACTCGAGAGCGTACCTGCTGTGCGAAATTTAATAAGTGATTTAGCGATGGACGTACTGCTCTACCAGAGCGGTTACTGTGAGCATATTTCTAATATCGTGAAAAAAGAATGCAATCGGATCGTTCAGCTATTCAAGAAGCGCAATCCGTCCTTCAAGGGGTCGGTCAGTCTTTGCGGACACTCGCTCGGAAGCGCAATACTTTTTGATATTCTATGCAACCAACCAAGGGATATAGACTTCACAAAGATGGCCGACGAGAGCAATGACATCCATAAGAGACAAAACGCAGGACGGAGTGTTTTGAACTTTGAATGTGAAGAGTTCTTCTGTTTGGGTTCTCCCATTGCGCTTTTCCAGATGTTGAAGGGGAAGACTATTGCCGGACAATCCCCATTGAGTACACGGGGCCACAAAAGTCCTGTGGATGCCGAACTCAATTCTTTTGGATCTTTTCATGGCCCAAGTCGGGACTCTCAGGGCAGCGGGTACGATTTGACCAAGAACATCACGTCTGTGCCCAAATGTCGAGATCTCTATAATATCTTTCACCCATCTGACCCAGTGAGCTACCGTCTCGAGCCTCTCATTTCTTCAGCGATGGCAAGTCTTAAGCCTCAACCATTACCATCTGTCAAGAAAAGCTTATGGACAACGTCTGGGCAGAGCCTTTCTATTCTCCGTGATCGCATGGGTCAGAGTGTGGGCTCTATGTGGAGCAACTTCACATCTGGCGTCGCAAGCAGCTTGTTAAACCGTTCACTGGGTTTGAATTCGGAAGACGTCTCCAGCGGCAAACTCGCCGATGGCGGAACAGGGCACAAAGGTCCGCAGGCTGAAAACCCAGACTCAGATGAGCAGTTCCACACCCTGATCGATCCCGACATCGAGACACTCTATGATGGGTTTCAGAGGAGACGGAGCTTGAAGCGGGACCAGCGCCTAGGTGAAGCAGACCCCGTTCTAGACTCAGAAGACCAAGCGCGCAAGATGAGACTTGAAGATGCCAAAGTGCGTGCATTGAATTCCAATGGACGCGTTGACTATAGTATACAAGAGTGAGTTGATATTGTAGCAGGTCATATAAGAAATCGAGCTCACTATTATCTTTCTAGGGGCGCATTCGACATCTCATTGATTGCAAGTATTGCTAGCCATCTTACCTACTGGGGTGATGAGGATGTCAATCACTTCATGCTATCACAGATGCTGTCGAGGAAATCACGACATCGCATGAAATATACATAGATTCACATTCTCTTCTGCAATTACCTCCTGTTTACAAGATCCAGATTTTGATCTCCAAGGTGAGATGACACTGAATTCGAGCTCCCAAAGACTTCAAGCCCGATGTATTAACTCCTGGATGATGTCAATATGCATGATAATGAACAAGGTGTATACCGGTTGGAAGTTGGCTGTAGATTGAGCTGTGCCAACATTTTCCTTTAGATATTGGAAAATTAGAACTATGATCATCTCCAAAAACCAGATCTGACCTTACCACCGCAGACTCTCTGAGTAGTAGCATAAGGAGACGGAAGCTATAACTAGCAAACTATAGAACCTAATGAGCCTCTTCAAGGGAAACTTCCACCTAAAGATTCGGACTATTGAATTGTAAGCAAGACTTGAAATGAATTCATAACGAGATATTTGGGGAAAACTTCAGTTGATGATTGATGACGATGGAGGTAAAAATTAGAACTAAGAGGTCTACCGGTCCTAACTACCAGGCGACTTATTTAGACCTCTAGAGAACCTGGTGCTGCGTACTCTATCCCTTAATAGACATAAGATTAAGATTATATCAGATGTAGCTAGTAAGAGAGATGAGCTGTATTATACAAAAAATAACAACCATCATGGTGTCTTCCTAACCTAACCCATCGCAACCAAGCACGAGTGATAAGGGCAACTAGCTTACTCAATTGATCGCCGAGGCCAATTTCATCCTCTCCATCTTACTCAATAAAAGTTCTTCCTGCCCCATAGCATAAAGCGCTTTCTCATCTTCTACTAGAAGATCCATGAGTAGTGTCTCGATATTAATAGCAATTTTGAGAAATGCGTCCCAACCCTTTTTAAGGTCTAACTCATATTCGTCTCGCCTAACAATCCTACTCTTTTCTCTCCTGAGGCGACTTACTCCTTCTCGGATGATCTTCGCGAATTGCGTGTCTTCGCCAGGCTCAGTGATTTTAAACAGATCATCAGTGAATGTAAATGTATCAATACGTGTTCTCCTTAGTGCGTCCTTGTTCTCCTGGGCTGCATGTTCGGGCCAGCCTTTGCACTTAAGGCAAAACATTTGGCGCAAGATGAGAGTCGCATCGTTGCAAATTTGGCTTAAACCACTAGTGAGCAGGGGTTTGTAGAGCGCGGTGGATGAGACCATTGCCAGCATTGGTTGTGAAATAAGAAGCTGAGCACATTTATGTATCTTATCCAATTTGTCAGAGTAGAGCTCTTGGTAGTATGGCAAATACTTGATTGATCTTTCTCTCGGGCTCTGCGGTCCAGGGGATCGACTTGGTGACTCTTGTTAAGAGAGAAGTCAATATAAAAGATACCTTGGAGTAGAAGAGTTTTCCCCTTACCTGGCCCTACTTTCTGGCAACTTTCTCTCAGCTCACTCATCCATTCTTCCTCTTCACAGTCTCCTCTCAGCATCCCACAAGTTTCAGCACCTATCAAGATCTGAAGCTGCCTCAAAATACTGAGCTGCGGGTGATAATTTATCGCATGGCTCGGATGGAAGCCATTTAACCTATTGAAAGCAACTAACTCCCCGTCCGCACGATGGATCCTCGTTACGACGGGCAATTTGGAAGTACTGTCAAACCTCTTCCCAACACCGATGCTTTGAAGTTTCCGGGCATCCCTTTTCCAATCATCAGATTTATCCAGATTCGGTAGCCATATCTTCCCTGCACAGAGCAAGACGGAGGGCTCCTTATTAATAATTATTTGCATCGATTCACTCAATGAATCCTTTAATTGCCTCTCTTCCATTTTTTCTACGTAATCATATATGTAGGGCAACAGATCGACGATGGTGATGTCGGTCCGAATATTCAGAGACTTGCAGGAGACAGCAGAAAATATGTCGTCCAGAGCAGAAAGAGTGTTGCAATCCTGAATAACGGCATTGAGACCCTTTTCGAACGGGTGATTGTCCCGGGGCTGCTTGAGGACAACAGCTATGCCACCCTTAACCGCTGGGCTTGCCAGCTGTGTGGTAACTTGAATCTCGTCGTTCTTTCGCTTCAGCGCCCACCCTCGTCTTTCGAGACGGGAGACATGATTGGAAGGCTCTGTCAGGTCATCAGAGACAGGCTTGAAAAGCCGCCTGATCCGGTGGTCGACTGCCACATCCAGGCAAACCTTGGGCTGTGTATCCAGGGCCATTGATCTCGCTTTGTAGAGAGTGTTTTGAGTAGAAATAAGACTGTTTGTCGGCCAACTTGGCGGCGCAGCTTGAATTTAGTAATATATACCTGCATGTCAAGGTTACCAATGTCAATCCGCCTAATCCTCCCCCTTCTATTGGTGCCCCCTTTCAACTATTTTTATACTCTATCACTGACCCAAATGAGGCTCTTTCTCGGCCTCCCGTTTGCCGCCCATTGGTCGCCCGTTAGTCGCCCATCTGTTTGCCACGTCACCCCATACCCTAAGGATCCCTTTCAAGGCCCAATTAGGGCATGAAGGTATTAGAACATTGACGATGCAGTCCGAGTCACGACTCACTACGTCCTTGGATTTGGGCCTCGGGCTCTGATACACCTGATTCCTTATGCACTGGTATAATTTGGCCTAGACACAGCTTAGCGCCATGGCATCATCTAATTATATAATCTAGTAATCTTCCTTGAACTGCGGGTTGGACAATGGATATTCTCTTAGATTGGAAAATGGTGTCCTTGAATAGGCCCTCTATGTCATTCCCTGATAACAATTGACTGCACTTTGGAAATAACCATGGCATGATAAATGCAGGTTTATCTTCCTTTGGGTAAGCCAACGCTCTATAACCACTTCGAGCACAGTAACCCTGGGTACAGTAGCGACTGCTGTCGCCTTCCATGATGGAACAACATAGAAGCTGTTTAAAGCCCCAAATTAGTTGGTCTGTATTTAAAGATGGGAGTATACAGGCGGCGGGGTGGCAGGGTCGACCCCGCCACCCTACCACCCGACGAACTTTTCGTCTTATCGGCCAATAAAAACTCTGTATTTCATTTTTTGTGGGTAATATGATACATCATAATAAGTTTGTCGGGGAGCTAAAAAAAAAGGTCGTCGGGTAGTGGTAAATAGCCATCTTATGTGGTAATATGCAAGATTTGACTTACGGTGCTTCAACCCTACCACCCCGCCACCTAGCTTCAATTTTCGATAATTTACCAGGAATTTGTAAAATGTTTCTTCCTTCATTCAACAATAAAACAGTCAACTCAATTCAGATTTTGATAATATAGATATAATTATTAAAGGAATTCCCAAGAATAATACTTTGGAACTGGTTTTAGGAACTTATTATCATTTTTTGGAGTTTTCATCTAAAATTATAAAATTTCATAACAATATATCTATATCTATATATATATATCTGTAGACTGTATCTATTTACATCTCAGTCCTTACAAATCGATTCCTATCTTTTACCATCTTTTACTGATCCTTACCATTATTTACTAGATTTTATGATTTCTTGAAACATATCAACTATTATCTTTCCAAATTAAATGTAATATCTTTATAAATCTTAATTTTAAGGATATCTGTATAAAAATAAACATCTTAAATAGTCTTTTCTTAAATCACTTGATATCAAAAACCTTAAAATTAAAATATTAAGCACTAAGCACTAATCACTAAGCACCATTATACTACTATTGTAACAGGTTGAATCCTGGTGAACTATCACGTGGTTGTACCACGTGACCCACCAACCGCATACCTCACGATTCCACCCCGAATTGTTTACGTTCTTCAAGGATTTTGTAAACAGCATGTGCCTAGCTAGTTCTGAATTCAAGATTAGCTTTAGCCCTTCACAGCCATAATTATAAAGATTCTTAAGAAAGTGAAGGCAAACAGAAATGAAAAAAAAGAGAAATCTGTACAAATAGAAGAGAATTTGTGGGTTCATAAATTGAATTATGAGAGATCATATTCTTAGAAATTAAGCGATATATATAGAGAAGTATAAATAGACAAAAAAAGTAAATACCTAAATCTTCAGTCTAGTAAATAATGGTAAGGATCAGTAAAAGATGGTAAAAGATAGGAATCGATTTGCAAGGACTGAGATGTAAATAGATACAGTCTACAGATATATATACAGATATAGATATATTGTTATGAAATTTTATAATTTTAGATGAAAACTCCAAAAAATGATAATAAGTTCCTAAAACCAGTTCCAAAGTATTATTCTTGGGAATTCCTTTAATAATTATATCTATATTATCAAAATCTGAATTGAGTTGACTGTTTTATTGTTGAATGAAGGAAGAAACATTTTACAAATTCCTGGTAAATTATCGAAAATTGAAGCTAGGTGGCGGGGTGGTAGGGTTGAAGCACCGTAAGTCAAATCTTGCATATTACCACATAAGATGGCTATTTACCACTACCCGACGACCTTTTTTTTTTAGCTCCCCGACAAACTTATTATGATGTATCATATTACCCACAAAAAATGAAATACAGAGTTTTTATTGGCCGATAAGACGAAAAGTTCGTCGGGTGGTAGGGTGGCGGGGTCGACCCTGCCACCCCGCCGCCTGTATACTCTAAAGATGGGTTCTCTGAGCTTGAAGGGTAAATTACGAATACGATTTAAGAGACCTAGCAGTCTCTTTTCGATGGTCAACAAAAACCTTTTCCACTTACACATTCATGGCCCGGCAATATAAATCCAGGATTATATGGATATGATATATTTAATGAGCTACGGTAATTGTTATTTGAGGCTGCATTGCTTCGTGATTAAACTATGAGCCTATTTAATATACCTCTTGAGACTCTTGAACCTGATTGAAGGAGATGATACCCTTCGTCCAATGCGCATTGCCGGCGATGAAATCACCTCGCACGACTTTACCTCTGCAAAAGTGAGTATATTAGCTAACTCATTCAGCCATGAATTGGAATGTGAAAGAGACAACTCACCGGTCCAAGACCCAATTCTCATCCTCGATCTTAACGTAGATCCCCTCTAGACGGCCATCGGCGAAGCTTGATTGGGTTTGAATGAGACGAAGCATCTCCTCTTCAGATAATATATCACCCTCATGAATTACGGGTGTCAAAGGGATCTTGGTCCCCTTGAGGCGCCACTCGAGCTCTTTCCGTGAGACAAATTTCTGAGCCACTCGATCATACAAGTCGAAGGCGATGAAGAGGTCGGGGAGATGAGAGTAATGTACACTTAGAAAACTGATAAGTATAAAGAATTAAATAACTTGAAGGAATATTTACTCACCTGTGTACCGCTGCCATCCATTCTCCGAACAGAACAAACCGCTCAATGAACGTCTCATCTGCTCCCAGTAAACTATCTAGCTCTTCACGATGGTTATCAACCCAAAGTCCCAGCTTCTTAAACTGGATATGTGTCCCAGAGTTAACATAGTGAGACCGATTTTGTGTCAGTATCCTCCGTGATGAATCAAGAGATAACGCGACATTCGCGCCATCAACCTTTTCCGTTACAATGACCTGAGACCCCTGACGAACATTGAAGACAGCCAAAGGTCGAGTCAAGTCGTCCTCTGTAGCAGCACCAACGTTTATCAAATGTGCAGTTCTTGGGAACTTGAACAGGGTTATTGGTGCGGCGAGTTGGTGGACGAGGGCAATACTGGATGGGATCGACGTGATGGTGACAACGGCGTCGAATCCTTCCTTTCGTTCCGGCTTCTCCAATGTCGCTTCAAATTGTTTAATGGCCGCTTTGACTCTGCCGCCTGGTGGTAACGTTGGATGATCGGTTCTCTTCTGAGCTCGCTCGAGGCAAAGTGTCGCCGGAACGTCAAAATATACGCAGATGGGGGCGTTAGCGTGATGTGTCAACTCGAGGAGGTATTTACGACTCTCTGTAGTCGGATTGACTCGGTCCACTATCAGTTTCCCGTGGCAATGATTTGACACGGCGGTGATGAGAGCGTTGCTTCCTCCATCTTCGTCTCCTGAGATGTATCTCCATGATGGATCTCGGGCGACGAGCGCGTTACGAAAAGAAGACTTCCCGGACCCTGGAAGACCGACTAAAACAATGAGGTTTGTAGACTTGCTGATTGTGCCCTCGATGACTGGATCTGGGGTTGTAGGTTCTTCCATAGTCGGAGGAAGTACCGATCCACGCTTTGCGACGTGAGCCATGAATGTCTTGATTCGCTGTTCTTGGGCCTCTGTTTCGACTGAACCGGGCCGGATATTTCGTAAAATTTCGAGAGCTTGTCTCCAACCCATGGCTGGGTAATACCAAGGCTGACGGTGGGTGGATCTGGCGAAGCCGTAGCATGCAAGGTAGGCACAAATCATCGATCCAGCTCGACCCTTGCCACCGGCGCAGTGTACTAGAAGTGGACTAGCCTGTGAGTTGTTGGCTAAGCTCAAAAATGCCTCAAATTGTTCGATCGAAGGTGGTGACATGTCCTTTACTGGGAGGAAGGTATTGGATATTGATCTACGCTGGAACCAAGACGACTGGAGTTTTCGTTCTTCCGTTAAAGTAAGGATATGTCGAATCCCGAGAGCCGGGGAGGCGAGGATGTCGATGTCAGACTCATCCCGAGGTTCCGCTGAAACTGCCAGTCGGAATGGAATTATCCATCTCTAAATCACATAATTGGAGTCAGAAGGAAGGCTAGAAAAATGGGGGGAAAACATACAAAGAATCTTTGCATTTTGTACATCTCCCCTGACCGAGACGTTTGAATGGGTACATAAACCCTCGTCCGCGACTCGATCTGCAACATCGGAGGAACGTAGTTCTCTCCCTCCGTCTCCGCCACCACTGCCGTCTTCAATTCATCGCTCCAAGGTCTCAGTAGAGCCTTTCTTACTTCCAAGCTTTCCATCGTGTTGTTGAACTCATCCAACTCATCTGCTGTCATAGTACTTCCCCATTCAGTAAATGCTGAACATTCAACGATCTTGGCTAATGAGTAGCGTTGGACATCTGGGGAGGTGGTGAGATCGTAAACTTGTCCGAACGCCAGCATTGCAAGATTGTGTCGGTGGAGACAGAGGCTCATCTCTCCCAGCCTTCCAAATGACTTGAATGATTCAACGTCAGCGGCGACGATACGTCCTGCCACCTTTTCAGCTTCGAAACATTCATTTCGAATCTTGTGGTGGATATAAAGAGCATCGAGGAGGCTTGGGGACAGGTTATTTCCATGGGCGAGGGGATCTGATACCAGAGTAGCAAGGCCCTTGTCGAGTGGGTCTGGAGAGACATGGTCTGAAGTGATGAGGGTTATGTGAAAGTCCCTTATTGGCAGTGCTGCGGTTTTGCGAGCTTTTGCTGCAGAGTTGATAAGGACGACAATGAAGGTTCCCTCACAATTACTCCCACATCCGATAGGGACGAGGTCCTCAACCGTAGAGTTCTCGGTGAATGGCGATGTAGCACCACGGTCAGAGAGCTCTCTTGATTCTTCTTTGGTCATGAGAGTTACATGGTACGCGTGTTTCGGTGGCGGCGCGTTCGGTGCGAAAGACTGGACAATAGAGTCGATGGCGTCGCCAAATAACGCTGTGTAGCCGCTGGAAAAGGTGCGGATGTGAAGCAATGAAGGCATTTTTTTGACTCTCCCTGAGAGGAAAGACTAGAAAGTGGTGACTAGAAAAGGAAAAAGCCTCAGTCCATTCGACTTTATCTACTGAGCAAGCGGCTGAGTCATTTCAGTAGCTATCACAACCATGGTGGCAAGGTTCAATGTTTTACTATAAAAAAAGCCACGATCTGTACCCACCGGCCCGTCACGTACATAAATTTCCTAGGGCTAATTTCAAAGTTCTTAGCAGCTTTTAGTTTTCTGCCACTTTTCTGCCATTTTCATCAAGGTGTAGGTAGGAACCGTCCTCAGAGCGGTACGAAAATACGGGCGGTGAGGTACAATGTATGACATAAAATCCTAAATTTTGAGGCTGATAGAGGTCAGTCGGGGTCCCAATTAGGGAATTCCAATCAGACTTGATTCTCCCCGAATCATACTAGGTCTGACACAATATTATTATAGTGACTCTAGTAGTGAGTTGACTCAGTTGAGTCACTGTCACTGTAAATTAAGGATGTGTTTCTGCTGCCCCAGGTCCATCAACACACTCATGGGAGGTAAAGAGAAATGGCCACCATGGTGGTCATAGCTTTAAAAACAAAATAATTGAAGTTATAATCATTATGGAATGCTATATTATGTTTATATACAATATGATACCCACAATCCTTGATTAGGCTTGAGAGCCTGGAGAATCGACCTCGGAAGACTGGTAGAAAGTCGCTATACTACCTCATCGACTTATCGTCCTCTCGATCCGTAACATGCGTCATCTGGGACCTGTGTCTTATCAGCACACGTGTTTAGAGTGCCACGCCCTAACCCTCTTTTTTCCAAATCCATAACCCTCTATTCCACACACCTCCCTGTTTTTCCTACCCACCATGCCTAAAACCAACGAATCTACTGAATTTCACCTTTCTAAGGCCTGTGAAGCAGCTCGACGCGAAAAAAAAACCAAATATCACAAAGATTGCGCGTGATTATGGAGTTAATCGACATACTCTCTCTGACCGCGTCAAGAAGGGAGCGACCGCGAGATCTCAACGAAAACCAGTCAATAAGGCTTTAAATAATATCCAGGAAGAGGCTTTAGTTCACTGGATTGCCCAGCTGAATAATTGGGGTATGCCACCAACACCTAAGCTAATTGAGACATGGGCAAATCGCTCGCTTGGAGAAGATCGCTTTGTTAGTAAGATGTGGGTGTATCGCTTTATTAAGCGTCTCCCTGAAGAGCTACAGCTAGCTCCTCGGAACCAGAAAACCAAGGAACCAAAGCGAATCAAGGCTGAAGATGTGGCCCAGCTTGCTCATTGGTATGATCTACTTAACGTCGTCCTTCGAGGTGTGCCTTCGCGGTTGGTCTATAACTTTGATGAGTGTGGCTTCCGATCTGGAGAGGGCAAAAATCAGAAGCTAGTTAGTAGAAAGGTGAAGGCTGTTCCTGACCTTTCTGAGACTGAAAGAGGTGAAAATATTACTGCAGTTGAATGCATTGCTGCTGACGGCTGGGTGATGGATCCTCTCTTTATTTTTAAAGGCACTGTCTTTCTGGAGTCTTGGTTTGATAAGGATTTACCACCTAATCTCATGGTTGGAAAGTCCCCGAATAGCTGGATATCTGATGAACTAGCCTTAGAATGGTTAGATTTCTTTATTAAGGCCACTGATACACCTGATCGTCTTAAAGAAGGTATGTTTTACTCTTATTCTATGCCTATTCCTATACGTATGACTATGCCTATGACTATAGCTATGTAGCTATGATCATGCCTATGACCATGCCTAGACCATGCCATTTGATATGCCATTTGATATACTATTTGATATGCCATTTGATTAGACATGTGCATGGGTTGGGTATGGGTCCCATATGGGTATTTTTGATGCCTTAATGCCTTATTTTCGCCTCAACCTAAACTAAATTAGGGTAATTAGTGCCTTAGTGCCTAATTTTTGCCTCAATCTAGTACTAACTAGGTGACAAATATCACGTGAAATAAAAGTCTTGGCAAAAAGATGGGTTTATGGGCTGGGTGTGGGTTTTACTTCAAACCCATACCCAACCCATATGGGTTTTGGGTAAAATTTCTGACCCATACCCAGCCCATTATGGGTTGGGTTGGGTTGGGTATGGGTTTACCCAACCCAATGAACATGTCTATAAAAAAATATGATGAGCTGCCGCCACAGGAGTAGATTAAGGTGCCAGTGCCACAGGAAGAGGTTGAAATAGAAAGAGAGGAGAAATCTGATATAATGGCAGCTATGGAGAGAGATATGCTCTACTTTGAAGAGATGTGGCGTCAATGTATATAATGTTTAAAAAGATAGAGGGCTGCGGTGTACATTTGGAAAAAAGAGGGTTAGGGCGTGGCACACTAAACACGGGGAATGTAACAGGTTGAATCCTGGTGAACTATCACGTGGTTGTACCACGTGACCCACCAACCGCATACCTCACGATTCCACCCCGAATTGTTCACGTTCTTCAAGGATTTTGTAAACAGCATGTGCCTAGCTAGTTCTGAATTTAAGATTAGCTTTAGCCCTTCACATACAAAATCCTTCCTCTAACGAGAGTAAAACCCACGACCGACGATAAGAAAAGCGCTCTCAGAAAGTATCTGATCGAGCCACATACGACAGACGAACGAATCGCTCTCGGAAAGAATCCGATCGAGCATACCAACGAATACGAAAAGCTCTTAGAAAGTATCTAGTTGAGCATCCTACAAACGAATTGAAGACGGAAAGCATCCGATTCAAACACGAGAAGAAAACGAATATCTTCATCATCATGGCTGCAAGCGAACCGTCGAGCCCACCCGAGTGGGCCAGGACGTTGATGCAGCACATCAGTCAGACAAGTATTAGTACCGATGAGAGAATTAGAAGACTCGAAGAATTAGTGGTTCGGTCCCAGGAGCGGGCCGCTCCCGAACCACCCACGGAACCACAAGGGATACCAATCGAATCAACCAGCGATAATAACCAGAGTCGACGACCTCGCCCTCGTCTCCCCGACCCCGCGATGTATGCAGGAAACATCTCTGATTGGCCAACCTGGAGAATCTCGATAGAGAACAAATTGCTAGTAGACGGAGCTGCCATCGGTACCCCACAAGAGCAATTCCTCTATACATTTTCCCGCCTAGAGAAAATGGCCGCCAAGAACACCGGAACGTTTGTGAAGACACAACGAAGCGAAGGCAACCCGTATATGCTTCTGGAATATCTTGAGAGGATGTATGGAGACCCTAACGCTCGATCACGAGCAGCTCGGCGTCTACATCAGCTTAAACAGAAGCCCGACCAGCCTTTTTCACGATTCCTTCCCCAGTTAGAAAGAGAGCTCGCAGATGCTGGTGCAACCGAATGGCACGACGAAGCAAAACGACAACTCTTACTAAACGCTCTTAACGAAGATATGACGAATTCGCTTATGAATCGTGGTGTTCCCTATGATTTTATAGGTCTTATCACACGGCTCCACGAAATCGACACTGATAGCGAGACACTGAATATCGCATTAGGCAGACGCCAGTTATCCACTCGCCAGCGAATCCAAAGAGATCAATCAACCATAGCCACAGAGGATAGGATGGACTGGACTCCAACAGTAAACACGAACACCACACAGACGAATTCGTCCCGATTCGTGAACGAAAAGGGACAGGTTCGTAAAGAGGATCAACATCTCGTGGGAAAACGTGCAAAATGGGTCGAGAAAGAAGAACTCCAACGTCGCCGTACAGAAAAGAGATGTCTACGATGTGGTCGAGATAACTGTTGGCAAAGTATATGCCCTTTACTGCCCGCACGGAATCCGAACCAAGTAGTGGTACGGAATGCAGTAGTCGAAGAACCAAGATCGAGCCACCCCCGAAGAAGGGAGTATTCGCCAGCGATCGAAGAAGATGAAGCGGAGAATGATTCGGGAAAAGATTAGCTCCTGCACTAAACCGCGAGCAGGAGCAGAAGGGGGTTGAGAAGCTGCTAAAGAAAGAGGCGTCATTCTATGTCGATGCTAGAGTTAATGGAATTCAATTCGCGAAGACTTTAGTAGACAACGGAAGCGATAGCTATGCATCTATCAGCGGACACCTAGCGCAATCTCTTAACCTTCCGCGTATCCCGATTCCACCGCGAATCCTGAACGGAGTCATCAAGAATCAAGGACGGATCACTCAGGCCACATACTTCGATCTTGATGTTAATGGACTACAACAGCAGAAAGTCTTTGCCTACATCATTCCAAGACAGTCAGACGAAATGATACTTGGGACGCCTTGGTTAAAAGATGTCGACGGAGTTTACGCTGCGAAACGAGGGTATTTAGATATCCATTCGAGAAATGGAGAGCGCATTCGTTGTTGGAACCGTATCGACCCGTCAATCGGTCCAATAAAAGTAAAGAGATTGAAAGTACAGCAATCATCTGCGGGAGAAATCAAAGAACTATTCGATAGCGTTTCGTCGCCGGACCACCTCCGAATAGCCAAAGTGACTATGGACGATATCGACAAGGCGCTGCAACCTAAGAAATTCACCGATCCGAGAGCTAAACTTCCCCCACAATATCTCCCTTGGTTAGATGTTTTTAGCCAGGAGAAAGCAGACAAGCTTCCGAGCCATCGCCCAGGGATCGATCATAAGATACCCTTGACACGCGATGGAAATGGTAACGAATCGACACCACCTCATGGGCCATTATATGGAATGAATAGAGAAGAGCTATTAGTTCTACGAAAAACTCTTACCGATCTACTGGGAAAAGGATTCATACGAGTCAGCAAATCGCCAGCAGCTTCACCGGTGTTATTAGTACGAAAACCTGGTGGAGGCATCCGATTCTGTGTCGATTATAGAGGGTTAAACTCCATAACCATCAAGGACCGTTACCCCCTACCTCTGATTCAAGAAACACTACGAAACATGTCGAAGGCTCGCTGGTTTACCAAACTCGATATCATAGCGGCTTTCCATAAGATCAGAATGCAGGAAGGCGAAGAATGGAAGACAGCGTTTCGAACACGATACGGGCTCTATGAGTGGCTAGTTACACCTTTTGGCCTGACTGGCGCTCCCGCAACCTTCCAACGGTATATCAATGAAGTTCTACGCGAATTTCTCGACGAGTTTGTGTCAGCATATGTGGACGATATCATTATTTACTCCGACGGATCGATCACGGATCATAGACGAAAAGTACGCGAGGTGCTCCAGAAGCTAAGAGATGCTGGACTTCAATGCGATATCGAGAAATCTGAATTTGAACAGAGCTCTGTGAAATACCTAGGGTTCATCATACGAGCTGGAGAAGGTCTATGTGTAGACCCGAAGAAAGTTGAAGCCATTAAGCTATGGGAAGCACCTACTAATATCCGAGAAGTACGTGGTTTTGTTGGATTCGCTAACTTCTACCGGACGTTTATACCACGATTCGCAGATGTCTCTGCACCATTGGTGCAGTTGACAAAGAAAGATACGATATTTAAATGGGACAAGGAGAAACAAGAATCATTCGAGACCCTAAAGGACCTCTTTATCTCTGCACCAATATTGGCTCATTTCCGAGAAGACACCGAAACAATAGTGGAAACAGACGCATCTGGATGGGCGACAGGAGCAGTCTTATCACAAAGACAAGAAGATGGGACACTAAGACCATGCGCCTATCTCTCGCGTAAGTTCTCACCTGCAGAGACCAATTATATGATACACGATAAGGAATTACTCGCTATCATCCATGCGCTACGGGAATGGAAGCCAGAGCTGAAGATGGTCCCGCGATTCGTGGTCTTAACGGACCACAAAAATCTACGATACTTTCATAAGGCGCAGGATCTAAGCGAACGACAAATGAGATGGGCAGACATCCTGGCCGAATTCGACTTTGAGCTACGATATCGACCCGGGAAACAGGCGATCCAACCAGATGCTCTATCCCGGCGAGGACAAGACGAACCTAAAGGAATCTCTGATGAGAGGCTCACGAATCGTTTCCGGAAACTCTTCGAATCAGTAACAATCCGTAACAATAGCACTGAACCAAGTCCACCTTTAGACTTTGATATACCAGTGGCGATGTTTGAAGAAGCAGAAACGCAGGAAGCATGGAATAACGCGCGGAAGGAAGATCAAATATACCAGCAGTTCGCACTCGCACTTGAAAAGGGAGACCGACGAATCCCTGCCGAATCGAACCTGAAAATAAGCCTATCCGAGTGTGACTTAGATGAACGAAATCTTCTACGCTTTAGGAAAAGGACATGGATTCCAGACAACGAACCACTACGCACAACCTTGATCCAGAAGGTCCATGATTCCTACACGACTGGACATCCAGGACGGGACGCAACCTATACGATACTGGCCCGTAGATTCTTTTGGCCAGGAATGACGAACGATGTACGGAGATTCTTAAGGAATTGCACCATTTGCGGACGAAACACGATTTGGAGAGATTCGAAGCAAGGCCTACTTAAACCGTTACCGATTCCACAACGAATCTGGGCCGAACTATCCATGGATTTCATCACAGAACTTCCACCCACTGGGAAAGAAAGAGCGACGAATTGTCTAGTAATTACTGATCGGCTATCTAAAGGAGTGATCCTAATAGATATGCATAGTATTACTGCGGAAAGCGTCGCAGATGTCTTTATGAAGCATATTTATATGCATCATGGTTTACCGATAGCGATCACTAGTGACCGCGGCCCACAGTTCGTAGGGGGGTTCTGGCGAATCGTGTGCGAAAAGCTAAAGATTCGACGCCGATTATCTACCGCATTCCACCCCCAAACTGATGGAGCTACGGAACGCGCAAATCAAGAAGTCGAACGAATTCTACGCGCCTTTACTACGTACGCACAGGACGACTGGGCAAGTTTACTACCTATCGTAGCCATGGCGATCAATAACCGAGACGCAACCTCTACTGGACTATCTCCATTCTTCTTCACACACGGATACCATGTCGATCCAGTCGAAGTGATAGAAGTCCAAGCAGAGAAAGGACCAGAGATCGCAGCGGAAACGTTCACGAACCGGCTACAAGACGCCACCGATTGGGCAAATGCAGCGATGGCTATCGCCCAAGAACGCCAACAGGAACAAGCGAATCGTTCAAGACGAGCCGCTCCAGTCTATAATATCAACGATAAAGTATGGCTAAACCTACGGAATGTACGCACGATACGGCCTTCAAAGAAACTAGACTGGCTTCACGCCAAATACACAGTTCTAGAAGTGCCATCCTCTCATACAGTGAAGCTGGATGTGCCAAGCGGCATACATCCTGTCTTCCATGTTGAGTTAATAAGACCCGCGGCAACGGACCCGTTACCGTCACAAATCGTGGACGATTCGCAACCGCCTCCGCTGTTAGTCGAAGGAGATCTGGAATACGAAATTGAAGAGATCCTACAAGCAAGGACGCGAAAAATTGGACGTGGATCGCGGAGGGAAGCATTAGTGAAATGGCGAGGATACGCAGAACTGACATGGGAACCTATCGACGCAATGGAAAACTGCACAGCTCTCGACACCTTTGAACTACGATACGGACCAATTACGACTTCGAATGGACCCCGGAAAACAGGAGAATAGGAGGGGGGTATTGTAACAGGTTGAATCCTGGTGAACTATCACGTGGTTGTACCACGTGACCCACCAACCGCATACCTCACGATTCCACCCCGAATTGTTCACGTTCTTCAAGGATTTTGTAAACAGCATGTGCCTAGCTAGTTCTGAATTTAAGATTAGCTTTAGCCCTTCACAGGGAACACGTGTTTAGTGTGCTGATAAGACACAGACATCCCCTTTTGAAGAGAGAGAGAGAGTCATCAGCCTGAGGGGATACATGGCCAAAAATCTTGTAAATTTCTCTTATAAAGGCCCAATTTAAGTCTTCACCACATGATTTGCATATACTTTGAATCCATATACGGAGATAAACATATTACTTATTTAGGTAACTATTTGATCTTTGATTTTTGATTTTTTGTCTCACTTAATGAAGAGGCAGTTATAAGACTACTAGTAACAGTACGCTGTATATAACTAACGAGACGACTCTAGATTAGTGGAATATGCAAACAAACATACATAGTCTAGAACGTCTAGAAGCTTGGAATGTACTTCTAAGTCAGCCTTCCAAAAGTGGCTAAGCGCTAACCCCGTTTCTCCACATTTGCCGTTATCGTATTGAAACTCCACCACTTCTTTCCAACATTTACCATCTGTCATCTACGATACTGCTGGTAATGGAGGTATGGTTTTTTCTTGCCCAGTACTCACCATATCTACTTACTAATCTCTAGTCTTGAATTCAAGAATGGAATCCGATGATGTGGCCGCATTCGAACATATCTCCCCGCCGGAACAAATTACCTCTCCTGAATCAATGAAAGATGACATTCAGCTCAAGCCTTATGTATCCAGAGAGACACTACCAAAAGGTATCATGGACTCTGTGCTCAACTTCCTTTCAACCTCTAGCAACGAATCGATTCTTGGTGTTTTGGCTCTGTCAGCTATAGTGACCTACATTGTCCTGGGAAGAGTTGGACTGCTATTGATCGGTATAGCACTGGGTGTGGTACTTCATGCATCATGGGAGGGTCCATCTCATATCACAGGGCCTGATGGATTGCAAATACCTAAGAAACGGGGAGAGCTAGCTCTTGAAGTTTCTAAGAGGTTATTGGAGTGGCGCAAACAGCCCGGCGAAGATGCAGGAACAATTATAATTGAATCAGACGACATGTCGACCTCTGATCTTGAATACACATCATTTCGACCAGCGATCGCTTATGCGCTAAAGTCCCTCACTGATGCAGTCCTCAAGGATTATGTGAAGTAAGTCACCTCCTCTCGGTCCTTTTACAGACCTTAAGTACTAACCGGAGCAAAGATATTGGTACGAACCAATCCTTCCAAACGAATCGACATTCCCAGACTCTTGTCGAAGAACCTTGACCCACTTCGTGACAACTATATCGTCCCATCTGTCGCGCAAACGAACAGAGGACACTTTCTTACAATTCCTCACAAATTCCTCCTCCATCATCATTGTTTTCTTGAATGAACTCGCTGCAGCATTCGCTACTCCAAAGTCTTCGGCACTAGATGCGAAGACAGTCGTTGACCAATATCTCGAGAACGCCCCAGAAAGCAGTCTGGCTAACGTGTTGTCAGAAGAACAGCAGCGGAAAAAGTTCAAGATGATTGCAGAGGATATCCTCTCAAGCTTCCTCGATTCAAAGACATACAGTTGCCCCCCTGTCAGGCAATTTCTTCGAGAAATATTTTCTGGGATAGTACTCGAGTCAACCGTGAAAAGTCTCTCTCGGCCCGAATTTATTAATGAGTGGATTATTTATCTATTACAAGACGGCGAGTCTGAGCTTATGCATGCGATCGATGCGGGCGTCGAAGGTGCACGAAATCAGAGCATCAAAAAAGTGTCCGAGGATGCAAAGGGTGCAGTCTTTAAAGAACCCCTAACACCAGTCGACGTAAGCCAAGACCAGCAAATAGACAAGGCAACACAGGAAGCGATTCAAGAATCGAAGCGTTTGAGTGCGTTGATTGCATCCCAGAATATCCAGGGCACAGTCCCTGAACCACCTGCTCAGAACCAGGGCCAGGAATTACCTTCTACGGATGCCGATGAACCCATCGGCTTGGTAACTGATTCTATCAATCCTGAACAACAAGCGAGTATTCTGCCTTTGACAGATGCTTCATCCTCAACTTCCCTGAAAACCTCAATGTCTATTTCCAGCAAAGAAGTTCCTGCCATCATCCTTCACGGGGCCCGTATCACAGTCGATGATGATGCCGCAGGTAATGAAATGGGTGTAATTAAATCACGGCCCACATCGGACTATCTACTACAGGTTGAACCAACATCTACTCGCTCTACAGGATGGATGGTATTCCGGAAATACTCAGACTTCCAATCTCTGCATGAAACATTGGCGACAGTGTCGCGATTAAACCAGGTTAGGGATTTCTCTGAGCAGTTTCCTGTCCTACCTGTCTGGAAGGGCAAGACCAGACACAATCTGTGCCGGGAGTTAGAGCGATATATGCAGGAAGCCATGAAGCATGAACCTCTCGCCGAAACTGACCGCATGCGACGATTTTTAGAAAAGGATAGTGGACCTGCTGAAAGCCCTGCAAAACCTGTCTTCTCTTTCCCAAGTCAGAGTGCTTTTGAGAACATGGGTAAGGGTGTGCTGGGTGCCTTGACTAATGCTCCCAAGGGTGTTGCTGGTGGCAGCAGAGCGGTATTTGACGGCGTGACTGGGGTCTTTGGCGGCTCTGCTCAAAACAGGAAGCGAACTAATACCTCTGACCAACAGTCTCAGTACCGGAAAAGTACATCGAAATCCGATGACGACATTATTGCTCTTCCCACCGACAAACAATTGGGCCGAGTTGACTCTTCACTATCGGATCTCAAGCTGGAAAACTCCTCTACTTCCCTGGTGAAAAGTGAAAGTGGAGAATCTTCTATATTGGTATCTTCACCAATTGGCTCCTCGGAGTTCTCAGGAGAGGAAAATCACAAACAGTCTTCAATCAGCGAAATCAACGACGGCAGTCATCTGGCTGCCAAGGAGCGAGATTCATGGGCCTCAGGTTCAATGCTTGGGACATCCGAAGACAGAACATCCATTGAATCTGGCAGTCGTGCAGGAGATGCAGGCATAGAAGATACCGCCTCATCATTGGCACAACTTACCAGTGAACCAGAGCCCAGTGTTCTTGAGAGCGTCCCCAACAATGCAGTTAGAAAACAGAATCCTATCACTATAGACGAGACCCAGATGGCAGTGGAACTGATCTTTGCCGTCATAAACGAGCTCTATACATTATCATCTGCATGGAACATCCGTCGAACCTTGTTGACTGCGGCCAAATCCTACATTCTACGTCCAGGAAGTCCAACCCTTGAAACAATCCGAACCTTGCTCCAAGAATCCATGATTGAAAGCCATACATCAGACGACGCACTCGCTGAATATCTGAGGAAACTCCGGGAGAACGCTCTTCCAACGGAGGCAGAATTGAAAGCATGGCCTTCGCCGCCTAATGAGGAAGAGAAGGAGCAACTACGAGAAAAAGCTCGACGGCTGTTCGTCCAGAGAGGTATACCTCAAGCACTGACAAGTGTTATGGGCGCAGTAGCCAGTCGGGAAGCCCTGGAGAAGATCTTTGATAGTCTACAGGTGGAGACTGTTGCCCGGGGATTTGTCTTCTCCCTTCTCATTCAAGGACTGCGCGTGCTGACACTGTAATGATGTATAAAGAATTTTAATCATATTACCATGCTAGAATATTGTAACCAACCTTGAAATCAACCTTGAGATTGAATCTTCGTACATAATATGCAGGCATCTATTTGTTTTTTTTTAAATAGTAGAGCTGAGAGTCCTTTTGAACTATATATATTCCGCTCTGACGTCACCACGTGACCTAGCGTGTCTTGCGCGCAGCCAACTTCCAAGAGTTACCTCAGCTTCAGCTCACCTTCCACCTGGACAAGAACTCACCTGGGCGTCCATAACATCGCCATGACATCCCGAAAACGCTCCTCAGATCAAGGCCAAGAAGGCGGAGCTCGCGATCAGACAAAGAGAAGTAAAGTTAGCTCCAACAACGACTCAACATTCAAAGTTGATTCCAATGGAGACCGGTACTGGGAACTTTCTAAGATGCGTCGCGTGACCGTCTCTGAATTCCGGGGCAAGGCTATGGTTAGTGTGCGGGAGTACTATGAGAAGGATGGCAAGGAACTTCCTGGGAAGAAGGTAGGTCATGCACTTTGTAGATTCAAGCTTCAAGGTTGAAGCTTGACTCAAGTTGGGAATCAATTATTGACGGCTCTTTCTATCTTACAGGGTATCTCCATGCCATTGGATCAGTTTTCTGCTCTGGTCAAACTCCTTCCTGAGCTTGAGACTGCGCTGCAAGACCAGTTTAGCGAGTCGTTACCGCGACCTGCGTATGGAGCTAAGGCTGAGTCTAAAAATGACGAAGATCAGGACAGGTCCGGCGATGCTAGCCCCTCCAAGCAGAATATCGAGGCTACGAGCGATGAAGATGAGGATGAGGCTTGATACCTTTAAGTGTTCAAGTGGATTGTTTACACTGCATCTTCAACTACTTTGAATTGAATCGTATCTCTAAGAATTCAACAGATCTCCGGGCTGACAGGTACAAGACGCCCAAGTGCGTAGTATTCAAAGGCTACCCTTGGATTCTCTAGAGGCCTACTTGTATCCCAATTGATCAAAATCTTCAAGTTGATAGTGGTATACTACTAAATAAGGTTCCCCGCCCCATTTTTGTGCTACGTCATTTGGGGTCCAAATCGTAAAATACCTGAGCTGAGTGGAACTGGGAAAGTAGTACGTTTTTTGTTGATTACTGAGCTTCGTCGTAACCTTCCAAGGTGGTGTGAATTATGTTGGTCTATCCATTAACTACGTCCCGCAGGACTCTACAAGGAATTCGGAGAGAGATAGATAAAATGTTCGTTTTCGACCGGTCGTACTAGGCGAAGAAGTGGGAAGGGGGAAAATCGGATGGGAATTGAACTGTGGGAAAGACGACGTGGGAAAAACGACGTGACGGACGGTTTTGAGCGAAAGCAATGCACGGACGAGAGAAGGGCGATTGAAAATTGATATGCTCGACGGTCGTTTCGAAAGGAATCCGAGCTGCTGACCAGGATAAATGCGAACCAATAAGAAGAAATCGAACCAGAATGCATCTCCAGTCGAATGAAGAAGAAAATCAAAAGTCAAGTAAGGGATGTAGCCAAGTTCAAGGTCCAGTCGAAATCAGGGTCATTGGCCCAGGGGAAAGTTAGTTGCGCACTTTAGCGCATCGATCTACCGTGAGTGATGTCCGTGTGAATAGATCGACGAGGAATTTGATCTACTCAGCAGTATCAAGCTCATCGTGAGCAGCGGTGGGAACGGGGTCCAGTACTGTATACATAAAGATTAATTGAGATTCCATGCTGGGGGAGGGCAGGATATCCACCTTTCCTATCTTCCTCGTTTTCACCGTTGGGAGCGGTCTCACGGTCATCGTCGCGGCGCTCGCGATCATCATCTCGACGTTCCTCCTTGGTATCACGATCACGGTCCTCGGGGGTACGAGAGCGATCGCGAGAGCGTTCACGACGATCATCACGATCACGATCGCGACGGTCATAGTCGCGGTCGCGATCTCGGCGGTCGCCGTCACGATCTTCACGACGGTCACTGCCACGTTCGTAACGGTCTTCACGACGGGGAGAGTATTCGCGGCGGCGGGGCGAGGTAGAACGACCGCGGCGAGGCGAACGATCGCGGCGACGATCGCGGGTACGATCAGGCTCACGGCCAGAGTCGAATCGCCAAGAAGCGGAAGGAGGGGTACGTGCCCACTAGAGAGGGTGTTAGAAGGATTCAAGCCGCATTCAGCAACAAAGCATACCTCGATCTTCAGGATGTCATCGCGACCGAGATGCTTGTTGTGCATCTCGTGGTAAGCATCGTCAGAGTCACGACGGCTTTCGTATTCAACGAAGGCGAACCTAGAGGGCTGATTAGAGGGTGATGGATACTTGATATCAGATAGGAATAACTCACAGGCGACTTGACTGGGTACGAGGGGCGGGGATATCGCAACGAACGAGGCGACCATAGCTAGATTTGATATCAGCAAGATTGTGATAGAAGGGATACGTCAAAAAGTGCATGAAAAATGACCAAACTTCATCTGATTAAGTGAGCTGAGCTTGCGAAAGCTTGACACAAGACTATAGCAGGGAATTGTAGCTTTTACCCAATGAAATGAAATGAGGGGATGGGTAGGTATCGTCGTGGGAAGGAAGGAAAGGCGGGGAGAGAAAGACCTGAAAGTGAAACTCAGCATCGTATCACATACCGTTCAAATTCATAAGCTAGGTCACGGGCACGAGTACCATGACCGAAGCCAGTAACATAGAGAGTGGTTCCCGACCGAGACATGGCGCGATGACAGTAACGATTAAGAAGAGAGAATGATGAGGAGGAAGAAGCGAGAAGAAAGGGAAGAAATGTAAGGTTGGGTGAGGTGTACGGTTGAGCATAAACACCAAATGCGCAAATGATGAAAGCGAACAACGACGTAATCGGTGAGAAGACAGTGGATAGAAAATCGAGGAAATTTAAATTTAGTATTTAACTACAAATTAAACTCATTAATAATAGAGAAATCTGAAATGATAATGAGATATCCTGAACTAGTAAATATACTCCAACTTTAGAAGCTACACCTCAGTATAAGCTATGAGGCATTATCGGGAGGTACCGTAATAATCGGCAAGTCGGGAATATGTACGGAGTACTTCAAACTCCAACATCCCCATCTCCACTCTTGAAACCCACCTCTCCTTGGAACGATTGTCTTCTCCTTTTAATAGGAGTGCTTCAAGCCTTGTCTATTTTATTTGGTGCAGTTCTTCAATTTCAACCCCTGAAGTTTCTCTCGCAACTTGGGATTCATATACCCTTTCTTGCTGCTGAAAGGTTGAACCTCAAAGCAATTACCGCGGATCTCTGATATTAGCATGGATCGGTGAACGTCTCCAAGAAAACAACAGCGAATTTTATGGCTCGACTCAACCGATCTTGACCCCTTGTCCTTTCTTACATACTTTTTTACCCTTCGGACCCTCAATCCCCGAGCTACGACCAATCGCGCCGCGACTCAACAGCGACTATCGAATGGGAGAAGCGCAGTAGCGTATTGCTCTCGCATTTTTCTTTATTCTCCGTTCCTAATCGGCGCATTTGTTCGAGATGAGTCTCAATAACCCAGACGCATCTCAGAAGGACGGTCTCGACGGTTTATTTCCAGTCAAGGTTAGTAGGGTCCAGCCGGGGAATAAATAACTGGGGCTAATGTTCATTCTAGGAATCGAATCCCAATCCACCTTCCGTATGGCGACAAACGAAAAACAGATTGGCCGAACCAGTGGTTGCTGCATTTATGGCCGGCGGAGTCGCAGGCGCAGTTTCCAGAACAATTGTGTCGCCTCTTGAGCGACTGAAGATCTTGCTCCAGATCCAAAGTGTTGGAAGAGAAGAATACAGGCTATCGATTTGGAAAGGTCTTGTGAAAATGGGTCGAGAAGAAGGCTGGCGAGGCTTCATGCGCGGAAATGGTACGAATTGTATTCGCATCATTCCATACTCAGCAGTACAGTTTGGAAGTTACAGCTTCTACAAGAAGGTAAGCTACGAATTCACCGAACTTAAGATTTGGCACTCACAATTCCAGTTCGTCGAGTCTCCTGAAGGCGAGATGTCTTCCGTGCGCCGCCTTCTATGCGGAGGTGCTGCAGGTATCACTTCAGTAACTCTCACCTACCCTCTTGATATCGTTCGTACTCGGCTTTCCATCCAGTCAGCCTCGTTTGCAGATCTTGGCCCGCGAGACCCCAACCAGAAGCTTCCCGGCATGTGGACCACCATGGTGTCAATATACAAGAACGAAGGTGGCATACTTGGTCTTTATCGCGGCATCGTCCCTACGGTAGCGGGTGTAGCACCCTATGTGAGTTTTCCTCTCTTTTTGTTTGAGGTGATCCACTAACGTTACTAGGTTGGGTTGAATTTCATGACATACGAAGCCATGCGAGAGTATTTGACTGCAGATGGAGAGAAGAACCCTACTGCGACTCGGAAGCTCCTTGCAGGTGCTGTATCTGGAGCAGTGGCTCAAACCTGCACATATCCTTTGTAAATGTCTTCTCCACGGATACAATTGGTTCAATGCTAATCAGCTCTAGTGACGTGTTACGACGACGCTTTCAGATCAACACCATGTCAGGCATGGGATATCAATACAAATCCGTCTGGGATGCAGTAAGAGTCATCATGGCCGAAGAAGGCGCGCGAGGACTATTCAAGGGAATTGGACCTAATCTGCTCAAGGTCGCCCCCAGTATGGCCAGCAGCTGGCTCAGCTTTGAATTGACGCGGGATTTTTTTGTCAGTCTAAGCGATAGAGATTAGTTAAACATACCTAGAACTTCTCCTGAGGCTTTTCAGTGTATATACCTTAAAGAATAGAACATCTTCAAATATGGCGATCTAGAGCGATATCTAACTACGTCGGACTAATCGGGTTAGTACACCTGCAAGTGTCGATGGATCCACGTGACTCTAGATCCGAATGCCGTGCTTATATAAGTGGCAAATCTGAAGAAATTGAGTAATCATGTGATATTACTACCAGATCAGGCCTAGCGTAGGGCTCAACCCACACACACCCGCGCAGCCGAACGTCCAAGACCAAAAACCTCCTGCAGTTTCCATACGGGTGCGACAGCTAGCTAACTCCCCAGGTAATTCATATCAGCAGCCATGGGTATGTACCACCATTATTCCAGCATGAACAGCACTATCTCAATCTCATCACAATCGACAATCGACCCGTCACCCTCTCTCGCTTTCTCAGGGCTGATCATGTTCAATTTTTTTAGGTATCGACTTGGACCGTCACCATGTGCGCAACAGCCACCGCAAGGCTGCTAAGAGCGACAACGTTTACCTCCAGGTTCTCGTGAAGCTCTACCGCTTCCTGGCTCGTATGTCTTCCCACCCGAATCCCAAATTCCGCATATTTTTGAAGGACGCCATACCAGAGGAAAAAGGAACGAAAGTGGCTGACTGGTGGATTCTTCTATAGGCCGCACCGAGTCCAACTTCAACAAGGCTGTTCTCCGCCGTCTGTTCATGTCGCGCATCAACCGCCCCCCGGTTTCCCTTTCCCGCGTCGCCTCCAACATCAGCGAGGCCCAGAAGGGCAAGACCGTTGTTGTTATCGGTACCATCACCGATGACAACCGTCTCTTGACCGTCCCCAAGCTGTCCATCGCTGCCCTGCGCTTCACCGCTACCGCCCGTGCCCGTATCGAGAAGGCCGGTGGTGAGGTCCTGACCCTCGACCAGCTCGCTCTCCGTGCTCCTACCGGTGCCAACACCTTGCTCCTCCGTGGCCCCAAGAACGCCCGTGAGGCTGTTAAGCACTTCGGCTTCGGTCCCCACTCTCACAAGGTACATTTTGCCCTGATTTTCGTTCAAAATCCCCCGCTAATCATATTTTCACTCTACAGAAGCCCTACGTCGCCAGCAAGGGCCGCAAGTTCGAGCGTGCCCGTGGTCGCAGACGCTCAAAGGGATTCAAGGTTTGATGTGCTTAACGTTAAGCTGATCAAATGGTCTACTCGATTATTGTTTAGACTAGGGGATTTTTGTTGGGGAATAATGGCATTTGGTGGATTGTGTGGGCGTTTTGATATCCAATCGCACTACCACTGGGTGTCCAGATGTCTCTTCAAGTCTGACCGGAGAACCAAAGTCGATGTACCTAAATGGCAATTTGTCTTTGGTTTGGGCTTGGATATTCTAAATTAACGATTGGGGGGCGCAAAAGAAAAATTTCATCCGGTTTAGTCCTCCTTCTTCTCACGATCTACAAAATGTGCCAAAAAATACTTGAAGGAATTTTCGTTTTGTTTAAACAACTGTAGACGTTCATATTCATTTTCGTACACTGTCTATTTACTTATGGGCAAGCTGGTATGGAGGAATTTCCGTCCACCTTGACCATCATGATAGTCACCCGCGCCGTGACCATTTCCCCGAATCAGATATTTATAAATGGTCAGTCCCTCTAGACCAACAGGACCACGTGAGTGGATCTTGTTAGTGCTAATGCCAACCTCTGTTCCAAACCCGTATCGCATTCCATCGGCAAATCTGGATGACGCATTCCAGTACACTCCTGCGCTATCGATACTACCCATAAACATTGTTGCCAGCTCTCTTGTCTCAGTCAAGATGATATCTGTGTGTCCAGAAGAGTGGGCGTTAATATGAGCGATACCAGCTTCGATTGAGGGGACGGTCTTGACGGCCAAGATTAAATCCAAGAACTCCGTATTGTAGTCCTCCTCAGTAGCCAGTTGGACTTTCGCCGTAGGGAGCGCTTTTGCCAGTGTAGCTTTCGACGCCTCGTCACAACGGAGAGAAACTCCCTTGTCCAGGAGAGCCTTGGCAATCGCAGGGAAGACAGACCCCAAGACATCTTCCTGGACCAGCAAAGTCTCCAAGGAATTACATGCGGCTGGGTAGTTGGTTTTCGAATCCACAATCACTTTGACGGCCGTTTCGACATTTGCGTCGGAGTGAATGTAGGCCGAACAGAGACCGTCGGCATGTCCGAGTACTGGAATTTTTGTGTGGTCCTTCACGAAGCGAACTAGTTCGTTAGATCCTCGGGGAATAACGAGGTCAATAAGTGTGTCTTGCTCTAGTAGAGATGAGACCGCATCGCGGGTTATGACTAGTTGAATTGACGATTCGGGCACCTGGGAAGTAGCAATGGCTGCCGAGACGACATTCGCGATGGCCACGAAAGACTCCGTAGATTCCTTTCCACCTGTTGACTCTAGATAAGTATATATCTAATATAGCCCGAGTTGACTGATATACCTTTCAGAATGGCTGCATTGCCTGACTTGATAGCCAGAGCGGCGATGTTGGCGATCACTTCTGGGCGGGCCTCGAAGATGATAAGGAGGACACCGATGGGACAACTGACTCTTTCAAGCTCAAGTCCTTCGTCCAAGAGTGTTCGGAGTGTGACCTGGCCCACTTTGCTCGCGATTTAGTATTTAGCTTATACTTTAATTGTATGCCGTACTGATTGAAACTTACCAGGGTCATCCAGGTCCCGTACATTCAAGATTCCCTCCAGCATATCATCATACTTGCCAGGCTTAGATAGATCCAGTCTTTTCAGAATACTGGGATTCAAATTGCCACTCTTGGTATCACGAGTAGCAGCCTCGACATCCTTTGCATTGGCGGCTAAGATAGCGGCTCGGTTCTTATCCAGCGCTGCATGTAGTGCGGTCAATGCTTCATTGCGGGCGGAATTGGATAGAGTTGCGAGGCGGCGAGAGGCTAGTGATGCGCTTCGAGCGACATCGACAGCTGATGATTCAGTCAATGACATTGTGAAGTCTGAGGGTTGATTGTTAAAAAATGAGTCAGTGTAGAGCACAACGTTTTTTTCTAGAGCGGGCGGTGGGGTTCTCCGCCTCCGAGTTCCGCTCCCCGACTTCCTCATAACACACACTCCTACATCACAAGTCTATTCACATCGTTCCTTTCTTCTTTCTTCTTTCTTCTTTCTCCAATCCTTCCACATTCTACCTACACACCCACCACTGGAGCGAATTCCCTTATCCATTTCCTCCTTTGCTGATCAACAGATCATCCCTATACTCTGCTGCTATGACCATAATATCGGATCTTATCTCGTTATGTGCAGCACTCCATCGTCCTGAAGAACTCTCAGTCGAAGGTTACCACCGTCAAACACGCGACCATATCGCATCGCTTCAATCTTCAACATGGTCTCAGGCGATTCGCTCTGTTGTCTTGGAGGAAGGTCTCTTAGATGTTAGTGGGGCTGATTTGTCTATTGACTTGAGAGCTGTGAAACTGACCAATTTGTTCGTTATTTTGCTCAGAATTTCGATCCCTCCACAGACTCGGCCATCTATTTGATCATTCTTTACCTAAAAATTGAGACCATCTCTAAATCGACGCGACAACTGCCCGTGGATTTAGCTCCCTCTGGCGAGCTATGGTTGAGAGCTTCACACTTCTTTGCGACTTTTGATCCTATACAGGTCCGGTATCTTGGAAACGAATGGCGGCAGCTTATTGGGCTAATTGCACAATCCGCTCAAGCTAATTCAAAGGTGAGAAGGGTATCGTTCAAGCCAATGCCGGTCCATATGACTAACTGTCTTTCCCTAGCCTCTGTTGGCCGCTCAAATCATCCGCGATGCGTTGCTGCGACTTGATCCTTCATCCGCGGTCGTCTCATCAACTCACCTCCTTTTGGTTCGGCTCTGTCTACAGGCTCAGGCATATACGTGTGCTCTGCCGGTGCTAGACAAGCATATTACCCAGATACCACTCTTGACTGCAACTGCTCCTCCTACCTCCTCTATTTTCCATGCAAAGGACAAGTCCAGTCTTGCATTCATCAACGAGGCTACCGGACTATCGGCGAAGATGAAAATTAGGGATAACATGCAGTACTTCTTGTACGGTGGAATGGTATTCATGGCACTTAAGCAGTGGCAGAAAGCATCATACTTTCTGGGGAATGCGTTTTCGATAAAAACTCACGGCACTATGAGCAAGATCCAGGTTGAGGCATACAAGAAATGGATTTTGGTAAGCTTGCTCGAAAGTGGTAGTGTAAGTACTAGCTGGAACTGTAACGGCATTGTTGATTCATTCTCTAATATTTATTTACAGCGGCGTGAACCCCCGGTATCAATCACTTCCCAACATCTTGAAAATTTGCAGTTCCATGCGAAGCCTTATATAGACTTCGCCCAAGCTTTCATCAGTAGTGACTACAAAAAGGTGGAAGCTCAGGTGCAAGCTAGCCAAGATTTATGGACCGCGGTAAAATTTTATTCACACCTGGAGTACTTTTGAACCAATACTGATTGTGCTTATAGGATTATAATATGGGCCTCATCAATCAGGTTCTTGTCGCTTTCAAAAAATATTCCCTGATCAAGATCAACAAAACGTTTGCTGCCTTGACAGTTTCAGAGATCTCAGAACAGTTGTCGTGGCTGCCAGATGATCCCAAAGGTGCCGAATCAAGTATTGCATCTCTCATAATGTCAGGTGCGCTGAACGCGGTGTTAGTACACCGTCCTATGGCAGACACAATGGTACGCTTCATAAATGAGACCACATCTCCCCGACTCTCTCATGAGATTGAGACGCAAGATCGCTTCAAGGGCGAGAGCCAGTCTCTGGAAGCACTCATGAGAGGTCTCACAGAAATCAATCACTCCCTTGGACTGAGTGATGCATATGTTGATGGCCTCGAAACAAGCCAACATATGGAAGAAGACAGAGCTATGACGACGATGACAAATATTGGAACCGACATAGAGGAAGACCTAATGGTTGACTTCTCATAATAGCAAATTCATATCACTTTAGATCCGTTAACCATAATAATTGATTAGCGATGAATGTTGTCTGAAATGAAGCTTATCGGGCCTACTTAGCTAGAAGATTATACAAGTGGTCTTTATGATATCCTATCAAACGTCTCTAAGATGAGAATCTCATACAACTGTTGGATAGACAGTTCTCAATACACATCACGTCTGATAACTTATCCCATGTAGTCTTTCACGGTTTTCCTCGACTGAACTCAACCTCAACCTCAGAACCACCTATAACTTCGAACGCATGATGTCGTCGACGAGGCCATCGCCGCATGGGTCTCTACGACCTGCCCCGGGGATCTCTAAATGCAGAGATTTTCCTACTTTCCTTTTCTTTCTTTCTTTCTTCTTCAGCTCGTGCAAGGGGCGTTGATAAGCCTTAATCTGGTTGTATCTATGCTAATTTCCTCCGTTAACATATCCGGTAGGGAATTAATCAGTGAAGAGCATTCTGAGATTCCTTCGTGACTGAAAACTATCAGTCACCTTATCATCTGACTTGGCCAGGTAATTTTTGATGACCAAAATTGTGATTCTATCACTCTCATACTTTTTTTCATTGCCTGATAGCCCTTGCTGGCTGCGGGTAGAGAAGAGAGGTTGTGACGCCACGCAAATTTTTGATACGGAACAATATTGTTCAATGAAGATCTATGAGCTGGAATGAATGTCTAAAAATTGAATCTCTAGGCTGAATGATAAAAAGCGGCCTATAGCCTAGCAAAGCGTATGTGTTGTGTTTTCTATTTGCTCAGTACATTTGAAGCAATGGCCGACTCTTGGTCAGTGTTTGTTGAACGCCAATCATACAAAAAAAAAGTCCTATCATTGAAGAATAATAAAGCAAGCCCCAGAAAAAACTCCTAGGATGCAAAAAGAATGCATCATCAGCCAGTGGTGATAATCAAGGCAAAAAGAGAGAGCCCAAAAAAAGTGCCTCGAAGAAGTGATAGTACAAGATCACGGGTAGAGGAGGGAATTTGTATCCCATGCACACCCTGATGAAAAGGGAAAATGGAGGTTGAATTCCAATGCCATATTTGTTTAGAAAGGAGAGTCGTGAAAAGTCGTCATAGGGGAGAACAAAAGCAAGCTCGAGTCAGAGGTTCAGCAAATTAGTAAACCGTCTCTTTTTCACCCACTTGATGGAGCTCATAGTTCGGCATCTCATCAAACCAATCGCTATCAGGGTTGTATCTATATGCCTTGAATTCAACACCGTAAGGCTTGGGTTCCAACATGTAAAGCATTCCCATGGGGACGTCCAAGTTGGCAACCTCGTCACGCTTCAAGCCACGGAAGTAAGCAAGTAGGACTCGAGCAGTAGATCGGTGGGTGGCCAGTAGAACGTGGTCAGTGGTGCGCTCCACTTCGACAATGACGGTTCGAAGACGATTGATGATGTCCAGATAACCCTCACCTCCGGGACCAGGGTACCTGTAGTAGAGCTTATCCTTCTTGCGATGGGCATATTCCTCGGGATATTGTCGTTGTATCTCCTTGTAGGTCATACCTTCCATCTTTCCAGAGTGGAGTTCGTCCAGCATGCGCATCTGCTTGACGTCGTAATCTTCTTCGTTGAAGTTCTCAACCGTCTGGATAGCCCGCTGCATCATGGAAGACCACACGCAGAAGTTGCGCGGGCGGTCACGGGGGATGTATGATGGGTTGGGTGGAGTACTGTCACCAGGGCGCGGTGGGAAGTGCTTCATCATGTCCTTTTGCTGCTGGTATGCTTCCCATTGCCTTCGTTGGTGGTCGATGAAGCGAGTCAGGGCCTTGGCATACCGTTTGCCATTCTCGCTGAGATTGGAATCTCCACCGATACGACCAGCCTGGTCATCTATGCTCTCACCGTGTCGGGTGATCCAAATCTGACGAGGAGACAAATTGAAGTTAAGTAAATAGTACACGACTTGCGAAGAAAGGAAACCATGGGTTTGGTGGGAGACCATCTTGCGACCGACATCGATCATTTGGATATAAGCCACGCCATGCTTCTCTTCGTACTCGCCAAGCGGAACGTAAGACTTTTCGTAGAGAGCAACTCGCTTCTTGAAATCTTCGAGCGCCCCTGCGGGGTCTTGGCCCCTGTAGTCAGGGCCAGATAGCTTGAGACGCATGTTTGCCTCAAGTAAATCATTGTCCACACATCGACTCTCCAGGAACAGGATGCCAAGCTCAGGGCCAACACGCTTTCGAATGTGATCAACAATGGCCTTGCGACGCTCCATAGTACTGTTAGTGGCATCTAGAATACCGACAGCACCGCCTTCCTCCATGATGTACTCAAGTAGCTCGTCCAAAGTATCAAGAGCCACTTGCTCTCGGAGTTTGACAGCGCGTTGGTTCTGGGGATCGAAGAAATTGGCGGACTGATCCATCGGCTCATAGGAGGCTTCCTTCGCGATGCCTTCGTCTTGAATAGCCGACTGCTCATTAGTGCTCCCATTCTGTGGAACCGAGGATTCTTCACCATTAATAAGAATCTTAGCCGGAATCACTGGAGGTGGAAGCTTGGTCTCATCTTCTGGCGGCGACTCGGGCTGCTTCATGGTCCCAACACTAACGCTCAGTCGGCGTACGGAATCGACGAGGTCTCTGTGGAAGTTTTTCGGACTCTTATCCTGACCAAAAGCGGCCGACGAGGGTGATCTTCCTGCAGCGACACGGCGACGTTCACCGACGTTGAATATTTCAGTGTCATGTTGAAGCCAGTTCAGGTAACGAGCCAACTTCTTTGTGATATAACTTTTGCCACGGGCTGGCAGACCAACCATGACTATGACCAACTTGGCTCCGACATCTCGCTGGGCGATTCTGCCATCTGGGGAGACCTTGGATTTGGTCAGGCCGGGAATATCAAGCGTCGTCGCCCGAACTCGGTTTGGTGTGCCAGATTGGTTACTAGCAGATCTATCCAAAGAGACAAGTTAGTTTAAGGTTTCTAACTTAGTCGAAATGCATGGTATAGTCAGCCGCATTTGGGCGCAAGATCTGAGGCAGTCTGGACTATGGAGATGAGGGGCTAAACATGAACCGAGGCAACATTTTAGATCGACTCATGCCCTCATAGGTCATTCAAGATCTTGGCTCCCGAAGATTAAGAGCTCGACGACTAAGAAATAGACGACTTACATCTGTGGAGACGGGGGTGCGGTAGAAATCGGAGTGTCTGTCAGTGCGGTTCCGACACCGCCCTTGGGCGCCTGCGACGTTTTGTGGGCATCGGAATGCAGGTCATTCCCTAGCGCTCTCCCGACCACGGTTTTCGGATGTGCCAGAGTTCCTTCTTTCCCCGAGCCGAGATTAGATCCATTTGAGGTGATATTGGCTTGATATATACTCTTCTGATCCCCTGTGGCAGGATCGGGTAAGCTGGCGGACGTCAAGATTGCCGACCGCGCGATACTGGAATGCTGCGCCATCTCCGGAGGGGTTGAGACCTTTCCGGAGAAGCAGTTGACCAAGATGGATTCAACCGAGATGGAATGGGGGTTCCTTATGGGATACTCGAGTACAAGACGCTTTGAGAGAAGTCCTTGACGGAGAGAAGTGGGATGAAAAGATTTGGGAGGCGGAAATGATGACTCAACCTAGCAGCGTGGATCAACGTCACCTTTCAATTGGAAGATAATTATATCAACGACGACACTGATCAGACCACTGTGGCATCACTCAAAACCCAGATATCTATTAATCTCTTGTCAGAAGATTTTGAGCTTTGGCTTATTGGAAGCTCCAGAGCTATAGTATGAGATGTTGTATGGTGGAGAATGATCGAAGGATAGAGCCAATAGCTTGTCAAATTCAACGAAATTCTTCACCGGTACGAAGTACAGGTTTAACGAGTTGAATCTTGTGCAGAGGCTGAAATATGGTCGATCTTGCTATTACTATATACAAAATTACTAACTAGGGAGGTAGTTCTAGGGAAGGTCCCGCGAGGCTATGATACATCCATTATCTCCATCTTCATAGAATGCTTGGCTCGAGAAATCCTAGCCGGAATCAAAAGGGTGGAGTAAGCTTGCATTGTTTAACAGGGTTCCACCAAGGTAATCGACAGATCTGATGATCCACCACATAAGAATAAGGTAATGGCGTCTGATGATGGACTCGTCGACAGATTCTGATCCTGACGTATCCGGCTGGACAGGACGCCTTGTGCAACATTGAACAGACCAACCGCTCGGTCTAGTTCTTCCCTGTCCGCGGAGCATACTCGGCATTCTTGGCCACGGGCCTCAGCACAGAGTGGCCAACTATAGGCTTCCGCTGGCCCACGGTGATCCTCCGCTGGCCCCGCGAGATGATGCGTGTCCATCGGTGTGTTCTTGGCACTTGGCTGTAACGCAGGGGGCGTGACACATATTGCAGAATTCCAGGAAATACTGCGTAGTCCAGTATTAGGATGCCGTATTCTGTGCAAGGCAAAGACCGATACTGTAGCAGTCGGCGGTTAAAATTACTTGAACGTCAACACTCAGGGCAAAGATGATTCAAGATTCAAGGACTGTGAAATGGTACCAAAGGGTCGATGGGCTGCATCATTTGGTCGTGGTCAGCATAGCCGACTAGGCACGGTGCATTCTAATATTATATCGACTGTCCCTGGCTGGACCAAGGGATAATAATGATGATACTGATAGAATCAAGGGCTTACCTCAGATATGATGTCTTAGCAGTTCGGCTCTTTAAACGATGGTTACATGTCACGTGGGCTCAAGCACCCTAATTTTGACGGAGATGATATCACCTTTCTAGAGTTACTGATTTACCGGTATTATTGCATGAGATGTCTCGTTTTTATCATGTGAGACGTCTTCAACTCGTTTTCTCAACATAATATCAAGTATGAGTGGTTCATTAGTCAGAACTAAGCACTCCATAATTATGTCAAGCATATTTGCCTAAAAATCAACATCAAATAAGTCGTTAGACATGTCCTGGCTTGCTCTTATAGCCTCGGCTTTCTCTGCCACACCCTGGTGGGCACCACTGACAGCCAATCGATCAGCAGCTTCATTTCCTGGATCGCTGCTATGACCCTTGATCCATTGGAACAGAGTCTTCACTTTCAATTCATTGCGCTCCTCGATCTTCACCAGGATTGATTCGACTAAATCACGATTCTCAACCGGTTTTCCCTCTTTTGTCTTCCAATCGTTTCGACGCCAGTTAACAAACCAATTCGTCACGCAGTCAATTGAATATCGACTGTCGGTAAATATGGTTACATCTCGATGGCGTGGTGTAATGTCAATGGCCCGAAGTATAGCTGTTAGCTCTGCTCGCTGGTTGGTTTGACGATTTCCTCTTAAGGGCTCCGAAACATTCCTGTTAGGACAATCGTGAGTCAGTAAAAACTAGTAATCTCGTAAGCTCCAAACTTTGAGCGAACACACCTCGCATCTTTCGGCCCAAAATATACACCAACACCAGCTGATGCCATAGGGGTTCCATTCCGTAATGAGCTCCCATCCGTGTATATGCGTAGCATGCCTGGAATTCCTGTTGACTGTGTCTTTGTAGCTGCCTTCTGAGAGGGTGATTTATAGACTACATTCCCCGTCGACGGGTCTAGCAGCACATTGGGGTCAAATCCATCCTCTGCACCTGGTGGAAGAGGTCCATCTCCTGGCGCAAACTCAACCCCATCTGCATCTTTGGGGTTCTCGCTTGTGATGCCACCAGGTCCTGTAGGTTTCTTTACTGGGTGATCTGAGATGCCGAAACCGACAGCTGCTCGTCCGATCTTGACAAACTCTTCCGCCTCTCCTCGTGTTGAAAATTTTCGATACACTGGTCGTGTAAAACCTTGGATCTGCTCCTGCGCCTTTGACCAGTCTGTGTAAACACCGGGGACCCGGCCTCGTTGGATACCGTAGAATCTCGTGTTTGCAGAATCCAGCGCAGAGGAACTAGTAGATGGAGTCACGCCGTCCAAGAATGCTTTGGCTTCCTCAAAGCTCAGGAATGATTGAACTACCGTACCGCGTTGGTTAGTACTGAGAAAAAATCAAGACCTTAGCGGGTCTGAGCAAACGAAAATCTCACATATAGCTCCCTTGAACCCAGTTATTTGCTTGAGACAGTCGGGCCAACAGTCATAGATACCCGGCTTGGATCCTTTCTTGACAGCGTAGTATTTTGTGGTCGCGTTTCTCTTGCGCTTTGCACCGGCGGTCGGGCCAGGCGGAGCTTTCCGCACAGGTGCCGGGCTAGGTGAGGGAGTGTTCTTGTCCATCGGATATTGGTGAAGAACAGACAAAGAGATTGATCTTGTAACGTTGGAGGTCACGAGGAACGGTGGAAATGATTTGTTGCTGGTGTTCTGTTGTAGGTTTGATTGTTGTAATGTCAGTCGCGATGTCAGTCGCGTAGTGAGTCGCGGAATAAATTGCGGCCGACAGCAGCTCATAGACAAACACAATGACCCCGATGTCTGCGCGTATACTAAGGTTGAAGTTAAAGAGCGTTAATCATGACAATGGAGTAAAGAGAGGGGGCGTTGGGCGTTCCGCTTGGGATGTCCAGAATAATATCTTCCTTTCCTCTTCCTTTCCTCTTTCTTTCCTCTTTCTTTCACCTCAAATGATTTTTATTAATCTCACATTGTCGACAAGACCTTGGAATGTGAATACTTCCGATTACACAAATTCTAGCATTAATTTACAACCTTGAATCACCAGTGGAAGTCTCTAGGGATCTTTCAATCCGTGGGCTCATATTATGAGGTATTGCCTAGTGCTCTGTAATTGTTTTATTCTGTTCTAGGTGCTCTCATGCATTCAATTCTAAAGAGGGCTTCATGCCATCCTCAATATCGCCCTCAGCCTGCCTTCTTCAATACGACCAGTGTCTCGAATCATAGGTGGTTCTTTTTTTCTCGCTGATAGGTTCTAAGAGGGGGGCGTCTTGTTCAGGGTTAGTCGGCCCTCTCGAAGGAGGCCAGCTCCAAATGAAGGGTATTCTTGAGTTCCTCCACTGAACTTGTGCCGTTCGCAGTTAAGGTAACCCTCAACAGATGCGGAAGCTAGAATGCGTCGAACTGGATGATCTCGGTATTCTTAAGGCTTTCAAAAGTTTATGGCGCTTCACATGCACCTTCGTTCTATGGCAGATTCAGCTTTTGATATCGCAGTGTCGAGATTCATGGCTTTTGGATACTATGGCGTCCTTGATATACTCAGCTATTGGTGTTTCTAATCCAACAGGTCCATATATATCTGCAAGTCTGACAAGCTCTATGGCGGCTGAACTATGATCTCCTGCATCCTTTATCTTAAATTTGACAGCGCCTTAGTATAGCCATTGAAAGAGTGCTTCAATGCTTTAAAAGGCCTCCATCTCTTCCAGAGTTGCTGTCTGCTTCTGAGATTTGAAGAACTCACCCATGAACATTGCTGAAAAGATCGGTGACTCCGCGCAGAGAAGCCTTCTCGAAATAGCGTATTCCTTTTTACTAGACTCAGTTCGAATTCTGATCGCTGGGCCGTAATGGAAAGGGTGCTAGAGAAAGTGTTTAAGCTACCAGTTTCTAAAGGCTGTAGGCAATCCAGCAACCAGCTACTCACTTGGCTGCAAAGTTCTCAGTACCCGTTTGGAATGTGTTGATCATGGTTTAGAGCCTTGGAGATCTCCAGGACTGCTCGAGGATCTGTAAGTGACCAAAGACCAACTGATGGAATATATGTCTCGTGGAATGGTTCTATTGCATGGTTCAAGCAAGTGTTGTGGAGAAGAGGATTAATTTTCCAACTCCTACTGATATTTAAATAACTACAATTTATGTGGGAATTGGCAATGAGTCGCAATCAGCAAAGTGCGAATAAAACAATCAAGCAAACAGTCTTCGCACTGGTAGCGCAGTTAGGAAGAATGATATTCCGGGTTGAATGCTGTTGCAGATCTGGCCCTATGGGGTTGTTAAAACAGTACTTTCTCACCCCGCCTTTCTGCCATATTTTAAATACCGCCTATAGTAATCAAAATGCACTTTACCCATATATTACACAGCTATAATTTATAATAATATAATAGCCAACTCTAATATATCCTACTCTTTGTTCATTCAACAAGGTAATAAAAAACCCGAAAAACGATTCATTTTTTTTTTAAACTAGAGTCTAGTGTAACTGTTGCGACAGCCGAGAAACAAGGCCATCAACAGACGGAAAGTATTTCGGCCGAAAAAGTTTCTGCCGAGACAGTGACTCTGGAACTAGATTAGTATATCACGGCATCCTTGAACGATATGCATTCATCGCAAACGACACCCTTGAGCGATGTGCATCCGCGACATTAATGTCCCGTCTTCACCGTCTCTTCTGTCTCGGACGAATGTTGACATTCGTCCAGGGCAGAGGGGCACCCATATACTATAAGTAGCTAGTTCTTTCATCAATGAAAAAGCAGACTTCACAACAATCGCAATATTCAGTATCGTAGCATCCACTACACCCGGTGGATTTTCTACGGTGTTGAGTAGCGGTTTGTTGGAGCTCACAACGTCTACTATTCTCAGTTAAGATATTCGAATATCGCCAAGCGAGCGACAGTAACACACTAGAATTTAGTATAACCACCATTTGCATTGATCACAGCTTGACATCTCGCTTCCATCAAACCTATCTGCTCTTCCAAAAACGACTCTGGTACAGCATCCTAAGCCTCTTTCACCACCTCACGCAGCTTATCATAAGAAAGCTTAACATCCGTCCGAAGGTAATGTTTTCCAATCCAATCTTTCATACAATTCCACACCATCTCAATCGGATTCAGATCAGGAGAATTTGTAGGCCAATGAACTAGATAGATCCCACGATCAATAAGCTCCTCAACCGTGTTAGCAGCACGATGAGCAGGGGCATTATCTTGCATATATAGTAATTTTAGCTATTCTTCATCATAAGCAAGTTTTATCATACCTTCCACCAGAGGGAGAATCCTCTCACAATAACTCTGACTCGTAATGGTTCCCCATTCCTTCTCCCAAAAAAGACAAGGCCCTTTTTAGCAACATAGAAACTCCCCCTGAACATCCATCCAGGAGCTCGTTGAAGTCTCGTACGCATATAAAAAGGATCCCAAACCGTCGGTGAAATACAGACGTAATCCAGGTCTCGTCAGACCATAGGACTCAATTACACTCCTCTCGTGTCCAACTAACATATTCGCGAGCAAATTGAAGACGATCTTCTTTCGTCTTATCCGTCAAGAGAGGTTTCCGGAGAGCAATACACCTAGGATAACCTCTCTTTTTCATAGAATGACGAAGCATTTTCCAGCTAACATCAAGCTCAAGATATCGAATAAGCTCTTTCCAAGTCATTCGACGCGCAAGCTCAGAAGAAGTAAGAAACTCTTCAATCATATCAAGCTCAGGAGCAGATAGCTTAGAAATAGCACCTTTCCCTTTATGCGGTGTAGGCCGTGAGTCAATAAAGGCATATTGAACCTGCCGAGGACTTAAACCAGTCTCAGTTGAGATCTCAGCATAGGAACGCCCTAGATCTCGTAAAAAACGAGCTAAAATACGCTCCTCTCTAGTAGCTGGCGAGCGAGCTTTTGGTGTAATAGGAGGAGGAGGGGTTTCAGGAATCTCAAGTTCAAACTCAATAGTAGCCATAATAGAGATAGTATGGTATAGTAGTAAGTGGGTAATAAAGTAAATCACCACCGAACCGCCATCACTACCGAGCCGCCACCCCAGAACACCATAGTAAACTCGAAAAAAATTGAATATCACATCTCAACAACCGTGACACTGATATAATTCAAATATTCGGTGAGGTATAACTATAACAATATTCACAAAGAATCAATTTATTTTAAGTAAATTAAATAGAGGGATTATAGTAGTATCATAAATTACGGTGTAATTAATTTATTTTAGCTTCAAGTACACTTTACTCGATAATTTCCTAATCCTTCTTTCTATATATACATTTAATTAACTAGTAATAATCCTATTTCGAGACTTGAAATCATTTTAACTAGTGGTTGTTGAAATATGATATTCAATTTTTTCGAGTTTACTATGGTGTTCTGGGGTGGCGGCTCGGTAGTGATGGCGGTTCGGTGGTGATTTACTTTAGTAGTGGGGATAGTGGGTAAGATTTAAATTAAACCATGGTTTGTGTGCCTTGAAATATGGTGTATTACGCTAGGCTATATTAGGACTGGTTTCTGTAAGGCGGCAGGAGTAAGTACCACGCTAACAAACCCACAGGGCCATACCATAGTAGAAACATAATATTCCTCGAATCGCTTTACACTCTTACTGCCCGGACTTAAATACAATCAATATCGGACATCGGATATCGGACATCTAATAATTAGAGTATCTCAGATGCAGAAACAGGAATTGCCTTGAGGCTGACGGACTTAAGCCTTATGGCAACCGACTCACTGCACAGAGATGTCATTTCTGGTTAATGAATATAGATGTAGATATAAATTAGAACGCTCCCAGCACCATCAATACCAACCTTCAAAGTATTGAACCTTGTGACAATCATAATAATCTAATCCATTTGAAGAATCCCCTTTCAAATACATAATTAACCTACAACATGCCATCCGCTTTCTTGCTTATATTCTCCAAGCCCCGACTCTCAGAGAAAAACTTCCTATCTGGGTCTCTTGCCGGGAAAGTCTATACCATCACAGGCTCAGCATCTGGGCTGTCTTGCTAAGGAGTTTTTTTTTTTTTTTTTGAAGGACTAGCTAGGGAGTCCTCTGTGGTGAGTTTTTATGCAATAGGGTTGCGGACAGTATACTGACTCCGAGTTAGAACGTCCATTCAGGCTTGATGAGTACTGAGCTTAGAGATAGTGGTCAGCAGCCGCGGGGATAATTATGATAAGATTTTCTGCTCGAGTCCAAAAATGGGTGGGATGCTGTCATTCTTCTAGGATGTAGTCTGCAAGCCGGCAGTCTACGGTGCATGCTCTAGCTTTTCTCGGGCTTCTCCACTAAATCTCACCTTGACAAACAATGGAGGATTCGTAACGATACTGACAGTGCTGGATCAACTATGAGCTATAGAGAGTGTGCCACTCAGGGTAGATTGGACTACATCCATGAAAAAAGACATGTTGAGATATGCTGCAGGTTTTCCACAAATGTATTCCGATCAATGGTCTGTGGCCACCTTCGGCGCGAAGCTATTACTATCCCGTCTGACAAAAATTGAGCACCACTTTTTTTTTACTGCCAGGCAGAAACCTCTAAAAATCAATTCAAATTCAAATAGTAACTACGCTAATGGAGGCGGTCAGAGACTCTGTGTATATCAGACCCCACAGTACGTAGCTTCGTCAATGGCAGTGAACAAAGGAGACTTAGTACAAAAGCCCTGTTTTTACTGTTTTCCCACATATCTCCAAATTTTCATCATCCCCTATTCATGATAGATCGCAGAAGACAGTTCAAAATGGAGACCAAAGGAATATCCGAATAGAGTGTCAGACTCAAAAGAGATATAAGTCCACGTTTAGAAGATCATAATTTCAAAAATCTGTCCATGTTGGCAGAATCATATTGGTTCGAAGTGAAGTAGGTCCTCGAACGGTATTTTTGCTGGACTTAGATCCCTTTTCACTTGTTCAAGGTCCAGGGAAAGATTCCTACTATCGTCAACACTTACTATTTCTCTCTCTTTCTGATAATTTACTCCGTAGTCACTACCTATAGTATCAATCTAGATCCGCAAAGTCATCTTGATAGCTTGGTAAGTACCTACCTAGGTACAAATCAGATTCAAATCGAGACTGCCGAGATAATACCTATGCAAGCCATATCAGCATGTGGTTTGTCGTTCCGTTATTTTTTCGACTTTAGGCCAATCTTGGAAAGCAGCTTAGTGCTGAACAAATAAATGAACTACTTAAATAGCTGGGTTTTCTTATATCGGCTTATTTGACTGTCAAGTCTACTGCATGTGAGCCCAAAACAAAGGACTGGTTGGGTACACTTCTTGTCAGACTAACCAAATTTAGACCAAAACTGTCAGCATCATACAAACTTCCAAGGTCTTGACCTAAATCACCTTGAACACTTCCAGATTTCAACTCAAATCAGAGAACAAGCCTCCTAGAAATGACATCCGACATTCCGGAAATTCTGCTTCTCTGCATGGATGCAGAGTACATCATAGCCATCAATAAAGCCTTCGAAACAAAATGGCCAACATATGCCAGCAAAATCAAAATCACCCCAAAATATGAACGTCTGCACACCCTCCCTCCAACAACAAAATACGACCTGGTAGTGTCCTCCGCCAACAGCTACGGCCGTCTAGATGGCGGATTCAACGACGCTATCTCAAAGTTCTTTAGCCCCAAGAATGACTACGGCGCACTCACTCGAGCAACGCAGCAGGCCCTTTACAGGAAATGGCGTGGGTTCGCCCCTCCAGGAACATGTACGCTCGTCCGGTTTCCTGAAGGTCTTCAAGGTAATGCGCCTGGTTGTCGGTGGCTAGCTCTTTGCCCGACAATGCGCGAGCCATCAGATGTTCGGTGGGACCGAGAAGTTGTTTATGAGTGTATTTGGAGCCTGATGTGTCAGGTTGAGGGGCATAATCGTAATGCTAGTCCTGGGCAGTATCGGATCCGAAGGCTTCTTATGGTTCCGTTTGCTGTTGGAGCTGGCAAGGTTAGTAAGGAGAGGTGGGCGGAGCAGACAGTTTTGGCCTTGAAGCATTTTGTTGATTCAGTTGAGCATCCGGCTAAATGGCAGAGTCTGGAGTGGGGGCAGGCTGAGCGTTATTGCAATGATGTTGCTACTACTTGGAAGTAGTCAAGTTTTATAAATCCTACTATTTTTCCACTCATTGGTGACTATTAGAAATGCCGTCATTTTGCTAGCTTTTTACGTCCCTCGATCACTTGCACCTACTTTCATAAAGCTATTCAGAACTAAATACGAACAAACGCTAGTCACTTTTAGGAAAGGTTCCCGTAGAAAAGTGGGCCTGACTGAATTGAGGTTCTCTCGTACTTACACAGTAATGAGAATGTTCCTATAATTTGATGACTATCTACCTAGGTAGCGGAGGATGATGCTAGAAAATAGAGCATGAGATGCATTTAAGCCCCAAATGCTCAGGAACAATTCATTTTTTAAATTGAAATAACTTCGGGAAAAAATGAGAAGAAATATAAAAGCTAGTAGATCTGCCGATGCGGCTGTTGTCCATCTAAAGTCACCAAATTGTGCGGGGAACTCGGATGACACCATCCACTTAGCTAAAGGCGATATATCCACTCCTGAAGTCCATACCTGGCATACTTCACCTTCCAATGAAGAGCATCCTCCAGGCATTTTCAAATGACAGCCAACGGTATCTAATTGGTACCTATTTACCTACATAGATAATTTTGTACCATGCAGCGAACAGAACCTCCACAACCTAATCGGGACTATGATCTCTCCACGCCAATTACCTCAACCTCTGGATTACGTCAGGGCCTAACATCCTATGGAGATGCACACTTCTCCCTATTCCTTCGCAAAGTATTTATCAAAGCACTAGGTTATTCCGAAGATGCACTCTCACGCCCTATCATTGGCATAATCAACACCTTCTCGGGTTTCAATCCTTGTCACGCCAATGTACCGCAGCTTATCGAAGCGGCTAAGCGTGGCGTGCAATTGAATGGTGGATTGGCTGTGGAATTTCCTACCATCAGTGTCCATGAGTCTTTCTCGCATCCCACGAGCATGTTTTTGCGCAATCTCATGAGTATGGATACTGAGGAGATGATCCAGGCTCAGCCGCTGGATTCATGTATCATGATTGGAGGTCGGTCAACTTCTGTGCATCGTATTTAATTTGGTAGCCTTTTCTCACTACGACTAGGTTGTGATAAAACGATACCTGCACAGCTTATGGGCGGAATATCTGCCAACAAACCGATACTTCCCTTGATCACCGGGCCTATGTTACCAGGTAGTCATCGTGGACAGAGGATTGGTGCATGCACAGACTGTCGAAATAACTGGGCGGCGTTTCGCGCCGGTGAGATCAACGTGGAAGAAATCTCAGCAATAAATGAAGAGCTGGCTCCGACGGTAAACGACGATATTCAGTTCCCTATTGACCGAAGATTCCTTTGCTGACATGGCCCAAAATTCTAGATAGGAACATGTGGTGTTATGGGAACTGCTAGTACTATGGCGTGCGTTACCGCTGCTCTAGGTATGATGCCCCTTAAAGGCGCAAATTCCCCAGCTGTTTCATCTGCAAGACTTCGTATTGCCGAAGAAACTGGTGCAAATGCAGTGGCAGTCGCCAAAGCAGCAAGAAAGCCCCAGGATATACTCTCTAAGGAGTCATTTCTAAATGCTATCACGGTGCTTCAGGCTATAGGTGGATCCACAAACGCCGTGGTACATTTACTGGCCATTGCGAATAGACACCCCGACCTCCAAGGCGTGATAACACTGCAAACATTCGAGGAAATTGGCCAGAAGACGCCACTATTAGTTGATCTCAAGCCAAGTGGCGATAATTATATGGACGATTTCCACAACGCTGGAGGCATGTCTACCCTTCTCCAAGTGCTGCGGCCACTGCTTCACTTGTCGGCCTTGACGATTACTGGTCAAACATTAGGAGAAGTTTTAGATGAAGCTCAATCCAAGAGAGTCTCGTTTGCACAGCAGACAATCCGACCACTTTCAGACCCTCTATACCCATCTTCATCTCTGGCCGTCCTCCGCGGCAATCTTGCCCCCCATGGAGCGGTTATCAAGGCGTCAGCATCCAAATATCGATCGTTACTTACCCACACTGGAACTGCCGTGGTGTTTGAGAATTCCGCCGATCTTGCCCAGCGAATCGACGATCCTGCTCTCCCAGTCACGAAGAATAGCGTGTTGGTGCTCAAGGGCATCGGCCCAATTGGAAACCCCGGTATGCCAGAAGCAGGTCTGATCCCAATTCCAAAGAAACTGGCTGCTGCTGGAGTAAAAGATATGTTGCGGTTGTCAGACGGACGCATGTCAGGGACGGCAGGAGGGACTATTATCCTTCACATTTCACCCGAGGCTGCTGTACCAGACTCGCCATTTGGGGTAGTAGAGACGGGAGACTTGATCACTTGCGATATCGATAGCCGCAAACTCCATCTCAACATCTCCGAGGAATTGTTGCAAACGCGTATATCTCAGCGAAAGCAGAGGTTGAAAGGGGATGCAGGTCCAGCCTGTGTGAGAAAACAAAGACGAGGCTATCGCGGGTTATATGAGCGATCAGTGAACCAAGCTCATGAGGGAACAGATTTTGATTTCCTCACAGCTAGCGGTACGGGATAAACAAGATGTCGGAATTTATTGATGCTACAAAGAACTTGATCTATTTTGCTCTTATAGAGCTTGTCTTACATGAATGCCTAGGCACTAGGACTTTCAACTGTTTGAAAGTCCTAGTAGGGGGGAGATTTTGTCAAATTTTATAAATCTCACTCTTTACTTTCTTATTTTTCAATCATTTACAATTCCATTAGATAATTTTTTGGATGGCGTGTCATTGGACCAGCTCTTACTATTGATAAAGCTATCTAGAATTAAGTCCAAGCCCTTACCCTGTGCCCTAGATGCCGACCTAATTCGGATTAATCTGGTGTTATCTTATCAGTTGGTGATTTAGCGCGTCGCGTACGCGTTCTACTCATCTTGACAACTACGAGACCACGGGGTTTAATGATACCCCAGATTTTCTGATCGACGACGGAGTAATTTCACTTCATCCACTTCAAAGGTCTCGTTATGAGCACTGATACTATCCGCCCTCGAGGCCGGCCAGCTCGTAGGTTGCGCCCCGTGTTAATTCTATACGCCTTTCCGCTAACTACGATCTGCAATTTAGACACTCCGGGTTCGACCGTATTGGCATACCAGCCGGATGGAAAACGAGTTATCACCGGTGGATCCAACTCTGCAATTAGAATCTATACCGTCGGCGAAGATGGCGAACCGAAGACAGTCGACGAAGGTGTAGACGGGCACTTCGGAATCGGGGCCACGGTATGCCACGCGAATAATTAGCGTCATGTCACGCTGGGACCGAGCTAACAGAATGTAAATCATAGAATGAATCTTTTATCATGGGCGCCGAGGATGGAACTGTTTGGCAATACGATATTGTAACTGGCAAGATGCGGAACTTGTTGGTCCGGTGCGCTTTGCCTGTGCGCGACATTGCGGTATCGAAAGATGGCGAGTGGGTTGCTGTGGCAAGCGAGTGAGTTATTTTATCGTATTTCGGAACAGGAGCAGGAACTAAACCTCAGATTTTTAGTGAACTCACCGTGAAGATTGTCAAAATCGATGATATGACCCAAGTCAAGTACCTCCGCGACCAGAGCAAAGGATCGAAACATGTGACATTTGACCCCAATAGCCGCTATGTCACAGTTTCCGGGACAGACGGTATTCTATATGTTTACTCATTCGCCGAGGAAGAACCGACATTGTCTCACAGCCTTGACGGAGTGATTCGAAGACTAGAGCCAGATGCCGATGCGACATCCCGAGCCGTTTGGCACCCCGATGGTACAGCATTTGCCGTTGCAGATGCGACCAGAGATATTTCTATCTATTCAATCTCCCAGTGGAAGAAGGAAAAGACCTTCTCGGGTGGACATACTGGCGATATTACAGCGCTGAACTGGGCTCCCAATGGCACCCTGCTGGCATCAGCTGGAACAGATGGACAAATCGTGCTCTGGGAAACAAGGACACAGAAGATCCTCCACCGGTATGATTTTGGAAATGTGATCAACCTTGCCTGGCACCCGACCAAGAACTCGCTGTCTTTCACCACATCGGACGGCGAGCTATTCATCTATGACAATTTCGTCCCCAGAGACCATGAACCTCAACTTCAGAAAATGCTTCAGGCGGCTCCTATTTTCCCCAGTCCCCTAGCAGAGATCTCGAATAATGTTAGTCGGACTTTGGCTGAGCGGTCTAAAGAAGCGATCAAGCAGGCGGCTCGAGAGGGCTCACAGGACTCGCTGGATGACCTTCTCGGCGAGGATGAGGATATGCAAGATTTTGTCGAGGATGATGATGGAGCTGGCTATGCTGACGAGCTCAATTCATATGGCAAGCGGCCAAATGACCATCTCGATGACTTGTTCGGCGATAAAAAGCGTTCCTATCCCGGCTCTGTAACTTTCACGGCCCATCCACCTATACAACCCGGCAGCACTCCTTGGGCAGGAAGCAGACGATACCTATGTATGTTGATTACCGCCCCGGCTTCAATGACTTTTGACTAATCTATTCAGGTCTAAATTTGACTGGTGCTGTCTGGACTGTTGACCAAGAGACACATCACACTGTGACTGTGGAATTTTATGACCGCGAGCTCCACAGAGACTTCCATTTTACGGACCCCTACCAATATGATAAAGCATGCATTAGTGAGTTAGACTGGCCTAACCCTTGCACAATACATGCTAACGAATGGAAAGATGAGAACGGAACGCTTTTCTGCAATACTCCTACGGATAAAAGCCCTGCCACAATCTTCTACCGACCTCACGAGACATGGACTTCACGAGCCGATTGGCGGACTCAATTGCCCGAGGGTGAGATGGTCCGAGGTATGTATTCTTCATAAATATGTCGTGATGACTTAACTGACCGTTGCCGTCAGCTCTTGCACTGAGCGATTCATACATCGTAGCTGTGACGACAAAGGACTATGTTCGCGTGTATACACTCTATGGGACACCATACCGGGTGTACCGACAGAAGAGCCAAGCCGTGACTTGCGCTGCCTGGCGAGACTACATCATGACTATCGGCAACGGGCCCGTGGGACCTGATGGCCGAACTGCCACACTGCACTACACCATTGAGAATGTCAAGCGTGATGAGATCTGTCAGAACGAAGATATAGTTGCTCTTCCGAGTGGGACCCAGCTACAGAGCGTTTTCTTTTCTGAAACCGGAGATCCATGCATTTACGACACCACCGGTGTACTACTGGTGCTACAGCACTGGCGCACACCTGGCCAAGCCCGTTGGGTACCTCTTCTTGATACGAAGCAACTTGCCCGTCTGGCGGGCGGCCGTAAAGCAGAAACATACTGGCCCGTAGCTGCCGCACAGGACAGGTTCCACTGCATCATTCTCAAGGGTGGTGACAAGAATCCCTACTTCCCACGGCCGCTCCTCAGCGAGTTTGAATTCCAGGTGCCGATCTCAAGCAACCCGCCCAAAGACCCCGAGTCCGAAGATGCAGCAGAAGAACGCAATGATGGTTCCAAATTCGAGGAGACCTTTGTGCGTGGAAATCTCCTTCTGTCGCTCTTCCGTGACCTCTTGGCCTCGACCAACGCGACTGCCAGCCAGCGTACTGAGCTGGCGCGCAAAGAATTGGAGATTGATAAGACTCTGCTGCAGATGCTGGCCATCGAATGCAGAGAGGGCGAAGAGCGTGGTATGAAGGCGTTGGAGTTGGTCTCCATGATGAACGATCGCAACGGCAAGATGATTGAGGCTGCAGCTAAGGTTGCCCAACGCTATGACCGAGGCGTTCTAGAGGACAAAATTCGGGAATTGGCTGAGCGACGAGTAATGGGTTTGGGTGATGACGATGAACTGGCTTGATTTTGATATCAAAATATAGTCGCGAGTGACTTTTCTCGAAACTTCAAGTTTAGATATGTGTTTTAAGATGTTACGGCAGTTTTTTCTACTTCCTTGCTTATATTTAATACGGAAGAGACCAGATATAAAAAGTGTATGAAAGTTGAATTCTGAATCCGATATAGAACGGAAATACAATTACCACGCCTCGCCTAATTCGGATAAGATCTGCGTTTTTTTTCTAATGATGGTTCGTCATGAGAAACCCGACAACTTACAACATCCGAACTTCACTTCCAACTTTACCCCCATATGTGATAGTAATTTAACCTGCTCAGTGAGGCAGAATGCCGAAGTCGGCCTTATATTCGCGCTCTATCCCTCGGGCGCTGCACCTACAGCCATCGAGCGCGGTGGGCCGCAGCTTCGCATCTTCGCCGCAGCAACCTCTCGCGCAACCACGGCCCGGAATCCTCAACGAACCCTGGCTACCAACGCCCTCGTCAGCGCCTCTGCCAGATACATATTTCTCACCAAGTGGAGTCCGCAAGGAGATTGATCGGCTATGCGGAAATCCCGGGAATCATGACCACAAACCTCCAGATGAGAGGGTACTGAAACTAGGAAAAAGTGAGCATTGAACATAGTTTCATAGATTAGAAATTTTCAATAAACTAACTTTGTCGAAGCTCTCCGAACCCTATCTCCACTTCTCCCTACTATTCTCTACAATACTCTCCCTTCAAACATTCTTGCTCCGAGTGTCAATCTCCACCTCTTTCCTTCGACACACCCGCACCTCCCCACCGTAAAGGGACGCACCCTGTACCGCGCTGCACTTTGGACTGTGCCAGTAGCATGGAGTAGTGTCCCACTTCTAGGGAACGTCAAGCTTCAGATCCTGAGCGAGCGAATCGTACGCACAGGCACAATTCTATGTCCTGAGCATGAAGATCAGCATGACTGCGGCGATGAGCGATTAGTGGTAAGGTGGAGGACAGAGCCGAGAACAGAAAGCCGCCCATTTCACGAAAAGAGAGTTACCGGCGCTGCACAACTGAGCTCAGTATCGCAAGGGACATCAACTCAGAGCCATCTGTCGCAATCGACAGTGGGCAATAATAGAGGACTTAGTGTTCTTCTTGGCGGTGATGAGCCCATCTTCAAGCTTTCGAAGGAGGAACAGTTCACTGGGCTGTTTATATTCTCCTTTGATGACGAGGGCCGCATCTTGACGCATACTATTGAGCATGCAAATGATGCGGATGGGTGGGATCGTACTTCTAAGTTTGTTACTCTGGCCGATTGGCTGATTGGCAAGGCGCGTGAATCGCTTGATCCGGCGCCTAATGCTGGACTTGCTATGCATTCGTGCCAAGATTCCTCATTGCCGGCTGATCATACTCGTCAACGTTATTGACTAGATCTGTGGCGTCGACTCTGATGCAGTGTTGCTTACGATCTTCAGAAATCTCGACTTCAGGACATTTAGCCTGTGTAAATACATTTGATTTGACTTCTACCAAAAGGCGTCTCGGGCATCGGGCAAGATCATGGGGGAAAAAAAAAAACTTGCAGTACATCATTCATCACCGCTCTTGATAATATCAATTCATGTACTATACACCCTTTTTCACATATCTTACACGAATAATTCAGCAGTCGTTTCCTACCTCAGATATAGACATCACACATAACCCCCAAATGCAGAAACCTCCCAGGTATGAACCAGCAACCTGGGCGAGCGACACACCTTAGCAATTACTCCTTCTTAGCATGAACAGAAGGCGACTTCAACAGGCCGAAGACGCCCAGCGCTACACCAGACATCGCAATGCCACCAACCGTATACGCTGTCTCGCGACCAGCCCACCAGAACAAGGTACAGAACAGCAAGGGACCGGCAGCCCGGCCTGCCTGGCCCCATCCACGAAGACGACCCATCACCGCACCGCGGTTAGCATCTCTCGTTTCAGCAGCCCCGAGACTGTTCAGCCCCGTGACAACGGTAGCGCTCGTCACAGCCAGCAATGCACCCGAGGCATAGAGACCCTTGATTGAGTCCACATGCGCTAGTGAGAAGAATGATAGTGCGCAGGCGACCACGCCAGCACGCACAGTTAAAAGTGGGGGTAGACGACGAACCAGCGTACCCTGCAAAAGAGAGGCAATCAAGCCCATCATCGATAGAAGCCTTCCATTGAGAGCAGCGGGGCTGGCAGTAGTAAGTCCCCCGTAAAGCGTAGCAGTCAAAAAGGGAAGAGAGAACTCCATCCCGGAGAAAGGGAGTAAGAAGAGGAAGTGGAGGGTATTGAGTATGGCAGGATTATTTGTATGCTTATGCGGGGTGTCGGCAGAGGCAAATTGTATGTTTTTGGCAGCGGAGTCGCTAGAGTCCACCTCCTGAGCGAGAGTGGTGAACTGGGGATGTGTTTCTGGCAAGCAAATCCAGAGATACGCAGTCTCGAGAAGGATCAGAGCAAGAGAAACGAGAGCGGCTGTCATAAATGGGTTCTCGGCAACGATATCAATAGTACTCAGGCCAGCGCCGAGCATAGGACCAAACGTGAATGCAATACTGAAGCATGCGCCCACGAGCGCCATAGACGCGCCACGACGTGTTTCCTCTGTTACATCCGCGACAATGGCATTGGCCAGCTGTACATTGGCTTCGCTCAGGCCACCGACTACGCGGCTGGCGAGAAAGGTGCGAAAATCCTTTGCAGAGACCCAGAGCGCAACGCTGAAGATGTTGCCCAGCATTGCTGTCAACAATGCGCGACGGCGACCGTAGCGGTCGGACATGTGGCCTATTACTGGGGCAGCGAAAGCCTGCAAGAGGGAGAATAGGGAGCCAAGGGCTCCGCCGAGGAGAACTATGTCATAGCGTGAGTCGATGGGGCGGGCGAAGGCGTTCTTGTAGGCGTCGAGGTAATGGAAAATGCGGTTCAAAATGGACGTTGGAGACTGATCTCGGGTACGATAGAATGATAGTAGGGAGGGGAATAGAGGGAGAATGAAGGTGAAGGAGATCTGATAATACAAGTTAGTCGGGGTGATTGTTCCAATTGTATAGTCATGGGTCGTTTCGTACAAGATCTAGCAACAATGAGATCATCACCACTTTAAGAACTTGCTTGCGTTGGTTGGCAGCGACGGCCATGGTGAGTGATGTAGCGCCAATTTGTCGGAAGGCTGTAAAAAAAATGAAATAAAATAAGATAACTTGCAAAAAGCAAAAGAAGGAAAAAGGAATGAGTTTGTTGACATGAGACAGCTTTCTCCCTTGAGCTTTAGCTGGAGGTTTCATGTCACCTGACTTTTAAGTAACCCTAACTTTTAAAACGTCCAGGAGGACTTACCGGAAGAAAGAACCTTGGAAGTCAATATCTAGGTGCTCGGATTATAATAAGAGTGGTGAAACTGTCTATATTCTATATGAAATTGGTATCTTGTCTATGTTACTCAATCAAAATCGCGAAATATCTCTCCCAAACAAACTGTTCAAGAACCACCGACAAGCCACACGGCATCTGTTTCGCCAGCTGATGGTCATAGTAATGTATGCCAAGCTCCAAATGATTCCGGCCATACGTCCAGTTATCGCCATTGGCTTGCTGTCATTGTGAGGAAGTTGCATCAGCGCTTTTTCGTTACCAATATAGGCCATTGAGCCCATGTTGCGGAAAGAAAACTGCGAAGACTGTTCACAGTCTTTTTTATTGAGACGGTCGCTCAGCCACTTAGCTTCTTGAAAAGAAGCCTGCGCCGTAGCAGGCGGAGCGCCAGTTTCTGGCATGGCATTATCGCCCAGAGCAAAGACATCATTGAGTACCACTTTCTGACCATTTTTGTTCTCGAGCTGAACACGGAGATGGCCATCCACTAGTAAGGCACCAGATCCCGCCTTGGCGTATTTCCAGTCCTGACCATCTTCTACTAATGCGGTTGTATTTTGCACGACGGAGTCATCCTTCGGGAAAGCTTCTACAACGTCGAGACTCTTGCGGACGAACTTGGTCTGCGTATTGCCCGTCACCCAGACACACATACCAACACCAATTTCACCGTCTTCTTTAGTAATCAAGGTCAAGCAGCCCTTGGGATCCATTTTTTGTGGCAGTGGTGCGCCTGGAGTACCCCAGCGTAAACCTTGAACATTATGGGAGGTCAAGATGTCGACACCATCACGCTTCATTGTGTCCATTGCATAGCGAGAAAGAGAGTCGTCGAACATAGAGAGGACTTTAGGCGCAACATCGTAGAGACTTATTTTAGGCAGATGGGCAATGGATGGATAGAGAGAGAGGACGTCTCTATGGATGAAGTCACGCAGCGAGCCAGCCAGTTCAATGCCTGTCGGACCTGCGCCGACAATGGCAAAATTAAGCAGATGCTTCCTCATTTCGGGTGTTGTACTGGGCAGTACGGCCAGCTCAAAGCACTCACGCACGCGACGCTTCACCCGTTTGGCATCACCGATATCCCTAAAGAACATTGCATTTTCTCGAACACCGGGAGTACCAAATATGCTAGTCAAAGCACCTACCGCAATGACTAGTTTATCGTAAGGAACTTCGAATATTTGGCCTTTGTCCCAGTTTGGTTGTTTTTGGGTGGAGATTAGAGTGGTGGACTCATTGCCTTCGAAAACCAGCCTTTCATCAGATAGACTTCGCGGAGTCTCGTTGACACCGCGCTTGACAATAGTGGCCTCGCATAGAACAGTCTTCTTCTTTAGGTCAATCGATAGTGCAGCAGCCTGAATGAAGTCAACCTTGGAATTTTGATCGCGCACAGGTTCAACAATGGTAGAGAAGTCAAGAGACCCACTAGCTGTAGCGGTAAGGAGAGGGGTGAAGACGAAGTATGAGCGTGGTGATATGACAATGGGTATGAATGACTTGGGACATAGTCGGCGTGAAAGATTGTAGCCAGCCCAACCTGATCCGAGAATTACCACACGTTCTCTACTATCAAGTGGCAAATCCTCGGGGGTAGCTGCTGCTTTTGCATATCTTCTAGGTAATACACCTCTGGGAATGATCGTGCGGGAAGAATTGCACACAACTGAGAGCGAAGATAAAGCCTGAGCGTTGAGGGTGACCAAAGGGCGCAGCATTGTGAAGTTGGTAGTAAATCTAGACAGTTTATGCATCTTCCACTTGCTCTATAAACCACAAAACTTGGAATGGTAGGGCATCCATGACTTGAAGGTTTCATTGGTCAGAAAAAGAACCGGATCTATACGGAGTCATTCGCACCGAGATTCCCTTTTCTTCAAAGATTTCCCAAAAAATCCATTACCGAGATCCACTGAGGTCTTAATACAGGTTTTTAACTCTGATTGACCAGTTCGGAAATGAGTTCAAATGACAAAAAGGGGAGAAATGACCCGGACATCGGATGGATTCGGGATGAAGCACGATATCTCATAAAGTTCCGGCCTAGGCCCTGGATTGTTAGAGTAAGTCAGTTTAAAGCAAAATTGAAAGATTTTTTGAGAGATATTAGCCTCAGAGGGACTTCGGCAGTGAAAGTACCTCATATTACAAGCTTTAAGATGAAGGTGTTTTGGCTAGCGGCAGAAGGAGTCATAGGAGAAGACCTTATAGCAGCACCAGCACCAGGCGCAATAACCACGAACCTTACAGGTAAACAGCTTTTGTTACGAATTGGTCTTTCGTCCACTAGGATTCGGGCGAATACTCTGACCCACAACAGCTTGGCTACCAGCTGGACTCCCTAGAGAGACAACTTGAAGTTAGAATTTGAAAGAATAAGACAGTCTTCTCTATGACTGAGAGTGAGAGTGCTTACTGCATTTGCTAGGGTCACTCCCTCTTCATACCGGAGACTTTCACAGTAAATTTTATGCTCGAGGCAAAGGAATATCAAACCACAGACCCAAGGAAGAAACATCAGTAAAATTTCTGGCAGCAGCTGGGTCGACAACGCGTAACAGTGTCTCATCTAAAATGGAGATGGAGACATACTTCTTGGTCTTTCAGAAAGGCTGCGGTCCCGTGTTCAGCTGCATCTGAATTGGAAGTATCTGCTTCGGGGTCTTCTGATTTGAAGAAAGATGTACAAAGAGCTCGTGCCCGTTTGTAATCTTGGTGGTAAAGGTATCGGATCAAGAGTTGGATCATTTGCGGGCAGGTAGATTTTTTCCAGTATGGGATTCCTAAAATCCATGCTAAGGATGGTTATAATGGCAATGCCCCACGTATGGAACACATCAATGGGTGATGAGACTTGACTGGTTAGCGATGGATGTAGCACACCACTAGAACTGATTGACATGTGGCTAGGCTCATTAGACAGATGGCACTGTCTTTCGCATAATCGAGGCAGAATCGAGATAAAATTAACTCCACCAGCGTGGAAATGCCACTACAGGATGGTATTGGAACCTTGCCCAAGTGGTGGATGAAATGCTCAGGGAAGCAGAATCATGGATGATGAACAGGAGGGAAGATAAAGGGGATATATCACTATTTATTCCATGTTTGAAGATGCATAGCGTATTTAATAATTAGGTATACAAAGGCAGAGTTTGGTGGGATGTAGAGAGGATGTTTCCATAGCTCAAGTTAAAATTAGATTCAGGTTGTTACAGTATCTAGTTCGAGCTCTGATCAATAAACTTCTATGAAGAAATGCATTTTTAATGAAACAAAGATCAAAGTAATAGCACCATTATACTGCTGACTTTATCTTAACTCTTAAATCACTGACGGGTTGGAAGGCTCCCCAAGTAGTTTTGTTCTCGGGAACCGCAAATCCCTGATCATCAGTTGATGAGATATCCCACATTGACACAATACTAGCGGTAAAGGCAATTATGATCCTTTCTGTAAGTTTGTTATGCTTAGACCCATATAGCCCATCTGCAAATGAACCAAGAGGGGCTGGATTGGCCTGCTTAGTGCCAGCATCCATCACGATGAACCGGAGTGGATCGAATTGATCTGGGTTTGAGAATGTCTGGGCATCGTTGTAATGAACACCATGTGGCATAATGACTTTCTCTCCCTTGAGGAATTTGTACGTGCGCGGTTGGGCTGCGTCAGTGACTGATTCTGTGACTTTCAAATCTGATCCCAATTTTCTGAATGAAATCCCGGCGCAATGGAGACGAGTTGCTTCGTAATAACATGCTTTTAGCAATGTGCATGACTGTAGCAACTCTTCTACATCAAGACTGAGTTTGAGCGGTTCCTCGAATGGGAACCCAGCCTGGCGGGCAGGTCGCGATGATTTCACAAAAGGTGAGATCTCTTTTCGAATTTCTTTCAGAAGTTCCCGGTCTGTGATGATGTGGATAAGGGTCCAGAACGTCAACTTTGTGCTATGTTCGATCACGTCCCAATAAAATGAGAGATTTCCTGCTGCACTAGCAAAGGGGGACATCTCCAGCTTCCGGAATGTTCGCATTCTTTCCTTCACCAGCTCAGAAACATCGTCCAAATCGCGGAGTTCAATCCCTGGGTCAATCCCATCGTCCCAAGCAGTAAAAGCACGGTAGAAAATAGACATGACATGTAGGAGTCGCTCGCGCGCAGGATACCCCGCGGAGACGGCAGGTGAAGGCATCCACCGCGGAAAGCCTGCGAACAAGAAAGCGAAACCATTATCAAACTTCCATAGGTCTCCCAGTATCCCAGGGAATGCTTCCACAAAAGTTTCACCCATGAGAAGGGTGGAGATGTTCTGTCCTACAAATTCCCTCACAAGGGAAAATAGGTACACTTGGCCAACTTTTTGGTCTTCCTCGGAGACTTCCATTTGGCTCTCACGCTCCCAGTAAGTCTGATCAACAGGACTCCGGCAAAAGGTGACAAAGTTTGGCAAGTTACGCTGCAACAGCCGTGTGATTCCCGAAGAGACATCACTCGCAAATGACTCTCGATTCATGATTTCGGGGACATCATCTGTAATTTCTTGATTGCGATTAGCAAGTAGATTGCGCATGAGGCCACTGTCACCAAATGCATTTTTGAGCGCCTGGTCAAGTAAAGGGGCACTTGATGCACCCTGTGACGACATTATAGTTTCAGTCATTGACGGTGACACCACAGTAGTAAGAGTTTGGCCACGCAAGCAGATGTAAAAGACAGATTCGCGCATGGTTTCCCTGTCAAAGTAATCAGCGGCCATATCTTTTAATTCTGAGAGAGGACACAAACCGAAGGGACTCAAAAAAGGAGACCTGGTTCCATAAGAGAGAAAAGCCATGTCCTATCCAAGGAAACCAGTACGGTGCTAGTCGGGCTCTTTGTAGTTTATCTCTACCTGTTTCACGACTCTGAATCGCAGTTATGACGCGAGTTGTGATGCAAGAAATTATCAGAACAGCAAGAAATGTCACCCAGGTTATTTGTAGTAGACCATCTCGGGTGGTCTGTATTAACCTGTCGGATAGAGTGTTTGTTTCCATCTCGGGAGATGAGGAGTCAGTATCGCAATACCTCTATAACACCTTAAACCAGGAAAAGTACAGACGACAAGGTCAAGTAATAAAGGGAAACATAGAAATGCAAGATGATGATCATTTCTGAGCTATGGGGCTCGTTGCGAAAAGGGAAAGATAAAAATAGAACTCCTATTTAAGGCCAGAGTGTAATTCCTTGCTTACTCATCATCCATATCAACATCAAAGTGGTTATACGGACTACATTGAAACACTATTTCTGATTTGAAACGCGTGATATCAAATATCTTAAAAATCTTTTCGAGTGGACTAGAAATAATTGACTATGTTACAGGATATGAAGTGGTTACACATTTAGAAGCATATGTCAGCGCAAAGACTCATTCTTCGCTCTGCAGAATCTTCTTCAAAGTGGCGCTGTCGGTTTCATACTTGAGAATATTGGCCTGTGAGCCTTGTATCTTCCGCAGTAGCCACTCAATCCGCGGCGTGAGTTGCCATGGATGCTTTGGTAGCGAGCCAAGGAGCGACAACTCCTGTTCATACTTTCCGATACTCTTGTTCTCACTACTGATCAACTCAGCGAGAATCAGCAGATCTAAACGACTTTCTAGAGTCTTGTTCTCAATCAATCGCTGGAATGCGGTCTTGTAGACCGGCTTTCCGGGCTTGATCCAGCGTGGGAATCCTTTGACAGATGCAACAGAGATCAATTCGGCCTGCTCCAGTGCTCTCAAAGTGGCTTCACCATTGTCCTTGAAGAGATCTGAGAGGAGAATTTTGTTGTACAGGAGTGCTCCATCATTTGATTGAGCGAGAGATTTGATGATGTGCCATGCTTGTTCACGGGTCCATTGGGGTGAAACGAAGTCCGTTCCGAGAATGAAGATTTTGAGAATCTCAGAAGCAGACTGTTCGATAATTCTTTCCACGGCAGCTATAAAACTTGTTAGTTTTTTATTCCCTCGTGGATGAGAGGTAGACTCGACAAACCTTGTGGGCTTTCACCTGCCTCCATTCGATGGGCCATAAACTCTAGGTCAGTGACACGGCCACCTAGAACCCGAATGCAGTCATCCAGGCCGCTCAAATCCATCTCCGGTTTCTTGTTGTCCTCGCCGCCATCCGATTCCAAATGCGTCAATACGAAACGACGTCCCACCTCAAGGGAACAGTCACCCAGGCTGATTGTGCGGAATACCTGATTTGGAAGAGCCCTGCTAAGAGGCTTCGTAAAAGAGGAATCAGTGGTCAAGAAAATTACGTGTGCGACATTGGCCGTGGTCAAGCCAGCTGCCCACTCAGTAAGCTTGTCAAGCACGATGGAGTCCTCGGGATCATAAAGGAAATTGTCAATGACCACGACTGGCCTTTTCTCGGGGTGGGCCTCGAGATATTCATCTTCAGTGAGATTGAAATCATTGTCATCCTTGTGTCTGCTTTCCAAAGCGACTCGTTTCATGGCAACGGCCGTGTTCTGCCAGATCTTGTTAAGTTCGGCGTCCAATGTCTCGGAGAATCCAGCCTTGGTTCCAATCATTCCCTGAGAAGCCAAGTCGATGAGACTGGTGATGCTATTCATCCAAGAGAAGACTGGTCGGTAGCCAACCTGAGCTGCTGTTCGGGAGATCCTGGCCGTATCACCACGTGCCTCCTGGATCTCCTTGCAGTCGATGACCACTGTATAACTGCTATTCTTGAGCAATCGATCCAAAACTAGCTCTCGTTTCCCTGAGCCCCTCGGACCATGTAAAACAATGAATGTCTCCGTGGTCTCGCTCAACCAGGCCTCCAGTTGTGAGATGTCATTTTGTCGGTCTTCCCAAATGGCTGCCAGTCCACGGGGGTCCTGCTTCTGTTGCCCAAAGTACCGTCGATTCGCTTGACGAATTTTTTTGACGGATCCACTTCACCACGATATTGTCATCAGTATGGAGAGTGGACTTGATCTTGAGCTTGATGAAAAATGTGCGGATGGGGTCGAATATAATGACCGTGATTGTCGCTACTAGCGCTGCGATAGCTGGAAAGACGATTCTGGGGTGACTCAAGATCCAGTCCTTGATCATGGTCATCCTGACCTTCCGCTCATAATTTATCTTGAATCTAGTACCAGTTTTGCCGCCTCCTTCTTCCTCGGAAGCAGCATAGCCATGCAGACAGTTCCGTGCCATCATAGCGAACCGAGGGTGGTTGAACCGCAAGATGGCGTACCTTGGCTCGACCTTTGAATCTGGGGGCTGTCTTTGAACATCCAGTAATTTTCCGTAAGGACGGAAAAGACTATAGAGAGCTTCTTGAGTCATTTCAGTGGCTGGCCCATCTGAAGAATTAGGCAAAAATTCAACCTTCAAGGTTTCGCTGGGAATCCGGTAAAGATCTTCAATCCATGGTCTTCCTATGACTAGGTCTGCCTCTGCCGAAAGAAAGGGGTTAAACCATGGCCTGATAGGGTTTTTGGCAAGATGTTGTTGAACTGCAGCGATGATTTCGTTGTCTTTGACATCGGGTTTGCGCGCATATTTGATGAACGCGCCGCCCTCTTTATACCGTGGCACCACATCTTTAATTTCAAGATTCAAAGATTCTGGCAGTGCACGCTGAGCAATATTGACAGCATCTGGTGCGGCCAAGTCTGGGTTGTTTACTCGTTTCAAAAGCCCGCCATGAGGCTGTACATTGCTCAAAGGACCACGTAGTAACCATTGAAGCCGATAGGGAAAGATATCTGGTGATTTCTAGTGAATCTCAAATTGATTTGACATGTTTGAAAATTGGCGGCACTTACTGTTAATGTAGAGGATGCCTTCATTTTCATTCAGCTGCATGTGGCCAGCGTGCATTGAGGAAGCAGACCGTGCGTAGGGCGAACATCGTCGGGGTGGTGCCAGTCTCCACCCTCGTACAGAAAAATGAACATTGAGGTGAGAACGCAACAGTGGGCTTAGTGTGGACGAGGACCCCTTTTCAAGGAAAACAGGAATCATCTCAGATATCAAAAGTTCGTGCTTTTCATATCGAGAAATTACAAATATGTGAATTGCAAAAAGTCAGACTTCTTGATTTGCATGACGTCGAAGATAATGAATACGGTGTAGAGTGGCAGAATCAAGTATCGTTGAAACATCTCCCAGCTTTATCCGTATTCTACTGTTCATCTGCACATAACTTACCCAATAGTTCTTGGCCCTTTCTTATCCAAATTTGGCCACTTCCTCAAGAGACACAAATCACGCCAAAAAGTTTCTGCGTCATCGTGTCCACCGCCATGGATCTTCATATCATCTTGAAGTAGCCTTTTCCACCCAAAATCCTCATCACTCCATCGGAAGAGGCCGGAACATATTCAACCATATAGGTTGATAGCAGCTATATTCCCAATCTAGGAACCCGGCCAAAGTTTCATCTTTCACAATGATATTTCCCAAGTTAAGATCACAGTGACTCAAGACGAAGGGCTCATATATAGGTATTCGCTTCTTCAAGTTCTCTAATGCTCGCTGGAGAAATCACTCTCAGGGGGATCATGGAGCATGATGCCTAAAGAATCTCTGAGCTCTTGATCAGAGTGGAATGTTCCATAAGTTATCACCAGGAAAATGGTATAAGAGGTGACATTTTGAGTGGATTTTGAGGTGATAGATCACAGCTTTTTGCGAACTTCGACTATTTCGTCCGCAATGGATATTTGTCTGAGAGTCTGATTAATGAAAACCAAGCTTGCTTTAGTGTTTATTCCACTATTCATTCTGGGAGAATAAGATATAGTTCCTGTGATTGTCAACCCAATCTTATCGCCAACCCAATCAAGCAAAACCTTGGGAACTGGGATATCACAGTGAGCTGAAAGTTGTTGTGTCAAATCGGCTTTAGAGCCATCATCAGAAAGTTCTTTTATGATCACACTAACTTTGGTCTTTAAGTCCAATCAACATTGCTTTGGCTTCATATGAGCTATTTAGTGGTCCAGACTCTCTTTACAAACTTGAATTCATCCTGGATATTATTTAAAAACTCATACAACAGCGAGCTAGTTGGATAGACAGAAATATTTTCAAAAACGTAGAAAACCCACGAAATCATTGGAATATCATAAAATATTGAAGTAACAAAAAGTAAACACGAAAATCCGCTCCAACTAATTTCTTCCAAGGTTAGACCTCTCGTTGTAGGTGCGTACTATGCCCGAGCTCAGCCCAGAAGTATACCATACCTATTCGAGACTTTTTTTATTTTTTTAACTGATGATTTTGTACGTCTCGAACCGACGACCTGTACAGAGTCTAGGTAGGGTCATTTTGCTTTATCACTGAGCAATACGGAAGTTATCGATAACCGTGATCTAGTACAATACCTCACTTATGACTAAAACAACAATAGCTTCATGAAATACATATACTACAAAAAAGAAGATGAAAATCCAGCTATAGCATGTTTGAGATTTTAGTTTTGAGATAATAAATCTAATCTACTAAAGATGCGCCAGCTTTGAGGCACATTTCTCAACCAAGCTTCCAAAATAGCTAGCGGTAGATCTTATCGGCAATGGTATCACGTGATCTATATTCATTATCAGAAAACCGCGCCTTCAATATGTCTTATCGCATAAAGATCAAAATCAAGATCAATTCAATTTCTTCATTTCTCCAGCAAATATGGGCTGGTGGTGGAGCTCTAGCCCTAAAAAGGACTCCGAAACCGTTACATTGTCAACACCAACCCCCGAACCCGCAGCCCAGAATGCACCACCAAAGAAATTGACACCAGACGAACAAGCCGACTATGAATTTAGCCAGATCCTCTCCAGCCTGCAAGAAGCAGATGCTTCTTTGACGAGGAGTCTTAATCAAGACTCTAATGGCTCGACTTCAACCTCAGCCAGTCCCTCTGCTATACAAGAACAACAAACTCCTACATCTCCCATCGCTCCCGAATCCCTCTACGCAGACACTATGTCCTGCCGCACAGCATTCGACTACGCGTTTTTCTGCCAGTCATTTGGTGGTCAATTTGTGAATGTCTACCGATACGGAGAACTTCGCTCTTGTAGCGAGAACTGGGATAATTTCTGGCTGTGTATGAAGACCCGTGGTTGGGGAGATGAGCTACGCAAGAAGACTATCCGAGATCATAACCGGAAGAAAGCTGTCAAATACAAGACTGGCCCTAGCAGTGAGGATATCTGGGATGTTAGGCTTGATCCTGCGAAGAATTCCTTCCAGGGTGACTTTGCTGCTTTGGAGTTGGAGATTAAGGCTGAGGAGGAGGCACAAAAGGCAAAAGCGGCCGTATGATACCATTTCAAGCTCCGTGTACTCAACTGGTATGATAATTGCTGCTTTGTGTATAGATACAAAATGTTATTTGGAGCGCGCTCTGTACGATATTTACCTTTACGGGATTCGGTTGATATCTCTACTCCACCGACCTACTTTACTCCAGTCTAATTTGATCAAAGGCTAGAGAAATTCATTTCTGTCCTTCTTGCCATGGGCTAATCAAATTCCTGAACGCACCCAAATCTGGTCACCCTCAATGAACGCAGGGTTCAAGGCGGATAAATCCGCGATCAGCTTGCGAAAGATCAGCTTTCGAAAGAATGATAACAAACCCCAAAAGAAATGAGCTTGAAGCAAACAAGCTCGTATCAAAATAATTTCTTTGGTCTTTAAACCGTACCCACCAAGCAAACGAAACCTTGGAAGGATCAAACTTCAGATTAGCCTCTCACCTTTATCTAATGGTAGAGTCCCGGCTACCAGGATCATTGCCAGTGAAAGGCTCATATCCATTGAAATGATCTTTTCCCTCGGAACGCTCATTTTCCTTGCGAAGCACCCGTCCCTTGAGAGGCAGTTTGCGAATGCGCTCTGCCAGAGCTGCATTTACAATAGCTTCATTGTATCCCGGAGAAGAAGAACGGGGCCGGGGAGGCGAGGCAATGGGGTGATCCACAATCATCATCGATGATGATGGGAAGAATGCTACCTCATCCCGAGCGCGCTGTTTCTGCAAATTAGAGGCTGAAAGAGGGTTCAAGTCCATCTGGGAACCTTGTGGCAAGGGACCGCGTTCCTCAATAGTACGCTGCTCTCGTGGAGCGGCAGATTCGAGGTGTGTATCCTTTCGGGGATCTTGTCCGAAGGTACTACGTTGCTCAGAGTCATGATTTTCTTGACGAATAAGATATTCGAGGCCTGTCTCCGTCTTGGAACGTTGCAGTAAGAAACCCCGTTCCTTAAAAATACCCTGCCCGTACAGATTACCATGGTTGTCTGGATCCATTAATGAGCCTTGATAAAACATACCGCGTCCCTCTTTCCGAAGAGCCTGGAAACGCTCTTCCTCTTGAGCACGGTGCTCTTTCCGATGAATATTGAATTCTTTCTTCTGAATTCCACGAAGTTCATTTTGAATCGCACCGAGACGGAGTTCCCCCTGGAACTTCTCAGGAGCACGATATCTTTTCCAGGGATATTTGGGATCCAGCTTATAATTATCTGGTCCCGAGAATGCGTGTCCTCTAGGAATACGTTGTGGGGTAGCAGATTCGGAGTCTGTCTCCCCCGCGGAATCATTTAGAGAGAATGATCGGTATTGCTCTTCGGTAAAGGGAAGGGCAATGACCTGGTTACCAGATCGGCTGCCCCGAGACACTCTGATGGGCCGGTTGTTCTGAAGCACTGGTTCTGCGAATCGCACATGCTTCTCTCTTCCTTTGCCACTTCGGACCTTTGACAGCTGAAGCTCCGGTTGAGGTATCTCCACTTGGCTATCCTCTGAATTCCAACATGGATTACGGTAGCTTTCTGATTCACGGGGAGCGAAAAAGTCTGGAGGGTCAAGCAACTGCTTCTGTCCGATGAATTTCGAGAATCTGGCGGTAGGCGACGAGGGTGATGCTGGTGGTGATTTTGTCTGTCCAGAGTGAAGTATTCCAAAGAAACGTGTGATTGGCGATGCGGCAGGAGAAATAACGGGAGATTGGGTCAGATTGAGAGCTTGCATGCGACCAGTGAGCGAACCTTCAGATGCGAGTTTCTTCACGTGCTTCTTCTCCGGGGTGATGATGGGCTTTGGAAGGTCTCGCAGGCGCTTGGGTGTCCAAAGGTCCATGTCCGGAGAGGCATCACAAGTGAACTCGTGCGAGCTATTGGTCTCATCTTCCGGAGACCAAGTATAAGGCTCTGATTCATCATCGAATCCATTGTCCTCTGAGTTTGTGGGAAGATGATTACCCATCAGGGGGCTGTTCAGCAGGGCTGGACTCAGCGGGAATTCATCCGACACGCTCCTTAGGAATTGCGGCGAAGAAAGTGGAGAGCTATTTGCTGAATGAACTCGACCTGTCAGAGAACCACCAGAAGCAAGTCGAGGACGTCCTCTAATGGTTCTGGGCGACTCACTTGAAGCACTATCGCGTCGGTTATTAGCTTGGGAGGTTGAGGCTGGATGAAGATTGAGGTCCTCTTCGGGGGGAAGGGAGTCCATTTTGGTGGAATTGAAGATGTTGTGGTTACTGACAATGAAAGAAATGAAGTCTACTTCGAATTGAGACGAAGTAAGAAGATAGAGGGGTCAAAAACCCTCGGCGACGACTCAGCGAGATCATTTGGCGTTGAGTAGTTTGTTTTCTTATAGAAGTTGTCAGACGAGATGTTGCGTGTGTTGAAATTGGATTATCAAGGCCTTTATGTACTGACACTGTAGTTTTATCCTGGGGCCGTACATTAAAAGATCTTTCTTTAGATTTCGTTGTTACTCTATGCAAGACTATGGGACTATAAGTTCGTAATGGATCTAAATAATTCCTGAAATATACATGGGTGGACGTAGGGTTCAAAATCAACCTTAGAATATTTTCAAGACTAAAGCGTGCGTGCCCTAAAAAATTTGAGCTGAACGTCTTCACGGTCTCGCCCAGCCAGAATACTTAATGAGCGACCTTAATGAGCGACATAATCAACTAGACAACTCTGAGCAGGAAGCTATTTAATTTATTTAAGTTGAATTACAGGTGGCTAGCCGTCAGGCATCCTTCATAATGTAATGAGAGGCAGTACGTAGGCAGCACGATTTATGGAATGTAGTTATTTATTCAATAGTTAAAACTCACGACCGAAGGTATATACACAGCTTGAAATAAAACAATAGAGAGGAAAAAAACCACCGCAGGTTAGACGCTCTAAACACCTTGCATTAGACAAACGCTGCGGTCAAAAACATAAAAAGATAAAAGGAAAATCATCAAAAACGTGCTGTCTGAGACGTGAACAGATTTTTAACATTTTAAGCCACAACTTCGGTGACCTGAGGCACAGAGTCAATGGCAGGGCGGCGCAAGATACCTCCAGTAACCGGGAGCTGGGAGCTGGTACCGCTGAGGTCAGCATCAACTTCGCGTGCGCACTGGCGGCCCTCGTTAATACCCCAGACAATCAGGGACTGTCCACGGCGGCAGTCACCTGCGGCATAAACACCAGGGATGTTGGTAGAGTAACGACCAGGGGCGGTCTTAACGTTCTTACGAGGGTCGCGCTCGATCTCATCACCAAGGAGACGATCCTCGGGACCCAGGAAGCCCATAGACAAAAGGACCAGGTCGGCAGGGAAGAACTGCTCACTGCCCTCGACAGTCTTCATATCCCAACCACCGGTGGAGCTCTTAGTCCATTCAACACGGACAGTGTTGATACCTTTGACGCGGCCACTGCCGTCATCGACGAACTCGGTCGACATGACACAGTACTCGCGGGGGTCCTTACCCATGTGGGTCTTGACCTCGGAGTGGCCATAATCAACACGGTAGATGCGAGGCCACTGGGGCCAGGGGTTGTCATTGGCGCGCTCCGGGGGAGGCTGGGGCAGGAGCTCGAAGTTAGTGACCGACTTGGCTCCGTGGCGCACAGAGGTACCAATGCAGTCGTTACCGGTGTCACCTCCTCCAATGACAACGACGTGCTTGTCCTTGGCAGATATGTACTCGCCGTCGGCAAGTTCAGAGTCCAACAGGGACTTTGTGTTCTTGTGCAAGAATTGCATGGCGAAGTGGACTCCGTCCAGTTCACGGCCAGTAACCTTGAGGTCACGGGCAACAGTAGCTCCAGTGGCGATGATGACGACGTCGTTACTGGAGCGGAGAGAAGACAGGGTCACCTGCTCATCGGGGCCAACAGCGGTGCTGGTGACGAACTTGATACCCTCCGCAGCCATCAGGTCGACACGGCGCTGGACAACCTTCTTGTCCAGCTTCATGTTCGGAATACCGTACATGAGTAGACCACCGACACGGTCAGCGCGCTCGTAGACGGTCACAGAGTGACCAGCGCGGTTCAGCTGATCAGCAGCGGCCATACCGGCGGGGCCGGATCCAATGATGGAGACGGTTTTGCCAGTGCGAACTTTAGGTGGCTTGGGGACCATCCAACCCATTTCAAAACCGCGGTCGATGATAGCACACTCGATGGACTTAATGCCAACGGGGTCCTCGTTGATACCCAGAACACAGGCACCCTCGCAGGGAGCAGGACAGACACGACCAGTAAACTCGGGGAAGTTGTTGGTCATAAGCAAGCGGTTAAGAGCGTCCTGCCACTGGTTCTGGAAAACCAACTCGTTCCACTTGGGAATGATGTTGGAGATAGGACAACCGGTGTCAGACTGGCAGAAGGGAACACCACAGTCCATGCAGCGAGCTGACTGGTACTTCAACTCGTCCTCGCTGAGACGGTTGGAAAGCTCAGCCCAGTCGCGGGTACGAGTAGCCGGGTTGCGGTACTTCTCACTGCGGCGAGTGTACTTCATGAAACCCCGAGTCTTGTCCAAGATCAAAGCTGAACGCTTCTTCTCAGTCTTGGAGTCGCTGATGCTGTCCTCAATATCTAGCATGTCTGCCTTCTTCTCCTCAATTTTGGGCTTAGCTACCTCAACCTTCGCAGCCTTCTTAGGGCTGCCAAGATAGGGCAGAGAGATTTCGGCCTTCTTAGCGGCTGCGGCCTTGGCAGCCTCTTCCTCTACAACACGCTTGTAGTCGGTAGGCAGCACCTTGGCGAAGTGGGGGAGGGCCCGGTTAAAGTCGAGCAGGATACGAGCGGCCAGCTCAGAGCCGGTATAATGGTGGTGGTCCTCGATAAGACCGCGGACGTAGGCGATTTCAGCGGGATCCTCAATACCAGAAACCTCAACCATCTCCAGGTTAACCTTAGAGTGGAAGTTCTGAGCCATGTCCAGGACGTAGGCGATACCACCGGACATACCGGCAGCGAAGTTGCGGCCAGTAGCTCCAAGAATGAGGACACGACCACCAGTCATGTACTCACAACCATGGTCACCACAACCCTCGACAACAGCGGTGGCACCGGAGTTTCGGACAGCAAAACGCTCAGCAGCGACACCGCGGAAGTAGCATGCGCCACGAGTGGCACCGTAAAGACAGGTGTTGCCGACAATTACGTTGTCCTCGGCCTTGAATGCGGCGTTGCGGGGAGGGTATACAATCAGGCGACCACCGGACAGACCCTTACCGACGTAGTCGTTAGCATCACCCTCGAGCTCCAAGGTGACACCAGGGGCGAGGTAAGCACCGAAGGATTGACCAGCGGAACCCTTGATGTTGGCGTGAATGGTGTCTTGAGGGAGTCCGGCCTCTCCATAGCGTCGGCTAATCTGGTACGAAAGGGTAGCACCAAGACTGCGGTCGGTGTTGACAACGTCACACTCAATGCGGCAGGGAAGACCCTTCTCTAGGGCAAGCTCAGACTCGAAGATCAACTTGTTGTCAAGACGTGTGTGAAGGCGGTGGTCTTGCTTCCGAACGTTGTAGGTGGCAACTCCAGGACGGAGGGAATGGGCCGGGGTCAGAATCAGTGACAGATCCATGCGCTGTTGTTTCTGGTTGCGAATATCATCGCGAACCTTGAGAAGTTCAGCACGGCCAACCATCTCGTTGATAGTGCGAATACCCAGCTTGGCCATGATAGCACGCATCTCGTTGGCGACATAGTAAAAGAAGTTGATAACATGCTCCGGCTGGCCATTAAACTTCTTGCGCAATTCAGGGTCTTGTGTCGCGATACCGACTGGGCAAGTGTTCAGGTGACACTTTCTCATCATGATACATCCAAGGGCGATCAAGGGGGTGGTTGCGAAACCATACTCCTCGGCTCCGAGGAGACAGGCGATGGCGAGGTCACGGCCAGTACGAATCTGACCATCAGTCTGGACAACAACACGACCGCGCAGGTCGTTCAGCACAAGAGTCTGGTGGGTCTCAGCAAGACCAAGCTCCCAAGGAAGACCGGCATACTTGATACCAGTCCAGCGAGAAGCACCAGTACCACCATCGTGACCAGAGATCAAAATGTGGTCAGCCTTAGCTTTGGCAACACCAGAAGCGACAATACCAACACCGACCTCCGAAACAAGCTTGACAGAGACACGGGCGCGGGGGTTAGAGCACTTAAGATCGTAGATCAGTTGCTTCAAATCCTCAATCGAATAAATATCGTGGTGGGGAGGTGGGGAAATAAGACCGACTCCGGGGGTGGAATGACGAGTACGAGCGATGGGGCCGACAACCTTATGGCCGGGGAGCTCACCACCCTCACCGGGCTTAGCACCCTGTGCCATCTTAATTTGCAGTTCATCGGCATCGGCAAGGTAGTGAGAGGTAACACCGAAACGGCCGGAGGCAATCTGTTTAATGGCGGACCGCATGGTGTCACCGTTCTCCATGCGGTTGCTACGCTCTGGATCCTCACCACCCTCACCCGTGTTGGACTTACCGCCCAGACGATTCATGGCGATGGCCAGAGTCGAGTGCGATTCCATCGAGATAGAACCGTAAGACATGGCACCGGTCACAAAGCGACGCACGATCTCAGTCCATGGCTCAACCTGGTCGATCGGAATGGGAGTCCGCTGGTCATAGTCGAAATCAAGCATACCACGGAGGGTGCAGTTCTTAATCTGCTCATGAGCAGACTTGGCGTACGCCTCGTAAGACTTGTCATTCTTGGTACGAACGGCATCCTGAATGTTGGCGATGCTGGTGGGGTCGTTAATGTGAGCCTCACCACCGTCACGCCAGTGGTACTCGCCGGTCTCCGGGAGACCAGGGATCTGGACGATTTCACGGGATGGGTAGCCACGATCGTGGAAGGCGAAGGCATCTTGAGCAATTAATTCGAAAGTGATACCGCGAATGCGGCTTGCAGTACCGGCGAAGCAGCGGTCGATGACACTGTCATCGATACCGAGGGCCTCGAAGATTTGGGCACCCTTGTAAGACTGCAAAGTTGAAATACCCATCTTACTCATGACCTTGAGAATACCACCATCGCAAGAGGCCTTGTAGTTCTCGACCACCTTATCATCGGAGAGTTCCTTGCGAATAAGGTTCTCGCGGTTCATCTTGAGGATACACTCGAGAGCTAGGTAAGGATTGATTGCATCGGCACCGTATCCGAGAAGAACACAGTGGTGATGAACTTCACGAGCCTCGGCAGTCTCAACAACCAAGGCAGCAAATGACCGCCACTTGTTCCGTACCAAATGGTGGTGAACCATACCAGTGGCTAACAGAGCAGAGACGGGAACCCGGCTGGCGGAAGTAGCACGGTCAGACAGAATAATAACCTTGTCACCACTCTGAATAGCCTCAGTAGTAGCTTCGCAAATGAGATCCAACGCCTCGAGGTAGCCGGCAACGCCCTTGGCCTTTTCGAAGGTAATATCGATTGTGCGAACGGACCAATCTTTGTGGATCTTTTGCACGTTCTTGAGAGCGTTAAACTCGGGGATGCTCAAAATAGGGGAGGGTAAGAGCAAACGATGGCACTGAGATGCCTCCATCTCCAAAAGATTACCCTGGGGACCAACATAGCACTCCAATGACATAACAACGGCCTCTCGGATAGGGTCGATGGGCGGGTTAGTCACCTGGGCGAACAACTGACGGAAATACTCGTACAGCAGACGAGGCTGTTTGGACATGCAAGCCAATGGCGCATCGTTACCCATGGAACCAAGAGCTTCCTTAGAGTCGGCACCCATAGGGCCGAGTAGCAGGCTGACCTGCTCAAAGGAATAACCAAACGCACGAAGGCGAGGATCGTTTTGAACGGTGTTGGCGTCCAAGGCGAAGGTCAGATTCACGTTCTTATCGAGGAGAGCCTTGTTAATGGCGGGCAGCTTCAGGAGCTGCTTATCCAACCAACCGGCAAAGTCCTGACGCTTAGCAACAGTTTGCTTCAACTCGGCATCATCGATAATACGACCAGCAACGGTGTCGACAAGCAACATCTTACCGGGTTGCAGACGACCCTTCTGAACAACACGTTCTGGGTCAATCTCAATAGCACCGACTTCAGATGCACAGACGATCCGATCGTCATCCATGACATAGAAACGGCAAGGACGCAGACCGTTACGATCGAGATTCGCACCGCAGTAGCGGCCATCCGAGAATGTGAACAGAGCTGGTCCATCCCAGGGCTCCATCTGGCAAGCGGCCCACTCGTAGAATGCCGACTTGGCCGGGTCCATGGCCGGGTTATCTTGCCAGGCCTCTGGTATCATGATCATGACAGCCTCAGGTAGAGAGAGAACACCGTTGATCATGAGCAGCTCCAAAACATTATCGAAGGCGGCAGAATCGGAGCCATTCTCTTCAACAATTGGGTACAACTGGTCGAGCTCGTCGCCGAAGACTTCTGAGCGAAGAACACCCTCACGGGCACGCATCCAGTTCTTGTTTCCGCGCAATGTGTTGATCTCGCCGTTGTGAGCAGCCCATCGCAAGGGCTGAGCTCGGTCCCAGGAGGGGAATGTGTTGGTCGAGAATCGCGAGTGTACAAGAGCAAAGTGGCCCTCGTAATCGACGTTGACAAGATCGTGGTAATACTTGTACACTTGAACAGGAGAAAGCTGACCTTTGTAAATGATGTTACGGTTGCTAAGGGAACAAAGGTAGAACCAATTGGCGGATCCTAGGACATTGGTGGCGCGCTTCCGTAGAACGTAAAGCTGCAATTCGAAAGTTCTAGCATCAAACTCCTCAGTATCCGTGACTTTGGGTTTATCACCCTCTCCATATGCAGACTGCAAGACCACAAAAGGCTGCAAAATGACAGGCTCACGCGAAAGCGCAGCCGGACCTAAAATGGTCGAGTCGTGGGGAACTTCACGCCACCCCAGAACGCGGAGACCAAGCTGGCTTGCCAGTTCCTCCAAGTCCGTCTTGGACTGTTGGAGTGTCGCCTCGTCAGGCTTGAAGAACAAATTTCCGACAGCGTACTGACCCAGTGGAGGGAGCTCCACGCCCTGCTCTCGGGCAAAGTTCTTTACAAAGAAATTGTGGGGAATGCTAGTCATTACACCAGCACCGTCACCGTCTCGGGAGTCAGAACCCACGGCTCCACGGTGGGTCATGTTGCAGAGCAAATCGCGAGCTATAAGAGAGTTCAATTGTCAGCGTGTATCTACTCATAATTTGGATCTGGAGGATCTACCATCGCTGACGATCTTGTGACTTGGCACGCCCTTGATATGGCTAAATGATGGTTGTTAGCTCAATGGATTCAGAACAGACCCAATGGAAAGCTTACGCAGCGAATCCGACACCGCAAGAATCTTTTTCATTCTCGGGATCATAAAGACCCTGCCGCTCTGGCAGAGCACCGGCCCAGCCATGACCCTTCTTGGGCTGGTACTCCGAGTACTCTGCGGGTGCCTGGTCGTTATTCAATTCTTTACCATAGATGTCCTCAAGAGTAAGACCCATTCTTCCGCCGGGAACCGACAGAGAATGGACAGGTGGGATTTTGGAGGAATAAATCGCTTTTTTGAGGTACTCCGAATGGAGCTGTTAAATAGTCGATTGGAGTCGTGTCGTCACAATTCGCAATGCAGTGAGGGGAGTAAATCCTCTAGTGGAATAAGGAAGAAAATTGAGAAGGTGTAGAGGGGAGAGAGAGAGGGAGAGATAGGAAGGGAAGAGGGAAAAAATAAAGGAGGGGTGGATTGAGAAAAATAATAGTAGGCAGGCGAATACGGCGGAGCAAAGCAGGTCCGGGGATTTTACGCTGCGAGCAAAAACCCCAGTATTCCAGGAGAAAAATACAGTGTGGGGGGGGGGATCTTACGTCGTGGCAAAAATAGAAGGATGAAATAGATGAGTAGTGTATTACATGCAATCTAGTAACTCGTGGTATTTTTGAGGAGAACCTCTTCCGGAAACAGAAAACAGTTACTCCGTAAAGGAAGGGGGTAATAGGTCATCAAGTGGGGAATATTAAGTGGAGACTGGAGATTGATTTCAGATGAACGTTTTGGATGAAGATAGAGGCGCTGATTCTGACCAATGAGTATAGTTGGCTTTATAACGCTGGTCATTGATTTACTATCAGAGTATAGTAATAGGTTTCTATTTATTGTATCATATACACACATGTACAAATTTAAATACTACAGTATACTCCTTTTCTGCTTCTTGCTTCTATGCACTCGAGTTCCCTCTACATGAAACAGTAATAAGAAAAATCAAATACTTACCCCAAGTACTAAACAGGCATCATCGCGGGTGGTGGGCCATGCAGCGGACACTATTACAAAATAGACTATTACTATTGGTCTATAGCCGCAAACAGACATGGGATTCACCCGAAAAGCCCCTCTTTTTGGAGTCGCTAATGTCTGCTAATGCCACCTATTGTCCCGAGATGTTAAGTGGGTCGGATTTCAATGCTTAAGAGGAGCCGCTCTGCAGGATAGGAGAAACTATCGTAAAGAATACTTGGATGTATTCAGGGAAGAGTATTCAATTTCATCAAGTCAAGATATGATTCATTGGTCAGGCAAAGTTTGCCTCTTTTCTCCACATTCATCAGGCATCAATACCGTTACGATACTCCGTATTGTTCATGTTCATTCCGACAACGGAAGCTATCCATATTCCATACATCCCCTCCAATCATACTCGATCCTTGTTAGTTCCCCGATTTCGGATTCTTCCCTACTCCCTCGTAGCCTCGTACTCCATTATCTAGCTGCAGTGCCAGCTTGCCATATTCCAATTGATTATTCATTGGTCGCGTGTTCCGGCCCCTCTTTTATCCCACGTTGTAGTATAGAATGTGGAGTTGAAGTGTGGAATGATATTCGGAATTAATCTGGAATTACTACTTTGTACTCCGTACATCCAATCTACACTCTCTCCGTACGGGATATCCACCTACTCGGTATATTCTTGGTTGAAGAGGCTAAATGATATGCGGAGTCCTCTTGATGTAAGCCGGAAGGATGGTCTCCGGTCCACGTGAAAGAGAGTTTGGCTGATAAGCTTTTGATAGTCAATTTCATTGTACTTAATTACTCCATTTCTCATCGTAATGCATATCAGTTATATCTTCTATCGAGTCTGACTTACCCCGCCTAGCACATTGGCAAAACATCCACCAACTACGGAGTACCTAACATTTAATACTGACGATCCATTGAAACACATCCAAGATCTTTCATTACTATTCTCCTCTTTCCCCTTTATACATGTACTCTTACTCCATGAATCTGCGGGATCCACAGAGCGGGGGTCACATGATCTTCAACATCCCTATCCAATGAAACTCAATCCTAGGAATCTCATCAACCCGGATTTTCCCGATCACCTCCTGCCCAGCTTTCCTTGTCCGCTTTCGGTTCACCGGCGTAACTCCTTGAAAACAGGATACTGACAACGGGTTCTTTCGGACTGACCTGTTCCCTTTCTTTACGGCCGAACTTCGGTTTATCACTTGCACTACTCGTCGTAAGGAGTAATCTCCACCCGCACATGGTGTGACAAGTATTTGCCGTCGAACTTCGAGCTTATATCCGTTTTGAGAATGGATACTCACAAGGAATTCTTACCGAAACATGGATTGGTTAAGTTCATCCCACCTATTGTGCGGACTAGAAGTAGTACTACCAAGAAACTCAATCTGCCTCCTCACCTAGGTAATCTGATCTACATCTCGGCATTCTTGGCTTAAACCCAATATGAGTATTTTGCATGTTGCTCTTTGTGACCTGTGCGGAGTACTCATGCACATTTGCCAATGCATATGTACTCCGTACTGTACTTCCCTCTATAACATAGACGCTAAGCCAAGAAGGGACGGCACTAAACTAAAACTAGAATTTATACAAATCATATATGCGCCGCTAGGAGAACAGGGCAGCACTTCTGGGCAGGGATGTAGCGGGAGAAGAGCCATGATTTTAGTGGAGGGAAAAGTAATTGGCAATCAAAAGAGCTTTTCTAGTTCGATGATGTGTTCTTCTTACCTGGGCTTCAGCATAGCCAATAAAAGCTTTACATAACTTTGGAATAGAGTACTACCATCACCTATACTCAATACTTCTTGACACTCACTTTGTGTAGAGCAAAAGATAATTTCAAAACACAAAAATATACAACAGTCAGGATTCGTATGTTATCACTCACAATTACTGACTGACTGGCGTGTGGCTTTCCGCAGATAATAAATAGTCCAGTAAGTGTCTCTGAGCGAGAAATAGCTAGGCGGCATTTCCTCAGGTCTTTTTTATCAGGTATCAGGTATTGATAGTATGAAATAAAAATTGGTATCATATATTCAACCAAAATTAGTCAGTCGTGGACTGAAAGTCCAGGGATATCTACCACCATACCATTACCCCATAGTACCATGTTTCCTTCCGCACACAATGCAGATATTATCAATTAGCTGGAAACCATGTTGGCAATTGTCGGAGTACCCCAAAGAAGTTTTGTGTCAGTTATCATAGGCATATATCACTCACGTAGAGCTAAAGTCAAGCTGCTCAAGAAGTGGTATATACAGTTTGGGAACCCTAGGTAGGTCTTACGGTCTTCAGCTCTCCGCCATACAGCTAACCTTGGAACATATATCTAACTCATATCAGAATGAAATATCCAATTTGTATCATCCAATAACACGAGTTACACGACTAAAATCAATCAGCATTCCACTCAGGCCAATATACCTAGGTACCTAGGTACTCACTTCCGACCTGACCAACACTCTTTCCTCTTCACAAATCATCTCCTTCCAAAGTTTACGAGTAGGTAACTCAATATTGCCGGATAAAACCGCAGCGAGATGAATCCATGACCTAGTTGATATGCTAAGACTCGATTTAAATATGCTACGACCGCTCATACAAAATACGAGGCTCACCAGCAGAGTTTCTATTCTACAATGGTATTGAATTTGAACTTTGAAGCGACAAACGTTGAAGTAGGTTTCATATGTTATATGATATCTAGATACAAATTAAAAGATTCAACATCAAAGTCTAGGATGGTTGCTTCCACTTTCATTCCTAACTACCTAGGTAGCCAATAGGTTAATTGAATATGGATAAGGTTATTTTGTGTCACATCAATTTATCTCAAAACTTATCATCTTAACAAGTTTGGGTCTTCTAATTTCCTACCAAGATTTATACATCGCTGGTCTTAAGAGAGTTCAGTAACTATCGATAACTACTGTTTATTCATCACGGCGCCATGTTGCCCTCATCTTTCGCTAGTTCCTCTAAATTGGTCGATTACTTAAGTATCTCGTAGGCTACAATGATCACAATCAAAAACATAATGAAGATCAAAAAGTTGTTGACTTTGGCACAAAGGATAGAGGTATTTAGTAATAAACGATGTATAAAATCCCCGCAATTCAGCCAATGGTGGATCCCGCAACTTTTTTGTCCGCGTTTATCTTGACCTTCACCTTCAACTTCAAAGGACCCATCTCAATCCTCCTCCCACCTCATAATAATAATAATATTAATTCACTATTAATACCTGATACAAGATTTCATTTATGAGCAGCTGATCAAAGTTGCAAGATCTGCCTCGATCATTGTCCCCTACCGAAGCATCAAGCATCGCACCTGCCTTCACATCATCGCGTCTTATCTCCACGCGACATTCATGACTTACCCCATCACCTCATCATCTCTTTCATCCGCACATCCATTTTCATTTTACCTCGTCACGAATCAGCTTATCGTACTCGATAGTACTCGATAATACACTAGCGCGACCATGTGGCTCGTTCCATCTATCGGCCCCGATGTGAGTTCCTCTCAGCAGTGAAACACAAAGTAATGATCTAACAATAACAGCTTGCCGCGCTCTATTTTGGAGATGAATCCACACAATCCAACTCCAGCCCATCTCGCCGCAATGGTGATAGGAAACCCATCTACCGTGGCTTCGCGCCCCCACGCAGAGATGAAGTCGCCGAATGCGACGAATTGGAACACTCTATTCGCATTGCAAAACATAACATTGCCACCTTTGGCTACACGTGGATCGTCCCGGCTGGATGTACTAAAACCATGCAGCAATTAAAGGAGGAAGAGGTTGAGCGCGAAGAGGCCATGCTAGCCGCCCAGGCTGAAATGAATGCTCAAAATATGATGGAGGATGCTGAAGGCATGGAAGGTGAAGAGGATGAGATTATGGAGCGTGATCTGGATGAGGAAATCCCTGATGCTGATGTGGAAGGCCTTATCGAAGATGGCGAGGAAGGCCTTGAAGAGGAGGACGACGAGGGTTACATGGAGCGTGACCTGGATGATGATTTCCCCGAGGGATATGCTGGAGACGAGTACGAGGAAAGTGGTATCTATGACGAGGAGTACAACTTCGATGACCAGCCTGATCTGGATGCTGAGATCCCTGAAGATACTGCCGAGTTAATGAGTGAAGGCATGAGCCAGGACCTGGATGCTGATATCTCTGACGCTAGCGATGGCTTGGAGCAGGAGGGTGAATGGCAACATACCGATACGGAGGATGAGTTTGACGAGAGCGTGGTCAATGTAGAGGCCGTCCGTGCCCACTTCAGAACCAGTACTCCCAATAGCCGTGGTCCACTGTCTACACCCCCTGTTCGCGAGGAGACAGAAGCCCAGCGACGCTTCCTGCAGCGCTGGAGTGGTGGAGGTGACACCACCATCGATTCTAGTCTGCTTTATGATGACGATAACTTGCGTGCCTCGGTCACCAGCCAGGGCAGTCAGCGCAGTCTACGCAGCCCACGGAGCCCACGCAGTCCACAAACTCAAGTCAGTCCACAACCTCAACGCAGCCCCCATAGCCCACGCAATGGATTCAGTCGTCGATTCCCCCGACATGTGGGTGGGCCGAGAGATAGTCTTACTTGATGGCCAGTACAGTTCATGTAAAAGTCGTGGGCTGGGTAGATGAACTGAGAGCTAGCCTTTGAGTCCCTACGCTAATTGGCATTTATAACCTCATCGTCAGCGTCATGGCCAAAAGCTTGATCTTTGAAACTAGCCATTAATTTGATATCATGGCCTTGGATAACATCATGGAGACGATCAATGTAGATTACTCAGTCTGTATCAATAGCAGTAGACATTATCTACTTGAATCTATCAATGATCAAGTCCAACTAGCGATAGATATGACATATAAGTGAGCGAACTACTAAACCCTCAGAGAAATCATTTACAAAAGAAATGGCATCGAGCATCACGGTAGCAGAGGATTACCCCCAAAAAGTCCAAATCAAGCAAAACTCCAAGATATACATGCAGACGCTGTATAAAGTGATGAAAATTAAAAAGGAAGTTAAAAACATCAACTCCTAGTAATGAATGAAATCGCCGGCAAAGAATTAAGGAGATGGAAATCTGATCAGAATAACCAGACGTAGAAGAATAAAAGGAAGACGACGAAGAAGAATCCAAGCCATACCCTCCAGCCGACACCAGTGCGTTCGGCCATGCGGAGCATACGTTTCATGTTTCCGCGGAGTCGGACTCGAGTATTCTCGAATGAGCCCTCGAGGTCGTTCATATGTGTAGTATCCCGGATCTCGTCGCCGATGGCCATGGTGATCTAGAATGTATCATCATCAGTACCCATCAATTGCAATTGCGTTCATGCGCCCGCTTACATCTTTCAACATTTTTACTTTGGCCGTTATGCCTTCTACCTCTGTGTCATTCTGTGACTCGAGTGATGAGAGGACTGCATCGGAATAGTGGCCCCTAGAAGCGATTGATTGTTAGCATTGAACGATCAACATGACTCTCCGTAGCTTGAAGTCATTCCAAGCTTACCTTTTATCAGGATTTCCGCTCCGAAATGTCGTCCCTGCCGGATGACTGTTTCCATATCCATATCCATTACCCGCTGGGCTGGTGTAGCCTCCGTATCCATATCCGCCCACCGGAGCTGGGGATCTGCTAGCGGGTCGAGAGTCACCACCATATGAGTCGAAGAGGGAGTTGGATGAGCGGGGATCGCGCTGGTGTGGGAATCTGTTTGGATTATCAGTATCTTGCTTTGAGCGTAGATGGTTATTTGTCTTTTGGAAAGGAGGACTATACCGTGAAGACATGGTCCGTTTTGGGACTGGTTCAGGTGAACCGAGGTTGTGGAAGGTTTGTTAATTAATCGCGTATACTGTGGATTTAGTTCGCATTTGATAGACTTGGTGGCATTATGGGACTCTCATGACTAGAATCATTCACACGATTGGCGTCGTCAAGATGACCCTTATGATTGCGGCAAACCACAAATGTGACCAAAGCGGTTTTAGTACTTCGGGCCGCAGCAGCACGTGATAAGCTGATCTTTGTTTACAATTCAAAGATATTATTTGGAAGAATTACAATTTATAAATGTAGGTAGACCGACATCGACTAGATTTCAACGTCCGTTATCAATGTGAACGTAAAGCAACCTCAAGGTCACCAAGGTACAAAAACCAAGTCATCGCATATGCACGGTCTACCATGTCAAATAATACTTGGAGTTTAAGGTTCTAAGCAAGCAATCCAATTAAAAGCTTCGTAGATTCGTTTTCATTCTTGTTTTCTGCGCCGTTTCGCGCGGTAAGGATGTTGAACAAGACATCGTGACTCTACAACAGAGAACACAAAAGAAAAGAGAGAGAGAGAGAGAGAGAGAGAGAGAGAGAGAGCTCAAAGCGCCAATTTCAGTCCTTTCAGCCATTCCCAAAAACCCGGTCGTTGTCATGAAGATTGGATCAGGCGATTAACCGCGCATCTCATGGTCGTTATCGCCATCGACACCCTCGTAGTCGTCGTCTTCCTCCTCGTCTTCATCATCATTCATATTCTTGGCAACCTCGGCGTAGTTGATCTTTACGCCGCGAGTGCGTCGGCCGCCCTGGATGATGTTTGCCTGGTCGACAGGCTCAAGGTTGTTGTCCTCGTCATCATCCTCTGTTTGAATATTAGTTTGAGATTGTACGGAGTGCCAAATGCTTATCAGAAAAGGTCTACTCTTTCAATTCCTTTTCGTGGGCACTTTTGATTGGGGTTATCGAGGGGATTAAGTACCATTTTGCTAATAAAAGCGCAAAGGTTAGCATGTGGGGTTTCCGAGGTAAATTGGCCCTCAAAAGAAGAAATTTTGCGCAGTAGAGCTTACGAGTTCGGCCTCACTCTCAGAAGAACTGTCATCATCCATGCTCATGTCATGAGCAGTATCGGTAGCCTTGCCCTTACCCTTCTCAGCGAAGGCGGCATCGTTAGAGGCGGTGTTGGATGTGGCGTGGTCACCCATAATGAATAGTATTTGTATCGAATGACACGAGAAAATGATTATGTGGAGGGGTAGAGGGGTGGAAGGAGTGGGAGGGGAGCGTGTTTGTAGAGGGGAAGAGCAAAGTAGACGGACAAAGTAAGGTGTAGCTTCCACCAAAACAACAAAAAGTAAGGGACGTTGCCTAGAGATCCCATAATGTGATTCGCCACAATTAATAGTGGATCCCGATGACAAACCTTGCCTTGGATCAATCGATTCTATATTGTTGTCTCTTCTGTCTTGCTATTGCTTCTATTCTTCATTGGAGTTCATTTGCTTGTACTTTATTATAATATAAGTCAAAGCTATAATTCTAAAATACAACTTTTATCGGCTGGACAGATCAATTATCCAATGCAAAGCACCGCTCCACCGAGTCCGAATTATTTCCCCACCACTTGGGCATTGAGATCTCCTTGCCAGCTCCAAAGCACAAGAATATGAGCAACATGGCCAAGTTGAAGCCAGCATCAAAGGCAGCAGCAATAATGTAGTTGTAGCGCTTCCATACTTCAAAGTGGTGTCGATACGCCCAATGCATCACAATGTAACCACCGATGATGGCCGAAGTATAGCCAGTACTGATGTTACCATAGAACATGGCTAGGCCTCCAAAGAAGATACTTACATTCCACAGATCAATTCGTAATTTGGGGCAGAACCGATGGAACATAAACAGTATAGGTGGGATGACAGCACCCACTAGGAAAGCCCATGGGAGGGGCTTCATCTCGTGCTCTTCAAATAATTTCTTTGGACCAAGAATCGCATACTGGATACCCATTGTGTTGGAGCTGCGCAAGCTCTGACCGGTCCATTGGTCAAGAGGGTCGGTTTTCTTTCCAGTCAAGTAGTCACCCTTGGTGTCCATGACCCATCGCATAACAGCATAGTTGATGGGAACGCCCATTAGAGTGCCCCAGATCTGAGAAAAGAAGATATCGCGCGGTGGTACATGCATATAGTGCCCAATCTTTTGGTCTTGCAGCATATACTGGGCACGGTACCATGCATCGCCAGCAATGGCGCCATAGACCGAGGGACCGCATGGGTGTTGGTGGTTTTGGCCAGCCTTTGTATGCACCATATATCCGTACATCAGCTCATTGAAAGAACCTGTCTCAAGCTGGTAGTTGGAGATGGCGTAGAGCCAGGCAAATGGGATAACGAAGACGGCAGCACTGGCAACTGCCACAAACAAGGTCCATATCGGGATGAAGAGGTATCCACACGCGATAACCACGATCAGAATAACGAATGCCACCAGGAATAGAGTTCCATACCACCACATTGGGATCTCCTTATATTGTCTCTGGATGACGTTTAGACGATCATGGTACTGCCAGTGGATGCCTTTGTCACTCTTAGTCCTATTTTCCGGTTGAGATCCATCTTTAGGTTGAAAAATCTTCACTAGGTTGTTTTTCACTTGTACATAGCCAAACGTGGCAATCCAGGTAATTGCAGCTGGAAGCTTAGCGTAGTCGAAGAAAGTCGCCCACACATTCTGCAATCCCATGTACATTGGTCCATAAGTCTCATAGGCAGTCTGGTTGAGATGATAATCCGAAGTAAGCACATCCGTTGTCGGATACTTCGTACCATTCGCCAGGAATAGACTGTTAGACATGAGGCCATGCTTGTAAGACCCAAGATTTCCCCATTTGGCGGCAGGTAGAAGAACCCAGCAGTTAAATACAAAGGCTAGGAACAGAATGACTTGTGTCCAGAAAGGTGTGAGCATGATAGATGATCCATTCCAGTTGACGTTTGACCAATCTAACGAGAGATTCAGGAATCCCATACCTCCCAGTCCGGAGCCTATGAAGTTGGCGACTTTGTTTTGTGGCGCAACCCAGCAAAGAAAAGCAAGTGATGAGAGAAAGGGAAAGACATACTCTGGTAGAAACTGCCAGAGTGTCATGCCTAGAAGGCAAAAGAAGAAAATCTTCATCTGACGGCGAGCGAGAGTCGAGGATGAGTCTGCTTTGCGGAAGGTCTCGAACAGATTGGTTTGCATCAATGCCTGTGGCCAGACATACGACGGATCTGGCAGCAGAATGTTACGTGCGAGGGCGGCAAGAGCGTATCCAATCCACACAATGGCCCACATGAAGAAGATCGCAACAGCTGGCTCGATTTTCGTTCCATACCAGAGCTCTGCCAGAACAATCGGGGTATACCCCATGTTGTAGGTTGCTCCAGAGGCTGCTGTTACAGTGACCAATACGTGCTCCTTGATACTCCATGGGCCTGGATTGAGGCTAAAACACCATCTCGTACCGGGAAATCCGATGTTCCATGCAGGAAGAGTATTGGCGAGGAAGTGGCCTGCGTAGTGGCAGGCGATCTGGACGAAGAATACGGAGTATGGGGCTTCGGTTGTACGGAAATGGCTCATCTGTGACAAGAATGCACCAGGAATAACGAAGATTGCCGACAGCACAAAGTATCGAAAGGAGATGGTGGGCAGCGTAGGGTCATCTTCCATATTGATCATTTGACGCACTTGGAGAGGCAAAGCAGCAATTTCAGGGTCATCATGACTTTCCTGCTCAATTGCAGCGGTTTCACTAAAAGCCTCTGTTTTTTCCTCGTCTGATATGACTGTTTCTTTCAACGCTGGTTTGGGGGGTATCTCGACGTCATTTTCTACTGTCACGGAAGACCTCGTCTCAGAGGCAGTTTCAGCCTGAAATTTCTGGTGCCGCTTGAATAAACCCAGGCGAGCCATCTTGACAAGATAATCTGAGCGGGCTCCCTTACAGATGGGTAATATTAAAAATGATCAATAGGTGACCAAGAATGCACGCATGGACAGGAATGAAATTGCAAAGTAATTTGACAGATATCTCGTAGAGATTTCACTCTACCTTAATATGTACGTACAAATCAATTTTGACTTCATGTCGACGGTCTACTCTCTTCTTTTGACCGGTCCACTCCACAGTCCACGTAGTCTGGTCGCACGCCATATCCTTAAACTTAGAAGTATGATCAGCCAACTTCGATCGAGCCAATTATAATATTTAGCTGGTAAGAACAGTGCACTGAGAGCTGACGTTAAAGCCGTCAAGTTACATCGTGGATCACTTTCAAAAAAATAATCAAACTCAGAGTGGTTAGGGCTAAGCTAGCGTGGATGGCGTAATTCGGTATATAAACTCAATTTGGCAGGGTTTGACTAATTTGAACCTCAGAATCCGTTATTATTAGTTAGAATAATTAGATTGTTCTTATAGCAACAGCTGGAAATCATGCTATGATTTTGACGAGTTCTTGAGAATTTAATTTCTTGGATACTGGGATCTGTTGGTAGGAGTATTCTGTCGTTGAAACTAATATACCTAGGTAAATCAACATTTGAACTTATATCCTCAATACCTCGATGTATTTCAGAGTGTCAGACCCTTGGACCGGCCTGGAACTACAAAGTAATACCACTGGATGGATTCTGACTCTTACAAATAGAAGTAAAACCCACTTCCAATGTTGAAATAAATGAATTTTCAAACATATTTCTTTGTTACAGTAAAGTGAAATGAAATAGGAAATAAATGAAAGAAGAGAGGCATCAAAAGGAGGCACAAAAGTACCTGATTTTTTACTCTGTAGCTACTTTGTTGCTCAGAGAAGGAGGTATATTTTAGGTTATGGCAGGAGTAAACAACTGAAGGCCAAGCTGGACCAGACCTGGCTAGGGCTGAATATATTGACACCTTATATTCCAGGCCCAAGACCTCATGCCTTGCTAGTAAGGCGCTATGCTGACTCATGAAGATGACTCATCTTCTGGAAAGTCCGGAAACCAAATTAGTTCACTATGAATTCATGATGACGCAGTCTCTGATTACAATACCAATACACTTTTGAAACTATTACTTCTTACCAAATATATCATTACATACCCCCGCAATACAGTGCACAGCTGGAATTAATACCACACAGATTACATCATACATACCCCACTATCAGAAAAAAAAAGAATCTCTAAGAACATTAAATCAGCCCACTAAACAAGGAATTACAAGGAATTCAAGAAATGAATGAGAAGATAGATTGTAGAACATGTTTATCCGCTATTAGACCCATCTGGAACCATGAAGACACCCCTCGAAGTCACTTTTCAAGGCCGTTGATGGGGCGTGGAAGCCTATGGATGGTCATAGAATCTGATGGATAACTATGGAATTCCCCCTACTAGAAGCTTCTGGAGAACACACCGCCCAGTATATTAGCAGCTTTTTCACCCAACCTTCCTTCCATTTTCCACTTTACTTTTACATCTACTATAATCCCTCTCTCTCCATTCCATAAAACTACCTCGAGGAATCCCCCTTTATCCTCTCTCCCTCACGAATTCCTTTTTCATTTCTTCACGACTACACACATACTTACACAATGGCTCCCGCTGTCGGTATTGATCTGGGTACCACCTACTCCTGTGTGGGTGTGTTCCGTGATGACCGTATTGAGATCATCGCCAACGACCAGGGTAACCGCACTACTCCCTCATTCGTTGCCTTCACCGATTCCGAGCGTCTCATCGGTGATGCCGCCAAGAACCAGGTCGCCATGAACCCTCACAACACTGTCTTCGATGCCAAGCGTCTCATTGGTCGTCGTTTCCAAGACGCTGAGGTCCAGGCTGATATGAAGCACTGGCCTTTCAAGATCGTTGACAAGGACACCAAGCCTATCATCGAGGTTGAGTTCAAGGGCGAGGCCAAGCAGTTCACTCCTGAGGAAATCTCCTCTATGATCCTTACCAAGATGCGTGAGACCGCTGAGGCATACCTCGGTGGCACCGTCAACAACGCTGTCATCACTGTCCCCGCTTACTTCAACGACTCCCAGCGTCAGGCTACCAAGGATGCCGGTCTCATCGCTGGTCTCAACGTCCTCCGTATCATTAACGAGCCTACCGCTGCTGCCATTGCCTACGGTCTTGACAAGAAGCAGGAGGGTGAGCGTAACGTTCTGATCTTCGATCTTGGTGGTGGTACTTTCGATGTTTCTCTCCTTACCATTGAGGAGGGTATCTTCGAGGTCAAGTCCACTGCCGGTGACACTCACTTGGGTGGTGAGGACTTCGACAACCGTCTCGTTAACCACTTCGTCTCCGAGTTCAAGCGCAAGCACAAGAAGGACTTGACCACCAACGCCCGTGCCCTGCGTCGTCTCCGCACTGCTTGCGAGCGTGCTAAGCGTACCCTGTCTTCTGCTGCTCAGACCTCCATTGAGATTGACTCTCTCTTCGAGGGTGTTGACTTCTACACCTCCATTACCCGTGCTCGTTTCGAGGAGCTCTGCCAGGACCTCTTCCGCTCCACCATGGAGCCCGTTGAGCGTGTCATCCGTGACGCCAAGATCGACAAGTCTTCCGTCCACGAAATCGTCCTTGTCGGTGGTTCTACCCGTATCCCCAAGATCCAGAAGCTTGTCTCCGACTTCTTCAACAAGGAGGCCAACAAGTCCATCAACCCCGATGAGGCCGTTGCCTACGGTGCCGCCGTCCAGGCCGCTATCCTCTCCGGTGACACCTCCTCCAAGTCCACCAACGAGATCCTCCTGCTCGATGTTGCCCCTCTTTCCCTCGGTATCGAGACCGCTGGTGGTGTCATGACTGCCCTTATCAAGCGCAACACCACCATCCCCACCAAGAAGTCCGAGACCTTCTCTACCTACTCCGACAACCAACCTGGTGTCCTGATCCAGGTCTTCGAGGGTGAGCGTGCTCGCACCAAGGATAACAACTTGCTCGGCAAGTTCGAGCTGACTGGTATCCCCCCTGCCCCCCGTGGTGTTCCCCAGATTGAGGTCACCTTCGATCTTGATGCCAACGGTATCATGAATGTTTCCGCCGTTGAGAAGGGTACCGGCAAGTCCAGCAAGATCACAATCACCAACGACAAGGGCCGCCTGTCCAAGGAGGAGATCGAGCGCATGCTGTCCGAGGCTGAGAAGTACAAGGCCGAGGATGAGGAGGAGGCTGCCCGCATCCAGGCCAAGAACGGTCTTGAGTCCTACGCCTACTCCCTCAAGAACACCTTGAGCGAGGGCAAGCTCACCATCAGCGAGGATGACAAGAAGAAGATCGAGGACAAGGTCAACGAGGTTATCGGCTGGCTCGACAGCAACCAGACCGCTGAAAAGGATGAGTACGAGTCCCACCAGAAGGAGCTCGAGGGTATTGCCAACCCCATCATCTCCGCTGCCTACGGTGGTGCTGCTCCTCCTGGTGCCGCCCCCGGTGGTGCCACTCACACCGCTGACGAGGTTGAGGAGAAGCCCGAGGAGCTTGACTAAGCGTATCGCTTCTTCTCTTTCTTCTAGCTTGACCCTGTTTGCTTTTTCTTTCAATTCCCACATATTTTCTTTACGTTTTCTTTAACGACTTATGGGACCTCGAGTTTTGTTTCTTTTTGCGCACGATTGCATAGATCAATCGCTGGGATACAAAAATCCTAGCCAATTCAAATCAAAAGATTTTAATTACTCTCTTCCATTAGTAAACAGTACGAAAGTAAGAATTAACGTAGGTCATCATATTCAACTTGAAATAAGTAAGCCATAGTAAGCCCAGGTTTGATCGAAGAGTTTTCTAGAAGTTTCAAACCTTGGAATTATACGCACTGCATTGTGCAGGTATTCTGAAGGAATAGACCTAGCTGTGACATATCACAATTACTGAAACCTGCACTACAAGGCTAGATATAGGAAGGTTCTGATTTTAATATATTTGTCCTCATTGGTATTGAGCTGATTGTATGTAACCACTTCAGGATCCAAGTTGAGTAAACAATCCTCGCAGCTACATCATCTCGGTCATAAGAAAGCCCAATTTGCGGAGAAAATCAGAAATTCGATGGAGGTGATGCTGAAGCTTCATAGGTTGTCCCATCCCGAATTCAATGAGAGAAATAGAGACGATGGACATCGCGACAAACGGTGTTTGAGAGTGTCATGAGTTCGTCTGGCTCCTTCCACTTCTCAATGGTGGGAACAAAGCCTCCTTCCGTGTTTGTTTCGGAGATGATGCACTTATGAAGTCCTTCGAGGTTCAAAACGAGCTCAAAGAGAATTGAGCGAGTAGAGCGAGTATGATCTCAACCTCTCATTTAAAGCTGAAGTCGAAATCACCTGAGTAGCATTAACTTAAAATTCCCACTCAAATTTGTCCAGGTGATAGGATTGTTTTGATTTGTCTTTGACAAATTAGATATCAGTTATAGCTCACTGAATGATGAAATATTGAAAGGTATTTTGCGTCCATTTCATAACTCGATAATCTAGTTTTCCTCCCGAGGTCTGCTGAAAGAGACATAAGAGGACAATTTGCTCTTCAGCAATCCTATGAACGGACACATTGAATTACATCCTATTATAGAGGGCAGGAGGAAGTGGTTTTCTTGTTTCGGTGTGGTGTGCTCATATAGTCTTTTGATGCTCGTCTTCCGCGGGAGGTTGGTTGTGGTTGGTATATCAAAAAGTTCAAGTCTCCTGTAATTGTCCATGGTTCGTAATGATATTTGGTATTTTTGTGCAGCTCAATGAAAGCAGACATGTAATCCCAAGGAGCTGATTTCTCTCAAATAACCTGATGAGGTTCTCCTCGGGGTAGTCGTAATACACTCAGACATTAAGTATGCCACTTAATGAAAACTCCAAACCCCAGAAGTTCAATCCAATAGAAACAAAATATGTGCATCTGCCCTGAGGCACTCTCATAGCTTCAAAGCTTTCCATTAGAATATTCAAAGATGTTCGAAATCGCCATTCCACCACCGTTGTAGCCGTCGCTGGCCAACCTCCGCAACAGTTCCGTATCCGATTTCTGAGGCCTTCGCTGGTGTCTTCTCGCCTATGTCACGGCGGATACGAGTCATCGATGCAGCCACACCTATTGCAAGGGCGAAGAGGGGGTCCCCGAGCCTAAAGATTGTAATTTGTTAGCTTGGGGGGTGTAAGTAAAACGGGTGCGCTGGAATTCGATTGAGTGAACCCAGCTCGGGATTCAAGGGATTACGTGTGGAGGGCTGTAAATGAGCTATAAACATACTTCGATATGAGGTAGACAGTCATTGTGGATACCTAGGCTTCTTGGGTTTAATCGAGAGAAGGAATACCATCGTCGAGATGCTACAATGATTGCCGTTGATCACGTGATCAATATTAATTATAAGGATCAAGAGTTCATGGACTTTTCAAATACAAATAGACTGATGATGACTTTACAATGTCTCTGCAAATTTGTCTTATTGATAAGGTCTCATTTGATTTGATGTCGATGGTTAGTCAGGTTAATTAGTGTGTTACGAGACCAATACATTTAGGACTGGACTATTCTGACACCCAACTACCTGATTTCTAAGGTTTCAACTCCACTTTCCCTACCGCTTTATTTACCGCTTGACCGCCTTTATTAGTAATATTTGAACCAAGTTCTCCAAGCGTATACTTATACCGTAATAGGTAGGATTAAGTATGCAAACCAGAATTTAAAACAAACTAAATACAGCAAATAATACAGGTGTAAATATGCGACCGTACAGGAGGGAAGGGAGTTGATAAAATGCGACCGAAAAACTGGCCAGTTTTTCGGCTGAATAGTTATTTCATAATACTGGCAGAAATATTGGCAGAAAAATGGATGCCTGAATTTGTAAGCAGTAGGAGTCAGATTAGGGGATTGGGAGTCAGAATAGTCTTCTACATTTAAACTTGAATTTCCTCATTTCTTTTAAAGTAAATCCCAAACGAGCCGCCATCCTAGAACACCATAGTAAACTCGAGAAAATTGAACATCATATTTCAACAACCACCATTTGAAATGATTTCAAATCTTGAATTCGGATAATTTGTAGTTAGTTAAATAAATATATAGAAAGAAGGATTAGGAAATGATCGAGTAGAGTGTACTTAAAGCTAAAATAGATAAATTACACCGTAATCTATAATACAACCATCATATATTTACTTGTTTTAGTTAAAATGAACTGATTCTTTGTGAATACTCTTGTCGTTATTCCTCACTGAATATTTAGATCATATCAGGGTTATGGTTGTTGAGATGTGATATTCAATTTTTTTGAGTTTACTATGGTGATCTGGGGTGGCGGCCTCGGCTGTAGTCTCGGCTCGTTTGGATTTACTTTATAGAAAGAAGGATTAGGAAATGATCGAGTAAATAGAGTGTATACTTAAAGCTAAAATAGATAAATTACACCGTAATCTATAGTACCACCATCATATATTTATTTAATTTAGTTAAAATGAACTGTTTCATGAACACTTTTATCGTTATTCCTCACTGAACATTTATATCAGGGTTATAGTTGTTGAGATGTGATGTTCAATTTTTTTGAGTTTACTATGCTGATCTGGGGTGGCGGCTCGGCTGTAGTGGCGGCTCGTTTGGGATTAACTTTACGGGTCTAAATTGGGCCTAGCGCCAAGCCCGTGCTCAGATAAAATTTACCGAAAGGGCGAGTTCTTAACTTCATCGCTTCATTTAATCCAATTCAATTCCTGTTTAAAAATGTCTCCCACTATCGCTCAAACCGGTGCTGGCACCGTCAAGAAGGAGTCTGCCACTGCTCGTCTCCTTGGCTCTGGTATGTTACAATATGTCCGCGACTCGAATCGTATGAGGGACCTTGCTAACTTCTTTGTAGGCTGTGCTGGTATAGCCGAGTTGATGATCTTTCACCCTGTGGGACTCAATTACCCCTGTTTCTCTATACAGAATCTAACATAATATCCGCAGGTGGACACCACAGCGAAGCGGTTGATGAGCAACCAGACCAGGGTGAGATTGGACTTGACTTATGAAGGCTCGTGAGACATCAATCACTAATTCTAAGCCCATGTAGATCAGTACATCCGCTGAATTGAAGAAAGTCGTCTTCCGGGAGCATGCTGATGCGCCCATCGGCAAAAAGTTCACCTCACTCTTCCCCGGTCTGGGATACGCTGCTGGTTACAAGGTAAGCCATACCAAACGACACCCTTGAAAGATTAAAACACCCTAACACTTCCTCGAACAGGTCCTCCAGCGTATTTACAAATATGGTGGTCAGCCCTTTGCGCGTGATTACCTTTCCCAGCACTACGGCTCCGACTTCGACAATACCTTCGGAAAGGGAACTGGCAAGGCCATTATGCATGCAACTGCTGGAAGGTGAGAGAAAGAACAACTATTGAATTGGAAACGAAGAACATCCAGCGACTGACCTTCCGACAGTTTGATCGGTATTGGAGAGATTGTCCTGCTCCCGCTGGACGTCCTGAAGATTAAGCGTCAAACCAACCCCGAGGCCTTCCGTGGCCGTGGTCTGTTCAAGATTATTTCTGATGAGGGTATGGGTCTGTACCGTGGAGCCGGTTGGACTGCTGCCCGTAACGCCCCAGGATCCTTTGCGGTAAGTCTTCAATCTTGGGTTCTGGTCTGAGAAAGAACCACGCTTATAATTTATAGCTCTTCGGTGGATCTGCTTTCGCTAAGGAATATATCTACAACCTGTCCGACTACAACTCTGCCAGCTGGTCGCAAAACTTTGTTGCCTCCGTGTGCGGTGCTAGTGCTTCTTTGGTCGTGTCGGCTCCCCTGGATGTGATCAAGACCCGTATCCAGAACCGCAACTTCGAGAATCCCGAGTCTGGATTCCGGATTATTTCCAATATGCTCAAGAACGAGGGCCCCACCAGCTTCTTCAAGGGCTTGACCCCTAAGTTGCTGATGACTGGCCCCAAGTTGGTCTTCAGCTTCTGGTTGGCACAGACTTTGATTCCTGCCTTTGGCACGGTTGTATAGAGAACAGGAGTATTATGAGTTCTTTACAGTGGCGTTCAACAATCCCCCCTTCTGATTTTCTTTCTTCTCGTGTCTCTTTTAGTTTCTTGGCTTGTCTAGAGTACTTGTGTAATTTTTACCCTCACAGACAAGGTTAATTCTGACTAGGCTTAGTGCAACTATCTAAATAGTCGGAGATAGTAAATACCAGATAAGTAGTTCTACTATGAATACTGCAAGTTCTACTTATTATTAGTATGATTATTATTTTTATTATATTTTATATATAAATGATTACGGTGTTTCTTATTTCCTACGGTGAATAATTATAAGAAAGCCGGGCAAAGCCACGTTAATTTGATTTGAATCACAGCAAGCTAAGGCATCACTTAGCAGAAGATAGTATCATAAAATGAGCAGAACACCAAACGCCTCATAAACTGAGAAAAATAGGATCCCAGGTTGAACGAGATTCAATCTACCACCGGGGACATGGACCAAAGCTCAAAACAGAGCATAAGGTTGTCCCAAAAAAGAGGTGTGTAGTAAAGACCTCTACAAGTCACCAAAAGTGTTCTCACCAGAGTATCTAGAAATCCATCAGATCAGTAAAGCTGATTTCAGGGTGGATAGGGGAAAGATCTAGCTTACGTGATGTAGAGGAAGCCATCTTCGTCCTTGTGCTCTTCGTAGATGCTGCTCATCAGAGCAGCAGTGGGAGGAAGGACCTCATCCACGAAGATAAAGATCGCCTTTTCGGGGGACAGCTTTATGCGCTTGCGAATGACATACACAAACTGTCCAACGGTAAGATCGGCGGGAACGAGATATTTCTTCTTGTCGATGGTCGCGATATCAGACTTCTCAACCTTCTCGCAGATAACCTATGAACCCCGCCCCGTTAGCTGAAGAAGCGGTGAGGATGGAGACGATGAAGCAAGCTCCCAGAAGAAGTCAGGCTCTGAGAGATGTCCATCATGAGAGAACCTACTGGGATGCGATCGGCGTATTTCTGGCGGATGCGCTCAGCCTCAGCCTTCCGCTTCTCAAAGGGGTGCTCGTCCTTGAACTTGGAACGCATGGTTGATAAGACTGATAAGTGGAGTGGGTCAAGGGGAGTGTAGGGAGAGCTCAAGGAAGCTCAAGTTGGGAGTTGAGTGTGGGAGAAATGGGTATTATAAGTAAACTGCTGATGAAATATGAGAATGTGAAGTCAAGGAGATAAGAGGAAGAGAGAGAGGTTGATGGTCGATGACAAAAGGCAGCCCCCCCCCCCCCCCCCCCCCCCGCTGGACGACTCATCACGGGGCGGTAAGCATCCCCTCACCGCCTTCCCCGCCTCACGTGGACAAAGTCAGCAGTTTGATTATAGAACAAAACAAGTCTTTGTGATCACACCCCATGTCTAATTCTTTAGTCAGACTAGTTTACACCAAGCTTGGCACCTTTATGATTTGAACTGACTGATATGGTTTGGTGCCGCTACCTATGTAAATCAAACGGATCTAAACCCCTAATTTGCCAATCTTGGAAACTAGGCCCTGGACAGTAATAACTATCCAGGTTGAGACATGTCCTATTTACCTAGGTAGATAAGAGACTTGAACATTGAAAACTTAAGACTATACATGTAATTATTAGTGTCAACTAATTAATAAATTCCATCATCTACATGCAATTAGCCCTAATTATATAGCTTAAATCCTGCTATTCATCGTCCGATATGTATCGCCACTTCCTTCGTTTAAACCGACTTCCGAACCTCGAGGTTTATTCTCCACCTAGATATGGCGACAGGTGCTATTATAACCAATCAAATTTACCCATATAAGTTTGTTATTTGAAGAGTTATTTAACTACTACTAGTAAGTAATTTTATATAGGCAGTCAACAATGAGTTGTGACGGAGTAGAAATGTATGGACAGCCAGCCAATCAGCTGATCGCTTAGATAAGATCTTCACGAAGAAGTTCAACTCCCGAGGTGAGCTGATCGTATGGTCCGATTATATGACTTATGACAGCGCTTCCTTGGACTATTAAAAGTCCCATTGGCAACATTGAATAGAGAGACTGAGTTGATCTGGAATCAGTTCGCACAATTGTCGCCTTGATCTCCAATTGTTTCCGTTCCTTGCCGCAAAATATGGCTTCGCGATCATTTATGCCTCTCCGGAGGACCTTGGCCCAGTTGCCATCCAGAACTACTCGTACAACTGCTAGGTATACAGGCAGATCATACCGTGGATATGCTACTGCTCCAAAGCAGGAATTTACCGTTTGGCGGCCCTACCTGCGACTTGCAATTGGTGTGCCATTCATTGGCGCTCTCATCTACTCTATGGTAACATCAACAAGCCCCTGTTAATACGGCCAATTTTTTAACTGGATATCTAGGCTACTGGTGAAATTACCGAGCTCGATTCTCCATCTATTGTTGAGCTGGATGAAGCCCTTAAGAAGTCCTCCCCCATTAGCGAGTCCTCGCCGATGCGCCTACGAATGGAAAAGTTTATCAAGGAACAACAACAGATTATTATCGAGGAGCTTGGTAGAATAGATGGCAAGAAGTTCCATCAAGATGCCTGGTCACGCCCCACTGGTGGTGGCGGTATCTCATGCGTGCTGCAAGATGGAAACGTCTTCGAGAAAGCCGGCGTGAACGTCTCGGTTGTTTATGGCGACCTTCCCCGGGCGGCCATCGAAAAAATGCGCGTAGATCACAAGTCCTTGGTGGGCACTAACACTGAGAAGGTGGAGTTCTTTGCTGCCGGCCTCTCCATGGTCCTCCACCCAAAAAACCCAATGGCTCCGACCGTGCACTTGAACTACCGTTACTTCGAGACCTCGGACCCGAAGGATCCCATCAGCGGTGATAAGAACTGGTGGTTCGGTGGTGGTTGTGATCTGACCCCATCCTACCTCTTCCCTGAGGATGCCCAACACTTCCACAAGACTATCAAGGAAGCTTGTGATCGCCACGACGCGACCTACTACCCCAAGTTCAAGGACTGGTGCGACAAATACTTCTACATTACTCACCGTGGTGAAGCTCGTGGTGTTGGTGGTATCTTCTTTGACGACCTCGACGCTAGCTTCCTCAAAAGCTCCTCCAGCTCATCCTCTAACCCCCAGGAAACTTTGTTCTCCTTCGTCTCAGACTGCCTTACTTCCTTCCTACCTTCCTACGTGCCAATCATCCAGGCCCGAAAGGATATGCCATTCACCCAGGCTCAGAAGGACTGGCAACAACTGCGCCGTGGTCGTTACGTCGAGTTCAACCTGATCTATGACCGTGGTACTAGCTTTGGCCTGCGCACTCCCAGTGCTCGTGTTGAGAGTATTCTTATGAGTCTACCTCGCACTGCAAGCTGGGCTTATATGGATCCTCTCTCCGGCACAAGACCCGAGAACGCTATTGTGGATGAGGATGATCTAGGCGAGGGTCATGAGCGCGAAAAGGAACTTATGGATGTTGTGAAGCATCCCAGACAGTGGGTTTAAATGGATTATCTTTCCTGTATCGGGGATAATTTCTCGGCATCTTTGCTCCCCCGACTGAAAATATTATAACGCCCATATATCAAGTGCTTGTCTCATGTACATTATCATTTAAATGTTGTTTCGCATGTATCAAAACATGAATCATACAAAAACAGTTGCAAATTGTAAGATATTTCGTGCTCAAGTGTCAAATAAAACGGCAGGAATACACCTTGGAAGATGATAGGGCTTTGATCTACGCAAAGCATGGAATGGGTGCATGAATGCTTAGAAACAAGTACTTAATGAATTCCAAGATTCTATATAAATTTATAATACCCCTCGCAATTTCAGGGCAAGGACCCGTCAATCGATATAAACGAAAATTCTGTGCTATGCGAAGCACAAATCAAGGGAGATGTGATGATAAGTATGAATAAGAATAAGAATTCACAAACGAAAACGAAAGCAATAACAAATTCTGTAAACCAACTGATCTACTTCTTCAATATATGGAACTCACTGGCCAGCAACAACACTTCTCTGCTTCGCTAGCCAGCCCCGTGGATCCGTCATGTTGGCACCTTGCCGGTATCGTGAGACGGTCATGTTGTTGTTCTGCCATCTACTCTGTAGGTTATACCAGGCCGATGTTACAAGACTGAGCTCACGGGCTTGATCATCAATGATTCTCTGAAGTTCAATCTTGAATAAATGGTTAGCCTAGTCGGTAAGTTGGCCAAGGGTGGCCAATATCACGAGGGGAAAACTGACTTCTCGTTCTTTGGGAATACCATCTTCCAAATTCTCTTCATAGTTCTTCATGCTCTCGCGCAAGGACTTGATGAGCTCATTTTGCTGTTGGATATACTAGAGTATTATTTGAATTAGCAGGTTTCACAGCACTTGTAAAGCACAGAAATAACCAACCTCTGCACGCTGTGCGAGCCTTTCAACGTTCTTTTCTAGGACCCCAGCGCACTGTTTCAAGAGCTCAAAGCTTGATTTCTGGGATGGCTCGCCACCCTCAGTGTTGTGCATTTCAAATTCGCCCAGCAGCATCTGCATCTCGTTCAACACTGCTTGGTCCTCGGCACTGATTTCATTCTGTTTATCTTCGAGCATTTTGCGAAGCTCCTCGCGCTCGGAGCAAACCTCTCGCACAAGGGTTTGACTGGCATCTGCTTCAGCTTCCAGATGGTGCACATTTTGCGTCAGGCTATCCCATGCGCCGCGGAGCTTGGCCAGCTCAGCCGAGCTGTGCTCTTCCAGTTCACGAATAACATCGCTCTTCTCTACATTGACGAGATCCACTGGGTCATGATTAGTAGGCGTTTTGAATAGGTGCGGTATACATGGATAATGTCTTACGATGTGTCTGTGCATCAGCTAGATCCTTCTTGGAGGTCTCCAAGGTATCCTGAACATCAGCAAGTTTCTTCAGTGTGCCAGTGTAAGTTTCGTAAAGTTTCCAATACTCATCGCTGCATGTTCTCGTTAGCAAAATGTTTCATACGACATTTTTGTTGAATCCAATTACCTTTGCGTCGAGTTCGAGCGCGCGAGTTGCACGGATGCATTGAAATTTTCCGAGAAGCCCTCTGCTTGTGATTCGGGCTGGTGGTTGTTAGCGGGAGACATGCCTCGGAATTCAATCGAAAGTAGACCTACAGCTATAGAGGGCGCCTTCAAGGAGTCGACTTCCCGCTTCAATTCGTCATTCTCGGATTTGCTGCAAGTCGAGAGTTAGCGTTGGCCGTCCAGAGTGAGAGAAATAAAAATGTACAGTTGAGCTTCAATATCCTTAGAAAGGGTTCCGTGCATCTTTGGTGTCTCGGAGCTCGGGGACGGGCTTCCTGGAGCGCCCTCGCCCTCCTGCAGACGTTCACGAAGCTCACTGATCAAGGCATCGTCTCTCTCGTGCTGCTCATCCGCGCTCTCGAGACGCTCAGTAAGAGCATGGTTGTTGAATTCGAGCTGTTTCTTCAGACTTTGGATATCAGTCAGTTCCTGCTCAATGCGAGGCAAAAGCTTGCGGTACTCTGCAAGCTCCACATCACGCTCCGAGGACCAACGCTGCTGTGAATCTGACTCCTTTAGTTGCTGCTGTATGTCTTTGATCTGGTTTTTGAGAGTCTGGTTCTCTTTCTCGAAGTCTTGACTAGCTTGGAGCTTCTGTCGGTACTTCTCTGCAGCGTTCGCCTTGCGTGCAAGCTGGTCTCGGTCTGTGCGGAGCTCATCATAGTCGTCCTGCAACTTCTGATAGCGCTGGTTTTTAACCTTGAGGGACTCCACGGTCATCCGTAGGCTGCTAATTTCATCTTGAGCGGCAGTAAGCCTAGCCTCTTGAGACGCGATGAGATCATCTTGCTGACGGGTCTTGGTCTCCAATGCCTTGGCGTTGAATCCTATATCACCCTTGCCAGACTTGAGCGTGACTAGCCTATCCTCGGTGGAAGCCAGACGGTTCTGCAAGGTGTCATTGTTCTCTTGCAAGCGCGCCAACCGATTGTGTAGGTCTTCCAATGCCTTCTCTAATTCTTTCTTCTCGTGGGTGAGTCGATCGTTCTCCGCGAGGACTTTCCCCACACGTTCCTCAAACTGCAGCTCTAAATCCACAGGATGATCGCGCTTAGCCAAATCTTCGCGAAGTTCGTCAACTGCATCATCCAGAGGTTCATGTTGACCACTGTGCGCTTCTTCAATTATATCCTTGAGACCCTCTTGCGTCGAAGTGCTCAGCTCTTGTAGGGTCTGCACGTATGTCTCCGCGTTGGGTGAGCTGATGGCGGCGATCAGGAGAAGTTTTAGCAGTTTGTTCGTCTCTTTAGACGAGGCCTTTTCGGCAACGGCTTCCAGATCAGGCGATGGGTCGAGACCGGAGGGTAGGGAATCATCGTTCTGGTGTCGGATATAGCTAAGCAAGAGCTTGTGGACGTGTTTGAGGTTCTGCCACTTGGCGACCCAATGGTTCTCTGGGTTGCGTTCGGGGATCTCGTCGAGGAAGTATTGAGGATCGATGTCCTGGAGGATTTCCCACAGTATGATGCCGTCAGTCAATTCATCAACGGCCCGCAGTGTTTTACCGAGGGAGAAGCTGTTGATCCATTCCAGGAGAACCTTGGTCACGGTGTGGTCCGATGCCATGGTGGATGAGGTCTCAAATTGTGTTAATGAATGACATGTACAGCATTCTTTGACCTGTCAAGGTAAAGAGAGAAGGAAAGATCCCAGAGAGTGAAAGTTGTGGATCCACGCGATCGCGTTTTTGGGAGTGCCTCCTGGGCCCGAGTCACTACCTAGTGGGGACTAGTTATGGTGGATCATAAACAATAGCACTAACTAAACTATTTAATGGTAGTAAACTTACTACACAGTTTACAGTAAAATTTAATGACTTTGAAGTATAATAAAGCGAATATTCAAGTTCAATCTCATGATTAGTTAGAGCAATAATATATATATATTCCACATTAATACGCATTTCATACCCAGTTCGTGGGTTTAGATCGTCCCTGCAGGTCAACCGGCCATGTCGGACTTATAGCACTGGCATATGTCCCATACGATAGAAAAGAATAGCATTTACTCCAGGCTCCCGTAAAAAACAAAGATTGTTGAGTCGTAAGAGAGTCCCACCATTCATCAGACGTTCTCCGAAGCCAACTGTGATATGGAATTCACAGAATCTCTAGATTATAAAGCGGAGATTGTATATGATGGGTTCCTTTAGACGTTGTGTTTTGTTTCCTCATATTCACCATTTATAGTGACGACATCGTCTTCTTCAATAATGGGCTTGAATTCGGTTGACTCCGTGGAAAGAGTTTGAAGGGTATCGACCGGAGCCTCGGCAGCGAAACCACTGGAATAATAGGTTAGAAATGACGAATAGAAAGATATTGATGAAGTCGTACTTGATAAGAGCTGCGAGAGTAGCACGTTAGCCTTGGATGTCTGACATAATGAGATTAAGATAAGTATGGACTTACTGTATTCATGAGTGATGACGCCACCCTAAAACAGATGTTAGTAATAGCCGCAATACTGCATATTCTAAGGCGTATAATATACCGATGCCACCAGAGATTCCTTTGCCTCAGAAATAAGTCGATCAGGCGTTCCCTCGGGGAATGTGATAATAACCGACTTGAGGGACTTGGTAGCAAGCGCCAACGGGATAAGACTGAGCAGAGCAGTGAGATAAAGCTTCATTTTGGAGGCTGGTTAGTTTTTGAAAAGTAGACGTTGTAGGTAGTAAGGAGTTGAGTAGAGAGAGAAAAGTAAGTATAGAAAGTGCGTCATTAATGGTCATGTGACCAGAAGGTAAGTTGAGTTGACGATCCGTTTTCCTCTTCTTTCCTTCCCTGCCGTCTTCACTTCCACCTCCCAATATCTCCCAGCGTTGCATTGCTCTTGTCGTCAGCATTTCTTTTGGTCGCTTACTTCGACTTTCTTCTCGAAACATTGCGGCTGTTTTTTATCTTGTGGAGGCAGACAGGAGGATCTGGATTGGAGGGCGCACATCTGTTGATTCTTCTCTTCATGAACCATAGCTAGCAACCATTAACAAGTTCCCGACTTTTCTCTTCATCCCGTGTGGTTTGAGGATCTTCCTTGGAACCAGAAGACTAAGAAGGACAACACAATTCTGTGATAGTTGACCCGACAAATCCCAGTTCACGGCTGGAAAGAAGGAGGAAAAGAAAAAAAAAAAAAAAGAAAAAAAAGCACAAATATCAAGACTGAGCTTATCAAGCCAGTGGAAAAAAGTCTTCCTAAACAGGAAGAAGAAGAGAGAAGAACTAGAAGTCGAAGTCGAAAAGTGAATCCGAGGTGAAAGTAACTTGCGACGCATAGAAGACTGCCTTGAGATACAAACACCCCAACTTGATCCCCTTTCACCTTACTTATCTTTAGCTTCTTACAACCACCCATCATGTCTGGACTGATATCTGATGAGGTCGCAGAGGACTATAAGAACTCTTTGGAAGATCTGACAAGCAACGACCGTTTCCAGATCAGCAACTTGACAGTCATCGCCAAAGAGAATACTGAACATGCCATGGCCATTTCCAGGGTATTGGAGAATCATATTAAAACAGTATGTCTCCTGATTTGTGTAAAAGTGCTAGCTCTAACCTGCTATCTCTGTAGGCACCACCCCAACAGAAATTGCCTGCTCTTTATGTAGTTGATTCCATCGTCAAGAATGTTGGCACACCCTACACACTCTTCCTGGGCCGGAACATGTATCAGACCTTCATGAATACCTATGTACTGGTTGATGCGCAGACCCGCCGCAAACTCGACGAAATGCTTAAGACTTGGAAAGAGCCAGTCCCCGGCTCCTTGGACACTCGACCGGTTTTCTCTTCGGACATCACGCGGAACATTGAAAATGCTCTGATCAAGGCACGTACTGCATATTTACAGCAGTCTCGACAAACAGAGCCTGTCAACCGTGGTCGTGGTACACCAACTGGCTGGACCAACAGTCCGACGCCGCAGGGTATCCCTCGACCCAGTCAACCCAATCAGCCCTATCCCACTCATGGGCAAGGCTACAGTACACCGGTAAACTCCACCTCTCGCCAAATAATGTCAACAATTGCTCATTACATTCTCTTACAGACCCTTCAAGCTTATCATTCGGATGTGGACGTAGGCGGTCTCAACCGAGACCTAGATTCATTGGTGGCTTCAGCACGCAATGACTTCGCTAACAGTCCCTTTGATCCAAATTCACAACAGCGTCTGAAGTCTTTATTGGATCTTCAGAATATCTTACAGCGACAGCAACTCAGTCAAAAGGACTTGAAACTCGTCCGGGATCAAGTCTCTGCGTTGGCAGCAGCCGCCCCTGCCCAGACTCCTCTTCCTAATCCTCCAATATTAACACCAGCTCCCGTGCCAACTCCTCCTGTGCAACCAATTTCACGGCCTTTCCAGCAGCTCTTGAACCCTGGAACCCTCGCAGGGCTTATTAAAGCTACAGCTGTTCGTCAACAGCCCACTCCACCACCGCAGATTACTTCAGCTAGTACCACACCACTGCCTGTAGAGAATCCTCTGATCACAGCTCTTAGGTCGCGGGGGCTTTTGCCTGCCGCTTCTGCTCCACCTTCTCCAGCATCTTCTGGAACGCCTCCTATAAGAACAACTTTGCCATTCCTTATTTCTGGTCAGCTTCAGTCAAACCCTCCGGCTCCGGCACTCTCTCCAATAAACTCTTCGTCTACAGTTCCTATGAGTACTGTTTCGATGAAAATGTAAGTCAAATCAGCTCTGGCTTCCATAGCATGCTACTGATCCATTTGCTAGCCCTCGACTTGCTCTCGTCGTCTCTCTCTACGAGGCAAAGTCAAACAAATGCGGAACATGCGGACGTCGCTTTCCAGCCACCAATGAAGGAAAGGAAAAGAAAGCACGGCACCTGGACTGGCATTTCAAAACCAATCAGCGCATGGCTGACGCCGGAAAGCGGTCCCAGAACCGTAGTTGGTATGTCGATGAAAGGGTTAGTATCAAGCCGCTAAAACTCGCCTTTCTATGCACCGAACTAAATTTGCAATATATAGGATTGGATCAAGTCACGCGAGGCTGATGACGATCAAATTGCTGCTGATTCCGAAAATAATGCTGAAGGAGCCCAAGCCGATAGCAACACATCCAAACAACCTTCGAAGCCCTGGATCCGGGCCCCGAATGATGCAATTCTGCGCAACACACCTTGCCCCATCTGCCAGGAGAAATTTGAGTCGACATGGTCAGAAGATGTGCAAGATTGGATCTGGCAGGATGCCGTCAAGGTCGGAAATCGGGTTTACCATGCCAGTTGTTATGCTGAGGTAACCAAGGATGGACCGGCACCGCGAAGCTCCACGCCACAAGCACGAACTGGCACACCGGATTCAGTGCTAGGCAAGCGAAAGGCAGAGGTGGGTTTTCTAAAAGAACAGATCTATATCTGAGCGTTGACTAATCTGATGTCTAGAATATTGAATCTCCTGGTCAGAAGACTCGTATCAAGACCGAGCCGGTCTAAGTTTGTACATTAAATAGGACTACGTTAATCTCGTCATAGGGCATGCCTTGCATGGCGCGCTTGCATCTCTGGAGTTTGCCTTATCTTACTTTGAATCAATCTGAATGAATCAGCACCAGTATCTACGGGAGACTCGTTCCATGCTCTCTTCGGCCATTCGTATACCGGGGTTAGAATTGTATCTCAACCTTCACATTGCGCATACTGGCAGGATACATCCAGAATTCAAGATTATCAGTTCCCGTAATTTAAACCATTGTAATCTTCATACTAGAGTCATCTCTCCTATACTACAGGTGCTGTAACTACACCGTATATCTCAATATTGGGTCACATACTCTGAAACTACCTATGCTTGTGACTTCCTGCTACTATGTATGATTAATTTACTTCTTATTCTAACTATTCTTTGATTAGCTCTAATACCTTCTCTATTTCATTTCCTTATTGGGTTTGGTTCCGTTAGGAAGTCTGTACTCCATAGTTGGACTCATCATTATAGAATGCTTTCAACTTACCCGTGCATATCTAGATTTTGAAAACGGTGGAACAATTTAAAGAGCAGAAGAGCCCAAGACAGTGTATTGGTACATAAAGTACACATAGTATACATGGCTTTGGAGACCATAAAACTCCGCGTCTACCTATGTGTGGTCATTGCCAGTCCTTGCTTTGTTTTGTACTCCCCAACCAACCAAACAAAAGAAAACAGGGAACATCACGAAGCCGGACCAGCCATTACCTTCTCCCCTAATTTTAAGGAACGCCTTCACAATTATATCCCTTCAGTTCTTGAAGACACCCAGAATGCTCTTCCACACCTGGCCAGGCTCTTGGCTAGCATCAATGCCACGCCAGATGCCGGTCTTCTTGTAATATTCACAGACGGGGGCGGTCTGGTCGTGGTAGGTAGCCAGACGCTTGGTTAGGGTAGCGGCGTTGTCATCAGAACGCTGGATCAGGGGCTCGCCAGTGATGTCGTCCTTCATTTCAGCCTTGGGAGGATTGAAGATCTTGTGGTATGAACGGCCGGAGGCAGGGTGGACCAAACGGCCAGTGATACGTGCCACAAGCAGGGCATCGTCAATCTGCAACTCCACGGCGTGCTGAAGGTTCTGCTTGCGCTTGGAGAGCATGCTGTCCAGACCTTCAGCCTGGGCGACTGTCCGCGGGAAACCGTCCAGAATGAAACTGTTTATTGGAGTCAGTATACCATCAAGGGGAAGAAAAAAAAAAAAAAAAAAAGGTCCCAGTAGAAAGATATCATGCGTACCCGTTTTTGCACTCGGTGTTGTTGTCCAGCTCGCTCTGAATCATGCCAATCATGATGTCGTCGCTGACGAGACCACCCTGGTCCATGATCTTCTTGGCTTCCTTTCCAAGCTCAGTCTTCTTCGCGACCTGTGACCGCAGCATGTCTCCAGTAGCCTAATCAGGGGACTATATTAGCAAACAATGCCATATGACCCATGCCTATGTTGGAGAGTATGTTCCTACTTACCAGGTGGCACGCGCAGTACTTTTCCTTGATGTTCGGGGCCTGAGTACCCTTGCCTAGTAGCAGGAGGCGTTAGTATACCAATGGCTATGCCCCTGAACACAATTGCAACATACCGGCACCAGGTGGTCCCATCAGGATGATGCGCATCTGTTCTGACACCGACTTGGGCTTGTCCCCGGACAGGCGGCCTTCTAGCTCAGCGACCCGGTTCTCGAGCTTGCTGATGGTGTCTTTCAGACCGGCAACAGTCTCTTGAACGATAGGAGCCATTGCGATTGTGTGGTTGTGCAAGGAATCTGTAGGGGGAAAGGTCTCAAGTGGGAAGCAGAAAGTCTTGAAAATGGACACCGGAGCTGTAGAAATAAGAATCTAGGTTAGCGCCCGAGGTCCGAACGGCGGAGACCCGGAGTCGGAGGCATACACGGCAATGAAACTACATCATTCTTCTAATTTGATACTTAATTGCCTTATATTTCTCTAGATTTTCTCGTTTGACTATGTAAACAATTACCAAGAATTAAAACCCTTATTTTTTGATCAATCACTTGAAATGCTTATAATTAAATCTTTTTCGTGGAATCCTGAACCAGGGTTCCATAGTAATTGATGACTAATATATCAGCCACTTGATGTGGCTCCTATGTGGCGCATGTTCTTAGAAGCTCTCCGAGCATCATCGTCCTGCAACACAGCAACCCCATCTTCAACTATCCCTACGTTTTGCCCATCATCGTCATTGATTGAATTGTCGCGGAAATTGTCGCTCTTGTATCCAGCTTCACCTCTAATTTTGAACTTCTCGCTCACCGATCTTGTCGCCATGCCTGCTGCCACCACGGCGGACACGCTATCCCTCGTCACTCGCACCGTTACGGTCGCTCCTCTAGTCCTACTTTCCGTCGCCGATCACTACGGACGTATACCCAAAGGTGCTCGGAAACGTGTTGTTGGTGTACTGCTGGGTGAGAACTCGGGTAACAATGTTCGAGTGTCCAACAGTTTTGCAGGTAAGATTGAGCTTTGATTGTTGTGGCTTGCAGCGACAGATGAGCTGACTTTTATCCTTCAGTTCCATTTGAGGAAGATGACAAGGACCCATCTGTGTGGTTCTTGGACCACAATTTCGTTGAGTCGATGTCAGACATGTTCAAGAAAATCAATGCTCGCGAGAAGCTAGTTGGCTGGTATCACTCTGGCCCGAAGCTACGCGCATCCGATCTCGAAATCAACGAGCTCTTCAAGAAATACACCCCTAACCCTCTGCTGGTGATCGTTGATGTCCAACCAAAGGAGGTTGGCGTCCCTACAGATGCTTACTTTGCCGTAGATGAGATCAAGGATGTAAGTTTGATTCTTTATTAGCGTCTGTGCTTACGAGAGCGCCTTAGACTAATCAGGTTATAGGATGGAACAACAACCTCCAGGACATTCGTGCATACCCCTTCGATAATCGAGGCTGAAGAGGCGGAAGAGATTGGTGTGGAGCACCTTCTCAGGGATATCAGGGACGTCGCAGTGGGCACGCTTTCCACCCGTATCACTTCACAGCTGCAGTCATTGCAAGGGTTGCACCTGCGCCTACGTGATATCGGCCAATACCTCCAGAAAGTCCTCGATCGCGAGATCCCCGTCAATCACGCCATCCTGGGCCACCTCCAGGACGTCTTCAACCTCCTCCCCAACCTCTCCACCCCACCCCAGACACAGCGGATTAGCGGCCAGGAGGCTACGTTGGAGAACAACGAGCTCGCTCGAGCCATGAGCATCAAAACCAATGATCAGCTGATGGCCATCTATATCAGCAGTCTCATCCGCGCCATTACGGCGTTCCATGACCTGATCGAGAACAAGATCCAGAACCGACAGCAGCAGGAAGAGAGCGACTTGAAGCGGGAACAGGAGGCTATTGCAGCCAAGGGTGATAAGGACAAGAAGGTGAATGGGTCGACAAATGACGACCAAAAGGACGAGCAGGAGAGTTCCGATAAGAAGAGCTAAACGGCATGAATTTAGCTCGAGGAATCAATCCCCATCAATATGATATGACCGCTTTAGAGCTGCTGTCAAAGGCTAATCAAGTGTATGACCTGGATCCCTTCTTCCGGTTCATCATGTAAAGTGTAAATACCAACATTCTTAAAAGACAAGACAAGGTACCATTCTGTGATACAGGCACATTCGGCTCTCACACGCAAGATCAAGTTGCAGTAGCAGTAGCAGTCACTATTCTTGAACCGATCAACCAGCCCAACCCGCACACCAACCAGCTAGCTCCTCCATGGAAACATGGCGGATACCATCCCCTCCACCCCCAAACAACCCGGGGCATCGCACGAAGAGCACACAAGCTAATATATGCTTGCAAGCTGGTGGCACCCTCTTATCCGTAGTACATGTCAGAGACCCACCAAATGGATAAAGACCAGGCTCGTCCTGCCCATAAGACATTGTTTCAGGGGAATAGTTCATCTCCAGTCTTACTAGATCTCGAAATGCCGATAGTGCAAATGTGGGGCATGTGCAGTTCCATGCCTGCAGGCGGACTTCATAGCCTTTGTCTGGTTCCTGGGTAGGTGCTGCAGTGGCTGAAGCTGATCTGACGAAGATTATGTCTTCAGGGATCCCATTGGAGCATTTCTGTTCTGTGTTTATGTTGTGGCTGATGGGTGCTCTGTCGCTACGCACCATTCGCTGCACAAGCTTTCGATCCAATATGTCCATTGCTGGCAGGAAGTCATTTGGAAAGATGCAATGTAGTGTGAGCATTATAGGCTTAACTTTGGCTAGTTGGGAGGTTGAGAGGCCGGAAAGGGGATTCTGTTGATTCTCCGTCTGTGCGACATTGTCTGATTGAAAGCTGATCAGCTCGGTTATCAGACTGTCTACAAATGATCCTATAGAGGGGAGGTTTCTTGGACTGGAGGTTTCCATTTCCATTCCATATAATGTGTCCATGTGTGTTGATGGTAGGATTTTCAGCGGGTAAAACCTCCCTTTCAACCTACTTTCTTCCGTGTACTAAATATTTTATATCCTTGTAATTCCACAGCTTAGAAATGAAAAAATAGCTTAGATGACTAGTATCTTTATAGTAAAACCCAATATATCAAACAACGCAACAAAACATAGCATAATATAACGTAAAAAAATAATCTCTTTTGTATCAAATCACTAATAATCAACATACTACCTAGGTGGAACCTTGAATATCTTCTTCTTATCAAGAGCTTCTTTGGAGGCTTTCTTCTTAGTTTGGCCTTCTTCGTGGCCCTCTCTCACGTCCTGGCTTTGGCGTTGGTTTTGGTTTTGGCCGCGTTTGGTTTGGCAACTGCTTTCGTTTTATTGACGCCGGCTGGCTTCGCTGCATCCTTAAGAGCTATCTTTTTCATGGCTGCCTTCTTAGGAGCTGCCTTTTTCGCAGCCTTTTTCTTAGGCTCGACCTCTTTCGTGGCCTCCTCAACCGCAGCGACTTGAGCGTCTGCTTTGACCTTGGCTTTTACCTTGGCCACGTTTGGTTTGGCTACTGCTTTCATCTTCTTGACGCCGGCTAGCTTCACTGTCCCATGGAGCACATCAAAATCATCCGCCGCATCTTTTTTTTTATAACCTGCCTTTTTCGAGTTCTTTTTAGTCACTACCTCCTGAGAAGTAGTGCCCTGGGCATGTTCTTGGGCGTCTCCTACGGCCTTGAATTTGGTCACAGCTGGCTTTACCAGTGCTTTCGTCCCCTTCTGGTGTTTCGCTGCATTCTTCAGAGCGACTTTCTTCGTTATTTTTTCAGCAGTGGCTGTCTTATGTGCTATGAAGTTCCTAAGTTGACCTTGCATAGAGGCATCCAGGGTGAGATCTCCATCCCATTCGTAACGAAGCTCCAAGCGACCTCTGTCGATTATCGCTGGTAACTTTATCTGGTCAACTATTCCAGTCTTTTCTGTGTCTTGGATCGAGGTTATTCCGATAACTGCAGCATCAAGTACCGCTACTCCATCCTTGGTAGTGTATTTGACCGCCAGTCGACCCTCTTTCCCTTCTGGTGCCCCATACAGTCTTCTGTTCCTTTCTCTATCTATGATCCTCTGTGCTGCCTTTGACAGCACCACGAGAAGTCTTCCTGCACTGACAACCTCGGCTGGTACTTCTATTTCTGATCCTGGGGGGATCGGCGGACTATCCATCTTAACAAGTTGAAGGGCGGTTCTCTCTGCAAAGTTCAACTCTGTGTCGTTCAATTGATCTTCTCCCACTCCCACTACCAGATCTGTCGATAACGACATGATCGCTCTTGTGACGTTTATAACTTCTTCGGCAGTCAAGGAATCTCTTGCTTCCTGTTTGAGCTTAGCCATGATGTCATCTGTAACCCTGTCGAACTCCTCAGACTCCAGGCTTGGAAGGTGGCATTCTCCTTTAATATCAGCCAATATCTCATTAACACTCATATCCGTTTCTGTTAATGGGGATTTTAAGCTCGTAGGAGGCAATAAACCCATGCTTCGTAGAGCCAAGTACGCGAGCTTACTTGCTCTGTATCGGATATTTTGTAAATCCAACTCTCCTGGTGGTACTTTCACTTCCATGAAATCATCTGGTTCATGCAACTTGTGTACCCTTTTCATCATCGCGAGGTATGAATATTGGATTGCCCGTGATGCTTGGTAGAGAAGGCTTATTGTCTTGGTGGCTCCTGCTTCCAACAGTTCCGTTGCTTTGTATAGACTCGACCCTGTCTCCAGTCGTTTTGATTGTGCTACTTCTTCAAACATGCTCAGAATGGCCATTGCCTGTGCAAGATCTGCGATATCTTCATTAAGCATTATCTCAAAATCTTCGTGTACTCCTTTCAAGATTCTAGCGAATCGGGCCCATTGTTGACTGCCAAATTGTTTTCTGTCAAGCTTGGTGACTGAGTCCACTTCTGACAGTAACTCTCCCAACTTAGGTTCTCTTCGATATGAGCTGCAATTTGCTGAGAAGGATCTCCTTTATAAAATCCATAAGAAGAGGAATTCTGTGGAGAGGATGAAGATTTATAGGAATATGAGGAGTATTTTGAAAATGGAAACTTAGAAAAACAGCAAGAGAGTGAAGATGACCCAGACCTTGTACCGATAGAGGAAGATAATGCAGGTTGCTTCCTAGGTTTCTCTGTCTTCTCTGGATTCGACGCCAATTCTTGAGCAAAATAAGGCGAACTGTGACTGCTTGAAGGGCTTTTAGAGTTTATAGTAGGGCGTTGGTGTACGTTTATTAATATCTCGCCCTTCAGTCGAGCAGCATATCGCCGAGCAATATCCGCCATAGACCGAGAAGCCCTTTCCTCGGGATCCTCAAGCTTGAAGGTCAGTTCCTTGCCCTCCACCTCCATATTATTGGAATTCTTGACTGCTTTCTTGGCACCAAATTCGTCTGTGTAATAAAACTCCACCAAGACGGCAGTTGAGGTTTCCGATATGATGTTGCCGCTTAACAAAGGACCAGCCAAATCTTTAGATTTGAAACTTTTGATGAATTCAGGGGCAGTCCCAATAGGGAATTCAGCGAGAACTACAATGGGGCTTTTATGCACTGCTTGATCCAAGAAAGAATTGGCATCATATTGCAATTTCATGATTTGCTCATCTAGATGTGATATTTTTTCAGTGATTGCTTTAGCCTGAGCAAATGGATCTTCCTTGTCTAGCCTGAGAGGACATCGGCGATAGGCAAAAATGTAGGAAGACTGCTGGACATCTTTCGATTTGGCCATTGCTTCAAAATTATCGTACGGCGTCACTTTTTTGTCGTCACACAGCGTCCACGAGCCGCGAGGACCTCTGACCACAGCAAGGTAGTGGCCTTTATTTGTTGTTTCACCCCGGTGTAGCTGCAATGAAGACAGTTGGTATTCAACAGGCTCCCTCAATTCTTTTAAACGCGGGTCAAAGCCGTGAGCTGGAAGTATTAAAGACTTTGAGAACATAATCCTTTGACTGATTTGGATAGCCCTTTTTGTTGTTGACCAGTGAATACGATTGAGCTTTACGAAAAGAATCTCAGGCGGATGGCTGAGTCGTGTTGCTGTCAACTGTGGATTACCACAAGTACCACATTTAGAGCCCCCTATAAGTGAAGTATTGAAGTACTGGCCCATGGCCTCCGTGATATTCAAAGGCTTGTCAGCATTTTCCGGATCACATTGGATTGAAAATAATGATTCTTGAGAGTCTGTATGGATCATCTGGGTACAAGCACCGGCACCATGGCACTTGCATATATTGACTGTCATGAGTCGGAAGATGTCTCGAAGATCCGTGCGGCTATTTTGTGTTAATTTGACAAAACAAGAGAGAGAACGAAAGAATCAACTTACAAGAGCGGTCTAGTTGCCTCTACAAGCTGGCCATAAAGAAAAGACCAAAACTCGGCAGTGTCTTGTTGACCCTTTAAACCCCAATCCTTCAAGATATCAACCCAGCAAGAGTCAACCGATTTTTCGTACTCACCCTTTTCAATATTCCAATAGCTCACTCTCAGATCATATAGATTGCACATCTTGCAAGGCCCACCTTTTGCCCCATATTTACAGTCTGCCCTGGGTGGAATATGATGCTTCTTATAGAACTGCAACCAATGTATAAATGCCGGAAGATGCATAAGTTGTTGCATTACTGAATTTCGGTAACATTCAAATCCTTTATTAACAAATCCATTCCGACTGTCACTTTCTATTGATTCATCCCACGAGGGATCGAAGTGAGTCTATATCCTTCTTTTTTGAGTATGTGCTTGTTTACCTAGACATGTTTCGCCACTTACCCGCCATGCTGGGTCTCTAACCCTTCTTTCTCGGATTTCCTTTGCGGATAAACTTTCTATATATTTCCATTATTGAATGATACTCATTATCATGATTAGGATGCACCCATCGCACAGACTTCAGGATTGTTGAATAGACACTTACGAACCATAGTGGGAGGATATAGTCTGAAAGAATAAAACAGGGCACCTGCCTAGTTGGGCACTCTGGATCATTCTTTGAGAGTCCCGACAGTGACTAGGTATGCTTGGAAGCTGATATATCTTGATGTCTTGAGTACTAGGCAAATAGACGGCCAACATGGAAATCCGATATGACCTGAATTAAGTATTTAAAGCCATTTAAAGGGAGAAAGGGTCAAAGACATTTGATTCCATGGACCGGAGGCTCATTCTTTATTCGAACCTTGGAAGATTTCTTCGACACTGAGGATTTCATTGTCAACCATCATGACAGTGAAAAATCCACATGAGAGCTTGAAGTCTTGGATATTCATCTTTGGTATATTATATCTGGCTTTACTTTTGCTCTTTTTCCCTTTTCTTTGGTCGAGGAGGGGAATGATCGAGTATATAGAAAAAAAGCAGGCTTATACTTCCCAAGGTTCCGACTCCTCTTCCATAGCCTACAAAGAACGCCACAGCACAATCCCAGTTCGTTTTTGGTTTCATGATTCAGAACCTATACTCAAAGAAGGAAGATGGCGAGGTTGCATTCTCCTTGATCTTGTTTGTTGACGTGGTGTGGTGAAATTTGAAGTTGGGCACAGAAAAAGAAACATGGTTTATCCTGGTCTTGTCTCCATGAGAAGAACTTGAACCATGTAAGCCACCAAATCAGGCCCGCTACACCGAGAACTCTTGAGTAAAGATGAAACACTCTCCTCTTGACACTTCACCTTCCATTTTTTTCCCTCCTCTTTCCTCTTCCCTCTTTCCCTTTTTTTACCTCTTTTTTCACTTCGGGTTAGTCTATTGAACCCGTGCACTCCGGAAAATCCAATTGACGATCAGACTCCGCATCGGCCCAGAATCGGTGGAGCATCAGTGGAATTTAGGCCTAGACTTCTTCCCTCGGCCCTCCCAAATTGTTTTGTATTCAGTCTGATCAGGAAGGAGTCGGGGGCGGCACTTGGGAGAGAAACTGTGCGTTGACCGTCATCTTTCTTCACGAGGATCGTCCATATCTCTTACTCTATCTGGTATGTAGCGGAGTATCGACTGTCAGAGCTGGGGAGAACCTTGCAAAGTAAGGAAAGTATCTGACAAGATACGTAAATATCTCACACCTTTCTCGTATCTAGGCGTATATTGCTCTAGTGTATCGAGGGTATCTGTATGCGTATCTAGCGTATCTCATTTGAATGATCCCCCTTAGATCTCCATCGCTAATGACTAGTCTTAGTGATGGGGTGGAATACGATGGGAGATCGGGGGTATACGAACCGAACCGGCTCTTGGACTTAACAAGAAAGCGAAGGAAGGAAGGAATTCTAAATGAGATGAGACTAGACAAGATGGTATTTGCCCCACAAGGTCAGTTGTTTCAGATGTGGAGTCTCATATTATCCTGACAAAGAGGCCATGAAGGACTGATTGGCTCACAGGAAGTTCGATCTCTTGCGTAGAATCAGAGATCCGGCCGAGACTAAGGGGAGGACCGAGCTGCATTGGGGCGATCTCCTTCTCTTCGTTCTCCCCGTTCCGTTCTTGCCTTAGTATACGTCAGGTATGACCTTTGAGTTTCTATAATTAGGGAACTATGGGTCTACCCTCAAACATAGTCATGTCACAGGTGTCTCGATCCATGGATCCATCTAGTAAAACCTTGGAAGGATAGAAGCAGCATCGAACTTTTTGAAGAAGACAAGACAAAGACAACCAATTGACAGCGGCGTTCCTCGCGTCTAATAATGATCTACCCTACCTAGGTACCGGTGCATTGTACCGCATGTTAAACGGTTGGACGCCACCGTATAAGTATAGGCCTAAAAGGACAAATAGAAGAGATCACTCTAACTCAGGTGGACCCCGTTCTTCCTAGTTTTTAGAGCGTTGTGATTGAACTACAAAGATGAACGTGTTCTCGTTAATCTCATGAGATCTCTGCCGAAATGAAGGGAAGGGGAAGGAATAGAGGGGGGAAAATACCCAAGCGGGTCAGAAAGTGGATGAGTCGGACCATTCGGGGGTGATGAATAAATTATGAGTGGAAAATCCCGCGGGCTTTTCCTATTAAGTGATAGTGTTGATGATCTAACGTTGGTCCTTTTTCCCATTCCCCCACTTTCCGTCATGGTTGTTCCTTGTTGATTTTTTCGTAGTCCTTTCGGCCATTAGGGCTGTGGAGTCTTTCTTCCGTCATATGTGAGGCTTCAAATCCCGTCCCTTCCCTTCCCTTCCTTTTCTCCTCTTTTCTACTCCTCTCCTCTTCTTTCTCAACCTATCCCTGTTCGAACAACACAGCAGCGGGATCTTCGCAGATCGATTTCTGTTTCAGAAGTACCAGGAAGTCGATACTCCCAAAGTACTAGTATCTATCTATATACTATTTCTATGTTATGCGGCATTAGCCGGGAGCAACATAATCCACTTTCTCATCGATGCCCAAAGTGATTTCGATTTTGATACTAAAATCTGATATGCTTGTAATATCCTAGGAAGTTCGGGTCGGACCCGGAAAGAGAAAGAGATGTGTTGACAGCCTTGCATAACACGATTGTTTCAGCGTATAACTTGTAACCTGTAACTTGTATAGAACTCTGATTCATTATTTACTTACCTATTATATCGGCACTTCAAGTGAGACCTGGTGCCGATACAGAGTAAATTAAGTATATTGGAAGAACAGGAACTCGTGTTCGATTGACAACGGTGTGAAAGGGGCTAAGCTGCATTAGGGCTATTTTCTATTTTTCCTGGGGGTTGCTTATCTTGCATCGGTCCAATCGCGGAGAATTAATGACTTTCCTATTCAAATAGCCAAGTACCTAACTCCAAGCTCTTGTTAGTAAGATACGAAAAAAAACCTGTGGAATCATGAAATTGGCCTGACCCACCGGTCCCTTAATCTGGTGGGAACGCGCGCCCCTGGCCCCGTCGTTCGACTTGCTGCTACAGTTTGGTCAGCTTTCCTAGTTCTCTCCTCTTTTTTACTCCCTAATTTAATTTACATAAATTAAACCGCTTAGCTTTGCCGTGTGAGATCGCAATCTATCCAAACCAAACTACTAGAGACGGAATCTGCCGAGATATTTCCCCTCAGATCGTTAAAGAACTGGATTCCAGACCGATTCTGATCAACACTAGTTTTGCATCTAGGCCGTCTACTTAGGTACATAGGTACCTTCAATTTCCCTTGTTCTTTCTTCACGGAACTTCTCAGACTCAGTGTGACCGGAATCTGCGAACGGCCAGAGTGATACAGCTTATACAGTTCTAGAACTGTAAGAAACTGAGGAAGTTGGATGTAAGGGAAGTTATGGAGCTGAGAGTTGTGACTTTTGGGCCGGAAAAACTGGGGCAAAATGTCAGACCTATCATTCCACAACGGGAAATTAGATTATTTAGTCAAAAAAATATTAATAATTTAGATATCATCAATAAATTAGATGAAAATAAGACATCCCACCATCTAGAAATTCGGGAACCCGGGACACCAAGAGATCCACCAGAGAGGCAAAGTTCGGGCCCCAAATGAACACAGAGTAGGAAGGTAGGTACCTAGGGTACCTAGGATACCTAATACTGATATATTAGAGATATAAATTTAATAGACAAGATATCTATATAAACCTTGGAACTAGATCAACCTTGGGAAGTAGGGGTAAGAAGGTATATAGTTAACAATTAACCCTAACCTTGAATCTAGTAGGTACCTAGGTCTTAGTACAATCTGGGGTGGGACAAGTAGAATAGAACCCCAGATCCCTCTTAAACCCCTCGTGATGGTAGTGGAGCAGAAAGCCGTTGAGCAATGCGATCTGGGTCCTGAAATGGGCTGGCATGTTTTAGTCACAACGGCATGGCATTACTTTAGTGTCTGGGCCAAGCCTACTGTAACTGGTCAGTGCTGCCTTTAAAGTGTCCCGTTACGCTTCATTTCACTCAAGGATGATGCGGGTCCCCCTCTTTTTATTATATTATCAATATACTATATAAAATCTTAGAACCTTGGAGGTAGAATGAGAAGGTTGATAGAAAGGTTACAAACATTGAGATGTAGGAACTATAGATATCTTAAGGCATTATACATACTGCCATTTATATACTCTTCATGTACGGATGAGGTTTGACCGCTTCAATTTAATTTAAATAAAATCAAAAGGTGGATCGAAGCCCTTTTTAATTAGGTATTTTTCCCTATTTTTCCCTATTTTTCCTATTTTCCCTATTTTCCTTATTTTTCCTTTTTTTATTTTATTTTCCTATTACCATACCCATACATCTAAGCTTGGGTCTTAGACTCTCTTCTCTAGAAGATCCCGGGTTGGACTGTCACCGTTGATCGGGTTTCATCAAGTTCTGGACTCTTTCCTGCATATACTCTTTCCCCTTCCTCAATCCTCTCTCTCTCTCTCTCTCTCTCTTGCTTTTTATACTTCTATTTCTTATACCTCTTCTTACTTCTCTTAACCTTCTACCCTACTACTTTATCCACTTGATTTTTATAATCAAACATTCGAACTATTCGGTACTAAATCGCTCTGTACCCATCACTGCTCTCTGACCTACCATTTGTTGCACGAGACCGCGATTTCGTTTGAGTTTCTTGATGAAAACTCGGAGCATTTGATTCTCTTGAGTTGTTGATCACCCGAACAGAAAAAGGAAAACAATCCTGGTCTACTATACTCTAGATCACAAGCTGTTTTTATTTCCTCTTATCTCTTTTTCCCACTTTCGTTGGTGGTTGTTTCCTGTTTGAGGTTGTTCCTGTTCCTGTTCTCCTTCCCCCCTCATTCCCAAACAATCATCCCATTCCACCCCAATATCCGCGCTTATGATTGCGTTACAAAATCGGCCTATCTTGCCGCCCGCCAAAGTGGATATCTCACTATTACTCAAGCCCCAAGATGAGGAAGAACAAACCCCGGGTCATCCCATGCCTCTTTATCCAAGGACCTTGCCTGGGCCACCGATGGGTGTGCCACCCATGATTTCTGGCCCTTCTCCCATGGTGGGCATTCCTCCTCTGAGCAAGGCTGGCCCCTCCGGTGCAGCAAAGCGTCTTCAACCTGCTCATACGGCTGAATCACCCGCCAAGAAGCAATCCAAATGGTCACCTGAAGAAGATGCCTTGATCATTGAACTCAGAGGCAGTGGCATGAAGTGGGAGGATATCAGCAAGCGTCTGCCAGGTCGTAGTGCAATCAGCTGTCGCCTCCATTATCAGAACTATCTAGAACGTCGAAGTGAATGGGATGAAGACAAGAAGAACAAGTTGGCTCGCTTATATGAGAGGTAGGACGAGAAGAAGAATCCTCCCTGTGAAATGAATGGTCGGAACTAACTTTCCTAATAGATTCAAGGCTGAGATGTGGTCCAAGGTGGCCGAGGAAATGGCGATCCCATGGCGCGCGGCCGAGGCCATGCATTGGCAACTAGGCGAACAGGAGATGGCCCGCCGAGCAGGCGTAGTGCCATTCTCACTGTCCAGTACCGCAATAGATCCCCCAACTACCAGACCTCGTCGAGCGAGCACTTCTTTGACCAGACCTCGAAAAACTTCGACCTCTCGTTCCATCCCCGGCCACCTTCCGGGTATGCCACCCCAGCTTCCGTCCCTGGAGGAGCTGACTGCAGGTGTTCCAGCCTACGCCCCAGCTCCACTACCCCCTCCAAGAGACTATTATGGAATGGGACGATCAGAAATGGGAATTCACCCAGGCATGATGCCTCCTCATCTGGGAATGCCCCCGAGGACGCTGCCTTGAAAAGATGAGATGAGATGATGACCCACGTTGTGTATGGCCTTTCCTTTGTTTTCCTTACGAATTGCATAGCGCCGGTTGGAGGTATACCGTGTTTGTGGCAGGCCCGTGAATTGTATAGAGAATTGTCGCCTTCTTCCTCATGCGCATTCTTGATCTTAGTTTTTTTTTTTTTTTTGGCTTCTTCTTTTTCTTTCCTTCCTCTTGGAAGAAGGATTTCGATTTTCCCCAGGTCATGCACACCCAACAACCAAATCTGTTGAAATTGTCTTGATTATTTTCCGAGGCTGGTTTCTGGAGACAATCTTGCCTCATGGAATGGTCTTGGGTGTCGCAATGGCCCACCAATTATCCTTCTCATATCCTGACTCCAAAACTTCACCACCAGCTTGAACAATATTGCGCTCCAGTTCACCTTCCTCAAATAGGTGGTAATAGCGGTTGAACGTCTCGGACTGGTCCTCTGTTCCAGCAACTCTGCGGACCCAGGGCACCATGATATCTTGTGGGTCCCCTTTGTCCCAGCCCCGACGACTGCTCTTTTGTTCAAGTGCCCAGGCATATATGAGGATTTTGCCCCCTGGTTGGGTCTCCGAGCCGACTTTGATAGTTCGCAGGATCTCGGCGATAGCCTGAACACGCCGCTCTGGAGTGGAGAGATGGTGAATGACAGCGATGGAAATTGCAAAGTCAAAATACGCATCTGGATGCGGAAGATGATGAATGTCGGCCACAACTGTCGAATGTGGTTGATGTTGGGTTGCAATCCGAGCCAAGTTTTCAGATCTATTTTGATCAAAATAGATCAGATTAGCTTCAGTGGACAGGATTGAGGGATTGAGGGGAGTAAAGAGTGACTTTGAAAGTCCAGGACATGAGAGATTTCATAAAGAATCAATGACATGATATGACCAAGACAAGCTACTACTTCTAAATAAACATACCTATCAGATGCAATGATAAAGACATCTTTATTCACTTGGAGATATTTCCCATTGCCACATCCTACATCCAGGCCTATGGAACCTGGTGATAGTCCCTTCAAAAATCGTTCCACAATGGGCCATGGCTTCAGCGCGGGGAAGCCAAAAAACATTAGCTTATAGTTCACCATGCAAGTCCATATATGTAGATACCTTGTAGCGAGTTGAAGAGAAATGACTAGCAATATGCTGATAGACCTCATGGACATTCTTTTGCTCATAATCCTCGTGAGGGTCCATAGTTGGAGCTTGCAGTGCTGAGTTGTGATGGAAAGGAATCAGGATTAGGAATATCGAAAGCGATAAGGATAAGAACGTCAAGCGAGCATCTATATCACGTGGCTCGGACATTTATTCTGCATTTCGGCTAAATTCACCTATACTTATTTTGTATTTGTTCTATTTTGACATACGGGGAATTATGGTTACTTCTTTTGTTCCGAGTAGTACTACAGATCTAAAGATTGAAGATTTGTCCGGGGCTTAAGCGAGTTCCTGAATAACCTCTCGGGTTTGCATCTATGTATCTCCTTCTAAATTTGTAGATGAATTACTGTAGTACCGTGCAGTTTCAAATTGTGCTGGTTTCCTTTCAATCCTGTCGTTTTAATATTGAATTCTTAACTTGCCGTATGGCTGACTAATCACGATTGATTCGATTTAACTATTGATCCACACAGTAGAGTGTCAAAATTATACTCATTTGAATAGAGATGAAGTGATAAGAATATATTCATTCATGGATGATAGATCTTTCTAAATTATAGTTGGAAATAGTCGATAATCAATTGAATGACTATATTTACTGTTAATTCATGGTTCATCAGACCCACAGAAAGAACCTTCGAGATGGGACTTGATATCAATCCTTCTTCTTGTTAAACCTGGAGTACCTGAGATCAAGTTCAGACTTATCTAACATTGATCTATCCTAATCGTAGTATCTCTTCCTCGAAATTAAACCCCACACTGATTTCCTCTCCTAACTCCCCCACTTCATCTCCCCACGTCTAATTTACTTCCCCCCTTCAACCTTCAACTTGTAAAGAGACATGGCCTTTCAACCTACTCCGGCGGATATTTCCGTCGTTATCACAGCCCCAGCATCTGCCCGCGATGCTCAATCTAGCTTCGTCAATGAACGTCGTGTCACCCCTACCTGGTCTGTGTTCACGCTCAAGGGTAAGCTGGAGACCATGACCGGTGTTCCACCGGGCTGTCAACGTTTGCGCGTCAAAGTACCAGGTCGACCTGATCAATGGGCCGATAATGATGATCAGATCATTGGTGACTTTGGTTTGGTTAAGAGCACAGAGATCGAGGTAGGTCTTGATTTTATTACCCTTCTCCTCATTGATGATCATTCCCAGTTAAAATGATAAAGGTTCATGATACTCGGCCTAAAGCTATGCGTCCTAATTTTACGGACTTGTCTTCTGTGGAGAAATATGAACTTCCTTCTGAGACTTATGAGACTCTTCCCAACTCCGTCTTGGCCTGGAAGAAGAACCAGAAACTTGGTCGTTTTGACCCAAACTCTCTCTCGCCTGAAGAGACTCTACGCAAGCAGGTTGAAAGGGAGCAAGTTGAGATCGCATCGAGAGGTAAAGTTCATGCTCTAATTTGAGGGATTCCTCTTCTCATCTCTTTTATAGACGTCGCCGTTTCTAAGCGGGCGATAATTCTGCCTTCAACTCCGCCACATATTCGCCGAGGCACCATTCGTTTTGTTGGGCCTGTGCCGACAATTCCTATATCTGGTCCTGGTCGTGAACTGGCCCATGATGGAGAACTAGCCGTCGAGCTTCAGCCCATCTGGGTTGGTATTGAGCTGGACGAACCGACAGGAAAGAATGATGGCAGTGTGGGTGGAAAACGCTACTTTGAATGTCTTGAGAAGCGAGGTGCGTTTGTGAAGCCGGAGAAGATTGAGGTGGGAGACTTCCCGCCTCTAGACGATGATCTGGATGAACTGATGGAAGAGATTTGACGTTACTATGTATTGGGATAACGAATAAAGTATGCATCCCTTGGAAGTGATAAAATCCTGCTTTCCCTTCAAACTTATCACGAAGAGATATTTAAAAAGCTGAATCTGACATGATGGTAACCTAAGGGTTCAAAATAAGATAAATCGCTGAAAGAAGAGACAAGAGGTATCGTGACGCATGGCAAAACACCGGCATTTTATGACAGAAATCAACTGCGAATGTAAAAGAATAGAAGTCGGCTTCACTTCGCCTTCTGCTTGCCTTTGGGACGACCCCGAGTTTTTGCGGCTGGAGTAGTAGATGCACTCTCGCCTTCGAATTCACTCCCCGGTGCAACGCTCTTGATTGTTTCGGATGATTCGCCCTCGACAGGAACGCAGCCTTGCGTGAAAAACAGTCGAACAGTCTTCTTCCATGCATTGGAGAAGCTGTAATAGTTGCCTGGTGATATATTATTTAGTCAGAGTACCCTAGAAACCGATAAAGTCGGACTTACCACGCGGCACTTGAAATACGCATCCCTTTCCAGCATGAAACTGGACACCTGAGATATCTACCTGAACACGACCACTGCAAACATAAAAGACCATATGCATCTTTTTAGAATTCTTCGGCTTCTTGATGCCATCTGGCGGAAGCTCTACCACACCAGACCCGATGAAAGATGAACTGAGTAGCTTCGCAAATTTGAAAGTCGAATCTTTGACGTCTCTGGTCACAATTCCAGAAGGAGCGTATGCAATGTCTGTACAAACAGTCAGCCAAATCGATCGAAAACTGTGAACCATATGATAGATAATCGCTCACCAAGAACTTGTTCCTCCTCAGTGCTGGCCTGGGCTTTGACATCCCACTTAGGCACGTAACCATGAAGAACACCTTCTTTCTCCCACTGATCTGCCTCTTCATCTTCCTCATCTGAAGAATCATCCTTAGCCTTCTTAGATTTGGGCTTACGATTACGCTTACCCTTCTTTGAGTGCTCTGGCTTGGGCTCTTCAGTGCGCACAATTTCCTTTATAGTAGAGAGTGGATAGCGTTGCCCCTCTGCAGATTCACCGTCACCCCACACACATCGCTCGTTCCGCCAATAGGCCAGAGGCCGAATTGACACCCGCCCAGAGCGGGTGTGAGTGGAGCTTGTATCTGTGGGATCCTCCTTCTTGAGAATGTATAAGCTGCGTCCTTTCAAAGGGCCCGAACGTTGTGCATAATCCTCGACCACGCGGTTAAGCTCCGGATCCAGCGGCTCACGTGGAGATCTAGTATCAGTCCTTGAAGTTTTTTTCTTTTTAGTCGGTCTTGTATCTGAGGATTCATCGTCAGCAGGATGTGAATCCTTGGGCGGCCGTCCTCGCCTGGAAGATTGAGCGCCGCTCTGCTCTGACTTGTTTTTTGTAGCCGTGGGCCCTTTCTTGGGGGGTTTTGAGGTCGATATTTTTTTCTGTGCTGGACGCGAGCTTTCCGCGAGCACTGAGCCCTCTTCCTTGTCCACGCTCTGCTCGTCACTTCCTGGTACATCATCATCTGGCATGACAGTTTCGTTACCATCATCAAATTGATCATCAAAATCATTCTCCGGAGTAAACGATCCTGTATTTTCATCACCTTCTCCGTCAGAGAAGTCATTGACAATAGTTGGCTCGGATGCTGCTAGCTGTGCTTTTGTTTTTCGTAAAGATGTTTTTGGCTTGGATACACCCGCATTCACTGAACGTGAAGTCAATGGAGAAATATCTTGACGCGATTCGCTATGTGGGGTCAAGCCTTTACCATTAGATGGGCTGGGTGATAAAATATCATCTTCTGCTTCTGGTGAAGATCGCATGACAGGAGATCTTCGAGCAGACGCCGAAAATCCTGATTTTGCCGGTGACCGAGCAGGTGGGGGTCGCATAGCATTTTGCGAAAACTTGTGGTTCAGAAAGTCCATGGGACCAGGCGCGTTGTCTGGAAGAAGTAATCCAGTCAGTGTAGCTCGAAGGTATACAATTATTTGACGCAACGTACCTTCATCCATAGACATTCCATCGGAACCAATCGATTCGTCACTTGCTTCAGCTTCTTCAATATCGAATGCATTCCGATCCATAGGAGACTTTTCAGGAGAGTCTGAAAATAGCCCGTCCACTTCTTCCATTCCATGTTCGTCGCGTCGCCCTTCTTTCAATGGAAGACCAGTACGTCTGAGCGCATGAAGAACATTAGCAAGCTGCAAGAGCCCAGAGAATCCCGCAACACTAACCTTCCTAGAGTTCCGACATTCGAGTAATCGAATTCGCGGACCTTTCCTGGGCCACGAGCCATTTTCGCCGGTGGATGAGCGATGATTAATCAGAGATGCGAAAGAAATCCCCTAGCTTAAGCTCACTATGCAGGAGCAAGGGCTTAGCATGGAGAAAGTAGAAAGTGGAGGGGAAGAAGGGAAATTGATTGCGACGGATTTGAGAGGAACGCGTGCCGCTAAACCCGATCTGTCGACGCGTTTGGCATACCACCCTCTTTAATCATTTATAGCTTCATATTCATCTTCCCTCCTACCTTCTTTCTTCGCCTCAATCATGGCGAAAGACACTTCTTCTAATGAGACATACCAGGATGACATGTCCTTTATTCCCCCAAGTGTAATCTCGGATCGTTTGCTTTCTGGGGACTCTTACGCATACTATACGCCCTGTCCAGCCGCCATTACTACCCGCGCTACAACATCAACTGGAGAGGCCGTGGAAAGCACCTCATGCGTACTCGGTGTTGACGAGGCTGGCCGTGGGCCAGTACTAGGCCCCATGGTCTACGGTGCCTTCTATTTGCCAATCGATCTTCACCTCTCTCTTCTGGCTCAAGAGCATAGCTTTGACGATAGTAAGGTTCTCACTCCTGCTGTGCGCGCCAATTTGATGCGACTGCTCAACACTCCCGGCCAAACTCTTTACGAGTCCTGTGGATATGCTATCAAGGTCCTTTCTGCTCGTGATATTTCTGCGGGAATGATGAAACCAAAGACGGCCGTGTACAACTTGAACGCTCAGGCGATGGATGCTACCATCGAAATCATTCGTGGGGTTGTGGAAGACCGTCAAGTTGATGTACGAGAGGTCTATATCGATACCATTGGTAACCCTGCCACGTACCAGCAGAAGCTGGAAAAAATATTCCCCACTATGAAAATAACCGTGGCTAAGAAAGCGGACTCTTTATATCCGTGTGTGAGTGCTGCTAGTGTTGCAGCCAAAGTTACGCGTGATGTTGCCCTGGAAGTTATGTATGAGGATGTGCTTCGCGCACAACAACTTGAAACAAATTCCATAGCCCCCGAGGGATGGGGTAGTGGTTATCCTTCAGATTCCAAGTGTGTCGGCTGGCTTCGACGGAACATGGACCCTGTCTTCGGTTGGGGTAATGAGTGTCGATTTAGTTGGGGCACAGCGAAGGAGATGCTCGAGAATAAAGGAGGAGCACGAATTGACTGGCCAGATGATGATGAAGAGGGAGCAGGTCGGCTCAACGAGTTCTTGTTATCTGGCTCAGGAAAAAGCGCAGGCCAAAATGGATTGCGGGATTGGTACGGATCCAGACAAGCTGAAATTATATGATGAACTGCCATGGGAACATTGGGATTAGACAAGAATGGACAAGCTAATGATAACATAGATAATATTCCCCAATAGACCGAATATTAATCTTATTAGTGGGAAACCGACCCATCACTGGCATCATGTACATTTCAGGAAGGAAAGCAATATGGGTATCGAAGAAGGAAGAAGAGGGTGTGGTACACATCACAAAGTGGCAGTCGAGAAATAGTAGTTTTCCCACAGGTATTCATAGTCCTCCAACAGATTGCCCAATATATCAAATAGAGGTTTGCCCTTCATCTTGTTGGTAACGCTCTGAAGACATGATCTATAGATTGTCAGTCTTTGACTAGCAAAGAAAAAAATTGTTGCGAAAACTTACTTGGTAATATTTTCGTAGAATGCCCCGCGCATCAACCACCAGCCCATGGACCATCCTCGTTTCTTTAGCTCCTCTCGCTCGAGGCCCGTAAGACCCCGAAGACCCCCGGCGACTCGCTCACGGAAATCCCGCTTAGTAAGTTGCCGACATCCATACTCCATTGCAAATCCAATCAGCCAAGGCCGCCAGCTACGCTTATCCCCCTTCCAGCGTTGCAAGGCCAGTGCATATACAACGGGCCGCAAGATGTACAAGACCTCTGCTAATTGGCCCTGTCCAGTAACTCGGTGCAGTAACATCTTGGGTGTCTTGATATCATCTGCGGTGAGGACTTTGGAAATGAGGTAGCTTGAAACATCTTCCACATCAGGAAGAGACGGTAGTGATAGCCCAGTACGCGGCATCATCCAATTCGGATCTGAGGCTGGTGAAGGTGGATCACTGGGAGGCGGGGTTTGCATACCATTCCAATCGCTGTCATCTTTCTCCTCTACTAATCTCGGGTCCACCTCGCGCTCGGGCAATGGAGGGCTGACTAGAGGCCGAGAGTTGGTCAACCGGAGAAGGAGCAAGCGGCAGATTGCCTTGGCGAACTCGATAAACACAACCACACGCCAACGGGTTTTCTGACCTCGTCGGCGTGCCGACATCTCCCATAGCAGTTCTGTGTATTGAAGCATCTGAAGCGCCAGGGCAACTCGACGATACAACGACGAGCCCGAGGTCCAGTATTTGGTGTATCGAGCGTGAGGAGTGGGTGATTGCCGTGGAACAGTCGGTGGAAGCTGAGAGATTACACGCGATACCAGGGAGTCATGGTATAAAGATAGAAGTTGAACACCCGAATACACTGCATTGCCCTGTTAAATATGCTCCTTCGCTGAAGGTCTCATGGAGACTGACCGCATTCTGAAGGAATCTCTGATTCGTTGTATCGACCTGTTTAACACAGCCCCTCTTGTTAAATCTTGGGTCTGTGTTTAAATGCATTGAATTGTGATCTCTCTCGTACCTGGGATGATGTACGTCAATGACCGTAGGGCTGACTCAATCTGTCCAACCGAGCTGGAATTCTTGGCCACAAATTCCTCGTAGAGAGGAAGCCACTTTGATGGCTGTAGCATCACGGATGGAATAGGATTTTGGATGTTCCGAATTACCTCCATGGTCCCCCACGATTGCAACCTCGAAAGTAGAAAGCGGCGCGTGGTTGGAAGCGGGTTATGCAGGTCACGGGCCAAGCTATCTGAGCCGAGGTTGATTTCGGATTACGCAGGAGCTTATCTAAACACATATTTATTCGTGGAATTGCCTAAAAAAGTTGACATTCGCTTTTCTTCTCTAAGAAGTCTTCTGTGCCGGTTAATTGAGAAGCAGATATCACGATGTTAGCTTACTTTGATCAATAAGCAGCACCAGATAGCTCGTATTGTGACTACAGAGGCACCTTGATCAGTCTGTACTAGCGAATTTACCAGTATAATGGCCTCAATGTGCTCGCCGATCAATGCTCTAATTAAACAAAACCAGCCCCTACAAATTACTGAAACTCACCTATTCCGGAGGATTGGTGGTAGTGGCCCTAAAGAAACAGGGGGTTTTTCCCCCTATTAGAACCTCGACTTCCTGCACCACCTCCGAGAGTATCAGGTCAGAAGGATATAGTGTTAGTAGTGCCAAAGAAATCGAAAGCGTCAGGCAGATGCTGTGATCATCATGTCAGAAAGCGTGGGATGTAAGGGCTAAATTTATGCCGGCAGTTCGAAAAGCGGATAAAGATGTCATTGTGTAGTTACTCGGACATAATTCATTGCATTCTTGGTACATTCCGTAAAGAAACTGACACATGTATCATATATGCTATATAATACAGATTGCCCTTCACTCATCTACAAAGGTCCAGAGTCCCCCAGGTCGCATGGCCTCACGATATCGCTCTTCTACTTTCTCTCGTTCGAGTCTGTGAGCAGCCCTGCGGTCAGCTTCCTGCTCCTGAGTAGAGGGCATTTCTGTCCGCCAGAAGCCAGGGGGTGTTCGGGCACGCTGATGAGTATGTCGATGTCTCCCGTATTGATTGGCCAAAATTCTAGCCCGAGCTTCGACAAGAAGATTGGCCCGATCTCGAGGACTCAACCCATTCAGTAAACTCCGTTCATCTCCCACGAATTCTTCCAAAATCCGCTGCTCTTCTTCCTCTTGATTTCCAGGTAGACTTCCAGGAGCCCCGAATCGAACCATTGCACGGAATCGATCTCCACAACATCCTGGGCGTGTGCATCCAGTCAGACACCTCCGGTCGTCTTTTTTGCGAACAACGTCGTTGTATGCGTAGTCAATTCCTTGATTCCTCTCGGAATTAATCTTGAAGTGATCGAGGGTTTGAAGCTGGAGAGGTAGTGACCTGTAAAGTCCATCTCCCGGGGGCACCTCCGGCTCTGTTTGAGACACAGGCACCATAGCCCCATGAATGCTTCTTGATGAATCCTTCATTGAATGTTGCACAACACTCGATTGACGAATATATTTCAGCGGAGATCTGGTAGGCGCTGGTCCTTCTAGAAGGTCTTGCAGAGTGAGATTTATCTTTGACCCTGATTGGGTAGCTGGTGTATCCCTCACGGGATGTGAATGAGTAGCGCAGTTCTCCTTCTCTCCATCTTCAGCAAAAGTACGAGCTGCATAGTTAGATGTAGCTTTCAATCTTTCTTTCGTTCCAGAATTTTGATCTGAAAATCTGGTTAATCGTTTTGCATTGCCATCAATCGACTGGAGTACACGAGGTCTTTGGCAGGAGGAATCTGGTGCATGATCAGCTTGACTCATAGAGTCCGAGTCCTCCCAATGAACCACTCGGTGTGCCTGCCGCTTGGTAGGGGTTTGCACTGTGTCCCCGATATCGTCTAGGTCCTGAGTGCTTGGAAGATACGCTTGGTAGTGTTGTGTGGGACTCGATGACAGTGGCTCAATCTTCACTCGCTGTGATCGCTCAGGAACACTTCCCGTCGGCTGACCAAGGGGAAGTTCTGGATCCCGCTTTCTTTTCTGAGTTTTCAAGTCAGGTAGAGGAAAAAGAACATCTGAGTGTGATCCTGAAGATTCCGATTCCGTTCCAGTTTGGGGAGATTGGGTGTCTAGTGCTGCTGTAATGGTTTTCTTGGTCACTAAACCGGAACGATTTTGGGTAGAGTTGGGGGTAGTTGTAGTTTCAATAGGTCCCAATTGCGAGCTTGGTGAAGTTCTAAAATTTGCAGATGTCGATCGAGATTTCCTTGAGGCAGAACTCTTCCCTTCGAAATTTGATGTCGGTGGTACACGTTGATATGTGATTGGCGCGCCTTTGATCAAGACTGTGAACTCCTCCTTGTTGATCGAGCTTTGAAACTGTGACAAATGTTTTCTGTGCTTGAAGTTTGCGACCTTCAAGTCTTTACAAATCTCTGCAAGTGTTTGCATATTACCGTAAAGGGCTGTATACTTGGACTCGAGAGTTTCCCGATCCACGTCGTGGGATTTCGTCCCAAGTACATGATTTGGCTTGAAATCGGTTTGCACGTCAGCAAGTCGTTGCAGATCTAGATCCTCCGGACTATAATCGTGAAAAGAGAGCTCGGTTCTAAGCGCTGAAACCTCACGCTCCAGGTCTTTAATTCGGTGCTCAGCCTTTTGGCGGGCTTCATTGGCAATTGACGCGGCGGCGTTAGCCTCTTGCAACTCTACCGTATGAGTAGCCAGTTGGGATTTGAGATTCTGTTGAGCTTTTATAAAAGCGGACTGGTACGCCTCCGAAATCGAGATCTGAAGCTCCTCGAGTACCTCCATATCGTCGCTTTCAGAGTAATCAAGAGATGCGAGGATCGACGCGTCTCAATGGCGATATCCACTGACCGCCTTGTGGTAGGGACCCGCTTATCGGCTTCACGATAAGGTTGGCCTTCTGAGAACAAAGCAATCCAACATGTTCTTTCATCGACAACTCCGCAAAGCGAATTTTTGGCCTGCTTGAAGCTTCTTGCGAGTCCCACAGAATGTCGAAACGTGCCATAGATGATGATGACGACACTGGTGAGCAGTCTGATTTGCCAATTGCAAAGCGCAAGGAGATTGGGCTCGTTCAATTGGATCGACTGTCCACTCTGAGCAATGAACTCATCCTGAACATCTTGTCTTTTCTCCCTATGCCTTCATTGATCACATGTCAAGTGTAGACCAACCCAATGTGACCCCATCCAAGCAAACTGGAAAGCCTCATTAATTCATACAGATTATCTCATCGATTTAATGATCTCTGCAAAGACTCTGAGATTTGGAAAATGCACTACTTCAACACGTGGGTTCGTCCTCGAGCCTGTCAGACTGCCAGAGTGGAGTCCTCATCATTGCAACCGAAAACAAATTATTCACCCCAAGTCTCAACATGGCTTGATCACGGACATTTGGCCACGGAAATGACCAACTGGAAAAGCCAATACCGCCTCCGGCAAAATTGGTACAGAGGTGTCTGTCGCGTCTCTGAAATCGAGTTTTCTGAGCCTCCCAGTCGACGGGCGCTGGTCCAGCTCTGTGCTGGAATTGTCGTGGTAGCTGACACTCATGGACTTCAAGTGTGGGCCGCCAACGATCCCGCGCGCTGTCTAGCAAGAATCTCGTTTTCCGAGGAATCAAAGATCTTGTTCCACCCGGAATTAAAGACTACTTTAAAACCCACAGCCTTGGCTGTAGGTAACTTTGAAGAGCAGCAGATGATTGTGGTGGGATTTGGGAATGGTCAAGTCAGTCGATATGTCTTGCATATTCAAACACACCGGCTATGTTTGCAATCTTCGCACCGTGAACGCAAAGCAGCAATCACTAGTGTAGCTCTTTCATGGCCATTCCTCATGATGAACTTCGACTTTAAGTTGTCACTTTACCGCCTCCGTGCCCCAGATGAGAAAGAAATTGATTGGCACCAAGTGGCAACTCTTCAATCTGGAAAAGGCATTGGTTCACTAAATCTTTCTCTTTTCACTTCGGCACTTGATATCGTGGCTAGAATTGTTTATAATTTTTATCATAATGGTTGTGGATGGGCCCTGAAAATTCAGGAGCTTCGGTTCAATAAAGAAGGTCACCAGACGAGATCCCGTTTGACGGATACTGTCCATTCGCAATACTCTATTCATCCGCTACGTGGAACGCAGATTCCGTCTATCATCCATCCGAAACCACCGACATCCATTTCTTATTCCCACCCATACTTACTGACATCTCACTCGGACAATACATTAACCATGTACCTGGTGGTTTCCGATGCCAATAGTCTGTTCATTGGTGAGGGACAACGGCTCTGGGGACACACATCTTCTGTGTCCACGGTGCAAGTGACCAACCGCGGGAAAGCAGTGTCTATGAGTTCTCGTGGGAAGGAGATCCGAGTTTGGGAGCTCGAACCAACTGCCCGGCAGCCCTTTCAAAACGATAGCATTCAAATTATACCTGACGAGAAGCCATTCGATTCACAGCTACCTGATGGAGCGGGAATAGATGAAGATTTGGTCCAACTTGAATGTGTCGGATTTGATGAAGAACGGGTACTCATACGGCGAGAGGGAATTATGGGCACACAGCTTGCGTGTTATGATTTCACTTGAATCTGGGAGCAATCAAAATGAGCGGACTAACGCAGGTCATGACCCGGTCTGGCAGGCTGTAGCACAAGGTACTCATGTCCACTGGGGACCCTGGCAGGCCTGGGGTATATACTGGCAGGTTTTCCCTCCAGTTTCCTTTTTTTCTTTCTCAAACTCCTCCCTCAGATTGAATGCAATTCAATGCATGTAATACATTGCATTTGTTATGATATCCGAACGATATGGTTTCGAAGGAACAGTATGAGCCCTACTGTGCGCTCAAAGTGTGCAATTTGTTGTTCAATTAAGCAGCAAATCAAAATCAGATCAAAACATTGATCTTGACCTTGAAGAATGAAATCCAGTATTATTTATTTTAGTAGGTTCCGTATTACTCGGTATTCCTCGTTCTCTTGTTCCCTCGTTCCCTCGTCTCTTCGCGGGAACTTTTCACCTCAGGCCCCCGCACTACAAAATTCCTCGCTCCCGTCCTCTCATCTTCCCACCTACATCCCTTCTTCTTTCACTACATCCCCTTTTTTAATCGACAACTCGATTTGAAATATCTACATTATGGATTCCCGTACTCGAGGATGCTACAACTGTTAGTTCTTTCCTTTCCTATCCCTCAGCCCTGCAAGTTCTCTCGCCTATCTTCTGACCGCACAGTGCTAGCTCTATAGCCCACCATGAAGCTCATTGACTTCTTTCGTGGGCTATTTGATGCTGTTTCTGTTGTCTGTGACATTCTATCTCTTTTACACTCTCTCCTCATCTCTCCCTTGGCCTGGCATCTTGCTCTCTCTATTTGCATATTAGCTGACTTTTTTTTTTCTGTTAGGCGGTGAACAAGCCCACATGGTAATTTGACGACCCCCCTCGAATTTTGCAAATCCTGAATTGCAGGGTATTGTGTGGATTTGGAAACAACAAAAATTGATGAATAAGGCTAACTGATATTAATTAGGCCAAGGACTGCCCCAAGAAGGGAACTCCTACCTGGTAAGTTGATGTTCAATCGAAGTTTCTTATTGAACTTTGGACTGACTGAAATGACAGCTACAACTGCGGTGGTGAGGGTCACGTCAGTAAGTATTAATCTACCCACTCTGCTTGATCTTTGAATTAACTCCTTTCTAGACCGTGATTGCCCCCAGCCCCCCAAGGCACGTGCCTGTTACCGATGCGGACAACCGGGTCACTTGTCTCGCGAGTGCCCCCAGTCTGACGGCGGTAGCTACGGTGGCGGTGCCGGTGGTGGTTCTCAGGAATGCTACAAGTGTGGTCAGGTTGGCCACATTGCTCGCAACTGCTCTCAGGGTGGTGGTAACTACAACAGCGGTGGTTACGGTGGTAACAGCTACGGCGGTTCCCGTGGTGGCCAAGGCCAGTCCACTTGCTACTCTTGCGGTGGATACGGCCACATGGCTCGTGACTGCACTCAGGGTCAAAAGTGCTACAACTGTGAGTCTTGTCTTATTCTCTTCCATCCTTAAATACTCGCTCACGTTTGTCTTAGGTGGTGAGGTTGGCCACGTCTCCCGCGACTGCACATCCGAGACCCGCAATGAGCGTGTTTGCTACAAATGCAAGCAACCCGGACACATCCAGACCGCTTGCCCCAACTAAAAAGCTGGATATTTCAACGTCCTTTTTTCGTGTTCTTCTACCGGCCTTCGACAGAAATGAACGGTTTCTTTTGCATGCCCCGAACGATTTGAAATGACCATTTCCCGGGGATATTTCTTTGTTTTTCTTCTCAACCACTCACAGCTTTGAACGGTGACTATGGGGGTCTTCTCTTGCAATTTGCTTCAATTACTCTTGTAGTTTTGGATCTTATTCCTGGTCTGCTGGATTTTGCGCGTGGGAAGCAAAGTTGCAATAGGTTATTTTGCTTGCAGGTTTAAAAAATGGGTGCGCAAGAATTTCATTCTGGGTGATAACAGTTTTCTACATTCTCCCCCCCAGTACGATTGTTAATTCTTTATGGATTGTAAGACGAATCGTAGTAAGAAGCCTCACACCAATATAAATTAGGCCGACTTCGTAGGAGACATACAATATCTACCTAGATAATCCTTTAAGCTTGCAATGCTCCAGTGCTGACTCTCCAGCTTATCAGCTTTCTCACAAGATCTCATTCGTCTAGGGTAGCCTCATGAGCTACAGCTACACATCATTGCCCTCTTGTATTTTGGAACGTCGCCACAGAAGCGTTCCTCTTCCTCCTTCGACAAGCCCCATTCATCATTGAAAGGCTTTAAACTCATCTTCATGACCCGTTCTAGTACTTCCCGGTCTCCTTTACGCTCCACGCGCTCAATCACTTCGTCCAAGATCCATCCTCGAGGTACAAACTATACCAACCATTAGATATATGCAGTTAGACCTACTTGTAAGGAGCAGGAAACTTACGTTGGGATTGACAGCTTTCATAGCTGCTTGTCTATCTCCATCCTTGTCAGCGGCCCAGTCCTCTAGCACACGGACTCGCCAGCTCTCCAGCCATTTGGCAACTCGAAATCTGGCCGAAGCATCGGTATAGCCAATCCCACCAAATCCTTCGGCATGGAAAAAGACAGATGCGGCTTGGATCCGCTGTTCTTCGGTTTCTAATTCAGAGATTGGCAGACTTGATAGGCGGCGGAAGAAATGGTTAAAATCCAGCTCTAAAGCTTCCAGGGTATCCAGCATCTCAGAGAATAGGCTCTGGAAATCTGACTCCTTTTGGGTCTTTAGTCCAAGTCTTTTCTTCATCAATTGCTTGTACTCGTTCAGAAATACCGCCTTGAACTCCTCGCCTGCTCTCTCGATCAGGGTTTCCGCCAGCTTTATGATTTCAGGCTCCATTTCCTCAGTCACGCCATCTTTGATAAAATTCTCATCGTCCACCTTGTTCCCAGCACCAAGAAGCTCCCCAAGAGACTCACCAAGTCGAACCAGGTTCCACCAAATGATACTAGGTTGGTTCTTATACGAGTAACGCAACATATGGTCATCATGGTTTGGTGTGTATGCTGGATCAAAGTTATCCATAAAAGCAAAGGGGCCAAAGTCCAGCGACAAGCCAAAAATAGAGGTATTGTCAGTGTTGAGGACCCCATTCATAAAGCCGTAAGCCTGCCATGCAGCTACAGTCTTTGCATTGCGCCGAGTTATTTCGCGATACAACCGCGCAAATCGGTTCTCATTGACTCCTTGGTGTTCCTGCACATCGTCCCAAGGGATTCCCCTTTGCGGCTGATCTATATCCGAGGCTGTTTGCTCTTCGCCTACCGATACTGCAGCAGGGAGATTTTCCCAGCCGCCAAAAACATCTTCCGCGATGTATGATGCCAGTTTCCGGATCAGATCACGGTCACCGCGAACACGGAGAAGATCGAATGTTCCAATTCGCAGCCAGGATTCAGCAAATCGGGCGACAATAGCTCCTGGTTCGAGTCGCTCTCGCAGCACTTTTTCGTTTGGTAGCAATGTCAAGGATAATGCACGGGTAGTAGGCACACCCAAGGCGTTGAGGGCTGGATAATCTTTGATGAGTTTCAGAAATGTAAAATTGGAGACGGGAAAGGACTACCCTCAGAGACGATAAATTCACGGATGCTGGACCGTAAAACTGCCTTGCCATCGGCAAATCGAGAATAGGGTGTCTTTCCTGCACCTTTCAGCTGTAGCTCGTATCGTCTATCTGATTGTGGATTGGTGCATTCAAAGAGACTGATTGCTCGCTGTCAAATTTTAGCTCTTGGTATTCAATCTTTGCCAAACACACGCTCTTACCCCGTCTCCTAGCTGTCCAGCCCATGATCCACTGGGAAACTGTCAGTCTTGGGACTAGTTCTCTAACAGTAACAATCTTACAATTGCCAGCCTAGAATATCTTGTTAGCACCGGGTTTGTCATAACTCTCTGAGGGCAAACCAAGTAGTGAAATGACTTACCCCCATAGCATTGCGCCCATGGGTAGATTCCCCCCTGCTCCTCGCCCCACCAGATTTCCTTTCCAGCAACTAATGCATGGAAATGCGGTGTTTGTTCCTCTCCAGACTTCAGGCCTAGATCTTCCATTGCCCTAGGACTCACAACGAGCAGTTCTGTATCCTCAATATTCTCCGGTCGTACATAGGTAAACAACGCTCCCTTGACAATGCGGGGGCCCAAAGTCTCTCGAGGCGCCTTATGCGATATATCTGGAGTCTCAAAAGCAGGGTCTGGAGGTAATTTGGACGTGAAGACACTCGATTTCGGTAAATCCATCAATGATACCCCCATATTTGTGCGGGTAGACATATGGGAAGCCATTAGACTCAGGTGCTTAATCGACGAATGAAGTATTCGCGACATAAATGAATATAGCACGCAAACTGGCTAGTGGCTAGATATATGAAATTACGTAGAAGTGAGTGACTAGTCATTAGTTACGTACTTCATAATCAATTGAATGACATCATATGCTTAGTCATTTATCCGGCACTTTTCCGGATAAAATGGATCAACTCAACTTGAAGCGGGTATAGTCTTCGCCATGCAAATGGTCAATGGCGAATGGCGAATGGCGAATCTATGATATGCGATTCAATCCCGTCATTCGAGTCTCCGACCCCGCATGAAGTCTTTATATATGTGGGGGTTGTTGCCCCTTAGAACTTCAACATCTTCAATTTCCTGAATCTTCACATCCGACATGGCTGCTACTATCAACGCAATCCGAACTGCTGTTTTGAACGACGGCATCGCAATTCCTATTGTGGGTCTCATTCGTCACATTATATGACATACTTCGATAGAATATCCTCCTGACCATACAACAGATTGGATTTGGAGCTGGTACAAAGTGGTCCAACAGAACAAACAGCACTGAGCTCAATCGTCCTTTGATTGAGTCGGTTAACAATGCCACAAAGCTTGGATATAATCATCTCGACGGCGCAGAGGTTTATGGTACCGAAACAGAATTGGGCCAAGCGATCCAGGAGAGCGGATTGTCTCGAGATAAGCTCTTTGTAACCACGAAGGTGATTGTCAACATCGCCGATATCGGAAAAGCCATCGACGAGAGCTTGAAGAAGTTGAAGCTGGATTATGTGGACTTGTAGGTTCTTCTAACTTGTAAATTATGGCTTAATCACTTACTCTATCTCTAAGGTATCTCATTCATTCTCCGTTCTTCGCAAAGGACGATGCTGAGCTCCAAGCTGCCTGGGCTTCCATGGAGAAGGTCAAAGCGTCTGGAAAAGCCCGGTCGATTGGCGTGTCCAACTTCCTGCAAAGTCATTTGGAAACCATTCTCAAGACTGCCACTGTCATTCCGTCAGTGAACCAGATTGAGTTGCACCCATATCTCCAGCATGGGAACCTTCTTCCCTTCCACGAGAGCAAGGGAATCAAGACAGTCAGCTATGGACCTCTGACTCCACTTCTTCGCGCTCCAGGAGGACCCGTAGATCCTCTACTCTCTCAATTGGCCACCAAATACGCAGTCAGCGAGAGTGAGATTCTTCTGCGTTGGACGATTGACCGCGGCGCAGTGGCGATCACCACCAGTAGCAAGGAATCCCGTCTGACCAACTACCTTCGCGCCTTGACTTTCGAATTGACTCCCAAGGAGGTGGAAGAGATTTCCGAGCTGGGACAGCAGAAGCATTATCGTGCGTTCTGGACAGATAAATTTGCTGCTGATGATCGTTCCTAATCTTGAAAACTTGGGGACTTTGGAGCAATAAAATATAGATGTCCATTTATACATACATACGGTATATAATAAATCTGACTATAATTTGTCATAACTCAGGGAACATTCACGTATAATTGAAACAGTAACAAAGTCGCCATGACAGTATTTAATAGGAGAAACACCCATCTGAATCGAATAGATGAAACAAAGCAAAACGAAGAGAGGATCAAGAATCCAAAAGCGGCGGGAGGAACAATCCCGAAGTGGAAACCCCCGGACACTTCCACTTCTGCTCTTTCCTAGAGTATAGCTCTTTCTCAACAGAGCAGTTTCAGTTCTAAACTTCTCTTACTTCCATCTGGGGACCCATCACGAGCGTCATCAGATGCCCTGATGAGCCCCCTCCCCTTCTAATGCTGATGCACTTCTGATTTAACCTCGAACCTCGCTATTCTCTCTCCTCATGTTTTGATCTTTCTCTCCGTTTTTCTTTCTCTCTCTCTTCAACATCCCCGATCATATTCTACTTTCAACCTGATCAATCTATACATACGACTCAAATACTTACAATTCACTTCCCAAAAACATTTTACAGAACGCGGGTCGTTAGCTGGTGAGCAGAAAAAGTCGCAAATTATCCGCGGAGACTGCGATGTCGGTGAACAATCAACCCCCCTCTGCGGACCCGACAATCTCCCAACGCGCAAACCGAACAACTGGCCTTGAGGACCTGGACAAACAACTCCAGCAACTCTCTGATACCGTGCTTTCTCATCACCCATACCTCCTCACTCTCCCCACGAATTTGCCTTATCGCCTGAGTACCGCGCAACATACCGCAGCCGTTAATTGGGCAGTAGGACATGATCGGCCCTTCCAATCAGGCGAACAGCCACTTCAATTTACAACCTTCTTGACTTTCAACAAGAAGTCGTTGCTTAAGGCTGTTGGAGATTGGTGCAACAAATCTGGCGAGAGAATGGTCAACAGCGTTGTCCCGAGCAGAAGAGACACTCCTAGAGAGGTGGCTGCCAAACAGAAGATCAGCCTAAGCGACTACAGGAATCATAGGAATCAGAATACCATCAAATCTGTCGAGAGTCAAAACAAAATGAAGCATTCAGTGAATTTGAAGCGCGAAGAACAAAAACAAACACCGAAGCTTGATCCCGTCAAGAAGAGCGATAAGCTCACGCTGCCTTTCAGCTCCAAATCGCAATCGCTTCTTCCCCCAAGCAAAGCCTCTAAGAAACGACCTTCCACCACGGATACTGAGCATCTGGGTCCTTCGGCGACCAAATCACCTGATATGCACTCTCCAAAAAAATCTCGACTTTCTCCAGAGAAAGAAACGCGATCGGAAATGATCCCCGCTCAATCGCATTCTCCACGTCTCCCCGCCTTATTATCGCCTACCCTCCCACCCACGTCTGGTCCAAAGCTTCCGCGATTATTGTCTCCTACCTTGCCCCCAGATATTGAAAAAGAACTTGCCAGACTGGAAGAGCGCTCATCACGCAATTCTCCAAAGCGTGACACCGCATCAGTGAAAGGCAAACGGGACGATCCAATCCAAAACAGAACTCCAAAATCTTCCAATAGCAGCAGCATATCCAGTCACCAAAGCACTCGCACGGGTCTACCATCCAAAAATAACGGTGTTTCCAAGTACATGGTTAAATTGCGTTACGGAAAGGCCAATCGAAAACGAATCGAGGGGCTCCTCAAATTTTCTGGGAATAAGAAACCCGCTCGAGCTGATTCACCACTTCCTCCGGATACGGATCTTGAAGACATGTCGAACAATGACAAGAATAAAATGGAGTCTGCGCCAACGCGTAATCACGCGCCAGATCGAGTCAAGCCCAAGGATAAACCTGAGGCAGACGAGACTTTTGGCGCTCTGGGTGGCCGCCCTAAGGAATCCAAAGGCTCTATTGAAAAGCCCCCTACTGCAGCTCATTTGTCGAGTTCCCTCCTGCACACCCACGAGAAAGTTAAGTCAACTTCGTTGACACCCGTGAAGGACACGAAAGGACTGAACTCGCGACGGAACGGCGGTGACAGCACACCCAAAAATTCAGCGATTAAACAATACTCCACTGATCTAGGAACCAAGGCATTGCCTCTGCAATCAGATAGCCGCTCTCGAGATCAGGATCGTCGCGCCTGGCGAGATGAGTACCAGAAAGTTTACAATGTTGCCCGAGAACTTAAGCATGCAGCCGAACGATATACTTCCAAGAGCGGCGCGTCGAACGCGGATAAGAAGTTAGCAGCGGTGACAGCTATCGAGGCTATAATGTGCTTCATTCTTGCATTTGTGGCCGACGACCAGTCTAAGGTCCTCGCGCGGCAGGCCAGTGATTCCTCGTTGTGGCGGTCGATACTGGCATATTGGCGTGTGGTTCAGAAGAACAGTTCGACGTACCCGGTTTTAAATAGTCTCTGTTTACTCCTGGGTGCCGTGTCCTACAGTACCATCCATGCACTGGATCTTGAACGCCTGGCCGTTAGCCCTCTTCCTGGAGAGCACACCCCAGTACCCACTCCTGGAAGTGATGGCAACACTGTGCCATCCGATGAGAATAAGAAAAGCCGCAAAGACTTCTTGGAGTTGAAGAATAGGCTTCCTGGATACTACAAGGAATCACAAAAGCTTTGGCTGGAAGTTTCACGCGGCCTCTCTGAGGACGTGCTGAGTGAAGAGTTCCCCACCACCTGGTCTCGACGATCCCACAATCATTCCGAGAGAGGAAAGTCCACTCTCCGAGCTGGTGACTATGCAGGTGATTATTTTCTTCCTCTAGGTGGAACTAGCCCGCCTATTGAAGTCGTGCGATTTGGTTGGTCTCTTCTCAAGGAGTGGTGTTCACAGGAAAAGGTGGAGTGGAATGGTCGTCTTGGTCTTTAAAAGGTTGAGGGTCAGGAGAATTACATTTATCATTTTATTTTATGAACGCGCGCAAAATGGGGTAATATTATCGGCGCCCAGGGTTTTTTTGCATTTTTTAGTGCTTCTGTTCCCCATGATACCAACGAGCGATGGATTCTTTTACAAGCTTATTTGATTAAATATATCATTCGACACAGTTGATTCATTGCATACCTACTAAATTCAAGTAAAGTTCCATCTAAGTCTTAAAATAATTTCCATTATCCAACGCCTCCACCCCGGTCGCTAGGTGTCAAATCGCAATGAGAATGTCGCTGAACTAAAGAACACATAAAGAGTAAAGGGAAACGTTATCATCATGGAGGGGAAGATGGAAATAAAAAAGGAAAAAGGAAAAGGGTTAAAAAAAGCCATAACGCAAGTAACAAAGGATTAGACATGGTGATATTCTGGCGAGAAGTCCTCATTGGAGTCACCAAAGAGCCATCCAGCTTCACGGCAGTATCTAGCCTCCCGGCCATAGATTCCAACCTCACTTGCCCAGCATATCACCGCGGCATCGACAATGTCCGCAATAATGCCTTCAATCGCACCTAGTGTGCTCCAGCCAATGGTACCTGCAATAAGACCAACGACGTAGGCATATAAACTGCCCCGAATTGTGTTTCCACCGGATGTGGTAGCCAGGCTTCGGGCAGTGGTGACCCAGCCGCCGAATCCCAAGGCCAAAGACATCATCAAGCGAGCAGCATAAAGAATTAGTTTGGAGAGTCGGTATGAAAGAAGCGATGTCGAGGCACTGGAAGAGCGAGTAAATGCACGAGGATTCAAGGATGCTGATGCTGTGGAGGGTTTCAGGATAGTCATTTGGCTTAATCCGCGTGCAGAAGCGGCCAAAGGTTGGGAATGAATGGCTCCATAGGTCAACGAGAGGGGGTTTGTCAGGAAGGCAATAGGTGTGGGAATCAGCGAATAGGCGAACAGACTGAGTACGGAGGATATGCGACCCGGGAGCACAATCAGGGGTAGTCGAATAATAAGCCCAAGGATGCGAGATAGACAGATTGTGCCAAAAAGCGTCGTAGTAGCATGGACCATGGCAGCTTGGACAATCTGTCTCGATGTCGGCGCGGGGCTAGCCAACCGGTGAAAATACCACTGACTCACTGTCGCAGCCGTCACTGCGCGCTGGATACCAGCAATGACTCCAATAGACCATATATAGATGACAACGAAGTAGACTCCCAGCCACCAACTACTCAAATTGATGATGAAAGACTTTGGGCCGGCTCCGCTGTTAAAATGGCCACCCAGAAACACGCGAGTGAACATAAGCATCCAAATCCATGTCCATGAAACCACGCAAACAAGAATTGCCAAGCCTAAGGCCAGCAGCTCAGGATTGGCGGCCAAGATTCGACACGCAAACTCAAGGATACCGATCGCCTTTCCGACAGATTGGCGGCCTCGAACAACATTGTATATCCACAGGGTGGCCAACACAAATGGGACAATGGAGCCCCAGCGCATAAACTTATCCTGGACGCTGCTGCCATGCCAGACGCCCTTGAAGCTCGAAATGAAAGGATATAGGGAAAATGAGTATAAAATGGAAGGGACTGCAACGATAATGACGTGAACTAGGATTCGTACGTAGGATCGCAGCAAAGCTAGCCAAACGAGAGACACGGAAATTGACACTAGCGTATAAATTCCCAAGAGAAAGAATGAGCGATGGACAGTGAGATATATTGTGTCGCCCCATTTCGACTTATCGCCAGATGGACTAGATGTATGTAGGTAGACGAGAAACGCCGTGGCGAAGAGAGCCGCAAGAGATATGACAAACAGCTGGCCCCAAAAAGTATCGTGCATGGATGTTTCTGGTGCGATTGGGGAGATGGATGCGTTAAACGAATTTGTCGAGCTCGACGCCCGCGGGGATAAAACTTTGGGTTGATCATCACTGGGACCGAATGCATTCGGCCCAAAATTATTGTCCTTGGTTGAATTTCTTTCTCGAAATCTTTGAACAGGTGGTTCGTCCCCAGAATGGACGTGTTCCCCATCAGGGTTGCCCAAAAAGGAATCTTCTAGTCCCACATCAACCAAATTTCCTTTGGCTTTGATATTACCAGAGCTGGTACTAGGCCCTGCCTCTGACTCGATCATTTCAGCCACAGGATTAATCCGAGATTTGTGGGTTGCGATAGGCCCCTTCTCTCCGCGCCATGAGCTCTTGATGCCTTGTCCGTTTCTAAGACGTTCATCATATAGAGAAGGTCCTTCATCATATCCCGAACGATCAGAGTCCTCAAGTTCCGAAGACTCCTTAAGGTTGCTATCGCCAAAATGCCGTCGGGATCTCTGCAGCGCATAAAAGTCCGCAATCTCCCGTTCCCGCTCAGCCTCATCGTCTTCTTCCCGAAACTCGTCAGCGGCACTATGAAATAGAGGAGCTGGTTGCACCGAAGTTCGGGAAGCAAATGGAAAGTTTGATATCTGGGAAGTACCAGGTCTATATGGATCACCAGTCCTTAAAAAGGAGCCCGAGGAAGGGTTAGCCTGTCTTGGATTGGGGCGTGCACGACCAGTTCTTTGAAGCTCGTCTGGTCGAGATGCAACTCGAGACTGTGACTGAGCAAGGAACCGCGAGGCATCTGGAATAATGCTGGTGGTCAGACTTCAGATGTATATTTTAAACTAAAAGAAACTATACATACATTCGGAGAACATGGCCCACTATCGGCGGATCGGTGTGGAGAGAGAGGTATGAACGATGCCTGAATGGTACATCAGAACAAGATAAAGATTATTGGAGGTGATGTGCGAATATACCAGAAGATAAGGGGAAGAAATTAGTACCTGTATAATCGGGACAAAGAACTAAGACGGTGTAGAAGAGTAAAAAAAAAGGTCATTCAGACGATGCAAGCGTCATCTGGGTAGGTCAGGTCCCGATAGCTGACTCATCTCTCTCCACTGATAAACTTCTGAAACCACATGCACGTTGGTGTACTGCACCTACCGGAAATTAAATTCCCCTGTCTCTCTCCATGTCACAGCCATGGGATTATATTGCTAAGCTAGTTTGCATCGGCGACTCTGGCACCGGCAAGTCCAGTGTAAGTACTGAGTAGTATTAGTAGTAGTTGTTGTTGCTGTTGTGGATGACCACTAACTAGGACCATAGCTTACCATCCGTCTCTGCGAAGGTCGCTTCTCATCATCTCACGATGTCACTATTGGAGTGGAATTTGGGTCTCGGATTGTCCCAGTAGGACCTCCTGCCTCACTGGATCTAGGACTTGGGGAGCTTTCTGGGGATGGTTCAATCTCTCGAGGTGAGGTAACTCAGGACGAGTCTGCCACCTCGGGTCTTCCTAGCCCACCTCGGAAAGCACAAGAAGCCCCTCCCCAGAAACGAATGAAGCTGTCTTTATGGGACACTGCTGGCCAAGAAACATACAAATCCATCACCCGCTCCTACTTCCGCGGCGCCTCGGGTGCTCTTCTAGTTTTCGACATTTCAAGGCGTTCCACTTTCGTCTCCTGCACGCAGTGGCTCCAAGATCTACGACAAATCGCAGAAGAAGGGATTGTGGTTATTCTGGTCGGCAATAAAACAGATTTGGCCGGACGAGAAGCTGGATCCAATCAACGACATGTGACTGTGCAAGAAGCTGAAGAATGGTGTCGGATGAACAATGTCGTTCGCTACGTTGAAACTAGCGCCAAGTCAGGGGATGGTGTCGAGCAAGCTTTCTTGGAAGTTGCCGAGCGGATCTATCGCAATATCGATGCTGGCAGATACGATCTAAATGACCGACGAAGTGGAGTCAAAGGATTTGGCGCCTCTGGGGGTGCACACAAAGGCATGCCGAGAACCGTAACCCTGGGCATGGATGATGCCATGAAAGGTGGCTGGACGGGCTATTGCTGTTAGCCAAGGGGTGAATTCTTTTTTTTTGTCTTTGCATAATTCAACCTAGTATAACCCTACGAAGCATAATCGCCCTCTAATAATCAGAAATGAGATCATGAATAAGGAAAAAAAAACATTTACAATAGTCTACCAAAACAATTTAACTTAACATGGATCGTATAGCTCCCCCGTAAGCCATCCGTAAGCCATCCATCCAGTCTTTCATTGGGATACAGGGCAGTCTGAACTTGTTTAAACCACCAAATATTCAGCTTTTTGTACCGTCTTGCGATCCCTCAGTTCGAGAGCTTCCACCCGGGGAACCAGCGGAGGTGAGCCCACTGCTGATGAGGGCCCTCCATTCCAAACACGATAGCTCGGAAGTGTACGAACAGTGCGATGATGACGGCATACAGGATGGTATAAATAACGGCAGCGAATTTCCCGTTGACGCGCCGACTAACCCAGTCAACACAAAACCCGAAGGTGAGGATAGAATAGTAAAGCGCTGGATAGTAATGGTGGACATAAGTCACTCGAGCCATAATGATGAAAGGCAGGTAGTGCAACACCCAGCCAACCACAGGATACAACCCGGAATAATGGATATGATCCACCTCAGCCTGACTCAGATCTTGATAGCCTCTCTGCCACCGTAGAAGGTACCAAAGAAACAAAAGACCAAAGACGCCCAAAGAAGCAGTGCTACCCCAGTAGACGAGGGGGTTACCAAGAAGATAGTACTTGATAACACTGTCATCCCAGGAGCACATCCGCAAGCCTACATTCAGAATTGGCCATTGCCAGAATGCCGAGGCCAGGTCATCCTGCTTATCTGGATCTGGGACAAGAGCGTTATTGGATGTCATCATGGCGACATTCAAGTGGATGAAATCTCTGAAGAATGGTGACTTGTAAGAGCCGGGATCACCAGGAGGCACTATTGATGAATCGTCAGTCAATGTGTATGTGTCAAATGTCCCTCAAATATTAGTGACCTACAGCGTTCATTTGTGTGGGACTCGACGTTCCAGTGAGTGTACACATCACCAGGTTTGTTTTCCTTGACGCACGTGGTTTCGATCTGCTTGAAACCCCACTGAGGAAGATTGACATTTCCAGCACGAAGGTAGCAGCCCAGTGCCGGATGACGAAGTCGGAAGGCAGTTGTCAATGTTCGAATTTTAGTGCGATCCCGGGATGCAGCATCATCAACAACCTCAATCTGCCAGTGATCCTTTTCATCTCCAATAGTTGTGTTGCCATAACAGGACACTTCGTTGTGGGACTTGGACACGGGAGCGGCAACGGCATGGGAATGCAGGTTACGGCCGGTCTGTCCATGGATAAACCGGATCACATCTCCATCACCAATAAACTTCAATTCACCTTCGGCATCATATTCTGGCTCATATCGGCTGGGGTAAATGAACCAGTCGTTATTGGCATCCTTGTGGTGGTAGCAGGTAACCTGTTGCTGTCCCGACCCATCAGGGTAAGTCTGGACGTGCGAGTGCAGAAGGCCACCACCGTAGCCCATGTTCTTCAGGGTTATGCGTGATCCATGTGCAATCTCAAGTGGACTGTCTCGTCCAACCTCAGTACCGTGAAGATTGGCTTGGAAAAGAGAACTCATTTGGGCATCTCCAGGGCCACTGTTTGACAAGACAAGGAAGTGCAAATAGAAAGAGAAGAGGTAAACCAAAAAGGGAATGACAATTAGGCCTCCGACACGAGCGAAAAGATGCTTCGCCAGCACAGTCTAATAATACAGCTGTCAGCTAAGTCCACAGCCCACGGGATTTCGAGATCAAATACTCACCGGTGGCATTTTCACATCGCCAAACTTGTTCCATAGATCTTCAATTGTATAGAGACCAACGATTGCAGTGCAGAAGAATCCGACCCATTTCACACTGCAGACACAGCCAATACTCAAGCCCGTCAGGCATAGCCATAGATACCATTGTGGTGAAAAGCTAGATTTTTGCAGACGGTGGAAGCGTGCCCAACACAAGGTTGTTGTAAAGGTGAAGCAAAGCAGCATCGAGTCCAGCAGAATAAAGCGAGAAATGGTTGCATAGGAATTCTCACACAAAACCATCAAGCTAATGAGCCAAACGGTAGCCCGGCGGAAATTCAACTCACGAGCAGTGTAGTATGCCAGAGGAACACACACGGCGCCAAATAAAGCATTGAAGGCTCGCATAAATGTGTAGTCCACATCTTCGGGGTATTTTTCACCAGATTTGAATTCAAAGGACCCATTGTATCCGGCCAAGTAGCCGGAGAGGCCAACGAGCATCTTTCCAAGAGGTGGGTGGACATCGAAGTAAAATTCACGTTTGAGATAGTGGGAACCAAATTTGCCGAAACTAGAGCAATGTAAGAATCTGCTATTTGCAGCGCATCGAATAGAAGAAGATAGGTCTTACTGAGCCTCGTCCCAGGTAACGATATTGGAGCGTCCAATGCGATACAATCGAGTGAAGAGGGCAAGAGCCGTGAGAAAAATGGGTCCAATGATAGGCTCCCAATCAGCAAGAACATGGAGGAAAGAAGGCGACTAATACGGCAAGAATAATTAGCAGTGGCCAAAGAAATGATGGACAGACATAGCTTTACCTGTTTCGGTTTGGCCTTCTTTTCATCGTTCTCGACCACGGGCGAAGTGGGCTTTCCATTATCAGGGACATTTCTCCGGCGTAGGTCGGAGTCATGCTTTGCCCCTGTACTAGTAGCAATTTCGGTCATGATGTTGGAAATGAAATGAAACGAGAGTTAGGAAGAGGATATGGAGGCCAGGATAGGCCAGTAAGGAGAGAATGAGCAAACGAGCCTCAAAAGATCATAGTGGCCTCAAAAGGCCACAGTGAGTAAGGCTTACAAGACTGTAAGCAAGAAAATAGAGTAGAAATGGGAATTAAAAACGAGAGGAAGAAGGGGAAGCTTTGAGGGAAGAGGTAGAGCTGGCCAGATGGATAAACAGCCGCTTTAGCTTACGGCGGGGCCGAAAACGGGAGAACGTGGCCTTGGCCGAATGTGGACACATTACAGATCTATTGACACTCATACAATTATAAGGTACTGGTGTTGCATATTATAATTATAAGCCTTGTTTGGAATGAACTGAAAATAAAAAGGATTGAAATATGGGCTGATATTGATATCATGAGAGAATTATAACACAGTAAGTAGTACTAATTACATCGGCCCAAAACATTCCCAGATCAAAATCGACACAGATACAAATACAAATACACCAATTCTAAGTAATCAGTATATGCCAGAATACAAGCCATCGGTAAATAGAAGTTGATCTAGGATCCATGGCCGATATAAACAGGCAAACCAACACCGTCCGTGTTCCCCCTTTAACCACACCAGGAATGGCAAGATATGTGTATAAAAGAAACAAGATAGGGGGCGCATCATGCAAAAAATATCAGCAAATAAATCAACCTTAGAAGAATATACCCGGAAATGAAGGAGTTTATTAGAGTTTTAGGGGCATGCGAGGGAAGTCGAAGGCCATCCACCTCACAAAGTGAAGTTGAATATGAGAACAAAGACGTGCCACCACCTATTCGTCATCTACCTGATCACCCTGCTCAAGACGGCTGTAACTTTGGGATGTAGAACCGGCTTGTTGTCGGTTGACCATTTTGGATATCCAGCCACCAAACCCTTCTCCTCGAGAGCTACCCTGTTGAGAACTGGAGAGTCCAGGTTTGTTGGGCCCATCGTGATCTTGGTTCAAAAGCGGTGGGTCTATGTCGAGACCTGGGATGGCACTTTCATTACCAAATTGACCATACTGCCGACGAATATCAAGGGATGGAATGGGTGAGCCAGCACCCATGAGAGATCCACGCTCGCCATCCGTTGCTGGAGTGGGCATCGCAGTTGTTGCATCTCCAAACAGAACATTCATATCCTCCAGTCGGACACCACTAGTCTCGGGATACAAGAAGTACACTAAGACACACGAAGTTAATGAGGTTCAGGTCAAATGGACGTGTTCAGCCTGTTCACAAGGAATAGGGCGAACTTACCAACAACAAAACTACATGCGCAGAAAAAGGCATGTACCAAGTACAGACGCCACTTAATCGCATTTTGAAGTACAGGTGTTACTTCACCAACAAGCCAGTTAAAGGCCCAGTTAGAAGCAGTGCTCAAACTGGCTCCCTTGGCACGGATGCTCAAGGGTAAAATCTCAGGCGGGTATAACCAGGGAATTGGGCCCCATGATGCTCCAAATGACGCATTGTAAATCATGACAAATATGACAGTGAGCATCGGAGTAGCAGCAATTTCAATATAAATGAAGTAGGAGATCAAAGATAGGGAAATCAACATGGCGATGGCTCCCGAAAGAAGAATCGGCCGCCGGCCCCAGCGGTCCACAATATACCACGGTGGTATCGTAGAGAGTAAATAGGTGATACCATTGATGCCCGTCATGAGAATTGCATCCCGACCAGCCCAGCCGGCTGACTCGAATACAAGGGGAGCGTAGTATGAAATGACATTGATCCCATTCAGTTGAGCCAATGCCTGGGCCGACATGGCAATCAACACTCTCTTTTTATAACGGCGGAACATGTCGCTGTAGGATCTTTCGCCTTCCTGTCGCTGAAGGAGAACGTTCATCTTGATCTCTCGGTACTCTTGTCGGGCCTTGTCATTGTGAAGGTCACCCTCGCCATATAGATTAGCAATCACCACCATACCTTCCTCGTCATGATCATTATCTAGAAGCCACCTAGATTGAAACGTCAAATGCAGCCTACTGATAGAGATCATTGAGTAATATCTTACCTGGGGGACTCGCAAATGATCAGGCTTCCAATCCCAAGAGCAGCTCCCATGACGCACTGGCATAGAAGTGGTAGACGCCATGAAAAGTCAGACTCGATGTAACTACAGATGTAGTCGACCCAAACGCTAGTTGCATACCCGGCGATATTCCCAGTGAATTCAATGCAAGCCAATTTGCCGCGGTTGTGTGGAGGCTATCTGATATTAGCACCCGAATCCTACAGAGGAGGTTGATATGGAAAAAGTATTTACCGATATCTCAGACTGGTAAACAGGCACGATTGTCGACAAAGCTCCAACACCGAGACCAGCAATAATTCGCCCTACCATCATCATCGGCATGCTGATCGCAAAAGATTGGAGACCACCACCGATGAAAAAGACGAAGGATCCATAAAGGATAGTTCTTCGACGGCCGATAAGGTCGCCGATGCGACCTACCAGAAGCGAGCTTACAAAGGCTCCGACCTCTAGGATTGCCACGACTGTGCCAATGGTGGCTCGCGAGGGCTGACCGAAGTAATCATAAAAATACCAACCACTGTTTTTTGTTAATGGTATGCTTTTACGATGCTGGGAGGGGAACGGACGTGATAATTCCAGACATGACTCCTTGATCATAACCGAAGAGAAAGACACCTAAAGATACAAAGACGCTTGTAAAGTAGCTACGTGTAGCTGTCAGCAAGCTGTTACCCAATGAAGAATGTGACGAGAAAGACTCACAGTAATGGTTTGCCCACCAGGCCATGGATTTGGGCATTTTGCCCATTACCGGGGGACATGATGGTGGCTATGATACGTTCCGCTCTGGATATTCGTCGCGGCGTGGGTGTTGGTATTTGGATTTTTTCCTTGACCAAATGGTCGTACTCTAAATCTGGTGGATAGTGAACTCGCTTAGAGGGGCTCCGCTGGGATTGTCCCAATAGTTCTCGATTAGAGGACTCGTGGAGTTGAGGTTGAAGCGGAACCTCTTCAGCGAGCTGCTCGGCGAGGTCACCGGTATCTGACCAGATAGAGAAATCCGACTCGGTGGAGCGAGCAACAGATGAACGTCTACCCTTTTTACTGATAGAGTCTGGAGATTTTGAAAGTGATCGAAGAGGGATGGCGCGTGGGGTAGGTGGAATCTTTGAAGGCGGAATGATGACGATGGAGGCTTCCCAGGAAGCCTGAGATATAAGAGAGCCGAGTTCTTTCTTACGCAGGCCACGGCCCTCTTGTCATGAACACGCCACTAAGTGGTCACGATGGGGTAAATGAGAGAGCCCACTTGAATCGAAGTAGCAGGTAAAACTAGAACAATTTTGGCAATTTTTGGGGGAAAGGGGATCTCGGGAGGGGAAATGGACGAATGGGAAGAATGATTACACTGTACAGCCGAAAAGGAAAAAAAAGGGTCAAGGGATTGAACAACGTGCAGATGATGTGTTACACGACCGGTAATTGGATGTTAAAATTCAGAAGATATAAAGCTGTTATATGAGTATGTGAGTGGTAGTAGGAGTAGAAAAGGGAGAATACGGGGTAGGTGTTTCGAGGGAAAAGGAATCCCTACGTCAAAGACCCGCAGTGGACCTCCGCATCCTGATAGCTGACTACACGATCACTACGACTTTATCTATTGTATATTGTTTTCTGACCTCCTTCATAGAATAGTATCTAGTGTCTTCAAATCGATCGGGTATCATGTGTAGCACAATCTACTATATACATCTGATGGTCAGCAAACATAACGAAACAAGATCTATGTAAGAAGGATATCATATCCATCACTCTGGATGTGCACAGCATCTGCCATACTCGCATATCGACGACGGACAAGCTCAAATATGACCAGGCCCGCACTTGTACTGGGAACCTGCCGGATTGAGCTGCTCACAAACCCTTGGAACAGCCACCGCATCAGACCTCCAGCTCGCGCAGCCTTACGTCGGCATCGCTTCCATGTCTCTTGATAGGCGTGGTAATAGAGCCTCAACATCTGCTGCCGTGATGGATCGAGACTTGCTTGATGATCGAGATACTCTAGCCGGCCGAGATGAAGCGCCTGAATCCGACTCAACGGATGCTGAATGGCTTGTTGGGCCACAGATGCTACCGCTCCAGCCAGCATGAGAAAGCACGGTTCAAGTGCATAGTGGGGCTTGATAAGAGGCACACCCCGGTCACTAGACCCAGGTGATGGGAGACTTTCCAGGTGCGCAGGGTGCAAGGATCCATAATACCACGTGATGAAAGAGTAATATGACTGTGACTTGATATACTCGAATGACGAGAAGAAGACGGCATATCCGAACGCGTCCCGCAGAAAGGAGAGACCCCAGCCAGCAAAGACTCCCCGAAGGCCGATCTGGTTAAGTTTGTGGTGCCCGTAGTGCCACATGCTTCTATACTGTCCTTCCAGCATGTCGCTGATCTGTAGGCGGACCTGTAGGGCATCTAGAGGTGCTGCAATAAGAGACTGGATTGTGCCTGCTGTAAACCCAGCTGTAAAGGTTGCTAGAGGAGTAGGAGGAGGCCAAACACGTTTTTGCCCCTGGGAGATAGGTTCATGGAGGGCTCCGAGCACCTGAAGGTAAGACGTGTAGAGAACGGCACCAACTCTATCAAAAGGAAAAAAAAAGAAAAAAAGTCAGATATTAAAACCTCACACAGGTCTTGCAGAGTGGCTCACCCTGCATTCGCCAGTAGAGGCGGTAAGACTTGATTCGGAATAAACTGCCACCCATATGTTCGAACAGCATGAAGCAATAACCCCGGAGTTGTAGTATGTAATGACCATTTTCCCTCAGCAACACGAGGATTGACAGCCCTTGCAAAAGCCTGTTCAAATGAGAAGAAGAGAGGAGATTGTCAGTATAAATGCCTGCGAAAACGTGAGCGAGTCGAAGGGAGTAAAGATACCATATAACTAGGTCCAGAGGTTAGCATAGCCAAATTACATCAGAGTTGAGAAAAGGACCAAGCTATCATACTCAACTCGAGTGCGGAAAAAGGCTTTGATAGGTGCTCTGAAGTAGAAGGCCACCATCTGCGCACTCAGCGCGCGTACACCCGCAGCGGATGCTCCGGTCGCCGCATCATTTCGCGACTTTCTTCGAGGGTTATTTGGATCGGGAATATGGGGTTCAAGATAGATGGGATTCATCGATGTCATCGTTTATAGGGCTCCTCAGAGCAAACATCGCATCGTGGTCCCTGAGCTTGAAGATATAGTCTACCATAGACCAATTTAGCTTAGGGTCTTTTCTTTGTCGTGTTTTTTTTCGTACACAGAGATCTCAAAGAAAAGAAGCAACTAAGAAAAACATCTTTGAGCTTGCAGTCGTTGAGACTGTGGAGAAAAGGAAGAGGAAGCAAGGAAGCAAGAGCTTTACAAGTTCGTTGCGGGGCCACTTTCCCGCAAGAGGCAAAACTAGGCGGTAGCTCTCGCTCTCTCTGTACACGGCTGAAGACAAACGCGCTTTTCGCGTTGTTCCTTTCTTCCTTCCTACACCAGGGATTTACCCCCAACCCCCATCAGTCTTCCCTTTATCCTTCCATCCTCATTTCGCGACCCCTTGTCTCCCTCTTTCCACCCTATTTCAACTCCCTTATTGAAGGCGACTTGAATTCTTGGTTCAACTTCATTTTCCGAGGCTCTTGCTGCTGCTAGCAGATCTTGCTAGCAGACCTTTCTCTCCGCTCAACATGGCCGATAAGGTCGTGATCGATAAAACCACATTTTCCACCCATCTGTCCAACTTGGTTTCGTCATGGAAGGCAGACAAGCGCTCGGGAAATACCCTTTTTGGGGGCATTGATTCAATCGTCATCCTTATGGGCAAGACCGATAGGGATGAGAGTAACTTCCCGAAAAACAAGGCCTTGAACGTATGTAATATCCTGCGTTTATGCCATTCCTCTACTAACTATATTGTCATCAGTTCTGGCTTCTCGGATACGAATTTCCAACTACTCTTTTTGTCCTCACCACAGAAACTCTACTGGTGGTGACTACGCCGAAGAAAGGTAATGAATACAACGCTCAGTTCAGCCATATTCCACTTGACTAATATAAGGAATTTGCAGCCGAGATCTTGGAACCCTTGAAGGGCGGCAAGATCCCTCTTGAGATTCTAGTGGTGACCAAAGACCCAGAGTCTAAAACCAGAGCTTTCGAAAAATGCATCGATTGTATCAAGACTGCAGGCGTGAGTCCTTTTCTTATAGCATTACTCAGGAACTAAAGCTCACTATCACCTTTTGAATCACAGAAAAAAGTCGGAACCTTATCTAACAATACCACAATTGGGCCATTCGCTGATGATTGGAAACGCGCATTGGAAGCTATTTCAAAGGATGTGGAGGAAGTTGATGTCACACCTGCTCTTTCGGCCGTCCTTTCTATCAAAGATCCTGAGGAGCTGGTAAGATTAATATTGTGACCTCGTGATAACTTCAAGAGAAATTTCTGACGGAGGTAATAGATTGCCATTCGCAATGCATCCCGAGCATGCAGTGCTCTGATGTCGGAATACTTTGTGGATGAGATGTCTGGATTGCTTGACGAGGAAAAGCAAATCACTCACAAAGCCCTTGCCGCCAAAGTCGATAACAAAGTCGACGATGTCAAGTTTTTCAAAAAGACTGCCCGCCTTTCGGGTGAATTTGACCCAGAGCAGATTGACTGGTCTCATGAGCCCGTTATCCAGAGTGGTGGTACATATGACCTCAAGTTGACTGCCAAATCGGACAACAAGAATCTCGAGGCTGGTATCATTATTTGCAGCTTTGGAATCCGTTACAAAACATACAGCGCGCTGATTGCGCGTACATATTTGGTGGATCCCAGCAAATCTCAGGAAGGAAATTACTCTTTCCTGGTCAACCTCCATGAGACGGTTCTCAAGGAAATTCGCGACGGAGTAGTGGCAAAAGATGTACACAGCAAGGCCTTGACCCTTGTACGAGCCAAGAAACCGGAGCTCGAGTCCCATTTGATTAAGAGCTTTGGAGCAGGCATTGGCATCGAACTACGGGACTCGAACATGGTCATCAATGCCAAAAACAACCGTGTGTTGAAGAATGGCATGACCCTGACCATCACTGTTGGGCTGACAGACGTCAAGGATGATGATGCCAAGGGCAATCGTACCTACTCCATGGTTATCACTGACACAGTCCGCGTGGGAGAAAACGGTCCTCATAACTTCACTAAAGATGCTGGCATTGACATGGACTCGGTCTCATTCTACTTTGGTGACGATGAGCCCGAAAAGCCCGTCAAGGAGAAAAAGGAACCAAAGGCCAGTGCCGTGGTGAGTACTAACCCAACCCGCGGAAAGCTTCGTACCGACAGACAAGCCAATCTCCAAGATGGATCCGAAGCCCGTCGTCGTGAGCACCAAAAAGAATTGGCCACCAAGAAGACCAAGGAAGGACTGGCCAAGTACGCAAATACTACCGGAGATAATAATGGCGTGACTCAGAAGAAGTTCAAACGGTTTGAATCCTACAAAAGAGACAACCAACTTCCTTCCAAGGTCAAGGATCTTGTGGTATACGTTGATCAACGGGCTGCGACTATCATTGTGCCAATCATGGGTCGGCCAGTGCCATTCCACATCAATACAATCAAGAACGCCAGCAAGAGTGACGAGGGCGAATATGCCTATCTTCGTATCAATTTCCTCTCTCCTGGTCAAGGTGTCGGCAGAAAGGATGACCAGCCCTTTGAAGACCCATCCGCTCACTTTGTTCGAAACTTGACACTGCGATCCAAAGATGCTGATCGGATGGCGAAGGTTGCAAGTGATATTACCGAACTACGTAAGACTGCGTTGCGACGGGAGCAGGAGAAGAAGGAGTTGGAGGATGTGGTGGAACAAGACAAGCTTGTGGAGATTCGAAGTGAGTTGCTTATATACCTAAAAATCTTGCGTTGTTGCTAAAATGAATACAGACCGGCGTCCCACCAAACTGCCTGATGTGTTCCTTCGGCCTATGCTTGATGGCAAACGAGTACCGGGAGAAGTGGAGATCCATCAGAACGGTCTCCGGTACGTGTCTCCTTTCCGCAGTGATCATGTTGATGTGCTCTTCAGCAACGTCAAACATCTCTTTTTCCAGCCATGTGCTCATGAAATGATCGTGCTTATCCATGTGCACCTCAAGACCCCTATCATGATCGGAAAGAAAAAGACTCGAGATGTACAGTTTTACCGTGAGGCTACTGACATGCAGTTTGACGAAACTGGCAATCGTAGACGCAAAAATCGGTATGGAGATGAGGAGGAATTTGAGGCTGAGCAAGAAGAAAGACGTCGGAGAGCCGCACTTGACCGCGAGTTCAAGGCATTCGCAGAGAAAATCGCCGATGCCGGAAAGGAGGAGGGTGTGGATGTTGATATCCCATTCCGAGAGATTGGCTTCACTGGCGTGCCTAGCCGCTCCAACGTCTTGATTCAGCCCACAACAGATGCCCTCGTGCAACTCACCGAGCCACCTTTCATGGTGCTTACCCTTAATGAAATTGAGATTGCTCATCTTGAGCGAGTTCAGGTATGTCGACACGACGGTTCATGCCCAGAACCCTCATTGCTAACATGATTATAGTTCGGACTCAAAAATTTCGATCTTGTCTTCGTTTTCAAGGATTTCCTTCGACCCCCGGTCCATGTCAATACGATTCCAATGGAGGCACTTGAAAGTGTCAAGGACTGGCTTGACTCCGTTGACATTGCTTTCACCGATGGCCCGCTGAACCTGAACTGGGGCACCATCATGAAAACAGTGTCCAGTGACCCCCACCACTTCTTCATTGACGGTGGCTGGTCCTTCTTGGCGGCAGAATCCGATGACGAGGGCTCTGATGAGGAAGAAGAGTCGGCGTATGAGTTGAGCGATTCCGAGTTGGAAGCTGCCTCCGAAAGTTCCGAGGAAGACAGCGACTTTGATGACGATGCTAGTGCTGATGCAAGCGAGGAAGACAGTGGTGATGAGGAGAGCGGTGAGGACTGGGATGAGCTTGAGAAGAAAGCCAAACGCCAGGATCGAGAGATCAATATGGCAGATGATGACCGTGGTACCAAGCGCAAGCGCTAGTTCGGTCTGTGTTTCGATAGCTCATGTACAATGTCCGAATTCACCTCGTTCAAATTGAACTAAACAATAATGGAATAAAATGTCCCCTCGTGTGATTTTCTTCTACTTCGAGTTAAAATAGTACTCATTACTCATTTTGGATTTCAGAAACGGCGGCTAAAACTCGTATTTTGGCGACAATGCTCTGAGTGAAATGTTATTCACATTTTCCAAAGCCTACTATGCTAGTAAAGTAAATTTCCAACATATCGATCCCCGATCGAGCTCTGCATTTTACAATTATTTGCCTGCGCGCATTGCGGCCCACATACTCCTCATCCGTTGGATCTGACCCGGGGTGAAGCTCTCATAACAGACATCAGATGAGTAGTCCATGAAATTGTGGACCAAGTCGACTCCTGGGAGGCTAGGACACGAATCTCTTCGAACTGGGCATCCATCCGTAGGGGAATACTGCTGTGGTGTATCGGGAATATAGTCTCCAGGGTTGTCTCCAGAGCATGACTCGCCCTGGAAGGTATGCAAGAGGCCATTCCAGTGGCCAATCTCGTGAATAGCGGTTCCGCCGCGATTGTATAGATCCAGTGACCCGCCAGGCATCGTTTTGGCTAAGATGTTACAACCATCCTTAACATAGTCGGTGGGTGAGCTTGATGCATTTACTTGCGGATCGGGTAAGGTACAGAAGCCCAAGACACTAGTAGCGAGGTCTTTGGGCTTGATGGTTCCGCCATTGTCGATGCGTCCGTCTTGTCCTACAGAGGCTCGAAGATCGGTTTGGAAATACACGTTCAAGGTTTGGTAGGTTCCCTGTCGCACTGCTTGCTTCATTCCCAGATCGTCACCGTTTTGGGCCCAAAGATCATTGACATGGCGGGTGATACCTCGGAGCCGATAAGTGATATCGGCATCTTCGTATGCATTTTGCAAGATAGCAAGCTATGGTGTTTTAGTGTTGTCGTATATATATGAGGTGTAGGGAAGTCAAACCTGAGAATTAATCATGTCATCAGAGACCTGGCTCACTTCTGACCTGCTGCTGATGATATGGAACCATGTTTCGATCTCTATGGGGCTCTGACGAGCCTCCGACCCAGCAGGAATCAATCGGGCCTCATCGCTTTTGACTTGAAGGAGTGAATTTAAGAAAGACGCGTCTGGATTCTCAGTGGCGCAGATACCGCGAACGTGAGATATGATGGGGCTGCAGTGTACCTGCAGAAGGAAAATGGTTGCGACAATAACCACGAGCGATGCAAAGGAGTGACAACCCATATTGGTGAAAAGTGCGTGCCCTGGTACAAACCCCGTCCATGAACGAAAGGGGACTTGCGATCTATTCGCTATATGGCCACAATGGTCTGCTAGCTCCCTGAATCTCGCTGACTATGCCATGAGTCTGAAGAATGCTGCGTCAAGGTGGAATGTATGTGTCCAAGCAAGGGGCATTCATCAAAGGCGAAGATCGACCCAGAACATGACTTAGTGGAGATAAATGTGCCAACTGTTGAATGTTGATCGGAAGTCCAGTAATTCCTCAACGAACTGGATGAGGTTACAGAGGGATATAGAAGAAAGAATGCTTAATTGTTACCATGGAGGTCTTCTTCGCTTGTTGATCCCAAGGCGGTTTTTGATATTCTCTCATCCTGAACTTGGTGCGTTTAATCTAAGTGTCGCAAGGAATGGGCTTCTCCTCGTAGAAGCAGCCTATATTTTCACCAAAACCAAGGACAATAGTGTGAGGCCCTATTGATTTCATCTTCCTTTGTTGATGATGAGGACACTCAACAGCAAGAAGATTGATCGAACAGAATAGAGGTTTTTAGTCGTGATATCAGAAGACGAAACAAATAGGAAAGAAAAAGGAATACGAGGAGTAGAGAGGTGAGAGATATTTCCAATGAAGTAATAATGAAGAAAATATCACATTTAGGGTAGGGGCATTCTTCGGGAGCCTAGATTCAAGAAAATTTAGCTGAAGATGTAGTCAATAATTACATAAAAACACCATATTAAACGCCTATTTATTCACAATATCAACCCATGCAATAGTGAAAAGAATGATATTAGACAGATAAAATAGGACCAGTGACCTAGGCACTGGATCGCATTCTGTCATCCCGCCCTGTAGCCATAGCCGTACTAGGTTGGTTAGTGGAATCCCAGGTCAGATAAGTGTGGTCACCCAATTTTCTAATAAAAATAGATAGGTAAGTATTTTCGTGCAGAGAAACAAAGGGATACGGATCATTTACCTCGGCCGGACTAGATGAGCGACGGTGAACAGAGCTCCCAATAGCACACATACTCCACCGACAACCACGTACGCGATTCCCATGAATGGATTTTTTCCACCAAGCACTGTCCGGGTGGAGAGCAAAATGGACTTTGTCCCGTCGTACTCGGTAACATTGAATTCTGAATTTGATATTAGTAAGGTATTCAGTAATAGTAAAGAGATTGGAACCTACGATCAATGATATCCAATTGGTAAGACCCCTTCTGCATGGAAGAATCATCATTCCTGAGAGCGAGCTTGCTGAAGAATGGCAGACCAGCGGTTCTCATCCAAACCATGAAATCCTCATCATCGGTAAGATTCGGTATAGTCTCATTAGTGTACGAGCCGTTATAGCTCGACCAATTTGGAGGAGGAATGACATCCGATGCCAGGTAATTGGTCTTCTTGATCAACGCCTTGTCACTCTCCCATGCAATTCCTTTCTTGGTCATTTGATAGGTAGTCGGTTCGTTAGCTAGAAGGATAGGGCTTTGGATAGAGTCATTGAACCGGGAGTTTGCGACCAGGCCACAGGGATAGTACGGCTTCTTGGAAACAGGATCAGTGGTAAGGGGGTCACAGTTGCCGGTGTGAATCGTGTGGCTTGGAACTGCGATACCCTTCAATTGGTCCATATCCATAGACTGCACGTATCGACGGTGGTTTTGGTAGAAATTCGTAAGACGGTAGTACATGAAGACGGGAGGTCCCATTGATTCCGGGATTTCGAAGTAGAGATGGCAAACATATGTGTTCGCTGTCGCATTCCACGTTTTCTTCCATGAAGGGGTTTGGCTCGACTGTGCTTTGAATGTTGTGGAAACTTTGTCGGCAATATATTCCTCCGAGTCAGTTGGGGCTGAGATGACACAGTCGCTATAGTCGATGCTAATTTCTTGGACCTGTTGAAAGAGGCGCGTCAGATTGTGTAGTGTCGGATTGGCAATTATATCATGCATACCAACGAGCTTGCCCAGATAAGGACACCACCTAGAGGGGCAAAGATGATTCCCACAATAAAGAAGAGAGGGAGAACACTTTTAGGGGTCAAAATTGGTCTATTGGAGGTGTTGGTTATTTTAGGCGCAAAAGGCGGGAAGAGGGGGGAATGAGGCATCTGGCTCAGGAAGGTTTAAACTTACTGCCAGGCTTTCAGGCGCTGCTGACGGAAAGCGGTATCTGAGCATTAATGGCAAGTTAGCGGGGAAAAAGAGGCCTGGAGAGATTTTGTAGGGGGACGCACTGGCGGGTCGTCGGGACTTGGGCTTCTTATCAGCCTCGGAGGCCCTGACCTGCTCCTGTTCAGAGATGGACTGGGCGCCCGTCACGTCTCCCTGTGACATGGCTCTGGCGTGTTGCGCGTATAGTGAGAGGAAGAAAGGGTGGGTAGGGGAGAGATGTTCAAGAGAAGATGACAGGGATAGACGTCAGAAAAAGGTGGCGATGGGCGGAGTTAAATTGGATTGGCGGTCCAGCCGGCCCCACATTTGAACCAATTTACAGTAGTTTATAAGCCACGCAGATTTAGCTAATATATTTATAGAAGATATGCTTGAGGATCTGAAGTTTAAAGAGAGCTTAATACGAGAAGTTTCTTTAAAATAGGGGGATATCATTTAAAAAGGAATCGTATCTGGTCAGGGTATCATGTTGTCCCTATTGATCTTGTCAAAGGAACCATCGAGAAAGCCAAAAAGGGAGGGAAAAAATGGACATTAAAAACGTGACAAGAAGACACAAAAGTCATAAGAGACACCAGATATGTGAGCCCCAAAACCTGCCATTCTAGATGGAGAAAAGGAAATGAAAAGGAATAGCAAAAGACACCAAACACCAGCAACCGAAAAGAGCCAAGTATCAACCTAGAAGCAATCACATCTCACAGAGATTGAGGTCTTGTTGTGTGTATGGATGAGTTGAGTGATCAGAAAAGGGAAAAAGAAAGGCATTTCGTGAAGCGTAGCGGACATTAAGTGGGCGGGGAAAAAGCACAAAATCAGACTGTTGGGATGGTTCGGCGTCATATGGACATCTACCGGATCAACTTCTAGGGTTCACACAGAAGAACTGAGTATTAATAACTGGGTGGACCCAGAAGCTAGGCTCGGTTTCTCGTGGGGTGAGATAACATGCCAATGTGAGGTGAGACGAGGGATGATTGAGAGAATTGAGGGTTAGTGCATGGAGTGCAAAGAGTTCAGTCGAATAGATATCTCTCAGTTCAAATACTGTTGAAAATGCTCGGGTTTAAACCAACCGACACGGTCGTAGGCGGTCCATAACTTGCTAGCTTTGTTGACATCGATCTTGCATGCCTGTTGGGCATCGGTCTTGCGAAACTCTTTGCCGACGACCAGGGCGCGCAGGCGAGCCTCGAAGATACGACGCTTACTGCACAGGTATGTTGCACAAGAAAGTCTGAGGGTTGAAGCAAGATGAACCTCAGCAAGACTAAGAAGACTCCGGTCTGGGTCATCGCTCAAATCCAACATCTGCCCTTTCCAGTCTGCCTTTAATGCCTTGACGTTGTTGCCCAACGTCTCCAGCGAAGGTGAGTAATCTTGAAGGGCATGGAAATCGGTGTCATCACGGTTGGTACCTAGGGTACGAGGTTTTGAGGCCGAAGGGGAAGAATCAAAGTTATCCAAGGTCTGATGCTTTGGGGTAGATTTAGGGGTTCTCTTGACTCGGGTGCGCTGGACGCGCGGGGATACCACTCCAGCTTTCTTCAAAGGGGCGGGGGCGATCTTCTTCAATTTGGTATCCACATGGCTCGGTCGGTAGCGATGCATCAAGAGCAGCTGGCGCTCTAGTGTTTGCCGCTCCTCTCGGGCCCAAGCGACCGGATTGCGGTTATACTGGGTGGAAACGATAGGCACACATGATAGCGCCAGCATATACTCATCACGGGTAGGCTTGTTGCGTTTATTGTCAAACCTAGCCATATGTGACTTGATGTGCTGCTCGACCAAAGCCTCTGCAGCAGGAGGGGGAATGGGACCGAAGAGGGGCTCCTCCGAAGCAGCAGCAACAGAGTCATGGCGAGGAAATAAGACTGGATCCCGAGATGAAGTCACATCACGGTCAATCTGCTCTGCGGTGTGAGATGGTTGCTTCTTGGTACCCGTATACGGGGTAACAGGGGGCGATGGCAAGTCCATCTCAGACTGGGTTCGCTTGCGATCAGCTGAGATAGGAGGCAGTTTGATATCCAGTGAAGTAGAGTCTCTCTGGATTAATGGGGACGATTGGAAGCCCTCCAGTGGCTTCATCTCTGGAGGAGACATCAAACTAGAAACAGGAAGACGATTCATGATGAATGGACGTTTTCCCGGATCCTGTAATCCCGATGTCATTCCACAATAGGAAGGGGGTTGAAAGTGTAGATACAGGGAGTAAGACGTAAGATGTAAGATATGAGTGAGATTTGGGGTGAGGTGAGAGAGGGAGGTGAGAGGGGAAAAGGGAAGAAAGAGCGAGAGAGAAGTAAGATCAGAAGGTCAATGAGATTTCAAATCATATACAAAGGTAATTGTTGTATTTTGGTTTCTTTCTTTCAGATTCTTTAATAAATCAAGTCCAATTACCAGAAAGGGTGGGAAGTCAATGGAAGTGAATGCACCCTTTTAGGATCAGTGGCAATTACAACGGGGATAAGAGAAGTCAATGGCCGAGTTTCAGGGAAGGCGAGTTTATAAGAACGGAGTAGGATGAGTCAGGGGGCTGTGTTTTGGTATTTTGTATTTGTAATTTGTATCTGTAATTTACTTAAGTGGCGTTCAACATCAGAAGAGTCATCTGTCATCTCATAGCACCTCATGACAACATTATCCTATTGCGGGCAATCCTCTTATAGGTTAATCAATCCCCTAGGAGTGAAGCACTCCGTCCAATCATTCCCACCTTCAATCTGATTTCCCCCTAGGTTGCCTTGTTTTTTCTTACTTGTCTTTCTTTGGTCAATTCTCTTCTCTTCTATCTTGTTTTAGTCTGACTCACGAGGCAATTCCACGGTTCGACCTTTTCCCTTTCTTCCCTTTGTTTTGGTCATTTAACAATACTAGTATACCGTATTGATACCGTATTGTGTATTGACGCCCAGTTCGACATGTGATTTCAGCCCCCTCCTTATTAGGCACCTACTTTTCAAACACTTCATATTCCGGATATCAAGCTCTTTTTTTTCCCTCTTCCTGCACCTTTACCCTGTTCCTTGACCCTGTTATTTCACCCTGTTCCTGACGATTTATGATCAGAAATAAATCCGAAATTAAATTACCTTGTGACTTCATCGTCATATCTACTCTTGATCACCTTAGACTCCACTTATTAAACTTGAATGGTATCCAATAGATCCACAATGATAAGACGCTATCATTTCTTATCCGGCTTCCGACATGCACATGATCTTCATCCCGGACTCCACTTTGATAATCGGAATATCTGATCTTTATCGTCATCACATGATCTTGTTTACTTCTACTTTCCTTCCTACATATAAGGTAGACAATAATATCCTATATCCTTGCAACTTCCATCCATATCTTCTTGGTACATATTAGACATTACAGACTTGCACACCTGAAGGGTGTTGGCAACCTCAGCCCAACTGGGCAGCAGGAGATAAATCGTACATACCAGTAAATTGGCACCTGACTACGTTAAAATAGATATGAGGTCAAATGTAAATGGGCTTGGGAGCATTGAACGAGTAAACTGTCCAGGCGCCCTAGCAAGAGCTCCAATATTGTAAATGAGGGGAGTGTATCATTTTGTTCCTACACTTTAGGACCTCGAGAAGTTGAATGCATCAGGATTGAGAAAAGATGAGTTAACGTTTTGGCGAGATTCGGTGCGCTAGCTACCATATAAGCGAATCCGGTCACAATCTTACGTATTGCAGGATTATACTAGGCTGCCATACCGCTCCTGCCCGGAGTTGCAGTTCTCACAGAATGCTACCTGCCCTCAAATTAGAATGTCATTCATCTTTTGGGTGCATTGATATATCTTGGTTTATCATTAAGATATTAGTTCTGCGGTGAACCCTAGACTTTCTGAGCAATTTCTTACTTCTCAACTTCTCCCGAAGCAATAACTAGTCGTCCCTCCACCCTTTTTATCCTCTTTCCAAGGTTAGGGAAGATATAGCTGTTTAGGGAGGATCGACTAAGGAGGGAAGAGGAATTAGAACACAGTGTGGAGCTGCGCAAGTGGTATGTACATAAACATAGCCGTATAGCGTATGGCGCACGTTACGAGAAGATGGATTGAAGAGAGAAAAGCGATGGAAATAGCCACAAGTTCTAACACTGAGAGTGAGATAAGCTGGTATTATCTGATTAATCAATTTAAAAAAACTATATATCTAGACCTTGGAAAGTTTTTCGTGACTATTCACTCCAGTAGAGATGGAAAGCTTGGCATTCGGTCCCATTCTTGCCGTAAGTAGGCCGATCCGCTCGGAAATTTCCTGGATATTATGCCTCAGGAATAATTGCCTATTTAGGACGCCAATAATAAATAAAATATGTGTGTATGAGATTACAATCGATAACATCACATCATATATAGCACTACCATGTATTTGATATATACATACTCAAAACTACACTGCTAAAGAATCTTCCCGTTATCACAGAAATTTCTCTTGTTCATTCAGGAAATCTTTCCCTCATAAATACGACCGGACTTATAACGAAATTGGATTTTTGCCGCGAATCCCGCCCGATTTTGATAAGATTTTAGATTTTAAATTTTCAAAAATCATCACTGGATTTCACACATATTTCAAAATTCAAAGATACTTACTTCTAGATTACAGATTTTAATATATATCTATATAAAATAGACAAAAATAACACAACCTTAGAATTATTTTAATAAGATTGAGATTTAGTAAATTTTGTACTCAATGAGTGAAATTTTACGTACAACTTCTGATAAATAAAGACTTTACCAATGAATTCTCTTTTCTAGTATTGCATAAAATTAGTTGTTGCAAATACTAGCATCTGAGGTGATATTCATTTATCAATAGGTTTCCCTTTTCTTCTATGATATATATAATGTCTAATGTTTAGTTGAAGTACATCAGAAATATCCTCTTCAATATCGATGAATTACATATACTATATGGACTTGTATATTTAATCAAAAGGTGGTCATAACTCTATAAATTGGCGAGACTGACTTTCTATCTATTATAGTAGAAATGAAGATGATTGCTTTAATTTTTAATAATTATAATTACTCACTATAGAGTTATTATAAACTATTGGCTTAGCTATATTACTAGGTATTATTGAGTAACCTTTTCTAAATAGGCTTAAATCGATAGATTTACTCACCGTTCCCATCTCTTCTAACGCTCTTATTCATGACACTTATTATTAGCCTTCTTATTGGAAAAAACAGCAAGTTTTTTATGTACCGTAATTTATTATTCAATCAAAATTTTAAGATAATTGTCATTATTATATTCTATTATGAATATCTATACTGTAACTACAGCAAGATACTAGACTGTCTACAAGAAATCTTAAATAATGTTCATCGATAAAGTACAGCCTATTCTATTCAATTTACAATTTATTGAGAGAAGGAATAAAAAATAACTCTAGGACATCATTATAATTTTTATGCATTCTTATAAACGAATATAGGTGGGATCTTTTCCAGAAATTACTCAACTATCTATAAACTTTGATATCGAAGTGGCTATATTTAAAACCTCACTACATGTCTAACTTTAGAGCTAAGGTGTTTTTTTCTGCCGTCGGATTTGATTTGTAAAGTTTAAAAAACCGCCTATGTATATTCCAGATTCAGTGGCCCTTTTGTCCTCCATGATCTCTTCCCGTGGCAGCATAACATATTCAAACGCTAATGATTCCCGCTGGGTTTGAATGGTCAAATACTACCTGTTGTGCTTTGTTGTACCACTTGGAGCTGCTATGTATAGTATTAGAATACGGCACTAGACCTATGTAGGATTCTGTAAAAGAAAAAGATCCTCTATTAAAAAGTAGGGGTCACTTTATTAAATAAAGCCCTAAAAATATTCCAGCAAGTCTAGACAGACAGAGAAAAAGTTGAGTAAATCAAACTACAGTAATAATTTATTAAAATGCTCTTTATTATTGAAAAAAAAAAAAATTTATAATAACTTTTACTAACCTGTAATATCTAATTGTAGAGAAGGATATATATTCTTTTAGAGTATACTAATTATTAGCTAAAAATACGATTTTTATAATTAGAATTCATGTATATCTAATTGTTGCGACAGCCGAGAAACAAGTCTGCCAACATACGGAAATTATTTCGGCCGAAAAGCTTCTGCCAAGGCAGTCTCGGTTCGGAATAACCACTTGGAGGAACTAGATTAGTATATCACGGCATCCTTGAACGATATGCATTCATCGCAAACGACACCCTTGAGCTATGTGCATTCGCGACAGTAATGTCCCGTCTTCACCGTCTCTTCTGTCTCGGACGAATTCGTCCAGGACAGAGGAGCACCCATATACTATAAGTAGCTAGCTCTCTCCATCAATGAAAAGACGGACTTCACAACAACCACAATATTCAGTAATATAGAGACCACTATACTTGGGGGTTTGTCTACGGTGTTGAGTAGTGGTTAGTTGGAGCTCACTATTCTCAGTTACGATATTCGAATATCGCCCTTTCGAGCGACATCGTCATCATCATAGTCGCGATGCCATAATCCTACTAGCGAACGTGGTGTCGCCCTAAAAAGAAGACAGGACACCCCTGAGCTTGTATACGGTCTGAGATCACATCGTGCGAGATGTGGCGAGGCGGTAGTGAACTGGTAACGCAGGTAGTTAAGCTAATATTGGACAGAACTTGTTTAAGGCCTAGAGACCTCGTTAAGGCTCGGAACTCGTTAAGACTCGACGATTCCGTTTGCTAGAGACCTCGTTAAGGCTTAGCCACGGGCAAACTCTAGACCGGCCATCGTCGAGACATGGGCACCACCGAGACACGGGCACCCTCCTAGGAGACACACAAGGATTCTAGAAAATACTAGTATTTAACTAATGGCAATCGACGGAACTCATTGAGGCTTAGCCACGGGCAGCCTGTTGACCCTGGTCAGTCCCAGGGACCAAGCTTGGTTAGTGGAGAGTGGCCGACATACGCTGCTGGTTAGAGTGTATATAAGTCAAAAAGGACTCTCTGCAAGATACGGACGGCCTAGTAGAGGGAGACCTCTCTAGGTAACGCGAAACGAGAGTGTGAGCTCATACTCTTCCGGGGCGTGGTGTATAATGGCAACCACTGCGATAGGGCCGGGACCTATGAAGAGACTATCTATATAGCCCGAGAGGACGGATGCGCGTGTCGGTGTACAGAGAGCCGGGAGTTAACTACCTCACTCCCACTAAGGGCCTGAGATCGACTTTAGTCAATCAAAGCGGTGTCGTCCTAGTTAACCTGCCTATGTTGTATGCTTAGGGAGCAAACTAAGAGACACCTACGGGGAGAGGCCTGGTGCACCTTAAACCTGAAGCCTTGAATTTACTAGGTGAAAAACTAGGGTAGTGGTCTATGCAAGGAGGCCTGTCGAAGCTACTTAATGTCTTTTGGCCCACCCAACAAAATAGACTAGTCAACGAATTCGTCAAAATATAGAAACGGGCCGCGATTATGATAGGAGGAGCCTTTAAGAGCATGTCCGCTGCGGCTCTTGATGTGGAACTCTATCTCCTTCTAATACGACTTCAGATGGGACAAATCACGGAGGAAACAGCCATAAGGATCTAAACAGGACCTAAATAGGCGAGACCACCATACCTAAGCAAAGAAAGGTCGAAAAAGTAGGTCAAGCTTTCTGGTTACAGCCTACTAGAAGCCCTTAGATGGAAGAGGAATATAGTCCTTAGCCTAGGACAACACCAATAGGAATCAAAAAGGGCATTTATGATCGCCCCATGGGAACAAAAGATAAAGGGAATCATTCATAACTATAACCTGGCCCAGCAGGAATATAATGAAATTGATACTAGGGCGACCCTAGCAAGGCTTAATAAATTACCACTCCTAACCCTCTACACAGACGGAAGCGGAAAAGGGGGACAAGTTGGGGCTGCCTCTACCAACACTCTAGAGGGAATTGATGATAGGAGGTAACTCAGTGACAGCCAGTCGACCATAGTCCATATGGCCGAACTCCATGGTATCGAAATGGCTATTCAAAAATTTCGGAAACTAGTCACGCAAGAGGCCTCGCAAGATCTAAGAAGATTTCGAGCGAAGGAAGGTGGTCGAGACCCTCTAGAGCTCATCATCTTCTCAGACAACTAAGCAGCGATCCAGGCGCTATAGAACCCCCAGCGCCCATCAGGACAATACGTGATCTACTTAATATACCAGCACGTATAAACCATTAGGGTGTGCACACCAGCGAAAATAACGATCTAATGGATCCCAGCTCACGCGGAAATCAGAGGAAACGAAGACGCTGATCAAGCCGCGAAGGAGACTGCAGTCGATTCAAAGTTTGGCAATTCGAAGGCGGAGATCTTCCGAGTGGCTGCCGCTGCCTATAGCGGGGTACGCGCCAAATTCAAAGAACGATAGGTAAAACAGTGGGCGAGGAACGCACAGTAAGGCCGACACGGCGGCTAGTAGAGGCGCCGACGAAGAAGGTGCTACGACTCTACGAGGGAATATCGAGGCCATATGCGTCGATCATCATCCAGATACGATCGTTGCGCATTAGCCTCCGCCACTGGCTTTACAAGATCAACGAGATTGATTCTGATCGGTGTAGCTGCGACGAAGGATCGCAGACTCCGATGCACATCCTTCTCCAGTGTCCGCTATTCGCCGATCAGAGGATATGGCTTAGGAGAAAAATCAGGGCGACTGATCTTGATGCTGAGAAGCATTCAGACTAGGACGCACTGATGAACCACCCATAGGCAATACGCTACATCGCGAACTTCATGCACCAAACAGGTCTCCTTGGCCAGTTCCGGCATGTTGAAATTGAGCCAGATCCGGACGAGGATGACCAAGAACAGATAGGCCTAGCAGCTATAGGAGCAGGAGGGGAAGACGATGGGTAACGACACCGTGAAAACCTGGGCATCGAGCACCTAGGAATCGACATCGAAAACACAACAAGAACGCAATCGACGAAGGGAACAGAGGAAGACGCCAACTGGGGAGAGAATATAGAGATTCTATAGGAGGGGCATAAAGGGAAATGGAGGTGGGAAGAGGCAAGGGGGAAATTTACCTGTTGGGCAACTGCCTAGATTTTCTTTTGTATTTGATTTTGGGATGGCGTTGGACACAAGTTCTTGCTTCAGACGGATGAAGCGCCTGCATAGCATATATGCGACTAGTATAGCTCGATCGGGTTAATTGAACTTTGAATTGAATTGAATTGATGCCATAATCCTTCACACAAGCATGTAACATACGATGTTTCACCGATGGGAATCTAGTTTTGTATAGATGAAAAAAAATATCATCTGCACCATGTGACCGGTAGAATATACTTCGGCGAGTCGAGAGAGACGTCAGTAAATCACATATTCTAGATGAATTCTACTGGTAGAGTCAAGTAAGATGCTTGCTTCCTCTGAGATATCCATCTCCTATTCATGTCATTAGCTTTTTCTAACGGCCCGATACCACAGTCTGACAGAAGGGGCTTACAATTTGCAGGAGAGTGAGTTGTCTCTTGTGACCCTCGAAGGGCTTACTTTTACCGAATCATCCACAAATATTTTGAGGCGGATATAGTAGCTGGAAAACACCCTATTACATTTCTAAAAGCCGATCTTATGTTTGGGGCCAAAGCAATATCAAGACCAGAAAATGGGGCGAGATACGGCTTAGAGCGGAGAAGAAATGGGGCCAAAATATCAGGGATATAGGTAGAGATCTAAAGACTTATTATATAAGTCTTGGACCCTTGGAAATCTTCGCTATCTGCCATTATTAGTATTACTTTTGATCAAATTGAACTGATTAGCCTGTTAGAAGACGATTGAACAATATGGGCGCTTTCTACCAGATTTTTTTCCTTATACTAAGCTTCAATGCTTTCCTACCTTTCGCCTTCGCGGCTCATCGGTCCCTTCGACCGATTTATAAGCCTGATCTATTAAACCGCCGAGATGATGTACCCACTGCTCTCGACGGATGGGCTCTTTACAGCACTTACAATGACTACTGCGAAACCAACGATGATTCTTATGCAGAAGTACCTGATGCATCCTCACAAGGAACGGTCGATAATGCAGAGAAGCGCCTTACATACTATTCTGAATTCGATTGCGAAGACCGTACACTCACATGGAGTAGCCTGATTGCACAAACAGTCTATTCAAGTCTATTTAAAGCCAAGCTAGATGACTATGATCAAGATGTTGTGATGAAGCGAAGCCGGGGACAAGGACCTCTTATGCTACACGGTGCTTCGTTACAACAGCAGTTTTCTGGGGCTATAAATATCCTTGATGTTATTGATTACGTTTGGGTCAGCGCAGGGAGAAAGGCTGGATATCTGATCATGCCCTATATTTCAGATGGTTCGGTTGCGGATAAACTTGATACATATTCTGCCTCGGGCCAAGATACAGTCAACAAGGCCTTCAAACAGATTCTCACTGGTGTGAATGTTATTCAAGCTGCGGGAGTTATGCACCGTGATATCAAGCCCGCAAATGTTCTTATTGATGGTGACACTTTAAAACTCGCGGATTTCGATTATTCTCTCCAGAAAGACACATCAAACGAATATGCGATAGGCACTGATGGCTATATCGCTCCTGGTAAGCTCTAATAGAATCCCTTAACCAGTCTTGATACTAACTTAATATCTAGAGGTCGTTCGAATGACTACCTATGATATGAAAGTGGATACATTTGCCCTTGGAATGACCTGGATGGTGATGTCTGTACCATCTCTCGCAGACAACAACAATGAGAAACTGTTACTTCTATGGAAGTCTGTTCTCACTGAGAGGGATGGCAACACCTACCTGGAGGCCAGTCAGGTCGAGGATACCCTGAATTCATATGAAGTTTTACAAAAGGACGCTACATTGCGCAGCCTGATTGCAAAAACTCTTTGTGGACCTGACGAACGTTTGACCGTCGCAGAATTATATACCCAGTTTTCGAATGTGGCTGGAGTGTAATAGATACCCCGATGGATGATATCACAAATGGGTCAGATGATCTTTCATGGAAGGATGATAGAGGGATAATATCAATGGAGGAAACCTTTGCGTAATACAGGAAATTACATGGCAAATCTGTTGGTTAAACGGGAACATTAGAAAGGATAATATCTCCAACGTTTCCCGTATTTTAGCGCGTTTTGATCACGTCGCGTAAACCCGCTCTTTTATTTTATTTTTTATACCAACCATGGCTCCATTTGGCACTGAGATTAGTGGAAACCTTGGTAGAAATCAAGAACTTTCTACTGATCAACGCGCTGACATCCTCTTTGCCCTTGAAAATGGTGTGTCGCCTACTAACCTTGCTGCTATCTATGGCTGTAATCGTAGCACTATTTATCTATGTTACTCGCGACCGCTATAAAGCCACGAAAACCACTAAATCTCGCCCTAGAAGTGGACGTCCGCCTATCTATAACGAAGCTGCTAGAATATGGATATATCTAAAAGTGCGTCGAAATCCATTCCGGAGCTATAACGACTTTCTGCAAATACCAAGCCCGATCGACTTACAGAGAATCTTTGAAGCTTATTATGTTGCGACAGCCGTATAAGAACCAAGGTTGTTGACATATGGAAGCAGAACCGCTGAAGGCGGTAACCCTCGGTTTGGAATAACTACTTGGAGGAACCATTAATATCACGGCATCCCTGAACGATATGCATTCATCGCAAACGACACCCTTGAGCGATGTGTATTCGCGGCAGTGGTGTTCCTTCCGTCTTCACCGTCTCTTCTGTCTCCGACGAATGGTTACATTCGTCCAGGACGGAGGAACCCTCATGTACTATAAGTAGTTAGTTCTCCCCATCAATGAAAGACCAGACAGACTTCACAACAACTGCAATATTCAACTAGTAGGAATCCACTACCAAGATAGGTGGATTGTCTACGGTGTTGAGTAGCAGTTAGTTGAAGCTCACCAACTCCTTTCTACTGCAGTAAACTTCAATTCCCTTTTACTGCAGTAAGAAACCGAGCACTATTCTCAGTCATAATATTCGAATATTACCCTCGCGAGCGACAATATGGCTCAGGAGAAAAATTGGTACGACTAATCTTGATGCTGAGCAGCATTCGGACTAGGATGCGCTGATGTCCCACCCACAGGCGATCAGCTACATCGCGAACTTTATGCACCAAACAGGCCTGCTGGGCCAGTTCCGGTATGTTGAAATTGAGCCGGACTCGGACCAGGATGGCCACAAATCGATAGGCCTAGCGGCCATGGGCGTAGGAGAAGACGATGATGGGTAAACGACACCGTGAAAAACCTGGGCACCGAGCACCCAGGCCACGACATCAAAAATACACCATGAACAAGATCAACGAAGGGGAGCGGAAGAAGATGCCAACTGGGGAGAGAATACGAAGATTCTACAGGAGTTTGGCACCGGGAGAAGGAATATGGGACTTGGAATTTACCTGTTGGACAGCAGTCCTATTTCTTTTGTATTTGATTTCTAAATGGCGTTGAGCACAAGTTCCTGCTTCGGACGGTTGAAGCGCCTGCATAGCATATACGCGCCTAGTATTGCTCGATCGGGTTAATAGAACTTGGTATTGAATTGAATTGAATTGAGCAGCTCTTACCCATGCTATGTGTCGAAATATGGCCAATTTACTACTCCGATCACGAATTTCAACCACCACCAACACCTCTATTTCTATCGGTAAAAACTGGGTGACTAGGTTTATAAAGAGACATCCTGACCTTAAACCCCATCGACCACGTCGATATCACTATAAGAGAGCTCCCTGAGGATCATAGGATCATTTTACCATGGTTTAAGCTTGTTGAGAATACTATCGCGAAATATGGTATCCACTCTGATGATATTTTCAATTTTGATGAATCAGGTTTTGCGATGGGAGTAAATGGCTCTGAAAATGCTATTACCTCTGCTGAATACCATGGTCGGAGAGCAGTTTTACAGCCAGGAAACCACGAGTGACTGTGATCGAGACTATTAGAGCAAATGGAGATGCTCTTCCACCCTACCTGATTTTTAAAGGCAAGGTGTTTATGTATCGATGGTTTGATGGGCTACCGGAGAAAGCTAATTGGAGCTTAAATAAGAGCTTTAATGGCTGTACTAGCTTTCCGATCGGTCTATATTGCCTTGAAAGGCATATTATTCCTAATATAAGGAGTAGAAATGGTAAATTGTCTTTTGATATTCGATGGCCATAACTCGCATTTACAACCTGCTTTTGATGAGATATTGTAAAGCAAATGATATTATTGCTTTATTTATGCGCATCTCGTCTTTTACGGCCCCTTAATGTAGCCTGTTTTGGGTCTTTAAAGAGGGAATATGGAAAGGGTGTTGCGGAGCTAATGGGGCTCGGCATCAATTCTATTGAAAAATATGATTGCCTCCCTCTCTTTAGAGGTGCCCGTGATATTGATTTTAAAGCTAGCACTATAATTAGTAGCTTTAGAGTTGCTGGTTTAGTGCCTTTGAACCCATCAGATGTACTTGATAAGCTGAATATTCAGCTTTAAAAGTCTGCCTCACATTGAACTGAATCCTGAGCGCCCTCTATCTCCTGGCACCGACGACAACGATGATACAATTTGGAACATCAAAAAACTAGAGCAATCTAAATCTCGCATCGATTCTGCTCTAGTATCTTCAAGCTCAATACCATCGCCTGGAAGGAGAGCTTACCAGAGCTTTCTCGGGAGATGGTCATCCACGTTAGATACTAGAAAAGCTTATAAAATCGAAATTTCCTGTCGATTTAAATCTAGGACCTTCCTCTGATTTATACTCCTCAACTATAAAGCGAGAGATTCAGAAGCATAATGATTGGTCCAAATTATTCGAATTTGGATCTAAAAGAACTAAACCAGTATTTTTAAAGCTGTTACTTATATTATAGTAGTAGTAGTAGTAGTAGTATTAACGTCGGGCGGGAGGGATTGTGCTAGCCTCGATCCCTCCCCGGAACCTCCCTAAGGGTATTTCAACGCTCAGCGTCGGCGGACCGAGCTGAGTGTCTGATCTATGCTAAGGCCTTATGGGCCCATCTTCTTACATTTTGCCCCCTCCGTTCGAGGCTTCCCCGTTCGGTGGTTCTAGTGAATAATACAAATAAAGGAAACGGCAAACTAGTTGGCGCCATGGTGTCGACCCAGTGGTATCTCAAGGAGTCTCACTCCGCTGTAGTCCCATCTCGTAGGTGTCCATCCCTTTACATCCAGGCCCCCTCTCGGTGTCTCCTTTGCTGAAGAGGGCAGAGCTCCGCGTCGGCGGAGGGAGAGGTGTAGTAGGGGAGGGGGGCGTATTTTAGTGTAGGATGGTGATGTCTGGTGCGCGAGGCACCGTACTATCATGCTTTGCCGGCCTAGCTGGGGCTACCTGGTGCAGATCGTTGAGTAGAAGCCAGTTACCTCCAGGAGGTCTTTGAAGTCTCCTGGCTTCAGGGATTGTAATTATCTGACTGCTTCTTCCTTAGTGGTAGGGGGAGTTCTCGGCCGTAGAGACCACTGGTTGAAAGTGCCGTGCGTCTTACGACAAAGCGCTATGTGCTCTGGTGTCTTTTTCTGTCCGCATGAGCACTCGAGCTTAGCATCGTCGTGGTGGAATTTGCGATGGTACCAATCGAAGTCCCCATGGCCGGGCCTAAATACGAGCCACCTATGGAGGGTGGGCCTTCTTAGGTCGAGGGCCACTGTGGGCTTGATATGATATTCCGCGTGGTCCGCCCACTTTATGGACTTATATTATAGTACTCGCTTTAAAAGCTCTATTACGCATAACAGGGAAGATATTTAGTAAATAATCTTTATCGATCGAATCAACACTAAAAAGTACATTATTTGATGCTATGGCGTCATAAAGCTTCTTTGAAGGCAAAAAACAACCTATGATTGAAATACTATGGAAGATGTAGTGCATATAATGCATATAAAATACAATATTATAGCTTTATCTATAAATCTGATCAAATTCAGGGGTAGTAATATCAAAGGCAAAATTTATTTACCTCTTGGCCTAATACTTACTATATTTTCAATGATTTTCTTGCCAACTTAAACCATCGTATAATGATTTCTAAGATTTTGAACATCAGCTCTTCTATCATAATATTTCCGAGAGAGACGTGACGAGTAAGTAATAAAGCCTATCAACTAGTTATTAGCAATTAAATTGAATTGAGTGATTTTGTTTGAAGCTATATATTAAATGAAAAGGACCCTATTAGAGTTGAATAGAGAGATTCTAGTAACTATGCATTGATTAGAAGCTCATTTAATCCTTGATAATTAATTATGTACTAGAATAGATTTTAAATAAATCGTCTTTTTCGATAGTAATAGGTCTAATCTTGAATCGAGAGTAACCAAGACAATTATTTTAACACTATGTCTAAAAGGTTATAAGAGATGAGGCGAATAAAGTAGTATTAGTATATATTAGCATAATATCGCTATCTTTATAATCTCGATTAAGTTCAGATGTGATATAGCTACTATAGCTATCTAGGATTAGAAAGCCTATGGCAACCAATCTTTTATATTTACTAATAATAGAAATAAAGAGCTTCTAGAGCTAACGAAGCTCAATTTAGTCTAACACAAAGGGATTTATTACAGCTAGCTTTGGTTTTTTACCTAGATTAGCTGTGTATAAGGTCCTAATTGTGATATTTCGTTTGAACAGGATTGACGTAAGGTAGACGCGCCTAACTATATATATGAAGTTAATCCTACATGAGTGGCGCACGCATATGAGTGCACCTAGAACACCATATTAAATTCGAAAAAATTCAATGTCATATCTCAACAACCACCTGTCCAAATAATTTCAAATCGTGAATTTGGATTATTTCTAGTTGATCAGATGAATGGGTGTAAAGATTGGGAAATCATTGAGCGAAGTGTAGGTGAAGCTAAAATAGATACATTATACTGTAATTTATAGTAATATTTGATACTACTAGAATTAATATATCTAATTTAATTAAAATGAGTTGATTTTTTATAGATATCATTATTATTGTATCTGACTATATATTTAAATCGTATCAGTGTTATTGTTGTTGAGATATGACATTAAATTTTTTCGATTTTACTATGGTGTTCTGGGTGCGTCACTCATATGTGTGCGCCACTCATATAGGATTTACTTTAAAATAACTATGGAAGTGAGCATTATCGCGAGAGAAGTCTTATTATAATTATTATAATAGGCTAGTGGCTTAATAAAGATAGTTTGTTGGCACCAACTTGCTAGATATATATATGCTTAGTCGTAGCCATTCACAATCATAGAGATTATAATTCTAAATCATATCCTCGCGAATAGTTTTTAACTAGATTAAACAATTTATAAATAATGATAAGATTGTCTTCATGTGTAAAATATATAATTTTGATGTAGTAATTTTGAATTTAGGTGTTCGTTTAACAAATTTAGTGATCTAGGCTTGGCTGATAGTAATAGATATAGAGAAACGTATTATTGAAGCTATAAGCACCTTCAAAAATGGAGATTACCCTTCAATGTCATTAACTGCGCGAGCTTTTGATGTAAACTATCAACGGTTTCGACGACGCGTCCAGGGTGGTAAATCGCTATTCGAGAGGCCACCAAATGGACGCAGACTTGGTGAAGCTGAGGAAATGTCTCTTAAGAACTAGATTGATTATCGTGATCAAATTGGAATGCCTCCAAAATTTGAACAGCTCTACGCAGCTGCTGAAAACATCTTTAAAGCTCTAGATCCTTCTCCACCACCTTTAAGCCAAGAATGGATCAAACGTTTTCTAAAACGCAACCCTGGGTATCGAAAGATGCGCCGAAAATCTCTTGATATTGAATGTGAGCGAGCCTTTGATAAATCAGCCATTAAATATTGGTTTAGAAGCTATGAAAAAGTGATTGAAGATTATGGTAGTGAATCATCTGATATCTATCACTTTGATGGGACTGCCTTCCAAACTGGGGTTGGAAAAGACAAATGGATCATTACTCGAGCCAAAGAAGAAGATTATTTCTAATACGAACACCAACCAATCGAGAGTCTATTACTGTGAGTGAAGCTATATCAAGTGATGATTTTAGCGTCCCACCGGTGGTCATTCTCTCAGCTAAATAACTATATTTACGCTGGTTTAGTAACCTAAATGATGATGATATCGGCCTTACCATTTCTGAAAATGGTTATATGACAATGGTTATATGACCGATGCATTAGCATTGTCATGGATTCAACACTTTGAAAAATCCACACAGTCGCGTACCAAAGGCACCTGGCGATTCTTATTATATGATAACTTTGGATCACATCAGACAATGGAGTTGATAGAATATTGTGAAAAGCATAAGATTTTACATTCTTTATCCCTCCTCATTCAAGCATCTACTCCAGCCTTTAGATGTTGATGTGTTCAATGTCTACAAAAATTGGCATTTAGAGACAATTAAAGATGCGATAGAGTCTGGAACAACCAAATTTACTAAAGATCATTTCTTGGCTGCGCTTCATTCAATTCGACAAAAGAGCTTTAGAATATCAGTCTTTTTTTGATATAATAAGTAAATTCTTAGATAATGTCGTAAGATATGGGTGACTTCCTTTACACGTGTATTCGTAAGAACTGCAGTTGTAGAGATGATGTGAAGTGTAGATTCTACTACTGCTAACTGAAACTAAAGAAGACCTCTGCCCCACTCATTTGGGAGGCTGTGTCCAATGGGAGTCGCTGGTGGAATCATCCAATCAGAAAGGATGATTCCGACTTCCCATATTCGGACAGATAATGATTTGTATAATATGAAGTAGATTATGAATAAACTAGCAGAATATTCTATAGGCATGAGATATTGTTGCGACAGCCGAGAAACAAGGCCATCAACAAACGGAAAGTATTTCGGCCGAAAAGCTTCTGCCAAGGCAGTGACTCCCGGTTCGGAATACCCACTCGGAGGAACTAGATTAGTATCTCACGGCATCCTTGAACGATATGCATTCATCGCAAACGACACCCTTGAGCGATGTGCATTCGCGACAGTAATGTCCCGTCTTCACCGTCTCTTCTGTCTCGGACGAATGTTGACATTCGTCTAGGGCAGAGGGGCACCCATATACTAACTAGCTAGTTCTTTCATCAATGAAAAAGCAGACTTTACAACAACCACAATATTCAGTACTGTAGATACCACTACACTTGGTGGTTTGTCTACGGTGTTGAGTAGTGGTTCGTTGGAGCTCAACTATTGTTCTCAGTTACAAGCGACTAGCTAGCTAAGCTAGCTAAAGTGAGCAACAGATATATAACTATTGGAATATTGTATACTCCACTAGACGTTACAAATAAGATGAAAATAATTAAATTATAGTATTATGTAAGGTTGAAGTCGCCTGAAATACCTCTAAGTTGCAAGTAATAAAGTTATCTAAACACTACTTAAGTTTTAGGTTGGTTGAGATTAGGAAGCATGGAAGGTTGAACAAAAAGCTTGAAAAATAATTCTTTTTGTTTAACTATAGTTTATTCTCTCATCCATGCTATCTTGATATCAAATATATATATCCTTACTAGGATCTAGGGATGGTCGTCTTGGTGATTCGGGAACTTGGTGAAGCAGGGGAGCCTAAAACAACCATCGATGTGACAAGCGTGAGCAATGGCGAACTTGGTGATACAAGACCTCGGTGATATATGTAAGGTCGGGATTTAAAAAGGAGTAAATGATTTAATCTAACCATAGCGTCATCGTCCTATCAATATATTCATCTTAATAGGAACCTATAGTTACTGAACACTCACTATGCCGCTCTTTGAAAAGATAAAATTTACATTATAAGATATTCAAGCTATAACAGATAGGTAATATCTAAAACTTACTTCCTATAACACACCAATTTTATTTTTATCACTCGACCAGTTCTTCATAGGAAACCGAGGCGTGTATAGAGGAGTTCAGGTGTACAGTAAATATTTGCGAGTGTATATACGTGTAGCCTACCTCTATCTTAGTTAAGGTGATACTTTAATATATATATAATTTTCAACTATAATTTTATATATTTTCTTTCTATTTTGATCATTTTTGTGAATTGAATACTGATAAAATGAAATTAGCATATATATATATATATATATATATATATAGGCTTCCGTGGACCTTAGGCTATAATGTGTCAGGCTGTTGATCTCTCCAGAGTTTTATTGCCACTCCTTATTGCTGCGGAAGCTGTCATATAGAATCATGCTTAATTTTGTACTCAATTCTATATTTATTTTATGCTTAGTTTTATACTCAATTCAAACTCCACACTCATCATCTATTTCTGGTAACCATAATCCTAGTAAAAGACTTTGAACTTACACCATAACCCTCAGTCGTCATTAATCAATACCTTCTTCCACTTCCGTCGCATCTTATCTGAATGAGCTTTATCATTAAGCTTATACTCTTTTAGCTTCATATCGTTGACTTGATCAGAAGTTGTGATACCTGTGATGCTTGCGTAATGATGAGAAGCATTATATCGGGTGTGGTGTGCTTCCATGATAGGTTTGGTTATGTCAAATTTCCGCTGCAATTCTATGGCTAGAGAGAGTAGTAGCCTGGGCCTCTAAGCAGGTAATAGATTCGCGGTTGGTGACAGAGCCATTAGATAACTTCTTCTTTGGCTCTCTTATAATGATCTATTGGTCTCTTCTAATACTTATTTAGAAGCTAGTCTAGTCAAAATTATAGATATCCTGTTAACAAATACTATATTCTATAATAACACACTTATTTATAGTCTTTGAACCATCGCTCAACATCAATTGCTTATCGGCGTCGACGATGGTATCCAAGATGATGTTTAAGAAAGCGTTTTAACCAATGGTCGCCGAATTATGGTGGTTAGTAGTTGATAAATTCGTAAAGAGCTACTTCCTAAGCTAATTCTTAAGCAGAGTTAAGCTTACGACCATTAGGTTGTAATAGTGATTTTCCACCATGCCAACGCCAATGATGATGATGATGAATTCAATTGACCCGATTTAACTGACTATACTCAAAGCATGCCGTTATGCGGGGATGCGTCGCAGCCTGCTGCGGTGCTGAAAGGCGTGTCCAGCGCTTAGGAAGGGACATTCCCCTTCCATCGAATGTAAAAACGCAGAAACCTCTAACTAATTACATACAATAAGAATAAAGGAAATGCCAAACAATAATGGGGAGTCAAGTCTCCAACTACTTCAACTATAGTTCTGCGTGTTCTCCGTGGAGCCACGCTTCCATCTAATCTCCTTCTCTCCTGGCAGAAAGTTGACCGCCCTTTCGGTAGCGGAATAAGTGGTGGCCCCGCATCACCGAGGTCTTATATCACCAAGCTCGCCATTGTCCACGCTGCGTTGTCACATCGATGGTTGTTTTATGCTCCCTTGCTTCACCAAGTTCCCGAATCACCGAGACGGCCAACCCTTCATTCTTCTATCCACATCTTCTAGCACCCGTCAGATTGCTGTTATTATGCCATATCGTTTCGTGAGGAGGCCACCGTTTCCTGGCGGTGGGCTCTGTTTGGGCAACCTTTAGGGGTTTTCCCCACATATTACCTTTTATGTGCTTTCTTATCTTGCATCATCGCGTTGCTCTGTGAGTGGTTTGTTGTCCACTGGATCTGGTTCCACGCCCATGGTGCCGTCCTCTGCATGGTGGAACTGGCCTAGTAGGTGTGTGTCTCGTATGAACTCAGAGATCGCTGGGACCGCTGGTTTCGCAGATTAGTTTTTTCATAGCCAATGGCTAGTGAGAGCTTATGTTCCTGTAGGGTCGCTTGTAGGATATCGCGGGCTTCATTAAACAGAGGGTATTCTAATAGCATATGTTTTGGCGTCTGATTCTCAAGGTCGCATACACATCGAGGTGAATCCTTAGCCTTGATCTTAGAGAGGTAGGAGTTCATATCAATAATGCGGTAGCTCGCCGGATTCCTGACCAGAATTCTAGGACCTTTTTCGTGGGCATCTGAATGAGTCGCTTCGTTGCTTTAGCGACCTTCTGCTTTTCCCACTGTTTTTCCCACGCGAGCTTAGCCTCTTGGCGGATAACGCGTTTACGTGCAGCAAGTTGGATAATGTGTTGATGGGGAGGGTGGCCGTTAGGAGAATGTGTCATGGTTGCTGTGTCCTTTGTCGACTATCTTGTTGCCCAGGATGTTAGTGTGCGCTAGAACCTAGCGGAGCTCCACACCAATGCTGTGCGCTCTAAACCATTATAGGTGGCTTTCGTATCTAGCCTTAAGCTATTCAAAATATATATTCAGTCTTCTTATTAGATCGTCTTATATAGAGTATTTAGGTATTTAGTTACTAAAAAATATAGTAGTATCCTATATAGCTGTAACGGGACGATACTACAGGAAAATGGGCGCTATAATAGTCCGATATGATTCAAAAAGGATTAACTAAGGACTAGAAAACAGTGATCAAGGCAAGAGTCCGATATAAGCGGGAAAGGTCACGTGACGTACCACAGCCAAACTCGTATGGCGCTGTGACTCACCTGTAATAATAGTGAAATTTCGATATCTTCTATATAACTTACAGGAATATTAAGCAGTAAGCTTTATTAAAGGGATTAGTTTCTAAGTCTCTATCTCTTAAACCTATGACAATTAGTGAGATCTATAATTAAACTGAGATAGGCGGCTACTTCTAGGCTCTAGTCTATAGTCTTGATATTGAATAGAGCGCTTTAATTAATATATACATAAATAATAGTTCTAGGGTAATACTAAGTTTGTCGAACTTTCCGAGAGGGAAAATATGGAGAAGTCTGAGTTTCATTCAAGTATGGAGATAGACTAAATACACGGCTTAGCTAGCCCACTTTCAGGGCTAATTACCCCTCCTTATGTATGACTCATCTAACCGTAGCATCTTAGTTCAACACAAATTATATATGATTTTAGGTATTTTTGATTCCTGAATTTGATGCTGAAATAATCGCTGCTTATATAGTCTTTAATAAATATTAAAGTAAATACTATATGAGTGGCTCACCCAGAACACCATATTAGATTCAAAAAATTGAATGTCATACATATCTCAACAACCACCAATTCAAATAATTTAAAATCTTGAATATGGATTATTTCTTGTTGACCAGATAAATGGATGTGAAGAAGCATTAGGAATCATTAGGTGAAGTGTAGGTGAAGCTAAAATAGATAATTTATACTATAATTTTTAGTAATATATGATACTGCTAGAATTAATCTATCTAATTTACTTAAAGCGAGTTGATTCTTTATAAAGATCGTTATTGTTATATCTGACTTTATATTTAAATCTTATTACTGTCATCGTTGTTGAGATATGACGTTACATTTTTCGATTTTACTATGGTGCTCTGGGTGCGTCACTCATACGTTTGCGCCACTCATATAGGATTTAATTTATTTGGATATCAAATTCCACTCATTATAATAGCGAATTAATATATGGTGATAGAGTTACGAATTTTAAAAATAGCAGGTTATAGATTAGAAAGGAGAATAGAATTTAGAAGCCACTACGTATGGCTAAAGCTAATCTTAAATTCAGAACTAGCCAGACAAAACCTATAAACAAAATTCTTAAGGGAGCGTAAAGAAGAATCGAGAATAAAAAGTTTTCGAGCTATAATGTCTGAACCCGAAAGGGTATCGGGCTTATACGTTGACTAATCTGCTTTATAAGGTATTTCACATGCGAGTGGTAAAATACCATAGTATACTCGAAAAAATGAATGTTATATCTCACCAGCTGCGAATTTAAATCATCACGTCTCTTCAATTTGTGTTGTAGTAATTATTACTATACATGGACAGCCCTTTACTGATTGCTAGGAAATCATTGAACAGCGTGGAGTAAAATTCAAGATACAAAGATGACAAATCACGATGTCATCATAATCCGGTATCATATTTTTTCAAGTGAATTAATTATTTATAAGGACTCTTGTCCTTAATATATTGAAAAGTTGAATCTTGTAAAAGTCCTTATTAATAAATGACATTCAATTTTTCGAGTTCACTATGGTATTTCAGGGTTGACCGCTCGATGGTGTTCGTCACTCACATGCGTTTTATCTTGATAATTGTCGCTAGAAAGGGCGATATTGTACTGAGAATATTGTTCAAGTTTACTGTAGTAGAATCAAGGGTTGTTGAGCTTCAAAAAACCGCTACTCCACACCGTGGAAAATCCACCAGGTATAGTGGTATCTACAGTACTGAATATTGTGGTTGTTGTAAAGTCTGCTTTTTCATTGATGAAAGAACTAGCTAGTTAGTATATGGGTGCCCCTCTGCCCTAGACGAATGTCAACATTCGTCCGAGACAGAAGAGACGGTGAAGACGGGACATTACTGTCGCGAATGCACATCGCTCAAGGGTGTCGTTTGCGATGAATGCATATCGTTCAAGGATGCCGTGAGATACTAATCTAGTTCCTCCGAGTGGGTATTCCGAACCGGGAGTCACTGCCTTGGCAGAAGCTTTTCGGCCGAAATACTTTCCGTTTGTTGATGGCCTTGTTTCTCGGCTGTCGCAACAATAATCTCATTATACATACATTTTATCGAAGACCTATGTGTAGGTAATAATGTAGTTGTAGTCTTCAATCAACGCAGTACTATGGTTGAAGCCACCAAGGGCTTGACTCACCCTCGTTATATGATATTTCCTTTGTTCTCGTCGTGTTTATTATGTCTTTTGCGCTTTCACATTCGATGGAAGAGGAATTCCCCTTCCAATGCGCTGGAAGCACCTTTTAGCACCGCAGCAGGCTGCGATGTATCCCCCCCCCCGCATAACAGCATGCTCTAAGTATAGTTAGTTAAATCGGGTCAATAGAAGGAATTCATCATCATCATCATCCTAGTCTTGAATGAAATCTGATAAATCTCGTTAGAAAAACTTGTCAACTCAAATAACCCTTTCTATTATTTAAAGTAAGCTTTTAATCTAGTTCAGTTGATTACATTTTTCTTTATTAAAGGCATCCCATCTTAATAAGCCTTTTAGCTTCGATATAATCATTATCCATTATATTAACAGATGGTGTCGTTCCCTGATCCAGTATTTCCTTTTAAATTAGAAACAGAAGAGTAGATACAACTAGTAATATAGAAAATAGTAAGATATCACCTCAAGATTGTTACTAATTGAAAGTATATACAAAAGGCTTGAATTAATTAAGTATTACGAATTCAAAATTTTATTCAAACATTACGATCACTTTCTAAGGATGTTTTTCTATCCGTCCTACTAAATCTCTAGCCATTCACTAGAATTCATAAATAGAGTTTATTCAGTATTTGGTGTTTCAACTTTATTAAAGAGACTTCTAAATTTCCTCTATATAATTCTCGAAATTTAGCAAATTTATCCGAAAAATTAAGATAGATCGAGTAAATTTTCATAGTAAATTTTTCGAATTCAATAGCAGCTTACTTACGTACTATATCTCTAACATATTATTAACCTGATTCCCGGTCGGCTTGTCACCCAATAAAATTGTCTCCATAACAACTCTATTTTCAAACAAACACTATGTATGTCTCCAATGTGCTCAGAAAAACGACAGAAGAGATTATTGGAGACGAAGTGACGTATCTTATTAGCAATTCAAGCTATAGACAATGGTCGATGTCCTTCTGTTGCAGCTGCTGCACACTCATTTAATGTACCAAGATCAACCCTATGTGCTAGAATGAAGGGCACTCCAAATCTATGGGAAATGAAACCAACTGGCCATATGTTTGATTAAGTTGAAGAAGAATCGATGGTTAGTCTCTATGTATACTCCTAGAGAGGTGCAGGCAGCTCTTACCCCGCTATGTTCTACGTTCAGAGATCTGGCCAATTTTTTAGTCCGGTCGCGTTTTTCAACCACCTTTTCTATCAACAAAAACTGGGTAACAGGCTTTGTTAATCATCGTGAAAACCTGTCTTCATTCACATCTCTCTCAAAAGCATGATTGATAGGAGAGCTGAAGCTCAAGACCTTAGAATCATTGTACCATGGTTTGAACTAGTTCAAAACACCAAAATCATCAATATGGGATAGATTCGTACGATATCTTCAACTTTGACGAATCTGCCTTCGCGATGGGAGTAAATACGACCTAAAAATCATTACATCTTCTGAATATCATGGTCAGAGAGTTGTTTTACAGCCTGGGAATCACGAATGGGGCACTATTATTGAAGCTATAAGGTCTTCTAGAGAAGATCTTCCGCCCTACATCATCTTTAAAGGAAAGGTTTTTTTGGAATGGTGGTTTCCTATGCTCCCTAAGGGGGTAAAGTGGCAAATCAATCTTAGCCTAAATGGATGGATTCAATTTAATTCAATACCAAGTTCTATTAACCCGATCGAGCAATACTAGGCGCGTATATGCTATGCAGGCGCTTCAACCGTCCGAAGCAGGAACTTGTGCTCAACGCCATTTAGAAATCAAATACAAAAGAAATAGGACTGCTGTCCAACAGGTAAATTCCAAGTCCCATATTCCTTCTCCCGGTGCCAAACTCCTGTAGAATCTTCGTATTCTCTCCCCAGTTGGCATCTTCTTCCGCTCCCCTTCGTTGATCTTGTTCATAGTGTATTTTTGATGTCGTGGCCTGGGTGCTCGGTGCCCAGGTTTTTCACGGTGTCGTTTACCCATCATCGTCTTCTCCTACGCCCATGGCCGCTAGGCCTATCGATTTGTGGCCATCCTGGTCCGGGTCCGGCTCAATTTCAACATGCCGGAACTGGCCCAGCAGGCCTGTTTGGTGCATAAAGTTCGCGATGTAGCGGATCCCCTGTGGGTCTAAAAGGATGGCCTAGCGATACTATTGGTGTTCATTGGCTAAAGATACACTTTATTCCTAATATTAGGAATCGAAGAGGTAAAATTTGCCTTTTCATATTAGATGGTTATAATAGCCATCTGACCCCTGAATTCATTCAAAATTGCGAAGAGAACGATATTATCGTACTTCAATAATGTCTTTAAAGCTCTCTGGACATTCGAAAAATTAGCAAAATCGAAATCTCGCATCAATTTGGGTCTCGAATCATCACTTGATTTGATTCCATCATCTACTAAAAGGACGATTCGAAAGCATTACTCAACACCATCCGATCAGTTAGTTCATCATATTTTTTACATGATCGCTATGGCCATTTTGGAGAGATAAACAATCCGCTACTAGATTGGTGGATCGTCTACGGTGTTGAGTAATGGTTTGTTGCAGCTCGACTCTTCGTTTTACCGCAGTAAAACTTGAACATGATTCTCAGTCATAGTATTCGAATCTCATCCTTGCGAGCGACAATTTCTAAAAAGATAGATGAGTCAGATATTATTGATATAATGAAAATATATAAAAAAGAAATTAAATATGGTCACAATTAAATATATCCCACACCTTAAGTAAACTATCAATTCTGTATTACAGGTTGAAAAAATATAGATTTATTCCTTTCAATAAGCTGAGTAATTATTCTTTTATCTCACCCCTCAATCAAGATAAACCATTCCTTTTGCCTTGCTTCAAATTTCAATCTTTCCAAATAACATCTAAATCAATAAAATACATGATTTGGAAAACATTCAACAACATATCTGTCGCTGGAAAGGGCGATATTCAAATATTATGACTGAGAATATTGTTCAAGTTTACTGCAGTAGAATCAAAGAGTTGGTGACCTCCAAGTAACTGCTACTCAACACCGTAGACAATCCACTAAGTGTAGTGGTCTCTACAGTACTGAATATTGCAGTTGTTGTTAAGTCTACTTTTTCATTGATGAAAGAACTAGCTACTTATAGTATGTGGGTGCCCCTCTGTCCTGGACGAATGTCAACATTCGTCCGAGACAGAAGAGACGGTGAAGACGTGATATTACTGTCGCGAATGCACATCGCTCAAGGATGCCGAGATATACTAATCTAGTTCCAGTCACTGTCTTGGCAGAAGCTTTTCGGCCGAAATACTTTTCGTCTGTTGATAGCCTTGTTTCTCGGCTGTCGCAACAATATCCGTTTACTTATTATAAACACACATTATATTAGCAATCATATGAAATTTTGAAAGCGTTTAATCTAAAATAAAATCTTTGATCTGTCTTGATTTTTTTCCAACGGACATTTATTTAAACTCAAGATTGAAAATCAATACAAAGACGATCATTTTTTAGCTTGATTCACCCTCATTGTTTGGCATTTCCTTTGTTCTCGTTGTATTTATTTAGTTAGGGGTTTCTGCGTTTTTACATTCGATGGAAGGGGAATGCCCCTTCCTAAGCGCTGGACACGCCTTTCAGCACCGCAGTAGGCTGCGGCGCACCCCCGCATAACAGCATGCTTTCAGTATAGTCAGTTAAATCGGGTCAATTGAATTCATCATCATCATCATCATCATCATCAACGATCACTTTTTATAGAGTAGTTTTTAGCTTAGAAATCATATGTACACTATAAATAGACATATCCAATTAGTAGAGCTCTACATCAGACGGTGTCTTATTGATATCAAAGTTTTAAATGCAAGGACTATTTTCTTGAAATATCTTCTTCCATGAAGAATATAAATCAAATAGATTTTGTATTATATTCTACATCCCAACATATATAAGTTCAGAAGGACTTTATCGATCGTAATTTCCATTGCAGAAGATACACCGAAGATAATCTGTCGCTGTGTGAATCTAGTGTATATAATTTATTGACTATAATTGTAGAGCTATAATAATCATTATAGGATGAGAATTAGACTTCATCTATCTTATTGGTATTCGAATATCAAAAGTAGTAGAAATTATAGATCTAGGAATTACTATTTCATAAAACTTAGTTATGTTTCTTCTCGAAATTGCTAGGCAGGATTTCTGTTCTCAAAGAATAATACTAAATATTAAATTTTCTATTTTACTTAAAAATCATATATAAAAAACCTGGTAAATAATTCTATATCAATAAAACATACATATATAAGTATTTATCATACTATTATTAATTTTCACAATATAGGAAGAATAAGGGATATGGATACAGGACTGGAACAGCTTCTGGACATAATATTCAAAATAATTATCAATAAATATCACATGTGTATGAATAGGAAAAACTCATTAAAAAATTGATTGACTCTAAAGCTAAGATAGTCCCAAAAACTACTACTAATAAAAAAAACTTCCTAAGATTCGCTAGTCTTTTGCTTAGGACAGCAGTTCTGGGCGGAAGTTATATTACTGATCCAAAAAACTAATATGAGCTTGCAACATGCAGGATTAGTCCTGAAACTCACTTAATATAGTGGCGATTTGATAGTCATAAAATCTATAAAATAATGTTAAAACTTTAATACCTCTGAAAATTTTCGAAACCTAGTTAGTAGAAATAGTCCTTTTATATAAGAGAAATAATAGATATCTGTGTCTTACGACTTCCTTGAAACATTACTTGTTGAGAGATGTGATGCTATTGTTGGATTCTACAATTCTTCAGAGTTGATGACTGGAAAATAAATAATTGAGCAGAATTCCAGATTATTAATTATACCATTTCCCTTAACTCTTCCTTCCATCATATCACTATATTACTTGGGTTTTACGCTAATCAATTGTAATTTGGGGTTATAGTGTAGTCCTTCGCTGCTACTCTAGGTTCCCTACGGCATCAAGTATAGGATTGAGCATAAATGCGGTTTCAAATATATATAATCTAAGCATGTTATGGACCATAGAACGAATCATACAATTGATCATGGAATCAAGTATGGCATATATTAAGGAATGGAGCATAGAATAGAGTATGGCATTATAAAGCATAGTGCTAATTATGGAATTGAGAATGATTTCATATTGACCGGCTCCATGGTAGTGGCCTCCAGAGGGCCAGCGGAGCTGCATTTTAAAAATGCTAGCTTAACAACCTAAAGCACTATATAGCCTGCGGGATGCGAAAGACTAGTATAATATGGATTAACTTATAGTCTATAAGATCTAATTAAGGAATTTGTACACATAAAGTAAATCAATCATATACGAGCGGCGCACACATGCGAGTGGCGCACCCAGGACACCATAATAAACTCGAATAAATTGAATATCATATGTCAACAACCATCCGTTGAATTGACTTCAATTCTTGAATTTGGATCATTTATAGTTGATAAAATAAAACATAGAAGAAGGAATATAAAATCGTCAATTAAAGTGTAGTTAAAGCTAAGATAAATAAATTACATCGTAATTTATGGTATCACTATAATCCATCTAATTAATTTACTTAAAATGAATGACATCTTTATAAGGATTCTTATGACTTTATCTCACCTAGTATTGATTCTTATGAGAGTTATGTTGTTGAGATATGATATTTAATTTATTCGATTTTACTATGGTGTTCTAGGTGCGCCACATGGTTGTGTGCGCCGCTCGTATGTGATTTACTTTAGTTCATGATAAAAGTTTGTCTCAGCCTTCCTATAATGACCAGTTAATGCGGTTGTATTATCTTGTTTAGAATACCGTATCATTATCTCTCTTTACTATGTTTTTTTTCCATCTTTCATCCCATTTTCAGAATTAAGTCATATTCTTCCTTTACTAGACTATCTTCTCTCTAGTCTGGTATCGTATGATCTGGAGACTGAACATTTCCACCGCCTTGGTATTCATCCCATCGTTCAAAATGCTCACGTAAGGCTCTAGCTCTATAGTTGATACCAGAAGTTAGAATCCTAGCATGTTATTGAGCAATATGATCTCTGTTATTCACATTGGGGCAAAGAATCTCGAAGTCAATTAATTGTCACTTAGATTACCATAACATAGCCTATTTTATCGTCGGATGCGAGAGCTACTTTAAAACGAAGGGTTTAGGGAAACTGGCTCGATTTTATAGCTATGCTAATAGATGATGATGGATAAATTCTTATGTCGTGGGCAGGTTGTCCAGGGGTGCTTATAGTCTACACTGTGTACTTTTAGACGTCCGATTTTTCAAAACCCTCATTTGTTGACATGATACATACTACGAGAAAATACTCTGATAATACTGAGCGTTTTCGGTCAATTGCCATATGGTTGGTCAAAATGGACCAATTCTAAGTTGAATTCCATGTATTCATCACCAAACTTTATACTAAGGTTCTGTACGCCAAATGAATCGACTAGGAGCCATAGTCTTCTTTAAGGGCTGAGATCCCTCTAATCAAAGTTGCCTGTATGATATTGGCCAAGGCTGACTCTGGCTAGATCAAGATTCTCATCGTACATTACTTTTGATGTTTATACAGAATGGGAGTAACAACGCATGATATAAATATAACAGCGAAACTTGTGGTCTCTAGTCAACTGGATTCCAAACAGAGCTGAAACAAGATTGACAACAAAATCACAGAACTAAACCTATCACTCTCTACAGTAACCTCATCACTTTAACGACATGATCCTATAAAATCAGGTGTACACCGGAGACACTGACCATCTTCATGAGTAAGATCAACACCCTAGTTCTGGGTCACCCCTAGTTTTGAACCGAAATGTAAAATTACAAAAACCCGAAAATTTTCCCATCAGACATTGTTATGTCTGAAATTCAAACATCATGTCCTATAGAGTGGCCCTAGCTATAGCATCTGAAGCTCTCTTAGCTTCTTTTTCTGGCTCCTTCTGTCATTGGCGCTCTACTAAAGTTTCAGCCTCCAGCTGTGCTGCTTTGGTATTTTATGTCTAAAAACCGTATATTAGGGTCTATAGTAATTCTCTACTTCTTTTTCTGACTCTGAGAAAGGTCTCAACTTAAGAAGTAAGCTTAGAAATTAGAGCTCCACCAGCTGCATGTCTAGCAGTAGGAGTCCAATAGCCTTGCCTGCATTTTCGAGAGCAACGCTTGGATCTTGAGTCAAATTTTGTTGTTTTTGAAGGACCGCCTTAACCTTTTGTATACGTTGGTGGCTCTGGGGTGTAGCGAGGATCATATCTGAAGGGTCTTGAGAAAGAAGAGGGGTCATTTGGCGTTTTTGTGGCATAAAAGAGGGCTGAATTCGAAGTTGGGATGAGCTAAGGCCTTTAGCTGGATTCCATAGGTATATACGGTAATCCTATGCTTATCCTTATTCTAAATATTTTATGGTAGTATGTCATATTTGTAAGGGTTACTGGATTTTACAGAGAAGACAAAGATGGGAACAAGAACTCGATAACATTTCAAGACTGATACTTGAAAGAATCATGGGGGATCCGGGTACGGATCGGTTAAGTAGTTGTGGGTATTACATAACGGTCACATGATTTCCAGATTATCAACTCCGTGACAATATTGCTCTTTGATCTAAGAAAAGAGACCATAGAACTCTTAGATAGCTGCTGGCTGTGTTCTATGGATTCTAGATGCATCAATATGTCTACCAATACAAGACGTAAGGCATATGTTCCGTTGAATAAATTTTGATAGCCACGCTTTTCCAAGGAGTTTATGGTCCCCACCAGATCGTAAAACGCGGACAGCCATCTCACGCGCACACGAATAAGGAGGAAATCCTTGGGAATTCCGTTCAAAAATCCATTCAACTAGAAATTTCTCTTCGTCTTTGTTGATTTACGTGGCCGGCACGAGCATTTTGTGTACCATTCATTCGACATTGTAGAGTGGATCTCGAGAGGCTATAAGCAGCAGCAGCAGCTCTGTTAATTCGACCTTATTCTAAATCAGAAATGGCAAGAGATATTTGTTCTTCATTCAGAAGCATTTTAGACAGATGGTTGTCTTGGAACAGTGGAAAATATGGGAAGTGGGGTGACGCGAACGCGTGGCTCAAAACTAGGGCTCTGATTTTAAATGAAATAACTAGTTTCTGCATTTAGTCAGGTATATATAGATACCTTATATTTCAGGCATGAACTTACAACAATTCTCTGGTTTAAACCCAGCGAGCACCATAAGACATCATCGTGTATGACTGTATGGTAGAAAAATAAAAATAGAAATAATTAAGACAAGGACAATGACCACATGTAGGTCAACATAGAATGATAACTCAACTTATCCAGCAGATTACTGCAGAGCTTCCTTATGTTTAACCTGAAGTGGAGATTAGACATTGGATATGGATGGATTCTTACACTCCATACTACATCTACAATTACAATAATTTACCGACGACATATTAGCAAACCTTTTTTAAACAGAATTATCTGCATATTTTGGTTGTCCTGCCTAGAGAGTACATGGACAAACCGAAGCCTCACGCCGATGATGTAAACCAGTCATACATGTCATGAACTTTTTTGTTTTCCTATTGATCAGAAGACAATGAATGCCATGGTTGACCAGTATTTGACATCACATCAAAATAAAAAAACCCTTAAACAGTCTCGAGGACCTGATCCTTGAACTCCCGCTCAACCTTCTGGCCCTTGTCATCAGTAGCCGACTCGCCGTGCAGAGCAAGGAGAGCACCGAGGTCGAACTTGGGGGACTTCAGAAGCTTGACCTTGCGGATGTGGACCTAGTAAAAAGAACGATGTTAGGAATGATCAAATTTAGGAACCAGTAGAACTGGAAAAAAACTTACATTCTGCAGAGGGTAGATACCCTGGGTGGCCTTCTCGATCTCACGACCAATAACCTCAGGAATGAGCTTGTGGGTGAACTGAGACAGGGTGCAGGTAGAGGCCTCACGCTGCATGATCTCGGTCATCTTCTTGCGAATGGCACGAATTTGAGACGAGCGGGCGTAGGTGGTCTTCTTGATCTGGTTGGGGCGTCTCTTGGTGAAGGCAATGGCGAACAAACGGATGAGGTAGTCATCAGTGGTCTTCACGGTGATGTTGGCCTCAATGAGGGACTGCCACTTGCGGACGAGGGAGCGCAACTTGTCGGTGGTGAAGTCCAAGCCGTGGAAGTTGGTGAGACAGTTCTTGCCCTGGATCTCATCGACACGGAGCTTAACCTTGCGGAAAGCGTGGTCCTCATCGTTCTGGAGATCGGCGAGGGAGACCTCGAAGATGCGACCCTTGAGAGAGTCGTTGGCGTTCTTCAGACCGCTGGTACGGTTGACGAGGGTTTTGCCGACACTGTTGGGAGTTCCGTTAGTTTAAGCTGTCCAATTTATCCCTACTGTCGAAGGACAAGCGGATTGTATGAAAATGTTCGATTCAAGGAAAGGGGAGTCCTACTCGCGAGTCTGGAAGGTGGAAGGAGCCTAGAAAGCGATGTAGGTCAGTTGATTGATTCAAATGCAAGTTGAGAGAGAGGGTAGTTTACCTTTACAGAGTACTCATCCTTGCGGGTGAAGGGGTCGACAGTACGCTTCTTGATACCCTTCTTGCCCTTGGATAAGCGCTTGTTCCTGCAAGTAAAATAATTAATTCAAGTGTTCAACAGAGATGCAGTGTAGTAAAGTGATGAGAGAGAGAAGACGTACTTTCCAACAGCCATGATTGCGAGTCTGGTCTATCTGTGTGATGTTAGAAGATAGACAAAAAGGTATCGCACCACGGCGCTTCGGAGGGTTTCGAGATTCGGCTGCACGGGTCGACTGAGGGTTGAAATCCAAAACCCACAGAAAACTCGGCTAAGCGAGATATTGCGGCCCTATGACGCTGAGATAAGCACAGTCATGTGATAGTTAATCACAGAATTTTCAAACCATAGATGACTAATCAATCCAAACAAATCCAATCAAACTAGTCTTAATCAGAGTAGACCTTATACTAATGTAATAATGTCTAATTATATGCGCTCTCATTTGTATTTCCAGTGTACTTCAATTGAATAAATTTCAATTAAATACGGTTATTTAATTATTGAAATTCTTCTCTTATTACTTTCAATGTTCTGAAGCCTGCGAATTCAGTAAAAAAGTGCCGCAGTTATGGAGAATGGTACTTCGCGGAAGACCCGTTGTTCCGGTTCCTTTTCTCCGCACTCTATCCAAACCCCTCATCCACGCGTTATTCGAAACCATTCGCCATTTACAATCTTGGAGTATGGTGTGTTTTCCCCTTTGATTGAGCTTCCTTACGAATATCAACTAACAAATTCTTGTTCATAGGGCAAACGCAAGAAGTCTTCCCGGACACCCCAAGGACCCAGAAAGGTACGAGTATAGCATGAAACTCTAGCTTGATATCGGAAGACTGACAGATCTCAGCGGGAACCTCTGGCAACGACCTTTTCTTGTCTCTTCTGTAACCATGAGAACGCTGTGATCATCAAGTTAGACCGAAAGCTTGGGTTTGGCAAGCTGTTCTGCAAAGTCTGCGGTCAGGAGTTTGAGACTGCCGTCAACTGTGAGTCTTCGGATCCGCGCCTAATAAAACGCATTTAACTCATTGATTAGATCTCTCCGCCGAAGTGGATGTTTATTCAGATTGGGTGGATGCTTGTGACACAGTGCATAAGCAAAACGAAGATGACAGGGCTGTGAGCTCTCAACCTGGAAATAGCAAACGTGATATTTCTTTGGAGCCTGGACAGGAAGATAATGTCGACGATGAATATTGATCGTCTTTACTTGACACGGATATGATAGAGGGCGAATGGCGCATGGAAATGGACTTTTTCTCAATTAAAACGGTGCATGTAAATTACACAGTAGATATAGGTTTACTATCTCTCTACTGACCTGGAACAAAATTTTATCCTTTCTCACAATAAACATAATCCTCAAATGATGTGAAGCTGTACTTGATTCCAATTCTCCCCTAAGTTTAGTTTACTCCACGCATACATCATTTCGAGCTTGAGAAGTTACTACTACCTTTGACAACCAACTAGAGCGTGTAGTATCGGTCACCGAAATCGCCCAAGCCAGGGATAATGTACCTGCGAGTCCGATGAGTGGTTAGCCCTGCTGTGACGAGATGGTAGGTTCGGGGCAAAAGAGAGGAACTATACTTCTTGTCATCCAATCCTTGGTCAACGAAAGCTGTGACAACACGGAGCTTGGGGAATCTCTCGGCAAACTCAGCAACGCCAGAGGGGCTTGCAATCAGATTGAGGAAGAGAATGCGATGCTCAGGCACGCCCTTCTGTTTTAGTACTTCAACCGCCAGTGTAGCAGAGCCTCCTGTATAATATTAGCATTTCCATCTGGAAAATGTGGTCAAAGTTCTACGCACCAGTTGCAAACATGGGGTCAAGAAGAAGAACCCATCGGTCAGCAATGTCGAGAGGTAGCTTCTCATAGAAGAGTTTTGGCATGCATGTTTCCTCATCTCTTTGGATCAGAATCTTGCCAATGCGCACAGAACGACAGCAGTCTCGCAACCCTTGCTCCATAGCCTCGCCAGCCCTCATAATAGATACACCGCAGATCTTTCCTTCAAATTTAACACCCAAATATGCTTGTCCCACAGGAGTTGTGATCGACTGCTCCACCACAGGCAGGTGGTTGAGTCCCTCTTCTACCAATAGTCGGATGATACGATTGGAGTAGAATATAAAATCAGCACGGTCCGTACGCTTGTCTCGGATCATTCTACAAATGATATTAGAGTCAGATTCATTTCTCACGAGACAAAATCTCACGTCAACAAGGCAATCAATTGAGGCGTCTGAGGGAGTACATGAACATTCTCGTAGGAAACCTCCTTGGAGACGGTTGCTGTAGGTTTCTCGCCATCTGGTCGGTAATCTGGACCCACTCCCTGAGCAGGAGAAGGAATCGGATCTCTGCTAGCCTGAGCCATTTTGTGATGTGATGTGGAAGATGTGATGTATGAGCGAGGAGGGAAAAAAAAATCCACGTAGACAGTTGAACAAGGGCGGGACATTTTGTCTTATCGGCTAATCTACATCTTACTCTTTGGCGCTCTCAGTACCTCCGCACTCTTGCCACTTGCAGCTTTTAACCGACTTCATTTTTATTTTAACTTGTTTGTATATGATGGTTTGATGGAAAAGAAGGAACAGAAAGTCCGAGCAGATTGATTTATTTGTTCTCTTTCCGTGTTTCAAAAACGATCCCGGAGTAGTAGAGCTCTTTCCCTTTGTTACTCCGTCGCGACAACTCTTCCCTCAACAACAACCACTCAATCCACCAAAATATTTTCGGCATGTCACACTCACTAGTGAATAACCTACAAATCTGTCACTCTCATTAGATTGGTTTGACAACCTTCTGACGTTGCGCGTCCGAAAACCCTCGGTATCCTCCCTCGATTGAAATGCGAGGCGCATGCTGCCATTAGTGATCTCAGAGGAGAAAATGGATAAATCACGTCCGCGCAGTCGACGGCTGGTGACTTACGGCTCATCTACTAAAAGCCAGCTTCAACCGAAGAACGTACCTTCACGACCATCTGCCGTCAATACGGGTAAACAACAGTCCCTACATTTGTCTGCCAATGAACTTTCAGAACAGGGGAGAGATGACAAAACTCCACCACATCCGCTTAACATTGCGGAAAAAAGCATATACGATTTATCCTCATCTGATGACGAGCATAAGCATCAAATTGTGCAACGAAAGCGAAGACGGCATAGCCGCGACATAAATCCCGCTCTGGCCCGGGATATCTCTGATTCTCGAAGCTCTCCTGCAGTAGGTACCACCGCTAGGCCTGCTACTATGTCCGTTAAAGTTGAGCCTCGCCCGAAGACTCCATTATTGCAGACAAGGAAGATCACGCAAGACAACAAATGGCTAGAGTCTAGACGAGACGGCACGTCAGAAACAAGTTCCAATAAATCAAGTAAAGAATCAGCCATTCAATCTCAGCGCAAAGCTTCGCGGTCAAAAAGGCTCTCGGATGAAATGGAACGAGAGGAATCAAGGGATTCCAAAGCCAAGTTGATCTTGAAAGAATTGAGCCCCCATACCCCATTTTCTCCAGGACCCGCAAAAGTATTCATGGGGAGTATCACTCCAGGCCGTAAAAGGTTGATAGATTCATTGGGTACCAGTGAAGAATTTGCTGATGTGCCGTCACCGAATACGCCAACTGACAGCCAGAACTCTTCACCCGTTGTCCCCCACACACCCACTCGACTCCGAGACCACAAATCACCAAGCTTACCGAGTGAGAATCAGCATGAGAATCAGCATGGGAACCATAGCCAAGAATCAGCTATTGCACCGTCACCTCATCTGCGGAGTTCCAAGGTCACTTATGCCCGTCAGCGGTCCTTCCTCGACGATCTTTTCCTGGAAGATGCTCTTTCTGGCCGAGCCTCTTCAGCTGCCCTAGAACTGAATGACCCATTTTCTCAACCGCCTGAGGCGATGAGTGCGTTTCCGCGCGCTCGTCTTTTCTCGCGAGAGGATGAAAACAACGATTATGGCTCTGTGCGAAGTATTCATGAACTTCGTCAAGCTGGTGGAAACGCTCGCTATCGGGGCGCAGTCGAGTCCATCTTTGAAGACATCGAGGACCAGCATATATCTATCTCAGGAAGATGTAACGCATTTATCCAGCTGTGTGGCAAGCTGTTGGACCCCAAACTGGCGAGCCAGTTTGTCGAGTGCAACTTTGACAAACGACTAGTTGACTGTCTCTCCAAGGATTTCGATATTGTCTCTGCTACTCTTGCCTTCAGCGCTCTCAGCTTGAGTTTTATTGGAAGATCTCTTCCATATATCCTCGCAACAGTTGCATGGCCAAAGTTGTTGGATGTGTCTGCCGTGATGCTAGATACCCACGACGACATTTCTGCAGTCATCCGTGCTCAAGGGAGCAAAATTTCCAAACATGTACAAACATCCGTGCAGAATATTGCTCTCCAAATCCTAACGGCTTTATCTCATGACACACCGGTGTCAACACTCTCCCCCTGTCTCATAGCTCTGCATTGTCTGGGAGCGACTGTTGCCTCATTCCAAGGAAAGGGAGAACGCCCCAGTGGCCTTCCCCTACCGCTCCTGGAGCAGCTGATAGATCTGTTGCTACCAGGAAAGTTGTATATGGGTGGCAATTCGGAGATATCGCTCGGTGGGTCGCACGTTTTCATTCTCGGATTGTCCATCCTGGAAGCACATACAACTTCTGGAGGCCTTCTCCAGCAAAATCATCTAAGTATTTTGAGCTCACTGCCGGGTCTTCATGGCTTGCTCCGTGTGAAGATCAACGAGTCCGAACCCAACAGTCAGCTAATTCAAACGCTCTATATCCGTATCATTTTGAACGTGACCAACAGCAATCCTTTGCTCTGTGATAAATTTGCAACCCCTAAAATTCTCGAAGAGCTTGCAGAGATTGTGATGACAAACTTCGGTGATCTAACTGAAAACTCACAGGGAAGCAAGTCACTTGACACCGTTATTTTGGCGCTGGGTGCCCTCATCAATCTTACTGAACAGAGCGAAGCTATACGCTCTGTTTTTATCAACTCCATCAATACAAGGGGATCTCTCCTGGATAGACTATTACCTCTCTTTTTGGGTCACGTCCATTCAACCTCCAAGGTAAAAAGTTCTTTCTGGCTCTTTGCATATTGACTACTAACAGAGGCCCCTTTACAGGCCGATTCTTTTCCGAAAGTAAACCAGAATGTTGCAGTTGGATATCTAGCAGTGTTATTACTGGCACTGTGCCTAAATCCCAAAGCTCGATCACATATAAAGCAGTCTTTTCAAGCCAAAGGGCTAACGGTAGTCATGTCTACTGTGGATGAATTCTTGCATTATCACCGGAAGATTGAACAAGATCAATATCCCTCGCAGGCCCCGAAAGAATTAGGCGGGTTTCATGTCAGCTTGGAAGATCTGATCTGTCAAATTCGACAGACCCAATGATTATACTCCGCGGTAGTAAAGCGTTATTTTCCTTCTTTTTCCTTTTAATATTTTTGGGCCTTCAGACATATTGAACAGAAGCTACAATTTTAGTTACAAAATAAATCAATCAATTTTATAAGCAAAGTGATACAAAAAGTGTATAAAGATAAACAAAAGCAAAATTTAGCATGTCGTTCCTCGATGTCATACTATGTTTGCATTGTTTGTATTTGGTGCTTCCGGTGCTTCAATTGCCATCCCCGACCGTGTTTAAGCTCCTTCGATCCCTTAAGAACCCTTGACTCTCCATTACACGGATTCTCTATTATTTCTTTATCATTATCATTTGAATCTCCGCCAGTACTGTGCTCCCCACGCTATTCAATATGCCTGCCGCCCCGAAACAGCGAAAGATTGCAATTGTCGGCAGTCGTTCTGTCGGTATGGACTTATTCTAATAAGAGTACCCCCTTGTTCATTTATCTTACATTTGTGTTTCAGGAAAATCGTCTCTCACTGTCCGTTTTGTCGAGCACCACTTTGTCGAAAGCTACTATCCCACAATTGAGAACACCTTCAGCCGGATCATCAAGTACAATGGTCAAGACTTTGCTACAGAGATTGTGGATACTGCAGGCCAGGAAAGTCCAAATATAGATGTGCCGCTATGTTCGTTGGATGAAGCTTGAACTAATTGTATTTCTATATTTCTAGGATGAGTACAGCATCTTGAATTCCAAGCACTTCATTGGTATCCATGGCTACATAATTGTTTACTCAGTCACATCTCGCCAGTCCTTTGAGATGGTGCGAGTTATTCGAGACAAGATTCTGAATCATCTTGTGAGCGAAGTTTCTTTTCCTCTCAATTTGGTTTCCTGTTGAGCTTGCCTAACCTCTTTTCTTACAGGGAGCTGATGAGGTGCCACTTGTGGTGGTGGGTAACAAGAGTGATCTTAAGCCAGAGCAACGCCAGGTTTCTGTTGATGAAGGTCGACAATTGGCAGAGGAGATCAAGTGTGCCTTTACCGAAGCCAGTGCCTTCCTTGATTTCAATGTCTCCAAGGCCTTCGATCTGATTATTGGTGAAATTGAAAAGTCTCAGAATCCCTCTCAGCCTACTGGAGATCAAAAGTGCTCTGTAATGTGATTTCTGGCGCTTTGGTCTATTTATTGGAGGATGCCTTTTTTCTTACGGTATAAAATTCTTCTGATCCAAGCCTTTTTATTGCTCTCTACTCATACTGACACGGGGTCTTCTAGGACGCACTTAGTGTAAACATCTCCATTCATAGGCCTAGGTCTTTGGCTTAATCTTTGCCATATGTTTTTTGCTTTGCTTGCTAGAAGAGGGTCCGTTTGATATTTCTTTTTGTCCCCTCTCGCTCTTCTCGCTTGTATTTCTGGAATTGGTGGAATATCGGGGGTGCATGAACTCAGCATTTTATCGCTTTTTTTGATTTGTTTTAATTATCGGCTTATGAGAATATGTAATTGATATCACTTAGGTATTGTTAGGCGTCAAATATCTCTCAAATTTTATAGTTCATCCCTCGCGGGACCGAGAATCGATTAGGTAATCCCATTTACGCCGCACTTTTTGCCATTTACCCCTCCACAAACTATTGAGTCAATCTTTGAACCATTTGATTTTTCCGAAAATGCTTGACCTCAATGACTTCATCACCGAGCGTGGTGGCGATCCTAACAAGATCAGGGAGAGCCAGCGTCGGCGCTTTGCCCCTGAAGAGGCGGTGGACGAAGTGATCGCGCTGTATGAAGAAGCTCGGCGAGGTATGTTCGACCCGCGTGAGAAAGAGGTTTGGTTCTAAAAAAATCAAAATAGCTCGTTACGAGGTCACCCAGGTCGGATCTCAGCTCAATGCTCTTCTCAAGGAGATTGGTATGAAGAAGAAGGTATACCCCTCTACCCGAGTCCCCCTAACTTTCAATTACGAATGCTTATGTACTTTGTTTTAAAAACAAACCAGAACAAAGAAGATGCCAGTGAACTGATCAGTCAGAAGGCGGACCTGGACAAGCGTAAGAAGGATGCCGAAGATGCTGCCTTGCAGAAGGAGGTGCAGCGAGACCGCAAGATCCGCACCATTGGTAACTTCGTTCACGAGTCTGTCCCCATTAGTAACAACGAGGTCAGCATTACTCTCTCCATCTGTCAGAGCCAAAGTCACTAACTGCTATGAAAACCTCCCAGGACGACAACAAAGTCATCAAGACGTATGCTCCTCCCAGTAACAAATTGGGAGGTCCCGACTGCCTCTCCCATCACGAAGTCTTGACTCGCCTGGATGGTTACGATCCCGAGCGTGGTGTCAAGATTGTCGGCCATCGCGGCTACTGCCTGACCGGGTACGGTCTCTTCCTCAACCTTGCTCTTGTCAATTATGGCCTGGAGTTCCTTTTCAACAAGGGCTACACACCTAATCAACCCCCGCAATTCATGCTCAAGGAGCTCATGGCCAAGACCGCCCAACTGGAGCAATTTGACGAGGAACTGTACAAGGTTACCGAGAGCGAGGACAGTTCAACGGACAAGTACTTGATTGCCACCTCTGAGCAGCCTTTATCGGCCCTGCACAGCAGCGAGTGGTTGCAAGAGAAAGATCTTCCCATCAAGTGGGTTTCCATTTTTCCCCCGCGCTCCCACAACACATGTTAACGTCAGAGTGAATTAGGTACGCTGGATACAGTACTTGCTACCGCAAAGAAGCCGGGTCTCACGGCAAGGAGGCATGGGGTATCTTCCGTGTGCATCAATTTGAGAAGGTGAGAGACTACTGGAGCATTTTGTAGCACCAATTCCCATTCCGAGTACTTATTTAATCATTTAGATTGAGCAATTTGTTCTGACCAAGCCCGAGGATTCGTGGCAAGCATTTGATGACATGATGGCTACCTCCGAGGAATTCTATCAGTCACTGGGTCTTCCATACCAAGTTGTGGCCATCGTTTCGGGTGCATTGAACAATGCGGCTGCCAAGAAATACGACCTGGAGGCTTGGTTCCCATTCCAACAGGAATACAAAGAATTGGTCTCGTGCTCCAACTGTCTTGACTACCAGTCCCGTGGTCTAGAGATTCGATTTGGCCAAAAGAAAGCCACTGATCTGAAGAAGAGCTATGTGCATGCACTAAATGCCACTCTCTGTGCCACCGAGCGAACCCTCTGCTGTGTCCTTGAGAACTACCAGAGAGAAGATGTAAGTGACATTGATAAACAGGCAAGAAGACCTACTCTAACCTGATATATAGGGCATAGAAGTTCCGGAGGTGCTTCGAAAGTACATTCCCGGTGCTCCCACATTCCTGCCTTACACCAAGGATCTTCCTAAGGATTCGACCTCTCAGAAATCTAAGGGTAAAAAGGGTACTGATGACGCTACCAAGAAGATGGAGAACCTGAAGGTTTGAATTGGTTGATTATCTCCAATTAAATCCAAAGTGCATAATTTTTTATTTTTTATTTTCTATTTTTCATTTTGATATACTAGTTTCCATTCTCGTAAACTTTCCACGGCACGTTCCAGGTTAGAAAGAATTTCGAGGGTGCTTATGGAAGAAAAATGAGGTGCTTTGGCTTGGAAAGTCTCTTGCTATTTAGAAGCAGGAGAACTAGTGGTTTGTAGTAGTATTACTGACTGAATATTCTTAAATATTTAGTACTAGAGCTACTGTGTAGATCTCCCCACAATTTACCTAGTCAAGTTTGGCGTAAAAAAGGAAGAAAAAGAAAAAAAAAACCCCCCCACGATGCCCCTCAATACGTGACATGCAATGTGAGTCATCAATTGATTAAAATTCAGGACATTCAATGACTCAATTTGCTGTCATTTTAGTATTTATTATATATAGCTAAATGTAAAATTCTTCATTCGGCTGAAAAGCAAACGCCGATTCCGGAGACTTCGGCTTATATAATTGACGGAAAAGGCGTGATTCATCATACTTCTACCAGTTTGACACATTTTTTGCTCACTTTACTTCCCCCCTCCATTACTCTCTTCTCCCTATACTACCCTTCATAATGTCTGGTGCTAGAGATATTCGTCCTCGTGAGAGTGAGGTTGCTTCCCAACCTGGGCTCCTCGCCACTTCACCTAACGCCTCCTTTCACTCTCCCTCCAGCCATGGGTCAGCACTCAATCGAACGGTCCCTATCGTCAATGCGAAGCATCTTAAGCCATTCGCTACTGAGGATATCAAGGTTCTACTTTTGGAGAACGTCAATGTGACTGGCCGTGAAATTCTCCAGCGTCAGGGCTACCAGGTGGAATATTTGAAATCTTCTCTTCCGGAGGACCAGCTCATTGAGAAGATTCGGTAAACACTAAATTTTGTAGCTCTAATTGTAGTTGAATGCTAATGTTGATTATGTATAGTGATGTGCACGTCATCGGTATTCGATCCAAGACCAAGCTCACTGCGCGTGTTTTGAAGGAGGCCAAGAACCTGATCGTGATCGGCTGCTTCTGCATTGGAACCAACCAGGTGGACCTTCAATATGCTGCCGCGCACGGTATTGCCGTCTTCAACTCACCCTTCAGCAACTCTCGTAGTGTCGCCGAGTTGGTCATCGGTGAGATCATTACTCTCGCTCGTCAGTTGGGCGACCGCTCTATCGAAATGCACAACGGCACCTGGAATAAGGTCAGCAACAAGTGCTGGGAGATCCGCGGCAAGACATTGGGTAGGTTGTTTACAGTACAACGGCAAAAAGCAAACGACTGACAAATATACTACAGGTATTATTGGATATGGTCACATTGGCGCTCAGCTCTCCGTATTGGCAGAGGCCATGGGTATGACAGTCATCTTCTACGATGTATTGAATCTGATGGCAATGGGATCTGCCCGCCAAGTCGAGACATTGAATGATCTTTTGGCCGAGGCTGATTTCGTCACTTGCCATGTGCCTGAGCTTCCCGAGACCAAGGGTATGATCGGTCAACCCCAATTTGAGAAGATGAAGGTTGGCAGCTACCTGATCAATGCCAGCCGTGGAACTGTTGTGGATATTCCTGCCCTCATCGATGCCATGCGGAGCGGCAAGGTGGCCGGTGCTGCGCTTGATGTGTACCCTAACGAACCCGCCGGCAACGGTGACTACTTCACTAATGATCTGAATGCGTGGGGAACTGATCTACGTTCACTCAAGAACCTGATTCTGTCCCCCCATATTGGAGGAAGCACTGAAGAGGCCCAGAGTGCAATCGGTATTGAGGTTGCCCAGGCGTTGAGTCGCTATGTCAATGAGGGTAGCACCTTGGGCGCTGTCAATCTACCCGAAGTCACCCTTCGTTCTTTGACTATGGATGAACCCAACCACGCTCGTGTATGCTTGAAACTCCTATTCATTTACAGCAAGAGAAGACTGACATCCTTGTTTCTAGGTCATCTATATTCACCACAATATTCCCGGTGTGCTGCGTAGAGTCAACGAGATTATTGGCGACCACAATGTCGATAAGCAAATGACCGATAGCAGAGGCGATGTAAGTCCCCCGGCCGATACCTGGTATATATTCAGCAACTAAATGGCGATTAGGTTGCCTACCTGATGGCCGATATCAGCAACGTGGACGCTACTGTGATCAAGGAATTGTATCAAAGCCTTGAGAGCCTCGACTGTAAGATCGACCTTTTCTACATTTCACCATGTGACATGGAACTGACTCCCCCTCTAGCCCGAATTATGACCCGTGTTCTATACTAGACGAGCTCAGATGTTCTGTCTTCTGTAATCAACTTAACAATCTTTAAACCCGCTCTAAAGGTTCAATTTCACGAAACCAACCGGACCAATTCAACGAGGTTCCATCGATCTGCCTCTGCACATATTTCTCTCTGAAAAGCTGAAATTCATATGTAAATTCCTTATAAGACGCTAGAAAAGAAATTATGACTTCCATTTGAAACTATCATTTAAAAATAATTTCCTTGAAGATTGACGTCAGAGAGGGTAGGACAAATTGATTCTAGTCCCTGGATTTGAGCTGACGAGCAAAGTATGATATGATACTTTCAAGGCCCTTTGCTTGCATCTCTGCTCGCCTCTTTGCTAACATCCCTGTTACTAGGGCTCCTGCTTCTTCGCCGCGGCTCTCGGTGATAATCACGGCGTTGGTCAAAGCGATTTGACCCACGCCAATCTGCATTCCGAGTATTATAATCGCTTGCATCTTGGGCACGATCATTAGGGTTACCATAATGGGGTACATAAGAGTCAACATTGCTCGAGAATCTGCCATTCTGACGATTTTGGTTGAACTGATCCCGCCGTTGGTCATCTCTTCTGTCTCCCCGACCAGGTGGTCCCTCCCAAGTCTGATGAGCAGAAACAGGAGGCCGCGGAGGAAGGCCGTTGTTTTGTGATGGCGGGAATGGCCCGCGTCGGTTATTATTTCCGGGTCCAACTGGTGCATTATTGGATCGACCACCCCGAGCAGCACCTGGTATACGACTGTTTCCAGAATTAGGTACTCGAGAGCTAGAGCCAGTCCAGCCTCCACTGGACGGGCCATTGGTGACAGCACCAGCTGGAGCTGGAGGGAACGGCTTTTGCTGATTACGCAACTTCTTTCGATCAAACTCATGGGAATCCTGATAAGAGGGAATCTCACCAGGACGCGCTGGGAGAGGTGGAGTGGTGAAATATGGGTGTTTCAAAGCGTCTATAGCATTGATGCGTTTTCGCCAGTCAAGCTTTAGAAGCTCACTCAGTAGGGAGATGGCCAAAGGGCTGAGTCTATTTGGCAGTTAGTTGAAGTACGTGCTCGGGGTTTAGAATCTGTGAACTGAAAGACTTACGCTTTGAAGGAACCTGGAAGATTTCCGCGACTATATGCGAAGCTCTTAACTCCTTCACAGCCTGGTAGTGTACTCCATCCAGGCATGTTATCTTCAGTGGGACTTCCAACGAGATTGAAGATCAATTCTAACTGCTCAAGATCACTTCTTCCAGACAAGATGGGCTTTCCTTTGAACATTTCGCCAAATACACATCTGGAATAGGTCAGTAAATCAATATACAAAAGATTTGAAGGAAGATAGAATACCCAACTCCCCACAAGTCGATGGCTGTTGTATATTTTCGCAAAGATAGAAGCAGCTCGGGCGGGCGGTACCACCTAGTGACAACAAGAGCTGTATACTCTCTTCTTGCTTCCCCCCACCCTTTCCAGGCTGCGGAGGTTCTTCATCATAGGGTCGTGCAAGGCCAAAATCGGCAATCTGAAGAATACCACCGTTGCTAATGAGAAGATTGGCGGCTTTTTCACATTCCATCAGCCTGAATTCACACAAATTCGTGGCATGTGGCGGGTACTGTACCTTTCATATCTCTGTGCAAAATTTGGCTCTGTAAATTCAAGTTAGACAGGACTTGTTAGGCAAAAATATGGGATATTTCGTACCGCATGCAAGTATCGAAGCCCTTCTAGGAGCTGCATCATATAGCACTTGATCTGAGGTTCTGTGAAAAGAGCATCTGAATTCTCTAGAAGGCCTGAAAGATCGTGCTCCATATATGGGGTTACCATGTACATGCTGGGCTTTTTTCGCCCTTCACCTAATATAAATGTTAAAACAGTTACAAGATTGTTTCTTGAAGTTACGGCAGTGGCTCTCACCTTTGCCCCGTTCGATGGCCATCTCCTTGAGTTGTAAAACATTGGGATGAGAGAGAATCTTCAAAATCTTGATCTCTCGAATAGCTGTTATGGGAAACTGGTGAAAATAATTTAGCAAGAAAGATCAATAGATGGCAAGAAAGGGACTCACTAACCCCATCTTTTTCATTGTGCATGAGAATCTTTTTGAGCGCAACTATAGTGTTGGTCTTCTTTGATCTCGCTTTATAAACCTCACTAGCTTCAGGTCAGTAACAATTTAATGGATATACATGCATATACCAAAGAAAAACATACCCGAAAGTTCCTTCTCCTAGCTTGTCAATGAACTCAAAATCCCGAATGTTTGAGCTACCAGTGAACCTCGACTCGCCATCACTATTCTTCTCGAGGGACACAATTGCCATATTTTTCATAAGCCGAGCTCTAACACAAAGGTTTCGAGTTTTCCAAGCCGTCGTATTAAATCAGTTGTTGTCTTATGGGGGTCACGGTGTTTGTATGGTGTCTCAATGAGATGCAGCTGTGATAGGTGATGGATGTTAACTGAAAAGTTATGGAAGATTTCTTTTTTCAATGACAGGTCCGAGTGACTCTGGTATGTGATTGAGAAGAAGCAGTATCGTGTCGCATTGAGAGAGGTTATGCGATGCGGTCCATTCAAGGGTGGAAGTAGGAAGGAGCGAAGGAAATTTGTCGGAAGTTGATTTGGAGGTAAAGATGAATGAAGATTCTGCCAACCTTATTGAATAAATGAAAAAAAGCTGAGTATAATAAGTACCTTCACTTTCAAAGCTGCTAGAAGGCGCGTACCGTCACTGGTCACGTGAATGCCCGGCAACTTCATCTCCATCTCCCGCCGAATCCGTTCATTCAACCCCATCTTGTGTCAAACAAGCGAACTACAGTGAGTACTTTGTAAATCCTTGGCTTAACTATATCTGACTTCCTTTCTAGAAATGGCAGGAAAAGCTCACCACCCAATCCATGTTCACCCGGTCCGACCGCTCTACCGCTTCACTGCTACCGCATTGGGTGCCAGCATGTGGTTCTTCGTAGGATTACCTTCCCTCGGCATTTGGAGTATGCATAGCACTAACACAAAAATTTTCACTGTAGCTCATGTACCGTGCGAAGAAGGATGGAGCCGCCCTGCTGGGCTGGAAGCACCCGTGGGATCACTAGATGGCAGAGACGACCGAGTCCATGTACCTCAGACCTCTTCCACAAGACCACAAACCACACACAATTAAAACCCGAGTGAGACCACTTAGGCTGTTTGATACCACTGTTTTGAGAAGTCATCGGGGTTGTGGTGGCTGAAATGTATCATATCATTTAGATCACACAATGCGACAATGCGCAAAAGGGAATCTATATCTCTACAGGTATATAAATGAATAACAGCCTATCGATCCATCTACCTTAAATGCATCTGATCCAAAAGCACCTTGTACTGGCGGCGCTTCTTCTGGTAGTTCGGCTGCAGACGAACCCTGAAATGTCCGAGGATGCGCGCCAACCGAGGGAAAACAACCGTCTCACCGAGCCAGGCAAGCACGAACATCCCAAAAGCAAGCACTAATATCAAGCCTCGGAAACTGTCAGACATAAAAGTCAGCTCCATCACACTCTTCACCCATTCGGAGGGTCGGAAGAGCATGTACGCCACAATCAAAAGGTCGAGAACGATTGTACAGAGGTAAGGGGCTGCCGCATATGCAGTGGTTAGCAATGACCCTTGGGCAATATAGAAGGGCACTACATACCATTTAATGTTATAGGTTGCCTGAAAGGTCGTCCAACATTCATAACGATGCTAGTCAAGATGTACTGGAAGCAGGAAAACAGGAACAAGGACGTGTTCTCGGAATTCAAGATGTTGCTCTTGTTCACGTCAAGTTGGGGAGGCTCGAACCTGCATAGATGGTGAGTAAATTGTCTTGATCATGTCAGAGGGAAGAACCATACCAAGTTTGGACCTGGACAGTTCGGAAGACTGCCAACTGGGCCAGAACCACCATCAATATCTGACCCAGCAAAGGGGTCAAGACCTTTCGCGAGACCAGGTCCGCAGTGGGCCGTTTCCGTGAAAGCATAGGGAAAGGGCCGGTCCAGCCCACTATTTAAGAGTTAATCAAATCAAATTATGGACTGAAAGACATGGGGTTACTCACTGAAAATAGCGATCGGCATGATGAGAATCAAGTCGATGAACAAGAACTAGGGCTTCTAGTAAGCTTGAAGAAATATGTGTGGGCTACGGCCATGCTTACCTGAAAGTCACCTAAATTGGACCCCGATGTGTAAAGGAAGCTGACTGTGGAGAATTGGATGGCCGAGTAAAGACTCATAAATTTAAAGCAACTAAAGCTCGTCACCAAAGCAGCTCGTCCCTCACTATACGTATTCATTAGTTTGATGTTATTCATCTTCAAAGGGCGTTGACTCACCGAATCAGTGTTGGCACGCAGGATATTTCGAATACCCGACTGGTGAAGGGTGCCGCAACGGATGCCTCAGCATCTGACAGTGAAATTCCGACATCTGCCGCCTTCAAAGCACCACAGTCGTTGGCACCATCTCCACAAAAGCCACAGCAGTAATCAATGGATTGTAGCTTCTCAACCAGCTCATGCTTCTCATCTGGTGACATTCTAGCAAACACTTTCCCGCTTACCAGGACCTATGTACCAAAAATGTTAGACATTCAGGTCAATCTCCTGAGGAATTTCAATAGAATATCAACATACTCGGTTAAGAACGTCTTCGTTTCCATAGTCGACCATCCATCGGAAGACATCACCAGTAACGGCAACGCAAAAATCCAGATGTTTGAAAGCATTTCCCGGGATAGAAACATCAGCGTCCTCCAGAGGCTGGAACTTACATTAGTCATGATGGACACGGTGAAGTAGAAGATGTTCTTACCATCAATGTCCTTGAGTCCAATTTGAGGTCTGGATTATCCACACTTTCCCAGATGAGAGAACTCTTAGCAGTTAAACCGGATTCTTTTCAATGGTCAGTCCAAGAGTCGATGAAATCAATTCGGATGGAAAAAATGTACCTTCGATCAAATGCGGGATGAAACACTGTTCATATGCACCGATCATCTTGCATTCTCTAGCCACACTGATTGCTGTCAAGATATTGTCGCCTGTGCACATAACGTTACGAATACCGGCTTCGTTGAGCTCTGATATGACTTCTGTTGTACTGGGTTTCAGTTTGTTTTCAAAGATGATGAAACCCAAAAACTCCAGGTTACTTTCAGCCTCGGAGCGAGTTAGTTTCTGGACTTTCATCCAACTCAATTTGCGTTCGTATTTGGTGGCACAAGCAATCACACGATATCCTTTGTGGGTGTAGTGACTGAGGAGCTCGTCGTAATCGGTTGGTACTACAGAAAACATAAGCAAAAAACCCCCGAGACATTCAATGAGGATAATAACGACTCACAGCTCTCGGGCAAACATATGTCCTTGATACTTTCGGGTGCACCCTTAACGAAGAAGCTCACGCCTGTATCGCCAAATTGCCGGACAATAACACTTGCCCGGCGAAGTTGGGAAACGAACTCGAAATCTCGCAATACACCAAGCTCGACGGGGATCTGGAAAGAGATTCAAACGTCAATATTTAGTTTGAACCCAGGCCAACGCTCAGCTTACATCTGGTCCGTTCTTTTGGCTTTCTCCGGCGTAGGTTACAGGTGGCTTTGCCACAGATGGAACAATCGTGTCAAACTTAGGGTTCATGTGCTCAGAGGCATGACCTCCCTCCTCGTATGACCAGCCCGTGAATTGAAACATCTTGACGTCAAGAGGGTCTCCGAGAAGTTCACCATCCACAACCCGGAGAGAATGACATGTCGCCATGGTATATATAATCTTGCGTTGCTTCTGAAGATCATATGGAGAGGTTGCATTTAGAGCTGGGAGTAGCAGGCCCCCAGATGTTTCACTCAGAAGCTTGGAGAACCTAGTAAGGGTTAGGTTAGACTAAGCAGCTTTTGTTTACTGTAAAGACGCACCTTTGGTTACTGCTTACGGGCCGTGCTCCCAAGACGTCAAGCCCATCTTCCGTTAAAGTACCAGTTTTGTCAAAACAGACCACATCAAGCTTTCCTCCCACGTTAACTCTACAAGTGACACGTGATTAGTAGATGACATGAATCCTTGTCAAATGTGTATTACTCACTTCTGGGGACTGATACAAAATATATCTTGTTTCTTCAGACGGGAAAGGGCAAAATTGGTGCCGATAGTCAGGGTTGCGGGAAGAGCAGGCGGTACAACAATTGTGATCAGATCGAGTGCTCGAACAATGATGAGATGCCATGAGAGCTATGACTGGTTAGCAAGCGAGTAAGTGATTGTTTGGACAAGGAACGGCATACACCCAGCTTGACAAAATTGATGAACGAAGCTACGAAGCCACAGAGAGCAACCACACCCATGACGGCAATGTAGCGGAAAGAGTCCCGATAGAATTTGAAACCAGAAGGTTTGGGGAAAAGCATGGAGCGAACCAAAGCACCTTTTGTGGTGTTGAAGCCCGTCCTGGCAACCATTGCTAGTGCAACCGCTTCATCATCGTCCACATTCTGAGGCCGCCTGGCCCGGATGATTTTGGTACCACTGAAAAGAAAGTGTTTGGCGACATTAGGGTGAATGGAGGGTGCACTGAGGTCAAGGTATTTCAAGGCATCGTCGATAAACGGTGTTTTTGATACTGGAACGGATTCACCTGTTATGAAGTTAGATTATGCTGTATTAGATTGATATTCGAGCACGGACCAGTAAGCATGCTCTCATTTACAATGCAGTCCCCAGAGAGCAGAATTGAATCACACGGAGCCTGGTGAAGCGAGGGATCGGAGAACTCGAACACATCTCCAGGTACTAGATCTTGAGAGGAGACAGATCGCCCTGCAGTTAATTGTATCAGCATGTACTCCAAGTAATCACATCCATTGAATTATGCCAGCTTACAGAATCCGTTTCTCAGAACTCGCACGTCGCATTCGAACAATGAAATTTCTCTTAGTCGCCGCATTGTCTTTCTCAATGTCAGTATCTGAGCGGGGGTATTGCCGGGTTAGAATTCATACCGATTTGGTGTCTAGTACTGTCGTTCCAATGCTGAAGATTGATATCAGGAAGATGCAGATTGCGTAATAGTAGTATTCATCCATAGACCACAGAATAAGGCTTGCCACCTGGAAGATGTAGAATGGATGGAATGCCTGAATTTGGTCAGGAAACAAGTCTGTAATTAGTGGTAGAAGGCACGTACCTCATCTATGAGCAGCTGTGCAAGACTCTTCTGATGTATCTTAATATTATTTTGACCAAATATCTGCTCTCTGCTATCGCGCTCGTCGGCATCCAAGCCCCCTCGCATCACTTTCGCATTTGTCCATGCAGGATCCTTCCAACCGTTGATCATGGAGAATTTATCATCAACTGGGTGATAAAAAAACCGCAGGTACCGATAGTCAAGAAACTGCAGGGAAGAAATTGTTGGGTCTTGGTCTTCGTCATACACTTGACCCGAAGTATCAACGAAAACTGTGGAAAGAGGTCTGCCATATGACTGGTTGTGAACGTTGTGAACGGTGAACTGATTCCACTGATCTTCAATAGCCATCCATTGGCATTTTGCCAGTGGAGTGGCCTTGCCAATTAGTCGCACTCTCCATCGTGGGAGCCAACGGAATAGAAGATATGCAAATCCACCGGTCAGGATACATAGGGCTAAATATATAGTGAACCCTCCGGTGCTAGTGGAGAAGCCCGCAAAGACAGTAGTCAAGTCCTCAGATGCGATGTAAACCTTTTGGTTGAGCCTGCTGCCGGACTTTCGGTCACGTCCATAGGAGCTTGCAGAGAGGTAACGAGAAAGTAACGGATGCTCAGCGGAGTCTCGGGAATGCGACAGTCTCTTGGAGACAAAGGAGCCTCGACTGGATTCAATATCAGCGTTGGAAAATCTGTCGATTCCATCATCTGACAGATCTTCGACTTCTGAGTCTACGTCCTCGACCGCATCTTCATTGGGCCATTCCGCAAAATCTTCTCCGTCCTGGAAATAAGTGAAACTGACTGTGGATCCTGTTCGGTTCCGGCGGTGCATAAAGGAGACAGCACTCGATGGAATACTTTCTGAAATCGGGCCATCAAACACCTATTTCACTAGCATCAGTCCTCTGCTAACATTGGTGATGAATGGACCATGACATACCTCATCCCGAGCCATTTCAACATCTGATACCGCACTCACACTGCATATTTAGGTCAGATATTGGTTGATTGGCGATGGGTGCATTCAGGTATAATTACCAGCTTCTCATTGAATCCCTCCGCATATTTGGTCGAGAAATTGATAGGTCCACAGGGTCACCTTCTGGGGACTGTGACCGGCTACCCATGGCGTCGTGTTTTCGGATAACGAGACAGCTGGAGTGGGGAGGTTTATAGTAGAAACTGGGTTGCTGGTCTCCCTCTTCAGGTATATATAGAGTCAAGAAGGCTAGGTAACAAGAGACGAAGACATACTGATAGGAAGAGATAAGAAAGTGACCTCGGAGCTTCGAACAAAAAGTTCGGAGGAAGAATTGTCTTATCTCCACGTGATCGGGTTACATTATATATCGACAGATATAGGAAAGGAATTTACGCTAACAGAAATTGGAAAAAATGCAATGTAGGAGAGATATTTGTTTGTGCACTTGAGTGTGATGGTAATCCGAGGACCGACTATTTGAGAGTAGTTTACTCCGTATAGTCAACTCTTTTTTCCCAAATTGGATCAAGCCTTTGACACTTCGAAGCCGGGTTAGATCTGGCGGGGATCGGAAGCAACTTGTGTTTGAGTTTACCTAGATATCATAATCATACCGAGGTATAGTAAATAGATCTCTAAAAGGGAGATATATCCACAATACCTAGGTAGTAATGATAGGAGACTATCTATCTGGATTAAACTGAGTAGATCAAGGTTGAACCAACTCTAGATATTAATGTTTTTAAAATTAATGTATGTAACCCTTGGATGGCGGAGCAGGACATCTCTTTGATTGAAATGGGTTTAACACCAAAAAGAAATAGAATTTCATAATAATAGATAGAGATCTACTTATAGCATATTGAGTAGAAGACGAATTAAAGAGAAAAGTTGGAAGTTGGAAGTTGAAAGTTGACGAAAGTCAAAAGTACGGAGGTGGTAGAGAGTAGAAGAATAGAAGTTGTTGGGGAGTCGCAGTTTTTCAACCAAGCGCGTCCCGCCAAGCCCCTCCGACCACTGGGCGCTAAGGATTCTCCCACCATCTCCCACTTCCAGACTCAACTTCAATCTTCAATTTCTTCCCTTTACACTCTCCTTCCTCTTTCCCTTCCCTCTATCTATTTCTCCACCCACATCCTTCATAATGTCTGAGCCCATCAGAAATAAGAAGGCTGATTTCCCGGTCGCTCCGTATGTCTTTTCCCTTTTTTGACTCTTATCTGAAAAAAAAAAAAAAACACCACTTACTGAGAAAAAAAATAGGACCCCGCAAAACACTCCCGCCAGCAATGCTCCCATCTCATCTCACGCTCAGCAGCCTGGCGTGTCAAGCATCTCAGAGGGTAACTTTACCATCTCCCCGATGGCGTTCAAAGGAATATTTTTACTGACCGCTATTCTCGTCTAGAAACTCTTGAGAATGCGACAGCAGCTTCCCTTTTCGCCCGCAACCCAGCTCTCGTTTCCATGATCCAGGGTAAGCTCGGTCAGCTTGTCGGTCGTTCTTCAGGCTACGTTGAGTCCCTCCCTCCCGTTGTTCGTCGCCGTGTGGCTGGCCTGAAGGGCATCCAAAAGGAACACGCCAAGCTAGAGGCACAGTTCCAGGAAGAGGTTCTGGAACTTGAGAAGAAGTACTTCGCCAAGTTCACTCCTCTCTATGAGCGTCGTGCTACCATCGTGAACGGTGGTGTGGAGCCCACCGATATCGAGGTTGAGGCCGGCAAGGAGGAGGGTGAAGACGAGGAAGAAGAGGAAAAAAAGGAGTCTGGAGATGACAAGAAGGATGAGGCTTCCCAGGCCGCTGGTATTCCAGAGTTCTGGCTCTCGGCTATGAAGAACCAGATCTCTCTCGCCGAGATGATCACAGAGCGGGATGAGGAGGCTCTTAAGCACCTCACTGATATTCGCATGGAGTACCTCGACCAACCTGGATTCCGCCTGATCTTTGAGTTCTCTGAGAACGAATTTTTTACCAACAAGACCATCTCCAAGACCTACTACTATAAGGATGAGAGCGGCTACGGTGGTGATTTCATCTACGACCACGCCGATGGCTCTAAGATTGACTGGAAGGAGGACCAGGACCTGACTCTCCGTCTTGAGAGTAAGAAGCAGCGCAACAAGAGTAATTTCTTTCTATAACCTAACCTGAAAAAAAAGAGATCGAGAACTGACAAATCCACAGACACCAAGCAAACCCGCGTTGTTAAGATCAGCGTGCCTACCGAGTCCTTCTTCAACTTCTTTTCTCCCCCACAGCCCCCAGCCGATGACGATGACAACGAGTCTATTGCCAGTGATATCGAGGAGCGCCTGGAGCTGGACTACCAACTGGGTGAGGATATCAAGGAAAAGTTGATTCCCCGTGCCATTGACTGGTTCACTGGCCAGGCTCTTCAGTATGAGGAGTTGGGTGAGGACATTGACCCCGATGACTATGAGGATGAGGATGATGAAGATGATGAGGAAGAGGAGGATGATGATGACGAGCAGGGATCAGACCGTGATATTGAAGATGACTCGGACGAAGAGGTATGCTTCTCTCTCTTGCCCCTCTGACTTTCACTTACTTACATTGATATTAGGATGGTACTTCCAAGCCTAAGAAGGAGGCTGCTGAATGCAAGCAAAACTAGAAAGAACGAACGAAAGTACGAGAGTACGAAAGAAAAGAAGGGTTGCCCTTTATGGGCCAAGCACACAGCTCTCCTTGATATGCGTCATGGACTTCGTCATTGATGTTATTGCTATGTTTACCTTTACCTTCTAACTGATGCCTTTGTTTCCCTGCACTGCGTGAACTTCCTCCTTTATTTTTCCCCCTGTCTTAGGTACCTAATATCTCAAATCAATACGACATAAGTGTGTTAAAAGCCTCTCCGATTTGAATAGTTTTAGGGCATGGAGTTGGAAAGCAAGATAAATAAAAAAAACATCTCTAGTCCCAACTTAAATATCAATTCCCCAATCCAAAATCCAACTATATTGTGTTACCCTGCAGAATAAAAGTGAGATGTAAATAAACATGCAGTCAAGGAGGGGATAATATGGCGGTGACAAGTCTTGTGGGGGTGTGGCGCGGCACCCCAAGTTAGTCCCGAAGCTCCCTCAGGGGCTTCCTCGCTAAATGGCCAGCTGTTACAAGGGCGTTCTTTTCCACCTTTTCAACCCTTCTTTCATAACCTCTCTTGTTATCTTGTTTCGGACTATGAGCCGATGAGGGTTCACCGCGCGCTCCCTTGTCTTTGGACCACTCATTCGTGATCGTCTTCTACTCTTCTTTTTTTTCCACTTGTGATCCCCCGCCGGCTTGGAAACCTATTCAACTTTGCTCAACCTTTTGATCTCGGTTCATCACTATTTCTTTAATACTAGAAGCGATTCAACGAAGGAATCATGGCGCACATCTACGAGGTCGGGACCCGGGCCTGGCAGCCGGATCCGACAGAAGGATGGGTTGCGTCTGAAGTGAAGGAGAAGTTGGTGGATGGGGAGAAAGTGCAGTTGATATTTGAGCTGGAAAATGGAGAGGTAGGCATCTATTGATCTTTCTTGTCAAAAAGACTCGCAGATCTCAAACATGACAAAGAAAATCATGGACAGCTGACGCTTTGAGCACTAAAACAGACCAAGACGGTGGAAACAACGCAAGCCGAATTGCAAGTCGATAACAATGCGAATCTGCCACCATTGATGAACCCAGCTATGCTAGAAGCTAGCGAAGATTTGACCAACCTTTCTCATTTGAATGAACCTGCTGGTGCGTCCTACTCCACCTTTGCGATCCTGTCCATGTACTGACCGTTCAAAAGTCCTCCAAGCTATTAAGCTTCGGTATGCACAGAAGGAGATCTATACTTACAGTGGTATCGTCTTGATTGCGACCAACCCCTTTGCTCGGGTAGACTCGCTCTATGTTCCGCAGATGGTGCAAGTCTATGCCGGGAAGCAGCGTGCTTCTCAGGCGCCGCATTTGTTCGCCATTGCTGAAGAGGCCTTTGCGTAAGAACTTGTTCTTTTAATCATCACGTTTTTTTGGGATAGCCTCTAATCGTTAATAATTTATGTACAGTGATATGCTTCGAGACAAAAAGAACCAGACCATTGTCGTCTCCGGTGAATCTGGTGCTGGAAAGACCGTGAGCGCTAAATATATTATGAGATATTTTGCAACTCGAGAGTCCTCCGATCAACCTGGAAAGTACAGTACCAGCCGAGCTGATGCCATCAGTGAAACTGAAGAACAAATTCTGGCAACCAACCCAGTCATGGAAGCATTTGGAAACGCCAAAACCACTCGCAACGACAACTCCTCGCGATTTGGTAAATATATAGAAATCATGTTCGATGACAGGACAAACATTATCGGTGCGAAGATCCGAACTTATCTCCTAGAGAGATCGAGACTGGTGTTCCAGCCCCTCAAGGAGCGCAACTACCATATCTTCTATCAACTTGTGGCTGGTGCTACTGACGAGGAAAGGCAAGAGTACGATCTGCTACCAGTGGAGGAATTTGATTATCTGAACCAGGGTGGAACACCAATTATTGATGGTGTCGACGACAAGGCCGAATACCATGCGACTAGAAAATCCATGACCACCATCGGAGTTTCAGACCAGAATCAAACCGATATCTTTCGTATCCTGGCAGCTCTGTTGCACCTGGGTAATGTGAAGGTCATTGCGACTCGTACAGAATCTTCCCTCTCGGCTACCGAGCCCTCTCTTGTGCGCGCATGTGAGATGCTTGGTATTGATGCCAATGAATTTGCCAAGTGGATCGTTAAGAAGCAGTTGATCACACGAGGAGAGAAGATTACATCTAATCTTACCCAGCAACAAGCTATTGTAGTCCGCGACTCCGTTGCCAAGTTCATCTATTCAAGTCTCTTCGATTGGCTAGTGGATAAGATCAATCGTGGCCTGGCTACCAATGAGGTTATCGAGAAAGTCGTCACTTTCATCGGTGTGCTGGATATCTACGGATTTGAGCACTTTGCCAAGAACTCCTTCGAACAATTCTGCATCAACTACGCAAATGAAAAGCTGCAGCAAGAGTTTAACCAGCATGTGTTCAAGCTCGAGCAGGAGGAATATGTCCGAGAAGAGATTGATTGGACATTCATCGACTTTTCGGATAATCAACCCTGTATTGATCTGATTGAAGCCAAGCTTGGAATTTTGGCCCTTCTGGACGAAGAATCGCGGCTTCCAATGGGCTCAGATGAACAGTTTGTGACCAAGCTTCACCATCACTTTGCTGCCGACAAGCAGAAGTTTTACAAGAAACCTCGCTTTGGAAAATCATCCTTTACTGTTTGTCATTATGCCATTGATGTCACTTATGAGTCCGATGGCTTTATTGAAAAGAACCGCGACACAGTTCCGGATGAGCATATGGAGGTACTGCGCAATTCGTCGAACAGCTTTATCAAGGAGATTTTGGACACAGCTGCTGCGGTGCGAGAAAAAGACTCGGCATCTGTCTCGTCAAAGGCTGTTGCTACCGCCCCTGGTCGTCGAATTGGAGTGGCTGTCAATCGCAAGCCCACCTTGGGAGGAATCTTCAAGTCTTCTCTGATCGAGCTGATGACCACGATCAACTCTACTGATGTGCACTACATTCGATGTATCAAACCCAACGAAGCCAAGGAATCTTGGAAGTTTGAGGGGCCCATGGTTCTCAGCCAGTTGAGAGCTTGTGGTGTGTTGGAAACTGTTAGAATCAGTACGGCAGGCTATCCCACTCGTTGGACCTATGAGGAGTTTGCTATTCGCTACTACATGCTTTGCCATTCAGCACAGTGGACTTCAGAGATCCGCAATATGTGCCACGCCATTCTGCAAAAGGCTTTTGGAGATGACAGCGACCCAAAGCAGGACAAGTACCAACTAGGTCTGACCAAGATATTCTTTAGGGCAGGCATGCTGGCCTTCCTGGAGAATCTGCGAACTTCTCGGCTAAACGAGTGTGCCATCATGATCCAAAAGAATTTGCGATGCAAATACTACCGCCGCCGCTATCTAGAAGCTCGTGAATCCATCATGACAACGCAGGCTTTTATTCGGGGATTCTTGGCACGACAACGCGCCCAAGATATTCGCCGGACCAAGGCTGCGACCACGATCCAACGGGTCTGGAGGGGACAGAAGGAGAGGAAACACTACAACGAGATCCGGCGCAACTTCATTTTGTTCGAGTCTGTTGCGAAGGGATTTCTCTGCCGCCGAAACATTATGGACTCTATCAATGGCAACGCTGCCAAGGTTATCCAGCGTGCTTTCCGTTCATGGCGACAATTGCGTGGCTGGAGACAATACCGTCAAAAGGTGATCACCGTTCAAAACTTGTGGCGAGGTAGACAGGCTCGTAAGGCCTATCGGTCCCTACGCGAGGAAGCCCGGGATCTCAAACAAATCTCCTACAAGCTGGAGAACAAGGTGGTAGAGTTGACACAGTACCTGGAGTCACTCAAGCGTGAAAACAAGTCTCTGTCGTCTCAGCTGGAGAACTATGATACTCAACTGAAATCTTGGCGTAGTAGACACACTGCTTTGGAAGCTCGTGCGAAAGAACTTCAAATGGAGGCTAACCAGGCAGGTATCACGGCAGCCCGCCTGGAAGTTGTCGAGGAAGAGATGAGCAAGCTTCAGCAGAGTCATAGTGAAGCTCAGGCTACCATCAAGCGTCTGCAAGAAGAGGAGAAGGTTTCGCGCGAACAATTCCGCGTGACTACTGAGGAGCTGGACCGTCTCACCGAGACCAACGGTGACCACGAGAAAGATCTCATAGTACTTCGCGGACGGGTTTCAGAGCTCGAGGAAGAGTTAGAGGTGGCTAAGCGTTCGGCGCCTGTCAGTGGTGTGCACGGGGAAGTACCAAATGGCCATGCTGCCGCTGCCCCTGCTACTAGCCTTATCAACCTCGTTTCGTCGAAGAAACCGAAGCCCAAGAGACGCAGTGCTGGTGCAGAGAAGATTGAGATCGATCGTTTCAGTGGTGCATACAACCCTCGACCCGTATCAATGGCGGTCACTGGGCCTAACGCTGCTCGTATGGCCGCTGCTATTTCCCCAGGACTAGATTCGGTTGAGGCAGAGCTAGAGCAGTTGCTGTCTGAAGAGGAGGATTTGAATGAGGAGGTCACACAAGGTCTCATCCGTAACCTCAAGATTCCTCTCCCAAGCTCCACTCCCGCTCCAACTGAGAAGGAGGTTCTGTTCCCCGCATACCTGATCAATCTTGTTACTTCGGAGATGTGGAACAATGGATTCGTCAAGGAATCCGAGCGCTTCCTAGCCAATGTCATGCAGTCGATCCAGCAGGAGGTCATGCAACACGATGGAGAGGAAGCCATCAACCCTGGTGCATTCTGGCTTTCGAATGTCCACGAGATGCTGTCGTTTGTCTTCCTGGCCGAAGACTGGTATGAAGCCCAGAAGAGCGACAACTATGAATATGACCGTTTGTTGGAGATTGTGAAGCACGATCTCGAGAGTCTCGAGTTCAACATATATCACACATGGATGAAGGTACTGAAGAAGAGACTGTACAAGATGATTGTGCCAGCTATCATTGAATCCCAGTCTCTTCCTGGCTTTGTCACCAGTGAAACCAACCGGTTCCTTGGCAAACTGTTGCCCTCCAACAATAATCCAGCGTACAGCATGGACAACCTTTTGAGTCTTCTGAACAATGCCTATCGCGCCATGAAGGCATTCTATCTGGAAGATACTATCATTCTTCAGACTGTCACAGAGCTTCTTCGTCTGGTTGGCGTCACCGCATTCAACGACCTTCTTATGCGACGAAATTTCCTCTCATGGAAGCGTGGTCTTCAAATCAACTACAATATTACAAGAATTGAGGAATGGTGTAAGAGTCATGATATGCCGGAGGGGACATTGCAGCTAGAGCATTTGATGGTACGATCACCTTGACACTTGAAAATGAAGACGAAGCTAACGAGTATTCTCCTTGCAGCAAGCTACCAAGCTTCTTCAGCTTAAAAAGGCAACTTTGAATGATATTGAGATTATTCAAGATATCTGCTGGATGTAAGCAAAGTCCATTCTTATTCATTCAAAGTTTCAATATGTTAATCCAATTCATTCAGGCTGTCCCCGAATCAGATTCAAAAGCTCTTGAATCAGTACCTAGTTGCTGATTACGAACAGCCTATCAACGGCGAGATCATGAAGGCCGTTGCGTCTCGTGTCACGGAAAAGAGCGATGTGCTCTTGTTGACTCCGGTAGACATGGAGGACAGTGGTCCGTATGAGATCGCCGAGCCTCGCGTCATTACGGCTCTAGAGACCTACACCCCATCTTGTATGTGACCGCAATTTCTCTTCTATGCGAACTATTTACTAATGATTACTAGGGCTCCAAACACCACGCTTGAAGCGACTGGCGGAGATTGTATCAGCTCAAGCAATGTCGCAACAGGACGTAAGAGAGATAGACAATGTGGAGGAGTAGAGTGTTGTATATTAGAATTTTTTGTTGGAATTTTGTCAGCTACGGATTACGATGATATCTCACCACGAATTTACTGGCCTCAATACAGTGATACATGAATATTTTATTTTTTTCTCAACTTGGCATATATTTGTCCCATACGGAGTATTTAGTCGTAGATCAACTATTAACTGCCAAAGCGGTGACTCGGTTTTGCGGGGAGCAGATATCTTGTCTCGACTTTCGACTTTTAGTCCTTGACTGGAACTATCAATTCTCTTCGCCATCATGGCTCTCACTAAAGTTAATTTCATCACTGGAAATAAGAATAAGCTCACCGAAGTGCGGGCCATTCTCGGTAATGTGATCGAGGTGGACAGCCAATCTGTCGAGGTCCCTGAAATTCAAGGCACAATTGAAGAGATCGCGAAGGAGAAAGCCCGACGTGCAGCTGAAGCAGTATGTATAGCTATGAAAAAAAGTATTCAAAAGTAACAATCTGATACCTGATTCTTACAGATCAATGGACCGGCCTTGACCGAAGACACTGCGCTTGAATTTCACGCTCTAAAAGGTCTACCTGGACCATACATGTAAGAACATCTGGAAAGATCTCATATTGGCCCCGGCTAATTACATGTCAGTAAATCCTTTATGGAATCTGTTGGTCATGATGGTCTAAACAAGATGCTGGATGGCTTCGAAGACCGCACTGCCGAGGCTGTGTGCACATTTGCCTTTTGCCGTGGTCCTGGTGTCGAGCCTATTTTGTTCCAGGGACGAACGGTAGTAAGTAATCTGGCCAAGATGAGAGTCTCTCTGAGAATCTTCGCATCTAATTTAATATTCAGGGAACGATTGTGCAGCCACGAGGCCCGACCAACTTCGGTACGTAAACCCTCATACTTCCAACGTTGAGCTCCGATATTGATAGATTATATAGGTTGGGATCCCATCTTTGAATACGAAGGCAAGACGTATGCTGAGATGGATAAGCAGGCAAAGGTAACAATTCACCGTTGCAACATTAGATTCACTGAGTCATATATACTAATCCACCCTCAAAAAGAACTTGATTTCTCACCGGTACAAGGCTCTGGTGAAGTTCCAGCAGTGGATCGTAGAAGGTCAAGAGTAAGAAGGACATCTGGGTATATGGAATTGATCTAGCAGGAGATCCTAGAAGATAGAACGTGAACGATAAAAGAAATTCCGCATTATGAGGCGCCAATTATTCCCCGGAATGTTGCTTGTTCCACGATTCAACCCAAGCTGTAATCCTGGCACAATTACTTTCAACATCCTCGTCCTTTTCACTATTCAATTCCACGACAATCTCCTCGTCAAATGCCTCACGAGCCTCCTCGATGAGGACACCGAAGATCTCCGCATCCAAATTCTCCTGTAATTTTTCTTCGTGGTAGCCCCTAGAGATAATTAGTTTCCAAGTCCGTATGAGATTCCCATCGAATCTAGATACCTAGAAGCAAGGCGATCGTAGTGAATGGCCGTTGAATGACAGCGAATGACTACGACGAGGTCAATCCAGGACTTGGGGAAGAGGTCGCAAGCGTGCCAATCGATGAGATAGCCGCCTTGGAGTATTTCATCTTCAATAGCATCCAATAGCTACAAGACAAGAGGACGAATTAGCAAACATGATCAAGATGTACAAGTCTGGGTGCATTCATGATAAGCCCATCATCCCCACCAAACCCCCGCGGCTAAAAGAAAAGTTTTTGGAAGACATATAACAGCCCCTCGTCAGCATAGAATCATACCTTATCCTCGTCTACAACCCAGCTTTTTCGCTCCTCATCAAAAGTCTCATAGCAGTCGCGTTCTTTGGCGATCTGGTTCACGGACAGGTGCTTCAAGCCGAGCTCCTGCGCCAGCTGCTCACAGTGCACGGTCTTGCCCACTCCTGGGGTACCGGTGACAATCACATTTGGAGAGGACCGCATCCTTTCCGATAGATTTGATCAAACAAATAATGCACTTGGAGGAAAAAGGCGAGGACTATTAAGATTCTTTACTCCGAAGGTGAAATTATCTCGGAAGAACTTTGATGCTTATCTTATCGCGGAATCACAGATCACAGATCAAGTCATGATAATAATGCTTAGGGTGAGCATGGGGTGATTCGTGAATAAAATAATATTAATATGTATTATGGCATAAGGTAGTAGACTGTAGATTCAACTATCTTTGCATGTCTTTCTTTGGACGGGAAGTACATAACCTGCCATGAATCAGCATCGACTCTCTCTTCCACCTGAACAAAGAACTTACTTGAGAAGCTCAAACATCTTGTATTTCTGTAGGTACGGTACACCTCTTCGATATGCTTTGAGTAAGCGAGCAGGATTGTCTGACTTTGCAGAGGTTTCGATGAGACGAAGCATGGCAGGCGATGTTTTGAACATAGGATCAAACACCAGAAGATTAGCGCTACCATTGTCATGAACCTCAAATCCAATTATGGTCATGGAATGTCCTGTTTGATATTTAATTTGGATATTTGATCTCATAAACTTAGGAGAGAAATAGGATATATACCTTGATGTTGGAAATATATTGGAGGTAGATCAGTCTTGAAGACTTTGGTCTCTTCGTCCAGCTTGCACGCTGATTTGAAATACTCCGCCACATCCATGAAAAGAGAGTCGAAGCCACGGAGATGAGCACTTTCTGTAAAACTGCTTGCATGGCATCTGAAGATGGGTTATGTCAATTTATGTCAGTATAGCACGGTATGCAGCAGGCGAATTGCTTACGGTATATCGAGGCTTTGCAAGAGTGCTTGTGCCTGGGAAAAATATTAGCAAGAATAACATTCCTTTTCCGTGAAATGGCTGACTTCTGGAGTTCCGATAAACTTTCGGGTGCCTTTGATGCCCCCAGTCTCTGCCCTCCCGCTGCTATTAAATCCCATATCCCAGGCGCGTTCAATCATATCTTGCAACTCGATGATAGAGGGGCCCCCATTTTGAAAGTGTTCGTGACCCAATGCCTGAGATTTTCTGATATAGGAGACAAGCATCTGGATATTTCGATAACCGCAGAACCCACCCTCGCGAGACATTTTGCAGACATGGCGAACTTTCGGGCTACAGAGAAAAGCGCGCATCACAGTCTTGTCTTGCTCGCACAATTTAGCAATGGCGGGAATGAGATGATCAGTCTCATTTTCCACTTTCGTGTGTCGGGTTAATTTCCCGTCAGCCGTGATTTGAGTCTGTTTTGTTGTGCGGTCACCTTTCTCTAGCATTCTGCTGAGCCACGAGGGCATCTTCTTCTCATGTGCATGGGGGCCCAGTTCTGAGCGCTAATTCATCCAATCAGCGTGTTTTACTCAAGTGGGTAAAAGAGGGTTGGTAAGTACACCGAGTCGTTTTACACCGTCTGCACCAACCGTCCGCGGGGGACTTCGAGCTCTGCTTGGCTTGAAAGTATTTGCCCGGGCTAAATCTCGGCCATTCCCTCTCTTTCCACTCTTTTGTGTGTTCAGTAGGTCCAGGGGGTCCTCCTGGTCTGAACTCAGGTCACCATTGAGAGGCGTAAGAACATTTTCGTCATTCAAGGCAATGTCCTCTGCAACATGGAAATCCAGGTGCATGGATATCTCAGTAGCTGTGACAATTTCACCACATGCATATGGGCAGTCCAGATACTCAGTTGATGCTTCATTGTCATTGTTATTTTCCGTTTGTTGCTCTAGAGTGGATGATTGTGAAGCACCGTTCTCCGGGTGACACAGTTCAATATGTTGAATCAAAAAGCTAGTATCACTGTCAGAGAAAGGGCAAAAGGGACACGATGGGATGTTTTGGTCCATTTTGAAGGACCTTCAAGTACAGAGTACTCTTGTAGGTGTGTAGTCTTCGATCCGCGTATCCTGTGGGATGTTTCGTATTCAATCAATTATCAGTCATAATCAATAACAATTGAAAATTTCTGTAAATCAGAGGTTTCGAGAGGAGAAGAGAAGTAGATGGTTGAATGTTTTGGATAGTACAGAGTAGAAGTACTCGAGTTCTAGAAAGGACGTGCCTGAAATGTGGCGGTGCAGAACCCACATGGCAATAACGTCAGCCACAAAACTTTGATCAACAACATTGGAAGGAACAAAGTGATTCCTAATGAACTACACTTGGTAGACTACAATTGTCTATACTATATAGGGCTGATAATAAGCGATCCTAGGCTTTCAATTAAACTTCTTTTTCTGTCGATAGTTAAAGGTCACGTGATAATCAATATGGACTCTATCTTGGAACGTTTTATACCTTTCACCTTCATATTAATATTGCCTCCATCCTGCAGATTCTGTATATTTATCTACTATGTAGTCATAAACGGAGTAGTTGACTAAGAAAACATGATATTCAGGTACAGTAAACACAGATCTTTGATTGGTCGGAACATGCCGTTCACAAAACTTTTCACCGCATTCGGCCTGAAGTACTTTCCATATCAAGTCACTAAAAGTTGTAGATACTAGAAACTCTGATATACGAATGAAGAAGTATAGAAAAATAGAAACATCATAAGATGAATTTTAGACAATAAATAGATGTAAATAGATGGCGTGATAGTGGACCGACTCCGACATCGTTCAAGCCTTAAAAATAGGGCGGAAATTTTAATTTTTAATTCAAGCAAGAAGAATTGAGTCATTGGGCGAAAAAAAAAGATAATGCCGCCCCTCCACTCCGCTTTCGCTCTTCCCCCTCCATCTTCTCATCCCTCCTCTATATCCCCTTGAATATAACCATGGCTCCTTCAAATCAGCTGCCCCAGGTGGCCCATACCAATTGGGTTGTACAGAAGTTTGGAGGTACAAGCGTAGGGAAATTTGCTCTCAACATTATTGAACAAGTCGTCCAGTACGCTTCCTTATACTTCTCCTCGTATGATCCAATTCTAATTTTCGACCAGACCTAGCCTCGTTAAAAATAGAGTGGCAGTTGTATGTTCAGCCAGAAGTAGTTCTACAAAGGCTGAAGGCACTACGAATCGGTGAGTACCGACTCGATGATGGATATCAAATTATGCTGACTCCCAAATAGTTTGCTGCGGGCAGCACGAGATGCCGAGAATCCTAATTCACAGGAATATCAATCTCTCATCGAAGCGGTTCGCCTGGAGCACGTCCAAGTCGCCCAGGAACAATTAAAATCGGTCGATGTCAAGGACAAAGTGATTCGGGATATTAATGGAGAGTGTGAACGGGTCATGAAAGTTCTCGAGGCGGCACAAACTCTCGGAGAGATTACCGTACGCTGTGTGGACAAGGTCGTCAGCGCAGGTGAAAAGCTCAGCTGCATGCTCATGGCAGCCTTCCTTCAGGATCGGGGAGTCGATTCACAGTATGTCGATCTCGCCGATGTCATTGATTTCCCGATTGGAAACCATGGTCTCGATCAGGACTTCTATAATAGCCTAGCGGCAGTACTAGGACAGAAGATTGCGGCGTGCGATGACCGAGTGCCTGTCGTGACCGGCTATTTTGGAACGATCCCGGGAGGTCTACTCGACCAAGTAGGCCGTGGGTACACTGATCTGTGTGCGGCTCTGGTCGCCGTCGGAACGCGCGCAGAGGAGCTTCAAGTTTGGAAGGAAGTGGATGGTATTTTCACTGCGGATCCCCGCAAGGTGCCCACTGCTCGTCTCCTCCCCACTATTACCCCGGCCGAGGCAGCGGAATTGACCTTTTATGGATCGGAGGTCATTCACCCATTCACCATGGAGCAGGTGATTCGCGCCAGGATTCCCATCCGCATCAAGAATGTCATGAACCCGAGAAATGCAGGAACCGTCATCTTCCCCGACTCGGCCGCTGAACTAGAGCGCACCACACCGGGGCATGATCCTCGCCTGTTCCGTCGAAGCCCCAGTCCATTGCAGACTCCGAAGCGACCTACCGCTGTGACCATCAAGCACAAGATATTGGTGATCAACGTGCACTCCAACAAGCGATCTCTGTCTCACGGGTTCTTTGCAGGCATCTTCTCTGTACTGGACAAGTGGAGACTGTCAATTGATCTGATCTCGACCAGTGAGGTTCACATGTCGATGGCGCTTCACTCTGAAATCCCTCTTCTAACGGGAAGACGGGACGAGTACCAAGTCATTGATGATGACCTGAAGGGGGCTTTGAGCGACCTGGGCAAGTACGGAGCGGTTGATATCATTCCTGACATGGCCATTCTCAGCTTGGTTGGGAGGCAGATGAAGAATATGATAGGGGTTGCGGGGCGCATGTTCACTACTCTGGGGGATAATAATGTGAACATTGAAATGATATCGCAAGGTAAGATTCACCCCTCACATTCTTTTGAAGTCCGAGTCTGATTATATATCCTTCTCCCTGCAGGTGCTAGCGAAATCAATATCTCATGCGTCATCGAAGAGAGAGATGCAGACCGAGCGCTCAACATTATACACACCAGCATGTTCACCTTTCTAGACTAGAGTTGACGTCTTCCGGGGGTATACCGGACCGTATTGCTCGAACCCCCCATATATTTCGGCCTATCAGTTGTTTTCAAGATTTGAAGATATCCCTTTTTTTTTTCGTCTTTTATTTAGAAAAAGTTGGCGTGCATTTCCGACACTTGGCCTCATTCTCAGGAGTCGAGAATGGCCTTGAGCGCTGTTTTCTTTTCCTTTTGATGCATGGACCTGGCGTTTCATATTATTTCCTCTCATGTTCGTCTCATGTTCGTCTCATGTTCATGCCACATATAGACTTTAAACCCTGTTTCATGATTGAAGCCCCGCTTTGATAGCTGCACTTCATAGTACATACATACTGCGTTATATAAATATCTGCAAGGTACTTTCTTATTTTATCTGCCATAACCAGATTATACCTAGGTAAATTATACGTAATTATTTATTGCTAATTGCTACTATTACTACAATTTACAATTAACTACTAAATGAAATCAATACTATCGAAATATTAACTACCAGTTAATCTAAATAAAGTCCATTCGATCTCGATCTTAACCGGGCCAATGGAAGGCATTGGGCAAGGGGGATCAAGGGGTCAAATCCGACACAACGATCGTCTCAGAGTCACATTTGACATACCAAAGGAAACTAGAGGAGAAACTAGAGGAGAAACTAGATGAGAAAGGAGATTTCAAGTATTAAGGATGAAGGATCGAAAAATAAGGTGAGATTTCCGTGCTAGAACTAAAGGGTACATTATATCCGAAATACTGGGCTGATACGTTTAAACCAACTTTAAATATAGATCTGGCTATAGGTAATCTCTACCTTATGATGATTATGTGGATCGACTAAAATCAAGGTCTTCAGTCTCCACTAGAACCACTTTTCATGCCGATCGAATGCCAGCAAGGGATTTCCTCCTTTTGTACTGTAACTTTACCTGGTACTGTCATATCCATACCGTATATTTGGTATTTATGGTTCCCACTTTATATACCAAAACGCGGTGACGCGTCTACATATAACAGTACCTTACATGTATCAATATCGGATCATACAATATCTCCCGTCAATTGATCTTACTATCAAATCTATCCTTCTTTCTCCCCCACTTCAAGGGCCCTGACCTTCTTTGATTAAAAAAAAAAACTCTTTGAATGAAAAAAACAGGGTAAGAAAGGAGGGGCATTGGAAAGACAAAAGGGAGTGAAATGCCAGGATCCCTCCTTTTCCTAGATCCTTTTAGCTCTCTTCCTTACACAACCCACTTCCCATCCTTCTTACTACCTAAGTCACCACTAGGTAGTTTGAGAAGTTAGATACAGGAGATTACGAACACGACCTCTACTCGTGGCATCTTTTCTTTTTTTTTCTCTTTTGAAACTATTCCCTCGTGGATGAATTCAACAGATTTGACTCGCCCAGACCAATTCTACAACAGTCTGGACTATTGCGGCCCAACGTGTTCTATCACATCAATACTATCAGCCTGAGGCTAAGAAGACTCCTCTTTCTATCATCTTATTGGTTCAACCAGATTTCTCTTTACGGAATCTCACCACTTGGGGCTGACGTTGTCTCCGTTCTACCCGACTTCGCGATTTGTCCCAATAATCAAAAAGAGAAAAGAGGGAAAGGAAAATAGAAAAAATATCAACAAAGTCGCGAAAGCGTTTCAGACGCGTCAGTGAATCTGTGCGACGTTCCTGCATCTTCCCATATCTAAACTATGGGATCAACGCGTCCGCCTTCCGGCGCGCATACTTCTCTGGCTCCATCGGCTTCGATTCTCAAGTCGCAACTTCAACCTTCACCGCTACCATTGCAGCCTATTGAAAACTCAATCCATCCATCATCCCGCCCGCACAGGCCATTACAAGGTGTTCCTAGTCAAGGTTCCCTTGGTCGCAAACTCGGTTTCGTTCCCATCTCTGCGCCTGCACCTCCCATGTTCACCGATTCACTGGCCAAGAAACCCGCCTTCAATATTCATTCCCACTCTTCTATGCCCCAGTCGGCATTATTCACCACCTTTTCCACTGTAAATCCAGACTCATCAAAGGAGAATCAACATCCTGAGGAAACTTCAAATGGAAGTTTCGCTGACTTCCCAGAACCCTCATATGAATCTAAGATCCCCATGAAGCGATCTCTCATGGAAGCTGCCCCTCTCAAGGAACGATTCATCAAGAAGCAAAAGTGCGAAGACGCGACAATGAGCCATATTCCAGAACCACATGCCATGCCTTCGGTAGAAGATGATGGCACCAAGCCACCCTACAGTTATGCGACATTGATCGGCATGTCCATTTTGCGCGCCCCAAGTCGTCGCCTGACCTTGGCGCAAATTTACAAGTGGATTTCAGATACATTCTGCTACTACAAGAACAGCGATCCTGGCTGGCAGAACAGTATTCGCCATAATCTCAGTCTCAACAAAGCCTTCATCAAACAGGAGCGACCCAAAGATGACCCAGGTAAGGGTAACTACTGGGCTATTGAAACAGGAATGGAACAGCAGTTCTTGAAGGACAAGCAAGTGCGACGCGCCACCATGTCAAGCCTACCCCTTCCTGCCGCTCCTCAGCGCGATCTTATTCCACAACCTCAGAGTGTCAGCACCACCTGGATGGTTCCACCACCTACTCACCAACAATCCACCCAACAACAATCTACCCACCAACAACCAACTCACCAACAAGCACCTCCCAAACCTCCTCCCCCAGTTGATCTATCATCAGATGCAACTCTGCCCGCTTCAGACCCTGCACTGCAGGACGATACTGACGAGGGTCCCCACACAACGGTCCCACATGCCGCACCACTCCGTTCATCACCTCCACAAACCATTCGATCCTCTCCACCCATTGCGCCACCTCGATTCACTCGTCAAGGAACACCTCCCACTCCTGGCCAAGTGGTCCCTACACCGGGACATCGTCCCCGCAAGCGCAAGACACTTGCTATGAATGACAGCGGGTACTTCTCATCTTTAGAGTCCTCCGCTATGAGACCAAACAAGGCCGGCCATATTCTCACTTCTGATCTTGATATTGAACCCCCGCGCATCAAGCGAGGTCGGGCTGAGGAGGAGATTGCGCGCATTCGAAGCTCATCCCATGATATGAGTCCTGGGCAGTCCACCATGCGCAAAGATCCATGCACCCTGGCCTGCTCTTCCCCACTTCGTGGCCAGTACGTCAGCATGTTGCCTCCGCCATTGACACCGGTGATCAAGTTCAAGAAGCCCGCCAAACCACCTCCATCCGTGTCTCCAAACACGAATCTGCGCAATCACCGCCGCAAAATCCAGCAGATGGTGAACTCGCCCATCAAGAACTTGGGTCTGACCGACGAGGATCTACCATGGAGCCCCGCATTCAATCTTCATGACGAGAACTATACTCCTCAAGATCATTTCCATACTAGCTTTGATGTCTTTGCCGACATCAGCGCAGATAACACCGTTTCCTACGGTTCTCCTGAGAAGCGGTCCGTCAAGCGCCAACGCATGAGCAGTGGAAGTATGGCCTTGTATGACGTTACCTCCAGCAATGTCAACACTAGGCTAGGTGTGCCATCGTTGACTCGCTCCAAGACATCCGTTTTCCCAGATTCGCCCTCGAAGATGTCGGGAGACGCCAGCCAAGAAGACTTCTTCTCCTTCCATCTCTTTGACGAAAGCAACGACAGCTCAGGCGAAGTGGATGGCGTTGATCTCCTACAAGGCTTCCAGAAGATTGGTGGCAAAAAGGATGACCTGATGAAGCCCAAGTCATTACATTCACGCCCGCATTTGAGCACCCGCAGCAATACTACTCTTTTCTGAATGGAGCAGAGTACCGTATTTTTGCCATTTGACTTATTTTTTTCATTTCATACTTGTTTCATCCTTATGTCTGTTTATTCTAACCCCGCGCTTACGACTCTGATTATTGACCATTTAAATTATGCCCCAGCTTGTCCTTTTTGCTTTTTGACCTGCGTTTATCGATTCCTTTTTGATTTTCTTCTGATTCTGCGTTTATGGAGGAGTTGGAACACGGATGTTACCAGCGATCTACTGGCCTATGCTTTCTCGGCGTTTTTTTTTTTTTTTTTTTTTTTTTTTTTGGCTACGCTGAAGCGGTTCTGACATTCCTTTTTACCGAGCCCACAATGGCCTGGATACGACCTTAATAACGACGCTAAGATGTACATGAACAAGCGACGGTTTTATGATTCGGGATACTTTATGGAGGGGACTTATCTTTTTACGGCTTGGGAACTGGATACGGAGGCGCTATTGATTAAAGTAGCAATTTGAAATCTGGATACTTTTGAAACGTTTGCTTTTGAAAAATGGGTATCTTTTTGATATGAAATACAAACCCGAACGCCCTCTGATCTTCTTGCTCCTCAGAACTGGAACCCTGCTGTCTTGTCTTAGAACTGACTAGTCACCACTGGCACAGCCAGAGCAACCGCAAGTAACGCACGCGAAATCAGGAGCTCCATCCTTGTCAGTGAAATGGTCCTTGCGCACGCGGCAGATGCACTTAGTACCACCCTTCATCTTCTTAACGCACTGAGTGCAGCAAAGCTAGATCCAAGTCAGCACTATCATCTAGAAAGTTTTAGTCAGATGAGCCTCATACCTGTTCATAGCCTTGCTTTTTCCAATAAGCGATCAAGCTCTGATCGGCATAACCTTTCTTAATCAGATAGTCATATAACTCTCTGGAAATAGGTTCGGCACCTGCCTCGACATCAGGCTTGTAGTAAAGCTCGTAAACGAATCGCGATTCTGTCTCATTCAAGTAAGTTAGTTCCTGGCGCATGTTGCAAAGGAAAGTTGGGAGAAGTCTGGCAGAGGGTAGAAATAAACGTACTTTTGTGGTTGACTTTCCACAGTTCCTTAAACCCCTCACACTTGCCTGCGTCTTTCTGCTGGTGTTGGAATTCGAGGATGGTATCCTCGATAGCAGAAAATCCATCAGGAGGGGCTTTGCGGGCAGCACGGCGTTCGGCGCCTGAGAGATCCGAGCGGCGGACGGGAGGCATGGTTGCTAGAATATCAATATGCAAGAGCGAAAACAAAAAAGAAAGGGGAGTTGAGATGAGTGAGAGGAGAGAAAGGTGGTGGAGAGAGTTGAAAGTAGGTAACGCGCCCCCGGCAGTTCAAAAGCGGTGTCTCTCTTTTTCACTCGATATACCGCCTACTATATTGGGTCGAAGCTGGAGCATCGAGCTTTGCGTCCAAAGGTTGAATCTATCCAATCCCGAAAATCCCTATCTATCATTCAAAATGGACACCAACATTGATCTCACCAAGCTCAATGAATCCGATAAGCAGGACCTGAACAAGATCCTAGCCAACGAGACTCAAAAAGCGACCATCCAGCAAGGTAAGTAAAAGCCGGTAGACCGGAATATGTGACAAATACAGGAAAACTGACAATAGTATATCTTAAAGTGGTCCACCAATTGAATGATGTATGCTGGAAGAAGTGCATCACCAGCAAGATCACATTCAATGGCCTAGACAGGACCGAAGAGGCCTGCGCCCAGAACTGTGTCGACCGCTGGATGGACACTCAGCTGAACATCCTGAAGCACCTTGAGAACCTGCGTGGCGGAAACTAAATAAAACCTCAACTCTTTCCATTTCCTCTACATCCTCCCTGACGGTGCTGGCGGTGAAAACCACATAGTCCGTCCTATCGCTGTGGCCACAAGGAAGGATATGATTCCTTTCTGGGTTGTGGATGTGGTACTTCATTCCTATTCGGGCTCTGGATTGCCAGTGTATACCTCTTTGAGGCTGGTTATGAATTTATAGATGGGTTGGGGTACCCGGTATGAGTACGAGTTGTCTGTATACTAGAGTCAAAGTAAATGAAATCTTTGCACACCCATTTCCATCCACTTAGAAGGGCCAAAATTACATTCAGCATCAAGCAATGAATCATTAACGCTATATGGAGTAGAAACAGTAGAATCACATTCAAGGATTGCCTTAGGGAGTGTATAGGTAGAGAGAAAAAGCATACACTTGAACATACCATGATAGATCGAAGAAAAGGTTTCAGGAATCTATCGGATCCTATTAACTCACAGATATCTACCAGATTACTAAACAGCTACAATCCAGACAAACAGTCTAATGAAATGGACCAGATCTTAGATCATGACAGAAAAGCTTATTTTTTGTAATCATTCAGCCCTCGTTGCTGCGGGTACAGCCAAGGCACTGGCTGGTATTTAGAATCACCGCGGTGGAAAACAAAGTTCGCCCAAACCCAAAGAAATCCATTTTCTACCCTTAGACAATAGCCAACTTGGTGGCAGCAATGTCGAGAGCATCGACATCAGCGGTTAGCCGAGCGAAAGCCTTCTTGGAACCATCGGGGCTAAAGAAATATAGTCAGTCGAGAGATCAACCGCAGTCTGACTTTGTTTTGGAAACATACCGGACGAGAGTGTTAACCTTGATGGTGTCAACGTCGTACAGCTGCTTAAGAGCACCCTTGATCTGGCGCTTGTTGGCCTTGACATCAACGATGAAGACGAGGGTGTTGTTCTCCTCAATCTTCTTCATGGCGCTCTCGGTGTTCAAGGGGTAGAGAACGATCTTGTGGGCGTCAAGAGCGGGCTGGCGGGGGATCGAGACACGGGGGTACTTGGGGGTCCGCGAGAGCTGGAGGGTCTTGGGACGGTGGAAGGTGGTCGAGGTGCGGACCTTGCGCGACTTGTGCAGCTATTTCCCGATATGTTAGTATGGAGTCCCACAAATATTATCCATTCAATCAATTCAAATTGATTTCTGGGTGAAAACATACGGAAGCGCCCTTCGCAACTGCCTTGGCGGCAGCATTAGCCCGGGAGGCGGTGCCTATATATAGAGACTGATTAGTCTCATGGTCTCTTGTGTGCGTTGTATTCTTTGATTTCGTGAAATTTGGAGATTTGCTGAGATTCCGGTGCAATCAATCAAGTTTTGGAGGGAAGGATGAAGTGATAATCCTGAATAGTCGAGCGTTGTAGAGAAAATGTGGTGTGTCGAGGCAATTGTCCAGTTCTTTTTTTCATGCAGGGAACAGTGTGGAAATTTTGAAGATTATCATTTCGTCGTCTCCCTCCGTTGTACTTGAACGATATCGCAAATTTCGCAGATATAATGAATGAAGTCCTAATGGCGATAGACATACCTTTCTTGGTTGTAGGGGCCATGGCTGTCGTCCGCTGTCGTGGTTATTGTCGCAGTGTCGTGAGTCGAACAATTTGGAGTTGGCTTCGTTAAGCGAAAACCCTACAGCTCTGTGGGTCAGGTGATTCATGACTCAGCTTAGTCATCTCCCGCATTTCGCGATTTGCCTTCAATCTTAGAATTTTCTAATATGAAATAAGAAAATAAAAAAAGAAAGGGATAAGAAAAGAGGAATTTTGGTATTTACAAGTTTTTTTCTACCGGAAAGATCAAGTTTCAAGTCATGTCAATCACATTATTCGCTTGAAGCCACATTATAACGCTACTTTCTCTAATATGGCACCCAAACGATCTAAACGGCCGGGTCTACTTTCCAAGGGTCGACCGCCTACTGCCAACTCCACCAAACATGCAGCTCTTTCTTCCAAAGCTACACGTACACTTATCCGCTCACACCACCAGCTCCTTAAGGCACGGACTCAGGCTTCACAGGCAGGTGACAAAGCCCGAGTGTGCAGCATTGATGCCCAAATTCAAGCCAATGGCGGATTGGAAAGTTATCAGATCGCCAGCAAACTAGGCCAATCGCTAGACCGTGGTGGTGATTCCAGCAAAAATCTTATTGATTGGATCAAGCCGCAGCTTAGCCAGTGGAAGGCATCTCTTCCGAAGCTGCGAGTTCTCGAGGTTGGAGCACTCAGCACAAAGAATGCCTGCTCCCGAACCCCAGCCTTGGACGTTACGCGGATCGATTTGAATTCTCAGGAACCAGGGATTCTGCAGCAAGATTTCATGGAAAGACCATTGCCAGCTTCTGAGGATGAACGTTTCAATCTAATCAGTCTATCCTTGGTGCTGAACTATGTGCCGGACGCCACAGGCCGGGGCGATATGTTAAAGCGCTGTGTCCAATTCTTAACATCTGAATCTTCAATTCAATTCACTCCTACTCTATTTCTCGTCCTGCCTTTGCCATGTGTCAATAACTCGCGCTATTTGACAGAAGAAAGGCTACTTGAAATCATGGCTAGCCTGGGTTTCCGTCTTGTGGAAAGCCGGAAAACCAACAAATTGATATATCAACTGTGGAACCATACGGGCGTTTCCGAGCCCAGATCTTTTAAGAAAGAGATGCTCAACCCCGGGCATACAAGGAACAACTTTGCTGTCATTCTGCGTGGTAGCTGAACTACCAGCTACTAGGTTCCTCCCCCGATATCAATTCCCTGGGCAAGAACGCCCAAATAGTTCCCACCGCCGCCAATATTGTGGATATGATTAGCAAAAACCAATCAAGAATGCGCTCCCGCCGACTGATCTGGTTCCCAAAGATCTTCAGATAAAATGCCAGGGGGAAGATGATGCAAATAGTGAAACACAAGAATGATCCCATGAAAGCCATGATCCTGTCAAATGCTGGAAATACCACAGATAAGACGACAATGAGAGCTATTGTGAAGACTCGGACGAATACTCGGATGAGATTGTCCACTTTTTCTCGCCCATCAGTGGATATATGTCCTGCTCCAACTCCGCAAAGAACTTCAAATGTGGCTACGAGAGGTCGAGCACTATTTCCTTTGTCAGCAAAGTATATCTGAACTGTCTTAGCACATTACTTACTTGAGAGGAACCTTTGTCAGAGGAATGATCGAGACAAAGATGATGATGCCCACAGACAAAAGCTGGGGATAGGAGTCATCCCTAAGGATGTTTGCTGTGATTTCATCACGAACGACGTCACCGAACATGACCCAGCCGATTATAGCCATGGAACAATCGAGAGAAAATGTGAAAATATATGTAGTCCAAAGACTCTTTCCATACTTGTGCGGGTGTCTCATGTCCCGATAGATATTGGGAAAGACGCCATGTCCGCCCCATGGTGCTGCGATTTTAATTAGATATACACGTGTTACCAAAGAAGACTTGTACTTACACATGATGAGACCAAAGCTCAGAGGAAGGGTAGCCCAGTTCTCAGGGAAAAGGAACGTATTGGCAGGTTGTCGAAGAGAACCCGGGGAATCGGGCTTGATTAACCCATCGACACAGATTATGATAACAACTTTTAATGGTCAATTGGTTTACCTCACGAGTTTGAAGATTGGTAGTCACTTACTAGATGTGCAAGATATTATCCCCAGGATACTAGTCACGCTAAGAAAACGAAGTGGGAGGAATTGCAAGGGGACTAGCACAATACCACAGACAATTTTCCATTCCAATATACTCAGGCCTGGAATCAAACTGTACAGGCTATCAGAGAATAGCACGACCAAAGCCACACAAGCGCCTAGGAGTTCCAGGCAGAAGAGGAAGCTGGTTACAAGACGAGCATGATGTCCAAAGCTAATATATGCCAGATCCGCATATGTGACAAGTGTCTTATCAACATTGAGGCACTTGGCTAGGATTTTGGCGGTATAAGAAGTCGTCACAGCAGAAAATATAAGGAATGACAATCCTAATAACCACCCAGCATGCTTCATTGCTAGAGGGAGACTCAAGAGACCAATACCAATTAGCACGTTGACTGAGTTAAAGACTGTTTGTGGCACAGTTGATTGTCCAACAATCATGTTCTCCTCTGTGCCATCTTCATGCTGAACATGTTTGAGAAGAAGAGGTTCGCGATCAGGATCTCCCACTACGTCTGCAACAATCTCTTGTTCCCTATGAAACTGAATGGCATGACGTCGAGTGGATTCGCTCATGCGCGACGCAACAGTGCCGTATGAAGTAGGGTAGCTCCTCTCCCAGGAAGAGGAGATCAAGCCAGTATTGAGCAGGCCACGTCTAGACCCTCCGTGGCGACTGAAGTTTTCATCGCCATCCTCACCGCCCGAATCCTCGGAAAGGAGAGGTCGATCTACATCCCAATCTCGGATCTGAGAAGAGGCTCTGGGAGTGTTATCGATTCCTGTAGCGATACCAAATTCGTCGTCGTCGTCTGCTTGTACGAACGAAGGGGGTCGTGGCAAGACTTCGGGGAAACCAGCAGCTCTCTGCCAAGAGCGGGCAAAGTTATCGATGCTGTTCACACCACCAGCTTGTCGCAAGCGGGTGAATGAAGAAGACCTTGTTCAGGGCAAAATGAGCAAATTGAAAAAAGAGTCAACTAAGCTAATACTAGTATAAATACCTTTGTCGGCCCCATGATTCTTCGTCGGGACTGCCTCCAAGACCGTAGTCGTACTCACGTGAAGCTGGGGAAATTCTCACGGAACCAAAGTTGGAATCATTATTTTCATGATCATATATATCGTCGGAAGTCATTCTGCTTCCCTTCAAACCTCAGATGAACGCTCCCACAAAAGCACAAGATGATGTTGAGAAGTTGTTGGAGGGGAATTTAAAATAGAAAAAGAAAAAAAAGCCTGAATTGAAGTGGAAGATAAGAACGAGATTGGAAATGGAGCTTTGAGCTTCGGTTTCTTTAGTGGGATCTTGTGGGGGTAGTTAAGCTCATCGCTGATAAGGGCAAAGTAGTCATGTTTTGGTAATAAGCATTTACTTATCTTGATTTTCGAGATTGTGAAACATGAGAAATATGGTTTCGGCATTTAATTATTCTCGTAGATAGATCTAGATTCAGATCCACAATAAGAGAAAAAAATAGTAAAATAAACTGGAGTGTTCTCCGTAATCAATATAAGTCAATCCATAGACCTTCTCCACAGCGGAATCCGATAACTACCATATCATAATATCATAAAATGCTGAAATAGATTATTAAAAACCATCTTATTAGGCCCCAGGGGGTATTAGATATTATATCAACTGTTATTTCCCTTCTCTTATTATTTGCATATTTTCCACGTCCTTTGAGAAGGGTAAGATTGAAAATCTTCCAAGGTTTCTTCTACTCATCTTCATTCAAGCTCACGACTTGGCTCGATATTCTATATCTTACCCAGGTATTCTACCAATATAATTCTCATGTCAACCAACCTTAGAAGTATTGGTTCAACCTTGTAGCCTTCCAACTGAACAAATTACTACGGAGTATAGGACCAGCATAATTTTTCAAAGCTGGTCAACTTTGTGAACTAGGCCGCCAGAACCCCAGGAAGTTGATAGTATCCTGGCTGTTGTGCATTCTATCTCATTTTCAAGGCTACTATGATTAATACTTTTGAGGTTTGAATATTTGAAGTATAGTAGAGCTACTTGTGGACTAGTCAATGGTCTAACCTTAGGGATTCGATTGTCATGAACATATCAAACAAATGACATACACTAGCCCATCCTGGGTAGATTTAGTCTGGGCTGACCAGATAAGTATGAAGATCTATGCTTTGTTCCATACTTTGTATATTGACTGCCATCGGGCATACATAGTGGACATAAGGGCGCAATGGATCTACTACATTTTTACTTGTCGCAACTTGAAATCTTCTTCTTTGCCCTAATACTTAGGTCGGTTTCTATTTATGACGGATAGGGCTATCCTATTTCAGGTGCCGCCACTTTTATGAGGTCAGGCTCAAGCTCACTGAGCTACTTATTACTATCATGTGAATCGTGATAGATCAGTGATCACTCGGTGTGTCACGGGGGCCTGGAGCATTCAGAACGCTTACCGCTGTACAACAGATGCAAAAGACTAGTAAGTAAACCTTCAGGATCAGAACAGGAGTCACGGTTGGTACCGTGACACTCAAACAACGTAGAATAACCCTAGAGTCTTCAGAAATAGCTCTCTTATAATTGTATTTACAAGAGAGATGAGTAGCGAGAGTTTGGTGTCTTATCAAATTCTGTCCAATTTTTGCCAACTTTCGGAGGTCAGAGGTTATCAATTCCCATGATCGGAGTAATAAATTGGCCATATCGCTTAGCATAGCATGCGTAAGAGATAATCCTCGAGAATCCATGGAAAGCAGCCATTTTGGGACACTAAAAGCGCGCGCAGTAGCAGTAGATGGATATTGAAAATCTTTTTCAAGCTTTAATAGCTAATAAGAGAGGTTCCTCTTGCTGTACCAACTTTTGAGACTTTTGAGATCGAATTGGCGGTATGGTTGGTGTTTAAAAAACATAGGTTGCTACAGAAGTGTTTTTATCAAACATGTTAGTTAAATAACACAACTATTTATTTAACTAAATAATTCCCTTAGTGATCTAGGAGCTTAGTAATCCTAAGGATAGTTAACTAAGTGGGGCTGATGTCACTTGCGTCGATCCTCCACACAATTAAGCTCCTTCCTTGTAACAATAACATCCAACTTCTTCAACCAAACCTGCTTTACTCAAAGCATGAAATCCTTCGAAAAGTCTCGTGCCAATCGAGACATTGGTGCTCAACCCTTAAACACTGTTGACCCTGAAATCTTTCTATCGAATGTTTCCACTACAAACTATGCTATTACTATGGCTCCTTGATAACTCCCATCCTTTCCTTAAGCTAGGCGGAGTCACCTCGAACCTTGGACACGCTCTTCTAAATCTCCTCGAAAGTAGGAACTGCCCTGCCCGGAAGGCCTCTATTCTCGGTAAAGGGATCATCGAGCTTAAGATACCCACAACCTAGCATAAGAGTGCTGTAGAGTGGCTCGATGAACAAATCTTTAAGTGGGTGGTCGCCGGCGACCTAATAGTAGCCGAGAGCTGGGAGCTCTCCACCATCATAATGACCCACGGAGGACATGTTGGAGACAAAAAAGAACCTGACTTTACTATGCGTCCTCGATCTCAACTTCCAAGTATAATCCCAGTTATGGCGCTCGAGGTCGGCTGGTCCCAGACCTATAGCAGCCTACATGCTAACGCAGTGTTCCTTCTAAAAGGCGGCAGCCTAACCGCAAACCGCTACATCCTCGTTAAGTACACCATCCGCCGTCAGGGTGTCCAGGCCGTACTTTGAAATTTGGGGAAAGAATATAGTTGGTCATGTCCACTGCCTTGACGACTGGGATGTTTTCCTCTCGCTCGCCCCTAAAACTACGCAAGTAAATAGGCCTCCGCTCTTCATCGTGAGAGGTGATCTCTTAAGTCCATATGTCGTTGGAGGCCGAAACGCCAACAATCAACTCGTTTTGGACTTGGGCCGTCTTCGTCAAATCTCCAGGGCCTACCTAGCAGCTACCGCGCTTTCTCCCAAGGCAGTATAGTCTTCGTCTTCTTCCAGTCGTCTTTTCTTGCTTTTTGATTTTAAGTCTCCTCGTTTATCCTTGAGGCTTTCCTTGATTGATATGTGGGTGCCTCACCTGTGGCGTTACCTTTTTTATATTTAATTCTTGAACTTTTACTCTAGCTGAGCATTCCATCTATTTAACAGCCATTACTTCTGCAATCTTTGGTCCAAACTCAGGGTTCCAACATTCAGCCACCCAGTTCGCTCAGTGAGTGAATCAGACCGCTCACTAAGTACTCACTGAGTGCTCCCGGAGTGTCACCTGATAGTTACTCACTGAGCAGATCGGGGAGCTTATATAATACATATTGATCAGGGCGCTCAGAGGCGTACTCAGTTCTACTCAGTGAGCAAAAGCAGCGAGGGGTGAGCACTAATACGGAAGGGAAACTCCAAGAACTGGCATACAAAACTCGGTACATACAGTAAGTAGTAATTAGTTATTTAAATAAATATTTAGTTAGTTAATTAGCAAAATGTACTCCGTACTCCGTACTTACTCGGATGGACACCCAAGCAATAAATAGTTCCATAAATATACTTACCTAACTATTTAAGTACGATAGTAGGTAGAATTTGTCCAAGTTCGTAGTATATCATGGATAGAATGTACTTCATAATCTCAGAAGTCATCATGACATTGATATTCTCATTGCAGAATATATATGTGCCTACATCAACATTTCGATTGCCACCATAAAATTTCTAAATTACCTTGAAAGTCCCGAGTACCCACTTAGCAGTACCATTTGGGCGGCAAATCAAGTTCTTGGTACACAACGCAGCGTCAAACGCTTACCTCAGCACACCGACCCCTCGACACCCCCACACGAGGAAATTTGCTGTCCGATTATCTACGTCAATCCTACAAGGTGTGTGTGCCCTACAGAGACCCCTTTATTTTTTCAAATCATTTCAACTCTCCTCTGTCAACTTTCAACTGACCTCCCCTTTCACCAGGTGTTAACAAGCCTTTCTTTTTTTTTGGGTCGCATTTTGACCGTTTAGGCGTCGACAGGCAAGGCCTCTTTATTTCGCTCTGGTTGAGCCTCGCCCAAAATGAGCAACCCTCAGTCGAATGAAGCCGAGAAAAACATCGAGATCTGGAAGGTAAACAAGCTTATCAAGCGCCTGGAATCCGCTCGTGGAAATGGAACTTCCATGATTTCGCTCATCATCCGTATGTTTCTCCTTCATTGTTCTCTGCTTCTCCATTGGATCGTTCAGTTAACAGCAGAATGTAGCGCCGAAGGATCAGATTTCTCGTGCAGCACGGATGTTGGCTGAAGAATACGTATGTCACCCCCTCTTCATATACACATTCCGAACATTCCATCTAACTGTGCCAATTTAGGGTACTGCGTCCAACATTAAGTCTCGTGTCAACCGTCTCTCCGTCTTGTCGGCTATCACATCCACCCAGCAGCGTCTCAAACTGTACAACAAGGTTCCCCCGAATGGCTTGGTCGTGTACTGTGGTGAAATCATTACCTCGGAAGGAAAGGAGCGCAAGATCAATATCGATTTCGAGCCCTTCAAGCCCATCAACACCTCCCTATACCTTTGTGACAACAAGTTCCATACTGAAGCCCTGAGTGAGTTGCTGGAGTCTGATCAAAAGTTCGGTTTCATCATCATGGACGGTAACGGTGCGCTCTTCGGTACACTGAGCGGTAACACCCGTGAAGTTCTTCAGCGACTTTCGGTAGATTTGCCCAAGAAGCACGTAGGTTTCTCTAATTTTTGACTCATTTCCGCTTCAATCGCTCATGTTTTTATTTGACTCTAGGGCCGTGGTGGTCAATCTGCTCTGCGTTTCGCCCGTCTCCGTGAGGAGAAGCGTCACAACTACGTGCGTAAGATTGCCGAGTTGGCTGTTCAGAACTACATCACCAACGACAAGGTTAACGTTGCTGGAATTGTCCTGGCTGGTTCCGCCGATTTCAAGAACGACCTTAACCAGTCCGATCTTTTCGACGGACGTCTGGCGGCCAAGGTCATCAAGGTTGTTGACGTGTCATATGGTGGTGACAATGGTTTCAACCAGGCTATTGAGCTCTCTGCAGAGACTCTGAGCAGCGTCAAGTTTATCCAGGAGAAGAAGCTTATTGGCACTTACTTCGATGAGATTAGTCAGGACACCGGCAAGATTTGCTACGGCGTCGATGACACTCTCAAGGCCCTTGAGCTTGGTGCCGCCGAAACCCTCATTGTTTATGAGAACCTGGATGTTACTCGATGGGTTCTTAAGGCCTCCTCCGGTACCGACGTTGTTCTCCACACCACCAAGGCCCAAGAACTCGACCGTGAGCAGTTCACTGACAAGGACACTGGAACTGAGATGGAGGTCATTGACTCTAGCTCCTTCCTTGAATGGCTCGCGGAGAACTACAAGGATTTCGGTGCCAACCTGGAGTTTGTTTCTGACCGGTCCAGCGAAGGTAACCAGTTCGTCAAGGGCTTTGGTGGTATCGGTGCCCTTCTCCGATACAAGGTGAACTTTGAACAGCTTGCCGATTACAGTGACGACGACGAGTTCTACGATGGTATGTTTCCTTTCTATGATTTTTATATATACCTTGAATTATACTGATTGTCATTTCAGATTGACGGCTGAGCGCCCTCGCAGAGAGCGAGGATGAATGGCCAGAAGCTCCCTCAATGAGTGTTCTGACGGCTCGCCACGTGAATCACGAAGGCGGCTCCAAGAATGAAATCCAGGCGTCCCCAAAGGTCTACGTGACCAGTCTGGTCCAAGCTTATTAAAGCACCTTGGAGGCGAGTGACAACCCTTTTCCTTCCAAGTTCAAGTTTTCTAATCTGTTCACAGATTCATCCCAGCTCCGTAAAATAGTCACCTCTGGTGAACAGGAGTTTTAAATTGCAATTTTATGGTTGGATGTGATTCTCTGCAACATATGATCACTCGTCACTAGCCAATACCGTGCTTCAAGCCGGATGGTGGGTTATCATTTCGCCCGTTTCAGAATATATTCTGTTTCTTCGCTTTCGATGTTGCATTATTTTCAGTCTAGAAAAGTCTTAGCCTTTTCCTTTTCCATTATTATAATCTGTATCTGGTAGATCTACAAAAATTGAAAATAAATGCTGTAGAATCTATTCAAATGACCCGAAATGCTCTGTGAATTTGGCTGATAACAGCTTGATCTATATATTTATGTGCCTTTTCTCTTCTCCCCCTTTCGTAAAATCATTCCAATGATTCGAATCAGCCAATATATACCCTTAGGCACTCTCACCAAGTTGGTCCTTCCAAGTTCCTAGATCCCGGCAGAACTCGGTGACCTTTTCAAGGTCAGATAGAGCCATTGTAACAGCATTCTTGTTCTCATCAGAGGGCGTTCTTCCACATTCCACGAAGAATATATATTGCCAAGCCCGCCTCAAGCTTGGTCGAGAGTTTATGCTCGTGAGATTCAAGCCATGAGCCTTGAAAATGAGTAGTACATTTGCCAATGCTCCGGGCGAAGAGTGATCGATCGCGAACGAGATCAATGACTTTTTCGTACTAGTTGGTACATTGGACTGGTCAAATACCAACTGGGCTGAACGACTCGCCTGGACATTCCTCAATATCAAGAAACGAGTGGTGTTGTCTGCTCGATCCTCAATATTTTCTTTGAGTACATCGGCTCCGTGGTATTCTGCTGCAAAGCGGCTGGCAATGGCTGCGCTTCGTTCTTCAGTTTCTTTTGCAACGATTTCACCGGCCTTGGACGTCGACGACACATCCTGTCTCTCGACGCCTTTGAAAGACTGTGAAAGAAATGTTTCACATTGACCCCAGGCCTGAGGGTGTGTATATAGCTTGGTGATTGAGCCATCGTACGAGGACCAACCGCCCGGGTATGTGCCTTTGCGGACTAACAGACAATGGTGTACAGTCAAGTAGTGTTCGCCGCAAACTTTGACACTATTGTACTGGTCCTCACGGTCCGCGAGAAGATCGAGGGTCTGGACGACGGAGCCATTGGTGGAATTCTCGAAGGGAATCACGGCATAATCCGCTTGTTGCTGTTGCACAGCAGCAAAAGCATCTGCAAACGAGACATAGGGAATTAACTTGGCCGAATTTTTGCTAAAGGCGGCGGTCGCAGCCTAATGCTCAAATTATCTCATTAGAACAAAGACATGAGATTGATTACTCCTAGCTTAGATGCTGTGGAGAATAATATATTTCTTACCTGGTGCGAAAATGACGCTGGTGGGCCGAGGAAGGCCACTTTTAGACCAATTGCGGCCATGATGGCAACTTGAATGGGTTTCTTTGTGGTTTTGGTACAGACAATGTCTCAGAAAGAAGGATTCTGGAATTTAACTCATCTTCTTCAGCTTATGCGTAGTATTTCCTGTAGATCCTATTCCCGAGCGGTGTGAGGTTAGCACAAACAAACAAACAAGGCAAACTTGCTACATCGTTCCGAGCTCGACGACCGAGGTTTTGCCTTGAACTTGGTATAGATACCGTATCTATGAATTCAAGTCTGATATCTCTGTTGGCGCAAAGAGTGAAATGTCGGGCTTATTCCTCACTCAGCAATCGCCTACAAATTGAGCTCACTGCTCGGAAGCTCCCACTGACTTATGATTACTTACATCCGCAGCCTTCACACCTTTTAAACCTGACTCTCCACGACCTTCTCCCCAAAACAAAGTCTCACGATGTGTCTTCTCTCTTACCTTCCATCACGAACCCTTCAAAGCTCCCAGTTGCACATCACTTGATCTACTTCCCACCCCAAGTGACTCTGTCGCAACTTCTCCCAGACGGCACAGATATTTTGCATACCCCCGGCGACCCTTTCAATCGGAGATTATGGGCAGGAGGGAACATCAGGCTCTCACAAAAAAGCCTTTTTCTCGATGGAAGCCGCGCAGTCTGCCTTGAGTCAATACGTAACGTGACAGTAAAAGGACTGGAAGGGGCCGAGAGAGTGATCGTGACCATTGAAAGACGCATGGGGACGGTACCCGAGGGAGAGACAGAAACTCAGACATGGAACCGGCTATGGCACGAAGACGAAGCACAGCCTAGAGAGTCATTTGTCATTGAGAATCGGGATCTCATATTTATGCGCAAAAAATTTGCGGAAGAAATTCAGTCAGACCAGGCGCAATTTGAGAAACCAAGTCGCATTGTCAAGCGTGAGATCTACAGATTGATATCTTCATGAGAAAGCGCTAACCTCATGAAAAAGCACCATCCGATGCTATATTTCGTCATAGTATTCTACCCACTGGAGCACTGCTCTTTCGCTTCTCAGCACTAACATTCAATGCCCATTCGATTCATCTGGATAAGAACTATACGCAAAACGAAGAAGGTTACCGGAATCTTCTCGTACATGGCCCATTGACATTGACATTGCTTTTGAGTGTGCTACAAAACCAACTCTACAGCCATGGTGTCCAGGTTGAGAGCTTTGAATATAGGAACTTAGCACCATTATTTGTGGAGGAGGAACTGACTGTTTGTGGAAAGCCCAAGAACGATAATAGTTGGGATGTGTGGATTGAGGGACCAAATGGTGGTCTAGCAGTTCGAGGCACTGCAAAGACTAAATGTCTTTGAATTGTATTCGACATGAGGCATGGATCTGCAGCGTGCATACTTATGGATGATAGCAATAAATCAATATCTCAAATAATGGACGCTTATATCTGAGATATAACTACTTAGTAAAGGATCTTTATAAACTGGATGTGGTCACCTAAAAATCAAAAACCACTTGGAAATGAAGGAATACAAAACACAAAAGGATTTTCAATATGAACTTGATAAACATAAATCAGTATCACTGCTTTAGGGTGGATATACTAGGCAGGGTTGCGCTAACCACTAGTTGCTAGCGAGGCTCAACGCCGGCCGGATAAACTGATTAGCCGGGTTGCACACGTATTTAATTTCTTTCCGCTTCCATCTCTTCCTCCTTCCTACCATCAACTTCCAATACTTCTCGTAATGACAGTTTTGAGTTATTGACAATTTAGATTCATTTTTTGAATTCTCCTTCAGCCATGGACCAGCTCCAATCGGCCTTCTGGGCGGCACCCCCGGTCTCCAGGTATGCTCATCTCTTCTTAATCATTTTTTCACATGAACTAACGCGTGTATGTTATTAGAACAATTACAGCTTTGACTTTTATTCAGTCAGCCCTGGTATACAGTGGCATGCTTAGCGGATATTATGTTGTGTTCCTGCCTAGCAAAATGCTTAAGCTGTTTGTTCCGGAGATTTGGCGGCTAGCCACTCCATTCCTACTAACTGGTCCACAACTCAGCTTCTTCTTTGATCTCTATTTCTGTATGATGCCTTGGTTCTGCATTGGTGTCTCCTGACCCAGGTACTAACCTGCCGATAGTGTACCACTATGGTACTGCATTGGAAACCAGCTCCCCTCGGTTCAGTCAGCCTGGAGATTTCTTCATCTTCGTGATGTTTGTAGCTTTCAACCTCATGGTAAGTACATTTGGTAGAGCGTTTGCTTTTTCCTTGGATCTATCCATGTTACCTCGCATTATCTGCCCGCCCAGCCATATACTAGCTGAAGCGGTTCCTGGAAGCGAGGGAGATTACCCCTGCATCCCGGGTAGCACCGTCAATTCGCAAAATATTTGGTGCTACTTGCGGTGTGGGAATGGTGGGATTACCTTGAGATAACTGTGCGTGATCCTAATTTGCGCACGGTTTTTTTGGTGCCCTACATGCTACATAACACATCTATTCTTGATTCCCAATACCATTCAATTTATCATCTTCCCTTCATCACTTTCATGGTAGCCCGGTTGAGTCACAAGTATGCTGACTCTCACCCAAGCTTACTGCAGGCTTCCTTGTGGGAAATATGATATTCACTTCCCGTGAGCCCTCTCCCTTTCTCCTGATACCCTCGCAGGTAACTAAGTGTCTTTCGATAGCATTGATCATGTCATTCATCTACATCTACGCCCAGGATAATCGAGGCCGGAAGACATCATTCTGGTTCATTCAAATACCTGTGGAAATGTTGCCATGGGCAATGCTGGTCGTTACTCTGGTATTGGCAGGACCGGCTGCCGTTCTTAGTGATGCCATGGGTATTGTCGCTGCCCATCTCTATGACTTCCTCACCCGCATTTACCCGACGTTTGGTGGTGGCCAAAACTTCATCTACACGCCAGCTCCAGTCAGGCGGTTTTTGACTAAATACACCCCAAATGCTGGAACTACTCGCCCATACGGTAGCGCTTTTAACCCACGTACTTCCCAACCACCCCCTTCCTCGTCGTCTGGAGGCTGGACGTCCTCAATTCAGAACCCGTGGAGTAGCCGGGGCGCTGGACGTAGACTTGGTGGTGATTAAAGGACACGGTACACGGCACACGGCACAGAATACTTAGCTATTCATACGACCTTATTAAAATCGATGGATCGTATAATGGAGGAAAAGATTGCACTTTACGGCGTTTCCTAGACTCTCAAGATGGAAGCGATCACTTGTCACGTTATTGGATATTTCTCCCGCAAATTTTAATCGAGCATGGAATCAAACAGATAATTCAATTTCTACTACTCCTGAGTGTCTCGCTGCTACTTTCATCTAGCTACCTTGTGAATTCCTCTAGTACTTTTTCTCAGGGTAGTCTATCAGATCGAATGCTCCGGCCTCATTCAAGGCCTCAGGCAACAAATTACTGATGTCACATAATATAACTAGAAAACTAGAACTTCCAATTTTGCTGATATCTGACTAAAAGAGTACAATCTTGTTACTGGAGAATATTTGTAGAGTACTGTACTACATAGAAGGCAAAATTTCACTGACATGGTCACATGATCTTATATGGCGCTAAACCGGATTGGTCACTAGAGCTGCCGCACTCGCAAAATTTCCTCGAACAAATTTTTGGTCTACGACCAGCACCCTCCACCAACTTCACTAACCATGGCCGCCGTAAAGACCCAGGAGATGGAATACTCCATCAAGCCCGAGGCGGTTAGCACCGCTATTTCCACTGCGGACTGGCCCCTCCTCCTCAAGAACTACAACAACCGTATGTGCAAAATTTATCCACGCATCTGGACCTGAGGGCTAACCTTCATTTACGCAGTGCTTGTTCGCACCGGCCACTTCACCCCAATCCCTGCCGGTGCTTCTCCTCTGAACCGTGATCTCAAGTCTTACATTAGCTCCGGTGTCATTAACCTCGACAAGCCCTCCAACCCTTCCAGTCACGAGGTTGTGGCTTGGATGAAGCGAATCCTCAGGTAAATGCAAATGCCCTCTCATCTCTTTATATTCGCCCAATTCCTCTTTATGAAACAGAGACTAACAAAATCGGCTTTCGTCTTACAGATGCGAGAAGACTGGTCACAGTGGTACTCTCGATCCCAAGGTCACTGGTTGCTTGATTGTCTGCATTGACCGTGCTACCCGCTTGGTCAAGTCCCAGCAGGGTGCTGGTAAGGAATATGTCTGCGTTATCCGTCTGCACGACAAGGTTCCCGGTGGTGAGGCTCAGTTCCGCCGCGCTCTCGAGACCCTCACTGGTGCTCTATTCCAGCGTCCTCCCTTGATCTCTGCTGTCAAGCGTCAGCTCCGTATTCGTACCATCCACGAGAGCAAGCTGTATGAGTTTGACAACGACCGTCACCTTGGTGTCTTCTGGGTCAGCTGTGAGGCTGGTACCTACATCCGTACCCTCTGTGTCCACTTGGGTCTCCTTCTTGGTGTTGGTGCCCACATGCAGGAGCTGCGTCGTGTGCGCTCTGGAGCTATGGGCGAGTCTAGCGGCATGGTTACCTTGCATGATGTCCTCGATGCCCAGTGGATCTACGACAACCAGCGCGATGAATCTTACCTGCGCAAGGTCATCAGCCCCCTCGAGAGCCTGCTCACCTCATACAAACGTATTGTCGTCAAGGATAGCGCTGTCAATGCCGTCTGCTACGGTGCAAAGCTGATGATTCCTGGTCTTTTGCGTTTCGGTGAGTATACTCTTCCATTTGCATTGACAAGCTATATGCTAATCATCAATCTTAATTTTAGAGGCTGGCATTGAGGTCGATGAGGAGGTTGTCCTCATGACCACCAAGGGTGAGGCTATTGCCATTGGTATTGCCCAAATGTCTACCGTCGAGCTCTCCACTTGCGACCACGGTGTCGTCGCTAAAGTCAAGCGTTGCATTATGGAGCGTGATCTGTACCCCCGCCGCTGGGGATTGGGACCTGTTGCTCTGGAGAAGAAGAAGCTCAAGTCTGCTGGCAAGTTGGATGTAAGTTATTCCTCGCTTTATTTCAAGTTTTTTCTTAGAGGGTGCTAACCTACTATGTTATAGAAATACGGTCGTGCCAACGAGGCCACTCCTGCCCAGTGGAAGAGTGAGTACAAGGACTTCAACGCTCCTCTTGATGGCTCTGAGCCTGCTCCTGCCCCGGCCAAGGTCGAGGAGGCCAAGGAGGAGCCCGCCAAGGCTGAGGCCGAGGATGATGAAGACGACAAGAAGAAGCGCAAGCGTAGCCACGAGGGTGAGACCGCCGAGGAGAAGGCTGAGCGCAAGCGCAAGAAGAAGGAGAAGAAGGAGAAGAAGGAGCGCCGAAAGTCCAAGCAGGAGTCTGACAGCGAGGAAAGCGACTAAGTCCAGGAAGACCTACGACCGGTCCAATTCCTGTACCATATTATTTGAGTTTTGTTTTCCTTCGGAGTCTGGGTCAAAAGGGAATTGGTTTGAACTTGTGAAGTTATTTACTGTTATCTTTGATAGTTGCTTGAATCTAAGGTCAGTTCATGTAACATCTTAAATCCGGATAAGAAAGTGTAGATCTCGTGACCGTAGCCATTTAATCTCCGCATTTCCCCTCCATCTCCAGATATTTTCTCACTCCACCAACTCCCTTATTCGATTAATTCTTGGAAGCTGGAGCATACAGGTTAAGTGTCATGGCTGAAGTTACCTCTACTAAGCTCTATCCTGAAAGCCATCTCATCTTGGTAAGCTGTCTGACCCACGTCATTAACATGTTGCTTATCTGCAGATAGGATCAACCACTCCTCCGTGTCCCCCAAGAACTTGCCCGGCGCAATTTCAAGGCCGTCCAGCGAGCAGTTGAGCGAGAAGATGCGTATGTCCTTCCAGCCCTCAAAAAGGCGGCCAACGCCTCACTTTCCAAGACCAATACGCCCGACCAGACACTTGCCGTTCTCGACGCCATGATTTCCCGCATGCAGGGCTTAAAGCGAAAGATGGAAAGCTTGCAAGAGGAGGAGAAGAAAATTCATGCTCAGTCCCGCAAACGCATTCAGCACCTGGAGCTACTGCACCAGATCCCAAGCTTGGCTGATGTCAAGTATGACCAATGGTCGCGCGTACGACTGGATCGGCTGTTAGTAGATCACATGCTGCGATCGGGTTACTCAGAAAGTGCAAAGCAGCTGGCAAAGGAGCGAGATATTGAAGATCTCGTGGACCTAGCGGTTTTCACCCAATGCCAGCGAATTGTCGAGAGCTTGCGACAGGGCGGGACAAAAGATGCACTGCAATGGTGCGCTGAGAATAAAGCAGCGCTTAAGAAGAGCCAGGTAAGATCATGCGCCCCTGCCGCCATTGAATACAAATCTCATTGGTATTTTTTCTTGCCACAGCACAATCTAGAGTTTGAGCTCCGGTTGCAGCAGTACATCGAGATGATCCGGACACAGGACCCATTGAAGAGAATCGAGGCGATTGCCCATGCCAGGAAGTACCTCACTTCGAACCAAGAGAATCAAAATAACGACATAATGCGAGCTGCTGGGTTGCTTGTCTTTTCCCAGGATACACGAGCTGAGCCGTACAAGGTATAGTGCAGCTCTGACGGTAGTGAGGAGGATCTTTACTGACGATACTAGACCTTGTTTTCAGTGGATCGCTGGAACAGTTTGGCCGATTTATTCATAAGGACTCATCATGAGCTTTTATCGTTACCGTCACAGCCACTGCTTCATATTGCCCTATCCGCCGGTCTCTCCGCGCTGAAGACGCCATTGTGCCACTCAGCGTACACATCATCCAGTTCAAACTCACAGTCTACAACAACATCAGTTTGTCCTATTTGCTCCACGGAGCTGAATGAGCTTGCACGGAAGATGCCATATGCTCATCACTCGAAGAGCTACGTAGAAAACGATCCGATCGTTTTACCCAATGGCCGTGTCTATGGTAAGGCGCGACTGCTTGAGATTAGCAAAAACCTAGGATCAGTCGATCCAGGTCGGGTCAAAGACCCAACGACTGGCGAAGTTTTTTCCGAGGGTGATATGAAGAAAGTTTACATCATGTAGACTGGGATTTTAACAGCCCATCTTCTAGTTCTTAAATGCTGTTCGACGGGTCTTGAGAAAACTTCCATATATATCTTAACCATATTATCTTCAGCAGCTCCAGGGAATTCTTGTCATATCTTCACCATGTTTTTTTATAGCGACTTTATGGAATTGAAATATTTTTACTAACAGCCCATTCGTTGGAAACTACCTAGATACTTTGATTGGCTGCTATGGCCCAGATTCTCAATATAATTTCCTAGTAAATTGAATTGGCAATTCTATTATATAGGCCATGAGAACAGCACAGCCGGTATAATTTACAGCCTCTTTCCCCTCGTATCTACTCGCTATCACTCGAGTCTTCTCTGCCTCTCTTCTTCTTGCCGGTGTAGTCTTCTTGGGGCTTCACTTCAAACACATACATACGTGCCTCACGATCCTCTCCTCTCCATCCACCCCTACCCCCATCTTTACCTTCTACCTCACCCAGCGTGCGCGCATGCGAGTATCCTTGGTAAGAAGTCCACGGAAACCGGAAACTGGTCACCACCTGCAAGCCAGCATGCCGAGCTAGATCTTTGATGTTCCAAAGTGTATATGGTTCCCCTTCAAACAGTGAAACGAGGATCTGGCCAGGTCCAGTGCGAACAGACTTTCCACTTGTCTGTGGATCTTCTTCATCTTCATTTTCTTCGTCGTCGTCATCCTCCCATTCATCATCCGAATCAGCCGGTTCAGGTGCCGTTGAAAGCAAAGGAATACACGCTTTGAAAAACTTGACCAAAAGGTCTTGGTTCGCGCGAACCTGCCGATTAACATCTGTCGACAGACCACCTACATGCGGAAAATTGAAGCAAATGACATCCCATGGTCCACCCTGGGGAGGTAAGCTCTGTTGCTGAGTCTTCCAAGCAGGGCGCTTACGCTCTCGGCGCGGGAAGCCAATTTTTACTTCTTTGCCACCGCCGCCTTGGACGCCTAGTTTGCGAGCGTCAATGGAGAAGAGCACCTTTGGATAGGATGAGCGAGGATTTGACGTTTCTATCTCTGTAGGTTGTTGCTCTTTTCCGTCTGATTCATCTGAATCTGAAGACTTTAGTTTGGCATTTGGCTTGGCTTGAATATCCTGGATAAACTGCTCGGCCTGAGGGTATTTGCCGAACAGCATTTCCTGTGAGTCGTAGCATGTAGCGCATATATTGCGGCACTTGTATTGTGTTGCTAGAGATCGGGCAAAAGAGAAGTCACCTAGGAGCATGTTAGTCTCTAAAATTCTATTGAGATAGTTTGACCAGTCAAGACCAAATCTCCAGAGCAGTATGAAACCATATCCAGCATGAGATGCTATATATAAACTGGATCTCAAAAGCAAGTATAAAAATTCAGCTTACCCTCTCCAATTAGCAAGATTCGATCCCCTCTCAAAAAAGGAATAATAGGCCTCTGATTTTGCTGCACGGACTGTTTCTTCTGAGGCGCCTTCTTAACATTGCCACCTGCATTCAGGTTCCCCTTAGGCTGTGAAGGTTGTTGTCTCGCAATTGGACGCTGAGTTCCACGGGTCTTTTGCTTCTTGCGCATTTTATGGATATTTTCTTTTGTGGTTGTTCGCTGAGTTGAAGTGAACTGGAGTAGAATGGAATCTGATATCGGATCGGATTTTCCTGTGTCTGTTTTTGACCAATCACAAGATTGACTCTACAAAATCTATATCTTAGTCCACAACCAACTTCCGGACAATTATGATTTAATTGCTTGTGTAATTGACCGTTACTGAGATTATTTGAGTATAGTTGTACTATGTGAAGTTTAGGGAGAAGAAAAGTCAGAAATACTGGGCTGATTTTACTCTCCAGGGCCATATACACCAGTGGACTACAGAAGTAATCTTGCGAGCTCATTGAATCACACTTGTTAATTGATTTCAAATCGTGACTTCGTATCTTGATCCCAGTTATCCCCCTCATGAGTAGGCTGTGTCTTCCGAAGACTCTCAATATGCTGCTTCAGTCCTTTATTGAAGCCGCGAATGCACAAAACTGAGTTGACGAGCGTGGCTACAATAAGTAAGATGGCAATTGTAGTCAACAGGGTTAAGGAAACCTGGTAAACTTTTATGCTGGAATTTGTGTTGAATGTTTCATACAGACTCAGGATGAAGCTTGCTATGATCACGCACATGAATGACTATAACCGTTAGTTCGGAGATTTCACATCTATTGGAAAAGGGATATATATCTTACCATGACGACAAAGAGAGACTTGGTCTTTTCCATTCGACAGAAGCGTGCTGCTAGTACCAGAGTCAAAATGCCAATGGGAATCATGACTGCCTCGATTATGAAGTCGAAGTTCCTGGAGGATTTAATGGCAAGAAGGATTTGAAGCTGAGAACCGAATATGAAGAAGAAGTCAAACTTCAACAGCGCAATATAAACCTGAAATATAGGATTTAGCATAAGGAGTCCTGTCAATCACCTGGGCCGATCTTTATCTCACCTGGTAAATGAAATAGTGACGATTCATCTGCAAATCCGCACTGATATCCTTGTATATATACCAGGCAAACTCCGCCCGCAATTTCCACGTCACAAAGCTCATGGCGATAGTGGCAATTCCCAGAAGCACAGGCACGACGATCAATCCAATCCGATAAAGCCTCCAAAGATGCGCACTTTCCGACACGTCTACCGCCAAGCTGAGCATAGTTTCCCGAACCTCATGTGTCTGAACGATTCCATATGCAAAAAGACCGAGGTTGCAACAGCAGAGACCGACTAGCTGGAAGGCATTTTTGCGTCGTAGGGCGTCGTAAGCTAGTACCAGCTCATAGAGAAGAGCGAAGATATAAAGGGCCAGAAATGATCGAAGGCGCAGAGTGCCCTGAGTGTTGCCAAAAGCATCGAAGTGTTTTGAAATGCTAACGAAGATCCAGCTATAGAGAGAAGGGCTTATATCAGATCCTATCCACGTGGAACAAGATGAGGGCTGAGTTGACTCACCTTTCAATAGCGACAGTGAGGATAGTCTCTATAATTCCAATCAAGGCGAATGAACGTGAGTACCAGGTGTCTGGAATGTACAACATTCGACGTTTCTGGGTATCATGATGAGGAGTTTCGTTCATCGGACTGCTAGTTCTCAATAGGTCCTGCTCCTCCAGTTCGATATAACGATCATTCGATGAAGGACCTTTGAAAATAATACCGGAACGACGTTTAGCTTGGCTGGGAATGGAAAGTTGTACTTTGGCTCCCACGGGCCGCATTCTGTCCAAAGGCCATTTCATGGAGGTTGAGGGGAAAAGGGAGACTAGATCACTAGTTATAAAACTATCGCGAACTATTTTGACTAATTTGATGTAAAACGCTGGAAAATGTCTCCCGTCATCAACCGTCGTCAACAGCGGGGTCTAAGTATTCTTAGTGTTCTCGAATGTCCTATAATTAATGATGATTAACGGAAACTAATTAATCCCACGTTGAGTTGTTTGAATATAATTGGACTAAAGGAATTTAGCGTCTCAGACTTCCGAAATTCCACGTAAAAAGTGCGCTACATCTGGGCCGTTTTTGAATCGGGGATTAGCCCCCTATTCGGTTTCATATATAGAATGTTTCCATCCTTCACGTAATCTAGGTCAAGGCTCCAGGAATGATAGATCTATTTGACCATCATATAAAAAGGATGACCATTCAACAGGCCAATCCGGGGGAAAATCAAAAGTGCTATCCTGAGGACTGACATGTTTCTCGTTCGAGTCCAAGAAGCCAAGCATAGTGCAGAAGGAAGAAGGGAAATGGAACAAGGAACGCATAGAGAGTGATCGCTCGTTGACAGTGAAATTCGGATCCCAAACAGCTTCAGAATGGGCGGTGGATTCTTTCTCTGACGAGCCCATTGTCTTGAGCTTGTTTCGTACCATAACTGCTGAGGGATGCTTTTCACACATCTTCTCCAATACCCGGTGCATAATTTCAGACTCTTCTGCCCACTCTGGGTTCAAACGCCCTCCATCACTGAATGTCCGAGGAATCGCCGCGACAAGAATAGCCCAAGAGTGCAGCGTTGCCAGGTATGAAACATGTTCATGGCAATCAATTTCCTCATAGAGTCGAGTGATGCACGAAGAGGCGCTCATAGAGGCATATCTGAATAAAGAAGGCACGTCGCGACGACCAAGGAAGCAAGTGAGAATGATGGTGACTAGATAGTAAATGTGAATCTCGACCACAATACGAGAATAGCTCTTCCTGACCATGGTGTTTAAGTCAAATAGTTGCAATTCATCCGATAAGCCTTCCCTCCACAATCTCAAGTCATCCAGACATGAATATAGATCTTCCGGCGGAGTGTAATCAACCTGAGCGAGTTCCAATACCTGGCGAATAATCCTGCATAGAGAAACCATTGCACAGAATACTTGAGCCCTGGTGTCTTGAGTCGTAAAGTCGACTGGAGTAGGTAACCTGGCAGATGTTTTCTCAATCGGAAGTGTCCCTGGTAGACCTGAACAGGCCATCTGCATGGTATCGTTAGCAAAAAGATACCACCAGATTCTCCGTGCCCGTCCAGGATGCTGCAACCGAGAATATGTCTCCTCCTCGTGCCATCGCAACTGCAATCCCAGGCGCACGGCCATACCGCACCATTGATACGGACTATCAAGTAGGATAGCTTCCGGCTCAGAGGGTTGCCATGAACTTAGAATACTGAGAGCAGTGATAATGTTTTGCGGATCTCGATCGAGATTAAGCAATGACTTGATGCGCCCGTAAAAAGCGTATGGTGACCAATCCGCCGAACTAGTAGATTGACGCATTAAACTGCCTGCAAAACAAAGACATTGTCTAAGTAACATGGAGGTTTGCAGCTCTGGTTGATCCAGGTCGAGAACTGGCACGATGTGGAAGAGCTCATTGAAGTAGAAGTCAGCCAAAGCTTGTACAGTGGCTGGAGACGGTAAAAGATTCGCCTGGTTCAGTTCTGAAAAAGACAGATCACTTCCAACAGAATGGGAAACCCTCATGAGATTGTTATCTGCATGACTTTTAGAGCGGACACTGCGACTATGAGATATTATATCGAAAGGGGTAGTAGAAGCAAAGGCAGAAGCAGAGGCAGAAGCAGAGGCAGAGGCAGAGGCAGAAGCGTTTGACGTCGACCTAACAGGACCTTGTGACTGCGTATCTGTCTGAGTTGTGGGTAGTGTCGACGGCTGTGCTGAATGAAGTCTCTTTTGTTTCCTGGGGCCAATATGAGGGCTGCATTCATGACCTTCATCCATGCAACGGCTACATATTCCTGAGTGAGTCTCAAGGTCACATCGTACCTAGAAAGTCAGCTCGTGCCTTATTAATGTTGGGATATAATTCACCTTGCGAGTGTGGCATCTAATACAAACAGCGCGTGCTCGACGAGCCGGCTGTTCTCTCGGCATCTCAATTTCAGCCTGTTCTCAAAGTGGGCCCGCTGAGCGTGAGCATAATATTGACCAGTACGCAGTACTTTGTAAGCAGGGGATCAATCAATAACTACAGATTTAGTAGCAAGTGAGAGTTGAAACTAACTGTGTTCGGCTATGGAGAGTTTAGCCGAGACGTTAACCGAAAAATGAAGTGTCCAATTAGCCAAAGCGTTGGGACTTTTTCCTCGATAGGAATTAATCTCTCCAAAATTCATATAGATGGCCTTAAGCTGATTCTGGATATTATTGATACCATGGGCAAAGACGGACTGGACTGTGGTATAATTCCATGTTGTCACAAGCCGTCAATTAGTGTTAGAATAAGGTTGCAAGTACTACAACGAAGCAGCTTTGGAAAGAAGATTTGGAATATGAAGACTTAGATCTATTTCGTAATACTTATCAACTAAAAATTGTGGTAGCTGTGGTACTGAGCGCTGAGTGAGTGAGTCTGTACTTCTAGACTAGACTCTTCATTATACAAGTCTCTTTACCACTAATTACAGCCCATTTCCAACAAGCAGCCCAAAGACCTTCTCGAGCATCTTCATTCTCCGTCACAGATGCAGCCATGATAGCCTTTGTCCCGGCAAAGTATCCCCTACTGGAATGATACTCCGGGTCCACAGCCAACGTAACGAGATCTCGGGCCGAATCTGAGCTCAAACGAACACTAGAGGTGAACGGCCTAAGAAGAGGCATCAGAATAGCAATAAGGCCAAACATGAACCGCGTTGAAGAACGTTGGACAAGATGGGCTCTTGAGTCTACAATGCCTCCGGGGTCCATGGCCATGACGGTAATTTTGCTAAGTTTCGGATCCTATCAATTCAAATCAACACTGACTCACAATTGGAAGTGAGAAGACCCAATTAGAAAACCTTGGAACGAACATACCTTCTCAAGACGCTGGTTCAAGCTCCGCATAAACATAACATTAGCCAACTTGCAATTTGCGTATCGTCGCCAACCCATATCATACTCTGTCCCAACATCATCCAAAGCAGGCTTCACCAGTAGGTTCATATCCGAAGGAATCTGAGCACCAAGTTCAGCCAGAGCATTATGATGCTCCGGATTATGAACCTCCGAGCCAAGCATGACGATCCGGCCGGATTCATGCATACACTGTACAAGCATCAACACCAATAAGAAATGCGCAAGATGGCCGACTTGGAAAGTCGATTCATATCCATCTTCTGAAAAGTGCTGTTTGTCCAGAGACCAAGTGAATGCATTGCAAATGATCGCAGAAAGGGGTGGGAGGTCCCCCGATTCGATTTGGCTAGCGATGCTGTTGGCGAAGGAACGTACTTCGGCCAAGGAGTTCAAGTCTACTTCTTTGGTCTGTAGTTGGCCTGGGGTATACTGGGATTTCAACTGGTCGAGTTGGAGCAGCTGTGGAGTTTGGGGAATCTGCTTTGCCTTTCGAACTGTGCCAACAACTATGTACGGTGATGAGCGAAGTTGGCGTACGACTTCAAGAGCGAGGGAGCCAGTGGCGCCGGTAATAATCAATGTGCCTGACATGATAATCGTTAAAAGGGACTTCCAAGAATAATAAGAAACAGCGAGTGGGATATGATCAGTTATATAGCTAGCTTGATCCATATGTGAGAAGTATGCAGCTAACTTAGACCGACAGCCGAGAGGGTTATAACTTAGCCGAAACTATAGCCCTAGAGGTTGATGGAACATTGGAAATGCAGAAAAAGAGAAAGCATGTTCTATTATATACAATCCATTGAATTCAAGAAATGAAACCAGGCTATGCCCGCATAAAAAGAAGAGATGAGAAGAAGAAAAAGAAGAAGAAAAATTACTATAAAGTCGTACCGTGGCCCAGATTGGCAGCCTTTTCCCCCTAGAATGACCAAATAAGAAGAGACACCAACACCAATACAGGATTAACCACAGAGTCACTGCAATGAAACGTGAATCATAATGACACATGCAAGATATGGCTCTTCTCAACCAAGATATGTGACGGGGGTGATGCGCAAGTGGTCTCGAGACCCACTTGTGAGATAAAAAGTTGGAAAATCGTTTATACTTTTCAAGAGCGCAGGGAGTCGCGCATGCTCTGGCTGCTGGCGCTGACCAGAGGGTTGGAGGTGGGAAGGACACCAGTCCTAGGCTTGGCGTTCTGCTTGATCTTGGCGACAGCATACACAAGGCCACTGACGAAACCGACAGCGATGGCAGACACACTGGGGAAGGTGACAGGGGCATCGAAGAAGACAAGACCGGACACAGCGATGGGGAGCTTGTTGAGAGCGCCAACCATAGAGTATGTGGTGGAAGAGGTGACACGCACACACCAGGCGGAGGTGTACGAGATGAAGACGGAAGATAGACCAGACAGAATCATGGCGATGTAAATTCCATTGCGGTTGGATTCGGGGAAATTGCGGGCCAGGTTAGCGGATGACCAGTCCTCAACCAAGAAGGTAGCGACGATGAGAATAGGAACAGACAGCAGGTTGTTGTAGAACATGGCTTAGGGAACGGAATTAGTATAGGTCTTCGGAAATGCGCCAAACAACGCATTATCAGAAAAATGAAAGAAAAACAAAACATACTGTCAAAGTCTTTGAAGTTAGTCAACTTGATTCGCTTGCGCATACCCAGCACATAAGACGAAGTGCACAGGCAGTTGACCAACATCCAGATGTAGCCTGCATTCAGGGTTGAGACCTTGCCTGAGGCGTCACCGCTGCTCTCGACAGCGTGCTTGATATCGGCCCAGGCGGCAATTATGGAGCTTAGAACCATCAACCCGAAAGAAAACAGGGTCATGCGGGTGACAGAGCCACCGAACCACAGAACCTCACCATAGGCGATAAGAATGATGGTCAAGTTCTTGAAGATAGTGTAGACTGGGATGGAGAGGAACTGGAGGGCCTTGGAGCCGGTATAGATCATACCAATAAGCAACAAAGTAATGGGGAACCCTAGCAACAAGAAATGTTAGAGGTCGCCAATCAACAAGATAAGGATAGTGACTTACACTTCTTGGCCTCGTCAGCACTAAAGTCGCGGTAGGTAATGAGACCCATGGATTTGCAAGTTTGGATAGCTGCTATACAGACCAGAGACTAAGAAACGATATGAAAGATCAGTCTTCGGCCTTCAACAAAACACTATTTTGAACGTACCTGGACCATAAGGAGCAGGAAGTTCAAATTGAAGTCCAATCCTGACAGGACATATTTGTTCATAACAGTCATCATGATAGATGAACCACAGTATGCTAGAACAGGAAGAGCAGGATTATTTGCTCCTCCACTAGGGGGAGCAGGCCGAAGTTGTGGTGGAGGCGCGGCCTCGAATTCCTTGTTGTTATCCAACTTGCTCATTTCGATGGCGTAGTCGTCAGACTTCTTATCTTCAACCATTGTGGCGGTGACCAGATGAGTGGATTATTTAGAAAAAGAGAAGAAACAGGGTGGAAAGAAGAAAGAACAATCGTTATGCGCCTGTAAACACCTCAAGGAGAGAAAGGAAGAATTGATTCTGGCCGGAAGCGGCGCTATCTATGTTTAGGTCAGCAGGGGCTTAAGGGGGGATGACTCATCAATTAATCTATTTTTTGCAAGTAGATATAGAAGAGAACGAGCACCAACATTGAGTAAAAGTTCAATTGGATGAATTATGGTTGCATGAAATGAATGTCCAGCTACAGGGATAGATTAATATTCAGGAACTATAAATAATCTTAATGAAAAAAAGATCTGTCCACAACTTTATTTGATATCTGCGGATTCACCAGTGGAGCTTCCAAGACATCGCGGAGATCAATCCTCGAACCTCCACAATACCCTAAACCCTACTCAAAAACCAAGTCTGAACTTCAACGCAATTGGGTTGGTACGGAGCAAGTGATCTGCTTCAACAAACCTATCCGTATCCTCAAATCTATCCTGAAACATCGGAACCCCACCATCGAACTTCGTTTTCAAAATGCCCGATTCAGACGACGAAGCTCTCTTCGCAGAACTCGAAAACGAAGACGACACAAGCTACCGCACCCAGCGTATACAACAGTTGAACGCAGAGCTTTCATCTCAGAAGACCAATCGCGACGCAAACCCGCGCGGCGCGACTCTAGTCTCGCGGGACAGCACGTACCCCACACTAGACAATGACCAGTCAGTGCTAGACTTTACGACTCAGACATCGCGGTGTATTGTGCATTTTGCTCATCAAGACTTTGCGCGGTGTGCAGTGATGGATTCAAAGCTGGAGGAGTTTGCCGGGCGACATTATGAAGTGCGTTTTGCTCGAGTGGATGTGCGAAACACACCCTTTCTGGTAGAGAAGCTTGGAATTCGAGTGCTCCCGTGTGTGATTGGGTTCAAGGATGGAGTTGGAGTTGAGAAGGTAGTTGGGTTTGAAGGATTGGGGTCTGATGGAGCGGGAGGGTTTAGCCTAAAGGTTCTTGAGAAGAGGTTGCTATTGAAAGATGTGTTGTCGCAGGCCAAATTCTCAGAGGGAGATGAAGATGATATTCGCGGTGAGAGTGACAGTGAGAATGAGGGACGGAGAATTGGGAAAACGAGAAAAGCTATTCGCAGTGGAAATACTGGACTTCGTGGCCGCGATGATGATGACGAGTGGGATTGATCAGTTATGAGTTTACTTGGAAAATCATTATCATTTATACGATACTCGATACTAGTGAGAATGAGATTGGAGCCAGAATAGAAAAAAAAAAAAAAATTGCACTAATACTGGATCATCATAGAATTACAGGCAAATATCAATGGAGACCGATGAGCACAGAGCCGCAAGGTTAAAAGCAGAACAAGACATAACGAAGCTCCCTAGAGTTACAACAAATGAAGAACGGAGAGAACGAGGAGAAGGGGAATTCTATACATGGAAGCAAAGAGGTGTCACGTAGATGCAGAAGTTCGTCGTCAGACGCCATACTTCTGGAGAGGGCAAAACCGTAAAAAAAAGAGTTATGAGAAGAAGAGAAAATGGGGACGAAGAGGACGGTCTAAATGGCCACGTTCTTCATTTCCCCGAGGACTTCAGAGTCCAGAGAAGAGTCATCCTTCTTCTCTTTATCTACCTCTGATGACTTGGTGTCTGCGCTCTTCTCGGCCTTCTCAGTATTCTCGGAGAAACCTTCGTTTTCCTTGTTGGAGATTTGGGGTGTGGTTATCTCCATCAGATCTTCTGCCTGGTCCTCTTGGATTTCTTCTTCAATTGGGTCCTCGGAGATCGTCGGTCCCGGAGTCGCAGTAGAACTTGAAGATTCCTCGGTCACACGTGCGAGAGGGCTAGAGATACCAAATGGCGCCTTGGGGCTCTGAGTTGGTCCACGACTGCGATGTGGTGATCGGCCTCGTTCCTCGCCCCGGGTTGGACTACCATATGGCGAGTCTCGAGTGCTAGACTTGCCGGACGCATTCGCACTCAATCCGCTAGGGCCAGGACCACGTCGACGTGGTGGACGACGGCCATACTTTTGATCAACGCGCCATCGCAGAATTTCCAAATACGGCGGTTCGACGTTTTGTGACTTGAACTCGATCAACTTCAGTTCGTTCGTCTCCTCATCGACAATGCTCTTGCCGCTGCACAGGTCGTGGGCAAACATAGCGAGGAAAGCGGACCAGGATCGGGCCACAACGTATTTGCAATCGTAGTCGCGACCAAATATGATCACCTGGCCCCATTTACCGGCAGGACCGGGTGCCAGATCGATCGCAAGGTGGTTGCCACCCCAATCACGGGCAAGAGGAATCCAGGCTGGGTGGGCATATGCCTTTTGCACAGCACCGGGGGGTTGGGAGTCTTGGCGGTCGAGTAAATCATTGCGCCATTGCGGATTCGTACCTTGGGTTGAAGTAGCGGCGGCGGCAGACGAGCTAGCAGTGGAGCTTGATACGGGGGCGTTCATCATGGAAGAGCTGAGGAACTCTTCATTGACGGTCTTCCAGTTTCGACGCTCCTGTACTATTTCTTCACAGTCCAGCAACATGCAGCTAAAAAGGATACCCGTAGGCAGACCAGGGCGCTCTTGACCGTCGTGGATCATCAAAGACTCGCGCACTTCTAATGGTAGACTGCAATCCAACTCGTGTTCCAATTCATTGATATCGTTCTGGGTGCATCCTTCACCGAGATTGTCCAGCAGTTCCTCGTAGTTGCTTTCCAACCACCGTTCGATCTTCCTCCAGGAGTGAGCGACAGGTGGAGGTGGGGGTGCACCATCGTGGAAGCTCTGCATTTGAATTTCCGGGGTGCCATCAGGATGATCATTTGAAGTTCGTTTGGAAGCTGTAGATCTCATTCCAGGGGAGTAGGGTCTGGGGGAGCCGTCGGTCGGGGAACCGTTCCACTCAGTAGCACTGCCTTTGGTCGGTTCATCGTCGTAAGGATTAGTAAGATCTGCACGAGACTCGATGGCGCTAGTGGCAATGGATGTGAGAGGTTCATGGCGACTCTGGCTGAGGGGGACGTGTCGACCAGTACGGTAGGGAGAATCATGGGATGCGTGGCGGTCATAGGAGGTCATGGTATGCCAAAAGGAACGCCATGCTGAGCCAATTCTATCCAAGCTGTCAGTTCCAGATTCTGATAGAGCATTTGTTCCTTGGCTCCTTTGACCTACACGTTATTATTCGCCATGGTGGCACCGGTTGGATTTTGAGGGGGAGAAGAGGGGATGCAGGAGAGGGAAATCAAGGCAATCCGATCATTGGTGATCAAGACCCGTTTGATCGAGAAAGATCAGAAAGGATCAAGAAAAAAGAGGAACGAAGAGAGGGAAAATAGGGAAAAGAGGGAAAAGAAAAAAAGATGTTATAAGGGAAGAGATTTGAAATTAGGAAGAATATGGATTTCTACTTCGAGATTGGGATCCTATTCTTTTTTTTTGCCCCTGGCCGCACCCAGGATTCAACGACCTCAGGCATGCAGATCATGATGTACTTTCACCTTCACGTTTTAATATTTGTCCATTTGAAATGTATCTTCCTCTTCTTTTACTACCATGTCAAAATAACCGTGATCATACATCCCCTTCAGCTGATCGCTCGATTAAGCTTCATCAGACAGGTAGATCGACCAAACAACCTTGGAAAGAGGATCCCACATATAGTACTTTTGATGAGTATAAGGACGTAGGTATACTCAGTTACTATCTAGTGAGTTACTTAGATCCAGTCTATATCTTTAGAGCTAGGCAAAATAAGCAACGAACTACCTGATATCACTTGTATAGGGGCATATATATCCGCATCAAGAGAGGGATTGTACTCGACGATCTCGACGATTTCGACGAAATGGAATCATCAAACCTGTGAAGCCACAAGCCTGGAACACTTAGATCAGTGCTAGTGGGGAAAGAACAATAGTGGCGTTTCCAGAATGTTGTAAAAGGGGGATTGTCGCCACACCTTCACGGTTTATACTTCATTTATGAACGGCTATACCTCGGTAGACCTGTTACTTTCTATAGAGCGCACCATGAATAGATAATACTCCGTGTTAGCTAACGTCTAAACCCCCTATATCCATCCTATCCATCATATCCATTCTATCCATTCTATAATCTATTTTCATCAGCGGGGCTCGTTGTGTTGTACATTATCTACACCGCGTAGAAAAAGGAGTCTTCCAAGGTTCGTTTAAGCGTCTTGTCTGATGGATCTAGGAATAAGATTCTTACATATATACCTATGTAAGGTACTCCCGAAGTCATGAATCATGATATAAATACAGCCTATAAGAGTGATCAGGTTAGACGTGACATGATTCATAGGTACTTAATGTCTATAGTCCCGTAATCATCCATGGATGACAGGATCCAGAAGCCTTATCAAGTGGGCAACAGACCTCTCGGAGTATTAAGTATTATGCATGGTACTCATCTAAACCTTGGAAAGAATGGCCTTTATTAGAACCTATAACCATTTTGCACGGGTACGGCACATATACATAGAGGATACCGTTGACACAGTGCTTCCAAGTTTTGGGCACAGATGTTGTAGTCTACGTTCTTAGTCTAATAATTTCTACATCTTATAAAGCCAGGGTACTACACAGGATCTGAAAATCTATGTAACGGAAAGGTTTAAACGAGTGGACGGCATGATATTCATACCAAAAGGTGATAAGAGAAAGCAAAACAAACCCTAAGCTAATGAGCTAAGGGATTCTCAAGTCCAGGCGGGGTTGAGCTCAAATAAAACATTGCCTACTCCGTAGAGACGACGCGGTGATTCAAGTGGGGGGAAAGGGGAAAAGCAAAAAGAGGGAATTGAATGGGGACAAAAGCACTGTCATTGCCGGTGAAGCTAATTGCAGGGATATCATGCTTCTTCTGAAAAAAAGAACCAACTTGCGCATATTAAGCATTTGGAAAAATCCGAACTCCAAAGAATGCAAATTATGCAACTGAAGTTCCCAACTAGAGGGACTTGAAAAAAATAGGTCCCTGATGGAAACTCCAAGGACCAGAAACGAGAAATTCAAACTAGCCACCGAGGGGGGCCATGGACCAGTCCAGGTTACCCCTATGAACCAAATGCATAAAGATGTTCAAAAGAAAATAAAAATAAAGGATAAAGCCATGAGCACAAAAAAGGAGGTAAAGATGTGAATTAACCGAGCTTCAAAGCGCGGCGGATTTGGTCCTCAATCTGCTGAGTGTCCACTGGCTTAGACACAGAAGGCGAATTTGTGGGCATATCGAAAGCTGCAGTGGTGTACTGGGGCCGAGGAGAGTTGAAACGCTGCTGCGAGGGAAGGGCATAGGCATGGGGGACATGGGCATGGCTATGAGCATGAGCTGACCCGTTTGTAACATAATGGATATTATGGGACGTTTCGGAGTGGTATCCATTCATGGCTGGAAGTTCGCGTCGCAGAGGTGACTCTGCATAAGGTGACTCTACATTTCGAGCACGTTGGCCGTTTGAATGTTGATATGGAGTTTGGTGATAGCCAGCATTGTTGGGCATGGACTGTTGATATCCCTGAGGATAGCCATGGTGATAAGTCATTGCTGGACCGGATGTCGAACGCAATGGAGTCGCATAGGGAGGGATCGTCGCATTGATGTTGGGACGTTGCTGCGCATAGTTGTGGGGGTGCTCATAAGCGGGAGAAACTCTGGCTTTCTGGACAGGCGGGTTGAGAAGGGCATGCTTCAATGCCTCGGTGTTAATGCGCTTTTGTTCCTCGGTCTCGGAGTACTCAGGCTGGGAGTAAGAACTATCGGAGCGTCGCAGGGCGTTCATGCGATCCTGATACGAAGGCGCAAATGATGGGCCAATCTGGTGAGCGCGCGAGTGATTATCCATGTCAAAATCAAACACCCCGCCCGGCGGGTTCAACTGCATACGTCTCGGTTCGGTTTGTGGAGATTTGAAGCGAGTCATCTCAGGACTGTTCATAGGACTAGACTTGCGTGCCTCAACGGCAGCCTTGAATAAGAAGTCAAGGGGAGTGGCCTCTGGCACCTCGCCCATAGTTTGGGGACGAGCGCGGGGCTTCGAAGGAGTGGCCTCAAAATCCACATCTGTCTCCGCATTATCACTTTCAACTTCGAGAGTAGGCGCAAGGTCCGACTCTGGAAACGACTTCGAGAAAAAGCTCGGAATGGGCAATGCTGAAGGAGCAGGCGAGGCATGGAAAGTTGGTCCTGCATATGCAGCGTCTTTGGGCTGCGGAGTTGTATTTGCAGGAGAGTTACGATATGGTTTAACTCCCGAACGAGGGTTCTTCTTCTTGGAATGAGCATGGGTCTGATCGGTCGCATTTGCAGCAGTATATTGCGGGGGCGACGATGGAGGAGTTGCAATCAGACTTTGCTTGTGTACCGGCGGGTGTCCGTGGGGCGTTGAAGTCTTCTTCTGCCGACGGTTTCGAGGAACGGGAACTTGAGGGACTTGGGTCGACATAGCGAAGGTTCGCTCGAGGGATATGCGATGGAAAAGGTTCAAAATATGGTGGTCGTGAATAGTAGATGGCCTTACGTGACGTGTAGACGTGGGTCCAAAACAAGAGAATAGATTGGTTTGAAGTGTAAGCGTGCGTCCAGCGACAAGATTAGGATATTGCCAGTCGACGAAGATGTGAAAAAGCTGGGGGGGGGGGGGGGGGATGAAGATGACGAAAATGTGTTCAAAGAAAAAGTAAGTAAGGAAAAAAGGAGTTCAAGGCAGAATAGAAAGCCACAAAAAACCGCTTGCAGAAAGATTGTGAGGTAAATGAAGTGAAGATAGTAGTGAAGATGGGAAGTGGGAAGTAGCGGGGAGAATGACTAAGATTTCCCGCCACCGCAATCTTGGAGAAGCAAACACTAGTGGGGGTCAAAAGCTCAAGAGAGCCTCAGTTCAGACGTCTTATTTAAAGGAGTCTAGCTTATATTACATCTCTAATCCTCACCTGGTAATCACACTACAAGCTCCCCCAGGACAACACACTCGATCCTCCAATTTCCCTCTCTAACCTCCCTCCAACTTCTCCCCGCAACTATCTCAACCCAGAGCCGCAATCATGACAGATGTGGAAATGAAAGACTCCGCAGGTCCATCCAACACTGGAGCCAAGGGTTCTGATAATGATGGAAAGAAGAAATTTGAGGTCAAAAAGGTGCAACAATCAATCACGGAGCCAGGTCGAGACAACAGCTAATGAGGTTATTTAGTGGAACGCTGTCGCCCTCTGGTCATGGGACATTGTCGTCGATAACTGTGCCATTTGCCGAAATCATATCATGGACTTGTGTATGTGCATTTCATATGATTATTGTGTCAACTCATCTAACTGCGATATAGGCATTGAATGCCAAGCCAACCAAGGATCATCAACACAGGAGGAGTGCACTGTCGCATGGGGTATCTGCAATGTGAGTAGCAATTACATCTATGGAGTATCATGATCTTAACCATTTTAATACAGCACGCCTTCCACTTTCACTGCATTTCAAGATGGTTGAAGACTCGCCAGGTCTGCCCACTGGATAACCGGGACTGGGAGTTCCAGAAGTATGGTCGTTAAGGTCCTAAATACTAGGGAGATGAATACATGCATGAAGCCTGGCTGCTTCCTTTACGCGTTGATCATTGGGAAAAGACTTTCTCAATGAGACACGTTCCCTTTCCTTGAGCTATGGCGTTTTGTTTTGGCTATTCTTAGCCGTGCTTTTTCATGAGAAATCAATAGATTTTCATATCGTGCTATCCCATAAACAGAAACCAGCTATATGTTCAAGGTCGTAGATAACCAGCCTTAGGTCACTTTGACCCCATCGACAAATACTTTTGGTTCTGCCCTTGCTCCGGGAGTTCCTAGCCACCTCTCTGGGTTCTGGTTATACAGAGGCCATGGTGGAATGACAACGAGTGCTGTAAAAAGAGTGCCACCCAGGCCAACCCAAAGTGTCAAGTGGATGTCCTTGTAGATGTATCCGATGATGAAGCTGATGGCCTAGAGGAAAGAGGGGATTAGCAAGGAAGAGGCACTTGGAGCAATAGATGCGTCTAACTCACTCCTGAGAGAATCAGTAGTATTGTACTTAGAAGCTCTGCTAGGCGCTGGCCGTGGAAGTCCTGTTTGCGGTGTTATTAAGGAGCGCCTAGTCATGATAAAAGAACATACAATCTGGCCTTCCAACACATCCTGAATAGGTGCAAGCAAGTTATCCATGATCAATAGCTGGAGAATCTGGAGAATTTGGAGAATCCTAAGGTTAGGAGTGGGAATGGAATCGTGAATTGAAGTTCCTTTGAAGTGGCCGCGCTTATCGTAATGTTGTTATTTACCCACCCACCGCCTTTAAGAGGCTCTTGCATACCTAGGCACATAGAAGAGTATTATAGTTCAATGTCTGAAAATAGTTAATTTCCAGGTAAAGGAGTACAAGTTCAAAGTAGATAGCATGTAAATAATTATAATTCAATTGTGTTTTTATATTTCTATCTCTATACTAGACATCTTGACTGTTACATCTAGATCACAAGAAACTCAAGACGGATATGCGCGAAGCATACTGCAGGCCCTTTTTTTTTTTTTTTTTTTTTTTTTTGGCTTAGTACATGCATCTGATATACAGAGAAAGCATTAGTCAGAATATAGTCCAAGAAAAGATGTACAGTTTGTAACCATTTGGTAATCTATTTCATTCCATAAGCTCACATAGTGGCCAGCTCTCGAGAACGTGATTCGGTTAAAGTTAAGTTGAATTCAACGATTAGTTGTGGGTAACAGTAGTACCATCCTGAGCAGGCTCCAACAACTTCCATTGGCAGGAAATTTTATTGGAGGCAAACTGTGCGATAATACGGTCTGCAATCTCGTCGAAGCGTTCTGTAGCCAAGGCCAGGATGGTAGGGCCTGCACCAGACAGACAGATACCTAGCAGACCAGGCTGTGTGGCTGGAGTCATGGACTGTAGAATTTCAGACAGACCGGGGATCAGATTCTTGCGGTATGGCTGATGCACCTTGTCCTGCATGGCCAGGAAGATCATTTCAGGATCCGGAGGAGAGCTGCCCAGGGCTGCGGGAAGCAATGCAGCGCGTTGGAGATTGAATACCTAGAATAGAATCAGCAAGAAATTCCAAGAGATTCCCGTGTATCATAGCTGAAGGAGAACTTACCACATCCGCCCGGGTGTACACTTGGGGCAGGACGCTACGGGCCTCAGCGGTGGGAACCACAAAGTTTGGGATGATGGCAATTGCCTTGATCTCAGGGGCCCAAGGGAACTTTCGGTAGTGACCAATACCAAGAGGAGGCTCAGGAGGCTTGACTCCAGTATCAATTCCACCAGCAGGGGATGGCAACACTTCACTAAGGGGAATTTCTTTCCGGGCGACATCCTCCGGCTTCAATTCATTCAGATAAGTGCCGACAAAGCCTCCAAAGAGAGATGCAGCCACGTTATCCGGGTGTCGTTCTAAAATTGCAGATTAGTCTAGTTCGCGGGATAGCCCTCCATGTGGGCTACTTACCAATCATCAAACAATAATCTAGTAGGCGAGCCTTGCTCAGGCCCAATTTTCCAACCTCATTGCCCAACATTACACCTGCTACCACAGCAGTACCGGACGAACCCAGGCCTCGACCCAGCGGGATAGGGTTGACGATGTGTATCTTGGTCTCGACAGGGAATGCACGCTGATTGTGGCATCGCAAGATATAGAGAGCTACCCGGGTAATCAGGTTAACCTCTGGATCCAAACTGATCTTTTCAACACTGCCGCTTTGGTCTTCATATGTGATTGCGCAGTTTAAGGGTAGTTGTGACGATGGTTTAGTATCGACGGTAACTTGAAGTTCGAGGTGGAGGGATAGGGCTAGGCCAATGACATCGAAGCCAGGGCCAATGTTGGCAGAGGAGCAAGGGGTCTTGATCACAAAGGACGTCATGGTAGGGGGGTACCTTCTAGGTATGAAGAGAGCGATGAAGAGGTAGTTTAGATATGACTCTGAAGTGGGCTTGGCAACCAAAAAAAACTCCGACGTCGGGCAAGTGGGGTCACATCCGTTCTAGGCATCTGGAACCATATTCTACATAGTAGATTCCACCAAGGGACAATGGTATACTACGACATCATTCCAACCTTGGAATGTACGAGTTCACTATGGAACTGCTTTCCGTACATAGCTTTTCTCAGTTGGGTGCTAGATCCGTTCGCGGATATAACTAGTCTCAAATGCTTAATTGCTGAGTCATTTATAAAAATAGTCAAGACCTACTTTCTATAATATTTTCAACTTTCAACTTTGAGCTCTGAACATCCTAAAAATGCCTGAAGATGGCATGATTGCCTCGGTATCACGTGTTTATAGAAAAAGGCGGTATAAGAGGGCAGAAGAATAGGAGTTCATAGATCGAGGATCGATATGCAATGCATAGATCGTTATTTATAGACATCAGGAGTACGGAGAACTCCGTTTTTATCCCTTTATAAAATCTCATATTTCCATATTTCCATAATTACCAACCTTGGATCTAAACTAATCAAACTTATAGCATGGATTACCTTGGGAGAAAAGTGTGTTTAGGTACTTTGTGATATACCCGCAATGAACGATACTTCTTTGTCAAGTAGACAAGTAGGGCTTTTTTACATACTCTGTATTTGCTCCATACTATACTGTATACGGAGTAAAACATGGGTCAAGGTGGGTACTAAAGGTGAGTATGGAGCTATGGTTAGACGTTCGGCCAAAAATGCCTCGTATAGCCGATGTGCTGAAAATCTTTTCACTAACCTCACCCCATTTTTGACTTGAAGATATGGAGTACTTTAACCTAGATAGTAGTAGTAAATATAAAATTATGTACTAATGCATAAAACTAGCGGTGTTTCTAGACCAGAATTACGTTTCGTGTTTTTAATTCCGGTGAGTGTGAGTGGCGGGGCCAGGCATCCTTGATTATACGATTTCCTCGGCCGCCACTTCGTTTCTTCTCTTTCATCCCACTCAGAGATATCCACCTCTCCAACCCTCTTATTTATTCCTAATTTTTTGGGGGATTTTCTTTCTTTATTTCTTCAACTTGATTGATTCTTTTTCAATTGCAGAGTTTTTGTATGCAGCACTGCAACGTCATCCGTTGAAGAATCTGCACCAGCTCGCAACTTTTCTCCTACAATCTGCAATCCTGGAGCAACCTAGCTCACAGTCGTTCTATCCGTTCAAGTTGGCGGGACTTCGCTACACTCTATCATCTCTCTTCAACCCTCTGGCAGGCCCCAAATTCCGGGTCTTCGGCGGAGGTGACACTCGACCCCCTAACTTGACCTACTCCCCTCCCCCACCCTTATATTGTGGCAGCCAGACGCCTGTCGGGAACGCCAGACCCTCTAATAACAAGGGCAAAAGGGTCTGGCTCATTGATGGAGTCCCCTCATCCATAAGACCTCTTTGACCGGCTTGCGTCTGTCGCTGTTAAAAGCTGCCAAGTGCACTCAATTTTTCATTTGACTGATCTCACAACTAAACCATATTCAACCAAACTGGCTTTCGACCCGTGATCTAAATCGATCTCTTCTCCCCACCACCTTCCACACAATGTGCGACACTCCTCGATCCGAGAGGGAGCTGAGCCTGACCCGTTTCAGCACCCCAGTCCCGGAGCTGGACGATCACCGCTTCCAAATAGACAACCGCATCGAGACCCCTTTGGGTCAGCCCCGAGGATACGGAGAGACACCCGAGCGGGGTGGTATGTCACCCATGCTCAATGCTCATCATGAGACCGGCCCCTTTTTCAGAGATTTTGAACAGATTGGGGTCGATGATAACCGGTCCGCGCACGGCGTAAACGTCATGGGCCGTGGCTTCTCGATCGACCCAACTGCCGAGTTCCACTCCCCGCGTCGCATCAGCAAGGTTCCTCAGGATATCCTCAACGGCAACATTTCCCGACCTTCATCTGTCTCATCGTCTGCTCCCAACTCTGTCGAGGCTTTTGCCGATCCGCGCCGTCGCGAGCGTGCCAACACCCTTGAAAGCCATGTAGCTCCTCCGGACCTGGAGGAGATCTTGCAGCGCACTGTCTCGGGTGGTACCCATTCCAGACGCCCGACATTCAGTCATACCAGTGCTGTCCTGCCACTGCCTGGTGATGTCTATTTCGATGGTCAAGATAAGGTGCTAGGTTACAATACACCTGGTCGCATTCCTGTTATCGACTACGAGGAGCTGGAGGAGTTTGTTGCCATCAGCCAGAAGAACAAGGCTGCCTGTGCCACGGGTAACCGTCGCAAGTACAGTATGAGCTCTCAGAGCAAGCCTCGGGTATTTCGTGACCTTTATCAGGGAGCCAAAAATCCAAATGTGGACGAGCTCAACAAGTCCGACTCAGCTAATTCGTCAGACACCTGCCAGGTATTCAACGACTCGGATAGTACCAACGAGGTTGTTGATGAAAAGGAGTTGGTCGAGACCCTCTACAATGCCAACGAGCCCACTCGATTTGGGTTCTTTTCGTCCGAGTCCCAGACCACTGTTCACGCTGCGGAGCTGGGAGATCTACTCCTCCCAGGTGATACTTTCCGAGACCTTTTTCAGCTGGGCCCTGAGGGTGGCGTGTGGTGGATGGACGTCCTCAACCCCACTGAAGAAGAATTGCACGCCCTGGCTGGAGCATTCTCCATTCACCCTCTGACAACTGAGGATATCATGACTCAGGAAGCCCGCGAGAAGGTCGAGCTTTTCAAACAGTACTACTTTGTCTGTTTCCGCACCTTTTACCAGATGGACAAGACCAGCGAGGAATTCCTGGAGCCGGTCAACATTTACATGGTAGTATTCCGAGATGGAGTCCTGACCTTCTCCTTTGAGGAAAACCCCCACGCTGCGAGTGTCCGTAAGCGTATTGGAAAGCTGCGTGACTACGTTTCTCTCAGCAGTGACTGGATTTGTTATGCCATGATTGACGACATTGTGGATAGCTTTGGTCCTGTTATCCACGAAGTTGAGGTTGAGTCCGAGGCAATTGAAGACCATGTCTTCATCGCCCGGGTAGATGACTTCGAGTCATTCCTACCGCGGATTGGTGGTCTGCGGAAGAAAGTTATGAGTTTGATGCGCCTGCTGGGTGGCAAAGCGGATGTCATCCGTGGATTCTCCAAGCGCTGCAATGAGGGTTACTCGATGACTCCGCGTGGTGACATCGGCCTATACTTGGGCGATATTCAAGATCACGTCGTGACCATGATGTCCAACTTGGGTCACTTTGAGAAGATGCTGAGCCGATCGCATACTAACTACCTGGCCCAACTCAACGTCACCAACCTGGCGCTGGGCAACCACGTCAACAAGGTTCTAAGCAAGATAACTCTCCTTGCTACTATCTTGGTTCCTTTGAACTTGATCTCTGGTCTGTTCGGTATGAACGTCAATGTACCAGGGAAGAATGCCGGTGGCTTGGGTTGGTTCTTCGGTATCATGGGTGTGATGGGAGCTGTCGTCGTGGTCAGTATGATATTGGCTCGTTGGCAGAAGTTTTTATAATTTCATTTCCATATTTCCATTGTTATACTTCGGGTTTATCTCTCATTTGCTTGTTTATTTCGGCTTCAGCTTTTCTAGTTTCCTGGGAGGTCGGCTTGACGCTCGCTGTTTGATACTGTGTAATATTTGCGCGTGAAGGCTTGTAAGCATGTGTCTTCAGGAGTACATAGAATACAAATGTAATCTAAATCTGTATTATACAAGGTTCTATTAGCCTTCAGTATCCATAAAGGCAAGTCCTACTGATAATTGGCCTGGGCTTAAATAGTTATTTTTAGCTCTAATATTCTCAGGCACCAAGGCAACAACACCAGATATGGCCGCATTTCGGTGATAGCGACATTCCAACTTTTGAAGGCTACCTAGGTATATGCAGTCGATGTCCTCGTCTTCAGGAAGGGCTTTCCAGCTGGTGTATTATACCATTGCATGTTGGACCTGAAGTTTTTGATTCGGGCGACTTTAAATACTAACCTTGGAATCTCCATGCTCATTTCCAAGACTTAACTCCCCCATTTCGACTTTCCATGCGACGTCAATACGCAACCCTGCAGTGCCAACTGACTGCAACGGCCATCATAATTCTCTCTGTCCTATTGCTCGGTATCATACCGACTACCTACGCCGCAGATGTCCGAATCGATGGCCTCGAAACAGACAATGTGAACATTGGTGGGGTCAGCATCGATGGAGCTGGGTTGTCACACGTCTTGAACTCGTTCAATGGGCTTGAGCTTCGAGGTGATGTGCTAGTGGAAGGAGAATCTGTTGGGCTGGATCTGGTGCGAAGATTACCCAATGACGCCACCGCTCTATCGAACAACCAGTTCAATACTAAGACAATCTCCATGGGGGATGTACAGTGGTGGTTCATCACCAAGGAAGTGGTAAATGGGAAGCATGCGCCTGCAGGTATAGGATTGCCGTCATACATCAACTCTGGCGGAAAGACTGAGTCCTCATATGTGGTGGATGAGCTTCGGAAAAGAGGCGAGGAGCTATCGAAACGTTCGACCAGTGTCTATTTAACGTTAACGACGTGCAAAATCAATCCTGCATCCAGTGACAGTTACATACCGGGCTCTTTTCCTCAACTGGAAGTCTACGTGTCAACATCCCAGACGCTGCAAGAACCTGGTCCTGGCAAGGACAGCTCGAAACAGAACATGACTACTTCAGAGGAAGGATATCTGGGAATTGAATTCACAGCCAGTGGAGATGTTTTCATCGGCGTTGCGGCACCTAATACAACAACCTACAATGGCACAATCGAGTACCAGATTGCGGCCTCGATCGATGAATATTTCCAGAAGACTGTAGATAACGACCCCTTTCTGTACTTTGTCGATTCAGACCACTCTGCCGCGCTCCTTGTGACGAACAACCTGACGCAATCAGAGCCCTCCTCGTCCAATTACCAGCAGTGGATGAATATCACGCCGCCTTACACTATGTTCGCCCACAATATCAACAACACCGCTCTGACAGGTCTATCGCGGTCGTACTGTGCGCTAGACAAGGAGCTGGACCGCCAAAATGTAGATGTGAGTATGACCAGCCGAGGACTGGGCAACAAGCCCAAAGAACAATTCTACATGACTGGGCTCAATAGCAGCTCCACGTACACGGGAATTTTGGCCATGGTGGGCAACTCTACAGGCCACTCGGGGAACAGTGTTCGAGGTGGCGGTGGAGTGGTATGGAAGTCGATGAATTTCACGACAAAAACAGGTATGCTCTTTTATGTTGTGGCTGGAGATTTGAGTTCTAATTCCATCTAGACAACAATTGTGCTGTCTTGTTCAACCTCGACTTCTGTTCGGAAGTAGCCTACGCAGTCCCATCCAACCCAAATGTATCAACCTCAGAAATGCGCCAAATCTACGACGACCACGCGAAAAGATACTTCACGAACTTCAGTTACTCCCTGCAACAAATCCAGTGCAACACCTCGCAGGAGTCGATGTACTCACTAGCCGTCAACTGCGACGACTGCGCAACAGCATATAAGCAATGGCTCTGCAGCGTAACCATCCCACGATGCGCAGATTTTACCAGCACCGCATCATACCTCCAGATCCGCAACGCGGGTCAAAATTTCATCAACGGCAGCGCACTGCCAGAGGATAGTGCATTGCGCCAGTCCGTCGTAACGAACCAGTCGCGCAATACCCTGATAGACACCAATATCAAACCGGGTCCGTACAAGGAGATTTTACCTTGTTCAGACATCTGCTACAACATGGTAAAGAAATGCCCGTCTGCATTGGGATTCGGGTGTCCCGCTGGAAAATGGATGAACTCATCTTATGGGTTTCGGGATCCGAATGGGGATATCACTTGTAGTTATCTTGGTGCTGCTTACTATCTGAGTGTTGGGGCCAGGCTGGGAAACTGGGGGAATGTGTATGTACTGCTTGGAATGTGGGGGATATGGTGGACTCTCTTGTAGAGCTAAAGCTGGAGCTGGGGCCATGATTAGATTGTACATTTGGAACTCTCGGGAAATGCACATATTACGTTTATGCCACTTATCCTCCAGCCTTAGTGATCTATCTATATTGAAAATCAGGTATATTACAAATTACCACTCCAACCCCCTACTCCTCTCAACCTGACCACTAAAACTCTCATCGGCCCGATCCCCCCACCTCTCCTTCCAAACCGTCTTCTCTTCCCTCCACAAGTCATTCACGCACGGATCACATGAACTCCCACAGCAAGAACCCAGTTCCGGCGGCGGCGGCGCATCATCATGCGCGCGGGAAGCAGCGCGAAGAAGCTGTTTCGTCCGCGTTCCTGAGAGCCGTTTCTTTTGCAGGGCTTTGAATGTTGGGACTTCGGCTGGGAGGTAGTATGCTTTTGGTTTTGCGTTCTCTGGTTTTTGTGTATTTGATGGATTTATATTGACTTCTTGGCTCTCTGGTGTAGATGTAGTGGTTGTGGTTGATGTTGACGATAATAGAGAACTGGATAATGACCATAGAGACGAGAGTAGACCACTGCCGCTACTACTATCAGATGAGAATGCCTCTTTCTGTCTAGATCTGGATTCTGTATCGGCTGAATCTGCTGTTTGGGCAATTGTTGTGCTGTCGCCACCCATAGCTAGAGACAGGGCAGACCTCGAACTTTCTGTACGCAAACCAAACTAATACCGGGTAGGCACTAGTCGAACAGAACTAGAGTCTAGTAAACCTTGGAATAAATACAATCGGTACTAGGTAGATTTAAAGAGTAGATACCGAGTTGTGTTTTATTCATGGCGGACCCGAAGTCGGGCCGAATATTGTCGTGGATTCCTGATCATCCCGATTCCGAACAGAGACGGTCTTCGAATACTGTCAGACTACCTATCTCTACCTAGGCAATTGAACGGGATAAGGGCTTTGAACTTCTAAGCTAGAGTTTGAAGTCATCGTATAATTGAATATGTTGCGTATACTCTAAGAGATGTTGTCGTTGTTTATAGTAATAAATATTAACATACTCTGATGCAGCACTTTTTAAAAGAGTCAGGATGGAGAGAGTCATAATTCATATAATCATTAAGCTGGAGATGTTGATATTTTCTCAACCTCCCACTGTCCGCTATTACTGACACAATCATCAATACCAAGAACAACGCCACCATGGCGACTTCTTTATTATATCTTCTAGACAATTACTTCCCCTTGGGAGTCATCTTGGGAGTCTGCTTCGGAGTATAATGTAGTTTTTTAATGGGAGTCCACGCTGGACCCGAAGGTCGAGGGGAATTTCCACCAAATGACGACAACAATCGTTGCGCCGCAGGTGTAAGCATCTGCTCATGCGGAGAAGGTGTATGGGTCCGGGCAGGGGTTAGACCAGGGGTTCTGGAGAAATGTGGGATTGCAGAAGCTGGTGTTTTAGCATTACGCGCGGCCTTTTCAACACGGGTTCTGCGAGCACTACGGTCCACGATGCGATGATGCAATGCCTCGCGGCGGCCAGTTTCTCCAAGTTTAAAAGGGTTGGGTGTTGCAGAGCTTGGTCCGAGAATGCTCCAGTCCAGTTTGGTAGTAGGTGAGGCTTCGCGCTCTTTCCCGCGTGTTTGGGGTCTGGGGGTTGGCTCGGGATCAAATTCATCTACAAATGCGTAGCCGTTGACGCGGGGCGTCTCGCCGAGTTGAACTGCCGTGGCTCTCGCGCCATCCATGACTGTGTATTTGGGAGAACGGGGACCTTCAGATGCTCTGAAGCGGGGGTTGCCGATGATCGCATCATCAATGGCTGACATGGAGGGTGATTCCGGAACTGACTCTGCGGCCGAGGAGGCGGCGTCCATGAGCCTAGTGTTGCGATAAACAGTTTGCATGGGTGCAGCTCGTGACTCCGATTCTCTCTTTTGCGCGAGGGTTTCATGTGTGTCTTCGATACCAGATGGCTGGAACATGATAGTGTTTTTAGGTTGGTATTTCCAACTATCAGGCATGGCTGGTCGAGCGTCGAGATCGGTTGTTATCAAGGTCGTATTGTCGCCTGAAGAAGTAATTCTCTCCACCTTGCTCTGCGCAATCTGGCGTTTGGAGGGAAGTTTGTTCTCATTCCATATCCACGCACTTTTCTCCCTGCGCTTGGTATTTTGTTTGTCCAGGACTTTATTGAAAGATTCGTTATCTTCACTGGTGTAAGTGCTTTGGAAAGCAGAAAGGCTCATTTTAGACACATCGGGAACCTTCAAGCCCTTTTCATATGAGCCTAAACTAGCCGCCGAGACCACTGACATTGGAGTATCTCCACCCCAGCCCCGAGGGGTCTGCTCTGCCGACCCATGCTGAGGGGTGCCGGGGATAGAGCTCCTATTTTGGGCACATGATCTTGGGTTGAGGACCTCTAGCAATGCTTTACGAGATGTATGGATCCACTCCTTGTCGTTTGAGTCCAATGCATTGAGGTATTCCTGTTTTGCTTTGTTTTCACGGAGACCGGGGAAGAAGTCGCGTGCAATAATTTGCGAAAGTGCTTCTGTGTAGACATCTTCATCTAGAGCTATGGCAGGCCGCTTAATTCGTTTAGGTAGAGGAGGTGGAGGCATCAATTGCCCATCAGGGCGCTTGGCCAAGGCCTGTGACTGCATGATTGCACAGGTGGGGAAGAGAAAGGATGAGATAGCTGATGAGGCCATATAGTGGGGCGATAAGATATATTCTAGCTTATATAAGTAGGCGGTAAGTATTGATAAGCGGTGAGTAGTTATATGGTAGCGTTATTGGCTGAGCGAGCACATCATGATCTGTGGTGAATGGTAGACCAACAGCCTCGAACATAGACCTAAAATGAATTCAAGGTTATTTTTAGTCTGTAATTGGTCGTCATAGCCTAAGACAGTAGCTGTGATATCAAATAACTAGGTATTTAAATTATTACATGTCTAGGCAGGTAGAATTTGAAATCGGAAGTGTACCGCACTAATTCCATGGGTCAGTGTATAAAAGAGTTTCAAGGTTTATTCCAATCTGTATTTAAGTAGTTTTACGGAATAAATTACCTGAGATCCTACTAGTAACCTGTCTAGGTAAGCCCACGAGGTAGATCTTCTAACAAAAGTTAATCATAGATGAATTCCGCTTCTATAGTCACAAAATAAAAGGAGCATATATAGTGAATGTCCCAATCCTTCCAATCCATATCCATCTTAAACCTTTTCAATGGCTTTTGTCCAATTCCAACACCAAACCAAAATCGCTGATAAATGCACACAAATGAACGAACGAATTGAATACAGTAGGGGCCGCCCACATGAATAACAGGAAAACAAACAAAGAAAACAAGAAAAACAAGAGAGAGGAAAGAAAGTATGGTCGTGGACTCGTGGAGAAATTCTAATCTGGGAGACAGAGTAAAGAAAAGACTAAACATAAACAAAACATGTTGTGTCTCAACCGGACACAAAACAAGACAAATGGGAGACATGCTCAGTGGGCTGATGGGAACAGAGAGTAGGAAGTTGCCCGGGTCTTCTTTCGGTTGGGGTTCTTAGGAGGAGGGGGCAGGAGGGGTCCGTCACCCTTGATCTGCATTTCCGAGATAGACTTGGAACGATCACGGAGTGAAGGGGTGGGGTTAGCAGAGTCTCCAAGGCTGGAGTTGCTGCCTTCACGGAGCAGCAAGTGTGTCTCAAGACTCTTAGTCTGGCGGTGCTGAGAGGAGGAAGATGGGCGAACGATGTTTGCTCCAGCTCCAGCCACCAGGGCTTCCCCAGCACTGATCCGGTCAGTTGGCATCAACTCCCGGCTACTCGACAAGCTGTGTAAACTGTGGACCAGCTCTGGCACACTTGTGGTTGATACGGAGGAGCGATGCTTACGGACGACCGAAGCTGCGCGGGAGAGCATCAAGCTCTCCTGGGAGTTACACTTGCTGATGGGGGAGAAACTGCAGCGTGGGGAGATGTGGTTCTCGGAGGTGATCACACCTGGAGGGAAAGGAAAATGACGATCAGACTCTGCATCTGTACCTATGTACTCGTCGTATAGGTTTTCTTGGAGAATCTGTTTACTCAGAACAGATGGCACGGGCTGGAAATAATTCAAGTGTTGTTGATACTCCATGGAAGGAGTGGAAGCTGAATGGGAAGCGGTTGACAGTGATGGACTGCTTTCCAGATCTGGAGTCGGTAGGGTAGAGGTGCTGAGAGGGCTAGGCTGCAGATGACGGTACTTTGGTGCAGACAGCCACTCATTGTCAGTGCATGCCATGCCGATTTGCGAACGCTGCGCCTCGCGCCGAGGAGTGGACGACCAGTCGAAATCTGAGGTGGACTCGGCTGCGTTCTCATAGCAGAAGTCAATGTCAGCGTCCCAGGAGTCACACATCTCGTCTTCATATGAGAATTGGGAGAGCGGGGAGGTCACGTTGGGTGACTTTTGTGGCAATTGCAAATTCTGGGGAAGAGTGGGTGAGCCTAAGACCTCGGAGAACTGCCTTGACAGCTGCTTGGCCACGAAGACAGACAGCGGGGACTTGGAAGACAGGTGAGAGCCAGTCGAAAGCTGCTTGGCATGCATGGGAATCCGTGTAGGGACGTGAGAAATGATGGGTTGGTGACAGTAGCGAATGGCTTCGTCCTCTTCGGGAACATCTTCCAGTTCATAGTGGCTGTTCATGGATGGGGTCCGACTGAATTGAAGTGCTGAAGGATGTGTTGCTTCAATATCTTCAGGGTAAGTTTTCGTCGTGGCCAGGCCCAAGATCTCATCAATAGCACGTGGAGCGGGTTCTGCAAATTCATTCTCTGCAGGCGCTTCTTGTACGCATGGAATAGAATTGGATCGGGGGTACCTGGGCACTGGACGTGAGAAGTTCTCATATATGCGAGATTCCCTCTGTGCACGACGCGGGTGACTCTTTGGACTGACTGCCTCATCCTCCACCTGAGTTGAGGCTGGCAGACTTTGGGGGTGGGCCCGGCAGCGGTGATTGCCGTGGCAAAATTCCCAGCGGAATAGTTGGTAAAATTGATATCATCAGCACGAATGCCTTTAAGGTCTGTGGCTGGCCGTTGGGACGCTCTAATGACCGAGAATTCGGTGACGAGGTCGGTCTCGCGAGCCTGATTCAAGGATTCGAAATGTGAAGGGCTGGTATGGGTGAGATGATGAAAGTCAAAAGGATCAGAAATGAGATTCTTCAAGCGATCTATGTATATGGGTTAGTTCGGCTCAATTGATATCAAGAATGAATGACTGACTATTATCGACTTGTCGCTCCCGACGGCTAAAGATCGATTCAGACCGGGGCTTTTCTTTTTCTTTTTCCTTTTCACGCTCGAGCTCCTCTTCTTCGTCTAATGTAGCAACGATATTGATCTTGCTACCCTGACGTCGGAGAATGCGACTACCGCGGGAGAGGAATGATCTTGAACGGTCCGACTTCTCAGACCGCATACCTAGTGACGAAATAGCTCTTTCATCCTGGGTTGAGTCTTCTCCAGACGTCGGGAATGTCTGTGAACGACGTGAAGAATTGGAAAATGAAGTGGTAGTGTTACTTCTTGATCTGCCACCGAAAACGGAGATGCGCTTCGGATTACTGGCAGCCTGGGTTGACCTCGAGCGATTGTGGACAAAATGGTCTGGAGGATCATTTGAAGAGCGGGAGGACGGGGGATCACTGATCCCATCATCCTCCCAAGCACGGGGAATGATAGCAGGGTACATTTCGATTGAGGAATTGAGTCAGCAGAAGCGATTGAAGCCCGGGCAGGCGTCCCGGGCGAGAGAAATCTTAGAGATAAAATTGAAGTAACAGAGGTATCATGGTTATAGAATTGGAGAAGAGAAGCTGTTCAAGGCTGGGGTCGAGGGGGGGGTCTTTGGGTCTTACATATAAAACCAGACTAGTTAAAAGTACGGGACTTTATCTGGTATTGTTCGATACATCAAAAATACCATGTGGAGTCCATCCTTTCAGGGGTGTTGCGCTATGATTTGAAGACTATGACCGTTGCGGAAATAACAGATTAGTTTGTTTATTTAATTTAACTATATTGATTTAAATGATAAGTCGACTTTTATTTCTAATTCTAGTTCCACGTGATAATTTTATTTCGATGTAGAATTTCCGACCTATACTGTTATATCCGTATATGCAATGCGCATGCCAGGGGAGGGATTTTCATCCTTGAACGTGGTTGTCGGTACAGTTGTGGGGGGGTGTTCCATATCAGGTTAAGCTGTATTTGTACCAGAATCACAACATCTGTACTTTTAATACCTGAAAAAAAAGAGTGAGGGAAAAAAGACGAAAATAGAGAAGAAACAGAAACAGAAACACGAAGATAAAAATGAATGGAACCATACCTTGGTTAGAAGTTCTCAATTCAAAGCTAAAACCAAAACCTATTTTTAAGTTGAAGTATATATATGTCTTAAAACGCATACCATATTCGTACTTCTGTACTTGACTCTATTCTAGCCTTATTTGATAATGATTCAATGGGATTCCCCGCGCCACTAGTGTCTCGGCTTCAACGGTTTTAATTGCGCAAATTTCATACCTAGGTGTAATACCAGGCCTCTATTGGGAAAGGATCCGAGTCTAGGGCTTCCACAGCTTCTAGGGCTTCTAGCACGATCCAAGGTGGAGATGGGCGAATTTAGCCTGTATGACTACTATCTCAGCCCTGAGAAAAGTACGTGTACGTGTGTACTTGATATTGAGATTTGAACCATGGAATTCAGCGCGGTTACCTAGGCATCGAATACAAATAGCTTGTGCCCTATCGTGCCCTGATCATGCCCGTACCTGTGCCCTTTGCCGCACTGTGCCCTACCGAAACAAGGTACGAAGTACGGAGTAGGTAAACAAAAAACAAAAAAAAAAAGAATAAATAATAAATATTACTCTGTACTCTGTACTCTGTACACCCGAACACGTGATCCCCACTTAACTCTTTTCTATTCCCGTATGGGTTGGTCGGCTTTCCTATTTACTCCACCATTTTCATTTCTTTTATTGTCGCTTCCGCTCCTGACGATCTCCCCCTCTTTGGCTAGAACCTGTGGACTCGATTTAAGGTATGGAGTACGGAGTCACGAGTTTGAACATGTAGAAACTCCTTTTGTTTGAGAAGAGCCTGGGCAACTCCACATGAACCTAGCCCATGCACAAACTCTTCTTTATTTTTAACGTATTCCAGTATTTTATCCAGGTATTATTGAACCGGCCCGAGACTCCCCGTGTCACCTACATCTCTCCATACCCCCCTCTACACGCACTCCGTGGGAATATACCGGATGGGGCTGAAGCGATTACCGACATGAGTCTGCTCTTCTTTACCATAATGAGTTAAATATCTACTAGTTTATCTTAATTCCTTCAATGTTTGCCTATGTAATCCTGGCTCCTTCCACTAGTCTAATCAATGGGGCTGATAATGCAATCCTTCTCTCACATGATTTAACGTCGACTGCGAACAGAGTAGATCGTCAAAACATCGTCAAAACATCGTCAAAGTAGGTATTCATCGTAAGGGCACTACCCCGTACGGAGTTCCCATTAATTAAACCTAGTTGACTAACTATGAAACAACCCTGATAGTTCGAACTATCCCCTGATTCTTATTTCATAAGGGGTTAAGTGTTAGGGCCAAGGGACGGATTGTCGATGTGGCCCCTGATGCTCTTCTCATTCTATCTCATGTATTATCTCTTGTACTTATGTAGGAGACCATTTCCGATAGAACATGAGCTACATAGTAAATACGGTCATTCGTATTGGGTACCTAGGTACTAACCTATAAATTTAACCTTATCAATTTCCTGGCCCCAATGCCCACTGCCCAGTGGAGAAAATTATAACGGTCGCAACTAGGACAGGATTCCTACTGAATACCTTGATAGTTATTATTTAGTCATGGGGCACATATATTTGCATATCTATGCATATATATATATGTATTTTATTTTGACTCTGGTGGCTTCGGGCACAGGTAGAAAAGAGCCGCGCCCAGGGCTCTCTAGGACCAAGGCTTCATGAGGCAGGTTGCCGTAAGCATTTTAAAGCACACCATATTTATTACAAAGAACAAATCCCTGATTTGAATAGGTACGTACTTATGTCCCGCATTAAATGGATCTATCTATTCACGGCATACGATCTGTACAATAACGTGGGCCGATTATTCTTAGGATTGGCTTGAATAGTTATTAGTTACTGTTGTAAGACTCCATAATCTCGTACCATTACCCTGGGCCGAAAACCGTGCTTGGTACGATCGACCAAGGCTGCGGAACGTCGTATGATATTTGAATGGGTCATTGTATTGTACTGTATCGGCACATTCATTAGTTGGTGGATCATCATCTCATTGACACGCGTTGATCATCATACCTGTCTCCAGTTTTTAGATGTTTTCAGCACCCACAATTGGGCTGCCAACGTCAATCTCTGATGAGACCTCCGCCGACGGTCACATCCTCGTTGCGCTTGATAATGTTTGTCAGATCAGTAGCAGCAGAAAGGTAGTCTCCCACCAAGCTATCATCGTCGCGTTTGACAAGATTTGCCAAGTCGGTCACAGTAGCAAGGTAGTCGTCGAGTGAGCTGTCATCCAAGCCTGCTAGGTCGGTAGCAGCAGCAAGGTAATCGCCGATCAAGCTATCATCTGCGCGTCGGATAATTGAGGCATCATCGGTGTTCTCGGCGCTGAGATCAACCCCGAGAGAGGGCGGAGGGACTGCGATAGCAGTTGCGGCAAGCAGGGCAATAATAAAGTAGTTCATATTGATCGAGATTTCCAAAAGATACTTAGGATGACCGCCTTCTGTTACTTTCAGGTTAGTACGTACTCTGACTGTGGCTGTTTAAAATTGCGTTGTATGGCTTGTGCTTATGTTTTTGCTATGATTCATTACTTACCGAAGACGAGTTGCGAAATATAGGACAGTGATCGAAATCTATGTGAATGAGAGAGAATAACAGATGAATAATTGACCGTTTACCTAGGTAGTTAAATAATTCAAGACAAGAGAATGGCTTCATCAAAGTAGATACTAGGTAATAATTATATAGTTGACGTAATCTACTCATGTCAACCAAATTTTATTGAGCTATACTACCATATAGGTAACTCTATGTGCCATAACTCATACTATGATACGCTTTATTCAAGCGGTAGATGAGGTCATATGGAATGACATTGGTCAAATCATTCCGTCATTTACGAATGTATTCTTAAAAAAGTAAGCAGGTTGAAACTCTAGTCCTCAGATTGGCTTGCCTGAAAGATTTGCTCTGAGCTTCTTCCAAGAAATACTACCTAAATAGTACTCATGATATCAGACTTGACCCGGTTTCCATTGGAATGGACTATCTAGTTGTTCCAAAGGTTGCGATAGGTGTAAATGACACCACCTGACTAATAACATAGAAACTAGTTAACTAAATAGACCTTATGAGTCTCGTTTTCTGGGGCATCAAGCGAGTTGGCACAGTGTAGTAACCCCGATGTTACTTCCGGCGATCACTTACTAAAATGGGCTGAAACCTTAGTCAGACAGACTTAGTGATAGTTATAGTTAACTATCATCAATGTTCAAGAGAAGGAGTTTGAAGGATTCAGATGTATTGAAGGCAATTAGAAATGAAACAGACTGAGATAGATTCATTGAATATTAGTTAAAGTGAGCGAACATGTACTAACTCTAATGTGGTTAAAGTTGCTCGGTCCGATCCAGAAACTCAATTCGAAATCCAATTTATTTCAACAGCCTACCCTTCATGTTCCTATTTCTGTTACTTTTCAGTTTGAAAAGACCAATATTAAGATTATTTAAGTGACCTTCCTACTTAGCCAGTCTCGTATAGAGAAATTACGGTATTGAGCTGAAACCAAATGTGAATTGAAACATGTATGCTTCGTGCTCCCTCTGGGTCTCTTACGAGTTTAGCTAGTATAACCATGTACTCAGGTACCGTCAGCAAGAGTCTTGCTCCTTGATGGTGTATTTGTTATACAGTGTTAACGCCTTGTACAGTTCTCCTGTAGCCAGAAAGAGAGTTACATCCCCAGACCCGACCTTGCATGAATGCACATGTGCCGTGATACCTAAGTTTTAGGCCTTACCTAGATGCATTCTTCATACCTAAGTAAGACATTTGACAGCCTTGGAGTAAGCAAGAGAGTAGTACCTAGGTACGAAGCTCATTGACAAGAAACTTTCCCTCCGCAACCCCATGACAAGGCATACACCATTGACTTACGTCTGAAAATAACCAGCTAATCTCAGTAAGGCACACGGTACACCGCAGCAACAACCCCGGACCCGAGCCCCGCCATTCCTTCTACCCGTATTATTAATTCGTATCCTAATAGGAGGAGTTGGTTTTGTAAGGATTGGGGGCTATTGTGTGGATAGTTCAGTCAGATTGGATCGTAAGATCTAATCTCAGGTACGTTGCGAGAAATTTTTCGCATCGGCCGAGATTCGGAGGATTAGGATTACTCCATAGTGAGACGGGAGGGGTAGTTGAATTGTTGAGATCATGCCATTTGCATATCCACGTATCTCTCTCCGTAGGTCCATAGGTACCTAGTACCTAGCACAGATGATCCAGAGGAATATGTGGAAATGGATAATTTCGTATTGAGAGACAATCTAAAAATGTCTCATTTTGTCCTCGTATCGTTTCTTGTCAGATGTATATGATTCAGAAGATTTGTCCTAATAGATCTGTGGTCGTCATATGGAGTAACATGCTTTTTCATTTTCCTTGGTCTTTTCAGGAGGGAGATGGCGCATACTGTACGGAGTGATTCGAAGACTTCTAGTGCGTCACGCCTTTTATGTGGTCTAGAGTGAAACCTTGGAAAGAATAGGGACCTGTCAATTTTAGTCTCGACTTTGAGCGTCTTGAGGTATGGATAGGAAGGCATCGGGAATTTCCAATGAATCTAATACTTTTACTGGATGGTCGAAGTAGATGTATGGTGCTTGGTTGTGGGATTGTCATAGTCATAGGGAATTGATACACAGCGCGGAATACTGTACGTAATATAAAAAACAACAACGTTGAGCCATCAAATTTTCCCTAGCCTCTCTCTCTGTATGTGTATCTCTACAAGACTCTTCAAACTTTTTCTCTTTTAAATGGAAACACCAACTGAACAAACTTTTAAAACCAGCGGTCTGATTGCTTCTGTGCAGCAGCATGCCCACTATCTCTAATAAAGATATAAATCTATTTTGGTTGTGATAGAGGGGGCTCCTACTATGATGGAGTAAATGCCCTAGAAGGATCAAAACGCCGGAAGGCAACACAAGATTTATTAGCTGTCATTTTCGTCTATATTTGTTGAGAAGTTAATAATGATAAATGGGAGTAAAAGTCAAAAATGCTAGCCATAACCCTGAAGCTGATGATAATATGATAGCATATCCTATAGCACGAGCTGCTTAGCCAAAACTAGACCAACACTCAAGTCGTTCAAATTTCTCGGAAATTGGCTCTTCTCCCTGATAGATAGCAAGTCTAATTAAGAAGGATGACTCAACTTGATTACTTCTACCAAGAAACATCCCACTGCACAGTCGGATATATACTCAATTTCCCCCAAAAGCATGCTACTATCTCTAGCGTATGTCCGTCTTATATTATCTGCAGTTAGCATGTCCTGCCCGCTCTAAACTAATGTTACATTGTACATGGAGATGCGCTAGCTGCTTTGAGTTAGACCAAGGATGATCTCTGATACTGAGATGAGCTCATCTGATACGAATTGTAATCCTGAACTCAGGGCCATTTCACGCGTTAGCGATGGCTAACACATCATGACCCATGCTTAGTGACACTCACGTTCAGTCGCTAGTTGATAGAAAATCACCTACACCATAATTGCATCAACTTTATCCCTGAAATGGCGGGCTGGAAGATTATCTTTACCACAGCTGGTTTTCCACAGCAATAAGCTTTGAAGCTCATAGCCTTTTGGCAGTCATGTCGACTACAATTACCAAGCGCAAGCGCGCGAGAAAAGCATGCATCCCATGTCATCAGTGCAGGCGGAAATGTGACACCGTATATCCTTGTAGCATGTGCCCACTTGCGGATACAACTGCAGGTACGCCGACGATGACTACGGGTGGTGGTGTACTTATTCCGCCCTCAGCCAAGCGCCTCAGCCTCGACGGTGAAAGTCGTCTGACGAACCGGCCACCCACAGCGCGCAGCCCAGGTAGCCGGTCTCACATCGAGCGAGGCTCCCGCGAAGCTGACAGCTCGTCGACGAAGAGTCCCACCGTCGTGGCCGGCGCATCCCCGGGAATCTTTGACGAGCAAGAATTCAGATACTAGAGGCATCAGCGGCCATGGGCTCCAGACCGCGTATCCGTTCCTGGTGGTGACCAAGGCGGGCATCGTGTTCTGCTTTTATCGTCGCCTTTACCAGCTCAAGATCCGCATACCGGACGAGGTCATCAAGCTCTTCATTGATAGCGGCAACGCTGCAGTGGAGGCAGCCGAGCAGCAAGCTAACCAAGGTTGTCTGTTTTGGAATGTCATTGGCAGTGTCTTCCAGTATGCCTGCGTTCATCTCTGTCGGTCCGTAGTTTTGTGCGGCTTTACGTGCGGCTACTGCGGACTTCATCACCTACCACCGCACCAGAGCCCCATCATGTCCAAGTAAGCCAAAAACCAGTCCCTCGGCTTCAAAAACGCCATTGAAAAAGTCACGATTGTCGGCGTAAGCAAACCCATCAGCCACCATCATGGATACAGCAACACACTAACAAATACACTTAGGCTCGAGGCACAGTAGGATCGCACATTGTCAACGCCCTTCTAAAGACCGGAAGACATACAGTCACTGCCATTTCCCGCAAAGACAGCGATAACGAACTTCCCGAGGGCGTCCCAGTTGCTCCGGTCGACTTTGATAAGCGTTACCTGACAATCTACGACGATGGCAACACCAAGAACTCACTTCGACGTTATCGCAGGTTGGGCGTGCTGTGGCCAAGGTACTGAGCCTGAACGAGCTACCTGAGGACGAAAACGATAAGAGCCTTACTCTGTCAACGTTCCTGAATAAGGGTGTGTATATCAAGAGCTTTTTAATCAACCAAAACTGCATGTTCGAGAGCGTCAAGCGCGTCACTGGTACCACTGACGCTGACTGGACGATAACTCATGAGGACACCAAGAAGCGACACGAGAATGGCCTGGCGCAAGTTAAATTGGGTAATATGGCTGGCTGTAGTAAGCTGCTGTACGCAAGGGCGTTTTACCCGGATGACTCTAGTGATATCTCGGAGAAGGCATGGAATGACCTGCTTGGATTACCGGAGGAGAACCTGGATGAGTCTACCAAGGTTGGCATAGATTTGGCCAAGGAGCTGCAGCTTCGTGTTGAGCATATGGCGTCCTAGAAAACAGTATCTACCTACATGTACGGAGTTTGAATGAATGAATAGATGGATATAAACACGGGAAGTGCTTCGACAAGAAGTCTCTATTTTCAGAATCTAGTTCTATATCATGGGCTTTAGTTCACACCCCCGTTGTATCCGAGAGAGGTTAATTATTCGTTAATGCAATTTCAATATGCAATTTTCTATACTGAGTAATTGTCCTCCATATGCAACCCAGACTGACCCAATAGCAAGCAGTTTTCCTTCCGAGTCTAATGTGGACCCGTATACAAGGGAAAAGTAGCATATCTATTTCAGTCCAGGACTGTTCTAACACTTTCCTTCCGACTAATTTTGGACTGGTTATCTTAGAGCATCAAATCGCCACCATACAGTGCAAAAGTTGGAATTCATGAAAGTTACGTCACTGTCGTTGGAAAAACAAGGATGATAACAAAACAGTAAGTAGCAATAAAAAGTAATAGGCAAAAAAGGTAGGAGATATGGGAGGTTCTTTTGTGCAGTCGGATCGGTATCATCGTAGACGAGTAAGAGCTTCGAACAGAAAAGACATGAACAATTGAAAAAAAATGATCAGACGAGAAAACGCCGGCTCGCCCGCGCCCAGATATCTGTATGTGTGAAGTGAATAAAAGAAATAAAAGAACAAGGGATCACTCTACTTCAAGAGCTCGTCTCGAAACAAGACGAGACTGGTAAGAGAGGACTTTTGTCCATGCAATGGTCGTAAAGGTAAAGGTTTAAAAAGGCAGATAATAATCTAACCGGAGCCGCGTTAAATGAGACCCATATGTGCGCACGTCAGATCTTTCAACTCGTTACAGTGATGTAAGGATAGAGAAAGCTTTTTCTTTCACTGGCCGGTGGCCTTCTTCCAGCGCAATAGTTCCGCCAGGCTGGCAAGACTGCACCCATTTTGCAGGAACTCGTGCGCTAGCAACTCGTCAGCCGTGGCACGGCTGCGGACATCGACACAGAGACAAACACTCAAGAAGGACTTGAGTTCTTTGCTAAGCTTTTCCGGCTTCTTGAGACGTGGGGTTCCGTTGGTCGCAATGAGGAACAGCGCCTTCAGGGGCTCCTCGTTTAGGTAAGGTGGTTCGGATTCAATCATCTCGATAGCCATGATACCCAGTGACCAGCAGTCCACCTTCGGGCCGTATTCCTTTTGCTTCACAACCTCAGGAGCCATCCAGTAAGGCGTTCCCACCATGGTGGCACGCTTGCTCTTGGACTCTGTGAGCTTGGCGCAGAAGCCAAAGTCAGTGATCTTGACGTGGCCAACTCGGTCGAGCAGAACGTTGTCACTCTTGATATCACGGTGAATGATGTTTTGGCTGTGTAGATGGGACAATCCCTTACAGGTCTGGGCGAAATTTTATTGGTTAGCGTTCCAGGTGGAAACAAAAAGGGATTAGGCGGAGACAAACCTCTGAGCAGATAGTAGCAATCTGGTTCTCCTGAATTACAGGGTTGTTGTCAATCACATCAGTCAACGCACCACCCTCCATAAACTCCATAACAACCCACAGCTCATTGCTAGATTCCTGCAAGAATGAATCCAGGAAGTTGACAATGTTGGGATGTTGGCTGTCCTTCATGACAATAATTTCATTTACAATCAACTCCTTACGTGGCTGACTGCGCAGATCCATCTGCTTAATGGCCACCTGGCACCGAGGGCCATACTGCCGGTACAGTTCATGGGCCACCGACGACGTCGCATGATCCTTAACGCGGGCAACATACACGGATCCAGACGCACCCTGTCCGATCTTACGCTGCTTGCTGTATGATTCGTTGGGGTTGTCCTTGGACACGACGGAGCGCAGTCGTTCCATAACTTCATTCTCAGACATGGCCGACATACGAACCTCCTTCTTGTGAGAGTCGGCGGGTTTCTTGGTGAGCGCGGCCTCTGCTTGGCGGACACCATCGGGAACACCTGGTTTACTAGATCCCTGCTTGTTGGCAATATTCAACGGCTTCACTTGTTGTACAGGAGCAGGCAGACGGGATGGGGGAGGTCCCTGTGTCTTGGTGCCATTGCTTTGCGAGCGACTCGCGGAAGTCTGTGATCGAGGATCATTTGCGGCATAGCGAGAGGGAGAACCTTGGTCCTGAGCAGGAGCACGTGGCACACCCTGTCCGTATGAACTTTGTGAAGATGGAGGCGCAGGGGGAGCCCGCTGAGCCGCCAGCTGACGAGGTTCTTGACCTGGGGCGCGGGCTCCTGCGCCTGGTGCTGGCGGGGCAGGACGACTGGGTTTGTAGCGACTGTTGGAATCCTCACCACCATAGCCGCCGAGCTCTTGCTTGGCCATTGGGACTCGTGCCTTGGGTAGAGATGCATTGTATTCTTGATCTTCTCTGCGGCGTTCCTCCTCGACGCGGCGGCGCTCCTGATCGGCCATTTCCTTCATGCGATCTAGTTGTTGCTGCTGCTCTATAGCCCGATCCGTCTGAGTCGGGGATGAATTTAAAGGACTGGACATCTTTCCAGTGTCCAGGCGCTGCATGGGACCAGGAGGCGGCGGCCGCGGGGGAGCTACGGAGCTGCCCACAGAGTTGCTGGCTATGGATTTGGACTGACCCCCAGATGAGCCGTTCATACCATCATAATATTGGGGGTTTTGCTCCCTCATCTTGATATCAGAGTAGAACTCCAAAACCTCAATGACAGCCTGCGGGTTCTTCTTGTAATCTTCCTGTGTAATGGCCGACGCCGTCAGAAGTTTCTCCCACTCTGGGGGTAATCCAACGAAAGCGCCCGTCTGCGGGTCAAATCCAACATGAACCCGATGACTGAAGTTGGTTGGGTTACTGACACCACCCATCCCGGGGCAACGTTCATAGATCTTGTCGATCCATTCGTAGATTTCGTCGTCGGATTTCACCTCACAGGTTATGGTCTTAGTGGGCACGTCACGGGTGATCATGGCAGCTTTAGAGGTCGCATCTTTTGGGTTTGCCAGTCGAGTAACCTCAAATGACATCTTGGAGTCCTCCGAGCGAGCAACGGCCGTGACGGTCGCAAGAGGGAACGACAGAACAACCTTTCCAGATTCACTCTTCAAGAATTCAAGTTTGTATTCACGCAAGATCAAGTGGCGCTGGTTCCATGTTGCAAGGAACTTGTCTTCCTTGCAACGCACGGGTCCCTCCTTTACGATCGCAATACCGCCCTGTCCACTGGTTTGACTCCGAGCAAGAGAAGGCGAGCTGGTATTGGGGAAAAGGGAAAGGTTACCGGTCCCTGGAGTGATAGGCGAGTTCAAACTCATTTGGCCGAAAGAGGTAGCCACGTTAGAGGTGGGGAGCGACAACTTGGGACGATCGGTAGGGGGGCGGGGAGCCGGCCCCGGATTCATGAACTGATCCTGTGAGTACATAGGGCTGTCGTTGAAATCAAGGTTAGCTTCTGGGCGACTTTGATTTAGAGATTTCCTAGAACATACTTCCCGTATGAAGCCATTTGTGCGGTATTAGGGTCAGGGTCAGGGTCAGTTGCGGAGGGCGGAAGTGAATGCGCGCCGAGACCTCCTGAGGCCCCTCAAAAGATAGCTCGGCTCTAATCAAACCCAATTAGCCTTGTCAAGTTGAAATAATTGAATGGTTTGAACGGAATCTTTGGATATTTGGGGGTTGTCGAACGGATGAAGGGGAAAGCGAATTCCGAAGAGGGGATCCACAACCAGATTCCAGATTCCAGGGGAGATACCAATTGAAGTGTAAAATGGAGAAGAGATAACCTACGGCAGAGAAAGGATCCCCGCCAACAGCGAGAATATAATGAGACCGTGGTTATAAAATGGAAACAAGGGAAGTGTTGAATGGTGGGGTGTTGTAGAAGTGAAAGGATGAAAGGGGGGAAGACAAGAAGAGCGGGATAAAATGGGTAAATGGGGAACAAAGTATCGATCTCCCCTGAGATCCATCTTTCAGTATCTTGACTCTTTCAAGGGGCCCAAGTTCAATCTAAAGAAAACAGTAATTACCCAATCATAAGAGGTTACCGTTGGACCCACGCCTTCGGTCTGGATCCCGCTCTGTTTACGTGAGAAACTTGGAATTGGTTGTAGATCTATACTTCCTATATCGATGGACTCCGTATTTTAAGCATCATGACTACTCCGTACTTGATCTACAATGGCGATTGCTTTAGTCTGGATACTACTATTACTACAACTGGAATTTGATATTTCAGTACTTCCCCACACAATATTCAACTACACGTGGTAACTGACTTTGTGATGCTATTCAGGAACTAAGTACTAATGGACTTGATATTCATCAAATGCTGTCAGGTTCTATTATTACACCACCCCAGTAGAGGTAGAGTGGAATGTAATATATGAACTCCGCATGTACTCCGCTCAAGTGCACGGATCAGGTTCATTCTCCAAAAGGATAGTTGAACTTCAATAGCCCGTTCAATCCACCGACCCATCCCTCGTGTGCTTCGTCCCCCATACTTCTCCTCATTATACTGGGAACACCGCCCTGCCACTCATTCTTACCATGGCGCATCTCCTCATTCCAGACTCGGACTTCCATGCCAACTGACATCCCTTGGCCAAGATTGACTCCGTCCAGACTAACTTCCAAGTCCCGCCCACGGTTCTTGTCGCTCAATCTCAAGGTGATGGGTGTACTCAATGGTAGCACCAGTGGGCGAAAACTCAGGCTTCGAGCGCATATAGGTGTGAGCAAGATCGATGGTACGAGCGGATGAACAATACTGCCACCGCTGCTGAGACTGTATGCTGTACTGCCAGTCGGCGTTGATATGATAATTCCATCAACCACAGCCTCAGTCAAGAATCGACCGCCGACAAAAACATTCACTATAGCCAGATGTGGTGCCTTCCCGCGGTGGATAAGAAGTTCGTTCATTACATATACACCTTGACCCTGGTCACTTTTAGCTCGGACTGGAGTAACCTCTTGCCCGTCAGCTGTAAACAGTCCAACTTTGAGACGGTTGCGCATCAAGACGGGAGCTCCCCGAGTGGCACCCATAGACTTGCCTCGAACGGAAGACCACCCAGTGGGTCCCATAGGGGAGTCTTGGGGTTTCACGCCTTCTAAAACCGAGGTACGATCCCCAGCCCCAGCGCCGGACATATAGACCTCTCGAAAAGCCCTTTTAAATTCAGAAAACTTCCACTCTGATAGAAACCCCAGGGTTCCCATGCTGAATGAAAGAACTGGAGGCACATTGGAGCATGTCGCAAAGAGGGAGGCTGCATGGAGAATTGTACCATCTCCACCTAAAGTAACGGTGAGGTCCACCTTATTATGGAATGCCGTCGGGTTCTCGTCCAGGGATGCAGAGTAGACGGGGAAAGAGAGGGACGAATGGACTTCGGTGGCAGTTTTGGGTTCAAGGACCACAGCAGTAGAGGGATAGGTGGAGGTGATATGACTGGGGAACAAAAGGTTAGCGCATCCTTATAAAGAGTTTTGAATGGCGGCTGACTTGGCAAATTCGAGCAGCGAATCAGTCGCTGCAGGCGCGCAGTTCTTGCGCACTAGCAAGATATTTCGTGGTGGAGATGGCCATTGGAGACAAAGTAGTTCTCCCTGTGTTTCTGATTAGATGTAAGCTTTTGTATCAGCTTATATTGGTCACGTTTCCAAGTAATCCAACCTTGATATTTCGGGATTAATCGTTCACACAAAGCTCCAACGTTACGTATCTCATGACGCGGGACAGAGGACGAGAAGTTGCGTCGCAAGAACAGGCCGAACCTGGGGAGGCACTTCATAATTGAAAGTGGCCAGTCATTCAGATAATAGCATTCTAAAAAGCCGAACGCAATAAATCAAGAGATGTAGAGAGTGGAATGGCAGAATCAGAATAAATGAAGTAAATAACTGGACCCACCGCCCTATCATCATCCTCTGACGTTATGAGCTTTAGCTCTAAGAGATCCACGGCTCACGAGACCTGGGAGTTACTCTTTCATTTCTTATCTTCTTCCCCCTTTTTGCCCTTTACCCTACCCCTAATACTCATCCACTCCTCTTATTTTTGAAGATAACCTGAACCTCACTTCCGATCTCATTTTCAACCGATCCGCCGCTTCCCGTCGACCACTTTGCTCTCGGGCTAATTTATAACCCGGGGATCTGCTGTGAGGCCTCCATTCCATACATATCTTGGTTCTTCAACAACAGCAAGCTTCTACTCTACTTCCAGGGCTCTTCGCCCACCATGAGTCCAACCGAACTTCATCAACGAAAGCTTTCCACCGAATCTAACGATGAATCCAACGATGAATCCAGCAGGCTTTTAAATAATGACAGGAAGTCTTCTGGAGATCCCTACCTCAAACATGGTATTCTCATGCAGCTCTTGCGTTCTTTCCTTCTGGCTACTTGGTTCAACTCCTGTTGCGTCATCATCCTTGCGACCCAACTTGTCGGCGCCCCACTATACTTGATCAACAAAAACCATTACTACAAATACATGGCATACACAAAACAAAATTTCGGATTAGTGATCACTGCTCTCACCCAGTGGGGAAGTCCAACTTTGTTCCGCATCAGTGGAGATGCAAGCGTGCGAGGCCAGCTTCATCTGACTGAGGATGGCTTGCTACAGACCAACTTTCCAGAGCGGTTAGTTCTGATTGCCAATCATCAAGTGTACACCGATTGGGTCTATCTCTGGTGGTTTGCCTATACCAACGTCATGCATGGACGCATTTACATTATATTGAAGGAGTCGTTGAAGTATATTCCCGTTATTGGCCAGGGCATGACATTCTATGGATTTATATTCATGGCGCGAAAGTGGCTCTCGGACAAGCCCAGATTGCAGCACCGTCTGGAGAAATTGAAGAGAAAGCACTCCGGCTCTAAACCAACCGACGTGCAATATGACCCTATGTGGCTGTTGATCTTCCCCGAAGGAACGAATCTCTCCATCAACACCAAACGACGCAGTGATGAATTTGGACTCAAACAGGGATATCCTTCTTTCAACCATGTTATTCTTCCTCGGTCCACTGGTTTATTTTTCTGCCTGCAACAGCTGAGAGGAACGGTGGAGTGGGTGTATGATAGCACAATTGCCTATGAGGGCCCACCGTACGTACCCATTATGACCCACTTTGTATGAATTCGAAATACTGACTGTTTCTTACAGAAAGGGAAGCTATCCTGACAAGTATTTCACCCTTCGCTCCACATGGCTGCAGGGACGACCTCCCACTTCCGTCAACATGCACTGGAGACGTTTTGCCGTTGCAGATATCCCTCTAGAAGATCAACATGAATTTGATGAGTGGCTGCGAGCACGATGGGCCGAGAAAGACGAACTTATGGATCAATACTTCGAAACTGGCAGATTTCCCTCCGACCTGGGTGGATCCATCGAGGCCAACAATGCCAGTGATGAGCAAAAGCCGGTTATTGCAGCTGGCTACATTGAATCCAACGTTCAGGTCCACCATTGGAGCGAGCTCGGACAAATATTTATGGTAGTTGCTGGTCTAGGGTTCTTGTGTAGGGCAGTTAACTGGGCACGCTAATGTACATTCGTACTGCATCGGGCCAAAACTTCATGATTAAAGACCTGTACCCTAAATACATATTTTTAGAATAATGCGAAATGAAATTATGTCAATATTGCTATGAAAAAAGAATTTATGATGACACACTGTGCTAAGAGTAACTGCTTAACTAATAGTTGTGCTCCTCGGCGGTGTGGCTGTGCGTCCGATCCAGCCACATCGCGCATCCAATTCCTAATTGAAGCACCTGTGAGTCTGAACTCCCACTCGCACGTTCGGGGCGACCAGCGCTTTCACCTTTCAACCTACACCATTCCTATCATTTTTATTAGTCTGATGGGAATCCTCAACCTACCATGAGTTGAACCCCTATCAACAATCCCTTTCATATCTCAGTCGCATCTTCCTGTTAGGAACACAGTCGCAATCATGGCCGCCGTCGAAAATGGCCACACTAACGGCCTGAATGGCCACAACTTGCCTTCGACGAGCTCTCTGTCTGCACTGCGCTTCTCGGATATTCCCGATGCCATTGATATTCCTGCCTCCAGCTTCGACAGCGAAGTCGAAGTCAGCCTCCTCGATCTCCCCGAAGACCCGACCGAACTGTGCACCCTGTTAGAAAATGAACGAGCTGCAAAGAATTTCTGGGTAATTATTGCGCTCGCTTACGCGAAACAAAAACAGATTGATCGTGCTATCGATATCCTCAATAAAGGCCTCGCGTCCGTCGCCCACGGCGCTAACAAGGAAAAGCTCGGACTTCTGGGTTGGATCTGCTGGTTGCAGATGCTGAAGGAACGGCAAGCCCCCCGTGTAGCCTCTGAGGGAGAACTATACTCGGAAGCTAAGATCAAGGACCACTATATCCAGCTGATCACTTCAACCTTGAACGAGGCCTCGCGAATCAATCCCTCCTATCCACCTCTTTTCCTGGCGCGTGGTGTCCTGTCTCTTCTTCGAGCATCTCTCTATGCGCCTCGAGCTGTTCAGCTAGGCTCTATTGATACCTCAGAGCGAGCAACATCTCTGCGGCAAGCAGTCCAATCCTTTGAGGAATCTTCCAGATACTCTCGTGGCCGAAATATCATGGCCATCATGGGACTTGCTCGTGCAAAATACATGCAGGGCAAGTATGCGGAATCTTTGGAAGGGTATCAGAAGGTTTTGATGCAAATGCCGTCCCTCACAGACCCCGATCCTCGAATTGGCTTGGGATGCTGCTTGTGGCAGCTTGGCTTCAAAGATCAAGCCAAGGTAGCTTGGGAAAGATCCTTGTCATTGGTATGTCTTAGTTGCTTTTCCAATAAATCTAAATCTAACTTTTTCAAAGAATCCCGAGTCTAAGGTTGCAAACGTCCTGCTTTCGGTCTACCATCTTTACCATAGCTCTCGCCAACCGTTGACTGATCCATCGTTTGGCTCTCTGTATCATGAAGCCATAACTAAATACAACGAAAAGGCATACAGATTGGACAGGGATTATCCCATGACATGCGCAATCTCTGCTGGTTACTTTCTTGAACGCAATGCCTACCCCGCCGTTGAAACCCTCGCTCGCAAAGCCATTGAAAATACGGATGTCATGGCTATTGCTAGTGATGGCTGGTACCTTCGTGGCCGGAAAGCGCACTATGAGGGCGATCCTCTTGCTACTGAGTTCTACAATCGTTCAGATCTAGCCCGTGGTGGTGTCGACAAGGGGTATTTCCCAGCCAAATTCGCTGCTGTACAGCTGCAGATCGCAAACAAGGATTTAGATGGTGCCAAGTTCCGACTAGAAAAGATTGTCCAGAACTCTAAAAGACCTGAGGCAATGATGCTGTTAGCAGCGCTTCTTGCAGAAGACGTTTTTGCTGCTCAGCGATCTGGGAGTAAAGAGGACAAGTCAACCGAAGCGAGTCGGGCCATTAGCCTGTTGGAATCGGTACGCTCGATGTGGAAGGATGAAAAGCGGCAGGTGGTTCCAGACGAATCAGTCCTGATATACCTATCTCGTCTATATGAGACCACAGCCCCCGATAAGAGCATGCAGTGCTTGACCCAACTGGAGCAGATTCAGATCGACTGTATCCCTAAGGGTGCTCGCCCCGAAGGCATCGAAAGCGAGGAGGAGATGAGGACTGCACTTCGAGAGCTCCTTCCGCCTCAACTTCTAAATAACATGGGCTGCTTCCTGTATCAAAATGACAACATCGCCTTGGCTCGTGGCATGTTCCAGTCCGCACTCAATGCTAATGATAAGTCAGAGCGAGATGACAAAGACTCGCTTCGTATTACTATCACATACAATTTGGGCCGAACTTTCGAGGCTGCAGACATGATGGATGAAGCCAAGCAGGCCTATGAGAGTATTTTGGAACAGCACAGCGACTACACGGAAGCCAGTGCCCGGCTAACCTACATTGCTCTCCGTCAGAGCCCTACAGATGAAGGACCCAAGAAGATGGCTAAACTGTACGAGACAGATTCATCCAACTTGGAAGTGCGCGCTCTCTTCGGTTGGTATCTCAGCAAATCCAAGAAGCGTGTGGCGAACCTTGCAGAGGACCCCGAGCAGCGCCACTTCAAGCACACTCTGCAATACCATGACAAGCACGATCGCTATGCTCTGACTGGAATGGGTAACGTGCACCTCATGTCGGCCCGTGACATGCGCCGCGACACCGACCAGGAGAAGGAAAAACGTCGAAAGATCTATCAGCGTGCGGTAGAATTTTTCGACAAGGCTTTGCAATTAGATCCTCAAAATGCTTATGCCGCCCAAGGCATTGCCATTGCTCTTGTGGATGACAAAAAAGATTTTGCCACCGCTCTACAGATTCTCACCAGGGTCCGAGAGACAGTGAAGGATCCTAGTGTTTATCTCAACCTGGGACATGTCTACGGCGAGCAACGGCAGTATTCACGAGCTATTGAAAACTACGAGGCCGCTCTGTCTAAGGACCGCGCCCGGGATGTGCAGATTTTGGCCTGTCTCGGTCGTGTATGGTGGCTCAAGGCGAAGCAAGAGATGAATATGATGGGTATGAAGACTGCCTTGGACTACGCACTGCGGGCACTGTCAGTCTCTCCTGATCAGCTGCATCTACAATTCAACGTGGCTTTCGTACAGAACCAGATCGCATCACTGGCATACGGTTTGAAGGAAACTCAAAAGACATCTCAAGATGTACAGGAGGCGGCTGATGGCCTCAAAGAAGCCATCGAGACCTTCGAGCGTCTGTCCAAGGAGAAAAAAACCCCCTTACCCCAGCGCTGCTCTTGAGCAACGTGCCAACATGGGTCGTACCATCAGCAAGCAACTGGACCGTGCCATGCAGAGCCAAACAGAGTATGAGGAGAAGAACGCGACCAAACTGCGCGAGGCACGCGAGATCCGGGATGCAGCCATAAAAGTGCGCGAGGAAGAGCTGCGCAAAGCCCAGGAAGCCGAACTCGAACGCAAGCGAAAGCTGGCAAAGGAGCGAGAGCAGATGCTCGAAGAGACTCAACAACTTGCTAGAGACCGCGCCGAAGCCGAGCGTGCCCGTGAATTAGCCGAGCTCACCGAAGACTCCGAGACTGGAGAAAAGGTCAAGCGCAAGAAGAGGGCTTCTACCAAGCGCAAGAAGAAGGACGATGACTTCATTGCAGATGAGGAGCACGAGCAAGAACGTGATCAAGAGCGTGATCAAGGCAGTGCTGAGCCGGAGAGCGACACCGAAGCACCGAAGAAGAAGCGTCGTCTGGAGCGTCGCTCTACGGCCGGAACTGGGAAATTCAAGAGCAATGAGCGCGTTGTTGATTCTGATTCGGATGAGGGTGCTGATCCTGAGACCAGCCAGCCTAGCCGCTCTACTGGAAAATTCAAGAGCAATGAGCGCGTTATTGAGTCTGACTCGGATGAGGAGTAGGGAGGTCAGGTTGGTAGTTCACTGTGCTATTAATTCATCTTATGAAATGTAAAATCATTATCATCACATCTTTACTTCCTTTTTCCTTTCCTTCATTAGTTTGTCCTGATGTAGTATTTGTTATATGGGATATTACAGTAGTAGGTTTCCTCTCCTCCCCTTGCCCCTCCTTACCAGCGGCTAAATATCTAAATATGACTCCCAAGACATTTGACAGTACGTCCTTCAAGTCAGAGCTCCATAAGGACATATTTGGACATATTTGTATTGAAATATCTAAAGAGGGACCATCGGAGGTAAAGAGACCTCAGAAAAAGGAAGAGCAAATGAAGAACATTTAAGGAGAGCGAAGAATTCTACTTGCCCTTTGACCAATCTTCAATGTACATCCTTTACCTACGTCTTCCGAGATCTATCTGCTCTTCTACTATTTGTATAATATCTGGTTTTCTTGAATAGTGTAACAGGGTAGATAGGCAAACAAAACATTGAATGTAGCCTGACGTCGTAACATGGGATCATCTGAAAGTAAATAGTAAACAAGATTGTCAAAAACGAGCCCGCTTAGACGTGGCATTTAATCCTTGAAGAGGAAGGGTGGCGTAGCGCCACGGCTCTCCGCGAAAGCCAGAATGGCAAGAAGAATAGCAAGGAAAGCAAGGAGGAGGGCAAGGAGGTAGTAGATGAGTTCCATAGTCTCGGATGTACCTGGGAGACTTAGAGTGTATCGCGCCGTACGCGAGGAGGCAGGGAATGGGCAGAGTGGGAGAGTGTGGATGACAACAGTGTTGCCCATGCTGACAGAGGCTAGTTTGACCTTTTGCGGGAGCACTTCTGGAGTAATGGGGTGTGCAGGCGGAGTAAATACTGAGAAGCATAGCTTCGTCATAGAAAACGGGTGCACGTCACGGAGGGTGGTGTAGGGACGGATCTTGCCATAGCTGCTATTAGGCCCATAGTCAAGTGTCCAGAGTGAGATGGAGTGGTCACTACCGCTGGCAGCGATGATGGTTTGCTGCTGGCCTTGCTCATTTGTGCCTAGTGGGCAGATATCAAGGCCTAGACCTATCTTCACACTTCGGGGAAGCTTGCGCCGACGAATAATCTGCCCTTCGGTTTCCTGGCCCGTTGGCAGTTGGAGGAGAACCAGCTCGCTTCCGCTGCGGTTGGGTGCATTTTGCAAGAGGAGGATGACAGTAGGTGAGAGGAAGCGTAGTGCTCGGAACTTGGGACGGGAAAGATGGGCTCCGCTGGTGGGTAGGGGCACTTTGTACACAGTCTTGACATCTGGTGCAGCGTTAGACCGGGTTGAAGATGAGATATAACCGACTACCACGTCCAAGCCGGTAGTATATGCTATGCGGAACCGGCCTTTGGTCGCATCCTCGGGATCATCAAGACTGAAAAGGTCCACATCTTCTGCTTCTTCATTGTCACCGAGACGAATGCGGCCAATAACTTCAGAGCCAGAGCAATTGGATGACTTTGTTGCATCGAAGAAAACCACCTCGCCAGACGGCGCAAGTCCTGTCGCAATGGCACCGACTCTTGTGGCTTTGTTACTCTTTTCGGAGATCTGCTTCTTCCACGGCGACAACTTCAACACTCGTTGATAGGTATCGCCTGAGCCCTTACCATCCTTAGATCGAAAAATGGATGCTTGGTTTAATGCGGTTGCTTTCCCAGGAATGATATCTTCCTGCCCTCCCGCTTTTGTATCTGTATCTGTTGAATTGGTCGTAGTAAGGGCTTTGTTTTTCCGCGGAGCTTCAAATCGAAAAGACCGCAAGTGCTGGTTGTTGTTCTTCTTTTGTTCTGCAGCAGAGCTATTGATACCAGCCAAGATAACTAACGCGTTCTCGTCATCGTCAGCCTGCGGCGCGGCCACAAGCGACGTCACCGAGTCCTCATCGCGTGATAGGCTCAGCTCGACAGCTTCTGTAACTTTATTGCGATTCGATGTGTCTAGGAGATACTGGATTCAAGCCGAAGAGGTTAGAGAGCTGTAATTAGCGTGAGAAGGAACTGGGAACGCGCTTACGATCTTGTTTCCTACTCCGTGGCGGCCCTCTCCGCCTCCGCCGCCAACAAGCAAACGTTCATTATTCCGTGGGTCAAAATCCGCTGAGAACAGCGGACAAGAGAGGGTTACCTTTGCCTCGTGGACCGTGGGTGCCATTATGGAGGATATCTTGATCTCTTTGAAGGAATGGAAGAGGCCAGATGGGTTGTGGTCTGCCCCGGATTCTTGGCGCGGGCCGGATTGGGTCAGCGGAGCTTGGTTAAGTATGGAGTAAAATACGTATAAAGTACTCTACTGTGCTACCTAAGTGAGTTCTAAAGATAAATTATGTAGAACAAAGTAGAAAGGTGTATGGTATTTTTAACAAGTCCACAGTATCTCAAATCTACTCGACCTCTTGGCCGGTAAATTCTGGAAGACGCTTGAGAATATCTTGCCAGGTCTCATCGCCATCAACAAGCGACTTCACAGCTTGCAAGATCTCGTCCTCGCTGGCTCGGACCTGCTTGGTGGTATCACGATCGCGGAGAGTGAAAGTGTTATCCTGGACAGACTGGAAGTCGACGGTAATACCGAAGGGTGTACCCAACTCGTCGTTACGAGAGTAGCGCTTGCCAATACTGGCAGATGAGTCATCTACACGGTTGGAAACACCCAGGCGGCGCAGTTTGGAGCTAATCTGTTGAGTGTAAGGCTTGAAGGCGGCGTTGGTGGAGAGCGGAACTAGCAACACCTTAGTGGGGGCGATAGCAGGGGGGAAAGAAAGAACCTAGGAGAGTGTTAATATGTCAGGGCTCTATACTGTTGGGAAAGGAAAACATACACCACGGGCCTCGTCACCTTCGCGGGACCAGTAGTTGTGTTCGATCATGCAGTACATGATACGACCGATACCAAATGAAGGTTCAATGACATTGGGGGTGTACTCGCGGACGTTGTCGATGCGGGTGCGTTTCTCAATAGTGATCAGGTCCTTCTCCAGCTCAACCTTGCCAGATCCAACACCAGCGACATCAACCTCGATCTTGCCGTTGGAAGTAAGATCGAGAGAGAGCTTCTCGCGCAGCTCCTGCGAAAGAGCATCGATAGCTGACTCAACAGTCTTGGCGTCCTTCTTGAAACGAGGGCCGAACTTCTTCTTGTTGAGGTCGACCTGCCACTCCTCAATACGTAGGGGCTCAGCACGGGTCTCACGAACCACAAGAGGGGCACCAGTCTTGTTCTTGTGTACAGTTAGATCGTAGGCACTGCGATCAGCGCAGCCAACACACTCGATCCAGCCGTAGCTGCTCTGCAGCTCAGCATCCCAACAGTCCTGAGCGTAGTGAGCCATCTCGTTGGCCATGTGCTGACGGAAGCGCAGCTTGTTGAAGTCGATACCAAGCTTAAGCAGGAAGAGCTGGATACGTCCCATGAAGTAACCAAGGGTCTCATTGTCCACCAGACCAGTCTCGACGGCCTTGCCGATGGTCATTTTAGTGGTCTTGGTGCTGCCAGATAGCTGCACATTGCGGTCAAGCAGGGTCATTTCAATGTCCTTAACCTCCGCAAAACGGGGGTGCTTCTTGCCACCCTCAGGGTCGACGTAGTGCTCGATCTCAGCCATGAGGAACTCACGCACACGTAACAGACCAGCACGAGGAGAAATTTCGTTACGGAAGGACTTGCCAATGGAGGCAGAGGCAAAGGGCATGCTCTGCTGGTTGAACTCGAGCAACTTGGCAAAGTTGAGGAATTGACCCTGGGCGGTCTCAGGGCGCAGGTATCCGGGCATGTTGCTGCTGGGGCCGATGGCGGTCTGGAACATGAGGTTGAAAGAAACGGGAGGGTTGACGACTCCGTCGGTGGAAGGGTTGCGGATGTCATACTTCTTGATGATCGCCTCAAGCTCGGGGCCACCAAAGTTGTCGATCTGGGCGAGAGTCTCCTCAATCTCCTTCACGACAGCATCATCCAACTTCACAGCCTTGCTCTCCTTGCTCTTCTTCTTCTTCTTGGCCTCCTTCTCTGCGTCGACCACGACTTTTTGACCGCGCGCTTCCTTGTCACCCTTCAGACGAGACTCCAGAACCTCCTCAACCAAGTGATCAGCACGGAGGATCTCACCAGTCTTAGGATCCTTACACATCCAGTCGGCAAACTTATCCACGTGCCCGCTGGTCTTGAAGACATCGTGGGGGGTAAGCATAGTGCAGTCAACCTCAAGCATGTCCTCCTCCAGCACGAAGTGCTTGCGCCACAAGTCAGTCATATTGGCGACGAGGGCGGTTCCTGGTGGACCATAATCATATAGACCAGACACACCACCATAAATCTCGAAGGAGGGGGTATAGAACATGCGTCGGCGGAGCATCGACTCCAGGACGGCACGGTCGACATCCTGGCCGGTCTTAGTGCTGACGGTGGCCATCTTGGGATTTCGTTTGGACGGCTTCTTGGGCGCGGTCGAACAGGTGAAAGTCCTTAGGAGAGTAGGAGGGGAAAGAAAAGAGCGGGGGAAAAGTCGCGGCAGCAATTGAGTCATTCAAACCCACTAACAGGCCCTTTGGACACAACACAAGAGAAGAACAAAGGGATTATTGATATCAATGGAGAGAATGGAAGTAATTTCAGACCCTTTTTTCCCTCTCGACTCAATTTTATTCTATTTCAATTTGTCCTTATCGAATGATATCAAAATCATTGTTGTCCGGGCATCTAAACACGGGGAATCAATTATCCGAGATAATAATTTATTTTCTGCCATATCTGCGACAAGAAGATCAACGATTATCTTCCTCCACTTCACTACAAAATGGGCATGAAAGGTATTGGCAGACCTCCCCCGGGGCAGGCCTTGAGGCCAGCAAGCCTAAAAATAAGTTGCGCCGGAAAATGATGCATATTAAGCGCAAGAGAGAGAAGGACTCAGCACGCCGAGAAGAGCGCTACGCATTCAAGAAGGAAGAAGCCAAGAACCCCAGACTAAAGGAGGAGCGACTTCGTCGCAATGTTCCCCTTACTCTTGACCGGAAACGTGTTTGGGATGATGCCGACAGTGATGCCGAGGAGACTGGCCTTGGTCTTAGCGTAGATGTCGAACGAATCAAGCGGGCTAAGCAGGAAGAAGAGGACGAGCTGAACCGGCCTTTGGAGGACGGCGAAGATGATAGTGAAGCTGGAAATTCCGATAATGAATCCGTCGACAGCATGATCGCCTCGAGTGACGACGAAGACGACGAGAAAGAAAAAGACGATGAGGATGAGGACTCGGGCCGCGGGCGAAAGAAAGCCTCTTCGCTGCCCACTGCCACCGAACGCGCCACCAGCCCGTCACAATCTACTCGCAGTACAAACCTCAATCTTGCACCAGAGGCATTAGCTGCAAAATTTCCTACGCTTTTCACGTCCGAGGCACCACCCACCCCCAAAATTCTCGTCACCACATCTATCAACTCGACACTCCACAACGAAGCCGAAATTCTCACAGACCTTTTCCCTAACAGTGTCTATATTCGACGTACTGCACACCGCTACTCGCACAAGTTTTCCATTCGCGAGATCTCCAAGTTCGCCGCAAATCGCAATTACACAGCAGTCGTCATAATGAAAGAGGACCAGAAAAAGCCAACCGGCCTGACAATAGTGCACTTACCTATTGGCCCAACATTCCACTTTTCAATCAGCAATTGGCTTGAGGGAAAGCGCCTGCCAGGTCACGGTCGAGCAACGGGCCACTGGCCTGAACTTATCTTGAACAATTTCCGCACACCACTCGGTTTGTTATCAGCGCATATGTTCCGCACACTTTTCCCCCCGCAGCCAAATTTTGAAGGGCGGCAGGTCGTTACATTGCACAATCAGCGTGATTACATCTTCGTGCGTCGCCACCGATATGTCTTCCGCGAGAAGCGGGAGACAGAGAAGGCGGTTGTTGGTGCAGATGGCAAAGAAATGGAGGGTGCGCAAGGGATTCGCACTGGTTTGCAAGAACTGGGACCGCGATTCACCTTGAAGTTACGTCGTGTGGATAAGGGTATCCAGCGGGGTAGTGGACAGGAGTGGGAGTGGGAGGGTGGAATGGAGAAAGTGCGTACAAAGTTCCAGCTTTAGCTTTTTGTCATTTTGCATGGGGTTTTGGGGAATATCAAAAAGCAAATCTTGTTTTTTTATGGGAATTTTACTTCGTGAATTTAGTATAGACACCACTCATGGTATCCTTATACAAGTAGGACCTTATCTGTAACATCGGTAACCCTTCCAAGGTTGGAGGGACTTAAATGCAACGAATTCGCTATAATCAATTTGACATCCAAAGTCCACGCCTTGGTTGCATGCATATAATACATGTGAATCCTATTCTTCTGCTCTACCCACACCCTCATTCTCTAGATGAAATCTCCTAGCTCTTTGCATCGCCCTAGCCATAAGCTCGTCTCTCTTCGACATCGGCGGAGCCGGCTTTCTTCCCATAACAATGAGCAAAGAAGCAGTCAACTGATCAACACCCAGGACCTCCATCTTAACATTCTCACACAGCTCCTGTACTTTCTCAGCAGACCAGCCACAAGAAGTAAGGGGTCGCAAAGCATGAGCCTCAAGTCCCTCCAGCAGCGCAATGAGCGCCATTTTCCCCAGTGTTTTCTCGTGAATATCATTTGGCCATAGACCAATAGGTACCGTGCGTTCGGTGACTTTAATATCCACGAACCCTGCTTCTGCGAGTGTATCTGTTTCTAGGTGGTTCTGGTCTCGGGGGTATCCTGCTTCGTTCGCTGCTGAGAGGAGGTTTTGGGCATAGACGTGTAGGTAGGAGTCTGTCTTTATATCTGTGTATGATATTATATCTGCGGCTGGGTCTGCGTCTGCGATTTGAATGTATCCACCTGGCTTGAGGTGAGCAAAAGCTTCTTTGTAGATGGCTGACCAGTCTTTGAAAGCACCCGAAAGACCACGGATGTGGATGAGGTCGAATGGCTCATCGTAAGTCCAGGGGGAGCTAGCATTGACGAGCTGAAACTCGACATTTGGGAGAGACACGTGAGCTAGACCTGAGTCGAAGACGCCTATGTCTGAGGCGATGATCTTTGCGTTTGGATATTCAGCACTCATCTCAATGGCCCAGTCCCCTGGTCCTGTGCCAATGTCGAGAATGCGCGGCGAGGGCATGCTTAATGGGGCTAGAGTGAGATGGCCACCTTGCAGAATGAGATATATCTGGTGCATGATGTTGAGTCTAGTCAGTTCCGGCTCGTCATTGGGCATATAATAGGAAGTATCGCAGTATCCGCGGCCGTTTTCTTCGATATGGGGAATGTTGTATAACCGGGTTGATCTCCTTGTGAGTGTGAGCCTTGCGAGTCTTGAAAATGTAATACTTCTTCTGAATCACAATGATTAGACTTACAATGATGTCTCACAGTCAGAATCACTGTCTAGGTCATCTGAACTGCTCGCCTGCAATCGCTCTTGATCCTCGTTCAAGGAGTCTTCGCGAGCATTAGATGGGCCGGCGTCTGCCTCAATTGATGGCATGAGTTTGTCATCCATAGCATATAGTTTTAAAAGACCCAGACAAGCTTGTACAGTTGTCGAACCTGATACTCTGTCGGAACCAACTAACAAAATGGAGTATAAATGTGAAAGCGGGCAGAGAGGACACAAATTTCAGCTCACAACCACTGCGTAGCTTCAATCACACAACTCCCATGTAACAATCTTGTCAAGATAGCAGATACAAAATAGACAAGCAATCTTCAGACACCTGGTTAAGAGTAGGTTCCGAGTTCTGACGGATTTAGTGGGGAATCCCGACAGTCCGGACACAGATACGCCACATGTAGAGTAAGAAATGGAAAGGAAAAAAAAGAAATTCCCGGGAATTGAGAGAAATGATATATCTGTCGACCCAAGCTATCGGGTATAGGGGGGCTGGGATACCCCAAGCTTGGTTAGGAAGGAGAGTAGTACATATCATACAAAAGGGGGGAAGCGCTGCGGAGACTTGACCAGGTAGTTGGGTCAAAAACCAACAACCGAACCGACACTGTGGGAATTTAGGATGTAAAAGGAGTGCGCCGGGCACTAAATAAGTATTACAATTAGTTGCTAACTATGAACTGTTCCCACTGTGCGGGAAGGAGCAATAGCTAGACTTCGACAACAGGAAGTGGGGAGGTTACATGTATTTGATGATACCAATTTACATAGTACGGAAAGCAAGCAGTACGTACGTATTATCATATTCATCAATTGTGAATTGGGCAGCTTGTGTACTTTGGCCAGTACGGAAAGCAAGACATCTGATCCTATGTCTTTTCTTTTCCGGTTTCATAGATGAGATTGGATGTCGGGATCCCCGGCCTATACAAAAGGACCCGACAGAGTGGTACGACAATGTACTTATGCGCCGTATACACAATAGGTAATAGGTCTGATCATAGATCTAGAATGACTATTTCTATAGGAGAAACCAATTTATTAAGCGAAGGCATATTTACATGGTTATGACAAATTCATATGGTTAAGTTCATTTTGCGGCAGATGTCGATATTAACCCTAATTCAACCCTATGGGGCTGAAGTCACGGCCACTAGGTAATTTTCAAGTGGGATCCATGGTTTTTACTAGGCCTTAAATAAAGCCCTTCCGAGGGTTGAGGGAAATATTTCTAAAATATTTCAAATCGAGAAAGTCTCAGGGGGACCTTGGAATAGGGATCAGAGCAAACATAGTTGCATTGGAAGGGAAGAGTGATCTACTATAAAGGTCCACGGGTGAGACTAGCCCACAACAATATCAGAACCGAATCTTCGGAGTATGGACCCTCTTGGGATTCTGAATTCTTATTTCTAATTTCTAAAATAATCCCAAATCCCAAATCCCAAAAATCCCCAAAAGTCCCAAACCCCATACGGTCCCACAGTCCGTGCGAGAAACCCGACAGTTTGGGCCCATCCTGCACGGAAAAGGAGAATCTTTCCGTTTAAAGGAAAGCCCGAAAGTCACGAGACCGTTCCAGAATTTCTAATTCGAGGTTATTATATCCGTAACTACGGAGTATACAGAGAATACTACGTCTTTTTATGCGAATGCAATGGCGTCCCCACCAAAACGCCTCCTCTTTATTGCTTCGATCGGTAATCCAAAGCCATACCGTCGAACGCGCCACAGTGCCGGTCATCTCCTTCTTGATGTCGTTGCTCCTCTTCTCAAAGCCCGCTATGACACATCACAAACACTCTACACAACATGGTACAGCCCATCATACATGAACGAGTCTGGGCCTAAACTAGTGCGCCAAATGACAAGATGGCTCGCCACGCAAGACTCCAATATTCTCAGCTCTATCACATTAGTAATACTGCATGATGAACTCGAAGCAGCGCCGGGGAAGGTGCGCGTGAAGCGAGGCGGACCTGAGATTGCGAGTCTGCGAGGCCATCGAGGGTTGATTAGTATTTTTGAGACGCTGCGCGGTAAAGGACTATATCCGCCTCGAGAGCAGAATTCAAAACGCCGGAATAGTACCACCACGCAGGAACTCTCTATTTTGAGGATTGGAATTGGGATTGGGAGACCTGAGAGTCGGGAGAAGAACGCTGTGGCGGATTATGTTCTGTCTGAGATGAATGCTTGGGAACTAGGGGCCGTGGAAAGGGCTGCGGAGCCGGTAATGAAGGCCATGGATGAAGAGATGTGTCGAAGTGATATTGACTTATGATTATCGTTTTACCTGTTACGTACCTATATGAGCCTGGAGTTACCGGTTTGTATTGCATTTGCATTTGCATTGTACCTGATAGGATCTTGAAAGGGTTGGAGACTTGGATTTGAAATAGTCAGGCATATTAGAACTTGATAAACAAACGACCACACAAATGACCACGACCTTTAGTCGGCAGGCGAAGGAATGAAAGACGCTCTTATCAAGGCTAAATTCTAGCAGTCGATTAGGAAAGCGCCTTTGCAATATCTTACTACTCCCAGGGGAGTTTCATGAAATTCCTAGATACTTGTGAACCTATTTCCGGCGACTATCTAGGTATAGAATAATCGAAACAGCTTCGTATTCTATCTCCAATGTGCGCGAGAAGGCGTAGCCTCAATATCCACATTCGTAACCGAACTTCATCGTGTATTCGGTGTCTGGGGGTCCTGTAAGCGAAGTAAAAAGATTAGGAATCGGGAATAAGAATATGAGAATTGTAGCAAGAGACAGGAGAAGTCAAGGAGGGAAGATGGAGAAAAGAGAGGGAGCAGGAAATATTCATAAGAGAATCCCTAGGCTCTCTATGAAAGTGGGCCTTACGTTTAAGTGATCGAGAATTGATAGAGGAGTGAGGGTTTTTAAATGCCGTACATACGCTAAATGAAATTGCTTCCGATTAAGATGAATTTGATTAAACTGCTAGGGAACTGTCAAGTCAAGTGTACTGAGGCCCTAACCCGTTGAACCTCGCTGAAGTGGGAGTACACACGATTATTGAAGCGTAGCTTAAGCATTGCATCATCAATTCAAACAGGTATCATAACTAGGAACGAAGTGAACTGATGATTAAAAAGGGTTAGGTGGCTCTCAATGCTTTGCTGTGTCCTGCAATAAAATCAAATAGTTATGTGACGACAACTGAAAGTATCAAGTGGAATTATGCTATCGGATGCATATTTTGACGATGTTCTTTCTTTGTGTAGGTAGGTGTAGCAGCTTTTGGCGGGTTTGGAAATTGAATGTGAAATGAATGCAATTTGAATGCAGTCTGAATATGGACTGAAAATGATCGTTGCAGCAGCCGACCCTAGACCTGCCATAGCCGTTGTTTAGTGATTTCATAGTAATTAGATGAAACATGTCATGTTAGGTTGCTCCGCGGGGTACGCGAACCTGTCAAAAAATGGAAGGAAATTGAAAAGAAAGAGTGAGGCCTTACAAAGGCAACATGCTATTATGCGCTAAAATGTCCATATGAGAAGTACAATAAGAATAAACAGACAACAAACCTGCGCCTCAAACAGTACCAGCAATACTTAGGTCACGGATCTCCTGTAGCACTTCCTCAACCCGGTTATCCAAGTCACCCCGAGCATACTGGTCTCTTGTCTCAGCATCAAGGTATTGCTGTACTTGAGCCATACGTGAGTATGCCTCCGCACAGAAACGCAGCTGGATCTTGACAAGAGCCTCGAAGCTAGGATCAAGATAGGGAACACGTAGGTCAATAAGTTGGGGCAACTCGGTGAAAAGCTGATCGTTTAGAGTCTCGTAGGCCTGTTTGGCAATTTCAGCTTCCCGTTCTGTGCGAGGCAGCTTTGTGACGTCCTTGTCAGGCTTCTCGACAAGCTTCTTGACCTTGGCACGCATAGCGTCATAATCGAGGAGTTTGTGGTTGCGTTTTTTGATACACTCGTTCACATCGGGAAAGTAGGCACAGAAGCGATTGATAGGATCGAGGACAGTGGCTCTGTATGAATGATGCTTAGTTCGGCTCTGACCTCAGAGGTTATGGCGCAAGCATACCGGTATGGGCCATCTAGAGCCTTGATAGTTTCTGTATCTAGGTCCTCCACAGCTTGCTTATAGCTTCGGCTGACACCATCCTGGGTGCCGGCATCACCATAAAAGGCGTCAATGGTTTCAGCAATGCGCATTTGGGATGCAGTCATGGCTATAAGTCCGGTCAGTTCCATGTTTATTCTTAGAAATTTCCTGTCCAAAAGGCATACCTCGCAACGAGTCCAAGTATCCCTTGGCCTCCTTTGCCAGTCGGTTTGCAGCAGTCTCCATCACCCGGTATCGTCTGCAATCGAGTATCAGCTATTCTGTTGATGACTCAAAACTGCGATATATCAAGACTGCAACATACCGTTCCTCGATCTCGTAGTCTCGGTCATTTGTTCGTTCAACATGACCTATCATTGCATCAGTGACATGTTCTTCAACTCCGGTGGCATCCACAGTTGGTGTTGGGCATCGTCAAACTCGTCAAACTTGACTCGACAGGGTGAAGCACAAACTTACCGGTCTTCATCATTACCTGCGTCGTCGCACGGTTGACATTTTTCTTAAACCCTAATAACTCAAAGACATCATGAGTATACATCCATCGTTTAACCCAGGAGAGGCGGGGTTTGAATTTGAATTTGAATGGGGGCTAACATACCTGCCCAAGACATGACGGCTGAATTTGTGTGGATTTGGAATTTCCAATCAAATTAGATGAAAGTTGAATATTAATAAGAGAGATTGAGAAAGTATTGCGAAAGTCAGAATCGGCGGGGTTTTATTCAGGTTAAAGTCGATGAAGTCTGTCTGCCTTAAGCTGTGGCGGTGTTGGTGGCTTGATTACATAATAAACTCCGAATGCGGTTACGTCATTAAGGCTGAACTATTCTTAACTTCATTGAAAACAAAAGGTTTAGATTAGACTATTTGAAGGAATCAGAACCAAAAAAAAAAAAAAAGAGCAAAAAAAATTCACCAAAGTGGGAATTGATCCCAAGATCTTGTTTGGCCATAGCAAAAACAAAATGGGAAATAAATTCACCAGCAAAACCTCTGCTTGCGACTTTTTCTCGAAGCCGCAAGATAACCTCCAACTTGACGAGGGAACTCAATTATACCCAACTTATTAAATCTTTCATAAATTTATGGAAATATAGCTAATTGTTTTATCACAGGGAAAAAATATTCGAACACTTTCGCTGGAGTTGATGGACACTTTTCTCATCATCCTCGGGCAGGATCGACTTGGGCCCGCTTACACACTTTCAGCTACTTGTGAACTCCTCTCCTGATAGAGGACCCTTTTGTCCCTGGATTGGGGTCTCGCAAACGTCCCTGGTTGCCAGACATGCAAAGTTCATGAATAACCAGGTAAGCTACTCGGGGAATTTGGCTGAAAGTTGACCCAAATTTGATTATTTATGATCATATAAATTATTCCCTAGTAATTGTTAGTTTCTTCCACGCTTTGCTTATTGGTTTTGATGGGGGATAATCTTATTCTACTTCTGTCTACCTAAAATTAATACCATATCATCAACCCATCAATTGATGCCTACCTATACTCCACAAACCATGCTATGAACTAAACACCAACACTCGCCGAAATCGAAGACTTGTGATATCCAAATACCGCTTTCAGCTCTCTCTATAGCCCACCAAAATGCTTTGTAATGAACCGATACTCTCAACCTATAACCAGTTAGTATACTCAATAGCTTGTGGAAAATCCAAACTTACCACAGGATACGCAACACAAATCACAGCACTAACCCATATCAATATGAATGAAACAACTACCTATCCTACGAATAATAGTTTGCTATAGATATAGCTTGTGCCGAAAGGGTGAGCGGGACCAAGACTAGCGCCCCAAAGAAGAAAATCGCGTTCGCGATCCAGGCAATTCGCTCGCTCTTTTTGGCAAGGACAGGGTGCTTGACTCGAGATACTCCACCAACTCATTTTTAATCGTTGATGTTTCTGCTGTTGTTGCAGGTAGACACTTGCTTTTATCTTTCTCGTCGTCCTTGGGAATTGTGTTTGCTCAAGGGTGGCAGTCGAAGGTTGAATGGATGTTGCGAGGGTCATGATAAATCCCATCCCAAAAGATACTAGACTCCCGGCCATTGCATTGGTAGTATCACCCGTTGAAGCCACATTGATAATACCATTGCGGTTCGAGGCTATGACATACCAAACAACTAATCCACATAAGAATCCGATCTAGCGCGCAACAATCGCGGCAACTGTGGACATTGGTTCCCATAATAGGATCAAGCCTAGGGAAGAGCTGCACCGCCGACTATAACACCCAGAACGGTGAGGATCCACGTCAGGCTGATGCCCGCCGCGTTCAGTATGCAGCAGAAAGCCGCCAAAAAAACTGCATAACAGGGAATAGTCCAATGGTTGACTTTAACTACCTCAGTGGAGCTAGTGTTTGGCCTCAAGTATGTCTTATAGACGTCAAAGGTCAACAAAGAAGATACTGCAATCAGCTCGGCTGAGGTGAAACTGGTGACTGCCATCAATAGTAGAATGAGCAGGAGCACGGCACCGCCTTTTCCAAGAAGGGTAATTGCTGTAGCTGGAGCAGATAGACCGGCATTCACCTGCTCGACAGTCAATGTATTTGGATAGGTCGGAAAGTGCGGGTTGCCCGTCAGAGCTATACACCCGAGGCCCATCACCGTGGAAAACCCGAGCAGAATCCTTACTTCGTCACGTCTTCGCTTGACTCATTGCACTTGAGAGTACTCACCATACCAAGCAATACCACCTAAGATGTACACCTTTACCGAGGTCTCGAGCTTTGAAGCTATAGCACGCTGCCAATACACCTGGTCCAGCCAGAAGGTAGTGAACCCAAGAGAATTACCCCAATTTTGCGTTGGGGCAAGTTGATAAGGGACCTCATCATTGCCTTATTGGATCATTCCAAGGCTGTTGCAGGGGCATGTCTCGTTCAAAGATAAAGCTATTAGGTTAATTGCCTGGTTGAGCCTAGATTGAAAAGGCCTTCGCAATTATTCGGTTTTGCTGCTGTTTCCTGAAGGCTCGAAGTGCTGTCTCCTAAATAAGCTAATCTTGAAATCTGAGACTTGCCAGTCCTTGGCGTTTCCCTTCCGTAGTAGTGCTCACCGATCTAGTCTACCAAAATACTGAAGTGGAGCGAGAAGAAGAACTCGGAACCAATCAAAACAAGTGAGTACCTAGATAGGTGCTTTTGTTGAGCTCCATAGCGAGGAATAGACTAGCCCAAAGTATTCAACTCAAGCTGTCATGTAAAGGCACGTCGTCTTCTTTTTTCATTTTCCCTTCTTCGATTCAATTGGGGTGTTTTTTGACTTGAGCACCCTAGCAGAACTTGAACTTAGCTGCCCTTGGTGGCCCATCTCGAATCCCTGTTTGTGGTGGTGGTTGCAGGACCAGCTTTTTCTGATGGCGGTCTCTGGACATCTTTGATCTCTTCATGGGAGCAGACGGCCGGTGATCCTGCATTCGAAAAGCGATTATCCTCCAGATTCTCCGGAGACATACTGGCGGCCGAGTATTCACATAGCTTACTGGTTCATCCAGCGCACTCCGCAGAATGTTCTTCAGTCCTGGAGGACAAATGGTTATGTGAAAAAGCCATAGTTCAACGGGTACGGGTCTATTTCTTTCTTTGTGATCGCTCCCCGGAACCATACAGCATCCCTAGAGTATTAGCGGAGCTGCAAAACGAGTTATAGGAGGAAACGGCTCTGGGATTCAGGGTGGGAAACCGATCTGTTCCTGGGAGGCATGAAGGCTACGGAGAATTGGTATTTCCAGGAGGTAGTTCAGGCATGAGCAAGAACATGGCATAATGATCGTGCTTCATAAAGATAAAACCCATTACGCTCTACCATTCAGCGGCATGGGTGCTACGGGCAGCCTTGTTGGAGCCTACATCTTGGCAGGCGAGATCAATCGAAACCCAGACAATGTGTCTCACGTATTTGCAAGATATGACAAGCCTTTGTGACCATTTGTGGATGAGATTCAAGAATTCATTTCTGATACTATCAGCAATGCCAACAACGCAATTGTCCATTTTATCGGGGGTCTGCTTTCTTCGAGCCCCCGATCTTGTGGCCAAGTACTCAAATTCGAATAAAGTTGCATGGATACTCAGGAAAGCGTTGGATACGATACAGTTGTCCCTTCCATTTTTCTCTTTATCAGGTGAAATCCCGGCTGCGTTCTTCAAAGTTTCTTGCTTTTAATTAATACGCTGGGATATCTAGGTACTCGATGATCCTAAGGCTAAACATGACTGTATTTTTCCACCGAATAATTACCTATGTAATTCATTCTCTGTATCCGTAGTTCATCCTTTTTTAGTTACAGTAATAGGTATTTACCTTCTACAGTACCAAATTCCCTATGTACCTGTCTAGGTAGCAGCGTTCGAACTACCACATCCGGGTAGTCTTCAGGGCTGTGAATGTACAGGTAGTCATCTTGACAATGCCAAGAAGCGAACGAGCGGAAGAAATCTGATATAACAAGAGTCTCAAGAGAAACCCCCATCTTCCGTGTTACTTCGTACACCGCATCCAATTCAATATTTTGTCGCTTGGCGCCGAGACAGAAATACAGGTGCCTAGAGACCCCTTACCCCTTATAGAGCTGAGTATAAATACGCCAAGAGGCTTGTTTAGCTAGGCTAGAAACTATGTCTAAGTCTTAAATATGGGGCTCAGTTCCGATTACAATTGTTATAATCTCTATATTCCGTACTATTTAGCTCCGTAGTTACTCCATACAGAGTATACGTCCGTATTCGAGTACTGTATCCATAGAGCAGGTAATATTAGTACTACGCTAGCACCTACATAAATACCTTATACCCTAGCTGTATTCGGGCGTAGTTTACCGGCTACATCTTGCCACAGCTCTAATGCTAAATGCTAAAGCCATGATGTCAGCCCACCGCAATGAGGGGTTGAAAGATTGATAAGCTATCATGAACTACTACTTCAAGCCCCGGACTGCAGTGGCGCATCTCGGTGATCATTGATCAGTGATCGGTGATCGGCATCGTAAGATGGTGATTTCAGTGCTGTAAGCGTGTGGGACTCGTGAGGCAATCTTGAACAAGGATACTGATGTCATACAGCGCATCGAGCGGAAGACGCGCATAACGGACTCCAGGTGGAGACGTGGATTTGTTTTAGGAAGGATTGACCGGGGTCATTTGACTAATGGAAACTGTGGTAGTATTGCATGAGTTCATGCAGAAGTTCCAAGGCTGAAAGTCGAGAAAACGAAAGTGTTCGTTGCCGGCAACTTGATCTTTCGGCTAAGACTATGTACAGAAGGTATCGGTCGTATCTTTGTACGGAGTCCGACAGAATAATAAAAGTAATAAAGTATCTAGGTACACAGAAGAGAAATTGGAAGTCAACATCCGATATAGCCTTGGCTGGGTTCTTGGCCGCAACCTTGAGATCGGAGTATAAAAATACAAAAAAAAAGATAGGAATGCTTTCGCCGCGCCAAAACTCCGCCATAACAGGGGTCCAGAGAACTATAAGAAAGGAAAGGGGTCGTCACTCTTCGTTGCATTTGACGTGGGAACATGAAAAAGAAAGCTAAGCGGTGGACGCATGCTGAGAAAGAGGATGTAACAAGGTGCGCCGGGAGTAAGAAAGGACAAAACAAAATAGGCCTCCGTTTTTCATAGAGGGGCATCCAAAGGACGAGTGCCTCTGTTTCTTTGGACGGATCTAAAAACACAGAACCACCCTAATATGCGAAAGCAGGGGACAAGAGAGAAAAAACAATGACAATCCCCTATTCCCTCAGGGTGGCCTTCCCTTCGGTCAACCCTTTTTTATCCATGTACCAATTAACGTGCAATTGGCCCTTTCTTCAATGTTAGAATCCTTCCTGGCCAGCCTTGCACAATTTTATCTGGCGAACCCATTCAGACTTGAGGACCTGAGAAGCATTGATACGGCGGGATGGATTTGGATCCAGGATGGAGTAGATAACGTTGCGGCAACGAGCCTGTTAGTTAATTAGTGTGTTTGTTCTCAAAGACGCGGCAGGAAAGGCAGTGCTTACCCGATGTAATGTCTCTATAGGCGCATAACCATCCTCATGCTTGCGCCCCTCCAAATATCGTTGGTAAAATTCGTCCTCGTCACTGCGGGCCACACGCCACAGATGACGTCCAGTGCGCATGGCCATGTATATGACTCCGGTGGCCCATAGGTCGACTGCTCTGGGGTCGAACTCCTTTTCGGTGTATTCCTCAGGGGCGATGTAAGGAGCAGATCCACAGAGACCGGCGGTCATGTGGGCTTCTTTTTCCCAAGCCATACGGAAGCACTCGCCATTTCCGAAATCGGTAATTTTTAGCGCACCGCGGGTTGTCAGTAATAGATTTTCGGGTTTCAAGTCACGGTGGGCGACACCCATTTCGTGCATATATTCGACACCACGCATCATTTGCTTGAAGAAACAGTCAGCTTCAGCAACTTCGAGCTTTCCTGCCGCAAGAACCAGTGTGTAGAGATCACCACCAGCGCAGTACTCCATAACCTCACAGTAGTCGCCCTTGGCATCTTGCAAGAGATCCAGCGTGTGGATTACATTCGGATGACGGAGGGAAGACGAGATACAAAACTCCGAGGTAAGTCGCTTTTGATATTTCTTTGCGGTTTCTTGCGGGCGACGACGGAACTCTTTGACAGCATACAGCTGTTCACACTTGGAATCTTGTGGGTCAACTTTATGCGAGATACGGACAATTCCAAAAGCACCACGGCCAACAATTTCTTGGCATTTGCCGTATTTATCGACTAGGGAGGCTGTGGCATTGGGGCCACCCTTTTTATCGGCAGCCAACTTATCCCGTTCAGTCTTGAACTGGTCAATCCAGGTGGACATGAGGGAAAGCTGCTGTTCATCGACTTGATCATCTTTCTTCCGTCCACCACCTAGCATATCACGCAGAAGATCTGTCAACTTTTCTTGCCGTCTGGCACTTCGCAGATTATGGGAGTGGGTGCCGACGTCCTCTGGGAGGACCTCGAATCGTTTATGTGGTGCAGCAGCACCATCTTTCTGCTCCTTGAGATTAGGTTTCTTCTTCTCTTTGTCGATGGGCTCGTTCTTCAAAGATCCTGGTCTAGACGGAGTCTGAGAAGAGGGTCTCGAGTTGGTTCTTGACACAGGTTTTGAGGTGGGCTTGGAGGTGGGCGGCTTTTCTTTTTGACTGGGGGTTTTGCTGGGTACATTGACACTTTCTTGACTGCTGTCTGAAAGATCACGTCGAATTTCATGGGTTTCTCTAACAGTATTTGTTTTTCCGTTACCGGTAAACATGCGAGAGAGGCGGGTGGCCATCTTCGGTCTAGTAGAAGAAGCCGGTTTAGGTGCAGGAGAGGAGGTAACGGATGGTACGTCTATATGCCCTTCTCCGTTTGCCACGGAAAGATTTAAGCCCGCAATGGCTCCTGTTACCGAGTGATCTCCATCTCGAAGCTCATGCGAATGTCTCGAGTTTGCCGTGGAGGAGAGAGCGGACGGAACAGGCGAAACCGAAAGCGGAGTCATGTGTGGATGGTCTTTTTTTAGGAGAAAGAAACACGTCGGTCCCCAGAAGAGAGGAGGGGAAACGAGCAGAGCTCGCACGAAGCTAAAAGCTACACGACTTGAGGTTTCTGTAGTATAATAATGAATAGGCTGAGAAGGAGAGGGAAGCAAGTGAGTGGGAAAAAAAGTATGGTCAGCCAGTTAATGCCTCAGGCAGAAACTGCAAAGTGACGACGGCCGGACCAGGGCTGTAATGGTAATTTTTAAAAAAAAAAAAAAAAAAAAAACAGGTTATGGAACTGGTCGGTAATAGCAGCTCACGCTTATCGTGTCAAAGGAAATATAAATAAGGTTCTTCTTTGTATAAAGAAAGACTCGAATGGATTGAGAGAGTTTGAGAGCGAGAAGAGAAAGAGAAAGAAGTAGAGAAATAAATGGCCTTGCGGGCAGGTTGAAATAAGAGATACCAGAAAGTGTGTACAGTACAACGTATGTGGGCATACCACATTTTCTTTCCTCATTTTCCAATTCCAATTTTTCTTGGATTATTAAGGCTGATTAAGGCCGGACACACCGCAACCGTGGTATTTTGGTATTTTGGTATTTTATCGCCGTAACGGCTGTTCTGTAAGCTTGGTAATCATATTTCCATATTTTTCTATTATTATTTTTCTCTTCTGCTGCTTTTCTGTTTCCATTTCCATTTCTTGATTCCGCGAAGTTCCTTTCAAAAATCCAGAACACTGTGTACGTAACAAGGGAGTGTGTACTATGAGAGATTTAATGATTGGAAGATTCTTGGAAGCCGCGCTGGGTCTTCACTATTCCGTGTTCGCAGCTAAGAAAGATTAAGCAATTCTCCCTCCGAAGTACCTAGCCGATCCGCCCCGATTATGACGTTCTAAACACACCGTCGGATCCTGTACCTTTCTTTCTTACTACTGTAAGTAAGATACCGTATATAAGTACCTGCTCTCTAACCTTAGAACTTGGAACTATACTACTCATTAATCATGATCTACTTCAATAGATACTCTTTTGGCCTAGAATTATACCAAGATTAGGGAACTATCCATCTTAGCTCAACCAAAGTGAGGCTGTGCACTTCTGCAGCTAATGATTCGATCGCTGCCCCGCATCATAGCAAGAGCCGATGTGCTGGGTAAATGGTGTGGCGTTCACAGTAGCTTGTTGCTTCAGGTGGGCTAACATCATCATTTGACCGGCCATATTTGTTCGTGGAACGAAGCACTACGGAGTAAACTCGCAAATTGCAATACGAAATACCCCGCTTCATTTAGGATCAGTCGAGGTATCTACCCAGATTGGAAAAGGGGGGAAGGATTGCTCAAGTAGGTTTCAGCCATGGAAATCTACCCAGGATCCACATGCTTCAATTTTTACCTTTTCTCTAATAGAAAGAGTACGGACAATTGGCCCTCGATTACAGATGAACATTGAACTGATTAATGATATTGAAGAGACAGCGGACAATCCCCGATGAAACGGAACCAAATACACATCTCCCCGTCGGGTCGTAGAAAGAGCGGGGCCGATATGGGGTGTTGGGTCACCAAACTGGATTAATCCTAACATGGAGTAGGCTCTCTCTACTGAGTAAGAATTCGGCTGCCTAACGTCATTTCAGCTCAATGGCACATGTGGCAGCTTTAATTTATGAACATGTAGTATGTGCATGTTTGATTCCATCGGCTACTTAGTAAATTAATTGTGAAATATCAGAGCACAGTCAGCTGTTCAGCTTAAATAAGCTTCTAAGGTTTAACTCACCGCCTCATGTGTCTTGAAATGGCATTTGTATGATCAATGATAACTATACTACTACTCCATACTAAGCTTGCTCTGGTTATTTTCAGAAAAGCAGGAGAAAAAAGAACACGTATTTTACCCCAGATTATGAAGAGACTAACCGAGAATAGTCAATAGGTAGCAGTAAATTCAGAAATTATTCTGTTCTGATAACTATCGATCATGTACTATGGGTAATCAACCATGGTTGGAAGTTCAAAGGCTGAGACGAAAAAGGGCAAAGGAGGGTCTAACTAGGGTACGGATTCTGGCTGATTCCTGAAAGGGTCGATCGATATGTCTGCAATATCAATCACTACGAGGCATTTACTCTAAACCAATCACATTCGGCCGGGCATGTTGATCGATGCTATGACCAGCTGTTATTTCTTTGTTTTCTACTGCTTATTCTGACCAAAGTCGACGGCCTTGTTCATATTGCCCAGACTTCTGCAATTTTTCTACTGTGGTACCTTTGTGGTGTATGTATTACAATACGTATACCGGGTTTTCTGGGTTCTCGTATCGATTTATTCTCCAATTTGTGACCGGATCTGGCGATATTTCATAATCAATGTATTGGCTAGTTATGTACGGAGTAGAGATATTCTATTTAATGCAATCTGGCACTGATTTGGTCCTTGGAGGTCTGGATTGCAGTATGTCACTTGCAATTCGCTTAAAATGATCCAACTTCCAAGATATTTCCCAAAGTCCTAGCATATAAAATACGAGAAGAACTACTGTATGGATTAGTAAGCTTGAAATTCAAATCTAAATATAAGACCCATAACCATAGGAAGTATTTCATTTAGATATCATCGATATTTACAAGAATATGCCTTTCTACTTCATTAACTAAAACAAATTACATTTCAATGTTTTTTCTTCTAAACATCTAAACGATTTCATACATCCATAGGTCCGAAAGACAACCCCACTGGAAAACCCCAAAATAAGGCCGCACATCCGATTCGAACCGTGCTGACCGCCACTTTCGGATGAAGGGGATAGATAAGGGGCAGCACTCTATCCACTCCAACTCCAGGGATATGTAACTGGTACTTAATTCAACACCTGTGCAGATGGACAGGTTACAGTCGCAATGCCCTGCTTCCATTGTATACCTAGTGACTGAAGTCCTCAAGCCAAGAACCTTGGAAAGTCTGCATAGCGGGCTGATATGCGAGAAAGTGGACACTTGTCTCTAAGCTCTAAGCTTATAAGGCAAGCTTGAAATAAGCTGTGGCTGTTGTGATCAGAGCTGGCGATGCATGCCCAGGTGAGTAGATGTGTCCAGCTGAGTTGTACATTCAGACGGTGTGCCCTGTGATACGTATATCATGTGTGTATTTACCTATTTGCCCGCGCGTACTCCGTCTGTATAAGGTATTAAGTTGAAGGCCTCGCTGTATGCAGCCAATGCAATATGTGTGCATGGAAAGTAAGGTCTATACATCAGGTAACAAGGGCGGTATAATTGATGTAATTTTAAATCCTCGGTTTCGGTCTATCATAGGTTCGTTTCAATATGTATTCAGATCCGGACTGACCGATGCGCAAATCCCAAATTTATGATTCTCGAATCAGCTCTACCAATTTGTCTGCAGTGGGCTTTGATATCTCTGTGCCGTGCATAAGCCACGTTGGATCAGATTCAAATCCTGCTTTATCTCATCTTGGCAGCTGCAATGGTAACACGTGCGTGATTGGGCCAGAGTGCGGTTTTTATTTTTGTGTGGACTAACTGTCGGGTTTTGGGAGGTGACACGAAGCCAAGCTGAAGACATGGGTCGCATTCTGCAAGATTGCGAGAACAGAAGTTGAGGGGAAGATACATTTGATATCCGTGGAGAATACTTTCATTTGAATGGATGCTAATATTGCGACTGTCTTGGCATTTGACTCCTCTTACTCGCACGATTAGGACGCGGAGTATACATTGCCACCACAATTTCTGTCAATATCAAACAGAGCTCTTCTGTCGAGCTTGTGTGGGTTATCGCTTATGCGTGTCCAAGCCACGTGGGTATCCAGACTGCAGGTTGAAATGGCGGTATCAAGTCACACATGCTTGTGGGCGTGCCGTCCGTGCAGGTACCCATGGCGCCACAATATCTCGCGAAGTGATCACTGTTGTGGTGTGATATTTTTTCCCGACTTATCTTTTCTCACTTTTTCGCTGCTTGATGTTTAAGAATATCTTCGGAGGGCGGTTTAAGAATACGACTCTTGGATGCCGCCAGTCACGGCGGTGTAGAAATAGGAAATCGTTATCGACTGGGTCTCACTTCTGATCATGCCAGAACTCGAGTCTTATTATAAGGTTAGAAGGTGGAGGAGGAGGGGACTGTAATTCGCCTACCACAAACTGCTCCAACGATTCTTCAAAGAGCTCGTTGTTCACGCCTACGCCCCCTGGGTGCTCCGTAGGAGACAAAGGATTCTTGACCACTAGAAAAAATCCAATGGAGTCAGCAATGGCCGCAGAGCACTGATTTTGACAAATACGAACCATATTCCACAAAGAGATTGATATAGATTTGCTGCAGAGCGATGCGCATGCTGGGACTCTTCAAGTCCGTCAGCATCACAAATTTAATATTGGTCGGCGTTTCGTAATAGTGAAGCTTGTATTGGCTGGTGGAGTAGGAAACGAAGCTGGAGGAATTTGGTTAGCTTCTAGGATGTGTGCGGCCTGCGCCGAGCCCTTACTTGTCTTCCTCTCCTCCCAACTTGCGCACCATATTCCGCAACGAAAAGACTGTGCCGAAAACCAGCTTTGCATCATCGTCTCCAGACCGAACGGTCTGACCAGATCCCATGGTACTGGCTTGGGGTTGTGTATCGACGGACCGCGAGGACTTGCCCACGATCGAGGCCGGGCGATTAAGCCACCGGCGCTTATAAATGCATTCCGCTAGAAGGAAAACATCAGTTTGATTTGGCTATTCACAACCAGATGAACTCACCGTGGCGGTCAAAGATGTAGAAGGAGTAGACGACCATGATTGTAGATGTGACTGTGGATCAAGTGAACGATGGGGATTTGTTGATGTTCAGGAGACTTCCGCAACGGGCGGTGAACAACGTCTTATATCGATAAAGCCGATAAGGGGCGATTGTAAGACAAAAAATCGGGAAATTCGCACGGTGGTCTTAGGTCTCTAGTTTTACCTGAGACGTTGTTATGTTAGACATATGTTACAGAAGAGGCTTCGTCTAAGGTTGAACCGTTAAAGCATCTCGCGTTATCTTTCATCCCCGCTCTGACTTCCTGCCCCTCTCTACCCCACATATTCACAGCTTCAAAGACTTTACTTTAACGTCGGCAATGGACAACCGTGTTGATGCTACTCTTTCTGATATCTCCACAGAAACTTCTGACTTTTCAGAGGGTGCAGTAACTGACCGACCAAATCCACCCAGGTTTGGGTAAGCTTGGTTGAACATCACGTCTGAAAGTAGCTTATACTAAGCTTATGAAATCTGTACAGGTCTGGAGCCTCATTTGACAGTCTCCAGAGACATAGACGACGAAGCCCTCGAGCAAGGCGCCAGGTAAAAGTTAGTGTTTCTTGATTTTTTGTATTCGGCAAAGACTGATCATGCTGCGGATATAGGAGACACTAGATGCGCGCTCTCAATATACTACCAGCCAAGACGACGGCACGGCAGAGCATCGCATCAACCAGTATGTGATCAAGCAGGAAATTGGACGTGGATCATTTGGAGCGGTTCATCTAGCCGCCGACCAGTATGGCAATGAATATGTACGATGAACGTAAAGCGAAGAAAGCCTATACTTGAAAGCTGACGGCCAAAAAGGCAGTGAAAGAGTTTTCGAAATCCCGATTAAGGAAACGTGCGCAGTCGCATATGTTGCGACGGCTACGAGGACCCCGAAGACCCGGTAGTGGGTTCAATTCGCCAATGCATCGCCATCCGTCTGGGGATGACAATGAGAGTGCAAAGAACCCACTCTACCTGATCAAGGAAGAGATCGCGATCATGAAAAAGCTGAATCACAACAATCTAGTTTCTCTGATCGAGGTTTTGGATGACCCGACTGAGGATCCCTTATATATGGTCATGGAAATGTGCAAAAGGGAGTCGTCATGAAAGTAAGCCTGGAAGAACAGGCTGATCCCTATGACGATGATCACTGTCGCTGCTGGTTTCGCGATTTGATACTAGGAATTGAATACCTACATGCACAGGGTATTGTCCACCGTGACATTAAGCCAGACAATTGTCTAGTGACCAACGACAATGTACTTAAAGTGGTCGATTTTGGTGTCTCAGAGATGTTCGAAAAGGACTCGGATATGTTCACTGCCAAATCAGCCGGATCTCCTGCATTTCTACCCCCAGAGCTCTGCGTGATAAAACATGGTGATGTTTCTGGCAAGGCGGCAGATATTTGGTCCATGGGGGTGACTCTCTACTGTCTACGGTATGGAAGGTTGCCATTTCAACAGCATAGTATTTTTGATCTATACGAGAGCATCAGGAATGATCCGGTGGAATGCACAGATGAGCATGACGAGCATTTCAAGGATCTGATAAGTCGCATTCTGGACAAGAATCCTGCGAAACGAATCGAAATGCGTCAATTGCGAGTGAGTTGAGTTATGATGAAGCCGAGGCTGTTGATTCTAATTCTATATAGGAACATCCGTGGGTGACGAAAAATGGAGCTGATCCTCTTCTATCTGAGGAAGAAAATACGGCTCACAGCGTTGAACCTCCAACAGAAGAAGAAATGAATGCAGCCATCACGAAAAAGATGGGTAATCTCATGACTGTGGTTCGTATTGTTTCTTAAATTTAACTATATTGTTACTAAAATGTCGAAATAGATGAAAGCAGTCAAGAAATTCAAGCGCTTGGTCGAAGTCTCAAAATCGGGATCAAAAATGCAAAGTATTCTTGGAGGGGATGCGAACTTTGTTCAGCCCATATATATGGACTCCAACGAATATTTCCCAGAGGTAGGGCTCGCCCAAAGTTCTACAGGCAGCAAACCACCCAAAATGTTGTATGAGCCGGAACGAAAAGCATCAGGTTCAATACACAGTCGATCTCCACAGCCTGCATCCCCGGGTTTCCAATCACGAGCCAGCTCAGTCACAACCAAGCGCAGCGTAGAGGGGACAAGGGGCCATGCGAAAGATCCACTTGAAGAGGACTTCCCCTACCTCTTCATCGGACCATCCACATACAATGGCGAAGAATCCTCCGACAACACCAGCAAAGATTCAGAGCCTATATTTGCAGAACCAGAAATTACCGAGGAAGTCGACATGGATTCAGACGATCCCGTTCAATTTGTGAGCGAGTCACCCGGAGCAGCAGAATTCGACATCTACGAAACTGCCTACCGACGAGAACTTGAGCGAATCAGTCAGGCTTCGGATACAGGTCAGACTGTGTACCTTACAAGACGAGTCGAGAAGAAAGATGAAGTCATGAATTTCGCTAAGAATAAGGCGATCGATCTGCAAATCGGGACGAAAAGAGTAATATCCGCATCAGCAGTAAAGCCTACTTCGGGCTTGTGTGCAGCCGTCAGCATGCTTCAGAGCCAGATTGAGCCGAAAAATGACTCAACATTGGAACGGCGAAAGGAAGAGTTTCTGGCAGCTCGTCATGATCATATTCCTTCGTCTTCTATCTCGTCACAGTTTCTTCCAAGTCCAAAAACATCTACTCTCGAGGCAACGGGGGCTCCAGTTATTGATTCCCAGGACACATCAGCTCAACTGCGGCATATACTTGGCCACTCAAGTGATGGAAGTGAGCAATGATTCCTCAGATATCCATTGGTTGTAAGTTTGAATATCTGTTTTGCAGTTTTACGGTCTATAGCAGAGGTTTGAATATAGTGCGATACACTTGCTCCCCTTTCGTTCTTTTTGGAAACTTCCCAGGTGGGAAGGGCATGTACCTAGGCATTGTTGATTCTGAGATGTATATGGACTCAGATGAACAAAGAATACAAGCTTTTTTTTTCTCACTCGTTCAAGCACTAAGCTTTTTGAAGAAGATCGGGTAGGAGAAAGAACCCCCAGATTCTAGTAACAAAGACCATCGATGATAAAGGTGTCTCCACAAACTTTTCAAAGTTGACGATGATATAGAGAATGGCCCATGTCAAAATTCATTTGAATCATCGAAGTCTAGTCGTCCTCTTTGTTATAGCCTCACTTTAGGTCACCAAACAACAACTCGTCACCTTCCCAAATGGGATCGGATCCATGGATGCTATACAGAATTAGTCCAGAACCAAGCAGCGCGCACCAAATTCGCCGGTCTTCTTGCTTTCAATCACATCCAGATAATCAGATTGCTCCGACAACAGGTCAGTTCTATAACTCAACTTTTTCTGATTTGTTATCGATTCGTTTTAATTGGCCATATCGATCAGCCACAGTCATACAACAGATTTCTCTTTCAACTTGAAGAAAACGAAATTATCCAGGAGCGAGTCAATGGATTGACACGCAAAGTTGTGTTTTAATAGTTAAGATTCAGAGTGTCGGTCGTTGATATTGAGGCCGGTCACTCTGACAGTACGAGTAGCAGCAGCACCAAAGCCTTTAATATAAAGTTTTGCACGGAAGTTGCAGTTGTAAGAGACTGTAAGAGCTTCTGTTGAAACAGAGCGTACGTGAGCTAGTTCTGTTGAATCTCTAATGCTGTATAGTAGAATTTTCAAGTCGAGATCGGTATGGCAGCGATAACTGACGCTGAGTATACCTAGGGGTAAACAGTGTCCACAAGGCAAGAGATAAGTAAGTGTCCATAGTAGCTCGCCTCTTCCTTTTCACTGGTTGAGAGCACTATTGGAGGGAGCTGGTCAGAATCACCAATCATGGTAATCATGGAATCCTCCTCAAGCCACTGGTCAAACTCATCACATAGCAGGGCATACGGCTTGAATCTGAGCCACAAAACGTATTCTGCAGCGTTTTGAGAGTCGTTGCGACAACTTTGTAGCTGCCAAGAATTCTGCCTGTTCACTGAACAATGATTGCCATTGTTCTGGTTGCTGGAAGGGTAAATCTTGTCAACTTGAGGCCGCATTTTAGAATCCCAGAGCCCATAACCTGCCGCCACTGGTAGTAAGGTGGTCTCACTTGTGTAATGAAAAATTAAAATGAAAAGAGTGCGGAGGAAAGGAGAGAAGCGATGCGATTGATCATGCTCTTCCGGCCCTCCCTCGGTACACTCCCCCCTTGGAGTCGAATCAGTCACGAAAAGCCACGAAAAGTCGCCCGACACTTAATCCGGCAACTCTTGATATCATATTCTTCGCCCTCATTGAGGTAGCGATATATGTGTATGTTCTAATCGAAAGATGTAAAGGAATGTTGGAGACAGCTCTGGATGTGGAGAGTTGCCCAGGTGGATAGATGAAATCACCGTCAAGGGATAGAACTGATGAAATACCCTGGAAGTACTTACCTTTATAGGCGAGGGCTTGTGCAGTTCCGTCCTTGGTGTTGTCAGGTGAGCAGCTGAAGGAGGATGAAGAAGAAAGATAGATATTCTTCCTGACATATATCCAAGTAGATACCGATGTCTAAGGACTCCAGTGCCATTGAATCCCTCTACTTCACTTCCCAATGTTCACTTTAATCTCACTTGTACGCATTAGCGTCCACAAGATCCACCTCAATTTTACCTTTTCAAAGTTCCTTCATCAAGTCAACAGGTTCCATGACCTTTCTGTAAAGTATAATGTACTTGTGCCCATCATATCAGAATATGTCGGTATTCGATGTCCCTTGTTGGCTATCTACACTACCGACAGTCGAGTTTCAGACCCACCCCCAAGAAATATCGATAGCTTTATAATTTACATATTTAGATAATTAAATGGCTAAAAAATAAACGCGCGTTTGATATTTAGTATAATGACCTCTGGTATCGATAGAATCAAGCTATCAATTATAACCTGTAAAATGGCATCCCAAGTTTCACGAATACAGCGCTTAAACTAGGCCCAATATGCTGTGACTTTCGTAGTTTACGTTTTTAAAGATACCATTATGGCTCAATCGGGCTTATAGCGAGCGTGCGGGCCATATTAGAAGATAGATATGCTGGCGTCTAAACCACTTTAACGTTTCCTTTGATCTATGAATTCTGACATCATCTTATTAGAATAGCTCATCTTCATATCTAGGTAGTGAAGGATAGGACCTCTATGGCTTCTTCAAGTTATTCTAGCGCCTTCAGATAGTGTTTAGGGATATAATCGCGCTCTATGACCACTAACTTTGAACAGCCACCAATCTGAATATAAGCAAACCTATACCATTTGTGATATATTCTTCGTATAAGCTTTAGTAGCAATCAATTTAGATATGCATATTTCTGATTTCAGCATCCAGATACTACCTAGGTAGAACTTGATATTCTTTCAACTTCTTTGACGGAACAATCTAAGATCTATTTGCGCCAATTAACGTCTTGACTCCATTTTGAGTGAATTCTGGTCGGGCTTTGGCAAGATGAGGGCTGATAGTGACCTTATTCTTCCGATGTTGTTTTGAAAGGCCATATCCGGAAATAATCCGGCGCAGAGTGGTTCGACAGGGGTGTGAAGCGAGGTTTGCGCTAAGAAGTTTATAGCCCCAAGATGGATTTCGGCGCGCTTTTAGATAAATCCAGCGTTTAGCGGCTTCGCTATAGAGGGGAGGGCGTCCACTTCTAGGGCGAGATTCAGTGGTTTTAGTGGCTTTGTAGCGGTCGCGAGTAGTATAGATGGTACTGCGATTATAGCCATAAAGTAAAATCACCACCGAACCGCCATCACTACCGAGCCGCCACCCCAGAACACCATAGTAAACTCGAAAAAATTGAATATCATATTTCAACAACCACTAGTTAAAATGATTTCAAGTCTCGAAATCGGATTATTACTAGTTGATTAAATGTATATATAGAAAGAAGGATTAGGAAATTATCGAGTGAAGTGTACTTGAAGCTAAAATAAATTAATTACACCGTAATTTATGATACTACTATAATCCCTCTATTTAATTTACTTAAAATAAATTGATTCTTTGTGAATATTGTTATAGTTATACCTCACCGAATGTTTGAATTATATCAGTGTCACGGTTGTTGAGATGTGATATTCAATTTTTTTCGAGTTTACTATGGTGTTCTGGGGTGGCGGCTCGGTAGTGATGGCGGTTCGGTGGTGATTTACTTTAGATAGCGGCAAGTTTGGTTGGCGATACACCCTTTTCAAGTCCAGAGAGGATTCCAGCGCGTTGATCGATAGAAAGTTCTTGGTTTCTACCACGGTTTCCACTCAGTTTTGTGCCAAATTGAGCCATTGTTGGTGTAGGAAGTAAAAGTAATAAGAGGGGGTCGTGACGACGCAAACAAAACGCGCTAAAACACGAGAAGTGAAATGGCGACTTGGAATAATCTCTTGTTGAGTAATGCAGTATTTTATGCCAAGTCAATGCTTTATATTTCTTTTCCGGGTCATTATTGCAATTGATATCACTGAGACATTGATCAGATGGAATCTCTGAGAGAAAAAAGTTAACTCCCAATCTGGGCATCGTTGTATCTAGGTACCGAGATGAAACTGGATGATTTTGAAAAAGAGACTGTATAATGGATTAATGCGCTGTACATTATATAAAATCATAATATTACATCACAAACACCCGTGGACACGACAGAGAAAAGACACAAGTGAGATCTGAAATATTAGTCTGATCCTAGAACGAAGGTAAGTTATAACTAGCGTAAGTAACAATAGCTGGTCTAGTGATCAGCAGCAGAGAAGCGAATAAAATAATACAAGGCAAATACCAGTCTGAATGCAGAGGAGACTGGATGAGCCGAGCCCATGGAAGAGAAAGCAGAAGGAGAAAAAAGTGGAAAGAAAAGGATAGGCCGTCGAAATGCATATCACATGTGCAGATTGGCTGAAAAGCAATGAAAAAAACTCAGTGTATGCTGGAAATAGTCGAAAGATGATGCAAGTAAGATGAAAAGAGAATAAGGACAAGGCTGGAAAGGTAGATATGCAAGGCTGCGTACACTTAGACTTTGTCATAAGGCTGCGAACCGTGTCTTCATCGAGCATCATGATCATAGAGATATCAGCGGAAGAATGTAGGGAGTGTAAACAAAGCAATTCGTGATGTAGATGCAGAAGCAAAACAACAAACCACATATATGTCTATCGTTCATCGTTGGATTCATGGAATCATAGAAAAGGAAGCATAACCGAGGACTGTCGTCGGTTTTCGGTAGCGAAAATCATAATGCAAGGTATGCATCTCATGGAAGTCTGCTGAATAGAGATTGAATATCTTCACCTAGGTTTCTCGCCTGGCGTTGTGCTTTTTCGTTCTGTATATGGTGTCGGCTCACCACGACTAGTCACCGAATCACGGCGACAGCTATCTGGCGAAAACCTGTCTGGTGGCAGTGCACCGAAAGAAGACCGCTCGCCAGGATTGCTTGAGCGAGGAAAAGAGTCTGGTGGACCTAGTTGCAGGGCGTGTGGCGAGGGAAGAGGATGACCGATCTCTGGTCGAGGCAACTCTCGCAAATTAGGGCCCATGCTTCTGTTTGGCAATTGACGATCATCGACAGAAAGATTTGGTACGGGAACGAGTCGGCCTGGTGGATTGTATAGTACTGAGCTCGGATTTCGATTTTGATTTTGATTCTGCGCCATTGCGATATTGGACTGCGCAAATGGGATCAAACGTCCTGGACTGGTCGGTGAGGGTGGGATCTTGATTCTATTGGAGTTCGACCTCCTGGGAGGCGGATAGGCTTCACCACGAGCCTCGGCAGCTCTTTTGCGCCTTTCTGTTTCGGCTTTACTTGGACGTCCTCGTTTGCGCGGAGGCTCACCGGCGGCAGCACTGTCTAGGCGTGGAGATAGCTGAGCTGAGCTTTCACTACTGATAGAAGCAGTGCTGGTGGGCGGCTTGGGTTGAATTGCGCGCGGTGGAAGCGGTTTGTCAGGGTATGGTCGCTTACGAAGTGTTGGATCTACAGGTAGAGTTGACCCAGTCATTTCTGGTCGCGGAATCGAAGTTGCTAAAGGAGCAGGAGCCAAAGCTGTAGCTAGTGAAGGAGCGGGCAGATATGTAGACTGATGTCGTTGATGCTGATGATGTTGATGTTGATGATGTTGATGCTGCTGCTGCTGCTGTCTTTGCGATTCCATTTGCATATTGGAAAAAGCCACTCTGCAAGAATTTAACGAGCGACCTGATATAAAGAAGTTAGAAGGACTGTTAGAGACCATGGCTTAGGGCTCGGGGCTCAATTGAGGTATGTGAATCCTTACCTGGTGGTAAGGGAATATCATCCCAGTTGGGATTGATACCATAGTCATTGATGACTTGAAGGAGATGACTGGAATGAATACCAGCATTTTTAAGAATCTCCGTAAGTAAGAAATACTATAAAATTTAGTCTATAATCTCGTTAATTAGCGTATCAGAGAACTAACCTTCTCCCCGTCAGACCAAGGTGTATCAGATTGAGATGACATCGATCAATAATAATATCAAATGAACCTCCAGAATACCAGATAAAAAAAAAGGAATAAGGGAAGTCCTAGAGTAATTTTTTCTTCTTCTTCACGCTGGCAAGAGGTTAAAAAACGAAAGGAATAAACAAATAAATAAAACGCGTCTTTAGGCCATCTTATCCTTGAAAAATCATTGAAAAGAATGACCTTCAATTGGAACTTTGGAGAGAAAGGAAAAAGAGGAGAAATCAAAACAAAACGCGACTGAAAAGATTGGCTAAGACCTGAGCAGCCGGGATCGCGCAGAAAGAAGTGCGCGTTGGGTAAGGAAAGGGGAAAGCTGCAGGGTCTGTAAAAAATAGGAAAAATAGGAAAATTGGGTAAAATTGGGTAAAATTGGGCAAAATGGAGAAGAAATGAGAAAAATGAGAAAAAACAATGCACTGAGAGGGCGTTTCATGTCTTCCAGAAGGGTTCGAAACAAAATTACGGCTAACACAACATTGGGAGAGGGGCATTGAATTTCTTGTTTGACCAAAAGTACGATCGAGGGGTTGCAGAAGTGGGGGCTGTAGTGGGTGAGTATTAGTATAACATATAGGAAGGAAGTTATTCACCTATAAAATGAAGGGTATAGATATAGGCTATTTAGAGTAGTGTAGAACGGTTGGCCATGGCAGCTCTAGTACCAAGAGACCTTGGAACTTTGGAACCTTGGAACATGCGGGAGTGGAACGAGTATCTTGTTTTTTTCTAATTTTTATGTGTTCTGATACGTTCAATTGCAGGACGTTGAGAATGGATTGCGTTTGAAGCTAAGACAAGCGTAGTTTAGGCTCGATCCGCAGCCTAGACTCGGAGAAGAGGAGGGAAGTAGCCCGAGGGAGAGGAGATAGAAGAGAAGAACAGGGGATGATCTAGATCAATTAATTGATATCTTCAATGTTAGATAGTCATTCATGAATAGAGTATACTACTATACTTGTTTACCTAGGTTTAGTACTATAGTATGATACTACTACATCCACACCTAGGTATAGACTATTGAATCGCCATCCATAGCCTCTGTCTCTCCAGATCTATCCTCGGACTAAACTAAGGACTTTTATAATAATAAATACGCACAGACACCGTTTGTTACTTTATCATATCCTATCCAATCGTTTCCCGCCCAAACTTCAATTCTTCAGATTCCGCCTGTGGACGTGGCCCTGCATGTTTTCCTTCTTTCTCAGCCTATCGATTCAGCCTTTTATCATTTCGGACATTTCATTCTTCTTTATTCAATCTCCCTTTATTTCTCCTTTTCTCTTTCTTCTAAATCTGCAAGTTTTTGTTGTCTTTCAGGTCCGCATGACTAAGCCGATCTAACTAGTTTAGTTAACTAACTAGTTAGTACCTGGAAATGACTAAGCACACCCTTCCTCCGGCCCTCTAATTTAACTATTCAACTATGTTCGGAGTACCCCAGTCTATACTCTTACCTTTGCTCAGAATCTAGGTTAATTATTGAATAGAATGAAGCATAAATTAAATATATCCTATTCATTCTTCGTTCTCCAGCTTTAAAAATACAATCATCCAATGTGGAAGTCAACTTCCACCGATGTACTTCCGCTTCCACTTTTACTTCCATTTCAACTTCCACTTTGGGCGTGCGGGCGGTGAGAGCGCGCGACACGAAAGCCCTTAGATTTGTTCAACTCTTGAGCTCCGACCTTTCATCCTCACTCTCTCTTCCCCCATCACTTATCTCAGTTTCCACCCTGAGTCCATTTCCTACACTGATTTAGTCTCTATACTGAGGCCCGCTGTCGTCATGTCGGCCCATGGCAACGCGGACTCGTTTGATTCCGAGGCAACTCGCAAAAGCAAATCGAAATCACCATTCAGCCCACAACTTTTCGGCCACCTTCCTGATCGCACTGAAGATGCCCTGGCCACGTTTCAGCAAATCAAAGAGTGCTCGTACGCGCACAGGGACTACGGCTACACTGAACATGCTATGGAGTGTGACTGCTCCGAGGAGTGGAGTACATTTCCCCCTTGATCCTTCCTTTTAGATTCCATGATTATCGGTTTGTTCAGATCTTGAGCTAAGGCTGACCCATCGACAATTCCCCTAGATCACAAAGCTCAACAAAACCTGGCCTGTGGCGAAGATTCCGACTGCATCAACCGAGCCACCAAAATTGAGTGCCTGAACGAGTGTGGATGTGGCGATAATTGTCTCAATCAACGCATGCAGAAGAAACAGTATGCCAAGGTTGCGGTCATTCAAACCGAGAAGAAAGGGTTCGGACTTCGGGCAGAAACAGACCTAGAGCCCCATCAATTGATCTACGAGTATGTCGGGGAGGTGCTCGGAGAAAAGGAGTTCCGCCGCCGCATGCGACAATACGATGATGCTGGAATCAAACACTTCTATTTTATGTCTCTCAGCAAAGGCGAGTTCGTGGATGCGACCAAGAAAGGCAATTTGGGACGTTTTTGCAACCATTCCTGCAACCCTAACTGCTACGTCGACAAGTGGGTGATTGGCGAGAAGCTACGCATGGGTATATTTACCGAGCGGGCCGTGCAAGCTGGTGAGGAACTCGTCTTCAACTACAATGTTGACCGCTACGGCGCCGATCCCCAACCTTGCTACTGTGGCGAGCGCAATTGCAGCGGCTTTATCGGCGGACGGACCCAGACAGAGCGTGCCACCAAGTTGTCAAATTCCACAATCGAAGCGCTGGGTATCGACGATGACGAAGGCTGGGACACCGTTGTATCGCGCCGTTTCCGCCCGAAGAAGTTAGATCCATACGACGAGGAGTATGTGGACAGCGTGCAACTCAAGTCGCTGGACGAGGACGCTGTGACTAAGGTCATGACAACTCTCATGCAATGTCAAGAGAAATGGATCGCAGTCAAGTTGCTAGGTCGTGTTCAGCGATGCGAGACCGAGAAAGTCAGCAACCGCGTGATCAAGATGCACGGCTACCAGATTTTGAAGTCGCAACTTACAATGTGGGCTGATGATACAAACGTAGTCCTACAGATTTTGGATATTCTGGAAAGACTCCCGTGTCTGACGCGCAACAAGATCATCGATTCGAAAATTGAGACCGCTGTCAAGCCATTGGCTAGCCATGAAAATTTGACTATTCGGGGCAAGGCCGAAGAACTAATCACCACCTGGGCCAACCTCGAGGTTGGATATCGCATCCCACGAATGACCAGGGATAACCAGGCTCGTCAGAATGCCAACACGTATGCCCGCCGTGATATCAGCAACAATGCCGGAGACTACAGATATGCGTTTGAAAACAGTACTCACAACAACCAACCAGTGGTGCGTTCCGTCACACGATCTGCCTCCCGGTCTGCCTCCCGATCTGTCTCGCCAGATATCGAAACGACCCGGAATCGCAAATGGGCTCGGCCTGCAATGGGCTCACGACGCCAAAGATTCAGCCAAAAGCCACTACCGTATGGCTGGTTCGTGCTCCCTCCAGAAGAAGGCCGACGTCGAATTTACTACGGGCTCAATGCCGAACCCCAACATGAACGCCCAACGGCACCTGACCCTGGACCTGACCTGCAGAAGGTTGAGGATAACTTGCAGCGCGTGATGGCAAAAATCAGCGAGGAAGGAAAGAAGATTCAACTGGAGAAGGCACGAGAGAAGATGAAGGCCAGATTGGCACGCGAGGCGCTCGAGAATCCGCCACCAGTTATCAAAGAAGATGAAAAGTGGAAGCGTCTACCTTTGGAGAAGCAGAAGAAGGTTTACGAAAATACTATGTTCCCCTACATCAAGGTCGTCGTTGATCAGTACAAGCACAAGATTCCTAAGGAGCATCTCAAGCGATTTGCTAAAGAGACTGCCACCAAGCTTGTTGAAGGCGACTACAAGAAAGGTCGTGTGACTGACCCGACCAAGATTAGCGAGAAACACCAGCACACTATCAAAGCGTTCTGCAGGACTTACTTCGACAAAGCTGCTGCCAAACAAAAGTTGCGTGAGGAATCCGCATCTCTCAAGCGTAAGCGGGATGATGAGAGTGCGGTGGACATTGATGGAGCCCAGGGAGAGACTGTCTCCCTGTGAACCACAAAAAAGAAAAGAGAAAAAAACAGAAAAAAAAAAATATTTTATTGGGGTTTTTGTATTGATTCTTTTCTGCCTACTTTATATGGCATTTTTATCTGGCATTTTCAACGGGGTCTCGCACTTTTTACAAACAATACCCCGCATAGTTAGTTCAATGAAGGAGTTTTCTTACCTTTCCATCTATTTACTTTAATACTAATATAAGACAAACATTACACTATGGCAATATATGCTTTTGCCCATTTCCGCACTCAAGCGACAACCTTGAAGGAATTCGATGAATCCTCGACATAGATAAGTAAAAAATATTCTTTTTCATCTTTGATCATGATAACAAACTCAGGATGTTTCAAGATCGGAAAATAGCGACGAAGTCATGATGAAACATGGACATCAAAATGACCTCAATGAAGTAGTGGTAAGTCAAAACGAAGTAACTCAACTGACAGGAACTTTGGAACTATCTATAGCATCTATAATTATTCTCTTCCTCTGCTTCATTCGTTCATCTTTACACAACCTCTATAAGGTTAAAAGTTCCAATGTTTTAGACTCCAAGCCTGAGCTCGCCAAGGAGTAAAAAGAGGTTATCGTCGACTACCCTAAGTCTATGTACTCCAAGGTTCTATCGGGTTTTCCTTTGACATTTTATAGGGTTTCTGCATTTTTAGTAACAATATCTCTTACAGTTCAATTCAAGAGTTTTCTTACATCCAAGGTTCCAATCCATCTACTTATAAAAGCCATGGTGTATATATCTCTATAGCCAATCATTTGTGGTCAAGAGTCAGGTAAGACGAACTTTAGATGGCAATCGGTGCTTTTGCTATCATCTCCAGCTTCGGAATTCAGTGACAGGGAACCGGATGATTGTTCGGCACATAAGTTGAACCTCGGAAACAATGTCTTCTGAAACGCAAAAAGTATAAAGAGTCAGGTTCTTCAAGGATGATGGTGACAAACTGACGTTCTAAAGGACAATGGAGATCACCTTTAGAGTAAGTAGTTCACAGTGAAGCAGCAAACTTCCAAGTTTCGTATGGCTATACGTATTGCACTCTAAATTCCCGGAGAACCCTGGAATGAAAAATACCCAGAATACATACCTACCTAGGTAGAGATTGCGGTTAGCGGTGCCCCGGCAAGTGAAGTGTATTGCTACTCTAACATAGTACCTTACAGAGTACGGAGTACAAAAAACGGAGTACAATTCTGCGGAGACGACCCTGTTAAAAGCACAGGGCAACTGTTATAAAGGATGTCACACAGCTCCACCGACTTGATAGCTTAAGACCTATCAAAGCTGTTTTTACCAAGCTTGCAGGAACTTTACCCCCGAGATACTGTCACACTAAACTAGGTAGTTTTGAGTGCTATCGGCTCTATTCCACAGCTCAGATGTTGATACTACTAGTTATTTCCATGTATCGAGGTGCCTGTATGTAATCAGCAGTCGGAGTATCGGTGACCTGAGAGTTATGACCAGTCTGATGGCTCATAGGTGCTATCCAAATGGATAGATTTGAACTCGGATACAGCTGAAGTGATGCCGAAGTGATATCGTGATATTGGAGTGAGTTAAAGTGAGCTATAGATGTAACATGAAGTGGAAGAAGCCATGAACAACCAGTTGAACTGAATCTTTCATAGTCAGTTAGGGAGTAAGGCCGCTCATAGGTAGATCTCCTAGTGAAGCTTAGTTCCGCCCCGAATGCTATAGAAGCGGCTGGCCGCTTTCAAGCACACATTACCTGGTATCTGTTTCTTGTACAATAAAGAGGCGGAGGGAATTTGAAGTATTAGACGCTCCCTTACCCCGGGCCTGTGAGGACAGTCCGTTTGACCAATATATGGCCAAAGACATACCTGCTCTTCAGATTTTATGAGTTCGACTAGCTTTGTGTATTTAGTTTTTCTCGTCTGCTGCACGGCATTCCGGCATCAGTAGATTCGGATTGGTTGGGAGTGAACTGGCTTGAGGAGCCAAGTGATTGGAAAATTAGTTAGCTTTTCTCGAGCTCATAAGTCTGAGGTATTCCTGTGCCCGCAGCAGCAACAGCAGGAGGATCTTTTACATTACATCGTTTGGCGTGTTAAGCATCCCGAAATACTGCAACCAACAAGCAGGTCCAGAAAAAAACCTGTACATCTGAGAAATAGTTAACGATGGGACGAATCTCCGGATCATAAGGATACTTGAAGATGCTCACTCGGTTCGACTTAATGTCCCCATCAAGGAGTTTCTCACTACTTTTGCTGTACCTGCTTATTATAGTTAGGGTGTAGATATCTAGCACGACTAGATCAACTCAAAGCTTTAAAAATAACGTCTCAGCCAGAGAAAAAAAAAAAGGTCATCAATCATTTCAAGTCTCAACTCTACAAGACCTAAATAACGAACCCATCAAAAAACCATGAGAAAAAACACATAGTCTCAAACACAAATCCAATCTTCTTAGTCCAAACAGGTCCAAGTCTACTAGTAGAAACTCTCAACAATGCTCTCCTTATTAGGACCAGCACCACCACCACCAGGCGCCATCTCACCAAGACGGAAAACACTCTCAATAACACTAAGCTCAGTAGCAGTAGTGTCAAGACCTGTAACAGCCAACCAGTCATTAACGACCATGCCAGCACCAACGACAGGTGAACCGCGGTTCACAGAGCCAGCTACCAGCGGCACTTGCAGCAGCGAGGAGAGCTCGTCCTGGTCGCGGACTGAGGTTTTCGGATGCACGATTCCACCTTGGTTTGAGAGAGCCATGTATGAGCCTGTTAGGACATTATCGGCTACTGTCTGGCGGAAAACTTCTACGCCTAGGACGTCGGCGATGCTGGATATTTCGTCAGAGAATGGATGGGACTGGGGGTTTGTGTTGGGGCTTACATTTCCTCGGTCTCGCGCTCGAGATCGGGGTGCACGATTGCAACGTGGTCGTTGCAGCAGATCACGTTTCCTAGTGCTGATAGACGCTCTTCTATGCGCTGGATCTTGACGGTGTCCGGCAGAGTGTTGCGGAGGTGCTGCAGTTCCTGGTCTGTGGTTGTTGTGGGGACGAGAAGGCCATTCTTGTTACTGTAAAGGATTAGCAAAATTTCAATCAAGTGTTTGATCAAGGCTACTCACCCAACTGTTAACCGTCCGACAATTCGTGTACCGTTGATAGTAGCGTGGCAAATGGGAATAACGTCCTGCAGCTCAGACTCGAAAACACTGGGATATGTTAGTTTTTACAATTTTTTTTCCCATAGTTTTTTGGTTTTCTTTTTTGGGGCTATGCTTACCTGTAGAAGTTCTGCGAGGCTCCAACAGCTAGAATAGCGTAGGAATTGGTCAAACGGGCGAAAACGCCGACTCTGTAGAAATAAGATATCAGTATTCAGAATTTCGCAAACATATGTATCTTTTTTCGCCGGTCCGGAGAAGGACAGGAGCAAGAACTGAGTAGAAATATATCAATTTCTCCCGTATCAGGACCAGCGAAAGATGGTGAAACATACTCGTTCGAGTTCTCGAATTGCGCGCGAACAGACATAGCGACAGATTGTGTGGTGACGGTCTCGAGTGAAGGTATCACGATGGAAGGAGAGAAGTAGAGAGGAGGGGAAGTTCAAACTCTCAAAATGGAGAGTTGAGAAGGGAAATTTTTGGTGAGAAGCAAAGAAATTGCAGTCGTGCAGCTTCTTAAGAGAGAGTGGGATGAAGATTGAAGGTGAAAAAGAGCAAAAGCTCTGGCCAATCAGAATGTGTGATCTGTGGATTCCCCGCTCTTGGAGCCGCGATTTGGATTCTTGTATCTGGTACTTGTATTTATTATGGTCCCCGTATACTATAATCAGGTACTTAGTACTTCTATATGTTTGACTCATTCTGTCTCATATTGAATGTGGCTGTGAATATGACTCTTACCACAACTATTCAGACTCTTTACTTTCTCGGTCGAGTCTCAACTACTCAGTAAAGAACACACAATGATCAAAACTCAAGAGTCAATATTCAATCTACATGATCATACCCATACAAAGATTTATGAAATATATCGATTAAAATACTATAGTTTTGACAACATTTGCCCGCAGGCAGGATTCCCACAGGAATCAAAAAAGTACACGGGGTGCTCGCCAGCAAACACACCCGCTCCTCACATGACGCTCGTAATGTACATAACTGCCCTGAGGAGGTCCACCATCCAGACTTCGGAGGGAGTGGTGGCAGAGCAGTGAGATAAAGATATCCGCAATCAATAGTGGCGGGGCGGAGGCCCATGGGGAGGAGGAGGAGGAGGGTAGTAAAGCCCCGGTGCGCCACCCTGAGAGGGAGGTCCGGGGGGGGCAGGAGGTCCGGGAGGACCAGGGGGTCCTGAGTGTAGGTACCCAGGCATTGGTATAGGCAACCGGGCGAAGTTCAATCCCGGCGGAGGGGGGAGTTGAGGGGGGGCCGCCCATTGAAAATGGGTCGGGCAGCTGTCCACGTGCCGGGAGGAGGCGGCGGGGCTGCTGAGTGGGTGTGGGCCGCGGGAGAATGAAGGACCGGGGATCGGTCGGTCCATGTACCATGCCGGCTGGAGTCTGACCAGGACCACCAGCCGCCATGTACTGGTACTGAGCGGGCTGCATGGGAGGGAGAGTTGGCATGTCGGGGTTCGAAAGTGCAGTGTCTGCCAGCACGGCCAGACCAAAGGTGGCGAGTCCATTGTTGGCCTGCTGGTTCGCATTGCTTTCTTCCTCGATCTGGGCGACTGCCTGCAGAAGACGAGCAATAAAGTCCTTCGCCTGAACCGGGTCCACCAACCCAGACTCAGGTGAGGACTCCATTGCCCGCATCTGAGGGTTGAGATCTTCGCCTAGACGAACCTTCGTCACAAACTCGTCCCACAGGTTGGATCCCTGGATGTGGGCAGCCGCGCCGTCGGGGTCGCGGACGGAGTTTGCGTCGAAGCCTCGCTCCACCTCTCTCATACCAGCCTTACCTATTCGGAAAAGAAACGGTGGCTCGTCACCAGCCACGTCAGAACCATCCGTCTTTAGTGAGAACCAAATTAGCATAAGTTCAAAGTGAAAATGAAAGCGAAGTGACTTGAAGTCAAGCAAGAGTGAAGGTGCTGTAAAGGTGAATTTAGCTTACCTCGGTATGTTCATCATCCTCCGCCGCCTTCTGGCCCTGGACATGGCCCATGTACTTCCCCCGGGCAGCATAGAACATCTCTGCTGAGATGTTCTTCACCTGCGCCAGGGTCCGCTTCTCCACACTCGAGACCTCGCCCGCATACACACGCTCAGCGGAGGCGACCGCCAGCTCGTACTCAGCGGTGATGCGTGCCAAGGCCCGACTCTCGTACTCAGCGAGGTCATGCTGCACCTGTCCGTACTCCGGGACGTCCAGGTGAGCGGTTTTGTCACGCGCGATGCGCTGCATTGAGTGCTCCGCCAAGACACCCAATGCCACCTGCTGAGTAGCCCCCACATACTTGAACAGAGCAGCGAGCTCTGCCTGACGCGCTTTGATGGGATTTGTGGCGAGGATGGGGGAGGGGGAGCGACGGGTGTCGTTGTCCCAAATCTCGTCGGCCGTCGAGACCTTCGTGGTGGTAATTTTTCCACCACGGCCTCCAACTGTGACAGCGCCACGTCCTCGGCCACGTCCTCGGCTTCCGCGTGCGCGGGCTGGTGCCACAGCCGCGCGAACGGGAGCAAGTGCTCCGCCGCGACTTCCACGTCCTCGCGCGCGGCCACGTGCACGACCACGGGCTCGTCCGCCGCGTCCGCCGCGGCCTCGGGGGTGGTATTCGGGGTAATCTGGAGGGTCTCCATCACTGATATCGCCAGTCACTTCACCAATGGCACCTTCGTGAACCACGGCTTCGGCCTCACTCTCATCATCATTTGAGTTTGCCTTCGCTTCCCTTTCGTGGTTGAAAGTTTGGGCCACCTCGACCTCGGGAGTACGGTCGAGGCGACCATCTGTCAGGTCAGACATTCTGATGGAACTGGGCTCATTGAGATCAGGGCTTTCTTCCTCACGCTTTGGCTTCTTCGGAGTGACAGCATCCTCATCCTCAAGTTCGCTTGACTTTCGCTTGAGTGAGGGGTGGGGAGAAGTGTGAGAGAGAGGAAATCCTTCACGCTCAACGGATTGAGTGGCTTCAATCCCACTTGAGTTGACATTGGTTGCATGAAAGGATTCTAGGGCTTGGCGTTTGGGCGGAGGCAACATCTGAGAAGACAATTCCGGGGTTTGAGATGCCTTGGAGATGTGAGTGGTAGTGTCGAAATCATCATCGTGAGTACGTGTCGCATCAGAGTCAACTGACTCTTCCATCTTACTAGGAGTAGAGTGTTCACGGGTGCGCTCATCGCCGGTTGGCTTGTTGCGAGCAGATTGGCGGGTGGTGCGTGATGATTCTGGCACAATACCGGCACGCTTTGTGCGGCGAGAGATGTGTGGGGTCTCAGGGAGGGGAGTGTTGGAGGCTTCATTGCCATCAGCAGTAGGAATCGCATCATCACAAGTAGAGCGATATAGAGAGTTAAAGTAAGAAGCGAGCTTAAACTTTGCATGCTTGAACGTCACGATTAATGAGCGGTGCTCGTGCTCAGGCTCAGGCTCAGGCTCAGGCTCATCATCCGCAGCAGTGGCATCTACGACATCTACGGCATCTGCAGCAGCAAGTCTAGCTTGTGTAGCGCGGTGATTTGCCCAACGACCTCTGACGCGGCCGCGGGTGGTAGAAGTTGTTATAGTAGCAATTGGAGCAACACGCCCTGTCAGATGTGAGTATATGAGAGCGAATGATACATAGAAAAAGAAGAAACTTACCAGCGACGGCGCGCGTGCCTCGGGTTTTGGCGCCTCGCTTACCACGGCGGCCAACCATTTTGAAAACTGCGAGATGTCAGCATGGATGACAGGGAGACAGGGACAAGGACAGGAACGTGAAAAAAGGGGGTCATTAGATGTAGTGGTAGAGGTAGAGGTAGATGAAGGATTGAAGTAGAAGGTGGATATGGAGATGGGAATGAAAATAGACGAAACAAGTGATGGGAGGAAAGTAAGTACCTTTGTCTTAACTATGGTGACAGAGTTGCAAAGAGGGAGAATTTTGAAAGGAAGGAGGGAAATGGTAAGCGGAAAGCCTTGAGCAGAGTGAGATGAAGGTATTCCCATTTGGGAAGATCAAAAACAAGAAAATGGAAGTGGAAGTGGGACAATAAAGAGAAAGATAGAAAAGAGAAGAGAAGAGAAAGCTCTGCGGTGGTAGAGACAAGGGGGGGCCAGAAAGGGAAAAAGAAAAGTGGAAGTGGAAGTGGAAGTGGAAGTAGGAAGTGGGAATGGGGAATGAAGGTACAGGAAAGAAGATGAAAATGAGCCTGAATAGAGAGAGAATATCAAAAACTTACCAGAAAAGAAGGGAGAGAAAATAGACTCGGCAGCAACAGGGCGCAGGATCTGACTGGATCCCTGGGTGGGCTTGGGGTCACTGGAATACACCAGGAAGGTAAACAGAGTAACCAGAGTAATTCAGAAAGTAGACAGTAATCAAGAGAGGAGTTTTGTTGAGAACGTAGAGAGTGGAAAGGTTGTTGTAGAGAGTAGGAGATTAGTAGAGAGTAGAGGAAGTAGAAGTACGGACTGTACGGAGTAGACGCAAAGGGAAAAGATTCGGTGATTCTTCCCGTCTTCTTCCAGCTATTACTTACTGCCTTACACTTCCCCATTTCCCCAACTATTTTATTACATTAATTAACAGAGCTTAGTTCTATCTTTCTCCTCTATTTAACTCTCCAATTACTGTATCTATTATTCCTTTCACTTCGCTGCGACCCACTGCCGAATCCGGCTATTATTATACTTCGTACTCCGTACTATTATCGGAATCCCTGCGGAGAAGTCTAGTCCTAGATCTCGGATCTATTCTATCTATTAGATTAGTACTATTCCTATTCAATTGATCGCTAGAACTCCTAATTATACATCATTATACATCATAACCTCCGACAGAATGGAGAACACAAAAACCACACCGCAAAATAAACCAAAATGACCAAAGATAGTAAACAGAAGATAACCAAATACTAAGCTTCAGTAACGATCTCTTTTCACTCATGAGGTGATTCACTCAGGTTGTATGATGTATACCGGGGCATATAATCACTCTGAAATTCAGGCAATGGCGGGGTAAGCATGCTCTGCTCCCTTAATGATCGTGCTGATCGGATACGAGTCAGTGTCTTCTTAGTGATGATCTGACCTGCTGAGGGAGAGGCTCGGACCCTCGTGCCAGGAGTTGGAGTAGGTGGTGATGGGCTCGTAGACCGGAACAAAGGGTGAATATTCTGTTCTTGTGCTAACCGGTCTTGATCATCCATTGACTGACGCGGAGTTTGAATCTCGGTGGATGGAGATGTAGATGGGGCGGGAGAGGGCAGGTGGACGAGACTATCCAGCGAGTTGGGAGGATGGCCGAGACTAGGTAGACTGAGGATACTATTGCTACCTCGGAGTAATGGGCGAGTGTCAATTTCGAATATTGCGTCTCTCATGTGGTCGCTGGCTGGAGAGGGCATGGAGGCTCCTGAAGAGGCCGTCTCGATAGAGACGTGTTTATTGATCGATTGTTCCACGCTCAGCATGCTACCGGAGTAGCGATTGGAGCGGGGAAATTTCCGCAGCGACGATCTTCGCGCGTTGAAATGATTCATTTCGGGATATTGATCGGATTCACATATTGCCGGTGTGGGCGATGATACTGAATTCCAGCTTGGAGACTCGAGAGGTTTGAGCTGTTGTGAGTAAGACTGAGGCCAGTTTTGTTCGTTTCCATGCTTATTTGACCATGAGATGACCAGCAGTAGGCCGTAGTATAGTCCTTCCACAAAAATGGATACTCCCCAGAAAACGGATCGCGCGATCAACAACGGTGTTGGTATGTTGTCCATATTGATAGACATAGTTCCGGCTGTTGATGCGGCTGAAAGTATGAGGTATACTCCAGTCAGGTAAAATATCGCTTTTTTCCACCGTGGCCATACACGCTCTGCCCGAAGATCTTGGTGAACCAGCAGACTAGTCACAAGTAGTGCCAGACAGCTCACGACACCGAGACCAATTGAAGCCATACCCGGGTTAGGTCGATGGGAAGGTTCTGACACATGGAATGAATGCATTCCAAAAGCCAGGCCATTGAGGATGGTCACTAGCAAGGCAGAGATTATCGATGTTGCGGCGAGTGAATAGAAGAGGATAGTGTTAGACATGGTTGAAAACAGAATACCATATCAAGATTCAAAATCTATGTATTCCAGCTCTACCTAAGTAGGAATGACCCGTAAGGAAGTGACTGAACTAGGGGCCAGGTGAAAGGGGCATGCTTTATTTATGATGGCGGACTACCTACGAAGTAGATGGGTGATAGTTCGCGTGGCGGGAACGAGGCGAGCCATCTACAGCTCTGTATGACCCATCACCAGCATTAAGGTTAGAGTCTGCGGGGGTAGAGTAAACTGGCCCGGTAAGATATAGACTAGACCTAGACTACGACGGAGAGAGCCTCGATATCTACAAAAGCCGAAGAAACTGATATGTCGTATCAATATTGCATCGTATGAGGCTGTGTGCATACACTCTGCATGGAATATCGCCCCATGGTGTACGAGGCCAGATAAAAGTCGGCATTATTTTCCATAGTGCTGTGCCACTGCTTTCCATCGATGCAGTACAGGACACTATCTGTTTGATCCATCAGTTTCCAAAGACTTGCATGGAAAGTCAAAGCGGATCGAGATCGGATGTGATGCATATATAATCGGGAAGCTTCATGATCTCAACACTCAAGAGTCCGAGATTACCGAGTCGGTAACTTGAGTGTTAGATCTTTAAGTCTTGTACATATTATCCTGGACAATGGATTTTGTGAATAATAGATTGTGGGAAAAATCTGAGATCGGACTAACCAAGTGGGACGGTACTTTGTTGACACTAGATCACCAATCAACGTGGGTCAATTCCATCGATCGGAACTGCCAGATTCACTTGCATATAAGAGATACAGAGAGATATAATTGGCATTTGTCGACTTACCTATTCACAGCATCTGCAATTTCGTCTTGCTGGTGGTGCTCTCTCAGTTTCCAATTGGGTGGATTCTCATGCAGTGGAAGATCAGACGGCTAAGCGAAGCCTTGAAAGCCACCCAGCCATTTAGCTGCCACTATTTGTATTTAGACATTAAATTTCCCCTGTTCTCGGTACCTGGTATTTCGCTAGATAGTCCAGGTCTGTATCAAGGTTATTGGCCACTCTGCCTTGACATTGGTCCTTTGATGAACTGCTGAAAAGTCTCAACTCTCCAGGGTCAGAGCTAGCTTTTAATTGCAGTCGGCCTACCTGCATAGCCTACTAGGTATTCAAGTCAAATATTCAACTCTTGAGTCTTTCAAATCTGTAATATGCTGATAGTCGCAAAGTATATGGTCGATGGGATCGAGCTTTTGAAGTCTTGAATTGGATGTGTGCTTCTCTGAGGCAAGTTGTTAGTTCATAGACTGAGTATTATAAAATACCAAAGCACAGCTGTCAGCCTGTTATTTTCATGTTAGATAAACAGTATACTGCTATGAGAGACTCGAGAAGGAAGAAAGAGGCACTCGGTGATGGATCTGGAGGACCGAAATTCGGAAAATCGGGCTAAATCGGACTCGTATCAGTAGCATGCTCAGAGAAAGTAGACCTCTTGACCAGTTAGTAGTCCATCAGTAAGATGTAACCGGCAAATCAATGCCTCATAACTATCAGCATAACTACTATCAGCATAAATAAAAGTAACGTGACATCACCAAATCCTGTCATGATAACTATGAAGGCGGTCGATAGCTAAGTCACGTGTAGATTGAATGTTTTCCAAGTGGGGCGGTGAACTCGTTTGCTGCCGTCACATCTTCTCCACCCCTCTTGGATCTTCCATCTCACCATCGTCTTTCCTCTCTTCATTCCCTTTTTTCTATTGGCTGCTTTGAACTTAACTTCTACACCTCCCCTCTTTTCTTCACACACCTGTATCAAACCATCAAGATGAAGCTCACCTTCAAGGTTGGTTATGCATCTCCGACCACTTATTCCCACATTGCTGATACTTGTGATTCTGTCTAGGATTTGAAGCAGGACTCCTTTATCGTCGAGGTTGAGCCTACCTCAACCGTACGTCATCTCCACAAGTGCAGAAATGCCATTCCATTGTCTCTCAGCACAAAGTGTGGGGCTTACCATTCTCTCGTACAGATTCGACAGGTCAAGGAAAAGATTGCTGAGCAAAAATCTCTTTATGACCCTGAGCGGACTAAAATCATTTACTCTGGTATGTCTCTTTGTCAGCTATGATTCGCTGAGATAGGCGCTAATCAGAATTCTGCTCTTTCAGGAAAGGTCCTCGCCGACACTTTCACTGTCGAGTACTACGGCATCCAAGAGAAGGATTTCCTCGTTTGTCTGCCTGGCAAGGTACGTCACTCTTATCTGCCTGAGTGGAATCAATCTGACCAAATACAGAAGCCTGCCCCAGCTGCAGCCCCAGCTGCAGCCCCGGCTGCGGCCCCGGTCCCTGCTACCCCCGCTCCTCGTCCCGCTGCTACTCCGGCTGCCCCTCCTCCCCCTGCTCCGGCTGCTGTTAGTTCGACCCCCGCCGTTCCTGCTACTCCCACCCCGGCTGAGCGCACCGCCCCACCCAGTGCCGAACCTCAGTCTTTCAATGATCCCTCTGCTTTGGCTATGGGATCTGCCGCTGAGGCCAGTGTGACCCAAATGGAGGCCATGGGATTTGCGCGCAGTGACATTAATGTTGCCATGCGTGCTGCTTTCTACAACCCAGACCGTGCTATTGAATACCTCTTGACTGTGAGTTAAATTGCGGGCAACCTTCTGTCAATACATCATTCTAACATCTACTCAGGGTATACCCGAGAATGTTCAACAGGAGCAGCGACAGCGACAGCAGCAGCAGCAGGGTAGCGCCGAGACTCCCGCAGCTCCTAACGTCACTGAGACTAATGAAAGTGCTCTCGCTAGCTCGACTCTCGGTAGTTCGACTGACTCAGATGAGCCATTCCAGAATCTCTTCGATGCGGCAGCCCAAGCTGGTGAGGGTGGTCGTGGCGGCGCCCGGGCTGGAGCTGGAGCTGGTGGCGAGGCCATGACACTGGACTTCCTGCGCACCAATCCGCACTTCCAACAGCTGCGACAGCTTGTCCAGCAGCAGCCCCACATGCTCGAGCCCATCCTGCAACAGGTCGCCGCTGGAAACCCTCAAATCGCCCAGCTTATCAACCAAAACTCTGATCAATTTTTGAGCCTGTTGGGTGAAGAGATGGAGGAAGATGAGGGTCCCCCGGCCATTCCGGTCACAGAGGATGAGCGCGATGCTATCGAACGTGTAAGTCCAGAGCTTTCTTATTCATATGAACTTGACTAACAATTTACCTAGTTGTGCTCGTTGGGCTTCTCTCGTGATTCAGTTATCCAGGCCTACTTTGCCTGCGACAAGAACGAAGAACTTGCCGCGAACTTCCTGTTCGACCAGCCCACAGATGACGAGCAGTAGATGATATCCGTTTCAACTTTCTTACGTGTCCAAGAATACCAATGCTGTTCGCCATTTAGCAGAAACCCCTTTGCCCGTTTATAGTTCCTCTTTCTCTCTCTCTCTCTCCCTCTCTCTGCCTTTTTTTCTTCTTCCGATTAGTCTGGCAGCTGCGAATTTCTGCTTTTTTTCTAAATCTGATGGATGAGGCAAATTCGCATTTTCCTTTTACCATCCCGGAGTATATCTGCACCCTGACCCTTTCCCCCTGATACGACATTTTATGCAATTACCTTAATGGGAAATGGGATCTTCTGGCTATATTGTTCCTTGTAGAGGTAGAAGCATGGGGATAAGAACTGGTCTGTGCGCTGTCCAGCTGTTCGGGTCATGCGAATATGCGACATAATACTAGGCATCCATATATACATGGATATACCTAAATATATTTCAAGATCTTTGCCTTGATACGAGTATTAATAGATTAGGTAACAGCTCTCGAATTGGACAGAAACAAACTTGAAATTCCAAGGGATCCATTTAGAGGGTTTACGGGTACAAATATATAGTTACAACCTCGTAAGTACTTCGTTGTACTCAGGTGCTATGTTCGACTTCGAGAGATTCGCCAATTCTACTTAGCTTATAGAAAATAGATATCTCACATGGTAAGGACTAAGTTGAAATCTCATCTGAACAGAGTCCAGCATTTTAGACCAAACATTCAAACCTGAGTGGACGGGTATAGATCCAAGTTATATACCACGTGACCATACACGGGGATCAAGAACTAGAATATATACGACACAAACAAGATAGGTACCTATGTATGTACTTGGATGAAATAAAGACGATATAAAAGATGAGACAGAATTAGAATGCCGAGAGCCTTAAAAGAGCACATTGGCAGCAGAAACAGAGTAAAAATCGAAATAATGTTCTTTGAGGTATGTAAAGTATGTAAAAATTATATACAAGCCCGACGAACAGAGTAAACACCTAGTCCACGACGCCCAACGACCCGTTTCAGGGTGTTCAGGACACCATCGTCGCCAAAATCTAGATCATCCAGATTCAAATGCTGGCGATAAGACCACAAGCGATAGAGTTGCAGGTTAGGCGTGTGTGGAGCCGAGGGTGAGGAGAGTTCAGTGTACGTGTCCAGGAAGGTAGCGGAGGTAGGCGCGACCAGGTAGATTTGGGAAGACTCAGGACAAGAAGGGACGGCAGTATTAAGACGTTGGATCATTTCCAAGCCTGGAATACCCATTAGATCGAACGTATCGACTTGCGAAGTAGCATTCGTGCCCAGCAGCCATTCTGGCGGGGAGTAAGTTTTCCACCAGAAGACCGAGGCATCTGGCTGGGGTTTTATGCCCTGGGCTAGAGTGTTTGCGGTTATTATCGAGCGCAAGGCTAGTTGGGTTGGGACTATGCCGCCTTGATGGTAGATGCCCATTAGGAAGCCCATGGCGCCGTTGAAGATGACCCATGTTGCTAGAAAGGCTTTTGAGCGGTGCATGCCGACGCAGCTGAGGAGGAGGGGGACGCAGGGGACTAGGAAGCGTGGTTCTTGGTGTGGGAATATTGAGAGAATGGCTGTTGCCGAGACGGCGCTGAGGGCGCGGATGTTCCGCATCCAGGAGGGAATTAAAGGTCTTTTGAAGAGGGAGAGAAGCATGACGACGTATGCCGGGCCTAGGAGCTGGAAGAGGTTCGCTATTAGATGTTGGTGGTGGGGGTGTAGGCCATGAATGGCTAGGTTGTCGGCTTTTGCGTTGTATAGGATGTTGTTTAGCGGGGTGATTGTTGGATGGCGGATTTTATTGAACAGTGACGCGGAGGGGCGGTAGAAGGATGTATCGGCGAAGATGGCTATCGAGGCCCAGATGAGTCCGAAGGAAGCGAATACGGCCAATGATGCTGGCCTAGCGGGTAAAGTGTTAGGGCTTGAGCTTAGCAGCACTCCGGGATTCAACTTACTTGCGCTTAAAAACGGGCAGCAATTGCAGACCTGGGAAAAGAAGAAAAGCAGGGAAAGTAATGCGATTGAAGACGCCGACAACAGAGATAAATGAAAGCACAGTACACGAAAAGAAAGACGAGTGTTTCTATAATATATTAGATTCAGATTCGAGGACAAAGCAAACGGAACGAACCTTGTTTTCGACAATGCGCCGAATCAGAACCAACCCCCAAGCCACCAAGAGTGTCTCGAGGGAGTTGGAAAAGGTGTGCGTCTGATATGTCCAGGTGACATATGACGAAGCCACTAGTACGACTGTTGCGCGCCGGTGCCGCGGGGAAGGTACAAGCTCATACACAGCCCAGTCCTCCAACACAAAGCTCAGAAGGAACATGCCTGCGCGCAGAGCATAGTAGACGACTTGTGGTGGCGGGTTGCCGAATCCGGCTTCCATGTAGAACCATTTCAGTAGGCCCATGGGCAGCTCGTAGGTTGGCCATAATGGGAAGACGCTGCGGATAGGGTTGTTGGTAGTGAATTCCCAGGTCAGTTTGGAGGGATATCCGAAGATGCGACCTAATTTATTATCAGTAACTGTTTTTAGATCGCATTCGCAATCTGCGCATCTGCACCGTGGAGGTCAACGTGGCCTGACCAGAAGAAGCAAATAAAATAAAATAAAAGACCACGTAAATGGGAATATAAACATACCCGCAAAGACTTCAGGACCTTGAAAATTTTCATCGGGATGTAAGTAGCTCGGTGACAGCGCAAAGTAAACACGGACCAAAAGTAGGATTAAGTAGGTTCGTCTCCACATGATGAGACGTGGACATTCTGAGCTAGGATTAGAGTAGAAGAGATTATAAGGGATGAAAAGGAAAAAAAAGGAGTTAGGAGTTGGACGGAGATAACCCGGTACAAAACTAATCAAACGAGACGCGTTCCATACGCGATAGTACACAGGCTCAGGGCAGAATTATGTTACTGTTATATTGTGGGATATTGGATTTGTTTGGAGACATAGAGGGCGCCTCAGACCATGATGTCTACTATCATTTGACATCTATAGGCTATTCCCATAATGATTTACAAGCAAGGGTTGAGCAACAAAGCGATTTACTACGTGGGGCTCCCGGCAGAGCCTCAAGTCAACATACTCAACTAATGACCGCAGGAAGTAGATATATTGGCTCTTATTACATTTAGGTAAAAAGAGACAGTATACAGCTCAATCACAAACCGATATTATGTCTAATTATCCATGAAGTATCTGGTAGTCATCATGATCAGTTGATATAATAGATGCTAGCATGATACGGATGCTCACCGCCTAATGCGGGTCTTATTCTAATCGGGATTCCTCGTTGTAGCCTACGACTCTCTCTCTTTCAGCTTCTCACACTTTCCACCTTTGTTTCGCCCCACCTCCATTTAAAACGACTTCAATACCTCTTTCTTCTGTAAGTCTCCAACCTGCACATTTCCTTCATCATCCCTTGACTGAAACTCCTCGAGGAGTGTGTCTCGCCACCGACCCCAACTGCCCCATTTACAAGCTCTAACTTTTGTCTAGAAACGACCTCAAGATGGCTAGCAATGTGGTAGTTTTTACCAGCTCTGATGACGTTGAGGTGCAATGCGGTTCGTTCCCACAATGTCCATTTTCTCTGACAGAAGTTGACTTGTTTATTAGAGCGCTCGGTCGCCGAGCAATCTGGTCTTATTAAGAACATGATTGAGGACATTGGTGCTTTTAACGGACCTATTCCTCTGGCTAACGTAAGTTTCTACTTTTGTCTGTCCCTGAATCATACCTGACTTTTTCAAGGTCAACGAAGCGGTACTTCGTAAGGTGATCGAGTGGTGCGAGCACCACAAGAACGACCCTCCCAGCACTGGCGAGGATGACGATAACCGCCGCAAGACTACCGACATTGATGAATGGGACCAAAAATTCATGCAGGTCGACCAGGAAATGCTGTTTGAAATCATTCTGGTAGGCAGCAGCAGCTTAACTTTTGTTGATTCTCATTCGAAACATGAGACTAACACAAACCCGTAGGCCGCAAACTATTTGGATATTAAAGGTCTACTGGACGTTGGCTGCAAAAGCGTAGCCAATATGATCAAGGGAAAGTCCCCCGAAGAGATTCGGAAAACATTCAACATTCAGAACGATTTCACACCCGAGGAAGAAGATCAGATTCGTCGTGAGAACGAGTGGGCCGAGGAGTAAGTTGTTATACCTGACTGCACCAGTGATTCCGAATGATGCTTACAAGATCTAGTCGTTAAATTTCTCCCACATATTTGCATTCAGACGCGCGCAGTGCAAAATGGTACTTGGTTGAGATCGATGACCGTTTGAGTGGAGGTTGACTTTATTATTCAAGTGGTGCGAGAATTGGCTTTATTTTCTTTCTTAATCGGCGTTTGGTCCACTGAACTCTTTGATGCCCTTTTCATTATCTTTGCTCTACGTCAGCTGTATTTCAAAATTGATCTCAACATACCACTCAAGTATGAAAATAGTGTATGGCCTGTAAGTGGATGGCAGAGGTATTGCGCATCTCAGCAGTGTCATCACGTAATCACGTAAAGGTATGAGTGTATCACGTAGATTCAAGTTGTATAGGCGAGGACTCACACTGAATGGTATGCATCCATCTGGATTATGGAAGTCCTGATACCTCGCAGCAGCGAAGCAGAGCCTGGGAGTTATTTCATCAGGTTCCGAGAAGTAATTCTCAACCTTTGATAGCTGGCTTCAAACGAAAAAAAGTCCATTCTACGCCTCCGCTTCCCTTGACTCCCATATCTACTGCTATGATGATACCGCCTAGATAGAGACCATCCCCTCCGTGAACTCGTTATACCATATCGTCAAAATATGGATATCCTCTTCGTTGACTGGAAGACAGTCAGAGAGGGTAGCAACCCACTGTTGCCAAATAGACAGGCATTCAAATTCCAGCTGGGGGTTCGTCAGACTCATCCATCGCTCTACACCACTACGCCTACAACCAGGTACATAAAGTGCAGACCAAGGGACGATTTTGATTGTAAAATATTGAAAACCGTCTGCCGGCCGAAATCCCCAATCCCAGCCAAGACGTCCAACCTCGATAATTTTCGGAAGTCGATATTGCAAGTCATTTATTCGGAAGCGTAGGTCGTCATATTTCATAGAGGGAAGATAAAAAAAGAACGAGGATCAGAGATCAGATTGCACGCAACCGGACAGAATAAACATTTTCTTTTTTCTTTTTTAGGACTTGAAAGTAGTTTCCGATTAAACTAGCGCGATCAAGTCGAAGGGAGATGGTCTGATTATTTCGAAGCGGGAATCATCGTCGGAATAGGAACACCGATCAGACATCACATGCACAACAGCAAGAGGAAAAGGGAATTTCGAGGCAGGTGGCAAGGAGGAAGTCGTCTGATAGCATCTAGATACCGAGACGAGTCTTGCGCCAGTGTCGTCGCTTGGCGTTGTATCTGTATTTTGAATGAGTCTTCCATTCTTGATTCTGATTTCCTTGTTCCCTTCGTGACCGAGGCGGTTGCTGTATTTACCTGATGGTGTTGCCGGTGCGCAGGCGAATCCACTGGGGGATGGGACGGTTCTGGCGCTGAGCTTTGGCAAGCTTTTGCTTGGTGCGGAAAGTCTTGTGGCTCTGGAGGAGGAAAAAAGAAGAGAGGTTAGTTCTGTAGTACACTGCTATATTCAAAATGTTACATACCGGCATCTTGAAGGACTTGGTCGCGATGGCGAGCTTGATGGATGGAGAAGTTGTCGACCTTGGGAAGTGGATGATTTGTGTGCGGCAGGGCTTGGCTTTTTTTCGCTAGACTGGTCAGGTGATTCAAAGTACGTGGTATTATATAATCATCGACCGAACACCTTAATTACAAGGCTACAATTTCTTTTTATTTCTGCCTAATTCAGCTAATTACTGTCTGAGACCACATCGTTCTCGTTTTCGTTCTCGGAACCTTGGGACAAGCTCGCCTCCAAACTTCGCTTAGGATTGTATAAAGGTTTCATCCAGTGATTGAATATTCACGATGTCTCTGTTAACCGTTTTGTCTGCTTTATAACTAAGCTCACGACGTATGCACTGCCCCCAGATCCTCAATACCTTAATGCGGTATACAGTACGCAAGTTTGTGGCTAGAACCACTGATTCCTTCCAAGTGGAGATTCGGAAGCTAGAAATATCCGAACATATGCACACCCATTTTATGTCCCAACTTATACTACTGGGCGACTTATAACTGGTGTATCTGGTGGATCTACGGTCAGATCTCATTTGACTCATGATCGAAATGAGTCAAGGTGAACAATATCGTGTAATGCATTTCGGATAGTACTCTAGATGTTGCATCTGGGCTTCATGTGTATCCCTCCGGACAGGTCTGCGTAGTACACGGTGGTAGGGGCTGGATAGACACTGCGTTCCACCGGCAGATCATATTAAGAAATGGAGACAGATCCCTGATATTCACCTTGTGGAATGTCCTTGCGTGCCCGGAATGTGAGAAAAAAAGGGAGGCGTAAATGCATAAACATGTCGGAGACTTGACCCTCCGGCAACCCCCCGACTTCCTAAAGTATTGCCCGTCATCTTGTTACGTACTCCGCTCCGTATTGGATATTAACCTGTAATATCTTAGACGATTAAAGATCTATCAATCAGATCGGTTCGTCCACCGAAAGCCGTCCCCGAGTCTTATTTTTATAAATATTATATTATTTTCTGATTTAAGCTTCATCTTCCCCTCCCTTCGACTTCATCTTATCCCTTTTTTATCCTTTCCCCTTTCTTTCACGACAGGATATTTTCTAATTTCCAACCTTTCCTCTTCACTGAATCTACTACTTCATACTGTCTATTTTGAATTCAATTCATCAATCACCCTGACAGATCATATACGGTCCACCTGCAGGCTGAGGCTGCAGTGACCAGGTAAACAAGTGGGCCTACCATTTCTACTCTACAGTCTAGCGTCATGCAACAACCAGAAGAAGGAGTGGTCTCTGTCGAAAAGACCACTGAGAACGTGGTTGCACCAGATCCACCTGATGAGAAGTCACATCCAAGCTTCGATTCCGGCTCGACTTTGGATCACGCAAAGGACGAGTCTAAGGCTCCCATTTCGATAGATGAGGATGCGCTCTATGCGCATCTCCCTGAACATGAAAAAGAGATCTTGAAACGCCAACTAGATTCCCCTCCAGTCAAGGTCTCTTTCTTAGGTCTATATCGATATGCCTCCCGCATGGATATCCTGATCCTGGTGGTCAGCGCCATTTGCGCCGCCGCCGCCGGTGCTGCCCTGCCCCTCTTCACCATTCTCTTCGGTTCTTTGACCACCTCTTTCCAACAAATCGAGCTGGGAACTATCCCATATCACGAATTCTATCAGGAGCTGACCAAGAACGTGTTGTATTTTGTATACCTCGGCATTGGTGAATTTGTCACTGTCTATATCAGCACCGTCGGCTTTATCTACACTGGCGAACATGTCACCCAGAAGATTCGAGAGCACTACCTAGAAGCCATCCTGCGCCAGAATATCGCCTATTTCGATAAGCTCGGCGCTGGGGAAGTCACTACCCGTATTACTGCGGACACGAATTTAATTCAGGATGGTATCTCCGAAAAGGTCGGCCTGACTTTGACCGCTGTGGCGACTTTCATCACGGCCTTCATCGTGGCTTATATCAAATATGCGCGCCTGGCTGGTATTTGTACCTCCACTATTGTTGCCCTCGTGGTGATCATGGGTGGCGGATCTCGATTTATCATCAAATACAGCAAATTCTCTCTGGAAAGCTATGGTGCAGGTGGTACTGTGGCCGAAGAGGTCATCAGCTCGATCCGAAATGCGACCGCCTTTGGCACCCAGGATAAGCTTGCGAAGCAGTACGAGGCTCACCTGCGAACGGCTGAGCGCTGGGGCATGCGCCTGCAAATGGCGCTCGGTATCATGGTCGGTGCCATGTTCGGCATCATGTTCCTAAACTACGGTCTTGGCTTTTGGATGGGCTCGCGCTATTTGGTCGAGGGCAAGGTTAATGTCGGCCAAGTCCTGACTATTCTCATGGCCATCCTTATTGGTTCTTTCAGTCTAGGTAATGTGAGCCCCAACGGCCAGGCCTTCACCAGCGCTGTGGCTGCGGCTTCCAAGATCTTTTCGACCATTGACCGCGAGTCACCTATTGATCCTACTTCCGAAGAAGGTATAATTCTCGACCACGTCGAGGGTGATATCAAGTTTACCAATGTCAAGCATATCTATCCCTCTCGTCCCGAAGTGACTGTTATGGAAGACGTCACTCTGTCTATCCCTGCTGGTAAGACCACCGCTCTCGTTGGACCTTCTGGTTCGGGTAAGAGTACTGTCGTCGGTCTGGTGGAGCGTTTCTATATGCCTGTCAGTGGCACTGTCTACTTGGACGGCCACGATATTCAAACTCTGAATCTCAGATGGTTGCGCCAGCAAATATCCCTTGTTAGCCAAGAACCTATTCTTTTCGGAACTACCATCTACAAGAACATCCGTCACGGTCTTATTGGCACCCACTTCGAACATGAGTCAGAGGAAAAGATCAAGGAGCTCATTGAAAACGCCGCCAAGATGGCCAACGCTCACGAATTCATCAATGGTCTTCCGGAAGGTTACGAGACTAATGTCGGTCAGCGCGGTTTCTTGTTGTCCGGTGGCCAGAAGCAGCGTATCGCAATCGCCCGTGCCATTGTTTCTGACCCGAAGATTCTGCTGCTAGACGAAGCCACCTCCGCCCTTGACACCAAGTCCGAGGGTGTGGTCCAAGCTGCTCTTGATCGTGCTGCCGAAGGCCGTACTACCATTGTTATTGCTCACCGTTTGTCAACTATCAAGAATGCCCACAACATCGTCGTCTTTGTCAACGGCCAAATCGTTGAGCAAGGTACCCACGACATCTTGCTGGAACACGCCGGTCCCTACTCCAACCTCGTTGAAGCTCAGCGCATCAACGAAGAAAAGGAAGCTGACGCTATGGAGGATGAGGAGTTTTCTGACGACGAATCGGTGGACAAGGAAAATACTACTAGAGTGAAGTCCTTTACTAGTGGCTCTTCTATTCGTCAGGTAGAGTATGAAGAGGGAGACAGTGCTTTCCCCCAGGAGATGCGTCGCTCCGACACCCGCAAGTCTGTTTCCAGCGTCGTTCTGTCCAAGCGCGGACCGGATGCTACTCCCAAGTATTCGCTGTGGACTTTGATCAAGTTTATTGCCTCCTTCAATAAAGAGGAGTGGAAGTATCTTGTTGTCGGTTTGTGTTTCTCCTGTCTCGCCGGTGGTGGTCAGCCTACCCAGGCCTTCCTCTATGCCAAGGCCATCAGCGCACTTTCTCTGCCCGCATCGCAGTACCAAAAGCTTCGGTCTGATGCCGACTTTTGGTCACTCATGTTTTTGGTCGTTGGTATCGTTCAGTTCATAACCTTCTCTTGCCACGGTGTCGCCTTCGCCTTCTGCTCCGAGCGACTCATTCGCAAGGCTCGCAGCCAGGCATTCCGCACCATGCTCCGACAGGACATCAACTTCTTCGACAAGGAAGAGAACAGCACTGGTGCTTTGACTTCTTTCCTCTCCACAGAAACCAAGCACTTGTCCGGTATCAGTGGCCAGACTCTTGGCACAATTTTCATGACCTCAACCACTCTGCTCGCCTCGATCATAATTGCTCTATGCTTCGGCTGGAAGCTGGCTTTGGTCTGCATATCTGTCATTCCTGTCCTTCTAGGATGCGGTTTCTATCGATTCTACATGCTTGCTGCCTTCCAGCGCCGGTCCAAGGTGGCATATGAGGGATCTGCCGGCTACGCCTGTGAGGCAACCTCGGCTATCCGCACTGTTGCCTCACTTACCCGTGAGTCGGATGTGTGGAGCATCTACCACTCCCAGCTGGATGAACAGGCCCACGTCAGTCTGATCTCAGTCACCAAGTCCTCCGTTCTTTACGCTGCCTCCCAGGCCTGCGTCTTCTTTTGCGTTGCTCTTGGCTTCTGGTATGGTGGTTCATTGCTTGGCAAGGGAGAGTACGACACATTCCGATTTTTCGTCTGCTTCAGCGAGATCCTGTTCGGGGCCCAGTCCGCCGGAACGGTCTTCTCCTTCTCACCCGATATGGGCAAGGCCAAGAACGCTGCGTCCGAGTTCCGGAAGCTTTTCGACCGCCGCCCGACTATCGACACCTGGTCTGAAGATGGTGAGACTATTGAACAGGTGGATGGCTCCATTGAGTTCCGCGACGTGCACTTCCGCTACCCGACCCGCCCTGAACAGCCCGTCCTCCGTGGATTGAACCTGAGCGTTCGTCCCGGTCAGTACATCGCCCTGGTTGGACCCAGTGGATGCGGTAAGAGTACCACCATTGCCCTCCTCGAACGCTTCTACGATGCCTTGTCTGGCGGAATCTTTGTTGACGGCAAGAACATCGCCGATCTCAACGTCAACTCCTACCGTAGCCACCTGGCACTGGTCAGCCAAGAACCGACCCTGTACCAGGGCACAGTCAAAGAGAATATTCTCCTCGGTATTGCCGGTGACGATGTGGCAGAGGAGCATCTGTTAAAGGCATGCAAGGATGCCAATATCTATGACTTCATCATGTCCCTCCCGTAAGTTATACCTTACCCTCTACTTTGGGAACAATCTAACAATTTCTAGTGACGGCTTCAACACAACAGTCGGTAACAAGGGCGGCATGTTGTCCGGCGGTCAAAAGCAGCGTATCGCTATCGCCCGCGCTCTCCTCCGCAACCCGAAGATCCTCCTTCTCGATGAAGCAACCTCGGCCCTAGACTCTGAGTCCGAAAAGGTTGTACAGGCTGCCCTCGACGCTGCAGCGCGTGGTCGCACAACTATTGCCGTCGCACATCGTCTCAGCACGATCCAAAAGGCTGACATCATCTATGTCTTTGACCAAGGCAAGATCGTCGAGAGCGGCTCACACAGCGAACTCATTCGCAAGAAGGGTCGTTACTACGAGCTTGTCAACCTGCAAGGTCTTGGCAAGAGCAGCTGATCTTTTTTCTTTTTTCTTTTTTCTTTTTCTTTCCATCATACCCCAATATTTTTTGCTTTCCCCTTATGTTTTAAAACTCAATTCACCCATACTCATCTCATCCCACCTCATATCTCGTCGTTTCGACCCCCATATTTACGGTTAAAAGCCTTTGACTACATTTTGCTATATCTTCTCATGTCCTTTCATTTACATGTTCTGCTAGGATAGATCTTGGTCGGGAGTCTGGTGGGGGTTTTGTGTATACCCGTCAACAGTAACAAAAACACGAATGTTATATTAGGTACCATAGAGAATGAAAATTATACAGTACTTTCCTATAATTATCGTTTTCCTTTGCTTTCAGTAAGAATTCAAAGTAAATATGGCTTCTTCCAGCTTGACTGATCTCTGAATAGCTTCAAACAGTGAAGTGACAAGGCCGATTAGAATTCGCCAGAGTAAGACAATGATAGTTGTTTTTGCTCTCTTCTCTACTTCTCTACTTCTCTACTTCATGAATCCACGAGTTATCTGCTGACCCATCCATCCTCCAGACGAGAACCCCAAAGAAAACCTCTTCTGAACATGATAGAAATTTTACGATTCCGGTGCAAGTCAAGGGTGATCTTGTTCCTCCATGATCAAGCAAACAAGCTGGTCTCCTGAATCCTCTTAATTCCTAAAGTCTCTGTCTCTTTCTCCTTTGTTTCCTCCAGAGCCAGAATTGCTGTCAGATCAGCTGGCTGTGTCTTTGCTCATGGTCTGTATTAGATCTACTGTCCTTGATAGAAGGCCTTTTAAGAGCAGCAGATAAATTAGCCTTCGCAGTTTTTAAGTCATGGTCCTCATCAGATTTATGGTCTAGAACAGAAGACTCCAACCATGAACTTGATAGACGCGTCGTCAGTGTGAGATGCTAGGCGATTGAAGTGAGAACTTATATTGTCGACCGCAAGTTTGAACTGTGATTGTACCCACAAAGTCGAGGGACTGGCCAAGGATCGATATAGATCCAAAACAGCCTCAGTCGACCCAGGGGTGATGGACCGAGCAGCTGGACTGTAAGACCTGACTCTGAATCCCAGTCAAAAACCAGAGACAAGGCATTTGTTTCGTTGGCCCTCACAATCCATAGTTAAAGTCCATATTTAAAAATCTATATCCTGCGACCAATAGACTTTGAAATAATGTGGACGTGGCTTGCCTTCTTGCCTCGGGTTGCCTTCTGTTTGTTGAATGAGAACACTGGCCGGGTTTTACTTCAGCAATGGTGGCAATTGAAAATTGGTTGCAATAGCTTTTGTAGAGGTACCACAGCTTTTTCACTGCTTGTTGGAAGCGGGAAGTCGTCCAGGTCGTCGTAGCCGGCGTGCTTTGTTCCAGTCATAGACTTGCGTTTTTTCTGGCACTGCGTGCTGGGGCTAAAAGTAGTCGATGCTGTCATCATTAGTTTGGATTGTAGCCTCCCAAAGCAAGTGATGCCGGGTGAAATGGAAAAGTGATTGTTCAAAACTTGCCGAAGAGTCAGCCGGTGACATCTCTAAATCCTGTCATGGGAAACGAAAAAGGTGAGCCTATCTCATTGTGTTAGGGCTTTTGTGATGCCATTGTCGGTTTTTCCGACGGGGAACTAACCCCAGGAGCCCCAAAGAGATATGAAGCTGCATCTACAACTTTCACCCACAGTCCTGTGGAAACAGGGGTGAAATCTGATAGGCTCTAGGTCTTTCCGCGATATAAGGTACCGTCTTGTACCAGCTGGTCGAGATGTGAATTCATGCGCATTTCACCTCCTACTTGACTGACATTGAAAGTGTCGACTGAAAGGTTTGACTTGCTTTCCAGTTGTAACTTGAGACAATGAGTCAGTGTGTGAAGAAATAGATAAAGCCGGTCACCTGTCGATGTATCTTGCCCTAAGAACCATCTGGCTATCCGCTGCGTACGAGAAGCCCAAGTAGGCCTATCTGACTATTCTGAAAAAGTTGCCCGGAAGCAGAAGCATATTCATCGCCCAGCCAATATATAGCAGCAAGATAGAATCTAGAGACTAATTTCACTGTGGAAGCACGTCTTTTTCCAGATTGGTGGACACATCTTCTCTGTTTCTTTTGTTTATTAATTTCATGAAGTTGAAAAGGTCAGAGATGCCAAGCTATTCTCCATTAATGAGGAAGAGACTATTAGCATTTGTTTCAGCAAACTCGTTGACTACATGTCGGAGAATTTTGTCTTTGAATTCAACTCTTTACTACAAACAATCTCTGATATTGTAGATGGCCCTGGACCAACTTATCACTTCTCGATGTTTACCACTGTATACTACCCAGTTAGCCGAAATACCTGCGTAATAAGACCATTTGAGCACGGTTTGCTCGGGAAATACCCTATCACCCTTCGGGTCATTAGACTCTACCTAGGTAGGGCTCAAAACAAAATATTGCATATCAATCAGCCATGAAGGTGACACGACCTCGGGAACTTCTAAGCGTCTCCAAGGTTCTTTTTTATTTTAGTGATTTACGATGTACAGCCTCGGCAGAATTTTCTCCTGACTATGATATTTTGGCTGGAGCCCGGATCAGACTGCTGAAGCTAAGATGGCTTGCTGGAAGATAATACTCTGTAAGAGTGGAGCACGAATAGTATGTAAATACGCTAGTCCTAATAAGGCATTCTAGATCAGGCTAAGATCGACGTTGCCTGATCTGGCCTTGCGTTTCCGTTTCCATGTTCATTTCTTTGCAACTCTCTTCCAGTCAACGGCCATCCCCACTCCTACATATATCGTTATGGGGCTACTATCACGAAGATCATTATGCGCTCTCGTCTTGATGGCCGGCATCGCTGCCGCCCACGGTGGTCATGAGGCTGTACCCGAAGGCTCCGCTATATCACTAGAACCTCTTGTTCGTACTCTGCGCGCATCATTCCAAGGATGTATTTACTAATATGATATTTGGCAGGATACTACACTTTGGATACACATTTTACTTATGGGACTCTCTTTTGGACTCATCTTCCCCTTGGGGATGGTGCTTGGAGTGCGTATACTTTTGTCCCTTCCGTCTTCTATCTATTAACCGTCTTGCCAGATGGTTCGCTCACGCTGGCACGTCCCTGTTCAAACGGTCGGTACCGTTATTGCCATCGTGGCCTACTTTCTCGGACATGCGCATAAGGGTCGTCAATTCGGCAAGAACGTTCACGCTTCCGTTGCGAATTGGTTGATGTTGCTCTTGGTGGTCCAGGTCGTGCTGGGCGTTTATCTGAGATTGCATCTTGAAAAGGCATTCCAAGGTCGGATTCGATGGATATTTGTCCGGGCCCACGGTATTATCGGCAAGATCATGCCCGTCGTCAGCTGGACGCAGATGCTGTTCGGTGGTATTACCGCGCTTGGTTTCTGTCAGGGTGAGCATACCGGACAATGTGCGGCGCATTTCATTATGGGTAGCGCGTTCGTCGCGTATGGTATCACATTACTGGTTCTGTTGCTAGCTGGTCAGTATTGGCTGCGCCGTACTGGCCGCAGTCAGGAATTCTTCGACTCGGCTGTTATTGCCGCGTGGGGCTGTGTCAATACCTTTACCGAGCACCATTGGGGCGGGGAGTGGGTCAGGAATGACCTGCAGCACACCCTTATGGGTGTCATATGGTGGTGTGCTGGTTTGTTGGGCATGTGGATGAGCCGTACCAGAGGGGGTCAGCCCAAGCGCAACATCATCCCTGCTATTGTCATTATACAGACTGGCTATTCCATGGGTGCTCACCCCCAGACTCTGATGATCAGTACCATGATACATACTTTCTTTGGATATACACTGATGGCTGCCGGCGTTGCACGTATCATTGAAATCTCTTTCGTGCTGCGCGATAAGCCTGCCATTGACATGAGTGGCTCTGACCCGAACAGCTTTCAGTTCCTGACTCCATTCGTATGTTCCCGCTTCTTGCCTTGTCTTCGAATTTATACTAACCGTCTCAGTTACTCTGCGCCTCTGGATTTTTGTTCATGGGTGCTACTGAGGAGCAGATGCAACTGCTCGCTGACGCTGATATCAGCCACGTTGCATACTTGCTAATCTTGTTTAGCATTACTTTCATAGTGTTCCTCTGTAGGTTATCCTCTCCCCTTCTATCACCCCTCTTCTTTCTAATCCAGTTCCAGTTGCCCATATCTTGATTCACGTTTACGCTGTGCACGTCTTCCCCAGGGATGACGATACTGAGACCGACGCCCGTGGCAAGTATGGAAATGCCAATGGCCGCCACGGGAACGGCCGTGTACGTTCATCCTCCGACGCCCAGCGCATCCAAGATGCAGAGGGCTTCGAGCTACAGGGTCTTGTCAGCGACGAGGAAGAGGGTGAGTCCTCTCTCGGTCCTAGGAGGACTAGTGACGAGGAGCTGGGCCGAAAGGAAACACCCTGAGTACATTTGCATGGTGCTAATTTGTTTTTCCTTTGCTATTAGCAGGAGCTGTATATTGACTTGCTTAGTTTGCCATCTGAACATACTGCCCAAAATATAGAATCGTTAATGTGCTTTTTTTTAATGTGCCAATCCTGCTAATCCTGCTGATAATCGTCAAACTCGTGTAAATAATTCTAGACCCATTGCTCTCTTGCTCCAAGACCGTTGCCATTTCGATACCTGAGCATGTCCATCACCATCTCGATCTAATACTGTTGTTAATTCAATCCAAACCTTAAAACTAACACCGCCTTGATCCAATACTGTTGTCATATTGGTACATGCCGACTGGCCCTCAATCCAGTGTTATTGATTCTTGAGCAGATGCTGCTACAGCGGCTGGAACAATGCTATTGGCAGCTGTTTCAATTGCAGCTGAAGCGGCACTTGTATGGATCGGGATTGTCATCACTCCAGGAGAAGGGAAAAACGGATGAAGAGGGTATATGGGACCGATGGAGGTCTCGCCATCAAACAACAACATATTCTGTAGCGGCTGTTCCCGATTCGTGATGACATTAATTGCATCCTGAGCTAGGTAACCGCCCAAGAATGCGGCTACGGGACTAACTTCCAACCCCAAGTTCTGCAAAAACTTGCGGATGAAGACGCTGCTCAGATTTTCCATTTCGAGGTTCAGTTCCCGGTGGCTTTTTACTGCAAGTTCTGTGAAGCGGGCAATATCTTCGGCTGAGGAGGGGGGCTTATGGCCTTCAGATGTTTTCTCGAATTCCCATAGTGCACGAAGACAGCTGATTAGAGGTGTCACTTGCTTTCTGCGTCTGGCAACTGAGGTGAACTCTTTGGGTAGGGGGGAGGTATTCGCCAGAATGAGGGGGGAGTACGTTTCGCGCTTGGTGACAAGTTCAATGGTGTTTTTGCCTTGTTTCTTCCTGGTAATAGACACAATACTCCTAGTTTGAGTCTCCTGCGGCGATGGGGAAAAGTTTGATTTCTGGCGTTCAATCACAAAATCATGAGAGATAAGATCGGCGAAAACGAAGCCGTACATTCCGTGGAGACCAGCTGCATAGAAGGGGCGGTTGGCTACACGACAGGCTGCATTGATGGTTGTATTTGCGGTGAACTCTAGATCGGTTGCAATGATCATATCGAACTGGGCGAAGAAGGTGGGATCTTTCAGACGAACGTCTGAGGTATCGATTGACAGTTTGACACGTGGGTTCATGCGGCGAATTGGAGGGGCTGCAACTTCGGCGCGCTAGAATGAAGGTCAGTACGTCTTTTCATAGTTGGGACTGTAAATATACATTTTTGCCTTTTACAACGATACTCTCATCTTCTGTGAAGGCTGCAGCCAGGAAGAACGAGCTGTCGATATCGTGTTGTGTCACTGGTTCGTGATCGATGATGGTGAGTGAGCCAATGCCTGCTAGCACTAGGTTCTTCGCAACTTCATTGGCGATTGCCTTCGCCGTAATTAGGAGAATGCTGGCTGAGCGAAGTCTGGGAATATATATTTAGCATTTGTTTATTATGTTTGAGGCTTGGGTAGCTCACTGTGTTTGACCTTGCACTCCCCAAAGTCGAATCTGTCGATCGTATAATGCGATTTCATCTTGAATGAGGTTTTAGTGGAATAGGATCACATCGAATCATAGAAATCATACCAGCGGTGATGTTGGGATCCATATCACTCTCCATTTTGAGGAAAATTGAAGGAAACTGCTGAAGAAGGACAATGGTGGAGAGTGAACCGTTCGATAACTAAATAACTAAAGCTTCCCCCACAAACGATGATCTAATAGATCACGTGAATCCGCTTTAAGGCGAGCACTTCACTTCATCACATTCATGATATATATTTTACTGATTTACATACTTCGCTTAATCGATATCTATTTCTCGTATTGCGTCCTCTATTTATTCCTCTGTGAATCCTAGATAGCCGATTTTTTGTAGTGGTGACCACACAGCATGGTTTGTTTCATATTCCTTGTTCCTACCCAACTTCATACTGACAGATCGAAAGTCAAGGAACTACGACCATCCGCCTGCCTCTTCCCGTCGCCCTAACCGATCATCTCGTTTTCGTATTAATTCTCCTCAGCCACCACCTGATCGAGCTCGTACTTTTGCCGAGCGGTACACCAGGGCATTTAGACTAGCTGAGCAGCTCAGCGATGATCCTCCAAGCGAGCTCGAAGTACTCTTAGCCACTGAGATACCTCCCCCACAGGAAACTCAGACCACCAACCCGGGCCCCAGAGTCTTGACGCACCTCCGGAACCTGATTAACTCAGACAGCAACCACTCAAATTCAGATGAGACTCTACGAGCAATCGAGACTTTGAATCAAATCGAAGCCTATCAGAGCGAGCAAGCCAGCGTTGATCAAGCTCGAGCTTACTTTGAGCACCATCTACAACGACTTCAATCCTATTCGACCCCGGAAGAACGTAGAGCCAGACTTTTGGACCAGGCCACCAGGGGTTTAACACCTACTGCTCCGAGACTCCGTCGTCGATCATTTAGACCTGACCTACGTGAATCACTCCCACCGCCATCTAGCATGTCTCTTAACGCTTCAAATTCCCCAGATGACCACGGTCGAGCGAAGCGCCGTAAGACAGATGCCGATGACAATAGGGAGGGTGAATCAGCCATATTCAATTACGGCCACCATGGTCAAGTTGTTCCTGGCCCTCTGAAGATGCAGGTTGCCAGCTGTGACGGTGGGATATTTGGTCCGGATGGAGGCAGCTCTTTTCCGGAGAATGTCCTGCGCAGTGACCAGTCGGTCTACTGTTCCAAGTCTGGTAGTTGCAATCTTATTCTTCGTCACCTGAACGAGGCACCTTTTTGCCTCACGAAAATAGTTTTCAAGACTCGAAACGGGTATGAAACACCAAGCCAAGATGGTATGGTATTCGTGTCTATGTCATCCGAGGATTTGACCACTATCACGAATATACAACCCACTATTGATCCGACTTCGCGAAGGTATCGTCGTTCTCGGCGGACGGGCGTACAACCTTCTGAAGAATACATGATTGGTTTTCGATCTCCACACCTGTCTCTTAGCCTCAACAGTGACTCCCAGTCTACGACCGAGAACCTGTCGACCACCGAGAATCTGTCAACCACTGAAAACACCGAGCACCAGTCAAACGAATTACAGGAAGATTTTCGCGTTACCACTGAGTACCACGATAACTCCGATTCTCCGGATGATGCCTTCATGGAATGCGAAGATGAAGATGAACTGCCCATTATCGATATCGCAGAAGAGGATTCTAGCGAGGACGAAAGCGCAAGCTGGGAGGAAGACCCCGAAGATTCCAACGTCCGCACCTTCAACCATCGCCGCCTACTATTAACGCGCCGTATTGATGCTATGCGCTTACAAAATTCTGATACCCTGCGACGACGTCAACCCCCAAGTTTGGTTGATCCAATTCCAATCTCCTCTAATGCCAGTCCTACACCACAATTACTCAAACCTCTTGCCCATTTCTCAATAAGCAGAGAAAAGAGCGTTGTGACCCTCAAATTCGACCCAGCCCCGTACGTCTTTTCACAATGTCAATTCCCCAATTTTCAAACTCTGATCTAATCATTCATTTTTATAGCTCTTGCCGGTTCATTCTGATTAAGCTTTGGAATACCCGATCTGATGGAAATATTGATATCCAGAGCATTCGTGTTCATGGATACGCGGGGCCTAGATTCTTCCCAAGTATGGGGGTGCGATGAGCTAGCAATATTCAATCTGCTTTTGTCTTTTCAAAGTTTTTAGTAGAACGGTTATGAAGTTACGGAATGAAATGATGTTATGGCTACAGGGCTTTATATCGAGGAAGCATTTTGTTTCCAGTATATTTACTCCAAGTATCTCCCTCCAGACAGCTTCCAAAGAATAATACCTAGGTGACGCATGAAACTTGTAAAATACCACATCTTAGCACCTCTCGATGTCATTATTTGACTGATCTTTGGCATTCATATTATAGTTAGAAGCGACCAATATCAATTGATGCTACAAGTACATTCAATAAGAGCAGCAATCTTGAAAGATGTCGTAATAACGATAGTATTAATGAACGGTGATGTGAAATATGATACTTAGATATGGTCAATTTAAATTTTGAACGCTGCGCACGCAGAGTTGATAAAACCTCTTCTTATTTCAACACCTTCTCTTTCTATTTCACTTTCACTTTCTATTTCTCTTTCCCTCCTTCATCCCCTCGTTTGCAACATTCAATTTCACATTCACCTCTGCACTTCCAAGCTTTGATTCATTAACCCAACTAGGTATCTGACAACATGGTGAGATCTCAGTAATTCTAAAATGAAATTGAACTGACACAGTCTAGGATCCCTGTCCCGAGTATCACTGGTTCATGTACGGAAAAAGTGGCACCTTTCCCATGATGATGGACCCTACTAGCTCTGATGAGGCTTCCTGTGCCAGCACCACTGTCGACACCACCGTCGATGATACCACCGCTACTGTGACCAGCCCTGTCGACTCTCCCATCGAGAAGATTACTACAACTTTGCCCAGCACACCCATCACAAAGCGCTTCCGTGACTTCGGATCGCTCTCTTCCCGAAAGGAGAAGGGCAAGGTAAATGCACTCATTGAAACTCCCACCAAGGTGGAGGTCTTGAAGGACAAGAAGGCCAGGAAGTCACTTCTGGAGACACCTAACAATGTGGATGGCGACGAATCTACTACCAAAAACTTCCACGCCGACTTTGATGCTGGCATCCCCGACAGTGCCCGCAAAAGAATGGAGACTTCTCGTATCTTTTGTGACCTTCTGACTACTGCGAATGATATCTTTGCCCGCAGCCGAGTCATCAAAAGCCATGAAAAGGTTATCAACACTCCTGCCGCTCAAGATATCATCAACAGACATATTCAGCGTCTGGAGCTGCTGGATCGCACCCACCGTGACCTTGTCGCATTCGAACAGGAGCTTGAGAGCTTGCCTGAGGATAAGGCCCGCAAGATTCGGGAGTTGCGTGACCGGATTTACGTCCTCTACCCCGAGCTTGACCCATTCGTCATGATCAATGGCGATGTCATCCGTCCCCGTCCCGCTGATGCGCCCTCTCCGTCGAAGGGCTACGAATTTTCGAAGTTCTAGGTACTGGTTCTTCTGAGTGGTTTGTTGGTTGGTAGAGAGGTATGACGAGTTTCCTTTTCTTTAAGTTGAGACTCCATCCACTGGTGTGTAATACCAATGCCTCTGTCGACCCACTCCACCATCTTGAATATTCTTTTCTTTTCTTGTCTATGTCATGAGTTGGAATCATGACTTGCCCTGTTAAGATACCTTTTTCTCTTTCTATATGAACAGATGATTTCCCCCTCTCGCTATGACATATTCACTGGTTTTGTCTAGTGGATTTCTTACATGTATTGTTTTGAGAGGTCTCTTACTTCTCTTTTCCTGGGATATGAATATTTCTATCTTCCCCCACGAAATGTTCTCCGTTTATTATGTTGCAGGCCCATTGCCAACAATGTTGTGTGCTGAATAATGACGTTGATTTAACCATTAACTAATGAGGCTCGGTTTGGTAATAACCGTGATATGAGTTATGACTTCGATGTAAAAATATGCAGATTATCAATGTGCAGATTATCAATATGAAGTAGACATGGTTCATACTTCATACATCACACTTTCTGAATAGAACTTTCCAACCTATCACTTGACGAATTTATCAAAATCACTGGATGGCGTTAGCATTCCGAAGTTCAGCGGAGTTGGGCAGCTACATCACTGCTCCCAAATTCCTTGGCTTTGACCCCCAAGTCATTGGCCTCAGATTTGCTGACCTGCCATTCAACACCTTTGATATCTACTCAGGTGGTTTGCCGCCTTTAGGAACGATGAATTCCGCCTTATCGATGGGGGGTCAATCGTATCATTGGAACTAGGCGGAAAGACGCTATTTAGCAAGGATTACACAAGAAATTCTATCTTCCCAAAATGAGGTTTAATGTAAGTATAGGAGCAGTGGTTCTCTGCAATCTAAAATAACAGGCATATAGGGGAACAGGATATCAACGGCAAGGTCATCTCTGCAAGCAACAACTGCTCGCGCAGGCAATTTCTTTAATTCCGCTTTCTGATATCATACCTAGGTACCTTTGGGTTAAACGTATACAGCAAGAGATCCTCATAGACAAGATCCAAACTCGGCATGTGCTATAATCAATCGGCCTATATATCCATAAATCTACAATCTGAGTACTAACCTAGTATATTATTCTGGGGCCCGAACTCTCCAAAAAGATAGAAGAGGCAAAGTTCGATTCCCTTGATGATGATACGACCGAGGAAATGGGTTATGTCATATTTGATTTACAATAACTATCCCTTACTCTTCTCTTATTAATCCGTGACTTACGATGTTTTGAGAGAAATCATTCTTGTATCCGGAGAGTAGCTATAAGAATGAGCCCCCATGGTATAACAAGAATACTCTGTGGCCACTGGTCACCATGCGAAACCTGCATCAAAATGTTCTCAAACATCACTGCGGTTGTACTGATGGCTTTCACTATTTAGATATTTATTATTGAGAAGGAATCTAGGGCCCTTAAGAGAATAGGAACCTTTCAAAACTTTCATGACCTCCTGACCATGGCGAATGATATCTTTGCCCGGAGCCGCATAGTCATGAACTATGAGAAGATGACCAACACTCCTGCGGCACAAGATATCAACAACCGGCACATCCAGCGACTCGAGTTGCTGGAATTTACCACTGATTTTGGTTTACTTTATTCTAAAAATATGATAGATTTTAAACTAAGAAGGTTCTTAGTTAAGCTTACGGATTCCATCATTTTTACCACTTCTTGACTCCACGAGGATTGAGGTGTCCTTAATGACCTTTCTACTACAGATGGAGTTAATCAGTACTGGTACCAGAGTCCAATCAATCACCTTTATCTGCATTAAGGAGCATCAAGACCGCATTTGATCTATGATTTGGATGTATGAACTTGACTGGGGATTGATGTGATCTACATAGCGCTAAAGAGATAACCTCAGTGGAGTAGCAATGTAAATTCTCTCAGGTACCAGCTCCAAACCTGGCAGGTCATAGGCATGTAGCAGATATAATTCGTCACGTCCATTCCTTCTCCTAAAAGATAGACCCACCATCTTTCGGGAATACTTCTCCACCATGTTTCGTGCTTCACGGCCACGTGCGAAGATCTTGTACAGGAAGACAGTATTTCTGGATTGTGGATTTGATTTGGCACCGGTCAATGCAAGTAAGGCACAGGATCACGCATTGACTCGAATATATGAAGCCATGCAGCCGACCGGATTTGGAGATCGCTAGTGTTCCTTATTAGCCACTAGTGCTCCATGAATCAGACGATAAAATAATAATCATAACAGGTGATATTCCCCACAGAAGTCCGCAAGGAGTCTGGCAGGAAGGATAACCTCTAGTGATTTGAAGGATATAACAGTCAGTTACATTCTTTATCTTTGTTTTAAACATTGCTTGATGGGGCTGGATGAGTAGACTAAGTCGTATATGGTTAGCGTAAATCATTGCAGTTTGGCCCCACTTGAAACGGCGCTGCTAAAGACAAAAAGCTGATTGTAGCATTTATAAGTCGAATTTTCTCAAATTTTCACAATTTCTGACATTTTGGATCATCATGATGTTTTGATGTTTTTGCAGAGAAAACTTTCACCCTAAGCTACGTCCAATCGAAAATATGAAAGCAAATCAAGCACGAGGCGAATTGGCCCACGTGGATTCCTGCGGGATTTGGGCTTTAATTTTCATCTACAACCAATCACAATCATCCAATTGAGTGTATGTACTTTAGCCCCCCCCCGTACTAATAACACACTAACCTCTAAAAAGTTGAAAGGATGGGATCGATTACGATTTTTGGCTTGAAGAGAATGGGGCCAGAATCCATTAATCTTCTCAGGAAATGGGTCGCCCCAAGGCTGCATGAGAGACCTATGGCATTTAGGGGCAGGCTTAACCCTGTTTCGAGTTCATGACAAGCTTGGATTCTTGATTATTATCTATATGGCCTCACTGTAAAATTCTTCATCAAGGTCTTTGCTGAATCGCTGCCATGAACCTCACAGAGCTTAACGCTGAGAGTATCACGTTACTAATAGGGGCTGCACCCTCTGATGTAGACTTGACCGAGTCGCGCACTACTAAGGACAATGCGACTGTTGTCAGTCTTTGTGGGGTTGCTGTGATAATCATTCTCTTTCGCTTCATTGTCAAGTTTCGCAGTTTAAAGCCTAACTTGAAGATCGATGACTGGATCATCGCCTTTGCACTGGTTTGTTATTCTACATCCTTTGTTATTGACTTCATGCTGACTGCTAGCAGGTCCCACTTATCGCCATTCTGGCTTCGGCCCTAGTTGGTATGTTCCCACAACACTTGCGATCACAAATTCCACGCTCACATAGCTACAGCTGGCAATTATGGAATGGGAAAACATATCTGGCTGTCGACAATCGGCGGCATGGTTAAAATGCGACAGATTCTTTACGCATCCTTGATCGTATATCTTTTGGAACTATTCGTTATCAAGCTCTCTATTCTCGCCTTCTACCGCCGTGTCTTTGGAATGAACTATTGGAACTGGGCTGGTGTTATAGCAACCACTATATGGGCATTCGGCAGTCTGGTTGCCATTCTCTGCTGTCCGGCTCCCGTCTCATACTTCTGGAACTCAACTATTAGCACTGATGGTACATGGCGCTATAATTTCTACAACTACTATATCGGCAACGCGGCAGGAAACGTTGTTACCGATGTATTCATTCTTTTCGTCCCAGTGCCGACTGTTTGGGGCTTGGATGTACGAATCACTCAGAAAATCAGTATCAGCATGGTTCTGCTGTTAGGTGTCTTGTGAGTACTCTTTTGATCTGATGTTCTTTGGCCGTTGCTAACATTCGTTCAGTGTCTGCATTGCAAGTATTGTCCGCATCCATTACCTCACATTTCTCAAAGACGAAACCGACATCACCTGGACAATAAGTCAAGTCTACGTTTGGTCAACCGTAGAACCCTGCGTCGGCATCATCTGCGCCTCTCTACCAACCCTGAAGCCTGTCATTCGATCAGCCATGAAAGCAGAGCACTTGATGTTCTTCAAAAATACCTCAAAGACATTCCGCAGATCAACCTCGATGCACGATTTGAGGAATCGAGCCAATGCAAGCCGCCACAGCAACCACAGCACTCACAGCAAGAATATAGCCTCTCAAAGCTCGTTTGAGGCCAAACCTGACGATTACCCGACTAACAATGATAAAATTGGGCTGACTTCGACCGTTGCACACGTGGTTCGCTCAAGGAGGGCTGGCAAAGAGCTCGAGGAATACCTAGGCCCTATGTTTATTCGGGTGGAACGGGAGTTGGAGTGGACTATTGATCGTACATCTTCCTTTCCGTCCGAGGGATGATACGGAGTTACGTTGCCAGTCTAGGCTATTACTTTTCTCTACTTTCGTTAATGATACCAATTTTTTATTTCTTTTATTGTCATATGAGTGCCATGTAAGTATGAAGTCTTAGCTTATGAACTGATACCTTCAAATGAATAACCCCACAGATGAAGATCTCTGACATAGTCTTATTTTACACGGGTTGCGAGATCGGCATATTGTAAGACCCATGACATCATGCTAGCCCTACCTTTCTCAGCTCTGGACTAGTCTTACTTTCTGATATCATACAGCTTCAACGTCGTATAGCCAGCCAGATCACATATCAGTCCGTATAACAAAATTAGGAGGAATGCGGGGTGATGGTGAAGGATTGCCCTCGTGGAAAGTGGAATATAGATGAGCAGGATCAAGCGTGCTCCTTTACTCAACTGCCGTAGACATGTATAAATCTCTCAGGATTTGGGGGCCTGAAGACAGCAGCCAATCCGTGGATACGATAAATCCGATCTCATTATTTGAATCCCAGAAAACGTGGCTATATGCAGCTCTTAGTCAGGGGTGATGAGTAAAGATGAGGGGCCAGATTAACCTCGTGGCCTGTGCCATATATCGATCTATTCCGTTTCAGGAAGGTCAGGCAAGATGGTATATCCGTTTTCGCTTACTGAGTCAGTGGGATTAAATTTAAGCTATCGGCACATGCTAATATATCACTCATCCACATCGCGAGGATCGTGCGTCTTCCAATACTGAGCGTACTCCTCGTCAGTCTGGCTTGAAACTGCGTCATAGCGTGTAACAGGGCCAAGAGGAATGCCCATCTTCTCAAACTTCTCGATACGCTTTCTCGTTAGTTCGTGGCTTTTGTTGATGCTGTAGACCTTGATGCGATGCGCCGAAGATGTCACATGTAGACCCCAGTTCCAGGCCGCGCGGATATTGAGAGGTTGAGTGTTGAGTGAGTTATCCCAGCAGCGGCAGACTATCTCGATCCATCCTTCCACATCGCATGGTAGATCAATCTCCCATGTTCGCCACACCCACTGACCCTTTTTGGACAGATTCTCTTCCGGCACTGCATACCACGAGAATCCACCATCCGCTGATAATTCGACGCGTTCTGGCCAGCGACCTCCGCCGGAGTAAGCCCATCCTTGGCATTTGATTGAGCCGTTGTGGATAACGGCTTGCTTGGTCCAGGGTGACATGATGGCTGAGCTGACAGGCATTTCCTGAATCTGGATACCGTCCGTTGGACGGAGGTTGTACTTTCCAATTTGCTGGTTAAAATATAGATACTCCTTGCTCTGCACCGGGGCCATGGAAGGATTTTCGATTGCCTTGATGCGGTACAGCCACTTGACACTTCGCGCACCAATATACCCTAACACGACGACCCGTAGAGGGTATCCGTGGATCTTGGGTAGTGGCTCGCCGTTCATTTCCCAGGCTAGGATTACCTCGTTGGCTTTCACCTTGGACCACGGAACGCTGACAACATAGTTGCCGACCTCCAAGTCCTTGACATATGTCTCTGCGCCGTAGAGCTCAAGGTGCTTAGCCGGTTCGATCAGACCTCCACAGTCTTTGATCAACTTCTTCAGACTGATACCCACATAGCGAGCTGTACTGATGGCACCTTCTGCCCAAGGCGCCTGTGGGACCTCGTCACCCTGTCCGCCGTACAGACTAATTTGTTCAATGCGACGGGTACCAGAGCACTGGATCGTCACAGTTCTTTCCATCCGAGGGAATCGGCTTTCATCCATGATATCATCCAGGTTGTATTTCTTCGGGGTTTTCACCAGTCCATCGAGGGATAAATCCCAGTTATCCTTGTCGATGATGGGAATCCCGCCGTGGTTCCGCACGAAATGGAGTGGGTTTGGTGTGATTGCCTTTGAGGTAACGAGTCGCTTAGGAGGCTCGCCGTTATATGGGAACTGGAGAAGGTGAAGCATATCTGGGTGTTTTTCCTCCAAAACTATCCTCCACGAGTCGTCCGCTGCATCGGCCAGCTCGCCACCTATGGCTGCGTGCCACGCTTTGAAGTCATCGCCTGTCAACACAGGGTTGGTTCCTGGAATTGGACCAAACTGATAGTCGGGACATTCCGGGAAGCTCTGAGAAGTGAGGATCTTGTGTGCCTTTTTCTTTTTCTCGGGGTAATTTTCCCATTCGACATAGCTGCTTTGGTTAGCCGAATAATTAAATCACAGTAATGGCGAAAGGGATGAACCCTCACCCTTTCCAACCTTTTCGCTCTCGAGCAAACAGCTTTGCACGATCACCGACCGACCGAATCGCCGCTTGATCTTGAACAATCTTTGTGGGCCCCGCGGGGTATATATGCACTGTTCCCTTTCCGCTCTGATCAAGGATAGGCAGCTTGTGACCTGCCATACCCTGTTCAATCATCCACTCATCAGGACGATTGGTAGTATCTACCGAGGCGCGTCTCGCAGTGAGGGTAGACATGACGGGTCAACTCCTGATACTTGGTAGAATGGATTCCAACGGGAAATGCGCAGGTCAATGCGGGGTATCAACGCCTTTTTATCATTTTCATCTTACTGTGTGATACTGCTAATCAAGATCGCCATTTAGCTTCCAAAACCCTGGAATTCATGGGTCTACCTTGCTCTTGCTTGGCGGAAGACTCGGAATGACCTCACACTGGTCTATACTTGAAACTATGACCAATCAATCCCTTGCATCAACGAACTACGCATCCGATTTTGACTTGTTCAGCTTATCTTGAGGGCCCTTAGCGTCGACTGATATATATTTGACTATTCAATTGGTCAATCATGGCATGCCACGTACTTTCAAGCAGAGTTTTGACGGAAAATGCACGTCTTCGCTACTATTCAAGGCTGGATTTGTGGTATAGAGCGTATTGATAGGTAGATGGGTCCTAGCTCAAGCCCTTTGAGCCCGATGTCTCAACTGTTATATGTAATGGTGTAGATAGCATGAATTACTCTAATTACCCGGAGGCTGCATTGTCAGGCAACACTGCTGCACAAAAAAGACCCAATACTCGAAGTTGAACCATTTGGTAGGAAGAGTGGATTGTCACATGGCATATCCCGTACAAAATATGCACAAGAAGGAAACTTTGAATGGTCTCCTTGCTCTAAGGCAGGCATGTTTCACAGCCAACAATAGGCCCGCATAGTCTCTTGGAGTACTGAGTACATACACAATTCTAGATACGTACAAGAATATCGTCAATTGGCTAAAAATAGTGATATTAATTCGCATGCTACTGCCAAATTGTGCTTTTGTACAGCTTAGACCGTTGATCTTTCCCTTGATGGGTTTCTAGTGCTGCTCTCTTGAACTTAACCCCTCATTAGCCTGAATACATACAAAGTCAGTAGTACTACTTTTCTCGTTTACGGAGTCTCTTGTTAATAAGTTGATATTCATTAACACCTAGGCATATGCCATTCAATGGAGGTTCTCACTTACAAGTTACTATGTCCTGTTTACTGTATTACGTGAGCTTTTCGGGACTGCTATGCCCCTGGGCTAGATTCTGCCACCATTGAGATACCTAACAGGTACCTAGGTAAACTCCATGTGCCTTATTTTCCATACTGGATGGGTCTTCCTAGGTGCCGCCGCTTTTATGAGGGCGCTCAGGGTCAGGGTCAAGCACACGAAATTTCATGTCAAAGGCCCGATTCCATTTACAGTTAGTCTATTTTTAGTCAGCATTGGAATCCCACCATACACATACACACATACGCATACTAGAATCCACTATTCCTTTGGTAGTCAGACCTCCATTTGACATCTCATTTCCATCACGTGATCGATCAGTATCAACTTTTAGAGGTATGGGTGATTGATTGGTCTTGTAACTAAGCGTTCCAAAGGATATAAGGCGTTAGTTTCCGTAAATTAATTGTGTAAGAGTAGTAAGGTTCCTCGAATGAACGACCATTTTAGTGAGACCTGATAATTATTGGTGGCATAATACGTATATAAAGTACCCGGCGGTGAAGATCGGGATCTAACTATTCATGGTCTAGCGTCGGTTCTAGGGTTGGATTAAGTTCCGGGAAAACGTACTATGGTAGTATAAATATGATAACAAGCTCGGCATGTGCTTCGTCACTTCACGTTTTTGCCGCTATCAAAAATGCTGCTATGTGCTGAGATGTGTTGCACACTAAGTGTGCCAAATACGGTAGTTATAGAATCATCTCAAGAGGTTATCTCTCCAAGATCTTTCTCAGCCGCCCCGGTAGAAAGCATCAAGTGTCTGGCAGACGTACTATCAAGTTATGTTTCTCTTTTATACAGCTTCACCAGAAAAGGAATTGTAGGGCCGAAGTACTCCGTCCGAATTTTTATCAGACCCCACTGTAAAGGAGGGAAGGGAGTTGAGTTTAAAATGCGACCGGAAAACTGGCCAGTTTTTCGGCTAAATAGTTATTCCATAGAACTGGCAGAAATATTGGCAAAAAAATAGATGCCTGAATTTGTACGCAGGGGGGAGTCAATATACTAGAAGGGGGAGTCAACTTAAGTTGACCCTTAATATATAGGAAGAGAACCGCTAAAAGAAGGGATATTTCAGCTAGAAGACAACAGCCCCTTTTCGGAATAACTACTTAGAGGGACCATTTCCTACCAATAACGCTATCTAGCCAAATATATCGAGGCTGTCGGCGCCTTTTTCGATGAACAGCTCAGCAACTGCCGAGTGCCCACTGTCAGCTGCTAATTCTAGTGCTGTTGTGCCAAATACATTCGGTCCCTCAAGGTTGGCCCCGTTTTCGATGAGTAGCTGAGCAAGTTCCAAATTCCCATCTTGTGCTGCTAGAAGCAGTGGTGTTCTTCCATATTCGTCTTGGCTCTCAAGGTTGGCCCCTTTTTCAATGAGTAGCTGAACAAGTTCCAAATCCCCATTCTTTGCTGCTAGAAGCAGTGGTGTCCTTCCATATTTCTCTTGGCTCTCAAGGTTGGTGCCATTTTCGATGAGTAGCTCAACAATTTCGAACTTTCCACTCTCTGCTGATAGGAGCAGTGGTGTCCTTCCATCTTTGTCTTGGCTCTCAAGGTTGGCGCCGTTTTCGATAAGTAGCTGAACAAGTTTCAAATTCCCATTCTTTGCTGCTAGAAGCAGTGGTGTCCTTCCATTTTCGTCTTGGCTCTCAAGGTTAGCGCCTTTTTCGATGAGTAGCTGAACAAGTTCCAAATTCCCATTCTTTGCTGCTAGGAGCAGTGGTGTCCTTCCATTTTCGTCTTGGCTCTCAAGGTTGGCGCCTTTTTCGATGAGTAGCTGAAAAAGTTCCAAATTCCCATTCTTTGCTACTAGAAGTAGTAGTATCTTGCCGGATATATCCCGTCTCTCAATTCCACCGCTCCTTTCGATAAGTAGCTGAACAACTGCGAAGTGCCTATTCCTTGCTGCGAGGGTAAGCATAAAATAATATTGGTTCTTAAGGTTGGCGCCTTTTTTGATGAGCAGCTGAACAAGTTCCAAATTCCCATTCTCTGCTGCTAGGAGCAGTGGTGTCCTTCCATATTTGTCTTGGATCTCAAGGTTGGCGTCTTTTTCGATGAGTAGCTGAGCAAGTTCCAAATTCCCATCTTGTGCTGCTAGAAGCAGTGGTGTTCTTCCATATTCGTCTTGGCTCTCTAGGTTGGCGCCTTTTTCGATGAGTAGCTGAACAAGTTCCAAATTCCCATTCTGTGCTGCTAGAAGCAGTAGTGTCCTTCTATCTTCGTCTTGGATCTCAAGGTTGGCGCCGTTTTTGATGAGTAGCTGAACAAGTTCCAAATTCCTATTCTCTGCTGCTAGGAGCAGTGGTGTCCTTCCATATTTGTCTTGGATCTCAATTTTGGCGCCTTTTTCGATGAGTAGCTGAACAAGTTCCAAATTCCCATTCTTTGCTGCTAGGAGTAGTGGTGTCCTTCCATATTCGTCTTGGATCTCAATTTTGGTGCCTTTTTTGATGAGTAGCTGAACAAGTTCTAAATTCCCATTCTTTGCTGCTAGTAGCAATGCTGTTGTGGTATATAGATGCGGTCTCTTAAGGTTGGCCCCATTGCTGATGAGCAGCTGAGCAAGTTCCAAATTCCCATATTCGTCTTGGATCTCAAGGTTGGCGCCTTTTTCGATGAGTAGCTGAATAAGCTCCAAATTCCCATTCTCTGCTGCTAGAAGCAGTGGTGTCCTTCTATCTTCGTCTTGGCTCTCAAGCTTGGCGTCCTTTTCGATGAGTAGCTGAACAACTGCTAAGTGCCTATTCTTTACAGCGAGGGTAAGCATAAAATAATATTGGTTCTTAAGGTTGGCCCCGTTTTCGATGAGTAGCTGAACAAGTTCCAAATTCCCATTCTCTGCTGCTAGAAGCAGTGGTGTCCTTCCATATTTGTCTTGGATCTCAAGGTTGTCGTCTTTTTCAATGAGTAGCTGAACAAGTTCCAAATTCCCATTTTCTGCTGCTAGAAGTAGTGGTGTCCTTCTATATTTGTCTTGGATCTCAAGCTTGGCGCCTTTTTTAATGAGTAGCTGAAAAAGTTCCAAATTCCCATCTTGTGCTGCTAGAAGCAGTGGTGTCCTTCCATATTTGTCTTGGCTCTCAAGGTTGGCGTCTTTTTTGATGAGTAGCTGAACAAGTTCCAAATTCCCATTCTCTGCTGCTAGAAGCAGTGGTGTCCTTCCATCTTTGTCTTGGCTCTCAAGGTTGGCGTTCTTTTCGATGAGTAGCTGAACAAGTTCCAAATTCCCATTCTCTGCTGCTAGAAGCAGTGGTGTCCTTCCATATTTATCTTGGCTCTCAAGGTTGGCGCCTTTTTCGATGAGTAGCTGAATAAGGTTCAAATTCCCATTCTTTGCTGCTAGAAGCAGTAGTGTCTTGCCGGATGTGTCTCGTCCTTCAATTCCGCCGCTCCTTTCGATGAGTAGCTGAATAACTGCTAAGTGTCTATTCTTTGCTGCGAGGGTAAGCATAAAATAATATTGGTTCTCAAGGTTGGCCCCGTTTTCGATGAGTAGCTGAACAAGTTCCAAATTCCCATTCTTTGCTGCTAGAAGTAGTGGCGTCCTTCCATATTTGTTTTGGATCTCAAAGTTGGCGCCTTTTTCGATGAGTAGCTGAACAAGTTCCAAATTCCCATTCTCTGCTGCTAGAAGCAGTGGTGTCCTTCTATCTTCGTCTTGGCTCTCAAGGTTGGCGCCTTTTTCGATGAGTAGCTGAACAAGTTCCAAATCCCCATTCTTTGCTGCTAGAAGCAGTGGTGTCCTTCCATATTTGTCTTGGCTCTCAAGGTTGGTGCCGTTTTCGATGAGTAGCTCAACAATTTCGAATTTTCCACTCTCTGCTGCCTCAAATAACGCTTGTTCACTGTTGAGGGTGGGAGCTTTCTCGAAAAGTGCCCTAACAATTGCTGCGTGACCTCTCTTTGCTGCCCGGAATAAAGCCTCTTGCATATACCACGAGAATCGGAATGGCAGGTGCTTGAGAATCAGTTGAAAAATGCGGTCACATCCGTTTTCTGCTGCCAGGTACAGTATATCTGGGTTGCTTTCGTTCACCAGGTCACTGTTCTTCTCAATGAGCATTTTGAAGACAGCCTCGTCTCCGTTGTTCACTGCCCAAAGTACCAAAGTATGATCGCCATCGCCTCTAGCACCAATATCAAATATACCTCGCTGAAATAGACGAAGTAGTAGTGCGTACTGGGCAGGATCATCCAGTGCTGAGATAAAGCCAATATGCCGTCGCCAGTATCTTGTTGCGTAGAAGCGAAGTTGGAACTGATATACATCAGGGGAGTTGAATCGACTTTTCGCCTGTTCAAGAGCTTTTGTCAAATCAAATTTTGGCTCTCTCTTCGACCTTAACAATTGAATCGCAAGATTGCGAGCTTGGTTTGGAACATGATTCATTGACCGAATGATCTTAGATGGCATAGCTTCACCATTTACCTGTGGTAGTACAGTACTGGACACTTGAGTCTCGAAAATACCGTAGTTCATATAAGTGATTATGATACTTGCCATTATCCTGAACGCATTTTCTTCTGTAAAGATAGCGCCGGTGTCGGCGCAAATATAAGATCCACTAAGTAGAAACTGCCTCACGCTATGATGAATTGACCTAACAGTAAGATCTTCTTCATCAACTATGATAAGGCTTCCACAACAGGCCAGCGCAGAATATACATCGCTGAGCTGCCGAGCAGAGTTCCACTCTGTTTCTCCGGGAACTACGCTCAAGGCTTCTTGAAGTTCTTTCGCTTTCAAGGGTCGGTAGGCAACGGTGATGAGTTCCAATATGCGCGTCTGATACGTCTCTCCTAACTTTGCACATCTTTTCAGGATGTGAGAAAATGTTTCTGGGAGATTTCTTGGTAGTTCGGCTAGAGTTTGGCGAATAGCTTCATCAGTCTTGGCGGTGCATAAAGATTCGATCTGAAGATATACCCAGAGAAACATTCCCTGGGCCCCGTTCATTAAAGCGTCTTGGATCTCAATTATCACAGTAGGGTCTGTTATTGCCAGATCTCCAGATTCAATACGCGATTCCAATTCAGTGCTGATAAAAGCCTCAATATCGGGATTCCCTTCAGGAATTGTCACGATACTATGATTAGAAAATTGTTCTATGCTTTCATGAGTGATATTACCAGCTTCCAGTCTGAGAGACACACAGAGATGCAGTGTAAAGCTATACTGGAGCCTTCTAATGTTCTTAATTAACTCCTTTTTCTGATAAGGATCACACGCGTCTAAGCCGTCTAAGACAAAATATGCCTTGAAGCTAGACGGCAAGACATGTTCGAGCAGGCAAAGTATCGTCTCAGAATCATAATACGGGCTGGTCCCATCGAGAATGTCGTCTGCTTTAGAGAGATCATCTAAGATATGCAACAGTTGTCGTGCCAGAGACTTGATAATCGTCTCTGCCTTAAGGCTTTCGAGGAGATCGTGTTGACAAAAGAAGTAGGCCACAGGATGTCTAGCTCCATTTATATGAAGGTTGAGATCATCAACAATGTTGGCTAGTAAAACCGATTTGCCAGATCCCAGCTTTCCTATACATATCAAGGATGTAGAACCCGTGCTATCCTTCCAAGCCGTGTACTCAGAAGTCTGTTGAACAAAGGATGCATTGCCTAGCTTTCGGATCTGCTTCCATGTCATCTGGTGATCGTATGTGGAGCAAGTATCAAGCACGTGGACGCGTTTCTCGAGTCTTTGACGGTTATCTTCAGATTTAGAATGGAGCATCAATGTCTTGAAGCGTGTACCTTGCTCCTCAATATTGAGCACATACACTTCTTCTTTGATAGAGCTTGCCCATTGCTCAAGCTCTGATTGAAAGCTTTGTACTTCGAAGCTGACAAAATCCGATACCATTTGCCCTAGGGCTGGCTTCTTCATGAACTTTAAGACATGGTGACAGAGCTGAACGATGACAATGAAGTACTCTGATAGGTGCGACTGTAGCGCCTGGGACCGGGGATACAATAGCGCTAATCTGTCGTAACGTGGCGCCGAGCGACCAGCAATCATGAATAGACTAGATAACTTTTCAAGTTGAGACGAAAAGTTCACAACTGCCTTTTATGATGTCAGCTAAGTGAAAAGGAAGCACGAAGAGAAAAGCTGACCATCAACGCAAACCGCGCAATTGACCAGACGCCACATGCTATAAGACTCTGCGAGCCGCCGATTATAATGTCTCCGAGGGCTGCGAACTGCTGGATGGACTGCAGTATATTGGTCAAACGAGGTCCAAAGCATCGGCCACCGTTTATTTTCCTAGATGTTTGGCGATCGATGTGAGCGGTGAGTCGCATAACATCGTGCATTGTTGGCGGAGTCTTGGTGAGCTGGAATTTATAAGATGTTAAGTCGACTTTTTGATCTGTGGAGAGGTCTGCTTCAAACTCGGAGACAGCCTGTGCCAGACGAATCTCAGCCTTCAGTGGACCAGCTTTATGGACAATTTTGCCTAGGTACATATCCTCAGGCTTTGAGCGTCGTTTCCCTGCCTTGAATAATGAGGACATTATAGAGCTGCTGTGCGAGAGATTCGTTGAATCTGGGGGAGAGGGCTGAGGTCTTACGTGTCTCCTTTGCCTAAATCAAGCCCATTCTGGCCAATAAGCGACATTCCCAGAGGCACTCAAGCGCAAATTACCCCGCCATAGTATCGACCATGCATAGGACATTGAGTAGCTTTCATCGGAAAGCCAACCCTTGACACTCGCTGAACAGGTCAGGTAGACAGTCTATTTTGAATAGGGAACTGTTAAACGGACTCCCCCCTTAGTGACCCCTCCCTACCTGATTTCTGCCTGAAACCCCAGATTAATAGTTATTCTAGAACCCATAGAATTCTGCCAGATGTCACGGTCAAACTACGATGAATGGAAATGAAGACTCAAACAAAGTAGTTGGTCCAATTGTAACTGAGAATACAAAGATGTGGAAGGAAAGTCTATCTACAGGTTGGGTTGTTCTTAATGTGGTTCACCATTACCGGGGGCAACACCTTTGCGCGGCACCCCAACTAAATATTTACTAGTTTTTCAACACACTACTTTCAAATCTCAACCATGCCCCCAATTCGCACTGAAAAGCAAAGAAAATTGGTAGAGTAGGAGGGAAGGGTCTTATGAGCTATTCAAGCTATTGAAAATGGCCAATCCCTTCTGTTTTAGCTGCATCTAAGTCTTTTGATGTGTCCCGAACAACCTTACAACGCCGTCTAGCTGGTGTTGAAAGTGTTACTGAAAAACGCCATTCTCGTCATATTTTTACCCAACTTGAAGAGGGATCTCTTAAGAATTGGCTACTGTTACGGGATGAATGCAGGAATTTGTACGCTGTAAAGATCCGATTGGTAAACAAGAAGAATTGACTAAGGGAGGGAAAGGGGTCCTGGGGACCCGATGCTCTTATGGCTCGTTCGGCTCCGCACAGATGCCAGGAGCGCAGTCTCTCCAGAGACTGAGCATTTCATCGGGTATCAACCTGTTACAATTCCGGATTAGGGAATCAGTGGGTCAGGGTGGCTGAATTAGGCCGATATGGTAAAGGGTAATACGATGCCAGACTACTAGCAAAGGAAGGCAAATAATGTCTCAAAGGTATGGTAAAGATGAGGTGAATTAGATTGGCTTGACCCAAAGATCTCTGGATTTCAGGGTCATATACATAGGATAGGATGTAGAACGCAAACGTAAGTAATATCAGGCTAAGAAGATGTAAATGGAACAATTTGATGCAAGCAGGAATCAGCTGGAATTGGTCATAATAATGATGGCTGCAAACAGTAATCTCTCCACTATATCAGAAATGGTCTAGTCAGGTTATTTTTGATCAACATATCTTCTTATTACTATTCTTAGATAGTAATAAGTATGCAGCAACTTAAGGTGCTGGAGGACCTCACGCACGACCATGGAAACCAACGACATCAGCAGAGATTAAGATCTTTATTGCTGTTTTTAACTATATTAGTGTACATGTATCAAAAAATACTACTGAAGAGGAGCTCTGGTCAAAAAAAGAGAAGCCTTATCACCTTCCACCTGACTATATCTGTGAAGGGTATTAGCTAGTCTTAGATTCAGAACTAGCTAGGTCACAAACTATGTACAAAATCCTTAAGGGATGTAAAAGAGTCGGCGTGGGGTCGAGGATGAAGGGTCTGTCAAAGGCCCGATTCCATTTATAGTTAATCTATTTTAGTCAGCATTGGAATCCCACAATGGGATTCCTCCATTCTACAATAGATACACATACACACTTTGGTACGCATACTGCGTTCTCATTTGCCCACTAGAATCCACTATTCCTTGGTAGTCGACCTCCATTTGACAGGGTCTTCGAGTCACGTGATCTTACTGCAGTAAAAGTGGATAATGGGTTCGGACTACTTCTGTGGACCTGGATCAATCTGCTCGTCTTCGCAGTTTTAAATTAGTGACTTACTTATTCTATAATTAGCATCAGATCAATAACTTCTGAAGAAAGGCTCTTGCTGGATTTATCACTGCTTATAGGTTCTGCCGACTGTTATTCGGCATTATGCTAGTTGATTGGGCTTTGAGTGCATTCCTGGGTACATGTACCGAGTTCTCGGCTTTTATGGTACTGATATAGTTTTAAAGATACTTTTGCGGTGCAGAGCTATTGGTATATGCACAGTATCCCTTGTAGTAGGTGATGAGTCTTCTCGGTGGAGTGTTGCGGTAATGGCCACCCTTTGGAATCTCTTCTACCCATGGTCCTGGGACTTGATTACGACGGCTACGCTGTAATATCCGCCGTATATTTGCTGCCGGTAAGAGTACGTAAAATTTGGTAGATATCAAATGTGTATGCGGGTATTATAGAGGATGATCTATGACAACAGTGGGTCCTTTCAAATTTTCGGTTTCTCCTTCTTAGATTCAGGTTTGAGAAAAGCAATACATTTGCAAAAAGAATGTAAAATATCTTGAAGACTATTTGCATCTGTAGCCAGATTGCGATCTGGTAGAGTATTGGCATCGCAGAGAAGAGTCTTATTGTTTGGACCGGTGGGTAGGAAGGAGGCAGGTAGGTTAAAAGTACCAAAATATCGAGGTTAGCTAGTTCAAGAAGTTGGAACTCAAGATGATTGTAAGTAGCACTCAACATGTTTTCGCCATAAGGCTTATAATCCGAAAGACCCGACACCTGTTAATGCTGAGAGAAAGTTGCAAAGAGTCTTAGAGATCAAAGCTGGAATGACCTAGGGATTGAAAGCATATTTGGTGTCTGGTGAAGCACCAGTAATAGAGGGAAAGAATTGGGGTAGCGACTAGATGATATATCAGAAGAGAGAGATTCGTTAGTGTTGACAACAGGTTGGAAGTCACTCAAGCTTGTGATGTATTGTTTTCGATCGAAGTCATCTTTAGTTGTATCGCTGACCAGCTACAGCTGTATCATTGGTCACGTAGAAACCACATCACCACACCCGCCAGTGCGGGAAAAGTGGAATCACTAGTACACAAAGTAAACACGCTACCAACATACATAGCGTGTGTACCAGTGAGTACCCAGTCAATCGGTGACGGTGATTACGGCAGCTGTAAAGACAGGACTAAGCCATATTATTTATTTCCAATATCTCGCGCATTTCCTCCGATACAACAATTCACTTCGATAGTACCAAGGTATCAAGGTGTCTTCAAGATGTTTTAAAATACGGGACTCCCCAGAAGAGCCCGGTAAAGGAAAACCGCCTGGCTGGGTCGCAGGGTGTATATATTTTTGACTATGGTTGGATCTTGTGATGCCGAGGGACAGCTCGTAGGTCGGCATCCGTTTGAGGAATTGATCACTGTTGAAAAAGTAGCTTTGTAACCGATAGATAGAACGAAAAAGGTCAACACAGCAGGCCTTGGGTGACGTGTCAGCCCATGGTATAATAATCAACAATGGACGTTATGAGACCCACTTAGTGACGGTTATGGCGTCAGGAAAACGCGGAGAAGAATGGAGCAAATCTCAGTGTTCACGGTGTGAAAGTTGAAAATGAATGAATTCAGATATCCTGCTATCTTAAGAGAGTGAGTGAAGCTCAGACAAGCCGCCTGATGATGCTAAGGAGAGAAACTAGTGTCCGACTCGAGATATAAGCACAGCGCGGAATCATTGGCAGGTCTGCACCGATCATCAATCCTCAGAAAGTCAGAGACGGAGAAACATACCCAGTTACTTGCTCTTGGCCAAGAACAGATCATACAAAAGTTTTGGGCTCTGCCAAATCATCCAGTTGGCAATGAACGGTTTACAGAGCTCGATTTATTGATGGCGTCATCTCAAAGTGCTGAAATTTTCCACATGCACATATTGTCTCAAATGATTGCCCTTCTCAGCCAGTTATTCTGCAAATTTATGATTGACATTTATTTTCCTAGATCCTGATGCTGTAGCTCTTCTTAAAGAAGTTCAGCTCAGAAAGCAGTGAAAAGTACGCATTATCAAGGATGATGAGATTCGTTGGGAGTAAGAAATTAGCCCTAACTTACGTCACGTGACCAATTATCACGACAATTATCACCGGCAGAACGCGAAGGCAAATAAGTCGACTCAGCCAATTTATGGCGATAAAAATCAGATATGAAATATTGGAAGTGATGAATTGCTTGGACCTTTCGATTTTTGTTTGGAATCGAGATGCCTAGGTGATGAGCTCCTACCTGGATATAGAAATCACTTTGGATAGAGATCACTTCCGGATACACATCTGCAAAATTACATACAAACCATGCGTTCGGAAATACCAAGGTATCATGAATAGACTATATAGCAATACAGTTTGTTGAAAAATGAGAGGTATGCTGTCGGCCAAGCGGTGCCCGAGGTCAAAGTATCTACGGACTTGAATGAGGATATCACAGGATGAAGAAGGCATAATGAGCAAATTTTGCGTGAACACACGAGACTAGAGGGCCTACAGATAATTGGTATACTGAGGAAATACTCAAGAGGCAAATATTGAACCTAAACCTCCAACGCGTCAATGCAAGCATGCTTGGGTAGACTTTCTCGATCCCATCGAGATTCCATGTCCTGTAAAAAATATAATTGTTTGGTCTGCCTCGGTCACTGGATTTGTTGGCTGTCGGCTGTCGGCTGATGTATGTATATTATTGAGGGGAGACTTGGGGAAACGGAATCTGTCAGAATATAGGTTCAGCACAAGTCAAGCTGTTGTAATGACGAGGGGTAAGATCAAGATTTGTAGTGAATAGGAATCAATATCTGCAGACTGTATGAGAGCTTTACTGCAGCTTTGAGACTTGAAATTGAGAGCAAACAAGATGACGCAATTAATCTTGATTCAGCAGTGAGACAATAACGTGACTACCTAGCAACTGAAGTTGAGCCTCAAAACCTAGTCGACTTAACGAGACACCTTCTTCTCAACAAATCAATTCAAAATCTCCAATGAGGTTTTCAGCTGGTGCATTCCATTGAGTTCCATAATAAGTTAAAGTACTTCCAAATAAAGTACTTCCATTTAATTCTTGATTGGGAGCTGAAAGACGCATCAGATTAGAGTTTGTTGAGAACAATGGTTTTGACATGTCCGCGATTGATGCGGCAAAATATGGTATTTTATATCGAGGAATACCACACGTGGAGGTGTTTGGTTTTTTATTTTGACGACTGGTTTCTTACTTCCAGTGTACGATCAACAAACAGTGCTCAAAACATGGAATAATTGAACGAGATCTTTTTCTGATCAGCCTCGAATTCTTATAGAGTATTATCTTACATATTGATGCTTGGAACATCCTGTCTGTTATCATTTAAATCATCTAATAATTCTATCTGATAATCAGGTAGCTCTTGCTGAATTTGTAGCTTGTAGTCACAGTATTCTTAGCTTCAAGTTGGGATAACTGGGTAAACGCAACCCCATTGACGAATGAAGCCATGCTTGAAAGCATTGAACTTTTGCCAGCCTATAGCTAAATATGTACCTGAGAATCATTTAAGCTCAAATATAAAATTTGCCTATATATGACCTTCTGGTGGCTTAAATTAACGGCTAGGGAAGTATGGGAGCGTAAATAAGCTTTAGGGTTCATGATTCTTCAAGATTTTCAGGGTCTAGCTTAATCCAGCACCATATAATTGCTACTATAAGATGAGTTTTTCAGTCATATAGGAGTATCTAGATAATTCATTGGATGGTCTGCGAAGAAATGGGCTCCGATTGAGAAGATATGAAAGATCCTTTACATGTCTATCAGATAAACGTGATAGTAGCTCGTCACGTCAAGCGCGTCAACCACTGGCGGCTTGTATCGCCTTCGAATTTAGGACGTGAAGACGTGAAGACTCCACACTTTGTTTTTTAAATTCAACAAAACTACTTCTGTTCTCCCTCCTCGTCTTCCTATTTTCCTCTTCATCCTCTCTTTTGCCTTCTTTCTTCGAACTCATTCACTTCGAACCAAGTAATCATCTAAACCACTTTGACTTCGGTCTGATTTTCTCGGTTTTTCAGGATGGGCAACCTTAACTTCCTTGCCTTTGACTCTCCGGTCGCTGGTACCAGCATCGCTGACCCCGGATTTGCCGACCCCAGCTTTGATGATCTGCCTACCAACGCCTTCGAAGGCTTGTTTGCAGCCATTGACAGTGATGAGTTCAAACTATCTATTTTCAATTATGAGCAATCTGCCAACAATGCTGCTGCCGACAATTTTGCTGCCCGTAATGATGCTGGCTGCATCGACCCTCGCCAGATCTTCATGGTTGCTAGCGATGATAGCAACATTGGCGAATACAATCTCCTTGATGCTGACGCGGATAAGGACTTTAATCTTGATGCCTATGGGTTGAACGACCGCGACTCTATTCTCCGTATCAACTTTAACACTGCTGTCACCGCCGACAGCATCGCTTGCAGCAAGCTTGCCTCCAATTGCGCTGACTTCAACGCCGTTGCCAACTCCGATTATTCCGACACTACTTTCACTACCAGCTTAGAAGGTTCTGACGCTACCGTCACTGCCAACTTCGATAATTCTGACACTATTGTCACTGCCAACTCAGATAATTCTGACAGTATTATATCTGCCAACTTTGATCATTCTGACACTCCTGTCACTACCACCGACAGCGATGAGTCCGGTGAGGCTTTTTTTGGTCCTGAATTTGACGCCTCGGCTGGCTACAACTATAACTCTGCTCGTGATGATCTCACTACCGACAATGCCCGATTCAACACCATGGCTGTTGAAGCCGTTGATGGCCCCAGCACTTTCAGTTCAAGCACAAATCAACTTCAACTGCGGGTGCCCCCATCCACCCCGGCATATAAGTCGCTCCGTTTCATCACTGAAACGGGTCAGTCGACTCCGCGCAAGCGCGGCCGGGAGGATGAGGGCACCCCCTGCCCTGGCCCCAAGCGGGCCAAGAATGAAAGCACCAAGGAAAAGGTGGATAAAAAACCCTCGGGTTCTACCAAAACCCGAGTAAGCATTAAGCTGCCCAAGGTGTGGGCTGATTTGGGTCCCGAGGATAAATACCTCTGGGACCTAAAGCAGGTCCTGCACCTGAAGTGGGTGGTTGTTGTTCCGGCATGGAACAGCCGATTCGGACTCTCCTTCCTGGAGAAGTCTCTGAGTTGTCGGATAGACCGCCTCAAGCGGGTCTACCGCGCTGCTCAGGAGACTCTGGTCTGAGGGTCTGAGTCGGCTGCTCCATCCGGGCTATGTGTTCATGTATAATATTTGTATAAATAACTTTTTTAATTTGGCTTGAGGTATACACTTCTTATTGTAAATGCCGTAGACTGCTTAGGTACCTAGGTAGATTATAGAAGTCCCTAGCCCTAAAGCTCTCTCGCCTCTAACCTTGGAACCTTGAATGTATATTAGATATCCACCCATAGATGATATAAATCTGTCTCCAGTGGTTTACACCAAGTTACCTCCAGTCAGGTAAAATGCCCGGGTAGTAGATCAAACCTCTAAAATTATCAGAATCTAAGCCACCATACTAGTAAACCCATCAATAAGTCTTGAATAGAACCTTTGAAGATCCCTGAAAGGAAGAAGGACCCCAATACCTAGGTAGACTTTTTGGAAGGCAAACCTTGGAATAGTTCCTACGCATTCATCAATCACATTATATTCAGGGTTTCTGGCTAAATATTCCTTTCAAGGTTAATAAACTAAGATCATCAGGGTCATGATGTTCCACCATACCTATCCAGGTACCTTGATACATGGAACCTACGGCATTTATAGTAAGAAATGTATATCTCAAGCCAAGTTAAGAAAAGTTTAATTTATACAAAATATTATACATGAATACATTTGCCAGATGGGACAGCCGACTCAGACCCTCAGACCAGAGCCTCCTGAGCAGCGCGATAGACCCGCTTGAGGCGGTCTATCCAGCAGCTCGAGGACTTCTCCAGGAAGGAGAGTCCGAATCGGCTGTTCCATGCCGGAACAACAACCACCCACTTCATGTGCAGGACCTGCTTTAGGTCCCAGAGGTATTTATCCTCGGGACCCAAATCAGCCCACACCTTGGGAAGATTAATGCTAACTCGGGTCTTGGTAGAACCTGAGGGCTTATTATCCACCTTTTCCTTGGTGCTTTCATTCTTGGCCCGCTTGGAGCCAGGGCAGGGGGTGCCCTCATCCTCCCGGCCGCTTTTGCGCTGAGTTGACTAACCAGTTTCAGTGATGAAATGGAGCGACTTATACGCCGTGATGGATGGGGGCACCAGCAGTTGAAGTTGAGCACTGAAAGTGCTACAGCCAAAGGATCAAACATTTTCACTTTGAATGACCACAGCGACAGGCCATCACTGCGGTGGACCAAAGGCAGCCTCGCTGAATTTGACTGAGCAATAGCGTAATCTGAGCTAGCACAACAGTGTCAAAGTTGCTCTGGACAAAGGCGGCCTCACTAAATTCATCATTGTTGGCGGTTGGCAAAAATTGAATAGAGGGCTCAGCATCGTCGACAGTGCTGAAGGGTTTTATATGCAGATTTCCCATGGTATTTTCTTGATGTAACTCGGGCCGGGGCAATGGGTGTCCTTATTCTTCCCAGAATGTCGTTCAACGTGAAAGTCCCGCTAGTAAAATGTAAGGTGGTGTATCAGGTGCCAGGCATCTTTGGTTGAATCGGTTATATATCGGGTGTGAAAGAGAACAGATAGATCAGCATGACTGGCAGCCAGCCCGTTTGTTGATCCTCTCCCACGAGAAAGTTTGCAAACGCTTTAGCGTCTATTGCCGATGTTGCATCATAGACTGTGGTGCGTAGCTTTTATCTTCAAGAAAAACGCTAAACCGATGCGAGAGAGTTGGTGAGTAAATCCTTATAACTTCCCACTGCATTAATTGCGTGTTGAAGAGATCCATGGATGTAGATCCCGGAGTTTTTGGTATGATGAGCGAGGTTCCCTGGATGCTGAGATTTGGAGAGAGGAAGAAGAGAGAAGGTAATATATCTGGTTTTATAGCAGTTATATACCCAAATACCATAACAAGCGAGAGTGAGAGTGAGAGTGAAAGTGAGAGTGAAAGTGAGAGTGAGTGAATTTAGTTTTGAAGATGAGAAGGGTTGTCTGCGTTTTGGGCCAAACAATCTTTCTCTCCTCGATTGTTTCGAAGAACTTCTTCAATTGCTCCTCGAAATACCAAAACTGCCCGTTGTTACGCGGGGTCGACTGACCTATTTTGGTGATGAGATAGAACGACTTGTAGGCCTGGGTGGAAGGGGGCACCCGGGTGGTATTATCGCGTAACAGAAGTTCAAGTTGAGAGCTAGCACCATGGCTGGAAAAGTTGCGGACTGAACGCTGTCCATGGTAATTACCAAAGGACCAGGGTAGTTGGGGATGTTGGCAACAGCGTTGAATTCAAGGACAATGATAGGCTCGCTGGACTCATTACTGTCCGTAGTAGCAAAAATAGGACCATATCAATCAATGGTATCGGTAGCATAGTGTTGGCCGTTTGATTAAGAGGTGTGGTGGGGAAAAACAGTAGTCAGGGTAGTGATCAGTGTAAAGCATGCCAGCGTCGTCAGTCATGCTGTCAGCCGCATTACTGGCCATACTGCCAAGCGTTTGATCGAGGGATATTGAGACTTCTGGTGGTGAATAAGGATCTGCTGGACGAAGATTGGATTCCTAGAGAGTTGGAGGATATTTGAAAAGAGATATTTGGCTAGGAGGAATGATTTGGAGAGATTATATGTCAAAGGAAGATGTGGTGGATGTCGATGGAGCTCTAGAGTGATAGAAAGAATATGGATTTTGGGAATACAGGTTGAAGAAGAGTTGAAGAAGAGTTGAAGAAGAGTTGAAGAAGAGTTGAAGAAGAGTTGAAGAAGAGTTGAAGAAGAGTTGAAGAAGAGTTGAAGGGGGGTTGAGGAAGAGTTGAAGAATTGAAGAAGAGTTGAATAATTGAACAAAAGTTGAAGAGGAAATATGGTTGAGGAACAAGTAATTAAGAGAAAAGTCCACAGTGATGAAATTAAAAAACGATTAACATCACTTCAATGATAAAGAAGTGATTGATATGGATATAGCGAGGTGTTCAAGGCAATGAAGAGAGATATGGCAGTGAGGGATGCTGGAAGAGGTCCATGGATTGGGATATAAGCTTGGAAGATACTTATGTAGGAGAAAAATATGAGAAAGAAGCCAGGAGAAATTCAAGAAGGGATATACCTAGGTAGGTAAAAGCTTTGAACTTCGTCAGCTTGATAAACCCAGCTGTAGAAGAGGTTAGCCGTTCAAGAATTCAATGATTTGGAAGGACAATAAACTCTTAGATAGAGAGATTAAATGCAAGTGCTAAGCTTCAGCATACGCGATGAAGATATCGACGCAACTTTCCACGTCTAAAAGGTTGATTTAGTATGTAGATGAAACAGGACTCAGCATACCTCAAATCAAAAGTAGAATTTCTACCTTCAATATTCGAGAAATGACCATATCATGCAAAGAATTGATCATTCAATGGAACAGTATCAGTGTTGCTTATCATTACGATAAATTATCGAGAGGATGTTAAACGTGTAGACTACACGAGAAATCTGGAAAAAGACCCGGAACCTGATGTATCAATACCTTCAAGCTTCGAGTTTTGATATCTTGATTGTATTGATCGATAGAGAGGATGAATTAGTCTATTATAATGTTGAGATTGCTGTGAAGATACACTGGAGATTTCAAGTTCCAAAAGACACGACCACGCTTCGCAGACGAGGTAGTGGGAGAAGCGGAACCTAGCGGAGCTAATGAAGAAAACTGATTGTGTAACTTTGCTTGGTGAAGCAAAGAGGTGTCGTGATAACAGCCATCATGATGAGAATCACTGTGGGGAATAGGTTGTTCACTTCGTAGCATAATATGGTACTGTTTGTTGTTCTTCACTTGAGACTCACAACTCTCCTTTTTGGAGCCACAGCACTCTGCTTTTCGCCGGCTCATCATGTTCCGCGGCTAGATTTTTGAGAAGACAAAACGAGAAGATGGAAAGACGGAGGTTAAGACTCTCCAAGGGATGTAAACCATTGCTCAGGTGAGTGTTACCCGAATAAATAAACATCAAAAGATTAAGAGCTCAAATACACCTGATAGCTTAGGGGAGAAACAAGAATTGGAGATATAGGATTCAGAAGGCTCTACGTCTCCATCTTCTCTATCTTCTCTCCTCTCATGACTTACGTTTTTAAGAGTCCCCAATGTACACGACTTCGCCAATCAAGCCCATCAAGAATACAGCCATCGACCTTCAGCTTACCCAGGATGACGATCACAATCAGGAACTTGATAACTCTCTACTAGGGGGTCGAGTGCATAATAATCGCTAATATCATGTTCGATGAAGCCTCCTACATATGAAGACCCAACTTAACCTTGGAAGCTACATTGATGAGTCTGCAAGCTGTTTTCGGCAATAATGATGATATATTCCCAGCATTCGTTAGTACAGCAGAAAATCAATTCAGTATAACGTCATCCTTCATCTAGTCTAGTCTAAACTCTATTCACATCAAGACAAATACATGACAAAGCAGATGCAGAAAATGTCCTGCACCATGGTCTAACCTAGTTCTCCTTCTTTCCAGCATCCTTGAACTTCCAGTGCAAAGCACCCTCAGCATCAGGGTTGTGGACAACAGTGCAGTTGTTGAAGGTGTTGACGAGGGACTTGAGGAAGAACTCCTCCTCAAGGTGGTACTTCTCACCCAGGAAAGGCACAATGGCATTTGTGGCCTCCTCAGCGTGGTAGAAGGGAATACGGGGGAAGAGGTGGTGTACGACATGGTAGTCGATGATCTCGTGGAACAAGTGGCGGCCGATGAAGCCGAAGCGGCGGTCAACGGTTGCGAGGGCACCCTTTACGAATGTCCATGCATTCTCGTCGTAGTGGGGCACTGTAGGGTGGGTGTGGTGAAGGTAGGTGATGGCCACAAGCCAGTGGTGGACCCAGAGGTAGGGAATGACATAGAGCAGCACGATGTTCCAGGTTCCGATCTTGGTGGAGAGGTAGTAGAGGGTACTGGCGACGGTGAGGAGACCCAAGTCTGAGATAGCGATGAGGTGGGCTTGAGAACTTGTGAAGAGGGAGCCGAGGGGGTCGTAGTGGCTGTTGCGGAGGGGTTTCTCGCCGCCACCTTCCTTGGGCAAACTCTTGTATCCGGCGCTGACGTTGAACAGCATGTATAGTTGCCACCCGAAGATCTGGTGGCCGAGCAGAGTGATAGCGTTGTAGAAAGGAGTTTCCTCGACCAACTCAGTAATTTTATCTAGCAGACCGGGTTGCTTGTTCTCCAATTGTGACTCGGTGAAGGGAACGAAGACAACATCCTTGTCGATGTGGCCGTGGTAGCGGTGGTGACGGGCGTGAGTGATCTTCCATGAGTGGAAGGGGACCATCAGGAGCGAGTGGGTGGCCCAACCGACGGTATCGTTCAGAGCAGGGTATTTGGAGAAAGCACCGTGGCCACACTCGTGTCCGATAATCCAAATTCCAGTACCAACGCAGCCCTGAGCGAAGCCATACGCGATCCAAGCAGCGGCACGAAGGGCCGGTGTAGGCAGGAGATCAATCTTTAAGGCAAGGTATACCAGGATAGAGGCGTAAACGATATCACGGAACAGATACGCGAATGAAGTGAGGGCAGAGCGTTCAAAGCAATGGGCTGGGATCTTGTCCCTGAGGAAGCCGTAAGTGATATCCTGCGCCTACTCACGAAGTCAGCAGGTAATTCAGTGTAACAGGCGAGATCAAAGAGTAGATACATACCTTCTTATCACCCTTCAATTGGATGACAGGGTCTACGGTCTGAACGACAGAGGTCATGATGCTCAATTGGATCTAAGATCAACGAATTGAGAAAAAACAAAGTGAAGACTAAGAGAATAGAAAGAACAGAATTGGACAGGCCCCTAGAAATAGAATTTTCCACAATTAATTGATTTATCTTAGAAATGGTCTTATCACGTTTTGATGGAGCCCTATGGGGTACTATGGGCCCTTTCTAGACTCCTTCCGGGGGGAATGAATCCATGGAACATTTCCGTGATGGGCCAATCTAAAAGCACAGAGTTATGAATTACTCTCTGGAACTCGCTAAACCCACCAACAGATCCTGTTGAGAAGGCGTTGAGTTTTTGCGGGATTTCAAGTGGAGAAAGATTTACTTGTAGTGTACTTTAGTTTCCGAATATGATATTTCATAGGTTCGAATGCATTGACCAAGCACGAGTTTTTGAGTTTAATTCATAGCTTTTGCCCCTGACAGTTTCTTCCATTTTTTCTATATTATATTTCTCCCTGTGATCCCTGGTTTATAAGGTGGATATGAGTACCAAGATCGTGATATCGGAATCAGACGGGTGAGATTCTTCCCAATTCCAACTCAGGGGTAAACCCCTAGAACCCCAGAACCATAGAACAAAATTGTCAAAATTGCCAAAATTGCCAAAATTAACAAAAATGAAGAAAATGAGGAAAATGAGGAAAATGTGGAAAATGAGAAACTTCAGTGGGGCTGAGTTTGTTGAGTGTCAAAAGAGACTGTAAATCAACTTGTGGACCCCCGAAAGGAAACTCTGCGATAGGTATTCTAGAAAATCGAAATTATTTACACTGCTATTCAAACATTCCAAGGTTAGATCTTGTAAAGCAGCACTCTTTTGCCTCTTTCTCTGGTTCCCTTAATCGCTGGTACCGGCCTCTAGCTATACTGTTTTGATCTTTAAGCGGTGGATTACATGGATTACATGGATTACATGGATCACATGGATTACATGGATCACATGGATTACATGGATTACATGGATTACGTGGATTACGGTCCACCGTAATTCCTCTCTTCTCTTTCTAATTCTGAAAGACCCTGTTTGCGAGGTAAGTTTTGAAAGAAGAGTTTTATCCAGTAAGGAGGGTGGTTTAACATTTTTGTGGTATAAAAGAAAACTTATGTTCAGGCCCTGTAGTTGAATCGGATTCCAGGTGCGATATACCCACGTTATCCGCTGTCGTATTGTGCAGTTTTAGCGTATACCAAAGTGGAGTATAATATATAGATATGAGTGGCTAATAGACCTGACCGCTCTTATGAAACAGTAATTCCTATCCACTGTTGATAAATAGCTCTGATTGGCTGTAAAAAAGTACTATTATTATTTTTTGTACGCGCTCAGCCGCATACGCGTCTCTATTCTGCTAAACTCTACCATCAAGTAATATCGCTATTGATGAGTTGATGATTCGCTGCTTTGGAAGGTCACAGCATACTCTAAAGATGCCCCAGAAACCTATTCCTCAGGGATATAAGCTATTTGCTGTAGCTGATAAAGGTTACTGTCTCTTTTGGGTATGGGTGAGCCGTATAAAATCAATGGTTGAAGTCGAAAAGCTGGCTCATCTAACTAAAACTGCGTCTATAAATATTTAGTAAGTTATTTAATAATACTCTTTTATAGCTTTCTTACTAATATACTATATAGGTTGTCCACCTCCTTCAAAAAGCTTTACCAATACAGAGCAACCAATATACTGTATATCTTGATAATTACTTTACATCGATACAGCTTTTCAAACACCTTCGCAATCAAGGTATTGGTGTAGTTGGTACAACTCGGTCAAATATATCAAAAGGTCGCTTCCCAAGAGCGCTTCAGAAAATCAAGGATGGTAGTAATAAGATCACAAAGCTTAGGTGGAATGAGCTTTATGCTGCGCCTATTGATGAAGTCTTATGTTTTATGTGGCAAGATAATAATATCATTACTGGTTTAACAACTATCCATACTATTACTAGAGGCTCAGACTGGATCACGCGCCTTCGGAAACGTCCTGGAAAAACATCAATAAATGCTAATATTACTAGGCCAGCCTTTGATGGACCGACAGCGGAGCTTGATATCCCTATTATTATTGATGATTTTAATCATAAGATGGGGGGGGGGGGGGGTGTTGATATCGCAAATCAACTGCGCGCAAGCTATGAGACACAGCAGAAGTGTCTTCGCCCATGGTGGCCAATGTTCTTCTGGCTTCTTGATATATCGATTATCAATTCTTATGAGCTGATGAAGTCTGAGCAGTCAAAGCAGGGTATTGTTAAAAAGGATCTTACCCAGAAGGAGTTTCGTAAGCAGCTCTATTTACAGCTCTTTCAACTTGGCGCAGCAGAGCTTAAACAAAAGCCGCAACAACCAGCTGTTCATAAGATGAAGCGACTTCCAGAGAGAAGAAGCTGTCTATGGTGTGCCGAACAAAGAGAGATACAGAAAAAGAGGTTTAAGATAGGACGGTCTCTTCCAAGAGCGACTGTTACACAATGGGAGTGTGAGCTTTGCCAGGTGCCCTTATGTCGGGATGATAGCAAGCGGGGTTGTTGGAAAAGCTATAATGGGTTTTAATTGGTTAGACTAGGTATTGGTCTATTCCCATTTTAGCTGAATCTATTCCCTTTTTTGGGTGTAATTGTGGAGACTGTATGGCAGAAAAATCGCGCTAAAACGACACAATACGACAGCGGAGGGGATAGTAGAACGCGAGTTATGAAACTTTCTTCTCTTGCTTTAGCGTAGCATTCCATTCGACGTAGATCTTGAGAGTAGTCAGCAGCAACATTGGTGAAGAGACTCGACCTGATTCTAAATCAGAAATGGCAAGAGATACTCGGTCCTATTGGACTTAATGGCGGTATTTGAAAAGTAGAAAAGTGAAAAATGAACGCGACCGGTCCACAGCTACGTGGTCCAAAACCCGCCGATCTTAGGCCCAACAAGGGTTAGACGAGGGACTAATGAGACAGCACAGTGAAAAGGCCTTATGGAGGTTTCAAAAGTAGTAAAAATAGCTACGAAGACCTAAAACGTGACATCGAAAGTCAAGATAGTCAATCCTCTAAGGCTAATATCGGAATTATGGAATGTGAAATAGGTTCGAATTCGTAGGTCTGAATTGATTTCTATTCTAAAGAGCCCCAAAGCCTGGACAACAGAGCCAAGAACATAGAACATCATGAGCGTAGTATCAAAGTACCCAATATCCAGCTGTGAAAGCTCGACGACAGTAATTGAAAGAGAAGGCACTAAGCGAAATCATTAGCTATGATCACACAATTGTTTTCAAGAACAATAAAAGAATTGACTCCAGTATCAGATGGTGATGCATGTTTGTGTGTCCGCATTAATTACTCAGAACAGGTCTGTAAGGTGTAAAATTTATTCATCATTGGAGTTCATGAAGGGCTGGGGTGGCGAGAAAAGCAAAAGGGATTTCTTACCTATTCATTGATGAAATTAGATGTCGCTGTCTTGATTAGTCGATGTACTATATAGCACCTTTTGGGGAGATGGGAAAACTCTGCACCGAAAGGATTAGAGCTCACCACAAGGGCTGTTCAGGTAATGAAGGACCTATAATACCAGATCAAGTAGTTAGGAGCTAGAACTCCTCAATCTGGTATGTTCAACCCCTGGGATCCGAAATGTTTTCGAGAGCCATGTTGTAAAGAAGAATGATGGAGAGAAAGGTGGTGAAGAGAAGATTAAATAGTCGACGGTGGAGCGGGCGGTCAAGTTACCGAGAGAGAGAAAAAAAATATGTTTGCACTGTTTGCTTGCTCCAAAAAAGTATTTTGATTGACAACCACTAGATGTATTTAGTAAATTTAATTTTGTGTGAAAATAATTGAAACAACTTAGGTAGTATCCTCTCCTTTACAGCTCAACTCCAATTTCCCTTGATAGCCACTCACAACGCCTAGATTATGGCTGAAATTGAGGTCTCTATACCCCAGGAGGAAAGTGCGTACATACCTACATGCTAGAACATTGATCTGATGTGGCTGACTCCAATGTGATGTGATAGCTCCCCGATCTCCATTCCAGAACGTCCGTTCTAATGGTCGTGCTTTCAACTCCCCCAATTGGCGTACCAAGAGCTCTGAAACTCCGGCCTCTCCCTCCCCGCGTACCAACACCTCTCGATCTGCATTCAGTCGACCAGGAGCACATGCACCGCAGGCAAATTCAGATGGACGACGCCTGTATGTAGGCAATATGCCATACACGGCCAAGTCAGAGGATGTGGAGGCGCTTTTCAAGCCCCAGTTTTCAATGTATGACATTTTGATCCTTCGATGATGGCCCAAATGAACGCTTTAATGAACGTTCGACTGAAACAAACTTGATAGCGAGTGTATTGACATTGCCATTGATCCCTTCACTGGCCGAAACCCATCTTACTGCTTTGTGGACATGGAGTCCAAGGAGCAGGCTGAACGTGCCATGATTGAGTTGGATGGTCGTCAGATGCTTGGTCGTCCAGTCAAGATCAAGCCTGGTGTGGCCAAGAATGTCACTGAGCGAAATGGAGAAGCCTGGTCAACACAGCTTAATATGGACCGATGGCGTACACGGGACAATACCACAGCCAAGGTTAACGAAGCCAGCAAGCGAGTATATGTTGGTGGACTGCCACGCTCAACTGATCAAGAAGCCTTGAAGAGCAGCCTGCAGAACTTTTTCCAAGGATACACTATGTAAGTCGCCACATCTGTCCACCAAGTACCTATCTAGTACCTAGCCCATACTGATTTTGGATTAGTGAGAATGTTAGCAAGCTGTTTACCCCGCACCCCGCCAAGCGGTTTGAGGCTGGTGACCACTACTATCTCTTCGTGGATTTCAGCAGTGAAGATGAGGCACAGAAGGCATTGGATACCAAGAATGGACAACAGGGACCACGGGGATCACCATTGATAGTGAGACCAGCACGAGCAGCAACCAAAGCAGAAGAACGAAAAGATGAAGAAGGAAACATGAGGTTATAGGACGAGAGGGAAGAATAACAAAGGCGGTAGATAGATCGGGATGACGTTAGTGGATCTTCCCAATTAAGAGGAAATCCAGACTCACCGCATTTACTTCTTCTCACTCCTTTCAATTTTGAACATATACACGATCCACCACCTCCTTTCCTTTGATTATTTCATTCTTCTCCCTCCGTTCTTTACAATTCATATCCACCATCTCTAATATCTACTGCATGCTGGGTTCTATTCCTCAACATCTTCTTCCCGGGTCGGAACTACTATCCCTAATCTTCCCGATCCCCTTTCAATTCAATCATGTCGACAGGAAGTGTAGCCCAGAGCCATGCTCAGCATAAAGTCTTCATTGCTAGTGTAAGTGTATAACCTTCATTGTTCATTTGTTTTCGATCATAAAACCTGGAGAAAATTGGTAAGTCTGGGGTCTATTTCTTCAGCCGGGTGATGGCGGGGGATCGCTGTTTCACCCCTCCACCTCGGTTCCATTCTTAAGCCAATGATTTTAGCACTCCTGTATGCACTGAAAAGTGGTATGATTTGGGGGTCTTAAAAGGAGGCAAAACGGCTAAGCAAAACGACTAAGCAAAATCGACTAAGCAGAAATGGTGGGGTCCCATGGGATCATGGGATCATGGGACTCATGGGACTCATGGGACTCATCTCAACATTGTTCTTGCCATCTTACCCCATTCCATTGATCCTGTTCTACCTCAATTCCCACAAACTATGCCACATTTCTGAAGTCATGGCCTTTGTTAACCATGCACCACAGTCCCAAGAATCGAAGATATGTGTTGTGATGGTTGGTCTCCCGGCCCGAGGCAAGAGCCTCATTGCCGGAAAGGGTATGTTGCTGTTTTATTTACCCCAGATTCTCGGACTATCATTAATTTGAAGTAAAGCAATGCGGTATTTAGCCTGGGTTGGTATTCCTGCAAAGGTGTTCAATGTTGGTACCTATCGACGAAACAACACTCCTCAGCCAGCTGCTCAGTTCTTTGATCCTCACAACTCAGAAGGAGAGCGCATGCGCCGAGCTGCAGCTGAAGCTGCTATGCAGGACATGCTTGCCTGGTTCAAAAAAGGTAAGGGTGTAGTTGCCATCCTGGATGCTACCAACTCTACCAAAGAACGTCGCAAGTGGATATACGAGTCATGTCACGAAGCTGGCATTGAGACTCTTTTTGTTGAGTCCATCTGTGACGATGAAGATCTAATCATGACCAACATTCTTGAGGTCAAGACCACTTCCCCAGATTACCAGGGCCAGGACCCTGAGTTGGCAGCTCAAGACTTCCGCAATCGTATTCGCAATTACGAGAAGGTCTATGAGACAATCGATGATCATGAGAAATCATATACATATGTGAAGCTGATTAACGTCGGTTCCACTGTCATCATCAACCAGATCAAGGACTATCTCTCGTCTCGTTTGGTTTACTATATTCAAAACCTACACATCAAGCCAAGATCAATCTGGCTGTCCCGAGTGAGTTTTTATGATGCCCCCTACCTCATACAATTATACTAACGAGTACAGCACGGCGAATCTGAGTTTAATCTCACTGGCCGGATTGGTGGTGACTCCAACATCTCAGAACGCGGCGAGGCATATGCCCGCGCTCTTCCTGATCTCCTTCGCAAGTCTGGTGTTCCCCCCAACACAAAGATCGTGATCTGGACATCCACATTGCGTCGTACTATCCAATCAGCCCGCCACCTCAAGGCGGAAACCGGTTTCGATAAACTGGAATGGAAGGCCCTGGACGAGCTGGACTCCGGTGTCTGCGATGGCCTGACCTACGAGCAGATCGCCGAGCAGTACCCTGAGGACTTTGCTGCCCGCGATGAAGATAAGTATAACTACCGCTACCGAGGCGGCGAGTCTTACCGAGATGTAGTCATTCGTCTTGAGCCGATTATCATGGAGCTGGAGCGTAGTGAGAACGTCATCATCATCACCCACCAGGCCGTACTTCGCTGCATATATTCCTACTTTATGAATATGCCCCAGGAAAAGAGCCCCTGGATGGAGGTACCTCTTCATACTCTCATCAAGCTCACCCCTCGTGCTTACGGCACCAACGAGGAGCGTTTCAAAGCTGATATTCCCGCTGTGTCTACCTGGCGTGGCAAGGGTACATCGGCCAAGCATCAGGATTTCCCGGCAGATACCCCGGAAGCCACTAAAGGCCACTAAGTGGTCATTGCGCATTATTAAGTCGGTGCATTATTAGTTTTGGTGTTGGACTCCTTCAGGATTAAGGCGGAAATGTTATTGTGCATGAGGAATTATTCTTCTCAATACGTATCAGATACCTAAAAAAAAGATCATCAAAAATCAAACTCATCGTTGTACATAATACAGCACAGCTCTATATACACAACTTAAATGAACCCAGGACCGCCTAGTGAAATATGTGTACTCTGTACTGTCCACGCGTGGCCTTAAGGCATATGCTGACTCAGCTAACCCAATCGACGTCACTTGAGGCTCCCCCGATTTCTTACCCCAGCATACAGGACAGAATTGACTAGCTCGGCGCGCGATGTTATCCGCATTCACCGCGCGGCCGCTGGTCGAGCTACGATTGCGCGACAAATCCAAGATTGAATCCGTCCTAGCCTACGGTGACCGACTACTAGCCGGACTCAACAATGGCACCCTCCGCGTCTACCGCGTCACAGAAGACGGAGCGACAGAACTCCTGCGTGAAGTCGAAAAGTTCGCCCGGTACAAGATTGAGCAGCTGGCACTCGTTAAGGAAGCACACGTTATTGTGTCGTTGTCCGGTGGGTATGTCTCTCTACACGATTCTCAGAGCTATGAACTTTATCAACAGCTTGCCCAAACGAAGGGTGCGTCCGCTTTTGCCATTACTTCGAATGTAGTTAATGATCCCGAATCAAACGTTCCGGCCATCGTCTCTCGATTGGCTGTTTCTGTTAAACGGAAGCTGTTGATGTGGGTTTGGAGGGATATGGAGCTGGAACCGAATACTATGGAGCTGAGCTTGGTCAGTGGGATCAAAACGTTGACTTGGGTCTCTGCTACACGGCTTGTGGTGGGCTTGGGCTCGAGCTATGTCATGGTTGATATCGAAAGTGGGCAGACGACGGAGTTACCGAGTCCTGTGAGTATGGAGGAGGCTGCTGGGCGATTCACTGGTGTTGGGGTTGCGAGTATGGGAGTCGCGAGTATGAATTATATTGGCATTGGAGGAGGGATGGTGCCGAAACCACTTGCTACGAGGCTTCGTGAGGGTCAGATCTTGCTGGCCAAGGATATCAATACGAATTTCATTGACGTCGAAGGCCAGTCGCTGGGCAGACGTCAAATCCCGTGGGGCCATGCCCCGGTCGATATTGGATATTCATACCCGTTCCTTCTCGCTCTACATGATACTTCCAAAGGAGTTCTGGAAGTTCGAAACCCCGAAACGCTGTCACTATTGCAATCTATTCCATTGCCTTCGGCCAGTATCCTCCACATTCCGCAGCCTAACATCAGTCTTGCTCATGCTGGCAAGGGATTCTTGGTTGCAAGTGATCGAATCATTTGGCGTATGGAAGCTTTGAGTTATGATACGCAAATTGATGCCCTGGTTGAAAAGGGATATCTTGACGAGGCCATTAGTCTGTTGGGTATGCTTGAGGATGCTCTCCTGACGGACAAGCCTGGTCGGCTACGCGCTGCCCAGCTCGAAAAAGCTCAGAATCTCTTTGTCCTTCACAAATACCGAGATTCTCTGGATTTATTCACGGAGGTTGCGGCTCCCCCTGAGACTGTCATCCGTCTCTACCCGTCGACAATCGCCGGCGATCTTTCTATGGCCTTAGAAAACAATGGCTCGGTGTCAGATCCGCGAAGCTCTGACTCTAAGATAAATGACTCGCAAGCCGACACATCATCTGATCCTGCCACGGCCCCTCCAACGGCTGACGGACAGGGATCGTCTCTTAATTCCCCCTCGGTCCGGTCTCTTATACGGAAAACGGATGATGGAACTGAGTCGGTCAGTACGCGCGATGAAGAAAAGGACATGAAGATGGCCGTTAGGGAGCTGCAGGGATACTTGGCGGATGTGCGGCGACGTTTCCAGCGGTACCTCGACCAAGATGGCTTGCTGAAAGCTCCCGCGCCAACAGAAGCCAAAGATGAAGCTAGCGAATATGTCCTCAAGCTGTTGGACTTTCCAGCACCCGAGGACTTTTTGACTACCATTCAGGACAAAGCTAAACTGGTTGATACGACTTTATTCCGAGCTCACATGTACGCCACTCCATCGCTGGCTGGTTCATTATTCCGAATTACCAATTTCTGCGACCCGGAAGTAGTGATGGAGCGACTTGAAGCAACAGGCCGATACAATGACCTAATTGATTTCCTGTTCGGTAAGAAGCTGCACCGCCAGGCTTTGGAGTTATTGCACCGATTTGGCGAAAAAAATTCTGGACTATTGGCCGGGCCGACGCGCACAGTTGCATACTTGCAAAACCTTCCGCCTGATCAGATCGATCTGATACTCGAATTTGCGGAGTGGCCACTCCATGAAGACTTTGAGCTTGGCATGGAGATCTTCTTGACAGACACTGAGAACGCTGAAACCTTGCCGCGGCCCCAGGTGCTTCACTTTTTAGAGATGATTGACTCCAGACTGGCTATTTGGTATCTAGAACATGTCATTCAGGAATGGAACGACATGTCACCCGACACCCATCAACGCCTTTTGGTCCTGTATCTTGAACACATCACTGAGGATCCGGAAGATATCGAAACTAAGACTAAGTTTTTGGAATTGCTTAAGGAGAGTGAGCAGTACTCGCCAGCTAAAATCTTGGACCAACTGGATCACGAAGGTATGTTCTACAACCTAGTATTGCTGAATGATTACTGATCTTCCAGACCCTGAATTCCACGAAGCACGAGCTATTGTGTTCAGCAAAATGGGTCAACACCGACAGGTACTGGAGATCTATGTCTTCAAACTGGAGGCCCATGACAAGGCAGAAGAGTAAATATGCTTCCATTGGTGCTTGATACAGCTCACTAATACTGCACAGATACTGTAACCAGGTCCACCTAGCCGAGATGGATGAGAAAGACGAAAAAGATTCGATATATTTGACCCTATTGTCACTCTATCTAACACCTCCATACGGCCACAAGGCCCAGCATGGTCCCGCATTAGCCATCCTTGCTAAACACGGGTCCCGACTCCCGGCCGACGCAGCTTTGGGTCTCATCCCTGCCACCTTGCCCGTGCAGGAACTGGAGTTTTACTTCAAAGGTCGCATGCGTGCAGCGAATTCCGTCTTCAACGAGGCTCGCATTGTGGCAAATCTGCGCAAGGCACGCGACATGCAAATCCAAACACAACTGACACTCGGCGAGAATGTTCGAGGAGGTGGAACCCGAGCGCGCCATGTCACAGTCACTGAAGAGCGGATCTGTGGTGTGTGCCACAAACGGTTGGGAGGGAGTGTTATCAATGTGTTTCCCGAGTGAGTCTTTTATTCCTTTCATTACTTTTATCCTCGTGTCGTATCTAATTAATGTCACAGCAACACCGTCGTGCACATGGGCTGTGCGAAACGGATCGTCGGCATTGGTTCCCGGTAGTTTTTTGTATGATTTATTTTTGTATTTTTCGGTTGCTCGTTTCGATACCCAGTTGTAGCATATATCAAGTCTTGTTCTTTCAAGCATCTTCTTCCACAAGCTCCTCGCCGTAGTTCTCTTCTTCCTTAGCTTCCATCTCAGAGATTCCATTTGATTTCTTGTCCTCTTCCATGCGCTCGGTCAAAAAGACATTGATTTCTTCCTGTAGTTTTGGGACTAGTGCCTGTAGGGCTGACAGGTGGACGTGCTTTGCAGCGAGAGCGGAGGTGGAGGTGGAGGTTGGCAATTCATGTTCGAAGGAACGACTGACACCAGGAGCGGTGTAAAGAGCCAGCAGGTTGGGAGTGTTGGTAGACATGATATGTTATAATAGTAGTTGTAGGAGGGTGAGATGGTGGCGGGGAAGGGAAGTGAAAAGTGATCGGCGGATCAAATCTTGGCTAAACCCGAAAGGGGGAGCTTCACGATAGTTGCCTGGGTTCCACGTTAAAACAAGTCTGCAACAAGTTGCCACTCAAGGGACAGGTCAACACCAGGCCTAGAAATCACCCCCCATATCTACCCAACTTAACATGGATGACACACCATGAACCCCACTGTTCGCTCCCCTAATTCGCCCGGGCGTTCCCAGAGAGCGCCCCCAGTCTATCGTCATCTTCAGCTCCAGCCTCCGGCTCCGGACGACGACGAGGAATCCGACGACGACGAATTGACTCGCCCCGGATCTTCCGGCAGTGATGCCTCCTCCAACGTGACTACTGTTTCCGCCGTTCCCATCACCCCGGTCAATACCTCCAACCCTGGTGGCGGAGGCTACTTCTCCCCCCATCAACGATCGGCAGCCTCTTCCCCTCAACAAGCTGCTGCAGCTGCAGCACGTCAAATGCCCCAAGACGCCCGCCGTCCATCTGGACGAGGGCCCTCACTAGAACTACAAAGACACCGTTCTCGTCATCACTCACAAGGCTTCTTTGAGCCGTCTCTCCCCACCGCCTCGCTAGATACTATCCCCCAGGTCTCGGCCTCCCGCATTGCTGCCCAGACAGCCATGCAGTCACTCAAGCGGGGAGATGGCCAAAGGCAATCTACCCGCGCCTCGCCATCACCTCCACCGCCATCTCTAGTCCCACTACCCCTCCGAATGAATCAACCTCCAAGCGTGGCTACGACAGCGGCTAATGTAGTATTCCCGCGGGCTGGAGCAGCGCAACTAGCCGAACAGCCAGAAAGCAAGAAGAAAAAGAAACTGTTCTCAAAACCCAAGTCCATAGGCATCAGCCGAGACAAAGACTTCACACGAGACCGAGGTCTCCCTTCGCCAAGTAAGCTAGGTGGGGGTCTTTCGCGCATGGTTAGCGCGTCAACAACAAATTTAGCCGATATGCCCTCGAACAACTCGTCCTTGTACAATCTTTCCAACGCGTCTGTCAGCACTGTCGTCCCAGCCATACCTCAACAAGTACCAGAGAAGGATACCAAAGACAAAGACAAGCATAAACACCACTTTTTATCGCGCCAGAAGTTGAAGCTGAAAGATCGCGATGACCATTTTAATCTTCCTCTCTCCTCAGCATCGAGTAATTCACGCCCTGCAGATCCAAATGCTCCACAGTCATTATATTCATTCACCAGTCCTGCATCTCCGGCGCCGGGGGCGACCTTTGGCAAGTCGGTTAGTGGCTTGGATCTTCTGCATGGCGGGCGCGCACTCCGAGAAAAGAAAAAGGAAGAAAAAGCCATGGCTGAGTCTGAGCAAATGCAGATGGATTGGTTGAATAACTCCGGGGCTAGTGGTGCTGTGACTCCCGGAGGCGGTTTTACAGGGCCGTCTTCATTAAATAGCTCCACTGGCGTGCTAGGAGAGGCTTTGCTACGGGAGACCCTGCAGGGCTTTGGGCTAAATAACATGTCACCTGAAGATGCATGGGACTTTCTCAAAGCGAAGTTGCTCGTCATTTTCGACGGGGAAGATGTGCGCATTGCTATCGAAGACCTTAACAAGCTGGTCCTAGTACATTTGCAGCGTTGTGTACATAAGCGTACACCCATCGCGATGATCACTGATCTTCAAGAACTACTAGAGGCCGGTTTCGCAACACTCAACCACAGCTCTCTGATTGGTGTCTCAGATGACAGACTCGTGCCGCATCTGGTTCAGGTCTGGATGTTGGTGTTTGGCACTATCCTGCCTTTCATCCAGGCTGTCTTCCTTCCTCTGGACCTAGAGCTGAAGGGGTGCGGATCATTAATGACCACTCGTGAATCTCGTGAGTTCTGGGGCTCGCCGCAGGTCGGCGGGTCTCTAGACGTTCGCAACTTGGTTCTCATCGCCTTCCGGGATCGCATAATATTAGAAAGATACGAAACGTTGAAACACACCTTTTCACGCCTCAGTCTAGACAGTATCAACACCGGCTTCCCTACACTCAGCGTCACGGCCAAAAGCATCGGACCCGGTGGCCGTCCCAGCACAGCTGCATCTCTAGATGCCGGTCTGGGCAGCTACAATTCCCAGTCCTCGACTCTGCTCAGCACAGGCGTGGCAGGAAGCTACTCGTCCGACTCGATGATGACCAACCAACGACCATCAAGCAGTAACTCACGCAGCCGCGCTGCCTCAAACACATCCTCAATCCCCGATCCACTCATTTTCCCCCCACCCTCCTCACCTCCAGTCGTGCACCAACGACAAACTGTCATCCACCGCGGCTCAGCCGACTCGTCACATGTCATAACCGAGACAGTAGGCCGCATGCTCCAATGCGTCAGCGTGCTAGCAAGCGTGCAAACAGGAGACGAAGCCCAAGAAAAGATCGAAGTCCTCAGCAAAACCCTCAAGCACAACTGGCTCGGTCGTGGCCGCACAGGCCGCGACAGACGCGGGTTTGTGGGTGCTAAATTCCGCCCTGTAATGGTCGGTGGGTCGACACTAGACGACGACAGCGAGTCGCTGACTACAGCTGGTATCAGCATCGGTGCTAGTACCAGCACGAGCGGGTCTCGGGCCCGCGGTGATTCATCTTCATCTGAGTGGAGTGGTGGAATTGGGCTGAGCATACGGAGTGGTGGACAGCAATTGAGTGTTCTTTGATCCTTTTTTGCATTCTGATGATTTTATGACGGCGGTGCATGGGCTTGTATTTAGCGTCTTCCAATAGACTGGATTGTCGGAATAGGCATTTTCTTTGCATTGCCTTGTTGATAGGTACTGTGTACAATTGACGTGGTTAGCATCAATATTCTCAACTGAGGTGAAAGCCCATTGTAAGCTTCCAAGGTTGGAGACAGACTATAGATAGTTACTTGAACGATGAGTTGCTTTGGTGGGGGTCAAGTTGCATCACAGATCTTCCGATCTCAAAGTATGCTCTGTGTTCCGTTAGATTCAGATCAATGGTATCAAGGACAGGATGAGCGATAAGATGGGACTGCTCATCCATATCCGACCCCAAGTAGAAAGTATCCATTGTGTATTCCTAAATTTCGAACTAATGACTGGTGACCACCTTCGAATCTCCCCTGCAGGTGCTTTGGCTATCTTGTCCAGTGGTATGATGTACTATGTACGCGTAAGCACTTGAATCTTATGACAAGGCCGGGAAAGTCGTCAATGAACCAAAATTGGAGTCACGATTCTTCTGAAAATCGAATTACAATCCTTGGAGTTTCTGAATATGACCTTGAAATACATACCTACTTATTCGCAAATGTTAACTCGGATCCCAAAATAGCCAGACGTCGGGTATCTTCCCCGCAATAATTTGAGCCGACCCGACCCGCCCCGCATGTAACCTTAAGCAAGCGCCGGCTGCCGAACTACAAGTGATGTCAATGGAAGATGCTTGTTTATTTAGTCTGAAATGTGGGGCATCAAATGGACTTGCAAACTTGTTTCTCTCGCGATATGACAGTGCTTGAGTGTAACATTCAAGGTTCAAAGTTTGTATATATATCCAATACCTTGGTGCGGGTAAGCAATAAATCTTCACATCCAACTCCCGATTCAGCATCTCGCACGTAGATAAAGAGCTCATTCTCCATCTAACACCCCGTCAGGAGCAGGTCATAGGTTCATAATGCTGGGAAAGATCGTCCTCGAAGAAGCCTTCGCGCTTCCCCGCTTCGAAGAAAAGACAAGATGGTGGGCGGGTCTCTTCGCCACGGATATCGAAAAACATGTCGCCGAAATCACAGATGTCGACTCCATCCGTCTGAACTTTGCCGAGCGCTACGGCGTCGGTCTCCAAATCCTTTCATATACCGCGCCAGGTGTGCAGGATATTTGGGATCCAAAGGATGCGCAGGCACTAGCTGTGGAGATAAACGATTATATCGCCGAGAAGGTCCAAGCTAAGCCGGACCGATTCGCTGCATTCGCGTATGTAATCTTCATCTTTCTGTTACTCGCAAATCTGATTAGAATAGAACTCTGTCCATGCATGACCCCAAAGAAGCGGCGCAGGAACTTCGTCGCTGCGTGACAAAGTACGGTTTCCTCGGTGCGCTTGTGAATGACACCCAGCGCGCCGGACCAGACGGGGACGATATGATCTTCTACGACAACGAGAAGTGGGATCCCTTCTGGCAGACATGCATAGAGCTAGACGTGCCCTTGTACCTCCATCCCCGAAACCCAACAGGTACAATCTACGACAAACTCTGGGCAGACCGAAAATGGCTCGTTGGCCCTCCACTCTCATTTGCGCAGGGCGTAAGTCTCCACGTACTAGGAATGGTAACGAACGGCGTCTTCGACCGAAACCCAAAACTGCAGGTGATACTCGGCCACCTGGGCGAGCACATCCCCTTCGACATGTGGCGTATAAATCACTGGTTCGAAGACCGGAAGAAACTGCTTGGGCTGCGAGAGACGTGCAAGAAGACTATCCGTGAGTATTTTGCGCAGAATCTTTGGATTACTACTTCTGGTCACTTTTCTACTACTACGTTGAACTTTTGTATGGCTGAGGTTGGGTCTGATCGGATTTTGTTCTCGATTGATTATCCGTTCGAGACGTTCGAGGATGGGTGTGTTTGGTTTGATCGGGCCGAGATGTCTGATACTGATCGGGCGAAGATTGGGAGGGAGAATGCTAAGAAATTGTTCAAGTTGGGGGCTTATAAGGATAGTACTGCTTGATATGTGGTAGCTTCACTTGGCCAAGCTACTTCCAATATAACATGAATTGTCACTGTCAATTGACCTCCAGGGCTGTGACATTTAGTACATTTACTGATAGACTACGTTCAGAAATTGTCTCACAACCCCGGGAATTCGACAAAAGCATCATAATAATCTCAATTAAACTAACCATCAGGATTAAAGAGACTAAAAACTGGCACCCGATCTCATCCATTCTCACTATTATCCACCCGGGAATTAGCGTTGATAGAAAAGTAAGGTGCAGGTGCCATCGAGAGGAGACAAGCTTCAACGGAAAACAAAGCACTAAAACCCCAAACGCCATCCATCACTATCGTGGCTCATTGCAGTCATGGTTCTCAGATCAATCGTAAATCATGGTAGACGAAAGGCTGTCAGACACATCACAAACTCTTCACATATGTTCATCTTCAGCCATGGCTACCATGGCCTCTTTGTGCACATCGTCCATGACACAAGAGAAGAACTCGGTCCGGATGCGCAGCAATGCATCTCGGTAAATAGCATAGTTATGAATGGAGTGCAATATCTTTTCCCAGATAAAATGAATGGATTGTGTGATGCGAAGGCGGCCCATATCCACAACAGGTTCTTTCGTAGTATACTCACTGCGGCGGTCGAGAAAGAGGTTGTGAATCCATTCGTCGAACATGGCCATGTACAAGGAGAGCAGTTTTTCTTCGAGTACACGGGGTGATCGTAGATGACTTTCCGGTGATTAATCGGTCAATCTGGGTTCAGCAAGAGAAAAGGGAATAAGAAAGAGACTTACGCGCTGACGACAGATACCATTCGCTTATACTGCACCATTGGCGGCACGTCCTCTTCACGCAACATGGCAAGAACGTTAGAGACATTGGAGGCCGTGTTGACTAGATCCTGAAGCATGTTGTCGACCCAGGTGAAGTAGTTCATCATAGTAGTAGCGATCTCCATGCCATCCTCCACATCAACAGGGTGAATAAAGCATTCTGTGTGTTTAAACAGGATGTACTGCAAGCGCATGACCATATTGGTCAGGGCAATGAAGCGCCCACGAGCCGAATCGGCCAATTGGGGATGCGCGAGATGATCCTTCACGTCCTCAAGCAAGTTGAGCTTCTTATCAGACTGTCCAACTGCGACATAGACATTGGGCTCGACGACGTTGGTGCGGATGTCCTCTGTCAATGCAGCCATGAAGTTCTCGCTGTATTCAACGGAGCACTGCATTTCAGACTCTTTCATGGTCTCATCTTCTTCTTTGTATTCGGGGAACGGAGAGGTTGAGCGATCGGAATCGGCGGAGCTCACGCGAAGCTTGCGAATAGAATCGAGAAGGGAAACAGGGAAAGTTTCCTCCTCCATCGGGAAGGCAGGCTCCTCCATCTGGAAAGAAGTCTCCATCTGGATGGGATCCTCAATCGTGAATATCAGATTCACGGTTAGAGGTGAAAAATGAAATGAGGGTGGGATGGATGACAGTAAGATGAAAAGAGAGAAAATTCGAAGTGAGATACTTGGAGGGTAAACAAAACATTGAATTTTGAAAACAAAAAAAAGAATAATAATATTATCTGGTAAAACGACTGCTTAAGATTATGAATTTACCAAACTACTCCAATATTCAAAACGCGTTAAGTCATCACTAAAAGTGAAAGCGCCTTCTGATGAATTGAAGAGAGTAAAATGGCCCTGTCTTCCCCTTGGCAGCTACCTGAATAACGAAATAGGCCAGCGACAAGGGAACAAAACGCTCCCAGCGTTACCAGCACAATTTCTCAGGTAGACTGGATCAAGAGTTAAAGAAGACATAAGTAAGTTCTTCGCACAGTGACTAATCGACGTGTCATTGAAAAGGAAGCACGGCAACTTAAGATAGTGCGAGATGTTGGGATTTAATCCGTCTTGGAATGATGAGAATCCTCGGGTTTAACTTCTAGATCATCATCGTCGTCCTCTTCCAGTGGGACGTCCATGACTCTCTCGCCAGCCTTTTCTAGGGTTCGTTTACTCCAGGATCTTACACCTTTGTAAACAGTCTGTTGGGGGGTTAGTTAGGAAGAGAAGGAAGAGCTATGATCATCCAGCTCTACATACCCAGAGAAAAGTGCCAACCCCTGCAACAATAACCACCCAGTTCAAGGCGGCAAGTCGGTTGCGACCAGTGGAACGACCATTCGTTACAGTACGCAGGTTCCAATGCCACGGAGAAAGGGTAAAAATTGCTTTGAGGAACGAAGCAAGACCAAGCGTAGCGAAGCCTTTGACGAAATGTTCAAGCCATGAGGCATCTTCATTGACAATCTCGTCGTATATATCGTCAATAGGCCCAAGGTAAAAGTCAATGATAGGGTCAGCAATGAAACCAAGTAAGAATATTGTGATGAATAAGATTGCAATTGTGAGAGAGATCTGTGTGGCTGTACTACTGATCCATCGAGCCCATGTCAAACGCCCGAGCTGATATTGAAATCCGCATGTTGGGCATTGCCAGAAGTTTCGAGTACCATACCCGGGGTCAGCGTGGCGCCATGCTTGAAGACATCCTTCGTGGACATAACGCGAGGAGCCTTTGCATTTACATGGACGTAGCAAGCGACCTAGTTCTGGATCTTCAGATTCATACACCACACGAGGTCTCTGGAGAAATTCTGATGGTTGTAGGGTTGGCAGCACGGTTTCCAAGCAGATGCGACAGATGCGTGGGGGGTAGCTCTGCTCTGATCCTAGCCCCGGCGAATCCGACTCATTGCTTGGGGACTGCATAGCATATGTTCAAGATGGTCATTATTGTTGCGTAAGAATTTTTGTTAATTTTCTTATGCCACAAGGGAAGTTGGAAAGAGAAAAAGGACAGAAAAGCGGAAAGGAGCAAACAATGAACGCTAAACCCAATCGATCTCACCGCCTTTGAGCAGCAGCTCAGCTCAGTTGTACCGCGTCAAACGTCACCCCGTCTGCCTACAGCTTCCCCTTCTTACCTTTTCCCATCCTCGATCTCCTTGATATTGAGCGTTTGTGTGTATTGACAACAGAATTATCATGGCGGACCGTTATTCTTTCTCGTTGACTACTTTCTCGCCCAGGTATGATAACTCTCCATCTCCACTCTTATGTCCAAGTGCTAATCATCATCAACAGTGGAAAGCTGGTTCAGATCGGTAAGAATCGAGTTGATCAGCCAACAGTTTACAGTGGCTAACACGTCTCACATCAGAGTATGCTCTCAATGCAGTGAACCAGGGTGTCACAGCCCTCGGCATCAAAGGTATATTGATTGAAATTCATCAACGACGAAAGTTGACGAGCTAACTTTCCCGAAGCCACCAATGGAATTGTTCTTGCAACCGAAAAGAAATCTTCCTCGCCGCTTATCGATCCCCCCTCGCTCTCTAAGATCTCGCTGATCACTCCGGATATTGGCATGGTTTACGCTGGTATGGGACCCGATTACCGCGTGCTGGTGGACAAGGCCCGAAAAGTGTCACACACTGGCTACAAGCGCGTCTACAACGAATACCCACCAACTCGGATACTGGTGCAAGATGTTGCCCGGGTGGTGCAGGAGGCCACTCAGTCTGGTGGTGTGCGGCCGTACGGTGTCAGCTTGCTGATTGCCGGTTGGGACGAGGGCGTCGAGCCAGAGGCTGTCAAGAAGACCGATTCACCTGAGGAGTCGGCTCCTGGCAAGACCGGTGGTATTCTCAAGGGTGGACCTAGCTTGTATCAGGTCGATCCCAGCGGCAGCTACTACCCTTGGAAGGCTACAGCCATTGGTAAGCACGCCACTAGTGCTAAGACGTTCCTAGAGAAGCGATACACAGAGGGTTTGGAGCTGGAAGATGCTATCCACATTGCCCTGTTGACACTCAAGGAGACAATCGAGGGTGAGATGAACGGAGACACAATAGAAATTGGTATGTTTGTCCCCACATTAAATATCCCTACAGTGAATAATTCAGAACTAACTGAAAAAGGCATTGTCGGCCCGCCAGCAGACCACTTGCTTGGCTATGAAGGTGTTGAAGGATCTCAGGGACCTCGATTCCGAAAGTTGACCAAGGAACAGATCGAGGATTACTTGACCAACCTATGAGTGATGGGCATATGATAGAATTGAATGACACTTTCTATTTTTCCATCTATATTCCATTTCTTATTTTCCCAAACCCAAGCCCGCATGGGCAACTACTTTGACATGTGCAGATGCGGATGCCCATAGAGAGTGATTTCACTTCCATCGGGCAGAGCCTGTAACCGAGACGATGTGCTTGTTGGTCCGTGACATCCCTGTCAGTCAAATATGAGCTCCGATTGTGTGTGAATTCTCCATACTCCGTACAGACTGTAGACTACACCTGCATCTAAAAGCCACCCGGCTATTTTATCCATCTCCAACCCATCCTACATCAGGGCAACTCTTTGTTTTCTTGCCTTCTTTTCCCCCTTTCTACATGAACACAGATTACTCGGACAGAGAGAGCGCAATCAAAAGAGAGGCTTGTTTCCTTTCTCCTCACACTCCCCCAGTTTGTACCTCTGTATCACCAAGCCCATCTCGTTCGATATCCCATGGAGAATGTTCGTCTACCAGACGGGGTGAACTAGGCTGGTTGAGTCTATTCGCCGTAGTTTCGTATTGCTTCCTCTGCCACCGTCACGGCCTGGTAGCCATGTCTGAATTCCCCCAGGACCTGCTAGACGGGATCTCAGGTTCTCTAGCGACGGAAGGCGACATTCTCCAGATGATTCTGATAACCTTCATCGGTCTATCCTGCTACAATGTCGCCGAGCTGCTCGTTCTAGTCCCGGCCACATTCCATCGCTGGTGCGGACTTTATTTCTGGTCGCTACTAGCATCGGCCTGTATAGGCGTCGTTCCGTATTCGATTGGCTTCATGATGAAGTTCTTCACTCACACTGATTCAGTGCTCTCGGTTACTGTATTGACAGTCGGGTGGTGGACAATGGTGACGGGTCAGTCGATCGTGCTGTACTCTCGGCTGCATCTTGTGCTGCGCGATGAGAAGATTCTCCGTCGTGTGCTCTGGCTCATTATCACAAATTTCTTCCTGCTGCACGTTCCGACTACTATTCTGACCTATGGTGCCAACATATTGCATACTGGTGATATTTCCTGGATTCGTGGGTACAATACTATGGAAAAGATCCAGTTGACAGGCTTCACTATTCAGGAGAGTCTTATATCGACACTATATGTGTGGGAGACGGTGAAGCTGCTTCGTTTGGGTGCTGATGCTACGACTCGGCCTGACTCGCGCTCTATTATGTACCAGTTGATTGGAATCAATTTTGCTATTGTGGCCATGGATCTGTTGCTACTTAGCCTGCAATTTGCGAATTTTTATGCCGTCCAGATCACAATGAAGGGATTCATATACTCGCTTAAGCTCAAGCTTGAGTTTGCCGTTCTGGGCCGCTTGGTCGATCTCATTCAGGGCTCGAGACATCCTATCTCTATTGCTATCGCTGATACATTGCCTCTCTGCTCCTTTCAGCGCGTGCCGGAGACGTCGGAGCGCTCTGAGGAGCGGGCCTGCGATGGGTCAAAATATACACTGGGTCCACCGGATGTGGAGCATGTAGTAGAGAGCCGGAGTTGCGTCGAGGTTGCGGATTTGTCGTGATCGTGATATTGAGATCTTGTTGTATATTCACGCCTCATTTTCTAATGTATCATTCATCCACTCATACCCTTCGTCTGACTCTTCATCCTGGCTATCGGCGATTTCAGCCTCAGCTTTTCTCTTGCGGGTTGGTGTCGGCTCTAGAACATCAGGAAGAGGTTGAGGGAGAGCAGGGGAGCTCTGATGTGGAGAATCATGCTCGGGTGATCTCTCAGGCTCTCGAATACCATCCTATAGCATATACCGTTAGATCGTGACCACTCGTCCATCCGAAAAAGGGAGCGGTACCGCTTCAATCCGAAATTGAACAATCAACTCAGCCATCCGAACAGGCAAAATCCTCCCAGCCCGCTTCGTAATTTCTGCAAATCTAGCATCAGGAAGATCCCGATACAGCACAATGCGCGTCTGGACACAATTCTCCCAGCCACCGCCCGCCAGCACAGGATGCAGCGTAGCGCGCGGTTGGCCCTTTATTTTAGTATGCGTCTGATTGATAGCCAGCACGGCGATATTGCGCGAAGCGAGACTGGTCAAGTGCGTGGCTAATTCGCTGGATACGTTCCACTTGCGATTAAGCAGCCATTGCAGCTGGGCCTTGTCGGTGATTTTGCCCTGGGCGAGTCGGTCTTTTAGATCTGCTGCGTTAGGGAAGTAGGCTGGGAAGAGAGATGAGACTGTATCAACTACTATTAGGGATGTTGAGCTTGGTGGGAAGTTGGCTGGTGGTTGGAGTAGTAGAGCTAGAAGGTGTGGTAGAGTTGGTGTGCGGAAATAGATCAGGTTGTCTAGCTCTTTTACTGATTGTAATCTTGTCTTTGGTATTGGGGCACCCGTATCTATTAATTTTTAATATTTTTTGTTGATGGGGGATGGATTCACATACCGATCCAAACTACTTTGCCGCCATCGCGGAGTGCATTGGCGGTGACGCTCAGTCTACTAATTGTTAGGGATGGCAGCAGCCCTGAAGCTCGGATCCTCACTTACGCCAGTGAGGTCTTGCCTACACCTGGTGGACCGAATACTTCTGTGACTTGACCGCGCAGAATCCCACCCGGCCCTTGATCCGACGCGCTCAACACTTGGTCCAGACGCGCCACGCCGGTGGAAACTGGCTCGTGGCCTATAGCTAGCTCATTGAGAGACTGTGAGGCCGATATTGAAATCACGGGTCCTGGACATTGTCATTATGGGTTCTGGGTCCATTTCCGTCACGACTTACGCGTGTCTTGGCTGAGACCGAGGAGGTCGGCGTTGGTGCTCATCGCATCCGGGAACTGGTGAGTGTTGAAGGGATTTTCATGAAGCTAACACTCGAGATTTCACTATGACACTTTGTCGTCACTCTTCATTCTCTCTCTACCTCTGCCACTTCTTGGCGTTCCCCTTCCGTATTAGTGCTCACCACCTCGCTGCTTTTGCTCCATGAGTACAATGCAGTCCACCCCTGACATTATGGTCCGTACCTAGCCGAACCCTCATAGATTGATAAAACTTACATAGTACCTAAGTACCCAGAGCGCACTCACCTGCTCTAGGTGCGGTAAAATAGGGCATAATATTAAAAAGTGTCAGAATCGTGTTATATAGTCAATTTTATGGAGCTTTAGTTCTTGAATCTAGGATTAAATTTGTCAATTTGAAATATTGATGGGGCAGAGGAAATATCGTATAGTGACAAAGTGTGGACGGAGTGGGCCCTCAGAAACGATGCATTGATTTTCACTCCCACCATCGTGTCATTAGCTATGGCCTGGGATGGGAATGCTCTCATATGGGCATTGATCTGTATTGTACCCTTACTACTCCTCTACCGACCCCAATCACCGCCAAGAGGATGTCGCCGACTCGGTCTAAAAGGCCAAAGCAATCTGCACGATGAGTTTGATCGAAAATACCGCCAGGGTGTACAATCTACAGCCTCTATCAATGGCGAGCCAGCCTGGCGCGTCAAAGCGCTCTTCACCTACCCGTTGAAATCATGCGGTGGAATCGAACTGCAAGAATCCGATGTCGTCGCTACAGGCCTGAAATGGGACCGACAGTTCGTCTTCGCCCAGCATAGCGCCGACGGTTGGACCTGTCGCACACTACGCAATGCAGGTTTTCAGCGTCTGGCTCACATCCATCCGGAGGTTTGGATCCCAGACCCATCTGCCTCGGATTACCATCCATCTCTGCCAGAAGTGAAGTCGCATGGTGTAATGATCATCTCGTTCCCGTGTCCTCCACTACCAGGTCGCATTGGGTCCTTGATATCTAGAGTGGCAATGGACGTTGGGCTGCTCAAATCCACCCACTCATTCCGTATTCCACTCTACCCAGAAGATGAATCTTACCCGCTCACCCCAGTCAAAATCTGGAAAGACAAACCTCTCGCCTACGATTATGGACGTTTACTCCCACCATCATTACACACATACCTAGGCTTTGATCCCAAAACCTCCCCACTCTCCCTCCTCCGCGCATGTCCCCAGCATAGCCGTGAAATCTTCCGCAACGCCCCTTGCAAAGAAAAAATCGGTTTCCAACCAAAAACAGCCTTTGCAGACGCGTACCCAATTCACATGCTCAACCTAGCAAGCCATCACGACGTGGCATCCCGCTGCACGAGTATACCGAACCTAAGTATTCGGCGGTTCCGGGCTAATATTGTGATCCAGGGCCCGGGTGCTTTTGAAGAGGATTTTTGGACGAAGCTACTTATTGGAAATGTTGAGGTTTATGCGGCTTGTCGGACTGTGCGTTGTAAATTACCTAATGTTGATCCGGATACTGGGGAGAGACATTTGGTTGAGCCGGATCGGACGTTGAAGGCTTATCGTAGGATCGATGATGGCGATCGAACCAATGCTTGCTTGGGCATGCAGCTCGTTCCTACTATTGAGGAGTTTTGTGTGCGTGTCGGCGATGGGATTGAGGTTTTGGAGGTCGGGGAGCATCGGTATATTAAGATGCTGACACCTGGAGAAAAGGTTGAGGGTGTTTAGGCCGTGGGACTTCGGGACATAGATAGCGTAAGATAGGTGTATTATTGTAGAATAAAATGATTAGAACAATGTACAGAGTGGTATTGATAATTAGATAGGTTCACCATACTGATAACACAATATGCAGGGGTGAGAGCGATGTGAGTGACCCCACCTAAGTAGTCCACTGGTTCCACTCCCAGGGCTGTACCTAGATGATGTGGAGTACGTAGTAGGTATTTCTGTACGTCTAACATTGCCCTCTTTTCGACTTGCCTAGTTGTTGGTTGACCATTGATGTTAATTGTGCCACCTCCTTGTTAATGGCTCGTTCAGTTCGCCCCAATGTCCAAGCTTGGAATGTGTTGGGTATGGTTTTGCCACTAAAGAACTAGATCGACATGGATTCGATGGAGTTCTTGAGGGGTTGATAAGAGGATCGACCGGCGGAAGGAACTAGATGATTCCGACATTTGTTTTGACTTCTTGATTGACTTTGTTTGGATTATAGATTGAAGATTCCAAGGTTCCAAGGTTGAAGGTTGAATAGATTACTCCTTCCATAGCATTTCGTTGGGTGGTCACGTGGTAATATCAGTCATCGGCTATAGCACAATACAGTCAGTATGATTTGTTGATTGATATCTGTTCCACAATCTATAACGTCAATCTCCATAATCCGTACTTATGCATATACTGTGTCAACAATATAATACAAGGTTGGTGGCACCATATAAGTTACTTCAGAATATAAGCTTGGAATAATGGGCTGACATTCACCTCGGTATTTTAATATCCGGTTACAGAATAGGAAGGATTAGCAGGTATGATACCGCCGGAGTAGTCACGAATGTCAAGCCTGAGGCCACAAAGTGTTGGGGCGGGACCCAACATTCAGAATTTCTTCATCTCGCCACTCGGGGACCTGACACTAAGGAAGATACAAATTCCACTCAATCGATCTTCTTTTCCTTTCAATTGTCTGACCACACCTCACCTTGTGATTTGTTGTCTTTGGTTTTTTCGTTCGTTCTGATTCGTCTTGCACACTTCTTCCCCATATCCGTTGATTAAGCCGTTTCCCTGGCCCCCCAACGTTGGTCTGCCGACCAAGTGGGCCCCCCCCATATAAAAAAAGAGCCTACCCGGCTCTTCCTTCTCTCTTTTCACACACATCCGACACACCCAATCTCATCATGTCGACTAAGGCTGATGCTGTTCGTCCTCGGGCAACAGAAACTAAGAAGGTGCATATCGCCGATACCCCGATCACCCGTCGCAACTGGCACAAGCATGTCGACTGGCTCAATGTGTTCTTCATCCTGGGCATTCCGGCTATGGGCTTCGTCGCGGCCTTCTGGACACATTTGTACCTTAAGACTGCTATTTGGGCTCTGTTATACTACTTCTGCACTGGTCTTGGAATCACTGCTGGTAAGTTGGCACGAGAAAGAAGATGTGTGAAGAGAATTTTTCGACTGACTCATTTTCATAGGTTACCATCGTCTGTGGGCTCACTCCTCTTATTCCGCTACTATGCCTTTGCAAGTCATGCTCGCTCTTTTCGGTGCTGGTGCCGTTGAGGGCTCCATCCGCTGGTGGTCCCGCGGCCACCGTTCCCACCACCGTTACACCGACACTGAGAAGGACCCTTACTCCGTCCGCAAGGGTTTCTGGTATTCCCACATCGGCTGGATGGTCATGAAGCAGAACCCCAAGCGCATTGGCCGTTCCGACATCACCGATCTGAACGAGGACCCCCTCGTCGTCTGGCAACACCGCAACTACATCAAGTGTGTCTTCATTATGGGACTCTTGTTCCCTATGTTGGTGGCTGGTCTTGGCTGGGGTGACTGGAAGGGTGGATTCGTCTACGCTGGTATTCTCCGCATCTTCGTTGTCCAGCAGGCCACCTTCTGCGTTAACTCCCTTGCCCACTGGCTCGGTGATCAGCCCTTCGACGACCGTAACTCACCCCGTGATCACCTTATCACTGCTTTTGTCACTCTCGGCGAGGGATACCACAACTTTCACCACGAGTTCCCTTCGGACTACCGTAACGCTATCCAATGGTTCCAGTACGATCCTACGAAGTGGTCCATTTGGGTCTGGAAGCAGCTCGGTCTCGCCTACGATCTTAAGCAGTTCCGCGCCAACGAGATCGAGAAGGGTCGTGTTCAGCAGCTCCAGAAGAAGATTGACCAGAAGCGCGCCAAGCTCGACTGGGGCACTCCTCTCGACCAGCTCCCCGTTATGGAGTGGGATGACTATGTTGAGCAGTCCAAGAACGGCCGTGGTCTCATTGCTGTCGCCGGTGTTGTTCACGATTTGACCGATTTCATCAAGGACCACCCCGGTGGCAAGGCCATGATCACCTCCGGTATCGGAAAGGATGCTACTGCCATGTTCAACGGTGGTGTTTACTACCACTCCAACGCTGCCCACAACCTGCTTTCCACCATGCGTGTTGGTGTCATCCGCGGTGGCTGCGAGGTTGAGATCTGGAAGCGTGCTCAGAAGGAGAACCCCGAGTACGTTCGGGACGAAAATGGCAACCGCATCATCCGTGCTGGTCAACAGGTCACTAAGATGCCTGAGCCCATTCCCACCGCTGATGCTGCTTAAGCCAGCCTAATTCGGGATTTAAAAATTGACAAACAAGTCTTGCATATTGTGTTTGGGTGTTGGGAGTTTCCTTTTTCTTATCATTTCCTCGCTCGTCTTGTCTCCTGTGCTCTTAAAGCCCCTGTTATCTCGCATAGATAATCTCTCATGAATAGAAACGAAATTATCATATAGTCCTAACTACTTTGTACTCGAATTGTGAATAATTCCATTAGTAATTAGTAATGGTACATTTGCATATGCGCGGAAAGCTGGCAACGCATTGAATCTATCACCTGATAGGTGGGCCTTGTGTTGCATCTTGAAATACATTAGGTACTCCTACAGGTTTATTCTGCACCACCCAACACACCGTATTTACGTTCGCCCCCGTCACCATTGCTCTCACCGCTCGCCACCATCTCCTTATCCTCATCGTCGCCGTCATTGTGGCGCCATTCCTCCGTGCCCCCGCTCTCCGTCTCACGTCTGTGTTGGGTCACCTACGTAGCACTCCGCGATACCTGACGACTTCAAATATGGCTCCCGCTCACCTTCGGCGCCCGCCCCAAGCCCCGCCAATATTCACGGCAACCCCGCAATCAGTCGTTGCCGATGCAGAGCGTCTGATCAAGAGGTCCCGAGACGTCCAGGACAAGGTCGTTGCTGAAATCACGCCCGAGACAGCTGTCTTTGGCAATGTTTTGCTTCCGCTAGCTGAAGATGAGAATGATATGGGCCTCGAGACTCACATCATTGGCTTCTACCAGGCTGTATCAACCGATCAGAAGCTGCGCGATGCATCCTCTAAAGCTGAAGAGCTTATGGACGAGTTCTTTATCGAGTCTGTTATGCGTGATGATGTCTTCAAGCTGGTTGATGCTGCCTTGAACAAGAACGAGACTCTGGACCCAGAGTCTCGCCGTCTGCTGGAGAAGGAACACAAGAGCTTTGTCCGTAACGGACTCGGTCTGCCTGCTGGTCCTCTGCGTGCCCGGTTCAAGGAAATCAAGAAGCGGTTGAGTCAGTTGAGCATTGAATTCCAAAAGAATTTGAACGAGGAGAATGGCGGTATATGGTTCACTCCCGAGCAGTTGGACGGTGTTCCCGAGGATGTTCTCCAGGGTCTTAAGAAAGGTGAGGGCGAGAATGAGGGCAAGCTCTGGCTTACCTTCAAGTACCCGGATCTGTTCCCGACTATGAAGTACGCCAAGGACCCAGAGATCCGTCGACAGGTCATGATTTCCAACGAGAACAAGTGCAACCAGAACGTGCCTCTGTTCCGTGAGTCTATTGTGTTGCGTGATGAGGCTGCCCGTCTCATCGGCTACCCGAACCACGCTGCGTTCCGTATCGAAGATAAGATGGCCAAGACCCCTGAGACTGTTGATAAGTTCTTGGGAGATCTGCGCACTCGTCTGACTGCTGGTGGTAAAGCGGAAATTGAAATTTTGAAGAAGCTAAAGAAGGAGACTGAGCCTAATTCCGACGGCAACTACTACCTCTGGGACCATCGCTTTTATGATCGTCTCATGCTGGAGCGTGACTACCAGCTAGACCACCAACAAATCGCTGAGTACTTCCCGCTGCAAACTACCATTCAGGGTATGTTGAAAACCTTTGAGGAGCTCTTCGGCTTGGAGTTTGTGGAGATCGTTGGCGAGGACCGTGCTGCTATCGCTCCTACCGGGAAGGGCGATGACATCGTCTGGCACCAGGATGTACAGTTGTTTAGTGTGTGGAACGATGAAGGCGAGGGTAGTGGATTCGTTGGATACCTCTATCTGGACCTATTCCCGCGTGAGGGCAAGTATGGCCACGCTGCCAACTTTAACCTCCAACCGGTAGGCTACCCCATTTGTTCTGCGTTTTGTCTTCAAAATTAACTTCCTGTAGGGCTTCATCGCTCCCGGTGGCGCTCGCCGGTACCCAGCAACCGCACTAGTCTGCAACTTCACCAAGCCTACCGACAAGAAGCCTAGTCTACTAAAGCACGACGAAGTGGTGACCCTCTTCCACGAACTGGGCCACGGCATCCACGACCTTGTCTCGCGCACCATCTATTCCCGCTTCCACGGCACCAGCACCGTACGCGACTTTGTCGAAGCACCCAGCCAGATGCTGGAGAATTGGTGCTGGACCCCGTCACAGCTGCGGGCCTTGAGCCAGCACTACTCAACCCTCTCGCCCGAGTACCTTGCCGGATGGTATGAGTCCCAACAGAAGCGCAGCGGCGGCAAGACAGCCACAGGCCCACCATCAGAGAAGATCCCCGACGAAGTGATCGAGAACCTAATCCGAACTAAGCACGTCAACGACGCCCTCTTCAACCTGCGTCAGCTACACTTCGGCATCTTCGATATGAGCGTCCACGAACCGAAGAGCCACGCGTACATTGAATCCCTCCCCATATCTGCTACTTACAACCGTCTCCGCCACGAGATCACCCTCATGGACGGACCCGAGGCCGTAGGCGCCGGTGACGAATGGGGCCACGGTGAAGCTACCTTTGGCCACTTGATTGGTGGCTACGACGCCGGGTACTACGGCTATCTTAGCTCGCAGGTTTACTCGACTGACATGTTCTACACTGTTTTCAAGGATGAGCCCATGAACAAGGAGCATGGTCGTCGCTACCGCTACCAGGTCCTGGAGAAGGGTGGAAGTCAGGATGAGATGACGACTTTGACTAACTTCTTGGGTCGTGAGCCAAGCACTGATGCCTTTTACAAGGAGCTTGGACTTGCATAAATAGTTGCTAGATCTGAGATTGATCAATACAATTCATTCGTTTATTTGAACGAGAGAGCCATATCATTAGACTGTGATAAAGGTACCTTGAAGGGGTTACTGAGTGTTGTTGTTATTATATAATTCTGGATTATTAGTCCAAAGATGTCCAACCTTACATCAACCATCACCAAGTGGTCTAGTGGAACTGGACTATCCCATCTTCCTTGGTCTAGTGGTCATGATTTCCGCTTGTCATTAATACCGATAAGCGCGGGAGACCGGGGTTCGATTCCCCGAGGGAGAGATCTTTTTTGCATTTTTATTTCCTATTTATTGTTAGCAGGTTAGAGAAGTGTTCAGCGGGTTTAGAAGTTTGTTTAGTTTTATTTTGTTTTTATTATATTTTTCTTTCTAGGTTGTTTTCGTTTATTTCTGTTTATGTGTGTTTGCTGTTAACCTTTTCTGCTGATTGATACGAATGAGATGGTGATTAGATTGTGATAAGCCACCGCTTTCATCTTCGATTCTTCAGCTTTTCTTACCAAGGTCACTTTCTATTCTACTCGGATTGAATATAGGTATGAATCTCATACTACCACTCATATCATGGCTGGAAGCTAACCGCACCATCTAGATCCTGTCATAACCAAAACCAAACTCCAACAACAAGAACAATTCATCGCAAGATCCACCGAGGAACACTATCGCAAAAATGGCATCACAAATAGCCTCACCACGTCTCCCAATCCTTACACAACACTGCAATTTCTGCAATCACCTCCTCCTAGCAACAACCCGAAACCTCTCCACCCTCCCCCGCCGCGCCGGCGAGGCACAAGACAAAGCCCTAATCCTCCCCCTAGAAAACAACACCCAGCCCGACGTAGATCTTGAGGCAGAGAGCGAGCAAGGTCAAGAAAAATCTCACATACAACCCTGCTACTCGCGACCACGATACCAGATCGTCGGGCAACGGTGATTGACCGCCAGGACGGGATTGAAAAGAGGGTTTTGCTACGGTGTGGTCGGTGTCGGGTTGTTGTTGGGTATTATCTAGATAAAGTCCATTGGGAGAAGGACAAGATGAAAGAGGTTGAGGAAGGTGGTGGTGAGGGTGATGATGCGGATCAGGAGAGGCCGCCAGCTGTTTATATCTTACCTGGAGCTTTGATTGAGACGGGGGATTTGGGTGAGGGAGTCGGGGTTGGGGAGGTTGAGTGGAGGAGCTGGAATGGTTCTTCTTAGATCCTATTGTTGATCTTTGGGACAAATAAACACTGAGCTCTCGATTTGAACCATAGTTTGGTTTTCATACATACGCACATCCTCAGGGACGATGTTCTAGTCGGGCATATCAATCGAATGCGACTTGTGCCCACTCCATCTCTTTTTTTTTTTCTTTTTTTCTTTTGAATGTTTTAATCAGCTCCCAAAGTCTCTACGTCCACAGTTCTAGATTCAACTGTCGATCAGCAGCTGGGCAAGGCTGAAACTCTATAGAGATTAGCCCTACAAGATCTCAACCCCTTAACTACTTGGCTTTATATGTTATATATACTAGGCTACTAGGTAACTTTTGGTCAATACATTATTGTGTCTTGGCCGAGGCCAATTATTCATTCTTCTCAACCCTGTCATGCTCGCGATAGAGCCTAGACAAGCTCGCAGTTGTTGTTCTCTCAGGTGTGTGGAATAACTACTCATAGAAGGTAACAGCTTCCATCGTAAATTAATTCGAAACTGCCTTCATTTAGAATTTGTAACCTTGAACATGCCAGAATCGCAAGGGTCAATTATTGTAACGCCCCTTGGTATCAAAGCAGACTCTAAACTGCGAAGGAAGGGAACTGACACAAGCTAAGACGAAGAAAGATTGGTCAAAGGATCCCACCATACCCAATGCGGTAACAGCCTCTATTAAGGACTGTATGGAATGGATGGACGTACCTACTAGACCATACTAATTCCAGATGTAATTTAACAGGACCTTTGGCAATTAGACTCATGGATTGTTATCAATGGCTATATAGACTAAGTCAGGGTCCTACTTGAGCACCCCATCATATGTCACCTTGGATCAACTACATTGAGCCGTTAATTATGGGCCTTTCCCTCAGGCTCACCGTGATCACTGCGCTCTCTACACTAGCAGCAGCCTGGCTACCCTCAAACAAAACAATCACCTCAATCAATGGAACAAATCTGTTCTCTTCCTCTAACAATAAGATCCGTGGCGTGAACCTCGGAACCCAGTTCGTCTTCGAGCCATGGATCGCCAGTTCCGCCTGGGAAAAAATGGGATGCGGTGCTGCAGGCGCTAAATCCGAATCTGAATGTGTCAAGGCACTCGGGCAAGCAGAAGCAAACACCACATTCGCCAATCACTGGGCCACATGGATTACAAAAGATGATATCACCGAGATTGCCAAGCTCGGACTTAACACTGTTCGCATACCAGTTGGATACTGGATCCGAGAGGATCTCGTATACTACTACGAGTCCTTTCCCCAGGGCGGGCTTGAATACCTTCAAGAGCTTTGTGGGTGGGCTAGTGATGCTGGTTTGTACATTATTATGGATCTGCATGCTACCCCTGGGGCACAAACACCTGATAACTCTAACACGGGGCAACTGATCTCTGAGGCTGGCTTCTTTGTGAATCACCAGTATGAGCGAGCGTTCAGGTTTCTTGAGTGGATGACGTCTCTCATCCACTCTACGACTGAGTTTCGGAATGTTGGCATGCTGGAGATTGTCAATGAGCCTGTTCGAGATTCTGCGATGGATATCTCGATGCGGAAAGTTTATTATCCTCAAGCCTTTAAGGTATTTTCACCCTATCCCATGAGAGAGCTATAGTTCCTAAGCTATGGAACAGCCTCTCGATATCTCGGTATGGAGCTAACAATTATCCAATAGCGCATCCGAGCCGCCGAGGCGAATGCCAACATTGAAAAATCTGACTACGTCCACATCCAAATGATGGATAAGCTCTGGTGGGCTGGTGAGCCGACAGAATACCTAGACGACACATACTATGCCGCATTCGACGACCACCGCTACCTCAAATACGCGGATGTCACCGTTTCCCAGGAAAGCTACCTGAGTACATCATGCAGTGACAACCTAGATGCAAACACACCTACAATAGTTGGTGAATGGAGTCTGTCTCCTCCAGATGATGTCGAGAAGACGGACGAGTGGGAGGTCTCGTCTAATCTCGGTTTCTACAAAAAATGGTTCGCGGCTCAGGCCCTCTCGTATGAGAAGCAAGAAGGTTGGGTGTTTTGGACTTGGAGGACACAGCTTAGTGACCCTCGTTGGTCCTATTTCGGTATGTTATGTCCTTAGAGCTATAAAGATGAATGGTTGCTGACCTTTTGATAGATGCTTATAATGCTGGGATTATCCCGTTGGATCTGAACACATTGGAATCTCCTTGCAATTAGCCAGTATCAACGTTAACTCTGTAAAAAAAAACATTTTGTATTAGCTCCAATTGTTGAAGAATTGTGCTCTTATACTTGAATTCCCTTCAAATTAGCTGCCTTGAATGATGTCTACGTCGTACCTAGTCTTGGCGCTTCTTGGCATTCTAAACGCCTCCCACGTGGGCCTCATTAAAGCTTAGTATTTAGGACATTATTGCATTGCACGTGTTTTAAATTTTTGTGCATCAGATTTGAGATCTATAGCTGTGCAAATGGTTATTTAAATAGTATGTGGTCCTGGAGATGTTTCGACCAGATTACAAGCTTTATTACCTTCTGCTACGAGGTAAAGTAGTTAAGCGGAAGGGAATCCCAAGGTCTGTTGCCAAAATTTTCAAATCTTACCCTCTTTCTCATTCTCGAAATAACTATAAATCCATTGAATGGCTCTGAGGAACACGTCAATATTTTTGTTTCGATGAAGCTACCATTCAGACCATATTACAATTGATTTGCTTCTTCCGAGGCCCCTTCTCAAAGAAATTTCTTTACTTTTCTTTTTGCCGTATAGAATCAAGTCGTTGCTTTATACCAAAAGCAACAGAACGTGAACATGATTCTATATCAGAAAACTGACTATCAATTCATAATAGTTCTTAATCATTTTAGCGGAAGCTGACAGCTACAGTAAGCTATATCGATGCCGTACGAAAGCAGAATGAGTCTCCTTTATTCATCTACATTCACATTGTTATGAAATCCTTTCCTAGCTCCTACTTGCTATATATAGATCTCAAATTCCCCTCGCTTCAAGCGCACTCCGTAATGTCTTTTGGAAACCAAAGACGTACTCTGGCCCTAGCATGGTATAATGAGCACCACCGACATCGTGAAAGCGCGGTATCGATCGCGAGAAATCCTTCCACTGACTCAAGTGTTCACTTAGCCATTGCGTCTTGTTGGAGGCTGCCACGGCTAGAGGATTGCAGTAGAAAACATCTATGCTAGCAATGGAGCTGCTGGGATCATAGTCCACAGCCATACTTTGCAGAGCGAAGGCCAAACACGCCCACTTGGTCAGAGCCTCTGGCGTCAGGGCAAGTTCCACAAGACGTTCCTGGTCGGCGTCTTCCATCACCTTCGCGAGGGTTGCTTCCCGAGTTGAGCCTTTCAATTTCAACGCCAAGTCCCGCGCGTGATCTTCTGTCATCAGATCTAGGAAGTAGGAGAGGTGGAGCAGGCATTCCTTGTAGTCTAACTGTCGCATGCGCGTCTTAATGTGGGGTGGCAGATTGAAGGAACCCAGGAAGCGTACTTCGTCTCCGTTGCTTTCCAGCACCTTGCCGACCTCGAAGGCTAGCATTGTACCGTATGAATACCCGGCTAGTGCATACGGTCCAAGGGGCTGCTTTCGTTTTATGGCAGCATGATAGGTACCGACAACTTCCTCGATAGTCTCGAAGGGCTCTTCGCCTTCGTTGAAACCCCGCGCGCGCAGCGCGTAGACCTTTCGATCCATCAGGAATTTTGCCAGGTTGAGAAATACAAGAACCTCTCCCACTCCTGGGTGAACAAGCCACAGTGGTGTCTTGTCTCCCTGGGACTGCAGTGTCACCACGGGGTTATACTCTCCCGACGCACGATTGGTTTGCTGGTCCTCCAGGGTGCTGGCGAGGCTGCGGACAGTGGGGTTTGTCATCAGAGTGATGATGGGAATTTGCTGCGCGAGACTCAGTTGCGCTTCAATATGCTTCTTCAGCTTGATCAGCTCTACTGAGGTGATGCCCATATCGAAGAGAGAAGACTCCACGTCAAACTCCTCTTCGGGCAAGCCAAGAGAATCAATGAAGATGGTGTGCAATTTTTGCTCCAGCTCGTTCGCGGCATGAACGCGGGCTGTTGCCTGGTGCCGCTTGATTTCTTCCGCATTAGTCTCTTGATATATTTTGTAATCGCCCTTTTCAAATGCCGATTTGATCTTGGATCGTGCGAGTTTTCCAAGAGTGGACTTTTGCAGCTTTGACTGATCGAGCGGCAATATCTCTGGTCGGGAGCCTGTCGACATCATGACAATCTTGGCTATGGAATTTGCGGTTATGGCTCTTGTTATCGTGTCGTCTGGAGCGTAGGTCGGCAAGTAGACCACGCAGATTATCTCTGTATCACCACCGGCAGGGAAAGAAGAAAAGCAGCAAGTGAAGCTCGGAGCCAAGCCGGGGATTTTATCCGGCTCATCCAGCGCAGTCTCTATCTCCTGCGGGCTGTAATTGACACCGTTAACGATCATGGTCTCTTTGGCTCTTCCCACCAAGTGTAGGTTGCCTTCATCGTCAATAGAAGCTAGATCACCAGTCTGGAACCAGCCATCGCTGGTGAATGACTGCTCGTTTGCAGTAGGGTTATTGAAGTAGCCCTCAAATAGGACCGGGCCTGATAGTTCGAGGTTACCCACAGTCCTAGTCGGTGCGATACTTTGGTCCTTGGCGGAGGTGACTCTCATGCTGAGACCCTGCGAGCTTTTCCCCACGGATGCAAACTCCAAGCCTCGTCTAAGGTCGTAGTCAGGGAAGTCAAGGTTGTAGATGGCGCCACCACATGTCTCAGTCATGCCGAAGCCCGGGGCAATGACAGTTGATGGGGCACCGTACCGAGCGAGCAGCTTTGCTACAGCAGTAATGGTCTTTGTGACATTTGCCTCCCCGCCTGAAGCAATGTACCGCAGACAGGTAAGATCCCAGTTGTATTCCTTGCAGAAGTCGCCGTGGCTGGCGAGTACGGCTCGAATGCGAGCGAGGAAGAAGTTAGGCGCAAAGGTTCTGGAGACACGATGGCGGTGAATCATATCCAAAAAGGTAAGGGGACTGGATAAAAGATCTGCTGCTTCCACATGAACCTGGTCTCGGTGCGCGAAGAGGCCTTGTAAGTGAATTTCCACAAGGGCCGCAACGTGGTCGCAGCGGACCCAGTTCAAGAATGAAGTGTCGTCTGGCAGCGGTACTACCTTGTACTTACTGGCCAGTGCTGTGAAAATTTGGCTGTGGGTGAGGATCACTGCTTTTGCGTGACTAGTGCTACCAGAAGTCAGCATCAGAATTGCGATGTCACCGGGCTTCGCATCGCAGTAGACTTCGTCTAGCACTGCTCCTGGAGTGATCTCTATGTCAAGAGACTCGATAGGAATGGGTGTGATACTGTCTTGTCCTCCAAATTCAGACAGCTTAGCAGTTGTGGTCAGACATCCGGGATCTTTGAGGTTGGTTGCCAGGTGCTCCAGATGTGATACGCGCATCGCCGGGTTGTTGCTCAACGCAGTGGACATGGCTGGGATACAGCCTGCCAGTGTGACGGCCCAGAACCAGAGTATGTTCTCCCAGTGGGTGTCGAAATGAATGAGCACCACTCGACCCTGAGGAAAATCTTCTTGACGGCATTTCTTCAGTGCCCACGAGGCTTTCTGAGCGCTTTCTAGCAGCTGGCCATATGAGTATGAACTGGGCTCAAAGGTTTTCTGAGGTGGATAGCATATGAGATTTCCACTTCCCTCGTGGCTTGCTACGGCCTTCAGGAGGAGAGTGAGGTTGGTGTATGCTTTAGCCATTGTTGGGTGATGGTATGTACCAGGTAGGGCAAACTCTGGAACGAGTAACTTTGGCTGAGCAGCGGTGTATTATGAACTATATGAGTTCAGGAAATAAAAAATGATTGGTCAATTTTATTTCATGCATGGAGGTTTGCTCCAATTGGTACTATGTCTGCACAAATGTCGTGATATAGTGGATATCTCCTACAACCCTTGTACGATTCAAAAATATATTTTTGAGTCCAGTCAGAGTTTCATCTTACTCCTCCTACATCAAGCATCAAGTCACAGACTATGTCCGATCTTCAAAAGGTTTTCATTCTCTCTGCACTCTACCAGAGCCAAACTGACTGGAATAGGTTATCATCATCGGAGGAGGGCCAACCGGCCTCGCAGCTGCCCTCTGTTTAGCCCAGCACAACAAGCTGAGCCCTGTAGTCTACGAGCTCCGGGACTCAGTAACTGCAGGTCTCGGCGGCTCTCTGGGTGTTCCTGCAAATGGTCTTCGTGTGCTACACCGTCTCGGCATCTGGGACATACTCTCACCCCGCAGCGTCGATGTATCCAAGACTGTCCTTCACTCCACATCTGGCACCATCATCCACGAAGTCGACGTGTCCACTGACTGCAAGGAGAAGACAGGATTTGGGTATCTTCGGATCAATCGGGTAGATCTGGTCGAATGTTTGCGTGAAGCCACGGAAAAATACGAGATCCCCATACACTACGGCAAACAGCTCACTTCCATTGTTGATCATGGGGACACCGTCACTGTTGAATTTTCTGACGGTACTAGTGTCAGTGCATCTCTTCTTCTGGGCTGCGATGGAATCCACTCCGCAGTGCGCAAGATACACATCGACGCAGATGTCTTGCCCGAGTATTCCGGTATCTCAGCCATCTCCTCAATTGTGGACGATGTCATAGATCGAGATCCTGAAGATCCAGCCTGCATGCACGCCACACGCACGCCGCACGGGCTATTGGCGACTGCACCCTGTCCTGCCAATAGAGTCTTCTGGTTCTTCAGCAAAGAGGTGCCTCTGCCGCCGGGCCAGAGCTCGGCCGAGGTCCGCGACGGCTGGACTCTCCACCGTCAGAAAGAGCTGGAGGACTGTCGCAGTCAGTTATCAACTGTGCTTGACTGCGTGCATGGCGATTGGGGTCAATACCTGCGGAAGCTGGTCGACACTAGTACGGACGTGCATTTCTACCCGCATTATCGTCTGCCGCTTGGTGGTCGGTGGTTTATACCCTCGGGTACCGCACAAGGATCGCCCCGCGTCCTACTGATGGGGGACGCTGCACATGCCGTGCAACCCCATGCTGGACAGGGTGTAGGTCTAGCCATGGAGGACGTGCTACTGTTTTCTGGACTGTTGGCCCAGTATCAGGCTGGTGACTGCAAGGCCTTGGAAGATGTGTTTACCCGATTCGTTAAGATCCGTCGCCCACGCATTCAGCGCATTTATGAGATTGCCTCTCACAACGGCAGGATGCGCCGCAACCAGTCGCCGTGGGTGGTGTGGTGTAAGGAGTGGTATATGTGGGTCATGCGGTTCTGGGGCATGTCTATGTCAGGCGTGGAAAATGGAGATGTCTATTATGATGTGGAGGCAGAGCTAAATTCGGACACTGCTTGTTGATTCCAAGGTTGTCCATTCCATATACGCCCTGAAGCTAGCGCCATATAAAATATTGGAATAGAAGAAATCCACTCAACTATTCCCAAATCAACAGCAGAGAACAAACTCGGAAACAACGCACGATGACTGACACTTTAGTTTCTCAACTGGGATGGATTGGCAAGTATCTAGAATAGAAGGCGATTCATTAGGCGCTGCTAACACCCAACAGGCCTGGGAAACATGGGTAGTGCCATGGCGTCGAATCTCCAAAACCATCTGCATTCTCAGAGCCAACCACCACTAAAGTTCTGGAATCGCACAACCTCCAAAGGCAAAACCCTGACAAAGATTGGAGGGATCAAATGCGACTCCATAACTGACATAGTCAGGGACAGTACGATAATCTTCATCTCGGTATGGGTGGTACATCATCACTTCACTCATGGACTACATCTCTGATCAACCAAACACGCAGATCAATAACGATGAGGTGTTGCAGGATATGATTACGCAGATCATTTCTGTAGGAGACCTGACTGACAAGATTATCGTGGATACGACGACTGTGCATCCGGATACGAGTAAGGAGGTCTCCGGGCAGCTGGCACGAGAAAATGCCTTTTTGGTATCAGGTATGTTTTTTATCTTTCTTTTCCCTCTCTCATCATGCTGAGACATGCCAAGGTCCTGTATTTGGCTCAGCTCAAATGGCTGCAGAGCGGAAAATATTGATGGTTGCTGCGGGTCCTGAATGCGCGATACATCGAATCTCCCCTTACATCAAAGGTGTGATCGCACGAGATATGATTGAGGTGGCCCAACAGCCAGAAAAAGCAGCCTTGTTGAAGATCATCGGGTGAGTAAAACCATTCCACGCATTTTGTTCACCGCTAAAAACATAGAAGAAACTTCCTCGTCTCGGGCTTGACAGAGCTTATCGGCGAAGCACAAGTCTTTGCGGAGAAGAGCAATTTGGGGTGTGAGGTGGTCGAAAAGCTGTTAGAAGCTCAATTTGGACCCCTTCCAGTCATGATCTCGAAGAGATTGACACAGGGAGTGTACATTCCGCCTAAAGACACATCTCCATGGTCAAATTTGGATCTGGCTCTAAAAGATACTGGCCACGCCATTGATTGTGCCGCTGCGGTGGAGACCAGATTGCCTGTCGGTGAAGTCATTCTAGACCACCTTCAACGAGCCAAAGTCTATTCCAAGGAGCAGGATCGACAATTAGACTCGGCTGCATCGTACGGTATCATCCGTCAGGATGCAGGTCTGGAATTTGAGAATGATTTTGTGAAAAACAGAGATTCTTAGACCTGGCGTTGATCTACACTACGTCCCACAAGAACGTGCATATAGATACAGATTAGGTTTCGTGGATTCTGCAGGGCAATCTGACCGCTATTTTACAGGTACATTGCTGACATGTCACTTTCTGCACCAGGCTGCATAGTGTTGCAGACCGTAATATTTCGAAAGATGGGTGTAGAAGTCCGGAGAGAGCTCAGGGGCTTAGGGCCATAATAGTCTCCCACCTAGATAGCCAACATTTGTTCATCACCTAAATTTCATCATCCGCATTGCTGGCGTAGGCTCTATTGTGATGGATTTGACCAAACTCGCCAATTCGATCTGCGAGGCAGCGAAGCTCCTTTCAAGCGGGTCAGAGGTTGACCTCCAGCAGCGAGTAGAGTTGTTGCGGGCCTGTGAGGAGCTTTCTGCAAGCCTTGAGCAGCCAAGGTCAAGATTAGAGAAAGCTACTGTTGCTGTGAATCTATCGGATGTAAAAGTTATTAGAGCAATGGATTGACGAAGAGCAGATGACCCCAATTGTGGCCACCCGCATCGCCATAGACCTGCGCATATTCGATTATGTTCAGCATTCTCCGAAAACAGAATTCAAAAGAGACGACATTACATCATTCGCCGGTGGAGATCCATTGCTTATCTGTATGTGGTACTTAGTTTCTTTTTGTTTGCTTGAAGCTAATTGATCCGAATGGCCAGGTCGTATCTTGCGATCGTTGACGGCTTCAGGTATCTTCAATGTCACCCCGGAAGGGATGTATAAGCCCGACCCTGTGGTGAAAGATCTTGCCCAGGGTGGCTATCTGTCAAGCCAAATCATGATGAACTTGTAAGCTCAAAACTATGAGAGAAGATAGTCCTACTATCCTGGGAACTAACATGACTATTAGTGATATTCACTTTCAAATATTCGGCAAACTTCCACAATACTTGAAGGAGACCGGATATAAATCCCCCTCGAACGCCTACGCAGGCCCTTTTCAATATGTCTTTAACACAGATGAGCATTATTTTGACTGGTTAAAGTCAAACCCATTACAGCTTGATGCTTTTAATCGGACAATGCAGGCCGGTGTTGCTCGTGACAATGCCGCGCGATGGACCGAGATCTTCCCCATTACGCAGAGATTCCAGAAATTCATAAGTGTTGCCGACATCCCCGCCGAGAAAGGTCTCCAGCTGGTAGATATAGGAGGGGGTATCGGCCATGAAATCAAAATATTGCTTGATACACTTCCAAGTCTCCAGTGCCAGTTCATTCTGCAGGATGTACCTGGCGTTATCCAGAGCATGCTGTCAGAACTCAAGGAACTTCCATCCACACAGATAGTGAAAGCTATGCCGTACAACTTCTTTGAGACACAGCCCATTATAGGAGCTAATGTCTACTTTATGGGTCGAGTTCTGCACGATTGGCCTGACGTCCAGGCGCGGAGCATCTTGCAGAACGTCCGGGACGCGATGGACAAGGATTCACTGCTCCTCATCCACGACCGCGTGCTACCAGACGGTGAAGCGAGATTGAAACTTACAGATACCATCATGGATTTCAGTATGATGGTTTTACTTTCCTCACTTGAACGGACAGAGACACAGTTTCGAGAGCTACTCGTCTCGGTGGGGCTGCATCTAGTGCGGGTGTGGCGGCCAGCCTCTTCCGGTCATGCAGTGATTGAGGCAGTTCGAACAGACTTAGTTCCTGGTGGGTGAAGAGCGATGGACATTGGAGATTAGAATCGCCATTTCTGAATATTGGTCGTAGTCCAACTCGTGAATTTTTTTTAGTTAGCTGGTTAGTCTTTGACCAGCCTTAGCAGGTGAAGGCCGACAGTATCGAGCAACTGAAAAAGAAGATCTATAGAGAAGTGTAACATGAGAGAACTACCACTTTCCCCTTAATAAAAGGCCAAAATGAAGAAGCTGTCAGGGTTTTTTCTTTTTTTTACTGAATGTTTTTTGAACTCAAAGAAACCTACCGAGGCAGGTAGTAGTACTTAATTCTTTGCCTAAATTCTAGCATGTCCAGATATTTATCAGCTAGCTTTGACAAGTCCTAAAACTCCCTGCTGAAGATTGACCGTCATACCATTCACAACATCAACAGCGAACTTGTGTACGGGATCTAACTTCATCTCCTCCTTCTTGATACGATCACACGTCCACTCACCCTGCTCATCTTCCTTCAGCTCTATCCCGTCGGGGGCGGTGTTCATAGTACCATTCACCTTGCGAATAACTTTCATGCAAAAATCCACTGAGGTGGCCACATCCTCTTGACTTAGTTTCTCTCCGCCAATTTCCACAGTGCCTTGTATGACTGGCCGGTATCATATTAGTACGATTGATGAGGAGTTGAAAAGAAAAAGAGACTCACTGGGTCGGAAGAAGCGGAACGCGCGATCAAAGTTCGCCTCATCGTAATCGTTCAGCACTGCACGTTCCTGCCCCGTGATTTGAGCGTATGCGCTGGTAACAACCAGCAAAAACCGCATATAGGCCTCTTGAATCTTCTGCGAGTGCCAACTGGCTGCTGCCTGCTCTGTGCAGTCTCCCCTCATCGCCGCACAGATAGAGGCAGCGGCTGAAAGCGCTCCAGTGAGTGCAAGATGTACACCCGAAGAAAAGAGAGGGTCAATGAAGCACCCGGCATCTCCTACAATGCGCATGCTGGTACTGGCATAGCATGAAGCGCTGTAGGAAAAGTCAGTGGCTGATTTGACGTCTGAAGCCAGCGTGGCTTTGGTCAGCAGTTCCGGAATCATCGGGGCGTCGTTGACCTGCTGCACAAAGAAGTCCCGAGTGTTATGTGACTCCATAAGTTTCCTCTTGGCCTTAAAGCTGGTCTGCTGCATGACCACACCAACAGAGGTTGTGCCGTTGTGTAGGGGAATAAACCACGCCCAGCCGGATCCATCTAATGTACCTATTAATAGATTGATCTCATCTCGAAGATATATGGACGTGTGTACCTTTGAGCCGAGGAAAGACAGGGTCTCCTTCAGCTGGAGTTCCTACGCCATACGTCCCAGCGTTCTCAAAATAGCCCCAAGTCGCAATGTTCTTGAGACCTTCGTTGTATGTGCGATTCTTCATGTATTTGGTACTAACCAAGCCTGCTCGTCCACTAGCGTCAACCAAATACTGGAATCGAATCGAGCCACTCGTATTCTCGCTCTTGCATTTCCAGGAGGCAGACACAGGCCTTCCTATATTAGGAGCTCCATGGCCTTCACCACCACCAGTGGGCTCAAATTCAATTGAATTGACCTTCACTCCGTCAAAAATCTTGGCACCACTTTCTCCAGCATGTTCGAAGAGGATCTGGTCGCATTCGGAACGTATGACATTCCATGCATGTCCACCAAAGGCAAGGAAGTTGGTGTCTGTTGCTCAGTCAGTCATGAATATTCAAAGCGTCGTGGAAGCTATTTACATGCTGGCGGCTTGCTGTTATAGCTGAAAGAAGCTCCATTCTGCATTCTGGTCAAACTTTGACTCATCTGAAATTTTTGAACAAGCTTTGTTTACCTTGTGTTTGAATCCATGGCTTTCAAACTTGTCGTACACGTCGATGAATTTCAAAAATTCTCGCGTGGATGGCAACAGACTCTCCCCAATGTGGTATCTATAGAACAAGTCAGTCGTGTGAGTTCTCTAACAGTACTTGGCTCACATACCGAGGAAACACATCGGCTTCTAGCAGAACGGTGGAGATCCCTTCCCTCGCCAGTACGGAGGCAGTATATGAACCTCCTGGCCCACCACCTACCACCAGCACAGTACACTCTTGCGGGATAGGCATGCTAGAAACCAGGCTACGCGCTGATTAGGATATGAAGTCCAATATTGGTGGTAAAGATGGTAATTTCTGATCAAAGCCAGGCTTGCAAGGTTCTTCCAGTAATTTTATTAATATTTCTAAATATTACCTAGGTACAGACATGCCTCAGGATTGTTCGGATCTGTATGTTTTGGGCCCCAGGATTTATCTGTTCCGTGATCGATGATCTTCGATCCAGCCCTGGAGACGAATCCCAATATGATTTCGTATTTGATCTTTCCACATATTATTTCGGTATACTACTAGATTAGGAAAGTGGGTCCTCGGCCGAGCATACGGTGTAGACTTACCTCAGAGTCCTCCGTCGAAGTAGATGTACCAATGACAACATTTCTGCATGATTGTGCCCTTATATACTGAAATTAAATTAAATTATTTAATTTCCGAGGTACCATGTTAGACCGCAATGATAAATCAAAATATTTGCTACTCCATCTGGGCACATCTTATTACCTATCACCTGCTCCTTTACATAATGCAAGCACACCTACGTGGTAGTCCCACTGTTATGACCCTCTAGAAAACACCCCACTCTATATCAATTACCATCATGCATAGATGCAGCTTCTTGACTACGGAGGACATATCCCAACCCTCATCATAATCGATAAACTAGGCAAGGGGGAAACAAGGAATTTGGACGAAGTGGAGTTTGTTTATTTTCCCAGGACCCAGGAAAATCCATGCAGTGCAGTTTACCTCTCTTGGCCTCAGGAACAGATGGATCTCATCTCCACATATGCAGTCTTAGACAGGTATCTGCTCACGACTGAGACAAACAGATAATATTATCAATTCGGCCGGTGTCTGGAGAACATAGGCGCAAGGGATACCATCGGGACCGTGGAATGATCGGACCTTTGGCAGCTCTGGAAGATCTTTAACATCGGGGAGACTTGAAGTCTGGAATTGATACAGCGGAAACTGGCCGAGCAAGCTATCGATTTCGATAACGATTGTCGCCCCCTTCCCTAGCCTTGGAATGTTGCAAGAATCGGACTTCGGATCTCTCCTTAATTCCTATATTTCAGAACTGGACAAACCATTTGGCTGCTAACTCGTGACACATAAAAATTGACCAACTTTAGTCGCCTTTCAATCATGATTATTTCATCGGCTATACTATTCGACAATCCACTTCTTTTCCTAGGTGGTGTAGTTTTGATAGCTTGGTCTATACGTCGATGGATTTCCTACTACCAGTCGTGGGTACGTATTCTCTGATTACTTGTAGCCGCCTCATAACTTGTACAGCTTTTATGTTGATTAGACCAAGCTAATTCATGTGTCTCGTATCAGGTCAAAGTTCCTGTCGTAGGAGGAGAAGGATTATTCGAATCTTGGAGGGCTGCACGTCGTTGGCGTAGCTGTGGCCCCAAACTGCTGAAAGAAGGATACCAACTTGTAACCTATTTCTCATCCACACACTTCCGAGATGTATTTGATGAATTTGTTATCTTACCATGTTGATAGCACGGAGATTTTGCATTCCAAGTGGCCACACCGACTGGCTGGGATGTCTGTATTTGCAACGATGCCATGATCAGGGAGTATCTTAATGCTCCCGATGAGTACCTGTCCTCTACAGCTCCAATCCAAGGAGTAGGTGATCTTTTAACCTAATTGAGTATAGACACAATTGATTAATGGATAAATGTGTTGTAGTTCTTCCAGTCAAAGTATACAGCACCCGGCTTATTCCATAAAATCCCAAGCTCAATGATGAGCAAAGCTCTCACTTGGTCTCGAACCCGCACTAGATCGACAGACAATTATTTTCCAAGCTTTGTTGAGGAGCTTGAATACTCGTTCGGCCGGGAAGTAAATGAACAAATGAAGGTTGATGATAGCTGGAATGCACTTGACTGCTACACAGTCTCAAGACGTCTTGTAATGGGTCTTGTTGCAAAGCTACTGATTGGAGATGATTGTCGAGATCCGGCGAACATCGATCTTTTTTGTGATTACACTGCGGAGATGATAGTTGGGGGCCCGTATATCAGAGGGTTTCCGGAATTTCTGAGACCGTAAGTATATGTTCTTTATGTTCTTTTTTTTCTGTTTCTGCCCTAATTTTGGTGTTACTCTTTAACAGGATTATAGCACGTTCATCTAGGGTGGTTGAGCTCTCAAATAGAATGCAGAACCTCATTCTGGATCTTATCAATAGACGAAAGACCAAGTCAGAAAAGATGGAAAAGGAAGGAAAGCAGCCTGAAGTGAGTTATTAATAACCCTCTTTTTGTTCCTTTTGCTCAAACCCCTTTTTTCAATCTCACTCTTGCTTCTTCTACCTTAGCTAAACCACTCTATGTGTAGGACTTGACAGATTGGTTCTGGCGGTGGTCCCAGAGCACAAACAACGAACTGAATGAATTAGACATCGCCCAGCTTCTCGCCGCAAATACATTCGGAGCTAGTTTCAACACCACCGTGGTGCTCGTCCAATGCATCTGCGAGCTTGCAATCAGACCAGAATACGTCAATCTAATCAGACAAGAGGTTGTCTCCATCCTGAAGTCCAACAACAACACTTGGACCAAAGAAGGTATCGACTCGATGAAGAAACTAGACAGCTTTATCAAGGAATCACATCGATACAACTGCTTTGATCTAGCCGGAACACCCCGTGTCGTCAAGAAGGACTTTCATTTCAAAAACGGGCTCCGGATTCCAAAGGGTACAGTTCTTCTTACACCAAACGCGGCCTTGTTGTTCGATCAAAAACATGTTCGGCATCCGTTTGAATTCGATGGTCTTCGGTTTTATGACCTTGCCCAATCGTCTGAAAACTCTGAAATGTTCAAATACACTTCGACTAATCCTCATTATCTTCAATTTGGAGATGGAAGGCATGTCTGGTAGGTTGTTTTCTCGCCCCTACCTCGTCCTATGTATGCATCTTATTAATCTTTTCACACTCTCTAGCCCGGGTCGATTCTTCGCCGCGGATGAACTTCGGCTCATTCTGGCGTATCTGCTGTTCCACTTTGAGATTAAATTGCAGAGAAACTTGCCGGAGGGCTTCAAGATTAGGAGGGACAATTTGCCAGATTTGGGAGTGAACATCTTGTTGAAGAAGATTGAGAGGTAGACTCTGTCACGTCCTTCAATCTCAATATCTACCTCAGTCCACGAACAAAGGATAGCAAGTTGTAGTGCGTTGTTGTTGGAACGACGAATGTTAATAGAATAAGGTCTGATTGCCATTCATTAGTAGTGAAACATTAGATATATAGTACAAGAACGCGTTATATAGCATTATCAGCCGACTGCGCCAGCTCATCCTCTCTATCCTTCGCCAAATCCCTAGCAGGCCACCTTCTCTCAACCACCGCAATAACAAGCGTGAAAATAATTTCAAGCGCAAAGAACATCGCAGCTATCTGGTATCCGACTTTGAAACGCGGCTCCTGACTCGTGTTGTATGCCAGCAAAGGAACCCACGCATTAAAAGTAAAGGAGATCGCCTCAACCACTCCTATCACGATGACACGATGTTCAGCTGAGAAACCGCACGTCTCGCTTATCCATGATGTGAAGATGATTCCGGCTCCTGTTTCGGCATATGTGAGAAGCCAGCCTGCCATCATTGCTGCCGTGTTTTGAATTGGCCATATGGAGAGGATGATTGTTCCTATTAGACCGGGTATACAGGCAAACACAATAATCGGCCAGCGAACTTGGAAGTAATCACTTGTCCATGCGTAGAGGAGGGTACAGATGATCTGCAGTCCGTATCCTGCTGAGGGGATAACGTTGATCTGCTCAACTGAGTATTTGTGTGTTGACTTGAGCCACACGCTGAAATAGGAGTAGATGCGTAGGCCAAGGACGTGGCAGATGAATGCTAAGGAAAATAGCCAGACCGGCCACGAGCGAATGACATCAATGAAGGTTCGCACTTTCAGCTTCTTCGCTGGTGCACGTCCGATCTTCTTCATCCGCTCCCCAGCATGCTCGGTCTCTTCCTTGCTCAGCCATCTATTCTTCGAGTCGCTCGGTGAATCGGGAATAGCCCAGAAACCATAGAGAGCGATGGGGATTCCGAGGATTCCGTCAAAGATGAACAGCCACTGCCAGGCAGCGAGACCTCCACGACCATTCATGCCCTTGTATAGCGCTGCCTGGAGATATCCCGAGAACATGTTGGCCGCGCTTGAAGAGGCCTGGAAAATGGCACTTCGTTTGCCCAGCTCTTGTGGCGAATACCAGTTTCCTAGCAGCGTGATAATACCAGGATAAGCGGATGCTTCGCACAGTCCGATGAAAAAGCGCAGGATAAAGATTGTCTTTGCGTCTTTCGCGCCTGCTAGTGCCATCACGAATATACTCCATATCAACTCTAGGGTTGGTAGCCAGATCGACGGGCGGATCTTGGTCAATACTAATTGAGATGGGATCTGTCCAATGATATAGCCGATGTTCCAGTAGGTAGTCAGGTAGTTGAGGTCGTTTCCCTTGAGGTCAAGCGCCTCTTTCATTCCAGAAACGTACGCATTAGAAGTCTAGATCTGTTAATCACTGGCTCGACTCTTCAGTAAATTGAAAGCTCACATTTGATTGATCTAGCGACTTGATGAAATATGCAGTGCATGCGTAACTCAACAGCCACCAGTCCACTTTCTGAACAAGCTTGCGCTCCTCGGGCGACTTGTCCCACGTATCCCAAAGCGAAGCCTTGAGACGAGCTAGTCTAGTCTTTGGCGGAGCCAGCGATGAGTTTCCTCGATCGAATTCTTGCTCATCAACTACAGGTTCAACCTTTTGAATTGAATCACGCTCATCGACCACAGGCTCAGTCTTGAGCTGATCTGAATTTTCGGCCATCATCGGTGGAGAAAACTTTGGTCTTCACCATTTCACCAAAATGGACACAGACCATTTATATTAACGACAGCGGTGACAGTCAGGATCGATTTGATCTCTGTGCTGGATCCTGACAAGCACATCATCAATCTCCGACCGCATTTTGAGATCGATTCGGCGAGAGTCCGATACTCTCCTTAGGCCTCAGAAACGCTAGTTATTTTAGCCTGCGATGGCGTGAGAGGCAGCTCTGATTCCGTCAGATTGAACAAGCTTCTTAAGCATTGGCTTTAAATTACGGGTCTCGTGCCATTTTTTATCGGGAATCGGGAATGGGCTTTATCTTGCAGGCTCAAAGGATTCATTTGGACTGCGAGCGACGGACAACGGCCGAGAGAGGATTGACGGGATGACACCATCGCTTCCTTCCCCTAAAAGGAGATATCTATCGGTGCTGCGCCGCTATGTATATTGATACCAATGTCAATTCCATATAGAGATTATTATTCCTTTGACGGCTCTATCCCGACAGAAAATCATCTACAAATTGTAGTTATCAACATCACGAACTTCAAGTTGAAGCGCTTCAAACCAGCATCATGGTATCCGAAACTGAGGCACTGGACATTTATCGCGACGCTATCCACTTCGACGGATTGAATATCGCCAACTTCTCGCGCGAGATCTTCGAAGCCTGGCACAAAGGAGGCATAACAGGTGTATCCTGCACATGTGGAATCTGGGAAGGATTCCGCGACTCGATCGCGAACGTGGTACAATGGAAGAAATGGTTCGAGGAGCACTCTGACCTAATTGTGCAAGCGCACAACGTACGCGACATTCGCCAGGCGAAGAAAGATGGCAAAACGGCTGTCCTACTATCCTGGCAGAACACAGCCGGCATCGAGGATAAGTTAGATTACCTGCGCGTGTTTCGCGATCTGGGCGTGCGCAAGATGCAGCTCACGTATAATACGCAGAACTACTCCGGAGCTGGCTATACTGAGATTCGAGATTCGGGGCTTACGGGCTTTGGACGAGAGGTTGTCGATGAGATGGGCCGGTTGGGGATTGTGGTTGATTTGTCGCACGTAGGGCCGCAAACTAGTGAGGATGTCATTGAATACGCGAGCAAACCACCCTGCTTTAGCCATGTGTTGCCGGCTGGACTTCTCGAGCACACTCGCAATAAGTCGGATCATCTTATTCGGCGCATTGGAGAGAAGGGAGGATTTGTGGGGCTTAGCCAGTTCGGACCGCATATGGCTAAGGGCAATGAGTCGACGATCGATGACTATGTCGCGGCAGTGGACTATGTTATTGGCTTGATTGGTGAAGATCTAGTTGGCATTGGTTCGGATGCCAGCGAGGGCCACGGTCGGCCTAGTGATTTTATGGCCTGGTGCAACAAAGATAAGGGCTATGCACGACGCCTGACTCCCTGGGGCAGTCAGAAGGTTGTCAAGCCTCTTGGGCCTCTGAGCGAACGCGCAGAGCTGTCTAAGGCCATGGCAAGGGCCGGCTGGTCAGAGGCGAAGATGCGCAAGGTGCTTGGAGAAAACTGGTTGAATTATCTCGAGCGAATCATCGGTGAATGATGATAGTGGTTGGGAATATGGAATTTATCGAATTCACGGAGGTTATATGAATCTGGTGTATATTAGGTCAAAATTAATAGATCAGCCCCAGAACGAGGCGTCACTAATGGGTACATATGGCGGGTTGGACAATAACAAGGGAACGGTGATGATCCGTATGATTTGGAAGGCAAAAGAGAACGAGGAATACATTCTCATCTCGTAATACAAGAAAATATCAATGAATACAATGACCGCGCCGAATAATTCAGATAAAATTCAAAGAGCTCCCGACCGGGGACTCGTTCGCCCAAAAAAAAAGGAAAAAAGCCGTGTTCCATAAGCAGAAGCAGAATTCGTGAAAAAAAATAAACAGGTTTGCAAGTTTCGGGTATCGGTATCTAGTTGGCTAGGATGGTGCGCACAAGATCTGTGTAGTTGATGTCTCCAGAGCTTGTATCGACAGCCTTGAGGAGTTCATCAACTTCATCGTCAGACATCTTCTCGCCGAGATTTGTGAGGACTATAAGAGAGGTTAGCAAGTTTCTAGACTTGATACGTCGTAAGCTATTATCAAACATACTGTAGCGCAGTTGGCCGACACCAATAAACCCGGTCATATCCTTGTCAAACACTTGGAATCCGCGGCAATATTCATCGGGCTCGCCGGGCTCACGGAAACCACCAGGGCGGTTGAGCACCTTGAGGAAGGCATCAAAATCGACTAGGTCACATAAGCAATGTGATACAGTTGAGAAGGTTGATATTCACATACAGTCACCACCGATAGACTTCTCCAAATCGCTGATCTCGGCGAGAGTGGGATTCTGGCCACAGGCGCGGAGCAAGTCGCCCAAAAGATCACCGGACACACGGCCAGTACCGCGGCGGTCGAATAGCGAGAACGCTTCTTTGTAGTTGGTAGAAGCCTGATAATCGTTTCTATTAGCCATGATGTCTGGTAGGAACGATGTGGAAGTTCAAGTGTCAAGAGGAGGTGAGGCTGAAGAGGGGGGAAATTGGAACCAGGGATGAGAAGGCGGGAGTGATTGGTTGGTATGAACAAGGTAATTCGTCAACAATACATACCATAACTTGACGGATCGAGTTTATTCGATTGGGATTGTAGACGGGGGATGGATGGCAGTGAAGAATGGGGGAGGAAACAAATGCGTAGGTCTACGTCGTAAACTGGACCGTGGTGGATCATCAGCGGTTGTTCGGGCAACGGAGGAAAGAGCGGCCAACACTAAACAGGATTAAGGCAGGCTAAATAAAGAAAGTGGAGATGAATTATGATGTCAAAGGGAATAAGATTCAATTAGAATACAGTTAGAATTCTCCTACGACTGTAGCTTTGCTATACAATTGTCGAGCAATAAGGATGCTTCACCCAATAACTCCCACCTTGCATTTGCAAACGAGTCGCGTATAACCATCAGCAATCCCATACAATCGTTGCATCCTTTCATCCCTTCAAGCTCCTGAGGTTCACGAATCCCTCCTATTCGCCGCAGGAACTGGTCCATGTTGTATCGCCGCTCGGCAGCTGTTGCCAATACCGGTGGATGTTGGAGAGGTCCATTCAGCGCAAACCCATAACACCACACAACCAGTGTGGCAAAGTAGATGACCCATGGTCGGTTCAGGAGGTAATCATCGCGCGCAACGTACTCTCCCGAGTGAAATTCGGAAGAGCATGCCGATAGGAACTTCAATGCGTAGAAGGTGGCATCGCGCGCAGACGCCTTCGTCGCCCAATGATTGGTCTTGTCCCGTGCTGAGGTGTAATCTCGTGATGTGACCGACCGTCCCATTAACCTGCCGGCCCCAGCGAATATTTGAAGGTCCACTATGTCGACATGGGATACCATATGGGCAAGTCCATGTAGAATATCGCACGATTGGGACTCAACAGAGGTGAAATTACTCAATGCCTCGTTGTATATTGTCCTCCATTTGTCACGTCCATCAAGAGTCTGGCCGACTCCAAGTGAGCTGATCTGCAGGTCTCGCTGGTTGAGATGCCAGCTGACGCTCAATAATCCTGCCAGAAGAACACTGCGGCCGAATGGCGTTTGTATCGAGACGGCTTGTCCGTTGAGGGTGCGCTTGAGTCCATCAAGAAACATGACTGGACGGACACCGTGAGATTGTAAGCTGGACTGCACCCGTGCCACTTCGGCAGCGCTGGTCGCGGCCCATAATGCCTCATCGCACGGCATAGGTAGTCGGAGCTCATGGGCGACGATCTTTGCCGCATGACCATACATACTTGCATGGGTTGAGTCGATGATAAAGGCAGCAAATGCTACACGCCGTGTAGATTCTGCTTTTATCCACTGGGACCACGACTCATCTTCCTCCTTCAACTCTGGTGTATCAGATGGTGACCGGCCGATCAGCGAGCTGCCTCGGCGCATGAGTGTCAACGTGGTATCGTGATGAATGTGCGCCCGTTCATGCAGCGCCCGCGTAGAGAACCCTTTCTCGAAAATCTCCAACAGCAACAAGGCCTGGAACACCCACAGGCGGGCGGGTGGTCGACAGTCTGCATCCATAAAGATCTCCCAGCGCAGATGCCACGCGATAAAGTTTGCCAGCTCTGCCGCCGTCTCAGTCGTCGCTGACCCATGGACTTTGTCCAGAGTTGCCGCCCCAATGGCTATAATAGCCAGCAACAGTAAATTATGCGTGCGATCCGCTGCAAATGTCGGCTGGTGGAGTATTGGCATCTGCGCATGGAAATGATACCAGTAAGAGCCGATATACGTCTGCATCATGCGCAGACTCAAAGCATGTCGGTCATGATTCAGGTCCCCATCCATCAGCGCATCCTTGCGCTTCGCATCTGGTGAGTACGCCGCCTCATTGAATCGTGTCGCCATCAGCTGTAAAAGCTCTTGTCTTTTCTCCTCAGAGATAATGGCTGGCAGCGATCCTGAGTCCAAGATGCTGGTCATGCTCATCGGGTGCTGAGGAATGACAGTGAGATTAGTGTATGGCGACTCGTTGGCGTAGAATTGATTTTGAGATACTGGCATCATACTGTATCCTAGAGGCGCCATTGGTTCGTTGAAGAGCCATGCTGCAAAATCGTCGGCCATGGCGAATGGAGACCTACTGTGGGTTTCTCCGAAAATGGGATATGCATTCGCCATAGGGTCAAATCCTAGCATTCCATCTGAATGATCAAGTACCCGCGGAAAATCAGAATAGGTCACAGGGATTCCGGTAGAGTCGTTGCCCGTAGAAAGTGGGTAAGCGGAGACTGGAGGGGACTTTGAGTTGGGTGTCGGATCCGTGATATATTGATAATCGGGAATAGTGATAGACGGCGATGAAGGGGAGGAAGCGTGTGGGATTGACTTGGTGCGCTCATCATAGGCTTCATGGGCAAAATAATCTCGTTTTTGCAGCTGCGAGCCGCGGGTGGAGTGACGCTCTTGATGGCGAAAACATAAATCTTGGCGAACTGACAGTTTTGAAAAGGTTAGATGCCTCAGCGATGAGAAGGCCGTTCTAGGTGGAAGAGGTTCATACCAAAGGAGCGAGGACAGTATTCACAATGAAAGATCTGCTTGGGCGCATCTTGAAAAAAGAAAGTCAACAATCAGCCCAGATGACAAGTGTAAGAGTCAGATAGGCTAACGGTTCAATTGATGTCTCGCCAAATGCTCGGCACGACTGTAGCTTTTCCCACAGCCGTCATGACTGCAGTGAAACTTTCGATCGGGAGGGGCGCGGCGGCTTCGAATTCGTCGCTTAACGGGTTGTTCCTCCACGTCGGCCATGGTGTTTGTTGCAACCAGTGCCATTGGCAGCCATCACAAGACTTGACCATCAAATTTGGAATTTTAAACCAGATCTGAATCAATCAGGCAAGAGAAGAAAGATCGTCAGGAACAGATATAAGACATAAGACATAGAAAACGTCCCCGGTACTTTTCCGGTGTGGAGAAGTTGAAAACGCGGGGTTGATTTTAAGCTGAGGCGGTGAATCCAAGCTTCTTTACGTTTAAGTCATTGACTTTATGCCGAGGCACTTATACATGATGCCTATCCATATTATCACCTAGAACTCGGCATCAGGCATCGAATAATATTCCACCAATTTGGGATCATTCAATATTAGTATTCAATTTAATTCGATCTCATTTCTGCCACCGCCTATAATATCATGGTCATGTACAGCCGCAACGTTTCTTACATAACAACATTTAGTTATATTTATATAAGATTCTCTCTCCAAAAAAAAAAAAAAAAAAAAAGAATTAAAGAGCTTTGGCTGCAAAAATTAATAACATAGTATAAAACAGTGCTAAAAAAGAAAAGAAAAGAAAAAAAAACGTCTTCCATCCCATCTTACATGACCGTATAGTAAGTATGTCCCTTTTCTGTGAGTTTTTAAGGATAGTACAATATCAGATTACTCAAGACTAGATCAATTGATATTAAATCATGGTATATACCAGAAATAGAGAATAATGGAGTACTGCGGACGCAAGCCCCCACACCAGACGTAAATGAAGCCCCACAAGACGCGTCGACAGTTAACATCGACTCGACGACAGAGATGTGACCTGATTCCGCTCATGAATCAATTATCATTCTCTATCTAGTGTACATATGCGTCTTTCATCAAAAAGGGTGCTGTAAGACTGAACGATGAGAAGACAAAATGGAAAATGAGTCCTCACCGATAGGATTTTGATATAAGGTCAAAGAGAATCTAGTTATCAGTGGGTGAACCTGTCAGAAGCCACAGACCACATCTTCTTTAGGTCCATTACGTCGTCTGAGACGAAGGTGTAGGAAAGACGGCGGATATCCATAGATGTTGGGTATAGAAAAGTTGGATGCCCACGTATGGCTTGACCCAAGCTTGGAAGATCTCTTTCGTTTCTCTTTTCTCTTCTCGTTTTGGATTTCCACGATGCTATGGCTCGGTATCTTACCACTCATTTTCCACGTTTCTGCCGCCCAAAAGAACGACTTTGACTTGTTAAGCTTTATCATAGTACGGATTTGCGCTTGTTAGTCGGAACTTGTTTGGCCGTGTTAACATTCTCTTAGCTGCCAGAAATAAGGGCCTTGAAGTTTGAAATTGAAAGTGTTGACCGTGAGCGTCAAATTCCTGGTTACTGGTTCGTTGCGCCGTACGGTCAAATTGACCCTGAGGCTCCGACGCACAGGTACGAGCAGTATCAGGTTGGTCCATATATATACGATAATGAGGGAGTATGTGCTTGCACCTGGGCAGTGAGATGTCCAAGCTCATTCTATATTGTTAGCTAACATACCATAGATGCTTATATGGGCCGACTCCCCTCTCTTCAATAATCGCAACATCTTCGATTTCAAGGCGAACTGGAATATAAACGACGAGCCTCATCTTTCATTCATTCTCCAGCATCAGTTTGATAATTCAAACAAGGGAAGCGGCGTGATTATGGAAAAAACGTACCGGATTGAACACCAGGTAGGAGTTACCAATGATGTCGGTGCTTTCAATATGTACGAGTTTAATATCCTAGATGGTGATCGCACTGCACTAGCATGCACTTACAGGGATAGGATGACTGACTTGAGTGACCTGGATCGACCGGATGAGGACAGCTGGGTGATTACGGGCGGATTCGTGGAGCTGGATGTTGAGACGGGGTGTGTACTATTTAAGTGGGATTCTCTGGACCAAGTCCCGCTGCATGAATCGGCTCGTTTCCACGCTTGGGGAAGCCCGGATGGCAAACCAGGATCGGATTATGTGCACATTAATGCCGTGGATAAAAACGACGCAGGCGATTACATCATCTCTCTGCGGTTCACCAATACCGTCTATATGATATCGGGCAGAGATGGGCGTATCATGTGGCGTCTCGGCGGGAATGAGACCGACTTTGACCAAGACTTCACTTTCCACAAGCAGCACGACGTCAGGTTCCTGGAGTCGGACGGTAACCGCCATATAATTTCTCTCATGAATAACGGTGCCGATGAAGATAACGCCGACGAACAGGTTTCAGCTGCCCTCTATATCGAACTGGACTCTAACACCATGACTGCACGGGTGATAAAGAGAACAGAACGTCCAGATGGTGGTCTCACCCGGCTTCGTGGCAATGTTCAGCATCTTTCTAATAATAATACTTTCATCGGCTGGAGTGAAAGAGGTTACCATTCGGAACACGCTCCAAACGGGGATCTGCTCATGTGGGCTCGGTTTGCATCGACCAGATTCTCCAGTTACCGGTCGTATAAATTCGACTGGATCGGAAGACCTACTGCCCCACCCAACGTCGTTTCCGCGGTATATGGCACTAGTGATGACGATTTCCTGACCATTATCTACGTGAGTTGGAACGGGGCAACGGACGTAGCGCGTTGGGACTTCTACGCCCGGGCCTACAACGGCAGTGACAGATTGTTCATTGGAAATATCGAGAAGGTCAGCTTTGAGTCTATGTTCCTCGTTGATGGGTTCATGGACTGGGTTTCTGTCGAAGTGGTTGATAAATTTGGAGCAGTCATGGGGACTTCCCTTGAACATCGCACCAACTTACCGACAAATTGGATTGGTCTAGAGGTAGACGATCCAGCACTGCTCTTTCCATCTAATAGCAGTGTGAGTACAGGAACTGGAGATGCGAAAGAGGCTGTATACCAGGCCTATGAGCTCTTGCGCGGTGTTGAAGGCTTTATTGCTTTTCTGGTTATTGTATCCTGCATTGGATGTGGTTCAGCAGTCGTGATGTATGTTCTTCGCCGGCGGAAAAGTGTTTACCAGAATATTCCATTGCACGAAGGTGAAAATTTGCCTATTAAGGATATTCCACTATATATGAGCTCCGACAGTTAGTTGATTTTTGCAGCTTTTTTGCAGCTTTTTTGCATGAGATTATTTAATAGGACAAGGAGTTCGGTAGCGGGACTCTGGCATTTATCAGCTTTGTTTACATAGTACAGATACCTGAATTATAATGATTGATAGAGAGCAGTCTAAGTTCTCTCTCACTAGTCAGCTAGAAAGAATTGTTCCATCGTCAACAGAGAATGGGCGATATGGCGAGACGATCACCTGGGCAGATATAAAGATTGTTTTGATTCTCCATCACAACATCATCCTATCGACGTCTTAAACGGGGTCGTACACCCTCTCCTCAACCGCGCGTACTTTTGAGATAAGCTGAAATTGTTCACTTGGTGGATAGAGCTCCAAGATAGACTCTGGGATACATAGATAGCTCGTTTGAGCTGCCCTGAGGAATCCACTTACAACAAAGGGCTCCATGCCAGGAGGCTGCTTCATCAAGGTATTTAGATCTCCCGTGCACCAGTGTCTTGGACCAGTGCGATGAGGTCGAAATGGAGGACTTGGGAGTATCTCGGCACAATGAATTCGTAAATTGAGAGAGTCTATCTTTCATCTTACTTGACCTCGTCTCTTCTTATGGCGGTTCTCTTATTTCTGATCTCACCTCCCATGTTGCTGATTGCGGCTCTCTTGTTTCGAATTTCAGCTTTCTTCTTGTTGATCTCATCTTTGACGTTACTGAATTCATCTATCTTGTCCTCGATAATCCGTAATCAAGAAATAAGGCCCCATAAGGCAACTGAAACCCTGAAGACATGCATTGAGAGACGTTTCGAGGATCACTGTTCAGAGTTAGAATATCGTGACAGGAAACTTCGTAGATTAGTATTAAATGATAATTGACCTTTGAAGAATTAGTCGAATGAACTAGTACCTTATTCTAAGGTTCGCACTTGTAATGAAGGAGACTAAATTATCATTTTTTGCTGGAGACTTCGTCTCTGCTAGATGTGACCACTATTTACATTATTATCAATAAGATTTGGAAAAAAAAAATCCGTCTATTCATATGCTTCTACCGGTCATCACGGGACGTAACTAAATTTCTGACTGTCAAGTCAGCTAGAAAGAAGATAAAAATATTTGGTGATCAGAGGGCAACTAGTGTTGCCGTCTCTTGCAAAGGCCCCGGCGGTTTCCAAGGTTGCTTGTTTTTTGTTAGTCTCCATGGCGAAACCCTGCAAACACCAGAAAAGGTAGTCAAAATGTACATGTGCAGGAAGCTTCATCCGCTGAACCGGAAGCGAGTGGCCTCAAGACGGCCAAGTCCATCTCGGGGGGCAACATTGCGGCGGCGATAGGAGTTGGTGAAGTCTGTTGTTTATGTCAGAGTCAGAAGGAGAAGGGGAAATGAGTTAAAAGTTTACCTTGAAGCAAAGCACGAATTTTGCGCGTCTCGCCAGACTGCACCTTGTCTGAAATGCCCTTGAGCAACCGCTCAGCCTCACCAGCCTTCATGGAGCCGGCTGGCAACATCTGTAGAGTGGTTTGAATCCAAGCTCCTGTTTGCTGGGGAATCAACTCAAACATGTTCATGATAACCCCAGAAGCATCTGGGAAGCAGTCACCAGGGAAAGTGAACATCATGCCTGTAAAAGCGCGTTGCGCCAGAACCTGGCCCTGAGAGAGAATGAGAGCCTTCACAGCCTCCCGAACTTCGGGAGGGTTGACGTAAGGGGTTCCATCCACGCTGGAAAAATCGGAAGCCAAAGGCTTATCGAATGCGAAGCTGAAAAGGTCGCGGTAATAATGAAGGGTGGCAATAACAGGGTCAACCTGTTCCAAGGTGAGGGCAATGAGACCAGCTTCGAAGATAGGAATGGCCAAACTTGAACTGAGGCACTTCATGGGATAGTAGCGAACAGCGTCAGACGACAACCGGAAAAAATCCTCAATGACTGTGTCAAAAAATTAGCAAAAATCGACGAAAAAAGAAGAAAATCAGTAGTTTTAGTATGAATCTTACCATCGGGCAAATTCTGAGGAGGCAAATCATTTAGAATACGGAGGAAGGCGATTGCCTGCTGCTCATAGAATTGGTATACAGCATCGCTGGTGGCCGGGTCCACATACTCAGCACCAGCAGAGAATTCACGAACAACTGCGTCAGTGGTCCATAAGAAGCAACCTTCACGGGATGCCGCAAATCCATCGCTAATGCTTTGAGCTAGGATTGGTAGGAGTGGAATCATGGCAGTTCGGTAGGAAATAATCATGTAGCGCCAGCAACGGCACACGCGCTCTAAAATGGGAGTCGCGCTGGGGAAATTCAGAACAATTGTGGTCATTATGGGCAGGATCTCGCCACAGTATTTCACAGCAGGATTTTCTTGGCCTGGGGAAACAATGGGAGTCACCACTTGGACGAAAATTGTGATCAGAGCCAAGTGGTCGGCTACCGCTCGCTGGGTATCTTCGTCCTCGCGAGCCTTGTCAGCCAGGGTCATGATTCGTTGCATGATGGGATCGCAGAACATCTTGAATGATTCGTATATCTTTTCTAGAGGCTGCACAGCCACTACGGCCGCAACACCTTCTGTCACTTCTTCTTGACTGGTAGGCTTCAATTTGTCGAGTACGGACTCGAAGAAGGTATGCAGCTGGCCAATATGGCCACCTAGTAGCTTCTGGCAGTCGGTTCCGAGGAACTTGAATGCAAGTGCAGCCGCCTGAACTACTTCCGGCGAAGAGTGATGGAAGCCAGAGATAACGTAATTCAGTTGTGCCTCAAGAGTCTCCGGATGAACTGCCGTCCACTCAGTGTAACGAGCGAGGGCCATGATGGCCTGGAACCGCACCTTCTCCTGATTGGGAATCTGTACAATCAGGCTAATCAGCTGACTCAAGACAGTATTTTCTTCTGGATCAACCATTCGACCCATGGCCCGCAAGCCAAAGAGGGGTGCCTCCAGCTCTTGCCAGTGTGGAACATGATCGTCACTGGCCTGCGCCGCATACTTGCCCACCCATTGTTGGATTAGGTTATAAATCTTGGCAAGACAGTCGATAACACCGACAACAGCGCAGCAGTCCTTCAGCACGTCACCCATCGCATGGCGGAACCCACGGAACTTCTCTTCTTGCTCGCGATCACCGCCAAATAAGTCAGTCTCTCCGTCTTCGGGGCTGGGGAATTCCAAATGTTTGACCATAATATCCACCAGCTGCGAGTAAATATCTTGGAAATGCACGCGGGCCTCGGCATAGCGTTCAAGTGTGATGAACTGCTTAAGTTCATACCAGAAAAGAAAAGTCAAGGACACTGCTTCACGCTCCCAATCCCGAGCACTGCACTCAAGAACAGCCTCCACCAGACCTCGGAATTCTACTGGCATCCGGGCGATAAGAACTGCCCATGCCTCACCTGCCTCCGCGAACAGTCGTGTGATACCCTTGAAAGCCTCCAAGTCTTCCGCTTCGGCAGTTTCATGAATCTTAGGTCGAAGAGCCATCAATCGTGGATAGAGAGCTTGAATGACCGAGATTGACTCGGTGGTATCCTTGGTGTCTCGATAGAGTGTGCACATACAATCGACACCCTCGTCAAAAGATGCGTCATTTTCCAATGATTTCAAGATAACATCCATCAGAGGTGACTCGACAACTTGGGCGGCGGGGATTTCGCGGAGCCATGAGGTGATACAGTCCAAAAGACGGGGGTTGGTCGCAGCAGTGGGCGAAGATTGGGAGTACTGAATCATCAGCTGCAACACCTGTTCCGCATTGTCTTCCAGTAGTTCCCTCGTTCTTTCAATCAATTCGTCTTCACTGAGATTGATCTTACGACCTTCCGTTACCTCCTCGGGCAGAATTTTCAAAAATTCCAGCAAACAGTCGCCCGAGGCGCTACCCAATACCGAACCCACGGTGACCAACACGTCTTTCCAAGATAGCATCTGAATCGCCAGGCTTGCCAAGCAAACACATAGCTGAGTTTGAATGGGGCGTGGACCGGCGGAGTAAGAGACAAGAAGGTTGAGTATGGAATCGCGCAGCGCCACGACGGACAGTTCGGGGAGTTGGTCCAAATCGAACACAATCTGAGGCGAGTTAAGTCAGATGAGGATTCCTGCACGGCGCATAGAGAATGGTTTATAAAATCTACCTTTCCCTTCAATGTTGTTGCTGCGAATAGTTTAGCTTCCACCGGGGTGTCTGATGACTGTAATAAAGCGTGTGTCGCTGTCCATGCTTCGACCTGGAGGTGAATTGTTAATTAGTGAAATCAAATGGAGGAGATAGAAGCTTACAGATTTCTGGAACTTTTCCAGGAATTCATGGGCTTGCAGCTTCTCGGCCTTTGGCACGTTGCCTTGCATTGTCGCGACGGCCGCTAGGACCGGGGCAAATGCCTGCCCACTATCCTTGCTGGCCATTTTGGGGAATAAATTTGGAAAACAAAATGAAGGCTGAGCGAAGCAAAATCAGCACTGAAGAGTTGCAGAATGGAAAAAGTGATGAGAAGAGAAGGGAAATTGCAAATGAACTTTAAAGTGGGAAAGAGCCAAGGTGGGATGTTAGGTTTCTTGACAGGTGGTAATTGTATTACCGTATTTAAATCACGGGACGCAGAGCTTGACAACAACTTAAGGAAATTGGTGGTGCTCATCAACCCCATCTTCTCCCACCTTCTCACTCTCTAATTGCAACCATGGCTCCCACCAGCCGCAAGACATTGTTGGCTCCTATCCATTTCATTTTCTCAACTCTCCAGAAGGATAAGAAGGTTATTATTTGGCTTTACGATCAGATCCACTGTCGTATTGAGGGCAACCTCCGAGTAAGCACATTAATCCATTGTGTGCAAAGCTCCGATTAGCTAACTGGTGCGCTTTTTAGGGATTTGATGAATTCATGAACTTGGTCCTTGACAATGCCGTTGAGGTACGCCTGCCCACAAAGCTTGCAGAGGAGAAACGCCGGCCGCTGGGTGAGATTTAATCCAATTTATCGCATTTCCTTATGCCCCGTAAGGGAAAGTGATTAATTCATTTCAGAAGCTGACAATTTTATCCGCCAAAACAGGCCAGATTATGCTCCGTGGCGACAACGTCACTCTTATCCAACCCCTCTAGACACACCGATTTCCACCTTGTTTTGATATGATCGCCTTTCTACGACCTGCGATCCATGTATTGCCCATCCCCTACGACTATCGCATCAATGATCCAGTCATGCGCAACTACTGGAATATTTTCGGAGACTATTTGCTCCTGGAGTGCCAATGCCACTAGCAAACGGAGTTAGTTTTTTTGCTTCTTTATCTTTTTTTTTTGAATACGGGCAACGCGCAAAAAGCAGGGGTCAGAAATAATGAATTTCCTTTCACAGCTCTGGTTCTCTTACCTAGGAATGGCATAATCCTGCTTTGATTGGAATATCGCGTTAAGAAATGGTCATAATACCCTTTGCCATGACCTAGGCGACGGAATCCTCGGTCAAACGCCATGCCTGGCATAACAACCAGATCCAGTCCATCTTCGGTCAGACAGTTTCGGCGATCGACAACCTGTGTAGGCTGTAGTGAGGGGATCCCCCATTTATCTGGTTGTAGCGACTTGAACTCGGTTATCGATTCTAGTGATAGCATGTCCATAATAGACACCTTGTCTGACATGTGGATGTATGGAATGTACACCTTTTTACCACTCTTGAATGCATCTTCGACAATTCTGCTTGTGGAAAGCTCGCCGCTCGGCATAGAAAGGTAGACAGCGATGCTTTTCGCATTTTGGTATTCGGGTAGAGAGAGGAATTTGGCCGTAGCGATCCCAGCTGTGACAATGTCAATATCTCAATGTGGAATTGCAATTACTCAAAACTGACATTGATAGGCTATGGAGCTCGATGAGAGATTACTTAGAGTCAATCGCAACTGCTTACGCAGGTCGCGCTTAGCTGTCTGAGAAGCCATTGAGGGGTAGAGAGTAATGAGAAGTGAAGTTCCATTCCTGCCGATAATGATAAGAGTGGAACATAAGGACCGGCATGCTTGAGGCCTTGCTTAGTTCCCCACTTGAATGAAGGGGATTTCTTACCAAGGGATTTTGTCAGAAATGAATTTCCATTCTGGACATCTTCTTTCACACAGGCATCATGGTTCGGATTTGGTCTGTTTTAGTGACAACTACTGTTGTGACCGCGGTGACGGTGGATGAGCTGGTTGGTACTTGGACTACTAAGTCTCGCGATGTTTTGACTGGACCGGTATGTTATAAAAGAGTCAATTGAAAAGCAATTGCTAACCTGAAAAGGGATTCTATGATCCGCTGAACGACCGATTCATTGAACCAAACCTGACGGGTATCTCTTACTCTTTCGACGCGAGTGGGCACTATGAAGAGGCGTACTATAGGGCTTTGGCCAATCGTAAGTGTCGATGGAATCAACCAGTTGAATCAAAACTCATATATATATATATATTTATAGCCACTGAACCATCGTGTCCTACTGGGTTGATGCAGTGGCAGCATGGAACATACGAGTTATTTGCAGATGGATCTTTAATCCTCACCCCGATCACAGTTGATGGCCGCGAATTGCTGTCTGAGCCATGCAAAAAGAGCACTGCTAGCTATACTCGATACAACAACACGGAGAGATTCAAGGTATTCAATAATTTCTCCAGTTTCAAGAGGTAATGCTAACTGAAGCAGGGTCTCTCGATAATAGAGGATAGATACCACGGCATTCAACGACTTGACCTGACGCAAATTACAGGCAAGATCATGCAGCCTCTATACTTGTTCTCTCACTCTCCCAGAATGCTCCCCACCACGACCTTGAATCCTATGCCGGCGGCGTCTCACAAAAAGCGAGAATTGTCTGGATCTGGAATTCATCTGGTGATCAAGCAAGAGCTGATCAATCCAGATAGATGGTGGTGGTTGGGAGTGTTGATGACCTCTCTCGGTGGAGTGGCCTTCTTCTGTTCGTAACTTAGGACATGATTCTCGGCGTTCAAATGTTTTCTCTGGAGTACTGAATATTCTGCTGACTATAAAATCAATGTCAATTGCTTCCTGGTATGAATGGAGAGAATAGATCTATTGTACTGTTAACAAATATTATACAGGGAAGTTCACATCGTGCTACTTCCAAGCGGAGATAGTATCTTTGACAATCGCCGAAACCTCTTTGCCATCTACAGGCTTGCCTTCGAGGGATCCTCCCTTTCCAAAGAGCAGTTTAAGGACTTGTCCGATCTGTGGCTTCGTGCCAGCCGTTTTGAAAGGGGCAAGCTCTTGTGTAATCATCGCCTGCACTTCCTCAGTAGACAATGTCTCCACCTGGCCGGCATATTCCTCCAAAATTGTAATCTGTTGGTCTTCCTTCTCTTTCAGATCAGGCCTCTCGGCTTCAGCAAATTGCTGTGCAGCATCTTTAGCAGCTGCAGCCCGCTTACGGATGAGTGACAGAAGTTGGATGTCAGTCTGGATGGGAGAGGCAGTTTTGGCGGCATTATTGGTTTCAGAGATCAGAGCTCGAAGAACGTTCAATCTGAATAAGAAGTCAATAGAGATAAAAACAACAAACAAGAGAAAAAAAAACAAAGGAATTACATACCGTGGAGTGTCCTTAGCTCGCATGGCTGTCTTAAGATCGGTTCGCAAAGTCGTCATCAATGGCGGCAATACCGGACCAGAGGTGGAGTTCCATCGCACCAGGCGTAGAGAGGGCTTTGGGAATAGCCCTAAGGTTCTGAGCATAATGGAACAACAATTGAAGTGGAAGTACTCGAAGTGGAAGTGGAAGTGGTCCAAATAGTAGAAAGAAAAGCGGAAGACAATAGATGGTCTGTGCTTTCCCCGAATAGTCGACTTCTACTTTTCGCGAAAGCCATATAAATAACAGCTCGCTCCCTCTCGCCCCTACATAACTCCTACAAACTTCTTCCTTGATTATTCAGTCACTTTTCAAATCTCTGACTACAGCTTTCTCTCAAATTCCAGCGGGGGTTCCCCTCTCCTCGCCGCAATGTCTTATCCTGTTCTTCCCAACCTCGCGCCGGCAACACCACAGAGAGCTCTTCCAGGAGCTTATTTACAGACCCCAGCTGTCTCGAGACACACATCAGCCCAGTTGGGTCAACCCACACAGGCGCCTATACCGCAAACACCACTCCCAAAGCTGGCTCCAGCCATTTCGACACAGAATCAGAGCTTGAGTACCGAGGAACGCGGTGCAAAGACCGTCAACGATACATTGATCCAAGAATCGCGCTATCCAGACCTTGATAGTTATCTATCACGTAAGTCTATCAGATTATCTGAGCGTTTCAGCCCATGAGATTGATTCGATACTGACTACATGCGCGCAATAGAGGGATTCTCGTCCGAATATGACATTCCGACATCACAATCATGGGTCCCTTTTCAGAAGGTCAAAATGTACAGCATTCCCGATCAAATTTTTGATCAATACAATCGCGCCCAGGTTTCGACCAGTATGGGTTTGTTCGCTGAGTTGAATCATGCTTGGGTCGCCATTGACAACGCTCTCTACATCTGGGACTTCACCCATCCCAACCCTCAATTGGTCGGATTTGAGGAGCAGCCCAATAGTATCAACTCCGTTAAGTTGGTGAAACCGCGCCCTGGAGTCTTTCTCCCTGCCATCACTCATTTGCTGGTAGTTTCAACGACTGCGGAGGTGATTCTGCTGGGTATGGGTTGCGAGCCCATGGTTAATGGTGGAATTTCGGTGTCCTTGTACCAGACAGGAATGACTGTCGCGATTCGCGGACTAGATATCCACGTATTTGCATCGTCTGAGTCTGGCCGTATCTTTTTCGCTGGCTCGTCTGACAATGACGTCTACGAACTAACATACCAACAAGAGGAGCGTTGGTTCCAGGGCCGATGCGCCAAGATCAACCACACTAGTTCACGGTTAAATGCCTTTGCGCCATCGTTAAGCTTTACCAACCTGACCCAGCGATCTATGGAGCATGTCGAGCAGATGGTAATTGATGATAGCCGCAACTACCTGTACACACTGTCATCCGAATCCACGATACGTGTTTTTCATCTGAAGCAAGACGGCACTATGCAATTGTCAATCACCAAGCAAGCCCTGGATATCTACTCCAACATTGGACATATTATTCCATCCAATGAAACATTGAACCCGAAAGTGAAGATTGTATCTATCAGTCCTATTCCTGCGGCTGAAGCATCACGGTATCATCTTGTTGCCACCACAGCTACTGGATATCGCATTTACCTGAGTGCTACCGCAGCATACAGCTGGTCTGGTGCGTCGAACGTCGTTAATGCTCCCACCAGTATGCAAGCCCAACATGTGAAAACACCCCCCGTTGAAAACGCCGTCGACATGGGCTTCCCTCAATTCCAGCCCACTGGGAGCAGACTCCCAATCCGATCTTTAGCGCCCACCCATATGGCTGCCCGGTTCCCCCCCGGTTATTTCTTTTGTTTCACTTGCAAGGACGCTACACAAAAGATCGACAGTCTGTTCATTTCAGCTCCTGATTCCGGCCGTGTGGCTCGTTTCTCAGAGCTCCAGAATCTGGAGAAGAAAGGTGAATCCGCTACTTGGGTGAGCCTGGGCGGCCGTGTGGAAGACATTGGACTCTGCTCGAAGCCTCTTCCTGCCGTTTCAGGTGGATTCGGTAACGAAATGGCTATTCAGTTTGATCAACCCGCTGCTGAGGTTGCTATCCTGACCAACACTGGAGTCCACGTCATCAGACGCCGACGTTTGGTTGACGTGTTTGCGTCCTTAGTGCGCGGCGGTGGTAATAGCGAAGATGGTCTTGACGGTGAAGTAAAGACATTTATGCGTTGCTACGGCCGGAACGAGATGATGGCTACTTCTCTTGCAGTTGCTTGCGGTCAGGGTGTCGAGATCTCTCCTGACCAGCGATTGACTAAGATAGTCGACCCGGATGTTCTTGAATTTGCTCGCAAAGTCTTCATCGACTTTGGTGGACGGCCTCAGTCAGATGACGATAATATGGTCGACAAGACAATCGACGACGTTAAGCCATCGTCCCGACACAACGGTACTGCTTTGTATATCTCACGTCTTCTCCGGTCGATTTGGAAGAAGGAAATTGCCACGATTGGCAAGGGATCTAATGGTGCGATGACAGTTTCCTCCTCGATAGCTGCTGCTAAGCTCCAAACCATTCAACATGATCTTTCGTCTTTGAAAGAGTTTTTCGATACCAACAAGAGCTTCATTGAAGGTTTGAATGGACCTGAAGCCTTAGCCCGCGTTTCTGGGAAGTCCGACCAAGTATCACTACAAGCAGAGCATCGAGCCATGCACTCGCTCACAAAGCTGGTGACGCATACCATCGAAGGAATTTCCTTCGTCTTGGTCCTTTTCGATGAGCGTGTGGATGAGATTGTGGCGACATTGCCAGACGTGTCAAAGCAGCGCTTCCTCCAGCTGACTTATGAAGAGCTTTTCAGCACCAGCAAGGGCCATGAAATCGCTAAGGAGCTGGTAAAAGGTATTGTAAATCGCAACATTGCCAAGGGATCTAATGTTGAGACTGTCGCCGACGCCCTGCGTCGCCGTTGCGGCAGCTTCTGCAGTGCCGAAGATGTCATGATTTTTAAGGCACAGGAGTTGCTCAAGCGTGCTACAGAGGCAGGCGCCAATACTGAACTGGGCCGCAATCTACTAAACGAAAGTTTGAACCTTTTCCAGAAGGTAGCGGACAGACTTCCCATGGACTATCTTGTCGCCGCCGTTGACAAGTTCATTACTAACCAATTCTTTGCTGGTACGTGTTTTTCCTTTTGGCCCCCTGCTTGCGATCTTACTAATGCTGGATATAACAGGTGCCATTGAACTGGCACTCAAAGTTGCCGAAAAATCAGACGGAGCCAATCTTGCGCTCTCTTGGATCATGGACGGCCGTCCCCAACAGGTTCATACCCCCATGGCATACCACGACAAACATCATCGACTCACGAATAGACAGGACCCCCGCAAAGAATACTTCCTTTTCCGCAAACAATGCTACGATTTGATCTTCAAAGTGACCATCGCTGTCGACAAGATCTCCGAGTCTGATCCCGGTTTCATTGATGGCCAACTAACCGCTGTCGCTAAACGCCGGAACGAAGCCTACGCTGTCGTCGCCGGTTCCTCGGATGAGGTGTTCCTAACAAGCCTGTATGACTGGTATCTCGAACAGGGTTGGAATGACCGCATCCTCTCGACGCAGTCTCCATATGTTGTCACTTATCTTGAGCGCAAGGCGCAAGATGATATTACCCATGCTGATCTACTTTGGTGCTACTATGCACAGGCACAGCGTTATTTCGATGCCGCTAAAGTTCAGCTATTGCTTGCCAAGAGCCAATTCCCCTTACCTCTTAGCCGTCGTATTGAATACCTGGGCCGCGCCCGTGCTAACGCATCCACCTTGACTCCAGATGTGGGACGCCAGGCCCGACAGCGCCTGCTCCAGGAAGTTTCAGAGCTCATCGACATTGCAAACATTCAAGATGATCTGCTACAGCGCCTTAAGGACGACGATCGCCTTACGCCAGAACGCAAGCGGGAAGTACTCGCCCACGTTGACGGAGCGGTGATGGAAATTAGCGAAGTAAGTGATTTTCTGAATTTCTTCCGTCAAAGTTCGATTCTAATCCCTCTCTAGCTTTTCAACCAATATGCTGATAGCGCAAGCTACTATGACATCTGCCTGCAAATCTTTTACATGGCCGATCATCGCAATGCTGCCGACATCAAGTCTACCTGGCAGCACCTGATCGAAGATACGCACGCCGCCACCGAAAATCGCGGCTCGCCCCAACCTTACGAGGCGGTCATCGAGAAAGTTCGCAGCCTAGGAAGCCGACTGCGAATGTCCGACACCGTATTCCCCATCCGTGAGCTCATTCCCATGTTAGAGCGCTATTCGCTCGAGCACCAACGCCACATTGTCCCATCGCACTGGATTGTGGATCTGTTCATGGACCTCGGTGTCCCACACGATGCGATCTTTGCCGTTCTTGAAGCCATGTACTACACAGATGAGGCACCTTTCCAGGGTTCTAACCGTCGCTTCATCGCCAGTGACCTTCTTTACCTGTGCGAGGTCTGGTTCCGCGAGAGTGTGCGCCTGGGAGGGTTTGCATTTGGATCTGATATTGTCGCCGAGAGAGTTATGGAGTCCCTCGACATCTTGCAGCAGGGCCAAGGTAACACACAAGAAATGGTTGAGCGTACTAAGAATCTGCAGCGCAGATTGGCTAATCTAATCCGTTGATTGGATTTTGTTATTTTTATGTTTCACTGGCTCAAAATGACGTCCAATCTACATTAATGCTTTCATAAGTAAGTCCATGTAGTTAATCGACGTTGATTGCTATGTAAATTACTGTTGGATTCTCCGGACAGTTTTGTCGTTTTATCAATAAAAGAAATTACGAGTTTGTATAGCCCAGGGCAAAGCTATCGAATTTTTCACTCTCTCAATTGGTATGGTGAATATTGTGGCCACTAATAATGCATTCTTTTTATCATGGGCAAGCAAAACTTAAAGAGAAGTCACAAAGGTCGTCAACTTGGGAACTCGATCAAAGCATCAGAGCGGTTCGATCTACAACGATTGTGTTGTGCTGGTCCCGGACTTCCAACTCACAGAACTCGTTGCTGAAGACTGCTCGCCAGAGCTTCGTCTCCGGCTTTTGGTAAGCCCGCCCCTGTGAGGTTCTGCAGTCTATAATCATCCAGTCTACAAGATGGTTTTTCTTGATCCAGTCACAGTACATGCCCCCGGGCTGAAATCTTTCGCAGTGTTCACTGAGTCTGTCGCCTTCACGCAGGATTTCTATACCCCATTTCATTGCTGCAAAGTGAAAGTCGATACGTCCTATCCCGTTAGGAGACCATTCACTGCTTATGTCTGCTGAATATCCAAGTACGGCGTGGGCCGAGCGATAAAACTCGTCTTGGTATGCGGCCTCGATAGGCCGCAACGCGGCTCCAACCCCAAAATGGCACGCTGCGGTTCTAAGATTATGACGAGAGAATTGCTGTAGTATTGCGGCTACTAGTTTCTCAATAGTCGGGAATTTAGCACAAGGAAATTGTCCGGGCGGATCTGCTAATTTGTACCGGGCAATTCTGTTTTTGTTTCACAGTTAGATCTGAACACAAGGCCTTGGAAGCCTATATGAAACGGAGGGAAACACTACTTACTTAGCATGGAGTTATGTTGGGAATACACAGATAATACTATCAGAGCGGTAGTCGACGAGTTCTGTATGGAGCCAGCCTTGCTGGTAGCACGTCTTTATTCCCTCCTTTTCCAAGTCCCTCTCGACACTACCCTCGATCAACACTTTGCGAAGTATCTCGGCTGCCGCAGGGGTCAGCTTCATCTGGTTGACAAATGAGCGCCGTAAAGGTGTCTTATCGAGAAACTTGAACGCTGCGTTATCCGAATCAAGCGTTACCCGGATGTCTCCCTCGGAGATATGCCCCTTGCCGCGGATCAGCTGTGACCGGAAGAACTAGATCGAGCAACAAACCGTTAGGTATGGCTCGTTCAGAGTGATTAGGACTTGAACTTTCCTCAGACAGCAGACAAATAAGAGCATCCACAGCTCCAGGGTGTCCGCTGGTGACACGAAAGAGATAGTTGCATGCGCCGCTATCGAGCTTCAAAATGGGGATTCTAGAGCAGACTCGGGCCAGGACATCGTCGAACTCGTCTCTTTTATAAAAGAGACCGACCCGCGCAGAAAATGGCTGATTCGAGGGAATAAGCGAAATCGTTTGCGCACTGCCAATAACGCCCTGCGGGCTGTAAGGATATTCAGACTCTGGGCCGCCAGTAGGGCTGCCGTATGCTGAAAACAGCGCAATACGCGGCCCCCAGTGTGCCATGGTCTGTGATTTAATCAGGCCCAACCAAAGTCCATGGTCTGAGAATGAATCTTGAGCGTTGTCAATTATCACAACAATATTTGCACGATGAAGGGTCTGAGGCGCGATGTCATACCCGGCACGATTCGCCTTTTCCGAGATAACCTCCGCATATGATCCTGAGCGCTGATCTGGAGTAGGCTAATGAGGGAAAAGAATCACTGGGATTTTGTGCTCGACGTAATGGTCGTAGAGAAGCCCTGCTAATGTCGTCTTTCCGGACGCTGGCGTTCCTCGCACATTTAAAACTTGGCCTTTGTCCAAAATCCTGCTGAGTTCCTCAACAGTTTCTGTGCGTGGACACCAAGATTTTTTCTCTGCATACTTCTCGTTAGCATTCAGTTACACTGTCGCAACAACTCGAAACGCATACCCATGTTTGAGTCTTTTGGTCCTGCTAGCCTTTGATTCTTGACGTATTCAAGAATCCAGCCGACATCCCGGTTTTGGGGATTGGAAATCATGCTTTTAGTTTCTATGGTATTTTGAAAGCGGCGCAGCGACTTTGGAAGGAGCAAATGTGATCACTGATAATTAACTATTATCACAGTTCTGGAACTGGCATAGTATGTAGTTCTCACCGCCTATAGGATCACTGCGGTCATTGGTTCTCAGAACCTTCTTTTGCATAATGTGGCAGTATTCTCGAGGATAAATTTGAATGGGAATCATCTCGATCTTGAAAAGAGCCTTAGAAAATGAACCATTAAGAATATTGAAGAGACAAAAGAAAAAAAACGTGGATTTTGTGGAGTTGTACAGAAAATCGTTTCTGATAGACCGACTCCCATCCTCCATGATCTTATCTTCGACTCCAGATGATTCCGAGTTTCGACGCGCCCTCTAATCCGGGCTTAAGTACCGTGGAATGAATCAGGAGATATGCCTCTAACTTGGTGTCGAGAACCAGGGCATAAATACAGTAATTGCCCGGGTAAAGTTGTGTAGTCTATTTTACCATTTGTTTGTATTTGCAAGTGGAATTGAATCTGAATATATATAAGAACTCATAGACCTTGCCTTTAGACCTATTTAGGACTAGCCTTGGTGAGAGCACGCTCGCCAGAAATAGTTGCGTGTGCTTGTATTATTTATAGACTCCGTGAGGGGAGAGATTCTCCATAAACAGATAGCCCCATCGGTGTTTGCATCTGCTGTTGTTGAGTTTGGGCCTAAAACCCACTCTTCATAGAAGGCCTGGGTGTGACTTGTTGGAACCGTTGATTGTTTTTTTCTCGAAAGTAAAGATCTCTCAGTGTAGAGAGCCTACTGACGGTGGCTTCATCGAGAATTGCGATCCGCCTACTGCCCAGAGCGATCATGGCTCGTCGGAGCATGGCCACAGGAGGCCCATGCCAGACCCTTGGGTAATCGATGGCGGCGTGGAGAAAAGCAGGGCCATGGAATTCTTTCAGAAATATAGGCCTATAGAGGCCGCCATTGTTTTTATAATCAGTACTGGAAGGGACCTGACGACGTGATCCAACTTCTGCGATACGGCGCTGTTGATCTTGAAGCTCAAATTCGATTAAAAAATCGAGATCTGTAGGGATTATGATGAGTCCCCGGTCGTGGTCTTCGTCGAAGTTTCCATGACACGACCGGCATAGCGGGATTTCTTTTGATACAGACTTGAGGCTAAAGGTTATCAGACCAGCGCTTTCCCAAAGAGCAACCTGTTCATTCATGTTACTCCTATTCTATTCACACTAGCTGCGAAAATACATACCTGGCAATCTTTCTTTCCGACGACATAAGCAATTTGTGGATCCATGCATTGGCATACCCAGCAGTGGGTTCCTGATAGTCTTTTGATTTCGTTTTGGATCGCGTTTGAAAATTCTGAGGAAACACGACTCTTTGAGATCGCATCTGAAGACATGGTTTGTCGTGGGGATCTCGAGGATCTCAGTAGAGGTATTAAGTTCTTCGCCATGATAATTGCTAGTTCATGATACAAGAAGGATCCAATAAATACTTACTGGGTTCAAGACGGAAATACTTCAGAAAGCTTCTTTGTCGAGATGAATAGACTCCAATATGGATGAACTAAATTTAACTATTGAACTAAAGACGCAACTATGACAATTTGGTTCTGCTCACTGCCGAAAAGATAATGATGATTATCGCATCACATGTCTATACATCCTGTACTATAGAACCAGAGACTCACGATGCGAAGGGATAAAACTAAACCCAATGAAGTAAACCACCGTACTTATCCGATATGGTGTATCTTGTCTATAAGATATCCCCCTTATCAAAGCTACTCCAGAGCGGGATGTTTATCCTTTGAAATATCAAGGCCATATCGAGCAGTTCCACTCCAGAGTTGGAACCGGAGACCGCAGGTCTTGACAGAATTATTCAGAGGCACCTACACTACGGGACCCGGTGGTCATATGTTTGATCAATTAAGCGATTGAAAGCCCAACATGATGGCAGAATCACTATGTTTCCATAATTACTTGCTACTTCATAGCTTCATAAAGTGGATATCTGAAATGAGTTGTCTACACACCCATCTATAGCTAACTTCAATATTATACTTCGTACCTGGATGATTTAGTGACGGACCACTGAATATCTTAAAGATCTTTGGAAACATCAATCTGAAGAATTCATTATCCTTCGACAATACCTATACGTGAATCAGGTGGAAAGGTATTCGGAGGTTCATGGATATAACGTAAATCATGGCATTAACTACAAACCGAAAGCAAGCAAAGCACTCTAACCGCAACGCCCCATTTTTGCAAATATATGAGCAAGTCTATAATTTGTTCACCACTTCAACCCTCATACTCGTCATAAACCGGGATAGGTTTCTCGCCCAGCGCACACAGCCGGAAGATATGGCGTGCTTTGGCGCCATATTCCTCATCTAGGTAGTCGACAATAGCAGAGTCTGTATTTTCGCATGTTAGTAAGAGATTACTTTTGAGGAATTTCGATCTTGACTCACGCGTTGTAGACCGGTTATCGAACATGACAATAGTTCTCGGCTGCCACCGCACTCTAGCTTGGAAATCATGCCCAGTCACAATATGGTTCATCAGAAAGTCCAACATCCACCTCGTCTCCGGTTCCTTCATGCCTTGTATCTTTGTAATGAACTCCGCGTTGACGAAGAGACACTTTTCGCCTGTGACTGGGTGCACGCGCACAAGTGGGTGGATTGTGTCGACAGGGTCTTTGCGGACTAAACCGCCAACTAGCTGCGTGTGTTTGATCATTTTCGCGGACGAATGCACTGTCTTCAGCGTGTCCAGGAATGAGCGCAGTGTCGGTGAGAGACGCTTATATGCAGCGTCCGTTGCGGCGAAGACGGTGTCACCGCCTACTTCGGGTCCTTGGAGAAGACCTAACATTACGTAGCCGGGTGGTTGGATCTCGTAGCTGACGTCTTGGTGCCAGAGGGTTGTTGTAGTACGCTGTTCCAGGAAGCGGGCTATTTCCTCCCTGTTTCCGTCGCGGTGGATAACGTGGAAGGCGGGGTGGTTGCGGATTGAACCTGAGACAGGCTGGTAGTTTGGTTTACCGAAGTAGCTCATAAATGCTTCTTGCTCTGCTGGGCCTGCGTCTATGAGATCCTGGTCTGGGAATGCGACAACTTTGCGCTGCGAGATCAGCAGGGCTAGTTCATCCTTTGCTGCGTCGGAGAGTCGGTTTAGTTGAACTCCTTCTACTACGCTGCCGATTGAGGGCTGGATGTGGTCGACTTTAACACCTGGTGTGAGGAGGTTGCGCATGCTTCGGTCTTTCACGCGCAGGGCTGGATCGTTGTATTTGAATTCTTGGAGTGGTTCGAACCAGATTGGGTCCCAATTTGGTAAGTATTCTGGGTACGGAGTGTTGATCTTGGATTGCTTTTCCACGTCAACGTATGGGATGTTGATATCATAGCTGATTGGGATTTCAGGCTTGTGGCCATTGATGGCTTTGCGTAGAGGGGCAGAGGAGGGCATCTTTGCAAGGATTCCAGGGATTACAGGAATTCCAATGACGATGGGGAAGGCACTATATTAAGACTATATAGTAAGAAGCTAAAAAGAAAATAGAAGGGGGAAAACCCTTCTTTATATACGTGGACTTATTACGGACGTCGGGGCTAACTTACAGATCTATGAATCCCATCGAGATTGATACATCTGCCGAGCACGGAGCAGTTCATAGCTGCATAGTCCAAACACTAGCTCTTGAGCCCCCTTCATCGCCGGGAAATCCTTTGCCAGACAAGCGGTCAACAAGAAATAAAATAGAAAATGGAAAATAGACGGACATCCCGGGGCATTCCGACTAGATCAATTCGTGTTCCCATTGAGTGGATAGAGATAGAGGATTGAAGATTTTCACCGCTCCGTTCGGTAAACAGAGTAGCCCTAGGCACAGCTGGGATGAAACCTCAGGCTGTTACCTGTTGCTATTAAAAGAACCAAGACTTCTGGTTCTAAAATCTCATTGTATTAATTCCTTTCCACTTTCCATTCTCTTTGTCGTCCCACTTCGATAATGTAGTCTGGATTGGAACGCATGATCTATGGTTATGATCAGATGTAGTAGAGACTCAATTGGGTATGTAGAGGGTAAATCAGGGCACGGAAAGAACAGAACCAGGGGAAGGATAAGGTATGTGAGAGGTAATTGGGTGTTTTTCAAAATGCGGTCTGGTCAGATTTGATCTATCGGACACGTATGGATTCTGGAATCGGGGAAGAGAAGGAATCCTAGCGGAGATATTTCGTACGCCATGGAAACTGCAGGGAATCTAGCAAATAGTCCACCTGGGCACAGCACTAGTAGGGAGCTAGCAGGGGGTGATGTAATTGTTTAAACGCCATCGGAGCTCAATCGGAGGTGCTGCATCTCTATGACTCAGTTTATCCCTCTACATTAACCTAACAGGGATTCTGGCTATATATTCTGTATATCCGAGTGGATCTGGGAACGCCATCAGTGATTCCGGTAGAAATGGGCCCGGCCCGTGGCTGATCCAGAATCCAGAGTCGAGGGTCCAGGCTGATGCACGGGGAGGAGAATGTATCTGGTACTATGTAACAGGTAGAAGTACCAAACCAAGTGCTCGGAATATGGAGTAATAGTGGACCAAGATCCACTAGCCTCAGCCTTAAGTTCAAGCAAAAAAAAGCAACGAATATAAGATTGTGCGTGATTACGTGATCATCACCTGACCGCTCTATATCTCGGAATACAAAGGACAACGACAAGATCTATACATCGAACATCTCCGACGATACATCATAACTCCTAATTAAATAAGGTTCGTTATCGGGTCATCATCTCGGTGTTGAACGTAATGGCCCCTCTGTTGTCTCGAAAAAGAGACTGTGCCTATCTCCTTTTCTTCGCCTCCCATATCCCTATCATCTTCCTGATCGATACCGTCCCCCTGCAGCCCCAATGGATGGTCTCAGACCTTTCTAGGGGCCTGCGTGATTTCTACATATCCACATACAGGGACAAGTTTTTCGAGGTTCCAGCCCCGACCTGGTTCACGGCGTTTATATGGATGGAGTTGTTGTATCATGTACCCCTTAGTTTATGGGCGGTATGGGCTTTGCTGCGTGGTGGGTACCTAGATGACGCGAATTGGATATGGTAATAGGTAATTAATATCATGCATAGATCACCCCATGCTCCCTGTTCATCTCCTCATCTTTGCTGTTCAAGCTTTCGTTACCTCCTGGACTTGCTTATGGGATGTATGGACTTGGGAGGATAGAAGTAGAGAGGAGAAGCTCAATATTACCTCACTCTACGGTCCATATGTCGCCCTAGGTACGCTCTACTCTTCCCCCCTAATTATCTACAGCTCGATCTAATCCCCGTAGGCGCGCTAATGGCGTTGGATATGGTCATTCGACTACGTGGCCGACTCACTACAAAGCCGAAACGCGAATGAGTCCTGGTCACTTAATCGTACATAGTCATGAAATTAAAGACAAAGATACATCATCAGAAAATCCCGCTAAATCCAGATCCCAAATGAGAAAGAACCCCCCTTGAATATTCCATTAAAAATTAACGCCGGTGAGTTGCTTAGATGAGGAATCCAATGGCCTCGTCTAGGTCTCCATTGGCCGCGTCAAGAGCCTGCTCTGCCTGCCTGCGGGTGAATCCCAGTTCTGTGATCTTACCAATAGAATCCTGAGGCCAGCGCGACGGAGGCTGGGCAGGGCGGAGGTTGATCTTAGGAGCCGAAGCGCTGGAACTAGACCCGCCGGTAGCGCTAGTCTCAACTGCATTTCCAGTTGCAGCGCCAGTTGCAGCTCCAGTTCCGGCTTCGTGGGTGACAGCACCAGTACGGGCGCCGATCTCGGCGCCGTCTTCGCCCTTGACAGTGGGCTCATTCACAAAGTCCTTGGGGATGTCTCCCTCGCCGAGGAATGGCACAGCCTGATTCTGGATCACCAGCACGCCATGCTGCAGATCAATGCAGGCTTGGTGACGGCGTAGCATGTCCAGTCCCAGGAGCAGATCGGGACCCTTGCCCTCCATGACGGTGAAGGAGCAAGGCAGAAACATGGCGCCAATCTTGATCTGAGCGGAGTGGACCCGTCCCATAATTGGGGCGGTGCCCACTCCCTGCGCGATGCCGCCATACCGGCGGTCGACCAGTCGCATAATGTTACACGAGGTCGCACACTTGGGCGACATGATAGTGACCTGGGCACCGGAGTCGACAAAAGCCTTGACCTTGTGACCGTTTACTTCGACGGGGATGTAGAGCATAGTGACGCGACCGAAGGCTAATTCCGTAAAGCATTTGATTAGTTCAGTAATTAGAAAATGCAGGGGATCGGTGTAAATTTCACATTCAGGGTGATGCTCCATAGCATTGTGGAGGTTCTCAGTAACAGCATTCTGGCGTATAATTTCTTCAATTTCACGCTGGTTGTCTGGGTTGAACGGGTCAGCGTTGAGCATGGCAATTCGCGCCTCCTTCTCACGTTCCGACTGGAACTCCTGCTGTTGCTGCGCGGTCAAAACCTGGCGAAATTGATCCGCGTTATCGGCGGCATCTGCCAGGTCGGGGTTCTGGCGACGCACTGCCTCGCGGACACGAGGGTCTCCTAGGATGTGAAGACGAAGAGTTTCAGGATCGGGCATTCCCGGGCGCGGGGGACGGGCCTGGCGAGCAACTGTGCTGGGACCAGCTTGGGGGGCAGATTGTTGCGTTCCGCGGACGGTGACGTGGACACCGAGCATATCGCCTTCTTGGATGCCCACTTCATCTAGGGTCTGCGCCGGGTTATTTAGCAGTTGATTATTGAAAACGAGCTGTTGGGCACCGGCGGGGATGGAGGATTCGGATTCAACAATCGCCTTGAGAAGCTCCACGGACATGTCGCCGCCGACTTCAAGATTGATAATCTCGGAGTCGGCCTGATCCGAGCGGATGACGCTCACGGTGATACGCCTAGAGAATTTAGCAAATATTGACACTGGGAAATAAAAATAAACCTTACATGGTATGGTAGAACAAAAAAAAAAATGGAGGAACAAAAAACAATGGAGAAGCTAAGAGGGAAGAAGGTGGGAAAAGTGGGCTTAAGGCGGAGGAGGTACGGGAGCTGACTAGGCAGCTATTCTTCCATATCTAACTACACAGCTTCTGTTCTAGACCTGATGCAGGTCCACTCATTGTCATTTTCTTAAAGTGGACTCAATTCTTTCATTTTCTGTGGATCCAATCCCCGCGTTGATTTCTGCGGAATACTCCTTATATGACTAGATGGTGAACTCTTTGCTGGTACTGCTTGTTTTGGGGATTATCCCGAACCTTGGAACTATCCTCACCAGTTCCAAGTCTCTAGCCGGGTCTATCCGCACCATCAAGGGCTCAGCTTATCACTAGGACATCGCTGTCGTCCTTTGTGTAGCGGGGCCCGTGGCACCGGGACACCTTACGGTCTCTACCCCTCCTGGAATATAAGAAAAGTACCAAACTGGACAAAGCTTCTGTTGTCATCTTTTCCTGACCATCATGACTCAGTGAGCCGCTCGATCAGCTAGCGACAGTTACGGGATCGCCCACGCCGGTCACTTCGGTCGACTCGGTCGAGTGGAGATGAGCTAGTACTGAGCTAGTACTGAGCTACTTAAGCTGCAGCTAGCCAATTGAGGAATCGGTACTTGACTGCCTAGTCGAACTAGGTTCTAGGACCCCGCAGCTAGCGCAAAGAATAAGCCCTCATTACACTGGTATATTAACGGAGTGGTCTAGGACTCCGCACTGGATCTGCGGGCATTGCCGTAATCGACAGATGCATTGACAGATGCATTGTCAGCATGGACGAGGAGAGATGAGAGGTTGCCGAAGTTTTCAATACCTCCGCAGTGCAGAGTATGGCAGTCTTCGTTGGCGTTGTCAGATAATTCTCATTGGAAGATTAAGACTCAATACCTAAGTGCTACCGAGTCAGCCTTGAGGAAGTCATCCCCGAATGGATGATCTGGTGGTCTGATTACACAGTATTCAGACTAGATATTTATCACTGCAGCCAGGTTAAACACGTGGACTGAATCTACTAAACCCTTTTAGGCACAGCCATTAATGACCTCGTCAGAATCACTCATCAAGCTATTTCATATCTTAGAACTTTTGTAGGATCACTCAGGAAGTTATGAGTTCATATTATTTGAAGAATTCAAATAAAAATAAATACTGATTCGCTATTTAAATTGGATAGGCCAGGAACTTTCAAGTATACAAGCACCTACTATAGGCCCAATTCCTAAATCTAGTAAGAAGCTACGCATACCTTATGTGATAAATAAGTCAATTATGTCTGTGCAGACAGAGAGTACGAGGGCACAAGCACTCAACTGAAGGAATAAAAAAAAGAACTTTTGATATCCAAATTTGTCCGTAAGTCAAGCATCATTTAAGTAACGTATAAATATCTAATCCTGAGGTTTTCAATCTAAAAGGGCTAAGAAAAGATACATACGCCGTAAACTCCATGCCCCCAAAATGGTGAATATCAAATTGCGATTGATATGAGATACAACTATTCTCCGTTCAGGTTTTAGCAAAAGCAGATTTATATTAACCCATCCCCTCAAGATGAGGTGCAAATTGATTTGTTTGATAAACATAAGATCTTGAGATTGGTCAGGCATGGGACTTGTAGACTGATCAGATCATCTGAGATCTGAAATGAATTATTGTATTAGTTCTTTCTCACAATAGAATAGAAATGAACGCCACTTACTGTTCAAGTTCGATTGCATTGGCTGTTTTCATGACTGTTGGCGACGGATACTTCAGGAGGCCAGCGAGGTTCCTTTGCAAGGCATTCGCAATTGCAGCCGATTTTGTTCACTACCAAGGAATGTGTCGACCCAATCTTCGGGATCGTAGTCTCTTCCACATGGCTCTGGTAAGCAGCGAGTCTCTTTGCATTTGCATTCATTCCAAGCCACGTGACGGGTAGCAAGTTGGCACATTATTTGGCAGTAAATCACTGGACAGGCAAGTGTTAGGCGTTGGAAGAAGAACCATGTTGGCTATCAGTGTGAGCGTTACTTAATGCGGTACTAGTGACCCAAGTTAATGTGGTAGGTAGAAAATAAGTTCTATTTGGACTGGTTCCAATGTGGAAGCGAAAGAACGTTCTCAAATTTGAGGACAGAAAGAGATAAAGAGAAGAAAAGTTTGTGAGCGTGATGCTTAAATGCTTGCGGTTGAGATAGGTGAACCTCTACTCCAGACATTCATCTTTTATCTAAAACCTAAACCTCTGCGTACGCTCAAATATCTTTCTGAGATAATATAGTGATGTGAAATGGTGTATTCCACCGGTATGTTCACCGCTGAAATATCTGGATAACTAGTTTTGAGGCAAAGATTGATCAGTCTAACTCATACGATTTTCTATTTCAATCAGACCCATCATCACCTCAACAGCTACGTTATAGCCTATGCGACGAATGAACAAAGCAGGTCTGCGAGATAGAGAGTACGAATAAAACATCCGGCTGGAAGTTTACAAAAGAAGCCAAATGAACAAAGAAAAACAGGACAAGCTTGATGAAAGTAACATACAAGAATCAGCCCGAACTGAGTATCTCACCGTGTAAACTAATTTTACTTCCTCAACAATTAGTATCGTGTTATTTCGAGCCCTTTGATGTGAATCACACGAGTATTGGCGAGCATTTAGGGTTCAATCTTGAAAAAAATAGACAAGATCCAATGGAGTGAGTGCATATCGGTAATAGTCTAGCAGACATAAGGTGGTATCAAGCATTGGCAATTGAAAGATGAGTAGGGTCATCTAGTCTGAATGGCATAATCACATTAGCTACTTCTGATAATGGACATGGAATAAAAGCAACTTACAGGTCAGACTTGATTGCCTTGTCCGCCCTAAACTTGCACCTTCCAAGACAAACGAGGCTCCTGAGCTAGGCATTTGTCACACTTTCGTCCAATGAAGTGAAGTTTCCATTCCGGATACTCAATTTCGGCCCAAAACTCGGGATCACAGTTCTTGCCGCACGGCTCAGGAACACAGCGTGACTCGGTGCATGCGCACTCCGTCCACGCCACCTGTCTGGTAGCAAACTGGCACATTGGATCGCTGCATGGTCCAGTTTGTATTAGAAGTAAATCATTATCAGCTCTGGAGTGTGGACTTACTTTTGTTTTGTAGTAAAGGCAAAAAAATTGGTGAAATGATAGAATCTTCGTTGAAAGCGAAAATAATTTCGAGATGAGAAAAGTGAAGGAGAGAAAAAATAGCGATATGTGTGGTTTGTAAAGATTGCAGGATCTCTGGCGTAGAAAAAGCTCCATAGGTGGTATTGATATTGACCAATATTACGGTCTAAGGTTCTGCTAAATGGGTATCATCGTTGTGAAAGACAGTGTATACAACCTCTTTACTGTAAGAGATATGTAGAATCATTAAAAATCTGGCAAAGATTGATCAAGATAACTCAATTTGTTTCCCTGTTCCAATCGGACCGAGTAGCTTGAGTGATGAGTCGAATCAAGCATGTCTACAAAAAAGAGAGTACGACGAGTAATGGCTTTACCTAGGAGCAAGAATGAGGGAATTAGAACGCACTTTTAGCACTTTAAACTTGTCGATATTGTAAAAGGTTCGAGTTTCATAACGTATTGTACAAACTGATGTTCGATCAACATAAGGAAAATGGGCATCATTTGAATCAAATCACCGGGAGTTGACCAAGAGCGCGTCACCAGCTGGGCTTCCTGGGAAGAGAACCGAGGATATTTGAGAGGTCTTTAACCTAAAGGTACATACACGTATGGTATCTTTGTAAAGTCATTTCAAATGTTTCTCGAGCTGATTGCTAGATAGATTTGAATTTGAAGTGAATTTCTCAATTCTTCTGTGTATCTTTCATCGACTTCCACTGAACAAGTCCCGCTCCCATGAACGAGCATGCCGCCGCAGCTGCTGATACATAGAAGGTCTGAGTAACAGCAAGATTGTATACATGAAGCACAGAAGGAAGTAAATCTTCAGAGAATCTCCCAGATAAATTCGCTGCACCGGCTTCAATCAGAGCTTTGGTGTTGACAGTTGGAGCATATCTGGCAACATTCACCACCAACCTGTTCTGGAAGACATTTTGCGCTATGGAAATAAAGACTGCGCCGCTCAGGCTTTGCGCAAACGTTATTATAGCCATGCCTATGGGTATATCGTGCAGCGGTAGAACGGTTTGAAGGGCGTTGACACATTGTTGGAATCCGACTCCGGCTCCTAGGCCGATAATGACCTGGTAGCTTATCCATTTGCTGCTCTGTGTATCAACTTGGAATGTTGTGCATAGTCCAAAGCCGACTGCTAGAAGTGTGCTGCCGAGGAACATGAGTGGTGTGTAATATCCCACGAAGTTGACGAGGAGTCCTCCCAATGCAGAAGATATGATCATAGAGACAACCATTGGCAGTGTGCTGATTCCAGACTCTGATGCTGACACCTCCTCAATAGCTTGGAACCAGATTGGAAGCTTTCGTATTGTTAGAAGGTAGATACTCAGAATGGATATCTATCACTCACATAGTATCCGAACACGAAGAAAGAGCCTCCTAGGAAGATAGCGTGGAGGACAGCTCCAAGTACATTTCGGTTTCTAAGTAGTCGGGGTGGCACTGTAGCTTCTTCTTGTCTCAATACCTGGATATAACACCACGCGGAAGCAAATATTCCAAATATAACCAAAAGCACGATGATGCGTACATTTGACCACTCATATGTGGTGCCTCCCCATTGTAGAAACAGCAATATTGAGATTATGGCGGGAATAAAACACAGGATTCCGAGTGGATCCATTCGCTTGAGCTTAGTGATTTTTCCAGATTCAAAATCCAAGTCTTTTGGTCGTATTGAATCCTTGAAAAAGAGAGCGATGAAAATTGCAGTTATCACACCAAGTGGGATGTTGATATAGAAACAACATCTCCAGCTGACTCTGTCTGTTAGTAAACCTCCTATCCTATCATGATGTCAGTCATTAAATACTGTAAACAAGTTGTTGTATTATCAACTCCTACATCGGTCCGGTAATTGTCGCAATACCACTGGTACTGCCGATTATTCCAAAGTATAAAGCCCGACGATGGAGTGGTACACTATTCACAAGTACAAGAAGAGCCCCAGGTGATAGTCCACCAGAACCTATGCCGGCTATGGCTCTTCCAAATATCAGCCCGTTTGAACTTGGTGTCATGGCGCAGATCAATGATCCGGCTTCGAATAGAGCGAGTGCGATCAGATAAGTCCATTTTGTGGAGTAGTGTGTGTATGTTTTGCCGAATGGGAGTGTGAAAATACACGCTGTGAGGAGATACGCGCTCGCATACCATGATATGTCCTGAAGAGAGTTGAATTGCTCTGTGATTCTTGGAATGGCTGTTGAAAGGATAGTGTTATCCTAGACCTTGTCAGCGACAGTGTGCATATCAACGACTCTATGGTAAAGCTCACCAAAGCTGTACAGAATGATTGGAGGCATAGTCCAATAAACACCGGCATGAACTTGAGCAGTGACGGATATTGTGGTGTTTTATTTGTACCATATTCTTCATTTCCGAAATTTGTCAGGGGGATGTCGTCGAGGCTTCCAATGAAGTGATCATGGCCATCTCGACTCTTTGGGCTGTTGGCCATCAAATATCGGAATTCTCAATCAAATTAGAGCACCACCAACCTAATGCCCGTCAGGTTTTGAACATTTGGGGTGCCGTGGAAAGAAATTTAAGAAATCTGTACTCCGATTGAAGGTTTTTAATCAATCGCTGCTAGCTTTGTAATTGTAACATCAAGCCGGCCTGCTACCTCAATCCTCCAGCAAGGGGGAACAAGCTCTGCTCTATTCTCCTATCAATCTCACATTCCGTTCCTTGCTGGTATGATATACCCATCATCTCGGATCAAGAAACTCGTGCTCTTTGAAAGGCCTCAGCTGTTTACTGGGCGATCATGGATGATAAGATCCAGCCTGGAACAATTATCGCACAGGTGTAAAATTGAACTTTTCATCCGTGTATTTGCCATTTCGGCCGGATATCTTCCGGATCATCATGTTCCTGCATTCCAGGATTCCGTAGTTCCCGAGGTACGACAGAACCTTGAAACCCTGTAATGCCTTATTTTAACGAACTTCGTCATTGTCACAGCATAATTACAATTTGCACTTCAATATATTTCATGTTGTGGTAAATTCGTCGCTGACAAAACTTATGACATTCAAGCCTTGAGCGCATGAAAAGTTTGTCAATGAACCCGCCATTGAATATCATGTCTTCCAGGGTATGTACGGAGTAGATACTCAATTGAGCTCGGGATTAAACTTCAATGTTAAGTTCACGGATCAATTAATACATACCGATGTAGATAATTTGATCACCCTAGCCATGATGTAAACCTTCGTTCCCGACCTCGAGAGATACCAGACGACAAATTGTGGTAGATAAGCTTTCAAGATAGGGGTACTTAGGTATGGATAGTCTCAATAGACGTTGTTCCGTGCATACATGAGCACTAATTAACTTTCAAGCTCTGGCTATTTGCATTGAGAAGCCTCTTATATCGGCAACTTGTGTGATGGCTAAGCAAGTGTCAAGTAGGACGAATATTTGATACAACCTCCCAATGTCGTGATCATCTGAACACCTATGGAGAACCAAGTACTTAGATTCCTAAAGGTCAAGATATAACCGTAATTTCCATTAATATTAATAGGTTTCCATGTGTAGATACTGGTATAAAAAGGATAAGGCATAGTTATCTACACATGCCCTAAAACCTTAAACTTCGGGATGAGACCTCCAGCCTGGTTCCATTCTTGATGGCATCAGATATTCACCCGACTAGCGTTGAGATCCGAAGAAGATCCAGCTAGCCTCGTGACTTCCAAGCAAGTACTAAAATTGGTAAGTATTTCCTGGTTTCCTCAAGGCTTACTTTCTCCTTAGCAACCACCTTCAGGGCAGGAGACATTTATGTACAAATTCTCAAGAATATTCAAATATCATGTCAGGTGAGGCCTATGGGTACATGTACATAGTCTGCAGCTGAAAAGTTCCATCTTTATCCAACTTGGAAGTCAACCTTGGAACCTTGGAACTAGGGTTGGAACCGGTCCACTGGTGACTGGTCAGAAGTATACTGAGGCCCACATGTATGTGGGTCTAGACACCGGTTCTCACTTGGAACTTTGAAATCTTGTCAACGACCTCGGTACATATGTAAGAGCAATCGGTCAGACTTTTGAAGCCTCGGTCAAGATAGAGCGATATCCCTTGCATAGTTGCCTTCTGGAAAACGGCTCTGAGGGTAGTGCAGCGAGTCATGTGAGATGACTTCAGTGGCTGACGGAAGCGGCTCGTGGGGGGCCTAGGATACTGACCATGGCACAGCACAGGGCATCTGCAAACTTAGGCCATAATTCATGCAGCCTACTAAGATCAAGATAGCCTTGCCAATACTCACTGCACTGCAAATCAAGCCATGCAAGTTGGAGCAGGGATATTGAGACGGCTTGTAAGTTATCACATCAACGGAACTGCCTAATACGGTAAGCTGCACTGCAAATCCCCCGGATTCGATCGTACGTAACATTAAACTGCGGGGAGACGAAACCAAGGAATGACACTAAAGGATAAAATGACATCAGTTTTTTCCTTTCAATTTTGAGGAACGCTAGCCAGACACTATGCCTCTTTTGCACTTATGGTATCACGATGGATATGACGTTGTTTCAACTAAACAAGGCGACCTAACTAGGAAAATAGTCTTCTGTCTTTCTAGGTAGTTTTGTTCTTTGTAACTAGTTCAGCCCAAACTCTGGTTATTTGTCGATCACCGAGAAAAGCCGAGATAAGCTGGCCGAAGATTGTTGAAGCCGTCAGTTCAGATCAATATCTCGATGTCGTATTCGGCGAATGTTCCCCGGTTGATTCCGATTGACTCCGGGAAAGTACTCCGTAGACATGTCGACATGAATGGTGCGACTTGTGTTCCGAAAACGGCTCTTGGCTGGGTTCTTATAGGCTGCTCAATATCTGAGCACCAAATAGCCCCATTTCCACGCATGCTAGGATCTTGTTGTTTGAGACTTGGATCCTGTACATAGATAGCGATGGCGATAAAAAGACAAAGAGTCATGAATTCCCAACCAAATGAGTTTCCTTAATCAAAGTGGGTTTCTGAATCATGGGGTAGTATGGGGAAACGAGAAACTGTGGGGTCAACACGCCACAACCTTGGAACTTGGCCCTTTCTTGACTTCCTAAAAGCGCCACTCTTCCTTCAAAATCTGACATGAGATAGGCGGGGTTGAGTCCTGAATCTGGGGGTGGCCGGGGTAACTAGACAGACTATTGCGGGGAGTAAAACCGAACTAAGCCGAAGATGGAGAAGCCGATAACTAATATTTACCCGGTTTGCTTCGTTATTGGTCTTCGTCTCCGGCTTCTCGCGTGGCCCGATTCACCACCAGGCCAGGTTCTGGGGCCGACATTCCATCAATTTGAGACTTTTCACTAGTGAATGTATGGGCTGTAGCCAATCATGTTATCGCCTCACGTCCTGCAATTAGTGAGGGCATAGAGATGTGGAGCCGTTTTTGATATTTGTTCGAATCATGACATGACAAAATGGGAAGGACGTCCTATGGGGGCTCTTATCCTAGTCTCAAAGATTACATGGGTTTAAGGCCCCCATACGCGATGAAAGAAACTCTCTCCAAGGTTTAAAATACACCCGGTTCCCCAGGAACCAACCGTTGGATCAACTTGTCATTTTTTTCTTCTCGACTATACTTCCGGCTGTGCAAAACCTGCCGTACCCTTCGACATGCCTACTAAGCGATTCTTGGGCCTCAATGGCACCAAGCTTCAGATTGCTATCGGTATCATTGCCGGCATGGACTTCTTGCTATTCGGTTACGACCAAGGTGTGACCGGCGGTCTACTTACATTGGAATCCTTCACCAAGTACTTTCCAAGTATCGACACGACTAACACCGCTGGCTGGACCGCGGCGGAGAAAAGTGCACAATCTACCCGTCAGGGTATCACTGTCGCTGCGTACAACTTGGGATGTTTCGCTGGCTCTATTCCCACTATCTGGATCGGCAACATACTAGGTCGCCGAAAGGCCATCTTCATCGGTTCACTCATTATGGTCATCGGTGCCATTCTGCAATGTACTTCGTATGGCCTGGCCCAACTGGTCGTTGGCCGTTTGATCACTGGATTCGGGAACGGTATCAATACTTCCACTGTGCCTACCTGGCAGTCTGAGTGCTGTAAATCTCACCGTAGAGGACAAATGGTGATGATTGAGGGCGCGATGATTACTTGTGGTATCACCATCAGTTACTGGATTGATTTTGGGTAAGTCAACACGGCCTGAGAATTTATCAACTAGATTCTAACTTTTGCAGTTTGATGTTCGCTGATCCATCCGAGGTGGCTTGGCGTTTCCCTCTGGCCTTCCAGATCTTCTTTGCCCTTATAATCCTCGGTTTTGTCATGTTTTTGCCCGAGTCTCCTCGTTGGCTCATTCTGAAGGGTCGTGAAGAGGAAGCCCGTGAAGTTCTAGCATGTCTCATGGGTGATGAGACAGATGAACACTATATCGATACTGAATTCGTCGCTATCAAGGCTACGGTCCTCGAAATGGCAAAGGGCTCATTCCGTGACATGTTCACAATGGGCCCAGATCGCCACTTCCACCGAACCTGCCTGGCGTATATAAATCAGATGTTCCAGCAGATCTCAGGTATTAATTTGATTACTTATTACATACCTACACTGCTTCAGAATCAGATTGGTTTATCTGCAACGATGTCCCGGCTCATCTCCGCTTGCAACGGCACGGAGTACTTCCTCGCTTCTTGGGTCGCCGTATTCACTGTTGAGAGGTTCGGCCGTCGCTCCCTTATGATTTTCGGCGCTGTGGGAATGAGTTTGTCGATGGTCATTCTTGCCATCACTGATAAAATCTCGTCCAGCAATGATGGCCCCGTGGGAACCCAAGCCGGAATTGCCCAAACGGTTTTCCTCTTTGTTTTCAACACGTTCTTTGCTGTTGGATGGCTTGGTATGACCTGGCTTTATCCAGCAGAGATTGTTCCTCTGAAGATTCGCGCTCCTGCAAACGCATTGGCAACGTCTTCCAACTGGATTTGGAACTTCATGGTGGTCATGATTACTCCCGTCGCCTTCAACAACATTGGATACCAAACTTATATTATATTCGCCGTGATGTAAGTGACCTCAGGGATATTCACATAAATTGAGGTTCATTTATACTAATTTAATGTAGTAACGCCTTCATCGTGCCTTTTACCTACTTCTTTTTCCCCGAGACGACCTCGCGCTCATTGGAGGAGATGGACCGAATCTTCCAAAAGAGCAACGGCTGGTTCGATGTTGTCAAGATTGCCCGTACAGAGCCACACATGTACGGCCGTAAGGGTGAACTACTTCGCTCGCTGGAGGACGTTGAGGATGAAGCTATTCGCCGCGCCAGTAAGAAGACTGCTCCTGATCATGAGCACAGCGAGCACATTGAGAAAAGCTTTGATTGAAAAACCAGCAGTGAGTAGTCCACCACGTTGGTCGACCTACTTTGTGATCTTTTCTTTCAAATATTTTATCCGGGCAACCGGCATGCTGTGATGATGTTTTTCGTTATGTCCTCGTTTTGTTAAGATACCATACTTTCTACTTCCAAAGTTTGCCTTCGAGAATACCCATACCAATACTACAATGATATTGATCCTTCTTGATATTTGGCTTTCATTACGATCTGAAAACTCTGCAGTATCTCACCTATAAGTCTCACAAGACCCAGAGCTGGCTAATCCATCCTCAATTCTGGGGAAAACGAGCCAAATAGAGAAAAATAATAATAGATAAGCAAAACTCATTTCTGCCAGAACATAGCATTACCGAACCTACGGCTAATAGAGCATCTGAATTTAGAAAGACGACCTTTGACCATATATACCGGACCGGACTTTCTTCACACTCTGTCTTCCCTAGCATGGGAATGCTCCTTGATATTCTCATCCACAACTTCGTCAGCGTCAGCATCATCGCGGGATGCACGGGTGGCCTCCCAATCAACATCGCAGGTAAGGTCCCAGGCATCATCATCGGCTTTATAAAACCCGCTATACGCGTTGACACGAGCGTTTAATTATGCGTCTAGATTAATTAAAATGCGGGCCAGGGCACCAGCAGCTCGAGCTCTAACGTGGGGCTATCGCCAATACGAGCGCTGGCGAGGGAGGCGGCGAGGTGGGCGTTGACTAAGGCGTCTTCGCCAACACTAGCACAGGCTTGGGTTGGCAGAAACCTGAGTAGAGGCCCAGCGGAAAGCCTCTCGATGGATGGCGTCACGATGGGCAATGGCTATTCAAATGTCATATTAGTCTGATGTTAATTTTGAGTTGTTGCAAAAACACATACGTTGTGCAAGGAATTTGTGTGGATTGATACCAAAGGAACAGTGTGGCTCATGAAGCTGGCCACTGTAACCACCACGTGTGACGTCGGAAAAGACGTTAGGGCATGCGGCGGGGGAAAGGAAGCCCATGTGAATAGTCGTTGGGGTAGTTCAATGGTACTGATCTAAGGGCTTCTGAGGCTTTTGACCCTGTCTCTGACTCGGAGCCTTCCATTTCTCGCTGCTAGCCGATCGGCTCTGTGCAGGCGTCGCGTCACCCAGCTGGTTCCTGATGGCCCATATCTCCCTCAGGCTATCCATCATCACTGGCATCGCCTCAGCGACCCGGATCAGCGCCTCCTCGGCAGTGACTAGCTTCTTGGCCTCTGGAGGCCCTGACACGGTGACCTCCTCTCGAGAGTGTAAGTTGAATAGGCGAATCATCTGCGCCGCCTCTTCGAAGGTCTCCTGCCCCCTCACTCCCATGCCGATACCCGCCCACCGTGCCACCTCTGGATCATGCAAGCCTTCTAACAGCCGCATGCCACCGTCTGGTCGCTCCATACCTAAGCCTCGGTGCATCTGATCCGCACGCTTAAGGTAGTCCGACAATGTTTCTTTGGGCTCCTGCTTAAGGCTGCTAAACGCTTGGCTTCGGGCCCAACGTTCCTGTCTCAGAATCTGAGAATTCAGCGACCACCGCTCTTCAAACTGCTTCTTGAAGCTGCCCCAGTCTTGCCGCTCTTTGCGATCTAGTTGCCGGAACCACTCTAGGGCCCGGTCTTGGAGCCCTCTCTTCAGGCAGTAAAACCGATGCACGGTCTGTTTGGCCTCATCGCCAACCGACTGAGGAAATCGCTCCTCTGTTTCACACTCAATTTCTAAAAGGAAATCGGCGGGATCATCATCAAAACTCCGATCACCACGGAAAACCGCGCTCGGAGCCATGTCCGGTCCTTGGAAAGACCTATGGTGACTGTAAGGATAGGGTGAAGGGCGAGGCACGAGCCCTTGTGTCGGAGAGGAAAGGACACCACTCGCTCCACTGATGGTGGAGGCAAGGGTGTCTGATGAGGAACGAGCGGCTACAGGCCTACTCGGAACTAGGTGCACAGGCGGTAGACCCAGAGGGAAGATATAAAGGAACTTCCTGCCGGAAGAGGCAGGCTGCTTAAACAGGGGGGGATCTTAACTAGAACAAATAAATTTTGATGCTGTGAGAAAAACCTTTTCTTAGGCATGGGGATTGAATTTTTCAAGAAGCTGCTATCTAATACTGAAGACCTATCGCCTGACTTCAGGCGGTGGGCGGTTATGCCCTTCCTCGCCAGGAATCCTGAGGCCGGATTGCGGCCTCACAGTACCACCAAATTCAACGCCCTGAGTTAAAGCTCATCACGGAGATCAACACCACTAATTTCAGCAGCATCACGAATAGCACTTACATCAGGAGCGGCACCAGCTTTGCCCTGGTCAGGATTCTTGAGCTCCATCTTCGCATCAGCTTCATCAATACGAGCAAAAAGACGAATTATTCGATCCCTTTCAACAGGATTATGTACTAGCTACTGCATCAATCTTATTCGGACGGGGAGCTAAGTTTGAAGTTAGGGAAACACGGAATATCCACATGGTATACAGTATGGACTCTCTCTGCACTAGCGCCGATCTACTTACGCCGATCTTAAAGGGTCCACAAAACTTATGTAAGCTCTCAACTTTCAAATTTTAAACTACCACCACGTCTGCAATTCAAAGTCAATCTTTCTAAAACTGGAGAAGCTGATAGAAAATAGCTTTATTTAAAACCTGTAATTATTTCAAGTCGACAGGTGGAGTAAGTAAGAAGTTATGAGAGGAAATGTGAGATGAAGCAGTGTAATTTGAAGTTTTGATAAGGATTGGCGAATCTAGCCTAAATAGATATAGCGCTGTACTTGTAGGCTTCCTTCTGCCTGCGCGCTTAACCTGATCAAGTTAGATTGTGTTTTTAAGCCCCTTTTCGACGGCATTATCACACATCAAGTAAGGTAGATCAGGCAACAGCATCTTATTCCCGATAGACGCCTGTGCTAATTTGGAACTGCATCAAGGCTTGTGAACTACTTAAATCGACAACAATCCGCTAATGGCCTCAAATGAAACAGATTGCCTCGATAAGACATCATTTTTGCAAAACTTATCTTAAACCCTTTCAATCAAGCAAATCACCCATCCGTGGCTTATCGACCATGCCAGACTACCCAGGACTTGGTCTCCCATTACGCCATGATACGCACAATAAAGAGGGTCACTATCCCATCGGAGCCCATGGTAGCTGTTGGGGGGCTAAATCCGACTTGATCTCGATCCGAGAGCTCGCTGCGATGAGCATCATGGATCGTCTTACTGACAAGGAAAACTGGCATACTAAAGTCTTTGACGATCTGATTGTTTCTAAATGGCGCGACGAAGCGTTGGCTATTCCCGATGCGTACTTCTGCAATCTAGCGAGGCGCGACAAACGTCAATACTGGGATGAAAACGGCAACCTCCGCGTAGAAGCTGACATCTTTTACGAGGAGGACAGCTATATAGAAGGCATCATTACTACGAAGACATTCGATTGCGTATGTTCTCTTCTTCGTGTTTTGGGTCTTGTACTGACATTCTCTGCAAAAGTGTATCCAGGAACTCCGGAGCAAAGCCAAATACTATGAAATGACTGGTCTCATTCCGACCCTTGATGCTTGCGCATCTGTCGTTAAATCAGACAAGCTCGTTTCGCCTGAACTGCATGAGGCTCTGCGCCAGGCTTTCAGGATGATCAAAGACGATCAGAAATCGGACCCTGATTGGCATCCTACTACCAATGGTATGGTTCAGGATCTGGTGCATCCTTCAATGTACCCATTGGTGTATGGACGCAGTAAAGTCTTCAAAGAAGAAGTTGTTGGAGTCGATGATGCCATCGAAAAATGGGCAGGCAAAGGCGAAGTTATTCCAAAGGACGATTGGAAGTATGATCCCACACGCGATAGATTCAGGTATGGCGTTGGATCCGGAGAGGTACCGCCTGAGTTTTGGTCAGACACATACCAGTGGCTGCCTGCAAACGTTGCTTTCCAAGACGACGGAACAGTGAAGTTTACCAGCTACATAAACAATCTCCACCCACAGAGCTACCCGCAGGTCTACCACGCAATTGAAAACTTGATTAAGACTTCGCTTCCGGCCTGGGACCAATGCCTTGTGTTTGCAGAGAGATGGAGAAGAGGAGTCGGTGCTGGAAGAACTGAGCCCCGAATTCCATATCCTGATAATCCAGAGTAAGTAATTCGAGCCAGCTGACTACGCTATATGCTTACCTGGTTTAGTGACGAGAACAAAGACAATTGGATCCCATCCAATCCCTATGAGTGTGAGGATCAGGTGGTAGATTGGGAGGACGAGAAACTACGAAGACGTGGATATGGATACGACCCTGAGTTTGATGACGAAACCGAGAAGAAATGGGAATATCTTCGTAAACCAGTGATCCCCGAGCTCTCGTTTGATGAGATCAACTATGCACCAGCACCGGAAAATCGCCTCGCGCAGAAGTTTGCACAGTCTGGTCTTCAGGTCATTGTCAAAATGGCATCCATTGAACTTACACCTGAAAAGCCAGATTTTCCAGTCGGTGGTTGGCATGTAGGTTTCTAACACCAACCTGAGAATAAAACTATTCTAACACAAAGTGAAGGTTGAGGGCCAGCTAAATGAACATATTTGCGCCACGGCCCTGTATTATTTGGACAGCGACAACGTTTCAACAAGCAACCTCTCATTCCGTATGCAAACCTCAGCCTATTTGAATGACGATATCGATGTAGGACAAGATTCCTATCACTGGTTAGAACAGATATATGGAACCTATCTGGGTGGACGTAATTCCCCTTGTCTGCAGAACTATGGCGAAGTCGAAACGCACCAAGGGAGATTGCTTGCATTCCCAAATGTCTTGTGAGTAGCAGCTGTCTTTGTCATTGTCTTTCACATATGGTTTTGATTTGTCTCTGACTTTTGGAAATCAGCCAACACCGTGTTTCTCCTTTTCACTTGATAGATCCGACCAAACCAGGTCACCGGCGTTTCATTGCGCTCTGGCTTGTTGACCCTACTAGCCACATCATCTCGACAGCCAACGTTCCTCCCCAGCAAATGAACTGGTGGCTAGACTCTATCCTCGGAAACACGAACCGGGAAGCTGCCTTGTCTAAGCTACCAGCCGAGTTGGTGGCTCTAATTAATGAGAAAAACTTGGAGACAAAAAATTCCGGGGTACTGCCTGTCGAGCTGATGGAAATGGTTCGCGCGCATGATGAAGGCCTGCCTATGGGATTGGAGGAAGCAAAAGAGCACAGAATCCAGCTAATGAAAGCTCGTGGTGCGTTCGTGAAGAAGGCTGAACATGGATGGCAACAGCATGCATACAGCTTCTGTGAGCATTGAGCAGTGGATCTTAATGAAATGAAATCCATACGAATACGATACTAGACGCTGAATCATCTTCTAAGGCATGAGAATAGAAGATATTTTCTTGATATTATGAAGTGAAATGATACATATGGATATAGGCGCACCAAAGGTTCGGATACTGATTGCAATTAAAGTACACTACTAAACTAGGTATTGAGCTACCTACCCCGTAATCAGATGCAAGTACCTAGGTAAAAAGGTACCTCAAATGCCTCCCAATGTCTTGAATAAATTGTTCGAGATTTGATGGGTATCAGGTCATGTGACCATCGATGCGACAGCAAGAAATACATACTCCTTACAACTTCGCATATGCACTACAATTCGACAATAGCCTTGACGTCAGACCCGTCATCTAACAGGTTTATCTAATAAAAATATGATTGCGTGCGATCGCCCGGATGAGCAGGTGGGGTTTCGGCCCACTTTCTATTTTGTCTCCTTTCTCTATTCACTTTGAATACTTCGAATATCAGTGTGATTTTTGCTTAGAATTCATTTTTAGCTCAGTTTTGATGAAATTAACAATATTCAAATCCATAATTCACTTCTTTTCATCTCCACTCTACTGACGATCTCGACATCGGTAGAGTTAAGGGCACCTGCATGCTGCTGACGCACACTATTAACGGGATACATTTTCAATTAATTTAATACTCTATTTACATCTATCACTGAATTCATTTATTTTAACTTGACTTATTAGTCCAAGTGCGATTCATCTATTCGAAGCTTTGGAACCTATTGGCTACACTACCTCCTCATGCGTGGCTTCAGTCACTTTCAGGACTTTCTCATTCTTGTGCTTCTCAACCTCCTCCTCGAAGGTGTCGTTAATCAGATTGGTACGCCATGGTTTGACATTTGAGTCAAAGACGATGTCAATCTCCTCGAGCGTCCGCCCCTATGATGTGCGCATTAGCATATTGAGCCTTGAATCAATAATCTTTTAGGGGTGTAACTGCTTACCGCTGTCTCTGGGTACATGAGGAACACATGGAACGTCATGACAAAGCAGAAGACTGCAAAGATAACGTACGTCTTCCACTGGATATTGTGGAAACTTGGACTCACGAAGAACGCGATGGCAAAATTGAATATCCAGTTACCGGCGGCTGATAGTCCGACTCCCTTGGCTCGGTACTTCAATGGGAATACCTCGGAGGCATAGATCCACCCTATTGGGGCCTATATTGAGTGTTAGCAGCGTTATCATTATTAAGATAGTTTCCACATACCCAGGTGAAACCGTATATACCGGTGAAGATGTAGGAGAACGCAATAACTGCTGTACCGGCGTTGCCGGTGATAATCCAGGTAAGGTTGGAATTTCCATTAACCTCGGCGACAGAGTGGCCTTTAGTTGCCATGACACCAGCGATAATTGCATGGACCACGCAGCAGGATACTGATCCTATAAGTAGCAAGGTTCGTCGACCCACACGGTCAATGAAGGGGAGCATGATACCGGTGGTGATGACGAAGATCACGTATTGAATAGCGGAAGACCACAAGGTTGTGTTTCCAGTCTGAAATGTGTCAGTGGGGATTCCCTATTTGATCAACGGTATCTGGGTGACTTACCATTCCAGCCATTTCAAAGATATACACAACGTAGTACCTAGCAAAAATTATCAGTCAAATCTATAGCAGTGGCTCGATGTTACGGATATTCACTTACATTGCAACGTTACCTCCAAGTAATTGCTGCCAGACCTGTACGCTGACTCCGCAGAGAGTGCGCTTCCATATACGAGGTCCGAACAAAGCAAGGAATGAGACGTCTTTTGACTGATGAGCAATTCGAGCAGCCTCCTGGACTTCCTCAAATTCTGCTTGCACAACGGGATCATTGCGATTGCCATTTGCATGAATCATAGCGAGTGTCTCGACAGTTTCTTCCCAGCGCTCCTTTTGAGCGAGCCAGCGAGGTGACTCGGGGAAGAATAGCAGTGCAATGAAAAGGATCAGACCAGGAACGGCCTGAATACCCCAGCAGATGCGGAATGCAGCGGGTCCAGATACACCTTGTGAGCAGCCATATGCGATGAGATACATAATCAATATACCCCACTCAATGGACCATTGCTGCATGCCAACAATTCGGCCGCGTATGCGACCTGGAGCTAGCTCGGACAAGTAGACACATGTTTGTGATGAGGTCACACCGACAGCGAGACCGCTCACAACACGACCGGCCACGAGATGTGTGACATTTTGTGCACTGCATTGAACCATTGCTCCAACAATCCATACCCATGAGGCAATCATGAGTGCCTTGCGACGGCCGAGTAAATCTGATAACCATCCGGCTGCGAGGGATCCAGCAAAAGAGCCTGCGGACATGGAGGCAGTGATCTGTCTGAACGATTAGTTCTCAATCTCGAAGAGAGTATATGAGAGAGACTTCGCAACTTACACCTCCTTGAAGATTGGAGTCAGGATAGCCAAAGTACGCAGTATAGGTATCGACGCCAATCCAGGCACTCATGGAGCTACGAAGAAGTTAATTTGCATTATATATCAAGCGGACGGAACGACGCTCATACCTCACATCGAAACCGAAGAGACCCCCGCCGATGGTACCAAAGGCGGCGAGAACTAGGTACTATTAGCATTGCATCAAGAGTATTATGTATCAGCTAAACAAACCGTAGATATTTGAGATTTTGTACATGGTTACGAGTGCCAATCGACCAGACTGAGCAGGCTAACTGCAAAACTGGGACTCGCACGCTTTATAACTTCACTCATAACGGTCTCACGGGGGTCAATACACGCTGATTAAAAGCAACCAGTAACGACAAAGACATGGTGCAGGATATGGCACCACTTTGGCCGAGATATCCCCAGAATGGAAGGGATCGACTGCGGGGAATGCGGAGAAAGACTGGAGTGTGAAATCCCGGGGTATCGCCATTGGTGGAAATAGTCGTATCTGGATGTTATTATAGACACCCATCAAGTTAGAAAGCTATTTAACCGAGAATAACCTTTTTGAACCTTACATTTATCCGCGATGATACTTTAAAGGCTTATTATTCTGTATTGAATCGGGAGTCAAACGATCGGCATTCCGACGTCATGTCCTCGGACGTGTTCGAGCGGCATGGCTTCTTGTATTTTTCGATACAAGTAGCTTTGCTTGGCTGGTAAGAGTTGATGGGATCTTAGGAATACCTCTAGAAATAAGGAATCGCGAAATGACACGTCGTAACCGACGGTAGTCCTAGATATTCGGGATAATATATCGTGGCGAATAGTCGTAGGATTTTAAGTGGAAAAAGAGCTCGGCTAGCATCAACCAAGCCTCAAGGTTACATCGAACGGACTTATTACCGGGTTGGATTTGTCGCACTTATCTCTTTTGCTGACGTTACCGGGAAGTACATTATCTGATCAACATGCATCTAGTAAAACAGTCGATCTAGCCTGGAAAAACTATAACGGTCGAGAAATCAAGTTCGCAAATGCTCTCTAGCCTCTGCATGATAAATTTCTCGCGCTCAGAATGACACACTTAATTCTCTAGAATCCGAAGTACGACGGCTTGCTCCAGGTTTTACCCCACGCTTCCCCGCTTCCCCGGCTCGGCAGTGCCATGCCCTAATCCCAAAGTAAATAGTCGCTACATAATGGGGGTCCCTACCCCAGACAGTTGACTGAAGTTATCTGATTTGGTGTTGAAATTACGAACCGATGAAAAATGAAAGAGTTGCCGACCATGCCTTTCGCACTTAGAGGATTGTCCGTGGAATTTCCCATTTAGGCTTATTCCATCGGCATTTCATCGGGTTGTTGAATAACACGCGTATATCGCCGGCATTCACCCGTCTGGGATGAGACGATCTGTCCTTGGCGACTGAAGTATTGCCTGTCATTTCTTGTGACTAGCGTACAGAATCAGGCAGAATTGAGGTGCAATTCGAAAAGACTGCATGCCTATTCACCCATCCCTTCCTATTGGCACTGTCGCGACTCACATTCCTCATCATGTTGGGGAATCAGAAGCCGAGAAACATACGCTAGAAGGTGCATTGAGGAGCCAAGGCCCTCTCATCTCATCTTCTCGTCTGATCTATAAATTGACTTGATTTCCTCAGCAAGAATACATTACTTTCAGCTGACACCAGAACGCCGAAATGGGATTCAAGGCTTGTATACTGGAACTACTGAGTCTCTCCTTGGTCTTGACCACTCAAGCTGAGAATATCACGAGTGACACTTACTTCTACGGTCAATCACCACCTGTTTATCCTTCGCGTACGTGTACAATGTCCAATAATCCTACGTTCGGCTTCTCACATATCTACAGCAAATGGAACCGGCTCGAGTGACTGGCAGTCTGCTTATCAAAAGGCAAAATTGTTCGTCGGCAAGCTCACTCAAGATGAGAAAATCAACTTGACCGCAGGTGTAACTGTCAGCAACGGGTGTTCTGGCAACATTCCTGCTATTGAGCGTCTTGGTTTTCCAGGTCTGTGCGTCTCCGATGCCGGAAATGGTTTGGTGAGGCTCTAAAATTGAGAGGTAGCTTCTTTATGAAACTAACTTGTCACAGAGAGGAACGGACTTTGTCAATAGCTGGCCAAGTGGTCTTCATGTTGGAGCCAGGTAAGAACAATGTGTCCTGCTATTCGAGACTTTTTCTAACATCTCAAAGCTGGAACAAAGACCTTGCCCTAAAGCGAGGTTCTGGTATGGGTGCTGAGTTTCGCAGAAAGGGTGTGAATCTGATGCTTGGCCCCGTTGTCGGACCTCTCGGCCGTCTCGCTGAAGGTGGAAGAAACTGGGAAGGGTTCTCAGATGACCCATATCTGACAGGATCCCTTGCTTACTTTACTATCAAGGGTGTGCAGTCATCAGGTGTGGGCACTTCCATTAAGGTATTTGATGCGAATTCTTCTCTAAAAGACCGCTTGCTGACAATTATAGCACTACATTGGTAATGAGCAAGAAACGAATCGCAACCCGGGAAGCAATTCTCAGGGTGAATACACCGAGGCTGTCTCATCAAACATTGATGATAAGACCATTCATGAGCTATATCTCTGGCCCTTCCAGGATGCTGTTCACGCAGGAAGTGCTTCTGTTATGTGCTCTTATCAGCGCCTCAACAACTCTTATAGCTGCCAGAACAGCAAGGCCCTGAATGGGCTGTTGAAGACGGAGCTGGGATTCCAAGGTTTGTTAATACTATTATCTCAACCAGATTTCACATCTCTAATGAGTCTTAGGATATGTCATCACTGATTGGTATGCTCAACATGCTGGCATTGCTGCCGCTAGTGCCGGACTCGACATGGTGATGCCCTCTTCGACTGTATGGGGCAGTAATATCACTACTGCTATCAATAACGGGTCTCTGGAGGCGTCGAGACTAGATGACATGGCCACACGGTAAGATAAGACATCAAAAGGGAAGTTTCTCAACTAACCCATTTGTCTCCAGCATAATCGCAACATGGTATCAGCTGGACCAGGACACGGGTATCCCATCCCCCGGCATCGGAATGCCAGCGGATGTCAGTACTCCCCATCAACAAGTCATTGGCAAGTCATCCGACACCAAGGCAATTCTTCTTCAAAGTGCAGTGGAAGGACATGTTCTTGTGAAAAATACAGACAGCACTCTCCCACTCAAGTCCCCCAAGTTGGTTTCAGTATTCGGATATGATGCACAGTCACCCGAATTTCTTGAAGTCAGTCTCTTATGGGGATCTACCTCTGACCACTTCAATAGCACATTGTATGTTGGGGGTGGCTCTGGTGCGAACTCTGCTGCCTATATCGATACTCCTATTGAGGCAATTCAGCGCCAGGCCTATGCCGATGGTACATCTGTTATGTGGGATTTTGATTCCCAGGACCCTGATATTGATCCTAATTCGGATGTTTGTCTGGTTTTTGTCAATAGCTATGCTACCGAGGGAGCTGATCGGACCGACTTGCTTGACGACTACAGTGATACACTGATCACAAACGTTGCAACCAAATGCGGAAACACAGTTGTTGTGATTCACAATGCCGGAATTCGAATAGTCGATGACTGGATCGATCACGAGAACATCACCGCTGTGATCTTTGCCCACCTTCCCGGCCAAGATACAGGTCGTTCGCTGGTTGACATCCTCTATGGCAACGCTAATCCATCCGGCAAGCTTCCATACACAGTAGCAAAGACAGCAAGCGACTATGGCTCTCTTCTTGCACCGGCAGAACCAGCAGGTGAATACTGGCTATTCCCACAGGATGATTTCTCAGAGGGCCAATTCATCGACTACCGCGCCTTCGATGCAAATGACATCACGCCAAGATTCGAGTTCGGATATGGATTATCCTATACAACATTCAATTATTCTAACCTACGTCTGAGTAAGACAAAAAAAACGACGACTCAATACCCTCCCTCGGCTACTATCGTCGAGGGCGGCAATCCGCATTTGTGGGATGATCTCGTGACCGTCACGGCCCAAGTACAGAATACTGGCAGTGTGGACGGCGATGAAGTTGTACAGTTGTATATTGGGATTCCGGGCGGGCCTGTGCGACAACTCCGTGGATTCGAGAAAGTCTCTGTGGCTAGTGGTAAAAGCGTTACTGTTGAATTTTCGCTCACCCGAAGAGATTTGAGTAGTTGGGATGTTGAGGCTCAGGAGTGGGCTCTTCAAGATGGAGCTTACAAGGTCTATGTTGGCTTATCAAGTCGAAATTTGCCCTTGGAGAGTCAATTTACCATTTGAAAGGGAAGAGATCCATAGTTCTAGTGCGATGGCTGAATCAAATTGATTGCTCTAAAATCCGTGATCAAGTCAAGTAAACAGACCGCTCCATTTATTTACCGAATAGTTTCATAAACGTTGGGAGGTGATCGAAGGGTGCCAAAACTGACAGGATGGTCTTTTTTTCGAAAATTCGTTCCATGAACTTGAAAAAGAAGGGGGAAATAAAATGGGCTGGCAAAACTCACAGCTATTATAGAGGACGCTGAGTGGTTGTTACTAAAAATTGCATGACAGCTTTTGTGGGCTTACAAAAGCACACCTCGAACAACCGAACTTGTTATTTATTTGTCAACTGGACCGGCCTTCGTTATAGTACACCCTTTTACTATTTACAAGTCAGGTCTACTTGTATAAGCTCTACCTGATCTACGCCTCACCTTTACTTCTGAATAGCGTCATAAGTTGAAAGCTACAGTTGGAGGTCACATAAAACTAAATAACACGTTTCCTATAATTCATCTAATGAACTTCAACGTGATTGGGAGATAATGGGGAAATGAGTGGGATTTGTAAATATTGGCAAATCTCTTTCCTACTAAATTTAGCCTAGTAGTAGAAAGAAAACTGGTATTATAGTTTCTAGTATCGAGCCTTCAACCTCCTGTAGACATTATTTTACATCACCGTTGCACTACAGAGGTAGGGGAATGAAATAATACTCCAATTTTGATTTATAACCTTGACTTACGCCCAGCTTTCTATGAGCTCACTTCATTTCTGACCACTGCTCAGGTGAGGCTGAAAGCATCGAGAGCTGATACACGATCTAATTAGATACCCTGGTTGCCCTGAACTTCAATTTCCGCAAATAAACAATCATGGCCAATTAGATATTCTATTTGAAGCGTTGTTTCTTTTCAAATTTCTTTTCAAGCCCCCGCCCCACATAAGCTTGTATCTAACAAGGTAGATACTCAATATATATCAGAACCTTTCAAGGTCTAAGGTTGGATAAACATCTATTCGACCTTGGAAACGTTCCAGCACTCATAACAAGATATGTTCGATTTTTCGATTCTCTGCTTGAGATTTCTAAAGTTTACTCTTAGGTGGCTGATTCTTGAGAGTGGCCGAGTTCCAGGGATAAGGATCAAACACCAAGTCGTTAACAGGGTTCTCTTGGCTGGCGCGGCGGAATAGATCTGGGTAGACCTCGCCATCATATCGGCCTAGACTGCTATCCAGCTGCCAGTCTGGAATGGCCCAGGCATCTACCAAGCGCACAGCATGCGGGCGAATCTCATCCAGCAGCTTCACGACTGCTTTGGTGCGGGTGAGTGTGATCTGTCGCACGGTCACTGCGCCGGATGAGAAGAACTCTGCAGCCTGGGCCTCTAGCGTGTGCAAGGAGTAGAGGCGGAAGAGAGAGTGCATGATGGTCGTGGTCTCTGGGTCCAAGGCTGACGAGAGTCGTGGGGAGAAGACTGCGTCGTAGAAGTTCTTTACCACGAGATACTGTGAGTGGGCTGTTGATAGGCGCCAGAAGTCGATGAGCAGGCTGTTCCATGATCGCTTCTCTACATCGCGGTTCTTGAGAGCCTCGAAGGTTAGATGGGCAGTGCGCCAGGCAAAGGCTGCTACGATATCTGCGTCATTCCCTAGCACGTCGAAGGAAGCACCCTGGTCGCGTCGGTCAAGGTAGTTCTGTAGGATTCGGGAAGTGTCATTTTGGGATCCTTTGCCGGACAACATAGCACGTGCAGATTTGAGCAACTATAGACAAGGGTTAACTGAAGTGGACTAGATGGAAGGTAGATATAACATACGTATCGTGATACCTGCTGACTTAACATCACATTATCTCCTTCCCAGGTGAGAGTAGGAAGGTAGTCAGCATAGAAGGGACCTATGCCGGAATATGATGAGTAGCCATGTCCACCGCAGGCTCTACGGCACACCTCTAGACCCTCACCAGCCGTCGTCGACCCAAGAGCTTTGAGACCGCAGGATGTAGCGTGGAGATCAGCAAGCAGATCAGCTCCGGCGCGGAGTTGCTCAGGACCAGGGCCACGCGAGTTTTCTGCAGTTGAAGTGGCATCCTTCATGCTCTTCTGATTCTCCTGGTACAATTGCATCATACCAAGGCCGGTGAAATGAAGTGCATACATAGATGCCAACAGAGGCAGAAGGCGCACTTGAACAGTCTTATAGTTCAGTACCTGATTCTCCCCTGACTTTCCCTCTGCATCACGATCCTGGAACTGTCTGCGAACGGCGCAGTAGCGAGTGGCGATAGTCACACCACGCGCCAGAACACCACCGGACTGAAGAACGATGCTAGAGCGGACCCATGTAAGCGTGCCGTATATCAGAGATGGCATAGCGGGTCGAATGTATTTGCTAGTGTCCTTATCGATGCGTGAGAAGCGGGCTAGCATGTTAATGTGTGGAATCTTGACATTATTGAACAGCAGAAAGCCGTTGTCCATGGTGCTGTATCGATTGTTAGTTGATTGACTTATAAGGAACCATATTGTAATACCTACTTGTAGCCAAACTTAGGACCAATATCGCCCACATAGACATTTTCCAGTGGCTCATGGGTCTTAAGGTCGCGAATCTGCACCACAAACGGATGTGGGCCATAGTTCTTGCCAGCAATAATCAATTGAGCCATGACAACCGCATGATTAGCGGTTCTACCAAGGGAACCAATCCACCACTTTGAGGCAGTCAATGTGGGTGAATTAATAATAAAAGTTTTGTCTTGTGGGTTCCAGGTGGCGGTCGTCTCCAGGCCTCTCACGTTGGATCCATGTCCCAATTCTGTCTGGGCATAGCATCCAATGATCTGATAACTTGTAGCACGCTCAAGAAAAAGGCTGTGTTGTTCAGAAGTTCCTTGGTCGCGAAGGGTGACCTAAATATAGCCGGCATACGTCAGTTATTTCCCTTTTAACGTCAATATCTGGGTATTGATGCATACCAGGAACATAGTTGCGTGAAGGGCATACGGAGTGGGCTCGCCGATCAGATCATTAGCAGCAATCAGCTCCTCTGTATCCCATTCATGTTGTACAGCTAGCTGTTGTAGACGCTTGGCTTTTGCAAGTGAGCGCTGTAGCCTTTCAACGCGGCCCAGGCTATGATTTTCTGACTTGTCAAACACCTTTTCTGGTTGGAGAATTTCAAGTAGTGATTTCTGTCTCTCCAATGCATGCTTGGTATGCAACAATTCAGACAGCTTCTCAACATTGACATTGGATTGAGCTCTTTCATTAGCAAGCAGTTCGGATCCCTGTGGTCCTGATGGCTTCAAAGCCTGGACCCAGGCAGGGGGAGGAGGTGGCATGATCAATTGATGGGTTACGGGTTACTAGTGAATGAGAGGTGGTATTGTTGTGAGTAATTTTGTAGAATAGGAAGACAAAGCTGGGATATAATACAAGGTAAGGTAAGTGCTGAAGTCATGCAGCCGAGGAGCCTTCTCTTGGCACCGAATCAGGTAATTGCCTCGGCTAAATACTCACCGCCTGATAGAAGAGCCAGCAGAATCTTGGGACGCAATCTATTCATTTGTTATGCATCATAATGCATGTAGAATATTAAGGTGAACATTTATGATTTGATATGTCCTTTGGGTTATAAAGCTGGATATAGTCCAGGCTAGGACACTTTCCAATAAATCATTCTCAAATAAACCGGCCTCGGGAAGCTAGGCGGGAAGCTAGTCGGAAGCTAGTCGGGAAGCTAACAGAACGATTAGCAGTATAAAAATAGAAGTACGGATTCAGAGTTGCGTGCTTCATCTTCATCATGAAAGAAGCTTGTATAGAACCTCCCCCTGAGGCTGTAAGGTGTTTTTGTGAGTATTTTATGAATCTAATGGGTGTGAGAAGTTGAAGTTCTTGAAATACTTAATAGAATCAACTTCGGAAGTCATAAATCTCGGGGCACATAGATAATTATCTTCACCTCTGGGCTGTATTCTGTGTCCAAGTGGTCCCGAGGTCTAAAAATCACACATTGACCGGAAGTTGACATTCATTTGTGCTAACATATCTCGCTTATCGCCATAATCACATGAAGAGTGAAGACATCCGGACATATCTAAGTATACGTAAATGCTATGAAGTCTCATCCATTCTTCAACATTTAAGATTACCATACCCGACATGATCTCCTCGTCTACGTATACTTTTCTATTTATCACTATGAAGGATGGTACTCCCTCCATGCAAACATCTATGTCTTGAAGAATAGCAATTCACTTTCGATTCATTCTAGTTCTTTCGAAGAAGCTACTGAAAGGATAAACAGCATACTCCGGAATCTAAAATGCCCCATACACTGGATACTGCAATCTTTACAGAGTTATAAACAATAATACCGGCTCAAAGGATTCATACTATGCAGTAAAATGGTCTTCCTGTTGGTCCATGTACTCTTAAGTCTCGCCGTCGGACCTTCAGCCACTGCCCATGAATATGTCCAATGAGTGATGCTTGCTAATCCGATCATCATTTGTCACTTTTCCCTCCATTCTCACAATGGCCTTATCGATATCAAATTCAACCAATCACCACCGGATCTCCCGTAATTCGGTACCAGAGATCTAACCACCGTACCAAGGTTAACCCAGCACCAGTAGTCCGAACACCCCCTCTCCACAGTGTTGGGTCCTCGATTCTGACGTCAAGTATCCATATTGAAGAGAATCAGACAAACCTATTTATTTGACCTCCTGCCATATCACAGTTTCAATTCATCGTAATTCTCATTTTGCAATACATATCATGTCTAATTGCGTGATTCAGGGGTCGCAAACTGAGCAAATCAGTCTCGAGCCACTGCCGGAAAGTGAGTGTTCGGAGACAGCCCCAGCAGATTTACTAGATGTCTTTCCCGCATTGGAGAAGTGGAACTTTCCACGCATAAACATCTATCGCTGTTTTGCGACGTTTTGGAGCTTGCTAGTCATGGGAGCCAATGATGCTGCATACGGTGTAAGTGTTATTTAATGACACTTTAGCTGAATCAGATATCTAACACCGAGCAGGCCTTGATCCCATATGTATGAGGGAACTACTCAAGTTCTGGTTGCTGAAACTAATCAGACCATCAGCTCGAAAAATATTATAAACTGTCCTATACAATTGTCTCTTTAATCTTTCTATCGCCACTGTTTGGCTATACTCTCGCCGCATTCATCAACCAGCGCGTCCATATGACCCTCGGTCAACGTGGCGTGGCATTTATTGGCCCAGCATGCCATCTGATCGCATTCGTTGTGAACTGCCTACATCCGCCATATCCCGTGCTCGTAATCTCCTTTGTCTTTGCAGGGTTTGGCAATGGCTTGCAAGACGCTGCATGGAATGCTTATGTTGGCAACATGGCTAATGCAAATGAGCTGCTAGGTATTCTTCATGGAGTCTATGGAATGGGCGCTGTCATTTCTCCTCTGATTGCTACATCTATGATCACGAGAGCTGACCTGCCCTGGTACTATTTCTACTACTTGATGGTGGGTAGTCATACGCTTTATCTTTCCTGACCCCCACATTAAAATTCCTTCTATAGGTGAGCTTTGCAGCCATAGAGACTGTTGCCTGTGGTACAACCTTTTGGAAAGCCACAGGTGCAGCCTTCAGGGCTACAATCCTGCGCTCGAATACGGATAACGGAAAGAGTAGTCTCAGAGAAGCGCTCTGGCAACGCCCATCCGCGCGAGTCACTTGGATATGCTCTTTATTCCTGTTGGGCTATGTTGGAGTAGAGGTAGCTCTCGGAGGTTGGATTGTCACCTTCATGCTGCGCGAAAGGCATGGTAGTTCATTTGCCAGCGGAATGACAGCTACAGGCTTTTGGCTAGGTATAACAGTTGGACGAATAATCCTCGGATTCATCACACCAAGGCTAGGAGAGAAAGTGGCGGTCGGGGTAAGTATTATCATCATGGAAGAGGCGGCGAAACTGACGTATCTAGGCATATATTCTTTGCTCTATGGCATTTGGACTTGTCCTTTGGCTAGTCCCTGCATTCTACGCTTCAGCTATTGCTGTCTCACTACAAGGATTCTTTCTTGGACCTCTTTTCCCTGGAGCTATCGTAGTAATGACAAAGCTCCTTCCTAGGGACTTACATGTCCGGTCAATTGGGTTTGCCGCTGCCTTGGGAGGATCTGGAGCGGCAGTGTTTCCATTTGCAGTCGGTGCATTGGCACAGGCCAAGGGTGTGAAAGTCTTGCAGCCATTCATTATTGCTTTGTCGGCCACTATCTTCCTCGTGTGGATCTGTTTACCGAGGATGTCAAAAGCACAGAGTAAATAAAGCAGCCCTAGAGTGCCCAGGTGAAACCATCTTCACTGAAAAAATAGACATCTTTTTCTCCCCACTTCTACTTCTTTTCAGTTGCTGCAGTGCCAGATAGCTCTTGCATAGGCTTCGCGGCTGCATGTATTCATCTCGACAGGGTCTTCAGATGGTATCGAGCTTCGGGCATGTGGCCTTTCCCTGATCAGCTGGGGTTTATTCGTGCGGCCTTTTTCGTAATGAATGTCTTTCGGCGAAGCCCATAAAGTACTTACCAGCTCTATAGCTTTGATTGCTCTTGTATATACCAGGTCGAGAATCACCATTGTAGCCTCAAAAATGGTTCCAGGTATCTTGAAATTGAGTTGATTGTTATTCATTGTTTTAAGTATCAAGAACCTAGGCAGCTGATTGATAGTCTCGGATGGTAGTTGTTGATACGATGGACTGAAAGTAGTTTCAATCACGAGTGGAGCCCAGATTTACTGCTGAAAATACTGCTGTAAATCTCTGGCACCAAATTGGTTTGGTCGGTTAATGAATGGGGAACTACTCTAGGCAGTTTTGGAGTGGACTTGAATAACACACCTCTTACAACTCACAACGATACATTTACAAAGTAGATGCATATGCAACAGTAAGACGCATCAGTATTTCGACAGTAGGGCTGATCACTACGTTGTGTCTGCAATCTGGTGTTGGACTGCATACTGCGTGGATTAGAGGCCTGAAAAGGATAACTATTCATCTCTTTTAGGATAAAGTTCGGAACCCTATACTAATTCGGAAGGTAGGCCGATTTTTGACTGATTAGGTAGGTTTCTTTGGAACTTGCTCTCGAGACTAAGCCCTTTTGAGAGGCCACTAAGATGATATGATATATCATATCAGTCGATGCTCATGTAAGTTACAGCGATTGTTGCCCTTACTGAATCTCAAGCTATAAATAGCTTCATATATCATTGTCGTTTATTCATGGAACGTTGGAGATTAAGATTTTGGAATGAGATTCAGATTTGCAAGATTAGCTTTAAAGTTTTATTATCGCCACACAAATCATTTTGTACTTTTGGCGTCTTTGACGGATTCCGATTTCCGTGATGTAGAAAAATCTTCAATTCAACGTGACTAGACTCCACTCTCCATACTTAAATATGAACTGATCTCCGTTTTTTCCTTCTCTACACAGTAGGGTGGCTGAAATACCTTATATTTATTGATCGCAATCAGGGCAACTGAGTTATAAGTCTACTCCCAATATAATTGTCATGGCACCGACACCAGTGGACGATGGTGATAGTACCAAATCTGGCATCCACACTCAATACAATGACCTCGGATCAACCTCAAACTCGATTCTTTCACCATCAACGACTCAAGACACAGTCAGACAATCAGATGAAATCGCTTATCGCGAATCACAAGATGTCGACCTACGCAAGATCCCAACGGCCAAAACTAGGCGAGACTCTCACATGGGCGAGGCTTTGGAGAACCTCTCTCGCACCATGTCCAGTATGGATCATGGAGATGCTCACCTTGATCTTGGAGCTGTGCATTCTCGCCGTAGTGAGCGAAGCGCAGTCCGCTCGTTTAGGCATCATTCTCCTTCGCGGATGTCTGATCTTGAAGAAGAGGCTGGTTCACCTAGTCAGGCTCGTTATCAAGGCATTCCTCCGGAGCTGGGAAGTTTTACTTCCGAGGTTATCTTTGTCTTTGTGTGCTCCGCTGGTCTGATGATGTTCTCCTTTTTGCTTGGAGATATCACTGTTAACCAGGAGAAATTCAAGGATGCGCTGGGAATCACTAATAGTGAGCTTCCTTGGTTGATTGGAGCTTACACATTGCCCCTGAGCTTATCGGTTGTCATTTCGGGCTCGCTGAGTGACCTCACTCCACCGCGGATGATCATGGTCGGTGCATTTGTCTGGCTTACCATCTGGAACATCGTTGGCGTATTCTCTATCCATTCCACCACAGCAATATTATTCTATATTGTACGTGCCATGCAAGGTTTGTCAATCGGAGTCTTAGTCTCTGGATCGATGAGCATCCTTGGAAGGGTTTACAAACCCGGTCTCAGAAAGAACCAAGTCTTTTCAGCAATGTCTGCCACCGCACCGTTCGGATTTTGGCTCGGTGGCATTCAGGGTGGAGCTTTACAGGCCCATTTATACTGGATTTTCGCATCCAATGCTTTTCTCTCAGCTTTGTGCGTGATTGCCGCTTGGGTCACTATTCCTGCCCTGCGTCCTGTTGCCGATATCGTCGGCACTGAAGCACCCACAATCCGCGACTTCGATTATATAGGAGCAGCTTTCGCTGTTTCAGGTTGCGTCTGTCTCTTATTTGGCCTCACCCAGGGATCAGTCGTGGAGTGGTCCCCCTACACATATTCCCTGGTGGTAGTAGGCATCCTACTATTGATCGGGTTCTTCTTCGTGGAGCGTTGGGTTGCGCGCCCGCTAATTCCAAATCGCCTTTGGAAAACAAAAGGCTTCACACCACTGATGATCGCCTATTTCCTCGGCTACGGCGCATTCCAGGGTTGCTGGCAGTTTTACGCCGTGCAATTCTGGCTTCGGGTACAACGACACAGTCCTATGGCAGTTGCACTGTATCTGTTACCAAATGCTATCGTTGGTGTTTTAGCAACCTGGGTAGTTAGCAGAACACTTCACATTGTTCCAGGCCATTACATTTATTTTGCTGCTATGTGTTCCTTTGCCCTGGGCCCAGTCTTCTTCCTACCCCAGACTTCGGGCACAATATACTGGGCACTATCAATGCCAGGTGTTGCCCTGGTTACATTTGGACCAGATCTATCATTCGCAGCTGCATCCATCTATATTACCAGCAATGTGCGTAGATCTTATCAAGGATCTGCTGGTAGTTTGCTTGTCACAATGCAGAATCTGAGCTCGGCAGTGATGACAGCAGTGGGAGATGCAATAGGAACAAAAGTGGACAAGGGTCCCTCGGGTGATATTGGGCTGAAAGGCTTGCGGGCGATCTGGTGGTTTGCTCTCGGCTGTGAAGTTGTTGCAGCTGCTATAACTCTCATCTGGGTGAGGATTGACAAGCAAGAGGAGAAGCACGAGCATGTCACTTAAGTGCTTTCCATTCAAGATATACATATACACATATAGAACTGCTTTTGCAAGCAGTGATGAATTATGAATGATACAAAGCGTCGGATTTTATATAGAAATTGATTACACGATTCAAGATTCATATTGGAGATTTTGAAAATTAACAGTTTCTGGCCTTCAAGACTAACAGGGAAATTCGATAATTCTAAGATTTCTATCCAAGAGAGGAAAGGACATGAGAAGAGAAGAACCTCCCAAGACTAGAAGAGAGAAACCCGGGAGACCTTTCATGCCTATGGCACCTGGCATGCTCAGGTACCTAAGTGCTTACTACCTGAGTGCTTTCTCTTAAGAACAAAAAAATTCCCGACCAGCCAGGCTATTATTGGAATATTCATCCGGATCCACATATATCATGACGTCATCCGCTTGAGAAATAACTAATCAATTTCGTATTTACAAAGCATGGAAATCGATAGTATCAATATTATGTGATTTATTTGCATCAAGTTCAAATTATAACTAGGTAGTTTCTTACATTAAATATATCTAAAAATCAACTTCTCTCCACGTTTTGCACGCCATGCATTTGTAGAGTTCATCAGCTCCGGACACCCCCTTACAACCCACTGCCATTTCTTCAAGAAAGCCTCTGTCAGCTCCCAGTTCCTCGCATCCCAAGGCTCCCCCCAGACAAGAAGTCCTGCATCTGCGCCCGATTCGGTCCAAAATCCCATGATGTCAAGACATAGCTCGCCGTCATTCCAATCCTCACCAGCCTGAATGAGATTGTCCCGCATTTTGGGAATTGGAAAGAAATCTAGCCAGGGGTGATGTGGTACCGTCCTTTGAACCTTGGTAGGTCGAAGACTTGGTGGGATATTGCTTTCATTCTGTGAATTTGCAAGGTTGAGTGTGTTGAAATTCGAGATTGCATCGTCGTCCATATCGTCCATATTGCCACCTGTGAGACGTATATTGTGCCCAAAGGCTCGAAAGACGTTGACTTTCGTCAGGGTCAGGAGATGGTCTGAGGTTGGAGACCCAAGCATGTAGCTTTGAAAGGCTACCTCGGCGAACTCATTTAGCACGCTTCGTACCCAGGACATGTTTGGGCAACTAATCTGCGTCCATGATTCCGTTGATGAGGTGCTGCTTTTTGAAGAGACTAGTGCTGTGGACGAAGACGAAGATGATAACGCAGTAGGTGCCCCCACACTCTTGGGATGAGCATCTTTGTTTTGCACTTGCATACGCTGCCTCTTTCCTAGTAGGTGTTAGATATTTTTTCTCACTAATTGAGCAGGGCTACATACTCCTCGCTCGCTGGTTCAATCTATTTTGGACTTTTCGCCTCTCTGCCCGGTCTTTTAGCCTCGTCCACTCATCCGCCTTCTCCGGCCGCTCTGTTTTCTCTGACGTGATGGTGCCATTAGGGCTGACAGGCGTGATCGGTTGCACCATCGCATATTGTGGGGATTCTGTCATCATCTAGGTCAGTACTAGCGGTCAGGAGATTTGAGGCGAGAAAGTGGAATGGCGACGTTTCTCGTTATAAAAAGAGCACTGACGTCCCAGCACAAGTCCACCAATCATCGTTTGGATGTGGGTCTCTTCACAACACGCAGAGTTTGACACGAAGAAGATGGGATCTTTATTGAACGAATGAGGTTTATGTCGGGAAGTGGTTGGAATCTAAGGTTACTCAGCTACAGTCATCTTAGGTGAAATGGTTTTTACAATTGGTTTCTTACTGACAGCTCACAAAACAAAGGATATAACGATGAAACAGGTTTGGAACAGTAGATCATACAACTTAGCTTAGTCCTATCGAAACTCCGCATATGAAAAGTCAGCAGGGTCTAGGCATCGCTGCCGTTCGCCAAATGCATAAAGCCCAAACATCATTCCTAGTCATCATTAGTAAGTTTTAGCTTATCTGTGGAGCTAGTACTTTATACCTGTGAATGGGGCCCCCACTGGCGGTACCTTTGTCGCAGCCTGATTCGAGACTGTTCCGATCCAGGTAACCTGAGGAACGGTGGATTCAAAATACCCAAATCGATACTGTTCGCCACATTCGACTATGAGTGTTACTTCAGATGTGAGAGCTAGAGGCTTCTCGAATATTTCTCCTTCTGATGGTTGAAGTCGAATTACCCGACCATCTCCTTTTTTCCGAATGCCGAGGCTAGTGTAGGTGAAGTAATTCCACCACAGCACAGTCCCTGACTCGACATATTCTGATCTTGGCTGGAAGGATATTTTTGTTTCCCAGGTGCAGAATATGTGTGTTTGCTTACGCAAGAACAAGGTTGGGCACGCTGGTACAGAGAGGTTGTATGGCCCTCCATACAGTCGAAGATGGCTCGGATTTTCAGTGAGAGAATAGTCAACTGTGATTGGTGTGTCTGTCCGAAGATTAATTACCGCACCGATAATCCGATAGAACTGTCTTCACTTTTTCTATACCATCCTAATGTCAATTCCACGGTAGAAAAGTCATCCCTCCAGGAGACGGGTGGTTGATATTGGTAAAGACCCGGCCCAGTGGATTGAAGTGAAATTTTCTTGCCCTCATTAACAACAGGCCAATCATCTTCCCATCTCACCGGGACAAGAAAAGTCTCTCTTCCTATACCAAGTCAGAATCTAATTTCTGTACTGTGAATACACATACCTAGAACAGATTCCTCCCATTCTCCTTCTTTCCGCATAGGCCGAACACCTAGCAAAACAGCCCACCATTGACCATACGCATCCTCGATTAGATCAATATGGCCAGTGTTCTGCACTTCATCTTCAACTCCATTTCGCCAAAGAGGATTCTCTGGACCAACTTCCCATGGTCCCATTGGGCCAAATTCACTGCGACTAACCCACTCGCAATGTCCACTCTCAGTACCACCCTCAGCTGTGAAAAGGTAGTAATAGTGACCACGTTTGTAAATGTGTGATCCTTCCGCGACGCCGGATGATGACTCGCGAATCAATTTGGGCTCGGATGTGGACTTTCCGGTGACCAGGTCAACGGTGCAGATATGGATGGCGAAGTCTTTCAAATTGACGCCTGGTGTGGGCTGGAGTTTTCGGTAAGTGGAAGAAAGATAAACTGTGCCGTCATCATCCCAGAAAAGCTGATTCCTGTAAGTTTACGCTCTTGCAACAACCTTGGAAAACTTACATCTTGATCGAATCCGACTTGGTCAAAATATACGGGATCCGACCATGACCTATCATCCCAGATATCGGTCGTCTGAACGTAGAAACCCTGCGGCCAGACTCGATCATCTTGCTGGGGACAATAACGTTGGAAACTAGCAGCAACCACATAGAACATGCCATCACGGTGTCTTATAGTTGGGGCCCATACTCCACCCCCAGGCTCTGGAGTATGGATCTGAAGCTGACTCGATTTTGTCAATGCATGTCCGATTAATTTCCATTGGATCAGATCGCGACTGTGATAGATTGCGGTGCCTGGGAAATACTCAAATGTTGACGTTACCAGGAAAAAGTCACTATTTACTCGGACTATGGAGGGATCGGGGTTGAATCCTGGGATTATGGGGTTAGTAAAGATCATGCTGAAGACTGAGAATTACATAGCCAGGGTCCATGTGGTTCATTGATATAGTTGGTAGGAATGCTAATACGATCCTATTGGTGGAAAATAAGATGGGCTCGAGCGGTCGGTGTCGTTGACCGTGTTTTGAGGGATAACTCTAAACTGACAGCATTGAAACCAGGAGAAAGATGCATTGTCTCGACGAGTTTCGGTACTTTTGCCGGTTCAAGACTCACTGGATCCAATGGAAGGATACCAAGTGAACTTTCAGAACAGCTCCTGTGCTTGATGGACTTCCTTCCCATAGGTACTCTTATTCACTTAACTCAATATTTTCGATCCAGTACTGATAGTCATGATGCTTGAGCATAGACCAGATTCTTGTCTTCAATAGCCCTTGCGATAAATCAAATTTGGTAAAACAAAAACCATGATATCTTACAGCTTTCTCGGTCCTCCCTATTCTTCTGTGTGAAATAGTGCCAAATCTCAATGGCAGCAGAGCATGCTTCTGCTTTTTCCAGAGCTTCCGAGATCCGGCCCATGGATGAAGTTTTAGAGAGTACCCAGGTGGGCCCATCTTTGCATATATTCCTCTATGCTAAGACCATTTCAAGACTAGTGGCCCCCATTTTAATTTTATTTAGCTGCAGGGGCTCGAAGGATTCACAAAGTCACATCAAATAATTTGAGCTCCGTCCTTCACTAAATAAAGGGGCTTTCTTCATTTCATTCAAGTCAATAACCTTCCAATTACAGCAGAATGAAGTTATCTACATTCGCGTTAATTGCCTTCATAGGCCAAACAGCATGCTCCCTGGCTGAGAAACGATGGTTGGACGGTGACTCTGCTACTAGTACCACTGACCCCGATGTAACAAGTGATTGCACTTACTGGGCAAATAACATTTCTGCCAACGATACGTGTGCCAACATCGAAGAGTATTTTGACGCAACTGTTGCTCAACTACACGCATGGGTTAGTGCTTTACCCCGATGATGATTGCTTTGACCGAAAAACTAATGAGAGCCATGAGATAGAATCCCTCGTTACTTGAAGACTATTGTGTTCTTATTGAAGGTTGGAGCTATTGTGTTGACGGTCCAGCTGTCACAAGCTCAGCAAGCTCTTCAACAGCCACTGCGACTGGGCATGTTCAATCCCAATTTTCTGAAGTTGGTCCTGACGTTACGGACATCGCCAGTGCGGCTTATACACCGACTGCTACGTCTTCTCCGGCTTCTAATTCTACCTCCTCCTCTACCTCTACTTCCTTGGCGCCTTCTTCGACTCAACAGAGTGGTGCTTCTGGGTTGGACTTTTCTAATATATACATTTGGTTCTTTGCTGCTTTCTTCGGTCTGGTGTAGCTTGTACCTGTCCACATATGCTACTCTTAACCAACTTGGATATACTGTTTAGTACTCATATTGAAAATGAAAACTTTCATTTTCAGAGCTTCCACATTCCGAGATTTGATAAATTATTTTAAAGCTTCAATTGAACCCATGGACTAGTGAGCCGTGAAGCAACAACATCGAAAAGCTCGTGACGCTTTATGGTCAAAAGCTTAGAAACCAATATTCGACTTGATTCCCATCCTTGAAAGTTTCTGCACTGGTATAGCAGCTGGCTAGAATATTTAGATCCATATAAATTCGAGGGCCAAGTCATATAGTACCTCGGTCAATTACTATCGCCGCCACTTTAATTTGATCATATCACCAAGCTAGTAGCTAGGTCGTAGATATTAGAGCTGGACTTTCATTGAGGGCTAGTAGATAGATTTGCTTGTTATAGTTGATTGGCCGTGCAATATTACTGCGATTATCTCCACTAGTTTAGTGATTCGCTGAGCGCGACGCTAATTGGAACGTGATTTTTGGAAAAATCATAAATTGGCACAATCCACGGATTGATGTTACGCGTCGAAGGCATTTTATCGGCAAAATCAATTTAATATTATTCAAAATCAGATTCCCCATGCCCCTAGAGGGTCTACGCCTGAAGTCCCCCTAGATCTTTGCAGATTCTTCACTCGCCTAACGAGGGTACCAACAGATATAGGACCTATCAATGTGCAAATAGAAATTGCCCAAATAACCACCAGATAAATCTCTGAAATTTCCCCGTCGGTTGAGAACATGCCTTGACTCTCTGCGAGAGAAGCAATGAGGTATCCAACCTCACCTCGTGCAACCATTGCCAGCCCAAGAATAAGTGGAGGGTAAAGAGATTTTGGCTTGGGTTGAGGAGACGGCATTGATCTTTTTGCCGAAGAGTTCTGGTTTTTCGTACTGTCACGTTTACAGACAGTACAGAACAAGTGAATAATTGAAAACGGCTTCTTGACCATGCCAATGAAACTTGATATCGGATTTGAAGAAAGGCGAACAAGCCAAATGCCTGTGGCCATCTTCCCAAATGTCATGAGCAGGGCGTAGATAATACCGCGCCATACAACACTTCCTTTGAACATTTTGGTGATGGGAATCGCAAATCCGATAGAGGCCTAGTATTGAAGTTAGTAAATGATCATAAGGAGATAATTAAGAAGCTTACAAAGAATAGTGGGATTAGTATGCGGCTGGTGGGCTCTTTATAGTATTTTTCATAAACATTCTTACCAGTCGGGAATTCTTTAGGAGTCATAATTTGCTGATTTGAAGATGGTGCGTTTGAGTCTGTGGTTTCTTCAGGAGAACGTTGAATATCTAATACTCCGGGGGCCGAATTGGGAATGTTAGGGGATTTGGTCTCAGTGATCACTCTGAAATCTGCAGCCAACCCATCAAACCAGGAAATGATCACTCCAGCAAGATACGCTGCAAAAAGGCTCGATGTCCCAGCGTATGAAGCACCAGCAACGATCCCCACCAGAACGCATGTGTGAGCCATGAATGCAAACTGCATTGTACCCATGAATTTTGGTATATGGCTACTCAAGGCTAAAGCTCTCTTCATAATTGGCTTTAGACCGAAAGCGCACAAAATTAAGACACCCACCGCGAACCCGATAGATACAAACACAGGCCTAATAACGGTTACAGCGTTAAAAGATGAAGTACTCCCGCCGAGATTTGTAATAACCTGGATCATAACGAGGCCAACAACATCGTCTAGCATTGCTGCACTCGTAGTAACTGTACCTATCCGAGTGGAAATCAGATTCGTGGTTGATAGGATGGTAAAAGTAGTACCGAGACTAGTTGCACTAAGGGCAGCACCGGCAGTGAAAGCTTGAAGAGGGCTTGCCGAAACCAGATCCATAAGAACGAAGGATAGCCCCATCGGGATTCCAATCCCAGTGAGCGCAACACATACAGAGATGACAAGGTTTGCTCTCATAGAGCGTAACGATATTGAAAGACCGCCTGAGAATATGAGAAGGATTTTTTTTCATGAACTAGAAGGAAAACCTACCTTCGTATACTAACATTATGAGACCAATATAACCCAATTGCTGGATAGCTGTTTCTGTGTCCTGGTTAAGCCATTTTGCTCCAGGGGTACCCCATAGAATCCCAATGAACAATTGACCAACCAGCCCACAGTACATGATTTTATCAAGACACGCATTGACAATGTTCAAGGCCAACAGAAATCCGGCCTGGTTCAGAAGAGTTGCAATAGTAGGCTCGCGGTACGCGAAAGCTGCACCTGATGCATCCCCTGCCATTATCAAATGACTACTCCGTAGTTACAGCAAGGTTAAGGATTTGGCCAGAAAGAATCATGCCAAGACAGATGATGACTCAGCGCCAAGTACTTCTTCCAATGCACTTTATTCATTCATCTCCCAATCACCCCTTTTCACACGCTCTGCCTAGTTGATCAAAACCTTTTAAATATGTGAATTATATAACTTCATCGGAAACCATGGTAAAACCCAAGGTGATTTATTCTTTCCGTCACCTCGAAATAGAAGAATAGGGATATCTATTGGATTTTCACACTCGAAACAATTCTTCCAACAGGATGAAAAGGGCTAGGCTTTAGGTTCTATCGGATATTAGATCTGAATCCCTAGAGCAAGATACCGAAAGTTGACTTAGCGGCTAGGGGATGCGAAGAGGAAAGACTGAGCAAAGAACCCTGTTGAATGAAGTAGGCATTCATCAAGTACTGAGTCTGAAGGAAAGATCTGTTCCCGAGATTGAAGTTTGAGCATATATCAGGGGTGGTGCTTTTAAATTTCCCTGTCCAGCCTTGATCGTGTTAAGCAGAGTAGTTAGTTAGCGCACTCATCGTATTCTTAACATCCCTTCAAGTATATTGGTGAAACTCCCAAGGAGGGAATAGAGATATTTTATCTCTGGGGATAGGATAAGCCGTGACTATTTCGTTAGGGATTATCTCAAAATAAGACTAGGGAATTTGCTTCAGTGGCATCCATGGCCAGTTGATGGATCTTCTTGGTCAAAAGACTACCAGGGCAGGCCAGGATGAAAGAAGATAGTTTACTCTTTTGATGAAATCTATAACTCATTTTAGCACGCACAGCCACTAACTCAAGAAATATAACCTTACATGAAGCTGAATTTCTAGTCACTCTGTGAGCCTGTTGATATATAGATATATATATATAACCATATATGACGATCTCCTCATGGCTCAGAGCGCTAGTATTTCAAGAGAAAGAGTGACTCTTTATTTTAGAGCCTTGAACGGTGATAGAAAATTGAGATTTGGGTTTGTTGTTCATGTCAACTTTGGCTGACCATAAAACCGATATAGGGAAATGGGGGGGGGGGGGGGGGGGGGGTTTTTTATAACATCATAGCTGCATAATAGTAGTGGAAGTAATAGTGGCAGAAATAGTGGTAGCAACGGTATCAATAATAGTGTCAGTAATGGTGTCAAGAAAACTATCAGTAGTAGCCATATCTAAGCGTCGGGTTGAACGGAGTTGCGAGATCAAATAGCACTGTTACCAGTGCTCCTACCATGTTTCAGAGGGAAGTGAAGATAACTCTCGTCACCAATCCAGGCAAACTCAAAGATCTGATTATGAAACTAAGCCAATATCTCAGCGTCAAAAGTGGAGACATCTATTTTACAGTATTGGCTATGAGGAAAATGATATAGATCGTTAGTAGAGGGTTCTTTGCTAGTCCGAATATAGAATATGCTGGAGGATATGTACCGGACTTTCTATGCTACTTCCGTATTAATGTTTATTTTATTTCACTTCTGTGGCCTCGTCCACTCTTCCACTTTTCCACTCTTCCACTTTTTCCCATCACTGATTTCATTTTGTCGAGCACCAGATCTTGACAAGTCCGCGAATTTCTCTAAGTCCATCAGCAAGATGGCAACTCCTGTAGCAACCCCAACCCGGCTATCGCCATACGTTCAGCAAATGCAACAGTGCTCACCATATACTGATATCTACACGAATGCCCCTATCACTCCGCTTCGCTCACGGAAAAATACGCAGCACTTACTACACATGGTGCCTCATGCTCACCCCGAACCGAAACGATGGGAGAGTCCCGGCGGCTGGGGCGCGCGTCACATAAACGACATAGCACCCTTTACACTATGGGATGAGCAGAGCCGCCGGTTCCTCAGTCCAACACGGGAACAATCGGCGTGGATTAAAAGAAAGTTTGGAACAGGAAGTTTTTCCATGTGGGGGTGGTTCATCTGCATTGAAACAGCCCGCCCACCACAGCCAATTCCCCTAACTCTTGGAACTATGCCCGTTATATACGTACGCCCCGGTGAAATGTTTGAGGACACTATCCCGGAATCTGGCTACTCAAACCCTCGCGTTCCAGATCCCTGCCCTGCTCTCCGGTGGCCCAAAATGACCCATCCGACCAAGAATCAGAGAGTCGCCATCCTTACAGCTGTCGCGCCACTTGCGAATATACGAACTGTTTATTTTATGCCGATCTGGACGATTTTCGAGCTTCAGACTGGAGATAGCTGCATCTATCAGCGGAACTCACTTCCCGGAGTTGTTGCAGGTCGCACTGCACTATACCATCATGCAGATATACCGTTTCATCATAGCCTAAGAAGCCTTACTCGAGACCGTCAAATTGATCCATCCCAGGCTCCATTACAGGACGATTCAAATTACCTTCGGCGGTCAGTACTTACACCCGGATGTCGAGTTGAGAGCGGCTTCGGCCCACCAGGTTCTCGAAATCAATTAGTGAACGCCGCGACAGCAGCTGGGATCAAAATTCGTAATATTCGATCAGGAGAAGAAGCATTAACAGTTGCGCACCATGGATTCCTCTCTTCTAAGGAAGTTTACCACCCGCGCGTGAGTGGGGATCTCGTCGGCGAGGTCGTCGATATTCGACCCGAGCTTGATATTTCTCTTGTTAGACTGATACCCGTTGCTTCCTATAGCTTCAAAAACTCATGTTACTTCCAGGCCCAAGCACCCACTCATATATTAGAAGGCCGTCAAATTATACAGGGGTCTTGGAGCGAAGTTGACGGTATGAGCTCAGGTCTGTTTAGCTTGATGTCATGCGGCGTTAAAGACATGGCACCGATTCGGCCAATTGGCCATCCTGATATCCCATTCGAAAAGTGGACCACGAGATCGATGGATTTTATATTTGGAAATGTGAATAACGCCATCTCTGATGGTGTGTGTGGCGCCCCAATTGTGGACATCGATACGGGAGGAGTTGCCGGCTTTTTTCACCTTACCAATGGGACATATTCTTTCAGTGCTCGTCTTGATGATTTGGTAGCTGAGGGATGGCGACTGGTTTGAATTGGGAGTCCTTCATCATCAGAGAACAAGAATAAGTGGGCTATCCAGAGCTTGTGTAAGGGATCTCAGTTTTGCGTTATCACACACATGGACATATCATTTTAGAAATGCTTAATTATCACTACACGTCGGGACAGAGATGTTGAGACTAAGAACCTGAAAATATTGTAATGGTAGCACAATTTCAGGGAAATACTACCAAGTGGTCTTCAAAAACCAAAGAATGGTGTAGTAGTCATGCATTGGCGTAGACCCTGCCCCTGGCCGCGCGACGCTAAAGCAGCACTAACTCATTTCTCTGAACTAGATTTTAGCCGCAGCTATATATCACCTCCCCAACTTGTTTATCACATACAACCACAGGGTGTGGAGAACAGGGCTTCCCGTCCGCTCAGCCGTACTTAAGCCACACGCCGGTCAGTTAGTAGTATGGTGGGTGACCACATGCGAATCCTGACTGTTGTATGTTTTGTTTTTCGTGCTTTTTTCGATATACAGCCATGGAGGAAGATATTCTTACAACTTTTGGCCTGCAGGCTTTCAACCTCTCCCTCTGATACCCCCGAATTTATGATAGGCTATAATCTCATTTAAAATAGTCATATAGAAACAAATACCGCAAGTGTCAGACAATGATTCTCCGCCCGAGAGTGACGGCGCATCCAGTAATGTCATCCCCGCCTACGCCAGAGACGTATATCTTCGTTGGCAGAGTGAACTACCTGAATTTTGACAGTTTCAGAATTATTGAGTGATGTAAGCTTGTATAAAAAAACCAATGAATGATTAAAGTGAAGAATTTGATTTGATTCTAACATTTAATACCTATGAGGCTATGTCGAGTGCTGAATTTATATGGGAGGAGACTTAAGAAGCCACGGCGCTAAAAATCTGGTCGCTATCAGATAAATAAAAGCAGAGCCAATCCTACTTTTTCGAGTGGCTTAGCCTTCGCTTTTTTTGTACTTCTACAATACAGAGAATCAGCTTACTTATGTTGGTATTCACGCGGTCTTTATTAGGCATCGATTGCTTCAAATACAAGGATAGATTATCTTGAACGAGCATTTCAGCCACCACATATGTCAAGGCAGAATGCTTGAGGGCTGTGTCCCTATAGTCGGTCAATACAGTTGGATAAGACTGGCTTGTCTATTGGAATGACTCATGGATATAGTCATCCCTGGCTCAAGGCTCACTCCCAAAATTAATCTCTCTAAAGCGCCATAAATAATCTGGGATGGTTATTTATGATCATTTATAACACTACTACCTAACTATAGAGTCCTTAGTTTATCTTATTCTTGCATTTGCTTAATCTACTCCTCTGCATAGTCCAAAATTGACCTACTATACTAAGTGCCTAGACGTGGCTGTCGATCATCGGATCAGACATCTTTTTAAACCCTTATCCGATGACTTAACGGACACATCTGATCATATCTCTATTCTCGATGCATGTGGACGGCTACTAGAAAGACCTGAAAGCGAGATTCATGTTACCATGGTGCTAGCAGGCCCGGGACTAAACGGTGGTATAGCGGTTGCCCTACTATAGCCTCGGCGTAGCTAGACATGTTCATTGGGTTGGGTATGGGTCAGAAATTTTACCCAAAACCCATATGGTGTAACAGGCTGGTGCCTGCTTTAGCATTCATGCCTGTGCCACTCATGCTCGTCACGTGCCACCCGCACCCGCATCCCTTATATTGCCACATGTCCATAGCTAGTCTCTCTCTCTTCTCTTCAAGCTTAATAAAGACAGTTTGTCGGCATCACTAGTTCTGCATTCAAGATTAGTATTAGCCCTTCGCAAAGAATCATTCTCTCGGCTGTCCCAGGGGAGCCTAGACAGTAAATCAACCAATTCTAATAGTCGAGAATACTTGCTATACTATAGAGAGCTCTACTACAGAAACTTACGAGATCTAGAGACATGTGTGGACTCTCATATCAGAAACAGTTCCGTCTGAGCTTCATAGAGATTTCCGACGCTACAATTCACTGCTTGACAGTTGTCTGAGCAAAATTTGTAACGATATCTGTGAAGGGCTAAAGCTAATCTTGAATTCAGAACTAGCTAGGCACATGCTATTTACAAAATCCTTGAAGAACGTGAACAATTCGGGGTGGAATCGTGAGGTATGCGGTTGGTGGGTCACGTGGTACAACCACGTGATAGTTCACCAGGATTCAACCTGTTATAATACCCCCCCCTATTCTCCTGTTTTCCGGGGTCCATTCGAAGTCGTAATTGGTCCGTATCGTAGTTCAAAGGTGTCGAGAGCTATGCAGTTTTCCACTGCGTCGATAGGTTCCCATGTCAGTTCTGCGTATCCTCGCCATTTCACTAATGCTTCCCTCCGCGATCCACGTCCAATTTTTCGTGTCCTTGCTTGTAGGATCTCTTCAATTTCGTATTCCAGATCTCCTTCGACTAACAGCGGAGGCGGTTGCGAATCGTCCACGATTTGTGACGGTAACGGGTCCGTTGCCGCGGGTCTTATTAACTTAACATGGAAGATAGGATGTATGCCGCTTAGTATATCCAGCTTCACTATATAAGAGGATGGCACTTCTAGAACTGTGTATTTGGCGTGAAGCCAGTCTAGTTTCTTTGAAGGCTGTATCGTGCGTACATTCCGTAGGTTTAGCCATACTTTATTGTTGATATTATAGACTAGAGCGGCTCGTCTTGAACGATTCGCTTGTTCCTGTTGGCGTTCTTGGGCGATAGCCATCGCTGCATTTACCTAATTAGTGGCGTCTTATAGCCGGTTCGTGAACGTTTCCGCTGCGATCTCTGGTCCTCTCTCTGCTTGGACTTCTATCACTTCGACTGGATCGACATGGTATCCGTGTGTGAAGAAGAATAGAGATAGTCTAGTAGAGGTTGCGTCTTGGTTATTGATCGCCATGGCTACAATAGGTAGTAAACTTGCCTAGTCGTCCTATGCGTATATAGTAAAGGCGCGTAGAATTCGTTCGACTTCTTGATTTGCGCGTTCCGTAGCTCCATTAGTTTAGGGGTGGAATACAGTAGATAATCGGCGTCGAATCTTTAGCTTTTCGCACACGATTCGCTAGAACCCCCCTACGAACTATAGGCCGCGGTCACTAGTGATCGCTATTAGTAAACTATGATATATATAAATATGCTTCATAAAGACATCTGCGACGCTTTCCGCAGTAATACTATATATATCTATTAGGATCACTCCTTTAGATAGCCGATCAGTAATTACTAGATAATTTGTCGCTCTTTCTTTCCTAGTGGGTGGAAGTTCTGTGATAAAATCCATGGATAGTTCGGCCCAGATTCGTTGTGGAATCGGTAATAGTTTAAGTAGGCCTTGCTTCGAATCTCTCTAAATCGTGTTTCGTCCGCAAATTGTGTAATTCCTTAAGAATCTCTATATATCGTTCGTCATTCCTGGCTAAAAGAATCTACAGGCTAGTATCGTATAGGTTACATCCCGTCCTAGATATCTAGTTATATAGGAATCGTGGACCTTCTAGATCAAGGTTATGCGTAGTGGTTTATTATCTAGAATCTATATCCTTTTCCTAAAGCGTAGAAGATTTCGTTTATCTAAGTCGCACTTGGATAGGCTTATTTTTAGGTTCGATTTAGTAGGGATTCGTCGGTCTCCCTTTTCAAGTGCGAGTGCGAACTACTAGTATATTTGATCTTCCTTCCGCGCGTTATTCCATGCTTCCTGCGTTTCTGCTTCTTCAAACATCGCCACTAGTATATCAAAGTCTAAAGGTGGACTTGGTTCAGTGCTATTGTTATAGATCGTTACTGATTCGAAGAGTTTCCGGAAACGATTCGTGAGCCTCTTATCAGAGATTCCTTTAGGTTCGTCTTGTCCTCGCCGGGATAGAGTATCTGGTTAGATCGCCTGTTTCCCGGGTCGATATTATAGCTTAAAGTCGAATTCGGCCAGGATATCTGCCCATCTCATTTATCGTTCGCTTAGATCCTACGCCTTATGAAAATATTATAGATTTTTATGGTCTATTAAGACCATAAATCGCGGGACCATCTTTAGCTCTGGCTTCCATTCCCGTAGCGCATAGATGATAGCGAGTAATTCCTTATCGTGTATCATATAATTAGTCTCTATAGGTGAGAACTTACGCGAGAGATAGGCGCATAGTCTTAGCGTCCCATCTTCTTGTCTTTAGGATAAGACTACTCCTATCGCCTATCTAGATACATCTATTTCTACTATTGTTTCGGTGTCTTCTCGGAAATAAGCCAATATTAGTGCAGAGATAAAGAGGTCCTTTAGGGTCTCGAATGATTCTTGTTTCTCCTTGTCCTATTTAAATATCGTATCTTTCTTTATCAACTACACCAATGGTGTAGAGACGTCTACGAATCGTGGTATAAATATCTAGTAGAAGTTAGCGAATCCAATAAAACCATATACTTCTCGGATATTAGTAGGTGCTTCCTATAGCTTAATAGCTTCAACTTTCTTCGGGTCTACATATAGACCTTCTCCAGCTCGTATGATGAACCCTAGGTATTTCATAGAGCTCTGTTCAAATTCAGATTTCTCGATATCACATTAAAGTCCAGCATCTCTTAGCTTCTAGAGCACCTCGAGTACTTTTCGTCTATGATCCGTGATCGATCTATCGGAGTAAATAATGATATCGTCCATATATACTGACATAAACTCGTCGAGAAATTCGCGTAGAACTTCATTAATATACCATTAGAAGGTTACGGGAGCGCTAGTTAGGCCAAAAGGTGTAACTAGCCACTCATAGAGCCTATATCGTGTTCGAAACGCTATCTTCCATTCTTCGCCTTCCTGTATTCTGATCTTATAGAAAGCCGCTATGATATCAAGTTTAGTAAACCAGCGAGCCTTCGACATGTTTCGTAGTGTTTCTTGAATCAGAGGTAGGGGGTAATAGTCCTTGATGGTTATAGAGTTTAACCCTCTATAATTGACACAGAATCAGATACCTCCACCAGGTTT